GTATAGATACCTTTAAGCTGGGGAGGTGTGTTGGATTATAGACCTAATTCACCCTGGCTATAGTAATATCTGGTACATGCTTTACTTTTGGCTCAGCGGTTAATTAAACAGTTAATTAAACACAATTTCAGTTACTACATAAATTACTATAAACCATACAATGTACCCCTATTCTCCTAACAGAGCAATGTTTCGATATGTACCTAACATTTATCAGCCACTAGTACACTTATTCCCAAGTGAAACATCAACAAGTCGCTTCGCCCTGTACCTTTCTCAATGGCGACACTCGATTTTCTCCAAGCCTTCCGGGCTCCTTATCCAGACCAAGCCTCTGGCTTTTGGGGAGAACAAACATCGACTCTCAATTTTTGCGAAGAGGTGACATGCGGCCCCTGTTGATTTTTTTTTCGGAACAATTTAATAAAACTAACCTTCGCAGGACTACGTGCTCTCCTTCTACTGCGCCGAGCTCTGTAATGTGAGGTTCTTGGTGTTCTTCGACTTGGCGATGGATACTAACTGTATTTTTAGACATTGACGAATGGGTTGTTCCTATGGCTCGGGGCGAAAGGAATTCACAATTGCATCAAGTATTCCCACCCGAGTATTTTCATGGTTGCCTACGCCGGGTACATTGTGGTGGGATTGGGGTCCATGTCCTTCCACGCCACCCTCAAATGTAAGCCAATCCTGACACACGATATGCCGATGAACTGGGTCATTTGAACTCACCTGGAACGACAGATCCGATGCAGCTTGTCGATGAGCTTTCCATGATTTACACTACTTGCCTCATGATGTATGCGAGCTTCTCCTTTTCGAGATCCAGGGCGTTCTCGATCCTACTGGGAGTTAGCCTTCTTGGCCTGGCCGGATTCATCACGGTTGGTCGCACATAAACTGATGCATTAGAGGGGTGCTGATGACGGATATAGTTGTACTACCACATCACTAAAGATCCAGACTTCCATCAGGCCGCCTATGGTCTTCTCACGGCCCTCGTTGTATTCCGGAGCATGTGGGTTATGGAATCGCAGCTGCGGCCGGCACTGGAGGCTGAGGGTACAAAAAATTCGGGCGAGCTGCTCAAGACAATGTGGACTATGGTTATCACTGGTGAGTCGAGAGTATCCTCCCACCACATTGATCGAGTTAGTAGAGGTTGACGGAAGGTTGAAGGACTCCTGGTCTTCTTAGGCGGATATCTACTTTGGACGCTGGACAATGAGTTCTGCCCACAAGTGACGGGATGGCGGCGCACTATTGGTCTTCCATGGGCAGTGTTGCTCGAGGGCCATGCATGGTGGCATCTGATGACCGGTCTCGGTATGTTTTCGCGTGAGGTGAAACGTGTCTGGGCGAGCACTGGCTAACGTGGCGCACAGGAGGTAACACGACATTGATCCACTGCGACTTGGATGACAACGGGCTAACGTGAGGCTTCTTTTCTTTCGCCGCGGTAGCGTACTACTACATCACTTGGGGTATTTGGCTTCGCCGTTGCCTGACTGCACACGACGACGAGTATGTGCTGCATTGGCCGCGCTTGTTTACCTCAATCCCCGAAGTTCGACGGGCCAAGCAGCAGAGCGCGAAACAACAATGACCGGATTGAGTGGTGCAACCCGGAAGAGCCGGAAGTGAGTTGCACGTGAAAGCAGGCTCCTCTCCTGCTCCTGCTCCCCTTACTCGGGCCATACGAACCAGTCCAGGCTAAACTTGTTGGGTGCGTGCTTATCGAAGTTGACAGGCATCTTTCGGCAATCAGCGGCCGGGCGACGCAATGCGTTGGACAAGGCATGTGAAGGCAGCAGGGCGATTGGGGACGACCGCCGTCGGGATCGCTTGGCGCAGTGAGGGAGGACCCCGCAAACCGTGTCCTAGCTGGTTGATTTACCAGGAAAGAGTGTGAATTGAGATTTTCGACCGACCGGATGGACTGAGTTGCCGTTTTGGGCGGTTAAGTCAATGGGAGCGAGATGAATGATGGTTTCGGAGGTGGGTGGAGACCAGGAACCCTTGCAAGGCCGGCGAGATGTACAGTACTTACGGGCGTAGCACGGACGAGCTCAGGTTATGCAGCTAGGGATATATACATATTGTACATTAGGTACCTACTGAAGGTACGTGGTAATTCAAGTATTGATTCATGCGGAAAACGGGGCAAGCTTGTGAGAACACCCGCCACACGGGCACCAGCGAGCGTCTGCAACGAGCTACAAAACCAGACAACCAACAGCTTTTCCACCATCCCACTGTTGTTCCATCGCCATGGCGATTCCTAACGAGGCTTTGCAGAAGGTAAGATATCGAGAATTTCGGTCATATGCCGCTTTTGGGTGGTGCAGCTGCTTGCTTCACGCCTGAGATATCTTGAGATTTCTTGAGATGCCTGAGATATCTTTTCCGAGGCACCCAGTGCCCGCGTCGGCGCCCGCCTTGCCATGCAACGACAAAACACAACCCTCTGAGGGCGGCATTCGCTGACTCCAGAGAGTAGTTGGTGCACGAGATTGAGAGCCAGGCCGTTGCAGCCCAACAGCAGATTGGTCTGGCCCGCACCCAGATGACGGCCAAGCAACGGGAGCAGCGCCTGGTGCGACTTACCCTCAGCGAGATGGCAGGCCTGCCCGAAGATGCCGTCGTGTATGAGGGCGTAGGCAAGATGTACGTGGACTCAATGTTTTCCCCCTTCCCACATTTCGTTGGTTCCATCCCGCTTGTCGTCGTCGTCATTGTCGTCGTCGTAATCCCCCTGGTCCTTCTCAAAACACTTTGTGAGATCCTGATTCATCCGTCCATCATTGCCCCTCATTCCTCTTCCCCACCTTATTGAGTCTACTTGGGTGCCTCCTCAACCCCCTCCCCCATTCCACCTACCAACGTTCAACCAACAGCCCTCTCGTTGTCTAACATCAAGGCTGCTGCGCGCGCCATTTGCAGGTTCGTCTCGTTGCCTGTAGATTCCTTGCGGCAGAAGCTGGACGGTCAGACCCAGACCCTCGAGACAGAGGTGGACAAGCTGGGCCAGCGGCTATTGTACTTGGAGACGACACACAAGAACAGCCGCGACCACATTGAGCAGATGCTGCGGACCAAGTAGCCTAAGCGCCCAACGCCAGTGCGCCGCCTCTTGGCTTCCAGACTCCCGGGTTCTCGGCTCCCTCCCAGTCGTCCTCCCAGTCGTCCGAGCCGTCGTCGAGCCGCTGTAGTCTCAGAGAGTTTCAGGTGCCGCCTGCAGGTGCACAGGTTGGCGCCTCCAGCGCGGCCAGCCCTATCATCGTACCGCACCGCCACGACCCTGGCCTGCTTGGCTGGTTTGGCTGTGCAGCGGCTTGTCCAACCAGGCGGGTCCGCCCCCAATTGTCGTCGGGATTGTGGGAGTTCTGGTACCTTAGATACGTATCTACATAGCAGAACTCCTCAGTAGAGGACCTGACATCCTCTTGCTGCGTCCACCCTTGCTGTGACCTGTTGGGATACCTCGGCCGCGCTCTCACGACAGTGGAACCCGGCGTACAGTCCCATGATGCTCGTCTGCCCACTAAGTACCTCGATCAGCCATGTACAACGTGTACCAGAGACTGTAGTGCCTGGTCTACTGCAAGCTCCCTCTTTTGTCTCCGCCTCTTTTGGCCCCCACCTGGTCTCAGCCCCGCCCCTCCCTGTTCCAGCCCTACCATAAGTCCGAAGGCAACCCCCCCCCCCCCAGAGAGCGATTCCTTCATCTTTGGCGCTCTCGCACCCTCACCCTCTTCTTCTTTTTCCTCCTCTTATTTTCTCGTGTGACCGCTCTCGCGCTATTTCACCCTATTGATCACCTACCATCTTCCCAGTCCCAAACCCGGCACTCTCGCCGGCTTAACGGCTGCGCTGCCATCTACACGCTACTAAGATGAGCCGCTCCTACTACGACGACGAGGATGATCTCGACATCCATGTCCGTCACCGTGGGCCGTCTCCGCGACCTGTTCGGTATGTCCAGAGACCTTCTCGGCCACAGAGCTATTACGACACCGCCCCTGGTCCTAGCTATCTAGACCCGGAGCATCTCGTAACGGTGGCAAGGTCTCGCTCCCGCGAACGCTCCCGATCTCGCGATCGTCGCACGAGCAGTCCCCCACCACCGGCCCCCGTCATAATCAACAACCGAATCTACAATGAGCACTCTTCTGATGAGGATGACGATCGTCGCATGCAACTGGCAAGTTCTTCTCGTTACCGGCACCGATCCCGGTCGTGGTCCCGCTCTCGCTCTCAATCGTCGTCACACATGACTCGCGAAGATTGGGAGGCCGAACAGGCTCGCAAAGATCTTGAAGGCTTGAGACTTTCCAACGCTCGTGAGAAAGACGAGCGTCGTCTCATTAAGGAGTACCAAGAAGAAGCAGAGCTGCAACGTGCTAAGCGTGAACTGGACGACATCAAGGGCCGTGAGGCCCGCACCGAGGAAGAGAAGCGTCTCAAGAAGGAGATGGAGTTGAAGCGACTCAGAGAAGAGGATGAGGCCAACGAGGAGAAGGATCGACGTGAAAAGGAGGCCAAGGATGCTGTGGAACAATACAAACAGGCCGAGAGGGATCGCATCCTCAAAGCGAAGAAAGAGGAGGAAGCAAAGGAGAAGGAGGCCAAGGAGGCAGTCGAGCGCTACAAGCAAGCAGAGAGGGATCGCATTCTCAAGGAGAAAGAGGAGAAGGAGGCCACAGACCGAGAATACCAGCGCCGTCTTGAGGAAGACCTGAGACGATCCGGACTCGATGATAAGGCCGTCGCGGCCATCCTCAAGAAGGAAAAGGTGAAGAAGGAAACAACAGCACCTGAACCGACACAGGTTCCAATCAGCCATATTGGCCATGTCGCCCATACTGGTCAATATGGGCACTCTGGCAACACCGGCCAATATGGGCCCTCTGGTAGTGGCCAATATGGGCCCTCTGGCAACACCGGCCAATATGGGCACCCAGGACACTACGGCCAAATGGCTCCCTATGTTCCCCCCGCCCAGGTGGTTCCCGTGGCCCAGCACGGGTCTATAGCTCCAGCTCGGCCCACGTACACTCGCATGGCTCGCAAACATCTCTCAATCGAGACTCTGCGGTCTTATCAGGTTGACTTTGACTTTGATGCGGTATGGGACTCCCCTTCTACCCCCGACTACTGGTATCATCCTATATTGCAGAGCTAACACTGTCGTTAGGATCCTGACTACGTCTTGATCAAGCGTTGGGTTCCTGAGTGGGAGCAGGACCAGTTGTGGAAGCATACCAAGTACATTCGTGAGGTTCGTGAGAAGCGTGGCAAGACGCTATTGATCGAGGAGAAGAAGCACCCCAACCTTGAACCGGAGTTCGAGTGGGTGCGCAAGAAGCATGATCGCAAGAGGAGCAAGTCCCCTTCACTTCTGATGTATCTAGCCGGCGCTCGTCAGGCATAGATTCGACTGGAGTGTGCACGAATTGACGATTGGGCAAGGTTGGGAGTCTGTTGGATTTGCTAAGCGCTGAAATTTGATCATGCGTATTTGTTTATGAGACGAGTTGTTACATCTATTGTACATGTTCTTTATATTTTACATTGTCCCAGCTCGGCGAATGAGCTCCTCGTAAACTGTCCATGCGAGCGCTGAGCTGAGCGCCTTTCGGCTCATTCGTAGTGCCAATCCATCCCAGAGTGAGCGAACGCCCTCTTGCGTCACCATTTTGTACCAGGCATGCCAGATGTTGCGGTAGAGTTGGGGTTGCAGTTGAATACGAGTTTTGACTGCATCGAAAGGATTGGAAACCACTGAGCAGGCACCGCCAGCGAGCATGGCTGATGTGAAATTGACGGAACTGGCCAATGTAGCCTGCATTTTCCCCGGGGTGTTTCCAGTAGAAGTAGGTTGTGTGGCTAGAGATCCAAGTCGAGTCTTGAGCATTTCGTAGAAGAGAACATACATGCCGGCGTACGGGGCATCTCGTAAAGCCGTAGCACCGAACCCGGAGAAAAATCCACGCCAGCCGTTTGCTCTGCGGATATCGGCAGCCGCGGTCAACATAGACGGGTAGGAATAGAGACTTGACTCAAACCGCACCTTGATGACGGTGAGAGGCATAAGTACGAAGCCAGCAAAAGTCCTGGCTACAGCTCCAGAAACCAGATTGGCCGAGTTGCTTAATGAAGGCAACGCCGAGGAGCCATTCTGGGTCTGGAGTCGCCGGCCTAAAATTCCGGTGCGCTGAGCATGTTGGCGAATCGCATTGAGAGATGTGAAATAGAGGGCTGAACCGAAGCCGGTACGCAGAGCAGAGGGTACAGTGCCTCTCCACAAGGCCTGGACCAGACTGGACGATTGTCTCAGTTCGCCCAAGGTAGCCGTGAGAGATGAGTTGCCTGATTGTTGAACCCGCGTTTTCAGCAGGTCAAGGGGTTGCAAGATAACCGCTGAGGAAACCCCAGAGCCGAGGCCGGAGATGAAGTGATGAGCTGCGGAGCTGTGTTAGAAGGGAGGGCGTTGAGCCGGGAGTTACACCGGGAGTATCGGTAAACATACCTGAGTTAGCCTGCCGCGAGGGGCGTTGTGAAATCACCGGCGTGATTGTCGCGACCTCATTCTGTCGTGCTGGGGGGGTAGCAATATTGACGCCCATGACTGGAAGCAGATGTCGGCCACATATTCAGAGATGCGGATGTGTGACGTGACTGGACGAAATCAGGCCAGCCCAGGTTGAACACCCCGGTAGTCGGATGTCGCTTCGCTTTGGCGCATAATTGCATTTCGCGCCTCCGCCATCTGCCTATCTTATTACCTAGTTGGCGCCGACTGGTTGGGTTTTGTGGCTACCCCGGTAGTCGCCAATGACGGATTCGAGCCGGCCAGCAAGGAGGCGATGACGCTTGACCAGCTCAACCCACTCCCCGACGCCAGTCGTGGCCAGCAGCATTCCAAAGTCGGCGCCAAGTCGTCCCAGGCTGCCAGCACAGTACAGCACCTGGGTCAGTATACTCTCCCTTGACGCCTGGTCCTTGACCGTTGGCAAGTAGATGCGGAGAGTCTCAAGGAGCATCTCGACCAGGTGCAGGGGGAAGCTTCCCATGGGCGAGGGTAGGGGGCTTAAAGGGTCCTCGTCGTCATCCGACTGTAACGCAAGGCTGGTGTTGATGCTCTTGAACACGGACACAATGTTGAAGCTGTGCTCACGGAAGATTTCAATGAACCTTTTAAGATAGCGTTCCGTCTGCTGGCCGCCAGACCATGAGTTGGCTGCCTTGTCTTGTCGTCTTCGCTCTTCATCGGCTAGCTCTCTAAGTGGCTCCAACGCCTCAAGTGTTGTTAGAAGGGTGGCAAGGCGACAGACCAAGAAGACGGCTGGAAGTGAATCATCGGCGGTTGCGCCAGAGACCAAGTCTGGGACGATGCGCTTTAGCCAACCCATGGTGCGAACGGCGGCGGCCAGCTTCAGATTTGGGATTTTCAGAGTGCCAACGAGATCTGCGGCCATTTGGCGAATAGCATCATCTGCCTCTACTAAAACGGAGGAGACTACCGGGGAATTGGGATAGAGAGATGCCAGGCGGCGGACATGAGCGTATAATTCGAGGGTCGACGAGTAGTTGACTGGGGCTGTAGAGACGGCCGAGGTGAGTAGAAGGGGCATTTCCATTACGTCGACCAGGCGCTCAGAGTTGCGTAGCAGGAGCAAGGCTTCTTTCCTCCGGGCAAGCAGCTTATTCTCGCTGGCCTTGCCAAAGGCGGACGAGAAGTGCTCAGCGTGTGAGTCCAGCCGGGGGACGGCCTGGGTTAGATCCGCGGCTCTCTGGGCGAGGATAGGCAGCGTCTGGCGTAGAGAGGCATGGCTCGCGGCCGACTCGACGACGGGTTTGTGCGATCGCTTGGAGAGGGCCTGGACGGCGAGCAGCAGGGAGTGGGAGGCTTGAGAGAGAAGCTGAGGCTCGGATGATTGTAGGACGTCCGACTGCTGCTCTGCGAGGTGGGCGAGGTAGGCGAGGGCGGGGGCGTCTGTCTGTTGCTGAGGGGCCAGCAGGTCTCGCAATGCCTCGGCCATGATGTATCGTGCCTCGTATTTCAGCGGCCGAGGGCTCGAATTGAGTCGTGTTGAGGGTGCTCGGGCACTGTGCACGCGGGTTAGGGGAGGGTGGTTAGATTGGGTTCTCGTGGGCCCCTTGCACGTGGTTTTGATGTGTGAGAGGTTGCGAAGGTGTGTGATCTGGACGTGAGTTGGTGGTGATGGTGGTTGTGGCTGCAGGTGACCAGGATATTAAGGATAGGGAGAGGAGCTGATAAGTGGCAGCTGGCCTCGAGGCTGTGGTCGATGGTGGTTTGATAGTTGAGCTCCTATCCCCCCCCCACTTACTACCTCCACCGCACTGGTACCTACCTCAGGTACCTAAGGTACTTAAGGTACCCATGTAGGTACCTACCACCTAGCGTGTACATGAAGCGCATGCTGCTAACACCCGCCCAGCATGGGCTTCCCAGCCTTGTGCATGTGCAATTGTGCACGTACTGGCCGCCTCAGCAGGGCCACATCATGCACCACAGCCACAACGATAAAGTCCAAGGGTCCACGTGAGCCACCCCCAACAGACGTGAACCTACAGGGGCCTGCCCCAGAGGAACCTCTCGACCTCCCTTGTCTTTACTTCTTTACTTCTTTGCTTCTTTACTTCAAATAACCCAGCCTTTCCATCCGCTGGGGCGTGTCTATCGCCCGCCTGTTCGTTGTCATATCTCTCCAACATCCGTACCTGTGCGCGCCCTCGAGTTTGCTCATCGCCGCTCTCGCCCCGGTTGCCGCCCAAGGTCTAGCACACAACGCCTACCTCCGACGCAAGGCTTACTCCAGCCAAATATCATCGACAGGCGTCCTTCACCATGAAGGATCCCTTCTTCCTCCCGCCCATCCCCTGGCTCTCGGAGCAAGTCCAGCCTTGGGCCGACTACTTCGACCTCCCCACGCTGCCCCTGCATGTCCACGAGGTCCTCTTTGCGGCCGTGGTCTACTCGGTCGTCTTCTACCCCATCTCGCCATTGCTATCAAACTGGCTTGCCCCCGCCCATTACTCGAAGCTGCCCCGCAAGCGCCGCCTCAACTGGGATGCCCATGTGGTCTCCATGTTCCAGTGTATCCTCATCAATGGCCTCGCCATCTGGGTCATGTTCACTGATGACGAGCTTAATCAGATGAATTGGGAAGAGCGAGTCTGGGGCTACACTGGCGCTTCCGGCTTTATTCAAGCCTTTGCCGCTGGTTACTTCCTCTGGGACCTTGTCGTCACCAGTCTGAATTTCGACGTCTTCGGCATCGGCACCCTAGCCCATGCGATTGCGGCCCTCTTCGTCTACTCACTTGGATTCGTTCGTCGCCCCTCCCATCTCGCTGGTCCCATGTCAGCTAACATCCCTCCAGCGCCCATTCGTCAACTACTATGCTACTGTCTTCATCCTCTGGGAACTCTCCACCCCATTTCTCAACGTTCACTGGTTCATGGACAAGGTAGACATGACTGGTTCACGTGCGCAGCTTTACAATGGCATAATGCTTCTCGCCACATTTTTTTCATGCCGTCTCGTCTACGGCACTTATTCGTCGTTCCGCGTCTTCCACGATATCTGGTCCAGCATTAATGCCAACCCAAGCCCCAGTAAGCTTGAGTTCTCGTCCACCATGGTCTTTGCGACCAAAGAATCTACGGTGCCTCTGTGGCTTAGTGCTACATATCTTCTCAGCAACTTGACGCTGAACAGTTTGAACTTCTACTGGTTCTTCATGATGATCAAGGCCGTTCGCAAGCGGTTTGAACCCTCTGCGGTTCCTGGAAAGCCCTCAGAACCCATCGCCGAGGTTGGGATTAACGCCTCCACGGTCGCATCCGCGATGGAGAAACCCACAGCCAATGGGCGAAGACGAAAGGCTTAACTTATCCGACTAGCTAATGCCTTTGGATTCTACGCCTGTAGGTTCCTAGAGAATGTGTGATGCCGATTTGAGCAAGTATGGATGCGCCCATGTCAAGGCTCGGCCCTGGCTTTAATCTGAGGACCTGGAGCCCCACACGAAGCATGCCAGAGCCGCCTTATTGCACCCCTGAAGCCTCGGCGGCCTCGACAGATGCAACAAGGGGTGTTGGTTTATTGCCTGCGACTGTAGTTGCTCAACTGAATCGCTTACCCACGTGGCTAAGAATTGAGACGGCCTTGGATATTGTTGAGGGCGTTGTGGTTTCCAGGACCCTCGGCCATCTGAATGGGTGTATGGATGCTCATCCATTGTAAAGACTCTCTCGAAATGAAAGCGCGCGACTCAAACACCGATGCTTAGAGCTAATCGTCCGCGAGACACGGCTGTTGACAATCCCTTCAGGAGCGGAGGACGACATACAGAGATCAGGAAATATTAGATGAGGTCAGCCCGGGCTGGTCCTCCATATATATTATTATCTTCCCACACATCTAGATGTACCTACGTGATGTTGACTAGACATAAATGTAAGATGAGAGGGCATATGTCCAAACCAAGGGCTGCTAATGATGACTAGCCACACGTCCAACTACCAATCAACACACTACCAACCACCAAGCTCAATCACCCACAACCACATGACCAGCACTTTGCATTCTTCGGAAATCTTTAGAAACCAAAGGGATTTTGGGGGGCTATCGTCTGTGTTAGGGGGCACGTAGGGAGTACGAGGGAACGGGGTGACTTACTTGCTTGCGCTAGGTTGGCCCTGCGCCCGGTTGCCTGGGGAGTGAGCTTGTTGGCGTCGCCCGTCACGCCAAAGCGAATGGCAGGCGCGGGGCCAGTCTGCTGTGGTTGTAGAGGCTGGGGGGGTATTGGGCCGTTGATGCCCATAAGGCCGGTTGCCTGGGGCTGTAGAACAGGCATCCCCGTTCGCTGAGGCTCCAGTGGCGGAGGGAGGTAGCTGTTGACACCTCCGGGAGCGGGTTGGCCGTACATGGACTGCGCAACGGGGAATGAGGGCTGGAAGCCAGTAGCCTGGCCCGGGATTGGTGCAAACTGATTCGGTCCTGGTGCGCCCGTCATCATGGGCTGCATAAACTGCGCCGATGCGCCGGTAGGGAACGGGACCATGCCTTGGGTTGGGTACCCGGTCATAGTCGGCTGCATGGGCTGCATGGGCTGCATAGGCTGCATAGGCTGCATAGGTTGCAAGGGCTGTTGCTGCTGCATCTGCGCTGTGTACTGCTGCTGAAGGCGAGCCTGGTTGATCTCGAGGAGACTCTGCCCTGGCGGCGCTACCTGTCCCTGCAAGGAGCCCGTCATCTGGGGCATCAGGGGCGGGGGTGAGAAGGCGCTGGGTTGGGCCGACTGCGGAGCCGACAGTGGCCGCTGGGGTGGCGGTGGTGCCAAAGAGCTTTGGTTTTGTAGCGTCTGGGGAGGAGTAGGTCGTTGCCGTAGCATGGCCTGGGGTGAGGCATGGGCGGGTTGCTGGGACTGAGACACAGCCGAGAAGAATGACGGGCTGGCGCCGGGCAAAGATTGCGGAGGAGCTACGGCTGGCGCTGGCTGCTCCGTCACAGCTTCAGGCCTGGCTGCCGGCAGCGTCGGCTCCGTCTTGGTCGGCTCAAGGGGCGCGGTCAACAGGGACAGCTCCTTCATGGAGCCAGTCAGGGCCTGGGTGGCCGGCGGCGTGGCCGACGAAGCCTCTGGCGGCGGCTTCGGCTTGGATTCTGCGGGTGGCTGTTGCTTGCTAGGCTTCACATCCCATGCGTCGTCGTCAAACCCGCCCGTGGCCGTTTGGCGAGAGCTGGGGGCCGCGTTGCTTGGGCTGGCCGGTGCTGGAGACCTGGCATCGTCGTCACTAGCCCCTGACTGCTCCGACTTGGAGAAGGCTTTGGCATCGACGACATTGCTTGTTTGTACTGCGGGCGCTGGCCGGCCCTTGCGTGTGTTGTTTCGCAGCGTGCCTCCAGGCCCCGAGAACAACCCCCCTGCTGCACCGTCCCCATCGGCGCCGTCAGATGCGAAACTAACGCTCCGCTTGCCGCCTCGGTTGCGTCCATACTTGGCGTCTAGGGCACGCACGACTTTGATAATGTCGCCCTCGCGGAGGCCCAGAGCTCGTAGAGTATTGGCGTCGACATCGGGCAGCACGCTTTCGTCCATCGAGTCCTTGATAAACGCTTGGGCGTAGCGCTCGCAGAGGCCCACGGCAACTTCGCAAGACAAAAAGAACTGAAACCAGTCATAGTCGGACTTTGGCGATTTGTCAATTGTCACGCCTGCCTTCTCAGGCGCCTTCTTCTCAGCAGTTCTAGCCCGTTTCACATCCGCCAGGGGCTTATCGTCTTCTAGAGAAATACCAGTAAAGTTTTCGACGTACTCAAGGTCTTCGCGGGACATTTTGGTGATGGGGACTGCGATCTTGACGCCATTCATCTTGTGCAAGTGGATCTTGCCATCTTTGAGGCCCAAAAACTGTGCCTCGACGCTAAATGATTGAGATCGATCTGTCCAGGTGCGCACTTTGGACGCATCCGGTTCTAGAGTCATCAGGTTAGCGCTCTATTCAACCCTCAGCGAAGATGGCATATGAAGGGGCTCCTGGGGTCCCAGAGGGGATGATGGAGGAAGACTTACTTGGCTTGGACTTGGGCTGGCCGTTGCCGTCGCTTCGTCCATTCTCTCGCCGACTTCGCTGCTGTCCAGAATTATTACCATTCTTTCTCGCCATGAGACTGCTGCCTCGTTCAGGAAGAGGCATTCCCGGCCCTACCTGCTGCGGTTCTTTGCTGGCTTTCATAGCCTCCTTTGTCAACCTGATCTCGTCCAATCTATTCTGCTCGACCATGGACTTGGCCGAGTAACCTCCGGGCGGGGGCGTGATAGTGCCAGATATCTCGATGTAGCTGCTTGGGACAACACCTTCCTTTCCGTTCTTGAGGCGCCGCACTTGCCACCACTCCTCACTCTTGGCATCGTCAAGAATGATGACCTCGTCGCCGATAGCAACCGTCACCTCGTCTTCACCCTGGGCCATGAAGTCATAGAGGATCTGACCCTTCTTTCTGCTCTTACCAGAGCCCGCCATGATGACCTCTCGGAGTCCTTCAGCACGCACGGCACCAGCCAATTCACCCAGGGCGTTGACAATCTCCTCGGCAGTGTCCTTAGCTCCGGCATGGAAATCGACACTCTTGCTTGGTCGAACAAGTTCCATGAAGACATGTTTGCCCTCACGCGAGTAATGGGTCATGCGGTCAGCGGTCCACTCTTGCGAGGGACCATCCTGGACGTGCTCCGGGGCCACGAGGATCGTTCCTGTCAAGAGGTTTATGCCAAGGGTTGTGGGCATCTTCTTCCTCTTCCCCATGATCGAGACCATCTCATTAATATTGTACATGTGGAAGCCCCCGGGCGTTCGAGTATTGTCCCGGGGAGTCTGGATGACGGGGGAACCTGGCTCGTCATATGTGGGTGATTGCGGCGAGAGCGGCCGTGGTCGAGTGGGCAGCGCGGGGGATCGAATGGGTTGGTCGTCGAAGTCTTCGGGCTCCTGGTACGGGGCGGGGTTCCGGGCAGGTTGGGGAGGGGGCGAGGCCTGTTGTGATGCCGCCCGGGCGTGCATGACACCGGCGAGGGTAGCGGCCGGATTTGCGGGAGGCGGCGATGGCTCGACCGGACTATCCGGCACCGCTGGCTCAGGTTGTGGTGGCCTCGCGGGCAGTTGTGGGGGAGCCGGGGGCAAGGGTGGAGCGGGAGCCTCGTCAGCTGCGTCCAGATCAATGTAGTTGGCTGGGACAAAGCCGTATTCACCGTCGAGGCCGACGAGGATCCAATCGGGATCCGTGGCATCGAAGACATCGAGCTGCGCGTCTTCGGGAAAGGAGAGCTCCTCGTCGGTCTGGCGTGTGTAGTCGTAGAGAGCACGGGCGTGGCTCAAGGAAGGGGCCTTTGCGAAGAGGGTAGTGCCAGCATCAGCATCACGGTTCAGTCAGGGGAGGAGATAACTGGGCAAGGGAAACATACCTGCTCGACATAGTTGTTGGGCACGAGGCCAGTGGGCTCGTCGTCGTCGTCGGCGCCGGCCTTCTTCTTGGCCTTCCACCAGCCATCGTCGCCTTTCTTGTCAAGAACATACAGCAGGTCGCCTTCGGTGATGGCCAGCTCGCCTTCGGCCTGGGCGGCGTAGTCGTAACTGGCCCGGTACACGCCCAGGAACCCCATGGTGTCGAGCGTGACTCTTTGAGCTGCACCGCGGGCGTGTGCTCGGGAGAGAGACTCGAGAGGATGCGACCTTGACGATGCGATGCAGGACGGGGTGGAGCGAGTCGAGTCAAGTCAAGTCGGGGCGAGACGAGGCGATGCGATGCGAAGTGACGCAGTGCGGCGTCGTTTGTCTGAGGAGCGAGCAACCCAGGACCAGAGAGGTACAGGAGGCACAGGAGGTGCGCTACCTACAGTTGGTACGTAGCTTGGCGGGCCAGCCATGTGAGCGGCCCCGACTCAACGCCGCGCACATGGCTGCCTTGCTAGAAGGGGTAAGCACAGCGTGTGCCGGGTGCCTAGGTAAGGTAGGTGGGTAAGCGGCCAGCACTGCCCGGGCCATGGGGGACGTTAATCAATAGCAGCAGCAACTCGCACCTGGTAATGGCACCTGGTAGTGGCACCGCTGGCCGAATTCGCACAGCGCGGTACGAAGTGTCCCAATTACCCGTTACCCCTTGGCTTGGTCGCCCGTCCATCCTCCATCTCCCCCCCCCATCTTCCATCTTCCATCCCGCCCTTCCCCCAATCGTGCCACTTTTTTTTTATTTAGCATTAGAGGTGCACGCACCTGATTTGGGCCACGCGCGCTGCCGCCAGTGTTAACTAGAGCCAATCTACACTTGGCACTGGGCACCTGTCGGTGGATACAATGCGTTGCGCGCCCAACCGCTCCTGATTGGGGGGGTATGTCACTCAACTTTTGATAGCCACCTACCTGCCTAGGCAGCACTTGACTCGAACTCGACGATTGATTGACTGCCTTGCCTTCTAGACCCCGCGGGGCTGTTTATTTACGCAATTGTCTCTCCCATGCTACCCCTCAGCTCCAGATGCTGTCACCTCTTGCCATATACTTAGTGCTCACCCGTCTCGATACCTAGGTACCCACTTCACCCAACTTACTCTTCTCACCATTGTTATGAAGAATTTGGCCTAGCGCCGCCTGTCCCTCTCCGACACTTTTGTTCTCACATGTTGGTCAGAGGATGGTATGGGTGAGACATTTGCACAAGACGTTTACCCTTTCCCAAGGCCACGAGGTCTCCTATCTGGCCTTCGCAACCACATCTACTTGGTTTAAGGTCAATATACATGACATTCCCAGCTTGCACGAGGCTCGCCTAGCCACATAACGGGCTCTACCAAATGTGACTTGGCTTGCGCAGATACTCTGTTATGTCGCTTCCGATCCCAAGACGTCGTCAGAAGCAGCTTTTCCGTCGGTGGCTTGGCCCAAGTTTCGGAAGCTCCCTGTTCGCTGCCCCGGGGTGAAGACGCCAGGGAACATCCTAGGATCGCTTCCTGAGAGGTGGAGATCTGCCATGCCGTCGTTCGACCACACCTGCTCTCGGGATGCTATACCGGCGGGTGATCCCATTGACGTAAGCACTGGAGACTCCAATGGAGGGGCTGGATCCCCAGACGTTGCGCCTTGGGTTGTGGATGTCGCCGACTCTGCCATCTTGGTGCCCACCCCAGTCGTGCTGGACGAGAGCTCTTTGTTCACATTAAAGTTGACGTACCGACCAAGCCTAGTTAAACAGGAGCGTAAGCATCATAGGGCTCTAAAAGATAAAGCCTCCAATAGTAACTTACACCTCTCTCTCTTGCAACAACGTCAAGTATCGGAACTCCTCCCTTCGATCCGGGACGTTGGTCTTGACCATTGTATTCCCTTCTTTACCGGGCTTGTCACAGCCAGGGCCGAGCCACTGCTCCTTGATAGACAGCTCATACCCGCTCTGCTTGACCGAGTTCTTTGCCAATTCACACATGTCAACAGGGCTTAGTTTGTAGATCTGCGCGGCCACGGCATATTCCTCAATGAGAGGCTCCTTCGTAAATGCAAACTGCAATGGATCATCCGTCGACAATGACACATTCAAGCCGCGTCTGAAGTATTGGTGAAACGGATTGCGCTCGTAGGTCAGGAATAGGGCATTGTTGCTAAGGGGGGACATGGCAATTCCGATTTGATCAAGGTAGAAGACATACTGGAGAAGCGGTACCTTGCGAAGCAATAGCCCGTGGCTGATGCTGTGACAGCACAGGGCTGCCACTGCGAGATGCTCGCTGTCTCCAGCTTCTCCGCAGTGCGGTCGTAGAACAAAAGTGTTGAACCCACGCTTTCTGCGCCAATAGTTCAACGACACCATGTTCGCGAACAAGTAGTAGATCCAATAGCTGTACGGCGGGTTCTGTTTTGTATCCCACGCTTTTGGAACCGGAAACTTCTTGAACAGGCGACGCTCGATCTTGCTTTCATCGTCAACGCTGTCGAATCCTATCACCCGCTGGAGGAAGACGTGCAGCTTCGGGTGGCTTGATGGATCCTTGGTTACTTCAAACAGGGGCTGGAACAGATTCCTTACCACCTGCTCGAAAGTCTCCATTAGTCCAGTAGCCTTGTACACGTCATACAACCTTGGGATCTGGATGAGCCAGCGAACGTTGTGTGAGAACAATTTGTTATCCACAACCCATGCGGCGAGTTTGTCCCACTCATCTATGGTCTTGCCATAAACGGAAATGCGCCATTCTACCATCTGATATTTGCTTGACTCCAGATCTGAAATGACTTCTTTAGTAATTTCGGCCAGGTATCGGCCATGTATGAAGTTGTCGGTTTTGAGGAAAATGGTTCGAAGTCGTGACTCGCCAACAGGGTTGTACTTGAGATTGAACTTGTCAAATCGATGGAACGAATCCGTGTGGGCCTATGGCAGTCAGCACCACACCCCCTTGTACCCGATTGTCTTGGGAAGCACCGCTGCAACTTACATGCATATCAAGTGTATCGATGCTAAGGTCATATGCAGTCAAGTTGATACTAGCGAACACTTCGGCCAAAGTCAGATGCCTGCCATCTCGGTAGAGCACCACTTCATTTGGAAACTTCTTCATCTTGCTTTTAATGAAGCGCAGGAGATGTTTCTGGTTCATGCATGCTGAATGATGGACGTGGGTATCCACCTTACGCACATTGTAAAAGTCTCGATGGGGCACTTTTTTGCTGTCGGCTGTCTCCTGGTATTCATTTAGTAGCACGTAGAGGTTGAACTTGCCCTCCAAATACTGAAGTCGACGAAAAGCAAAGCTCTTGGTAGGCCCATCTGAAGAAACATTCAATATGTCGTCCAAGTCCATGTAAAACTCTCTGATAGTAGGAACTTGAATACCAGGTGTTTGAGAATCGTTATCGTCGAAAACCTGGTACACTCCACTGTCATCAAGCTTGAAGCTCATGCCGTCAGGTTTTGGCAATGGAAGCAGATCGCTCATGTCGAAGTCCTCTCCAATGTCCTGACCTGGTTTCCGCCTCCTAACCGGTCTCTTCCCCTCTTGAGGGCCAGCCTGTGGTTGCGCTGGGGATGATCCTATATCGTCTTTGGCGCCATGCCAGTGAGCGTTATCCCGGCCAGGAACATGATCGGAGGCCCCAGTTTGACGGTCGGAAGCCTGCCTCCAGGCCGGCTCAGGTGGAGGAGGATAAACATCCCATCCTGAGTCATCCCTAGGATTGTCGTCGGGGCCTTGCAGTGACAAAGCAACATACTTTCGTCTAAGATCCAAAATCCGTTGGATGTCCTGAGAAATAGCACTGAGTTCGGTTGTGATATGAGGCTCAGTGTCGAAAAGACCACCACCTGAGAATCCAGCGTTGGCGTTATCGGGAATGTCAGCATTGGTGCCATGGAATACTTGGCCATCGCGGGCAGGAGGCTGGAAGGGGTAGCTCTGTGCGTGGGAGGCATTCTGAGCATGCATTTTTGCCGCTGACTCAGAGTTTGAGCCGGCGTCAAAGCCCGAGCCTGATGTCTCTGGTACTGGCCCATTCGCATCTGACCGGCGGGTATCCAGATCGAGTATCAAAGAATCAGCGCCATATTCGGTCGCTGAATGGGAGCCTGAAGTGACCAATGGACTACCATGAGGAGTTGATTGGGATCCAGCATGGGCTCCATTTCGTAGGTCGACTTTACTCCGGTGATAGAAGAATTTCGCATCTGTCTGGCTCATCTGGCGCTCGGCAACAGGGTCGTAGAATGTCGTTCGTCTAGGGAGGTCCCGCGGCAGCATCCCATCTTCAAGATCGTCTTCGTCGCTATCGTTCTGCGGCTCGGCTTGATGGTTTGTTTGGTCATGGGAAGTTGTTGCACCAGAATCTCGTAGTTCATCGCCCTCCTCGTCCGACTCTCTCGCTCGCACGGCGAGTAACGACTCGTCGCCCTCATCAAAGACAGCGTGGCCTAATAATTATGTAGGTTAGCATCGAGGACGCAACTCTTTGTCCCATTGACCCACCACCCGCCGTTGGCTGGTCATTTGGGTAAGGGAGCCAGCCGAGGTATGAAGCAAAGGTACATACCTGCCATGACGATCCCTCGAGGTAGTGAGCTCAAGCTCGAGGCCCAGGTCGAATTGAGGGCAGGATACAGTCCGGGTTGACTGTTGAGTGCAGAATTGTTGAAAGGTCTAGGGTTGGATTGTCAGATGGGGTAGACAGAAAGAGTGGGTAGGTAGGTGCGGCGTCGGTGAGCAATAGATAGCTCGGATACACAGTATTTGGGTAGGAAAGGTAGGCAACCGAGACCCAGGAAGGGCTCTCGGGCGCAAAGGGTGCTTTCTTACCAGGAAGTTGCCGTCATCAGTTTTCTCTCCGACTTTTCCTCTGCCGTGTTAGGATCAATAGCTCATCTGTTGCTGGCTTCCCACCTACCTAATGTGTAGATGCCCCGTACATGCAATCATGTAGCACGTTATGTGGAGGTTCTAGGTTTGGCCCCTGTGCGCGCTAAGTGGCAGCCCCTCTTTAGGTACGTAGGTACCTGAGAAACCAGGTCCTCCGGTAGTTGCAGCGCCGACCCCGCCAGCTCTTGAACTAGCAGATTACGGCACGAGGGATCGACACGATACAGAACGGCAAGAATGGGCATCGAATAGATAAAGAATGAGTTGCGGATTAACCTCACCTAGGCTTTCTTCATCTAATACTAGCAGTAGAAGCGACAGAACCTGGATTCTGTAGAAGTACGACCTCGTAGGTATGGACGTATTCGGGCCGTACTTGACGGAACTATCGCGTCTGGTGCCAAAAGACGGTCCGCCCATGCCCCTAAGGTACGATAGCGGGTTAACTTAAACCGAGCGAAGCAGGTAATTAGTCTGTGAACCCCATTTATCTTCCATTGTAACGAATAAATGGCTAGTCCTGATATCCGATGTGCTCACTACCTACTTGGTCAATATCAGCACCATTACATTCATCATCAGCGTCAATCCCGTCTCCATGAAGACAAGCTTGGCACCTCTTTGAGAGAGCTGCGCGAGGGCCCAGTCTCACTCCTGAGTAGGGCCTTCACATGGCTCTATACCTGAAATGGCCCTCTCCAGGGCCCTCAGAATGGCTACATGATCTCGAGTACGGCCCCACGCCAAGGACACAGCCCCGAGAATCTTTCTCCCTTCCCTCAAAATCCGAGCAGGGCCTTTAGCTACACAGATATCGCCGACCCCAGTAATGTAGGCTCTCATGTTTGATGGCCGGCCACATCGAACAAAATGCTGTACCATCTCATCGTCATTAGGCCGGTCCAGTCGGATAAACGTGGGATCGGAGCCGGGGAAATGTGGCGATCCCCCCGAATCTAGGCCTGGGTGTTCAGCAGCACCTGCATCTGGCCCAGATGTTGATGCAGTTGTCTGAGGAACATTGCCAAGAGGAGACGATTGTCGTGACGGACTGCCACTCCGATCATATTCATCACCAGACCGGTCTGGTTGTATCATTGGAGCCACTCGTGACGCATAGTAACTGTAAGCCCATAGGGTCAAGGTGGCGAGAAAGACAGAGCTCGGTTCGTAAAATGCCATGGTCGAGTATCTCCGAATGTGCCAGTACAAGCAACCGCAATGTACAGCAGCGAGGCGAGCTTTCGACTACATATTTTGTTAGTGCCAGCCTATGATGCGTGGATGAAAGCCTACCTCATCACGTTGTGCCCACCGGAGAATCTCTTGCTCAGCAGCTCCCGCCTCTTCTCTGGTTGGAATCTTTGAAATGTCGGCCGCTGAGCCAACAATAAATAAGACGAGTGTGAGAATATCTCGATGTGGAACGAGAAGGATCACTCGAGAAAAGTGCAAATGGAAAACAGTTGGATGCTCGGCTCCAGAAAGAAGCGCGATTGTCCCATTGGCAGCCCAGTGTAAAACATCTACACAATCAAGTGCCGCATTTCGCCACGCCGCAAAAGTTGGTAATTCGTTCAGCCATTTCTCGCTGGATAATTCTGTTTCTCGCAAGTGTTCCCGCGAAGCTACGTCGGTACGTGGCACCTGTTGAGCAGATGGGATCCAGAAAGACAGTGGTCGTTGGAAATAAGACTTGATTTGATCGATCTCGCGATATACTCCATGTAGGAGAAGGATTCGACTCGACTCTCCTAGATCGGACTTTACTTTTCGTTCCAGAAATAGTTTGCGTACTGCCGATTGAAGTGACGGGTTTCCTGTACACATCAGAAAGTGTTTCAACTCAACAACCTATTCCGCGACTGTGATCTGGAGCAGAGTTGGAAGGAAATCACTCACGATCGGTCCGCTGAAATAATTCGGCCCACTCGTGCGCACTAGTTGTGTTCCAAAGACCTTCATGGGGCAGATCGCTTGTTGGTACGTCGAAAGAAAATAGAGACTGGAAATCGATATGTTGGTATTGACCCATAAAGTCAAGTAACTAATCAATTAGTGACATTCCCAAGACGATCACATATCACATACCCATGCCAAGTATCCAAGGCGACGTTTAGTCTCTAGTCGAACCCAGTTCTGCCATTGCTCATGCAGGACATTTAAAGATGCATTCCGGATTGTATCTTTGACACGAAGATCTGACTCTTCAGAAGAAAGCATTGATCCATGTAATTGAAATGACTCGGCGAGGCCAACAAGGCTCCCACAACGTGCCACGGCGTATGATCTCAGTCGAGTCGATCCATAGTAAAGCATGCCAATATGACTCAGGAGCAGAGACTGAAAGACGGCGGTCTGGTGATCTGAGCCGCAAGAACGTTCAGTCTCTATTCGAAGCGCCCTTCGTAGATATTCGTGTAAAGGTATCACCATCGCATCGAACTCCTGGGTCCGAGTGTACTGACTACCGACGGCTGCCATAGCCAGGGTCAATATCCAGAAATCGTTCACTGTTGTCAGAGTCTGATGTATTATGGGTATGATTGGGTTGAAGCTAGCGAGAAAGAGACGGATGAAAAGGTCGAAATGTAGCATAGAGGGAAAGTTATGACTGGTATATGAAGGATAAAATCCATCACAGTCCAGGCAAAGTCGACGGAAATTATAAAAGATTTCGTCGTAGGTGGATTTCCATATCAAAATGTCAGGTTGATCCGCCGTTAAAGCGTGGTCTGTTGCCAAATGGTCGAGATTTGGAAATCCAATAGGAGTAGAAGGAATCTGTTCGGGGCGAGGGTCGTGAGACATTGCGAATTGGTGATGTGTGCCAGGAATCAAAACCTGTGGCACTTTGGAGCGAACTGTACAAGGAATGCGAGCTCCATTCTTACTAGTTGCATACAGTTCGCCCTCCACAACATTGCCAACTCGACTGTCAGTACTGGTCCAAGAGATGCTTGACGGTGTCCCAGATGGTGAGGTTGCTGGCCGGGCCTGAGTCATGAAGTGACCCTCCCCTGGAGCAGATGATAGGTCGTGGATGGTCGTTGAGCCGGAAAAGGTCTGAACATCCATGGGAACAACAGGTAGTGCTCCTTCTGGTTCGAGCCCATTCCCACTCATTGTCAAGTCTAGAATCGATCGATAGTCAAAATCGATGGTATCGTTGGTTGGAATCCAGTTAATATGGAGGTCCAGGTCCGGTTCATAGGCTGTGTTTTGATACCCGAAGCTAGGTACGTCGAGACCAAGGAAGCCGGGAGTTAGGGCATGAGCCGTCTGAACGCTAGGCCCGGGATTGAATATCTGAGGAGTCTGGCGTATCAATTGGGGTTGCTGAAATTCACTGATTCCCATGGAGCTGTAGGAGACGTGGAGAGGTTGATGGAGGGAAACCGCATGGTTGCCCTCCAGTATCGCGTTCTGGTGATTTTGGCTTTGTTGGAGACTCTCATGGGATGCCATGAGCTGCTGGCCTGTTGCCCCATGCGATACCTGCTCTGAAGAGAGGCGCGGGCTGAAGATAATGTTTTCAGTAATTGAGGCCCTCGGGATGACAGAATTACCGGGGCCTAACGCCGGCTGTCGTTCTGGGGACGTGCTCTTTGTCGAGTCCGGAGAAAGGCCCGACCGATCGGAGGGTCCCTCATCATAATCTGCTTGATTACTTCTGATAGATTGAATCCTCGATGCAGGATATACACATGGAATCAATCTCGCATGGCACCGACTGCAAGGGTTGCCTTTGTTACACTTCTCTCGGGCCTTGGAGCACGGTGTGCATGCTCTTCGCTGCGTCGTTGCTATTCCCGCGTTGGGAGAGATGGCTACCTCCCGGGATGGGTTGTGTATGAGCATGTGACGCGTCAAGACATCGCTTTTTATAACGTTAGGCTGGTAGAATCGAAATGCACGAGGGTTTAGAGCTTCGGATGGTGGCATGGAAGGAGAAGACTCCAGATACACAACATACCTTCTAGCAAAGCGCTTTCCACAGGTTGGGCAAGTGAATCTTCTTGTACTTTCATGGCCTCTTTCATGTCGTTTCAAGTGCTCAACGCGCTTGAAATTCCTAGAGCACTGGGAGCATTGGAAGCTGGAGCTTGGCGCGGCGTCCTGGGACTGGCGACGATCACTCGGGGGCCACCCGGGCTGGTGCGGCGAAGACGCCATTGAATAAGCAGAGAAAAATAGACCATTTCAGATGATAAGGTGTTCGAAACAGGACCTATTATAGGCTTAATAAAGCCAATGTCTCTGCCAGAATCCCGCCTGTATTAGGATCAGGAGACGAAGGAGGGGCTCGGCGGCATCCCCGGTTAGATGCTAGAAGTGGAAAGGGTGGTTCGCCACAAACGAAAAGATTATCCGTGCGCCGAGAAGTAGCATTCCTCACCCACGCCGTCTCCAACAGGACTGGAGACACAGGGTAGCCGACTCAGCGAACGGGCACCAGACGCCTGTACCTGTACCGTGACCTGAGGTCTTAGCAGTGAGGACTCTGACGAGCGCGCTGCGGCGGCGTGCGGCGACGTGGAGATGAGGTGCGTGCATTACGAGGTCTGTCTGTGTACTCTGAGTGGCTGTCGCGTGCGCTTCCAAGCTTACTTGGACAAAGACTTGACGGAAAATTAATTCTAAAAACCTTAGTGTACAATTTCATGCGACAAATACCTAAATATTGTACATCAAATATTCTTACAATATTCTTGACATAGCCTTTAATCCCCATGGTCACCGGTGTCTTCCCCCCCTAACCCATCATATGGAACAAGGTTATTACCAACTCGAGCGCAAGTGACCGTCCGGATATGTGAGGGTGAGAAGAAATCTCCGCTTGGGCATTCAGGACTTCTAGAACACCGTTATTTTGAAACACAGTTATTTTGACTGGTCCTATCCAGAAGAGATAGCGTCCGTTTTAGCTCGAGTAATGCTCTTCCAGCGTTTATTAAGCTGAGCGGGAATAAATCCTAAAACAGATGCCGTCCTTCGCGACTTTGCCTGTCTCTGGCTAGCTAAGGTTACACAACCAAGATCACACAGCGAATTATCCAGAGAGACGAGGGCAGGGTATGTTCGAGGCAGTAGCATGACTTGCATGTCCTTTGGAGGCAGTGACTTGATATCAACCGGTTTTGCCTAGTTGCATTTTTTGCGCCTCACCCCTACATGCTACCCACCTTCGGCACTTGAAAAGGTAACGTTTGGGCTGCGTCTGGAGGAAATTTTCCTTATTCACTTATAGAATACGTGCTACCGTTATGTTAGGACACAGCTTGGATGTCATCAGCACACACCCTGTGTGGCCTATCTTTCGACACGACCGCTCGATATCCTTGTTCACATTGTATGCTTCGTAGCCGCTTTGAGCTCATAAATTACCATTCATGATGAGATAGTCACCAGAAACTGTTTGAAGAACAGACTTCCGAAGCGCCTGGCCGACCACCTGGCCAGCCAGTCCAGCGCCCTCCTTGACCCTAAAAAACTCCGGACTTCTTCATTTTAAGCTGGCAGTTTGGCCGCCTCGGACGACTCCGAAGCACCTCGGTTCCCGTGATGAATACTAATCTCAACTGTCTTCTTAATACCAGTGCTTTCTGTTGTTGGTTCCATACACTGGACCTGTCTCTCGAGTATTTCCTGTTTTGATGATGACGACGAATTGACACTGTCTACCTCTGGGTGACACCCATCATCTTGAACTCCGTCCCAGACCGAGAATGGCGGTGGATCATTTCCACCCGACGAATATAGTCTTTCGTGTCGAGACGGTCGCCGGTTCGCCAGTCGAAACGATGAACTATCAGGGTTGTTGTGATTGTTATTAGCGTGGTTGCTGTTATTGCTAGAGAGTGCCAACTTGGAGGCGAGGATATCGATACTGAGAATCTCAGTTAGAATTTTACAAGGAGATGGTTGGATGGCAGGGCGACGAAGGAACTGACAAGATCATAACAGGGAAGAGGCACTCCAATGTATAGAAGAAGTGATCAATCTGGCTTGTGAGGGTTGTGGCCTTTTGCACAGATGGCTGGAAAAAGTAAGTGACGGCTCTTGTTATGCCGATGATGGCCAGGGTGGCCAGTCGGATCTCAGTGCTTCGCATGAGATGCTGGAAGAGGGTAGACCTCAAGGAAACCTCCTGGGAGATCTTCTTGGCCGTCGTAAACTTCTTCAACAGGAAGTAGGCGCTGAGGCATTCTACTAGGGCAATGGAGACGAAGTAGCCGATGTGGAGCCCGTTTATGGTGGTCCTTAAGATTGCTCGACCAGCGAGAATGACCCTGACCCGAGAAATGAGGATGAAGATTCTGAGGACAAAAATGACAATGATGAGGAACCAGAATATGGCAATGAAGACCAAGCGGTCGCGGTTGCGCAGTATGCGCACCAAGATGGCGTAACTGTAGAAAGAAATGCCCGCCTCTTGAACCTAGACAACTCGAGACTTAGCAAAGTGAAAGAGGAAGCGGCGCCGAGGTCGACGCTCAAGCATACCATCCACATGATGTCTGCAACCGCCGAAGCGGCGGCCGAGTTGACGACAGGATAGTCACCAAAATTGTAATAGTAACACAGCCCATTTGCAATGGCTCCCGCGGCGGACACGACGATGGGGATGAGGGAGACGGCCGAGAGGCTGGTGATGCCAATAACTGTTAGGCCGAAGAGAACATTTCCTATTCCAATGGTACTGAGAATAGCCCAGCTGGACTGGAAATAGACGGTCAAGTCGACGTCGGACATGATGGAGTCGGACTCTCGAACTGTTGGACTGTCGGACGAGCAAGCAGATTTACGAAAACCGGTATACAGAGGCCAAACTTGGCCTACTCGGACCCGGGTAAGGTATATATGGGAGGACGATCAATGAGCCCCCCCCCCCCCATGGTGACAGCTGCGGGATGTGAAACTCAATTTTGCCTGATTTGCAACAGGATGCATCCCAAAGCAACCCCAAGCGCACCATAAGAGGCACGTCAAAACCACCCTACACGGCGTTGCTGGTCGCTCGCACAGGCTGAATGGTCGGAGAAGCCACTCCCGTGCAGCCCTCCGCAGCCACGCCACGCGGGACGCTCGATGCGCACCAACGAGATGAGTGGGTCGAAATGAATCAACGGATCTGCGGGGTTCTCCGGGGAAGGATCATACATATCATGGGGCAGGATTCCGGGGGCGGGGGCCAACGACGGCGACGTCTGCAGCCCTGTCCAACGACTCCAGCGAGTCTCGAGTCGCTTCTGTCAAGACCCCTGATGCTTCGCCATCCCGACTGGGGGATCGGGCGAGCGTGTGGAGAGCTTGCTGTCAAGATCCTGGTTCGTGTTACATCCATGTGGGCTTACTTCTCAGCCCAACATCGTCTCACTGGATTCCCAAGACGCTCTCAGCGGGCGTTGGTCAAATACCCAGACACACACCACAGCCCAGATCCCTGACCGCTGGGTTGGATTCTGACACTGGCACACGTTGCTTCCAGGGAGCTGGGTAAAAGGAGGCAAGGAATAGGGGAAAAGAAATACCCCCCTCCTCACTGCGGCTCCCTTCAAGGGCATTCGGCCGAACGATGGAAGACTGCGACTAATTACGGAGCTGTTTGCAGAGTATCTCCCTGGGACAGGCACAGATAGTCAGCCCTGTCATCTACAACTGATCCCAGCAAAAACCGAGATTTGTTACATTACGAAAACGCTTCCGGCCATGTTCTCGCAAATAACACCAGTTTTCGGGAATGCGTTTCCTGACTGGTATGAACCCCAAGTTAGGTTAACCCTTAGTGATCTGTCAATATCAACGGTTTCCATCGCCAGAGAAACTTGTCATGAGGCTTTAGTACGGTTGAAATGTCTCTGTTAAGTCCGTCTTTATCTCTGCCTTCCCTTAGAACTTGCTCTCTACACTTTCGTCCGCCCTGTCTAAAGCGATTCTCCTGGATGGGCTGCGGCCCGAGTGGGCTCAGGAATCCACTCCTCGCTCTGGGAACACGATGCCAGATGCGTCGCCCCCGTTCAACAGACCAACCCTCATTTGCCCCCCTCCTCCTCTGTTGGCTCTAAAGTAGTAAGGTATAAAAACCAACTCTCTCGCTTCACCGGCTGTCTCCCCGGCCGCCGAAGAGGCTCCGCTCGTCTCTGGGCGGTTCCAACCAACGCTTTGCAGGGCTACGTATTCCTCGCCGGTCTGCTCATCCGTGCACTTTTGCTCGGAAACATGCGAGTCTGCCTTCAAGTACGTATCCTTAAAGTGGTTATTCTCGCCTGAGTTGTCGACGTCCTCAACGCAGTACACGATTGGGCCACGGGCCAGCGTCAATGTTCGCTGGTTCGCGTATCGGTGCGGCGTTAAGTATCGTGGCTCAAACCCTCCGACTTGCAAGGAGAAGGATGGGTTTTCCGTGGTATACGTGGGGTCGAGGTAGACGTAGCCCTTCTTCACTTCCACGGTGCCCGATTGGGGAGAAGGTGTCAGGATAAATGACCCATTCGACCAGGCCGGCAGCCTTAGACGAATCGCCACTGGCAAGGGGGCGGCAAGTTTGAACAAGATGTTGCCCTCCCACGGCCAGTTCGACTTCTGCTCCAAGATGACAGACCCTCCGTTGACATCGAATGTAACCTTGGCACCAGTGTACAAGTGCACGTTGACGAATGCACCCTCTCCTTCGGCGCCATAGTCCCAGATATATCCGCCCAGGCTACCGAACAGTCGGGATACGTTCGGTGGGCAGCACGCGCACCAGAACCACTCATGGCGTTCGCTCTTGTCAGCCTCGGAGCTCGCTAACTGGTTCGCATACGTAAAGGTCTTGCCGTCAAGGCTCATGGATGTCATGATGTTGTTGTACAGGCACAACTCCATGATGTCGGCGTAGTGGCCATCCAAGTCAAGGTGCAAGAGGCGTTCGGCGAGCATCATTACAGCGATGGAGGCGCACGTTTCCGCGTAGCAACCTCCCTCATCGGTGCCCTGGGGGAGAAAGTAATCGATCCCAAAACCCTCCCATTGCTTGATGGCCCCGATACCTCCAGTTAGGTACATCTTCTTTTCGACCATGTTGTCCCAGAGTCTATGGAGTGACTGGGACCAGGCCTTGGAGTCAGGCAACAGTCGATCGTCAGCCGTAGAGAGGTATATCATGTCGGCAACGGCAGTAAGGAGGTACACAGCTCGAACTGAATGACCCTCGATGGTAGGCTGCTCGATGATGGGCGCATGGGCCTGGCAGTACCAATAGGTGCGGTTCTCGGGATATGCGTCAGGCCGCAGCCAGGGTCCGTCACCTCTCTTCTCCATCTCCCAATCATAGTAATGCTTCCCATCTTGCCCTTTGGGGTTCCCGCGTTCGGTCAAGAAGTACTGGGCAAGCTCAAAGGCTTCAACGCTTCCAGTAGCCGAGTAGAGGCGGAAAAGGGCGAGTTCGATCTCCGGGTGGCCTGGGTAGCCATGGATCTGATCTGGCCGGGGGCCAAACTGCTTCCCGATAAGACTGACATACTTTTGGATGGGCGCTATCAACAGGTCGTTGCGATAATAATCCCTGTGAGCAATCGCAGCCTCGATCAGATGGCCAGCGTTGTAACTGTCGCAATCCCAGTCAGTAACAATGTCCCACACAAGACTGCTCGCCGCTTACAGTTCATGCATATCCCGGAGGTTCGACCAGCACTTCCCGGGTTCAATGACAGTGTAGTGCACGTTCAAGTAACCATCTTCTTGCTGCGCTCCTCTGATCATATCGACGAATTCGCGAATTGTGCTGTCGATCTCGGCGTCGTACTCGTCGGCCAAGAAGTAGCACGCGCCTTCGATCCATTTCGCAATGTCACTGTCCCAGAAAAGATGGAAGGGCACAGGCCACATGGACTTGTCTTCGTAGATGGAATGCCATTTGAGTGTGAAGCATTCATACCGACCTGTAGATCGAATTTGTTCGAGCTGAGCGCGAACGGTGGAGCGTGAGACGGTTGCTCGCCGGGTCGAAAGTAGCGATTTGCCTGTAAAGGTCGTCTCACGGAAGGCAACTTGCGGATGCGCCATGGCTAGGAGATACGTTGCAGAGTGTTTTGAGGCCTCGTGAATGAGTTGAGATGGACTGAGCCATTCCCGTGCTTCAAATGGTCTCCGGTGAGCATTCTGGGCGTTTGGGGGCTTCAACAAATACCTTCATATGGCCCGTCAGATGCATCACACGCCCGGTGGGAGACGGCCCACTCGTACCAAACACATCTATCAAGCATCAAACCTCAGTCCCGGTGGGAATCATGTCCTGATCCGAACCACTGACAGATGATGTATGGTGGGATGCTCCCACCGGAGACTCTCGCAAAGTGATGGGGTTCCATCCCGGTGGGCGCTGGCTCTACGTGGCTGCCCAAGACTGACGCCTCTGAACTTCTAAAGAGACGACGATCTGCACCCCGCTGCGCAGCGAAGCTTGGAGACTTGGGGGAGAGTCAGGACTCTGAGGTGGTAACAGCTGGGCGGGGAGAGCTGATCAGCCCACCGCGATTCTACTGTCGGGCGCACTCCCACCGGAGAGTCGTCCACAACACTGCCTTCAGTCTTCATTTTTAGCTGGGCGACGGGAATCATGGCAGCGGGGAAGTAGTTATCGCTGTTCATGTGCGCATCCTCAATTAGTTTTCGTTGCACAGCAATCGTCCGCCATGGATCTCCTCCAGGTTAGTTCAGCTTAGACGACCATGCTCCGCGCCCAAGGCTGATTCATTATACCAGAAATTCTATGATTGCTATGGAGAATTCTTGCGTATGGTATGGCTTTGTGAGCCTATGACGCCTCGGCTGCTCAACTTCTTTTTCTTTTTTGAGAAGTCGACTAAATAGCTTCTGCGCTTCAATGTTTACGATGCGGGAATCATGATTGTCATCATAGCCGATGACCAGTTCAACGATACTACAATGTGGGATGCCGACAGGAAGGGCATCATCGCCACTGCACCCTGAACGACAACTGGTAAGATAGCTTGAAAATTTGGGTTTTGCTCAGCTCTGTGTTGGCGGCACGCGGGCCAAAATGGTGAACACATTATGAGCTCTTAGAGTTTCCATTATCGCCATGATCATTGGCGCCATAGTACGACCTATTTCCAATACTTCGGAGCTCTTATATTCGGACGTCCGTTGACGTGAGTCATCTCGGCTGTTGTTTTGGGTGTGTCGGTTCGTAGCTAATCAAGTCTAGAGGCCTCTGCTTTGGTTGCGTTTACATTGCGACAAGTCTATACTGTTAGTCAAAGCTCTGCCCTGTCCATGAGGCATTCGTGTGCCGCTTATTTCGGTGACTCAATGCTCTCCGTGAACCATCCGCAGGGGTTTTGTTGGCATAGTCACTTAATTGGGCTAATAACTTGAACTCTCATCGCGTTCTGGGCTGCTTATAAGTTATGGGATGTCCTTCAACAAATCGCCGTTTAACATTGCCTGGCGGGTTTCTAACGTGATACAGATCCAATTGGCGTTTCTTTCATCAGAATCTCTTTCTGGTATTCACAGTCGCCGCGCCGGCTGTATGAGAAACGCCCAGACCTGCCAGAGCCAGCACTCAACGTTCTCTGTCAGCTCCAAAGTGGTATACCAGGATCCGAGCACGTCGACCAAGAGTTTCACGAGCTAGGTGACCGGAAAGGTTGAGGCTATGACATTCTCACACCGGGAGATGGAGGAGGATGGGTCTAATCACGGCGGGTCTGAAACAGGTGTCGGCTTGGATGGTAAGGTGTAGAAGTGGCTCAGCTGTTCAACCACTAGTGTTATGTGGTGATGCGAGGCAACGAGGTGGACGGCAATGCGTCTCATGTAGCCCACTAACATCCGTAACGGGAGTGAAGGTGGCATAGACACAGATTTTGGTAGGGGAATATATGCTTAATAGATTGGATTGGATTGGAGTTTGTTCAGCTTTCATAATTCCCCACTGATGCGAATAGGCAATGGCTGGAGCCAATTTGCTGAGTTGTCATTATCTTCAACCCAATGCCGAGAGTTCTCGATTCAAGGCACGGCTAGAACGCAATGCGATATATCGTGACGAATATCACTCACTCATCCGTTCATCGTACATTCCAGTGGATATCCTTCTATAAGTCTATTATTTCGTACATTCATTCACTCATTGATTAGAGTGCATGGAACAGCTCGAGAATGTATACCGCTACACAAGCAATGCTGTTCTATATGTGTCAAATATAAGCCTGAATGAGCACCCGTATAATCGTCTATCAGCTGGCTTTTCCCTCTCGTACATTGGCCACAGTCGGTTCCTCCACCTTGCGTTTCGTACCCATTGTGTATAACCCTCCGGCACTAAACACAATGATAGCACCGAGCATAGTACCAGGTGCGAGACGATTGCCGAATAACCAGATGCTCAGAAGAAGGCTTACAAGTTTCCGAATGTTGAGGACAATGGTTACAGTCAGAGCTGTGGAGACTGCGGCCAGGAGGTTGACGCCACGAATGCAGGCGTACTGGGTCAAGACGTTGATGGCCAGGTAGACGAGTTGGCTCGGGACCGGGATGGAGTCAGAGGCTATGCTCAAAAGGCCAGGCATTTGAATGAGCGGGCTCTGTAGCAAATGACCTAGAGTACGTGCCATTGACGGGAAAAAAGGTAAGAAAAGCGGCAGGGAAAGCGCGTGGGAGTAGAACAAGTTCTCCCGCCACTGTGGACCGTAAATAACGTACGTAGCCTCCGTGTAGAGACCCATGATGGCCGAGAGCACTTGAGCAACGAAAAGGATTACTAGGCCAGTGCCGAAAGCCGGCCGGCCACTGCTCTCCTTCGCTTCCTATACAAGGGCCACCGTGTTAGCGTGAGGGCCATAGATGAAACTCGGGAACACGGGATAGATAGTGACTTGCCTTAGCCTGAGAATCCGACCACGCGGCCATGATGACACCAAGTGTCAGCAGAACAACGGCTACGACCTGCATGCGGGTGTATCTCTTGCCATAGAGATACCCAGCGGCCATGGTGGTGATACTGCCTCCGGAGCGGAGGATGATGTGAACCGGCACAGAGATATCGTAGCTGAAGGCATGGTTGTTGAGGACATTGATGGTAAAGAAGAGAACAATGTTGACAAGCCAGCGACGTATTGGAACCTTGTTGGGGGCAATAAAGTAGGGGTTTTGCTTGTCAAACTGGGCGATGAAGCCTGTAACGGCTACAAAGAGGAATTGCACGAAGGTCAGGAGAGTGCCTGCGATTATGGTCAGCTGAGCTCTTTCCGAGCGGGTCATTCTGAAGGGATGACATGCCACTTGAGGGCTCAAAACTGTGACAGATTAGCACTGAATACCGGATATCCCGGGGTTCCCGGGGCGGGGTGGTTTCATCTCACTTCACAATAGCTTCGAGGGCGTAGACCTGAGCGAGTAAGAAGTCAGCCTGTGTCGCAGCCAAGGCAGAAACTCATGACCACCTGGGAACCGTACGTTGGAGCAGCATCCACCAAATATCAGGCCGAGCATGGTCGCCGCGGAAAGCAGAGAAGGGCCCATCTCACGGGCGAAGCGCTGCGCCAACGAGGACGGCCCAGACTCCAGCTCCAGCTCAATTGCGTTCTGATGGGCATCATCGCGGCGGGTCATGTCTGGAGCCTTGGTCGCCTTTCTCTCCCGGAGAGCAGTTGTCGACATGGGGGACGCTCCCGTAGGGACGGGGCCAGCGGCGGAGAGGTTAGGTGAGGCCGGGTGAGGTGGCCCTTTGAACGGTGATACAACAGGTCGAAGTTGTCTGGGTTTCAAGTCAGCCGAGGACGGCATGAGTTTGAGGAGCGGATGAAGCGAGACGAGGTACAAGGTACAAGGGCGCCAGCGAAGGGTGATGCAACCAGGTAAATAGGGTAGGAAGGTAGGTAGGGAAGCAGGTACGTAGGGCGGCTGTGCTCTAAAAAGGACACGCTAATTAGCGCGCCCACTCTCACCAAGCTTACAAAAGCGGCTGTGGTGGCACCCTGGGCGTAAGGCATGGTAGCGCCAGCGTGCCGCCACTGACTGGCCCTGACTACATTCGAACAGCTGCTGCACAGCTTCGTGCACGTACTCGTCAGTGTGAGAAGGTGCATAGGTGTCAACTCGTGTGGCAGAGCTGGGTACGGAGAAGTCCCCCTCGGACTTTGTAGTTGAGCGGGGCCATTGAAACAAAGGGGGAAAGGTGGCTTCAGACTGTTATATTGACTCGAGACTCACTATGTAGGTTCAGAAGGGTACGTCAAAGGCAACCTGGGCTCATGCCTCGAGTATCAGGAACGAATTGGCCGAGGGCTGCTATGGGTATTTGTCGGTCGATACGCAATCCAACAAGACCGAATAAGAAAAGATGGAATTATCGGCACAACATTGGTAGAATACATAGCGTGACGCCAAGAACCTTCTGCTGACGACGAACAAGAGAAATAATATTGCTACTTCGCGGCCTTCCTCGCACCAGCTCGGTGTCACGCCGCCACTTAGATTGGCCAAGGATCTTGCTCCTTGATAGCGACATTTCACTGGCTGTCGAGCATCCCAAGTGCCCCCACCTCCCTAAGAATGCACCAAAATAGGAGCTGTCGGAACAGGGATCGGTACTCGGCCCAGGCCTAGACCGTGCCAAGAAGGGAGTGCACTTGCCACACCAGGTACGTACCAACACAGAAGCCGGTGACAATGGAGTCGAGCTGGATCCCGTCTGGATCTGGTGTCTCTTTCATCATATGAGTGGCATTTGTCTTTGATTCTCAAATAGTCTCTTCTCTTTGTGTGGTTTCAGCTACACGTGGCGACCAAACGCCGTCCCATGCACTCGCCTCCGCTACTCCCGCGTCCATCCGCCCGTGTAGGCTGACTGGCACGACGCCATCCTCTCTCCGACCTGGTCAGGGCCCTTCCCTTGCCGTCGTCTCCACGATGCACCTGTCGACACGGTGCCGCCGGTCTGGGTCTCTTCTAAGTATAGTAGGCTGCGCATGGTCCGTAACCCCTCGCTGTGCACCATGGTAATGCCTTAGTCTTGTCTCGAGTAGGGCGAGTCCAGCTTCCACCAAGCGTCACGGAGCCCGCCCTGGTCTTTCAAATTTGCATTCCATCCAGGCAAGTCACCTTTGAATCCCCACGCTCAGTCACCTGCAAGATGAACGCCGTTTGTCTTAATCTAGAGTGCTGAGAAGACGAAGAGCTGCAATCGACATGTTAGCTGCGGCAAACCTTCTAGGTACCGTACTTTTTCGCAACTCACATTGTTTGTCGCAGCAATTGCAATGCTATCCTCGAACGGATGCCAGCTCATGTGTAGGATCTTCTTGTTGAAGTCGATCTGATCGGCATCCGTCTCCTTCCGCATTCTCTGACCCTGCCCACCAGGGCTTCCTGCCCGTGAGCCACCCTTCTTGCTGCCATTGGTGGATGTCGGGCTCGTCGACGAGTTGATGGGGGTGGGTACTCCGACCTTCTTCGCCTTGAAAGCCGACTTATCGGCTTGGAGAACGACCTCGACCTCCTTGTCGGGGTCTGACGGGTAAATCATGAAATTGTTGTTGTAGCTGCCCGTCATGACGTTCTTGGCATCGCCCGAAAATACCACCTCAAACTTGTCAAATATGCTGTCGTTCTCGTACGTGTCGCACAATCGCGGGCGCAGATGCTCGTGGATCGGTATTGTCTTGACGGGCTGTCGCTCCATGTTGATATCCCAAATTTTGACTGTGAGGTAGTCGCGAGAAAGAATATATCGGCCATCGTACGAAAATCGAACATCGGAGATGGACGAAATAATTTCGGAAAAGAATGACCTTGAAGATGGGTCCTCCTCTTGCTCAAATACTGGGATGTGTCAGCGGGAGCCCTCCTAGCTCATCGTAGGCCTACGCGAGACTGGGGATACAAACATTTCGCGTGCTGGTCGCATAGGGCACTCTCTCGCATGTCGGCAAGCTTGATTGTACCCTTTGAACTAGCGTACATGAACCAGTTGCAGCTCATGGGGTGGAACTCGGCGGCTGTAATGACCTCGGTCAGCTCCTCCATATTAGCGGGCTTGATGTCGACGATGTTAAAGCTCTGGTCTTGGATGTTGAGGTTCCACAGGTTGATGCGCAAATCATCGCTGCTGATGAAGGTCTCTCCGTCACTGTTCACAGAAATGCTGTTGATGTGGTAGGCATGGGCGTTGGCGTAAGTTCGGCGCGGCACGGCGGCGACGACGGTATCGTGATGTGTGAGGCGAGGCAGCTTTAGATCGGCGGCATTCCGAAACTGGTGGGCTGGGAGGGGTCGAGCAGCACCACCACCGCCGGCCAGACTGCCAGGAGTGACATCGTGAGAGAGGTTGTTTTCGGCCACGACTTTGAGTGACTTCTCAAAGACTTTCCAAAGTTTGATGGTCTTGTCGTTGGTGGATAGTAGGTAGTGAGAGGAGTTTTGTCGACGGCACCACTTGATTTTGTTGATCTTTTCCTCAATCTCGAGGGACTTTAGGTAGTCAAACTCGGGCTCATGGGATTGGAACTCGGTGTGAAACTTGTACTCGCAAGTCTTTTTCTATCGGGATGTCAGAGACGACGATACATGGGGCAGGGCAGGGTTGGAAGGGACGGGAATGGTGACGGAATGGTGTCAGTGGCGGAAACTGGTTGTAGTCAGGTGGGCAGTTGGGAGGAAGAACATACCGTCTCGTTTCGCTCGAACAACACGACGCGCCCGCCTTTGTCTCCCGTGGCGAGATAGTTGCCAGTATGGTCGAACTCGACCGTTGAGATGATATCGGCTACAGCAGGAGAGGGGGAGCGGTCAGCACATCCAAGTAAAAAAAGAAACGGGAGAGGGGCAAAGAACATACCTTCAGTGATGTCCTCAACATCGCCCTTGTCACCAAAGCACCTGCGAGCATGAGCTTAGCAAGACGAAGACCAAGATACAATAGGTGGGGTGGTGGGAGCATACTGAGTGAACTTCCACGTGGGGGAGTTCGCTTCGCTATCGACCATTTTGGGGAGCAGCGATAGCGGGGGCTAGACAGGGTGCAGGAGGGTATCTAGAGAGATTGAAGAGGAGAGGTGAAAGAAAGTCTGGTGAGGGCGAGGGGCCAGGGAGGGGGATGGGCCAAAGCAGGTCGCTGGGGATGAGCGGCGGAGCTTGCGTGGGCAAGGTGGAAGGAGATGGTCGGGAGAAGAGCTACAGCAGGACACGCCTAGTTTTGCAAGAGGCGGGCGGTGTCGTCGTTGGCAGTCGTAGTCGTCGTCGATGTGGTTGTCGCCGGCCGGTATTTCAGCGGGAGCAGGCAACGGGCGGCGATCGGGGTGGAGGCGGAAGGGTGGTGTTGGAGGTGGTGGTGATGGATGATGTAGGTCGGCCGGCGTTCGAGGCGGTCGTTGGTGGGTTGAGAGTGGGCGGGCGGCGGGCGCGAGGGCAGCAGCAGCTAGCAGCAACGACACAGAGTGGCGGAGAGGCGGCAAGGCGGAGATGCGGAGAGGCGGTCGCTATGTCGGTCAGGACCGCGTGGAAGGGGAAGAGGCGAGCGAGGATGAAGGCCAAGGGATGCCGCGGCGAGCGAGAGATGGTCGAGAGGACGAGTTTGGGGCGAGGGATGTGACGCAGCAGGGCCCAAGGGTGAGGTGCAAGTTTGATTTGGGATCGGACGGGACAGGTGTGATGGGGTTGGTGCGTGTGCTCGATGAGGTGTGAGGTACGGGTGGGTGCTTTGTGGTTGGTTGGGTCCAGTACTTAAGGTACCCAACCGCACTGCTGAGAGCATGTCCATCCTTGGTTAACACCTGAGGTACCTCGAAGCTCTGCGCTCCGGTGCGGTGCCTTGGGTACTGCTACAATGCTTCCCACACGACTGACTGCTGGGTGCCCCGCCCTGGGTACTGGAGCTGCTGGAGCCACCTGGACGAGGCGCTGGAGGTACCTCCACTGCCGCTGTTCAGAGGGCGGTTCACCTCAACTTTTCCATCCATTCCATGCTGACTGAGGTGCTCCCGGGCTCCACTCCGTCTGGCCCAGCTGTCCCTTTGCTGAGGTGGGCTGCTGGCCAGAGGTAACGGCGGGGTGGAAAGCCCCCTCCACTCAAAACCTCGGAACCTAACCAACTCCAACTCACCCCTCGCCTCGCCCACCTCACCTCACCTCACCTCACCCACCGCAACCCGGCCTTGTCTAGCTGCCTGACGCATCGAATGTAATGGGCTTGCAGCCGAGTGGCTCGGGTGACCTTCAAGCCGAGCCTACGAGGATCGAGGGTGGCCAGGGAAGGTAGGTCGGCACGTGGGGGATGGTGTCCGTTTCCGGTTGCTGTAGATAGCTCCCTAACTGGGCAAGCGAGCATGTGCGAATTGCTACCATTCGTACGATTATCTCCCTCGACCTCGGCCTCACAAGCAGAACCCGGCCGGATCCGCACCCGCTCGTCCGCCATTGTCATGCATGCGCAGGAAGTTTCGCCGGCTTCTTCACCTCGGCGAGAAGCTAGTCGCATAATAAACTATATTTAAATCTAGCTTGACTACCGGAATACTGCCACTCTCCAAATCCGTGTTCATATAGTATCGTGCAAACTATCTGCGTTTCTCCTCGATCCAGCCACAACGAAACTCACCAGCCGTCTCCCCCACATCGTCGACCAGTAGAGACTTTCAGCATGGAAGAACATGATAAGACTGGGGGTAATGCGGGAGAGGGCGATGGCAGAATATCCAACAATACCAAGGGTAAGGAGAAACATGCATCTACCAGTGCCTCTAGATCCATCGCCAACCGCCTCCAAGCTTCCGGGAGGTTGGCGCTCAACGCAGTGACTGGTGGCCCTGACCTAGCCAGCCAGCAAGTTGGGGAAAAGGGTGCGGCGAGCTTCAGCAACCTTGACACGTCAAAGGCAGGGGAGGCATCGTCACACAGGCTGCACTGGACAGGAATGGGCGATTCCATGAGAATGCAAACATCATTGGACACCAGCACGGCATCTCGGGCGTTTAATGATTTTGTTGGGTCTGGGTCTTCTTTGGACTTTGAGCAACAGCATCACCATCAGCAGTCATATCAACGAGATTCATCATTCGTCAAGCAACAGAGGGTGGACGGCGCAGCAGTTGTCAATCTGCTCGATGGACCCGACGACGATGAGCTTGACTTGGGAGCTCATACTGATGCGGCCGATGACGATGGTCTATCTCCCGAGGCGGCGGCCAAGCTTCGAGAAGCCCTCTTTAATTCCACACATCTCGAGCCCCGTTGGGACGATATGCTCAACTTCACCCCGGACTTTCTCAGCGAGCCGGCTGCCTCGGCGGAGGATGCGCAGCTCCACCTAGGGACCAGGAACCTTGACGAGGCACGAAGCATCTGGCTCCATCAATGGAGCGACGTTCTCTCCTCATACACTGACCAGGTTTGGGGCGACCTGGAGCCGCTGGCGGCGGAGGCTCGGCGCGAGGTGGAAGAGCTGTCTTCCAGGGAAGCCGTCCCCAACCAAGCGCCAGAAACGAAGGCACTTGATCGGTTGAGACAGATCCTGGCCCACGTCCGGGGCCATTGATGATGATTAACTGCGGAACAGGGCCCCCTTGTATGCATATTATTCACTTTGTCTTCAAGCAGTCTACTACATAGTACACTTGTTAATGAACCACCTACGAACTAAGGGTTGACTAGGAGGCATTTGACGGCCAGGGAGCGGTTGCTTGGTGGGCTGTGGATGCGGGGTTGCTCGGTCAACTGGCCCAACCACCAATGACATCATTCCACGCCTTGTCACCTCCCGTATCCAGGTCGGGTCAGCCCCAGACTGAGCCGACCTAGGAGCCCAAGGCCTGCACAACCATGCATTGCTACAGGATGAGAGAGCGAGACAAGCATTCAATCACCACCCCACCGCCGGACATCGTCCCAGAACCCTGCCTGACCCGGAGTCCGCGCGACGGTAAAGAGGAAAAAGCCACCCCCGGCTGCCGCTCCGGCGCCTGATGGTCCCTGTTTCTTGCTTGGCCACTCACAAATATCCATCTCCCTCGCCTCATCCTAAGTGCATACCATACATACTCCGTTGGCATCTTCTGAACACACCGCTTCGACCTCTTGACCCCATCCTCCGACATCGTCATCATGATCCGCCAGGGCTGGCTGTCGCTGGCATTGCTTGCGGGCCAGCTGCCCCCAGCTATCGCAGTCTTTGCCGCTGCAACACTAACAGCCTCTGACGTACCCGCAGCGTCCTACGTGCCCGCAGCCTCGTTTCTCTTCAGGAGGGCTGATTCATGTCCCTCTAATACATTCCAGTGCTCGAAGGACCTCGGTGCTCAATTCAGCGACATTTGCTGCCAGGACGGACAGACATGCGCTCTCGATGCCGATAACAGCCCTGCTTGTTGCCCTTCCGGGTGAGTGTGGCTTCCCGAACTTGTGTTCGCTATACTAACCTCGTCGCAGCGCCGTCTGTACCGGAGCAGCACCGGCCTCAGCTACCGGTAACCCGACTGCGATCGCGTCCTACGTCTCCAACTCATACTTCTCGTTCCCGTACGCCCCGACCTCATACGCCGATAGCGACGCCTGCAACTCTGCCGTCGATGTGTGCTCAGAAAATTACGATGCCTGTGTGACGGTCCTCGGTAGCGGCGGCCAATATGGCGTGACCATTGCTGTGCCCGGCGGTGGAGGAACCACAGTTGAGGCTGACGGTTCTGCCCTGGGCACTTCAGCAACCTCAATATGTTCGAGTTTGAGCTCTAAGGCTTGCTCGGAAGCTACGAAGTGCTCTGAGTATGGATCAGTTGCTCCCTTCTCCACACGGGTTAATGTCTTGGTAGCTGGGTTTGGCATTGCTATCAGCCTGCTTAATGTTGTTATTTGATGTAGCCACCTCCTGCTTTTGCGACGGGCCAAAGCCACGGTTAGCCGCCGAGCTGACAGTGCTTGGTACTCGGCTGGAGAACAATGGCCTGTTCTGGGCACTCTATTGTCTCTCCTGGAGCAGTATTGTGCGGGAAATAGCGGGTCATTCGGCACACACGTCGTTCCCTGTTCACAAAAATGATGGCGAGGCCGTAAATGCCATGGTCCTGTTCATACGGCGGCATTTTGGCCGTTGTGGTCTTTTTGATGAGGCAGCTCATTCTCTAGCTGAACTCCGAGAGTTAGGATGATGCAGGACTTCTTAAATATTTGGTTGGCTTCACATCAGGACGACGCCATCCCAGTCCTACAATGGTAGGCGACTGGGCCGACGGCTACGGTCCAGTATGAGATCTTGCCTTGGAGCTAACGTCACGGTCAAGGTCAAAAGGATCTGGCCCGGGATTGATTTGCATAGACTTTGCATTGAATTTGTTTTGGCGTCAGGTTTATTGAAGGAAGCAAATAGCGGGGTTCAGTCTCGAATGATCCAAATTCGTTGTACATATACGCCTGGCTTAACATAGTGTTGACACGTTTTTGAACGAATTAGTGCCAGAGGCATAGGACCATAAGTTACACAATCATCACGGAACTGCTTCTGGCTGACAGAAAAGTTGCCCATGGAGCATTGGGTAGCAGAGTTTTGCGGGGCGTCTGGCGCTTACTCTAATGTCTCATCCACCAGCCGTTCAGCAGTGAACCACGGAGGATCTCGGCTCCCCTCCACAGGGCCACTGGAAAAAGATAATGCAGACCACATAGAAAACCCTTACATCGCATCTCGCATCGTGTCCCGCATCGTGTCCCGCATCGCCGTCAACCATCACCATGGCCGAAACTACGCTTCTCGTCATGGCCTCCGGCAACGGGTCCAACTTGCAGGCCATTCTCGACGCCTGTGCCGATGGGCGGATCCCCAATACCCGCGTCTCCAAAGTCATCGTCAACCGCAAGACGGCCTACGCTACCAAGCGCGCCGAGTTGGCTGGTGTGCCCTCTGAGTACTTCAACCTCGTCAACAAGGGCTACCACGCCGCCGGCGAGAAGGACGCCGACAAGGTCAGCGAGGCTCGGGCTCGTTATGACGCCGACCTGGGCAATAAGATTGCTGCCGAAAAGCCGCACATGGTTGTCCTCGCTGGCTGGATGCACGTCTTCACCAAGGCCTTCCTTGACCCTCTCCAGGCTGTTGGCATTCCCGTCATCAACCTCCATCCCGCCCTGCCAGGTACGTGTCTCTCATCACTAACTAACTCACATCATGCTGCCACAATATACTCACTGGTCTTGTTATAGGCAAGTACGACGGTGCAGGCGCCATTTCCCGTGCTCATGCCGATTGCCAGGCTGGCACCCTAGAGAATGGCCGGACTGGCGTCATGGTGCACTATGTTATCGCTGAGGTCGACAGGGGAGCGCCTATCCTCGTTCATGAAGTTGAGTGCTCCAAGTCTGACTCCCTCGAGGATTTGGAGACAAGAATCCACTCTATCGAGCATGACTTGCTTGTCCGTGCTGTTGCTCAGTTAGTCCAGTCGGGTACTCTTCAAAAGACGTTGTGAACACATTATTCTTTTCCTTTTCCTTTGTCCCTGTGCTACATCGAAATGAGGCCTTCTCATGAGTTCTTACACCCCTCCGGAAATATCACTGTGGCTCTCCCTTCGCCGTGCATATTTACGCCTGCGTCTCCTCGAACGGTAGACATCAGGTCTTATGAAAGCAAGTCTTCCAAAGCACTCTTGACGGACCCTCCACCATCTCTGCTCACGTTACTTCCATCTCCTCCAAAGTCTTCACCTAGAAACCTTCTGGCTATTCTTTCCGCTTCGTCTAGCTTCTTTTCTTCTTGCGGTGATAGACGAGTACAAATCGCCCCGATGTCCTCATTCTGTGCTAGAAGCAAAGCAATCGCGTCGGCCCGCTCAACAACCGTGCTTGGGACACCGTTTAGCGCTGCGCACTTGCCTCCAAAACTTGAGGTACTGTGTCCATAAGCAAGGCTAAAAAGGTATGTCACCTGTTCATCGGGCTGTGGTGCGTTCCAGTCCACTCTCACATCTAGGTGGGCCAAACACAGACCCTTGTGTTCCCGTAAGTAACCTCCCTCGAAGATCTCATGATAATGGGTTGCTACTAGGAGCCGTGGTGAATTTCGCCCCAAGGCCAGAAAGTGATTCAATAATGAGGCGAATAAGCCGGAACCATCATCTGCGTTGGTCCCTTTCCCGAATTCGTCTACTAAAACGAGACTTTGTGAAGTTGAGCATCTCGTCGACAACGCCGCTTGCTTTAGGTCTCTGGCAAATGCACTCTCAGCCCCGGACATGCTCTCTCTTGTAGACATGCATGTTAGAATCTTGTCTGTGAGACCGATCGTGGCCTGGCTAGCAGGCACAAAGCTACCAAGATGTGCGAGATAGACGATGATGGCCACTTGTTTGAGATAGACGCTTTTGCCGGAATGATTTGGCCCAGTTAGAACCAAGGCTTGCGGCAGTTTTCCATCGTAGTCGTCGCAATCGGATTCTCCCGATGCGAGGCGGCAGTTGTTGGGTACGAAAGACGGCACAACGAGTTCTTGCAGAGGGTGACGGCCGCCCTCGATCTGAATCACACTTGCCTCAACCATCGTGGGTGCTCGCCATCCGTACTTGTCTGCTCCCAGAGCCAGTGCCATGATCGCATCGAATTCGCCACAAATATCCGACGCCGAGACAAGCGCATCCTCGTGTTTTATGATTCTGTTGGCAAGCCCGTGGATGATTTCAACCTCCCTGTCTGGCCCAGGGTTAGTATGGAGAATGGCATAAAATGAAGCTTCTTACCTCCGATCTGGCAGTACATATCTCCATACTCTTCGTCGAGTTCTGTCATGTAGCTGTTTTTGTAGCATACAGCTCCCTCCGCCTCAAAAAGTTTATCCCATACCCCACCAGCTGCACCCTCTCCCTCATATCGACCGTTGCCGGTGTCTGGATTCGGCTCAACGACAGTGAGGAACCCGATTTGAGGCAGAAAGATGCAAGAGCGTACGTACTGACAAGCCCATTCTGGTAGCTCTCGGTTCATGTGATTGACCACTTCTGTCAAGAAGCTGTCCATTCCATCATATCTTCTCTTGAGCTCGTCAAGTTCATGATCCACTCCAGTCTTGACAGATGATCGATGACGAGACTTAGACTGGTCGAAATCAATCGTTTTGTTGATCATATCACCGACCGAAACGAAACTAGGGGCGGCAAGACCATCGAGGAGCTGCAGAACGATATTGTCAGTACGCTCCTTAAATTTGTATTTTAGATACAGGGCAATTACCTTGTCAATTATCTCAAGGCCAGCACATCCATTCAGCGATGCCACAGCCTCTCTTAGGGCTAAAATCTGAGCCGTGAAATTTTGGATGGTAGCCCATACTCCTTTGTCGAATGACTGACCAGCTGACGGAAACTCTATGCCTTTTCTTAATTGAGTAAATGTTGTTCTAATGTTTCGGATCTTGTGTAGGAGTGAAGTGATTTGGGCAAGACAGTCTGCATTGTCGGGCTGGAGTAGCGCCGAGATAGTCTTCTGTCTCTCCCTGATTAATCCCATATCACGCACCGGGCGGAGAAACAATTGTCGTAATCGCGTTCGGCCCTGGGACGTACACGCTAAATAGTGAAAAAGGCCATAGACCGATAAACTCTCCTTGGTGCTGTCTTTGTTCAGGTTGGGACCCAATGCCTGGCTGTTTGGGTGAAGTTCGGTCTGGACAAGTTGGAGGGATAAGAGAGCATCGGAGCTGACAAACATGTAAGCTGAAAGCGAAAACATCTCAACCGACTGAACGCGGAAAAGAACACCTGCGACCTGTCCGTCGGGTAGGAAGCCAGCAGACCGGCGGCGGTGGAGATCACCTAGCACAGCACCGGCGCAACCGACCTAGAAATAATCAGTTCTGCAAACAACATAAACAGGTTTCGGAACGACGAACGGAAACATGGCTGCCAAGATTGATAGATGCACCACAGCGGAGAGACTTGAATACTCGGGATTCCTGTCTCAGGCCTCCATCTGCTTGGCGAACACCGTCATTATGTGGGTCGCCGTCAATGCCACCTGAGAAGATCGCTTTAATGGAGTGTGAATGAGCGACTTGGAGGTTGAGCAATCGTTCGAAAGCTGAGTCGAGTGAGAATTCTGAAGATTGCAAGCCACGAAAAATGACACCATGAGAGGATCCCCCTACACAAGGTCAATAAAGCTTGTTGGTGGTAAGCAGCAGTCTGGGACTAATTGTACCTTCGTCTGAAGAAGCACATTGCTTTTCAAGATACACGTGAAATTCTTCAGGAGCTCTGGCTGATATGAGCAGGGTGGTAGGTTGGATGTGAATGAGGAATTGTTCGGCAATGTCCATATTTGCCATGGGAATGTCCTCTGAAATTCGTATGACGCCTTCTTCGGTGGTAAAGTACGCACAACCAATCGTGGATTTTTCTCGCATGTCAATGGCCATTATGACTTCATTCAACACGGATTCGGGGCTGCTGTGGTCCCTGATATCCTGGCCGCTAGCGACCGAGGCTGGTTGACCTGAGTTGCGGACGCTGGAAGATGGCGTATCAACCTGCGAGCTGTTCCCTGGGCGAGGAGAGCGGAAAGACTGGCTAGGAGACAGTGTCCGACGCTGAACTAGGGGGACGGATCTCCGCGGTGGTTGCCGCCTTGTTGAGCCTGTTCTCGACGACGAGACGGTGCTGCTGCGATTGGGCCGCTGGCTTTGCCCACCAGCTTTCCCACCCCGACCCCTTTGGCGCGAGCCAGACGCGCTTGAAGAATGTACAGGTGGCATTTGCGAGAAGAGCCAGGCACAGGCTCACAGTATGGAGTTGTAGGGAAGAAATAGTTGAAGGGTTACAAGGAATTGCAGACGTTGGGGGGAGTCACTACTCCAGTTCAACATGGGGTGGAGATTGTGGGAGGCATATGAGAAGGCGTTCGAAATGTTATATTTCCAATTTTGCTGCCTTGTGTTGAAGGTTGTTGAGAGCTTATTAAGGAAGGCGACGCCGAGGTAAGAGGGAAGGTGCGGTGGCATGTCAGTGGACCGCTGCAGCCCACTGACGATCAGGTAGGTAGGTACCTAGATCCCGGTACGCCTACATAGCAATTCTGGCGCTTTATGTTGTCTGCGTTGGGATATAAGTTGGCTTGCAGTAGGTCGGATGATGGGTTCCTGTGGTGGATATCTAGCGAGCTTGTCGTCCTCAGTTGACATGTCCCTTGGGACTATTGAAAGGCCCAAGACTACTAGCCGATGAAGGAGGTCCCAGACCGAGATTGTTGCACAATCGAATGCGCCATAACCGGACCACAAGATCCATCTGTATTTGGTACACATTCTCAACGTGTCATCATTACTTGCTGCCAGCCTTGACCCAGTCTGCAAAGTCACGCCGTTGCTTGCGGATATCCACGAACCCCGGGCGCGTCTCCAGCGCACCAAATGGGTTGCCCTGATAGTCCTTGTCCACCTCGCCGCTGCCCGAACGGAACCCGGCCGCTCCCTCCCGCTCAATCTTGCCAGCCCACTCGTGCCATCGGATCGGTCGTAGCTTCGGGGATCCCAGAACTAGCCCTAGGCACACGACCAGTGTCGCTGCCAATGCCTCGATGGATATGTCGATTGGTAGGGAGTGTGTTGATAGCTGTTGTGCCGTGGCGTGCTGCGCTGACGCCGAGGCGATGGCTGAGTGCTCCTGCGCCGAGTAGCACCTAGATTCTGGTGGTTAGTTGGGTTGCATACCGAATCAGATGGAGACATACGCGTGGGCGAGGAGCACAAGGCCGGTCACAGTAACGGCGCGGGAGATCCAAGTCATTGTGTGGTTGGGTTGTGTTGTTCGCGCGGTTGATTCGGGTTCTTTGGGGACAAGTCGCAATTCCTCTGGCAACATGGATGCGAGCTTGGTTGCAAGTGGACATGGAGGCTGCCTGACTAAGCGAATCCACTCCGAGCGGAGAGCATATTGACTCAAGACATCAGGCTGTTAGACCAAGAGCCTCGATGAACGAGTAAAGGGTTTGTCCACAAGCAAATATGTGTTTCTTGAATTGTTCTAATATTACACGCACGCAACATATTTTCTAACTTAATCCGCCCATAATGCTAATAGCGCCGCCCAACCCACCATAGTCCGAAACCATTAACGCCAAATTCACACTCACGAATCACATGAAATCCACTGCTCAAACTGACCGGCCTCATCCAGTTCCTCTAGCTTCCAGTCTTCCTGCGTGCCTCTAAGATATGCATCGTGTTCTGAAGCTCCACCGTACTCTGCGATTGCCATTCCCAAGTCAGGCCCACCACCCAGATGGGGTTGCCAGAGCTCCTCGGTTGTGCTAAGGGGCATGTCGGACCTAGGAAGTCCATCGCACATCCTTTCTACAGGGAATGGGATGCCAACTGGAGGGTTTGTAACCAAACCAACCTCCTGGTAGTAGTTGTCAATGAACCCAGAGCTACCTTCCAGTGGCGCGATAGGATACTCGAAATTTGGGGATGAGTGTCTACTCTCCACAGCGGGCTGCATTTCACCAAGAGCGTTGGGATATTGATGGACATGAAGATCGTACGGCGACGACTCGACTTGGTAGTATGGGAGCAATTGCGGTGGAGCCGGGGTCGCATATGTACGGAGGTCCTGGTAGGGTGCTGATGAGTGGTCCTCTATTGTCCCGGGTGCCGGCTCATATGTCAAAGAAGGCGTCTCGCTTAGTCTCGATACATGGGTGGTGTTTGCTTGTCGTGGCACGCGTCGTGGAAGTCCACGGGTGACGCCCCAGTCCGGATCATCGACATCGGAGAAGACATCGTCGCCTGCCTCGTTCTCCCGTCTGCCTTTGCGAGTCTTGGAAGGTGTGAATTTGTATCCCGGGTGCGCTTGTTGATGGTTAGACCGTTCGAGCCTGGCCCATTCGTTGAACTCTTCGTGGATTTCGACTGGTTCCAAGGACCAACCAGCCCCGCAGACTTTTGACACATGCTGGTGGTTGTTCTTGACGCACTGTGTCTTGGCCACTTCCTGATACGCCTTGCGGTACAGCATGAAGGCATTCATCGGGCGCTTGATCTGACCTGGCTTCCTATTGCGAGATGTCTCGAGGCGCCGTTCTTCCACGGATCGGTTTACGAAGGTCGCGATATCGGCGACAGGCAAATGTGGCATGTCGATGGCGATCTGGGTGAGAGGTTTCGAGACGATGGATGATATGGTTCGTTGCTTCTGGTCCTTGACTCTCTTTTGCACTCGGCCTCCCTTGATTCCCGACGACTTCTGCGTCGCAGATCTCTTGGAGATGCTCACTCCACTGCGAGTGGCGATCGAAAGGTTGACTGGGCTCGGGGTTGGAGGCGATGCCTCTGGCGTGTATGGCATATGGATCTGATGGCCCGTTATGGCTGTGTTTACTCGAAAGTATGGCAAACAACTTACACTGTAGCCCAACTCCCCGGGGAGGGGACCATATGAGTTGATGGCATCTTGTCTAGCGGGATAGCCAGTCTGCTATATCTATTAGGACGGTGGTTCTTTAAAATACCGGCTGTCGAGGGCCGAGAGGAGACTAGGCACTTACCAGGGACATGTCGACGTTCTTCTGCGAGTAGTACAGCGAGTGCTCATGGGCTAAGAAATCGGCCTCCTGGCCGGGGCTGCTGTGTCTCGGCTGCAGGCGCGGGTAGCCCAGGAACTCGGAACCCGGGGCCAGCCCGCCTCTCGGATGCGATGTATTCATGGATGGGCTCATTCTAGAGGACTGCTGAATGAAGCCGTCGATGGATGGTGCGGGTGATGGTGGTGTTGGCTGTTCCATGCCGAAGGTTGTCTGTGGTCGGACTTTACTGGGCGACGAGACGGCAGCTCAGGTTGGCGTGGGAGAGTAGAAATGCGGTCTGGGTTGAGGAAGATGGAAGGCGTCAGGGGATACTCAGGTAGACAGGGGGGGCGTCTTTGGTTGTGAAAGAGAATACAAGGCGAACGGAGACTTCTTTCTCCTTTTTATTGACGGTACCTGGGACGATCTTATGCAGCTTGGCCTATAACAAGGAAAAGAAACGGACTCAGTCCGTTTCTTTGAGAATACCGAACGGGGGGATATGTATATGCATTGCATCTAGCCGACTTCCTTGTTACTCTTGAACAGTCCGGCAACGCGAGGACCACGACCACAAATAGACAACAACGCGGTGCCGTATCCGGTTCAAAGAGCCAGGCTGAGGAGATGGTAGGGCGAGCAAAACGGACCACTCCGTGCGCCGTCACCCACGAAGTTGAGCTTAAGCTGCATCGCAGGAGCCGCTGCCCGGCCCCTCCACCGCTTGGCCATGTCATGGTGTAGTTGACGTGACCATTGGTGTCTGCCTCCGCAAACTGAAAGTGTGAGCCGCTAGACGCCCGGCGCCCTCCCTTCAATCGACTGGAATGCAAGCCACCGTCGTCTGGCACTCCACACCGTCCGATTGGGCGCAGCGCTAGCACAAGCCATGGCGCATTTCATTCACATCCGCCTGCCTCCCCCACCCATCCATCCAACTGCTTGTCGCTCCCTTGATGCTGGCCATGGCGAACACACATCACCTGTCCCTTCTTCCGGGTGCCTGGCGCCAGTTGTGCTTCCCCTGGTGTCCGTCGTGTGTGTGCCGACAAAGTCAAACGGCTCGTCTCCCCTTGTTTGCAAATTCTCCTTGTGGGAGCCAGCCGGCACCTCGCAGTGTTCCAGTGTTCGTTGTGAAAGTCTGTTTGATTGTGTGGGCGACCAACCAATCATCCAACTTAGACTCCCTGCAGCCTTGACCGTAGCCTTGTCTGTAAGACGGATACCTGCTTATGTAGGTATTTGCCGCGAAACGTCTCAGAGCTCGGACCGTCTATTCATATTCCGGCTTCTGGTATTGCCGACAGATCACTTTCTAGATGTAGGTCCGGCGTTGGTGTGTGCCAAGACTGGCTACCCACCCCAAACGCCGACTGAGCTTGTATAATATGCATGAGAAGAGGTGGCGTACCGGGGAGGCCGTATTATGACAGTGCGCGTGTTACGGCTGAATACTGGACATTGCCAGCTGGTTCCTATTCAATGTGTCTCCGTGGCTGGTGGCTGATTGACCAAGTTTCGCCGCATGTGACTGGTCGGTCGCCCCTCCTCGCCTGATGCTTGGAAGGCTACCGCAACACACATGATCTCCCCAAAACATGGTGAACCCAAAAATGCATTGACCATGACATTCCCAGAAAACAACGCGAAGGATACCGTCAAGGCCAACCAGTCAGCTCGATCAAGGCTTGGCAGAGGGACTCCCGGAGCGTCGCGGCGGCTCTGATGGTTTCGATGGTGGTGTCAATACCTGGGGCCTGGGAGACGGGGAGAGACTCGCAACCGGGGGAAGAATCGGAGTTGCGACGCTGATTTTGTTTGCACTGCCTGGGTCTGTCGGTCGCAGCGGTGAGTGTTTTGTAGGCGAGATGCCAGCTTGGGCAGGAAGGGTGCCGTTCTGCACGTACGCGGCACGATAAATATCGCGGCTGATTTTGGGCGTACTTAGTGCAGACTCAAATGATCGGCCACCTGAGAGGCTCTGAAAGCTGCTAGATGGACTAGCAGTTCTCACAGATGCCGTTGGAGAAGCAGCAGTAGCGCTTTGCTGCGGGTTGCCAGCCTGATGCTGTCGATCAGTCTCGCCTGCATCCAACTTGATAGGCGCCGGAATAATCGGAATTGCCCGGGGAGTACTCAGGACTGGTTGAGGGGTGCCCAACATCGAGTTGGGTGACGGGGCAACGCCATCGAGAATGGAACCGTTGGCCGAGCTAGACGCCATTGATGCATCATTCAACGCCTGGCCGTTGATCCCACCGGCAGGTACCGAGCTTTTGGGAGAGATTTTGACAGCTTTAGGCGCGGGAGTGTTGCTTGATTGCTGAGCTGGTTGACCTTGTCCGCGCGGGCTGTGTGGGTGGGTGACTTTCAACTTGATAGTTGTCCTGGGACGAGCCTTGGCCTCCTCGTGGCGAGTGCAAGATCCGCATACAAATTGGAACTCCGGGCGTTCAGCCTCTGCTTCGGTGATTCCCAGACACTTGCTATGCTGCCAGATGTTGCATTTCTCGCACGCGACGCTATGTGTTCCGTCGTCGACCTGTCCGTACAGGCCACAGAGACAGTCGAAAACCCAGTCCTCTTCTTCTTGTTCGAGCTCCTTTAGAGCTAGCTTGTTTCTCTCAATCTCCGCCTGGAGGCGACGCTCTGATATGCGTCCATCGCTGGCTGTCATGCTTTTGCCATCCTCCGACAATTGCGCAAGCTCGTCCTCATGCTGACGACGGCGGGCATCGCGTTCTTGCTGGCGCTTTTCTCGCGATATCAATCTAGTATCCCGCTCCCTCTCCATTTTGAGATTCGTCGCTTCTTCGCGTCGTTTTGCTACCTCGGCCTGTCGGCGGCTTTTTTCTTCGTCCTTGGCACGTTCTTCTTGTTTCTGTTGCTCGATCTTCCCGGCAATGCGGCTTGATCGTTTGGCGTTGGCCATCTTGGCAAGGTTGGCCAGTTCGCGTTCACGCTGTAAATCTTTCCGTTTCCGGCCATCCTCTTGTTTTTCCAGAATGGGCACGAGGTGATCTTCCAACTGGCTTCTCAGGATCTTTTCGTTCTCATCTCGAGTTTTCCGGAATCCGTCAACAACGGATCGCACATCAGCCAATGTGACGGCAACACACTCCCAGGTCATGCCCCCGAGGCTGTCATCTTCTTCTTGTTCTCTGTTCGCTCCATTGTCCGTATCGGCTAGTTCATCTTCGGTAGAAATGGTTGTTCTCCGTCTTTTGCTTGATCGACGCCCGCCACGGTATGTTTTCGACTTCTTTGGCTTCGTTGTCGGAGCGGAGGGAGGAGCCTCCGTCAAGCGATACACTCTGTTGTCGTCCAGGACATAGTACGTTCGGTCATCGGCGTCCCATCCGTACGGCTCGATTCGCTGGTAAAATAAGTTAACGATGTAAGTTTCGTTGCGTGCCAAACCTAAAGCTCACCCAGTTCGTTTGCTCAGTGTCCTTTTGCTCCTCCATCTTGTCCCGGATGCGTTCGGGGTGGATCATCGTCCACTGTGTTAACTGCTGTAAAACCCGAATCTACCAAGAAAGGATCCATTCATTAGCTCTGGCTCAAAGAATTTTGAATGCGACAGAGGCTACCTTGGTCAAGACATCGAAATCGCTGAACTTGGCAGGCACTTCGTCGTCACCAAACGGGTTGTCACTCGGCGCTTTGGCCAGGAACTGCTTGCGTGCTTGGTCATCAAAAATATCGTGGCTTCATTTCGTCGTTAGCAAGGCGCAAATCGGATGGATGCGTCAGAGACGTACGTCAAGCCGCGATGCGACGATACGAGTTTGAGAAGCGCAAGGGCAATGTCCCCTAGCATGGGCGAGATCGGTTTGAGGCACTCGACTTCGATTTCCTATGTGTAAGATACGCGTGTCAGCAAAGAGTGTCGAGTCAAAAAGTCGGGAGTAGCAGTACCTCAATGTCAATGGAGTCTGGGATTTTGGCAGCCTTGCCGAAGGTGTAGATCCACTGGCATAGGTTTGCGAACTGCCACATGTTTCGGATTCGATGCAGCAGAGATGGCTCCGAGTCGCCAGAGTCGCCATCGACGGCTTGGAGGGATCGTTTGCGTGACGACATGTTGGCGAGGCGGTGGTGTCGATGCAGGAGTCTGGCGATGCCTCTGGCGCGTCACGGTTCCTGTGTCGGGAGAATGAGAGCTGGGAGTTCGCGAAAAGGCTACGCTGTGGCGCAGTCAGCCACAAGCACATGCCAGCAGCCAATGGTGCGCACTCAACTCGCCAAGTATGCACGTCGCTTTGAAGCGGCCGCAGCCCGCACTGTGGCAGGGCCGTGTTCTATATTAAGAACTGCGGCATGTGCCTGAAGTCGCGACCCCTAATCGCCATTACAGGACAGTGCCCGTGCCAACCGACCGGTACTGTGACAATCGTCCCCGTCGTCCCCTTCAGCTCCAGGCCTCCTGGACTGTCAGATCTTACTTTTCTAGATCTCATGAATACGACGTAATCTTCGCGTTCCCGAGCCGACGAGACATCGAAAATGCAGCATTCTGGCATACACGCTTGCCAGAAGTTTCTATCCTGACACGGGCCACGTCGGCGATTCGCAGCTACTCTTTCGCCATCGCCCTGAACCGTCGCAATGTCGAACTTCCCGGGCAGCGACCCGTCGCGGCGTCAATCAATACCGCTGCAGAATATGGACGGCTCCCCCTATACGGACTACCAATCTGATGGGTTAGGCCAAGGGCAACCACAGCAATCCCAATCTGCTTCGCGGACTGAGGCCCAGATGGCAGCCAACCTGTCGGGCATCTCGACCTACTGGGAGCAACCATATCACACCCAATCCGACGGCGAGATGAGCCCCCATTCGCCAATAGACATGATGGCTCTGCAAGCAGCTTTGCCGCCAGATATCCATCACCCCGGGCTTGCGACAGCTGGCGCCTCCATCAACACGTTTGATCCTCCTCATCCATATGTCGAAGATGCCACGGGAGCAGACTATGTCGAGTCCGATAGGGTCCCTCTTACATCCGGTGCCCAGCCCATCTCCGGCTCCCTCACACCAAACCGCCACAACGATCGATCTCGAGATAGCTTCCAGACAGTTTCCAGCGTCGACAACAGCCCAGCTCGAAACCGCGATACTGGGAGAAGCTTGGGGCAGGACCTCAGCGCCAACTTTGGGAGTCCCCGTCACCGCAGCTATGGTGCCTCTCTCAACCCTCACGAATACAGACGATCCAGGTCTCCGACGGGGGCTTTATCGCGTGCTGGGTCAATCGTCCGAGCGATGTCACAGCGAGTTGTCAACCTCAGCGGAGAAAACGAAATCGTGGACAATCGGGCCTCACGTCATCGCTCACAGTCTCCCCATGCATTCGACCGAAATACTTCCCGTGATACTGCAGCTTCAATGCTCGTGGACACTTCATACCAGCCACAGGTAGTTCATCCTTCCGCGGAGAAGACGGGGGAACCTCGATACTTGATCACTGAATCCGCCGCCTCAACCGCCCCTCGACCACCTCTCCCGAACCCTCTTAAGGGAAAGTCCCTGGGCATCTTCGCTCCTGATAACTTTCTGAGACGCCGCCTTTGTGACCTCCTTGTCAACCCTTACACGGAGCCATTCCTTCTCCTCTTAATCGTGCTTCAGACGATCCTCCTTGCAGTAGATGCTGCCCCTCCTATTTCCGCTGATGGACAGGGGCGCCCAGAACACTGGAAAGGAAGCGCTATTGATTGGGCCATGCTGGTGCTCTTTATTATATTCTCATTTGAGCTGGTATCACGAATCATTGTGTCTGGGTTTATTCTGAATGCTGCGGAATTCAGCACTATTGATCGGAAACGTGGAATCCGCGCTGCGGTTGCAGACCAATACAGAGTTATCTTCCAACCCGAGCGGCAAAAGTCAGTCAAGAACAAACACCAGTTCCAGGCAGAACCTTCAACAATTGCTCGCTCGTTCACGACATTTATGCAGGGGCAGCAAGCTATGCCGCAGACCCTTGAGGAACAGCAAAGGTTTCAGCTCGCTCGGCGAGCCTTTCTTCGACATTCCTTTAATCGAATTGACTTTGTCGCAGTGGTTTCATTTTGGATCATGTTCATTCTGAGCGCCACTGGCCTGGAGACCAAGCATCATCTCTATGTTTTTAGAATGATGAGCTGCCTTCGTATTTTGAGACTGTTGGCACTGACCAATGGCACCGCGGTATGACCGCCATTCTGAATATTTGCGAAGCCAACCTCAACTAACAGCGACTCAGATCATCCTCAGAAGTCTCAAGAAAGCAGCGCCGCTTCTGGTGCGCGTTGCCTTTCTTCTTTCATTTTTCTGGCTACTCTTCGCTATTATTGGAGTACAGAGCTTCAAAGCTAGCTTAAGACGCCAGTGCGTTTGGTTGGATCCTCTCGATCCCACGAACATCGACGCTTCGTACACCGTCAGCGAGTCATTCTGCGGTGGTTTTTTGGACAACGACACAGGAAAATCCATGCCATGGGTTATGTTTAGTTCTCCCAACTCATTGGTCAATCTTATAGACGGATCGACTGAGGGAAAGGGCTCCCTTTGCCCCCGAGGTTCCATCTGTCTTCAACAAACGAACCCTTTTGGTGGAACTGTCAACTTCGACAACATTTTTAACTCGCTGGAGCTGGTGTTCGTCATCATGAGTGCCAATACCTTCTCCGACCTCATGTACTACACAATGGGCTCGGACTACTCCCAAGCCGCCCTTTTCTTTGGTGCTGGTATTATGATCATGATGCTTTGGTTGACCAATTTGGTCATTGCGGTCATCACCTCCTCCTTCCAAGTCATACGAGAAGAGAGCAAAGCAAGTGCTTTCACAGTTGACCAGGAGCCATTCTCCCAGCCTCGAGCCGAAGAACGACTTCGACGTGCGCCCTTACAGCGCGTCTATGATCGGACAGCGCCAATATGGGTCGTCATCATTGCCTTCGGACTCCTCTGCCAAGCTTGTCGCAGTTCTACGATGTCGGAGTCGCGGGGAAACTTCATTGACACCGCTGAAGTCGTTGTGACCATTTTGCTCGACATCGAAATGATCATCCGCATTATCACCGACTGGCATCACTTCCACAACAGCTGGCGCAACATCCTGGACCTGGTATTAGCGGTCATCACATCAATCATCCTTATTCCCCCTATCCGTGGTACTCGGGCCTACGACTGGCTGACAATCTTCCAAATTGTGCGGGTTTACCGAGTCGTTTTGGCAATCCCTGTCACCCGTCAACTCATTGAACTTGTTCTGGGTAACGCCACTGGTATCGCCAACCTGATGTTTTTCGTCTTCCTGATGACTTTTATGATGGCGATATTCGCAGTCCAATTGTTCAGGGGTGAGATCCCTGTCCATGACGACGGCGAATTGAATCGCATCTCGTTTTACCAGATCTTCAACTCCTTTATGGGTATGTATCAAGTTCTGAGCAGTGAGAACTGGACAGAAATTCTGTATACTGTCACCTCCTACACTCGACCGTTCAACACATCATGGATCGGCGCAGTCCTGCTGATAGGGTGGTTCATTGTCGCGTTCTTCATTCTGGTCAACATGTTCATTGCTGTCATCCAGGAGAACTTTGACGTATCGGAAGACGAGAAACGGCTCCAGCAAGTTAAGGCATTCCTTCAAAGGAGAGACCTTGGAACTCCTTCGAGCCACCTAGCGCTCTCTACTATCTTCACCTTTGGGAAGTCTAGACGACATAAAGACCCGCTCGATTACGGACCCGCAACAATGGAAATGCTCCTCAAGGACGCCGTCGTTCGCGAGTTCCTTGATGATAAGATGGATACTATTAATGAAGAGCCTGACCCGCGCCGTCCGCTTCCTAGGAGCACCACCACTTTATTAGGCAATGATGTCAAGCCTGGATTCATGTCAGGCGTCTGGGGAAATATTGTGAAACGGCTAACTCACCGAGAGCCAAATCCTTTCTACTCAAATCTTCGGTTTGATAGTCCAAATGATACCCAGGATCCACGACAGATGGCTCAACAAGCTGTGTCTGCTACATCGGCTCGGCGAAGAGCCCAGAGAGAATACCTCGCCCGATATCCGACCTACAACAATTCCCTCTACATTTTCAAGCCGGACAATCAAATCCGAAAACTCTGTCAGCGAGTGGTCGGCCCAGCCCGAGGCCCTGAACGGTTCGATGGCCTTGAACCAAATAGGGTGGCTTGGTATACATTCACGATATTTATCTACGCCTGCATTGTGGCCATGGTGGTTCTTGCCTGTGTCACTACGCCCCTTTATCAGAAGGAATATCAAGAGCAGCATGAATTCAGTATCCAAAACTGGTACATCTGGACCGATATGGCCTTTGCTGTCATTTTCACAATCGAGGCGGGGATCAAGACAATTGCAGACGGGCTGATCTGGACACCGAATGCCTTCCTCCGGAGTTCTTGGGGGCTCATGGATGCCGTTGTGTTGATCACACTTTGGATCAACGTGGTTACGCTCTTGATCAACGACGGCGCCATTTCTAGAGCCATCGGCGCGTTCAAGGCTCTTCGAGCTCTGCGCCTCTTGAATGTCAGCAATAGTGCAAGAAATACATTCCATGATTTGATTATCGTCGGATGGTGGAAAATTCTTGGTGTAAGTTATGGAACCCCGGCTTTGACAAAAATCTTGATATTGACTGATGCAAACCTAGGCTGCTTTTGTCTCATTGTCTCTCCTGATCCCATTTGCAATTTATGGTCTGAACCTATTCAATGGTCTGATGCTGAACTGCAACGATGGCGGTGATGGTATTAGTACCATGTCGGACTGCTTTGGCGAGTACGACAGCACGCCATTCAGCGACGACTGGCCGATGCTAGCTCCTCGAGTTGCGACAAATCCGTACTTCAACTTCGATGACTTTGGATCATCACTTTTCATTCTCTTTCAAATTGTCAGTCAAGAAGGTTGGACTGATGTGTCTTTTGCCTCCCAAGCAATCACTGGGCGTAACCAGCAGCCCTCGGATCTTGCATCCCAAGGCAACGCTCTTTTCTTCGTTGCCTTTAACCTGTTGGCGACTGTCTTCGTGCTTACTCTCTTCATTTCCGTCTTCATGCGCAACTACACGGAGCAAACGGGAGTTGCCTTTCTCACGGCAGAGCAACGATCATGGTTAGAGCTGCGAAAGATCTTGCGGCAGATCTCACCTTCCAAGAGCTCGTATGATGACTCAGAGAAGAGTTGGAAAAAATGGTGCCACAAGCGAGCCATCGAGAAGCGAGGCAAGTGGTATCAAACAATCACTGTCGTCCTTGTCCTGCATTTAGGTGTATTGGTATCGGAATTCAGCGACGAGCCAGCTTGGTGGACCAGTACTCGAGACTTTGTCTTCTTCGCCTTCATCCTGATTTACATGACGAACATCGCCATCCGCATCCTTGGTCTTGGGTGGGCTCGTTTCCGCCGAAGTTCGTGGGACATCTACTCGCTCTTGATTGTCGGGGGGGCTTTCATTGCAACCCTCAGTCTCCTTATCTCTAGCACCAACATCGAAGTATATGTGCAGCTGCACAAGGTCTTCCTCGTGGGCATCGTCCTGCTTCTCATTCCCCGCAATGATGCGCTTGATCAACTTTTCAAGACTGCTGCGGCCAGTCTGACGGTGATTGGCAATTTGCTAGCGACATGGCTAGTGGTTTTCCTAGTCTTTGCTATCGCTTTGACCCAGGCATTTAGTCTAACACGGTTCGGCGGGAGCGAAACAAACGATGTCAACTTTCGAACCGTCCCGAAGGCCTTGATCTTACTCTTCAGGATGAGTCTCGGCGAAGGCTGGAATCAAGTCATGGAAGATTATGCCAACATCGAACCTCCTCTCTGCGTTGAAGAGTCAAGGTTCTTTGACAGTGACTGTGGAAGCAAGTCATGGGCAAGGTTCCTGTTCATTGCATGGAACATTGTCAGTATGTATATTTTCGTCAATCTCTTCGTGTCGTTGATCTACGAGAGCTTCAGTTACGTGTATCAGCGCTCGAGTGGCATGGCCGTGGTCGACCGAGATGAGATTCGACGATTCAAAGAAGCCTGGCGGAGCGTGGACCCGGCTGGCACTGGTTACATCACCAAAGAAGCATTCCCACGATTGTTGGGCGAACTATCAGGAGTATTTCAGATGCGCATCTATGATTCTGATGACTCAGTTCGATCGATTCTTGAGGACGTTCAGAACGACGCCAAGACGTCCCGGCATATGTCTATCGGGACGACAACTGCATTCGCCGGAGTGGACCTTGACAAGCTCAATCAGAGAATTGCCGAGTTGGATGTGGTGAAGATCCGCGAACGGCGGCGTCGGTTCAACGTCTTCTATGAGGAGATCATGGTGTCTGCGGACCCAGACCGGGGTATTTCCTTCACGACTGTACTAATGATTCTAGCGCACTACAACATCATCAGTGATAACAAAAGCTTGAAGTAGGTGGCCTGAGAGTTGAGGTATCGCGGGCAGCGTGCTGACATGATGCAGATTAGAAGAGTTCTTGAGGCGCCGGGCACGACTTCAACGCGTTGAAGAGCAAGTTCGCCGCCGCATTGTCCTCGGTTTCTTTGACACCTTGTGAGTAATGGGTCAGGCAACTGGTTCAACATGACACGCAACTCATAATTTTTAGGTACTGGTCGAGGAAGTTCAAACAACACTTGCAAATGAAGCAGGCGTCTCGAATGACGGCAATTCCACATTTGGATATCCCTGATATCCTAGTTGAGGATGATGAGAGTCAAGATGGAATAACTGGCGGAGCAGCGCCTCGATCACCAATTGGGCCTTCGTCAGCTCGTTCGAGCGTCGATGGCGGGCAACACCAGAGTTGGTTCGGGGCTACAGATTTGTCCTTGCACGACACAGCATGGCACCATCCACTAAGCTTTCCCCGGGGTGCACCACCATCAACATCCCACCATGCAACACCGTCGGCCTTTAGTTTTGAGCTCCAGGACCCAGATGAGCACGAGCACTCGACGGCGGTGGACAATACGGAACCGACGACTGCTGTAAGTCCGTCGCAAGTCCAGGGAATGCTTGACGACTCTGTGTGGGTGGAGAGCATCCGACGAAGTGCGACGGTCCGGCGATCACAGCAGACGGGCCAGTATCGATATGGGGATCTGGAGTAAAGATCGGCAGGAGGAGGAGGGGATATGTACGTACGCAGTTGCGAGTGGCAGACGTAATCATTGTACGCCATCAACAGTGGTATTTTCAGGAGCTATTTCCAAGACAGGCACGGCGTTCCGGACGAACTAGGGGCTAGGGGGCAACATAGAAACACACATGATGTGCAAGACGAATGCGAAATATTCGGTGTGTGATCAACGAGACTGGCGAGACTGGCGAGACTTGCGACAGGAGACTGAGACGAACCTGGAGACGAAGACGGAGGCGGATCCTGGGAATGTTTGTTCTATTTTCTACCACACAGCAGAGTTGGCTTGCCTGAGAGACGCTGGGACTGCTGGGATGCCCCGACGGTTTCAGCTTGTGGAGTCGCGGGTCACAGACGACATTCCTTGAAACAGCCGTGCGCCCACAGACCCTGGTCGTCGGATAGACATGATACGAAGTACTATGGCAGTCTATGCCGCCATGATACGGCCGTGGTCACCAGAGCGGCCGTTTAAAAGGGCGTTGTCCTGGCCGCAGATTATCGGCCTCGTTTGTCGTTACGTTCCTTGTCTTGAGGCGCCATCACCACACTTCGTCCTTTTTTTTCTGCTTCCACACCACACGCAATCAGTCATTCGTTTGAACATCCACGAAACGCAACTCAACAGGCTGTGCCTATTGCTTCTGGATTCGTTCGTCAACTGCTGGTCAAGTTGCTTTTTATCCCATCTCCAATCACCGGTGGTTCCGTCTCTTCACTCTTCAACTCTTTGACGCTGGTTTTCCGTCTTCACGCCTTCACGCCACCACTTACAAATCCACACACACACACTCCCACATCACAACCCTCTCTGCAACCCAACCGCCACCATGTTCAACACCCGATTCGAGACCGTTTCTGGACGCTTCTCCCCCTCCAAGCTCCGCAACTCATTCCGCCGATCTTCATCGCGGTCGTCTACGGCGCGGGCCTCGTACTCGTCCAGCACGAGCGTCTCGTCCTCGGCGTCGACCATCAACAGCATCATCCTCCGCCAGCCGTCCTTGGTGGGCATGGAGGAGGAGCGCCGCAACTTCGGCAGCGAGCTGCGCGTTCTGGAGCCCCGGCCCATCGTGTACTGGGGCAGCGTGGAGGAGCGAATGGGATCTCTACACTTTTGATGGATTTACGACCAACCTTTTTTGACGATGACGCATTTTTGGGAGAGGCTCTCCTCTGGGGTTCACATGGTGTTTATTCTTCTCTATTTCCTCCGAGATTGATCCATTGAATTGGATACAGGGCGTTTATTGTTGGTTCTATTGGTCTCGGTACATAAGTTTCTCTTCCATGTGTTTGTGGACTGGTATGACAACTTCCACGACATCATGACCTTTGGACACAAACGCTCTTTGGCGATGCCCTACAGGGCCAAATGAAAATATGATCCAATTTTGCTCATCTTCTCTCCTGTCTCATGTCTTCCGAGTGATTTGCCACGAGGTCCTCCATTCGTTCGTAAGCCTGTAGGAAAGTAAAGGCCTAGGGTTTGAAACGCCTTCTTTGAGCAGACATGACCCACCGCAGCTCCTGTAATTTGCATCGCAGTCCCCATCATCCCCAGTCCATCGTCGCCCGATAGCATGATCGGCGCTATTTTGGGAGGGGCGATGACAAGAGAGGACAGACCAGCATGTGTCCATGCCTTGCTGGGCTTCGATCGCAGAGGCAACCGGCTGGTGCGTACCGGACGACGGCCACCGCCATCGAGGCCCACCTAATTCAACGCAAGGAGCAGGATGAAGTAAATTCATGCGAAAGGATCGCCTGAAAAGAAACAGCGTCAGGCCAGTAAGGCTGTGCTGCGTCGTTTCTAGGGTCTGCTCCAGGTCATCGCAATGCTCATGCGGCCCCTGGACCCCGTCAATTGCAGAGCAATTTCGCAATCCCAAGTGCATCCCAATTATTGGTCAACTCAAGTATATGACACGCCATCTAACTGAGGGCGGGATTCAGAATGACGAGAGCGTGATACGCGCGGCTGGCCACGTAGTAGAACACCATCGTGACGGCTACTGCAAGGACGGCGAGCACTGTCATGACAATACCACGGAGCCGAAAGGCCTCGTCAGCCTCCATCTTGATCAGCTTCTTCTGCTTGCTGTGGTAGTACCAACGCCCGGAGGCATCCCGGGAATCTCGGTAGGGCTGGCCGCGAAGCGACGAAACAAGCCGGTCAAGCCGTTGGGTCAGCAATGCCGGGAGCCATCGAAGCAGCCACCGAGGCAAAAGCCCACTGGCAGCGTCACCAGCACCGCCACGGTTGTTACTGGTGCGAGCAAGCGTGTATCGCAGGTCTACTAGGGCTAGCGATAGCAGGAATACGACCAGGTTGACTGGCGTCATGACCATCTGGAGTTGTCAGCAAAATTGCATCGCCGTATTGAAGCTTGATGATGATGTGGACCCACCGAGTAGAGCGTCAATGGCTGTTTCGAACGTTGCGCGCGAGGGCCATTGTCAGAAACATCGACTGGCGAAGGAGAAGGGCTCGAAGAGGTAATGGTAGTCATAGCGATTGTGATACGATCGTAGAGGATAGAGTGTCTGTTTTGGTTGAAACATGCGTCGGGAACATGTCTTCTAAATATCCGCGGTGGTTGTGGCCGAGCACTCCGTAGCCTTCCTTACCCACGTACCTATGGTGAGGTCATTCGCTCTCGCTTTCGGCTAAGCCACTTTTCTTGTCGCCATCACGATGGAAGCACCGGAAGCTGCGCCATGGGCGGCGCAGTGAGTGCATTCCACCTTTGCTGTTGTTTATTCAATGTTTTATTTCGAACACTGCAACTAACGTGCAAAGCCTCACTTAACATGTCTAACTTCTAACGGGATACCTCATTACCATGGCACCATCACGTAGCGACTCAACGTCTCCTCCTCAGCCCGCTTCCTCCTTTTGACTCTATCCTTTATTTTCTTTGTCCAGCACCCTAGTTCCCATGCCAATATGTCCACGCGAAACGCCAGCCATTTGGCAGATACCCTATCGGGCGTTGTGAATATCGAGCACCAAGATATCCTGGGCGCCGATGCGAGTGAGGTCGTCCATGACAAGAGCGATCTTCTTCTTCTCCACCATGCAGCTCACCGCAACCCAACCTTCCTCATCAAGAGTCGTGACCGTCGCCGCCCGCTTACCGGGGGTGATCTTAGTCGCTTCGCCCAGCGACTTTCGCTCGATGTTATACTGGCAGAGCACATAGCGCTGGGCAGTGATGACACCCTTGATGCGCGACGTAATGAGGTCGATCAGCTCAGGCTTAGATGGCGATTTCGATTTGATGAGCACCGCCTGGGAATCGACGACGGTATCAATGGCTTTGAGACCAGCGGCTCTCATGGTTTCACCGGATTCTGTAATTCAATTGTCAGCGCCAACCCTAACTAAGGCTGTAGGGGCACCACACTCGTGGTGCCTTTGATCAACAGTACTTACCGACCAGATCGACAATGCCGTCCGCAACGCCCAAGGCGCACGCGGCCTCGACACTGCCACTCAACTCAATGATCTTGGTCCGCATCTTCCGAGGGGAAACGCCGCCCTGGGAATCATCGCCCGCCTCGAGCCGGGCAAAGTACTCTGTTGCCAGGCTCACAAAGCTAGTGCCAATGGTACAGCCGATGAGGTCCTTAGCTGTGACATACTGGCCCTTCTCAGGGACTTGAACCTGAAGCTTACAGGCACCGAAGCCCAGCTCCATAACCTTATCACTTCCGGCAATTTTGTCTCCAGTGGTCGCCACATCTACAGAGCTCCGACGTGCGTGGTTGTATTCACGGACACCAGCATCGTGCTCCTCGACTTGATCCCATCCGGTAATGCCAAGGTCGACACGGCCTTCGCCAACAAAGGTAGGTATATCGGCGGCGGGGAGGAAGATGAGGGCAATTGGGAGGTTCTTGACAAGGGCGATGTCGAGGCGGTTCTCGCGACGGAATTGGATGTCGGCGCCCTCAAGGAGGTTAAGCGTAGCGTGGTTGAGACGGCCCTCTGCATAGCACGGTTAGCAACATGGTTACTATGGGTACGGCCTTGTTTGAGTCACACTCACTCTTTGGGACGGCAAAGAGCAGGCGGCCTTCGAGACTACAGTTGGTGCAACATTAGCGATTCTGCATCGACTGGCAACCGTGGATTGAGGAGGACCTGGTCAGAGAGACTCCTTAGATCCCCTCACGGTAAAATGAGGACACACCTATTGACGAAATCCATGGCGAGCAACTGAGGGCGGATAGACTGGGGTAGTCAAGGTAGTGTCGTGACGTGAACAACTGGATGCTTGTCGTGGTAGGGGATTTTATTCTTGTGGTGAGCGCAACGGATGACTCCGATTGCGGGGCTTTCGACATGATGGCGGGGTCGTCGTTTGTGGCACTAACACCGGGGAGTTGCCCGCTAATCGGCTCTCCCTCAGCCTTTCAGGTACCAAGCTTCAGTGGTCCCTTCCGCCTAAGGTACCACTGCCGATGTACTGCGCTGCACTGCGCTGCAGTGAGCTGCACTACGCTGCACATGGGTTGATAAGGGCCGACCGCTACTGGCTGGCGGGTGGCACCTCCATATTTACCGCCAATGGGAGAGCCAGTTGATAACACGCATCACAGTCGCATTCGTCGGTACAATGTGCAGAAACCCCGTGATATGTGATATGCGTCAAGGACTGGTTACAGTACCCCTTTGGCTTTCCATCATATGGGGCGGCACAAGCACGCGAAAAACTGTCAGTCGACCTGTGGAGGAGAGACAAACATGGAGCCCGCCACCAATTACCCAGACAGCCTGGCCGTAACTTGGCACGACAGGTGGTGTAACTTGTAATGTCGCCTCTGCTTCAAGTACCTCGTATAGCATTTGTATGTGATATTGTTTCCATCCTGCTGTCACACATGGGTAACACATCAGGATCACGGAACCAAGGGCGGTCGGTTCTCAGTGGTCTGAAACCAGAGACAGGCAAACTCGCACAAGAGCAGGTTAGGTGACACGGGCAACGGCATCCGCCCGGAGCAATTGGTGCAGCAAAACAAACTTGTTCGTGCCCGGGCGACGGCATACACGAGATCGCGTATGTCTGGCTATCTTTCCAGGACGAGGCTGTGTGTCGACAAACTCTCGAGGCACTGCGCCAGTCAACCTCGGAGCAATTCATCCACAGATCCACTTTGGAAGCGCGGTGAAAACGAACATGTAGGATGATGCAAGGGACTTGTTTGGCTGCGTCGGACTGTGCTAGGGGCACCGCGCTGGGGGTACGCGCTGAGTTGGGCTGGACTGGCTGGACTGGCTGGGCTGGCATGCCGCCAGCCAAAAAGGCCATCCAGCTACAGGGGCCGGAATCTACAGTACCACGGGAAGAAGCGCGCTAAGGCCCGTGTCAGAACATGATGGCCGGGGGGTGGCAAGGACAAGGCCATTGTCGGTCGCCTCGCTTGGACTTGTGTGTGTGATCTGCGGAGGTGTATTGGTGATAGCTGACGGGTGCGGGCGGCATGCCTGACGCGGTGACGGGTGGTTGCTTGCGGTGAGCCCTCATTATGCCTTTTCTTGTCCGATGTTACATGATGGCTTGCTTCGGCTTGTCTCGAACGCCTCGACTACCGCGACGGTCATGATGTCTTGTTTGTCCAGTCTTGGGCCATTTTACTTTTTTCTCCATTCGATTTGACTCGGGTTTACTTTTTTAGCACCTTTGTGTGCGGTTCAGCTGAACCACATAAATAGGGGACAGTAACGTAAGGGAACTTTCATCGAGGTGCCGTTCAACTTAAATCACAAGTCTGGAAAAGACATTGGTCCGCCGTGGCTCCCTCCATCCCTCCCCTCCGGTACTTGCGGATGCCTACTCACTTAGTGACCTATCAGGAAAATTTCCCGGCAGCGATATCACACCCGATAAGTAACTACCTTGCAAGCCAGTAGTCAAAGCAGTGCAACCTGGGCAATATCCCGGCCGGTTCCCTGCTTTGTAGTGGTACCAACTTGCATTCGGGGACTGGCACTGGGGCAGCAAAAGGCGTCAGTCAAGTTATTTTTTAGCGCTCCCGCCGCGCCACTTCTGAGCTAGCCCGATTCCTTGTCCACTTGTCCACTTGCCTTCTTGTTACCGCCGATGTGACGACGACATACCTACCGACACTCTTCTCTCTTCCCGCCTCTTTCTCTTCTTCCCTGTCGCCCCATCACCATCAATCCCTCGCCCGCACTGCCTTGCTCTGCTCTGCCACGTCTTTCATTCTGCCCTCCATCCCTGGGCTCTCTCTCGAGAAGCCGTCGTCCGCTGCGTCGCCATGAACTCCAGCTACCGCCAGCCAGACATGCCGCCGCAACTGCCCATGGCGACTGGTGCAGCATCGGGCTACACTTCTGCCCTGCCCGCCATGCACGCGTACCAACACCAACACCCACAGCACCAGCTCCCGCCGCCGCACCAGCACGCGCACTCGGCGCATTCTCAGCATCAGCCGCCGCCGCACCATCAGCAGCAGCAGCAGCAGCAACAGCAACCGCCGCAGCTCCAACACCATCCCCAGCTTCCCCCGCCGCAGCCTCACCATCATCATCACCAACAACAGCAGCCGCCGCCGCCGCCGCCTCAACAACAGCAACTCCAGTCTTCGCACCACCTCCAGCACCACTCTCTCCACCAGCAGCCTCATCAGGCCCAGCACCCGCTCCCACACCCGCACCAGCAACAACAACACCAACACCAACCTCCCAGGCCTGACGATGGGGCCCTCCCGCCCCCCACCGCGCCCCCCACCGCGCCCGCCTCGGCCGACCAGCGCTCCCGCCCTCAGCAAATGCCTACACCTTTCTCCAAGGTGGACGACAGCACCGGCCGGAAATATCAGTGCGTCTTGCCTTGCGCTCATTGTGTGGTGTCTCCGGGACTTCGACTTGGCTAACACGACTTTGTAGACTTGATGTCGTACAACAACCCCGCCGCGCTCGCATGTGCGGTTTTGGTGACAAGGTGCGCTCGACAGCATCCCTAATTGCGCCTGGCACTCTCTCTGACCCATAACAGGACCGGCGCCCCATCACTCCGCCACCATGTGTCCGTCTCGTCATCACTGACATGGCCACGGGCAAGGAAATTGACTGCAAGTACGTGTAATGAAGCCTCCAGTTTGGTCGCTCGTTCTTGAGAGCTAATTCCAGATGTGCAGCGACATTGACCACGCTATGTTCGTTCTCAATGTTGATCTCTGGAACGAGGATGGCACCCAGGAGGTAAACCTTGTCCGATCATCGACCGGAACTCCGTCCATCTCGTCCACGACCCCCTACTCATACACCACGCTCAATGGGGGCGACTCCAACCCCGTCCAATACCAGCAGCAAACCCTGCCTCCGAGTCGCGACCCGGCGTATCCCCAGTCTTCTAACGCGCCCTATGCACAAGACTACCCCGTACAACAGCAAGGATACACCCCAGGTAGGTCTTTGTAAGAGAACGACATCCCGCAAGTGCCCGCTGACCTGGACCAGTGTCTTCGACGTATCCTCAGAATGGCTCGTTCGGACCTGCACAGCAGTACTACCCGCAGCATAATTACCGGGCGGACCCTCCGCCAGTACCGACTCAATCCAGCATGGCCCAGTACCGGAACGGATCGCAGTCTGGATATGTGCAAGATCAAAACGCACTCACCAGGATGGCTGTTGTGGGAGGCCAACCCCAAGGGATGTTTACGAGGAACCTCATTGGTAGCCTGGCAGCCAGCGCGTTTCGTCTGAGCGATATCTACGACCATATTGGTATTTGGTTTGTACTCCAGGATCTTAGCGTGCGAACGGAAGGACCGTTTCGGTAAGTGCGCCAACGCGGAAGCGGCAGAGAAGGGGAGACTGACGCAGCGGTGTAGATTGAAGTTCTCTTTCGTCAATGTCGGACCTGTAGGCGGACCTAGCCGGGACGGGAATGGTCCCAAGGTTAATCAGGGCAAGGCACTAATTCTGGCATCTTGCTTCAGTGAGGTGTTCAATGTGTACTCGGCCAAGAAGTTCCCTGGCGTGTGCGAGAGCACCCCCCTGAGCAAAACTTTTGCGACACAGGGCATCAAGATTCCGATCCGCAAGGACTCCAACGTGAAGGGAGGAGATGGCGCAGACGACGAATACGACTAAAAATAAGCGGAAGAGTAACACCTTCGGTTGGTTTGCCAAAGAGACTTGTTGATTTCCCGGAACTCGGGTTGTCGCTGGTTCACCGCTACCCTCGTTTCCGTTATTGCTCTTTACCATACCTAGCCCCCGTTGGAATCATGAATATCAAAAGGGCCATGGCACCAGTATTGCCCTTCTAATCGCCATACCTTGATGGAGCTAGAATGGTTGGATGGAGTTGTGTCTCGCTTGGCTGATTGACGACCTTGAGGTGTTGGATGCGGGGAAAGTTGTAGCGGGGGCGGGGATGTTAGGAAGAACAACAGCAGTATTGAGTTGCAGGTAGCGGCGACGATGGATGGGGACCCTGGTGAAGTCGGCGGCAAGGGTGGAGGCAGAAGTGGAGGCTGTGGTGGAGGATGTGCTGCTCCGCACGGTTGCGATCTGGCCAGGGGCTCTGGGGGGGTGAGGATGCGATAATGCGGGGTGCAGATGAACATGGACGCAGATGGCGTCGCGACTCCGGGGAGGGAATCCGAAAGGGAACCAGCATGGAACAAGAGCAGGGACAGCACCCGGACTTACGAGCATGGCATGGCTTTGGACATGACTTTGCAGGATGACTTAGCCTAAGCTGTATAAACAGCACCAGAAGATTGGCTGAAGCCAGTGCTATTAGGCGATATAATAAGCAAGAGGGGGAAGTATCTTGGGATCTGAGCAGGACCTCGAACGACTTGCTTGCCAACTCTGTGGCCAGAAGACCGACTGGATCAGGAAGTGACTGGGAGTTATGTCGTTGAAGGAAGTAATAAGCGCCCATTGTCCTCCCCTCAGCAACAGAGGGGGGAATGTAGACGGCCATCGATGACATGTTTGAGATGGACAGATGATCCAGGTGGGAGCGAGAACCGAGGAACGAGAACCGAAATGCAAAAGGGCAAAGGCCGCCCTGCTTCCGATGAAGGCGAGGCTTCGTGGACGGTTGAGGCTGAGAAAGGCACGAGTACACAGCCCAGTGCGATATTCAATTAGCTGCCGCAGTGAAAATGAAGCTGGCCAGGAGCAATGGCGAGGAGAGTGTGTATGGCAATAAGAAGCGAACGACAAAAAGAAGGAGAAATCAAAGTGGGTTGAAGAAGAGCAGGACAAGAATATTGAAGGTGGTGCTCAGTTTGCGCTCAGGAGAGCAGGGGATGTGGGCGGAGAGTCATAGCTCTGGCAACGTCATTGTCACGCTGCGGTGAAGGGAATTTTTATTGCAAGGCCTATGACGAATGCTGCCTTCACCGCAGTCCACATGTCCTATTCAAGACGGTGTCCCGCCCCCGGTTTTTATGGCATCGCAATTCGAGATTTTTATTCCCTCATGTTCTAGGCTACAGGGGATGAAAGATTATTCACATTGTTTAGTGTTGGTACCTACAAAAGTACAAAGGGACAATAACACAAGATTGATTTGTGCTTAGCATTTCCGAGCGCATAAACCCTAGTCTTGTACGGAGGGCCCTTTCAAAAGTCTTGTCCTAAGAAAAAGCAACGATTCCTAATCAGCCAATTATAATTAGGCTAAGTACACTAAGTACTTCCTACTTCTCATAAGCCCTAAAAGGTAGCAGATTACAGCACACCATCATCCACTAGATCCTGGCTACCAGCCCCTAATGCCACTGAAGCTATAGAATGTATAGGGGATAGCTTGGGGATGCTGTTACAACCTCTATGTATCTCAGGTAACTGACAGGGTACAGGGATGTAGTGTTGCTAGCGCTTGGACGAGACTTTTGAAAGGGCCCTCCGTACCTGAGGCTAAAAATACCGGTTCTCGGCTAGGGTCCTGGTCCTCAACGACGGAGCATGGACAGTTGGTGCCCGAGGAGGGATAACGGGGGGAGAATGAAGTCATAGTTGGTGGCAGCTGTCGGAGACCGGCGACAGTGACGGCGAGGATGAGGCTCACAGCTGGATGTATGTATTCTTAGAGGCGCACGCCCCGTTTGCAGAAGCATACTACCTAGGTACGTAGTAGAAGGCCCCTAATAACAGTCACCAGCCTCAATCCCGGTCCGGGTGCAGGTCCGCGGCGCCAGGTTACCCCCCTTGAGCTCGGTAGCTCTAGCGAACCAATTTGATGGAAGGGGCGACGTCCTGAACTACTCAGACACGACCCTATCCCTTTGAGTGCGGTAAGGCAACACTTAGGTCACTAGCAGGGGGGTCCAGCCAACCAGAGTATAGCAAATTAAAGGTACATAGATCCCCACCTATTTTATATGGTGATAGAAGTCCCAGCAATTCCCCCCTCTACATAACGCTACATTACACTGCTGACAGCGATATCGCGATTTCTTTAGTCTCTGACCTCTGTTGCCGTTGACTGCCCGTAACGGCTGCGGCCGACCCTCTCCAAGCCGTATTCCTTTACAAGCTTGACATGCCGAGGGATTCTTATTCCGGACCCAATTGTGCTGTATAACAGGCGTAAATTCGTCTCCAGTCCGAAATCTCTGTCGGGCCTGACTGTCAGACTGATACTTTGCGATAAGGTCATTAACAATACGTTGGCGCCAATTGCCCTGTGATATCTCCGGCTTCCACTGTGGCTGCCCTCGCTGCTGTAAAATATAGCTGTTAATAAGGGCTATTTCTAGCAGGAAGTCCCAAGCTAGAGCCCTCCAGCCGCCCCTACGGGCACGCCGGGTAGGGCTCCAATATGACCGCATTTGGTCACCGCGATCTACAGCACCCATCTCGTCATTGTAAACAGCAGCGATGGATGGGATAGAAATCAGCTTGACAGCCTCGTCACCAAAAAATCGCTGTATTGGCCGTGCTTGCATTTGGTCTGTTGTCGGTCTCTTCCTTATGCGTTCGAGTCTCTCAGTGCCCTTGAACACAGTGGACAGGAATAGCACGAGGGCGTTATCTTTCCATGCGATCTGATTGACCTAGCTGAAGACAAATTAGTAGGGAAAATCAATACAATCCTGTCTCTCTGACTGACTTGGTTATCTGCTGTCGGGATAGCTTTGATATCATTGAATTGAAGGCTGCCGGCAGCTGTGTTATCTGCAGCTTTGAGCTTGACAAGAGGCTTGTAGATGCCACAGTTCCTGCAGGCTGTGCCTGTGGCGCCGTGGCCGCATTGCCGGAGCCGGCGAAAGAGGTTACAGGAAGAGAATAGGTTATCGAGAAATACATGGTATCTGGCTTCCGGCAGCAGATTTACTAGGGCAACAACTACAGCTTGGGTTGGGTTTAGATGGATTGTCTTCCTCTCTTGTCGCTGCTGCCGGGTCCGCCGCAGCTGTGACGGCAGGCGCCGGTAGCTCAGCCGGATACCAACAGGCCCGTATTTCCGGCCGGGCCGGTGCCAAATCCACCGCAGGAAATAGCCTTGTTTGGCTACAGCCCACACTTTAAAGCCTGTGGGGATAGGTTTATTAGGGACTGTTGTTATCTCAATAGATCGTCCGAGAAAGCGGACCATACACTCATCTACAGCAATAGATGTGCCCGGAATATAGAATAACGTAGACGTATATTGTATATAGTCAGACCAAGCCTTAATCCGGATAAAGGTGCGGCCGTAGAAGCTTATGTTAGGATCCTTATCGATGGTTGTAAAGTTAAAGATCTAAAGATATCAAGATAGCAGCTGGAATTGGTCATAAGGCATCCATTTAATTACTGGATGAATAGGGCGTAGATCCTTAGATCCAGAAGTCTTCCAATACAGCTTGATCTGCGGCTCGATATGTATTCTCATATATATCAAGATCGCAAGCCATATGTAGATTTCGGCAACAGAGGTCGGCTTCCAATCCAGCAGCCAAGACCGCGGCTTCAATCTACAGCTGCCATCTTCATGCTGCTCAAGCCGGTGACTGACCCAGCTGTTGGTGTATTGGGCCCAGCCTTCTACTAGGGAAACAGGCAGGAATTGCTGGAATAGTAACAGCAGCTCCGGGGGTAGGGTTGTTATCTCAGGGACCCGGCTTGGAATGACCATCGGATCGAAGTTGTAACCGCGATCCGGAACCGGATCATATATCGGCCGGCAGGTGTTATCAGTCGGCTGCTCGCGACGGCTGTTATCAGTGCCAATGAAGCTATTGTCATCATACGCATTGACTGCCTGGCTGGAGAGCTGTTGGGAATCCATAAGTGCACACAGAATGAGTTGTACGGTGAATTGGGCGGGGTTGATTCTAGCGGTGCTTTAGGTCACTCTAGGTACCTCGGCTGTGGCAGGGGTGTGGTGGGTCCCGTGACCTAAGTGTTGCCTTACCGCACTCAAAGGGATATGCGTGTGATCTAGCAAACATAGCATTATGCTTGTGATAATCATGTCCCGCCCTCTGGACGCGGGCAAATGCAGCACATTCTGGAAGGCATCCAAAGTCAACGCGGGCCAAGTTTTAACCCCCGAAACCCAAAAACCTTAAAAGGCTAGCCACAGCGGCCCTCTGATTGGACACAGCTGGCATGACAGGTACGTACCAAAACCAAGGAGCTAACCAAAATCTGGCGGACCACGAGGACAACCCACGATGGGGCGAATCCATTACGTTTTTGTTAGTCAAGGAGTGGCCGACGACGGCTCAGCTTAGCTTAGCCCGTGATGGATGGTTCTGCCATGGGCCGGCCTGGGGCGCACGCTGCACGTTGCAAGGCCTCTGGTCCGCATCCATCCGCCTAACAACAAGCCAACGAACGGCAAGCTCGCTACAGCCCTGCCTAATGCCCTGTCCGCAACCTCTGTCGGCTCGACGCTCGACGCTCGACAGCCTGGAGCGAGGGCCTGGACACGCCGACCCCGATCACCCGTAGCACAAACCCAGCCCTTGGCAACCCTACTGGAAGCGGTCTCGTCGCCTCTCGTGAGGCGGGGAAGGGCGACAGAGACCGAGGAGAAAGAAAAAAACTGTTGGCCACACGCCCTTTTCCGCCAAGTCCCCGCCTCTCGCGAAGCTGTCTCGCCCAAGACCATCCCAGGGGGCGTCGTCGTAGCTCCCTTCCGTGCCCCCGTCGGTGCCCCGGTTCGGCTTTGGGCGGTGGATGTGCGCGTGTGAGTGTGTGTGCGTCTGCGTCTGCGTGATCATGGGACGCTTGGAAAATCCCAAGAGAAGAGTGAAGAAAAAAAAGCCGACATCATCAGCCTGGCGCCGCCCCCCCTTGGCGTTGGGATAAATAATCCAGAGTCACCAGCCGGTGTTGACGTGATTTCCCCCTCCATCCTCACCTTTCCAACCCTCCAACCACACACGCACGCTTCAAGCATCGTCCCATTGCGACTCTGAGCCAGTGTCCTGACTTGATTCCTCGCCTTGTCATTCAACAAACGAGACCAACAGCCAACCACCCGCTTCTCCTCCCCCTCTTTCTCCAGGACTCACTCCTCACACCTCATCTCTCTCACCACCTTCACCACAACTTCTTCTCTCAAAATGCTGGCCTCTCACGGACGCGGCGGCGCCGGCAACATGGCTGATGTTGCCCACACCCCCAAGACCGACCCTCAGGACCTCCTGACTCCCACTCTGAAGAGCTCCGTCGTCACCACCGGCCGCGGTGGCACTGGCAACATGGCCAAGAACATGGACCCCCGCGAGACCCGTCTGCGCCAGGATGTCGAAGCGTGAGTTCCCCCCCTCAACCCGATTCCTCACTTGAGTTGTTCGAGTCATTCCCTTTTTTTTCCTTCGTGCTGACTCTCTCTTTTCAGTGTCCCTCGACGTGCCAGCTCCAGCGCTCAGCACGCCGGGCGAGGTGGTGCCGGCAACGTCTTCAAGGGCGAGGAGGCTGAGCTCGCCCGCAAGGCCAGCAACGACCATGCTGTCGACGACAGCCCCGAGTCCGTCGTTGCCAAGGGCAAGCACTGGTTCTTTGGCAAGAAGGCATAGTTCCTCGTCACCCTGGCAATTGATTTTTTTTGGCGTGGCGAGTCTTTAATTTTGGTTGTGTGCCAAGCTCGGTGTTTTCTGGTGTTGTGGCGCCTCTGGGCAAATGGATCGGCCTCTTTACGGGTCAAGGGAGGAAAAGAGATACCAGCATGCAAAGGATTGAGATGGATTGTATCATGGATCATGATTTCTATACTATTACACGACGGCATTTATATATTCTTGAACCCCTCTTTTGTTTATCTTGCCCGGTGATGTGTGATTGGTTCCCAACCCAACATAGCAGTATATCAGATAAGGCGACAGGACGTCACTCCATCGTCTGATAGCAGAGCCTCTTCCTACCTTCTTTCCTCCCCTGCTCTCAATTGCTCATGCATGACCCGCTTAGTTCTTCGTCAGCCGGTGGACCTCCTCGAAAAAGTGCTTGAGGTTGTCTGGATGAACACCAGGGGTGATTCCTAGATAACTTGGTCAGCGTGCAAACATTCGACAACTACCAAGCAGCAACATACCATGGCCAAGATTGGCGATCCATCCCTTGTTGCCCACCCAGAATCCATCAACCATCTCCTGCACCGCAGCCGTGATGCCCTCCTTGGTGCCGTACAAAACGCCGGGGTCGGCGTTACCCTGGAGCACAATATTGCGGTCGCCTCGGATCTTGACGGCGTCCTTGGCATCATGCAGCCAGTCCAACCCCACCACGTTGTAGCCCAGGTTGCAAGCAGAGTCGAGCGCATACCAGGCACCCTTGGGGAACACGGTCATGGGCACACGCTCCAAGCCGAGGCTCTGCAACTTAGCGGGCAGCTTGTCGGCAATATGCGCCAGGTAAGGCTCCGAGAATTGACGGTACGACGAGGGGCCCAGCTCCCCGGCCCAGGAATCAAAGACCATCACCAGCTATTCCCAGTTATAGTCAGCCATCAGTCCGTCCTTCTACCTGTCTCTTCTGGGGCCCCGCCTACCTGTGCTCCGGCCTTGACCTGCAGCGCCAAGTGGTCCACGCAGATGTCGGCAATCTTGCTCAGCAACTTCTTGGACTCCTCGGGATACTTGTAGATCCAAGTCTTGACTTGCGCAAACAGCTTAGTGCCGCCGCCCTCGACCATGTAACAGAAGAGAGTCCAGGGCGCGCCACAGAAGCCAATCAGGGGGACCTGGCCAGCAAGCTTCTTGCGCGTCAGGGTAATGGCGTCGTAGACATAGCCCAGTTCAGCGGCGACGTCGACGTCACGCGCGAGCACCTGACCGTATTGCCCGTCGTCGGGTGTCTTGAGCGGGCTCGGGAAGTGCGGGCCCTTCTTGTCCACCATCTCGACGACCATGCCCATGGCCTGCGGGATGACGAGGATGTCGGAAAAGATGATGGCGGCATCGAGGAGTCCGGTGTATCGCTCGACGGGCTGCAAGGTGATCGTCGAGGCGACCTCGGGGTCGCGGCAGCACTCGAAGAAGTCGCGCTTGCCCTTGGCCTCATGGTACTCGGGGAGGTATCGTCCGGCTGTTCAAAAGACGTCAGTTCCATGTATCCAGTCTCCTCTGCCTGTTGGATTCCATCTTCTTACCCTGTCGCATCACCCACATGGGAGGACGCTCAACTTTCTGACCTATCCGCGACACAACAAATCTCAGTATAGCTCTTTTTGCTTGTTCTTGCTGCCACCCAGCACATCTTCACAGGCGCGGAGAAAACCCACCCCATGCCGCCCGCAGCAACAGGTCGTTCTTGAGAGGTTCAAAATTGTGCTCCATTGTCGTTAACTGTAGTGTTGCTGAATAGTCGAAAGTCAACTACCCCGCCGCCTTATTGCGGGAGTCAAAGTTCAATTCAATTGACTGGAGGGGTCCCTCGGTACGTACCGCTGAGAAAGCCGGGGTGCCCGGAACCACCTTAGCTTCACCACTCTGCCTACCCTGTACCTTGGCCGGAAACGGTCGGGCCGACACGCTGTCGTCTTCCATCCAGAGCTATCGCGCCAACTTCGCCCGCAACCTCGAGATGACCATCTGCCAACATTGAGCTTTTGCCGAACGACCGAATATCTCACGACTCCCGCAACCGCAACGCTTCCCAAAAGCCCCTACAGCCCTTCTCCCGTTCGCGCAAACTCTCGCCCCCATTCGCGACAATGTCTTCCGAACGTGAATTCCAGATCCACCCCATCGTCCAGGAGTCGGTGATGCACAACACCAAGGTCAGTCGCCAGCTTCCATCGCACGCCGCGCCCAGCCCCCAGAACGAATACCTCTCTAACATATCTCCTTCTCTTCATAGGCACTATCAAACCTCCAAAGCCTAACGGCTTCCCTCTTCGGCGTCAGCGTAGGCGTCCTCGGCCTCGAGTCTTACAGCGGCTTCCTCGTCTACTTCGTCTTCTCCTTCATCACCACTCTCCTATTCTACGTCTTCAAGGTCGCTCCCGAGTCACTGTCTGAAGGTCGCCCGCCTCTCGACCCCACCCGCTTCTACCGCGGTATCTTCGACTTCTGGCTCAGCGGCGCGTTCAGTGGCATCTCCGGCTTCATCCTGACGTGGACTTTATTTTACGGCCTGGTAAGGGCGTAAGGGTCTTCTAGCACCATGAGTTTTTGAGCATATACATGGCGTCAACGGAGTTATGGGAAACATTACTTGGGCAACTGTTGTCTCGGGGTAGGGTTTGGTATATTAAGCCATGCTTGTATTGAAACCAGGTAGAACAAAACACATGCGCTGGAAAAATACACAAGTCGCAAACAGACAACGCTCACAAGCTTTAATCAACAATCTCAACCACCTTGCCCACAAATCCTTCCAAGCCAGATCTATCCTGACTTCCGCCTTCCAACAGTATCACCCGTGAACCCAACTCAATCCACTCTCGATGATGTAGCAACTCTAAAGAAACTTCAGTTCCGCTTTTCTTTCGTCCTATTTCCGTCACAGTCTCGACTGCAGGATCATTGAGATTGAATATATCATCGATTTCGTCAGTCGCCACCGCACCAGCTTCCCAGCCCTGATCTTGCCGAGAGACACGACGGATTCGAGCCACAGTCCTGATACTGGCAATGTAGATGTTAACAAAAGAGCCAATAGCAAGGGTCTCAGTGTCGGGGTCATTGAATATTGCAGTGAATCCGCTGGCTGCCTGCAGCTTCAGCCCAGTGTCTGCCATGTGTTTCGAGGGAATAGCCAGGATCATGCCTCGACGTATGCGGGGAATATCCTCCGAGGGCTGTGCGAATCCAGAGGTGCCGTTTTGTTGATCGACTGAACAAGATTGAAGTACGAGGCCGATTGAACCAGCTTGTCCGGCTTCAAGGGCTAGCACAGGGAGCCGGAGGTTGCGAATGCTGACAATCTGCGCGTCGTGCCACTCTCCCGCAATCGTCGACGCAGATACTGCGTTCTTCATTGCTATTCGGGCCAGCTCCGCGGAGGACGGATGGGATATTGAGAGTCCATAGCTGCCGGGAGACGGCCGGTCCTCTGGCGTTGAGCCCCGCGGATCATCGTCTTCGGATGGGAATGGTCCAATCACGATCTTATCGCCAACAGAGAAACGTCCAAAGCGGAGGTGCCCAGAAACCACAATACCTTGATCTGCATTTTTTCTTGAGTTTCCAGCCAATGCGCTGTAGGAAGCCGGCAAGTTGAACGTATCGTCGATGTGAAAGAGACACTTTGGTTGTTCTGGATTCAAGGCCATGCCCACGAAATCGCGAGATGTGGGCGCAGGAGGCAATGGTAAGTTTTCCAAGAGGGCATGCATCAGACCAACTCCACTGCCCTTGACGGCGCTTGTTAGCACAATCGGAACAAGTTGAGTCAATTTGCCGCTTTGAGAGATGCCTTTCAGGAGCTCCTGGACTTTGACATGGTCCTCCATGGGCACCTCCTTGAGTTCCTCATGCTGTCTCTGGTCGGGCTGGAGAATCTTGGGCACTCGCCCAACGTCCTTGATGGCAGTTAAAACCTTGATCATGGTTCTCTGAAGACTTATCTTGGAGGCTAGGTCCAGTTTTGTGATGACAATGGCCATAGGAACCTCCATCTTAAGTGACAACGTCAGATGAGCCTTGACGAGATCCACCCCCGCTGCAGCGACGCCGAGCACATCCTGTGCTGACGATGTTGTGCCATAATCACTGGAGGGCGAATCCGCATCATCCGCAGCGATGCACAGTATGATCCAGTGAGGCTCCCAATTCATCAAACCGCGGAGCACTGTACGCCGATATCTAGGATGTCCTGCCGAATCAGAAACGAAGACCAGGCGGCCGTCCTCGGAGCAGTTGTGGATATCCACCCATGATTCAATGTTTCCGTGAGAATAGTTCAAGATGGCCCGATCCTTGTATCCGATAAGTTCCTGGGCTATGGAGCTGGTGATTCCGGAGACGACTTCGTGTCGGTGCTTCAACAAGCTAAGACGACTCTTTCCACGACCGTTGTCCAGGGTTCCCGTTGAAAGCGTACCAAGTAGGCTAGATTTTCCGGAGGTCGTAGGGCCAGTGAAAGTGACTCTCAACTGTGGCGTTGTAGAGCTCCCGCGGCTGGGAACAGCAACGCTCTCCACGGATGCCTGGCCTGGCTTGAGAGCCGTCAGAGAGGAGCTTTCCTCAGTGTCATCCCCAAAGCCGAGATTGGGCATGACGAGGGCTTCTGCAACCCATAACTTACCGCTGCGAGTGACTTGAGCTGGTGCTGTAACAGGGTTGTCGATCAATTCTGCCGATTCAACCCACTCGCAGTCTCCGACGATGACCATGCGCAGAACTTCGACAGAACAACCCAGGCTGGCAGCCATGACCCTGAGTGTAGCGATACTCTCGTCCATTTCGTCTTTGGTAAGACCAATGAGAGTTCCATCATCGGAAACACCAATCTCATACAAAGCACCTCGCGACTCCTCAAGACCAGGAACGAGCTTGCCGAGCTTGACTGGGACGGTAAGATCCACGGCGTCGTCGGGTAGCCTCGGAAGGGCCAGCTCCTTGGAACTAGAAGCATGATAAGGGGAAGACTGTTGCAATCTCCATAGAAGTTGGGTAGTCAGATGCTGGAGTCTTTCCTGGCGTGGCTGGTTGGAGGAGACTAGGCTGGGAGTCGGGGGCTTAGAAGAACCACCTCCCTGGGACCGAGAAGCTGGCGATCCTGGCTTTGCTGTGCTCATCTCCTTGAACACTCTCCGTTGTCTTAGAAGTAGGTGGAGCTTGTATTCGGTTGGACCACTCTGTGGCTCTGCCTCCAATTTAGTGACGCCATACTCGGAGAGCAAGCCAGGCTGGACTTGGGTTGTTCCAGGGATTGGGGGGCCTCGGCCACCCTCGGCGTCTTGCTTACGCAGGTCACTTGGGGGGATCCACGGGGATGAGACCCTTGGAGGGTTAGGGTCATAGGTGAAAACTGAAGCCATGTTGTAGGCGCGGCGATAAGTGAAAGTTGAAATTAGAAACCGCGGTGTATTTCAGATCAGACGCAAGCTCAGGATATTGAGTACAATGAGGGGCGCCGCTGTAATGTAAACCGTGAACCGATATATGTATTCCCAAAGAAGAAGCAAGAGCAATTTATCCGGAGTATCATCTTGATAAGTCGTTTGTGTAGGGTATGGATGATGGTGATGAGTGGATCACGAGAGGGTGACACAACCAGATGGTCAGCTCAGAAGAGCGAAGACATGACGACGGCGGTAGCTTAATCAGGTTTAGGAGATGCTGAATTGGACCGACACGGATTTGGAGTCTCCGGGGTCGAAGGAGGGCGTGTTAAAACGGCGCGAGGTGTTTGCGGGCTTAAGTATTGTTGATGGATAGTTGGTCGAATGAGGCTGCCCACCGGCCGAGACGGGGATGGAGAGCGAGCCGTGACGAGTCAGGAGTGACGCATCGGCCAAGGGGCCAATCAAGTAGCCGCTGTGAGAACCTGGGAAGTTAGTGGTCGCCTCAGTGGTCAACGGGTCGGCGAGGCGCATGCGAAAGCCGTGCCTAGGTTCTAGCTGGTGCGCAGGAGTCTTCAGTGGACTATCCACCTGCTCAGGCTTCTCCACTCCCCCAAAATCCACTGATCATTCCCCGGACAGCAGTCATCAACATGACATCGGTCCATGGGTGACTAACGATGCTGGACTTCGTGATCAATTGATGCTGTCCCGGATCACCCAACCTGATATCAACTAGCTGAGTTGGATCTAAACGTCGTTCGAGCGGATGAGTCGTCGAAACTAAAGATCAATAAGATGATCACACTGACAGCGCATGGCGACGTCAGGGTCTCAGTCCCATGCCGGGGGCTTCCTCGTGATGCTCAACCGAGATGAATATTGACCATGGCCAGAAAATACATGGGATGAACCATGGCAGGGAGTGTGTTTTCTTCCATTGTGCCCTAGTTATCGATCCTGATAGCGGGTGTGAATCACGACCAAGAGAGACTTTGATGAAAGTGCCTTGTGAGGAATTCTGGTCAAAGCCAGCAGCCCCATGATGATAGTTCATTCTTAACTTCTGAGAATTGGGCCCAGCTCGCAGGCTCTTGGCAATTTCGACACCAGGGAGGAGAAATGCGGCTGCCTGGTCGCCGTCCCCTTCCGAGATACCTGCCCATAGCGACCCATGTCAATCCAGGTGAGGCTGGCAAGGACAAAGTCCTACCCTCCCCCAGCTGACAGCATGGAACTGTGAGTGGGATTGAGTGCAAAGCTGACTGCTTAGCTCCTCTCAGCCCGACGCTGACGACCTTAGCAAGTACGTAGGCGCCGCCACCGACTGACGAAGCAACAGGCTAAGCCACACATCCATCGGATTCAGTCACATTGCTGGCTCGGGAGCAGATTCACTGCCCCCTGGAAAGCCTGAAGCTCAGTATGCGTGGGAACACCCCGAAGACGCCTCAGCTCGGTCCTTGCTGGGGTTCGCTTTGCCTCAAGGAAGCGAAGCCCAATGGAGGGGTCCGATAGAGGGGTCCAGGAGGGGCCGGGGTAGGCCGCAGCATTGCAATCCATTCCTAGCCCGTTCTAATAAACGCCCGTAGCGATTGGCCCCAGCGATTGTGCCCCAGCGAGCCCCAGTGGCTTTTGGGCACTTGTTGGGCGCCTGTAGCCAATGCCACTATGGCCAGCCGTGGCCTCCTCCGTCCCTCACTTTAGGCTTGACACACCTGACGGACGCCTGATTCACCCCCCATTCCCGAAACAATCCTCCCACCGCCGGCCCTCCAAAGTCCAAAGGTCACCGCCCGCAGGGGTGCACTACTCTCCAATCCCCCGTCTCCCAGCCGTCGGACACCGCATCATAAGACTCGCTGACTTGCCACCGACCCGGCTTCCAGCTACTTTCTTCTCCTCCTCCAAACCGACCGATCGTATTATTTCGCGCTCCGGGCTGCTTAATCCCCTCGAATTCAACCACACAGCCGACATCCACCGACATCCACCGCCGCCCGCGCTGCCATGAAGAAGTTCGGCTTTGGAAAGAAGGGCGACGACGGCGACGATGCGAATCGCAATGCCCTCTTCAGCCGCAAGAAGTCCTCTCAATCCCCTGCCGCCAGCAACCCCTACGCCAAGTCAGGTGGTAATGATCCCTATGCCGACGAAGCAAAGTACGCCAACGTGACGCCCTACCAACAGGCTCGAGCCGGTCTTGGTGGCCCCCCCGGTGGCGGTCCTCCCCCTCAGCAATCCAACGCATACGGTGCACCCCCTGGTGGCCACAACTCCCAACCCCCCAGCGGATACGGTGCCGACAGATACGGATCCGGCGGTGGTTACGGTGGCAATCGATATGACAACGCCGGAAGCCAGGATCGACAAAACCCCCCGGCCGGCGGGGCCAGAGGCCCTGGTGGTTATGGTGGATTTGGTCGAGACGAGCCCGATGACAACCGGGATGCCCTCTTTGCTGGCGCCACAGAGAGACAAGCCCAGAAGCAACCGCCATCGGCCCCTCCTGGTGGCGCCTATGGTCAGCAGCCGGGGGGGGATGGAGGTTCATACGGTGGATACGGTGAATCCCGAGAGCTGACTGCTGAGGAGCAGGAGGAGGCCGACTACCAGGCCATCCTATCAGAGAAACGACAGATTCAGCAAGAGAGTGCGTCTTCTGTCAACCGCTCGGTCCAGATGGCCAGGCAGGCCAATGAAGTGGGACGTGCCACTCTTGCCCGGCTCGGTGCCCAGGGCGAACGGTTGAACAACACAGAGAAGCATCTGGATTTGGCCGCCAACCAGAACAAAATTGCTCAGGATAGAGCCTCTGAGCTGAAGACACTCAACAGGAGCATGTTTGCCGTTCATGTTGGCAACCCCTTTACTTCTAAATCGCGCCAACTCAAGGCTGACGAGGAGGTCATGAGTCGCCACCGAAACGAGAGGGATGCACGAGAAGCTACCCGCCGTGACGGCTTTAATGCCACTCAGCGCATGGAATCCAACTTCAAGGGTATGGAGCAGGGCGCTTCGCAACGACAGCAGCCTCGCAAGAAGGATTATGGCAAGTTCAACCTAGATGATGAAGAAGGCGCCGATGAGCTTGAGGATCAGATTGACGACGGTCTCGACGAGCTGTCTGGTCAGGTCTCCATGATGAACATGGTCGGGAGAGCCATTGGTAAGGAGGTGGACGCTCAGAACAAGCAGATCGACAGGATTATGAACAAGGCAAGTGACACTGCTCTATGGCTGACTCTGACATCTAATACTAACCATCTCGGCAGAGCGACGCTGTTGATGATGCGACCAGGATGAACCGAGAACGGTTGGCCCGGATTAAGTAAAGGATTATAAAACAAAGGGTCGACGTCATAAAGACCGCTCATGGAGCCGCTTAGTTTGGCCTGTCGTCCGGTCTGTCGACATAATCTGTTTGGAGAAAGAATTCTGACTTCCATTGTAATTCTCTACACAATGGACTCGTACAGATAGGCTCTGGGACTGGTGCTAGAATGACACCAATGGTGGGATCAAGTGGCGTTTGGTTATGTCCGACGCTCTTAGGTGTGAAAGCGATGCTTCAGGGTTATATCTATTTTGCTGTTCCTGACCTCTAGCACTCTGGTGTGGCTAAGTTGAGCGGCGTTATTGCCCATCAAGGTTCGGCTTTTATGCAAAACTTTGAAAATGAATAGACGACAAGTCCCCTATAGAGTGTGCTCCAGCTGAATCCAAGGGATGGATTCTGTAGTTCTTCTGAGGTGCAATGATGGGATGGTTGTTGCTGGAGTGCTAGTACAATTACCTTGTCGCGTCACTCGACCAACCTGCATATGTGTATATAGCCTTATCCTATATCTAAACATGGAGTACTCGGTGAATACTTTGATGTTGTTTTAGAAAGTCCCGAAGCGTGAGTGCCAAATGTCGAAGACGATATTTCAACTCGGAGGTCGGGTCCATGAAGGGTGTGTGATTCACCGTGCGTATAACATACGCACTGTACACAATCCCTGTTCATCAAACATGCCAATAAATTTTCCCAGCATAGAAAGTAGGTGCTAGTGTGAATCAACCAACACCCAGTCGCATCCAAGATGGCGTCCGAAAACAATTCAGCGCACCCGGCCAAGAGGCGAAAGACTCGCCCGGACCCAAATGCACTTACCATTGGAGGCAAGGCCATTTCCCTTGAGGGATATCTCACAGCACCTGCTCCAAAACCAGCAAAGAAGGCTGAAGCTTCAGAGCCAGCCACACCAGCTCCAACTCCTCAGGCAGCTGAGCCAACGATCGCCACGGCGAAAAAGGACGTGGCTAATTCTGGCTCAAAGAAGCCGTTTCGGCCCCGCGACTCTGACAAGACCCGAAGTCGGGAGGACCGTGGCCTGCTCAAAACGCGAAAGGAGCTTCCCATCTGGCGGTATCGCGACCACATCCAAAATGCCATGCGCAAGTCCGACAGCGATGTACTTGTCTTGGTGGGTGAAACCGGCTCGGGTAAAAGTACCCAGGTTCCTCAGTTTCTTTACCAGGAATCCTGGTGCAGACGACAAAAGGTCAAAGTTCCCGGATCCGACGAAGAGGTCTCCGTGGGCGGTATGATCGCCATCACGCAGCCAAGACGAGTGGCTGCTACGACATTGGCCCATCGAGTGTCTCAAGAAGCCGGTACTCCTCTGGGAAAGGGACGGCCCGACGGCCTTGTCGGTTACTCCGTCCGGTTCGATCATCTGGTTCCGAAAGGGACCAAGATCAAATTCTTGACGGAAGGGATGCTGCTGCAGGAGCTACTACGGGATCCCAATCTCCGGAGTTATAGCGCCATCATCGTTGATGAAATCCACGAGCGGAGTCTGGATGTTGATCTTCTTGTCGGTTTTTTGAAACAAATCCTAGGGGGAGATCGTGCTGGTCGCGGCGGCATTCCACTTAAGGTAGTCATCATGAGTGCAACGGCCGATGTGGATGGAATTCAGAACTTCTTCAAGGATGTTCAGCCAGAAATCAAGGACGCAAACCCCACACAACTCCTTCGAATCAAGGGACGACAGTACCCTGTGGAGCTCACTCATGAACCGAAACCGGTGGCCGATCTACAGGATGCTCTTCTCAAGACCATCTTCAAGATTCATCTCCAGGAGCAACTGCCTGGAGATATCCTCGCTTTTCTGACTGGGCAAGAGGAAATTGAGTCAGCTCAGAAACTGATTGAGGAGTATGCGGAGACTCTGGCGTCCAACGTTCCTAAAATCAAGGTCTTTCCTTTGTACGGCCAACTATCGATGGAGGCCCAACGTCAGGCTTTCTTGCCCGTCAAGGCCTCGTTCACGCGAAAGATCGTACTAGCGACAAACATTGCCGAGACTTCAGTCACAGTCCCAGGAGTGAGATATGTTGTGGACTCTGGCAAGGCTAAGTTGAAGCAGTATCGCGCACGACTCGGCATGGAGTCGCTCCTCGCCAAACCGATCTCGAAGTCATCAGCTGTGCAACGAACTGGCCGAGCCGGCCGTGAAGGGCCAGGCAAATGTTTCCGACTCTACACAGAAGATGCGTTTAAGAGTCTCCAAGACGCGGATCTTCCTGAGATTCTTCGCAATGATGTCCTTGGGGCGGTCTTGACCATGAAGGCGCGTGGGATCCAGGATGTTCTTGCGTTTCCTCTGATGGACCCACCAGAGCCTGAATCAATTGAGAAGGCTTTGGTTCACTTGCACTTCCTGGGTGCGTTGAATGACGATGGGTCGATCACAGCTGTTGGGGAGAAGATGGCTCGACTCCCCATCTCGGCTCCTCTGGGAGCGGTCCTTCTGGCTGCCGCAAAACCTGAGTTCGACTGTGTGACTGAGGCCATCGATATTATCTCATGCATCACGTCTGGAGACGACATCTTCCTTCAGGTGCAGTCAGAAGAGGCGCAGGAAGAGATAGAAGCGGCCAGGAAAGAGCTCCATCGTCGTGAGGGAGATATCATGACATACCTGACCACCATGCAACTGTATACAGCCGAAAACGCCAACAGGGTGGATTGGTGCAAGCATCGAAAGATCAACATGCGCAACATGAGACAGGCCTTGAATATCCGCAGGCAACTCCGAGGCATGTGCCTCAAGGAGAAGTTGCTCTCCGAGGCTCCTCCACCTGATCCCCAGCCATTCGTCCCTCTTGCCCCAGAGAGAGCCGAGCAACTTCTCAAGTGCTTCCTCCGCGGTTTCGCGTTGAAGACGGCTATGTTGGCACCAGATAGTAGCTTCGTCACTGTTCACGGCAAGCATGTCGTCGCTATCCATCCCGCGAGTGTGCTGCACGGGCAAAAAAAGGAGGCCATCATGTTCTTGGAGCACGTTTATACCAATAAGAACTACGCCAAGAAGGTCAGCGCGATCCAAGCGACTTGGATTGCGGAGGCTTTGGAGGGCAGGTGATTCAAAGATGGTGAGCGAGGCCAGGCTTAGATGTATATTGACTCTATTTTACATATGATACATGCTTGTGTTTATGATTGGGGCTACTCGCCCATGTTTCTCTTTTGAATTGCCTGCATCAACTCGTACAATTGGGCTATTTGCTCATCTATTTTTACGTCAGTATCAAGCAAGATTAGAGTACTGGCCCAGGCTTCACTCACCGCTCATTTTCTGGAGTTTCCCCTCGTCGAGCTTCTCGCCGACCCAGGAGTCACCCTCAATCTTCTGGGCGTAGAGTTGCCACTCGGTCAGAAATCCTATCTTGAGTCACATTAGCCGAGCCATCAGGTCATTCTTGGGTGGAATTGACGTACCAGATGGGCCGGGTTGTCGACTTTCCTATGAGCCCTAAACTCGGCCTTGATGTACTCGTCGCCGAGAAGCCTCATATCGGTAGGGAGATGCTTGCGGTGGGCGCGAAGGAGGCGACGGTACAGGTGGACAGGCGGCAGAAGAGCAACCGAGTTGGGTCTGAGACCGCCGCGCGTGGCGGCCACGGCCAACCTCAGAGCAGATGGGCGCATATTAGACAATATCGGTGTGCGTAATAGCCAATTGTGTTTCAAATACGCTTAAGGAATGCGAGCGCCGAGCGCCGTGGACGTTGTGAAGCCTTTCGAGTCAGTTTTGATGACGAATAGCGAGGTTTCGAATGGCTGCCGAAGACTTGCACACAGTGCTTGGAAGGTTGACGGGGCGAGATGCAGGCCCCACTGCACAGTGCACAAACTCGCAACTTTTTGTCAAGACCCTCAAAGTCCGTCTACTAGTGAGAGGGACGACGAGAACCCCGACACGAGCCGCAATCATGTCGTTTTCATTTGGCTTCGCCGGCGAGGACATCTCCGACGACGAGCAGCATGCTCCGAGCCCCAAGCCGGCTCCGACTCAGGCCCCGGCTGCCAGCGCCTTCCCTGTCCCGGGCAAACCGCAGCTCCCGCCCACGCTCCATGAGCTCGCCGGCATGCTCGCGCAGCTGCCGTCCAAGATCGCCTACAGCACGCTGGACGTGGCTTTGGACGACGGGACGGCCATCAAGATCCCCCGCCGCGAGCTGTGGGATGTGCGCGTGCAGCTGATGGCCGAGGAGGAGGAGATCAGCGGCCAGGCCGCCGCCGAGGGCCTGGGCGCCCACGACGTCAAGACGGGCGTCTACGAGGGCGGCTTTAAGAGCTGGGAAAGCAGCGTGGATCTGGTCAAGGTGTTGGCGGCGAACAATTCCATATCGGCTCTTCTGCAGTCGCCAGTACGAGTGATTGAGGTATGTAGGCTGAGAAACCAGCAAGGCCCCGAGCCCGTAGGCATTTAACATCTAACACTATCGTCAACAGCTCGGATGCGGTACTGCGCTGCCATCCGTAGCCCTCTTCCAATGGACCATGTCCTTGCCGTCAGAGAGGCGCCCCCTGTCTTTAATCCTGGCAGACTACAATCCCACAGTCCTCCAGCTCGTCACCTTACCCAACTTCATCCTGGCCTGGGCCCTCAACAACCCGCAAACGCCCGCCCTGAAGGATGCCTTCTCAATCGATGGCGAGGTCGAGCTTGGCCTTGATGCCATCACCGCTTTCCAGCAGTACCTGCAGGCATCCAACATCACCCTGTCTTTCGCCTCGGGTGCCTGGTCCAAGGCGTTCGTCGACCTGCTGTACACATTGCCCGCAGGAGACGGCCAGTCGACTAGCACTCTGCTCCTAGGAGCAGAGACCATCTACTCCCCATTTGCCCTACAGGCCTTTACGGAGACCATCTTCACCATCCTCGAGAGAGAAAGAGACACTCCGGGCAGCGAGGCGGGGGCATATATCGGCGCCAAGAGGCTGTACTTTGGCGTTGGTGGGTCGTTGGATGATTTCATCGACAAAGCTCGCGGAAAGGGCGCCGTCGTTAATCAAGTCCGAGAGGAGACAGAGGGTGTGAGGCGAGGCGTTGTTCAATGTATTCTTAGACCTACATAGACGCAAAATATCAAGTTCAAATTAAACGTTCCATTTCACGCATCGTAGAGTGCATGCCGCAGGTTAAGGATTCCAAATAAAAAAGCGAAGCTGGGTATATTTTTGCCTTCCAAACGCCAGACATTTTCACGTCGTGTTCTTATCTATACTATGTACACAATTCTCAGTGCCAAGGCGTCACATTGTCCCTGTGCACCATATCTCCTGATTCCAAGTCCTCAAAGCTTCAACTCCTCAAAGCTACTTGATGCTTTTCTTTTGAAACTTCTCGGTACAGACTGGACAGTACCATGTACCGTTCGGTTCGCTCTTAAGTCCAACACACGACCAGTGGAACCACTCATAGGGACAATTGTCATTGTCGCAGGCAACCATGTCGCCGTAGCTCACGTTATGACAAAGGCAGTACTTTTTATCGTCGCCTCCATCGTCGTCGTCATCATCAGCGTCGCCTAGCACGTCATCCCCGTCCCCGTCTTTGCCATCCGCAGCGGGCGTCCCCCTGGATCGTCCGTCGCCGCCATCTTCGTCATCTCCACTGCCGCTTTCTGGGTCAGAGAGCTCGCTATCGGCGGTCGGCGCGGGCGAGTTTCTATTGGATGCCTTCTTGACTCGCGACAGCGAAGACTTGTTGATTGGCTTCTTCCGTGAACCAGCAGTCGGGGTGCCTCGACGGCCGACGGCCATTCCTGTCGACTTGACTGAACTCGATCTTGGACCAGCACTCCCAGCTCTGGTAAGAGAGCCCGGTCCATTGGGAGCACTTCCCTTAGGAGTGCCTGGTCCCAATGACGCATGTCTTGCTAGACCGCTGGATGTGACGGGAATGCTGCCTAGGGCTGGGTTGGCGCGAGGTCCCCGTTTCGTTATGGGCCCTGCAGAGCTTTCGCGTTGTCTGTTGAGGATCATGCTGGCTGCCGGAGTAGCAGGGGCGGATGAGGGATGCGGTTGGCCTTGGGCGTGTCGAACGTTCGGGTGGCTAGGGAGTCGAGCCATGGCGGGGTTGGACGATGTTGGGACTGTCGTTAGGGGCACAGCAGCTGGGCCGGCCGTGGTGATTGTGCTCGTCAAGTTGAGGGAGCGGATGTTGGGAACGGTTTGGTTGGCGGCGCTAGCTCTGAGCAACGAGGGCACTTCGTCAGGATCGGTGAAGCCAGGCTCAGCCCGGTCGTAGAGGAGCTTAACCTGGATATCGAGGCTGCGGAGGTGCTTGTCCATTATGACTTGCAGCTTCTGCATCAGGGTCATCTTGTCCTGGGATAGTTGGTCGGCTTTCGCATAATTCTCGCGAACCTGCGCGCGTAGCAAATCCTCTTTAGGGTTTGGTTCGTGGCTGCCATTGGTTTTGATCCATTTCTGGATCTTGCCGTCGCGATCCTCGACCATGCGAATACATTCGGCATACTGGCGATCCTTGTCGGAAATCTCCTCCTGGATGAATCGGATCTCCTCGGGAAGGTTCTGGACGCGATTGATCCAGTCGTCCAGGATCAGGCCTGGGTCGAGGGGCTCGGTCTGAGGCATCCTCTTGACGAAGTCGATGGACAAGTCGTCTCTAGGCATGACTGTTAACGATGGGTTGGTCGAACGACAGCGACATGAGCTTGGAGAGCGATGACGTCGTAGTTCTCAAGCCCCATAGGACGGACAAACGGACGCGGCACGCAGACACAGACGCAGATAGCAATATGAGAACGAGACAAGAGAACCAGACAGGCCAGATGGTAGACAAGACGTCTGGTGGTTGGTCAAGCAAGGCTAGGGCGGGGAGGAAGAGAAAGAAGTGGTCCCAGAGGGCCCAGAGCAGGGCAGGGGAGGGGAGTGGTTGTCACGAGCAACGCGCAACCCGGTGATAGGCTCGTTTTAGTGACGGCGCAGAGAGCAACTCGAAGTGAATGACTCGGCTCACCTCGGACGACACAAAAAAAGGCCTGCTGCTTGCGGAGACTTGGGGGCAGGTGAGGGGGATCTTGGCGCTGTTGCGGTGCTTGAGATGTCAGCGGCGGGAAGAGGTTGCGTTGCGATTGCAAGGATAGTAGTGGAGGGCGTGTGACGATGAGAAGCGATGGAGGGTTTGAGGAAGGCAGGAGAAAAGTCCAGCCGAGAGGGTGTCTCTTCATCAGGCACCAGCCCTGGGGGCAAGCCACAGTTCCCCAGCCATGATTTCAGACGCAAGCCTCAATCAGGAAACCGCTAGTCCCAACTCAGGACCTCGGACAGCACAAGTGGGGGTTTTGCATGGAGGCTCTCAACGGGTACCTGCTCACCTTGCTAAGCCATGTATCTCTGAAGTCTATTAAAAAGCTAAAATGGTGTCACTTTGGTGTGGATTGGGCCCATGTGTACACCAGCACTACCTCCCCCAGCTTCCACACCGTTCCGTTGCCGCTAACCAACCACATGCATCTTGGGCCATTTTCGATTCTCAAAGACCAGGACTTGAACTTGCCGAAGACATCCTCCTCCCACCTCAACCTCGCCAACGCAGCTTTTACAACACGACCAACTGAACGACGCTTCTTTCGAACCCGCGTTTGAGGCTGACCATCTAGACCGGCGTCGCAAACTCCCTTCAACCTCTCTATCCTCATTCCGGGCAGCCGAAGTTGCTTACTCACCATCGCCAATCTCATCTCATCCTCATCTCGTTCCCATATCGTGAGCTGGGTCCAGGTGCCTCTGCTCGCTCACAGCCATGAATATAGACTCGTACAGATATCGGGTGCCCAAACCCAACTATCTTCCTCACAACATAGATGTCGACCGCGATGAGTCCATCATCGAGGAGTACAACACGCCGCTTGGCCTCGCGAGTGAAATGGACAACGCCAAGTTTTACAACAAGTGCAAGCGTCTCGCAGAGGAGTCGGGCATTACACGGCCCAAGGGGTACAACGTATCCTTTCATTGCAACCCCGATATTGAAAAGCACCACTTTGGCGTCACTCATCCCATGAAGCCATGGCGCCTCACTCTTTCTAAGAGCCTGATCTACTCTTACGGCATGTCCTTTGCCATGGACAACTACATATCAAGAGCCGCCACATACGAGGAGCTGGCATCTTTTCATTCAACAGATTACATCGATTTCCTCGGCACTGTGCTTCCCGAGCCGGTGCCACGAGATCTCGAGAACCAAAACCTGGACCTCAAGTTCAACCTAGGTGGCTCAGATTGCCCTCTTTTCGATGGCCTCTACGACTACTGCTCTCTTTCTGCTGGTGGGTCACTCGATGCTGCGCGGAAGATCTGCAACCAACAATCCGACATCGCCATCTCCTGGGGAGGCGGCCTGCACCATGCCAAGAGGGCCGAGGCCTCTGGCTTTTGCTACATCAACGACATCGTCCTCGCCATCCTCCAGCTGCTGCGCTACTATCCGCGGGTCTTGTACATTGATATTGATGTCCACCACGGAGATGGCGTCGAGGAGGCTTTTTTCTCCACCGATAGAGTCATGACGGTCTCGTTTCACAAGTACGACCCCAACAACTTCTTCCCCGGCACAGGTGCCCTCGACGACAACGGTCCTAAGAGCGAGCACAATCCGGGCTCGCACCACGCCTTCAACGTTCCGCTGAACGATGGTATTACGGATGAGCAATACGATAACCTCTTCAACACCGTCATTGGCAAGATTGTGGAAAAGTTCCGGCCAGGTGCCATCGCGCTGCAGTGCGGTGCTGACTCGTTGGCCGGTGATCGTCTGGGTCGCTTTAACCTACAAGTGCAGGGACACGGTGCATGCGTCGAGTTTTGCAAGAAAATGCGCATTCCCATGATTTTGTTCGGCGGCGGTGGATACACTCCAAGGAATGTAGCCCGGGCCTGGACCTACGAGACTAGCATCGCCATCGACTGTCAGGACAAAATCGACCCGATCCTACCACAGCACGCTCCCTGGCGGGATCAGTTTCGACAGGAAACACTCTTCCCCACCCTGGAGCAGATCCTGGGCGAGCCGCGACAGAATCGCAATCCCCAAAAACGCTTGCAGGACGTTGTGCAACACATCACGGAACAGCTCCGGTTCGTGGCAGCGGCCCCGAGCGTTCAATTCCAAAACATCCCGCCCGATCTCGGGGCGATCCGAGACGACGTGGAAGCACGGTTGAAGGAGGAGAATGATGAAAGACATGATGAGGTGCGCAGGGCGCGTGAGGCCGCAGTGGGCACGGCCATGGAACTTTGAGTGTATCAGGATGGCGAGCCGCCCACGCGAGCAACATGCGCAGGGTACTTGCCGTTGGTCCCCGAAGCGCCAAGTGACGCGCGGTCAAGGCTGGCGAGGCTCGCTGAATCCCATACCCAGCGGGTGCTGCAACGAAGCCAAGCGATTAACCACTCCAACATACGGGGCCAGAGGAGACCGTTGGTCCTGGTCAATCAAAGCATCCCTCGCGCGCATCAAATAAATAGGGGAACAGGGAAACAGGAGCACCAGGAGTATCAGGAGTTCCGACGCAACCGTTTCAGTGCCGCTTGACTTTCATCCGCCCTCAGCCCATTCCCACCGCCTAGACCCAAGCGAGCCAACGGAGCAGTGGGACTCGGCGCCGACATCCAACTGCGGATCCTCCGGCGCAACGCCATGCTGAAGAGAGTCTCCGTTTCGCAGCCAGGTTGCACCCTCACAATGTGAAAAAACGTGCTTCCCCATCATCCCATCTCCGACCCCCTGCGCAAATCACCACCATGATGTCGCAACAACATGCGCTGTTTCCAGGTTATTCCTCTCAGAAACACCCCTGGTGCTCCGTCTTTGCCCCATCTGACCAAGGCAAACCCACTTGTTTGGATCGGCGTTGGTTCCAGGTTGCGCCCGACGTTGGTTGGTTGCAGTGTTGGTGTTGGGTCGCATAAGAGGACGACATCGAGGATTCTTCCAGGGTCTAGCCAATGTAGAGTCCCCGCAGGATATGCTTCGCCGTCAAGCTTTTGTGTAGCCAGGGGCTGATAGGATTTTTAGCAATTTCAGATACTCCTCATCCAACAGTTAGTACTAACTTGGCCACGCTATATAATCATGGGGTGAACCTCCCTTTTCCACCTGTCTCATTCTCTGTATCTATCCTTGGCTGGCCCGGGCATCATCCATTCTTTTCTTTACAATCACGTTCCTTTACGACTCCATATCCATTCGTTACACTCCTTGCACGGCCGTTTGCCACGTCCATTCTTTTTAAAGTACTTGTTCCAGGAACAACTGGTGACTCCTTCAACTTTCATTCACACCCCAGTCGAACCGACAACAATGGTTTCCGTGACTCAGTTCGCCCTGGCGGCGCTCGCTCTTGGTACTCCTGCCAGTGCCCGTCGTCACCGCCATCACCATGACCACGGTCATGGTTGGTATACATCCGTTGCTTCAAATTCTGCTCCTGCGTCTGCCACCTTCTTGCCGACCACCACTCCTTTGACGGAAACCTCCAAGGCGATCGTCACCATCATCACTTCCAAGATCACGCCCAGTTATGGCAGTGACATTGGCACGGTAACAACAACGACTGAGGCCGAGGTAACGTCGTCTGTAATTAAGACAACTTCGACTACGACTAAGGCGACGTCGACTGAGGCAAGCGCCTCGGCTACGAGTGCCAGCGGCGGCATCGAATCCGACTTCAAGCCCGGCGTCAAGTGGGATATCTGCATCGACCACCCCATCAAGCACGACAGCGTCGACGACTTCGTCCCAGTCGCGGCCAAGGTCTGGGACATTGACCTTGGACACGCTCACGAGTTCCCCGACATGATTCCCATGATGAAGGTAAGTCGGTACATCAAAAATACAACAAAATGGCATCATAGTGCTGACATCTCGCGTAGAAAGCAGGGAAGTTCGTGATTTGTTACTTCAACGCTGGTGCTGTCCAATCCTGGGACGAGGACAAGGCCCAATTCCCCGATGACATCGTCGGAAAAGCTCTGGACTACCCCTACGGCGTTGACGAGTTTTATGTCGATATCCGAGACGAACGCGTGCTTGATGTCATGAAGGCACGACTAGACTCAGCCGTCGTTGTCGGTTGTGACGCTGTCGACCCTGACAACGTCGATGCTTGGGTACAAGACGGCGACGATCCCACAGGCTTCAGCCTCAAGGCTTCCGACTACGCCGCGTACCTCAAGAACATGGCCGAGTATGCCCACTCATTGACGACGCAGGAGGGCAAGTCTCTCCTGGTCGGCCAGAAGAACGCCCCAGAAATCGCAGCAGACCTGGTCTCGACCCTTGACTTTGCCGTCCTTGAGCAGTGCCGTGGCAGCAGCGACGAGAGCGACGAGACTTACTCATTCTGCTCCGACTTTCAGGCTTACATCGACGCCGATAAACCCGTGCTCCAGATCGAGTATCCCCCCTCAGTTAGCTTGTCCGACGGCACCCTGAGCGCCTCTGACAAGAGTTTCTACTGCAACGCCGAGCCCGGCGATAAAAACTTCAGCAAAGTCCTCAAGTGGGCATCTGCTCAGCTTGACGGCTGGGGCGAGTACTGCAATGGTAAATCCTACCGTACTCCTGAGGCTGAGTACGAGTAAGCGAACCGTGTACTGGAAGTGTCCAGAGCTGAGGTCGCGTTCACGAAATTCATGATTTATGTATATGATGTAAGATAAATCACAGGTATATTCTTGTAAATATTATCATCTTCTCAAGCAACGCCGACGAGATGGCCACTCTGTGATTTCCAACCTTGTTTCCAAAAATGAACATGACCCAACCTTCACTTCAGGTGTACACCCATTTATCAGTTGTACGACACTCCCCCTCGGTTCTTTTGGTTTATCCTCCGGACCTGCACGGCAACGAAAGAGACAAGGGCAACGCCAATGATCAAGCCTAGCAGCAGCAACATAATGTCAACAGGCACAGGGTTGCCGTGGAAGGTCTGGTGGAACAGGACGTCGAGGCCCGACTGGGAGAAATTGAAGAGCCCCGACAGGCAGATGATGAGGCCGTAGACAGTGCCAAAGGTGCGGAAGCCAAATACCTTTGCACTGTAGTCGGACACGGCCGTGTAGTAGAAAGGCCGGTATAGCACGAAAAGGATGATGTTGCCGTAGGCGGCCCAGGTGTAGGGCAGCACGCCTAGCACGCCGATCAGCGTACCCGTAGAGACGAGGGCAGCAAGCACGACAACGGTGCCAAAGTGGTCGAGGGCAGTGCCGATGAAGGGGATGGACACGAGACCCCCGACTGGCAGGGCGACGTCGAAGAAAGTATTGATCTGGACAGCGAGCTCGTGGTCGCCAAAGATGGCCTCGTACTGCGGGCGGATGGTGGCGACGAAGAAGTTGATGCGCGTCATCTGGACGATGGTGAAGAGGCACACGAGGATGAACCACGGCGACGTGATCTGCTGCAGCACCGTGTTGTCGTGCATGACGCCCCAGACGCCCGAGGCAGCGATCTTGCGTTCCTGGGCCTCGACCTGATCTCCACCCTTAGCAGATCCCAGCAACGTCTCGATGTCAGCCATGACAGACTGGCGGCGCTGGCGCTCCTCGAACCGTTCTTCCTGCAACAAGGCCGTGTGTTCGTCGATCTGGTCCTCGGGGGTCCCGCCGAGGGCCTCGTAGGCGGCGTCGGCCTCGTCTGCCTGATCGACCAGCTCGCCAACCGTCTTGTAGGACTGGGTGGGCATGATGGTTAACTGGACGACGAGGATGACCGCGGGGACAGCGAGATAGACAAGGAAGAATCGTCGCAGGTTGAAGGCGCCGTCGGTGGCGTTAAACAGGATGCGGTACACGAGGAAGAGGGCGCTGGAGGCGTCGAAGGCGCCCGTCAGGAGAGCCAGGATAAGGCCGGACCGGCGCGGGAAGGCATTGGAGAGCTGGAAGGACGAGATGTAGGTAAAAGGTCCCCCAAGGGCAAGGAACAGATAACCCGGGAGAAGGCCATCAAACGGCAGCGCCGCCTCGTAGGCCATGAGGAGGGCACCGATGGTGAGGAACGCGCTGCCGATGACACCACAGGCGCGAGGGCCGTAGTGATCTAGGATCGCACCGACAGGCAGGGCGGCGACGTTTGTGCCGACGGCGGCCACGGTGAACATGAGGTTGAGGCGGATCTCGACGCAGGTGTCGCGGGGCATCAGGGCGAAGCTATCGCTGCCCTCGCCGTCGCCGGGGTGCTCCGGGCACGAGTCGGCGTAGGCGCCCTCCTGCTTGAGGACGGGCTTGAGGGCGGCATAGCCGAAGACGATGCCGGCAGCGAAGAGGCAGTTGACGACGGCAGCGGCAATCTGGACTAGACAGACAAAGCTGGTTAGCGAGAGGAGGCTGCTGGTTGGAGTAATGGGTCTCCATCGTGACGAGCACGGGCGCCATCATGACTGGAGTGCCGGACATCAACTCCCATCATGACTAGACGTCGATCAACCACTTACGCAGTCGCTTCCACTGAGGCACCTCAAAGGCGCCGACGGTGTCGACATAAGGATCATCGGGCCGCAGCGACACCGACTCCCAATCCTGCGGCACGGGGTTGAAGCTCAGGCGGCGCACGCGGAGGCTCGCATCGCTGACGCGCCTATCGCGGACATCATGGGAATGGCCCGGCGGCACGGCGAGCGTCTCGAGACTGGCGACGCGGTTCAGCGACATGGCTGACAGGCGAGTTGAATCAATTGATGATTCTGGCGGAAAAGGGTTCGACGGAGCGATGAAGCTTGGGAACGGAATCCCGCCCGGCCGGTAGGGGCCACGGGACGAGGAGTGAGGGGAAGGGAGGCAAGGGAACCTGGAAGGGTTGGCGGGGACTTTTGGATGGCGGGATCGTGATGCGCCACCCAAAGCCAGTCGAGAGGGTGGACAACCACAAAAAGGAATAAGACTCGATTGGGCGAGTTTTCTGGCAGAGACGCACTCAATGGCTCTCTGGCTCACCTCTTGACGAATTCACGTATTCAGAAAGTAAATAAGATGAACCAACGCCCGCTGGGTTACCAGTTAGTTATAGCTAAGTCATCGTCCGTCCTATCCTCGGCCGTTCTACACCCCCGCCCTCTAGCATCCAGCATCCAGCATCCGGCATCCAGTCTCCAGCCATCCCCGGGCCCCATCTCCCTTATCTGGCAATCCGAGTGGCAACGATCCATCTTCACTTCGCTCAGTACATGCTGCATGCACGCATATCACCCTCGCGCGCAAGCCAAGCCCGCAGAGGCCCGGAGGGGAGGGCCGCGCACGCGGCGGATTGGCCGTAGGCGACGAGCACCACAACGCGATGCCCGATGCAGAGATGCGAGCGAGATATGCGAACGAGATATGCGAAAGCCGATGCCACAACGGAGATACACTGCACTTCGATATGCGATAAGGAGGCCCCAAGCTAACGCCTGCTAGGTGCCGGACCTTCAGTTTGGGTTGCCTCGCTTGCAGGACAAAGAGATAGAGAAGAATCGCCGCCCGGTGACGATATCGTCGAAAACTCAAAGCTTGCATCTGACCAAGTAAGCGCACAAGGCCGGGCCAACCACCATCCCCGTCCCGCTGCATGAATGGATCCCCCCTCCCCCCGCCGGCCGGCCATCGTGACGAACTGCAGTGACATGTAGAAAAAAGTGAGAGATTGACCGCGGCGATTGGCCCGCCGGCATCGCGCTTCTGCTACCCCGGGACTGCTGCGTCGCCGACTGAGAATGATGCGCCCGCCCGATTCTGTATCTCTTGTGTTGCATTGCGTTCTTCCCTGACCTCAGGTGCCATGCGGGCACTTCAACCTACCTACCTATATGGTGCCATGCCATGCCAAATCCTTCCGCTAACGGAGGTCAACCTCACTCTCTCAATTCCTTGCTTCACAGCGAGAGTTTCGGCCCCCAAACATCCTCCGCCCTCCGTCTCCGGACCTCCGTAGCTCCCTTCCCCACAAACAGTATCGCCGCCGCCGGCCCGTTAGCCAATGGTCTTACATAAACCCGTCACTCACATCGCAGGGTAACACCAACCTAAAAGAAAGATGAGGTCGATTGCAAGAAGCCTAAAGACACTGCAGTACTAGGTTCACAGACATTACATGGCTTTAAAAGGGCGTGGTTGTGTCGGGCCGGCCGCCGACATCACTCCTCAACCGATAGAGAACTCGCACCGCCTCTCCTCGGAAACGCCGCCGGGTCCCATCCCCCAATGCTCAAAAACATCTTCGTCCTCCGTCCTTCGTCGTGGCACTGGGGTTGGCAGCCAGAAAGAGAATACAGGCAGAAATGCGACACGTGCAGCTAGCAAGACCATGAGGCAAAGAAAACAGAAGATGCAATGCTCACAAAACAAAAATGGCACATAGATGAGTCCACCATACTTCTTTCTACCCCTGGCGATCCTTCATCCCATATTCAAAAAGTCTAGCCCCCAAACTCGACAAAAGAGAGATCCTTGGCTCCGTATCCAACCACGGTTCAACGGGAAGGTCGACGCCGTCATTTCCAGCTCGTCCTACCAGTGGATACTTGTCTGTCGTGGCCGCGGCCGGTGATCCGAAGGGCCCCTATCTTTGCCGCCCAGAATATCCACAAGAAGATCCAAAAGCGCAATTCCCTACCTCACGACCCGAGCCGTTACTTTAGTAGTATCGGACAACGGCCGAGCCACCATCACTGATAGTAGTCTGCAATCACATACGTTAGTTATCGTTCTCAACCTTTAGAGGTAGCGTTTTCAACTTACGGTGCAGCCGGAGGAGCCGCCAGTCCAGACACCGTCAATGTACGAGCACTTGCTGTTGCCACCCTTGATCTCAATGTTGAAGTCGAGCTTGGCAGTGCTGGTGGGCAAGTTCTGGAAGATGGAGATGTAGGTGTTGCCATCGGAAGCCTGGCCAACACCGAGGACGATGGGCGCCCAGTTACCAGCACCATCAGAATCGGTGGAGCTGGTCCAGACGCAAGCCTCCTCGTTGGTGTAACCCTTCTTGTTGACATAGTACTGAGCAGAGGTGCCAGAGCCGTCCCAGATGTAGTAGTTCTCCTGGACAGGGTTGCAGACACTGATGGTGCTGCCAGCAGCAGCCCAGGCGGGAATGACCATGTTCTCGGTTCCGGGGTAATCGGTTCGGCAGGTGGCAACGCCCTCGGAGAGCTCGTTCTTGATAGTGACGCCGCCAGCGCCCTGCTCGCAGAGAGTGGAGTAACCCTCACGGGTCAGCTCAAGGTAACCCTCGCTGTTGCAGTAAAGACCACCAATAGACTGCTTAGTGGCGCCCTGGGCAGAGGGCCATTGGGTCTTCTGGTAGCCGACGGGGCACGCGTACGAGCACATGGCATTCTTGGTGCAAGAGTCACCAGAAACGGCGGTGTCGATGGTGGAGATGGAGATGTCACCAACGGTGTAGTCAGGGACGTACTGGATACCAGACCAACCACCGAAGTTCATCCAGTCAAGGGCAACGGCACCGTAAGACGAAGGGAACTCGCTGCACTTGATGGTGCCGCTGGGGAACTTGCTCCCAACTCCAGAGCCGCTGGAAGACGATGACGAGCTGGACTCGGATGAGATGGAAACCTCCTGGGTGGAGGTGGCAGCAGCCGAGGTGGAGGTTGAGGTAGACGACGTGGCGATCGAGGTCGTCGAGGTAGTGGGATCGGCGGACTTGGACTCGTAGAACTGGGCGCCCAGGCTGGCCTCCGCAGAGGTAGAGGTCTCAACGGCGGAGGTGGAGGTCTCGACCACGACGGGGGCGGTGTAAGTAGGGTTAGACTCGCCAACAACCACGAGGTTGCCTTCCTGGATTCCGGCCTTGGCCTCGTCGTTGGAAAGCTTCTTGCCCTCAAGCTCGTATATCGTCTCGGTGGCGGCGACAACGTACTCGGTTACAACGGCGGGATCGCGCTTGACGACCTTGGAGCCACCGCGACGGACGTGCTGGTGCCTGTGCTGGTGCTGGGCGGTGGCGCCAGCGACCAGGGTCGCGGCGAGGGTGTAGGTAATGAGGTTCTTCATCGTAGCGGTAGATTGTAATAGGACGATGTATCGGTGGTGCGGCTACAGAATCTGCAGGTTTGTTGGTTAGCTATGTGAATCTTGATAGTCGCAATCCGGCGATGTTATCATTGCGGCCTAAGCCACAGTTATCCCCGTCCTGAATATGTGATGGAGACACCGAGAAAGAGAGAGACGGCCAACGACAGTATATTAAAGGGGCTGGCGCGTTGTTTTGGTGACGAAGCATGAATTGTCAAGAAGCTGGGCGTCGTTGTTCTCTCGTGGTTGATAGTTGTTGGACTCCTCGTTCGCTTGCTCTTGAAACCATTCCTATGCGCAAGTCGGCGCTCGGATTTCGCACCCAGCCTCTGCGATCACTCCTATTCACACTCTCGCAGTTTGTCTCTCTCCCTCGGCGGCCTGGACACTCATTCGGCTGTGTTGTTCTTCACTGACTGACCTGTTGTGAGGGTATTGGAATGTAAATGTCCCTGCCCCGGGCGTAGCGAACGACAACGATGAAACGAACGTGGTGGTGCAAAGGACCAAAATAAAGGAGCGTGGTAGAGAGAAGAAAGGACTCTCGATTTAGCAAGGAAGCACGATGAGAAGCAAGAGAAGCAAGCGCCTGGAGCGGAGACGAAAGGGGAGGAGGCAGGCCAGCGTCTTGACTAGACAGGTCGCCCGGGGTGGTGAGGGAGACGAGCGAACCGGGGCCAGGGGAAGACAAGGGTTAGGGGCGTCCATAACCGGTTGGGCGTCTGTTAGGGGGTCTGTTCCAGGGTTTCACGGGCCCCAGTGGAGCGGAGGTCAGTGGAGGGGCAGGGGCACAAGGGCACCAACGTGGACAATTTTAGGGGCAATCCCTTAGCTCTAGGATGTCTAGGGGGGCCTAGGTAGGGCACTTTGGCATCTCGGAGACCACATTCAGGGGAGTGGCAACAAGCTTGCAACCCCAAGTCATAGATGGCTCCGTCTACCACGTACCCGAATTTGAATGAGTGCTACGTAGGTGGTAAGTTAGGAGCCCGTCCCAGGAGCGCATACGTACTGATTTCTACTAATAATTCCTCCTCATCAATTGGGCCGCCTCACACCTCCCGAGGCAGACACTCAGCGGGAAATTAGCTTGTCGTCAGTGGGTTCACATAGCCCACGAGTGCATTCTCTCCCACCCGTCAGTTCCCAGCGCCAGCGCCCCCCGGTGGATGCCTTGCTCCGTGGGCCATCCGAACCAGCACTGCTGAGAAACACGCCACGCACTCCTACGACTCTTTGGGGAAGAGCTGTCACTCAATACGAAGGTGCTCGCTGGATGCACGGCTCACACGGCATCCCGTAGAGTAAGCAGCCGGCGGATGACCAGCGAATGTTCGATATTGCACGAGAGTATCTAAGTCAATCAATCGTTACAGCGCGCACGATGTCCAGCGAAATTAGATGTACATAGCTGCCAAAGCGCACAAGAGCAAGCACTTGGCCGAAGGGGGGCGCAATGTGCGGGATGCCCAGAAATGCGATCGTCGCTTCGTTTCGGGTCCAGCTCACTCGTCTCTTTCTAGCTCAGGCGTCCGCGTCGCTCGTTCGCTGCTCCGCGTCTACTGCGTAGTACGATAGTACGTTCAGCGGCTGCGTCGTCAATCATCATCATCATCATGGCATTGAGATGAACAAACCAGACCCCCGGCCCCTGCTCTACGGTCAGCCCGGATCAACAGGAGGTAGAGGCTTGTGCGCACCGGCTCGTTCATCTGTTTCCACCAGCCTTCCTTCGGTCCATGGCCTGCCTATGCCGCCTCGTCTGGCGTTTCTTGGTTGAGCGCCCTTGCCAAGGAACAAGCGAGAGCGGTCAATGACTTGAGGAGAGCGAAGTCCGCTAGTGGTTGAGAGCGCCTTGGCTGAATGTTATTTGCCCCTCTTCCAGGCTCACTCTGCTTCAGGCGACCGATCGTCTGCCAGAGACAATGCCAGTGGGTGGGAAAAACCAGAGATGATGGCCAAAATGCGAAACACGCCCTCGTAATTCATGGGCCGTGAAGGCCATGCAATTGGGGCAGAAGCTGGGCACCTACCCCATTTGGTCAGTCCATTGCCCACCAGTCGCGTCGTGCGTTCTGATTCAGCCACACACTGTTTTGCGGTACGTACACGCCGGGTCCCTCCGAATGCACCTTCTACCAGGGGACCCAGCCAGTCACCAGCTGCAGAGCCCAGAACACTCCCCCTCCCGCAGATTGCCTCTGCAGTTGCACTCGGGTACCTGGAGCTAGTCCCTTTTACACACCTCCTTTGTCAAATACCAGCTCTTGAGCCAATCAGCGTACCGTGGCTGCCTCTTCACTCTCCAGCGTTCCTCCATTAGGCTTGGAAATCACAGGCGATGCTGCCGAAACAGGGCAAGGCGAAATAGGGCCTCATCTCTCATCCAGTCGAGAACCGTCAACCCCGTCTTCTCCATCCTCCATCACCGATATCAACCATGGCTCCAACCCCGGCCACGATCCCTCCTTGTTGGTGGTTGGCGGTTAGTTGACGATTAATTACGTACCCTCAGTCTGAGTGACGAGGCTCCGATTATTAGGAGTGCGTTTCCCCAGAGCAGAGCCACCATCACCGCAGTTACTGTACAATTTACGGTTATTGCGATTTGATTGTCAATCCCTACCAGCAAACATCAGCCATGATGTTTGGTAAGGCCGGACCGTGCTGTTATTCGTCAAAGTTGTTTCGTCCGATACCAGTTCTCCCCAGCAATAGCCGCCACATAATGAGGAGACCGAGTTTGGAGAATTCGCGAAGTGGCTCCGGCGCCTGGACAAAATTGCATACCAGCCATACTCCCTCCTCAGGCTCCGCCGTTGGTTACGAATATCCTACAGGCCTGCTTGCACCTAGGTCACTGCAGGAAACAGTGCAGCTCCTTGTTGGCTCGGTTACATGCTTGGCCGTCCTTGAAAGTAGCATGAACAAGCTCATTGAACCCCTGTCGCCACTCTCGGAAAATAGAGACGGCAGCAGGTCAGTGCCAAATGAGATCCGCACCGGATCTGCCTTTGCTGCAGCACTCTCCCGTTACAGAGTGCCTGGGTTTCCCGCCTTTTCGGTGGCCCATAATACGGAGTCGAAGAGACATGGCTTTGTTTGGTCGTCCTTGATATTGCGACATGTCGGGGTCTGTCAAGCCTGTCAAGCATGTCAAGCCATAGTAGCGCCTTGCTTCTCCCGTCGTTTGTGCCTGCAACCTTGCGGCCTTGGCCCGGTTGCCACCTCGTGCGTAGTAGTCACACGGCACGCGTCAGCACCTAATTTCTCCCCCGGCCTCGTCTCTGCCGCCTTTGCCCGCTCCCCTTTCTCCTTTCTCAACCTCACAAGGCTTTTGCTGGGCCACGCAGTGGGGTTAGATCCTTCGGCCCCATAACTATGGACGGTGTACTACTGCGTACTACGTACAGCTGGCGGCCTGAGATTGTTTCCTTTCCTAAGCCCCATCTGCCGCCGACCTTACTAGACTGGGTAACCTGACACCCGGTATCTAATAATAAAAGTACGATAAATCGAATCGGAATGGATTCGGTTCGATGCTGGCGTTAGACACTCGACGCCGCGTCTTATGCCTATCCACCGTTAACCTGTTGCCAAGAAGCCATTGTCGATCAAACACCCATTCTCCGGTGAACCGGATCATACTACTTACTACATACTACGAAGTAGGGAGCTGTCGGTGGGATCCCAATCTCATCTTGTTTTTAAGTGTTACTTGATAGCTAATCCAGTTGGTCGGTCAGTGTACGTCAGCTGAACGGGATTGCCCAACCCAGCCGTGCTCCATAGGTCTTAGGTCTGCCGACACCCCGACACGCAAGCCAAGACGACACTTCACCTCATCTCCCCAGTCTCGCCTTTGGGTCATGTACCTGCGCCTGTTCCGGTGAATGAATGTGGCAACGGTATTGTGGACGCACAGCCAATCGTCAATAGTTGCTGGGCGGGCCATTGGCCTGTCCTCTGTCTCCTCTCACAGACACAACTCTCCATTTCACATGTTTACGTATCCCAATCTCTTGATGCCGATGCCATCAGAACCACTGCTCTTTGAAAGCGGATATGTCACTGCTGTGGTAGCCAACTTATCCTTCTCCACCGTTCTCTCCCTGATCATCTGTGTCGCAGGCACGAGGTTCAGTATAGGGCCGAACTTGAGCCCAAAACGCATGTTCCGTGACTTGCCGTTGTTATTGGTTCCGTTCTCAAAATCCCTCATACGATTATTTTATTTGGCCATCGCGGCAATTAAAGATAAGGACGCGGCTTCCAGTCGAGTTGTTCTAGTCCAGTGGCGGAGACGACGGCTAGCAGCATGGCAGCGGATCTTCGAAATTAGTACGCGTCTGCCGATGATGAATCCCACTCGTGGGCTTCCTCTTCCAGCTGGCATGGCCGGTGGGCAACCTTACGGCGTAGCTCTGGCACTGGTCAGCTAACCCTAGGCCTTGTCTTGGATGGGTCGATATGAGCCTGTCAGGATCGGCGTGTGATGCTCTGCAGTGACAGACTCTCTACGGGCATGTCAAATGCTCTTATTTCAGTTTCGCCAGGCCGCGCAGGCAGTGTGGAACCTTTAACAAAAAAAAACCAATGATGCCAGTTCTGTCTATTATCATTTCTTCCGCTGATCCCAGGCCACGAACGTCCCTGTGTGATGCCACATGCCCTGGCTGTCTATTTATCCAACAATTTCCAAATCGAAGTGTGATTTCGATAACATGGAAATTATCGTGGCTCTTGTCATCCTCTTTGGTTGTCTAGTCATATTCAGACCATCTTGAAGCCACTCATCTAGAAGTACACGGGAACTCGATGTTAATCTGAAATACTTGAGTCTAGATGCGCAGCTCAGCTTGGATATGTCGTGAAATGCTCTTGGGTGTTTGTTAATCCACCCCGGGTCAGCATCCTGGGGCTACTTATATGATACTGGTCACTGGTGAGAACAACTAGTCGTGGGCAAGAGGTTCGGGTATGCACAACTCCACCCTTTCCACTACGCCATCGATTGTCTCCGGTTCTATGGTTGGTTCGAAACTGGCAGATCCCAATTGGTACATCCTAAACCTTTATGAGTAGTTGAATATCCGACCTTGGATATCATGAATCCGATTATAAAGCTACCCTGGATCCATCATTTTTCTAGGCTCCTTACAGTCGTTCGAGGCTAGTATTGTAACATTCCAACCCTAAACCTTCGCGTGCATGTGGTGATGTATGGATATCACCCCGTGGTGTTGATGTATCCTGAAATTTAGTGTTGTTGGTCGATGGCATTAGTTTAGCCACTTCGTCTCAACATTCGTCTCAACATTCGTTTCAATAAAGCGAGCCATGTGCTAAGACAATGGCATGTTACAGCAACATACCAACAACCACAACTACTCCACGCCAAACGCCTAGACTTAGAATTTGTGCCCAACCCTAGGCCTCGAGAGTCGCAGGATGAACAAGGAGCGTGGCCGGTCGAAACAACGACGATCCCGTTGAGACGGTAAACTCCCGAATGACGCTCGCATCTAGATTTCACAGAAATGATATGAGACCAATAACATGCGAAAGACACGCTGCGACGGCGGCAACAATGCCGCATTCGGCCACGGAGTGTGATCGATTGACTCAACCTGTGACGTTGCATGGAATGCCAAGAGTTGATCGTGGTCCCTACATTTCCCTACAAACTGGACTGGCGTGGTGTCTGCTCAGTTGGTCTTGGCGTCGAATGATATACGGCAGAGGTCATTGGAATGCGGGACGTCAGCAGAGCGCAGTAATTCCAACCGGCCGCAGCAAGATTGTGGCCTAGTTGAGAAGCGTTCCAGTCAGTTTTGATGGCAGGGGCCCGGAGTGTATTCCCTTCATTGTTTGATCGGGAACAGAAAGTCTTGGATAGTAAGCGAAACTGGGCATATAGGATAGTCAGACGGGTGGATAATAGCGATCACATACTATTCATACCATATATTTTTTTTAAAAAATAATAAAATTCTTCCAAGGGACAAACCACCCCACGTTCATTCGCAAAGAGCCATTAGATTGAAAATGGTTGAATTTCATGTTAACATGGAATTGCATCGTGTGTGGTCAACTGGTCTAGGGTAGGCCAGAAGACCAGGATAAGAGACAGCGAAGCGCCACAGGATGAAGTCAATAATCAAGGACTGAATGCCTCACCCAATCCAGCAAAGGGCAGAGGGCAACCACTGCCACTGTCGCTGGATGAGAAACGAACATAATCGACGTGTATTGGTGCCGTGGGTTGGTTTCTAAGGCGTGGGCTTATTTATTGGTGGCTTTGCTAAATCGACAATGGACATCCGCAGGGTGCGCAGGAATTACAATGTGACACAGGACAGTATCTAGTACGCTGGACCGAGGAAAGAAGCGCAACACTTTGCGCCACTACGACACCAATAAGACACAATATTGATAATCCACATAAAGCGGATATGCCCATGGCTACCACGCGACACCGACGAACACTACGACGTACCGATCAGCTGTGGCTTTCCGCAGGGACCTCAAGTGTTCCATCACGGGCACCACAGAGGCAGTCGCATGCTCGTCACACGGATCCATCATCAGCTGAAGTGAGCTGAAATGAATGAAGCATCTCCAACGAGTCCAATCCGCGCTGTTGTGGCTGCGGGTCTCAGCTTTCCTACAACCCACATCGCAGTGACAGGTCGAATTGGCTTCCGGAAAAGTCCCACCAATTCGTGCATTGGGGCGGGTTGGCGCCTGCAGCACCGCTGCTGAACTGCTGCTGAACTGCTGCTGAACTACTGCCCCAGCATCCAACCGAGGACAAAGATGGGGTGCGGTACGAGGTCCCATGCCACAAGAGATGAGCGACAGGAAAGCTCTGCAGTGCCGTCGATGTCGATTGGTCACCGCAGACGTTGTTAGCCGACATGGAAGATCCTGTAGGTGTAGAGGTCATCATCCCGGAGGAGCCCCCTGGACAGCCGATCCCCAAGTACACCTTGCATCCATCCCGTGGCGCGGCAGTCGATTCCAGTATCTAAATGAGATGGCGGATGATTAGGATTGACGGAGCAGACCACCGGGATCCGTGCCCAGGCAATGCGCCACGCGCACAAGATGTGACCTGAGATGCGACCTGAGAAGGCTTTAATCAAATGCCTGACGACTTGAGGACCTGACATTTGGCAGCACGATGAGATCATGGACCGCGATAACGTCACTCTTCTGCGACCGGGTTCCGTCATTGGCCCGATGACAAGCTGAGGAGCTAAGCCGGCTAGGAGTACAGGGTACTTCGAACAGGGGTATTTTTCCTCCCAAAAGTCGCATCTCTCCCCATGGGCCTGCGCACTTCGCGTGGCCTGGAGGGGACTGGACTGTTTCACAGCCGGTGTGGTGGGGGCGGACCGTCGTCGACTATTGATGCCCCGAGCCCTGCAGAGCCTTTTGGCATTTGTACTTCGCAAGGTAGTGGCTTCTTGCCCGATGTTGTACAGTTCCTGAGGACCTCGCGGCCTGGTTCGCTTAAACCCAACAGGGCAAAAGCCTGCAGCAGTGTCATTACAAAAGCGGGAGGATGAAACCTTCAAATGGATGGACATGGGAGCAAGACGGAGCCTAAAGCCCAAGGCTATTAACGTTGAATCCCACCAGCAGCCCCTGGGATTGGCCCAAGACCCTCAATGCAGGAGAGAATCAACAGGGGAGAGGGCGACTGCCGTGGCTTCCGTGGCTTGCTGACGGACTACCTGAACGTGGCGCATCGTGGCGCCTTCTACAGACAAGGATGGCCACTGTTTGTTTGGCCAGTCAAGGGCCGCAAGGTCACCAAGCATCAGCCAGCATCAGCCAGCATCGAGGGCTTGGGCCATTGACACGAGGCGCGTCGCAGCCCGCTTGACCTGGCGAGCCTGGGTGTGGTTCGCGACCCTGTGACCTGTGTGGCCGGGTGAGACAAAAAGGGAGCGGCGGCCACGATGAATAGGTACAGAGTGGCGGAGCAAGGGCCAGGGTTGGTCAGCCACACCCAAGTGAGCAAACCTGCTCACTGGCAAATGGCTCTCGACACCTGAGCCAGGCATGGAAGTCGCCGGGGCTGCCCACCATCATCACCCCAGCCAGCCTCAGGTTTTTCTAGGATTGCGGCGCGCCGTTCCATCTGCAGCGGCTTGCTATGGGCCCATCACTGCACCGCCACTCTGGTACCCACTTCACCGGGGGCTTGCCTGGAGGGCTGACAGCCGGCTGAGGTTGGTTGATTTTCAGCTGGCACCAGTTAGAAGAGCCTAATACGAAGTGAACCAAGGCGCGTTGAAAAATCCAATAAAGATAATAATACTAATAAGATGATGAATGAGGTATTTGGACAAAGCTGTGTCCCCCCAGCCTTGTGTTGCAATTCGCAGGATACCGGAAGGTGGCATTTTCTTTGGAAGCACTAGGAGTCCATCTCAAACAGCTGGCGGGTCGCCGGATCAAAGTCTCGCAGCCTCTGGTCTCGCCGTCTGACTCTCTCTCATCGATAGTCCTGGAGAGCAGTGGGGCTTACCTTGTTGACAACTCGACCTTGACACGTCCAGTTTCGTGGGTCTCAGCCATATTTGGGTTAGCGTATCCAAAGTGCCTTTCGATGGCAGCAGTAGCCTCAGCAGTGCCGTGTTCGGTTCTGGTGTTTCCTGCCTCCGACCCTCCGACGACTGCAGACGCTGGGCAAAGCTGGACAGAAGCTGGGCAAAGCTGGACAGAAGCTGGGCAAAGCTGGACAGAAGCTGGACAGTCACTTTTGGACATGTCACATGGTTGCCTCTTTCTTTGGGTTGGTGCTTCCATCAAAGCGTATGATAGGTGTTTGCGCACTTGCTTTATTTCTCAACGGCCCTGCCGAGTGGAGGACGCCTTACTCTATACACACACTTATGATGTAGGTGAGTGATTAGCGGTTGTCGGGCGAGGCTGGGATTGCCTCACCAATATGAAGAAGCGTTGGCTTAACTGCGTCTACTTCGAGCTTACGGCAGCCGAAAACAGATTAAGACTGCCTTGGAAGTGCATTTTCCTGGCGCGTCTGACAGGCACACACAGGCTTCTTCGGGCTGACAATGATAGAACCTGACCGATATTGGAGGATCGGCCGATTGTTGCTGAGCGAAGGGAAGGAGGTTCCTCTCCCATACGGCAGGTACCTGCGGAACTTGCGCACCATGTACACCGGACCTCGGACCCATGCTCCCCCCCAAGAAACAAGCCCCCGTTGGTCTTCCCCAAAACGTACGCGCACCGCCCGCTCTCGCCCTGCTCGGGTTTTTTTGGTCGCCGCCTCCTCCCGGAGCACGTTCCTTCCCCCTTCTTCTCTCTCCCCTCCCGTACTTGCTCCCTACAGACGCGCCCCAATACGCCCCATTATCCCAATATACCCATCCCCCCCGGCCTTCTCGACGTCCCAAGGTTCCCACCTGAAGGGCAAGCGCTGGCAAGTCACTAAAGTCACCACCGAGGTCACTGAAGGACAGCCCCACGTCCGGCTGTCAAAACACAAGACGCACAGCGACCACTTGGTTGGCTGGCTAGCTGGCGGGCTGACTGACTGCTTTGTTAGGCAGGCTGCGCTTGCTTGATTGCCAGAGTCGACGACTGCCACACCCGTTGCTTCTCTATTCCACCCACCCGCCACCTCCCGCCCATTCGCCCACTTCGCCCACTCACTCGCCCACCCACCTTTGCCTCACACCTCGCTCAGACTGCGCTCTCGACTCGTACTCACACCTCTCCTCTCCATCCGTCGCCTTGTCTGGTTCAGTTCCATCATCGCAATCACCATTTTCCAACTGTCTCGCATCAACCCGCGCCTTCAGCTTGATTCTTTAAGCTGCCGAGTCGCAATTCATTGTCGTTGCCAGCTGAGCCACTCTCTGGTTTGCTCGCTGCTTTTTGTCCGCCGCGTCGCCTCATCACTCGCGCTGCCTTGCCTACCTGGGAGAAAAATATCCAGCTCTCGCCACGCTCTCCAGCCACACATAGCATCACCACCCGCCCCGACATGTGCCTTTGACCCAAGGCTACGGCGACGTCGACCTCATTAGACTGGCTGAATGCTGCAATTCCTCGCCTTTCTCCCACTTCAATTCCACTCTCCGTAGTTGCGTCTATGGCCTCGGACGCCTCCGCCTTTGCCGCGACCGACGCCTCTCTCGCAACGCGCCCAGGTGCAACCCCTCCCGACTTCATCCCTTCAGACGATCCAGTGAGACTGTTGAAGCGGCCTCGCTCACCTTCGCCTGCCTCGCCGCGCTCCCAGTCGCATCACATCATATCCATCGGCTCTCCGACAAAAGCCGCTCGCCTGGCTCTTGCGACCGGACCCTCTCCACTGCCCTTAACGGGTGCCGCCGCGCTCGAGGACGAGCGCCGGCGACGCGACGACAACATCGACGACCAAGATATCCACGTCCAACACCATCCGCCAAGTAGCGAAAACCCTAGCCACAAGGCTCTCGCTTCCCTCATGTCCGGAGCGGTCCAAGCCATGAGTCGCCCGGTGGACATGCCCCAGCCAGCTCCTACGGCACCCATGGAAGCCTCCCCCAAGGCGCCGAATCCCGTATCACTGGCGCAAACCGCGGCTGCCCAGATTGTCGAGCGTGGCGAAACGAGCCCTCAAAGTGCAACCAGCGTCGGAGTTGCTGTCACAGAGAGCCCGGCCCCAATGGATATTGACACCAAAGTCGATCCCCAGACGTCGCAACAAGTTGTCGGCCAAGAAGAGAGGCCTCAGCCGGGGTCTTTGTCGTACCCGGGGTCTCTCCAGTCAAGTGGTCATCTACCAGAGCCACCAGTTCGTGGAATGAGCTTTCCTATGCCCTCATCGGGCCAGACATCTCCCCCGGGATCTGCGTCAAAGAAGCACAAGTGCCCATACTGTAACACCGAATTTACGCGCCACCATAATCTCAAGAGCCATCTCTTGACTCACAGCCAGGAGAAGCCCTATGTCTGCACCGATTGTCAGATGCGCTTCCGTCGTCTCCACGACCTGAAGCGCCATGGTAAACTACACACTGGCGAGAAACCCCACATTTGTCCAAAATGCGATCGCAAATTTGCCCGTGGTGATGCCTTGGCTCGTCACAGCAAGGGAGCTGGTGGATGTGCAGGGCGACGGTCAAGCATGGGTAGTTTCGCCGATGGCGACGAGTTGGACGGGAGCATGGTCGATGCGGACGATTCCACCATGTCGGGCCTCCCTTACGAAGGAGAAGAGGACGAATTGAGGCGGCAGAGTTTGCCCAGCATCAACCCTCAGCATGTCGCTGGAACACCGACGGATGCGTATGTTGCTCATTCTCGAACGTATCCACCAACAGGCGCTCGACCTGGTACCAGCGGATTATACCCTCCAAATGTAAACCAGAGTCAGGCAAGCTCCAACGCATCACCCAGCGTGACAAACAGTCTGGCGAGCAGCCACACCCCCAGCACGAGCATCTCTTCTGTGCCTGTCGCTGCGGCTACTGCTGTCATGTACCCCCAAACCGGCATGACGGAGAGCCCGAAGCCGCTGAGTCCCGGTGTGCCTGCCCACGACTCAACCAATATTGCTCGACAGCGATCGCCGAGTCTATCGCAACAGCTCCAGCAACAGCAATATGGTCGACGGGCGTCAGACCTGCAATCACCGCATAGCGGGCAGCCTCGGCCTAAACTCCCTGGGCTGTCTCACCCTGGCTTTGCCGCACCAAGCTCGTCGGGATTCACGCATGCGCGAAGCGGGAGTGGAGCACAGGCAGGCGGCGAGAGCGGCAACATGTTCGCGCAAAGCGACCCAAGCGTGTGGGCATATATACAGACTTTGGAGGAGAAGGTCAAGTTACTATCAGACAAGGTTGTATCGCTGGACCATGAGGTTTCTGGCCTGAAGCAGCAGATTGAGAACCAAGAGGCGGCCGCCAGAGCGTGATTGAGGGGACCTGATGGATTTTTCGTCTTGTTATAGGCATAGGCATTCTGAGACACCCTTTCGTTGTGTTGAAAAACTGGATTCGGCATGGTGCTGATTGAAGGCGTTTGGGACCTTGGGAATTTGGTCGTGGACGGTAGGGACCTCCACCTAAAAGATGGCCGCGGGATTTTTTATGAATTGGCACTCGCATTGTGCTGTACATTACAAACACTTGCTTCTTCAGATAGTATGCCTCGTGGCAGCATCCAGCAGAAGGGGTAGGGGAATTCCACATTTGGTTTGCTGGACCCGGCGAGGGTAATGAGCAGCAAGCTGTGGGAGACGGAGCTTGTGATTTGACCTGAGTTTACTGTACTTAGGGGTTAGGGGCGCATAGCTTGAACCATTAATTAATGATGCATGTTCCTGTGAGAACCCTGCAGACTGCAGATGATATATGCGGCGTTTTATGGCCTATCAACCTGAATCCCTCGTTTATTAGTGACAGTTGCACATGTTTTTTTTCCCTTTTTGTTTGGTCAAGACGCATCTCCTATCCAAGTACGGAGAACCTAGACAGCTGCCGAGGCTTTGGGAGTGACGCACGGGCCATGGACCGATGAGTTGGAGAGCTTCTTTCTCCGACTTCACGTGTCGAGGCGCAAGCGCGCGCGACGTCATCGCAAATGGCAACGGGCCTTTTGATCGGGTTCCTCTCGGTCTCTCCTCGAACTGGGTATGAAACCGACCCACCATCCCTTGATCTTGCCCAAAGCTGCGGCACCCGTATCATGGTTATGGCGCCTATTGCCCGTATCATGCACGCTCGGCCTACATCCTGAATTCTCCATTGTTGCATGTCATCCAATGCTTATTGGAGCTGTGGCTGTGCCCTAGCTGTTCTACCACTGCTGTCCTTGGCCCTCTAGAGGCTGCCCGCACCACACTCTTACCTTGACCCCTCCAGACGGACAACGACATTGCCCACCACGACGACATGGCAAACGCTGGGGTCGAGTCTGGCGTTCAGATTGAGAATGGTGAGTCCAGTGTGCTGCTTATTGATGCGACGACTGGGTCAGCGATCAGGTTGTGCAGCGCATCGGCTTGACCGGTGGCTCGCCATGTCATCATGTTGCAAGGGCGGCGCGCGACCTCCCTTGCGACACCTAGTGGCAAGCCTTCGTCTACGAACACAAGGAATTCGGGATGGAATCGTTCTCCATATCGCAGTCAGTGCTAACGGAGCAGCAGGATCTCTTCTAGCTGAATCGAATGAGAAGGTGGTGACTGTTGATAACCCCGAGACCGACCAGTCCCCACCACGAGAGCCTTCTTCACATGTCAAAGCTGCCTCCGTAGGCCCATCTGCATCCCGTCCAAAAAGTCCCAAACTGACCATCACAAACAGACTCTCCCAGAGAGCCCAAAGCCCGCAGATCCAGAAGCCCGGACGAACACCCCTAAAGTCAATGGTAAAACGAAACGGTCGGCGCCTCCCTCCAATGGCGCGCCGAAGACATACGCGGCCGTCGTCGCCGGAAAACCAGCCGATGGAGCTGTCATCGAGCACGACCACCATACGTACCCCAAATTGCCTACCCTCGATGAGATCAGGCGCGAACGGGAGGGCTGGCGGGCCGGAGGCATTCATTTTGCTCCCTTGCGCGTTCCCATGATCCGTCGAATGCAGACAGGCGCCGTGCTCTTTCACTGCATGTCCATCGGTCTCTTCGTGTCCATCTTTTGGTTGATTTGTGCCAACCCTCTGACATGGCCAATCCTTGTGCCATATCTTATACACCTTACCCTCTCCACCGCGGCAACTAACGGGAAGCTGTCTTATCGATCTGAGTATATGCGAAGCCTGCCGCTCTGGAAGCTCTTTGTCGGATACTTTCCCATGAAGCTGCACAAGACATACGACCTTGACCCAAAGAGGAAGTACATCTTTGGATACCATCCCCATGGAATCATCTCCCATGGTGCCTGGGCCGCCTTCGTCACGAACGCTCTTGGGTTCGCAGACCTGTTCCCGGGCATCACCAACACTTTGCTTACACTCGACTCCAACTTCCGCCTCCCATTCAATCGAGACTGGATTTTGCTCATGGGGCTTCAATCTGTGTCGAAAGAGTCCATCTGGAATATTCTGAACAAGGGTGGCCCCAAGAATGATGGTCAGGGCCGTGCCGTCACCATTGTCGTCGGAGGCGCTCGGGAGTCGCTCGAGGCTCAACCAGGGACTCTGCGACTGATTCTCAAGGGCCGCAAAGGCTTCGTTAAGATGGCGCTTCGCACTGGAGCAGACTTGGTGCCGGTCATTGGTTTCGGAGAGAACGATCTGTATGACCAGCTGAGCCCCAAGACGCACCCTCTCGTGCACCAGCTGCAGATGATCTTCCTCAAGGTGTTCAAGTTCACCGTGCCCGCGCTCCATGGTCGTGGCGTGATGAACTACGACGTCGGCTTCATGCCATATCGGCGACCAGTCAACATCGTGGTTGGGAAGCCGATCCAAGTGGACAGGGCGCATGGACCGCAGCCAAAGCAACGGGAAATTGATTTGCTCCATGAGAAATACGTCCAGGAGATCGAGAAGCTGTGGGCAACGTACAAGGACCAGTTTGCAGCTGGTGTTGAGTTGGAAATAATTTCCTAGTCTTTCTTCTCCTATGTCGGATGTATACTAAACAAAATGAACTTTTCTATGTTGGTGACTGGGAATGACATTGTCAATGGACTGGCTGGGTAGGAGGTGGGCAAGAGGTGGGCAGGAGGTTGGCAGGTATAGGAGTTTTATATGTGCATGGGCATTTTGGTAGACTCAACCGTCTAGCTCTTCGTCCTCCGTGGAGATGATTCGAAACTAGATGATTGTGGGTAGGATAATAATTACTGGAATCAACACTGACGACTTCTTTGAGATGAGCTTGAAGGTGACGACCAGCACTGTGTTGCGATGTATGTAAAAGTCAGGTGACTGCGCGCTTGGTCATCACCAGGGCGCACCGCGTCATTCGCGTCACCCAGCCCAGTCTAAGTGGACATTGCTTTTTCAGTCGCAACCCTCCACCGCAAGACTTGGGAACGAATTCCTTCTTCACCAGCTGGCTCGCGTCATCATCTCGGAGAATAAACGAATACTGTATTCATTGCGCTTAGGACCAACAATGGCTCGCTCATCGCTGCGCAAGAGGCAAGTCGTCAGCTACAACGAAGATCACGACGAGGACGTCAAGCCCGTCTCCAAGCCGGCCCCTCGAAGAACAGCCAGCGCACACACTGGTGCCATTTCCAAGGCTGCCGTGAAGCGCAAGGCCGAACCCGAGCCCGAGAACGAGGCACCCGCTCCGGCGACCAAGGCGACCAAGAAGCGCAAGACCAAGGCCAAAGACGAGGACGCCATGCCGCTCGCCGACCGCACCGCCGTGCCGTCGCTCAAGAAGGCCATGTACATTGGCGCCCATGTCAGTGCCGCGGGAGGTTTGTGTCCTTACCCCGACTGAATGTTGTCTCGTCGTCATTTCTGATGATATAATTATCGTAGGTGTCCAGAACTCCATCGCCAATGCCGTCCAAATCGGCGCAAACTCATTCGCCCTCTTCCTCAAATCGCAGCGCAAATGGACCAACCCGCCCCTCGATCCGGCCGCCAAGACGCAGTTCATCAGCCAGTGCAAGCACCACAGCTACAGCGCCGCTGAACATGCCCTTCCCCACGGCTCCTATCTCGTCAACCTCGCCCAGGCCGACGAGACCAAGGCCGACCAGGCCTACTCCAGCTTCGTCGACGACCTGGATCGCTGCGAACAGCTCGGCATCCGCCTGTACAACTTCCACCCGGGCTCGACGAACGGTGACTCCAGGCCCGCTGCTATCGGACGCATTGCGGCGCAGCTGAACAAGTCCCACAAGGCGACCAAGACGGTGGTTACCGTGCTGGAGAATATGGCGGGCAGCGGTAATGTCATTGGCGCAACCTGGGAGGATCTGCGGGACATCATCGAGTTGGTTGAGGATAAGGACCGTGTGGGCGTCTGCATCGACACCTGCCATGCCTTTGCAGCCGGACATGATATGCGGACACCGGAGGCCTTCAAGAAGACCATCGACGCCTTCAACGACATTGTCGGCGAAAAGTACCTGAAGGCATTCCACCGTATGCCCCCTATCACTCCCCGTCCATAACGTCACAGCGGCTAATCCATATACTCTTTATCCAGTAAACGATAGCAAAGCCCCATTCGACTCAAACCGTGACCTCCACGCCAACATCGGCACTGGTTTTCTTGGCCTACGCGCCTTCCACAGCATCATGAACCACGAGGCCTTCCAGGGTATGCCCATGGTCCTCGAGACACCTATCGACCGCAAGGGCCCCGATGGCAAGTCCGTCGAGGACAAGCAGGTCTGGGCGGACGAGATCAAACTTCTCGAGCGCCTCGTTGGCATGGACGCCGAGAGCGACGAGTTCGCAACCCTCGAGGAGGAGTTGCAGGCCAGGGGCACGCAAGAGCGGAACAAGATCCAGGACCAGGTGGATCGCAAGGCGGAGAAGGATTCAAAGAAGGGAACGCGGGGGAAGAAGGCCCCTGCCAAGAAGAAGAAGAAGGTCGACTCGGATGACGACAGCGAGTAGGGGGGTAATGCCTGTAATTCAGGTCCTGCCCAGCTCAAGAGGGTTTGAGATCGCAGTGTAATAAATATTAAAGGGGAGTGTATATGTGCACGTATAGTATCTTGACGGAGGGTATTTCATTATGCATACAATTCTCTTCACCCGAGAGCGAGGGAAAGACATCAAAAAGGACAACCGGGGCCACACAATCCAAACAAAACTCGACGCTTCTATCCCATTCCGACCTCCACAACGCCAAGCCATAACAGCGATAACATCATCCACCCATCCTTTAACGACTCCTCTTCTCCTCTTCTCCTCTTTACTTGCGGCTCCTGGCAAACGCCTCAAGCTTGGTGACCAGGGACTTGAGCCCGACGCCCCTCTCGCAGTTGGCCTCGAGCCACGCCTCCATGCGCTCGCGGACAGCGCGCATAGAGCGCAGAACGGGCATGGTGGCGCCATCTTCGGCGGCGACAAACGAGCCCGGGTTCAGCAGCAGCTCGAAGCAGTCGGCCCACAGGTCCGTCTGCCAGTAGCGCTTGAGGCTCTCACGGATGCGGTACTTGCGTCCCGTCTTGCCGAGACCGCCCTGGTCGCAGCGCACCGTCTCGATGTACTTGCCGAAGAGCAGGCAGTGGATGGTGCCGGCTAGGCCGTGGTAGTCGATCTGCCACGTCCACGGGCGGCCCTCGCGCATCTCGGCACAGTCTTGCGCGCTCGTCTTCCAGTCGGCGATGAACTCGACGTCGGGGACAAAGGCGCGCATGTCGATGCCGCGGCCAAAGTCGATGAGCACGACGCCCCGCGACGACCACCCGCCGCTGCCGTCGGTGTGCCATTGGCTGGCGAGGGAGTCGCCTGGCATTGCGTCCAGGCGGAGCAGACAGTTGTCTGCCTTCAAGTCACCGTGGAGGACACCCTTGGAGTGCAGCGCCTCGACGGTTCGCATCAGCTCAACGGTGAAGAACATGGCCAGCTGCTCGTCCATGACGGCAGAGGGCTCGCCTCGGAACCAGTTGACGACATCCAGCAGGGTGCCGTGAGGGTGATAGGGTAGGAAGAGGAATGCCTCGTCTTGGTAGAGATGCATCTCGTGAGCTACGGAGAGCGACGCCGACGCGCGATGCTGTGGTCCTAGCCGAGTGTGAGCCACGCGCATCATGTGGAACTCCCAGGGCGTCGGTGGCGTCTCCATCTTCAGGGCTTCAATCTCGTTGCGATGGTTGACGGCAAAAGCACCCTTGCCCATGGCCACCATCGCGTTCTCATCGTTCTCATCCTGCGGACACGAGTTCTCTACGAGGTAGACAGGGGCAAAGGCACCGGCGCCGAGCTCCTTCTTCACCGTGTATATAGACTTGGTGTTGGGGAACTCGATCACAACGGGCGTCGTCACGGGTCCAGTCCTGTCGGCGCCAGCTTTGCTGGCTTTAGTCAGGGCTTTGGCGAACCTGCGAATCTCACCACCGCGCTCGAACTTGTCCTGTCGGTGGTCGTAGAAGCCAGCATAAGAGTTGAGTGGGGGCTGCATGTTGGCGATAATCTCGGAGCGCACCGCTTCATCAACGGGGTTGCACTGAACGTCCTTGATAATGGGGCCCTTGGGAGGCAGCGGCTTGGAAGGAATGGCCTTTCCTAGAGGCCCGACCGACTTGGGAGCCAAGGGCGCAGAGATCTTGGGTGTCGGGCGAGCATCATTGACGATCTCGCGTAAGGGGCTGCTCATGGGCTCAAGATCCGAGCTCTCCTCTTCGTCCAGTATTGATGCTTCGTCTCGCTTGCAAGGCGTTTTGTACTGGTCAGCTCTATAAACATCGAGAGAAATCTCGGTCCGTTCCGTGATGGGAGTCATAAAGGGTAGTCGGTTGTTGGCCGCCTCGACCGGATCCCTATATGGCCGAGTTGGCGGATCGTAATCCTCAGGAGGGATGGGGATGAACGAGGTCAGTGTTATAGGGGAGAAATCCCCTGACGCGGGGGTTCCGGCTTCCTCATCCTCTTCTGCATCTTCATCCTCTTCTTCCTGAGACCTAGTCACCTCTCCCAGGGATCCAGACTGCTCCGGCTCGGGAATACCGGCATCGATCAAATCAGACACCTGAGTGTTGTCGAGCTCGCCTTCAGGTACATCCCCGTCAATATCTGGGACATGCCTGCGGGTTGAGAAATCAGACCATTCGCTGACACTTTTAACCTCGGACGTCTCATCGCCAGCCTCATCGTCACCAACTTCATCGTCATCAACCTCACTAGCATCGATCTGTCTGGTGGTACATGTACTTTCAGCGTCAGTGGTGTAGTTGTCGTCACTCTCGTAATCATCCTCGTCAGCACTCTCCTCCTCCAGACCAGCGGGCTTGAGGGGAGCATTGAAAATGTCGTAGATGTCGTCAGTGGCAGATTTGGTGTGGAGGGTCATGGTGGGCTCGGAGGTGTTCTTCTTGCGAAGTTTTGGCCTGGATGGTGAGTCGAGCTTTGCCTTGACTGTTCAAATTGTTAGTTTCTCAAAGAGCAGACAGCTTCACCACGATGCTTACTGATTTGGGTCTCATTGACCTCAATCACTTTCTTCTTCTTTCCTCCTCGTGGTGCACGAGGCTGCTCCATTACAGCGCCATTCTCGTCATAATGAACAGAGTCCTGATGAATGACTAGCTTCTGACCGACTCCCTTGCTGATCTCCTCGGCATCTCTCAAGGGAACAAGAACTGGCTCCGAGACAAAGTTCTCGTCATAATGAACATGGTCTTGGCGAATGACCAGCTTTTGACCGGTTCCCTTGCTGATCTCCTCAATATCTCTCAAGGGAACAAAAACTGGCTCCGCGACAAGGTTCTCGTCAATCGACTCGTCCTCCCAAGCGCAGTCTAACCAACCTCGGTTGCCAGCTATGATCTCTTCAAAGCTGAGTTCAGTACCCTGTTCCTCTGGTGTTGGGTATATGGCAGCTAGGTCAACAAAAACTCGTTCCTTCTTCCCCGTTTGAGGGTGAACGGAAATTTGGCACTTGGACGGAACAACTACAATGTTCTGAATTTGTGAAAGAGACTGTATTACATGAACACCAATATATCCATCATTAGTCCTATGACCATCAACATTTGGGCGATTAGGGGAAGCGAGATAGCCACTTACCAGATCCCTAAACACTGCCATCTTGGGAGCAGCGCTCTTCTTTCCACCAGCCTTTAGTGTTTCACCCGCCCAGGGTTTTGCCTCCACAACGTTTTCCTTCTTTCGATCCGCCAGGGATCCGATGGTGTCCCATCCCTTCGAGCTTGGTCCTCGCGAGGACATCGCACTTGGCTGAGCATCAGTATCCGAAAAGATGGCCAGCTTGGACTTGGCCGGCTTCGAGCCTCCTCCGCTGGCTGGTCGTGGTGCCTGCGGATCTGCAGGCCGCGAGGCGGCAGAGAAGGGATCTACCTTGGCTGCCAGGGCAGGTCGGATGGAAGGTAGAGCAGGAGATGATGGCTCGTCCGCGACATCTGGCTGCTGGGCTAGCCTCTCCTCGAACTCCTTGAACTTGCGCAGGAGCCGCTGAACTGGTCGAGCCTCGCGCTCGATGCCCAACTTGTAGACCTCCTCCGCCTGAGCCCATCGCGAGGCGCCCTCAAGCCAAGCGGCATACTCTTCGTAGTATAGGGCGAGGCCCTCGCCAATGCTTTGTCGGGAGAGGAACATGTACGTCTCCCGAGGCGAATCGGAGAAGAAGTGAATGTAGTGCACCCAGAGCTTGAGGTATCTAGGATCGTTCTTGTATTGGGGTGCGCCGATGAACGCCTTGGTTGCGCGCTCAAGCAGTGTATGAAGCTGTGACTGAGGAGTTGCTTGGGCGGAGGGATATGCGTCTAGCGTCCAACGCACATATCGGTCAAAGACGTCAAGAGGGTCGTCCGACTCTGCAATGTTGTCGACCTCAGCCTCGTACTCGGCACGGATGCAGTCGTTGACATTTCGCGTATCGGAGGGTGTCGGCGTTGCGCGCTTGTGAAGGGGGGAGGGCGAATACAGTTCCGCCAGCTTCTTGGCTGAACGGCCGCCAGGCAATGACTGAATGTTCTCCTTCTGCCCCTCGATCAAGTCGAAGTTGATCAGATCTTCTGAAGCTGCCATGTTGGGTTAGTACTCGCGTCGAATGAGAAGCATCGACTTCTCAAAAGCAGCTGTCGAGTATCACGATCGGTTGGTGTGTTGTTAATGAAGTGGGTTGAACCGTGGGGTGCTTGCCCCGGTCGGGAAATGTTGATGTTATCATGCATTTGCGTGGCACCGTTGCTGTGCCAACAGCCACAAGGGGCTGACGGTACGTACCCTGACTTCTGAACCCCACCCTTCGCCTGACGCATGCGATGCCTAACATGCAAGTCTAATACACAATTACGTAGTGGCAGCGAACAAAATCAATTCACAACATGTTGTAAAGGAACGCGTCTTGAACTCAAACGAGGTATTTTTTTCATTGATACGAGCCTAAATCACTTTTGTTTCGGCCTCTATTACTTTCAATTTTGCCTCTTGGAATACCATCCCACGCGCTCCGACGCTAAGGACCCAAAGGCAGTTGTTCTGTTTTGATAAGAGAGCTCAGTCCCCATTTACAGGTTGACAGAGTTGCGGAACTTGGCACCGGGGTAGATGGCCTCGCCCGCGAGCTCCTCCTCAATGCGGAGGATCTGGTTAAGCTTGGCCAGACGCTCAGATCGGGCGGGGGCACCGGTCTTGATCTCACCAGCTCGGAGACCAACAGCAATGTCGGCAATGGTGACATCCTCGGTCTCACCAGATCGGTGAGAGACCATGACACCCCAGCCGTCGGCGTAGGAGTCCTTGGCGGCCTGGATGGACTCGGTCAGGGTACCGATCTGGTTGACCTTGAGAAGGAGAGCGTTGCAAGACTTGAGCTCAATGGCCTTCTTGATGCGGAGAGGGTTGGTGACGGTCAAGTCATCACCGACAACCTGGATGTCCTGAGCCTTGGAGAAGTAGCTCCAGGCCTCCCAGTCGTCCTCGGCGAAGGGGTCCTCGATGGAGACAATAGGGTACTTCTTGCAGAGCTCACCGTAGAGAGCAGCGAGCTCCTCATAGGTGATCCACTTGGTGGGGTCGCTGTCGGGGTTCTTGAAGTCAAGGTCGTACTTCTTCTCCTCCTCCTTGTAGAACTCGCTGGAAGCAACGTCCATGGCAATCTTCATCTGGCCAGTGTAGCCAACTTGCTCAATGGCATCGGTGATGAGCTCGAGAGCCTCCTCGGCGGTCTGGATATCGGGGGCAACACCACCCTCGTCACCGACGTTGCCGGCGGACTGACCGTAGCGCTTCTTGGCCAAACCCTTGAGGGCCTGGTAGACCTCAGCACCCTGGCGAAGAGCCTCAGAGAAGGTAGGGGCATCACTACACGACGTTAGCAAGCTTGCCCAGTTGGGCGATGGAAGGTGCTACTTACGTGGGGACAATCATGAACTCTTGGAAGGCAAGACGGCCACCGGCGTGGGAGCTAACAAGACATGTCAGTACAAGGTTATCGGTTCGCGTTGCATAGGGAGAGCTTACCCGCCGTTGAGAACGTTCATGAAGGGAACGGGGAGGACATAGGGCTTCTTGGTTCCGGCAAGGTCGGAAACGTGGGCGTACAGAGGAACACCCTGCTGCAGGTTAGCACATGGGAAAACCGCCCAAGAGGGATCTGTAACTGACCTTCTCGGCGGCACCGGCCTTGGCGACGGCCAGAGAAACACCGAGGATGGCGTTGGCACCGAGCTTGGTCTTGTTGGGGGTACCGTCGAGCTCGTTAAGGAAGGCATCGACAGCGGACTGGTCCTTGACATCAATGTTCTTCTCGATCAGGGCGGGGGCAATGACGGTGTTGACGTTGTCGACGGCCTTGGTGACGCCCTTGCCGCCCCACTTGGTCTTGTCGCCATCTCGGAGCTCGCAGGCCTCGTGCTGGCCTAGATAATGTGTTACTTTGACTGTAGCATGCAGGAAGATCCGGGGAGGATCGGGACGAACCGGTAGAGGCGCCAGAGGGGACAATGGCACGGTGGAGACCGGTCTCGGTAACGACGTCAACCTCGACGGTGGGGTTACCGCGGGAGTCGTAGACGGAACGAGCGAAGACCTTGGTGATGGCCATTTTGAAAGGTGGTGTGATGGGTGCGTTGATGGAGTGGTACTAGAGGATGGGCTGATGTATTAGTCGATGGAGGTTCGTGCGTAGATTGCTGCGAACAGAAGATGGGGTGAGGGAGGAAGGAAGAGCTGGAAGGAGGAGAAAAGGTGGGAGAGGAAGATATGGGAATCAAGAATTTCGGGCGGGCTATTGCGCGGCGAAATAAATGACTGGTGTGGACAACGGGGCGGCTGGAATATGCCTCAACTCAACAACAGTGTTTTTGGTGTTGCTCATCAGATAGCACCAAGCTGTTTTGGTGGGGTAAATTTGGGCGAGCACGGCGAGCATGGCGGGGAAGGAGGGGGCAGCAGGGCAGAATTGGGCGGCGGCTGGTAGGGGAGGCAAGGTGAGGGAAGGAGGGGCAGGAAGCTCGAGCTCACTCACCTTGAGAAGCGTGGGATAGTGTGAGGGCAGAACCGACAAGGAGGAGTCTGGTCTGGGAGGGAGGGATGAAGAACAGAGGGAAGAGTGAAGAAGAGGGACGAGGATGTGGCGAGAGTTTATATGAAAACGGGAGAGGAGAGGAGGAGAAGGAGAGATGAGCAAACGGTCGATGACACGAAAGATGTACTCACGCACTCTCCCGCTCTCCGTCCTCCGTTTGGCGCGGGCACGTTGCTACAGCTGCGACTCGCTGCGCTGCGCAGGACATGACAGCACGGCACAGGTCAGGATAACTCGACGAGGTGGGGCAGCAGGTTCGATGGAGGGGAGGGGAGGGGTGAAAATGATCTCACAATCTCGCACCAGCTGTTAGAGGGGTACCCCTGTCGCGACCATGGTGAGGCGGTCGCCAAGAGTACCCCGCTACGCATGCCACCCACGATGCCACGATGCGGTAGTTATCTGGTATCTGGTGTAAGGTAAGGCAATGTACCTATCTCTGCTCCCTGCTTAGATACCCTCCTCCCACGACCCTCCCACCTTGGCCCTCGCCACTACCAAGTGCACATCCCACCACCTCCACCACCTCCACCGACCTCACCAATAGGGTTCACCTCGGAGGGTTAATGGGCTGGAAAGCTCATCTCCTCACTTCTCACCTGTCCTGACGCCTTATACGCCGAACTTTCATTAAGCATGCAAGCACCCAAGCACCCACGCATGTCCCTACTCACACACACCACTTGCCCACCACACACCACTTCACATACACGCACGCACGCACGCACGCACGCACGTATGCGCCCAGCCAACCCCAATCCACGGCCAACCCACTCGGCCAGCCCATCCCATGCACTCGGCGCCGCCCACGTAGCCAGCCATTCCCTTGCTTGCCTCGTTCCCTCCCTCGTTCCCTCTCTCGCTCCCTCCCGTTCGTTCCCGGGCATGCGGCCCTTCCCTCGCTTGTTCCAGCCTTCCTGGGTTCCAGCTCTCACCGTGCCCGGCTGAGGGGCCTCTTCCGGTTGGACAATCCCCCGTCCCGATCGGAAACTAGGAGGGGGACACCCGGGACGACACCTGGAAGATGGCCGCGGGCCTCCGTAGTCCCGGGAACCTGCATGGGCCATGGAGAGATACGGAGCCGCGTCCAACCACGCATTTGGACCTCGGACGTTGTTAAAACAGTCGGTCAGCGAACGAGTATCAGTCGATGCAATGACGGGACCTGGATGGACAGGGCGCCTGCGCAAGAGCTACGAGTGGACAGATGCCTTTGCACATCGATGGCCGGCGCCTCTGCAACTCCCCGGTTCTAGACGAGTAGTACTACCGAGCTTCGGCGAGACCATCACCCCCTTTCCACGTTTTCGTGTTAATGCCACTGCCCGTCCGAGATATAGGGTGTCTGTTTGCGTTATCAAATGGCCACAAACAGCACATCACGGCAGCCGCGAGAACATGTCAGTCCAGTTATGTGTGTGGGTATCCACGAAACATCAAATTGATCATCCCAATATATCGTTATCGACATGCCATGCCTTGCCTCTTTTCAAGGAGCCCGGAACTTAGAATCATAAATGCTCCCCGCCCAAACGCCGGATCAACCCAAGTCTATCGCTAGCACCAGCTAGAAGCGCTCCTTCATGCGCGCAGCCACCGTCCTCAAGTTGCCGTAGACCTTTCCAGGAGGCTTTCCGAGAATCAAGCTGACGACTGATTCCCGAGCAATGTGAATGTTCTTGAATCCACCCAAAATGTGGATCTTGGAGTCAGCAAGCACAATTCGGGTCCGGCTGGCGTTCTCAATCGCAAACTTGGTCTTTCCGTCCTTGCCGGCAATACGACCAATAGCTCGAGCCCCGCTATCGCCGTGCATCGTCCTCACATCCTTGATCTCAAAGGTCTCGATGTAGAGGTCGTCTAGTCGGAGCAGGGCAATGGCGTCGTCCACATCGAAGCCAAGGGTGAAGGCCTTGACAAAGTCCTCGCCCTTTTGAAGCGCACCTGTATCCGAAGTGTGCTTTGAGGTCCTCAGCTCAACAGTCTTTCGCTTGATGTTCATTCGGCATTGCAGCTTCAGGTGCTCGACAAGGGGAGGGTAGATGGTCGGCCACGACTTCTTCAGCGGTGTCATTCGGTGAGGGGGGATAGGGATCTTGCGAGTCTCGACTCGGGTAACCGGGTCCTGCGATCAAAGTTAGAACTGTAGTCTCCCAGTCCATTTGACATGATCTTACAATGTCTTTGGCCGGCGCAAATCGAGGCCGTCCCTCCTCATCGATGGCCATACCATCGTCGCTGCTGCCCTCTTCCACAACCGCAAAGGCGCTGCCATCCTCCGGCAGAGTGTCTGGCGCATCTAGCAGGAATTCCTCATCGTTATCTGGACGGGATATCAGCACAGGTGGAGGCGTCGGTTGGACTTGGAAAGGTTTTTACCTGCTGGGAGTGGAACACTGGTGGCAAGCGGGGTATCCTCCGCCTGCTTCAGGGCGGTTGGCGCGGGCATTTTGACGGCAACCACGGAATATAAACAAGAGTTGAGTGACGAGGAAAGGCGACAGGACCGCAGGTAGGATTTTTCGAGGCGCGCAACAGACAAAAAAAATCGTGGTCGGGATTACATCAAAGTATGAAGGTCTGTGGTGGGGGCTCGAAGGCAACTTTCACACACCGATCAAAATTTGTGGTTTCTTATCGTGACTTATCCATTGGCCCGGCCCCGAGACTGCGGCGGCGCGTCATGGAGTGACTTTTCCATGGCTGGTGCGACGGCTTGCATTGCGGAACTAGCTGCCAACTCCTCCCACTCCCACTCCAACCTTGCTCCTCCAACCCTCGCCGCGAGGAACTTGCTCCGTCATATATCTGGTGTCATTTTTGTCCTGGAGGTGGGCACCATGTACTGGCATGATGGCTAAGGGCATTCCCTCACTTCCCATATGGCGCCGCTTCGGGACATCCATCTCCACTATATCCGAATCCTCGCCCACTCTCCGCGTCTTCGCATCACCTGGTCGATCATCGCCAGCGTCACCAACGCCAATCAAATCCTCAACGCACCGATCCATACATAATAAGGCGACATGGGAACCCCTCATCCCAGATCGGGGCCTCGGAACATGCACAGCCGGGCTCCCGACCCCAGTTCGTCAAAGGCTTCTGGGGCTTCCAAGGATCACCTTTGCTGGGCGCCCAATCCTTCTTTCAAATACACAAGGCACAAGCTACGATTCGGCTCGCTCACCTCCCTGGATGCGGCAGCATAGGTGTTATAGCGATGATGGAAAAGCGCCCAGATGTTCCTGTGGGAAGGGAGTTGCGGAAAAGCATCCCGAGGAGGCAAAGATTGTGAATCATGTCAGGAAACCCGAAAACGCAGATCCAAAGGAAGCACTAAAAGGAAAACCAAACGATATACCCGAAGTCGAAAAACTGGTCGCATCTGATGCAGATTCCGAATCAATCGCCTCGTCCATGTCCAAGTACTTACATCTTCCACATCTACCGAAGATGCCCCATCGGCCAACCAAGGAAGAACTTCTGGCCGCGGCCAATGGGTTCTGGGATAGATCTAAGGTTCGACTAAAGTGGATGTCAATCAGGAGCATGAGACCCTGGAATGCTGATGAATGGGGTGCATTTGTATCATGGTTCATGCTGGGTCACATTGTCTGGATTCTTTTGGGGACTACGACCTTCTTCTCCATCGTCATCCTTTCCATCAACACCGTACTTGCTCAAGGTATGGCACGTCTCATCGTGAGCTAGTCTGAATGTTTGCTAAACAAATCATAGAAACCCTGGCCCAGTGGATTGGCGACTACCTGACTCAATCTGCCGGTATCACAGTCATCTTCGAGTCTGCCATTGTCCCCAAATGGGGCGATGGCGTCATTTCCTTTCGAAATGTGTTTGTCTCTCGCCGGCCAGGCCAAGGCGAATCGTCGGTCAGCAAGGGATCCTCAGATGCCGCCGCGGTTGCCGCCGCAGACCGACTGGCAAAACCAGATAGCTCCGCTGAAGAAGACGACGGCAACTACACCCAATTTGATGTAACCATTGCAACTGTCAATGTTACATTGTCTTTTCTAAACTGGTGGAATGGGAAAGGCCTCTTGCAAGACGTTGAGGTCAAGGGCGTTCGAGGCGTTATCGACCGAACCTCCGTGGTCTGGCCCCAACAGTTACTCCCCCCGTTGTCTTACCGCCACGAACATCAACCCGGAGACTTTGAGATTGAAAAATTCAAGATGGAGGATCTCTTGCTCACCGTTCATCAACCTGCTGGCTTCCGTCCATTTTCAGTCAGCATCTTCTCATGCGAGCTGCCACAACTGCGAAAACAGTGGCTCTTTTACGATTTTCTCTCTGCCAACCACATGTCTGGCTCCTTCGATGGCTCGCTATTCACGATCCATCCTCGACAGGTTCATGGTGTCGTTCCCAGTCAAGATCAAGCCTCGGTATTGGGATTTGGGGACCCCAAGGCTTGGAAGAAGTTCAGTAGACTTCGAATTGATGGCCTGAAGATTGACCATCTCAACCGCGGGGTTGAGGGACCCTTTGGGTGGATCTACGAGGGGAACGTCGACATTGTGGCAGATGTCATGTTCCCGGCTGATACTGACGAGGGAATTACCAAGGTCATGACGGACTTTTATGATCAACTTGAAGAAGTCGTCATCCAGAATCGTCACCGATTTCTCAGGAACGTTAGAGAGCAAGCTCCTGCGCTCCTCACCTCCGGTCACCTCGCAGACTCTGGTCTGGACCAGAGCGAGGATCTACCGGAGACGACACCCCTCGACGACGAACGTCGGTATCTGATCATGGACCTCCGCATTCACATGAACGATGTCAAAGCCGCGGTGCCCTTGTTCACCAAGGATATGTCATACGTGAACCAGGCCCTGGTGCGCCCCATTGTGGCATACATCAATGCGAAGAAGACCTACATTCCGATTGGCTGCCGCATCGTCAAGCGAGCTAGCGACTTTGAAGGCAGCTGGTCCATCTTTGACTGCGGACTCATGAATGACATGTCCGCCGAGACTTACGTGGCCTTTGCCAAGGACGTCGAGGACCAGCAAAGTCGCGTCCGACGATTCAAGAAGGTCGGTTTCTGGACGCTATCTCTAGCCGTCCACGCCCTCTTCATGGGAATGGCGGGCAACGTCGTTTGAGCCGATTACCAGCTTACCCTACTATACTCTACTCTATTGCTTTTGGTTCTGTTTTGCTTTGAGACGAGGCATTGACAAACCTACGGACGACGCAGCACATATTTATTTGGGACGGGACGGGACGGGACGGAATGTGACAATGTAAACGGAAAGGATAAGGCGTCGGGTTTGTGCAGGACGGGATATTTCCCGAGGAGTTCAACGGGTTTGATTTTTGAATGAAGAATTGTCCCATAATGGCCATCAGAGTCCCTACTCCAGGTGGCCATGATGACGGCTGATGAAGATACCCCTGCTACGCCCGGCATGTTCATCAAGAGAGCGCCAAGTGTGCATTGTGCAAGTAGATACGTTTGGACATCTGCATGACATTGCAGAGATTTTGACTTAGAATCAATCAGATGTATGTTTGCGTTCTAAAGGTCCTCAAATGATCAGGCTGTGAGGAATCAGCCGCGGGGATACAAGATCCCGGCACGGTTGACAGAGTCTTGTCTAAACGCCTATGCAAACGCAGATGCATGAAAGGACCATGTGCAGATCCAAGCAAAACCCACTCCTATCCGAAATCCCTTATTCTCGCTTGATTCGTCACCATCCAATCACCATTACCTCTCCCTCCAACCACACCACCCTCCCGACGCCTTCCAGGCACTGCCCCGACACCTGCCTGTGGCTGGGCGTATCGAGGCGGAGCCATGGAAATCGGCGTGCAGGAGGATAGTTTCGTCGAGATGTTGCATCTTCCCATATAGGGAAGGGGTAGGCTCGCTAGGCGCGGCCTGAGATGCACAGCCCGGCACTGATGATGTTGGCGCCGTGTAAGTGATGGAGGTGTCGCATGGCTCTGTGGCCGTATAGAAAGCCGCTTCACATAAAATCATCACTGAGGACATGGTTAGTATCACATATGGTCTTGTTATGAATCATGGGGGTACGAACTCTCCAAAGCCGTCGTCGTCGTACGCGGCGGTATCAGCAGCGTTGGCACGGCCGGTGACAAGGGAAGTCTTCGTCTTGGCGGCCTTGGTCTTCTTACCGCCCTTATCGGCAGCTTTCTCCTCCTTCATTTTCTCGTTGCCGAGAGCAGTGAGACCGCTGGCGAGCTTCTTGATCTGGTCGCTGGGCATATCACGAGCCAAGGTCTTGGTGAACTCCTGAAGGAAGAGGCTGTAGTGAGCCTTCTTAGAGTGGGCCGCGATGACGGGGCCAACAGTTATGCGAAGGAGTTCGAACTGGGCCTTTGTCTTGGGGTCGAAGAGGGGCAGCTTGGCGATATCAACAGTCTTGGTAGGGTCCTTGCTGTCGATGACGACGGCAGCAGTCTTGGTCTTAGCACGGCCAGCGCTCAAACCAGCGTCTCCAAACATGTCGGCGGCGTGGGCCAAATCCGCATCCTGCTCGGTTCGGCGGAGACGTTCACGGCGCTCGGCCTCCGTCTCATCTTCATAGTCTTCATCATCGTCCAAGACAGCCTGAACGGCACGCTTGGCCTTGAGCTGCGCGATGCGCTCACCCTTGGGCACCTTCTTGGCGGCAGCCTCGGCATCAGCCTTGGCCTTGGCTTCGGCAGCCTTCTTAGCCTTCTCGGCTTCTGCCTCGGAGTCATCGGCATCCCACGAGTCGAGGACCTGGTGATGGTAAAAATGTGATCAGTTTGGGAGTTATGGTATAAAGGGGGGTGCGCGATATGTGACTTACATCGCTGTCATCCTCTTCGTCGTCAAACTTGCGGCGAGCGGCGGCACCCGGAACACCAACGGCGGGAGTGGAACTCGAGCTATCAGAGTCGCTCTCCTCGTCGTCTACAGAAGAACCAAGTTAGCTGGAGGTTGCGAGATAAATGGAGGAAGGCCCCACGGATGGGAGGGGAGGAAAGAGAATCTCTGAAGGAACGATGATAGTGCATTCTGGGGAGCGCAGTAAATAGGAGAGTGGCAATGTCTTACCCCATTGCTTAGGAGGCATGATATCGGTCGTGGAAATGTGATGGATTTTGGTGTAAATTTGTGTGGGCTCGAGTCGTTCGGTCGTGGGCGTCAGAACTGTTTCGGATCGAGATGGATCGAGTCGTGATTTGACTGGGACAGACAGAAACCGGGAGCGAGGTTTAGAGGCGACGGTAGGGCCGGTTCTGGGAGGAGAGGAGGAGGATGTTTGTGGTTGGATCCGAGAAAGGTGGAAGGGAAAGAAAGAGAGGAGAGGGTTAAGTTCGGGTCAGGCACAAAGGCACGAAGTAGAGGCACCCAATGATGGCTGTGACTGTGGCCGCCTGAACCCGATGAACGGCACGAGGGGGGCCACCGAAGGACAAGAAGCAAGGAAGGAGGGGCATCATTTGGGGCATCCCACTCCGTGCTTGGAGGGGTAAATTCTTTTTTTTTTTTTGGCGCTTTTTCCTCCTTGTAGCGCGTCGCCTTCTAAATAATTACCAAAACTTTGCGCGCATACGTCCAGACGTTTATTGCGAGGCTGGCATCATAACGATGGTGCCGCGCATGGCGTTCATCACCATGAACAGTTGGCATTTCCATTCCATGCCTCCATTCTAAGGTTTCCCTCTCGGAGGGTCGCGTCCTTTATAGATAATTCTTAGTCCATAGAAAGGAAGAACATCCACATCCACATCCACATCCATGCTGGTCGCCACTAATAGACGCATTCCCCCACCAACAGGTGTCCCACCCGCCAAAAAAGCTGTCCCGAAGACGGCCCGCCAAGATCTCCCCAGTTGCACGGGGGGGGGGGGCCGTTACCATGGCCAAAGAATCAAGGTCGCCGACTTGATGAGGCATTTGCCATGCTCAGCACTGGCCTTCGGGGACCATGATATGGCTGATGACTCACCTGTTGCGCAAGTCGAATCTTGTCACCGGGGTCCATTTATGGGTATCCACCCTCATTCCGTGCGGCCCCTTGCGGCCACTGCGGCATGCGGTCATGACAGCCCGCTTTGTTGTTTATTCATGTTGTTCATAATTACTTGAATGTCGGGGACAGAGAAGGAGAAATGGAGAAAGGGTGCGAGTGCGAGATGATGCTATCCAAGTCGACATTGAATGGACACTGGCGCCTTCGCTTGCTGCTTACTATGTAGTACACATGGTGCTGGGGAAAAAACGTTACACAACACAACGGCCATCCCGAATATGAGGTGTGCTATCCTGTGCAGACACTCTCCGCAACCCAACGGAACTCATGGCCCTCCGTCAATCTCTCTATACGTGCTGCCCGGATCAAGCAAGGCACAATTTTTTCTACCCTGAAGGTGTTTTTATTCTCTTTTAGCACAATGTCCCATTTTCCAGATCCCTGGCAAGGAGCAGGGCTCATGATGTCTTGTTCCAAGGCGGATGTTGATGAATTTCATGTCATGATGTCCTTGCATCAATGCATGCGATGCTAGCGGGAAGTTTCGTATCTCCCCTGACACAGCCGTTACTATGTCCGTATGGATCCTAATTCAAAAAGCCTCAAACCAGTAATCATGATTCCTCAGCATGAACAATTACGAATTCATTACCCTGATGGGCAGTAGGTTCATCCTTATCCACAGTTCAATAAGTGAGCTGAGGCGTGTGTAGATAGCCAATCCATGGCTGCCCCCATGTTCCAGTGTACCCATGACCATCACGGTCCCGTTCCCTCGTCAAATCACAGATGGTCAAATCAAGGATGACCTCGCGGCTTCGCTTCGCAGCGAGAAGTGAGCGCGAGGTGAGACGGGCTCTCTTTTTTCGTGTTAAACTTGCTCTGGAGGATCCATCTCCGCCAAGCCCCGACTCGTTGGAATGACACAAATAGTTTATCCTATTTGGGGCATCCGTCCCTGAATCCGACCCAGTCCGACGGCGTATGCTCAGCAACAAAGCCTACTTCCGACTCCTCCCGACGGCACCCTCTCACGTGGCCACCCAAATAAGCCTGTGACGAACGCCCAGCTCGTCCTTGAGCCTCACGGCCCGCCGCCCGCAATTCGGTGCCGCCGCCGCCGCCGCCTCCTCGGAGAAGCTCAGGGCTCACCGAGGCCATCCGGTCTGTCTTCGTGGGCTCGTGTAGCGTCTAGTCAGCGAGGTTTCTGCTAGCGCGTATGCATTCCGCTCATACCTGCTCCTGCTCAACGGGCGTAGACCTGTAGTGCAAGACTTGGATCGCCCGTGCCTGACTCCGAGACACCCGTATATATAAGACTACTCAAGCCTTGTCAGGCATGACCTCTGCCATGTTGTATACTGTATCAAACAATCAGAAGCCTCACTTTGGCATACCCGATATACTCACACCTGTTCCATCAACGACTTGACTAGTCCTCCCTTTCCTAGTTTTCCCCTCCGCCTCAATGCTCTCTACTCAGATCCATACCCACGCCCACGCCTCGAGACAAGCTGCTCAGCTGGGTAAAGCTGCAGCGCTTGGATTCGTCCGTTCGGCCTCGTCCTCCTCGTCCTCTCTTCTTCGATCCCCCGCTGGTCTCAGGTTAGCCTGCGCTGCGTCTCAACACCATCAATCCTCACGAGCGTTCTCGACGACTTCGGTCGCCCAGCTACGAGACTTTTTCCCAGCCAAGGACACTCCCCATATCCAGGTTACCAAGCCAGCATGGCCTCACCACACTCAATCCTACGAGGAGATGATCTCGGTGGTCCCGGCCCATCGTGAGCCTCGGGGAATGGGTGACTGGGCAGCCTGGAAGATTGTTCGATTTGCCAGGTACTGCATGGACAAGGCCACAGGCATGGACCGCGCTCAGCAAGTTGATAAGAAGCATCCAACTACTGCTGTAGAGGCATCAAAGCCCTTGACTGAAGCGCAATGGGTACGTATCCTTCTCCTACATAATCGTCATCGACACTAGAGGATTAACATCTGATGCTAGTTGATTCGATTCATCTTTCTTGAAAGCATTGCCGGTGTGCCTGGAATGGTTGGCGGAATGCTACGCCATCTCGGCAGCCTTCGCCGAATGAAGCGAGACAACGGCTGGATCGAGACACTCCTCGAGGAGAGCTACAATGAACGAATGCACCTTTTGACGTTCATGAAAATGTGTGAACCTGGGTGGTTCATGAAGATGATGATCATCGGCGCACAAGGCGTTTTCTTTAACGGCCTTTTCGTCTCGTACCTCATTTCGCCCAAGATTGTGCACCGTTTCGTCGGATACCTCGAGGAGGAGGCTGTCCACACTTACACGCGATGCATCAAGGAGATTGAAGACGGCCACCTCCCCAGGTGGACAGACCCCGAGTTCCGCATTCCCGACATCGCTATTCAGGTGAGCTGCTCCTGCAACCACTTCCACGGAGCTGCATTTATGCTGACGAAATTCTAAACTAGTACTGGAACATCCCCGAGGGTCACCGCACCATGAAGGATCTCGTCCTTTACATTCGAGCCGACGAGGCAGTCCACCGCGGTGTCAACCACACCCTGGGCAATCTCAACCAGAACGAGGACCCAAACCCATTCGTTAGCGAGTTCAAGGACCGTGATATACCGAAGCCCGCACTCAAGCCCGCTGGATACGAGCGTGCTGATGTTATCTAAGTCACACAGCACAGCCCCGATGGCACTACACCTTCTTATTCCACGCAATCTGTATTTAATGTCCGTTTCCTTTGTTCGCGCGTGGGGAAAAAAAAAGGTGGTTGTAGGATAGACGGATGATACCACTGGACACTGGCGTTATGAGCCCCAAGGCGTTTTTGTATTTGTTATTTTCTATTTGTTTGGCAGCTTGGGGGGGTCCCAAATCCCAACTCTTTGATATAGGCGCGAGTGTCACAGCGCCCCTTGATGATCGGCTAGTCCCAGATGGTTTGGAGCCACAGAACTTTCTAAAATCAGGAACGCGACTTTCGAACCAGTAAAGACCCAATCTCAGTGTGGCTGTGCGAACGAAGAAAGTCAATACCAGCCAAAGGGCCGGCGTGTGCGAGGCAGAAAGGGCTACGGCTTACTACAAGATGGATGCCGTTCGTCGTCATAGAGAGATCCTCATGCAGACGCTGATCAGTCAAGAGGTCAGATGTGTCAGACCACAAAGGGGCCTTGCACAATTGCACCGCCTCTGCGAAAATGGTTGCCTTACCGCGTACGAGCGAGATGGCCTCATAAGTGGCCATCGCCTGGTCGCCTCACTCTTCAGGCCGAAAGTGCAGTGTGACTGTTTTAAAAAAAAAAAAAAAAAAAAAAAAAAAAAAAAAGGGTAATGAGACTGATTGCCGGGACGAGTTCACCGACAGAGGTGGTTGAAGCTGCTACGGAAGTGACAAGGCGCAGAAAGTAGCGCGTAAGTTGATGTACGTACTACGTAGTATGTCTCTTGACCTACCTATTCCGGAGCGAACATGGTTAAGCTTCTTCTGGGCCGCGTAACCGCAGCCCGCCCCGAAGCCCTATGGATGCTTGAGATGTGCAGTGGGCAGCTGAAACTGATGTCATCAAAGCAGCCATCGGTCAGTGGGAAGAACTGGGGGCATGCGGTACTGCCCCCGAAGGTGACATTCGGCGCTCAGTATCCACCAGCATCCAGCAGCTCCAGCATCAGCAACTCCAGTATCACTGCATCAGTAGGTACCCGGCTCGCAGGCGACATTAGAGTCGGGTACAGCACAGCCGTGAGTTGTGGGGAACCAGCAGATCCCATCGCGGGCCGCGTGTAAGGCTGGGGCGGAGTCGCATGAGCAAAGTCGCTTGGGTGGGCGAACGGACAGTAGTCGAGACAGACAACGTTGGTGATGGACCTCGCGGGATGTCTGGTGATGGGTTTATTAGTTGGGAATTTCTGAAGCACACACCGCAGGGCCGCAGAGCAGAGCGCGTATTCTCTAACACGCCCCCACACCTAACCTCAAGTCTTGGAGGGGACGATGCCGATAGGTAGGGGACGTTTCGAGGGGGGCGGTGTTGGCAGAAGGATCCATCTGATGATGGGGATCCAGGGCATCAGGGCTCCAGGGATCCCGAGCCACCGGGGCCCAGACAAATCTAATTCTATTCTTGTGCACTCAGTGACGAGATGAGATGAAGATGAATAATGGACGGGAACCTGGTCGACGGAGGCGCATTAAATGCTTGTCGGAGGCTGCTGGATGGTGCTCTCGCGATCCCGGCGATTCCTCGCTGAGCCAATCGTCAGATGGGTTTCATCGTCACGAAACGCCAGCGAATCGAGGCTTGTGGCGGCACAACAACGGTCATCCTCATTGCCGTCAAAGCAAGGAGAGGTCAAAGCAAGCTCCGACGTACCTAGTATGAAAGTGGAGAGACGCCTCCAATTTCATTGCTCGGATTACTCAAACGGCCCCCTCAGTCGCGCCCCGGCCTCCCAGCCTTGTTTCTTAGCGCCCCGGAAATGATGCCCATGGAAATTGAGTGACCAGAGGGAAGCCAGCAGTTGAAATGTGATGCACAGCCTCGGTGATTTCCCGTCTTGTCGAACTAGAGTTTGTAAGTAGGTGATAGGTATCCCGGGCTCCATTTGGTGGGAACATGCGCAACTAATTAGAGGCAGCTTCGCAAAGGAACCTTGAGAAGGATGAGCACGGCAAGGATGTTTCAGGGTTGCGGATGCTGGCTGTGTCTTGTTCTGCCGACATCTTCTAGTCGTCAGGTTATGTGTTGGTAGATGATTTGAGATGATCTTGTCCAGGGCATACGGCGTACTGCTGACTCTGTCGTAGCCGCCCTGAAGCCATCACTGTCCTTCTCTGGCCATGGAGAATAATATTGGCCGCCCGCTCAATGAAACATGTGGATAAGTTGGTTGGTTTCCCGTGCCAATATCATCCACGGCTGGTGCATTGCTGTGCTGAGTTGGTCGTACGGTAGGACCAATTGCAAGCGAGAATCATGCTCGGGTCCCCACCGTCCTTGTCGTCTCTACCACCCCTCCGCCTCCTTTTGTGTCTACCAGACAAGTTGTGTGTTGGTATTCTGTACTTACCAAGGCGGCAACCGCCGCCATTCTGAGCATATGGCACCTCCCTACCTCCCTGGGCAGGTAGGGATTCTTGCATCCTTAACAGAAATGTAGATACGGGCATAGTAACTCCATGTGCACAGTCAGCCTCAGATATGGCCTGAGAAATATACAACTCTGGCGATGCGCAAATCCACCTCGTGTTTAACAGATTTGGACGTTTCTAGCGTAGGTTAGGTAGGTCCATTCTGTAGCGACGGTACCTCCCAAAAGTACCTCCCCTGTCGGCGTTCCTTGAGTGGGCAAGTAAATTGAGAGGGGGATGTACTTGGAAACATCAAGCATTAAGGTAGTCAGTCCCTACCTAGACGGGTGCGCATCATCAGTAAGGGTATTCACATGCTGCTAAGCCTGGGACGGTACTTGACCACCGCACCTCCAATACTGCACCTCCAATATTGTGCTTGCCAACTGCCCATCGTGGTTGCCTCTTTCTGGACGTAGCACCTCCTTGCTCCTGCCTGTTGTCGTCTTCCGCATTCTGTGGGCAGTCACTCACTCGGTGAGTCGGTGTTCTCCTCATCCCATCCCTCATCCCCCACACCAACACCAAACCCAAAATCCAAACTGCTCAACACCAAAGGAATCCACCTCCGCCTCGCTGGCAGCGCTACTAAAGCACCACCACCAACATCACCCAACCGCCCCCGAACCACGATAAATTTAGCAGGGCTGTCGTTGTGCACAGTGTCCCTGACCCGCTGTCACAGAAACAAGGCCCGTTTGACGTCCCTGGTGGCCTGCCCTGTCTCGCTCTCGCACAACCCCGGCAAGGCAATCCAACCCACTGTCCGCTGTCCAGCAAACTAGCCGCCTGGGCAGCCCCATTCGCTCGACGTGTCTCTGTCGGTCGCTTTGCACAGCCTCGCCGCCCGCCGCACCCATTGCTTCTCGCCCGCCATTCACACGCCGTCGACACGCCCGCCCCCCGTTTCTCTCCGCCCTTCCACCCTTCCATGGGAATTTCCACTCCCCCAGTTACAATACCGGTACCATCTCCGCTGCTACGTCCCAAGTGCTCTCCCACTGCCCTTGTGCCCAGTCTCTAGCATCTGTGCCCCGTGTCCCCAGTGCCGCCTCGTCGCATCTAGCCGCCAGTGTCACCGGAGCCAGCAACCTGCCCGCCCGCTCACTCAGTTCGCCCAGCCGCCAGAGCTCTCGCTCCCAACCTGTCTGTCGCCCGACTTGCTGTTCCCGCACCAAACCAAACACCAACACCAACACCACCGCTGCCCGCCAACGCGCCCAACCTCCCCAAGGAACCAGAACCTTCAAAGGCCGTCTCTGCAGCGCCCGCAATACTTTTCCCAACGTCGCATCTATCTGTTCGAAACAAGGCCCCTCCAAAGCGCCTCACCCCCCCATCCACGCGTCCGGCTGCTGCGATAGGACCGTTCCCCCGCCCATTGCATCACCCGTGAGCGCACAGCCCCCCGGCATCGCCACGGTGCCTGAAGGCTGACTCGGGAGTCTGCCTCGTCTGCTTCTAAACTCGGCAACATCATGGATCAACAAACTCAACGAGGCCGGTCACCTTCGGCTGGCCATCATCAGTCTCATATAAGTCAATCTCACTCCCCATCGCCGACCCCATACCCACCCAACGAGTCATCAGTCGGTCTTGGTCTCGGCTTGGATCAATCCGCTCAGCAGCCCTTCACGACCGCAAACAATAACTCCTTCGACTCTTACAACGGGAATAACGGCTTTCTTAGCCCCCAGCTGTCCCCCTCACTGCCGCCCCCCCAGCAGCAACAGAGCCCCTTCGCCCAGGCCAGCCTCGCCGACCCCGCTGCCTTCGATCCCAACAACACCTCTCCCTTTGGCCAGCCGGCGCCGACCACCGGCTCCGATACCACGCTGCCTTACAACGCTCAGGCGCAACCCGCCTACCTGTCTCCTAACCTGAACGACGGTGATTTTTCACTCTTCCCGCCCTCTGGCGGCCAGAGCGATCACTTCAACGCTCCCTTGTTCGATCAACCTACACTCAATCCAAGTGACATCAACAACATGACGTCCCCGCAGACACATCACTCTCCGACCCCTCCTCATCTCCTCCAACCCGACGGCCATCATCCTGGCTCGGCCCATCAGTCTCCCGCCTTCAGCCAGCACCAGTTCTCCTCCCCGCCCGGCGGTCACTCAAGACATGCTTCACTCGGCCCCGAGGCAGCAATGCTCTCGAATCACATGAGCGACTGGGCCCAGCCTCAGTTCCAGGGCCACCGTCGCACTCCCTCAGAGTACTCGGACGTGTCTTCAGTTGCCCCGTCTCCAAACCTCGTCAGCTCCGATACCTTCGATGGAGATGTTGGTGGCCACTCCCCCAACCAGCGTCCCACGGACAGCGGCATGTACGAGTCCGTAATGGGTATGAACAACTTCAGTATTTCAGACAACAGCCCTGGCCACCAGGGTCGAAGCCCGTCCCATAGCCCGGCCATCAGCCCTCGCATAGTCCCGCAACAAATGCCCGATATGACCCAGCAGCCTAGCTTCGGTCTGGCACCCATGAACCATGGATATGGAGCGTCTTCCGCATACCCAGACATGCCGGGGTCCGTTGAGGCTTTCCCTACCCTCCAGTCCAGTGGACCCGACTTATCCCAGATGGCGCCTCCGGCAATCAACATTGATTTTGCGCCGACGAACTCCAAGCCCAGCACATTTGAGGCTCCCAAACCGCGCATGGACCAAGACTCCTTGACACCCCCCGACCGAGGTAGGTTTCCTCGTCTTGACCACATGAAACTTGTCTAACATTTTCCTAGGTCGCCCCAGATCCCGGCCTCGAGCTGTCACAGATCCCTTCCACCCTGGTGGCGGGTTGTTGAACCGCCCTAGCAATGGCAACGGCATGTCCACGTCCCTTGGTGCTGACCTGGGAATGCGATCGGATGCCTCCAGGTCACTCTCGCCACTTGATAGACAGGCAACGGCCTCGCCTTCGCGGAGAAGACAGTCTACGTCGGCAGTGCCCAACAATGTCATTGCGCTGCGCCTGGCAGACCCAGAGTATCAGAACAGTCAGGACAGTGGTGCGGCCAAGCGTGTTCAGAAGCACCCCGCTACGTTCCAGTGTACCCTGTGCCCCAAGCGATTCACTCGCGCCTACAACTTGCGTTCGCACTTGCGGACCCATACCGACGAGCGACCGTTCGTGTGTACCGTATGTGGCAAAGCCTTTGCGCGACAGCATGACCGTAAGCGACACGAGAGTTTGCACTCGGGTGAGAAGAAGTTCGTCTGCAAGGGTGATCTTAAGGTCGGTGGCCAATGGGGATGTGGACGGCGGTTCGCCCGTGCTGACGCTCTCGGTCGTCATTTCCGGTCTGAGGCTGGTCGTATCTGTATTAAGCCCTTGCTGGATGAAGAGATGATGGAAAGGCAGAGACTCTGGCAGGAGCAGAGGATGCAGCAGAACATGGCTCACAACATGGCTCCTCCTCCTGGTGCCATGGGCATGGATCCCTCTACCGCGTACCCCATGGATGCCACGGGTAACTACATGCTCCCTGCGGCATTGCTTGCGCAATACCCTGTCTTGGCTCAAATGAACTGGTCTGGGCCTGATGTTGGTGGAAGTATGGACGATGAAATGAGTGGCCGATCGTCGTTCGATGCTAGCGACCTCGACGAAGCTGACGACGGCGGCTACGTAAGCGGACCCGGGACAGGCTATGGTGAAGGGGGAATGAACCAAAACTTTGGCGAGATGGGGTATGCGAGCGACTTTGGTGGTCGCTAAATTGCGCCCACTCGGATGACAGTTGCCTGTGGTTTCTCTTCTCTTCTCGTGCTCCTTAACAGCCGCCAACAATGGTGGAGATGACGGATGCATCCTTTTACTTTGTTATAAGCGATCTGCCTTTTGATTTTTGGATGGGTCTGTTTTTGATGTATACCGGACGGACTCGGCGCCGATGACGGCGATTTAGGAAAACACCTCCGTGGCTGGACAGGACGGTGTGGATGTGAATGCCTTGATTTTCTTGGGAGGGCTCGGGGATAGACGGTACTGCGTATAGATACCAAACTGAGTATGTTTGTCTTCTTATCTAGTTTTAACTGCGAGTTTTGCTTCACTGCGTTGTGACGATTTTAGACACGGGAGGTGTTGTGAGTCCTCATCAGATGGATAATATGATATGTTCGCATCCCAACACTTCCGCCATGCACTCGGCTTACCGAGGTCCTTGTTATAATGTGAGAGCACGGATGCTAAGTAAAAACCTCAACATCACAATGTGACGGTGGTATAGACTTGTTATCTTTAGAAAACACCATGCCCCTCTTACCCTCCTCGGTAACTAATCAAAAATATAACTGTTCACCTGCCAAGTAATCGGCTGAATTATCTATATAGGAAGAGAAACAAGGAATCTCACTCCAAACCCCTCGTCTATGTTATTTTACTCTTCCCAACTAAAGAGTGTTCACCACCACCCAACCGTATGCTCTCTCCCCATTCCCATGTCCGTTGGGGAGAGGCGAGCGGCCTCCCAGGATATCTTCAAAGACAACACCCCCGTATTACCCAAAGCAGCCCAACGCCGTGCGATGTCCAAGTTTCCCATCCCGCATTTGGACCCAAAAAAATTGTTTACCCACCCGGCACCCTTGCCATACGTAGAAACGAAACCCATGCACCCTATTCTTCCTCTGTTCCTCCGTCGAGTCCGGCTCTTTTGAGAGATTAGCACAATCGAGTGTTGCTTTATGTTCTCCAGCAGAAGTTTACTGGTCTCCAGTGCCAAAGTAACTCTTGCACACTTCGTCAATGACGCCGTTGCAGATAGCTTGATGAGCTGTTACTACAGACCCAACAATGAAGGGCATCATAAGAGAGTTGGATTCGACGGCGACATCCTCATGGATCTCGTATTCGTCTCCCACGGCGGTTGCCGTGCTGCCGGTGCTGTCAGATCCGGCGGGGGACGTGGGCCCTGGGCGGGGCCGGACGGTGTATTCGGCGCGGATGACAACGCCAGCCGGGGCCTCGGCACGTGAGCGCATGCCGTCGGGAATGCGTTGAAAGACGACCTGATAGGTGACCTCCTTGCTGATGCCCGGTGCGAGGGTGACAAGCTCGGTGACCTGGAAGAAACGGATGGAGTCGTCCCAGGGGGGGTCGAAGAAAGGGTCGTTGGCGATCGCTTCGGGATAGGGGGTGTTTTCGCTATAGCGGGTCATAGTCTTGTGGTTGCTGAGGAAGGGGATGAAGGATTGGACGCTAGTGATGAGGACCGCCGGGGGGAGGTTGCCGGGGATGGCGATAGAGTGACTTAATAGGCGTTGAGATCTCATGGTGTGTGGTTTGAACTAAAGTCCCGGTGGCGTGTGTTGTAGACGTGAATGGATAGCAGTTGTGAGGTGATTTGGTAACAAAGACGGAGGGAAACGGCGGGTTTAAGAGGCCGTTCTTCTTTATGGTCCCTCGTCTCCGTCAACGATGTTGCCGATTCCAAGTTATGGTAGTTGCAAATGGTGAGAATGGCGAATATTAATATGAGTGAGGTGGCGAGGCTGACAATGACGGCTGCAATGATATGGCAAGGTGAAGCCTGCCCTCGTGGACATGGTGATGATTATCAGCAACCACAACGCACAACACCAAGCAATTGCTTTAATCTTGCTGCCAGTGAGAAGGGTCTGCCGGCCTTTGGCGAGGCACGGTACAGGGCTGATGCAAGGCAGAGACCCGGGAGTGAGCAGACCGCGGGGGCCGAAGATGACGGAACCCCAGGCTGGCGCGCCGTTTTGGGACACGGGCAGTACGGGCAGTGGGGGAATTGCTTTCGGCCTCAGTGCGATCCGACGATGCACGACTCTGCGGTCATCAACGGGAGCACGGAGAGGAGAGGATCCGGGATTGTGGCTCAGGTCAACGCCTGGCAGCGGGACGGGCGACTGGGCGACTGGGGAGAGGGGAAGGCACGCAATGGCTATTGCAGCACAGGCGCCGTCAATCGCGTTCCCGTGGTGGTGGTGAGAAATGGATGGAGCGAGGACGAGGGCGATGAGACAGTGAGGCGACCGCCGATTGGGGGAACTGTGGCGGGCGGATCTGCCGAAGAACGTGGAGCGTGGCTGAAGAGCACCCAGCACGCTCCAGTAGAGATAAAAATACCCGTCTGCCGCTGCCGCTGCCGCTGGCACTACTGTACCGCTACGTACCGGGACGGATCGGGCGGTAGCTTACTTAACTTTTGGCGCGTGGCTGAGGAGACTGGAGGCATGTGAGAAAGGGGCGGTGCAACAACCATCATTAATATACAACGTTGTATTTTTCTGCTTCTCGAGCGGAGGAGAGGGAGAGGGCCATATGACCTCCGGATAGGACGGACTTGAGAGGGATCCCGTGCCGCTTGGTCCTGCCATTTTCCACCACGGGCCTTTCCCTCCCGCGACCAAGCCATTATAGTAAGGCGAACTCCGCTGGCGCCGAATCTATGCCCGAGGCCGCCGGGGATTCTTCTCCCAAAGGAAATTCATCTGCGGATAGTTGCCAGATATGGGTCGAAATCTCCTGAAAATCCCAGCATCATAAACACACCGGCGTCGTCCTCCTGATTCCACCCTCCCTTCTCAGCGAGTCAATTCATATACAATTCCTCTTGGGAGCATGCGGTCCTTTTCAGCGGCGCAAAACAGGCTTCAGTCAAAGTTTGCAGAGAGTTTGCACCACCGCCATGGACAGCACATGCATGTGTTATTGATAGGACGGACAAGTGCTAGCCTAGATGGGTATTGTAATCGAAGCAACGAGCATACAGTAATTATGGAGCCTAATCTTGTGCAATTCCATACCACCCCCCGAGTCCATCCTCCGTCCTAAGTCCTCCGTCCGCTCCGTGGGCGACGGGGGTTATCTCATGACATGCCGCGACGGTGTGGGCTGAAAACATGCCAGAAACATCTATTTCGCAGCTGCACTACCGCATCTCTTTGCAGAACAGATGAGATATCTGCAAGCGTGGTTCGTTGGTTGCTTTGAATCGCCAGAGTCGTTTTGGCTTAGGCTAGAAAACCATTGACGGGGTTGCGTGAGGCTGCAGGGGCCCTGCATGACGTTTGACATTTGGGCACACCCTACTAAGAATGGATGGGCTTACATGCTACGCAGCATGTACGTACAGCGCGCTGGCCAGCAGAACACCAGCCCTGCCTCTATCCGGGATCACTCACATGCTGCAGCGTCCTTCGTACTATGTACGTGCTACTGTGGAATAAGCATCTTAGTGACTACAGGCCCGGCCAACATCGAAGCTAACAATAGCCCTTCGATCTGTATAACCATATTTAGAGACGACCCTTACCTGACGCGGTGGGATCGTGATAAGAAATCAGATGGCCAAGTGCAGTGGAGCAGCGTTGATCTCTCCATCCATTTTACTGACTCACACTCCTAATGTAGCACATGGCATGTACCACAAATGGCTCAATGAGGGATGGCATTCCCTATTTGAAATTGCAGTGCAGTTCTTACCGAACTGACGAACGGGAACGCAGACTTTGTAACCAGTGTCGCAGCCTTCCAAATCCAGTGTGGCGGGCACCATGTCGTCCACCAACTCAGTTGGCAGCATGAACTTGACCTCCTCTGTTCATACCAACTTGATGGCTAACGGGAGCCACGCAGGAATCGATACGGAGATTTAAACAACAAGGACGCTATAGTACGCATGTGCATCCCCCAGCGGGTCAGAGCATGGATGAAAGGCTTATGCGACTGATAGGTACGGAAGTAGGGTTTGCTCAGTTCCCGTCGCCAAGAGAGACAAGGGTGGCATGTCAAGCAGACATAACTCCTGCTCACTGACAGCCATAGCGAGACGCAGAAACGCAAAACACATGGCTTCCCTCTGCGTCTCTCCCCTATGCGAGGCTGTGCGATGACGAAGGTGGACGCCTTCGGGTCTGACCGCCACAAGAGGTTGGGCGGGATTGGATGGGCAAGGGTGCTCATGGGTACTGTTTTGGAAGAAGACAACGCGTCTGGTGCTCCTCCCCCCGGGCGGCAGAAAATTTGCGGCTTTTAGAGGCATGGCAAGTTGAAGCGGTGAGAGTTGACGATGCCCGTTCGGGTCAAAATCTGTGGGATGCTGCACGGGGCTAAGAGACTCAGGGACTGGTGGGACGGGCTGGGACCCATAGCAGCCAAGCACACGCCAGCTAGTTCCCGACGTCTGCATCTCGCCCGCAGGCCGCAGGACGCCAGTGGGTTCGTGGCTGGGAGGAGGGATTGGACTCAACTGCGACTGGGCTACACGATGCCACAGCGGAACTGTACTTCTGCGTTGGCGGTATTGATGCCCAGTGCCGGTTGTAGCGTTACCTGATTCCCTCGACTTCGTGCGTCTCTTGTGCATCTCATGTGCGTCTTTGCTGCGATCCAAGTCTCCCGTCAGTCAAATCGGCTGGGCAGGACTGGGCTGGGGGGTGGCCACTAGGTTAGCGGTTGAGGTTTAATGGTCCCTTTCCTTACCCGCAGCCGCTAGTCGATATTGGTTGTTGGAGTGATGGACAAGGGCCTTGCGGTGCGAATTGGGCGCCCTCGAGTCGGCTGGTCGGTCGTCGAGGGAACGGATCCAGCCAGAGTCCAGTCCCACCATGATCCGAGGCGAACATCTGCGCAGAAGGGTCCAAGGGGTGATCGCAGACGTGGGGAAGAGAAGGATTCGGCAATATTGCCGCCCTGTGACAATTTCCCCCGGGATGGTTCAACGGCGCGCAATGATGGATAATAAGGGTACACAGCCAGAGATGCGAGCAGGGTTTTCAAAATGGAGTGCGCGCACACATCGACTTTACCCCTCCTTAGCCGAGAACGACTGTCCGAACACAGACAGAGAAGATGCCACACGACAGATACTTACCTGTCTCAGCCTGTTACCTTGTTTGATATTTCGGCCCGCTGGTGGCGACAGCTGGCTGACCTGGGCTGGGTTAGGTTGTATAAGCTAGGCCCCGCGTGATGTCACGGAGATCGAACCACGGGGCTAGGGTCTTTCGGAGGGGTGAGTGAACAAGGGACGATCGATGGCGTTGGGAGGAGGACAGAGCATCGCCCTAGAAGTCGTCAGACTTCACAAGAAGTCTGGATCTGTATTAAAGATCCATGGCGGCGGAGGTTTGCAATAACTAACAGGTGCGTGTGCACACTAATAGGGGAATAAGCCGGTGTATCCCTTCCATGGTGCGTGAAGCGATTAGGTAGCAGCCTTGCAAGTTGGGCAACAAGGCGACTGCCGATGCCTGAGGGAACATCCCAGCACCTCGGCCGACAACCCCATCGACTCTCGTCGTGTCTGTTTCTAGTATCGGCGCCGGCTCAGAAAGTTTAATATGGCCAGAGTGGTTACTGGAGTTTGGACCCTTTGCTGGAGGGTATTTGGTCGAGCCGAGTATGTAAGTCAGGATTATGCCGAGTCTCTAATATGGGTGGTTGGGAATGGAGTCAACAAAGATGACGGCCCATAGGCGCATTTCGTTTGCCTAGGCAGGGGCGAAGATCGGGTCCAACGAAGCAGGGCGAGGGCCTGACTGGCCTGGCCCTGCAGATGGAGGCCTGGCAACATCAACCACGTCGGGTCTGGTTGGTCGAGGTGCTAGGGACTGCAGTTGCAGGTCTGGGTGGCTTGCTTGCGAGGTGGATCACGGGCGTGCGGTACGGAGTACGTGCAAGAAGAGGGAGGAGGATTATTTGCAGCAGGCGGTTGCTCGGTGGGTGGTAATGGAATCAATCGTGTGTGGATGGTGTGTGTCGACGAACGGACGGTGGGTGGGCAGAGATGGGCTGGTGGTGGTGGGTTGGGCCAATGCCATCAATGTTATGCGTGACTCCTTACTCCCTCGCACGCGCTCTCACACCCTCCCCGCCCCCGGCTACTCATGCTGCTGCGCGTTGTGCGTTGTGCATTTTCGACGACGCCGACGCTTCTTAATGGCTGCCCCATCCAGAAAGTACCTGCACATACATATGTGCTCCTCCCTCGTGGCAAGTACCTCGACGACTCCCCTTTTTTCCCCCTCGTCGCTTGAACGCACCCGTCCCCATCTCGAATCGCATCCGGCGTTGCCACATGCCATTATCACCTACTTGGCAACAAGGGGGTGGGAAATCGAGACGAAGAGTGAAATTGTGAGTGAGGGAGAGGAAGGAAAAGTGTTGAGAGAGAAAAACGACAGAGAAAATCGTGGCTCCTGGACATCGAGAAGTCACGGGCCTGTCCCTCTTTCCCAACTTCCATTCTTCTCGACTCGCTTGTTGTTCTAATAATTACACCCAACCTCCCATCTTCACCTGACCGGGTCAAATAGCGGTAGGTACCTTACCCATCATCGCCTAACCTCGCTCCACCCGGGGCATTGGGATCCTTCCCACGTTGAACGGGTGGCCGTGGTTGCACATGGCTTACATGCTTTTACACAAAATCCGCGCCAGACAGACGGACAGACAAACTAACGGCACATACAGATAAGACGACTGGCAATTAAACACCCGCTCGCTTGCCAGTCATCGCCTCCCGCCTTGCTCGCTGTTGTTGATGGGGCGGCGCCCTGTCGAATCACACCCGCCAGTCGCTCCGTTGCATTACGCTTGGTGCGACTGACATTCGCCTTGCCGACGATCCAAACAAGCACACCGGCATCATTGGCCCGTGGCGCTACCCGCCTGTCTTGGTCCTGGGGCCTTTTTTCGACTTGCGCTCTCCAAGCCCCCGGGCCATTCTCCCCTTTACCTCTCGTCCCGTTCTCTTGATCTGGGAGAAAGTCGCTGGCCATTTGTCTGCCTCTGCCCGGCGCGGTTCAACTCGACATCGCATGAGCTGAGGACCCCGGCCAGAGAGCGAGACCATCGTGCGTCCAGCGCTCAACCACCCAAGGCATCCCACAACTCACAACTAGGCGTTGGCCCAAGAGCGACGGCGCCGCTGACGAGTCTGTCGCCTGGGATATTGACAGTTACCCGGTTACCTAGGACTAATTATCGACGACGCCAACTCTGACCCGACCTCTTTTTTTTTTCTTCTCCCTGGTGCCCCCGCGTCGGCTGCAGTCCAACACCACATACAGTCGAAAACATCGACCCTCTCCTGCGCGACATTGCATCACGATTCGTTACGATACCCCCGAGACTCGCACCACATTCCACACGACCTTCTCCAAAATCTTCGCCCACTTACACGAACATCATCCATAAGCGACATCGACAGTTCGACCTCGTTTCAAAACAGCATTTTCAACTCGCCTGGGTTCCCAATCCAGCATCCCCGCCTCGATTCCCGTCCGGCCCCCGCCATCCACAGCGTCCATGATTGTGACGTCGCATCGCCTTTGCACGAGCTCCATCTTCCACAATGGCCGCGGCCGACGTTTTGGCGTTCACAGAAAGCTGGATAGGAAGCGGATATGGCTGGTCAACGATCCAGCATTCGCCGACTGGGTGGGATGAGCGATCTCTGCGTGTCCAGCTAGGGACAATTGCCCATGCATGGATTGCGCAGAGCTCTCGCAGGCAGGTACGTCTAGGCTTTATTTCATTATTTACTTCACCCGCCTTCCCGGGCCGCAGCCGTTGCAAGCGCCAGTTGGCTATCTCGAGTCATTCTCAAAGCTTAACTGCTTCATCGGTGGCGCGCAACGGTCGACCCCTCTCCGAGGGGAACCTGTGACGCCACTTCCCGTTACCCACCACGACGGGAACGCGACCTCCTCAAAGGTTATCTAACATTCCATTTCTCAGAGCCTCCCGACCTCTTCTTCACATCATCGACATGTGGCCGCGAAGGCCCTGATCATCCCTGATTTGTCCCCGAAATGGTTGCGCTGCATCCCCCGCACGTGTGAACCCCCGGATTCCTCCAATCGCATCATGGACCCCAACGACCCCGACGACTACGCACGACCGCATCAGCCGGCATGGATGGATGCTTTCTCACTACCTCCCTCATCCGATCCCCCCCGAAAGCGCCGCTCCAGCGATGATCTTCTCAGCGATCCAACCTTCGATGTCTCCGTCGACTTCAACTCACAGGAGGGGTTCTACGAGATGGCAAAGAAGAAGAAGGGTGGCGCCGCGAAACAGTCACTACCTCCCCCGCCACCTCCCGTACCCCCGCCACCTCCTGCCGACGAGGGCAACAAGGATGGTGCTGGTGGTGATAGCAATGGCGGCGATGCTGCTGGCGGTGCTGGTGGTGGTGGTGACGGTGGGAATGGCGCTGATGCCGGCTGGGGAGACTTCGCCACAGCCAAGCCGAAAAAGAAGAAGGGCAAGGACGAACTTGACGTGGGTCTCCCCAGCATACCTACCGCTGACTTCAGCGCCGACGCTTTCGATGAAATCAAGCTGGGAGATGATCTTGGAGGGAAACTTGACCTGGGTCTCGGCCCCCCGGACGGCAAGGGATTTGGCTCATGGGGCACCAAATGGAATTCCGGTGCCGGGGGCGGAGCCGGAGATGCAGGAGGAGGTGCGGGAGGAGGCAGTGGTTGGGACTGGTCCGGCGCAGGCGGAAACGACCCCATGACAGCAACAGCCGACGCAAAAATCGACGAAAGCTCATGGGGCATCAACCGCGGAAAACCTAAGAAGGCCGGAAAGTCGAGCCTCTCATTCGGTGAATTCGGCGACGTGGAGGAGCACACCGAGGTGGCCAAGCCGGATGAGAAGGAGGACCCCTGGGGTTTCGGCGCCAAAAAGGACACCAAGAAGAAAAAGGATCCGAGTATTTGGGGATCCGACCCGATCGAGGAAAAGAAAGACCCAATTGGCGAGCCTGATCCATGGGGTTGGGGTACTTCTAAGAAGAAGCCGCCACCTGAACCAGCGCCAGCGAAGAAGGAGACCGAAGATATCTGGGATACATGGGGAATCTCAAAGAAAGACAGGGCGAAGAAGAAGGGCATTATGGACGATGTCTCTGAACCACCGATGCCCGCACCCGATCCGCCACCGTCAGATGACTTGTGGGGTGGCGATGGCTGGTCTAAGAAGGATAAGAAGAAATCTTCAATCTGGGGCGAAAGCGACGTGCCCGTACCAGCACCAGATCCACCAACCCAAGACAACGACAAGAACGAGAACGATGACTTCTGGAACGCCTTTGGTAACAAGAAAAAGAGTCCTGTACCGGAGGTTCAGCCACCGCCAGAGGAGAAAGCTGCAGACGGGTGGTCGGCTTGGGGCCTTGCGAAAAAGGTTGGCAAGAAATCGACGTCAATATTTCCGGAGTTTGGCGACGACAAAGCCGAGGAAGCCCCAAAACCCGGAGATGACGGCTGGGATCTGTGGGGAACTGGAAAGAAGAAGAAAAACGATCTTATCAGCTTGGACGAGGTCCCTCCCCCTGCCCCTGAACCCGTCGAGTCTTCTGGAGGCGAAGGTGGTGGGTTCTTTAGCTCCTGGGGTCTGGGTAGGAAGAAAAAGGCTCCCGAGCCTGCCCCGTGGAAGCCAAATGTTATCGAGGAGCCCAGTGACGAGTTCTGGAACTCCGTTGGTAAGAAGAAAGCCGATCCCCTACAATTCCTACAAGACAATCATGGTGAGATAATGAACCTTAACTATGTCGAGGGGGTGCATGGACAGCAAGGTTGCCAAGTACGATAGCTTGTATTGGAATTATCCCTCCAACACAAGGCCAAATACTCAGAATGGCGCCTTGACTGGACTACCTCCTCTATCCCCGGCCACTCTTGGTGTAGACATTGCTAACCAGGCCAATAAACAGCCGACCCACTCGCCGAGGTACGGGCAGCTGAAGCACAAGCTGCCAGGGAGGCCGAAGAGATTGCCGCGCGTCAAGCAGAGGAAGCAGAGGCGGCAGCTGAAGACAAAGAAATTGCTACCTTGCTCGAAAAGAAAGCCAAACGAGGAGGAAAGCTCCTGAGAAAGGATACAGAACGGCTGAATCTCCTTCAAGAAAGCGCTGCGACCAGGGCCGATGAACGTTCTATTCGCGAGGCGGAGGAAAAGGCTGCTAGGGATGCAGAAGAATTCGTCGCCGCTGAAGCCGCTGCCGCTGCCGCCGCCGAGGAAGCAGCTGCCGCCGAGGCTGTTGCCGCCGAAGCTGCCGCACAAGAAGCTGCCGATGCCAAAGCAGCCAAAGTCGCCAAGGAAGAGGAGGAATTCGCAACCCTGACGGCAAAGAAGTTGAAAAAGAATGGCAAACTGATCAAGAAAGACCAGGAGCGTCTCAATGCCCTCCAATCCAAGTTTGACAAGCGAGCTGAAAAACAAGCTGCCAAGGATGCTGAAGCCGCTGAGGTCGCTGCCTCCGCCGCCGCGGCTGAGGAGGTTGCGGCTGCGGAGGTTGCCGCGGCTGATGCTGCCGCGCAAGTGGCTGCTGACGCTGAAGCAGCTACGATTGCCGAAGAGGAAGAGGAACTTGCCGCCCTGACGATCAAGAAGATGAAAAGGAACGGCAAACTACTCAAGAAGGATCAAGATCGATTCAGCATCCTTTTCGAAGCCTCTGCGAAGAGAGCCGCGGAGCAAAGTGGCAACGACGCCGAGCGAGCTGCTCAGGACGCTGAGGTACAAGCAGCCAAGGATGCCGAAGAAGCTGCCGCTGAAGCTGCTGCTGCCGAACTTGCTGCTGCCGAAGCTGCCGCCGCCGAGGAGGCCGCCGCCCAGGAGGCAGCAGAGGCTGAAGCCGCAGCTCAGGCAGCAGCTGCTGATGCCGAGGCCGCCGAACTCGCCAAGGAGGTGGAGGAACTTGAAACCCTGAAAGTGAAGAAAGCGAAAAATGGCAAGTTGACCAAGAAAGATACGGCCCGGTTCACGGTCCTCGTCGGCCAAGCCGTGAAACGAGCTCAGGAGAAGGCCACCAAGGAGCGTGAAGAGGCTGCTGCTAAGGAAGCTGAAGAGGCTGCTGCTAAGGAAGCTGAAGAGGCTGCTGCCAAGGAGGCTGAAGAGGCTGCCGCTCGTGAGGTAGAGGAGCAGGGTGCTCGTGAAGCTGCAGAGGCGGCAGCAGCAGAGATCGCCAAGGAGGACGAGGAACTTGCAGCTTTAACAGCCAAGAAGCTCAAGAAGGGGAAATTGACCAAGAAGGATACGGAACGCTTTAACATCCTCACTGAGAAGGTCACCCTACGAGCAGAAGCTCAAACACCTCAGGAAGTGGAAGAAGTCCCACCAGCAGAGGCAACTGTCGTCGACGAGCCACCACCAGAGGAACCCACCGAGCCTCTAGTCGAAGAGTTGGTAGAAGAGCCCCCAGTGGAGGATCCTCCAGCAGCAGACCCACCCGCAGATTCTGAGGATGTTGTTGTTGATGAAGCTGCCGCTGCTAAGGATGCTGCTTTTGCCGAAGAGGAGGCGGAGTTGGCTGCTTTAGTTGCTAAGAAGGCGAAAAGGGGCAAGCTTGGCAAGAAAGATACGGACCGCTTCAACATCCTTACTGAAGCTGCAAACCAACGTGCAGAGATGGCAGCGAAGGAGGCTGCCGCAGCAGAGGCCGCCGCTGCTGAAGCTGCTGCTGCCGCCGAAGCCGCCGCCATCGCCGAAGCAGAGGCTGCCGCCGCTGTCATCGCCGAGGAAGAGGCAGAACTAGCTGCCTTGGCTTCTAAGAAGGCGAAGAAAGGCAAACTTACAAAGAAGGACACTGAACGGTTCAATGTTTTGACTGAGAACGCCCACCAACGTGCTGGGCAAGCAACCAGAGATGCCCAAGATCATGCCGCTGGCGAGGCGGAAGACGTTGCCGCCGAGGCTGCCGCTGCCGCAGAAGCAGAAGAGGCCGCTGCTGCAGCCGAAGCAGCTGCAGTCGAAGCCGCTGCAGCAGAAGAAGCTGCAGCTCAGGAGGCAGCAGAAGCTGCAGAAGCTGCTGCTCGGGAGGCTGAAGCTGCTGCGAAAGAAGCTGAAGCTGCTGCTGTTGCTGAGGAAGAGGCAGAGCTGGCAGCTCTGACTAGTAAGAGGGCAAAGAAAGGCAAGCTTATCAAGAAGGATATTGATCGTTTCAACATTCTGACTGAGAACGCTGCGAAACGAGCTGAGGCTGAGGCTGAGGCGAAAGCATCTCTGGAGGCAGAAGAAGCCGCCGCCGCTGCAGAAGCAGAAGAAGCCGCCGCTGCAGAGGCTGCAGCAGCAGAAGAGGCTGCGGCGGCGGCGGCGGAGATTGCTGCCGCTGAAGCTGCAGCTGCCGAGGAAGCTGCCGCAAATGAAGCTGCCGAGGCTGAAGCCGCTACTATTGCAGCAGAAGAAGCCGAGCTAGCTGCCCTTGAAGCAAAGAAGGAGAGGAAGGGTAAGCTGGGCAGGAAAGATACAGATCGTTTCAACATTCTCACTGAAAACACTGCGGCTCGGGCTGCGAAGGCAGTTGAGGACGAAGCTGCTGCCCAGGCTGCTGTAGCAGCCGCCGAGGAGCAAGCTGCTAAGGAAGCTGAAGAGGCTGCTGCTGCTGAGGCTGCTGAGGCTGAAGCTGCTATTGTCGCTGAGGAGGAAGAAGAACTAGCGACCCTTGAAGCCAAGAAGGAAAGAAAGGGCAAACTGGGTAGGAAGGACACAGATCGCTACAATATCCTTACCGACAATGCCGCCCAGAGAGCCCAGAGAATGGCAGACGAGAAAGCTGCTGCCAGTGCAGCTGCTGAGCCTGAGGACAACGCTCCAGCTGAAGACGACGCCGCCCCTGAGGACGACGCTGCTCCTGAGGACGTCCCCCCAGAGGACGATGGCGACGATGCAGATGTCTTTGAAGATGCTGAAGATTCAATCCGTGAAGAACTCATTGTTGACGAAGAAACTGCTGCTGTCAAGGAGGAGGCTGCTCGGGATGCTGCAGAAGCAGAGGCAGAGGCTCTGGCTGCTGAAGAAGCTGCTGCCGCAGAAATTGCTGCTGCAGAAGCAGCAGAGGCAGAAGCTGCTATAGCCGCAGAGGAAGAAGCCGAGCTATCTGCCCTGGAGGCTAAGAAGGTAAAGAAAGGCAGGCTGGGCAAGAAGGATACAGATCGCTATAATATCCTGACCGAACACGCCACTCAGAGAGCCGAGCGGGCAGCTGAATTACAGGCTGCAGTCGAGGCAGAAGAAGCCGCTGCTGCAGAGGCTGCTGCCGCCGAGGAGGCCGCTGCTCAAGAAGCTGCTGAAGCCGAAGAAGCTGCCGCCAAGGAAGCTGCAGAGGCTGAAGCTGCTGCTGCTGAAGCCGAAGAGGAGGCCGAGTTGGGTGCCTTGGAAGCAAAGAAAGTCAAGAAGGGCAGGCTGGGCAAGAAGGATACAGACAGATACAACATCCTTGTCGATAATGCCGCCCAGAGAGCCAGACAGAGAGCGGATGAGCAAGCTGCTAGAGATGCAGAAGATGCAGCCGCTGCAGAAGCCGCTGCTGCAGAAGATGCTGCTGCGGAGGCGGCTGCCGCCGAAGATGCTGCCGCCGAAGATGCTGCTGCTGCTGAAGCTGCCGCCGCTGCCGAAGCTGCTGCTGCCGAGGAGGCTGCCGAGGAGGCTGCCGAGGTTGAAGCTGCCGCTGCCGCTCTCGCTGAAGAGGAGGCCGAATTAGCCGCCTTGGAGGCAAAGAAAGTCAAGAAGGGCAGGCTGGGCAAGAAAGATACAGACAGATACAATATTCTTATCGATAATGCCGCCCAGAGAGCCAGACAGACAGCGGATGAACAAGCTGCTAGAGATGCAGAAGATGCAGCCGCTGCAGAAGCCGCTGCTGCAGAAGATGCTGCTGCGGAGGCGGCTGCCGCTGAAGATGCTGCCGCCGAAGATGCTGCCGCCGCAGAGGCTGCTGCCGAGGAGGCTGCCGCTGCCGAGGCTGCTGAAGAAGAAGAGCTGGCCACTCTTATTGCTAAGAAGGAAAAGAAAGGCAAACTTGGTAGGAAAGACACTGAACGCTTCAACCTCCTCACGGATAATGCCAACCAAAGAGCTGCGAAGGCCGCGGAAGAACAAGCAGCAAAGGAGGCTGAGGAGGCTGCCGCTGTCGCAGAAGCAGCAGTAGCAGCAGAGGCCGAGGCGGCCGCGGCAGCAGAAGCTGCGGCGGCAGAGGAGGCTGCTGCTATTGCAATCGAAGAAGAGGAGCTTTCCGCATTGTCAGCCAAGAAGGCCAAGAAGGGCAAACTTGGTCGGAAAGATACGGAAAGGTTCAACATTCTGACGGACAATGCTGCTCAGCGTGCTGAGGCGAAGGCCGCCTCCGAAGCAGCAGAGGCCGCTCTTGCAGACGAAGTAGTTGACGCGGACGAAGACCCGGAGCCTGTTCAGGAGGAGGAGGAGGAGGAGGAGGAGGGTGAGGAAGAAACTCCTCCAGAAGATGAAGATCCGCCTGGAGAAGAACCTGAAGAAGCAGCTCCCGAGGCTGACGATGAGTCCGTCGCCGCCGATGAAGAAGCTGCGGCGAAAGAGGCTGCCGATGCCGAGGCTGCCGCCATCGCTGCAGAAGAAGAAGCAGAGCTTGCAGCCCTTTCAGCGAAAAAGGCCAAGAAAGGAAAATTGGGTCGCAAGGATACCGAGAGGTTCAATGTTCTGACCGAGAATGCGGCCATACGTGCTGAGGAGCATGCTGCCAAGGAAGCCGCAGAGGCTGAAGAACCAGCTGATGAGGAGGATGAAGAAGTCGAAGCTGTTCAAGACCCTGAAGAAGCCGCCGCTGCTGCTGAAGCTGCTGCCGAAGAAGAAGCTGCTGCTGCTGAAGCTGCCGCCGCTGCCGCCGCTGCCGAAGCTGCTGCTGCTGAGGAGGCTGCCGAGGCCGAAGCTGCTGCTGCCGAAGCTGCAGAAGCAGCAGCTATTGAAGCCGCTGCCGCTAAGATTGAGAAAGAAGCGGTCGAACTTGCTGACTTGAAGGCGAAGAAGGTGAGGAAGGGTAAGCTTGGCAGGAAAGATACCGAGAGGTTTGCCATCCTCACAGAGAGGGCCGATAAGCGTGCTGAAGAGCAAGCTGCCAGGGATGCAGAAGAAGCTGCAGCAGCAAAAGCTGCTGCGGAGGCTGCCGCCGCTGAAGAGGCTGCCGCTGCGGAGGCTGCTGCTGCAGAGGCTGCTGCTGCTGCAGAGGCGGCTGAGGCTGAAGCTGCTGCTCGTATTGAGGAGGAGGAGGCTGAGCTTGAAATATTGAATGCAAAGAAAGCTAAGAGGGGAAAGCTTGGTAGGAAAGATATGGAAAGATTCAATATCCTGTCAGAGAATGCCTCTAAGCGCGCCGAGGAGCAGGCTGCTGCTGAAGCCGAAGCTGCCGCTGCCGAAGCTGAAGCCGCCGCTATTGCTGAAGCCGAGGAGCAAGCTGCATTAGAAGCTGAGGAAGCTGCCGCCGCTGAAGCCGCCGCCGCCGCGGAAGCTGAAGAGATAGCTGCGCGAGAAGCAGCTGAAGCGGAAGCCGCAGCAATTGCTGAAGCCGAGGATGCTGAGCTTGCGACCCTGACAGCCAAGAAGGCAAAGAAGGGCAAGCTTGGCAGGAAAGACACAGAACGGTTCAACATACTGACCGAAAACGTCGCCCAGCGGGCTGAGGAGGCTGCCGCAAAGGAGGCTGCCGCAATGGAGGCGGAGACTGAAGCGGATCCCGATCTGGATATCGACCTCGACCTCGACCCGGACGAGATTGAAGAAATCCTCAGGGCTGGAGAGAAGGGTGGAGCTCGGGATGAAGATGAATCATATGAGACTCCTGATGAGGGTGGGGGTGAAGAGGAGGAAGAAGAGGCGGAAGAAGAGGAGGAGGTTGTCGTTGTAGAGGAAGCTGCTGACGAGGAGCCCGCTGGCAAAGAGGAAGTTGAAGAGGACGCGGAGGTCGATGAAGAGGACGTTGATGCTGAAGAGGACATTGCAGAAAAAGCGGTTGTTGAAGAGGAAGAGGAAGAAGACTACGACGATGATGACGACGACGACAAGGAGGTCGCCGACAGGGAAGCCCCTGAAGTCGTTGAGGAAGAACCTCCCGCTGATGAGCCAGAGGAGCCGGAGGAGCCAGCGGAGGAGCCGGAGGAGGAGGAGCCTCAGTTCATGGAGGTAATCGAGGCGCCCAGGAGGCTCAAGAAGAGTCGGAAGAGCAAACCCCGACGAGATGCCGAAGTGCCACCACCCGTTCCCGATCCGCCAACAGACCCTCCGTTGACACCTCCGCCCGAGCCGAGATCCTCCAGAAAGGATCGGCCCAAGTCCAACCGCGAGGGATCTTCGTGGAACAAGTGGTCTGCCGCTGCCGCCGCATCCGCTGCCGCTGCCGTCATCCCGCGCGAGGAGAAGATGAGGTCCTCCAAGTCAAAGTCCAAATCCAAGTCAGGCAAGCGAACGGATAAAGAGGAGATAGTATCCTCCAAGGGATCTTCCTCGGACAAGACCCCAGCACGAACTCGGGTGCCCCCCATGTTCAGTACGCCGCCCATCACTCGCCAACCGTCAACGCGTGAGAAGAGGGGCAGCATGAGCAATAAGCGCCGCAACTCAGCATCAGCTCGTGGCCTCGCATCCCCGCCTCCTGAAGATGTCCCCGACAAGGCAAGCAAGATTCTCGGCATGGACAAGGACAGGTCGAGCAGGAGAAGGTCCCGCAAAACGCGGCCAGAAGATGAAGATATGGAAATGTCCGGAGCTCTGGATCCTGGAAGCCCTGAAAAGCCTGAACGCCGGCGGTCAAGACGATCCCCACCCGATGAAGATATCGTCATGGTCGATGCCGACGGCCCTTCCGAAATCCCTCTCAAGCGCGGCTTATCGAGCACGAAGAAGGCCGGTTTCACTGGTCTCTTCGCAGGGCTCAGGGCATCCAAGGCAGACCGTTCTGACCGTCCAGAGCCGCTAAGGCGCCGCAATACCTACGCAACAACCGATGACGAGGCCTTGCGCGCTGCACAGATGGATGGCGACGCAGAAGTTATCGATCCCGAGCGAGAGGCCCGACGCGCCGCCCGCAGAGCTAAGCGGGCTGAACGTGAGGCTGGTGGTCGTGCGGAAGAGGAACCAAGACGTGATAGAGACGACGCCCGGCGTGAGCGCCACCGACGCCGCGATACCGAGCCTGATGCTCGAAGGGATGAGGGAAGGGAGGCGCGGAAGCAGGAGGAGAGAGATGCGCGTCGCGCAGAGCGACGGGCTGCTCGTCAACGTGAAGAGGAGGAACGGCAGGTTGAAGAGGACCGTGAGGCTCGGCGAGAGGAGAGGCGTCGTTTGCGGAAAGAGAAGGAAGAGGCTGCAGCCGCCGCAGCAGCAGCGGAGGAAGAGGAGGAGGCCCGCAGGGCCGCCAGACGCGATCGTCGACGATCTCGTCAAGTCGACCCCCCCGAAGAAGACCCTGAACGCCGTCGCCGACGTGAGGCCAGAAGGGCAGCCCAAGCGGAGGAGCCCGAGGAGATCGGGGAGGCCTACCGCCGCGGCAACCGTCGACAGGGCGGCGAGTCAGCTGATGAATACGGCAAACGAAGATCCCGACGGCGTGAGGAGCGAGAGCCCCCAGCATGGCCGCATTCTGGAACGTCCTCCTGGGTCAAGGAAGTCTCGGATGCACCGCCGCCACCGGAGGAAAGCGGCCAGGCCGAGGATGCTGGAGAGGACGAGCAGGCAGCCCGTGAACGTCGGCGGGCCCGGCGGCGAGGCAAGATGGGAGATGGGACACCGGAGGACACGGATGATCAGCCGCGGCGACGAGTGAGGCGAGAGGATCGTGAGAAACGATCTGACGGAAGCGACGAGCGTTACCAGAGCCGTCGCAGCTCGACGTATGTCGAGCCCCCGCCGACTCGGACTAGCTGGTGGAGGAAGATGACAGGATAAAGAAAGATCAAGTTTGGGATAGCATGGGCGACGGATACATGGGATGTACTACTGAGCGAGCGAGTTTCTGACTGTTTTTTTAATTGTTTTCCATCACTACCACGGCAACTACGACGAACCACATCACGACCACCAGACCAACATGACGACCACCAGCCTTCACGGCATTGTCGCTTGTCACTGGGACGAGGCAGGAAATATAAGGGACCCGATGTTTGATTTGAGAGTTTTGGATTTTGGGCATTGTACAGGGCACGCAGCGCGTCTTTTTGGGAGTTTAGCATGGGATGGATGGTTCTGCGGCAGTCCATCCTTCTCTCCACCCCCCTTTGGCATTCCTTGTTGCCGGGAAAGGGATAGGGTTGAGGGCGTTGACGACACGGCGTGTATACCCCGGGGAAGCTGAGGCGTGTGAGTGAGTATGAGTGAGTGTGAGTGAGTGAGTGAGCGGTGCATGAGATGGACATGGTAGGATGAGAGGATATAGAGGGAAAGATGATGCCGTTACCGGCAATGGCGGCCTACTCTCCCTTACCTCATCTCACCTTCCACCTGCATGCCGAAAGTGGCTTTACTGTAGCTCTTGTGTTGTACGAGTATGGTGTATCCATACAGCAACCTAGTACGATACCGACTTTTGGGTTTTCTGTAGCCTGAAGAGGGACGAAATTTATTGCTTGTTGTTTTTGAGAACTCCGAATGCTTTGCGTTGACCCGACTGTGACTTATTGATGAACACTGTGAACATGTTGCGGATCTTGCCAGAGTAGACGGTGTAAGTTATTGGGTGCTAAGAGAGTCCAGGAGTGATTCGGCTGCTCGGGCCGGAGCGGGAGGGCGGAGAAACGTGGTTGTCATGGTTGTCACGGTTGTGCCCAAAGTAGAGCTTCGCTTTGGTACCTGGAACAGTGGAATCTGTTAAATTCCCACCTCAGGTTGGTTGGTCCGTCGACCTAAATTAGTAGGAGAGACCTTTCCAATCTTGGCACGCATCCTAACTTAGGTACAGCATTGTAAATGGATACCTCATTTCTGCGGTACATGACGCGCATACCTCAGGTAGTCAGTAGGCAACCACTAAGTCACTTCGTGTTGAGTAGAGTACCTAACTTGGGTATTAATCAACCAAATCCGTCCCACCACTCCAGGGCAACCTCTCACACCCCCATCTCCGAGAGACTATCCCAACCAGCACCGACGAATCCTTTCCGTCTTTTGAAAAAGAGGCCATGTTACGTTGAAAGGGATCTGAAGCTCGTTCAGGATTCTATCAGCAGTAGCAGCTAGTTTAATATTAGTATAATATAGATATAGGGAGGAAGAAAGAATAATATACCATTAAGGCCCTCGAGCTCTCTAATTGTACAAGGGAAGCCATTAATTGCATTTCCACTTCTAACATTAAGAAGGGGCTGCAACTGTGTTGAATGAAGTCCAAGAAAGGCTCTGGCATTATCAGCCTGGGTTGCACTGTTGCGCTCTCTGTAATTAGAAGTTAGTCAATAGCTAAAAGAAGGAAATACAAGCAGTTATACTTATTGCGGATCTCCCCAAGTAGGCCCTCTATTCCAGCAATACGACCTTCGATAAGCGTGAAGCGATGGTCGATATGGGCGCGGAGATCATAAACAGCGTTTAAGACATCTCGGTGTCCAGGCACATTCTGCATCAGAGGGTATTGGCGATGAAGGATCCCATACGCTTCACCTATCTGGACGAAGTCTGGTAGTGGCGCTGGTGCGTTATTCGGCTGGTCGTTTGCCTGGGGATCCATGTTGGAGGGGTGTATGTTTTGGGTAAGGAGGTGACGGAGCAAGAAATGTGGGGTTGTAGACTGTTCTAGGAGGGCAGTAGCGGCTGGTAACGGCATGACACCACGACACAACTTGACCAGACTGTCCGACTGTCTGACTGCCCGATAATCAGCCAGCTCGACAACCAAACCGCTCGATACGATACGAGGCAACACAACCAGGCATCCGCCCGCCCGCCCGCCGTCCCCGACAGTCCAGATTGTCAACCCTTCCTCCTCCTCCTCCATCATGGCCACGCCGGGCAAGCAGCCGGCGTCGCGCTGGGGTTCGTTCCTCTCGCAGGCCGTCGCCGGCGTCGAATCCCGGCTTGATAACATGCTCACCGAGGGCGAGGAAGCCGAGCGCCAGCGCCAACTGCAGGCCGCCGCGAAGCCCGCAGCCGCCGCCAAACCTGCTCCCCAACCCGCTATGCAAGCTGCCAAACCAGCTCCTGGTGCGTTGCTCTTCCGCTACCGTGGTCTCTGCGAGCTTCTTGTCCCATCCCTACGGTCCCTCTCCTCGAGCCGTCTCCGCGACGTGGCCACCAGCTAATCATTCACCTTCACAGCCCCCAACAAACCCGCCTCCCGAGCCAACGACCGTCTACAAGCTCGCCTAGCCAAAGCCGTGGCCGCCAGGAACGCCCAGGCCGGGGGTTCCCCGCGCAGCTCCGTTGACCAGCCCAGGCCCACGTCATCAGCTCGCGCCTCGATAGACAAAGGCCCTTCTCCCGAGACGCCGCCTACCAAGGAGACTCCCGAGACGAACAAGTCTAAACATGTTCCACCTGACCTCGAGCGCTCGGCGACACCGACGCCAGATGCCTCCACGAACTCCAAAAACGGGGATGTCACCGTCAAGCAGGAACCTCCCAAGCAATCCATGCCCAAGCTTACTCCCGAATCCACACCTGAACCTGCCACAAACCATGAGGTTGCCAACGAAGTGAAATCCCAAAATGAAGTCAAGCCCGAAACCAAATCCGAGAGTCAGTCCGAGCCCGGAGCCCAAAAACAGGAACCTAAGGAGGAGAAAGTGAGCATCGACGACACCAAAAAGGAAGATTCCCAGAAGCAGGGCACCAAGAAGCAAGAACCCCAGGCAACGAAGGAGCAAGATATTCAAGAGCAACAATCCAAGAACCAGGATACACTAAGGGACACCATAAAGCAAGATAGTCAGCGCCAGGACGCCCCGAATGATAGTCCAGCACTAGCGCCCCCTACTGAACGTCAGGCCAATACCTCACAATCCAATGAGGAACTCGAGACCATCCAGGCCCGTCAGCAGGAGGAGATTCAAGAATACGTCGAGCGAATAGACACCCTCCAGGCCAAACTGCAATACCTGTCTAAGAATGCTGCGGAAGCCGCAAAGAAAAGCAAAGCGGCCGCCCCGTCTGGCAGCGTCGAGCGGAGACTGGCCGAAAAGGATGAGAAGATTGCGCTATTGATGGAGGAGGGCCGGAAACTCTCCACCTCCGAGCAAAAGTTTCGAACCGCCATCCGAAAGCTGCGCGTTCAGCTTACGGACAATGAGAAGCAGCTTGATGAACTCAAGAAGGGAAAAGAGAAGGCATCTGCGGAAGCTGAGGCCATACGCAACCACATGAATAGCAATGAGGAGCAAGAGAAACTAAATGAAGAGGTGCGCAAGGTGAGTGCTGCTCTACAAAAGGAGATTGATGCTCTGAAAAAGGACAATATGGCCAAAGACGCGGCCTACAGACGGCTAGAACAGGACTCGAAGGCGAATGCTGAACAGGCCGAGCTGGCAAGCATTGAAGCCCGTGCCAAAGCGCTAGCCGTGGAACGAGCCAGGCAAAAGGAGCTTGAAGATACCATTTCAAGTTTACAAACAGAAAACGAAACGCTATCAAACAAGGCGCGTCTAGACAGCTTAGAGTGGCAGGAGAAGTTGGATCGTGCTCTCGAACGCAACCGCAATGTGGAAGAGGAGCTCAAACTGGAGCTTCTGGCGTCCGAAAGCAAACTAGAAGCGATGCGAGCGGCTGCTGAAGAGGCGTCCTCGGGCTTTGGGGGCGAGTCCCAGATCAAGTTGATCCGGCAGATCGAGACCTTGCAGTCACAGTATGCCTCAGCCAGCGATAACTGGCAAGGTATCGAAGCCTCCCTGCTGACCAAGGTGTCAAATCTTGAAAAGGAGAGGGACGAGGCCCAGCGACGAGAGTCGGAAATGCGAAAGAAGGCTCGAGATTCGGTAAGTTGGCCAAGTCCTCCCTGGTGTATTGACTTAGCCCAGTGCTTACTCCGTTATAGGCCAGTCGCTGCAGACGTCTTGAAGATGAGCTACAGGATGTAAACCCCGCACTCGCAACTGCCCAGCAGGAGCTTGAGACATGCCGTGAACAACTCGCTGCTCTACGCGTCCAATCCATGAGCACCGAGACAGCCCTCGAACAAGCACGAGCAGACCTAGAGAAACAACAACGCTCCATCAGTAAAGATCTAGCAGTCGAAGTCGAACGGCGGCAGTGGGCGGATGATGTTGCTGGATCAATGTTCAGAGGCCAGAGCCGTCCCGAATCACCACTGCTCTCTGTGCCTCGAACCTTCAGCTCCGACTTGATTGGCCTTCCTCTGCCCGGACGACCGCCACGACGGTCCCCTACTCCTGGCAGCATCCCCGACAGTGCTGCCGATAGCATGTTCTTCGGTAGACGACTCTCGAACCAGCCTCCTATTCGAACCAGCACACTTTCTACTTTGGGGACGGGAATACCACCCCCTCCGCTGTCCCCATTCGAACCGCTCAGCGAGTCACCTCGAGCTACCTCACCCCCGGCAGACCGAGACGACGACCTCGATTCATCTGCCCCACGAAATGTGGCGCAGGATATGATATCCGTGTCGACGGTGGGAGCCGGCCCATCGGTGCAACTAGTGGAACGGATGAGCGCTGCAATCCGCCGACTAGAAGCCGAAAAGGTAGCCGCAAAGGAGGAGATGGCTCGTGTGTGCGGCCAGCGAGACGAGGCGAGAACCGACATGGTCGGATTAATGAAAGACCTGGAGGCCGCCAAATCGGCCACTTCGCGTGTGACGGAGCTCGAGGTCGAGGTTGGCAATATCAACTCAAGATACCAGACTACGTTGGAAATGCTAGGCGAGAAGAGCGAGCTCGTTGAGGAGCTCAAGGCAGATGTGCAAGACGTCAAGGCCATGTACCGCGAACTAGTTGAGCGAACTGTCAAATGAGCGGATAGAGGTTTCTTAGATGGATGACCTTTTTGATTCACTTGGTCTTTTTTTTCTTGCTTGTATTCATAGCTACCCCGACAGCTCAATACCCTCCCGCTCGGCACCCTGTATGACATATTGGCGTACCTTTTATCAAGAGTTAGATGGAGTTTCTTTTTAGATCGGAAAGAGGGGGGGTAGAGGCCAAGACGGGTTTTATATCTTCCAATTGCACATACTTCTTTATCTGGAGCCAGATCAATGGCCAAGATCTCTTCGCCTGTCCTGAGTGTAAAGTCGGCACCCTCTTTAAGCAAGGCGACGGCTGTGTCTCCTATACGCACAGTGTCAGCGGAGCTAAGGGCTGGACTTAAAATAAGATAGACGGTGCATTCTTACCGTGGCCCTCGGCAATAGCGTGGTGAAGGGGTGTGTAGCCCTCGCTGTCGGCAGCGTTCAGGGGGCTCCTGTTCTTGAGAAGGAGGAGCACCATGGGGGCGGAACCGGCGGCGGCGGCGCGATGGATGGGGTACTGACCACGACGGTCACGGATGCGAGTGGATGCTGGAGGTTTGCTTTCGATGAGAAGACGGGCGACATCCAAGTTCTTCTTGGAAGCCACGAAGTGGAGGGCAGCCTGTTAAGACAAGTCATGAGTCTTGAGGAGCAGCCGGGATGGGGGCTAGGGGGGAGTTTACCTGTCCATTAGCGGCTGCGCAAATTCGTCTGCATTAGTTGTAAGATATCAGACCGGGGAGCGGATGTCTTACTCTTGAGGTTAATGTCGGCGCCCCTCTGGATAAGCAGCTTGAGGATGGGCTCACTGTCGGGAACGCTGGCGGAAATCATGAGCGGAGACCATCCGCTCTCATCCTGGGAAGCCCACAGTGTCAGCTTCGCCATAGATCTACCATAGTTGGTGATGTCGCTATTACCTGGACGTCTGGGTCGAAACTCCGCTGGTTGGCGAGGAGGAGCATAATGTCTAAGTTGTTGGAGGATGCCGCCCAGTGGACGGGATACCGGCCATCGTCATCCTTGCGCTGCGAGAGTTTGGGGTCGGCCTTTTGAGTGGTTCCCGTTAGTCTATGGATAGCAAGATAGCTGGTGGATTTCCCTCTGACCTTTAGCAAGGCTTCCGCAACCGTGGCTATGAAATTGTTAGTCTTGCTCTTATGATACCGGGAGAGTGGGATAGATGGGTACTCACCCCGCCCTTCACGGGCCGCAGTGTGCAGAGGAAAGCGATCGTTGTCGGTGTCCATCAGGTCCATTTTTCCGCTATGAAAGAAGGATAGGCCCTGAAATGTGAGGAAATTATGGTGATGTTGAACAAAGATCAAGCCATGAACAGGGCTACTGGGAATGGTTACCAGGCAGGTAGCTCTGTTACGTATGTGTGTATGTACAAGTCTCACTGACAGCTTGCTTGGCTACAGACAGACCAATCCTTGTCAAGGCCTGTGGCGCACCACCACCTCGCGCCACACGCGGCTGCACAGCCTTCACGTCAATCCCGTCGCAACTTTTGAAAGGCGCCAACTTTTCCATCTACACGACGACGACGACATCTCCGCCGCCGCACCACCACGCATAATGGAGACTCCCGAGCTGCCCCAGGATGCGCTCCAGCTCAGCGCCCTCGCCGCCCAGAACGCCACGGCGTCGCGCAGCCTCTTCGCCCACTCCCCCGAAAACCAGTACGCAAAGCGCCAGAAGCTCGACGACGCGTCCGAGGATCCCCTTCTGAAGCGCCGCTTCCGCACAGAGTACGCCGACGTCGAGACCCTCCCGCCCTCAATCACCGCCAAGTTGCCGACGAAACAACCCGGCAGAAAGGTCGCAAGGCCCGGCGCGCCCGGTCGCCCAGCTCCCAAGCTCCTCGAGGCTGCTCCAGGATCCAAGGCCGTGTCGGCGCCTGCGTCCACGGCGAGCAACGAGCACCAGAACATGAGTCTGGCGATGAGGGGGATGTCGGCTATTCAACAACCGAAGCCGGAGTGGCACGCGCCGTGGAAGCTGATGAGGGTCATATCCGGTCATCTAGGCTGGGTGCGCAGTCTTGCTGTCGAGCCCGGCAACAAGTGGTTTGCCAGCGGTGCTGGTGATCGCACCATCAAGATTTGGGACCTGGCGTCAGGATCACTGAGGTTGACGCTTACCGGCCATATCAGTACCGTGCGCGGCCTGGCCGTGTCCCCCCGACACCCTTACCTATTCTCCTGCGGTGAGGACAAGATGGTCAAGTGCTGGGATCTCGAGACGAACAAGGTCATTCGCCACTACCACGGCCATCTGAGTGGTGTCTACACCCTCGCCCTTCATCCTACACTCGATGTCCTAGTTACCGGTGGCCGAGACGGTGTCGCCCGAGTTTGGGACATGCGCACCAGAAGCAACATCCACGTCCTCTCGGGACATACACAGACCGTCTCCGACCTCGTCTGCCAGGAGGCTGACCCTCAAGTCATCACCGGCTCGCTCGACTCGACTGTGAGAATGTGGGATCTCGCTGCTGGAAAGACGATGGGCGTCCTCACCCACCATAAGAAGGGTGTTCGAGCCCTCGCCGTGCACCCTTCCGAGTTCACGTTTGCCAGTGGCAGCACCGGAAGCATCAAGCAGTGGAAGTGTCCTGAGGGCGCTTTCATGCAGAACTTCGAGGGCCACAACGCCATCATCAACACGATGAGCGTTAATGAGCAAAATGTTTTCTTTTCTGGAGGTACGTATTTATTCTGTCCTCCTCCGTGACCGTCGCGCATAAACATCATACTGACTCTTTTTGCAGCCGACAACGGCTCCATGAGCTTCTGGGACTGGAAGTCTGGTCACCGCTTCCAGTCACTCGACACCACCGCACAGCCTGGCTCACTGGACGCTGAGGCAGGAATCATGAGCTCAACCTTTGACCGCTCTGGACTGCGTCTAATTTGCGGTGAAGCCGACAAGACAAGTATTCTACTCAATTCAATCACATTCTATTATTTACTAATGAAATCTATAGTCAAAATCTGGAAGCAGGATGAAACTGCAACTGAGGAGACGCATCCCTTGGACTGGAAGCCCACTCTGGGGCATCGGAAGTTTTAGACACCAGCGAGGCTCCCATCTAATCAATGTCCGGATTGCTAAATCATGCTCCCGGATCAGCCCTTTCTAAGCCTCTTATTATTACATACATCATACACCAATACCCAGGGCTCTAAGATCTCCGTCGTCACGGAGTGCCATCTTCACTTCGTCGTCTGCGATGGCCAGACGCAGTTTGCTTGACCGCTCCGCGCGATGGGCCTCGAGGTTTATGAGGCCGGCCGCCACCAGGTCAAGAGCCGCCGCATGGACATGGCCAGGCCTCGACATCTGGCGGTGTCCGCCAGCCTGTGTTCCCTTTAGGCCATTGGAAAGGACTTGTACCATACCGGGCAACGCAGGCGGAGCTCGGAGGTAGGCCCGGTGGATCTCATCCAGAGCCTCGCCAAATGTCGTCTCGGCCAGGCCCGCCCGACGGGTACGCAATAGCAGCGCTGCCATAAGGAGTTTCGACATGACAGGAAGACCGCGGAGGTGTTGCTGAATGGGATTGGTGGTGGCCTCGTTAATGGCCTTCTTGATAGTGGCAATAGTGACTCGTCCGATGCCCCGTAGTTGCCCCTGAGACTCTGCCAGTCGCTCTCGTTTGCTGGGCGTGGTGGGATCGCCCGGGACGTCGGCTTCGGCGAGCTCGACAGCTCGGCGGCAAATGTCCAATGCTCGACGGGCATCTCCGCTGACGGCCGCTACTTTTCGACTAGCGAACTGAATAGCATCCGGGTCTACAATCTTGCCGGGAACTCCCTCCAGACGTGACTGAATAATCCTCATAAGTTGCTCGTGGTTGTATCCGGGAAAAGTGATTCGAGTGAGACCTATCGAGAGTGATTAGTAAACGTGGTAGACACTGTTGACTTTGGTGAGATACCTAGACGACTGCTGATCTTGTTACTGAGCGTTCGCTCGGGAAGATCCATAGTGTTGGCGACGGCGAGAACGATTAAACGACTGTGCCGCAGTGTCGGCCAGTTGAAGAAATTATACATGACAGCCTGATTCTTGGTGACCAGCTGATCAAGCTCATCCATCAGAACAACACACGGAATTCGTCGCGGACTGGGATTGCTGAACTCCCGCTCCAAGAGATCAAGAGCTTGTGCAGGACTTGCTCGTTCGCCTTTGAGGGCCTCCCACAGGAGTGTATAAGACTGATGAGGATCGGTGATCTTCATACCGTTAATCTCGACAAAGATGAAGTCATCGAGTTCGTCGGAGCCCACAGCCTCCTCGAGTCGCGAGATGACTTCGCGGACCGTGGCCGTCTTGCCGGTTCCAGGCGTGCCAGATATGTAGATGCAGTTTCCAGTTCCATCGGTGATAGCGGCCTCAAGATGGGAGTAAACGAGAGAGAATTCGCCTTCTCGGCAGGGGAGACTAGTTGGGACGGAGGAAACATGGAGTCGAGAGCGAGCTATTTGAAATGGCGATGATTCGATGTTGCTTGGTGAGAGCTTTCGGGTAGCTAATGGGGTAAATTCGAGCCTTTTGCTGGCGCTCCTGCAGTCACTGGTCAATACCAAAATAATGGTATACAAGGGGAGCTTTCACAAACCTTTTTACCCGCGATCCCGGCTCAGCTTGACTTCTCCGGGACTGTGGCGTCGTTGCCACCCCCCGGCCTGTCTTCGTCGGTGTCTGAGGAGGGTGGTAGGGAGCGTCTTGGGGAGACGGACTCCGAACCTTTCTCTTTTTTCGAGTCGCCTTGGTTCCATTTTCCACTAGCTCTATCAGGGAATAAATGTCGTCCTCGCTACGATATACCTCCTCCCATATGAACTCGTCGGTGTAGGTTGCCGTACGAGTGTTACAGCCTCGGCGGCAGACAAAAGTCTTACCGAAGTCGGGAGATTGACGTGGGATACGGCCATGTGGGTATTTCGAAAGGAAGACATCGAGGGAGGTAACCTTGGCCTTGCCGTTGATCGAGGCCAGGGGGTTGATGTCCCATGATGGCGAGACGTAGAGCTCGTTCTAGAACCCGGTCAGCCTAGTATTCTCTCTGTGTTGTTGTGCAGTGTCGGTACCCAGTGGAAGTCGGAACGCTTCTTGTCTTTGTTTCGGATCTCCTTCTCGGTTGAAAACCACATGAAATTGGCCGCCTTCTCCCCATCGCCATCATCATCGACGAACTCGCAGATGAGGGCTACCCAAGCCTCATTCGACCCATCCGCCTTCAGCAGAACGCAGTCTCCGACCCGGCACTCGAACTGGCCGATACGCGCGCCCACAATCTTGTCCCCTGACACCTTTCTCCTTTTCCGATCGCTCTGCGCTTCGTTGGGTTGGCCCTCGGCAGCTGGTTCAGTATTGTAGATCCACTCCCACGAAACATGGTCGACGACGAGCTCGTCGTCAGAATCGGTTCTCGAGACGCCCGCGGGAACTCGTTTGCGCCGTAATGAGGGCTCCGCGGCCTTTGCTGCTGAGGAATTGGGCGCCATCGAAATGTCGTTGCTGCTCTGCGGCAGTTTGAACAATTTACGCGTCTGGGAGACGCGACGTACTTAGAGGTTGCTGGTTGCCAGGTTGTATGCGTATACCGGGGAGTTGCACGTACAGGTGTCGCCTGCTTCCGTCGAGTAGATACTTGGACAATCTTGGCTGCTAAACAATCTAATAATTACAAAGTAATGGGTCTTTACTGTTGTAATATGTGCAGTTCAAGGCCGTTGATAAGGATCATTCTTAAAATACAAGAGTTTGTTGTTTACAAACTCTGTCAGGCAAATAAAATAGTAATCGTCCAACTGATTCCGCTTGAGGCTTGAACAAGCAAACAAGTAAGCAGGCAAGCAAACATATCGGTAATCAAGGTAAGTTGCCTCGAATTTATTAGGGCAGTGAATCAGTGCCTTCCCAAAAAAAATTGAAAGTCACGGGCGCAGGTTACCTATTTAAAAGGCAAGTGCCACTGACCTTTCACCCGCAACTGCCACCACCACTTCGCAGTGCCCAACCACTGTCGTTACACAACCTCCCTTTGTCAACCCATTTGTTTTCCGGCTTCAACACGAAGATTATCAAGTCACCATGGATCGACCTTCAAGACGCGGGAAGCCGCCACCGCATCGGGGACCAGGTGGCGCCCGTGGGAGACCTTATGCTCCCAAAGCCGCTGGGGAGAAATGGTCCAAGGAGAAGGCCATGGGAACTGCGAAATCTATGATAGATCATGGTCGCCAGAAGGCTCGTCGAGCTGAGGATGACGAGTATCTTGGTCCACCACCTCCAGGTCGAGATCTGATCCTAGTAAGTCCTCGGTCCAGAGGCACACAACCCAAGCGAAGGCTGGTTCTAACAATTTTATCGACCCGCGTCGTTCTCCCAGGAAAGCATATGTTGCCCCGTGGTTTGGATGAGCCCTGGGCACTCGATGATATTCGCAAAGCACACAAGGTTTACATCACCCACGTTCAACCAAACATTCTCGACATCCACTGCGAATCCATGCCCCGCATGCAACAAGCCGTCCATGCCTTGAACTGGGCTATCCATGATCTCCGTCTCTCCAACGAACACCCCCCCGTCAGATTCCTGCTTCAAGAACCCACCAACTCGGACGTGAATGATATGGTCAGGGTTGAGATTGGGTCGCGGCCACGGTTTACTTCTCGAAGTTCTACACTTGTCAGCAATTCGTCGGCTATGGACAAACATCTCCATCGACTTGTTGTCGATATGCCAACTTCAGCTGACACTTTGATGGCTCTGAGTAAGAACATGAAAATGCGTGTCAACTTCGGACATCTGGATGTTCGTTCGAGAAACACGCAGGGCCGCGACGAAATCACCCATGACGAGTTCGTCAAGCTGCTGAACATGTATTCTGTCCGAGGAGGAGCAAGTCTTGGAACCAAGTAAGTAGCTCACCCAGGTTTCCTACCTGGTCTAACCGCTCCCAGACTCCCAGAAGCAACCCGAGCCGAGGAAGTCATGCGGTATCTTGTGAATCCCGCACGGGGAATTTGCAGTAGTCGCCAGGAGATCACGCAAGGCTGCGAGGTCACGTTAGTCACCAAGGGCTTGGAGATCAAAACCGATGCCATGGATCCCATGGGCAAAAAGATGCAGTTGTCCATGGTCAGGGCCATGAGATCTGAGGCTTGGGGACGTCTGAACTGGACGGTGGCGGCCCCAGACATGCAAGTACACCCCTCTTGAAAAGCTTTCAGCAACTAACGTGGTCTCGTCCCATAGGCAATACGACTGGAACCTGCGAGTAGACGCCTGGGATAATGAGGAGGTCCCAGTTGAATTCAAGGACCTTTCCCAAAAACTACTGCTCACAGTGGACAGCAACCAAGCCGGCTCAGACCTGATCAGGATCCCTCACGTCAGTACTCACAAACTCGGAAATGTACGGGACAGTATTGGACAACTCAGACTCAAGTCTTCGGCAATAATCCCATACAAGAAGACGCCATATGTCATTGAGGTCAACGTCACTAAGGTGTGGAAGGGTACATGCATGGCTGACACACCAGAAATCACTTGGGGCATCGAATTCTATGCAGCTCACTGGGACGAGAGCATCATGCATATCAGCGGAGGTGATCATCGCAAGGATTGGGGCCAAGAACTCAAACATATGTGGCCGGGTGACGAGCCGCGTCTCGAGTCTAGATTTGGGGAGTTCCTGGGAACCATTCTGGAGATCCAGGCCCTCTTAGACGGAGCATGCCCAATATGAGATCGCCATGGCGGGTATATGGTTGCATGTCCATCGGCCGAATTCTCCCCTGGCGTTTGTAATCCAGCTCCCATCTAGCTACTATCTCGGAGGAGTTCCTTTTATTTTCGGGGTTTTCATGCCGCCTGCTGTCCACTTTGTTGCCCCTGAGCAGCCATGATCTTTTGCCTGAGGACTAGTGCGCAGGACAGTCAGTTGAGATCTTGATAGGGTGGAGGTCGGAAACAAACCTTCTTCAATCATGCGCGCGTTCGTTTGCTTTCTTTGTACGATCGCCTCGAGGTCTTTTAAGTTGTTTGCAAGCTCATCAGACTTGCTCTCGTAGAATTGCTCCGCAGCCTTGAGCTTCTGTGCACCAGTTAGCGGGGTCACGATTCAATCAAGACGGCAGACTGTTCGACCTTTTCCACCAGGAAGCCAGTTCCAACGTCCACCAGAACGGTATCAGCATCGGCGAGTTCTCCTCGGACGTATAGGGAGTTGGTCAGTGGGACCAGGACGGACTTGGATCCTATCACATGTTAGGCGTCGCTTCATTTGCCGTCTCGTCTCGTTTCGCTCTGTGGGGTTCGGCGCAAGAGCCTCGCGGGGGTATGTACCATCTTTGGAGGCGGATCGGCTCTGGACGCATCGCAGGCACTCCTTGAATTTGTTCTGGGCGCCATGGAGCTGAGCAAACGACGACGTCAGGTGCTCAAGCTCCTCGTCGAGCTGCTTCTTGACTTGGGCGAGTTGCTGAGGCTCGAGCGTGTCGAGGTTGACTGTAGGCGCGCGGGAGCGGTTAGCAGGCCGTCTCCAAGCTGCGAGGCAAAGGAATATACTCACTCATTTCCTGCTTTCCGGCCATGATTGCGTTTGCTGGGTTGCCCACAGGTGTTTGTCGTCCGTCTGGAGTGGTTGCTTGGCGTGATCCCCTCCAAAGTTTCGCTTCGTGAATATTATGACGTGGGGTTGTGGAATTCTACTAACGGGGGATGTCTGTCGCCGCCCACCATCAGGCACAGCACCAACAACCCCAATCAGCTTGAGCCAACTCAACGACAGCATAATCGTAGAGTACAAAAATGGGTTGTTGTTTTTTCTAAAAGCGACGATTGTTGTATTTGTTTTTTGGTACATAAATTACAAGGTGTCGGGCCAAGTATAATAGAATACAGTGCTGTGTTTTCACTACAGCTGGTCCAATAAGCCAGACACAAACCCGGGAAGCGCTTCAACAGACACATTCTCCTTGACCGAGAGTCTCCTGCACCGAACCTCACAAGTGCCGTCGTTCTTCCATGACTTGCCCATGATCACCACAACGGGGTACCCAACCATCTCAGCGTCCTGCATCTTCCACACAAAAGAATGCTTGCGATCGTCGAGAATAACGTCAAAGCTAGGTTCCGAGCCGTTGCGGCCTGCAAGGTTGTCATATAGGTCCAGAGAGTCCTGTTCGGTTCCCGGAGTTGAGATGATGGCGATCTCGAAGGGAGCGATAGCTCGTGGCCAATTCAGGCCTGTCTCATTGCCGAGTACTTCTGCCACGGCACCGAAAATTCGGGAAACACCCACTCCGTGACATCCCATCTGCACCGGGGTGCGGCTTCCTGGTACCAGTCCTTCACTAATGGTTTCTGGCAGTTGGGTAGGGATCGTCACGCATGCCTCGAGGGGAACTGAATATCGAGTTCCCAGGTGGAATGTGTGGCCAACCTCCAGAGCTCGATGGATCTTGAGAGTCCCTTCCTCACACCTGGGGCATCCATCGCCATCCGCAAGACGCACTAAGTTCAAGCCCTTGTCTTCTCCCGCATTACCCAGGAAAGAGTGGTGAACATCGGGAGATTCCAAGCCCTCTGGCAGTAAGGGTAGCCTTTCCCGCAGGTTTTCGAAGGTGGGAGCTATCCGAGTATCGATTACATTGATAACCCTCGCCTTTCCTCCCGAAAGAGCATCTCTCCAGAAGGGCAAAGGGGTGTCTATGCTTGTATCTAGCGCTGGAACAGCAGACTTGATTGCATGGAGATTAGGGCCAGAATCAGATTGCGCAACATCAGCTTCGGGATACCAAGCATTGATAAGGGTGTTTCTGTCCTGAGAGATACCACGCCACACGCGGATTTGAGACGCTGGTGTGATTGTGTCCTTTGACGTCGATGGTGTTCGCGCGGTGGCAACCTCGTCATTGGCAGCATACCCGCAGGAGCCACAGTTAACGACGATATCTTCGCCAACAGCGCTGGGCAGGTGATACTCGTGGCTAAGGTCACCTCCCATGTCTCCCGAGCTGGCCTCGGCAACTAGGAATGGTAACTTCAATTCGGTAAAAAATGCACGGTATGCTGCGGACACCTCTCGGTACGTCTCAATGGCGGAGCTAACAGTTAGGTCAAATGTGTAAAGATCCTTCATGAGAAATTCTCGGGAACGCAATAGGCCATGGCGAGGGCGCCGTTCATCTCTATATTTGCGCGCTAGAATGCCGTATTAGAGAAATGGGTCCGTTGAAGGCGGTGCTGGTAACCTTACTGATCTGGTAAAGCCTGATAGGGAGGTCTTTATATGACTTCAGCGTCCCGGCCACAAGGGTAGTGATTTCTTCCTCGTGTGTGGGAGAGAGAATGAGGCGGTTCTCCTTGCGATCAGCAACACGGAAAAGCTAGGCTGGTCAGTCCAAGTCCGAATGAAAGAACAATGAAAGCATACTTCTGACGCCACCAGGTCTAGTCGTCCACTCTTCCGCCATAAATCCTCGGATGAGATGGTAGAGAGGGAGAGCCGAGATGCGCCTTTAGGATCCTGATGTGAGCACAAGCCTCTAGCTAAGCCAAACAGGGCCGCGAACCAACTGACTGCATGTGCTTATCGATGAGTTTCTCAATCTTATCCTGCACTCGAAGACCTAGGGGAAGCAATTGGAAAATTCCGGAGTGGGCCTGCATAATTTTATTAGTATAACCCTGACCTTAGCTGTCGGAGATCATCACGCACTTGGCGCAGGAACCCGGCTCGGATGAGTTTCTCATGGCCGGCTGAAGTCTCAATTAGCTTCCATTTCCTCCACGAAAGCAACTCAAGTTCTTACACTCATCCTCGCCAGCAGTTATACCACCAGTAGGGAGCCATATTGTCGATAAGGTTGACCGAGGCCGATCAGACCTGGCAACAGTTGAGCTGGAGAGAGCTCGGAGCTGAAGGCCGAACTGGCTGCTTCGAGAGATGGCGCTGTTGAAGCGAACCAGCCTTGGTTGGAGCATTTCTTTTCGAGCGGCAGATATCTCGGGTGTTTAATTCATGCTTTGCGATTGCCTGTTTCTGCTGCTGTTGAAGGGAGTATCTTGAGAATGGTTTGGTCGAATCGCCAACTTCCGGAGACAGGGTGGGGCTCGGCCGGTGCAAGCCGTCGGCTGCATTGGCGCCACTAAACGCGCCAAGCGCGATAACGATAACGTGGGGCATCTCTGGAAAATTCCCAAAAAAAAGTTGCCGTGACGTCTGCTGAGAATTTCCAATTGAGATTTTCAATCCTCCACGCAACTTTGCCGACATGCCCAAGCCTTCCAAGAAGGGCAAAGGCCCTCGACGCTCCCAAGATGCCCGGGGACTCGACGACAGCTCCCTCAATCAGATCACGGCCAAAATTGATCAGAGCTTGAACTCCAAAGATCACAAGCGCAAACAGCCACCTACTAAGACTGCTGGTGACCAGCATCAGAAGAGGCAACGCAATTCCCAAGGCTCCGGCGCTGAGAAGGGTAGCTCTAAAACTGACAACGATGTGCTTCTCGAGGAGATCAAGGCTTTGGGCGGCGACGAGAGCGACCTGGCGCTCATCAAAGACATCGACTCTGAGGATGAAACCTTCGCTTCGACTTCCAAGGGACCTGTCGACAAGAGCCTGAAGGATGAGCTCGCCGCTTTCTCGAAGCAACTTGGCTTTGCGGAGGTTGAACTGAGCGAAGCCAGCGATCAGGACGAGGGTGACGATTCCGAGGACGACGTTGAAGACGATGATGAGGACGATGAGGAAGATGCGGAGGAGGAGGAGGAAGTGAAGGAGGCTCCCAAGCGCAAGGAAGCAGCCCCTCTCAAGATTGCGGGATTAGTAAGTCAAGTCAGGTTATTTGGGGCGTCTCTGACGGCTAACGCAGTAAACTAGGCTTTCCAGCCCATGGCAGAATGGCATGCCGCCGAGCTGGCCAAGCTACCGACGCCATCCAACGACGAGCCCAACTCCTTCAAGTGGTCCATAGAGGCTCTGAAAGAACATGCCAGAACACTCTTGGACCAGGACGTTACCAAGTACAGGGCCAGCTTCTTCGCTTCGTCCTCCCACAAGTTCTTGTCGACCATCATGACATCGGGTACTCTCACTGACAAGGTCTCTGCGCTGACCTTGGCCGTCCAAGAATCTCCTGTTCACAACATCCGGGCATTTGATGCACTCATGACCCTCGCTTCGAAGAAGAGCCGAGGTCAAGCTCTTGGTGCCATCGGTGCGCTCGTCGATTTGTTAGGGCCTGGAACTCTGCTGCCTTCCGATCGTCGCCTCCGAACCTTCCATACCCAGCCCGGCCTGATTGGAACGCTCCAACGAAACTCTGCGGCCAGTTGGGCTGCGGGAAAACCCTTGCCTGGCAAGATCACGGACGCCCATCTGATCGCCTGGCTTTACGAGGACTGGCTGAAGGAGACGTACTTCCGCATCATTCAGCTTCTCGAGAACTGGTGCTCTGACGAGATTGAGTACTCCCGTACGCGAGCTCTCGATTTCGTCTATGGACTCCTCAAGGAGAAGCCGGAGCAGGAGTCAAATTTACTTCGCCTCTTGGTTCACAAGCTCGGTGATCGGGATCGCAAGATCTCCTCTCGCGCCTCATATCTCTTGCTCCAGTTGCAAAACTCACACCCCGGAATGAAGCCAATCATTGTGCGTATGATTGAGCAGGAGATTCTGCTCCACCCTTCTCAAGACCATCGCTCAAGATACTACGCCATCAACACCCTCAATCAGACTATCCTCAGCAACAAGGAGCCTGCTCTTGCCGAGGCTCTCATGAGAATCTACTTCGAGCTGTTCACGATCATCCTCAAGACTGGGAAGCTGGGCATCGCAGTTCCAGTTGAATCACAGCCCGGCGATGAACCCAAGGAGGCATTCGACAAAAACCACAAAAACCGACGAAGACCTCGTGGTGGCAAGACCTCTACACCTGTGGCAACCGAGCCAGAGACCGAGGCCGCCGACAAACTTGTCTCAGCCATCCTGACTGGAGTCAACCGAGCGGCACCTTTCATGACCGGCAACGACGCTGTGTATGACATTTTCTCTTGTTTCACACTCTCTATGTATAGCCGGGCTAACATTTTACTAGCATGGAAACCCACCTCGATACACTTTTCAAGATTGCTCACTCTGCCAACTTTAACACTGGTATTCAGTCCCTACTCCTGATCCAGCAAATCTCCTCATCAAAGAGCATCGCCAGCGATCGATTCTACAGAACTCTCTACGAGTCTCTACTGGATCCTCGGCTAGTCACTTCTTCTAAGCAATCGCTTTACCTTAACCTGCTCCTCCGTGCCCTCAAGAGCGATGTCGACACCCGGCGAGTAAAGGCATTCGCCAAGCGAATGCTTCAGATCTCGGGTCTACACCAGCCCCCATTCGTTTGCGGCTTGCTATATGTTGTCTCGCACCTTCGTGAGACATTCCCTGACCTCTCAATATTGATTGATGAGCCTGAGGAGTCGGTCTTCGATGATGAGCCCGAGAGCGAGCGCCCAGTTTACGACGGTCGAAAGAGAGATCCCGAGCACAGCAATGCCAACCGAAGCTGTCTGTGGGAGATGGTAAGTAATGCGCCCGAAGTTCGGAGCCCAATATTCTAACATTCACGTAGATTCCTCTGCAAGGACATTTCCACCCTTCGGTAACTGTCTTCGCGGCGTCTATGTCGAAGCCCAGTGAGAAGGCAAAGAAGCCCGACATGGACAGCCATTCTCTTATCCGCTTCTTGGACAAGTTCGTGTACCGAAACCCCAAGGCTGGTGATGCGTCCAAGGGTGTCTCGATCATGCAGCCTCTCCGATCAACCAAGGACCTCGGCGACATTTGGCTGGGAAGCAAAGGACCCGGAGCGGCTTCGCCTTCAGTCAACAACGCCTCCTTCTGGAAGAAGAAGGTCCAGGATGTGGCGGCGGAAGACGTCTTCTTTCACGAGTACTTCCAGCAGGTTTCCAAGGAGGGCAAGGAGCCTAAGAAGAAGGCACCGACGGCCGGCGAGGGTGAGGATGAGGATGAACAGGAGGATGAGATTTGGAAGGCGCTTGTCTCGGCTCAGCCAGGTGTTGATCCCGATGATGAGGGTTCTGATATGGGCTTCGATGATCTTAACGATTCGGATATGGCTTCTGACGGATCGGAACCAGACTTGGATCTGGAGAGCGATCTGGATATGGATGACGATGACGAAATGGATGTCGACATCGAGGGTACTGATGACGAGGAGGGTGGTGCTATGCTAAGCGAGGATGAGGATGGATTCGAGGTCAAGGATGCGGCGAGCAGCAAGCCCAAGTCAAGGCGCAGACAGATCAAGGATCTCCCCATGTTTGCATCTGTCGACGACTACGCGGAGCTCCTGGCGGGAGAACAAGACATGTAAGAAGCGGGCATATAATCAATTTCCACATTACGGGTACAGGCGCTGGGAGGGCATCAAGATAGATGGTGCCTCGCGAGTCGCGAATAGAAAAAGAACAAGTACGGATTTCAAGTGTCAAACCACTCCAGCTCGTCGGCATTGGTGAAGATGGCGCGGTATGTCTTGCCGCCATCCGGCTCGTCCTTTTCCTCCGTGTGGATGCTGTGAAGCTTCGGAGGCTCATCGCTGCCCGCAGTAAAGGCGCGGAAGTGGACGTAGGCCGGGCCGTCAGCAGGCATCGCGGGGATGCGGAGCTTGGCGAAGAGGTGAATGCCGTACGCGGACGTGGCGACACGGACGGCCTCGACGTTTTCGACTGTGAAACCGACCAAGTCAGTGTTGCTGAGGTGTTCCTTTTGTATGTCAGTCTCGTGGGCAACGATGCGAAATGCGTGGGTTGCGTACCACAGCGGCAAAGTACTCAGGCTCATGCTCTGGTAGTTGGACGGAGTTAGTTAGCTTATTGAGCGCTGATTGCGGTAGCTGAGGGGATAGGTGTGCGCACTGTTGTAATCATGGCGGAGATGGACCAGCGACTTCTTGAGCTCCGGGAGGATCTCTGAGAAGACAATGATGGAGTCCTCCTTGGGAGGATGGGCTGGGCCCAGATCGACGGTATCAGCAGTTGCCTACACAACCGTCGTTAGCACTTCCTCTCGCGAGCCTAGGACAACATGGCGCCAGACCATTGTGAGCGGGTATCTAAAGTCAGGTTCTTGATAGATGAGGTCTGCGGGGTATCAATGCTGGAAGGTGAAGCTGTATTTAAACTCGGAACATGCCCTGTCACAGGTCGAAGCATGATGTCACCAGCTGGTTGGCCCCAACGTCACAGGTGTGATCCAGGGTAGGGGTATAAATCATGCAAACTTCCCCTCACAACAAACACGCGCTGTGACACTGCCATGGCGGTACCGATGACGAAGCGTGGAGACTTTTTCCAGGGCGTAAAAAACCAAGCATTACCTAGGTACCTAGGTATGTAGCAATCACTTTGACACAAGTAGTCAGGGATATGATCTATCAGATTAACTACCTTAACGGTGACTGGAGCGCAGTCAGATGCGAAGCTCGTACGTTAAACGCAGGTCAGCTACTTAGAATTTAAAAATACCAACCATCACCCTGCAAGCGGTAATTAGATTGAACAATATATTCCCTAAATTACGGCTAGAATATGTTGACATGTTCGCCGTTACAACAGCCAATAGCCACGTGAGCGACGCCACAGTGGCTTCGAACCGAGGCAATGACGGGATCTGTGCTGGCTAAGTGCATAAACCGGCCGACGTCAATTCAACAATGCGAGCTTGATTTGCCGCGGTAGCGACGATAAATCTTATCAGCGCCGATCTAGGGTCCTGACTTGGACGCAGACGAACAAAGGGGCAACACAACACCATGTTCACTCAGCAGATTGGACGCAACGCCCGCCATGTTGGCCAGGTAGCCCGGCGACTGGGCCGGACTGACCCGGTACGGGGTTACGCAACTCCAGGTGAGTCCAGTGGCAGGCAACCCGTCAGCACTTACACTGTCGAGACCTCGGTACTGACATGTTAGGAAACGCAGCAGCATCATCGGGCGGCGGCTTTCGACGGGCGACGTCCATAGCGCTCGCGGGCCTGACGTTTAGCACGGTGGGTGCCGCGGGTACGTGGTACACGATGCAGCAGAGCGGCATGGGCTTCTACTCGGACGAGGACAGTTTGAAGCGGTTCGTCCCTAGCGACGACGAGGCGCGAATGGTCGAGGATACCATCAACAACCACCCGCTGGTGGCTGAGCTGCGCGCGAACCCCAAGCTGACCGAATCGCGACCGCATATGAAGATGCCCGTGTCTTACCGCAGCCATACCCTCACGGGCGGTGCGCTGGCAGGAGAGGGCAAGATGGTGGTGCCGCCGTACGTGTGGCTCGAGGATGGTGGCAAGTCCATCGTGTGCATCTCATATGTTGGCGAAGACCTGTGCGGTCATCCGGGCATCGTCCACGGAGGCTTCTTGGCGACGATGCTGGACGAAGGCCTGGCGAGGTGCTGCTTCGGTGCGCTGCCACATAATATTGCCGTGACGGCCAACCTCAACGTCGACTACCGAAAGCCAACGCCGGCGGGCAGTTTCTTGGTGCTCCGGGCCACGACGACAAAGGTTGATGGCCGCAAGGCGTGGGTCAAGGGCCACATGGAGCAGCTGGCGGACCCGGGGGAGACACCCGAGGTTCTGACCGAGGCTACGGGGCTGTTTATCTCGCCCAAATACGCGGCGGTAGGTGGCTTGGCTTGATTCGAAGTGTGGATATTGGACTAACGAGGTGTATAGATGATGCCTAAGATTACCTAGATGGGACGAGACAAGACGAGACAAGACGAGACAACTGAACGACGAATATAGAGGGAGGGGCATGCATGCATGATGCCATATGCATGAGATATTAGACAAAGTCAGACCCCGCCGTTGGATCTAGAAATAGAGGCGTTTTCTTGGCAGATGATTGATGGAAGGGATTTGGTTCGGCGCGGCGCAGTGTTAGAGAGAGAGAGAGAGGCCGACTTCCGGCGTGTTGGAGCCGCCGAGATGGAAGGTCGGGGTGGGTATCGATGGTGTCATCGGGCCCGTCTGCCTATAGAAAGCGAGGGTCGAGGATAGAGTCGAGTTACAGTGGGGGTCCAGCCTGTAGCGTAGGCCCTGTAGGGGGGTGGTCCAGTATAAAATGCCAGAATGCACGGTAATGGCGCACACCCACTGGACTGCCATGTGCGCCATCGAAGGCGCCATTCCGTCCACCCGTCCATCCATCCAACCATCCAGTTCAGTTCAGTTCAGTGACCGATCAGCAGCTGCGCCGTTGGCAATTGGCAGTAACTGGAAGGCGCCAAGTGGGAAGCGATGGATCCAGGAGAACTACATAGTAAGACGAGGAAGCGCGCCCGGAGAGAGAGAGCTCTGGTAATTGGTAGGGATGCGCATCGCTGGTTTAATATCCCAGAGACAAGCACCACGTAACTTGCACACGCACTCCCTCACCACACCCACGTAACGCCAAACAACGCCAAACAAAAGCCGGCATCGGACGGCAACCTGCTTCTTTTTCCTTTCCTCTTCTTCTCCAATCTACCTCCAAACCTCCTCGTATATATCTTTCCCGATCTAATCATCACAATGGCTACGTGAGTATCTCTCTCTGTCTCAATTTCCCCCCTCCTGTTCTTCTCCCCCTCCCCTCCAAAAAAAACACTACCCCGCCATCCCTCCTTTCATCCCACCTCGTTCGCAGTGAGGAAAGCGAAAGAAAGGGAAAAACAAAAAAAACACCAACGCCGCATCTCACTAACGCAATACAGCAACATCACCTGGCACCCTACCCTCTCGCGCACCGAGCGCAACCAGCTCAACGGCCAGCGCGGCCTCACCCTGTGGCTGACCGGTCTCTCGGCCTCGGGCAAGTCCACCGTCGCCACAGCCCTCGAGCAGCACCTGCTGCAACTCGGCGTCAACGCCTACCGCCTCGACGGCGACAACGTCCGCTTCGGGCTCAACAAGGACCTGGGCTTCTCCGAGAAGGACCGCAACGAGAACATCCGCCGCATTTCCGAAGTCGCCAAGCTCTTCGCCGACGCCTCCACCATCGCCATCACCTCCTTCATCTCCCCCTACCGCGCCGACCGTGAGGTTGCCCGCGACCTCCACGCCAAGTCTGGCCAGGAGGGCGACGAGGCCATCCCCTTCGTCGAGGTCTACGTTGACGTCCCCCTCGCCGTCGCCGAGCAGCGCGACCCCAAGGGCCTCTACGCCAAGGCGCGCGCTGGTGAGATCCCCAATTTCACTGGCATCTCCGCCCCCTACGAGGAGCCCAAGAACCCCGAGATCACCATCAAGACCTACGAGAACACCGTCGAGGAGTGCGTGGCTCAGATTGTCAGCTGGCTCACCGAGAAGGGCTATCTCACCAAGTCTGCTTAAATTGCTAGTTTGTTAAAGGTGTTCAAAGAAGGATTGAAAAGTGTTAAAAGAGGATTGGATATTACTGCCATTGCGCTCCCAGTCATCACTCCTGGGCATGATAGAGTTGAATACAGGCGTTCATGCATGTGCATCTCTCGTTCCCTCCCTAAGCTTCCAAGTTCCCCCTCATAATCAAGGAAACTCAACCTCATAGTAAACGTAAGCCGTGTATTCGTGACCCTCCCCAGTTCCCAGTCCAGCTGCTGCCATCTCGGAGCTCAATTCGGCATCATCCTTGGTGATCTTGCCGCGCTTATCCCTTCCGAATGCGTTGCCGCCCAGGTACGAGTAATTCGAATCGAGCGCTGTCTTGACCTTGGGTGACAGCTTGGATGTCGTCTGTAGTCGTCGTCAGCCGGGGCGATGGCCCACGCGTAAAGGGATAGATAACCTGAGAAAACAACATACCTTGACAAGCGCAGACACGTAATCAAGGGGCAGGCCGTATCGTAGAACCGCCTCGACGAAAACCCTCAACGTCAGGACGTGCATCCAGACCATGACGCTCTCGCTCCATCCCGTGCGTCCCGTGCGCAGAGCCTCTCCGCACACCTTGCGCTCCTCGTTGGTAACTCGGTCCAGCTCACGCTGCTCCTCTTCTCGGCCACCCTGAACGTGCTTGAACTGGCGTGGCGTCCACTTCTGTTCTCTGCACTTCTGGAGGAACTCGGCACTGTGCTTCTTGAACGTGGCAACGGCGAATAGGACGAACTCGTCATCCTGGGCGAGCTGGATAGAAGATCGGGGGACCACCATGGGAGAGAGAGTCTCGTAGCTCTTGATGAATTCCTTCTTCGAGTTCCCAGGCACGACAATAAGATGTGTTTCGATGTACTCCGAATCCTGAATGAGGAGAGAAGGGTCGACAATGGGGGTGAGGGACTTGGTCGCCAGGTTGCCACTAGAATACCGGTAGGTTAGTTATCGAAGATGGTTGGTTTCACATGTTGTATAGGCTTACGTCTGGCGACGCTGGAGAGTGGCGAGGTTCGTCTTGACCGAGTTATACTGGGTGAACTTGGTTTTGACATCGCTATCGACCGTGACGAGCTCCTGAACCGTAGCAGTTAGCAAACGTAGCTTGAAAAGGCAGGGAAAGAGCTACACCGTGCCTTTTGTAGGGTGCTGATGAGCTCGCCGAGGGGTTTGTCAGCTCGGTATCGGATCTTGTTCCAGCTGAAGCTGTTTAGGTATTGGTCGGTGGGCTCTGGGGTGGCTATCAGCGATTGAGCATGGCTTGGGGGCATCAGCGCTACCCACTGTCGTTGACCATCTTGTACTGGGCGATGCGATCATCATCGCCGTCAAGGACTGTCCTCAATGAATCGGCGACCTTGGCAACGACAGCCTGGCACGAGGCCTCGAGCTTGGTCAAGTCATCGGCTTGCTGAACCAAACCATCGAGGGTTCCAATCTTGAAGTCTGGGACGTTGAAAGGCACAACGGTGCCGTTGTCGGGGGACACTGTGGCGCTGAGGGTGGAGATGGCACCGCTTCGGTCGCTAGAGTCGAAGGTGCCGAGAGGCAGCGACAGTAGGGCGTACCTGGTCGACATGGCGTTGGATTCGGAGGGGGGGAGGCTGATGGATCGGTCCCGTCAGGGAGGTTGAGAGTGGAGGATGAAGGAGGGTAATCGACGAGCGGAGATGGCGACGGCGAGGAGGGAGGACGGCAAGGAGCAACTGATGCTCTAACCCCGGGAGCTGTAGCGTTCGGCGTGTGTCGGGATCACGCACTCATTGATTGGGATTTGGGGGTTGCTTTGCGACTTGAGGGATTGATGTCTAGATCGTCTTGCCTGCTGATGAGGCAGCTCCGAGCAGCAGTCGTAGCTCTACGCCAGGTCGGGGCACGTCAACTTGGCATGGATGGTGGCTGGTGGGGCTGAGGCAGCCTCACCGTTAGATGCATGAGATGCATGAGATGCATGGAGCCTCGATGGAAGCGACATCTCTCTATCCGAAACGTTATCCAAAGCTGGGCTGGAGTGTACCTGGGTACCTAGGTACAGTGCCTGGAGCCCCACGCCTCCAGACCGGTTGCCTGATTAGGTAGGTCGGCAAGGTGTCAGAGCTGGGGTGGAGAGAGGTACGTACATCCAGGTACACTTTCACCCTGGTCTGGCTGAGGAGGAGCTGCTCGCCGCTGTCACGGGGGGACCCTGCCACTGGTACTTGCTGTTCAGCCCACTAACACCAGCACCACCATCAACAACACGACACGGCAAACTCTTCTGCAATCGTGCTCCAACAACCCGTGGCCCATTGATTCGGCATCCTCAGGGCCGGGTGCTTTTGGCGTATTTTCTGCCGGCACACGCGATTCTTTACCTGCTCACGTCCATTTTGGAGCATGTAGGTCTGTTGGCGCACCGGGACCCGGATTCCTTGCGCAGCCGATGCCATGGCCGCGATTGCTCGTATGTGGTTCCCCTCGCAGACACTCTCTCACCGCGGTGATTCTGACCCGAACACATAGCATCCGCCGCTGCGACAACCCCATCGAGCCTTCCACCACCCCCCGGCCAACCTACCGACATTGATCTGGCTCCACGTCCAACCCCGACCCCATCTTCAACAACCCCAACAACGACGCCACTGGTGCTTAGTCAAGGTCGAGGTATGCCGAGATAATACTCCTCCGGGGGCGGTACACTTGCTTATTGCACCCATGCAGATACAGATGACCGTAGCGGGCATGCGCTTGCAGTAACTGCTGCACCCGCGAACCCTCAGCTCAATGGTGGCTACTACGATGGCCGTGTCGGGAATCCCGTTCCCGGTAAGCTGAAGGGCAAGATTAATAGACGGAACGGCAACTTCAGCGTAATACTGATGGGTAACCCTCGCCCAGAGGTGACTGAGCGCGACCTGGCAGCCAAGCGCTCGAGCGAGGAGACTGCAGCCGCCGCGGAGCTCGCCAACAAGGACGGCTATCGTTCCGTTAAACCCACCCAACTCGCATGGTATCCCCCAAAGGAATCCAGGCCATATCCTCCGCTGCTTCCTTCGACTGCCCCGGTACCGGTGCCGGGATGTTCCAATACCCCCCGTCCTCATCCCACTCCAGCTATGCTTGCCTCTGGCCGTCCGACAGCTTCCCCAGCTGCTGCTGCGGTTGTCCCGTCGGGCTCTGCATCGTGTGCACCTCCAACGATCATCCCAGTTCTCGCACCAACGATCACCCCAGTTCTCGCACCAGCTCATCGCCCAGCTGCACCAGCAGGAGAATCAGCGACCCCTGAAGTGATTCCTACAACTGCTCCCCCCTCACAGGCCCTCGCCGGTCTAACACCGCAGCAAATAAAGGCTGAGCAAGCTCGTCTCCTTACCCTTCTCAGAAGCCTCCACCCCGTACTTGTGGTGGACCAAATCTGCACGGCACTGGCCTACTTTGGCGGCATTCCAGGAGCGCCGGCACCTGCTGATGGCGCCTTCCCCAAGAGTGCTTCAGCAAATGGCTCTGGCTCTCTCCTTGTGGGATGGGTTGCTGAGATCTTTCCAGAGTTGGATGCCGCCAGGGAACGTGCCAAAAACCAACCCTCCCCGGTGATCCCGGCGATTGGAAGCGCAGGTGCATCTTCTTCCGTCGGAGCACTTTTAGTCCCAGCGAGGCGAACTCGGGGACGCCCTAAAGGAAGCAAAAGCTCCAAGGCTCGCAAAGACAAGGGGGTGAGGAAGTTGGGTGCCGCAAGATCGAGTGCTGCTGCGTTAGGAGCCGCTACACCGGGGCTTGCTTTAGTTAATGAACCGGATGCAACACAGCCGCCGTTGGCGAATCCGCCCACTGACGCTTCGCAGTCGAACAACGATGTTACTGGGACGGTCCAACCTGAAAACCAAGCTAGCCTTATCGCCCAGGCAGCATTGAGGGAACAAGTTGGCACCGGCTCGTCGCTCACCACACCGGGTTCCAAGAAAAGAGGCCGTCCCAAAGGTTCTAAGAATAAACCAAAGGCAACCCCTGGTACGAATGATGACATCGCTGGCTCCTTAGAGGCAGAGACCACATCCCAATCTCAACACCCCGTGGCAGATTCTCCTCTAGCCCACAAAACATCTACGAACCGACAAGGACAATTAAATCACGGCAGCGAAAGGAGCACTGAGACTGGGACAGATGGAATAGTTACTAATGCTACGCACCAAAGCACTCCGGGGCAAGTTCCCCCTGCTGAACAAGTCGCCTCCCCAGAAATGAACAGTAATCGAACTCGGGAGATGCAACCCTCTGAACATGGCAGCCAGAATGACAAGTCAACTCCCAATGTGCCTTCGCGCAAGAGAAAAAAGCCCACACAAACCAGAAACCAAGCAACGATACAGACCAGCGAGGGCTCGCAACCATCAGATTCTGTCGTTGGGCAAAACAATTCCTCTCAAGTTCAGCGAGTAAAACGGCGTCAGGTCTCCAAGGGAACCAGCCAGAACCCTAGCCTAGGCAATGTTGAGCCACAGTCTGGTGCTGAGATAACGACATCTTCAAACCTCCCAGCTGCTGGACAACCTCTGACTATATCAAGCAGTCTTGGGTCCCAGTCCCAGATGAAGAGTTCGAGGAGCAACCTCAACCAAATGTCACAGAAACAACAGCAGCAGCAGTCACCTAATACCGCGCTCCAGGGGTCCAGTCAGACTTCGGGCCCTTCTCCGTTGCTAGGCAGGCAACAGAACCAAGGTTTAGGAGCGCAAGGGCGTCCACAGGCCAACATGGTTGCTCAGTCGTTTTATCAGCAACAGCAGATGACAACCCAATACAGGCAGGACGGCAGCTCCGGCGACCGTTTCGGACGTAGCATGAACACCGGCCAGTTCCACCAGAACAGGATGAACCCATCGCCCAGCTTGCGCAATCAGCCGCAGCAACAGCCACAGCAACTCTCCGGATCATCGAATCCTATGGCCTCGTTCCAGAGCTACAGTGACTCTAACTACATGGATATGGACTACCCCGGCGAAGCAACGGACGCCGCCGCTGCCGCAGCCTTTGGCGGGCACACCCAGCTCGAAGCGGCGCTCGCGGAACCCAACCTGCGTGAGCGTCTATATCACGCTATTAGCCGTCAATAAGAATTGTGCTGGAGCCAAGCGTGTTTGCGTGTGTAGGCTTATATTGTTTGACGACTAAAGAGCTGCAAAGTGACGAGGACAAAGATGGGTACGTATACGGCAAACGGTTCTAAGCGGTACCAACAACAAAAGGGAATGCGGATCCCTTGATGGACTATAAATGGTATGGTATAATGACAAGGTTCGGCAGGCGTTAACAGCAGGGTTATTTTTAGAGCCTGGGAATGAGCTTTGTCTGCGAAATCGGCAAGTGATTTGCTCACGAGACAACAATGTTTAATTTACGATACACATGGCGAATATGTATGCACGGGAAAGGGTCCACAGAGTTTAACAGTAGCGCGGCTCAGAGGCCGTCAAGATAGATACCCTGGAATAGCATCGAATTTTTGGATCTGAGGTAACCTCTGTTGCTTCCCTGTACCAGATACCTGATGTGCTATGATGTGATATAATGTTTTGACAAAAGAGACCAAGATGCGCGCCCGCGATATCTATCCGTCCCAAGCTGATCCCATGCAGAACCCAGGACCCCCAAGCTTGCAGCGTCCATCCCAATATGGCCCCCCTGAGTAACAAGACTGATAATAATAATAAAAAAAAAAAGATAATCGGTATAATTTGTCCGGTGCTCCCTTCCGGTGTTACACTAGGTAACACGGTATCCTTTCCCTCCGGCCATAAAACGCCTTGTAAATGCTCATAATCCTCTTTGACAAACAGCCCAATAGTAGTTGGAGTATAAAAAGAAAAGATAAAGGAGGAGACCATGGTGTTAAACGAAGTGAAAGAAAAATAGTCGGTCTAGTGAACAAAAGTCGTTTAATCCGCATCGTCATCGGTCGCACCGGCGGGAGGCCGCACAGAATCGGGGATGTTGCGGCCGTACCACCACTCGTCCTCCTCGTCGATGCCGTCTTCACGGATCAGATCGAGCATGACCTGCTGGTTGCGCTTGATATCTTGTGGTCGTTCCACCACCCTTCGCTGATGCAGGACAGCCTCGGCCGTAACGAGCCATATTTGTTGGAGGACGGGGAGATCGCCCAGGAGGGCCTGGGCATCTTGTCGGCTGAGGGGGGACATAGGTGCACCGGCGGCCAAGCTCGTGTTGAAGATCAAGCCGGCGTCAAACCCCATGTTACCGTCAATCGAGCCCGATGGACTCCTGACCCTATTCAGACCATCGCTGGAGGATCGGGGTAGATCAACACCGCTTGTCGACTTCTTACGGCCGAAGCCCATAAGACCCCGTTTCGATTTTGTCGATGAGTCGACTGGCTGGTGATCCTTGGTGAGGCCATGACAAAATGTGTCTACGGCACCACGCCGGGAGTTGTAGCCCTTGATTTCCCATAACCTCTCAACTTCTCGTAGTCCGCCAATACATAGGATAGCGACATGAGCATCGTCAGAAGGCTTCTCCCTAATGTATCCTCGCAATGACCGTTCAACACGGCCCACGTATGTCGGAGGTCGTAGTCGTCGACAGAATGATGAGATGACAAGGGGGAAAACCTCGTGAACCCGTAATAAAGTCTTATCATCGTACATCTTCATGATTTCGGCCTCGATCGGGTTGAGAGTATACGGCTCTCGTTGTAGGCCACGTCCTCCATTCTCGGCCAAGTGCTGTAGGTGAAGCTTTCGATAGGTCTCAAAGAAGTGAAATATGGTGAAGAGAAGTGGTATTAGTCGTCGTCGCATGCGTTCGTGTTGAGGCGCAAAGGCCAACCGTTGTGGTTCCGTCTGACGTAAAAAGATATCTGTTGTAATCCATTCACACATGAGGAAAGCAAGCTTGGCGGCGACGTGTAAGCGATGCCAAAGCCCGCAAAGATAATGGAAGTTAATCTCGGTTGTGTCCGCGACGGGGTAGAGACGGGCAGCGTATGCGGGGATATGATTCTCGAGGTGGTATCGGGCAATGGTATTTTCGTTGAGGGTGACGAGGGCGTGCCATGACTTGGATGAGAGTCGAAGGTTTAGAATGTCAGTCAAGGGCAGGGAGGAGATGATTTGAATCTGCAACTCGTTGGGCAGGGCGAGGAACAGTTGGTCAAAAGGTAGGCTACGCGGGTTAGTGTTAGCAATGTAAAGATCATAACAACATGGATGGGTGGGTGTACATTTGGCGGGCCGCCTCGACTGAGGACCGTGGTTGAGATCGAAATACAGACGGCGCAGAGGTTTGCGGAGCAGATGATTTAGAGTGTAGGCGAGAGACCTTGTGGCGGAGGGAGAAGAGGAGACCCTTCTCCTTCTTGTGGTCTGAAGGCTTGACTGTTTCTACATCGACGACCTTGGATTCTCGCAACGGGAGGATGAATCTCGAGGTCGGGGTGGATTTGGAGGGTTCGAGGGAATCGGGGACTGGGGGTTGATGTTGTTGCTGAGCGTTGAGCTGGCTGAGCTTCTCAAAATACCGCTCCGAAGCGAACTCGGTAATGTGAGGGGGATCCATGCCCATGGGCCGGGGTGCCCGTTCACTCTGCTCTGCCATGGTGGACGTCGGCGGTCGAGCGGCGGCGGGAGAGACTATCTTCGGGGTGGCGGCGACGAGAAGGATCTGGTCGACGAGCCCGGATGACAGCGGGCGTCCGTCTCTATTGCAGTGCGCGAGGCGAGAATCGGCTCGACATGGCGGGAGCAAGGGCGGCGGACAACGCGGGATCGGGATCGGGCGGAGAGTTGGCCGCGAGAGCGAGCGAGAGGGCGCGGGCGCGGGCGCACGACAGTCGAGGACGAGAGCGCGGGAGGAGTTAGTATGAAAACGAGAGTGACGGCGACGCTGGACCCGAGTGGGCAGATATCGTGAGAATCGTTGGCGTGGTGTTTCGAGGTGGTTTGGATTGAATTGGATTGGACGGGGCGGGATAAGTTGGGTGAGTGACGGGACGGAAAGATGGGGGAAGGGATGGTACAGGCCAAGGCGAGGCAAGAGCGACTGGTGGCCTGCCTCAGCACGGGGCCCAGCTAGTATAGGTCTGGATGGAGGATGGAGAATGGAGACGACGACGGAAGGGAGGGGCGTGTGTGCGGCCGATGTGCCAGGGCCTGGCTTTTAGTGGAACGTGGGGGGAGTGCGTCGCAGGGGTGTTCCCCGTCAACTCAGCCCGTACAGCATGTACCTGGCTGCTCCTTCCAACGCGGTGGGGAGCGCCGAGGTACCTGCGACAGTGGCCGGGCCAGGCGGGGGTGCAGGTACCACCAGCAGGAGGGTCCTTCCTCGGGCGCTTTCCACGCGGGAAGGGTACCTAGGGCACTGTATTTACCCACTGTAAACCCGATGACGATGCCCGAGTGTAGTGCTGGGAGGGAGGAGCAGCAATCAGCGCGGGGGGGTCGTGTGGATGCTGGGGCCAGTAGGTACGAAGTGCGCAGAAACGCACTACACTGTCTTACCACTGTAGTGGCATGCTACCTTCTCATGTGCGAAAGACAGGAAAAAGCGGATAGAAAGTGAGTCAAGACAAGGTGCTGCGAAACCATGCTAGTAGGAAGCAAACCTGAGATAGCAAGTGCTTTGGCCTCATCCACATCGTAACAAGAAAGCGTGTCCATGTCTATCTGGATCTGCGCCTGCGCCCGCGTGATAGCGATTTGATTTGAGCGGGCGGCGACGAAGAGGAACATGAGGTTGACGATGATGGCCAGCTGGATGGTGGATGGGTAGTGGATGGGCAGGTACCTACCTAGTGGATGGGTGGGTGCATGGGTGGTGTGGAGGGTCCCTCAACTCAGGATGGGGACGGACCGACCGACCCAGCAGGGGCCTGGCGTGGCAGCGGGCAGCAGCAGACAAGCAGAATTGGCGTGCAAGCGTGCAAGTGCGTGCAAGTGCAGGCGTGATGGGCAGCGCTGGTTCGTCCCAGGCGGCGGTTTGGCCGGCGTAACTGTGGGGAGACGGACCCCCCCCGAGCCCAGGTTGGCGCCCCAGAAGAAGCCGCCCAGAATGAATCTGCAAGGGAACTTCGATTAACCCATCAGCGTCCACGCCCCTCCTTCCTCGTTCCTCGTCCCTTTCGTTCCGAGTCCCCTTCTGGATTTGAGAATCTGAACCCTTTTTCGCTAAAGTGATCCCCTTCCGGAAGTGAGGTAGTCGGATCACGGTGCTTGCCACGCCGGACAAGACATACGAGGCTAGATCGGAGTCCACCATCGCATATCGATGTGTTCAGTCTGGACCCAGTTGTTGACTTTGTTTCGCCGTTGTTGATGCAGATGGCCCCCGTATCGCGAGCCCATCGCAGTCGCACTCGCATCTCCAGTTCCGACGCCCGAGGCGCTCTGCCACCCGTATGGGCGGGCGCCGTACAGTGCGACGTGCAGCCATCGCCCATCCTCCCGGAGTCGGCCCAATTGGCCGGCCTTACAACGGGCCCCTGCCTCGTCACATTTCTCCGCACCTATTGCCCCCGCCAGGGCCCTGTAAGTGCGGTGCCTACGGAGCACGCAGGCTAAGAATTGCCATAAATGGCCATCAGCTGCACAGTAGGCCCGTCTGCAGATCCGCACGGTGACAGACCTCGGGAGTGGGCTTACATGACCCCCTGGGATTTGGCCCTGGGCCGGGGCCTGGAGCGTCTTGGCTCTCCGGGGGCGACGCCTTCGGCCGTACGTATCTCGGCCTCTCCCAAGATTCTGTATCTATTTAGCCGAGAAAGCTGGGGTTTGAGTTGAGTCCACTTGAGCCTTTTTGCCCAAGGAGAGTGAGTGCTTGGCGTGCGATGTCCGTGGTTGACACTTGCAAGAGCCTCCACGAGGGTTCCCGCCCTCTTCCAGGACACCATGGGCAACGTAGCATATGGTCAAGACCCGTCGGCCGAGTTGATCCCGATGGCGACCGACGGGTTTGGAACTAGAATTGGAAGGACCGAACCGGGTAGGAAGAGAGATGGGCACTCCGACATGGAGTAAGAAAAGGCACCAAGTACATACCCCAATGGAGCGTGCGAGTCGCTGGGTGTCCAGGTGGTGATGCGAGAGCAAATGGTCCAGCGACAGGTTTATCGAAAGCCAAACGGGCTCTAGGTCGCGCCCAAGTTACCCTCGCCCGGTGTCTGACCCCGGTCCCGGCGCAATCCATCGATGACCCTATTGTGCGGTGCGTTGGGGGTTGGATAGGGTCGGTGGTTATTCCGGCCGGATGGGGTATCTCCGATTGCATCACGGATCACCAGATGTCGAGATGGTGACGATTCATTGTGAGCGCCATGGCCAGATAGAGATGGCTGCTTGAGAGATTCGACCTGGGTCGGCATGTAGATAGGAACTCACACTCTCGGGTGGCTCTCTGCCCAAGAGTACGTTGCTGAGCGGCCAACACCAAAACCATCTTACATCAACAGGCACGCCATCTAATCGAGGGTGATTCGAGAAGCAAGGAATATGGGGGAATATGGGGTTGCACTGTAGCGTTCGGATAGTGTGGGAGTGGCAAAAGGGCAATCCGGATGTTCAACCGCGTGCCTTTGCCCAAATCTCTCGACATCCGGACGCGCAAGGTGCACCCATGATCCATGGCACCATTTGCCATGCCACACCCGCGTCCATTGATTTTTCCTTTTTTTTTACCCATCATTCGCATCCCATCGATGAGTCCCGGCCGGTCTGCGGAGGTCCCCCATTCGTGTCCTCCTCTGCCAGTGTGTCCGGCAGCGTCTGGTTGTCACTCGGTGTCATCGATGTCGCGGCCTCATCAGGTCGTCGATAAGACACGCCGTGGCCAGGCGCATCCGCATCCACCTTGCAAATGAAACGGGCCGCTGACTGCTCCGTAATAGATACCCGGCGGTGCCTCACACGTGGCCGGGCCACTGTCGTTTTTTACACACGGACGAGAGACAATGAGCAGGATGGAGGGAGGCTTGGATATGAGGCGATAATGACCCAGCGCTGATTATACAGAGGGTGCGAGCGTGTCCGTGGGCGAGAGATGGGATGAAAACCCCGTGCGCGACGCACCCCCCAGGCGTTGATTTAGCGGCGCGGCCCTACTCCGGTCGTTTTGGGCAAAAAGCCTGGCCCATCCGCGACAGGCCAATGTCCACTGTCTCGTCGACGCCGATCCGAAATCCCAACGGATTGGTTGGTTCGCGCCGGGCAGGTACCGTTGTGTAAACGAGGGAGAGAAACGTAAAGGGCCGACGGTGGTTTCGTCATGTAGGTACGTAGTATGCGACTGGCTGATAGTGATGGATGGTGTTTTGAATCTTTCCCGACTTCATCTCACCTACTTCACCTCATCTCACCTCAACTTACCACACCACACCACGTTTACGTCTTGTGTGCATGCCCCCCGTACGTGGTGTCGGACGTGTCGGAGGTTTTTACTTCTTCTTTATTTTTATACCATCCGGACTGGCCGCTTGGGGCCTTGCATTGGCTGGATCGATGGGATCGGCGGATAGCCAACCTGCCGTCCATTCGGCACTCGCATCAGCAGCACATGTTTTTGAAATTGCCCGGCCCGGAAAGATCTCGTAGCCGCTGAGTCACCCGTTATACTCTGTCTGGTTGTCCAGTGTCGGCCTGTAACAACAACAAGTTTGTAACGTATGTACTGTACCTTGGATGCGTTGTCTGCAACTCGTAGCTACCTATCTATGTATGCAACCTTGGGCCACTTACGAACCTACGTGCCTACGTACCCGCCTGACGAAGAGAAATAAGTCCGCCCGGCCCGCAGTTACATCAGACAGGTCATGGGCCGAAGAGAAATTGGCCAAACCCGAGGCTCTGCGTCGATAGCTGTGCTTCAGAACGACCTGGACTGAGTGATCAGCGAGGCAAAGGCAACTCTACTCTCACCAAAACCAAATTAAAGATAAATGCTCCGATGCTGCCGAATTGTGACCGCACTGGCTCCGGCCCCCGGCCATACGCCGTGCTAGGTCGTAGGGCAAGCCAGTAGGCATGCGGCATGCACCGCCCCGTATTCTATGTATGGGACACGGACGCTCTTTGACAATCTTGGAGAATTTATGGATTGGCCGTTACAGGTTACTTACTACGTACAGACGGGAGTTAGCCACATCGGTACAGTACTTGGTACGTTGTGAGTAGGTAGCTAATCGTTGCACGGCGTATCCGCACGTCCACGCTTCCCGCGGGCCCGATTCAAGCTGCGAACCCGAGGACACTGTAGTGGCCAGCCAGTACTTGCCAGAGCTTTCTTTGCTCTTGCTGGGCTGAATAATGGATTACTACTGGTTCTCTCTCCCCTCTTAGCAGCAACCACAACAGACGACACCGCCCAAGTAGGTACCAAGCAGACTGTACAGTAGGTACTCTCGATCTTGGCATTATCATGCTCCGCCAACAGCACGCGTAACCCCCAGCAATTCCAACCCCGTAACTCGTAACCCGCGTATGCTACCCGCCAGCGCACATACTACATACTTCATTCGCCCTTCCCGCGGCCGCGTCCACGTCGGCTCCCTCCCCCAGTCTTTCCCCCAGGGCCCAGCGCAGCATCACGCCTTTGCAACGCTCCTCCACCAACAATGTCCCTCACCGTCGTCCCCTGACTGACCAACCGCTCCACCCCCCTTCCCTACTACGTAGTGAGTTCCCTTCCCCGGCGGCTGCTATTTCGCCGCCCTGCTGCCCGTCCGTCGTGTCGCCCTTTGCATTTGCTCGAGATATCGGTGACGTGACCTTGAAGTGACGTGACCGCTGACCAGCAAAACGGACCGAACGAACGTCCAGACGGCGCGAGCGGAGCTGTGCGAAGTGGGAACCCCCGAAGGTCAGAATCACACCGGACCGAACCCCGACTCGGCCCATCCTACACCATCCTAGCAATCAATTCAGTGTGGCTTTTTCCCATTATTCCCTTGTTTGTTCTTTTCCCTGGCTCGATTAGATCTGGTCTGGACTCTCCCCGCCGCCACTGCCCCGTCGCAATCGCCGGAAGGGAGCAATTAAAACCAACCCAAAACCACAAACTTCGCCTGCTCATGGACCCGTCTTCGGGGCCTCCTCGGCCTGCCCTGCAGCCACCGGCGGCCGAGGATCCCCCTATCACCGCCGCCCACCTGGCGAGGTTTGAGTTCAGCGATGCCGGCACCAAGATCCTCATGGTCGAGTGGTATCCCGGCGCCGTCGTGGAGAAGTCTGCCGCCGCCGCCGTGTCTGCCGAAGCTCCCGACTCCGCCCCGGCCGCCGACTTCCATGACGTCTCCGCTCCGGCTCCGGCTCCGGGCTCTGATGCCCACCCCGGCGCTGCCCTAGCCGGCACTACCAAGGCAACCGGCGATGCTAGTGCTAGCCGTCGGCTTGCCTCGACTTCCTCCTCCTCTAACTGGGAAGTCTCATGGCCTGGCAAGACCACTGTCCTCCGCGCTGCCGATGCTGACTCTGACTCTCCCCCGGCCTCCTCCTCATCCCTTGTTGACCACAACTCCACTCGCCGCCGCGTCTACTTCCTCCTACCGCCGGAGGCCCCGGTCCCCGCAACTATCACACTCACCCCGCCTGCCGGCGACCCTCGTTCCAGCCTAACCCTCAAGCCCCTCCCAGCCATATTTCCTCCCGGCTTCGACGCCGAGGCGGGCATCCGCGGTGTCCTGCACACCATTTGGGCCCGCCGCCGGCTGGCTGCCCTAGACCGTGAGATGGCGGATGAGTTGCGAGCTAATGCTGAAAGCGTTGGTTTGGAGATGGCCCTCGCTGAGAAGCAATGGATCCAGGATACGTTCCTCAAGGCCCCTCCCCGGCACAGTCCTGTTTCATCGAGGTCTCCTGTTGCCAGCAGGCTGGGGGATAAGCTCAGGGGCCTCAAGTTGGCGACTTCCCCAGCAGATCTAACACCAAGCTTGTCCGGTAAGAAACATATGATCAACTTGGAACACCAAACCCCTGACTAATGCTCGACGAATAGCCAACACATTCACTGCTGCTGGTAGTCAGTCTCACACCCTCTCTCCCCAGGGTGCTGATATTGCCGTGTCGTCCTTCTCCGCCATGACCAGCAACGCGCCAACTGGTCCCCTATCTCTGAACGCCGCCCTTCGTGGCGATATCACCGCTGCCGTCTCGGCTCCCGTCCGGCTAGACCGTCAGGATCCGGAGGATGATCTCTTCGCCCTCCCCCTGAGCCCGCGCAGCCCGGACATGAAAAAGAGTCCCTTCAGCGCGCTGTAAAGTTATAGGAGAAGCAGAGCCGAGGCCCCAACCGGTTCAGAAACCCAAGTCATGCCGGTTCCCCTCTGGGCGCGGGCGTCACTTGCCTTTCGACATATCCTGTCCCATTCCCGCCTTTCTCTTCACCGTCATATCATTTCAACTCCTGTAGCTCTGCCTGGCTGACGATGATGGGGGCATGCCACAGGTTGCAGGGCGTCACATAACTAGTTTTAGATACACATCAAAAGCGAAGTGAAAGTGGTTTTCTCAAACGAAAGAACGAAGGAATATGCATCTAGTATTTGTTAAGAGAAATGGAGTTATAAAAAAAGACCAACATGGAGGCAGCAGTGTCAAGGGATCCAAGAGCATTATATTGAGCGTCAATTCGTTATATAAATCCGCGACTATGCTTATGGGGTATGAACATGCTCCTCATCGTAAATGTGTAGGTAAATAAGAGACAACCCGACATTGCTATGCCAATCCAGCCAAGGATACATCCACTCCTTACCTCCAGCCCCCAACCCGTCCCTCGTCCCACCTCTCTTTTCGCTCTTGCCGTAGGTAGAACAGCAGCTTAGCCTCGCGATACCGTCGAACCCAATCCGTCACCTCACGCTCCGTAGCAGGCGCACCCTCGCCCTCACCATCGAGAAAGCTCTCCTCCATGGCCTCACACACAAGGGCCTGCTCTTGCACGCCCTGTCCGAGTTGTTGATATAGCGCCGCGGGGGAGAAGGATGCGAGCGCATGGTCCATACCCGACTGCTTCTGGCGCCACTGCCGCTCGAGGGCGTGCGTCGAGAGGATTTGGCCCTGTGTCGTTGCGCGTTGGTGAATGAGGCGCGCCTCCATGTCAGCCAGTTGCTGGGCAAGGTCGATGTTGTCACGCAGCGCGGCTGATAGGGCTTGGTGGGAGGCTTGGAGGGATGGGTGGATCGAGTCGGAGGCGTGGGTGATGGTGTTGAGTAGAGACGGGTTAGAAAGGATCTCGGCTAAGTCCTGCTTTCTACATAGGAACTGTTAGCGCACAACAGGGAGCACAAAGGAAGATCCAGGGAAACGAACGGCTTCTCCTGGAGCATCTGCGGCAGCCATTGATCGCCTGGGTCGGGGATAGCGACTGAGGCAGCCGCGACAGCGCCAGGTAGACGACTCCCGGCATCAGGCGGCGGCGGGAAGGCTACGGAGTTGGGAGTGGCGATTCGGCTGGTCTCGTGGCTTCCAGGCTTGGGCGGCAAGACGGGAGGCGTCTGGGCCTGTAGCTCCGGTGTGAAGCTGGCCATGGTAATCGCTAGGTAACGCCTGGAGCTTTGTCGTTGTCGGTGCCTTCGATGACGGAAGTGACTAGAGGCTGGACATTGGAAGTTGAAGGTGGGGAGTCGGCGGAACGTGGGGGTTTGGTGCTAAAGTTGGCTGCAGCGCCGCACGGACAGAGACAGATGCAGGTACCCACCCTACAGGGACTGTCGAACAAGTTACTTCGCATGGGATTATCCAAGAGAATGCCAGTTTTTAGAATATAGTAAGTCTAGGGTAGATCACGGTATTATCAAAGTCAGAGAATCACACGGTATCTTGAGTTGAAAGACGGCATGGCATGTTGCCTCTAGGGGTGGGTATCTCTCTCGCCAACCTAAAGCTTCATATTTTACCAGTCCCCTATGTTACATCCATACCCCCAGTTGTCAAGTATCTATCAACGCCCAAGGCAGCAAGCACGTACTGGTAACAAACAACCAAGCCCATATCCATTGTCAGGAAATTACTGCTTTACCGACCACAGATCCCGGGACCACCCCATCTCTCGCAGCTTCTTGCTGCCCGAGCTGTTGGCCCTCTTCTCTCCGGTGCTGATAGCCAGAGCTTTGCTGCAAGCGGCAAACACCTCAAGCAACTCCTTCATTCGCCCAGCTGCGATGAAAGCCGTGGAAAGATCCGATCCCCGCTCCGCGATTATCGCCGCCAGCTCCATGCACTCCAACAGGTTGTCTCGCGACAGACCTGTGCCCGCAAAGTGCAATGCACTGACATATGCCAGAATTGTCTCCGGGAGATACGCCTGGCGGAGCTCTCGCAACTCTTCATCGCCCTCTGTATTGATGTTAATGCTTAAAATCGTCGGTTGGACAGGGTCGATCTTACCTTCGATGCCCACAAGAAGCCAATTATTGAGGAGTGGTTGCATATTCTCCTTTGTATTCTTGATCTCATTGCCCACCTGGTCCCAGAAACCGCGGTTCGAGGCTGGAAGTCTATGTTCTGTTAGTATTTCGATATCTGCTCCAGATGTTTACTTGACTTACTCTCCCGAGAGTTCAACAAGTGAGGCAATCGTTTCCAGGCTGTCTAGAGCTCGGACTAGCGATTCCAATTCACGGAAGTTTCTCGCATCTGCGGCCACCTGCTCAGCTGTTACGCCGGTGATTCCGCTTCGCTCAAGCTGCTGAGTCCATAGCTCATTATCCTCAAACCAAGTCCCAGCCTCGTCTTGCTCGGTGAAACCCGTGGTGACATCGACAAAAGGTACCCTTTTCATCAGCTGTCGTGCAGCGTTGAGATGCATGTTTCCTATTGAGATGTTAGTCTACACTTTAGCCCGTCACACTGTGGTGGCACATACTGAGGAAGAACTTGTAAACCTTGGTACCAACGGAAAAGACATTTGGCCATGTTTCGTCTACCAAGAGCAACCACTCCAGTGAACGAATTAGATGCTCATGTCGGACTTCAATGATGTCTTCCTCGTCTCCGAAAAAGTCTGCCCTGATTGGTCGTCCGCGTCGAGATGTGGGCGGTCCAGGTTGGATGATGGTGAATGAGCCCTTGGCCGGGAACGTGCTCTTAACAGGGCCGAGATCATCATACATAAGCCAAGCTTGAGTCTTCACAAATGTCAACACATCGATTCCAGCCTTCTTGATCAGCTTGAGCTGCATCATGCGCTGCTTCGGGTCATTTTCGGAGATGAGGTTATAGCTGAGCACCTCATAGGACCTCGGCGGCTCTAAGATAGAGCAGTACAAGGGTATTAGCTCCTGCATTTGAGCAAGTCGCAAGTAGTTCGTATACCCCGCCAGGATATTTTCTTGGGCTCGTCTCCATTCCGGAGGCGACGACCGAAGAGCTAAGGAGTCCCCCTCAGAGCCAAGCTTCTCAAGCAGTGTGATGAGCAGGTAAACGTGAGCAACAATGCGGAGTCCGTGATGCTGATCCGCCTTGAAGAACTTGTCATTATTCATAGGTAGACCATTGGTCTCAGACCGGTAAAGGAGCTTCGAAGTACCCTTGTTGTCTGCGCCTGCAGAGATGATCAAGCCCTGCTCATAAAGATGATGATCAATCTCCCTTGCGATTAGCGAGGCCTGGATGGCCTTGTTAGGTTCGAAGGCTTCGTTGCGGATTTGTGGGTTGGACTCAAGAGAGCGAATCAGGCGCTTCTCGACAGTCTCCGGATCGCCGTGTGCATGAACAGCGTCAAAAGACAAAAAAGACTGCTTCAAATTCGATACGACTTCAGGCGGACATTGATCTAGGATGAATGTGTCAAGCTGTGTGCGCAGGAGAGCATTGTAGTTGGCAAAGAGGAAGTCGTCCCAGGTAAGGGCAACCTTTTCGACGCTGGGAATGTCGCCGGAGAGTACGCCGTAAACAGCACGCTCGTAATCGTCACAGCCACCTTGGCGAGCAAGGCTGTAGCACATGCGCCGCCAGAGTGCAAGCGATTCTGGGTTGGTTACAGGGCTGCCTTTGCTGTTGTCCGTTGATAGCAGCATAGCGGACGCAGAGATGGCTCGCCACATCTCTGTTCGTTCCTGGCACCATTCGCGAATCGTATCTAGGTTGGATCCTCGGCGGAGATGTTCGAAGCACCCAAGCCAGATAGCTCGCTCAAAGTACTCGTCTTGAGGTTCGAGCTTGCGGCATTGGCGAGTGGCGGCATCGGGGTCCAACTGCGTGACCAGGGGGGCGCCGTCGGAATTCATATGGGAGTTTGCGATGTTCGGGGATTGGCGGTCCAGAAGGTGTGGCCAGGCAGTGACGCTTTTCCTCAGCTTGATGGACGAGCGCGTGTGGAGCCAACCGTGGGCGATGATGTCCCCTCTATCCGCATTCTGTTGAAGTTCACGCGCTAACTCATCAATATCTGGGCCCGAGGCAGCATTGCTCTGCAACCACTGGATGACGGCTTGGCGTTCCTTCGCTAGCGAGTCGGTTTCCAGGAAATCGTTTAGCAAGTCGACAGGCGCAGCTTTGGAAGAACTGAAAGTCGAAGAATATGCGGTTGAGCTTGGGTATCTCAGCGGCAGAAGTCGGCGCACTAGATCCCAAGTCTGGGCCTCCCTCTCAAGGCGCTTGATCTGCGTGGTGGAGGCGTGGTTGACAGTGCCAGTTTCGGCCTCATCCACATCCATGTCGGCATCATCATGGGTGCCTTCACGCGTTATTCTCGGCCGTGCATGCGCTAGTCGTCGCAGGGTGTTCTCGTAGTACTTTTGAGGGAGCGCGAGTATTCGGTTTCGCTTGTCTGAGGGTGACTGGAGAGGAGACAAGCAATCGTCTAGAACGTTGGCGAACTCTTCGACCTCGGGGCCCGCGTTAACGGGAGGGGGAATCTCGTTTTCAGCAATGGCCTCCATTTTGGCTGCGTAGATGGTTATGTTTCGAGAAAAAATATCGGATCGAAGCTCCAGCGGAGTTCAGCTGTGAAGAAAGGTCTTGATCAAAGCAGTCGAGTGGTTGACCCTAATCGGCTTGGTCGGCCGCTGGGGTCTAAGGCGTGTGCTCGTTTAGGGTCGCATGCATACCCAGACCTGGGTGCAGGATGGAAGTCGCGTGTATATAGATTGCAGAGGTGGAATCGTCGACTCAATCGTGGTGGATTTGCGGGAGCTGTCGCGAGTTGATGCTTGACGCAAAATGTTATGTTGCTTTGTCTGGCGCGCCTGCTGCTGGGGAGCTTTTCCTGGCACGGTACGTACCTCCGTGCCTGGGTGCCCCGTGGGCAGCAAGCGCAGCCGCGGGTTGGCGCGACGGCGGGCGTGTACCTGAGGCAGTGAATCACAGTGTATTACAGTGCTTTGTTGGACGAAAAGCACTGTTATACTTCATCTATGGCCCCACTCAGCTTCAATTTTTCTCTTTTCTTCTTCTCTCATTATTAATGTCATCGGCATTCATATTAGAGTCTCGGAACAGGACACCTCAATGCTTGTTCAGATCCCTTGAGGGTCTCTTGCGTGCTCAATGATCGCCTAGAAAAGCTTCGGCGCTCCTCAATTCAGTTGCCTGAGTTATCCATACCGGCGGACGTAATAACGATGAGCGTTACAGATCAATTCCCCTCCCTCAGCTGTTGCATCTTCAGCCGCAGCAAGTTAGGCTTTGGACAGCATGGAGTAGTTCCCTCGTCCCCGTTGCGTTCGTAGAAGACCTCGCAACACTCGTAAAGTGCCCTTATGGCAGTCTGGCACTTGGCGTCGTTGTAATTATTGCGCGTGAGGCAATCTGTCAAGGTCAGAGTGAGCAAAACCGCTGGGTTGTGGATTCACAGAGTCTGCATACCTTGGATTGCGCACTACATCAAGAAGAGAGATCAGTCACGTCATCGAACCTTCGAGTGATCTGTGGCTTTTGAACTCACTGCGCGAGGAAGGCAAGCGGGCTTTGCCTCAGCATCATCCTTGGGAGTCTTCGTGGATGCCTTCGTGGAATTACATCAGCGGGAGAGAAACCATGGGTGGTATTGTGTATACGTACCATTGTCGCTGTCTCTTTTCGACAGATATTGGAACCGACGCGTGAATGGCGCGGGAGCAAGAAAGCGAGCGTGCAACTAGTTCTTCGACGAGCAAAGTCAGGGATAGATGTCGCCACATCTCAAGCCACACCGTTCCACAGACAACAGCCACACTCAGTACAGCAATACAACGTCTGCAGACTGCATGTACCTCTCATTTCTTCAGCATGAACTTCCCTGAGCCCTCGTATATCATATTAAGAAGTGGATATTTGTATAGGATTAGTAATAATTATTGCTGACTATGTTATTGCAGAGGGTAACATTTGCATCTTCTTGGGGACGGATAGCAAGAATCGATTGGGAAGAGTCAGAGACAATGAATGGTATGCACTGTAACTACCAGAGGCAGAGAAGGGAACTAACGCGAGACTGCATATGTCGGGACGTGAGATTGAAGAGACAACACCGGATGTCATGGATACCTAGAACTCGGCATTCCCAGCAACGCAACAGAGTCCTGTCTGTTTCGCACGCTGAGGTCAGCACTCTGTTCTCTGTTACTGGTCTCACAGCCTCCGTGCACCAGCCTGGCCTGGTGGCTGGGTAGCCAATAGTGTGTGGCGCTCCCCACCTTCCGGTGCCTTCTCTGTGCCTCGTTTGCGACTGGGCCGCCTTCACTTCACCTCACGCACGCACTCGTCTCCTCTTCCCGCAACACGCACAACAAAAGGCCGAGAGCCCTCTCTCTTCTCCTTTCCCGCTTTCGTCGCCCACAACCTCTTCTTCTACACCCTTCGCTCCCCAGCTTGACGCTGCACTAGCACCGCATCTTATCGACGACCCCTCGGCGCACCCCACTTGACACGGATACTACCCAAAGGTTGGTACGGTGAAGCCGACGAGAACCGTCACTCGCCCAAGTCGCGTGCTGATTCCCAACGTCTGCGCAGCTTTCAGCTACCCCGTCGCATCAACAATGTCAGGCGAGAACGAGAACGGCGCCCCCGGTGGCGAACAGGGCCCCGGAAATACTGAACACTTGAACATCAAGGTGACCGACAACAACAACGAGGTCTTCTTCAAGATCAAGCGCACCACCAAGCTCGAGAAGCTGATGGGTGCCTTCTGTGAGCGCCAAGGCAAGGCTCTCAGCTCTGTCCGGTTTCTCTTCGACGGCACCCGTGTCCAGGCTTCAGACACCCCCGATGCAGTACGTCTAGATACCCTCCCATCTCCGCGTTTGGAATCAGATGCTGACAGACCACCCGTAGCTCGAGATGCAAGATGGTGATACGCTTGAGGTTCACCAGGAGCAGGTTGGAGGGTGCTAGGTTCGAGACGAGTTGGGAAGAGATCCCAGGCTGGATTTCTTTCCTAGGCAGTAGGGCTCGTGTACATCAAAGGAGAGAGAGGGAAACAAGTTCACCGATAATTTACGACAGAGATTCACCATGAGTGACCTGATGCTCCCCTGTGATTGTCCGAAACCGATGCATTATCTGTCAAAGCCAAGCCAAATCAAAGTGCGCATGCTGTGCCAATCTAGTCCAAACCGAACCCCAAGCCCATCCAACTCACACAATCTCGCAACGCCACCCTTCCCTCGACCGAACCAACAACTAAAAACAAGCGACTTCCCATTATCCTGACACTCCCTCCAAGTCCGCAAAACACCAAAAATCAAATTGTAAATCACGCCTTGAGTTCCATCGATCGGCAACCGGTGCACAGCACCACAAACATGCCGTCAACTTCCTTGGGGAAGATTTGGCCGTCATCGAAACCGCCCTGGCACTCGGCGCAGCGGAAGCAGGCTTCGTGCCACTCACCACCTAGTGCCTGGATGTACTGCCCGATGACGGCCGTCTTACATTTCTTACACTTGGGCGCCCGCCGTTCGGTGCGCCTGGTCTGACAATTAATACACCAGGCATAGCCGTCTTTCTCAATGTGCGTCATGCCGTGTTCAAATGGGTCGCCGCATTCGGCGCAGAAGAAGTGGCCATAGTGCCAGTGCTCTCCGAGAGCTACGATATGCTCACCTAGGATGGGCGTATGGCAGTGCTTGCAACGGGGCGCAAACAACTCGTGCCAGTCAAGATGGCAAAAGAAACGGAGGCGCTCATCGCCATCTTCAGCCATGGTCATTCCAGGTATCTCATCGAGAACCTCGCCAGCAGTGCGACGGCGAATGCGCTCGAGTCGCTCGTGGCGCATCTTGAGTGGCTCCGGGCTGATCTCCATTGCCTCCAGGCCCGTGCCACACGAGTAACAGCTGAAGCACTGAGGGTGGAATCGCTCGGAGCCACCGGCCAGAGCTACGAATCTCCCTTCGATAGGGTAGTCGCACTCATGGCAGATGGCGTTGACGCGCGCCGTGCCCCCAGGGGCGGGAGACCAATGACCTCTTGGACGTTGAGCCCGTCGAGGAGGGCCAGTAGCCCGAGGGGTAGGAAGTGGACGGGCGCCGGAAGATGGCTTGTCGCCTGGCGTCACAATGGCTGGGACACTAGAACCACCGGGCGCTTCATCCACGGCGATGGTGGGAATGTTGATCGATGGGATGTTGATCGAAGGTATCGAGCCTCTTGGCCCATCGTCGGGACCGGCTACTGAGATTGATGGGATGTTCGCACTTGACGACATCGGCGTACTCTCCTCTGCCACAACGATACTAGGTATCTCCATGGGTTTGGCCTTCGGTTGGAAGGAGGAGCGGGAGGCGGCCGGGATTGACCGGTCTGGGGTGATATCAGTTGACTCGTCCGGGGCTTTCCAACTAGCATCGAAGCTTACAATGGGCCGTCCCGGACTGTCACTGACGGCGGTAGGCTCCGGGAGGTTTGGGCTGCGATCCTTCAACCGCATGCTGGTTGCGGCGCGAATGTCCTCGCTGCGAATCTCTTTTCCATCCTTTGTCTCCACGGTATCGTCCACCGGAGCAGGCGTCCGAGGCACAGAATTGGTTGTATACTGGGCGTTGCGGGACCGAGTAGGGGGGTTGCGGTAGATCTCGACTCGCTCGAGGCGCTTGTTTTTGACAGACTCCTCCTCCTCCACAGGCTCAAAGCGAACGCGGTTCGTGGGATTCTGGGGCCGGCTGCTCAGCTTCTCAGGCGACGCACGACCAGATGAGACGACCCCCTTTTTCGGAGATGACTCAGGTTCCTCCCAGATTTGATCCCCAGAGAAGGGTCGCTCAACCTCTCCGCTGATGTTCCGCTTTAGACTGCCATGACGGCGTTGCTCGGAGAATTGACCAGAGCGGCTCCCGACACTGCCGTAGGTCTTGGTTTTGCGGCTTGACTGTTCCCCTGACTGGCTTTGATCTAACGAGGGACGGCCCTCACTATCTGTAGAACTGCCTGAGAAAGAGCGGGTGCCTTGTTTCCCGACTGATCCACCCCCGACACTGGCGGTGCGAGCAAGTGCATAACTGTTCTTTTTAAGGTGTGGTGGTCGGTATCGATATGGGGCGTCAGGTGGTGGGGAGGTTTTGCCATGTTGATGCTTCCAGACGAGCTCAGCGGCTTCGTCCAGCGCAGCCGTGTATATGCGGGTCTCGTCGTCGGGGTTGTCTTGGGGAGTTGGTGTTCCCTTGGTGCTCTTCCTCAAGTCCATTTCGTCCATAGCATCACGCAGGGAGCTGACCTCCTCCTTTTCCATCCAGCGTTGTCCTCGCTCAATGTAGGTGGCAGATGGAACCACTTCTCCAGGCTTCAGCGGCGTAGACGCCGATGCCGGAAGGGAGTCACGGGCTCGCCTACTGGTGGTGGAATAGCGAGAGGTCATGCTGCCAGCAGCTACGCTGGGGACTTGGCTGTTCAGGCTGTCGGCCTGCGAGACGGCATCGGGGCTGAAACGGCCGTTGCTCGATCGGTGCATGCTCGATCGGTGGGTGCTTGTGCGGCTGGGGGCTGGACGTGCTCCGGCTGGTTGGGGTCTTGCACCGCCGGGTCGGGCAACGCGGTTGGAACGGAGCTCTGCAAGATAGCTCGCTGCGAAAAGAAGTCGGGTTAGCTGGGGAGGCCATGAACATGTCCACGTGTCATGCATACCAAACTGATCGTTGGACATATAGGAAGGCGACGGCGGCGTCACCTTACGCGACTTGTTGTCGCTAAGCTTCCCCGTGACTGGCATTTTGACCGCAGGACCTGCTGTGGAAAAAGAAATCAATAAAATGTCCTGTACGGTGTGTAAAAGCTCGGTGAGTCAAGGGATAGTTGACCGGAGGTGGTGTGAGGGCGGGCACTTTTGTATGTGTATGGGCAACCACACGGGTGAGCTATGTGCGGGGTTGGCCAGACAACGGCCGCCATGGCCATCCTTAAACGATATCAACTATGTCACCGCTACGCAACATAAGCCAAGCGCAAACACTTGACGAGAGAAGCGCTTAAAACGTTGATCATAGTCTGCATTGCTAGACCGGCGGGATTATGCTTGAGTATTTATTGTACATGGCTTGTCTCAACGGACAAGCTGGAAGAGCGGGGCGTGGCCCTATTTGTCGTGTCTGCCTCTCATTTGCCCAGCCGCAAACTACCACCGCAATTCACCCTTGACGCCTTTCTCGGGCTCCTTTGGAGGAGGGGGACGCTCGGCAAATCCAAGGTTTTTGAATTCGTCCCTGGCCATCAGGTTTCTGAGTCATCGGTTAGTCCGTTCTTTTCCGCCACGCGGGTGCCGTGTCATTTTGTGTCAGTGGGTATTTCGGGTTCTCACTTGTCCATCCTGCATCCGAGATATGACTTTGCGAGGTCGCGGCACTCATCTTCGTTGACGCCGCGCACCTTCTTCATGCATGCCAGGTAGTTGGTCATTATCGCAGTGCACTCGCCTGCACGGAAAACGGATCGGTCAGTTTGCTTGAAATGGAACCCAGCGGACAATCCCACAAACCGTCATGATCGAGCGGGAAGCTGCCACGCTGCGGCCTGTACCGGGAGGGTTAGTCAATCATGCAGGAACAAAGAAGCTACCAGAAACACGGAGACAGAGTCACTCACGGCTTAGGCTTCGTTGTCGGCAGCGGTCCGGGGCTTCCAAAGGTACTCATGACTTTGAATTGGGCGTCTAGCTGTTCCTAAAGCACACTCTTCGGCTCTCATTGCCATGACCCAAGTGTAAAAGTCGTGCGACTGGGCCGAGCATGACGCCCCGATACAACGGCAGACCGTACTGCCTAACGACATACAGCGCTGTGCAACTGTGGCTGGCGGTGTGGCTGGCGGTGTGGCACGGGGGTCCCGGAGCTCTGACGCGTGCATTGAAACATGGTCAGGTACCTTGCCTTAGGTACCCAAGTACCTCAAGTACCGCAGAGCCGAAAAGCCCCGGTGGATACATTGTGCCAAATATACCGTATTACACCGTACCTTACCGCACCTGGACACACGTGAACCCGACGCCAACGCCGCACCCTTGGAAGCCTGCATCAACGCATGAATTCTTGGAATTGATTGATAGCGACAGCGACACGCGCAGATCAAAACTCCGTGTCCTGGCCAGCCAGCGGACCTCTGATTCAAGCTTCAAGTCACCTCCGCGAGCCCGCGAGTTGTTTTTGTCCTGTTGCCTTCTCTCGGCCCCGTACCGTCTCGCTCGTCACAATGGCTGCTCTCGGCGAGGATCTACTCACCACAGTCAACAAGCTGCAAGATCTGGTCTTCAACACCATTGGCAGTGACTCGCTTGATCTGCCCCAGATCGTACGCCGCATGCTTCCCCTAATTGATTTTGCGCCGTTTGGCTGACACGCGTCCAGGTTGTCGTTGGATCCCAGTCAGCGGGAAAGTCGTCGGTGCTTGAAAACATTGTTGGCCGAGACTTCCTACCACGAGGAAGCGGTATCGTCACTCGCCGCCCCCTGATCCTCCAGCTCATCAACGTCCCCGACGAAGAGGGCGCCCCCGATCCCGCCTCCGATCCCTATCGTTCCCCCGGTGCCGCCCGCCGCTCCGAGTGGGCAGAATTCCATCACATCCCCAATCGACGATTCAACGACTTTTCCGATGTCAAGCGAGAGATCGAGAACGAGACGGCCCGGGTCGCCGGTAGCAACAAGGGCATCAACAGACAGCCCATCAACCTGAAGATCTACTCTCCCTTCGTCCTCAACCTGACCTTGGTTGATCTTCCCGGTTTGACAAAGGTGAGGCCACCTTGGGTCCTTGTGCTGCCCTCGTCATAGAGCCGCCCCACTGACAAAACATTTTGTACAGGTCCCCATCGGAGACCAGCCGACCGACATCGAGAAGCAGACCCGAAACCTCATTTCCGAATATATTGCGAAGCCTAACAGTATAATCCTTGCCGTGTCTCCTGCGAACGTCGATATCGTCAACTCGGAAGCTCTGAAGTTGGCCCGACATGTCGACCCTCTCGGCAGGAGGACCATCGGTGTCCTCACCAAGGTTGACCTGATGGATCATGGCACCAACGCCCTCGATATTCTCTCGGGTCGTGTCTACCCTTTGAAGCTTGGATTCATTGGCGCCGTCAACCGCTCCCAGCAGGATATCCTCGGAAGCAAGCCCATGGAGGACGCTCTTCAGGCTGAGACCGACTTTTTCAAGCACCACCCTGCCTATCGCAACATTTCGAACCGATGCGGTACCCAGTTCCTCGCAAAGACACTTAACACTACTTTGATGGCTCACATCCGGGAGCGATTGCCCGACATCAAGGCCCGACTCAATACCCTCATGGGCCAGACCCAGCAGGAGCTGGCTAGCTATGGTGACATGCACTTTAGCGGCAAGGAACATCGCGGCTCTCTTATCCTCCAACAAATGACTCGCTTTGCCACCTCTTTCATCTCCTCCATCGATGGTACCTCGACCGAGATATCGACCAAGGAGCTCTGCGGTGGTGCTCGTATCTACTACATCTTCAACTCTGTGTTCGGGAGCTCACTCGATACCATCGACCCCACCTGCAACCTTTCCGCCCTCGACATTCGAACGGCAATCCGAAACTCGACTGGTCCCCGACCCAGTCTCTTCGTCCCAGAGATGGCCTTTGACCTACTGGTGAAGCCTCAGATCAAGCTCCTGGAAATTCCTAGTCAGCGTTGCGTTGAACTGGTCTACGAGGAGCTCATCAAGATATGCCACACCTGCGGCTCAACAGAGCTCTCACGGTACCCGAGACTGCAAGCCAAGCTTATCGAGACTGTCTCAGACCTCCTCCGCGAGAGGCTGGGCCCTGCTTCCTCCTATGTCGAGTCCCTGATTTCGATCCAGCGCGCTTACATCAACACCAACCACCCCAACTTCCTTGGCGCCGCTGCTGCCATGAGCCATGTCGTCAGCGCCAAGCAGGAGCGTGAGCGAAAAAGACTGATACAGGAGGAGCGTGACCGCCGGGAGAAGCGACGAATGAAAGAGCTCGAGGCCAACGGCGATGGCCCTGAGAATGAGGATGGTGTTGTTGCACCTGGCGACAAGGCAGAGCCTGTTACCACCCGGACTAAGATGACGAAACCTCCTCGCAGCCTGTCACCTCCTGCCAGGGAAAACGGTACTGGCAGTTTGGCAGCGGCAATGGGCTCAACCACCATGAACGGCATCCGATCAGCATCGCCAGCTAGGTTCAACCAACAGCAAGGCCTGGGCGGTGCCAAAGACTCCTTCCTGAATTACTTCTTTGGCAAGGATGGGACGACCATTGGTGGGCCTCTGCCTAGCCCGATCAACGGGCGACATAGCAGCCAGGTTTCTGAGATCGGCTTCCCCGTTGTCCGCAGGGAGGAGAAGCGACCGTCCACCGCTCAAGATGATGACTATGATCGAACACAGAAGAGCTACGGCCTGGCTTCGCACCTCGTAAGTGGCCTAATCCGCGTGTCCATGGGAATAACAGTTGCTGACTCTTCCACAGGGCGAATCTAACGAGCCTGCCATGACTGAACGCGAGGCCATGGAGACAGAACTCATCAGGGCCCTCATCTCCTCGTACTTTAACATCGTCCGCGAGTCCATCGCTGACCAGGTCCCCAAGGCAGTCATGCACCTGCTCGTGAACCACTGCAAGGACGTGGTCCAGAACCGATTAGTGAGCGAGCTCTACAAGGAGACTCTCTTTGAGGAGCTCCTCTACGAGGATGACACCGTCAAGAAGGAGCGTGAGAAGTGCGAGCGACTCCTCCAGACCTACCGGGAAGCTGCCAAGATCATTGGCGAGGTGCTGTAAAGCATCCACAACCAGAAGGGAGGCGAATGCAGTAATGAGCGTCACGGAGTTTAGACACATGGGAGAAACATGACGGCGCGTGTTGAACTGATCGCATTTCACGGCGACTGCAATACTTATTTGCAGGACTGCGCATGGGAGGGAGGTCTGTTGTAAACTTGTCCATTTTGTACACCACACCACCATCGGCATTCGATTTTTGCCACTCAGCTATATGTGCCCGCGAAGAAGAGGAGGGCTTGTATGTAAAACACAACTCGGCTCGTCATCCTCATTATTATCAGAATACAATGTATTACTCGTTCAACTTATGACATGATGGGGAGGCGACCCATACCAATGTAATAGATGAGCGTCACGGACAAGGAAAGCTTCCACTCGGCTAGCTAAAGAGGCACAGAGATTGCTGATGGCGATGCCCAGAGCATGATAGAAAAATACAGCAGCACGGGTTCACTCGATCACATAGTCAGTATCCCCTGAGACCGCGCTGGTCCTGACATGGGTTTGATGAGTATGATCGATATTGACAGGACGAAACTGACAGAAGTAATGCGGCCCTATTGCCAGATGCTTTCCTGACGCTGACCGCCATTTTGTGAATTGGATATTCCGGGCCTCAGCCAGCTGGCTTAAATATGGTATTAGTATATATTATCCATCTCCCATTTTACATCTGATGCTCCCAATGTGCCCTTGTCAGGAACGACAAACGTGCACGTCCTAGGAAGTCGCTCTCATATACTTAACGTCTACTCTGACGTTGTGCAGGCTCCCCAGGGCCTGTAGCTGGATACCGCGGATCGTACTCATCGCATTCCATCCTCGACTTCGGTCGACCTGGTGCTAGCGACACTGGTCGTGGGGCAGTTACGTATCCAAGTGTCCTAGTGGTCGGGTAGTCGCTAATGGGGCCATATGGCGGATATACCCCTGAATCTCGGGGTACGGGGCGAGCTGCGTAAGCGTAAGGTTCGTGTTCGTCCCTCCGGATAGGACGCTTGATAAAGTAATCGCCTTGAGGATCACGGACTTCAACAAGCTCATAGGCTTCCACTGGAGGTCCAGGCCGAGGACGCGGGTCGTCGTAGTACACCCGGCGTGGAACGGGTTCTGGTTCGTGGCGGTAGGTTTGCGGCGCATATTTCGGCCCAGGATCTCGTTCTTGATAGCCCGTCATAGGGTGTTCGTCATATCGGGGGGATGGAGGGCGATGATGCATATCAGGGCCTCGACCCGGGTCATCGCGGTACCTGAATCGGGGAAACTGGGTAGGGGTAGGACGTGCTTCCAGAGGTCGGGTTGTTCGTCCGATTTCTCGGCCTGATTGATCGACATACACGATCTCTTCGTGTGCCATTTCGAGGTGAGATTCGAGAGCGTCTAGGAGGCCAAATCCATCATCCTCCGGATGGGTTGTCACAGGAGGTGGCTCTAACGGTCTTTCTAACCGCCGAGGCTGCTCCTCCCATCTTTCACTAGGAGGAAGAGCTCTGTCACGACGGTCACTAAGAGCAACAGCTCCGTCACGGGGACGAGCTCTGCTTGCATATCGTTGCGATTCAGCATCGCGATAATCAAGGCCATAGTCATCTCGGACATGGGTCATGTGATGGTCGTGGGAAGAGCCAGAACGACCATGATCAGTCGATACTCCTCGTCGGTCACCCTGTTCCGCCCGAACGGTATTTGGACCCGGGTAGCGATCTATAGGAGGCGAATCTCGACAAGAAACTTCGTGAGGGTGCCTGCCTTGCATATCGACCCTGCCCTTTGCCCGAGCGTAGACTTCACTAGCTGGTCGCAGATTCGGTATTTCGTGGAACGTTGGGCTATGTGTTTGGGTAACACGGTTTATCTGGTCGCCCAGAATCTCTGGCTCCCGAGTGCGCTCATGTCCGTTACGCCGAGAGTCTTTTATTGCTGACGGTATTCCGTTGACCTCATGAACATCCGATTCACCTCTATGAGTATCGTAGTGGCTGGCTCGCGCGGGAGGATGATTATCTGTTTCATGTTCCACCCCGTTCAATGGCTGATCCATCGGCCTTGGCCATGGCATTCTCTTGGAGTGGTGATCGGGCTGCTCTTCTTCGAAAGCCCATGGGAGAGTTGATGCAACCAGCTCATAGGCAGGGCGATAGTTCTCCAGAATTCTTTTCAATCCTTGCAGAACAGACATGTCGGGCAACAAGATCATCTCGATTCGCCAATCCATTGGGGGAAGACCTTGAGACACTGGTCCTTCGATGTGGCTCTTATTGAAGTGGTTTACCAACTGCGGCAGAGAGAAGTTCGTCTTCTCTGCAACGCTATGACCCATTGAACAAGCCTTACAGTCTAGCCCGTTGGTATTCCGGATAGGTCGCATTTCCTTATGGTTTGACAGTCCATCTATTAGCATTTCCAAAGGCGCAGGTTCGGCAAATGCATCCTGGAATGTCTTTGCGATACAATGAACAACTACACAGATCTTCACGGATGGAGGGAGGTCCTTCACACCCGAGATCTTTTTCCAGGCGTCCCTTGCAACCCTGATCATAGTGTCGAGCCGAGTGCCATAAAGACCTCCTGGTGGCTGCAGTTTGCCGTACGGCCCTCGAGGGACAGGATATGGACCGTAGTTGAAGCCATGAGGTGCTGAACTAGCATATCCATAAACTCCGGGCGGATCACTGGGGTGATTTGGCGCTCCGTAAGATGGCCTCGGAGGATATGAAGCATAGCCTCCATCCTGTGCATAGTGCGGAATATGATTAGGTGCAGCATATGCCGATGGCCCACGTGGGTTATGGACATTCGCTGGTGAGAAAGGCGACGGCTGTCCGGAGACGAATTGATGAGAAGGCGCTGGAGCTCCGTAGCTCGGTGTCGGATATCCAGCTGGCAGGCCAGAGTGGTATGCCCCATAAGTCGCGTAAGGCTGTACAGCGGTAGAAGAAAGTGATGTTCCAGGAGGTTGACTGTGGTGAGGAATTTCTGGAAGGCGTGCATCTGGACTAAAAGGAGGTACTTCTGGCCATTCCGCTCTCCAGTGAACAACGACGCTGCCTACACTAAGGGCGCTTGTGTGCTTCGCGGCGTAGTGCTGAACGACCCCTTCAAATCCATAGAACTTGACATTTCCTATGCAACCATTGCAAAGAAAAAGCTCTTTGCGGTACGGTTCCGTATGTGATTTAATCTTGACGTCAAAAATCCACTTCATGTTTTCCAAGGTTAGTTTCTGTGTCCATGGGCCCTCTGGAGGGTCCAGAACTGGTTCTAGGCCAGCTGCCACTGCTGCTGCCGCGTCTTTCGCAACCTCAGCATAGAATCTCTTGCGAACATAGAGGAGAACGTCAGCTGCAAACTGTGGGCTATTCTTTTTCTTAACTTTGTCGCCGTCGTTCCAGCCGTCTCGTATGATCTCGTCCGCAAAATTTGATATTCGAGCACGAAGAGGGCCTTGAATGTCGTCCCAGTCCCTATCAGACACCTCCCGGGGCTCTTTCGAGACTACCGCCCCTTCTTTGTTTCTTTCCAGTCTCTCTTGAAGGGCTCGAGCATTCGCGGTCTTTTCCTTTTCCCTCAACTCGGCTTCTTGCCTCTGGGCAAGGATTCGCGGCTTCAACAGCCCCCAAGCGTTGTCGTCAAGGGGAGTGATGATCTGTAGGGCAGCCTGAAAGGATGGAATATGAGCAAGTACACTTGGCTCGAGAGGAGGGTCAAGTTGCCATGCGCGCTGTTCAATCTGGAGGCGTCTCGCAAGCTTCAACTCGGCCACTTCTTCCATAGTTCGTTTCTGCTGTCCTTGTGGGCGTGATGGGACGTTATCGGCATCGACCTTCGTCATTAGACCTGGAATTCCGTTCTGCTCTGACGCTTGCCGCTGATGCTCAGTATGGTGGCGGTCATTTTGGTGTAAGTGTTCCAAATTGTGGTCAGAGGCTGGGTGTGAGGAAGAAGGGCCACTACTGTTCATCTTGGTGGATTCCAGTAGAGATGAGGAAACAGAACTTAGGGATGTCCGCATACGATGAATTCCTCCAGCCAAGTCCCATTTCTCCCAACGGGACGCGTCAGCCAAGGCTTGCTTTCCTCGAGCCTCGAGGCCTTTTATCCATTCCTCGGCCGCCGCAGAGCCCAGCAACTTGACCGTCTCGAATTCCGACTTGATATCCTCAAGGTGGTGTGACCAGAAAACCTTTGTGACCTGTGATTGTGAAGGTGGAGTCCCAGTCTGCATAACACATGGAGGTATTACATGCAGCTGGTCCATAATCAACACCACGGGAAGAGCTGGAAGGAGGAGCGATGGAATCGAAGATGACAAGAGAATATCGATTTCCTGTGGGAACGGTAAGATAGTGGAGTTTGCAACACACAAACTGGTACATACCTTGACGCTCTTGCTAGTAAGACAACTTCCACATGTAGACACAGAAAACGGAAAAACAGGGGAGACGCCCTTGGCGCCTGGCCCACGATGCCACTGATCGCTGGCTGTAGAGCTCTGCAAGTCACCCTTGGAAGCACAAGACTGACAGGAAAGGGAACAGGCAAGGCGCCACATCTCCAGCTCTGATTTGCCCTTCAACGGGGCAGGCATACGGGGCCAGAATAGCCGCCTTGAAGCCTGCCATATTGAATCAGGCTTTAAGGGCTGAAGAGCACCGTGTGGAGTAGAGTGACAGGACGGAAAGCAGACCGAGCGGTAGGGATGGAGACAAGTATGGAATAGTTTGTTGACAAGCAACAAACGACCCAGAGCTCTGGGCGGAAGAAAGGTGAAGATATGGTGCCATATCTCCGCTGGGAGTTGTTTCGCCCGATCCACCGCAGAGTCTAGGGCAACAATTGAGCCTCTTGGCTCGTCTTCTATTCTCACCCTCTTCGCAAACTGGGATTGGCTGGGGTTTGGGGACCCTGGCGGTGATTTGCGCTTGTTGTTCATGGACTCATCGGGCTTCGCGATCCCATTTCGCGGCGACGCGATGGAATTGGTGTTGGCATCGTCCGTGGGTTCAGTGTCGTCGTCGGCAGGAGTAGAAATGTCTGGGCTGTATGGATCGTCGTCGACCTGTGCGGCTTGGGTGAGCATTGCATCCGGGGCAGATCCCCCCGAATCTCCTGTTCCAGGAAGAGACATTGCTTCACAAAAATGCGGCACTGGGAGAAGAAAGCGGAGAGAAGAAAAGGAGACGACGCTTGCGGGATCAGGCTGCAAGCATCGGGGAAGTAACACTTGTCAGGTAGAATTGGCTGGTTGCGACGATGCTATTTCAATCGTTGCATGGGCTAAGGATCAAGGGACTGGCGCGTCCCCTATGTCCTTTCTGAGACCATGATTGATCTGCGACAACGTTGGAAGGGATTGTGATGGGCGAAGTTGGTTGGGACGTGACGAGAGGGATGCTGTTGGTTGGTGGTTCAAGCACCAGGCAGGTCGCAAAATCGATGAAAAGGCTGATGGCTTCCATTATGACGTAAGCAGCCGCACACCAGGGCACCTCGTCGCATAACCTCAGTAATGCATTTTCAAGGAAATAATGATAGAAAGGAGATATACGCTGGTTGGATGTCGTTTTGTGTGTCCAGGATGGTTTCAGTTATATGTAAAGTGTTGAGTGTTTTGTTTTCCGTGACCCTAACGTATAATCATCAACATGAGCCGGATGAATCCCAGCATATTGTACAAGGCTTTTTCATCACTACATGCTCATCCCACCAGATCCTCCACCTCCCCCAGCCGTGCTTCCCCCAGCCGTGCTTCCCCCAGCTCCTCCAGCTCCGGATCCCCCGGCGCCACCGCTCGCTGAACTCTTATGAGGGGAAGACGGATCTCCTTCGGCCCCATAGATCTGGAAGCTCTGGTCCGCGCCCCAGTTGGCCATTTGTGTGTAGCTCTCGAAAGCATTCTACTCAGATGATTAGCTACAGTTGCTTCGTAAGTATCGACATGTTTACTTACCCAGTCAAAGTTGGTGTTCAGGTCGATTCCAGTGCTGGAGCCACTTCCCATGTTGTTAAACATGGAGGAAAACGGAGAGGCTGGGGCTCCAGTGCCGAATCCATCGGTTTGCATATCGACACCCTCGGGGGCAGCCGATAGCCCAAAGTCCATCCCCATAAACGGAGCAGGGTTGGGCGTCGAGAACGGATTCATTCCAGTGTTGAACTCCGGTAGACCGTGGGGGGCAATGAGGCCAGGAGTCATGCTCGGCGACGGATCGATGCCCATGTTCGAAGCTAAATCTTGCATTGGCTCCGGCTGTAAGCTTAGAGACATCTGCCCGCCTGGTTCGGGGTTTTTAATCTTCTCCAACATGATTTCAATAATCTTAGTCGCCTTGAACGCCTCCATCGATGTGTCTGCAAGCGTTTTCCATATTTCTCTGGCAGTCTCCAGACTCTCTATCATCCTTGACCGCTGCTCTTGGGTGTATAGGAACGTTCCTTCATGCTCTGATTCAATCGAAGCTTGTGTCGCAATGTTGTCGAAATGCAAGTCCAATATAACAAGCATCGCGGGCAGGATGAAGTCCTTGGTGGCGATCGACTTGACATACCACTGGACAGACCTCAGCCTACCATTCGAGTGGGACTCGCGATGGAGAATTGCAAGATGGTCCAGAGCCTGCAACGATGCTTCGATGGCGCTTCGTCGCGAGTGCGCGTACCTTGCGCTCTGCCTCGCCCTCGGGAGGTACTTTCTATGGAGCAAACAAAGAATCTTCTGATACAGAATATCCACATTGAACCGGGCGATGATCAATGTCACAGGATCATGCGAGCTCTCCAACGGAGTTAACTTCAGATGAGGTGGCAGCTCCTGCATCACCTGACGAAGCTTGGCATCGAACCGAATAATTTCATCGTACGGCACATGCTTACCCACTCGGTTGGTGGCTTGGAGAATATTGCCAAGTTCATTGCAGAGCCTGGACTTGGCAATCATGTAAGCGATTGGAGTTGGCTCGGTTGGAGGTCGAGAGGGTGGCATAGCTTTGATGTCGGGATGGAACTCGTCGTCAAAGACATTGTTGGGAAGTTGAGTGTCGCAGTCATGCTCATATATCATGCTAGGCAGTGACACTTGATGAGAAAATATGACGTCTGACATTCGAACAAGAGCCCATGTCCGTCGCCTCATCTCCTATGAGGGTGTGAGATGCTGGTACAAAGTTGGAGACGTGAGTGGCTCCTCGGGACATGTACTTACTGCTTGGAAAGGGGTGAGGGAAGGGAACCACTTCGCATCACGATGGTACCCCATGCGGAATGCAATCCGTGTTATCAAGGACACGATCAGCCATAGGCCCAGATCAGCGTCCCAGCGAGACGAATATTCTCCAAACACGTAGAGAATCATGGTCTCGACCGTATACTCAACGGGTTTGGTGTAGTCCGACTTTATGAGGCACTGGACGGTGCGCAACCGATATTCATTGGCCAACTCGAGGGTTCGGCCTTTCCACTCAGGCGGCTCGTCCCCAACTTTGTGGTAACTCAGCATCGCAAGACAGAGGATGGAATAGAGCAGGCCCAACCACATGATAGGGGTCTTTGAGGGATCCTGCCAGTGGATTCGCAGTTGCTTCTGGAATGTCGGTCCGTGGATGATGTTGACAGCGTTGTCCATAGAGTTGAAGTAACGTCCGCAGAGCGTTAAAACGCTTGATTTCGGTGGTAGCTCGGCCCGGATTTCGATTTCTGAGGCTGGAATGGCTCCAAAGAGGAGCGTAGGCCCCTCCCGAGCGGCCATGGGTTTTGATGACATGACCCGCTCGTAGCTCGTCTCTAATTCCTTCTTATGAGAGGTGAAGTAGTTCTTTACCTCTGAAATATCCGCGAGGATCGTGTGCCAGTGTTCCTGCCCAACATATAGGGATTTACCCTTGTCAGTATCGACCTTTAAGAAGCCCAGCGAGGCCGCTAGGCCCTCTTCGGTATCGCTTTCGTCGTCGTCGTCGTTGTCCACCATGACGGCTTCGTCCCCACGGCTAATCTTGGCAGACGAGCCGCTGTCAGTGGTGGATTGTGTCGTGGCCGCAGCAGCGGCAGCTGTTGCGGCGTCTATATTGGCGCCTCCGTGCATTAGAGATAAAACTAGGCCTTCCAAACGGTCAATACGATTCTGCATGTCATCGGGACTTGAGTCTCCTTGACTTTGGTTCTTCTTGCGAGCAACTGGGGTAGCGTAGGAGCAGGACGTGGTGCCCATGCCCTCTCGCTTTGTACAGTTGCTGCAAGGTTGACTCCTATCACATTTTCTATGGTGTGTTAGTAAGGCCTGACGAGATGTTTGGTGATGGCTTTTCTTTGCTTACAATCTGTCGGCATGGTTAGCGCTAGCGTTATGAAGCATGCATGGGGTTGACTTACTTCCTCGTCCTGCATGGATAGCAGCTGAGCGGGACGCGGTTCCTCTTCCTTACGACGCGAAACTGCTCCTCAGGCGAGCGGCCGCCCTGGGAGGAGTTGGTCGAGGGGGGTGTTGGAGTCATTGTGATTGGAGAATGGGCAAGAGACTTGGGTGTATCTCGAGAGACGAGGTGGGATCGTGGGGAGGTGTGCCGATGTGGAAAGACGCAAATGGACGCCAGCCCCGGGGAGCCGACGTCAATATATCACTGCCGAGCCCCGGACAAGAGGCCAAGGGCTTGCTCTGGGGATAGTGGAGATGGAAGCCAACAGTAGTCTCAAGCCCCGAGTCTAGAAGATAGATCCCGTCCGCGGTTGGTGTGGGGCAGTGTTTGAAGTCTCAATATCCGGATAGCCTTGGCCGTGGCTCTAGGGTGGTTTGCGGTTTGTCCAGCACGTTCTCGAGTCTCAGGCCGAGTTCAGAGCCAGTCGCTCTCTTCTGATGGGTTCTCTCCGGTGCTTCCACCGGAACGGCTGCCTGCGCTGGCGACGCCTCGGTGCCTCGGTCTTTGATGCGCAGCAGCGCGGCGCAAGTTGTCGTGAGGTGGCGGATTACAGTGAGGCCGGAGATTCGCCTGTGGTCGCCCGTGGACGTATCGGTGGTGCGGCAGGTGCACCTGAGCGGCGAACAACTAGAGGTATGCGCGCGGGAGCTAGAGGCTCAGTACGGAGTATGCAACTAGGATCCGGAGGCAAGGGTCGTGGAAGGCGATGGCAGGTCTCGAAGGCGAAGGCCAAGTCAAGCTTCGGGGCTAGAGATCACTCAGCATTTCGCAGCAGGCACAGCAGGACGGGGAATCCTGACCAATCGCCAGCGACAGAGGTTGTCTTGGGCAGGGCGAAGCGTGTCGGAGAGGCCGGTATGGTGGCAGGAGAAGAGTTGGGAGGAAACTTGGATTTGCGATGCTTAGTTTTGTCCCGGGACGTCAGCGTCAGTCAGCCTGATTAACGGGACAGTACCGCAGTTTTCCTAATCAACGATGGTGGGGGTGATGCACAAGACGGGGCCGGGCCCACTGCGTTGGGTTGATGCTGGTGCCGCGGATCGCTCCCTGAATAGTGAGAGCACGGCGTACAGTCATCATGGTGTGCTTTGGACGCCCGGAGCCGTCGGCCGGGGTGGCACCGGCGCCGCCTACGTAGGTCCCTACCTAAGCCTCCTAAGGTAGGGAGGGGGCAGGGGAGCAGGGACAGAATAGGCACCTGTTTAAAAGAATACCACGTACGTACGCCGCTGTATGCCTAGATTCCACGCAGTGTGGCGACTGGGATTGGTCTATTATGCGACGTGTTCCTTTCCGGAACATAAGGTATCCAGCTTCTAACTTATGGTTGCTGCAGAGAGAGATGAGTCCGAACCCTTCATGCTACCCCCCTGCACCCGAGGCCGCCGAACAAGCACACGAGGCGTACGACGTACATGGAGGAGGCAAAAAAACAGATCAAGCAAGTGCCGCTACCTTCTGCGTTCTAACAGATAAGTCGGTGAACCCCGTCTCGTCCCTTGACCCGATTTCTCCTAAAATAACGCTTCGGGGCTACCAAGAAAGGGAACTGTCGTCATGCTCAGCAATCTGGTTGGGACCGCTTGGCACTGGTATTGGTGCTGAACAACCATCAGCAAATAAATCATGAGCTTCAGCGCGCGGGAAATGGTGGGGTTGCATCTAAGCTGTGAGTCATCAGCCCCGTTGAGCACGGCCAATAATTGCACGTCCCAATCGTTACGTAGTACGCAACGCCAGAGTCGGAGGACGGGCCTAGACCGTCCGTGCCATTTGTCAGCTCTTGTCACCCACGAAACTGGTCTCGGCGCATGGCAGCCATTGCAGGGAACCATGTCATGGCTTTGTCTCAAACGCGCCAACCTCGACGCCAACACCAACGCCAACAACGCCAAAGACGACAAAAACAAGTTTTTATTTTTTTGGGCAATAGACGTCCGAGGACTAATCAATCGTACCTTCCTACATGGCGGCGCCTCTGGCACGTGGCTTAATGTTACAGTAGGTATGGGCGTGTGTTCGTCCGCGATTGTCCAAGGGGAGCAGAGTCAGGGAGTGTAACCAGCATAACTGGTTGTTGGGCTTGATTAAAAGGCATTTTGCTGCTCAGACGGCAAACTTCTTCTTCTTCTTCTTCTTCTTCTTCTTCTTCTTCATCCTCATCATCATCATCATCATCGACATTCCTCCCAATAAACTGTGCTGTACCTCGTTGGTCTCTAGTGGCTTTTTACTCACGACCCGGTCCCTGAATCATTACAACTTCCACATCTTCAGCCCGTAGGGTTTGCATCTAGCTGCTTCCGCAGCCCTTCACTGGTAGCGGAATATTGACTCATGACTCCACGGCTCGGTGCTCAGCAATGACCGCCAGGGTTTCACGTCGTTGGAGGGAAATGTGCACGGCTGCAATCTTTCTTTGAAAAACGTCCCATTCAAGCAGCTGTTTCGCCAGTTCCCACGCTGTAAGGCTTGAAAAACTCCTCGTTGTTGCTCATTTCATCCTTGACCTGTGAAAATGTGAGTCCAGGTACATGTCAAGCCCTCTATGATTATTACTCACAATGTCCAATCCGCCGACGAGCTCTCCGTCAATCCAGAGCTGGGGGTAGGTCGGCCAGTCGGCGTACTCCTTGAGTCCCTGGCGGACTTCGTCATCGGCCAGGATGTTGAAGAAACCGTACTTGACAGAGTTCTCTCGCAAAAGGCCAACCATCTGGCGCGAAAATCCACACTGCGGTGAACTAGGTGTACCCTTCATGAAGAGCATCACAGAGGCAGCCTTTACTAAGTCGCCGAGGCGCTTGAACAACTCCTCCTTCTTCTTCTCGGGATCCTGTTCCTCCACCGGCGTACTGTCGACGTCCATACCGTTCGCAGTAACCTCTGCCGGGGCTTCTGGTCCGGATTGTTGGGCATGAGTTTCGATGGCGGTCCGAACCTTGAGAGCGCTGCTGCCGCTAACGGTCTCGAGGACCTTGCCGTTCTTCAGCAGAACCAGGAACGGAACTGCAGTGACATCGTAGGCCTCGCTGATATCGCTAAGATCCTCCGCGTTAATGGACACCCACTTGGTCGCCAGTGGCTCGACAACCGGGTACTCGGAGGCGAGAGTCGACAGGACCGTGGCCATCTGGGCGCAGGGAGCGGCCCAGGGAGCGTGGAAGGAGACAACAAGGAGGGTCGTGGGTGGAACGGACGCCAGCACCTGCTCCCACTCGGGGACGCTGGTGACTTCGGAGATGGTCGACATGGTAGCGGGTTGAATGTTGTGTGAGACTGGGCGGCAGTTGGTGTCGATCCACGCCGGGCGAGGTTGAAGTTCGAATTTTGGCGGGGCAAGTGGCACGGAGGGGCTCTCTCGCGCTTGCGTCATTTTGGCTGGACTCCATGACACAGTTTGCCCCGTTACATGCATTACAGAATCCTGAAGAAATCCCAAGCCGCTGGGCATGCAACTAAGCCGAAGCCCAGCTCACCCCGCCCCAGTCAGCCCCAGTCCGCCCCAGTTGGCACCAGTTAGGCACCTTCATGCAGCCCCGTACGGAGCTACATCATCAGCCACACTGCCCACTCCCAACTCGTCCCTCCGACCAGCTTTCCGGTCTTGCAACTTGTCCCAACTCCCAACGGACTGCAACCCTCCGACTCTCTACTTCCTCAGGTGTGAGGGGTCCTCTTCATCCTCTTCCCGCCTGTCTCGTCGCCCTCCGCGTCCGCTTCCCGCATCTCCGGAACTCCGCCGCCTCCGACCGTCCGTCTCTGTGGAGCTGCTCGCCGCAGCAACCAGGTGTCAACGTCACCCCAACCCCCGTCATCCAACCTCACCATCTTCTCTGCCCTCGTCATCCGACAACGGCGCACAACATGGCGTCCCTGAATCTGTCGATAAACGGGCCTTCTATAAAGAGCAGCTACAATGGCGTCGTCAACGGCCCCGCGCCCTCCTCCAGCTCTCCCACTCATGCCCAGTGGGCTTTGTTCTCAGTGCAGGCACCTCTCCTAAATGCTTTCCAGGATAGTGGCGCCAAGGAGAGCATCCTCAAAGTGCAGGGCACCGGCGGTATGCCAACCCCTACAAGCTACTCAGTGGCCTTGTCTTGCTAACATGACGACAGATGGCGAGCTCGCCGACCTTGTTGAGGACTTCAGCGAGGGCCGCATGCAATTCGCCTTTGCCAAGGTCAAGGACCCCAACAGCGGTCTGCCCAAGAGCATCTTGATTGCCTGGTGCGGAGGCGGTGTCCCCGAGCGGACCAAGGGCTACTTCACCAGTCACCTGGCCGCTGTGTCAAAGGTCCTCCACGGATACCACGTTCAGGTCACTGCTCGCTCCGACAGCGACCTCGAGATCGACTCTATCATGCAAAAGGTCGCCGACGCATCCGGCGCCAAATACTCCGCCGGGACCTCCGCTCCTCGCGCTGCCGCGCCACCTCCGGTCAAATCGAAACCTGTATTCACTCCCACGACAAGCAGTCGCGGAGCCAACCCCCTTGTCGCCGCTCGATCCAGGAGAGAGGAGAACGTCGATGCGGACGGTTGGGGTGCTGACGCTCCTCCAGTTACCAGGAGCCAGCTAGAGAAGGTCGAATCCGCCTACAAGCCTACCAAAGTAAACCTGGCCGACCTCACAAAGGAGCCCAGCGCAACGACGTCCAGCAGCAGCTTTGGCTTCAAAGATGATGTGCCAGACCATGTCGTCAGGGGTGGCTACCAGCCAGTTGGGAAGATTGATATTGCGGCCATCCGCGCTCAGGCGAAGAAAACCGAAGACGATCGGCCAACCATTGTCAAGGGAGCCTACGAGCCCGTCGGAAAAGTTGATATTGCTGCCATCCGAGCCAAGGCCCAGAAACCTGCCGCTGAGGCCCCTGAGGAGGAGCCGCGACCTCTCGCCGAACGCAAGGCTGCCTTCTCTCAACCCGCCCAGTCCGAGCGAATGACATCGCTTCCCAAGCCCAAGGTCGCAAACAAGTTCGGCGCCGCAGCGAGCTTCTCGGGGACCAAGGCGCCCACTCCCGGCGCACTGGGCCTTGGATCCCCTGCTACTCCTGCTGCTGCCCCCGTCGGTGCTGCTAGCCGTACCTTTGCGGACCAGGGAGGCAAGACTCCTGCCCAACTTTGGGCCGAGAAGAAGGCCAAGCAAGGTGGAAATGTCGGGGGCACCGTTTCTGCGCCCAGCGCCGCACCCGTCACGGCCCAAAAGAGTGGAGGAGAGTGGAAGAGCGGGTACACTGGCAAGAGCTGGGCGACGGTTCAGCCCTCTAGCTTCGGTCACGGCGCAAACGATGAGGTGAGCCAGCACAACACGGGCGACGCTGATGTGGGCGTCGAGACACCAACATCGCCTTCTGGCGGTGTGTCTGCCATGCGTGATCGATTCAAGGATACCACCCCCATTGGATCTGCGCCGCCTCCACCTGGGCCTCGTCCTGTTGACGATGAGCCAGCGCCGCCACCTGTTCCTGGCTCGAGACCGTCTGGGGGATTTGCACTTCCTGGCCTCCCGAGCCGACCAGCTGCCGTGCAACAAGACAACGAGCCCGAGGAGCCTGGTGCATACGAACCTGTGGCTCAGCGAGAGCAATCCCCTGTTCGAATCGCCGTTCCCGTCAGCCGTGGCCCGGAGCCTCCAGTCGTAACTCCCCCGGAGGAGCGAGCCCCTCCCCCTCTCCACCCCAGCCAGATTGATGTCCCCAAGGAGCAAGATCTGCCCGATCAAAAGGAATCGTCGCACGCGGCTCGAGCTGCCGGTGCTGCGGTTGCTGGTATTGCTGTTGGCGCGGGAGCGGTGGCGGTAGCCCACCAAGTGCTTGAGGAGTCTGAGCCAGAGCCGGAACCTGAGCAAGCCGGGCCACAGGCACCGGCCCAGGAAGGCTACCGAGCTGTAGTCCAGTACGACTACGAGCGAGCCGAGGACAACGAAATCGAGTTGGTCGAGGGCGAGTACGTGACGAACATTGAAATGGTTGACGACGACTGGTGGATGGGCACCAACTCCAAGGGCCACAGCGGTCTCTTCCCGAGCAACTACGTCGAAATTGTGGAGGATGGACAAGCCGAGGCTCAAGCTCCCGAGTTGCCACCGCCACCCCCCGCGGCTGACTCGGTTCCGGAGCCCCAGGCGCCGGTCCCCGAGCCGGCCGGTGCGGCCGGACCCACCGCGACGGCCCTGTACGACTACGAGGCCGCAGAAGACAATGGTAAGTTGCTGTCTTTATCTAAAATGCATATGTCGAGAGATGATTAATGCTGACAATGCGACGCAGAACTGAGCTTCCCTGAGGACGCGACGGTGACCGGACTCGAGTTCCCTGACGAGGATTGGTGGTTTGGACACTATGCTGGAAACTCTGGTCTTTTCCCAGCCAACTATGTGCAGCTGGATTCTTAAGGAAGGGGCCGTTGATTGTCTATACGAGGCGGGCGGATAGGTTGGCAGTTGAGCACTGAGAAGAACGTGGAAAGAAAAGGTCTGCGGTCATGGTATTATGAAAAGCAAGCAATCAATTCCCATGGGACGACCCCAATGTCCTCCCACCAGTTTGAAGTGACAACCTCCATCCAATGCGCTCAAATCGCGAGCAGCGTCCGTACGCCAAGGTAGGTAGAAGGAGAATATTGAACTCTTTAGGTTGGACATGGAAAACAAGAAAACAAGAAAGAAAGCTGAAAACGACCCTCAAAGTCATCGAGGCCGCTCTAGAAGGAGACGCGCCTCATTAATACGTATTTCCAACGACGCACACAGCACATACACAGGTTTCTTGCATGTCTCATCTCTCGTATTCCTTCTGCCGTGTTCCGGCTCCCACTGATCCTCCTCTTCATGTGCTTCTCCACCCGCACCGCTCCACCTGTCGCAAACACCAGGGACCGGGGGTATCTGGGATGGGTCATTTCCCAGGCGCTGGCGACGGGGAGGTCATCTGTCACGGCAGTCAAGCATTTGGCGTTGGCGTCGTGGCGATGGTTTTAAGCGAGGGTGTCTTAGCAGAGACACTCGCAGCATTCGAAACTAGAGGCGTGTCAGCAAAAGGCGGCGTGGAATGGCATGCGAAGCGTAGCGTTGCTGGGGAGAGCGTGGGGCGCCAGCGCGGCGCTGAGCTTGCGCCAACGATGCGCGCGGCAGATGATTGCGGCTCGGCAAGAATGCAATGGGCAAGAATAGACAAAAAGACGTACCAGCATTCGCAGGTCTCTTCACAGACACAACAACAGCAGAGAGCGGCGAGACAGGCCGTGAGACAGTTGCCGCCGCCGCCGTTGCCCTTCTGCTGTTGCGGGGGCGCCTGTTGGTACTGCATGGGCTGCTGGCCCTGTGGGGGACCGTAGTACTGGCCCTGGGGAGGACCGCCTTGAGGAGGGCCGTAGGACTGGGAGGAGAGTCAGCTGGGTGAGCTAGGTTGAGCTAGGTGAGCTGGGTGAGCTGGGTGAGCTGGGTGAGCTTGGTTGAGTTGTGATGCGTCGTGTAGCAAGCGTCATTGTCGAGCATCGGGTATCGAGAGGGCGATGGAGGAGACGCAATGGGAGAGACGCAATGGCATAGCGGGCGGTGCAGGTAGGTGCTGATGGTGTTTGCTTACGGCTTGGGGGTGCTGGGGATAGCCTCCCTGGTTTTGGTAGTAGTCTTGGTTGGACATTGTTGATGGATGGGTTATGGACGACGTGGACGACGTGAACGGCGTGGATGAGACAGGCGGATGGGAGAGATCCGGCGGGCGATATAAATATAAGGAAGAAAACGGGATGGGGGAGGGGAGGGGAGAAGAAGAGAGGGAAGAAATGCTGCGGATGACTCTGGGATGATGAGACGAGCTGGGGATGGCGGCGGCAGCCAGGTCAAGTCAGTGCCCCAGGTGGGTGCTGTAATTAGGTCCATCCCGAGTCTGGGTCGGGGTCGGGGTGACCGTCTAGGAGGGACGTAGTTAGTCGCTAGCGGTTAGAGAGGCACGCGGCAGTGGGCTTGTACCTAGGTGAGGTACCTAAGGTAGCTGGAAGAGGTACCCAGCTCCAGTGGAGTGGCTGTGCAGGGTACCTGCTCCATGCAACTTGAAGCTCCCTCCTCCAACCCACTACAGTTTGAAGCCAGCATCGGGCGGTAAGTTACTTTCTGTCTTTTCTTCCTTCACTGGGCGGATATCGTCATGACTCCACTTAAAAAAAAACAACCCATCCATGTGCTGCTAAGCGCTGTGGCCAGTTCCAGGGCTGAGCTTCCCAGTAGCAAAATATGGATCGCAGCCGGGTCATCCCTCCAGAACCAGAGCTTCGACCTCCGTGCGAGGCAGCCTGCGCGGGCTGTTGGGACGGCACTCTACTCTCTAACCTACCCTTTCTACACGGTGAACCTACGGTGTGTTGTACTGTTGTACACAATGGATGGCGGGGTGGGACAACAAACCGCCGACGACGAAGCCAAGCCACATCCGATACGCACTACGCGCGATCGTGGCCTGCTATAAGCCCAGGTGGGCGGTTGGTTCGGCTGGTTGGCTGGCGGGTTGGCTGGCTGGCTACCTACTGATCGGAGGCGCGGCTGACAACCCATGAACGGTGCGATGCCAAGCGATGATAGGTACTTGTTGACAGATGGCCTACGGATCTAAGTACTTACAGGAAAAGACTGGCCTGCCCAGAAAGGACCAGTTCGTCCGGAATAGGTAACTTGACGTTACGTCTCAGAGGTAGTTAGCCTTCTGCACCCGAACTGGCCGAGGTAACTTAGATGTTTATAACTCTGGGTACCTCTACGCTCTACGCACCACCGTATCATCACCACCACCACCTCTCAACAACACAATCAAAGCCAAGACCCTTCTACATCCGTCTCGGCTCGCCGTTACCGAACAAGTTATTCCCAGCACTCCCCATGACCCAGATTCCGAACAGCCACACTCGTCTACCCTCGCAGCTCCACTTGTGTGTGGCTGTCGACACGTAACCTCGCCATCCGACGGCTGGTCGCCTGCCAAGAGCCCGCGTTGGCCGTGCCGCTTTTACCGGGTGCCACACACACGCTCGATCTCCCCACCCGTCCATCGCTACCTTACGAGGCTTGGCATCGCTTCCGACGACGTACTACGTAATTATTTTCGTTCCGTCACCTGCGTTTTGAGGCTCTTGTTCCGGGGTAGATCCTTGTTATAGGTTATAAATTCCCACGATCCCTTTGTTCGCTATTATGTACAACGGCTCTGTATGTACGTCATCTCACGCATCAGCCACGTAGTCGAGACAAATTGATCTACCATCATTTTAGATCTTGTTATTCGCATCCATAAGATGTATGGCGCATCATCAAATACACAACTTCACCAATCTGCGTCAACTTACCTGGTTTCGTGTCATCATATTCCCGGACGTGAATAAATACATTGAAACAACGATCCAACGACTTAAGAAGTCTAAAATGTAAATATAGGGCTGTTTCGTTGTTTATTCTGTTGTAATTTCTTTCCTCACAAGTACGCACGTAAGAAATAACACTCATCATTTTGTTCTCCTATATCTTGATTCTGCTACTATACAGACAAGCCCGAAACCAGACTGGGCGAACCAAACTGGCCAAATCAAACTGGCCAAATCAAACTGTCCAAATCAAACTGACTAACATGCTACTGGGTATCAATGCGCACATCGTAACCTCCACTCAAGCTTAAACAATATATGGATCACTGGTAGCCCGCCCGCACAGGCATCATGAGCCCCTCGTCACACAACTGCCTTTGCGTCTCAATCAGCCACATGCGCGCGGCATTTTGCATTTCGAGCTGGAGGTGGATGGCGGCGAAGTAGGTTGCGCCAAGGAGGACGCGGAAGGTATCGCCGATGTTTTCAGGGCCGTTGGAAGGTAGGGCCTCGCGAAGCAGACTCGCCTGTGCGCCGCGACGAGACCAGGTGCGAGCAACTTCGTGACGGAGGCATTGGTCGAGGGGCCAAGTTGGGCAGTCGGCGTGTGTGGCGAGTGTATCGATCTCGAGTTGGCTGCCAATGCGATTGATCAGCGGCTCGGGGCGCGGAGGTTGCTGATACTCCCGGTGCTGTCGTATCGGAGGAAGATGGTTAGTGAGAGGACGGGCTAAGCGATGGATGTCTCGGAGAGGCGGAAGGGAGTAAGTGTTTCTATGAAGCGGCTCCTGATGGCGGGCGCTTGAGTCGTTGTTGGGCCAGACCGCAGCGGACGGCCCAGCCTGAAGAGGATAAATGGGTGGAATGCTGTCCTGCGAGAATGGCGCAGAAGGACGGTAGTTGTAAGGGCTCTGGCTTCCATCCCGAGTATGCGATGCTGGACCTGGGCGAGGAGAATGCAGTCTGTAGGGTTGGTAGCGGTACCCTCTGTCCCGATGGGTTGCGTATCCCTGGTGACCTACTAGACCTCGACTAAACTGATCCTGGGGTCGTGGAGTGAATGGGGCACTCTCCTCGCGGTACTGGCTCGGTCGAGGCATAATTGGTCGATGAGCAGTAGCGCGAGGCAGTTGCTGTTGCATGGGCCTGTTGTCTTGCATCAAGGATGGCCGAGGACCACGTCTGAACTCGGCAGGGCGATCTCTATAGGAAGGCTGCATTGGGAGTAGAGGTCGTGTCCCTGACGAGCTTGGCTGTGGTTGGCCGCGAGCCTGGACCTGGCTCAGTGTTAGTGAATGAATCCTACTCGTACTTTGTCTTGATGTTACCTGGTGCATTTCAATGGGGTGGGCTGGAGCCAGTTGTGCACCACTCTGCTCCTGTGTGGCGGCAGCAGGCTGTTGCGAAGAAGGTCGGCTTGGGGCGATGCTAACAAGGACTTCTTGCTCCGAGCCGTCCCCTGCCTCTCCCATGCTCTCATCGTAGCTGGCTATTGTCACCGTTGGACTGGCAGTCCCAGCTTCAGCGGTGATTGCTCGTGAAGAAACCGTCCGTCTTGCTCGACCGCCCCGACCTCTCGCGCGGGTGGCTCCGCGGCCCCGAGTGCTGGTGTTTGTAGTCGCAATCTTCTTCGCTCTCTTGGATTTATTCTGAAGATGGAGGTCCCAGTCGACCGAGTTAGCGTCGAGGGTGTGTCTGGAGTCTTGGTCTAGACAGCCGTTGTCACAGCATTCTTTGCAGATTGAGAGCCGGCACTCTTTGCATCGGTAGACAGTTCCTCGCCCGCGCTTGTCGCAGAAGTCGCATTTGGCCATTGCAATGCTGGAGCTCTCCCAGCCCGAGTGTGGGGGGCGAGTTGGTGCGGCTGAGCCTGCGAGAAGAGTTCGACCCTCGGTAACGGCGACAAGATCTTGAGGGACCTGGGATTGGGGTTGGTCGACTTGAGATGGCTGAGAAGCTTCAGATGGCCCCGACTCGGAGGGTCCCTCGTCTCTCTGTTGATCTTCCATTCCCGGCTGCTAGGTGTGACGGAAAAGGGGAAGAGATCTGTCCCAGGATTCTACCTAGAGGATAAAGCGACGGTGGTATATATGTATCAGGAAAAGTGAAGCGAGCACTCGAAAAAACGGAACCTGTTTGTGTAAAGGAATTGGCCGAGCGTTTCGGGTCGATGGGGATCCTTTTATGTGCGAACAGGACAGACATTGAGTCCAAACAGAAAGACATGATGCGGCGCTATTTGGGGGAGACGGAATCACTGTTTGGATAGAGACCACATCGTGAGGAGGGCTGATAAACTACAAAAGAAAGCGGTCAGGCAATCCCAGAACGTTCATGAATCAATGCCAATGTTTGGGGGGGAGTGGATGAAAAACTTAGGATATACGAATCGGAGGGGATGTAAGTGAATTACGATTGGGCATTACCATTCGTGTTCACGCGTGCAAAAAATGCGCACTGTTTAATATTTAGCTACCAACTACAATACCTCTCGCAATACGAATGAAATCAAGAAATGTGTTAACAACCCCTCCTTGTCTCATTACATTATGAGGGGCCTTTACATGAAAAGAATTACCTTAGTGTCTAGGGATCATTCACTTCCTTTTTTATATCAAACCCACATGTGCATAAAAATTCGGATGAGATACCTAAGAGTGATGCACCAATCTTGGAGTCATATATCGAATGGGTGCGAATAGCAATGGATTTGCATGCGAATAACAACACTCTTGTAATGGTAGATGGTACTAATCACGGAGGATGCAGGTTGGGTTCATAAAACGGGCCGATGATGAAGAGATGAAGGGAATAGACCTAGACCCATACTTTTGCAACCTAATAATGCAACGTTTGGTGACGATGAGTATGGTGAGGGTGATGATGAGCTGCTAGCTGTTTATTTAAGTATGAGCGTCACCAACAAGACAGCCGTGCATGTCCAACCAACGCCGAAACAAGGATATCAATTGCTGAAACAAAGAGACTGCGTGCAACCGGACGCACTCGGAAAACGGGACGGATAATGATCTGTGTATGTCATCCTGTGTCGCCAAGTATTTCCATGGGGTTGGCCTCGAGTTCGTTGAGAACTCGACGAACAACACTCATTGGTTGTTGATTCCACGTGGCGGTCAAACACCCCCACTGAGGCACGAACCACCTGTCTCAGATCTCAATGTCGTGCATATGAAGCCAAGCACCCGTAAATAACAGCAAACACGGGGAACATGGGATAAAAAACAAGCGTCGACAGGAAAACATAGGGATGAGCGAGAAGAGCCACCAGACACATGGAATAACATGGTTCCGTTTCTCTCCCACCTCAGACGTGGTGTCGAAGGCGTCGTGGCGGCGCCTGTGTCAACAAATATCTCAAGAGTCACATACGAAAAGGAAAGAAGTGCAAAAGAAAAAGACATACAACAGCGAGGATTCCCCGGTCGTCACCGACCCGAGTACTAATTCGCCGCTTCTCAGCTTGACTAAGGGAGAGCGGACGGGATCCCGTATTTTCTAAGAGCTATGGTCGTATGTGCTGTGTTGGAGAACCGTTGCGAGTTATCAAGAGAAGCCAGAAATTACATGAGCTCATGGCTGGTCGGGTTAATTAAAATCTCATCTGCATAGACGGGGATCATGAAGATTGGAAACACAGATCCCTTTAGATGGGCAGACTCTCTAGTCTGTACCATGCTCGTGAGCTCACATATCCACTGAGTTCTTACCAAGAATCAAGGATTGCAAGGCGATCTCGAGGATAGGCAATGCATCACTCCCAAATGCGACACTCATCAACATAGCACAATATTTCCAAATACCAGGATTATGGCAATCACGTATTCTTTTCGTACCAGGCTGCCTCAGCCGCAACCAAAAATGTACAGACTTCTTCATAAGAGACCGCGCCCACCGTTTCAAATCATTAGAACGTGAGGACTGCTGGGTAAGTTCTCTTTCTACCTGCAATCTTTTCCCATCCTCCTACCCATGCCGTTGCCCAATCATGAGAACTCCTCCGAAAATCTACTGCTCCGCGCCATCCTCGGGTTGGGGCGCCTCCACCTCGTCCTCATCCTCATCCTGGTCGAAGCTGCCGGTAGGGACCTCGTACAGGCGAAGGATGGACTTGTTGGGGTCCTTGACGAGGACGAACTTGCTATCCTCCTCAGAGCTGTTCAGGCACATGTCGGCGATGGTACGGACGATACCCCAACCGTTGGACAGCGATAGGTTCATTTGGTTAGCGAAGTCCCGGGGCTTCCAGCCAACAACGCCCAGGACGACGTGCTTGTCGTTGGACCGGGGGCTCAGACGGGAGACGAAACTAGAAGATGGAAGTTAGATTCACGGGAATTCACATGGTAAGATTTAGGAGAACATACCCAAGCTTCATCACGTCGGCCTTGGCCAGGATGCTCTGCACGGTCCATCGGGCCAGCTTGCAGCTGTTGTTCTTCATCTCAGTAGCAACGACGGCACCGCGCTGGGTGACGAGCTTGCTTCGCCAGTCGAGGGCGCCACCACTGCCCTGAGCCTTGTTATCGAACTCGTTGAGCGCCTTGATGGTCATGTGCTGATCCTCGCCGCTGATACCATTCTTCTGCACGGCGTCGACCTCGGTTCGCACGATCAGGTAGACAGGCTCCTCGTCGTTGGTAGAGAGATCGAAACGTCGGTACTTGTAGGCCTTGCTGGCGGGAGGGTCGGTGTCCTCGGAGGAGTTGTAGAAGGGGTTGGCGTGAGCCATCTGCACCTTGGAGGACTCGTTCTCATTGACAACCTGGTTGGCGAAGTTGTGGTTGATGTAGGTAGCCTCCTCGGCGAGGGCGGTGGGCTGGTTGATGGTGTCCTTGCTGCCATCGGCGGCATCGAGAGGCGCGTCGGCAGCGTTCTCATTGACGGTCACCATGTCAAGAGCAGCGTTGTCACGCTTGTCCAAGAAGATCTTGTTGCCCTGTCGAGAGATGACAATATCCCAGGGGTAAACTGAGCGGGGCGAGCACATGAGCATAGAGAGAATGCTATCGGTGGCGAAGATTGTGGCCTCGTCCTTGTCGGCGAGCTCCTGGATAACGGGATCGGAAGAGGTGGTGACGTTGTAGGCGGCACGGTCGATAGGGGTGAGCTTCCTCTCGGTTCCCTTGACAGGCTGCTTGTCGTAGGTGCGGTCATAGTAGTAGAGGAAACCGTAGTCGTCCAGGTCCTCACCCTCGTCGGTCTCGAGGTTCAGCTTGGCCAGACGGTTGAAGTCAATCTCCTCCAGCAGCTTCCACTCGGCCTTGATGTTGACACTGGCATCACGGTTGCGAGCAGGCTTGTCGTAGTCCTTCCAGCCAAAGCGGCGGCCACCACGGCCACCACCACGCTGGCCGCCCCGGTCGTTGTAACCTCCGTAGCCGCCCTGTCGGCCGCCACGGTTGTCGGTCCTCTGCAGGGCCTGTCGGCCACCACGAGCGTTGGTGGCGGCACCACGCTGGCCGCGGCCACGGGTGAAGACAGCACCGCGGCCGAATCTGGTCTTGGTAGAGTCTCGGGTGTTGCTGACAACGGAGAAGCTGGACTCGTCCTCGGCGGGGGGGGCGTTGAAGGTGATGGCGTGGCTGGAGCCGTAGACTTGCTGGTCTGCGGGGACAAGACGTCAATATACATGGATGGAGAAGAGACGTTGAAATAGCGAGACGAAATATCGGAAAATCCTACCTCGGAAACTGCGGTTGTACTGCGCTCGGCCACCACGTCCATCGCGGTCCTTGCCCTCGGTGGTCCAGTCAGCCATGCGGCCCAGTTTGTCGCCCTTGGAGAAGGGCGCATAGGGAACGCCGTTGAGGGTGGTCTCGGTGGTGACGGAAGGACCCCAGCCGTCGCCGGGGGGGCAGCTTTCACAGATCTGAACGTAGTCGAGTGAGTCCGCCATGTTGGGTGGTTTGTGATGCGGCTTCGACGTGCGCGTGCGGGTGGGGGGAGACGAGGAGTTGCGCTTTATCACCGGCGATGCTTGAATTTGGACGTCGACGATGAATTTGTGGTGGGGTGGAGTGTGGGGCACCCTGGCGTGGCGAAAAAAATGTCCCAAGCCCCGCGGCACACCACTAGAAGCCTGTAAGACTGGTGAGTGGTGCGTGGTTGTGGGCGATTCACCAGCCACAGCACCGCCACACCGTTTTGCCCCCCCACCGTTCCGTTTTGTGAGTGTAGGGTAAATTGCTACAGCTAGATATCAACCTCAACCACTCACATCAAGGTTCCAGAGGAAATATCTCAGGAACGTAGCTGAGATGCTTGAGTCTGTAAATCAAATTGAGAATATCGTCGTTGACTCGCCAAGTATGTGATGTTAAGTCAATATCTAAGTTTCGAGTTCTTTATGTGAGAAGTGTTCTCTCGTATATTGTTGCCTAGTATCGAAATGAATGAATCTGGTCCCAATTGCTCCTATCCTACATCCCCTCTTAACAATATCATAGCCCCCCAAACTCCAGAGAGGATACCTAGTCTCAACCCACCCATACTCCCAAGCGTACATAAATGCCCAACCCATCAAATCACGCAAGAACCATAGCAGGCTGCCAGGTAAATAGGCTATCCAATGCGTCTCTCACCTCAAACTCCTCCATGACAGCGCCAAAACTGTGAACTTTAGTTAGCAAAACATATCACAAAAAGGCGCTGGTGTAGGCTTACCCGTAGCATCTCACTTTTCGGACCAACTCATCCGCTAGCCTCTGAAAATCCTGAGCCCCGAGCTCCTGTGCCCTGGGATGAGCTAACAACATCCCCCACGCCATGACGGGAGTAACCTCGCCATCGAGGTCGAGTTTCTTGCTGAGATCTAGCAGCGTCGAGAGGTCAGCCTTAGTAGGCTGCCAAGTTCCATGTCCCCACACTGTGTCACCCTGGAGGTGAGCGTGGCCGAAGGGGAGGTCTGGTCTCGACTCCGGGAAGGGTTCTGGCGGACACGACGCCATGAGTGCATGACCACACGGCTCTCCTCCTGGCTCATCTTTTCGTTCGAGCAAAAACTGAAGGTGCGCTTTACAGGGTTTCTCTAGACTACATGACCCCTCGACGAAAGCGAATGCGTTAGCCAGCCCGATGACGATGCATAACCCGGTCCCCCGCCCATTCGTGACATGATGAGACTCCCATCAAATCACTGGGGGTAGGCCTTGGATTTGGAGGGGAGGTTGTCGTACGTTAAAACGAAATCAATGCCCGCCTGTTCCACATCCATGCCTTGGCCCGAAGCTTGTTGTGTCATGTCGCGAAGCTGATGGCCGCCAATCTGCTGCTGACGGTCGGCTGGCGCATGACTTGACGAGGTCATTGATGGCGTGGTGGAGTGTGTAGTCATAGGTGGCGTGAATGCGCTGGATCCAGGGGCGTGACTGGTTCCGCTCCCGGGACTACCGAATGGGATGCCGTTCTCTACCAATGCATCTCGTAGGTGCCTGTTTTCTTCGGCCAACCTCTCTCTATCCAGAGAGACATTGCTGAAGATCTCCTTGAGTCTGAGGACCTCATCCTCAAGGGCCTTGATGTACAGCTCCTTTCTCTCCCGATGTGTCCTAGTAAGTGGACATGAGATTGGGCAGTGTAATCGGGAGAGGACTGTCAAACATACCTCTGAGCTTGTCGATTCAGCTCCTGGCGCCTTGTCAAAGCTGGCTTGCTGTTGGGCTTAGGACCACGCTTCTTTGGCGGATTTCCCTCTGATCCCGGGTATTAGTTGCTGAACGGCTGAGTTTGCAGTCGAGAATAGATATGGCCTTACCACGGGTCGTCCTCTTGTCGGCAAGGGTCTGAAGGATGCTTAGATCGGGACCCGAGGAGCCGCCCTTGTCTTCCCCATCCGAAGTCAGGGCTCCAGTCCCGCCGTCCCCGCGGTCTGGAGACATTGACGAGGACATGGAGCGTTGTGAAACGGCGGGGATGTGTGACGCAGAGAAAGACATGGCTGGCCTCGGTTAGAGGCCGATCGACGTCCTGGAAGATTGGTTAGTTCTAGGAAATGGCGGTAGAGCGACCAGGTAGATGTGCAAGGTGAGGGCGCAACGGAACGCTGTCGCAGACCGGGGGTTGCGCTGCCGCGTGGACATGTGCTGACCTACAGTGCCGTATCTAGCGCGCTGATTCTGGCAGATGGCGGATTGATGCCCTTGCAAACAGAGTCCCCAATGAGGCGATTGTTCTTGACGAGGACGTCGGCAGTTTGCAGGCAAGTCTTAAACGATGCGTCATGCGACGCTGTGGGGAGATCTGGCGACGCCTTGAAGATGAAACGACGGTGCGTCGGCGCTCTGTGCAGTGACCAGCAGAGTCGCCGAACGGCGTTTAGTGGTCGGAGAAAGGAGATTAGGTAAGGCAGGAGTGCCAGAGGTAATTTGAGGCCAATTTTCCGTAGCTCCGTAGGTACCTACCCACCAGCTCTGTCTGGCAGCAGACAAGGTACAATACGTAAGGCTGATCGATTAATGTCGTGGAGGGGAGATATAAGCACGGGTGGAGGCGCGGGGATGGCAGCCAGTGACGTTTGAAAGGCCGCGGGGAGATCGAGGACAGTGTGCGGCCGAGACAGGCCTCGAGAGAGACGGCGAGACAGGGAAAGGGAGACAAATTGAAGTAATCGCGACGAAAAGCCCAGGCTGTCCAGAGTCAGGACTCAGGAGGACATGGACGCGCCGGAGATGCGTCTTCAAGCGGCACCCAAGACCGCACAGCCCCCTACAGACGTTGACCTGAACCCTCCAAACCCGATAGGGCAGCCTCGTTGAGAACCCCGCCATCGGAGTACGTAAGCAGGACACTCGTCCCGTCTCGACTCGATAAATTGCCCCTGTTTTTATGGACTAAAGCTAAGCTATATAAGGCTTAGATTTCCTAAATCATTAGGTATAAAAAAGCACGAAGGCAATGAGTGGGAGAAGAATTCAGTGCCACTTTACTGAGTTGGTACGGTAGGTAGGTAGCTCGCCGCACTTGAGCCAGTTGGAGCAGCGTACCGTTCAAGGCCTTGACCACGACCCGGGCGAATGGGAAAACAGGCCGTTCGGCTATATATGGAGAATGTTGCGCTGGATCTGGACCCAGACCCAGACCTGGACCTGGACCATTTGAGGCACCAGGCACGAGGCTTCTGAATCGGACGAAGGATTCAGGAATCGAAGCCGCGGTGCCGTTGGCTAGAGCGTGGTCAAGCCGCACTGAGCGAAGTCACACTGCACCCCTCCTTGGTCTCCGATATGGGCCAATAGGAAGTCGGGGCTGACCGAGGCTGGTCTTTTCCGAGTCCATCAGCCGCTGACTCTCCCAAAGGGCGCTGGAATGGATGTCGTCATCACCATCGATTGTCTCTACCGTTGCTGTTTGGAACCCTGCCTACACTGATAACCCTGAAGAAACAATACCCACGGGAGGGACCTCTTCTGATATCCGAAATTATGACGCAGTTCGGGTCTCTCCAAACCATCTTTCGGGGCTTCGTCCTCACGGTCCCATGGGTCTTCTCTCTCTTCGTGGCTGACATCGCCCTGTCGCTCTTGTTGCCACTGAAACTCGTCTCGCCTCGCCGTGTGTATGATGCATCCTCCAGCATCGCCCTGTCCATTTGGTCCTGGGTACAGGCCATCTTCGTCCGCGTGAATGGGGCTCACATCCGCATTTCTGGCGACCTTCTTCCTCCGGGCGAGTCAGCGATCGTCGTAGCCAACCATGTGGCCTGGTCCGACTTCTATCTCATCCAAGCCCTGGCCCAGAGATCTGGCATGCTGGGGCGATGCCGGTACTTTGCCAAGGCTCAGCTGCGCATGGTGCCCTTCCTTGGATGGGGGCTTTGGGCCATGGGGATGCCTCTAGTGACTCGCAACTGGCTCAAAGATAAGACCGAGCTGGACAATGTGTTCTCCAACATCGTTCAGAGAGCCTTTCCGACATGTGAGTACCTCGCGAGGCCGACTCATTGGCGGGACTAACATTTCACGCAGGGCTTATCAGCTACAGCGAGGGTACTCGTTTCACAAAACGCAAGTACGACGAATCGCTGGACTTTTGTAAGACGGGAGGTCGGCGGCAGCCGATGCATCTGCTCTACCCGCGCACCAAGGGCTTCATAACAACTGTGCAGCACCTTAGAAAGGCGCCGCACGTCAAGGCAGTGTATGATTTCACCATTGCATATCAACATCAAGGGTCATTTCAGAAGGCACCCTCTATTTGGGAAACACTCAGCGCCCCGGAAATAAGCGACGAAAGCGGATACAAGTTCCACGTGCGGGCTCGGCGATTCCCTATTGATTCCCTCCCTACTAAGGACGAGGACCTGGCAACATGGCTAGAACAGCTCTGGATAGAGAAAGGGGAGTGGCTCGAAGAACAGAGACAAGAATGGGCACTTGATGGGGCGGATTCGACATGATCAAAGGCCCCAGGTCTCGTGCCTATCATCATGTCGTTCGCCCAGGAGTGGTGCGAACTGATGGCTGCTATTTTCAGCATCTGTTCTGCCACCCTACTTCTGTTCGGTCAAACGTATCGCCTCCCGCGAGGGAGGTACCCCGTGGCGAAGTTAACCCCCATCGGCAGAGGGTGGGAGGGGAATGAGACGCTCAATGGTGAGAGGGTCGATTCGCCAGAGGCTGCAGCGGGCGGTGGTGGCGGCTTATTGGAAGGGCAATATAAGTATAGTGAGCAGACAGTAGCGCATGTGACGGGCTTGAATGCACTCTCCAACGACGACGATACGGTACGGATCAACTCCATGCTTGAAAAGCCCCGGCAGTTGGAGGTGGATGTGTCGGAAGATCCTGCAATCCTGCAATCCCGGCCCTGGAACCCTGGAGATTGGTCTACGAACCTACCTCCGTCCTGCAGAGGTGGGAAAGTCAGAAGCCGGGAGGAGATGATGGCTGATAGGGTACGTAGTGCGGGTACGTAGTGCGGGTACGACGATACAGCCGGTTGATCAGGGGCGATGATCATGGTGAACGTGACTGATGGGAAGGGAAATGGCAAGGTAAATGGCTATGGGGTCGGGGAAGAGTAGCCAAATCAGCTCATTGATGCAGCCGTGATGAGACCAAGTCGAGTGTTTGAGCGGCTCGATGGGTGGGATTCGGGTCACGGCGTAGCAGAGGGGAATTATTGGGACAGCGGTGAAGAGACTCACAGACTTGGAGACCATCAATGCGAAGCTGCGTCGGCCGGCTGGCCCTTGGCACCATGGGGGAAAAAAGGTGACTCACAGTGCTACCGCCCGTGATTAATGGCCCAAGTCGTTCGATCGGTAGCACGCTGCAGCACTGGAGCTGTGAGTGATATATGCACCTGGACGACACGGGGGGAACCCGAGGAGACCAAGCCTGGGGAGACCAAGCCTGGGAAGACCAAGCACAAGCATTGGGAATGCATGAGGGCGCTGTGTCCAATTGCAGGTCTCGCCACGGAACGGTAGGTAGAGCCCCAGTGAGACAATCTTGTTTGTTGATGGTCGTCTTCATGCATCTGGATGTGCTGATGTGCGCCGGTGCCCGCCTCTGCTAGCCGTAGGCACTTGACTAGAAATCCTAGCACACGGCACACAGCACATAACACCCCCGGCCCGTTTCCGCGACGCCCGTTGTCGGTTGGCGGAGGTCATGGGGAGGGATGCAGACTCGTAGAGGGAGAAACAATGTGCGGGTATGGTCCAGGGTGAGACTCGGGGTGGGGGGGAAGGGGACGCCTCAATCTGTAGAAGCCGGAAGAGGGCGAAACCAGAAGCGATCTTCTGCGTTTTTCCCTTGTTAGTTCTGGTTTGTTCTAAGCCCCGCCTCTCTGTCCTTTTTTATCATTTTCTTCTGGGCGCCTGATGGATATACCGGATGAGGGTTACATAGGTCATATGTGTATTACACCTTGTCTCGTGCTTCCCATTCTATCGCCAGAGAGGCTATCTACTACGTATGTGCAGGGTCTCCCCCTCCCAGGTATACACAGTCACGTAGATTCCAGCCCTGGGTGGAGGCGTTGGGCGAGAATCGCCAGTCAGCTTGAGTAAGATGGGACCTAATAAGATTACCAACCAAGCGAGGAAGGAATCTAGAGCTGGTTGACTGGGCTTGAATGTTCAAGGGCTCAAGCGACTCCGTTTGGTGGTGGGTGAGGTGAGGTGAGGGAGTCGTCTCTTCCGCACCCCGGAAGGAAACACAGAGCACACGGAGAAACACGCACTGGCACACGCACACGCACACACACACACACAACACACGCACACACACGAACACACAGACAACAGCGCACCGCACCACACGGCGGAGCACATCAACGTATCCGCCCGCTGTTGCAGTGCAGCAGGCAGCGCAGGAGCGCAGGGTGAAGTACCGTAGTAGTTTTAGCGTGCGTGCTGCGCTTGGCTGCTTTGGCTTGAGGAAAGGCATTCGGCAGGCTGTGGCTTCTGTACCCGGGTTGCCGCGTTAGTAATAATCCAGCTGGAGCGTGAGCAGCATGAGGAGCGTGAGGAGCGTGAGAAATGTGAGAAGTGTGAGAAATGTGAGAAAGCGCAAGACACCAGCGTGCATCCACCCCGAAAGCAAAGCAGGCTCAGCAGACTAGAAGCTACTACGTAGTAGCCCCCCGGGGATGGTGGGTGGTGATTGGGCCCTGCGCCGCCTTCCCCGCTTATTGTATCATGAGAGGAACGCGAGCCACGGCTTGGTCGACTTTGGTGAGGCGCCTGGGCTGAACTTTGTCTTCCTCCCCCTTCAACGGCGACGAGCGTCCCGACAACCCTGCGGCTTCTGTGTTTTCTGACCTCGTCAAGCTCCTCAGCGACGCACAAGAGCCCGGCCTTGTCAATCGGCCTCCGACCGGCCCTGTCGTCCGCCCTTTGCCGTTGCTCGTCCTTCGCCTTGCCCCGGTCCATGCCCGCGACTACGCCCGCGCCCGCTCCCGCTCCCGCTCTCGCTCGCACCCTGTGACGGTTGAGGTTGACTCCGACTCCGACTTTCCCACCACGTCAACGTCCACGCTCACGCTCACGTCCACGTCCAACCTCCCTCAACCCGTCAGCACGAGACTTTCCTCGCCGCCGACCCTCAGTCATGTCTTCGAGTCTCGCGGGTCTGTAGTTCTGGCGCCCTTGCCAGACCCCGAGTCTCCCACTTGTGCTTCCCGCTGGGCCACAGCCCACCACCCACCACCGACTCCTTCGCCAGGCTCACGGCTGACATCACACGGCCCGTCACCCAACACCACGCACACAACTCTGCAGGACCGTCTCCCCGGCTCTGACAACTGCGAGACACGATGGATTCTCCGGTGGGCGCCACGCTGGCTCCCCCCGCTGTTGCCTCTTTGAGAGGGCAACAGGCCGGCGTTATGGAAAGGTCCTTGAGCCAGGACATTCGGGAGGAACGGGAGGAACTTCGTGAAGCCGCCGAGCAGACCCTCAATACCATTGTTGACCTCAATCTCGACGGGACTATCAAATGGGTTAGTCCATCCTGGACTGACGTTGTCGGCACAGAGTTCGAATCCGTCAACGGCCTCCCTATATCAGACCTGATCGTGAGCGACAACAAATCTGTCTTTACCGACGTCGTCGAGTCAATGCAGAAGGACGACTCCCGCAGCCATCGAGTACGCTTTGCCATTCAACTTGGGCCCCTCTCGAAACTCCTGTCCAAACAAGAGGTTGAAGATGCCGACCCCGAATCCGAGAGCCCGCGGTTGCAGGCCCTCGACCTCGAAGCCCAAGGGATCATGGTGTACGACAGTGTATCGGGCGGTGAGAGTCACGTAAGTCTTTTAAATACGTGCATTGGCCTAACCGTGATCGAAATGCTGATGAGTCCTTTTCTAGACCATGTGGATGCTGCGGCCGTGGATCGCGCCTCGAGAGATCAAAATTGACCTCCCCACCGTCATTGTTAATTCGCTGGGTTCTGGTGCTGAAGTTCTTGCCGGCTACCTAACCCAACTTGCGGACTGTGGCTTAGACAACCCCGAGGAACAAGACCCCCCACCTCCGGTGCTTTGCCGCATCTGCGAGCGCAAGATCCCACGTTGGTGGTTCGAGAAGCACACCGATCTATGCCTCCAAGAACACCGAGCCGAGATGGACGTACAGATGGCTCAAGAAAACTTGACCGAGCATCGCCACTCCATTGTCAAGGTCCTCGATGCCCTGGAAGCCCGCAAAAGCCGCTCCACGACCGGCGAACCATCCTCGATCCCGAACGCCGAGTACAAGGGATTGCCCATCGGACCACCACCGTCAACACAATCTTCGCCTGGTAGCTCCCTCCCTCGGTCAAGAGAGCGGTCCGGTGGATTTGGGCATGCTAGGGCCCGTTCATTTGCCATTCGACGACCACAGGCTCGAATTGTTGAACTCTTGATGGACCTGTGTGACACAGCCATCGAAGTCAGCACACCCGCCATCAAGGAGTCTTCCACTCAACAAGCGAACGGCGATTTCCGCACACAATCACCACAATCGGAATCACGGATTTCGCAAGTTCTCCATTGGCAGTCACCGAGTACAAACACGCTGGAGCAAGAGCAAGGGTTGGCTCTCCTGTGTTCTGATACAGAAAAAGTCGCCAGGTCCAAGGTCGATGCCGTATTTCGTCACAGGAAGATCATTGAATATGCAGAGCGTATTCGGATCGAGCTGGCGGTTCTTGTTCAAGACTGCATAGATGAGGCGTTGAGGAAGGCGGCTCGTATTGCTGCTGGCGAGCTCACGGACTCGACGGAGGATGGAGATGACGAGCTCCATGAAACATATGAGGAGTGTGACCAAGAAGCAGGGGAAGCGGAAGTCTCTTGTGAACCCCATGAGGATGACAACTACGCCGAACCTTTGAACAGTCCTTCTGTTCTGGCTGCGGCTTTGCGTCAGATGGATATATCCGACCGACGCAATCGTTCACGACCAACTTCGTTCATTGCCTCAACGAGATCGAGCAGCCCCAAGGAGTGCCCGACCCCTCGATCCCACTTCGGCGGCCCCAGTGGCTTGGGACCTCAGCTTCGGGATAATCGCAGAGACTCGATCTATCTCGAGAGCGAGACTGCAGACAGCGAAGGGAGCATGCGATCCTCGTCAGTTGCATCCCGCAACTACCCCAGGACCGAGTCCCCTATTTCTGAGTTTGGAGACCTCAGACGAGCTGCTAGCACTAGGCAACGCCATCGGCGAAGCCTGATCCTTCCTGGAGCCACATCTCCTCGACGCCAGGAATCACCTTCCCGACCCCAGCCGCCTGCCTCCCCTTTGCGGATCAAGGCCCGAGGTTTTCCCATGGCCCAAGACGGCATTGTTTCTCCTGAAGCGTCACCCATGCTCCCGGGCAGTGACTTTAGTTCTCCCGCCCCAATCCCTACCAAGCACCATCGAAGGCAGTCCTCAGCTGCCATATCTGACTTTGTTATGAAGCCACCACCTTCACCACGCCTAGGTCCAAACCAAGCTCCTCCTCAACCCCGACCGACACAACCTTCGATCAAAGATTTCGAGATCATCAAGCCAATCAGTAAGGGAGCTTTCGGAAGTGTCTATCTTTCCAAGAAGAAGTCCACAGGAGAGTACTTTGCAATCAAGGTTCTCAAGAAGGCAGACATGGTTGCAAAGAATCAAGTGGGTAATGTCAAGGCTGAGCGTGCCATCATGATGTGGCAAGGAGAAAGCGAGTTTGTTGCTAAGCTTTACTGGACATTTTCCAGCAAAGACTACCTCTACCTTGTCATGGAATATCTCAATGGTGGTGATTGTGCTTCCCTGATCAAAGTTCTGGGCGGCCTTCCTGAGGATTGGGTCAAGAAGTATTTGGGTGAAGTTGTCTTGGGTGTTGAGCACCTTCACAGCCGAGGCATTATCCATCGAGATTTGAAGCCAGACAACCTTTTGATCGATCAGAAAGGCCACCTCAAGCTCACTGATTTTGGATTGTCTCGCATGGGTTTGGTGGGACGACAGAAGCGAGCTCTGAATAGCGAGAATTCTGATGGGACGCCTGACTTGCTCAAGCAAGGGCCGTTTGCCCGGTCAACATCAATTGCGTCCTCGCGATCCACCTCCCTGGACTTACACGGCCACGCTAATTCCCCAAGCATGACACCACAGATGACTCCGGATGTCGGTAGCTTCCAGCCGTCCTATTTTAGCCTGGGCCAAGAAACTCGCCGGGTTTCTGGTAGTCGCCGGAGCGACAGTGGTGGAAGCGAGTCACTGGCACACATGGTCACGAACTTCTCTCTAAACGATTCCGAGGCGGGATCGCAGGCAAACAGCCTGAAATCGCCATTGGATGAAGAAGCAATTGCACATGGCTCACCAGATCTGCCGGCGCATTTTGCTCACCGTATGAGCATGGATGGTGGCCACAGGAACTCTCTCACGCCAGCAAACATGATGCCTCCCCCCATGGCCCTTTTCAACCCGGAGGACACGAATCGACGATTTGTGGGCACTCCTGACTACCTAGCCCCTGAAACCGTCAAGGGTGATAAGCAGGACGAGACTAGCGATTGGTGGTCCGTAGGCTGCATTCTGTTTGAGTTCCTTTACGGAATTCCGCCTTTCCACGCCGGGGAGGCCGAACACGTTTTCGAAAACATTCTTGCACGTAAAATCCAATGGCCGGACGAGAACGAGTGCGAGCCTGTGTCCGAAGAAGCGAAGGACCTCATCAACAAACTACTGTGCATGGAGCCTCAACAGCGCCTGGGCTCTAACCTGGACGACAAGTTCTCCTCTGGTGGAGAGGAAATCCGTAACCATTCATGGTTCCAAGATGTGAACTGGGAAACGCTTGTTGAGGACGAGGCTCAATTTGTACCCGAGCCAGAGAATCCCGAGGACACAGAATACTTTGACGCCAGAGGCGCAGTTTTGCAATCTTTTGCGGAGGAGATGGAAGACCAAACCTCACCGCCGTCCTCTACGGCTGGCTCCGAGTACCCTGAACGGCCGCATGATGCCCTTTCTCGAGTACGATCGCAAGTCAACTCGATGAATCGGAAACTCATGCCTCTGCATATTCCGCCCCATGTGCGAGACTTGAAGTCCAGGCGACTGAGTGAACCAGTCGCCGTGGATGATTTCGGGAACTTTACCTTTAAGAATCTTCCTGTCCTAGAGAAGGCCAACAAAGACGTGATCCAGAAACTGCGGGCAGAGGCGCTGGCCGCCCAGAGCAAGCCGTCTTCCGTTAGTTCCGGAGGTGTTGGCGGCATCTCGCCCGGACCGTCACTTGAAGGAAGCCCCGTTCTCTCCAACCCGATCCAAAGGACCATCTCCAATGCCAAAGCAACGAACCGACCACAGTCACCGTCTGGCTTCAACCATTCAAACGCCTCTCCAAGTCGGATTTCCCAGCCATCCTCTCCGTTGCTTGTTTCGTTCGTGGCTGGACAAGGGGTTGAGGGACGAAGAAAGGCTTCCAGTAACTCGTCGAGTCTTTCCCACCAATCAGGTGCATCGCTCCAGCCAAACTCGGCATTCGAGATTCCAAAGGTTCCGCCCAGCCTCCAGAAGGCCGCTACCACAGTGGGGGCATCCCCTGCCAAGAGCCGAGGGACGGGACCTCCGCCTCCCCTCTCCTTGTCGCCACAAAAGACTGTTTCGACTCCACGACAGTCAAGCAACTCTTCTACTGGTCGATCGCGGTCTTTGACCGTGGGATCCCAGTCGCAAGACGGCAGCCCTATTGCGTCTGACATTTTGCATCACCATCGAAACCGAAGGAGCCAGGTGTTTGATATGTCTCCCTCATCTTCGGATAACGAGGGAGAGAAGCACAACGCACTCCTCCGAGTTCAGCGACGCAGGCAGAGCTCACGACGACTGTCCCAGATTGCGTTTGATGCAGGACCCACCTTCCGGCCGTTGGATGTCCTCATTTGCGAAGATCATCCTGTATCGCGGATGGTGATGGAGAAGCTGTTGGAGAAACTGCGATGCCGAACCATTTCTGTGGCCAATGGATCCGAGGCGGTTCGATACTCGATGAGCGAGATCAAATTTGATGTCATCTTTTTAGAGTATCAGCTGCCTCAAATCAGCGGAGCAGATGTGGCACGCATGATTCGAGAGACGAAGAATGCCAATTCGCACACCCCAATTGTCGCCATCACGGCTTACCTGAAGGAACTACAAGCGCCACACTACTTTGACTCGCTCATCGAGAAGCCCATTAGTTCATCAAAGCTGATTGAGGTCTTGCGAGGCTTGTGCCAATGGAGACCAGAGTCGCCCGGACCAGGCACATCGACAGGCATGCCCAGACCAGTGCCGCTGGGTATCCGTAAGGCCAACGCCCGAGTGGAAGATAGCCCAACATCAACGTCGTCAATCTACGCTGGGCGCCTGGGCACGGCAATGATGTCGAGCCGAGAAGATTCCATTAGCTCATCACTGTTTGGCGACTCGGAGTCGGTGACAACAGATGATGTCCCGGTTGTCATTAGTCGCAAGACGACAAATGAATGGGACGAAGGTGGCTTGGGTATCACCACTGACAATGACGTCGCGAACGCGTTTGAGGTGCTAGGAAAGCCCATCCCGCATCTACTCACCCAGCAGTCGGCCCCTCCATTGATGGAGCACGAACCGCGGTCGCTGGAGAGAAAAGCAAGGAAAGACGCGACAGAACGACTGGCCCCGGAGGGTACTGAGTCCGCAGATGACGAGGACGATGAGCTGGGAACTAGCCGGGAGAAGCAGCTCGGACGCAGCAGCCAACAATTACTCGGCAAGGCAGGCCTCCCCAGCTCAAAGCTCGGCATCGAAATGATGCGTGCCAACAGTCACGACAGTGTCACAATGGGGTCTGAGAGTACGTCCGAGGCTGTGACGCAGGTGGTGACCACGCCTTCCAAAGAGATGGAAATGGGATTGCTGGAGGGTGGGCTTACCGTGTCAGCGCAGACTCCACCGGACCCAAGTCACAACAGTGAGGGCTTCGCCGACAAAACGGGGTCAGACAGCGTTGATGCGACGCCGCGGCCTCTGCCAACGCGGGCTGGCATCGACGAAGACGCCGAGGAGGTTACACCCCGACCGGCGAAGTAAAGGATGCTCCTCTGCGGGATCTTGCCAGAATATCTATACAATCTGGTTTCATTCATTCATTTCTTTTATTCTTCTCATATTATTTTTCCTATGTCTGGATTGTAGCGTGGCGTTTGCGTGGAGAGGTCTGAGCTGAGCTGAGCTGAGCTGTATTGTGAAGCAGTCCTCTCATCAAAGCGCACAGATGTATCGTTGTGGGGGTAGCTAGGTAGGAAGGAAGAAAATAGCAGGTGGAAGGTGATGCAGGTGATGCAGGGGAGAGAGCATCGCAGACCGACAAGACTGGAATTCGCGTCAAAGAACCGAGTAAGCATCTATCAGGCAAACGGAATCGGACGGAGTTTGATCATTTTAGTCGCGTTGGTTTTTGAGACTTGGACAAGCAGATAAGTCAAGGGAGGAAAAGAGCATTAGAGCACGAGCGTGTCTAGTGCTGCGGACGATGATGAGGCGGCGGTCATTTTTTCTTCTTCGTGGTGACGAGCTTGGGCGTGATGGGGGTCGACGTGGCGGTGATTTTGCGGAGACGAGATGGGACGAGGAGAGGAGAAGAGAACAGTCAAGACGTCTCCACCGCATCCACTTCTAGTTCCATTGCCACCGCCGTCGCCATTGTGACAGGCGGCTCCTGCCAGCAGTGTATGAGAGACCAAGATACGATACATACTTACTATATATACGCCTCTATCCATCGATTGCCGACAGAGAGTGATGTAGCTATGTTTTAACCTTCTCGCACAATCTCGCCGGGAGGAGTGTGAGAGCAATTGTGAGCGGAGAGAAAAAGCAAGACCAGAGAAGAGCGAGGAGGGGAGAGCCAGGAATGATGGAGCAGGGGAGAGAAAGGTCCGCGAACCGAGCAGCAAAGGTGCCGTCGAAGAAATGCCGCTTTGATGGACACCGGCCCGGGTTGATAACCGTTGTGATTTGTCCAACCCCGGTATGACCTTTGCAACGCCGTTGTCAAGCCAATCCTCGTCTAGGCGTGGAGAGGACTCCTCCTCAATTGTTCAAGGGACCCCGAGCTAGGCGGCTGTCAAATGCAGACGTGGAAGCAAGCATGGCGTTATGGTTATCAATAGCCCGTAGATTTGTGTGGAGATGAGACACGGGGATGGTTGTGTCAGTCCAGTCAGCGGGCTCGGATGACTTCTCCAGGTGCGTTTCTTCTCTGACGGGTGGAGGAGAATGGATATGGGCATTTTTCCCTTTGAGATTGAGTTGGATTCCCCGAGACGATGCAACTCTGTATGAGCATCACGAGGGCATATGGTGGATCAGCCCACATTGGATGCTGCGAGGATGAGAGGGATGGCGCACCTTTGCGGAGCTGTGATGGTCGGGTCATGTACTTTGTAGGCAAAAATATGACCCGGAAGCATAAGAGAGGAGAAGAGATGAAGCCGGGAAGAGGAGGATATTCCAGCTCAGATCTCAGAGAGGGAAAGTTACCAATCAGTTTGGATGTACGAGTGAGCATGTGAGCGTGGGCATTTTTGTAGTGTGTGGGTGGCATGCAGTCTGGGGAGCTGGGGTGGCGGTGGGTAGGTACGTAGGTACGTAATGGTTAAAGTCGTGATGAGGGTGAAAGGGAGAGGGAGCAAGCAAGTAAGGAGAGAGAGAGAGCGGAGGGGATGTGAAAGATTCAAGACTCAAGATGAAAGAAGAGGAACGGAGGGACAGAGGAAAGTCGGACGGGAGAGGTGCAATGGCAATGATTCCACGGGATAGAATTGACTACCTATTGATGAATGGCTTGATTGATGACCAACTAGACGACCGTTTTGGTTCACCGAAGGGAACAGCCCAAGGTTTCAATGGGCAGGATCCGACGTTGCGAGATTAATACACTTAGAGACTAGGAGGTACTTTGCGGGTGAAGAAGGAGTCTCGTGCGTTGCATGTGGTGCGGGAGTGTCGTCGGGCAGGTGCAGCGCACGCGAGCGAGCACGGAAAGTGCTCGTGTGATGTCCTTCCCACTTGGGGCCGTCAAAGATGGGGCAGCGGGGCAGCGGGGCAACGCCGTCCTGACCAAGACGCCTAGAATGCAGCCAAGCAAACACGTGCATAGCACCCTTGTCCGATTTGCGCTTGGTTTTTTTTTCTTCGTTGTCGCTCTGGTCATGTTTGTCGACTATTCTTTGGCCCTTTTGACTTTCCGTCCTTAATGCCGAGCTATTGTTTTGTTTCCGCACGCACGGGCCCAGGGCCATCGGTCGCGTTGCCACTGCCGCCACTGCCGGGCTCACCGAGCTGTTACGTCTCAGCGGCTGAAGCATTGGTGACAGAAATTGTTAAAAGGCCTTTGCACGCCAGCTGCCGCATTTGCCTGCAGATGGCGCCGGTTTGCCTCCCGCCGGTCGCTGGATTGGGACACCGAGAGGTTGCGTGTGCCTGAACCCGTGTGTCTGACGTGAAACATGCTTTTGGATATGCCCGTGGGCGTCCGTGGGCGTCGTGGGGTGTCGTTCATGTGGGCTAGCTGAGGGCCATTTTCGACGTGATGCGAGGTTGCGAGATGCGAATTGGCTGACGACGAGCTTTCTAGAGGGTCCAGAGGGTCCAGAAGGTCCAAAGGATGCAGACGATGCCAGCTCGTGCCTGCTCTTGCCAGCTCGTGCCAGCTACTTCCTGCGAAGATCCTTCCCAGTTGTCCACCGGCGCTCGCCTCCTGGTCGTCGGGCCCGCTCGAAACTGTGCCGCTCTAGCCGGTCACGCGCGCATTTGCCCTCTTCGTCCGCGCCGCTCTGCTACGACTCGGCCGGCTTCGTCATAGGATCCGCCGTTGTGCTCCATTCCAGTCAACCTGGAATCCACGGCCCCAGCGCGGTGGGGAACCAGCAATGCGAATGGCCTGCCCACGCCTGTCCACGCCGGCTCGAGTCTGCCAAATGCTTGTCCATCCATGGCCTGGCTGGGATCTCGCCTGGATCTCTCGGCGTTCGCCCCCCTGCTTCCCGGTCCTAGGCACGTTTCTCTGAGGCTTGCGCCGGACGGAGTACTGCCGCTATGTACCATGGATCTGATGGACCACCCGCCGTCCGCTCGGGCAAAGGCCTTTGCAGAAGAAGCTGCGAGCCAGAGGATTGCCCACGGTGTTGCTCTGCTGCCTCTGACTGGCTGCTTCCAGCTCGCGATGCTTCGCCCAGGTGCGTCTTGTCGCATGCCATTGACTTTGGTCCTCGACGCCGCCGTCTTGTTCAAATACTGCCCACCGTCGCTGCTGTTTCTGGAGTCTCTGTCTTGCCGAGACAAGCTCACCATCCTTGGATCGACTTCAATCCTTCCTCTTCAGTCGACTTGGCTTTTAAATATCCAGTCGCCCTCCGTCTCTTTCCGCTCTTGGTATTGAGCCATCGCTTGCTTAGACAGTCACTTAGACAGTCGCATACTTGCACCCCTCACCAACCACCACTGGCCAGCCACACATCTCTTAGGTGCCAGCCAACCACATTCTCAGCATTTCCCCCCCCCCCCAAAAAGAACCATAAATCCCCCCCCCCCCGGGATTAAGACATAATTCGCCATGGTCCACCAACACCATATCGACGCCATCCCCGGCGAGATCCCCGTCCCCCATGGGCCACCCGACAGCGACGACCCAGATGAGTTCCCCGGCCTCAACAATGCCGAGCGCCGCATCTTCAGCCATGTCACTCGCCCGTCCGACTCTTACGACGAGGACGGTGTCTACTGGGCCGATCTGCCTCTGGCCAAGCGTGTGAAGTTCGTCTCCAAGGTCGACAACGACGCCGCCGTCGAGGAGGCCAAGTCTGCCTGGAGCATGTTCAAGACGGACCCTCTCTCTCCCTTGGCCTGGTACTTCCGCCATGCTGTCATCCCCGGTGCCGGCCTTGGTCTCGAGGGTTATGTCCTCTTCTCTATTGGTAATCTCGAGCCTCTGTTCAAGGCTGCCTGGCCTGAATGCTGGGGTGACCACTCTGTATGCAGCAAGAACTGGGTTTTCAGTGTTACCTACCTGGAAATCATCGGTATCATGGTTGGTCAGGCATTTGTCGGTGTAAGTTCTCCTCACCCCCTTCCCCCCGCTTTCCCACTTTCCCACTTTATCATCCTTATCTTGGCTATCTATGGGTGCTTTAAGCTTTGGTGCTCGCGCCTATTGCCTCTGTCTTCGCTTCCATTTTAGGCAATTCTCAATCATATAGTGGATTTCGCTAATTGTTGGTTTACAGGTCATTGGTGACTGGATTGGTCGACGATGGGGTCTCATTCAGGATGCTGCCATCATGTTCATTGGTCTGCTCATGCTCACTGCCTCTTGGGGTCTCACTCTCCAGGGCTGGATTATCTGCTATGCTTGGTCTCTCTTCTTCTACGGCATCGGTGTCGGTGGCGAGTACCCCATTACTGCGACCTCGTCCCTTGAGGGCGCTTCCACCGGTGGCAAGGTCTCTACCCGCGAGGATCGTCTGCACCGTGGTCGCCGTGTCACCACCGCCTTCTTGATGCAGGGCTGGGGTCAGTTTGTCAACCAGGTCGTCCTCATCGTCCTCCTCGTCATCTTCAACAAGGGCAACGGCTCAGGCCCTTACAGCGTCTCCGCCGCTCAGTACACCTTCCGCTTGTCCTTTGCCTTCCCTGCCGTCGGCACTCTTTGGCTTCTCTACTACCGTACCTACCGCATGCCCAACGCCTCTAAGCAGCTTGCCGAGGCCAAGAAGCGCTCAAACGTCACCGGCTACGACATCAACTCCCTAGGCTACTGCTTCAAGCACTTCGGCGGACGTCTCACCGCCACCGCTGGTACTTGGTTCTGTAACGATGTCTTCTTCTACGGCAACAAGCTCTTCCAGAGTCAGTTCATCAAGGTCATTTCCAGCAACCCCGACTCCCTCCTGACCACCTGGTCCTGGAACCTTGTCAACATTGTTGTCTCCCTGTGCGGCTACTACCTCGCCTCTCTCTTCATTGACAACAAGCTCTACGGCCGCAAGATGATGCAGCAGGTCGGCTTCTTCATGTGCTTCCTCATGTTCGTCATCCCCGCCTTCAACTTCAAGTACTACACCAGCCCCGCCGGCATCCACGCCTTCCAGGCCATGTACTTCATCTCGTCCTTCTTCAACCAGTTCGGCCCCAACTCCGTCACCTTCCTCGTCGCCGCTGAGGTCTTCCCCACCCCCGTCCGAGCCACCGCCCACGGTTTCGCCGCCTGCATCGGCAAGTCGGGAGCCCTCCTCGCCTCCGTCCTCTACAACTACATTGACACCCAGACCAAGTTCTACGTCGTTCCCTGGTTCGGCCTTGCTGGCATGCTCCTCACCTGGCTGTTCCTCCCCGACACCACCGGCCTCGACCTCAAGGAGCAGGAGCGCCGCTGGAGTTACATCCGTGCCAACAAGGCTGACGAGTACCACGGCGTTGCTGTCAACCCCGCGCACTTGAGTGTTTGGGAGAACCTCCGTGGCCTCGGCAAGACTTACAACCCCGAAATGGACTGGAAGACCAAGATTGAGGACATGCGAAAGGAGTGGGAGTCTGTCCAGGCCACCATGGGCCCCAAGGAGACCGAGGCCGCCATGCCTGATGACGGCGAGTTCTCTCCCGAGATTCACGACTTCTTCAAGCGCTCCAGCCCCAAGACCCGCAATCGCGACGAGTCCGTCATGGTCAACGACTCCGTCAACGAGAAGTCATCTTCCAACTAAAACCAACAAAAGCCCTCATTTCCTTTTCCTACTTGATTTTGTTGTGGCGCATCAATGACACATGACGGAGCGGTAGCGAGACTTGTATAAGCATGGCAATGGCGTTTGTTGCTTTCCATTTCCCTCTTTGTTATACCTCCTTTTTCTTTATCGCTGTATTTACTCTCGTTATACAGTACCGCATTGCTTATTACACCCGCTCAGTTTGGGTATACTGGAGTTGCGTCATAACAGGTCTACTACCACTGGAGAGTTCACAAATAGCATCGAAGCTAAGCATCGTGAATGGAGCTGACTGCCTTTGCGCAGCCTGCTCAGTTAAATTTAATACAAGACATTGAAAAGTAGTTTTCTCATTCATCCAAGCCAAGTCATGCCCCGTGTTCTCGTTTTCGTTTGATCCCTTTCCTCGAGAAAGGGCGTTTGGGTTTTCCAGCATGCCTTGCAACCTAGGACGATTGAAAAGACCGAGAGACGCCTGCTCTGGTGGTATCAATACAAGCAAGGCAACACAAGAAAAAAGCACCGATATTCAACAAAAATAAAATGCAGATTGCCGCCCATTCCTGTAATAAAAACACTCAGTGTGACTCCGTCCTCATGTGCGGTCCTTGCGGCCCAGTTTCTGCTACGTCTGTGTCTCTCCTACTTTGGTTATCCGCAGCCTGGGCCCGAGACGGCCCTGGCACTGCGGCTTGGTGGTGTTGCGGATGTTGCGGATGCTGTGAATGTTGTTGTGGATGTTGCTGGGGGTGTTGTGGCGGGCGTTGTAGATGTTGTGAATGTTGCGAATGTTGGGGTTGATGCTGATGTAGCAACGGAGGAGCTAAGGCGTTCTGATGTACCGGATTGCTGACTGCCGGGACTATAACGCTCAAGACGCAGTCGTCGAGGTGTTCATAGAAGTCCTGAGCGGTTGGGAACTCGCCATGACATATAGAACAGCGGGCCCTCGTCCCAATTGAGTCCTCGCCGCCGAAGAATCGACGACCGCCGGGGCCGGCCTGATCAACGTGATGTGCGGCCGTTAAATGTCTCTTGAAAACGTCGGCTCGGTTAAAGGCCTTCTCGAAAGGGGTTCCAGCGCCGGGACAAAAGGGACACGTCATGGAACCGCGGTAGTGGGTGAGAGCGTGGCGGTTTTTGTCGTACTTCCTGGCAAAACCCTTTATGTGATACTCACACGTTACGATGGGGCACTTCTCGGGGCGTTCCTCCTGGTGCGTAAGCATGTGGGCGGCGAGGTCACGGAAAACGCGGCCGCAGTCAGGGTGAGGGCATCGCGTGCGGTTCTCGATTGGGCGTCGCGACGGGCTGATGCGGTCGATTGGGACCGGTGGTTCGACCGAGGACGACGAGAGCTGTGTTGGAACGGTTGCCGTTGCGAGTCGAGGAGGTTCGGCCATCGGTGAGTGCTGTTGGTTAGCATCAGTGTAGCCTGCTACACTCCCGAGATCCGTATCCTCGTCGCCACTGGAGGATGCGTCGTCGTTCGTATCGGCAGTTTGTTGCACCTCTCGCATCCAATTCTTCAGAACTGTCATGGAGGGCCAGTCGCCACTGGCCTTACCGGCCCGATGAGGCCGGAAGTGTGCGCGACGAAGGTGGGCGGCAGCATTGTAGTATGCCCCGTAGCGCTTCTGTGCCAGGCATGCCTTGCAGCGAGATAGGGGGATAACGGGCTGAGGCGAGGATGAGTTGGAGTGCTTGGGCTCCTTGCAGATCCATCGTTTGACCATTGGGGAGTGTTTGGCATCGATATGGCGCCGAAGTTCATGCTCCCCCCGAAATCCGTCCGGATGCTCGTTGCATTTGTCGCAGTACACTCTACGTAACGAAGGCTTCTGGTACGAGGGCCGAAATTTGGGGGGAGGGATCGGTTCTCTCAGAGGTCGTCGTGGTTCCGATATCGACGAAATGTCTTCTCCCACCGTGTGTCTTCGAGTCCGTCCTGGGGCGTCATGGGATGGGTTGAACTGCTCTGAAGTATGGCGCTCCGGCCTGTTGGCGAAGCTTGCCGACTCTGTTTTCCAGGGACCGGGTGCGGATTCGAATGGGGGGAAAGGCTGCCTGGATGTCGAATCTTGCGTGAGGAGCGAGGGGAGAAGAGCGGTGGCTTGATTCTTTTCGTCCAATTTCCCTGATCGAATAAATCCGTTAAACCCATATCCCTCGTTTTCGCCCTTGCCGAGGTTCATCAGGAAATCGAAGCTCGTCGACATATCCCGCGACGGCCATGTTTCTCGTCGAATGACACGATTGGTTTGTTGTAGTAGTTGCCCTTCGTCTGGTGTCAAGCTGTTGAAAAACGCGTCACTCGAGGCGGCGAACAAACCAACGAGGACTTTGTATACGCTATGAATAGCTGCTTCCATCGGTGCCGTCCCTAGATATTTTGGCGGATAGTACCCCTGAATGGATGGGAGAGCAGTATCGATAAGTATTGTCTGCACGGCGCTGAATATGCAGAGAGATATGAAAACGCCCAACCAGCGCCTTAGATTCAAATTTGAGTCGTCCGAAACGACGAGGTCAAAGGAGCTCAAGAACCGCATTGTAAAAGACCTCAAGAGGTGGCTGCGTTCCGGGAAAGTAACTTCCTCGGCAGACGCGTTTCGGGGGTGGTTCGGTCCCGGGCGGAGGGCTGGGCGTGGTTGCAATACATCGTAGAAGGCCACCTCCCGGAGTAGCTGCTTCGCCCGAAAGAGGGTAGGATAGGTCGTCATTTCCATATCACGGGAAGAAGATAGTTGACCACTGACAGTTATCAGCTCGAGAAGATCGTAGGCCGTATCCTGGCAGTTCCAACTTGTGCTGATGACTCGGAGAATCGGGGGCATCGTCGTTGCTTCGGCGGGTAATTGAGTACTCGAACGTTGACCCAGATCGAGGTCACCCTCTGACCACCAAAAGCTATCCTGGAAATCGAGTCTAAAGGGTCCAGTCAATGCCCCATTTGATAGAGAAGGGTATATCCTCAAGATGTAGTCATTGACACTACCGTGGCGCGGATGAGGAGGCGTGATTGGAGTTCGAGTTGGAGAGGTCGATAGGGGTCCTGGTTCTCGATCAATCCTGGAAACGAAACTAGATAACGGGGCTTCTTGTTACCTGGAAGAATTTTGTCAACTAGGGACACCACAGATCCGCGATAGCAGCCAAGGGAGCTCCAGTGAGCTTCGTTCTCTGATGGGGGCAGATCCGAGCAGGATCCGCAGGGGTGACTAGAATCACACTAGAGAGATATAAGTCTACGAAAAAGGAAACCGAAAAATCGAAGCTCGGGATGCGCTTACTTGTCTGTTTAAAGCACGGCATCGAAGACAAGGCTCATTTTCTCGCAAAAGTTGCAGCTCGCCGATAGATTTTAGGCGGTGGTGGCCGACTCGAGCTCGTTTTAGAGGGGGCAGTTGAGGATCGACATCAGCGTCAATCAAGCCTCGGACAAGCGAAGAGCGATTCTCTGGAAAGTTGAAGCTCGTTGCCGAGTCTCTCGTCCCCGTGCTCGCGGTAGATGGGGTCGGAAGAGGAAGAGGCGGCAAGTTGGTGGTCACAAGAGGGCCTGGGGGTTGAGCAGAGGACATCCGGGTCCGTGAAAAGGAATCGGGGGGTTTCACTGGTGATTGATCCGTTGACGACATAGGTCGTCTGGTTCCCAGTGGAGGGTCGGGGTTCCGAGTCAGCGGAGAGGAGTGGAGTCGAGCGTGGTTGTCTCGATCGATCCGAGTTGCAAATCCGTAGATGTAGTGGATACATTGGTCATGGAAGCACTTGAATGATGCTCGTGAACGGGTCCGAGACAAGACGGCATCTCGAGAAGGTAAGAGGGGGTTCACGTTCTCGTGACGGGTAAGTGCGAAGTGGTTGTCGAGCCATGGGGCGAAGCCTGACAGTACCTGGTCTGGAGGTGGGTGTGCCAAGATGCCAGCCACATCCAAAGCTGTCTTGTTAGTTTTCCCTCGGTCCAAGCATTTTGAATTTGCAGATTTACGGGCTTGGAGATGCCCACTTACCTTGCTGAGAAAAGGCGGCTTCGAGGCACTCGCACCGGTACTGCAAGGCCCGGGCCTCTTCGGCCTCGGAGAGAGTAGGGATGCGTGACGCGATGCCTGGGCGGGGGAACAGTAAGCAGGCTGAGCACTGGGCATTGACGCAGATACAAACACGTCAAAGCAACGGGGGAGGGGAGTACAAGCGGAGGGCAAGGCGGGACAAGACAAACCGTGGCGTTCAACAGCAGCTTCGAGGAGTCGCAGCTTATGACGCAACATATCAACCTCGAGAGTAACGTCGAGGGTGACATGGCGGGCATGCCGTGAGGGAGAGGAGGCAGCAAGTGGCCTCGGTGGTCCCAGGTCAGCAACAGCAGCAGCAGTAGTAGCAGAAGCAGAAGGAACAGCGGAAGAAGCAGTAGAAGAAGAAGCGGCGGCGGCGTGCTGCGTATGCTGCTGCGTATGCTGCTGAGTGTACTGCTGAACATGCTGAGGCGGCAGGCGATGGACGGCTCGGTCGAGGTTTGGCTCCGGACCGGACATGGTCGACGGAGTGGACTCATCCCTGCTCATATCTGTATCGGGTCACCTCATCTCGTCTCTTCTTGTCGAGTTTTTGCTGTTGTGCTGGGCTGGGCTGCCGAGCATGAGCATGGCGGGCTGTCCGACTGTGTTGCGGGAGGCTATAGTCGGCCAGCGGCCCTTGCCTGCCCAGGACGGAAACACAACACACAACACACAACAGACAACGGACAACGGACAACAGGCAAGAGACGGAGGTGGGCAGCCGGAAACCGGCGGGAGGGGACGAGGAAGGGGCCCTGGGACGGGATCTGGGCGGGATCTGGACGGAATCACTTCTGAGACTCGGGCAGCGAGGTGGAATCGATGGGAATGAAAGAACTAGGTTTTATCGACGGGCACGACATTGTGCTGGGACCCCCGTGGCCCTTGGGGCGGCATGTGTGAGTGAGGGAGGAAGGGACGAGAGGAGAGTGCGCGAGGTGGGGCAGCTCCCCGGCGCGGCAGATTTGGAGATAGTGCCGACGACGATGCGAGTGGTCCTGGAAGCGCACTGGAGCCCTAGATGGAGGCCCTGGATGGAGGCCCTGGATGGAGGCCCTGGAGCCCTGGCTGGACCAGGTTAGGGAACCACCGGGGACCGCAGGCAGGGACCGCAGGGTACCTACCTGCCCAGTATGAGAGGGTGGGAGGGGATGGAGGGAGGGAGGGAGAGAGTAAGTAATAGCATGTAAGTGCCCGTGAGCGACTGAGTGGTGGACGGACTGGTGGCTCACTCGTGGCAAGGTATGTATGATGTACTTCTCATGCGTTTGAGCGGTTGGACACTAGGCATTGGACACTGGATGCTGGTCCTCGGGCATTGGGCATTGGACGTTGGACATTGGACGCGAACACCTGCGCCGTGTCTCTTCCCTCGACGAGACACGGTATGGCCGCGGCCGTTGCGTGTGAGAAGACGCAGTGTGGGTTCGAGGCCGAGTCGGTCTGGCCGCACGTATTGGGAGACCGAAGCATGTACAGTATCCCGACGCCGGCAGGCCAGCGGGGAGCTACCAACCGGGTCCCGGTCCCGGCCACGAGCCATCATCAGCACCACCATAGCACCAGGACGAGCGTTTTCCACATCCTCCACCCACCCTGTTCGCCCTGGACCCGCGCAAGCCCCATCCCAGGGAGAGACAGGCTGCAGAGGCCGCAGAGGCCCGCAGAGGCCGAGAGACCACAGGGTCCACAGAGTTCACAGACACCACAGAGACCCTGTCACTCTGCTCTGTCAGTATGCACACGCACACTTGCTCAGTACGTATTGTACGGCGAGTGGTGGCCCTGCCGAGGGTGCCCTGTCATGGGCTCGCGGTAGCCCTGTCATGGAAGGTGCTGAAGCTGCTGAAGGTGCGGAAGCCTGCCCAGGGAACCGGGGGGGAGGGGGGGCATGGGAAGGGAAGGGCCCAGGCCCATGTCAACCGCTGCAACAAGTACCGCCTACGATGTTACAGCGGTTTGTGCCACATCGGTGGCTACTGACTGGTGCTGGTGGTGAGTTTGCGTTTGCTTCTTCCTCCTCGATGCGCCGTTGTGTCTCGCCGTAACTTGAACGCCGTTTGTCCACGCGTCTACTAGACTGGGGTTCGCTCCGTACGGGACCGCCTGTGGGGCCATGGCACTTTGCTTGCTTGCTGACGGCGTGTGCTCTTGTGCGGGAACCCGTCGGGAAGGCTTTTGATGGCAGCCAGAGAACACTACTACGCTGTAGAGGTAGGCAAGGTAGGTATTCGTTGGTAGGTACTAGTCAGCACCAGGTTCACATGTACATGTACAGTCAGGATGTTGCAGAGTTACCTCCTGGGGCGGACGTAAGCTTCTTCAGGGTTCGGGCCCAATAGGTGCGCGAGGTTGAATGCCGTACGGCATAGCTTGGCAAGCCCGAGAGTCAAAGAGCCAGTGAGCCAGAGAGCTAGAGAGCTAGAGAGCTAGAGAGCCAGAGAGCCGAAGAACGTGAGCGCCAGAGAGAACGCCGGACAGAGTCTGAGAGATCCGAGGGTCAGACGGCCAGAACCGAGTCTGAGAGCCAAAGAGAAGAGACAGACTGACGGAGTAGACGGGCCAAAGAGGCCAATGGGAGCGGCGGCGGCAGGATGGTGCCACCGTGATGCCCCTGCTCTAGGCCAGTGGACGCTAATTGCTGCGTCTGGGTGTCTGCCGCGAGTCCGCGACTGTCTCTCCCCGTCGGGATGTAATAAGCATCGGCCATGGTCAGCCATGCGAGATGCAGCGAGTACATGGAGAATTGGAGATTGGGGGGAGGATTGGGGGATTGCCAGGAGGTGACCAACAGCCACGACGCGCCTAGTGCGTGTCACCAGTCGAAATAGTGGCTGGGTATTATGAGAGAGATAAGTCCGGGCAGCGCAACGGCGGTTGTGCAGTCGAGGACCGCGTGTTAGACTGTTTCCATACTACGTAGTACTGCGTAGTAGCTAACGAGGTACGGAGTACTAACTAAGCCCGGGAGACGTGGAGTGGGGGGGAGGGAAAACAGAGTCTGTGTGTGGCGTTTTGGGCTGTCTGTGCCCGCCCGGGCTGTGGACTGGGGATGATGCGGACGGGGATGGACGAGCCATGGACGGATTGCGGACAGGACTGTTCATTGTGGACATGGGGAAAAGAGGTAGGGATGAGGGATGGTGGATGGAAAAGAGATGGACCGTGCTCGGAGACCAGGGAAATAAATGCAAATGCGAGAATCAATGAATCAGATGTTGGCTAATCAATTGACGAGCTGAGCGCCGAGAGACAGCGGTGGGCGGGACGGATGAAACGGGGGGACTCGTAAACAATGAACCCTGGACCCGACGGGAATATGACTCCTTCCACTCTCCGACAGCAGGGCGTTTGAGCCGGAAGAAAGAAAAATTAAACCAAATTAAATCAAAAAAAAAAAAATTCCAACCCTGAAAAATGGACCTCGTCCCAAGACAAGACGAGACAAGGGCCTACCCAGGTAGACAAGGGATTGGATGCAGAGGGCGGAACCGTTGAGCTGGCGCTGGCGTTGGCGCACTGGCCGTCACGCGATCCCCGCTTCTTCACCGTCCCGGCGCTTCGAGACTCGCCCCAAAAGCCTCAATCGCCCACCCAAACGCCAAACGGGCTCCCCACTGTAAGTAGTATCCGTCCATCCAGCGCGGTGCAAGGTAACTTTACTTACAGAATGAAGCTACCAAGTACGGAGTACATGAGGCGACGTCCGCAAAGAGTACCACTCTTAATTGCCATGCTATTGCTCCCTCACAGCCGGAGCCCCTCTAGCCTTCTAGCTCTTGAGGTACCTTTGGTAGGTTAGGTAGACACGGTGGTTTGAGCCATGCTAGCCACGCTGCTGGGGCGCGACCCTCTCATCTCGCCTCGTTTCTTGTTGTCGCCTTTGAAGACTAGTCTCATCACATTGCATCTCGCCCTTGAGAGCATCACATAATTGCTGCGTACATACATACAAACAGCCATACTACCTAGTACATACACACACATACACACATACGACTTGCTGGATTCGGATCCGCCTACTTAAATTAATGACCTAGACACGGAACCGAGCTGTGACAGCTGCCAGCTGGACAGACGGCACGCGGACTCGGACGCGGACGAGACGGGACGAAACCAGATCAGATGCACCTCGCCAAACATGGCCACCACCTTGGCCAGATTGTCTGGCCGCACCACGGCTCAACAGCCACTTTTATCCCTCGCCCTCAAGCCACAGCTTCCGCCCCAGACCATCTTCGGGTCTCGCCCCGGCTGTGGGTGTCCGCGCTGGTGGCACCCCACCCATCGTGGATCATGGAGGGTTGTTGTTAGTCCGTCCGCAGCAGTTGGAGGGTTGAGGTGCCACGGCTAGATAGGTGGCAGACGAGAGAGGGAGACATCGGGGTGCTGCCGGCAGAAGCGAACGCGGCATGGCACGCAGCTGCGGGCTGGCACTGCAACGCAACGTATGTATCAAGAGGCTGACTACTGCAGCTGCTACGGCTGCAAGCTTCGTCATTTCCCAAAGGTTCGGTCATGAAATGTACTTTATTATAGGTGTGTAGGTAGGTAGGTGTAGACTGCTATGTGTGGTATGATGCCCGACGCAAACTTCGTATGCCGTACATAGCCTCATGTTGAATGGCTGCCCCCCATTTTGGCCATTCCCGTCGTGCTGGTTGAGCTGATTTGTATCATCATGGTCCGAAGAAGAAAACAGAAAAAAGAAACGAGGGGCGGGTGAGCGACGTCTCTGGTCGAAATGGAAAAGCCGGGAGGAGCGGAAACAGGGGCCCACGAGGAGGCCACCAGCCGGTTGAGAACCCCAAACGCCCTTTCTGTGTATCCGTTCTTTGCATACCCAATCCTTTCGCTCCGTCACCTGCTGGTTCGCTCACCTGCGTCCCAGCCTGCTCAACGCTCAAATCGGCGACTAATTCGATCGAGTCGTTTCTCACTTAACCCGCGTGCTCAGCCGATCGTTGGGCCGCTTCACATGCAACCCTTACTCGCTCCACCACGTCTTCTCCCGCAGTGGCATCTCCTTCCCTGACGCCTCCCGGCTCCCGTCGGTCTCGGCTTTGCACGCCCAGTATTCGCCCAGTCGCAGCTCGGCGTATGAGGCATAGTCGAAGTCAATCTTGGAGATGACGGCCTGAATCATCGACCAGATGCCCCAGTAGAATCCGGGTACCCCTCGGTACACGTCAACCTCTTCCGTGAGCTTGCGCACTTCCTCCTCCTCATCGACCTCCTCTCCTGTGAGCTTGAAGTACGTCTTGACGTACTCTCGGATAAAGGCCGCCCGCTGGCTTCGAGTGGGTACGGCTGCGTAGTCGCAGTCGTACCCAACCCACTCTGCAAAGTGGTTCGACACATCAAACGCAGCTGGCGATGGCGTCGCATACTCGTAATCAATAAAGCTCACCGATGTTTCCGCATCTCCATCGCGGTGAATAATGACGTTGGCGCACAGCAGATCGCAGTGAGCAAAGACAAGCTAAACAGTCAACGTGTTAGCAAACTGATACGCCGTTTAGAGGGACTCGTCGACCATCTCACATACCCCGTTGTTACCGAGTCCAGGACGCTGGCTGAGCTTCTCACTCATCTCCTCCAGCTCATGTTGAAGTAGAGCTTGCCTCTCACGCTGAGCATCGGTATCGGTGGGCAGGGCGAGAATCCACTTCTGCATCGTTGTCCACATGTTAGGCGGGGGCTTCCCCGGGGCGGCGTTGTCAATCATTTCCTGGTGCGACTTCTGGCCGTCTCCATTCGCATGACCGTTGGTCGTGGTCTTGGAGTCGCCGTTAGTGTAGCCGTTGGGGCCGCCATGGTTCGGGACCGGGCTCGGAAGACAGGGCACTGTCGCGTGCCACTGCGCAAGGTGTCGTGCAACGGCAGTCAGGATAGGCGGATCGCTGAGGTCCTGGGCGCGAGCAACGGTGCCGGGGATAAAGCGGTACAGCATGCCATTTTGGAAGCGAGCAAGCAGTTCGGTGGCGAGGCCGTGCTTCCAGAGCAGCTCGTGGTTCGCGGCCTCGCGCTCACGGTCGATGAGGATGGCAGTCCCGTTACCGTAAGCTCGGAGCAGGATGGACTCGCGGTCGATGTCCTCCTTGGAAAGCCCGGGCCGGCGGTTGACGGCCTTGAGCAGCGTGTTGGTGATGCCATCGGTGAAGCGCACAAAATCCACGCGGGAGTCCTCGCTGGTCCAGTCGGGGGCAAGCGTTAGGATGATCTTTAGGCCCGAGTTTTGAGAGTCATTATTGTCGTAGGTCAGAGGAAGGAAGGGAACATGACCGTTCTGGCCGTCCTGGCCGATATGGCTGTTGGAAGCTGACGGCGACATGGTTACGGACGGAGGCGCGCACACACACGCGGCGGAGTCGATGAGGTAGGCGGGGGAAACAGAGGGGGGACGGTCGCGGGGGCGGCGGAGGTAACTACGACCCAAGATGCGGCAGCGCAGTGCAGTGCAGAGAACCAAAGGATAAATGCAGAGACACAAAGCTGCAGAGATGCAGAGCTAGAGGGCTATAAGGCCGGGGCACCGCCAGTGAGGTTCGCGGGAGGGCAAAGGCGAGAAGGGGAGCGGCGTTCAATTCGTCGTCATTTCCAGGGGTTCAGGGGCTCCTGGGGCGGGATCCGGGACCGACAGAGGACGACCGGCGGGCGTGGACAGTGGAGATGGGGGCGCCGGAGCGAGGACAGGCGATGAGACGGGGCCTAGGCGGCGAGGCGGAGGACAGGCTGAGGCTCGGGCGACGATGACGGGACGGTGACGGGGCGGATGAAGTTGGCAGAAGCACACGACCTGTTGCCCTTCCAGTCGGGAGACGAGACCGTGAGTTTTGTGGGCAAAGGTTGAGCGGGTCGGCCAGTGAGATGAACGGTCGAGACCATGTGAAGGCCGTTCGCCGCCACCGTTTGTTTGACAGCTTTCGACGACGCAACAAGACGTAGCAGGTGACCTAGGGACGCGAGGCGGCTCTACCGGGGGCCAGGTCGCTGGGAAATCAGACGCAATGATCTACGGCTGGTTGGCACAAATCCGGAAAACCTGTTTTGGGGGGGCAAAAGGGATAGATAATGGATTGCAGTCAAAGAGGTGTGGCCTTTGGTAGTTCGAGGATACGCGGCGGTGTAGTGGCTATCGGGTGACAAGCAGGTGTTTCCTGGAGCTTGGTGCCAGCAAGGTCTACACCTAATCTAATCACCGCAGTACGCAGGTAGGCAGGCAAATGCAAGAGCAGCGCAATTTAACCATGATCAATTCACTCCTGGTCTTGGTCCCAATGTGTTGGGGATTCTGTTGGGCTGGACAGCCTAGGCCTTTCGACGCCCGCGGATTTTCCACCCATATTTCCACCCGTTCGTTTCGTCTAGCAGCGGTCAACTTTAGCGGCCTTCACACACCGAAAGTTGTTGCTCGCAGACATGTGATCGATGCCTCCAGGCTCCAGCTGGCAAATTGCAAAATATTCCAAAACCCCCATCCCACGGGCATGGGGCCTTTGGGCCTTTTGGAGCTAATAGAGCGGCCCGGTGGCACCCGAAATGCGTTCTTGTCTTCTCCCGCAGTGCCCAGGTCCTGAAGCCCTCCAATCCCATATCCCCATCTCATCGACCGCCGTAGAATTACAGCGACGTAGGCCCCGCTAAAGGCCAAAACAACCCACCCACCTGCGTATTCTCACCCGAAAGAGGGACCCTGGAAGGAGGATGGACCCTTCTTAGGTTCTTAGGTGGGCGCCATGCCTTTGGGGGTGGGCGAGCTAATCAAGCTCGGCCTTGTCACTGCCACATTTGTGCCTGCCAACCCCACCAGCTCTTATCTTATCGATTTTATCGACAAGCGGCGTGCTGTGTGGCTGCTGTGGCTCAGCGCTCCCAGCCTCATCAACTTCAATTCATCCATCTCCACTCTCACTGAAGCTCTCATCATTGGACAACCGGTCACGGTGTATCATCTCACGGCCTCAGTCTGCAAGCAACGAAGTCACACACGACGGCTGGCGTCGATAATTGACGGCTGAAGACGTTCCCCGCCCCCACGGGGCCATGTGACCCGCACCATGGCCACACCATTTGTCACCACCGACAACTTCCTTGCCATCGCCCTCATCATCAACCGCTCTCGTGATGGCCCGGCCTTTGTCTTCCACTATCCCCCTCACGTCCAGCCTAGCTCCGGGACCTCCCAAGCTCCGGCTGATTTCGAGGATATCCTCCTTGAGCGCCTCTCGCAGCCGGGCCACCAGGATGTCGACGACGACGACGCGACTTCCAGGCAAGCCCGCAACCCAGAAGAGCACTACTTCACCGAGTCTGGTACCCAGATCGTCCCCTGGGAGCGTGTCGCCGGATTCCCTTCCCGTGATCTTGCTGGAATTCTCACTCCAGCGCGCTCATACCACAAGCGCCTCTTCCAACTATCATTAGATCCCCTATACTGCGTTTCCTATCCCATTCATGTCCCCGAGAATGGCAAGTGGAAGAAGCCCAAGAAGACAACCAAGTCCTCCAAGCGTTCTGCCTACACCGATGACCTGACCGCCTCCCAGGAGCAGGATGGATCCGCTACCGGCAAGGCAACTGAACACCCACCCAAGGATAAGGATGTTAAGAAGGATAAGGACGGCAAGAAGGATGAGGACGACGAGAAGCGCAGCTCCATGACCATGTTTAACCTCGTCTTCATCCTTAACCCCAAGAGTAACGAGGTCAAGGAGGTCATCGACGCTGTTTATGATCACCTCGTCAAGAAGATCAGCAAGGCCTTTAAATATAGCCAACAGCATAGCGAGTTCGTCTGGAAGGAGTCGAAGCGCATCCTCGTCGCCAAGGACAAAGCCCGCGAAGAGCGTATGTCTCTCCGATCTCCTCCTGACTCACTTGAGCACGTTGACTGATATCAACCACAGGCAAAAAGATGAACGTGCTATGGAAGGAAATACTGCAGAGCTCGTCACTGGCCGCTGCCATGCATGACATCTACGAGGGCGTGTCGCAGAACCGGATCGCGACACTCCATCTCGAAACTGCCGCAGGCTCCCTCACACCCTCAGTTCAGATCCCTGTACCCTTCTACGTCGACGACCTTCCCCAGGGCGAGGCACCGGCTCAGCGCGGCCTCTGGATCACCACTGCCAACTCGTTTATGAGCCAAGACGCCTTTGAGGAGCCTGGCTTCCTCGACCGCAATTTCGCCCTCTTGCTTCTGGATGACGAAAAGAAGATCATCTCAGAGCTTCAAGCTGACCCAGATCCAACAACCGCTTCTATGGTCGAGTTTGTGCGACTCTCCAAACCAACAATGTCGTATGTGCAAATCACCATCGAATCCATGACCACATACACCTCCATTGTTCGACCCCAGTGCTAACATGAGTTTCGCAGCTTCCATCAAGTAGGCCAGAGCAATATTCTCACCGCAGGACAGGTCCGCAAGTATGCTCAGCACTTCATCTTCTGGCGTCGCGCCATTGCTATCCCGCCCCTCCACGCGCGCGACCAGTATATCGGGTCTCCCAATGCGGACTACACGCAGCTCCCCCAGGACACACTTGAATGGCAACGTGCATTTCCCCTTGCCCCGCCCCTCCCCAACTTCCTCGCCGAGCTCTCCCAGTGCCCGCGGCCTTATAAAGGGTTCTCCCCGAGCAAGGCCCATCGGCCAACCTACCTCCTCATGCTCGCCTGGCTCATGCGCCGCGGCTGGGTCACCCAGCTGTGCACCTTTGCCTACGTCGTCGTCTGGCCTGAGATCCTCTACGAGGTTGATTACGAGATGGAGGCCGAGGACCTCCGCGCTGCGGCCGACGCCGACGGGGCCCGCTCCGAGGACTCGTCGGGCGCAGCCCCGCCCCGCACCTCCGAGTCCTCCGAGGATCATTCCGGCACCGACGGTTCCAACGTCCCCACCATGACGGAGCAGGCCGCAGAAAAGGCCCGACTCGAGCGCATCGCCTCCAAAGCCCATCGCGAAGCAGCTGAGAAAGCCACTGCCCACGCCCGCAAGGCTGTCCCCATAGCCACCGCCCACCCGTCCGTCAACGATCATGCTCACCTTGCTAGCCTAACACCGCATATCATCCTTGACACCAAGAAGGCCACTGGCAAGGAGTCACGCTACCTTTCCGCCATCGCACGACGCTTCACCGATGACAAGCTCCGCACGGGTTGGCAGCGGCTGTCCAAGTACTTTGATGGCCAATGCGCCCTTGAACGCATCGCCCTGCAGGAGGAAATGAAACGCAAGGAGGTCTGGAACATGCTCACCGCCATGAGTGAACACCTACTATGCGCCCGGCATTGGTGATTGGGCCTTGCATTTTGTCGCATTACGCTCATTTGCTCCAAAGGATGGCACAAATTTCTTGAATACCGAGACTCGAGAGGCATGAAGAGTTGGAATATGATTGTATAATAGGTAGCTCGCTGCTGGTATCTGAGCAAACATAATGATAAAAAAGGATGTAAAACTATGATAAATACACAAATGCAGATGCCTGACGCTCGAGTCCCGCCCGAGAAATCCGTGCAATGAAGCAAATCCCCATTGCTAGAATCGCCAAGCAGGAACAAGAACTCGGCAGTACCATGGATTAAACAACGGCATGATAAAATAAGAATAAAGCCCATATGCTCCTAATCCCCTGTCTTCCATCCTCCGCCCTTGATTGAACACAAAGGTATTCGCAACGCAAAAACGAACAAACCCCAGCGTGAAGATAAAATCCATAGCGAAAACCCAGAAAAAGAACAATTGGTAAAAAATAGTTCGGATATGCCCCCAGCTCTGTATAAGCATGCCTATATACCATACCTTACCCACGCCCTGACACCCCGAAATCGCTCCTCGGGGGGGAAAACGTCAAACAAACCAGAACAACCCTGCTGGGTCGCAAATAAACCCAACGCCGAAGGAGCCACGGCCCTCAAAGCGGTGCCCCTAAATGCTGAGCAAAGCTGGAGAGGAGGGCGGAGATGCCATGATGATGCGAACGCCGAAAGCAAACAATGCAAGCAAGAGGGCAAGATGCATCGTCTCCACCTCGGCCTATCTGGGATTCCCAGGCTGAGGGACTGCCCTTCTCAAGATATGACCGTTTGGAGAAAATGATTGTCGAGCTTAACTGGCCAACTACTGAGTAAGGTCCATGTCGTACTCGTCTTCCTCTTTGAAATTAAGGGAAGCTCGTCCGCTGCCGTTGTCATCAGGATCGTGCCAGTACTGGTCGGCATCTCCCAGGCCACCGGCCATGACACCACTTCCATTCTCATCTGGGCTGATCGAGAGGGGGTCGACACCTCCACCCAAACCATCAACGGGCTCGCCTCGATAGTCGGTGTGGTGAGGCACACGAAGACCGGATCCAGCGGTGCGAGAGTAAGAGAGCATGCCGGGCTCGTTCTTGCTGATGGCATCCATAAGTTCGGTTTGCATGCGTCGCTCATCCTCGGTCTGCTCGAATGGGAAATGACCGCCAAGCTCAGCGATCGTGTTCATCATTTCCTCTTGCTGTTGAAGCTTGAGGTGAAGCATCCACATGAGATCCCGGGTCCAGCTAACAGAACCGTTGAGGATGTCGCCCTTGTTTGGGCCCTTGTCCTTCTCTTCGAGCGGGAGGCCAGTGGTGATGTTGCCAGCGCTGGCTCCAGCCGCTCTCCGCGCGCCGGGGCCGGCAAGACTTGAGGTGGCCTGGGATGGACTGGGGATGCCGGTGAGCGTGGGAGAAAGTGGGGTCCCGTTCTGGATGAGCTTTCGGATCTTCTCGTCCTCCAGGCGGTGAGTGGGCACCAATCTGCTAAGGTCCTGTATCCTCTCATTGATGTTGTCACGTCGACGGCGCTCTACCAAATTGTGGGACTCCCGGCGTCGTTTCCGCTTCATTTCCTGTGATGAGACGGCGGCAGGAGGCACACCGAGCTTGGCGGGCATTGAAGTGCCGCCCTTCATCATGACTTCATTGATCTGGCCCATGGATGGTTGCATGGGCGACGAGAAACCGGAGTTGTACGAAGCGGGAATGCTACCGGTCGGGGTGTTCATCCACTGGCCAGAAGGCGACTTCTCATGCATACCGGCAGTTCGGATGGGCTGTGCCCCAAAGCCTTGGGAGTCTTGGGATCCGATGTTCATTCCATGGAGGCTGGCGGTCTTAGGAGTCATGGGGCTGCGGCTGCTAGACGCTTTTCGCTGCATCTGCTGGGACATCCGGGCGCGAGCCTTGAGGAGGTTTGGGTCGTCGGGGTTCATGTCCGCCAAGGGTGAGTTGGAATAGGACAGGGGGGAGTGCAGAGAGGTACCAATTGAGTGGCCGGGTTGCATTTGGCGGAACTGATTGGTAAAGCCGGCTGCGTAGGGGCTCTGGATCGGGTCCCCATCGGGGGTGTTTGAGTAGCCGTTCATTTGGGGTTGAGCAAACGCTCCCTGGGAGAAGCCCATGATACCGGAGAAATCTTGACCCTGGCCTGCCATGACGGGCTGGACATCTGCGGAATTGGAGAGGCCATCAAGGAGCTCATCATCGCCGAACAAGGCAGAGCCGCTAGAAAATCCGTTTGTGCCGGTACCAGAATTCGAGTTGAAGTTGTTATTGTTGTTATTGTTGTTATTGGAGTACGAGGCAGGGTAGCCGCTGCCCATGTTGAGGTCGTTGGGGTCAATACTACCGGCGTTGTGGCCGGAGCCAAATTGGTTGAAGCCGTGCTGGGCCATCGTAAGTGATGGCGAGACTAGGCCTGGAGTGGATGTTGGATCAGATGTTGTTGCCCTAGAGGAAGGTATGTGGGCAGAATATGGCAGAATATTGTGGGTGGGCGCCGGTTCGGCCAAAAAAGAAAAAAAATCAGCGTGTCGTCGAGATAGTCAGAAGGTTTATTGGTTATTGGGAACCTGTTTGGATCATTGCATCAGCATCCCAGAGTGACTGCAGCAGAGCGGGGAGACGGCGGATGAGGCAGCCTCGGGGCAGCGAAGTGGACAGCTGGAATGCCCGCTCCGGCTCCCGCTCGAGGACACAGCCAGGAGGAGAGTGGCGGGGAGCGAGCGCCAAGGGCTAGGAGTCAGGACTCACCTCGCAGGCAGCTGTGGCGCTGGGGAGGGTGACGTGGGAACGAAGCAGGCGGCTACCTGTAGGCCATCAAGAGATCAAGAGATCAAGAGAATGGCCAGGACGAGAGCAGTCGAGAGGGGTCGGCTCGCGGTGACGACGATGGTGGAAGCGACGTCGGAGTCGGTGGTCGCAAGAGAGGGATTGTGGGTGAGTCTGAGTCGGAGTCGGAGGGAGGCGGGCGGAGAGAGCTTGTGGTTGAAATGGCGGGACTCAAGTCAGGTTCTGGGGCGTTGGTGCGGGTGTGGGCTTGGACTTGGGGGAGGGGGCCCTTTCTTTGGGGTACGCACGGGCTTGCGACACTGTAGGGTGGTGCTAGCCCCAGTGGATGGTGGGAGGATCAGGGGGTGGGGGTCGTAGGCGGCTTTACGTGGTCGCAGCGGTGGTCGAATTGGCGCGGGAGTGCAGGGATAGGGGACTGCAGGGGGGGACTTGTAGTGTCGAGGGAGGAAACAGGAGGGAGAGACAGCGGCAGAGACAGAGACAGAGACACCTCAGGCGTTGGCTGCTCAGGCTCTGGCTCGGGTTGGACGCTGCCTGTCTTAGTAGCTGAAGCGCTAAGGGTAGGGAAGCCAGGCGGTGTCGGGCGTCTGTTCACGAAAGTGGCTGCTCTTGGAATCGTGGCCACCAGTCAGCGAATGCGCGCGGGCGGGAGGAGGATGAAAGTGTCGGGTAGGGACATAGCCAGCCGCAGCCAACAGCCAACAGCCAACAGCCAACGGCGGGCGGGGGGGAAGGGATAGGGAGAAGCAGGAGGAGGAGGAGGGGGCGTTGTCGAGGGAGTGAGTGGTGGCGTAGAAAAGGGAGAGGAGCGGTGATGCGCAGGGAAACTCGGAGAAGGGGAAGTAAAGCGATGTGTCGTGAAAGATGGGGGAGGGGGGAAGAGAGGAAACGGGCTTGCTCTGTTACTCACCACTGGTTCGTTGACGACAGTCCGGAAGCATGGAAACTGTCGCTTTGGTTCGGCTGCGTCGGGAGAGACGAGGTGGGTTGGGTTGCACAGCCGGGACGAGAGCAAGTATAATAGACGAGGTGATGGCGGACGATGACGAAGTAAGTCCGGGTTGGTAGGGTTGGTGGACTGCGAGTTGATGCCGTAGAGAGACTATTATTGTATACGGTACAGCACTCGATGCTCCCTTGCTCTCAGCTCTGTCTCCTTCTGGGGACGGAAGCTCGTAGGGAGGTACTTTGGATATCGGCGAGAGGTACTAAGAAATCCAGGTACTCTGGGCGAGGCGCAACACGGCCAAGTCCGTCTTGTCTGCGTTGGGTATGAGCGACAGCAGCGGTGCAGCAGTTGCATCCAACGGGGTGGTCGACCGGGGCGGGGCGGGCCAGATGGATTGCGTGAGCGAATCGCTAACCGGTGAGGCTGAGAGGCACAGAAGCGAATGAGACGGACAGCGATGGCCAGCGATGAGCAGCGATGGAGGGGCGCAGGCTCCAGGGGTAGGTTAACTTAAGGTGAGGTGAGGTGAAGGAGGCAGTGATGATGACACTCGACGGTGCTGCTTCGTTGCGTTTCCCGTGTCTATTCTCAACTACTGCTGATGGGCGTCCCGGAGGATCCTGGGGTTGGTCCGGTCCGGTATGGGACGAGAAGCGGCGGGAGCGCGAACGGGATACGGTGATGATAGGCGTGAGATGTGCGGTTGACGGTGCAAGTGCCGGATATCCAGCAGGCGGTCTGACGTTTTATGGTATTCTGGCGCGGCGCCACGGGCTGATGAACGCTGAGAGCTGAAGGAGGTGGTGTAGGTAGTGGTGGTGGTGGTTGCTGGCGGCCAGGAATGGAGGCAGAGGGGGGACGCCAAGGTGCAGTGTAAGTGATGGACCCGGAGAGGCTCCAGCGAGAGAGGCTCGGAGCTCCTGTGCGACGCGACAGGCGACAGGGCGACCGACGGGATCTGGAGCTGTGACCGCTTCTTGAGGCTAGTTTGGTCCTAGAGGTGCGTCTTGATTTGCACTTATGCGCACTCTCTCGGTAGACACACGATTGGCGGTGGGCGATTGGAGGTGGCGGCGAGTGTGGGTGACTGTCAAGCGGCGTCCGAAACGCTGGGCGCAAAACGAGAGGTCTGGCTAAGGTAGGTAGGTACGTTGATGGCGTTTGGCTCTTGATCTCTCGCGCGTTTCCTTCTTCTTCCGATCTTGTTTGTTTGTCCTTTACGTTTCGGTTTCGGTGTGTCACCAGCAGCTGCAAGTTGATGGCGAAATCGGCTTCTAAGTTCTGGGCCCCAACACAGAGCGAAGTACCTCCATTTTATACTCGCCCCAGCTAGCTAAAAATACCAGCCCTCCAGCAAAGTCATCTGTACGAGGCTCATCATCTTCTGACCCGCCATGCTCTAGGTATAGCGGACGACAGTTGGGGCTTTAGTCCTTGGGCTTTGGCCATTTTATGGCAGTCAACTGCTGATGGTGGTCGACGCCAGTGTCCATTATCCCCACGGTGACCGCCGTGCTGATAGAAGCCCGCCAGGTCGAAGAGGGTGGGTGCGTGTGTGCGTGTGTGTGTGTGTGTGTGTGTGTGGGCGCCAGGTTGAGCGTGACTCGGGATTTAAGACACCAAGGCAAACCTGTTGCTGGACTCTAGGGTCTCCTCGGGATGCAACATGGAATCGACTCCCCCCTCAGTCTCCCACCTCGCCTCCCCCTTGCGCGGTCATGGGTTGGAGCGTTTCCCATCCGCGGCGTGCTCCTTGGCCACGCGCCTCGCCGAGGGACACCATCTTCTTTTCTGGAGCGTTTCTCTGCGCACGGCATCCCGTAAGCACGTTTGACGCCCGTCTTGGTGGTATCCGTACCATCAACGGGCCTAAGACACATGCACGATGCAAGGCTGGCTGCCTTGGTCGTCCTTGGAGGTCCTTGGAGGTCCTTGGAGGTGTTGCCTACTCCGCCATCGTATCAAGCTAATCCCTTGTCCTTGCCTTTCATGGTGTTCCCTACCAACGGGTCGTGTCCGGCCCTCCACGGTCCGCCCTCGTAAACCAGAGCTTAGCCCGTCTAGCCGCCCGTCTATCCGCCTCATCCGACGGGTTCATATCTCTAGGTGGGTGATGTGTTGCGCCCGCGCGGGAGAGGAAGACGGTAGGAAGACGGTACGGTACGGAGGAAGTACGGGAGGCAGTTCAGCTGCCCTGCCATGCGAGCCAGCCTCGGGGGCCTGGAACATCCAGCCTCGTCTCAGTCTCCCCTCGACGCCTCTCGACGCCCCAAGGCTCCGGGTCGCGGGCCCGGGTCTGGGTCTCCCCACGTTGATGGCGCCCGGCCGGAGGTAAGCCTCCCTCCATCCCATTCCCATTCCCATCCCCATTCCGGTGTGACCTCTCACGTCTCACGACGCTGCCGCAACTGGATCAAGGTCGTCCGGGGGGGCCAAGGCCGTGCAGAATCGCAGTGCCGCAGACGGTACGCACTGAACCTTGGGAGGCTGCCAATCATGTGGCCCCTCCAGCTGGTGCATGCCACCCCAGGCAACGCAAGGCGCCGCAAGGCCAGGCCTCCAGTTGGTCGGATAGTGGACGATAGCACCTACAGACTCGTTCACGACCACACCACCCCCTACCCAGCAAGCTCCCTGTCGCTAGTGCCGCCCTCCACACATCCACATCGACGACACACGTTCCCCAACTGCCCAGGCTTCCCATCTGTCCTCTTTGTCTCCCATCCCAAGGCGTCGCGCGTCGCCCATCACTCGCTGCTTATCGCCTATCGCCCGTCGCCGTCGCCGCCGTCGCCTCCTGTCGTCATCGCGAATTTCGTGCGCAACGCGCGGTCGCCTGCCCAAGCCCCAACCGCCAACCCTCTACCATCGTTGCCTTGTCCCAACGGCGTCGTCAGCGGCCAACCTCGACGTAGGTCTTCCCACCCCCCCTTCCAGAGAATGCCGTACATAGTATATCATAGACAGCCGTCGACTGACCAAAGCCAAGGTGGAGCTGCTCTCTCCTCTTTCCCGCTTCACCTCTTCTCCTCGACGCGCTCCTCCCACCCTCCATCCCGATCACGAACCTGCCGCAGCGCGATCGACGTAGCCGTTCCGTCCCCCGTCCCCCGTCGAACCCGCCCCCCTGGTCCCCGCCGCCATGGCTTCGAATACCTTCCGAGACTCCATCAATTCCCTGGGTTGGAGTCGCCGCGATGAGCCCGTCAACACCTCCCAGCCGAACGGCCTCCTCTCCTCCATCCAGAGCCTGAATCCGTTCGGCGATCGTGGCTATGTTCGCCTCCCCACCACCGAGGGTCCCGGTGCCCCCCTGCCCCAGCCCACCCGCCGCGAGGAGGAAGAAGGCTGGTTTGTTCGTGAGTCAACCTGACAGTATTCCGATCCATGGTCCTTCGGCACCCCTGCAGCGGGACATGTGCATTGCATCTCAGCCATGCCTTAGATCATGCATGTGATGGATGACACGCCTCGTGGGTAGGAGAAGCTAACCCAAGTCGCAGTTAGTCGATGGGATCGTTTGATGGTCTTTGGTGCTTGCAACCTCGCAGCCCTTGCCTGTTTCGTCATATGCTTCACCCTCTTTCCAGTCCTCTCCTTGAGGCCTCGCAAGTTTGTCATCTTGTAAGTCAATGACCCATACAGCTCCATCTTCGCCCCCCTTCTGGGTCACGCGCCCCGGCTAGTACCATGGCATCCGAGTGCCGTGACCTTTCCCTTTCCATATCATCATGTTGTGGATTTTGAATGGAAAGATAGGTTCCCGTGCTAGATGCTAACACCCCATAGGTGGTCCGTCGGATCCATGATGTTCTTAGCATCATTTGCGGCCATGATGGGACCGATGAACTATGTCTACCATCTCTTCTCAGCCCCTCGACTGCCGTTCACTGCAGCGTACTTTGGTTCCATCATCTTGACGCTCGTGTTCGCCCTGAAGGTAAGTGTCGCAAGTTTAGCATGGAAGGAATCGTGCTAACCAATACCACAGCTTCACAGCACCATCCTCACACTCTTCTCAGCTATCATCCAACTCGCCTGTCTGGTGTGGTATCTGATCAGCTACTTCCCTATGGGGTCCACTGGCTTGCGCCTTGCCACATCGTTTGGTGCGAGACAAGCGACCTCTTGGATGAGTGGCTAAAAGGGGCGAAGTGTTTGGGAAAGTTGTACTTCGGCGTCCCCTTGCGGTATCTTCTGGTGCAATCCTAGGAAGCCGTACACCAAGTCCTGACATCTCTCAGGATCGTAATTGTCTATATGTACCATAACCACATAGTTTGTATCAGTAGAACTATTTGAGACGGTGAAAAATGTCAGTTTGTTTGGGTAGGTTGTGTTTTTTAGGAACTAGACTCTGGGATCTAAGATAGGATTAACAATGTCACTTTGATGAGCGTTACTCAAACACCCATCCACATTCAGCACTCGAAGGCTGTATATGTGCAATACTCGTGGGTTCCCTACCCAGCCGGAATAGGAATCGAACAATATAGAATAGCATGTTGAGAATGTATTTTCCGAGAATAGGCCATTTGGATAACAAGCGGTGACGTCGTTCGTCCGATGCAGCCGTCGAATCATGCACGGCACCAGGAATTACGGACTCGAGCGCGCGGGCGTTCCCGCTCCGCATCCTTACTTGCCATGACGAGAAGTCATGAAAGCATTCTCAAGCTCGGAGACTGTTGGCTAACGTTTCAGATAAGCAATAAAATTTCGATGGCAAGGGGTTATGCATGAACTAATATACGCATGGAATCTGCCTGTCATGAATCTCTCAGATCTCTTCATACCCGCCTTCGATATTAGTCCCAAGTACCGAACGACTCATGATTCCGATGAGGGGTACCTCGTTTTCATGCTGCCCACCGACGCGAACGCAGGTATCCTCCGGGATCTGGCACTAAATGGGCAGGCTTTTAAGCGCGGCGCCCAATGAGCGCGGTGCCGGCCGGTAACAATGGAGCCTCGGCCTGCAGGGTTCTGCCCCGGGCTGGGCTTGAAGCCTTCGTTCAACGGGAATCGAAGGAAAGCAAGTCGGGTCCCAGGGTCATGGGTGATGCATGCAATAAGTTAGGTACCTCAGGTAGGTAGCCCTGGCCCGGCCGGAATTGGGCGCTGCGGAGACTCGGAAATACAGGGCTTCCATCCACCACACATCCCTTCCTTCCATCCTTCCAGTGCCGTGCCGTTGCCTGAAGGGGAGAACCTCGGGTTGCCGTCCGGTGATGCGGGAGCTCGGTCGACCCCGAGCGAGCACACATCAATATCGGGGTGAATGGAGAATGTCAGCCAACACCGTGTCCAGACCGGCCGTATTTGTAACACGAGTTATTCTCCCGTCAAGCACATGCCTCGGCGGTCTTACAAGCTTCCGGTTCGGCATTTTTGGTCGTCGTCACAGTGTTATGCGTGGCTTGCCCTCCCCTTCGCGGAGGTGGTACATTACATGCCATCGCGGGCAGGCAGCATTGCACGAAGTACCGTACACCCATTGCGAGCCGCTCCCTTACGGCTCCGATTTCCCGCTTCTGTCATTCGCTTGGCTTGTTGTAACCGGCCTGTGGCCCGAAGCGTGTCTGTGCATGTAGGCGCGATCAGTCACGCACCGACGGGAGCCTTGGCTTGCCGGCAGCAAAGCGGATTCATGGTAGCGACGTCGGGCCTCACGCACCGCAAATCACACACATTATATCACTAAGGCATGTATGTACTCCGTAGGCTCCCATGTTTTGCATGGCCATGTCACAATGACTACGACGCCGCATGCTAGGCTCGCCCTGTCGACCCAGTTTGATGTTACTTGGCTAGGACGTATGACCTTCCCAGGCCGGCAATGATGGATCCAACGTTGGATCCCAACGTGCCCCCAATGCCATGTACACAATAGGCATCTCGTCACAGCGACAAGTACAAGTGACGACAGGCCCTTCCTTGCCCTGCCCGCCTGGCATCAGTTCACTCAATCAGCATCGGCGTAATCAAAGGCGCACACAACATGGGTAACCGGACAGGGCCTGATAGGGCCTGCGGCCGGCCTGAGCCGATTTATATTCGCGCATCCCCACCAACCCATCACGGCGTTCCGGGTGGGCCACAGTGGGTGGTCGCCGGCCGCCATGGCGCTGAACCGGCCTCAACGCAGGAGTCAAGCCTCTGAAGGAGGAGGCCTGTAGCCCGCTGGAGCCCGCTGGAGCCCGCTGGAGTTCACTGGGCTAGGGGGAGGCGGGGGGGTAAAAACAAGCCCCGGGGTGCACCACCACTGCCCGCCTGTTCCCCATCACCAGCGCTGGCGCAACGCCGATTCATTGCTGGACCGCCTTCTCCGGCCGCTAGACAGCGCCTAGAAAGTATTCCGTATCCGCTTCCAGGGATCCCGCCCGGTACCTCTGCGGAGAGGGGAAAAAAAGGCAGAAAAAATTTATTATTCACACAACGCAAAAATAACCTCCGACACTGATTTTCTCTCTGTCTGAGCCGTGCCCTCCTTTCATACCACAATTCTTCGTCAGCCCCAATTCTATTCGAATTGCCGCTGTCGTGTTTCCCCTCCCGAGTCTTCCTTTGCAGTCGATTTCCTCGCCACCTGGCCTGCGCTTACAACCCTCGTCTCGCGTTGAAAGCCTGAGCCCGAGCCTGAGGAAGGACCGTCGTCCCCTGCATCGATTCGTCACTCCCACCCGTGGTTGTTGCCTCGACGTCGTGCCGAGCCGGTCTCTTTTTTGCCCGTCCTCCCTCTGTCGAACTCGCCTCAGCCGTACCGCTTTGAGAAACCAAATACCCTTGCGCAGACTTGTTTGTTCTGCTCAACAATCCAGTCTCGTCTTCCCCGAATCCAGCGCCCGCTTTCCCCAGGTCCTCGGCCCTGTGGACGTGCCCTCCCACCGAACCCTCCACTTCCACTGCCCTCGACGCCGTTGCCTACCTGAAGTAAGGCACACGACTCCCGCGACAGAACCCGCGACAGAACCGACCGCCGCCGGCTCCCTCACCAGTTGGGAGATCCCGAATAGCGACTGCACTGCACAGTGGGTGCACTGCGACTCCCGTGTGCTGAGGGGGTTGAGATACCTCTCTTTGCCTCAGCTGGTGGCCCCAGGTGAAGAAACACCTCTGGCTCACCACATTTCCCGTCCAGTCCAGCCGTCAGCCCGTGCTCTACGGCTCACCTTGACATGACTTCAGTAGCAACCGCGAACTCTACCGAGATGTCGGCCGCCTCCACCTTCTCCTACGCACAAGCTGCGAAAGGTCAGGGCGCCGTCCCTGAATCGAATACTTCTGCCACCGCTGTCTCCCAGTCTCAGGACGCCCAGGCTCCCGAGGTTGTTACTGCTGCAGATGCTGCTCTCATCGACGCTGCCGCGCCTAACGTCGAGCAGCCCAAGTTGACCGAGGTCTCCGAGACCGCCGACGGCCTTGATGCCCAGTCGGCTGCTCCCGAAAAGCAGGACCTCGACAACACTCCCGGATCAGAGAGTGATACCCGATCCGAGTCCACACAGGAGAGGCGCCCGGATTCGAGTCGCGATGATGACGCCTCGAGATTAGATCGCCCATGGCGACGCAATGACAAGACAGCAAGGTCCTCCAGCACCACAACACGGTCTACGGATGAACAGGATTCTCGAAAGGCTCGGAGAAGCAAGAAGGGCAAGGGCTCGGAGAAGCAGACCGGCGATCAAGCGACTTCCGTGGATAAGGAGCAGGAAGCCGTCCCCGAAGCCCCCAAGGTTGAACTGTCCGAGGCGCCCATCCCTAGTGTCAACATCTGGCATCAGCGCAAAGAGGCTCACCAGGCCAAGGGCAAGCCTTCCGATGAGCTGGTCAATGGCCAGCAGGAGGGAACCAAGGCGTCCGCAAAGGCCGCCGAAGAGGTTATTTCTCAGAACGGCCCCATTACCAACGGTGTCAAGCCCCAGCGCAAGGCTGTGGATGCTGCTCGCCCTGAGCGGAATGGACCCCGTGGTTCCAGGGCGTCGGAGAAGGATGGCAAGGATGTGCCCCCATCGGTTAATGACGCCGCTTTATGGCCTACTCCGGAGACTGCCATCAAGGAAGTCAAGGACGACAAGAAGAAGCCTGTCGAGCGATCCAGCCAATCCGACAAGGATTCTCAAGATGACGCTCAGGGCAAGTCGCGACAGAAGGAGAAGTGGGTGACCTACGACTACGTTCCTACCGTCAGCTTCGAGACCCAGCTTCCTCAGATGCGCAGCTCCAAACCCCGGGGTGGTGCCCGAAGCAGCCGCGAGGCTGGTGCCCGGTCGGCTACGAATGGCGTCACTGACAAGGCCCTGGTTGCTCCCTTGAACAAGGCCAGCGAGACCAAGCCGCGAGAGGTCAACGGCATCAACGGCGCCTCAGCCCAACCCCCTTCTGCCAAGCGCGGATCGCTTGATGCCGCCAATGGCCAGAAGAAGGCTCCTGCGAATGCCGACAAGGTCAAGGACTCGACGACCCAGTCAACCGTAAGTGGCATGCCCTAATTTCTTCCCAAGTCGCACAATTTTATTATGCACATGTGTCCCTTGTCTACGCTGTGTATAGGCCCTCACTAACACGTTTTGATCCTGTAGGAGAACGCCCAAGCTTCTCGGCCAGAGGGTCGTGGTGAGAGAGGACGAGGCGGCTACCGTGGACGTGGTCACCCCGTCAATGGCCAGTCGCAACATCAACACTCAGCCTCGGTCAATGGAACCGTCGGATTCGGCAGCCAAGCTGCTCCCCGGGCTCAGGGCCCTTATAGCCCCCCTCTTCGCCAGGGTGCTCATGGCCAAACGTTCATGCCTCCCGCTCAGCGAGGTCGGGGCGGCCGCAATGGCGCTGGAAACTACCATCGCATGTCTCTGCCTAACGGCCAGACGCGGATGCCTGCTGTCCAAGCTCAGTTCAGTCCCTACGACTACTCGATCCCTCCTATGGCGGGTATGCCCTTCCAGCCTCACCCTTATTGGGACAACATGGTTGTTCCTATGCTGAAGAGCCAAATCGAGTACTACTTCTCCATTGAGAACCTCTGCAAGGACATGTATCTCCGAGCACGCATGGATTCGCAGGGTTTCGTCCCTCTGCACTTCATTTCCGCCTTCAAGCGAATGCGAGACCTGTCCCCCGATCTGGGACTTATCCGTGCCGTATGTGAGGAGTCAATTGATGTCGAGTACATTGTTGGCGAGGATGACTGCGAGCGCCTGCGTCGTCGCGAGGACTGGCAGAAGTTCGTCCTGCCCATGGAGGACCGGGATGAGCTGGCTCGCAACCACGGCCCCGCGCATTTGACCTACAAGAACCGGGCATATGCATTTGGCAACCAGTTCAACGGAGTGCCATACGGTGCCTACCCCAACGACCCTTCCTTCCAGCAGTACGTCGATGGTGCCCAGGTGGCGCCCGCTGTTAATGGGCTAGTCAATGGCAATAGTACTACCCAGCTCTCTGCCGAAGTTCCGGATTTCTCACCATCTGGCGTTATCCCAGCGATTGAGACTGGAGGTAAGAGTGCATCCTCGGAGTTGACGAATGGCCACGTCGAGGTTCCCCTAACCAACGGTGTGCGCGCCGAGGGGCACTGAGTCACCCACTCGTAAGCTAGCCTCAGAAATGGGGGTGGCACCTACGGTGGTGAGGCTTGGGTAAGTGGTTGATCTTGTCGCGACATACCAGGCTACAATAGGTCACAGGCTTGCTCGCCTCATCGACAGGAGCGGGTTGTTGTCTCTTTTAGACGGGATCTAGGGAATATGGACGTCCCGGATCCGATTCATATGGTGTTCAGGGCATGACGCGCCCTCGGCTACGATAACGCCATGAGCGACGGCGTTGTATTAGTTGCGGTCGCATTTCTTGGTTCACGATTTTCGAGAGAATGAATGTATGGGAATTTGAAGGTTTCTGCACTCGAATGTGCACGAGGATGTTGCAAGCGCAGATGGATCGGACTGCTGCATTGCTTTGAACGGGGGGATATCAGGATCAGGGGGCTGGAAAGGAGTTATCCGTGACCGGATGTCGACAGGTACGGAAGACAAGGACCATGATATACGATGAGGCCACATGCGTTTTCCAGGTGGATGACCAAATCGACGGAAGCTGGAGAGCGAAGGAACGATGAATACCCATCTACGACGATATCCTGCTTTGCCTGGCCCGAAGGATCGAAGGGATGGACTGCTCACAGAAACTGGCGGTGGGACTGGGGGTACCGTTGGCTCAATCCTTGACATATTGGCTTTTCAGGGCGGAATCTGGGCAACATTGGCGAGACGTGCGGTCTCTACCAGCGCCCTGTTGGAAAGCCGTACAGTTTTTTTTTTTCTTAGAGAGGCCATTGGGCCAGTCTCGGGGACCTCATGGCAGGACCAAGGAATTCTGTGGATGACGTCCAGTGGAGTCGAAGGAAAAGACTCCTCCACGAGCGACGTCGGACTGTGGAGCAGGGAACGGTGGAGGAAGAGACAGAAAGAAAAGACAGGGACGAAAAAAGCACATGCATGTTATTGAGCCACGACACGGATCTTTCTTGGACTGCATTTCTGAGGGGTTCTACGGGGCGGTTTGCTTTTCTCAAGGATTTTTTGATGTTAGACGGGCCTCTCCAAACTTAACAGGTGTTTCTTGATTTTGACAATGTAAGATAGTTGCCAGAGAAAAATACTAAAAAGTCGAACAAACCCCTTCGCTCCTCGACTCGTCCACAGGTCACCTGGGCGGGTTCTGTGAGGTGCGGACGGGAAAACTCCCCTCCACGATGCTTTTGTTAGGGCTCGCTAATGCAAATGCTAGCTCATCATGGGTGGGTTCAAACGTGAGGGGTTGATGTTGGACTTGTGTGTACGAAGGGTTTATGCGACTTGAGGGATGGCGAGTGACCCTCAAATATCAATTTCTCTTCACTTGGTCGCGCATGCTCAGGAATTCTGCCAAAGTTGAGTTTTACAAAGGCGAATGCATATTTTGCTTGTTGGGACCGCAGACTGTGGTCGGTGTTGCGGGGTATGGCGGGGTCGTCGTTCGTTGGAGGGGTATGTAGGGTAAATTTGGGTAACTTTGGATAACATGACGCTGGCCACCAAGAAATGCACAGTGGGATTGCGGTGTGTATGGATTTATTAAACTGTGTGTGTTTGGAATTCGTCTGTTGGTTGCGCTGGGTAGCTTTTCATAATTGCACGTTTGGGTCATTCTCGCAGCCTACAAGCTTGGTGTGTCATGGATAGTCGCCCTCCCACTAGAATTTAACGGACATGAAGGGCTTTAGATCCAGGGTCCTGGACGGCAGTGGCTGAATGTGGACGACAAAACAAAGTTTGAAAGATAGAAAACGGTCCCCTTAGCTGGGACAGCGCACGGGAGAAGCCAAACATGGTTCTGGCGCAACCGTTGAGACTCATGACACTGTTGCGACCAATAGGGCCAGAGCCGGCTTCAACCTAGAGCCGGCGGAGACCTGCGCGGAGATGCTATCAATTTGGCACATGCACGAAATACTGGCTGCTATCTATAGTCATGGCTTCACCGGGATCGAGGAACGTGGTGGTGGTCGGATCGCCCGAGTTGACAGTGAAGCGCAGAATCCAGAGCGCGGGGGAATGAGGCGAACTGGGCCGCGGGGTGATTCGGTGACATCATCGCCAAACCGGGCGTCACCGGGCGGGGCGTGCAGATTGCCTGGCTGTGGCTGACTGGGGCTTGTGACCAAAGCGCTTTGGGATGGAGGGATGGTGTGGCTGGGGTCATGAACCAGGGTCACACCCCCCGTGGTTTTGGGGTTGAGAAAATGGATCTTGCTCACACACCCACGGGGAGAAAAGAACGCCCAGACTGTCTGATTGCCTCTACTGTACTAGATGAGGCGAGACTGGCAGACTGCAGGGAGAGCCCTTTGGTCTTACCGAGAGCGAGGTGACGCAGCGTCTCAGAGGCCTCACCTCCCTCCCTTCTTGACCAACACAGCTGTGGGCGCCACGGGGAATAGTACACAGCTGTGGTTTTTACTCTTGTCAAATGGATGGATGGATGCTTCATACTAAGAAGTTTGTTGGGGAGAATGAGAGAATGACAAAGAATGACTGACCTGATGACTGAGGGTCAACGCCAACAGAGCCTCACGCAGCACCGCATGGACAGGCCGTACAACAGGGAGACAACTCATCGTAGTACCTCAATCGGTGCCTCGTTTGCACAGCGCAAGCGGCTTGAAAGAGTTCCACCTCGTCCACCTCGCAAACAAGGACCAGCCTTGGTTGTTACCAAGCAGCAGGGAACACACGCCACAGGGCAACCCTAGCTTTGGACAATTTCCTCCCCACAGGAACCCACTATGTTTCTAGAATCGCCCGCGGGATATAAAGGTAACGAACGGGCGACTAGACCAGAGGCGAGCCAATGCACCACAGTTTGCCAATAACGTGATTGAAACTGATGTTCGGAGTTACCGGCAGCTTTAGAAGGTCTTGGGACTTCTTGGAGTGTGGCGCAGCTGCTCGGCGGGGGAAGTTGAATTTGCCCGGGGAAAAAGGGAATGCGGCTGTGTGTTACGATGGAACATTTCCCAGTGGAAACGTATCGGGACCGAGTGCCTTGTAAGTACCCAAGGAGCACCAGGTTGGCGTTCGCCTGTGTAGAATGGCGCATAGCCGTCGTGTTTATTTAACTCCCTTTTCGATTTCACCTCAAAGTCAAGCAAAACAGATGGCTACGACGAGTTAGGTAAGTCAGGGTTCTGCTCCGAGAGTTTGTAACTTAGTGGTTGCGGTTATTTTAGGAGTCTACAAGGCAGCATGGAGTACAGATTTTCAGTTGGATGCTGGTAGTTGGGCATCTACCGCGCAAGTTCGTATCCAAAAGGCAGTCTTGTCTGTGAAATGCGCTGGAGCCCACTGGAACTTGGGTGAGTGCCGTGGCAGTGGGAACCGTGACAGCCTGACCCTTGACCCCTGACCCTGGTCCCATCGATAGCGTCAGTGCTGTCGATTTGCCTCCCCGCTCTCATCATTACGTCGTTGGGCCCGCCCAAGTCGCTTGAGGTACCGGGGGGCAGTTTGCGTCATGTACCGTACAGCAGTGGAGCTAGTTGGCAGGTACCTTCCATGCAGTGTCGAACTTGTACAGAGGTACTTTCCGCGACGACCAGTGCGAGCTAGCAGGGAAGTGGCCGCCTCGATTGCTGCCTTCCGTGCATGCATCTCTTGACTTGATGCCCATTGCCATCCACTTCCCCTTCCCGCTTGGTCACTCAGTCACTCAGCCCACTGCCCACTGCCCACTTTGCCTTGGTCCTTCCAATACCGACTGGTAGACCCTGTTTCCTGGTCCTGCATTCGGTTCTTCTTCTAGTGGTTCCCCCCTCTCGCTTCTCGTCTCTCATCATTTTTACACCTTGCAAACAATCTACACCTACCAGGCACTTGTGCAACTCCTCTCGCATCGATTGGAGTCAACCCCAGAACACTACCACAACCACCGCTGAGAGAAATACATCCGCCTCTACACACCAACTTTACCCCCGTTTACTCCCCCAGCCCTGCCTATGGCGAGCTACGACCCGTACGAGCGGGAATACTCCCGCCGCTACGTGCGAGAGGAGCGTAGGGACGAACGCGACCCCCGCGACTCCCGTGAGTCTTACACCAAGGTGCACACCACCCGCGAGATCGTTCCTCGGGCCCGCGAGGACAGCGAACTGTCAGTTGAGGAGGTCCATCGGGATTTCCCTCCTCCCGTCGGCCGTGATCTCCGCCACGCCCGGCCCGCAGAGCCCCGCTACTATGAGGAAGAGTACGAACAACGCCGCGGCTACGACTCCCGCTACGACCGTGAATATGATCGGCGTTCCCGCCGAAGCCCCGGTAGCACATACTACGACGACGATGAGCGCAAGTCCAAGTCCAAGGGCATGTCCAAGCAGGAAAAGATTATCGCCGCCGTTGCTGGAGCCGCCCTCCTTGCCGGAGGTAAGGAGCTTTTCGACCGCCACGAGGCCAAGGAGGATGGCACCGAAGTTCAGCGCAACCCTCTCTCCTCTATTGCTCTCGCTGGTGTTGGTGCGCTAGCCGCCTACCAAGGTGCCGAGTTCTACACCAAACAGCAGGCTAAGAAGGACCAGAAGGCCAACTACATCCTGCACCGCGGCCGAGACGGCCATATCAACGAGTACTACTCAGACGAGGACGAAGGTCCCAAGGAGAGAAAGGGCCACAAGAACTTCCTCGAGAGTGCCCTGGCTGCAACCGGTCTGGGTGCTGCTGTCAAGACTCTCACCGGTGGTGGCGATGACCACAGATCCGACACCAGGAGCCGCCGAGGAGGCAGCCCTTCCAGTGACCGATCCCGCTCCCAAGGCGGTAGCAACAAGATCCAGAAGGCAGCCATGGCCTCGCTCTTAGCTGGTGCCACCGAGGCTTTCCGCGTCTCCAAGGAGCCCGGCGGCTGGAAAGGTGAGAAGACGAAGCGAATTCTGACTGCCGCTGCTGGTGCTGCCACCGTCGATGCGGCTACTGACGACAAACACGGCAAGTTGGGTCTGGCCGAGTCGGTAATTGGTGGTTTGGTCGGCAACCGTTTGATCAACGGTTCCAAGAATGAGATCGAGGAAGACAAGTTGACGGGACGCAGTCGTTCCCGTTCGAGGGCTCGATCCAAGTCTCAAGGCGGAGGCGGTAGCGGTAGCGGCGCCATTGCTGCCCTAACCGGTGCTCTGGGTGTCCTTGGTGCTAAGAAGGCCATGGATCGCTCACGATCCCGGAGCCGCAGCCGCCGTGGCCGTGACGACTCCTACAGTCCCTCTCCGGAGCGACGCCGTCGTCGAAGCCGTAGTCGAAGCCGCAGTGTTGTTGACAAGGCCCGCAACAGCCTTGCGAAGCTCGGCCTTGGCGCCGGTGCTGCGGGTGCTGCTGACGAGTATCATCGCCGCGACCAAGACGACTTTAGCGACCGTGGCTCACACCGGTCTCGCCGACATGAGGACGACGCCCACGATAGCGACCGCCGACATGGCAGCGCCCGGGACTACTACGATGATGAACGGTCGTACCGTAGCAAGCACGGAAACCGTTCAGATAGGAGGGGTGGACGGTCTGACTACGGATCTGAATCTGATCTGGGGGACTCCTCAGAAGATGAGAAGAGAGCGAAGAAAATGAAAGGTAAGCAAATTCTCACAACTGGCCTCGCGGCCGTAGCCACCATCCACGCAGCACATGAAGTCTATCAGAGTATGGAGAAGAGGAGCGCAAGGCAAAAGGCTGTCAATGAGGGGCGTCTCAGCCCTGCTGAGGCCAGGAAGCTCAAAACCAAGGCCATCATGCAAGATGCTGCATCGGTTGGTATTGCCGCTATGGGAATAAAGGGGGCTGTCTCAGAGCTCAAAGAGGCCAAGCACTTGACACACGAGTGCAAGGAATTCCAAGCCGAGAAGGCCCGTCGACATGAGAAGCGTGTGAAGAAGCGCCGGCACCAGTCTGTCGATGGCACACGACGAGCGGACAGCTGGGGACCTTCATCCCGGCCACGAGGCGGCGGATATGACTCGGATATCGAGTTGGACCCTCGCTACTCAAGGGGCAATCCCTATAGTGGCGGCCCTCTACCCGCCCCTCCTCTTGGAGGCGGGTGGTAGTGGCGTTCCGGCCCTTCGGCATGTTGCTGAAGCCGCTTGACTCGGACCACTGTCTCACATCACCGCCTCGCACCACTCTCGTGGCGGTTGAGCCTTCCCTCCGCCTTTCTATACACCTCAACATTACGACTTATGACGACATGAACTGAGCTCTGAGACTGCTTGGCCCCTGTTCGGTGGCGTTAAGAGGAAAGGAACAGAGGCAGGAAATGGTCATCTCAGGAATAAGGAACCTCAAAACGAGACGACTTGCTGTGCTGTGTGGAATCCCTTGATGGCGAACTCCCCTGCCTCAGATAGAACGAGCAGAGATGCTTTCTTCCTTTCACCTTTCACATCACATTTCAACAAGTGCATCAAGAATGGACACTAATTTCGGGCAATTGTGCAGATCATGGGCGACGCTGAACCAATAACGGTTCTCACCTCCAGAAATGGCGATGAACCCACCCTCCTAGGAGACTAGCAGCGGCGTAACGCAGCTTCGTGACAGAGAAGATGTCACAGCGATCCCACGGGCAGATTGCGCGATGGGTGTGAGTGGAGCTAGATCGTGAGCGGTGTACGAGGATCACGATGGAAGTGATCTGGGTGTTATGGCATGCATGATGATGAATATGCAAGCGTGGCCTGCCCGGGCTCGGGAAGCACGGCTTTGTGGAATCAGAAATGACGACTACGATTGGGTGGGGTGTTACTGAAAGCGCGGAAACCGGTTGAGACAAGGTAAGATAAGGTGCCACGTTGTAAAGGAGACTCTCTTCTGTGGGTGGCTGGCTGGCTTATTCGGCTAGGTTGGCACTTATTTCTTTTTACTTTCTTAACTATTTCGGGTGGAATATTTTGGCTAGAATCAAGGCAAACGACGAATAACGACATATTACGATGTTCTAGATGGCTCCAGACTTGGTTACAGCCATCCTCTGTTGCTAGTGTGATGCGTTGGCTGCGGTACCTTGCCGTCCCCGTACTGCTTGTGTAGTTAATGTGCATACATGTACCAGACCATTGTGCAGACCAAAGTCCAAATCCCACCTAGTTGAAACAGACGAAAAATACGCAAACACAAGCAAGGAATGATACCTCTTTGTGGTGACGTGCAGACAGACACGCAAGGGTACGCCTCGCTCCGGCTGCTTTAGTGTGGGCGTCTGACCAGGCGACGGTCTCGTCAGGCGTGAGGCTGTATTCCTTGGTTGTCGCACCAAAGGGGAGGGTGGCTAGGCATGGGAGGTATTTGGGGCTAGATATTTAGAGGATTTGGTTTGGTGTCGATGCGTGCCGTCATCAGCCGGGCGATCATGATGATGTCATGCCGAATCCCTGGCGTTGGGCGTTGGCCGCCTTGGCAGAGGTGACCTCAGCCGCACGCACGCCCGCATGGGAAGGCCAGTAACACGCAACTCCACATGGACGAGTGGACGACGGCTTCCAGTTGGCGGGTGCCGATACCATCTTGAAGCGCTGGGTGCTCGCTCATGGTGGTTATACGGCATGCAGGAGCGCGGCGTTCGTGCAGGAGGCCACATTTGGGTGCATGTAAGAAATAAATGTTTGCATGGGTGGATTGCGTGGATATCTATTATGTACGCAGATAGCAGAACAGGCTCTGGGCCACTGGAAGACGGGACTGAGAAGATGGCCAAGTCGCCCATCGGAGGAGAGAGCAACGGAACCGCGTGATGACAAAGAGACGACGGGACGGGACGAGGCCGGGCCGGAGCCGAAGACGGCACCCCGAAACCATCTCATGCGCCCGACAGGTCGCCGCCTGTCTGCTGCTTCCACTTCTGCGCGAGAGCCATGACATTGGACAGATTCGTGGCCTGCTGGTCGTCGGCCGGGAAGATATAATCGATGTACTCCTCCCACGAATCGTCGTCAAGCCGGCGCCGACGCTTCGTCTTGCGCGGCATCTGCTTCTGCACCGACTCGATATCCTCCTCACCGCCGTGCGTCCGCTCAAACGACAACCACGCGTTGAGCAGCGACACGCGTTCGTCCTTCAGGTCCTTGTCGCGCATGCTCTTGTGCGCCCGCTCAAACACCTCGCGCGCTCGCGCCTTGGCCTCCTCACTGACCGGCTGCTCCTCCTCCGCCTCCTCATCCTCATCGTCCTCGGGGATGTTGAGCTCAAAGTGCGCATAGCTGATCCAGACCTTAACATGGTCCGTCTTCTCCAGCAGCCGTTCATAGAGCTCGCGTGTTCGCTCATACTCGCCCTCCTCTTCCTCGAAATCGATGTATGCCTTCCACAACAGCTCCGGCATGTCAAGCTGCACCTGCTGTACCGCGAGCTCGAAAATGGCCCGCGTGCGCTCCAGGTCGTCGAGGCCGCGCTCCAGCTCCGCGAACTTGATCCACGTCTGGCAGTTGGCCGGGTTGTACTCGATATGCTTCTCGTACAATGTGCGACACCGTACAAACTCGAAGAGCCTGCGCTCCAAGTCGACGTAGCCGTTAAAGATCTTGTCCTTCGGGCACATGCCAATGGCCCGGCCGAGAAGCTTCCTCGCGGCCGTGAGCTCGCCTTGCCGCATCTCAAACTGCGCCGCCATGAGCCAGATTTTGGCAAAGGTAAACTTTTTGTGGGGGATTAAGCCCAAGCAAGTGTTGTAAATCTGTCGCGTCCGCTCCACATCTCGTCCCTCCATCTCCTCCCAGATGGCGTAGAAAACCCAGAGGTAGATGTACCGTCGCCAGTGACGCTTTTCCTGCGTCGGTGGGACTTGGGCAACGGCCCTCTCGTAGACATCCCGGATGCGATCAACATCCTGGGACGACTCCTCTAGCTTGGCGTAGTCAAACCAAGCATCGTAGTTCTTGGGGTTCTCTCGGACCTGGTCCTCGTAGTACACTCTCCTCTTCGACAGAATGACATCTTCAACGCCGTCTTTGTCACCAAACTGCTTCTCGAATGTCGTGTAGGCCTTATGGAGGATCATTGACTTGGATCGCGGTAGGCGATCGAGGGCATACTTGTAAATCGCCCTGGATCGCTCGTACTCCTTCAGTTTAGCCTCGAAACGGGCGTACGCGATGAACAGCTTCTCATCAACAAATTCATCGCCCAAAGCCTCCACTGCGGTCCCGAAAACTTCCCGAACGAGGTCGCTGGTACCGTACTCCTCCTCGAATTTGGCCCACTTGATCCAGTTCCGGGGCTCTGGGTGAATCATAGTGAAGGTCCGGAAGATGTCACGGGCCCGGTCGAACTCGCCATATCGCTTCTCGAGCTTGATGTATGAGCTCCATGCCGCCTCATCTGGCTGCCACTGCATCCAACGATCGAAGACTTGTCGGGTTCCGGGGACGTTGCCGAGCATCTCCTCCATGTAGACGTATTTATACCATAGCTTGTCGACTCGCGGCTGGCGCGTGACGGCACGATCGAGCAAGTTCCGGGCATGATTGATGTTTCTCGCCTTCATCTCCGACTCGATGTATCGAATCCAGAGTGGAACCGAGTTGGGATGCACATCGAGTGCGCGCTCGAAGACGGATCGCGCACGCGCAAACTCCTTTTGTTCCAGCTCCCATCCCGCATAGCGCATCCAATTGTTGAGGTTGACCCGGTTTCGTCGCACATAGTCCTCAAACTCCTTGCGCTTCCTGCCCTGGTACTCATGGAGCTCCTCGAGATCGGCAAACCGCTGGGTCGGGGGCTGGAGATCAACTTCCTGTCGGTCGACGGCTTCGCGGAGTAGCTGTTCGGCGCTGATCTGAACGGGCGCGGCGGCCTTGTTCTTGACCCTCGGGGGGCCCCTCGACGACTCCATCTTGCGCGACGAGTGCTCTTTGCAGAGATACGAAGATGGAAGTGGTGAGAGGTGATGGATGGGGTTGATCTGACGTTTCTGTGGTTGATGAAGTGGAAGCGAGCAGACGCGACATCAACAAGGCTCAAAAAATTGGGCAAGTGGCTGACTATCGTCGATAAGATTGTGTTTGTGGCGCACGGGCCTTCTAGTGTGGCGTCTGCTCAGCCTTGCAGCCTGGCAAATATTTGTAACCCTTGCGCCCAGGCACGTCCTGTCGCGAACCACATTCCTTTCATCACCTTAATCAGCCATCTGCCACCAACATGACGACTGTCGCGGACGACTTGCTTAATGACTTCGGAAGCTCCGGCGATGAGGCCGAGGATGTCGAAAACAACAATGGCCTTATCCACGAGGACGAGTCCAACGGCGACCGCGACCGCGACGCCATGGAAGTAGACGGCGACGCCGCGGACGAGGACGACCGACTTGATAGCAAGCCAGAAAACGGTCTTAACGACGTCGAAGATGCGGAGGCTACAAAGGCAAAGATCGAGAAGATGCAGCTCGGCGCAGTTAAGGACGTGCGCAGTGTCGCAAGCCTGATGCAGACAATGGAGCCTGTCCTCGAGGTTAGTACTTCCCCTGGCCGCGTCTTGATGGACGATTCGTTTACATCTGTTCTTTTGAGGGATAGCCCTGACGTGTTGGTTCGGACGCTACAGAAAATTACACACTATCGATCACAAGCCGCGACGCAGAGCACGAACGTCGGAAACATCGAGGATCATCCCGAGTACCACCTCCTCACGCAGTCCAACGGTCTCTCCACCATGATCGATGGCGAGGTAGTCTTGGTGCACAAATTCATCCGCGACCACTACTCAACCCGATTCCCGGAGCTGGAAAGACTCGTGACGACTCCCCTGGAGTATGCTAAGGTAGTGGCCATTCTCGGAAACGGTCCCCTGGACTCGGACAGTATCAAGGCCCTTCAGACCTCAACAGACAACCCTTTGGGGACAAGCTTGAAGTCTGTGCTAGACGGCCCGTCTCTCATGATCGTCACTGTGGAGGCGACGACGTCAAAGGGCCATGAGATGACGGCTGAGGAGATGCAGCGGGTTGTCCAGGCCTGTCACATGGTCATCTCGCTCCACAAGGCGAAACAGACTCTGACGGAATACGTCCAGTCGCGTATGAATATCTTTGCACCTAATCTGACAGCCCTCATCGGCTCTCTTACCGCCGCGCAGCTCCTCAACGCCGCCGGTGGACTCACTGGTCTGTCCAAGACACCAGCCTGCAATATTCCATCATGGGGTTCCAAGAAGAAGCAGTCTGGACTAGCAACAAACATTGGTATCCGGCAGCAAGGATATCTCTACAACTCGGAGATGATCCGTGGTATCCCCAACGATCTCAAGAAGCAGGCCATGAGAATCGTCTCAGCCAAGCTCGTGCTAGCCGCCCGAGTCGATCGCATACACTCAAGCGCCGACGGGTCTACGGGAGAGGATCTGAAATCTGCCTGCCTGGAGCGACTCGAGAAGCTCACGGAGCCGCCGCCAAACAAGGGAAAGCGAGCACTGCCAGTGCCAGACGACAAACTCTCCCGAAAGCGAGGTGGACGACGTGCCCGCAAAGCGAAGGAGGCTCTCGCCATGACAGACCTAAGGAAAGCCCAGAACAGGATGACGTTTGGCAAGGAAGAGAAGGAGGTTGGGTACGGCACGGGCGAATCAACGATGGGCATGGGAATGATCGGACAGTCCAACGACGGCCGGATCCGCGGCATCCAGGTTGATCAGCGAACGCGAGCGAAACTCAGCGCCAAGAACAAGGGCTGGGGCGGTGCCAGCACTGTGGGCGGTGCGGCTTCGTCTATCGGTGGCTTCGGCCAGTCGGCCGGCATCGACCTGCGCGGTAAAGGCTTGAGGGCCTCGGGTGTAGGTAGCACGGTCGGCTCGGCCACGGGCGGTACAGCCTCGTCTCTCGCTTTCACACCCGTCCAAGGCCTCGAACTCGTCGACCCCAAGATGCAGGCCGAACTCAGTAAGAAGCGAAAGATTGAGGAAGACCGATGGTTCAAAGGCGGTACTTTCACTCAGGCTGGTGGTTCATCCAGCGGCTTCAAGGTACCGGGCCTGCCATCAGCTAAACGTGTCGACACCGGAACAACGAAGATGGGACCTCCAGCGGCGCGCAAGTCATGAGGATTGCTAGGAGATGCGAGAATAGATTACTGGGAGACAACGGGAGCGGAACACCATCATCCGAGGAAATATTGTGACGATATTAATGGTCACAGGTTATACTGAGGCAAGAATCACCTGAGACGAGAGATCCATGGGCCGGGAAGTGTTGCAGGCGAACAAGGCGTTCAGGGAAACAATATAAGTTGACTATTCCGAGTGACTTGGTAGGGCAACTATTTTACAGTGTACTTGGTAAAACAGAAACAATCATCATGATAAACTTCGTTGACACGTGGGTGGCGTTGTAGTTGCTTTTTTATTGCAAGACATGTCAGGGGTATACCTATACAATCAACTCGCAAATCCTAGACCCTTGCCGTTAGACAGTTGCTGATCGTGTGAGAGGGAGGATCAATGTGACATCACGAGATATAGTTGCAGATGTTAGATCTCAGGCACAATGGATAAGTTAACCACAACTTGCCAAGATCTGCCATATCCTTGGTCTTTAGCATGCTTCGTCCCCGGTCCGGAACGGTGATCCTGTAGGGTAGGATGGTTCGGCGTGACTGGAGATAAACATCCACCCCATAATGAGGGGCAACTGTCTTACATTCGTCCCATGAACAACCACGAGACTGTAATGCATGCATAAACCAATATGGCCGGGTAGGATGATGTAAATACCAGTGGTAATTCATGCTCGTACGTTTTTAATCTGCCAAGAATCTGTCCGAACTCTAGCACGGATTATGGCAACGTGACAAATGCACATATCGAAGCGTCACGGGCCGTAAAGCCGGCGTATACGACCGACGTGCTCTAAAAGGGAAATCTAGTACCAACACCAGCATTATGGGTTCAGTGTGGATATTTTTGCCTTGCCCAGAGCACTTTCACCGCCAGAAGGGAATGAATGATTCAGAGGCATCGATCATCGGGATTCGAGGACGCTACATCATAACTCAGCCAGCGCGCTAAATAGGCGCGAAGACTGTGGCGCGACTGTGGCTTTGGGTTATTGGGAGTAGCTGGAATAATACTCCATAGATATGCGTTGTTTGCTAGGGAGTGCGGAATCCTGGCGGCAATGAACGCCCAACAAATGCAGCTTTGCTTTTGCATCTCGATGCTTACTCTTGGCCATCTTGATCCGATCGCCCTGAGCAGGGCCCGTACCGCTGATGGTAATATCTGCCCGTTCTTTGCACCAAAGAGGAAGTAGTTTGGTCGTAGATCCGATGACATGAAGGGATACTGGGTATTGGACGATCCACGTGCTCATCCACGACATGATTGTTAAGCTATGACCTGCGGCTGTTATTCGTTCCGAGTGAATCGCCACAATGCAGGCATTGCTTGAGCTGAGACCAGACCCCGAGGATATAAACCGGAGACAATGTTCTTGGTATGACTTGCTTTGGGGCAAAACGTTATTGGGCATGTCCCAACGCAACTCTAATAAATTTTCCTCTCCACGAGCATGTGCGAAAAGCCAGAGAGAGACAATGACAACGCTATGACGTGGAAACGCATGGCGGCGAAGCGGGGAACTAGTAAGCCAGTGGCTTGATTAAGATTCATCTTGCTTTGCAAGGGATACAAAAAAAAAAAAAAAAAAAAAGAAACAAGGGTATGGGGGAATCCCTGGTTGGCAGACGTCCCTCTGTCGTGTATCTTGCACTTTATGGAACGAAGTTCGAAAAGACAGCAGGGTCGCTCATCCGGAGTAAGGGTAAGCTTCTATAGGCCAGTGTTTACGCAAGGAAAGGAGTGACTTGGGGTTTGATATCTATGTAGAACAAGCTTGTGAAAACTCGGACCAAATAATTGAGATTGAAGCAGGGAGTGAATTACGACGTCTTTTGGGCGTGACATATGACATGGCGTAAATAAGGGGTCTCGACCCTGGCCGTGTAACCCCCAGCGTTAGGTGGGAGCGTCGAGATGTGTGACAACGAATGAGAATATGGAGAGTTGATGCTGGTCGTGGACAAGCTCACTTCCGTTGAGGCTCTGACAAGCCGTTGGCACAAGTTAGATGATCTCCGTATCCAGAGTCCATCAGTCCACTCCGTCTCGGCCGGTCAAGCCACCGCTCCCGGGGATGGTACCTGACAATCAATGCCAAGGACGGATGGCGTGAAGGTTGAGGATTGTTAGAGGGTGAGTGATGGATGGGTGACCTCGTGCAGTTGCCGTGATATCCTCTGCTGACGGTTGACGGCTGACGGCATCTGTCTGAGCAAAGTGGCGGCCACATGTTGGGAGCCCCTCGGACGCACCCCGATACAGTACGTCTTGCCCTTGCTTGGATCCCTTTCGTGATTGTTACATGGCAGATCGATGGGACCTGGCGACCCGCTAGGAACACCCTCTTCTCCAAGTCGGACCGGGGAGGGGGAGAGGGGATAGAGGGGATAATAGAAGGGGGGGACCTAGTGCGTAGAGGGTATGCCCCACCAGCCACACCGGCGGGGCGCGTGAGGCTGGACGAAGTACCCACAAGGCATGTAAGCTAAGCCCAGCACCAAGCAGAGAGCCGATCCCCCGCGAAAGTTGAGATCCCGAGCGAACTTCGTTGACTCTATGCTGCCGTGCCCAGAGCTGCCATGATGGGACCCCGAGACCCCGATATCCTGGAAACTGGGTCTGTCCGTCGTCTAGGTACGTACCTGTGTGTCCAAACTTGGGGCTCCTCTTGATCAGGGTCGACTCTGCTTGGCTTGAGTCCACTCACCCCCCTCCAGATTGTCCCGCGCTGCAGATGGCAGCTTTGAAACGCCATCCATCGTCGTTCAGTCCAGCTCGAAATGGCCAGAAATGGCACAGGCAGGCCCCAGGCAAGCCCATGCAAGATACGACTAGGCGGCAAAGCCGTTCGGGTCATTGGCCTAGCCTTGGTCCCAGCGTTTCTGCACCGTTGAGGCCCGAATTTTGTCGGGAACGGCACCAGCAAGCAAGCAAGCAAGCAAGCAAGCAAGCAAGCAAAACAAGCAATGACGCAGTGAAGCTCTCGCACTACCCAATTCCCCGACCGGTCCCGGAGTTAGCAAGCCGTAAGTAAGTTTACTCCGGACTGTGCAGGCAAAGTACTTTCCATATTTGAATTGCCGACAGAACGCTTATTAGGTATGCCCACCCGGTGTAGTAGTTCCCGCTCCAGCAGGTCGTCATCTACCACTATTGTTACGTACCACGTACCTATTTTGCTGCGGAACGTTCGGTTCATGGGCGCATCTCAGTTGCATTTTGGGTGGAGTGGAGAGGGTAGGAGCCATCTTGCGGGCGCTGCAGGAAGCCGCATCGAGCTTGAGTGCTTTGACAGGCAAGAAGGCGAAGAAGGCGACCAAAGGCTAAGATGGTTGCCAAAGTGGCGGCCAAATGTGGTGACGTTTGACGTGCTGGTGGCTTCAGACCAGTCGGGATTGACGCGTACTCACAGTAGGACCCTGAAAACCTGCGACACGGCTGGGTGCACGACACAGTGACATAGGAGGAGGGGTACGTATGGGTACCTATGTATGGGTAGGTATGTATGGGCCGGAGCAAATTGACCGGATCTTGGTCCAATACAAGGCCTGGGAAGGGCTTAATTAGGCTGGCATCCTGGTAGTCAAAGCAGAGTCAATGTGCCGTCATAGAAGGGAGGCCGGGCGGAGATGAGCCAGAAAACCATCCACGGGCCATGGTGTTGTGCAAGAATGGCATCCCCAAAGCGCCTCGCGGCCACTGAGGACGTGTCCTTAGCATTGGTGCAGTCCGCAGTGTGTGGTGTGTCTCAAGGTTCTTTGTCAGGCCAGGGTAATCGAAAAAAGTCAGGGTAAGGTTGGTCTTGGCCAGGCCGGTGGGCAGGGATGGCCGGGGCGGGGACCTTTGGGTGGTGTCCGTCGGTAGCACAGCAATTTAGCACAGCAATTGCACGCTGGAGGCACTTGGGCACGCAGTTAGCAGCGGCCGGTGTGGATAGGACGGTAGGATAGGCCCAGATACGCTACGTACCGAGGTTGGCCAGAACGGTTCCATAAAGGACCCCTGCTTCCCAAAGGTCACCGCCAAGTAACTCGCAAGGTAACTCGCCAGGCAACTCGCCACTCGCCAGACCACCGTCCGTCCGTCGGGGCCGGCAGCCTCCTCCGCGCCGAAAAGACAGGGCGCGGAGGCGACAGAGAGCCTAGAGATATAATAGAGTTTCTAAATTTGCCATTTAGTGCTCTCCACTGCGCATGTGAGGTGTTATTGTCGATGTGCTGGAGTCGATGGCGTCGGCTAGACGAGGAGCACAGAGCCTCGCGCCTCGGGGATGGCGTCGCTCAGACGAGCAGAGCCAAAAAAAATAAAATAACAACCGAAGCCATAGGCGGAATCAAGGCGCGACGGATTCGTTTCGCCTCGGACCCCCGGCCATCGGCGACCGGCGAGCGCGATCGATTACATATTCCTATCGTGTGTATGCAGTCAGTACCGAATGCTGCGCTTCTCCACGGGTGGCACTGACACTGGCGCTGGTGTTGGCGTTGGTTCTGGCGCCCTTTGATGACTGCTGCTGGTGCAGCAATGCTTGTGTTGGAGCCGGCGCCGGTCAAACTGCCCACCTTCTCGTTTCCCTCTCGATCTCTCCGATTATTGGCTGTGGGTGTCCCGGACCTGAGGGACCTGAGGGTTGGAGGGACCCTGGAAGCGACCCTTGGAGCGTCAACGCCCAGGGGACTTTGCCCGCCCCCGCTGCCTCCACCTTCTGTAGCCACTGTAGCGTCCTCTGTAGCTGGTAGTGTCTGGCGGAGAGCTTAAGGGTGGGCCCCCGCCTAACGTTAAGCGGGTCGACTGGCTCCTCACCGTTTCCCCTTCTCGGCGCCCGCAACCGCACCCGGCCGATGGTGGATGGTGGATGGGACGGTGCCTTCCCCATGGAGGACAAAGAGCCAGAGGCTATGGGCTGGGGAACCTTTTGGGCGCCTAAGCTTTCGAGGCTCAATCCCGCTTGTCGCCACGACGGCGACTTCTTGACAAGGCTCGAGTCTGGGCCCTCCGTGGTTGGGTCTTCAATTTTGCCTTTATGGAAAACCTAATTCGTGCTGACAGAGATCGACGCTCAATTATCAATCACCCGGTTCCGCGGCGACTCCGCCTCTATCCTTGCCTCCGAGCCCTTGGACAGGCCTCAATGTGTCTGCCGAATGGGACGTTCGGATCTTTTGGCAAACGGGCGGCTCCTCGGAGAGTCACAGATTGGAGTGAGTGCCGGGGGGGGGCTTCTAGAGCGCGACGTTGACGAGGAGAAGCTTGCATGATTGACTCCCTCCTGCGCCGGCTTGATATCAACAGCAATAGCGGAGCGCTGAATGTTCCTAGGTTCCTTGCGCCAACGGATGTCAGGGTCCAGGCTGACGACTTGTTGTCATGAGCTTGACGTCACCATGGTGTGACCAGGAGGGCCAAAGGGGTCTTGGGGCTCTTGGCCCCCTTGACCGGGCTGGTGTGGTCCCCGTCATCCGTCACTATGACGGTTACTAGTCGTTTACACAGTCCACAGCATCGACGGAGAGTAGGGATCGAGATTACGGGTGAGAAGTCGGGGTCCAGGCACCGGAGTCCCGTTCCGTATCTGTAAGCTGACGCGCTCAGTCGCGACACCGCGGCCGACTGGCGTCGCGTCTATCACGAGATGGTGAGTTGAGAAGACTGGACCCTGGAGCGAGACGGGCATTTTGGAACAACAGTGGTGCGAAGAAAAATGCGAATTTGAAACATGTATGGGAATCTCGCGACAACAGGCGACAGAAGACGGCTGCGGTGGTTGTCGGTCGGAGCTGGGCCAGGGAGGTGTCAGCAAGATTTCGGGGGACGACTTGGGGGGCCGGGCAGTGGTGGTGCGACGGACAAGGCTGTGATGCAATGCGCAGCGACGCGAAGTTGGTGATTGACATGATTATGTGCTCCTTTGGGATGCGAACTGGCACGGTTGCCCCGATGCTGCCCTGATGCTGCCCTACTGCCCTGTCCACTTGGCGATGTTCCCGGTTCGAGTCCCCGAAAAATGTGGATGGAAGTAAACACGCGGGCTTGTGCAACCTCCGGACTGTAGACTCAATGACCTACGGAGGCTGCAATGTACAAGGGAGATACTTGAAGGCGCCAGGGTACTGAGCCCGGAGCCAAGGAGCCTGCGCAGCCAAGAGGGGTTGCACGCTTTTGGAGGCAGTTGCGTCTCCTGGTCGGACCCTTGGCGGGGCCCCTGCCCTTGCCCGCCTTGCCCCAAGAGTGCAAAGCAAAACTCAAGCAAAGACCCTTCCTTGCCTTCTCTCTTCCTTGTCGGTCGTGTCAATAAATCCATGTCCCTGGGGGGGCGGGGGGAAGATTGTCCCACTCACACCGACCCACTACATCTCCACTCCATCTCCACCCCGGTCGAACTGGCCCCGGTCACTCCCACACGCTGGGGAGCGGGAGCTTGGAGCTTGGGATTTTCGCAAGGCAAGGGCAAGCCAGGGCAGGCGCAGGGGTGGCCGACCGCCGACGCCAGAGGCAAGAGAACCCAGGTCGCTCTCGCGACTTTCTCGATCCCGTCGATCGATTGTGGGTTCCATGCGTGCATGTGCAAAGCCCGTCGTCCTTGCCATCCAGTCCCATCTTATCCCCATCACATCACAGCCCATCCAGCGCATACCCCATTCTCAGGTACCTATCCGCACACCTTACCTTACAGTTCAACTCGCTCCATACCGCCGCCGCTTATACGCCTTTACGGATATCCGTGCCTCTTTTTCTTTCTCTTTGCTTTCCTACCACACACCCCTCTATCCACTCTCTCTACCCCCTGTGGCCCCGTGGCTTTGCGACTTTGCGACTCCGTGACTCTGTGCGTGGACTTTTCGGGTCTTGCTCGACATACTCCCATGGTCTTCTCCACGTTCATACGTCTCCATACCCCCCGACCCTGGCCCTTCGCCTTCGGTTGACGGTTCGAAAACCTAATAAAGCTCCAAGCCCAGCCTGCCTCGCCTAGCTTCGCCTTGCCCTGGTTTCTGAAGACGTATCAATTCCTCAGATCATCGTTCTTGCTGATCCTCCCCACTGCGAGCATCTCCTCTCTCTTGTCTCTCGTGGCTTTCTTATTTCCTCCCTCCCTCCCTTGAAAGGACCTTGGACTCTCGGACCCCAACCGTCGTACATTGTCTTGCTTGGCTTGAGCGCATCGCCCAATCTCCCACCCATCTCGCCTCGTCGCCCTCGGTCCTCCATTTACGTTTGCTTTCCCTTTTGGGACTGTTCATCTGCTCATCCAGCGCCATCGGACAACTGTTCCATCACGTCTCGTCAGATCATATGTCGCCGACGTCTGACGACTAGTGCTCATTTCCATTCCATCAACACCATTGCCGTTCTCGCGAACCTGGCGAAATAATACCACGACTTTGGCTACGATTGCAACTGCGAACTTCGAAAACACTCCCGGTGACTGGTCCCCTGGTCCCCTCGCTAGACTCGTTCTTCAATTAAACACACCCGGTGTCGGTGCTTTGTTCTGAACCAGCCTCGCGCCTGACTCAATTTCATCAAAGAGAAGAAGAAGAAGAAGAAGAAGAAAAAGAAAAAAAAGAACCGGATCACGTCCCAAGAAGCATTTTTTTTTGAGACATCTAGTTGCGAGACCTTTCCAAAGTCTCCCGTCCTCATTTTCCAGCTTCTCAGCTTCCAAGCCTCCCGCTTCCCGCTTCCCCAGTGGCCCGCCCCCCCTGCCTTCGCCTCGGTACCCGGTCACTTCCACCCCCCCTGGTCGCCCCCAGGCACCTTGCTTGACTCTACTCCGCCTCGCGCTCGCCTCACCTCGCTTCCTTACCTTAGACCTTCAAACCCGCTGCTTCCGGTTTCTCCAAATCTCGCGACCAGAGCTCGTTCGAACCACAAACGCCAGCCTCTCTTTTCGCGATGCAAGCTCGAGACGCTTCAGGCCGAAAGGTCTCGTTACTCAACGACGACGGTGCCGGCTACCTGGCCCAACGATCTCTAAGCTACCACTCTAACCATGCCCTCGCGCAACAATACTCCGTCTCCGGAAGCGCCGCTTCCTCGCCCAACACTCCCGAGCTTCTGCGTTCCGACTCATACGACTCCCAAATGAGCAACGACCCCGTTTCGCCTTTGACTCCCAACGTTGACTATTATCCGCGACATCAATCCGTTTACTCCATCCCCCACGAGTATGGCGTCGATGCCCACTCAGCCAAACCCGCAGCCTACGCCGAGAGCTCTCGCTCCGCATCCTTTGACGATGACCTCTCCAACCAACCCGCCGCATCGCCCATGCCCGACCGGCCCAGCAAGCGCTACCCATGTCGCTATCGCGACAGCCACGGCTGCGAAAAGACATTTACTACCTCGGGTCACGCCTCGCGCCATTCGAAGATCCACACCGCTGAGAAAGCTGTTCACTGCACTTTCCCAGGCTGCCAGAAAAAGTTCACCCGAGCCGACAACATGAAGCAACACCTGGAGACACACTACAAAGAGAAGACGCGATCCTCGAGTCAACGAGGCCACAAGACCTCCTTCGCCGAAGCCCGCCGCAACTCCTCGTCGGGGCGTAGCTCCGCGTCCAGTCGCTCAGCTGCTTCCAGGGACTCCAAATCCCACTGGGAGACGACAAACCAGTACCCTCTTCCCACCCCCCCGCAGCCTTCACCGAGTCTTGCTAGTGGAGCATGGGACATGCGTGGTCTCAACCTCCCCCTGCTTAACCGCCCAGTCGCTGGCAGGACCCCCAGTGGACTGGACGCCCTGGCAATGGCGGTGGCCTGTCAAGAGGGTGGTTCCTGAGCTTCTTCGGCTCTAACTGGTTGACACCTGACTTACATCCCGCGTCACCCCTCACCATCCATCACCAAACCGCAATCCGCCCTAGTTGATAATCCTAATCTTACTCATCGACCACGCCAAAACTCCACCTCATCCTCACCGCAACCAACCTCGTCTTACCAGACACGACACCACCTCACACCCTTACATACGAAGCATGGTTTTTTCTTCCTTTTTCGGCTACTGATCTTGTTGGCTGCGGGATGTACGAATACACGAAAGGCAATCCTAAGGGAAAGGCGTTTTCTTCCGGTGCTTATCTTTTTCATGGGGATTTGATGAACATGGGCGGTGTCAAAAGTACACGAAATGGCGCCTAGCATGATTTTCCATCTCATCTGGTTTTTAGATATATGACGACAGGAAACCTTTGGGGATATTCCATGGAGAGAAAAGGCACGGCGTTGGGCGATTCTTTTTTTTTTTCATCTTCTGTTGAGTTGATGTGCCCTCGTCGGCGAAGGCGGCCCTGAGCCTGTCTCGCGACAAGGAGCACAATCACAGTGATCTTGATGAGGGCATTGGGTTTTGAGGCATACCCCTGGACTGATACGCTGCAATTACATAGCTGCGGTTTGACGAAAGTTGGAGCAAGATCGATTTTTTTCGTTGCTTACTGGGTTACATATAGCTGAAGGCCTTTGAGAGAGAGGCGCTTCATGGTGTGAATTGATACCACTTTGATCTTTACTTAAATATTGATTTCTATTGTTTTTCTGAGTTATGATTGGTTGAACAACTCGTAAACGACATGGCCACCGGCCTCCGCGCGATCACATTGAGCTCCCCAAGAATGTAAGTATTTATAAGCAAAAGGTCCATCTCTATCCTCTCCCTGGGCTAGTATTCTCGCGACTGAAATATGCTAGAGTCGCAACATGTGTCTATTCCCACAAGTCCTCCTTCTCAGCGCACAGTCTAGCCATCTCAAGCTGCTCATCAGTCTGGCAGACGAGAATGCCATGTTCGGATCCCTCAGCACCAAGATCCTGGACGATGCTGGTGACGGGTTTGGCGTTGCGGGCCTCGTCGAGAGTGAAGCCGAGACAGGCGAGACGATCGACGACGGCGGCGCGGAGTTTGGCGCTGCGCTCGCCAATGCCGCCAGCGAAGACCAGGGCATCGACGCGGCCACCAAGTGTGATGTAATACGAGCCAACGAAGCCGCAGATGCGGTCAACGAAGATGTCGAATGCAAGGCGGCAGGCGGGATCGTCGGAAGCGGCGACAACGCCGAAGTTGGTGGTGCCCGTCATGGCTTTCCAGCCGCTTTGCTTGTTGAGGATCTCCTCGGCGACTGAGATGTGGAGGTGCTTGGTTGATGCAGGAGAGAGCTTACCCACATCACTGGCGTAGTGAAAGACAAGGCTGAAGTCGCGGTAGGTTAGTAACATTTCTTTGACTTCTCTGAGTTATCGTCAATGGCTCGGGGGAGCCTCGCCGACGACCTGCGGTTGGTGTACCAGTAGGTATAGCTGGACTTACCTTGGGTCGACACTGCCGCTTCGCGTGGCACCGGGGAGACCCGCCAACGGAGTCAATCCCATGCTAGTGTCATAGCTCTTGCCTTCCTTGATGGCACACGCACTCGCGCCGCTACCGAGGTGGAGGGCGATGATGTTGAGGGAGCCGACGTCCTTGTTCAGGAACTCGGCGACGGATCGCGTAATGAAAGCATAACTGATGCCGTGGAAACCATACTTGCGCAAGCGATTGCTCTTTGCAATTTTGGGGTTGATGGGATATGTGTAGATGTGTGGCGGGAGGGTAGTATGGAACTGCGAGTCGAAGCAGGCGACGTTGACAGCGTCGGGGAGAAGCCGGATGCACGTGTCCACGATGCCAAGCGCAACGCCGTTGTGCAGCGGCGCTAAATCGCTCAGCTCTTCAAGGTGATGATATGTGTCCTGAGTTATGATCTGAGACCTGTCGTAGTCGCCGCCGTGAACAATGCGATGACAGGCAATGGAGATGTCGGCCTTGGAGCGAATCTCTTGCAGGCCGTCATCGTCGACGAGTGTGTTGAGCAGCAAATTAAAGGCGTCGTCCTGGCTTTTGACCTCATCAGAGACCTCCTTGGCCTTGATGAGCGTCTCGCCGAGGCGGACATATGTTAGCTGGGCGGGCGGGGCAGTGAGGCCGCTGATCTGAGTGTCGGCGATCTGGCGGGGCAATGCATCCTTGTCGGCTGTGAAGACGGAGATTTTGACCGAGCTGGAGCCAGCGTTGATGGCGAGGATAACCTTCATGGCCGCAATGGCAATAGAAGAAACGAGTAGAGTCAATGGATTGACATCGATACCGTTGTGCCAGCAATGGGCGCTAGTTATATGATCATGATATGTGAGCTCGGCGAGGTGCGCTGCTGAATGACGACACACCGTGGTCTGACACCGCGGGGTCAAGGTGGGGGTGGTGTCGCTCCGGGCAGTCTGGCCGCAGTCTGGCCACGGCTGTGGCATGTGGTTTGCTGATGGTCGCGCATTCCGCCGCAATATCTGCCGTCACCCCCCCAAACCGCGCCGAAATCCCACCGGCCCAGGCACTCTACAGGTCTTGCAAGCGAGAGTGTCGCTTGCGTCGTTGTGTGTCCTGCAAAGGCTGTCACCCCACCTGCATGCTGCTGCAGGCATGTGGCTCGGGTTGGTGGTGCTACTGGCTGCGTGGCTGTTCAGGGCGTTGCCACTGCATCGCCTGAGCCCGAGGGCTCTGCGATGCTATCTAGGGTGCGGTTCTGCCATTCCGACACCGGGAGATCTGGAGAGTGTCCCGGCATTATTTGCGGCGAGGGTAGCTCAAAGTGGTTAGGTGGGAAGGGGATGCCGTTAAACTCGCGGTCAGTACTGTGGCAATAGAGCCACGTCTCTAGGAACCGCCGATACGCTGGGGTGATGGTTAGCTGACTGGAAACCGGTTTGGTTGTGATAAGAAGGAGCAATGCCCTGGGACGTATTTACCTTGGCGTTCGGTAAACTGGATGGCCAGGTATCGTATGTCCAGCGACTGCTGAGACGGGCTGGGCTCCGAAGAACTGCCAGTCCTCACCCGAGGACGGATTCGATGAGCCAGGTTGAAACGGCGGTGTTGATGGTCATCAGTCGAGCTGCGGCGTCGACCATGGGCCATGAGTTTGAGCTGTTTCGCACGATCGTCTCGCCCCCGAACCTCGCCGTCGAAGTTGTGTATCTCGTATTCGCGGTACTGGCCGTCGGTCTTATTGGCCCATACGCTGAGCGAGTGGAAGGTCGTATATCGGTCTCTCCATAGCTTGAGCCGTTGGATGGCTCCAATGCCCTTGACTTTCCCAAAACTATCAGTGCGGCCATGAACATTGGTCCAAATCACATCCACGTCGTAGAAGTCGACGAGGTCTTTTCTGCGGACATCGCCCTGAAACTGGATAGAGCCTTCGACCGTGGTGAATTCGTACCGAACCTTTATATACTGGTCGTGGATACAGACGCCTTCGTCCGTCGTATACCGAATTCGATGGGGTTCCTGAAAGGTCAGATACCGTTCCATGTCCGCGGGGTCGTAGTAGGGGCGATGGCGTGAGTGGAGGGTATGGGGGTGGATATCTGAGGGAATGTCGGAGGGCACTGGAGTCGAGTATTAGCCAATGCGCCGGGATGATAGGAGGAGGATGGAGGGCAGGCTCACGGTAGTGCTCGAGGAGTTCGTTCTGGTAGCTGCCCTGCCAAAGGATGCGGCGCTGTTCAGAGCCCACCACTTCCCAGGGGCCGAGATAGACGACACGCTCGTCGGGGGTGTCCTGGAAGAGAATTCTGGAGGAGACCAAGGTCAGAGAGGGTAAAGCAACAATTGGGACCCCGAGAAGATTGAACAAAGCGGGAAGGCGCCAGACGGGATTGTTGAACGTACATTGTTGCTTGGAAGCCGGGAGGGCCGAGGTCGAGGGTGGAAGTTTGTGTGACTGAGCCCTCGGTTGTGGGAGCGGATATGGTCGAGATGCCCGAGGTCGGGGTCCAAGTCGAGTCAACTGGACTGGCGTAAGTACGCCCATACGTTGGCGGGCGACCGAGCGACGACGAGGTAAAGGAGGAGCCCGAGGAGGACATGCTGTCGCAGGTGGCAGTCGAGGGCAAGCTGACTGACCGAGCGGTGGGGACATGTCATGACACGGTCACAACGATGAGAAGCTGGCAGGTGGTTTGTGCTGGCGCCGTCTTGAAGATCCGAATCATCGGGATGGAGGTGCGCGTGGCCGAGTTCCGCACCGCCCTTGGGGTTGGGCAACGAGGACGGGCAGATGAGGATGAGGACTGGTGAAGATGCAAAGCAAATACGCAGAGGGCGGCAGAAGTTTGTTTCTCTCACGCCTCGAGCTCAAGCACGAGCTCACGTTCACCTAGAGCGAGAGACACGCACGCACGCCTTTTGCAGACAACCTAGAGCCCACTCTCAAGACACAAGCACACACTTGGGCGCAGATGGGCATGGGTAGGTAGGTCTACTTGGATGCGGGCAGTAGTGCAGTACCTACCCCAACGAGATGACCACGGCTGCGGACAGGCCCAGATGGATTCGCGGTCGCAATGGAGCTCCCAGTTGGAGAGGCAGACCCGGGCGCTCACACGATGCTGCTAGGCGGAAGGCCGGACCCAATGTCAAGATGACAATGGATGACAATGTCGTGGACCTGCAGGCCGCTGCGGCCAGCGTCGTGGGCGTAGTATCGGTGGTCGTCGGGTGAGCTAGGCCAGCCGCGGCCAAGCATCTTCCATCGTGTTCGTTGACGAGAAATCCATATGGTGGTGGAACGAGGGGCACGCGCGCGCTCGACTCGAGTCCGAGGGACGACTCGTCAATCAAAACTCCCCGCAGATGCAGACAGCCACACAATGGGCAGCACCCAGCAGCAGCGGCGCACACAAGCAACTGGGCCCCGGTCGCCCAGACGCAAGACACGGCCAGCGACAAGGAGGGACCAGAAAGTTCAGAAACGGATCAGAGCCGGAGAACCAAGGGTCGGCGCCACATGGAGGGAAGCTTGTCGTCGATTGGTGGTCCACTGAAGACGGGAACATCGAGCACGGGGGTCCAGGAGGCTCTCTGATGGGTGGGCTTGGGGGCCGTCTACCAAAGCGACCAGTTAACCCCAGCACGACCGAGCAAGGCTTGTGCCGGGGCTAAGAAGGACCCAGATTGCTTGGGTTGCTTGGCGTCTTGACCTGTGTATCCGTACTACCGTAGTTAGGTAGCTGTCGCCTGCCTGTCGCCTGCTGTCGCCTGCCATTGCGGCTGCCAGTCGCTGGTGTGCTGGGCACTAATAACTACTGGCTCTCTTCTGTTCGAGGACAATCCCGGCAGCATGCGTGCGTCCTTTCAACTCCGAAGCGTTAGCTCGCGTGGGGCTTTTGCGGCTTGCCGTTTGATGATGAGGTGAAGCTTTCGCCTCCTCGGGTCAGGTTCCCGCTGCAATTCCCGACTGTCTGGGCCCCGGCGGCCTCGTTTCGTCATCAACAAGTGGTGGATGGATGGATGGATGGATGGATGGATGGATGGTGGAGGTGTCGTTGAAGGTTGGTTTTGATTGTACGCGGCGTGTCGTGCCCCTCCGGATCGAGCAAGTCTGAGGTACACGGGCATAGAGACAGGTATGTCTTGTAGATTGGCATTGACCAGGACACGGACGGACACAGGAGTTAACCGCATGTAGGACGCATTTCCTTCTACGCCTCTTTCTCATGTCGTTTTCCTTGTCGGCGTCGTGGATTTCTTTTTCTTCCGAGGGCGGAGGTGGGAGGGGCTTGGGACCTGCGATCTGGGCGTTGTTTTATCCGTACTCCGGACCTACATTGAAGGTACTTAGTACCTAGGCACCTACCTGCCTTCGGAATGCAGGGCAGTACCTCGCTCGCTCCACCCCAAACTGGAAAAAGGAAAGCACTCCTTCCCATCCATCTTGTGTCACGCTACCGGCTCCAGCAACTACCTAGGTAGGTACCAACCTAGTGTGGGCTTCGCAGTGTGGCAGGTACCCCAGGATGATTATGTAATGCCCAGCTCCCCCACGCTCTTTGGCTCTCTCGCGGTGGCTCAACACCACGTGCCCGTCTCTTCGACGTTGACTGTCTCGCAGTGGTGAGAACCCACACGAATTGACCATTTTTAGACCCTGCTCACTTCGCTTCCCTGGCGCCCACCGATATATCCCCTGACGCCACATTTCTTCGCCAATTGGGGGCCCTTGGAAAAGTTGGCCCTTGGTCTGCACTCTGGACTCTGCATCTGCACTCTGCAACAGCTCCAGGTGTTCCCAAGCTGGCTGGGAGTGGTGCAGCCTGGACAGGCCGGAAATCCTCCGTCTCTTGTTCCCCTGGTCCAATACAGTTCAAGTCGGAGAACGTCTGGACCATCATCCGCATGTACCGGAGCATGCAAACTACCAGCTATCGACACCAAGCGCATGATTTGCACCTCTCCAAGGATCCCCCCTCCCTCCTACTTCGTAGGGCAACCCCGAACTATTGAACGCGCGCAAGCCGGTTCCCCGGGAGATTCACCCTATCCTCGATCCGACGCCCTGTGCTCTGTCCAGATTGACACTTTGAAGTCTGTATACGGTACAGAGGAACCCTCCACCAGCCTGACAGATTGACAAGTCAAGCCGGTTAAGCCTGTTGCTCCTCGCCGTCTTCCAGCACTCGTTCTCGCCTCCTCGCCTCCTCGCCTCCTCGCGCCATCGTCCAACGTCTCATTTCGTCCCTCACAGCCAAGTGCCCGCCAAGGTCAAGCCCACCTTGGCCATCCACTAGACACAAACCAGCCAAGGCGCGAGCCAAGCTCAACAGCCATAGCTGCCCGGACGCCACCGCGAGTCGGCTACCGCCTGGCGCACCGTCGGACCACTGCGCCCGCACTGTTCTACGATGGCCTCCCGGCCTCCCGCACCACTCCCGCGCAGCCTTGCTCGATCCTAACGACAACATATCTCTGTCTTTCTGCTTCCTCCCGCTCTCGCTGAGGTACGGCCATGACCCTTCTTGTCGATTTATTCTTCTCACCGGGCCTTTCCTGTCCGCCTCCCCACACCCGTCTCGGTCTTTTGGCCGCCAGCTCCCGCTGAGCCCTGTGCCTGTGAGCTCCGCTCAGGCCATTCAATTTCGGAGCCGGTGCACCCTGCGACGCGTCGCATCGCCGCATCCCCGTCGTCGCAAATCATGTCCATCTTTTCGAGGTATTCGATGCGCCCGAACCGCGGCTTTCTGGGTTCCGACAGCTCAGCCTTGCCAGCTCAAGATGCACAGGTGAGCAAATGCCTTTAGTGCTTGTGCCATCGCCGTCGCATCCGTCTCGATCCGTGCGCTTGCTCGCCCGTCGAAGCAAAGGCGATGGATACCCTGTCCTGTCCTCTCACGGGCATTAAAGCTAACTCCCATTCCCTCGTAAAATAGGATCGTCAGCAATTGAGATATGAACTTGACCTCAACTCCTGGAACCTCCGCATTTGGGGCGTCGCCGCTTCAGGCTTCCTGACAGACTCGTGCGTCTTCTCCTGCCTTAGCAAACGCCCAACACCCTATTGTAATGATGCTGATGCTTGTCCGCCATCTGTTCCAGTTATAATCTATTTTCCACCAACGTCATTCTTGCCTCCATCGCTTTCGTTTACTGGCCCGAAGGTGGTGACCTGTATGGCTTGCTCATCAACTTCTTCACACTGCTTGGCTCTGTCATCGGTCAACTCTTGTTTGGCTACCTTGCCGATCGATATGGCCGAACTCGTCTTTACGGTATTGAGCTGGTCCTCGTAATCGTCTCGACCATTGGCGTTGCCACAAGTAGTCATGGCTATCAGGACCTCTCGTTCCTTGGTCTCTTCGTGTGGTGGCGTTTTGTAATGGGAATAGGTGAGTTGCCCCCCACCTCTCCCACCACCATAGAGAGTCATGACTGATAGCTCTGTGACACAGGCATCGGTGCCGAATACCCTTTAAGCGCAGTCATAACCTCTGAGTGGGCGAGCACTCAATCTAGAGGTAAAATGCTCGCAAGCGTATTCATGATGCAGCCCGTCGGCCAAGCCCTGGCGCAAATCGTCGGCCTATTTGTTCTACTTGGCTTCGAGAAGAGTCACAACCTTCGCGAGATGCGCTGCGGTCTCGATACATTGCACCAAGAGGAATGCAAAAAGGCACTGGATGGGATCTGGCGCATCGTCATTGGCTCTGGAGCTGTCCCGGCTCTGCTCGCCATCATTTTCCGGTTCTTCCTGTTTGACTGCGGCATCTACAGTCTCGAGGTCCGCAACAAGCCGGCCGTTGCTCTAATGAATACCCAGAGGATATATGGTGCTCCACATGGAAGTGTACCAAATGGAGGACCTCCAGATGGCTTCGGGCACAGCCAGAACACACCGAATGGATACCCTATGAACCGCTCCAACGCCGGTAACCATATGACGACATCGTACCAGATGAACCCGCCCAACGGTGCCCATACCATGAACTCATACCAAATGAATGGCCAAAATCCCATGCACCAGTCCAACTCGCCTCAGGCAATGCCACTCCAATTCTCAAAGGAGGACCTTCACAACTACTTCATCCGGGATGGAAACTGGGCATACCTCCTCGGGACTGCGGCAACATGGTTTTTCCTCGATGTGAGCTTTTATGGTATGTCACTTGATAACAGGGGCACTTTGTCAGGCATGTGGGCGACGAAGAAACCAACTCCTATCAATGACCAGCTCTCCTGCTGGAACTCATCTTTGCCAGGAGGCAACTCGACCGTGCCCTCATGGGTGGAGAAGGGACTGCCAATCTGGTCGACTGACGCCACACACCCGTGTAACACTATATACGACGTGTTAATCGAGCAAACGAAGCAGTATCTACTCACAGTTTCGCTCGCATCGATCGCTGGCAGTGCTTGCTTTGTCCTCCTTGCTAACCGCATCCCGCGACGCCTGTGGCTCACGGGCTCGTTCCTCGTCCTTACTCTCTTCTTTGTCGTAACCGGCTGCGTCTACTACGGCGTTCACCAACAGGAGGGAGCACCTGCTACGGTTGTATTTGTGGCTATTTGCCACTTCATGTTCAACTTCGGTAAGTAGAGTCAAGATTTGCGCTGTCTTCCCTAGAACAAACACTAACATCATTCTCCAGGCGCCAACACGTTGACCTTCATGATACCCGCCGAGATTTTCCCGACCTGCTACCGATGTACCTGCCACGGAATTTCTGCGGCTGCCGGAAAACTAGGCAGTATTGTGGCTGTTCTCGTCGTTTACGGCATCAACCAGTCATATGATAGCAAGACCCGACAGGGCCTCATTTTCCTCCTATTTGGCTCTGTGGCCGCCGTCGGTGCCATCTTTTCTTGGGCTTACCTGCCCAACGTCCAGCGCTGGGTCGAGGACGATGGTCGCAAGCGTCTCGAAGCAAAGACGCTCGAAGAACTTGGCGAGGGCAGGGTCAAAGCCCGGCTGTCGGGCGAAACGGTTACTCTCAACGAAAAGGTGGACGAGCTCAGGAGAAGGAATAGGGGATCGCATAGAGGGGAAGGTTCCGTCCCGCTGCCTGACACCTGATAGAATCCGAATGTTTAAGGACTGTTGATAGATAACGATTTTGCGATGAGCCTCCGGCAAGGGGCATTGTACAGGATAATTCAAGGACGGAACGGGATACCCCATGAGCATTCAATGTTATTGATATTAATACAAACTTTCTTCATACGCCATTTCTCATTTGTATCATCGCTTAACCTGCTATCATTTCCTCTTAGAAGCATAATGCCTCAGTGTACCAGCCCAAACTCCCATACGAGACAAACATTTCAGCAAAGCTTGCGTCGCATTTCCCTCAAACCCCTCCGTCGCCAACTATAGGGCGAGCCAATAATTCTGTCGTCTCGGTATACAGTTCATTGTTACTCGTTGTCGCACGCACATGTGTATCATCCTCGAGCGCCTCGAGCCAGCGAGCCAGACGAGACCCCGGTGATGGTATTGGCCAGCTGCAGAGGGAGGCAAGGATACGTGGGAGGCGGAGGGCGAAGGGTGCGAGGTGGATATCGACGAGGGAGAGAGTTGCGCCGAGGAAGAATGGACCCTGGAAGGAGGTTAGCTTTCGTGGGACTTGAGGATGGAGGGTTAGGGGAGAGCGTACTTGTTCGTCGGCAGCTTGGACGAGGGATTTGATGGTGTTGTGGAGGCGGTCAATTGCTTCGCTTTGCGCTGTTGGATTTTGAGCTTGGAGGAGGGCGTAGAATGCCGGGACGACACGGGTGTTGATCTGGATCGAGTTGTTAGCATTGGCTCTTTGGATATGTGAATCCTTCTCGGAATCAACCGCCGAATACTTACATGGTCAATCCAAAGGCGACAATTGGCCTTGAGCCGTGGATCGGTAGGATAAAGCGGCACGCCTTGATCAAAGTCCTCGAGCTACGCAAGCTATCAGCCACGCCTCCCACGGAGAAACAAATCAGCTATGGCGAAGACTTACAAATTCGAGTATCACACCGCTCTCAGAACACGCCCAGTCGCCCTGCCGGATTGCAGGCACGCATCCACGCGGGTTCGCTTCGAGCAACTGAGGCGGCGCGGGACGGCGGAAGGGATCCATCTCGCAGTACTGATATGCCAGGCCCTTTGCTTCAAGAGCGATCCACACGCGTTGAGAAAAAGGACTGCGAGGAGTTGTTAGCACCTTATGGTTCGTCGTGGATGGGTCTATATTTATGAGGAAGGAGTAAGAGGGAGGCTCACCAGAAACATGCCGAATATAGCTTCAGGTCACTCTCTTTGGTGTGCTTCTTGACAGTCGCCAGTGCTGCGCCTGTGGCCTTTCGGACAACCGGTTTCTACCCCCAATGTCCAGTCAGTTTCCCATCCGAAATAGTATCGTCTTGATGTGATATGTCTGACGTACCTGGGCCTTCCTGGTCTCCTTCTCCTGCCGCGCAAGGAGCCGCTGCACACTGTTCTTCTTAATATCGTCACTTTTCTCGAGCGTATGCTTATGCGGTCCCGCAACGCCATCCCCCTTCCCATTGCCGCCGTTTCCATTGACCCTCTGAATGGTCCAGACGCGATGGCCTGCCGTAACCATCTGGTTCACTGGTCCGGAAACAAAGACGGACTGCCCCACGCCGACCGCGGGCAGGTCTTCTGGCTGCAGCTGCGCGCCAGGGAAGTACTCGGTGATCTTGATCTTGACGTCGCAAAGGTCACGCTCGCGGGCGTTACGCTTGCGCTTCTTCTTGTTGGGGTCGTCAGACTTGGGAGTGCCGGGGGGACGGCCCTTCATACGGCAGTCCCAGTAGTGTGAGACGAAAGGCTTGCGCTTGTACCGCTGCGTGGAGCGGTGGGAGTAGACATTGTCAACGTGTGGAAAGTACGTTTCGAATCTATGGGCGGAGAAAAGAGACACAGGTTAGCAGAGGCGCAGAGGGGGGAGTAAATGGGAGAAAATCAAAGGGGTCATACTCCTCATGCGTAAGAAGAATCGTCTCATCAACGTTGAAGAGCTTCTCCCGCCACGCCTCCAGATCCGGCGGATCTGCGACGAGCTTACCACTCAACTGGCCGTTGGACCGCTCAACCTCCTGCCCCTGATTCTGCATCATGGATCCCGCAGCAGTCCCAAACATGCCGGCCAGAGGTTGCGGCACTCCGACGGGCACAGGCGTCGGCGCGAGGATGCCGAACTGCCCACCGCCCGGCGGCGCTGCGGCAACGGGCCCAGCGGAGTGCGGAGGAGCATGGGGTGGCAGACGATCAAACGCCGCCTGTTGAGCGTCATGAGCCGCGAGGCCATGGGCGGCAGCGGTAGAACGGTACGCGTCCTCGAGGCCGGCGTACCCGTGGAGGCTCATCCCCAGAGCCACGGGATAGTGCGCCACGGCGGCATGAGGATGCGGATGCGGATGCGGATGTGGATGCGAGTGCTGCGGCATCCCGGGGGCGGACGAGCCGAAAGAGCCCGGCGGCCCCGTGGGCGGCGGCGGTTGCGGCGCGGCCATGCGGAGCGGGAGCTTGAGAGAGTGGGTCCGGTCCGATCAACGGCCTCCGGGTCCGCTTCCCTGATGGGTGTCAACCGGGGTTTTGCTTTGCCCGTGGGATTTGCGTTGCTGCTTTTAAGACGTCGCGGAGCGTGTTGGCCCCCTTGCTGATTTACGAGGCATGTCGTCAGTTTTAAGCCGCCATGACAAGGCGGCAACCACCGCACGGACCACCAGAAAACAGACCATGGGCGCTCCTTCCCTCCACTGCTTGATTGGTCCGTTTCCAGACTAGCATCATCCACGCCATCTCGCGCGCACTTGTTTCCATTGACTTGATGGGTATTGATTACGGGTGCATGAGTGGTTTAGCATTCGAGTATTTATTTCTGGCACGAGTAGAAATAAAAATGTGATGGAAATGAAGAAATTTATTACATAGTTAAGTCAATCTTATAAAAGCGTCTAATCATTCTGCCAAAAGAAACTGCTTATACGGCAGCAGTTCCAATCAAGAGAAAATTGGCCACAATATCCCGGGCACCCACCATGTTACGATAATCTATGCTCTAGAAGATTGCATGTTGCTCATACAAACAAAGAACATAATAACTCCTACTCACCCTGAAACCTGAACTGGACGCTTAGGGGATCGCCATGTGCAGAGCCGTCTATCGATCTCGTCCTAAGCGCTCTTCGTCGTCGCGTGCCAACTCATATGCCGGCTGAAACGTCTTTCATGCTGCGTCCAGCTAGTTCGAGTGGAGAGTGTACTGCTGAAGTTATGGCGAAGTGCTCAACCTCAGTGAAGGGTTCAGATGAGGCGATGTAAATTGATTAGAGCGGATGATAAGTTGAGGTCGCCTTGGAGTGATCCGCACCCCGCGAAGGGGCTTCTAGATGTAGGCGATGACTAACTCGACGCAGGCAAGGAGGCCAATATCAATACAAGCAAAGCGAGACAATCCTTTCCGCCATTATACGACAGGGATATCTCTTCAGGTCTAGAGATGGTAAGCAACGTGTTGATCACGGCGATATTCGGCATTGCACACCTAGCGAGTGTTCAACAAGGATGACAAGGCACGCACCTATACCGTCGAATCGCCGTCTCCATAGCCCCGATCGCGGCACGAACATGGCTCTGCGTAATTTGAATGACCTCACTATCCTCCCGCTTCTTTAAGAAGGCATTCATCTTGTGTCGCAAGACATAGTATAGGTCAGGCCATGTGGGGGACGCCGGGGCCTTATCCGATGGCGTTGCCGTCTTCGTAAAGCCGTTGACATGTGGCACCGTCTGGCGCGAGCGCGGATTCTGGGTCATTTCGGTGTTTGTTATGAGATTTTTTCAAAGATGGACATGGGGCGGAGAGGGAAGATAAAGGCGCTCGTCTTCTCGGTGTCCCCCTTCATGGTGGAGTGTTGGTGGTGGGGGCACCTGGAGAGGGGCGGAAAGATTGCAGGGACCATTGTAGGGCCTCAAGATGGGTGCGAGGAATTACCGAGAATAGTGTCCTACGTCGGAAAGTAACGAGGGTTCAATATGGGAGCCTGCATGTGACTGGTTATGGCTTTTCGTCTGGATACACCGTTGCGTTTTGTGAAGAGTCTTGCCACTGGTAAAAGTTGACTTACCGTGTCATGACATGATTAAATTTGACCATTTGAACGATGATGACATATTCGACAAAAGTTGGAATGAAGCAAAGAGGTCAAGAAGAAATTAGTAAAGATGGAGGTTTTCCATTCCATATTCAGACAGATAAGGGTATTGTTCATATGTGCCTGACATCCCGTCGACATGACCCCAATACTTGAGAGTTCCCAACCCATAGTATACAGTGTGATCCAAGCGGATCCCCTCCAAGACGCCCGTCCTTGCGAACTCGATTTCGAGTCTTGTCTTCCCATTACCCAGGTAGCCCAAAGTCGTCATCTGATTCAATCGTGTTTTCATCGCCCTGCAGAAACCCACCAAATGCTCCACCTAGATTATCCTTGATTGTTCCCCGAGTCCCAAGACGATAGGTCCATTGCATCCATCGGTCCCATGTTCATCAATGCCCTCAAAACGCCCTCGCCGACTGGGGTCACTCCGGTCTGGCCCTGGATGTCCCCCCATCCCTCGGGCAGCACAAATGATCCTTGTTGGTCTGACATCGTAGTTTGCATCGTGAACCCATTCGCGTCCGCAGTAAAGAATCCCTGAGTGCTCCCATCGAGTGAGCCGGGGTTCATCAATGTTTGATTCGGCGAGATCGGGCTTGCTTGGAATGAGTTGTGCCCTGATCCACCCATCTGTCCCGGAGCCAAGTGTACTCTTTGGTCAGATCCGCCTGTGCTCGAGTTTGGTGTTGGCCGGCTCGACTGCGCTCCGTCTGGCGACCCTGACGTCTCTTGGCTTTCTCCGCTCCCCTCCCCAAATGACATCGGTCCAGTCGCCGACCCGTTCTTCTCGAATGTGGTTCCGGAACTAGGCGTGAGAATAGGAAGCTGTTGATCAGATGACATCCACGCTTGTGCCCCAAAGCCGCCAGTGTTCGAGGCGTTCAACCCTTGAGACTCGGTGTTGGGTTCCACAATGTCCGGGGCATTAGCCGCATTCCCATCGTCGCCCGCCATTTTCATAAAATGACACTCGTTTCGGTATGCCAAGATGCCTTGTACACCTTCAGGGTTGTCGCAAACCGGAGCTTTCGTCCCAAGACCAGAGTTGTTGGGTCCAGGCTAGGTCGCGTTAGAAACCAACTAAAATAACCACTGAGTTCATGTTGACTTACACTATCGCTGCTGCGTGGGAATGCATTCTTGAGCTTGGGAATGCGCAATGAAAGTGCCTCCAGATCAACATCCAGCTGAACCAAGAACGATTCAGTCAGAGGGTTCCTCCGCTTCAGTGCGTTCATTGCCGAAAGGAGAAATCTCAACGAGTCCGCCGTCTGGCTGTCATCTGGCCGACTTTTGAGGTACTGCACAAATACTCTTGCCGAAACATACAAGCAGAACGATATGAACGGGTTGACCTATATCTGTTAGCAAGTTTCATACTTCAAACAGGACACGTGAGCCGTCTTACCGTCGAAAGGTCCATGTGGGAAATCATTCTCATGATGCTGGCGATTTCATTGGCAGCAGTGATGCACCGAACCTTGCTCTCCGCACTAACAGACCCAGGGAGCTTGTTCTTCTCCGCCTTGAAGATGGCAGCTTGATGTAGGCAGATGGTGGAGGTGTGGATGCTCATGTTTGTGAAAACGATGTTGGCGTTTGATAACCCCGCAGGGAGCTTGAGGTGAGAGGGGAGGCAGAGGGAAGTGTTGAGGAGAATGTTGTCCATCTGACGGTGGCGTTTCCAGAATGGGCCGTTCAGATCGTGGTCGAGGTCATCAGCGTCGGGTCGGTGTAGATGCACCAGGTTTCGTCCGAATAAACAGGCCATGAGCACGATGCCACCGTACGCCGATAGCTTGCCTGCGCCCGTCGGGCTTGTGCATTCGTTGAGGGACTGCGTCTGCTCTGGTCGGCTCATGTCGTAAGCCTCCTCGGAGGAGGGGAGATTGGTCATAATGTCACGTTCGTCAATCGTCATGGGCCAGCCAGTGCCGATGCTGGCATATCGGTCTTGACAGAATGCCATCCAAAAGGTCCGGCGTCGCTCCTCACGCTCTGTCCAGTCCTTGGGAGGGGCGAGGCATTGCTTGACGTCCAGTCCCGTGCCGTCTAGTCGGTGAAGGCCAGTCCTAATACGAGAATTAGTTGGCCGCATACGAACATCCAGGGGTTGAGGTACATACATCTGAGCTAGGCGAATCGCCGAGCCTGTGTTTACCCAAGCTCTAGGAAAGTACATCATCTTCATCTCATATGAAGACAGGAGAATGTGCGTCTGGCAGTGAGCAATGGAGATCATGTGCTCTCCGTAGCCCTTGATGTAGTCGGCTTCGACGTACTTGCGCGCCCTCCGGTAGAACAAATCCTTGAGGTCGGCATATTTGTCTGTTATGGTACAGGCCAAGGTCCACATGGCGTAGCGCAGACAGACGGGTGGTCGTTGGTTTGGAGCTCTGTGGTTATCAGGTCAGCACTTGGGACGACCCCAGTCATTCCTAAGACAGGAATCGAATTGACGCACAGGTTCATGGCGGCTAAATATCGATATTTGTGTATCATTGGAATCGACGGATGGACCTTTTCGAAGTAGATTTGATGAAGTTCATCAATAGTCTCCTGGGGAGGTAGTGGTTCCTCAAGTCCCAGGCCAATCATCTCCCACGTGAAGTTGCCACCGACATCGTTCATGCCCATGCCCAGGCTAGCATTGAAGTTGAAATCGTCAAGAGTGCCGGTCTGGGGCGACTCGCCATTAAATTGCCATCGGTCCATGTCGCGATCCCCCGTCATGCTAATGGGGGCATTGGGTATGCTCAGGTTCGGGGCGGCGGTCTGGGGGCTGGGGCGCGCAGGCATCGGAATATTGACTCCCTTGGGTTGGTTGTTCACGGGAACAGGGTCTTGCGTCTTCAACAGCGTCTCGACTTGCTCTGCGGGACGGGTCTAGTCAGTGGGAGAGAAACTTGACGGCGGGGGTGGAGGTTGCGCACTCAATCGCTCTTCGAGAGCCTTGACGTAACCACGCTTGGGGCCACTCTTCCTCCGCTGCTCATCGTAGGCGCACGAGTGTCCCAGGCGGGAGCAGGTGCTGCAACTCGGCCTCATGCCATCGCACTTGAGCTTGCGTTTCCTGCAAATCATACAGGCCAGTCGTTTCGGTTTCGGGACGGTGGAATTGTCGGGGGCGGCGGGCCCGACGTCGTCGCTGTCGCCATTTGGACTCCGGGGCCTTTTATGGCTTCCGGAGCCAGCGCCGTTCTCCGGCGAGCCCGTCATGGCGATGGTGTTTTTCGCAGGATGTCGGTGAGGGGGGGTAGAGATATCGTGACGGATGCTGTGGGGGGAGCGCCAGAGGCGGATGCGAAATCAATCGGCGCGTAGGACAGGCACTCCGATCCTTCCGAAGGACGCCGGGTAAATCGAGGGCGGCGTTTAGAGACGGCGAGATGGTCGAGGTCAGGCAGCGACGGCAAAATTCGGGGTCAGCGTAACGGGATCGGATACGGCGTGTGGAGATGGGAGTGGAGGGTCTGGACGGAGGTTTGAAAGAGAGGAGGGATGGGGTGCAAGTAAATGCGACAGCGAACGGGAAACTGTAAGTGGAGCACGGAGTACGAGGAGCAAGACTCTGGGGGGGGGGCAGCCGCGATGCACTGGCTGCCTGGCGCCATGGATCCATGATGGCCTCGGGCCTTGGAGGGGATGGCACGGGGGGCCTCTCAGCAGCCCGCACCGCTGTTATCAGTTCTCCCAGGGCGTCCAGTGGGGAGCTAAGGGACGTAGGAGGACCGTGGGAGGCTGGTACATAGCGCAAGGGTGCATTATTAATCCCATCTTGAAGACAGAATGGAGACGTTCCGTATGGCTATGGGTACCTATCAATCGGCGACACGGCGACACGGCGCCCGTGTTCCCGTACACCGACAAGTTAGGTAAGTACTTTGCTGTCCTGACGGTATTTGGTCCTCAACAAAAGGCACTGCTAACTCTTGTCCAGCTTCTCCGAAACTGAGAATCAATCATGTCAATGCTAAACATCAAGCCCGCCCTCGTCTTGTCTTGTCTTGTCTTGTCTTGGCTGCTCCAGCTGAGATACGCGTAACTGGCACACACAGTATGACTTGGGCACCCTCACATTCGCCGTGGTGGCGCCATGCATGCAATATCTACAGCACACGAGTCTTCTTCAAGCCCACACTGTCAACTGCGCGGGCGGCCGCCCCGGCCGAGACACCGGACGGCTCCCGTGGCCGATGACGACAATGGCTGAAGCTCCGTTGCCTCGAGATGTTCGAGTTGTGCAGCACTGCCACAGTACGGTGCCCTTCCCCAACAAGAACTACTCTACCAAAACGTGGTGTCTCGAATCCTCTGGGGCCTGGTTCATGACGCTTGGTCGAATGATCAGTGCCTCTGGAAACGCGACTGACAGGGGCATGGCCTTCGCGAAGACGCAGCCGCAGTAGCGAGGTTTATGCTACGCCGGTTTCGAGCACTACAGCCAAATAGCATCCCCAGGACAAGGAGAACTTGACACATATTATTGTTCCCTTGCCCTATTAAACGCGCAAAAGCTACACTAGACAGCAGGGAGTCCTCTGTAAGACAGGCCTACCCATCCCTAACCAGGTGCCTAGACCACCGCTGTTAACATGGATCCGCCCCTCGCCCTTCATCTTCAGCCCTACTGGTGCCTAGTCTCTTGTTTCGCAACTTGCGCAGCTGTGCCGTGCCCTGACAGACCTTGTAAGAACGCTTCCCTCGCCGGTCACAGACCCTACACCCAAGCCAATGGTTTTCATGTGAGTGAGGCATCGTCATACCGACATTCCGTGTCCTCCCAGCAATAATTCTGACGCGGCGCCCTGGCCTCGGCACTTGCCTATTCCGGTAACACCACTGTGGCTGTCGGCCTGCCTCTCTGACACTTCTCGACTGCAACCAAATCTCGATACTACCAGAACTCGAGGTGGTGAGCAGTTGGAATTTGCCCTCAACATTACCGTAACGTTTCTTTAATAATATGCCTCAATAACTTTTTGATCTCATGGACCCGGCAAGGTCGCAAGCAATGGCCCGGGTATTCGCCTACCCGCTCTAACTTTAGACTCAGCCCCCCTCCATCCCAGCCATGGTCCTCGTCGGGATGGTCGATCATCCCGACGATGGATTGATGACCAGGGAACTCAACGGCTCTGCACACGCTAAAACATCTCATTTCCTTTAGGCATCATTGTTCTCGACGGCTTTCTTCATCTAACGACGTGACTGCTCACATCGCATACGTAGACCAGTGACGACCCCGTTTGCTCGTATATCTCGGTTTGGTGAACGGTCTACGTAGACGCTCAGGTCACAACCCCTGCTGCAACTCACACACCACCCAACCCCAAGTCGGTATCGCGTTCTCCCGTCTGACAACATTTACCTCGGTCGTTGCCGCTCAAGGATAGCCCAAGTCTCAACTCAATACGACCCTCCTCTCCAATATGCAATCAAGTGGTTGGCCTCGATTTCAAATATGCGTGCCTCACATGACCGGTAGGGTGACCGCTCAAACACGTCCAAAGACATACCTACCTACCCAAATTAGGCCATCCCAAGAGTCAAGACCGTAGCAATCAGGCACGGAAGAAAACTTTTGTCCCTACTTCCTATCCACGTCCACCCCCACAATCCGAAGAACTCCCAGATCGCTGTAAGCAAGGCAATAACGTGTTGGCGCCCAAGCCACAACCGGGCACGAGCCCGCTGTCTTGAATGTATGCACATGTTCCCCGGTCTCGGCGTGGGAGATCTCCAGGCCAGATCCTGCAAGAAGGGGAGCACAGCTTAGCAAGGGGCACAGCATGAAGAGCCAATGGTGGATGAGGGGTAGCTTACCTTCATCACTTCCTCCCACGACATAGCTACCGTCGAACGTGAAGCCTGGTGAAGAATGGTCAGCTAACCGCCAATGCAAGCCTTCATTTAGCATGGTACGCACTGAGACTCTTGACTGGCCCGACCATCCTAGTAATCGTCCTCGGGCAGACCCAGTCTGTCGTGTCCCACAGCGAAATGATGGAGTCTGAGCCTCCTGTAGCCAGGTACCGCCCAGTGGGCTGCAGCTCCGCCGTCAGACACGACGACGTGTGACCATTCAGCTCAAATTCATCTCCATTGTTCGAATGCAGCACAGGCTCAAACTCCGGATATGACAAGATCCGAATGCGGCCCTCGGCTGTGGTCACAAAGATCTTCTTCCCGCTCCAGCAGAACGCAATCTGGTTCGTCTGAATCGACTGTTGGTGAGAGCTGATGGGCGTAGGCTGCTGTGGCGACAGGATAAAGATGGTGTCCGCCTTGTCAGCTTGATTAGCACATTCCCTGTGTTGTCAGGCCGCAGGCACTGACCTTGTTTCCCACCAAGAGAGAATTCCCGTCTGGTGCCCAAACGAGGGTGAAGGCGTCTCCGAGGCCTTTGACCTCGTTGAAGCACGCTTTCGTCCGCACATCCCAGAACTTTACGACTCCATCACTGCTCACACTGCACAACTCCGCATCCTTAGTCGGGTTGAAGGCAACCTTTTCAATGGAGGCCGTGTGGCCCTTGAGCTCTGTAGAGAACTTGATGTGAGGTTTCTCGGGGTTCCCTGGGCAGTCGAGCTCAGTTCCGTGTTCCAAGTTCTTAGCAGATCAAAATTTACTCACAGACTCTGAGAATTCGTTCTGATGAACCTGTGGCGACCAAGGTTCCCAGAGGGTTCCAAGCGATTGTGCGCAGGCTGTCATGGTTCAGTTAGCCAGCTACTTGCACGCAAGACGTAGCACATTGTCGACCGACCTGTGGGGATTGGCAGCCCTTGAGTTATTGGGGTCGCTATACGGTTGACTTCGGAGGTTTCCAAAGTAGTTGGAGAAGTTCTCCTTGGACAGGCTTTGCCTCGCGCGCAGGACTGGCGCCATCTGAGCAAACAGAATCAACAGCTGTCGGCCGGGATGGAATCTCAACAGGAAACCTGAGTTCCGCAGGTTCTGGAAGACCGCGGCTCACCACACCTGCAAGCAGTATTCACGTGCAAGTGCACCTGCAGTAGAGACCTATGTGAGCCTGGTTGAGGGAGTCTCAGATGCCGCGAAGGTGGAGTACGACGGTGAGTATGGTCCTAGTGGTGGAATCAAGAACTACGGGATCTGGACGGTTGTCAGGCTGGCACTAAGTTTGTCACACAGGGCAGACCTCCCAACACAGCTTAGCCCCACGTGGCCTTTGCCATAACAAGAAGCAGATGCGTTCATTTTTAAGCTGGGTACGTGCACAACTCATCGTCTCCAACGGCAACCATGCTAGCAATGAACATCAACAACACATCACAGACCAGCCGGCAGGTAGTATGCACGCCATTACGGCTGCCAAACAATCATGAGCAAGTTCAACACGTATAATTGAGGAAATGAAAATGTTCATTTTGGCCCTTTGGCCCTTCCGTAATCCGATCATGGTATATGTACAATTTTCTATCACGGCCCCTCCCAAGACCTCAGTCAAGATGCGCCAGGGCCGCGTCAAGATCCCAAGCCGAGTGATTATGAATCCACTATCAGACCACCAGATTCGAAGCACAGCTTCAATCATCAGCCCAGGGCTGGCGGCCCACGGCCATCCATTACTTCCGACCGTGCCTAAGAAGGGGCCGCCTGCACTGCCAACTCCGACCTGCTAAACCAAGCCCAAAAACTTCCTTCGCCAGTGACTCCTTGCGCCATGTATGAGACGAAAAGCATGTTCGGAAAATGCAAAGTAACCAGACAATATCGAGCGCAGAATTTCCGTCTGTCCAACGGTGGGAATGTGAATCGGGCAAAGGCGGTGTAGTACTATGCAGTGTGCTCGCCCATCATTGACGACTGCAGAGAGTTGATGGTAAACCGAGATGAGGGACCGAGCCGAACATCGTTGGTGTATTAAATGTCGTAAAACAATGGCTGGGGTTCAGTCAATCCAACCGCCAACCATGTGTATCCTGTCCTATTGAGATCTGTGCTCAAAGAGATGCGCCGCAACCGACGCGTCAAGACGTTCATGATATTTGGTCAAGGGTCAGCTTGATGTCGGTGATGCCGAAGAGAGCGGCATTCGACTTGGCCCATTGGCGAGCGAGGAAGGAAGCTAGTAGTCGGAGTCAGCATTTATACAATACAAGGAGATACTATTCAACATACCCTTCAAGAACTTCTTGCTAGCATACTTCTTGAAGAAGGCTTCGTGCACGACAGGGCGGGCCAAGTAGTCAACCATGAGGTGGACGACAGGCTCAACCTCTTCCTCGGTGTAACCGGCATAGTATGAAAGAGTCTCGTCCTAGGCGAAGTTTAGTTTTCAATTCATGTTTGATTAGACACGTCAACATACCCATTCACCACGGTCAAGCATAAGTCGTGACAGATACATGGCGCCAGCGGCGATGTGGCTGGGGCGGTAGGCCATGAATCGGTGGTCGAGGAGGCTGATCTCCATCAGGTATTTACCAATGGTGCGAGACTGGATGTCATAGTTGTCCGCCTTCGAGACTCGGCGGAGGAAGTTCATGGGGTTGGGGTAGCTCAGGTCGTAGTTGAGAGTAGTGAGAACGAATCGCTCAGCGCTCAGAATCTCAGCCTCGGTGAAGCCATCATCGGCGATGCGCTTGAAGTTCTCGACGTGAGGGGACAGGACCTCCTCGTACTTGGAGGCGATGAACATGGCAGTGATGCCGACGAGCTGCAGTCGGTCGAGCTGGACAACCTTCTCGGAGAGGAAGCGATCGATAACGTTGACAGCCAAGAAAAGAGTCTCGGGAAGAAGATGGAATCGGGTGTGAACTTCAATGAGCCAGTCGACAAGAATGCCACGCGTCTTCCACTCCAAATCATCCTGGTGGGCCATGTACTGAGGGTTGGGAATGGACTTGCACTCGAGGTCGCGAAGATACTCGAAAATCTCGTTGGCATACTCGGCAACCATGAGGGGGTCCTCGAGATCCTCACTGTCAAGGTCCTTGACGCCGGGAGGATACTGGGTGGCCTCGCTACCTGGTTCAGGCTTGACCTCGGCTTCGGCAGGGACGGGCTTGGAGACGGGCTTTGCAACGACTTCCTTTCGGACGGGCTCGTTCTCGTCAGCAGGTGGCTGCTCTTTGGCGCTAGCGGCCTTTCGCTTCTGTGCGGCGCTGATGGTACCAGATCCGGATCCAGCTCGAGTGGTCTCATTCTTCTTGGCTTCCTTGTTGCTCAGAGCAGTTCGAGTGGCAGCACGCGCTGTGTTCTTCGTAATACCGGTAGGCTGGGCAGCCTTGGAGATCAGTCCCGCCTTGCCACCCTTCTTTCCTTGGACGCCATCGGTCTTTCCAACGTTGCTGACATCGCCCAATGCGGCGCGTTTTCGCTGGCCGGCGGCGGTCGTGCTGTTGACCGTCGACTTCTTCGTCTGCAGGGCGCCCTTGGAAGGCATGGCAAGCTCATCAACGTTGAGGGCGGCGGCCTTAGCTCGAGTCATACGCGTCGTCCCGCTGTTCTCGTCGTTCTCGTTGGAGACGAGACGTGTACGAGCAGGGCGGCCCTATGAATTGTGTCAGACCAAACGGATTCAAGGTAAAGCCGCGTCCAAAGATCGCGTCAGATGCAACTTACGGGAGGCATCTTGAATGTGTAGTGTTGTTGACTAGGTCAAATATTACCAGAGACTGTGCTGGAAGAAGTCAGTTGACGCGTCGAGGACGAGGGCATTAAATAAAATGGCTGATCGGACGAAGGGGCATGTGAAAGTACGTCCATGTACCGAGACACTCGAATCAAAAAAAAGGAATTCGGGTACTGACCTCTGGTTCAAAGATAGACGAGGAGCCGACACAACACCGCGAGTGGAATGTTGTGCAGGGAGAGATGGCGAGAAGGACTGGCTGAGTTAGTTAGAGGAGAGTGATCCAGCACGGGAGAGGAGTGGCCAAGGATGTGAAGGAAGATGCGGAGGGACGAGGACAATGGGAAGCACCAGGCGGAGGCGAGGTGTTTATGTTGAAGAGTATGGTAGTGAGGGCGATGGAAGTGTTTTGAGGAGCGGAGCAGGGGAGGGACGTGGAGTGGACCAGGCGCGGCTGGGTACGTACCTTTGGTGTCGCGCGGCGGCTCGCGAAGACGGTTGCTACGTCAGGTTCTGGGCGTGATGTCCCACCCAAAGGCAGAGGATTGGACGCTGGTTGAGGGAGACGTGACAGGGCTCGTCTGGACGTGTAGACACGCGAGTTTGATTTTGGGAGAGAGAAAAAAAAGTAGATGGGTCTGATGAGTACAGACAGGCGTAGGGCAGTAGGCGGACAACCTTGAGCAGTGAACGCGAGATGTAGGGTTCACAGTGAACAAAGACAAACAACAGGAATGAGAAGACGGGGTGGGAGAGGATCAACAGAAGAAGGTGAAGGTTGTCGAGTCTTGAACTAAATGTGGTGGAGGGGCGGCTGGGTGATGAGATGTGGATGTGGATGGGCACAAACGCGAGCGAGTCAACCTGATCTGAGAGGCGAGACGGACGGGAGCGGCGCGAAGGGAAAAATCGGTACGTACCTCCGCAAAAGCTCCACCATCAACAGTGGCAACCGCGGGGCAACGCTGCTTCCATTGGCCCAGCCTTCGGGAGTCTGGTTGCGCGAGCAGCACAGGCCATGTGGCTCGTCGCGCTCGAAACGGAGCCTTCGCCACACCCTGTTCCCCACAGAAACGCGCCAGGCCTGTGGCGGTGTGACCCGGCTGAGGCCCCCAGGTCGCCGGACGGAAAAGGGTTGTTCAGGCTCCGAAGAAATTTCGATGTTCGCCATTGTCGGACGACGACACTATCAACGACGACAATTGGTGAGCGCCGACGACTGCCAGCGCCCTCGACGACTGTGAGTGCCGTTGATATCATTTCAGCGTTTCTCAGAGGGATATTGGCTGCGCAGGTGATATTTTGTCAGCCAATGCCTGACGGTTGGCCACTGACCAAGCTCCATCGTCACCAACAGCTCCCTCTCCAACCGAGCGAAAATCGAATTGTCACCCACGCGAGCGTATCCAATGCGACGCAGCCTTTAATTTGAACACTACGAGTTTCCTTATTCACAGGGAACCGACAATGCTTCAGCCACGTATTCAGTTTGCGGCTGCCCGCCAGAGCTTGCTCCGTCTAGCGCTGAACCGCTCTCTCGTCCGAACATACGCAACCGGTCCCCCCAAATCCAGCACCACTGCCAGCGAAAAATCGACTCTCGCTTCAGCTACCAACTACGGTACATCCTCCATTATCCGGACGTACAAGCCTCGATCTCCTGGTGTGCGACATTTGAGGCGGCCGATCAACGATCATCTGTGGAAGGGAAGACCATTTCTCCCACTGACCTTCCCCAAGAAGGGACACGCCAAGGGTGGTCGAAATGTGTCTGGTAGAATCACTGTGAGGCACCGTGGCGGTGGTGCGAAGAGGAGGATAAGAACAGTTGACTTCATCCGCAACCGCCCTGGTCCTCATCTGGTTGAGCGAATCGAGTACGATCCTGGCCGAAGCGCCCACATTGCGCTCCTCACCGAGCAAGCCACTGGCCGCCACACCTATATCGTTGCTTCCGACGGTCTTAGGGCAGGCGATGTCGTCCACAGCTACCGCTCTGGAATTCCTCAGGACCTCCTCGATAGCATGGGTGGTATTATCGATCCCGGTATCCTCGCAGCCAAGACTGCTTTCCGTGGTAACTGCTTGCCCATGCACATGATCCCCGTGGGCACTACGGTGTTTTGCGTGGGTTCAGCAGCCAAGCGTGGTGCCGTTTTCTGTCGCAGTGCCGGAACCTCGGCTGTCGTGGTCAACAAAAACGAAGAGACCAAGGACGACGGTACCAGAGTGATGACGGGCAAATATGTCGAGGTGCGACTACAGAGTGGTGAGGTTCGCCGTGTCAGCAAAGATGCATGTGCAACCATTGGTGTGGCTAGCAACGTCCATCACCACTACCGACAGCTGGGCAAGGCTGGACGAAGCCGTTGGCTCAACATCCGACCTACCGTCCGCGGTGTGGCCATGAACAAGGGTACGTTATGAGAGACGCTGTTTCAGCTAGGAGAATGTTGCTAACGCGATTAATAGTCGACCATCCTCACGGTGGTGGTAGAGGTAAATCGAAGGGTAACCGCCATCCCGTCAGCCCTTGGGGCACTCCGGTAAGATGCCCCACCATCAAACAGCTTTCCTGGCCGCCACTAACACACAGATGTAGACCAAGAGCGGTTACAAGACCCGACGCAAGCACAACATTAACAAGTGGGTTGTGGTCCCCAGACCGCGCAACCACGGCAAGCGACGCGACAAGTCAGCATGAGTACAGCAGTAGAGGACTTCCACTGGAGGGCAACAGAGGGAAAGCACACACGTGTGTGGGGATGTGCCCCAGTGCATTGTATATTATAACGCTGCATTGTACCATATGTGACATTATAGACGAGGCTTGCGGTGTGCGTTGACTATGGAAGCGCGACGTCTCTCCGTTCTAGGAAGTTGGAGTTGCAGTGCAGTGTGAAATCCTACCATTAGCTGGCGATGGACGTTGGTGCCAGCAACTTGAAGTCAGGCATCCATTGGCACCAGTTGCATGATCCAGCGCGAGTTTCAAACCCTGTCTAGCTTCGCACTCAGATGCAACGCGCAACTGCTCAATGACTGGGCAGTATGCTCCCATCGGGTGCTGCGGCTTATGCAATACGCATCCGTCACCGAATGCCACGGTCGCAGGAGCGCGAATGTCCCGCTAGGAGGATGGATCGCGCCCCTGACAAGCCAAGCCGAGACTTGAAATAAACATAAAAATAAAATAAAACCTTCGCCCAAGGGTTTCAGAAGATGAACATCACAAAGTCTCATTCACACAAAGCAGTCGAGAACAGATGACAAGACGAGCTGAAGGGCACCTTATTAGGGTGAGACATTCGAAGCTCTCCCAGACGACTTGCAGTCGAGAACAATCGACGCTAAGGGTTTTCGTTGGCAATGCAAGGCCTTGGATTGGCAATTAACCACGATCTCGTATTTGCGGACTAAAGCGGCGGACTCTCTCGGAGGTCCGATACGCCCGAGCTTGGTTCACCATTAGTAAGTAGGGCACGGCATGGATGGTCGCGAGGGAGCAGTTTAGCGGTTGCTCAGCCTCGCTGGGCCACGTAACTTGGGCGGCTGGAGCTTCCTTCACTCACCCCCAAGGATTGTACTGTGTCTGAAATCATCACCGTTGATCGGTGCTGAAAGGGGATGAGATCTGACTGTACAGAGTGGCGCCAGGACGTAGCGCCGGGGGGCTAGAGTCTTAGAGACAGGACGCGCATCTGTGAAGGGATGAGTGAGATGATCGGTCGGAAAGGCATAAAAAAGAGAGACAGAGAGAGAGAGTGCGCGGCGGTGGGTTTGCGGCTGGCTTTGGTCCTTTGGTATTTATCGTTAATCGCATCTCGGGGGTCTGCACTCTACGCCATACGGGGGACGAAAGAAGCGTATTCCCATGGTTGATGTTAAGTTGCGGCGGATGGACGATGGAAATTTAAGGTTTCGGGGGACGTGGGTGGTGTCAATTAGTGGCCTCCCAGCATCGACGTTGCGATTAAAGCCACCCGCCTTACCAAAGAATAAGAACAGGTCCTCAAATAAGGTGCCACAGGTACTAAATATTGAGGGGCAACAACGAGGTCGTGGTACAGGATCGACGGTCACAGGCGTCACTTTTGGCGACGACGATCGCGCCGCATACCACCAGATCTCGGCATCCGGAACAGGTGTGTCTTTTGGGTCTTGCTGCCGAAATGAGGCATCGTGATGGGGATCTGCGACGACGCAGGTGCTTGCAGAGCCTGGCGGCAAGCAAAGAAATTCTTACATCGGTACCCAGTAAGCCGAGTCCTCGCCCGCCCTATACACTGCGTCAAGCCCCCCCCCCCCCTATAAATCTCATGTTGCTCTCGTATCATTTATATGCCATGTGCTCGCACGGGGCTAGGCCACACAACCTGGCCAGGTACACAGTCCATTGTCAACCCAGTAACTATGCCACAGAGTTAGCGGCTGGGCTGTGGGCAGGTGAGATTGCCGCTGTGGAATCCGTCGAATCCATGTGTGTTTTAGTGGTAATCCGGCCTCGAGGCGCTGACAGTTCTGTGGTCGTTCAGGTGTCGCAGTGAGGCGTCTGCCAGCCACGGCGTCCGCTAGCACGGCTCTACCACGCGATCAGTTCCCCAATGGAGCCCGGCGCGGTCCTCACTGCCCCCTGCCACAGCCTCAACTTATTGGTACTTCGGCTGTAGCAGGACAACTGCCAAGCGCCAGGGCGAGTGTGTGAGAGTAAGAAAGGAGCGCGCGCATGCTGAAACCCAATCAAGCGATGTCAGACAAGCAAACGCAAAGGCCGGCAGGACAGATAAAAAGGCTAGGCTCCGAAACCCCGTCTGCTGGGGCTCGCTCCTCTCGTCTCCATCGCACATCTACGACCCATCCATTCACAAGTCCATCCACCATCCATACCTGCACCTAGCACACTCCCCAGGGCAATTGTCCACGTAACCCCACCGCCAATTAGCCTCGCCCAGCCCGTCTCATCCCTGCCAAGCCAGCCAAGCCAACCAAGGCTGGCCCCGGCCTTATTGCCCGACTGCTGGGTCCGTGGTACAGCGGCTCACTGCAGTGCAAGCGCTGTGCTGTAGGTACCGCGGCCGTCCGGCAGCTTAACCTTATGTACCCACCCACTCCCCCGTCATCACTGAGATCCATGCAAGAAACCTCCTACGTCAACCCCCATCAAACCTCGACCCGCCAACGCCAGATCGGAGCTCCGAGCAAACCGTACCAGATCCCCTGGGCCGCCGTCTCTTGTTTAGTTTACTGCTTCGGGGCGTCGCCTGACTGTTTGCAAGACACCGCAACCTTATATAACCCATCATTCTCCGCCCTCTCTGGGCTATCACAATGGCTCCATTCCCCAAAGCTTACCAAAAGATGGCGGATTCGGCTCCAGGTTTTCCTTCCAGTCGGCGAGGCCGCATCTCCATGCGCCTGCTGTTATCTTATGCCTTTGACTGGATTTCTCTAATCGCAGTCGCCGGCATCGCTGCCGCGTTGGGCCACATCGACCCTGCGAAGCGACCCTTTTCCCTAGTCAACCCCGATATCTCGTGCGTCTTTGTCACCCCCCGGCCTCATTGTCGATGGCAATTCCGCCTGTCAACGCCCTCCACCATACCCATCAGCTAACAACTATTCTCAATAGATTCCCCTATACCGAACATGAGCTTGTCCCGCCCTACCTCCTCATCATCCTCAACGCCGGCGTCCCCATCGTCATCATCGCCATTGTTTCTCTCATCTTCGTCCCGGGCCCCACGGTTCCCAAGGACACCCCCAAGGCCCTGGTCTGGAAGCGTAAGCTGTGGGAGCTGCACATTGGCTGGCTAGGTCTCGCCCTCGCCCTCGTCTCCGCCTGGTTCTTCACCGAGTCCATGAAGAACCTCTTCGGCAAGCCTCGCCCCGACCTGCTCGCCCGCTGTAAGCCAGACCTCGACAATGTCGCCGACTACATCGTCGGTGGCTTGGCCTGGCGCAATTTGACCGGCCAGCTCGTCTCTGCCGATATCTGCACCCAAACCGACAGGAGTATCCTCAACGACGGCTTCCGGAGCTACCCCAGCGGCCACTCCTCCTCCGCCGCTGCCGGCCTAATCTACGCCTCGCTCTTCCTCGCCAGCAAGTTCTCCGTCACCGTCCCCTTCGCTCTGCCCAGCGCTTCCTCTGTTGCAGGAGCGCACAGCCACGCCGCCTTCCCCTCTCGACAGCGCCCGACTGTGGATCGATATGAGCCGACCCGCACCGCAACGTCGTCACCCCCGAACAAACTTGACGAAAACTCCTTCGAGCAAAACGTTAAGATTCAGTCACTTCGCCTCCAGGCTGCAGCGCCGCCCATCTATTTGCTCGTCCTCACCATCGTGCCCTTCGCCTGCGCCGTCTTCATCGCCTCGTCCCGTTGGTATGACTACCGTCACCACGGCTTCGACATCCTCTTTGGTTTCCTCATGGGTACCGCCACCTCCATCTACGCCTTCCGCTACTACCACCTTCCCATCCGTGTCGGTGCTGGTTGGGCTTGGGGACCCCGTAGCGAGGAACGTGCCTTTTGGGCTGGCGTAGGTCGGCTTGGTTACGCCGGTGAGGACGAGGAGATGCTCCCGAGCACCCATCGCCACGGCACGGGCATGTATGCCAACACTTCGTACCCGGCCATGACCTCAGGCGCGGCCACTCAGAGACCCGTCCAACTTCACCACTCTGACAACGACGAACTAGATCATTCCCGTGAACGTCCACCGTTCCAGGATGTCGAATTGCAGCGAATGAACCCACGGGACGACCGTGATGACCGTGTCTAAGAGCATACTTGGTATTTGTAATTATTAAAATAATAGGTGGCTTTTTGTGACCTTTTTTTCTGTTATTACATTGTAGGACATGGCAATGGAATTAGCTCTAGGAGCAGGGAAATTGAGTGGTGCGGTTCGGAAACCCCCGGACAGATAGAACTCTTGCATGAAACTTGAAACGAACAGACAATGACCAATCATTTAATCAAATTTGTGTATTATATACGGAGTACGCTTGTGAGCATTACTCACTCATTTAAACCCCACACCTTTGAAAATGAACTCTTTCAGGAACACAAGATAGTAAAAAGGCGCTTCCATTTAACAGCTATAACTCAAAGAATTCATTCGTACTTCGTTTGGTTAGCCCAGCCCCGTCTTCCCAGACAACGCCTATCCGTAGAACCGACCGAACAATAGAAGCACGACACGACAGGGCGATATAAGGTGTAGGGCAAAGGCGGTATCCATCGACAAAGACACTCCCACGCTGTTTCCCATCCCTTCCGAGCCGTCTAGTATCCTCACATCTTGGCATCCGCGCATCCGTGTCTTCCTTCCATACCCAAGTCTTGCTCAGTCTCAGAGTCCCTCTACAACAGCCATGCGCCCATCAATGCCCTCAAACTCGACCTCGTCCTCGTCTTCGTCCTCCTCCTCGCCCATCTCCTCGCGGAAGCCAGTGTCGATCTCGAGCTTGCGCAGGCGACGGCGCATGTCGTCGCGGTTTGCGTTTTGCCAGCGGACGAGGGCAGCAGAGGCGTGGACCTTGAAACCGTAGACGCGGGGGATGTAGCGGTTGACACTCTTCGTAGGAATGAGAGCGGGGTAGACCTGGAAGAGGATGTTGTGGAAGGAAGTGCCGAAGTAGGCGCCGTCGATAGCGGCGTGCCGCGACGACTTGGGGTTGTAGATGTCCTCGCAGCGCCCGCAGTAGAGCTTGACGGGTTTGAGGTTGGGTACGTCGGAGAGGCCCATGGGGAGGAGCGGGTGGGAGTGACACTGGACGCGCGGGCACTTGCCAAAGTCGGCCTTTTTATACTTGTCAAGCTGTTCCGGAGAGGTGGCGTTAGAATAGGCCAGAAGGGAGACAGGGGGAGAGAAAGCGCACCATCTTGGTCAAGCCTCTAGTAGTTACAATGTATCGGGCGTGAACTAGGCCGTAGAGATGCCTGGCCGACTTCTCAATCGTCTCGCGCATCTCATCGTCGCAGTCGAGGTCAAAAACATCGGTGACCAAGTCTAAGGCATATTGGTAGTACTGTACTTCGGTGTTGAGCCCCGTCAGGTTGAAGCGATCGGTCAAGTAGTCTTCGTCGATTTCGCAAAAGTACTCGTTGCCCCTTGACGAGATGAACTGCGCACATGCGAAGTCGCGTTAGCCCAGGTATTCCACAATCAGAAAAATCCCCTCCTCCAGCACAGACTGCCTCAATCGACGGTTCGGCCAAGCCCCGCGGGGACGAGGCTGAAGGCTGCAGCGCGGCGGTGTCGGGCGTCTGGCGGTGGATGGCGGGCATTGAAGAATCCCCTCGTCACTGTTGCGCACTGCTACTCACCCAGTCTCGCCAATAGCTGGTGTAGTCGCTGTCGGACTCACTGACGTAGTCGTCCATCATGGTGGGCAACGGGGATCGAGGTGGGGGTGAGAGAGAGCGAGCTGGCAGGGTTGCTCAGGGCCGAGCGACCATGCCCAGCAGCGAGCGAGCGTGAAAGGCGGCGGGAGGAGGGCAGATATATGAGGGTGGCCGTGATTGAGGATCTGCAGGCGTCGTCTGGGCGCGAGAAGGAGGCGGCGGATAATACTGGTGCTCTGTGGTGGGGTTGCAAGCCGCCCGAGTCTCTGCGAGTCTGCGAGTCTGCGAGTCTGCCCGTATGCAAGATGCGTGCGGGATTAGGATTAGGATTAGGAATGGGGCCCTGCCACAGCACAGCCGATAAGGTAACGTGACCCCAAATCCGGTACGTACCTCGCATCACCTCACATCACCACCTCATCGGACTATCAAGATCTAGGTAGTCAAGGACGGACAGACAGACATGCTGCAATACGACATGCCCAAATAATCCGAATATGTAATGAATTCTACTAGTTACATAGATCCCCAGAGGCTCATAGGCTATATATGCCAGTGAAAGAGCCATGTCTCCTGTCAGGCAAGCTTTCCATCCCTCCAACTCTTGCTCCCTAAAATACCCAGTAAATGTCTAGGCAAAACACATTGAAACTCCAAGGATAAACCCCCAAATCTCCCAAAAATAAGTAATGTCACCCGTAGTCTTGTTTACGGTGCGCTGATTGTCGACGCGATACTGCCCGTGTCGCTCGTCGACCGTCTATCCGATTCAGTGGCATCGTCGTCTCCGCTGCTTGTTTGGCCTGATAATCCATTCAATCCTCTCCCCGATGGAATTTGTAGTCGACTGCCAAACCCATCGAGTCCTGGCTCCTGTTTAATCACCACGTCAACCATCCTCATGGCTTCTTGCAGCGTCTCGCCCGTCTCGTCCATTGCCGCCAAGAACCGCGCAAGCTCCTTGCACAACTCCCAGTCGCCCTCTCGCATGGCACGGGATAGAAGGCGGACCGACTGTTCCGTCGAGGAGCCCAACTCATCCAGGGTATGCAACACAATGAGGTAGCCTCCTGCAGTCTTCAGTGATCCTCTCTGCAATGACTCTTCAAAAAGCTCCTGTGCTGGTGGCAGGTACGCGAACAATGTTTTCCATTGCCGCACTTCGGTTTTGCGTGTGCATTGTAGCACAATGTCCAGATACTCTTTAAACGACGAAAGGAGAGATAGCACCCGAGGTAACACAGCGTCCTCGGGCTTTGGTGAAGTATCCACCTCTTCGTCCAGAACTCGATGTAACAGAATCTCAAGGCCGTGTGCAAAGTACTCGAGGTCTTGGTATTGTTGTGCCAGGTGACTTGCCTCGACGATTCTACTTTGCTTAAGATAGAAACGTAGTATGTCCGGGAGCACGAGATGAGTCTATAGATAATTAGCTTGCATCTGAGATCATCGGGGCAATTTTGCTTACCCTAAGTGCGAAGTGAAAGAAGGAGAAGCTCACGTCACGACGTTGCACCAAGTCTGACTCCACTCCTAACACAATGCCCTTCTCCAAAAGCACTGAGAGCGGGTAGAAATCGACGGGGATAGAGGCCGGCGCGGGCGGCTCCATGGTGCTGTCCGCCGAAACTGCTTCCAGCACGTCGTTAATACTGGGCCAAGCCTTCAGTTCCATCCCATCAAATACCCATAAGGAGTCCCGCAAGGCAGGTGAACCATTTCGCGGGCTAGATTCCTCGATTTGGTGGCTAATGTGGTGCAGAGGCTGGTCTCGCATGCTTGCATGGTACTCCACGTTTTGTGCGATGATCCGCATGTCATACTTGAGCTGCCCTTCGTCATTCAGCGACGGCCGTAGCACAACAAGTTTGCCATCTACCAGGAAGATGACCGAAGCCACAGCCACATCCTGGGAAGGATCGCCATCCGCCAATTGGTTCTCAGGCAATATCCAGCTGAGCCCTCGAACTCTTGCTGGAGATCTGACGATACCGTGGAACGCTATCTGGCCCACTTGCACCAAGCGAACCGATCCTCCAAAAGGCGTGAAGATAAAATGATATAATAGGTTTTCGTAGGTGTAAACGAGGAGAGAGTCTTCGCCAGATGTAGTTACCAGTACCACCGGGGCAGGGATCTTCTGTGTGTGGAGTACTTGAGATGAATCCAGAGCAGTCTCGCGCGAAAACAGGCGCAATTCATATGTCCTGTTGCCTTCGACTGCCGCGACGAGGATGTGCTGATGCCAGCACATGCCACCCCTCACCTGGAACTCGTTCTCCATTTCTTGATTGGCGAACGTCTTCCAACGACCACTGTTGACACTGTAGTGAGCGAGTCCACGGCGACCGGCGACTGCAACATATCGACCGTCCGGTGATATAACTGTCTGCCGAATGGGCCACTGGTGTAAAAGATAGGTCGCCGGGATTTTTGCCGTGTGCCATAGAAATGGCTCGGCAGATATACTGGTAAGGTCCGGGACGTCATAGCCTCTGTACACCATTACTCCCGATGGTGTCTGAAGGACTGTCCTGAAAATGTTGGCTTCATTGTAACATCCGGTAACGGCGTTTTTGGCCATCTCCAAGGACCAGATTGCTTCATGTTGACGTCCTATCATGAGAACTTCGGAGCCCCCGCCGAGCCAATACGCAGAGTGAACTCCTGAAAGCCATTCCTCGCCATTAACACGTGAGGTAGTCTCCTCAGCTCCGAAGCTATTGCTCCCAAGCTTGCCAAACATGCTCCAGGTTGACCATCCCTTCTCAAACCCTGCGAAAAGGCAGTAGCCGTCCGGTGAGTAACTTAGGGTCGTGAAAGCACCTGAAAATGACACTGACACAGGTATCTTATGGGTATGGGAATGGGGGATGTTGCCAGAATAGTCGCGAACGGAGTAGACCTGCACCGTACCATCTCTACATCCAACAGCGATGAGAGAGAAGCGGGCATTAATGACGGCTCTAACCGCAAATTCATTGCTAGTTGTCGGGTTGTGAAAGCAATGTCCCTTGAAGAGTCGCTTGGAATCGGCGTCATCTGACTGGCTGCTCTCCGTCCGAGGTGTTTGACGCTGCACTGCATACGCTCGCCCGCTACTTGTGATCCAGGTAGACAAATTCATCGGTCGGTCATGTGTCATCTCAATGATGGATTCCTTCTTCTCGACCCATCCCATTCGGCTGATTATCTCGGTCCTTGTTTGGCTTCCTGTGCTGTCAGGGGTCCAGCGGATACATTGTACGGCCGCTGGTTTCCGTGTTGCCACCACCAACTCATCGTCGAGAGCAATTGCACTTTCGATTCCAGCATCAACCTTAATGACCATTCGAAACCGCATGCTGACGTCGCGAATACCGGATCCCTCGCCCGGTCCCCAGAGCAACTGATCTGGGGGTAGGCCGGCCTGCCCGCCAATTAGGCTTTGCCTTCGCCGTTGAACATTATGGTAGTTGGAAAAGTGGGATTTGTACGTGCGAGAGTCGGCATCGGTGGCGATGGAGTAGGTAATGAGAAAGCCCAGATCTGTGCGTATGACGAGAATAGCCGAATCGGGTCTCAAGAGGAGGTCGACGTTCTTGCCATAGAGCTGAAGAGAAGTTTCGGATCGTACGACAACGGCGAGAACGACGGTTGGCTGCAATAATCAACATCAATATATCCTTTTCAAGAAGGCGAGGTTCATACCTTTGTTTGCCAGACAGTGATGGATGTGGCTGTGATGACGGCAAACAAGTTCCCCGAGCGTGAGATTCGCATAGCCAGCACGGGGTCCTTCAACGGCAAGTCGTCTACATCCGAGCCTCTCGAGTCTGGTCGAGAGTCCGTCGAACCGTCATCGTCGTGCTCGACAGACTCGATACGGGGTGTCTTGGGAGACGAGGGCGTAACGGGGGTTGGCGGGGGTAGGAGATCATCGTCGATGCCGCGGGGCTGTCCGCTAGGAAAAGCCGGTGAAGCTGCCAGGCTGGAGTCAAGAGGGCTTGACAGGCCATCGTGGGAGACGACGAGCCGACAGGCCGGGGCTCGACTACTGCTGGTTGCGTAGATGCGCGGCGTGCCAATAGGCCAATACATCGCGGGCAGCTAGCTCCTCAGCTCAGTGGATGCGCTGCAGCCCGTTCGATGCCGATACGCAGCCGTTGGGGGTAGATGTTTCGCTGGGGCGAGGCCTCAAACATGACCATGTGCGCTCGCTCGGGAAGGATGTCTCGGGGCCATTGGCTTAATGGCGCTGTTGCTGGATGAAGAGGGGACGCCAACTGAGAGTCGCTCCGTGTCGCGGATCAGCTCCCTGGGGGTGCTGTCATCACGGCCGCCCGTCATTGGTGGGGAAGCTCTCTGGGTGGATTACATAAGACATCACATTTCCGCTACGCGACTTCCGTCTCAAGCATCCGCAGCTTCCATCCTCAGTTAAACAACATCTCATCATTGCAGAACGGACAATTCGAACATTCATTGCTTCAATTGCCGACCAGCAAACCCAAATTCATATATTTCCAGATGTGGTATTTCCAGTCCCGCGGGGCGTGCCTTTTAATATCCGGCCTGCGCCGTGTTCTCCACGCCCCCTTTGCTTCTATGCCATCCATGCCAACGCCTCAGACTTTAGATTTCTTCTGATATCAGCAAACGATCGCACCGCCAGCTGTCCAAATTGAAGATTCCAATTCCCTGGAATATTTCTCGATGAAGTCACAAGCACCGAGTGAGCCATGAAATGAACTGGCCCCGCAAAAAGGACATCACGTTCTGCAGTGTGCCCATCAAGCGAGAGGTTCAGCATATCAACTTCGAGTATCCCAGTCTTGGTTCTATTCCCAGAAAAAAAATATTGGCTCCCTGGCAATCCTGGCCTTGGTCGGTCCTCGAATACATCCCTTCCTTCCAGGCATGGAGTCATTACCGACAAAATGTGATCATCGTCCATTAATCACGCCTGTTTGTCTGTTTGTGGTCGCTGTTTTGTACCGTCTTCCAAGCGAAAACTGTTGTTGTCCGGCCGGGATTGGCAGAGTTTCGAGGAAGCCATCTCCTCAAACCGGGTTTGTATTTTGGTGAGGTTTCCAAGGAACTCCCATCTCTGAAGAATGGACGAGACTAATGGGGCTTGTGCATCTGTCCTTTTGATGTCCTGGGTCGCGAGTTTGGCCTATAGTTCCGATATCGTCCAATCAGGGAACAAGAAAAAGAAATAAAGCAAAGGAGAATTCATCACGCCAAGGAACGGGTCCCATCAACCACGGATGGGTTGGGAATATGTCCAGCCTGGATCCACGGTCCAACGGTCGTCACCTTCTCGGCATGTTCCATGGGGATCCAACGGCGTCAAGAGAGGGTTCTCTTCTCAATTTTAACTGAACTCAAGTTGGGGTTCAGTCGAGGAGGTATCCTCGTCCCGAGTTGACATCACTGTGTTCATCTTCATGGACAATTGAAATATCGACATGGCCAAGACTGGGTCAACTCGGCCGCCGGATGACGAGAGTGTCAAGACTGAGTACTCTGAGGCTTCTGAATAACTGGACGTGGGTCCAACATGCCGGAAAGGTAAGGATCCGACATCTGAGATGCATTCGAGCTTGTCTGACTGGGAGGAAAGATCACAGGACTGTCCTAGATCCTGGTATTGGTAGAGAGACGGTGCGTTTGAGGCCATTGGGTCTTGTTGCTCGACCGGGATGGGATCTACTGACGGTTTTTGCATGGGGGATGGACATGCCATGCAAATCGCCGAACCGAGACAAGCCATCATGACCGCATATTCTCTTAGGCACGAAATGAGCTCATCCAGTAGAAGTTTCTCATCTGTGAGTTGCAGCGCGTGCGTACGACTAAAGATCCGGTGAGCGACACAACACAAGGCCAGGAGAACGGCAACCTGGCCAAAGTTTGCTCTGGGCTGTCATCAGCACTCATCGACACATTCAGCCCAAGGGTTTATGCATACGCCTGAAGGACCGGTTTGTACGCAAGAGCCGAGATTGCGCCAGACACGACGAGCATCACGACGATACTAGCTACAGTCAGCTCTGATGTTGACAGCAGCAATAGTGGCGCCAACACGCAACACTCACACTGTATCAACGCTATGGTCCTGGGGTCGACTGAGAGCTAGCCCAGTGCCCATGAGGACCCCTGCGGGCAAGACTTCTGCGCAGTGTACCACAGCCTCCCAACAGAATCGACTATGATCGTCGGCCATGTTGGTTATTGGTGTGACGGCTGCAAGTCGACAGCGACGATCATGAGGGCAGGCAAGAACAAGGGTGAAGGCGACAAAGTGCGCTTGGAGCGGTACGCCTGCGAAAACGGTGTTTTGCAATTTTTATAAAAGGCGAAGAAGAGATAGCAAGGCGCTGCCCGATGTCAGTTGCTCTGCCCAAGGTTTTATGGGAGGGAGGCCATGGCCCAGCCCAATGGAAACGGCCGTTGTTTTCAACGCCGCTCTGTTGCCCGAGGCGTGGGCGAACGACTCGAAACTGTCTTGTGCCATTAGTTTCCGATTGCGGCCGATTTTTTCCATCCCATCACAGGCGAGAGAGACGAATCAGTACGATGGTTGGGCAATGTTTCCCCAGGCGGTTGTTAGACTTCAACGGCTCGATAAGGATCCTGGCCACTGAGGATGCTGTTGGTCGACTGGGGGTGTCAGCACTTGTTGCCTCGTGTGAGGGAGCTTGATGCGGAGCGCCCTGCGGAATTCGACGCGAACCTCGATGCGCCCCAGATGCGACCAAGTTGGCGCCTGGCGAACCGCGAGAGAGCTGGAATGGTTGGCCCTGGACGAGTTGACCAACAGCCTCATATTGGGGTCGCCTGGTACACTTCAATAGCCCAACATTGGTGTTTGGGCATCGCTGCATTTAGGCGACAACGCCAAAGGTCACCGGGCAGTGCAGGCAGGGCGGGCGTCATATGAGAGCTTACGTCCATACAGAAGCCTCAAGAGCCTCATGTCCATTCCTTGCGCCTGCGCCATGGCTACACCTGCCGTCGCAGCTGATCAAGGAGACGGCGCCCGTTTCCCTTTGCGTACTCGAGGCCGCCAGGCCCCAGGAAGAGTCGCCTCGGAGTCCAACTTGAACGAGGCAACTTCGTTCTTGTTCTGGCTTTAAAACCCTTGTCGGGTTCCTTTCCAAGTCCTGTGGCGAAAGACTAGACTTGAGGCTCAATTTCGCACGTCCAGGTCGACTAGATCGCAGCGCGACACGGCACCCTCGACTTCATGTCATCGATAATTGAAAAGACGAACAAACCCCCTCAACGGAACGAGAAAGGGCATGGACATCATGCCCCGGTCCACAAGGCCCTCGTTGACCTGGTCGAGTTGCTGCCAGCCAGCTCCGGCGCCTGGATCATGACCACATACATGAACCAGCTCTGCAAAGCAACTCGTCCACCCGATGCGGTATGTTCGTTGGTAACTTGGGTCTGGGTCCAACTGCTTCGGCTTCTCTTTGCGCTGCCTGGGCATCAGCTTGTCCATCCATTCCTTTACTCATTCATTCACCTCTTTCCCCACCGTAATGGCTGAAGTGACACTGACACTTGCTCCGGGTGCTGCCAGACCTGCCCAAAAGGGTCTCGCGTCGACTTTCTTGTCCGCCCGTCGCGATGGATGCTCCTCGCCGCCTGCATCGTGTTTGGGTGCTCAGCAGCGTCGTTCCTCCATCGACGCCAGCCCCACGACGCCCATCAGCCGTACATATTTGCGGTCTGTGTTGCTGTCGGTGCGGTTGCAGGAGAGTGCACCGGAGCAAGTGCCGACTACATCATGCTAGTACATGTCTCTTGGGGCGTGTGCGTGGCGATGCTGGTGAGCGCAGTTAGCCTTCGTGTCCACGGATACGGCATCCATGAGCGACAGTGACGATGCGTTCGCGGCTCGAATGGAACGGGCATGTAGCTCCTAGTCGGATTGCCCCGACAAAAGAAGCGCACAAGCTTCGCAATACCGCCACTGTTGTTTCGGTTGTGGTTTCTCATGTTTTTATCCTGGTTTATTTTGCGAAATTGGAGAGGTTGGGCGAAGGGCGGAGTGAAAGAGGTTAACGGTTAACAGCATTTAGACGTGAACTTGAGTTGACGGTTTTTCAAGTTAAGTATGGGATCCTCATGCCGAAGTTTTGGGTGACTCTGCAAGCCTTGTCAACGTGCGCTACGTGCATACGGATTCTACTTACTGCGTGCTTCCGACTGATGATGGTTTATACCACAGATCCCACCTCCCATTCCCCATTCCAGGGTGCTCCGAGCGCTGCCGGGCCGTGGTGTAAGTGGATCGCCATTTTGCGGGGTGAGCTATTCATGTGTGTCTGGTATTGAGTAATTGCGGCAATCTATTACGAGCTGGAGATGTTGCGGGCGTGCGCTGTGGGGTTGTTGTGGAAGGGCGCCCAATGTCAACTTCGCAAAGGACGATGTGGACACCGGATAGCCGGGAAACCGCAAAACACGGTGAACGAAGCAACAAGATGCATCACGAGTAGCCTCATCGCTTATCAGATACGCCCTACAGCACGCCCTAGACGTAATAAAGAGGGATGCGTGTGGCTCCAGGGTGGTCGATTGGGGATTCGCCATCCGGATATAGGGTAGCTTGGAGCTCTGACCACCGGTTACGGTCGGCCGGGAGCCTGTCTCCGGCACCGGCTTGGTTGTTATCGGCGCCGGGGTGGACGGCGCTTAATAAAGCAACCTCCGCCAAAACAACCGTATCTTTCTTTACCTGGTCGATTTGTCTATCCGTCTATCCTCCAACCCGCTCGGCAAGTCGATGAACTGGCGTCGTCCGCGTGACTCACGGCTTGGCTGAATCCCCGACATACTTAGATCGTAATACATCCTACCTTTCTTGTCAATACTCTAAACCACCATTCATTCCAGTCATCATTTCTTCGTGCCAATCGCCAACCCCCCGCCGCCATGTTCCCGATCCTGAGGGTGGCTCGGCTGCGGCCGGTAGTCCGTCACACCCAAATGTTTCACACCAAGTCTCACCTCTTCTCCGCGAACAAGAGCCAGGGCGCCTCGGTCATTGACGAGATCAAGGCAAGGCGGGCCAAGGCGGGGAAGCTTGTGGCTGGAGTTGCTGCCGCGTCTGACAGCGATATGTTTAAGGGATCGGTAAGCTGTCTCAATTGAGTTTCGTGAGACTGTTCGCGTGGCTTACGCATCGCCTTTCAAGACTGCTGGCAAGCTCAATGCCAAACGCTGGGACAGTATGTGTGGAATGGAAACACCCGGAAACCTCACAACTAACACGGCACCCTAGACCACTTGAGCTACGAAAGTAGAGTACGAGGGCCGTGTACTCTAAAACAAGCTGCGAAACATATGAAAAACCCCGGACTCATCTCTCTCGGAGGTGGCCTCCCCTCAAGCGAAGTGTTCCCCTTTGCTGAACTCGAGTTCAAGGTGCCTGTGTCTCCCAACTTCTCTGAGAAGGAAACGGCAGAGTCTGGCCAAGTTGTCAAGGTGGGGAAGTACGATGTCCGTGACCGCGACGGCACTTATGACTTGTCCATCGCTCTCAATTATGGTCAAGCCACTGGATCTCCCCAGATGATGCGGTACCTGACTGAGCATACTGAGATTGTCTACAAGCCTCCGTATGCGGACTGGCAGATCTGCCAGACCATTGGTAGCACCGGTGCCCTTGAGGAGGCGCTACGGATGTTTTGTGACAAGGACCGTGGTGACTCCGTCCTGACCGAGGCATTTAGTTTCTCGACTGCCTTGGAGACGATCACCCCATTGGGAGTTAAGACCTTCGGAGTCGAGATTGACGAACAAGGCCTCATTCCCGAGGCAATGGATGAGCTCTTGACCAGCTGGGACGCGGAGGCTCGCGGCGCCCGAAAGCCCCATCTCCTATATACCGTGCCCTCTGGACAGAACCCCACGGGAGCAACGCAGGGAATTGAGCGACGGCGGGCACTCTATCGTATCGCCCAAAAGCACGACCTATACATTATCGAGGATGAGCCCTACTACTTTATTCAAATGCAGCCCTATACCGGCCGCAACCAGCCAGATGCGCCAGCGCCCGAGACGGTTGACGACTTCGTCTCATCGCTCATTCCTTCATATCTGAGCATGGATGTTGACGGACGTGTCATGCGCATGGACTCATTCTCCAAGGTTCTTGTACCGGGCTCTCGTCTTGGATGGATCACTGCATCGGCGCAGATCATTGAGCGCTACGTCCGCCATGCCGAGGTGGCCAGCCAAGGACCCAGCGGTTTCTCACAACTTATCCTGTATAAGCTACTCGACGAGACCTGGGGCCACGAAGGTTACTTGCGCTGGCTCATGAACTTGCGTCTCGAGTATACCAAAAAGCGTGATGCTCTGTTGGCCGCCTGTGAGGATCACCTCCCTCGCGACCTTGTGACCTGGGAGCCCCCTGCAGCGGGCATGTTTGTAAGTACACACTTGCACTTAAATACTCAGACTTCGATTGTAAGGCGATGACTGACACCCAAGTTCAGATGTGGCTTCAAGTTGACTACACCAAGCACCCACAGGCCGCGGAACGTAGTATTGTGGATATTGAGCAAGAGATCTTCGACTCGTGCATCACTGGCGGTGTGTTAGTTGCAAGAGGCTCGTGGTTCCTCACAGAAAAGGACAAGGCACCCCCGGGATTGTTCTTCCGTGCCACATACGCCTCCGCGACTCCCGAGAACATGAATGAAGCCATCAAGAGATTCGGCAAGGCAGTGAAGGATAGCTTTGGCAGGCAATAAACTAGCCTAGCGTATCTTTGGGCGAAGGGCAAGGCGTTCTCGACTGCCTCATTGCATTGGGGTAATTTCTTGGATATGCATTGCGAGCGGGTAGTTGGACAACGGCACCAATCATATAAGCATTCAATACGGGTCAAAATAGGGGAGTAGATATGAGGCTTATCGAACTAGTTACTAGGAATTACAGAGTGCTTCGTACACATCATCATCGGGCTCGCTGTACCTGGCCAAAAGATGGAACCAAGTCTACGCCTCCCAGAAAGCCACTCTCACCCCCTGGCCAGGCGATAGCACAATATCAGCCTTGAGCATGGGCTGTCCGCCGTCAACCTCGTACATGTAGCTCACGACCTTCTCGTACCGCTGGAACATGCGGCACAACACGTAGCTCATCTCGGTCAACGCGAATTGCTGGCCGATGCAGATCCGCGGGCCGGCGTTGAAGGGGATGTACTCGTGCGGCTTGGGGTGCCAGTGCTCCCACCGTTCGGGGCTGAAGACGTCAGGGTCGGCGAACTTATCCGACACAGGCGGGTACAGATCTGCCCGACGCTGCATCACCAGTGTCGAGTATGCGACGGGCGTGTCTTTGAGGACCGGCAAGGGCTCGGTGCCGTCTGGTCCGCCGCCGCGCGGGAGCGTCGTGTCCTTGAGGGCGAGGCGGACATTGAAGGGAACCGCCGGGTACAAGCGTAGCGCCTCGTTGAGGATGGCTTTCATGTAAGGCATATTCTTGAGATCCTCGTACGTTGGGGTTCGGGTAGGACCAACGGTGTCGAGAAGTTCGACTCGCAGCTTCGCGACAACTTCTGGGTGGCGGCCCAACTCATAGATAACCCAGGATAGAGTGCAAGCGGTGGTATCCCTGCCCGCGATGAGGATGCTCATGATCTGGTCGCGCAGAACGGTGCGGTCTCGCGTGAAGCCAGCGAGGGCGTGCAGGAACGTGTAAGAGTGGTCGTCCTTGGACTTGCGGGCAAGTTCCTCGGGGCTCATGCGCAGGGCCCGCTCGATGTAGAAGTTGACGAAGTGATGAACGATTTTGAGATTGCGTCGGAAGGCGAACTTGGGGACAAGGGGCCGAGCCTTGGATGTCCGGGCAATGATGTTTTGGATGCGTTGAACTTCGTTGAATGCCTCAGCGAACTCCTGGACAGGTGTACTATTATATAATGAGCATGATCTTGTTTTGGTAATAAGAAAGGGATTGAGGGAGATTACTCACGTAAGAGACTTGACATCGGATCCCAAGAGGAATTCGGTTGCCACGTCGAGCGTGTAGCGGAAAAGCAAACCGCTGATATCCATCACCTTACCATTAACACCGTTCATATCCACCACCTGATCCTCGCCCTCCAGGGGTCCTCCATTCGCAATGGCACGGAAAAACGTCTGCATATGTGCCTCGAAGCAGTGCAAATCGCTGACACGATCGCGGGTGAACTGAGGCCGGATGAGCTGGCGGCTGGCATGCCACTGATGTCCGTCGGTGGTGAAGATACTGTCGCCGAGGAAATCTTTCCACTCGGCATGGAAGGGCTCGCCTTTGCCGTAGTCGCTGAACTGCGTTGCCAGGATGGCCTTGAGATTGGCTGGGTCGGCGGTGAAGATGATGCGCATGTTGAGCATGCGTGCCTCGGAGGTCCAGGAGTTGAAGGGACCAAACAAATGATTTCGCCAGAAGTCAAGATTTTCGTGTCTTATGGTGGATCGGACGGTCTTGTAGAGGTGGTCAAGACCTGGCGGAGGAAAGTGAGTCTTTGAGTGACAGGACGAAGCTTGTGAGTGAGGACTCACCCAGCGGAAAGTACGTTGTGAGGTGTGGGCCGTAGTTTCCCAGACGTCTAATGCGTCGATGCTCATCAATGCGACATATGATATGCCAGACGGAGTACGCGGCGATGAGAATGGCGAAGACGGCTTTCAAGGAGACTTGCTCCAGGATGGCTTCGATGAGACCCATTTTGGGACACAGTGGAGATGGGAAGGGAGAGATGGAATTGGAAAAGAGTAGGATGCAGTTGACGAGTTAATTGCTCAGCGGGAGTAATTAGGAAGGTAATTCCTGCCTCATTGACTCGAGAGTCTAATGCGGTCTGCTGTATATAGCAAGTTGTCATCCGAGACAACAAGACGTCAGGTTAGAGGTGGAGCCAACATAGCAGCAGGATCCTCGATATTAATCCCACAGGACAGAAACCTTCGCAACCTCGGACGCAAGGCAAATCCCGGCATACCTAGGACCAGAACCTGTCGTGGCCGCATCCCCGGCCAACCAATCGCGCACAACGCGAACGAGGAGCGCGGCGCATAACTTCCCCTCACCTCCTAACCAAGACGGAGTCGCCAGGACGAACCGATTACCCGATTGAGACGCCACAGACGGCGTCTAGGGCGAGCGGAGGCGGGGCGTCGGAGCAATTGAGAAACGTCGCTTTCAGATGTCTTTGCGGGACGTTTGCCGAGGCGCAGGGGGGGCCCCGTTGTGGGTGTGGAGGAGCGTCTTGGGATTGACGGCGGGGTAATAGGCTTTGTTGGCTGGACATTTTCGTGTATTCAGGTAGCGGGATTCTGCGTGGTACAAGGCTGCGTTATGTCGTTGTGCTGTCGTATAATCGGGTGACTTTTTACATGATCTGAGGCTGTAAATCTGACATGCTTGCTCCAGAGCCGCATGCTTGTGGTGTAAGCGCTACATGGCAGCACGCACCCCGGGAGTGAATAACGGAGCAAGCAATCTACAATTGAGAAATGAAATGCATATTCCTAACCGATTGTACTCGGAGCTGCAATTGGGAAGCTCGCCAAGAGTCTGTGGCGTGGGAGGAAACGCAGCGGCCAGAGCCACGGTCGACGATCAGGATTCCCAAAACGGCAACCTGGCTCAAGAGGGCAAAGGCCGGGGAACTCCAAACCGCGGTTTTGGACCCCAATCTTCCCAGCGTCTCCTCCAGTTCTCATCCTGCTTTTACGAATAGTTACTCTCTCCCGCCTCCGTCTTGTGGGGTAGGCAACCTCCGTGGCCGTGTCCCAATAACATCAGGCCATGTCCATGTCCCGAGCGAATCACCCCCCGGCCTTCCCCGGATTTGAGACACGGCATCTACTGCATAGGCTCACCCGCTGGAGGCTCAAAGGTGCACTGCCAAGGCAAGCGTGAGGGAGAATCACCGCTCCTCCCACACCGGGATACGACACATCTTGACCGTCACATGCCGAGATGTCACCAGCGAGCCGCCAACACCAACTCCGAGCCCGTGGCGCGCCCCAGCTGACCTTGGCGATGTGCAACAGACAATTCTACTACGAGCCTAGTGCAGTACAACGTGACGCCCGCAACATCCTGAGAAGGCAGGTAACCGGCCCTGCGGCACAACTCGAGGCTCCGTCCGGCGTGGGCTGAATCGTACCCCCACTTCTCGGAGCCGAAGCCCCCGCCCGGGTCCCCGGTCGTCCCGTTCCGTATCGTCCCGGTCGTTTCGCTCTCTAACTCACGCTCCGGCTCACCCTCAAACCTACAACATACGACATAGTCATCACAGCAGCATTGGAAATGCCACAAGAAACACACTGAGACGAATTAGAAACTATTGATTCATTTGTCGTAAGATCAGACTCCTTGAGAATGCAGGTATGTATGTATGTACATGATGAAGAGAAATCAATAACTGACGTGAGCTCGCGCGCCCTTTAAGAAAAGGTATAGGCGCACTCCCCTGCATCGCCCTGAGTGCAGAACGGCATCTGCACCGGCGAAGCGCGCACGCCTCGCGCAACCATGCGCTCGCGCATCTCCGCCAGCCGCGGCGCGGCATCGTACTGAGACCGGTTCTGGCCGCCCGAGTCTGTTCGTCCAGACCAGAGCACCTCACCAGCCGCACTTGCTCGCGGCCACACCAGCGAGTCCAAGTTGACGGCGTCGATGGTCTCGGACCAGACCGCCACCTCGCCGCCGAGCACCCGCTTCGCCGCCTCCTTGGACAGCCCGGCGGTAGGGTCGTGGGAATAGATGAGACGCCAGCTCTTAGAGGGGCCACACCAATCGTTAAAGGGGTAAAAGGTTTGGAAAGCTTCGCCGTTGTCAAAGTTGAGCCACTGACCACGGCCACAATCAAGGTACTGTCATACTTCATTAGCATGGCGCTCTCATCAGGAAAAGAGACCAAGGTACTTACCCAGAAGTTGTAGTCACTGTCAATGACCTTATGGCCAGCCTCAGCCAGGTCCTTGACGGCGCTTCCGCCCAACCACGACTGGATAACGACATCGTCGCCGAGAGTCATGTTCCAGGTGGTAACCATCTCCTCCCACACCAGCGGGGTCAAACCGGCGTCTCGGACCTTGCCGTGGGCATAGTCGAGGAAGGTCTGCAAGAGCGGGGTGAGAACCTCGGTATCGTTGGACAGAATATCAGGATCCAGCATCGAGTCGTTCTTGTTGAGCTCGTCTCCACCAGTGTGGAAGTAGGCGGTGTAGGGCGATATACGGGGCAACAGATCCTCGAACAGTTTGTCGAGGAAATCATACACGGCGGTGCTGTTCATGCGGAAGGCACCGCAGGGGGGCTCGGCACACCACCACTGGTAGGGCTTCTCATTGTAAGCAACAATGAGGTCCTTGTACGCGAGCTCGACGACACCGATGTGGCCAGGCATGTCAATCTCGATGACGACCTCGACACCACGGTGGACACCGTACTCGTAGATGCCCTTGAGATCTTCAGGCGAGTATGACAGACCCTTGCGGTAGGCACCCTCCTCGGCCAGCTTGGGCAGGGCGGGAATCTCGAGGGGCCACGACTGGGAGTCAGTAATGTGAAGATGGAGGCGGTTCATCTTGTTCCACGCCATGGCGTCAATGGTGTGCTTGATGTCGTCGACCTCGAACCACGAGCGAGCGACGTCGAGCAGGACGCCACGATGGGGGAACTCGGGCTTATCCTCGATAGACACGGGGGCATGCGGGGTGTACCAGAATGTGCCAGAGCTGTGCTTGAAGAAAAGCTGGAGGAACGACTCCAGGGCGTGGAGGCAGCCCACGGACGACTTGGCCGTGATGACGGCCTTGCCATTTTCAGACAGGGTCAGTGAGTACGACTCATCTACTTCGCCAGCAAGTGGCTTAAAGGCGCTGTCATCATCCTTCTCAGTCTGGGTGATTTGGATGGACTTGACAAAAGTCTTCGTCTCATAGACGTCAGGCTCAAAGTCGGAATTGCGCGCTCGGAGCTTCCAGGGAACAAAGTTGTCCTGGAAGATGGCCTGGAAGGCTCGCGACACGCCGGCCTGGACGATTTCCTTGCTGCTGAAGTCGGAGCCGGAGCTGGGGGAGTACCCATAAGTATAGGAAATCTGGTTATTAAACAAGGTCTCAGTATCCTGCATCACAGCGTCATGGCCACCAGTGGCACCGGGGGGGATCCAGCGTACCGACTCTCCATTGTAGGTAACCTCGAGGGTCTGGTCGATGAAGAGGACCTTTTCTCCGGTGGAAATCTTCTGGGGGACCGGCCAGAGGGCGTTGACGGGACCGAGGGCGAGGGCGGCCACGGCGAGGAGAGGTGTGGACCACATGATGAGTGATCGACACTGAAGCGACAGGCCAGTAGATGGGAGACGGACAGGGGTCGGATCTCGAGGTGGGTAAGAAAAGGGGATCAATTGATGACAAGGGAAGCCCCAAAGCACCGAAGTAGAGCGGGAGAGACGGTCTCCTATAAGGAATCCAAGGACCGGGAGTGAGATGCAGGGTGACGACCGTGGCACGGGGATTCCAGTTAAATAAGGCCGGACCGTGTGATAGGGATGGGCGAAGTCTGAGCCTCTGAGTCTGAGGGCCAGCCCCTCGAATGAGCTTGGGAGGATTAATTGGATGGGACTCTATGCAAGGGCCCAAGCCACGGGAGGCTCGGTCGGGGAGGTACTTACAGCGTAGCACAGTCGCGGTTTAGCCAAAAGGTGGGATCTGCAAGAGCTAGATCCCAGTGAATCAATGATGCCAGCCGTGTCAGAGGCTCAGAGCCCGTCCCCTAGCGTGCGGGTGCGCGCGTGGTGGCACTCGAGAGAGGCTGCGATGCGATGCCTGAGAGACGACGTAGGACACGACGGGACGCGCAACGTTACACGTCCAGCAGAGAAGCGTAGGCGACGGTGGTTGCTTGGATCTGCGGTGCGACGATGCAAGAAAAAAAGAGGTGGTTGGCAGGGTGCATACGGCGCAGAGGGGACTGCTGGATGACTGGACGGTGTGAGTGCGAATGCGGAAGTGAATGTGAGTGCTGCGTTTCTAGTTTCTTGTTTTGGCTGGTTGCCTTTTGGCTGGTTGCCTTTTGGCTTGTTGCCTTTTGGCTTGTTGCCTTTTGGCTTGTTGCCTTTTGGCTTGTTGCCTTTTGGCTTGTTGCCGCGATATTGAAGGCTACCTTGGCTAGTTGGACTCACAAGAGTCAGCCGCAGGGATGGGTCAGGTAGCGGGAAATGTCAGGATGGCGGCGTCGGGCGACAAGGAGCAGCAGCAGCAGGCTTACTCCTAGCCTCCTAGTAGGGGTTGATGTTACTCCTAGGGACTTAATTGAACTGGCCGTAGGTACCTAGGTAGGTAGGGAGGGATTGTATCGGCCATAGGGCTTGCTGCAGGTAAAAGACAGGACGAATCCCACCCGTCCACGCGCCGTGGGTCTCAGCCCGCTGCTATAATTGTCACTGACGGGCTTGCAGCTGGGCTTGGAGACGACGGCGCTTGCTCGTAAAAGGCGAGCCGAACGAAAAAGTGCGAGAATGGTTGAAACCTGTTGGGTTGCCGCTTTGGTTGCCCGCTCTTTGGCAGCCAAGCAGCTACGCAAAAGATCCCGAGTGTATTAATCGCCGACGCTCCACAGCCCAGTCTAGTCCAGCCCAGTCCAGCCCAGCCAAGCTCAGCCCAGCGCCGCCTATGGATCGCCGAACAAAGTAGGGAGTCCTGTCGCTAACTAGGTACCTACAGCGTGGTGCGTGGTGCGTGGTGCGTCATGTACCGGCGCCGCTTGTGCCGTCTTTCATGCAGCCCGTCCGCAGCAAAGGACTAGCTCAGCAATGGCTTGGCTGTCTTGGTACTGGTCCCTTTTTATTTTTACTTTTTACCTTTTATTTTTGTTTCCGCCTGATATGTCTTGGCTTATGAGCCGAGTGTGGCTTTCTCGGGCTATTCTTACTGAAACTATGGGCGTCCATCACCCATCAGCATCACCAGAGGAATCCTGACGGAGGAGATGGCTGGCTGTTCAACCTGGTTCCGGCCAACCACGCATGCATCGACCGCTCCACATGTACTACGTGCTCCATACATTGCCGTCGGATGCTGGGGTCGTGGCGTGGCATTCCTCTGGCAACAGGCTGGGCCAACCTCCCAAGTTACGTCGTAGGGTCGCCTTGCTCGGGAGCCAAGTCAGCTCAGCTCAGCTCAGCTGCTGGTTGCCGGTTGGTTGCACTTCGTAGCGGCCCTCGATGGCGCACATTAGCCTAACAAGTCCATTTAGAGAACAAGGCGCATGGTGCATGGTACATCAGGCATTATGCCTTCATAATTTAAGCTACAAATGAGTCGAGACGGACGGCTGCAGATTAACGAGTAGCCAGCAGCCATCGAGTCGCAGATATACTGCCCTCCAGTTCGGATGACCCTCTCTGTTTGTTTGCCTGTTTGATGAGCAAAGGGCACGGCCGCCAGGGAAAAGGGGCACAAAGAACCCTAAATAGATTCTGACTCTCAGAGATTCCGTCACCATTTCAATTTCAATTTCTCTCCGCCCCCTTCCACTCGGCAGTCTCATGAGGCAATCCCCCGCGCTGTTAGGTGTGTTCTTGTTTTGCGGGGAATGGATCGAGGTGGGTGGCGACAAAAGAAAACTGCCGAGACGCGACAGGGGGATGGATGCTTCACTTCACTTCATCACAGGCGTCACCGGCCTGTTAGGCAGGGGCGGGCGGGGCCGGGGTCGCTAAGAGCCGTTGGTTGTCCGTAAATCACTTGGGATTCACATGGAGCCGATGTTATAAATCATGTCCCGTACTACAATGGATTCTCTTTTGTCCGTCGTCTCGTAATGCTAACGCCGGCAATCAGGCGGTAAATCAAGCGGTAAATCAAGCGGTGACTGTGGCAGATCGGAGGCTGACTAATGCCGCTAATCCTCCGTTGGGTGGTGGCCAGCCACAGCCACGAGCATCATCTCCCTACTCTGGGATTCGCCAGTCACCGAGAATCTTCTGGATGCCTTGTCTGGCGTCGTAATGGGCGCCCTTTCAGTCCATACAGCATGCACCGAGCCCATACCAAGGGCCTAATGCCTTTATCTAAGAGATGAACAATCAACCATGTCCGCGAATCACGAAGGCTGTTTGAGCCGCCGCAGCCCTAGTCAACGGTGGCCCGTTGAACAAGAGGCGCTCATCACGTGACAAGTGCGACCCATTCTTCTCGACTTCTCCGTGACGCCAGGCAGAGCTTTGCCAACTTAACTCAACCACTTCAAAGCTTGCTACAACTTCGCCCCTGTGCAACGACCCGCCATCTCACAATCGGCGAGACTGCGCGAATCAACTCATATTATCCTCGCGACACTGCGATCGACTCGATTCATACGCGACGCGAATTGCTCCTGCTCCAAAAAACGCGTCTCTGAAGCCCGAGTGTCGACCAAGGCTCGCGGCGATACTGTCCGCCACCCAAACCTGCGACTCTTTCGCAACCTCCTCTCTCACCTTCAATATGCCCGTCGAAGTCAGCCTCAACACGCCCCTGGCGGAGGCGCTCACTGTCGCCATCCAGCCAAAGCTCGTCGAGGTCGGATGGGGAACTGGCGGTGCTGATGACTCCGCCCTCGCCGAGTACATCATCCTCATGCTGGTTAACGGCAAGACACAAGATCAAATCGCCGCAGAGCTCTCTGGCGACCTGTTGGGCCTTGGGCCCGACGATCCTAGCACACGCGATTTTTCATCGTGGCTGTTTGAACGGATCGAGGTGCTCAACGTACAAATCAACGGTGGTAATGATTCAATGACCGAAGCGCCCCAAGATGGCGCAACGGCCGGCGACATGGACACAGATATGGCCGCTGGAGATGTATCAGAACTGAATGCGTAAGTTTCCTTTTTTCCGCATCCCCGGGCTTACCCCTGACTAACTTTTTGGACAGACCTACTGGCCCTCGCTCAATGCGCAACGGTAACGGCAATGGCAACCAACGGGGTGGCCGAGATAAGCGCATGTTTGGCCAGATGAACAAGGCCATGGACCGCACTAGCGATGGCGCCCTTCACCGAGTTCGAGGCCAGACCGGAAGCGAGCGCATCAACACGCATGGGCGCACACCCCCCACTGGACCCCGAGGTCGCGGAGGAATCGCCCGGAATAACAACCGCACGGCCAACATCCAAGCTGGCTTGGCTGGCATGGCTGCCGGTGGTCCCCAGGCGCAACAATGGATGATGCAGGGCGGTCAGCCCAACCAGATGGAGCTCGTCGCCATGCTGGAACAACAAAACCAGATGATGTTCCAACTATCGCAACAGCTCATGGCCGGCGGCGGCGTCCCCGGCAACGGTCACAACGGTCACCAAGGCGGATTCGGAAACCAGCGCCGAGGAAAGTCACTCTTCGACCGAGTCCAAGACCCTAACCGGAACAACTTCCGCAGGGGCCAGAACCAAAACAACAACAGGCAAGACACCAACAAGCCCACGGGCGAGGGAGAAGGCGAGGATGTCGACATGTCGGGAGGCAAGCGCGAGGGTGCCAGCGCTGACGATACCTGCAAATACAACCTGAGCTGCACCAACAAGGACTGCAAGTTCGCTCATCAGTCGCCGGCAGCACCCCCGGGAGCCACCATCGATGCCAGTGACAACTGCAGCTTTGGAGCGGCATGCAAGAACCGCAAATGTGTTGGCCGACACCCCTCACCAGCTGCCAGACTCGCACACCAGAGCGTGCAGGACTGCAAGTTCTTCCCCAACTGCCAAAACCCCCGGTGCCCATTCAAGCACCCATCGATGCCATTATGCCGAAACGGTGCGGATTGCACAACGTCTAACTGCAAGTTCACGCACGTCAAGACCAAGTGCAGGTTCAACCCCTGTCTCAACCCCACATGTGCTTTCGCGCACGAGGAGGGTCAGCAAGGAGGGTTCAAGGATAAGGTCTGGACCGCTGAGGGAGGCGAGGAGCATGTTAGCGAAAGGAAGTTTGTGGATGATCAAGCGGGTGAGGAGCTGATCAAGCCGGAGGAGGAGGGAATCAAGCAGGAACAGGTACAAGACACCGAGGTTATCGGTTGAAAAAGAGGATGAACTGACAGGATGGGGAGACAAAACTGAACATGAAGTCTCCAGGACTGGGCAGGGCTTGGCTGGGCATGGCTGACCCGGAGCCCTATGAGAAGCTGTATTCTTGACGATGGACATGTACTATTATGGTCGATTTCTAATGTCCTTGGCTGGGGAGGGAGAGCATGGAAGGGCGTTTGGAGTGGGGGGGACTCAGTTGGGATTTTTGAGTTGAGACATGACGGCCGAGTGTCTTGGTATCCTTACCATACCTATATATAGAGGCCGTAACACACGAAGTGGCTAGCTCGTGCATTCCCGCATGACGGGTTGCACGATGGGGAAAGAATGCAAGACCCGGGCTCGTCACCCTCCCCACAAACCCGCGAAAGCGTCTTGTTTCTTTGAGTGGAGAATATGGTTTTTCGTGACTGATGTTTGCTAAGATGGCCTTGAAGTTGTTGAGATATGGTGATATATTACGTCATTGAAGATGTCTCGGCATGCGTGCTGCACATGTGAGATATCCCAACGGCCGGTTCAATAGTGCCTAGGATCAACATCAGGTCAATTGCTTTGACAATATAACCATTCATTTACATACAATATCTACAATATAAATCCTAATGTTCGGTCTACATATGTAGTTGTAGACGGGTGCATGGATTATGCCGACCCCGGCCGGCTCGTGCCACTCGCTGACGCATTTGTCCGGCATAGCTCCGTCAAGAAGCCGCCCACTTTCAAACTTCCAATCCGGCCATCTTCCTCTCACAAGCCCGGCCATGCCCAATTGAACTTGCATCATGGGCCAGAGGCGTGCACAATCCGCGGCCATTGCTCTCCTGAGCTTGGCCGCGCCCTCCGCGACCGGCCATGTCGCTGCCCGCCGCCTCAATTGCGTCGCATGGCGCCGCAGTCTCACCACCACGATAGCCACAGCGGCCCCTCTCGCGACGGCTCGACTACGGCGTCCCTCTCTGCGTCTCGCCTGCGACCGCGGCCGGGACGCCCACGGACGGCGCGCATACGCTTCGGCCTCCGCCCACGCCGACATTGCCGTCCTCGGCGGCGGCTTGACCGGCCTCACGGCGGCCTACTACCTCGCCAAGAAGCTCCCGCCGACGGCCAACATCACCCTCTACGAGGCAAGCGACCGGCTGGGCGGATGGGTCCGCAGCGACCGGGTTCCCGTCGACGTCGGTGGCAAGAAGGGAACGGTTTTGTTCGAGCGCGGCTCGCGGTCGATGACTTCGCTCCATGGCAACACATGGCGGTACGATGATCTCGTGCTCTTTGACTTGGTGCGAATGCCTTCTCGCATCCCCCTGTTGTTCCTCGCTAACAAGCCCAACCTGTCCAGGCCCTCGATCTCGGCCTCGTCCCAGTCTCGCCCCCGAACTTGCCGCGCTACATCTACTACCCGGACCACCTGGTGCCGCTCCCGCCGGCAATCCCCTTCATGGACATCTTCCGCGAACCGCTCTACCTCGAGAACATCCCCGCCGCCCTCATGCTCCTGTGGAAGTCCACCGTGGGCTCCAAGGGCGTTCCCAAAGACGACCCGTCCATCGCCGAGTGGATGTACCAGATCAGCAACAGCCGAAAGGCCGCCGCGACCATGGCGTCGGCCATGATCCACGGCATCTACGGCGGCGACATCGACAAGCTCAGCGCCAAGACGGTCTTTGATCGCGTCTACTGGGGATGGTATCTACCGAACCTCGGCTCTCGGCAGCGTCCCATGCCCATGTCTGAGAAGGACCTCATCGAGACTCTCGGGAAGGACAAGCAGATCCAGAAGCTGGCCTGCCAGCCCAAGGCCGCCTTGATCGACTTCGGCGCCGACGGCATGGAGTCGTTGCCCAAGGCCCTGGAGGCCGCGCTCAGGGAACAGCCCAATGTAACTATCAAGCTGAACACACCCATCACGTCGATCAAGCATGACACGATCAAACATGACACGAACAAGGACAAGATCATGGTACGGAACCCTACCTAACGTAGCACCAACGGACCTGAAAACACGATACTGACTGGACCGCCCTCCTCACAGATTAAAAGTGCCAAGGATGCAAAGCCCAACATGTACGACAAGGTCATCTCGACCCTCACCGCCCAGGCCCTCGCCGGGGCTACTCACGGCCATCTTCCCACCCTCGCCGAGTCCCATTCGGTCGACGTCATGACGGTCAACCTCTGGTTCCCGCAGGAGGACATCAAGCCGCCCGGCACCGGCTACCTCATCCCGCGGACCGTCCCGCCCGAGGCCAACCCGGAGCACGCCCTCGGCGTCTTCTTCGACTCGGACATCCAGACACGCGGGCCTGACGAGCCCGCCGGCACCAAGCTCTTCGTCCTCATGGGCGGCCACTACTACGACCAACCCGGCGTCTCGACGCCCTCCGAGGCCGAGGCCATTCTCCAGGCCCGCGCCGTGCTGGAGCGTCACCTCGGCATCCCCCTTGACGCCCCCTGCCACGCCGTCAGCCGCCTCGCCAAGCAGTGCATCCCGCAACACTACGTTGGCCACCAGGGCCGCATGCGCGCCGCTCACGCCGAGCTGCGCAAGGCTTACAAGGGACGTCTCGCCGTCGCCGGCGGCTCGTACACCCGCATCGGCGCCGTCGCTGCTCTGCGCGCTGGGTACGACGCTGCGACGAGTGTGGTTGGCGAGGACTGGCTCACCACGACAGGTCTCGAGGTGTTTGATTCGGACACGAATAACTTTGTTGTCATGAACCTCGATGACATTCCTGTGCGGAATCTCTAGACATGGACTGGTTTATGCCCCTAAGGAGTCTTAGATGCAGGCGGGCAGGATCCCCCCCCCCCCCCCCCCCCCAAAAAAAAAGGAGCATGCATAGAGCACAGAGAGGGGGAACGTCTCAACTTTGTTGTATATTAGTCTAGATAAAGATGCATGTCTATCAAGGGCATGTTGATCAAAAGCAAGTCTATGTATCATGGGGAATGCGCCAGGCCGTCTAAATCCCAAAGGTGGACAGATGATGGGTTAGAATACAAACAGCTACGTGCAGATGCCACAACCACCAAGAATAAAAATCACCAACCATCCTCGTCAACATCTAGAAAGAAATCAATGTTTTTCATTGGAGGTATCATTAAGTTTTCAAAACACAACCACCGCGCTAGCTGGACCGTTTCGCCGCTTTCCTTCAAGCATACACACATCGCTGTACAGCCCGGTCTAGTCAATAACTACGACCTGGGAATCATCACCTCCGCTGAAAGACGCCTCAGCCAGCGGCCGGATGGCGTCGTCGATAGCCGCCATCATGTTCACCACGCCTCTGCTCGGCTTAGCAGCAGCGCTCGAAGTAAGGCCGTGCCAGTCTTCGCCCTTGCTCTCCCAGATGGGCTTGAGCGCTGCTGTGACGTCGTCGTCGAGAGAAGCGCCTGTTCCCAAGGTGGAGCGCCAGACATGCCACCAAGGCTCGCCACGGCGGACCTTCATTCGGACCTCGAGGGTGATCTGTCGCTTTGATTGTTGAGGGGCTCCGCCTGGCCCTGCCAGGGTGTACCGGATGCTCATCCAATCGATAGTCTTCATGGAGAATTCGACATAGCCCCTTTGCTGGGCTTGGATGCTCGCCCATGCCGTGTCGATGTTTTCGATTGCCCTCAAGGCAGGCAGAGACGCTGACAGCCAAACCATCAGGGCCTCGATGCCGCCTTCACTGTTCACAAGACTCTGCATCAGATCGACAACTCTCAAATGAGGGTTACCCATCTCGAGTCTAACGTCAATCTCATCCTTGGACAGATCCAATACCACTCGCCACCGTTTTGGTGGCCCGGTGGTGCTGTCATTTATATCTTGAACCGGCTCGGCGTATGAAAAGGTCACCTCTCTCAGAGTCACCGACTCACTCTGGATGGTTCCCTTTGCCTTGTCCATCGATTCCAAGAAGTTGACGAATCGATCGACAGCCTTGACTCGAGATTTTAGAGTAGATAGAATCGGTTGCCCGATACCATGATGTATGCGCAGACAGAACTCGCCTCTCTGGGGATTGTACGAGACGTCGCGGTCGACCATTCCCTTCAGTGCGGCAAACTTGGCAGGTCTGCGAACTCTGATCAAGCCATCAGATACACACGTGAGGAGACTGTCGGATTTAGTGCCGTCAGGGGACACTGTCATCTTCTTTGGTGATTTGACCCCCTTGAATTTGATTGCAACAATGTCGTTCGCCCATGGTTGCTTTGTGGAAAGATTAAGGCCAGTGCTCGGTCGCACCATGGATGCCAACTCAGTGTTCTCGAGATCGGGGTTGGTTTGAGTCTTCATGACCTTTGGCGTCTCCTTTTCCACGCTATCGAACACCATAGATGGGAAGATGCCCGAGAGAGCAATCTCGATGGAAGGAAGCCGGATTTGCTGCGGGAGGGCCCAGTTCCGACTGCCGTTTGGCCTGCTCTTGATATGATTTCGATGAAGCTCACGCATGTCCACCGACTGCGCGATCATACCAGTGGAGAACAATGTCAGATTGTTCCAGAAGCCATCTGATAGATTAGGGTGTCCCTTGTTCAGCGGCAGCCTGGCTTGGAATCTCGGGGCATGATTCGGGACATTCCGATTCCTAAAGAAAGCGTTAGTATATGGACACTATGAGTTGATGGATATGAACTTACACCTCAAGAAGCCACCATTCGTCGCCGCTGAGGCTGAGCATCACCATAACAAACCAGTTTGGCTCCCATCCATCTCTCTGGAGCCATATGGTCCTCGTCCACTCCCGGGTTTTGACGACAGATCTGAGCTCCTCGTTGCTGAGAGGGCACTTCTTGGTAATCCATCCCATTGTGCTTCCTCGGCGGTTGAGTTCGTCTTCCATAAACCCGCACCTGACATTTTCCAGACAGGACACACCATCTTCTGCCGGATTCTTTCCATTGTTGAGTTGGTGTTCGGATTGAATTGTAAACTTCGAGTGTGGCTTGACAGCGAAGAGACCCGTTGTCGGCTCCATTACCAAAGATGCGCTGTCGCTGTATCCGACATGCATGGTCAAGGACGAGTTGGCCGGGTCGGATTGGGAAACGCGCAAGACCATGCCAGCCTCGCGATTGCGGAACCGCGGGGCCATTTGAAGTTTGCTGTGAATGCTACTGAGAATGTAGTCGATGTGGCGACCCACAACAGTTCGGAGGAGCGTCTCTGTTGATAGGTTTTCGCAATCCAGCGGGATTTCTGTGTCATTCACCTCCTTGTTGTCCCGATACCACTTCGCCATCAAGGAGCTCGATGCTTTCGGATTCACTTGACCATTCTGTTTGCGACCGCTGTTCACCGCGATCAAAACCCAGCTTTTCGGGCCAGTTGGAGGAGTCCGAGAAGTCCAGTATTGGATTGCGAGAGCTCGGTTCAAAGGTTCGACCATGAGTGTGCCAGTCCAAGAGTTCTTGCTCAACTGGAGAGCTTGGCGTTTCAACTCGTTCAGCTTGTGTGTCAGGACAAACTCGTGAAGGAACTGATAACAACCGGCTAGGCCATCCTTGCTGAGGACTTCATTGACATATGCCTCTAGGTAGTTTTTCAAGGATTCGGGGAGTACTGATGCTGATGGGTTAAAGGTAAATCTGAAATCAATAAACCAAAATTGTTTTTCAAAATCTTCGTCTGCGATGGTGAGGTCGACTTCGAATTCGCCAGGGACTTTGAAAGTGACTCGGCCAGAGCCAATCTCGTAGTTCCGGAAGTGGTAAGGAATTTTGTCGAAGTCTTCTAGGTTCAATCGTAAGGATAATAATGTGTTGAGGTCATTAATCCACTTGATTTGCTCGTCCGGCGTCAACGCTGGTGGCTCAATGTACTGAAGCTATAACAACAGTTAGCTCGTGCGTTCCACAAATGGATAAATTGGCACATACATCCGGCATCCACGCAGCTTTTCCGGTTGAGAGAACCTGAAGAGCTGTCTTCAGATCGGGGCTGGGCATGCGAGCAAAAGTCAAATCCCGCTTGACATTTACAATGTTGTCCAAGGCTGCGTCGAAAAGTATGCGTTGTTGATCGATGTGAAACTTGAGGTCGATGAGTTTGCTGACCATCTCGGATTTCCTGCTCCATTCCGTGATGACGAGAGCCTTGACCCATTTGGCGTGCATGTCTTGGGCGAAATTCAATATCGCAGCCTTCTTCTTCATGTTTTCGCTAGACGAGTCGTCCGCGACGCTGGTAGGAAAGGCGGCGTTTCCGTTAAGGGCATTTGCCGGAACGGCCATCTTAGCTAGGTCGGCGATCTTGTCCTGGAGGGAGTTATGCGTCGATTGAGCGAGTCGGGTGAGAAGCAGCGAAATGGGGATGAAGCCCTGCCGGATGTGGCGAATTTCGTCAGGAAGATCGTTCATTCTTGGCTCCGTCAACTCTTGGCCTGGAGGGGGTGGTTGTTGGCGAGGGCCATTCATGTCGGCGCTTCCGTTGACCGCACTGCCAGCACCGTCGCCAGCAAGTGCGGATTTGCCCTTTTCCATGGCATTTTGCTGTCCTTCGGCGCCCGTACCATTTACTCCGTTGAGCTTCGAATCTCTTTCGTGGTTGGTGAGCGCGCCATTCTGGCCGCCATTCTCCATGTTAATAACGCCCGGCATCCACCTATCGTTTCGTGACCCGGGTGCTCCTAGAGGCGGAAAGACCAGCTATTTGCGTCTCCGGGAGTGTAGCGAACGTAACTTGTCGTTTCGCTTATCCGCTTCTGCGTGTCATGAGAAGGAAGAGGAGATCTCTATGGACGGACTCGGCGCTGCATGGCAGTCGAAATCGCATGCACCAAGCACACAACGACGGCGCGGGGAGGGATCGCAACAGTGGCTGTTCAGGCAGCTCGGTGCCGGTACACTTCCGGTGTCCTCGTTGCGGGTATGGTCTGCGGTCGGCTTCGAGTGGCGACGGAGGGAGCTGGCGCGGCGAAAACGATGATATTTCGGGGAGGCGGAGGGCGCGACGACGGCGCTCGGAATGTGTGATCGGCTATTCGCGTGCGATGGCGTCTGATGTCGAGTCTAAGAGTGTAGCGAGGGTTCTGGAGACGCGAAAACGCGATTTGGTGAAAGGAGGGTGAGATGCGGATGGCCTCGATGCGCAGGGCAGCCTTTGACGATTTTCCGGGTACCAGAGGCAGATGAGGTACAACGCCGGGGGAACCAGCTGGGTCATGTGAGACTGCGTGCACGGGCCATGCCGAGAAATCAAGAAAGATTGGGAGATCTTGAAAGCCTAAAAAATGCGACAACAAAGAGGGTTCGACAAAGACCATGATTATGTCAGCATGAAGAAGAATCACTGGTCACGCCTCATGGATGTTTGACGGATGTGGCGCCAAGGAATAGACAGATTCACCCAATAACGAGAGGAAGTTTCTTGATTGCTTTCTTGAACTCTACTTCAAAGTACAGGCTTTGCAATTACGGTTCCTAGACTGAGTTTGGAAATCTTTGTGCTCTCATCACCAATATTGCATGGTCCGAGCAAGTAAAGCGAACCGCAAATACATCTAATAAAGTTCCCAAAATCAATTGCCAAACAGCTCGCCAGAACCCCTCCGTTTTCTTGTCTTTTTTGTTTTTATTCATCATATGTCATCCATCGCTGGTGCCTTGTCGTTGAAAGCACCGAGAGTCATGGTCCGAGATCGATCGTGAGCGTTGCCGGTCATGCGGAATTAACTGGAGAGTAGTGTTACTCAAATGATTCTCCGGTCGTGTTGAATCCCCGAAGCCGATCATGCGTCATGTCGGCCGCATTACTTACAACTTGTTAGGGGTGGCAGTGGTGGTGGGCCACTGGTAACCGGCGGCGTCGCTGAACTTGTAGCCATACGAAGCCGTGAAGTCGTCAAGGACAGCGGGGCCACGAGATCCTGCGGGTGGTGTTAGCGCGAATTCAGTCTCAAGTCTAGTGCGGTTTCATACCGTAAGGGTACTCCATGGGGATGATCTCCTTGTTGTCGTCAAGGTAGTGGAGCAGGGGAGTGAAGATTCTCCAGCTGGCATCCAGCTCATCGTCACGCACGAAGTTGGACTGGTCGCCCTTCAAGCAGTCAAGCACGAGAGACTCGTAGGCCTCAGGGATCTTGAGGTCAGAGAATCGTCGGCGATAAGTCAGGTCAAGCTCAGTGACGACGGTCTGCATGCTCAAGCCGGGCAGCTTCGAGTTCATCTTGATGTAGACACTCTCGTTGGGCTGAATGCGCATAACAAGCTCGTTTCGGGGAATGTCCTTAAAGATACCCGAAGTGACGTCCTTGAACTGGATTCGGATCTCGGTCTTCTGCTCGTTGAGAGCCTTGCCAGCCTTGATAATGAAGGGAACGCCGTCCCATCGCTCGTTCTTGATGTAGGCGACCAGAGCGCAGAAGGTAGGGCATCGCGACTCCTTGGGGACGGTGTCGTCCTCACGGTAACCAGGCTTGCTGCCGTCTAGAGACTTGCCGTACTGACCAATGATGACGTTCTTGGGCTCGATGGCAGGAATAGCGCGGAGTACGCGGACCTTCTCATCACGGATGTCTTCGGCGTTGAAGGAGATGGGCCTCTCCATGGCCAGCAGGGTCAGGACCTGGAGCAAGTGGTTCTGCATAACATCACGGACGATACCAAACTCGTCGAAGTAGCCGCCTCGGCCCTCGGTGCCGAAGGGCTCCTTGAAGGAAATCTGGACATTGTCAATGTGGTGACGGTTCCAGGTGGCGCCCAAGAAAGAGTTTCCGAATCGCAGGATCAGAATGTTTTTGACCATCTCCTTGCCCAGGTAGTGGTCAATTCGGAACAGCTCCTGTTCGTTCCAGTCGGGCTCAAGCGACTTCTGCAGCTCGCGGGAGCTAGCAAGATCCTTGCCAAAGGGCTTCTCGACCTATTGGAATTTGTCAGCACGCTGGGCCTCGTCGAGGCGACGGCAATTTCACGCACAATGACACGAGCAACACCCTTGGTGGGGTAGCAGCACTTCTTCAGGTGCTGTGAGACGATGGTGAAGACGCTGGGAGGCAGAGCCATGTAGAAAAGGCGATGGGTCTCAGATCGACCCGCCTCAATCCCCTCCAGGTGCTTGTTGAGGACGAGGAAGGACTCGTCCTTGTCGTACTGGCCTGAGACATAGGTGCAAAGGCCGCAGAAGTCCTCGAGTTGCTGCTCGGACTCCTTGGTGGGGGTCTTCATGTAGGACTTGATGCGTCGGAGGTACTCCTCGTGGTCCATCTTGGTACGGGCATATCCGACGATTCTGACATCCTTGGGAAGGAACTGGTTTCGGTACTGGAGGCATTATTTGGTTAGTTTTGGGGTTTCTCTTGCACGGTGGTCGCGGGGTGTTGCTCACAAGGCCAAAGAGCGCGGGGTACTGTTGAGAAGCAGGTTAGCACAGACGAACCACGGCGGGGAGATACCCAAGAGGAAGGAAGCTCCTACAGTCTTCTTTTTGGCGAGATCACCGGAAGCACCAAGCACGATAATGGTCGTGTTCTGCTTCAGCTCCATGGTCCTAGAGGGTGGGCTCAGTTAGCGAGGCGATCCCGATATGTCCGGAACTCAACGTGCGCGGGCTGTCGCAGCGTCGCAAAGCTCGGCGAGCACGCAGGTGTTCTTGGTGGGGGTGGCGGCACGTACGTGGAAGCGGCGGGCTCCATGGCGGGCGAAGTGTTGGGGAAGGATGAGGGGAGAAATCGCTGGAGTTTCGGGTCGGAGAGAGGATATCGGCCACGGGGGACCAACGACGAGCAGATGGAGCAAGTCGCAAGCGAGAGGCGACTGGGCAGAGCTGGAGCAGGGCCGAGGAGAATCTGAAGAAGAAGTGACGCCCAAGTGAAAGGTAGCAGGGCCTGGAAGGTTTTATGACGAGCATGCAGTGACGGCGAGCTAATGGCTGCGAGCGACGGGGCTATGATGCAGACCCAGGCGGATCCAGGCGAGCTTACCTCACTGCATACGGTAAGGCCCTGTGTGATGCCCGCAGAATCCCACGCCAATCGCCAGGGATTGGGGCTTTTGGGGCTTCTCCCCCGCCCCTCGGGGCTCTGTCTCCCGGCACCTCGCACCGCACGTTCGCCCTTTTCTATGGCTGTACCTATACGTTGGACGGAGAAGCTCAAGCAACACCGAGCAGCATATCCGCACCCTCCACCTCCACCTCCAACTCCGCCGTCCGTACAAAGCAGGTTCAACCACACGTCGACGTCTCCGTGGAGTTTGATTGACGTCTGGCCAGGCCGCCTTGGCTTGCCGCTTTGGGTTGGTCACAGGCTATGCCCGTCTGCCCCTTGAGCTGTTCTTGGGTCGTCCTTGGGCTCTTCCGGCGGCTTCTCTGTTCCGGGTGATATGTGTGCCGCGCTGGCCTGTTTACTCTACAAAATGAATCATTGATCCATCCTGCTCACTGCTGTTGGTCCCCGGCTCGCCCGGACATCAATGGCTCACCGAGTCTGGCCTCGGCGAGGCAGGGTGAGGAGGGGTGCCAGCCGGTGGTGGCGGCCCCGACTATGCGCGCCGCACCCCAACATGGAACAGCTTGGTCCACACCCCAATGCGAATTGGGGCCGCATTGATTAAGTATCAAGGTCCGGCTCCATGTCGGTATTGTCGCCGTGGTCGGCGGAGTTACTCCCGTTGGACAAGACAACCTTTCTGAGGCCAGCTTGCGCTTCAGCTACCGCCCTCTGAGACGCTTTAAGCGGTATGGTGTACGAAGATTGGGGGCAAGGGGGGAGCTTATGAATTTGAGGTCCTGGTCGATTTGATATGCCCCCGACGGCCTAACCACGTAAAAGCTGCCGGAGCTTGCTGGCGTTTCGTGGCCCACTATGAACTGAATGCACCACCCTCTCCCCCATGGACCAAGGTCATCACATCTCAACAACCCCAACTTCGACGAGGGACCTGGCCCTGGCCTAGGAACTCACTTATCAGCCTGGCACGCGCGTTCTAAGTCTCTCGCTCCTCTTTCTCTTTTTATTCTAGGACGCCAAAAATTGCCCAATCGCTCGGACATCTATGTCCGAGCTTTGAAGATGGGCTGTCCGACCTTCTTGTCTGTACCCGCACCAACCCCCTCCCCGGTGTCGGCTCAGGTCAGAAGCCATTGGGGCGGGAAAGACAATGTTGAAAACATGGCAAGCGGATCAGCATCCAGGATGGGATCTGGCTGCGGGAATTTCTTCGTCACGAGAGTCTATAAACATCTCCACTGTTGCTAAGCACATCTGTTGTCTGTACCAGTACCTGTGTGCTTCCCAGCGATGATGCGATCCTGACTGAGACGCAGGACGGGTTTACCAATCCCGCCACTATCCGACAAATCATGGGCTAAGAATCTCTTGCTGACTGAGCAATCATGATAAGAAAACAGAGCCCATGCCCTTCGGCATTCAGGTTGCAAGGTTCCATGAACCATAAGTCCGGCGAGGCTATCGAGCGGTTATCGAGGACAACAAGGCAAGGAAAGGAGCCTTTAGCGGTCAGCCATATTGCAGCAAGCTCCTAGACTCGGTGAAATCATCCGCAAAGCACCAGTTTATCCAGCTTCAGCCGCGACACCGAGGATAATTCCGCTCGGTAGTCGGATGCGGTGCAGAGAGATCCAGAAAGGTCCGGAGTTAAACCGGAGAAGCCGCATCTCAAAAGATGTTGAGTGTGGGGTGATTTGGGGGTTGTGGCTTGCTGCATGTGGCGGTGTAATTTTTTCGAAGAGGCTGAGAATTTTCGAACCCTAACTCCACACGTGATTCAAGGGCACATTTTTCGGGCTAGGGATAGCACACACCGTTCTTGCATCCACTCAACCTCAGCCCGACATCACGACACCAACGACGCGCAGCAACAACAAGGTAAAGGTCTTTTCGGTAAGACATTTTCCTCAGACTCTCACACGTACCTTCGGTTCTTTGAGAGGGCGGCAGCCACACCACAGTCACGATGCCTTCGGAAGCCGGTCACAGACGTGAGTTCCCTTGTCTCCCACCCGATGCGATCCAAAACCACTTGGAATCGAGGAATTGGGGATTGGTTAATGATTTTTGCTAACGCACATGCTCTAGTATACGTCAAGTGAGTACATCCTCTCCGCCCCCCCGGCATGCGATTTGAGAACTTTGGGCTCGCTCCCGCGGCGATTGCCCACGTCGAACCGATATCGAATTTTGCGACGCACGGAACGAAATCGACACGAAAGGATTTGGACTGACAATGATGGTTTAGGGGACGTCACATGAGCTACCAGCGCTCGCGTAACACCACCCACTCTGGCACCAGCTTGATCAAGATCGAGGGTGTTGACGACACCAAGTCCGCCAAGTATGTTTCTGTGAAAGATGGGGATCCAAGGGTCACATGCTAATCATGCCTCACAGCTTCTACCTTGGCAAGAAGGTCGCTTTCGTCTACCGAGGCCAGAAGGAGATCCGCGGAACCAAGATCCGTGTGATCTGGGGCAAGGTCACCCGACCGCACGGTAAATCCATTTCGACGAACACACACGGAATTCCTGTACTGACTCTTTGCTTAGGCAACTCCGGTGTTGTCCGCGCCAAGTTCACCTCCCCTCTCCCCACCAAGTCTTTCGGTGCTTCCGTTCGTGTCATGCTGTACCCCTCGTCGATATAAAAAAAGGGCTTCGGGACGGAGTTGGTAGTGAGGGCGGTTCTCATTTGGCTGCATTGGTCGAGGCAAGGATAAAGCATATTGTCTTGCTTTGAGGCATTCAATTCAAAAAGACGTCAAATCCCAACCCCGAGGGCTCTGAGGACCTGACATCTCGGTGATGATGTTCCCTACCACGCATCGGTTGGCGAACTCGAACTCGACCTGGCATGGCAGTCCACGAGGACCAGCGATGGAATGGGATGGGATCGAGGGCGACTTCAACGACGGTGACTAGGGTACAAGCGATTCAACGATGAATGCCAGGTCGGGGCTTTTATTGCGGCAGCACCTGTCCCTGCAAGCTGGATTGTGATTTTGATGCTTTGGGAATTTTTGAGCCATGGTCTGGTGTCTTATGATGAATCGGAAATGTCTTTTGAACAACAACCACTCGACGGTCGACCCAAGTGGACTGCCAACTCTAGTGACACGGATTGTCCCAGCGTCGAATCCCCTCTTCCTGTCGTGAATGTTTACATCCAGAGCTGAGTCTCAGGAGTGAACTAGACCCCCACCGAGCCCACGACAATATCCAATGTCAAATCTCTAGTTGTCCATTCCCTTAACACTATCTTCAGGTAGATGTAGTTGGGTTTCCCCTATCGCAGGCTACGTTCACCCACCTTAAATCATAGACATAATTCCGAACCATTGACATTATGATGTCGTGTTTGGGAAGTACGTTGCCAAGATAAGACACAGATGTATATCACCACGCCCTTCTGATGGACATACTCAATCCTAAATAATTGTTGACTCTAATATCTATAACAGACAGCCAAGCAGATGGTCTCGACATTCCGATGTGGTTCTGATCTCTTGAGTTTGTCGAGTTGATGGAATCAGCCATCGTATTACTATTAACTTAATGTGAAACCCGTCATTACCAATGATCGAGACATCACATGCAATCGATCATGAATGAGTTTCTTGAGCATCCAGTAGATGGCTCGCAACAATTCACCTGCCATAACACCTGGTCATCTCCCCGGAAGCCCGGGAATGCATAGGCGGTGTGATAAGTGGTTGCCAGCGAATGTCGGTCAATGCACAGATCGGATGCTAGTGGTAAATTCCCCCTTGGAAACGCATTCTGCACAACAAGGTTGTTCACAGGAGCCAACTGAGACTTTTTGGCGGGTCGGGGATCTAGGCCAACAATCCATAACCCACAAGGATCGAAGTATGGGTTGTGACATCGCCACTAGAGCCTCCATAGATACCTTAGGATCTTGACAAGAATATTCAGAAACCTGTACTAACCCTCCCCCCCCCCCTTTTTTTTTTTAGAGAGAGAGTATGCCTCAGTATGTTTGTAACCCAGCACCGCTGCGTTTTGCCTAGTGTCACAACGAGGGAAGTCAGTGGCAAGAGCTAACACAAGAATGCAGTGATTAATCACGGCGGCCGGTCCGAGTGAAGATGGTGTCATTGTCGAGGAGAAGTGGAACAATGGAACAAGTCATCAGTTCAAGAGATCACCGCTTGGGGGCGAACAGATCATCCAGCGAGCCCAGTTATGAACCACGACAGTTGATGGTCTGATTCTGTGCGATGACCATCTGGTGCGTCATGCCGTCCTCGGTGGCTTCAGCTTCAGCTGAAAGGGTGAGTTTAATATTGCCCGTCGGTCAGATTTAAGGTCGACAGTGTCAGTAACCCAGTAACAAAGCAAGCTGTGTCTCGCAGTGACGAACTGGGGCAGACGCGTCGAGCTCTGCGGGACACTCCAACTCCGACGGCTCTGCCGCATGCTAGAGGCAAGTGTTGGTCGGGTTGCATGCAGGTATCTGCCTTGTCTGGGACAAGGATGCAAATCCCGTGCTGCGTTCCCTCGCCCTGTTTGTAATAGATGTAGGTACAGGATGCTGCCTGCACGCAAATGCAACGGGGATATCTTGTTGGGCGGCGAGCCTGCAGACGGGCTGCGGAGCGGATGGCTCGGGGGTGATGTGATGCTGATCATCCTGGCGAGCAGGATTAAGCTCGAGATACAGCGCGCGCAAAGGACTGTAACATCCACATCCCGAAGTGACGGTTTCATCGACCCGATGTGGGAGGGAGTTTATCTAACTTACCGCGGGTACGGCGTTGAAATGGGCCCCCGCGGCCCGGTATCGAGATAACTACACGCTGATTGACGCTCCCGCGCCGCTCAGCACTTGTGCTGGAGTCTAGGGACGATAGCGACCGACGGCTCGCCTGGCCATCAGCTGTGCCGGGGTTGCGGCAAGGTATCCATGGTAGCTGCCAGCCTAATTTAGCATGTGGCAGCTTGTAGGGAGCTTTGGTGGCAGGGAGAACAGAGCACCGTCAGTGACAGACACACCCCTGCTGGCCTGCGGGCATGCTGCAGACGCCGACGGGAGCTCTGTTATCAGTTGCCATGATACACTCCTGTAGGCGTACAGTTAATTGACGGCAAGAGTCGGGGAAAACAAAGCAGTGTAATTCTGCTAGAAGCTAAACAAATAGACTGAAAGTCATTTGTGCGAGGGTGCCACAGGGAAATGTGCATGACTGTGTGCGTGGACAGGGAGGCAACCCTCTCGCTCTCAGCGGCACAGGTGTCTATCTCCGGTCTGCACGAGATAATGGATGGGATGAGATACACAGGTCACACTCTCACACGGGAAATTGGTAACGCCCTTCCGGGAAGATTGAACCAGAGTCCAGACCAACCCAACGCCAATGGCTAATGAGCGGTATGTACATATTACCTAGCTGCTGAGTAGTAAGGGCTAATCATTGTTGGCCCTCGACTCGAGCACGTCACAGGCCCATCGACAGCTCCTGTGAATTTGTGATCAGGCAAAAGCAAGCGCCGATCGAGGGGGCCATCTCACATGGAGAATTGGGCCTGGGACTGGCTTAGCGGTGCCCGAGGATCCCGCATCAATAGGCTGGCACAGGCATGCGCGAATCTGTACGAGAAGTGTGTGTGGGAGCCACCGAACACGAAGAAGAGGGACAGGGGCGAGACAACCGATCAGCCACGCAGCGACGTCAAGATGACTTTAGAGGGGCGAGCGCAAGCAGCACAGCAAGAATTGCCTACCACACCCCGGCGCGGCGGACGGTGATTTGGCGCCCTGGTGCGAAGATGTGAAGCTTTTGGGGTTGCCAAGCGACCTTGGCCACCTCCATCCACGGGCTAGCTCCATCATGCTCGCCGGGCCTCTTACCCCTGGCCGACTGAACCGTACATGAGAAGTCTCGATTTATTCTTGAACTGCGTTGGCCGACCGCTTCCATAGCCGCATGTACGCAGCGCTACAGTTGGTCTAGCAAGAAAAAAGTGTCCGCTCTGTAGGGGTACAGCGCAGCACAGCACATCACAGCTGCAGTCGCAGGGATGGGGGATGGAGCCGTGGACGTGTCATCCAAACACTCTGCGGCTCGCACTTGGCGCATTTTCCGAGGCCGAGTCGAGATCGTCTTTTTCCCCCCTTGCTTTCTTTTTGATCGAGCAAATTTGCAGTCCTTCTTGGGGGAATTGAACCCGTAGCGAGCGTGTGCGTTTGGTCCTAGCGAACGCACAGATTGCCGATTGATACAGGAACCCAGTCATCGATGACACTCATGATTGACACGACGGAGGGGGAACTCGGAAGTGATGTGCTCTCAACCCAACCTTTCACTATTAGGGTTTTGGCCACTGATGGGTACGAGGTACTCGGGAGATCGTACCTCGTAAACATGGAACTCTCGCACACAATCCTAGAGGCCAGCCTCCGGCAGAGTCGCATGTCGTGGCTGTCGCTGCAGTAGCGGATAGGACGCGTCATGATCGGACGGTCTTGACAACCACCGAATCAGGACCCGGCAAACGGGACCTTGAGTTTTCCAGTCAGCTTCCCTGATACTCCATGTGCCTTAGCGACATGCCCTGTTAGCAGCGTGTCTTGGATTGTCTGTCTGGTCTCGCCCGGGCGGCCGGGGCTGGGACTGTGTGAGGCAGTACAGCACGTACAACTACGTACTTTTATACGTGTGTAGGTATGTACGGGGAAGGCCCCAGTGCAGTCTTCCGTGCCGAGTACGCGCATCCCTCCACCTGAGGTCTCCATTGAACCACGGAGCGATTGGCGGGCATTGTCTGAGGCCGAATCGTCGAATGCTTTTAGACGTGGATGGCGGATGGCACGGCGGCTGGCTGACCACCTACAAGACATACGTACATAAGAATAAGACCTCTGTCATCCCCTCCCTCCCACAAGCGCCCGTTTTGAAGGAGAAGGGTCCGTTGAAGTTGCATCGCCACTCGTTGCTGTTTCGTTCCGTCTCTCACTGCGCCCAAATTCGGTTCCCACCTCTCGTATTAAGTGCTTCTCGTCCCCGAAGTACTCCGCACCTCAGATCCCAATACAACTCCCGAGCGGGTGGCGAAGACACAAGACGCAGACACAAGACGCAGACGCAGACGCACGATAATTAATACCAACCGAATTATTACTCGATTACATTTTGGGCAGTGGTACCCGGCCTCGAACACGACTCCATCTTTCACCCGACCCGCGATTCACATCCCCCAAGGGCACCCTGCAGCCTAGTCCGTGGTCAGAGAAGCGCTGTCTAAGATAACGACCCGGACATTTGAGCAATCCCAATCCCACGCCGCGCGGGACACAAGTTCAAGTCAGACAGCCAAGCAGCAGCAAACGCAAACGCAAACGCCAGACACAACGCCGCCACTTTCGCGCAACAGCTATTTCAGACCGGTCGGCTTATTGGCTTATTGGCCCATCGCATCGTCCCCATCCGCATCGTGCGTCGTCGCCCCTCCATCGCGCCGCAACACGCCCCGGCACCCACGAGGCAAGCCACTACGAAACGAGACGACGGAGCCGAGAGCCCTGTCGCCATAGTGGGTTGGCAGGTGAAGCGTGGCCCCGACCACTGGAAGAAGTGGCGCGTTGCTCAGCACCTTGTGGTGACGTCAGGCCGCGATCGACAGCGCCTATACCTGGTACAAACCTGGTCCGCACCAGCAAAAGCGAGATACAGGGCATCGGTCAGAAAATCAAAAAGAAGCAAAAACGACAGCCACCGCAGAGACAAATCGAGCGGCGGTTTTCCAGTGACACAGGAAGACGGCGGCGAAGAAACAGATCCAGATTGCGCGAGCCCGTGAGACATTCGCGCGCCGCGTTTTCAGCAACGGGCATCAGAACGGTATTTTACGTCTCAGCACGAACTGCGTCAACAACATCCATAGGCACGCAAAAGCAGGCCGCGGGACAAGGGGTGTTTCACGACGCCGATAAGGTGAGATTTCAGTACCTGGGCTAGCGGCTACTTGGTCGTCTCGTTGCCCGGTCGCTTCTTGGCCGGACGCTTTTTCACCTTGGACGCGACAAGGCGCATCCGCATCTTCCAGGGCATCTAGGGCATCCACGGCGTCGACGGAAGCCAATCCAACCCCCTTCAGCTGCCCTCCGGCTGGTAATCGGGCCATCCAATCCATCCTGCGACGCAACCCAACCCAATCCAAACCCTCGAGTCCACAATACGCTCGCTGCACACGCAACCCTCTGGAGGTACCCTGGCCCGGCCGCAGACGCCCAAGCCGGCCCCGCTCTTTTCTCGTTGATAGCGCAACCAGGACCCGCAGCTCGCCCACTGGAAAGCCTGTAAGCACCCAAGGCGCCCTAGAAGCTGCCCCAGAGAAAAAGTACCCCAAGGGAACTGGCGACGAAAAAAACGCCCCCAGGCCGCCGGAAGCAGCCCACCTTCTCTCGCTGCGTGGCTTGGCTTGGCCTGCAAGACCCAAAGACAACACGCCAATCCATCAAAGCCCCCAACCTCTCCTCCGCCACTACTCCGTACCTACTCACCACCACTATCTCATCTCCACCACGAAATCTCCCGTTCCAGGTCCAGTCCTTTACTTCCTTGCTAGTCGCCGTTGGTCTTCCTCCTTGGCCCAGTTCCTCCTTACACACTCCTCCCTGCGCCAGACCCTCACAAATCTCCATTATCGTCTCCGTTGATTGCCTCGCGCCAATCCACTCTGGCCGTGACAATCACTCCGAGATACCCTTGCCAACCGCAGGGGCCGCTCCTACGATCCTGCTCCACGACGACTCCAGTTTGATAAAACAGCGTCCCCCCCAGCACCGCGACCATGGCGACCTCTGCCGAGCAGTATCGTCAACACACGCTGCCGCCCTCTCCACACCAGGCGCAGCAGCAGTATTTTCCCCAGCAGCAGCAGCAGCAGCAGCAGCCTCAACCGCCGCAGCAGACCTACCAGCCGCCTCCCCGAGCGTCGCAACAGCGCCAGTCGCAGAACCCGCCCGCCAAGTCGAGGACCCTCAGCTTCCACTCTCAAAAGTCGCATAAGAGCTCTGGCAGCAGGGACTTACACGAAACCTCTGCCGAGAAGGAAAAGAAGCGTCTTCACACCAAAGCCGATCCTACACTGGCCATCAGTGAAGCCGAACCCTGTGCGTCTTGACATGGCCTGACCCGAGTGTGATGGAGTCAATCAACTAACAGAGCAACAGCCACCATCGCCGCCATGAAGTCCGAATCGACCTTCGCGCCACTCCGATCGATGCAACACAAGGATTCCTTCGGCAACGCCATCGGTTCGTCCCCTGCATCATCCTTCTCGAGATTGACACTAACACCACTCGCAGCCGACCCGGACAAGTCAAACCCAACCCGAAACAGGTGGGAACGACCGCTCGACACCATCCGATCTTTTGAGGCTGCAATTGATGGAGGCTACGCGCGCAAGTCGATTTACGGCACTGGTAAATAACCTCATCATTCTGCATTCCCGAACATCCGGTGCTGACTACCTTGAAAACAGAATCCGTCGCCAACTACAACCGACGAAACAGCTCATTCACTGGCAACCAGCCGCGCTTCCCCCATGACAGCTACTACAACGGCCGGCCACAATCTTTTAGGCCGGAACAGACTCAGTTCGACCTAGGAGCTCGAAGCAGTTACTTTGACCCTCAGCAACACGGCGGCAACTATGGCAATCCTCCAGTCCGGCAGCGAATGCCTCGAATACAGACGGATCCCCAATACCAGAGTTATGGACGCAACCCGAACATTTACCCTATGCCTAACAAGGACCGATCATACGAGACGGTAACGTCTGCTGCCGGCAGCGGCAACTCCGACCAGGCCGGCTACCAGACGGACCCCACCAGCAGCGACAACAGCTCGATCGACCGCACTGTACCGGCTAAGCGCCGCGACCCAGTCAACGATTGTGGTGCCAGACCTAGCCAGGGCCAACCGCAATACCAGCGTGGGTATCTCGCCCCAGTACCCAACGGTCAAGGGAGACAGCCTCAGCAACAAGCACCGAACTCAGCACCCCCTACTGCAGTACCGCAAGCAACCCCTCCCGCTGGGAAACAGAAGGGCACTCTTCTGAGAAGGACATCTACTCAACAAACAAAAACGGAGGCTCCAGAGAAGCGGAAGAGCTGGTTTGCCCGCCGATTCAGCAAGAACTCCTAAGCAGATCAAGATTCGATGACGATACCCACACACTCACCAACACTCTCACACACAAACACACACATTCTCATGTTTCCTCTTTCATTTGTCGATACCCCTTTCTTGATTCTGCTTCAGGATGGCGCCTCCAACAGGGACCGGACTGTATGCGAATCACTACAGAATTATGTGGGATGAATTCCGTTATCTTTTCTACATGGACTATTATGTTCCTGGAAAGGAGGCCAGGAATGCTGCCGCTTGGGTTTTTTTTGGGTTGAATCGAGATTATTCCTGGACGCCTTGCTTGAAGGCGCAAGATACATGACGCTGCTGGATGGTACATATCAACATACGAGACTTGTACGAGGCGTTGGGGGGTTTTACTTTGTTTGGTACTTCGGTCAAGAATTATCGGGGGATGGCATGGCAGACAGTGGATCTGCTCGTCGCGATCACGCACTAATTATTACTCGTTCCCCGAAGCTTACATGGCACATACGCGCGGCTGTAGAGGATTGCAAACACGACTTGCCAATACGGCAGGCCCGCGCATATCGCGAGAAGAGAGACATTGTGATGCGCCACCGGGTTTAAATGTGCCGGTACGAATGTGATGACGTGAATTGCGTGAAATTGACGATGGAATCTTGCAACCAGCCACGACGCCACTATTGATCCTTTTTTCCTTCGGGCTTGGAATTCTCCAACTGTTCAGATTGATCCTCCTTCATCGCAACGATAATGTAGGAAACAAGTACCACATTGGCCATGAGGGCAGCCAGACCGCCCGCATAGGATGAGTTGCCTAGAATGACTGTTAGACATCGGGGCAACGAGACCAGAAAGTGGACAGGCGTGCCTTTGAAGATGGTGTGGACGGTGACAAAATAGGACCCGATGGGGACCACAATCATAGCGAGAGTGAAGGCGATGAGCTTGAAGATGACATCGCTAGATTTTTGGTCAGTTTAGCTGAGCGCAAAGGGCGTTTGTCAAGGGCAAGATGAGATGGGGACAGGTCGCACTTTGGGACGGCCGGGCTAATGTTGGACTTCTCCTCGACGGCGTCGTCCCGGTCGAGGATGGTCTTCTCAGTGGCGATGATGCGTCGGGTCGCCATTGCTTCAGCACGTGCACGGCGAGGTGGTGGACGATGGAATACTGGGGAGTGTTTGAAGGTTGTTCAGATTGACCTTGTCGAGGCTGGATGAGTTTGGCTGTGAGACGCTGGATGATAGCTCTACGTAGCACACGGCCCACCTGCACGTGCGGCGTGGCTGCTGGATGGATGCTCATGTACTACTGAACACCAACCGCTTAATGGCCAGTGCCAGAGCCTCGCCGTCCAGGTGAAAGGGTTTCTTTGTGGCTGGTATTGTTATCCGTCCATAGTTGGGGACAAAGGACACCGGGATATTTAGAGACAATTGATGCCCTTCGCTGCACCTACTACACAAGCTCGACTCCCGGCTGAGCTACTACTGATACCATTTGACGCGATATATGCCCTCACGTGACTTCGTGATCCTCGCTCGTCGTTTTGGCGCCAGTGGCGGAAGCGCGTCCAAACGAGACGACTCGAAAATCTCCACCTCCAGCCCCCGGTGCGTGTTCCTGGTCTGTTTGCTCACGCCCCTCGCCTGGACAATAGGAAGCAGCCCCGTTCGCTGGTCGAAATTCCCTATTGGCGCCGCTCCTCAATGTCCTTCACTGGCTTCTCACCTTCGCCTCAGCTCCGGGTGACCTCCTCGCGCATCGTGCACTTTCACGCACCGACCCCGCCTCGCCTTTTTTCTTTTAATCCTTTTCGCGCTTCTTAATCATGGCAGGCAGTTCTTCCCCTTTGCCTGTACGGCACTCTAACCCCATGCCTCGGACACCTTCACTCGCCCGTCCCACGCTGCAACTCGACATCGAGGACGACGACGAGCTCGCCGGTGACACCATTCCCTGCTCGCCCACTGCCTTTCTCCGCGATCGCGAGACCACACAGGCCACTCAGATTCTCTCGAAGCCCATGCTCGCCCCCATGAGATCCTCTTCACCCGCAAGCAGCATCATCGAAGTCCCTGCCTCTTCGCCCTTTCAACCCAAGCCCTCGACACTAGCAACCCGACTCGCTCCCCAAGGGACCTTCTTCCGACCGCCCCCTCGAGCCCAACCCACAATGTCGAACAAAAAGCGACCGGCCATGGAGCCAATCAGCCTCATCTCTGACGATGAGGACGACTTGACACCTCCTCGAGGTGATATCCGGCCTACGACGTTCAAGGCACAGATTTCAGCCTTCGCATACAACCCCGAATCGGAGGAGCGAGAAGTTAAGAACAAGCTCCGACAGATCTTCGACGTGTTTGGTACCAAGGTTCCGTCCAACAAGGCCCGAGAAGCTCTGAGGGAATGTAATAATGACCTCGAGGATACTATCGAGTGGCTCACGAACAATCCTATTTCACAAACCCCCGCCCAACCAAAGCCTGCCCGTCGCTTAATCAGTAAAGCGGCGTTTCAATCGGCTACCACCTCCAAATCAACTACCTCATCCAAAACGAAATTCCGAGCCCACTCAAAGACCATGTCACCAAGCCCTCAGAAGAAGCCTAGACGCCGTTTGATCCAGGGTCGGAGAGAGCCTAGCCCACCTTCCCCGGTGGTCATCTCGAGCCCTCCCTCCAGCGACGACCCATTGATCATCAACCTCCTCGATAACGACAAGGAGGATGATTATCAAGCAGAGCTTTCGCCATCACCAACCGATGACGAAGACGACCGGGTTCTGAACTGCATCAACAATAGCACTGTGCAAGATCTGGCTGCGATGACCAGCATGAAAGAGTCCCAGCTTGAGTCCCTTATCGAAAAGCGTCCTTTCGCCGACATTTCCTCAGCCAGGCGAGTCACGATTGCCAAGAAGCCCGGCGCTCGGAAGGCATCGAAGATTAGCATTGGTGAAAATGTCGTGGACGCGGTGGAGGTCTTCTTAAATGCAGTTGCCGCCATCGACGATGTTGTCGCCAAATGCGAGGTTGATGCGAAGGCTGTCAAGGGACAGGTCGATACGTGGGACATCGATGTCTTTGGTCATGAAAAGCGATCCCGACGAGATGGCTCAGAAGAAGACCTCCCTCCCACTCCAACAAGCATCAGCAGCACGAAATTCGCCAGGCCGCCCATTCCCCGCCAGCCCAAACTCATGGATGGTCACTGCGTGATGAAGCCATTCCAGCTTGTCGGTCTCAACTGGATGTCAATTCTTTACGACTTCAACATCGGATGTATCCTCGCTGATGAAATGGGCTTGGGCAAGACTTGCCAAGTCATTTCTTTGATGTGCCATCTAGTGGAGGAGTACGAAAATAACCCGACCAAGGAGCGACCCTGGCCGAATCTGGTCGTTGTTCCACCCAGCACTTACAACAACTGGCTGGGTGAGTTTGAACGATTTGCGCCAGGGCTCTCTGTCATTGGATATCGAGGCTCCCAACCTGAGCGAGCTGAGATTGCCTATGACGTTGAGCAAAATCCAGACGCATACCATGTCGTCCTGGCGACATATTCCCAGATCAACTCGCCCGCTGATGTCGAGGCTATGCAGTCATTCAACCTCAATGCCGCTATTTTTGACGAAGGACACAAGATGAAGAACCCGGAGACCAAGATTTACAAGGATCTTTCTAAGATTCCGGCATCGTGGAAGATGTTGCTCACAGGTATGTACCTCATACTCTTAACTCTGCGAACAATGCTAACGGCTCTCAGGAACCCCTGTCCAGAACAACCTCCTGGAGATGACATCTCTTCTGAACTTCATCAACCCATCAATGTTCAATGGCTACATGCAGCACATCCAGTTTGTTTTCAGCCAAAAGGTCACGATCCGAGACGTCGGAAATGGTGCATTCTTATACAGCGAGCGTGTCAAGCGTGCCCGCACCATCCTCGAGCCCTTTATCCTCCAGCGTCGCAAAGACCAAGTCTTGTCGGACATGCCTCCCAAGATTTGTAATGTCGTTCACTGCGAAATGAGCGAATCCCAAAAGGGTGTTTATGCCGAATATGAGGAACTGTTCAGGATGGAACCATCTCAACGTGCTAAACAGGCCCGTGGTCGACAGAATGACCAGAACAATTGCTGGATGCAACTCCGCAAAGCGGCTCTTCATCCTCTGCTTTTCCGCCGCCATTTCGACGATGCAAAGATCGAGAAGATGGCGAAAATCATCATGGACAATGTTCCACAATCTGAACTGCATCAGCCGGATATCAAACATTTGGTTGGGGAACTCAAGAACGCATCCGACTTTGAGCTTCATCTTTGGTGTCGAGACTACCCCCATCTTCTTCAGAAGTTTGACGTCCCGGCTGCCACGGAGCTGGACAGCGGCAAGGTCAAGAAGCTGCTGGAGCTAGTCAACCAATACCAGGAGAACGGCGACCGAGTTTTGGTCTTTAGCAAGTTCTCGCGAGTGATTGAGCTACTTCGGGAAGTGATGGCCCTGGAAGGCATCCAGCATCGTGTTCTAATGGGCAACACCAACGTCTCGGAACGCCAGACACTGATCGACGAGTTCAATCAAGACCCAGAGATTCCCGTTTTCCTCCTCACCACCGGCGCTGGTGGCACGGGCATCAACTTGACGGCTGCCAACAAGGTCATCATCTTCGACCAGTCGGACAATCCGCAAGACGACATTCAGGCAGAGAACCGTGCGCACCGCCTCGGCCAGAAGCGTGATGTCGAAATCATCCGGTTTATTACGACAAACACAATTGAGGAGCTCATTTACAAAGCTTGTCAGAAGAAGATTGAGCTGGCCAACAAGGTCACTGGTGCAATCGAGGAAGACGCTGCCGAGTCAGCGAAGAACCTCGAGTCTGAGGTACGCAAGATGCTTATTGAGGGAGGTATGACGCCGCCGTAGGCCGGTTTGGCGGATCCCTTCCTAGGTTAGCAGTGTCAGACGGCACTTGTCTTTATTTTTTGGTTCAGGGCTCTCGGCACATGGCAGGCCGTTGTATATTGTATCATGCATAGTTGCACTCGTTGGTTTTGGACGATTATTCTGAACCTTTTTGGGGGGCGAAGGATTCAGAAGGGATCATCGAGAATAGGGAACTCTCATGGTCTGAAGATGTGTTTTTTTTATGAATGCAGGAAGAAGGAAGAAAGGAGAGTAACAAGAAAAGGGACGTTTGCTATACAAATTAGAATAGACGGTCATAGACGGCCAGGGGAAGTGGTAGGAAAATAGGGACTCAGTATTAGAGCATTCAGCCTCGACCATATTCACGGGTCAGTCATCAATTCAGGGGACATTGATACGAATATTTACAAGTCTGAAATGACAGGTGATTGCTCATTTGCATCCTTAGTCCACTAAATGTCCCCCTCGAGGCTGCCAGCTCACACCATTTGTACACATGAGGCCACAAGAAGCCAGAACTAGAACCGGACGGACATGACAGGGAAACAAGTCGTTTGCGCAACAACTGATTGCCTCTCGCATCTCGCCCCCGTTCAGGTAGTTCATGCTCGCGGCCCGTATCGGCTCAGTCACCCGGTACTCATCCATCGCCGCCATGTCCTGCGGCATGTTGATCCGAAAGTATTAATTCACCGCCCTGAGTTCCTCGCCCAAGCTGAACGTCGAGAAGGCCTCAGCTGTGTCATCCACCCCGACCAGATTAGATTTGGCGGCCAAAGTGTCCGGGGTGAATACGCTGGATATCAATTCGTTTCCAAGTTAACATACACATTGCAGCTAGCTTGGCCGCTCTCCAGAAACATCCGTTTCGTCCCTTCCCTGCTCTACCAATAACCTGCGGACCTCGTCTTGAAAGGCCCGAATATCAAAAGCTGGAGAGCGGTCGAGGGGGCTGGAATGAGCGAAGGCGTGGTCTAGGTTAGCTGGGTATGAATGAGCCTAAGAGCAACGGATGACGGAAGACAGGGGCTATGGTAAGAGATGACCTTGGCTCCAAGTTTCCGGGTGCTTACATGTTGGTGATAGTGAGCTCGTAGGGAGGTAGTGCTAAGGGAAGATGCCGTCCCCGGGACGCATAGGCCGCTCCCTAGTGTTGAAGTTGCCGCTTAATGAGCTTCTGGAACAAAGTGGATGATCAACCAAAAGCATACATACGTCAAGATGGGAGTTGTAACAAGTCAGGCACAGCAGCGATGTAGATGGAATTTGGAATTGAAAGCATGCAGTTGTTTGCATGGTGGGTTTCTTGCATATGGATACCAGACTGCTCATGGCAGGTCTCGCAGCTAGCTAAGCTGAGTCTCTCCAAATTCCCTTCCCCAAGCCTTGCGATCGTCCTCCGCTATAAGATGGACAGAGCCATAAAAGAATTGAACAGAGAATGTTGAAAGAAAGACGCGCGTTTCTGGGCGCGAGGATATCACTATTATAGACAAACAAAACAAACAAAATAGCAAGAAAATAAACAAGACTCCCGAGACACCCGCCTGGGTCCATACCCTTTGACCTTCTTCTTTTGGTGAAACTTTGATTTGTTGGGGAGAACTGAGACCGCATTTGCGGGTCCTCATTCGTGCTCCCAAGTTCCGATAGCAACAGTAAAGTGCCCAAGTGCTATGCGGTGATGTAGCGCGAGGGACGAGTAAGTAATAGTGTACAGAGAAGACAATTAATCGCTTTTGGAGTGTGACGCGGCTCATCGCCAGGTCGAGTGCAGTCTGGCGCGACGACCAGCGCGAGGCTTCATGCCAACGTCGCCGCCGAGAATGAGGCTCTTCCAGCGACGGTTGACGGCGTGGCGGTCGCGACCGAGGCTGCGCGCGCAGTCTTGCCACTCTGATTTGGACAGCTTGAGCTTCTCTAGTACGAGCTCGACGAGGATGCGGTCGTCCTCGGCGTTCCAACCGTCGCCGTCGACATCCTCGTCCTGGTTATTTGAGTCGTTGCCGTCGGATTGGCGATGGACATCGTGAAAGTCGGAGCGCTCGAGACCGAGAGGCAATTGTTCTGGGGCGATACGCGCGCGCTTGGGAGTGGCAGGTGCGACAGGCTCGTTATCGGCTGGTTCTTGCAGCTCAAGCGAGTCGGCGTCTAGGTCGCTGTCCTGCATGTCGGAGTCGGAGTCGAAGTCATGGCGACCCATATCATCATCGGCGGCGCGTCGCCTCTTGTTCACACCGCGAGGAGGAGCGCGCTTGGTGATCCTCTTGCGGGGAGCGAGGTGGTCGTCGCGCACGTCAGGCTTGCCGCGCGATCGCAAGCGCAGCTTCAGAGGAGGCGGCGCATGGGCGAGCGGCGGGGTTGGGAGTTGGGCGAGTGTAGGCATAGGGCGCTCGTCAGGGACTATGGGCGCGGGTGAGGCGAGAAGAGACTGGAGGTTGCGGCAGGTGGACATGATGTTGGCGAGAGCGTTTTGCGACGAGAGGGCTGGGGGGCTGGCGGGAGGAGAGAAGAGAGATGGCTGGAGACGGGATTGAGAGGGCTGCGATGAGTCGCAGGAGAGCGCTGAGGGGAGGAGCATGGTTGCGGTTTGTGTATCGGAGAAGAAGAGAGGGGGTTGAGTAAGAGACGCGGTTGCTATTGTTGACGATCTGGGTGGTTGGGCGGTTGGGCGGTTTGGTGGTGCGATTGCGACAGCGCAACCAGAGTGCGGTGTGCGGCCGGGAGAACGCGGAGGCGACGGTGCGCGTGCAAGACGGGGATGTGTTGTGATTGCGCAGAAGAAGCAGAATCGAGAGGCAGGTGACTGCGATAGGATGCGCGTGTTGGAAGAGTGTTGGAAGGGTGTTGGCAGCGAGTTGTAGAAGCAGTAACAGTGTGTTGTAGGGTTGTATGTGAGGGTGAGTGGTGGTGGTGGTGGTTGATAGAGTAGTGTTGGTGTTGGTGGATGGACGGGGGGGAAAGGGCAGGGGGATGCGACGGCCTAATATGAGCGGCCAGGCGAAGAGGGCGGCGCTTCCTTCCTTCCTTCCTCGTGGGCGGGAGATGTGCACTGGCACCTGGCACCTGGCAGTGTGTGCAGGCGCCCAGACACACACACCCACACCCACACACACAGCGCACACAGTGGACTCTTGCCAGTGGGCACTGGACGGTGGGCGGTACCGGTCGTGGTGGGTGCGACTGAGACCCCGTGGCACCCACCCAGCGCCCTTGAGAGGCTTGAGCCAGCGAGCCCCGGCCCTCCGGGTGACTCTACAGGGCACCGCTATCGTGCAGGGGACACCCGGGGGGTACGTACCTGCCCAGGCCACCCGGAAGGACCCTGACACTCACTGACAGTTCTGGCCCCGACGCGGCCGCTTGCGGGTAGCCTAGGTCCCAGGTGGGGTCGCGCAGCGCAGCGGCCCTTCCAGCGGATGCTCACAGTGAACTGCACGCTATTGGCACGGCAAGGCACCTGCTTGTCCCAGCGCCGGCACAGCCAAACTCGCAGTATCGCGGCTAGGGCCCACGCACTGTACGAGACAAACCATGACCCCTGTAAGTGAGTGAGTTCCCCCCCCCCCTTCCCACCAAACGCCCCAGGCCGAATGGCGAGCCGCGATTCGAGACACCTGGGTTTCTCTGCGCCAGTATCGCCTCGAACTTCCTGAGGCTTCGTCTGAACAAAAGGAAAACCCGCCAGCAGCGAGACATCCCGAACCGCAAGTCACGGCACAAGCTACCTTAGGTAGGTAGGTACACATATTGGCGCGTGCCCCACGAGATCGCCGTCTACAGCACCGTACGCAGCACGGAGATGGATATTCTATCGTTGTCTCTGGCGTTGCTTTTCCTCACCCGACTTGTCGTCCTCGACACACCTCCGTCCGTACGCTTTTGTTGTGTTTGTCTCACAGATCTCAGACCTCAGACCTCAGACCACAGAGCCACTCGCCCAGGCAGTCAATTCCGCACTCTGCTGCCCTCATCGTCGTCGCCTAGCTACCAGCAGCCAGCGCTCGCTCTAACCCACTTCTTTTGTCTTCCATAGTCTCTCCATCTATCACGTCTCCCTCTCACACTCCCTCTCACACTCCCTCTCACACTCCCTCTCACTGCTCCCTCTGGTGCTCCCTCCTCTGATCCCCATCCCTCGACCCCATCATCTTCAACATTGCGAACCCACCCAATCCCGCCCACGCTCATCCCTCTTCCTGCAAGTCACGCTCCGCCTGCGATGCAAAGCAGAGCAAGGCAAAAGCAAAAAGGCCCGCCCAATCCCGGGGTACGCCGCTCCAAAGGAGCCTCCAAGACAAGACCTAGCCCCGCGCAGATCCGATCTGAGTCTTCACCCCATCATGTGCAGCTGTCATGCGACCTTGAACCTGGCGCTCATCTTCAAGCCCCGATGGTAAAGAAGAAAATAAGAAAAAGAAAAAACAGCATAGGTCGACTATCCACCATCATACGACTAACTACACCTAATTTTGTCTATGTCGGAATTCATCGTAGATTACACATTCTTGTCCACAATTTTTTTTCTTTTTCTTTCTCTGACAATGGCGTCGGGTTCGGCCGGTGGCAACAACCGGTATGTCCGGCCAGCCTCAGAAACAGCATTCATTCATTGAGTCAACAAACAACAAACCAACAAACAAACAAACAACAAACAAACAAATCCAAGGGATGGAGAGAGTTCTCCCAAGTGCATCCTACAGGGACGGCTCGTCCATCCTAGCGTTGTCCCGTCCTTTCCCTTCCCAAGTCCCCTTCGTCCCTCCGTCACTCCGTCCCTGGATCGCTTTATCGCTTTATCGCTTTATCGCTTTCCCTTTAAGCACTAACTTATCCCTCTCCAAGTTTCGCTCTCCCTCTGCCATCCGCTGAGTGCCCTCTCTCTATTTCTCGCTCGCCCTTCTGCAGTAGTGTGTCGCCATGGCCTAACTTAATTCTCTGCGACGACCTGAGTCATGGATCCAGCCTATCCGACCCTACCACACCTCCTACACCGTGCCCAGAAGGTGCTTGTTCACGGACAGAGCTAGGCGGGTAGCATGCAGCTCAGGAACAATCAATCTGTGACGGCCGCCCTCTCTTGGCCTGCAGTAGATCTTCCAATAGCTATGGTCGAACGTCTTTGAAGCACAGTAGACGCGGGATCACACGGGTTCATCCGCTCATCCCTCGTGGCCCACGCCGTCCACCCAAAGGCCAATGTCCGTATACGAAGCGTCGCAATTGCAAGTGTATTACCAGAATGTCACACTCATCGACATGTCAAGCTGGGAATCGAGCTGTCGATCGCCCGAGTCTCCAGTGACACTCGACAAACAATGCCTTGTGCTAGTCCTGTCCTGTCTTGTCAAACACCAGACGCTTTCTGACGCAGAAGGCACGGATACACAGTGGCCCGGCCTGAGCGCAGACCCTCCCATCCCATCCGCTGCCACGTTTGGGCCTGCAGGCAGGGTCTTCTAGCCATCCTGCAAGAGATAGTTATCAGCCACCGACGGCTGCGGCGTCATTCATCCTTGGTTCTCGCCTTCGCAACGGACACTAGGCTCAGGCCCCATCTCTTACCTCCCGCCCTTCCCCCTCCATCACTCCCTCGACGATACGGATGATATCACCTTGTGAGCATGTAAGAGATTGCGACACCATCTCGAGTGTGCTCGTGGGCGTAAGTACTGCTTTGTCCCGCAACTGACCCTCCCTTTGACGTCAACGAGTGGGTGTGCGAGTGAGTGAGTGAGTGAGGTCATCCCTCATGTTCATCTCCCAGGCTCGTGCTCCCTCCAAAGGAGCCCCTCCCCCTCCAGCTCTGTCTAACAATTCCCCTCGCAAGAGCAACGCGGTGTCCACTAAATGGACCGCGTGAGGCGAATGGCCAGTCCCCCTTGGAAGACTCGAAGGGTCCCTCTTTGTTGGTGCTGGCCGCCGATGGTGGGCAGGGATGGATGGGGCACCAATCGACAACGCAGACGATGATGTCGTACAAGGCCGTCAAAGCATGGCGATCGTCGTCTTTGTGCGTTTCAGAAGCTCCCATGTGAGGTGATCGGTGCAGCCTCGTTTCACTCCCCTCTTGCGTACGTCTATCTTCGCCAGCTCGCCGCATCGCTTTATCGCTATGCCACATCTGCGTGTCGCTCCGGCGACTGCAGGACGAGGTCATGCAGCGACGCCCGACTGCAAGTCATCGCCAGCGCATGGAGGCGAAACTTCCACCCCATTGGGCGCCATGCATGGTTTTCTCCGTTGGCGGTGCGCGATTACCGCGAGTCGTGGGCCGGAGGGCACGCGGTGCAACCAGTTGCGAAGCGGACGTGACGTCGCGGGAGACGCGTATAGACGCGACTGTGACGCGTTCTGGCGCGTGCGATTTTAATTAATGGCCTGACCCCGCTTGCAGCATTGACCAATGATCAATTTTGCAAATATGGGGCTATGGAGACTGCATGCATGCACTTCCGTCCATGGTCTGTGCGCTATGCATCCACTTAACGATTCTCAACGACTCCCTCTACTTGCAACGCTTAAGGCCATCGTCAAAAGTCTCACCGTCTTTATACGTGCGGGAGACGGACGCGAATAATCGCTCACCTGGGAGGATTTGCGGTGAAGGAAGGAGAAACCCCGAGTTGTCTTTTCTAGCACTGTAGAGACTAGGGTAGAGACTAGAGATCCCATCTACAGGACACTCACCGACTCCCATCACATGGCCAGCCAAGCAAGTAACTTGACTTGGTGCCATCTTTCGCTCTGCTTGTGTCTTGTATCCACGTCAACGCAAAGATTCGCCCAAGACGAGACATCAGCTCTGTGCTCCTCCTGTTCCGTCGAGGCTCGGCGTGGCCACTAACTCCGTCAGTCAAGCCCAACTGGACCAGATGCATCTGAGACCGCCTGTGATCCCTGTAGACTGCTCCCCCGGACAGTACCCAGCAGTCCCCCAGTAGTCAGTAGTGAGTCCGTAGCGCTCGCTCCCTTGACGGCCCCTCCGCCATCCCGTGGTGGGATGCGACAATCGCCCACCAGGACGCAGCATCAGCTTTTGCCTTACCCCCCTTGTTACTCTGTGCCGTTGTCCCACCACAGGGAGAGGGCGAAATCGACCATTTGCCCATTTACCCACCTGCGACACTTCAGAACGCTCTGCCTATCTCGGCTTATTCTGCCCATCCAAGGTAGCTCATGTCTCCCCCCGCGCTGGAATCCGGAGCTCCCTCATCCCTTGGCGACGACGTCTCGATCGCTCCACGACAGCTAGTCCAGATGCGACGCATCAATGCCCCTTTGCTCGTCTGTGCTCGCCCGGTTTGGGACGAAAGCCCGATTTGTCTGCTCCGGCGCTTTATCGAGGTGCCCGCTCAACCCGAAGCGCACTGGCTGGGTTCGGTTTGTGGTTCGTGAGGGAGGCGGCGGAGGTGGCGGACGAGGCCCACGAGGTTAAACAGAGCACGTCGCTTGGCGGAAGGACGGCCCTGACGCTGGATCGCGACTGGACCAGCTCCCAGCTCGAACCCAAGCTCAATCGATTCCAGGGGTTAATTCAGAGCGCTATTCACCGCGAGACTTTGACCAGGGCTAGATGAGGGGTCTCGAGACCAAGTGGATGCTCTAAACGGCCGAGCTTGATACCCTCGTCAGTTGCTGCGCCGGTGTTATCAGCATGTTACAGTGCAGCACCGTCTCGGCCGTTAGACTGTTACTGCGAGACTCGTCGTCATGGACCCTGGCGGAAAACTCCCCTTTAGTCCCTTGAGTTAGATCCCATGACCCGGTGCGCGATAAGCCGTGTTGGGTTCTTGGAGGAGGTCGTCCACCGCCTGTTGCCCGTCTAGCTGAAGCTACTGAGTGAGTACCTCCAGATGGCACGCAACGTAGCAGCTCCACCATGCGCACACCGCATGCATTGTCACCCTCCATATCGTCTGTGCCTGTCTTGACCTGGCCTGCTTCTTCCTCCGGGACCCCTCCTCGGTCCACCAGGTTCCCCTCCATTCATGACATCACCCCGCTCCGGCCTCGGAAATGCTCTCAATTCACTTACCTTCCATTTCTGATCACAGCGATACTGATCGCAACCTCAGTACGATAGCATTACTCACAATGATGCCCGCTACACCTGTTCACCCTCCACGATACCTATCCAATATCGCCAGCTAGCGTTACGCCTTTGAAACTACGGTTCACCATGTTCTAGCCTTCTCGCTAACATGATTGATTGTGTAAACATGGCGGTATTGTCCACCCTTCACCCCGTTTGCGACATTGAAGCCACACGGCACTGTAACACAGACACGGTGATAGGTACAGAGAAACCTCGTTATCAAGTGTTATTGATCTCTCCCCGGTCTTCAATCGAACCATCGAGCGGGTGGCTTGAACTCATGCCCATCGTGCAGCATGTCACAGATTGACATCTTGGTGCTAAAGTGCACAATGACAGTCAATCTGCCATGTAATAACTCCGAGTAAAATAGGCTGTACAAACAACTTCAACTATATTCAAAAAAAGGCACAAGCCAGAAACAAGCCTCAGCTACCTGCACCTTCATTGTCTTCACCGGCAGGTACACATCATTACGGCCTTCATGCAAAAAAGATGCTCATGGAACTGCTCTCACTCAGGCACAACAAGTCTCCCGTTTGTGACAGAGACTAAATTATTATGTCGTAATTACATCCAAGCCGCGTTCATAAAACGCCATTCGTACGCTTCCATCCCATCCAACCAGTTTCTCCTCTTTTTTTTCTCGTCCGCTTCTCGCGCAATGGAGAAACGGTTCAGTGGTGTGAGACCCAACTTCATTTGACATCTGCTTTTGTCCCGTCTCATGTTGTCCCACGGCAGTGCCTGACACAACCATCTTGCTTTGCCTTCCTATCTTCGGCGCAAAGAACCATGACCGGACCAGTTCGCTATCTTGACGTTTTCCAATGTGTCGTAAGTCTCGCATTTTCCTCCCCATTTCTAGTCTAAAGTCTCTGTCTCCAAGAAATACCGATAAGGAGGGTGGTGAATGAGATGAGCCGTCTTCTTGCTCCAAAAAGACAACTCCTAGAAACCGGCCCCCATGAAAAAGCCCCCTGGGATGATGCAAAGATGCGGTGTATGCCAAAAACTCAAAGGAATGCTGAAGACGCCTCCATTCCAGGGAAGGCGTCTGGGGAAGTGGGGATCGTGGGTGGTGGTAGATCCCATCATCGTAGAGAGGTGGTTGTGGTAATTAGTCGTCGTCGTCCTCTTCGCCATTAATGCCCCGCCGTGGGTTTTCCGTCATCAAACTCTTCACATGACAATACAGTCCTTGTCGTCCTTCTGGCCCTTCTGGATCTTGCCGTTTCGTGGCGCAACAACTTCCATAGGGGTGCCTTCGCCACTAACGGCGGCTTGGATAATGGCCAGTCGTTGCTTCGCTCGTTCGTCTCCAGCATCAGCAGCCTTGACATACCAAACGTTGGCCTCCAGGATGTCGCGCCGGCATCCAATACCCATCTCGGTAAAGTAGCCCACGGCATACTCAGCTTTCACGAAACCTGCAAAGAGAGTTGTCAGCAACTCACTTTCCATGGGGGATTCCTCATCTTAAACAACTTACCTAGATCTGCTGATCGACGAGCCCATTCATAGGCTTCCTCTTCATCCTTCTCCAGGATTGGGGCAGCGCCAACCATGTACCAGGCACACAATCCCATCATGGCGCCTGCATGACCGCGCTCTGCAGCACCAGTGTAAAAGTGTACACTTAGAGCCGGGTCACGAGGGCATGTGAGCTTGCCATGCTCGTAAGCATCGCCCAAGCGGAAATTCGCCTCGGGATGTCCCAGGTCCGCAGCTTGCGTGAATAGTTCCGCAGCATAGCTATCATCCATGAAGACATCATCGCCGTATCCAGTCTCATACAAGCAACCGAGCTGGTATGGGGCCACGTTGTATTGAGCATCAGCGGCCTCGGTAGCCAACTTCAGCCACTTGATACCCTCTCGGTATCGCTTCTCACCCAAGTCGCCGGACAGACAGGCCTTTCCAAGACGTGTCATGGCTCCAGGATGTCCTTTTGACGCCGCTGTTCGCAGGAACTGTACCGCCTTCGCGGGGTCCTTGCGGCAGCCCCAAGCGAATTCATAGCAAAGCGCAGTGCGGTATCCAGATTCGGCATGACCATGCTTCGCAGCCAGGACGAAAAGGGGGAAGGCCGAATTGTAATCCTCCTTGCCCTTGTTAAAGAGACCTGACGCGTAACCATCTGCAAGGTAGTACTGGGCAAAAGGATATCCACCGCTAGCAAGACGCTGGAGGATCTGACGAGCTTCCTTCACCAGCTCGTAGGGGCTGGAGACGCTGCCCTCGGCGGTGGGGCTATCGCGTCCCTTCTGGGGTTTAGGGCTAGTTTTCCTCGTCTTAGGATCTGTAAAGTCGAGACCCTGTTCTTGGGCAGTGGAAATCAGGAATACTGCGAACGAATACTGGATAGAGACATCGTTGGTCTTCTTGACATTTAGACGATACATGTCCAGCGTCTTCTGGGTGCTGAGGAGGGAGGCATTGTTGCCAATAACAGTTCGCAAGTTGGAGTTATCGAGAGCTAGCGGCGCTGGGGCTTGCTGGGGGTACGGCACGTTGAGAAGCTCGGCATACGATGCGGGTCGGACATCGGGGGACTTGCGCGTCCCAGACGGCGAGCGCATGTGGGAACCACCAGGCATGAGTCCAGGAGATCGACCGCGGGGGCCGCCAAAGTCGGAGAGAGCCGAGTATGCTGATTGCGGTCGAGGTACAGAGCTGCGTCTAAAGTTGTTGGAGTTGGGGGTGAGATGGCGCCTGACGTTTGAGGCATTCTCAGCCAGATCGGGGTTTGAGCCTGTTCGCTCGTCGTTGGGAACGCTCGAAACGCGAACGGGATAGTCCCGTTGGTGGTGGTACTGGAATTGCGGAACAGACTGGTCCCTAGACATGTCACCCTCAATAATAGAGCTTTCAGCCGAGTCACCAATGGTCTGGCACTCGGCATTCTCATTGATGCCTGAGAGCGAACTGGCACTGGTGTTGGCAGATGACTGGGCCGATACCGGTTGCTGGTTCGTGCTGGTCGTCTCGTCCGACTCGCGGCTGTTGCGATACATGTCTTGATTGCGCACTCTCTCTTTCGGGCTCATCATGTTGGGCTCGTATCCATCAGCGACGGGTCCCGAGGTGGCCAGCATGGGTGCCTCTGTGGCGGGGCGAACGCTCTTGGTTGGGCTGGACACGGGAGACTGAGAAAATGAGGGATCGAAAGACAGAACGGGAGGCCCATCTGTGTTGGGAAATTCAGGGCTTGCTCCAAAGAAGTCTCGAGGACTCTGGGGGCTCGACGGCAGGTAGGCGGCGTGAGGAGGAGGAGGAGGGGCGGAAGCCGGAGGCGAGGGCTGGTCGCGAGTGCGGTCGACGAGCTCGGCGTGAGCGCCGTGAATCTGTGTATGCTGGATATCGACATTCGAGGGCTGAGCCCAGGTGTCGTCCTGGAAATTTACTCGCACGGGGGAGATGGGGGCATCCCGCAGCCGGGGGCCACCGGCCATGTCGAGATCGGGGACATTAATAGGGCTTCGGGGCCCGTCGTCCGGGAGGTCCTGGCGGTTGGAGGTCGGCGATGCGATGATCGGAGGAGGGGAGGTGGTAACTGCAGCCATGACTGTATGACAAACAGTCGCAGCGCAAACGCAACCGGACGAGTGTCAAGTAGTTGGCTTGGGTGTAACGATGTAGTCGTGGTGCGACCAGGCCCGCGGGAATAGCAGTCTACGGAATGACCAAAGCCACGAGGTCTAGGTTCTGGTTATTGGATGGTCGGACGCCGTGGAAGCATCCGTCTCTGGCGCTGGCGCTGGCGAGAAGAGAGGTCGAGTGGTTGAGATGGGCGGTGGGAGACGGGAGACGGGAGTCTGGGTGATCGGGGGGGTGGCGGAGGCTGGAGATGGCGGAGGAGTTGGTGGAGGTGGTCGTCGGAAGCCGGAGAGCCGAGACCAGACAGCAGCGCACAGGCAGCAAAGGGGAAAATAACGAGCGACGCGGGGGGCTGGAGGGCGTTAAGAGGCCTTTTAATGGCGGCTGGATCGCAGTGGAATGGGATACCGGGAGGAAAATATGGTGTTGAGCAGCGCCGCGCAGGGAGAAACGACGGCGTCGAGGAGAGAAAATTCCATAGAGGGGATGGGATGGGTGGAGTGCGTGCTGCAGCGGGTGGCAGGCAGTGGGTAGCAGTGGGTGCAGGTGCCTTTTTTTGGTGGTGTCGGTGCTGTTACGCTGATGCTGGGACGGCCTGGGGTTTGGGGAGGGGGCCTGCCGCAGCGGTCCAGGTGCAAATGCGAGTGCGCGGGTGCGCGGTTGCAGGCGGCGCAGGCGATGCAGTAGCGGTGCAGCGGTGCCCCAGTGCAGTGGGGAGCTGTTTAGCGGTTTCTAGCCTGGAGAAGGCGAGGTACCTGGGCTTCAGCTCCAGGTAACGAGTACACAGTACTTGGAAAGCCTTGGTACCTAGGCGTAAGATGCCCAATAACTGGAGCTGAACCCGCCCAAGCAGGGATAATTTACGGCCCTCCAGACACCGCCTAGACGAGGCAGACTTCCAGGGACTCTCGCACTGATCTTGCACTGAACTAGGTAGTTCGCACGCACAATCCGCAACAGGTGTTTGTGTGGTGCGGAGTACCCTAAAATCGTTTGTAACAGAGAACGCATGGGGGACACGGCACGGTAGGGCAGGCAGCATCTCAGCACCTAGACGGCGGCTGGGCGCACCGAGTACCTAGTACGGAGGTGTTCGATGCTTAGCTAGAGCCAGGACGTCTCGACGTCGTGATCTGACGAAACCCCTTTTTTTAACTCCTTCCCAGCAGGTGAAAGGGGGGGTGGCAACGGTTGGCGCGTGGGTGGGAGTGGTGTGGGTAGAAGCACTGTCGGGATGACGATATCGTAGTGCGGTAATGGCGATGCCAATCCTGGCCCGCCTAACGGATGCTCCTAGACGAAGGACGGCAGCAAGTGAAGGGCAACCACTACGAAGGCGACGATGACAGAATGAAGAAATACGTCCACGTTGATCAAGTGGGGGCCGTAGTTAAACTACACAGCCTATTCTAGACAACGCAACATGTTGTGAGCCGGGCGGGAACAGAAGACCAGACTCCAGGTACACTGCTAGAAGAAGTACTGGATACGCGGGAAAGCTGGCACAGCAAGAATTGACATGCGGTAAGGAGGCTGGACCTGAACCACCTTGGTGGATGGAGTGGACGGATTGGATGGAGGTGAAAGTAGAAGTGGGAGAGCAAGTTGGCGCGGATGCAGCGGGCAAGCCAACAACAGAGTCGGATCCAATCCAATCCTGGCCAAACAAGCCACCAGAAGCAAAACATGTCCTTCCCCAGCAGGTTCCGTCTCCAAACAACAGCCAGAGATGGCTGGCCCAGGCTCAAAGCGGCCAAGGCTCGCCCATTCTCGGAACACTTGCCGCAGCGAGTGATTCCCCAGAGCTACTAAATTTATTACGCCGGCCTGGCAGGCCTGCTTGCTGCACCAAGGGACTCGGGGGAGCTACTACGTAGTAGCAGCTAGCAGCTAGCAACCCAGCTTTGACACAGAACAGAGACGCAGCGATTCCTGGACAGGCCAAGCGCCAAGTATGTTTCATTTGCATCAGACACGCCCACGCCAAGGCCCGCGCCAAGGCTCACGCCAACCCCCCTCCAGCGCTCACCTTTTCGCCAAGCGTGACAATCTGGTCTGAGGAAACAAGACGTCAATGTCAGGCCAGACCAGATTCGTAATGACGAGTTAGGGGAGCCCCGAGAGCACGCACCGAGGCCACCAAGGCCACCATCTCCGCAACTCCACCTACCCCTCTGATAATTTGCTCCGCGGTGGTGGAATGGGGCATTGCGATGACGGCCGACGTGGAGAGCCGCCATTGCAAGAGGACGAATAATGGGGAGCTGTGCCAGACAACATCTGACTAGCGACAGCCCGTCATCATTGTCCTCGTCCAACCATGCAGCCACCTGGCCCATCCCGGCACTGCAGCGCGCCTGCTGAAATGCTGCCGAGCCTTACCGGAGATCTACTGAAATCTAGCTGCGCCGCGCTGTGCTGCGCTGTGCTGCGCTGTGCTGCGCTGTGCTGTGCTGTCGATTGTCTTGTCTGTCGCTGTTGTTTTCCAGAGCATTGCTCCGTGTCAGTGTCATGTGTTTCGCTCCCCCCACCGGTTGTCGTATAGCAGCGATTGTAAGTCGCCTCCGCAGATCCTCCGAGTTGAACGGACCGACCCCTCGTATCCAGTGACGTCGGGTACGAAACATTTCTTATCAATACGGAGTTTAGCTATGAGGCTCACCATTACCCTCTCCTCTTCCTCGCTCGCGCGCGGCTCTCACCTGTCATCACCATCTCGCAGCCCACATCCAGCGCCCCTGGCCCCCCGCCCTCAGCAGGGCTGAGCCAGACGCCATGCCGCTCCTCCAGACTCCAGAAAGCCTCACCTAAAACTGCCCCCTGGCCTCAAACTACTGTACAATTGCTTCTGGGCCCTGCCTGCAGGTCTCGAAATCGTCCAAGCTAACTGGCGCATTGGAGCTACGGCCTGAATCAGGCAGGGATAGCGTCGCATAGCTTCCTAGATTTGGTCGGCACAGTGTTCATCCCTCGACTGTGGGCCCTGACCGTATGGCTCCCCCTCCATGATTCCATTTTGTCTACAGGTTACAGACACACGAATCGCCAAACATCGGTTTGGCGAATTGAAGGCCCCGCGTCAGTACCTCCAATGCGGGTTAATTGCTTCCTTGCTCAAGAGGAGGATGCCACAGGAACCAGCCCCCCAGTGCCAGCCCCTCAGAGGGCTTAATATCAAAGTCGGGGCCATGCCACCACCGTCCCCCTCGATTGGCTATGGGGCTGAACTTTGTGCTTCTCCTCCTTCAGACTTGCGCCGCACGCTGGCTCTTGGGTCCGCCTTGCTGTGGGCACGAACCGGAGCTCCGATGTTAGACACGGTCCAATGGCCCCCAGTTGGTAATGCTCTGCGAGTTTCGTCCTGTTCTCGGGCCAATTCGACCCCGTGGGCCTCATTTGCAACAAACGCTGGTTGTGATCCATCCGTCCCTAGCGTTAAAGCTGGATCATGTATCAGCTCCTGGACCTTCAATGCTCACTGCCATTGTTCGGACAATCGGAATGCGCGCATGGAAGCATCCATGTGCCACTGCCTAGCTGCTGTCATACTTTTCCAAGTGGCCATCGGCTCATCATTGAAAGGCTCTATAATAGGTAGCACAAAACCAACACATCAGCATCAAAGCCACGCGTTGCGTACGCCATTGCAATGCAAATCATCAGTAAACATGACGGCTCTGGAATATTACTGGTTGCATTCAATGTTGCAGTCAAGTCTTACTGTTCTGGCCCCAACTTTAACTAAAGTCCATCCATCTATGTATAATTCAACAGGTCTAAGTAGTTATTAAGCGCTCCCGGACAGGGATGGAGGATGCGACAGGACGACAATTCTGCTTCTCGGAGAGTTTGCGGACACCGAATGTACCTGCAAGTATCTGTGACTTGTGCTAGGGCCTGGCTTGGGCCCTTCAGCTGGGTCCTGGTTGGTGGTAGACTGGGCAAAGCGGCTACCGCCTCGGCGGCCACTTCAGACCGCTCGAATTCCCCTCGTATTGCCACAACGCCAGGTCTCGCCCGCAGACCGACAAATTCAGAGTTGATGGCAGCGCCGCCGCCGCGGATGTGGTAATCAGTACATCCGCGGAAACTCCCGTTTTGGCGTCAATGCTCACGAAGGTTCGCAATAGTGGCCAGCCCCCAAGGCAATGCTGGCCAGCAAAGCCCAGACATGTCACCACCAGCCATTGAGCCCTACGGTGGCGGCGCCGGGGCTGGGCGGGACGAAAATCCACTCCGCAGTGCGGATAGCCGCCGATGGATCCCTTGTGGGCATTCTCATCTTGGGGGCTAGTGTCACCGCTGATCATTACTCAACACTCTTCTTGTGAAAGGTTGTTAACCCTAAATCTCACAGTCGCTGGGAGCTCCCTGAAGGCGTGTTCCATCCCTGGCGAGCCAGCGCTGTTGCGTTGCAGTTAGCTGGTGTTGATGCTGGGGTGGTGGTGGGTTCGACGCCTGATGAAAAGGAGCTGCTGGAGCCCAAAGTTCGCCCCAGGGCATGAAGGCGCCTGAGCCAGGCGCCTGCGGCTCTTTTAAGATGCAAATTGTGGCAGCTCCAGAACCCCCAGCTTCAGCGTGACACCGCAGGGTCCGGTTGACAACGGCACCCACAGGATCCACTGATCGGCCCCACTGTCCGTCGTCATCCTCCGGCTGTTCCTCAACACTGTGTTTGTACAGTTCGATCCCGTCTTGCCATACTCATTGTGATCCGAGACATCAGGAGATGACCTACGGCTCATTCCTCTCCGAATGTGTTTCCAACGGATAACTGTATGGCGCTTTAAAAAAAAACCCGCGAGAGTCCACTTAAACTCCTTGTGAAGTCCTCTATAAATCGGACAATGTACATAGTCCACGGCGTAGTTTGTTTCATCATGACGGATGATTGTCAGCCGCTAGGGTGAGTTAATCCTCCTGCCGAGGGCGTTCAACTAAACATCCGGTTCCAGGGATTTTACATCTCGCCCGCAGAGGACTACGTAGCAAGACATCCGATCACGATCACGTTTTCCAAACACGCCCGACACCTCGCCGACCCCTCCCTCCAAAACTGAGCCCACTTGTGGATCACCCACGATCCCGTCGACAGTCCCACTCAACAGCCCTTTTGCCCAGGATGATGCCAGTTTGAGTCTTGAGGAACCCCCGCGGCCCAGGTTCCGCCGCCGAATACGTGTATCTAAACCTTCCTTGCTTCCCAATGGCATCGCGTGTCGCCATACATCATCTATGTTTGTCCTCCCACCCCGCCGCAGCTCCATGTCCACCCCACCGGATGCCGGATGGGTGACGACGACCGTGCGTGGCGCAAGTCCCATCTGTGATCCCGTAGGCGTGGTCACCTCTACAGTGTGATCGATACGATATAGGTTGCAGGTTGACGTAGACATTCGTAAGTGCTTCTGACGGAAGCGCCGGATATCCAGTTGTCTTTATGGGTGATGAATGACGCACTTGAGACTGTAGGTACAGAGTCTGTGTTCCTGTGTTTTAACGGGGCGCGAGTTTACAACTTGTCGATATCGTAATATTCATTACTCGATAACCTAGATCAGAGTCCGGATAAGGACGAATTTGACGTTGCAGGGGATAGTGTGTTGTCTTCGAAGCTTGGGTGTGGAAATCAGTTGCAATTTGCCTACCCTATACTGTTTTCGAGAACGTCCATCTCCCGCGTATATAACTTCACGTGCGATAAATGCGCCTGTTTTGGTGTGTGCGCAAATCTCTTTGTTCTCTTTTGTGTGTTGCGTTCTATGTGTATGATGATGCCTGTACTTCTATGGTGAGCTCATGCATGGATAGAGAAAGTCAATAGGCGATTGCGACATTAGTTCACACATGATTTGAGACCTTTGGACTTCACGTTTCGCCCACATTAACAACACAACGAATGATTCGAATTGAAAGCTGTTAAACCGACAGAAAATATACAAGTCACCACTCATGTACTTCAACACAAATGTTTGTGGTTGCTTTTTAGTTATTTATTCAAATACGGATCATGCTGGCAGCCATGCTTGGAAGTCGGACTAGATTCAGACCCACCCCAGAAGCGCGTTTCGCGGTAGTAAAAAACGCGGGTGAAAGCGGAGAGCTGCAACGTCCCGTCGCGAGTATATATCAATCCTGCAGGAAGAAGAGTAGTTCTCGGAAAGAAAAGCCACAAGTCAAACATAACAATAAACACTAGGCACCACTGTCGGTGGATTAGCCGGCATAAACGAGTATGAATATGGAGCTTGCATGAATTATGGTATGGGCTCTGCAACACTTCAAAGTAATGGACAATATATGCAAGAAGCCGCCACGAGGGGTAAAAGGGAGAGAGACTGCAAGACCTGCAAAGCCGGAGACAACAATTTACTTATTGGCGTCGTCGGCAGCAGTCAGTCGCAGGTCGGACCGAGAACATTAAGCCGAGTAGCAAGCGAAGGGCACTGAGATGAGAGTCAAGCTCACAGCTGGAGAACCCACAAGATGTACTGGCCAACACCACACAAGTACAAAGTACAAGAAGACTCAGCGGCTGAATAAAATTGGCAAGAGCCGGAGAGCCGGGAGGATCAGTTACCGGACCACGTGGGGAGACGCCGTCGCGACACCCGTCGCCTTCAACCCCGTCGTTCGGGGGTTGGGAGTGGTGGACTACAGTGATGTCTCAAAATGCTCGAGTGCTCCGGACGGAAGGTGGATTTGGTTTAGGCCAAGAGACGTGGAGCACCTGGGATGCAAAGGACGGGAGCATTAAGATACTAAGTTGGTCGGGTATTGAATCGAAGAGAGCCACCGGATGAAGAGGAAAGAGGTGGAGGCGAGTCTCGCTGAGAGATCGGGTTCAGAAGCTTACAGGAGGAGTTGGCACTTCTCTTCTGACGAGGGAAAGTGAATCAAAGAATATGCGCCTCCAGCCAGGGACAGACAAACACTAGAAGAACAACACAGAGGTGCGAGGATTGATCGACCAACTGATCGACCCGAAAGCCAATTACGAAGGAGCTCACGGGCCAACCTAATTACACCAGAATACTGGGTCTTGGCCACTTGGCAGTCCTGCCCAGTTCATTGGCACCTTCTGATGTCCTAATCCCTGACCGGAGTTTTAAGCCATCCCTGCCCGGAGGAATGCCGAAAAGTTGGCAAAGAGGGATAACAATATAACGGTCAATGACAACTGGATAACAAAGAAGCAACATCACATTAGACAACACAGAACAGGGTTTTGCATTATTGGTAGTATTTCTCATTCGGATCCATCAACGCGAACAGGGCAGTGGAAGTGGAGCCGGGATGGGCTCCGTCCCCAGACAAGCGAAATAATTAGACGAAATGAATCCCTGCCGTCTTCTCCGGGTGTGCGGAGTGGTACGTGAGATGCTGAACTGTCCAACGCACAAGGAGGGCGGTGCAAGAACTGAGCTCCAGAGGACCGCTATGCGCGGAATTATCGCAGGCATCACAGGCATCGCGGACATGGTAGGAAAAAACCGGCCAACGCAATGCGACGCCATGTGACCCCCCCCCTTCGCTTCCGTGAGGACCAAGGTACGAGCCTGAATCTTCGTACTCTCCTCGCTGGACCCCAATCTGGCGATTTAGTCGGAGGCTAGAGCTGGCTGGCGGTGTCTGGTGGCGGTGCTCAAAATAGCAGGACCTGGCCAGGGGATGTATCCCTCGTGTATTGACAGATGGCCAGCGACCAATGAGAGAAGCCGGCTTTCAGAGAGACGCCAGACGGAGGGCTGCTTCGACAAGTCATGACGCCATATCCGGGGAGAGCGAAGCCGCGAGACTTGGGCTGTACAAGTTGTGTAATCCTGGTTAGCATCGCCTTAGCACACTTCGAGCCATGGTGCTGGGGCAACCGGCCAAATACGTGCTCGCGGCGCAGGGGTTGTGCACAGTGGCCGCCCAGTTTCCAGGCTTTATGCAAACCTCCGGCGCATGACTGCCCCCAACGGGCGGCGCTTAGCCGGCACTGTAGGATCCCGCGTTCGTTTGCCACAGCGACACAGTGTGTGTTAGAGCGCCTCGGACTGGGTCCCCCCCCCTTCTTCTGTTGACCCCAGGCCGAGTCCTGCACCCACCCTCGGATTGCGCTGGGAAAGGGTTGCTCTCTCACTTCCACTCTTCACCTCGCCATCTCACTCACCCGTTCTCTTCTCAGACACTCGCTCACTCACTCACTCTCCCACTCTCGCTACATACCGGTCGGCAACTTGTTTTGTTGCTTTTCGACCTGCATTTTCCACGCTCGCTCTGCCCCGTCATTTCCACGCCCAAACCACGACTAGAGGGCCCTTTCTTCGCCGCTCTTACGTTGCCCCTGTGTTGGGTCTGCCCGCCGAAAAAAATTCAGGGCCGCCCACTGGCACCCCCTACACCTGCTTTCGGCTGCTTCTGCTGGCCATCGCTTGTCTCGCTGTCCAAGCAAAAGCTCGGCTCAGCTGGCCCACGCCCCATTTCCCAGTCCCCGTCGCTCGTCTACCCCAAACAACGGCGTCGTGCCTTCTGGCTTCTGCGGATCGATGCTCGTGTCGCTGCTTCACTGAGCCTGAACTCTGCGGGACTCTTGTCTCTGAGGTTTCTTTTCTTCAGGTGCACTGCACATTCCTGGCGCTACCGTTGCGCTTCCCACCCGCTGCTTCTCCCGTCTCCCGAGAAACCCATTCCCCCAGCTGTCATAACAGGGATCTTCCCGACTGAACGCAATCTTGTCTCGGGGCTGCCAAACAGCCATAACAAACCTTCCCGTGAGTCGCCCTCCACCGTCATTTCCTCATTCGACGGACCTTTCCTTTGCCCGACTGTTTTGTTGCTTCAATCCTCGTCAATTTGTCGTCGCCTGGCGCTGCTCGACGTCGCGTGGTTGTTTGCATGAATCGTCCCTTCCCATTCCCGATCGGAATCATCCTCGACGCCCTGGCTTCATCCATCCCCTTTGCCTCTTTGTGTCGACCAAAGGGTGAAGTCTCCCTCCGCTCTCTCCGCCCTGGCCCTCGTGTTTCTGCCGCGATTTTCCTGACTCTAACACACATTCCAGGGCCATGTCTCTCCCCGAACGGCCGGGCGCGAGTCCGACATACGATCAGCGCAATGTCTACCGGAACTCCCCCTCGAGGCGATCGCGCCCTGCTGACGTCGAGGCTGGTGGCTATCACCCCGTAGGAGAACAACATCAACGTGGGAAATCTGCCTCTTCCTTCGCTGACACCATCGGTCCTAATTCCAATACAGAGAGTATGCCTCTGTCACCAACCAGCCCTCCGGGCCACTCGAGGCACGGTAGCAGCTCCGCCCAGCCTGTCTCGCGGAAGAGAAGTCTGATTCGACCTGAGAGGAACAGAATCGACGAGGGCCACCGCAACTATCACTACCACAAGCATGCCGCCCATGCCGCTCACATGAACGTCCTCCCGTCCTCGACGGGTAATGACCCCATCCTCGAGGACTTGGAAGGTTCGACAGAACGCTCCGGCTCCAACCTCAACGAAAATGCTTCCCAAAACTCGCCCCATGGCTCACAACGACGGCAAGTGAGCGGAGACCAGGAAAAGGGAAGAGCCCGTGGTAATTCTCGAGCTAAGCCTAGCCGTACCAAATCGGGCAAGATTACAAAGAAGACGAAGCATAAGAGCAAGCAGATTGAGGAGAAGCTCCGCCCACCCAGTTTCTGGAACGTATACTGTGCCATCATTACCTTCTGGTCACCTAGTTTCATCATGAAGTGCTGCGGCATGCCCACCCGAGCGCAACAGCGAGCTTGGAGAGAGAAGATGGGTCTGATCAGTATCATTCTGTTCATGATGGGCTTCGTCGGTTTCTTGACCTTTGGCTTCACTGCGGTTGTTTGCAGTTCCCCTCCCGAGCGACTTCGCGTCAACAAGGTTGGTTCTGGGTACATGATCTTCCACGGCGTTGCCTACGATCTTTCGACGTCCCACCATCCCGCCGCCGAAGGAATCCCCCTGCGATCCGATGGACTGGGTGCCAACGTCCTCTACGATCTTCCCGAAAAGCACGGCGGACAAGATGGCAGCTTTCTGTTCCAGAACGTCAATGGCAAGTGTAAGGGTTTGATCACCCTTGCAGAGGGCTCTGACGTTCCGACCAACAGCGATAAGGATCTTGCCTGGTATTACCCTTGCACAACCTTCAACCAGGACGGCTCGTCAAAGGTCAACACAACGATTCCCTACTACCTTGGCTATGCTTGTCACACCACTCTGGACTCGAGAAACGCCTTCTACCTCGACCTGACCGGTTCCGCCGACGTCTACTTTAGCTGGGCCGATATTAAGAACACCTCGCGCAATCTGATTGTCTACTCCGGACACGTCTTGGATCTTGATCTCCTGAACTGGTTCAACACGAGCCAAGTCGTCATTCCTGATCGCATGAAGGAACTCAGGGACACAGATTCCGATGTGAATAAGGCTATCCGCGGCCGCGACGTCACCCGAATGTTTCAGTCGTCCGATGACAAGCAGTATGCTCAGTGCTTCGAGGAAATCATCAAAGTCGGCTCCGTTGACACTGAAACCGTTGGCTGCATTGCCTCCAAGGTTGTTTTGTACTGTGCCCTTGTTTTGATTCTGGCCGTTGTTGGTGCCCGTTTCTTCCTGGCCGTCATCTTCCAGTGGTTCATCTCCAGTAAATATGCTGCGGCCAAGACTTCTCAGAGTTCTGATCGCCGAAAGCGCAACCGCCAGATCGAGGACTGGTCCGACGACATCTACCGAGCTCCCGTCAGATTGCCTGGCGACATTGGAAGCACCGTTGCGGGATCATCTGACCGAACTAGCAAGCGCGGATCTTTCCTCCCTACCACCTCACGATTCTCGACTGTCGCTGGTGCCGAGCGGGCACCGGCCCAGCGCCGTGTGCCCACGACCATGGCCAGCCAAGGTGCCTCTAGCCAGCTCCTCCAACCCGGTTCAATTTACAAGCAAGGCAACGACAGTCGTGCCAGTTTCCTCCGATCGGACCCGTATGCTACCAGCGCCCCTACGGATGGCCCTGGTCCTGCTGGTTTCATCCATGACTCTGTTGTTCCCCAACCTCCGTCGGACTGGATGCCTTGGGGTTTCCCCTTGGCTCATACGATGTGCCTGGTCACCGCCTATTCCGAAGGAGAAGAAGGTATTCGAACAACCCTGAACTCGATTGCCACCACCGACTACCCGAACAGCCACAAGGTTATTGTTGTTATTTGCGATGGTATCATCAAGGGCAAAGGAGAGAAGTTTTCAACTCCGGACGTTTGCTTGGGCATGCTTAAGGACCACTCTATCCCACCTGACATGGTTGAGCCCTTCTCCTACGTCGCCGTTGCCAGCGGCTCCAAGCGACACAACATGGCTAAGATTTACTGCGGTTTCTACGATTATGGTACTGCCTCTCAGATTCCTACGGATCGACAGCAGCGAGTGCCCATGATGGTTGTGGTCAAGTGTGGAACTCCCGACGAGGCTAGCCAGTCTAAGCCCGGTAACCGAGGAAAGCGAGACAGTCAGATCATTCTCATGTCCTTCCTCCAGAAGGTCATGTTCGATGAGCGAATGACTGAGCTCGAGTACGAAATGTTCAATGGACTATGGAAGGTTACTGGAATATCGCCCGATTACTATGAAATTATTCTCATGGTTGATGCCGATACAAAGGTTTTCCCCGACAGTTTGACGCACATGGTTTCCGCTATGGTTAAGGATCCCGATATCATGGGTCTCTGCGGCGAGACGAAGATTGCCAACAAGCGCGAAAGCTGGGTTACTGCTATCCAGGTGTTCGAGTACTTTGTCTCTCACCACCTTGCCAAGTCCTTCGAGTCCGTCTTCGGTGGTGTCACCTGTTTGCCCGGTTGCTTCTGCATGTACCGCATCAAGGCGCCCAAGGGAGCCCAGAATTATTGGGTGCCCATTCTGGCGAATCCCGATATTGTCGAGCATTACTCAGAGAATGTGGTCGAAACGTTGCACGAGAAGAACTTGTATCTCCTCGGCGAGGATCGATTCTTGACGACGCTGATGCTGCGGACGTTCCCCAAGCGAAAACAGGTCTTCGTCCCCCAGGCTGTGTGCAAAACGACGGTGCCCGAAAAGTTCATGGTTCTCCTTTCTCAGCGACGTCGCTGGATCAACTCCACCATCCACAATCTTATGGAGCTGGTCCTGGTCCGTGATCTTTGTGGTACCTTCTGCTTCAGTATGCAATTCGTCATCTTTATCGAACTCGTTGGTACCCTTGTCCTCCCTGCCGCTCTCGCCTTCACTATCTACGTTGGTAAGTAACACCGATCACCTTTTTATGAATGTTGGAGTTGCTAACGCCTGATATAGTTGTGACGTCAATTGTGAACTCACCGCCACAGATCATTCCCTTAGTTCTCCTGGCCCTCATTCTAGGTCTCCCCGGTCTTCTTGTCGTTATTACCGCTCACTCATGGTCCTACATCGTTTGGATGTTGATCTACCTGATGGCCCTACCGATTTGGAACTTTGCTCTGCCAACGTATGCCTTCTGGAAGTTTGACGACTTCTCATGGGGTGACACCCGAAAGACGGCTGGAGAAAAGACCAAGAAGGCCGGCCTTGAGTATGAGGGAGAGTTCGACAGCAGTAAGATCACCATGAAGCGCTGGGCCGAGTTCGAGCGCGACAAGCGATCCAAGAACGGCTACTGGGGCTCCCGCGAGAACGTCGTCGGTGGCGGAGGCAGCTGGACGAGCCCTCCTGGTCATCAGTATAATGAGGAGTACTACTCGGATGCTTGAATATTTGGCGCCACGGGACATGGTTCACGGCATGATGGTTCAAAAACAAGGGAGTTAGGTTGAATAAGGACACCCGCACACACGAACACATAAACGCATATGTAATATGGAGAGGCTTCTTAAGATGTTGTTTCATTTTCTAATCTGGGTGTATGCCCGAGTCTGAGATCACTTGGAGTGATCGTGCTCGTTGTGTCGGAGAGGCATTGGAAGGCGTCGATTCTTCAACGAGTGCTTTTGTACATAGAATAATTGGTTGTTCTCAAGCGCGAATACTATTTGCGTACTGTTACATGGTTTTTACATGATTACTGTCTTCCAAAATGGCGCCTCAGGCTGTGAGACGCAAACATTTTCCGGCTAGCTTTAGTGATATTCTTCAAGTCAGGAATGTGTCTGTTTGTTACAAGCATGGCGGCATAGACGCCTGTGTGTGTGTACGTGGGCTCGATGACTGTTCGAGCGACACCACCCTTGACAAACCAACAGGGTCCTCCGTATATTAGACATAATCTGCTCTGTTTGTGTGCAACTGAGACAATTAAGTGCGCTAGTCTATAACACGGTTCAATGGAGGCTGCTTGCCCTGATTTCGATGAAACAATCCTCTCAATGATTGGTATTTTGAACGCCATCATATTCAACAGTCTTGTGTTACGTATCGACTCTACTAACAACCTTACTGCTAGACCCGTCGTCTAAGGCTTGTGCGTCTCGTTGGGATGGGCTGGTTGTAAGTGAAATCAATGCAGTTGATGCCATCTCCACTGACAGAGGAGATGGCTGTCAACTGATAAAGATGGATGTCGCGGGTCCCGAACGAAATGCAGAGCCATTTCGATGTTCCCACTTCATCCACAGACTGAAAAATCTCACAGACACAGGTTTGCATATGCTTCTGTTAGCTAGCCACCCACAGTCAAGCACGAATAGCACAAGCAACTCCAAAATAGTGACGTGATAATCATTACGGTCTCGCCAAAGACCAACAACATAAAAAGTAAGTAGCCCAAGCCCCTATAACCCTCATTGCGCCGTGCAGAATATTCCAGCAATACCGGCTGGCTGCGGCAAATCCACTGTCTAGATGGAAGTGCACCCTTGCTCATTGGGCCGTGCAAGAAGAACAAATGAATAAAACAACGCCTCGCTCTCATCTAGAAAAGCCCGCGAGCTTCATCGCTTCGCAGGATCGACGTCCTCGCCCAGCTCCCACGGCCTACGTGGGTCGACGTACGTGGACAGTCGCTGATCGCCCCATCGGGATCCAACCGTTACCCAGACGTGCTTCTGGGGAGCGTTCGCGCCAATGGTCTCTCGGAAACCGCCCCATCGAAGACGGCCCTCCCGGCTCATATCACTGTTGCCCATACCGCCATTTGTCACCCATTCCTTGACCACGTCCTTGACGAAGGAGATTTTCCGGCGGAAGTCGTTCGCGGCAGGGATGCCCTGTAGTTCCGGGTCAATATCTGGCCTCCTCCTCGTGGTGCTTGTGCGGCTTGGACGAGCCGCCGTTGGCTTAGACTGGAAGTTCAACAGAGTCTGTAGAGGGTACGAGAGCATCGCACGATCGTCCAAGGCAGCGGCTCCAATTGTGCCAGTCGCAGCAAGTCTCTCAGCAGCATCCTGTGGGAGGTGCCAGAAGTGACACCAGGTACCTGTCGAATCGATGACGATCTTGGTATGATCCGGGAAGTTGAACTGTATTCTGTTAGTGTCTTTTCGATTATCGAGTGTGATTCAATTAACGTACTTGAAGGTGACCATCACAGAAGACCCAGCATCCGACGTCTCCAAATCGTTGGTAGAAAGTCACAAGTTCGGCCACGGTGCCCTTCCGCCCTGGGGACATGGCACCAATCGCGTCGGTCTCTTCAATCGGCACGAAATCGTCCCTCCCGTAAGCAATCATGTAGTTGGCGAATTTCTTCCAAAGAATGATTCTCTCCCTCTTCCGGTGCTGGAAGATGTCCCTGCCAGGCTGCATCTTGCCCGCGGTGCCATCCTCATTCACCGCCACCCGGAAATGTTCAGGAGAGACCATAACCTCCGAGAGACCCGTCTCACCGTTGTTTTCAAAGAACTTAATAGGTTCAGTCATCGGGAGTGGTTGGCTCCTATCAGAGTAGGATTCATCTTGACGCCTCAAGATATGTCTCTCAGCTCCGCGGATGAATACACCGGCAGGGGGGAGCAGCACTGTTTTGCTGCCGTCCGTCGTTGGAATATCTCGGAGAATGCAGCCCACACTGCCGTCGTTCAAGATGTAACCAAGGCCAAACTTGTTGGTATAGTCAACCCACTTGACTACAACGTGAGGATGAGGTGGCGCCACAGACTTCGAGGAGATGATGGCCATCGTTCGAGAGTTCAGAGCCCGCTCCAGTTCTGCCTGGAGTCGGCGCAATCGATCCAGAATCACATCAGGCTGTGTTCCAGAAATGTCCTTCTGCCGCTCCGAGGGGCTGAAGAGAGTCGCGGGTGGCATAGAGTCCGGCCTTTGCGGCTTTACAGTCGCTACCCTTTCAGGTGGGACCGAGACTTGTCTCTCGGGGGCAACCATTGCCGATCTCGAGGATGGAACATTCGCTCGTGCTGAAGTTCGCATGCTCCTGTAAGTTGACTGGGTGGGTTCTTTTTGAGGAGCCTCCTGTGGCAGTTCCCTTCGTGTCCTCATCCTGACGCTCTGGGATGCCGAGAGTACAGGATCGGCAGCAGGCTTGGGTCGCGAGGCCAAGACGGTAGCTGGGCGGCCTTGAGCTCTTTGCTGGGCGGCGAAACTCTGAGGCGGCTGTCGGAGGAATCCAGCTGGGGCTCTTTGGCTGGCTGAGGATTGATCCGAGGAACCGCCCGCTTGCGAGGAGATGGAGGCCGCGTACCTGGCCTTCATTTGCTGCTGCTCCTTCAACCAATCCTCAAAAGGCCGATAGACAAGGTTTTCCTCAAGAGGGATCATGGGGGTTAGGCCGGCCTTTTCTTCAGCCGCCATTTCCTTCCAAATCTGTGTGTGGATGACCTGGCCTCCACTCCAGGGTCCAACGCAACATTCCCGGCACATGTCCTTCAGGTTCCTGAGCGACTGCGCCTGCAATGAGCTATTCATCCTGGTCACATAAAATTCCTGTCGCTCGGGGGGGATCTCTCGCAGGCGAGGGCTCATTTCCGCCTCATCGGGCATATATCCCGTGGTGAAGAATGGGTGCTGGAGGATCAGATCGGGGTCGGGGCGTTGATCAGCATCCTGGAGCATCGTGGCAACCAGCTCCTTAGCATCCTGGCTGATATATCTCTGTGAATTCTCCATGGTAGGCCACTCATAATCTCTCTCCCTGGCTCGGCGATAAATTTCGTCGGTTGTGGAAGACTGGAAAGGAGGTTTCGAAGTGAACATGGCGTACCTAATAAAGTCAGTTAGCCGTATAAACACGGATCCAGTTCCAAGAGGCTTACATGATGATGCCCAAGCTCCAGATATCGACCATGTGGTCGTGGCCCTTTCTTCCCTTTTCCAGAATCTCGGGAGCGATGTAATTAGGAGTTCCACAGAGGGTGGTTCGGCGAATGGTGTGCATGTCCCTACCAGTCACCAACAAGGCGGCAAGACCAAAGTCGCCAATTTTGGCGTTCATCTGGGAGTCGAGAAAGATGTTTCCCATTTTCAGGTCGCGGTGGATAATCCCCTTGCTGTGCATGTATTTGATAGCGCCAGCAATCTGGACAGAGTAGAAGCGGATCTCGGGCTCTGTCACGCCTTTCCTGCGCTTCACCATATCCATGAGGGAACCGTTAGGGCAGAGCTCGAGAACCAGGTACGTGGACTTTTCGAATGAGAAGGCTCTGAAAAATTGCACGATACTCTTATGCTTCATCTTGGAGTGGATTTGAAGCTCGGTTTGAAACTTGACGACGTTAGGGCTACTCTGATGATCAAATGGATTTTGCGACCTACCTTCTGTTCCATCTTGGGCGGCATGTGGCTCTTGACGATCTTCAGGGCATATCTCTGTTTGGAAGGAAGAAGCTGGCCGTTGTAGCAGATAGCGAAGCCGCCCTTGCCCAGCAACTTTCCGATCTGATATACAGCGCCATCGGGGTGATCAGAGCTGGGGGGCTCGATGACCTCAGGCGGAGGCGGAGGAGGGTGCTCCTTGTCCTTGGCCGCCCTCAGTTGCGCGGCGGTCTTCGTCTTAATGTCGGTGGTTTTGGGCGCTCGCTGGGCATTGGCATCCCTAGGGGACAAAGCCTCCAAGTCAACGCCGCCTCTGGGCGCCAGCCTGTGGGCCATGGTTGCTGGATGGCTTCAATGACCCGGTTCGAACGCTGGGAGAGTCGTTGTGCGAATCAACACCGAAGGGTGGGGATGGCGAATCGCGAGGGTTAGCAACGGCTGCCAGGAGTCGCAAAGGTCGGCCTATTGCAGGGTGTGAGTGAGGTTCTGTCGGTGTCGAGAGCGCGGCGCGTGACAGGTCGAGTTTGATGTTTCTGGTGAGGGTTTCGGGAGGTTGAGGAGGTTGCAGGGGGAAACCGGGACTTACGAGCTCTGAAAAAACAACATGCACGAGGGATGAGAGTGTCGCCAAGCCGCAAGGGAGACAGGAGGGCATTAAGCAATGCTGGAGCCAAGCTGGATGCCACTGCGACGGATAGACGGGGTTAGTAAGTGCTGGAGAGAAGTCGCTGGGCGAGCCACACAAGGGTGAGAGAGAAGGCAGGTTTGTTAGGCCATTGCTCTCCGCTGCGACTGGGAGTGGCTCGTGTGTGTTGGTTTGTGTACTTTCCTGCAGGCGTTGCTGCTGGCAACCGTTTTGCAGCCAATAGAACCCCGGCCGCGTTACTGAACACACCGCTGTAGCCCACTGTCAACACGCCCCACATCACGCCGAGCTGCCCTATGAATCCCTCTGATTCCCGATAACCCATCTTAAATTCACTGGGATTGTCCGAGAATGCGCGTTGGCAATGAGACAGGCGCTTTTTGGTCGATTGGTTTTCAAACAATGTGCATTGATGTGTGTGTGAGCGCGACGTTGGAGATCGTTTCTCGCTGTCACTTTTTCTTGCGTGCTATTGGCCAGCGCAATTGTTCAACCCGTGAACGGTTTCATATCTGTTGAACCCTGAGCGAGCGTGTGACTGTGTGTTCCTGGTTGAGATCTAATCACATTTGGAGCTCATCGCCAAATATTGACTCTCTGCGACGGATTCATGAGGGGTGGTTGCTTTATCCAGATAATCATTGCTGAGCATTCGAATTTCATCTTTATTTCATCCATTGGTCAGCTTCCAGTCCAATACTACAGCATCACCATGACATTGATTCACCTTGCTTTGGTACCTGTGTCTTTGGCACGACTCTATTGATTCTGCTTTTGTGTATCTTCCGCAAATTTGTCTCATGCAAGATTAACCTTTGAATCAAAAGAGTCAGATCATTTCCGCTTCCGCTGTAGTTTAACGGCCATAACGGCCATGCAGTTTATAAGTGACGGTTGATTTCGACTACGACAATCAATATTGTCCCACACCTTGCGAACAATTAAATCCAGTGACTTCTGAGAACTTCAAAAAATACCTTTACTGACTTCTCTCAAAGGGTACGAAGTAATTGCAGCATCGAAAACATCCAATTCGCGTTATACCAGATGTCTGACCTGAGAGCAGCGAGTTGACAAGAGGATGACGTATGCGCACGGGCCACCACGAACACGTCCAGAGCGGAACATCGCGGCATCCGGCACAGGCGGCAGCTAGGCTGGCATCTGAAAGAGTCACGGCGAATGCTCTCTCGTTCCAACCCAATGATCTAGCACTTGGTGAGATCCAAGGCTACCAGCCTGAACAACTTCTGACCCTTCCTCCCGTCCTCGTATACGGCGCGAACTTGGCCGGTCTCGCCTGCTTCCTCAATCTCAATCGGTGGACGTCCTCGAAAACAACCCCACCACGCGAAGACTGGTGCCCAGGCGCTGGGACACAAGAGCCAAGACTTCCAACCGTCCATCCGTCACCATGGTCCCTCTTCCCCTCTTCAAGCTTGCCGCACTGTTTGTGCGGCACGTTTCCAAATATGGCGCGGTATGGCCACTCTCTAGTTCGACGTCTCTGGTGATCGCGTTGCTGACAATTCCGCAAAGAATCAAATAAAGGCTCAGGCCCACGACCACCCCCGGTTTCGAGCGTTTGCGGCCCGATATGGCCAGTCTATACACCAATTGAACATGAAGATGTCGGTCGCCCTATTACGGAACCCTGATGCGGAGAGACGTGCCAAGGAGCGCGCCGAAGCACCCACCGTCCTGACGGAGGAACAGCTGAAGCGGGAGGAGGAGCGCAAGGAGAAGGTTGGCCCCGATGCAGCAAAGAAGCAGGTGCCTTTCCAGAACGTGTGGCGACGCAAATTCCGACCTCTCCCGGAGGCCAAGGCCGTCGATCTCTTTGCCGATGTCATTGGTGACACGTTCATTCTGTCTGTGGCTGGTGCCTTGATCGTGTATGAGTATTGGAAATCGACACAGAAGCCGGATACGACCAAGGAACGCTTTGAAGAGCTCGATCAGAGGTTCGAAGAGCTTAAGAGGAAAGAGGAGGAGCTGGAAGCTGCCGAGGAGAAACAGCGACAGCGGTTCGACAGCTTGGAGGAGGTATTGCGGGCATTGAAGGATCCCAAAACGAAGCAGCCAGTGATCCCAGGTCTGCAGATCTCATGAGAGGAATATTCATGAGCGAGTCATGAGGTTTCCAATCGGATAAATTATTTGGGCAGTAGACGGAGGACATCCACCTTGATGACAGGCACCGCACACTTTGCAAAGCCCGGTTTGTCCACTGGGAGCACGGTGAAGTGCCGGGTTATGTTGGATATGCTCGAGGACCTTATCATTATCTACGTTTAATTGGCTTTCGGCCCTGTACAGTAGCACAGCTCTTCACTTAGACACCACCACACTCCAGGTACGGCATAGGAAAGAGGGCATTTGGGAATCTTCCCACCCCGCCTGTAGCCATTGTTAGGCAAGTCGCCAGGCACAGCAAATAGAGAGATACCATATTCTTTACAGAAACTATTCCATTGATAATAGCTATTCACTGTGAAATCTGCCAGTACACTGAGAGAGGAGCAATCATTCGAGGACAACAAGACTCTGTTCGCCTGTGAAATATCACTGTACTCGCTTACTAGGCCGTTCATGAATGCTGCCAGATGAGTTTGAGCATGCTCAAGACCATACTCATCATCTGTGTCCAGTTCTCACTCGTCGGCAGCGGGTGATTTAGAGGGCAAATAGGGTCTCTCCTCACTCAAGGACCAGGTATCGTATCCAAAGTCTACCCCAACTGACGCAAACAGCTTTTCAAGTGTATCGTCGAATTCGAGTTCCGTATCGCAACGAATTAGCTCAAGGTTGGGAAACTCTGTCGGTTGACGCCGCTTCAAATCCGCGAGGTTAATCAACCCATTCTTGAGTTGGGACCCGTCGGTCTCGACGTGATGTGATATGCGTAGTGACCTGATTGACCTGGGAATGCGTTTGACCAGGGACATGGGGTCATCGAGCTCCAACTCACTGCCATTGTAGATCACATTAGAGCTGATGAACAAATGTTTAAGTGCTTCGAACCCTTTGAGACTGAAAGCAGGCTTGTCGGCGTCGGCGCTGGCGACAATATGTTGCTGGCGGTGATCGAGATGCAGGGACTTCAGAGTCTCCCCATGGTTGTAGTATTCAAGATGCTTCATGGCTTCGCATGGCACAAATTGGTTATAAGCAGGCATTATAGCGACAGGTGAGTTGTAAACCCCAATATCAGCGAAAGCTTCATGCACAAAGGTGCGAAGACGACGAGTGCAGGAGGATAGCAGGATTCGGAGGTGATATTCGGTTATTTGGGACTGCGTGATGCGGAGAGTCGTTAAAGCTGGCAGTGTTGGCGTCGATTCAGCATTCGAGGGGTAGCACAAATGAAGGTTGAGTGTCTCTAGACCCGGTGACAGCTTCAACAGTGGCGAATTCAGCCCATCTATAGTAAGAGTCTTAAGATGCAAGGTAGATAAGTTGAGGGCTGTGAAGGCAGAGTCGACAATTCTCATTTTGGGCCACACGTCGCCGGGTTGGAGGTTGAAGTACTCCAAATTCGGGAGCTGGGCAATCAGCATAGGAACGAGCTCGGCAGCCACTGTCCTAAAGCCCGAGGTAGTAGTGAGGGCTCTATTCCACCTTCGCTGAACCTCGTCGTCGCCGTTGCGTTCCCAGAAACAGTTGAGAAACGAAGTGAAGTGGAGTGGCCAGCGTTTTCTCTCATCACTCGGAGTGGTTACTGCTCGTTGTCTCCAGGCTTCAGGGAGGTTGATTCCCCGAGCATCCGCGGCTTGCATTAGACAAGCTCGGGCATCGTCGATGCTAATAGCATCTAATAGAAAAGGGTGGATGGATACAGTCTTAACCAGGCCGCCGAGGTCAGGTCGCTGTGTGGTAGTCCGCAAAAAAGAAATTAATCGACGGTCCCAGGTGTAACGTTCGTATTGCCAAGAGTTGCCATGGCCTAAGCTGAAATCGTGGTACAGGATAGGTTGGGCAAGGTCCCGGAACTTCCTGGAAACTAGACACAATGAGAAAAGGGTATGGCGGCCTAGAGAGTGCCCGGACGGATCCTGACTCTGATGTCGTCCATCATTGGGGTGTCGTTGGTGATAAAGTTGCTGCAATGTGTAGATTCCGGATGGTTGGTCGTACTCTCCGGAGCAATGAAGGCAAAACTGGGCGAAGACCAGAGCAAGTAGTTCTGGAGATAGAACAGGGAGTATAGGCATGTCCGCCATCTTAGCCTGGGTTGTGGGTTCCTCGTTCAGAGGCTCATAGCTAGCCTCATAGGCGATCTTGGCTGGCGGTGAGTTGCTTGAGGAGAGACGACCAACTGGCCGAGGCTGGGCGTGGCTTGTCACGCACGTGTGTTGCACGTCTAACTGTGGCTGGGAAAAGCGGGTTCCTTAGACGGAAGAACTGGGATTCCTTTGAGCGTTGTGGCGGTGTCGCTCTGGGATGCAACCAACACCATTCATGAGTGTATCCAGCAGCCTCGGAACTGCCGAGCTACCCCAAATCACACCCAAGATGCAATGATGCGGACAGAGTCACCAATGGGAGGGGGGAAGTAGAATAGTGTGGTTTGACTTGTCATCGCTCAGGGGAAGGTTGTCTTGAGGACACTCTGTCAATATGCTGAGCTTGGAGCATCACCTTCAGTGTTGGAAACTCGGCCAACCAGGTCTTTAGACAGGCGCCGGGGCTCTCACGAAGGACTTCATCTGCGGTGACACAGATAGCTAATTGAATCACCGGCGGTTGCAACTCCATTCACAGCTAAACTTCAATGTCACGGAGATTGTGATATTGATTACATGTTAGCTTAGAGGTGACGCAGGGTAGTAGTGGGCTGAGTGGGCAGATGGTGTAAGCCAAAAGCTTCCCAAATGGGTACGGCGGAGCTAAACACAGCAGATTACGTTCACCGACTCTGGGTATCAACTGATAAAATTCCCAGACAGAGCTGATGGGTATGCACGAAGGCGATCACTCATCCAAGGATGCGGGTCACATTGGACATAAAAACCCCGCGACCAGGCAAGGTACGGAGCGTGCGTGGTGGGGCATTGGTTTCTGGGCCTTTGGAGATGGATCATGGAGGTGAGCGAGTGGAAGCTGGCGATGGCACCTGCGTCTTGACTGAACGCATGTGCGCTCACAGAAAGATGTTGCGACTCATTAACGACATCCTGATCGGGATAAACGCACCAGATGCGCTGATTCTGGGGTCTTGGATGGGCCCGTATTGCATTGCCATGGCCTCGGCAGGCCAACGCACAGTGATGGGTTGGAATGGCTGGGATGTAACCGCAGATGGAGCCAATCAGCAACGGTATGCAACCGCCGAAGAATCGGACTCATCTGTACTATTGATACTAAGATGGGGGGGTATGGCCAGAATATGTGCGTGTGTGTGTCCGCGTGTAAGTAAGACAGCCGCCAGCAATGTTGGCCAAGAAGAGCGACCAGATCCGGTCACGCACTATCGAACGAGTCGAGGGCTCGCTTGCACGAGTTTGGGGGCAAATCACATTCTGCGCCGACCTTCATTCGCTCACCTTCATTCGCTGATGCAATGCAATGCTTAATATCCGGGCCTCAACGACGTCGCGCGGGCGATGGGCTTGGAGATGGTTAGCGGCTTGGGAGCAGAGGTCACCCCCCACGGCCGACCAGTGAAGAAGAGCCAGGGCCATGAGCTATCTGGTGAGGACGCTTGGGTCGGCAGCTGTCGGATCCGGGCGGGAGATGCAGAGGATGAAGGGTGTTCCGAAATAGGAGGACTCATGATGAATGCACCGAGTGTCATTCAACACCCACAAGTGACATTCAACACCGCCACAATGCTACTGTTGGAAACGCGGAATGAAGGATCTCGCAGGCGCTTAGGGCTGAACTCAGGGCGACCACATTGTCGGGTTTCAAGAGACAGAAGGGTCGACCAACATGCGAAGCGGGCTGGGCTGTTGGGCGCTGAGGGAGGGCACGATGAGGGCATTTGGCGGAGGAAGAAGAGGAGAAAGAAGCGTCATGGTGGCAGCCAGGGACAAGGGTGGCGGCGGCAGGTGGATAAAAAAAGAACACTGACTGCAATGCGGTCTGCAAGAATCATGGAGCGGAGTGGAGTGGAGGCGGGAAGACAGGGAAGAGAAGAAAAGACAGGGAATACGGAAAAGACAGGGTGATACAGAAAAGACAGGGATATTCTAGACCATCCCCCCCCTCTCTCTCAAGAGCGCAACGTCAAGTGTGCCAGCCCGATACAGGGACGACAGCAAAACAACGTCTGCCTCAGCACGGCCACACGAGACCTTTGCCGTGGCCCGAGGCGTGTCAGATGTGGTGGTGAGGAGAGAGAAGAGGGAGAAGCAGACAAGCGCGGTTGTTGAAACCAGGAACCAACATTGAAGCATTGAAGCGCCCGTTGAAGAGAGAACTGACGATGAATGATCCGAGGCTGGATGTGAGTGAGGGGAGAGGAGAGGGGGTGTGTGATGGGATGGGATGGGCATTGGGCGGGCGGTGGGAAACAAGACGTAGCTTGGCATCTCTGTCGACCCACGACCCACGGCGACCCATGGCATTTACTAGCATTTCCTAGCATTTCCTGGCATCTCAAGGCACATGGCATGCCGCCTCTCCAGCGGTATACGGCGTGCCTGGTGTACAGGAATCTGCCCGCTCAACCACTCCCCGCCCAGAAGCGTCATGGCGAGCACAATTCACAATTAGCCTCGTGCCGGGCCTGCAGGCGTCCGGGGGGGGGGGGGGGGACAGCCCCTGCTGGCTCCAGGTCCGGAGCGGCAAGCCCGGTGATTGGCCGGGCGCCGACGTGTAACCGCCGAGGCCATCGCCAATCACCAGCCCCCGCACCACGATGGTGTTGAGGCGGTTGAGCCAGACGCCCAATGGGAGTGGCGGCCGCTGCTTGTCGCCGCTGGCCTGCTGGGATCATGGCGTTACCGTGTGTGACGGGGCCTGCAACTCGCAACTCGCTGGCAGTAGCGTGAGAGCCTCCGAGTCGCCCTCTCCCCGCCATCCCGCCGCCGTTGGCCTCCAAGACGGGCAATTCTCGCCCCATCACCACCCCCCCCAATTGCCCATGTCCCAGCAGAGATCGTGCTGTACGGGACCCGGTCTGCAGCAGCGCAACCTCTCACCGGTCTGCATTTGCGCCGGCGTGGCTCCCTGGGCGCTTCATGGCGGGTCTTTGGAAGCTTGGCCGCCGTGGCTTTGCACTGCTGCGTTGCGTCGCATTGCCCGCTTTACTACCCCCCCCCCTTCACATAGAAACCCAGAACAGAAACACTCAGACCCGGGCTTCCGTTCTTAAAACTCGCCTTGCCGCCATCCGCCCCGGCCTGTCGCTGTCCCCCTCCCGATGCTTCAGATCCCGTCTTTCCGAACGCCCTCGTGTATGATCGTCGCCTTTGCCTGATTCTTGCGACAACAACAGCTGCACGAACTCACATTTGCCTCGCCACCAACGCCACCTACAACACCATCTCGTCCGGCTGTGCGCTCTTCCGTCTCGTAGTGGAAACGTGCCAATGCCTGCATGCCCGCTGCCATCATAGACCAGATTGTCAGAGCTTGGACGCCCGAATCGTCTTCCGCGACACTGCCGGCTTCACCAATCTGATACACCAAGCCCGATCTACCCTCCGGGGTTCCCCCCAATTCCACTCTCCGCCCATCCGCTCGTCGATATACATCGGCCCTTTCCGCCCTCAATCCTCACTGTCCATCATCGTCTGCTGGTCCGACGTTCTTGACCCACCTTCTTCATTCATTGTCCGCTCGGTTCAGCAATTACCTTGTTTAATACCCTTCACTCTCTCTTCGACGATACCACCGCAGGTCCGGCTACTTGTGTTCCAATCCCGACGGCTTCTTTGACAGATCCGACGTGTACCATAATTTCGACGAGATCTCGATAGACCGACGACTCTGCAAGAGAAGGACCGGTATTACGCATCCGCAAGGAACATTCACCAAACCACACTTAATCGACATCCCGCACCAACAAAGACACAATGGGCAAGCTTATTAAGAACCACTGGGCTCGTCTCATTATCCTGAGCGCTGCAGCTTGTAAGTCACCACAGCGCGCACGACGTCTTCTCGCGAGAGATTCATTGACTAACCCCTCATAGACCAGGTCTTTGCTGCCATCGAGTGCTTCGTCTGGCCCAAGATCTTCTGGGACATCTTCACCAAATCACTAGACGGAGCCGTGAAGCCCATACCGATATTACAAGTAGTAAATCTTGTTTTCGGTCTCGTAATGTTCGGCCTCGAGTGGCCGCTCAGCTTCGTTTCTGGAACCTCTATCCACCGCTCCCTCGAATTCCGCCTCGCCATCCTGCCTCTCACGGCGCTATCAGCCGCTCTCATCTACCAGGGCACTAATGCGGCCCTATACTATCTTATCGGCATGATTGTCTACTTTTGGGGATACAGTGAAGGCGAGGTAAGCTATTTGTCCCCATTGATCAAACGTGAAGCGATTCTAACAAGCCTATTAGATCATCTGCGCAACGCCTTGGACTCTACCCCAACGTGGACGTGCTGGCGGCGGCAGCCGTGCATAGTCGGATATGCAAGGCCGTGTCTGCTAAATTCTTCTTTCCGCCTCATCTCATCCGTGGAGGATCAGACGAGTGCGAGAGAGAACTGTATTCACAACCATCAAGAAAAGAAAGAAAATAAAAAAAATTACGATCCAGAGGCACGGATGCACTAGAGATTCCACCTACTACGCTCATCCTCTCCCACCTCGACCACCACTACTCTATCACGACCTTGAGCGAGCATCGGCGTTGTTTTTACGAAAGATATCCCCTATACGAACAGTAGTTCATTGTTTTTGTTTTACTACCCTTTCCACCAGAAAGAATCCCATGCAAGTTTGCATGACGACGGGCTCCCCGATGGAGGGGAGAGGGGCTCGCTTGGGATGGTGCAGGGGATGGATGTGCACCACCGGAAGATGGGAGGCAAGGACGGTAGCGGGATGTCTTTGAGACCTGCAGAGGTACATTGAGGTGGTGGTGGTGGTGGTGGTGTCGAGAGTCGTCTCATGTCCTGATACGCCTTGGCGGTGCTCCAGCAACGGGTCACAGAACGTCCCATCAAATACACGCATCGTGCCGAGCTTAGTCCCTTGCCCCAGAGCCTCTAGAATTTAGATACCACACAAGACAGTGGCGGTAATTGAAAGAATAATTGAAACCACTTCCAACAGCCTCTTGTCCCCTCCATGCAACCGTTCCGCGCATCTCCAACACACCCAAACTCTCTGGAAACAACGCCGCCTAGCGACCCAGTCTCAAAACGAACCGCTAGCGGAGTAGTCGGGTCTTAAAACCCCAGCCTTGCGACCAAAGCTCCTTGGCTTTTCTCGGAGCATTCTCTCTGCCGTGTGGCGCAGCCCCGTGAATCGTGGCCGAAACGCTGCATGTCAGATCGACGGCGTCGGGACCGCAACCGAGGTTTCGCCCACTTTGGAGGCAACATGGCCGCCTTATGAGCGCACGACCGCCAGTTTGGTTCATTCTAGCTTTAAAAACATTGGTCATACGCGGAAAGAGGTAATGATGGTGATTTTGATACAGTTCGGAGCTTCAGAGGCTTTCCTCGTCGTATTGCGCGTGATTACCCACCTTGAAGGAGCGGTTAGCTCTGGAGTAACACACCAGACCCTTCCTTGTACCGATGCACTGGTCAAGAAAAGACGGAGCCTTCGCAATAAATGTCCCACAATGGGGAATTAGTGTGTGACGGCATATTTCGTGACTATTTGCGTGAATTTTCTTTCAGCGGTGAGAGAGCCTCCCTGAGTTTTGAGTTCCACATTGAAGTCGCACAACCGTAGTATACTGAAGGCCGCATCGGTACCAGGCTCGCCCCTATGGCCATTTGCCTTGGGAACAAAAAGTACCGTACGATGCAGGGTTGAAGTATTAGTACAGGCAATTAATGTAGCTAATTTCCTGGCTGTGGAAACTCCTCGATCAAGACTGGAGCACCTTTGAGTGTGAAGCTCAACGAAGACTTCGCATCCAAATCAACAAAAAACTTGTAGTCTTCGAGGTACAAAGCTCTGTTGCCATTCTCACCAATCCGAACATGCCGCTCCAGAGTGATTTAAAGCTCATCAGAAGCTGTGTCTCCTGCTTGAATGTCCTTGATTCTTGTGTATGCCGACGTAGTCTTGAAGGGTCGGGGTTCAGGGCCAGCATTGTTCTTCCGGAACAGAAGCGCAACGTAATCGGATGCAACTTCGCCAGTGTTTGTGGCCTCGACTTGCAAATTTGTAAAAGGTTGCTGAAGGATGGTCTGCCATGTGAGTGACCCAGTGACGCTATCGGTGTCGACCTTGGCCACAAGCTCTTCCGTGTTGTCTGATGCACCGCGAAGTTCGGCCTGCTCACTTAGCCTCTGAATGGTTGAGGCCTCCCAGGAAAATGACATGGTCAGCCCCCTTGGCTGCTTCAATAGCGCTCTCAAATAAGCCGTCCGTCTCGTCAATGCTAGATCCCTTGTAGTAGGTCACATTGAAGCCCAAAACCTTGGCAGCCTCAACAGGCGAGATTAAATAAGGTACTGGGCCGGAGTAGATGCCATGCATTTGCTCACCAGCCTCGATGAAGGGGCCGATAAATGCATACGACCCAGAAGAGCCCAATGAAAGCGGAAGTATGCCATCGTTCTGGATGAGAACTGAACCACTGAAGGCCGCCTTGTAAGCTGGCTGCTGAGCAGCTTCGGTGTTCACTGCGTCCCAGCCAATTTCCCAAAGTTCTTGTCTTTGAGCGGGATCGAACATTCCGACCATCACCAAGGCTGTCATACGACGGGTAAGTGCTTTGTTACCGTCTCCCTGCGAGGCTAGCCCTTGCTCCCCAGCAGAGAGAAGAAATTCGGCCCCTGACGTGTTGTTGCATTCCAAATCAGTGCCAGCCTTCATTGTTAGAGCAGCAGTTTCGCCGTAGTTATCCATAAACTTATGATGTGTAACCATCGAGGGAACATAATCGCAGCTTCCCGTGATGTAGTGCTCATCGCTTTACCAGTCCCAATGCTGACGGAATATGTCTTCCAGAAGATAGTGATTAGCACAAAGAGGCGTACCGTTGATACCGTTGTAGCTACACATGAACACCCCGACGTTCTTTTCGACCGCACAGATCTTAAAAAGGGGCAATTAGTATTCCGAGAGTTCTTGCGTTGTGATGATAGCGTCAAGGCCATATCTTTCTGTGCCCTCGTAGTTCCCAAAGTCGTTGGCGGCATAGTGCTTGCAGGTTGCAATGACCCTCCTATATCCAGTGAAGTCATCTTCAAGTCCGCTGAGCATGGCTCGAACAAAGTTTTGTGCATGGAAAGGGTCTTCACTAGGACATTCCCGATCGCGTCCCCAACGCGGGTCTTTGAAGGTGTTGATGGTTGGAGACTATTCTGGTTAGCTACGGCTGTGTATCACCTGGAACGAGAAGTAGCTGAAGCTACTTTCATAAAGATCAAACCCTACTCGGCCATCGTTATTGTAGGCTCTGGTTTCGATGATTATGGCCTCTCCAATATCTAGTACCATTTTGTCATCGAATGCAGCGCTTGTAAGGGTGGGCATCGGGAATGAGATGCATGGCCGAAGTTCCCAGAGGAGGAGAAGCTGGTGCCGGGAGAGTACACAAGGCCGTGGAGTTCCTCCGCCCACCATTGGTAGGGAAATATCTCAAGCCTATCAACTCCGAGGGCAGTATTGACAAGATTGATGAGTTTCTCTTCATTAGTCTATTTAGCCACTAAGGATGTGGCACGACTCTTTGATGACAGAGAGGGATCGCAAATGTCAAGGGACCAAAGAGGGTCTCGAGTCCAGTCCGGGTATGGTGAAATACCACCGGGCACAAGGTTTTTGATAGAGTAGATATTAATGGTAGACAAAATGACCGGTTACTTATGAGTATTTAAGAGAGACTAAAGGTAATTACCCACAACCATGCTTGCTCACAATTTTCAGACGAGTCACCATCGCACGCCTGGTTGCAAGAATCTTTACTGGCCTGGCTCTCGCCCGAATTGATATCATTGCCGCAGTAACACTGACTATGAAGTGAAATGAGATCTTAGCCAATGACCCAAGAGTTTATATAAAAGGACTGATGTACCTGCCATACTCTAACCGGAGTCAGAGTATCTAGCACGACAGCAGACAGCAGCGCAATAAGTAGGCGTGTTAAACTCGAGCTGACGCTGTGACCTCCCAGAGTCCTCGGATTAGAAGAATCAGTAAAGCAACCCAAGTTTTCATACTCGACCGTGTAATTGAGGGCAGGCAGATCCTTCGTTCGCGCAGTGAGCTCTTTCGGCTTGATGGTATCAGTGAAGACGTTAGGCTTGTCCCCAATGGATTCATGGTAAGCCACACCATTCCGCCTGTGATGGCAGTAACTGTATTAAGGAGATTGAGGGACTGCAATAGACCTGAGCTACATTTTTGGATAATAGCTTGTTTTACATGGATTTGTGATAATCGAAATTGATGCTATGCCTGCTCCCGATTGGACTGCTTCAATTAGTGTGTAATTCATCTCAAAGAGACGCAGAGAGGCACTATCATTGTGGGATGTATCCCGGTCTACTGTGACTGATTGGATGGTTCGGGTTCGGGTAAAAAGCAATGGCTTGGTCATTTCATTCGGCTTTGAGTTCTATGTCTAATATGACGTTGAGTAAAACCGCATCTCCTTGGTATCATCAACCCCTTCTACCTTGTTTTCGCCCTACTTCTTCTAAAACCCTTCAATACTTTACAATTCCACTCAAAACTATGACTCGTCTTGTCATACTAGTACAGGGGCACGAATGTTCCATTATGGCAGTCAATACCCATTTCCGGGTTCAAGCTCGCCTTTGCATTCATGCAGATGACCGAAGGGGAGCTCAAATCCTGAGGGTAAATGCGAATGTCGTTGAACTTGAAGTTTTTGCAAGACTTGTCGTTGTAGCACTCGAGAATGATGGCCTCGTTGTGCTGGAGGTTGGGAAGACCGACGTCATACCAGCAAGGCTATCACGAGTTAGAGGGGCAACAATGGTCAGGGTTAAGGGTTTACTCACATCGGAAGCGCAAGAGCCATCACCAGGCATGTACGAGTTAATGGAACCGCTCCAGTTCTCCCAAGTAAAGTCCTCCATCATGACTGCGGTGTCTGTGGGTCGGCCGCTGGTCGCCTTGTTCTGATCCCAGTAGGTTTGCGTGATGAAGACGGGGAAAGTCACATTGAAAAGGCGAATGTTGCTCCACTCGACGTTTTTGACAAGGCCCTAGTTCTAGTTAGCAAGGATTGAAGGTGAGGGGGGGATGTGTAGCAATTACCTGTCCACCGGTCCATGACTTGAGTCGAGAGGCATAAAGACCACCAGCAAAGGTGATGTCATTGAACTTGATGTTAGAGACGTTGACGAATTTGGTGTAATCAGAACCGAGAGATCCAATGCTCAGTCCGTGGGTCTGGTATCCAACAGTGGTGCGTTCGACCAAAACATTGTGGGCACCATCCGTAATGGCGACGGCGTCATCGCCGTTGTAGATGACAGAGTCGGTCAGAGTGACATCGGTGGCGGCGATTCCAAAGCCGTCAGTGTTGAAGGGGAAGCTGCCACTCTCCGAAACCGAATCGACGATGGCATGGGAGATGGTGATGTTGGATCCCTTGACCGCAACGTTCCAGCCGATGGGCTTCCACGACTTGAAGTACTTGATAACTCCATTAGTGGCCTGGAACCTCATCAAGTGAGGGCGGCTGGCAAGACCGGTTGAGCCAGCGGGGTTGGCATCCCACCACTTCTGTCCATAGGATCGGATCCATCCAGTTGTAACCTGCAAATATTAGTATCCGGAATAAAGAGGTGGGTGTAGATCATACATCTTCAGCACCGATGTACTGGACATTGGTGCCCTTGAAATCGAACCAGTAAACCGAGCCTCCACCAGCCGCGACAATCTTCTGAACAGCAGGGATATCCTGGGGCAGGTTGAGGTTGCCCTGCACGGAAATAACGACGTTTGACAGATTGGTCGCCGAGATGGGCTCAAAGACATTATACTCGACGCCCTTCTGGAACAGGATGGTCGAGTCCTCGGCGCATCGTGCGAAGACTTCCCGGATCACAGCAGCATCTGACGTTGTGCTGTTCGATGCCGGCACGATACACGTCTTGGCGCACACGGCCGAAGAAAAGTAGGCGAGCGCAGACAGGGACAGCAGCTTTAGAGACGCCATGATGAAGGACTGGAGGACTTGGGCGGGTTGCTCTGGAAAACAGTTACGCGCGAGCAGTTCCTTATATATTTGGCTTTTTTTCTAGTTTTCTACGTATATTGCAGGGATGATCCTCCCTCCGCATCTTTGGCATCATTTCCCGAACACTCCAACTCCTGCTTATACACCATGTCTGGGGTCGAAGGACTAGCCGTGGCCATCTCTGGGCGGGAGTGGGCGGAAAATTATCGTCCGTAATCAAAGTGGAGTTGGAGATCCGGGGAATCACTGGGCGCCCGAGATGTTGCGGGGACAGCGGTTTGACGACTTGTTCGCTCGAACCTTCTGAGCAAGTCGCATGTTTAATCCTGGGACTATCCTCTTTGGATGGATCGGCTGGGAACCTTGTGCTCATCCATCCACGCTTTCTCGGCAAATTCGGCACCGTCAAAGCCATTCTATTTGTCTTGGCTCTCGTGGCCTGCGGGTGAGGGCATCGGGAATGGGGACCAAGACAGCACGCGAGGCTTTCCACCCGCTCTCTTGTTGTTGGACTAGACGTAACCATATTCGCGTTTAGCTTTTAAGCAGCTAGACTACCGATGTCTTCTTTTTTCCGTCCACTACCTTCCCTTGTATGCTTATTTTCCATCTTCATGTGCTCGTTGACCTTGCCTCATCGAGCATCAATTGGAGCGTGGACGAAGGCCGTGCTTTGCTGGGATGCAGGGCTAGGTTTCGGAACCATCTTCTTTCATATGGTCCCTGGACGTGTCGTATTGGTCCTTTATCTTGACCTGTGATCTCCGTTCCTGCATGAGAGCTCCGTGTAGCAGAAGGAGAATCAGCCGCACCCCGACGGTTCGTCGTCTTGTCTGAGAAGTTTGCCATCCTCGAGTAGACAGCGAAATTTTGATATTATTCAAGACCCTCCAAGTGATGCACCAACCAGATAAGTATTTACCAACGGACCACTATAGCTGTGCTTTTAACCTTCTTCGGTCCTGGCTCACCGACTCTTATTGCTCTCCCAACTCATAGTTCCTCTCCTAGCTAGTACACGAGATCAGGATGCGTTTACGGTCTACTCTAATGGGGATATATTCCCAGCCCATTTAGCGAGGCCACGCAAGGTAACTGTTTCTGGTAGCATTGCATCGATACTCACTATTTCAAGTTAGGCTACGGATTAATATGGTCCGTGGAAGGTGAGTGTTCGATACCGACAGGTCGGGCTGGGAGGCATGGTCAACTTCATTGTCATCTAAAATGGGAAAGTGATTTCGCTGGCTCATGAGATCTGACAAACTTACAAGGTTGCGCACTTGTGCCGTTAAGGTTCTTCTTCGCTTTCATCCATGAGTGCCCATTTTGAGATGCTTACTGTAGATGTAGTGTTTAGTTGTGAATTTGCCCGCTGCATCAAGTTCAACAAACGTGCTCCTTCCATTGGTCAGTGTCAGCCGATTCATTGAACCCAGCTAAGATGAGATCACCAACATGCACCTCATTCGTTACGCCCGTCGTTCAGGCCACAATCCCGTCACTGACATGCACCCCTTTGTTATCGCCGTCACCCGGATCTCGGCTTCCGGCTGAATAATTGTTGTTGCATTTTGATGCGAGCTGTTCCAATGGATCTGGAAACCGATATGAAGATCGGCAGTGATCATCGTCGGCCATGGAGTGCATGCAGGGCTCTCGTATGTACTGCTAACTTATACCCGAGAGCGAGCTGACCTTCCCGTGGCCAGGCCAGTAAGTACACAAGTCACCTGTGCCGCGAATACGAATTTAGAGCATGTGTATGTCGCAGAAGCTGATGAGTTTTTGAAGTTTGGGTGACAATCGGCGACATTCGGCGACGCAGATTTTGGGTTCGTTGACCTATCGCGTAGTAGGATTCGACGCGCGTACTGACAAGGACCAACATGGAGATTATAGGGGGCTGCATGAAACACCGGTTGCTCAATGGGTTTTCTGGTCAACCGACAGGCTGTTGTCATGCACCGTGCACGTCGTCAATGTTACCGTGTCGCTGTTGTCATGTCGATGCATGTATATTGTGACTGAGTTTCGCGATTGGGTCGGATAACTGCAGTGGTAGAATCTACCTAAAAAGGAGAATACACTGGGTGCAAAATAAGACTCTTGTTGGGGGATGGGAGCTTCTTGGATATTTAGACGGCAGCGAAGGCAAGCCATCGGCTACTTCCTTGCGAAGGGTGTCAACATGTGAAGGATTGGGCGTCACGAATGACGCAACTGAGAGTGTGGCGTATTTTGACAGGAAGCAGGATTGATGAGAAAAAGTCCGGTCAAGTCGGAGAGTCGGAGAGTCGGAGCTACAACGGCCGACGTTTAATTGCGGTACAGAGTATGGACGGAGCAGACCGAACAGAGAGCACTGATGAAGGAAACGTTAGTGGGCGCATGGGGCTGCGATTGAATTGAATTGACGTGAATGATACGCTGGTGAATGACTAGCCGCCCACCAAGCCAATTGCCTGGTCCTGGTGAAGAAGAGACATGGGTTCGACGCCACAATACGATCCTCAATGCAATCCGCCTCTTCGCTGCTTTGCGTCATCTTTTCTCGCGGTTCGTGGCGTTGGCCAACCGCGAAGCCGCGTTCCCCGAAGCTCCGCGCCGCGAAGTCTCCACAACACCAGCGCCGTGCGGCAGGGCGGTGCGTGGGACTCCGCATTCCTTCTGCAACATATCAAATGTAGTCATTGCGATTGGCTGATGCCTCGCAACATTGGACGCGGATACAGGAAGAGCTACGACTTGGGCACTAGTTGCATTGGCTGCGATGCGGACGAAACACCCTCCGCCGGGCCATCTGCTATGTCCGTTCTGGTGCCGTGATGCCGATGTCAACCATCGGCGAGCGTCGTGGGTCCGTCGATCCTGGGGAATGCGGGATGCGAAAATAACGTGTATGAACGAACTAATATAAGAGAGGCGGGTTAGCAGTTCTCCGTATCGTCATCATTCGCACTGTTTTCATCAGCTTCCTTCTCCTCCCTCTCCTCCCAAGCCACAGCCCTTCCGACTAGCCTCTGAAGAGACTTTGGAGTTGTGACGGGTTACATCACTTCGGGATTAAAGCAGACCTGCAGCCTCGAATCACAGCAAGCATCACATCCAGTGACATCCAAGCGAGTTCTGCAGACAAACGTTCACGTGCAGCGAACTGGCCGTACTCAGCTTCTTAAGAAACACCAGCTTCCCGACGAACCCCCTCTCTTCTTCCCCTTCCCTCCATTAATCCAAACCCACGCCGGCTTTGAACATATTCAGACTCACTCTCCCAATCGCCATGGCTGAACTCGTCCCTGTCCCGCAGCCTCGGGGGCTTCCCCTCATTGGCAATCTTGGCGAGTTCACCACCAGCCCCATGGCCGACTTGAACCGGCTTGCCGACATCTATGGTCCCATCTACCGAGTGCAATTGGGCTCCAACTCCCCAATTTTCGTCTCATCAAATGCTCTCGTCAGTGAGATCTGCGACGAGAAGCGCTTTCACAAGACTTTGAAGACAGTTCTCGGTGTAAGCCGACCAGGATTGCAGCCCTTCGAAACCACCGTAACTGACAAAATTATAGGTTGTCAGAGAAGGTGTCCACGACGGTCTCTTCACGGTAAGATTTCATCCACCGTCCTCGAGGACGCAATCTCTAACCTCTTCATCTTCATCTAGGCCTACGATGATGAACCCAACTGGGGCAAGGCTCATCGCATTCTCGTCCCTGCCTTTGGCCCTCTCTCCATCCGCGGCATGTTTGGGGATATGCACGACATTGCCACCCAGATGTGCATGAAATTCGCCCGCCATGGCCCCAACACCCCTATCCACGTTGCCGACGACTTCACTCGCCTTGCCCTCGACACTCTTGCGCTATGTGCCATGGACTTCCGTTTCAATTCATACTACCGCGAGGACATGCACCCCTTCGTCGCAGCCATGGGCGATTTCCTCACAGAGTGTGGCAACAGACAAAGGCGCCCTGCCTTTGCTCCCAACTTCCTCTTCCGCACCGCCAACGACAAGTTCGACGCCGATATTGCAACCATGAAGAAGACAGCCGATGAGGTGGTTGAATCCAGAAAGAAGAACCCAAGCGACAGGAAGGACCTGCTGGCAGCTATGCTCAACGGTGTCGATCCGCAGACTGGCGAGAAGCTTTCAGACGCGAACATCACAAACCAGCTCATCACCTTTTTGATTGCGGGACACGAGACCACATCGGGGATGCTGTCGTTTACCTTCTACCTCTTGCTCAAGCACCCATCAGAGTACCAGAAAGTCCAAGAAGAAGTAGATCAAGTGTTGGGTCGAGATGCCATCACGATTGAACATATTGGCAAGCTTTCATACATTGCTGCTGTAAGTAACCGATTGACTCCCATGCGCCGTTCATGTGTACTTACTATATAACCCAGGTTCTTCGCGAGGCTCTCCGGCTCCGCTCTACCATTGGGGCATTCAGCGTTGAGGCCAACGAGGATACAGTCCTTGGCGGGAAATATTTCATTCACAAGGGAGAGGTCGTCAGCGCCCTCATCAGCAAGGCTCATCTCGATCCTGTCGTCTACGGCGAGGATGCGAATGAGTTCAAGCCCGAGCGCATGAATGATGAAAACTTCGCCCGTCTCAACGAAGAGTTCCCCAACTGCTGGAAGCCATTTGGCAATGGAAAGAGAGGTTGTATCGGTCGCCCATTTGCCTGGCAAGAAGCTATTCTCGCCATGGCCATGCTCTTCCAGAATTTCAACTTCACCATGGACGATCCCAACTACCAGTTGCAGATCAAAGAGACCCTGACACTCAAGCCCGACAACTTTTGCATGCGGGCAACCCTTCGCCATGACATGACGGCCACCGAGTTGGAGCAAAGCCTCGCCGGCAAGGCTCCCACGCCCGGCCAAAAGTCCACCAAGAAGCCCACCGTCGAGGCTAAGACGCAGCCCACCACCGGGAAGCCTCTGGCTGTTTACTACGGTTCAAACAGCGGAACTTGCGAGGCACTGGCACAACGACTGGCAACAGATGCACCCACGCACGGGTTCAGCGCCACTACTGTTAGGCCCCTTGACGAGGCGAAGCAAAACTTGCCGCGGGATCACCCCGTAGTCATTGTGACCGCCTCGTACGAGGGTCAGGCACCATCCAACGCCGCTCACTTCGTCAACTGGATGGAGAATCTCAAGGGCAGCGAGATGGACAACGTATCCTACGCGGTCTTCGGGTGCGGACACCACGACTGGACCCAGACTTTCCACCGCATCCCCAAGCTGGTGGACGCAACACTGGAGAAGCTAGGCGGCACTCGCATTGTAGCCATGGGCACCGCCGACGCAGCCATCAGCGACATGTTTAGCGACTTCGAAACCTGGGAGGACGAGACTTTGTGGCCTGCCTTGAAGGAGAAGTACGGCACGAGCGCGGCTGGCGATATGGCCGGTGTGCAGGCTCTCAGCGTCGAAGTGACGACCCCACGAAAAGCAACCCTCCGGCAAGACGTCGAGGAGGCTCTCGTCGTCTCGACCAAAACTCTTACTTCATCTGGACCTCCGAAGAAGCACATCGAGATCCAGCTGCCCACAGGCATGTCGTACAAGGCCGGTGACTACCTCGCAATCCTACCCATGAACCCCAATGCCACCGTTGCCCGCGTCTTCCGGCGCTTCCAGCTGGCCTGGGATGCTGCGTTCAAGATTCACTCGGACCGACCTACGACTCTCCCGACTGACACCCCCGTCTCTGCGCGAGATGTGCTGGGCGCATACGTGGAGCTGTCGCAGCCGGCCACGAAACGTGTAAGTGGTCGATGCTCTTCATACATCTGCAGAACTGTTATAGCTGACTGTGGAACAGAACATTTTGGCCGTGGCAGAGACAACGGATAACAAGGCTATTATCCAGGAACTCGAGAAACTAGCTGGAGACGACTATCAGGACAAGATTGTCGCTAAGCGAGTCTCTGTCCTTGAGCTGCTTGAGGAGTATCCCTCTGTCCCCTTCCCCATCAGCTCGTATCTGGCCATGCTACCCCCTATGAGGGTTCGACAATAGTGAGTTACGTCGCAAGTCATGAAGATACCGCCCTGCTAACCCCTGAAAGTTCCATCTCCTCTTCCCCCCTGGCCGACCCTACGAAACTGACACTTACCTACTCCCTACTCGATGCCCCGTCGCTGTCCGGTCAGGGCCGTCACGTTGGTGTTGCAACCAGCTTCCTCTCCGAGCTCTCGGCAGGCGAGAAACTCCACGTTTCCGTCCGCCCGTCCAGCGCGGCATTCCACCTCCCCCGCGACGCCGAAAACACGCCCATCATTTGCATCGCCGCCGGTAGTGGCCTCGCGCCTTTCCGAGGTTTCGTCCAGGAACGCGCCGCCATGCTCGCTGCGGGCCGCGACCTAGCCCCCGCCTTGATCTTCTTCGGGTGCCGCGACCCCGACGTTGACGACCTCTACGCCTTGGAGTTTGCCCGGTGGGAGAAGATGGGTGCCGTGGAGGTGCGGCGGGCGTACTCCCGAGCGACTGACAAGTCGGAGGGATGCAAGTACGTGCAGGACCGACTCTTCCATGATCGCAAGGACGTCTTTCCCCTCTGGGACCGCGGCGCCAAGGCATATATCTGCGGAAGCCGCGATGTCGGCAGGGCCATCGAGGATGTTTGCATTCGTCTCGCCGTGGAGTGGAGCAAGGACATGGGGAAGGATACTACCGAAGACGAGGCGAGGGAATGGTTTGAGAAGCACCGACATGAACGGTTCGCGACGGATGTGTTTGATTAAGGGAGGGTCTAATGCTCAAGATTGATACTACACATCGACTATGACGGGGTGGGTGCTTTTGCGGAGTTCAACTTGGGTACCGGTGACGATCAGGTCGAATATCTAGTATAATGAATTGGAAACTTACTTGTCAACTTTCCTCCTTTAAACACAGTTTTCTTCGTTGTGATATATCCCGTATACGTGCGATCAGCCTATGGGAGTCAGTTTACAAGAATGACGAGTCGGGTCAATCGACTATCACCACTCTAAGTTGTCCATATTCTTACCTGTCACACTGATCCCAATTGCTTGTATCAAGAAATCACAGGAATGCCATTGTTTAGAAAAATGTTCTTAAAGAGAATAAAATATCAAGTAGGTATACACCAGCAAGCGCTGCCCGCTGTCTTTCGTCCGTCTAAGGTATCAAAAGGGGAATAGAAATGTCTCGCCGTACGGAAAAAGCACAACGCCTCCCATGACAACTCAAAGAATCTCCGAAACCTAAGAAAAGGAAACCCCATACCCAAATCCGTTTATCGTCATCATTTCCATATTCCAAACTGCCTTGCTCATTCATTGTATAACCCCTCATCCTTGCATACCCGTTCGTATGCTCTCCTCTTTGGTATCATAGGTATCCTTCATCATACTGTTTACTTTATCCAGGTCAATGGCACAGCCTAGTCCTGGAAGAACTTGATGATCTGCTGCAGGTCACGCAGGCCGACACCATGCTTCGGGTAGCAGATGTAAACCTCCTCGCCAAGGGCTCCGAACTTGGTACGGAAGCTGGCCTTGCGTCGCAGGCCGAGGCTGTCGACGATGGAGCGGTATGTGGCCGCAAGGAAGCGGGCACGAATACCGTGGAGATGCTCACCAGGTGTCAGCTTCTCTGAGACACCCACGCCGAAGGTCACCTTGCCACTGACGGTCGACAGAGCGTGTCCAATGAGCACCTCGATGGCGCCGTTGGTGGCACCAGGGAAGTCGAGTGCCCACTTGACCTGCCAGCCATGGCGAGGTGCCAACTTGTGCAGCACCACGAGAGACAGAACTTTGCCATCTTTCTCGGCGGCAAAGTAGCGGCGGTGCTCAGGGTCAACCCAAGGGCGCACCTCGGTGAGATGGACCTGCTTGCCCTTGCGTGAACCCTTCCAAGCCTCGATGGCCGGATTGGTACGGGCGATGAAGTCGTCATCAGCCTTGACCTCGTGGATCTTGATGCCCTCGCGCTCGACACGACGAGCCTTGGCACTCATACCGTTGGCCTGGTTGGCAGCGGCGAGTTGCTGACGATCCGCATCGACTCGCTGCTCCTCAGTGCACGAAAGAGTCCTCCAGCTGAGTTCGCGCGCGAGGATCTTCTGTACCTCCATCGAAACAAGCATCCAGACAGGCGTCAGACGCAGCTCAGACACGAGGTATTTGACAAAGTCGCGGATGACTTCGGCGTACTGGCTCTGGTCGCAGAGTGGGTCGCCCGTGACCATAGCAAACTTCTCCTGCGGAACGTATCCAATAGCCGCACCGGAGGAGTGTCGCCAGATCTTGAACCGTTCGTCAAGCCATGAAGTGTTGGAGGCGTCGCCGTAATTGGCGATGAGCTTCTCAAGCGCCGGAGGACCCTCGGGGTGGGGCTTCGTGGTGTCGGCCTCCGGGTGGGGCAGGCCAGGCGCCTTGGCCGGCAACGAGCGGGGGTCTCGGTGGAAGAGGGAAGCGTAGCGGACATCGCCCAACTCAAGCATCCAGGCGACAATGCGCTCGAGACCAAGACCGGCACCCGCGTGCGGCGGAGCTCCGAGGTCAAAGGCGGAAAGGTAGTCTTCCATGCCTTCATCGGAAATGCCAGCCTCGGCCATGTTAGCACGCAGCTCCTCGGCGTTGTGGATACGCTGGCCACCAGAGCTGATTTCCTGGCCGCGGATGAAGATATCGAAAGATCGAGTCCACTTGGGGTTCTCGGGGTCCTTGGCTGTGTAGAAGGGGCGAGCGTTGGTGGGGAACTTGTCGAGGACATAGTAGTCGGTGTCATATTTCTCGAGGACGAGCTGACCAAGGCGCATCTCGTCAGGGGTCGAAAGATCCTCCTCCTCAACATCGCGTCCGTCATCACGCAGCATCTGAATGCCCTCTGAGAATGGAAGAATGAGAGTATTCTCGAGCCACTTGAACTCGCCGCTGGGCCATCGCTTCTTAAGGACCTCAATCTCGGGCATGCTGTAGACGGCCTTGAAGACGGACTTGAGGAACTCATCGAGGACTTCAATGACCTCATGGTAGTCACGCTCAATGGCCATCTCAATGTCGAGACCCGTGTACTCGGTCAAGTGGCGATGGGTGTTGGAGTTCTCGGCGCGGAACACGGGGCCGATTTCAAAGACGCGGCCAAAGTCGGCCGAGATAGCCATCTGCTTGGCAAGCTGGGGGCTCTGGGCGAGGAAGGCTCGGCGCCCAAAGTAGTTGACAGCGAAGACAGAAGCTCCACTCTCAGTAGCAGCGGGCTGGAGCTTGGGGGTATTGATCTCGACGAAGCCTCGGTCCTCAAGAGTCTGGCGGAAGATGCGAGAGACAAGGGAGCGGACACGGAAGACAGCCTGGTTGGATGGGTGTCGGAGATCGAGAATGCGCGACGTCATGCGGTTGCGGAGCGTCTCCGGGGGCTTGTAGTTGCTGAATGGTAGGTTGTGGGCGGCGTTGACCAGATAGACGGAATCAATGTCGACCTCAACACCGGCATGAGTAGCCGATCGGATGGGTCCCGGGGGCTCCTTGAGGAAGCCGGAGATCTGGACGAGAGACTCAGAGCCCAGCTTGCGAACCCAGCGAATGAAGTCGGCATTAGTGGCATCACCGGCGAGGACGCCCTGGACGGAGTGGGTCTGGTCGCGCAGGAGGAGGAAGTCGAGGACCTTGGAGAGAGGACGCTGAGTCTCAATGCGGGCACGGAAGGTGACTTCAGTGCCAATAGGGAGAGTGTCGAGCTGTGCGATGGTGTTGAGTTCGTAGGGGTGCGTAGGCCAATCGGCACTGCCAGTGGTGCGAGTGCTCTCGATCGAGGCGCGGCTGTTGGGAGTGCCAGTACCTGAGCCACCCGAGGCCATCGCCAAAGCCATGGCCATGGCGGACCTGGGAGCTTCCCTGGCAGGGCTGTCCATGCTGGACCGCGTCGAGCCCTTGAGCTCGATGGCACTGTCGCGCAATCGGTTGGGAGGGGGAGTCGTGGGCTTGGGCTTATAGGTTTCGGAGCTGTAAACAATGTTGTCGCTTTGGGAGGTGGCGACGCTCCCGTTGTTCCAGTCCCGCTTGGGCGAGCCCGTGCGAACTGGAGTCCCGCTCGAATAGGCAGTCATGTTTGAAAAGGTGGAAGGTGCTGTAGAGATTGGAGACGAGGGCATGGAGGCAAAGGCATCTTTAACTCGGTCCCTGGAGCCAAAGGCCGAACCGACAGGGGTCACAATCCCCGTTGAAGCCGTCATATCTCTCGATGTGGTGTGGCCGGGGGGTGGGTCTTGGCAGCTCGACGGGCCACACGCTTGATAAGTAGTGGCGATGGCGGAACAGTCGATGACGACTGAGGGCTGGTTATCGAATCTGCAAATCAGGGACGGATGTGACACCAAGACGGGAGAGTCCAATCCGCGTATGGGTGTGTGTTGGACTTTGTTTCATCCAAGTACTGTACTGCAACAGGGCTGAGCTGGCTTTTTCGTGTTGCTTGCGTAAATCAGGGCTGTGAAGTTGGGTGATCAACAGTGAAACTGATGCTAAAAACGAAGCAGGCTACAGTGGCGTAGGGCAGCCAGCCTTATATAGCGGGAAGGCTCGGGGCCGGGCGGCGAGCGAAGCTTTACAAGCAATGAGCAAAATAATGAGTTTGGCGGTTGCTTACCTCACGGCACGCCCTTCGGCCCCGGGGCCAAAAGCCGGGAGGGAGGGATGGAGCCTGGCTCGGCATTTCGCGATGTGATGCGCGCCAGAGCTTGAGTCGAAAGGGTGCTCTGTCGTCCAACCAGACGAGTCCGCGTGCCGAGTTATCCCCTAGAGTCAAGTCAGCGTCGAGGGTTCGAGCAGCGAGACGCCCACGGGGGCCGGCTTTGCTGACAATTCCGCACCGAAAGCTAGGGCGGCGTGGCCGGCCGCGAGACGAATAGTGCGTCATTATGCCCGGTGTGACGGACTCTTTTTTTCCACACGCCCCTTCAGTGCACGACTCCTCGACTCCACGACTCCACGTCTGCAGATGTACCGTTTCATGCACCGCTCCCTGCCATGAACGCATGCACGCGTGACTGGTTACTACGGACTTTTTTTTTCGTTTGCCTTGTCCGGATTTGAGCTGGAGATTGCTGGGAGTGGGACCTGCAGAACCAGGGCATTGGGATAGGCGGCATCAGAACAACGAGATATGGCCACTACGCCTAAACCGACCGCACTGCGACACTACAGCATGTACTTGATCACACTAAGACGCCAGGGAGTTGCCGTCTCCCGTCTCGGCATCCAAAGCTTGTACTGAGTACACAACATACCAAAGGGCAAACCCCATTCTGAGGCATGTGTTGGTATAGCACATATTTTCTGGTTTTGTTTTTAGTGTTCTGACCTCACCGGGCTGCCGGGGTCTGTGCCGGGGCCGTGTGTGGCTCCCCAGGCTTGGCGATCCCGGTGACAGTGCTCCGGAGCTACGTAGTCGGACCCGAATAATAAGTATGGTAGACATCAAGGATTCACCTGATCGCCAAAAGAGAGGTGAGAGTTGAGACTGGACGCAGGACACTCAAAAGTACCGAGATACCGACGCCCAATGCGCCACAGGACACAATCACTGTCGCTGCTGCTCGAGCTTTCTCGATGTGACGTCAACCATCGAAGGCTCATCGGATGTGTCGGGTCGGTGGCAGGTGGCAGGTGAGCGGGATCCACTTCCCATTCCTTCCCACCTTAATTTTCCCAATGGTTTTTTTGGGGTCCAATTGGTAAGGCGGACCTTCTTTACGCCACACAACACGCCATTGGCAGGTTCGAGGACACGGCCGACACGACGTCATCAGTCAGCACATCCAATAGCTGAGAAGGTCAGAGCTCGCGCTTTGTCAGGCAGGAGTCAGGAGTCTAGGTTCTTCCAAGTTCATCTCTCAGTATCGACAGCATTATCGCCCAAGAAAAACAAGCCAAGAGATCAAAGCCATCGAAGTCATCAAGCCGTCGCCCCCACAACAACTCGCTCGCTCGCTCGGCGCGCCTAGCCTCCCCGCAGCGGCGCAACCTGCTTGGGGCCCCTGGTATCTGGATTTGGAACATCTGGCCTCGTAGGGGTGAACGCTCTTAATGGGGTGGGTTGGCTGCTAATAGAATCGACACGTATTGTCACCACAACCACTAACGACACTGTCAGCGAACACCATCACAATCGCCCGTCATCAGCACCATCCAGACTCCTCTCCAGGCCTCTCCAATCTCCATCCCCATACCCATCCACACGTTCAGCCATCCCTCCCATCCCGCCTCACTGACACCATCTACCCCAGTCCTGGCCCCCCCCTTTCACTCCCACCTGTTCCGTAGAGGCTGAACCACGTGTTTGACGATTCCCTCTCTGCCGGTGACTCTCGACTGCCACCTCTCTCTTTCCTCTCCGCATCCCGTCCTCCTTACTGGGCTCTATTCCGCCATCCGCCGTCTGGATGGACGCACCCTCCGGCATGGAGTCCACCCCCTCCACCACCAACCCTACTACCCCGGAGCCCGAGGGATACGTTAACCCCCTCGAGGCCAGTTCCCGCTGGTATCTCACCGCTCGAGCCCAGGCCATTCGGTCTGCCGCCAGTTTCGGCTTCAGCATCGCCAACCGCACTGACCCTCCTGCTCCGGAGCCCTCACGCGATATCTACCTCGATGCTACTCTTGCCCCGGGCTGTCAAGGCCGCGCTAAGATCAAGGCCGAAGTGTGGAACCCGCCACGCCTTGCTATCGGCGCTCGCCCTGCCATCATCAACTTCCACGGTGGAGGTTGGATCCTCGGTCAGGGCACCGACAATGCTCGTTGGGCTGGCGCTGTCATGTCCCAGCTAGACGCAGTCGTCTTCACTGTCAACTACCGCCTTGCTCCAGCCTACCCGTTCCCGACCCCCATCGAGGACTGTGTCGATGCCGTGCTCCAGATTAAGCATCGTGCAGCCGAGTTTGGCATCGATCCGGATCGCATCATTCTCTCTGGCTTCTCTGCAGGGGCTACTAATGCCCTGTCTACCTGGCTCATCCTGAACGACCCGGACCGCTGGGGGTACAAACTTCCCATCAGTCCCCCTCGCATTGCCGGTATAACTGTCTTCTATCCCCTTCTGGACTGGACAATCACTCGCCCCGACAAGCGGCTCACATGCTGTCGCCCCGATCTGACGCTGCCCAAGGGCATGACCGATCTCATCGATGCATCCTACATATACCCACCCATCCCTATCGAAGAACGCACGGATCCACGTCTGTCACCTGGCCTTATGCCGGACGAGCTCTTGCGGCAGTTGCCACCAGTTCATCTCGTCCTCTGCGAGTACGATATGCTGCTCATAGAGGGCAGGCGTTTCGCAACCCGTCTTGCGGACGCAGGCAAGCCATTCACTATGCGGCTAGTAAAGGGCGAAAAACACGCCTGGGATAATCCGCTGCCCATGGCCCCCAAGGAGAGCGTTGGAGTCGAGTACCAGGAGGCCGTCCAGACCATTGCCAGCTGGCTTGGACGTGACTGCGAGACGGACACAGAATCTATGAGATCCATGAAACTCAAACGACCCACATTAAAGCGGCCTAAGTATCTGTCTTTTAAGTCTTGGTCAGGAAGATCGTAGCTGGTACCACCAGCACACTTTTTCTATGTTTCATTCTGGTGTTTTAATGAAAGAGCGAGACACTGTTATCTCGGGTAGACGTTCTGGCGGGTAGACGGTATAAGAGTACACGACCAGAGGTGGAATTTTATACAACGAAGGAAGAAGCGAGGCGTAGAATGGAGGTCTTAATGGGCTTTTGTACATACTTTGTTTGCGCTGGGAGCGAAATGGCGCTGGATACAGGTACGATTTCTTGATGATAATACACGATTCAGATCACGACATGTTGGAACTTCTGAATCCATATATAACTACGTAGTAAGTGAAATATGATTTGCCAAGAGCTCGTCTATTTCACGCCCCTAGACCCGGAACATACGCACCCCCCGAGAACCCGGCTCGCGACTAACAGCCTCAGACGGGGCCGATTCCATCCGCTCGGAGTTCTCGTTGCAGCCTTACAACCCACCAGCTTGAAAAAGCTTCCTCCTGCCCCGGGGTCTAGCACGTGGAACCAACACTGATGTCGCCGCGACCACCGAGGACCACCACTTCCCACCCGCGGTTTCACACCGGTGTGGCATCCAATTTTTTAACGTTACCGTGACAAGACAACAAGAAGCAGATTGTGACTAGACATTTTGTCTTTTAATTGGTCAGTTGGCAATCGCCTTACTGCCCGTAGGGCGAGTTGTTCCCGCAGCAAGGGTTCACACCCCCATCTCGGATGCCTCGGAAAGGGTGTGGGATGGATATGCATTTCAACGGCGCCCGGCATCTAGGATACAGGATTTGAAAAAGCGGCAACACCTTGATCTGTGGGCGGGATCGTCGGATGGAGGCCAAAAAAGAAAAAAGTCACCTGGTCGCATTCTCGGGAAGCTTTTTCGTTTGATTGTCCGTTCCGCGGACTTTTCAAACGGGCGGTTTTGCGCTGAGAGTTCGCGTCCAACCAATGATCCCAGTCACTAACCCTTACCCTTAATCCTATCCACGGGGGAGGGTCAGGCATTGGCCAGATCGTAGGGAGTCACACATGCAATGCAATCCTTGCTTAAAGCCGATGATCACCATGACTGCCTTAGGGCGACGCCTTGCCAGCGGGCGTTGTGCAAAGGTTTCGGGGCCGGCTTGGTTCCCGTTGGCTTCCTCGGCGCTGGCAGGAAGTATAATAGCCAACTAAGCAACCTCAATCTCAGCGGATTAGTAACCTTGAACGTAATTTTAGTATCTCGCTGGAGTGGTGTGTCTGTCAGCAGGAAACGGGCGCCGTGTGTTATTCTAGCCCTGTGCCCTTTGGTGCTGGGTCAGCTGTCGTGCGGTCGATCGAAGATGCCAGACAGTCCGCTAGTCGTTGGCATGCCTATCCATGCATGACATTGTTGTGATCTCATGATTCCCATCTAAACATGCATTTTCCGTCCGCCTCCGCATCTCGGAGTGCGTTTATTTCCGTGGCCGAAAGACCGAGATGCCTCGCTCATGTGGCCGCCCCCAGGCCCAGCGCTTCCGCGGGTGGCTGCTCAAATGACGATGGATCCGCGGGTTCGGGTTTTGTGTCCCTGTCGAGTGGTGCGAGTGGAAATCCCGAATATCGATTCCAAAGCGATCAGGCCATTTCTATCATACATAACCTTAGTTGCTCTGCTACTCATGCTCAATGATCAATCAAGGTTCACAGAGCGCGGCATTGAAGGCCACGATGACGTCCATCAAGCAAACGACCGATAGCAGGGTCAATTTAATCGCCTGCAATTGAAATAATTTGGGGGGTTCTACCATCCCGGTTACTTTAACTAATACTGTAGCACGGGATAGTCTACTAAGTGATATTTACGCAGCACCTTCGCATCTGAGAGCAATTTTTCCAAAATAGTTCGTAACCGGACCTCAACATTTCAGCCTTGGCGCCGTACCTTGGCTGTTTTCTTGATAGGATATCCAGAATTATTGTATCCAAGCCAACTCGAGGCTACATGTAGAACTAGGACCTTGGTGGTACCCAAAACCTCTTAGCAGTAGAGTTGCCGGTATTGAGGTAAGTGGAAACTTCCCCAAAGACGAATATCTCGTTCAAGACGGAATGGGTTACTTCCATAATCGCCATGGCCACCGGCTGATTGAGCTCCAGCTCACAGAGCCTCATAAACTGAACATTATCCGTTGGAGTGTGTAGTACTTGCTCCTTTCTCATATCTTTACTTTGGTCGAATGAGAAGCTATGGACAACGCCTTCGGCTTGAAAGGGCAACATTAGTGATGGGACACCGCTGACCTCAACCACACTTGCATCTCAACAATATCAGCTTATGCACGAATTCCTAAGAGAACTAATACGTTTCAGGACTGTTCAAGACAAGAAAAATTAGCTCGTTTTGGAGAGCCAGCCATTCGTGGCGTCAACGGCAAGTCCTATAGGGTAGCACATGAGGGGCACATAAATGAGACATGTCTCGGTTTCAACCCCGCGTTGACACAAACGACGGAGGTAAGTAATTGTCATTAACATGGTAGAGTGTGCTCAGTTCCAGACTGCCACGGGGTGCCGTCCTATTTTTCATCTCCCTCTGAGTCCCTCAAAAGAGGGCGTGTTCCAGCAACTACGCTGTTTCCCTGGACACATGACTGGTCGTTACGTATCATGAAATGAGTCTGCTTCCGCTATGGACATGCAGCGCAATTTTTTACCACTTGGCCTCCTTGCTGCCGAAGAACGCAGACAGGATGGCGACAATCTTGGTAAGAGCGTCGAGGTAGACCTGGAGCTCCTGGGTGACGAGCTCAGGGGTCTCGCCGAGCTTGGCGTAGAAATCAGTACGGTACGGGCAGGCGGACATGGCGGCGCCGAAGATAGGCTTGACGAGGAAGCTGTGGTGGGGCTTCAGGGTCTCTCCGTATGCAGCACGGAAGGAATCCGCAAGCTCCTCAGAGGGAGTAGCAATGTTGCGGGCGAGGGCCTTGGCGGTGAAGTCGAGACCTCTGTTGATGGCACGTATTAGCATAGCTGAGACCGAAAAGGGGCTTCGGAGGACCTACCGCATAAGCCAGAGACCACCCTCGGTAGCAGTGTGCTTCTTGCCCTTGAGCTCGTTTCGGACCAGGTCCTGGACGGTAGTGGACTCGGCGGGAGCAGCCTCCTGCTGGGTACGGAGCTTCTATAGACGGGGAGGGATCGGTCAGAGGCCTGGTCTCAAAGGAGGTGGGATTGGTTGGGAAAACGAACAGCAACGTTGGAGAGGATATCCTTCTTGACGGGAGAAAAGGCAACGGAGCCGAGAACATCTAGATGAAGACATTAGAGCCAGCTCAATATAGTACGCAGTCTCTGTGGAGGAACATACCGAACATGGTGGTCAGGGCCTCGGCAGCCTCGAGGAACTCGGTGGTAGAGACAGCATTGGAGGCGTCGATGGGGACGTCAGTGAAGGAGCGCTTGAAGGTCTGCACAAGAGTGCCACCGGCAGGGTAAGCAGGAGCGGACATGATGATCGATTGATGGTGAGGACGAGTGTACAGAGCAAAGAGGATGGTGGATGAGTTGAGTAGAAGAAGGGAGCGGTAGCGGTCAAGCTGTCCCCTTGGAGTAACAGCTCGAATCGAGGGGGCAGCCCAAGGAGGGGCACCGCCCGCAGCACAGTGCAATCGATAAGAGCTTTGGCGCGTATCGGCCCCGGACAGCTCATGCAGCACTGTGCTAGGACGGCCCGGAACTATCAAGCTCCGATAAGGGGTCGCGGACCCCACTCAGCGTGATTTGGGCGGGGATGGTACGAGTGCGTGCTGTATTTACGAGGGGCAACGCAAGCTGAGATGGAGCTTCACCGCTCGGCTCAACAGAACGGCCCCAGCAGAGCTTCGTACAGACAGATGGCTAGCTTTGTCTGCCCATTGTGCGTTGCCAAGAGCTCGGTGGTTGTCGCGGTGACTTGTCGTAACTTTTGTGACGCACCTTTGACTCGACGCCTCATCCCTTGCTTTGCTCACCTGCAGTCTTCAATCTTATTCTCTCACCTAAGACTTCCAGCTTCAATCCGATGTCCTCAGCTCAGCTAAAGTCAGTCCAGCGAGCTTGCGTTGGCCGGGGGTCTGGCACGGGATTTCCAAGGTTCAATCATCTTATGAACAAGGGCAGCAGTAATAAGAATCGTTTGGTTCCTGGATATGCGAAACACTTGGGCTTGTGGAAGATCGACACCCCGCCGTCACACAGAGGCGGGCTCCGGAACTCATCGTGACGTCATGACCCGAGTTGCAAGCCACCAACCAACAATCGTGGCGCATCAGGGACATGATGAGATATCTGCGATGCAGGGACCTGGCTGAACAGCAATGAGGCCTATTCAACCACGCACGAGAGGCGGTAGAAACCATTCAACAGCTCTAACAGCTCTGGGAGCGCCAATCGACCCCTCCACACCTTAACCCAGCCTCTGCCCAGAAATGCAGGCCTCCGCGTGGCCTATGAGGGCGACGTGGTCCCACGGCTGGCCATACTTTCCGCTGCAGCCTGACTCTCCGAAGCGCGTCAGTCTTAATTAACAGTGCCAATCGGTGGTCGCAGCGACTGGGAGCACCCTGGAATTTCCCTCTAGCTTGCAAGCCACGAACATGACGAAACCCAAGTCCCAAGAAAGCCCCCGCTCTGTCGTACACACAGATCCTGCTTGAGGTCTTGGCGACAGCTTCTCAGCTCCCACCAACCGATGACATCGTCCGCCGTATTGCCTCTTGCGTCTCACCTGTGCCGCTTTTTCCGGTCCATGTCGTGTGAGGCCGCCTGTTTTCGTCGCCTCTTTTCGTCGCCAAGATTCGCACAGCGCCCAGAACCCAGACCCATTACTATCTTAAGGCCACACCGTCCCGGCCTTTCTCTCCTCCCGTCTCTTTCCTCGAAAATCATTTCCCCGTCCCGCCACCGGGATACCCCACGACCCTGAAAACCCTAAATCCCCGGTCAGTTCGACGTCGGTGTAAATCACGCTGCTCATCATGGCGGACAAGAAGGAAGCTGGTAGCGGCAGCAGGTTCGGCTTTAGTAAGATGATGGACGGCCTCAAGGACAAGTTGGAAAACACGAAGCTCGAAGATGCCAAGGTCCATTTGATCCACCAAAAGTTAGTATAGTCCCCCTCGTACACATGACCTCTATCGAGGATGTTGAACGAGGATGACACCTTCAATTACCTTCTTTTGCTAACGACAGTCAAGGCACAAGCTGGGGAAACTAGCCAACATCGTAAACCCCAATCATCGGCACGACGAGGAACACGAGCAGGCTTGCGACGCCAAGCGCACCAAGATCACCGAGGCGAACCGATACAACTCCTACTTCCCCGAGCGTGAGGGCAACATTGTGAAGTGGTATGTGGATGGCCGCGACTACTTTTGGGCCGTTTCCGTCGCCCTCGAGCAGGCGAAGGAGTCCATCTACATCACCGATTGGTGGCTGTCCCCTGAGCTGTTCCTACGCCGTCCACCTTACTACGAGCAACAGTACCGCTTGGACAAGCTCCTGAGGAAAAAGGCCGAGGAAGGAGTCAAAATCTACGTCAGCGTATACAAGGAGGTCGAACAGGCCTTGACCTGCAACTCCGCACACACCAAGCATGCGCTCAACGGGCTGTGTCCCAAGGGAAGCCCTGGCTATGGGAACATCCGGGTGATCCGACACCCGGATCACAATCCCTTTGAGAACCTTGCAGATGTCACTGTGTACTGGGCGCACCACGAAAAGTTCATCGTGGTCGATTATGCCATGGCCTTTATCGGCGGTCTTGACCTCTGTTTTGGACGATGGGATGCCCACCAACACCCGCTTTCAGACGTCCACCCCGAAGGTGTCAGAGAGGAGATTTTCCCAGGCCAGGATTTCAACAACAACAGGTATGTTCAATCGAATCCTGCCGTCTTTCATTGGTCATCTACTTCGCTGTTTCGATTCATCTGGGCTCTTGGACTAATCATCATCACAGAATCATGGACTTCCAACAAGTTCAAGAATGGGACCAAAATGAGTTGAACAAGGCAGACTCCGGACGAATGCCGTGGCACGACGTAGCAATGGCAGTGATCGGCCCCACGGTCTACGACATTGCGGAGCACTTTGTACTACGTTGGAACTTCATCAAGCGCGACAAGTACAAGCGTGACGAACGGTTCGACTGGATCATACTGGAGGGCCGAGAAGGCGCGGACGAGGATCTTGTCGGTGTCCAGCGTCCCAAGCACCCAGTTGGAGACTATATCCAACACCCCTTTACGCCACTGGCGACGAAGAACCTCAATAATCGTGGCACGGTAAAGGCACAGATTGTGCGATCGAGTGCAGACTGGTCTAGCGGTATCCTTAAGGAGCATTCCATCCAGAACGCCTATATCGACATCATCCGAAAAGCTCAGCACTACGTCTATATCGAGAACCAATTCTTCATCACCGCCACCGGAGATCAGCAGGGCCCAATCCGCAACACCATCGGCAGCGCCATCGTCGAGGCTGTGGTTCGCGCCGGCAAGGAGAACAGAAAGTTCAGGGTGATTGTCCTCATTCCTGCGATTCCAGGATTCGCCGGAGACTTGAGAGACGACGCGGCAGCTGGAACCAGGGCGATCATGGACTACCAGTACAAGTCCATCTGCAGGGGCGAGCACTCCATCTTCGAGCAGTGCCGGGCCCAGGGTGTGGATCCCAACAACCACATCTTTTTCTTCAACCTGCGGTCGTATGACCGTCTGAACAAGACTCCCGGAATCACAGAGACGGAGAAGAAGACGGGAATCAGCTACCGGCAGGTCCAACGCGCCGAGGCGGAAGAGATTATGAGCGAGGGAATTCACGGAACATATGATCCGGCCGACGATGAAGCGGATGAGCATATGCGTGGCAAGATGGATAAGAAGGCGCTGGATGAGTCTATCAAGAACGTCATGGAGGCGCGAAGGATATTCGAAGAGGCCATGCCCAAGGAGGAACTCAAGACGTCCGCGTCCGTTGCTCACCACGCAATGGCTGGATCAGGCCCAGTGTCCGATGAGGTCTGGTTTGAAGAGGACCCCCAGTCTGAGTTGAAGAACTGGATTCAGGAGGAGCTCTACATCCACGCTAAGCTGCTCATCGTAGACGACCGATACGTTGTGTGCGGATCGAGCAACCTGAACGACCGCAGCCAAGAGGGCGACCATGACAGTGAGCTGAGCATCGTCATGGAGGACACGCGCAAGATCGCGATTATGATGGACGGCCAGCCGTACGAGGCCGGATACCACGCGGCTACGCTGCGCCGGTACCTGTGGCGAGAGCACTTGGGACTTCTGGGCCCGCAGCACTTCGACGCCAAGGACGACATCAACGCCCTGCCGCCGTCTGTGAACCCGAACAACGACATCCATGACCAGGACCCGAGCTGGAGTTTTACGGAGGATCCGCTCTGCGACGAGCTCTGGGCGAAGTGGACGGGGCAGGCAGACAAGAACACCGAGATCTTCAGGCACTTGTTCCACGCAGATCCCGACAACCACAGTAAGCATCTCCGTTCTCACTCAGGCCTTGAAGCCGATGGTTTGATTTTTTGCTAACGGTCCCGCGCAGTCAAAACATTTGAGGACTACGACCGGTTCCTCCCCCCTCGGGGCGTCAAGCCGGGGCACATCTTCGACCAGTTCATGCCCCCCGAGGACGCGCGCAAGAAGCTCGACCAGATCAGGGGCCACCTGGTGTGGTTCCCGCTGGAGTTCTTGAAGGACGCTGAGATGGCCGAACGCGGACTGCAGGTCAACGCGTTTACCGAGAGCGTCTTCACTTGATTGGGAAGGCAGGAATGGACTGGGAACCCAACGACGGGATCGACAGATCTGGAATTTGTGATTTGGGGCGAGGTCAAGGGGTTTGGAGTGGATTGGATATCATAATGCGGCAGTAGTGCGATGATCTGGTCATTAGTCAGAGGGACGCGATGGAATGGACGGATCTCTAGCGATACGGACGATGAGCAAATCAGTAAACTGAAGCAGGCTACTATGGGGTAGTCAGCTTCTAATCACATCACCAGCTTTTTAGCCATGTCTTTGCGGTGTGACAATGCGTCTTAGTGGCTGGCTGGGAATGGGCTGATGCGACTCGCCTCGGTCGATTCCCGCATTGGCATCGTATCGTCTTGTCTGTCACTCGAGAGGCCTCGTCCGCAGAGGCCGAGACGACAAGAAGATCATCTCACGATGTCACGTCCACAGTGGCTCTTGTGACCAGACACACGTTCCACCATGTCCCCTCGTCATCTTATCTCACGGCGCGTCCGATGTCGTTGGGTGATATATGTATGTCAGCGGCCTTGTCCCCACGGCCCCCATGCGCACTCGCAAGACAGGAAAGATCCCGCCGCCTCGAGGCACAGATGGGCCGCAGAACCGGCCGCGGGCGCCGATCTGGGAGGGGACGACAAGAGAGGGCCGGTCAACCAGGGCCCCTGCAGAGCGGGCCGCGCGTGGTCTGGGATTTTCAGAAGCCCCCATGTTTGCCGAGTGTGAATGGCGGGCCAATGGGCGATGGGAACGGGCATGTGAGAGCGATGTCACCCGCATGAGGAGGGGAAACTAGAGTTTAGTGGTTTGGTGAGTGGCATCGTGTGTGATTTTCCGTGTAGTGAATGGCGTGTCGGGGGTTCTCCCGGCTTGTGAGGAGATCTGATATTAGGTCGAGGGCTATAGTTTCGTATCACTCTGCATGTTGTTCAGCAACGGGCATAGCTTCTGCTTTGGTCTCGGCCGAGGTCTAGGTCCGCTTGTGGCGTCTCGTCGACCAATGCTTGAGGTCAATCTCCTGGAGTATGGTAAGCCTTGAACATGATTGGCATGTCTTTTATCGTATTCTTCGGCTGGTAGGTGAGAGGACGGGGAGTGATGAAGAAACAATTGCCGAGAATGTCTCACAAGGCTAGCTCAGTTCAGAGGGAATCGTTCTTCGAATCAACGTTTTTACCTCCAATGACATGAGACTTGAACTGAGACCTGGCGCTATACGAAAGAGCCACTCGGCCAGTGTTTCACACTGGCGTCACCAAAGGCTCCAAGCCTCAAGCTACCCGCCTGTTGGTTGCACGGTGTTTTATGGTAGCGCAGCTCGTCTGGGCGCTTAGAGCGGCTGGCCAAATCAGCAGCCCTTGCTTGGCTCACAAAGACTTTGAGAAACTGGGCCAGAACCCAGCGGCCAGGGACAGGGCTCGTTTATCTCGACGGAGAGCTTACCTTATTTGCCTTACCGTCGGGCGAGTGCAGCGGTGGTCGAGCCATCAATGCTCGTCATTCGCCGCGTGGTGTGCTGCAGGACACGGAATTGGACTTGACGGGAAGCGCCACAGCGTTCAGACTACAGGAGCCTAAGGATAGTCTGGGGACACTGCATGGCCCTACTAATAAGCGTGGCGGATGGTGGATGAAAGCGGACGAAAAGACGAGAGGGGTGAAAGGCCGGCGACGGGGGGTATAGCATGGGCCAAGTGGCTTCCTTGCTCTGCGGCGGGTAACGGAGGGGCGTTGTGGGCGGCGAACTCGAGGGAAGAGGCGGCGACGATGATGGATTTGGAGGGAATGTGACGATGGGACTGGCTGACGTGCGGGGGCTGTGATTCGTGTAATTGAGGCTTTGCTCTGAGCCTCTGAGCCTCCGAGGTACTGTAGATAGATAGATGCCTGGAGATTGTGACGCGGCATGCTCCCCTTATGGATCTTGGTCTATTTTCAACATAGATCCTTTGTTGAGACCGCACGTCCAGCTCACGCCTGCCTGCGTACAGAGTCCACGTAGCTGGCTGTGCATGCAGAGACAATGAGGTGTACACATTGCTGTACGCATTTGCTGTACAAAAGCCCCAGTTGCGATGCAGGGCAACCAACACGACGGTGAGGGCGACGATGTGGCATCAGCATCGGTGTGAAGAAGTCGATGACTGAAGAAAGACGGCGTTGTGGAGTGGCGGTTAAGACAAGGGAAGCAGTCGCCACAGGGCGGACCCCTCAGCGACTTTACTGGCTCGTGTGCTGCAGACAGCGCCGTCAAGCGGCTGTTAATTAGGCGTGGGTGGGTGCTTCGGCTGGTCTAGACGGAGGAGCCACTGCACCACGACACCACTGCACAGCATCCCACGGCAGCATGGATTGGCAGAGTAGCCTCCAAGCAACTTAGAGGCCAGAGCCTAACATGCATGTGCAAGGTACCCAAGGTGCCTTACAGCGGCACATGCACACCTCTGGATCGTTTGGACGGAGCGGGATGGCCAGCCGAACACCTCCCATGCGCCGGGTGGTAGTCAGGCACCTGTTTAGTGAGCTCTTTACCCGCTGGGCATCTACGGCGGCAGCTTGTTGAGCCAGCGGCTACAGGCGTCGAGGTCCCTCCGGTCTGATGCTGGCCGGCCAGTGAAGGCCTGGTTTGATCTCACGAGGGTGAGGGTGAGGGTGAGGGTGAGGGTGAGGGTGAGGGTGAGGGTGAGGGTGAGGGTGAGGGTGAGGGTGAGGGTGAGGGCGTGTGTGTCAGAACCCAGACCAAACGTATCTCTCTGACGAACTTGTCTATCTGTCCCTGACTGCCCCTCTGTCCAGTTCCTGGCTGTTTCGTGTTCGCTGCCATCGTGCGTTGTCCAGTTGCGTCTATTGTCGTTTGTCCAGCGTCCGTCCCCATCTTGCCCGCTAATTATCCACCTGTATCGCGCCGCTAGGGTGCTGCCCATTTCGTCACCGCTGCCCGCCAACCTGGTTACACTCGGACCCCGCTCCTCTTGGACCTCGACAGCGACCTACTTACTTCTCTCTACCTACCTGACCTCTCTCTACCTTTGCGTCCTCCTTCGACCTCGCTCGCTCTGGCCATTCGGTCTCGACCCCTGATACTGTCAAACCCGGCCATTTCTCCCGCCTCCCGCAGCGCTGCAGTGCGTGCTGCTCAGCTGCTCAGCTGCTCATCCGCCCCCGAGATCGACATCTGCAGTGCTCCGACCTCCTCCCCCGCCGCCGTAGCCCCCAAAACATCTCCCGTCGACCCGCCCTCGCTTCGCTCGTTCCTCCGCCCCAACGCACGTTGACGTTGAAGAGAGCCACCAGACCAGGCCGCATCGCAGGCGACCGCTTGTCCTCACATCCCGCCAACCGGCGCTCCGACGTCGAACCCGCCGCTGCATCCGTCCGTCCTCCGTCCTCCGTCCGCCGCGTCCACGCACGCCGCATGCCCCTGGCTGGCGGCCCACGATACATCGGGCTTCCAATCCGCCCTTGAGCCAGCTTCGCTTCCAGCGCCGCCGACGCCGTCGCACAGCCGTCGCCCACCATGTCGCAATCTCCCATGATCTCCGTGCCTCTCAAGGCCACCAACGAGATCGACTGGGTCGCGCCACTCAAGGCCTACATCCGCGATACCTATGGCGACGACCCTGAGCGTTATGCCGAGGAGTGTGCGACGCTCAACCGCCTGAGGCAGGATATGAGGGGGGCCGGCAAGGACAGTACTTCCGGAAGGGATATGCTCTATCGATACTATGGCCAGCTTGAGCTCCTCGACTTGCGGTTTCCCGTGGATGAGCAACATATCAAGATCTCATTTACATGGTGTGTTGCTCACTTGCTCACCCCGCGCTGCATGGGAGCTTCCCCTGCTCGGACTAGCTGATACTAATTCTTGGCCGCTATGCAGGTTCGATGCCTTTACCCATAAGTCCACTGCGCAATACTCCCTCGCCTTCGAGAAAGCCTCCATCATCTTCAACATCTCCGCCGTCCTTTCCTGCCATGCCGCCTTTCAAGACCGTGCCGAGGAATCAGCCCTCAAGACCGCCTACCATTCATTCCAGGCCTCGGCCGGCATGTTCACCTACATCAACGAAAACTTTCTTCATGCGCCCTCGTCTGACCTGAGCAGAGAAACTGTCAAGGCCCTCATCCATATTATGCTTGCGCAAGCTCAGGAAGTCTTTCTCGAGAAGCAGATTGCCGACAAGAAGAAGATTGGCTTGCTCGCAAAGCTGGCCTCGCAAGCCGGTTATCTCTACGGGCAAGCGCTCGAAGGCGTCCAGGAGAACGTTAACAAGGCAATTTTCGAGAAAGTTTGGGTTATGTTTGTTCAGGTAATTCCCTATCCCCTGACGCTCCCAGGGAACTACGCACCCTGGTATGATTTTTCTTTAACATTGAACTGACATTTGTCAGATCAAAACCAACCTTATGAACTCGATGGCCCAGTACTACCAAGCTCTTGCGGACGATGATGCCAACCAGCATGGCACCGCGGTCGGCCGCCTGCAGGTCGCCGAGGTCCAGGCGAAGGAAGCTGACCGAGTTGCGAGGAACTTCCCGAGCTCGGTTCCCCCGAGCTCTAACCTTAATGCTGAATGTGGTGGGCTGCTTCAAGAATTGGCCAAGCGACATTACACCACGGTTCAACGCAAGTTGGAGGAATTGGTGAAGGATAATGACTATATTTATCACCAAACAGTACCTGCAGAGGCTACCCTGGAGCCTGTTTCCAAGCTACCTGCTGCGAAGCCAATCCCCGTTAGCGAGTTATACGCTGGGCAAGATATCCAACGCATCACTGGCCCCGATCTCTTTGCCAAGATTGTTCCGTTCTCGGTAACCGAGTCGGCAAGCTTGTATGACGAAGAGAAGGCAAAACTAGTTAGAGCCGAGACGGAGAGAGTCGACACTGCCAACGGCGAGATGGCAGCGAGCTTGGATTACCTCAGGCTACCTGGGGCACTGCAGGTGTTGAAGGGCGGCTTTGACCAGGATATCCTCCCCGACGAGGACTTTCGACAATGGTGTGATGACGTTTCCGACCACGAGAACCCGGTGTCCATCTTTGACTTCCTAAGGACTGAGAAAGAATCGATTCTCTCTATCCTGGAAAAAGGCACCAAGTCACTGGACATGGAAGAAGGGGTATGCGAGAAGATGCGATCCAAGTATGAGGGCGAATGGACGCAACAACCTAGCTCGAGATTGACGACGACTCTGCGAGGCGATATCCGAAACTATCGAGATGCGCTGGACGAAGCGTCGAGAAGCGATAACCAGCTTGCGACCAAGCTCCGCCAAAATGAGCGTGACTTTGATGAGATGAGGCGAGCCGCTCAAACGGGTGGGGTTGACCAACTGTTCCAGAGATCTGTAGGTCAAGCACGGGAACGGGGCAGCAACACCGCTAGCCCCGCGGGTGGCGAGACCAACCTCCTGGATACCGACTTTGAGGAAGGACCAAGTGTCGTGGACCAGATCAACAAGGTAGAGGATATTTTGAAGAAGCTCAACCTTATTAAGCGAGAGCGGAATCAAGTGCTGAAGGACTTGAAAGAAAAGGTGAGTGAACGGTGCCTGCAACCACGACAGTCGAGTTCTGTCATATTGACCATTTTAGGCCCACAACGATGATATCTCTCAAATCTTGATTCTCAACAAGAAGTCGATATCAAACTATGAGACGCAGTTGTTCGAGCAAGAGCTGGAAAAGTTCCGACCTCACCAGAACCGACTCTTGCAGGCCAATCACAAGCAGTCCAGCCTGATGAAGGAGCTGACGTCGTCGTTCAACAAGCTCCTGCAAGACAAGAGGGTTCAGTCGGAGCAGAGCAAGTACGAAAACATTCAGAGACACCGATCGACTGTTATCAACAAGTATAAGCGAGCTTACCAAGAGTTTCTTGATCTGGAAGCTGGACTGCAGAGCGCCAAGAACTGGTACGCAGAGATGCGGGAGACGGTGGAGAGCTTGGAAAAGAATGTCGAGACATTTGTCAACAACCGCAGGTCGGAGGGGGCGCAACTCCTGGGCCAGATTGAACAGGAGCGTTCGTCCAGCAAGAACTCACACGCCGAGATGGAACGAGAGCGGCTACGGGGGCTGATGGAAAGGATGTCGATGGATCCGGCCAAGTCATCACCACAACCCTCATCAAACCGGCCGACGCCAACTCCGATTTTCCAGTCGGGACAAGCGCCTCGATACCCGCAGACCAACTTCCAAGGACAATACCAGGTCCCCAACTCTCCTCCCGCCAACCAACAGACGATCCCGCAGCAACAGACCTACCAAGGTTTCCCTGGCCAGCAGACAACGCAGTCGTTTAGCCCGCCGCCTGGCGCAGCCTTTGCACAACCCGCTTACAACCCTAGCCAATATGGGCGGACGCCAGGGCCGACGTCTCCGCCTCCCAACCAGACGTCCTTTGGCATGAACGCGATGCGAGGTCCCGCGTCGCCACCGCCGAACCAGACGACGTTTGGACAGCAGCGCCAATCGTTTAGCTCGTTCGGAGGCCCTCAGGCGCAGCATACCCAAGGAGGTTATGTGCCCCCCGGGTTTGTACCACCTCCTCCACCTCCTGGGCCGCCTCCGTTAGGGCCGCAACAGACAATCCACTACGGCAACCAGGAGTATGACCCAAACACCGGTCACCTGCAGAGTGCGCAGCAGCAACAACAGCCTCACGATCCTTGGGCTGGACTAAATGCGTGGAAATAACCGGGAATGATGGGCCGGGGATAAAACGCCGATTCCCCGAGCCGGCTGGCGGACGGAGGCGGAGCCGGTAGGCGACTCGGGGCTCCGTTGATATCCGCAACGGCCAAGTCGTCTGGGACGGCCAGGCCGCCCGGATACTTCAGGTTGGCCGGGTATTCCAGGATGGCCGCCGGACTCGGGGGAAGGAGAAGGGACAATATCGGAGCTTGGCTCACGTGGCAGTGATCTAGAAGGGATTCTGTTATAGGAGTACGTACATAGAGATGAACAAGAACCCACGTTGATTCCATGGTAAATTGTCCGTGCTGTGTCCACAGTGAAGAGGGACTGCGAAGAGGTAGCAGGTATTGCAGACCGAGATTGAGAGAGAAACCCATCCCCGCTCGCTGTTCTTTACACCGAGATCCCAGAGTCTCGGGGCAAATTTCCAGGTACCCGGCCTTGTGACGAAGCTCACCGCAGCGCCGGCGACTGGCGCCGACGGATGTACGTGTACCCCGCACCCCATTGACCCGACTACCCGAGCAGCGCTGTGGAGGTGGCGGCCTAGCGCACCAGGCGCTGGAGCGACAGGCACTACAGTGGACCCGGGTACCGTCGACCTTCTAATCCGTGCGCTGCCACAGGCTGTTATGGCCGCTGTGTGGAGAAAAATAGCGAGGCCAGCCACCCCCCGGCAGTTTCGTCCGGGTCCCTTGTCGGCCGTGTTTGTCAGTTCCCCCGATCGGTTAAGTTACCTTCTTTGCGTTGCGCCATCGCCTTCAGCGGTGGACCATCTCCGAATTCCATCTCCGGGCGGCGAGCTTCGGCTGTTCCTTTTCCTTTTCTTTTCCCTTTTGTTTAAACCACACGCCTGCTTGTATTGCTTCTGACGCCGAAGTCGCTTGGTTTCTGCATTGCATCTTCTGCGGACAGACATCCTTTTGTTGTCTCGTGCCATTGCTTCTCCTTGCTTCACAGCGTTCAACGGGCCAAATCTCGCCGTCATTTCACTGACATCCGGTCTCGGGCGAAAGGCGGAAGATCGTCATCGCTACCACTTATCACAACATATTCCTCCGTCTATACCCCTCATATCGTCACAATGGTGTTGAAGGGCAACGAGGTCGCCGAGCACAACAATGCCAAGTCGTGCTGGGTCATTGTCCACGTAAGGAATCCTCTTGTCGCTGCTGGATCTGAGTGCTAACCCGTTGCGACAGGGCAAGGCGTATGATGTAACCGAGTTCCTCCCAGGTAGGTCACCAATCAACACACGATAAGGCTGGCTTCGCGGCGCCGTTATGAGATCGGATGAAAGAAGAGACACTGAGAGATGAACGGCGACTGACTTGAGCTTAACTCGGCGCAACAGAACACCCTGGAGGTCAAAAAATCATCCTTAGATATGCTGTATGTTTTCACCCCCGTCAATTCACCTCACCGTCCCTGCATCGCAGCTCACAGTAAATACAGGGCAAGGACGCCACCGAAGAATACGAGCCCATCCACCCGCCAGACACCCTCGACAAGTACCTCGATGCCTCCAAGCACCTGGGCCCCGTCGACATGGACACCGTCGAGCAGGAGGAGAAGGAGGAGGACCCGGATGAGGTCGGCCGCCTGGAGCGCGTTGCCCAGAAGCCCTTACTGTCACAGTGCTACAACCTGCTCGACTTTGAGGCCGTCGCCGCCCGTGTCATGAAGAAGGGCGCTTGGGGATACTACTCAAGTGGCGCAGACGACGAGATTGTATGCGATTCTGCGTTCCATGAATGTCTGTGAATGCCTGAGCAAATAGCTGACCTCCTCACTCAGACCCTGCGGGAGAACCACAGCGCCTTTCACCGCATCTGGTTCCGCCCCAAGATCCTCGTCAACGTCGAAAACGTCGACATCTCCACCACCATGCTCGGCACAAAGACGTCCATCCCCGTCTACGTGACGGCCACGGCCCTCGGCAAGCTGGGCCACCACGAAGGCGAGGTCGTCCTCACGCGCGCCTCGGGCAAGCACGACATCATCCAGATGATCCCCACGCTCGCCTCGTGCTCCTTCGACGAGATCGTCGACGCCGCCGCGGGCGACCAAGTCCAGTGGCTGCAGCTCTACGTCAACACGGACCGCGAGATCACCAAGAAGATTGTCCAGTACGCCGAGAAGCGCGGCTGCAAGGGCCTCTTCATCACCGTCGACGCCCCCCAGCTGGGCCGCCGCGAGAAGGACATGCGTAGCAAGTTCACCGACCCGGGCACTAAGGTCCAGGAGGGCCAGGAGACGGACAACAGCCAGGGCGCCGCCCGCGCCATCTCCAGCTTCATCGACCCGGCCCTGAGCTGGGCCGACATCCCCTGGTTTCAGAGCATCACCAAGATGCCCATCATCATCAAGGGCGTCCAGCGCGTCGAGGACGTCCTCCTGGCCGTCGAGCACGGCTGCCAGGGCGTCGTCCTCTCCAACCACGGCGGTCGCCAGCTCGAGTTTTCCCGCTCCGCCATCGAGGTCCTCGCCGAGACCATGCCCGTGCTGCGCGAGCGCGGCCTCCAAGACAAGATCGAGGTGTACATTGACGGCGGCGTGCGTCGCGGTACCGACATCCTCAAGGCCCTCTGCCTCGGCGCCCGCGGCGTCGGCATCGGCCGGCCCTTTCTCTACGCCATGAGCGCCTACGGCCAGCCCGGCGTCGAGCGCGCCATGCAGCTCCTCAAGGACGAGCTGGAGATGAACATGCGCCTCATCGGCTGCAACCGCATCGACGAGCTGCATCCAGGCCTGCTCGACGTCCGCAGCTTGTACAACCACTCCGCCTACCACGCGGACAACCTGTCCAACACGGCATATGAGCCGCTGGCCGTGCCGCCCCAGCGACCCAAGGCGAAGTTGTAGAGGGGTGGTGGTTTTTGGATAGACGCATGGGGGACCCAGGTAGAGGCTTATATACGCGGTTACGATGTGTGGGTATATAGATGTATGAACAATTTGGAAGAGAAGAGAATCTTCACGACACGAGAATTACGCATTCCTGCCAGCAATCATCATTATTTCATTCCCTGATCCAATTCTAAGTATCCTTGCCGCGCCATGCAATATCGATCCCAAATTCCCCTAGAGTCCCCTCATAAACTCCTGCAACGACATGGGTTTCCTCACCGCATTATTCAACCCTTCATGATACGTCACCCACACCTTGCGCTCCTTTTCCTCCTGCCGAGCCCGCCGTTCTTCGGTATGTTCTAGCTCCGTCAGGACCGGTGCCTCGATAACACGTCCAAAAAAGTCTCGTTTGACGAGCGTCGCCTCCTTGGCCGCGGCGATCATGGCGAGGACCTTGTTCTTGGCGGCGTTCTCTTTGGTGACAAAGGCATGGTCATCGTGATCGAGCGGGTTGCCTGCCTTGAAGCGTGCTTGCCGGGCGAGGGCCTCGTTCGCGGCGACGGTGAGCTTGAGTTCCTGGTCTAGAACTTGGCGGACGGCGTAACGGGTGGGGGCCGCAGAGGGGAGGAGGAGGTTGGCGGCGGTCTCAAAGGTAGCGAGAACGTCTAGGTCACTTGGTGCATGTTAGTATGCGAACACTCAAACGACGAACATGACAAGAGGTACTTACGGATCCATGCGGTAGACATATTGCGGCGTGCGATTCACGAGCGAGTCGCTCTCGATCTTGCCCTTCTCCAGCGCGATGCCCACCTCAGCGAGCACCTGCGACGCGCGCTTGACCATGGCGCGCTCACTCTCCTTCCGCACGCTGGCCGTAGACCCCTGGCTGCCACCCACGACGACGGGCTTGACGTCGGGCGAAATGAGACGCACCAGATATGGCAGAAACTCGGCGGCCACGTCCTCGACGCTGCGGAAGGATCTCATCAACGTCGGCGGTAGCTGGCTCTGAAGGGCCTGTAGCTGAGAGCGGTTTTGTCGTTCCGCCTCGAACGCCTGGTAGTCGGCGCGCGGGCCTGAGAAGGGGAGCGGCGGCGGAGCATCCTCTTGAGCGTCGCCGCCCCAGCGCCGGTCAAAGCCCATGTTGGGGACATGGCGCTTCGGGGAGGCAAAAAGGTGATGGCACGCGAGGACAGGTTGGCTGAGATAGGGGGCGAGCTCCCACTCCTGGCTGGAGAATAAGCGTGACTGGCAGGTATCGTGGAAGTGCATCCAGTCGTACGCCTGGTTGGGCTTGGAGAGGTATAAGTCGTCGTTGTACTCGCGGTTCGGGTACTCTGAGAATATCTCCGTCATGATGTGGCTAATCTCGCCGCTCGTATCAATCATGTGCCGCAACCGCTCCATGGCGTACTTCTTCTGGTACTCGCCGAAGCCCAGCTCCGCCTTCGGCTGCTCGTGCTTCGTCTTGGATTCAGACAAATCAAGCGCCTGTTTTGGGAAGCCGCCGCCCTCTTGGAAGAGTCGGGATACAATATCCTTGACACCACCACGACCTATCCCACGGCCTCCGCCACTACCTTTGGCGAGGTCGTTGAGGACGTTCTGTTCGATCCATTGTCTGGTGAGGCGGCCGGCACCATGTATAGGCGTAGAGCGGAAGCGGCCAGCCACCCATTCACCAACAACCATGACACCTCGCAGGTCACCTTCGACGGTGCTCTCGGCTCCTCGTTTCGCATCGATGCCGCTCGACATGCCCCATGCTGCCTCGCAGAGCTTCCGCGCTGCGTCTTTGTCGCAGGGAATACCTTCCTTCTCAAAGACATTCTTCAGTCGGCCCACCACAGCGTCAATTGAGGGCTTGCCAACGTGGATGACCTCTGCCAGATTTGATTGTCGGAGTGGCCGCAAAGATGGATGATACACGTCATTGCAGATGAGAATGAGTGGACGCATCAGTCGGAAGTCGTCGCCCTTCTTCTTCTTCTTGTGGCTCTGGTTTGCTGAAGCCCCTGAAGCGTTCTTTTGGTCGAGAAGAACCAAGTCTATCAGCGCTTTGACGAAACCACCTTCGCCTGAGGCTCCAGACCCTGCAACCGCTCCGTCCACCTCATCAACGATAACGCATGCCGGTTTAGCAACCTTCTGCGGACCATCGCCCTCCTTGCGATTGCTGACAGTCTTGACGCTCTCAGTGCCCAAACTTGTTCGAATCCTGTTCTTTACGACGTCTCGGCTTCGGTCGTCACTGGCGTTGATCTCCATGACATCGTATCCCGCTTGTCTAGCACAGACATGTGCCAATGTCGTCTTTCCCAAACCCGGCGGGCCTGTGAGCATGAGGATTTTTCTGTGAGGCTTCTCCTCCTCATCCTGTTGGTTCATCCCCAGTCGTCTGGAAATGCTCGACTTTGCCTTGGCTGCTCCGGGGAACACCAGAGGATCCCACTTCTTCAACCACCGTAGGACCAGTCTGTTTGTTCCATCATCGCCACATAGGTCCATAAAATTCCGAGCTCGATACTTTTCCGTCCATAGAAGTGTCCGCTTTGGTTTCTTGCCTGTTGAAACTGTTCCCTCGACTGACTGTATGGGGACGCTCGGCTGGACGGGGCGTGTTTCCCGTTGGATTGCAATCTCCGCGGACGCGTTATTGATAAGTTCGTGGATCTCGATTCCGTAGTAACTTCGTTTCGCTCGGCCTTCCTTGGTTTTTGACCTGGCCGCTACCATGGATTCGTATGTGGCTGCCGTCGACGTCTTACGTTCCTTAATGGTTGTCGCCTTGCCGTGGCATGTCCGAGCAGTGTATGATTTCGGCGCGAGCGTACTCAATAAAGACTTTGAGAAGAGAGGCAGTTGACTTGACCAGGCGGGTAGGGTAGTCTGCGGTTCGGGAAGCTGTGAGGTGACTTGAGCGTCGTTGATGGCATTCGGGTCAGTCTCATCATGCCGAGCCAGTGATTCCGAGCTTTTCTGCCGTGGATCTTCGAGCATGGGTCGTTTCGCTATGGGCTCTGAACTCTCGACGACCGAGTCCGAGTCCGAGTCATCATCTTCCACGACAAATGGGCCAGGGCGGGCCTTTGGTTTGGGAGGCGCATGGTTGTGAGTTAGGGTGCGTTTCGGAGCTGGAGGTGGTGAGCTCTTGGGAAATGCGATTGGTGACGAGGCGGACAGCATTTTCAAAATCGCGAAGTCATAAAAAAAACCCCGAAATTTTGTTGCGAACGATGTCGTAACTTCGAGGTATGGATTCTCCCCACGGAGGTTTCAGGACATCTTGTGGCCCGCGACGCGTCCTGGTTAATTGAGTCGCGTCTCGCTGCCCCACTTATCGTTTCGCGGGTCCCTGGATGATTAGGTCAGCCGATACTAGCTGCCAAGACCTCGAAGCTGGGGTGGTCGGAGCGCCGGGATAATCCGTTGGTCCAGATCGAGGCTTGAGAGTCAAAAATTTGGCACCTCAAGCTCACACGACGAGCCCAATTCCCAGCGTCGTGGGCCTCAATTCGTCAAGATGCGCAAGCCTTGGAGATTCTACAGCCTCAGCCGCCCGGTATGTATTGAATACTTTGCAATGATGCCCTCTTTTAGTCGCATCAAGCACTGTGCCCTGCGGAATCGCAATCGGCTGACAATCAATCAACACAGAAATTGAGGCAATCATGGAACAAATTCAACCTGTATAACATAGCTCGCGCGGCTGGTCGAGAGCCCCTTGTCAACGGTCGAGCGACTTTTTTCCAGCAGAAATGGGCCGCTAAGGCGAAAACCCGCGGTTATCACGGCGAGCATATTTCAGAGAAGAAATGGGTGCGCCTGTTTTCGCGACGTCTCCTCTCCGCTGTCGACCTTCCCCCCGAGTACCTTGCCGCAAACGATGGATCCGAGCAGGCGGCTGGTCGTGGTTCCGGTCTGTCTACTTCTAAGGTGACGGCCGAGACCTATTCGCGGGTCCCGAAGCCCAGCAAGAGCGAGCGTAACTTGACCCATCCCGGCCAGCGAAAATCCGGGTTCGGCGATGTCAATTCGATGTTGTCTGAACACTTCCAGGACATGACCCCCTACATGCAAATGACCTTTGCCCCTCTGGAACGAAGACTCGATACTGCTGTTTTCCGAGCCTTGTTCGCCAGTAGTGTGCGACAGGCCCGCCAGTTCGTCATTCACGGAGCTGTCAAGGTCAATGGCAAGAAGGCACGTTTCCCGAACAATCTTCTATCCATGTGACTTTTGAATCTCCTGCTAACCTCATACAGATGGTCCACCCATCCTACGCCCTGAACCCCGGTGACATGTTCCAGGTTGACGTCGAGAAGGTTCTATACGGAACTGGAGAGCAAAGGCCACAGAAGGCGGATGCACCACTTAGGCAGAGCATCAAGTCTCGGAAGAAGCTGGACGATGATGCTGTTCAGCGAATTCGAAGCAAGAAGGCCGGCGCCAAGGCAACTGAGGGAGAGGGTGAAGCTGCCGATGCGGTGGAGCTCAGCGCCGAGGACGAGATTTACCTTCAGACTGGCCGTCTCAGGCGCCTCCGAAGGAGCGCACGTGAGATTCTCCAGGGTGACCTAAGGAACTTATCGGCCAAGCAGAAGAAGGAGCTTCGCTTGTTCCGCGGCTCTGCTCAGCGTTTCCTTTCGCTCCCTGAAGAGGGCAAGCTGAATGCTGACGACCTCGTTAGCCAGCTGCAGGATCAGATCGGGAAACTGCAGATTGTGCCTGCGTTCAAAAAGGCCGACCCTGTTCAGGAGACTGAGGACGGCGAGCCGAAAGAGGAAACTGCCGAAGAGAAGGAGAAGCGAGAGGAGCGGACGCAGAAGAAGAAAGAGTTCCAGATGCGTGTGTTGGAGAAGGGTCTGGACGGCCTGAAGAGCGAGAAGGACCGAGCCTGGGCTCACAACATCATGTCGACCACCGAGTTCTCCAACGAGGAGATCCGCCGTCTCGCCAGAATCCTGAAGAATGACGAAGAGAACCCCATTGACGAGTCGAAGCCCTACGCCACCCCCTGGCGACCCCGACCCTTCATGTCAGCCTTCGCGTTCATCCCCCGCTACCTCGAGGTCAACCCCAACATCTGTGCCGCCGTCTATCTCCGCCACCCCGTGGCCCGAAAGGGTATGGCAGAGGTCCCCACGCCGTTCGGCTACCTGACCAACCAGCTGGCCCACAACTGGTACCTTGAGCGCGGTTGATTTAAATATTGCCGCAATATTGGTGCAAGGCGAGTGCTGGAACGGCAGCAAACAGAGGTTCTGGCTGTTGGGCAGATTTTGTTCTGTCTGTGTAATATACCATCTTCGAGTGTACGGTAGACAGCCTGATGTACCTTTTATGTATCACCACTGTTGAAAAGCATGCCATGTTCAAATTCAACTCCGTCCACACTTGTGTTCGCCCGCAATGTGATTGTCTATCCCTGGCAGTCATTGGCCATCGCTAGAGACTCTTCATCCGCTTCAGACATGTCTACCACGCTATTTCCCATCGCGGATAGACATGTCCTCTATCACTTGCAAAATTTCTGTCAAATGTAAACTAGCTGCCAACTCCTGACCTGTTATCAAGCTTGTTTTATCCGGTATAGACGGATCGGCGCCAGCTTCAAGTAGTAGTTGTACTGCTTCTACGTTGCCTCTCCATATGGCGACAAACAGGGGCGAGGACCCAAACCGACCTCCTGAACGGTTTAAGTCGGTGCCAAGCTCGGGCCGTAGGAGGATTTTAAGCACTGCCAGCATGTTAAAAGAGGCAGCGTAATACAGCGGCTGGGTGTTCCGGATTGGTTCCAATTGTTGTGTTTCTAGCAGTAGTTGAACCCAGGAGTCGAAGCTGGACCCATTCGGAAGCTTTTTTGTGTCGAAGAAAGACAGTATCAGAGACTCATCATTCGGAGCAATGGTGTATCGCTCTGAGTGGGTGGGCCAGTAGGTGGCGGCGTAGGAAGCAAGTGGATAAGACTTAAACCGATTATAGAAACTCGCGACCTCGGCCACAGGCCCGGATGCAAATTCACCTAGACGCAAGTAACAGAGACATTTGCGTAAGATTTGAGAGTGAGCTGAAGCAGGGTCAAGGGCGAAGAAGGCTGCTGGGGTGCTGCGAATATGTGGTGAAGTAAGAAAGCTGCGGATAGAGTTGTGGGCAAGCGTCACGAAATTGTCGCTATGCACAATCAAATCGCGGCAGATGTCGACTATAATGATGGGCCGTGTCAAGCGGCAGTCGTCGTCGATGTCTCTGTCAGACTCGCGGATTACGACGGCCTCAGCAAGCTCGTCAAGAGTGAGCGGCCTCAGAGAAAAGCATAGCCATAACAGAGCCTCGCGGGCAATTTCGCGGTCGTGGTCTTGAATTCGACCGAGAATACTGACATACGTGTCGTTGAGGGTCGTGGGCATATCTTGAAGAGTGTCTCTTACATCTCGTCCGGTCCGGAGAACACTAAGACGATCCATGCAAAGCTTTGCCCAGCGGAACCTGCGCTTGTTATTAGTGAGATTCGGGACCAAAACTGCGTAAAAAAGTGTTCTTACATGCCGTCAGCTCCCAGCACGATCTTTTGCTGAATTTCTGTGTGGATTTTGGAACTCAGGACACGGAAACATGGCTCTGATGCCAATCGATGCCGAACATAGGCCTCGATGTCATTATTGACAGAGTCGATTTCCATACTCCGCTTTCTGATGACTGGAGACGAAATGAGTGGTTCCCGAGTGCAAGTGACGAGGATGCGGATTTGGGCATGCTGTTCACATAAGTGAAGCAGTGCCTGAACTAGCTCCTCTTCGTACGGAGTCTCGTTGAGTGCATCGATGAACACATAGAATCGTTCACACGATGCTAGAACATGGGTCATTATCTCATTAATTTCTGAGATGGTCAAATTATTATGAGGGACGAGTGAGGAACCAGCTCGTTTGTAAGGTGCAATGTGCCGGAGGATTTCTGGCCTCGAGTTGCAGGCTTTGGCAAGAATGGAGCCGAAGACGTTGGGAATCTGTTGGGAGGCGGCATCGTCAAGGGAGCAACAATGATAACCGACAACTACACTCGTCGGTGCATCGGATGAGGAAATGCGGTTAAGCTCTTCTATAATAGTGGAACTACCGACAATGTTCAGTGGCGGCTTCAACGGGTACGTCTTGTGGGAGGCTTACAATAAAACGGTTTTGCCGGAGCCAGCTGGACGATTGTGTCAGCGCTGAAGTGTTCGCATGGTTGCATTTGACGCTAACATTTACCAATAATCCAAATTAGTGGTTTCTTGACATCAGGAGACTGGAGCCAGTCGGAAAGGGCATCGTCCAGAACCCACCGTCCAGTGCCTGGGATCTTGTTTTGAGTAGCCTTGTCGAGCATCTCATCAACATTTACGGGAGCGAGCCAGGCCAAGAGGTCATCTGTTTCTCGAATCATCTTGTTCGTTTGCTTGTCGATGCTCTGTTGATGGAGTATCTGGACGAGCACTTTCATTTCGTTATAGACGGCTAGGGTGATCTCGCTCGAGTCCTTAAGAATTACCATGACAAACCATGTCTTGGCTCTCTCGATGGTATTAAGGTGTTTTTGGATCTCACGACTCTTGAAGGGCCAAGAAAAACTCTGAGTAGCATTTCCAAAGGCGGATAACCGGGGCTTTCCTAGACGGCTTTGGATACTGTCGAGGGTTTCTTGAGTCATTTGCAGCATGTTGTCAACCTGGGGTTGCATTGTCTTATCGATACCCATCTCGTCGTGGAGACTAAAGTGCTCTAGAGCTCCCTTGAGGGCAAAGAGCTCCTGTGTCAACTTGCGGATGTCATCCTTGGCATCCTTGACACCGTTGATGTAGTTGTAGAGGAGTTTGACCACTTCGGTAATACACACCGCGACCTCGACGGCGCCGAAGACCACATCAGCCATACTGGAAGGCTGGCAAGACGGGCCATCCAACGAAGACTTGTGACTTAAGCCTGAGGGCCCCACTGGCACGACGCAGGGAGGGTCGTTAGAGTTGGTGATGTCCGGGAGAAGCGAAGTGAGCGTGAGAGGGCGGTACCAGTATGTGGGTCATCGGATCCCTGGTCGATGGGGCGGAACGGCAAAAGAGATACGCGCAGCTACCGGGGGGGTTCAGGAGATAGGGTAATGCAGGCTGGAGGTCTCGACTGTTTTAGTGTGGGCATACACAGCCTCGAATGGCTATCAAAAGAAAAGAAATAGGCTCGGCGGTCTTCTGATGTGCGATACTAATGCCAACAGTCCTAAACCCCCACCCTGTGACGTGGTAGTCCAAGGTCTCCTGGCTCATCTTGAAAAGCAGGAAGACCGAATCCCCCACACAACCACGGCCCTTATCGCCGGTTAATGGGAAGCCGAATAGTGGAGGTCAGCGTCAAATGATGGCAAGTACCGGCACTCCTGGATGTCGAGGGCGGCCAATCTGGTGCAATGTATCTACGACGCGGCCTTATCAGTGACATACGCCAGGCTGGTATCTGGCTATCATCAATCTACCGCACTAGACAACGAGCCACATCCTTGCCCTGGCATCAGTGCGTCCATTAGATCGGGTCGTTAGGTGCGTCTCTGCTGTGCAGTTTTGCGGGGGCCGGGGACCCGGTGGGTTTTCGCCGTTTCGGTGCGATTTGGGTTGTATTATGGTTGAGGTTGAAGCGTGTGGTGATCAAACGCCTGGTATCGTGCCTCCCAGTCATAGTAGGCGGAGACTAAGCTGAGCCCCTCCTTCCCCGGGCAGAAAAAACTAGCCCCTCCACTCTCAACCACAATCTCCAGTGGCTCGCTACATCCCAGTCTCGCTCGACTCTCCATCTGCAACTTTCTTCCACCCCGAACTCTCCATCTCCGTGGTCCATTCTGGGTTCCATCTCTCGACTTGCTCTATCGCTACTTAATACGAAAGCTTCACAAGCGCCCTACCACGCGACTCACGCATAGGCCGGTCGCCCCCTAGCTATGACTGATTACCAAGCACTCCGACGCGGGACGTTCTAGTTAGGTATCCAAAAGCCCGCACTGCGTCTTCCACGGTTGTCTCGCCCTCCAGCCGCAACAAGATCATTTTCGCTTTGCTACCTGCCTGATTGACCCCCGGTTGCCCCGTATTACCGGCTCCTTCGCTTTTCCCCCGCAGCTTGCAGGTGGGCCCAGCCGTTACCCGTTGCTCTCCACGATTGTGTCGTACCATCCTTCTGGCAAAGCACCCGGACTATCACAACGCACTCCTTCGCCTCTGGCCTAGCATCTGCTCTAGGGACTGACATCATGGGCGGGACACAACCAGACGATTTGGCGCAATCCGGCTCCTCCACCTTGGGCATTGCGAAAAAGAAGTCGCGCCGAGGAGCGGATGCTGCTGGTCAGAAGCGGCGTTGCGTCAGCACCGCTTGTGTCGCCTGTCGGAAACGAAAGTCAAAATGCGATGGAGCTGTCCCCAGCTGTGCCGCCTGCGCCAGTGTATACGGCACTGAGTGCGTCTACGACCCTAACTCGGATCATCGCCGCAAGGGCGTCTACCGGGAAAAGGTCGATAGCATGAAGGCACGGAACTCCACACTCCAGATCCTCATCGAAGCCATTCTAAACGCCGATGATGAAGACGTCTCCGAAATTGTTAACAAGATCCGGACATGTAACAGCCTCGACTCTGTCGCCGAGCAAATCCTGAAACAACAGCAGCAACAGGAGAGGGAACTAGAAGAAGCCCAAGGCCTAGACCAGACCGACGACCAGTTCTCCGCCGATCAGCCTGTGGAGGGTGAAAGAGACCTAGCTCGGAAGATGGGCGAGCTTAGACTTGAAAATGGCTCTGTTCGCTTTATCGGCGGAACATCTCACCTCATCTATCTTGGCGATCCTCATTACGGAGGGGAAACTGATCCGAACCCCGAACAACTGGCATTTGGCGGGGATCCCATCACAACATGGACTCGCGTCACCCAGGATACGCAACTCATCACCCATCTCATGAATATGTACTTCAACTGGCACTATCCTTATTTCACCACACTGTCCAAGACCATGTTTTTCCGAGACTTCATGAGAGGCAAAGCAGGGCTTGGACGTGGTACCGCATATTGCTCATCGCTCCTGGTAAACGCTATGCTCGCGCTGGGGTGTCACTTCACGAGTGTCGCCGGTGCTTTTGGTACCGCAGGGGACAGTCGGACCAAGGGTGACCACTTCTTCGCGGAGGCGAAGCGTCTCATCATCGAAAATGATGAATATGAGAAGCCACGCCTGGTCACTGTTCAAGCCTTGGCTCTCATGTCGGTCCGCGAAGCGGGTTGTGCCCGGGAGGCCAAAGGCTGGGTGTACAGTGGAATGAGTTTCCGGATGGCTGAAGATATTGGTTTGAATCTCGACGTCGGGGAGCTTGACAAGGAACGCATGAGCGATCATGAAATTGATGCACGACGAATCACTTTCTGGGGTTGTTATCTATTCGACAAGTGCTGGTCAAACTACCTCGGAAGACTCCCCCAGATCCCCAAGAATTCTTTCAATGTTTCCAAGGTTGATGTCTTCCCGGACGAGGATGCCCAATCTTGGTCGCCCTATACCGATGGCGGGTTTGATCAGTCTTCAAGGCAGCCTTCAAGAACCCGTGCTGTTGCACTGCAGCTGTCAAAGCTGTGTGAAATTAGCAGCGACTTGTTGGCTTTCTTCTACCACCCCAGCACGATGGGGCGTTCCAGCGGGAAAAGCGTTGAGCTTAAAAAGCTCAGTGAGCTGCATCGCCGTTTAGAAGAATGGCGAAAAGAGCTCCCCAAGGAATTCGAGCCGAAGGAGGGGCAGTTACCTAACGTACTTCTCATGCAGTGAGTCTATTAAGCCATTCTTAAATCAGGAAGAAAACTGACCAAAAGCAGCATGTTTTTCCATCTTCAGTATATCCACCTCTTCCGACCCTTCTTAAAATACGCACCGTCAGCGTCTCCTCTTCCACCCCATGTTTCTCCTCGCCGAATCTGTTCAGCCAATGCCGGCGCCATTTCTAAGCTATTGCGTCTCTACAAAAAATTGTGGAATCTACGTCAAATCTGCAATATCGCTGTTTATATGGTGCACAGTGCTTGTACTATCCACCTGCTTAACCTTCCCGAGAAGACTGCTCGAAGAGACATCATTCACGGGGTGAAGCATCTCGAGGAAATAGCAGAAGACTGGTTATGCGCAAGACGAACCCTAAGCATCCTCAGTGTCCTCGCCCGCAAATGGAATTGTGAGCTCCCCGAGGATGCTGCTTTTGTCCTTCAACGAGCGGATGAAAAGTATGGCACTTATAGCATGTCTGATGTGCCTTCTCCTCAATCGAATACCGACTCATCGCCTATCTCCGATGGTGGCCTGGGACTTCAAGCAGGTGGAGATTACAGTCCCCTGACCCAATACACCCAGACGCAGCTCGCCCGGCCCATGCAGCTTCCAGCAGTCTCCGGCCCTCTTACGACCAGTGCCCAAACTTCAAACATACCGATTGCGCAACAGCAAGGTATGGCTGTGGATAGGCCGCGGATGCCCTTTGGGTCTGATACCATGTCCGGATGGAGCTCTACACCTTCCCCGGCACCAATGCCAGGCTATCAAAATTCCTTTGCTCCCATAAATCAAGCCAATATGCCACCTGGCTCAGGTATCCTCCCCACGAATAGGAGACGGACATCGAGCCGGGCGGCGCGGATGGACGGCCAGGAGTGGTTCTTGAACGATAGTGCGCGGTGGCACCAAAGCTTTGAGACTTGGCAAATGACCAACGGTGGGCAAGATGCGTCTGTGTTCATGTTCGGTGAAGGCGGAAATAATGGCACACCCAACACTAATAATTCGGACGGCAATGTCAGCATGCAGGCCGAGGCTAACGATCCGTTGGCTGCATTTGACGGCTTGGGCGCGTCGTTGTCAGGGGACGGCTGGCTGCCTGGCCTGGACTAGACATGATGAGCCGAGAAGCCGATTATTTGTGTACTTATTATATCGCGATGGATAATGACCCGGGATCTGGCCTGGAGTTTGGATACTGGTAAAAGGCGTTGAAACTAGTTGTGGAGGTAGTTAGTCGTAGAGATGGAATACCCTGTTAGTTCAGGTCATAAAATATTGGCAAGAGTTTGTGATGCTTATGGCTGTATACTAACTAGTACATGGAGAAATTATGGACTAGAATTTGGTACGCCGCTGGGTGGAATGAATGCCCACGCGATGCGATCGTCATCATGTGGCAATGGCTTTGGGCCAAAACTCAAGATTCTAAGTCGACATTTCCTTGTTCACAAGCAGCACTCCATTAACTCCCCCATGTCACAAAATACGTCGGCGCTCGGCTCTCGGTTTTCAATTCTGTTGCCTAGACCCGTAGATGTCTGGGCGTCGTTAGCATTCTTGATTTCAAGATTCCGGAGGGACTCCTTTCAAAGGTTCCAACCGTTGTGTCCCTTCTTATCTCTCCAACAGGGATGGCTTTGTTACATCGGTGGTCAATTCCGACCCTGTGCTCCCTGTGCGTAGATGAAACACAAGTCCTGAGGAGATGAAAAAAAAATCTCATGGTATGCGTCTAACCCCAATACACGCAGTCCCGAAATCTCATCATCTAGAACCGCGGGAGCCGGATTGGCGTGGAAGGATCACTGACCGTCCGCCGCCTTCCGTTGGCCCTAGGGGCCCCGGCATCGTTGACGCGGGACTCGGGAGTTCTTGAATGCCGCTGTAAGATGGCTGGTCCTGGCTCTTAAAATGTCACATCCCGCGCTATTCTCGATCTTCAGCATAGAATCGATAACTTGACAATGCGCCACGGGAACTAGGAGGTCGCACTAGGCTCGGTCACCGTGAAGAGATGCATATGCAATCGGGCCTGTTCACAGCCGCTTCGCGTGCCGGTAAATCAATACACACATGCCGAATTTGAGCCTTCTGGCCGAGATTTCGCGTTTGCACCGTTGCTTCGAGGATGTTCCATGCTCGGTAATGATGTCCCCTCGACGGTTTTTGCAAAGCTAAGAGAGAAAATCCGGCCGAGTGCCGCTGAAGATGCATGCGAGATACAGAGACGACCGTGGGCACGTCCCGATCGGCGCAATACAGCCGATCAATACTCTCACACATGCAGTGGGACGCAGAAAGTTTGCTCCCGAACGCTTGTGCCGCGAGAGCTTCACTAAGCATAGTAGACAAGTATCTCCTGCTGGTTTAGAATAAGGCATCTGGACAGAAATGAGAATAAACAGTAAAGACAAATATAAGTACCTTGCTCTAACTTTTATTTTATTTCTTATATTTGGTGATAAACTGTGCCCTAATATCATTGTATAAGTAACTTAGATCGGGTGCAAATTTTGCGCATCCCACAGTGCCATAACAAGGATCATCGCCCGTTGGGATTTTCACTTTGTGCACACATGTTCGGCGTCTACCCTTTTTATAAAACAGACCTCGGGCCCTTCTCGCCCTACCGCGTGGTATTTATGGCGACGGGTTTTCACGGGAGCTTGGAAAACTAGTGGATAATAGGCATGTTAACGACTCATCTAGTTAGACAATGCCCAGTGAGAGAAGCAGACATGCGTATCCGTACACCCATCCACTCTAGTTCGAGGTGGTCATATTACACCACTACGAACAATCCTTTCCGGATCTGGAATATCAGGCATTGCGGTGGACGACATGTCTGAACATGAGCATTGCACCGCCTCTTGTGGACCAACAGCCATGAATATGTAGAAATCGAGTGATTTCTGAACTCTGATCCCTACAGACCAGAGGTGGTTCAAAGGCAGAGAGGTTGGAGGGGGGGTGTCATTGGTGGTAAATTGGTCGGCGCTTCTCGGACAAGGTGCCTACCAATTCGAATACTCGGCCGAGTCCGCTAATGCAAGCTACGGGGGAGTCCTATTGTCCAGGGCAGAAACCAACGTGCGCCGAAATTCTGTGCAACATGAGAGGACATGAGACTGTAACAGTCTACAACGGGGCGCCAAGGGGCGGGGAAGCAGAAGGTGCATCGCGCCATCCCTAGGCCCCGTTCCCCGTGATGAAATTTGGAGAGAGGCTGCATCAAATACTACTTCGCCCAGCGTCTGGCCGTCTTGGGGAGTGTTCAGGCTGGAGCCACGTGGTGGAAGCTGGGGGTAAGGAGGGTAACATGACGGCCACGGAATGCCTTTGCTCTCATGCGGTAGCCGCGCATAGGATGAAGAAAGGAACAGTGCGGGCGTTGAAAAGCAGATCGAAAGCAGGTCGAGCAGGTCGGACAGGTAACAATAGTCCATGACGGCCTAATCCGGGGTTCGATTGGGGTGGTTGTGAGTCTGCGTTGGTGGGGAAGAGCGTGCTATGCGGGCGAGTGGGGATCCGGCCCGACCCCCGTTGCTTGTCTCGGCGCCACACCAGAAGCGTTCCGGTGGGCGCCATGGATGGAGAGAATCATAGGAAGGGAAGGTCAAGATGGGATGGCAGTGCCGCAGAAGCGGTCGGGGGGTTGCCCTTGTTGCAGCTCATAGTTGCCACCTCGGGGCACATACCTTACACATACCTTACGCATGGCATGCACTTCGTACACTCCTCCAAGCAAGCACCGCCCCAAGTGCCGGCTCGTGCGCGCGTCGTTTCCCATTCCTCGGACCTTGGCCAAAGAATACCAGGAAGCTGGGGCCGAGGGTGATTTGAGCGCCTTATTGAGGTGGCTGCGACTTGCGGCCGCGAGCCAAGTGTCGCTCGGAGGGTGTTGGTTCCGACACAGATGCTATTGGAGCGCAAATGTGAGGGGAGGGAACGGACAAGTGAAGTGAGTGTCCATGGGTGACGCCCACCGCGAACAGGGCCAACAGGCCACGTTTGAGCGCGCCGTCCTGGCGAGAGGAGGCTCTGTAGGCCACTGGGGTTCTTCCAATACAGAGTATGTGCTGTGTAGAGACATTAACATTAAAAGGCCTCGCTAGGGGAGATGCCATGCGGGTGCGACGGGGGAGGATTTGCAAAATACAGAGGCTACCTCGGGGGTTCCATTTGTTGCGGGGAGGGCGCCAAAGCGCTCCAAAGGAATTGGTCGGGCGCGCACATGCCATGTGCCATGTCAGCAAAGAGGTACATGGCAGGCACAACGACAGCCAATGGTGCACCGGCAGGGTAGTTGGGCACGAGTTGAGGCGATGAGAAGATGCAGCAGGTTGCAGTTGGTTGCAGTTGCTGCGGCAGGACTTGGGGCAGGTACCAGCCGTTTAGGGAAGGGATGGACGAACAGCGCCAGAAAACGGCCTCGCCTTCGCGTTCCACCCCCTTCTAGACCTCCTGCGGTCCGAGTATGGACCACCTGAACCTACCTGCCTCCCTCCTTCGCTTGCTGCACATGCTCAGAGGTACTCTACTCATGCATCTGCCAGATCCCCACTAACGTGAAAATCCGGGGAGAGAAATTAGGGTTGGGTGTGACGGGGCAGTTCGTTCGCTAGCTCAGCCCGTTTGAGACCTGAGCAGGTACCTACCCTTTCCACCTTCCTTGTCCATGCATCAGGGCGGCAGACAGCCAAACCCTCATCCCCCAGCCCGCCGCCAGTGGGTTTTCCGTCGGGCGTCCATTCTACATCCTCCGTTCTCCGGCAGCCACCACGTAGTACTTTGCGAGCCACCGGAAAGGTCCCGACTCAGGGCCGTGACATGGCATCTTGCGGCCGCGTCGCTACTCCTCGAGTGCCAGATCCATCCACGTCACCAGTGCGGGTGCGAGTGCCAATGCCAGCGTCAGCATCAGCGGCGATGACGGGTTCGAGGTGGCCCGCAACTCCGAGGTATCTGGCCGGCCGAGCAATGAGCGAACGAGGCACACATCCAATTGCTCCTCGCCTTGCATTGTGTGGCGCCGCGGCATGGCGGCGCCAGGAGCGAAGGGGGTGTTAATTGCTGCCGACATGATCTCAATGCTACTGATTGGCTCCGAGGGGCTAGATCCCCGACCTTCCGCCTCCCGACCTTGATATTCAGATTACCATGCCGAGCAAAAGACATAACCCATCGGCTGGAGACTGGTGTCCGGAGGAAGTACATGCCCGCCCTCCCCCGAATGCTCCTAGGCCGGATGCCACTTGGCCAAGTTGGCCCCGGCAATCGCGGGTTTTGAAGGTTGGTTCACTGGCGCCAAGCGCAGCCGTTGAGTGTAAACGGTAATGCCCTGACGAAAAGGGAAGATTCCATGACAAGGGGAGCTGTGGTTCTGCACATCAAGTCTCACACCCTCACGGCGTCGCGGCACAGGTGCCATCACTTCCAATCTTGCCCATCTCCCTACCCCAGGTGCCCCAGAAATGGCAGGGGCCCGGATTTCTTGCCCGCATGGGAGCCAGCTGACGCGATGTGGTCGGGATTTCGGCGCCCCTTCTGATTCTCCACCTCGGGCGCCTTTGAGTGTATGGATCCCTGGACAATTCTCGGTCGCCATGCCCGTCGGTAAACCAACGCTCAGGAACCGGGGTCACTTCGTCTCCGACGACCTCATTCCCGACGGAGGGAGGGGGCGAAGAAGATATAAGAACAAAGAGAGCGCAATACCCTTTTCGCAAGCTACGGGGAAAATATCCACGTCTAGTGGACTAAGAAACAAAGCTACGAGACCGACCCCGACTTGGTTTGCCATCTCCACGCTGTGTGGATGTCACCACCCCATGCCTCCACATCCTCCACAGTCACCACCTCCACATCTGCCCATCAACCCACCCTCGGCGGGACCTCGCTCCAAGCTTTCAAGCTAGGTACTCACTAATAAGCGACCCATTCAGTAGGTGCCAGGCCCAGAACCGCAGAGTCTTCCCCTACAGGCCTAGTATTCGGCCCCTGGATCAGGTCACGAGCTGCTACCACAGCTGCTCCAGAGAAAAAAGCCCATCCTTCCCCCTCATCCAACCCGCCCTCACCCGTCGCGCAGCGCCCGTATATGTGCGCCAGTCAGTATACAAGCATCGATCCTACTGCGCGCGCTTCTGTCCGCTCGACTCAATCGATCATTGTTGCGCTTCGACGACCCAGTTCCAATTTGTTGTCTATGCATTCACCAGGGGACTGCGACTCAAGTTCGCCACGGACTACGACGACACCCGAGCTGGGAGACTAACCTCGCACCTCAACTGACCGAACTGGCCTGACATTCCTCACCTCCACTCCGCCAGGATCACCACATTCTGGTCTGGCCGATTGCAAAGAGACACTTGCTCACTTGTGATCGTGTACCCCTCTTTCCCACCCAGCAACAACGGCTACAGAGGCGGCGATCCTGACAGCACGTCGCCCACTACGTCTTCATCTTGGTCACGCTCCAAACCGACAAGCGAGATCTTTGCTCAAAGAGTTGGTTCGGTGGGTACGAAAGCCGGTTGCAGTGTCAACAGCGCCTCCTGCCAGGAGCCAAGATCGGTGATCAACAACGTGGTGAGTGTCCATTCCATGTCTCGTCTGATACCAGTCTCCTGTCACATCCTCGTCTCAACTCCATCTCTACACCTCATACACTCACCCCGCCGTCACATATCCATGTACGCACAGGCATGATCGAACTTCTAGATCAAATTTCCGTTGCCTCTTCTACCGTTACGTCAATGGGATACCGAGTCACTCAGCAGCAAGCGCATGCTCCCCTCCTTCAGAGCTGTGCCGCGTGGTGACTGGCAGTGTTGATCTTGCGCCGTTGCGACCATGTTCTATTGGTGCGCGACGTGCCTCATACCTGACCCCCCTGACCGTTTCCACTCTTCCCCGCAAACATTTCCTTCTGCCTGGAAGAGTTAAAGCTGACCCCTTCCACCACAGACCTGCCACAGCCTTGCGTACTGTTACCCTCGGTCACAAAGGTGAAGCTTCAGGCCTGACGCCCAAGCCCTAGATCGGGGGTACTTGTCCTGTCCGCTGCGTCTCATATCCAGTAGAGAGCAGTGTTCGGTCTCAATTGGATTTATCTGGCAGCCATCCCATCCTTCATGACGGATACCGGGCTTTCAACCAGATCATCAACACCGGAGAGTTGCAGTTTCTACCATCAACTACCTAGGTCTTATACACCACACCACAGCAAGCGGTAGACGAGATGTTGTCCAACCCTCTTCAACGCTTCTCCCCTTACCAAAATATCTCCTCTGCTCTTGCACCTGATTCCCATGGTCAACAACCCCAAATGCAGACGAACGGCCTCGAATCACTGGGACAGGGCTCGCAATACCCCATTCAACATCTCCCTCAACAAGCCGGTATCCAAAATCCCCATTTAGCCAGGGCGGGACCTCCAACAAAGCATCGACAGCACCCATATGGACCCAGTGCTCGAGCACCTGGGACTTCAGGCCCCATTAGAAGGAGAATTAGCCGAGCTTGTGATCAGTGCAACCAGCTACGAACGAAATGTGACGGCCAACATCCCTGTGCCCATTGCATCGGTAAGTCGCAAAGTCGGTATACATGAGGTGGTAGCTGACTACAATAGAATTCGGCCTTGGATGCGAATACATCCGCGAGAGAAAGAAGCGAGGAAAGGCATCAAGAAAGGAGCTGGCTCAACAAGCAGCAGCCCAAGCTGCGTCAGGCGGGAGCGGAGGACAAAACGACAGCTCCGGAGCCGAGGGCAGCCAATCCAACGATAATGGGGCCGAGTCCTTGCCTATCCATGGCTCATCACAACATTCCATTCCTAGACGCCACCACAGTCTAAGTGATAAGACAATCAACGACCACGGCGATGAATCAAATCAGGGGCTAGATAGCCTCGACAGACTTGGCGACATGAGCGATCAACCTCATCTAACAGGCCACCCTGATATTGACGGAGAACAACTCGATGGCTCCACAGGTATTGATCTCAACGGCTTTGTTGCGACCGTAGCCCACCCCTATGATGCTCAGGGGCTGGATGGCCCTGGTTTGAGCCATCAAGCTTACGCCGCCAACGGGCGAGGCAGCATTTCCAGCTACCCCGACTTATCGTACGCAATGCACGCACAGAGCCCGCCAAACTTTCCCAACAACACGGGATTTCGCATGGGAAACAGCCCTATTGCGTACCAGATGGGCGGAACACCTCCCGGCTGGGGCATCTCCATGGCATCACCCCCAAGTCAATTTCAACCACATATGGCCCAACCCAACTTTGGCAACACCAAACTTCGATACCCCGTTCTTGAGCCTCTCATCCCTCACCTCAATAACGTCCTTCCCCTTTCCATAGCTTGCGACCTCGTGGACCTGTACTTTCAATCATCGTCATCTGCGCAAATGCACCCCATGTCCCCTTATGTCCTGGGGTTCCTCTTTCGGAAGAGATCTTTCCTTCATTCTTCCAAGCCAAGACACTGTCAACCTGCGCTGCTCGCAAGTATGCTGTGGGTAGCTGCGCAGACAAGCGACGTCCCGTTCCTAGCCAGCGCGCCCTCGGCTCGGGCTAAGACCTGCCAGAAGCTCTTGGAATTGACAGTAGGTCTTCTCAAACCTCTAATCCACACTGTCTCTGGGGATGCCCCTAGTCCCGTCGCAGATGGTGTTGCTCTCGGGGGCCTCGGTGTAGCGATGCCCGGATCCATCAGCTTGGATGCCCTGACCGGAGAGTCTGGGCCGTTTGGTGCTGCAGGATGCCTAGACGACGTGATTACCTACATTCACCTGGCAGTCGTGGTCTCAGCAAGTGAGTACAAGGGTGCGAGTCTGAGATGGTGGAATGCCGCTTGGTCCCTTGCACGTGAACTGAAACTGGGACGAGAGCTCCCACTCAGTGCTCCCCCAGTCAACCACGACCGGAATAATGTGGATAATGAGGCCAATGACGAACACGACCTTCAACGCAACAACTCGGGCTATGTTACAGAAGAGGATCGCGAGGAGAGACGCAGAATATGGTGGCTTGTCTACATCGTGGATAGGCACCTGGCACTCTGCTACAACCGCCCCCTCTTCCTTCTCGATATCGAATGCGATGGTCTGTTGCAGCCCATGGATGATAATGCCTGGCAGAGCGGCGACTTTGGACACTTCCCACCCAATACCGATCCCAATCTGCTAAACTCGGTCCCAGAAGGGTTCGAGGACTCGCGGCCTCGTGGGCCACAATTTGAGTGTCGCAGTCACAGCATTTTCGGATACTTTCTACCTCTCATGACCATTTTAGGTGAAATCGTCGACCTGCACCATGCCAAGAACCACCCTCGATTCGGCATTGGCTTTCGCATGGGGCATGAGTGGGATGCACAAACAACAGAGATCACCCGGCACCTGGAGGCATATGAACAGAGCTTAAAGACATTCGAGCACAAGAATCTCCCTCGACCAGGAGACGACAAGTCTGATCCGGCCCTGAATGAGAACGGCGAACTTCATGGGGACCACCCCACCCCTTCAGTGCACTCTGTGCACACCAACGGATCGAATCGTCTGACGGAGAGCGATATCCAGACTCGCATTGTCATTGCATATGGCACGCATGTTATGCATGTCCTGCATATTTTGCTGGCGGGTAAATGGGACCCAATTAATCTTCTTGACGACGAAGACCTCTGGATCTCGTCGGAAGGATTTATCACGGCCACAAGCCACGCAGTGGCAGCCGCCGAAGCCATCAACCAGATTCTAGAGTTTGACCCCGGGCTGGAGTTTATGCCCTTCTTTTTCGGCATCTATCTGCTTCAAGGTTCGTTCCTTTTACTATTGATCGCGGATAAGCTCCAGTCTGAGGCGTCGCCAAGTGTGGCCAAGGCATGCGAGACTATTGTCCGAGCGCATGAAGCATGTGTGGTGACGCTGAACACTGAGTATCAGGTGAGTCAATGTTCTAACTCGGTCCTCTTGAATTTGAAACTAATATGTCGACAGCGGAAATTCAGTAAAGTAATGCGCAGTGCGCTGGCCCAGGTCCGGGGCCGCGTACCCGAGGATCTGGGGGAACAGCAGCAACGGCGACGAGAACTTTTGGCGTTGTATCGATGGACTGGAGATGGGACTGGCCTTGCACTATAAGCAAGGGTACGTCTGTGGCGGATCAAGCAAAGGCGCACGGCATGCTCAATTTTCGGATTGGGAAAAGTGGTTTATTTCGATTCTCAGCGCATTGGGCGTGAAAGCGGCGGCGTCCGTGATTATAACTGGGTATGGGATTAACGGAGGCACTAAGCGGTCCGGGAATGGAAATCACAGAGGAAATAAGGCCTGGGACTCTCTTGACGATGGAACAACGGCAATCATGGTTCGGGATGCTGGGACGACCAGTTTTGTACGAGTGTATGGGACATGGGCTAGGGTACGTCGACGGGCGTTTCCATGGGCGGAAGGCCTGCATTTGGAGTATATCAACAACAAACTTGAGGCGGCCAGTGGGTGATTATACCTTTTGGGTTCGGATTGGATTTGGGCCTTTTTTTTTGGGGGGGGGGGGGGGGGTAGTCAGTGGGCAGTTTTATGTTCATGATGGACGAGGAATGAGAAACGCCGAGATTCCGCATCGTATCTGTGCTTGAGGTTGCATCGATGAAGATCCATTTAGCCCGTTCTGACTCACGGATTCCACGTGGTTGCTGACATCTTGACAACCCTGACGTCAACATTTTCCTGTGTAACGAGGGTCACTTGGACGGAGCCACATGTCGTCAGATTAGAGTTTCTTCTTGAACGGTCTGTCGTCTTTCGCATTATGTAACTTGACGTACGGGAGCGCCTGCAGGAACGAGACGCTGGCGACTGAGGATTGGGCGGTTTCGTAGGTTTGGCGCTTCGCCACGCACGTGGGACGGCTTAGACACGGCCATGTTACACAAGGAATGCGGGAGAGGCGGCTGAGGCGTTGGGTTGAGAGTTTGTAGTAGGCAGGTTTCCTGAGGCATTGTTCTAGCGACTTGGGCTGAGTGTTATTGACTACAGTTACTCACGGTTGGTTCGCGACTTATAGATACACTCTGGTTCTATTCACTCACCTGTTCAAACTCACGATGCCTGATCATTTGGGTGTCTGCTGTGCAAGTCACGCTGCGAGCAAATGCAGGCCACAAACCAGGTCTCATGCGATTAATGTCCGTTAAAGTCGCATAGCAAACTACTCTACCCAAATATCCCCTGGTGGCTCTCTCTCACCAGCTGCCAGCCTATTTTCTCGCGGCCCGCTGCCAGCTGCCCGCCACCAAACCGCCGCCGGAGGTGAATCACATCTCCCTCACCTTCTCAGGCCCCAACAGTTTCCGAAATGGACAACCATGGAACTCTCTCGCTTGCAGCAGGCCTGCCTATTATTCAGAGAACAATACAATAGCAATCAATCAATCTCTGCTTCCTTAACTGGCCGCGGGGCCGGCCGGTTGCCGGTGCGTTGACGCCTTCTTCCGCTTCTCACTGTCTCCCTATTCACATCACACGACGCAGCATAAAGCCTGTTCATCTTCCGTTTGCTCCTATTGTTCTCGCTTCCTATTCTGGACCAACCATTTACCGCACAGCGCAACGAGAGGCCTTGTTTCCTCTTAAACTCGCCCATCCACACTCGTCATCCTCCTCTCCTCCGCCTCTTCCCATCACTGACGCGTTCGTTTCCGCAAACTCAACGCCAAACACGCAACCAGCCTCTCAAAGGTTGACTCAGTGCAGCCAAACAACAAACCAACCACACACCTCCAAGTACGACTTGGACAGCTCATATCAGCAAACCAAACTCGGCCAATCATCGCCGTCGGCCGTGGCTATATCAAACCCAATCCAACGTGCCAAACACCCTCTGGCCCGATTTACCATGAGACCCCACAGAGACAGGAAGCGGCCTCGTTACGCCGAAAGCCCAGAGAGCCCAGACAGCCCAAACGCAGCATTCGTCGACGACTCAGAGAGTGAAATGGCATCGGCCGAACCGCAGCGGAAGCGGACCCGCTATACTGACGAGCCTCATCAACAGCAACTGAGCTATCACTTTGGCAGCGGCGGCGGCATATCTCTTGCTCTGCCTCAACCCGCCGCTACACCACCGCCACCTCCTCCTGTAGCTGCATCTTTCCTTGCTTCTGGCAGCCCGCCCTCGGTTCTTCAGCAGACACCTGCTCCCCGAGCCCGTCGTCCATCCAACCCTCTCCACCGCGTCGGCGGCAGCTACACGCTCGAGACGGCCGGACTCTCGCTGCCAACCAACCTCACGCCCAACGAGGCAAGCCGCCGCCAGACCGAGATCGAACGCGAGCTCGCCTTCCAGGCCGCCAACCCACCAGCTCTACCGGCTTCGACCATCGCCGACCTGCCGCCCAAGCCGGCGACCGAGGACTGGGTCATGTTCCCGGAAGACCCCATCTCCGACGAGCAGCGGCGCGCCATCGAGGCGGAGAACAACCGCATCGCCGCCACTAACCAGCGCATCGAGCGCGAGCGCAACAACCAGGCCGCCAAGAAATCCCGCCAGAAGCGCCTCGAGGCGCTGGACAACACCCGCCTAATCCTCAACGACCGCGCCGCCGAGTGCGACTGGTGGCGTATGCGGGCCATGGCCCTAGGCGCCACGGCGAGCGACTGGGATTTGTTGCCCAGGCAGATCAAGAAGAGCATGGTCAAGGTCATCGAGGAGCGCGTTGCCGTCGTGGATCAGCGGAACGAGGAAATCAGGAAGCAGGACGAGGCGCGGAAGCGACTTGAGCGAACCAGGGCGCGTACGGTACGTGGTAGCTTGTTGAGTATGCCGACTCTTTAATACTAATATTCTCGACCATAGGCACGAAAGGAAGGCCGAGATGCTGCGTCCCCAGCGGCAGAAATCTAAGTGTGTTAGTCATGGGACAAGGACATGAGACAAAGGAGAGACGACACAAGACATTGCTGGGTAGGATGACTCCATGCTTCGGGTTCTGGAACTTTGCGATTTAGGAGTAGATTGTAGTATGTGAGAATGGGAATTGAAAGTGGTATCAAAAAGGGACTATTAATATGCGCCCCGTAAAATCTTCAATAATACGCGCCCATGTGCGCCATCATTAGCTTAGCCATTGTCGTTCCTTGCGTCGGTGTTTCCTCTGCGGACAGAAAGTTATCCAAGCAGTCACTCAAATCCCTTCTTGCAGCGTACTTCTTTAGACCTCGGGGGACCAGAGAGTCAACCTCGGAGATATGAGACTGTTTCTTTAGTGGGCGGGAGGAGGAGGAGGAGGAACAGTGCCCTCCATCTTGGCCTCGCCAAGCTCAGCCTGGACCTCAGTTCGGGGAGCAAAGGTCTGGCTCTGGGGGGAAGCCATGCAGGCCTTGATGAAGAAGACGATGGTAACGATGACCAAAACCCTGAGCACGAAAATATCAGCTTAGAAGCTCAAGAGATTTGTCTTCATTTTAGTGACTTACCAGGTGAAAGCACCGAGAGCAGCGCAGGCAGCCAGGGAGCCACCATACGCATCGAGGGTGTGGCTGCTGCCATAGTAACCGTCGTAGTAGCTATAGAACGAAGAGGCGACGGAGGCGGCCCAAGCCCAGGCAGAGAGCCAGAAGATGGCATCGAGGATGAGGGCGCAAATGAAGGCAATGCGGATGTAGAGCTGGGGGGCGAAGAACTCGGAAGCCAGCATGCCACCGACGATGAGGAAAGTGAAGATGGCCTATTCAGGGATCAGTCTCTGGGTGGATTGAGTCAAAAGAGTACGGTGATGGCACTTACATCGAAGATGATGAATCCAGCAGGGCCGGAGTAGCCAGAGAGATAAGAGCTATAACCGCCGAAAAGCGAGAGGTTGTAGGCAGCGGCGATCAGGGCACCGAGGGAGAGGGCGAGAATGACACCGCGGATGATGGTCAGGAAGAAGGGCAGGGCAGGGACGCCGGTGGCCGTAAGGCCCTGGGTGCCGGTGGTGGTGCCGGTGGTGCTCATGGTAACTGCTATGAGAGGGTGTTGTTGAGTATGGAGGAGTATTCAGAGAGTTGGTAGAGATCTGAAAAGAGAGGAGGAGAAGCGAAACCTGGCGGGGGTGTAAGTCAGTTTATAGGTCCCAGCCGCCCGTCGAGTGTGGGTAGGTGAGGCGCGAACCGTTTCTCTTACCAGTCAGTGGAAACAGTAGAATCTGTCTGCCTTGTCGTAACCGTTTACTGCCTGGTCTGTCCCCAAGCGCCCGGGGGAAGGGGGTCTTCTTATGGATGGACGTGACAGCCAGCCTCAAGACTCAAGCCATCCTCTTGGCTAGGACTTCTTGGCTGGAGACCCCTGCACGAACAGCAGAAGCCCGATCGCACGGCATTCCCCAAATGCAATCTTGGTCTCTGCTCTAGGTCCACTTGGCACAGCGCAGCGGCAGAGAGTAGACAAGGTCCATGGGCGGAAATCTCTACCGCCAGCACATGCCGGCACGCGCCCTTGGCTGGGCGGCCCTGCACGCGCTGGACGTTGGACGGCACACACAGTGCTCGGGAGGAGTCCCGCATCCGATGCCTAGTGTGTAAGAGCCAGCACACAGGGCTGAGGAGAAAACAGTCGCCCATCTCGGTACAAGCAGCCAATACGCCGTTGGGGATCTGCCCCCCCCCTAGCCCCGCGGCGCGCAGCCCGTGCAGCGCAGGGCCGGGGGAAGTGTGAAGGCGACCCGCACCATCACCACGCACTTGCGTCGCCATTGGGCAGCGGGCTTTGCGAGGCTGGGGCCTCGTGGGCAACGGCACAGGCTTGGGATGCTGAACTGGTCGCGCTGGGCGGAGCGCGGAATGGGTGGAGTGGTGGTTAGGCACATTGCCGTGGCTGTCTCAATGGGTCGTGGGTAGGGTTTAGCGGGCGCCCTGCGGAAGGCGAAGGCTGTGCAGCTGAATGCGGTTTTGCAACTAGAAGCATAGTTCGGTATCCCATGATGCTTTTCTGGCGTGTGGTTGTGTCTGTGAGAACAGTCGGTGAGTGCAGTCCGGTGAAGTATGGTTGCGGGCAGTGCTTTGTTGGAGTCGAAGCCGGGTAACCGTGGTGGTGGTGGTGTCTGGATGGATACCTGGATACCTGGATACCTCAGGCGCGGATGCCGCTTCGTATAAGGCGGCCGGGACGGAGAACCAGGGGACGACGGCATCAGGCCGCCTTGCTGCATAGCACTGGGCGGGGGAGCAATTAATTTGCTTGCTTGCTTGCTTGCTTGCTTTTTTATTATCTGTGTGATCTACGTGCATCGGATACTGTATGTACCGTGTGTCTTGTACTGTACCATCCCGGGGTGGGCGGTATCAGACATGGACGTGACAGATGATGGACGACCTTGGACGACTCTCTTCAGCCTCACGGCGTCATACGTCTTGGCTTCTTGGCTATACGCGAATAGCCCGACGCCTCCAGCAAGCCAAAAATAAGAAAAACACGGCCAGACTCCAACTTATCTCGCGGCTCGACCATTCATCCAACGCGCCTGATTGAGGCGTACAATCCAGACCAGCCCAAACTTTTAGCTCCCTGGCAGCAAGTTCCCGTTCTCAGCTCCAACGCGCCACAATCAACCACCACCCACGTCACTTGACTGCCGGTATCTCGTCCCCCGCGTCAGTGCGTATACCCGCTACAGCATGCACTTACCGTCACCGCATACAACCTCCCCCCCAACAGAATTTTTCCAAAATGGGTTGCACGCATTGGGTTACACACTATCTTGCTGCGTACAGATCTTACAGGAGGATCCTCATTGTTCCCACTCAATGGATGGAGGGTTTTTTTTTTTTTTTTACTTATTTTAGGTGATGACACCCAACCCTACTTCCTCCCTCTAGCGTTGCTCTCACCGATCGCCCTTCTCCTTTGCAGCGCCAGCCCAGCCAATAAGTCAGACGGGCAGTCTTTTGCCCACTCCCTGCAGACGTGCTGCTTCAGCAGACTGGGTAGGGCCTGTTATCTCCCGCTGCTGCGGGTGTGGACCGTGTGATTGCTTCCTTTTTGAAACGGTTTGCGAACGTGTCGATCCCTTTCCGCAAAACGCATTCGTACAGTGAGTGAGTGAGTGGCTGCAGGGGCCGTTGCGCCTTGTGGCACCGTCACCCATCCGTATCATCTCCTCATTCCGCCCCCTTTCCGCCCTTCCCTTTTTGTCTTTTTGTGATACAGACTCACTTTATTTCTTTAAATTGTGTTTCATTTTCTTTCCCGTGTCTGTCTCGTTCACCGGCTCTGTTTTGTCCCCCCATCACATCTCCATGTCTGCATTCCAGACTAAAGCATGCAGAGACACCTCAAACACCCGTCTAGTGCCCTAATTACTGCCATCCTCCTGTGATATACATGCATGCCGGGGTCCTCAATGCCCTCAATGCCCAGCTGGACGCCATGGCGGGTCCTAGATGCGCCACGTTTCTTGGCGCCTCGGGGCTGAAAGCCAGGGTTCTCTCACCTCCAGAACTGACCACCCCCCCCCCCCCAAACTTGTCCTCTTCTTCCATTCCATTCCTGGCTATTTCGTTCTTGAGCCGAGCTGCTCAGCCCGGTTCCCGCTCTCGCTTGTTTGCTTGAGCCAATGACTTGACCAGAGCTGGGAATTAGCCAATCACGACGCTCGTTAATACTGTCTCCTCGGCACATGTGTGCCGGCGGGACGAAGTCTTTGGCTCGTCCGGGTGTCAACTTCAGCCGCTTCGAGCTTTCACCTGACAAGCTATTACGCCTCGTCCTACTGAATATCTCTTCCCACTTGTCAATCACCCGGCATCACTGATCCGGCTTATTTCGACCGTAAACGGTAAACCAATCGTGTTCCAAGATTCTGACTCTGTACCTTGAACAATTTCCTCTCAACTCAGCCCCATCCGACTTACAACCACCACGATGCAGCAGCCAGCTGCCAGAAGCGCCCACAGTAACCAGCGAAAGCTAGCACTACGCCTTTATTTTTAGACATGTATTGAACCAGAATAGAGGCTGAATGTGTATCAAAGTTAGGTTTGCTGAATGTGGGAGTCCCATCTCAGCTCACCAGGTCGTTGCGGGCGTAAAGACGTGTCTTTGTTCTCGACCAAAAGCCTCACGCAAGTTTTGTACAACCGTATCTCTTCATTGGGCCAGCACCCGCAGCCACATTCGTTCATTCGTTCATTCTCGCCTAGTTAGCTAGGGAGCCATCTATTGTGTCTTCTCAACCCGGTTTCCACGCCTTCATCCATCATGGCCTTTCTCATCAGAGTGACGCTCTTGGCACACTCATACTCAATTCACCCGTTGCCCAAGCTTTTGCGTCTTTGCATCTTCACAAACCCATCCCCAATCTATTTTCGTTCATTGTCTTGCATGCACAAGCCGACCCTTAACCCAAACCTTCTTGGTGTTTCGGTCATCCCCATTATACACCCACTTGGCTATCCTCTCCTCCCAAGTCTCCCACCCAAACATGTCCACATTCCCTCCATCGATATCGGCATCGGCGGCGAAACCCTCTTCGTTCACATCGCCTAGTCCAATCAGTTGCGTATCCCACTCCATCCCCTCCTTAAAGCCGCCCACCCGGGTCTCCAGGCCCACCACCGCCGCTCCACCCCGGGTTCCCAGGTACAGCGCCTCCTCGATGGTCAACTTGCTCCGTTCGTGTTCGGGATCCGCTTCGTCGATTCCCATTGCCAGGTGCCGGCTCACCAGTGCTGCCTGCCGAGCTGCCTCCAGGATCGAGGGGCTGTATCCGGCGCCCATATCCGTCCCGAGGCCTACCGTAATGTCCCGGTCCCACATCCATCGCACTCGCGCCGTACCGCTCGTCAACGCGCTGTTGCTGCACGGGCAGTGAGCTACCTTGGATTGTCTCTCGGCGATGAGCTTTGCTTCGTCCTCGCTTAGGTGAACCGCATGCGCCAGGATCGTCCGTGGCGTCAGCAGACCATGGTCGTCGTATACAGCCGTGTACGAGCTTGATTCCGGGAACATGCTTGCCACCAGCGCAATCTCCCCTTTGTTCTCTGAGACGTGGGTTTGAACCGGTAGGTCCATATCTCGCTGGATCTTGGCCAGGCCTCTCATGGACTCGCTAGTACAGGACGGTGCAAACCGCGGTGTCAAGATTGGAGATACCAACTCAAAACTAGGGTCAATATCTCGAACATGCTGGATGGTCTGCAGTGTCTTCTCCAGGCTGGCCGCGGCGCCCTCGTCACGGTAGTACTCAAGACATATATCCGGGTTGTCCATGCACACCCGCCCGACAAACGCACGTTGCCCCAAAGACAGGCAGAGGTCTGCCAGGAGGTTTGTTGCCTCCACATCAATCGTTGCGTAGTAGGCTGCCGTCGTGGTGCCATGAGAGAGGGTACGTCGGATGCAGGCGGTGTACGCCCGGCGTGCCTTGGCCAGATCTTTCAGGCTCGACTCCAGCGGAAAGGTGTACTTCTCTAACCAGTCCAGGAGCGATTTCTTGCCAAAGATACCGACGTTGGGATACTGAGGCGCATGCACGTGTGAATCTTGAGCATCGTCAGCGTCTGTCCAGTTCAAGGCGCGTAACTGAGGAGCTGGCACTCCCGGAATGGCCAAACTCACCGATAAAGCCTGGAAAGAAGAACTGCCCCGGTTTGGCCACATGGACGTCCACATCGCTTCTCTCCCAGCCTAGCTTCCCTAACAACCGATCATCGATGAGCTCCGCGTTCGCGCAATCCTTATCGATCTTTACAATCTTCCCATCGCTGTCAACGCAGACGGCTGCGTCATGGAGGTACTCCAGTTCCTGGCGGCTCTTGGAGGAGATGAATGTCCCCAGAAATACTTGTTTCCGTAAGCCAGGCATATTTTCGTCAGGTGCACCAGTTGGTTGGAATGTTGTGTGGGTGGACTTCTGAGAGGTGTTGTGTTGAGTTCTTGTTTGGCGCAACAGGTACCTGAAAGGTGGCGGCGCTGGTGGTGATGAGGTAATATGTAGGCCAAGCCGGACGGAAGTGGAAAAACTCGCAGAGGCAGAAGCGTCGGGGACACGAACAGAAAGGAATCCAGGGACAGCAGGGCAAGATATACGAGGTTGAGATGAGATGGTCGGCCCCTTTGTAGTTTCGATGCGGTGCGTGCCGCAATCATTCCTCGGCCAACCAAATCATCTCCTGGGTTTCTGGCGGGTGTAGCCAAGCGGGTGGCCGCTTCGGCCGTGGCAGCTCGGCCGCGGGCGTCCGAGCAGAGGTACAGAAGACCGAGCCAACTGTTTAACAGTCATCTGTGTAGTTTGCACTGCTTTACGTACACACACGGGTAATTAGTGTTACCAAGTACCGCGAGCCAAGTCTGATAGGCCGTCTCCGACTCCATCTCCGCTCCAGCGTATCCCCGGCCCTCGCCGGCAGCCGATGGGGCTGGCTTCGGAGCAGACAAACCAAGCCTAATACCTATCTTCCCCGCCTCCGCCACCGCCGCCGGCCAATATTCCAAGAGACAGAAGATGCCAAAGTAGTTACCGCCCTCGGCAAACACAGAGACCAGCTCAGATCTGGTGGAACAATCACTCCGTTACGCAAACCAACCATCAACCGGCCTGGCACGCCTCGTCATTCCACCCACTGTTTCGAGCCAACATTCACGCCAATTCAATCTCGACACTGAGGGACTTGTCATGTAGTTAAAATCGTTCATGTTTCTAAAATCTAACAACACAATGATAGCAAACGCCTCTCTACTACAGAATACATCGTTATATGCTTCCATACCAAAACAATCCAATTCGGGAATCTTTAGCCTCCTTCATCATCATTCCATCTCCTATCATATCCGCCCTTAGGCAGCCGCACCAGGGCCGTCATACTCCAGGTTGGAGCCGCTGTCACTGGCGTCCGCACCGTTGGTGGCAGGCTCGTCCTGGACATACTTCTCCCAGTTGGCCAGCACCGCACCAATCTTGGGCGAGTTGGTCAGCTTGTACACATCCTCAAAGTACTCCTTCGTCAGCGCAAACGGCTTGGCCGTCACGTTGGGGATGTACTTTCCAACCAGCTTAGAGGGATCAATCGAAGTCTTGTTGATCTTCTTAAGAAGGAAGGATCGGAAGGGCTTGACACCCGACCGCAGGAAGGTAGAGTGGAATGGCACGTCAATGCCACGGAGAGGGATGGTAGCAAAGCCACGCTCCAGCTCAATAGGGACAGGCTTGCTCAGCGTCTTCTCCGCACATCCACGGATAATTTCGCGAAGGTGGCCAGTGGCCTCCTCGAGGTTGGCCTTCATCTCCTCAATGTCGATCTTCTGGACCTTGAGGAAGTTGGTGACACCGGCCAGCGTGTCGAGGGCACGGAGGTCACCAGCGCAGACGTACTGCATGTTGGCAATGTTGTAGTTGACAATCTCCAGAAGCCAGCCAGTCTCCTCCGCAATGTTGTCAACGACAAACTGGAGGGCAGCCTCGTTGAACGTCTTGCTAATGCGGCTAGGGTTGACGGCGCACATGGAGTAGTTGGAGCGGCCAGCAGCGTCTCGCTCCACAGCAACCTGCATGGTCAGACCACGGTAGAACACAACAGACACCAGGCTCTCAATAGGCATGACTTCAGCAAGGGCGGCCAGGGCCGAGTATTCACCGAGCGAGTGACCAGCAAAGGTACTGTTCAGGGGAACAAGACCCTTGGACTTCATGTCCTCGAAGCTAGCCTTCTCCATGAGAGTAAGGGCAGGCTGAGTGAACTGGGTCGCGGACAGGAGGCCAGTGGGGGATCGGTAGGTGTAAGAGGTGGTGGTCTCGTCAATCTCCTTGAAGATCTTCTCCGACTTGATGGAGCCATCCGCAGCGACAGTCTCGAAAGTCATCGCGATGTAGTTCTGGCGGATAGCCTTACCACGGGGGCCACCGAAGTGGATAGTAAGCTCCTTGGGGTTGTTCTTGACAATGTTGGTAATAGAGAAGCCTAGATGATTGGTTAATACGTGAGAAAATTCTCAAATGAGATCGTTTCAGCTTACCATAGTTGTCGAGGAGGTACTTGTCAGCTCGATCCCAGACCTCCTTAGCGACAGGGCTGCTTCCGTACAGCTCCATACCCATACCCTGCTCCTGAGAGCCCTGGCCAGTGAAGACATAGGCAGTCACAGGCTGCTCCACCTCGGCAGTACCCTCCAGGACCTTGTCCTCGGTCTCAACGTTGCGGACCTCGACGTTGATGATCTTACGTCCAGACACCATGCCAACGTGCTGAAGCTTGACTTCAATCTCATCGTTAGGCAACACCATGCCAACAAGAGAGGCGTGGAAGCTACGAACACGTCCGATGTTGTTCTCGGCAGCCCAGGTCTCGACCAGGCTTCGGACGGCAGCGCTGGAGTACATGCCGTGAGTAATGGTGCCGGGAAGGTTGGCATAAGTGGAGAAGACGCGAGACACGTGAATGGGGTTGAAATCGCCAGAGACACGAGCATAGTTCTCGTTGGACGCGGGAGCACGGAGCTGCAGAGGGGCCTTGCCGCTAAGAGGGATGGGGTTCTCGAAGTTGATAGGCTGGTCAATGGGAGAACCGTTACGCTCCAGGTAGTCGATGACGGGGTTGCCGTGAGACTCGCCGGCCTCGTAGTCGACACTGGCGACCTGGATGACCTCCTTGGTGGGTAGCTCAAGCAGGACTTGGCCTCGGGTCTCAACGCTAGAAAAGACATCCTTGTTCTTGTAGCGCATCAAGCTTTGGAGGCGGAAGGTCAGGGTCTGGCCAAGGAGCTCAATGTCCCGGGGAAGCTCGTCAACCGAGAACCACTGCTTAGAGCGCAGGACAGCGACGTCCTTGGTAGTAGCAAGGTGAACCTGCATGGGAGTCTCGACCTTGCGCTGGAAGGTGTTCTCAAAGTCGGTGTAAGCACCGCGGTAGAGGAACTGAGAAGTGACCTCCATCACGGGCTCACCGTCACGGACCAGAGTTCCGCAGACCTCAACCATCTTTCCAGCCTCCTGGTTGATAACAGCGTTGACTTGAGCAGTAGTTGAGACTTCATCGCCCTTCTTCAAAGGCTCCGCACCAGGAATCATGCGGAACTGGTTGGACAGGTGAACAAGCTTCAGCAGGTCACCATCGATGGTGCGAGGGAAGATGGGCTTGGTGATGGCCTTCCATCCGATGACGATGGCAAAGTCCATAGGAGCAAAGACGGTCTTGCCAGGTCGGTCGACGAAAGCCTCACCGTGGTTGCCAACAGCGTGCACAAAGTCGTTGATAGCCTCGCCGGTAATGACGGTCTTGCCACCATCGAACTTGCTAGTGACATCAGCATCCAGGTTAACAGGCTCGTTGCCGAACCACGCCTTCCAGTAGAACTCCTTGATGCGGTCGTTGCGACCCTCCATGACCTCGCGGATAGGAGAGTAGCCAGCCTCGGGGTGGTAGGTGAACTTGAGGGGAAGGGCAGCGGGCTTGCCAAGGGCAGTAGTGTCCTTGATCATGTTGACAACAATCTCGTTCTCGCCAACCAACTTGACCTCAATAGCATCAACGTATTGGTTGTGGCGGGGCTGCTCACGAACCACAATGACAGTCTTGGCGGGGTCATTGGGATATTGAATCTCGACGAAGAGGCCACGGGTGGGAGCGAAGATACGACGGATGGGGTTGGTCTGGAACTTCTGGCCCTGAACGACAACATCAGACATGAGAAGGGCGTGACGCCAGTTCCTGTTGGGACCCGCAAGCAACGACAGCCAGGAGTCAAGCTCGGGCATAGTCGCCGCGGCGGACGAGGAAAGGCGGTAGGTGTTCTTGTGGGTATCATAGCTGACAGTGAGGCCCTCGACATCCAGGGGAACCTCAAGATCAACAAGCTTTCCACCGAAGTACTCAGTGACAGGGATGGAGGAGGTCTTGTTGTTGTAAAGGTCCTTGGTCAACAGAGAGATGTGGCCCTCGTGGATGCCATCGAGAATTTCCTTGATGGGCTGGTCAATGACGGTAGAGAACTTGGCGGCAGTAGGGCCCTGGAGAATGCAAGTACGGCCAACATCCTGACCAACGACGGCATCAAGATCCTCAGACTGCCAGAGGGAATCCTTCTTGAAGTAGAACTCGAAGTTGTCGTCAAGAACAGGGATGAAGGTGACGGGCTTCATGGTGGGGCGCATAGTCATGATCAAGAAGTACTGAACATCCTGGGCGTTGAGGATCTGGTTCTCAGCCTCTGGGTAAGCGGCGAGAATACGCTCGACAACACTGAAAGGGTCGTTGAGATCAGAGTAGCTCTGGAGCAAAGAAGGCTTGCCAGCAGTAGACGTGAAACGCTCCTCTAGGCGGTGGATAAAGTCGCCGGTGAAGACAATGTACGAGCGGTCGATCCAGCGGGACTGGTGCTTGACGTAGAGGAGCTCAACGCAGCGGCGCAGGACCTGAGCGTAGGTCATCTCGTCGAGGTCACAAGCCTCGCCAGCCTTGTTGCGACCAAACCAAACCTTCTGGCAGTCATCGTTCAACTTCTTGATGATGTAATCCTTCTGCTTGTTGAGCTCTGCGACTCTCTTCTCCTTGGGGATAGTGAAGATCTTCTTGTCCATCTCGGCCCAGAACTTGACACCGCGTGTCGCGAGCTTGTGAATGGGCTCGCCCATTTCGGAGCGCACAGTAATAACACCACCGGCGGGGCCCTTGTAGGTCTGCTCCCACTCGCCATCCTCCAGACCAGGAGCCTGGACAATGGCCTCCTTGGCAGCCTTGCTAGTGTGGGCTTCCTTGGCAACCATCATGCGGCTACCGAACAAGCAACCATCAAAGGGCATTGGAGGATAGCCGTACTTCTTAGCCCACTGACCAGTGAGGTAAGGGTAGGTGTCATCAGCGCCACCAAAACCGCTACCAGCGACCAAGATGATGTTCTCCTGTCGTCGGATGCGGCCATACATTTGGAAAATTGGCTGGTGGAAATCCTCGAAAGAGTGGTGACCACCACCGCGGCCACCGGTCCACTGAAGAATGACGGGGAAGGTGGGATTGGCTTTGGCGATGTTAACAACGGACTGGATAGCATCAACAGAGCCGGGCTTGAAAGAGATGTGCTTGAGTCCAAGTGTCTCAATGTACTCGTTGGCAACCTCAATGGAGGGCACACCAGCACCAATGGTAAGACCCTCGATGGGGACACCCTCGGCACGAAGCTTGCCAATGAGGGGAATCTGCCAAGACATGGCTCGGGGGTTGACGTAGATCAGGTTGACTGAGATACCACGGCCGGCGGGAATGGCTTGCTCAATCTTCTTGATGGCATCGGTCATCATGGGGCCAATAAAGTAGCCACCACCAGCAAGCTCGATATGGTATCCGGCCTTCATGGTGGCCGCCACAAAGTCCCAGGGGACAGTGGCAGGGGTCATGCCAGCAACAACAATTGGCGGGAGACCAAGAAGGCGACTCATCTTGGTGTCAAGGTAGGTCCGACCTCCCTTAGTGGTCACCAGTCGCGGGCCAAATTCCTTGACCCAGTCAATGGCGTACTTGACATTCTCCTCATCACGATCGAAAATCTCAGGCTTGTAGCCAACCTCGTTCATCGAGCCATCAACGGAACCAGCAAGAATGACGCGAACACCGCTTCCCTCCTTGTTGCGGCTGGTCAGGACACCAAGACCGGAGATGCCTCCAGGGCCGAAGTCCAAGATGTGAGTGGCCTCGGGGAAGACGGTAGCCTTCTCCCAGTTCACGGGATCACGCGTGATCAGGCGAATCAGATCAGGAACAATGTTTCCCTTGATCTCGCGGAGATCCTTGCCAGTGTTGGTATCGAAAACGGCGATACCAAGGGAGCTGGAATCAATGTTGATATCCTTCAGATCCTCGTCAATCATAGCAGTGGCCTCAGAAAGGTACTTGCTGTGGAAAGGGGCTGTGATGGGGAGGAATCGGTTGACAAAGCGAACCTTTCGCTCAGTGTATGGGATTCGGTTTTGGTCAAGGCCAGTAGGAGCCTTGACCTTTCGGAGCTGGGAGTTGAGTCCATACAACGAGCTCGGGGGACCGGTAACGACGAGGTTTCGGGGGCTGTTGATAAGGGAGACACCAATGTGGCGGTCGGCGGGGAGGTACTGGTTGGTAGCATCAATGTGCTTCTGGACCTCAGTTTGTGCAAGGTCACGGATGCTAAGCATAGGAGTAGGGGAGCCCTCGCCATGTTCCAGCGACTCCCGGAGCATGCTTGGAGTCATGGAGGTGATGGGGAAAGCTTGCTGACTGCGAGTTCCGATCCAGAAAAGCATGGTGAGAACCGAGGTGGTGATATCGCGCCACGAGTCCCACGAATCGGCAGCAGCAGTGGCAGCGGCCATGACAATACCCTGGGAGTGACCAGTGGTACCGGTTATCCGATCGCGCAGCATTCCAGGGTGGACTCCAAGAACTCTGCAAGTCACCTCGTAGTGGGCGAGCTGAACAAGACCAATCAGAGGGAAAGACACTGGCGCAGAAATCAGGTAGTCGACGTCAGGAGTGGCTTCGGCATTGTGAAGCCAGTTCATGATGTCCAGGCCTTTGGGGAACATCTTCTCCGCGCTGGGGTTCTTGGAGAGAGTCTGAAGAATCTCGGCGGAGGTGGTGATGAGATCGCCAATGAAGCTAGAGTAGGTCTTGTGGATCTCACGGAGCTCCTCGAAGTACTCCTCAATGTTACCCTGACCACCGAAGATTGTGTAGATCTCGGCAGAGGCGTCCTCAGCAGCTCGGAAGAGGGCGGAAGCATGAGGCTTGATGGGCCGGTTGCAGACGGCGCGAGCGGTGTAGTAGCTGCGGATGAACTCGAGCTTCTTAGCCTCGATACCGGGGAGGGTAGCAGCAACGGCGTGTGCCTCATTGCCACGGAGGAAAGTTCGCTCAAACTCGATGAGGACGAGCTTCAGCACCTCCTCGTAGGAGCCGGACTCGTCATCGTCGCCCTCGTCGACCTGGTGTGCAATGAGACCCAGGTATCTCGCTACGAGTTCGGGGACGGATGAGGGCTCATCATCCTGAGCGAGCTCGTCGGTTGCGGCGGGTAGGGTCGCAACGAACTGGTCTTTCAACTGCGAGGCGTGGAAATGGAGGTTTGTGGGGATGAGGAAGGAGGTCTCGAGAGAGCCGTGAGACAGAGTCAAAGGTCGCAGCGAGGCGTTTGATCTGGGGGTGGAAATGCCCGTCTGGGCGCCGTTTCCTGAGCCGTACATGGTGGGAGAAGGGGGTATCGAAGAAATCTGCGGTGGGGGAAAAGGGAGCTCAAAGTCAGTTCTCTCGTTCTACTAAGGGTCTCAAAGCGCGGGCAGGGCGCGGGCTAGGCGCGCAGAGAGGGACAAACCTATCAATTCAACTCGTGGCACCGGATGAAAATCTGATGCTTAACCCCAAGGACGCTGGCAGAGTATCCGGCGATCCTCAATGCGCAGTGCTGGCTGGTCCCCAGGAGGTTGGAGGGGGGAAATTAGGGTAGAGGAGGCCGCAGTGAAGGGAGCTTGGAATCAGTGGAGCGCGGGATTCACACAACACAAGACCAGCCAGGCGCAAGACACGAGAGAAGAAAAGGAAGGATGAGTGAAGATAATCTCGGGAGAAAGGGTCAGAGGTCTAAAGAGCTCAAGGGCGAGATTGGTCGACGGATGGTATAATTCAAGAACGAGAAAATTCGAGCTTGAGACAGGCCCCCAAGACCCGGCTAAGATCAGGTCGGATGTGCAACCGGAGGTTTGAGACCGCTCAGCACCGACACCAGCCAAAAATTCAGTTCTGTTGGGGATGAGCGATGGGCGATTGAGGGGTACGTACCCATGACCTGGCTCACACCCTCACACCGTACCTGCCAGCGACCAAAAGCCCACCAGAGCCGTCCAGGCGCCCGCCAGTTACGAGTGTTGCGAGTGCGATTGGCATGCACCACCACATGGGAGGCTCGCTCGATCCGCATGGGCCCCACGCCACGGTGGTCCCCTGTTGCATGGCGCCTGGTCGCCGCTACATCGAGGCTGGGTTGGCGCAGGAGGGGTCCTCGGAATGCGGGCATGTACCGGTACTTGGCGTGGCAGCACTCTCCGCCGGGAGAGTTCGGGGGGTGTTTCTGTGGATTTTGGAGGGGCAGCGGTTCTTGGGGGCTTGCCACCAACGCCTTCGTCAGTCACCAGAGTGGCCAGTGTGTCCTGGGGCACGACTTGCGGCCCTCCACCTCCCCTCTTTGGGGCAGGTCGGCGGCGTGTAGGGCCGAGCTTGGGGCACCTGTGAGGCTGCTGTTGAGCCACGCCTGCAGCGGACGGATGGGCGGAAGGCTGACGGTAATTTTGGTGAGATGTCGATTCGCCAGCAACAAAACAACAAAAATTCTGCCGGGCGGACTCGGTTTGGTTGCCACGGTGTGCCCAGAGAGGTTGCACTCAACTCATCCTCCATCGTAGCTATGGTGTAATTGTTCTTCTCAAAGGTCTATCCCGGACACTATCTCTCACCACATTGTATCAACAATCCGTAGTCGTGCCGAATTGAACCGAAACTCTTTCGCAACTGCCCGGCCACCCGATCCAATGCTTGTTGAACAGCGAAAGGTTCGTTGTTGACAGGCTGTTCCGGATCCCTTGTGTCTGGAGGCGGTCTCGATGACACCCAATCCCGAGCTCTCGGACTCTAAGCACCCCACTCAACCAAGGGGCAACAAGAGCCATGGGAAACTCCAGCAATAATGACTTCACCAACACCTGACGATCATCAATCCATGATGCGCTTGGGTTGACCACCTAGACTCCCCTGCGAGGTTGTTCTTCGAGAAGATTCGACGGCCAGGTACCTCGTCGTATGCCTCATACACTACCAACTATGATAGCTGCCTTCCAGCATTTTTTCCCAACTCCGGTCCACTTCCTACACATCCCACTACATTATGCCACCCCCTACCGCCCAGCCAACATCCCCTACAGAAGTGGCCCCCACCAGCCCACATCAACCCGCCCAGCTCCCGAGCACAGTGGGTCCAGGTCACTCTACATCATCCAGGATGTCTGAGAGCCAAGTGAGTGCCAACCAACGTCGCGCCGGCACGCCTCCTCTTGGTGCCGGATGCACCTCACGGAGTATCAGCCTCTCAATGGGCCGCGATTCATGAGCACTTCTCAGGTCCGAGGCCTGTCCACGAGCGGCGTGGCGTTCGTATGTAGCTTCTTGCATGCACCAACGGCTTGAAGATCTATTCCGTACCGTCTGTAAGGGCAGGCATGAGCCGCGACGGGGTGCTTCTGCTGAAGATGGCGTATTATGGAGAATACCTAGACAAGGCAACCGAATTAATCGAAATTCACCATGAGACAGCATAGAGTGCGGCGGCCTCCAACAAGACATGTTGTTGCCCGGAATCCCGGAATGCTAAGGATAGTATCGGTACTTGGCCGAGCGATGCGCACTGGAGAAGTGTCATGGGAGATGGAAGCTGGGCCAGACGCGAAATTGCACCCAGAGTCAGCTCCATGATGGCAGGGGAGCTCCCACACCCATCAAGCCACAGACTGTCGTCACCTCACATTAAGATTCCCCAAGAAGGGGCGATTGTTATCATCAACAACTCGACGATAAAGACGCATCCGAAACCTAAGATAAGAGCAATCCGTACCTACGAGGCGATGACCACCAGTGCGAGCCCGCTCGGCCGAGCAGTTGTCGGCTCTCAGCAAAGGTAACGCGGCGGATGCGACAGCCCAGCAAAAACATGTCTGATGGTGCCCCAAAAGCTTGGTTTCTGGGGAAGGCGCCCCCCTGGTCACCCCTGGCAGTTGCTGCCCTTTCCATACCGCCTTCCCTAGTACGGACTAGCGTGGCAATATGGTTGAGGAGCGTGCTGCAAGCCGGCAGCAGGATCCCAAGGCCCGCCGTCATGAGTGGCACCCAAACCACCACCTTCGAGCCCCATGAGACGCCGAAGTACATGTACAGGGGACTTGGGATTTGGACTCGGGTCTACAACGCCGCTGCACCCTGCCACGGGGATTCTGTAGGTACCGGCAGCAGCCCTTACAGCGGCCAGATGCGTAATACCTCCCTGACTTGCGGTACGTACCTGCACTGTCAACCGGGTCTGGAGCCATCGCCCCGTCGCAGTACGCCGTAGGGAGGCAATGCGACCAGGGTGTGTTGACCACAGCTCCCCCAATTTTTTTTTCGCTCGTCGCCTTTTGGTGGGCCATTTCGTTCAACAATCGGCTACTCCCTCGCCGACGGCTCCAATTGTGATTACCCTCCATTGCCCTTCCGCTCCAGTCCTCCGGATCCGTTTTCTTCCCCAAATCCTCTGCATTGCTTCTCGCTGGCAGGCAGAACGCACTCAGTCTTCAATTACACGCTCCTCGCCCGTGTACTTCTGCCTCCATCTTCTACATCCTCCCCCTCCTCCCCCCAGCTGCCACTCCCTGCCTCGCCAGCCCGGGAGCATCTTGCGACAGCTGCGTTTCTTCGTGTGTACGTTGGGTTGAGCGGACCCACGGTATAATCACCACTACGCGCCAATCCACACTCTGGCTGCGATAGCCATTTTGGCCTTCTTCGAGATACCCCTTCTTTCATCGACCTCCCCGACCTAATTCGCCCATCATGCGTCCCGAAGTCGAGCAAGAGCTCGCTCACACCCTGCTCGTTGAGCTTCTCGCCTACCAGTTCGCCTCTCCCGTCCGGTGGATTGAGACCCAAGATGTTTTCCTCGGTGACAGGACCGCCGAGCGGGTCGTAGAAATCGGTCCCGCCGACACTCTAGGAGTCATGGCCAAGCGAACACTGGCATCCAAGTACGAGGCCTACGATGCCGCCAAGTCCGTTCAGCGCCAGATTCTTTGCTACAACAAGGATGCTAAGGATATTTACTATGAGGCCGACCCCGTTGAGGACGAGCCTGAGCCCGTTGCTTCTTCTCCCGCTGAGGCTGCTCCTGCTGCTGCTGCCGCTGGCTCTCCTGCGCCTGTGGCTGCTGCCCCCCCTCCAAGCGCAGGACCCGCTGCTGCGATTGCTGATGAGCCTGTCCAGGCCGTGGACATTGTCCGCGCCCTGATTGCACAGAAGCTCAAGAAGCCTCTACTTGAGGTGCCCCTAAGCAAGGCCATCAAGGACCTTGTCGGTGGTAAGTACTCATGAAACTGAAATCAAAGGGGAAACGCCAACTAATTCACCGCTTCCTAGGTAAATCCACGCTCCAGAACGAGATTCTCGGTGATCTCGGAAAAGAATTCGGTTCGACCCCCGAGAAGCCTGAAGACACTCCCCTCGATGAGCTCGGTGCCGCTATGCAGGCCACTTTCGATGGCCAGCTTGGCAAGCAGTCCCAGTCTCTTATCGCCCGATTGATCTCTTCCAAGATGCCTGGTGGCTTCAACATCACAGCTACTCGAAAATATCTTGAGAGCCGTTGGGGTCTCGCATCTGGTCGACAGGACGGTGCTCTGTTGCTGGCTCTGACAATGGAGCCCGCTGCTCGTCTGGGTTCTGAGGCTGACGCCAAGGCCTTCCTCGACAGCGTTACTCAGAAGTATGCCACCAATGCCGGTATCAGCTTGACCACCACTTCCGCAGCCGGCCCTGCTGGTGGTGCTAGCGGCGGTATGATGATGGACCCCGCGGCCATCGACGCCCTGACCAAGGACCAGCGAGCTCTCTTCAAGCAGCAACTCGAGCTCCTTGCCAGATACCTCAAGCTTGATCTCCGCGAGGGCGACAAGGCTTTCATCAACGCCCAGAAGTCTGAGAAGGTCCTTCAGGCCCAACTGGATCTCTGGACAGCCGAGCACGGCGAATTCTACGCCGCGGGTATTGAGCCCGTCTTCAGCCCTCTGAAGGCTCGCACTTACGATTCCTCCTGGAACTGGGCTCGTCAGGATGCTCTCAGCATGTACTTCGATATTATCTTCGGTCGTCTTAAGGTCGTCGACCGAGAGATTGTCAGCCAGTGCATTCGCATCATGAACCGCTCAAATCCCAAGCTCATCGACTTCATGCAATACCACATGGACAACTGCCCCACCGAGCGAGGCGAGACTTACAAGTTGGCCAAGATGCTTGGAGAGCAGCTCATTGAGAACTGCAAGGAGGTCCTCGACATCGCCCCTGTCTACAAGGATGTCGCCGTTCCCACCGGGCCTCGCACCACCGTCGACGCCCGCGGTAACCTCAACTACGAGGAAGTTCCTCGTGCCAGCTGCCGCAAGCTGGAGCACTACGTCCAGCAGTTGGCTGAGGGTGGCAAGATCTCCGAATACGGCAACCGCACCAAGGTTCAGAGCGACCTTCAGCGCATCTACAAGCTCATCAAACAGCAGCACAAGATGTCCAAGACTTCCCAGATTGAGATCAAGACCCTCTACAGCGAGGTCCTCCGCTCCCTGGCTATGAACGAGAACCAGATCATCCCCAAGGATAACGGCAAGGCCCGCAAGTCCGGCCTCAAGGCCACCAGCCAGCACAAGGGCAAGGTCGAAACCATCCCCTTCCTGCACCTAAAGAAGAAGTCCCTTCACGGCTGGGACTACAGCAAGAAGCTCACCGGCGTCTACCTCAACACTCTCGAGGACGCTGCCAAGTCTGGTGTCAGCTTCCAGGGCAAGAACGTCCTGATGACTGGTGCCGGTGCCGGTTCCATCGGTGCCGAGGTTCTCCAGGGCCTTGTGAGCGGTGGTGCCAAGGTCATCGTCACCACCAGTCGCTTCTCGCGAGAGGTGACTGAGTACTACCAGGCCATGTACACCCGCTATGGCTCCCGTGGATCTCAGATCGTCGTTGTTCCCTTCAACCAGGGCAGCAAGCAGGACGTTGAGGCCCTCGTCGAGTACATCTACGACACCAAGAACGGTCTTGGATGGGACCTTGACTTCATCGTTCCCTTCGCCGCCATTTCTGAGAACGGACGTGAGATCGACACCATCGACTCCAAGTCTGAGCTTGCTCACCGCATCATGTTGACCAACTTGATCCGTATGCTGGGCTGCGTCAAGGCCCAGAAGGCCGAGCGCGGCTTCGAGACTCGTCCTGCTCAGGTTGTTCTACCCCTGTCTCCTAACCACGGTACCTTCGGTAACGACGGTCTCTACTCCGAGTCCAAGCTCGGTCTCGAGACCCTCTTTAACCGATGGCACTCGGAGAGCTGGACCAACTACCTCACCATCTGCGGTGCTGTCATTGGCTGGACCCGAGGCACTGGTCTCATGTCCGGTAACAACATCGTCGCTGAGGGCGTTGAGGCCTTTGGCGTCCGCACCTTCTCTCAGCAGGAGATGGCTTTCAACCTTCTCGGCCTTTTGTCGCCCGCTCTCGTCGACTTGTGCCAATCGGAGCCTGTCTTCGCTGATCTTAACGGCGGTCTTCAGTTCATCCCCAACCTGAACGAGACCATGACCAAGCTTCGCAAGGACATCATGGAGACCAGCGAGGTCCGCAGGGCTGTCAGCAAGGAGAACGCCATTGAGAACACCATCGTCAATGGTGCTGCCTCTGAGGTTCTGTACAAGAAGAAGACCATCGATCCTCGTGCCAACATCAAGTTTGATTTCCCCAACCGACCTGACTGGAAGACAGAGATTGCTCCTCACCATGAGACCCTCAAGGGCATGGTTGACCTCGAGAAGGTCGTTGTCGTCGCCGGTTTCGCCGAAGTCGGTCCCTGGGGTAACTCCCGCACTCGATGGGAGATGGAGGCCAAGGGTGAGTTCTCTCTCGAGGGCTGCGTTGAGATGGCCTGGATCATGGGTCTCATCAAGAACCACAACGGTCCTATCAAGGGCAAGCCTTACGCTGGCTGGGTTGACGCCAAGACTGGCGAGCCCGTCGATGACAAGGATGTGAAGCAGAAGTACGAGAAGTACATTCTCGAGCACTCCGGTATTCGATTGATTGAGCCTGAGCTGTTCGACGGCTACGACCCCAACCAGAAGCAGCTGCTTCACGAGGTCGTCATCGAGGAGGACCTCGAGCCTTTCGAGGCTTCCAAGGAGACGGCTGAGGAGTTCAAGCGCGAGCACGGGGAGAAGGTTGAGATCTTCGAGATCCCTGAGAGCGGCGAGTACATCGTCCGCCTCAAGAAGGGCGCTGGCCTCTGGATTCCCAAGGCTCTTCGCTTCGACCGTCTCGTTGCCGGTCAGATCCCCACCGGCTGGGACCCCAAGCGCTATGGTGTCCCCGAGGACATCATCTCCCAGGTCGACCCTGTTACCCTCTTCCTCCTTGTCTCAACTGCCGAGGCTCTTCTCTCCTGCGGTATCACCGACCCCTACGAGTTCTACAAGTATGTCCACGTCTCTGAGGTCGGCAACTGTGTCGGTTCCGGTATGGGTGGTGCTGCTGCTCTCCGTGGCATGCACAGGACTCGCTTCCTTGACCAGCCTCTCCAGAACGATATTCTGCAGGAGTCTTTCATCAACACCATGGCTGCCTGGGTCAACATGCTTTTGATGTCATCCTCCGGTCCTATCAAGACCCCTGTCGGTGCTTGTGCCACTGCTGTCGAGTCCGTCGACATTGGTTACGAGACCATCATGGAGGGCAAGGCCCGAGTGTGCTTCGTCGGTGGCTTTGACGACTTCGGTGAGGAGGGTTCGTATGAGTTCGCCAACATGAAGGCCACCAGCAACACCGTCGATGAGTTCGCTCACGGACGCACTCCCAAGGAGATGTCGCGACCCACTACCACTACCCGAAACGGATTCATGGAGTCCCAGGGTTGCGGTCTCCAGGTCATCATGACTGCCAGACTTGCCCTTGATATGGGTGTCCCCATCCACGGTATTTTGGCTCTTACCACTACCGCCTCTGACAAGATTGGCCGATCCGTTCCGGCTCCTGGACAGGGTGTGCTTACGACCGCTCGCGAGCATGCTAGCAAGTTCCCCAACCCTCTTCTTGATATCAGCTACCGTCGTCGCCAGATCGAGCGTCGCAAGAAGCAGATCAAGCAGTGGCAGGAGGCTGAACTCGAGTACGTTCATGACGAGATTGACGCCATGAAGGCTCAGGGTGGTGCCTTCAACGAAACAGAGTACTCTCAGGAGCGCTTTGCTCACATCCAAAAGGAGGCCGCTCGCCAGGAGAAGGAACTTCTCCGCAGCATGGGCAACCACTTCTGGAAGAGCGACCCCAGCATCGCTCCTCTCCGTGGTGCTCTCGCCACCTGGGGCCTTACCATCGACGATCTCGATGTTGCCTCCTTCCATGGAACCTCCACCAAGGCCAACGACAAGAACGAGTCCTCTGTCATTTGCCAGCAGCTCCGCCACCTTGGTCGTACCAAGGGTAACGCCGTCCTGGGTGTCTTCCAGAAGTACCTCACTGGTCACCCCAAGGGTGCTGCCGGTGCTTGGATGATGAACGGATGTCTCCAGGTGCTCAACACTGGTCTCGTCCCCGGTAACCGCAACGCCGACAACGTCGACCCCGTCATGGAGCAGTACGACCTCATCGTCTACCCCAGCCGAAGCATTCAGACCGACGGCATCAAGGCCTTCTCCGTCACCTCCTTCGGTTTCGGTCAGAAGGGTGCCCAAGCCATTGGTATCCACCCCAAGTACCTGTTCGCTACCCTTGACGAGGACACCTACGTCGACTACTGCGCCAGGGTTGAGGCCCGACAGAAGAAGGCCTACCGATACTTCCACGACGGCCTCATCAACAACAGGCTGTTCGTGGCCAAGACCGACCCTCCCTATGCCGAGGACCAGCTCAGCAAGGTGCTGCTGAACCCCGACGCCCGCGTCTCTGAGGACAAGAAGACGTCCGAGCTCAAGTTCGGTGCCGACTTCATGAAGCGGTCTGAGAAGACTGTCCCCAGCGTCAAGGCCAAGGAGACCCAGCAGGTCATGGAGGCTCTTGCCCAGAAGGTAACCAACAAGAACAGCAATGTTGGTGTCGATGTCGAGGATATCTCGGCAGTCAACATTCACAACGAGACCTTCGTCGAGCGCAACTTCACTGCCAATGAGATTGCGTACTGCCGACAGGCCCCCAGCCCTCAAAGCTCCTTCGCCGGTCGCTGGAGTGCCAAGGAGGCTGTGTTCAAATCACTGGGTGTTGCAAGCAAGGGAGCTGGCGCCGCTCTGAAGGACATTGAGATCCTCAAGGGCGAGACTGGTGCTCCTACGGTTTCGGTAAGTTTCTCTCAACCTTGATGCGTAAACATTTTGCTAACAACTCTCTAGCTCCACGGCGATGCTGCAGCTGCTGCCAAGCAAGCTGGTGTGAAGGACATCACCGTGTCCATCTCACACTCTGACACCCAGGCGATTGCTGTTGCTGTTGCCAGCTTTTAGACGCTATGATGGATAAGAGAATATGTACATGTTTTTGGACTGGGATGATAAATGGCGTTTAGACCATCTGCTTCGATATGTTGTCTTCACTCGAAACTTTGAGCACTGAAACAATCGGTTGGGAGTGGACCTAGTAGAATTCGTATTACCATAGCATAGATGAATCATACTTTTTGCAAGTCTTAATTTTGACTGGCCTGTGTCTTATTTCGTATTTGGAGTCTAGCTATTGGTTGTTTTTCCCAGCTAAGTCTGCTTGTTGAACCAACCCGCATAACGTTAAACCATAGGGTAGGCTGGTGTCCAAGCGATTTGAGAGTCACGTTCAGTCTAGATATCAATGTGGCCCAAATTCATATGCCATACACCCTGACCGGAATAAAACACTCCTCTCGTGTGGGACTATCAATGGGTACCCGTTCATGACTGTACGTGCCAGGCATGTCATAGGAAGCATCCTAGCTGCTTCATTGACCTCTGCCCCGACCCCGACCCCTGCCACCACCACGGCCTCGTCCTCTATCGTTGCCCCGTCCGCCGTGGTCTCCTCTGGACTGGCCTCCCCTTCCACCTCGGAAGTTTCCTTGCTGGCCCTTCTGCGACTCGCTGACCTGGTCGATGATTTCGTCTGGTACTCGCAGGTATTTGATCTAGTTGCCTTGTCAGCCAGAGCCCAACTCGCACATGGAGGCGAAGGATTCGGTAAAACGCACGTTGTTTCCCTTGACGTAGACTTCTGGTAACCTCACAAACTTGTCGCCCTCCTGTATTTTCTCGTCAGCCTCGTGTGTGTAGTCCGGGGTTCGACCGAGGGGAGCTGCCTACCGGACTCGTCTGCACCACCTCCTTCAAGGTGAGGTTCATCCAGGTGTCGCACATGACCAGATGGCCGTTGAGTGTCTCGCCGTTCTTGAGCTCGACCAGCATAGGGTGGCCTTGGGCCGCGTTTAGTAGACCGAGGGGCAACTGCGCACGTGGTTAGCTTTGCGCTCTGCGGCGTGCGCCCCGGGGAGACAGCGGAGGTCTGGCCAAAAATCGCCAGGGCGCGCGAAGGGATGGGGGTCTCGTACCATGGTGTCGAGTTTGCGCCAGCGGTCGGTATGGTGGATGATGCGCGCTGGAAGCAGAATGTTGGGATTGGAACAAGCTTGTGGAGCTGGCGGCTTTCTCGGTGAGGCCAAGGTGAGTGGGCAGCCGCCGGGACGGGCACCCAGAGCTGCATCACCCCGCTTTAGAGATACGCGGAAGCCTTCCGCGGTTTAACGGTAGAATCTAGGAACAAAACTTTGGACCTCCAACAGCAATTGTTCACGCGCAAAAGTGATGACGGCGACGAACCAACATCCTCAAAAGCCATGCGCCGTGCGACACTGCTTTACGATGGGCTCTGGCGCTGCCTGTGCCCTGCATTCGATGAACATGCATTGCCCAGGGCTCTCAATGCTTCATTATTCGTAGCACCTACCCGGCCGTCCCCGAACCGCAACCGATCCATTCCCAGGGCCAGTCTCATTCAACGCCGCCGGCATGGAACCAGCGCAGTTGATACCACAGACTCTTCCGCCGGGGTTGCGTCGCTCGACTCCTTCTTCAAGATGGCGGAGAAGAAACTCAGTCCCATCCAAGCGAAGAAGGACCCGCATCAACTTCTCGGGCGACGGACGCCGACACTCGAAACAATCCCTTCGGAGGAGATCGTCAAAGCACTCGAGGTCCTACGAAATGGGAACTACGACATGATGCCTGATCCGCATGCGCGAATAGTCCAGTTCGTCAAGTTTCTCATTGTGGAACGACAGTATCCTCCAGATGCCTTCATCTACGAGTGCATGATGGATGCGATGACGGACCCTCAGGGCTCGGCCATGGGAGTGCGCAATTTGTTGCGCGACATGGACGCTCAGGGTATAATGCCCACGGCAGCCATCTGCTACAGCGCACTGGAAGCTCTGACTGTGCACCCCGACTACATTCTGCGCCAGGAGGTCGTCGACATCATGATCAAGTACTGGCACGAAATCACCATGTCAGCGAAGCAGAACATTGCGATCGGGATGCTTCGGGATGGCCAACATGAGCTAGCGCTTGCCAAGCTCACTGAATTGCATGAAAGCGGTGAACAGATCAATCTCTGGGTCTACGATATCTTCATTGTGGAGTTTGGCGGGATGGGCTTCCTGGATGAGATGCTGCAGCTGCTGCGTCAGCGGAAATACGCCAAGGGTACTGATGACGCTTTCCGCACATTGCTCCTTCATGCTCTCGACCTTTTTAGCCAAGCATATCATGAAGCTGGTACGAAATTTGTATGGAACTATGTAGTGGCTCAGCCACTCTTGAACCCATCCAATGCAATCATTGAAAACGTCTTGGCCACGGCAGCGAGACATGCCGATACGACGCTGGCCTCGGAAGCCCTGGGTATTCTCTCCAGCCGAGGCAGGGTGCCTGACCACCAATACGAGGCTCTCATGGATGCGTTTGCGGCCGCAGAGGACATGCCAGGCGCACTTGGTGTCCTGGCCATCATGGAGCGAAACGGTGCCAGTGTCCAGCGCGGCACGACCAGGGGGATATACCAAACAATGAAAAACAACCCCTGGCTGATCAATGAGGCCAGGACTACCCTGGGAGAGATGCGTAAGAACGACGTGATTCCCTTGGAAGCTCTCGGAGTCACAATCGAGGCCATGGCCCACGTCCGTGGGTCAGAAGCTGCCATGCCATTGTACCACGAGACGTTTGCTCTCAGCGGTAAACGTCCGGGGTACGGATTTTTGAAGGAGTTGATCCTCAATAGCACCAACCAAGAGACTCTATGGGCGCTCGCGAAGGACTATGGTGTCCTGGTGCCCAAGGACAGGCAGCTACAGGAGGAAGATGTAAAGTTGTACGATCGGATGATCCCTGCTTGTGCGCAAGCTGGAGATTTTGATCGAGCTTTTGAGTATGCCGAGAGGGTGATGGAGGCGGAGACGTCAGAGGTAGAGAAGTCCGAGGAAGAGAAGTCCGAGGAAGAGCACAAGACAGCATGGCTGCTCCATCCTTGGGTCCAACCTTTGGTTGATCACGCCGTGGCAGCGAAGGATGCTCGAGTGTGGCCAATCGTGGACCGGATGGCCAAGGCTACGGGTGACAAGGCCGAGATGGTGCAGACGATCCTTCAGCGGCACCGAATGGACAGGCGAGCCGAGCTGTTGAAGGCCCAGAAAGACGGTCAAACGTTGTGAGAGAGCGCGTGGTTAGGACTTGCCCCTCATTGAGGCGGAGTAACTGCCAACAAGCTCTGGTGGTCAGCAAGCCTGGGGAGCATAGACAGCTGTAAGTTACACAGTCAGAAGTGGATATTGAGTGTCAAATCGTAGAGAATGGTTTCGATACTGAGTGTGATGACGCGGTTGGAGAGAGGATAAGATTACCATCTACAACACACCACTCTGGTGCATTAACACAGTCGAACACGGCACACACCATTTGTTAAGTCGACCTCATAAGCCACGCCGAGGGTTCCGGGATAGCGGAAGCAGCCAAGGTTGTCGGCTGCATGTGGAACGGGCGCTGACGGTGCCAACCAAGTGTCGTGTCGGTCGGAAAGTTTCTGCCTCGTGCCAGAAAGACGGCAATGTGTGTGTGCGAAGGCTGTCACAACATGGCCATGATTGGAACCGAGGATCTGGGTGGAAGGGTCGGAGATGCATGTTCGCCGCAATGCCGACAGGTGAGCGAAGGGACTTTACAATCCCACATGCCAGGCCACCCTCCCTCACATATTTCTTTTTTTTTTTCTAGTTGTTGTCCCCAGATAAGCATCTAAACCAACGCTCTCAACATGAGACAGAGGAAAATCGGGATGGCGGTCGGAGGATCACGTATATACGCTATGTATCATACAAATCAAGTGGGCCAAGCGGGACAATCTCAAGGCCGATGGCGATGAGTCAAGATGGGAGATGGGACAGGATTTCCGGATTGGGCAAACTGGTGTACCTGGCTCGGTGCGATTGCTAAGCGGATCCGCGAGCAACCATGATTACATTTTCCATCTGCACTTACAGGGAGCTTAATTAGCGGCTCAACGACATTGTCGAGCGGAATGACGTAGACAAAGAGCGTGGCTTGTTGTTAGCGCTGATTCAGAAAAATATGCTCCAGTGGACGACGCGAAGAGAAGCATGAAGAGCTGTGGGCGAGTTTTGCGTGGGTTTGATTTGATGGGATGGTGGCATTGGGCAGGAATGGGCGAGCCAGGACCGTCTGTTGGGTTGTGTTGGGAAGGGAAGGGAAGGGAAGGGAAGGGAGATGCAACAGGGCAAGATGAGATGGCTGCGGCAAACAGGCTGGCATATGCTGTCATGGCGGATCGGGGCAAAATCCGACCAGGTCAGATGGGAAACGGCAAATGAAGCTGTCGGATATGTTGCGTGTCAGCACCCCGACGGAGAAGCGCGGAAGTTGACGCTCACGGATCTGCAGAGTGAAGGGCGCGGTACATTCACACACGAGCCAGCACAAAACGAGACGACATGGGGTGTATCTGGCTAACAGCGGCCGGGGTAATTCCAAAGCAACACATGGTTAGCGGTGGCTCAATAGCTCCAAGATCCGGCGTCCATCGGCAGTAAGGAAAGGAAGGGCCTTTGCTCTGTGAGATATGATGAGATGAGATGAGATGGGAATAGGAGATACCGTGCGGCGACAACTCTAATCCGACCAACCAAAGGGATCCACGGTCTCGCGTCAGCCCTAAACTCCGCCAAGGCCTGGGCCGTTCGATGAATGATGATGAATCGACTGTGCTCACTGTGAGAGAGACAGACAGAGAGAAAAGAAAGATCCCTGTGTTTCCAATCCGTGGCGTCGGTAGATGCAACCCCATCTCCACCTGAGTAATACCGACACCCTCCTCCTCCCCTTGCGTCCCTCATCTTCCTTGCAGCTCGGCCTTTCCAGACGCGCCATTTACGATAGATGGACGCTCCCGTCCGATTGGTAATCCCCGCACTTGGAGTTGGTCCGAGTCGCGTCTCTCTTTGTTGCACGCCAGCGGACGTGCGATGGGCGTGAAAGCTTGGCTCGGCCGGGTGGTGGTTTCGTGCTTGCTTGCTAAGTCCGGCGCCCATCACGTAGCTCCGTAGCGTCGCGGTTCGGTTTTTTGTCATGGGCTATTCTTGCTGATTACCTATCAGGCCGTGAGAGGCAGCGTGGAGAGGAGGGGGGGAGGTTTCTTCCGCTTGGCCACATGGCGAGGTTGTGAGCGTCAGACGGATGGGATATAAGATGCGATGCGGTCTCCAATGGTGTTCCGGTCCTGGTCTATAAACCCATCTCAGCTCAAACGCCTCTTTCCTGGTGCTGAGCCATCTCGACCATCCATCCACTTACACGGATTCACCCATCTCGTGGTATAAACTTTGGTACAAAGCCATCTTCCACCCATACCTTACCCTCAGCCACCCGTTATCAGGGTACACGCACAGCCCAGATACAACTGCAGCAATGGCGGCGCTCATCCGCGAAGCCCCCCTGGGCCAGCTCATCCGCTTCGTCACACGCAACAAGTTCTTCCAGTACCCCGAGGAAAAGGACGGCTTCGAGCTGCCCGAGCCGTGGGTCATCCTGCTCAACAACCCCGACGCCGTGGTGCTGGAGGATGGCCAGATCAACACCACCAACAACAACACCGTCGTGGGCTCGTCGGCCTCGTCCGTCACGGCCGAAGACCCGGACGGCAAGCCCAAGCCCAAGAAGGAGCACGACAAGGAGGAGCAGGTCGAGGACGGCGGCCGCATCCAGCTGCACCGCACGCGCTCCGCCAACGAGACGCACGCCTACACCGTCGACCGGCTCCAGGTCGACGAGCAGCACGAGCTCGAGAAGGTCAAGTCGATCCCCGTCGTGCCCAAGCGCACCAAGGACGGCGCCATCCTCGTCGACTGGTACTACAGCGACGACGCCGAGAACCCGCACAACTGGACCAACAGGAAGCGCGGCGGCATCGCCCTGCTGATCTGCCTCTACACCTTTGTCGTCTACACCTCATCCGCCATCTACACGTCCTCGACCGAGGGCATCATGCAAAAGTTCGGCGTCAGCCAGGTCAAGGCCACGCTGGGACTGTCCCTGTACGTGCTGGGCTATGGAATTGGACCGCTGCTGTTCTCGCCTCTCAGTGAGATCCCTCGCATTGGCCGCAACCCCGTGTACATCGTCACCATGTTCCTCTTCGTCATCATCTCCATCCCCACGGCCCTCGTCGACAACTACGCCGGCCTCATGGTCCTTCGATTCCTCCAGGGCTTCTTCGGTTCGCCCTGTCTGGCTTCGGGTGGTGCTTCTCTGGGCGATATGTACAGCTTGATGGCTCTGCCATATGCCATGATGGCCTGGGTCTCGGCCGCCTACTGTGGACGTAAGTCTCCCTTTATCCCCCCTTTCCCTCTCTTTTTTATATGAGCAAGTATTAACAGCCCTTTTCAGCTGCCCTCGGTCCTCTCCTCAGTGGCTTCGCCGTCCCCGTCAAGGGCTGGCGCTGGTCTCTCTACATTAGCATCTGGGCATCCGCCCCGATCTTCATCCTCATGTTCCTGCTCCTCCCCGAGACTAGCGGCCCCAACATCTTGCTTCGCCGTGCTAAGCGCCTCCGAAAGCTGACTGGCACCGATCGATTCATGTCCCAGAGTGAAATCGACCAACGCAACATGAAGGTCTCGGCCGTCGCCATCGACGCTCTCATCAAGCCTATGGAGATCACTCTCAAGGATCCCGCCGTGCTGTTCGTCCAGATCTACACTGCCATCATCTATGGCATCTACTATTCTTGTAAGCTCGTGCCTATCATCTTATGTGGCATTCAATATACTGACTATATTTCCCTTAGTCTTTGAGGTCTTCCCCTTGGTCTACCCCGTCTACTACAACATGAACCTTGGTCAGATTGGACTCGTCTTCCTCTGTATCCTGGTCTCTTGTCTCATTGGCGTGGGCGCATACACTGCCTACATGTACTACGTTGTTGACCGCCGCATCGCCAAGTACGGCTGGCCTGTTCAGGAGTCACGTCTCATCCCGGCCCTGGTGGCATCCTTCGGTCCTACTATCGGTCTCTTCCTCTTCGCTTGGACTGCGCGTGCGTCCATCCATTGGATTGTCCCGACCATCGGAATCACCATCTACGGTGCGACCGTCTTCGTGGTGATGCAGTGTATCTTCATCTACATCCCGCTCAGCTACCCCATGTACGCGGCCAGTCTGTTCGCGGCAAACGACTTCTTCCGCAGCGCCCTTGCCTGTGGTAGTGTTCTTTTCGCACACCCTCTCTTCGGCAATCTGGGTGTCGCCAAGGGCACGAGTCTCCTGGGCGGCCTAAGTGTCATTGGTATTATTGGTATTTGGCTGCTGTACTTCTTCGGTGGGAAGTTGCGCAGTCTCAGCAAGTTTGCTGTCTTCGAAGCTGAAGCATGAATGGTTGTCATGTACTGAATGTTGGATATGATGAAATGACGGATAACAATGACGTTAACAACCCTCTCTTAGCATTTTGGGTTTTACAATAATTAGCACATAATAGAGTGAGTAACAATTTGATAGACGGCGCAAAAGCTGGATGCACGCCATGGGAGATAATAATTAGTATCGCAACTCAATACGCATATTCTTCTGTCCACGATAATCATGATTGAATCTCAGAACCTGCACCTTCCCGCTGGAAACTAACGGGACTAAAAAAGGTATCGCTAGTGCAAACATTGCAATTCCGTATCGGCCGAGCCTCATCGGCATCCCAGCTCAAGATTCCCAGAGCAAATGAACCATGGGAACATGGCGAATCAAAATCCATGAAAAAGTCACCCTCTTAACCATGGACTAAAAGCAAAGTGCGCAACGCCCTACGCAATGCGTCCAGTCCCTTCATTCGGTCGCCTTATGTACCATAGCCCCCCTACCAACTCTCGTCTGGAGCCTTCCAGCTATACCCCGATGACTGGTTGGCGGATGTAAACGAACTGGTGCCCGGATTATTATATGCGTACCAGCTCTGGTGCTGGCTGTTCGACTGGTTGCTCGTCTGGCTCTGCTGCTGTTGAGGTTGGGTTGAGCCCGAATATTGCGAGTAACTCTGTTGCTGGTGGCTGAAAGAATTGTTCTCGGAGCGCGTAGCCTGCGAACTCGCTCGCGTGTTGTAGCTCTGTCGAGAAGTAGAGTCAGGCTTGGTGCCAGACGGCTGTGAGTATGTATTTTGGTTTTGATATGTAGACGTAGAGCTGTGTGGTGGGTCGTTTGTGCGTTGCGAACCCGACCGCTGGTTCGAAGACGAGGTCTGGTAAGACGGGGCCACTGTTGAGGAGGCTTGTGAAGACATCGACATCGCTATCTTGGCAACTCGGCTGGGAGGATCGACAATCCGGGATAAGTTTGAAGCCGCCTGTGACTGCGTGTATGGTTCATAACCAGACTTTTGGCTCGACTTACTCGCTACCGTGTTGGTAGCTCCAGATCGTCCATAATCATTGTGTTTCGGAGTTCCACCCCTATCCGATGAGTGATTGCCAGAATTATTGGCTCTGGTTTGAGTCCGGGTATAAGGCGACTGGTAACCCCCAGCTGCCGTTTGGTCACCCACTGATGTTCGCGACTGAGCTCGGCGACCCTGCCTCGACTTGGCCCGGGGGGGCTCGGCGGCTTGGAAGGGGGATACTCTACCCTGAGTTATTGTAGCAGCAGAAGAAGCGGGCGGCTGGTGCTGGTACTGTATCGCAGCCTGTGCCCATGACATGCTTTGCTGCATGCCCTGCAATCCATCAGGACCTGGAGCGGAATCTGGTGGTTGGTGGCGATTTTCAGGTTGATGTCTCTGATGCATCGTAGGATGTATCATGTGTGGCGATACAGAGGCTATTGTTGTTGCGGGTCTGCTGTTGTTCGCGCTTGTATTCCAATCTGACGAGGGCTGGTTGGTCGCTGGGGGGACGTCTTGAGGCACCGAACGAACGGGCTCAGATGGAAGATTATGTCGGGAACGAGACGCAGAACCGCCCACACCCCAGCTGTTATGGGTAGGAGGGACTGCATTCGTCTCAGCTGGAACCGTGTGGTGCTCAAGTTGCTGGACCTGTTCCGATATCGTCTTGCAGGTGTGCCCCGGATCTGCCGTGATATTGTGATGCGCCAGTGAGGGTGCTTCGTCCTGGGTCAAGGCCGAGCCTGAGCTTGGATGGAAGTAGTCGCCATGTGAAGTATGGTGGTCCTGTGCTGGAGCACCCACGGCGAGTGCAGGAATGTTACTCTCAGACATCTGAGGATATGACGAATGTTCCTGAGAAGGGATATGCGGCTCAGCATCGTCTTGGTCAGCCTCGTCTTCTACGTAGTCTCCTTCTGCATCTTCTGCCGTTTCATCTTGCACCATTTTTTTGGGCTTCTTCTTTCTCGGTACGTGAGGCGCGAATTCGCATACCAGGCCTTGCGCCGTACACTCGCTGCAAACAGGTCGTTCTCTAGGACACTGCTACTGATTAGCTTCATTCAAGTTTGTGAGTCGAGGAGATCCTTACCTTGACTTTCCGTCCCTTACATGTGAAGCAGGCGTTGCGTGATTTGCCTAGCTTCCGCCGCCCTGTTGGTGTCGGTTCAGGTGTGGTGCCAGCCGTTCCATCGTCTCCAACGTTTGCTGCAGATCCGTTTGCAGTGTCGGCATCACTGGAACCTCCTCCTTGTGGAACCAATTCCTTGGTGGTCATGGGTCCGGACGGAGTAGGCAGGCTGCTTCGACCTGGCGATGTGTTTGCCTGGGCAGAAGATGCCCCCCCTTTGTTATTGGGATGAACAATCCGCAGCCTCTCCGCACCATATTTGACAAGCATACCCAACGACTCCTTCTGAAGTTCGGGTGATTGGTTGGAGAAGATACTGAACTGGTCGGCCGAGAGCGAATCTGGGGGCACGCCGGCTTTAGTGAGCATTGCCATGGCCGCCTCTCGACGACGCGCTGCCTCGGTCGATGAGATTTTTACTGGGAAGGTCGCCCCAGAGGGTGGCTGAGAGTCAGCCTTTTGAGCCTGTGATTGACTTGTTGACGACACCGATTCTCCTTGCAGTAGCTCTTCTGGATAGTCAGTGGTGGCCTGTTGGTTCTGTCCTGAGCTCGCCTCTTGCGGTTGTCGATCTAAGGGGTATGAAGGGGCGGTTTGGGCTTGTCCATTTTCAGGCACTTGCGCAGAATGATTCTGAAGTGACATTATTGAAGCTTCCGGCAACATGGGTTGACTATCGCCGTCAGTCTTCCTCTTTCGCTTCCGGGGGTTTCCCCGCTCATCCTGTGCTCTCTTGTCGGCCTTTTGCTTCTTTGGTGTCTTCTGCTGCTGCTGCTTTTGAGCTCCCGGGCCAAGCACACGAGGAGCAGGCTTGAAATACTCAGAGAGCTCCGCCACTGTTCTGTGCAGGGGCGTGTGGTCGTATTTCACGATGATGGCTCGGCTATTTCGGTCGAACTCGATCATGACTGTGCCTCGACAATCGAAAGCCGGCCGACCTGGATGTCCGATGAGCGATTTGCGCTATCGGGAATGCACATGACAAACTTACTACTAAGGGTTGCGTCTGGCTCCCTCTGGCTGTACTCGCCAACGACCAACTTGGTCGAGTGCTTCGCGTGCTGGTGGCTCCATTGCTGGAAGGAATTATTGCACACAAATGTAAACTTCCAAGTCTGTGCCCCCCGCGACATCTCTCGGTTGACCCAGGTACTACCGTCTATCGCGCCGAGAGCCTCGATTATGTGCGTTGCGACTAATCTCTGAAGACTCGGGTCGTCCTGTGGCTGGTTCACCAGCGCTTCGTTGGCCTCCACCACCCGTGGCGGTTGCTCTCTGGTCTGTTCTTCGGGCGCAGGCATCGAGGAACCTCCTCCCAGTGCCGGATCGATGTTGTTGTTCGAGGCTTCATCCTCACGATTCTCGATTCGAGGCTGGGCGATGGTGAACTGCACCGTCGCCCTCAATTCCATGATCATCGACACATGTTCGGCACGGTTCGGCGCCGTCTTGGCATCGAGGACACTGCGCAGATGCAGCTGGAGGTCTTCGACGGAGTGGCATTGCCGGTTACTGGACGGAGTGGCAGTTTGCGCGCCCAGGTTGAAGCTTGCGAGGAAGTCGGCCATGGCGTGGCTTCGGCGTCGCGCGAAGCCTGGACGACATCGGGCCAGACGGAGAAGCCTGGCGAGGTAGGCGGCTGAATCTAGCTCCTGCTGCGGCGATGAACTGGCGAGCGAGTCGTCGTCAAATGAAGCCGGCGTCGGCTGCTGTTCACGACGCGGGCGGCGCGAACGCGGGTGCGGGTGCTGGTGGGATTGGCGACCCAGGGGTGTTTGTAGTACCAGGCCGCGGCTTGAGGGGGGTGCGCCCAGCCAGATGTCTTTGTCAGCCTCAGCGCTTGGTGGCGGCGTGATGCTGGCCATCGCAGAGCATGCGTCTATGATCTTGATAGAGAAAATAGAGTCATGTATCAATTGCACGGTGATGAAAACGAAGTGAAATCTTGTGCGCTTTTTCACGGCGAATTTTTGTGTTGAATGGCTTAGGGTTTTCTTGTTCTCATTGTTTGGCTGTGTTAACATGAGTTGAAGATGAACCTCATCTCAGATGCCCAACCAGATGGGACCCAAATCTCCAAATACCTCCAATAAAACAATTCATCAATTCCATAGGCGCATAGATGAAGAACGTAAACTCAAATTTTCAATATTGGCTGTGCCTGCTGCAAACCCAGCCTCCCGAGAACGCCTGCCCAATACATCCTGCCCTCTTCATATACCACTGTTACAGATTCACAAGTACACGAGGCAACTCTACGAATTTTCCTCCACCCACTGCTCTACCCTCTCGACCAATTCAATTTTTCTGCCACTCGTGCTGAGACCCTTCGCGCCCAGTAAATCTTTGAGCTGAGCTACAGTCATCTTGACAATTCCTCCGCTCTCGATGGAGGCCTTCAACTGGGCCATGGAGAGTGACGAACCAGATGGTTTTTCCGATGTTGCCCTGCTCCTCTTCGTTGGCCTATCTAGTTCGTCGTCATCGGCTTCTCGTTTCAGGGCCTTCTTCGACGCGGCACTGCCAGCTTCATTCTCGAGCGTCTCAGACCACTCCTCTAGATACCCGCCAGCCCTCTTGCTGATGGCTTTAAACTTGGGTTCAGTTGTGTCCTCTGCCTTCTCGGGGACCTCTTCTTCCAGCGCGAGAGCTTGCAGGATCTTGTAATGCCATTGCAATGACGGGTTCAGATACTTGGTTGGGTTGTACATGGCCTTCGGGAGCTGAAGCTGCTGCACAATAGTCCTCATCTGCGTCTTGAGCTCGTCAGAGCTCTGGGCGACCTCGCCTGAGGACTTGACATCTCTCAAGTCGTCCTGGCATGGCAGTGGATAGATCCAGAGTCCAGCAGGAAGATAAGGTGTACCCGACTCGTCGTCAGATCGCTCCTTGGATGGAATTATCGCCGCAAGTATTGGCTGCGCATTAGACCGGACGATGCACCAAGCAATTCCAACTTTATCATCCTTGAGCAGCTTCTGCCAGAGCGCGGTGAAGACTCGGGTCGATCCAACATAACCTTCCTCGCTGGGGAAAATGAAGGTCGACTTCTTCACGCTTGCCCACATCGGAAGCATTGTTCTAGGTTTGAATCCGATGATGCGAATGACGGGCGATCCAAAATTCCTCAAAGTTTTCTGCTCCTCTGGCGTAAAGTATACGTACTCGCCTCCAAACTTGTAGGCTTTCTTGATGTCTTGCTTTTCGACGGTCCTGGCGCTGTCCTCGGCAATTCTCGTGGTCTCGCCCGCAGCAATCTGTGGTTTCTCGCCATCCAGCCAGATGTAACACGTCCTAGCCGGGGTCTGTCGGTGGACAACGTTGTATCCCTTGACAGATATACTCAGGCCAGGTGCAATCTCAAAAGGGAGGTTCGAAAAAAGAGCTCTCTTCGCCGTTTGTTTCGAGTTTACGTTCAAGGTGAGGGAGTTGAGCAAGGTAAGACCGTCTCCCGATTTTGACGTCCGAATCTCGGACATGTTGGCTTCTCCAATTGGGTCGCGGTAAATGATATCCTCCAAACTATTAGTTGTCATAACACTGCTTGGAACTGTGGTCTTACATCATAAAACTTTCCAAGGTCGAACTTATCATCCCCGCGTGTAATAGGGAAAAGGTCGATGATAACACCCAGGTCATACAGGTCTTTGGCGCGCACTGCAGCAGCAGATCTCGCCTGCTTGTCGGATTCATGGGGATTGGCATTGTCTGTGACGATGAACAAGCGACGGCTACCAAAATTGGGCGCCTTGGTAGTGAAGATCTGGTTCGCGCAAAAAAGGACGTTGGACATGCTGACAGCCTCATTTGAGGGAGTCAGCACCTCATCATCGTCCTCCCCTTCCTCAACCAGAGACTTGAGTGCTTTGACGTCATCTGCCGCAGGCACATCAAGGTCGGTGAACAGGTAGCAGTGAGGGTAGCCCAAGCCACTTCGGCCATCTTCGGTATCCTGGAACTTGGACTTCTCGGTGCCAAACAGGAGAATACCCATCATGTCTTTGGGGTTGGAGATGATGCGCTGCTCCATCAAATGGTATGCGCATTTCAATGCGGCCTGTACCGGACTGTCTCGATCTGCCTTCTTGGAATCCGAGTGCGGCGGCGGCTCCAACATGGACTTGCTCACATCAATTGCCAGCAAGATGGCATCCTTCTGAGCCTTGTAACTCTGCGACTGGTGAGCTTCAGATATTTGAAAGCAGGGGGTGTAGAATTACCGTCTCATCGAGTTCTTGCTCCTCATCATCATCTTCTTCGCGCCGCCAATCTTTATTGAAGTCTGCCATGGCTGGAAATTGTGCTTTGTCAAAGGTTGGAAACGTTCACATCGTAGGTCAGCTCGGGGTTTATGAGCTGCGTGATCTAAGCCAACAGGCAGGCGACGCAGGTCCAAGCGTTAGGCAAACGCGCGCCCTTGCCAGGGGAGTCGCGACACATCTCGCGCGGTCACGTGTTGATTGGAAACCCATTACGTTTCACATGATTGGCGGGCAGCTCTCTAGTTAGTCAATACATGCCATGTGTTATTACAGGCTGCAGGTTCAAGGTCCTGCGCTAACTGTCCGCAGGCCGGCAAAAAGTCCGATAAGATGCGCCGTTGGCGATCCCGGAGTTCTGGAGATGCAAGCATCATCGCCCACCAGGTTTAGATCTGCACCCTAACTGCCAATCGCATCCGACCCAATTTGAATTGAGCTTCCTCCTCCATCATCTCCTCACTCTTCGTCCCGCATCGACTCACGAATCCAACAACCCACGGGTCTCACTCATACACGCAATGGCCTTGCGACGCTCGGGGGGTCAGCTCTGTAGGAGCATCTCCCAAGCTGCTTCACCTCGAATTGCGCTACCCCAGATCGCCGGCCAAAGACGACATCTGGCCACTCCCGCCCCTCCCGTCACACAGGATGCCACTGGATCCAAGGGCCCAACTGCCATGGTCTTCCTAAACATGGGAGGACCATCCACCACCGACGAAGTTGGCGACTTTCTCAGCCGGCTTTTTGTACGTTTAGTGCCACTTGCTCCGAACGGTCCGGAATATGCTAACTTTGCCAAAGGCCGACGGCGATTTGATCCCCCTGGGTCGTCTACAGTCTTACCTAGGGCCCTTCATTTCTAAAAGACGAACGCCCAAGATTCAGAAGCAATATGCCGCCATTGGTGGTGGATCGCCCATTCGGAAATGGTCGGAATACCAGAACGCTGAGATGTGCAAGATCCTCGACAAAATCTCCCCCGAGACAGCGCCTCACAAGCCATATGTCGCTTTCCGATATGCCGATCCCTTGACTGAGGAGATGTATCACCAGTTGCTTCAGGACGGGTTTGGCAATGGCAAGGGGGGGCGGGCCGTCGCGTTCACCCAATACCCCCAATACTCGTGCTCTACGACCGGGAGTAGCTTGAATGAGTTGTGGAAGTGGAGGCATAGGCTTGAGGGCAAGACAAACCAGGACTCTCCCCCCGGCGCCATCAAGTGGAGTGTGATTGACCGCTGGCCAGCCCATAGCGGCTTGGTTGAGGCTTTCGCTCAGAACATTGAGGCGAAGTTGGCAGAATACCCTGAGGAGCGACGCAAGGATGTCGTGCTTCTTTTCTCTGCGCATAGCTTGCCAATGTCGGTTGTCAATCGAGGTATGTGTAATTGTGTGGCTTGGGTGACGATGTTGATAACTGACGTAATAATTAGGCGACCCGTACCCCAGCGAAGTTGCGGCTACTGTCTATGCAGTTATGCAGCGCCTCAAGTTCTCGAACCAGTATCGGTTGTGCTGGCAGTCGCAGGTCGGCCCATCTGCTTGGTTGGGACCTCAAACCGCCAGCACCGTAGAGGAATACATCGCCAAGGGCCAAAAGGACCTTGTTCTCATCCCAATCGCCTTTACTTCCGACCACATCGAAACGCTGTACGAGCTTGACGAGGAGGTCATTGGGGAGAGTGGCCATGCCGACACTGTAAAGCGAGCAGAGTCGCTCAACGGTAGTCCGGTCTTCATCAGAGCTCTAGCCGACATCGCCGTGGCGCATTTGAAGGAAAATCAGGCCTGCTCCCACCAGATGGGTCTCCGCTGCCCTGGTTGCCAAAGCGCGAAGTGCGCAGAGTCCAAGCGGTTTTTTGCCAGCCAACAAACTAATCTCTTGGCTTGAGATGTAGACAAGTTCACACGATAACCAGGAGGGAATATGGGAATATGGGCCGGTATTGTATCATAGGTTGGGGGAGCAAGCGGCAATTGGTGTATCAAAACATGAACTTGGTGTCTTTTAGGACTGTGGGTGGGTGGGGATTAGAGTTGAGTAAGCGAGGGTGTTCTGTTTAGATGGCTAGCAGGCAGTTCAAGGTGAACAATTCTCCTTTCCATCCAGTCATTCCAATTGTCCTTCTATAGTTGTTAAGCTGAGCTCAAACAAGCGGGGGAAGCTCTCAAGGCCAGTAGCACAATTTACATTTCCAACGAATGCCGATGATCTCAAGTTTCATCGAAATTCAAAGGGGGTAAATTCGAACAGAATGGGCATGAGAATGACTATATAGGACATCGCATTATCTATGTCATAAAAGTGAACATTTAGTCGAGCGCGGATAGTGAAGGAGGATTTTACGACCGGGTGGGCTACCCTAGACCTCCCGTGGTGAACTGCCTGAAATCCGCTAAGAATGTTAATCGACTTGGTTACATAGGTACATGAGCATTGGGATGCGGTGGCATTGGCGGCTTCTCGGTTAATGTTCCATGCATTGAGATACTAATGTTGCGTGCAGGATCTAGCGCCCTGAATGGGCGATGATGTTTGCGACACCAGCACATTGCGATGCAACCAACCTTGTCGGGGCTCTACCTTAAAAATACGCGAAATAGCCTGCCCCTTTTCGATTCAATCGAGGTATCAACGTGAGATTAATAGGCACATAGTATCGCTTGCTAGGAATAGGGTTGATGTGAGCTATGACAAGAATAGTGTATTTTCTCTCTCTCGAGGCTGGAGACTATTCCAAGGGATTTGCGATTACACTCACATGAAGGGGTAATAAACGAAACAACGGTAATGAGATACTAGCTTGCAAGACGGTGCATTAAGCTCCGCGCACTGGGCGCCATTGCAGGGATCCCAAGCTCCAGGGAGACGAGATATGGATCAGGAAAGGAACGGATGGATCGTCGGGCTAGGGGGTCGTATGATTGTACAGGTCTGATCAAGCTGGAATGCACTTCACGTCACGAACTCGTGTCGGCTGTGGCCGTGTTTATTGTGTGCGTGGAGTAACTACGAGGAGACGTCGTCACGTTGGACGGGTTGATCGCACGCAACACGAGCCACCACTGCAAGCTTGGTGCGCCTTGTGTCGTGCTGCAGGCCCGGGTGGGTAGACGTGCATCCGAATTGGGGGGAGGCTCGTGTGGGTTTTCTGGAGACGGAGGTAAACCGGTACGCGTGTCATTGTCGTTCCGTTGCTCTGATCAGAGGGCTCCGATTAGAGGAAGCCGACAAGCCTCCAGCGGACTCCCTTGATAGGAACGATGGCTCTAGATGCGCTGCGGCACGTTATCCATGCGTGGAGGAATGTTTGAATACCAGCACGCATACAGCGAATGCCAAGTGAGACGCGAATGGCCAACTTTGGTCTGCAATTAGTGACGTGGATGGATGCCATCGGGCGACAGGCACAGTGGCACCCGAAGCCGGCCGCCTCCCTGGTGGCCTCAACGGGCCTAGGCTCCACCGGTAAATGGACTGGAGTAGCATCCAAGCGGCCTAAAAGTGGCCAAGACGGTTGACGGGCTGCGACGGGAGCCATGGGGCACCGAGCACAGGCGTGAGAGTGGCCGTAGGTAGGTGCCAGGCAAGCCACGCTCCGGAGCTTTGAGTGAGGGTGTCCACAGGAGAGGAGAGGCGAGAACTGGTACGTACTTATCCCCTGATGACTCGAAGCTCGGGGCAGACCTTCAATGTCAGAGGCCAGGAGTGTCTCGCGGAGGTGAGATCCGTTGTCTCTAGGAACTTGGCGAGAGTTTTGTCGTGTCTCTCGTGTCTCCCGCGTCATGCCGTGCCCTGGCGGAAGGGGGAGATTGGAAGGTAGAACAAGAATACCGGAGACGGCATTGGATACCATGGATGGACGGATCGTGCTTCCCGTGCAAACGAGCTCGGAATGGCAGACCAGGTAGATTTCTCGTATCACGGCATCGGACTGGTGTATTCATGCTTGCGCATAGAGTACATGTTAATTGAGGGATTCGAGCTCCTACTACGTAGGCGGTTACTCTACGGAAACATTGATATAGATGGACGTGTTTCAGCCCTGGGTTCCAGTACCAATCTCGGCCAGATTGGACGAAGCATGGCAAGGCGAGAATGGGGGCCATGGATGCCTTGGATGTCATGGATGCCAGCCGGTGACCAACTGTGGCCAACTTGACCTCACCTCACCTCAGATGTCAGGAGGTAGGTAGTAGGTAGGTACTGGTACCCCATATTGTGCCTCGGTGGATATCTCTGTAGGCGTCTGTCTGACTGGCATTGTAGGAGAGCAGCCAGGAATTCTCTCTCTGTGCCTGGACCGGCTGAGCCATGCTAGGAACCTATCTCCCATTCGCGCACTGCCGAGAGTGTGCGCTCCCTGATGGATGGATTCCTCCCGGGCACTCTCTTGCAAACAAGGTTCCTCCTCTGTGATAATAATTTGAGAGCTCCCTCATCTCCCAGCCTCCAGCACACCCGCTACGTTTCCCCTCGTCCGGCCCGCTGATTGGCCGCAGAGCCTCCCCCGGCCAATCAACGGCAGCCACCCGGTACCCGTCGAGACGCTGCAGCGGCCCACCCAGCGGCCTTCTAGCAGCCCTGCCGCTAATTCTCCAGAGCACCGGCGCCCCCCCAATCCCCCCCAAGCAGCGACCCCCTGGAGCCCACCCCTGGAGTGCTAGCCCCTTTAGGCCTAGCTGTTCGAAACCCCTTTTGTTGCAGGACCAGCCAGCACGCCCGCCCCAGCAGGCTCGCTGCCAGAACAGCACATCAGAATTTCCTCTCCTTGTTCTGCCGTCGCACCCCAAAATTTCCCTTCTCCTCGATCTCTCTTGACCCCGTCTGTCCCTTTCCCTCCTTCCTCTTCCCTTGCCATCATTGCTACTTCCTCTCGTCGCATCTCCCATCGCGCGTGAAGAGCAGGCCTGCCATTCACTCCCACGGCCACTTGAGCATCTTGTCAACTTGTCCTCGCGACGCCATTGACACGCGTCTGGTAATTCAGGGTGAGTACTTCGCCCTCGTTCCACCCCCCGAGTCTCTACCCCCGGATTTGTCCACGACTGCCCGACCTCGAGAAACCCGTTCCTCAACTATTTCGACGACGCAGAGCAGCACGCGCCTGTAGCTCGACCTCGCTCCGTCGACTGGACCCTTCTCGCCGTCTCCCGAGCTCGCACAGCTGGCCTTTCCCCTGACGTAGCTAACGCCCGACCCCTTAGAACCCGCGCTTTCCTACCAAGATCTCTACACACCGACCGATCGCTCTTGATTATCGATATGGGTAAGATAATTCCTTCTCGTATCTTGTTTTGGCCACATGGATCGCAGAGGGAAAGGAAGGCGCTGCCTCCTGACCACGAGGACAACTGTCCCAGTTTGGGAGCTCAATCACCCCGGGCACCAACTCCATCGTCTTCCACCGCCAACACCACGCGTCTCGATAACACAACCACATTCGTTCGCCATCTACTCTTTCTTGGGTCTCCTCTTTTTGGTCGCGGAAACATTATCGTCGAGAAACTACTCCTCACCCCCTTAATTCTGCAATGGCCTTCGACCTGCTGGATCACGTCAGGGCTCGCTCCCGCAGCCTCGCCGTGGACAGAACTGCTGTTGCCAGGGCGATCCTCACATCTCCCACGGACTATTCTACACAGAACTCGGACACCAGAAGGCACAGCAGCATTCCACTGGGGCAAATTAATAGGAGTACCTCTCCTGTAGCCTCGCTGCCTGCAACTGTCCGGCATCATCGCAGCATGCTTGAGGTGGAGGAGCCACCAAAACTCGGTCCCTGGAAGCCCCTTTCTTTCGACGAGCTTTACGCCAATCCTATTCATGATGCGGCCGACCCGGAGCACAACCACTCAAACCCTGAGACCAGGATGGAACCCAAGGAGGAGCGTCGAAACAACGGCGAACACCAAACCATGCATTCATCGAGTCAGGATCTTCCTTGCGCCTCTGCATCCAAGCCAATACTACTTACACGCCAGCTTTTTGGAATCAGCGCTGACCATCTTCATAGCTTCCTCCGGCAGTGAATCCCCGGCGTTGGCCCCTTCCGGCTCGCCTCCCAATGGTGAGCCTAACCCTCTACTGCAAATTTGCAAGACATTTTCTCACACTGTCGCAGTTCCCAGCCAGCCGCCGCCCGCGGTCACTGACAACCGGAACATTGTCCGACGAAAGCTGACCGGCTATGTCGGCTTTGCCAACCTGCCCAACCAGTGGCACCGCAAGAGTGTGCGCAAGGGCTTCAACTTCAATGTTATGGTCGTTGGTATGTGGAATCATATATCGTCTCAGTTCAACTCCCCCTGACCTAATTTGCTTTTCACAGGTGAATCTGGCCTGGGCAAGTCTACCCTCGTCAACACCCTCTTCAACACCTCCTTGTACCCCCCCAAGGAGCGCAAGGGCCCTTCCCTGGACATCATTCCCAAGACCGTTACCATCCAGTCCATCAGCGCCGACATTGAGGAGGCCGGTGTCCGTCTCCGCCTGACCGTTGTTGACACTCCTGGATTCGGCGACTTCGTCAACAACGACGAGTCGTGGCGACCCATCGTCGACAACATTGAGCAGCGATTCGACGCCTACCTCGATGCCGAGAACAAGGTCAACCGCATGAACATCGTTGACAACCGAATTCACGCCTGCGTCTTCTTCATCCAGCCCACCGGTCACTCCCTCAAGCCCCTCGACATCGAGGTCATGCGCCGCCTCCACACCAAGGTCAACCTGATCCCCGTCATCGCCAAGTCTGATACCCTCACCGACGAGGAGATTGCCAACTTCAAGGCCAGAGTAGGTGGAACCAGACTCCTTTGCCAAACCCGATAGCTAACCACTTGCAGATCCTTGCCGACATCAAGTACCATGGCATCCAGATCTTCGAGGGCCCCCGATACGAGCTCGATGACGAGGAGACTATCGCCGAGAACAACGAGATCATGTCCAAGGTCCCCTTCGCTGTTGTTGGTGCCACCAACGAGATCACCAGCGCCGACGGCCGAAAGGTTCGTGGACGTGCCTACCCCTGGGGTATCATCGAGGTCGATAACGAGGAGCACTGCGACTTCGTCAAGCTCCGCCAGATGCTCATCCGTACCCACATGGAGGAGCTCAAGGAGCACACCAACAACCTACTCTACGAGAACTACAGAACCGACAAGCTCATCGCTATGGGCGTGTCACAAGACCCCAGTGTCTTCAAGGAGGTCAACCCTGCCGTCAAGCAGGAGGAGGAGCGTGCTCTACACGAGCAGAAGCTCGCCAAGATGGAGGCCGAGATGAAGATGGTCTTCCAGCAGAAGGTTGCCGAGAAGGAGAGCAAGCTGAAGCAATCCGAGGAGGAGCTCTACGCTCGACACAAGGAGATGAAGGAGCAGCTCGACCGTCAAAGAATGGAGCTCGAGGACAAGAAGCAACGGATCGAGAGCGGACGACCGCTGGAGAAGGAGGGCAAGCGAAAGGGCTTCTCGCTGCGTTAAGCTGCCAGCACCCTGACGACTTGTGGACTTCGTTTTCCCCCCTTCATTATCCATGTCTGAGTACCCATGATGCCCATACAATACCAGCTCGACGCCCTTCGTTCCTTTCGATTCTTCTATTTTGTCGCCTCTTTTCTCTCACCTTTTTTTAATCAACCACAAAAACCTCGTCGCCTAATCACATACGTCAACAAACGATTGTCGTACGGAGACGGACAAGCAAAAAGTCTTTTATGAAGAATAGTCATGCAACGGCGGGAAGTGCAGGCTATGGACAGGCCCCAGGTTGTCTAGACGGGTAGGGATGGGATGGCCGAGACTCCCCTTGGGAATATTTCAGTTCTCGGTCTCCGCTCAACCACATATGGATACTTTGGAGAGAAGAAGTAACCGGACTTCTCTGGTGAGCCGGATCCGTGATCAGAAGATGCCTCTGCGGGGAATCCTTGAACGCCCAGACGTGTCACTCACATATGGTTTCGTTATAATCTATGCCCACAAGAAGGCTGGTCGTCGACGCCTTTTGCCTTTGTCCTTTTTCGCCTGGTGTGCCCTCGGATACCCTCTCCCCCCTTTTGCGTCTTGATGGAGCATTGGCCACGGATTGAACTAGACAGGAGCAGACGGATGGTTGGCCAGGGGTGGAAAGTCGAGTAGCAGCTGTTGTATTTTAGCCGTGTGTTTGTCGAGACGAGGTGTTTTGATGTCTCGGCCCACGAACACGCCTCATCGTGCGCCGTTTTTTCTTAGCTCGCTTGATCTTTGTTGTTATCACTGTTTCCGCTAGTCTAGTTTTTTTGAGTCGGAGGGACGGTTTTTCTCTACCTGTGTCTATTTGCGTGCCTTTTCGAGTATAAGTGATGTGATGTTGTTGCGGATAGGTGAAGTGTATAACTGTCATAGGATAGAGAGAACATTGCTCACCCACGTCTTTGTTATTGATGCTTCCTTTAGACAGCATTTGGAGGAGCGCCATTCTTGACTACGTACATATATTTTTAATCTTACTACTGATGTTGGATACTGCACCTGTCATGGCCTATCGCAATCGGTCATCTGAATTCTGCATCGTCATGTGCAGTGAAACTTGAGAGATGGTAAAGAAAAATAGCTGGCATCATCATTGTACGTGCGTTCGTTACCAAAAATAGGCCGCGTCATTCATATAATACAGGTATCTTGCAACGTGAAGACTCGCTCCGCCTGAACCATCCCATGCTATTCCGTATAACCCAGAGATAGCAAGCGCCATGTAGTGCTGGGATTCCCACACATAACACCCACGATACCGCTCGCCATGGGTCGACTTTCGATCATCTTGTAGCCAATTGGCCCAAAATCTACCTCCTCCTCGAGTTCCGCAGGATGAAAGCTCCTACCACACCAGCGGCGAGGCCGACACCACTAAGAATGGCGACACCCATGAGACCCTCCTTGGCGACCTTGTCGTCGATGAGCTGGCGCAAGTTCGAGGCCTGGAGGTTGGCAGGCTCCTTGTCGAGGAGGAGGTCGTTGTAGCGGCGAGCCTCGCCGTAGTTGCCGAGCTTGTAGTTCCCGAGGGCGAGGTAGTACAAGCACTCGCGGCGGCGCTCGGGGGAGAGGCGGAAGATCTCGGAGAGGAGACGGACGCCGAGTTGTTGGTCCTGGCGTTGGTTGGACTTGACGAGGCCCTGTGAGAGGGGAGGGTTAGCAAACGGTTGAGATATGGTGAGGAGCTACACGGTTGGAGCTGCTGGAGGCGATGACGTCGGGGACGTTGGTGGGAGAGCTGGGGCTAGGAGAGGGAGGTGGATTTACCCAAGCGTAGTTGAACTTGGTTTGGACGCCAACCATGTCGCCCTCGCGCTCATACTGTGAGCGCAGGACATTCAGCTCCGAGGCATTCAGCGGCCTGTGGGTATATGCGGGTTAGGCTATCGGGTACAAATCGGCGGGCGGGGGTGAGGGGATCACAAACGTCTCTGCGTCGAGCGCATCTGTCAATCGAGTCGTGGTCAGCTCCATGATGATGGCATTGCGGGCATGGGCGATTGACGGCGGGGTGGACTCACATGGTAGCTCGGCCATGGCGACTGAGGGAGCTGTGGTGCGGGAGGAGAGGCGGGAGGAGGGGGCGAGATGCGAGTTCCGGGCGGGCTCAACAATGGGATGTGAGGAATTGCGAGATGTTGCGAGGAATCCGTTGAGATGTTGAATCGGTGGGCAGATCAGATGCGCAAGGCAGATGCTACCTCTATGTAGGTAGCAGGCAGGCGGTTGTAGCAGTACCTTGGACGAAGCACGTGTGGGCTGGTGTGCGTGTGTGGCTTGCCACTGTGAGCTCGGCAGAAGAGAATGGAGACCCGAAGAGTGCTTTTGCGCTTTTGCTGGGCAGGGTTCGGCCTGGCTCGGGCCTGGTCATAGCGGCGGTGCGATGACGCTGGGCTGCGCCGGCTGAACCCCGGGTGGCTGATAGCCCGATAGTCGTCCCAGCGACCGGGGTTATTTTGGGCATGTGTATTTGACACCTTTTTTTGGCCACCCTCACGGCATCTGAAGTATTCAAGTCAACAAACTTGCCAAAGGTCTACACGAAAAAAGAACAACGATCCCGACGCACACCGAATTCTCGAGAAAAGCACACTCAATCCGAAAAAAAGAAACACCGCCGACATGTTGCTTTCCGAGGAACCCGCAACTGTGAGCCCCCGTCCCAATTCCCCGTGCTCCCCCCCCCTAACAACGCCCACAGCTCATCCACCACGTCATCGACAACTTCAACATCAACCCGGACAAGCTCGCCGTCGCGCGCATCCAGGAGTCCCTGTCGACGCTGCAGCAGGCGCGCGACCTGCGCGTGCGCGAGGCCGAGACGTCGCTCAAGAAGCTCTCGCGGCAGCTCAACACGCAGACGTCCCGCCACGACGACCTGGTCGAGACGCACGTGTCCGCCGACCACGCCTCCAACATCGCCCGCCTCGACACGGTCAAGTTCCGCACCGCAAAGGCCGCCTCCGACGCCGAGAACGACGCCGAGCGCCTGGCCCTGCAGGCCGCCGACCTGGCCGCCCGCCTGCAGGAGCTCGAGCTGCAGGGCGTCGAGGGCGATGCCGCGCAGCGCCGGCGGGACCCCGTCGACGACGAGGTGCTGCTGCGCCTGAAGGTGTACCGCAGCCTGGGGATTGATCTGGAGCGCGATGGGCGGGACGGCGAGTGGTCCAAGGCGGTCGTGCGCAACGATCGCAAGGGCGATGTGCACGTGGTGAACATGGACAAGAAGTTCTCGCGGTACTTTTACGCCAACTACTTCTGGCAGACGCTGTAGTGCCAGTTATGGCTAGGGAATGATGGGTATGATGACGATGATGATGGGATCTACGGTTTGGAAACATGGCGTTTCAGGCGTTTTATATACCAGGCGCAATCGCGGTAATGTGGTTTCATTACTGAGCTGATACAGAGACACGCAAATCGATTAATAATTTCCAACGTCTCCATGTTAAAGCCTAGACCTTGCCTCCGTTGTGTATGCCCTTGTGCTATGACATCGTATCCAGCCCCTTTCCCACAAATTCCTTGTTCATTATCAACGACCTATAAACGCCTTGATACCATCCATCATGGTCTATCTGACTGACCGATTTTTTTGTCACGCTTTTCGAATCCGGAGTGCGTTTCATTCATTATATCGTAACGTACATGTGGACAGAATAGGACTCGACGATCCTTGTGTCCTGTCTAAATCTCCACCATTCCTTGACCCGGTTTCTTGGAGGTCTTGGGTGAAGCTGTGAGCATAGGAAAGTAGCTGTCGACGAGGGGCTTGGTGGCAAAGGCAATTCGTGGTCCCGAGGGGGTCCGCGTCCGGGAGCTATTGGGGGATGCCGAGGTGCGCTTGGTCTCTGGGCTAGGGGCACGGCTTTTCATCATGAGGCATGGGCCTTCGCCGGGAGTAGTTGGACCTGATGGAGGGCGGTGGCTGCTGCGGGCATGGTGTTTGTCTGGTAGTTCAAGTCGTGAATTGATGGTTGTCCACCCATCATCGTCAGCGACTCGCCACCCGCCCACACCCTCAAAGTCGCGTTCCGGGCCGATGCTGGGAAGGAGGCCGAGGGCAGTCTCGCTGGCGGCCGGTGTGAGGGAAGTACCGGATATGGCACTAGAGCTGCGGCGGCGACGTCGACGGCGCAGAGGCGTATTGGAAGCCGTGGAGTTGGACGAGGAGGAGAAATGGGTAGTGATGGCGTTGAGAGCCTCGAGCCGCGGAGGATGAGGGTGGTAGGGACGGGGCTTGTGGCCGCCTAGGTAGTGAGGGATCAGGGAGATGGCGACATCGAGGTAGACGGCGAGGACACGGAGGATGAGGACGGAGAAGGCGACGGTGGTGGTGATGCCGGCGAAAACGGCGAGAGGGACAGTGACGACGAAGAGAAAGGGGACGATAAAGGCGTAGACGGGGTTGAGTAGCGCCATGGGAGGGTTTATAACAGAACCATGCAGGAAAGACACGATGGAGGGAGAGAGTGGAGCGAGATGGTCCAGTCTGGGTGGAGATATGTATGGTGTGGGATGTCGTAGATATAAGAGAGATGGCCGTTGCAGTTGGAGTGATTCTAATGATGGTTGAATCACGGGGAAAGGGAGAATGAGAATGGGAAAGAGGAAGAAAAGGAAAAGCGGAGATGGTAAAGGGGAGACGATAAAGAGGAAATGGCAAAGAGGAAATAGGAAGTGTGATCAGATCGGTGACAAGTGTATGTTGGTAGTTTTAAAAAGGTTACATGACACCCCTGCAGCCGGTGAAGAGATCCCGTGAGCCAAAGTGTGTATAGCAAGTACTATGGTCTGGGAGGAACAGAACAGGAGGATATAGGACGACGTCGGGGAGCGAGACGTGGATTCCGCGGTGGCCGGGAACTGCGGACGGAAAGCTCGGTAGAGGGTGCGTATTTGTTATGGCGACCTGCGGGTTGATAACAAAGGGGGAAGAGGAGGGTAACACGGCAGGAAGAGAGGCTGCGCGAGTGGACTTGAAGGGAAAGCCAGAGAGGGGGCGAGCGAGGGTTGTATTGAAGTGGTAAGTGAGGGTGGACGGGGTGGATGGATGGAAGGATGGAAAGTGCCGGATTGAGGAGTTGAATTGGTTGGCTGAAGGATAGAGGGTGGTTGGAGGAGAGCAGGGGAGGGATGGATGGAAGGGGATTGATGATTGACGAGTGTGGAGGAGGAAGAGGAGGAAGAGGAGGAAGAGGAGGAGGAGGATAAGGAGAGGATAAGGAGAGGACAAGGAAGAGGAGGAGTGGAGGAGGAGGAGTGGAGGAGGAGGAGTGGAGAGGGAGCGAAGTTGTGGTGTGCAGGGAAGATCAAAATGCGGAGGTGGAGCGAGCGAAAGTGTGGGGAGGAGGCGGCAAGCTGCTAACTAGGTAGGTATCACATGTCAATGGCGCGGCATTGGAAGTTGTCCGTCTGCCCCGCGTTTCTTGTACCTTGGCCATTGTTTTTGGTGCATGTTCGCTGCAGACAATGTGGCCGTAAGACTTGGAACAAAGAGGAGGGTGGGATGGGCAAAGAGACAAGAGTCTGTGGGTTCGGTTATTTCGGAGGTGTGCTGGGTCTTGGTGGGGGATGACGACGGGAATGTGTTGAGTCGTGGTGTTGATGGAACAGCCAGAGATGAACAGAGATGAACATGGATGAATGAACATGATGGCGCGAGACAAGCCGCCGATATGCAAATGCAAAGCCGTGAAACCATGAAGCCGTGAAACTGTGAAACCGCCCAGTCACACACACACACTCTCAGTAAGATGCTAATTCTAATTCTCAAACCTGCCAATTACTTCACCACCCAGCCACTCCGCAACGCCCAGGTACCGCAAGCTCGTCCCGCAAGCTCCCCCCATCTGCTCATCACATGGGGCCGAGGAATCGACAAACCGGAGGGGGATCGACGACGCCCTTGTCACCGATTGAAAGAGGCTAGACTTCTTTCTCCTGCCTGGCTTTCAACCTTCTCACCGAGCACTTGGACCCTTGAATTCCCGGCCTCAACCGTCGTGGTGGCGGCGGCATCGCGGGGTTCTCGCGTGCGTTGGCGCCATGATGCGTTGATGATGGGTGGTGGCCAGCGCAGAACAGGCATGCAGTTGCATTTGATATAGGAAGCATGTATGACATTGATCTCAACCGAGGCATGCTACTCAACTCTCCACCGCCGAGAGGGTTAGTGAGACGCTACGTCGCCACAGCACGCGAGCTTGATATGCGGCGAGTTTGACCCCTTTTGGAAGTCCAAGGTACATCTACTTTTCGTCACGGAGCTCCCACTTCGCCGCGTGTGTCCCAGCGTGAATGGTCGAATAGTATGAGGCTGGGACATCGAGTGCGTATGACCTCATGAGCTTGCTTTCTATTTCCGAGCACAGAACACATAACCAATCGAGTGTATATCCTCCAGCCATCGGTAAACCCAGTCACCTAGGGTCTTGCGACGATTCTGGGATCTGGATGTGAGTTGACTTGACCTTAGATTGGCCAGTCAATATGACCCCTATTCTCTGCTGTTCCGGGAGTTGAACGGCCCTCGCCTCCAAACATCATATCGAGCATGTCTCCCGCCGATATTCGCTCCTCGGGGTTCAAGCATGCCATGGGCCGCAAGGCCTCGAATTTTGCGAGCTCAGAAACCCGTTGAACGTGTTCAATTATATCCTGAGTTGGGCGGGCTCGAAGCGTTTCTCGGAATTCGCGGTCATACGCTTCGGCTATGATGACGAAAAGCGACCAGATGTGCTGCTTGTAACTTCTCTGGGAAAAATCGTATCAGCAACAAATCCCACTGCTCAGTCGGGTGAGGAATTTCTCTCACCTTTCCAGTCCTAAGCTTGTAGAGCTCAGGGGCGTCATATCGACGAGGTCCCAAAAATGAATCCCCAGGGCCAACCGGGTCCATATTGCCCAAGTCCACCATCTGATAGGTATCAAGTCCACGACATAGCGACCATGTGATATTGACGGGTGTCGGAGGTTCACAGTTGGGATATACAGCTGACGAAGACAAATGGTTTTCTGATTCAGAAAAAAAAAGCTCCAACCTAAGCTGGGCCGGAGCAGTGATTAAGCTAGGTCGCGCGACATGACATTGAGTCTCTACCTCTTCAAACATTCCATCTAAAATTACCCCGTCTATTAATTCCTGCCCTTGCGGACACCCATCACCCCATACTACCTTGTTTACCCTTTCTCGCAAGCAGTGACACCCGTTCCCGCCCACTCCCGAGCTGATTGTTCCCAAAAGTCTGGCAACGGTCACGACAACCATCTTGTTGGAGTAGCGCATCACCACGTAACCTTCGAGTGACTTAGCTCTAGTCGTCATCGAGAGTAGAGGCTGGAGGTGAGCTGCTTGGAATCGCTACAGTTGCCTCTTGGTTGTCAGGCTCCTCTGTTTCCGACACTCGAGTTGCGCGGCCGACGCCTTGGAACAAAAGATCAATCATATCCCCTGCGGATGCCCGTTCAAGAGGGTCTATGCGTGACATAGGCTGCAAGGGTTTGAATGCTTCCATCTCACAAATAGCCTGTACCTTTGCAATCACTTCATGGGATGAGTTGCGAATGGTGTCTCGGAAGTTTTCAGTGTCGAACGCCTCAAGCGAGGTAACAAGAAGTGACCATACGTCTGATTTTACGCTTTGCTGAAAAAAGGGAAAATAATTAGCACCGCAGTCCAAGATTCAGTTAGATGTGCTCCTTACCTTTCCAGGCTCCCGAATCTCGGGTGCCATGTAGCCCGAAGTTCCCGAAACCGAACAGGCGCGATCTGCCGAATTGCTGACGCCAAAATCCGCGAGGAGAAACACATATTTTTCACCAACCATCTTCCAGAGGATGTTTTCAGGCTTTAAATCTCTGTGAATGACGGCATTTGAATCGAGATAATCGAGCGCTTGGAGACAATCATAGAGAAGATAGTTCAATACGTTAGTTTTGAACACATCTGTTTCCATGAGACTTCTGACAGTGCCACTGGCAAGCTCCATCAAAAGGATCACAGATGGGCGATTGAACTGGTCGACGGCGGTTTGGCTTGGGTCCAACCCCTGGACTTCGAACAGCCTGATAATATTGGCCTGCCATTTGGTTAAATCGAGCTCATGATAAAGGAATCGGAATCGTGGGGCTTACATGAGAGAGTCTTGCCAATGTCTCGACCTCACGCTTCAAGGATATAAATGCATCGCCGGTTTTGTTCTTGCTAGTCTATGGGATGGCCTTCGCGGCCATGTGCTGAGCAGTATCGATGTTCAACACCAAAGAGACCGATGCAGAACTGCCAGAACCCAGCGTTCTTGCGTAAGCAAACCGGATCCCCGGAAGTCCGCTAGTCCTAGGGTGGATGGGAGATAGCGGGCTGGTAGGTTGGGTTGGCTCCGTGATCGTGGGGGCAAAACATGGATCGCACATATTCGGCAAGACCTTGTTTTGAATAGTGAGGGAATTAACATGCCAAATGAGTTTGAACTTGACGTTTGGAGGGAATTGGAGTTTGGTATTGACATGGCTGGTTGCCGCGACGCGTCGGGGAAGTCGGGTGAGTTCGAAGGACTGAGCCTTCTTACCAAATGTAGCGGTGGTTCCCTTGGGTGATTGATCGTGAATCATCACGACCTGGGTGATTGGATCGATTTCGAAGGAAACCTGAACTCGCGAGACCTGGTTCCATCGAGGGTCTTCCTTGGTCGGCGTTGGCGTGACGATCTCAACCATGGTCTTATCTCGCCCGATTGATGCAAGAACATTCCCGTTGGGCCTTCGACTCATACCGAACCTGATGGTGATGCCTCGCTGGAGGCCATCAGGGTAGGCGGGGTTGGTTTTCCCAGGGAGGATGGACACCAAATGAGGATTACTTTGGATAATCTCGTGTGCCTCCATGTTGCCATGATAGGCAACAAGCGAGAACAGCGCATCTGGACTGGGTTGTTCTGGGGTTGACATGGCGAGAGTAGCAACCGGTGTTGCCAAAGAACGAGTAACGAGCAGAAATTTGGGAGAAGATGTAAACAAAAGGAGGAGGAAACAAACATGACAGGGACGGGAGGCAAACGAAGCAATGTCTGCCTCAGGACCCAAGAGAGTACAATTAATTTAGGACAAACGCTAGTTAATGTCACATATCAACATATTGAGCATGCGTACTTCCAATAGTCCCTGTATGAAGCCACACCAGTAGGAGACAGCCAGCACTAGTATTAGACAAGCCAGGCTTGCGAGAAGGACGGCTATTGTTGAAGAGGAAAAGGAAGCAAAAGGGATGCCTAGACCTTATTGAGTGAATACGTGGCGGTTCGTGATGAAGAGGAGCTAGTGGCGGCAGCTGAATGCTGAATCGAGCCGGCTTGTGTAACAACCATCATACATTCTTCCTGCTCCGCCCTGTTTTTCTCGCCTTGAGCTTCTTTCTGCCCTTGACACGGTACTCCATCATACATCAGGCTGTATTCACCGCTTCAAAGCTTCCTTGCTGTTAGACTTTGAGCGACTCCATTCTGTTCTCATCTTCACAGCCTCCTTACATCGCCATCTTTGCGAGATCCTTTGTTCTCACGGCTCCCTCCGATCATCATTCCCCGACTCCGTTGGCAAATTCCTCCTATCACCGTCTTCACAAATCCTTTGTTTCACAGCCCCTCCGACCGTCAGTTTCCTACTTTTTGACGACCTTCTTTGATATTTAACTTCGTAATTCCTTCTTGTTTGTTGCCCCCCCTGACTGTCACCTTCCCCATCTCCTTTTTTTCAACATTGTCATCCTCATTCCTCCTGACAATCTTCAGCACTTTGAAACAATGTCTACGATTTACCATGAAGAGGGTATTGATCTTTCCGCATCGAATCCGTGGGGACAGTTCGAAAACGAAGTTGAGCGAGAGCAGGATCGTGTTATAGCGGAACAAATGCTCGGGCGCAAGGCAAAAAATAAGTTGATCCCATTCGATGCCAGCAGCGATTTCTACACTAACGCCCAGAATTACGTCCGGAGTAACTGGGTTAAGGAAGGTATCTGGCGAGAAGAATGGGGCCCAGCGTCGTCACCGGATTCCTTGCCCTTTTGTCCCACCTCCCACGCGGTGCCAAGTTCTCTATGGGGCCATGAGAAGCAGCCAAAGCCGGCTCCCCCAAGCCACGAGTTGGCATCTCACCCCAAACCTCTTTTTCCATTATTTGGAGGGATGCCCAAGAAGAACGAAGCTACACTCGATGCGACAACAGCAGCTCAACCCGAAGCCCCCATTGAACTTGACGCACCATCTCGACCCATCAACCGCTTCCGTTCTCTGATGGCCAGGGAGGTCGAATGGTTACGAGTACATCTAATGGACTATGCAAATGCCACGGAGAAATCCGACGACGAACTCGAAGCCGAAGCCTATACAAACATCAAGGACTTTTGGAAGGAGTGCAGGATTTGGAGGAAGAATTGGGGACCAATCCCGGGGCTGGTATGGGCACACGAGGACTTTCACGAATATATCCGGAAACAACAAGCTGCGAAAGCATTAGCAGCCACCGAGAGGAAGGCCGTTGGTGAAGAGTGTCTTTGTGCTAAGTGTGGACGTGAGACCAGGTTCCCCAGGGGAAGAACAAGCAGCCCTGAGAACCGACCTGCTCCTGGACATAAACAACCTGCTCCTGGATATAAACAGCCTGCTCCTGGACATAAACAACCTGCTCCTGGACATAAACGACCTGCTACATCACAGGGCACCCAAACTGAGCTACCCGATGCAGGTGCGAAGCCATCGCCAAGAACGGATGGAAAGGTTGTTCATGCCAAAACCAGCAGTGCCAAGCGAGCTGAGCCTACTGGTGATTCAAGTGAGGCGGGGAGTATTGCTAAGAAGGGTCTTGGAACTGCAGAGACAACCAAGCTGGTTCGTGAGGGGCCTCCGGCAAAGAGAAAGAGATTGTAGGAATCTCGGGTGGTCTGTTGGCTTGTTAGAGGGTTAGTTTGTCAGTTTGTCAGAGGGTCAGTTCGTCAGAGGGTCAGTTCGCCAGACTGTTAGGAAGCTTTCTCAGTTGTAGCGTGTCTCGACGCAAATAGTAACTAATCGTTCAATCCCAGTCCTCCTCAGAGTCCTTTGCGATTTAAAAATAGCGTGACTGTAAGTGTCCTACTAAATTCTGTATTGTACCGAGTTTTGAACTCGTAACTGATAAAATGGGTGATACACATCTCCTTTGTCTTGATGCTTTCCCCTCATACTTTCCTGCATTGTTCATTCCGCTTTCATCTTCACACTCCTTTATATTCATGACACCCGCCCATTCTCTTTTCGAAACTCTTTGATGTTTAATCCTGTACCTTTGTCTTTATTGTTTACCCCACTGTACCTTTGTGCCGCCTTGTATTCATGGTACTTTCTTTCTTGATCTTGCTAACTCCTTCTGTGTTCATGGAAGACTCCCATTCTTACCTCCACAACTACTTAATCTTTGTGGCATCCTCTTTGATTTATCTTCAAACTCCGACATCTCATAATTTTCTCCTATATTTATCTCCCCCAAACCATGAAGTGGGACTATTATTTCCCGAATGGCTCGCCCATCGACCCTAGCTCACTAGCCGACCTATGCGGGCCCCCTATATCGAGACCCATTGCTTCGGGATCATTTCCATCTGAGCAATTCGAGTCCGAAGTGAGGAGAGAGCTGAGCCGCCTTCAAACCCGAGCTAGTAGAGTAAACGAAGCCCGAGGACTACCGACAAAGCTGTCTCATAGTGTCATAGCCTCCTACCGCACCAGCGCCCAGTATAATATTTGGCTCGACTGGGTGAAAGAGGGTGTATGGCGGGAAGAATGGGGCACACCGTTGCCACTCGACGCCCCTTTAGCTCATCGAGATTCAAGTTCCGACTTAATTATACAGCCAACAGGTCCATGGGGCCACGAATCTAGCCACAAACAACTCAAGCCCACCCGACCTCTTCTTTACGGACAGCCAAGCGAGAAGAAGGAAGTTGTACAAGATGCAACGACATTGGTAGCCCCTGAAGCATCTAAGCCTGTCAATCGCTTTCGCTATCTAGTGGCTAAGGAGGTAAAATGGCTAAAAAGTTGTCCTCAGTACGAAACTACTTCCCACGATGAAATCGAAAGCATAGCTTATTCGGCCATCAAGAGCTTTTGGAAGCAATGCGGGGTTTGGGTCGAGGAATGGGGACCGATACCAGGGCAAAAATGGGCACACGAACTACCCGAGGAAGACTTACAGGCGTATATTGAAAACCACCATATTGAGCCAGGTTCCGTACCTTTCGACAAGTCTATTACACCCGACTTGTCTGAAAGCCATGGTCTGTCAGCAAATTCTGGCCTGGTACCGCCTGATCCAAACCGCCGTTCTGGACGGGAGTGGGATAAGCCCGTTAGAGTTGACCTATATAAGCAAAAAGGGGCAGGCTCACTGCTTGGATTCAACCCTTTTGTGCCAGTACGTTTCGGGTATCAAGATCACTTTGCGACAAAAAGCCTTTTTGGGCAGAAGAAGAGACCTAATATTGGTAGAGCCGATATAATTAGGGGCTATAGAAATGTTGGAAAAGCACAGGGCATGGGCAGTCCCACTGGAAAGAGGTTGAAGATCGGACGCGGCTTCGGACGACAAGAGGGCAAGGAAACGGAACCTCGAAATGAAGTTGGGGAGATAACACTAGAGGGGCTCCTTTTTGGCACCTCCCCAGCACCTAGCACGCCCGTACTTTCTTGCGAAGAGACTACAAAGGCAACAAAACGAAAGCGCTGTGAATCTCCAGTGGCTAGGGGGATTTTGAAGGGAGGCCTTAAACATGCAAACGAGGCTGAGAACAAGTCTCCAACAATGAAGAAATCTGTTAGTTTTAGTACAGAATGATTTCGGCCTGTAAGAACTTCAGCTTGTACAAATTTTAGTTTATAAATTTCAGCTAGAGAAATGTCGGTTATAGTCACCAGTTTATGGAATGCCAGTTTGCCATCATAGTTCTGCCGCTTATAGTAACCAGTGACTCTGTTAGTTCCTACTTCTCTACTACCCAGCTGTGAAATTGCTTGGCGACGGTCCGGAAGGGTAATTTGATGTACAGCCAAGCCTCGATGATCGGCCACTGAACATCCGGTCGATGCTGAAGTCGGTCGATGAACACGAGCAAGAGTCCAAGGATGCTCACGGGGAAAAATACCCTCATGTACGTCAAGGGGTCTCTCGTCGCCAATATTTTCCTCTCCGGCCTGCAGCTTTACGGATCAGTGTCCTCTGGATCCCTGTCGCTGTTCACCACCATGGCGGACTCCATCTTCGATCCCATGTCTGGCAGAATGCTTTACCTATTGCACCGCGACGTGGACAAGGTCGACCCCAATAAATTTCCCTCTGGGGGCGCTCACATTTTCACTGCGGGCAACATTGTATTCTCCGTCGTTATGTTTTTAGTTTCGTTTGTCTTGATAGTCTTATAGGGCCGTGATCTGGCAGTTGGATCAGAGGAAGAGACAAAAGGGTTCAACCTGCTATCGGTCATCGCTGTGCAGGAGTATTTGTCACTAAACTCGTCCCGTTCTTCCTATGCTGGACGGCCAAGGACACCTACTCGCAGGTTGATATTCTCTGGAGAGATCACCGGAATGATATGCTTATCAACGGTTTCGGTATCCTTACCTCCGTGGGTGGTAGTAAGTTGCGATGGTGGCTTGATCATGCTGGAGCCATCGCCTTATCGGTTCTCATTGCCGGGTTCTGGCTGGGAACAGCATACGAAGAGTTCCAAATCTTGATTGGAGTCACCACCGACCGTGAGGTACTTCAACTCATCACTTATATATGTGAGTCATGACGATTCCCTGTCCTCAGAAAGATAGAGCTCAACTGGATATGTAGCCATGACGCACTCCCTAGTACTCGAACGGATCGATACTGCCCGTGCATACCACAGCGGCCCACGCTTGCTCGTCGAGGTTGATATTGTCATTGACCGAAACGAGCGTTTGGAAGTTGCCCATGATGCCAACCAAGACCTCCAGATCAAGTTGGAGAAGCAGCCTTGCGTTGAACGAGCCCATATCCATATTTATTATGAGACCCGTCATAAACCAGTTAGTGAGACTATGAGCGATGTTGGACCTTTGCCAATGTGTGATTGGGAGCACGGTCTTAAAAAGCTCACGTAAATGCATTAACCTTGCAAATTGACCAATTAACATTATATGCCATAGATGGAAATCCATTGTAAAAAGGGATTCGTATTAATGAGATATACACTCAGTATAGAGGTAATAATTCTATCCTAAGAATTGCAGTTGGTAGCACAACTTTAGCCTCAAACATCAATCAATGATTGGCGCCCACTCCTCGTCGCCATGTAATGCGGAATAGTCCCACTACATCGTATTCTCCGCACTCACACCATTATCATCCACTCACCACCACCATCTCATCTCACCCGAGCCCACCACACAGCTCAAACCCGGTCACGAAGCTGTGAACACGTCGACACCCTCCAGAACTCACACCCACCACACTCCTCAAAATCTGGGGAAGCGCCGATTTGCACTAGCACTGTCATTTCCACACCCTTCTTCGCCCCGGCGAAGTGACACAATGTGCCAGCAACACCCCCATGACCCCGACGACAAAGCGCATGACCGCGAAGGACATCGCGACAGCGCTCGCCGGCATGACACACTCCCTTTCCCATGGCACCTCCCCGTCTGCGACGCCCACTGCCACCCGACCGACACCATGGCGTCGGTCGCGGAATTCCCCGCCATGCGCGCCGCCGGCCTGACCGTCATGTCGACCCGGTCGCAGGACCAGGATCTCGTCGCCGACGTGGCAGCGCGGCATCCCGCCCTGGACCAGAGCGCCTTTTTCGCACGCCGCTTGGGGGCGAGCGGCGATGGTTCTGCTGGTCCGCCCGAGACATTTGTCGTCCCGGCGTTTGGCTGGCATCCTTGGTTCTCCCACCAGCTGTACGATGACCAAGCACCGGAGCCCACATACCGGCCCGCCACCTCCGTCACCGGCCCCGGCGCCGACCACACCTCCGGAATCTCCACCGAAGACGCCGCCGCCGCCGCAAAAGCGGCCCACTATGCCTCCGTCCTCGCACCGGCACCCTCTCCGTCCTTCCTCGCCTCGCTTCCAACCCCCATCCCCATCTCTGCCTTCATCTCCTCCACGCAAACTCGCCTCCTCGACCACCCGCACGCACTCGTCGGCGAAATCGGCCTCGACAAGGCCTTCCGCCTCCCGCAGGCTTGGAACGCCTCCGCCCAAGACTCCCGCGATGACGGCCTGACGCCCGGCGGGCGCGAGGGTCGACTGCTCAGTCCGCACCGCGTCCGAATGGAGCACCAGCGCGTTGTTCTAGCAGCGCAGCTGCGTCTCGCAGCCAAGATGCGCCGCGCCGTGAGCGTCCATGGCGTGCAGGCGCATGGGGTGTTGCATGAAACACTCGCCACGACGTGGAAAGGACATGAGCGGGAGGTAATGACGCGGAGGAAGCGCCGGATGGTTGCACAAGGCGCCGAGGATTTCTCATCGGACTCGGAGGATGAGGATGACGCAAAGGAACGGCCTTACCCGCCGCGAATCTGCCTACACTCCTTCAGCGCCAGTGTTGAAGTCCTGAAGCAGTATCTGCACCCAGCGATCCCTGCGCGCATCTTCATATCCCTCTCCGCCTCCGTCAACCTGAGTACAGATGCTGGCCGCGCCAAGACTGACGAAGTTCTGCGTGTTGTGCCTGACGATCGCATCCTCATCGAGAGCGATCTGCACACGGCTGGCGAATTTATGGACACCGCACTCGAGGACATATGCCGCCAGGTGTGTGAGGTCAAGGGGTGGACGCTTGAAGACGGCGTGGCACGTCTAGCTAAGAACTACGAGGAGTTCATCTACGGCTAGGAAGAGGGGCAATTGCATCTTCTGAGTTCATAGACATTGCATGTGGATAGAGAAAAGGGGGTTGGTATTTAGTTGTATTTATGTAGTACTTGATATACGGGCTTCAATCATTCATCTTTTAACCCATAGCTAAGAAAAAGACGCCTAGAAAAAGAAAAAGTCCCGCTCGTATACGATATACAAGCGCTGGGGGTTATCGGAAGCGCAAGAAACAATGAACCAAAGAGGAGCAAGGGTTATTAATGGAGGACCCCCTGAAAAAACTCTATGACCAAGAAAACATCAAACAGGAGTTACAAAGAGGAGGGACATGGTAGAACATTCCACATTCTAGTGCTTGGAGTCTCCAAGCAAATCACTGGTGGTGGATGCAGTGGTGGATGGCGAGTAGTGGGCCGCGCCGGGCATATAGCGGCACCCGTCCGAGACAACGGAGGCGTCGTGGGTCTCGTCGTCATACGAGGGCAGACGCTCTTGACCAGTCATGAAGCCGGGGTACTGCGCCGCGGGGACGTCCTCGGGGATCATGGGGGGACGCGGCGGGGGAGGAGGGCCGTGTGGAGGAGGAGGACCATGAGGAGGGGGACCAGGGGGAGGAGGGCCGTGGTGAGGGCCGTGGTGAGGAGGAGGTCCATGGGGGGGAGGAGGTCCATGAGGGTGAGGGTGAGGGTGGTAGTAAGGATGAGGGTGGAAGTGGTGAGGAGGACCCCGGGGAGCCATATCTCGGTGGGTGCGACCCTCCTCAGCAGCAACAAGACCCTCGACCATAAAGGCAGCCTCGCGGAACCGCGCAATCTCTTGCTCCATGGTGACGCTGTCTTCGCTGGAGGATCGGTGGTGAAGCATGGCCTGCTTCTCCTCGTCGTAGTCGCCGGTCCACCGGGCTAGAATGCGGCGGATTGCGGTCTGCAGGGCGTATCCACGAGTGCGACGCTCTCGGTGAAGGGCACGACGGGACTCGGGTGTCATGTGGTTGGCGCGGCGGCGCATGTAACCAAGGCCGATTATGCAGAAGAGGGCGAGGGCAATCCCAGCCATACCGAAGCCCATGAGAAAGGAGCGAGGCTAAGAATGATGTTAGCAAAAACTAGGGGTTTCTTTTCACAGATTTGGACATACCGGAGGATGGTGGTGTCCGCCGTGCCCGTGGGGACCGTGTGGGCCGTGTCCATGACGATGAGGAGGTGGGTGGCCTTCATGATCAGGGGGAGAGGGGCGCTCGTCCTCGTCAGACTCCATAGGGGGAGGGTGCATAGAGAACTCGTCGTCGCCAGGTCTTCCATCATGAGGGCCATCGTGGGGACCACCGCGGTGGTGATCGAACGGAGGCTCGCCGTGGGGTGGGGGATGATCGCCATGCTCATGATCGCCATGGTGAGGAGGAGGAGGCGGCGGCGGAGGAGGGAACTCGTCGAAAGGCGCGTGGGGAGCCTGGCCAGGAGGAGGAGGAGGAGAGACATCGTCATAATCAGGCGGATGGGGTCGGTCGCCGTCGTGAAGAGGAGGAGGACGCTCACCATCCTCAGGAGGAGGAGGGAACGGGTGCTCGCCATCTTCAGGGGGAGGAGGCGGGTGCTCTCCATGGTGAGGAGGGTGAGGCGGCGCGTGGCAGGGAGGACAGAACGGAGGAGGCGGCGGCGGGAAGGGTCGCGAGTGGTTGCCAGGGAACTTGTGGTGGCCTCCATCTCCGTGGTGAGGGCGTTTGCGATCCGGGTGATCCCATCCATGACCGTTCTCGTGCTCGTGGCCGGGCCCGTGGGCGAAGAAGCCGCCGTACAGGCCGCCGGCCGTGTGCTTGACCTTGTCGGCGAGGGCGCGCACGACGCATTGCACGTCGTTGCACTCCTTGAGCATAATGAAGATCGGGGGAGGCGGGGGGCGCCGGTGATGGTCGTCGTTGCCGCCGAGGCGCTCGCGGATAGCCATCTCCTTGGCGTGGATGAGTTCCATCAGCTCGTCGACCTGGTCGCGCAGAAGCTCGAGCTCGTGGATCTGAGCCTGGAGCTCGTCATCCGGGTCGGGCATCTCTTGGGACGGGCGTTCATGGGCCGGAGGGCTGTCATTCCCCGGTTGGGCCTCTATCAAGGCGGAGGCGGAGGCGGCGCCGCCCAGCTCGAGGATGACGGCCGGGGTGGTCTGGCGGAAGGTCATGGCGAAGTCGAGGTCCTTGACGGGCTCGCCGTCCAGGCGGTCGACGGTGAAGCGCAGGAGCTTCGCCTCGGGCCCGGCGTTGGAGCTGATGCAGGAGAAGACCCAGTGGGCGCCGAGGATAATGTCCTCGCCGACGGGGACGACGCCGGATCCGGAGCCATCCTCTTTTTGCTGGAGGTGGTGGCCGTTTACGCGGAGCTTGGTCGGGCCACAGATGTCCTCGGTTTCCTGGATGTCGAGGCGGAGGGTCTGCGCGAGGATGCGTTAGTACATGGGGCCCGGCGGGCGGCATGAAAGTTGACAACGGCCGGATAGGTTTGTCATTACCAGAGAGTCGATATCATGTTTCCCCGTGGGGATATCCAAGTCGACGATGGCCCACGGCTCTGTCGCGGTGTCAGTCAGGCTGCGGTGGGGGGAGCGGCGTGTAAGCGCGAGCGAGGCAGGCAACCCACCATTCAGACTCAAAGACGAAGCCCTCGCCAGCGCCGGCGCCAGCAAAAAGGCGGCAGCCTTGGTGAGGCCGCGCATGTTGGGCTAGGCCACCAGAACTCGACTCTTGCGTTGGAAACGTCGAATGTCACGATGTGCCTCAGAGCCGAGGGGGGGTAGGCAGCGGCGGTTGAGGATCGAGGATCCACGTATACGTTTGCTTCAGGCAGATGGCTAAATAGGTGCGTATCCGATGAAAGGAAAGAGAGAAAAGGCAGGAATGCCGTGAATGTCAGGCGGGAAAGGGTACAAATGAAGGGTGCCTGGAAAAGAGGCGCTGTGCAATGCAAAAGCGCAGTTGACTGCGACCAGGACTGGGGCAGAGGCGAGGCCGATAAGACTCTAGAGGGTGCGAGGGACGCGCGGTGCCATGGGACAGGTACGTAGGCACTGTGGGCCCTTTTGGGGGGATCACGAAGACGCCCCAAGCTGGCAAGTCGTTTGGGGGACACAATGAACGCAACTGGGCCGGCACCAGCTGCAAAGACGCCAGGAACGGGAAGATCAAACCAAACAGGGATGAGACTATGAGGCCATGAGGCAAAGCGCCAAAAACCCACAAACTCGGGGAAATTGAACCCTTCGTCCTCGTCGTCATCGCCTATATTCGTATAGTACGTACGCGGTACTCGGGCTGCTGGCGTCATGGCGCTGGTGCGTTATGGCGCAAGGCCCCGGTCGGTCTGCCCGTTGTATTTACTGCTGTACAAGGCAAGTCTTCTTCGTCCCTCGTCCCTTGTCCCTCGTCGACGTCTCCGCGTGGGAAGCGGGCCAGGCTGCGCAATCAATCGACTTCATCAACCCACTCATCGCGGCTGGTTGTGGCCCATCACCACCACCAGCCAATCAGCGCCGACGAGCTGACGAGTCCTTCGCTCAGCCCCCGTCCACGCTTGTCCTGGTCCTCCAATCACTTGCCCCGGTCGCCTCAATTGCAAGCAAGGCCCGTATGTGGGGCCGGGCGCCTTCGGCATCTCCTTCCGGACCCTTTCCTTTTGCAACACCAGATGAACATGCTGCCGAGAACGGGAACCCTTCTATCCACCTTCTGTCGGCTTGCGGCTGGCTTACCGTTGGACGCGCCGTAATCTGCTCCCCTGGCGAGCTGTCGACTGAATCGTACGTAAGGCGTGCTGCACAAGTTAAGGCTTGCTGCGTAAGGCTTGGTGGAACCAACTTGTAAGTGCATTCGCAGAACTGGTCATTGCAGGGGTCTAAAACGTGCCTCTTCAATATTCCGCTCGTTCGCATCGTTGAGAAATGATCCAAATGAACCGTAGGTATATCCAACTAACATGATCCAGAACCCCCTGTTCGCACCACACATGGTGAAACTTCCCGTCTTCAGTCGACCCTTCTCAACTCGATCCCATGCAGAGCGCCATGCTATCCGTCATGCAATCCAAACATCAACAAAATCGTCCCCACGCGTGCTTCATTTATTCGTTGTCTGTGAACTCATCCTCGAGTCACACAAGAAACTCGCTCAGTACCTGCACTCGCGTCCGAGCCACATCGGAGTCTTCACCCATGACCTGCATGATCTGAATCATCCTCGCTATTGCCATGTTAGCAGGTTCTCGCTAGCTACAGTTCACCAAGTCCACTTACTAATATCAGCTTTCGCCCTCACAAGCAGCGGATCCCTCGCCATGGCCTCTGAGCCGCCGGGCTCCCGAGACGCCTCACGAAGAACATTTCCGATGCACAACGCCTCCAAAAACGCCCGATGGTTAAAGACCCACCAAACCCGAGCCTCTGTCTCAAGAAGTGCGAACAATAAGAAGAATGCGCTGATGGCGTCGTGTGCCGCTTCGAGCGTGCCCCGGATGTTGACTGGAACATCGGGGCTTTCGGAGGCGTGAACCAACATCAAGTTGTGGAAGTAGTTGCTCGTTAGGAATAACGTCTGCCGAACGACCCGCTTGTTGGTCTTGGACAGTGCAGTGATGCTATCCGGATCCCATGATCTAAACACATCCGGAAACGATCGATACACAGCTCGGAAGTCGGCAATCAATTTCGACTTGTGCCTTGCGGTAGTGCAGATGGGCACGTCTAATGACCTGGGGGAGCAGATTGTCTCCTGAACCAGGTTCGCGAGCGTCCAAGAGCCTCGAATATATGCCGTGTCCGTAGGGTCGCTATTAGCAATCGAGGAGCCATCATCCAACAAGTCCTCGACAGACACATCGGTATGTGTTGCTGAGGGTGGTAGAGACAGGAGTACTGTCAGAAATGTATCCTGAAGCAAGACGGCCTGCCAGAGTTTCCTCCGCTGCTGTTTCTCAAAGAGACTAGCATTGGGTGTTACTGGGCAGAGTTAGATTACGCGTTTTGGGCTTTCACGGGGCAATACTCACCAATATTTGGGTCGCGATGGAGGCCCATGGCATAGGCCTGCCGGATCAGGATGCCCGCAAACGCCCATCCATCTGATGCGTGGTTGTCGTTTATGAGGAAATATGTCATGAGCACCATGGCCTGGATTGAGCGCAATGAGGCGCTGCTCAGATAGGATGATACCCGTAAGGCTTGGTTGCTGGCCGATGCGTAGAACTCGGCCGTCTGCTTTCGCTCCCGGGGTGATGTTGACGTTGTCACGAACTGAGTGCCAAGAGCCAGCATTACAAAGATCATAGCGATGAACGACGGGTCCACATCATTCTTCTCTGGCTGCCCCATTTGCCAAAAGTGCTCATAGTCCGCGTAAAAGGTTTGTCGATGAATCATGGGATAAACGGGGTCGACACACTCGAAGTAGCGGCTCAGCAGGATGTCGGCCTGGATCTTTTCCGGGAGGACGGAGATGACCTCGGGTAAGCCTCCCTCGCAGGTCCAGTAATTTGCAAAGGGGTGCTCCGATCCAATTCCAAAGACATTGCTGGCGGTGGGTAACGAGTAGGGAACGTTGGAGAGAAGGCCGATGGAGAGGGCGACAGCTCCTCTAGATGTGGCCCCCGGATCATTGGAGATGCCTCGATCGGCGATGTTGGGAATTGGCGACTTGCCACTAGAATCAGCCTTCTTCTTGGGAGCCTTGGTCATCCGTCGGCCATTGGCCGCTGACCGAGTCGTCTCCCTACATAGTGGTCAGCATTAAGCGAGGGAAGCAGTCGGGAGACAGCATACTCGAGGAGATTTGCGACATGAGCATATCTGCATTCGGTTTGACGTTTTATACCTGGCGGGAGTTAGTACCACCGCGAAAGAGAGGAAAATAGCGGGTGTTCTTACAAGCAAGGCAGTGTGGTCGGCCTCTATCGCACTATTGGCGGTCGTTAGTGATTCGGCAAGAACATCCAGCTGCGACATTATCAAGATCAAGGAGATGAACACGAGATATGCGTGGGCCATTGGCCAATGAGGATAGAGGATTGTGACAGGTTATTGTTGAGATCTGGGGTGGCAGAAGTGGGCACATCTCAACCGAGATAACCAGGAATACAAGACGGGGATAGAGGGATGCAAGTCGTCGGGAATGAACTACGCACCTTGGTCTTGCGCTCCACGCACTCATGGCACGACAGCGTGGGCTTGTTGCGCTTCTGCTTCTTCTTGGGAGGCTCATCGCCATTGATAGGCTTAGTGTCCTCCTGGTCGTCGCTGTCCTGCTGATAGTCGCTCGGCTGATGATGGCGAGAGCTTGAAGCATTTCGGGAAGCTGAAGGCAGCTGGTGGGAGACGGAAGTGGGGGAGGTGACGACGGAGGTGGAGGATGCGGATCCCGGCGTCAGCGCAGGGCCGCCAGCCGTTGAATGGGAAGAGGCGCCGCGCGCAGTGCTGAAGGGCGACGCATGGTGCGCGTGGTGCGCGAGCTGATGCGACTGGTGCTGCGGCGGATGTTGATGGTGCTGGTGTTGTTGGTGTTGATGTTGGAGCTGGAGCTGTTGGTGCTGGTGCTGGTGCTGGGGCTGCGGATGCGCGTGGTGCGGATTAGGGCGCTGAGACAGGTCCATCGAGCCGGTGCTTGTGCAGCCACTACATTCGCCGTCTCCAGACCCGAGGAGATGGCGAGTAATTCCTGCGTAATCCCGGGCCGCGATCTGGCTCTACCAACGAGCCAACGGATTGAGGCTCTGGCTCTGGTGCACACGCGCACGCGCTGCTGTGGTGTCGCCAGCCGGGAATAAACTGACGGGAAGCGCTGCTGCGCAGTGAGCGGGAACAGAACAGTGGACGCAAAGACGCAAACGGGGGGGAAGCACAAGGGGCGCGCGGGCGTATCGGTTGTTTCGGCTTTGGGCTTTGGGCGCTGGGAATAACGACGGAGATGGACGGCCAAGATGGATGGAGACGGCACGCGGGAGGACGGGCGGAGTCGGACAGAACGACGCCGGCGGACGGCAAAAGAGGTGCGTAATAGCTGCGTAATAGATGACAGGTTATTTCGGTACCCGCGACAGCATGGACGGCAAACGCGCAGAACGACGGGCTGTCGGTGGGAATAAGGCAGCCTTGAACAGTGAAGAAACCCGGAAAAGAAAAGGGAATTGGAGACGGAGGGGTGGGAACTTTACTGAGAAGACCCCGAAAAGGCGGGGGCGGAGCGCGGATTCCATGCCCCCAGTCCAGTGGGCAGTGACCAAGGCACCTAGCCCAGTGGCACAGTACCGCAGGGCGCCCAGCGAGCGTTTGGGTTTAGTACCTCCTCTAGAGGTACTAGTCGTAGGTAGGTCGCAGGTAGGTCGTAGGTCGTAGGTCGTAGGGGACGGAATACACGGAGTAGCGGCATTCGGATTCAGGGCAGTGAGGAGCCCAGCAGCTTCTCCGGGCACCCAGCGGAACTGGAGGGTGCGTGTTAGCGTCGGGCAGAGACCAGAAGCATCGGACGAAAAGACACTAGTTCTATGCGTACTTGTCCGACAATGGCATCTACACGGCTTTGGCCAGACACCATTTAAACAGAAAACACCTCAATTCGAGAAAAACCTCTTCTGCTCTGACCTTGGCTACGGAACATGGCCGTCAAGCCGCTGGCACCTCCCGTCGTAGCTACCGTGGGCCCTCCCCAGCTCCCCAGGGCTCCCTGTGCTTTCGGTAGGCCACTGCCGTGCTACGTAGGCTCTTGTATGTACCGGGCCATGGGCGCTACGGCCGCCACTTCACAGTGGGCCGCCGGGTCCTTGGGCGTCCCGAAAAATACACCGCCGCGCTGCCAAGCCGACCACTCCAACGGTAATTGTGCAACCCTGCCTCACAAGTACGCGGACTATCGTCATTTCTCGTATGGACTCTATTTCGATCCCAAGGATTATCCCACTCACTCCCTCAATCGGCGCTCCCAAGGCGACATGTTCGACTCAGGTTCTACCGCGAAAATGGGATAGATAGTGGGATGGCCGAGATGAACAACCAAAGAGGCCTCCCCCTATCCCGTACCCCCCGGAGCCTGATGACTCGAGTGTAACGTCCAGCACTCCAGCAAGTGCCGCCTCCGGCTCCGGCGAGCCACTCCCAATGGATGTCATCATTCTTCATCCTTGGAAAAACCACTCCCGTGGCTGGCCTGGAGCAAGCCACGGCTGGGCCGGTGGCTCCACCGAGGCGCCGCCCCCGGCCTAGACTAGCCAGCGAAGACGATGGCCTCGACGACGAGAACCAGCGTTGGGAGCGGCTGAGAGAGGGAAGGGAGAACAGCAGCGGTGATGCTGATCCGGGCTTCGGCGATTGAATCGTGAAACCGCCATGTTGCGGGAAATGTCGTCCCGGCAATCCCTTCAGCCTTACTCCCAGCCGCCACTCCGCCATTTATACGAATGTCTGTGAAGCCATTGGCCCTAGCGATTGAATCTATTTATCCCACAGCCAGCCCTACAATCCCATTAAACCCCATCCATCCACCACCCCGAGCTGCTCGGAGCTCGGTACGTAAGCGACACCGGGTGACAAACCCATGCCTCGGTAGCTGACGACAACTCCTCTCCATGACAGCCCTCTTTGGCGACAACAATTCTCCGCGAAGACGTACGAGGCATTGGCACACTTCTTCCAGACCCAGACCAGAACCAGACCTGAACTCAAACTGGCCTCACCATGTGGCAACAGCCCCCGGATCTCGAGACACCTCGGGCTAGTTCCAGCCTGAGTCAAACGGGTGGCGCCTCGAATCCAAGACAGGTCCCCGGCTCACTGCGGAGAGGCAGCGGGACGAGACTCATGCTAGTGAGGCACCGGACTGTAATTGGTGCTGAAATTACGAGGTATGTGTGAAGAAAAGCCCAATGAACGTGGCTTTCCTCCTGTTTTTCCGTTGATCGACGACGCCATCTAATCTCACATTCGTCCTCTCGTCGATTCTCGCGGCAGTCATTCTCAGCCCAGCCTGACGAGCTATCCGCTTTTCAAGCTAGCTCTCGCCCCAACCCGTAGGCCTGGGCCTCCTATCGGCTTCCCCTCAGGACCCCAGGACCTGGTTCGTGGCCAATAAATGTCCCAGGAGACGATACCGGCCTGGGTAAGGGCTATTGACGGCGCGAGTGACATGATTGCCCAACAAGGCGCACGCGTCCATCCCTCTCAGGGCTTCGCGGCGGCTCACTTTGATTTCCACCGTCTCTTACGGACATGACTACCGTACGTGGTAAGGAGTATTGCATTTCCAAAGTGACCCAAGCTTTGGCTTCACCGCTAGAGCTTAGAGGGAAGCAGATCAAAAAGGAACGAACGTAGCTTCACATTTAGTCGGGCTTGATTACATATACAAGAGTCATGCATGTGCGAGCTGGTATGGATACATGACCACGTACATGACGAGAATACGAAGGTTAAAATCAACGCCAAAACGCCCCGTGAGCACCGCCACACCATGGATCTACGAGAAAGTGAATTGTGCATTGAATGGATTACGACTACTATCAGATCAGCATTGACTTCCCTCTTGATTAACGTTAACTTAACTGAAGATGTTACCATTTTTAGTAACATAATGAAACGTAACTTATCCCCTGGGTTGGTTACTCTTATCCGAGAAACTCAAGCCTCTCACAAGTGGGGTCAAACGTCACCACTTCCAACGTCATCCAAGCTCGCCGCAACTACACACAACTTAGAGTCATCTTCCTCAAGATCCAAGCTCGCAATTTGCAACATCCATGAGGCCTTCCACCATCCCATTACAACGTACGCAGCTCATATTTCGCCATCTTCATCATACGATGGCAGCCGAGAATCCTGCCGCGTCCCCCGCTCCATGGCGGGGCCTGTTCCTCGAACATATTCAAGCCATGGACCTCCCTACATGCTCCTTTAGCACTCTGCATTATGAGCCTCCATCTTCATCGGGAGCCGCACCCCGGATCACTCCTCGGTCTCGAACTGTCGTTTTCCGTGGCCTGTGGGCCTCGCTAGCTCCCAACCCCAAGAATCCAGCGCCGCTAAATCCCTCCGCGTATGAGAGCGATCTCCTGGCTATCACAAACGATGCCCGTATGCAGAAGACAGCTGAACTCTCTGAATCCGGCACTTCATCCGCATCATCACTCACGCCTCAGACTGGTGGTGGTGGCCCCGTCGAGGCCGTGTTTTGGGCCGTCCCGTCCCGCACTCAGTGGCGCATACGTGGACATGCCTACGTTCTTGGCCCAGACATCGACTCCGAGGCTGCAGAGCCAGTGAAGACAACCATCCAGCACCATATGCGCCTCACTGGCAGTGACGACGCCGCTGATTGGAGCTGGGAACGTGAGCTGACGGCGCATTTCGGCAACCTCAGTCCTGGGATGCGAGGATCATTCCGAAACCCTCCCCCGGGAGCGCCGTTGAGCGAGGAACCGGCGCCGGGACTGGGATTGGGCCACACGGTAGAGGATCTTCATGACAAGATTGCGAGAGAAAATTTCCGGGTGGTAGTGATTGTACCAGATGAGGTGGATCAGGTAGACTTATCGAATCCGGAGATTGCGCAGAGGTGGAACCACAAGTTGGTTGAGAGCTCCTGGGTAACCACTGAGGTTTGGCCTTGATTGGAATAATAGACACTCTTTGGCACGTCTATTTGAGTGAGATGCCTGGTAAACCGCGTTCTGGCCAACCCTCCTGGTGAAATCGACCACGTTCGAAGTGTTCCAAAAAACATGCGGACCTAGATTGCGTCAGGAGTTGGATACTTGAGGACATCGATTCGTTAAATGTGCAAGTTATAAAGTGAACCCAGATATTCGTACCTACATATCTATAGAGTACATGGTTGAGACCAACCAACTGTAGTCGTCTTCGACTTGGAATCCGTCTTCGAAAGTATATTCCTCGTTGCAGATAAGAACTATCACTCCTCTATTGTTTATACCAAGAGGTTAGGGTGTCCTAGTACACACATACCCAGAGGGGGGACTAGAAGCTCAACAGTAAAAAAAAAACACCAACAATAGTATCAACAATACAGGCCATATACCCAGTCCATTCAAAGGTCAACAACACACTCAGATATACTAAGGTTTCTAGTCCAACTGGTTACCCTACCCAATACCTTAATGAGCTGTCTATTGTTTATACAATTGTCGTATACATTCAATCCAATGTCAACAAGCCCCTTGCCCAGAAAGACGAACATAGTTTGGGGATGAGCACGGCTGAATGCAGACGGGTCTTGTCCAAATTGTCACAATAGTCTTCATAGAAAATTACGAGAAGTAGCTAATTGCCTTTACAAATGCTGGTTTATTTCATGGAACTCTAGGCATCATGGATATTGAAGTCAAGTTCGTGCTTGTCGCAAGTTTGCCCCATTACCATTCTACGTCACCGCCTCGTTTACAAAGCCATAGATCGATGTAATTGACACTCTATTCCACAAGCTTAAAGTTGAGTCACGTCATCAGCTAGAACAAGCAGGTCCTTAGTTGTTAAATCATCAGTCAAAACACTTCGAACCCAAACACACGAGCTTTATGACACCACGAGAAACGGATATTAAGGACGTAATGGACTTCGTTAGATCAATCATGGGTAGTATTTGGCACACTCTGATGACAATTTCTATCGTTATAGTGAAGAGTTCTTACGGCTTTCTCATCTGTAGTTAGGACATGGATGATTCCAGCTTCCCAGTACCATTATCTATACCAACGACACTCATGTTTCTTCCAACCTCAGAGGCAGTCACATTTTGCAAAGGGATGAAATTAAGAATAAATAGTATCACACGAGCCTTTTCGGGTTTGTTAGGGGCAGGCAGTATACCGATGTCAATTTTTTTTTGGCACATCTTCTGCTACAGGGTAGCTCCTGTTCTACAACTCACGAGAAGCGTCATAATAAGAAATGTGATAAGATCGAGCCCAGTTCATACAAGTGTTTTACAGTAAACTATACATTGTTTGGAGTATATGTGTTCTTGGGGCGCTTACATTCGTACCACAGCGAAGTTGTTCCAAGTAGTTTACTTGGTGGAACCTCTTGGACAATATTCCCGGCTTAAGATAGTGAAACAAGACGAAATTCCAAGTGCAAAACTACTGGATATTTTAATACAATCCTGGACCATCAACGTCGAAGTGGTGACATTCTCCTAAACAATGTCTTGCAAGGTCTCATTGGAAAAGTCCAGCGGAAATATTGTCCAAGAGGCTCAGCATCGGGATATTTACGTGATGGAGGTAACGAATTGAATGGCTAGAAAGGAGTTGAGTAGCACGGCTAATCTAACATGTTGCTTCGCTCGTCTGATTTCTGGTTGAAAGTCCTGCTTTGGCCATCTTGCCACAAGCTGGACAGCCACTCGCCGCGTTTTCTCAACGTAGCGAACTAAGAGCAACCTTGACAATCGGAAAGCCCTCTAACTCGTTGTGACGAGTTGCAGCTAGGCCGCGGCATGTGATTGCTATATGCTGTTCGGTTTAGGAAATCAAGAAGGTAGGTCTGGCTCGGATATGTCTCAACGGCACTATCTCAGCTACAAACAACCCCGCAGCTCCCAGGAAGTATTGAAACTACAGTGTTCTTCTCTGAGGACGTCGGCATATGCGTTTGATTGTCCATGTAACTGATTATTTTACATGCAAAATTTCCTCCCATGACAGTCTTGTTCGATAAGATCTTACACAAATACAACACCAATAATCACTGGACATGGTCATCACCAATCGGCAAATGAAACTACGACCCTCCTCAGCAAATCAGTCAGAGCGAGCATTGAACAGACTTCCCAACAAATCTCCGAGCCGTCTTCGGTCTCGATTGGGCTGCACCGGCCCAACGCTAACATGGGAATCTGCGACAGAAGCGGCTTAAACTGCCGCGAGTTCCAGATCCTCCACCAACAATCACCCTGCCATTATCCCGCGATCACGACCCTCGCCCAGCCACTTCAAAGCCATTGGCCGATCTGCATGACACCGCAATCCGTCCTGCATGGCATTGCCCAGTGATTGCCGCCGCCGTCCTGTAACCGAGACGAGAGCGTATGTGCAGCCATCCATAGTGCGTCGGTCGTCTCGTCTGCTCCACCGGGCGAAGGACCGTCTCCATCACGGGACGGGAGCCCCCACCACTAGAACTACTAGAGGAGCTACGATGCTTGATTGTAGTTGATGGCAATTTGTCACAACGGCGGCCGATCAAGCCAGCCGCCGGGGTTCATGAGCTGTCACCGTACCCACCGGGCGTAACGCAATGTTGGTGATCATTGTAGAGTACTTACACAGCACGGGTCAGCACGATGACAGATCGGCAAGGCCCTGCAACGGGCGGATGCAGAAAGCCTCCGAGCGCAATGACATCTCCCCGAGGCCCGTGATTTATTCTCATGGCATGTTTTTTTGTGCGAGTGGATGGCCGATGACGGGATCTCCGAATGGGGTTCGCCAAGGCGCAGAAGACGATGCACATTGGCACGCGTTGGGAATAGGTAGTATGCGGAGCCCATGGCCGTACCTCGCAAAACGTGAGACATGCAGGTTCGATGACGACGGGTTTCTCGACTGACGGCGGTGACAGAGCGACAAATGCGTATATGCACCCAACCAACCACACCGAGCTCAGCGCGCGGACTCCGTCCGTGATGTTTCGCTCGACACGGGGGTGGAGGGAGCGGGAAAGGCAGCAAGGGTCCAGGGCGCGGAGCGGGCATGCGGTCGAGCGGAGACGTAGTGGTAGGTGATGGCTTCAAGGTGCAGAGAGGTAGAAACAGCCTGCCATACACGGTGAGACGTCTGCAACTTTGCAACGGGACTTTCCACAGGCGCACACGCACGCGCACGCACATGCACACACGCACAAAGCTCGAGTTGGATACGATAGGAAGGTTTCTTCCGCCGGGATTCCAGACGGGCCAGGCGGCACGGTTCCGCTCCCATCGCTTCATCGCTCCATCACTTCATCACTTCATCACTTCATCGCCGCCGCATCGCCGCATCACCCAAGCCGTGTCCTTGCCTCCTCACGCCCTCTGCTGCCTCATCGACTCACCGGGATGGATCCCCCTCGGCGCGGACAAGGCCTCGATGCGGAACAACGAGCAGTCACGGCGCGTCACAGGTCTGCCTCTGCTGACCAGGCCACTCCGCCGTTTATCCCTCTTTGCCTGTTGGCCCGCGTCACGGGCTTACATAGACTTTTGCCAGGGCTCGTTCGCCTTCCGGACTGCGTACATGATCACCCTCTGGTGCTAATTCCGCTTCGGCTGTGGTGCAGACGCAGGCGGCAGACATCCCTGCTCCGCTCCTCCACTCGGTCATTGCCCTGCCTGGAGGAGCGGGAGAGGCTGGGAACCTGGACGTTGCTTATTAGATCCGTGCGGCGGTGCGATGCGAAACCGAGCTGTGGCTTGCGGCTAGGGAAAAAGGAGTTCGGTGGACCAAGTGTTGGTGATTCACGAGCAGTTGTCCCCCGACTTTTTGTGTGCTGCTCGGTTCGTCGCCGGACTTCGGTCCTCCGGGCCCCCGGGTCTTCTGGTGTTTGGAACTCACGGCGGCCAAGACCGGTCAATTGCGTGCCAGCAGGTGAAACCAGAGGGCCGGCAAATGAAATGCTCCTGGGCTGCAACCTCCCAGTCTGATATAGCCCGCTGGGTTTGAATATAGGATACCCTCCCAGCCTGTCATTCCTTCCGCCAACTGCATCCCGGAGGGTGTGCAAGTAATGAACGACTGGTGGCCGGCAGGGAATTGAGCTTGGCCGAACGAGGTAATGGCAGGTTGCGACGAAATGGCGGGGCGCTTAACGGCATGATGAACGCACAGTAAGCTGTACAGATGAGCCGATCGGAATAGGAACCACCAGCCAACACGTGCGTAACGTCAGCTAATCTGGGATCATCATCATGGAGAGTTTTCGGGGGGTTTTCGTAAAAGCGTCAGATGTGACACTGCGGAATTATTGTCCTCCGCATTGCCGGCGATTGGTGAAGATATCTAGGGCTATCCAGGGCTGCTTGAACAACCGATCGTCCTCCATTTTCAGTCCAACCAACCAACCAACCAACAAAAAATGTGGCGGCCCGGCAAATTGAGCTTCCCTTGACCGAGGTCGTTGGATTCCACGTGCCTGCTTTTGCAATCGAGGTGGTTGGCAATGGAGATTAACTCTCCCCCCGGTGCAAGCTCCGTGCCTTGCTCTCCGCCCGTCCTCCATTTCCATCGGTTAAACGTGGCGACGAGGGTTTCAACCCCTTGACGCAGCAGCCAACGATAGACTTGCCAGGCGCCGCGGCCTAGCTGGAGAGGAGCACGCCATATCTATCGCCGCGTAACGGACGTGCTCGATCCGGGTGGAGCGGCCTTTGCCTGGAGCGGTCAAGAAGGCCACGGCATCTGTCACTGGGGCCGGGGAACAGACCGAGCGTCGTCGACGGCGTGGTTTTGTGGCCGTTTGACGGCAGCTACTGTCGAACAAGGCATCTCCGGCGAGTGGCCGGCAGATTCCCATGTCGTCACCCGTGAGGCGAGTTGTCTCTTTTTTTGCACTGTGAGAGTTTTGGGCTCTCAAGGATGGCCCGGTCGTTTTGGGGACTTCCGAGGGATGGTCGCTTCTTCTGCTTCCGCGGGCCAATATCCCTGTTGAATACGCTGCGCTGTGCCAAATCCATCCATTGTTGTCGCGTTCCCTAGCAAGCCCGTGATAGGCGGCTAAGCACGGATCATAGATAGGGTGAAAACGGCAGAAAGGCCACTCACTCTCTTTTCTTTGACCCCTTGACTTCCATCATGTGTATTGCCGTTTGAGATAATGTCTGCTGAGCGGCTGCAGACGAACTGTGCATATGCTATGCATCTCAGTCACATTCCGTTTATTCTCAACCTTTTTTCTGTCCAGACATTAGGCGAACTGGCTCCACAGCTCTTTGACATTGACAATGTTCGCCGATAATTCACTTGGCATGGGTCACGAAGTAAGTGCCCCTCTTCCAAAGGTCTAGAACCTCAAGACTCTGCTTCTTCAGCCCTATGATGAAAACAACAATGATCATCGAGTAACGCATGCCCCCCGACGTAGCATTGAGCTCATCTTTCAGGCCATGCCCACTGATAAACCTTCCATGTCTTCTAAGCGGAGTTTCTTCACATCAAAGGCCGTGCGGCTGTCCATTCCAAAGTGGCTCCTCCTATCTTCCGTTACGAGGCCCAGTATCCTAACCTGGAAGTGCGGGGACGAGGGACATGAAGGTTTCAGGGTAATCCTAGCCCTGCTCAAACGCACAATAAATCGAATAGAGCTTTCCAGGACGCGACAGACACCGTCAGTCAAATCCGGTTTACCTCGCACACGAAGCCATGTGGCACACTGTTCCGCTCTGCGTCACGGCCTCTAGTCACGATTATATACATGCAAGGGCGGGTTGGCTTGTTGGGCGGAGGCTCGTGAGTCCGCCAGTCCCCGAACAGCGAAAATATCCGATCGAGTTTGACGAGCTACGCTGGGACGTGGATCGGCGAGGTGGGTTGGTGGACATCTGTTGGTGATCGATCTGAAAAACATACAGCCACCTGATTTGGCTTTTTTCATCTCAAAATTAGTGATTCCTGATTCTGCTTAGTTTGCTGCAAAGAATGTGACGACAGTGATGTATTGGTGATTGGTACTGCTGAGAGACGCAACGGGAAAGGGAGCCACCCTCAAGGTCAATCACCATACCGATGACTGAGTACGGAGCCTCAGGAAGATCAGGAGATGGTATCAAGATGTGGGACAGTAACCGTCGCCCTTCGTTTGTTGGTAGACAACAAGGATCAATGGTGCGAAACCGAGGGCACGAAAACGTACGGGAGTGCAGATTAGGCGTACGAATACGCACGAATACGTACGAAGTATGTCCGACCGGAAATATCGCCGTCGGTAGCGGCATGGGGAGGCGAGGTGTCAAATGTCAAGCGCCCTGCCCCTTGACGTTGCTGTCATCTCGCCAGTCAACGTGCTTGCTGCACATGGTGTGGCTGCCGTGCATCGTGCCCAGCCAACATGATACATACCTGTCACCAACATCAACGGGAGCCGAAAGACTTCGGAGGCAGGTCTCGGAAGATGGAAGAAAGGAGGCGTCCAGTCGGAATGTGGAGGCAGAAAATGACTTTCTTTGTCATCGCCATGGGGTTCGCATTCGTTTCTCGTCTGTGCGATTTTGTCATGCTACTGACTGCTGCGCCTGCAACGGTGCTGTGGTCATGCAAAGCGAAAGCAGGTCTCAGGACGACATCCAGACATTGCATGATGGGGAAACCCTGATCATGCGTACGTGATAGGGCAAGGTTGTGCTGATCCTCCTCACGAGGTCTCACAGGATGTCTATCTTGCACACTCCAGACACTTTTAGTCCCGGGCAATTATCATCTATGTCCCAGCCTCCACAGCCAGACAGGCTAAAACAAGCTCGACGCAAGCGCTGGGAGTGTCAAGATGTTACGCCGTCAGGTTTCGCCCCGAGTCAATGCATCCTTGACTTGACTTGGACCTGAGCAACACAGACTGACTATTAGCGCCGGTCACGTCGCTACGGGGCGATCCGTGGATCGACAGACACATGACGGGCTATTTGTAGCTCCAGGCCAAAGCTCTGCTGCCGTCGGCGTTGATGTACCTAAAATCATACCTCAGAAAGTCGGAGGTGACCCCCAATGACTGTGGGGTGACAGATCAGGGTTGCAATGCCAGCGCTGGGACCTTCAACTGCGACATCGTACACCGCCGGACACTGACAATGAAATCCGTTCCAAAACCTTGGTCCAAAGAAAATAGGACCGGTAGCCAGCTGCATCGACCAGGCCTAAGCGGACAGAAATGAATCAACAAGGCCAACGATCGGTCGTAAGAGCAGCATCTAGCGATGTCTCGGTAGATCCGTACGGTACGGCAATGCATCATATTGCGGTCCACCCGCCGACCCCAGCTGAAGGCATGGGGAAGATTGGATGAGGATCTGCCCAGTACCACAGGAATCGAAGCTCCAAGTGGATGCCGAGGTCAGGTGATACCCAGCCAACGCTTGCAAGCTGCATTGGCAGCAGCTGGACAGGGAATACATCCCTAACGAGAGACGCGAGCTTTCGGGGGAACCATGTTGATGGCAAGGGACCAATCTCGCCAATATCGATGGTGAGTGCCGATGACGCATAGGAAGGTGGAGCGAAACGAGCATGAGAAAAAAATCCCTTCACGGTCAACAAAGCGGTGACCCTTGGTTCTCGTTTGGCTGGGCGCAGAAGTGAGTTGGCCGCCGACGGACATGGTCTCGCGAGTACGGCTCGCCGCCAAACGCCGATCCGCCGCCTCAAACGTTCTGTAGGGCCTTCGGACGAGCGCGGGGCCACGGATAACGCTTGGTAGCATAGGTGGACATGGGTTTCTTTTACGTGGAATGTCGACGAGTTCAGATTATGCCCAGTATCGACTTGCCGACTTGTCGCTGCATCGCCGGCGCTGCTGCAGCTGCCGTCGATCTCCAGTGGGGGCCGGATGGTGGCCAGGCCTCGCCTGTAAGGGATGCGCCATCAGGCTTTGTGGTTGGTGTTTCACCTCCTCATCGCTTCTTAGAGAGGAAGCCGTTATGCACTGGGGGGGAAGAAATGGAACATGGACAGTGTCCAGCTCCACCCATTCGCAAGCAAACAAGTCTCAATGTGACGGGGGCTTCGGACAAGATGATGACTTGGGATGTTGGTTGGGGGGGGGGGACTAACGTAGCCGTGTAAGAATTAGTTGTTTGTTTAAGACAAGAACCAACAACAAGACAAGATGCCTGTCAACTCAGCGAGAGCGGTGGAGGGGAGGGGGGGAGGGTCTCCCTCGGCATTGTGATGCATCACCTCCGCGATTGATGGCCAACGAGATTGCCGGTTGGCATTGATGTGGCAATGGAGGTTGGGGTTAACCATGCACGCTCAGAGCTCTGGAGGCTGAATGCTGAATGCTCGAGGAAACTCTGAGTGGGCTATTCAATGGGGTCCGGCCGGTGAGGGGGCTTAGGCTTAGAGGGGCGGGTGGGGAGGATGACATTGCATGCAGATTGATGTACGGCAGAGACGAGCAGCCAGAAACTTGAAAAGGGAGAGAAGAAGCAGTGCGGGCTTGTTCGGTCGCCGGCTGTTGGTCGGATCGAGCGTCTAGATGAGTCTGGACGCGAGTCCGGGAGGTCTTCTTTGGCTGTTCAATCAGCGCCAACACGCGTTGTTGGTCGGGTGTCACCTACCTACTTAGGGGCGGATGGACCCAGCCAACAGACGGCGATACAGCCAGACACACGCAACAGAACAAGGCTGGCTGATGCCAGACAGCCTTTCCCTGTGAGACTTCCGGATGGGGGAATCGCAGCGAACTGGTCCCTCGCGAAGGTGCGCAACCAACTCAAGCTGCTTGTGGGATGATGCAGCTGCACTACTGTGGCAGGGCGCTCTGGGGCCTGGCCGCGGCGCATGGCACAAATCCAGGACTCCATTTCCCTTTTAGGGATGGGATTGGCATTCCATCGACGACCTGTCGAGAGTGGCGGTGGGGGGAGAGGAATCAAATTCCACGCTTCAGCAAGGACAGGCAGCTATAGTTAGCTACATGAGATTGAACTAGTACCACAATTACTTTGCCGACTACACAAACATCGTCGGTAGTTGACAAACAGTCTGTAGCCGGCTGAGCGCGTGCAGAGCAGTAAATTTCGAACTCCCATCCTCCGTGCGCATGGATGGGTGCGATACAGATGAGAATGGAAGGATGGAAGCGATCCTTAGCTATCAGCCCGTCCCTGCAACCCTTCGGGGGGCGCCGCCATCCATCTTTCGCGACAGAGCTCTGACGTGGGGTACGACCGGGATCAGATAGCCAAGGCTTCTGGAGAAAGATGATCAACATGGCCGTGGTGATCTGCCTCCGGGCGTGCGACGCGCCTCGGCGCTGTCCTGCAGGGTTAGCCCCCCGAGGGCTTGCAGACGACAGGCGCCTCGCTACTCGTTCCGTACCTCCGTACGTGCATTCACCATCCCCTTGAGGCGGCATCTCCAAAATGGGCCATTGCCGGGTTGGAGTGGTGAGTTTTGTGGGAATGCCTGGATTCAAGGTGAGGTCAGGTCAGGCAGGTCAGGCCAGCATCAGTCGGTTAACGAGGCGGGCCTGAAAGCAACGTCGTGAGTTTGCGACAGCCGTGGTAATTCTTCTCGCTGCCCGTACCGCTTTAGGGTCTCGGCGGATTGTTTGAGTGACACATTTGCTCGGCGAGATGTCCTCCAGCAAGGGAGAGCTTCTCGACGAAGCCATGCCATCTGGCACTGTAACGCTCCGGGTTTTTCGTACTCTTCGGGCGGCGGGCCGTGGGCGGGAAGGGCAGCGCATCGGATAACGGCGCAAGAATCTCCCAATACGGGGTCCGCGGGCGATGCGGAGGCACGACGAGCTTCCGATGCCCTCCTCCCGCCCCGAGCGCTTGGCACGGGGGAATATCTTGCGGATATCGTGGCAGGTGAGAATGAAGGGCTCTGGGGCGCACAATGCCATGAACGACTGTGGCACCGGGCCGGGGTTGCACGAAGGGCGATCGATGACGGTTGCCTCCATTTCTTGTGTTCCCAATATATGGCTACACGCACGCATGGGGGTTCGACGGGGACGCATTTCCATCGACAGGAGGTATGTATCCGCGCTCGGTCGTTTGAAGATGGGCTGGATGGGGTAGGTCCTTTGACGAACACCCGCGATCCATGTCATGGAGCGTATCTGAGGCGGTTCATTCGACCCGGTCCGACATCGACATCGAACAGCGAGCATCCTCCAATGCCTAATTCAAGCCCGCAACCCCACCCCCTCTTCGCGTTGTTTGCCCCTTCGCCGCCCGTACATACAAGGACCGGGCTCTTTTGCGCACACTTCGACCGAGCATATATTTGCATACTTTGTGATAAACGACGTCCGTCGTGGTTCGAGCACGTACTGGCGTATTTGCGGCTCCCTCCCCCACCTGTCTCGCCCTCGCCGGTGATTATTTACTAACAGCTGCCCTCTCCGGGGACTCCTCGCCGCCCGCACTCGGGGACCTCGTGGCCGGCTCGGGGAACAGCTTGGCAGGCTCGGGGACTACCCTGCGGCGGCTCATCGGGCCCGCGGGTAGCGGGCAGAACATGGAAAACTCGACAACGCCGTGGTAGCGCCTGCGGAGGTGCCTGTGTTAAAACGGCCGGTGGCTGCAGGAGGGCGCAAGGCTACGGGTGCGCGTGTGCTTGCGCGAGTGCGTCTGTGGGTTGAAGCCGGGAGCGCTCGGTGGTGATCGAGTCAGAGGATGCTGAGTTGAAAGGTGATGACGGGTGTTGAGCCGACGCCAGGAGGGTGAGTAGATCTGTGAGACGGTGTGATGGCATGGGTATTTCGTGTTGCCCACGGTTTTGATTGTATGACTGTTCTGATTGTCTGTTGTCTGCTGTCTGACTGTCTAATTGTCTGATTGTCTGACTGCCCGTCATCAGTCCGTTCGTTGGTCGCCTGTCTATCTGTCTATCTGCCCGTCAATCCATTAATTCGTACAATGTACGAGCCACTTTGTGCGTACCTATGTCGCCATCCACGTCCCGCAGCCCACATCACATCACATCCCATCCCACATCTATCCGTACGTACATCCACACACATGCTTTTGCATCTCATCTCATCGACCCTTGTTGCCTCTCCTCTCTCGTCCCCTTCCCCCCTCCCCTTCTTCTTCCCCCCTTGGCCCGCTTCGCTCTGTGGCCACGCCAGGCCCCGGCCGGCCAGGGCTATTACACTGCTGCAGCGTTGCTTGCACCCATGCTCATGCCGGCCCTGCCGCCGCCATGCCGCTCTGCCGCCCATGCTTCACATCCCATCCCACCCACAACATCGCACAGTACAGGCCTTGCCATGTGCCGCGCGACATGCACTCCGATGCAACTTGCGGTACCTCGTCGAACTGCGCATGGGCCGGCGGGTACGAAGTACCACGGGCTATGTTTGGACTACGGACGGTACGTACCTCCCTACATAGCACACTGTCTCTTCCGGGGTTTGCGTTGCGTTGCGTTGCGTTGCGTTGCGTTGCGTTGTCTTATGTGTGCATGTATGGATGGCTGTATGGATGAATGCACCTCAACGCAGGTTGGCCCGTCGTCGTCCCCTGTGCATTTAAATAAAAATCTCTCGCCTTCACCTGCACGCTTGTCTCGTTTCTCCCCTCGTCGATTCATTCCTCTTCTTCTTCTTCCATAACCTGCTTCCCCTTCCCTCCCCCCTCCCTCCTCATTAGCCGGTGCCTGCAGCAGCCAGTGTCTTATCAACTCTTGCGTCCTTTATATTGCCCACGCCTCCCTCCTCTTCGTATTGTTGCTTGATCAATCAAAACGCCACCCAGCCAAGGTACATACTCACTCGCCCGCTCGTCTCCCGACCCAGCCTCCACAGCCCACATCCCATAATCCACTCCCCGTCCAGACAAATAAACTCACCATCTCACCCCCCCAGACCAGCCGCTAGTTGGCCTCTCCAATCCCTCCCGCTAGCGCCCATCCCCGCTCGCGGCTCCCCTGGACTCGAAGTGACGAGAGCGACAGCCCTGAGGCGGACAATAATTAGGGTCCAGTTCGGAGCGTCCTAGCGGCTCCTCGCCATCCATCCGCGCCCCGCTGAAGCCCACCAACTCCCGCCGAAAGTCCCCATCCGCCGAGCGCCTCCGAACCCCGGCTATCCTGGCATTACGCACTAGGCCCCGTCACAGGCAATCCACTGGCAATCCACTGGCAAACGCACTGTTGCTTTAGCGTCCAGAGTGCTGTTGGTTCCGCTGAGGCGCTGTACTTTTGCCCTTCCCCGATCGCATTTGTTGGTTGACAGTGGGCCCAACGTCACTCGACTCGCTGCGTTAGCCAGCCTAAAGAGCAAGCCTCACCACCACCAACCCGCTCCAACACCCAAGAAGTTGCTTGCTTCGAAACTCTGTCCGTGGCCCATTCCCTAGACACCGACGCCTCCTCCGCCTTCAGTGTCTACCCACTCCCGCGAAGGAGGAAGCAATCAACTGCCGACGATCACGAGACCACGACGACACGAGTTCTTCTATCCCCTGCCGCCTCCTGAGAGTCACGATCTACGCCGTTGGATCATCATGCTGTCGACCTGATCTTCATACTCCCCGACACCTAATATCGCCACCACGACCCCCGAGCTCACCTCCAAGATACCCGTCGATCCACAGATCCTCCCGCACCTACTTCACCTACCTCCTCTCAGCTGCGTCGCCTGCTTCTGCACTGTGCCATCGACCTCGCAGGATCCGACACAATCCTCCTCCCCTTCCTCCCTCTCTCGTCTCCGCAGGACCACCTCCGGTCCCTTCTCCAATCCCTGGAGCGTTGGGTGCTGACCACCTCGCTCCGTCTCTCCGTCAACACGGCACCACCTCCGCAACCCGACGCCCGCGAAATGGCTATGGATGCATTGAAAAACCTTTCCAATAACGTCCCGGGCTGGCTCAAGCAGCTAGACGACCTCAGCGGCCAGATCGATCAGCGCCAAGCTGAGCTGGCCGCTGTTGCTGCAGCTGAGGGAAAGAACCCCGAGACAAAGTCCATACGCAACAAGGGCTCGACCGAGTCTCTCCGGCCGAAAGATGACGTGCCTATGACTTCTGCCCCAGAGCTTACGCCCGACGATACCATCCCCGAAGATTCTCCCCTCGTGGCGACCGAGCCCTCCACACCTCCTGTCGAGGCCAAGAAGGAGGAATCCGCAGTCTCTCCACCCAGCCCATCCGCCGTGAAGCAGTCTCAGGAAGCTATCAAAGCAGCACGCACGCGAGTACGACAACAAGTCAAGAGGAGACAACGGTCGTCGTCAGTGGTATCCGCTGAGGGCGCTCCTCCAGCATATCGAACACGAAGCATGATCATTGTGTATTATGATAGCTATGTGCAAGGCTTCTTCGACGATCTCGTGAGATTCGTGTCATCCAGCCGAAATCTTATGCGAAAGGCCAAGATGGCCGCAAAGGTTGCCCAGATCAAGCGCCTAGCCGAGGTGGATATGTCTGAGGAGGGCAAGAATGACAGTGATGATAGTGGCCTCGAGGCCCTTCCTTCACTGAGGTATATGAGCACACGACGTTTCAACCCAATGTCATCAATATCTCGACCTGGCTTCGGGCCTGGGAAAGATCAACCTCCGGATGTGTACGATCGACTGGACAAGAGCCTAGAAATTGTGCAGAGCATGTGCGAGCACGGCGCCCACCAGTTCTTGCGCGACGGCGATTGTAACGATGAGATCACAAAGGTGCAGAAGCAGCTTACCGAGGTCCTGGAAGTGGCAACCAAGGAGATGGAACGTGTGCAACGCGAGGAGCCTGAGCTTGCCAAGGAGACGGGCGAGCTGGGCAAGATCCGAACGCGCCGACCCATCAGCATGCGCCGCGAGATGTCTCCCGGCCTCAAGGACGGGGCAGCGATGCCAGCCGGCCAAGATCCCGAAAAGCTTGAGGCTGCCAAGCCTGAGGACCAGCCTCCATATGTTTTGGACTCAGACGCGCCTCTCGAGGTTGACCCCAACATCATTGAGGCCGACGAAGGCATCGACATTGATATGGAGGTGCCCAAGCTTCAGTACCGATCAACTCGAGCCATGCGGAGTCGTGGGCCCTAGAATGGCCACGAGCCGCGTGTCTGGGAGTTGGTCAGTTCGATATTTTGATCAATTACCCTCAAACCATTCATCGCATTCTATTCATCATTGCTTTTTTTCGCCTCATTATTGTCGGCGTTACGGAACCGAGAGAGATAGGGAACTATTTTGTCTTTTTGTTTATTGATTTCAAACATCTTTCCACGAAGCGGGGGCATCTGTCTGCGGATGGGCTCTTTTTATCCCTTGGCTCTCTCTCGATTTCTAAACAAAAAACATTCATAGCGTGGGGTGTGTGTACTTTTGCCGACTGCTACGGCTGGGTCTTCATGTTTCTTTTTGTCATTCTATCTAGGGTTACGGCCGCGAACAAATGGGCACATCTAAAAGAGATTATGAAACTGGATACTTTTTTCGCATCTTGCCCATTCGTAAATTAGGTGCTTGTGATGGGTTTTTTTTTTTTCGGATTGAGTTTATGGTACAGGCGTCTCCTCATATTAGGCTTTGGGGAGCCAAGGAACCAAGGGTGGAGCGTCATCAACTTTACGTTGGGAGAAGGGGAATATTATCAAATTCTATCATCTTCAAATTATGAGCCTTGACATGGTTCGTAAATGTCTTCTTCGTAGCGTATTAACCTCATCTAATAACTTTTCTTGCTTGGTAGGCATTCGAACAAAATGGCAGATCCTACACTGGTATCCCACCCCTCTGGTACCCAAAGATACATGGGATTTTGAACAAGCTTGGAATGCATATATTGATTGCCTCAGGCTCCTCCGGAGAAGTGCGATACAACTCCTGAATGTATACAAGAACCATAAATTTCCCTCGTTGGGCTCATAGTTTCCTTTCTTCCCCTTTCCCTTCGCAGTTGACTGTTGGTGAATCACAACCAAGTATCGAAACCCGGCGAACAGGCTGGGTGCAGGAGCTCATAGGTTGGCACATCGCCAGAAAGCCAATCGTCCGACGAGAGCTCCTCCGCTCGGCCATCGATTGACAACTCATTCCACTGGTCGGGCAAAGCTTCCGGGCCGAGAATGCTGGGATCGTCGCCATCTTCGGGTTCCAGCTTACGGGCCGTCCACGTCACCGTGAAGGTGTACATCCTTGGCCCAATGTTTTGATCCATGAGCTTGTTGCGAAATTCACAGCATGTAGCATTGGGCGGGTTGTCGTGGTGCACTTGATGTCTGTGAATGAAGTGGGCAGTTGTCCAGTGATGAGCCAGGCCGCGCCAACTCGTCTTCTTGATGGGGATCCCAGCTGCGCTTAGGTAGTAGCCCTCCATATGGCCACCGAGGCGGAAGCGCCAGACCCGATGTGCCCATTCTGCAAGCTCCAGGAGCGAGTCGAATCTATCCTCGTTGTACTCAAAGTCGACGGTGAAGCGCCGTAGCCTTGGAAACCGCGAGAGCGCCGCTCCCCAGGCACCACGAGGGCTCCTCGGACCACTCTCAAAGGGAATGGGTGGGATTGGAGGCCGTTTATTAGCCAGGCCGTGGTCTTTAGTGAGATTCATGTGCTCTTGCATTTGGTTGGGCTGGAATCGGTTGACACAGCCCGTCCCATAGGGAGTGAGCTGTGGAGGCGAAGTGTCGGTCTTCCACCAGTCACCCTGGCGGATGGTCAATCGAATGTCTTGGGCCGGACACATGTCGAGAGCGCGGGTGAAGAGGAAACCATGTTCGAGGAAATGGACCGGGACATTTAGATGGAAGGACGTGAGACGGTTTGCAGTGTAGCGCGACATGGTGTACATGTCCATTTTATAACCGAGATGGGAGTTGGGCGGCACATCATAATCTCCTCCAAATAGACGTATGGTAGCATTCTCCATGAGCATATTCCGTGTTTCGGTGAATATCCGACGACACGTCCGCAGCAAGGAAGTGTGTTGAACCGTCCGACCTGACATGCCTGGGCGAAGCCAGTCGCCTCCAGGAATCTTTTGTGACATTCCGAGGCCAAGGCCCCAGTTGGGGTAGTTTACACCGAGCTCCTCCAGATCAGAACCCTCCCTCTCGGGTTCTCTTGTATCGTCGGGGAGCTTGCGCAGCAGCCAGTTGGGTTCGGGGAGGCTTTGCGACGGGTCTTCATCGGATCTGACCAGGACTTGCTCTTCTGTGAGAACAATGGAGAATATCTGAAGGCGAATCTCCGCAGGCAATACGGCAAAAAGAGGACAGAGTTCTTGCTGGTGAATAGTCCATCGAGAAATCTGGTTGCTCAGTGACTCCGATTTGAACACATATGAGAAGGAGGCCATGTCGCCCTTTAAACTCCACATGATGTGAAAAGAATTATGCAGGACACAAATCGAGAATGTGAAGAGAGCAGCTGGAATATGTTTGAGACTTTAATCATGCCATGTGGTAGGCCAAGGCAACCAGCCTTCAGGCTTCAATAAACGTTGCATTAGTCTCCGTCAGCTCAATATGGTAATGTCCGCGTGGCTATGGCAGGGCTGAGATGCACAACACCACACGTGACCGATTACGGCCAACGCAGCCTAACCATCTATAAACACAACTAACACGTAGTCTATCGGTTTTTGTGTAATTCCGGGTTCTATCCCTTGCTCATATCTATACCTCCGGGCCCACCAGTTATACTGGCCCACTGACGGCCCACCACGTCATTGTAAACATGATGACTTTGGTGCGACACCGCCGAGTACTTTCCAGCATCTGAGTCCCGCTCAACAGCAGATGTTCCAGGAGCAGCAGCGGCAATATATGTCTCCGTCACACCCACAGACCTCGATGTGTAAACCCGTTACCACCCATAACAGCATATGCCAGTAATTCAACTGCTCTTTCCTTGCAATAGTATGGATAGGCTGTTTCCTGGCTGCGGATGAGACCAGTGTTCTCCGCCGTGCGAAACTGGCTAGTCACCACAGCTTGGACGGGCCCCGTGGTTTCATTCTCGGCGACTATGAAGTCAAATACTTGAGTGTTCCACACAATGTCTTCCAAATTGTGGACGTCAAGATGAACTATCGAGTCATGGATACTAGTTTAAGAACAATAGAAGTTGATCTGACCAAAGCAATGCTTAACACATGCCTTCCTGTCCATATCAAACCCCTTGATTGACGTGGGGAGACACGTGAAGAAACTGTCCTCGAGTTTGTATTAGAGTATTGCTATTCGCACACGTTCAAAATGCTAATCGCACACAAGTACGATCGTTTACACCTACCTAGGTAAGCTTAGTGCAAGGCTTAAGGTATCTTATTCTGAAGATTATCCAGTTTCTCCTTTAAAATAAATTAAAAGATAAATTTTAAATAGTAAAACTTAGAGGATAAATACTTAGAATAAAATTTATTTAGTTTTTTTAGGTTTAACTTACTAATAGGTATATTATTGAGACTTCTTAGTGAAATTGGCCTGTATACTTAAGTGTGCGAGTAGTATTTTAAGTGTGTGCGAATAGCAATACTCTTGTATTATCTTGGGATATGAATATTGATTTGAGTTCGTCTGGTTTGGGCTGACGCGTTTTCTCGCGGCTATCGCTGGCGCAATGAATTTCTTTATAAGTGGCGATGTCGAGAATAAATCGCAAATTCTTCCAGACAAATAACTTAATAAGATAGCCAATCACTTTGTCTGGGACCGGGAATGACCAAACTCATCGGGTCCTGGATCCCAGCCGCTGCTTCCGTGGGATATGTTATATAGAAACCATTCGCTCACGCTTGGGGGGCCTTAGCAACTGTGCCGCTAGCGAATTCCTTCGGATACGCAGAATGGCCGGTGATGGCAAATTCCTTCGTTCCAGACTGGACTGGAGATAATTAACGTTGATTCGATCAAGGTTCATCCTCAAACTTCCGTTAAAGCTCCTGGAGTACACGTTTATCACCGCGAACTCATGCGGAGAGGTTAGCCTTATGAGCTAGTTCACTGGGACAAATTCTCGTCGCTGTGAGGGGAGATTGCCTTTGTACTTTGTTGTATTTTATAAGACTAGCTGTCATCATCATCATGCAGCATAGTGAATCAAAGCAACATACTTGAGTTCAGGAGATGTAGGGTAGCTTTGATGAGCTTGGGCCAATTATGCGGCTGAGATAGCACAGCGGCCCCACATCGGAGATCGCATGAACGGCTCGCCGACACCTCGTAGTGACCACGGGAAGTGACCTCTCAGTTATTCCAATGACGTCCTAGGGAGCTTCGGGTACACACCGCTGATGCCTTCAACCTCGCGACCCTGACGACACAGACTGCGCCCGAAAGGATTTCGTCATCCGCCAGCTCGCCCAACCTTCCCGCCAGCTCGGGTCGTCCAAAATGACGGCTGCGTCGCAATCCCCCGACCGATAGCTATCACGATACCACCAGGCTTCCCCCACCAACCATGGGTCAAGGGTTCTCGCTCGCGACGCCGTCCGTCGGCTCCGCGGGCATCGACGCCGCAGAGCTCAGCGATGTGCACTATGAGAAGAGCATCGGCGACGCGCGCTTCATGAAGACCATCCGCGGCCGCCACGAGAATGGATTGGTCCTCGTCAAGGTGCTCGTGAAGCCCTACCCCGAGGTCAAGCTGGAGACGTACAAGAAGCAGATCATAGGTAAGGCTGGCCTGCATCACGCGCGCTCATCATTGCGGGTATACTGACGCGACACAGAGCAGCGCAAGGCTCTGGCCGATGTACCCAACGCCCTCGGCTTCCAGCGCATCATCGAGACCGAATCCAATGGCTACCTCGTTCGTCAATACCTCTACAGCTCCCTCTACGACCGCCTCAGCACACGACCGTTCCTCGAGGATATCGAGAAGAAATGGCTAGCCTTCCAGCTCCTCTGCTCTCTCCGCGACTGCCATGCGCGGGACGTCTACCACGGCGACATCAAGGCTCAGAACGTTCTCGTCACTTCCTGGAACTGGTTGTACCTGTCCGACTTCTCCTCGGCATACAAGCCCATCATGCTCCCAGACGATAACCCTGGCGACTATTCCTACTTCTTCGACACGTCAAGTCGGCGCACTTGTTACATTGCCCCCGAGCGATTCTATGCCTCTGGAGAGGCGCCTCCACAGAAGCCGAAAATGACATGGGCTATGGACATATTCAGCGCTGGATGCGTCATCGCCCAGATGTTTCTTGAATCCGAGATCTTTAGCCTTGCACAGCTGTATAAGTACCGCCGTGGCGAGTACGACCCTGTCATTACGCACTTGAGTGTCATCTCCGACAAGGACGTTCGTGACATGATATCCCACATGATTCAGCTCGACCCAGAGAAGCGCTATTCCGCGGAGCAATATCTCGAGTTTTGGAAGGGAAAGGTTTTTCCAAACTACTTTTACAACTTTCTTCACCAGTACATGGAGCTCATCACCGATCCATCATCGGGAAACAGCCCCATGTCGGGCGCGATGAAGAACCTTGGAGAGGCTGATGACCGGATAGACCGCGTTTTCTACGACTTTGACAAAATTTCCTACTTCCTTGGGTATCAACCCGAAAAGCGCATTTCAAACGCCTTGCAATCTTCTTCAAGACTCGGCCTGTCTCATTTCCCAGTACGGCTAAATATCCCCAACCACGATCACTCCGTGTCCTCAGACTTGGAGCCGCCAGAAGATGATGGAACCTTGATATTCCTTACTCTCATTGTATCCTCAATGAGAAACACAGCCCGCGCTTCGTCAAGGATTAGGGCATGCGACGTGCTCTTAGCTTTCTCGGAGAGACTCACGGATGAAGCCAAGCTGGACAGAGTGTTACCATATCTAATGACACTTCTTCGACCGGAGGAGACTGATTTGGTCGTCATCGCTGCTATTAGAACAATCACTCAGCTTCTGCAGCTTGTTCAAATGGTTACACCGATCAACTCGCATGTCTTGGTGGAGTACGTGCTGCCTCGAATGGAAGTGGCTCTCGGATCCAGGTCAAAGATCCCGAGCCCTCTGGTCAAGGCAACATACGCATCGTGTTTGGGAAGCCTTGCGACTACCGCACAGCGATTCCTCGAGATGGCGTCGAGCTTGAGGGCTGATGGTTCGATGCCCGTTGCTGATCCCGAGATAGAGCCCGGAGCAGACGCGGAAGCTAATTTTGAGAGCGTCTTTGATAACGCCGGAAGGCAGCTTTTCGAAGTTCTAGAGAGCCATACCAAGCAACTGGTTGAAGACCCAGACATATCGGTCCGCCGAGCTTTCTTGGCGTCAGTCCCTGAGCTCTGCATGTTCTTCCAAGAACATTCCAACGACGTCTTGCTCACTCACCTAAACACATATCTGAACGACCGCGATTGGGCGTTGAAATGTGCCTTTTTTGATACGATCGTGGGCATCTCGACATTCATTGGAAGCACCAGCCTTGAAGAGTTTATGCTACCACTGATGATCCAAGCCCTTACCGACCCTGAAGAGTTTGTGGTTCAGGCAGCTCTGCATTCGCTTGCTCAACTTGCTGGTCTTGGTCTCCTTTCGAGACCAAAGGTCTGGGAGCTGGCCGACCTTATCAGCCGATTTACCATGCACCCAAACATCTGGATACGAGAGGCCGCCACCGAGTTCCTGTCCATGTCTGCAAGATTTTTGACCGTTGCTGACGTTAGATGCAACTTGGTGCCTCTGGTGAAGCCGTACATGAAGGTGGAAGTTCTGTCCGACTTTTCAGAGCTGAATCTCCTTGATGCCTTGAAGAGGCCGCTTTCTCGGAACGTATTTGACCAGGCAGTCACATGGGCCCTTAAGACGGATCGAGGTGTTTATTGGAAACCGCTCCAGCAACTTCGACCTTTACTATTTGGCTCAAAGAGTTCGCGATCGTCTAGGGACTTCTCTGCCGGATCAGTCGGAAAGGTGGCTCGCAATGACGAAGATGAGCAGTGGTTTGCGAAACTGAGAAACCTCGGATTGAAACACGAGGATGAGCTGAAGCTCGATGCGCTCAGGGAGTTTATCTGGCGTCTTAGTAAGATGAAGGCGCGAGACGCTTCAACGGCGGAAATATCGACACCATCAGGAGTCGTCTCTCTGAAGACCTTGGGTGTCGCACCCCAGACGGTGTTTTTTAACGACGCACCCCTTCGCGATCCCACGGCTGTGCCGAATCTTGACCCCCCGACTGAACCTTACACCATTGCTGATGCTCTTCTGGATGCCTCGATGACCATTGACGACCCGATTAGCGGAAGAAAGCGGACAGCCCTCAACACACAAAAGGGCCGAGTGCTGAGCGGTGGGCCACGTTCACCACAGAGGCTTTTATCACCCACTTCTGCTGGTTCTGCGAGACATTCTAGAAACCCATCCACAGCACGCGGGCAGGTGGTGGCCGATGATGACGTGTCCATTCAGGAAGAGCCATACGCAACAAGGAGAGCAGTCCGACATCAGGCGAGTGCTTTGAGTCTCCTTGATCGAAAAGACAAGAACAAATCGGTCCCCCAGACAGGCACAACAGATGCGAATGCATTTGGCGAAGTTGAAGGACCCTTTGCACAACCCACGCCCCCAAAGGCGCCTTCGTCAGATGGCAACGAAGCAGAGAGGACAACTCCTAGGCTGTCGAGGCATAGCTACGAAGGGGGTGACCCGAATATCCAAAGGATGCTTGACAACATGTTTGTGGATAACTTCCCTCGCGATGTCATCGAGTTCGGACCGATGGTCACCCCAATCAAGCGCACAAAGGCGAACAGGATTAGTCTCCAGCCAGGTGAAGATCCCTGGAAGCCCCAAGGACAACTCGTTGCGACATTTGGAGAGCACAAAGGTCCCATCAACAGGGTCTTGGCCTCTCCTGACCATGTCTTCTTCGTCACTGGTGGTGATGACGGTGCCGTTAAGGTATGGGATACTGCGCGGCTTGAGCGAAACATTACCCATCGCTCAAGACAAACACACAAGCATGTCAACGGAGCTCCGGTTGTTGCACTGTGCTTCATTGAGAACTCGCATTGTTTTGTGAGCTGCGCGGGCGATGGAAGTGTCCATGTTGTTAAGGTCGATACAGTTTCTGCCAGCGGGGTAATCAGGTATGGCAAGCTGCGTGTTCTGCGAGAGTATCAGCTGCCCACAGACGAGTTTGCGGTTTGGTGCGAGCATTTTAGGCAGGATTCGAGCTCCATTCTCATCCTCGCTACGAATCGCTCAAGGATTTTGGGCATCGACCTCAGGACCATGAGCCTTCTCTACGTGCTTGAGAATCCTGTTCACCATGGAACGCCAACATGCTTTTGCGTTGATAGGAAGCGAAACTGGCTGTGCGTGGGAACTTCGCATGGCGTGGTGGACCTATGGGATCTCAGATTCAAGATGAGACTCAGGGGCTGGGGTCTGCCAGGTAAGGGCTCAATTTACCGGATCTGCATCCACCCCACCAAGGGCCGTGGCAAATGGATTTGTGTATCCGGTGGAACAGGCCAAGGAGAAGTGACAGTCTGGGACTTGGAGAAGACCGTGTGCAGAGAGATTTATCGCACTGGCGGTAATAAGGATGCCAGCAAGGATAGCCCAAAGACCTACGAGGCATGGGATGTTGACGAAGATAAGCCAGAAGGAATGCTGGGGCGGTATGCTACCAACATTGAGTTCAACGAAACCACAAACGCCGATCGAGGAGTTCGGGCCATGATCGTGGGAACAGCTGCCGCTGAGGACTCTCGGGACGTCCGGCACGCATTCATCGTCACAGGTGGATCAGACAAGAGACTCCGGTTCTGGGACCTATCTCGTATGGAGAGTTCGTTCATCTACAGCGGGCTTCTGCCAGATCAGTCTAAACCGACCTACACGACATCTCACCCCACGGCGGCATTGACGCTGAACACGGAGCGATTCCCGCGGCAGGGACCTACTGCACCGAACGCAGGGTCCGGGTCCAAGGCAAAGTCTTCGAGTGCACGACCGCCGCGGTCGACGGTGATTTCGATGCAGCAGCAGCAACTTCTGCAGACACACATGGATTCTATTTTGGACGTGGCGTTGCTGGAGTACCCATACACGATGAGCGTTTCGGTGGACCGGTCAGGAGTTGTATTCGTGTTTCAATAGAACTGGGGCACATATGGAACAGGCGGAGGATTGGAAGGGCTTCAGATCCTGCGGGCGAAGACGTTGTAATTATTGCGGAGGGTTATTGATACTGGATAGAGTATGAATACACGTCTGAACGAGGCCCCTGGTTCTTATAACCCCCCCTCTTGGTTGATTTGACGATCGTTAATTTCATGTGGGCCATACTTTCTGAATTTTCTGATTCATAAAATAAACCTCTAAATCGATACAGGAATAAGGAAGTTGAGACTCTTTCGCTGAGGATGTTAGTCGACACAGAGGTAGTTTGGGTAGCGTTGGAAGTGTGGCTTATGCGCGACCTAGACGAGGCTCAACGTGGCGCAGGCACCTTGGCCCGCATTCACACTCCAAAATTTCCCCTCCGCCTCGTCGAGCTCATCAGCCTCGCCATCACAACTCAACGACCCGCCAAAAATCCCACCCACCAACAGCCCGCCCACGACAGGAAATTGCCCGAGCCGACAGACAGCGTCCCCCAGCAAACCCCCAAGCTGTAAATTGACCCCGAGGTAACGGTCCTTGCTCCAAGATGCGGCTCACCGCCGACCTCATCCGGGATTCCCTGTCCTATCTCAATCCTCTCAAGGAACGAGAGCTTGATCTCCGAGGTGCGTTGTGAAAAGAGCAGATGCTACACTTTTGATCGTAAAGGGCAGAGTTGATACAATCGTCTTCGCGGCGTGAACAGGACACCGAATCCCCGCGATTGAGAACTTGGGTGTCGCTGGCGTAAGTGGTGCTTCCCTTGCCTTGTCCCTCCTGTTAGGCCCCAATAATGCAGAGAGCTAACCTGACGTGTGCCGGCAGCCTCACGATGCCATCGACTTCACCGACAACGATATCCAGGTCCTGGGAAACGTCCCTCTATCCCCTCGGATAACGACCCTCCTGCTGGCGCGCAACCGCGTCGCGAGCATCCAGCCCACACTGGCCAAGGCCATTCCCAACCTGACGAACTTGGTCCTGGCGTCGAATAACCTGGCGGAGCTGGCAGATCTGGATACGTTAGCAACATTCCCACGGTTGACGCACCTCGTGCTGGTCGATAACCCGGTCGCCAAGAAGGAAGTGAGTCTACTACGTGCTACGAGAAATGACGTTGAATAGGTTTGGCTGACGAGCATCCTAGCATTATCGATACTGGGTTCTCTGGCGGTGCCCTTCTGTGAGGTTCCTGGACTACCAGAAAGTCAAGGAGGCCGAGAGAGAGAAGGGGCGGGAGCTTTTTGGAACCGTGGAGGAGCCTACTGTGTTGGCCTCTAAGGTGCGCTGGCAACCCCTCATCACACGACTCACCATCTAACCATCGAATAGATCATGGGTATCAAGACTACAACCTTTGATGCCTCCAGCGGCTCAGACGCGCCCTCGAAATTGTCGAGAATAAAACTCACGGATGCGGAGAAGAAGCGCTTGCAAGAACGGATCAAGAAGGCGACCAGCCTGCAGGAAATTATTGCGCTGGAGAAGGAGCTGAACGAGGGACGGCTCCCGTCTGGAATTCAAGGGGATCCCATGGAGGAATAAGGAATCGATATCTGCAAGGTTCACGTTTCACGGTTGTCTCATTGCCTGGTCTCGGGGGACATATAAAAAAGGTTGGGGGTGGGATTTCGGTGTATTCATGTTCATACCAGCTCGCTGCCTGACCGAGCATAGCCGTCGTGGAGTTGATTCATCTTTATAACAATTACATCATCCACGTATTTTGACAGGCCCAGCATCGCGCCTGTACAATGATCTGGCCCTTGTGTTTCATTCCGCCTCCTAGCCCGTCATGGTCACGTCACCATCCCGGGTTTGCCCAGCCGCCTGCCTCATCTCCAGTTCCAGCTGTGCATTGGGATCATCTTGTCGCTCTTCAGTGCGGGGGGTCACAGTGAAGGGGCTTCCGTTACCGTTGACGATGGACTTGCTAGTACCATTGGCAACGGGGGTCTTTACTGCAGGCGACTTCGCTTCGGCGGTCTTCTCGCCGCGAAGGCGAGCCTGGGTGGCACTAGCAGCAGCCTTGACCTTCTTGTACGGGACAGTCTTAGGGACGACGTCCTCGAGGAACTCAAGGTTGTCTTGGTGAGAGATGGCGTTGGCTAGAGATGGTGTTAGAACACATGTTGCGGATGGAAGGGAGAGTTGAGAGGAGAACATACCAACGTCCTTGTACTGAATGTTTCGTCGAGGCTTGCGCTCGAGCTTGGCTTGAGTGTGGGACTCGTCGGCGAGATGCTGGACGAACATTTCCTGCCACAGGTTAGTAGGCATCTTTGTCAATGGGCTGAATGGAAACTCACGGCGGCAAGCGTTATGACGAAGGCGGCATTGTTGGAGCAGATGCCAATTTCCGAGTCCTGGGAAATGATCTTCTTTACTCTTGAGACTAAGATGAGGTTAGACGAATGATTCGGGACTGGGACCAGGAGGAACATACGTGGAAGCTGGGTCTGACCAGTCGGCTCCTTTCTAGGGGGGATGGCAGTAGTATTATAAGGCATGGTGGGTAGATTTAGAGGATGAGTGATGGTCGAGAGATGAATGGCTAAGCAAGATAGCCTAAGTACAAGAGAGAGTCAGCTTGTGTGTATCGGTCAGTTGGATGAAATGAGATTCTTTGCAGAATGCACTGGAGTAAGGGCGCCCCCTGTCCAGGCTGAGATTGTGTAGCAGAAGCTAGGAGGAAAATGACCATCCCAGAGTGAGATAAGAGATACATTTGAAGCCTAGGAGGCGCATCCAAGGCAATATATGGGATCTTGGGGATGACTTTGAACTGGGTCTTGTTGGCCTTACCTTACTTGGGGGAAAATCCCAGGTTCGTCTCGCTCCGGGGACCAGAAAAGCGAGCCGACGAGGGTGATGCGATGAAATATTATTGGATTAATCTTGACTCGGCCGATACGACTGCAATCGGGATGCTCTGGTTCGTTGGGCGCTGAAATGGAAACCGACTTATCATGAACCAGAGAGGATCAAGTTTGGTTGGATCCTCGCCCTGAGGTCGACGACACGAAACGCGATGGGCCGCTGCAACCACTAAACGCGACCCGGGTTGGTGCTGTGGCTTGGCAAAAGCTTCAGCCACAGTTGGAGCTGACACCCAGCCGTCGGATCAGTTCCCCATGCAATGCAGCTGCAGCATGACAGCAACCAGCCAACTAGCAACCTACAAGAACACCTCAGCCTTCAGCCTCGTTTGATCGTCACATTGATTTCGCTAAAACAACCGACTAAACACCAAGCGAACACCTGCATACCCCATACCTGCTGCCCTGGCCGGACTCGACTGCATAGCATCCTCGTCGTTGGTGCTCGCCCTTGCTCTGACTGAGCCCCTCGCCATCGCGACCATGCTAGCCCGACCTACACCATGAATCTGCGATCGCCATCCTTCAACTTGACGCCGCATCCGGCCCCAATTTCGCGTCGCCCCTCCTCCATATCCTCGCGCCTGTCCTCTGCCGTCTCCAATGCTGAGCAGGGCGAAATACCCGTCACCAACGGCTCGGGTGAGGCTCTGATTGAGGAGGAGATTGCCGAGATCAAGAGATACGAGGTTAGTCCACACACTCAGCGGCTCACAGCTCGTTTAATCTGACACATCTAGGACTTTACTACTATAGGTATGCATGCGCGATCTCGTCGACCGACACTGGATAACCGCCGAATGCTGATATGGACCGATAGATTGGGTGCAGGACGCAGCGCGAGAGCAGGCGAGGCGCAAGTCCCGGCGCAAACAGGCCGTCGGCCTCTACGATCGGGGCCAGCCTGGCTGGAGATACCACCTATGGAGAAGTTACGATGCGGCGCAAGGCTGGATTGTGGTCACTATTATCGGCGCGGCGATTGGATTGAATGCTGCATTGTTGAACATCATCACTGAGTGGCTGGCGGATATCAAGATTGGCTACTGCGAGACGGGGTTCTACCTGAATGAGAGTTTCTGTTGCTGGGGAGAGGGGAACGGTAAGTTGACTTGCGCATATGGACCTGCGACGGAGGCTAACATATTCCAGGTTGCTCGCAATGGCATCGTTGGACGGGCTTCGAACCCATGAACTACTTCCTCTACTTCGTCTTTGGCGTATGACTCGAGCTGCCCACCTACAAGGAACAAACTAACTCTTTACAGACCTTCTTTGCCTTTGTTGCTGCCACTTTGGTCAAATCCTTTGCCCCGTACGCCGCCGGCTCAGGTATCTCTGAGATCAAGTGTATCATCGCAGGCTTCGTCATGAAGGGCTTCCTCGGTCTGCGGACCTTGATTATCAAGTCTGTATGCCTGCCCCTAGCTATCGCATCCGGCCTGTCTGTTGGCAAGGAAGGCCCCAGTGTTCACTATGCCGTGTGCACTGGAAATGTCATCTCCAGGCTCTTCAACAAGTACAAGCAAAATGCTTCTAAAACCCGCGAAATATTGAGCGCATCAGCCGCGGCTGGTGTTGCCGTTGCCTTCGGTAGCCCTATTGGAGGCGTACTCTTCTCGCTCGAGGAAATGTCTAGTTACTTTCCGCTCAAAACACTCTGGCGCAGCTACTTCTGTGCCCTGGTTGCGACAGCGGTTCTTGCAGCCATGAACCCCTTCCGAACCGGACAACTCGTCATGTTCCAGGTCGAGTATAAACACGACTGGCACTTTTTCGAAGTTGTATTCTACATCATCCTTGGCATATTTGGAGGTCTTTACGGAGCATTCGTTATCAAGTGGAATCTGCGGGTTCAAGCATTCCGAAAGAAGTATCTGACGCACTATGCCATCTTGGAGGCCACCCTTCTCGCCGCAGGAACCGCTATTATTGCGTACCCCAACGCCTTTTTGAGGATTGACATGACAGAAAGCATGGAAATTCTATTCTCTGAGTGTAATGGAGGAGAGTCCTACCACGGTCTATGCGACTCAGATCAGCGGTACTGGAACATTATCTCGCTGAGTTTAGCAACGGTGCTGCGAATGAGCCTGGTCATTGTCTCTTACGGATGCAAAGTCCCTGCTGGTATTTTCGTGCCCTCAATGGCTGTCGGAGCATCGTTTGGTCGCACCGTGGGTATCATTGTCCAGGCTATCCACGAGGCCAGCCCGGGCAGTGTCTTCTTCTCTGCCTGCAAGCCCGACGAGCCTTGCATTACTCCTGGCACATATGCGCTCCTAGGAGCTGCTGCGGCGCTAAGCGGTATCATGCACATTACTGTGTCGGTGGTGGTCATCATGTTTGAGCTCACTGGTGCCTTGAACTACATTCTACCTACCATGATCGTCGTCGGCGTTACAAAGGCCGTGAGCGAGCTATTCGGAAAGGGAGGCATTGCTGACCGCATGATTTGGTTTAGCGGGTTTCCGTTCCTTGACAATAAGGAGGAACATAACTTTGGAGTTCCCGTCTCTCAGGTCATGAGAACCTCGGTGGTCACCATTCCAGTCCATGGGCTCACGCTGGGAGAAGTCGAGCAGTTGCTTGCGGATGACCGATACCAGGGCTTCCCCGTTGTCGAGGACAACAACTCCAAGATCCTGGTTGGCTACATTGGCCGGACAGAGCTGCGATATGCCGTCGATCGTCTCAGTCGTGCGCAGCAGAGTGACGGCACGGCACGGTGCAACTTTGCAGCGTACACCACCAATCTAGCCCCTACTACACCTATAACACCGTCAATCATGCAGTTTGGTGAATCATCAAACTCCACAGGCCTTGACTTTAGCCGATATGTCGACTCAACGCCTGTGACAGCCCATCCACGTCTTCCCCTCGAAACCGTCATGGAGCTGTTCCGAAAGATTGGGCCCAGAGTCATCCTCGTTGAGTATCACGGCAAACTCACTGGCCTGGTCACCGTCAAGGACTGCCTCAAGTATCAGTTCAAGGTCGAAGCGGCTGAGAACCCCAAGGACGACCACCAAATTGCCCAAGGCCAAGAGCAGCTCTGGGAGCTGTTCCGCCGGACGGGCAACTGGGTCTCAGGCAAGCTGTCGACCGTATCTGGTGGCAGGATCCGGCTCAGCGGTTCATTCGAAGAAGATCGTCCGCAAGGACGAGGCGCGCAGATCTTGGATGGAGACGAAGATATTGCAGACGAGGGCGTTGAGTTGGAGAGCCGGCGGTTATAAGTGTGTGGATCTGGTTCTGCTTGGTTGTATCTGGTTTGCATGTACGGTAAAGGGAAGCACGGATTCTGTGCTGGCGTTGGAACGAGGGTAGATCTACACGGTTTTGAATACAACATGAATGTAAAACGACACGCAATACTTGACAATGCGTTCTAAGTATCAAGTTTAGTATCGACTATCCAAAAATCCCGTTGGGGATGAACAACCCAAATAGCCCATTTACCTTGATCTGTCATCCGATCCTCTCCCCAGGTCGATGACATCTTCATCCTCGTCCCCCCTTCCAGGCTGCCCTTCATCATCGCCGGGCATTGGAACATAGCCCCCTTCCGCGGCCGAAGCATCCTTGCTCTCGTCCTTGCTCCCGACAACGACGTTGCCCACTACCAGCAGCGCAGCGCCAGCCCACCACAGCGGCGGCAGAGACTCTGAGAAAATGACAAAGCCGAGCAGTGCCGTGACCATGAAGTTGGTCGATGTGTTTATAATGGAGACCTGCGTGGTTGACGTGCCACGTGCGAGGGCCTTGGTGAAGAGCGTCCACATCTGGAGAGTAGGTGAGTGGACCGCAACGGTGTTATACATGATAACAAGAACAAGAGGACTTACGACGCCATTGAAGGTTAGGTTGAGGACGAAGAAGAACTGTACATGTGAGCAGAGGTACTTTGTGAAGAATGTACGGAACTTACGACGCGGACGGCAGCTTCGACGATATGTTCAAAGGCGGAGAGGCCGAAGATGTGAGCGATCTTGTTAGATAGGCTGGCGGTAAGCTCGGTTGTAGTGCTGCATGACGGCATCAGTATAGCTTCATCAAGATCCAGCAGCTCTCATGCCGTGTAACACAAGTTGAACCAACCAACGCCCGAATCACACAAACACCAAGATCCTCGCATCTAGCATCACCAACCACTGCTTTTCGCACACTTACAGCTTCGCAAAGACGCCATTGAAGGCCGCACAAGCGCCGCTCGCCACGGCAAAGAACATCCATTGCGTCGGACCGCTCGGCGAAGCAGCTGTCGAGGAGCCCGCCATGACGCCTGATGTCGAGGAGCCCGGTGCTGCTGCTGCTGAGGATGGAGGAGACGAGGTGGACGAGGCATCCGGCGCTGCCGGCTGGCGTTTCCGGACCATTGCTTCCGAGTTGGGTGGGTTATATCCTGCGAGTTTGAGCTATGAGGCGTGTCTGCCAAGGTTGCGGTGGACTGGATGCCAGCCTGTGCGGCTTTGACTTTGCGGCGCTGCGGCTGTGGGTAGGCGCTGTAGACGGTTCGATGACGGCACGTTCCAGTGGTTGCAGTGCCCAGCGGCCCCTGAATCGGCCGAGACGGCGTGCTGGTGGCTCCACGGCAGTAGCCGTTACTCCAGAATCCGGGGATTTAAAACGACAGCCGAGATGCTTTGAACCAGCGTGAAGCGTTGCGCAAAGCTTGTGTCATTCTAGTTTTGGTCGTGTAATACGTGTATATATTTCTTAACAACCCAAAGTTCCTTCGGGAGCCCTGTGAGGCTTGGTATCCCCCCAAAATAGCTGGTTGCCCTGGCAAAAACCACCCGTAGCTATCCTGTATTGTATTGTATAGATATTGAAATCATGACCCAGACGCCGCCCAATGCAAATTCCCCATTCTGTCGGCTCATTCCCAATCTGTAGCCGTAGTCTCGATGGTCGATCGGTCGCGATCCTGCGCTTCTGCAAAGCTGGCTGCTTTCACTCCGGCTTCTTGGCGTTGCAACTAACAATCTTGACCTTGTCGGCCGTCACCGACTGGCTGCCGTTGTCCATCTTGAACGTCACGTTCTTGATCAGGAAAGTCCACACTTCGTCGCAGAATCGGTAGGTGTCGAGGCTCCCCTGATGGTGGATGCGCCGTCAGTTCATGTGCTCCGAAACAATGCCCAAGACTCCTCTCGGCAGAACCCACCTTGAATTGCAGGCGCGCCTTGACGTTCTTCTGCAGCGCCTCGGTAATGGCCTGGTCAAAGTTGCCCAGGATCTTCATCGCCAGCTGCGGGTTGATGCGCTCATCGCTGATGAGGTCGTCGAGCGTATCCGTCAGCGCAAGGCCGATGCTGCGAAGCGAGTCAGGTTAGTCGGGGGTGTAGCAAGGCAGCGAGAGCAGCGGCGCAGTACCTGCTACGGCGGTACAGCTCGTAGAAAGATTGCGCGCCGGTAGCCATCTTGTCAACAAGGTCCGTCCGTTTCTTGGGGGTTTCCTCGTGGTCCTGTCTGCGGGATAGACGGGAGATTTGCTGCTGGAGGCGGTTCGCAGAGTGTTGCAAGGGCGAGGTGACCAGTGCCGTGCCTGGAGAGGGGAATAGTCGCGGTGAGGCGCAGCGGCTGCTGACTCAGCGCTCCAGCCTCGCATCATGTGACGTCGGTACAATTTCCAGCTGCCTGGGCTAGAGACGCATCGCTGGTGAGCCAGCTTAGACAGGAGCTCTCGGACAGCTCTCTCATCGATTTAGGACCCCTCGACAAAGCCTCCACGTCGACGCCCTCAACGCCCACGCCCCCGTCTCTCGGATCGTCCAAACAACAATATCGAGCCGCCGCGATGAGTCTCACATATGGATTGGGCGGCATTGGGTCGTTTCTCACCGTCGTGGGTCTCTGTACGCGCACCTTTTCTCCCTCGGCCGTCCATGGCCAGCATTGCCGGATTCCACGCTGACGACTCTATCTAGACATGCTCTTCACCGGCAGCGGCGAGTCCTTCAACGTCGGCGCCTTTCTCGAGTCTGTATCGCCCTACGCCTGGGCTGATCTAGGTATCGCCCTCTGCATCGGTCTTTCCGTCGTCGGCGCGGCATGGTGCGTCTTCCCTCCAAACATCCCATCGCGATACCCATCACGATACTCATGACTTCCATTTCCATCCACCCCCTCGACGGGACCATCAATCTAATCGCGTCCGCAGGGGTATCTTCATCACCGGCTCGACCATCCTCGGCGCTGGCGTCAAGGCTCCGCGTATCCGCACCAAGAACTTGATCTCCATTATCTTCTGCGAGGTCGTCGCCATCTACGGTGTCATCATGGCCATCGTCTTCTCCGGCAAGGTCTCCTACGTCCAGGGCCCCGAGATCTGGTCACCCGACTCCTACTACACCGGATATGCCCTTTTCTGGTCCGGTCTGACCGTCGGCCTGTGCAATTTGGTTTGCGGTGTCGCGGTCGGTATCAACGGCAGCGGTGCTGCTCTGGCCGATGCTGCGGACCCGTCCCTGTATGTTGTAATTGCCGTGTTTGTTCGTCGCACGTCTAACATTGACTTTTCTCTAGGTTCGTCAAGATCCTTGTCATCGAGATTTTCAGCTCCGTGCTGGGCCTGTTCGGTCTCATCATTGGCCTTCTCGTTTCCAGCAAGGCCCCCGAGTTCGGCGAGGGCGTCTAGACATCTACGAATCGCGGCAGTCGTGCCGTCGGCACCGGCTCCCCTGCTCCAACCAGGATGGAGCTCACGCATGCATTGCGCCAATAATATTTGGTCAGGCGTTTGGAAGAATGGCTCGGGAGGATGTGTTTATGGCTGTACTGGTATCCCTTGGCAGGCGGCAGTGTACATCACATGGAGGTGAAACCCAACTAAATAATGTTGGGATCGCGATCCTATCTAGGAAGTTTCGTCACGTATGTCTTGATAAAGCAAAGGTTTCGATAAATTTTGGTTCAATACTAGAGTTGAAGAGTGTCCAGCGTTCCCATATATGCCCACCTGGCCTTTAAGCACCGCGAACGGTATTCATCAACAGCACATCGATTTTTGTCCCCTTCTCCAGTTTCCCCTTTCCACCAGGTAGGCACGCCAAGGCATTCGCTGATCTCAAACTGCCCACCTTGGAGCTGCGTTGGCCACCAGTGCTCGTCGCTGAAAGGAGACCATCCTTGCCCACTGTCACAACTACACGGTGATATTCCGGTCGTGAATCGAGCGGAAAGTCGTGGGAAAGCGTGGCAGGGACCTTGGGTAGGCCAACAGGCGCCAAGCCCGCCAGCTTGTGAAGCGACGGAAGCACAAACAGGTGGAACGTGACGAGGGCCGAAGCTGGATTGCCTGGGAGCGAGAAGATGGCCTTGGAGACTCGCTGCCCTGCGTTGTCCTTGACGGTGACTGTGGCAAAGGTCGTTGGCTTTCCAGGTTTCATGGCAACCCGGCCAAAGTGAATAGTTCCTCCCAGGGAACGCTCAATAGTCGGCTTCAGCAGGTCAAGCTCGCCCATAGAGACGCCGCCACTAGTGATGAGCAAGTCAGCTCGACGGAGGCCATCTCGTAACGTCTCCTCCAACGAGCCGGGCTTGTCCTTGGCGATGCCCAAATCGACAATGTCGTAGCCCCATTCCTTTGCCGCGGACATGAGAGTGATGCGGTTCGTGTCGCGGACCTCGCCTAGCTTCAGGGCTCCTGGGCGGTCGTGCTCGATAATCTCATCACCTGTGGAGAGGACGCCGATGACAGGACGGCGGTAGACCTTTGCTTCGGCGACGCCTACAGCGGCGAGGAGACCGATTTCACCTCCGACACCAGAGATGAGCTCGCCCTTGTTGAGAATAGTGGTACCTTCTTTGATGTCACTGCCGACTTCGCGGACATTCTCGCCTTCCTTGATACCTTCAATGTGAATTTCAATTTCCTTCTCTTCCGTACCATCTTCGGACATGGTCTTGAGGATTGTGTCTTCCACCATGATGACGCTCGTTGCTCCAGGAGGTAGAGGAGCACCGGTGGTGATCCTGGCAACTTCGCCTTCCTTGAGAGCGCCAATCTCGCCGGGTGCGGCGTGGGACACCGCTGTGACAGGGAAAACTCCATTCAGTTGGCCATTGTTGGGGACCACGACTGCATACCCGTCGACGATGCTAGCCCTGAAGGCCGGCACGTTCTCCTTTGCCTTTACATCTTCGGCTAGGACGGAGTTGATGATCGTTCCATCGACCTTTGCCGTAATCACCTCCGGTTCAGGAGTGTGTTGTGAGATTAACGCAAGGGCATCTTCCACGGAGAGCATAGGGTACGGTGATTCTCGATATCGTCTGGAAGGCCCAAGCGAGGGATCGTTCGACAGAGCACCTGGGATCGTGTGTCTCACAAGGCTTCCGTGGCCGTGGCCATGACCATGTCCGTGTCCATGGTGATGGTGAGCATGGTGTCCTGGGTCGGCAGACTGTGGTTTTCCACCGATGATGCCAGCATCAGACTCTAGCTTTTTGACTCCTCCAGCATGAAGTGCCCTTGAGTTGGCCCCTGCCGCCTGCAAGCAAGCATGAGGGAGTGTTTTGACGATCGCCTGGAGGTTCTCCTTGGCGGCCTTGGGCGAGCCAGGGAGAGTCACAATGATTGATTTGTTACGGACGCCGGCAACTGGGCGCGACATCATGGCGACTTCGATTCTTGGTCATTAGGACTGAAGCTGAAAGGGAGGTGCCATCAGAACTCACAGGGTGTGACTTGGAGGGACGCCGCGAGCATCCCATGGACAAGACCTGGGGCTTGCTTGTGCAGCAATGGAGTAACCGCCTGTCCCAGGTATTAGTCAAAGGCACCGCATTGAATATGGTGTTGTATAATCACCTCTGGTGTATAATCGGCGGTTGCAAAGCCCGTTCCGCCAGTGGTGATAATGAGGTGGATGCCATCCGGACCGTCTGCCCAAGCCGTGATCTGTCTCTGGATCTGAAGCACGTCATCGGAAACGATTTTCGTATCCAAGACCTCCCATTTGCCATCACCCTCATCCGTCAACACCTGCGAGAGAACCGGGCCCGAACCATCGGTCGCGGCATCCTGGGCAGCTGTGGTTGACACGACGAGCAAGGCCGCCTTCAAGGGGGCAGACGCCATGGTAAGGCGCAGAAGCAAAGCAAATGAAGATGTGCCAAGGCTGTCGTGAAGAGCGCGAATAAGCGACTACAAGATGCTGGGTCTTTTACTCCAGATCGAGTGGGCTACTGACATCACTCTGGTGAAGTGAGGGTGTATTGTATGATTGAGTTGGGTGAGGATGATAGTAATGGCGGGGGACTTATTGGACTACGGCCCCACTGGCTCGGGGTTGTGTGGGGGAGCGCCGAAGCCATTTTCGCACGGCCTGATACGCGCATGCAGAGCTCATCCTTCCCCCGAACGACTCAGCTTAGCCTTCCAACCTCAGCCTTTCTGCAGTCCTCAACGCGCCGAGCCGCGCGTGTCACGCATCATGGTGCGAATTAAAGAGAGATATCTCCTTGTCAACATCGTGTACGCGCCGGAACCCGCCCGCGCTGCGAAGGACAATCTGCCCCAATGCGTGGTTCAGCACCAGCCTACCCTTGACAGGCTCACGCCGCAGGCGCTGCTTAAGGGCATCAGAGCCGAGGTCGCGTCTTTGTTCGGTGACTACGGATCTGGTACACTTGGCGGAAGCGTCTCAGGTATGATGGCCGCTGCCTATCTTTCCATGTTGCTTCTTTGATGCTCATACATGCTACAGTCAAGTACCTGTCCCTAGCTACATCGACTTTCATTCTTCGATGCCCGAGAGCCCACTACCAACTGCTCTGGTCTGCCCTGACCTTTATGGATCGTGTCCCTGTTAAAGACGGCAAGCCGTGCATCTTTCGCGTCATTCGCGTCAGCGGAACGATTCGCAAAGCTGAGGAAGAGGCCATCCGACAGGCTAAAATGATCATTCTGGCTGCCAAGGAGGAATCCTCAGGAGCAACGTCTTCCCTCACGAGTGCGCTACGGACTCAGGAGCAGATGTCCCTCGACATCACGGATGAATCAAGTGACGAAGACATGGCCGATGGTTGAGCGGGTATCATTTCTTTCTAACTACCTTGATTCCACTATCTGCCGGGACCGACATGTCACCAAAGTCCGGGTCCATGCCCGCGGGCTCAGGGGCAGCTGGCAGAGACTGCTCAATCTCCATGGCCTGCTCCTGCTGGATGCGTGCCGCTTCCTCCTCTGCCTCGAGCTCCATCTTATCGTACTCCTCCTTCTGGTCGATCCAGCGCTCCTGGATATCTTGCACCTCCATTATGGATGCCTCTCCTCTCATGGCAACAGCCCATACTGTGTCATTGGCACCTTCGGCTCCGCCAAAGACATATCCACCAGCACGATCAATGACACGGAGGATGTGCATCATGCTCTTTTTATTTTCGACCGCTAGGACCTCGTACCGAACGAGGCCATAACTTTCAATCAAGCTCGCAATCGCCTCATTGAGCTTGCCAAACTTTTCGTTGCGCAGGGCTGGTGACTCAGTCTCGAGATGGGGCGTTAGGTACGTCAGGTCGTCGACATCGGTATAGTATTCGAGGTTGAAAGGTAGATCGTCGTACGCGGAGATTTTGTCAATCTTCGAAAGGATGTTGACGTGCGGCATGTCCATCTGGATCATGGCTCGGAGGGAGAGGAGAACGTTGGAGACATAGAGGGACGGCTGTGTCAGGCAGATGGAATCGGAGAGGTGAACTGAGACAAACTGGACATGGTCAGCAAATGGTGGAACCAAAAATTCTGGGTCGAGGACCAACTCTAAAGCCAAGCTTCTGGAGCTTGTAGAATATGTTCCTTAGAGAGTTGTGGTGGGTGTAGAGCTCGACCTGTCCTGGGCAGTCGAAGATGACATAGTCTTCTCCAAACTCCTTCAGTCCCTCCTCCAACCACTCAAAGTTATGTTCCAGCTCCTCGAGTGCATACAGGATGCCGCCGTTTGGACCTAGCTTGTCATCGCGCATGATATCCTCGAGCCTGACTAGATTGCGTATGTCGAGAGCGGCCGGGTAGTTGGTGTGGTCGTTGGCCGGGTCAAGGTTCACGACGGAGCAGGCTCGCCCGATGGCGCCCAGGAACTGGTGCACTTCACAGAGACATGTTAGCATGGGGAGTCTATAACGAATGTCTGGGACGAGAAAACTGACTGCCATCGCAGTAGGTGCTCTTGCCAGAGCCGGGGCTACCGAGGACGAGTTGCGCGAAGGGCATCTGGAAGGTTTCGCGGCGGGTTGATCGCGGGTGGATCAGGCATACATGGTAGAACGTCGGCGGCGCAGAACAACCAAGTTCGCAGCGCGAACAGACGACGCCTTGCCGTCGGTTTCTAGCACCAAAGTAGACCGTCACGAGCCTGACTAATTGTCTCTGAGCAGCGAGAAGTGGGATCTCTTGCTTCAACAGCGACTAGGGTGGTGGAAAGACAGCGACGGACAACCCCTCTACAGGGCACATGGGCAAATTTAGTGGCTAGAGGTAGTGGGGGAGCCGGCCAAACCTCGGCAGCTGAGCTCCAAAAGCTCCGCGTCACAAGCTAGTTGAGCTGCCGGGGCCTTGAAAAGCACGCGCCCAGCCATAGCATTTGCGTTTTTCCCTACTTCACAATAAAACTCGTCAAGTCCGCCTCTCCCTTGGCCTCGAGCCTCTCCCTTCCCCCATTCCTCTGCTCCCCTCGCGGGCCGCTCCATGATGCTACGCTATCATGCGAAGCAACATCTCCAGCCATGGCATCTGACTTGTCAAATGCCGCCCAGGTGGCCAGCGCAATCACCGAGAGCGTCGCCCACGCCGTCAGCTCGTCGCTCCCCGCCGACATGAGCACTCTCTCCTCTGAAGTGGCCACGCAAGGGTCGTACAGCTGGCTAGGGCTCTTCGGGTGGTTCATTTGGTTTATCCTCAACGTCGTCTCCACGATCCTCTACTGGGTCATTCGGATTGCGACCATTACTCTCCCCACCTTCCTGTTCACCTTGTTCTCCACAAGCTGGACAGTGACCATGAATGCCACGACGCTGTATGCTACCCGCATCACTCTAACGCATCTCATATACTGACTGGGGACTTAAGCATGTTCATCATGGCCGCCCTCGTCTCGGCCGTTAGCTGGGTCGTCAGGTATCGGATCCTCAACATGTACTCCCGCCTGCCACCAGAGCCACAGCGCAAGGAACCGGAGATCGACCTCTTCCCTGACACCCATGAGGAAGGCACCAAGTCCGGCTTGTCTAGCTATCTGGATGAGTTCCTGAGTGCCATCAAAATCTTCGGATACCTTGAGCGACCGGTCTTCCACGAGTTGACCCGGAGCATGCAGACCAGGAAGCTCATCGCTGGCGAGACAATCAACCTCGAAGAGGAGAAGGGCTTCTGCATCGTCGTTGACGGCCTCGTCGAAATTTTCGTCAAGTCTGGGCGAGGTCCCCGGGCTGCCGCCGCGTCTCGCACCGACCTCAATATGGACTCTTCTGATGAGGATGAGACGGCACCGGCTCAGCAGACATACCAGCTTCTAACTGAAGTTCGGAACGGAGCCCCCATGTCTTCCTTATTCTCCATCATGTCCCTCTTTACAGAGGACATCAAGTTGCGACCGAATGAAGACGACTCCCCAATACCATCGGGGAGAAGCAGCGGCACTAAGCATCCGGCATTCTCCAGGACTTCTATGAACCATGCCCCTTCCGATGTTCACATGTCGATGCCAGGAACGCCTCAAATGCATGATGATACCAACCAAGACGTCGATACACGAGACGACCTTGGTCATCACAGTCCTGAGCATGGTCAGAGGTCCGCGAAGATACCGCACATGTCCCTCGATGAGCCTATGCAAAGTGATGGCACCCGGCCAAACCTGCAGCGCAGGGCGACGTCTGGATCAGCACACCCGGATATCATTGCTCGGGCCACTGTGGACACGACTATTGCCATCATCCCTGCGAGTGCCTTTCGGCGATTGATCAAGATCTATCCTAAGGCAACTTCACACATTGTCCACGTTATTCTGTCCCGATTCCAGAGAGTGACACTCTCTCAGGCTTTCAACTACCTCGGCCTGACTGGAGAGGTTCTACAGACCGAAAAGAACATGGTCAAGTATACAATGTGTCAGCTTCCTAATATTCTACGGGGCGACGCATTGGCGAGGCTCAAGGAGAAGTTCAGTCGCGAAAGGGAACGGATCGGCGAAAATGAAGAGACGAAAGGCATAGCTCTGCACAATGCCGGTGCCAATCGCCGGAGGAGGTCAAGCACAACTATGCGAAAGGAGGCTGTGCTCCAGTCCATGTCCAAACAGCGCCCATTATCGATGGTAAACAGTACATTGGCACCGCCGCGCGAACGTGCATCACCTCATACGCCGAGCCCTGGTGATCTACTTGCCAACATTCAGTTGGCTCGTGGGGTTGGCCCGTTATCTCCTGTTGAGCGACGATCGGTGACGGCAGGGCTTTCAATGAAGCGACAGGAAACAAATCCATTGGATGAACGGTCTTTCAATAATTCCTTTGACCCTCAAAGACATTCTCGCATCTCCATCGATGCGCGCGAATCCGTTGATGAGGACAATCTGTTCAGATCCTCCATCTTGGAGTGCATGTTCAAGACCCTGGGTCTGGATACAAGTGGCAGCGTCTCGAGAGAGCCAGAGTCGATAGAGGCTTCCCCCCGACTGGCATCCTTTGACCAGAGGCGATCCAAGGCTTTATACGCGAATACAAACGCGTTCGGATTCATGGGACCTTATGACGGTTCCGTTGATGGGGATACTGAGTCACTGACCTCGAGCGGCATGGCTCTGCACACGCCACCGAATGCGCAGGTACTCGCTCATGACATGAAGGATGAAGTCGAGATTGTCTTCTTCCCCAAAGGATCTGTCCTCGTTGAGCAAGGGGAGCGAAATCCCGGGTTATACTATGTCATCGACGGTTTCTTGGATATTGGAACGAGCGGCGAAGAGGACATGCATAACATCCTCCAAGCTACTGGCACTGGCACGTTCAATCGTGGTCCCCCGTCCCCAGAACCATCCTCGATGGGCTCTTTCCCAAACCTGGCTCATACCGAAGCTGCCCGTGATCGAGCTGAGTCTCAAAACCAAGGCAAATCTCATCGTCGAAGCGTTGCCCTCGTCAAGCCTGGAGGTTTGGCTGGGTACGTTGGCAGCGTGTCTTCATACAGGTCATTCATCGACGTGGTTGCAAAGACTGATGTATATGTCGGCTTCTTACCTCGAGCATCACTGGAACGAATCGTGGACCGATACCCTATTGTGCTTCTCACGATGGCCAAGAGGCTGACCAACATCCTGCCTCGTTTGATCCTCCACATTGACTTTGCTCTGGAATGGGTTCAAGTCAATGCGGGCCAGGTGCTCTTTCACGAAGGCGATGAAAGTGAGGCCATCTACATCGTTCTCAACGGTCGTTTGCGACTCGTACAGGATCGGAGGGACGGCGGCGTGGCATCTCGAGCTGAGTTTGGACAAGGAGACAGTGTCGGTGAGCTTGAGGTGCTCACTGAAAGCGCTCGTCCAGGGACCTTGCATGCCATTCGAGACACAGAGCTCGTAAAGTTCCCTCGCACTCTCTTCAACAGTTTGGCGCAGGAGCATCCAAACATTACCATCAAGATCTCCAAGATTATTGCATCTCGAATGAGGGCAGTAGTTGACGACTCATCAAGTGTCTCTGCCAAGGACAAGAGTGTCGGACCGACAACCAACATGCGGAAGTCGACGATGAATCTTCGCACAGTCGCTATCTTGCCAGTGACTGCGGGTGTGCCAGTTATCGATTTTGGTAACCATCTTATGAGTGCCCTCTCACAGGTTGGACCTGCAAACGGTGCCACTTCTCTCAACCACGCTGCAATTCTCAATCACTTGGGAAAACATGCCTTCAACAAGATTGGAAAGCTGAAGCTCTCCCAATACCTTGCGGATCTCGAAGAGAAGTACGGGCTCGTAGTATATGTTGCAGGTAAGCTCAACAAGTCATTTCCTGACACTATCCTTTTATGATGAGAAAACCCATGCCAGAGGCAATGTCCGATGCTGGTTCATAAACTCTAATTTTTTCCTGAACATTTTACTTTACACATTCTTTATTGCACTTTGAGAGTAGAGTCTCGATGCTAATATTGTGACTCGCCACTAGATACCAATGTCAACTCGCCATGGACCCAGACTTGTATCACGCAAGCTGACAGTATCCTTCTCGTTGGCCTAGCTGAGGGATCTCCAGCCATTGGGGAATACGAGCGCTTTATGCTCGGAATGAAATCGACTGCCAGGAAGATGCTGGTTCTGTTGCATGCGGAGCGATTCTCTCGGCCTGGTCTAACCAGGTCATGGATTCAGAATCGAGTATGGATCAATGGTGGCCATTACCATATCCAAATGGCCTTCCGGAACAACGAGATGCCGGTGCATCCTCCTTCCAAGAAGCTCGGTCAGGCACTGAAGGAAAGAGTCCAGGTATTGCAGGCGGAGATCCAGAAGTACACATCAAGAAAGGTGCATCAAACACCGTACTACTCCCTTGACACTCCGTTCAAGGGCGATTTCCACCGACTGGCACGCCGTCTGTGCGGAAAGTCGATTGGTCTCGTCCTCGGCGGAGGTGGTGCAAGAGGCATGGCACAAATTGGCATTATCCGCGCCATGGAAGAAGCTGGCGTTCCCATTGACGTGATTGGTGGCACATCTATCGGCGCTTTTGTTGGGGCTTTGTACGCTCGACACGCAGATGTCGTGCCCATGTTCGGGTTTGCCAAGAAGTTTGCTGGTCGTATGGCCAGTCTCTGGCGGTTTGCGCTGGATCTGACCTACCCGTCAGCGTCGTACACTACTGGTCACGAATTCAACCGTGGCATCTTCAAGACATTTGGCGACACCCAGATGGAGGACTTTTGGCTCGAGTACTACTGTAATACGACAAACATCAGCAAGAGCCGAGCAGAATTCCACACGAGTGGATACGCATGGCGATATATACGAGCATCCATGTCTTTGGCTGGCTTGCTTCCCCCTCTCTGTGACGAGGGCAGCATGCTACTGGATGGTGGATACGTTGACAACCTCACCGTGTCTCACATGAAGGGCCTAGGGGTAGACATCATCTTCGCGGTGGACGTCGGGGCGCTTGATGACAACACACCTCAGACATATGGCGACTCGCTATCTGGAGCGTGGGCGTTCTTCAATCGATGGAACCCCTTTTCATTGCATCCCAACCCCCCTACATTGGCAGAGATTCAGGCCCGGCTTGCGTACGTGTCGAGTGTTGATGCGTTGGAACGTGCCAAGACAATGGCGGGATGCATCTACATGCGGCCGCCGATCGATGAATATGGGACGCTTGATTTCCACAAGTTTGACGAGTTGTACCTGCTTGGGTACACGTACGGGAAGGAGTTTCTCCAGAAGATGAGAGATCAAGGAGTGCTCCCGCTGGTAGAGGAAACCGAAGCTAAGCGTGCGCTGCATCGGACAATGGCGCCTAGACGAGCTAGCATTTGACACTTGTTCTTGAGAGAGGCTTAGATCATGTTCCGAATCATACACTAGCGCCATCAGATAGAGATGGAGCGCACTTTCGAAGTAGTACCGTATCGACTGAGTAAATTGACCCTGAATTCTTCCCCCACTCTTTGCCTTCGGGCTTTTTTATACCTAATGATTTAGGGAATCTAAGCCTTATATAAATAGCTTAGCTTTAGTCCATAAAAATAGGGCCAATCCATCGGGTCGAAGTAGTACAATCAAGCGATTCAATGGCTCATACACACAAGCCTCTTGCAGTACGAGCAGATAAGATGCAATGAATTTGTGGCACGTGTCTATTTAGGTGGTAAGCGCAAATGCAAGTTTCAGATGACGGTCACGATCAGGATAGACGTCAAAGGTGACATCACAACACCATAGCGCAACCCTTGGCATCCGGACTATCATCCCCGCATCGAATAGAACCCTTGTATGTCCTAGCACTGGCGTCACCCACAGCTCGAGAACTCGATCTACAAGCATTGCTGGTTGGTAGTGATTGGCTACGCGTTTTCTAGCCAAGGCATGTCGCCTCCAACATGCCCAGTGAGAAGGCCACGGTGACAATGATGAATCCCTTGCGCAAGGGAGGGTGGCCATGTTTCAACCCAGACCACACATCGATCACATCTGACGTCGGAGATCGAGGACGCGTAGTCGTGGAAGGGTATGGATGTTGCGGCACCTTATTTTGTCAGTATAACTATTCCAGTGGTCGGCCTGCTTCACCAAGATCGATCATGTTCCACAAGGCCTCCTAATTTCAACTACGTTGCTGTAGCGCCACTACGCTCCAAGTATTAACCAACCGTCCACATCCTCCACTATGGCAAGGCGCATGGCCACCTCTGCTCCTCCTCGAAGCAAACCCTCCCACCACTCACGCCGTCATAAATCTCACACCCAAGAGCAACCTCAGATCCGCGAGAAAGAATGCGGCTTCGACTGGACGCCCGGCATCGTCCTTGCCCTTGTCGGCACGCTGACATGGTTGGACCACACCTTTGACAAATCTCGTCGACGGAGTCTCGAGGCACATGAACATGAGAAACACAGGGACGCAAGTCCCGACGAGAGTGACGATGAAAGTATACGCTCGATCGAGAGGTCACCGACTCGCAGACGGCCGAGGAAGGAAAGGGAGAGGTCAAGAGAGGGTGATAGTGAGAAAGAGAGAGAGCGGCCAAGAGCACGGTTTGACCTGAGTGGTGTCGTCGATGAGAAATATTACGAGTATGGGCCAAAGAGAGGGAGGTCAACGTGGCGTTGATAATATGTATTATGTGTATGAACACAGGATGACTGGGCTGTCTGAAGCGTGTACGATATGTGACGAATACTAGAGATGGGCGATGTAAGATGACTTCCCACTCGACAGGTTAGTTCATTGACGCAGCGTGTCGTAAAATTTAACGATATTTGGTATTTAATTCGAATCGCTTTGGGGCGAGGTATCTCAACCGACCCAGCCCCAGTGAGCGTCTATGAACTCCTTGCCATGTTGTAGGGTCTAGTCAACCTTGAACAGTCTTTTCCATCATGTTCTTCGCACTCAAGCCTTCTTGTCCACCTCAACACCGGCTCGTTCCACTAGCACATCAAACAGGCGTTGGACATGCTCCTCGGCGACACGCTCCACGCCCGTACACACGCGGATGGCAAACTTGCCGTTGACCATGGTGCTGGTCAGGTAGAACTCGCCCGCGGCGTTGATGCCCTCGTACACGCGCTCGGTGCGGGCGTTGATCTCGGCCTCGTCGGCGCCGGCCACCCGCAGCGTGACGAGGCCGAAGCGCGCCGGCGTGAAGATGGAGAACAGGTCCGGCCGGCTCACCAGCTTGGCCTCGAGGCTCTCGCCCAGGGCGACGCCGCTGCGGATGTGCGCCTGCAGGCCGCGGATGCCGTAGCTGCGCAGGACGAACCACAGCTTGAGCGAGCGGAAGCGGCGGCCCAGCGGGATCTGCCAGTCGCGGTAGTCCGTCACCAGCTCGTTGTCGCTGTACTCGTTGCGCAGATAGTGCGGCTTGATGCTCAGGGCCTCGATCAGCCAGGCGCGGCTGCGCACCCACACGGCCGAGCAGTCGAAGGTGGTGAGCATCCACTTGTGCGGGTTGAAGTTGAACGAGTGGAAGTGCGCGAGCGGCGTCGTCAGGGGCTGGTTCTCCTCGAGGAGCAGCGCGGAGCCGGCGTAGGCCGCGTCGACGTGCACCCAGATATCGTGAGCAGTGCCGGCCGTGGGCGTGAGGGCCTCGGCGATGCCGGCGAAGTCGTCGACGGCGGCCACGTCGGTGGTGCCGAGGCTGGCGGTGAGGTAGAAGGGCTCGAGGCCGCGAGCGCGCAGGTCGGCGACGGTCTGGGCCACGGCGGCGCCCGTCATGGAGAAGCTGGCCTCCTCGGAGATGGGGATCGTGACGAAGCGGACGCCGAGGACCTGCGCCGCCTTCTTGGTGCTCGAGTGCGCGCCCGCGCTCCCCATGGCGACGAGCTTGCTGCGGTGCTTCCAGAGGGCCTCCTCGCGCTCCTCGCTGTCGAGGGCCAGGTCGGCCGTCACGGCGTTGAGGTACTTGTCGCGTGCGGCGCACATGACGGTCAGGATGGCCTCGCTCGCGCTGCCGTGGATGACGCCTCCGCCGTGCGTGCTGCCGCCGCTCAGGTAGCACTCGGGCAGCGCCAGCGCCTGGGCGAGCCAGTCCATGACGACCGTCTCCAGCTCCGTGACGGCCGGGCTGCAGATCCAGTTGAAGTGGGCGCCGTTGAAGGTGTTGGAGTACATCTCGGCCAGCGCCGCCGGGTAGCTGCCGGAGCACGGGAAGAAGGCCATGAAGCGCGGGCTGGCCCAGTGCGTGATGCCCGGCAGGATCTTGGACTGCACGTCGGCGTGGATGGCCGACCACGGCTCCGGGTCGAGCGGCGCTGACGCGGGGAGTAGCGGACGCAGGTAGCCCGGCTTGACGTCGGCGACGACGCGGTGAGAGGCGACATTGTCGTAGTATTCAGTGACTGCAAAGGGGGGCTGTCAGCGCTGGTTTCTTGCCAATTGGTGTAAAGAAGAAAAAAACTGGTGATGCTTCTTTTGGTGTTTCCCACGTTCCGGAAACCGGAGTGCGGGGGAGGGGTGCCGGCGTAATTGGAGGTCGACAACACTGCACTCACTCTCGTCAATGGCCGCCTTGGCCGCCTCGCGAAACTCTTGGGAGTCCATCGTGTTGTGTAATGGCGCGTTCGCGTTTCTCTTCGTCTCAATGCCTTGTCGAGTTCAAGAGGCTGCCCGGAAGCAACCGTTGGAAGCGTGGCGCCTCTTTATATTTAGTCTGAAATCCATGCCACCTCCCTCTTTGGACCCAAAATCCCCACACTCGGAGCGGGTCTTGGTGGCGGTTGTCCGCGGATGGCTTCCTACAACACTGTGGCGAGACGACTGGCGGTCGAACAAATGCAACTTGGCTACGTCTAATTCCGAGCCTCACTTCTGTGAGTCCTATCTGACACGCGTACCCCCGTCGTCGGTCGTCAAAGGGCGCAGAAGCATGTAGACGCAAGCCTCTTTGGTGGGGGCGCAATAGACTGACATCGTGAGAGCCTCAACGCGGAACCAGGGTTTCATCGGTCTAGAAGGGCGGAAGTTCAGCGGTCAACGAAGCCATCGTAATCAATCAACGAATTAAGACCTATGCACGGTGTCAAATGTCATTCACGACGCCCTTCGTTGACAAGACATGCGATTTAGCACTTAACCCCCACTGTCTGTTCCGATCAATCGCTGCAAGAAAGATTCCGGCCACAGACTAGGCGTTCCGAGGGGTTCCGAACGGGTTCCGGCCACAGATATCAACCACCACTTCCCCAATCAATATGCCCAATTCAAGAACAATAACAGAAAAGAATACAGTGACTTGATTATGTATAGGTTTTGTCCTTTTGCAAACAAGACGCGCAGTGTGCAGCTACACAACAGAGCCAAACACGTCTATCCTTCGATGGGGACATGACCGTAGCCCAAGACTTCAAAATACCGCGGCAGTTGCAAATGCGGCACAATCTGAAACCTTGACACCGGGCCAATACATGCAACAAGGAAGACGGTGAAGTATTTCAGTGCCACTAGCCGCACAATTCTATATGTGCTATCATTGCCGAAGTTGTGGCCTCATTGTCGCCATTTTTCTCGCCACGACTGGACCAAATTCTTTGGGTAAACTCAGTCGAGGATTTCCAATTACTTTTCAGCCACATGGGGCCTAGTCTTCTTTCATTCTTCCGCTCTTTTTTTGATGCATGTGTTGAACTCATCAAAGGGCTAGAATGCAGGTCCTAGTATCTTGGCATATTCGCAAGATTTTTTTCCGTCGGTGATATTGGAAGTTCAAGAGATAGATTGCCGGACTATTTTGTGGGTTGATAGTGACCTAAAAACTGACGGTCATCATTGTCTCGCAAAATCTATGGTTGTGTACAGGAGATGGCAACGATATGCACTTTTAACCAATCGCAGACGGCGAGCGGGTTGGGCACGGTTGACTTGTTTTGTGTTTACATGGGAGTGATATCACACATAAAACCAAAGTGGCAAATCAACTTTGATGAATTGGTGCAGCTCTTTGGTGTTTGACGTTGAGTAACGCTGGTTGAGACTGAGGTGGTGTCAAGACCTTTGCAAGCCTCTCTGATATGGAGGGTGATAGTAGTGGTTGGTTTGATACAGTCAATGAGCGAATCATCTTTGGGGCTGCTTTTAAATTTTCGGGGCAAAGCTCATCGGCTGCAACTCTCATCCCAAGACCGTCAGTGGCGGGTGTTGCTCGATGCTAGAGGGCTCAGGCGACCCTTTGCAGAATGCCATGCCAGCATCACATGTCGAACCCTTAGTATATTAATAGGTGAGCATATTGCATGAATATTGATTTATTAGCACCGGGGAAAAAACCATATTCTGAAACAAAACTGTGAGAGTTATATGTCGTGTGATGTTCCGTTTTAATCGGGACATCAGCCGACGTTTAGCAAGCTTGCAAGTGGCCCGCCTCGTCTGGTTTAGATTCGGGGGATTAAGGGAACAAACGGAGAAAGATTCGATGGTTATCATCAATCCTGTCATCTTATTCTCACGTCGTTGACAGGATGAGGTAAGGAAAAGAATGAGGTGGGACAAATGAGTACAGCCAAATGCCCACAGTAGTTGATTAGCTAAAACGATCCAATAACGTCTCGGCCAATCACATCCCACCTCAACCCCTGCGTGCTACCCTTTTTGGCCGTGTGGATCCCCGGATCCATATCGTGCCGGACGGACCGGCCAAACGGCCCAATCACCTCCGGACCCATCCGTCAAACACGGAGCTACTGTGGGCAAGGGGCGGGAAGCAAGCATCAAGCCATCAGGGGCCAGCCCTGCGAACGCATCACGGGCTCCAGGCTCGCGGATCTCACACGCAAACGAGTCATGCGTGCCACATGCCGCCGTAGAGCTTGAGAGTGTACGATTGGGTAAGCGGTTGCTGGTCCTGGCCGGCGTTACTGCTGCCTTTGCCGGTGGGAGTGGGACTCGGGAGCGGGAGCGTTGCAGCGGCGGTAACACGATATTGACCTTACCGGCCGGCAGCCCACGTGGCTCGTCAGCCGACGGCAATGCACGAAGCCGCCTAGACCATGGCAAGAGACCCTGCGACCCTGCGTCCGTACTGTTGTCTCCTGTCTCACCGTGGCTGTTTCTAGTTAGCTTCGCAGAGTTTGAGATCGACCATAAATCACTCGTACGATTCGTACACGCGGACACAGCTACCGTCTTCAGTCAAGGAATCCCTCACGAAATTTACACCTTATCCGAACGAGAAACAGAGTCGAGAATCAAGTCGTGGAAGGTTCATAGAATAAATTTGCTTATAAATGAAGGTATCTCTTTTATGTTTCCCCGAACCATGCCATCCTGTATGTCCATATCCGTGCCAACATCGTAGTGAACCCAAAGACAAACATAGTCTTCATAAGTCTTGACAAGAAAATGGTAAAGAGTTCCAAAACCCACAAAAACTCCTCGCTCAGCAAACTCATCCGTTGCGTGTCCAGCAGAAACCCAAAACAAGTCGTAAGTTTCCGTGTCCTTCTCCAATCATCGCTTTGCTGAATATGATTATTATGCCTCGTCCATTATTATTGATTACACTCCTGCAGAGTCCATTACTCTCTCGTTCAATTTTGGGGATTTCTTAGGCCGCTGTAATAGTAGGCCTTCGCAGTTCGTCGTAACCAGGGAGGGTGCTGGTTTGCTGGTACTGCTCCGATGGGACATGCATCGTGCGTGGCTGGAGGTGGAAGTCGGCCGCCTCCAGCTCAGCCTCGGCCATGGCGCTCTCAAAGGAAGGCAGATCACCCTGTGGTAGGTCGTAGATGTTCTCCACACCAATCTGCAGGGGAACAACAAGGTTGAAGTTGGTGTTCGAGGGTCCCACCGAAAGGGTGAGGTTGAGGAAATAGGACCGGCCACTGATGCACGACTGGAAAGTAGGCAGGAAGAACTTCTTGTTGCCCATGGGCAGCGTGAAAGGGATGTCGAGTGCTGACACCTGTCGGTTGGGAGACTTGGCCGACGTGTTGCTGTGGGTGTGGGAATCAGAGTCGGATGATTCCTCCTCAGCCCAAGCGCTGCTTGAGTAGCCTGAGTCGCGACGTTGGAACTCCGACTCCTGCTGCCAAGAGACGGTGTCGATGGGAGAGATGGCAATTGCGGTGTTGGTCGAGTAAGTGAGGCAAGGGCTGGACTGGTACTTGACTCGGGAACCCATGTTGGGCAGGTGGTTCATGGGGGCGTTGCTGAAGAATGTGGTGGATTGAAGTTTGGCAGTGACGGAGTTGATCTTGGGGGGAACAGCATTGGGAGTCGCCGGGTCGAAGTCCAGGTTGACCCTGATCAACGACTCGCTTGCGCGGAGGCCATCGGCAGAGAGCATGATGGCACTGGGCTGGACAGCCGTGGCTGACAGCTTGCCCTGCTTGGCAGAGAACAGGTTCTTGCGGATAGTCTTCGTCTTGGAGAGCTGGTATCTCTCGTCGTTGGAGGTGATCTCGAGGGGAGCATCCTCAGGGAGCGACGGCAGAACCTTGACCAGGTGGAAGCCCTCGAGAGCCATGGCACCGTCGTGGAAGGCGGCGGCGCGGATGGAGTACTCGACCTGAGCCATCTCGGGCGCCTGGTCGTTGACCTCCCACAAGCCCATGGTGGGAGGGAGTCTCAGGTGCGCATCCCTCACAGCCGGGTTGTCCACGTGGTGGGAACACGCGCTGAGAGTCAGCTGGTGGGGAACGACAAAGTGAAAGGGGATAGTGTAGGTGCGGCCGGCCTCGAAAATGCGAGGGTCGGGGAAGTCTGAGGCGCGGATGGGCATGCGCAGCTTCATAAAGGGTCGCGAGGCATAGGTGGCGTACTGGTTGACAAAGTCAACGCGCGTGTAAGCGGTGCCGGTGAATTGAATCTCCAGGTCATCAAAGGGCACGTCGCGCAGGGTGTTGACAACGACATGGCCGTTGATGGTGGAGCCCGAGGTGTAAGCCTTGGAGGTCCAGTGGTTCTCGATCTTGATGTCAAGTCCAGTTCTGCCGGCACGAGGGCGGTTGGCCTGAGGGCCGGAGTCGGGAGAGAGATGAGCCATGATGTCTTGAGAGATCTTGAGGAGATGGGACGTGGCCGAGGAGGAGGGTCTCGCCATCGTGATATATAGGTAGCAGCACGGGAATCCCGTGCCTTCTAGTCTAAGTTGAGTTGCTGAGGAGGAGCCTGCAAAGGAGGAGCCTGCGATGCCTGTAGGCCTGTAGGCCAGGGGAGGGGGTGGATGGAGAGAAGCTGGAGGCGAAAAATGGTGTAGCTTCGGTGGTACCAAGTGGGTTGCTTGGAGCGTGCGCGGTTGCTTGGTGATGGTGCTGGAAATGGAGCAGCTGAGGACTTTTTTTTTGGATCGTGGTCTCGATTCAGGAGGGGGAAAAAACCGAGGATGGACAGTCTGCACATATATGGCCGTGGAAGATTGAGTGTGTTACTCATACCACACGGCAGACCGAAGGGCGTAGCCTTTGACTAGGAAGATTACAAATGGACAGCGCTCGATGATGCCAAGTCTGCCGTCCATAGGGCGCAAACATGGGATTCGGTTAGGGCGCGTTCAGCGACTACAGCGCCTGAGTCACTGTGTCGTAGAGGTGTTGACGACGCCCTTTGGGGGCCGATAGCGGGTGCTTTCAGGTGGATGACCAGCGTCCAGCGCCCAAAGGGTGAAAGGCGTGCAGGGCAGCAGCCATTACACACAGCGCCCAGCGCACGGAAGCGGAAGTAGCGCCAGATCAGATACTGCTCGGTACCCCAGGCTCGTACCGGTACCTGGCTGCAGAGGTTGAACCACTGAACCACTTGGACCACTGGACCAGGGTTAGACACATCGTGCATTAGCGTGCAATGTGAAAGGTGGTTCTGCTGCCCGGTGCCGAAGGGGCTCTGATGGTGGAGCTCCCGCCGACGCTAGCATCGCTGCTTCGTGACCCAGCACCGGGCTTCTTTGTTCCTGGGCACCTAATGCCCTGGGCTTTGATTCATAGGGAAACAAGTGCGTGCCCGGCTAATAACCGTGAGGCTATTTGATGGACTAGACGACAAGATACTAAAGGAGCAAAGTCGAGAGGAGTCAAGAACTCATAAAGCGTCCGCGAAGGGAAGGCTACGCCGTTGTGTGGACACAATCCATAATAGAAGGGGAGCAGAGAATATATCGGGAGTGCGAATCGGTAGACACGGGGTGGTCTCAGCTCGTATGTTAGAAGCTCAGAGCCTCCCAGCACCCGCAGGCCAAACAGAAACAGCAGATGTCCCAAAAGAGCAAGAACCAACTCAAGGCGCGCGAGTCCAAAACTGCAAGGCACCCACCCGCATCAACCAGCCCACGCCTCATGGCCAAAATCCCGGGTTGCTGCAGCCAACAGTAACCGCCTGCCGTCAGGCGATAACCGGCCCGTCTTACATACTACAAACCGCGTGCAAAATGCAAAACACCTGCTTCTTCATCTTGGCTGGACGGCGACCTGCTGCCGAAGCACCTGTTCCACCGTTCTAGAAAGTGAACATCGAGATCTTGGACCGTTGGACGTCACTCTTGGTTACGCGGCCCTGGCACGTCTGCGCCTTCCAAGGCAGTTCGAGGCAGTCCAAGGCAGAGACCTCCTTGATGGATGGAGCAATACTGGAGCATAAATTGGAGAATACGCGACGAATTCATGCCCCTCCACACCTTTCAGGTGTCGGTGAATAGCATTGTACTACTCGTCTTGTGTTTTGTGGTTCCGAGGGGGCGTTGCCGTAAACACATAATCAAGGGATATTGCTGACGGTGGTAGCCGCGATGGGGAATCCAAGGTGCGAATGACCTCGAAAGTGATGTGATGGCCGAAATACGGGGGCCGGGCTTGTCGTCGACGCGGACAACCCAACGTGGACAACCCAACACGGAAAACACGGAGGGGCGCGGGCATCGTGAAGGCGAACTACGGCGTGGACGGTGCGCGGCTTCCCGAAGAGCGCCGGCGGTCAGCCAACGCGCAGCACGAGGAAAGAAAGAAGAAGAAAAATTTACCCACCTAGGTAGGTAGCTCGCCTAAGAAGGAGCGCGGCCAGAGCAAGCGCACCCTCCCTCCTTCCCAGACATGGAGTCAAAACCTTACTCTTCCGAGACAGATCCCTAATTTCTATTACCTGACGACCACGCGCTCTGTCTCCTGCCCCTCCCACCATCCCACTGCGCTTGCCTCTGCCGCACCCGTGCCTGCCTCCTCTGCAGACGACGCTCTGCAGACGACGGGCCTCATTCCCGTGCTTTTTCCCTCGCTCATTCCCGAAGGGCCACTGGACGACAGCGCAACAACATCCAACTCCAATCATGTTTGTCACCTGAGTCTGTGCCTTGCCTCCGGTTCCATGTCCGTGATGGTATTCTCGAACCAGTCAGTCCCAGCCATCGGGTTCAATCCCGGTTCACATCAGCTTCCACCGGCATCCAGCGAATCCCAAAAGCCACAGCCTGGGGGTGCATCTTCCATAACCGCCCTAGAAGCTCCTATGCACGGAGTTTCGACCTGGACGCTCCTGCATCCCTGCAAAAGAGGCGAGCACGCCCAACATAGTAGCATCCTCCCTCGATGGTGGCCTCGATGGCCTTCGATGGGGCGTTCGGTACCTGAAGAATGGAGCCTCACGAAGCTTCTCGCTGCACCTGTGGTCCCGCACTGCCTGTTTTTGGTTCATCAGGGTCTGTCTAAAGTCACCCCAGCCCTCCGTGATGGCCTTCAATCCCCCGACCGGCCCCTCCCTCCCTCAGCTCCAGCGACTAGCTACCGTCTCTCCATTGTCTCCATGCTGCCCGCGAGTCGCCCCCGGTTGACAACGGGCTTCGCCGCGGAGATGAGAGTGGTCGAGGAGTAAAAACGTGTCGTCGTTGTGGCTCCGGAGCTGTCATAGCCAACGCTTGTACCAACCCCAGGATCCATCGGTTGCGCCAAACCCAAGCAGGCAATTCAACGCGACCGCCGTTGACGACGAGAAATTCATACCATCTGCTCCCGCCACTCTAATAAAGATCTATTCTCGGTCACGGAAGCTGAGAAAATTCAAATGTGGAGGCAAAGATGACATTGCTAATAAGTGGCTGCATTTCGTGGCACTGAGATTCCGCGCAGGCGGAGCACGTCTTTCAGCTAACACGGAGGTGACAATCCAACTTGGAGATGGTCAAGACACAACCAACATTTGCCTAGAAGCGAGGACATCTAGATCTGGCTCATGAGCTGATTGCAGGGTTTGGAAAGCTGGTTCAGATGGAGTGGACCGCCGTGTGATGCATCTGGGACAATCCGCTCTCGTGCAGTTTGCTAATGAGCTTGGTCGGAGCTTGAGTCTGGAGTAGCCCGCTCTCTGCCTGCCCTCGCCGGAATGATCCCCATGCGATTCCACTCTGCAACACTGGAGAGACGGGCGAGACGCTGCTTCACCAAGCTTATTACCAACTTGGGTCCACTGAACGACCCTAGGTATGGAGCTGTTGGTTGGTGGCATGGGTGTCATCCATGCTTCGTTGCTTTGGGCCGTTCACGTCCACTACAGCCGCAACCGCGAACTTGGCCCAACAACACCAAACCGAAAATCTCACGATGTCTCGGACCAACCGACCAGATGAAACTGATGTTCTATCTTTCGTCGCAAACATGAATCACCGCTTTGTCCAACAGCGGGTGTATGTGGTGAGTCAAATCTTTCCCCTCCGCATGCCATTTGTTCTCCACCGCCTCGTTTCCCATCTTCCTTGTCCCCTTTTCTCTTCTTCCGCCTCGTCCACACCCGCCATCGCGCAAATGGCCTCGTCCATCTCCACCCTCATACCCATCCGATGTCGCCTACAATAATGGGTGACTATTTTCCCCTCGGCGCCGACCATCTCCGGTCGCTCACCCGACCAGAAATATTTCTCAGCGCTTGCAGCCACCCCACTGAACGGGTGCCCTGCCCTACGATGCAGTAGGTAGAGTGACTTTGCTAACTTTGGGATTAATTAGCGGCAAGGCCCACTCCGTCGAGAGCACTGGCCAGCGGCTGGAGCTGAGGTGGCTTCACCCACAAGCATTCTCTATCACGACATGCTGAGCAACACATGCTCTCATCCACGCGCTCACATACGCACACACACATGAAGCTCTCAGAACGCACGAGAGGGGACAGATCCTTCTCCACGCGCTCCGCATCCGGTCGGCAGCAACGCCGCTGACATGCGACAAGCCCTGGTTCTGTTGTCTCTTCTCTCCCCTCCTCCCCCTTTCCTGTTTCCTTCAAACTCACTGGCTGGAGGCTTGAAAGCTGGTGATGAGGGTCTGCCTGCGCACCAGTGACCATCCAACTTACACAATTCCATGAATCATCCCCATGAGACCATCCTTGGCACTCACCCGCGATCCACTCACACACTACCACCACTTTACCCGCTTCGCATGACTCCCCAGGATCTCCATTTTAAGGGTCCAATCCCATCCATGTGCATCTCCCCCACCTTGCCCGCCTCTGATTGGTCTAAGGTGAGTCAAACAAGGTGGACGAGTCCCAGTTGTCAAGCACAAGGCGTGTTGGCGCGATCGTTGACATTGATGACTGCCCTCTGCTTACGGCATCCCGACGCTGATTAATGAATGTCAATCTGCCAACCATTACCAACCAGCAGAGTTGCAACCCTTTCTTAGCAACAAACCCAATCGAGCATCTCATTGACGGCTATCCATGACAATTGGACAAGCTTTATCTTGGCTTTCAAGTCACGCCGCAGGGGAATGAAGATGAACCGTCCAGTGCCATATCACAATCCATTTAGACCGGACTAGACCAAAAACCTGATTTCTCTCAGTCTCGTGGACTTACTTACACGACCATAACCTCGGTTAAGGGTGCTCAACCACATATTTCCTGTCATGCACTGTTCGACACCCAACACATTATCAATATGCATGCTCAGAACCCAACCAACGCTATTTTGACCCAATGGCTGCCGGGTAATCGGCTTGGTCAGACTTCATCGATCAACAGTGCAAGGATGATCACCACCTTGCATCACACGTACCACACCTGATACCGCAAAGGCGGCATTTGCGCCCGCTGTCAACGGGAAGTTGCCGCTCTAGCCCCAAGCCAACATTACATAGCTCCCCTTGCCAAGCCAGCTTATCACAGCCCTGAACTCAATACCAGTATCACAGTGCCCTACCATTGGCCATTCAACACTGGAGCTTGCGTCATGATGGTCGCGTGTATCACAAGATCAATATCTAGTGGGCATGAAAAAGTTGACATGAGGATACAACTGGGACAGACTTTTGAAGGTACAGGCACAACCACCGACTTTATCAGCTGATTGATGTGCGCTACGGTATGGATGTGTGTTTTTGGCTCTCAGGTGCTGATAACGTCTATTGCAACTACTTCTACAATCATCCGAGGCCAAGAGGCTAGGAATTCCTGCCAAGCCGCAAACCAAGTGTCTGTCACAGCTTGCCAAGCTGGCCCTTACTCTCGCATCATATCATTCCAGCGAGAATGCTCGATTGTCATACCGACCTTGGACAATCACAATCTATCTATCCCAGTCAGCCTTCCAGCAGACTTTGGCCCAAGTATTGCCCCTTCTAATTCGCGCCACGAGGAGCTTGGCAGGTTTGACTGGGCAATCGCCGACTACCTCACCGCCAACACCAACATGACATTCTGAAAAGGAGACAGGATCGGCATTGTGAGGTGACGCCGCTTCACATTTGCTCTCGTCGTACTCGTCAGTGGTCATTGTCTTATCGCTGTATCGCTTAAGTCCCTTGGCGAACTGAACATGCTTCCAGGTGAGTAGCTTCTACGGGACCCAACATGACGAACAGATCGCACCCTCTTCGTGGTTGAATATTGGTGCGAGGAATCCAAGCTACACAGCCAGCAGCAGGATCGTACGAGGCAGGTGGCTTCTCCTCGCTTTCGCTCTGCTCCAGATACAGGCTGGCCACAGGCAAGTTGCCTACCCAGATAGTGGTATCCTCGGTGCTTCGATTGCGCATCTTTGGAATAAACCAAGATTTCATACCCGAGGTCTTGAAACTGAGCACGCTAGCCAAATGACTGATCGTTAGAGCATCGGGGACAGTCTTATCGGTCGCCTGCGAATGCACCTGAACCACCTGCAGGGGGCGTGCCACCAAGGACAGGCATGTTGGGCCCGGGAGGGAAATCGAGGATTAAGCTACCTAGTGCAATCAGGCTCCACGAAGAGGAATTGGCATGGTAGGTTCTACTCGCCTATGCTTCGAACATTTGGTCCCATGAAGGCCAGTGGGTGAGGATTGGGTATGCTGATGAATTCACTGAGTAGATAGGAATTCCTTCGTAGTTGAGTGGTTTTATAACTTGAGATCGGCAACAATTCACTGCCTATATTATGAGCTCATTGAATAATAGGCAAGTCGTTTAAAGATGTCTAACTCTGCGTGTAGGCAATTGAACTCTGAGGATTCCACCAGTGGTCACGCCTAGGAACGTCTGGGAGCCGCCCAGGCAGGATCCAGACGGGGCTGGATGAAACGAAGTACATTCGCATCATGCAGTGAGCGGTGAGTCTGCAGTAATCTACTGGGCAGTGTCTGCCATTTAAGTCGCCATCCTCTTCAACACAGGACTTTGGTCTTTTTAGCTTTATTCGCATCAGATAGATCATAGCCATACAGTCGTTGCAAACAATCTACCGGCGTTCAGTGGCCTAGCGGACAGCAGACAGGCCGGCACAACTGAACCGCAACCGCTCAGCTGGCGAGTGACAGACAGTCGAACCGCAAAGTAGTCGATCAACCACATCGGAACTAATAGAGCAGACTACCGCCACAACCAACAACTAACCAGGACAACCCACAAGCCTACAACAAACACTAAGACCGAACACGAACACTAACACGGAGATAGAAACAAGCCTAGAAGACCGACACCACAACTGGGACCGACCGAGATTGAGACTGCCGGAACCCGATACCGGCCACACAACACAGACTTGGCCCCATGAACCTGGCGGAGACGGAGGCACCCTAGGGTCTCAGAGTTGAGATCACACGCTCTAGGTAGGGGAACAGCCTTCGGGCATTTCGGTCACTTACGAGTTGCAGCCTTAGGCTAGGCGAGGGGATCGCAAAACGAGCCAAATACGAGGAGACCAACCTGCGAAAGCACAAATGCGAATTGACATTGTGGGGGTTTTTGTTCCCTAGAGGCTTCCCCGAAATGAATTGGTCAGAGTAGTAGTATCAACTTTGATAGTTGAGTAGCATGGCGTTAAAGCAATCAATCAATTAACAGTTGCAACAATAGGGGCACACATTTAGCATTACACTCAGGACCAGAAGACATAGTAGCTCATACAGTATGGCTTTGCACATACCCTTGCCTTAAGCTCTCAGTTCAACCCCTCTATTGTCATCTTCAACACGAGCATACTCCTAATATTCCTTCCTGGTTAGTCCCTGGCCATGATCACGTCATAGTCCATTAATACCTGGGCACCCAAAGAGGTCATAAGAGCTAGGATATTGACTTCTGTGCTGTCGCCACAATACGCACTAGATTAGAGTCTGGGCATACAAAATTATCAGCAGATGTAAAGAAACATACCCACGTACCACTATAATGCTGGGAAATGAGTGCTTAGACGGAAGACATGATGGGGAACTATCACTGTGTTATACTGACTGCCATGTTGAAAAGGGAAGTTGGTGGCAAATGGTAGGCAAGAATGCACATGTTGCATCCTCGTGGTCTGTAATATGTTTATGGCTCTCATCTAGTGACAAACAGTGCCTTATACCTTGTTTCCGCGATCCTTTGAGACCAAGATCTCTTAATTACAACAAGATGCAAATCAAGAGGCCACTTGATATCACGAGAACAGAGTCCTTGCGCCGTTGACTTGTTCATACATCAGCTCGGCAGAGCTTCGATCCTCCTCCTGTATTCCCAGTATCGATACTCAAAGCCAATCGAAACCGTGGACGCCCCAAAGCAGGACACGAACTACGGCATGCAGCCTAGTCTATGTCATGCCATCCATCTCCCTCCTACATGCAACCCATAAATACATGGGTGTTTAATCGTGCCACGAGATGTACAGCATGATGCCTGCACCAACTGCAACCGCGGTGAACTGCACGAAAGTCTTCTTCAACTCCTCAGACTTGTTCTTACCGGTCTCTAATAGCTCGGGAATCACCGCGACAGTGCCAACGTACAGAAAAGTTCCTGCGGTGAATGGAAGAAGCATGTCACCCCACGACTAAGCACAAATCATGTTAGAAAAGGTACACTAAACAAGCGCGCGGCGAGAAGCTCGAGCGAAAATTGACATTTCGACTTACCAGGCTGGTACCCCAGAGGCCCTCGTTACGGCCCATGGGTACATCGCTTGCCGGGCCACCAAACTCCTGGACGGCGATGCCGATCAGGGTGCCGAGCAGAGCACCGAGCGCAGTGATAAACTGGGAGCCCATAGCAGCGCGCTTGGAGAAACCGGACTGAATGAGCAGGGCAAAGTCGCCGACCTCGTGAGGGATCTCGTGGAAGAAGACAGCGACGGTTGTGGTGGCGCCAATGGTGGGTGAGGCGTAGAAACTGGCAGACATGGCTAGGCCATCGGTAATGTTGTGAGTGAAGTCGGCGCTACATTCGCAGGTTAGCTAAAGCGGTTCCTAGACATTGGGTTTTAAAGAGCAAAGGAAGTCCTTACATGAGGTTCAGGTAACCGCCCAGCTTGACACTAGGGTTAATCTCCTTCTCATGGGTATCAACGGGGCCGACCACATCCTTGTCGCCATTCTTGCCCTTCTTGCGCGACTTGACCTCCCCATCAGTAGTCGCAACACCAGTTGACACGGCCTTATCCTCGTCATGGCTGTGCGAGTGGCCGTGTGAGTGGTCATGGCCGCCCTCTCCGCCAGTCGCAATGCGCAGGAACTTGTCCATGGCCACAAACGTCATGAAGCCCACGAGAATGCCAAGACCCAAGACAAGGTTGCGGTTGGGCTCGACGAGCACGAACTTGACCGACTCGTCATGGTCCTCGCCAACGAAGATCTCGGGGAGCAGATGGAAGAGGGTGTCGCCGAGCAGGCCGCCGACGGCAAAGGCGACCATGACGGACAGTGACGCCGGGTCGATGTTGGTCGGGCACAGCGCGAGGAGGAAGTTGGGAGGGCCGGAGATGTACAGCGTTGCGAGGAGGGCGTTGACGGCGGGAGAGCCGGGGAAGAGAACTGCGAAGATGCGGGTGGTGACGGACGACGGCGCGGCGGCATGATGGGCGTGCTTCGCAGCGTTGAGCTGCTGGATGATGGGGCACGTCTGCGAGGTTATCGCGTCCAGTCAGCGTCGGATCATCGGGTGGAAGGGCGGGTTCGTAGAGGGGGAGCAACACGCACCTGAAGCTGCTCATCCAGCTCCCCGAGACTCAAGCCATCAAGGTCCAAGGGCACCTTGGCATCGTCACGCGGGGCGGCCGCTTGCGAGTGGGCGAGCGCGACGGCGGCGAACCAGAGGCACACGGCCGCGATGTAGGCGCTCTTCCGAGTGAAAGCCATGGTGGAGTGTCCCGGCGGGATCGATGAGATGCGTAGAACAAGAAGGAAATTCCGCCTGTCAGTCACCTCGAGCGCAGTCTCTTCCTCGCACAAAGTGAATGCACGGCAAAGCGAAGCGAAGGGAACGGAGTGATGTTGGAAGGATGAGCGAAGTGGAGGACAGATGGTAGACTTCGTATATTCGGCGCCAGAATAGGCCACGCCCAAAGGGGGGGAGAGAGTCTGGGGAGCTGTGTGGTTGGCTGGCGCCGCTGCGATCACTATCAGGCGGGGGGCTACAGGGCTACAAGGCGACGGAATACGGTTGGGACCCTGCTGAATGACAGGTATGGGGGGGCCAGTAGCAGGGAGCTTCAGGGGCCTCGGGGAGCTTCAACGGCCTAGGGGAGCTCGAGTTGCGCTGAGCTGAGCAGCTGAGCCTTGGCCGCATTGCCGATCGCCGACAGCGGACGTCGCATTGCACCCGGAGTTCCGAACAAACGAGCAAACGTGCGAGCGTGCACGCATTTCTTGCTGGCTTGAGCTTCTGCAAGGGCCTTCGGATCTCGGATCTACGACGCGACAGGTCAATTTGAAAACACTACCACAGTAACAACAGCGTGGTCTCACGATATCAAGCTTTGAAACGTCCCAGCGCCAGTCTTCACTTGGACCCAATCCAGTTAGTTGGTGCCTTGTTAAATTAGCGCTTACTTCAGGTACCGGCCTATCAGGTCACGCGACAACTGTCCTTGGCTGGTCTTTAAGCACAGAGCAAAGCGAAGCAAATCACGACTCGAGAGAAGCACCCTGATCAATACGTTTCACAACCCTCAACAAGGGCGATGTCTATTTTTCTCTTTGTTTCCTTACTTGAAATATTCCAAAACGACTTGTTTCTATTCCGAAACGTTGGGACGCAACCCTTGTTGGCCCTAGAAGTGAGCCAAGGATTCGTCTGAAATCCAAAGCACAAAGAAACAAAAACCTTGTCTGTATATGAGTTTTCCGCCCGCCAAATACCAAGCTCCGCGGGCTCTACTTTCCACAGGCAGGCCCGACAACAGGGCGATCTATAATGTGTATGTACATGACCGTTTGAGGAACCTAACCACGTTCCCCCTGGTTGCGCACATTGGAGTTGCAACCTCGATGATTAAAAAGCATGTCTGAAAAAAGAAAGCTGGTGCGTCAAGAAGGACAGTGAATCGTGCTGGCCAATTTACAGGACAGCAACGGCCAGGATCAGAGCGACGGCCGCAGCACCGAAAGAGTTGAGCTGAGCTCCGTTGCTGCTGCCGGTGACGGCGGTGGACGAGGCACCGGCAGCGTTGCTGGCGCTGCTACCGGAGCCGGAGCCGGAGCCTGAACCGGAGCCTGTGCCGGAGCTGGAGCCAGAGCCCGAACCAGAGCCGGAGCTGGAGCCGCTGGTGGCGGTAGAAGCTGCGCTCAGGGTGGTGTAAGCCGAGTGGATGCCGGAGGCAGTCGAGTTGCTGTAGCCACCACCACAAGTTCCGTTGCAGTGGACACCAGTGGGAGTGGAAGCGGGAGTAGCAGGAGTGGAGGGAGTGGCGGCGCTGTCACTGTTGGACGAGCTGTCCGAGGTGCCGCTGCCGAGGCTGAGCTTGCTCTTGTCGACGCCGGCGCAGGAGAGGTCGTACAGAGGCGTCTTGGTCAGAGTGGCGCCGACGACACCGAAGCTGGGGTTGGGAGTCGTGGGCGCGGCGTCCTGGAGCGTGTACCACCAGACGTTGGTGCTGCCGAACATCGGGCAGCCGACGTCCTCCCAGTACGTGCGGGCGTTCTTGGTCGACGCGACGGCCTTGTTGTACGTCTTGCCGCTCACCGGCCAGCCAGTCTCGGTGATCCAGATCTCGCGGGATCCCGCCACGGCCGAGACCTTGTTCCAGGCGGCCTTGAAGAGCGTGGCGCCCTCGGACACGGGGTTGTACTTGGTGTCCTCGTAGTAGGGGTAGGTGTCCATGCCGAGCCAGTCACAGGCCTCGATAACGGCGCTGTTGGAGTCGTTGGAGTAGGCGTTCCAGGTGTCGACGTGGCCGACGGGGATGGCCGAGAGACAGGTGCCCTTGATGGCCGCACGAGTCTCGGCGATGTAGTCGACGAGGGTATCGGGGCTGCAGCCTGGGTCAGAGCCCGCCGCGATGCCGGTCTCCGAGATACGGTAAAGGTCCTCGCTGCCGACGGAGATGCCGGCGACCAAGTCGTCGATCTGGCCGCAGTACTGGTCAATGGTGTTCTTCAGGGCAGCAATCTCGTTGTCGAACGAGGTGCGACCGGCCGAGGCCCAGAGTCCCAGGAGCAGGCTGGTCTTGGTCTTGATGGCGGCGGGAATGGCCGAGATGGGGTCGTTAGTAGAGCCGCCTTGAACCATGGTGTAAAGGCGAGCGCTGGTGAAGGCACCGTCAGTGCCGGCGAGGGAGGCGGCGGCGTTGAACTCGTCCTCGAAGTTGCTCTGGACCTTGACGGTGCCATCGCCGTAAGAGGCGCCGTAGTTGAAGCCCTGGAAGGCGGCGCTGGCCGTGGAGACGGCGGCCGCCATGGCGAGGAGGCTGTTGGCGGAAGGCATCTTGTGTAGGAGTGTTTTGGGCCGGGAAACCGGGGGATGAAGGGACTCTATAAGTTCTCACGAGAGAGCAGGAGAGATCTTTTCAGAACAGGGAATGGACAGCGTATAAACGAGGGCGTGGTCCAAAAGGTCCGAGTATATAGTGAGAGACAGTATATTACGAAATAAGGGAAGGAAATAGGATGAAGAATAGTGAGAGGAATGAAGGAGAGAGCGGCGAGGTAGAAGTAGGAGAAGGACATGGAGCAAGAAAGGGATTAGACAACACCTCAGTCATGCAGACACACCCTTGGCTGGGATCCCAGCCATGGATCCCAGAAAATCCTCAAAGGAGACGGCCAGGTCGGTGGCGATGGGGCGTCATGGAGTCTCCACTGCCGTTTGATCCACCGTGGAATAGTTCATCGACTCCATCGACGGGTCCACTGCCAGCCCACGCCCCGGATGTAAGTGAAGTTGGTCGTCCTGCCACGGGACTGGATGGAAGGACAGGCTTTCCAAGGCCGTGGCTGTGAGTGGATGACTCGCCAGGCACAGGAACTGGCTTTGAGGCCAGGCCACCCCCCTTTGGTGGGCCGGTCCAATCATGGCTGCGAGGACACGCAAAGGCGATCCCGGACGAGACGTGGCACTGGAGGGTCTATAATACGGGGGGTGCCGAAGAGCCGTTTGGAGACGCATTTATACAGTACTTGAAACTGAGAGGAGGAGGCAGTGTTGGTAGAGGGACCCCTATGCCGACTACCTAGGTATCTATCATGACAACTCCCAAGTAAAATGTACCTCTAGCGGCGGCAAGTCAGCAATAATAGAAACAATTACAGCAACAATTCCAATCCTTTCTTTTCTTCTTGTCCACTTACCATGCCGCTTATCCTATCAAATATCCCCACGGCATGGATCAGACCAACACCATGCCTGCTGCCATCCACGCAAGGATCGCCCACGGAAGCCAGAAATAGCAACGCCGAGCTGCCAGGGAACGACCTGAGAGCCCACTTCCCACCCCGGCCGGAGGCTTGACCTTGAGCCCAAACCGCACAAGCACCATCGCCCAGCCTTGGGGGGCTTGATTCCCTCCGCAACCTCAGGTCTTGGCTCTGCACAAACGCTGGGGAAATGGGCAGCCTCTCGACGGGGGAGGGATAGAAGCAATGCTCGAAATAGACCACCACCACCACCGTACCTAGTATTACTACGGTACCACTTGCAAATGTACGGATGCACACATGCAGGAGAACATGAGAAGAAAAAAACGGAGGCCTGGGAGGGGGGCATACGAATCCAAACCCAGCACTACACACACACCGGTCACGTCATGCGTGGGTCGACGACGACGTGGACGACAAACTTGGCTTGGAAGCGACCTCGTTAGATGCCCCAACCTCCATTCCGTCCAGCGCCTCTGGAAGCTTCGACGTCTGCTGGCCCGAAGAGGAAAGGGACGGCAGGATATCTTAGCGAGCAAAGAAGGGGAGGGAGAAAAACCTTGGACAACCCGTTTACGCAGGTTGTTGCCCGCCTGGACTCGTCGCCTCCGCGAGCGTTGAAAATTTGGACGGGTTTTTTTTTTTCCACAGCACTACTACGACAGTCTCCGCCACGCCAATTGAGGGTCAAGCAAAGCAAGATAACCAAGCCCAAGTCCAAAACAGAGAGCACGAATAATCAGAGACACAACGGAGAACCGGAACAAAGGCCTCGTCAGCTCTCCCAAGTGCTGGGGCCGTTCCTTGCAGAAACCCCACCGCCACCCATGTTCATGTCCACCCCTCGTCGGACATTTTTTTCCCACGGCCGCTTTTAGCCAGGGCGTCCAGAAGGCTTGGCCCCCTATATCCCGGCTGGGATATGCTCGAATTGGGGTGACGTTATACACCAGCATCTCAACCATTGTTCATCTCGCTCTCCCCAGGTTTAAACCGGCCGTTGCGCTGCCCAACGCGTCCTTGAACATGCCATCATATGCCCTGTAGGTGACGGCCAGAGACGAACCCCATGTCTCGCTTTTGCGGCTCGCCAGCCATTCTCGCCATTGTCAGCAACCTTCCAAAACATGCCAGTTGAAAACTGGTCTTGAGAATGACCAGCCAGTCCTGAGAAACCGGCATCCAGACCAAGGACAAGAGAAATGAGGGTATTAAATCGCAGCAAGCTTCACGCCCAGTAAAGGCAGCCATCAGTTCAATGGCGTGAGCCAATCAGGGCATCTGCGAGAACTGCGAGAACTGCGAGAACTGCAAGGTACGGATGGATGCCTCCCTCTTTGAGTATCCCTGTGCAGCAGCTCCAATATGGACATGAAAAGCGATATCAACAACACTCCGAGACTGCATAGTAGACTAATACCCGATGAGGTAAAGGACCTTGTTTGAATCCTGCTCCCTCTCATTGCTGCCTGCCTCTCTAAGCCATGAAAGGCCGCCTCGTACTTTCTCAAGACAGAAATGTGTCTAAAAAGAGGCTTGAAACTGCTCTCGCCACCTAGTGCCACGCGTTCTTCTCGCGGATGTGTATGTAATACGTCGTTGTAGCACAGCTACACAGCCACCGACACACCAACACGATCTTTGTAACCCTAATTAAGAGATCAAAATTCATCACAAAAATTAACAAAAAAATTGGATGGCATCAAGAGTCTATTGCTCCCGGCAGGGCTTGAACCTGCGACCCTCGCATTACCAACACTGGCAATTGAAGTATTAGTACGATGCTCTAACCAACTGAGCTACGGAAGCCGTCCAATGGCAACTCTGGTGAGTTGATTGATTAGGTAAGCGTTGATTGAGACTAAATACCTCCTGCGCTTGTCGAGGGCTCGTACATGTGTTACCCTACATCCGCGTCATAACACATGAATACGATAATAGCACAGAGTAATGAAACAAGCAGAGCTCTGTATCACCTCGAGGTTGACTCTCATATTTGCCCGTCCATATATTCCAATTTTCCCACCATATTTAAGTCTTACAGACCCAACATTTGCTCATGTACACTAGTGAAGCATCATGGCAAACACTTTTGAAAACACACCAGACATATTGCTATCCAAATTGCGCTTACGGGATTACCCCATCCATCCAAGTCTATCTATCATAATGAAATCGCTCAAAGACCATGCTTGCTCACTCATACATAAAACCTCGTATCCCTCTTAGGCCTGCCTTCTTGTCCTTCTTGCCAGAACCGTCATCCTTTCCCTTGTCCTTCGAATCGCGACGACCCATACTGCTCGAAAACAGATCCGAGTGACTCCGTGCCATCAACCTTCCCGACGAATCGCTCCGAATGAACGCCCGTTGATCTGGGCTCATCGATAGCGACCCGTCCCCGGACCAGTCTGTCCCAGATGGTGAGCCAGGCCGATGCGCCCATCCGCCTGACATGGGGGTTCCCAGCTTCAGCTTTTGCTCTAGAGGTGGTGTCACATTATACGCCGCACCCTCCACCAGCTCGGGGTTTGATAGCACACGGTGAGGACGCGTTTTCATCATCACAGGGCTCGCTGACATGGACAGGCTCTCGCTGTCCACCTCAGTCGTGTGGGATGTGTCGATCCGTAATTGTCCTGGCGTTGCTCCCGTCTTCATATCCAACAAGGACGACTGTAGCGCCGTGTACTTGCGCATGAGGAGATTGCATTGTTTCTGCAGCTCTGCCTGTTTCTCTCGGCTCGCTGCTAGGGCTCCCTCGACAGCTGCTCGGGCGTGAGGGGACGACTGAGCTCGGCCTTCTTGGGCCTCCAAGAGTCGCGCTTGGAGCGTCTCAATCTGAGATTGGAAGAGCTTTCTGACCCGTTCCACCTCGCTCTCTCGCGACACAAGCTGGGCGGATAGCAAGTCGGCTTTCTCTTTGGCCTCAACTGCAAAGTCGATATATCTCTTCCGCTCGACTTCCTTCGCCTCCTGATCCCGCTCTGCCACCGTCCGTCTATCTACCTCACTCTTGAGTCGATCAATCTCAGCCGCACGAATCTCGATGGATTGGATGCTTTGTTGCGAGTTCAGCTCTTTCACCTCGGCCTCGCAAACTAAGACGCGAAGTTTCTCGCACTCCGCCTTTGAGTTTTCCAGCTCCTTCTGAACAGCCTCGAATTCCGTCTTGAGTCTCTTCGACTCGTCACGCAAGTTCTTGAGCTTGTTGGCTAGATCAGCCTCCCACTTTTTTGCCATTGCTCGGCTTTTCTCCGATTCCCTACGAACCTGCATCTCCGCCTTCTTCGCCTCATCGAATCGAGTCCTGAGATTGCGGTTCATGATGACGAGATTCTGAGTCTCCGCCTCTGTCGCCTCTTCCTCCAACTGCCTTCTTCGTAAGTCGCCAATGTGTGCCATATGTTGCTGCTTCAAATATCTCTCGAAATTCAGGTCATTTTGAAGAATCAGGACTCGCCGTTGCAGGTTGGCAATTTGGGTGCTCGTCTCAGTCAAAGACAGTGGTGAGCCGATTGTTGGTTGTGCGGTCATCGAAGGTGCTGCAGGCCGCTCCGGTACCGACTCTTGGTGGCTGAGAGACAGAGAAGGTACACTGTCGTTGGCCAGCGACTGATGTAGACTTGATTTGATGGTCTTGTTGGACTGGATCATATCTTGAAGCTGCGTATGGGATGCCGATTGCGTCAGATGCGGTAGCAGACTTGGGCTGTCGACGCTTGGATCTCTGTTCCTGGCGTCCATCGACTCACGAGTCGACGGGTGGCTTGACTGTGAACCCTGACGTGTCAAACCCGACGCCCGTCGGCCACTTACTATCGACTCCATGCTTGAAGATTGCGTGATCCGGTAGCCATCAAGGGGCTCAACCATGGATGATCCACTGAGTAGTGCTGGGTCATGTCCATCCTTGGTAGAGTCTTCACTCATCGGACCCTCTGCCGCAGGGATCGAGGGCAGGGTCTGGCTGACCAGCTGATTCAACTCTGTCACTAAGCAAAGCCCAGTGCATTCCGCCACGACCTCAGATGCTTCACTCTTAATCCACCTGCTGAGGTCTGTCTTTTCTGAATCAATGGTAAGAGTGTAAAAGTTGGGATGCAGCAGGTGATGCCGCCTGAACCTCTCAGACTGATGTCGAATCTCGGTTGGTTGTACCTCCATGTCGTTTGCATTGGCCACATTAGCATGCCGAAGGTAGCGTTGAGGTTTGCGGATGTAATCCATAAAATTGATGGGATACAGCCCGTAGAGTATCGTATAGTAATTCAAGAGGTGATAGACCGGATGGTCATCCACCCCAGCCCTGTAGGTACAAACTTCCCAAGGTCCGGCCTGATCAGAGTCGTCTATTTGGGGTTCCACGATGCCAGCCCGCTCACGAGACCAGAAGAGCAACCTGGCATAGATGTTGAAGAGGGTTGGAAGATATGGAACTAGCGAACTAGGCATCTGAGGTAAGAGCATGATCACGGCTGTCAATGCGACTGAGATGATGGTAGTAGAGGTGTCCCGTTGAAGACATTTTAGGATGTTGCCAAAGAGCGGAGTCTGGAGGATAAGGTGGATATGGGGAGGCTGGCTTTGGAGGTAGTGAGATATGAATCTTAGGACAGCTTTTCGATGCTGGCTCTTGACGAAAAACTGGTTAAGGGTTGTGAACATGTCCTTGGTGGCGTTAGTCGACGGACACGTGTATGCCATGAGCACAATGTGTACTAACCTTGGGATGCCTTGTGCCAAATTGAATAAGCGCTTCTCGAGTGATCTTTTCATTGTAATCCGCAGAGGCGACGCCTTCACTGGCGGCGGGGTATAGCTTGTCTATCCATCCCGTGAGGAGGCGGTCGACGAGCGGGTTGGAGAAGATATTCTGCTCGGGGGCTTCCGTGGCTTCTTCCGCCAAAGACAGAATGTCCATGATGCTGGCCAAGGACTCGTTTACCACATCCTTCTCTGGAGAGGCCTTGGCAGATAGAACAGCGCAAGCGTCCCACAAGGCAAAGATGCGGTCCGGGGTGCGAAGCGCAGGCAGCAAACGGCGAAGAATGGCCAGCCACGGGGCGAACGCGGTGGGCGCATCTTTGACGTGCTTGTCAAATATGGACGATAGCTCCTCGTGGAGACGGTCGGCGGCGGCATCGTCAAACTTCGGATGTCGTCGAAAGTAGGCGTCGATGACTTGGGAGAGGTCGTCGGGGAGTGGGGTGGTCGGCTCGGCGAGGAAGACGATGATCGCCTTGGATAGGTCTCTTAACGACCTAAGGGAGTGGATATGAGGGTCAGCAGAGGTCTCTGGCGAGGGAGGGAGCGATCAAGGGGTGGCGATCGTGAGGCAGAGCCGCAGCGCCAGGGGCAGGATGTGCAGACGGCGTGAAGGAATATTTTCAGGAGGCAAATGACGTACGCCGATGAAGCCATGACTGGCGTGACGGCCTCATCCGGGCTCGCAGGATTGACGATGACCAGACCGAGCGGACGAGGCCCGAATAGTGTGGATATTGGAGGAGCGTCTGGGGTTTGGAGGAAGCTATTCGAGCGGCGGCGGGCGTGAGCAGCTGATCGCAGGTATGGAGTCTGAGCTCGAGCGTGGCTGCGGGTTGTGGCGGGACACTTTTGAGGCGGCGACGTGCCGCGGCCGCAAGGTTGCAAGCTGGAGTGGTGCAGTGGTGCAAGGCCGTAGCGGAGTGGGGGATAAGCTTCGGGGGGTTGCAGCGCTGAGCTCCTAGCGGGGTCTGCCGGACGCGTTAGGGGGCCTAGGCGAAGCTCCAGGGCATCAAGCCCGCTAGGAAGCGGGCAGCTTACAGTGGCTTGTAGCGGGTGCTACAGGGCAGGCAGGCCTGTGGTGGCTTCAGTGGGCGATGGATGCGGCAGGTGGTGGGGCGCGTTGGCCTGCAGCAAAGGAGGACAAACTGGGTGATCGGCCAGGTTGACCCGGGGGATCCGGGTCCTGAGTACCTAGGGCTCCAGTGGAGACACACGTCCGGAGCGGTACCCGGGACTTATTCCCAGGCAGACCCACCGAGGATGAGCCGTGCGCTAGCAACCCCGCATCCCAGGCGCATGACCCCACGAGACCTCCGGGTACGTACCGCGAGACATGCGAGACAGGCGAGACGTACGGCCTCGAGTGGGTCCTCACACCAGACGAGAGTGACGCCAGCTGCAATGAGGTGCCCTTCTGACTTGGATCGAGCCACTTGCTTCCATGCCGCTGTGACTAAGGGACTGAGGTCGAAGATGACTGGCACTGGGCAATGCGCTTCGTGTGTACGTAGCAGTGAGGTAGCACCGCGGCCATGTAGGAAGGTACAGCAGAATGGGTGGTCTGGTCTGGCTGGTCTGGCTGGTCTGGCTGGTCTGTGTCTGGTAAGGTGAGGCAGACCAGGTACCCTACCACATCGATCGGGATCCCTATTTTACTTCTACCTCCTCCTCTCGTCTCCCACCTTCTTCTTCCTTTCTTTCTCTCCTCTCCATCTTCCATCTGCATCACATCAAACCAATTCATCTCAAGCATCTACCCAAACCATCTCCCCCAGTGTGTCTGTCCTTTCTGACTTACACACTTCCCACATTCACACTGAAGCCCCAAATACGCACACCTTTCACCCACAAACCCACAATACCGGCAAGATGAGTGCGAACAAGTCCTCCGCCGTGGCCGACCAGGAGCCCATTGATGTGCTCTTCGCTGTCCACGACAAGTTCGACCTTCTTGACTTTGCTGGCAGTCTCGAGGTCTTCCACACGGCCTGCCACGATTTCCACGATCCTGAGAGTATGTGACCTGCCCACTTCACCACCCCCTCACTTTCCCGTCGATCCCCTCCTTCCAATGTTACCCCTCCCGCTGACCTCATCCCCCCTCTTCCTTTCAACAGACTCCAAGGCCTTTGAGATTACCATCGTCGGCCCCGAGCCCAAGGTCATCTCTACTCAGGGTGTCATCGTTGGCTCCCAGATTTCCTACAAGGACGCCCATGAACGTCTCGAGGACTTTGACCTCCTCGTCGTCGTCGGCGGCAACTCCCAGGAGATCCTCGACAAGGAGCTCGAGCCCCTTAGCCTCATCACCGACTTCTCCGAGCTCCAGAAGCGGGACCCTGCCCGCGAGCGAACCATCCTCTCCGTCTGCACTGGTGCTCTTTTCCTCGCCAAGCAGGGCATCCTCTCCGGCCTCTCGGCCACCACACACCCAGACCACTTGACCAAGTTTGAGAACCTCTGCAGCGACGCTGCTACACAGACTCTCTTGGAGCGCACCGACGTCATTGAGGATGCTCGCTACGTTGTCAACAACCTGCGATTCGACCTCGGAGACGAGGACGAGAACCCCTACATCCGCCGCAAGTCCGATGCTGGCCGCCGCCCTTCTAACGCCCGGTACGTAACATGTTTCCACCCTGGCCACTACCCCGCTTTGTGGTGCATTGGCTTCTGAGACACTCGGACTGACATACATACTCTGATGCAGCAAGGGAAGCATGTCCTTCAAGGTTTCCAACCGCCGTGAGTCTATTGCCCGCCGTGCTGCCATGCGCCTGGGCGGACTTCGCGTGGTGACGTCTGGAGGCGTCAGCGCTGGCGTGGATGCGGCCCTCTATCTCGTCAGCGCTATGGTAGATGAGGCGTGTGCGGTGGAGGTGGCCAGGACCCTTCAGTGGTCCTGGAACAAGGGCGTTGTCGTCGATGGTCTCGACGTCTAAGATCCCTGGCAATTAGTGCCTACTTTGTATGAGAATATCAATGGCCGCGTGATGGGCCTTAAGACCAATGTTTAGTATGTATTACGATGAAAGAAGTTAGCGAAACCCCAGAAAAAAATCTTAGGAGCTCTCAATTCAATCCAATTGTTTGATAATCTTCACTCGTTGAGCGTGCTTTGTTGTGAGCGAAACCGCCGTCATCACATTCCTTCCAAAGGTTGTGTTTACACTAAGGTCCAAAATGTGGAGGTGGAGGTTACGGGCGAACAATGACGTGGTAAGTCGGACCCACACAAGCTCGGAGAGCTCCAGAGTCGGTCATGCAGAGGTCGTGTGATGCCGGAGCCAGGGGCATCAGGCTATCCCTAACCATCGCCGCATTCCGACTCAGCCCGGGTCATTCCACTGGGACATTCGGCCGGGTTTCAAGAAAGCGCTGTCATAAGTGATCGGGCTCTTCCATCTCGGTGTGGAAATGAGACGACGAATCCCTGGGTTGCTGCTCGGCAGATAAAACAGCTGATTTGAGACCTGGGATCATGCACACCGTGTGCTCACCGACAATGAGTCAGTATTGTTCATTTTCTGTTAGAGAAATCAGGCCATTGAAGGCCAGGTAGTTATTCAACTTACCCAGGCAATTGATGCCATGCTTGCTATTCCGCCGTGCTCGCCTGATGGCCCCTGTAGAGGGTCACCTCGGTAGCATATGTCTTGAGTGTGCATTCAATTCGCTGCAGAGAAACACTAGGCCCCAGTAATACGTCATTGTAAACCGGCGTTAGAATTGTTCTTCGAAGCTCCGTCTTCTAACCTCATCCGTGCATACATTCGGTCCTCAACGGCCCCAACCGATGCCTGTGTCGCTTGCAGCTATATGAGTCTGCACCAATGGCATAAATAACACGGCGAAGAGGTGTCAATGGAGCGAGGGATTGCAACAACTGGAGACGGGATATTCAGTCGCCAAGACTACGCCCTTTCAAGATGGCAGCTGGCCGCAATAGAAACGAGGTGAATCATTATTCAGCGCCAACGCCAAGTGTGCTCACATGTAAGTAGACGTTGAAACATCTGCATGATTCATCCCACCTGCAATAGGAAATTCAACGGCCGGGATCGAGCCCAAAAATTACACCTTGGAACTCACGATGATAAAGGTTGAGTCTCGCCAGTTTGACATGCAGGTACAGATCTCAATTGACGTCAACCGTACCGGCGATTTACACACCCGATTTCGCAGACGCGAGCTTAGGCTTGCTTCATCATGATCTGAGGTGGGGCACTGCCCTGAACTAAGATCGTAGAAAACTGGGGCCGTCTCGCTGACATAATCTGTAGCTACCCATGTTCATGATTGGCCATGCCCCTGCTAGTTTGGACGAATTGTTTGCGACAAGGCTGTGGTCAATTACGCTTCTCGTTCTCGTCGCCTTGCCATCCGCTTGCTTTTTCCTCCGACAACAACCAATAACCTCGACGAAATTTGTTCCCGATTTCGCATTCAACGTTACAGAACTCTTCTAATTCGAGGCTGCAGCCGTCGCGGCGAGCCAATCACCATCGCATCATGACCGACTGGACCAGGCTTAGGGTCGTCGACCTGAGAGAGGAGCTCAAGCGTCGCGGTCTCTCATACAATGGTCTGAAGGGGGAGCTGGTAGCGCGATTGACCGAGGCCGAAAACGAGCCTGTCCAAGACGAGTCCGAAATCGAGGACGCACCTGCCCAAGACGAGTCGGTCGCAACCGAACCTATACCTGCAGAGCCCGACGTCGAAGCGCCCGAAATTGCGGTCGAAGAGCCTGTGGAGGACAACGTATCCCAGGAGGAATCCAAAGAGAAAGAAAAAGCGCCCTCGGCGCCTGATGAAAGTGAAGAGAATGGAGCCGGAAGGGATTCACTGCCAGAGGAGACGAAGAATAGCGTTTCCGACGATGCGGACCCAACGCCAGTAACTGGCCAAGAAGCTGAACCACAACCGACCGAGCAAACCCCAGCGGACGAGCCGATGCAAGACACCGTGGAGGAAGCAAACACTACCGAGGATCTTTCTCCGGCTCAACCAATTGAGGGTTCTATACCGGCACCGGATTCACAGGAGAGCCTGAAGCGAAAACGTCGGTCTCTCACCCCGCCACCTAGCGAGGAAGCAATCGCGCGCAAACGCGCCCGCCCGGACGAAAGCGCAACAAACGGCCAAACTGCCCCTCAAGTCATTTTTCCCGAAGATCAGGAAATTCCCCAGACCGAATCGCTGCCTGAGGATATGAAAGTGGACGAGCAAACTCCAGAGAAACCTCGAGTGCAACCTCGAGTGCAACCTCAGGAGCAAACCACACACGAGACTCGAGACTCGGAAAATTCACCACCCACCAAACCTCGAGACTACCAACAAGAAATGGAGTACGAGAGGGACGTCGCACCGGCAGTGCACCCTGCTACCTCGGCGCTGTACATCAAGAATTTTATGCGCCCCCTCCGACCCCACGAAGTCCAGGCGCATCTCGCCGACCTCGCAACACCCCGGGGCGACGTCACCGACGACGATGTCATTGTCGACTTCTTCCTCGACCAAATCCGCACCCATGCCTTCGCTACCTTCAAGTCGACCTCGGCCGCATCGCGCGTCCGCACCGCTCTGCACGACACCGTGTGGCCCAACGAGAGCAACCGCAAGCCCCTTTGGGTGGACTTTGTGCCTCCAGAGAAGGTCAGGGGTTGGATCGAGACGGAGGAGTCGAGTGGGCGCCGGGGACCCCGTTGGGAGGTCGTCTACGAAGATGGCCCCAACGGCGAGATCGAAGCACGTTTTGAATCGGGCAACGCCTCTTTCTCCCGCCAGGGCAACCGCCCACCTCCCGGTCCCGCCGCCAACTCCGCCGACTCCATCCCCCTCGGCCCTCGCGGCTACCGCGATGTCGGCGGTCCTCCAACAGGTCCTCGCGCCGTACGCCCAGGGTCCGGTCCTGGCCCACGCCCTCCTCCCTCCGCCCCCGGCGGCGACACCAAGCAGACCAGCGCTCAGCCCGCCGTCTACTACCAACCCGTATCCGAGGATCTCGCGCGCCGCCGCATTGAAAACATGCGCTCCTTCTATACCTCCGACCGCAACCGTGACGTCGGCCGTGAGATCAACCGGTACTCCTTCGAGAGCGGCGACAACTTCGTCGACCGTGGCAAGGAGATCTTCGAGGGTATTCGTCCGCCCCACCGCGACGGCGGCAACTTCGATCGTGACCGCCGCGGATTTGGCGGCGGCGGCGGTCGTCGTGGCCGTGGAGGTCGTGGCGGCCGTGGAAGCGGCTTCCGACCCAGAAGCGACCGCTACCTGCCCGGCCAGGGCTCCGGACGCGACGATCGCCGGTCTCGCTTCAACGACAACGACGTGGGCCGCGATTCGCCGCGAAACGACGATGACCGCGAGTCCTTCCGCAGCAGGGACACCAGGGATCGTCGATACTGAACGCAGTTACCTACCAAGTCAGGGTTGAATAAAGGGGTAATGACGTGTACATGAACAAGGCGTGTTATCAAAAAGCGCGACGAAATAAGGCGTCGTCTGCACCAGGAAAACAAAAAGGAACAGGGAGGAGTGAATACACAGCAAGTTCGAGGATCCGGTCTTGCCATCTGAACACAGAAAATGGCATTAGGCAGACCGGCGTGCATGGGGGTTTATATAAACCAAGGCGAAAACTGCATCTCACCGGTGTAGTCTGGCTGAGATGATAATACAATCATACGTATACAAGCATGGCCGTTCAGTGTTCCGGGTCTATTGAACCCGTGAATCCCCTTTAAGTGCCTTCTGATTTACCATACCAAGTTTCACAGGCATAGTCATATATGTTCAGGAGGTAATAAGTTGTTTCAAAACTCTGGTGGTATTCAATTTGTGATTTCCAGCTTCATAACTACAACGTATCCATTTGGAAAAGTTTCCAATCCTCACATTCCAAAACTCGCAGCCCTAACTAATCAATCCCCAAGACGCCAGTGTACCTCCAAACGAGTCGCTCAGGCAGAGGCGGCCAGGGGCATGGGCTCAACACCGACACGCTCTCGGCTGAGGACGTCAAGCATCAGCTGGCTGGGTCGGTTGTCCTTGTAGACGACCTGGTTGCTCTTGGCGAGCTGGACGCTCTGGAGGTACTTCTCGAAGAGGTACGAGCTGTCCATGGGGCCACCCTTGGCCTCGGGGTGGAATTGGGTGGAGAAGATGGGGCGGGTCTTGTGCAGCATGCCTGTGAACGGTGTTAGTTGTAGTCTGTAATTCAGTGACTAAACATGGAAACTTACCCTCGTTGCTGCCGTCGTTGAGGTTGACGAAGTACTCCTTGAAGTCGCTGGGGAGGGTGCTGGCATCAATGGCATAACCGTGGTTCTGGCTGGTGATGTGGCACTGGCCAGTGGTCAAGTCAAGAGCCGGGATGTTGTGAGCACGGTTTCCGTACTTGAGCTTGATGGTGCGGGCACCAACGGCGAGAGCCAGAAGCTGGTGACCCAGGCAGATACCCATGACGGGGATAGACGAAGTCTCCATCAGGCGGGCGAGGTTGTAGACAGTCTCCTGGCAATGGGTGGGGTCACCGGGGCCGTTGGAGATGAAGACACCGTCGTAGTGCTGAGCGACCTTCTGGATGGGGTAGTCGTAGGGGAAGACGGTGACGGAGGCACCTCGGCTGACCAGGCTGCGAAGGATGTTCTCCTTGACACCGCAGTCAATGAGGGCAATGTGGAGAGCAGCACCGGGGGACTCGACAACGAAGGGAGCCTTGGTGCTGACACGCTTGACCAGGTTGATCTGGCCAGGGTCGATGAAGCTCTCGTCCTCGTCTGCATCGTACTCTTCGCCGATGGTGATTCGGGCGAGCGAGGAACCCTGCTCTCGGAGGTGGGTGACAATCTCTCGAGTGTCGACGCCGGAGATGGCAGGGACGCCCTCTCGGGCGCACCACTCGCCAAGGCTCTCAACGGCGGTCCAGTGGCTGTAGTTGAGGGCGACGTCGGAGACGACAACGCCAGCGCATTGGACGTGAGGGGACTCGAAGTACTTGAGGAGGTTGTACTGGTCGCGCTCGTTGGAAGGGACGCCGTAGTTGCCAATCAGAGGTTGGGTGAAGACGAGGATCTGACCTCGGTAGGAGGGATCGGTCATCGACTCGGGGTAGCCGACGAGGGAAGTCGTGAAGACAGCCTCGCCCGAGATGTTGGCGTTGGCACCGAAGGCCTTACCCTGGAAGACGGGACCATTCTAAGATAGACTAGATTAGCTCCGAGATTCTCCCCAACCAAATTCTGGGAGAAGAAGAGCCTCTAGACTTACTCGGATGGTGAGGGTAGCAGGGAGAGAGTCAACAGGAGCGGTAGCCCGAGGGGTGGAAAACGGCATATTCCTGCCCTTGCTGCCACCAGCAAGGGCCTGCTCGGACAGGTATCGGACCTGCATGAGGTTTCGGCCAGTAGCCGACGCGGACTTGGCCGCGGGGTTGGCAATGTGACGTGCCAGTCGGGAGAACATGGTTGCGAAGTCGGGTAGGGGATTGGGTGGGTTGGTTGGTTGGTTGGTTGGTTTCAGAGAAGAGGCAGTAATCGGTTGTTCAAGAGGAGCCTTTTACAAGGACAGTGACCTCCACAAGTGGTCTGGGAGGGCAGGTTAGTCTGGGAGTCGAGGAGTCTGGAGTCACCCAACAGAATGGGAGCGGTGAGTCAGGGACCACACGAACCAGAGAGATAATCCTATACGAGGGAGAGGAAAAAAGTCAGCAACGAGTCAATTGGATTGTCGAGAGGCCGACGACGGCAAATTACGGCAGCGATGAGGGTATCGGGCAGGTTGGGAAGCCGCCAAGGCAGTTGAAGACAAGAGGCTTGGATCGTGGCAGATTGACGCGAGGCGGCGGGAGAGTTGGCGATGGTGGGGTCGTCATCTCAGCGCAGCGAGCGAGGAGGAGGACCGAGCCCAGACCAGCGGCCAACTGGGAGCAAACTGGGAGCAAACAACAGAGCAAAGGGCTGCGTACCTGAGAAGTGAAGACTGACGGGCGCCCGTTCATAAGGGCGGATTGAGAGACAAGCGCAGCTCAAGCGGAGGGGCAAGTCGAGGAATTGGGGCGGTGGGCGTTCGGATGGACGACGGGGTGAATTTCTCTAGTGAGAGTCGGCGGCAGATTGTTGATTGTTGGAGGGAAGAAAGTGAGAAGTGTATGGAGAAGCGGGCGGGAGAAAAAGAGGCCCCCCAAAAGGACGCCCAGGCCCGCCCGCGCGAGTGAGTCTGTGTCGCCTGCGCCAACGGAGCCCTGTGCCTGACAACAGCGCGTTACTCATTGGTGAAGAGCCCCGCTGGATGGGTTTTTTTTTCTTTCCCTCCCACTGTCACTCCTCTCACAGGCGAGGAGGTGCCCGCAATCGCAGCCCTTTCCCTGCTGGCCGCCCCCCTCCCTCCCGCCGTCAGTGACCACCACCACACCCACCAGCGGGGAAAAAAACCTTGCACCTTGCTATGACCCATCCCCACCTCCGATATCGTTTTTCTTCCCTTCCAACCTGGTTACGTAGTTGGCATCTGATTGCCTCCCATATCAATTCGCTAGCGGGTTTTCTTATCTGGAGCATGAGCACCAACCATTTGACTGTACGTCCTGTACTACTGTACTACGGAGTAGCTTTGGGACTATGCCGTACGCATCGGCGATTGCAGCCATTGACTCTTTTACACACGTCCTCCTCGTTCTCGCCCGTGGTCGCCTATGCAAGGGATGAATCCGTGTGAATCGGGCTCCAATAGACGTCGCCATGCATCGACACCGCCTCTCAACCAAAAACCCAGTTGCTCGCGTGCCCAGCTGAGGACCGAGCCCAGAAGGACGGACCCCTCTCTCACAAGTCGACGATGCAATCCCGGTGCCGCCGGGAGGCTGAGAATTGAAGCAGTGGAGACGGAGACCAATGCCCCGTTTCAAATGGCGTGCCTGCGCTCTTCCAGGCCGCAGGGGAACGTAAAGCTAGTTGTAGCTAGAATCCCCGACGTGCTTCTGCGAGTGATAGCGATGCAGAGAACGGATTAGGGCGGCCCATCGTGGCTCAATCCTGGGACGGAGCTCGACACGAGGATGAGTTCCCGGAAAGGCGCGCCTTCGACTGGACCCCCGGAGCTAGGCCGGGGGATGGTCTAGGGGATGGTCCAGGGGACGAGCCAGAAATGTGTCATTGCTGGGCCGACTGAATATCTGAAGGCCAGAGGGTCGAGGAGCTACTAAACCGTCCTCTTGGCTGTCAGCTAAAATCTCGACCTGGGGCCCAGTGCGTTTCGTCCATCCCACCACTAGGGCATGGCATTTCGTCATTTACCCCGCGGCTGTGCCGTGCGTGCATGGCCCCTTCAGCCTGTCTGAGACTCCGAGGCGAAAAATGCATTGTTGCATGTGCACTTCCGTCCTCAATCGACATATGCGGGTGAGAACTGAGTTGCCATTGCCAAGGCAAGCTGAGAGGAGACTGCATGTGGGTTGGGTTTGTTCAACACTCAATTCATTTCATTTCATCCGACATAACAATACCCGAGTGACGAAAGGGGGCTAATAAACGACCTCTATTTTATCCCAGCCGAGGTATTTTGAGCAAGGTAGGTAGGTATAGATATTCATGGTTGCGAAATCCCCATTTACAGTGCACCCAGCTCCTTGAGCTTGCTGACCAGGCCACCGACGTCCTCGACCTTGCCACCGCCCTGTCGGGTCGGGGGCTCTGGACAATGTCTGTTAGCCGTTGTCCACTCGCAGATATGAGAACCTCACACCCTCTCCTACATCCTCGGCAGATGTAGGAGGAAGGGGAGAAGGGGAAAACATCACTTACCCTCCACCTTGAGCACCTTGAGTCGCTTCGAGCTGTCCAATCCAAAGTCGGCCAGCTTCGCCTTCTCTATCTTCTTCTTCTTGGCCTTCATGATGTTGGGCAAGCTCGCGTACCGGGGCTCGTTGAGGCGCAGATCCGTCGTGATGATGAGGGGCAGCTTGGCCTTGACCGTTTCGACGCCGCCATCCACCTCCTTGGTCACCACCACTTCGTCGCCGGCGATGAACTCGACCTTGCTCGCCTGGGTCGCCTGTGGCCACCCTAGCAGGCCCGCCAGCATCTGGCCCGTCTGGTTGGCGTCGTCGTCGATGCTCTGCTTGCCGAGGAACACCAAGTTGCTCTTCTGCTGCTCCACAGCCTTGGACAGGAGCTTCGCTACCGTCAACGGCTCAAGGTCGTCGCCCTCCTTGACCTCCACGTGGATGCCGCGGTCGGCACCCATAGCCATGGCTGTCCTGATCACGTCCTGCGCCTTGGGGGGGCCGGCCGAGATGATGCAGATGTCCTCCACGCCACCGGGGGCGCGCTTCTGGTCGCGGATGCGCACTGACTCCTCGACGGAAAGCTCGTCAAAGGGGTTCATCGAGTGCTTGACGCCGGCCGTCTCGACGCCCGTCTGGGTCTTGTTGACTCGGGGCTTAACCTGCAGCACCACGGTGCGTTAGTGGAACAATTCTTTCCACGACCCCCAATGCAGGCTGCTCTCCAGGCTTCGTACCGCATAGTCGATAACCCGCTTCACGGGGACAAGAATCCGTAGTGCCGACATTGTGGTTGCTGCTGCTCAATGGAACAAAAGAGTTGGCGACGGAGGGGATTAAGAGCCGGCCGTCATGGGGGAAAGCTCGGGAGCGGTACCGGCTAGGCCCGGCTCCAACCTCGGCGTCGCCCCACGTGACGCCCTCGGGATCCTCAGCCCGAGTGCGATTTCGCTCCGAACTGCCGTTTGCGACCGGCATCACCTGCAAATGCGAGGAAGAACAAGCGACGGCACGGCGATTGTAATCCCGTCTGCCCCAAAATTCCCCGTTTATTTAGACACTGCGAAACCCCCGTAGAATTCCTCTTGCGCATCGCTTTCCAGGAGTTGATACAGTGCTTTTCGTAGAAACCATCACCGAGGCTCGGTCATCTTAATAAGTAGCCGACTTGCAGCCCCGGCATCTTGACACAGACGCCGAGTCCAGCCGCAAACTACTAATGCACACATATACAGTTGGAATTCGAATAAAAATGTAAATTCTACTCCAGTAGCCGAGCTAATCGCGCGACTCAGCGGGGCCGGCGAGCTTTGCTGGGGCTAGTCCACCTACAAGGCCAGGTATATACACAGGTCCTGTCCTGAGACTTAGACGTAATCACACCGAACCGACAAACATGGCTGCACTTGATTTGATGGAGAGCCTGGATGTAGATGCATGAAGAGACCTGAGATTGATATAGGGAATTGCTTACCCAAGAACCAGACTAGAACGAATGCACCGCGCTGGGATGGTAGAGCAATATACCACGCCGTGTCCAACTACAATGGTGGCCGACCTCCATCAGCACGAACCGTCCGACAAAAATACTTGGTCAAGATCAGTTAATATGGCAAGTCTTGAACAGTAACAGCAGCACATGGCTCTGCGACTGAAGTTTGTTCGATCTGTTCTAACGACATACAAGAGTTTAACCACCACATCTTTCGGCGCAACTGCATTGACGAGAAAAAAAGATCAAGGTCATTTAAGATGCTCCTCAGGTGCTCGATTTAGCTTATCTTATGGCTTTACTTTAACATGGAAGAATACTAGTCTTCGCAAGGCTTTGTGGAACAACTTTGTTGAATCCAATCCCTAATTAGTACTTTCATATTGGTGGAGCTCGATCGGGCCATTAACCTCTTGAGTTGCACTACTATCCAAGTAATGACCACCTGATACCATTTCTTGTTTATCATTAGGATGCATAGTATTACTGCATAAAGCAGGATGCCGGCTGTGGGAAATCAGCGTGTACAGAGCGTCTCACCCAGAAAAAAGTATTGGTCTGATAGGCTTGCATTGTGGTATCTTAGAGCTGTACTAGCCTTCATTCAACCGTTGGGGTCGCGTCGCCTAGATTTGGAGCCCAGGCGCCACTGAAATGATAGGTTTCGCAAGACTTACTCTCACGAACAAAGACACCCCCACCATCTCTCAACAACAAAGAACTATCATTACTACAGCTTTAGTACACTCATACCACCACAAAAAAGCCCTGAGAGTTCAAAAGGATCGATGCCTCTTCACGTTGGGCGCAACAGCAATCTGGAAGAAAGAGGACTTCATCAACGCCGAGCAGCTCGGAGGCGGGATACGACCCGACTTGGCCGTGGCTCAAATGGAAATCGACAAGGAAGTAGTCGAGACTATAATCGAAACTGCTGGCACGGCGGGCATTGAGTTCTGTCTGAATGCGGCGCCTACAACCCCCATTAATAAACGCCTCTATTAATACCTCACTTATCTACTGGTTAACGAGTCGGAAGCAGCTATCATGTCCGGCCGCCATATGGACGAGGTCAACGAAGAGACCTGGCCAATTATCGCTCAGGAATTTTTGAACCGCGGTGTTGAAAACGTGGTTATCACACTTGGTGCTAAGGGGGCATTTTACGCCAATGCAACAGCGAGCGGCCACTGTCTCACGTTTGATATCAAAGTCGAAGATACTACAGGTGCAGGGTGAGTTTCGGATTTGTCCTTCGTTCTTAGGTGCACATGTTGATTGGGACAATCAGAGATACCTTCACGGGGGCATACTCCTCTGATTACCTGTGCCAGAAGGCCAAGAGGACTTGGGACACCAGGAGCGCGGTTGTTCGCGCGATCAAAGCTGCTGCAATGACGATTCAAAGCATGGGAGCCCAGGACGGTATCCCTTGGGTGGATGAGATCGATGCTTTCGATGCCCCTCACAAAGTTTGAGATATTGTACGTCAAGTTCAATTACTGGCAGCGAGGTTTATGCAGATAATTGTGGACTGTAACATTAAGATGACCACGATGGCAGAAGTGGCCATCGAGGCGCGAGTCTTAGGGAATTTTTTTTCTATATTTGGATCTATAGCAAGACGGTTTATGGATCCTCTCGCCCTTTTTGCTCATCGATTTTCCCCTGATTGTTTTACTCCTTTCTCTTCCCCGTGCTGCATTTCAGTAGCCGACTTCCAGTAACCATTATTTGTTGTATGATAGTGTAGTAAGGAGCAGAGTGGAAGAGCAGGTAGCAGATTACATGATGGAGTTCATGGAACTACCTAACGGGCCTTTGACATTATACGAACGCAATAGCCGTACAATACCGTTATGGCCGTTTGCAACCGCCCACAACACCACTGTCCTGCCTTGCAGGTCGGCTGCCTCCGGGTCTGGTCCCTGCCTTAGGGTCATCCTCACAGTTTCCTCATCCCCTTTCTCAGCTATTAACAGCAACTCAATCCGATCAGCATCATCCTTTGAGTCAATGTTGAATCCATTCAATGCAGTTACTTGCGTAGATCTTGTACGGGACCAACTGTTTTATTGAAATGCGCGAGGATTGGATCCGCTTCAAAACAGTGTTGAGAGAAAGCATCATTCTCATTCTTCCATAAGTTCCAACGGTCAACCCAACCTTGTTCTGATGGCTCTGGAGGATCCTCTGGGGGCGTGTAGTCGAGATACTCCTTATCCCGAGACGAGCCCGGACCGGGCATTGTGAGAGAGGCAATGCGATCCCTATCTAGAAACGACCAGGTCTCTGGAGGAAGAGAAGCTCCATCAACGCGCCCTCTTCCACTTGGTGGCTGGGAAACACAACTGTCGCTCATTCGCACCGACTCTCCGAATGTGCCAGGGGTTTCTTGAGGGTTGTTTTCAACGGGTGGCACTGCAAGCAAGGACAGTGATTGTAGGTGGTTCGCGACATGGCGAACGACAAGATTGTACATGACCGTTGGCTTTCCTTCTCCATTCTCCAGGAGATCTCGTACCTCGTTGGGGATTTGTTCGCACAGGGGACAGACGAACTTGTCGCGCCAGAAGAGCTTTCTGCTCCTGGTAGACAGACAGTCAAGCTGAAGTTGAGTTGGCAGGTCTCGATTTGGATGGTTCCGGAGGTTCTGCATGTGTCTCCTCCACTGCAACTCATTCTCGAAGATTTCAGGGGAGGCGTGGTCGACATCACAGAACCAAAGCGTAGTGTGGACCTTACGCAACCAATCTTTCGAATGGGCAGATTCCATATGATCTTCCCATTCGTGACGGTGGACGAAGAACACCAGGGATTTAGAGCACTCGGGGAATAGGCAGCCGTAAGGCTTGAGATGCTCGTCAATGTGACGTCTCCAGCTGATGCGTCTCAATTCGTTCGATTCTCCGAGTTCCAGATGTATGAGGCAAAAAGGGCATTGGACCCGTGTTTCACCTTCGCACATTGTCGCTTCTAGTGGGTACTCAAAATATTCCTCTAGCGTGGCAGTGATAGTGCTGGTTGCTGTCGTGAGAACTTGTTTCGAAAGCTGCGAGCCCCCAAGGGCCGGGACCTGGGGGTCTGAGCGAGAAGCCTTCGCGATGCTGCTTGCCACCACAGTGGGATGGTGCGCTAACCCGTCTTTGAACTGATGTATTATACCAGGTAAAACCTCCAGATGTGGACTTTGGCGCTGTTTGGTAGAAGGCACATTCTCGGGCACACGTCTGACGGCTAGTCTACCCAGGTGGCGTTTATTCCGCAGAAGTATTTGGCGCCGAACAGCTATGGCATCTCCCAGTTGTTGGCATAGTCCTTTGCGGGCAGCTGGATATCTGTAGCGGACCAAGGAAGCACTGTCGCTCCGAAAGGCTCTGTCCTCGTCGGTGAGAAAGGTTGTGACCATGAGATCGAGCCGTGTTGCGGATAGTTTCCTGATCGTTGCGTCTACGAAGTGTAGGTGATCTAGCGTAGAGCGAATAGCCCGGAGGGAATTCTCCCATTTCGAGAGGAAGGCCTGCCGTGCTTTTGGATCTGACGGAGTTGGATCAAAGGAGAGGATCGACGGGTCTTCCGGCTTGCGGTCAACTAATGTGACAAACCGATATTCGTTAGCGGTCTAGTTGCAAACTTTTCACATATTTATAGTGCTTAAATAGCGGAATCAAACTTACCACACTGCAGGTTCCGTAGAATAATTTCCAACAACTCAATCACCATGGTGGACACGCCTGCCGAACCTCGCAATCTTGCGTCCAGTGATGAGTCCTTCAACGACAGCGCATCAGTGCTGTCAACCCAATTCCAGAAGCTATTGAGAATACCCAAGGAGTCACAAGAGGAATGATGTTGCCTCTCGGAAGTAGCTGATGCATCGCCGAGAAAAAATGAGTGAGTGGGAATTGATTCACTGTGTTTGGCTTGCACCCGATCGAAAGAATCGAGGCATTGGTGGGTGACGTCGAATATGGCTGTCGCGTTATCCTCTTGCGATGGGTCCATGATATCGTGGCGCTTGACTATGGATATGGTACTCGGACGAAATAAACAAGTTGAAACAGACTAGAGGCAGGCCAGCAAGGCGAATTTTGCTGGAGATGGTGTCCGAGTTATATGGAGGGTTGGTTAGAGAGTGAGAGGGGGTTCGCCACACCATAATATCGACTAGGCCAAGCAACCAATGCTCCTTTATTATCACTCCTATGCGCTTTATTGGATCAAATTACGCCCCTTATGAAACCAGACAAAGCTCTTTATCATGTATGTGCCAATGAGAGTATGTCTCTGTCTCCTATTTACCATCCCGCCATTTTCTTTCATCATTCATTGTTCATCGTTCTGGTCTAATGCACCCCTAAGTATCCAAAACCAACCAGGGCTAGAGATGTTGTTCAAGCTGCAATAATGTGCGCAATGCCGCATCTAACTCCGTTCCATACGAGTTGGTTCTACTCCTGACCATCCATCTGATTTTCCTCGTCACGGAGAGCCTTCAGGCCATGGAGAGTGCCTCCCAAGGCCACAATTCCTCCGCTGCCGTTGACGAAATTGGTCATTTGAAGAATGAGATTGAATGAGATTGCGACGCTCCGAAATGGCTTCAGACTGAACATCATCAAGCAACAGCTGATCGACATCGAGCATTTCGCCGAAGATAGTCCTATTATCAAGAAGCTGAAATTGAATTCTTAAACGCTGTTCGAAGAGCTGGAGCATATGATTGATCCTAAAATTCTTAGTCTTAAGGAGCTTGAAGTGAGTTTGAACCTAAGTCCTTTACGCACTCGGACTACTCGTTAGTTACTAACATAGCCTAAACCTGACCTCTAGGACACATTCGAGCCACCGCAAAGATCGAAGCTTTTCAGAGGACGGTCTGCCGCTTTGGGGTGGCTCTGGACAGGACTTTGGGCGACTGGAACGGGTCCTGGGATAGACGCTGGATTACGCACCTGAAGACTTGGAAGCCATTCAACACGCCCATGACTTCGTCTCTACATGCACGTCACTGTTCTTCCAAATGGCGGATAGTTAAGCTTCATCTGTCCGGTTTCAAGAAAAACCAATTGATGATGAATATTAGCACATGCCAGGAGACGGACTGGGTTCCAGCCGTGTTCACACGGTGAGTACGCACCGTCTGGTATGGGAATTTATCATGAAGAGCGATGATTGATGGAGCCATGTTGAGGGTATGAAACTAAGATTTGTAAACACCAAGTGTTGCCGTGTGCAGTTCACGAGCATCCGCAAGGCCATGCCGGCACTCCAGCCCGAGTGGGGCCGAAGCCGGATCCGAGTCCGGTGAGGCGCCGAGTCCGGTGAGGCGCCGAGTAACTTAGGCGACGGGGATGACTTGACGCGTATTTATTTGTCAGCATCCAGGGCTGTCTGGCCAGAGCCAAAAGCAAATTCACACATGGGTCGCCAGTCCAACCGCATATCATTTATACCCTGTGGTAATTGGAACCCATGTTGGTATTACTAGAACAGAAGAGGGACAACTTCTTTCTAGATCGAGACTCCCCGCCATTAGACACGCCTATACTCCAATTCTCCAACACCTACACCTAGCACCCGTCTACTCTGCCGCTCTCTCACCAATCATCCCAATCATCCGCTTGCTTCTTGGTAGCTGGCGCCGCGGTCTTGCTCTTGCCCATGCCCATGGCACTCGTCCCGATGGAGTTGTTGGCGGGCTGTCGCTGGTCCGCAAGGCTCGAGAATTCGTCCCAGAAGCTCTTCTTGGTCTCGTCCAACGGGACTGCCCTCTTGGTGGCGCCTCCTTCAGGGCCCTCGACGAACTTGTTGAATCCATCCTGTGCATTCTTGCCTGCTAGTTGAGCCTGCTTGGCCAACGTGGCTGCTGTTTGCTGGGCTTGCCTGGCAAAGTCTCCCTCGGCGAACTACGTAAGAGAGAAACATTAGTTATGGAGCAGAAGATGATGAAATGATGGGTGGCCGTACCTGTTTGGCAGTGGGTTGGATGTACCCATCATTGACAGTCTTGGCCGTCTTGGACACGGTCGAGGTGAACCAGCCGAACCCCTTGGTCAGAGCTGCCACGGGATCCTTTTGCACATCATCAAAGTTTGGCAATGCGGATTGGTTCCCTTGGCTCGGCCCTGGCGTGTTTCCAAACCCAGCGTACTTGCCTCCCTGACTAGGGTGGAGGCCATCCGGCCGCGAAGCATTGTCGGCGCCCAGTTTGGCAAAGTAGCGGTCGTCGACCTTGACCTTGCCTCCCGGCCCACCACTCTCGCCCTGGGCCGTCCCACTCAGAGGCGTGGTCGTCCGCGAAGTCGTCCTGGCGGGTGCCGGCGCGGGCTTCTTTTCCCCAGGTACGTAGTCCCGGCCCTCGACCTTGCAGCTCAGCCTCTCCTTCCACTCCTCGCCGACCTCGCCGCTGTATCGCTCCGAGATGGTCGAGTCCTCCCAGGTAATGCCCATCATCTGGGTGGCGTCGTGCGATTCGAAGAAGTTCTTCCAGCCCTCGTTACCGCCCAGTCGCATTCGTTCGATCTCGCCGGATTTGAAGGCGTCCATGGAGATGCTGCGGACGAAGGAGATGTGGACGCCGAGGCCGCGGTGGACGCCGGCGCAGGAGAGGCAGATGAAGATGCCGAACTTTGGGGATGCCCATTGCGGTGAGGGCGCATTGCAGTCGCAGCAGAGGTTGTTGTTAGACACCTTTTGCAGAGCGGCTAGCTATAGAACGGACAGAGGGTTAGCACGGGTGAGCGCAGCGCATCGCGACCCAGGAGAAGGGGCTGCGACGGGGAAGGGGAATCAAGCCTGGGCATGGCATGGGTGACGGACCTTTGACCGAGTCTCGGGGTCAACCTCCCACATGGCCTTGGAAGCCATGATGACGTATCGAATGCGATCGAGCCTACGAGTCAAGAGGAGTAATTCCGGTCTTCTCGCGCAGCGGCGTGTGGATGTTGTGCAGTAATTCGATGCCGAGTTGGCGTTTCGATAAAGTGCAGGGAGACGATGTCTAACCAGGACCAAGGTCGCCTGCCCATGCTCCGTTCGTGGGCCCGGTAAGGGGTCGGCGGGGCAATGGGGGCCAATACCGCTCGCCCACGTCTAATACACTTGCCTACCTCCTACCTTACCTTACATTCACTCCCAAACTCCCAAGCTCCCAAAGCTCCCACACATTCATTCCCTAACAGCAGCCACCCATTTTGTGCCACCCATTCGCTGTGAAACCGATTCCCTTGGCTGCAGAGGGATGCACTATGGCTCATCCGGCTGCAGCTTGCCTATGCCTTGCATTGCTTATAGCCACGTTTTTTTTTAGACGGGTGACGAGAAAGCCACATCAGACACCGCCATCTACCGCTCCTTAAATCTTGGATTACCACTGAAACTACGGCATCCTCAAACATGCACCTTCATTCACATCATCGCAATATAAGAAACTTGTACACGAGTAGTTGCTTCAAAAACGCCCGGTTAATGATTGCGCCAAGCTTTTCTCTTCCCCAGCCGCCTCCAGCTCAAGCTATTATTGTACAACCCAGCAGAAGGGTGATGGAGAAAAGGGAGATACAAATACAGAGATAAAAGGGCTTTGCGAGTTTTTTGGGCTCCGATTATGGAGATATTATGATGTCAAGAAAACAAAGTCAAGGCCGTCAGAAAACACCATCCCGAGATCTAAAGAGTTCCAACAAATGCTGGTTACGTCTTCCCGGTCCCAGGTTAGGTGCAACGCCTTTGTTCTTCTTTGATTCGTGTAGCAAGAATCTACCGTAAGAGAAATCGTCGAAATCGCATGCCATATCGTAAGTGTGTTCATTTAGGCTGGATGTCTCTCCAGGCCCATGGAACTTGCCAGCCTAATATTTAAGCGGCAGTGGTAGTGGGAGCGGCGGCAGCGGGGGCCTTGGCGGCCTCAACTACTGCAGGAGCACTGGCGGCAGGGGTGGCGGCAGCCTCCTGCTGGCCGTTGGTCTCGCCCTCGGGGGCGTTGGCCTCCTCGTCGGTCTTGTCGGGGCTGTCGATGGCCACCTTGACGGCGATCTCACGACCCTCAATCTCCTTGCCGTTCATCTCAGTAACGGCCTTCTGCTGCTGCTCCTCGGAAGCAAGGGTGACGAAGCCGAAGCCACGTCCCTTGCGAGCCTCGCCCCGAGCCTGAAGCTTCTTGATCATAAATCGAGGAATAGGTCGGAGGGCGATCTTGGCGGAAGAGGGCTCATAGGGTTGGAAGAGCTCAATAAGCTATTGTAGGAGGTTAGTTGCATACTCTTTCAAGAGCGCAGAGGGGTACGGACCTTCTCCTCGGTCAGGTCGTAAGGGAGGTTGGCGACCATGACCTTGGTCTTGGAAGGAATTCCATCAGCGGGAGGGCCACGCTCACGGCGCTCACGGGCTTCGCGCTGAGGGCGGGCAGCTTGAGTCTTTGAGGTCTTCGTGGTCTCGTCAGTGCCGATCTTGTTTGTGATGTCTGTCAAAGGTTGAACCTCAGAAGTGGCTGGTGCTGCAGCTGCAGCGGCAGCATCGTCGGTAGCAGCAACAGCCTCGACGGTCTCGCCCTCCTTCTTCTCAACAGCACCGTCCTGCGTTCGGTTAGTTTCCTTCCGTCACAAGGGTATCAAGTTAGGTGACTCACAGCACGGCCACCGCGACCAGCACGGCCAGCACGACCGCGGCCACGGCCACGACCACGTCCGGAAGCTCGGCGACGGGAGCCCTCCGTGCCAGAACCCTCACCGTTGGCACCCTCAGTCTTCTCACCAGCGGGCTCGGGCTTGCGAGCGAGCTGAACAGAGACCTTGCGCTCCAGGATCTCCTTGCCAGAGAGCTCCTCGATAGCGCGCTCAGCCTCAGTAGGAGTAGAGAGATCGACAAAGGCGTAGCCGACAGGGCGGTCGGTACGAGGGTTCTTGGGGATCGACACAGACTCACTGCACAGGGAAAGTTGGTCAGCAAATGATTCCGAGGGCGATGGAAGCGGTGGTGATGGAAGCGGTGTCGCAAGGGCGGTCAGAGCAACAGAAGTGGCCTATCAAACAAAATCCAACCCCGACAGTTATGCATGCGAGCTTTAAGGCCGTTGCAATGCTACAAGGACCCTCGGGCATCCTTGGCGATATTTCTTAAGATGCATCGTCGATAGGTAGGCGCAAAACGGACAGCGGAGTCAAGACACGTGTCTCCAGCGAACGACACCAACATGACAAGGAACAGGGGCGATGACACGGGGACCAGAACGAGAACTCGAGATGGGATGAGGAGGGAATACTCACACAAGATAGTTCTTGAAGAAGTCCTTCAACTCCCCCTCAGTTGTCGCATAGGCCAGGTTGCCGATGTAGAGGCGGCGGCCCTCAGCAGCGCTGGCCGAGGCGGCCTCGTTGGCGGCCGTCTTGTCATCGGCAGGCTTGCTGATGGAGGTATTGCTCAGAGTGTTTGCGACGTCATTAACGGCAGCATCCACGTTGGTGTTGGTGTTGGCGGCAGACATGGTGGCGGCTGGTGTGGATGATGGAGGTGGTGATTAGGTTGAGTATGACGTTCGAACTTGGACCTGTGGAGGAACGTTCGATGTGGAGGGATGCAAGTTCGAAAAGTTGAACTCTGGTGCAATAAGGAGGAGTTTGATCAGGGTAGCTTCGTGCCCTAGAAACAGGTTGGGATTAGACAGACGACGGTGCGTTGCGCGGAGACACAAGTGACTGGAGAGGTTGTGATGAAGAAGGGAAAGGGAGAGAGAGACAGGAGTCGTCGCGCGAATCTGAAATATTTTTTTCGCCTTCGCCTTTGGGGGGGAAGGAAGGGGGCGTGTTGGCGTAGTACGGTCAGGGGCGTGCAAGCGTGCGTGCGTGCAAGGTGTGAGAAATGGGAAGGAAGTTGACCAGGGCTGGGGCGCAAAGGCAGGTGCGGCGGGTGGAGGAGATGAAGGTTGCGAGTACCCAGAATGTACAGAGCGGTCAGTTGTTTTATTACGGGAGATGCAGGTATATTGAATCGCAACTACATGTATACAATACTTCATCGAGCTCCCCAGGAGCCTTTGTTGTGGATTCTCCCGTTGCTTGGTCCTGCCTGGGGGAGCTTGTTGCTGCTTTCCAGCGCCTGCCCTGGGCTGAAGTCCGGGACGCACAGGTGCCGTGAAGACAGGTCTACATTTGCAGGCGAGGAGGCGCTCGCTGCGACAGGGGCGGCGCACCTGCAGAGTCCTTATTGCGATGTACGATGTCTCGAACTGCCCAAGTTCGCGATGATGCGCGGATTCGCGCCTCGGCGGCAGCGAATTTCGCAGTTCACGTAGGTATTAGGGCCTGAGGTGTGGGTGTGCGGGCCGGCCGTGCGTGTTGTGAGTTTGCTACGTATCGGTGTATTCATGAGCAATGCGTGCGTGCCCCAAAGTGCCTGCACCCGCACCTGCACTGGGTTGCGTTGTCGAGTGATTAGGGGAGGTGGTCTCTCGATATTGGCTGGGGAAGGCACGTCATCTGCCTGGGTGCTGTCGCTCCCTAGCAGGTCACTCACTGGGGAAGGTGTTAGGCACCGTCCAGCACTATTTGGCACCATTGGAACTGGATTGGCACCCTTGTTTCGTGCCTTTTGGTGAAGATGTCACTGTTTGCTTTTGCAGCCCGTCCTGCCGGTTCATTACTACGTACTACGTAGTAGTAGATTAGATTCCTGAGGGCGCCACCAGCCAAAGAAGGGGGGCGTGAACTCGCGTGAAGGTGCGTGCATCGGCGCATCGGCGTGTGTCATCGGCGAGCAGGAATCAGGCATCACGACATCAGGATGAGCAACAAATATCTGGTTCATGCTCTGTAATGCCATTCAATACCATGTACCTGGTTGATTCATAGCCACACGCACCTGCATTGACGATTATGGATGTTTATTGTTCCTTGAGTCCCTATTGTACCTTGTATCTTCAGCATTGCCTTTTTGGGAACGAGGGGCTTGATGCCAGCGAAGCATGAACCCCCTTTGATTGCTAGGCAAGCCCCCCATCGCTGATCAATCAAGCTTCCCCATCAGCCCAGTACTTGGCCGCCCTTGACAATACAGCTCACCTGTTACACGATCTCAACGACCAGCCACGCGGATGGGAATCTAGCGTGTGTTTGGAAGCATGTCTTTCTCACTGAGCCAGCTGCCGCATGAGTCAACATCAGCCATCTTGGGCATGGCAATAGAAAACCTGATGGTGTCTGGCTCGGCACGGTTCGTTACTGACAGTCACGCCGTGAGTTGAGCATAACAAGACCAAGACTGGACAGTCAGCCGCTGGTGTGTGGCTGCTTGGACCCCCGAAATTGCCTGCTGCCCTGGATAATTTCCTGCCTGTTGAAATCTCCGGCTCACAGCACCCCTGACAAGGTCAACTATAGTCTATTCCTCACGGGGACGGAGAGGGCGATACCTCGTCGTTGGCATGGACCACTCGCGCATTTCTTTTCCATCCTGCACTCTCGACTATGTAATACATGCAACATGGCGAAAGGGGCTCGCTCCTCAATGGCAGGGCGTGTTCAACAGCAACCGCGCGCTTCCACCAATGAACCACATCTCCGGATGAAATGCCCGGCACTGACAAGCATCAAGGGCCCGCAGACGACAGCGGTGCTCCACTAGAAAACCTTCTAGAACTCGGGCTCGACTGTCAGTGCGCTGCCGGTCCCTGTTGGCACAGCTTCGCCTGCCGACCCAGCCCTGACCCGCCAGCCTGGACGGATGGCTGTGGTGCTGGCAGCAATTCGTCATTTCAATGCAGGTTGTGGTCCGGAGCTATTGAAGGCGGAATTCCCATCTGGGCGGGAGGGGCGTTTTGTACGTCGTATAGCAGAGCTACCGCAGTACAACATCGTCATGGTAATTAGGTAGATAGCTGGGCAGTGTGTAATAGTTCCAAGAGTCGGTGCAGCATCTCCGGCCCCGGAGCCTTGAGAATCCGCACCACCGGGGTGGATTGAAGAGTAAAACAGAAAAGACTTTTATGCATAGGAGATGCAAACAATGTTAAAATTAGAAACAACAGCGCATACACGATCTACATGTCAACAAGTGAATTGTTTCAGCACTTTTCCAGCCAGAATCAACGTGTTAGCTTGTACCGACACCGCCCCGATTGATAAGATCCAACCGGCCGGCTCGGCGTCCACGCTCCCCCGCCATTCACCGGGCTTCGGCCGTCGCGTCCCCTGGAACCCCCAGGAACCACTAAACTGGCGCTAAATATGGCCCAACGCCTCCATCTCGCTGCAACTTTTTTTTCATGTGTCACCGCGAGGCGAGAGCGATAGCGGACCCCGGTCCCAATTAGAAACTCCTCCCCCCATGACTTGTCTCTCGACGCTCGATCCATCCTCATCGACATGGCGGTGCAGCACAGGAATGCCCTCATCCTTTATGGCTCCGAGACGGGCAACGCCCAGGACATGGCCGAGGAGCTTGGCCGCCTCTGTCAGCGGCTGCACTTTGCCAACCGCGTCGCAGCGCTGGATGCCGTAGACCTAGTACGTCTCAAGTCCTTGTCCAGCCACGGGCTTCATGAGCCCCCGGTCACTGACGATCAGTATTCAGAATGCCCTCTTGCAGCATAGTTTTGTCGTCTTTGTGATATCCACGACTGGCCAGGGCGATATGCCTCATAATTCCCTCGTGTTCTGGAAGAGACTTTTGCGCAAGAAACTGCCTCCGGGCTGTCTATCTACACTCAAGTACACCACTTTTGGTCTGGGTGATAGTACTTATGTTAAGTATGAATACATCTATACGATCAGGCTATAGTTATCTGACTCGATATCAGATTCAACTGGGCAGCTCGTAAGCTCAATAGACGCCTTGACCAGCTCGGCGCCACCACCTTTATCGATGGCTTCGAAGCAGATGAGCAGTTCCCTGATGGGTAAGTGGGCCGTCCTCATCCGAATCGACCAGTATCCCACCCTACAGACCCTAACTATTTGCTATAGAATTGATGGAAGCTTCGTCCGCTGGGCTGAGGGCCTCTATAACCACCTCCTCCAAAACGACCCTCCACCCAATGGTTTGGAACCAATACCAGACGATGTGATCCTCCCTCCACGATGGACGTTGAAAAATGCCCTCGAAGGCACACACGTTATGAATGGGGGCGCCGATCCTATTCTGTCAGGCCCGCCGCCCGATCAACTTCTCCCAATCCCTGGCGGCTGGACCGCTACCTTGGTCGACAACGTCAGGCTCACGCCGGCCTCCCACTGGCAAGACGTCCGCCTCACCTCATTCGATATCCCTAGTCAGGACGGCCAGCAACTCCGCTGCTACCCTGGAGACTGCCTCACCATCTACCCCAAGAACTTCCCAGAGGACGCCCAGAAGCTCATCACCCTCATGGGATGGGATGACATTGCCGACAAGCCCCTCGACCTGTCCACTTGCGACTCGCTTCCTCAGGATCTATACACAAACCAAAAATGTACGCTACGGGACCTCCTCATCAACAACATCGACATTACGTCAATTCCGCGGCGCTCGTTTCTCAAAAGCATGTCATACTTCTCCACCGACCCAGACCACAAGGAGCGGCTCCTTGAGTTTACCCAGACCGAGTTCCTTGACGAGTACTTTGATTACGCTACACGGTCTCGTCGGTCGATCCTCGAGGTTCTAGAGGAGTTTACCTCAGTCAAGCTCCCGGCTGAGCGGCTGCTGGACATATTCCCTCTCATCCGCGGCCGGGACTTTAGCATCGCCAATGGCGGCGAGGAGCTGAACCATCCGTCCCAAGAGGGCGTCACCCGGATCGAACTGCTCGTTGCACTCGTCAAATATAGAACCATTCTTCGCAAACCCCGCCAGGGCCTCTGCTCTCGCTATCTCGATAACCTCCCCCAGGCTTCAACCCTTCGCGTCACCCATAAGCCTGTCCTTACCCCCATCCACGGCATGCAGAACGCTCAACGGCCTCTTACCGCCATTGCTACAGGCACTGGCCTCGCGCCTATCCGAGCCCTCATCCAAGAGCGCCGCACACACCCCTCCCCAGCGCCGTCGCTCCTATTCTTCGGCAACCGCAACCGCGACGCCGACTACTTCTTCAGCGCCGAGTGGGACGCGGCAGTGCAAGACGGGAACCTCGACGTCTTCCTCGCCTTCTCCCGCGACCAGCGCAACAAGATTTACGTGCAGGACCTGCTGCGTCAAGAGTCGAAGCGCCTTGAGGGCATCATCTTCCAAAACGGCATCTTCTCCGTCTGTGGTGGCTCGACGAAGATGGCAGATGCGGCGAAGAGGGCCGTATTTGATCCTTTTACCGACGGGGCCGAGAATGAGGATGAGCGAAAGAAGGTATTGTCTTCGTTGACATGGTGGCAGGAGATTTGGTAGTCTGTTCCTGGGATCAACGAATATGTGATATCTAGATTTAAATTTATAGACCCAAGAGATGCATGTTGCAAATAAGAATCTTAGCCGAAATGGATCTCAAGAACATCTCTGCCCATGATCATACAGTTCTTAGATATAATTTGTAAGAGTATTGCTATTCGCACACGTTCAAAATGCTAATCGCACACAAGTACAACCTTTTACGCCTAAACTTAGATAGTGCAAGATATACCTAGACTGCACGCCCGCCTCATGGTATCTTATTCTGAAGAGTCTCCAGATTCTACCCTAAAATAAATTAAAATATAAAATTTAAATAGCAGAATTTAGACAATAAATACTAAAAATAAAGCATATTTAATTTTTTTAGGTTTAATATACTAATAGGTATATTATTAAGATTTAGTGAAATTGGCCTACGTACTTAAGTATGCGAGTAGTATTTTAAGTGTGTGCGAATAGCAATACTCTTTGTTAAAGGGGCTGGGCATATATACCACAATCCATACAAGCTTGGTGTGGGCATCCATGCTTTTGCCGATGTGTTTAGGCGGAATCATCGGAGGTATAGGTAGATAAATGCAGGCTTTCTAATTTTCGTTTATGATACATACAACGAGACGCTCATGGGCCATGAAGGCGTTTTAAGTGGCTCATCTGAACAAAGTAAATACATTTGACAACACATTTCATGTCTTCCTGAACCCGAAATCATCCAAATTTACCTCTACCCAAGACATCAATGCCACGCTTTGAATCAATCCTAACCTTGCTCGCCAGCCCTGCCGTTACTCCTGTGTCCGGGTATATGAAGATATGAGATGGGGCGCGACGAATGAATCGCCGTGCTAATGATAGTGTCGTGTAAGGTGAGACGAAGCGCAAGTATCATCGCTCCTCTTCCCAGCTATACCGCTTCTCCGCCATTTGCGGCACGTGAATCAGCTCCGTACTTGGATTGATGCGGTGATGGCTCCCTGGGGTATCCGGTTGGGACATGCTTCGCGAGTGTCCCCTCGGCGAGCCTGTTCCAGGAAGCCGAATGTCGTCCGGGCGGTTTGATCGTAGTTGGCCTGGTCTGCTTTGAACCGGTGACCCTTGCAATCGTGAAGCGAAGCGCACCGCCTCTTCCATTGTGAAATTGCTTCCCAGAGTGTCGTAAGTATTCTGTTCATTCTGCCCATTCGGGGTGGCGTCAATGGAGTCGGTTCGGGTCCTCATCTCCTGGGCGGAATGGGGTCGGGGTTCCCGCGTGGTCCCTGGTATTGGACCCAAATAGACGATCTTGGACAGGTCGATGGGGGTTCTCTGGGCAACTACAGGGGGGCGTGCTAGGGCTGAAGCTAGGGAAGCTTCATGGTCAGAATTGGATCTCCTCGGACCATCAACCTCCTCAAAGCTACTTAAAGATGGTGATAGGAAGGGAGAGCCCGGCGCCGAGTTGCTTCCGGAATTGTAGGTGGAAGAGATGGCGAAGTTGACCGTTAAGGGTGAAGGAATATCGGCAAGTCGGCCGCTCAGGTCATGCCGAGGAGTCATGGGCGAGGGTAATGACAAAGGCATGGAGTTTGAATTCGAACTACCACCTCCTGGTGAGCTTGGAGGCGAAGACAGTGATAGCTGTAAGGTAGGCGGAGGGCGTTTTGGTTGAGTAGGTTCATAGATAGCCTTCTCGGGAGGAGGCAAAATACCATCAGCAGGAGGTGAATACGCAGGGACGGGTCCTTGGAGCTGGTGATCCATCTTCCGCCTTGCCGCTTGATATGCGGTCAGTTGGTGAGAATTCTCAGTGCCCAGCTCGGTGTCGCCATTCCAAGAAGCTGTGTCATCTCCATCGAGTTCCGCCGGAGGGATAGGGGCCGGCAGTTCGTATATTTGGGAGTTGGGCGCCTCGGATGGTTGTTGTTTGTCGTTCCCGGTCTGGAGGCCTGGTTTTGGTGACTTCTTTCGGCGGCTGATCTTAGAGAGAAGTCGATAGAGTGGGCTTTTGGGCGCATCTGAGATAACGATCGATGCCGAGCTCTTTTTCTCATCCATCGAAGACCCAGCCCTTTCGTAGTTACGCTTCTGCCGGTGTCGTTTACAAAGCCATACAGCGAGGGCAACCAAGGCAGTGAGAAGCACACCAGCTCCAACTCCAATCCCTGCCTGTTGGGCCTTAGAGAGCTGCCCTTTGCTCGATGTGGCAGGCGGCGGATAAGGGCTGTTATCTGGCTGGGGGATGGCGGCCAACTCGATTTCCTGAGACGAGTTGGGGAATTTCGTCTGGTGAATCGAGAAAACGGATTCGTCGTATTTTGTAATGAGGTAGGACTCTTGAAGAAATGATCTGCCAAGAATGAACGTGGAGCTGTTGCTTGCTCTGCGGAGCATGAAATAAGGGATAGACGGCTCGCCGTATGCAATCGTCCGGTTCATAAATGGGTACTGCAGCACGCTGGTAAAAGCTCTCGAGGGCAGCGTAATGTTGACGATGCCAGAGAGATCATACGGATCCCCGAAGTTATCGTTGTTGTCGAAGCTAGACAGGACGAAGGTGAAGGAAAATGAGTCTTCATCTTTGTAAGTGGCATACTGCTCATCGGTAAGCGTGTATAGGTCGAAGGTGCTGTTGTATGTCAAGTTGAACGCGTCCGCAAATCTGTCGCAAACCTCCTCGGGCAGCCAGAGGTATGGTGTGGTGCTGTCGATGATGGCGTTGAAGGACGAGTTCCAACTCGACAACATGATACGCCGCGAGTCCCAGTTCCCAGGCGTGTCTTGATCCTCATCGACTGTTACCTCGATTCCGCGAATGAGAGGAGTCACGATCCCATCGTCCCGATTTAGGGTGAAATCAGTATTGTGGTTCACGAATCGCGCTTCGTCATAGCCACCGAGTGTCAACGATACGGGTGCATTCCCTATAATGGTGAGCATCAGCCGATGTGTGGTTTGGGAGGGAGGAGAAAATGACTCGACTTACGGTAGTGAGCACCAGCAGTGAAGCCGAAGCTGTAACTGGGGATCCACCCGAACTCCTTCACGGCTTGTGTTAAAGGGGATTCTGCGACTGTGCCTCCAAAGTTGCCTTGCGTAATGCCCAGCCCGAAGAGCCCATTCAAGTAGTCTGTCGTATTGAGCGTCGCAATAAGCACGTCAGACATGTGGAAGCCGTCGCCGCCGATGGTGATGATATCTTGGCCATATTCACCGTTCCCCCCATACCCCAGATAATTGAGTCCAAGTTGCCAGATGCCCAATGGAGACCATCGGTTGGATTCCGCTGGTGTGAAGACGCCACCGCGAGCCGAGATGCAATGAAGTTCATCTGTGTCACATTCACATTAGCACCCCGTATGACGGCATGGGAGCACGACATGACGGGCGAGCATTTCGCCCAGTCAGGTGTGTGAGTGCGATGGGCACTTACTGGGAAGGCATCCTCCCGATCCGACAGCCCAGAATTCAGAGAGAGATGTGCTCACTAGGACATCAAGCTCTTGCGCGTTGGAACCCACATAAAAGGTCACTGTGGACCAGTTTCCATCAATTCCCTTCCTACGCTGGGGTTAGACGACCGGACAGCAAAGGATAAAGCGAGAAACCTGCCATATACTAGATGGTATTGAGACTGGGGCGGGATTGCGACCGTGGGCGAAGCCTGCCAAAGCGACCGCAGTCGCAAAAATGGTTGCCCACATGTCGTTCGTTGGTGTCGAATGTCCAAAATGTAGAGGCGCTGTCACCGATGTCGTTGGCCAGGCGCCTTTTCAATCATGAAGCGTCCAGCGCCGGCTTCGGCTTCTCTTCGTGTCGGACGTCCGAGGGGCAAGCGGGAGAGCAGTTTGGTTGCCGGATGTACGTCGATCGTCGCCTGTGAGCCCATCAAGCCCGACGGGAGGGGATTGCCCTCGGTATGGCCTGCCAACCGAGCAGTTCGTGGAGTGAGAGGCGGGAAGGATTCGCAGATGAGATTCGCAGGTAGAGCCGCGAAGGAGACAGGCTGGAGGTGGTTAATTAGTACGTAGTAAAGAAAAGAAGCCAAGTCCACAAGAGAGACGCGAGACACGCACATATGCGGAACTACCGAAGCAGGACGGATACGAAGTGTTGCTCCTTTCCCCTGGCCTGTGCGGACCTCTCAACCTTAGCGTACTTGGGGCCGCGGGGAGTGGGCTCAGGCGCAGAGATGGTCAAAGAGCGTGCCTGTGTGAGAGTAAATTTACGATAGTCTGATTCTCAGACGGCGAACGTCCGGTGTCACGCGTCGCAGGGATGCCGGGACGTCAACCGGAAGCAGGAACCTTGCCAGATGGAAACCCAAGATGGGTGGCGAGAGGGCGAGCGAAGAACATTTCTCATCCTGAACTGGGGACCGCAGCTTGGCAGTTCTGGAGATGGTTAGGATGGTTAGGATGGTTGACCAGGGGTGACCTCTCCGACAGCCAGTTTCTCCTGCATCAGCGGCCCCACGCGGCCACCTAAATCCAACTTGAACCAGGCTCTAGGGTCTCGACTCGCCTCACTGGTCCCGCCCGAGAGAGGTGCTGCTTGTTTCAGAGACAAGAGCCACATTAACTGATGGATGTATCGCCAATCGGAGGAGCCTCTTCAGCGTCGATGCCGGACTTTGTTAAGCCAGCCAACTCCAAAGCCACCAATCCTTTTGCTCCTGTACTGAGAGGCATGAGAGATGAAATGTTTACCTCGCGTAAGAAGCACAGAGAGGCCATGAGGCAGCCAGTAGCTTAGATCTGCGTCGGGATTGAGACCGGTCTAGCCCTATCAAATCATGTTTAGCCAAGGGCTCCGTTCGAGACCGTGCTAAGTGATGAGAAAGATTGTAATCGCCCGTGTATGCTTTTGCGGAAAAACTAGGTCTCGCATATACCGAGCTCGCTAGATGAGATCCACCAAGAAGAGGTGAGAAAACAACATGGGAGGATGCAATCCACGCCTATCCGGCCAAAGCCCCGAAGGTCTTGTGTCGACCTGCCTACGTGGGATTGGCGGGGTTGTGAGCATTCCGGCTTTTTGGTCCATGGCAACACCTTGACTTTCCTCTACTTCCGCCAGCTTGCATGTGAAATGTTGACATTGGCTTTTGTTGGTATTTGTTGGCATTTGTTGGCAATAAGATCAACGTCGCATTCCGTTCTGGCCTGGCTGTTCAGTCAGCATCATCTATCTCGAGCCAGGTGATCACGCGGCAGTGAACAGACAAGATCTGACCAGTTCCACTTAGTGCGCGGGTCCTGGCACTCGAGGCATCAAAGCAGCCATGCCCGTCGCCCACGATAAAAGGCGCCCCTCCATTTAACGTTGCAGTGGCTGGAGTGACCCTACCAATGCGTCAGGCGTCCTCAGCAAATGCATACTATGATTGGCTCTGTGATGGACGGTAGCATCTTATTGCCTGCAGTTGGGCGACCCCCGGTTAGTGTCCGGCAAAGAGTCCAGGGGAAGTAGGGTTACCAGCAGATCGAGTCAGTCAATGCATTGATAGAGGAATTGGCCCCCAATCTATCAGACCATGACCCAGCGTCTGGGTCTCAACGCCAACTCAGAAGCCCAGCCCCGCAAGTCATGGACTACTATGGCGAGGAGGAAACTGACGGCAGCCGAGGTTCTCGAATAGTCAAGGCCCTGGCTCAATGAAATGAGATCATAGGAAACTTTAGCGGCGACAAGCTTGCCGACTTAGTTCAGCCATGGCCGCTGCGGTGGAGCCCCATTCCCCATCATGACTTGCAGGTACCAGCAGTTCCAGCCTTTTGAGGCAGATCAGCCGGGCAGGACAGAATAGTTAATAGGTTGAGATGTCCCCGAGCTGGCAATGCTGGCGTCGTGCAGTCGAAGGATCTTGCACCCCTGTTGAGTGCTGCTGAGTGCGGCTACTATCCCGTACGGGCATGGACAGCGAAACCTGTTCAGGACAATTCGTTCCCAGCAGACTCGACCAGCGGAGCAGCGTCGAAAAACCTGCATCTCCACCACACTGTCAACCGTAGCTTCACCATCAGACTGCGCTAACAAACCGATGATAATTTGAGATACCTGCTTTAATGTTCTCACTCGAGTAGTGGCTGGGGTTGGGAACAGGAATTGCTAATCTCATTTCAACTGCCGGTCTGGGTCCGATGGCCGTGCGAACATTTGCAAAGACATCATAGCACTCCGTAAGCAAGTGCCGGATGTGAGCCTCAGCCCAGCTGCTGTGGATGGTCCCTGGAATGTTTGGTCAGGCGCCTCGAGTCTCAATTTCTGACCCATGTGCTGCAGCCACAGATCCAGGTCTCGAGAGATGGGGAGCTGACTGCGGACCGACGAGCCAAGTACGAACCTTGATTTGCTAGACGGCTATGAGCTGCGTAGGTAGAGTTGGTGTAGTGACTTTCATAACTCCAAAAGACTGGTCGGGGCGCCGGCCGCCAAAAGTGATCGCCATCCAGAGGGTTGTGCATGTTCCGCCCATTACTATTTCGGCCGAGGTCAAGGTCAGTAGCGAAGCCACTGAAAGAGAGACTCGCACCAGGCAACACGGGGCGTCTTGGTCAATGTCTCCGGAGCAAGTGCCAAAGTGCCGTCGTTAACCAGTGCTGGAACACGTCGAGCATCCAAGATCCTCCATCGGCCATGCCGCCTGTCCCTTGCTCCCGCCCTGCTGCGGACCGTCAGCCCCCTTCTCTGTTCATGCGCTGGAGTGGCCGTTGGCGCCCCTTGTCCATCGGGCTCGGCCATCGGCGGCGCACGCCACCGTCGTCGGTGAGCTCATGGTGGAAGACAAGGCCCCGAACTAGGCCCCCTGGCTTGCGACCAGGGACAGAGGCCCACTCCGTAGCATCTGCTCAAATGAAGGCGCCGCAACAGGCAAGCCCCGGCACGTCGATGCTGGGATTCCCCTCCCCAACGGCCAGTTGTGTGGGAAAGCCTGCAGGCTGCCTGTTCTGAGTTGGTGCCATTGTTCTGATTTGACCCCCATGCCCATGTCGCAATGCATTGCTTCTCCGTCGGCCCTGTGTCGGTTCATCTGCTATGCTCCCGCAGCCTCTTTTGACTTCCATCTGTCATTTCCCAGTCAATCGCTCGGGCGTCAGTCACAGCGCTCAGACGTCGTCTGGACATTGCAAACAGTGCTGATGCCGCCGTGGTTTTTCCTCCTCACTCCATCGACGCGATTTCGAGGCCCCGCCCCTCGACCCATGTGCTCATGAGGGTTCAGGCAATTGATTCAGCATGCAGCTTCACACTGCCGGGCTGCTGTTGATCGCAGCATTGGCTCAGTCGACGTCCGGTGCTGTGTTATGGGGTAAGTTTGACTGGTTGAGCTTTAGTTACGACCGTGTCCATTGCTAAACTCTACGCAAGAGATCCTAAACCGGCGAGCTCCAGAGCACCTTCCGCCAAATGCCACCACCATTGCGACTCCTGCAGAAGGCGCAACCCATTCGCTTACAGCGTCGATGCACAGACAAGACGGGAGCTCAATTTCATCCACTTCATCCTCCTTAACCTTAACCTCTATCTCCATCAACGAGACATCCTCCTCCCCACCCGTGTCCAATCAACCCGAGCAGTCGTCTTCGTCGATTGCGACCTCCGATCCGATTTCAACGGCGGCCGCCGTCAATCATGACACCAGCCTCGCATTTTCGCGCTCTCAAGCCGATCCTCCATCCTCCAGCTCCTTATCAACATCTCTCGATTCCCTCACGGCGTCGCTTGCCATACCAGATTCCCAATTCGCGACCACCTCCACGACGATCAATTCCACATTGACAGAAGAAGAAAACGGCCGCACGATATCCGCAAATCAAGAACGCCCCCCATCAACCACAGTCCTAGGCACTACCCCACGAGCCAACACCACCAGAGAGGTCGATTCGACAATAATTCCTTCCCACAATGGTTCAATATCATCGACAACCCCCTCGTGGAATGGCACTCAATCTTATTATTCAACGACTAGGCCAACAACCTCTGGACCGCAATCCGACACGTGCACAGATCTCCAAGGGGATGAGCCTGTCACGGTGTATTCCATCGTGTTCACAGCTACCGTAACCATCTATGGGAACCGCAGTGATTACACGCCGCCTTACCCAACTATCGAGACCCCAAACTATTGTGGCACCGCTTCTTCAGCCCCTCCCCTAGCCACTCGCACGAACGAACCGTTTATCTCGAGCATGGGCGGATTTATCACAGCCACAAAGGAACCTCCTCTACCTCTGCCGACTTGTTCCGGCCCGTCTCAGTCAGATTGCTTTGCCGCTGCTAAACCTGGTGATTCGGAGTCGAGCGACGTTGAAAAGGGCAAGCATGGAGGCCAAACCCAGTCATCGCGAAGAGTGACAGTCACGTTTATCACAACTGACAAAAACCCTTCTGCTGTTTTTCCCTCGGATCCAGTCCCTAGGTTTGGCCAGTCTGGGAACGTCCCGGGCATTACAGCTCAGCAACACAAAAGCGCGCCAGCAACCGGTGACGGCCAGGACGATCCTCAAGACGATCATAAGGAGGCGTCGCAAGACAACGCTCACGGCGGCCCTCAGAGTCTGGAGCAGGAACCACAGACGACCTTTGTCATCACGGCAAAGGCTGGAGATGTTATCATCAATGGTGAGACGTTTTCTAGCCTACAACCGGACCAGACAACAACAGTAACTGTTAGCCGTGGAATTTTCACCATCTACCCTACCGCTGTAGTTGGTGAGGGAGCAACGGTGGAGAAGCCACAACCGGTCGGAACAGCCGTCACCGCCTTAACACCAACGACTGGTAGCGCCGGGGGGCTTTCTGTAACTGTGTCAGGGTCAGATGTGGTCGTCGACGGTACCAGAATGGAAATCCCCCCCTTGGGCACGACAACTACAGTGAGCGGCGAGGCGGTGTCGATTGGCCCCGGAAAAGTTGTGGTCGATGGTGATACGATCACATTCCGCGCTGTTGGTGGCTACCAAACTGATGTTGTCGTCACGGGGGGTGAAATGTTTACTGCCGTTGGACAATCTATCTTCGTCTTCCACTCCACCACCTTGACATACGGCCCAGGGATACCGGAGGCATCCGAGGTTGTGGATGACGATACAATTACGATTGGCCCCTCTGGCGTAATTGTAGACGGCACAACAATAGGGGGCACTTCAGCAGATGCGACTGATACTACGTATGAGATTGTTGGAGGGGCTACAATTACCAAGGTCAGTCCTTCGTTTGCAATTATCGACGGCACAACCTTTACGATTGGGCCAAAAGCAAGCAAGGTGACCAAAGTCATTGGAGGAGAAACTATCACGATCGGACCAAGTGGTGTGGTCATCTCGACGATGACGCTAAACTACCCGTTCGGTTCGTCGGTTGTAACGACCATTGAGGCATCCGCGACGGGATCAGATACGGTACCCGTTGAGACGGAGAGGTCGAAAATGGGGAATGACGGTGATGAAGGTAATGCAGGTTATTTGCTTCAGCCAAGCCTAGCAGCAGGGATGACTGGGTTATGCATAGCGATTGGCGTTTGGCTTTGGCTTTAATAGGCAACAAAAGGGACAGAGAAGCGTTCTCTGGGGTTTATTGGTTTGGGACACACTACGGGGGCTGTCGTCTCTGGTCGGACCTGGGTTAGCAATATCATGATACCACACGGAGTTTTATTTGGATACAAGGGGAATGAATGGCGGCTGCAGGGTACACGAAGCATGCCACATCATCATTGCAGTTTACAATAGCATAAAATGCCAGCTTGGCAAATTATCATACAAGTCTTTTGATGACTGTGACAAACCAATGGCACTAATGCCATCCCAAGACATCAATTGTTAAATAATGGGACCGATGGATACCTAAGCCAGATACGAGCAAAGCAAAAAAAGACATTTAGTGTACAGTCCATTGTCATCCTCCTCCTAACGCTTGTCATCCTGCATCTCGTATTCTCAGCTTACCCTGATCCCCTTTTTCGACTGGTCAGTCCAGGAGCTCAGCTCAGCTCCGGCAGATTTCCGGTCAGCTGTAACTCGCGAGGCATATTTTTTGCGGGAGGCGGGTAATGATCAGCGCAGGTGCATGTCCACGTAAAGGGGCTAAGGATCATCTGCATACCAACCTCGGAGTCCTGGCAAATGTCATGAGCTTGAGCAGCCAACAATACGTAGGTGTGCTGCTTTCTGTTGCAAGTTTATAGCATCGGTACCATTGCTGTCTCGTATAATTCCCCGTTGCGATTGCTGTTACCACCTGAAATCCAGGGTGCTGGCGTAACGTAGGGCTAGACATTGTTCTCCTTACATCCTTCAAATCTCCAATCTCTCCATAGTATTCGATACCTACCAAATTACTACAGCTACTATTTGATGCCAATGGCATTATCTCACATCTTCATGCCGTTTCTTACCCTTGGTCACTGAGTCCTTCCACAACGCCAGAAAGAGTTACAAATCATTGTAAACATAGAGGTCATCCAAATTCCGTACAAGACAAGTCAAAACCGTCCATTCCACCACCATTCCAGAACTGCAGTAGTGTGGCTTCATATTAATCATGGAACGGTGGCCTTTATGACTTGTCTCAAGGCTCATGCGGCCTTCCACATCAGAGACGAGAACAGCGAGACAGGGACACCCCTCCCGAAGCTCAACATAGAGAATACGCAGCTTCGTCTTGAGTACATCTGTAGTCACATGCATAAGTTCATGGTGGATGACATCTCCATGAGCTGTGGCACTCGCGGACTATTCGGGGATGACATTCACAGCGAGGATGATCCTTGACACACAGAACAAGATCGTAAAAGAAGAATGCAAAAAGAAATGGCATAAAGACATACAACAGCGAGGATTCCCCGGTCGTCACCGACCCGAGTACTAATTCGCCGCTTCTCAGCTTGACTAAGGGAGAGCGGACGGGATCCCGTATTTTCTAAGAGCTATGGTCGTATGTGCTTGGATCATCGAGTTGACCAGATTATAGCGTGCCGGAGAGGATCTCGTCAAAGCCATTTTTGATCACATTTATCGAATCCCGAAGTGCCCAATATGAAACCATCTAGCTAATCCTCAGATGATTCCTCTCAAAACATTCTTATTCTTTGGGGAATGGCCGAGGAATTTGTAGTCTGGACATGGTGTTACATGTCGCCAAAGGGCCCCCAATTGGGAAAGCAACCACGCCAGTACATAGCTTCTCATTTCTGTTGTTCTGTCGGACAATTCGATTGCATTGCCAAACTTATGCACAGCTGGTATGGTTGTATTGAATCGCTCTCCAGCGGGTCTAGTTTGTTTAGTGAAATTATCAGAATGCGCTGTGGGTCGGCATTAGATGATTCGGGGACCCAATTGTATGTACTAGCGATTTGCACTTACCAAATTACTATCTTGAAGGTAGGATCGGCCTGGTTGGTTTCACAGGTCACATATGCATACTCGTTCAGCTTAAGACGCTCTTCCATTTTGGCGTGGGAGTTAATAGCCATGGCCTAGCTATTTAACTACACCGGGTTATTGGCCTTCTGCGCCATCAGTCTTGCTACTTTCTGAGTACCACGCCGATCCAATGCTAGTCGATACACTTGAGATCCTTGGGATCTTTGGCAATGGTGAAGTCAAGGTTCTCAAGGACCTGTTTGCTGAGTGCCTAGTCATACCAACAGGTGCCGCTTATACAAGTTAGTCGAGACTATTATAGGCGCACAGGCTAAGTGGGCTTACAAGTTTACCTACCGTCTCTTACCATTTAATGGTGTTGTTGTTGAACCCAGGGCCGCGGGTCATGCCTGGTCTGTCTTGCCTAGATATGGTAGAGGGCCATTGCATTTAGTCACAAATGACTTATAGACTGCACTCGCGAGGCAAGAAACTGCCGCACGCCATGTTGTCGGCTTGCATACTCCGTCTCTCACGATAATCTTCCCAATGCTCACTATAGTGCTGGGTGTGTAGCTGTTATGCTAAAGATTTGTTAAGAACATCCAAGCCTCAAAACTTAACGCTTGGGGGGAATGTCGCCATAACTTCACAAGGCATCCAGGGGCTTTTCTTAGAGCTAGTTTATCGACTCGATCAATAATCTATTCGCAGTGTTGAACAACAAATGATAGCTAAAACTGTTGAGGCTGCCTATAAGGGCATTGTGGAAGGGAACATGCTCATTTGCACAGCCCAAGGAGGCACCGGGCTACTTTGAAGCTTAAATCAACTAAAATAAACACAACGCAATTCACACGAGTATAGGAATTCACGAGCATAGGAAGCAAAGCCTCCTAGGCACACATCACCACCTTTGCACTCCCTTCCCTTTGCCAACGCCCTCCGTCTCTAGTGGGGGGAACTCGTCCTGTGGACCGTCCAGGCCAATGTCCGACGCCGAGGGACCTTGGTCTGCCATGCTGAGCTTCAGAGCGAGTTCAAGGTCGTCGTCGTATTGTCCGATGAGAGTCGACGATCCAGCAATGGGAGCTTGTTGGGCACGTGGCGAGCCCGACCCAGAATTCTTGTTCTTCTTGCTAGGTTTGGTCTTGTACGTGACAGCAAACTCATATTCGCCAGAGCTGTTGCCCCGAGGAGACTGGAAACTGTCGGTTTCATTGACACCTTCCATGAGAGAGAGTCGAATAGCCTGTTGAATCTGCTGCTCATAATCATCTTCAGCTTCCGTAGGCGGGGCAACATCTGCAGTAGTGCTTGTCGGGGGCGTCGTGTCTGCGACACTTGGCTCAGGCGTGAGGGTATCAACCGTTGTTCCGCTAAACGTAGACGCCGTGTCCAGGCTAGCATCAGCAGCCGAGTCACTCGTTCGGCGCTGCTCGTCGAGGAAGGTCTCTTCAGAAACCATCTGCGCGTACCGAATGGCTTCTTCTTCCGTCAAATCGCCGAGAGCTCCCACTCCAAACCGACTACGCAGACGAGCTTGTTCACGGGCCATGTGCTCTTCCTCGTGCCGAAGTTCGGCTTCCTCCGCAGCAATGTAATCCGAGACATCGCCACCCTGGCGACGACTCGCCAGTCGGCCGTGAATGTCAGAATGCTTTAGGCGGCGCTTGCGTCCCGTTGAGTGGCTCGTAGAGCTATACGCCCAATACCGCAAGAACGCGCCAAAGGAAACGACACCACGTAAGACAGTCGAATCAGAGTCAAGATAGATTGCGCCGACCGCAGCGTAGGTATCCTCGTCAAGACCAGGATTCATCGTTGTCATGTGCCGAGGCACTCGACCGTTGGATCGAGCATTAACTGTTCGAATAGGATCCAGGGTTGAGGCGAGAGGGTCCCAAGCTTGGACAAGACCATCGCTTCCGCCATGGACAAGGTACAAGCCGGTGAGCGCTAGGCAAGAGACTTCTGGTGACTCTGTCTGTATGTACCGTTGTGGGTTGATACCAGTGTCTTTTGTTTCTGAGCGGCCGTTCCAGACGAGAACAGCACCGTTGTCGGTTCCAACAGCGAGAAGTCGAGATCTGCGACCGGGGATTTCTTCCTCGACTGCGAAGAGCGGGTCCTCTACCAGCGTCAGCAGAGCATTGGAGGAGGAATCCAATGCGCTACTGGTGATAGCAGCAAAATCTTGGCCTTTGAGCCCCATGGTGCAACTATCCCACTCGTGGAGAGGGGCCAAGACATCCGAGGATGGCGTTGCTGTGGGGGGCCATGGCTCAGGCGGCGACAGCTCGGGAGCCTTAATGATCTTGGGATCCTCAACAGAGGTAGTGTCAACGGATCCGAAGAGGGATGGCCCAGGTTGAGGCGGCGATGGCGTATCGACCAGGACGGCTTGAGCTTGCTCCTGAGGTACAAGAGTTCGTGAGTACCGCTGGACACGGGCAGGGCGGTCTTCAACAAGCCCACAGTCAATTACAAAGATGTTCTCCCCAGCACCGTTGCCGTCGTCGCTGGCGAAATCCACCTCCAGCCTGCGCAGCATATCCCATCCGTCGCAAACTCGTCTAAAGTGAGCCGGCTTGTGGCGCAAGAACTTCTCGATCTCTCGAGCCTCAGCGACCATTTGGCTTTTGCTCAGATTCATAGAATTCGAGGGGGATCGAGGCGAGTATGCACCTCTGATTACGTTCTTGTCCAAATCGTCTGGGCGTGCAACACGTCGAGTCGATTCTAAGAGGTGCCAGTAGACTGAGCGGCCAGCATACCACGCATTCTTAGTGATGTCTTCACCCTTGTGACGAGTGTGCGAGCTGGCAGGAACCTCGGTCAAGTAGTAAACTTCACCGAGGGCATTTAAGGCCACTGCCCAAACGCGGGCCGCAGACCTTCGCTTCTGGCTGTAGTTTTCATCAACTTTAAGAGCAATGATGGGCACACCCGGGCTCAGGACCCATCGAGCAGTGATTTCTCCAGTTGAGTGTCGTGGACTATTCGAGTCACACACGATGGCATACGATGTGACTATACCAAGGGTAGAGCCAGTGAGCATGCCTACCATCGACTGGGTGTTCAATGGCACAGCAGATGACTTGGCAAGCCAAGCACTACAAATTGCCTCTGACATCTCGGGGATCTTCGGTATGTCAGGATAGGTATCGACGACGCCCGTGTCCGCATCCAGATAGCGTCCACGGTTCTCTTGGACGGGTCGATAATAGGCTCGGCCGCCTGGGAACCCTTCGCCGGCAAGAATGCCGTATGGTTGGCTTACATCCATGACATTGGGTGTGGCAGCAGGACCCTCGCCAAGCCCATACGGCACGAGGCCAGGGAAGACCTCATCCAATTGCATGGAAGAAAATGGGTCCGTGAGGCCCCATTTCTCAATCTTTCCGCTCGTAGGATCGCTGATGGTTCCAGCACCAAGATCGGATGCGCCGTGAATGGCTCTCGGCGGCTTATTCCCGTTCGAGAAGACGGCGTGGATGTTGGTCACGGCCCAAGGCAGTTTGGAATTGTACGTCAAAACTGCGCTGAGTTTCTTCCCACCTCGGACGGATGACCCAACAATCCCAGACGATCCGGGCTTTCCACGAGCCAGACTCCGGAGCAGGCGGGTTCTGAGCAAATACTCTTTTCTCCACGACGCAAGGGGTGTGAGACGAGAAAAGTAGCGAGCTTCGGACCGAACAAAATCGGACGATGCGTCGGCCCACAGGTCTGTATTTATCTTGGTTTCCAGGGCCTCGTGTCCTGGGAAGTATCGCAGGAAGGCCATTCTCCACGCATGGGAGCTGGTTATCAGCGCGTAGAAGCGCTTCGATACCAGGGCGATCGCGGCATGGGAGTCGGAGTGGAGGTGCGACAGAATCTGTGTCAGAATCTCTGCAGATATCGATCAGTATCTAGTGGAGGGGCGTGGAGACCACTTCAACGCACCATTGGGGAAGTCCTCGAGTTGCACACCATCGGACAGCGGTTCAGAGCGCTTGATGACTTTGAATCCGAGAGCCCGTTTCGGTGTGGGTGGTGTCATGGCATTCTCATACTCGGAGATTCGGTAGCCAGGGGCAGGGGCGTGTTCGCCCAGACTCAGTCCGCGTAGCTCCTCGTCGAGCAGCTCAACATCCACGTCATGGTGGGAGTCACGCCGCGACGCAGGGCTGGAGTACTGGGAACCGCCGCTCGAGCCGCCAGAGCGGAGTCGATCGAGGCCGTTGGGTTCGCGGTGAATGGGGCCATGCTGAGAGGAGGAGGAGGTTGAGGGAACGCCGGGATGAGTCACAGGTGCTGGAATCGCAAGAGGCTCTTGTTGCATATAGCTGAAGGTGAGGAACTCGGGGAAAGGTGGTGACGACTGTGCACGACGTGTTTGCACAGTCTGGGGCGCTGGGAGCTTAGGAATCAGGTTCCGTAGGTGATGGTAAGTTCAATCTGGTAAGAGCTGTCGCTGCGATGAGCTGGAGGGGCGATGATAATACGTTGGTGGACAATCAAAGTTGTTCCTTTTTTTGCCGCGCGCCGCGTTCTAGCGATATGAGCATCCAGACTCCGAGCGACGCTACCACGCTTTGCCGATGATGAGCCGGTGCGACGAATGACGTGCATCACAATTCAGCAACCAATCGGCAGTCCCAGGAAGGCATCGTGTTGTTTAATCAACCATCGACATCTCACGACTGATCACGTTCGTTTATCACGTTTGAAACTCTGGAGCAGGACTGGGCAATTTGTTTGTCTTTTTGCGGCCTTTGCGCTTCCTTGACGTTAGCTGAGGTCATGATCACAACCGTGTGGTGGACGGCGAGCTCTCAATGGGTCCCATCCACGCTTCAAGGGACTCGCCGTCATTTCCTCCCACGGACCGTATTCCCGAAGTTAATACTTTTTAAAAATCGTCCATATCCATCAAGAGCGGGTGATATCAGAATATGTGATGACAACAAATTGCTCTAAGTCAAGGCTGTTTGAGTGTCTCGTTGCGAAGTAGCCCAAGTCTTCCGTCTGAACATTGAGAAGCTCAACCTTACTTACCCTCTAGGTATTTGGAACATTCCCTCCACACTTATCCACGAGACTGATATTCAGGGACATACTTTGGTTTCCAGGTTATCCGATGGCCTTGCCTACTCCCGTAACAATGCGGACGTCGGTTGTGTAGCTAGCATTTACGTCATATACTACTAGCTTTGGGCTGTCTTACCTGTCTTACCCTACAGAAGCCGCCACCATAAGCACGGAACTAGCTAATGATATTATCGCCGAGGTGTGCCCTTTCAACTAGACGAAGCCCATGTTGAGTGTAGTAACACAACAACGGGCAGGGTGCCAGGTTGAGACACGAAACGCTGGTGTCGGATCCAGGAGTACTGGCGCGGTCACACAGACTCTTATCTTGTCATCCTTCAACGACAAACAAAAAAGGGGTAGTGTACCAGAAGACTGATACTACTTCGACCTTAGAGTTGTCCTTGGATATACATCCCGGTACACTCTCTTCCCGGGCCAATATCGCTCATCCTATCCCTAAACCCATCAGCGGATCCGTAGTCGATGAGACAAACCTCTAGCAACCAAGTCCCATGACCCTGAAAACTGGTAAAGCGGGTGCCTATCTCCTGCAGGTCTTTCGGGACCGGAGGCTTGGCTGCTCGCACGGCTTGCACGGCGCAGCCTTTCTGTCCGCGACCACACTGAATCAATCACACATTGACCCATCGGGTCGGGTTTGGGACTACAATCTAACGTGCCGGGCTAGATCGAATCACCCCGACATTCGAGGCTTTCGAGCTGAAGGGCGTGGCTCAAAAGTCTGCCTCCCGAAAGACGCCAGCTCGGTACTTCTCTTCGTGCGATCGCAAGCCCCTAAGTTTGAAGGCCGACCCGCTTGAGTGCGTGTTTAGTTTGGTCCGTTGGTCCGTCTTTCCCATCTTTTGGGTTTCAGACCACCGGCTCGGAGTCCTCGCGTTGCGTTCTTGACCACGGGCCTCCTTTGGAGACTGAAATCAACAATATTCCTCGTATCTGCCATTAGACAGAGGGAGAAAGGAGATTGAGCATGTCATCTGTGCATTGCCAGCCTCGTGGCGTAATCCCTCGATCGGGTTCTGGACCTCTGCCGTGTGTGCAGATTTTGAGACAACTGATTGGGAGCTCATCTTCCGAGGGCCTGGAGCCCAGCACACTATCATCACTGTGCAGCAAGATCGTCATTTTGCTGCGCCATCGTCTAAAATAACTCATATTAAACAGACACAGAGTACCCTCTCTGTTAGTTTGATCAGACTTCAGTGTCGATAAGTGCTCAGTCAAGGCATGGTTCCTGTCCCGGAATGGTGGTGATTGGAGAGGTCCACCACCAAAAAAAACAGGCTCGGTGCCGAGCTGCCTTTCCTGTTTGCTGCTTGTCGATCTTTCGTTCAGGGACGCTTCTAAAGTTCGGTTTATCCACGAGGGTTGAAAGCATCTCGGAGACTTTGTTCAAAACAAGTCCGAGCGTTAGTCGTCGATGTCCCCGCCAACTCTGGAATTTCCACACAACTCGGAATCCCGGCTCGGCATGGAGGAATGATAGAAGCCGGAGATGGTGGCAACAGCGGATCCACGGGTCTTCCCGTCCCGCGGCGCCACTTTGGAAAAGGAGCCCACCAAAGCGATCCATCTTGTCTTGGGCTTCTCTTTTTCTTCCCATCGTACTAACGCGTCCTTCCGCTGGCTAAATGGCTACGTTGCTCAAATGGCCGGACGCGGGGGGCCATCCCGGCCCTCGCGGATGTGCATGGTTGTCCTTCTGCATCATTCGGTGACGCATAACTGAGAACAGTCGGTCCCCGCTAGGGCCGGGGAAGCACGAGTTGCAGATGCGTGACAAGTCACCCTGCACGTTGTCCTGGTACGTCTGCAGCAAGCAGAACCCAGAGACTCACAGAGCACCCTAGCAATAATAGCGCTCTCTTAGCTCACCATGCGACAACCGGGAGATATGGTGATTGGCAGTATCGTGTGTCTCTTTAACCGTGCATTCGGCTGCGGCGGAAAGTGTTCATTTACGGTTCTGCTAAACAGACGGCATTGAGATCGGGGTTGAGAACAACGGAATTGGCTCTACTCCGTACTACTACGTAGTACGTACTAGAAGGCCCCAACCCTTGGAACGGTTGCTAACCAGTATCGCTGTCAGATCCCGCAGTTCCTGCCTCTTCCAGTTCAACTCCGATGTAAAGCTCCGGCTCCCCCTGTCAGTTGTTCGCATTGGTGCTAATTAGGGGAGATGGAATAAAATACCCGAGGCTTGACAGGGACACTTCACCTGTCCAACTGGGGACACTCCCTGGCCATTCCTTGATTTGGGCATCATTAGAAATCCACATTCGGTCAGTGCTAGTCTTCGATTCTGGAGACGGTCTCATCTGAATCTCAACGGCGCCAAAGCTTGCTTGACCGAGAGACCCGGAGACTTCTGCAATCTCTTCACCAGGTCGAGCCATGTAATCTCGATTACAGTGTGCCCTTGCCTTGGCCACCCGACACAGGTATCACCATAGCAAGAAGTTACTTCGTACGTACCCCAATTTGGCCCGAGGGGAACGGGCGTTGACACCGCTGCCAGCCACTACAAGGGCGGGAAGTCCGGGGTCATGCTCGCCAAAGTGAACCAGCCAGCGTCTGGGAGGCTTGCTTGGCTTACTTGGTAGCAGAATTAGGCGCACCGATGTATGAGACCGATTGGGGTAGTTTGCTTCTGTCAAAAGGACCCAACGAGGCGTCAACCCCTAGGAACGCCGCTCATCCCGCGTCAATGATGATTCAAGACACACAGCGCCGAAAAGCGGTGAGGCTTGTGGTCTGGTACTGGACAGACTGGCGTGGCCGTTCCTTGGGAACCAGCTCACCGGGATTTGGTCGCGCCTCTGCTGCTGCCATGCTGAACTGCTTCTGCCCAATTTAGCCAGGTTGCTGGAACGGTACGGCGTGAGCGGAGGATTTGCGGTTTGCGGTGATGGTCGGGAGACGCTGATGACGACGCGGTCGAACGGCGGCCGAGGTGCCCGTACAAAGCATGTTATTCCCGTCAGTGGTACTCAAATCCTGACGGCCTTCTGGTTTTGGGGGACAGGATGACCAGGACCCAAAGATTCTAGCACCGCGGATGGGTCGATTCACGGGCGATCGACTTGACGCCCAAACTCGCTGACCACCCCGCTCTCCCAAAATGCCATTCTCCATATCATGACACAGGACGTACCGCTGGGACGGTTCACGCTGCATTACATGAGTAGCTAGCTCGAAAGTTTTTGTGCGAATTGGGCCCTGCCCTTGTGAGAAATTCCATTTAAGTGGAAACGGGGCCGCTGGCCCTTCCGCGGGCGATCCTCCAGTGCTAATATTACCCGTCCGGCTCCAATGAGAGGATGGGCAAACGGGACGATCCACCAGGTTGGCACAGTCGTCGAAGCGACAGCGGGTATCTGCAGGACGGACGAGACTCAAAATCAGCTCATGGGCGCTGCCTCTGGAGTGGAGGCGTACTACGTAGTAACGCAAGTCATGCCATGCAGCAAAATGGCCCCCCAAATCTCCCAACACATGCCTGTGTGCCCATGTGTCGTGGAGAAGGGCCAACGGAAGAGGCGAGGGTGTCCCGGGGCGAACTGGGGGCAAACAGCAAACAGCAACCGAGACGGCGATAGACGGTGCAGCGGTCGTCGGCCGAACAAGCTCGTATGTGCAAGAGTGACGCACACATGCCCACACATACGATTTCGGATTCGCCCTCCCCAAGCATCTCCCCAAGCATCTCGGGACGGGGCGTGTCCAAAGCACAGTGCGCTCGGGACGATTGCCGCACCACCCAACCTTCTGTTTCCAGCAAGGCATTGGCACTGGTGGGCAACCGACTCTCAGCCGACTGGAATGTTGCATGGAGCCATCGCCCACCGGCCGTGCCTTGGGTCGTTCTTGGTGCGGAGAAGGTCCCTTTAAAGATGGATTAGGCTCTCCCTAGGTCGTTTCTTTTTGGGAGATAGTATTTCTGTGTACTGGTGCGCTGCTGGTGCGCTGCTGGTACCGAGCCAGCGCCAACGCCAACGCCAGCGCCAACACCAGCACCAGCGCCAGCGCCAGCGCGAGCACCGGCTCCAACACACCGGTAGCCATGACACACGGCTTATAATAGATTGGGAGGATGCTGGTAGAGTGCCCATCGGTTCGTCAACCCTAGGTGCAGAATCCCGAGATGGACGGCATCAGGCCCAGATACGAACCGCCAATCAGGGTTTTTCGTTGCTTCTTTCTTCCCAACGTTCGACCCTTGACGCTGGAGCCACTACGTAGTACAGCGCATAGTACATGGTAACCACAGACAGAACCCTAGCCAAACAGCCCCAGGGGTGCTATGTGAGACCACGGCATGGTACCAGGGACAATGCAGCTTGGAGCTACCCTCGTCAGAGCCAAGTGGTGGCCTGGGTGCGTGACGAAAGGGTAGCATCTGGGCCACATGGCCCGGTTGTGGTTGCGATCACCATGCTCGGTATGCGGATGAAGCAAGGACGAGTCGCACTTGTCGGCTCTGATATGGCGATTGTGGTGTTGAAAGTTTTATTCTTGTTATTTTGCTTACTGTCGATGTTTCATACCGTAATGAGCAATTCGGTTTGAAGGAAACCTTCCTTGCACTGTAGGACGGCACGTATTTCCCGGTCCCAGGCACCTGCTCCCCGAGATGAGAGGCTGGTGACGGGACGGTCGATTAGGATGATTAATCGCCCAAGAGAAATGAACATGGTGCTTACCACCCTACTCTGCGCCATCAGTGGGCGTGAAGCGAGCTCAACGAATTGACTTCGTAGAACTAATGACGTCCTCCTTCGTCAGTGAGGTGTGTGTGGTATGTTTGAGTGTCGCATCTCATTGCCACCCGGGATCTGTTTGGCGCTCATCGGTTTGATTGGCAGCTTGGCGGTTTGAGCGGTGGATTCTGTGGACTGATGGGGGGAGGGGTATGCTGTAGGTGAAGAGATAAATCTGTTGTGGTGTCTGAGGTGAAGGTTAGCGAGTGAAGACATGGTCTGTTCACTGGCCCATGCTGTCGGGAGCGAAAACGAGCTAACGGGTCCTTTGCACGACCGCATGTGAGGCGCCGTAGGTACTACGTAGTAGGTTCCCTTGGTATGGGTTGACACATGAAGACAATAGTGAGAGCGAACACCTCGGGCTGACAAGCGACATTTGGTGTTGACCAAGCCATGGATGGATTGATTTGGGCTTGGAAGCATGCGGGGATAAAGGGACCAGGGCCGCGGACAATTCGTTGACTTCGCACCTGTTTCTTCCACTAACGGGAGCGCAACCCGACGAGCCCTCGAGGCGTGACGCCTTCGAGAGCAGGGGCGCGAGCCAGATTGCGAGATGGAGGTATGGCACTCTTAGATAAGCTTGCGCAGTCCACGGAGGCCGAGGCGATGATGAGAAAACAAGCGGGCGATCCGGACTTGGACGGAAGGCCCAAACTTTGTGTAGTAATTCAATTCATGCCCGTTTGCACCGAGGCTCCACCGATATCAGTGGGTTTCGCGGGAGGTTCCAACTCGCCGGGCACAACGGAGGCGGATGCTTTGATTGCCAGGATGTGGGATGCAGGGAGGGGAGGAGAGTCTCGGTGTTATGGTTAGCACCGCGGACAGTGTATGACGCAGTGTATGACGCACTGTACTTGCCGCGCACACGATGACCGAGAAAGAGAAAAGAGGCTGCCGGCTTGCTTTCAGGTACGAATGCTCCGGACGAAGTGCACGATTCACGAACGGGCGAGACGAGACGAGACGGCATCGCTGAGGCGAACACCATGCCGAGAATAGACATCTAGCCACATTCCCCCCTCATCCTGCTCTTTGCGCCGTGGCTCCGGAGGTCTGGGGCCTCCACTCGCTCTGCGGGAGCCAGACTGCTGGGAACATGGCAACGGCAGCGTGCGAGTCGTAGGTTCGGAAGCGCCGCGTCGACGCCAGGTCTGATCACGCTGCAGCCGCCCGCATTGCACAGGTCGACGCCACGGAGAGGATCCCCGAGGAGGGGAAGACCAAAAATCCAAGACATGACCACCGCAGCCGCTGCAGGGCGGCCGACAGCAGTGCGTGCAGCACAAGCGCAGGCGGCCGTGGTGTTTTGTTCCCAGCACAGTGGAGAGACAGGCGCCATGTCCCTCCCATGTTCCATGGAGGATCGATCAGTGGTCCATGGCCCATGTTCGCCCGGGCCTCTTCCCAGGGCTTCGGGCCTGTTCTGAACCCCAATCCCGGCGTCCCTTCTCCACACCGGGCACACCACCAACATCCACACCAGCATCCACCACCACCACCCACCACCCCAGAACTTACCGACCCATGTCACCCAAAACCCACCGGGAGAGGACGACGAGCAGGTTGGGAGGACGGATCTGGGTGGAAGGCGACAGGGGTCAGCCCATAGAAGCCAGTCTTCCGCCCCACTCCCCACCTGGTGCCCAAGGTCGCCGGGTCGCTGGTTCGCAAGCTGGCATCTCGCTGACAACTGGCGCCGTAGCCCCGGGAGCGTTCGTCCTGGCGACTGACCACTGGGCTTGCGATCCCAAGGAATGGAACTCCAACACCCACTTGTTCTCTCCTCCCGCGATTGCGTGCAGGGGCTCCTCGCGACCCTCGGGACCACGACCCTCAACGCAACCACGCATCCACGCAGCCACGCCCCCTCCTCGCATCCTCACCCCCTCTCCGAGAATCGCCAGCTCCCCAGCAGACGTAACTGAAGTCGACGTGGTCCTTAGCAGGAAGCCAAGCCAGCCCGGTCTGCCACGCCTACCAGCCCCAAGCCCCCAAGTCCGCCGCCAAAGCAACCAGGCCACACACAAAACACACCACTCGCTACACACCCCGACCCGACGCCATTCCCTTCCCGTCCCCAGAGCCCCGGGCTAGCCTGGCCAAGCCCGCGCAAACCTGCTTGGCTCTGCCGCCCACTGGGGCCTTGCTGGAGGGCTCGCTGGGTCACTGTCGTACGGCTGTCACCAGGCATTGGGTACGCGCTGGTCCTGGGCGGCCTGGGCCCCTGCCATTCGCTCCGCGCCCTCTGTTCGTCGTAGCGCCGGGCCGCTGGTTTCCACTAATACCACCGCTCTGGGCTCACCCACACAGCCGGTCCACGTCCTGCAGCAGCGCATCCTACGCTGTGCAGTACGTAGCCGTAGTGCAGAGTCAGTCCCCGGGTGGCCCAGCTAGATCGTCCACAGCGGGACACCTGCACCTCTAGGTAAGTAGTCCTCCCTGCCCGCTCCCGCCTCGCCTGCTCTCGCTCTCCTCTTCTCCTCCCCTTCTTCTACCTCCACCTCCATCCATCCCGATCCACTGTATCATGGGAGCAACTATTTGAGCCTTTGGGTAAACCACAATCTACCATACCCTAGCCCTTCGTCGACGATTCTCGATTGACCGTCGCCGTTGCCTGATATTCCGCCTCTGCTGAGTGTCGCTCTCGCTCGGCCTGACCAACCACTGTAAATCCCCGGCCAACGCCCGCTGGCTAGCTGCCCTAAGACACCCCGACATCCACGACCGTCTCGAAAACCACGCCTGGCGAAATCTGAGTCGCCGTATGTCTTAGGCAAGGACTTTTATTAATTCGATTCGTTTTTCACGCAAGTTCCGACTCCGTTCTCGTTCAATCTCGACTTCGACCACCAGTCGACGTCAACAAACCGTGATCGCCGGATCTAGTCGACTACGACCAATCACCCGACCGTCGCCATTATGAGCTCCCCAGCACAGCCAGGGGCTTCTGTCCCTAAGGAGGAGAAGGAGAAGAAGGGCCTTGGCAAGGTCCTTTCCCGCGTCAAGACCGTCCTAAAGCGAAGCGGCGAGAGTTCCTCCAAGCGTTTGTCGACCATCGCTTCCAAGAGCACTCCTGCTCCCAAGCCGGAGCCAGTCGTCAAGAGGTATGCCTTTTTCTTCCTATTGAAACCATCGCCATGCGGGTATTTCCGTCGGCACTACCCATGTTTTGTCGTTGACGATGATGGCTGTTTGACTTTGGGCTTCCTAAACCCAATATCGGCTCTCAATAACTAACTTGCTCGCAGCGAACCCGCCCCTAAGACCAAGGCTGAAGAAGCCCGCGCCAAGTACGAGACCATGGAGGGCGTGTCTAAGCTCACTCGCAGTCAGCTGTTTGAGGAGCGCGCCAAGAAGCTGGGTGAGCGTTACGGCCTCGACATCAAGCTCTCCGAGCTGCAGACCGGATCCCCCGACGACACTGTTCTCCGCATGGATAAGCCCATCCGCATGCGCGTCCGACGAACCTGCCATAAGTGCAGTGCGACCTTCTCCTCCGCCAAGGAATGCCCCAACTGCCAACACGCCCGTTGCACCAAGTGCACCCGTTACCCTCCCAAGCGCACCGAGGCCGAAATCATCGCCAGCCGCGAGAGACGGGCTGCTATTATCAAGGCCAACAAGGAGAACGCCCCGATTATTCCCGACTACTCTTACGCCTATGAAGACAAGAAGATTGTCCTTACCCGGCCCAGCAAGACTGGTGGTCAGGACCTTGTTCACAAGAAGCCCCGTCAACGAGTCCGACGAACTTGCCACGAATGCCAGACGCTCTATATTTCCGGTAACAAGACATGCGAGAAGTGCGGACACGTTCGCTGCACGGATTGTCCCCGAGACCCGTACGTCACCCCTGTTTATTTTCTTTCCTACTCTGTATTTTATCGAAGCCGTGTTCTAACTAGCTTTACAGACCCAAGAAGGACAAGTATCCTTTTGGTTATCCTGGAGATGAGTTTGGCCCTAGCAGCATACCCCATTATGAGTGTAAGAGCTGCAAGACCATCTTCCCGAGTGGCGCCGAAAACGGCACCAAATGCAAGAAATGTGACCTAGAGAAGAACGATGAATCTCCCCGTGTTCTGCCTCGCAAGGTAGAGCCGGAACCCGACCCGGAGATATTGAAGAAGCTTCACGCTCGGCTCGAAAACCTCAAAGTTGCATGACGCCTCGATGAGCCCGGGGCTACTTTAGACTCCCAGGCGAGTCACGGGAGTTAGGGGACGAGGAGCGAAGCGGTTGTTTTCTTTGGTCTTTTTTACTACCACATCAGGACGGCGAGCGCGAGGTGGCGGTTGCTGGAAGATTTATGGCCCATCCCGATGAGTCGAAAAATCATCCGCCATCCGCAGTCCTTTCTTCTTCTGTTCGACCATCCGTTCGCCTGGCATCTCCGCACTTTGGTACATGCACCACACATCCCGGCACGACACGACACGCCCAAGACGAGCATCACCCCACGAAGACTATTTGTTTCCATAAGCTAGAGGTTGGAACTGTTTTCTACACACATACGACATCACGATCTGGATTATCCAAGCGCCATCTAACGATTCCTGTGTATTCATCGGTCATTTACCACGCATTTTACGAAGAGTGTTGTGCGAGACTTGGGCAAAAAGACGAGAAAAGGACGCTTTCGGCGTATCAGTTGGATGGCCTTGGGGACGAGACGCCTGGATTCGTGTTTTGGAGCTCACATCGACGTCGGACGGAGAAGGCGGCGCAAAACTGGAGACGAGACCATATAAGCGGGCTGGATGGTTAATGGAACTTTTTAGCGACAGCGAGAGATGGTGTTTTTACCTTCTCTCACATGAAAATCTTTGGGACATTGTCTCGCATCCTCATTACGAGCCTGACGTCAAAATAACGAACTCACTATTCCCTACCTTGGGGAACTATATCCACACCTCTCTTCTCGCCCTTGACTTGTTTTGGCTTTGTCTCCATCAGTGCCGCCTCCTATGTCATCGCTTTGTAAATCTGCAACCCACAGGCATGCAATGTGCAGCTTTCGGCCTCGTAGTAGTAGCAGTCGACACAGGGCTGTAGCTTACCTTGGCGCTCAATTAATCCGGTATTACAATAATGCTTGTGTCGTAGGAGCTGATATACATGGGATTGTAATTCCTCTCATACGTTGCTTAGAATCCAAAGCATGTGTTCTACGACGTCCTGAATCTCACACAAAAGCACATGTTTGAGCCTTACGGGTGGTACGTCCCGAAGCCCAAGTGATCAACCAATGTATTGCCTCACCCGGGATTCGAAGCTCACATATCATATTGCCCCCTTCTCCGGAGCAAACCCGCATCCACGCCACGGCTTTGCACCCTTCTCGATTCGCCCGCCACTCTGACCCGTTTGCAAAGGTCCCCGCGTCCTCCTCCTCCTTCTTCCCCTTTTGAGGCCCTCTTCCCATCGCATACCACGCCAACCACGTCACCCCACACCCAATCCCGCGACCCGCAACGGAACCGGAGCGGAGCGGAGCGGAGCAGCTCTGAGACAGATGGTCAGCTGCACACCACCACGCGGATGTTACCAGACCAGCGGTAACGAGCCAATTCGTTTCGACATGTCTCATTGTAAACGGGGGGAAGGGGCCCCGCAGGCCATTTCCTTTTTTTTAACCCTTACGTGGGAAAATGACCGACGTGGTTGCTTTTGCCGTGGCCGACGTTACATCGTAAACGGCGCCGACTTGCTTTTTGATGATGATTGGGAGGGGAGACAGCCTTTTTTGGAAATGGCTGCAGGAAAAAGGGAACAGAGGGTGTGGGTATTGCGTTTACGAGGTTGGTAACGAGAGGCCGGACAGACTTGGGAATGTCTCATTTTCCTTCAGGAGGCGGTGAGTATGAGTATGGCTTTGATGGCGCTCACATGGTTCGGGTTTGGGTTTGTTTGCAAAAGCTGAGTGTGGCACGATATGAGATTGTTTGAGACGATATTTCAAGGGACACCTTCGACGTTGGCGGTGAGTGCTACTATAGAAGCTTACTCGGTCAGGAGAGACTGGAGAACTAGGAACCAGTCTTGTAGACATGCTCGTTAAGGCGCTACATACTTTCGACACAAACATGCGTATGCGTCTTATCCATCTAATAACGTTAGACTAGTTCCCAACTACACGGTTCTGTACCGCACACCGATCCTTCGCTTATCACCTGTCCAACCAGAGCTCAGGCCGTACACGCGTCTACATACTGTGTAGGTGTTATGCATGAGGGCCAAAGAAGAAAAAGAAAACCCTGATCTCCGTGTGACTATTCCTTTTGCGCCCCCGGGTCCTTAGGAGCCTCCTCCCTTACATAGGGTTCCATCGCAAATCTCGCTGTGTGGGGTACTGAGGCACCGAGGGCGTTCAGACGATTTGACTTGCGGCCCAGGTACCTCCCAGACCCATCCATACGGTTGTTAAGGTGCGCGTATTGTTCGTCGGTCTGGCCCTGGGCGACGGCCTGCCGGAAGCCATCGGGGTTGAGAATGGGCATCAGTCGGTGGATGGGGTAGAATCGACCTCTAATCGATTGCTCCTTGAACACGACATTCTCCTTGACAAGGGCCCAGCGCCAGCGCTTGCCGGGACTTGTCGAGTTGCGCCACTGGCTTTCATCCCTCAGGGCAATGGGCAGGTGCTCTTCAGCAACGACGTTCGGGGGGTCGGCATCTCCCTTTACGGGCTGATAGATGTGTCCACGGAAGAACACGCCGCCAGGGAAGTCCTTGGTCGTGAAGATAAATCGTAGACCCAAGACGCCAGTCTCAGCTGGAACGTTGAACTCGGCAGGAAGTGACCTCAGGCGGAGGGTATCTCCGATCTCAACCCGTTCGGCTCCGAAGAAACATCCGTAGTATGTAACAGTCTTAGCGTTGGGATCCTCAGATAATTGGGTCCAGAGCGAATAGGAGTAGTCGATCTTGGCAGCGGCCATCTTGGAGGCATCGAGGGTAATCAATTCCCGCTTGTTTCCGTCGTTCCCTGGGGCTCGGAACATGCCTTCCCAGGGAATCTCATCGAATATCTTCTCCTTTAGGTCAGGAATAGCGACTGGGGGAACTGTAAAGGCGTGGAATGGTCGCATGTCGCCATCAAGCTTGTTGACGTTCTGTTGTTGAACTACGCCGTGTCCGATGGGCATGAGCTCATGATTGCCATTAGCAGAGGCAGCAATCATGCCGAGACGCCAGGTAGTTCCGTTCTGATACCAAACCAGCTCTCCCGCACGGAACATGAGGGAAGACTTGAGAGCCCATTGGGTGATTTGTGGTTGCGGTTGAGGCTGGGGTTGTGCTTGTTGTTGCTGCTGGTGAGGTTGTAGTTGAACCTGGGGCTGCGGGGCCACTTGGGGTTGGGCCTGAGGCTGAGGCTGCGTTTGTATTTGAGGTTGAGATTGAAGCTGGGGAGGTGCTTGAGACTGCGGGGGCGGGGCTTGGGCCTGAGCCTGAGGTAATGGTTGAGGTGAAGGTTGGACGGGTGGTTGGACGGGTGGTAGAGATTGGGGTGGCAGGGTTTGCACCTTGGGTTTAGTTACAGCAGGCACCGGTGAGTTCTGGGCTGTTACCACCGGGGTTGACTGTGCCGATGTCGAACGTGGAACGGCAACGGAATGCTTAAGCAGCGGCTGTCCAGGTATCTGGGGCAGCGGGACTGGCGTGACCTTGGGAGGCATCTTCTCGGGCTTCGGTGCCTCATGAGTGATGATGAGAGTATCCTCCATGGCGGCGGCTCCTTTGGCCAGATTTCCCGCATTGCAGTGCGCACAGCAGCAGTCCCGGTAGTCCATGGAAGTGGAGAGCAACCATATCAGGTGGACGGCGAACTCTTGAGGGCTCTTGAAGAGCTTGGCCTTTAGTGGGTAACCAGAAACCCAAAGGTGTTTCGATTTTTCGTACAGCCAGTATCCTCGCGGAAACTGGACATACCATGAGTTCCCTTCTGCCAGTCTTGTTAGTTCCATGATATCAACTCACCCCAAGCTCAGCTTACCATCGGGGTTTGGGCAGAGCTCCTGTTTCAGCAAGATGCCCAGCTTAACCCTCCACTCGACGAACCTAGGGTCGTCCTCGGCTAGCCGGACCATTTGCGGTTTTGTCCTCGGCGCCTTTTCCGCTGCGATGGCGTCCTTAGCTGTCTTCTTCATCGAGGTAGCAGGGGCTGGTGCGGTCATCGGCCAATATCCTGGGCCAGTGTCCGAACCATCGCTTCTGGCTACCCGGATAACGTCGAATTCCCTCATGTCCGCCATGGTGACCGGATGGCGGTGACCGACTAGCGGTTACGGGCTTCGGGGTGGTTTGGTTGTGATGGCGGATTCTAAGGATCGCGAGGTGAGCTCAGAAGGCCCGGGCTCAATGTGGAGAGAGGCGTCAAACGCGGCCCGACAGCGCGATGGACGTGAATCAGTTGACTCCTGCGTGTTGAGAGAGCGCGGAGCTGGCTAGTCGAATTACTCCAGGCTGGTCATGCAAAATGGCTCTCCGTGATTGACGCTCATTCGGGCTGCTCCCAGCGTTGCCGTCTTGCCCCAGCCTTCTCACGCCTGGCTCAACGCGCCACGCACGGGGTGGGATTTCAAGGTGGTTAACCAGGGGAATAGGCCAGACAAGAGCCTAGGTCGATTCTAGTCGCTGCGTTCTTGGTAATATTTGCGCAGTTCAGCCAGCCTTTAATATCGATAAAATGCGATTGTTTGTTGTCGTCCTCAAGCTGTCCTCATCCGTTGAGCTCGGTGGTTTGAAGGGATGGGTCGCGGATTGAAGTCACGGTAGGCCAATCACAGTTGACCAGGCCAATGCTGAGTCAGCAGATGGTCCTGTGTGAGCGGCCTACCCTGTAGTTGACGTTGCTGCCTCGAATGTACGAATTGAGCTTCTTTCACTCGAAGTCTATGATTCATGGGTCTGTGTGGCTGAATTGCACATTTTATCTTCTATAGTTATTGGTCAGGCTAGCGTATCTGACCCTCAAGGTGCTGCCAGCTTTTGACGTGAAGTACAAGCTTTGTGGGTGCGTTTCGCTCTACCAGTGCGATGTTGCTCGCAGCCTCTCTATTGCTGGAGCTAAATATTTACGTTTGAGTACCAAAACATTGCTGTTCATTATTGATAAAAAGTAACATTATATCCAGCTTCTCAAAGTAGCCCTAAACTGCACGGGGACCTCTGCCACCAACGTCCTCGGGGGTCGAACCCTCCAAGATAGGCACGGCATCGTCGTCTATCCGTCCATGAGCCAAGTCCGACAACATCATTGCAGACCCCGAGCTACTCGCTCCATCATGTCCGTCATTATTGTTCGGACTGTATACATACACTTCATGTGTCCGCGAACTTTGGGTGTGATCTGTCCCATGTAAATTCTTCGGTGTTTGCGGATCCTCTCTCCGCTTAAAGCAACCGGGCACGAAGTGAGCCCACATGTACTGCCGGAAAGGTCGCGTTGTACCAAATACAACAAATGTCACCAATGGTGGCGTCGCGCCCGGCAAGAATAAAGTGAAATCGGATCTGGCCTGTGCTAGACTCAGGTCCGCAGAATCGCTGAGGTGACTGCGGTTGTTCTTGGCCTGGGCAACCACCTCGGTCATAATAGTAACTAGTTGGAATATCCTATGTTGACAACCTGTGAGTACATTTCTTGGAACTTTCCACGCTGCATGAACTTACCCCAAGGCCACAAAGCCGATAGCAAGTCGCAAGATAAGCCATCTGTCGTAAATTTTTTGTCGAGCCTGAACTCCACCAGCAGTCGAAGCTCGTGATTGCGCACCAGACCTGGTAGAAGATTTGCCGTATTTAAATTGGAAGGAAATGAGGGCGCGCCTGGTGTAGATGTACCGGCCTAGGATGCTTAGTAGCATGATGGCACCTCCCAATAGACCAACTGACACTGCTTCATTGTTAGGCTGACGGCTTCACACTACTAAAATGGAACGGGAACGTACTGCAGAGATTCGCAATGACGAAGAAGCCAATTGTGTTGTTCTGAAGGGCCTTGATTTGCAGCAGACAAACCATAAGGACGGGGAAAAATATTGCTGATGCTTTGGCTACAGCGTTGGAATATCGGAGGCTGTTTTCCAAAATCCGGAGCTGAAAAACAGACTGGAGCAAAACCGCACACCAGAAGAAGATGAGCAGTGCCTCGATACCATAGCAAGTAAACTCTGTGACTAGGTATTAGTATCACAATGTAAGCACGAGCTGATCCACGTACGGATGTAAAAGAGTGCCAGGTCCAGGTCTACTGAGCCACTGGCGAGCGCGACTACTGGATTCCCAACATTTGCAACGGTGTGACGATGTTGCTCAAGCTTGATATCCCTCCAATCGACGATGGTATGTATTTGCTGAGCAATTGAAGCTACGCCCCCGACCACCGTGAAGATGGCTAAGAGGAACACGTCTGATCAAATTAATACCAGGCTGGATCATGCAAAGAGATGAGGGATGTCACTTACAACTAGTTCCTTCACGATGTACCCAAACAAGCCATGCCGTGAGCAGGCCCAAGCTGAGGGAGAATATAGAGTAGATGAGGACTCCAACTGCCAGCCCCAGCACATCGGGGAGCAGTTGGGCAGTCATCGATCCCTCCTCGACAATTTTCAAGACAGCAACGTATGTCAATCAGAGTCTGGATGAAGGCACGGCTGACGACGGTTGAAGCAAAGCTGCCACATAAGATCAACTCAAGCGGACAACTGAGGGACAACACGTGGCATGTCAACCGCACGATCGAATTCACACATCAACGTGATCAACATGTCAACCTAACCTTCGTAGATGGGAGGATTGCCCCTGGGAGAAGATCGAGAGGCACCCTACGAGATTGGCGAGTCAGTTGGGCCCTACAATTCTGGATCCGTGTGGAGATGGCCCCACGGAAGCCAAATGTGAAGCTCGGCCGATGCTATGGTGGGACCGTATATGCGAACTTTTGAGAGGATCGTGCGTTTCAGAGCCAATGGGATGCTGAACGAGGCTCCGAGAAACCCGAAAACTGGAACACGGGCTGATACATTCCGCTGCCATCCCTAAAGGGGGCCACATCCGCAATGCGATGGCGCCAGAGGCGTCAATAGTCGACGCCCAAATCCTGTCATTATCCTCTAGCTCCCACGGGCCGACTTTCCAACCATCAGACCACGAGGCAGTCGCCAGAATGGACTCGAGATTCGTCATCTGCGATCACCGGACTGATCTGTGATGCTCTCGAGTCCCACTAAATGTTTCACCGCAGGCAACATTGTGTCATGGCGTCGGGGTCGTTGCCCGATATCCTTCTGGTCGGAAGCGAAATCGGCTACGACGTACGCTGGGGTTGCGTTCCAGACAGCTGGGAACTTTAGTCGGCCAATCATGTGTGCTCGGGTAATTGAATGGATCGCGCTGAAACTGCGGCTGTTCCAACTTCTGTCAAATTGAAGCATGATGATCAGCACGTGTACGTAGGACGTACGTAATCCACCAGTCACTAGCCACACCTGAGAGTGCTGCACCGCCACACTACTCTAACCACCACGACGCGTGAACTTCTAGCGCGTCTCCCATGCACAAGCCTGTACCACAAAGAGCCTCTTGCAACCAGCCCACTTCCCAGATCCCAGCTCGCTTCCTCGCACAAACGAACGGGGATAGCAAGGGCCGACATAGCCGACATGGGAGACTCCCGCTACACTGCCGGGAACCGGGCGTTTCTTCAGGCCATCTTGGCACGAGGAACTATTACCTTTGAGGAGGCCCAGCCCGTCCTCGCCGAGATTTTCACTGCGGACCGTGGCAACGACAGCGAAGTTCGCGCAGACCAAGTCACGCAGCAGCAATTCAACGAATACATTGGAATTGCCTCAGAAGCGGTTTCGCTCTTTGACTACGAAATCCGAAGTACTGTCCATCAAGTTACGAAGCAACGCATTTACGCCCTGGTCAACACCACTTCCGATCCGCAGACCCAGCTTGCGACGATACACACCCCCGACGAACTGTCGTTTATTAAACGAGTCCTCGATGGCATGTTTGAAAAGTACAATTCGCCTCGTATGGAGGTTCTCGCCATCACCGAGATGCAGGCTATCAAGCTGGCACGGCCGGATCGAAGACAAAGCCAAGTCGACGCGGATGCACAGACACAAACACCAGGAGATAAGGGTCTGAAACACAGCGAGGTTGAAAATGTTCTGGCAAGCCTAGTCGAGGGAGGCTGGTTTGAGAAGAGCGAGGACGCCTTTTACAGCTTGTCACCACGGGCATTGCTGGAATTGCGGCCGTGGCTTGTCGAGACATATAATGACCCGGATACTGGCCCAGACGAGTGGCAGCGGATTAAATTTTGCGAAGCCTGCAAGGATATTGTTACAATTGGCCTGAGATGCACCGAGCCTAACTGCAATTTCCGGTTACATGATATTTGCGAGGATGCGTTCTGGCGAACCCGCAGAGATAAGAAGTGCCCGAAATGCTCAAGTGCATGGTCAGGCGAGAAATATACTGGCGAAAGAGCCGTTACAAGGACCGAGGCTTTTCAGAGAGGCCAAAGGCGAGGAGGCGGCTGGCGACGAAGCACACTGGCTGACGAGGTTATTCGAGAGCAAGGGGGCGGAGAAGAGGCTGAAGAGGATGCGGGGAATGCTGAGGAACACATGGATGACAACGAATGAATGGGTTATGTCTATGATATTACTTTGATTTGAAATACCCAGAACCCGAATGAACCGCCATTTTGGCATGAGCACGCAGTTGATTAGCTGCCCTTGTTCGTCAGCCCGGCACTGAGAGTTGTCGTCGGTAGTTGGCCGTCGATCACAAATGTCACCGCTTCTGCGCGATTGCGTGGGGCCAGAGACAGCATGATGGAGGGGTGGCGTGTGATGTCATGTGGCGGTGCGACCTGGGCATTGGTCTGGAGCTCCCCGCATGAAAGCAACCAAGCGCGCGCCTAGGCATCATTGACGCACCATACGTTGAGACATGAGTGCTCGACCTGGCGGCCTCTTTGTCTTCACTCTTGAATCAATAAAACTACCATCGACCAGCGCATTTCCCGTCCGAGTCCTGCCGACACCCCATCAAAACAAGCTCGACACGACCGAAGCGCACCATGCTGGAATATTTCACGGTCAAGAAGTTCAAGAAGAACAGGGCCGACAAGGAGGCCGCGAGGGAGGCCGCAAAGGAGGCCGCAAAAGACGCCGCGCAACCGGCCGAGGTGGAGACGACAGGGGACCAGACGCACATGCCCGAGATCGAAACCGTTGTCGATGACACGAATCATGCGAAGCCCAAGCGCCACAGTCAGAGCGAGTCCAAGAGTGACCGCCGCCCTAGTTCCGACCACCCTCCGCTGAGCCCAGTTCTCGACAAGCAAGACGAGTCCTGGTTGAGGAGGATACTGGAGGATGATGGCCCTCCTCCCCCGTTGCCTCCGCGTGTCAAAACCCCCGAGATCGAGCTGTCGGATAGCGACTCCGTCTTGAGCAATAAGCGGTCCGTGGAGGTCGCAAAGCCTGAGGAGGAGGGAAACAAGGGCAAGGGCAAGGGCAAGGAGGATGCCAAGGGAAAGAAAAAAGACAAAAAGGACAAGGATGAGAAACAACCAAACCGCCTCTCGCTCTTATTCCACAGGAACAAGAAACATGGCGACACCCTCAAACCCGAGGACATCACCGCGGACGAGGCCGAGCGCGAGAAGAAAGACCTCGGAAACGTCCTCGATCGCTTGAACCTCCAAGCAAAGAATAACAAAATCGTCTCGCTGTCTAGCGAGTCGTCGGACTTACTGCAGCGTTTCACGCAGATCTTCAAGGACCTTGTCAATGGTGTACCGACAGCATGCAACGACCTCACTAGCCTCTTCGACGACCGCGACGGCGCCATCAACCGCGGGTTTGAGAAGCTGCCCTCATCGCTACAGAAGCTCGTTACCCAGTTACCCGAGAAGCTGACGACATCGCTCGCGCCCGAGCTGCTTGCTGCCGCCGCAGAGAGCCAGGGTCTCAAGGCTGAAATGGAACTCGGAGCCACGGAGGCAGCGAAGAAGCTATTCATGCCCCAGAACCTCACGGAGTTGGTCACGAAGCCTGGCGCGATCGTGAGCATGCTCAAGGCCATCGTCAACGCCTTGAAGCTGCGGTGGCCGGCCGTCATGGGAACCAACGTCGTCTGGAGCGTTGCCCTCTTCCGTAAGTGCCGAACCCCTATCCAAAACTACGCAGTCGACACTTGCTAATCCTCATCGTAGTGCTCATGTTCGTACTCTGGTACTGCCATAAACGCGGCCGCGAAGTTCGCCTGGAGAAGGAGAAGTCCGATGCCGAAGCACCCGTCGATGGAAGTGACCGCATCGAGGAACTTCCGGATGACCCGCTTCTCCCGGCGCCGGAACCAGCCTCGACGCGCAGCATTGAGGCAACCGCGAAGGCGACGTCAGAGCCGGTGTCGCCGGTGTCGCCGGTGTCGTCGGTATCGCCAGTATCGCCACTGACGGATCTGCCGCCCCCACCGGTAGGGCAGGATGCTGTATTGGAGCCGATTCGCCGCTGAGGCTGGTTCCGCGGTCAAGGGACACAGGGAGACGAATACAGGAGTAATGAGCGCGGGTGTATGATTTGGATATGCATAGAGGGATGGACATAACACGGATGAATGAATATACCTAGTGAGCCTCTTTTTCATGAGCATGACGTAGATGATTTGACATATCTGTTTTCTGCAATATACGCAGCGGGTATCTCTGGAGTCGACCAAAACAAACACCGTGATGCACCGCGACAATGACTCCTTTTAATCGTCTTGGACCAGTTCCTTGATCTCCTCCCTGCCTGGCGCCAAAGCCACAGCTTCACTTTTATCACTCACCCCCTGGCGATCCGTTGCGCCTCCGCCATCCTGCATCCAAAAGTCGACCTCGTCGATAATATCATAGACAATGTCCTCGGCTATCTGATCGCAGTAGCGAGCGGAGACGGCGTTGACCTTATCCAAGCGCCCTGACTCGGGCCGGACCATGTCGACCTCGCCCCCAGTGGTATCGTAACCGGGGGGCGGATACCAGAAGTCCGGGCCGAAGTTGACCTCTGCGGCGCCGCCGCGGAACACGCTGACGGCCGGGTAGTATCCGAGCATGCCATCGTCGAGACCCTCACGAGCGCCAACCTGAGCCGTGGGGCGCGAGGCTGGAGGAAGAAAACCTAGGAGGTTTTCGAAGGCTGTGCCCATCAGGACTCCGTTCTTGTAGACGCGTATACAGGAATTGGGCAGTGTGCGCAAGCTCGGTATTGGGTGGATGGGGCCCGGGGCTTCAGATGAGCCGCCAGGGCCCGTGGGGGCCGGGTTCATGAGATCCTCAAGTTCCTTGGTTGTGTGGTATTCGATCTTCTCGAAGTAGGTGTGAGCCTTGAAGCGGATGGGCACACGATCGCGCACAATGTTGGGTGCCTCGGCCGTGAGCGGGGGTTCTTCGTCGGCCTGGTCCACAGCTGGATTGTACTGCCCCGACATGATCTTGCGGTGGAGATGTTCTGACGGGAGCTGAATCTCCAGCCCGATGACGTCTCCCTCTTCAATTCCCTCGCCAGCGGGAAAGAAATCCTTTGGTCGCGACATGTGAACCTTCTCTCCGGAAACGTCTCGGATTCCGTAGCTGTAGGCATCAAATCCTACAGGAGCATCCAAGGAGGCTTCGCGCCGCGCCCAACCCATGCGTACGTGTTTTCCGCCATCTGATTTCGCCTCGCCGTCCTTGAGCTTTCGAATGCCCTGGGTGATCTTGCATTCCCAGTACGATATCCCTTCCCTCACTGCGACATTGGCTCGGGCCATGCGAAACCCCTTGTCTGTCGTGACCTGGCGCGCTGACTTGTCGAAGAAGACGTGCCCTGCTGCATCCTCAAAGCTCATGCGCGGGCCGAAGGGCTCTGGCTCGGTCTGCCGATAGTAGATCATCGAGGGGAAGAGTGGATCGGCGATGCAGTGCGTATATCGGAAGTTTTTCTTATTGCAGACGCTTTTCGGGAGTTAGCAGGGACTGGACGATGGTGGATACAGAGTGAGGCTTACTGTTCGGACGCTTCGAAGAACTCGACCGACTCGCCATTGGGAGTTTGGAGCTCATGATGGACCGTCAAGACAGGCCCCCGGGGTAACTCAAAGTCGGATGGCTTCGGGGGAGCGAGCTTATATCGTAAAGGGCTTGACTTGCTCTGCTTGGGTTCTTTCGCCGCCTTGGGATCGGGGGTTGCGCGCGCGCTATCGGGGCCGAGGGCGCCGCCTTTGGACTCGCGCTTCTTGAGCGTCTCCTTCTTCGTGCGGGCGGGCTTCGAGCGGGCGGCTTGGGTGGTATCGTCGGGGGGGAGGGAGTCGGAGGGCTTGACTTCGGGGTTGAGCGGAGAGGGGACGGCCGGGCTGTGGCCTTCGTCGAGAGCTCGCTTTTGGGGGATGGAGGAGAGGGGCGCAGTGGGAGTGGGTTCCCGTTTGGGGCTGCCGACTTCTGAAGAAGCCATGAGAAGGGAAAGAGGGGGAGGCGAGGGAGGGGGATTGACGGGGATTGGAGTCGTCAATTGGGTCCGATCGAGGAGGTGGTGATCCCGATGACGGGGAAAGATATGGAGCACTGATAGCGATAAGCACGCAGGAAGAGGAGCAGGAGCAAGCGCAGGCGCAGGAGCAGAATTGCAGGGACAGTGACAAGCGCAATGACGAGCACAAGCTAGGGTGGTGAGGTACCGAGGTAACCTGGCGTCTGGCGGGATGAGGTGCAATGGTGTTGAGGCGCGCTGCGGGCAAGTTCTCGCAAGGCGCGTCGTGATTTGGTAAAGCGCTTGGTGTGGCGCGTCAAGACCAGGTGCCAGAAAAAAAAGAGGGCCCGATCTCGGCCTAGCGCCAACTGGATCTAAGTCGGTCGGACGACGATCCCCTGCGCGAAGCGGGCAACGCCGTTACGGCGTCAAGTGGCCCTAGAGCATTTTCTCCGGCCCGGTGCGAGCCAATGGGCGTGCAGCGAATGTAATCGAAGACATCTCAGGGGCGACTGCGTGTCTCGAGAAGAAGCTTTGACAGAGCCGCGGTGAGGTGACCCCACCAGAATCACCAAAATGCGCCGGCGATGGCCATGGGCTTTTAGGGCTCGAGGCGACTCTGCGCCGGCGGTCGAGGCTCGGCAGGGGCGCGCAGGCCATTGCCGTGCGGTGTAGCACTACGTAGAGGACGTAGAGGACGTAGAGGACGGTTCAAATCCGGCAGAGGCCACAGAAGCGAGCCCGGGTTCTGCAGCTCCAAGACAGCGCCCTGCAAACGCCCAGTGAAGGAGAGCGTGCCCCTGGACCCCCTCAGCCCTCCTCCTCAACAGGGCTCAACAGGGGCGGCTTTAGAAGGGCCTTGCAAGTCTGTTGACAGGTCGCCCGCTCCAGCCCGTCGGAACGGGGCTTCCTGCTTGGCTTTTTCGTTAGGGCGGCCGTCGGTCGGGCGCTGGCAGGCTGGCAAGCTGGTTACCCCAACCCACCGCTTCTTTTCACCCACTGTCATCATCTCAGGCCCTCATCTCCATTGTTGATCACATCACGCCGGCGCATCACGCAGTGTCCCGTCGCCTTCTCCGCCTCGCCCATCGCCCATTGTCGCCGCCCGTCTTCCCCTCCCCCTCTCCAGCCCACTTGCGGCACAACCTCCCCAGCCAGAAACGTGACAGGAAACCCCCCGGCCCTGGGCTTTTCGTCGTGTCACGCACGTCACTCCCGGCCCGCGACTCGTCCATCTACAGAGGACGGGAACTGTCAACCACACCCTCCTCCGCCTGTGCCTCTTGCGCTCCGCGCTCTCCGTGCTCTCCCTGTTAGCTGTCTGCGTTCCTCTGCGTCGGTCTGGCGTTCTGGCCCTGGCCATTCCCGGCGCTGGCACCCCCCCTCTAGTCGCCGTCGTCGTCGTCTCCCCCCCCGTTCTCTCGCCGCTCGCAGTCCCTGGCGCAAGGTCCTCCTGGAATACCAGGTCATGCACATGCACCTGCCGACATCCCTCTCCCTATCCACTGCCCTCATCTTATCCACATCGGTCCATTAAGGCTAAGGGACACCGGAGGGTCCAATTCACCCCAGCAGGTCCCCTCAGGCCCATGCTCATGCGTCTGCCGACAGCATAACTCTCGCCTGTCTGTCGTCTTTTCCCTTCAGACAATCCTCCCCTGCTCTGCTTTGCTCTGCTCTGCTCTGCTCTGCTCTGCTCTGGCTGCTCTGGCCTCTCTCACCACCCCGCCAACGCCCTACATAATATCAATGTGCTGGGCGACTGTGATCTGATCCCCCCCGTCATCTAACCACTTACGAAGTACCTGGTCACTCCGTCCCAAGCTGGTGGTGCCAATTTAGACAGCCCCCTGCCGTCTGCCAAGCGCGCCTTCGCCTTCGTCGCCTCGATTGCATTCGACTACTACTACCTGTTGGCCCCCGCGCCACACTGACGCTTCTCGCTGACTACTACATACTACGTACTTCAAACTTTGTACACCGGCTTCACCTCAAATTCAAACCTCGACTCCGTATACACCTGTATTTGGGCCTGGCACTACCTTCCCCATCCCCCTCCATCTCCTCCCCGTCGTCTCCCTGATATCCTCCAACGACTTCCGCCCCCAAGTCGCAAACCCAAATCGACATCTACGACTGTTAGACGCCTCGGTCAGGGTTTTGGTTTGTCATCGCTGCTAGACTTGGTCTCGAAGCCGCCGTCCCGAGTTTCCGCTTGCAGTCGCGTCATCCCCCGGGACCACTCTCGCCGACCCCCCTCCCCATTCGACTGACTCGGCTTGTTGGGGCTTTGCCCAGTCATCTGCCTCGACTTGGCCTATCTCGTACCCCAGTGGTCGTCTCGATCATCTGACCACCAACCTTTCCTGCTCCATTGCATACATACGCAGATCTACTGGCCTGCCGTGTTGCCTTTGTCTCGATACCGGTTCCAGAGACTACCCTACTTCATACCTGCCCTGGTACGTCGTATCCACAGGACCCGGCACCGGCACTTATCCGACTTCGCCTCATTCCCCATCGGGCTTGTAACCAACTGCAACCTTCTTTGGCTTGCACGCACCTAGGCATCTCTTTCATCATCAAAAGTCTGCCTATCTCACCACTTTCAGCCCCTTTCTTACGCAGCCAAAGGCCGTACACCGACGCTCATGCATGCTACAGCCCTCGTTTTGTATCGGTCCAATCCAACTCGTCTCCAACACACCCTCTCGTTGTCCTGCCGCTTTCAGCAACGCACTTGCCGGCCATCTCATTTCGGCGGCTTCTCTACTTGAAGATCCCGTTCGCTCCACGGGAATGAGCGAGGACACGCAACCAAGGGCGCCGTATAGCCATCAACGCGAGGCCGGCTCTGTACGAACCGCCTTGCCCTCAAGGCCAATGTCGTCCAAACCGAATGACATGCCTGGGGCATCTTCTCAGGAACGAACCAGACTTCCGACTGACCCGGAAAATCGAGACTACCGATCAAAATTTGGTGGCTCCCCAGGCTCCAGAACAACTCCCCCCAGCGACTCAATACCCAAGGTTCCCAGCCCTGGCTCGTCGAAATTGGATCATGGCCCAAAAGCGAGTCCGCCCCCAGGAGGCGGCCAAGGCCAAGGCCAGGTCTGCAGGTGAGAATCGCATTTCCAGTTCATTCTTGACTCCTAGCTCACCATCGAGTAGCAACTGCGGCACCACTCGAACTCCTTTGTGGAGAAGGTCACCTCAAGGAGCTACGATTTGCAACGCCTGCGGCCTCTATCTAAAAGCTAGGAATGCCTCCCGTCCAACCAGTCTCAAGAGACCACCGAATGTCGTTCCCGCGGATCTTCCCCGAACCAGTCCTTCGAAGCCCCTTCAGGCGTCTTCGTCCAAGAATCCGTCTAGCGCGAACCCAGCAAGTTATGTTTCTGCCGACCAAACCCCTGGAGGAACCTGTCCTGGCGGCGGTCGGTGCAATGGAACAGGTGGCGCCGAAGGATGTAATGGGTGCCCTGCCTACAACAACCGTGTGTCCAAGAGCTCTCATCTGAACGTCATGCAAAAGCGACAGGGTTGCCAGAGTCGACCCGAGAGTGTGAAACCTGAACCCGTTCCCGTCGACGTCAACGCTCTCCAGGGCCAATCCTCCAACGCTGTCGTCATTGCGTGCCAAAACTGTGGGACCACCATCACTCCCTTGTGGAGAAGAGATGAAAGTGGCCATACCATTTGCAACGCTTGTGGTAAGTTTTCAGCCTTGAGAGGCTTTCTTTATTTGCTGACTATCGAAGGATTGTACTATAAACTCCATGGTGTTCATCGCCCCGTGACAATGAAAAAATCAACCATCAAGAGACGGAAACGAATTATCCCTGTTACTCAGGATGAGGAAATGGAAGACGCCATGGACTCGGTCGAAATACAGAACCAGAGCCAAGAGCCAACTCCCGAGAGAGGAACGATCAATGATGATGGGTCTATCAACTTGGGTTTGCGGAGGCGTCCAGAACACCCTCTCACGATCGAACCCCATCCTGTCATGCGTCCAAACAGAAGGATGTCACCTTTACCATCTACGTCCGACCTCGCGGCATATCATCAATCCAACAACATGCGCAATCTCCCTTCTTCACTTAACGACGACAATAGGTTACCCCCGATGACATCGATGACGGCCGCTGCCGACAGACAGTCGTCTCTATCCCCTGCGTCTTTCCTCTCGCCGACACGGAAACGCTCCTTCTCTACGACCGAAGGCGAACCGTTCAACTTGAACGAGGGCGGACAGGAGAGCACGAAGCGAATCTCGTCGATTAATCTCAAATCAATCCTGAACCCTGCGAACTCAACCGGTAGCCCCTCGAATACAGGGCCAGGGAGCGACGACGGGGACTATTCCCTCCCACCCATACGGTCGCCTGGAAGTACAACCGCCTCGGCTCCGAGCCCCGGGGCTTTTTCGAATCGAGACCCCACCCCGGGCGCCCCACCAGGCTCGCGCGACTTGAACATGGAGAGTGAGAGGCTTAAATCCGAGCGCCGAGCTGCCCTCCAACGGGAGGCTGAGAGGATGCGAGAGATGCTTGCTGCTAAGGAGCGAGAGCTGCAGGAACTTGGACATGATTGATGAGGCAAATTCACGACGGGACAAATCAATGACTAATGAGGTTCTTCCATGTCAGCAAGGAGTCACTGGAACACTGAACTACCACGAACGGTTCGAGGATTATGGAGCCCTGGATGGGCTGGGCGCTTTTGGAATTCACACTGCACATGAAATTTCTCTACGGTTACAGGCTCATGATACCGGGTGTTGCGCTTTTAAGGAATCGGATCATTTGCAGACACTTTTCTTCAAAATAGGTATGGAACCGGTCGACAAAAGACTAAAAAGGGCGACTGCGACACCGCGGTCTCCAACGCCTCTCCTCTACAATGGCATTTCATATGCATGCATAGATCTGGCTAGGTGGGCTGGGTGGACAGTGAGATAGTTTCTAGGAGCTAAAAAGGAGATGCGATGGAACGGTTGATAAAAATGGACTCAATAACGACTCGACAAGACGCTGGTTTGGGGCCAATTGCAGGTCCTGTTTGATTTCCAACGGCGGCGGAGTATGGAATGGGCCAACTCGCCATCCCCAGGAGGTCTGCAGGACCACGAGCCTGAATCGCTTTGTCACTATGACATGAATATACGCATGTGCACAACCCTGGACGAGGTTGCATTGGGCCACAGCTTCGGCTAGAGGCATCTTTTTCCATCTTTACTCTTTTCTCGCCATTGTGAACTCATAACGAGATGGTGGCATTCCTGAGAAACGTCATGGGCTCATTGGCCAAAGAAGCACCTTTCGTCATTATGACGGGATTGTCAACTGAGGTCGCCCCAGGGTCGGCGATAGGGCTGAAGTCCTTGTTCAGCCGAGGACAAGCACATGGACCGTCTAGAACAACGAGATGATAAGGCCATCGCTAAATGGTTCTATATTTCAGGAAAGGAAAAAAATGGCGCCACAAGTTCAACGTGACACGGCGGGCAGTGTCTGCGGTTGCGTAAAGATATGAAAACGTGGTTGAGCTGATAGACATGGGGCGAGGAGAGAGGGGAACCAGACCAGGGACAGGGCCATTGTCCAACCAGACATCGGGGCTCTGTTGGTCGGTGTTCCACAGGTGGAGCTTCGTCGGTGTCGTCACGAATCGAGTTTGTGGTAAATCGGCGATTTGTTATTCGCTTTGTGTTGCGGGGATTGGAGACATCTGACAAGCCCATATCCACTTGGTGACACGAGTCCCTGGTCTTGGCAAGCCAGAGTTGGCCGGGTGCCGAATCTAGCAGTCTTTTTTCTTTTTCTCTGGAGACACTTTCCATGTGCCGCCGTGCTAGTCAGACCCTTAAAGGTTCTAGAAGATGACATGCACCAGGGCTGTGGAATGCTGTTAGTCGTGTACGGAGAGAGAACTCGGAAGATGCCGATAAAGGCCCGCAGGAGAAGTACCAGAAATGGGATAGACAACTTCGCCGCAAGCCGCGTGTATCTCAACAGGAAAAAGAGACACCCACATGTCGTCTGGTCGGTCTCTGTCGTCGGTCTCCGAGAGAGAGAGAGCTCAAAGCAGGCCCCCCATCCCTGCCAGCGTCGGCGCCACCAAGCTATGAAAAATTCACCAATCCAGATCGTTTTGGGCCTTTGGCTAAAGGGTGACTAGGCAGTTCTTAGCATCTCTCACTGTGAGAAAAAAAAAATTAATGCATGCCGTTAGCGGCAAGTAGCTGGCGATCCTACTTTGGAGCAGCACTGGACGCCAGTAATGACTTGCGCCAGGCCGCAGCTCACCAGCCTGTTGGGTTTACAAGTGGGCTGTGATGTTTGAAAGCGTATCTTCGACTCGCAATCCGATCGGGACCCGATCGGGGATGGAGCTTAAGCGGAGGATGAGGCCTGCGAGCTGAATGAATGGGTATTGGGTTCTGCGGAGTGTGGTCGGCAGGAGGCAGTGATTGGGGGATGTTCTGCAGTGTGTGGGTGTGATGAGTTGGGTTCCCTGTTCTTTACGAGAATGGGCGTAATGCGGGCTGAGCCTGAAGGGGTGATCTTTCCGAGGGGGTCATACGTCTACATATAATTGACGCGGCTACCCATATCCGAAAAAAAGTGAGACAACAGGATTTCCTGCTTTGCCGCTGCTAGGGTACAGCTCACGAGACAAGATGGGGTGATATCTGGATATGGACTTCCGTGATGTTCTCCACTGGCAGCCACCAAAGGGACATCGCTGGGATCGCGATACGCCACTATACCGCGGATGATAAATGAATATGAAGTAAGCTTTATGTCTGAGCCTTTGAATATATTGCTGGCTCGAGGTACGATGCGATGGCTCACACAATGGGCGTTGGGGGCATGAAATCTAAATATGCAAGACAACCTCTCAGACGTGGGGGACCTAATGATCTCCTCCTTGAGCGCGAAGGAGACGGTCTGTAATATGTTCTAATGATATAAACAAATTACAGCGACACGTATCCATCTGCTACCAGATTAGCATTCAAGAATATCCCGATGCCATTAGGTTTCATACCAAACAGAGTTGCACACCACTGACTGAGACAATTTGCCATTAACTGAGATGATAAACGACTGTGCATGGAATGGCCATTTCAAAAATCAAGTTTTAGCCCCAGGGGGAACACCTCTAGACCGAGGAAAGAACAATAATACGACCGTGGCAGTGAAGGTGAACAAACAAATCCACAATGTGACCAGCAGGGGACCACGGCCAAGAGAAACAATATGATCGATCCAATACGAAACATTCGCGCTGGACGGCACGGAGAATCGACGGGGTATTTACCAATTTCCTAATAAATCGTTTCAAATCCTAGATCCACTAGCAGGCATGCCTAGACTTGTTTCGGACCTATGATTAGACATGCTTCTCTCCGAATTGTCGGGTATACTGGCTGTTATGTTGCCCTGGTGTATGGTTACATATTAAATGCGGTTACTGCGCCATGGGTAGCTGGGGTGTTGGGTAGGAACATACATGGTTGCTTGACAGTGGCTATGCGTTGGGCATATCTACTAAGAGTCTTTGTCATAACTATCCAAGGTCCAGGTGTGATTGAGAATCGGGTATTGATATCCCCATACGGTTTGCCTGGAACCTGGCCACTGGAAGAGATGGGGACTAATGATTGATAAACCAACTCCATGATAGACCGGTGTACAATAGGTTGGCTCGTCATATGTTCATATATGAGTGGAAGATTTGAGGCCCAAAGGCTACAGACAAGAGCAGGAATGATTGATGGTGTCTTTTGTATGTCAATTTACTGGGAAGTAAGCGAATACGAAAGCCGAACCCGGCCTATGGCTTAGTAAATCATATTAACCTGAGAGGAGTCTGCAATTTACCACTCAGCCTGCAACTTGCATATTCTCCGGATGCCACACTACGGAAAGAACATTGGCGTGGGTTCAAGAACTCGTAAGAAGAGGAAGTGTACTGGGAAACTTGGAGAGCGCTTCACTATCTTGAGGTATATTTCGGAAAATGCTGCCGAATCCGTTGAAGAGTAGGTCGCCCTGTGTCATGAATGTGTGTACCAGCTAGGTAGAAGCGTACACGGCATTGGTAACTAGCCTCGTTACACCCAGTAGCACTGACATTGTAACGTAGCTACAGTCCCAATAGTAGTGTAACTGAGCCTGGCATCAAGGGTGCCGTTACAAGATGTCATAGGGCGGGCAGAGACGACCAGGAGAGATGGAAATTCGATCGGAAGAGAGGCGGCGAAGCGGCGGTGCCGACCAGAGCTAATTGATTGACTAAAGCTACAAGCAAAACGGGTTTTGGGAGAAAGTACTAATTCGAGAGAGAGAAAAGAAGGCTCCATGAAATTTTGAGAACTGAATACAATTGTGCCGCCAGAGTTTGGTTCCTCCGTGCCGAGAGTTGGAGGCTGTATCGGCGAGAGTCGCCCGGCCACTGCAAACCGTCGCGACTTACACTCTCTGGTCATAACAGGCAAACGGAGCGTTAATGTATATAGATCGTATCTCACAAATATATCTATATATTGACAGGGGTGATTTCCTTCCTTGGCAGCGCACGCCGACAACCATGACAGATCCTGCTGACCTATTAATTCTTGCTATAAGGGCAACTGACAATTCGATGGAAATTTGGGGGGCCCGGATCTATTCCTTTTGAAATGTTGCCGTGCGTGTCCAACATGAACGTTTTTAACATCAGACGTCCCCCCTGAGCGCCCAACTCGACGTTGGTCCCTCAGGGATTCCTCATGCTCGATTCTCCCTAAAGCAGCCAATACAGACGAAATACAACATCTGATGCAAATCCACTTATCTCTGGGAGTCGAAAAAGCCAAGAACGTAGTAGGAAGTATATGGGCTATCTTATTTGTGAGTTGGTCTGGTGCCCAAGGTGAGACAGGCTCGGTATCGAAAGCCAGATCATCAGCAACCAGCAAGACTGAAGATTCCCTGGGATCAAGCTGGTTCCGGCAAAAGAATGACATCATTTACTACCAATGCAACGAGAACAAGGGCAGTAAAATTGACGGGTGTTGACTGAGTTTGAGGACGTTGCATGGACGTCGATCTGACAATGGTTCAAAACACCACGCATCTATGTCTAAGGAACTTCTATCCGCATACAAGTGCAACTGCCTTTATCTAAACATCGGCTAATTTATCATGCCCGGCTTATATGAGCAGTAGAAAGTACGGCCTTGCGCAGACGGCCTGATTCCATTACTTAATAAAATAAAGTATCCTTAGAAGTTAGGAGTAATAATGTAAGAAATGATTGTACTAAATTTACCCTACTGAATAACTTCGGCTCGTTATTATTAGTTCTTTTTAGGATTGTGGCATGTGCTCATGTGTGTGAAAATAGCAATACTTCAAGCTACAATACTCTTAGCTAACTTACCAAGTATTAGTTTTCTCGCTCCAGCATGATTTTGATCAGGTATTAAAGAAGCCGTAAACCGGCGGGTGACAAAGGAGAAAGAGGAATAACGGGTAAACTACCGATCTCCTGTTGGATTTGAGAATGCGGGGATAAGAACTATGCTCGGTGTCGTAATAGCCGTCAACAACAACGACAAAAACCGCAACCCTATTCATCACCAGTGAGCCACTTTTACGACATATCGGATCTCCGATTCGGGTCACTGCATAGTTCCCCGGCGGGGGAGATATATGTACCTCGACCAAGCGTTCCATACCGCATTTGTTCTAGGTGATTCATAGACAAATATGTGAGCTCTGCTGACGAGGATACTATCCCATGGCTGGGCTAGAGCCTGGGATTAACACCCCCATATCTCTTCCCAGAACATGTCTCGGTCGTCTTTTACGCATCGCACTAGACGTATAATCGGTGCAAGGATTTGGCTCTCGAACTCGTCTTGGCCGTCATCCCTCACCCGCTGGACATGACAAATAAACCCACTTGAAATGTGTTTACACTTAACGACGCCCTGCAGAAACTGTATACTTAATCCATACAGCCATCTTGATTGAGTAGCGTTGTACGTACGGGCTCCCCTTGCAAGGAAACTGAGGGGACTCCCTGATAGGTAGTGAAAGGACTGGCAGCGTATGCACGGCATGAATGCTCTGAGCCTAATGTCACCGGGAAAAAATACCACCTGGATCTGGTTCGGGTAAAATAAACACACGCTCTCTCACTAACTCACACAGTGTAAAGCGCGGGCGGTGTGGAACTCGACGACTGATGAGCGTTGGAAAACTCACTCGAGGTTTCACTTCCTCCGCAGAGAGGCGGCCCCAACTGATGCTGCTACTCAAGGGAGGCATAACGCCAATGCCACCAGGCACCAAGCATTTGACATCAAGCTTGGAGAACTTGACGGCACTGTGAGATAATTCATTGGACAGCCAAAGTCTGCAGAGTTTGTGGTCACCTTAGATAAGCGACTGATCTAATTTAAGGAGTCATGTTGACATCTGCAATAAACCTTTCCAAGCTTGTTCAACGTCGGCCGCTGAAAGACGAAAGGTACGTAGGTGCTTAACCCACTTGCTTGTGGCCAAACACGGTCCCTCGTCTTTCGGGCGACCCGTAATGGTCGCGACTTATTTATTAGATAAGATGCGTCTAAATATTTCTACATGGTATGACTCGACATGTTCTAAGCGTTCCAAACCATGTGCATCCATAACTGGTGGAGTGGGGCCGCGGTCAACGAGTTCGCATGACGCCACAGGTGACACCCCAGATTTCACCGCAAGTCAGTGTTGCGATTGATATTGACCACTCACTAGGTTGATTACCTCACTGGGTTGATTACCAATATGCGAGAATGCAACACTACTGTACGGACATGGCGCATCGCAATACGCCCGAGATCAGCGGCTAAAGTAGGCAGACGGGCACACGAGCAAGAGAACACAACAGCAGCGTCAGCCCATCGTTTGTTGGCTACCTATCCCTGGCTGATGGCACCGTGCGTTTCCCCGTGCTCAGAGAAGATGTCTGGAATGTTCCAGCGCGTTCAACGCAGGAATCAGGAGGAACTTCCTAGAAGCAAAAGTACTCGATATTGGCCGAGGTGGGGGGCCCGCATGGGTTGTGGCTGTGGCTGTGGCTGTGGTCAAGATAATCGGCGGCCATGGCGGTCGGTCGGTCGGGGAAACGGGAACGGGCAGTCGCGGTCACTTGCGGTCAGTTCCGGCCACGGACCGGTCTATTGCCCCGGTTGGCAAGCCATGGGTGTGCCCCCGCCAAAGCGACGATCCAAAGAATCCCACGAAGCCAGATGGAAAGGCGCAAGCGGTAGAAAAACCAGGGTGGTGACGGTGGGCCGGTCTCGGGCAGGCTTCGAGTGGGTGGGCTTGCAGCGTGCAGGCTTGCAAACTTGCAGGCGGGCTAAATAAGCCTCTAAAATCGTCGTCGGCTGCGCGGCCACGCCTTGCGAACAACGAGGAGCGGAGCCCCGGATGCGCCCCACCCGGCCTGACACGGTGCGAGGGTTACTGTGATGTCGAGCTGACCATCTCACCGACAAGAGTAAAAACGCTGCTGATCGGGGCGTCCAAGGCGACCTGTGGCGCACGGACATGCCCGCATGCTCTCCACAACACAGTGCACCGCCCAAGCCGGCACCGTAAACCCACGCAATTGGTGCGCTGACCCACCCTCTCCAGGCCCCAAATCGTGCTGCCTGTCAATCGAAGGGCGCACTCTTGACATTCTGGCACGCACGAGACCCCAGCCAGTCGTGCCTTCTCCTCGGTGGGTCGTCGTTTTCCCCTTGACTTGCTTGGGTGGCTCTTTTGGTGTGGCTGGACTTGGGTGCAATAGGCGCTCCAGCGGGCAGACTCTCTCTCATGACTCCATCCGACGCCGCATCTCAGAACACCATCGATTGAACAAAACTGTGCCGGCCTCCACGTATTGCTGACTCGTCTTCTCCCCTTTACTTCATCTTTATGTCAACTTCTCTTGGCTCGAAAGGCGTCAGGAAGTGGGACACGTTTGAATAAATCCTCGTCGACTTGACATTGACATTGACACTACAGCACTACACAAAGGGCGGGTGCTTGTCATTGTGACGCCTTTTCACACCCTCGTCGATGAAACACGCGCCTTTCGCCTGACTACAGCTCGTCTGCATTGCGCCCTTTGAGCTACCGCAGCCATGACCACCCTTGACGAGATGGACGAGTATGTCGACTGGGACAAGGCTGGCGACGCCCTGGGTAACTCCATGAGCAACGCATTTCACCCCGAATCCACCCTCGCCCACTCTACCGACAACGACAACATCGATCTCGTCCTAGCAAATGTCAACGAGGACGACTTTAGTTTCTGCGCCCTGCAGCACTTCTCCGAGAACAACTTCGCCATGCCCGATGTCGCCACTGCTCCCCTCGACATGGACTTGACCACGGCCCTCGACTGGGACTTCCCCTCGAAGCCGTGTACCAACTGCTCCCTCGGTGGCTTCTCGTGCAAGACCATCCGAGAGGGTCAATTGAATGGCTACTGCACCAGCTGCGTTGCTCTGAGCGTCGACTGCAGCTTTGGCAACGGCGTTGGGCTCTTCAACCTCGATCAGACAGCCTTCCCCGCAAACCAGTGGTCTGTATCTGATCTCCAACCAACCACCACCGTCCCCGACGATGGCCATGATGACTCCCTCAGGTCGTCGCGGAACACATCGGCAACTGACTTGGTCACATTGGCCGAAGGCGGCTCGACCACCGCGGCCCCTCCTAAAATCGGTGCTCGATTCTCCAGAGAGTCTGTTCGCATCCTGAAGAACTGGCTCTCCACTCACAACCGCCATCCCTATCCCAGTGACGAAGAGAAAGAAATGCTTCAGCGACAAACCGGTCTCAACAAGACCCAAATCACTAATTGGCTAGCCAATGCCCGCCGCCGTGGCAAAGTCCAGGCACAGGCCCCTCGTTCAACATCCCCTCACTTCAAGACTTGGTCAGGTCCTATGGATATTCCTCAGCGCCGAGGCACTCCTGCCCTCGAGGCCATGAATCCGCTTCAGCGTTGGGAGCATTCTCCCCCAGAGAACGAACCCGCCTCGGTCACTGCTATCGCCAGGGCCGTCACTGCCTCATCATCAGTCCTGTCGTCAGGACTGAACAGTCCCTTCAGCTTCCACTACACGGACGATGGTTCAGGCAAATCTCTCTGCAACCAGTCTTCGGCTAGCAGTTTAGGCACATCACACTCCAGCAATGGATCGTTTGGCTCAGCCTACTCACATGGATCGCGAAATTCCTGGGGCTCCTTTGGTTCAGCCCCGTTCAACACCCGAGGTCGTCGCCGTCGTCGACGAAGAACGGCAGCCGGGAAGCCGGGTAATGAGACAAACACGAGCCTGGCAGCTCCTCTCAAGACCTTCCAGTGTACATTCTGTACCGAAACTTTTAGAACAAAGCATGACTGGCAGCGTCACGAAAAGTCGCTGCATCTGTCTCTTGAGAGATGGGTCTGCTCCCCCCACGGACCTCGAGCCGTCAACCCAGAAAACGGCCAGTTGTCTTGCGTTTTCTGCGGCTTGGCCAATCCAGACGATGCTCATATCGAGAGCCACAACCACTCAGCCTGCCAAGAGCGATCAGGCGAAGAGAGAACATTCTATCGAAAGGATCACCTCAACCAGCATCTGCGCCTAGTCCACAACATCAAGTTTTCGGACTGGTCCATGAAATCCTGGAAAATTGCGACTCCCGAGATTCGGTCACGGTGCGGTTTCTGTGGTATCGTGATGGATACATGGACCATTCGAGTCGATCACCTGGCGGAGCATTTCAAGACTGGTTATTCCATGGCTGACTGGAAGGGTGACTGGGGTTTTGAAGTCCCTGTGCTCGACATGGTCGAGAACTCTATCCCTCCTTGTATGAGACCTCTGCAATATCCTGTAGATCAGCTTAAAGCGTCTAACTTTTGAAATAGATCTCATTCATTATGAACGGAATTCTCCATTGCCATATGTAGCAAATCATTCTCCGCCAGAAACCCCCCGAAATGCTTACGAGCTAATCAAGCTCGAGTTGGCCTACTTCATGGCGAACCACGAGGAGCAACATGGACGACTACCAACCGACGACGAACTGATGGTGGAAGGATGCCGTATTATTTTTGCGAGCGAATTGTTGTCTCTACAGGGAGTTGCAACTCTCCCTTCTTGGCTTCGTGATATTATCATGAACTCCGACGCGCTGGCACAGAAGGCGCGATTCGGTCCCCTTCGTGGTGCAGCTGAAAACAGGCTCGCGTCACTCAAAATTAACGGCAAGGATAACATTTTCGAGGAGTGCCCCATGGAGGTGCAGCTTCAGGAGTTTGTTAGGTTCAAGAAGATGTTGGGCCTGACGCCAATGGACGACGAACTCCAAGAGGAGGCTTGCCACATTGTGGGCCGCGTCGAAGAAGTGTCTACACACCCTTCTGACGCCATCGCCAACTGGCTGTTGCGCCTGGTCGTATCCTCCACCACCTGGTTGGCCCCGTTCCGACGACGAGCCCATCTTCCACGGAACGAAGATATCAAGGATCAAGTGTACCGTTCCACCGATCCCACGCTGATCGACTCAACCATCCACAGCTACTCTCGCCTTGAGAGGGAACTGGGGGATTATCTCAACAGCCAACGGTCCCAGGGATTTGAGCCTACGGATGAGGATTTACAGAGGGAAGCACGTATCATTATCTATGAGTTCGATGACGGCTGGAACCAGACCGCAGCCGACAGCGTCACCTGGTTGAAGAATTTCAGGGGCCGACACCCTATTGTGGGAGCAACGACAGTATCTGATAGCTCACCAGCCATCTCCCTCCAGCCGAGTACTCAGCCCACGATGACCGAAACCCCACTCACCACAATCACCAAGTCGCCTGAGTGCCCAATGAAAAACACCCAGGGGCCTCATGAGTCCCCAAACTCACTTCAACCTGGGCCCTTTTTCCTGAATGACGCCAACTGTTACCGACGGTTAGCAAAGGAGCTGACAAGGTGGGTGTCATCGATAATGTCACCAAACAACCCCAACCAGCATGTACCTACCGATGCCGAACTGCAACATCAGGCTCGCTGGATTCTTTATGACGAGTAAGTGATTATGGTTAAAGTTCTCAAACATATAAACTAACATGTACATAGTGATGACCCATGGAACCAGACTGCCGCGGATAACATAGAGTGGCTCAGGAGGTTCAAACGCCAGGTTGGCATCCTGAAGGAGGACGGCCCTGGCCTCCCCGACTCAAACGCCTGGGCGGTTGAGCAAGGTGGCACTGGATTTGCGCCGCCTTACGCTTGCCCCAAGTCTATGCTTGAGCCATTCCACGACAATGTCCAGGTGCCGATGAGAATCGGAGCGAAGTCTTTCCCTGCAGGCCAATCAGGGGCAAACGGCTACCTGGAGACTTTGTCGTCTCAGGATGCTCGCCCAGCCTTGGTCTTCTGCTCCCGTGAGCTGGAGCGCGGCCTTATCAGTTTCGTGGAGAACCATGTGGCCAGCACAGGGCGGATGCCGACGGATGCGATGATGCAGGCCCGGGGTCGCCAGATCCTCAAATCGGACGCCACGGCAGCAGAGGACTCAACGCTGTTGACCAAGTTCAAGGAGATGATGGCCGAGAAGCTTCCGCAGGCCAGTCAGGCTGAGACAGCGATCGATGGCGCGCCCGCTATGCCCAGCAATATGGATGTGAACATTTCGGACGAGGATATCGATAACATGTTACAAGACATGAACTTTGAATTCGACACCCAAGACTTTGGAGGGGTGTCATTGTTGGGGATGGAGGGAATGGACGACATGGGTGGTGTCAGTCTGAACATGGACTGCTTCAGAAACTAGGGACCACTTTTCACGATCGAGGAGGCGCATTAGCGATGATTTTGGGGGGAGAGGTTGGAGGATTACGATGTTGGATATGCTTCTGTATAAACACATGCAGATAAAACGATGGTGTTCGATATGTCAACGACACTAGCTTGCGGATACCATGGAATTGAATGACTTTGGATGGGAATTTTAAACACGAGACGGGAAAATATCACACTGCTCTACCTACATAATAGACTTATACGTTGGGTTATCACATATGCACATGAATGGAACGGACCATGTACTTACGGTTTGTTGTATCTTATTAAGGTCGTTGTAGAAATGAAGGTGTCCCGTGCGTGCAGCAGCGTGCAGCAGCGTGGAGATGTCATGTCACCTTGCAATCCCAAAATCCCACAATCTCACAGGGATCATTTTCAAGTGCGCATTGATTCACATGACAGGGAGGCCCGGTTTCGCACCTCATAACGGGCATTCGCGCCGTGGGCCGCGCAAAACGTGGTCTTGGTCCCCAAGGCGAGACTGATTTCTGCGCTTCAACGGACGGTGGCTTCTCTGCCGTCCCAACGGGGCGCGCCAACCCAAGGACCGAAAGGATCCAAAAACACTTCATCGACCTGCGATTCCTAGCTTAGGGGATCCGCCGTTTCGTTTTCCCTGGGATCCGATCCGAACGCCCCGAGGAGTGAGGAGCGCCGGATATTTATTTGGGGCCAGCTCGTCAGCTCGTCAGCGCGGCTCCGCCCGTCGAGGCTGCGACGTCAGCCAAGGGGATTCTCGTGTGACGAAAGACGACGAGACGGCGAGGAAGAGGCCGCTGCGAGGAGGCACGCTGTGACGCAGAGATCGCGACTGGCTGCTGGATGACACCGGCAATCGATTGAAGGCGCTATTGCTCTCGTATCGCGCCACCACGCTTCTTCGCCTCGACAATGCCGACGTATCTGTGCCACGGCTTCCGATGGCACCGGCGCGACATCCGCGTCTTTGTCGTCCTCAACGACCTCGACGACGCCGCCTCGAATTGGGTCATCGGGCCGGCTACGTCGTCGGCCATCCTCTCCCAGTTCCACACCAGCTTCAACTTCCTGCCGGAGCCACCGTCACCGTCTGCGCCGCCATCGCCATATGTGACCAAGAAGCCTCGGCCCGCCACGGCCTCGGACGGAGAGCCCTTGCATCACGACGACGACTTCACCGTGCCGCCGTCGCGCGTCGCCGAGGCCAACGACGCCGTGCTCGTGCACTCCTGGTCCGCCGTGAAGCTGCTGGAGGAGTTTGACCCGGAGGACACCAGGTTGCCGAGCCGCCCGTACGCCTATGTCGCCGACTACGTTGTGCGCATCGACCTCAGCGCCAATGTGGTCGATGAGATGGCCAAGTACCGCATGCGGAAGCAGGATGAGTGGTTTGAGAGGTTGAGAGACGAGTTGCAGAAGGGCGAGGACATACGATGGTATGTCGTCGTCTGTGGAGATGAATTGAGGGAGGTGCCTGCAGAGAGTGACGATGAGGCAAACCTCAAGGACGACGAGAGTGAGGAGGAGTCTGTAGTCGACGACGACGACATGTCACAAGGCATCCCCCAAGGGTTGAAACCACGGCCCTCGAAACCACCACCTTTGAAACCACCACCCCTACAGCCAGTCCAGCAGCAACAACGACCACGGACGAGTCCTGGGCCGTCGAGCACCAGCAGCCTTCCGCTGCGTCCATCGCCGCTCAGTTCACACCCGCCCCTCCCAACCCCCCCAGCCGAACCAGGAGGCCAAAAGCAGCCTGCGCGGCCGCCGCTGAAGAATAAGAAGTCCATGGCAGAGGGGCTGAGGAGGTTGTTCGGGAAGAAGGAGAGTGCCACGCGGTGAGTGCGCTGGGGGGTGGGGAGTCTGTGTCATTGGGAGTCTTGGACAGCGAAAAAGCGTGCCTGGAAATTGGGGCTTTTTTTCGTCGTCACTGGAGAAGCGACGACGTTTGATTTCTGAACTGAAAGAGCGAGACTGTTTGGAAGAGTGGTAATTGTCGGTGCAAATCATTAATGTTGATAGGACTCAGCGAGGGAGGGGGATTGCAATAATTGGTGTTGCAGGCCCGGATGCAACAGAGGGAGGCTAAGGATCAGCATCTTTTCATGCTTGGGATTTAAGCCGTACACTTTTTAGAATACTTAATTGGCCAATTCAATAATACTTAGTTTACCCATGTGAAACAGAAACTTCTCGATTGAACCCCAGTTGCACATCACACATCACGCAACCAAACATCCCGATACTCCGGGTCGGATGGAGCCAAAGCTGAAACCCGCGTAAGAGACGTCCCGATGACGTCGGGCCTCGCGTCACGTGTGGGCGAGACACCTCTCCAATTGACCGTCCAACCGACAGGGCCCAGCAGTGCAACGTCGTTCTGTCCACGCAACAACCTCCTTACCTCAGGTAGCGAGGATGAATTCTCTGCTCGCTCACCTGCAATAGCCGCCTCATCCCTCCCCGGCGCACCGGTCTTTTCTGCCGCCGACCCTCCGCAGCATTGCTCTCCTCCCGCTGCGCCCCCTTTCCATCCTCCGACTCCGTGTTCCTCCCCCCCCCGAAAGCCGGTGGTAGCTCCAGATGACCCACCCCGCGCACCCGGACGCCGCCGAGTCGTTCGCCCAGACCACGGCCGAGTTCAACCTCAGCGACAGCGACGATGAGGATCTCCGGTCGGCCGTCGGCGGCAGCGAGTCGTACGAGCTGCGCGACCGCGACCGCGACCGGGACCGCATCGGCGGCGGGCCAAGTGCCATTTGGGATGTCGACGACCACAACCACCTCCAGCCGTTAGTCGACCGCCGTCCCAGCGGGAGCTCCGTCGCGAGCTTCCAGCTGTATACTCCCGACGAAGACCGCGCCGTGCGTGGCAAGTTCGACCGCAAGCTGGTGCTCTTCGTGGCGCTGCTGTTCCTGTTGAGCTTCGTCGACCGGTCCAGTATGTCCATCCCTCCACTCCCCGAACATTCCATGCCGAACCAGAACGCTGATCCTAATTCCCCACGCAGACATCGGCAATGCTCGCATCGCAGGCATGGACGAAGACCTCCAGACCTCCCCGCCGCGCGATGATTGGTACGACTGGTCGCTCACGGCCTTCTACGTCTCGTACATTGCTTTCGAGTGGATGTCCCTCCTGTGGAAGGTCATCCCCGCGCACATTTTCGTGTCCATGGTGGTGCTGACGTGGGGTCTGACGGCCTCGCTCCAAGCCATTGCCACGTCGTACCCCGTCCTGATTGCCCTGCGTGTGATCCTCGGCATTGGCGAGGCGGGCTTCACGGGCGTTCCGTTCTATCTGAGCTTCTTCTTCAAGCGGGAGGAGCTGGCCTTCCGCACTGCCATCTTCATATCTGGTTCGTACACCTCCCTAGATACGCTGAAATCACATGGCTCACCTTGAACCTTTCTATAGCGGCCCCTCTCGCCACAAGCTTTGCGTCCACGCTTGCCTGGGTTATTATCAAGTTCGCCCAGCTCAGTCCCATCGCGCCCTGGCGGCTGCTCTTCATCGTCGAAGGCTTTCCCTCCGTGCTCGCCTCCGTCTTCGCGTGGCACATCATCCCCGACTCTCCGCAGACGGCATCGTACCTTACCAAGCGAGAGAAGAAGGTTGCCCGCCTCCGCCTCCGTAATGAAAAGACCACCACGGCTAAGTCGAAGCCCTCATCCGGCCTCAAGGCGCGGGACGTCGCCGCCGTGTTCGCCGACCCCATCGCCTGGATCACGGCCGCCATGTTCTTCCTCACCAACATGGCATACTCGTCGCTCCCTGTCTTCCTCCCCAAGATTCTCACCGAGATGGGTCACGATACCCTCACCTCCCAGGCTCTCAGCGCGCCACCCTACCTCGCTGCTTTCTTTATCGTCCTCTTCACCTCCCACATGTCCGACCGTCTTCGCGCCCGTACGGTCCCCTTGATCTTCCATGCCCTCGCTTCCGCAAGCGGCTATGGCCTCCTCGCCCTCGCCAAGCCCCTGGACCTCCCTAGCTTCGTCCGTTACATGGCTGTCTATCCTGCAGCCATTGGTTTCTTCAACGTCGTCACCCTCATCATCACCTGGAGCATCAACAACCAATCCAGCGAGAGTCGCCAGGGCGGTGGCTTTGCCCTCCTCCAACTTGTTGGCCAGTGTGGTCCTCTCATCGGCACCCGCCTGTATCCTGACCGTGACGCACCCTACTACACTCCGGGCATGTCGACCTGCGCCTTTGCCATGTTGGGCGTCGCCTTTTTAGCTTTTGCTCTGCGTCTGTATCTCAAGCATTTGAACCGCAAGCTAGACAGAACGGAGACCGAGAGGCTGGCTGATGGAAGTACTGTTGAGGAGGAGGGCCTGGTTGGCCCCGGAAAACGAAAACAAACACCAGGCGCGACTTTCCGTTATATGTTGTAAGATGATTGTGTGTAATGTAGACCTGGCTCGGCATTGGTATGTTGGATATGCAGTGGCCAATTGGATACTTGATGAACCGAGCCTATTCAAGTGCGTCTGGTATTTGTATCCTGCTGATACCCCTTAATGACTATTATAATTAACGTACACCCCCACCTCCTTCATTTTTGCATCTTGAACGACGACCCGAATTGCATCCACTCTGGTGCATGATACTTCTCGACGCCGTCCTTCCACCACATCTTATGTCCATAGCGACTCCGCTCAATCGAGAAAGTCCCAAACCCCTTTTCAATCTTTCCCTTGATTGCATCTCCGGGCTTGTTTCGGCGCCGCAAGGCCTTCCAGGCAGCATATTGTTTCATCTCCTCATCGCGCTGGCGCCTCATTGATTCGCGGGCACGGCTGAACTGACGGGTGCTGTCCTGATACGCGTTACTGGCCAATCTCTTGATCTCGAGGCGTGGTCGCTTTGCAAAAGGCTTCGAAAGACTTCGAAGGGAAAACTGGGAGGGCTTGCGCTTTGTTCCTTTAGGCCCCGTGCGTTGATATGCCGAAGGAAGCGGGCTCTCAGGGTGAGGAGCATCGCCTACCCCGTCGTATTGGTTCTTGATCGCCATCACCTCACTATAGCGCGGGGGCTTGGACTCGGCCGAGGTTCTAGTAGAGCTTTCTTCGCTGCCCAACCTTGCTTGTTGGAATGTTGAGTCTTCGGGCAGTATTTCCGCACTTGAATTGAGTTCATAGCGATGGTACGACGCGATGGGCTCGCGCTCTCCTTGCCACTGTGTAATGACAGCCGCAGCTTCCGCGATGGCCTCTTGTGTGCTACCCGAAGTACTAACAGACCGTTGCTTGGACGATGTTGAGCTCGAATGGAACTGGGATAAGCGGCGATTGGAAGGTCCGAACTGGGAAAGATTTGAGAGACTCAGGGTGTGAAGAGGCAGTTCAGACACAGGCGATTGAGTTGATCGAATGCCCTTGGAAGGGTACGACGAGGAGGTGCTTCGTACCCGAGTAATCTGAGGCTCAGGGGATAGAGACTCTGATGAACCTAACCTGAGGTTTTCGCCAACCAGCTTGAGGAGATTGGCATGTTCAGCGAGCAGTTCCACAGGTGGTGATTGGGATGGCGTGTTGAGTAGTGACCCAAGATCATCAGGCTTTGCCTAGACGGCCTGCTCATCCTGGGTGTGTTCGTAGGGCGACGAAGGGAACATGGCGCCATTTTGAAGAAATGGGGGCGGGTTTGTAGTCCAAGTATTCGAGTCGGCGGGATCGAAGCTTGAGAACGCTGCTGAGGCGGCATCATCATCCTTGATTATCTCTGGCCTGGAGTTCTCCTGAGTGAGACGATGTCGAGTAACGATCCTCCCACGGGGGTCGGACCGTCGGCGAGAGCGGATGGGAGCACGCTTCAGAGCGCAAGCTGGAGTGGGCTCAGCGTTAAAGGTGATCTGGTTGTTGTGGGAGTCATGACCAGAGGGGATGGTCCGAGGATGGGGGCGGATGGGAAGGGTGAAATGATGTGGCATGATCAACACGATATCTGGATGTTGGTTGGGATATGAGTGTAGAGAGTAGTAAGGGGTCTCTGTTTATTGATGGAAGAGAAATACTAGCAAGACTACGAGATGTTAAAGTAGTGGCAGGTCTTGCCTTCGTTCTTGTCGTGAATCTTCTGGATGTAGATGGCTATAACCACCCACCCTCCTGCCGTCCCACATCAGGAAAACAAAGGGGCACCTACCACAATGTGAGTTTAAATGTGAACTTCTTTACCTTGCGCACTTGACGAGAGTCTGCTGAAAATACAAAAGAAGGAGGCTACTATTGAACCCGCGGAAACAACCAATATAGCTCGTTACCAAACTTCCGTCTCCGTCTTGGGCCAACACTGCTGAGCTGGTTCCCCTTCACTGAAGCGGCCGGGCAAGTAAATCAGAATAATGAAAAAGGCTACGCGGGATCAACTCCCACACAGATTCCCATGCCATCCATAGCAGACAGTGCCTAACAAAAAGAAAACGAAATCAATGAAAACGTCAAAAAGATTGGACGGCATCAAGAGTCTATTGCTCCCGGCAGGGCTTGAACCTGCGACCCTCGCATCACCAACACTGGCAATTGAAGTATTAGTACGATGCTCTAACCAACTGAGCTACGGAAGCCTTCCAATTTGTTGAAGTCCAGGTGCGTTATTTTTGTTCATCAAGTGTTGCGGAGTTGGGCAAATTGGTGTGGTGGGGCCGCAGCCTAGATCCTCCCGGATGTCACCAAGCATGAGAGACTGATAAGGCATGGCACTGTTATTACTATTTCCCCTATTAAATCCTACAAATTATTTCTGGTGCAATTCGGCTCGGGCCGGTTGAATGGCTTCTCTAATTCCTCCCGTCTGTGTAAATCGACTCTCCACAGAGCCAGCTGCTCTCAAGTACAGTTGGTACATTTTGCACATGTGAAATACTTCGTTTCATACCCCAACTTGCTGCCTTCTTCGCTGGGGACTTCCTGGTGAAAGAGATCGGACCATCCGTTTTTGGTTTCTGGCCATGCGAAGAACTTGAACGGCTCGCATCGATCGTTAACTGAGCGCCTATATCTGGTTAGCATAGCTCCATCCGGGCGACGCTGGTGAACATACCCGGCCATCCGGCAGATGGCACCCGGCTCGACAAAGACGGATCCGACATGGCCGGCGATATCAGGGCTAAGCTGTGAGCATGTGTAGTCGAGCTCGGGGTAGTAGGCGTAGCAGGGTGGGCCCCAGTTCTCGTCGTAGCAGAAGTAGACCTGTTGTAGCAGTTGTTAGCAAGAGAAGCATGTTCCGGTCATTGGATTATACATACCATGCCTGCATGTCGTTTATCGGGGTTGTACTCTGCTGGTGTTTTCCCCAGGCGAGCCCTCAGCTCATCGGGATCTATGGGTTCATGCCGGGGGACGTCGCGGGAGCTGAGAGGCGATGACCACATGTCGACCGAGGCGGAGGTGGAGCATCGAAAGAGAACCGCGAGGATCAGAGTAGTGTAAGTGAGCTTCATGGTCAGAATTGAGCAAGTAGCTGAGAATGAAGATGGTGTTGCGTTGTCGATATTGTCGAGGAATCTTGAAGTTATTAAATGTCTACTAATAAGTTTCACATACCCACTTTTCTCGGCGGCGGCACTCGATGCATTTGACCCCGGCGTTCCTCCACAAAGGACCCATGACGTGGAATCCTTTGTGGTTGTAACCAACTCCAAGCCCACTTTTGCTGGCGGCTAACGACTCCTACAGGCTGCCTTTGACGCATGAGGCGGCTACACGATGGCTTTGACGCACGCGGCGGCTACACGATGCGACCCAGGCTTCTCATCACACAAAAGAACCATGACGCGGGACACTTTGCGGGCCGTTGCCATGGGTTCATGCACAGCCCGGCTGCTGCAGTTGGTTATGACTTGCAGTGTTGGTTGATCGATCGTCACTTAGATGACGGAGCTCGCGGGCGGTGCCGCTCACGACGCACAGGGTGTGAAACATTCCGGTAAAATGAGGTCACAAGTGCATGATCAGGAAAGCATAAAAATATCGGCCTCTGTATTGGACGGAACCAGCCGACGCTCTCGGGCAATTGGATATGCGTTGTGTAATGTTGACAGTGTGATCAAGTTCAATTCACGAGGCCTTCGATACTTGTGACCACATCGGAATCCTGCTGGCTGGTATGGAATCTCACCTAACACCGCGTGAGCGACCAGGTTAATGGAGCACGGCGTTTGAGTCAGCCTCTTCCAGTGTCCGGCGCATATGCATGCAAACGACGCTATCATCGTGGAATTGCATAGCTGAGTTACAACTTCTATCTTGACCTGAGACGCCACCAGCAGTTGGCCCACAATGGAAAGAAGTGAAGAATGTCCATCCAATTCCGATAAACATGGCTAGACTCGGATATCATCGTGCCATGCGCCTTCGAAATCGAACCCGAAGGCCCGAGTTGCGAGGGTGAGCTGGTTGTTCAAACCTGGAGGGTCCTAACTGTGAGATTCCCCATCATGAGCACAGCATACACTGTACCAAGTCACGTTGAGTTCAAAGCAATTCGTATTGTCCCTTGAGGCGTCGATCATGTACGAGAAAATTCTGTGTCGCCAGGCCTCGTCACACTTCCTCCCAGTCCACGAGCCTTGACATGAGCCACAGGACGAACTCACCGCAAGATCATCATCCCAAAACTAGAGAGTTGGCTAGTGACGTTGGGAAGTAAAGCCTGGCCCGAGACGGTGAGAACCAACGGTCCTACCGACTTGTGTGACTTCGTGTCTGCTGTTCAACCGCCCCGCTGGTGCTATGCCCCGAGGTTCTCGTGCGGAAGTGCCGCATCAGTGATGCATCGGACTTCCGCGTCTCGCACGGCATCACGGGATTGTCGTTCTGGCGAGGTTGGCATCTTAGAGGCCAATTACTCACCGCCATGACGTCGCGTCGGTTTTAAGGCTTGGAATACGAACTCGCAAATCGCCTACGCCTCTACACTTGGCATTGTAGTTGGTGTTGTGAAGTTGACGGCCCTGGGCGACATGATTCTATTATGGGCGAAGGATGCGAACCAATGCGAAAAATGGTTAGGTCTGGCCATTTCTCTCATTCCTTATTCAGGCAAACCTAGCACATTTATATACTCGGTTAGAGTATATGGGTCTAAGGCGGTGCAAGAGGTTGAACTGACAATGAGCCCACAAATCAATTGCCAGGAAGGGGAGTCTTCCAACAGTTGCCAAGCTGTTTTGCTCTCGGCCGTTGCCTGTTCGAGGCCAATGTACGAGCCGTGTCGTATTTACGCGGCGACTATTTAACTCAATGCGACCCCATGATCTTGGCATTTGGGGACGCTGTGCCTCTTCCAGGACAGGCAAAAACCGGGATAAATACGCCGGAGCTGCGCCTTTCCATTCACTGCAAGTACTCCATCGCACAACATATTCACCTACATAGCAACCAGAATCTCTTGGCTACGTTGAGTCTCCTGCATGCTATAAACATCAATAAAATGTCTACCCTCATCACCACAGAGCCTGCATCGGGCTGGCCGTCTACATCGCTCCGCCAGTTCTTCCTGTACGACACCAACCACCCGGCCTCGATCGAGGCATCGGTCGTGGACGCCAATTCGGACACCCAGACATTCATCGTCACCTGCCCATCGTCATGCGACTCGTCGGAGTTCCCGAAGCAGACCATCACGCACATCTCCGGGTCGTCGTGGGCCGGTGAGCGGACTTGGAAAGGCACCACGACAAACTGGGGGTGCAACCTAGGGAGCGGCTCGGACGATGAGATTCCGGACCAGTACGGCCGGTGCAGCGCGACCACGATAGACGGGAGCGACATCAGTGGCGATTCCGGCGACAGGGCCGTCAACTCCTGTTTCGTGTTTGCGCGGTCTGTGCCGGCTTATATCACAGGCGGCATGGATGAAATGTACGAGATCTATCCCTACTACTGGAGTACCATCGACGCTGAGGGCCTCATCTCGGCGAATTCGGAAGAAATGGCGTCCATGAATTGTCCTGCTACGACGGCAGATGGGCAAACACTGGCATCGAAAACAGATATATCTAGAGCGGAGTCTACGGCGGAGGGTAGCGAGTCCCGGTCAAGACCAGCAGCAGAAACGGCGTCACAGACGGAGGCGACGACGTCGAAGGGATCGAGCGAGACTCCCTCTGATTCCCCAACCCCGACGGAAACAGAAGCCCAGAGTGGTTCATTCGGCACGCCGATAAACACGGTTCTTCTTGTTGGGTCGGCATTGCTTGGAGCATGGGCTTGCTCGTAATTATCTCGATTGCTGTACTACCGAATGGCAATTAATAGTGCACACACTCGAAACCGCAGAGGGTTTCATCCCATAATTATTGTTAAAGTTGAAAAGGGTTTTCCTTTCCGAATTACTGCTACGAGTTTTATAGACCTAGACCGAGGTAAAATAGCGTGTACTAAAAGAAAAAGAAAAATACACACGCTCTTGCCAATGCCGATAAGCCACTTCCTATTCGGATATTTTCCCTGGGTTCTACCCCTCTTTCAATATCCGTTGCGGTTCTCTCTATCCTGGATCGAATTATGTTTCTGCGTTATGGTGTTGCGGACTTCAGATACAAAAGGGCCTGCCCGACCGCCAAAATCGACGAGCTGAAGTAGTTCGTCGCCTGAAATCGAATTACGTCGTTTAGTAATTCTCAGTACCGTCAAGAATCAATATGTACATCTTTTCCCGCTGCGGTCTACTCTGGAGCAAATGTCTAACTGAACCTTGCTTCCAGACCACTCAACCCTTCACACCAAGTCCGAGACGACACTCAAAAATGCTACTTCGAGAATTGGATCAGATACACGATCAAGTTTCGAATCAATTCCAATAAAATCCATCGAGGTTGAAAGATAGCCACGACGCCAACTGACGCCTAAGCCGGGGAGGGTTCACACGGAGCAACTTCGAGCGAGCATTACACTGTACCAGGAGCACTGTACTAGGGTGGTGTGAGTGGGGCTATTGATTAAAAATACATGTCACCCACGCTGGTAATTAGACAAGTCAGAGTACCTAATAACCGTTATGCCTCTACAGTGCGCAGACTACGCAACTCTTACGCGTTATGCTGGGTGGAGATGACGAAGTCCGGTCATCATGGGTTGAAAAGGCGCGACACAACTCCCCAGCAACACAGTCAAGGGACGAACCTCATGCATCGGCATTTATTTGTAAGCCCCTGGCTACGAATGACACTTCTCCATCTGCTCCAGAACTGAGATCAGCCCAGAATGACGGATGGAAGCACAACCGCTGCCACATCTGCTGGTCGTCCACGCACCCGCCAACGGATTCATAAACAAGCCCCAGCACTCGAGGTCCCGCACATTGAGGAGGATGCCGCAGAGAGAAAGCGAGTTTTGAACGTGCTGGCGCAGCGCAGATACCGTGAGCAGACATGAGCATTGGGCCACTGGGTTTGTCGTACTCACTATACTCAACAGGCGAGAAGAAGCGACTGAATCGTCTAAAAGGTGGTTCCGCTGCGAAGGACGGTACCAAGGAGGCCGAGACACATGTAACCCAGACTCAAGAGCCCTCTCCGTCTTCGTCAACAGAAATCCAAGCGGAAGACGGAGTGGATGTAGTTGTCACGACTGCAGATGACACTGCACCACATCTGGCCCCAAGTCCAGGCATCATCGCCGGGCTTGACTTTGGACTATCACCATGGGAGCCCCTCGGCGCCATATCATTCACACCGTCGCTACCGCAACTTCTGACTCCCGAAGACTCGGATGGAGACAACTTCCTACAACAACCAGACTTCTCGGCTGAACATGGCCTACAAGAGACCTTCTCCTGTATCGTGGATACATCTACCCTCCTACCTCCTGATACATCCTCTGCCACGTCCTCGGACTTCAACTTCCCAGACAGCTTCCACCTACCTATTCTAGAACTGACACTCCTCAAGGCAGTGATGCGCATCGCAGAGCGCATCGGCTGCGGCGGGGCCATCTGGAACCTAGACTGCGTCTCGCCCTTCAGCAACGGGACCGGGACGCCGGCCGATCAGCTGCCCGCGGCGTGGCGGCCGACGGCATCGCAGGTGTTAGTGCCGCACCATCCCATCTTCGACTTCCTGCCGTGGCCGGAGGTACGGGACCGCATCATCAACATCATGACGCTGCCGGACGAGCTGCGGCCGCCCCAGGCCAAGGGCCCGCTGGCCCTGGTCAACTTTGCGTACGACATCGAGGACAGCGCCGAGGGCGTGCGCATCTACGGCGGCGACCCGTACGAGCCCGGGAGCTGGGAGGTCGGGCAGGTGCTGTTCGAGCGCTGGTGGTTCCTGTTTGACCGGCACATTGTCGACAATAGCAATCGGTGGCGCCGGATGAGGGGGGCGCCGCCGTTGTTGCTTAAGGGCGTGGACCCTTGTTCAAGCACTGCAGCTCCGGACTTGCAGGTGTGAGTTAATTGGATAGAAGGCCCCACGGGCTGGTAACAAGGTGCGCGGGACTTGATTTTCATAAGATCCCTTGAACGGGTGGTTCAGGCGTTGGGTCATGTAAGGCAGACATTACTTCCGAGTCTAATGAGCGGTAGGGGATTTTGGAGTTACAACCTGGGTGATTTGGAGGACTGGACTGGATCAACGAAAGTGATTCTAGTAATTTCCGTGCGAATAGTGTTCAAGGTATTTGACGTGGTTACGCAGCTCATGGTCGGAGAACAGTAGTCGCTTTCACGTGTGTTATGCTGCCCAACAAAGGAGGAACGGGTGCAGAATTTAGCTGGAGGTAACATGCATCTCGCTGAATGAAGGTCATGAGCTCGTCTCCCCACGAGGAGTGAGCCAATTAAAGAGGACTGTGAAAGCAAGGTGGCAGGACGGTATATCTTCCAGTCACCATGACGAGAAATTTATCAACGTTATAAAACTCATTTCGTTCCAATGTTGGCTTTGAGGCCGTCGATGGAGGGCGGTGGGTTGACCCAAGCCCAGCCGTTGGAACACGTGGGGAAAGAATCTCGGTCCGTTCTGCGGTTGTGGGCTAATTAACTGTCAGGTGAAGGTACCGGTAATCTATCATCCCAATTCCCAATCGTCACTCAACCCACGGCGGTACTTCGCGCAGGGCGAGAACGGGTATTTGGCGGTGAGCACGACAGGCGGTAGGTTCTGCCACATGGAGAGACTAGCGCAGCAGGTGGTAGAAGGGCGTATGTATGTATGTATGTATGTACACAAAGACGGGACAGAGTTCATTTGTTCATTTGTTCATTTGCCGTGCCGTAGGCTCGGGACTCAGACTCCGAATCCCTCAATGCGTGTCTGACTGGATGGACTGATGCATCGTTACCCACCTTCCAAGCCAGGGCGAGACAAGATCAGCGGCGAGGCCCCCGGAGAGCGAATGCCCAGCAGGCGGTGCAGCAACAGGCAAGGGTAGTTAGTGGCTGGTGACCGGTGAGTAGGTATGATGGAAGCGGGACAGCTTTCTTGGGGAGGGGAAGAAGCAGCAGAGTGGGGGTTGATAGAGGTTGGTCAGTACACCGGATGATACGTATTCGCTCTTCTCTCTCTCTCTACCTGCTACGTATTATGTAGGGACTGCGTCAGTGGCTCATGACGAGTGGAATGCTTTTTGGTCCTGGAGTTGTTGGACCACTTCGGACGCAACCGAGCGAAGGAGGTGAAGGGAACAGGGGACGATGCAGTAGTCGGTATGGCGAACTTGGAAGCTGTCCATACCTCGCTGTAAGTTGGTGACGAAGGTGAAATCATGAGTGCTTCTATTGCAGTCTCACCTGTGGACCTGTGGATGTCTCACTTGTGAATGTTTGTAGGATGTCTTCACGGAACGCACCGCTGAAGGACGCTAGAAAACCCAGGTCCGGCGTAGTGAGGTGAGGTGACGCTGCAGCGGGTACGAGTACGGACCCAAGTTGATAGGTACAAGTGAAGGTCGACTTTTAGCTGGAGAAGCAGGTGGAGGTTGTCGTGTCCCTTGGAACCTTCCCCCCCTTCCCCCCCTAGACCCTCGTCATTCGGGCCCCGGGAACGGCGCTGTGGTGCAGGAGACTCAGGGCGACTAGGGGGCGACACAGCGACAGGCCGACCAAACGGGCCAATCAGCGGCCGGCCATCTCGTCTCGGAGCCAGAAACGGACCTTCACACCTCCAGTCTCCTCCAGTGACTCCACTGTGCTTAGCGTGGTTCGGCGCCAGTACCGGGGGAAGAGAAATTTCCCTTCAACGGACGACCGACAGTGACCAAAGCCCAAGTCTCGTCTTGTCAGTCGAGTCTCGCTTCTCTTTCTTCCACCTTTTCTCATCTCTTCTCTTCCGCTTTGGACCTGCTGCTCGATCTTCTCTCGCTATTCCCGCCTCGCCCTACAAATCAACCTCCTGTTCGGGTCAATCTCCCTCCTCCGTCCCTCCTGCTGCTGCTTCTCCCCTCCTCGACCCCTCGTCTGGAGTTGCAGCGCAACCTACGAAATTCAATACCCCTCATCCCACCTCCAGCGTCCAAGGTCGGTTTTCTCTCCACCACAGCTGGTCTCACAGCAGTCATGACGACCGCTGTCTGGGCCTCGGAGCCTGAGCACTCTCCGTGACACCTCAATTGTTCCTCAATTGTTCTTGCTGACATTCCTTCTCTGTTCTCCAGTTCACTTGCTCCTCCTTTGCCTCCCCACGCTCCTCCCCCGCAATTTCCATAAGCTCTTATATCCAGAGACCCGCCGTCTCCCTCAACTACCAACTCCACCAACCTCAAGCACACTTACTTCTCAATACCTCAATACCGCCATCATGCATATCCGGGAGATGCTCGCCGACGCAGAGAAGTCTGGCAAACCCTCCTTCTCCTTCGAATACTTCCCCCCGAAGACCGCCCAGGGTGTTCAGAACCTCTACGAGCGCATGGACCGCATGTACAACTTCGGCCCCAAGTTCATCGACATCACCTGGGGTGCCGGCGGCCGCATTGCCGAGCTCACCTGCGAGATGGTGCTCCAGGCCCAGGCCGTCTATGGCCTCGAGACCTGCATGCACTTGACCTGCACCGACATGGGCGTCGAGAGGGTCAACGAAGCCCTCCTCAAGGCGTACAAGGCTGGCTGCACAAACATCCTGGCCCTGCGTGGCGATCCCCCTCGAGACCAGGAGACATGGACCGCGGCCGAGGGCGGCTTCCAGTACGCTCGCGATCTTGTCAAGCACATCCGCAAGACGTACGGCACCCACTTCGATATTGGTGTTGCCGGCTATCCCGAGGGCGCCGACGACAACAAGGACGAGGAGCAGCTCCTCGATCACCTCAAGGAAAAGGTCGATATGGGAGCCACCTTCATCGTCACCCAGATGTTCTACGACGCCGACAACTTTGTTCGCTGGGTCCGCAAGGTCCGTGAGCGCGGCATCACCATCCCCATCCTCCCCGGCATCATGCCCATTGCAACCTACGCCAGCTTCCTCCGCCGCGCCAAGCACATGCAGTGCAAGGTTCCCCAACAGTGGATGGACGCCCTCGAGCCCGTCAAGAACGACGATGTTGCTGTTCGAGAGGTTGCCAAGACCCTCGTCGCCGACATGTGCCGCAAGCTCCTCGCCAACGGCATCTTCCATCTCCACTTCTACACCATGAACCTCGCCCAGGCCACCCGCATGGTCCTCGAGGAGCTCGAGTGGGCCCCCAGTGCTGAGCGGCCACTCCAGCAGGCCCTCCCCTGGAAGCAGTCCAAGGGTCTTGGCCGTCGTGAGGAGGACGTTCGACCCGTCTTCTGGCGAAACCGCAACAAGTCATACGTCATTCGTACCCAGGATTGGGATGAATTCCCCAACGGCCGATGGGGTGACTCGCGGTCTCCTGCCTTTGGTGAGCTCGATGCCTATGGCATTGGTCTGACCGGCACCAACGAGGCCAACCGCAAGAAGTGGGGAGAGCCCACGACCATCCAGGACATTGCCAACCTCTTTGTTCGCTACCTTCACAACGAGATCGACTCTCTTCCTTGGAGTGAGGCGCCTCTCACCAGTGAGGCCGACGACATCCGGGAAAGCCTCATTGCCCTCAACAAGCGTGGCCTCCTCACTGTCAACTCACAGCCCGCTGTTGACGGTGCCAAGTCATCGCACCCTGTCCACGGCTGGGGCCCCTCCAACGGTTATGTCTACCAGAAGTCGTACCTGGAGCTTCTCGTTCACCCCGATGTCTTCAACGAAATGATCGGCCGCATCGAGAACCACCCCGATCTCACCTACTACGCCGTCACCAAGGATGGTGAGCTCCGATCCAACGCCCCCAGCGATGGCCCCAACGCTGTCACATGGGGTGTGTTCCCCGGCAAGGAGATTGTCCAGCCGACCATTGTCGAGAGCATAAGCTTCCTCGCCTGGAAGGATGAGGCCTTCCGCCTGGGCGTCGACTGGGGCCACTGCTACGATGCCAACTCTCCCAGCCGAGCTTTGATCGACCAGGTCATGAATGAGTGGTACCTGGTCAACATTGGTAAGAAAAACCCTCTAACCGATCATGTATGATTCAAATAAAGCTGACTTTCTTACAGTGAACAACGACTTCCATGATAACGCAACTATCTTCGATCTCCTCAAGAACCTCGAGGTCAAGGACCTAACCACTCCAGCCTCTCCTAAGGCCGCCACCAACGGTGCCGCGGCCGCGAACTAATCGTCCGCACGCGACGACAGGGAGGGAGTACAACACTTCCCATCCCATGTCGCAAAACGGATGCGCTGGTTCTTTTCCTAAAGGAACATTTTTCGGTGTATGCGTCTCGGAAAATCACCATAAAGCATTATTGCATCATTGGGCGTTTTCTTCTCATTTCTTTACTTTCCTGTTTTGATTTTATTTGATTTTATTTTACGTCTTGGTGCATCAACGGGGGTGTCTTTTTCAACAAAAAGTTACCATGGAACACGGGGGAGCGGCGCACAATAAAACAAAACCCGGCGGGGCGCAGACGACTTTCTCTTTTTTTGGGGGCGTGCTTTGCTTGTTCTACATCTCAACGATACCCCGCCGGCAAGGCCTATGGATGATGGATGACGGATGATATGAAATTTTGGGGAGATAGATTGGAGGAGAATAAAGGAGGAACAGAAAGGAGGACTGGAAAGGAGGAAGGGAAGGGAAGACATGAAGAGGAAGTGGAGGTCAACTGGAGATGATGGCAAGATGATGGCATGTTGGCCATGGCGGGAGGCGAGATTATGGGAGATGCCCCAGCAGCGAGGTCATCGCGAGTTGGAGAGAGGACGTCAAGTTGAAGACGAATATAGTGCCGAATCTTTTGGCTATGATATTCCAATTCCAGGGCTCAACGCCCTCTCTTCTTCTGTCTGATCAGGCAGGAAACCCAAACCGCCAAGTCTTTTCATTTCCCTTTTGATTTATCTCAACCGTGATCGTGACACCTTTCATACCCATTTATCTAACAAGCCGTCCCCTGTTCTCGCTGAAGGAGCCATTTTCTCAGCAATTCGCAACCTCTCTGATCTAGTTTCACCAGCCATCCTCATCTGCCACTTCGTAGTCCATATCCACCGCCCTCTCTTCCCTCCGTCGTATGGGCTCTTCTTCCTCATGCGACGGCTCGTTGAAGCCCGTCATGACGTCGTCCTTGTCTTCGGCTGCGGCCGCCGCGGAGGCGTTGTGGTCGTCGACCGTGTTCATCCTGACAGGCGGCAACGGGGTGGACACCCAGGCGAGGTCCAAGCGGCCGTCAACGCCCGGGAGTTCCTTTCCATGGAGAGAGTAGTAGAACTTCTCGGCCGTCTTGCGGTCTTGGAAGGAGACGTGGGTGACGGACGGAGAGGGGTCAACGGATTCAAACTCGCCAAGGTTCTGGGTACATCGTTAGCTACAGGAAAGACGGATCTGGGATATAGGAGAGTTAGGAGAGGATTTCTTACCAGAAGGAAGTGACGCAGCACTTCGTCCTTTTCGGTCGCTGTAAAGTCCACGCCCGTGACAGCGAGCTTCTTGGGACGGTTGTCGATTGAGTACTGCGCATACGCCGCGTGCATGTTGCCGCCACGGCCCCGGGCGCTGCCCCGTCCCCTCGGAGCGTAACCCCTTCCACGAGGCGCTCCGCGTCCTCGATATCCGCCGCGGGGTGGGTGATACGAGCTGGCAGTATCATCCTCGGCGTCGGGGTCGATGCCGAGGATCTTGGCCTCCTGCTCCAGCATTGCCAGCTTGGCGCGCAGCATGTCTGTCCCCGACGACGGCGCGTCGCCGCCTTCGCTGCTCTGGCCGGTGAGCCTCCTTTGGAGCTTCTCGTTCTCCTCGCGGTGCCTCGCAAGCAGCTCTTGTTGTTGGCGCTCGAGGTCTATCCGCTGGCGTTCCAGCTCCGCCCTCTTGAGCTCCCGCTCTTGGTGGTGCTTCTGGGCCTCATCCTGCCTCCGCTGGAATTCCTCCATGTCGATTTCCGGCTCCGGCTCCTGGCCGTCGGCGGATGCGCTGGGGTCGCCGGTCCAGTTACCCCCGTTGGCGGGCACTGATGCCGGCAGCATGTCCGACTCGTCCTTATACCAAAAGACCTTGACAAAGCGGTTGTCGAATATCACCTTTGGCGACTTGTAGGCTGCGTTGGCTGACCCCCATTTGTCGTACTTGACAATCGCGAGGTGCTTGTACGGCTGCATCGACACTTCCTGGATGCTGCCGAACTGGGAAAAGAAGTCCCGGACCATGTCTTCGTTGAAGCTTTCCTCCGGGATATTCTCTATTACGATGGTGCTCTTAGACCGATCATGGACTGGGCCGTCCGCGGAGAAGGGAGCACGCGCACCGCCTTTCTTAGGGCCTCGGTTTTTGCGACCCCCTCGGCCACGGCCGCCCATGTCAGGTTGGAACCCGAATGGATTCATGTGGTTCTGCGCATTCGCCATGGCGAACATAGAATCACTGGGGTCGTAATCTGATGGAAACACTGGGTTAGAACGGTTGCAAACGGCGTGATTTAGAAGCAGCATGGGGACTGAAAGTACATACCATCACTAGGTAGCCCCATGGATTGCGGCATGAAGATAGACTCGTTCCCGTGATCGTACTGGCACGTACTGCCGCGAGAACAAAACCCCTTAGTATCGAAGTCGCGACAGCGGCCCTTCCGCCTCGGCTGGCCCCTCCCGCCGCCGTATGGTTGCGGGAACTTGGGCATACCTGGGTACTGAAGCCCCATGGCCTGCAGCTGCATAAAGGCCTCCATCGGGTTATTAGGATCGAAGGTCGGCATGTCTTGCTGCGGAGGAAAGCCATGCATGGCCCCGGGCGGTCCTCCGTAGCGACCACCTCTCATATCATCGCCTCGCCCGCCACGCCCGCCGCGACGAGGTTGCTTATAGGCTCGGCCGGCCTGGTTAGAGCCGTCTCGTGGGTCGGGCCCGTCGAACTCGTCTCGGTCATGGAAGCCTCGTTTCCGTGAGCCGCCGTTGGGAGCGCCACTGTCGAAGGAAGCGGGCTGTGTGGGAGGCAGTTCGGAACTAAATTTCGGCGGCGGCGGAGCGCCAGGTATGTACGTCTTGTAGGTGATGGCCTGGAAAACATCGTCGAGGAAGGCCTTGGGATCTGTAGTTTTGCGCCTCCGTGTTAGCAGCTGGTAAATACAAGCGTGGCACAGCCCACAGGCATCCGCGCCGTGGTCCAAGGTGAGCTCATTCGGGTGCATGCGTACCTTCTGATAAAAAGTCGGGAATCTCCTGCTCGCAAAGCTTCCGCACCGCCTCGCGGTCGCCATCATGCTTCAGCAGGGCAATGACGTATTCGGCAAGGACATCGGCATCTGCGTCGGACCTATTGGGACACGAGTCAGCATTGATCGCTGGGCCTCGAAGGGAGCCTCGAGGACCACGAGGGCAACCAACGTGTTTTCGATGCGCTTGACAATCCACGCCTTCAGCATCGGCGCATCTTCTTCGGGGAACAACATGGCTCACACGCCACGGAGTAAGGGGGAGGACGGAATGTAGTGGTCGCAGCGCATGAGGGCACTCCGGATAAATTTGTTGGCGCTTTGGTTGCTCTTGGTGAAGATTGCAGACTTGGGGTGTCGCTCTTCGTCTGAGGTTACGAAAGTTGGAGGAGGTGCACGACCTAATTTTAGCTCTTGCGGCGCCGAACTGTCGTCACAGCCGGCCGAGTCGCCGCCAATTCGGACTCTCGGAGCCCACCCGCCAGCTCCCGCAAAAGCAAGCAAAGACAATGGACCTAAAAACGCCCGAAATTAATCAAGTCCAACATCCTTCGAAAAAAAAAATTCAGTAGGCATTGCTTAGATCTACTAGGCCATGGTGTACATCATCCCGTTGTATCATATCATTCCAACTTGAGTCAAAATAACGCCCATTCTGAGAGCAACATGATTTAATGTAAAATTCGCGGGAATTCTACCAGGCGGTCTTTGATTCACTCCAAGTCACATAGGCACAGGCATCCTTTAACTTCTTTCTAAACGTGTTTCAACTCATCAAATGGTGACGTAACTACATGAAAGCCAAACCGAGCTTCCTTGGTGTCTAGCATCAACCCAGCTCTCGACTTTTTTCTTTTGGTATTCGCTCAGCATGCCCTCCTGGACTCAGAGGGAGCTCCTCCATAGGATTGGGCATACGTCCCAAATCTTTAATACCAGCCGGTTGATCTTTTGTGCCCACTTTGGCACGAATCGTGGTTCCATCGACACATCAGGAAGCCGCTTACAGCTTGTCGTAGTACTGGAAATATTCGTCAGCGCGCTAGCTTTTTCACAAAAAGAGCAGGTAAAACTTACGTTCTCGACACCGGGCACGTCGACCTTGAGACCCTTGCGCTTGCGCATCTCGGTGACGATGGTTCCGACCTTGGAGGTGTTGTCGAGGGGAGAGCCACCGGGCAGAGCCTGCCAATGGTCGAAGACGGACTGGGGGAAGGCCTGTCCGGAAGTGGCCTGGCGCAGATCGGCGTTGAAGCCGAAAGACTCCAGAACGGGGAGGTAGGCCTTGATGTTGAACAGGGGAGTACCGGGGCGCTGCTCCTCGTTGAAGACGTGACCACGTCGTCGGGTAAGGACACCGTAGACACCACCCATAGCCTGCTCGGGGACCTGGATCTCGACCAAGTAGACGGGCTCGAGAAGAGCGGGCTCGGCAAGCAGGGAGGCGGCGTACAGGACACGACGGGCAGTGGGGATAAGCTGGCCTCCACCACGGTGGATGGCATCGGCGTGGAGGGTGACATCCATAAGGTTGAAGCGGACGGATCGCATGGGCTCCTCGGCAATGGGACCCTCTCGGCTAGCCCACTGGAAACCAGAGACGACGGAGTCCTTGATTTCGTTGAGGTACTGGACGGCCTTGGTCTGGTCGACCAACAGGTTGGCACCGGTACCGTCGGGACCGAAGGTCCAGATCTTTCGGGCGTCGGTGACATCCCAGCCGTACTCGTCGGCGAGGACACGGGCACGGAGCTTGAAATCGTCACGAGCACTGACCTTGCCACCCTCGATAGCGAGGGACAGCTCCTCCTCGATGGGCTCAGCAATCATGTACAGACGGTTGTGCTTGTTGGGAGACTTGGACAGAGCAGTGATGCTGGACTTGCCGGTGACGGTCTCACGGTACTGGACGACGGGGTCGGAGATGGTCAGGGGAACACCGGCGTGGTCGTTCTGGAGATCGTTGAGGCAAATCTCGAGATGCAGCTCACCGGCACCAGCGACGACGTGCTCACCCGACTCGTTGGTGAAGGTCAGGACACAGGGGTCGGACTTGGAGAGACGCTTGAGACCCTCGACAAGCTTGGGGAGATCCTGGGCGTTCTTGACCTGGACGGAGCGCTGGACGACGGGGGAGACGGAGAACTTCATGACCTTGAGGTTGTGGGCAGTGTCGCTGGTGGTAAGGGTACCAGACTTGAGCAGGAACTGATCGATACCAACCAGACCAACAATGTTACCGGCAGGCATGTCGTCGATGGGGTCGACCTTGCCACCCATCATCAGGACAGTGCGCTGAATGGCCTTGATGAAGAGATCGTCCTTCTTTCCAGGGATGTAGTTGGGGCCCTGGATGCGGACCTTGAGACCGGATCGGACGGTACCGGCGAAGACACGACCGAAGGCGTAGAATCGGCCCTTGTCGGAAGTGGGCACCATCTTGGAGACGTAAAGCATGAGAGGAGCCTTGGGGTCGCAGTCGCGGATACCAATGGCGGCCTCATCGTCGGCAGGACCCTCGTACAGGGTCTCAACACGGTAGCGCTGAGCGGTGACGGGGGAGGGGAGGTGGAGAATCAACATCTCGAGGAGAGAGTCGGCAGCGGGGAGGAAGGTGCGCATGACGACCTTGAGGAGCTGCTTGCCCTCCTTCTCGCGATCATCGGCAGAGAGCTTGAGGCTGAGCTTCTCGAGGAGAGTGGTGATCTCGTCGTTCTTGAAGTTCATGACGGCGGCGAAGATCTTGAAGATGGGGTCCAGGATGAACTGGCAGAAAGCACGCTCGAGCTGCTTACCCTCGAAGGTGCCGTTCTTGGTCCACTTCTTGGTCTTGGGGTTGAAGAAGTTGTCGCCCTACGTGAAAACATGTCAGTCACATTGTGGAATTTCAGAACCGGGGATGGAATGAACTAACCCAGAGACGCTCCATCATCTTGGCACGGTCAACACCGAACTTCTTGGCATATCGGACAGCGAACTGGCGGATGGTGAAGGCCCAGCCGTGGAGACCGGAACCGAAGGCAACGGTACCCTTCTCGGGGTAGACCTGGACGTCACCGAGGCTCTTGTCGAAGTAGGTGGAGATGATGACGTTGACGGACTCGATGGTTCGGGAGAAGGACTGGTAAAGATCCTCCTTGGAAACCTGGAGCTCGAGAAGAGCACGATCGACCTTGTTGATGATGATGACGGGCTTGATGCGCTCACCAAGGGCCTGTCGGAGCACGGTCTCGGTCTGGACACAGACACCCTCGACGGTGTCGACGACGACGAGAGCACCATCAGTGACACGGAGAGCGGCAGTGACCTCAGAGGAGAAATCAACGTGACCGGGGGAGTCAATGAGGTTGATCAAGAAATCCTTGCCGTCGGTCTTCTGGCCGAGAATCTCGGAGACATCGTCGTCAGGGCCAAGCTGACCGTACAGGGTAATGGCGGTGGACTTGATGGTGATACCACGTTCCTGTTCGTCTGCACGCGTGTCGGTGGCTCGAGCATCACCAGCCTTTGCGGAGGAGATGATACCGGCCTTGGCGAGCAGGGAGTCGGTGAGGGTAGACTTGCCGTGGTCGACGTGGGCAATAACGGACATGTTACGGACATTGGTAGGCTTGTCCATAAGCTTACGGATCTCGTCGATGGTGAAGCTATTTTGGCATCATGTCAGTTCATGGACTTGTCGTAGCTTATCTCCGAGCGGGGTATAAAAATTGGTGGCGGTGGTGTGTAGGAGTGGTGGGTAAGAGGAGGAGCAGCACCAGCACCAGCACCAGCAACGAAGCTGAGAAAAGCTTGATGAAGCCATCTGCGACGGCGACGATGCTGGTACAAGGCAGATTGAAGAAAGAGGCGACTTACTTGACCATCTTGGCGGTATTGATGAGATGACCTGACTATGTGTTGGTGTGAAAAGTCGAAGTTGTTGATGTGGAACAGAGCGGGGTCAAGTTCACCCCGCGATCTGAATCCTTGGTGCGAGATGCAAAGCGGTGCCTCGTGAGGGCAACGTTCGAAGTGTCGGTGGTGGAGGGACAGCGAGGGGGGGGAAACCACTGTCGCTCTTTTATGCGTCCCTTGAGTAAGGTTGGGAAGAAGGGAAAAAAGAGAAGAGGGAGGGAGAGAGGAGGGTGGGAGGGGAAAGAGGGTGGAGGAGGATGTGACGACCCCGGCGACGGCAAAGTTGGACCACAGACCACAGGCCACACAGGGCCACACGCCGCACGCCGCACCAGCTGCGACAGGCGAGGGAAAAAAATTTGGGCTAAAAAAAGGGTGGGTTTTTTGGTGGGGCAGCCTGGCAGCCAGCTGGACAACCCCGCCACTGGGAGGTCGCTCAGTGGGCTGGCTGGGCTGCTGGGCGGGTGCTGGGCAGGATTTTCTGCCCGCCAGAAGCTCGTTTTTTTCTCTCACGGAGGAGGGGGAGGGGCAGTGGGATCAGTGGGATGGAGGGGTTCGGCGGGTCTCTTTCAGTGAGATAGCGCCAGTGAATACCACTGAGGACCACTGTAAACTCGAGTCGGCCCAGAGAGCAACACGAGCAACCCAACGCGCACCACCCACGCACAAAAAAGGGCACCAACCCTGATTCGCCGCCATGCCGCCCCAGGAGATATCTCGGGTAACCTCCCATGCGAAGGTTGGCACCGGTAGCTTCGACCAGGTAGCTTTGGCCGGGCTGACTGAGTTGATTCATCATTCACTGTCTGACTGGCTGTGTGTGCTGAGCCAGACCGAATCCAAATCCTACCGAAACTACCAAAAGCGGTCATCTGTGACTCTTGTCCGAGAGAGGCGATTATCTGCAGATGATGCTTTGCATAGCAGAGGGATAGCCAGATATCCCCTGTTCGCAAGGCAAAGATTCTCGTTTCCCCCGCTCACCAAAACCATCAGTGTGACCAGCCTATGACGGCATGCGTTTGCGCCCAGCAACGCCCAGCAACGCCCCTCCCAGTCCCAGTCTCGCCCACAACGCCCCATTGATCATTCGGCATCGAGCTTGCCTCCCACCTGGTGACTTGGCATTGTTTCTTCAGCGTTTTAGCCTTTGATTCACCAGACGCTGGATGTCGTTCGTGACTGAGCATGCTTGTCACGGTGCTTGTTCAGATGCTTGTCCATGCTGGTGGCCCTGTTGCATTTTGGTGTGGGCCAAGAAAGGATGCTTTCTAAGCTGTGGCAGCTCTGTTGCTGGAGCTCGCACAAAAAACACCTCCTCCATAGGTAGATTGCCCCGCCATGACCGCAAGCCCGCCACAACCGCAAGCATCCGTGGTCTGGACGGAATGGTACCCGGCCACCATCTCTGTGACAGGTATCTCCCTGGTTCTTCAGCACCAAGAAACTACTCCCGCCGCCCAACCTGCGAATGTACCGGCCCCCTCCAGCTTAGAAATCTTCGAGCCACGGGTCTGGCCTCTGCTGTCTGCCATTGGACGCTCACAGAGCTGTCGGCCTGCCATCCGCTCGATCCGTCGCCCTGTTCCAATTGGAGCATGTCCAAAAGACCCAATGGGACTCGTCTTCATGTAGCTGCCCAATCGGGGATGTCTTAAGTTACCTAGGTCAAGCTCAAGCTCGACTGAAGCGGGGCTGAGCTCTCCCGGCTAACTACCTACACCTTACTTCGTAACTTACACCTTCAAGAACCATGACGGATCCGTCTCACCACCATTCACTCCACTTACATGCCATGACCCAACGGGCGCGATACAAGGCGTAGACGCATGCAATTCGTAGACTTGATTCATAATATTAGTTTTACCCCATGACTAACTCTCCAAACTTTCATCTATACATAAAACACATCACCCCGGAATGAAAACGCCTCGCTTGCTTGCATATCTCCCACCGAATGACTCACACGGGCAACACTCAGCACACCCACTCCACGAGAACTCTCCTCACGACGATCCCAAGATCGAAGAATATGCATCCTCCACCTCGCCGACCAACTCCAACAGTGACACAATCACAATTTGATGCGTCAGGTTAGGCAACCTATCGCGGTGCAGTCCGATCCATTCCAGCGGTGGCGTTGCCTCTCCCATGTCACGCAACTGCGGCGTCTCGATGACGGGCGCCTCCAACGCGACGTAGTCGTACTTGGACTGCGGCACATTCACCTCGGCCGTAATCTTCTGCTGTTCGCCTTCCCGCTGCTCCGCCTCCGTCCCAGGCACTCCCGTGATCTTGACTGCTGTCAGCGGCAGCTCCTTGCCCCAAATCTGCTCCAGCGCCTTGGAGTGGTTGGCAAACATGCCACGGATGTAGCTGACTCGTGAGAAGTTCCAGCCAACTTCCACCTTGCCTTCAAACGCACTCTTGAAGATGTAGTCGATTTGGTTGTCCTGCGGTTTTTGCCACGTCTCCATGACTGCTGATACCTGCGGGACGTTGAGGATCGTTCCGCCGCGGGATCCAGTTGCCCGCTGAACAACGTCCTCCACCGAGATCTCACTCAGCGTCTTCGGCGCCTCCACATTTCTCACCCCCGCAAGTCCAATTCGAAGCTGTCCCAGCATCATTTTGAGGATGCTGTGGATGCGTCGCTGTTCCAAGCTAGCTGCAAACCGAGTGTATGCGTTGAGGGCTTCCACCTTGAAAACCTGGTGGTCGGAGAAGGTGCTTGGGAACACGCCCAGGTTCAGTGCCTTGAGCGTAACCACAACATCTGTGTCTAGAGAGATGGGAGACTTGGAAATGGTGTCCTCTTCACGAAGCTTAGGCGTTGGGACAACCTGGGGCATCGCCGTTCGAGAGGCAACCGACCTTCGTTTCATGAACTTTTCAATCTCTTTCAGGGAAGTCTCGAAGCTCTCTTTTCTTTCTTGGACCAGCTTCTTGATGGCTTGCCACAAGGCAATACCTTGTGCTGCTGACGTCGTCGTACCGAAGACTTGGACGGCTTCTCCGTCAAAGATTGCAACCAGTCGATCTCCACTACCGTCATGGCTCTCGCGCACATTGTACATCAAGAACTCAAGCGAGGTAATGTCGGCAACCAAGAAGGCTTGATAGTCGAAGGCCGCCTTGACTCGGAATGCGTTGAAGGCGATCGAGGCCTGAATCAAGGGTGTCTCGTTCAACGCCTCCTCTCGTTTCGGCCACTGAATCGAGGTTCGAAGTCTGAAATCTTGCAATGCAACAAATCCACTCAGCCGCCCCGTGCAGTCGACCCCGATCTTATCGAAACCGAGACAGAGGTTCTGCTCCCAGTCTGATGTCTTCTTAGAGGAAATCCAGAAGTTATTGATCGCAAATGCCGACTTTCCAATGGCTTGTCCCAGGTCGATGGTGACATCAAGAGCGGCAATTGATATAGTTGCCGTCCAAGGGAATGCAGCTGTCGCTGCCACCTGCTGATATCGCTGCACCAAATGACCCTGCGAGGTTTCAGGCTGGAGTTTCGGCACTGGTGCTGAAGACCCTTGACGTAGCTCGCTAGGATACCAAATCTCTCGGAAGAGCAAGAAGTCTTGCGCTTGCTTGGCGTTGATGGCTACTACCATGGGGCTAACGTTGATGATGGCGGACACTCCACTGGTTCCACTGAAGTGCTTGCTGTTCATGAAAGACAGTGTGATAGAGTCGAGCTCGAAGCTTGCGGTCGATTCCCTGGAGTACACATGCTGAACGGACGCGTGCAGCTTGGTAAATGCTCCCGAAATCGCGAAGAAGTTGCCCTGCTCCACGGAACGCACGGTATTGACCGTGAAGTAGATGTTGTCAAAGCATGTTGTAGCAGCAACGCGCGCGATCGGTTGGCAACTGAGGGAGAACTCTTGTCTGCATATACGCAGACCCAAGTTGAGCTTCAGGCGACCCAGAACGGCGCTTGGGTCTGCGGTAAGGATGTTATCCTCATCCCCAGACTTTTCAGGTTTGGTCTTTGGTGACTCCGGCTGCTCGGATGGCTCAGCTTCTTCGTCATCCTTGACAACCTCCTTCACACTTGACATCATGTCCATCACTAGCGGAACGACTGATGGATAGAGAATGTTGCTGGATGCGTCAACCTTGATCTCGCCATAGAGCGAAGGATCTTCTTCTCCATTATCTCGATACTCAACCTTCCAAGCCAACCCAGGACTGCGCAGGACGGCTCCACTGCCAGAATCATCTGCGTTGAATTGGCCATATTTGCCAGCCAAGGAGGGGCGTCCATGTCTTGAATTCACAGAGTCATCCATAGCCCTCTTGCTTGACACGTAAACGACAGCACCCGCGAAATCTGCATCGACAAGCAGATTCTCCAATCTCTTGTTGCCAAAGGTACTTCGGTGAGGTTCTTTCTTGACCGCCTGGCTTGGCTTCTTGTCAGGTGGTGCCACCACAGTGTTCCATTGTGTTGATGCCTGCTGCACATTCTTCGTCGAAAGCAAAATCGATTCGGTGAGGTGAGCAGCTGGCACGATGAAGCCTGACGTCAGGCGAAGATCGAGAGACTCGCCCACAACCTGGAACGCCATACGGCGGGCCTCCGCAGTAGAGACATAGGCAATGTTGAAGATGACTTCGGGAAGGAGGGCCGAATGGAGGGATCGGAGGCTCATGTCTTGGCCAGGTGGTACCATCTGGATCTGGAAGTTCTCAATGGCCAACCGAGCTGAATGCCTGGTCTTTGTACCGAACTGAAAGAGCTTCAGAGACAGGACGAGATCTTCCTTACGACTAGACTGGTCATCAAGGCTGTCTGCGACGATCCAGCAGACTCGAATGTTTCGAAGTTCGAAATGATATTTCACAGCTGCCAATACTGAGTCGATGAAATCGGCATCATCTGGCAGTTCCTCGTCACCGTTGATCGTGATCTTCGGCTTGGACTGTCTTAGTTTTCGCAGGTAGTCCAGCTCGCGAGAGGTATCGAGGTCCTTGATCTTCTCGCCCATATAGCCAAGAACGTCGACAACGGTCGAGATGGTTTCTGGAGCAAGCTTACACTCGAAATCGTCGCTGCTGAAATTGAAGGACCAAGTTTCTCTCCCATCATCGCCCATGTTGGAACTGGCGGAAACGGTAACTCCCACCCCAAGGCTTCCGCACGATCTCATAGAGCCCTCGTGGCCTCGTCGAATGTCAAGGCCGATCTGGCTAAGATTCAAGTGTAGCTCGGGATACTTGAGAATAGGCCCCTCCGCTTCGTGCCTGTTGGAGGCATGTAAATGAGCTCTGTCCAGAGAGAAGAGCACACGAGCAAGGGGCTCGATGTCCGACTTCAAAGATGTGTTGGCAAATACATGTAAGCCAGCCAGGGTCAGATGGACATTGTAGACGAGCTTCAGGTTCGGCTCAGTTGCTGGAATTACTTGTTTGGGCGTGTCTGTTCCGTCTGAGCCAAAGATGTCAGAGATGTGACCTTTGATGAGCTTGGTTTGCTGTTGCAACTCCTGAATAGCACTGGATATCTGCGGCTTATTCAGCGCAGTGAGTAGACTGTAGACTGCTGAAGCGTCCAGCTGCACAACTTCAAGCGATGAAAGAACCGTAACTGAATGCTCAGTCTGGCCAATATGGCTTGTGATGCGGCCATTCGTTGGAGGAATTTGCAGGAGCGAGATGCTACGAGGCTCGTTTCTGACATTGATTTGCATCTCGTGGTAATTTTCCTTGACATCAAAGTCAAAAATCACTTCCTTTCCAAAGTTCGCTGCAGCTGCGGCTCGTGCAACTGTTCCAGTAATCTTGTAGGTCAAGGACTGGAGGAAAGGAACAGAGATACTGTATTGATCCAGGAACATGGCAATGTTGACCCTCACGCTAGAAAGGCGTTCCGATATTCTCTTTAGTTCTCGTCGTGGCTTCGGCTTTGGCGACGTGACCAACTGACTCTTGAGGCGATACAGTTGAGTGATTTCGTCGCGAAACAGAAGGTCGGCCACCTCCAAGAGTCCGATGGGATCTTCCTTGATCGCAAATGTCAGGCTTTTGCTGCTAGCAGTCGCTTTCACAGTATGACAAGACGCTTCGTCGGTTTCTTGGACCTCGTGAGACAAAAACATGCTGGGTTCCAGAAGCTGCGACATGCCAAGGAGATGAGAATTGCTATGCATTGTGGATGTTACGGCATTGCAGTTCATCATGCAGTTGATGGATTCCGAGCTCTCTTGTCCACCATGCAAGAGAAGAGACCCCTTCAGCCCATGACTGAGAGTCTTCGAGTTGAGGTTGATAGTCTCGACTTCAATAGAACCCCTAGTCACTTCGAGTACGACGTGGATTGGGGGCAAGGTACTGGAACTTGGCTTCGAATGACTCTTGGAAACCACTGTCGTCGGGCTCGGCTTGGGTTGGCTTCGACTCTTGTTGTAGAGCCGCAGTATGTCCTCTGCTAGCTCACAAAGCTCCCAGTTCAGGTTTATTGCCGCCTCGTTGCAGCATAGGTTGACAACAGTAAGAGGCTTGTCCGCGTTTCCAGGAGAAGCCAAATTTTCTGCAGGGTTGATCTCCTGTTGATCGATTCTTGCAGCCAAGTCGACGAAACCGATCTTGTTTTGTTTCGGACCTGGGTCAAGTACTAAGTGCATTTCGCCAAGTCTACAAGCGCCGAGAATTGGAATATGGTCGTCAGGCTTCGTTGTTGCATCTCCGATTTGGCCAAAGATGTCCTTAAGTAGGAAAGCCTCGGTCAAGTCTTCCAGGTCCCAGCCGCGCCATCTCTCAAAGGCTTCAACCACAAACTCAGTTGCGTCATCTGGGAGTGTTGGGACACCATTCCGACACTGTTGGATCAGGTGGTACCGGGATTGCACATCCATGGATGTCCAGATTTGACGCAGCCGCATTGCGAGTTTCCAGGAATCAAATGTCCGAATATGGTCATTCGTCGACCGAAGTACGGCAGAGGGGCGAACCAAGAACGATGGGTCTTTGGTCGATTGTCCTTCTTCGAGCAGACGATATGTGAAGTATTTGTGGCAGGTTTCGTGTTTTGTGACGGTCTCTGAAAGTAACTCTTTGAGATCGGTGGCAATGGTCCCTGTGCGATGTATCAGAGAAGCAAGGTACTCAACCTTACCAGACGCTGTGCTGCCAACAATCGAGCCAATATCGGCGTCAATGTATCTCACGTCCTTCGAGCCAACTGACACAACGACGTTGTCGATCTGGGCCATGACGGCGGCTTGGGGCTCTTGCAGAGAGGATAGACGCTCGGAGGCAGACACTTCCGCTGATCCTAATCGTAGGTGAACGGAAGTTCTATCATTTGATGTCTCCGGCTTGAACGGATCTTCCCAATTGGTAGTGGTGCGAGTAACCAATGCCACTTTCGAAATTGTCACGTCATATTGGTCTTGCTCGTCCTGGGAAGGCTCCGATGGATCAGACGCCGTTGAGTTCAGAAGACGGAAGTTGGCCTTCGGCACCCTAACCAAGATATCTCTAATCTTCCCTCCAGTGCCACGATCTTTCTGTAGGTCAAAGATTTGTGTCATGGCATCAACTTGGAAAGCATCCAGTAAATCGTCAGGCTCGTTCGGCTGCAGTACATCCAGGAGTGAGGCGGCATAGCGAATGGACATCGGGTTCGCAAAAGCCGATATACCAGACGGAAATTCGATCAGGGCGCTCATGTACGTATGATCCTCACTGAGACAGTTCGGGTCAATGTCATCAAGCTCAGCATTCGCGATGTCGAACACTTCATCTTCGTCGCCTTCTTCAATGCTTTGGAACGGAACTTCGTGGGTGCTTGGTTGCACGCCTTGAAGTGGAAAGTGAGGTGCCACGTACTGGCTCGAGAAGGCAACAGATGAATGAGCTTGGTTCTCCCGCAGGGCATATTCTCCAACTGACATATGCCCAAACGATCCCTGGGATCCCCTCTGCCTCAGTGATGCCCGGTTATCTGCCGAGGCGGACCTGGGATCCAGGTGGCCACCCTGCTTTGACCCGGAACGAGTCCGGTGTTGGCTCTGAGCAAGAGAGAGGAATGAGCTCTTGTGGCTTAGGCCTCGTGAACGACGAGAGGCGATTGTTCTGTAGGACTCGCTTTCGGCACCTCCTTCGATAGCGACGGCAGGGTGTGGTGGCGGGGGTGCACATTGAGCTGGAGGATCTACTGCCTCTGGGATCATCTCATCGAGGTAATGAGGTAGCACAAGAAACTCGACGCGGTGTGTTCTCTGATCTTCTCGCTGCACCAACTCCTGCTGCAGTTTTCTTTCGTCGGTAAAGTGGAACTTTCGTCCAACGACTGCAAGATGCACGGCAGTTCGTAAGTAAGCCTCTGTGTCTACAGGATGCTGGTATCTTGACTTCTGCTGTCGTCCAGCTGACTCGGCGTTCACACACGAAACCTGGATGTTGGGTATGTTGATGTTCGCGCGTTTCGAGTAGTGCGATCGGGCCCAATCATTATAGTTGACATCAATGGCGTCAGTCGACAGAAGGAATGCTGCTTCGTCCACATGAAGCCAAACTCGAACGGAGTCAACGTTGACCCGTGCGAAGGTGATGTCGTAAAAAATCAAGGATGAGTAGGGCACCAGAGCATTTTCATTGTCGTCGAATGAGAATGCAAGGCCTTTCGCCCCCCTCACAAGCGCAACGAGGAAATCAGCGGTGCATTCTCCGCTGATAGCGCCCACGCCGACATCCCAATTACACAGATACGCAGGCTCCGTCGGCGGGAGGCCAAAGAGCTTGTGTCCGAAGAGGCGCACACCGTCGATGAAGAGTTGAGTGCTGGATGAAGACATTCCAGGGGAGTCGAGCTCTCCTTCTGAATTCCCTAGCGACAGGCTCACTGGGCTCACCTCAACTTCCATCTCCATGAAGTAGTTTGTGAACCGCATGTCTACAGAAATGCTTGCTAGTTCGGCTTGAACGAAGCGATTGGCAGAGTAGAGGTTCGTTGGTAGCATGAGCCTGAGATCGTCCACCTTTACACTAAGGATAACGTCCATATCATTTGACTTCTTGTGAGGAGGTTTGTTAGTGTCCTCCGCTTCGGGATTTCTTTGCTTCAACTGCAGCTGTTCTTGATGCTCGTTCAGTGTCTTGAAGTGGACACAATCACCAAAATAATTGTCCTTCAACAGGATAGCATATCGAACAAAGAACCCGTACAGATAAGCGTAGGGAGATTGTCCGCGAACATTCAGGATCAGAGTATCAGTGTTTGCGGAGGAGGTTGTTGCGTTATAGTGGTAGCCTCCGTCAACAACCAGGCCTTCAACATGACCAAGATCCCGAGAGGAGAGGAAGGCAGCCTGGGTATTCCATTCTGGAACCCGAAGTGCGAGATCTAGTGAATCAGCTCGCACCTCAAACGGAATATGGTTCTTGCTGGGTCGGAAGGTGTCGATGGGGATGCATAGTTCGGCGATTAGTGCAGGGCTAGAGAGAATGAAGTACGTGTTCTCCTCTATTACTGTTGCCTTGTCGATGATGTTGGCTTCGTTGACGTTCAGGTACAGTTTTAGGGATTGCAGATTGAGGTTGACGTGGTACTTAAATGGTGTGAAGACGAGATACTCCGCTGGTGGCCCATTCGTCCAGTCGTCCACCAAATCGGTCAAGAGAAAGATATGGTCTCGCAAGATGAACAGCTCCATCTTGTCGCTCATGATGTTGAAGTACCAATTCCTCAGCCCATTCCAAGAAATAGGGTTAGAAAGGTCACAAGATATTCGTTGAGCACCAGATCGCCAGAGCAGGTCATGATTGACACTGCTCCACAGCTCGGAACTCGGCAAGTTAATATCGAGGCGAGTAGAATACCCCGTTGAGCTGGCCAACATATCCATGTTGAATTTCACCGTGGAATTTGAAGGGATCTTCACTTCCAACCAACCTGCAGGGCGCGACTGAGTTGCATCGCCCTTGCTGTCCTTCTTTGCTCGGTGTCTTTGCTTCCGTTTCGTGGGGACCTTCTGGTGTTTCATCTGTGGCTCCTTGCCGCGCCAACGCCAGTTCTTGGATTCCTCCCTAATGGGAACCCTCAGGGTGGCGGCATCGTCCATTTCGACGTACAACTTGAACTGCGTGGGAACTCTCCAGGATCCAAGCTCCAATGGTTGGGCTGGAGTGACATCTTTGCAAAGGCTTGGGAAGAAAAACCGTTGCAAATCTGCACGCTGACGATCTGCCCATGGACCATAGTTCATCGTTCCACCCTTTATGGAGAAATCCATGCCCCAAGCAGGAGGCTCGCTGCCGTTGATATTGATGGGAAATGCCCTATCCTTCCGATGATGGTGTTGGTGGGTGACCTTTCCCACAACATCCCAGTACACGGTCAGGGTCGCCTCGGGACTGTCCAGGACGGTTGACACGGCGGCATACTCAACAGATGCCCATCGGGCCCGGTCATCTTGGTCAAGATCGTCGAGATATCGGGTCAAACCTTGCCACTGACTGACGCCAGGGACTTGCGAAGCAGCAGTGTTCATTCCATTCCGTGAGTCGGTTGAGAAGGATTCCACAGATCGCCGCCAGTAAGGTACCAGGTTGCGGAGTGAGTTAAGGGCCCTGCGGCGGTGATAACGGAAAAGTGATCTTTTAGGTATGTCATCCAGATCTTCGGTGTTGTCTCGGTCGCGAGTTGCTCGACAGACTTGGTCTTCTTTGAAATCTTCGTTGTCCTTCATTTCAACCACGGGGTGTTTGAATTTAATTTTAAAGGTTTGTCGGTAAGGGTCAGCAGTTTCCGTCTCCGAGGCGTCCACATCGACCGACATTGAATCGGCCCTAGCCACGAGAATGCCCTTGGTATTCTCATTCCCCATAACAACGGCAGCTTTATGACATTCGATGTGGAAGGGAAGCAGCTGGATCATGAATGGTAACTCGACATCGCATGGGGCATTGAGTTGCTCGTCATCGTCAGCGCTTCCAAAACCGGTGGTAGAGCGCCGGTAGTTGAACATTCCATGGGCATCCGGGCCATGCTTCTCGTTCGACCCTTGACCCTCTTGGCCTTGCGTCTCGGCCCCAGCTTCAGAGTTCCTGGGTCGTTTGAACCCACGAGACCTCATTGCAGTTCCGTCCATTTCCGATGTTCCACTGGAGCGGGACTCAGGGTCAAGCTCCTCATTAAGGCCACGGAGGACTCCATCGTATGCTGGACTGCGATTGTACACAAACCACTCCAAGCCAGTCAAGTCGACTTGAATACGGGATGGCAGTTGCGCATTCCTCTCCTTGTTAGCTCCCGAGGTATCCGTGGCTGATTGGCGGGAGTTGATGATGTCTGCATCGCGAACTCGTCGCAGCCAATATCGCCAGGTGATGTACCCATGTTGGACCATGAATGCCTCGTTTTCGCCATGATATCGTAAGCCAGTGAAGAAGATTCGGCCTCCAAGGAGGGATATTTGAACGGCCCGCACATCGATGTATACGCGGTACCAGTGCCAGGTCCATGCTCGGATGCCGTAGGAAACGATGGATGCGAAGACCCGGTTGAAGTAGAGGAGGAAGAAGACGGAGAGGACGCCGCACAAGGCCACGAAGATGAGGAACTCGCTACAGACGATACAAGTCAGCTTCTAGCCATTGCCAGATCACATGGAGGGGCAGCCTACTAATTGAATCCGGGGCTCGAGTCGCTTCTTGCTGCGATGCCAGTATCGGAGTACAACAGCGTGGTATTCATGGTGGATGGTGCTCCGGCAGCTCCGCGGGCTGGCAAAACAGGCGCTACGTCATCTAGTTCTCAGGGTCGCTGGCATTGAAACAGTCGCGCGCAAAGGAGGTACAGCGCAAGTCGGCGGGCGAAGCATCTCCTGGCTGATGGGAGTCGGTCAGGAACCGTCAGGTCATGTAAAGGTCAGCTCGCGACGCGGTTGAGAGCATCTCTCCATCCATCCCCTGCAGTTGCTAGGTCAGGACCCAACCAAGTAGGACTGGCTACAGGGGTTACAGGGGACAAAGGGTCTGCGGGGCCAATAGTTGCAGCGCCCCACCCGCCTAGACGCAGCCGCGTCAAGCTCCCGCCTGCCCCTATAAGCCGCCGAGGGACGAGCTACAGGTCGCTAAACCGCCCGAGCTAATTACCTGCTCGTGCACCTTCACACCTTAGCTCAAGCAAGGGAGTTGCAAGCAAGCGGCGCATGAACCATAATTCCGTACCGACTCTAGGCTACGACCTCATCATCTGGCTACCACGGGCTACCACCAGCAATAGCCTGCTTTGGGAGGGCGTCAGTACGCGACACGACTTCGACACCCAAGAGGTTGCGAGTCTCGCCAGTGTCGTCATCACTCGACTCCGACCCGTCATCAATAAGCTACCAACGCCCACGTCATCACCTAAAGCTCTGCGTCCACCCTCTTCCTCTCCCCGACCGCCTTAGCTACAACGCCGCCCTCGCGCTCCTCAGCCATGTACTAGGACGCGCCAGACGAACTGCGGGATACGACACAGCTTCCCATCTGGATCGCGCATCACAATGGAGAGCTACGCCGGCATCATGGCGGATGGCGGCACCGGCCAGAAGCTTACATATGCCACCATCGTGGTATCAGGCGTCGCGTCCCTGATCGCCACACTGATGTCTATTGTGTGAGGATTTTGCGTTGCTTCTCTATCCAACCGAACACCATGGCTAACCTGTGCCCACAGCTCCATCTTTCTTCAGGCGAAAAACTACCGAAAGCCTCTCCTGCAGAGATATGTCGTGCGAATCCTTCTCATGGTCCCCATCTATTCCATAGCCTCCTGGACAAGCATGATCTCTCTAAAAGCCGCCGCATTCCTCGACCCCATACGCGACATATACGAGGCCTTCACCATCTATACCTTCTTCCAGTTACTCATCAACTATATCGGCGGCGAGCGGGCCCTTATTGTCATGATGCATGGCCGAGCGCCAGTTCAACATCTCTGGCCAATGGATCATGTCTTAGCCAAGGTTGATATCTCAGATCCGTACACCTTCCTGTCGATCAAACGTGGCATCCTGCAGTACGCCTGGCTGAAGCCGATTCTTGCCTTGGCAGCTGTTATCATGAAGGCCACCGGAACGTACCAAGAAGGATACATTGGGCTTACCTCGGGCTACCTCTGGAGCGGCATCATCTATAACCTCAGCGTCACTCTGAGCCTGTACTCACTTGGCCTCTTCTGGGTCTGCATGCACCGCGACCTACAGCCCTTCAGGCCGGTCCCCAAGTTCTTGTGTGTCAAGCTCATCATCTTTGCATCGTACTGGCAAGGATTCTTCCTCTCCATTCTTGTCTGGATAGGCGCTATTCCGGATAACGTCCAGGGCTACACACCGGACAATCTGGCTGCGGCCATACAGGATGCCTTGATTTGCATTGAGATGCCCATGTTTGCTGTTGCTCATTGGTATGCGTTCTCGTGGCATGATTTTGCAGATGATAGCATTCTATCTGCACGCATGCAACTGAACCACGCTTTCCGTGACGCCTTTGGCGTCAGAGATTTGATCGAAGATTCCAAACTCACATTCCGTGGCGACAGCTACGGGTATAGGGTGTTCGACTCCGGGGATAAGGTCATGGCTCACGAAGATTCCCGGTCGAGACTGGCGAGACTTAAGGAGGGCATGCGCTACGAACGTGGCGGTAAAGGAAAGTATTGGATTCCCAAGCCTGGAGAGATCAACACGACGACTCCGCTCCTCTCATCTAACGGAGAGGCGAGCTCGAATCGACCTGACCAAATGAATGAAAACGCCCACGGCACCTTTGAGGAACCTCAGATCCATGCGGATGAGGATCGTCTGTATGACATGGCACGCCAGCTGGAATATGGAGATTGGAATGTCAGTTCGAGTCCCCCCGGCGGTAGTTCATTGCTAACCGTGAGAATCAGTATCCTGTCATTACAGCCAGTGAACCATTAAGAGATCGATACCGCTCTGCAAGAAGCTTTGGCTCCAGGTCTCCTTCTTATACGCCACCCGCAAGGTCACCAGCAGTCGCTGGATCGTCCACGCGCGCGCCCACTAGCAAAGGCAAACAAAAGATTGCAGAACCCGAACCCCAGGCCGTGGTTCCAATCAAGAAGAAGAAAAAGGCCAAGAAGGTTGTGAAACATGAGGAGCCGGACCCATCCAAGCTCGGGCTTGGAAAGGGCCCTCCACCGGAGGCCAGCCCAGCACCTGGCTATGACGGAGTAGAGAGCCCTGTCAACGAAGAAGTTGGTGAGTGGGGAAGCAGCGCCCAGAGTCAACCTCAGCAGGAAGAAGAAGATTACATGTCGAGATACCAGGTTACAGACAGTGATGGGTTTGGGGATGTCTGGGGGAGAGACGAGGGTTCTAGGTGAAGTGTGAACTTGTTTATACCAGATACCCTTCAGGCTACCGCGGAAGGGTGTCGCCTTGGGTGCATAGCGAGGAGTTTATGGTTGATCTGCGTCTGTATCTGTAGTGGAAGGAAGACTAGATTCATCTTAGGTTAATATGTAAGCATAGCCTTGTATATTCCACGTATTGGCATGGTAAAAACATGAAACTGGCTAACGGTACTCGATGGGGTTTATCATGTCACTGGAACAAGACTCTGTGCAATTCTATGAAACTGTACCAACTCTCAAATTTCTCACACCACATGTGTAGCGATCTTAGTACTACTGCTCCACTTAGAAATTACCAGCACACCAATTTGCTTGTAGCAGGTTTGAGCAATGCACCACACAGCAAAACCCCTTCATTCTCATTTTCCGATACAAAATTTTGGAGCAAGCTATATTGAGACACAAAATAGTGAGGGATCATGCAGGCCACCGACTCGTGCCCGACAGAGGTTATGGTTAAGATTGGCGCGCCGTAACTGGAGCTCGGGTACGTACATGTCACAGGGTAGGGGAGCGGCAAAATTGCCATATGCATCAACCATCTAAGACGATGCGAACCAATTCGATCGATCACTTGGGCTTTTCTCTGAGACAAGATTGGTACTCATCTGTATTTTTACTTTTTAGCATTTTTTATATGAATTATTGACATCGTTTTGTCCATGAAATTTCCTTTCTGCTGGCCATCGATGAACCCCTTGGGAAGGTTAGTCGCGTCCTTGTTGTGTGATGTTACTGGGACCGTCCCCGTACTAAAATAAGAATCAGGACTTCCTCTTGATTGCATGTCCCTAGCACTCAAAGGAGTCTTCTCGCCTAAGAATCTGCATTTTAAGGTCCTAAATGCCAATCCGGGTTCAAGAGAGGCTGGATGGACGAGACCGCCTGAATATAATGTAGATGAAGGTTCCGTTGTCTTTCAGTACTCGAGAGACCTTGATGACTAGTGGGGGAGACATGCGCTAGGGTATTTGGTTGGTGTAAGACGTCTTTCATGTATCGACTGGTGCTGTCCTCGACCTCATACGGGGGACTCCAAGGGGTACCGTAAATTATCGCATCAATGGTCCCTTTGTTAAGGCCAAAATTGATGGACTTGTCTGCAAGATCAACCATGCTGTGCACATCAGTAAGCTTCCACCCACTCCCACCGAGCTCAGCATGACGATCGGTCATAGGGCTGACAACCGGAGAAGAGAAATCGACACAGAGCTGCTGTTGTAACCACGGGACGCAGGGTCAACAGGGATGAACTAGATATATGAATACCTAGCACGGTTAATTATGAAGAAAAAAAACTGGGATTATAAGGAGTATTCATGTGCCGGGGTAGTGCGAAATGTCACTGTTTCCTGATCCCAGATGCAGGATGAGTGAGACCTCTTTTGCTTTTACGTCCTGAGTCTTGAAGAGATGCCTCTGGGGAAAAAAAAAAGGGCTCAAGATCAGCGAAAAGAGCGAGGCTACTAGTAAGTAAGTAGAATCAACTCCGCCCGATTTGACGTATCGGCTGTCCCAATATTGGGGACAGCAGAGCGCCATGTCCTCTTCGACGGTCATGACTTACAGAGAAAGTGGATTTCGTACTCCGTATGAACGAGGGGGATAGTGGGGTTGATTGTGACCCCTCTAAATCAAACAAGTTGTAAGGCGCAGAGCTTGGTGCGCACGTGATCATATGACACATCTCACTTCAAGACCAGATTCATAATGGTACATGCCGAAATAAGGTATCTATGTTAATTGGTAGATATTCAATGATTTAAAATCAAGTTCCTAGAATTTTTGCGATACCACGACTTCAACATTTCGTCCTGTCTTAATAGTGATCGGCTGAATCATCTGCGTTCGGAGAATTTTATCCAATTACATGACTGGATGGCGACTCGGAATATCTATAGCCCGGAATCTACAGGCGGTGTGAGAATTTTGTCGGTCAACGAGGGCAGAATCTGTGCCACCACGAAGCCATCACCAAGCCCACCAGCCCTATCTTCGAGCGCCGTGGCCGGCACATCGCGACCGGACTTCTAGCAAAGAATTTATAGCGGCGCCGACATCTTGAACGCTTTGAAGTCGGAGGTTGCAGGCCAGGTGCTTGCAACCACCCCTCCCACGCGCAATGGGCCGAAAGCCCAACCCCCTCATCCTCGAGTATTTCGTCCGTGGCCCGAAGCTCAATGACAACAGCAACCGTTATCCGCACACGTGCAAGCAATGCGGCGAGAACTTCCCCAAGGGCCGCATCGACAGTTTGACGACTCACATCACCAAAAAATGTCCGGCCATCTCCGAGTCGGACCGAATGCGTGCGTGTCTTGAACTACATGGCATCACCAGCACGAGGGCGGCTCCTGACCGACCCCCGCCCGATGCGCAGGCGAACGGACAAGCTACGGATATCCCCAATCTGCCTCAGGGATGGAGCGCGCTCGAGACTCTCGCCGAAGCCTCACGGCAAGTTGATTTGAATGAAAACAATCGCAGCCAGAGTGTCCAGGGTGGGCATGACCCCGCCGACCCCGCCAACGGCCAGCATGTTGGTGACCGCTTCGAACTTCAGGAGCAATTCACCCTCGACAATCCTCCTGTGAGCTATGAGAACCGGGTTCAGCAGAACAATAGAGGTAAGAGGTTGTAAATTGGCCAGCCGAGTTCGTCTGAAGCTGACCCTGCCGCTAGGTGTTGTGCCAACCACGCTTCCCGGACCCGAACTCTCAGCTGAGGAGCGACTTCAGGCCTTCCTACCTGGGAACGAATCCTCCCCAGATGTCTCTAACATTTCCGTTGCGGTTGCAGCCGCGGCTCGACTGAACCCGTCCCTTCTCGATCCTCAGCTCGTCAGCGACAACCCATCTTCGACCCCTCCTCCGACCGTTGACATCTCACCTCCTGCGGAAGACTCTCCGGGTGCTACGACGGCTCCAGACGCTAATATCTCTCAGCCGTGGGGCGAGATGACGTACCTAACCGCTGCTTCCCCGGTTCCTATGGTCAACGAGCATCCGCCCGTGCCAATTCAGATGAACCGCGGTGGTATCCGTATGGACACTGGTGATGGACCCTTCAGTGGGCGGCCCCGTCATTCCCGATCCCGGTTTACGGCTGCCCGGCGCAAGGAGGTACAGGAGGTCCGAAAGATTGGCGCTTGCATCAGGTGCAGAATCCTCCGGAAGAATTGCGGGAAGGGAACTCCTTGTGATACTTGCCGAAAGGTTCTGGCTCCGCGTGTTTGGAGAACTGGTTGTGTTCGCACTAGGTTGCATGAACAGCTTGACCTCTACTCGGCTGGGGTCCAGGTGGTCCTGTCTCAAAATCGAATCAACCTCCTGAAGAGCCAGCTTCAATTGGTAAACAATGGCTACGTGATCGAGGTCTCGCACTTTCCTGAGACAGGGAAAGCCATTGTCCTTGAGGCGCTAGTTGCTTTGCTCGAACCGAGTGAGGCCCAGGCCGCCACTAGGCAGAGCAAGGACCCCTTTCACCGGGTCATCATGATTGACCAGGACACGGAGGATATCCCCGGCAAAGTCGAAACATACATGCGTGATGTCTTTCAGCACTTCATCGAGCGCGAGCCCTCAAGGTTTATGAGAGTCACTCTTGAGATCGCGCTTCAACAACTTGCAGAAGGAGAAGACGACTTGCTCCGTAAGGCACTGGAGCTCTGGGGTTTGGTAGAGAGTATCGACCTCGAGAGACAGTGGAATATAATGGAGAAATCTAGCACTGAAGGAGAGGAGCCCAGGCGAATCAAGGAGGCTCAGAGCGAAAATGATATTGACATCTACACAATGATTTGCATGCAACTCAACGCTGCGGCCGAAAGAAAGGCCAATAATACGTCGAAGAGCCTCCTGAGCGGCATGCATCGGGTGCTCCAGGACAGCAAAGTCAAGATTAGCTTCAAGGTCTTCCTCACGGCCGTCATTTTTCTCAATTGTGTCGAGAAATCTACTTGGGCCTTCAAGGCCTGGGAACAGGATCATCTTCGTCCAGGCTGGCCCTTGGAAAGAGACCCCAGCGTTTTCACCCAGCAAGGCGGCAATCTGGCAGGTTTGTTGAAGATGCTTCTTGCTATTCGCAAGGCTCTGCCTCAAACCATGCGCGACGAGGCCGGGAAGTTGGTCACTTCAGAACAAGATCCGGTTGTGGTTAACTATTTTCAGAGCTTGGATCTCGATTGTACGTCTCAAGCTACATGGTTCACAGCGTATATATATGCTAACATACTCGTCAGACAACACAATTCAGGCCCGTCAAGAAGGGTCCCAGTTCTCCCCCGCAGACTCCCGCTCCCTCGAGCTCACTTTCTGCTCCCATCTCCTCCTCCCAAATTCTCCTACTTAGATATACCCTCCACTTTGCTGCGCTCACTCGACAGGCCCCGTCAGCTTCGTTGCGCTTGAAGGAGAAAAATGACAAACGACAGACGGAGAGTCAAGCGCGCGTTGTTGACGATGGCAGTGGAGTAGTACCCTTTCGACCACCTTAATGGCTAATGACTGGACGGAAACAACACGAATTGATACCTTTACGACGACATGTACGACTAGGCGTTTTGAGGCAACTAGCCCAGCCGACTCGATGAGAGAAAATTATGATGAAAAGAAACCAAAAGTAATGGATGGTTGTTCACCTGGCGTTGCGGAATCTATACACGTAGAGGATGAGACACCTCAGGGTCTTTACACACAAAAAGGGGGGGATGGCTTCTGGCATGTCTGTAATAAACAAATCTTACACTTTTGGCCCTCATAAAAAAGTTTACTTCTAGCTTTCTTCAACTACAAACACTTGTTGTTTCCTTGACATTGCTGGTCTCATACGCCCATTGTGCCATAATCAGTACTCCCAATATCATTCCATGACAACAGATAACACCGCCTAGGGAACTGAAATCCCGCTGTTGTTCCGGCTCGGTCCATGGCCAGGTCGCTTGGGCTTCTTGAAGCAGGCAAACTCGTTCTTGCTCGCGTCGCGGAGGCGCTTGAGGACGTTGCGCATCTCGGGCAGCTCGCTTTGTAGGCGGGCGCGGGCTTCGTTGTCGGTGCGACCGTCGAGCTCTTGGTAGATCTGGCCTTGGAGCTCCGAGGCGCGGTCGGTAGTGTAGTGGCTGAGAGTCTGGGCGACGAACTCAACGTCGAGGGTGGCCTGCATGAGGGCCTCGAGTGTGTAGCGGGGCCGGCGGCGGAAGGCTTCTAGGAGTTGCATGGATGTCTGCTCCAGGAGAAAGGAGAGGACCTGGGGAGTGAGAGACGGTGCCGTCGTGGAGACCTGGGAGTGGACCAGGACGAGGGAGAGGAGGGCCTCGTAGACGTAAGGCCTTGCGGTTTGGGCGCGCTGGCCCTGGCTCGGAGCCCAGTCGTTAGATGCCAAGCCAGTTTGGATGATATCGTGGAGCTTCTCGATCGACTGCTTGGTGTATGACTGGAAGAGACGGGCGTCGATCTGGCCGAGGACGTCTCGAATGGTCTTGGACTCATCCGTCAACTTGACGGAAAAGGCATTCTCAAACTGAGAGTTGAGGCTGGGTACAACTTGAGAGCGCAAAGATTGCAGGTTGCTGAGGGTCATGAGCATCCGAATGTTCTGCATATTTGTCAGTGCTGTCATGAGTCGTATCATTGGTATGCGACTTACTCGATCACCGGCATCCAACGTTCCCTTGCCCGATACCACAGGTGTTGCAGCCATAACCAGCGTAATGTCGCTCTCAATCGACCAGTCGTCATCAGACTTCTTTAGAGACCGCTCGGCGTTCTCCACCATGCCGCTCAAAGCTTTATACAATGTTGTGACGTATTGGCTTCGCACCATCTGGAGCAGCTTGGTCGGCGGTGGCAGAACAATGTCGCCTGCACCCGGCTTCGACATGGCGTCAGATATGTAAAGGATCTTCTGCATGCCTGAAAGTAGAGCGCCCTCAAAGGCCGAAAAGCTGGCTGGCATCCGTGTCACATCACCAAGCTCTACCGATCGCTGCCAGTCCTCGACGAACTTGATGTTCTCGGCATCGCGGTTCCATGCTGCGCAAAGAGCAGTGACACAGCGCTCTCGGGAGGCACCGACAAGAGTCCTCAAGCGCTCCAGGATCTGGCTGTCCCCTGACGCAACAGGGCCAATGCTAGCCATGTCAGACGCCCCAGACCCAATCAGGGCCAGCATCTTGGAGAGGTAATGAACACCGCTCATCGAGTTTGACCATGGAGGCCAGAAAGCCAACTTTTCCCATGCCTCACCCCTCTTAGGTGATGGTGGAGGCAAGTTGTTGGGATCAAAGTTGAAGCGAGGGTCTCGTGTCGATGGTGTCAACGTGCCAGACATAGGCGTCGATGCCACTGGCGTGTTGGGTGATGACATTGGCATGGGTGAGAAAAGCAATGAGATATCCTCTGGCGGCAGATCTGCGAAGAAGGCAAAAACGTGCTCGCGTGTCATATCTACCAGCTCCACCGCTCCCTTCCGTAGCTCGTTAACGTTCTGGGGCGAAAGCTGGTGATGGTGTCGCGATTCATCTCGATAGCCCGTTGGCAGACTTGCTTGTGCCTTTCCATCGATGAAGCCCTGCACCATCTGCCAGAACTCTACCACCTCCCCAAGGATGCCTTGGGGTGACAGGAGGTTATTCAGGAAAGAGAGCATCTTCTCCCACAGCTCAATGACCTCGGGAGAGTCAGTCGACAATGGTTTACCTTCGATTACTGGTCGACCCAGAGAACGGAGATGGTTCGCTATCGTGTGAGGACTGGGCTTCTCCAGGCTCGCCAATCTCCGGCGGAGGACCTCGATTTCAATCTTCGAACGGTCCGACGTAGCTTGAATCTTGCCCTTGAGGTGATCATACCGGCTCAAGAGCCACACCCAAATGGGATTGTCATCGGAACCAAGCTCTAGGAGCAGGCTAATAAGCTCTGTGTGCTGGTCCTGCACACGCCCATTCATAGTCTCCGACTTGGATATGGTATGGAGATTGACCAGCCGTTTCCAGACATCCCTCTTGAAATTCCGAATCTGATGGTCAACGTCGTGCCACATGCGCCCTGCGATTACTAGCTGATAAAGCTGTGGTTCAGTCGGGGTGCGGCCTTCCAATTCCTCCGATAGTTTGCGAGCCTCGTCGGTAATCTTCCTGGCACGACCAAACTCTTCAATCAGCGACTCGTAATCTTTGCGCTTGATGCTGTCGGATATTGCTGTGCTTAGCTCGAAATAGTCCTTGAATCTTGTCAAGTGGTTGGAGACGGTTTTGAGATGCTCCTCCTTCTCTCGTCCTCCAAGAGCAGGGCCCCAGACATCCTCCGCCTTTGCCGAGACATCCAACAGAGGTCCCTTGATTCCCAACACACCATACTCACTCTCCTTGGTAAGCGCATTCTTCTTACGAGTGTCGGGCATAGGCGAGGTTAAGGGGTTATTGATGGCCGTTGTCCCAGCGATGCTGCTCCGAAAACTGCCGCGACTAGCGTGACGAGAATGCGGACGGCCTTGGCTGGGGGGTTCGACTCCGCGATATTTCATTTCCTTGTAGACGTTATCGATTGTGGCCTTGGCCTTGACGAATCGTTCAAAGTTGGTCTCGACTAGGACCTTGAGGGAGGCGGACTTTTGGTCGATAGACTGTGAAAGGACGTCCAGGCCGGTGACCAGGCCACGTGTATCGGCCCCCGAATGCATCTGCGACAGGAAAAGGGCGGGCGAGAATGTCGTCGAGGAGAGAAGGAATCGGTTGCCTGTGACAGAGATATAAGCTTGGCTCCAACTGTGACCAGCTCATGACAGCTCGCGCGGGGACATACGTAGTCGCAAATCATCTTGGAGGGGCAGACCAAGCTGCTTCAGCGTCCTCACAACACTGTTGGCGGTTCCCAAAGGGTCGGGTTCATCTTTCTGCACCAGGCTCCCAACGCCTCCAGCGCCGGGTTCTGATCCTGGCAGAATGCTCCGTCGGTCGCTAACAGCTCTCTCCAAGGCCTGGTACCGGGACTTTCTCCGCTTGAGCTTCGCTCCTTTTTCGCCTTCTTCGTCGGAGCCTTCAACGTCCTTCTCGGCGGGCCATTCTGAGGGGAAGGCTGTGGGGATCTGGTAGAAGTCGAGGATGGTGCGTTCGTAGTCGGCCATGGTGTCGACAATGGCCAGGAGGTGGGGGGACAATCAGGGCAGAAGGCGCATGCTTGCCCTCGGTCGCGTGAGGTCGGAAACAGTCGTATAGGGATCAGTATGTGGCGTTTTTAGTTGGTCCGGGCCTTAATGCAGCGCAAATCGAGAGCTGTTCGCACGCGTCGCAAGCTGTCTTGGTGTTGATGTCGTTTGGGCGGTCGTCACCTTGAAGCTCATGCATGTGGCTGTGTAGCGTCTGTTACAGGTTGACAGCCCGGGCGCCGGCATGTACGACTGTGGCTGGTGGGTTTGCCGCATCTGTGGCGCTTGCGGGATCTTGTTATCTGCGTTTTCCGTTTTCCGTTATCCGTTATCCATGGCGGGGCTGTGGCACCCTGCATGGCCTAAGCGCGTGTGTGGCTAGTGCCCTCCCCGGAGTTCCAGCGGATGCCCACCGGACGACGACCGGCTCGGACGGTGGCAAGCGGAAATCCGGCGGCTCCGAGGCTTGTAGCCGAACGAGGAGCAAGAAAAGCCGCGGAAAAGTGGAGGAAGTGGAGGCAGTGGAGCGCCGGCGCCACATTCGCAGTGGCTCGCAGTGGCTGGAGAACCTGTCGCTGGGTGCGCTGAGTTGCATTGGATTGTTTTCCACTTGGTTCATGCCCGTGGGCGAAACTTCAAACTTCTTCTTCAATCAATCTATCTACACCTACTCTCCTCTCCTCTTCTCCCCTCCTCTCTTCCTCGTTCTCCCTTGTTTCTCCGAGTCCCGGCTGCTCGCATTCCCGCTCGTCCTTCACAATGCTGGCCATTCGAGCTTTCTCCAAGCCTGTCTCCAGGCAGGCCCTGCGCGCAGCTCCCCGCGCCGCTGCGACTTGGGCCGTCTACGTAAGTGACGACTTCGCGCCCACCAGCCGCACCGCACCACCACCGCACGCCAATGCTAACACGCCCGCCGCAGAACCGATGCTACTCGACCGCCGGCGAGAAGGTCGCCAAGTACAACGGCACCAAGGACTCCAATGTACGTCGCTGCTTGATCAATTTCTTTCCTCTCTCCTCTTTCCGTCTCTGTGGCGGCCCCAGCATCGGCTGGTCCGAGCCAAGGTTGCCGAGATAAAATCACTCAGCCTTGATGCCTGGCCCAGACCCCAGATCATATTGATATTCGCCTTGCTAACTCCATGTCCAGGGCAACTTCCTCGTCAGCTTGATCGAGGGTGACGGTATCGGCCCTGAGATTGCCCAGTCCGTCAAGGACATCTTCTCCGCCGCCAAGGTATGCTCCACCCACAGCCTCTCCGTGTAAGCCTCCAAGCACTAATACACATTCTAGACTCCCATTGCCTGGGAGCCCGTCGACGTCACTCCCATCCTCAAGAACGGCAAGACCGCCATCCCCGATGCTGCCATTGAGAACATCCAGAAGAACAAGATTGCCCTAAAGGGTCCTCTCGCTGTATGTGCTGCCCCAAGCGCAAGCCGTCGTTCGGCCTCACCGGCACCTTTCTAACATCTATTGCTGCAATAGACCCCCATTGGCAAGGGCCATGTCTCCCTCAACCTCACCCTCCGACGAACCTTCAACCTCTTCGCCAACCTGCGACCCTGCCGCTCCGTCGCGGGCTTCGAGACCCCCTACGATGGCGTCAACACCGTCCTGATCCGAGAGAACACCGAGGGTGAATACTCCGGCATCGAGCACGTCGTCGTCGATGGCGTCGTCCAGAGCATCAAGCTCATCACCCGCGAGGCCTCCGAGCGTGTCCTCCGATATGCCTTCCAGCACGCCCAGGCCATTGGTCGCAAGAAGGTCCGTGTCGTCCACAAGGCCACCATCATGAAGCTGTCCGATGGTCTCTTCCTCAAGGTCGCCCAGGACGTCGCCAAGGACTTCCCCGAGATCGAGTTCGACGCCGAGCTGCTCGACAACAGCTGCCTCAAGATGGTTACCGACCCCACCCCCTACAACGACAAGGTTCTTGTCATGCCCAACCTGTACGGTGACATTCTCTCCGACATGTGCGCCGGCCTCATCGGCGGCCTGGGCCTTACCCCCTCAGGCAACATCGGTGACGAGTGCTCGATCTTCGAGGCCGTCCATGGCTCCGCCCCTGACATTGCCGGCAAGGGCCTGGCCAACCCCACCGCCCTGCTCCTCAGCTCCATCATGATGCTGCGACACATGGGTCTCACCGAGCACGCCACTCGCATTGAGACCGCCATCTTTGATACCCTGGCCGAGGGCAAGACTCTCACCGGCGACCTGGGCGGCAAGTCCAAGACCCACGAGTACGCTCAGGCCATCATCTCGAGGCTGTAAATACAAGATTAGATACCTGCTGCTTCCCCGGGTGCGCGCGCGTTTTTTTAAGGGTAGTATTTATGTAACTGTACCAATCCTAGATTAAGGCACGGCGAAATGATTGTTTGAACTCATGCTTCTTTTTCCCCTTCGTGATATTTGTACCACCGTTGCGCGGTTTCTGCTCCCTAGCCGCGTTCGTGCGATTAAAAGAAAATTGCTAAAGGATCCGGTTGTATGAAAAACACTACATATGAGGTTGCAACTTATATCGCGCTTCACACCCTTTCAACTGTACGCAACATGGGACCTCCTTGTCGTGTCAGATGTGACCAATATTCTCATGGCAGCACCCTTACCCTATAGAAACCTCGAGAGTTGAGAGAAAAGGGGCAAAAGAAAATATAAATTGAACTCGTAAATCCTGATTTTTTAGAGATAAAAAGGTCATGCAGCAGATCATGCAACCTGTGCATTAATAGCTGTGCCCTAGCGTCGTAGTTTTACACTGCACATGGGCACTTGTCATGATGCATCGGCCGTTCGCCGACAAAGCAATATGACAACCCCACTCCACCCATGCACGTCATCACGATGACATGCGAACTCGGAACTAATAAACCACGCTGCGACGGCATGTCGGGTATTGTCCAAACGCTTCATAACGTACATACATGTATGTCCAATCGCTAAAACCGTATCCAGGGATATTCGCGAGCCTGTTGGCCCATGATTCGCCAACCCAATAACCATAATCCAATACAGATAGATGCCGAGGGCATTTCCATGTACGCCAGCCAATCCGTGAACCAGCCGTCTCCCAAGTTTTTCCCAGCCATCTCACCCCATTCAAAGTCGCCCAGTTCGAATCTCCTTGTCAAAGATCTTGACGCCCCAAACATCGTAGAACTGCAGCACTCCCACAGTCTTGAGACGAAGCCGTTTCCCGCAGTGAAACGCATCATCGTCGTCCTCATCGCTGTCAGTATCCGAGCCCCAGTCGCTCATTGGAAGCACCGGAAGATCATCATTGTTGTGGATGGGACCAAGGATAGCCTTTCCCTTGCCCTTGTCTCTCCTCTTCGACTCCTCCTCTCCCTTCTTGGCCGTCTCCGAAGGTCGAATGACACGATCTAGCCGGTCATCTTCCATAGCGATCCACTCAAGCTTAAGCTCAGGATGGTGGGAGAGGTTGTCAACGATGAAATTCAGAATCTCGCGCATGACCCATATGCATGTGTCGTTGTTTCTGAAATGAAGAATGTGGATCGCTCGCAGATTCACCAACCCGGAGAAGTATTGCATAAAAGCATGCTACCAGACAGGTTAGCACGAATAGGTGAGACGGGAAATTGATAAATCTTACCACAGCGTGGATGTTCATACTGATAGCCAATTCTTCGAGCTGAGTTCCCCGGTTACATATGAGAATCATGGCCTTTTGGTTCACATCCCAATTGGAACCATTTGACTCATCTTTGATCATCAACCGCTTCAAAGTCATCATGTGCTTCTTGAGGACAAGCCGACGGATTTGATCAATTGTGATTGTAGCTTTAGGGGCAAAGCTCTCTGGCTTGTACTTTGAGCTGCGTTCGAGCATAAATAGTTCATGCAACTCCTCTAGTTGCGACATGCAGGTTAGGAACGCAGTAGACACATTGTCGGTGAAGACACTGCGCAGAGCCAACGGGTGGACCTTGTTCTCCTTAGCCAACAACGTCCAAATAGGGGCTTGATTGCCGACGTTGAGGAGTGTGAGATTCTTGATGCAACGCAAGTCCATAGCCCTCGACAACACGGATGCTTTGACAGGAATTAGATGGATGCTCAAAGTCTCCAGCGAAACCCCGCGAGTATCTCGGATGTAGTCTTCCATGGACCGTCGGTTTTGTTCAGCACTGGCCTCCTTGGGATGAGTTGGTAGCTGCCTTGTTGCATCCAAAATTTCGGCCTCTGCTGTCTTGATTTGCTGTTGGATGTCGACGATAGACAGAAGAAGTTCCTTAAGCTGGGATTCTGCTTCGTTGACCTGGACAATAGTAGCGTCAGTGTCCTCAGTAGACATGCCCTTAAGTTTCTGGCCGAGGTCATCCGCTTGCTTCTGAAAGTGACCGAGCTTCGCTGAAAGCGTTTCTGTGTTTGTCAACTGGGCTGCCAAATTTGTGATAGCGCGGTTCATTCCGGTACTTGAGCTGGACCCAGGTGCTCCGGAACTGTTAATTGCTGACGCTAACTCCCGAGACTTCTCGTCAACGTCCTTTGCAGCCTGACCATCAGAATCGTCGTCTGCGTCGTCCACCACATCCAAATGCTCAATTTCGATATCCTCGGGGGACACCTCGCCTTCAACATTCTTGCCCTTGGGCCGGCTGCTGGAGGCTGTCGAACTTGAAGAATCCTTATTTTCCAACTGAAGATTCTTGCTGGTCTCATCCTTTTTAGAACCTTCACTGTCCTTGGTTGCCGCAGGGGATGCATCATCTGAGACTTTGGCCGGAAGGCTGTCTGATTCGATGTACTTTCTGGCCGCCTTTTCGATTGTGTCAAGGATATCCTGTTGTTCAGTAGAGAAGTCTCGCGAGCCGTTGCTGAGAGACATCAGTTTGGAGGAAACACCTCTCATCGATGAGATGAATTCTTCCCGGGGATCTGCCGTCTCGTCATGTTCAGAGTCCTCTCTTTTGTCGTTGCTACTCGCGGCATCTCGAGGGTTCTTCTGAAACTGTGACTTCTTGACGATGAATGGCTCGACATCAAAGATCCTCCCCAAGACAGACTCTTGGAGTTTGCGCTCTTCTTGCGAACGGAAGGTCTTTGAAGACCCGCTCGCTTCAAAGTTAGAGCCTTGGGAGGCTGGGACGACTTGAAACTCATCATCCACGTCCGAATCATCCGGATCGGAGTCTGGCGGTGGTCGACGGGCCTGTAATGCTAAAGAGTCGGACAGAGATAGGTGTAGTTCGTTCAAGGTGGCTGATGAGTTGCGAACACATGTCTTGAGCTCAGTTACCACGTCCAGACTGTCGATGTCGAGGACAGAGAGAGTTTTTAGTTTCTTGAAGCCTGAGAGTGTTGGGGGTTCCCGTATCAACACAGGAGTGCGCTTCCCAACCTTGGTCTTGGACTTGGACGTCGGTAGAAGAGTATGTGAAGGCCCGCTCGAAACGGTGGTTGGGATCGTGTTCCCAATAGGAACCGGGAAGACTGGGGGCGGTGGCGGGAGGTCGGACCAGTGAGTCGGAGCCGGCGCATCATCAAGCACCAGTGGTAGAGGGGGGGAGTAGTATAGTAAGACTCGCCAGCTTGCATGCGGACGTGGAGTGTAGTCAATGTCTGTATCTTGTGCAGCTCCTGGTACACGGGTCTACTGAGTTCCACGCGAATGTTCCATCTAACCGCGCCAGTTAGCATAAGAGGGGACGAGCAAGGATATGAGGCGCTACGAACCGGAAAATCTCGAGAGACTTGGCCTTCTTGATGGTCAAGAACAACAGAGTATTCAAGAACTTGCCGCAACTAGCGCTGTACAAGTATGGCTTGTAAGCATGCTCGGCCTTAGCGCCTGTGCTCACAGTGTCCATGGACAGTTCCTTGAGATGTTTGGCATAGTTATAATCGCTCGTGGTGAAGGCATCGAGGCCACCAGCGAGGCCGTCAATGGGACATTCGAACCTCAGGTCATCTTCATCGGGGAAGAGGATGTTGAAGCTGCGGTACAGATGGGCGGAGGCGAGCTCGTGGAAGTGCTTCGAGACGAGTGCGACGCAGATGAGATCGGATTGGGAGCACTGCGAGAAGGGTCAGCGGGATCCATGATGTATGCGAGTTGAGCGGGCGAGTTGCGCATACATGGGACAGGATCTCTAGTTGGGTCTCGGGTGGCAAGTCCAGGAAGGTGAGCGCAGTCTTGGGTGCGGGGGCAGCCTCGTCGCCGGCAGCCTCCGCAGCCATGATCGCTGACGTCGGGAAGAGCGAGACGATTCGACCACTACGGGATGAGTATAGATGGACGGAGAAGCGTAGTCGCAAGCGCAAGCGGAGTCGGAGGTAGAGGCAGAGGTGGCGACGTCACTTGGGTGTGGGACGTGGCCGAAGCGAAGCGAAGCGAAGCGAGGTGATGCAATGCGATGCGACGCAGCGTCCGGCCCGGAATGGGCTATAGTAGGTCTCAGAGGCGGAATGGGGGGGAACGGGCGAGATGAGAGCGATGAAGAATAGCGAATGGAATGGAGGTATATAAAAGAAGGCAGAGGAGCGAGCAACTTGTACGTCGCGGGCTGGAGGTCTGTGGTGGTTCTTTGTTGGTTCAGTAGTGGTGATGGGATGGCGGGGCGGATCAACGATTCGCAGCAGGGCTCTGAGCTTGCCAGGGGCTCTTGCCAGGCGGTGCGAGCGCTGTGGGATAGGCTGCACGGGGTGCGATCAGCCTCACACGGGGAGGGGCTAGGTCGGGATGCAGAGGGAAAGTGCAGAGGACGTGTACGAATAGAGGGAGAGACGGCTCAGACGGGCATCCGAGGTTGGCGGGAGGGGAGTTGGAGGAGGGTCCGTCGCCTCACGGGCGGGACATCGCCCCATGCCCCATGCCCCATACCTACAGGTAGGTACCTATCCCATGTCCCTTGCCCCATGCGCCGCCCATGCCGCTCCACGATGGTGGGTGACTTGGTGACGTTTAATTACGCAGTAGTGTGAAAGACGGCGCGCCATGAGACAGTGCGCGGGCGGCACTGGGCTGCTGCCAACAGGTTGACTGTCTGGTTGCAGATTTGCGATCACCAAAATCTCGGAGAAATGTTTCACTCCCTGCTCCGAACCCTGATCGAATGGTTGATGGCTGTCATGTCAGAGAGAGACAGACACCATTCATTTCGCCTTGTTGGGTGATGACATGCGGGGCTCCAGCCGCCAGCCGTGTGCATGTCTGCACCACCCCGCCCTGTTAACCTGGCCATCTTCGATTCAGGCCCTGTTGGGCTTTGCTGAATAATTAAAAGTACAGAATGGGCACCTATACTGCGGAGCACCTCGCAACTTCCATTCACTGTTAAAAATCGAGTGGAGTCGTTGCCCCTTCGTCGAGGCTAGGATCTGTCTTGAAGCTTTAGAGCCACGCATTGGTCAGACACCAGAGCTTGGTCCTTCCAGAATTACCAAACCACCAAGAGACAGAACAACCTATCGCTGTATCGCAGGTAAATTAACCTCATCGTCCGTGCCTGCTGCCGAGTTGTGTGACGGTGTCTGTTCCTGAGAGACACACCCCACACCCTCGTTCAACGTGGTTCAACACTCGCGAAGGGCCCGAATATCTCACAATCCTTTCTCGTTGACTACCTAGTTAGCATTCAACTATCTTCTTGGGACAGACTCCTACTGTCACGTTTACCCTAGAAAGGAGCGGGGTCACCGTACGAACAATAACGGCACCACCTTGACAGCTTTCAAGAGCCAGACTACAACACTAACAACTCCTGTCCGTACGGCAGTATCGAGGATGCATTAGTTGGCACAACAAGGCCGTTTTTTTTCAACGACCGCTCCAAACTTGCGCTGGACTAGGGACGTACGTAGCATCCATGCCCACATCGGCTTCTTGTGTGGGGTCAAGGCGCTTGGGCGAAAACCTCCGAATCGCCCCATCTGTTCCTCACTCGGTTGGAGACGCGACAAAGACATGTGGAACCAGGCCTCGCGTCTCTTGCGCAAATGATGGCTGGGCTGCCTCTTTTCTTCACAGAAAGCTGACCTGAGTACTTTTGGATGAATGTCACTGTACAGAGGGCATATTTTCCGCCCCTGCATCGGCACTTGGTTTCCGTGCCGCAATATCAGGACTCAGCCCTGGGTCCCGTTGCCAAGAGTCCAACACGAAGACGAATCTGCAACCAACCTATTTCGGGGGATCTCTTCTCGTTAGCCAGCACGGCCGATAGAGCCATGGAAGGGGAAGGACCCCAACATGCTGTGGAGTCATGAATCCACGGCAAGGGCCAGAGCCAAGGATCAAAGCACCATCAGTTGGGACAAGATGAGACGAGACGAGACGAGACGAGACGACCTATTCAGGGAATCGCCGTGGCTGGTACTTACTCCGTAGACAGTGGGTGATCGCCAACGCCTAATTTAGTCGCCTTTTCTCCAAGCAAGGTTGCCACCTGTCCGGTCTGGACTCAGCCATCTGGTCACCCGTACCCTTGCTCATAGGTCCCTTAAAAAGCAAGCCGGCCGTCTGCCAACGAACAAATCCTTCTCAGCCGCACTCGAGGTGCTAAGAATCGGGCGCAGTTGTTGGTTACGGCGCCATGATGAAACTTGAGGGATCGGACGGCTCCCTGCTCCCCACCCCGTAACAACGGCACCTCCTGGGTCCACCCCCAAGGCTGTGCCCGGGCCGTCCAGTCACACCAACAACCAACGATCACCCTTCAATCAGGCAAATGGGGACGGGAACCACTTTGTCCTAGACCCGTCGTGTTTCCTGCCTATTTTTCGTTTCCCCCATCTTTTTCGCTTTATATGCTTCACCGTCCCTGACTTTTTGACACAGGCAGTTTGTCGTTTGTTTGTTTGCGGTACAAGACCCGTCGTATCGTCCAACGCTCACTGACGTGGACTGGTCGCCACCTACCTAAGGTACCTAGGTAATTGTCGAATCCACCAAATCACGGCCATCAGGACTGCCGTCGATCACCCCTCTACAACAAGAGGCAGGCTACCGCTTCTAGGCTATCCTGACAATGGCCGACGCCGAAGAGCCTCAATTCAACACGCTGGCAGAGCGAATAGCAGCCCTCAACAAGCAAAAGAATTTCAGCACCACTACCCCAGAACCAGCTCGCAAGCGCCCACCGGGACCACCACCTCCTCCCCCTGGCCGGCCTGTCGTCGACGCCAGGACTCAGTCATTACCAGTGGTTTCGTCCTCTGGGAGTCCTCCAGGCCATCATAGCCCCGCGATCCCTCCCAGGCCCAATCGACGGAACAATGCGCCATCGGTTCCTGGACAGAACCCATCTGTTGCGCTGAACGGGACGCAGCATCACCACCAGAGCCCTGTTGCCGCCCCACCTCCGCTACCAAGCCGCTCCCCCTCGAGTCAACCAACTTTGCCGCCCCGGCGCACATTGACGCAGCCTCCCAGTTTGACGGTGAGACGTAACTCGGGCTCTTCTGAAATTTCCCAGCATTCGACTTTGTCCTCTCTGTCGTTGGGTGGTCACACTGCATCCTCCGTCACCAGTCAGGGCTCGGAGGGCACCATCTACAAGCTGCCCCCGGCATTTGATGCAGCCAGTCTCCCTCCGCTGCCGCCCTCCAAGAGAGAACGTGAGGCCAAGGAGGCCAAGGAGACTGCAGAGGCAATTAAGCAGGCAGCCCGGCCCAAGTATCACAAGCAAGCAGCCCAACCAATTCCAGCTTCTCGCCAGGTTGAGCCTGCTCCAGCACCCAAACCTTCTCTCCCACCAAGACTCCCTTCGCGGCCAGCCATACCGCCGCGAAATGCAACTGTGGCGACCACAGAGCCCAACCAGCCACCTCGGAAACTGCCACCCCGGCCAATGGGATTTGCGAAATCAACACCCACCAATGGCACTTCAACTCAATCCCCAGGTGTGCGACCTGCTCTTCCAAGCCGGCCGCAGTCACACGACGAGCCTCCTCCAGTACCAGCTTCCTCGCGTCCGTCATTCGCACAGATTGAGGCTGCTTCCCGAGCGCCTCCACCCATTCCCGTGGTTGACGACTGCTTCATTTGTCGAGACTGGAGTGGCCCCGACACAGTAGCAGCACAGTTCCCCCGGCAATCACTACCGAGGAATGATCCTGTAGGCCATCTGGCTCATGGGCTCTGCGACCCATTCCCGTCTTATACAAACAAGGCCCGCGCAATCTTCACATGGTTCCATCACAACATTGTCTATGACACGGTTGCGTTCTTTGGAAACTCTATTAAACACATGTCAGTTGAAGACACTATTTTCAGTGGAAAAGCCGTCTGTCAAGGCTATGCGGAGGTGTACAAGGCGATCGCAAACAGAGCTGGGCTTGAGTGCGTCCTCGTTAGTGGCCATGGAAAGGGATACGGGTACACTCCCCTGAAAGAAGGGGAGCGCCCTCCTCCACCCAAGCCAGACGGCCATGCTTGGAACGCGGTGCGCATTGATGGCGGCGAGTGGAAGCTCTTGGATGCCTGCTGGGGAGCCGGTCACCTAGACGGCCACACCAACCAGTACAAGCAGACTTTTTCCCCTACACATTTCAACAGCTCCAACGACAAGTTCGGCAGGTCACACTTCCCCCGCGAGTCAAAGTACCAGTTCCGCAACGATGGCCGGGTCATCAGCTGGGAGGAGTACTTCGTGGGCCCAAAGGTTGGCCAGGTGAATGGTGAGCGTCCCACCTTCTACACTGGTGCACACGAGGAAGGATTTTGCGAGGACACCGTGGAGCCGAAGGGACGGGACATCCCTGTGTATAGCGGCGAAGTCGTACGGTTTCAATTTTCCAAAATCTGCGAACACTGGACATCGGAGAAACACGGGCGGGGCAAGCCTCCCCTGTTGTTGCTTTGCATTAACGGGGTTGATGGTCGAAAAGATGATATGCTACCCATGGAGACAGATGGCTACTGGCATTGGATCGATGTGAATGCAAGGGATCTAGGAGCCCCAGGACAGTCGGTGAAGGTTGCCCAACCGACATCCATTGATGGGCAGGATGCTAGGGGCGTTACAGCAAAGGAATTTCTGGCAAAGAAGGGCAAGGTGGGAATGGCTTGGTCTTATGATATGAGCTGGGAGTTGGTATAAAATGGGGATATATGATAGAGTAATGGCACATAAACGAGGATATAGGACTGATACCGACTGGGAGGACAAATTCATCATCGTTTATTATCACAAAATCATGCTAGTGGCGATGTATGTCCACCTATTCCGTGTGAATGGTAACTGGCCTCGATATCTATTGGCGAGGACTTTAGTTTGCGGCATTGACAAGCGTAATGAAGATGACTGGTTGCCGGGGTTTGTTAATTCCCGACTTGAATGCGTGTATTGAGTGTGTCCAGACAGGGTTAAGACGTTCTTTGGCTGTTACCGGTGTTCTATCACAAGTCGAAAGTATGACAGTCTCGCTCAGTTACATGGGTATTTAAGAGTTCTATGATACCAATGGCCTCTTAATTGCACAGCTCTGGGAAGAGTCTACGTGTTTACATCGTCTCGGAATCACCGAAATGATACCCTCGACACGCGTTGGAGGACTCCCACTGTACGCGCAAGCCTTATCAAGAAATACCACCCTCTCTGCCGGCGGGAGAGTCAAAAGGACCACATCTACCCATAGCTGCAGTAAACATAACCGTAGAGGCTGCCTAAGGAAGCACTGGCGTGAATGAGCTGGGACAGGACAATTCTTTAGCCAACGGCAAGGATCAAGAGCCTGCTCCACGGCCGCTTTTGCCTCATTTATCAGCGTCTTTTATGTCTGAGTTTTTACTGCGTCTATATCTTCGCCGCCTGGATCTGCTTCTCCAACGCCAGGAACAGCACTACAAATGGGACACAAGTAGGCATGTCGGGTTTGAGGTCACGTTCTGCCTGTATCTGGTTATCGTTTCGACGTGGATCAGGAGGAAAGATTGTTGTGTTGCGGCTCCTTCCCTTCTTGGTGGGGGATCCAGGCAGAAAGAGAATCTACATGGTACCTACCTACCTAGGTACGTAACGCACCATCTCTCCGCCTCACGGAGAAACAGACCAGATAGCGTATCATCTTCATGACATTTTGTCAAGGCAACGCACGGCGTTACAAGTCTTGACCGCATGGCAACCACCGCGCGGCAATCACAATCACATAATTCGACTCTCTAACACCTCTCGTCCCCTCACGTGGTCATCCCGAGGATACCCGGACGGAGAGAGTTTCTTGGAGACAGTTTTTGCACTCCACACCAAAGCATCTCACCACACCACATACCACACTCCACGGAGTACGCATCGGGACGTTGCACGCCAGAACACGACTTCGTACACACAGCATCTTGACACGTCCCACCGACGTCCCACTGTCTCCAAATGCCGACCTTGTCCACGCCGTGGTGCGATGCGGGATTTGTAGGAAGCGTTCCCCGGCGAGAGAGTCAGCACCAGCCAAGACACCTTCCAAGAGAACCAAGCCTTTTAGCGTCTTGGCCTTGCATGGCTGCTTGCAGAAGTTGCAGCTCTCCCATGGGTATCCATGGGTATCGTCGCCCATTCCCCGCACTCACGCCGCTAGCTTCGAGGCCGCCCGGGGCGCCATTGGACCAACATCAGAAGGTTGCGCCGTCATCTCGGCCAAGAACGCTCCCCCTCACCACTCGGCCGTCCCTCCTATGACGAGAGCGAGAGAGGAGAGAGAGGAGAGGGAGGCGAAAAGAGGCCCCTCAGCATGCACACAGCCCCGACGCCTCCATGCGCTGCAGGCCATCAACCAGCTTGGTCGGTGTGCTAACTGCGCTTTATTAGGTGGGTCGTCCACAGATTGTCGCCCATGAGCCTATCAGCTCGCCATCTTTACGTCCCGTGACTGCTTGGCATCAGCGAAGCACGCCGTTTCCTCGAATTGTGGCTGTAGCCATGGTGGGATCGCCAAGGGACCGCCAAGGGGCCATGTTCGCTACTGACGGCCTCCGTCCGATGAGGTCCTGGATGCGGTGGGCCGTTCTGGGAGCTTCGCCAGTTCCAGTCCAGAGTATAAAACCCAGGACCCCGGGATCCCGCACGCCTGGCCTGCGTTCCTCAGCCTCATCCAGTGGCCTATAATAAAACGACCTCGAAATGGGACTTCCGAACGATGAACGCGATGATACGATAGAAACGAGGGCCGGCATTGTCAACATTGATGACAATGACAATGACGCCGCCTCCACCGCCCCCACCGATCCCGACGTCCGCGACCTGGCCGATCAAGAAAAGGCCCAGCGAATTGAACATGAGGATCTAAATCGAAACAACAAACAGGTAGGCCACCCGATCTTCGCAGTATGGGCGCCTCTGACACCTTGAAGACATACAGGGGCATCCTTCTCCTCTGGCTCGCCTGGCAGAGCACCGGTGTCGTTTATGGCGATATTGGCACCAGCCCCCTCTACGTCTTCAGCTCAACCTTTACCAAGCAGCCTTCGTGGGATGACCTAGTTGGAGCTTTGTCCATCATCATCTGGTCTCTCACCCTTATCGTCACTGTCAAGTATTGCTTCATTGTGCTCTCGGCCGATGACGATGGCCAGGGCGGCACCTTTGCCGTCTATTCGCTTCTTGCCCGCTACGCCAACATTGTCGGCACCGATCCCAATTATCCCGATAGGATCATGGTCCGTTTGGAGCGGGAGATAGGATCAGCCGAGCTACCGCCCGCCGGTAGGATAGTCCGAGACTTCCTAGAGAGAAGCAGAGCAGCCAAGGCAATCCTAAAGATTGTCGGCGTGCTAGGCGTATCCATGGTTGTCGCAGATAGCGTTCTCACCCCAGCTCAGTCCGTCTTGGGTGCTATCCAAGGAATCCAAGTCGTCAGACCGGATTTGGGACGAAGCGCCATTGTCGGCATCTCGTGTGGAATCCTGGTCCTCCTCTTTCTGCTTCAACCACTCGGCACGTCCAAGATTGGTACGGCATTCGCTCCCGTCGTCGTGATATGGCTCCTGTACAACATGGGCATTGGCATCTACAACCTTGTCCTGTATGACCACACTGTGCTCAAGGCGTTTAGCCCTCACTATTGTTTCACATACCTTATTCGAAATGGCGACGAGGGCTGGAAATCTCTCGGTGGTCTTCTCCTCGCCTTCACTGGAGTTGAGTCGCTCTTTGCAGACCTTGGAGCCTTTGGCCAACGTGCTATCCAACTTTCCTGGCTGTGTTTGGCATTCCCGTGCTTGCTCATCACTTACGCAGGCCAGGCCGCCTACATCTCGCGAGATGAGACCGGCAACGCCTTCACGAACCCTTTCTTTTATACCCTGCCTGGCGGAACGTTCTACTTCAGCATTGTCATTGCTGTGCTAGCTGCAATTGTTGCAAGCCAAGCCTTGATTACGAGTTCCTTCCAACTCATTTCGCAGTTGATGAGGTTGAGCTACTTTCCCCACATCAAGACTGTCCACACCAGCCGTCGATTCCATGATCAAATCTACATGCCCTTTGCGAACTGGCTCCTTATGATTGGAACTGTCATAGTTACCGCCGTGTACAACAACGTAAGTCCACCGGAATCCCTTTGAGGGTATCTATTCTAAACGGGTTCATCTAGACAACTAGCCTTGGTCATGCCTATGGCGCATGTGTCATAATCGTCACCTTCATTACAACTTGCTTGGTGTCTTTGGTAGCACTCATCATCTGGCGCGTCCAATCATTGATCGTCCTATTCGTGTTCCTAGTCTTCATCCTGCTTGATGGAGTATATTTGTCAGCAGCACTGAACAAGGTACCGGATGGCGCCTGGTTTGCCCTCGTGCTGTCGTTCATTCTTTCCACCATCTTCATCCTCTGGAGATGGGGCAAGGAGCAACAATGGAAGGCAGAAATGAAGGATTTAGTCGACCCCTCCGATCTGCTTCTAATGTCCCGCAACAATTCTGTTTCTACGGATAACAATAGCCCACTCCGTCTGAGGCTCGTACCTGAGTTTGGAGGTGGTTGTGTTACCGCAGCATCGGGTCTCGGCATATTTTTCGACAAAGTTGGTGGAAGTGGTGACCATATCCCCAAAGTATTCACACAGTTCATTCGCAAATTCCAGACACGACCACAAGTCATCGTCTTCTTCCACATGCGCTCTCTTTCGCAGCCGACGGTGCCAATCGACCAACGGTTCGTCATTGCCCGCGTCACCTCCAAAATTCCGTCCTGCTACCGGATTGCTCTACGTCATGGATACATGGACGATATCCTTACACCAAATCTAGCGCGGATCATCGTGGCGGAACTCATGATGTTCATCACGCGGGGGGCTCCTGATGGGAACGAGGACGCGATGCCACCGGATGTGCGTGAGGAGCTAGAAGCTCTTCGTGCCGCACGAGACGCCCAGACAGTATATCTCATGGGGAAACAGACAATGAGAGTGCAGCGGAGACCGAAAATAACGGTTGGAAACCTCGCTCGACGAGTAGCATTGGAGTCTTTCTTGTGGATCCGGGAGAATTCCCGTACCAAATTGGCCAACCTCGACATCGACCCCGATGACTTGGTTGAGGTGGGCTTTGTAAAGGAAATATGAAAGGTAGGAGAATACTGTATACATCAGGGACAGACAGGCATAAGGATAATTGGCGGACACGGAGTTTTCGGAGCGCCTTGCATTGGAAGCAAGGTGTAGATTTATGAGAAATTGGGAGACAAGACTGGACAGATCCATCTACGACACTTGATGAAATAAAAAACCCCTCTTTGATTTCGCCACGAGATCTTTTCTCCAATAGTATTTCTATAGGTACTGGAAAAGTAAATAGAAGAAAATGACGCCAACAAATGATGTGCTATCTTATCGGATGTCTGCATCGAAAGCTCCCCTCATTTTTCTTTTCGTAATAGGACCATAACCCCTGAATATCTCTGATTGAGTGAGGAATTAGGGGCCATATTGGTCACAGCTGCAGTCGCTACTGAATTTGCACCTCAACCGTGTTGGTCCAGTCAAAGGCTACGCTTTACGAGAGATGTCGTTGAATGGAGAGAGTATCCAGAAGGTTAAAACTTTAGAACTAGAATACGTCGCAAGTGATGGGCCATAGGAATCACCTATTATTGAGAATGGAATTGCGAATCACGTTGGGGACGTGTCTATATAGGAAGTCCCACCACCACCCTCTACGGAGATCCATCAGGTCACGTCTTGGGCAAGCACTGCAAAGCAAGCCATTAACAGTCAAACCAACAGAGAAACTCACGTCTCTATTTTGAACCACTCACATTCAAACTCCTCGAGAGAACGTTGCAAGTTTTATTCTCAACCGTCTCAGCATCCTAATCTCACTCGCAAACGAAAATGTGTCTCACAGTCACCCTTCTATCCCGGTGCAACATTTGCAACAACGTGATAAGATTCGAAAAGTTCCCGGAGCCATGTAGGCGAGCGGCCCAATCGGGACAATACTGCGCGGTCAAGCTTCCTGTAACAAGGGACCACCCTGTCACAAGTGGGACATGCAGCAAGTGCAAGACTTCCACCACTTGATGGAATTGGGGTTGTTTTATTTAGGGATGCCTCCTAGAAGACGGCCTATTTTAGACAGAGCGGGTAGCGTTTGACTAAGGAGGGCATCGATGACACTGCCTATTGATAAGTTCAAGAAGAACAAAATCTATTTGCATAATACCGGATTACTATTTTCGCAAACCCAAAAGTGCTTCTACCAAGTGTCTCACATGCAACACAAATATAAGTGTGACAAATCGTAAAATTTCTCTCATGATTTAAAGCAGACATCTCACATGAGCCTTTTTAAGTAAGACTGTAGTTTAAGATGGAAGATATTTATGATTTCATCCTTTTGTTGGTTAAGAGAGAGAACATTTGATATAGTGAAGGGAATCTTGCTATGTACATGCTTTTGCTACGTAAAGAACAATCCATTTCGTATAAATGTACGAATCTAAAGCGGACCGCGTGCATTACTATTTTTTAGTTCTCGTGTCATATGTAACACATCAACTTTCGAATGGAAATCGACATCATGACAACCACATTACGCTTCTCTGCTCAACAGAAAATGCCGACCCTCGTGGGTATCATCTCACAACTTGATCTTCTCATTCTTGCGAATTTTGCCACCGAACTTGTAGATGAGGGCCGGGATAGGGATGAGACCAATTGCGATGAAGCCGAGCAGGGAGTTTCCCCAACCGACGCCCAGGGAGGCGTACATCTGGGGTCCGGCGAGGGGCAGGAAGGCCGCGACGACGCTCCGCATGACGGAGAAGGCGGCGAGGGCACTGGCAGCGTACTGCGAGTAGGCATCGATGAGGTAGGCTTGGATGGGAAGCCAGATGCCAACGATGCCGAGGCCAAAGGGGATGAGGCCGATGACGGGGACGATCCAGTGGACAGCTTTGTCGGCGGCCCAGCCGTACCAGAAGAAGGTGATGGGCAGAAGGAAGGCGAAGTAAATGCAGTCCGGGAGGCGCATCTCTGGCTCGTAGACGCCGCCGTTGGCCTTGGTCATACGCACGACGGTCTTGTCGGAGAGAGCGGAGAAGATGCCCAGGCCAGCCATGTAGCCGATGAGGAGGGTCAGGTAGACGATACCCGTGATGCCGATCGACCAGCCGTAGCTGCCCTGAAAGACGATGGGGATTGTGTTGAAGAGGAGGTAGAGGCAGCCGTAGGCGAAGGCGATGTAAAGCGAGACGCTGAAGACGATGGCGGACCCGAAGAGAAGACGGATCGGGCGTGTCAGGCCGTTGAGGAGGATGCGCCGTCTGGAGAGCACGGCGGCGTCCGGGTCGACGTAGCAGCTGCGGAGCTCTGGGCGGTTGAGCTCCTTGCGAAGGCGTTCGGTCTTTCGGCGGATGAGCACCTGGTGGTTCGTCTCGCGGTTCAGGAAGACCATGGCGCAGACAGCCATGGTGGCCGGGATGAAGGTGATCCAGTTGACCCAGCGCCAGCCGATGGTCTCGGCGACGAAGCCACCGATGACGGGAGCACACGAGGGCCCGAACATGGGACCCAGCATCCAGATGGTCATGGCCCGGCCGCGTTCACTGATGGGGAACAAGTCGGCGATGATAGCGCCGCCAATGGTCTGGCAGGCAGAACCACCCAGCCCGCACATGAAGCGGAAGAAGATGAGAGTGCCGAGGGTCGGAGCGAGGGCGCAGCCGATGAGCCAGGCGCAGAAAAAAGCGTTTGCGGTGGTGATGACGACGTTGCGGCCGTAGATCTCGGACAGGGGCGAGAGGATCAAGGGGCCGATGGCGTAGCCCAGGAGGAAGATGCTGACAGGCATCGCCGCCACAGTGAGGTCGGGCTCGTTGAAATCGGCGGCGACGTAGGTGATGGCCGGGGCGAGGATGGACGATGCAAAGGGCGTCATGAAGGTGATGGTGGAGAGCAGGCCGGTGATGAACCACTTGCGAGACTGCGGGAAGTTGAGCGGGTGCTCGGGATCATGCTGGCTCTCCCAACCGACGACGCCGTTGTCGAGATCCATGATGGGGTGGACGGGCGGCGGAAGCGTCTCCTTGGTCTTGCTCTTGCTCTTGGAGAGGCGGCTGAGGATGCTGCGATGCGTCTTGCGGCTGGCATTTGTTCTCCGGGTTTCCACACGGTCAATCTCGATGTTGTCCTTGAGAAGAGGATTAGTATAGGATGAAAGAGAGTCTATGTATATAGATTTATTACCTCCTGGGCCTCGATGTCAAAATCCTCCTCTGGTGATTCGTCGCGTTCGCGTTTGTCGTCGCCATAATCCCCCTTTGCAGGACTGCCACTCGCAGGCGAAATACTCGTCTCCTTGTCTCCCATGACGGTGGCATTGTCGGTATCCTCACCGGGAGGTATACCGACCGTCTTTTCGTCGTCGCTGTTATGAGGACTCATCGTGGTGTGAATATTATCAAGTTAATATTGTAAGTGAAGTTGAAGTGAAGATTGGCGTGAGTAGTAGAGCGCCCGTAACCCCAGATCTCAGCAGTCTAAAAAAGGGTCCAGACGGTTTGAGACAACGCCCACGATCAACAAGCCGAGAACGGACCTTTTGCCTCTTTCAGTCGAGAAAGTCGGAATTGGGGCAATAAAGTCGGCTCATTAGAGTGACGAGACTGAGTGTCCGGGGTTAGCCGTGGTGAGCCGTGGTGATGATTCCGAGGGTGAGACGAAGGACAAGCGGGAGGAGGAGGAGGAGGTATTTGGGGAAAACACGAATTACAAAGCAGTTTGCTGTGCTCGGCCGAAAGAGAGAACGACCAGTCCCCGTTCATCTTGACTCACTGTCAAGTCAGATCTCTGCTGCGCAAGTAGACAGACTGGGGTCAAAGGATGCAAACTAGGAATGGGCGTTGGATTATCTCCACTATCTCCGAGTGGATTTAACAAGGCTTTGCCCACCGCAATCCGCATTCCCCATACTTTTGCCCATGGCCTACTGCCACGGCAATCGTTTTAGTTCCGGCTGAAGGAGGGAAAAAGAGGGGAGGACCCCACGTTTGTGTCGGCGACAGGGCGCGCCTCTGCCATCATAGGGCATGAGGGGGTGCGCCACGAATTTGCCATGGAGACGGACGGGATAAAGTCATCTTCGACATGTTTGCGCGTAGAGGTTGCTGTAAGACGGACTCGGCTGAAGAGGCAAGATGGAGAGAGAAGAGGAATCCCTGGCAAGGTTACAATGAACAGACGCTCCACCGCAGGGCAGGGCAGCTTTGTCAGAGAGATTGACTTGACTCGTGTGTGGTCTATCGGTTGACTCGGCACGCGAGGGGAGGACCTGGTGCTTAGCCCGGGCTGACATGGAGGGATGGAGGGGACAAGCCTAGGGAAACGCAGATCTCTTTTGGATCATGATCCCCGTTCAAGGACCATTACAGCCCTGCAAGTGAGCGGAATCACACTCCCCGGCTGCTTGTTGGACGAAAGCCGACCGCGGAGATGGCGCGGTGTCGGAGTCCGGGGCTTATTGTATCCTCCGTGATGATGAAACTTGTTTGTTCAGAGCCGGCCGTAAGCTGTGCTCCCCCGTTATCGTCTGGACAAACTGCAGCAGTTGCGTGGTATGTATGACAATGTCCTGATGCCGAGTTGCAGTGTCCAACGAGCGCTCCCTTTGCACGCACGCACGCACTTGCGCGTAGCACCGAGTGGGATGTCACCTAGCCCAGGCCATGGTAGCAAGTATCAAACTTGACCGTTGCAAGAGACGCCGAGGAGGTGGAACTAGCGGTGGCCCTGCGATTGTCACGGTGTTTGGTGGAGGCTCGGCAGATGGACGATGGCCATCAGTCACCCGCATGAATGGGCTGCAGTGCGGCCCTAATAGAATGGATTTTGGCAGATGAACAAAAGAGATTCAAGCAAAGAGACCAAGATAGGGAGACTCATGTTAGTTTCAGTCTTGGCCCTTACATAAGTCAGGTCTTGGGATTGATAGCCCCCATTCATGTGCGAATGGCCATTACGGTATTCGCAAATACGTCGTAAATCGTACGTCGTACTTCGTACTCATTTAATTACCTGCGACTCGTCGCACGCAGCTCGCACGTGCTTCCGCGACACGCCTCCACATCCCGATCCCGGCCCCGTCCATCCAACAACGTGTCACCATCCCACGTCAACTTCGCGGCGCAGTTCCAACTCGTCGACTTTTTCGGCCGTTCACGTCGCTTTGTATCTCGCCCTCGCACAAAAACCCCCAATTCCTCAAAAAGCCTCGTCTACTGCAACACCCCCCCTTCCCGCGCCGCGACCGCCTCTTTTCTCCTCCTCCTCCTCCTCCTCCTCCTCCTCCTCCTCCTCCTCCTCCTCACGATGCGCCGCCGTCCGACCCCACGAACAATCACCATCTAAACGTCTCAACTCCACCCGGCGCTCCGTCGACTTTGCGCCTCCCGCCGCCATCATGACGCCCGCACCGTCAACCTCGCTCTCCCGCACCGAGCTCATCACCCTCCTCTCCCTCTCCAGCGCATCCGTCGCCGTCCTCGCAAACACCTTCCAGGGCGATGGCGAACCCCTCATCGCCTGCCTCTCCCTCTCCCTGCTCGCCTTCTCCCTCTGCTACGCCATGATCCGCTGGCTGGGGCCCACCTTCATGCGCGCCGGCTTTCGCGGCCGCGACATGAGCAAGGCGCACAAGCCCGAGATCCCAGAGTGCATGGGTGCCATCTGCGCCGCCGTCTACCTCATCACCGTCATCGTCTTCATCCCGTTTCCCTTCTACAAGGACATCGTCGCCGCCACCAGCGGTGGTGGAAACCGTGATGTGGTCGTCAAGCTCGAGGAGATCAACCAAGGCCGCTTCTTGCACCGCTTCCCCCACAACAAGCTCGCATCCTACCTAAGCGCCATCATCTCCCTCCAGACCATCGCGCTCCTAGGCATTGGCGACGACCTCTTCGATATCCGCTGGCGTCACAAGTGGTGGATCCCCGGCCTCGCCTCCATCCCCCTCCTCGTCGTCTACTTTGTCGACTTCGACGTCACATCCATCGTCATTCCCGTCCAGCTCCAGCCCTACCTCGGCGAGCTCTTCGACCTTGGCGCCCTCTACTACCTCTACATGGCCTGCGTCGCCATGTTCTGTCCCCAGAGCATCAACATGCTGGCCGGAATCAATGGCATTGAGGTCTCTCAGTGCGTCGTCATCGCCGTCCTCCTCGCCTTTAACGATTGCCTCTACCTCTTTACGCCCTATCCCCACCCCGCCACCGACTCCCACCTCTTCTCCCTCTACCTCCTTCTTCCCTGGATCGGTGTCTCTTGCGCCCTGCTCTACCACAATTGGTACCCCGCCAAGGTCTTTGTCGGCGACACCTACTGCTACTTCTCTGGCATGGTTTTCGCTGTTGTCGGTATTCTCGGCCACTTCTCCAAGACGCTCGGTCTACTTCTCGTCCCTCAGATATTTAACTTCCTCTATTCCTGCCCCCAGATCTTCGGCCTCATCCCCTGCCCTCGCCATCGACTCCCCAAGTTCAACGCCCGCACCGGCCTCTTGGAACCCTCAATCACCCCCTGGTCCGCCGAGCGCCAACCTCACCCCCTCGTTGGTCAGGTCCTGCACCTCCTCGCGAAGCTCCGCCTTCTCAAGGTCGCCACCGACGAACAAGGCCGCTTCGTTGAGACGAGCAACTTCACCATCCTCAATCTGTGGCTCGTCTGGCGCGGACCCCTGCGCGAAGATCGCTTGGCCTGGGAGGTGACGCTCCTCCAGCTTGTAGTTGGCCTCTTCGGCCTCTTCGTTCGGCATCGCCTGGCCCTGTTGGTATTTAAGGAAGACAACTGGGGCACGGTGCGCCACGGATGATTCGAGCCTGGATCTACAAGAAAAATCATACAAAAACGACGCCGCATCCGCATGTATACTAGAATAGAAGAAAGACAGGAGGCCATGATCCAAAGTCGTACAACTGATAGCCACCATAGACACAGCATTTGATTAAAATGATACCCCGACATGATCCACAGAGACCACCTCGTCTGGCCACCACACGCAAGCTGAATCACCTTGGGATACGACCATTGTAGTAAAGGGTGGATGTGAAAGTCATCCATTAAAAAGTTTCCATTTTCATCATTTCGAGCCTTTCTGCATCGACTTGGAACACCTGTCAAAGAAACAGGGCATGCCTAGAAATACAAGAAAACTGCCAAAATTTCCACGGCAGTGGCATCGTCTCCTTCCAGTCCTATCCCACATCCCGTAAAAACCCATCCTCTTCTGAGAGAGCGCTGACGACATAAAACATTGGACTCAACCACTTAGAGCCACTGACCATACATGGACATAGATGGATGCCAGAAGGGGGAGACAATGCCAGAAATCCGCTGGCCCCAAGACGAAACCTGGTGCGACATGCCGAGATCCAAAGCCGATTGATCTCTCCACATTCGCGCAAATTCGCCCATCCCAGTGTCCCATGTCCATGTTTCCGTGTCCCTCTCCAAACGCCAATAATAGGGGGTGTCGTCCGACGTACCAGCCACTGTATATAAGAATAGCAGAACTCCGGGCTTTTGAATCCACCCAGTCCAATCACCCCAAGAAACGTAACAAAGAAAATTGAAACCGACTTCGATAAATATGCGTACAGACACTTCGTACAGTTATAAAAGGCCGTTGGTTGTCGGGGTTGGTGTGGGAGGAGCCACATTTTCCCCTGACTTTTCGACTGGCGGAGAGTCGAGAATGATGTCGACCTTGGTGTCCTCGGGGCTCGAAATATTCGCCTTGATAACAGTGCTGGCTCCGGATACTTTGCCCGCCGCCTTGTTCATCCGGCTCTTGGTGTAGTCGCTTAGGCTAAGCTTCTTCTTGATTGGGCTAGGATGGGCAGCGATGCCATTGACCGCAGGCGGCGCAAAGGGGCTGGCAAAATTTCCGTTGCACAGTGGCGATTGAACCACCGATCCCGAGTGGGGAGTCGTGGCACAGTGGATCCCAAGACCAGTGTTATCGAACGCCGGCACTGGTGGCATCTGAACACGCAAATCTGGTGTTTTCACCTTGATAGAAGCTACGACAGCGTCACTCGTTGAAGAAGCAAGGAGGGGTGTCGTGGCTGGCCCTGACGCTGCGTCTGCCATAGACAAATCTGCGACCCGTGGCAATGGAGATGGCAGCTCGGCCTCCAATACTGCCATCGTGGGCTTCTGTTCAATTGTCGGGGAGTCGAGTTCCATTTCCGTGCCATTTGACACTTGAGTGGCGAGTGACTGTCTGCGGCCATCACCTCGAACTTTGTTGCGGTTGTTCAGTAGGCGCTTTGAGAGGGAGATGATTCGCTTCTTCGGTTGAGGAGACTTTATCGGTTCGCTGAACCACTCGCCTTCAACCGGATCGGTCTGTACAGCAGCATTGCAGTACGTCACCTTGGGGGTTGATGAGGACTGGCGCGACCTAGCAGCCGAGGATTCGGTTTTTGAAATCGAGGGTTTATGGGAAAGCTGAGGGGATCGGGAGCTGGCTGGCGATCCAGATTTGCTCCTGCAAGTACCTGAATCAACATAGTTTCCTTGGGAGACTGTTGAGCCAGTGCGGCCCTTCGATTTTGAGGAAGTGGAGACGTTTGTCCCATCAGAGATGCGCTTCTTTTTCCTTGGCGGTTGTTGTTGCTCCATGCGGCGGAATGAATCCTCAACCATGGCCACCTTGCGCTTGTCCCGATCTGTCGGCTCGGTCAATATTCCCAGTTGATCAAAAGAGCCTTGTCGTAGGGGAGTAAGGTCTCGGCTCGGCGGCTTGCTGCGCGATCCCGATTGCGACCTTGCATCTTGATCTAGAGCATCATCAACGTGGCCTTCACTAGCAGCTCGACTGTTGGTGGCCTGGCTAGTGTTTGTGGGTGAGATGGCCTGGGTCTTGGGTTTGCGCTGCTTTTTCTTGGGCTGGACGCGAGCCTGTGTCTTGCCAAAGATGTATTGTCGATGGAACCGTGCAAATGCGCAGTTGTTATCTTGATCGCAGGCACAGCCACCATATTCAGAGAGAATCCGATCAATCCAGTTCGAAATGAGCATGTATTCCGTTTCGTCCACACTCGATTCCGGGTGTCCGGATGATTCGTCTTCGCTAAGCCCAAGTAAATGAAGCCACCGGGCGTCGACACTCTTCTCTAGTCGGAAATCCCAAGGAAGCGTAATTTGTTCGTTGGGGGAAATGTAACGATCGCTGACGATCCAGAAATGATATTCGGAGCCACCGGAAAGATAAGTGTCTAGTTGGGCGTTGGGCTTGCAACTCCGGCGCACGTAGCGGGCGAGTGAGCCTTCTTGCCTGGTATCGATGTAGAGAGGGAGGACGGGGTGGAAGAAGACGAAGGGAAGAGGGGAGGAAAGATCGGCCCAAAGGTTTGACATGTCGGCGCAGTAGTCTTTTTGGAACCCGATTGAGCCATTCAATTCAATGAGAGGCACATCCTTCTCGATGGGCGTGGTAGAGTTGAGGAATCGCCACCGAAGGGATTTGCCATCTTCAACCGATCGGGTTGCGTCCTTAAGTTCGAGTTTTGGCTTTTTGGCCTCGAGGTCTGCTGGTTCGGTCTGGAAAACCTCTTCGTGTGTGCGACCTACCTCACTCCTCATGATATCCGGGTCGCGAAGCCAACGAGAGAGAGCCGTAGGGATGGCGAGGCTAGCGAAGGCATTATTGTGGGCATCCGGTACAGCCTTTGCGTTGTACAAGTCGCAGAAACCTTGAGAGTAATGGTGGATCTGAAAATCTTCGGGAAGGTCGGGTGGGGTGGTGGCTGGGCTGGGAGGGTGGGCAGGATTAGATCGCGCGATTCCATACGAGGGGCTTCGTTTGGAAGGCAACGATCCGACGGATTGTGATGCTCGGTGCGTGGGCTTTGGTTTCTTGGGGGGATGGGTAGGGTCATTTGGGCTGGGGTGTTTGCCACTCTCATGAGTGCCGTTTTGTTGTCCGTTTATTTGTAGCTCGATGGGTTTCGCCTTTTTCTTATGGCTTTTCGAAGGTGGTCGCTTGGTTTTCTTGTCGGATAGCTGGTGTTCGGCGGGTGTATTTCTGAGTCGTAGGGTCCGCTCGATAGCTTTCTGACGGTCAAGTGGACGCGGTTTGCACTCTGCGCATGAGTGAGCGAAGTCCTCACTGATGGCCTCGTCCCTGTTGTCAGGATAGAAGCAGTCGATGTGTTGCCACGTGTCGCACGTGTCGCAGTAAATCGTGTTTCCATCATCGTCAGAGAAATTGCAGATACACTTGATGGTGTAGGGTTCTTCTTCCACCATCTCGACCTTTTGGGCAACGTCTTCCTTGACCGACGGGCCCTGAGGTACGGGAGGGGCATCCTGACTAGGAGCCGCAGACGGCGGGGGTAGCGGCGTAGTATTGTCTGTCATCATCTGTCGTGAACCTCACGAGGGAGTTGACGTCGGAGGGGATTGCGTGAACTGATTACGGTCGCGGTCTTTGGGGCATGACGACGCCTGTTACGACGCGCGCCAATGAGACCGGAAAGAGGCGCTGCGAACGAGAACAGTCACGGAAAGTCTCATACGGCGGGAGGATACCGGCGCGGGCGGACAGTCGGGGAATCGCAGGCGTCGGTGGAGGGCTCGAGGGTCGTGGAGAATCGTGGATCGTGGCCGTCAAGGGCAGAGGATGAGCGGCGGGTCGACGGGGGAAAGCAGCGTGCCCAGAGGGAGGTGACGGTCGTTGAGAAGCGAAATACGGATTGCTGGCACGATTCGAGGGCGCGTTGGGGACGCGGTCGGGCAGTTTGTGTTTTCGCAAAACTCGTCGTGATCCGTCACGAAGAGGTTGAAGGCGACTTGGAGAACGAGTGGTGCGCGGGTGGGGAGACGGGCTCGGTGCGAGGCGGAAAAAAGGAGTAAAATAAGGCAGAGGATGAGACTACTCAAACGCAATCCCAACACGAGGAGTTGGGAGCAGAAACTGAGGAAGAAGAGGGGGCGGAAGGATCGTGGACTGCACGAAGAATGGGTAATGGGTGATGGGGGAGGAAGAGTGATGGATGGGGAGGAGCGACAGGGCCGGGTGCTTTGCAACAAGACGGGTGCGGTACCGACCTGGGCTCCTGGGGTTGGCTCAGGCAAGGACATCGGTACGTACCCTCGATGGACCTCGACCAGTCGACCTCGACCCTCGACGCTGAGCACCTCAGTCAGCGGCGCTGAGTGGCAGCCAGCGGTCGCAACAGCAGTACAATGTAGCAGCGGCAGCAAGTGGCAGTGAGTGGCAGCGGCCACTGGGCCACTGGTGGGTGTTCAGTGCGTGCCGGTGCGGTGCTGCGTGCTAACGAAGGTGCGTAGGTGCTGGGCTTGCGCTGGTTTTGGCTGGGCAGGGCCGCGACGGAGGGGGGGGACTGGGACGGGAGGGAAGCCCACAGAGACCGACGGACGAGACAGGACAAAAGAGAATCTGGCGCTAAACCCAACCTTGAATGGCGGTGGATTGGAAATCTTACTAGTCATGGTGCAGGCGCGCCTTTGTGCCTGAGGCAACCTCACGGCGCCGACTGCAGGTGAGCCCGCTGCCCGCTGCCCGAGCCAGGAGGGGGAGATCGGGGGGAGACAGTGAAATTGCGGATGGCGAGAGACACGAGCGGGAGGCCATGGGCGCGGGCAGGGGCGCTGGCGGGCGGCTTCGAGGCGGGCGGAACCTGAGAGAGGGCGGGCTGGCCATGCCATATCATGTCCCCCAAGACGACGATGTTTTGGGCGGGCACTAGGAAAATCGAGACGGTCGAGAGCACGGTATAACGGGGAGCGAAGGGAGTTGGGAGGGGGCTTCACCAGATTTTCAAGCAGGGTGAGTGACGACGACAGTCTGGGAGGAGAGCCAGGCAGACTCGCCTGACAACCTGACGACCCTCCGACAGGGCAAGCGAGCGCGGTAGCCTGATCAGGATGAGAGGCTAGCCGGAGCCTGGCACTGGACAGCGCGCTGTGGGCGCTGGGAGCCCCATCCTGGAACATTATCCTTCGCGGCTTGCGCATGCTGATTGGTGGAGGTCGCACGCTGAAGAGGGGGCGAAATTGGCACCCGCCACGAGTCGACCTCGCGAGTGACTTGGGGCGACTTGAGTTGAAGCCACGCGACACACGGCCGAGGCAGGCGGCCTGTCGTGGTGCTACGTACTTTCCCTCATCCGCCTCTCCTCGTACTGTGGCTCTGTGCGTGCAACAGGAGCAAGGGCAGCTCCATCCTCGATGGCTATTGGCCACTGCTGCAGATGCACTGTTGTTTTGGACCAACCAGCTGAACATCCCCTTACGCACAGTGCCTGCGCGCCAGTAAGAAGCTTCCATCGGTTTCAGCAGGGCAGGAAGCTGCAGCAGCTGCGGCGGTGCGTGATGGATGGGGGTCGCGTCATTACGACAGCCCAGTGGGGAGCCTGCAAATCGTGTCGTTGGTGCGAGTCGAAGTACCACTACTGTACATGGCCAAGGACGGGATGGGTGGGTTGAGAATGGAGCGGTACGTGGGTATTGATGCTGGGCATCCTGTCCCCTCACCGGCGTCAACACTTGTCTTTTGGACGCGTCGCACTACACTTTGTTACTTGTACCTACATTGTCTGTCCTGTGTTTGACTACGAGCAGCCCCAACAGCGGGCCCTTGTACTCCAAGTGCCTCGTCGCGCCCAGGCGGAGCTGCACATGGCCGTTCAATTTCCAAGTCGCAGCACCTCTTTGTTGTGGTTTCGTGGCGAGACTTCATATTCGCACTGCCCCATCTGTGCTCTCCAACAGGCCTAGCCCAGTCCAGCACCTCGACCAGGGCGGTAATATGCATGGCACCTCTCAAGATGCAACGTGCTCAAGCTTCTTCCTGCGTGTACGAAGTACTCACTGGCCACTCTGAAACCTCGAATACAAGACAAGGCTGTCTGGGTATGATGCGTGCAACCTCCGCCCTCTGCCCCCCCGTGACCAACAAACTCCATTCCCACACCCCTCCCTTCCGGAGAGCCCGCATTACCTACACAGCACGAACATGCCTTCGAGAGAGAAAGGATTCAGTCATCAATCAGCTTGGTCGAACCTTAGCTTCACACCACCGACCAACCAACCTTGGTGTCAATCGTCATGGTCATTTGCGCCAGGAGAGGGGGGGCAAAGAAGGCCTTTGGCCAAAACGCGTACAGTGCGAGACACAGCGGATTCGCTCTCGCTTTGTTCTGCTTCCTCCTCCCGGCTCCCTGCGCGACCTTGGCAATCCCTGCGGATACACGGCTTGTGATTGCTGAGGCCAGCATGGCAAATGCACAGAAAGTGGCTGCTGTGCCTGCAATTCCCATCCCACTTGGAATGACCCATCCAATCACGTTCCGAGCGCACGCGGCCGGCTCCTGGCTCCAAAGGCCCCTACTGCTTAGCTTCCACAGTGAGGGCGTCTCACCATCCTAGAGCGGGCCTCGTACATCAAGCCGGCTTATCATGGGCCCCTGGTAATAGCTGCCATGCTAAAAAGTTTTCGCGCCACGGCAGTCCATGTTGGCTTAGTATGAGTCGTCTTTGTCAATTGCCCCAGAGCTTCCTATTCGACCGTGTTCTATTGCCCTAGGTGATTCCAAGTGCCAGGGTACCTGGGCGCTGAAGCTACCCATCTCAAAGATCCGATCCTTCTTCATGGCCACCGACAAGCAGTAGTCCACAATGAAAGAGGTGATAAATCAAAAATTGCACGACCCATGGCCCCGAAGGACAATGGAGCATGGAACGACACCACGATGTGCAATGCAGGCCTTCCACGCTGAACTCCCCCATTCATGATCGAGGGCAAAGTTCTTCGCAAGGTAAGTATGAAGAAGAAAGAAAGAAAACCAGTAAAGGCGGGCGGGCGACGTGAGACTTTATAGTGGCAGAGGTCTACGCGGTCCGTGCACGGAATTTCTCAGTCAACCTGAGGCGGGTGCCTGGCAAAATGTTCTAGCCGCTTTCGGTCCTTCCAACAACAAGACGTCAAAAGTGCATTCCCCAGGCCAGTCTGAACACACAAACCCTTTGGTAAAAACGCAGTTAAGGGAGACTTAGGGAAATTTTGACCAGCCGTAAAAATTTGAGGAGATCGCGTATAGGTACAGTAGAGACACTCTGAAACTGACCGAGTACGATTTGCCACTCTCGCTGAACCTCCAAAGATTATCATGGACCTGATGTTGCTTGGAGATGCACTGCAAGAAGCTTAGTAACCTAACATAAGCTAAGACGAGATATTACTTATGATCGATTTAATTCCCCAAATATGTATCTGAGTTACTTTGCGTGATGAGCCGTTCGCTACGACGAATGAGCTCACTAAATCAGTGATTGACTGACATGAAGGTCAATGATTGTCTGCTGAAGTACATCAAGCCGGAGTCAATTGACTTCAGTTTTGATCACGCTGTAGAGTATTGAATAAGCCTAGCCCGTCACATTATTCTAGAGAACACGGAGATTTTGGAAGCAGGTGTGGAAACAACCAGCCCCTCAGTGCACAATTTTCTACGAAACAGGAGCCACAACGTACGTTATGGCGTCTCATGATGGAAAGGATGGTATTCGCATTACAATGCTGTCCGATGAAGCACTGCGGGACTTGTAATTTCGCTGTTTGGCTCGTCGTAAATAAGAGCGAATTGAAAACAGTCGCAATCTCATGGCCGAACTCCCAGATTTCCAGTCAGTGGTGCGATTGACTAGCGACTCGTGGGTCAAAGAATGAGGCCTCGCACCCTCTGTCAATTGGACTTTGTTCAATCGACATGCTATTTACTTCGTACATGACTATTGGGCGAATACGATGCCATATATAGACGTCTCGGTTTTGCACGTGCGAAGTACACGCGAGTTTTGAATCCCTATCTATTGGAGAATGTAATTGTCTCGATATACTTGGAGAATAAATACTAGTCTAAAGAATATTAAGGATAATCATGCATATCCTAAATTTAGGAGACGTATTATAGTTAATAGCTAAATTTCAGCTATGGCTTCTGCACGTCAATGGCAACGAAGCCGACATAACGGTGTGCCAGGACACCATTAAAAATGAACACCACCACTTTGCTTCATGGGCCTATCACATAGTCTTGTCGCCATTCTAAAATTAGTCTCACAATATTCAACCAAGTATGGGTAGGTTAAATTGCAATTGGTATTGTGGTGACAAAGGCGTTGATGGTAGACTCGGCGTTGAGGATTCCTCACTTTTGTTAACAGAGGCTGATGGGCGGGGTCGCTTCCAGGGAGTGGTTGTATGGGTTGAGACGCAACGGCTGTGCCAAAAAAGTTCTTTAACACAGATTTCATGTTTACTTCTAGCCGGTGTGCCTCTTGTGAAGAGCTGGTCCGAACCTGGGACTTGCAGATGCGGCAGCCATCTCTACGTAGCCGGTAAGCTGGTAGATGGACGGCCTGTGGGAATCGAGCAAGGCCATCAATCCAACCGAATGACACCAGAATTTCTTCGGCATTGGCGCGGACTTTCCTGAACTTAAGCTCGCGGGTGGTCCGGAGCATGTTGTGGGCGATGTCTCCCATGACGTTAGTGATTCCCTCCGCGCCGACGAAGTTCATGACATCTCTCCAACGGATATTCGATTGGAGAACGATCAATAGCTATTTTTCATTCAAAAAGTACATTGGGTACACTGATAAGATGAGCCTTAGGCCAGTGACAGTAGCATACTCGCAATTACAAACCCCAAGCAATGGCGTAGAATATGTTCTAGACTCTAGCACAAACCAGTCATCGACCGATGTCTTTGCCACATCACCAAAAGACCGGGTTAAGTAGCATGCGAGAGACGTTACTACTCTGAGTCAAGAACAGACTCCGTTTTAATCCGTTATTAGAAAGATGTATGAAGGTAAACCGAGTGAGAACATCACAAGCTCTATGTCGGATCGGGACTCGACTCCGTCAAGTAAGCTTGAAGCTTTGCGACGTAATTAGATTCACTTGACTATTTTTCTTTACCAAAAATTTGAAGATGTTACCAATTTGAATACTGATTTTCCAAAATGCAAAGTCTCGGCCCCAGTCATCCATGCCCACATGCTAACTCATCCACTCTGTCGTTGAGTCAGATAGTTGCAGCTGCTAGTGGTTCAACGCGGACAACGCCCCCTGTGACAATCAGCCACCCCGTCCGTCCCACATAGTAGTCGTGACCAACATATTAGAAATAGCATTGACAGAATAAAACTCTTTTTGAAATTTCGCCAAGGTTTGAAGAAATTGTGTCCATTTTATTGCCTGTGTCGCACAATACCTCAGGGCAACTTCGTTGTATTGGCCCGACAGCCTCGTCGACATATCGAGAGTTGAGCTTCATGAAGAATCAGTCCACCAAGCTTCTGAATCACATTATTCAAACAATATTACGGAATATTTAGCCATCAAGGCGTTGCACTAGCCCAAATCTTGACCAACAACTCAGCGTGTCGAAAGAGAATTACCGGCTGCTTCAGGATACCAGTTGCTCCTGTCGAAAAAGTTCACCGACATCAATTCATATCCTCGTCAGAATATTCTTTACTGCTCATAATTTAAACTGACCATGCCCTGTTGAGGGTTAATTGACAGCGATCGTTGTGTACTAAACACATTACGTTCATATTTGTGGGGTGCTTAGACGTTGCGGCGGCATGATGAGCCTCTTCATAGTGTTCAACCGAAATTTTAGACTGGTATTCTGAGAGCTAACGACTATGCCCTGGGTAGTGTGAGATTAGGGGACCTACATGTATAATACGCTTCCTTGGATTCGCCGGAGTCTTCTCGACTAATGGAGTTGTGTCGTCACTAACGTATCGAAGCGTAAATCATGATCGGTGGTCAAAATGATATACTTATCTATGTGTCCAAAAGAAATGATCCGCATTGTAATGTATACTCTACTCTTTGTACTTATATCACAGCAGAGACATACATTGGGCAGAATGAGGGCAAACAAGGAATTATGGAGTTCTGCACATGTAAGTAACGCCCTTAAATGGAGCGAAACCCCACCCGTGTCCTTGTACTTCTTGGATACTTTTCGGGCACCGGGATTCCAAACGAAAGTGCTATTCAGTTAGCAAGATTTATTCTAAGAGAGCTAGTCAGCGTGGCTTCACAAAGTCATACTTCATTTGATCAATTCCAGGTACGGCACATCGATCTTGGTGCCCGAAGCAGCCTTGTCAACGATGAACTAACTCCAAGCTCACCAATGGAACCAGAATGCCGCAATATTGCAACACGTGTCTCTCGAAATCGTAACCGATCCGTAAGAGGGGACGCTCCGCCATCCACTGCAAACTAAAGCTCTGGGCGGCTTACGAAGTCGGGAGATTGAAGTGGTGGCAAACGCATCGGCACTTGCCTCGGTCGAGGATTCTACATAATGAAGAAGGAATAGGAAGCAGATCACATATGGCTAAAGGGCAATGAAGATGATACTGAGGATGTCTGACGACCTGCGATTATATCTTACTAGGGGTTTGAAACCTGCCCTAGAACGCCTCATGGAGCAAACACTTCATGTTGTGATAGGGCCTAATATTCGTGGCTCGGGGAAAACGTTGACTCAACCATTCAATGGAAATAATATCGTGCGTAAAAACAAGGCGCTGACAGTAGCAATAATTGACTGTGAAGCAAACGAGGCGCCTGAGTGAGGGGGTACACTCTGGTCCTATTCCCACGTCGAGTGCATATTAGATTCAGTACCGATTTCCGCTCACCAATCGTGGCCGCCAAGTCGCGGTACGAAACTCAGTCTGATGAAGAACAGTATGATGCAAGTATGAGCATCATAGCGTCACGTAGGAGCCAGCGCCGTATGTGGATCGCGCTCGGTAGATAGAGTCGCATGCAGAAAGTATCACCTCGCGTATTATTAGATCACTCACGTCGGAAGCATGCGATTGCCCATAGAGGGCAACCCAAGCATCACAAGATAGATGCAACACGAAAAGAAAGTCGAGAGTTCTTAGTTTTTGAGCAGCAGAGGCGTTGTATCTTAGCGTCCCTTGTCTATGAGCAACGGTCGTAAATAGATATCTTTGGTCATAACCTGATAAGACTGGCCCGAGAGACTGATTGATTAGCCGCGGGCGGCCTGTAACAAGCAGGTGCGATTCAATCCGATAACTACGGCAGCGGCCAAAGATGCCAAGGACCACAGCAGGGTTTCATTGCGCAATGCCTGGGAGCAGATAGGAGCGGCCGATTTTGGAGTGCCAAAGTAGGTAAGCGCATCCGTCTGACCTTGCCTCATGCACCCATTCCAAGACGCAAGCAGTATCAGCTCCTCCAGCACGCAGCGGCAATCCCGGATGAGACAATGGGTTCAAGACATTTCATGCCAGGACCGTCAAGACAGGCCTAGAACCGTAAACTGAACTGAGATCAGCACATCAAGGATACCGAGGATGGAGGCGTGCCCGTGACTCAAATAGTCGTCATCGCTTGGCCATCGCTTGTCCATCCCTTGACCGTCGCGTGCGCCACAGCATGGTTCGTCCGAGGCCGGCGGGGGTTGGGAATCAGGTACGTACCCACGGGATTTCTGCCCGCCGCCCTCCTAGCGCCAAGGCGGTGAGGCATCAACAGTTCCCCAGCCGCCCATCAGACTCCAATCAGAGTGGAGCGGAGGTCCCATGACGCATCATTCAACACCAAGCCACTCGCCATCCTTTGCCTTGATAACGCCCGTCATCCTCCCCTTGCCTCGACATCATCCATCCCATCGCCTTCTCCTCTCAAACGAACCAACCCCATTTCGAGTTGATCATTCCGACTATTTCACGATGAGGTTCTCAACCGTCGCGGCTTGCCTGTCCGTCTGCCTGGCCCCGGCCTCGGCCATGAGCATCTTCAATGGGAAGGCACCCGATGTCGCTGTCAACGATGACCTGAAGATCCCCGGCGACTCACCTCTGGAGCTGTGCCCTGGAGATCACGCTGCCGACCTCATCAAGATTGACAGCGTCGACCTGCTGCCCAACCCCCCGAAAGCGTAGGCCTACCCCGCTCCCCAACAATTGGCGCTTAGATCGAGAACTAACCTCACAACAGTGGCCAGGAGCTGCTCATCAAGGCCAAGGGAACCGTGAAGCAGACCATCGAGGAGGGAGCCTACGTCCTATTAACCGTCAAGTACGGACTCATCCGCCTCGTTAGCACCAAGGCCGACCTCTGCGAGCAGATCGGAAACGTCGACCTTGAGTGCCCTGTCAAGGCCGGCGACCTCGAGATTACCAAGACCGTTGACCTCCCCAATGAGATCCCCCCCGTACGTTCCGCTCTCATTCCCCATCTCGGACATGGTCTAACACGCATTTCTAGGGAAAATACACCGTGCTGGCTGACGTCTTCACTGTCGATGATGTTCAGATCACCTGCCTGACTGCCACTGTCGAATTCTCCAGGTCCAGCCGCTTCTTCGGCAACGACTTGTAATGGGTGAAACATGTCATACGTAAATACGACAGCGCTATTTTGGGATGACTTTCTGGTTTTGGGACTCTTTTCTTACGGGGATATCGTTAGGAGTGTATCAGTTTGGCAATTTTCGCGTTTCCGTTAGCATCTTTCACCGGCTTTAGAATCGACTTGGGATAGCCGAAGGAGGGAATCAGTGGATTGTAAACCCTTAGCATTAAGCATGCAATTATGCCTCAACACCAATCGAAGTACAAGAGCTGCAACCTCGCCCTGCGATCTCATGCATGTCAACCCCAGCCACTTCATTCCTCTAAGTTCATCGTGAAGGTCCCGCTCTTCTGATGTTTACACCTCCTACTCTCCAAACAGTCGTCGCACTCGTCGCAAAACACTGTCCTTTTCGGGGTCGTAGGGGTGGTCCTTGCTAGGAATCTCCAGGACAGTAGGGAATGCTGCGGTATACGAGTCGATTCGATGTCGGATTCGATCAGCGACCTGTCAACACATCAGTTATCTGTGCCAATATGATAGGGCAATGGTGCCACTAACGTGCTGGTTGATCAGCACGATGCCAATGTCCTTTCGCTCCTCGGTGAAGCTGTTGAAGGCAGACTCGATAGCGGCGTTGTCCGTCTTGGTGTCAACAACGAGGAAGTTCTTCTGCGAATCGGCGCCAGTGGTGACATGCTGTACACTGAGTTAGACCCCCATTGCGATCACTTCCAAATCGGAGAGATACTCACGCCGATGCCAGCGAGAAGCAGTCCGGTTACCGAGTCCTGATTGCAGCCTACGTCAGCGGGACTGGCGCCCATGGAAATGCGGTCATGGAGCAATGCTCACCTCGTCGCCGATGACGGCGAGGAACTCTCGGTCTTTGAAGTCCGCGTGCGAAGCCATCTCAATGATTGAGAGCGGGATCGGGGGGGCCTCTGGGTGTGTGTGAATCCCTTGATGGAGGTGGAAGCCGGAGAAGGATCGCAGGCGGGAGACGGGAGACGCCTGAGGCTCCGCGCCGCCGGTTGGTGAAGCTCTGACCACCGCCCCCGCGCCGGCCGCCTAGCGCCCCTGCAGTTGCTGGAACAAAGCCTGGCGCTGCCTCACCAAACATTTCAAAGTAAACAACAACTGGCCCCAGTGCCGTCTTCCTTACTCCTTTCTCGCCCTCTTTTTTCTCCCTCTCGACGGGCTTATTGCGCTCGATCCGGCTACGCGACCACTGAAATACTACTTTTCTAATCCGCAGTTGATTTTCGTCCAAAATGCCGCGGTTGGTTCGGCGGCAGCCGCTCTTTGAGCGCATCATGTCTGCCTTGAACCCGATGGACTTCCTGCTATGGCTGTCGGAGGAGCTCGAAACAAGGGATTGGGATTCGACTTCGGCAGGGACACAACTTGGCCTGGGACTCAACTTCATATTCCTGATTGCGCGCGCAAATTCCTCTTCTTCCTCCTCCAACGACGACGTCTTCAGCGACGACAACGGTTCCGGTTGGCTTTCGTTCTTTGTAAGTGCTTCTTTGTCCATTCACGTTGGCCTCACCACTCACGACAGGATGTGCTAGGTGTATCCTCTCGTCTGGACCCTCATCATGTTTTCGAGTTCGAATGCCTACTACACCATTACCCGAACCCGCAAATACCGACTTTTCGAGGCCAATGTGGAGGTCGAGCCTTCGACCCCATCCGCACGACGTGTGAAGGTGGATCAGTCCAATTCATCCCCCTCGACGCCCCTCCGATACCTCGCCAAAATCATCGCTCCCGACACCCCGGAGTCTCGTGCCCACCCTGACAAGGCATCTGATGTGTGGGAACTGTCGGTCTGGGATCCGCTCCCGGTTTCCTTGCGGCTGTTCTGCCTCTTCGGCCCTGGCCATGTTTTGGTGTACATGCTATTCTTGCCCCTCGCTCCTCTGGACCCTCGCCCGAGCATGACTGTTTTCAACACTCTCGTTCTCCAGGCCATCATCTCTGGTCAACTTCTCTTCTTCTGCTCTCGATTCACCCAACAAGCTAAGGATACGGCAATCATCCAGAAGGAGGTACTGCGCGAGTACGACTCCAAATTTGTTCGCCCCCATCTGCATCCGGTCGTTAGAGATGTCGGCACTCAGTTCTGCGAAAACCAACCTCGCGAACTCCGAGAGTTTGTTCAGACTGGCACTCCAACAACTCAGATCAGCCGTGGCTTCCACGCTCATGTCAACCCATACACGCAACCTGCCAAACTCTCTGACGAGCGAGCTTCTACCCCGACCAACGTCCTGAAGCCACAGATGTTTACCCCCCCAACAGCGTCTCGTCGATCTGAATTGTTCAAGCCAGCTGTCAGCCAGCGGGCATCTGTACCTCGGCATAGTTTGCCGGCTGGCTATGTTTCCGCTGGAACCTCTAATACTGGAACCTCGTCGGGTGTGCCCAACATGCATTTTGGTGGCAGCATGGGAATCCACACCCACAACAGGTCGCCCCTGAAGAAGGCTACGAGCTTGAATGAACTCACCTCTCAAGAAACCCAGTCCCCGCGGAACTCGCGAGAAATGGCTGCTTTTGAGCAACGAAACCGAGGACAACAGGGGACACCCTCAAGGAACGTGGATGGCAGGAGGTTAAACGGGTCGAGCCTTGGTGGCACCAGTAATCCATTTGCTGGGCTGGGTAGAAACCAGACGCCTCAGGGGAGACCCTCGCCCAGGTGGTAGTTGTATATTTTGTTCCCTTTGTTCTACTACACGCCTGATGTTGTAAATATTTTTGTAGTATCTCCCTCCGCGGACATCCGCTGTTGTTATGATCGCAAACAAGGGTTGGCGTTTCACGGATTGTTGCTAATTATTGAATCCAATGTTAATATCCTTTGTAGCTGCCCATTCTTTTCGTGCGCTGTTCGATGACGATGAAACACGGTCTTCACTCGTTTTCCAAACTCTCCTTCCACTTATGCACCTTCCTCACCCACGGAGAAGAAACAACTGACTATCATTAGGCAGGAACTCAGTCGGTGCGCTGGCAGTAGGTACAGATCAACGTGCCAACTCTTCTCCTTCTCTTCTCCCATTGTTCTTACGCCTAGCCCAACGTCTTCAGAGGTCCACAAGCAAGTCGTTTGACCAGCCCCTCGCTGTCAAGTTTCCAACGGCTCCGGTTCAGTGGTCGAGGTCGAGATCAATATTTTGACATTCAACATTCGGTATCATACTATTTTTACATCCACTCCGTTTTACTTTGCCATGTCTGTCAACAGTCCACCATTACAGCCTAACGAAGGCGAAACCCTCGTCAAGACTTTGCGCCAGACACGGCGTACGCAACGAACTGTCAGCGCGCCGGTAGAAACTCGGCAGGCCGCTTCCTTGGGTGGTTGGGTCAAAACCATGCTCCCAAGTCATCGTCCGGAGCGAGGAGGAACAGTCAGAGAACGAGGCTTCTGGGAACAACTGGACCTGAGACACAGAGCTGATGTCCAACAGCCTCAACGCCAGGTCACTGGCAGTCATCGAAGGCATCAGAGCGGGACCGTCGATTCTAACCGCCTTGCTGAGTGGAACATTCCCAAAGACTTGCACAAGACTGGCCCAGAACAGAGCACGTCTCAGTCACGACCCCGAGCTGACTCTGCGGGCATGGTTGCTTCACTTGAAGTTGAACCTCCCCGAAAGTGGAGCTGGGCTCCACGGGACGACAAAAACTGGCAGAGGATCTCATCGTCCCGTAAGCGACTGCCTGATGAAGACCGAGAAACGAATGCTCAGGATCGTCATTCAACGGCGGTCGTTCCAGGGGATGAAGCCTCTCCCTCGCTTGGGCAACGACCACCAGATCATGGTCTGTCCCTGGAAGCAAAAAGAGAGGCCCGCAAACAAAGGCGAAGCCTCAAACAGAGCGGTGATTATCTCGGCGTTCAGGGATTCAATCCTCAAACCGGTGTTCCCGACGTCATCACTCCTTCAGACAGCGAGCAAAGCGCCATCAGCCAAGAGACTGGCCAGACTGGCCAGAAGCTCGCTGCTCTCGAACGGTTTTCTAAGAATGCATCATCCGAAACGACCAAATCCAGAGTTGAAAGGGAGATTAGGAAAATTCTACTAAAGAAAGAAGGCGAAAGATTCCAACGGCGAGAACAAACAAAAGCGGCACTGCAGACGGGCAACGGCATATTTAGATGGCGGAGGAAATCCAAACAGTGGTCATCTGCTCAAGAGCCGAACTTGAGCCCCATCGCCCAGTCTCATAGAAGTTTCTCACCGCCAGCAAGTCAGTTTTCTGCCTTTGATCCTCCTACATATCCATGCTAACATGCCTAACAACACAGTGCGACAACCACCTCCAAACAATGCCAACACCCGGCAAGGAGAGTTGGCAGACCCGAGTCTTCCCAAAGAAGAGCCAAACATGGGTATTTCCTTGGAGCCTGTGGCATTTCACGGAGAGGCCTACAAGGACGCGTCAGGCTCGTCCGGAACGGTGGTACAAACCCCACACGTGGAAAGCCGAGCAAACATGTCCTCTGCTGCACTGGAGCTTTTCGAGAATGGCATAAGCTTCGACAATCTCGAGCAACCGGATAGCAACAGGCGACAGAGTCTTTCAATTTCGCCACCTGAGCTGCCTAGAAACCACCCGACTGACAATGAAGACATTCACAAGGCATCGCGCTTAGCACACCAGGTAGAATCAACCGGATTGCCAGCTGTCAACATGATAATTCCCGACAACGACACCTTCACTCATGACAGCAACCAAGTCAAAAGGAATAGCTATTTTTTAGGCAGACAAGCCCGGAGCAAACTCGATCCGGGCGAAATCGGAGAGGACCCAATAGGTCGGTCGACAACGACCAGCACATCACTTCCCAGCCTCTCGGCCCTAATAAAGCCGTCGTCGCTGAATCACAACTTCAACCTGGAATCGTCAAAGGGAAAAGCAGAGTTCTTTCCCCTGGAGAACACCAGTCAGCACAAAGTCTTCACGGACAAATCGACGACTGTCCGTCCGAGATTCGATGCAGTCCAGGCACTCCCTGGGTACAGCGCCCGGCATTTCCTACACACAACAAGCCCATCAGAAACGGCGGCGAGGTCTCCAGTCTTCCAGAGAAACCAAATGTCAGGTGGTTAGAGCCCCCCCTTCACGGCATTTCGGAAAAGACTATTGGTTCAGGAGCTCCAGGGGACCGGCACCAGTTGCATAACTCCAGAAAGTCCACCCTCCAACGGGAACGGACGGATGAGCGATAGAGACAGCATCCACCCCTCCGGATTGTCACACCTGGACGGGGAACTGAAGTTGAACCTCGACCACATTCCCTTGACAGAAGAAGAAATACACGCCGACTTGGAGAGGGTGAGGAAGACGTTGGCGTCGGTGGATCAGCCAACTTTGACGACAGTGAAGAACAGGAGCCGCAGCGAAGGCGCCCAGACTTGGGCTCAGGGCACTATCCGGGACATCACGAGCAAGTGCAACGAGGTCAAGGAGGCATCTGCTTCCACACCCATCACCACCACTACTGGCTACGACCTGCCAATGTCAACATCCAGCCAGAACAGCCCAACAGGCTACCGACGCAGGCGCAACTTAAGCCGAGTGATCTACAACCTGCCAGACTTGAGCTCAATGACGGACAGCTCAGGGAGCTCCCAGACGAATCCTACTCCGAATACGTCACTGAACTCAGAGCCCCCGGTCGAGACACCAGCGACAGATGTTACATCGGTGAGACATCTGGGGCTCACCATACAACGAAGCGCGATGCTCGCTTCGAAAGGCTTGGGAGATCGGAAGTTGGAGACAGCCGAGTCCCATCTTCAGTGCAGCATGTCACCCATGTCCATGTATACAACTCACCAAGAAGAAATTTGCGAGACGGAAAAGATTGGACTGACCCACCGTCGCCACAACATTCCCAGCACCATGCCCAAGGAGACGAACGAGATTCAGAATCCCATGTCAGAGATGAGGACCGAGGCAACGGACCCTCCGGTTTACATTCCGGGCAGCTATCCAGATCACCCACACGCCGACGTCGACGCCGACATCGCAGATCCTTCCAGCAACGAGTGCCATGACGGAGGGGGGGCGTTCGAAAGTGGAGGTTTGTGGGACGCCACAAAAGAGGTCCTGGGTACTACAAAGAGCTACGTTGTGTTGTTCATTACAGTTTGTTGGCAGATGGTCAGCCCAGTCTTTGATTATAGATCAGAGTGGTGGGAGAGGAATGCCCGACAAGAGACGACTTATTGGGATTGTGTCTGCGTGGCGTTGGCAGTCCCGGTAACGGTTCTGATTGTGTCTGGGGTTTTGTGGGCAATAAGGCTAGCAGCAACGGCGGGAGCATGCGTTAGACAGGGTCTAGTGATTGCAGGGGAAGAGCTGGTGGTGGCATTCGGGGGGTGAGGGCCGGAAGATTGGATCGGCGGCCGGACGGAGGAAGAAAGGGAGCGACGGAGAGCCCCGGTCCCCGGTCCCGGGGGGCTAGAAGCGGTGGCGGGTCGATGGGTCGAGTGGCACATTACGTATGGAAGATTTTGAAGGGTCCGAAGCAGGACTACTGTGTCTTGGCCCGGGACAAAGCGACGCCTAGGCGGTCAATGGTTGGTTGGTGGACTCGTTTTGTTGGTCTGGGGGTGGTCTAGGCGGGACGGTTTCGCCGGCTAGCTAGTGGGAACCTGAAGTGTGAGTGAGCTATAGCGCAGTTATCCGTTGTGAACTTGGGGGTATGAATGCGAAGTTTTCACTGTTAGGGCAGCAATGGCAGCATGGATCACGGACGACAGAGTGTAGCACACAGCGCACGGCACAACTCGAGTGATGGCAGCCGAACTGATAAGTGAGGGCGTTCGAGAACGTGAGGCATTATGCAGGGAGCAGATAGCCGGCCCGTGATGGCATTTTGATGTTGGTGTCGGGGCGATGGCGGGCGCAGCTGCGACAAGAGTTTCCGAGCAGCCTTGGTCATTGGGCCAGCAATTACCCTATGCACCCCTCCAACGGGCCGGACGACGTCCGGGTGGTACGTACCTTGACAAGTACCTGCCGTATTCATTATCCGCATGACGGGCTGATGGAGTGACGGCAAGAACGAAGGACGGGTACGTACCGAGTACCTCGAACCCACCGCAAGTTGGCTGAGGGCGGCTGTCTTTCTGATGGCATCGGAGGGCGGCTGGGGACTGCTTGGGGCTCCTCGGCCTGCTGGGAGGCGATCGGCCAGGCAGGATCGACCAGGAGCCAATGGTGACCCTGCATTTAACAATCAGTGCAGGAGCATCCAGTGGGTCTACCCCGCGCTGGCCTCTGGCGGCGCTCGGAATGCTGACGGCATCTCCGATCATCGGACCACACAGCCATGAAGCTTGACTTTGGGGGGCACCGAAATTTTGTTGATAAATCCAGGGGCCGGAACTGGAACTTTTTGTAGCCTTTGCCTCTCATCTCGTTTCTTTTCCAATCCTCGTCTAATCCAATTTTCCCTTGGGTGGATCGTCTTTCACAGGGCCAGGGCCGAAACGCGATTCAATTCCCCCATTCCTCCCTGCTATCCTCCCCTCTACTTTTCCTCCCTTCAACAACAGCAGCAACCCCGCCGCTTCTACTGCCGTTCTCCAATCGCCACCCCGCCAGCTCGTCATACTTTGACTGTCCTCCCGTCCGTCCTTGGACCGCCCAATCCTCCCTTTTACACAGAGTTTGCCGTCCACGGCTCGCTTGAGTGTCACCATGCCTGCTCCCGTAGGTAACCCGCAGACCCTTTACGACAAGGTTCTGTCGGCGCACATTGTCGACGAGAAGCTCGATGGCACAATCCTCCTGTACATTGGTGCGTAACAATCTCTAGATCCGCCCGTGCCGCCAAGAGGTGAAGCTAACTAGACTATCGACAGACCGACACCTGGTCCACGAGGTGACATCACCTGTACGTCGTTCCCCCTCACTAAAGGAAGTATGTGGCAAGCGCTGACCCAATCCCCAACAGCAAGCTTTCGAGGGCCTCAAGAATGCTGGCCGAAAGGTCCGACGACCAGACTGCACTCTGGCCACAACTGATCACGTATGTGTCACTTTGGATTTTGTTTTTTTATCTACACTTGTTGGCCCAGGATCCACTAACACACGACCTCTCCAGAATGTCCCCACCACTTCCCGCAAGGGCTTGAAGGACATCGGCTCCTTCATTGAGGAGGACGACTCCCGAACGCAATGTGTTACCCTCGAGGAGAACGTCAAGGACTTTGGTCTCACATACTTTGGTCTTGGTGACAAGCGACAAGGCATTGTCCATGTCATTGGCCCCGAGCAGGGATTCACTCTGCCTGCTACGACCGTGGTCTGCGGTGACAGCCACACCTCTACACACGGTGCCTTCGGCGCCCTCGCTTTCGGTATCGGTACTAGTGAGGTCGAGCACGTCTTGGCCACCCAGTGCCTGATCACCAAGCGTAGCAAGAACATGAGGATACAGATCGACGGCGAGTTGTCCCCCGGTGTCGGCTCTAAGGACGTTGTCCTCCATGCCATTGGCCTCATCGGTACCGCCGGTGGTACTGGAGCTGTCATTGAGTTCTGTGGCTCTGTCATCCGAAGCCTCAGCATGGAGGCCCGTATGTCCATCTGCAACATGTCAATTGAGGGTGGTGCGCGTTCTGGTATGGTCGCCCCTGATGAGATCACCTTCGAGTACCTCAAGGGTCGACCTCTGGCCCCCAAGTACGGCTCCGCTGCCTGGGATAAGGCCACCGCCTACTGGAAGTCTCTTCAGTCCGACCCTGGTGCCAAGTACGATATCGATGTCTTCATTGACGCCAAGGACATCATCCCCACTGTCACCTGGGGAACCAGCCCCGAGGATGTCATCCCCATCACCGGCACTGTCCCCGACCCGGAGACCTTCTCCACCGAGGCCAAGAAGGCCAGTGGCCGCCGAATGCTTGAGTACATGGGCCTCACTGCTGGTACCCCTATGGAGGATATCGAAGTTGACAAGGTCTTCATTGGCTCCTGCACCAACTCCCGAATTGAGGACTTGCGCGCTGCCGCCAACGTCGTCAAGGGACGAAAGATCGCCGCCAACATTAAACGTGCTCTGGTGGTCCCTGGTTCCGGGCTGGTCAAGAAGCAGGCCGAGGACGAGGGTCTCGATCAAATTTTCCTCGATGCTGGTTTCGAGTGGCGAGAGGCTGGATGCAGCATGTGTCTGGGCATGAACCCCGATATTCTGGCTGCCAAGGAGCGATGCGCCAGCACTTCCAACCGAAACTTCGAGGGTCGCCAGGGTGCCGGCTCTCGAACTCACTTGATGTCTCCCGTTATGGCTGCTGCCGCGGGCATTATTGGCAAGCTATCCGATGTGCGTAAGCTGTCTCACTACACCCACGACTCCACCTTCAAGGCCCGCGAGATGCCCACCGAGGAGCCTCACGTCGATGAGCGAACCAAGGACGATTCAGAGGAGCGGGAGATCATTGGCGACCAACCCCAGGACCTCCTCCCCCACACCAACACTCTGGCCGTTAGCGATTCGGCTGGTCTGCCCAAGTTCACCATCTGGAAGGGCACTGCTGCTCCCCTGGACATGTCCAACGTCGACACCGACGCCATCATCCCCAAACAGTTCCTCAAGACCATCAAACGAACTGGTCTCGGCGTTGCTGCTTTCCACGCCCTCCGTTACAATGCCGACGGCTCGGAGAACAAGGATTTCGTCTTGAACAAGGAGCCTTATCGCAAGACCAAGATCCTTATTTGCACTGGTCCTAACTTTGGTTGCGGTAGCTCCCGAGAGCACGCCCCTTGGGCTCTCCTTGACTTCGGTATCAAGGTCATCATTGCTCCCTCGTTTGCCGATATCTTTTTCAACAACACTTTCAAGAACGGCATGTTGCCCATCAAGATCGACAGCAAGGCCGACATTGACGCCATCGCTGCCGAGGCTCGTGCTTTCCGGGACGTCGAGATCGACCTCCCCAACCAGCTCATCAAGAACGCCGCTGGCGAGACCATTTGCGCCTTCGAGGTGGAGGAGTTCCGAAAACACTGCCTGATTAACGGTCTGGACGACATCGGCCTGACCATGCAGCAGGAGGACAAGATTACCGAGTTCGAGAAGCGTATGACTGCCGAGACCCCCTGGCTGGACGGCACCGGCTACCTGAAGCGCCCCGGCCAGGGCGGCAAGCTTGCTGTCAAGGCTGTTCCCGTTCCCAAGACGAATCGCGGCGCGGAGAAGACCGAGCCTCTGGACTGGTAAAGCCAAGGAGAGGAAGGAAACGGAGTTGGTTCAATGTCTTTACAGCGAATGGGATGTCGCTCTGGATAACTGGCATATCATCAGCATTTCTGAATTTTAGTTGGAACAGCGGCGACCAAGAGCTCCGCTCTGTCAGCCCTGGTTATAAAAGAAACGATTGGCAACAGAGGATTGGATTACATGGGATTTCTAATCGAGGCCATGAGTCAACGCAGAGTTGATCAAGGCGATGAATCTAACGAATTATTCGCACTACACATATATAAATATGTCGTTAAGCTAGTCATGTCTCTTGTCGTCGATGGTGAATGTGAGTAATAAGGGGAGAGACGGGCTCATGCCGATTGTGTTGCATCCCGTAGGACGCCCACATGTACGACGAAACCGGCCGTTGACCGGAGATCCTCGGGCAGGGCGGTATCGGGAACCCGCCAAACGCGAAACGAAGCCTGGAACGTCTCGAGCCACAACTCAAAGACTTCGTCGTTACGGAGTTGCTGGCCGATGACGCATACGCATGGACGGTCCTCGCTGGGGTCTTTAATACGAAGACGGCATGCGTCAACGCATGTCTGGACAAAGGGCGTGACCAAGGCGTAGTTGTACACGCAGTCACATGCAACCACGGCGTCGAAGCTGCGGACTTGGTCAGAGGCGGTCAGAGAGGGGGTCACCTCATCAGTTTCCCAGTCGAGGGCAACGAAGTGAACATTGGCTTGAGACCCATGAGCCGCTGAAGCACCGCGCTTCTTACCACGAGCGCGAGAGCTAGAGCCGTGGCCGGAGGGCGAAGCCGTCGAGGGCAAGTTCTCGTCGAGGTTTCGTTGGAGGAGCCGCTGGACGTACGGCTGGTCCGAGAGGACGTAGCGGGCCACGCGCGGGGCTAGGCCGAGGGCGGAGAGCGGTGAGATGCCGCAGCCAAGCTCGAGAACGGAGGCGGAAGAAGGGTTCCCAAGGGCACCGGATGTGAAGAGCGGGTTGGAAGGCGAGGCGAGCCAAGATGCGAAGGTGGGAGTGATTTTCCACAGGACTGGAGGCGCATGAGCGGACCGGGCATGACGATGACACGGCGGGAATTAGGCCGGCGAAAGAAATGAGGAATGGAGAGAAAGAAGTGATTTAAGTGAATAATACGAGATAAAGCGCCTGACCTGCTCCTGTTGTACCGCCTGCGCGGTTGGACGAGAGGACCGAGGGGGACTGGTGGATGGTGAAGTCGTGGCCGGCCACGGAGACGTCGATGACGGAGGCGCGGGCGTCGATGAAGCCGAGATCCAGGGAGGGCAGCGGCTGGGAGTAGAGGAAGAATGTTTCTATGCCATGCTCATTTTAGCCACTGGTTTTCCTTTCGGTAGTGCGATATCAGAGACATCACATCTCGAGGGTTGGTGGTGAGGACGTGGCGCCATGCACTAACCAACGCCTCTGTATTCCGGCAGAGGGGACAATACCTTCTCCAGGATCCTCAATCTCGGGCTCGAGATGGGCTATCAGCTCGTCGAGTGGGCCCATGGCGCCACCGGGGAGTTTCCTGGATTACCCCGTGGGTGACAGGATTTGGGCACCGAAAGGGCAATGGTTGTGTGTAAGGGAGCAGAGAGTTGTGAGTTAATAAGTCGGTACTGTGTAACAAGTGAGGTTGAGAGATGCGCAGGGACCCACTCTTTTAGTCTCGAGTCCTTAGGTACTTTACCTGTAACTTAGGTGGTAACTTATGGAGTCCCAAAAGTTGTTAGTCCATAAATGACCAAAGCTCTAACTTAGAAACAATGCCAGTCGTCTTCGGGACACTCGGAATCGACGAACTGAGGCGGTGAGTTTCCATCTTGCGATATGCTACGTCTTCCAATTCAGTTACAACAATTAACATGGTGAAATGCGAGGCAACGTCCTATCCCAAATTTCCATGTCCAATCAGTCTGAGACCTGCATCATGCCAAGATCGATGCGGCACAGAAATGCCGAACCCCCCCAAATCTGAGGATCCGCCAGATAGTTACCGCTTTCACTACAAAATGACCAAGGAGCTTCATCAAATACATAAAAGGTTATTCTTTAAGTCATATTCCGTCTTCGCGAGCCTCGGAAACAAAGGACGCGCCCGCGGGGGAAACAATAGGGAAACGCAAAACACAGCTCCTCACACTCCGGCCCCAACAAACGACGTCCCGCACAGTGTCGTCTTTTTTCATGCTGTTCCCGAGTCTTACGTGGTCTACACCAGGCCGTCGTAGAGAGATAGCGCCGAGACAATCGTCTCATCCCGCTTGCTGCCCTCCTTGAACTCCTCCATGTCCAAGCTGCCGTTCTCATCCTTGTCCATCATGTTGAAGATCTTCTTTACTCGCTTCTCGGGGGTATCTTCATCTTCGGGGAGTTTCACCATAGAGCCAACCTAAAGAGGCCATTTGTCAGCTACTGCGCCGGCAACAGAACAACACCTCGGATGGGGCGGCTTCGGGGACAAGGACAAGGATAAGGATAGGGATGTGGTTGTGGCTGAAGTTGAGGCTGGGGCGGGGAGACTCACCATCTTGTAGATCGCCTCGACAATCTTGAGCATCTCCTCGTAGCTAATCTTGCCGTCGCCATCAATGTCATACAGCTGGAAGGCCCAGTCTAGTTTGTCCTCCATCTTGCCCCTGCTAGTAACGCTCAGTGCGCAGATGAACTCCTTGAAGTCAATGGAGCCGGACTTGTCGCTATCGAACACATTGAAGACATAATCTGCAAATGAACTTGGATCTCCAAAGGGGAAGAATTGCCGGTAAATCTTCTGAAACTCCTCCTTGGTGAGCATACCAGAGGGGCAGTCCTTGAGGAAGCCTGAGAACACTTAAGTGTTAGTAGAGGGACGCGACGAGGGGCCCGTCTCAATCTCGGTGAAGTGAGGGGCACGCGCGCGAGACGGGCGGGGAGTACGAGGTCATCTTACCCTTGTACCATTGCTGCAACTCCTTCTTATCGAAATGGGTCGACTTCTGGAGCTCAGCAAGCTGATCTTGCGAGAGCTTGGATTGACTGTAGAGGCGCCAAGAGAGTCAGCAAAGACTTGGTCGGGAGACCGGACAAGGCACAATGACGTCGCTTCCCCAGAGCGGATCCGAGTTGACGTTGCGCGCGTGTGCCTGCGCCGGAGCATGATGAGGCTCAGGACAGGGTAAATCATGTACGTCACGCAACCGCGCGGGGACGACGGCAACTAAGGCGGGAAATGGGCGGGGGAGAATAATAGTGGACAGGTGATGGACTCACGATTTACCCATGGCGGATCGGAGCTGTTAATAGGTCGGCGGAGATTGGACACAGAGCGCGAATTGCGCAACCGTCTAGGGCAGTAGGCGGGCCCGAAGACGTCCTATCGCGCGATCAAAGAGAGAAGGGTCGAAGTTGGACGCGGAGGGGAATCGCGGTTGAGGAGATGGCTCGTCGTCAGGCGGTTGTTGGGCTGGGCGAGGCGAGAGGATGGCGTCGCGGGGGTAAAGTAAGGCTGTTGTGCGGAAGAAGGCGAGGAATGAGGGGGAGGCGCCGCTCAAGATGGTGGGACGAGGGGGGCGGACACGACGAAAACGCAGGCCGCAGTCGGGATCATGAGAAGTCGAGCGGAGAGCCGAGACCGGGCGAGAAACAGGGAGAAGGGCCCGGGATGTCCGGGTCGAGTTGGATCGCAAGTTGGAGCTGCTGGAGGGAGAGATGGTGTTGGAGGGAGAAGAAGGATGGATGCGAAAGATGCGAGATCTGGGGGCGCTGAGGTCTGGGGCGCTGCACAGCTCGAATAGGCAGGCAGCGGGTGGTCACTGGGGACGCCTGGGAGGACGGGCCACTGAAGTAGGTGGCCAGGACTTGGTTTTACGCGGACAAGCGCACTACCATCCAGCGAGCCTCAGAGACGTTGCGGCGGGGTTTCAGCGCGGTAGTGCCAGATCAACGCCCCAATATGTACGTTGGACCGGTGAGGTAGGCAGGTAGGTCCCTAGGCAGGTAGGCAATAGTGGGGGTGGACGAGCCACGAGGGTCCCTACACTCCGGAATGGGGCCTCTTGCCGCGTGGACTCCGAGAGGCGACGACGACGTGGCCGAGGCTATGGTCAGCGAGAGAACCCGGTGGGCGAGGCTCTGGTCCATCACTAATCATGGGTTTTTATTAATCAACACAACCGTCTCTGCTCATCCATTTGTGCAACAAAATCGTTCTGATATGGGAGGCACGCGATGCTTCACGCCATGTCGCCCAGTACCGTTGCTTCCCATGGATGTGGCGGCGCACAGCTTGCCGGAACCAGTGAGATGCGACGGACCAAGCCACAAGGCGGCGCGCACCCTTTCATCCCGCGGCGTGTATCAGACATCAACCTCGACCTGCGGACAACGACGCAGTGCTGGAGACTGCCGGCTGTGCGCATCACGCATCACGCATCACGTACATAGTACAGTTTGCAAGGCGGGAGGGGCTCTGTACGGTTGTGCCACAGAGCACAGAGCGCAGAGCCGTCGCCTATCAGAGTCCATATCTCGAGGTGCGAGCCACTTTGTCGAGGGCGGCTGTGCTGTTGTTGGTGGACAAACGGCCTGTGGTGGGGGTGTGGTAGCGCCGAGGCCTCCCCCATCACCCACTAGGTACCACCCACTGACACTGAGGCCCACCCCGCCGCTCCCTTGGCCGTCAATTCGTCATCTCCCATTGTTGCCCTTCGAGTTAAGTTACTCGACTGGCGGCGCCACTCTCGCAGTGGCTATTGGCGATCCCTGGTTGAACCGGAGCGTAAATCGCTGTGATGGCGCAACTGTTTTAAATGCTGCGTACTGATCTCCGTGCACCCTAGCAGTCAACTGAACTTCAAAGAGGGAAGGTCCTTGAGAGGTCAACGACAACCCATTAGTCATCAGAGATCAACCCCGTAACTCAGGTAACCCCTGCAGTTCCTGCGGTTTCTGCCGTCTCTCCATCCTCTTCCAATGACTACTTTCACCACCTCCGCTATAAACTCCGCTCAACGCGCGCCGACCGTCACCCATGGCGCATCCTAGAGCGTGAGAGGAAGAAAAAAAAACACCCATCAGAATCGAAAAGCTCACATTACCCGACGCCACACCTTTGTTGGTGCTTTGCCAAGTCGGAAGCGAACGACTTTATCGTCAATAAGCTCTGCTGCGCCCACTTGTCATCCACATCCTTGCCCACCATCACGAGCCAGCACTAGCCACGGCCCTCCTGTTGGTCCAGGGCCTCAGTCTACTACGTAGCATGACACGGGATTGCCAAGTTTTCCAGGACTAGCAAGGCCAGCAAGACCAAAAAGAGCAGACAGACCCTTACCGCCTGCCTAGACTCGCTGTCTCATGCCTCGTCATGGCTGGTTCGTCCATCGGAGACGATCACCTCTTGCAGGCACAGCCCCCTTCGCCATTCGACAGACCCAATTAACCCAGTATCGATTTGACTAATGCTCAAAGGCACAGGGGCACCTTCTCTCTAGAGCAAAGCATCCTTGCACAATTGGTCTTTCAACAGTGATTCGTCACCTATTCGCCGACGCCGGTTACGGGGCATGTGATTATCGTACCCTCATCGAGAGTCTCCATCCCACCTTGGTATCTCAACATCGCCAGCTCCCTTTCTTGCTAGAGCAAAACCCGCTAATCCTACCGAGAGGCTCGAATCCATGCCCCCCATGTCTGTCCTCCGCTAACTCACCTCATCTCACCTTACGCAAAAGGAAGCTCTTGAGGATGTGAGGTGAAGTCGCACCCTGAGAATCTCCACCAATCTTTGCGCTTATACATGAACATCCATCGTAGCAACACCGCGAACAGCCACGGGATCGGCGGAAATTTCTGCCACACCCCTCCGTCGAATGTCTTGTCGTGCAAGATGACAGCCAGCGGGAATATGTCGGTCTGCAAGTTTCACACCTGTTAGCTGCGTCTTTGTCCAGTTGCGACTCGTCGTCTCATCAACTAGATACGTCCCGGGTAAACAACAACAACAACAACAACAACAACAACAACAACTCACACGGTATTCTGATCTCTTCATCGCGGTGGTGACGATTTCATCCACAATCTGCTTGAACCACTTCCCCCAGTCGCACTTGTCGCTGTACTTGTCCAACGCCAAGAGCGAGTCAATCTCATGCTCCAGGTGATCTCGTAAAACCGGCGCGAACGAGTCGATGATCGAGACGAGCCTCTCGCCGTCGAACTCTTCCTTTTTGGCCCGCACCTTGTCCAGATACTCGATGTATACCTCAAACCCGTCGTGGAACGCCTTGTGTTCGTCCACGTTGGCATCCATCAACCCTGGCACGCCCGTCACCTCGTTGATGCGCGGGAATACCTTCTCTTCCTCGACGTCATGGTGCTCCTGTAGCATCATCGCCCATCCGTACGCAAAGTTGGCAAAGTCAAGCTTGTCCTTGGCGGTTCCCTTGGCTGACACGTTACGGGCTTGGTTGTAGACTGCATTGATACCGCGGAGGATTGCATTGTGGACGATTGTCATCTCGGAGGCCAAGTTCTTCGCACCCTCAACCTCTTTCCCAACCTGTTGGGCAGTCAGCACTTTGGATCCTTGAAAGGGTCGTAAGGCTTGGGGATAGATGCACCTCTGCACCGGCCTTGGCGCTGGGAATGAGCTTGAATGGTGCGTCAACCCAAACCTTGGATTCGCTCATGATGGATGACTGCTTCCTCTCCGTGATACGACCCCGATAGGAGGAAACAAAGAGACACAAGATATTTTGTCTCACGCAAGCTCTCTCTCCCCCAACCCTCTCGCCGCCAGCAGTATATATATACCACACAACCCCTTGCCGCCGCCCAAGCATCCAATTCAGCCCTACATCCACTGATTGCATCACACGTACATGCTGACGCCGTCCTAAGATTGCCAACCCGTCGTGTCAGCTCCCGAGGGCGTTAGACGGACGCACGTCTTCGAACAACAGGCTACCGCGAACGAAGGACTTAGCGTTGCTGACAGTCTGACGCTGTTGCTGGGTTGTCCTGGTACCGGCTTCGCAATCGGTCGCTTGTGATTCGCGCTGGATGGCGCTCGGCATGGTTTAGCGAATCTCACGTCACTCTTCAGGTAAAATAGCCGCCCCCATTATCGCCAGCTCAGTTGCAGCACCGTTGGCGTAAACACCAAGGCCAGGATCGTCATCGACACACCGGATGATTATACACTTTACCAAAATATTCTGTCATATATGCAATATACTCCAATTGATTGGTATCAACAGCCCTGCAAACCTGCGGCCCAGCGGCACCGATACATGCTCCTCCCAATTCATGAATGCTCGCTCATGCTCCATCTTCCACTCCAAACGTTGGCGTGCATAAGTTCCACCTGCAATACACTGACAAAGATCCGCCCGCTGCCATTCCGATTACCTACTTACACCGAGAAATCAACCCGTGAACCGTTACCCTTTTGCTTTATCCAACGACAGCCTTCATGCTCAGGCTCTCGAGAAATCCTCCAAGGTCTTCCTTCTTGACCTCCACCACGCAGTGCTCAAAGCTGTCGATGCGTACACGCGCGCTTGTCTCTGAGACAACCTCTTGGAACGCGCTGCCGAACTTGTTGAGGCCATAGCCCTTCTCATGCTCAACCTCGTCATCGTCCGAGTCGTCGTCTGAATCTGATCCGTCGGAATCTTCAGACTCTGTCTCCAGCTCGTCATCTTCGCCGCCTGCGTCTCGTCGCGCAGCCAACTTCTCCTCTCGCACCTTCTGCTTGGCAAACCGTGATTCCTCCTTTTTCTTGAGCTTAGCCTCTTTCTCTACTTTGCGTTGCTTTGCTGCTTCCCTATCTAGGAACGTGGTGTCCGGGCCACCGCCGCCGCCAGTGCCAACGACGACATAGACCCCGCGTTTTTCGTTAAGGCTGGCCACCACAAGCGGCGTGCCACGTCCACCCTGTGATAGCTTTCCGTGATTGTCCCTTTCTTGTTCAGAAAGAGCCTCTCCGATCCAGAGTGACAGTTTGGTGAGGGCTGCCGGATGGGTAAAGAGAGAGACGTCAGGCCCGTCTTTGACGACGCACATACGAAAGGCGCGAAGGTGCTTGATCTGTTTCTTGTTGATAAGGGAGGTTCCTGTGCGGTAGATGGCCCGATGGAGGAACTGAGCCGTGGGAAGACCAGCCTTGAGCGAGTCGATACTGTTGATACTGTTAGCGAACCGGAGGATATATGTACAGGGGTTTAACATACTCTTCCAACGCATCGTAGGCCTCCCAGAACCGGCCAATCCATTCGTCTCCTTGAGCTGCAAACTCGGCTTCCTCGTCAACTTCTCGAACTGCTTGACTCGATGTCTGTGCAGTATCCGCGTGATGAGCATGCTTCCCGACCTCGAGAAGCGCACCGATGACAACTCCTACATCCTGGGCACTGAGAGTTGCTCTCCAGCCCCAACTCCGGACGAAACCCCATCCATCCTTGGCACCCCCTCGATCCTTTCCGTCCGTCTCAACCGAGGGCACCATCTCGTCAAGGTTATAGAGAGACCCATACTTGAGTAGCTTGGCCCTCAGCTCACGTTTCAACATCATGTCCATGTGGGTATAGCTCTGCTTGCACTGCGCGAGACTAACACCCATCTTGGCAAGGAGCTTATGTAGTCGCTTTATGCCCGTCTCGCTCCAGGTTTTGAGACGGGAGAAGAGATATGGTGAGTGCAGCATGCTGTCATACAGACTCCAATGGCGAATGAGTAGGAATCGAGGTTCGGGAGAGAGCCGGATTCCAGTGTCTTCGGGATTCCTGGCCGTAGTGGGTATAACACCTGTGTTCTCGACGGCAACTCGTCCATTGGTCATTTCAGGCGGGTTCAACCGCCTCACTTCGTCGCGTAGTAACTGGCGTATCCTAGCACCTCGTAATCCTAGCCATCCCGTAGGCCGACTAGCATCATTATTCCTCACAGGCGCGGCAACGCCAGCTGAGGAACGACCGTAGAGTTCCATGGATGAGACGCCAACAATTGTCAGCCATAGTAGGTCGTTATCTTCGCGGCCGAGCTCGGACGCAAGCGAGTACATCATAGACGAGAGGGGCTCGGAAAATGATGAGCCGACCTTGTAGTATTTATGCAGGATGGCCTCGTTGTCTTGTCGCATTCGGAGGAGTCGTCGTCTTAGAGCGCGTGCTGATGAAGCAGGTGTTGCTTGGGCACCGGAAGGAGGTTCGACCGGATCGCTTGACAAGCCGACATCGGGCTCTCGGAGGGAGATGAGTCCCCTCGGCTTCGGTCGCTGTGGGGATTCGGATATAGAATTTGACTGTTGCTTGTCAATGTGGTGCTCGCAAAGAGCCAAATTTCTTACGTACCGAGTTGCTCCTTCGTCGTTGCCGCGGTCTATCGTCGTCGCTGAATTCGTCCTCGTCTGCGTCTGACCAGCTCTTTCGTTTCTGGCCTGCGTGAGCTGATTCCTGCCTTGAGTTGTCTCCTTCATCGTTCTCATCGTCGGTCTCTCCCAAGTCACCGCCGTCGTCGTCGATTTCCGGCATGTCAACCAGAGCCAAGTATGCTTTTCGTTCAGCAGCTAGGTCGTCCGCAATGTCACCATCGTCAAACACCACAATTCCACCCTTGCCTGGTTTATATCCTCGAGTAATCTCTCCACCATCGACACCAGGCGGACTTCTTGACTGGTAGGATGAGGACTCTTCATTTGTCGGATCGAGAGGAAAGCCACCAAACACGTTTCCCAAGTTCCATGGCCTATGTGCATCCATGATCCAGACCTCAACGCCGCTGTAGGGGGAATCGTCGCCTTCGGGTTCGAGCCCGAGCAGGGGGCCAAGATCGACCATGCCTCCAACACCAAGACAGACGACAAGGCCGCCGCTGCCGCCCTGAGACTCCATCATGGGAACCACAAGCTCCTTTCCGGCCCTCTCAAGGTCGGTGTAGCCCGCCACGGGCTGGATCTTATGTGGGATGTAGTCATGCTTCAGTAATCTTGTCAGGACGCGGCATGCGCAGAGAGCATCGGGTTCGAGAGCCACAAGGATGAGGACCGGAGGGGAGAGCGGATGACGGGTGTTCTGGAGGTGGGTGTAGAGTTTCGAGATTAGAGAGCGTGGGAGATGCATGGCTTCGAGGAACTGCACGCGTTTCGATCGTTATGCTTCGTGGGATTCATGGAGCATGTGGCAGATGTCGACCAGGTGCGGCGTGGGCGACAGGAAATTCAGACGCGCTGTCCGTGGAGAGGTCGCGTAAAGTAGCGTCGCAAGGGGAATGCTGGAGCCCAGGGGGTTGGAGGGATGAAAATGCAGGCCCGGTACGAAGCACGCCAGGTCAATAATAAACACAGAAACCGTCGCCGTGAGATGCAATATGACCGATTGAGAGACGGTGTAGTAGGTATCACGGTTGTGGGTGACGGAGAGCGAGGAAGTGGTACCGTAATTACATGGACCACTTTGTCGACCGTGTTTTTGGCGACGCGGTGTCACACAGCCATTACGCGCCTGGCGAGTTGGGTGAGGGTACATGGCAGAGGTACCTCTGGCCGAGAGATTGGCTGGGAGCCCAGCTGGCAGCAGGTGCCCACCCAGTATTTTTTTTTTAGCCTACAGCGGGTTGAAGCGCTGAAGCGCTTGAAATGGAAGGATGACCAGGGGTTGCCATCGGCCGGGAAGTGGGAAGGCGCTGCAAACGACGGCTCCAGATTCTGTTGGAGGCAAGTGCCCAAAGTAGGTACCTTAGGTTGGTAACGGAGACGACTCAGACGAGGGAGCATACCTTCTTCGTCTCCCATTCCTTTTCCTTCCAAAAATAAGAAAGATATGGAACAGCTGGAACTTGAAGGGACCCAGGCTCTCCATTGTCTGTTGTCTGGCCGGCTGTCCTTTTCCTCCAACATTTACATTCTCTCGTCATCATGGCATATCGACACCGCGCATGATATTGCTGCAGACCTCATTTCCAATGCCACCCGACAGCTTTGCCTTTCTTATGGGAGGGGCTTACTGCATGACGGCTTGCCAGTACCAAATTGCCGGTCCTTGTCACACCGATTTTGACCAGATGCCTGCCGACAGACGATGCTCATGCAAGCGAGGCACCGCCGTAAGACCCTGCGCCGATGTCCCCGTCAAATGGGTTAAGGACCGTCCATCCGCACTTTGTCGCCGATAATGCCACAATGTGGGCCGGTTGACTACTCGCGAATGCTGCAATCCGGCGCAGGTCGACAGTCACCCACCCACCACTAGAGACGCACCGACGGCTAGCTGCTGCTAAAGCCCAGACCAAAGGCCCCTCTCGGAGTCAGTCGACACGGCCTTGCCGACGGGCAGACTATCAGGGTTGAGACTAAAGAGCCGAGGAGTGAGCAAGTAACCACACGATGGGGGAAATGCAAATGCACGCAAATGGCGTTGGCCTCGACCTCCAACTCAATCCCCACGGCAGCGCACTTCAAGCGCCCCCCATTCCATCCCAACCAAGCGGTACAGTGTCTCGGGACGCGGCACTGGTAGCAGAGCTAGCTGCCAAGGGCGGAGTGACTCTATTCCAGAAGATTGGGCCAAGAGAGGGCTGGAAGCGGCCCCTCCCTGCTCGGAGCGGGTATGAACATGGGCTCAACAAGTTCAAGGACTTGGCGGGCAACGTAAATGCAGGATGAGTACAGCATACGACAGCATGGTCTGGTGCTGTATCACAGCAGTGTCGTGCAGTCAAGCCGGGTCGAACGCATCCAAGACGCAACGTCAGCACAACCTGCACCTCCGGGCTCATTGGCGCACCACACTGCCGGGAATACCAATGCCTTCTCCCTCTCGAAGCAGCAGCAGCAACAGCAACAGTGCCAAACAACGTCAATCGAATTGCGCGCCGGGGGTATGCGTGGATTAGTGTGTGGCGCCACTGCCACCGCCCACTACTTATCGGTGAGGGGTCATGATGGGCGATGGAAGCAATGGCCTAGTTTGGGTCCCACCGACAGGTCGCAGGTTCTTGGTGCGTTCTCTGAGTGGACCTCACGCGGACCCCGACTGATGAGACAAGCTGGCTCCTCTACGGCGAGCTGGACAGCCGCCTGAATTGCTTGCTGGCTCTCGGTGGCTCCCACTGGCTCCCACCGGCCGCTTGTCTGGTGTGTGCCCCTCTATGCGTCCCTGTGCATTAGCTGACTTGCACCGTCTCTCGACATTAGCCTCACTCGTTCGACCACGTCACGACGGGTTGCAGAGTGGTCGCCGATCCGTGCAACTGGCACGATTGGGCCGCAGAAACAACCAAGCTCCTGAAGCTCCCAAAGCTCCGGAAGCTCCTGAAGTACCTGTCGCACCTGTCACCCTCTTGGAGTCTTGTTACCAGATTCCTGGGGCTGACCGACCCCCTCCCGTTCTTCTGGAAGCGGTCCCTCGCCGACCACGCACAACATTGGCCAATCCCGCAACACCCTCCCACTCCACAGCACCCGGTTTGCTGGGTCTTGACTGTTGGAGTTCGCCAGCAGACAACGTCCCGCCGACAACGTCCCGCCGACCTGGACGTGACCTTGGATTCATCTGCATTCCCACCTGTCTCGTCCCATCTCGGCCCATTCTGTGTCTTCCCCTCCCCCTATCACTCACCCCATCCCATCCTCTCCGACCCAGAACCCTTCTGCTGGGACCGGCTTATTTGTGCCCGGTGCCGGCACTCGCAGACGACCCACTCCCCAGTCCCTTGGGTCTTCTCTTACAGCCTGCTCCTTACCTCTCCCACCTCACACCAGTCCCCGCCACGCCGGCTGCTCATGTATCCCCGCCACAGTCCTTATTCTCCCATTCACCCCGTCTCTATCCACACAGAATACACCTTACAGCAACCAAATAATGGACTACAACGATATAGATCCCGAAGAGGACCCCACATCTGACTATGGAGACTCGGTGGGGACGTCCGAATTCACATCCGTCAACACCAGAGAGCTGCACTCGTACGAACACGGGAGGTACGAGGAATGAGATATGTTGCCCATTTTATGGCGCTGATTTCCTCCAGGAGATACCAGGGCTTTTTACAAGGCCGATACGGCCTTCCTAATGATGACGTCGAGCAAGTCCGCGAGGGGCTAAAACACAAGCTGTATCTCGACTACCTTCTTGACGGCAACCTCTTTCTAGCTCCCATCGGGGACCACCCCCAGAAAATCGTCGACCTTGGGACTGGAGTCGGCTTTTGGGCCCAAGATAGTTGGTTCCACTCGTCCTATGAAGAATCTGGCTGACTTGCTTGTCTTAGTGGCTGAGAATTTTCCCAGCGCCCGAGTCATTGGGACTGATCTTTCTCCTATCCAGCCGCACTGGACGCCGCCCAACGTTGAATTTCGAGTCGAAGATCTTGAAGACGAGCATCGTCCTTGGACTAATATCTATATTGATGCGGACTTGATACACATAAGAGCGTTGCTACAGACCTTGCGACATCCGCGGCAGCTAATAGAGCGATCCTTTGAGTACCACTCCCCGTCTGAGATGTCGAATCAAGCAGAGAACCTAACATAGACTAGGGCCCTCAAACCGGGAGGGTGGATTGAAATCCACGAGATCGTACCGTTTATTAACTCCGAGGATGGCACAGCTGGAGAGGACCATCCCTTCAATGCGTTTTACAGTCTCGTCGAGGGACCTTTTACAACTACGTATGGCTGGAACCTGCGCTTTCCCATGCAGATCGTCCAAAATCTTCATGAAGTTGGATTCACCAACGTTCAACAACAGCACACCCAGGTTCCGCTTGGAAGGTGGCATAGCGAGCCCAGAATGAGGGAGATGGGCATGTTTTGCCAAGCTATTTGCGAAGATTGGGTCGCTGCCGTGTTACCTCGATTCGAAGTAATGGGGTTAACCGAAGAAGAAGCAGATGATTTGGGACAGAAGATATTCGAGGCTTTCAACAACCCCCGCATTCACGCTCGGCTCGATTGGGTAGATTGCTGGGCGCAAAAGCCACTGTCATAGTTGGATCCGGCGAATTGGCTGAGCTATCAAAGCGTCAGCCAAAAGGATTTCCTAGATTGACCTGTCACTTGGGGGAGTCCAAAGCGCAGCGCACCTGCACGTTTGTGCCCCCCACCAACCAATACCAATACCACCCAACCAGCGAGCGAGCACATTTACACCGAGCGGCCGGTGACACTAGCGGGCTGTTAACTCGCATGAAGCCTCAAAAGCCCCAAGGGTGTGGAGTGGGAAAGCCTTCCGGTCGCCAAGTGATCAGTCATATTATGGACACCGGTGAGACGCCAAGACGGGACAGGAGGTCGCCCATGCCGAGGTGACACAAGGGAGATTCATCGGTTTAAAAGTCAGCACGGCTGGGACTGTGATTGAGTTTGCATCATGTCTTGGGTTACGTGGGATCCTGGTTAGAATCGGGGATTATTAGGCAATGGGCACTGACCAGGTTGATCTGTGATGATTCCAGGAAACTTGACGATATGATGATGACAATGCTCCTCTGATATTGGCTGAGATGTTTGCTATTTACCCGGCTGTATGGCAGCCTCATTCAACACTCATGGTCTCTGAGTCTAGTACTCTGAACTAACGTGCTGCTTCTGCCAACTGAGAGGAGAATCCAAATCCTATCTACTACAAGCCTCCTTTCTCATAACACAGGTCGCTACGTATATTTACAACCAACTAACCGCCCAGCCCGTTGGGTTAAAGATCCTAACTCATCTTGCGATTCTTCCTTCATGTATGCACAACATGTCGCAACTAGCTTTGCCCGCTGTGCCTTCTTCCGTTCTAATAAACCGAGCAATTCCCAAGACGCCGTAAATCATGTCGTATCCATGTATCATGTATCATGTGAAATTTCAATTACCAAACATATTGCCTCCGGGGGGGCTTCCCATGCCGCCCATACCTCCCATGGGGCCGCCCATACCACCTCCCATGGGACCGCCCATGGGGCCACCCATGCCGCCGCCGACGCCGCCAAAGGAGCCGAAACCACCCATCGGTGGGAAGTTGTTCGAGTCGTTGTACCCGGACATGAGGTAGGACCAATCCATCTCGCCCGAGTCATTATCAGAAGCGGCAGAGCCTGTGTTGACGCGGCTGCTGCCTATCGACGGGTCGGTAGGAGGCGTCATCATAGAACCAGGCGCGCTCGCAGCTGAGGAGCGCGGGACGCCGACCTTGGGCTGCGAGAGACCCGGGTCCGGGAGGTTCTCGGCGCGGGCCCGCCGGCGGGTTTCGGCACGCTCACGCAACGCGGCGAGGAAGTTCGGGCGGTTAACTGGTTTGCCGGCGCTAATGAGGGCGGCCTCATGGGCGTCCCACGCCTTGATGAAGTGACCGCCAAAGGCAATGTGCATGGGGCTATGGTAGTTATTGAGCAGTTTCCGAAGGCTATGGTTCCTAGCGATGGCTTCCCATGCGCGCTCAACCATAGGACCTGAGACACGTTGGCGCAGCTCCTGGACGAGGAACATGTAAGCCGGGAAAGGGAAGTGGTGCATTGAATACCACCGAAAGGGGCGCAGGGACTCAGAAGACTGGACGACGTTGTCGTACTCAATCATCTGGATCGCCTGGAGGCTGAGGTTCTCGCGTTCGATTTCCTTCAGTGGGATGGAGTCGTTGTTGTGCATGCGGACGAGGAAGTTGATGATGCGCATCTTGCAGAGGGCTTGGCGGGTCATAGTGAGTGTGAAGAAATGCAATGGGATCTTGGGGTCGCATTGGGTAAGATAGGTGCCTTCTATGTGCGCGCAGAAACCGTCAAGGGTATATGAGGGTCCGTCTTGGCCGGCAAGCCGGATTGTCGGGGCGGCAGGGCGAGAATTGGGCGTACCTACGGGGCTCTTGTCGGGGTTGTTCATCTTTTGGCTGTCGCGGTTGCTGTCGCTGGCCACGGCCATGGCGAGCTCGATGCGGGTCAGAGAGAAGAGCATCTCAGTTGGGCCAGTGTGAGAGGTGGGGAACTCCTTGCCGTCGATATGGAGGTCTGAGTCGTTGACATTGAGAGGAATCTTGCAGTCACCGCCACTGGAGAGAGCAGTAACTGTTGATCCAGTCATCTCTCCTATGCGGCGGTCGTAGCCTACAAGGGTCCACCACAAACGGCGGCGTTGTTCAACCTCGAAAGGGGGCAGTCCAAACTGTCCCGGATCCTGATGAAGACCCATTCGTTGGGCGACGCGAACTGCAATGCCAATGAGGCAGAAGACTTGTCGTGGGTCGACAAACCAACGAACTGCAAACTATGAAACGTATAAGTTTGGATAGGGAACAGAAAGAAGTATTTAGCGAGCTTACAAGATAGAGGAGGTAAGCCTGCAGCAGGATGGGGTCATTATTACGCATAAAACCGGCGTTAGTGACGGCTTGCTGAGTCGCAGTATGATATCTCCCCAACAGTTCCTGTTTGGGCTCATTGAACATTCTCTGGACATCGTCATCTTCCAGAGAGGTGATGGCCATGAGGTAGATAGAGAACATGAGAGCCTCGATGCTCTTCGGAGCATTTTCTATGTTGGAGCTAGCCTCAATGATCTGTGCTTGAACAGTAGGAACGTGGGTTATCTTGAGTAAAGGGTTGATGTTGTCGATGTAGATTTGCCAGAGCTGAAAGATGTGGATAGGGCTAGGATGGTACTGAGCTAGGGGACCGGGCTGTCCGCCGATGATGAAGGGAAAGCCATCAGTTGCAAACATCCGGTCAAATGCGCGGTGAATGGTAGGGACCTCAACCTCCTCGTCTGATGAGTCTTGGAGCATCTTTTCACTGGCACGGAACTACACGGTAGGTTAGTTTAAGAGGTCTCTCGGTGTATGGTTGGCGTTCGTGTAGCATACCTCTCTGTGTAACGAAAACCATTTACCTCCGATACTAGTTGGTTGTCAGCATATTGTGTCCAATAGCTTTAGCTAAGATGAGGGCCGAAGTAGTTACTTTTCAGGCTGGGAGGCTGCAGGAGATGTGCTCGCCTCAGGAGATGTCTTGAGACCATCAAAGTCGTTCTCAAGCTCGTCGACATCGTCGACTGGGGGATCGTCTGGTCGCAAGTCGTGGCCGATGGCGTCGACCTTGACGCCATGCTCAGCCAGGAGACTCTCATACTTCTTGAGACGGTCAATTAAGTCCTTCTCCTGGAGGCGTTTCTTGCGACGGCGAGGCGGCTGTGGGGGAACGACGCGGCACTCGACATTGGCCTTGACACAGTTGGCACAGGGCTTGTTCTTGTCGCAGCGGACTTTGCGTTGCTGGCAGAGGACGCAGCTTGTCCCGCGGGTCAGCTTGATAGAAGCCGGGTCTAATGGTTGGAACTGGGTTTGGGGATGGGGATGGGGATGGGGATACAGCGCCGGGTGTTGCTGCGGGGCCGTGCCTGGGGTGAAGGCTCCGGCAGGCATCTCGGCCGACATGACAGGAGGCAATCAGAAGCAAAGTGCAGAGGTGGATGGACGCCAAGACAGAACCGCGGAGGCTCTGCCAGGGGTGCTCGCCTGTCAGGCCGGGGGGTGTGGAGGAGGTGGTGGCGGAGTGGTGGTGATGATGGATGGAGCGGGCGGCGGCGCTCGTGTATCCTTTCCCGGTGTATCCTTTCCCGGTCAGATGTGCGTGGCGGACGCAGGATACATGGGGCGCGATGCACGATGGGCCCCAGATCTCGTGGACCACGTCGTGGACAATGCGTTTCGGACTGGGAACGCAGCTGAGCTGAGGTGCGAGTATCCAGTCGCAGGGCTGAGGACGGGTGTGGTTGGTTGACGTCTCAAAGGGTCGCGCGGTCGGGCCCGTAGTGCAACTTGCCGTGCGGGAACACACGAGTCGGTGGCGGTGACGGGCAACGACGGCCGGTGAGGGAGCGATGTCTCGGGCCCGGCGAGATGGTCTCGTCACCTGTGGCGTACGGACCTGATGACAGAGCGCCGTGCGTGGTTGGTCGCCTGGTTCGTCAACCCGTCTTCTTGTTTGGGCCGGGATGGAGATTTGTAGTGCGCGATGTGGATGGATAGATTCCGAGCCAGTTGTCTTTGCGGAGAAGCTGACGTCGACGGCCAATGTAGACCGCGCCAGAGTCAGAGTCAGAGCAGAGTCGGAGTCACAGACGGCCGAATGGAGAAGCGGGCCTGCTCGAGATGCGACGAGGCAATGCGAATATTGCCAGGGGAGAGCCGTAGAGCAGGGTCGAATCGACAGCTACTCGGTGATTAGTCGCCCGATCCTAGGCTGCAGGGCTGCAGGGCGTCAGGCTCCAGGCTCGTAGATCGCTGTCTCGCTCTCTCGCTCTCTCGCTTACTCAAAAGGTGAGGGTTTGAAGTCCGACGCAGCTCAACCTACGACTCTGATACCCGCTCGGTCCCGAGGTTTCCGAGCTGGGCTCTGGCGCGGGGAGGCACGAGCCAGCACGAGCCAGCACAACGTGGGGCAGGCGCGCCCGACTCCTGGACCCTGATCCCACGGGCCCCCAAACCGGCTTAGCGTCCCCAGGCCCGGATCCGACTGTACGGCTCGTCCCCGAATGTCTGGCGGGCTTCGGACACGGAAGACATTAAGACGCCCATTTCCACCGCCGCCATGCGAAATTTCATTCCCGGTCTGCGTCCGATGGTTTCCCAATTTCGAAGTGCCCGAACCCGTTGTCATGTGGGTGCTACCTAGCCGCGTCTCCCCTTCAGGCATGCTTTGTATATATATATCAGGCGTTGCCAAGCAGTTCTCATCATGGCCGCATCGCATGCAATTGATCTGGATCTCATACTGATATTAGACTGACCAACATCTCTAATTATTTAATTATCTTCCCTCTTTCCCTACTTGCGATCATGTCTTTTCCAGAAGACAACCAAGCTTCTGGGCAAGATGCCAAAGCCCCTATGCGGACCAAATCCGTCACCTCCCTATCCTCGACCGAAACCCACACCTCAACTGATCCCAAAAAGAGATGGTCAGATGGAGTCAAGGAAAAGCCAACAACCGACGACAAACAAGATCCCATTCCAGGCTCGTCATTACCTGCCTCTGAGAAGCTCACATCCCCAATCGAGCCCGATGTCGAGACACCAGCCCCCAGCGGGCCTGCCTTTGACAAGGAGGCCGAGGAGAATTACAAGCCCAAGACACTCAAGTTCTGGCTCATCATCCTCTCCGCCTTCGTTTCCATGTTCCTCGTCGCCCTCGACCGTACTATTCTCTCGACAGCCATCCCCGCCATCACAAACGAGTTCAACAGCCTCGGCGACATTGGTTGGTACGGATCAGCATACATGCTCACCACCGCCGCGTTCCAGCTAGTATTTGGTCGGATTTATAAATTCTACGATCTGCGGTTGAGCTTCCTCGCCTGTATTATCCTCTTCGAGGTTGGTTCGGCACTCTGCGGAGCTGCTCCCAACTCTGAGGCCTTCATCGTCGGTCGTGCTATCGCTGGTATCGGATCTGCGGGTATCATGACGGGCTCCATGATGACTGTTATCCCCATGATACCTCTTCACAAGCGACCCATGTTCCAATGTACACTCCCTCCTTTATTGTCTCTTGCATATATACTAACGTGTCAACAGCCATGTTTGCAATGGTGTTTGGCATCTCATCCGTCTGTGGCCCCCTCGTCGGCGGAGCCTTCACGGAGAAGGCTACTTGGAGGTGGTGCTTCTACATGAACCTGCCCATTGGCGCGGCCGCCTTTCTATTCCTCTTTCTCTTCCTAAAATCACCAAAGAAGCCCCAAGAAAGTGTCCCATTTACGAAGCACATCACTCGACTCGACCCGCTAGGCACATTTTTCTTCCTCCCCTCCATGGTTTGCCTCGTACTCGCTCTACAGTGGGGAGGATCAACATATGCATGGAGTAACTGGAGACTGATCCTCCTTTTTGTCATATTTGGTGTGACGGCCATCGCCTTTTGCACTGTCCAAGTCATGATGCCCGAAACTGCCACCATTCCTCTCCGGATTATCAGGCAGCGCACTATGCTTTCAGGTGCTTTTGTTATGTTCTTCCTAGCGGGCGCGATGATGCTCGCCGTTTACTATGTGCCGCTATGGTGTAAGTGAATCCATTGAAACCATGATCCAATATAACACTAACGCGTCCACAGTCCAAGCGACCAAGAACCTCGACCCCGTCAAGTCCGGTATCTATACCATTCCCCTTGTTCTGAGCCTTGTGGTCGCATCTTTCGTATCCGCCATGTTCACCCAACGCATCGGGTACTACGTTCCCATGATGCTTCTTTGCCCCTGTGTGATGGCCATTGGCGAGGGTCTTCTGAGCACATTTACTCCCGCGACGGGCTCGCCTCGCTGGATCGGATATCAATTCCTTGTAGGTTTTGGACTTGGATTAGGGATGCAAACTGTCGGACTCGCAGTCCAGACCACCCTCCCCAAGGACGACGTATCCACCGGGCTCGCCATCACGTTCTTTTGTCAGCAGCTTGGCGGTGCCGTCTTCGTATCTGTCGGCCAGACTATCCTCAGTAGTTTGCTTGTCAAACGCCTGGCACATATTCCCGGACTGGATGGAAATACCATCGTCAATACCGGTGCTACGGACTTGCACGAGGTCGTACCCGAAAAGTACATGGACGCGGTTCTGGAGGCTTACAACTATGCAATCACCCGCATTTTCCTGGCTGCAGTGGCCCTTTCGATTGCAGGACTGATCAGCGCAATGTTTATGGAGTGGAAAAGTATCAAGAAGGGAAAGCAGGGTAAGCAGGGGCCACCAGCGGCGGAGTCCTCGGATCAAGAGAAGGAGTCATCTGAGGAGAAAAAATGAAGGTGCAGCGAGAAATGATACCAGGTATTTTGAAGTTTTGTGATGGATAGATATACGCTACGATAAACACTCCAGTCTTGTATAACAGATAGAAAAATCAACTCCACATTAGAATAATTTTCCCTCTGCTGCGCGGTGACACTACCTAGATCCTGGCTGGTGTGTACGGTATTGAAACGCGATCAAGATCCTCGGCGAGAATATACCATCATGATAATTAATTGTGCGCATCTTCCTGTAAACCCGTATTCATTGTCCTTCGCCCAGTGATTTCATCCTCAAAAATTTGTTCGAGGAAGAGGACAGCTTAGGTGTCTTGACTGCAGGTAACAGGGGTCTTTTAGCGGTCAAGGAAGAAGAGGATGACCATCATGCCACACGCACGGCCTCTGCTGTTTAGAGGTCTTTTTCTCCAGACGAAGGCAGCGAAAATAATCAATCATCAAATCTCAAACTCCATTATTCATGTGTCTTTGTTCTCTCTGGAAGAGGTGGTGGCCTGTGGCGGTCGTGGGGAGGTCGAGGAGGACAAAGGATCTGTGTACGTACAAACGGCGCCCAACCCTCGAGATCCCGGAACAAGGACGCCTTCAAGTTTCCACGCAAGTCTATATCTATGGGCCTCTGGAACTGATACCTCGTCATTAGATCCTTCATCATATTCCGACAAAGATCCACAAATGTGCACCAAACTCGTAACCAGCATGGCCTGCGGGCACACCTTCACGAGGGTTGCAGCCCAACGCAGCTCTTGCAGCTCACCTTGCAGCACCCCGTCTCTTCAGCACAAGTACATCAACGATACTTGCGCGAAATGTGATCCGGAGAGTCGGCGACGGCGCGTGAAGCTGGACTATGAATACCGCCATGCGGAACTGATGCAGCTGTACATGGCTGCTAAGAAGGCGGGCGATGAGAATACCATGGCACAGTTAGAGCAGTTGATGGCGGAGAATACGCGAGTGACGAGGCAAAAGAACTTTGAGGTTAGTCTGGTGAGTCACGACCCTGATGTGGTATGGCAGGAGGATTTTGAGGAACCAGTGCACGACTTTAAATACTAGTCGATGAGTTATTCATCAATGAAAAAGGCTGCGTTGCTTGTATGATTAATTACTGTTGATCTGTCCCAATTCCAGTCCCAGGCCAAACCTTGATCCCGTCTACCGATCATACCGTATTGCCTTCCCTCTATGAATCCGTAAACGCCAATAATGAAAAGAAAAAAACAGATCGCTCATGTAGCTGGAATAGCAGCGCCCAATACCGAACCCGACAGGAGTTTTCCCTGTGAGATCACGCTTTCTGTGGTGCAAGAACCATCATTCTGAGTCCTGTTACTCATACCCTCCGTCTATAAACCGAGGGGGTCTGTATGCATGCAAAAAAAAATCAAGAAAAAAGCTGAGTTCAAACAATGCTACTGCTGTAGATGGCCATCATAGTGACCTTGGCGATGGTGGTTGTGGTGATTTAGAGCGTGCCCTTGATTCATCGTAACGGACGTCCCTGAAGGCAGGCTTGAGCGGTTCCAGGCGAATGGTCGGGATGCAGTCTAGGTTGACAGATCCATCACATGAAGAAGTTGACGATGATGAAGCAGCCGACCCTATCGATGTCGCCTGTTTTGTTTTCTTACTCGGAACAGGACAGGTACTGGAGGTGCTGCTTTCGCGGTGGCGCTTTCCTCTTGACGAATCCATCTTAGAGGGGGGTTCCATCGAAATAGAGCTCGTGGAGTGAAGTGAGTTTGTTGGTTTTGAGGGCGATGTTGAATGAATGCTTTGAGACGAGAGTATGATGGGCGGCGTGCGTCGTTGAGTTGACCTTTGTCTAGGGTGTCTGGGGAGGAAATATGTTTACCAGGACACCCCCTTAGGTTTGCATGGGAGGAGACGCCTGGTCGAGTAAATCAACTACTGCATTTCGTCAAGAGATGCCCCGGTTCAGAAGAGGCGTTCAGAGAAATGAAAAAGAGAGTAAAGAATAGAGGAGAAGGACAGTGAGGATCATGTTTCACGTTGAAAAAGAGAAAATTGGTCGCATAGGGAAGTAAGAGGAAACAAGTACCATAGATAGGGGAAGTGAGGAGCTACCTTTGAGTGTGCAGGCCCCCAAAGCCAAACAGCGAGCCGCGATTACCGCTGCGGCAGTCGGAATAAATCCACAAAGGTTGGTGTAACAATTAAGCCTTCGCGGCTAGGCTGTGTCTCGTAGATGGAATACTGTTTGTGGCCGATCGATACTGCGGCCATGGCGATCTCGTACAAAGCTCGCCCTGCGTCAACGCTCGGCAGTTCGCCGGGGTTGCAACAATTCTGGCCCGCGAAGCTGCGCTCAGGGGGATTCAGCGGTAGTGGCAAGGCAGAGGCATAGGCGGGCGAGCGCGACAATGGCGGGAACAAGGCACTGCACAACCTCTGGAAGATTGGCAATCGCGTCCGCAGAGACGGATACCGTATCAGTTCATATCCCCAACGGCTGAAAATGTCCAGGGCTGCATTCATGAAAGTAGGCAAAATGTTGCGCCTGTCGCTGGCCGTATCGGAGGGGCTTAGTCATCCGGGAATGCCTGAACCAACGTCAACTTGTCCGTTCAACCCCACAAAATCACAGCGCGGGGCATCACGCCTACCTACCAAGCCAACACCTCAGCTCCGTGCCTAGAAGTTGTCTCCATTCATAGCCTGCACTCACAGCTCTCACAACCCTCGATACCTCAGCAAGACTCCCCCATCCGGCGTCCGACAAACCTCCCAACTGCAACACCAGGGACGGGCTTCCCTTCCCTAGGCGGCATCATGACTGCCTCAACTCCCAACCCTCTCCTCTCCAACCAAAAGAGTTCCGAGCTCCAAGCTATCCTCCACCCTCTCGTCCTCCTCACCATCTCCGACTATATCACGAGACACACTCTCCGAGAACAGCAAGGCCCTATAGTTGGTGCTCTGTTAGGCCAGCAGAACGGCCGCGAGATCACCATCGAGCATGCATTTGAGGCCCACATGCGAGTTGCCCCCGAGGTCCAAGGCGGTTACCTTTTGGACCATGACAAGTTTGGTGCACGATTAGAGCAGAGTATGTCACTCACGTACCAGTGGAATATACATTCTAACATTTTGGACCAGTGATCACTGTCCACAAGGACCGTCAACTCGACTTCGTCGGCTGGTACACGCTGCTGCCTTCCTCCGGCCCGACTTCCACAATCCTCCCGGTCCACAACCAAATTCTCGAAACTTGGAACGAGTCCGCCGTCCTCCTCGGCTTCCATCCCGAACAAGTCATCGATCACTCCGTTGGCGGCCGGCTCCCCCTGACCATCTTCGAGAGCAACTACGAAGTCGACGACGCCAAGACCGAAAACGATGGAGAAGATAAGAAGATGGATGATGGAGAGGCGCCTCTCAAGCTCAAGTTCAGAGAACTCCCTTACTCCGTCGAGACCGACGAAACCGAGATGATCAGCATGAACTACGTTGCTGGGGCTGGCGGGAATGCTGCTGCTGTGGCGACCAAGGATGACAAGCCCGCCAGGTCCGTCGAGTCTAACGGCAAGGGTAAGCGGCGACTGGTGGAGAGCCGAGACGAGGAGCGAAAGGACCCATCCCAGGACGATGAAGTTCCTCTCACAATCGAGGAGGACGAGATGATTGCTGCGCTCACCGCAAAAGCCAACGCCATCAAGATGCTCCATTCCCGAATCCGCCTCCTCACCACCTACCTGGAGCGTCTGCCCCCCTCGTACGTCAATGGCGAAAAGACGGCATCCGAATCCATGGATACCGACTACACAACCCCGTCCCAAACTGTCCTCCGCCAGATCCAAGCCCTTGTGAGCCGCCTCGATCTCGTCATCCCCTCAGACGAAGCCTCCTTTGAGAAGGAGATGCTGCACGAGACCAACGACGTCAACCTAGTCGGCCTCCTGAACGGCATTATGCAGAGCGTCAACCAGGCCCGTGATGTGGGCAAGAAGTTCAACATCGTCGAGTCGGCTAAGGCCACCAACCGCCGTAACCAGGACTACGCCGTTGACCCAACCTCCTTCAATCTTCGAGGCGCCGGCGACATTCTCATATAATAGCTATGAGAGAAGCTGAGTGGCGATCTTCCAGGTTTCCTACTGTAGGGATCTTGTTTACTTTGTTGATTTAGCCCGGCGTTCGGGGTTGAGGTAGAACTCCATATACACCATAACATCATAGAACATGTTGCATGGCATGGTACACAATTCGGCAGTCTCAAAAGCCGTGTTCGCGTCACACACCCATCTGTCTAATTTTTTGGCCCTAAAAACAAGAAACAAATAAAAATAAAAACACCTCCTTTCCCAAACTAAAATCCCCTTGCAAAATTGACAAGCCCAAAATCTTCATACTCGCCAACTACTTTTCAGAAACCAACCAAATTTATAGCAGCCTGGCGCTGGCGTTGGCGCTGGTGCTGGGATATCGTAAAGCGCTCGGTCTATCGTCATAAAGCGTTCAAAACACAAATGGTATGCCTCTTTAAGCCTCGATCACGATCTTGATGACCAGGTTTCCATCGTCATCGCTAGTGCGCGTCGCGAGCTCAAACGCACTCTGCGCCTTGTCGAGACCCTTGAAGCGGTGTGTAACCATCTTATCCAGCGAAGGAAGAGAGAAACCAGGGCCGTTCCGGGCCTGCGAGCAAAGCAGTCGGATACCGGTAGCATAGGTGTTTGCATAACGGAAAATGCCCAAGATGTCAATCTCTCGGAGATGGGCAACTGACAAAGGAAGTGTTTGGATTGGGGTACCCATACCGACCATAATGACCTTGCCTCCCGCCTTTGTAGCGTAGAGGCTAGTGTGCATACAGGCCTCCTTGCCAGTGCACTCAAACGCAACGTCCACTCCGTCCTCGTCCTCTTCTTGAACGAATGCGTCCGGGGTGTTGGAAACGGCAAGGATTTTTGCAGCGAGTGCCTTGGCATTGTCAAATCTGCTAGCAGCAGAGAATGTGCTGGCAGGGGTCATGACACCAGACTCGGGGGTGGAGACCCCAGAGGGAACGTTGGAAGGAGTCAGGTATGACACCGGGGTAACATATCCGTGGGTTGCGAAGCCGTTTTCAATGGCATAGTTCACGCGACCAACATCAATATCGGTAATGGTCACGGAAGTACAACCAGATTGGCGGGCCATAGCAGCCGTAAGAAGACCAACGGTGCCAGCTCCGATGACCAGTGCTGTAGACCCTGGCTCTGGTCTGGCTCGGTTGACCGCGTGAATGGCCACGGACAGGGGCTCAAGGAGAGAAGCGGCCTCATACGAGACATTGTCGGGCAGCCTAAGTTCATTAGCAAATTCTACCAAGATATAGTTCATTCGGGGGAAATCTCACTTGTGGCACCACACAGCCGGATGGTTGATTCGCTCCTGGAGCGTGCCCTGGTAGTGAGGGTAGCTTTTGGCGCTGCTTCTGAATCGCATCTTCTTGCAGAGGTTGTATCGACCTTTACGGCAGATGCCACACTGACCGCAGGCAACACCAACCTCAAGCGCAACCCGATCCCCGATTTTGAAGCCGCTGACCTGAGGTCCAATGGCAACTACCTCGCCTGACGACTCATGGCCCAGAGATAGGGGATGACAGGCACAGAGATCGCCGTTTGCAAACTTCTTGTAGTAGGAAACATCCGACCCACAAATACCAGTAGCTTTAATGGCAATCTGCAGCTCATCCGCCCCTGGGGCTTCAATAGTTCTCGATTCCTGGAACGGCGCGGGTCAGGAACAGTTCCTTCGGGTAGGGCTGATGACAAGGAGATTTGTGCAACGGGCCGGAGCGGGACTTACCAATCGCAGATCCCGGGGACCATGCAAGACGGAGGCACTGATTGAGACCGGCTTCATGTTGAAAGCGGGTAGATGCGTTGGCGCGAATTCCCCCGTAGCAGCTGGGGCCATGGCGAGTAATTGTGACGCTGGAAGCGTGGGATGAGAGTGGGATGATGATGGAGATGGAGACAAAGGCTCAGTCGATGGCTTGGCTGATTGCCTATTGGGGTGTTTTAGGCGGATGGGATTGGCTAGTGGAAAGACTGGTGAGTGGGAGCAGTCCGGTGCGTGGGGGTTGGGGCTGGGATGGCTCTCGGAGGCGTCCTTAATGTGCTAGTCGATGGATTGCAGAGGAAATAGACAGGCAGAACGTGGGATATGGAGCTTGCGAGGACGTGGGATGCTTGAAGCCAAGATGAGAGATGGTAATCAAGGGGCCTATCTCTGAACAGACAACGAGGAGATAGAGAGAAGAAGCGATGGGCCCCCACCCCTTAAGTAGGTGGCAACGCTCGCCATCCTCCCCGGCCAGAGCAGTCCGATCCGCGAGGGCAGTACACGAAAACGAGGGCGTGCGCTCATCAGCAATTACCCAACGCCAAGGTGGCTCGGTGTCTAGGACTCCAGCAAGCGTTAAGCTGGGTGAGAGAAAATTGCCCAGTCAGGTAACGACGAGTTATCTCCGGTGGGCTAGGAGCTTTCCGTTAGGCATTGCAATCTCGCAAACCATCTGCAGGGCCTAGCAACTTGGTGACGGAGGGACGGCGCTTGGGTACACAAGATGCAATGATGCACCGTGTGCCTGAGCCGGAACCGGACCAAGGAGAGCGGAGGTTGCGAACGTGTTTGTTTGGAGAGCGGGCGTTCTGCATGCACAGATGGGGCGCCTTGGCGGAGGACCCATGCAAGCTCCAAGGACCCGCCATCCAAGGGTCTCCTGGCCGCTGGAAAACTGGTAGCTGGAATCGGATTGTGGTCCCAGCCCATGGCGAGACGAAGCCCAAGGCGATTCTGATGGAGGGGGTGTCGTGGGTCACAGCGCTGGCCGAGTGTTGCCCTGGCCCGATGAGGGGTGAAAGATAGCCAGCATCAACAGCGACTGGTGCCCGCCTCAACGAGACAACAGATCACCGAATGTGACGACAAGACCTGAATCGTCGCCTCTATACGGCCAGCGGCCAGCGGCCAGATGGGCCGGGAATACGGGAGACAACTCGACAAGCCGGCGGCAGCGTCGGCGGGTGGCTCCTAACCCACCCGAGATCGCGGTGCGGTGAGAGACGATAACTGTGTGACACGCCCTGACAGACCAGGGCTTGCCCAGGCATGACAGGGCCCCGGGCAGCCGAGGGGTAACGGCGTTTGCACTAATGGGGACTGAAGGGGCTGAGGCCACGAGGGAATAGGAACCGGACCTGGAATTGGGGAGCGGTCTCGGCAGTGAAGACGGGGCGCCGACTGAGGATATCTTGAGCGGGGCCCGGAAGGCGGAGGCCAGCCCGGCCTCAGAGGCGAGCTGGAGCATGGACATGGATCTGATAACAGCAGACGTCTCAACAAGGTCGCGAGCCGCAAGACCCAGGTGGCAAGCCATGAGCCGCGTCCGAAATTCGGTCACGTCGGTGTCAGTGACGCAGTTGCAATTTCGAGAAGCCTACTAATTAGGTTTGCATAGTTGCAGACGAGGTGGAGGCTTGCCCAGATGGGTTGCGTACTCCAGTACGTATTGTGTCGTACTGTGCTGTAAAGTACATGCCTTAGGTAAATGTGCGCACGCCAGGGCATACAACTTTGCGCAAGGCCAAGGGCCTCAAGGATGAGTGTGCGGACATGTGGATGTGTGGATGATGGGTGGATGATGGTCGGTTGTGGACTCAGAAAGTGATAAAGTGGGACGTGGCCGTAGAGGTCCTCCGCGTAGGTCGGGAGTGCAGGGGACTAAGGTACGGCAGGCGTTGGCGGCCTTTCTTAGAGCCGTGTAAGTCGCACCTTCCCTCCTATAACCACGCCTGCCCATTTCTTTTTTCAAGCCAAGCTCCAATCGGCGCTTCCTGTGAGCCCACCAACTTGCTCCCACCTCAGCTTGTTCCTCAAGCTCCTCTACCTCTAGGTACCCGACCTACTTGGCTTCTCTCATCTCTTGACAAATCATGGCCCCCAGCCAGCCCAACATGATGTACGAGAAGAATTCTCGCCCTCTGAGTCTGCCATCCAAGAAGACGGTGAAAGAGCACCGGGCTCCGCGCCTTCCATGGTCTGGGCCAGGCGGGGTTGCAATCGCAATCGCGATCTTGAAATCTTTGCTGCACATCCCTCCGAGGCCCTGATGCCGGCTTATCGGAGATTCGGTTTTAACTGGTGCGTTAACCTTCGTATCGGACAACCATGGCCACCACCGCTCCTTCGAGCTTCCAGCTTCCAGCTTCTAGCTTCCAGCATTCAGCACCCGTCGTTCAGCGCCAAAGAGTCAACATCCCAGCAGCGTGGTGACGGAAACCGCGCCTATAACGACATGACAGGGATCATGTCACAACCCGGAACCCCAGACTCCTGTAGATGGACCCCAAGCTTTCCCCAACTCTCCTTTATCCAGCTGCCCACCCTCCCCGCCGGAACCTGACCCCCGGAAAAGTTCTGTTCGTCCCTACTTATCAGTACCACCTCACGAGTGATTGACTCGCGCAATTCGTCGTTATGGGCTCTCAATCCAGATCCCGATAATGTATCCCGCCGAAGCATCAGGCTGGTCCAGTCCAGCTCACATCGGGACAACACAGACTACCTACAGTGCTGTGACCGGACCATCAACTCCTTTTGTTCCAATAACTCACTCACTTTGTGCCTCGCCACTAATGTCTCCGGGTCAATCCAACCCTGCACGTTGACAGTTAGCCACGCTAATACAGCTGCATCTCCTTTTGTACCGGCCCGAGGCCATGACGCTTGCACATGGCGACTCGCCTGGGCCAACCCTGTTCAAGACGGTATCGCAGCCCTCGGCCCCTTGGAGCTGAGGAGGAAATCCAAGAGGCTCAGGAACCCTAGTCTCCTTCTGAGGGGCACCTCCCTGAAACAACCCGAGAGCATGCTCGCTTCGGAGATGAATCCGCGCATGAAGGAGCTTCGTGGTACCAAGACGCAGCAATTAAGCCGAGTCTCCAACTCAATCCTCAGGGTCGACGGCGGATAAGATGCAGTAATGACGAGATCCATGCACTTTTTAGCTCCACTGTTACGCAGCTCATCCTGGGCGAAGTTGACAAGCTCTGACCGACCACCTCAAGTCGTCTACGTACAACCGACGATGACTCCATCAGACCATGATCGAATTCATCCTTGAATCACGTCAATCCAGGGCTTGTCGGTATCAGGCTCTATGTGAAATGAGGGGTCACAGACATCGTCATCTTGCTGCGCTTTGTCAGTACTTACATAGGACAACTCAAGCACTCAGGCCCAGAATTAATCCCCTGTCTCTGTTGCGGAACAGCGACTGCACCTTTGGGCACGATTTACATAATGGCGGCGTGTCTGCACACCCCGTCCGGGTTGTGTTGCCCTACATATCCGATGAGGTAGGGGCAGCGATCAACACCATCCAGCTACCACGTTGTGGAACACCGCAATCAAGTGGCCAGTTTACGATACTCGAGCATGGCAGAAAGTCCAAGTTGCATTGACGATACTGCCACCCCCAACACCCTTCTCAACTTCACCAGGAGCATTTCGCGCTATGACATAGTGTTCGGTTCCTCTCTCACCACAGACGGCAGCAAGCTTCCGCGCTTGCGCAGCGAAGGAGTTTGAATCAATCTATCAAAGTGCTAGGCCGCCATGACCCGCTCAACTGACGCACTAACAGAAACCATTGGCAGTTAATCCAGCGGTTCCGAACTCTAGGGCGGTCTGGATACATTCTTGGCGTTGGCTGCCCAGTCCCCGTCATCACTCGTCTGCAGGTCTCTCCTCAGAGCCGACATCTCAGCCAGCCCAACCTTTTCTTCTCTTTTGAGCGCACATGCTTGCCGTTGGATTTTCCCTTGCTTCACTTCACCCTTAGTTTGCGTGACAGGGACTGCAGTGCCACCGCAACCCAACCAACTCAACATGTGTTGCCGCGGTGAATCTGATAGGGCGCTTCTGTCATGATTCCATATTTGACCCTTGTCCCCCTGACTTCAATTGCCTAATGGATTCATGAAAGAGGTTCCCAAGTACCGACACCGGCGATGGACTTCTATATCAAAAACATTGGTTTCTTCTGATGGTAGCATTTTCCCGGGTTCTTTTGATTGCGATATTGGCTTGGCAAATGCCTTTGAGCTAAGCCTTGGAAGTAGTAAGAGCATTGAGACTTTCGGTTGTCGTCCTTCGTCAATAAGGCCACCGACTGGATCAAGCGCTTGGAGATGCAACCCATAAAACTGATAACGCCCCGCAACCCTCAATGCCTCAATGACCTAGAATGGACTCCTACCGCCAGACAACATTACACTGCATCCTGTATTTGCGGCCTCGATGAATCATTCACAGTTCACTAGAACGCTCCCACATGCCACCGGTCAACACGAGCCGCAAGGTCTTCATCAGACCGGTCGTACGCCGGCGAGTCTTTAGCCAATGATCCCAGAATTCCTTATCTCGTGGTATCGCCAAATGCTTCCGACAAAACGCACAGCGCTGAGTTAACAATTGATAAGTAATCTTCTGGATGCATATACTACAGGTGGCTCCAATGACGAAAAATCAATGTCGTGGCTCCAACTAAAGGCCTCAGCCACAGGTGTATGGCAAGGAAGAATATGATGCCTGAAATCCACCTATATCACGAACAACTCAGAGCGGCCTCGCGATCGGGCACGATAAGAAGCCAAGGAGCACGCCATGGATCCGATACTCACCGCCCATTAGCTCAGATCGGGGCGAGCGAGTGATAAGTGATGGCTGCAGGCTGTGACATGTCGCCGGCAGGACAGGGATCGAGGCAGACTCGAACGGCAGATGCATGCCTCTTGACGCACACCACCGGGCTTCTATCCGGGCGTACGGGCGAGTGATGCAGCTGCAGGCCACGCCCTTTTTTCACACGTGCATACGAGATGGAGGGACGGCCGGCAAAAACAGACAGACTTTACATATGACATGGGCTTTGAGCGATGCTACCGAGAGAGATGAGAAAACTGAGCCAAGCCCTTGGTGTTCATCAACCACTTATCCACCATCCCACCACCTGTGACGAGCTCAGAAGGTGCTGGCCGCCAGTCGACTCGCTGCATTCCTGGCATCCACCCGATCCTCATCGTCCTCCTCATTCACGCCCTTTAGGCCGCCTGCACGCGCGCCCGCACCCGACCGTCCCTGGGTTGCTTCGGGGCTCTCCTCGCCATCCGCCTCCTCCGAGACCTTGCTCATGAAGCTGCTCGACACACTGCGGTTGGTGGCGTCGGAGCGACGCGGAACACCACTCCAAGCGTCGCCTTTGGGTCCCTGGCTGGCTGCGAGGCTCGAGCGGCGCACGGTGGGGTGCGATTCTCGGCCAAGACGGCTCAGACCGCCCGAGGCATCAATCGATCGGATATCGGGTCGGACGGTCTCGAGGAGGGACAGAGTGCGCCGCTCTGCCTCAATCTCACGGTGCACGTACTCCCGAATGCTCATCCGCAGGTCGGCTGCGGTCCTTGCGAACCACTTGCGACGCTCCTGAACCAAGTTGTTGGTGACGCGGTTGGTCTTGTTGAACAGGTACGTCTCGTGCTGGCGGGCTTCGTCAAGGGCAGAGATCGCCTCGTCGACCTTCTCCCGTCGAACACTGGAGCTAGCCTTCAGGCGGTCGGCGGCATTCAATTTGCTCCGAGTCGCCTCCTGGGCCTGTAAGAACTCCCGGATCAGGATCTGACGGTTGGTAAGAGACTCCTTGACGATAAATGCATCCTGTGAATGGTGCTGGAACGGGTCGCCGAGCGTCGTGGCCTCGGCAGTCGCCTGAGCGGCGTGGTAGTCGCCCACAGCCTGGACGACCTTTCCAAGCTTTCGGTAGGCATTCGCAAGGCCAGGGTGCGGCTCCTGGACGTTCATGCTTGCAAGTCTTGCGCCATAGTCAGCTTCGCTGAGACCAAGACCTGTGTTTCGTTAGAACCCGCGTGAGAAATGCTCAAAGTCGGTGATCACATACCTCTCCGCGCCTTGACCAACTTATCAACCTTGTGGCCAGCGTCCATAGTACCGAGATAGAACAACTTAACAGCCGGTCGCGCCTCCGCAAGCTCAGGGGTATCATCGGGTGGGGGAGCAAACTGCTTCAGGATCTTCCGGCGAACGCCAGTAGCCGGCTGCTTTCTCTTGACCATAGGGCTGTAACCAAAGTCGCTCTCCACGAAGAGCACCATCTCGTCGTCCCTCATCAACACCTCGTTGCCGCAGACGTAATTGAGCCATCGCTGCATTAGGGCCTTGACCCGGGCCTCGTCCTCGTCCGTGCCAGCTCCGGCAGATGTCAGAGGAGGAGGAACTGCGGGAACGAGCGCCTCGGGGTTCGCAGATATCAGGTGTTCGGCAAGCTTGACGAATTCAGAGTGTAGTCGTCGGACGTCTCGGAATTGCGTCGTGCGGAACCGTTGAATATTAGTCTATCCATAATTAGCGCAGAAACCAATGAGGATGCGAATGCGATCGTACGTGGACGTCAAACCGGAGGATAGGGTCCTTTTTGCCAGTTCGTTCGAGTCCTGTGATTTTGGCTTGGAGTCGGAACTGTGGTTGGGGCGGCTTCTGGTTCTGTTGGTCATGGCCTAGCTGCGCTTCCGTTCCGGCAGGCTGGCTTTGCTCAGCAGTGATGGGAGCTCCCTGTTGATGTTGCTGTTCAACGGCCGAGGTGTGAGGCGCGGGGGCCGATTCGGACTCGGGAAGGCTTAACGTTTGGGACTCTTCGGTCTCCCCCTCGGTTCCAGATGCCGTTGTAGCGGTTCCCGGGCGTGGGAGGGATTCAGAGTCAGTTACGGCCTGGTCTTGTGAAAGGCCATTGGAAGACTGAGAGTTGAAGGGAAAGGGGGGAGCTGCCTCGCCTGAGAGGGAGTTGAAGGCAGCGGCATTTCGGGTGGGAGACGACACCGGCGAGTTTCCCCAGGGAGAGGCGCCGGGATCTTCGGGGTCGTGGATTGTTGCGCTGTAATCCATCTTGGGCGGTGATGGGATGGCAGGTGAGGTCGAACTTATGATGCGAGGATGGCTGGGAGGTAGATGACGTTGCGCGCCAGTCGGGATGGACGGAGCTCGGGGTGGAGACTCGAGGCAATGGCAGGAAGAAGACGTTCAGACCGTGCGCACGCCAATCATGGCCATGAGTTGTGTAGGTCGATGAGGGTATCGCCGGTCGCAGTTGTCTCCGTGTCTCAACCACTCGCAGTGTGAGTGGCTCGTCGCTGACGCAAGTTGGCTCAGGCTGCTGCGACGGCGGTCGGCGAGCTTCAGCCCCGTCTCCTCATTCCTGGGGTGGGGCTGCCGCTGGAGCTTGGCATTGGCTGCACAGCCGCAGCCTATCGTGCCTGTACTAGCCGCGCTCATGTCTCTTATCAGACCGAATCGGGTTAGTGAGGGGCAGTTGGCAAAATTTATGCTGGACGCATCGGCCGTGTTTGCGGTTTGGCATTTATGTTGGTTGCGACCTCAAACTTGTTCACTCTGCTACTTTGAAGGGATCCTACTCCTATATCCTGGCGGATCTATAACGGATATCTCACTTTTATACACTTTCACGAGGCATAATGGGCAAGAAGAGAGCGAGAGAGGCTGACGGCGCCCCGCCTATCGACAACTCCGTGGACAAGATGGACGAAGACAGCTCCGATGACGAGGTGAGTGTTGTTGACAGCCCGGCGCATGCGATTCCCGGCTGATACGTAGTAAAGGACTTCGACATGGTAAATGTGGATTTCGAGTGGTTCAACTACGACGCCGAAGTCGACTTCCATGGCGTCAAGACTCTCTTGCGACAACTCTTCGACGTCGACGCCAATCTGTTCAACATGTCCGCGCTCGCCGACCTTGTGCTATCCCAGCCGACTATCGGCTCTACGATCAAGGTCGATGGAAAGGCCACCGATGCCTATGCGATGCTCACGGCCCTCAATACGTTTGTTCACCGGGAAAAGGAGCCCATGCGCGACGTCCTCAAATACCTGGTCGAGAAGGCCCAGGCCAACCCTTCGCTCGCCGCTATCCCTTCGTTGGTGAATGCCGGCAAGCATATTGGCTTGATCTTCTCGGAGCGCCTCATCAACATGCCCTCAGAGCTGGCGCCTCCTCTGTATTCCATGTTAATCGACGAGATCGAGGCGGCCGTTGAGGACAAGGAACCCTACGAATTTTCTCACTACCTGATCTTGTCAAAGACGTATCAGGAGCTTGAGTCTAAGATTGATGTTGAGAGCCAGAAGCGTAAGAAAGCCAAGGGGGATTCTCAGATATACTATTTCCACGCCGAGGATGAGGTGCTGCAGAAGCACGCGGTGGCATACGGCAACTTCAACTACACAAAAGAGGACGAGGTAGTAGCGGACAGCAAGCGGGCATTCCAAGAGATGGGCGTTAAGGCACAGGGACACTTGATTCTCATTGAGGCGGGCAAGTTCCAGGGTGCCATCAAGGCGGTTAATGATTATTTGAGCGCTCCGCAATAAATGACATCAAGGAGCAGGCTCCAGCCGCTGCATCAAGTACTCCACCTCCACTTCCTTGGTCAACGGGATAACGAAGTCCTTGTACATTGATACCACAGCATCGACGTTGATCTTAGCGTGGCCGTCGGTCCCGTCGGGGATCGACGGGTCTCTGCCGTAGGTCAGAGCCTTGAGGCGGAGACGCTCAAGAACCTTCTTCTCGACCGCAGCGTTGGTGATGGACTCAGCAATGCCCTCCCGATCCTCAGCCTTGATGAGGCGGATATAGGTTTCTTCGTCTGATCGGAACTTGGACTCGGCGACGAACTTGCCGAAGTGAATCCTACGAGAAAGAGCCTGCAGACAAGCAATATCACAGGTTGCGGTCGAACCGTAGTTTTCCTGCGACTCGCCACGCTCCTCGCGGCCGAAGTCGGGACACACTGCGGGGAGGAATTTCTCGACGTAGAACTGCTTAATCTTGTCGTTGACGTTGACGTCGTTGTCGTAGAGGATCTTGGGGTAGTTGAGGGGCTTCAAGATGGGCTTCTGTAGGGCGTCCGGGAAGAAGGGGTACTCGTCGGGGGACTCGAAGCGACGGATCAAAGACTGCAGCTTCTCCTGTTCGCAAAAGTACCAGTCGAGGAAGCTCAGATCGCAATCCGGCAGATCCAGGGTGCCAGGGACGTAGATTTTCTAGAAATGAGCCAAAGCCAACAGTCAGTTGGGCACGTCCAGCGAGTCCAGGGATGATGCGAAAGCGGCAGGGGGTCGCATGAGCGCAGGGCCCCGTCCAACTTACGCTGTTCAAAGCAAACTGCACACGCTCAATAAGATGAAAGGTGATGGTATCCTCGAGCCGGCTGTCTACGTTAGCACCAAGATTCCTGGGAGCCGGGGTTGGCGGGCGAGCGTACATGAGCTGGAAGCGGATCCGGTCAAGATCCAGGGCGTGAGCGGCATCGGCCATGTCGATGACAGAATCCATGCTTCGTCTGTGCAGCGCCAATTGGGAGACGTCGGGCTCGGGCCGGCACGCTTGTTGTCGTCTGGAGGCCGTGAGATGATCTCGCGACTTGGAGGGGAGAGTCTGGCAGAGTGCGGGCGGAGCTGGGACGGGCTAAGCAAGCAGTTGATGACGGGACGGGCTGTGATTGCGGACGGACAAGCGCATTCGGGAGTTGACTCAATGCTCAATGCGGGCGGGCATGGTTGGTGGGCATGGTGGGCATGGTGGCCGGCAGTGGAGGCCGCTTTTTAGCCCGTGCCCGCGCAAAAAAGTCGTGGGTTTGTGGAGGGGGGACGAGGGGTAGGCAGCCTTTGTGTTTTTAGAGCTCAGCAGTGGAGCGCGTACAGGGCTCGTCAGGGTTCTGCCAGCCTGTGCCAGGTATGCTCCAGGTATGCTCCAGGTATGTTCCAGGCCACTCAGGCCACTCCCAGGCTATCCATAGTGCTGACCGTCAGCAACTGTTCTTCCCATAGCGGCCAGCGATTCACCGGGCAGCACTGACCTGATCCCCCCGGACCAATTACAGGGGCTCTCACACCTCCAACGCCTATTCTATAGCACCTATGCGGAACGAGGCCCGGCCACATTAGCGCCTCGGTCCAGCTGTACCCAGCACAAGACCCAACCTGGAAGGTAATCCCAGCGCGTCATGGCCAATCTCCTTGCGTTGCGAACTGCCAAAACCAAAACCAAATCTTCGACTTCGCATCTGAAGCCTCTCCGTCTTCGCTCTCCAACAACCCGCCTCCTCCTCCCCACCCATCAGGCTCTGCGTCCCTACAGTCGTGCAGTCGCCCGGCCATGGCTGACGCAGAGAACAACTATGGCTTCCCCGACGACATGGGCGGCGACGACGACCAGTCCATCGTCTCGGTATGTCGCTCTTCCACCCTCCCGCCATTCCACCTCCCTCGTCCCCTCCCCTCTCCTCCCCTCAGCCCCTCCACCCATTGCCGTCTCGCGATGACCCAATGCAAATAGGGCTAATTGGAAGCAGACCCGCGGTCTCGAGGCATTTGGCCGCAAGGTCACCACCACAGCCAGTCATCTGATGGGTCCCAACGCCGATGCCGCCGCCGCTCACTACCAGACCGCAATGGCCGAGGTCCACAAGCAGATGAAGCGGCCCACCGTCCAGCGAAGCATGTTCTCAATGGCCAGGACGACTCCGACCGACCTCATGCGCTCAAAGCTCTCGTCCCACGAGATTCGCCATCGTGCCCTGACGTATCTTCCCGACGAGCTGCTCGCCAACATCCCCGACCATGAGAACGCATATTCCCTCTTCCAAGGCTTCCAGGCAAGCTTTCCCGAGCTGACTGAGGAGGGCAAGAAGTTCCGGCGGAGGGTTTCCCGCGGACGCAAGATGCTTGAGGATACAGAGGCAACGCCGGGGAGCCCAAAGCGACTCGCACAACTAAAAAAGGAGAGGGCCGCCATGCTGCATGAGTTTGGGCTCCTAGGCACCCGAAAGAGCATGGCCAGCTACGAAATTCGGGAAATCGATAACAAGATTGCCAACCTGCACGGCATGCGCAGGATAATTTTGGACCGGCTGGCCGTGTTGGAGCAGGATGAGGCGTTGCTGGAGCATGACGGTATGTGCACATGGCGACAGCCATAAGACACGAAGCTAACCTCGCCAGTTGTCGATATGGACGTACGGATAGAGGAGGCCCAGGTGCTAGTTGATGAGGCGGAGGAGATTGCACGGAACACGCGTACGAAAGACGAGCAGGACCTTGTCGGCGATGCTGATGACCACGATGCCGAATTTATGTCACAATCCGTCTACCAAAAACTTCCTGGCTCAGATGGCACCATGCCTTCCCGAAAAACGAAAAAGGTCCACCGGAAACAATCTATGCCAATACTGCATGAGCATTTCGAGCCCGGAACTAACATCCGCGAAATCCGTGCACACAAGGATAACATCACAGCAATGGATTTCGATGCCCCCTTCGGGACTATGGTTACGGCTGCGCTCGATGACACCGTTCGAGTCTGGGATTTGAATGCGGGCAGGTGTATGGGCTTCCTAGAGGGCCATACAGCATCAGTGCGCACTCTGCAGGTTGAAGACAATATTCTAGCGACAGGATCCATGGATGCCACGATCAAGCTGTGGGATCTCAGCAGGGCGCAATACGACCCGCACGGTGGACTCGGGAAAGATGATGAGGACGAGGATGCCATCGCGTTCGGAGCCGACGATCATCTTGAGCCTCCTCCGGGCAGCATGGCCGACTGCCCGCTCTTCACCCTCGAGGCACATGTGGACGAGATCACCGCACTTCACTTCCGCGGAGATGTTTTGGTATCAGGCTCCGCAGACAAGACTATCCGCCACTGGGATCTAGAGAAGGGTCGCTGCGTGCAAACATTGGACGTAATGTGGGCAGCCGCGGCCAACCTCGGCAATAACGAAAGCACCTGGAGGCCAACTGGACGATCCCAGTCTAGCTCGGCAGACTTTGTGGGCGCCCTGCAAGTGTTTGAGACTGCCCTCGCGTGCGGTACTGCTGATGGTATGGTCCGCCTGTGGGATCTCCGGAGTGGACAAGTCCATCGAAGTCTAGTTGGGCACACCGATGCCGTGACATGCTTGCAGTTTGATGATGTCCACTTGGTTACTGGAAGTGCGGACAGAAGCATTAGAGTAAGTTGTTCTCTCTCTTGTGGTGATGGAATTGTGCGCTAACGTTGAGCTAGATATGGGATCTCCGGACAGGGTCCATCTACGACGCTTATGCGTATGACAACCCCGTCACCAGCATGATGTTTGATACACGAAGGATTGTAAGTGCTGCCGGCGAAGACATAGTGAAGGTGTACGATAAGGTCGAAGGACGACAATGGGACTGCGGCGCTGGCATCACCGCGGCCGAGGAGGGCAAGACTCCCGCCATTGTTGAGCGTGTAGGTGTACGAGATGGATATCTAGTCGAGGGTAGGCGGGACGGCACTGTTGGAATATGGACATGTTAGAGAGCATATGTAAGATGTAAAATCCACTCAAAGCGATTTGAACATTTGACGCGCTTTACATGGAATTGATATGCGAGAGCACTAGAACTAGAGGCGACGATGGAGCGAAGCGTATCGTTCCCAGATCTCGAGCACTTTAGACGAAAATCTGAAGCAGGGCCACATTCCGGCACTCCTACAGGGGGATCTCGTGCGACAGATAATTACTGGGATTTGGTTAAACTCAATTACAAGGTTGTTCTAGAAAATAAATGCCCCGAGGTGGCCCGTTCCGAGTTGGAAATATCGTAAGGTGGTGGTCTCACAACTCTCCACATCGACAATAATTACCAGGTATATTCACTTATGGAGCTTCCATCCTCCCAACGTCAAATTCAACAAAATCAATCCCTGGCCTGGGCATCAAGCGATGCTACCTGCCAAAAGCCGCAAGCCGCATAGTCCAGGGCGACCCTCGTTACTCGGTGCATGAAGCCGCGGATTATTAGCTAGGCGCCGCATTGAAACATGGGGTCCGCGGCGCATGGGCAACTGCTCACCAGATACCTGGATGCAGCTTATGCGGTTGCGCAACCGTCTTATCACGGCTGCAATACGCCGGGGAGGCTACCCGGACTCAAGGATGGAGATGGAGATGGAGACGACGTTCAGAGTAGCAGCATATGCTCTCGAGACGGACACGACGTGCGGGATCCGGCTGTGGTGGCTGTGACGGAGCTGCTCTCCCGGCAAGCTCGCATCCTCATCAAGCTTCATGTCGCCCTAGCCGCAGACTCCAATGCGGTCCACGGCGTAGACGAGGCGCTATTCAAGAAGAGGGTTGCCGATTTGGTCTCCATTGCCAACTCCAAGTTCTACGCCTACCGCTACGACCGCCTCCCGGCCATCTGGCGCCAGATCTACACTGACACACTCATCCTGGAAACACATCACCTTCTCTTACGACCACTGCTCGCCGCGCAAGCTCTCCCTGAAGACACGCTCGATGATGTTGTCAAGGCGCTTGATAGGGCGCTCATCACGGCCGGCGGCGGTGGCCGACAGCAGTGGCTGGAGAAGACGTTGCAGATGCTGGAGGGTGTTTGGTCTGGTGCCGAGGAACACGACGACGAGAGGCCGTCAAAACGCCAACGCAAAGGCTCGGTACTCCACCACAACTTCTCAACCGATGAGCCGTTCGGGAGGCCTTCGCTGTCGTCAAAATGGGCGTGTCCGCGGTATTCAGGGTGGACGTTGGAGCAGTTCGAGGAATACATGAACAGCCCTGGACGGGCACCGTGGCCCATCGTCCTCACTGACCTGATCGGGAACTGGCCCGCCCTCACCGACTGTCCATGGAAGAGCCCGGAGTATCTGTTATCCAAGACGTTCGGAGGGAGACGCCTCGTGCCTGTCGAGGTTGGGCGCAGCTACGTCGACGACGGCTGGGGCCAGGAGCTGATACAGTTCCGCGAGTTCCTCACCCGCTATGTCGACAACCCCAAGCCCGCATCACCAACTACGACGTCGTCCTCGCCCACCGGCTACCTCGCCCAGCACAACCTCTTCCAGCAGATCCCCTCGCTCCGCAACGACATCTGCGTCCCGGACTTCTGCTGGGCCGACGTGCCCGGCCACCCGCTCTCGGCCTCGCACGACCAGCCGCCCGTCGACGTGCCGCAGCTCAACGCCTGGTTCGGCCCCGCGCGCACCATCACGCCGCTGCACACCGACGGCTACCACAACCTGCTGTGCCAGGCCGTCGGCGCAAAGTACCTGCGGCTGTATCCGCCGGGGGCCACGCGCCACATGCGGCCGCGCAACCCGGAGCACGGCGTCGACATGAGCAACACCAGCGCGCTCGACGTGGGCGTGATCGAGGGGTGGGATCCGCTGCCGGAAGGCGTGAGCGAGGAGGATGTGCGGCGGGTCAGGGAGGATCTGGAAGACGTCGAGTACAGGGAGTGTATTCTGGAGCCTGGGGACACGCTGCTGATTCCCATCGGGTGGTGGCATTATGTTCGGAGTCTGAGTGTGAGCTTCAGTGTAAGCTTTTGGTGGAACTAGAAGATATCCGGCTCTGAGAAAGAAAGACGGTGATGAGAAGTACGGGCGTCTTCTTCTCCCCGACTATGATGGCAAGCTCAACGCTGCATACCACATGATATCAGTTCTAGTCGGGGAGGACGCAATACATGGGACGGAAGTTGGTTTCTCAAGCGGGAAATGAAATACGAGCACCCTTCGTGACTAGTATATATTCCAGACTAAATACGCAGTGAGATCTGACTATTCCTCCAAATTATCCTTGTCCCGAAGCCGCCGCAGCATCTTCGACACTATCCCCTCCCCCCTGAGCCTCCCTACGTGCCTTGGCACCGGCCTTCAGCACCTCCCATTTCTCGCGGTACTTATCCAGCGTCTTCTGCATCTTTCTGTTGTCCTTCTCAAGCCGCTCCATCTGCTTCACCGCGGACGCAAGTTGCTCCTCCATCTCTTGGTTCTTCTTGCGGATGGCCTCATCGCTGGTCTTGCTAACCGCCGTGGGGGACCCGGGACGCATCAGACGGTAGCTCTCAGCAAGAGCCATGGCAGAATTTTGAGCACTTGCTTCAAAAGCGTGGAGGCGTTTGGTGAGCTTGTCGAGCATGTCCTTGAGTGACTTGTTCTCTGTATATAGTTCTTCTATGGTGTTGTTGAGTTCCCTGTCAGTGTTTGCGCGGCCGATACGACGCTTGGCTCCAGGAGATAGGGGAGCAGGGGCCTCTCGAGCATCAACGAAGTCGTCATCGTCATCCTCAGGCGCGTTGAGAAATTCAGTGTGTGACGAAGCCCCAAGGCGTCTCTTTTCCTTCTCGGCGAAGCTCAAGATATTGGCATACGACATGGTGTGACCTGTCGTGGGCACAACGTAGAATGAATCATTGGGACCGTGGCCTTCCCTAGCCAATGCTTGCATAGTTGCCCTCGAGTAGATCTTGGATAGGTCTGGTTCCAGGATCTTGGATGGCGAGGCCTTGAGATGACTACGCTTTGTAGGGGATGTCTCGGGGGTCTCCGGCTGCTCTGGCGTGACCGACTCCTCCTGGATCAGTGGCAGTCCAGCAAAGGCCAGGGGAGCCGAGATCTTGTTGATCAGGCTCCCGAAGGTATTGTAAAAGCGAGTATATCCCCCATCGTCGACCACGGCCGAAGCAGCATCGGGTCGTGGGGACGCAGTGTTCTTGCCGTGACTCTCGGACCGTTGCTGCGACGAAGCCGGAGGGACCCAGGTGGGCTTTCCGGGCTGGTGGTCAATTATATTCTGCATCTTGGCCTGGGGCCCATGTGGGCGAGAGAGCGCATCGACGTTGCCGGGCGCCTGATCGTTGGACACGCTGGGAGCGAGCGGCTGGCCTCTATACTTGGATCGAATGCCTCGGGCCGTGGCCAGGTTGCTTGCGATGGATGATGACATTTCGCGGGAGGCATACCGGCGCTGTGTAGGTGGGCTCAGCTTCTTGGATGCCGACGACTCCGCCGCAGAGTCCTTCTTGGTATGGGCATCTTGGCTGGTCTGGTCTTTGTCCGAGGACTTCTCGTTCTGGTCGGCATCGCTGGACTGCGAGGTCGGTTCGGAGGGGAGCTTGAGGATCTCGGCGAGCTTTCGGTGGTGTTCTTCGAGGAGCTTGAGGGTTCGGAGGGCCTCGACGCTGGAGGTAGTCCTGGAGGCGCGAGCAAACTCGCCGGCAGCCTGGGTGTGCTCGCCGATTGCTACCACGGTGTCGGAGGAATGGCGGGTTGCGATGGCGGCGGCGCGCGCGTGGTCGTGCGCCTTTACGAGAGGCGAAGAATCCATGGTTCCATACGGGAGATGGAAGAGCGCTCTGGGGCGTAGATGATCCGTCCGTGGGATGGTTGGTGGCACGGTAAAGTGGTGTTGGTTGGGGATGAGGAAGTGTGGGGGAGTTGCAATCCGCACGATAACGGGAAGTTTAATGGGGTACAAGTACCTCTATAGAGTGTGTGGCCTTCAACATGCTCTTAGGGGCAAGCTGTAGAGAGCCAGACAAGCGGTGCTGTTGGGGAAAATGTTCAACGTTTTATTCCATCTATTTCTTTCAAGGGTATTCTAATTTTCTCCGTTTCCCTCTTTCCGGTGGAAGCTATGGTTGTCAAAGCGTGATCCTGTCCGCTTGCTTTCGAGTCACTTGATGCATTCGGCCAAAAGATCCCGCCATTCCGATGGCCAAAGACTCCGGCCCAAAACGATCGCTGGTAGCGCTTGGCGGGGTTCGCTCAGGGAGCGGAGCGCTGTGGGGGAGCGGGTAAGTGATGTCAAAGATGGGGAATATCGTCTTGGTATCACCGGATTGTGGGAAAAGGGAACTTACCAAGACAGCTACGGGACCCAAAGGCTGGGTAGGTTTTGAGGAGGTTCGCCGTCTTGACCTGGTTAATCTCTCTCCAAGCCTCATTACAGGGGGCATTTACTACTTTGAGATTTGGGGCTGGCTAAGTACTCCTCTTTACTTTCGAGGCTGATGGGACACTCGGATCGATACCCGATGTGAGGCGTATTCTCGTCCACTTCTACAGCGTAACCCTACAGCACGCACCGGAGCACCAGCAGCTCGAGTGATTGACGCAAATAAGGCGATTCGTTACCCTGGAGTTGGGCGAACAGCGGGTCAAGCCGTTCCTTGATTGCCACAAGCCGCAGTGCACGGGGATCTTCATCCACTCAATTTATCCGCCCAGACACAAATGACAGCATTGACTTGAGCCAAGACGGAACAGCTCAAGACGCCAACCCAATCAACCCGATGGCCGCTGACACCCAGAGAACCACGCAACCTGTCCAAGAAGGCGATATATGCGGCCAATTATTTACAGCTCACGACACGGCATTATCCCGTGATGAATCGAGTCTTTCCCTATTAGGATGTCTCCAGCGTGACCGTCGTCATTCATATCTTAGTCCCCAGCAGCTACTGTTGATGCCCGCTCTCTTCAGCCTCCCAATCTATTTTATCCGTTTACAGCAACCCCCCTCCCCAGAACCATCAATATATAGCCACTGCTAATCTCCTCATCCGGACGACACCCCGGCCTCGACCGAAATAAACACCCGAGGAAACATCGGTCACTGCCACCGGGCAGAACCTGGCCAACTCCGAACCCGCGTATTCATTCTCACGACACGACCGGTCCCAGCGCCCGACACGAAACCAATACGAAGTACGAAGTACGGGAGCTGAGAGGATCCAGAGAGGGTCCAGAGCGGGCTGGCGACAGCTTCAAGGATCGCCAAAAGCCCTCCCATTGGCGCCCCCCACCCAGCGGACGCCTAGAACGCCAAACAGGGGGGCTCGCACTCGGGTTTGGGGGCTTGAAAGTTACGACGCTGAATGCACTCAGGGTTGCAAGCCGTCGTTGCCTCTCCGTCTCCCGCAATTCTCCCCTTGAAACGAATCAATCCAACCTCTTCCTTTCTGTACCATCCTCAGGGTCCTCAGCCCTGGTACAGAGCGCCTTTCAGCACCTCAGCCGCCGACTGGTTCCGTGGTTCCCGACTTGCCAGTGGAGCGCATCCAGCTAGGCTCGGTACCCAGCAGGACAACATTCTGCGCCAAACCGACGACGTCAACCAAGAACCTGGGATCCCAAGCTGACCAGCTCCAAATAGCTCCCCAGCTCCCCAGCTCCTCCGGCTCGGACCCGCCGGCTTGCGAGGCAACGCGATATTACGAGTCGCTTAGGTTCCCTTCCAGACCTCGCCCGCCGACCTGTGTCCTGCCGTCGACAACCGTTGCCGCATCCTCGCAGACAACCGTGGCCAGTCCACCGGTCCTGAATCTCGACGTTGCTCCTCCTCCACCTCGTCGTCCCCCGCCCAATCGTACGACGACCGACAATGGAAAACAACAACGGGCTGAACAAGCTCCTCCCCAAGTCCATATCCTCCAAGCGCCTCCGAAAGAAACAAGAGCGAGACGCGGAGGCGCCGGGCCAGGACGACGATGTCCGCGGCCGTGCGAAGGAGAGTCGCGAGACGCTGGCAAGCACACTCTCAACCAACCTAGCCGACGACGAAGAATCCAGAAGCTATGGCTCGTACGAATCCGATCCCGAACCGTGAGTTTGATTTAGATCCATCTCTGTGCATCGCCCCCGGCCCTTTTTCTGCCTCCTGTTCCCTGTGGTTGCTACTGTCGTCGTTGTGGAACCCCAACCGACTGTCAGCCTCGCATTTTCCCGTGCTGCGACGCCCAAGACACCGAGAAACACCCCCCAATCCCAGTCAGCCTCCGCCGTCATCCCACGTGTGGTGCATTTATAGGCATATCTTTCCTCGATTGCCTTTAGAGTATTCTGTGGATTGCCTTTGCCCGTTTTACAGTTTAGAGACTTGACGCCTCTTTTATTTATGCCTCTGCTCCTGTACCTGCCTGCGGCCTTCTGACAAAGACAGGGCCTCTTCTAGATCCCTACCACGAGCGGCCACCCTTTCAACCCATCCATCCCAGATCGGCTACCTAACGACATCCTCCCCCATCATCCAAGCGGGCCATTTTGTCGAAGTTACATCTCCAGCCACCGACGTCGACTCCAACAGCAGTGCGTCCAAGTCTTCGACTTTCCCATCCAAACGATCCGTCTCGATCGAGTCCAAGGAACCCAAGGAACTCCGGGTCCGTCGGAGCAAGACAAGCTTGCTACCTCCCCACAACCCCAAACGCCGGTCACCGTCGCCCGGGGGCAAGTTCAAGGGGATATTCAAGGGGAAGAAGAGCACCAACTCCAGCCCTGAACGACAGCTGCCTGACGACTCTCACCCACCGCCTAAGTCCGGCAAGCAACAGGCCACCCCAAGCGCGGACCCCAATCACCCGAAAGTCCCGCCAATAATCGAGCCACCTGCACCAGCCAAAGTTGCTCCCTCCGACAAGCGGTCGAGAGTGCAGCCAAAGGTCGACACAGCACTCCCTCCTCGAACTCCGCCGACCGGGGATAAACCTGCCCCCGTCATCGTCAACACGCCGCCGACGCCCACCGAGTTCGCCCACTCGTCGGCACAATCGTCCCCTGACCGGAAGTCATTCTGGAACGCTCCGGGGCCTGGCTCGAGCACAAATGGCACTTCCCCTTCGCGGAATATGAATGCGCACCGAAGGAGTCGATCAGGATCTGTCAACATCGGCCCCAGCAAGCTATCCAACATCGTCTCGGCTCCTCTGTCGCCAACCCCAGAGACTGGTGAGACGACCGCAAGCGCAACTCCCACAACAGGCTTCTTCTCGTCTATGATATCCGTTGCTCAGAACGCCGCAAGCACCTTCAGCAACATCCAGAACACCGGTATTGGCCTTGGTGCCAATAAAGGAAAGACCCCGACTCCCAAAACTCAAGATCTATCAGAGCCTAGTGAGACAGAGGGTCAGGCTGAATCAACACCTGTACCTACCATTACGCGAGCACACACTTCGATGGAAGGCCCCAAGGATCACAGGCAATCCGCAGTGCAAACCCTCGGTGCTGGTGAGCTAAGCCTTAGCCAACTCGGTCTCGGCGAACCTCCCAGCTCCGTTGGCACCCCGATGAGTAACAGATTCCCCGACATGGTCGATACACGGGCCCGATCCGAGTCGGCACCGGTCGACTCGCCGGTAACCCCAGTGGAACTCGTCCCTGACGATATGTTCAGTCGGCCTAGGTCGCTGTATGAAGCCAGTGGCGACCGAACCCCCCCGCCCCCTGACTTCGTCGACAAGACCAACGGAGTGCAACGAACGTCAAGTCTCCGAAGTGCCCTGAAGCAGCCTCACAGAAAGCGCGGCAGCTCTGTTACCACTGGTAATACCATAGGGGCAGCCATCGTAGCCGCTAACAGCTCGTTGGCTCATCCGAACATCAGTGTCCCCAAGCTGACCGGCTTCGCCATCGCCAGCAAAAAGAGAAATCGCGATTTCCATGATTTATTCAAGAGCGTGCCTGATGATGACTACCTTATTGAGGACTATAGCTGTGCCTTGCAGAGGGAGATTCTCGCGCATGGCCGGCTCTACGTCTCAGAAGGTCACCTATGCTTCAGCAGCAATATTTTTGGATGGACCACTACGCTTGTTATGAGCTTCGACGAGATAGTTTCGGTCGAGAAGCGTAGCACAGCGCTCGTCTTCAAAAATGGCCTGATGGTAACAACACTACATGCGAAGCACATCTTCGCCAGCTTTACAAGCCGAGATGCTACCTACGACCTGATTGTCAACATCTGGAAGCTGGGTCATCCGACGTTGAAGAGTACTCTCAATGGAGTCCGGTTAGAGGGGACTGGCGGCGATAAGACGGAGAAGGTTGATGCCGAGCCGCCGGGCGTCGAGGAGGATCACGCCGGTTCCGATTCAGATGATGAGAGCGACGGCGAAGACGATGAGGAAGAATACTACGATGAAGACATCCACGAGGAGATGCACAATGCCAGTCTCAACGAAGGCAACGGCGGCGAGGGAGAAGCGGAGAAATCTGCATCAAGAAAGGCGTCTGGAGTAGCTCCAGCAAACGGCGGCACGTCGGAGGATGCCCCAGCTACTTCAGGAACTTCTGCAGATTTCCCAGGTCCAGCCGCGCATGCGCCGACAGACTGCGGCGATTCGGCAACACATTACGACAGGGTGGTTGGGGACGACGTCATTCCCGCTCCCATCGGCAAAGTGTTCAACTTGGTGTTTGGCCAAGCTTCCGTCAATTGGATGATCCAGTGGCTGACTGGAGAACAAAAATGTTTCGATCTGCAAATGGACGAAAAGAAGGGATTGAGTCTCGAGGACCGAAGTCGCAACTACACCTACATTAAACCTCTGAATGGTGCGATTGGGCCGAAGCAGACCAAGTGTATCGTTACTGAGACACTGGACAACCTCGATTACGAAAAGGCAATCAGCCTCACCGTTTCAACACAGACCCCAGATGTGCCGAGTGGAAATGTTTTTAGCGTCAAGACAAAATACTGTTTCTCTTGGGCTGAGAACAATGCCACTCGATTACAAGTCAACTGTACTATCGAGTGGACGGGCAAGAGTTGGCTAAAGGGTAAGTGGAATATTTGGGTCAGAGGCTGTAATATGGTTGCTAATAGTCTACAGGCCCCATCGAGAAGGGTGCCAACGATGGCCAGGTACAGTTCTGCAAGGACCTATTTGCAGCACTCAAGTCTGCTGTGTCGACGCGACCCGCAGCTCCCACCCCCCTCCCCTCCGCAATGAAGGGGAGGAAGAAGGGCAAGAAGGCAAGGACGACACATGTTCCAACAGGCATCGTGGAAAACCACGCGCCAAAGCGGCCTGATAAGAAAAGCTGGGGGGCTCTTGAGCCGGTGCGAGGGCTTCTGGAACCCATCGCCGACATCATCCAACCCCTTCTCACGGGTAATGTCATGTATGGACTTCTCGTGGGCTTACTTGTTGCTACGTGGTTCGGGTTCGGGTTCACACCGAGCAGCAGCCCTCAAGACATTGGTATGTACAGGCCCGAGAGGCTCGCGGCGTATGATGAAATTTGGCGAAGAGAGGACAGCGAACTATGGGAGTGGCTGGAGGAGCGAGTCGGGATGGACCGGCTGAATGCGGATCGAGTGACTGTCCGAAAGCGGGCTGTAGAGCCAAGAACTGTAGAAGAGGGTCTTAGGGAGGCTCGGATGGATGAGAGGGAGGTGGAAGAGGCGATTAGAGTGACGGAGGAGAAGCTGCGAGTGCTGAAGGAAGTGATGGGGAAGAAGGCTAGGGCTAAGGAAGCCAACAACAAGATACCCGAGTAGGGGACATAGATTATGATTGTATATTACAGCACAACACGCTTTAGGGGATTCAGCGGACCCCGTGTTTCTTTGTCAAGACACACATGTGCCCAGTTTGTTCCTGAGAGTGAGTGTGCGAACCGTGCGGCCTCCCGAGCAGAGATCCGATTCGATGGAGTGTGGCGAGTGAGGTCATTGCCTCGTTGGAGGGGCCGGGGGATGCCGTCTGACAATGGCAGTGTGATGTGCATACACGGCTAGCACGGCCTCATCAAGGACGAAGAACCAAGGACTCTCCGGGTGGAGGGTGGAGAGCGGTGGAGGTTCCTGCATGGACAGATGCCGGGGGAGGCTGAGCGGGAATGCAGCAGCCGCCACGACACGATAGGTGTTAGTCAGGACGCAGTGCCGAGTCAAGGTGAAGATATTTTCAAGGTCCAGACTGATCCATGCTGCCTGTATTCCGCAAAGTGGGTGCCTTGGTAGTGAATCAAACGGCGAGGCACAACGTCGATGGGTGTGGGAAACTAGAAACTAGGTACCTATGGTTCGCAGTTGGGCGGACTGGTGGTGATGCTAGGCGTTCTCGGTTACCCTAGAGCTCGACGCCGAGTGACAAGAGGCAATGCGAAGAGTGCTGGGAAGCGCCCCAGCAGCTCTCTAGCCCTAAAATGATCGGCAGTGCGATGGGGGAGCTAAAACATCCAACTAGGGGTCGCACTGGCGTCATTATGGCCATGGAGTAGTGCATAGTACGACCATGATATCTTGGATTAAGTTGGGACATGGATTCGAGTGCAGGTATGGAGCACATGCGGTGCCCGGGAGGGTAGTTGTGGCAGCAGATAAATACGCACCACAGCTCGGATGGTCCTATGCGAAGCCCTTCTCAAGGCATACAAGCCACGGTGAAAAAAAAGAAGGAATGAAGATTCCCCACCTACTACGTATGTCATCCTACGATTGCTAGCCCTATATCATACCGCTTTGAGGTAGGACGCACGTCAACGGGCAAGCTGACGCCTTAAAACATAAGAAGCCGCCTCGCCCGGGGATCGGTAGCGCCCTGCCGGTACACGCCACACGCGCGGGCGTGCCACAGCCGGCGCGCTAACGGGCGACGGGTCTAAGAGGGGAGAATACGAGAGGTTGAGTTCGTCCTGTTTGGCGGGGATGGGGAAACCGGCATGATGCGCTGTAAAGGGCATTGGAGAAGCTGGCGCTACGGCGACGGCGATGGCGAAAAGGCGGCTGTAGGTAGCCAAGGCTGCCTCTCAGGGCGTGCAGGGAGGCTTTTTTGGTAGCATTCGCTGGGTGCCGGCGTGTGTGTGTCTGCACGGGACAGGGAGGCTGGCTGGGCGTTTTTTTTGGGGGCCAGGCGCAGTTTGATGGTTCTGAGCAGTCTGCCTCGTTGCCTAAGCCACTCGACGCAACCTGCGACGGCAATTGGTGCAGCGCAGAGCAGACGGGGGAGCGAACGGGGGGACGGCATGGGACTGGGGGCCGGGCATATGGCTTGTATGCATCCATCTGGGCGGAGCGGAGCTGGTGGGCGTGTGTGTCCGCTGCAATGCTGCTCCGTCATCAGGCCAGGGACGGACCAGAAGCAAGTGATGCAACACCGCGGCAGCCCGATGGGGAGAGACACGATGGAGGAAGGACAGAGAGCACGAGCAAGGAACTCGATCTATCCCTGTCGAAGCAACGTCCCTGTCGAAGCAACGCTGTGAATCCACTCGCCCGCCCTCTCGTCTTCGGCTGGCTTGGCCCCCGGAGTAAGCATCCGCCATCGCCGGAGCACACCTTGCCCCGGGCACCTGGCACCTGGCACCTGGCACCCGCCCAGTGCCTCCGTACAGTGGTAGCACTGCGCTGTCCCGGAGTCTGGAGTTGCGCAGTAGTGGGATGGAGGGCTGGAAGGCTGGAAGGCTGGAAGGCTAGGTACCTACCGCCTGCTGTAGGTAGGCGTGCAGAAACTCACCGCACACCACCACTCACTCACTCACTCACACCTCGCTCTCGCACTATCTCTCCGCACACTCCATCCAAGTCCTAGTCCCGCCTCCAAGTCCTACACCCTCTCTATTCGCCCTAGGACCTCGTCCCGAGCTGCCTCCCAACGTCGTCCCCGTCGCTTCGTCGCAATAAAACAAATCATCATGGCAACGGGTGGCGGTTCCGGATAGGCCTTGTTTTTTTTTCCTATTTCCTATTTACCATTTCCAAAGCCCTGGCCCCTCCTTGTTTGCCCCCCTCGTCGTTGTTTGCCCCCCCCCCCCGCTGTCGAGTCAGTGCCTACGACTCGTCCCGTCCTGTCCTGGTGCAGCATATTGATACTGCTTTCGATCGGATTGTCCTTGACCCCATGGAAACAAAGAAACGCCTGTCCTTGGACGGGCCCAGCTCCGGTGGAGGACCTTCAGCCCTACGGCGTCTCACTCGGAGTCCGAATCATCGCTTGAGCTTGAGGCGATCCAGCTCCTCATCTTCCAGGTCTGTTGTGTCGGTGGCATCGGACGATAGTGAAGCATCGACATCGTCGACCTCGACCTCTTGTGTGTAAGACACCCCCTTGTCCCTCCAATGTCCCATGCCCATCCATCATCCATCCCATTTCCATCCAGCATTCATCCATCTTAAAGTCTAGCCAACTCATTCGCCTTGTAGTAACCGTGACACTGCCCAAGATGAATGCGCCCTATACCGCTTCATCGTCTGGGCCGCCGTCAAGCGCAATGCCTGCGACAAGATGACCCCCGACGAGAAGAGAGAATGCCCCATGCTGCGATGCCGGAAACGCTTCCCAAACCATGAGCTCATGCTCCAGCATCTGTACATCTGCGACCAGCTCGCCGTCGGTGAGTACTGGTGCTACGACTGCGGAAAGGTCGAGCGTTTCAGCGATGCCAAGTGCAAGCGCTGCCTGGGCCACCCCTCAAGGAGGAGGAAGATCATGTCCATGGCCAAGAACTTCTTCAGCTCCCTCGGCCACAAGAACAAAACCTCCTCTCTCATGGGCCTGGACCTTGACATTGATGACGCCCCTCCCAGTTACGATTCCCTCCTGGAGGACCCTGCCCAGCCGTCGCAGTTCGAGCTGTTTTCCACCGAGATCCACGAAATCGACTCATGCGAGATATCGCTGCCTACTATCCTGGAGGATGCCGACGAGGCAGAGTCCGGTCCCGCCCCGGCACCAACACCCATAGTGTCACCGCTGCCTATCGAGCCTCTCCCCGTCCGCCCCGTGGAACTACCGTCCGCCCCGATCCTCGCTGAGTCCTTCCTTGACTGGTCCCCGCTGCCTGACACCGTGGCCCCCAGGAACCTCATCAATCAAGAAGGCATCACCAACCAGGACCGCCCCGTCCTCCAAGTCCACACCCATGACTTGGAGCAGTACAGGGCCCAGGCAAAGAAGCGGAGCAAGATGCTCGCCCCGAGCTCTTCGGTCCGGTCGAACGCCAGCACAAACAGCACCAACAGCACCAACAGCACCTCGAGCACCGCCAGCTACAACATCTCGCCCATGTCCGCCTGGTCTGGTCCCTGGGCTAAGGTTGCGGGGTTTGAGTCTACCTTGACTTCGCCTGCTGACGATCTGAACAGCCCTGGTGGCCTACTCCGCAGCAACTCCTTCCTCATCCCGGACAAGCCTTCCAAGGGCCACGGTTGGGACGACTGTGGCAATGCTGCGTCCAATTCCTTCTTCTCGGAGCTCCCGGCCGACATCCCTATGATGGACACTGTGCCCACCGCAGACACTCTTCAAAACTCCCTGGGACTTGACCAGTCCGTCTTCTCCTTTGATACCTCAGGGTCTGTCGACCTCTCCCTCAGGTCCAATCTGGTGTTGACTGATGACTCATCGATGCCGCCGCCAATGCCTCAGATTTCCATCACCGAGCCTGTTGTTGGCTACTACGCCTATGCTAACCCGAGGTCTCTTATCGGTACGGCCTGGGATGCCTTGGAGATGCACGTCGTCGAGTCCATGGACAAGTTACAGCGGATGAACAAGAACCACCTTGTCAATCAACTGCGGAGCATGTCGGCGCACTCGATAGCAATGAGCGGGCTAGAAGCGCTCGGTGATGTCCTCGACGGGTGTCGGCCTGCCACACCTGTGAAGCTGCTGTGTTTTGTCCATGTGATCTACTCCTTCTCTCTTGTTGTTCACGAGCAAGATGCGCCCAGTCGATGGACCGATCTCTTTGGTCAAGCCATGTCATACAGCACCTGGTTCTCCCGCCAAGATCGCCAACTCTACATCCAAATCGTCGATGCCCTATGGAAACCTGCGGGCATGACCGAGACAGATGTAGTCAACCTCGTCCGGGCCAAGGGCTCCTCCTCAATATCGCGCTCGTTGAGTCTAAAGGGCAAAGAACCCGAATCAGTTGCCGCAACCCAGTCTAGCAAAGATTCGCTGGTGATTGTTGCGCAGTATTTCCTCGACCGTAAGCTACAGTTGTTATATCTGGAACTGGAACCATGCTAATGGCGTTGTATAGAACTGGAGTACTCGGCGATCCACACGATAGACGAACCCGAGATTCAAACATCGGAACTGTGCATGCAACATCTTGGAGATACTACCCTAAACATGACCAGTGATTCGCCCCTGGCGATTGCGGTCAATTTCATGCTCAAGTATGGATTCCAAGAGTACACTGCCGATTCCCCAAGTTTCTTGGCCAGTTTGGACGATATTCTGCAACGTGTGGTCTCGAACTATGTGTCAACCTCGCGCGGTCTTGAACTGGAGTTGATGCACGCTGGAAAGGTGAGAGCCATCCTACTCACAAAAGTTCTAATAAGATGTGACTAACCGGGTGAAATAGATGTGTTTGCCCTCAGATGTCTACTTTGACAGTTTTATTTCATGTGTTCGAATGCACATGGATTCGCTATACGCACAGAACATACCGAATATTTCCCAAAGGACCATCTACTACCGCCATGGTGTCAAACTTATCGAGGCAATCATTGGTGCATCTCAAGTACTACAAGATCAATCAGTGGATGTGACAAGAACACCGGCACTAGATTCACTTGATGATGTTATCGAAGCTATGACTCCTCACAACATCGATGGCTTTGACTTTAACCTAGTTGGGAGGTTCGATGTTGACCCGCAGATCGGCTTCTCAGGTGCGATGACCATTGACCCTGGCGCATTGGGCAACCCTCAGCTGCTTCCGACTCCCGAAGGGACTGTGTCGGTGGGCGGCCCATCAACGGTGGCCACGTCTCCGCCATCACCAGTCCCAGCCTCGGCAGCGACCAAGACAGAGTCCAACAGCTGCTGTGAGCTATGTGGTTACCGGCCAAAGGGTGATCCTCGATGGTTTGGAGGTAGCATGGCAAAGCATAAGAAGCTACAGCACGCCACGACCCCGCCCAAAATCTACCGTTGCCTGTACCCCGGATGCACGAGCCAGTACAAGAACCGGCCGGATAACCTACGACAGCATCAAATAGAGAAGAAGCATTTCACGGACGGTCAGGAGGGCAGTCAACGGCCGAGCAAGCGGAAGAAGGTTGATTGACGACTTAGACAAGTAGACCGACGAAGAGACCGGTTTACTTTGGGTGATGGTGTTGGAAACGACGATCATTGAGGAGAGATCGAGGCGTTTTTTTTCCTTCTTTGAGAGGTGCTGATTTATTATGCACTTCGGGAGGTTTTCGGGAGGTTCTCGGGAGTTTTATTTGCTTTTTGGTCATACACGGAGGCGAACAAGGCGTTTTGGATGTCACAAGGCTTTTGGATTGCCTGTTTTGGAAAGATACCACGGAGAATAATACCATGGATGGATGATGATTAACATGTGCGATGGAAGCTGGTTGGGTGGAATGGGATCAACAGAGTCATGGTTTGCAACGGAGCGAACTCTCCCAAGAGACCGGTATTCGGATTTGGATGAGGAACGCGGTGACGGAGGCAGACACGGGAACTGATAGGACGAATACATACCTGCCTGAATCCGATCTGGGATAATAAAACGGGAGAAAGAGAAGGGAGAGAGGAGAGGGGAGACACGGCCAGTCAGCAGACTGTACGATGTTCCATGACAGACTAGGTACTATGAACACCTGCTATAGAGAACGAATACGGACGACACGTCTCTTATTAGCGACCACTCGCCCTGCTGGCGTGGCTATTAATAAACAGCCTAGTGAGAATGGTATGAGGATCATCGGCTTTTGCTTTGGCATCTGGAGGGGGCTATAAAGGCTTTAAGACCAGACGGAGCTCCATGGCCCAACCCCAGCGGCCGTGAAACAATGCAATTTGGTGCTTGACGGCGTGGTTGTCGCGCATGGGGTTTATTGGAAACAACCCAAGTGATGCAGGGCGATGACGCAGAGTTGGAGAGCGGGAGCGGTGACCCCAGTGGTGGCCGTGTGCCGGTGGTGGCTGGATCGTGGCTCGGTACGGAAATGACGAGGCGACGACGCGTCCAAGCCTCGCTTGGCCGTGCAGGCAGGTGGTAGGTACGGAGTGACTTGCTTCTGCAGGGCGAGTGAATCTGTCCACCGAGCCTTCCGTTCGCTGTCAAGATTTGGATCGGCGCGGAGCGACCCGGCGTCCTGGACACCGACCAGCCGTCAAAGGTGCCTCTCTTGGCGACTCAAACAGCCCGTAAGTTGAGTGTAAACAAATTGTTGCCAGCCTATCTAGGTAGGTTTATGGGGCTATCAATGTCCCTTTGTCCCGTTGTCTCTGTGCCCAAGCCCGACCTGCCCGTTCGAGGGATGGAGACGCCGACGAGGGAGGTCTGGAACGGAAAGCCCGGTTCAGATCAGTCTGGCGCGGCGGCGGTACAGCGCCCAGCTGGTCCGGCCGGCGGTGGTGGTCACGTAATCAAGACTTGTGTCCGGAACAGGCGAGCCAGGGAGCAAGCGTCACGTGGCGAGAGGAGAGAGGGAGAAGTGCACAAAAAATCAAATCGAACCCGGATTAAAAAAACAACAACAATAAAGTTTTGGCACGTCGAGTGTGGTGCTTAATCATCCATTCAATTGACGAGATCTGGTCCCGACTCTCAACCCTAGGATCGCTTCACCGGTCGTCCAGCGCCCACCTGCGGAGGATCGTCAATAAATCTGGCCTTGGCGTCAAACAAATCCAAGACCAGGACCCAGTCCCCGGCTCCCAACTGCAGTGAACTGCACCGCCAGCTGAGACCTTTGCCTTGTGTGTCTGATTGTGTGTGGCAGGGGCGGGCTTGCCTTTGGCTCGCTTTTTGGCTCGCTGACGCCTAACGCCACGCCGGAAAATCAAGCAAAAACTCCCTCCCCCCCCACACACAGACTCCAGACTCCTACACAGACACACACCTTGCACTTGCACCTGCACCGCACCTGCCCGCCCGTCCAGTCCTGCCACTCCCTCTTTTTCCACTCTTCCACTCCCTCCTTCCCTCCCTCCTCCCTCCCCCCTTGGCTCCTTCCCCCCATCCCCCCGTTCCCCATCGCCCACCCGGCCGCCGCCGCCCCCCTACCTACCCCCCCCCCCGAATTTTGCATACCCGGGCCAGGCCACTCTTGCCTTGCCTTGCCTTGCCTTGCCTTGCCTTGCCCGCTCCCTCCCTCCCTCTATTTTTATTCACGCCTCTGCTGAGCGCGCTCCTCCACGCCTCCTCCCAGTCCAGCCCATTTATCGACACACCCAAGATCCTGGGTCCAGGGTTTGCTTGCTCTCACGCAAAGTGACGCTCCGCACCGCATCGTTCCGTCGACTATTCAACGTCGACGTCGACACTTGGTTCCCGTCGTCGTCGTCGTCTCTCGCCGTCACGCCTCACGGCCTTGTCAGACCCAGCCAGGCCGTCGCTCGGCTGTGGGAGCCCCCTCGAGTCACCTCGCTCCCCTCCTCTCTAGTCACGTCACGTCACGTCACGTCCTCCACTACGTTCGCTCCTCCCGCCGTCCAGGACGACGACATCGACATCGCCATCTAGGTCCCTCTCCACGCTCTCCACAACCTCTCTCTCCTGCAACCCGGCTACTCCGCGGGGCCCTGACGAGACGCCATGTCGAGTCTACGGCCGGGATCGAACGCCCACGCTGGCCTCGCCTTCCCCCAGGGCAACCTCCGACGCAACGCCTATCCTCCTCCTCATCCCAACCAAACCAACAAGCAATCGCCGGCACCTCACTCCGCCTCGCCGTACCAGAACCAGGCCTACACGCCTCAGCAGCCACCAGCCGGCTCATACCCTCAGCATCTCTTCCAGAACCCGACGCCTGTCAACGGCAATGTCCCCAATGGCACTTCGCGTTCCTCCAACTCGCACATGCCCAGCGCCATCCCGAGTCCCCTCGACGTCTCGGGTTCGCGCGCAGTCCCGCCCCCGCGTGCTCAGATGATGTTCCCCACCCTCGGTCAGGTTGTCCCTAACCAGCTGCACCATCATCAGCAGCAACAGATGCATCATCAGCACTTGAACCATCCGTCACACCCGCTGAACCAACCTCGGCAATCGCACCACCAGCACCATGCTCAGCAGTCTCCCCAGCAGAGACCACAGTCTCAACAGGCTCAGCCTACCCCTAAGCTGCAGCAAGTTCAGGTTAAGCCTCAGGCCCCGTCTCCACCCCAACCTCAACAGCAGCAGCCAGCCCAGGTGCAGACTCAATCTCAGCAACAGCAACTCCAGCAGCAGCTTCAGCAGCAGCAGCAGCAGCAGCAACTTCAGCAGCAGCAGCAACAGCAGCAGCAACAACTACAGCAGCAGCAGCAACAACAATTGCAACAACAGCAACAACAGCAGCAGCAGCAGCATCAACAGCAGCAGCAGCAGCAAGCGGCACAACAGGCACAGCAACAAGCGGCGCAGCAGGAGCAGCAACAGCTTCAGCATCAGCAGGAGCAACAAAGACAACAACAGCAGGAGCAACAAAGACAACAGCAAGCCCAGCAGGCCCAGCAAGCCCAGCAAGCCCAGCAACAGCCGCGAGCACCGAAGCAAGCAAAGCAGCAGCAAGCCCAGCAACAACAACAACAGTTGCCTGCGGAGCCCATTCAGCAGCAGCAGCCCCCACCGCAGCAAAAGCAAGAAGCGCATGGAGATGGCATGGACATTGATAGCCATCACGAAGGAGAAGATGACGCTGGCGGGATGGATTCGAAACTTCTTAACGATCCTTCTTACATCCCGCAACAGCCAATGGGTGAGATGATGTCACCTCCACCTCAGGGTGGCAGCTATCCGACCCTGGAAGCTGTCCAGAAGGCTGTGCTTCGTTATTGCACGTCGGTTGGCTACGCGATTGTCATTGGCCGATCGAAGAAGACGGTCCCTGGACTGAAGAAGGTTTTGTTTGTCTGTGATCGAGCTGGCAAACCCCCAAGCCGAGTGAGTCCCGAGTGCCGCAAACGTAAGACTTCGTCCCGCAAGTGTGACTGTCCGTTTGGCTTCTTTGCCATCGAGCAGCGAACGCAGTGGACCATCCGCTACCGCCCAGATGATTCTCATTTGCAACACAACCATGGACCTAGCGAAAGCCCATCGCACCACCCGGCAGCTAGAAAGCTTGATAGTAAGATGGTTGCTGCTGTGAAGCAGCTCAAGGAGAATGGTAAGTTCAACACCAATTATTTGGTGTCCTATAACGCTAACAGCTGCTTACTAGGCGCAGGTGTCTCTGAAACTCTACAGATTCTGCAAACAGAAAACCCTGACTGCCACCTGCTCCCTAGGGACATCTACAATGCTCGCGCCGCCATTAACCGCAACCCACAGAAGGTTGCTACCGGACTGGCAGAAAACAGACCGGCCATATACAGTAAACCTCATCAATCTGCGGAGGATCGCATCCGTGCGGACCTCAGGCGCGAACTCGCAAAAGCCCGAGAGGACCTGAAGAAGGTTGAGGAGGACAAACAGAAAGAGATCGACACATTGAAAGCCAAACTGGAAGAAAAGGAGGGCATCATTCAAAAATTTGAGGAGTTTATCGACATCTGTAACGAAAGAGTCATGTTTCAACGGCAGAGACTGGCGGCCAACGGGGCGGCCGGAGGCAACCCAGCCTAGAGTCTCGATCTGGCGCATTGGTCGGTCTTGTTGGTCTGCATGGCTAGGGACGCGGGGCGGGCTGGTTTGACAAACGGGTTACATGGGCGTTGGTTACTGGGGATTATTGTCGTTCTTTGTGTGTGGTTTTTGTCCGGCGGTGAAAGATTGGGAGTATTCCGGTCTGAACTACCTCGGGCAAGTGGGCGGCATGTTTGTGTAGGTATGGAATTAGGCTTTATGACTCTCTTGTTTCGGGCTTCAGGGCGTGTAGACGTTGAATTGGTCCGTAGACGCCGGGAGCTACTGGACGACAATGTACACTTGCTTGCCTGTTAACTAGGTATGATGTGAATGGACCATGTGTGATGCTTGCTTCCTGAGACATGATGTCGGATTGATCCCGGTACCAGATTGAGGTACATGATACCTACCTATCTTAGACAGCCTGCATGATATAACGCTGGACACTGTGCGGTACCTTTTAGTTCGAGGAGGCTACGCGTCCCGCATCATGGCGTCTTGATGGTGAACTAAGATTCAAGGTGGAGGAACAGACCGCTTGTGGAGATCGGCGGGAGGTACGGGCTATATTTTGACGGGATATAGGTAATTTGTACTGGGGGAGGGGGGGGGAGCTGCTGTACGTACATTGTACAGACGTGCGGAGAAGGGATGTGTAGGTAGTTACCAGCACCTCCGTGCCTGATTTTGGTGTGCCATTTGGCTTCTAGACGTCAGCTATCGTGACATGGGGGTGCGATTTGATGAACGTGTCTACGCCACCAAACGCTTCGGAACACACAGTGCACTGCAGAATCTTGGTCCAATACCGGTATCCGAAATGCCAGGCTGCGGAGGGTTCATTTCCATGGACCCCTGCAACCAAACCGCCAGCATGGCAGGTCCCACATTGGGGAGCCCCTGTGGGCGGCCGGGGCCAATCATGGGCGAGGCACAATTACGCTCAGATTGGCTCTGGCGGGCTCCCGGCGGGTTGCTACTGGGCGCTTTCCCCCACCGGGCTACCTTCAACGAGTTTCAGTGGAGGGTTAGTGAAGATTACAGTGGGCTGCCGTACCTGTCCCGGGTGTCCAGCCCACGGGTGTCCAGCTGTAGGGTCCCTCCCGCAGGCTTCCTCAGTGTGCGCCTCCTGAGTCTTGACACATGCCGTCCTGTCGCGACAGGGGTCTCCTTTGGTTTGGTCGCGTAAACCCGGCAGACGACGATATCCAAAGTCAACACTCCTTGTTGGATATCCTCATCTCTTACTCCTTCACTGCGTATTAACCTCCCGATACCATCACACGACCTCTCGAAATCATCGACACCCACGCTCCTTTCACTGGACCTCACCGCGCCCCGCGCCGCGCTTGTTTACTATTCGACCTCCCACCAGCTCCTTTGTCCCTGAGCTCTCCCCCTCCACTGCCAACTGCCTCCCAACCTTCGTTCCGTCCCACCTCGAGCCGACGATCTGGAGATGACTGAGCGCCGCTGAGCTACTCCTCACCTCTTTCTCTTCCGCCGCTGCATTCTCCGACCGTCATGGAGGTCACTACGGCTGCGGCGCCAGGCACTGCTGCCAACGGCGTTGCTGCGGCAGCGCCGTTCCCGACCATCGAGCCCGAACGCGTGGTTGAGCACTTGGCCGCCGTCTGTGGCATCGCTCTCGGCGCTACACGAGACGAGCTGGAGCAAGTCGGCAGTCTGCTACACAAGGGCCGCTATGCAGACACCATTTCGCGCTGTACTCGGTTTGCGGGCGATGCCCAGAATGTCCTTTACATCCAGAAAGACCTCGCAAACCTGACGGTAGAATCTGGGGCCGACACCACTGGTGCGTCATCCCCTCCGTCCCTGCGGCCGTCAGACGGCCTTGCTGATGTTTGAATAGTCCCAACTGCCTACAACTACACCCTCTCGAACGAGATCTCTTCGTCGTCCACGACGGTGGCCTCGCTCGTTCTTCTAAAGCCTCCCCAAGCCATCGATCCGACCCGATCCCTTACTTCTCAGATATTCATTACTAATTTGCCTGGCCCGGCCTCCCTCGCTGCCGTGGGAGAGCAAGGCACGGCCCTTTCACCTTTCGAGGTTCTTCATTCTCATGTCCACCATGCCTTGGTGCCGTACTTCGACGCCAACACCAAGAGCTTGCAGCTAGCCAACGGATCGAGGGGACGAGCTGATGTCGACGCCAAGACAGGCATCCCCGTAACAAAGAAGCGACTCAACGATCTGGAGCTGAGTCTGCTTCATCTTCAGCAAAATGTCGATATCCCCGAGATTTCGCTGACCTTCCACGCCGCAATCCAGGACGTCCTCGACTTGGCCGAGGCTGGGCACACACGACCGTCCATCGATGGGATCCCGAAAGACGTTGTCCAAGACAGTAAATTCCTCAACAAGCTGCAAGCGAATGTGAATACATGGATCAAGTCGATTCAGGGTATCACCAAGTTGACCAAGGATCCTTCCTCGAATGCGAACCAGGAGTTCAGCACGGCTAGCCAGGAAGTTAATTTCTGGCTGTCGATGGAGTCAGCGCTGGAGGGTATTGAGGTCCAGCTGAGGAGTGAAGGCGTCCTACTCACCCTCGAGGTTCTCAAGAATGCCAAGCGTTTCCAAGCCACCGTGAGCTTCACGGCCGATACGGGCTTGAAGGAAGCCATGGACAAGGTGCAGAAGTACAACCAGCTCATGAAAGACTTCCCCCTGGATGAGTTGCTGTCTGCTACGTCTCTGTCCAAGGCTCAGGAGGCTATCGCGCAGATTTTCGGGCATCTGAACAAGAAGCTGAGGATATGTCCCTACCCGATTCGAAGAGCCCTACCTCTGGTCGAGGCCATCTCGGCCGACCTGGACGACGTGCTTCATCGCCTCCTTCCTGGCACCGAGCTGGTGAACCTTGATTACCAGCAGTTCCAGAGTATCATGGGAACTTGTAACGACATCTTCCGGACCTGGGAGGAGAACGTCAAGGAGTTCACCAATGTGGCTCGTGAGGTGACCCGCCGCCGAAACGAGAAATTTATCCCCATCAAGATCAACAAGAAGCACTCTGAACTTGAGTCGAGGATTAAGTACGTCAGCACTTTCCGCGACAACCACGAGCAGCTCCAGCGCACCATCGTCAACGTGCTGGGCCCCCAGGCCACCGTTCTCGGTGTCACCGAGACGACTGGCACCAACGGCATTACCATGGATGAGATGGGCGACGTCGATGCTGTCGAGGAAGTGAAGCAGGCTTGGGATGCTCTTCTGAATGTCGACTTGTTGGATGTCACCGATCAGGGCAAGGAACGCTGGGTCCGAGCAGAGAACCTGTACAATGAGCGAACAACGAGAGTTGAGAACTCCATCATCGCGAGACTTCGAGATCGACTTGCTACAGCCAAGACTGCAAACGAAATGTTCCGAGTCTTCTCCAAGTTCAACGCGCTTTTTGTGCGACCCAAGATTCGTGGCGCCATCCAGGAGTACCAGAACCAGCTGATGGCCCATGTTAAGCGGGCTATTAACGGACTGCACGAGCGATTCAAACAGCAATATGGCCATTCAGAGACCCACGCTATGGCTCAGTTGCGCGATCTCCCCCCTGTGTCCGGTGCTATCATCTGGGCTCGTCAAATCGAGTTCCAGCTAGAGGGCTACATGAGGAAGGTTGAGGCTGTGCTCGGCCCTGACTGGACTCTGCACGCCGAAGGCCACAAGCTTCAGGAGGAGAGTGAACTGTTCAAGCAGAAGCTCGACACTGCTCGAATTTACGAGGCTTGGCTCGCTGACGTTAACCGACGCAAGATCTCCATCTCCGGCCAGCTTTTCGACATCATGCGTGTCCGATCTGCTGGTGGTATCCTTGAACTGGCTGTCAACTTTGATTCTCAGATCATCACCCTGTTCAAGGAAACACGTAACTTGACCTGGCAATCATACTCCGTTCCTCATGCTGTTACGACCGTGTCGAAGGATGCGAAGCGAGTCTATCCATATGCCGTTAGCCTCATGGAGAGCGTCAGGACTCTGTCTCAGACTCTGCGACAAATATCTGTCATGGGAGATGAATCTATCCTTCTCAACGGACACCGCAACGATGTCTACAAGATGATCAGTGAAGGTGTCCCTCTCCGATGGGAATCATTCATCAACTCTCACGAGCTCTTCTACTCTGACCCAAGGCAAAATCGGCCACTCCTCCCTGGCGGACCCGACTTTGGCCTTGCCAAGAACACCGAGAGCAAACATGGCATGTTTATTCGAGGCTTCGCCGCGGCTGTGTCTGTGCTCCAGAGCAAGGTTGTTGCATTGAACTTCATCCACGCAACTGTCGAGCAGGCGCTCAAGGAGCTCAATACCTGTGCTTATGATGAGACAGCCTTCCAGTCCCGTCTGGATACGATCCAGTCTGCTGTTGATCAGCTGAACCTGGAGCAATATGTAAACCTTGACTTTTGGGTGCGAGGCTTGAACGCCCAGGTTCAATCGATCCTTCTCACCCGTCTCCAGAGCGCTGTCCTTTCCTGGATTTCGGCATTTGAGGATGAGTCGATTGAAGATGAGAGACGCAAGCAGAACAACCCAGAGGAAGGAAAACCTGAAGGCCCGACCATGAAACGCCTCGTACTGGAACTCGCCATGCGCAACCAAGTCATCTACCTCGATCCTCCGCTGGAATACGCACGAGCTGGTTGGTTCCTCCACCTGCACGAGTGGCTTGGAATCGTCTGCAACCTCCGCAAGATCAAGGCCACTCGCTACCAGATGAGCCTCATTACCACCGTCAACGACGAGCCCCGCTTCACCGACCTGCCCTCGGAGTGTGCTGATCTGCTCCAGCGTGTGTACGTATCTGTGGAGAATAAGCTCCAGGAGATTGGTGCATACGTCGATAAATGGCTTCAATTCCAGTCTCTCTGGGACCTTCAGTCTGAGCAAGTCTATGATGCTCTTGGTGAACAACTTCCTCGATGGTTGCAGCTTCTCCAAGAGATTCGCAAGACCCGATCTACCTTTGACACGCAGGAAGTCAGTCGCGCGTTTGGACATCTTACCATTGACTATGACCAGGTTCAGACCAAGGTCAACGCTAAGTATGATCAGTGGCAGCACGAGATTCTCATGAAGTTTGCTAGCCGTCTCAGCAATCGCATGCGAGATGTCAACGCGGATATTGAGAAGGCCCGAAAGGATCTCGAGAGCCAGAGCTCGGATGCGTCGTCAACTGCCCAAGCCGTCCAGTTTATTACTGTCGTCCAGAGCTGCAAGCGCAACGTCAAGACGTGGGCCCCTGAAATCGACATGTTCCGCCAAGGACAGTCGACGCTCATCAGACAACGTTACCAGTTCCCTAACGACTGGTTGCATATCGAACAGATCGACAGTCAGTGGGAAGCACTCAAGGAGATCTTGGAAAAGAAGTCCAGGATCGTCCAGGACCAGACTGATGCGCTGCGAGCCAAAATCTTTACAGAGGATAAGCTCGTAAACGAGAGAATTGCCGAGATTGCTGCTCAGTGGAACGAGGAGAAGCCAGTTTCTGGAACGATCCAGCCAGATGTTGCTTCGGCTACCCTCAGCTCGTTCGAGCAACGCATTTCTAAGCTTCAACACGACTCCCAGATGGTTTTGAAGGCGAAGGAGGCACTTGATATCCCAGTCACCTCCGACAACTCTCTTGAGGCCACCCTTGAGGAAATCCGCGACTTTCAATCTGTCTGGTCGAACCTCGCCACCATCTGGGCGAGTCTCAACGAGACCCGCGATATTTTGTGGACTGCTGTGCAGCCACGCAAAATTCGATCCAAGGTGGACGATCTCATCAAGAGCACCAAGGAGATGCCCAGCAGGATGCGACAATATGCTGCCTTTGAGCACGTCCAGGGCATTCTGCGTGGCTTCCTCAAGGTCAATCCCATTCTTTCCGACCTCAAGTCTGATGCCATTCGTGAACGACATTGGCAAAAGATCTACAAGCAGATCAAGCCGCAGAAGCGCTTCTCTCCCAGCTCAATGACTCTTGGTGACGTTTGGGATCTTAACTTGGTAGCAACCGAAGTCATCGTCAAGGACATCATCGCCCAGGCTCAAGGCGAGATGGCTCTGGAGGAGTTCCTTAAGCAGGTTCGCGAGACCTGGCAGAACTATGCACTGGAGATGGTAGGATACCAGAATAAGTGCCGACTTATTCGTGGTTGGGATGACCTCTTTGCCAAGTGCAGCGAGAACTTGAACTCTTTGCAGGCCATGAAGCATTCGCCCTACTACAAGGAGTTTGAGGAAGAAGCTGTTTCCTGGGAAGACAAGCTCAATCGCGTGCACGTCTTGTTCGATGTGTGGATTGATGTGCAACGCCAGTGGGTGTACCTGGAAGGCGTCTTCACTGGTAACCTGGACATCAAGCATCTTCTCCCCATCGAGTCGGGACGTTTCCAGAACATCAACAGCGAGTTCCTTGCCGTCATGAAGAAGGCCAACAAGACACCCTATGTCCTTGATGTCCTGAATATTCCGAATGTGCAAAAGTCTCTCGAGCGACTGGCGGAGATGCTCAACAAGATCCAGAAAGCTCTTGGTGAATACCTGGAGAAGGAGCGAGTGTCGTTCCCCCGATTCTACTTCGTCGGTGACGAAGACTTGTTGGAGATGATTGGTAACAGTAACGACACGCTGCGTATTGCCAAGCACTTCAAGAAGATGTTCGCCGGCTTGTCGGGTCTCATTATGGACGACGAGACTGTTATCTCTGGCTTCACATCGAAGGAGGGCGAGGCTGTTCGGTTGAAGAAAGAGATTTCTTTGGCAAAGACCCCGAGAATCAATGACTGGTTGGCGCTTTTGGAGGGTGGAATGAAGGCGACCCTCGCCGAGTTGTTGGCAGAGGCCGTCGAGCAGTACACGCCTATATTTGAATCGGAGAACATTGACCGTGCTGCCCTGAACCAATTTATGGAGGCCTTCCCTAGCCAGATTGTCGTTCTTGCTACCCAGGTTGCTTGGACTACGGCCGTCGAAAATTCGCTGGCGGCTGGCGGCAAGACATTGAAGGCACTGTTTGAACTCGAAGTGGAAGTTCTCCGCGTCCTTGCTGATACCGTTTTGGGAGACCTCGAAATCATCCAGCGAAAGAAGTGCGAACAGTTGATTACCGAATGTGTCCACCAGCGCGATACAATCGAGAATCTCTTCAACGCCAACGCCGAGTCTCCCAGTCACTATCTCTGGCAGCTGCAGATGCGCTATGTAAACAACCCCGAAGGGGACTTTATTGACCGTCTCCACATCAAGATGGCCAATGCGAAGCTCAACTATGGCTTTGAATACTTGGGCGTTCCGGATCGACTTGTCCGCACTCCCCTTACAGACCGATGCTTCCTCACTCTCACTCAAGCCTTGTGCCAACGCCTCGGTGGTTCGCCCTACGGACCTGCCGGTACAGGTAAAACGGAATCAGTCAAAGCCCTTGGTCTGCAGCTGGGTAGATTCACCCTTGTCTTCTGCTGTGACGACACTTTCGATTTCCAGGCCATGGGCCGAATCTTCCTGGGTATCTGCCAAGTGGGTGCTTGGGGTTGTTTCGATGAGTTCAATCGTCTGGAGGAGCGTATCCTGTCTGCTGTCTCGCAACAAATCCAGAATATCCAGCTGGGTCTTAAGCAAGGTGTAGAGGATGACCAGGCCCAGATCGAGCTGGTCGGTCGCCAGCTCCATGTCAACGAGAACACTGGTATCTTCATCACCATGAACCCTGGATATGCAGGCCGTTCCAACCTGCCCGACAACTTGAAGAAGCTTTTCCGCAGTGTCGCCATGTCGAAGCCCGACAAGGAACTCATTGCCGAAGTCATGCTGTACTCCCAGGGTTTCAACCAAGCCAAACAACTCTCAAAGCAGACAGTACCCTTCTTCGATCAATGTTCTGCCAAGCTTTCCAAACAGGCTCACTATGACTTCGGTTTGCGTGCACTGAAGAGTGTCCTGGTCAGCTCTGGTGGCCTGAAGCGTGCTCGCCTTGGCCAAGGCACTCTTGGCGTCGAAGAAGTTGTCGAGCCCGAGATTATCGTGCAGAGCATTCGCGAAACCATTGCACCGAAGTTGATCAAGTCCGATGTCGATATCATGACATCCATTGAGGGTGACTGCTTCCCGGGCGTGGACTACGTCCCTGCTAACCTTGAGGCTCTGGAAGATGCAATTCGCTTCCTCGCTGCTGAGCGCCACCTTGTCGTCAATGAGCTCTGGATGACCAAGGTTCTCCAGCTGTACCAAATCCAGAACATTCACCATGGTGTCATGATGGTTGGTAACTCTGGTTCCGGAAAGTCTGTCGCCTGGAGGCTCCTGCTCGATGCCCTTCAAAAGGTTGAAGGCGTTGAAGGCGTGTCTCACGTCATTGATTCAAAGGTCATGTCGAAGGAAGCCTTGTACGGAAACCTCGACTCAACCACTCGCGAATGGACGGATGGTTTGTTCACGAGCATCCTGCGAAAGATTGTCGATAACCTGCGTGGCGAGGATTCCAAACGACACTGGATCGTCTTCGACGGTGATGTGGATCCCGAGTGGGTTGAGAACTTGAACAGTGTGCTTGACGACAACAAGCTACTTACCCTGCCCAATGGTGAGCGTCTCAACTTGCCTTCAAATGTTCGAATCATGTTCGAAGTTGAGACACTTAAATACGCTACCCTTGCCACTGTCAGTCGATGCGGTATGGTCTGGTTCAGCGAGGACACTGTCTCCCCTACCATGATGGTAACCAACTACCTCGAGACTCTTCGCAGCGTTCCTTTCGAAGACTTGGATGAGGATAGTGTCACGACAGGACACAACCCCGCTAAGACGTTGGCGGTCCAAGGACAGTTTGCCGATCTGCTTCAAGTGTACCTGAGTGAGGAAGACTTCATGCTCCAAGCGTTGAAGCGGGCCGAAGGCTACAACCACATCATGGACTTCACTGTTGCTCGTGTGCTCGGCACCCTGTTCTCGCTGCTGAACAAGGCCGTGAGAGATGTTATCGAGTACAACGTCCAACACTCTGATTTCCTTCTCGACCCAGAGCAGATTGAAGCCTTTGCCTCGAAGAAGCTTCTGTTGGCGCTTGTTTGGGCCCTCACTGGTGACTGCCCCCTCAACGATCGAAAGTCATTCGGCGATGATATCTGTGCCTTTGCCAACTTTGGTTCCCCGCCGCTTGATGGCACGAGCTCTCTGATTGACTTCGATGTTACCCTGCCCAAGGCCGAATGGTCCCCGTGGCAGAGCCAGGTTCCCACTGTGGAGGTCAACACCCACTCCATTACTCAAACTGATGTCGTCATCCCTACACTCGATACGGTTCGCCACGAGGATGTGCTCTACTCTTGGCTTGCGGAGCACAAGCCTCTGCTGCTTTGCGGTCCCCCTGGTTCGGGTAAAACAATGACTCTCTTCAGCGCACTGCGCAAGCTGCCCAACATGGAGGTTGTCGGCCTTAACTTCTCCAGCGCGACTACCCCCGATCTCCTCATCAAGACCTTTGAGCAGTACTGCGAGTACAAGAAGACTCTCAATGGCGTTATGCTCTCACCGACCCAGATTGGCCGATGGCTGGTTATCTTCTGTGACGAAATCAACTTGCCCGCCCCTGACAAGTATGGAACCCAGCGAGCCATCTCCTTCTTGCGCCAACTTGTCGAGCACAATGGTTTCTGGCGAACCTCCGATAAGTCTTGGGTTACACTCGACCGGATCCAATTCGTCGGCGCCTGTAACCCTCCCACCGACGCTGGTCGTACCCCTATGGGTGCCCGATTCCTCCGACACGCTCCCCTGATCATGGTTGATTACCCCGGTGAGCTGTCTCTGAACCAGATCTACGGCACTTTCAATACGGCGGTCCTCAAGATCATCCCATCCCTTCGTGGATATGCAGAGCCTCTTACACACGCTATGGTTCGCTTCTATCTCGAGTCTCAAAAGAGATTCACGCCCAAGATCCAACCCCATTACGTATACAGTCCTCGTGAGTTGACTCGTTGGGCCCGTGGTGTGTACGAAGCCATTCGACCGCTGGAGACCTTGTCCATTGAGGGTCTCATTCGTATCTGGGCCCACGAGGCTCTCCGCCTGTTCCAGGATCGTTTGGTCGCGGAGGATGAGCGCAAGTGGACTGACGATATGGTACGGAAAATCGCCCTTGAGCACTTCCCTACGATTGACGAAGAAAAGGCCCTTGGTGGCCCCATCCTCTTCTCCAACTGGTTGTCCAAGAACTATGTCCCCGTTCATCGCGAGCAGCTGAGAGACTTTGTCAAGGCCAGATTGAAGACTTTCTGCGAGGAAGAGGTCGATGTCCCTTTGATCCTCTTTAACGATGTCTTGGAGCATGTATTGCGCATTGACCGTGTCTTCCGACAACCCCAAGGACACTTGATTCTCATTGGTGTCAGTGGCAGTGGCAAGACTACGCTTTCCCGCTTCGTGGCGTGGATGAATGGTCTTAAGGTCTTCCAGATCAAAGTCCACGGTAGGTACTCTGCCGAGGACTTTGACGACGATCTTCGAGATGTCCTCCGTCGCTGTGGTTGTAAGGGTGAGAAGATTTGCTTCATCATGGACGAGTCCAACGTTCTGGACTCGGGTTTCCTGGAGAGAATGAACACACTCCTGGCCAACGCCGAAGTCCCTGGTCTGTTCGAGGGAGATGAGCACGCAGCCCTCATGACAGCTTGCAAGGAAGGTGCTCAGCGACAGAACCTCCACCTAGACTCGCCCGATGAGTTGTACAAGTGGTTTACCCAGCAGATCGTCAAGAACCTACACGTCGTCTTTACGATGAACCCGCCAGAGGATGGCCTCTCGTCTAAGGCAGCCACCAGTCCCGCCTTGTTCAATCGATGTGTGCTTAACTGGTTCGGAGACTGGTCTGACCAGGCGCTCTTCCAGGTCGGCCATGAACTGACCCAGAAGATCGACTTGGATCGGCCGAACTTCAATTCTCCTGACACTATCCCGGTTGCCTACCGCGGTCTTCAATTGCCGCCCTCTCACCGAGAAACAGTTGTCAACTCGATGGTGTACATCCACTACTCACTTCAGCGTTACAACGAGAAGCTGCTGAAGCAGCAAGGCAAGGTGACCTTCCTTACTCCTCGACACTTCCTCGACTTTGTTGCGCAGTTTGTCACTCTGTACAACGAGAAGCGTGAAGATCTGGAGGAGCAGCAGCGCCATCTAAATGTCGGTCTTGAGAAGCTCAGGGATACCGTCGACAAAGTGCGAGATCTCCGGGTGAGTCTCGCTGAAAAGAAGACGCAGCTGGAGCAGAAGGATGCGGAGGCGAACGAAAAGTTGCAGCGCATGGTCGCCGACCAGCGCGAGGCAGAACAGAGGAAGAGTACGTCGCTAGAAATCCAGGCGGCGTTGGAGAAGCAAGAGTTTGAGGTTGCTACACGAAAGAAGGTTGTTTTGGAGGATCTCGCAAAGGCAGAGCCTGCAGTCGAGGAGGCCAGGTCCAGTGTCAGCAACATCAAGCGTCAACATTTGACTGAGATCAGGTCTATGGGTAATCCGCCCCAGGGTGTCCGCCTAGCCCTCGACGCCGTCTGCGCATTGCTCAGCCATAAGATCAACGACTGGAAGGCTATACAAGCCGTGGTGCGAAAGGATGACTTCATTGCCAGTATCCTCGGATTCGACAACGAGAAGCAAATGACGAAGTCCCTCAGGAACAAGATGCGCAATGAGTTCTTGTCCAACCCCGAGTTCACGTTCGAGAAGGTCAACCGTGCCTCCAGGGCCTGTGGTCCCTTGGTCCAGTGGGTTACTGCCCAGGTTAACTACTCCGATATCCTGGATCGTGTTGGTCCCCTCAAGATCGAAGTTACCCAGCTTGAAGAGGATGCGCTAGAGACCAAGGCCAACGCGAAGGCTGTGGAGAACAACATCATCGAGCTCGAGACCAGCATTAACACGTACAAGACTGAATATGCTGCACTCATCAGCGAAACACAGGCGATCAAGTCTGAAATGTCAAAGGTTCAATTCAAGGTTGACCGCAGTGTCAGGCTACTGGATAGTCTGTCATCTGAGAGAGTTCGTTGGGAAGACGGAAGCAAGTCTTTCGAGACGCAGATCAACACCCTTGTCGGGGACGTCGTTGTAGCCGCGGCCTTCCTGGCATACAGCGGTCTCTACGATCAGACATTCCGAAAGTCCATGATCGACGACTGGTTCCACCAGCTTCATCTTTCTGGCATCCAGTACAAGTCGACCAACCCAATCACCGAGTATCTCTCCACAGCGGATGAGCGTCTGGGCTGGCAGGAGAACACCCTTCCCGTTGACGATCTGTGCACAGAAAATGCCATCATTCTCAAGCGCTTCACTCGGTACCCACTCATCATCGACCCCTCAGGACGAATGACCGAGTTCCTGCAGAAAGAGTGCAAGGACCGCCGCTTGACAGTTACCAGCTTCTTGGATGACACGTTCACAAAGCAACTGGAGAGTTCTCTCCGATTCGGAAACCCTATCCTCATTCAAGACGCGGAGCACCTCGACCCCATTCTCAACCATGTTCTCAACAAGGAATACCAAAAGACGGGTGGACGTACTCTCATCCAGCTTGGCAAGCAGGAAATTGACTTCTCACCGTCATTCAAGCTTTATCTGTCAACTCGAGACCCGTCGGCTACTTTCGCGCCGGATATCTGCAGTCGAACAACCTTTGTTAACTTTACAGTCACTCAGAGCAGTCTTCAGACTCAGTCACTTAACGACGTGCTCAAGTCGGAGCGCCCTGACGTTGACGAAAGGCGTTCCAACCTCATCAAGCTGCAAGGAGAGTTCAAGATCCACTTGCGCCAGCTCGAGAAGCGACTGCTCCAGGCCCTCAATGAGTCTCGCGGCAACATCCTAGATGACGACAATGTCATTGAGACCCTCGAGACTTTGAAGACAGAGGCAGCCGAGATTTCCATCAAGATGAGCAACACTGAAGGTGTCATGGCTGAAGTGGAAGAAATCACACAGCAGTACAGCATCATCGCCCGATCTTGCAGTGCTGTCTTTGCAGTTCTGGAGCAGCTACACTACATCAACCATTTCTACCAGTTCTCGCTCCAATACTTCCTCAACATCTTCCAATCGGTGCTGCATGGCAATAAGAACCTCGCCAACGAGACGAACCACAATGTTCGCCGCGACGTGATCGTCAAAGATTTGTTTGTCAACACGTTCAAGCGGACTGTGCTTGGTCTGCTCCAGAAAGACCGCGTTACTCTGGGCATGCTGCTTGCACAGGCCTCTCCCTACAAGATGGACAAGACCTTGATTGATGTCATTCTCGACAACCGTGTCGAAGGCAATGACTTGTCCTCAACCCCCGGCAACAAGGATGAAGCATTTGCACAGGCCAAGAAGCTTAGCATTGTCAAGGAGAAGATCGATGCCGTGTCGACGGAGGATTGGGATAAGTTCTTTTCTGAGGAACTGGCCGAGAATTTCGTACCGCAGATCTGGGATGAGAAGACTGATGCCAATGATCAATCCCTCCTGTCTCTTCTGCTTCTCAAGCTTTTCCGCATGGATCGATTTGTGCCCGCTGCGGAGCGTTTTGTGGGCCAAATCTTCGGATCTGACATCTTTGATGTGGTGGAGGACCTGAAGGAGGCCGCAGAACAGGTGTCCGCAACTCTGCCAATCTCACTGGTATCCAGCCCCGGCTTCGACGCAAGTTACAAGGTCGACAATTTGGTCGAGCGAATGCGTGTCAAGTGCACCAACATTGCCATGGGTTCCAACGAGGGTCTTGCCAGTGCCGACAAGGCCATCAGCAACGCTGCCCAGACTGGCTCATGGGTCTTGGTCAAGAACGTACACTTGGCTCCCACCTGGCTTCAGAGCCTGGAAAAGCGTATGGAGTCTCTCAACCCACACGCCGAGTTCCGCCTCTTCCTATCCATGGAGTCCAGTCCAAAGATTCCGGTCAACCTTCTTCGAGCCTCGCGTGTGCTCATGTACGAGCAGCCCGCAGGTGTAAGAGCCAACATGAAGGACTCCATGACGTCGCTTTCCGCCCGGCCCACTAAGGGCCCCGTGGAGAGGACAAGACTGTACCTGCTCCTGTCATTCCTCCACGCCGTGGTGCAGGAGAGACTGCGGTACGCGCCAAACCTCGGTTGGAAGGGTTTCTGGGAATTCAACGACAGCGACGTAAGTACCCCATCATTAACCCGAGTAATTCAAAACTAACTTGTTGCAGTACGAATGCTCTACTTTCATCGTTGACACTTGGATCGATGGCGTGGCAGGCAATCGAACGAATATCGCTCCTCAGAACATTCCCTGGGAGATGGTGCGCTACTTGGTAACGGAGACGTACGGTGGCAAGATCGACGACGAGGGTGACTTCAAGCTCCTCTCCCAGCTCGTCACAAATTTCCTCACTCCGGCTGCGTATGAGGTTGACCACAAGCTTGTCGACGGACCCGACGGTGGCCTAGTTGTCCCCTCGGGTACCAGCCTTCAGGACTGTATGGCTTGGATCCACAAACTGCCTGAGCGTGAGCCACCCACATACCTCGGACTGCCTGCCAATGCGGAGAAGCTTCTTCTCAGTGGCCTGGGTCGTAGCCTCATTGCCAACTTGCGCAAGGTGACGGATTTACTGGACGAGGGAGAGCAGTTGGTGACGGAGGTCTGATGCTGACAGACGTGGAAGGAGGGGTTGTGTGTTCTATAACGTAAACAGGCATTTCAGATGCCATGTTTCATTTTATTTCTTGTACAGAGCTGCTTTTTATTGGCTTTGGCTTTGGTTTTGTTAGATTGGAATCCTGGCGGCAGCGCTTCGAGAGTGGAGGAAGAAAGAGATGTCCCGCAGGAGCTTACACTGGTTGATACCCCTACGTCTAAGACTGATCGGTTTTTCTTTTTTATTGTACATGTCATTTTGAAAGATAAGAATGGGATTTGCTAGAAGCTAGGGTTCCTTCGTGTGTTGTATACTATCATGGCATTCTGACTGGCCAGGACATAATCGTTACCACTTGACCCATTTTACTTCGTATACGACTATAACAAGGCTCAGATGATTCGTAATTTGAAATGTCAAGCCTATAGTTGAAGACAGCTATCTGGTGTGATTTCCAAGGAGGAATTAAAAACGAATCATGCCGTTTCACTCACCGCTGCGGTATACTGCTGTCAAGTCTATGATGACCAGGCCATGATGGGCGACGCGGCGATTTCAACCCATTTTTGTCTTGGAGATGCCCCGTGACTTGGGAAATCCAGAGGCTAGATATCTTGAACCAGCCACTCTCTTAGTAATTGTATCGGCTCATGTTGAAATATAGAGTAGGCTTGCCAATGTGGACGTCATGTGTACTACACGGACGACTACAGGGACGAGGCACGGTTGCATAGTAATCGATAACATTTGATATGGGAACCCCAAGAGAATGGCGGGTATCTCACGAATGGCAAAAAGCAACAAAGCAATTACAACAAGCAGAAACTAATTCCCCTTCGTCGTGCTAGAACACAAATCCTCCAATTCTGACGCGGAAGATTGCTCTTCCACGGGCTACATCTCCATACCACCTAGGTCGCCGAAGACTCCGAGAGCCATGGGATTGTTGCTGTCGCCAGTTGAGAAGGGATCTAGCCCATCGAGGTAATGAAAGTCTGGTATATCCACCACAGGCTCGTGCGGGAAGGGTAGTTCCACGTTGAGAGTGGCAGATATATAGCGGCGGGTGTGTTGGAGGATGGTGGCCTCGAATTTCTTGTCATCTTCGCCCGGGTCGACAAGTTTATTCATCCACGTGAATAACTTGAGGAACTTAATCCACAGATCGCCCTCCTGCAACTGACTCATGGCCTCGACTACGGAAGTTGCCCGTTTGAGGATGTCGTTGCTAGAACCGGGTCTACCGACATCGGCGCCAATCATCCAACACACTGTAACGAGAAGCTCGGAAGGAGATATTCCAAGAGCTGACTCGCAGGGACCGTACCAAGGAGGCGGCATGCCGTTCTGAACATTGAGCAGCATAGTGTGCCAAAGGGTGCAGTAGAGCTGGACGTTGTCGCACCACTGACGCTGCGAGTCGTCGCACGGGATAGAAGCTATCTCGTGTGGAATTTTGTGGGCGAGCGTCAATTGTCTCGCACACCAAGTAATGCAGCCGCGCAAAGGGGAGGTGTCACCGTAGCGGATAGTTTCCGCCAATGGCTGCTTATAAACGTATTGATAGAGTAGGTCTTCCGACGACAAGGTCGCTGGTTTTCCATCGTCGGCGGTAATGGCCTTCTCGTACACTTCCAGACCCGAAGAGAGGAAGTGATACGTCACGAGGTCAATGGCCGCATAACTGTGGGGGATATCCCCGAGCGTAGTGTTGTCGCCGAGGACCTTCCGGATGATCTCGCAGACGCGAAGGTGGATTGGCGACTCGTCTGTGACCTCTTCCTGCTCCTCCATGCATGCATCGAGCATCGAGAACAGAAAGGGTCGATCAGACCCATGGGTCTTGGCGTGATCCCGAAAACGTGAGAGTCGATCCCGAGCCTGTTTTGCATTCTTGGGTTGTTGTGCGACGCGGGTCAAGGATGTGATGATCATGCTCTTGGCTGCTATCAGTGATGCGGGAGACTTTGAGAGGGCATCGAAGAGATTGAGGTAGATGTCGAAGGCATTCTGGTCATCGGACATTGCAGAGCAAAAGTCGGCAACGAGCTTCTTTGCATCGTCGTCAGCTCCCCATGGGTAGCTTATGGGAGACGTGGTTTTCTCAGGCGACGACGGGGAGTCTTCAAAGTCGGTATCCTCATCCAAGTAGCTCGCACTGGCCTCAGAGGTTGCAGAGGTTGCAGATGCATTGCTTGGGGCGTGATGAGCGATGGCACCTTTATTGTTGCCACGGCCGGGGACGTCCAGGAACAAGCCCGATCCGTATTCGGGGCTGTTGAGATCCGGAGACATGTCTCCAAAGAACTCGTCGACAATTTGTTCGTTGGGTAATTCATCGACGCCGGCAACGTTCCGCGTGGGACCCGGTTTATCGGGCCCAAGGTACTTCCTGACGCCCCATTTCTCGAATCGGTAGCCGTACTGTCGCTTGCTGTTGATCGGGGAAGAGATAAGATCAGATGACGGTTCTACTCGGCTTCGGTCGGACTGGTTCTAACATACCTGGGAGCAAAGCCGAAGCGCTGCTTCATAAATGACATGACCACCATGAGCGTGTACGACTTGTACAGCTTGCACAACAGAGGCTTGTATTGGTCCCAGGTGGCATCGGTAATGCGGGAGGAGCGCCGGTTCTTGTCTTTGCGCCCAGAGCCTCGTCCTATGGGGGGTATTGTGTCCCCCATGGCGCATGGGGACCACTCGGGGACTTACACGATGAGAAGAAGCGAGAACAGAGGGTAAGGAAGCAATCTGAGGAGCTGCCAAGGTGCTTTCGGTCGAAGGACACACAAAGAGATTCGAGGGAAGCTGGCCGGCGTGGGGACATGTTGGCGACGGCCTTCCTTAAGGCTTCCCATCAGTCGGTCAAGCGGTCGAGGGATTGATCGGCTGTGCTGGCCAAGCAGTGCGGAAAGCCCAACAGGTGGTCCGCAGCAAGCCACATAGTCCCGTTGCCTCGTGAAGGCAACTGAAACTCGCAGTCTTGAGCAAATGTGCAATTGTAATTTCGCTCTGTGCCGCCATCTCATTGGCATATATCGGGTGACCAATGCGAGTGAGCCGGCGGCGCAGCCATATCTTGGAAATCCACCCCCCGCATGACCCGACATCCTGGACTGAGCGCTTTGGAATTTGGGCTCTGCAATCGGCTTTGGGCGTTCTTTGTGAAAATTCCGAAAGAGGCCCCTGGACGCCGCAGCCAATGGCGGTTGCGAGGGATCGCGAGGGAACGTGGTGATCTCCTGCCGGCGGCCCAACCTGGCCGGGATTTCGCGCAGGTGATGTGCCGACACACGTAAATATATCATGTATGTGATTCCCGCCCAAAATACAATCGGTAGATTCTCATTCCCGCAGAGGACCGGCCAGCAAGGTTTAAAGCCCAAACCAGAGCCACATGGACGCCGAGGGTTTCCGTCACCTACTTCCCCGGTGCCCGCATCCATCATCAACACTACATGCTCACAAAAGATGGACGCCCATTTCGACGTCGATGACGTCCGCAGTATATATGTCGACGAGAACAACCAAAGGGATATGCAATATGGCCTGAGCGAAGAGCCCCTCATCCCGAATGTATACGAACCCATTGCACAGAGTGAATCTCTTCGTGCTCGCAGTGCCAGCCCTCGGCTCGAGAGTGGTACTTCCTTCGAATGCCCATACACCATCAGCCAAAACTCCGACTTCACCAAGATGCGAGTACAGCGCAGGGTGGCAGAGAACAAGACAAAGTGGACTGGCTCAACTCAACCAAGTAACCGATTTCACGAGAGTGCGGATTTCAACAACCATGTCGACAGGATGGCGGTGAAGAGGAGGGCAAGAGGAAGTTGTCTCAGCCATCAGAGACCAGATGCGGACTGGAAACCGGCTGAGCCACAGTCACGCCAATCGAGCTGGGAGAACTGGCGACAGGCTGGCGACAGGCTCTTTGGTCACTCGTCTAGAACTCGGCAATGATGCGACATTTGTCGATATGAGTATACGATGTGCATGGACAAATGCAGTTTGCGACGATTCGCTTGGGGTTAGCATTGACAGGTAGATCTTGATTTGGGCATGGGAGTTTTGGTATACATCTTGAGTGGTTGCATCAGCGGGGGAAACAAGCATTACTGGAGAAATTGTCATGAGCCGGCAGGAGAGAGCCCGCGGTAACCGTATAAAAAAATGGCGAGGATGAACATTGCCATCTTGGCGGTGTTCGTTCAAGATAGAAACTTGAAGAATTTGGTGCTGTCATTGATGCTTGAAGTTCGTGAACACAAGTCAGGTGTTTGTATGCCACCAAACGCCTCAAGAGGCTTTTGGGCCATAACTTGTCGCACCTCGAGCGTCTTGACATCTCGTGGTCCTGCCAGGCCAGCCCAACCTAGCTTCAGGTTTCCCTCTTGGGGTATCGGTTGGGTAAGCGAATGCCGATTAAGTCGGACAGGGTGGCTGCCGGGAAGTGCAGGATGGCGGGAACCCTGGCGTGAAGAATGAGGAGATGGTGTAAGGGGTTACGCACGCATCCTCCAGACAAGTGCGTGATTGATGAGTGAGGGCGGCAACAAGCGGGGGAGTGGGTGGTGAGTGAGTCGATGGTTGGGTTGGGATTGTGGACAAGTGAGTGAGTGTGTGAGAGAGCGTGTGAGTGGGTGTGGGACTGAAACACGGCGAACCGTAACTGTGTGCCTGCAAGCTGCAGTGACCTACAGCTACTGATGCGACAGCTACCGCAGCAATTAAGCAAGAAAGCCCCCTGTCGTGTTGATGTCGAGTTTGTCCGACAAGGCTCAGTATCGCTCAGTGCGCTCGGAGACCGATCGGCCGCCGACCATGGGCTGCGATGGAGGAGCTCTTGCTGACGAAGGGGGTGGCCATTTTCAACAAGGCACACTCGAGCCGAGGCTGGGACAGCCAATTGTGCAGAAGACAAACCGCAACGTGCAAAGAGAAGATGCAGCCAAGCAGGTGAAAATCAACTTGGTGGTGAATCTCGATGACGGTGAGGAAGGTTTGAGGGCAGTGGCTGGTTGAGGAGTGATTGGGTGGTTTCGAGGTTGGCCGGTCCCATGCGCAACGGCGACGCCTGCCGTGTGTCGACAAAATGGGAAAAGTGTTGCCTGAGGGTCACGAGTTTGAGACGATCCCGGCTGAGGGACCAGGTGGATGGTAGCACCTCGGCGTGATACTTGTCAAGATGCCTAACAAGCAGTTGGTATTTGGGTAGGTACGTACTCAAAACCGCTTGGAGGAAACACCCGGACGGACACACAGCCGGGCGGCAGGGGGTGGGGAAGGCGCACTCCTGCCGCCGTGAGCTGATCCAGGCGCAGGCTGGTGGTGCAGCCCAAAGTCGAAGTCGTCATTATGATCGCCCACAGCCAATCACACTGACCCTGTGACGCCGCTTCCCTGCAGCGGTCCCAATGCATGCTTGCCGCATGCACCACGCGTTCTCTCGACGAGTCTCTATTGTCTGCGAATCCAGCGCCGGACTGATGAGACTCGGGTCGGGCCTAATGAGTCTTGGTGGAAAGTTGGTGGAATGCGGACCACAACTGACGCTATGTTGATCTGGAAACTGCATCCACGGCTGCTCGGCTAGCAGAACGCCGCCTTCAGTGTTGTAGCGACGTATTTGCAAGTACAAGCGGCGCACATATATCCATTCTCCTCCGAGTAACCCAGACCTTTGTTGAGCGGGTTCTGAGTAAGACAATCGAATCCGGCCAGGCACCCACATTACCACAGCCACTCCCACTACAACCCAATCACCATCAAATGGCCGTATACTGGTACCTACCTCCAATTTGATACTAGTATATCCTAGACATTATGACACTACACACGCCTAGTAATGGCTTCGTGCTAATCCCATCACCCTGCCACCGCTTTGGACTGCATCCAATCCTTCCACCACCCGCTAAGAACCCAAGCCAATCCTCACTCGTCGTGCTTGAAATTCTCCGATCAAGCGTCTCCTGCTGAGCCCACCCCCCCGCAAGACAATCCCGTCCCCAAGCGCTTCTCAGGATTCACTGTGAGGTCATCTGGCCTGCCAGGCTGATCGAATGTACGAATTCGGCAACACCTTGCTTCTCACACAGCTACAGCTCAAACGATGGCGTCTGATGGGCCCTTATGGGGTAACTAGTAACTAAGACCAGCAAGTACTCTTCACTAGAGACACGGGCTAGTGTATCGAGGCGTCATGCGCATCGCCTTGCCCATTCCACTCATGGGCACCCCCGGTGCTTGCTGTTTGACTTCCTTCCTTCTCATGTGGTGTGACATCGACATCGTTGCTCACCACGATCCCGAGGAGTACGTGCTTGTTGATCCCACCCCTCCCCCTCTCGGCTGCTTTCTCGAGTCTCCATTGAGGTTTCCCCGCAAATGCCGGCTTGGGTCGGTCTTCTTTAAATGCTTTCACTTCCCATCCTCCCACGATAATTTATTCCTCTTGCATCCCCTTTGCCTTTGTGCAACCCACACAGTCGCATTCACAGTCCGCGTACGCGTCCTCCGGTCTCATCACGAAGCAATTTTGCTAAACTCCTTATTCGATACCCAACAAACCTCGACCGTCTTAGGTCTACCCACCGTCCATCATGGTGAACTGGGACCAGTGTAAGTGTCCTTCGTGTGCAGTCTTCCTTCTGCCCCCTCGCCCACACTCGCGAACTGGGTGTTGAAAAAAATCCCATGGCTAACCATGACCAACTGTATAGTGAACCCCTTCAGCAGGAGGGAGTCTCACACCTCTGGAGCTATTCTCACATACAAGATTCTGACTCTCGTTACCTGGCTTCTCTCTGTCATCGTCTCTGTCTACTACACCGTCAACGAACCCCGCGATGGCTACAGCATTCGGAGGCGTATCTGGGACCAGAATGATTTGTACCGCACTGCTTTCACCTTGAACGCCACCATCACATCAATTTACTGGTACGTGCTAGATCCAGCAACCCCAGTGACGCTTCATATAGCTAATGACTTCTATACAGGGTCGTTCTCTTCATCCTCCAGGCCGGCTACATCGGACACCTCTTCTCGAGCAATACCGACATCGTCAATGCCGCTGCCAGCGTCGGCAGCCACTTCATCTTCAACAACCTTTTCCACTTTGCCTTCATCATGCTCTTTGTCAGATCTCACTTTCACTGGGCTGAGGTCATCTTGGTGCTTAACTTTTTCAACCTTTCCTCGCTGTACTTCCGCCATAATACCTACCCTCGCTTCATCCACTCCCCTGTGGTCTCCGGTCCTCTGGCATGGACCTTTGTTGCCATTTACTGGAACGGCGCACTGATGATTCCCCATCCCCATCATTTGGTGCCTCGCATCTTTGGCAACATCTTCATCTGGGCCATCTTCGTCTATGGTCTTTTCTTCATCATCATTTACAAGGTAAGCTCCTCGAGGCAAGGCACGCCACTTAATGCTAACATCGCGATAGGATTACACCATGGGCTTCGCTCTCAGCGTGCTCGCGGCTTCTCTTGGTGTCGCCCAGTTCCATCACCAAGTCATTGCCCTCCAGTGGATTTTCGCCTTCGTCATCATGTCTATTCTCTTCATTCTGACATTGGTGGTGGCAGTTCCTGCTTGGAGGGGCAGGGAGTTTTCTTGGAGACAAGCCCCACCGGCGGATCAGGAGCGCGCACCGCTGCTCGCCGAATAAGAAGCAGTTTCTCAGAAGGAATGTTTTGGCAGGCACCAAATTTCGACAACCATCAGTCTCCATTCATCCTTCTTTCTTCCGGATCAAAGTTCAAGGCCCAAGGCTCGATGGGAAATAGCAGATGGTCGCGTGCTAGCTCTAGGATACTAATGGGGGATTGAAGGGGCCATCCGCCAATGGGGCTTTTGCCATGCGGAGTAAGGCCAGGGTGGCGTCGACGGTAGTTTGAGCATGTATTTCGATGACGCGCTCGTTTATTTCAGCCTCTCAATAATTGAATATCCCAAAGCCTCTCTTCTCACTCGCCCGTGCCGTAGATTCGGATGTCTTCGTCCGGTGGATAAAACTCGCCGTTGTCTTCCATGACGTCGTGAAGCTAGAGCCCCACTGCATCCGACCTAAAGCTTAGACCAGTGCCCTATCGATAAGTTGCCGCCACACCCCTGACTGCAGTCGGGCTGGACGCAGGATTGGGAGGAAGGCGGTTCCGATGAGTTTTAGCACCTTCCTTGTTACTCGACCAAACACACGCACCCGAGACCAGCATATCAGGACGGGCAGATGAGGCCACTGCGAACCTTCCCATTTCCACTGAATGTTGGGACCGATATTTGCCAGATATCGCGCATCTATCGCATCCTCTCCGGCACACGTGCCAGGCGCTTCGTGAATCGCATCCTCGCTCCCGAGGAGCTAGCTTGCAACGATGCGCGCCTGCATGTCTTGACCCGCGCGTCAAAGGTGCTGAGTGATGGCAAACCGGCCGGGGCATCGTCTATAGTGGCAACCTTGAAAGAAGGGCAGCAGCTGCATGAGGAGTTGGCGGCACGGGACCCTGATCTCTGGAAGTGCTCGGCGTTCATCGCAGGGAGGTAAGTTGACACATGCTGGTCTCGACTACAGGATGAGAAGCCAAGACTAACTCTCGCCTCCACGTTAGGTTCGCTGCAAAAGAGGCAGCCATAAAGGCTCACTCGCACAGACAGCTGACGTTCCACGACGTGGTCATTGAGCGGCGAGCAGTAGAGGGGGAGCGACTGGGGAGCGGGCCACCAGTGGCGAGGATTAAAAGCTCCCAGGAGAGTGATGAGGCGGATGACAGTGCGATGGTATCTATTAGCCATGATGGAGATTATGCTACGGCAGTGTGTTTAGGCCATGACCCCGACCTGAATCGTGAAAAGGTCATGTGATAAAAAATACACAGGGTTGAGGAAGGAAGGGGGGGGGGGGGGGGTCTCGGTCCAAACCGTGGAACGGACTATGCGTGGCCCTGAACCATAGTGAAACCTAGGTAATCAAGATGGTTACAAGAGCCACTCAACGTGAGCAAGACAATTGTATCAATAATAGTGCTCGGTGATTGCCAGAATTACGCATGTGCTGTCTTGGCGATAGTATTAGCCGCTGACTTCCCTCCTGGTATAGCAGTCAGGACAACGCAATCGCTTTCCATAATACACTCTTTCCGTGGCCTAGATGTCCTTCAGACTGCAATAATACTTGGGCACCCTCCTTACACATTAGAGAGATCTAGATTTTTTATTTACGAACTTTCCAAGAACCCAAAAATTAATTTACCTAAACTTTCACACACAGCTCATGACCTTCGTCGTCGAACTGGTGTTGAGGTGGGCCACCTCAAAACTGCCGCCTAAGGGCCCTCGGTCGCACCGGATTAACGGCGAACTTTTACCAGAGAATCTGAAAGAAATATGGACATCGGTCGCGCTAAGACGAGAGGAAGGTCTGGAGGCGGCAGAATGGCTACGGTCCTAGTTGATCACCGACCGTGCGAGAGGTGTAAGTAAGAATGGAGGGACATCGATAGTCAGCCCGACCTTTTAAGTCCAAGTGCGTCATGAGGAAGGAAGTCCGACACTAACAACATAAATAAAACAATGGTCGAGATCGCATACCCAACATGTGTATATCTCCTGTCCAGGTCTTTTCGACGAGGACTTCTCAACGTGAAAGAAAACTGCGAGGGAGCCATCGGTGGAAAATACCGTTACGACAACGCAGACTAATTTCTTCTCTCACCAAGCACAAAAGAAAGAGTAACTAAAGTAAGGATGTCAGAATCGTCTATTACAGTTACTGGCAGAGACGAAATAAAGGGTAATTAAAGTAATCAGGGTTGAATCGTCCTGTGGAAATACCGAGCAAGTTAAACAGAGAATTAAATAATTTGCGGTATACTGGGGACTCGAACCCTTGGCCTTAGCTTTGCGAGGGTAATACGCTAGCGTGTAGTACACTCCCAAAAAAATCCACCCCCGACTTCTCACCCGAAGTCGAGGTGAGAAAATCAGGGAGAGAAGAATTTAATCGACAAACCAGGGACTCGAACCCTGAGCCTTAGTCTTAGGAGGACTACGCGCTACCATTGCGCCAGCTTGCCGAACGACTGATATGAGTTTCTAAATTATTTTTTATTATATCACAATGTGCTTACTTTTTCCAGATTTCCCTAACTTTTCACCGTTCTAACTCAGTATTTAAGCTACAAACTGTATTAACTCAAGCTATATTATAAAAATAAAAACACTATACAAATACTATATTTTTACTTATTATTATAAAAATTTAAAAATTGCTTATATTAGTATATTAATTAAATAAAGAATTAATAAAATATTTTTTATTAAATTTAAAATTTAAAATTAAAATTCTAAGAAAAATAAAATAAAGTTTATTTTATAAAAGTTAATATAAATATATTAAATCTTAAGTAAAAAGTAAGACTGAGAGTTTAATAACTTATTACTTAGTATTATAAAATAAAATAAAAGCAGTTTGCAGACTGAATAAGTTATCTCAGGTAATAACACAACTTAAATCTGCCTCTATTAACTTCTGTAGCTATAGGGGACATAGGGCGCTTTAGCACTAGCAACATTCTGTAACTAAACTCTTTACCCAAATGGATACTATAACAATAGCAATAACTATTATTCTTCCAGCTGGCAAGTGCTGCCAGCCGTCAAACTCACATCCGCCAGCTATTATAAGTGGTCTCAAGCTAACCCGCAAACTAACTTGCACTGCAAAGCCCTTTATTTTCCCACCAGCTCTTTAAAAAAAAAAGCGCATGATTTATTCACAACCAACTCATCTATTGATTCTGCAGCAAGCGACTAGAGTGGAGGCTCACTACATTGGAAGGGAAATAGCCGATGACATTCCATCAATCCAGCGGGTGCTGGCGCAATTAAGAGTAATTGTTACTGCTGTTTCCACGTGGAAATATGTGCTGCTGGCGACATTCGGGCTGCTTATGTACACAGGTCGGCGCAGCAAGTTTGAGACATTACTTATCACTCAGCAGCCCCAGCACAGAGCCTTTTAATAATGGCCGAAACTCACATTTAGGGGATAAGCGCTAAATTTATTATATGTATGTTCCCTAAGTCCTAATAAATTCACTTGTGGTAGAGGCCTTATAGAGTCCAACCCTAGAGCATAAGGGAAAAATTGCAGGTACACACTGTGGATGGAGCAACGTCAGACGGACAGGACAACCAGTAAACTTCCAAGACGAGTTTAAATAGCCAGAGAGGGTGATGTGTAAGTTAGATAGTAGCTGGGCTCACCACTTGTGCCGGAGATACCACAGCCGGATTTTGGGAGGGCGGCTACCCAATATGCGGAGCCACAGCACACTCGGCCACACACAATTAATACAACGAACCGGGGAGTTTCTTCTTTGCTCTACGGTTGAGTGCACAATTCGGTGGTTGACCAACTATCGGATACAAAGACACACGGTAATAAAATGCCAGAATTCAACAGAGACATATGTCAAAGGTCAGGACTCATAGTTCTATTCGTCTGCCGTCGTAGCCGACTAGGTACGACGGGTATTTAGATCTTTCATTTAAATACAGTTTGACAAAACGGAAATGGTTTGGAAAGCTGGTCCTACGACGCATTGGTAGGGTACTTATGAGGCCTAGGAGTGAGATTATGTCCCAGGCCCTTCGTCACCCCAGAATTGCAGCATAGGTCTCGGAACGTAAAGAACTTAGCATTCAGCAATTATCTCCACATCATAGCATCTCGCAAGCCTAGCCATCTCTAAATCATTCAAAAACACATTACTGTAGTTTCCCTGAAAGATTCTTCATTTCCACTTTCCCCTGTTCTCGCTCGTCTTCTCCGCCCTGGGCATTGATGTGATTCACTGTCAGTTGTCCTCCAGATTCCCCCAAATAGTTCTAGTAAAATATTCAACTCCTCTCTCATGCTTTCTCTCGCTCATCCTCTTTCTTCATTCTCTTTTTCATCATTTCATGAAGCACGTAATTTTAACGGATTGACCGCCCCCCCCCCCAGCACACCTGCCGCGAACGGAAAATGCGTGGTACCTTTGAGTCATATCGAACTTGGCCGACCGTATTCCAGCACAAAACATGCCGTCTCTAATCACAAAATTCTTGGACGGCAAGTGGCGTGCACAATGGCACGGAATAATTTTTCGACAAAGTCTCCAGACATGGCGCATTGCGGTACCGTCGACCTGTTCCAGCGCCGCGTGTTTTCTCTCCAAGACCATTGGGGCGCTCCTTCCTTAACTACCCAGATGGCAGCCTCACCCGGCCACGTGAGGCAAACATAACCTCAGGCGTCGAAAAAGCGAAGCGCCTTTGGGGTGCTCCTTCCTTCCCAAGAACAAGCCCAAGGCAGTGCGTTGCTTTTTTAGGCACTGCAGTTTGCGGACATCATCCATGCTTCCCAGAATCAACTATCTCAATAGTGTCACTCGCCTCAGCTTTAGTGGTATTTTCATCAATAAGTCTAATATCCTAAAAATGATTTTAGGGGATAAATATTAAAACTAAGGCTTATATAAATATTATTTCCTAAACTGCTAGATTAGCTGTATGGTTTATAGTTGTATTTAGGATTAGAGCAAATAATTTATGTCTGCGTATAGTTTTGACATCGCCGCCATCGTACAGCTGCACCTCGTTTTCTTTCGTCCACTCTTTCCCTTCCCAGCAGTGCACTCTTCCAACAGTCTTCCACGCCCGTTCCCCGTCCCATCGGCGGCCACGCAAGTACCTAGGTATATAGATGATTTACCTTCACTAGAGGACGCACTCATCACGATGCTCAATCCATGGCGTTTTAGTCCATTGTTGCGTCTTGATGTTCAGATGTTCATACTCAGCAACAGGAGAAAGTCCATGCAATCCCAGCGCCACCCACCGAAGTTATGCCAGAAGTATTTAATTTCTTGTCTTTACCAATAAATAGAAAATTTTACATCTATCAGAACTGTACTCGCTAGTCAAGGGAGGCGGCTTGACCCCGAAATCCAAACCTCGCTCGTGTCAACCAGTTTACCGAATTTGCCGATGTCAGACATCTTCGTGTCAAGTTAAAGCCGCACTGTCATCGAGGACCGACCAGTTTAATTACGTAGGCCTTCATGTAACCTCAAGCCCTCAGCTGCACATAGGTAGTGTCCATCAGAGTTGTAATTGTTGAGTCAAAGAGGACGCTGAACCCCAAGATCGGACCTCGTATTCGCCAGTTTAGTGAATTTAGGCAGCCATGCGTCATCAAGTTCAGCCGTACAAACAATCAGGATTGAGGACGCAGCATTCGCATCATGTGGAAACTACAACGGCATTCCTAATTTCAGTTGTTCCAAGAAGTGTATGACTGACTGAGGCAGATTTCCCCACAGCTTCAGCCGCAAACCAGGTTCATCATCGTCATTCCACAGCACGCAAGCCCCCCATTACACAAACCTGGTCCAAGTCAGGCCACATTCGATACCTCTGAATCACAAAAGCACCCAAATCAAAGCACGTCTTATCAAGCCTGGGATCGGATCCGGCTCGTAAAGCCGAGTTTGGTCACAAAAGGGCCCTGGATCCCACATGGCAACCTTCCCCATGCGGCACGTCAGCCGTCAGTAGGTGGCACGGCACCACTCCCAGCGCAAGACCGTAGGCTGATGAAGGTTGATTGTCGATGGTTCAGCGGGCGCTTCCGCTCCCGTCCTCGTGTTCGCTCACTCACCGCGGTGATGAGGAAAGAGACGACTTGACTCTGAGTCTTAGCTGCTGGCTGCTGGCTGCTGCAAGCTAGGCACGCCAAATGTACACCGAAACCGGTGAATAGAGGCGGTCAAGGGGCAATGCATGGCCGGCTCTGGCTTCCCGTGTCCTGGTGCCTGCCAATGCACTCGCCGCTCGCTGGTCGGTGAAGTTTGGCAGTCCTGTACGGTTTGTTTCCGGCAGGGAGGGTCCAGTGGTGGCGTATTGCCCGCCGCGGCTCCAGGACGCCCTGGCCCGGCACTACGATGCCGCTAGCCCCACAGCGCACCCCGCCGAATTCGGCCAGTTGGGGTGGCCATCCCACTGAGCTCCCTGTAATCGGCTGCAAAGTTGCCCTCCCGGCCGCCCGCACGACGACCTCTGGGGCTTCTGAGCGCTGGAGAGCCAGTGCAATAGGGCGTGTGACGCCGCCAGGGCCCGCTATAAGCAGCACTCACCATCACCCCCTTGCAGTCTCCACCACAAAGGAACCCACTCTCCCGGCTTTTTGGGCGTGAGGCCCTGCACACACGCGTCCAGCATCCCATCATCCAGCGTCCGGCAACACAGGCAGCACGATTCACTCCCACCCTCGGGCTTCACAGATCCTAGACACAGGAAGATCCCGGTATGGGGGATTAATTAGGCAGTTTGCTCTTTCCTCTCTTTGTCCGTGTCGCTCTCTGTGCATTGCATCTTGCATCTGCGTCTACACTCGCCTCTTTCGCTTCCCTCTCCTTCCTTCCTTCCTTCCCTGTTTCCTCCCTCCTCCCTCCTTCCTTCCTCCTCCTTCCCATCCCTCTGCCCATCTCGCCCGAGATCCCATGTTACCATCATGGATTTCGTCATTCATCGCTTCGGTGGCTATGAGTTCTCTCCCTACGATAGAAATCAATCTACCCACGTCTCTCAGCAGTCTTATCTAACAAGGTCCGTAAACCTCTCAGCGTCGTTGCCCCAGTCCATCATGGACTGGCTAGTCGCGCCTCAACCACCTTCCTAATGCTAACCCCTTCCCTTAGCCTCTACCAGACTCCATCAAAATTGCCAGAGATACAGTGGCTCAATGATGTCTCTGAATTCGCACAATCCGGCACTCCCCAAGCTGCGGTCCTCGTCTTGTCCCTGTTATGGCTCGCCGTTCGCCTGGTTCAGTTGCGCCGAGAAATCTTCGTCCATCGATCAAAAGCATCCAAGATCCACTGGCCCTACGAACTCCTCTCCCAGGCGGCCAGACTCGCCTCCATCTCCTTTCTCTCCCTTGCCTACGTTGAGGGTCGCGTTCACGTTCTCAATGTAGTTGTCCCCGCCTATGCGTTCCTCCTAGGCCTCCTGCGCCTCTTCAACGATCTTCAATGGCGTCATGTGGCTCTCCACCAGGTCAACTCTGTGTTCACAATCATGCTTCTTCTGCTCGCCACTGCCCACTATCTCCCATGTATCCAGGTGGGGTCCCAGTGCTTGCGTGATACCAGCTTGATCGGAGCCATTGCCGCTCTTACCCTCACGTTTGTCTTGGCGTTGATGACTCCAAGAGAATGGGTGCCTCCCAAGATTGACATCAACATCCCAGGCCGTAGCCTCGATGACGAGCCCGCCCCCGAAGAGACTTGCAGCTGGCTCACCTTCTACTGTACCTACGACTGGCTGACACCCACCATATGGAAGGGGGCCAAGGGCAAGCTTGAAATGGCTGATATCCCCAATATTGCCTGGTACGACGAGCCCTTGTACCTCCTGCGCCAAGTCCAGAAAGCTCGTTCGATCTCGAAGAAGACGCTGCTGACGGCATTGCGGTTCCAGCAGGGCGAGTTGGTGCGCATGTCGATCTGGATTGGATCCAGTTACACAGTGGAGAATGTTGCTGCGTACGGCATGTTCAAGCTACTGGAGTATCTTGCCGATCCAAGCGGTGCCACATATAGTCCTTGGCTGTGGGTGTTACTCATGTTTCTTGGTCCCTTGGTCCGGTCCATCTGCTTTCAACAGTACATATTCACTTCCACCAGGCTCGTTGTGCGAATAAAATCCGCCTTCACCCAGGAGTTGTATTACACTGCCCTCGATTCCATGGAACTGGAAGAAGACCCATTCGAGTTGCACTCCAATACCAAGACAGAAGGTAAAGAGAAAAAGGGGGCGCCCAAGAGTACCTCAGCCGGCCGCTTGTCAAATCTCATGGCTTCAGATGTGGACGCCATTTACAGAGCCCGAGACATGGTCATGGCCACTGTCGGAGTCCCGCTAGGGACCATCATTTCTCTTGTTGGCATGTACCGGATGCTCGGATGGGCTTGTTTGGTTGGTACTGCCATCCTGGCTTTGGCGACCCCCGTGTCTGTCTGGATAGGACAAAGAATGTACTTTTCCCAAAGGCAGGTTAGGAAGGCCCAGGATTCTCGCATGTCGTTAGTGACAGAGTATCTAGCCTCCCTGAGAGCCATCAAGTACTTTTCGTGGGAGACACCCATCACAGAAAAGATCATCGAGGCTCGTGCAGCTGAGCAAAAGGAGTTGTGGAGAGTTTCCGTCCTTCAGGCCGTCCTGAACCAAATCACCCAGGTCTTCCCGTTCCTCTCTTTACTCGTGATGTTCGCGCTTCACGTGGGCCTCGAGAAGCATCGTCTCGATGCCGCCACCGCATTTACCTCTGTTTATCTCGTCAAGAACATTCGCAGGAACATTATGCAGGCCAGCTCCTTTGCTCGCAACTTTGCAGCCGCACTGGTATCGGTCAGCCGTCTTGACAAGTACTTTGAAAGCACGGTACCACTTACCCGCTACCCAGTAGGTCCTCTGCGGATCAAAGGGGGTTCGTTCCGACGGAACAAAAAGGCCACCTTCAGCCTGAATGATATCTCACTTGACTTCGCTCAAGGAGGTTTGAACGCCGTTAGCGGTCCCAGTGGAAGTGGAAAGTCCACTCTGCTGCTGGCAATCCTTGGAGAGACATATATCGAGGGCGGATCTGTGACAAGGCCCGAAGATGTAGCGTTTGCTTCACAATCCGCGTGGCTTCAGAATGACACTATTCAGGCCAATATTCTGTTCGGCAGTCCTATGGAAAAGGTACGGTATGATCGCGTCATTGAGGCTTGCTGTCTTCGAGAAGACTTCAAAGAGCTACCGAACAGGGACCAGACGACAGTGGGTGAGAACGGAACATCGCTTTCGGGAGGTCAAAAAGCTCGCGTAGCTTTGGCCAGAGCGCTTTACTCAAAAGCACCTCTTCTGCTGCTGGATGACATACTCGCAGCGCTGGATGCCAAGACTGCGGCCGGTGTCTGGAAGCATTGCTTTTGCAGTGATCTTCTGACTGGTAGGACCACCGTCCTGGTGACCAATATACCCTGGATTTCGGAACAAGCAGACTTCTCGATCTCGCTGGAGAATGGGCAGGTCAAGCTCGCGGAGACACAAATCGGCGTTGTGCGCAAGCCCATTGCTCTAGCGCAAGTTCTAGGAGGCGATATCGAGGACGCCGAAACGCCAGACGAAGTCGAGGGTGGCCTTCAGTCCGATAGTACCACTTTGAACGAATCGACCGAAAGTGCGGAGGTAAAGCCTGACAATGATATTGTGAACCAGGAAATGAAGGCATCTGGAAAATTGGGCCGCCTTACTTGTATGATACTCCCCTTCCGCTCTTTGACAATGCTAACATGACACAGCCTTGCAATACATGAGCTACTTTGGACACCCTGCCTTTGTGAGCGTAATTATGGGTTTCCTACTCCTCCCTCACATCTTCAGCTTTGTTGGGACTCTCTGGCTCTCCGTCTGGGTGGAGGCGTACAACCACCAGGCCCATGTGGACATCGCATACTACATGGGTATCTATGCCGTGCTCACGCTCCTAGATATTGGTTTCACCTCGGTCGTCATCGTCATGTTCGAATGGGGAGCATGGAGGGCCGCCCGGCGCCTGCACAACGATTTCATCCGGGCCATCATGCGTGTCTCGCTGTCGTGGTTCAAGCACATCCCTATTGGTCGCATCACGAACCGTTTCTCTAGCGACATGGCGTCCATCGACGGTATGCTCAGCATGATGCTGCGGGCTACTATTGACTCGATTTTCATGATGATCTTTCGTCTCGGTGCCGTCAGCACCATCATGCCCATATTCATGGTCCCGGCCCTCTTCACCTGTCTGTTTGGCGTCCTCATCGGCGAGATGTACACTCGAACTGCTGTCGTCATTAAGCGTCTCACATCCTCGGCTCAGTCTCCTGTCTTCTCCCAGTTTGCTGATACACTCGCGGGGTTGTCTGTTATCCGTGCCAGAGCAGGCATGTCGGAGGCGTTCCGTGAGGAGTTGGCAGCGAAGTTGCGCGCCTGGTCGGCCGCAGCCGAGGCCAACTTCAATGCGAACCGCTGGGTGGCGGTTCGCGTGGACTTTGTTACCGCCCTGGTGGCTCTCTCCGCCGGCATTATCGCCGTGTCCCAGGCCGGTCTGATTTCTGCTGGTCTTGTCGGCTTCTCGCTCACTAACGCCAACGGTCTGAGCCAGACGATTCTGATGCTAGTTAGGTGCATGAACGATCTCGAGGTGGAAATGCAGAGCGTGGGTGATCCGTTTACACCAAGTTTTCTGATAAATGTTAACGCGAATAATACAGTTCCACCGAGTCAAGGAGTATGTCAAGTTAGAACCCGAGGAGAAGGGCGATGAGACCTACCCCGAGGAGGGCGAGTACACCGACGACCCATCCCATGTGATCCCCAAAGGCTGGCCACGGTTTGGCGACATTGAGTTCCGAAATGTCACCATTCGATATGATCCTGAGGGCCCGGACATTCTCACCGACGTAAACCTCAAGTTCAAGGCTGGCGAACGGGTGGCCATTGTGGGCCGCACAGGTTCCGGCAAGAGTACAGTGAGTAACAAAATACCATGCCCTCTTCACACTTGGTTCCCTTGACACTAATTGTTGTACTTAAGTTGGTCCTCTCTCTCCTCCGCTTCACGAACGTCGTCTCAGGGCAGATTCTCTATGATGGCGTCGACATCACCAAGGTTCCCCGTCACCGCCTCCGCGAGGGCCTGACTATCATCCCCCAAGAAGCTGTTCTTTTCAACGGTACCGTGGAGTCCAACCTCGACCCAGGCGGCAATGTTCCCAAGGACCTCTTGGACAAGGCCCTAGACAACTGCAAGGGCATCGCATCATTCTCTGCGCAAAACTCCGACGACGAAGACGAACACACCGCCAGCGCGATAGATGACGTCCACAGTAACGCTATATCTCTAGACACCGACGTCGACGCCCGTGGTGAGAACTTCTCCCACGGCCAGCGCCAGGTCCTTTCGCTCTGTCGCGCGCTCATCCGCCAGAGCAAACTGATGCTCCTCGATGAAGCGACTGCCAGCATGGACTACGAGACAGACCGGGGCATTCAGCGGGTTCTCCGGCGGGAACTTGAGGAGGCCGGAGGCGACCGTACGCTCGTTACGATTGCCCACCGATTGCGCACCATCATAGACTACGACACAGTGGTCGTCATGAGCGCTGGACGCGTTCTCGAGTGCGGCTCCCCTAAAGACTTGTATAACTCTAGGGGCCAGTTCTACGACATGGTGTATCACAGTGGCGAGATGGAAGATCTACAAGCTATGCTAGAGGAGTAGGAGATTTGGGATGCATACAAAAAGGGGCATTTGGTTTTGGCTTCATGATACCTAGTCAGAAGTGAGGAGTGTGACACAAAATGGTACCAGATAATGATGATGTGCATCTCTGGAGAGGACTACCATCAATAAAGGAAGGGGTACATCCGAGACAGATAGAAGCATGCCTTGGTTTTAGTAGATCCGGCGACGATGACGATGAGGCAAGTTGGGTAAGCAGTTAAAAAGAAATGTCAAATTTGAATCCCTAAGACTGTCCCTTCACTCATATCACGCAACGATGCTTTGTATAGTTTCCCTTAACTGCCTACCTCTGGATCATAGAGTGGATTTCTCCATGCGCACTTTATGAACAGCCTATCTGACACTCAGTTGCTAGCTGCCAGCTGGCTGCCAGCCGTCAACTCCGTGAATCACGGACAGATGCACCACTCCAATAACAAGAGCGCACAACGCTCTCGCGTAATTGATTTGTCACTTCCCGTGGTAAAAGAAATCTACCACCCTTCCACACAATCTCCTTCTACGTGGTTACAGATGGATTCCTTCGCGATACCCGTCTGCACTGCGCCGACCGTATTTAGTGACAGTGAGTTCAGAGACTACTTTTGGGATCCTCTTTGTCTATCTCCCCCAACCTTGCCCCGCCGCGGTTACCTCCGAGCCCTCGAGCTTTACGGAAACGAGGCCAGCCTCCGCAGAAATTACATCTTTAGAAGGTTCACCACTTGGGCTGCCGAAAACCGGGACACGCACCAAAATTACCAGAGTTACGCGGAAAGTAAAGGTTACAACATTCACACCGGATTCGCCAAACCATACGAAGGACTCTACTTCAAAACCCGCCCCACAAACGTGGACTGCAAGCCTCGACAGCCAGACACACCTAAAACCGACCCTCAAGGCCTCCTACCTCATCCAGGTACTCCCGAAACGACTCAGGATGGGTTTACTCCCATTTCCAGCCCCCACGACTCCGAGGGGGAGTTTCCCCAACCTCGAGCCATACCCGAAGCCCTCAAGCGGATGTCCGGTGCCCGCCATGCCGACCCTGAGGATATTCCTGCAACATGCGTTGGCGCCGCAGAAATCGCACTTGTGCTCGCAGAAATGCTCGAGTTCTTGACAAATCCCGATATTTCTGAAGATGCCGCCAATCAGTGCCGCAAGAGTGTCAGGGAGACGTTAGATTATCTAGGAGGAAAGGAGGGCATACAGAAGTTTGTCGACGTCATCTATCAAGAATTCCCCCAGCACGACAGCTCCAACAGCACTCCCAAGTTTGGGTCCACCTTGCGAGGATGAATGGGGCCCATCCTTATGGTTGAGGAAGACCAACGCTTTGGTAGCTTGGGAATATAAGGATTCTCACCAGAAGAAGGGGCACATTCGAATCAGATGGAAGCATGCCTTGCATTTTACTACATCTGATGAGGATGAGGATTATGGTGTCAATTAGGTATGCAGTTACAAAGAAATACCAAATCGAAATTCTAAAGACAATTTGTTCCCTGTCTAACTAACAGCAGGGTTGAGGGCACAAGGGTCAAATTGAAGCTCAAGACAAAGACCAGCGTGCAACAACCGTATTGTTCAGCTACCACAGCGTTGGTGTCCCCCATATAATAACTGAATAGTAATCCCTTCCTTCAAAAATACCAGCTTGCTTCTAACTAGAATTATTAACGCTTATTTCTTTTATTCTGCACCCGTCTAACATTCTGCTTGTATTGGGCAATTATTGCTGCAAGCCGCATAGTCCAGGTTCGTTCGTGCTAATTAAAACAATACAGTCAGTATGACATAAATGTACAATAGTTCAAAGTCCAGCTTGGCGTCGGGGAAAACGCACTCGATCGGGGTCAGATCGACGGGGGGAAGGCGGCTTGTCGCAGGCTTGAGGTGGTCGAGGTTGGCCTTGATCGCCGAACGAAAGCAGTGCATGCACCGATCCTCTCTGGCGGAGAGTCGACCAACGCGAGAGAACCGAGCGGCCTTCTTCGCGTCGCGCTGCGCCTGCTTCTGTTTGCGAGACGGCATCGCGGGGGAGGTATAAAAGTGAACATCGATGAGGAGCAGGAAGTGTGTGAGCGAAGGGGGGAGGAGCGAGGTGCAGCTGGACTGATGCTGGTGATATCAAAGCAACCCAACGTGAAAACTTACAAACAACTAGGACAATGCTAGAAGTAAATTAATACCATGTCCCATGATTTGTGTGGACAGGGCATTTACCAGTAGGCACGGCGGCGAGAGAAGGGGCAGACACGCCCACATTCTCTTCTTCTTCTCCCTCGACCAGAGGTCTCTTCCCTATAGACCGATTAGAACACAGGATCGTAGAAAACCATGCAAAAGACTCACTGGTGGTTGTGGTCGTGGTCGTGGTCGACGACGACGACGACGAGGTTGCTGATGGCTACGTTAGTTCATGCTCCCAGAAAAGAATGACCAGGCTTAAATAACTTACGATTGAAGCTGGCCCAAATCGAAGACATCATGGGCATAAAGCCCGAAGGCGCCAGTTTCGAGGGGGGCAAGGGTCTTCATCTTGAGTGTTGATTTTGGGAAGTATGGATAAGGATAAGGTCTGGAAACTGCCACTTAAAAGTCCAGCCCATGTGATTGGGGTTCTCTTTGCGAAGGAAGGAGCACCCCAAAGGCGCTGCTTCCTCGCCTGGGAGTCTGTTCGCCTTAATTGGCCGGGCGAGGCTGTCATTGAGTCAAGGAAGGAGCACCCTAAAGGTCTTGGAAAGAAGGCAAGCCGCGCTGGGAGATATCGATGGTACCGCAATGTGCCATGCCTGGGGTCTTTTGTCAGAAACGCTTTTCTTCCGCGTCATTACTGCGCTCACTTACCGTTCAAGAATTCCTTGATCAACGTCGCGCGCTTCCGAGTGAGACAAAGAAGCTTTCGAGCCAAGTACGTAGAGGCGAGTTTGTGTGGTTTGAGGAAACTTGGAGGGTGACATTCCCCAAGACCAGATCAGAGACAACTTGTTTGGTCTCGGTATACTTTAGGCCAAGCTCGATGTGACTCGAGGGTACCAGGCATCTTCCGTCCGCATATGGTGTGTTGGAGGCAACGGTTAATCCACGAGGAGTGTGTTGGACCAGTTGGACCCAGATAAGATTGCCAGCGTTGGTGCCGGGCTGAAGTTGAGATCAATGTCGGGGATATAACTAAGCTGACCGACTCAGAGAGGGTCGAGGCATTCTGGGTTCTGAGTTGTATCTTTGATAAGCTATAATTCGGAGTCGTTCAGAGGTTTGGTGACCTTTAAGGTCCGGAGCTCAACCATCTTGGACTCTCGTTGAAAGAAACGAGTGGTTGATAAAGTGATGAGGGAAGGGAAAGGGAGAAAGGTGAGGGAGAGAACGAGAGAGGAGTTGGCTTTTTATCTAGAATCATCCGGAGCCGGAGGAATTCGTGAGCACAATTGACAGTGAATCATAGCTCCTTTTGAGAATTCTCGCAAACAAGAATGAATCATACCCGGTTTAGTGATGCTGGCAAACAATATTGAATCACGTCAGTGCTCAAGGTGGACAAGATAAACGAGAACAGATTTGAGTGGGGTTGCAGAACTGGCTGAGTCTGCACTCAACCGTGAAGTCAAGAAACATGTTTCCCAGCTTGTTGCATTGCTGATGATGTGTGTCTGTGCCGTGGTTCCCCATATCAGGCTATGGCCCCTGCATAATCTGGCTGTGATATCTCCAGCACAACTAGTGAACTCGGTTGCTAACTATAGATCGTCCTCTTTTGTCTTTTTCTACTCATTTTGAAAGTTCATTGACTTAGGTGTCTCTTCCGTCTGTCTGACGTTGCTCTTCAACAGTTTTTGCATAACATTTCACATTCCATTCTTGTACTTTAGGGGTAAGCTCCTTAAGATCCTAATCACTCAATCGATTCATTAGGACTTAGAGTCCTTATTTAGGGTTTTCTCTTTAGCTTTACTCAATATTATCGGATAGATCAAAACCATACAGTATTTTCAAACAGTAGCTTGGGAATATGTAGCTCGGTGCCTACCCTGGAGATGCGGTCTGGGTGAATCTTGGCAACATCCGGCGACGAATCCTTCAGCACTTCAATACTAGATGTCGGACATACAACATCGACGAATGCAGGCAAAAAGGAGCAAGTACCAAAAGTACACAACATACAATCGGTGGAATTTCATAACTCCTACGGCGTCGTGTATTTTTGTGCTCCGTTGTATCGTGAAAAAACCTTACTGGAAACATATAGCTAAAAAAGAGAAACCTCCCCAAGTCCACCCCTCTGTCTCCCCAACGCCAGACGTGCGTTTGTGTGTGTTTGTGCGTGTTTGGATGTGGTTCGTTTGTTAAATCCATGCCTTTGAGGTTGTGCGTGTGCTCCGCATCTCTCGTTGGCACGCATGGGTATGGGTGAGCGTGTATGTGAGTGATTTCGTGGTATCATTTGCGCCTCCTTCTCTTGCGCCCTAGTTCACCCTATCCTGGTAAATGGTAGCCACCCTTGTCTATTGTCCATTGAACTGCTGCTGCTGCTGTTGCTGCTGCAGAAGTTGCTGCTGCTGTTGCTCCATGCTAGGCAAACCAGACTCGACGTTGTGGTAATCAAGGATCTCAGAGTACCTGGGAGGTGGGTTAGTTCACCAATATCCAGGCAAGGCTTCGAGAGGACTCACATCATGATTTTCCAGGTATCGACAGGGAGATCGGCATCGTTGAAGCTCCAATCGAACTTCTCATCGGCGACGGGCTCATCCGTGGGATCGTGGTAGGGGGCAAGGTAGCCGTGAGCCAAGGCCTCGGTAGCGGTTATTCGCTTCTTGGGATCGAAAACAAGCATGGCCTCGAGGAGATCAATGGCTGGAATGATTGGTTAGCAGGTGGCTCCTTGGACACTCGGGTTGGTAACTCACCCGACTCATCGGCATTCCTGAACTTGTTCTTGAGGGGTTGTCGCTCTCGCTTGGGCAGCGACTTGACGAATCGCAGCGTCTGGGCCAAAGTTAATCACCAATCCACCAGCCCGCTTGTAATACCAGGGCGACTCACATTCTCGCTCGCAATGGTGTCGATGACATCATCCGGAGGTGTGCCCAGCAGCTCGGTGATGATGGAAAACTGGTTCACATGGTCCTTTCCGGGGAAGAGAGGCTTGCCCTCGAGCATCTCGGCGAAGATGCAACCAGCGCTCCAGATATCGACTTCCACGTCGTATTTTTGCCAGGTGAGCATGATCTCCGGGGCTCGGTAGTATCGGGTTGAGACGTAGCCAGTCATTTGAGGGTCCTGGATTCGAGCGAGACCGAAGTCGCAAATCTTGAGATCGCAGTTCTCGTTGACGAGGATGTTGCTGGGCTTGAGGTCGCGGTGGACGACGCCGGCCGAGTGCACGTACTTGAGACCCCGCTGCGAGATGAGTTAGCGGGATTTGATGACCAGCGACGGGTAAGGGAATGGTGGCGGAATGTCGGGCATACCATGATCTGATAGAGGAAGTACTGGATGAACTGCTTCTCAAGAGGTCGCGAGGTCAGTAATCGGTGGAGATCAGTGCCAAGAAGCTCCGTCACGAAGTAGCTGCGATGCGATCAGTATGGGCACGAGGAGGCTTGGAAGTCAAGCGAGGTCGGGGACATACATGTCCTCGAGAGGGGAGATGAAGATGTCGCTGAGGGAGATGACCTGGGAAGAGGCTCAAGTTAGTCGTCGATGTCGAGATGGGAATAGGCTTCGGCTTGAGGCGCCGAAGGGTGGTGGGCGGTGCTCACGTTCTCATGCTTAAGGTGCTTGAGCAGCTTGAGCTCACGATATGTACGCTTGGCGAGCACAGGGGTGCTGAAGGGCTTCATGATCTTCTTGACGGCGACATTTTGGTTGGTGAGTTGATCTCGGGCGGAACTGTTGGATGGGCGCACGGTTAGCGGATGCAGGCGGCCGCGAGGAGAGGGGATTGTGCTTGTGACGACGGCAGTGGTGGTGATGGTGGTGGGGGGAACGTACCAAACGAGACCGAAAGCTCCCATGCCAACGGGCTGGAGATCCGAGTACCTGGAGATGGAGTCAGCGACCGAGAAGCGGATGCGCGAGCGCGCGGAGACGGGCGGCCGTAGAGGGCGCCAGGGAGCGGGCTGTACCTCGAGGTGATCTCGAATGTGGTGCCAAAGATCTGGGCGCGGACGAACTCGGCCATGGTGAAGGCGGGGTTGAAGCGTAGAGGGGAGCGGGGATGTAACGGGAGATGGCGAGGGGAAGGGCGGGCGGAAACTCGCAACAAGGCGTTGGCGGTTGATCGATCGACGGCGTAGGATGGGATGAGATGTTCGGAGTTGGACGAGGGAGTTGCAGGAAGAGGAGGAGGAAGAATCGGTGGGTGAAAACTGATGGACGATTTGGGGGGGTGGATAGCGTTTGGAGGGATGAGGGATGGTGGATGGACGGGGGACACGCTGGACGATTAGCGGTTGGCGGGCGGTTTAGAGCGGGGGGGAGAGGCCGCTGGAATCGGGTCGAGTTCCCACTGGACTGCGCTGTCACTCTCAGACACCGAGCGTGCGCAGGGGATGATCGCGGTCGAGTTTAGGAAGGTCGGCTTCGCGTTTCTTTTTTTCCTTTTCGCTTCGGTGTTGTAGGGGTCGACTTAGTTTCCTCCTGTGACGTCGTGTGGTGGCTTCTTTTTCCTATTGTTTCCCCTGTTTGTCTCGTTTGTATTTTTGCTTCTTCTTGTCCTGTCCTCGTGTCGAGTCGGCTACTAAGAGAGGAGGCGTGCTGTCACGGAGGAGGCGTTCTGCAGGACAGCAGGAAGCGTCGGTGCAGGCGGCGGGCGTCGGCGCTGGCGCTGGCGTCTGGCGTAGTGGGTGGTCGTATAGAGGTGGCGGGGCCGATATATTGCGTAGGTATGTTACTTTGGAATTGCCGACTGGTCTTGGTTAGCAGTGTTCTCTCTATCTGCTATTCTCCGTTGGTTCAAGGGAAATGGAGCCTGAACGCAATTCAAAGTGAAAGACGCCGAGGAAGGGAGAAAGAAACACCCCGAGACAGCGCAAGACCCGGACGAGCTGAGCATTCGTTTCCAGTTGCATGCGAGGCCGCACCCTTGTCGATTTTAGCTGGGCACTATAATCGGTGGGTGGTTTGGTCAGCGCGTTGCGTGCGTCGACAGCTGCTCAACGAGCCACCTCACGGTCACGCAAGCTAGTTGCCGTTTCCCCAATTAAGACGTTGGGAAGCCGACGGGCATGTCTGGTGGCTCGCCCTAGTGCTGCTCTGCACGTCTCCTCGTGCTCACTCTGGTCGTCTTGTGGTCGTCTGTGGCACTTGTCTGTCTGCGTGCGCTGTCCCGAGAGGGAAGAGGGTGGTGCAATTGGTGACAGTGGTGGCGGCAACATTGAGAGCCGGATGAGACGCTTCACTTACCCTGCTGCGTGGCGGATGTAACGATTGAGCGTCGCAGTGGCGAAAAGAGGAAAACAGTGAAAACACGATGTTCAGGAGAGGAATGGAGAGGCAGGGCAGACTAAAAACAAGAAGAGATCGGGAACCGTACGGGATGGGAAATCTAAGCAGCCGCGGGGTGAGGGGCGAGTATTCCGATTCTCCGTCAATGCAGTGGCAGTGGCCGCAGCGGTTCCTCTTTTTCTCCCTTGATATGTCTTCTCGTCCGTTCCCTGGATGGGTCTCTGGTTTCCCCCTGTCGTGAAGGATCGAGATTTGCGATATACGTAGGCTCGTGTGGGGAGGGGTGGGTGTCGGTTGTGAAGGCTGGTTGTGGATGTGTGTTTGCTTAGGCGACGGGACGAGCTTGAAGAGGAGGGGGATTCGACGAAAGACGGAGGTGAAGAAGAAGAGGGAAAAGAGGGGAATGGCTCTGGGACAGAATCAAGACTCGGGCAGCTTCTCCAACTTATGCATGTAGGTTGTCGTCTCATCCCGTGTTGGATGCATTGCAGCGCCCCTCCCTGTTGTCGTGCGTGTGAAGTCGGTGTGAAGTCGAAATGCAGTGTTTCGAGATCCAATTGGAGCTTGGGAAGCTATCCGAGTTCTCTAGCATGAGCTACGTAGGTGGCCATTCCCAGTGTCAATGGCATGCCGATTTCCGTCTTCTCGAGTCGTCTTCTCCCGTCCCTCCATCACCGCGGCACTAGAAGCCCATCAGTTGTTGGCAGATACCGGCGCTGGGCGATGGCGTTTTTGCCAGCACCCTGAAAGCACCCTGAAAAGCACCATCACCCACACCCCCTGATTGCTCCCGCATGCCGACATGTCCCATCGCGGTCTCGAAAACCTGGAAATGCTGCTCCCATCGTCCTCCGATCTGTGCCTCATCCTCACAGCTGCGCGCCGACCCCCAAAACAATGGCCCCTCCATGACGTCATAGACACAACCCCCTCCCCTGAGCGCCAGACGAGACAAGCCGCTCAGGGCGTGCACGGCCCCCAACGGCCCGCCCTGCCCTGCTCTGCTGTCCCTGTCTGGTCTCTAAGACTTGCCGGGTACAGTCCCTTGCGAAATGCCGTGGCCGTGTACCTCTGCTCTGTTAAGGTCCCCTCGGTGCCAGTACCTTGTAAGACTTGTCCCAAGCATCGGGGTCACAGTGACAAATCGGCCATGTTCTGTTCTTTCTTTCTCTCCCCAGTCCCACAGCGCACAAACCACACAAACACTACTCCGTACCGGGACACTTACTGCGTATTATTGCGTAGGTAGTATTGCGTACTATTCCGTAGTAATTACCTCTTGTTCAGCTAGCTGCAGTCGTTTCTTTTTCCATCCTGGCTCCTTTTCCATCCCATGCATGCATGAGTTTTTTGCCCTAAATTCCCCTGCTGCTGCCATCGTTGCACTTTTCTTCCGCCGCCCAACCCCGCCGACGTCATCCTGCATTCCCACCCCAGCCGCCATGATTCCACTTGTGCCGAGTCCTATCCGCCCACGCAGACGTCACTGTCATCTGTCATCTGTCGGTCCTGACGCCAGCGCATCGGCAACCCGTCTTATCTTAGATTCGACCCAAGGGTACCGAGTAACTCCCAATTGATACCTCGGACAAGGGCAGGCAATGCCCCTGAGTTGTAGATCACTTGTGAAGAACGCCTCAACTTACATGCTCAACCTGCAATGGCAAGCAAGCTTCCCTTCACACACGCCAGAACCAGATAATTTCCCGGAAACAAGAATGAACCAATCTTTCGAAACAAATAAGATCATGTAGCTCTCGTAAACCCTTCCTTCCTTTTTCGCCACACAATATCTTAGCTTCGGGTGCCCTGTCGATCAACCCAGTCCATCTCGTCTTCCATTGTCATCGTTCCAGATCGACTACCATCATGACCAAAACTTACCAAACAAAAGGCTTCCAATGGCCAGAAATATTCCGTCCCGTCGTTCGAGACCCTACGATCGACACCGCCAAACCCCCGGGATGAACGCCTCCCGCGTGGCTTGTTCCGGGATCTCTTAACTAACACCCCCAGGATGACCCAGCTTGTCAAATCAGGTACTTCACCCTTAACATAGGTGTCTTGCATTTCATACTTGACACGGCTATTTTCATAGGGTTTCCATGCTATCCTGTTGGCCCTGTCGTCCCCGGTCCAAGTGTTCCCTGTCACATCATCTCCACCTGCTTCTGAAGCCTCCCTCTTCCCAAGCAGATACTCCGGGGTTGGTACAAGCCGCACATACGGCACATCCAAGATCAGCCACTGCATTAGTCTTCAGAGGGACACCCCTCATCCCGTGGTACCGGGACGCAGGAAAGGAGGGGGTTGTAGTTCACCCCTTGCGCAGCGGATCGACCCTCTCGAACCTGCAGCGGGGGGACCCTTACGCTTGCTAGTACCCTGCAAGACTGGGACCTAAAGTGCAAGAACCTTGAATAGGTTGATCCAAATAAATACGAGTTTCCCCTAGAGCAGAAACAACCGTCTTCTCCCTCTTGCACCGCGGGGTCTGACATCTACCATCCTTATTCCCAGACGTCCCAGCACATTTTCAATCATCATGACCAACAGATAGGGTTCCCATACATTCCCGATTTATAGGAAAACGAGCCGGTCAAGGTGTTTCTTTTATTTCTTTTACTTTGTCTCTTCCACTCAACACGAGGCTGTGTGTGGCGGTAGGTGACAGTTATTTCTAGTTCGATGCAGCTGTTCGACACGCGACAGGGATACCACAAAACACGACTTCAGCGCGCTTCAATATCAAGGCCCTCAGTTATCAAATGAGTTTGCTAATTCACCTGTCGGTGTCTAATAATTTCACAGCGGCGTGAAAAGATCGCCGGGCTGTCCCAGTGTTGGAGATTACGTAGCGGGGCCATCTAACATTAAGCTCCCTTACTCATGGCACGGCAATCCAGATCAACGGTACCAGGAAACAATTTCAGTTGCAAATATGTCATGTTCGTTCATTACAAGGTAAACCCAACCATTTCAGTGCAGACCGTCTTACTGGAAGCTACTCCTCCGAATCCATGTCAATCTGCCCTCGCCCGCCTCATTCCCAGTTTAAACTTCGCCTCTACGAGTCTATACCCGCTTCGCTTTCACCTTCTAGTCATGAACGACGAGCGGCTCGACGTTCCAAATCATATCCGCGTACTCATTGATGCAACGATCACTGCTGAAGAAGCCCATGCGAGCCACCGAGATGATAGACTTCTTGATCCACTCCTCCTGGTTTTGGTACGCCTCGTCCACGAGGTGGTGCGTCTCGATGTAGCTGTGGAAGTCATCCGAAACCAGGTAGTAGTCGCCGTGCTGGCGAACAGCAGCCATCATGGAGCTGAAGTCATCGGGCGTGCCAAATGTCCCCTTCTCGATCTCCACAAACACCTTCTCCAGGTCAGGGTCAATGGCGTGATCTCCATAGTTGTGGGCGTGACGTAGGTCCTCGACGTCCTCGGCGAGGTTACCGAAAAGGAAGATGTTGTTCTCGCCGATTTCCCGAGTGATTTCAATCTATGTCACATTAGTCTAGTTCATCGGCAGGGTTCATCCAGGTCGACTTACGTTGGCACCATCACAAGTACCAATGATGAGGCCTCCGTTGAGGACAAACTTCATGTTGCTTGTGCCCGATGCCCTAAGCTGTGTAAGCAATCACCCGGTAACACTTGAGAAGCCAACTTACTCGGTACCCGCAGTGGAGATGTGTTCGCTGAGATCAGAAGCCGGGCAGATAATTTCGGCCTTGCTCACGTTGTAATCGGCAATGAAGATGACCTTGAGAAGGTCACCAATGTCCTCGTCATTGTTCACAACTGCTCCGACGCTGTTGATCAGGTGAATGATCTGCTTTGCCATCCAGTACCCTGGAGCAGCCTTGCCACCGAAAATGGAGACGCGAGGGAGCTGCTTCTTCCTCTCCTCGGGCTTCATGGCCTTGAGGGTCAGGTAACGGTGAATGACGCCAAAGATGTTGAGTTGCTGACGCTTGTACTCGTGGATACGTTTGACCTGAACATCAAAAAGGGCAGCTGGGTTTACCGTAACACCGTTTGCGGCCTTGATAAGCTTCGCAAGGCGGACCTTGTTGGCGTACTTGATCTCATACCACTCTTTGCGGAAGTCCTTATCTTCTGCATATTGCTCGATGCGGTTCAACAGAGTAAGATCCTTGAGGAATTCATGGCCGCCAACCTTGGATGCAATGAGCTCCGACAGTCGGGGGTTGGCCTGGTGAAGCCAACGACGGGGAGTGATGCCGTTGGTCACGTTGGCGAACTTGTCAGGGCCGTAAATCTCCACAAAGTCTTTGAAGATGGTTGTCTTGATGAGGTCCGAGTGCAACTCAGCGACACCGTTGACCTTGTGAGATCCGACAATGGCCAAGAAAGCCATCCTTACCATCTTGGGCTGGGATTCCTCAATGATGGAAACTCGCCGGAGCATGTCTCGGTCCTTGGGGAACGCCTTCTCCACCGCCTGGAGGAAGTAGAGATTGATTTCATAGATAATTTGCAGATGTCTGGGGAGGAGGTGTTGCATCAGACCAACGGGCCACTTCTCCAGAGCCTCCGGAAGGACGGTGTGGTTGGTGTAGCCAAACTAGGAAATGTCAGAGTATGTTTTGTGGTTAAGATTTCAAGACTTACAGTTCTTGTGACAATGTCCCAAGCCAAATCCCACTCCAAGCCCTCAATGTCCAAGAGGATGCGCTGCAACTCCACAATAGCAAGGGTGGGATGCGTGTCGTTTAGCTGGATAGCTACCTGGTCGGGGAACTCGACCCAAGGACGGTGGGACTTCTTGAAACGACGGACAATGTCGTAAAGAGAGGCAGCTACCCAGAAGTACTGCTGCTTCAGACGGAGCTCCTTGCCGCGCTCCAGGTTGTCGTTGGGGTACAAGACAGCGCTGATAGTCTCAGCTCGCTGCTGGTCAGCGACCGAGCTCTCGTAGTCTCCGCTGTTGAACTTTTGGAAGTCGAACTCTCCGCCAGAGGCCTTACTGGACCAGAGTCGGAGGTTGTTGGTCGTAGGCGTGTCGTAGCCAGGAATAGGCACATCGAAAGCCACAGCCTGGACGATTTCGCCTCCCTCCCACTTCGTAATGGTCTTGCCCTCGTCGTTGATGGACTTGGAAACATTTCCAAAGAATTGAATCTGGAGCGACGAGTTAGCTCTTGTTCCATCATGGCCATCATATGCATGGGTTGGTGCTTACATCGACCGTCACATCGTGTCTAGGAAACTCCCAAGGGTTGAAGTCAAGCCAGTAGTCGGGGACTTCGACCTGGTATCCGTCGATGATCTCCTGCTTGAAGATTCCGTATCGATATCGAAGACCGTAGCCCCAGGCGGGGTAGTCGAGAGAAGCCAGGCTGTCGAGGAAGCAGGCTGCGAGACGACCGAGGCCGCCATTGCCCAGGGCGGCATCGTGTTCTTGTCCAATGATGTCTTCGATGCGGAATCCGAGATCAGCGAGACCAGCTAATTAATACGGTTAGGGTTTGTTCAAAAGGGCATAGCTGTGGTGAGTGCGTGCTCACCCTTGGCCGTGTCCTTTTGTCCAACATTGAGCATGGCATTGTCCAAGGCGCGGCCCATCAAAAACTCAAGACTGAGGTAGTAGACGCGCTTGGAGTCGCGGTAAGTCTGACGCTGCTGGGTTTTGTTCCAGTCCAAGATCAGACGATCACGGAAGGCCAAGCTAGTGGCCGAATAGGCGGCGTTCTCGTCGCAATTGAAGACGCTTCGAGCGAGCGTGGTTTCAACATGACGGACAACCTCCTTCTCAAAGTCGTCCTGGCTCCTGAAGCCACCAGTTTGGTTTTTCTTCCATGCCTCGCGCTGGGGTTCGGGGATGGAAGCTATTCAAGGTGGTTAGCATCGCGGCCTAATTCGCCACTTACACGAGGATGGTGGGGTAACGGTTGCAGCTGGGTGAGATTGCTACCGCGGGCGGTTGCCAGCAATTGACGAACACCAATTGCTGGGAATCTGATGGGGACTGTGCTATGTGAGGGGCTTCACCGTACCTTCAACGCTGGTGATCTCGCTCGGGCCGAAGCCGGTGGCGGTTCTGGTGTGTTTGGGGCGAGAGATGCCCGCGGGGCCGACAGCACCCTGGATGTCGACAATCGGGGCGCTTGTAGAGGGACGCCTCTGGCGAATTGGCATGGGCTCCTGCGCGGAAGCCATATTTTCAGCCTGATTTTGGGACTGGCTAGCAAAATATCTAGGAAAAGAACAATCAGAGCATGAAGGAGGGGAGGAGGAGGGAGGGGAGGAAGCTCAGGAAAGCTTGCGCAGCAGGTGTTAAGTACCACGACTAGCTCCTTGCTCGGTGAAGGCGAAAATCAGATCAGGTCACCCACCGTACTTCGCTACAGGAGTGATTGAGTACGTCAGATAACGCGACTCGCCGGGACAGCGAGACCAGGCAAGACGAGACGCACCTCAGGTGGGGGAGCGGGGTCGAAGTGTCGAGGAGTTGCAGGGTGCGAACAAGGTAAGCTCGCAGTAGCTTGGACTGGATGGATATACGCCCTGCTTGTGCGAGACGATGAGGCGGGACAGCACACGGAGCAAGCGGGAGGGATGGACGGTTCGCAGAGGAGGAGGAGGTGAAGGATTGGAGATTGGATTGGAAATTGAAATAAATAGAAGAGAAAGTCGAAGAGAAGTCGGCAGGTGAGTCGTAGGTTTTGAAGGGCGGCTCGATTGATGGATACCGCAACCAGCTGGTAGCTATGTCGGTAACTAGGCAGTGGGTGAGACAGATGAAGCGCCGCGGGGGAAGCTAGCTTAGCGGATCCAGAGTACGGGAGCAGCGAGCAGAGGAGGGCGAGCGCAACGGAGCAGAACAGAGAAGAGACGAGGATGATGGCAAAGGGATAGTAGTCCAGAGGTAGCAATAGCTGTATATTTAATTCATGTCGGGGGTGATGAGAAGAAGAAGATGAAGAAGAAGAAGAAGAAGACGTCGGGTATTGATTTAGGGAGGAAGGCAAGAAGGTATGGTACCCCCTCTCTCTCTTGCCTCGAGGGGAGGCATGCTCCATCCCCCTCCATCATGGGATGTGCAGGCGCTCTGGACCACTGCCTCCTCTTCTCCTCTCCCCATCATGCCTACTGCTACGCAGCTATTCCTATTCTACACAACCTCCTCCCTCCTGGTCCCCCCATCCAGCTCCTCATTGACTGATCCATATGCATGTCTGAGCATTCGGGTCTCTCAGCCAACTGCCAGCTTACCGGTGAGCTCCCCGCTGCCACCTCCCCCTTCAGAACAACCATCCCGTCTGTAACATGACGACATTGTCGGCACACACGCGCGAACAAGCACCGAGCGTCCAGCTGCCAGCATCACGCATCTAGCATCGCGCATCGACGGCTACATACAGCTACGAATTGGGGCGCCTTGGAGCAGGATCCCCTCACCCTCACATGCATGCATCGCAGCTCGCAATCCATCACGCATCCCACCCAACAAGCCTCTCAATGTCCCCTCATTCCTCCATCATGTCGTACGCTCTTGTTCTTGCTCCATCGTCTCCCAATCGCCCCTCCACAGTCCAGACCAGCTACCTAGCTTCATCCTAGTCGACCCCCCCTCTTCGCCACGGATTGCGGGGCCGCGACGTCCGCCACAGCGACCGTGTACCCCCAGAACCGAGATCTAGATGTCGAGAGACTCGCCTCCGAACCACCCGGCTTTCGTCGTGGATACTTAGCAGCCGAAAACCCCCCCATGGCTTCATGAGGCATTTGCCCCCCTCACCCGTTCGCTAAGAAGCCAAGCCCACTTGTAAAACAAAACGCCCGTGGGTTGAATCTCATGGATCTTGCCGAGTCGGCGCTTGCCCCTGGTCGTCATGACGCAGGCGGCATTTGATATCCGCCGCGCTCAACTTGCGATCGGTCTTCGGCGAGCGCATCGCCGCGGTGGTCTGATGGTGGTGCTGGACCTTGTTGGTGTTACCGCTCGCTGCGAGTGGCGAGCCTTTGTTTCTTTTCATCTTCACCCCCTGTCGGTGGAAACGGACCCCCTGTCGGTGTCTACCAACCAACTCCTGCAATTGCCAAATGCATCCAGTTCTCCAACAATCAAGCTCCATGGCGCCTCGCAGTTGAGACATCCGTCCTCGGAGGCCCAAGCTCCAAGCCACGTCCACAACAAGCTGACGCCCCTTACGACCTTGGCTGGGACGCATGCGAATGGCCGCAGTTTTGAGGTATGCCGATGGTAGGGTTGTACTTGGGAACAGCTGCCAACAAGGTATAGGGTTAGGCTTTACAGATGGAGAGATACATGATCCCCTGTAGCCCAGTTAACACGTGAAACCCCCCACGAGCTGAGCAGGGAGCTACCGAAGGCCGCGACACGCGCAAAACCTTCCCATTGTTTGACCGATGTTGAGGCGCTTTTGCAAAGTGGCTGCAGATTCAAAGCCCCTCCTCGACGAGGCGGGTGATCAATTACTTACCGCCTGCTATAAGCTTCAATCCGGCCTCAAACTACCCCAGCCTGGTCTGGCTTTCATCCGGCCAGCCCCCTCACCATACTCCAAGTCACCACGAAGACCATTTTCACACAGATGAAAGAGCCCATCAAACTAGTTTGATAGAAGGTCACATAGTACTGATGAATCCGCCTCGCTGAAAATCTCCCTTTCCATCATCAATCCCCGAGTTCGGGCTGAGCTACTTTGAAAACCACCAACTCGCATGCCACACAGTCCCGTCTCCCGGTGACGTCCCGTCATCGTCAGACAACAACAATAACAATACCTCAAACCATGCGCTTTCTACCCCAGCCTAGAAATCAGCAGTGCCCACAGGAATGGAAAGCAATGATTTTTTTTTGCTTTGTTTCACTCTTTTCCCCACGTATTTAAATTCCATCATCCACGTTCCCTGTTGGCACTGCCTTTCTGTAGGGTTCATCGCTGCCATCCGTATCCTTTCAATCAAAGCTGCCTCCCTAGAACCCACTCCGTGTCCGAGTAGGCAAAATCCAAAGATGTAAGTCTTGGGTTCCCACGTCTATTGGCCAATCAAGGGCCACAAAACGAAATAAGAACAGGGAAAATATATAAACATAAAGCGTCGTCATACTGGATGTGACTCTCGTCCGGGTGTCGTCGTCGAGCTGTGTGTTGTAGTTTCGAACAGTAGTTGATTCGCCATTCAATCCAGACTGTAGCGGAGAGTCCGTCCGTACGTGAGCGTGTGAGGGCGAGAAAAGAGCGTAGAAGCAGGAAACGCCGCATCGAAACAAACAAAGGGATGTGTAAAAATAAGTCGTCCTCCTTCCCATCCCCAAAAACTCCGGATAATGCTCGCGACGCCAGCCCGTACAGTCCCGAATATTCACATCATTGGTCAAAAACAAAACAGCATTTTCCCATCAAAGAATCCCAGAGTCCTTAAGCGCGTTATTCAGGATGGTCTCTTTGACCGCCGCGAAGACGAGCCGGATGTTGGATGTATCTGTTGCTTGTGTCAAGCTGCGGCATGCGTTAGCTCCTTATCCCCATCTCCACAGGCTTCAACTTCGGAGTACATACTGAGGGTACAGATTTAGATGGGCCCTGTTGACCTGGTTGAAGCGCCATAGCAAATACTTGGCCGCCTTGTTGACATCGTTGCCTCCAGAATAATCGGGAAAGTAGTTGCCGAGAGGTGACCGCGACAGCTTCAGCTTAAAAATATCTACCTTGTTCAGGAATAGAATGATGCTGGTTCGCATAAACCAACGCGAGTTCACCACAGAGTCGAAGAGTAACAAACTCTCCATCATTCGATTCTAGTCTTGTTAGCAAAGCCCATCCCATCGCGGTTCCTCGTAGGAGTGGACCTACCTGGCTGCTCTCCTCTAGCAAAACCTGGTCATATTCGCTCAGAGCAACGCAGAAGATGATCGAAGTCACATTCTCGAAGCAATGAATCCACTTCTTACGTTCGCTTCGTTGACCACCCACATCAAACATGCTATTCCAAGTGTCAGCAATCCGATGGCGGCTCCAAAAATGGCGTTTTGGGGAGCCTTACTGTATGCTCAGCTGGCCCATCTGGAACCTCGTCTCGTAAATCCCCGTCGTTTTCGTTCGTGCTCGGAGGACGTCCATTTCGTTGGGGAGGTAGTCGGCGGCAACTATTCGTAAGACCTCCTGGAAGAAGCTGTGCAGACGCCGATTAGAAATTGTCGCGTCATCCAAACTCGTACAAACTCACTATTCTGCCGAGTCCATGAGGTAAAACTCTGTCTGGTGCTCCATAAGAAGTTCCCTAGCTGGGTCTTCCCATAATGATTGTACGGCGACGCCAACCTGAGCATCAATTTGTGCTTGGGGGCCGGATTCGGCCTGATACTCCATGAGGAACTCTGCGTGAGTCTTGTTCTCGTCATTTTGTGGTTCGATGTTGAACTGCTGCATGGCCGTGATGACGGCCTTGGCGCACTCGACGAGGTTCTTGAAGACGGTGGGTCGATAGTTGAAAAGCTCATCCTCTGAATACCCCTGGAGGTGGATTATCTTCATCTGCTTGACAATTGTCGACTTGCCACTTTCGCCGGAACCTGGGGTCTATGTCAGCCATGGCAGTCCTCAGAGAAGCAGCCCACGCGGGCCGTGGTACAGGCCTACCTAGAAGCAAGATCTTGCATTCCTTCCGTAATCGTTTCGAATCCTCCTCGAGGATCTTGTCGATGGCCTGACTCTTCTTCTTCTGGTCCACCTCCTCATTGCTCGAACTCATACAGGCACCCATCTTGGCGAGTCTGCGAGAGTGCGCAGCGTCGGGCCTTGGAAAACGGCTGCGCTGGCCCGGTGCTTTTCGGGCTCAATTCGGTTCGGGTGTCGCGATAAGGGCAATCAGCGGCGCATGGCTATCGGTTGCATCTAGCAGGCAGCGTCGTGGGATCAGGGAGCGCCCCAGGGAAGTAGCAGTCGTCGAGTGTCCGGGAACGAGAGGCGTCGTGATCCTGGGGCGATGCGAGTTCGGTCGGCGGTTGGTTGCGGAGGATGGCTGGCGAGGGCGGAGTAGTGGAGGGAGGAGCGGATACGGAAGGGACGGGCTGGAGAATTGATCGTGTCCAGTTGGCGTGTGTCGTGAGGGCGAGAGGAGGAGGATGGCGAGAACGCGAACGTAGCCAGGCCAGGGTTGGTGGCTGCTGGTGAGGTGTTCGCGGGTGAGAGAGCAAGCTGGAGAGGCGGAGGCCGGCGTGGAAGGGTCGAGGATGGTGCTAGACAAGGCCTGGCTGGCGGCGGTGGGCGGAGGAGAGATGGTATGGCCCCCGTCCGTATTGCAGAGCAGTGGCTAGGCCGCACTGGGAGCTTGCAGGGCGTGCTAAGTTACAGTGGAACTGCAATGACGAGACACAGCACGGCGGTAGGTGGGACCAATGGGGGGCGTCGTGTGGGGAGCCCGAGGACGCAGGGGTGTGGGCGAGGGCGGGCGAGGGCGAGGGCGGCAGGAATTGAAGGGGGGCGGCAGGATCAGGATATCTAACTGGCAACCTGTGCTTTTTCTGTTTTTAGAGGGATCGTGGAGGCGATGGCTTTGGCGTCGGTAACGGAACCGGAACCGGGAAACGAGGCAATTGAAGAGTCAGGTCTCGCCGAGAGAGCTGCGTGCCACAGGGCTTATGAGTGTTTATGTGATGTGCATGTGCAGAGTTGGGTAGGTCTACGTCGAAGTGCACGAGAGCCAGGCAGGAACGAGGCAGGAAACGAGGCAGGAAACGAGGCAGTCGGGCGGCAGGCTGTGAGACCGTGAGGGCCAGCGTGACCTTCCCTAGACAGGCCAGCAGGTGCAGCCTTTGTGTGTTTTGCAGTCAGCAACTGAGTCCGGGCACTCGCTTGCAGAGTACACGACACAGACGGAATCGAGACCCAATCGCCGCGATGATAAGAGGTCGATGAAAACCTGATGATGGTGTCTTTGTTTGGTTTGATGAAGATGATGCTGATGCTGATGCTGATGGGGCACAGCCGGGCCAGACCCTGCCGCCCGCCCTGGTCCTAGGATGTGGGACTACACTCTGCGCTGCAAGTCTCCATCTCGTTCAGACTCCGGACTTTCGCGATCCCCTCCCGTCCTGCGGAGTAGAGCTGGGCGCGATTCCTCCGGATGGTACATAGTAGTAGTCAGCGCTCCGACCCGTCGATGCCTGGTTCGAGAAGGCTTCTGGGATGCCAACCGGTATTCGCGTCTGACACCGTCACCGTGCAGAGTCCCAGCATCCGCAAGCCAGATCACTACCAGTCGGGCGACGTGATGGAGAGATAGACTCCATTGGGCCACACGCTGATTGTTGGCCAGCCTCAGCCCAATCCTACCTTGTTCAAGCCAGGGATACAGAAAACCCGCCGGGTCGGGGCTCCAACACCGGCACTGGCAGTCAGTAAACAGGTGGTGTGAGTTCTGTTTTTTTTTATCACAAAGTTCCAGGCCTCGGCGTTGTCTTGGCTCTTCCTTCGGTGTCGCCTCCAGGAACCTAGCATGGATGCATCCCCCGGACCAGGATAGTCCTGTACAGGCTGGCACAAAGCGCCGCTGAACCGGATCACTACGACTCAGTAACTTTGAGGGACTCTTCTTAATTCGCATCCCATAGCCTCCATCAGCTGAGGAATACTCTTTTCAGGCGCACTAAGTGCAGCCGCGCTCAAACCTCGACCTGTCAAAAGGCCAGGTCCCGCCGCCGTCCCCGAGATGTCTCACAATGTTCTGCGAGGCTTGGCAAAAGGGGCTGCAAATTGCGCTGCGCTGACAGCCCTGTCCACCACTGCCGTTTTAGTCGCTTGCTGCTTTGGGGTAAGATGCTGATAGTGGCCTAGCAATGGATGAGGTGGTGGTACAGAGCGTACAGGCAGTGGGTAGAACCGAAAGCCTGCCCGTTATCATTCTCAGAGGCCAACGACAGCATTGGAGGCCATCGTTGATTGAATGCGCCACCATGCAATGAGAGGGTGTTGCGGCTGTACTACGTAGTACTCCACCGAAGTCTTCAACTCGCCGCTCAGGGCGCTGCCCATGGTGAACACTCAACGCACTCAAACCAAAGCCGGTGGAGCCGGGGTCGCACCCCAACTTTCTTTTTTGGCACGTTCACACTCGGACGAGGCCCACCTGGAGAAGGAGAGGAGAAAATGACAGAAACCAACAAAGAGGAGCAGGGAGGCGTGTGGAACATGAGCTTCGAGACACGACGGGCTGTAAACTCTACAAGGACCAGCACCCTCGTCAGGCAGTGGGGGTGCCCTCCCACTGACTGCATCTGATGCTATGCTTTGTTGGGCGGGAGCTGCAGAACGCGTACGGTGCTTCGCAGGCACCCAGATTGCGACTCGAGTCGATACCTCACAACGTGGGCGACACCAGCAATTCAGATGGCGTTCAAAACCTTAGCAAGCCACCTCCGATTGTGCCCAGCTCGATTGGATGGTCCGATCCAATCCCTCGGTTGTCAGCTGAGACTGATTCATGGAAAATTCATCTTCACCTCCCACTCATCTCTATCCGGGCGTTTTGTTTTAGCCCACCCCAATACTTTGGTATTACGAAAAGTGCACATGAGTCTGTGTCCAAGCAAAGTTGACTGATCTCAGCTTGCTCGCCGTGCCTCCACATGCCTCCTACCTCCCTGATTCCCTCGCCAAAATGATCGCCTCGATGCAGCAAGGGGGTGCGCACATTCCTCCTCCCTTCGTTTCTGACCCCCGGACCTTGTCCGCACCTACGTACGCCAATACCAACCTGCTAATTAACCAAACCCGTCTTTGGTGCAGCGGTGTGACCTGGCACTTTTCTCACCGAAGCCCAGCCGCGCTCAGTCAGATGCGGCGGTCCGCCCAACCGCAATTTGGCAAAGTATCAATAATCACTTCGATCATCACAATCCCAAGACGGGCAGCGAATCACCGACCCGCCAGCTTACCCCGACTCCAAGGACCCAGTTAGTGGAGGCCAGACTCGTTGGTGCGCAATTGGTGACGGCTCCCGGTCCCCGATGGCACGACCAGGAAGACACGTGGGCGCCAGCTGAGAACTTGACGACGCAAAAAGCAAAAAGTGAGCGACCGACAATGTACATAGGGCGCATGTGCAGTAGCATCAGGACAAAATGTACAGACTTGGTCCTCACTCAGCGGCAACTCGTCAAACATCTGGAGCAACAGCACGTTGCGGCTACAAGTTTGATGATCTGATTCCTATTAGTCGCCTTACTGGGCTACATGCGTGGATGGGTGAGGGAAATTAAACGGTGCCGATAAGACAACATCGGTCGAGACGAACACCTCCACCCCGCTATCCATCTTGCACTGAAGCCTACAGATTTCCGTCGATATATCACGATCACCGAGACTCACCGGGGTGTGCTCCATATCGGGGAACTCTCTTCGGTAACCGCCACTTCCTGTCGCTTCTCGCTTCTCATCTCTAGCCCTTTGAGCTCCCTTCCCTGCCTCTCGCAACATGCTCGTCCTGTCTCGCCGGCTTCCCGATTCGGAGACCCTAACCCCACTTGCAGTCAGCACTCACACGCCTAGAGGTCTCCATGTGTCTCCCCGATGACCCCCGTGGTTCACCTCGTTCGTTCCTCGGCGCTGCGAATCCTCCTGGGGTCGCACAGTTGGTAGAGCCGCCGAGATAGCTCTCGGTTGCGGACTGGCGTGTCTGGGCGCCCAAGGAAGTGTTCCAGAAGGCAGCTAAGACCTTCCCGGTTCTCGTTCTAGCTGCATGAGCCCACTAGGTCCAAAGACGCCCGGGGTGAAGGCACCCATCTCGCCCGATGACTCCACATCAACTCACAATTCGATGCCACTCAATGCATCCATCCACCTCGAGCCTGGACGAGGCGGAGGTCTTGTTGTTAGCCAGTCTCATCTCCTAGTCACTTGATTCAGCTCAGCAGGAGGTTTTGTGAACACAAGACGCGATGCAATCTGTTTGTGTCAGGTCCCACGTCTCACCACAGTCCATGGGCTGTTTCGAAAAGCCTCTCTTTGTCAACAGACAACATAATGTCTTTGTCCCACGTCGAGGCGAACCATCCCGCATGAACAATGCATTGCTGCGCTGCAGAGAACGGGTGTGTATCACACTGTCATGGCATGACGAACACCTGGCATTGAATCAGCCTTCTCTTTTGCCCCCTATATCTGATTCCGATTCTTGTGGCTTAGATGCGACGCGGCGACATCCCGCCAAGCCCCTGAGCCCCCTTTACCAGCATCGCTCTCTATCGTTCGTCCCATCTAGGACTTGATGCACGGATGTCTTCAGCCACGACGAACTCATGCGCATCCTTTGGTGGCTGAAGAAAGTGTCCGATGTCTTGGTCGTGACTGGCCTCGAAGAGCGCCCGCCCCATTAGCCTTGCTGTCTCACCGCTGGTCAACCTTATGGAAAAATGCTGCCTAGCCGAGAGCTTAGCAGTGATGGGGCGAATCCTTCGCATGCAGGCGCCCGATTTCCACTTGTTCTGGGCGAGGGGTTTGTGTCAGTCACTTGGCAACATGTGAAACCTTGCCGAACTTTGCGCGTTTAGTTGTCGGCGTGCTAATGACGCATCCTAGACCGAGTTGATTCATGCACAAACCGCGGGTATCGTGGCGATCATAAGCAAGAGTTACAAATGCGGCAGGTGCGGAGCGTAAGCTTTGGGCTAACTATGCCCTCTCTAGTCTCATTCCTCTGACAAATACCAGTAGTTGCGTATTTTTCTCATCTTGCACTCTTGGGTCTCCCAAAGCGGACGGCTGGAAACACATCAAGCTTCTAACCTTTTTATTGATTCGGTTGAATTTGTGATCAGCTTGTTCTTCCAAAATAATTACGCAAACTGTCGCCCATTATGAACATGAAATAGAAATTGTCGCGTCTATTTGGATTGCCCTTCAATCGGCCCTCTTTGTCTCCAGATGTGTTGACCCTGTAGAAGATAAACTGTTTTTTTATGAAATTGATAGGCGGCATAGAACCAGAACCTTTCGTGGCAATTGAGAATAACCTCAACTCCAATGAGCTCTCGAGATCGCAGGGACTGGGGATTTGTCTTCAATCATAGTTTCTTGTGACGTCTACCCATCCAGCCCTTGGTTAGGTTCGAGGCTAGAACTTAGGGCGATGCTCCTTCGCCTCAGCGCTTTTGCCGATCATGGCGTAGCGTAGATCCCAACCACCAAACTACTACTCATAGGCTCAGTCGTCGTTTATCTCAAGCCCGGGAGGCTTGTTTCAGTTGCGCCGGATTTGCCATGGTCTGCACGGGGCGGAGACCACGCCCACTGGTGACATCTACGTCCAGGCTGTTTGCGGGTGCTTGTGCGGCTTGGCCCGTCAGATCTCACAAAGACTTCGGCTCCGGGTCTCTTCCAAGCTACTAGGTGGAGGTGGTTTGGTGTCTTCTGACTCGAAAATGTGCGCCAGTAGTGAGATCGCCAAATTCTCCGACTCAATTAGTCGCAGAAGGGTGCCCTTGTTTTGTTCGCTCAGTGGCGAGGGGGGGTGGTATTCAGGAAAGGATTCCGATTCTTTCCCTCACATCTAGCATAGGATCTTTTTTCGAACTCTGTCACTATTTGATTGAGACTTCAAAGCACATCTGTCGATCTATGTTGATGTCATGATTCCTTACTGTTGTCAGTCAAGGAGACCCCAATTATCAGTGTCTCGATAACCACATGCTCCTTTGAAGAACAAAAGTTTATTTGCGGAGTGGGCTGGGGTTTTTGCAAAGCATAAGAATAGACATTTTCCAGAGTACCGATGGCACGGAACCTCCTTGCCTGCAACCACGTGGGAGTTCCTTGCATCCTTTGTTGCATACACGTGGCAGAAACTCACTGTGATGAGCGAAGGAGGAGCACCCATGTTGTCGAGTCTCTGACCCTCGAAGATCTCGGGAGTCTCAGGTACAGTATGTGCGCGGAGATTAAAATAGCTCGCCAGAATAAAGAGAGTGACCATGGATCATCAAGGCAGTTCGTGGTTGGTGGAGGAGGGAACAAAGCTTCTTTCAAAATAGCCTGTTTAGAATGAAACCCACCACTTGCTTTGCATCACGGGGGACAATATCCGGCACTCGAGGCTAGACCAAATGGTCACTTGGGCTTGTGGGTTACGGCTCTTCGTGCGTGAATATTGATTGCACAGATGGCACTAGAAATTCGTTGACAAGAAGTGTAGGCATAAGCTTAGGTTAGGTGTGGGGTAGCTCGATTCGAACAACGCCAAAGGGAGTCGTCCGTCACCATAATCTGTGCAAATGAATACTCTGTAACCTCCGTCGCCTGATAATGGCCCCAAAATAGGGTGGTGTGCTCGCCCTTCATGTTTCTTGGAAACTTTCAGAAGGCGAGGCAAGTTTATTGCACATGTCCCTGACGTAAACTAGCGAAAGTGCTGGAAGAGGGATGCATGTTTCGTCTCGCCGTGATAATTCCCGAAGCTCTCACAGTGACTGCTGGTATTTTGAGGTGATTTCACTTGCGTTGTTCATGTTTAAAGGCACGCCTTGAACAAGAGGGTTTGCATGCCCAGACCCACAAGCTCTTCAAGACACCTGGCAAAAGACTCAGATGCTGCTCTATATTCCTCAACCATACCTTTCCCGGTCCAATGCTGAAAGGATTGAGCATGGGACTGCCGGGGAGTTGGAAGGACAACGGGGACTATTAGTTGAGACCAACAGTATAGCAACTGATGAAATCCTCATAGGATAACCATCGAGCATGGGACATTGAGGTTCATGTGTCCATAATCTGTGTATGATGTACCCTGTAATAATCTCCAGTAGTTATCCCCATATTACTGGTAAATCTTATTAAAGGTGCATGTCCTGGGCGTTCTTAAGTGTTTTACATAGGTTCCTCTTCATCTAAGCATTCTCTGGTGCTTGAGAAATAGGCCATCGGGTATAAAGAGGATGATTGTAAACCATGAAGTTGCACTCAAGTTGGTGAAACATTACGCAGCAGAATTTTGGGGCGCCTCCTTGGGTGGTCTGTGGGCAATAGTTATTAAACTTGATACAAATGCGCTCAGCCTTTTCCGGAGAATGATCTAAGACATGCAGCGCCTCAGTCATCTCGGCACAATTCAGATCGAGCATGGACATGACAGTGTGATATCTGTGCGTGAGCGGAGCGACAGAGAGTCAAGTCGGTAGTGCACCCGCTAGAGTGAGATTTGGGCTGGCCAATAGGGGCATGTCATGCAAGACACGTCGGCAGGCATGCGATGCGACCCCTACTAAGCGGTCACGTCCAATTGAGGACGGCAGATTGAGGGCGCGACCAGCAAGCGCAAGCAGCCATGTCGAATGGGTGATCCCCACGGATTTGGACTCGGACAGGGTGGGCTAGACGAGGCTTTTGTATGACATGCGGTCTGGGAGAGGGAGAGGGAGAGGGAGAAGCCGTGGACGTGGTGGAAATGCACGTGATAAGGCGTCACTTGTTGTTGTTGATGCTGCTTGTTTTGGTCTTTGTGAATTTGCCACGACTTGGCTAACTTAGGGGTCGACGGGACAAGTTAGACGGCCGCTAGCAAAGGAGGCTCAAGGACCAGGGTTACATAGTTGTGGCGTGGATTGTGATGCGACCCGAGGAGGTCAGAGCTGGAGAGGAGAGGGAGAGGGAGAATGTGCATGAGATTTCGATGACACGGAGTGTGATCATGATCACGATGGGTGCCCCGTGATGGTCGGTGATTTAGTGAGGTAGCGATTTAGTGGACTGTACTGTATTTCCAGTGGCCAAAGGTAAACTGATGCGCTGATCTGATGCGCTGAACTCACAGCAGATGGCGGGGTACTGTACGCGTGAGCTTAAGGTAAAAAGTTCTGTGGTCTGGTCGCCTACTGCCACGACGAGCGACCAGTGACGCCACGGCCCCGAGATTAGCATCCAATCCATCCAATCCATCCACTCCATCCAATTCCGTCTCGACTTTTACTTACTACCACTACGACTCTAATTTCACACGGGCGTCGGCGTTTCCCTTCTTCACCTGTTTGCGGCCGTCACGATCTCGCATCAACGTCGAGTCCTCCTCCATCCATCCCTTTTCCCCTTGTCTCGTTCTCCCAGGCTCCTGTTTCGCCGGTTTCATTCTCTTCTTCTTACTCCTCCACCACCTCCTCTCTCGCCACTCCACAGTATCCATCTCATCCCCTGCCGTGCCACAATACGTCCCGGCTACCTGGTCCCGTTGCCTGAGCCTTGCGAACGTTCCTTGACCGCCTCCGCGCACCCATCAACAACCCTCCGCGGGGTCCACGACGCCACTTCACTGGGACCACTTCACTGGAACCATTTCACAAGGATTTTGACCGACCACGACTTCACTCTGAGCCATCTCTTCTCCCAGCTCCGTCCTCGGATCCCCGATCTCGATCCCGCCCCCACGACGCTCGACGCTCCCCCGCGGCCCGCAGCCTCCCTCCTAGCCGAGATTGACCTCGACGATTGCATCAACCCACGGCCCTGTCCCTCGAGAGCGCATAGAATCGCCGCCCAACGGCTGTCGGACGTACATGGCAAGGATATAAGCGCACTGAGAGTTGGAATTTAGCATCTTTATACGTGGCGGGCAGTCAAGCCGCTAACCCGCCCCCCCGACTCGCAATGAGCTTCGACGAGCCCATTCCGGCGCTCAATGCGCTCGAGTCCCCCGAGGACTTCAAGCCCATTCTGTCACCCATCATTCCCTCGTCGCCTGCGCCGGGAAACCCTGGATTCACTCCCCTGGTCACCGTTGTCGGCTTCCACCATGCGAGGGGCCCCGAGGTCGAGACGTGGTTTGGCGCCGAGGATGGAAGTGATCCGGCCGTGGACTTTGGCTGGTCATTGCTCCCGTTTATGGCCTTGAGTGACGGAGCGCATGCGTGAGTTATGCTTCTAGCCTTGCCGTGACAGAAGGCGACTTGAAGGCAGGGTGCTAACAAGGACCATAGCTCTGAAGAGGACTTTTCATACTTTACATTACTCCGACCGGCAACAGAGACCACGCCTGCGACATCGCTGTTTGGAATCTCATGTACACGACAGCTGGATTCCACCCAGCTCATAAACCGCCCGGCAGATGTCACCCGCTCGACCGTGCAAAAGGCCGTTGTCGTCATCGCCGATAGCCCGCAATTCTTTGGCATGCTACGTGAGCGCCTGAGCATTGTGACGCAGGCTTGGTTTGCCCAGCGAGAATTCACTGATGTCGAGATCCTGCGCCGGTTTCAGGAGAGCCTGGCGGATGAAAAGGATAGGGGCCTGCTGAACGACCAGGCGGACCGCGACCAGTACCTCGGTATGAGTCTGCGGGAGCTGATCCACGAATTCAAATGGCAAACACTGGTCCTGTTGAAGTGCTGCCTTCTCCAGCCAAAGGTGAGCCGACCTGACCTACACAGCTTCTGAGATTTGATATTGACCCCTCACAGATGCTCTTCTTTGGCTCGAGGTGCGATCGGTTGTGCATGATGCAATTTTCTCTTCTGTCCTTGATACCCGGTCTCATTCGCAACCTTCAGGACTGTGCAGATCCTGAATTGAACAATTACGAGAAGTGCCTCTCAAAACCCACGAGTTTGCGCACTAGTGATCGCAATTCTCTTCTGTCCTACATGGGTCTTCCCCTCCAAATCTTTGGCAAGGTACAACGCGACCCATTGACTTACATTAGAATCGAATCAAGTGGCTGACAACTGATCCAGGGAAGTTTGTATGGCCCTTACACGCCTCTCCAGCAACTTGATATCCTGGCCGACTTTGGGACCAAGTCGTACATTGTCGGAAGCACAAACTCACTCCTCCTTCAACAGAAGGATCGATACAGCGATATCCTCATCAACCTTGACGAGGACGTCATCAGCATCACCTCGCCATCTCTAAGGACCGCTCTTACCCTTACCGCCGCCGACCGCCGGTGGATCGATTACTTGACGCAGGAGATCAACGAGACCTGGGATGAGGCGAACCCAAGCCGGCCCAAGACGATGAAGTATGTCGGAAGCGAGGAGTTTATCAGACTTCAGTTCGAAGAATACATTCTCGCCCTCATCTCGTCTGTCAAATACCACAACTACCTCACTTCGAACACCAGCAGTCCCAAGGCCATTCTCCCGGAGGTTGAGGGCGATCCCATCATGGACTTTGGGCAGGACTGGGTCGAGGCCTGGAAGCGTACCGAGAACTACCGAATGTGGGACGCCAACACTGACTCCCACCTGTTCGATATCATCGACCCACGACACCCTTGCGCCGGCGGTCTCACTATCGATGATGTCCAACGCCGCATCGCCGAGCAGGTCAAGGAGCTGCACCTCGACGAACGCTTCGCACAGGGGCGCGAGGTGCTCGGCCGCAACTTCGCTGCCGGTCGTGAGAAGGCGTCGTTTGTCCTCAACAAGCTATATGCCGACATGGAGGCCCTGCGTGAAGCCCAGCGTCGCCGTGCCGAGGAGGCCCGCGCCGCCCAGGGCGACAATGCTGGTGGCGCCAACTCAAACGCCGGTCAAAACGCTAACCTGTCTAAGGCGCAGCAGTCAGCGCAGTCGGCCGGTGCTAGAGCCGGCGCCTACATGTCTAGCTGGGCGACATGGGCGGGCGAGAAGCGTCGTACCGGTGGCTGGGGAGGTGGCTGGGGCCGCAAGTCTACTACGCCAAAGTATGAGAAGCCTGAGTCTGAGAAGCCTGAGCCATCACTGCCCAACAGCCCCATCGACAACGACTACCAGATGATAAGTGCCCCCGAGTCCCGCACTGGCTCTACGGACGACACTGTCACCGGCCGGCCCACCACGGGCGTCAGCTTCAGCGAGAGCATCCTCTCTGGTGTAAGCGACTCTCCGGGCCGACCTACAACCAGGGCTAGGGAGAGGGCCGAGGAGGAAGATGTACCACATAAGAACGGTTTCGCCCCAAAGGACGACGGGTTCCACACAGAGGGTGTGGTTGGATCGCGGGATAAGCTGGTGGAAGTGAAGCTAGATGAGAAGGTGGATAAAAAGCTGGACGACAAGCTGGACGACGAACTGAATGAGAAACCCCAGGCGGAAGCGGCTCGAAAACCAGAGTAGGACGATGTTGCTGCAATCAAAGACTGATGACTATATAGAAAGTGAAGATGAGGAATCTGAAGACACCAAAGGACATTAATTATAGGATCATGGATAGATAGAATGGGGCAGCGATATCGTCACGCGTCAAGTAATGGAACAAATCAAAGCATTTGACTAAGCAAGCAACCAGACCCAGAGCACATGGGCTCCGCCGTGTCTTTTAAATCACACTCTTCTCTCCTGATTTACGTAAAGAGCCCACTTGAAACATGCCTGTTCCTGTATGTGTTGATGTGTATGTGTAGTACTCCTCGCACCTGTTCTCCCAAGCTTTTGCAGCGTGCCGCACCCACTCCTCAACCCAGCCGAGCCCTTCCAATCCGATTATCCCCCACGCAAGTCATCATAAAGACAAGAAAAACAAGAATGAGAGGGTGGACGGAGGGAAAGAGCCAAACGGGAACCATGGTTGGGGCAAAGGGGAGAATCCCAAGGAGCACAGCTGCATGCTAACCATCTAGTGTACCCATCCGTGCTCGCCGCCGCCGCCGGTCCCAGCCCACGATAAGGAAACAAAACCACTCTTCCATAGTCTATGCCGTGGCAGTGTGTGATTTCTGAACGACGAAATTTGACGAGAGGCGTTTATGCCAGGTATCCGAGTTCGTCGTCTTCCAGACGCTCCAGATACTCCTTGTCGAGCAGAATCTCTATGCACTTCTTGATATCGCTGACCTTGGGTACGAACCGGGAGCGGATCTGGTTGATAGTCTCGCTGACCAGTTGAGTGTGCTTCATCTTCTTGCGCGCCTTCATGATTCGCACAATGGCAGACTAGAAAATATGTTAGCAAACGAGTCAGATCGAATACCAAAAGTGCGCATACCTGGAGAACCAGCTTTCGATCTTCCTCAATCGTCTTGTTGGTTTCCGCCTCCTCCGCCTTTGCTTCCTTGACACCACCCAGATTCAAGTTCACACGAATCTTCTTGCTCTTGAAGTCGTAGTTTAGACGGAAGGTCTTGCCAGGTCCAGGTTTCTCACCAGTGGCCCCCACCATGATTAGCACCTTGGCCTTGAGGATGACGGCTAGGGCCTGGTCTAGCACTTCAGAGCTGAGCTGAGTCGCGCTGAGCATATCATCGTAGGTGTAGGTATCCTTCTCGTTAAAGAGAAGGAGAATTGCCATCTGGTAAATCGACACCTGGAAGGTGTAGGGGGTCTTGCTGTTCTTGCAGTAGCCTGCCTTGATCTCGCCCTTGCAGAGATGCCACAACCAGGTCAGTTTGCGGCCGTCGTGCTTGTGCTTGTAGAAACGAATGAATCGCTCAATCTCGGCGGCAATCTCTGGGGGAGGGTTGAAGTCGGTACTGGGCGCCGTCAGGGGCCAGAAACCGGTACCTAGGATGGAAAAGGTGGAATCAACAGCCTTGGTGTACTCTACGCCTTCGAGATGATCCCGGAACTCCTTGTTGAGATCCTTGGAGATTTGCATATCCTGGAACATGCGCTGCAGCTTGTTGGTGTACTCGAAACCACATGCCTCCTTCAGCTTGCTGATCATGCTAGTTTCAGCGTCATCTGACGAGGAGTTGCTGTGCACCAAACGTCGCGCAAGCATACGGGAGTAGAACTTCTGGAAGACGTCCTTATCCTCGATGTACTTAAAGACAGTCATGATTTGGGTGAGTGTGCGCTCCAGCTCGGCTTCCTCGATGCTGGTGCTGCTCTTTCGCAGCAAAACGTCGGTGTACTTTGCCAACAGCTCTGGTGACTTGTTGGAGCCTGCCTTGCAAACCTCGTTCCTGTTGACAAACTCTCTGCATGCGTTATCCAACGAACGAGTGAACTCAGGCTCGTCGTTGAAGGCCTTCTTCACCAACCCTTGGTACTGAGTATGGATCTCCAAAAGAGCGTCCACGTAGACCTTGGGCTCGAGCTTGTCGCCCTCGGATGACTGCACCTTCTGGACCGCAGCGAGACCGGCCTTTCTGACGTGTGTCTCGAATCGCGTCCGCAGGGGCTCAAGACCTTCGGGGATGCGAGACAGCAGATTATACATTCTCGCCATATCGTCCACACGGTCATTGTCGAGAAGAACCTGGAACTCTTCGCGCAGGAGAGACGCGTGATCGGCAATCAGCGCCTGGTTGCAGCACTTCTTGAGAGGGATCGCAATGTCTTGGTGGAGGTACATCCGGACACGCTCCTCCTCCTCTGACAAACGGGTCTCGGCCTTCTTCATGTATTCGACGACGCTGTTTTCTGCCACAAACTGCTTAGATTCAGCAAGATAGAATTCTTTGGTCGCCGCAAGGAAGGGCCGCTCGAAGTGGAATCGATAAACGTCCAGGGTCGACTTGGAGGGGTCGGCCTCGTCCAAACCCAGGGACACGAATGAATCAACGACCTGCTTGATCTGGCCGTGCTCGATGGTCTCTCCATTTCTTTGCTTCTCGACCAACTTCAACACAGCGTCCATGACCTTGGTCGACACCTGCTCGAAAAGCACACGACGCCATTGTACCAGGTGCAGTGTGTAGACGTCGTAAATGTTCTTCTTGCCCTCATCAATCTCCCTCTTAACCCAGTGGCGGTTTAGGTAGCGGAAAAGATGATGGATGTACTTCGCGGCGACCGTATATCGACCCCATTCTTTGATATAGAATGAAAGGAGGGCTTCGTCGGTGTGCGCCTTGGATTGGTTCACAAGTCCCTCGAGGTGTTGCTTGAGATAATCGATTAGCTTGTTGTAGAGCTCCTCACCGAGAAGATGGGCTGTGACATGTTAGTAAAATTTGCCCTTGTGGTTGGGGAAGCAAGGTCGTTTTACCTCCTCGGTGGTTAGAGTGCATGGCGGGTCCATTTAGGCCAACCGCCTTTTGTGATGTGCAGAAGTTGTGGACGGCACTGTATCAGATCAGCATCGGGGATGGAGCCGGGGAAGGGAACACGCCATAGGAACGTACGTGTAGACACCCATGTACATCTGCATATCGATGCCTTGCTCGAGGTCGTTCATGATACGCGCGATGCCGGCTTGAAGATAGGTCCATCTAGCACGGTCAGCAGCTGGGCACACGAGCGCGCGGGCAACTCACGTTGCTCCGATATCCTCCCGGTTCGGTATCGGGGGCATCTGGCTCGGGGCAGCCATCTTGGTAGCCATGATCTGTCTGCGGACAGAGGGGTCACGGCGGCTCAAAGGAGAAGATCGAGGCGGGGTTCAGATCGGAGGGAGTCGAGAAGATGTCGTCAGAGCGGCTCGCGAGGGGGCTGCTGCCAGATTCAAATACGGCTGTGCCTGGGGGAATGAGATATCTCCGACAGGCAGCAGAGGTGTCCTCAAGGTGGATGGATCGTGCAAGGTCGCCCGTCTGACTCGTCGTAGCTGAGGTGAATCGCTCGGACGAGGTCGTAGTGGACCGCCGCGGCAGGGAAGGGAAGGACAGCGCGGTCGGTGGCGGGGAGGGCGACTTCACAGGCACAAGCTGCGTGGTCTGGCACGAACGGGGGAGAAAAGGACGACCGTCTGCACGCCAGGCCGGTTGAGTCACAGGAGAAAAAGAAAAAAGACGGTGGAAATTGTTGTCTGCAGGGCGACGTCGTTGGAGCAGGAAGATCAGGCAGTCAGACCCAGCTGGTCTCATCCACGCATTACCTGAGGCAAGGCGACTGGCCAAAGCGGGCGCGCGTCGAAAGCAGTTTAGTGCCATGTTCTGCCGCGCCTTACCGCCCTAGCCTGAGGGATGGCCTGGGACCTTGTGTAATTACCTCCCTCCCCCCACTATAGCATCTGCCTACAGGCGGGCGCCAGCTGAGGGAGGGACCGGCGTAGTCTCATTGTCGTCACCTTTTAGGAACCCCGGCCATTGAAGCTCCACATCTCCTTGAATAGCGAGTGCTGTAATTACACAATAGGAAAGGTGGGCGATTGATTAGATCCGCGGATGCTTCGGTCTGTCATTCATGCATTCGTTCAGTTACTCACTCAAGCATGTATCGACTTCAAATGCCTTTCGCAACCCCATGGCCGTCGTTCTCTCTATTCATGGTCCGGGATTAGATGATAAAAGTACAATAAAAGACTACCTATAGCCAATACAAGCTTTATGCATATCGTCTCAAAACAACACAACACAACCCAAACAAACAAACAAACAAAAAAAAACTGCGATCCCTGCAGAAGGGGTATAATGCCAAAGGCCAGTTCCAGCTCCCAATGTCTTCGCAACTTTCCTCGCACCGTCGTCCTCGCACCGTCGTCCTCGCACCGTCGTCCTCGCACCGTCTCTCATCCATGCTCACCGTCGTCTTCGCCGCCGCCCAGTCGTTCCACCGTTCGGAATATGTTGACGGCAAAGTTCATCGTCCAGGTTATGAGGCCTATCAACATGAATGCTGCCAGCGCCTTTGACAGATCCCGCACCGCGGCATGTGCTAAATTGTGATAGACTAAACTCTCAAACGCGAGTGCCGTGCTCGCCGACTTGAAGATGATGAAGAAGAGGTCCAGCAAGATGAGGGAAATCTTGGAAACCGCCGATCGCAAGCCCAGTGGCTTCCCAGTGTACTCGTCCCAGATCATATACCCGAGGTATGGAATTGCGACACAGTCCACTGCCACTGCCACCACCGACTGCGTCTCCTCTGCGGTATCATCGGCATCGACGTCCTCAATCTGGTAGATTCGTGCCGCAACCGCCAGGGCGACCATGGAGGTAACCATGACAGTAAGTCTAAATACCAGTGGTGCAAGGGAATGTCGAATCGCCATGTACCATACCCGTTTATATGGCGCGAGTGCTCGCCGCTTCCGAGGTATCCTGGCATCCAGCGCGTTGTAGGGTTGATATGCTGGGTTGGCGAAATTTGGCTGCAGCTTGTCCAGAATCTCGGGGTCTACGACGGTAGAGTTTTCGTTGGGCATGGGCCCATAGGCTGATGAATGTACAAAGTCCTGCCATGCTAAGTTGGGCTGTGTCGACCTGGTGGCCGGTTGGAACCCCGAGAGGATGACGGGCTCGGCGGACCTGAGGTGATCCCACTTCCTCCCGCGCATCGATGCACGCCCATATCGTAGAATGTGAGGGATCCTTCCCCTCGTGCCTCTGCCTTGTCCCAGCAGCGGATCGTCCGGATCTATGAAGCCATCTTTCGAGACACGGCGTTGCACCTCGCTCGGGGAGGAGTTGTGCTGCGACTGAACGGCGGGCGCGGGAGGATTTAATAGTCGGAGTTGATCATCACCGACGGAGCCGTGTTTCTCTTCGTAAGAATCAATCCAAGCTGTGGTTTTGTTAGCCAAAGTAGCCGGGTGAGGGGCCATCAGGGCTGGCGCTTACGCGGAAGTGACCGAGGAGGACGATGGCGAGGACCAGTTCGGCGGTTGACGGCGGTGCTTGTAGTCCTCGAAGAGCCCTCTATCCCGGGCGAGTCAAAGTGTGGGCCAGTCCTCGGGGGAGAGGAGGATATCATGGCCTCGAGAGGCCGCGGTTACCGGGTGACGGAGTCAGGAGGAGGCTTCAATCTGTCGGGGCCGGGGAGTGCGATGGCGAAGCATAGTCTGGACACGATCGCATGGCAGACGGGATGGATTGGGCACGGCGAGCACAGCGGGCACTGCAAGCGCGCGGCATGTGCAGTGCAGTGCGCAGCCAGTCGAGGATGAGGATCGGGGACCGGGGTCGAGGCCTGAGAGCTCGCAGAAAGTGAGTAAGTTGCGTTGTGTTGGCTTCTAGTCCCACGATCTCGGCTGAGTTTGGGACGGGCTCAGCGCAGCGAGGAACCGGCGCTTCTTTGCGTCCAGTCGTCCAGTCGTCCAGTCGTCCAGTCCGGGCGACTTGGGCGCTCCCGTTTCTGTAGCACTGTCACTGAGCTGGCCCGTGCACCCATCAACGGCCTCCCAAGCACCGTACAATAAGGTTATTGAAGGACTGGAGGGGCTAACAATCGCTGCAAAGACAGGGGCTGGATGGGTCCGAGTCGAGTCCTCTTTCACAATGCCCTCGATCCAAACCAGGAAAACAGGGTCGACTCTTGTCTTGCAGTAGGATTGTCGCGTTTTCCAACTAACGAATACGCCCTTTCTTCTCCATTCACTTCTCCCTCGCTGCCTCGGCTGTCCAGTTATTGCCGGCCATGTGACCTGTGCACAAGCTGGCTGTACGAGCTTCAGTACGAAGTACGAAGTAATACCTGCGGGCGAAACACACCACGCGACCCAGCGTCGTATCACTCCACCCGTGAGACCAGTGTCTGCGTCGGGGGCTGTCAGCGGCCATCTTACCTGCGTAGGAGACACTCTACGTACCTCAGATGAGCTTGAAGCCTCCATTCTACAGAAATCCCATCAGCGGCGTAATGCATAACAAGGGCAAAGATAAGGGAGAGCGAGGCGCGTTACAACCCCCTGAAAAAATGTTGTCTCATGCGACTGCGCCTTGGCTACCTAGGTACGAAGGATATCAGATGTCCAAACAAAGTTTCCCGTCAAGGGGCAGTAATCCTAACACAATCCATTCGGCATTGAGACATTGCATTCCTTCTCGCCTGGATTTGTCTGAGCATCATGAAACGCGTACAGCGTAAAACCTCCGAACCCACGCGCCTCTGGCTCCCGTCTTTGCGGTACAGTCAAAGATAAGACGTCGCGCGTCGTACATTTCTATAATTGAATTGCAAAACCTCGCCCTTGCAAAATAGTCGGACGGTTTTGCGGGTACCAATTAGTCTGATTGTGGGAACCAGCGTAACTCAAGCATGGATCGACACAACCATCTTCAAAGCTAGTTGTGCTTTGAACATTTATTTTCTTTGATTCGTGGATATAAGCTACAATAAAAAACATGTCGAACAGGATGTCGTCGTATGAGCCTTAGTCCGGTGCGCCAAACGTAGGAGTCCAAAATCGACTCAACCACGACGCAGCGCCAAGCTCTTCCAACCACATCGATTTATTTTCTGCACCATTTCAGGCGATCCATGAATCGCAATTGTAGTCTCCGCAGACTCGGACCGGGTTTCTGGTCAGATCGTACGAGTCCCCCGACGTTTCCCATCCAAGCGTCATAATCCGAGCCAAGTATTCGTCGTCCCCAAAGCCAGAATCAACAGTCGGTATATCGCGGGTATTCTTTTCGTATCGTCGCTCGAATTTGTATCCGCATTGGGATTTCGTGGGTGGTGTTTACCGGTTTTGCTCGCTCTCGACTTTGCGGAAACCTAACCACTCGCCCAGCATGCCTCCAGGCTTGGGCACTGGGCACTCTCGGCTGACCCTCAGCTTTGCTTGCTCAACCTCGTCTGCCGCAATGTCGTTGAATTGCACAATGCCGTCCTTCACCTCCGGGCTGGTGTCCTTCCTTCTCCATCTCTTGCGTCGACCGTTCTCGTCTACCATAATTTCTCCATCGGCGAATCGGGCTCGGGGCACAGGGCACGGGAGTATATGGGGAAGTGTGACGACGAAGAAGGAGGCGGCGACGGTCGTGGCGAACAACGACGAGGTCATCCGCGACTTGGGATGAAGAAGTGGTGGCATGATCCCACTTGTGGGGGTATTTGAAGGGACTCTAGTGATCTCAATTGGGTGTTAGCAAGAATCTTGAGGGGTGTTAGATGCCATTGGACTCACGTAGTGACCGTAGCATCGTCCTCCCGGGGCGTAGGGGCCGGGTTGACGTCGTCGAGGGATTTCTAGGTGTTCCGTGGGCCCGAGGCTGGAATTCACGAAAGAAGCTCACCCAACTTTGAGTCCTCAGCTGCATGATTGTGTTTGGCGTTCTGCCATTGGCTAATGGCTCTTTGCTGGGGTCCACCGGAATCGGCCACATGTAAATCCGAAAATCTCTTGGCATCTCGCGGGGTACGTACCTTCTTCGGAGGTTGGTCGTCACTGCGCCAGGCGAGTCGCGAATCGCAAGGGGACGTAGATTTTCAAACATATCCCATCTCGCCAACTTTTTGCCTTCTCCCAGCGCCCCCCTTTGCGAGACGACCTAGAGCGCATATTCCGACATGTTCTGATAGTCTCCCTCGGCTCCCTCTAATCTACAAGCGGCCAGCGCACCTCACGTGCAGCCGCCCAACGCCCTCTCCCACCATGAGCGATCTCGACAAGTAGGCTCTCTCCGACCGCCGATCCTCGCAGCCTGGAAGCTAACGTCGGTCCCAGGGCCATTGCGCAGCTGCGCGCATGCCGTCCGATCCCAGAGGCGCAAGTCCGCGAGCTCTGTCACAAGGCGCGGGAGCTGCTAATCGAGGAGGGCAACGTCGTCACCGTATCAGCGCCCGTGACAATATGTGGCGATATTCACGGCCAGTTTCACGATTTGATGGAGTTATTCAGAGTGGGCGGTGATGTCCCAGACACAAACTACCTCTTCATGGGTATGTTCCTTTACTTGATGGGTTGCTCTGCCACTAACCAAATTTCCCGACAGGCGACTTTGTCGACCGTGGATTCTACTCACTGGAGTCCTTCCTTCTCCTGCTCTGCCTCAAGGTCCGATACCCCGATCGCATGACCCTCATCCGAGGCAACCACGAATCCCGCCAAATCACCACCGTGTACGGATTCTACGACGAATGTCTACGGAAATACGGCAGCGCAAATGTCTGGCGGTACTGCTGCGATGTGTTCGACTACCTCGCCCTCGGCGCAATCGTCTTGGGTGCGTCAAACACGCTATCCCCTGGCGCCGAACCTGTCGACGAAGAGACCGAGATCGAAGTGTGTGACCAGAACGGCTCCATAATGAGCCGCTTCCCCCGACGTCGGCAACTAGACGGTTCACAAGAGCAAACGCGAAGTCCGGGCGGTGGATCTGGAGACAAGACCGGCCCCCCAGGCTCCGGCGCGTCAGGGTCGAGCGGTGGAACGGTTGGAAATCCTGCCGGAGCAGTCCTCTGCGTTCACGGTGGACTGAGTCCGCTCATCGACACGGTCGATAAGATCCGACTCATAGATCGCAAGCAGGAGGTCCCGCACGAGGGCGCCATGTGTGACCTCCTCTGGTCCGACCCTGACGAGATTGATGGCTGGGGTCTCTCTCCGCGTGGTGCAGGCTTCCTCTTCGGCGCCGACATTGTCAAGGTCTTCAATCACCGCAACGACCTGAGTCTGATCGCACGCGCACATCAGCTCGTAATGGAGGGTTTCAAGGAAATGTTCGACGCCTCCATCGTCACCGTCTGGTCGGCCCCAAACTACTGCTACCGCTGCGGCAACGTCGCGGCCGTGCTGGAGCTCTCCGAGGACGAGTCCGGCACCGGTCTCTTCGCCCGAAGCAACGGCGACGTGGGCCGCAGCGACGGCGGCGCCGGCGTCATGATGGAAGGGGACGGCGGGCCTCGGAGTGGTCCCGCTCGCAGGTATCGCGTGTTCCAGGCGGCGCCGCAGGACTCGCGCGGCATGCCGGCCAAGAAGCCGGTTGCCGACTACTTCTTGTGAATGGGTTGTTTTTGTCGTTGCGGTACAGACGATGGCGGGTTTTGTATGATGAGACACACATTGGGCTTGGGTCATGGATGAGCACGGAGTTTTACGAAATACACATTTTTACTACCTCACTGTCTGTTCGATCTCGGTTTCCAACGCAAGTGTATGCCCTTATCTGATCCAACAGCTCCCTCTTCAACTAGACACAAAACCCAACCTCTTGCAGCTCCACATATGTCTTCTCCCTCATCACCAAAGTCGTCAACATCATCCGTTGAGGTTGCGCACGCGCGCGCTGTTCAAACTTCTGCATCGCCTCCAGATTCCATCTCAGCTTTTCCAAAGCCTCTACAGTACCCCATCTCTTCGCATTCGGTTGTTGGTAAACAGCCCTCACCAACGACGCGGCCAAGTCCGGCTCCTTTCGACGACCTTCGTAGGTCATCAGGGGCGGGAGTTCACCCATGGCATAGAGTAGGGCATCCACGGCACTGGCTTCTGGCCTAGGATTTTCTTCGCAGATCTCGGCAATTATAGTGAGGATCTCAGCGGTATTCGTAATCTCTGTAGTGGTGAAGGGAGATTGCTCTGGGGTTTCATGAAGGTTTGCCTTAAAAAACTCGAGCTTGGAAACCTTCTCTTCCCGAGGAGGCCGAGGCCGAGGATTAGGCCGCTTGGGTTTGGCTGCTGCGCGGGTTGCCTCCTCTTTGAGACGCTTCGTAGAAGTTTCAGTCTTCGTAGAGTCGAACATGGAGGGCTCCGTTTCCGTCTCGGAAGCCTTGGGAAGGGTATCGGCCTTTCTGCGATTGATGAACTTGATTCTCTCCTTCGGTGTAGGCTTGCCATCTCCTTCAACTATCAATTTCCCCGGCGTTGTAGACTTCTCTAGTTTCGTCTCCCTCTTCCTCGACTTAGGTGGCGGATTGACGGGATAGAGCAGAGCCGGCTCTTTAGGAGGTACCCTGGCGGATCTCCCCTTAAGTTGCGGGCCCGTGGATGTCCGTGGGCTGGGCGGACAGATTTTGATTTTGGGGATATCAAAATGTTTGGGGGTGACGACCCAGATTATTTTTGGTCGTTGTCGAGGAGCGTCGGGATCGAGTTTCGTTTTCTTCGTTCTCTTCGGAGTAGTGGAAGATGCACAATTCTCATCAAGGAGCTTGCGTTTATTTGGAGCAGGGCCATTGCATGTTCTTTTCGTTGTGCGTTTGTGTTCCTTGTCATCTAGGCCACCCGTCCGTTTTCGCTTCGAGCTTTGGCGAGGAGTGCGTTTGCCAGTACCTGTACCAGCCGATACTGTCATTTTGAGTTGACGCCTTGTTGATTCGATTTCAGTTGACACCATGGTTGTAACGTGTTTCCAATATCCAAGAACATATAAGACGTTGCAGCTATCTCTGACAGCTCTTCGTGGAGAGCCCCTAAATAAGTACAATTCAGGAGCTCGATCAGACATGTGAGCTCTTTGTCCATGCATATTCCAGCCATTGTTTGGTTAGGGACCTAGTCTTTTGAACAGAGGCCTAGTCTTTTGGACAGAGGCCTTTGATGCTTTGTCGGTTAAGAACAGGTCTCAGTCTGAACAACGAGTTGTGATTCCCCCTCGGATTGTTCTGTTGAATAGGCTTAGCAGTTCGCAACATTGCCTTTGTCATCCACCGCCCTGTAGCCGGACCAAGCGCGCGTGCCATGACGAGTGCAGCCGCCGCTCATTAGCCCAGAATCCATTTCGTAAGGTTGTACCCTTCCAGTATTCGTGTCCTTCGTAACGCGTCGGGTCTCGATTTATTGATGCAGTTTGTAAATAGTTCGAGCCCTAGTCCACAAAGGCTTGTTCCTTCGCCGCTCCAGTCCTTGATCCCGGAGCGTACGCGCTGCTTCTTCCAGTGTGCCATGACGAGTTCCTTGTCAGGATGGCGGGTGCTTGATTCGGTCGTAGGATGGCACCCTGTTGAAATTAGCATCAACCTCCCTACCCATCTCGAGAAAAATTCTGGAGATGAGTTAGGGCACCTTGTCAGATTTCCAGTTCATGGAAGAATAATCATCAAGCGACGAGGTCAAGCCAGGCTACATCCAAGCCTGCCATGACCCCTTCTACTTGTCAGCATGGCCCTGGTGGGCCAGGGTCTGGGCCACCAGTGTTTGAGGTGCCCGGGTTTTGGAATGGATGCATGGCAATGGTGTAGTTCATGGCCGCCGAGGAACCATCTGCTTGCAGAGACGGTATTGAGTAGCTCTGTCGTCGCGGATCCTCCAGCATAGGGGCCGGGGAAGGGAGGTACGCTTCTGTTCGCGGCACCTGATGTCCAGGGAAGACCGGGGAGCTGTATTGCTGAGGGTGAAGCTGAGAAGCAATCGTCGGTCGTCCCATGGGTGAAGGAGCGTTGGATGGCAGAGGACGCGGGAAGGAAATCCCCGGCTGAATGGGTTGTGCCGGTTCCCAGAGGGGGTTTGTAGTCGTCGGTGCACTGGTCATGGGCTGGTCTCGGTTTTCCTGTGGAGGGATCGGATATGGAACGCCTTGGTCGTGAATTGCCGGTCTTCGAGGTACCAATGCCTGCTGCATCGCCTGAACTGCCTCGCTGGGGCTGCTGGAGGGGAAGTGTGATATTGACCCTGGGTCAGGTTGCGTGGCAGCACTAGAGTGCAAGAAGCTCACAACGTAATCATCGTTGATTCCATGCCTGTTGAGGAGAGCACGGAGCATTCTGTTCTCCTCCGCGACCCTCCTGGCGGCGTGCTGAACCTCGGACGAGGCCTCGATCCCTTGGAGCTCATAGGCACGAATCCGGTGCTCGAGTTCGAGCAGATGCTCTCTTCGCCGAGCTCTAGATCTTCGCTGATTGTCTCTAACACGCTCAAGGTTCTTTGTCTAAAGAAGAAAATCCTGTCATTAGGAACAAGGGTCGATGAAAAGGGGGCGAGCTAAGGTGGGCCACACATACGTCCTTCGTTGAGCTCGACATTTGGGCGTTGTTTTAACTCGTTCGAACAAGTCGCAGAGGGGATAGGGACGGATTGATGGCATCTAGGCCAAGCGAAAATAGTGAAGGGAAAGGTTGGACAGCGCGAACGGCCCAGGACCCTTGTTGTTGACTGGACTGGAGGCGACGAATGCGCGCGAGAGCTGGAGCCGGAGCTGAAGTTGGAGCTGGAAATATCGAATGAGGTGCAGATGGAGAGAAGCGACGCTTACCTTTTATCGAATCAACAAATGCGGGAATCGGGAGTGACATCTGAGCACCCGGTCTACTCTAAGAGGTGGAGGAGGCAAGCTCACGAGCCAAAGCTAACGCCCGCCTCATGAGACATACATCCGCAAATACTCCTCCGGCTTTGAAGATGGGAAGCCCAAATGTGACAGAATGTAGACTATACCTCGGGGCAATAACCAACGTCCGCAATGCATCCGCCCCCATTTGACAGCCGGAAGGTGGGAGCCCTATTGGAACCACCACGGGCGAGCCGGCATGGATGTGCCAGACCAGCCAGTGCCAGTTGGGTATAGCAACAACTGTACTGTACCTTAAGCTGCAGGTGCTCCAGGAGGAGACCCTGGACAGCCTAAGGCAACGGAAACGACGACTTCCCATAACTTAGTCGCTGCTACTGCATGGGGCGAAACCCGAATGTGAGCGCCACTAGCTAACCCCCAGGGTCGACGTACTAGCTACTGGCGATGTGTAAGGAGCGGAAGCCACTCGGCATCGTAGCCGCCAGTTCTCCCTTTGTCCTGGTCCCCTGTGGGAGGCGAGGGAGTGCGTCTAGTTCATGTCAGGTGGGTGTGTGGTCGTGGATGGTGTCTGGTTAGACGCCCAGGGTTGTTGACCGCTATCGAGCTTTCAAAGAATGGGAGTGGCCATGAGTGCGGTAAGAAGAGCACAAGCTGATTTGCAAATGGCCAGAGGGTGTGAGGCGCACCTCCAAAGCAAACGGCTTAGGCGTTAAGGTGGCTGAGGCGGTTTAGGTTTACGCAATCCGCTCTACAGAGCTGGATGGATGACGGAGGCGCAGACGGCTGACCTAACGATCAGGATACGTCCACCATGCGGACAGGGGACCTCCGTCCGCAATGCAGCCAAGAGGCGTCGGTCCGGCAGCATCATTGCGAGTCGGCAGAAGGCGCATGAGACCACGGCATATACCGCCGTCGGTACGTCGGTACACGCCTGCTGTACTGTGTTTGGTAGGGCTTGCCGATATGCAGAGCACGCACACGGCGTCCTGCTTGCACCACACTGTCGGATCTCTGCGCAGAGGTGGGGGATGTGGAGACGGCACAATAGCCAGCCATCCTCTCGGTCACGGGGAGGATGGGTGGGATTCTGGTGTAAGTCGACGCCGCGAACATCGGTGCTTCGCCAGACACATGTTTGCTAAGACGGTGAGACGGACCAGAGTTTGAAGCCGCCAAACCATCAACACCCCTTACACGCACGCCAGAGGTCCAGCGTGGGAGGCAGCGTGGTGGAATTGTTCGAAAGTTGCAGCGCAACCCAACTGAAGACGCCTCCATCACCAACCGTCCGTCTGTCGCATCGCGGCTGGCATCTTTGGTTAGCCGCAGGGCGGAGGGCGGACCCGTCATTTGGGAGAGGCAGGGACGCCGGTGGCACCATGCCGCACGCTTCCTCGCGACAAGCTAAACTCGCCTCGGGCGTCATGCCGTACGCCGGCGCCTACTTTTGGGGACGCAGCGGTTGGAGCGAAATGGGTTGAGCTACTCTGACGCCGCTAGGGCTGCAAGGTCGTGCCAGGGGGCGGACGAAATGAACCCATCACCAAGAGACGGGAAGCGGGAGATATGACACGGCTGCATTCCTGTGATGCTTGATATGAGGCTTGGCGTGCCCACGGCCGAAATCTCCAGGATCATGGGCTGGGACGCACCGTAGTTGGTCCAGGGAATCTTCATCGGGGAAGGGGGGGTCCAACACGTGGGAGGAGGGGGCAAAGTGCAATCGAAATGCCCTATCGGATGACTTCAGCGGAGGCGAGACAAGATCACAGTCTGGACCAGCTGAACATGCCCTGACGCAGCTCGGATGCTGGCGCGACGTAATGCGACGCAATGCAACGCAACGCGCGCGCGCATGGTGAGTACAAGGAGCAAGGAGCAAGGTGCAAGTGGAGGAGAGTGGGAGGTGGGAGGCGTGAGGTGACGAGGAAGCGCGGCAATCCCTACCTACGTCCGGAGTGCACGACGCCCAAAGTTGTTAGCGAACGGCAAGGAGGGCGATGGGGGGAAAGAACCGGTCTGAGCTTCAACTAAGGCAAGGGAAGGAAGGGCTCTACCTGCCGACTTCAGCCAGCTTAGTAGCAACGGCGGTGCGCAAGGGCGGTGCGCAAGGGCGGAGCGTGCGGACGGTGCTGCCACTACGTAGTAGGTGATCAACGAATGATCAGGGTGCTTCCTTGCATCGACAATCCACAAGGAAAGGATTGGCAGGTACAGAGGGGAGCCCCATCCCCATTGCCCCCCTTGTGGCCTCGCAAACCTTGTTCAACTGCGAATCTCGATTTCTCATTACTCGTCCAACAGCTCTTTCCCAGCTGGCTGGTCCGGGGCCACTGAGGCTTTCCCGGGGTGGCTTGGAGGCGTTTGGGGCTTGGGATCTGGACGCTTCGACGCCCGCTGGGAGGACGGCATTCGCCGGGCCGTTGGGGGAGCTCTCTCCACTGTTCCCACACTCCACTCCTCTCTCTCACCTTGGGGGTGCTGGCGGTCCTTGACGGTTGACAGGCTGCTGTAGAGTTCGACGTTGAAAGTAAAAGTCGGTGGAGGTGTGAAGAGCGGTGTCGTGTATGTGTCAGTGCTGTCGTGTGCTGTCGTGTGCTGTCGTGTGCTGTCGTGTGCATATGTCGGTGTCGTGTGTGAGTCGGCGCCGTATTGTCGTATTGTCGTATTGTTGCTTTGTTGGTGTCCAATGTGGGTGTCGTATCGGTATGCAGCACTGCGGAATACGGTGTCATGACAGCAACACTCCCAGGGACGGAGCTGGGGTTCAGGGTCTGTGAGCGTCCGGTAGGTCCTGCGAGTGTCTTTGAGCGTCCGTGAGTGCTTCTGAATGACATCTAGTGTCTGTGTGGTTGTCGGACCGTGGTCTCCAGCCGTCTGCATCCGTTCGTCTGAATCCGTCCGTCTGCATTCGCCGGGTCCATGGTGGAGTTGTCCCCGGTACCTGGAACCGGGACGAGGGGCCGCGGAGATCACCCTTCACAGCCTGGCATGGCTGAAAGGAAGCATCGTGGCTGGGTACCAAGGGCAGGGCTCGGTGGGCTGTTTGGTGGATGCTGCGTGCTGCGTGCTGCTGCAGCTGGGGACGCCTTCAAACCCCGTCATAGGCTGTCGACGTCCCAGGACCACGGCGATGGAGAAGCTACGAGACACGGCCACGGCCACGGAATTCCGCCGGACGGACACGGCGATAGCGAAACCGAGCCTCCAAAAAAGCAAGTAAACCGTGACCCCTAAAGCTGGGCTCCCTGCGAATCGTCGCTCGAAGGCTCCCCCTACCCTCCCCGGTCCTTCCCTGGCCTCAAAGATCTCAGATGCAAGCACCACACTCCATGACACCTTGGCTTCTGACTCGCTCCAAACCCGGTCTGCTGGCCCCTTGCTATTGGACCACTGCCGAAAGCCCTGTTCCCGCTGACATTCTGAGGTGTGCACTGAAGACTGATTTCCACAGGGATGCCCCAGCAAAGTCCTGGCGATCACCCTCAATAGCCCGTAGACCATGCCAATCGGTACGCGCTTCCATTTCACTTCTTCGATGTGATGACGTCCGCAACTCGACCGCCATGCACGGAAAACGAGGCACACACCGATGTTGAGGCGAAAAACGGTTAGGGCGTATCGAGAAGGGTTGCCATACACGAAAGAGGCCTCGGGGGTCACGGAAAAGTCCAGTGCTTTGCAGGAGGTTGCAGGCATCGGAGGACGGAGCCGCCCCCGAAGCTCCAGCCACTACTAGCAGAGTGCTCGAGAGCCGTCTTGGTCCGCCGCTAAGATACAATATGGACTTTGTTAATTACAGGTCAGATACGCGATTCAGGTGCTCAATCGAGAATGGTCTACAACAGGTCCTAATCATGCAATGGTGTTCTTGTGTAACCCCGCGTCCGCGCGTGCTCTTCTACATTCTACCGTCTCCGATGCAGCTGGATCGACCGGCCCGCGGTCATCTTTCCCAATCGGTAGGTGGCAAACTCCAGCAACCCACCAGAGTCAGCCATCTACATCCCAAATCCTCACCAACTCGTCAACCACGTGGTCAGATGTCTCATGTACACCTCGTCCCGCAGGATTGTCTCAAACTCCTCACGCCTCATCAACAAGGCTGCCTCGTCTCCCACCCCTCCGCCCTCGTGGAGCCGCTGCCTTGCATCCTGGAATGCACACGCCGCCTGTCCAAACCTCAGCTCTGCTTGTGCTGCAAGGCTGTCCCGCAGACACCCAGCACAGAGCAACGGAATGTGGCCCTGGTCCGGCAGCGTTCGCGGCAGAAGATGGATGCCCTCCGTTGTCACTGGGCGCAACGGGATGACATGTCCACATCCTGGGTACGTCATACTTAGTCGACAGAACGGACAGGAGTTGTTGACCTGGAGCCACCTCTTGAGACATTCTGAACCGGCACCATGCCCGCATGGTAGTATGCTTAAGGTTGAATCGTCAACGGTCAGTGTTTCGGGCTTCATTTCACACTCCACCTCGCGGCAAATCTGACACCGTAACTTGGTCGGTTTATCAATTAGGAAGGTGATTTTGGGAAAGGGGAAGAAACACTCGTCGAGGTTGTACTTTCGGTGGGGCTGAAACCATGATGAGAGAAGGGGAATTATCTTGGACCTAAGCCCCGAACCTCCTCCCACCCCTCTGCCTCCCGCTACTTTGCCTCCCACTACTCCGACGTCGGATCGTCCTGTTGGTCGATGCTCGGGTTTTTCCGAGTTCTTCTCGGATCTCTTCGTTCTTAGGTACTTCCCCCCTTTCCATTGCAGGCGTTCTCTCAGCATCTCGTGATGATAATTGGTTGCTTTCGTTAGTTGCTTTCGTTAGTTGCAGTTGCGTTGTTGTCTCTTTGCGTGTGTGAGTCCAAGTGTCGCAATGTGGCGATAATTGCAGTTAGCTTGCTCTTTGGGATGCAAAAGTTGAGACACTTTGAGGAGTCCCGATTAAAATACCGGCCCCGACGATCTTCAGGAGAATCCACGATGTGAACATCGGCATGCGTTCATGTGTGTTCAAAGACTCCTTTGTGAGTTGTCAACTCAACTCGGCGACGCCGAAAGGACAAGCGGCTCCCATCCATGTAGTCTCAACTTCCAGCCCAAAATGCCTGTCGCGCAACTAAATTCCGTCTTTGTTCAAGTAAACACAAAAAAAAGAAAAGAAAAAGTGGTCTCCTGCATGATATTCGTCAACAGGCGGAATTAGTATCCCAACCCAGCAAACGCATGCGCTTTCTACAAATCCAAGACATCTTCTGGGGACCCCGCTGTCGCGTGGGGGATCAGAACACAGCAGCGGAATTTGTGGTGTGTTTGCTGCTGCTTTCAGGGACCCGCCCGCCTTTCTCCCTGTCGCTACAGCAAACTTGCGAAATGGGGTATTCCCCTCTCCCCCAGCCGATATGTCTCCCAACTGCTCAAACGGAAGGAATCAATTTCATCACCAAATTATCACACTAATTTGAGCCTTGAACCGACCTCACACACATCCCGGAGACCAAAGTCCTGGACTCCCACGAAACTCATCCGGCCCCGCCAAGGCACATCAAAGCAAATTGCCTCTACCCAATCAATCCAAGTTTTAATCCCGATGTTACGGTATGGGCTTTCTAGTTCAAGTCTTTTTCTCCATCTCCAACGGTTTACAAGACGGCGGCTGAATCGGACCGATATACCCGCTGCCGCTTTTGAGTCCGCGGGAACGCCTCATCTTAACTACATACACGCCGTCATGGGCTGTTTCTATACTGTGCTCATTTAATCCGTTTTTTAATGGAAAATTCCGTCAGAAGGTTCAGCTGTCATCATGGAAAATCCTCGGCAGGGGCAAAACAAAGTTGAAAAGGTTGCCATCTCCGGGGTAGTTCAGCTTGCTGCAAGGTTACGACTCCGAGGGCGGCAAAGTAGACCGGTACGTAGGAGGGGCAAAACTCCATCAGCTCCCCTCTCTCGTTAGCCGCCGCTCAGATTGCCGGACTAGCGTAATTTGATCCAACGTTCGGCGACTTGGCGGACTCTCGGCGTTGTAATTCCCGTGTCGCAAGCTCCAACCTCCACATTAGCCAATGTTGACGTAAGGGGCCAAAAAAAAAAAATACACCAACAGCAGGACCGACAAGTGGCAAACCGGCGAAGCCTTTACTCACTTCGGTCGGGCCTTCACCGGGCTCCGGAGCCGCGTCATACGGAGCATGTGGGTCCATCGGGGCCGGCTAGTCTTCCCGGTCCGGAACCCGGTCTCGTAGCGGGCCAGCCTTCGGGGAGGTCATCAATATATGACAAACAGGTAATACATCGGAGGCGCATGGTTGGTCCTTCCATGGGACTCCATGGTGGCCTGACAGCTCCTATTGACTTGAATGGTCTCGGAAGTTGCGCTGTTGCGGTCTAGAATCCCTGGGTTCCCGGGAAGTGGGTTAGGTTTTCGCCACTCCGCAGCCACTCCTGAAGACAACCCAAGCCAAGCTGGCACTGCAGCTGCAGCATCCAACTTTGCTCACCCACCACAACTTGAGCGAAGGTCAGCTCATGCAGGCTCATGATAGATGCAAAAGCAATTCAGACCTTGTCATTGTGGAGGGGGGAGATAAGAGACCATTCCCAAACCTGTCTGTCTATTGGAGAGGGGAAAGAAAAATGCGATGATATCTCATCTTTGAGGGAAAATGGTCTTACAAGCGATCCAGATGTGATTCACCTGTAGCGCCCCAACGAGGCTGAGAAAATCGTCCATTATGGGCGATACATCCGCGGAGCTAGTAGGCCTGGTGGTGAGCCACGAGTGTCGGCCGAGCCGGTCGCAAAGCTGACAACAGAATCAACAGGGCTGTCGGCTAACTTTAGTCCCCCATCTCATCTCGCCTGTCCCGTCAGCGTCTCGCTCATCCCCACACTTTCGGCTGTCTCTTTGTATTCCGAGACACGACGTCATTTTGGTAGTTATTTCCCGGAGCCTTGTTTTTTTCTCATTCCCGCGGAATTACATATGGTAGGTTCATCATTTTGTGCCCGTCACCAGAATTGGCGACATGTGTTGTTCGTTACATGATGGCTCATGCATAGCTGCCGTGGCGCCAATTCTGGCCTCTCGCTTTGTTGTTGCCCGGGCAGCAAAGAGCTGAACTGACCGCCCAAATCCACTCCACAGCTCTATGCAGGGAAGCCTCCCGGATTTAAAAATCTGGCCAGTTAACACGGTTGAACCTCCTGTCGATCTGAACATCCGCTCCCATTTTAGCGGGTTCAAATCCTGGTGACAAGGATCATACAGTACCGAGGACTGCTTGGCACGTTTAAGAGAGCGGCCAACATCCTACATAACACGATCAGTGGCTAGGAAGCGGTGTCGTCCAATCTTATGGTTTCAAGTTGTTATTGCGACGTGCGCAGCAACGGTCTGTTCACGAAAAGAAACAAAACCTGCCACCCAACAGCGATATCCAACGGACCTTATGATTCACCTCGTTCGTCCCATGTAGTATATCACCTACCGCTCCTCGCTCTTGTTTGTACATGGCATTCGGATTGTATCATTCGTCATCACCATTTCAGCGACATCCTCTTCCTATCGTGTAATTGAATAATATGCCTTCCTTCAAGACCGCCGTCACATCGGCAGCGCTGGCCTACCTCACCAACGCTAAGACGATCAAGATCACCGCCACTAGCGACAACACTTTTGACCCTGACTCAATTGACGCTGATAAGAACGATGTTCTTGAGTTCCACTTTGAGGCCAAGAACCACAGCGTCGTCGCTGGCGACTACCAGTACCCTTGCTCACCTTTAGAGCTCGGCACTGGCTTCTTCTCTGGCTTCGTCTCTACCGATGATGGCACCGCAGTACGTCTAGCGCATCATTTTACCCCAGTCCATAACGACTTGAGAAGTTGCCTGCTAACTTCTTTCACAGGACGAGGTCTTCCAAGTCACTGTCAATGATACCGAGCCCATCGCCTTCTACTCCTCCCAGGGCGATGAGTGTGCAGATGGCATGGTCGGCATTGTGAACCCTTCCAAAAATAAGACCCTCAATGACTACAAGGAACGCGCCTCGGAACTCAGCATGGCGGTCACTCCCGGTCGCACTATGTATGGTGGCAAGCTCGTTGACTCTGACGATGCCGATTCAAAAGATGATGACAGCGACGACTCGTCAAAAAGCAACGATAGCGATAACGATAGCGCTGCCCGATTCCTCCAGGTTCCTGTCTTTGGCCTTCTCGGTGTTATTAGTCTGGCATATGCCATGGTGCAAATATAGTTAATAATGGCTACGTGGGTCATTAGCAATAGTTTGGTAGAGTTGCGATAGCCTCCGGATAGTCATCACGAAACATTCATTTTAATACCATGCCCCCGGGAGGTGATTCAGTTGCTTTTGTTGGCCCGGGAATGTCTGCTTTTGATGTTTATTTGCCCCAAGCCCGTGTTTCTCGCCATAAGCCTCCGTTTCACATGATTCCGCGAAAACAGCCGAAACTCTCTTGCGAATTGATAGGGGGGTTTCGAATCATTATACTTGCGGTGAACAATCTATTTACGACTGGGATTTCTCCCCTCGGTACGGTACGACGTATTTCACTAGCCGTGAAACTTTATAGGTTATTGTCTCACTAGCTTTCATCATAGATTGGTCATATCCATTAATATCTAAAGTACCCAAGGTGTGGAGGATGATTAATCATATAAACCCAAATTCTCAAAGTGGACTAAGATCGGCCAGAGCTTTCAGCTCCAAGCCATCACAACAGCTAAGTCGTGAAATCATATGGTCCCTGCATGAGTGACAAGTCGCTGCGTCATAGTTGGGTCATGGTGCGGTCCCGAAAACACCTAGGCTTGTCCAACCTTGAATATCCCCGATGCCCCAGTATATCGTATTGCGTATTGTGTACTTATACTAGCAAAGGATGTCCACGTGGTTGGTGACATCGTCGTGTCGGCCGAAGCTATAGTTGGGTAGACGGATTTCAAGATGCGAGATGTGAAGTTGCACACTAAGGTAGCCAAGAGGGAAAGACGATTTGATGTATATTAGCTCAATATTTACGACCTACATACCCATAACTCACTTACAATATACCATAGGGATTGAGTTTGCATTACCATAATGCACATGATCGTTCTTTGGGTGTTGACATCCAGCCGTTTGATTCAGAAGATTGCTATAGGGTAGGCAAACCACACCTGGTTCCGGGACGTTAGTGGATCTCTGCTGCGGGTGCTTGGCGCTTAAACCACGGGATGCTCGGTCCGCCTCGGGTCTGCGCCAAGTTGCCGGGAATACTTCTAATCCCGGCCCACAGCATCATCCCTCAACACCGAATTCGCGGGCTTTCTCCATGATATCGCTCCCTCATAACTCTGCTCCTCCCGTGATGCGCCTGCACGATCGACATTCCACCCTCCCAGTTCGGATTTCCTGATACGAAATACACAAAGTACACGAAAAACAACAAAGACACCATGCGCGCCGGTGTGAGGTGCTCTGCCCCTCTTCGCCCTCTGCGAGCCTCGACGTTGGTCAGCAATGGTCAACGCGCGAGGACTCTCCGGACGACCGCAACTCCTCGGACGGTGAACTCGATGCCATCCTGCTACCGACCGAAGAGACCAATCCTCGCGCCCCAAGGAAACAGTACACCACAGTCATGTCTCGGAAGGGCGCGGTCAATGGCAACTGTCGTCGTCACGGAGGAGGCCGGCCCGGACTTCGGACCAATTCAGGAATACGACAGGCGTGTCGAGGCGGGGCAACTGCGCAACGACGAGCATCAGAGGGGTGAGAACTGCAATTGAAGCACTTGGTACACCTCAAAGCAAGCACTAATATTGGTTCAAGGTATCATCCAAAACCTACAGAACCTCCACGAAGAATTGCGCAACTACAACGCGCCCCCGATTGTGCCCCCCGATATCGATTCTCTAAAGCCTGTTAAAAAGTCCGTTTTTTCGTCCCTCTTCGGAAAATCCAAAGCTGCCTCTGCAATTGGCGAGATTCCAGAGGGTCTTCCCCGAGGTCTCTATCTGTATGGCGATGTTGGAAGCGGCAAGACTATGTTGATGGATCTCTTCTATGATACCCTGCCCAAGTCAGTCAAAACGAAGAAGCGAATTCACTTCAACAACTTTATGCAAGAGGTCCAGTTGCAATCACATCGTATCAAAATGCAACACGACAACGATATTGACGCCATACCATTCATCGCCGCCCAGATCGCGAAGGATGGAAATGTACTGTGTTTCGACGAGTTTCAGTGCACAGATGTAGGCACTGCCATGATCTTGAGAAGGTGCGTGTGCCATGAACCATGCTTTAGTGCGAATCTAACAGCAAGCAGATTACTAGAAGCGCTCATGTCGCATGGCGTAGTGGTGGTTACGACATCAAACCGACACCCCGATGACTTATACAAGAATGGCGTTCAGCGAGAATTTTTCATCCCTGCCATTGAGCTTCTAAAGAACCGACTCCACGTTATCAACCTTGACTCGCCTACCGACTACCGCAAGATCGCTCGCCCACTCTCGGGCGTTTACCACACCGCTCTCGACAGCCATGCTAACGATCACGCCGAGAAGTGGTTTCGATTCCTTGGCGATCCTGAGCAGCCTGGACCGCGCTCCGAAGTCCAGACGGTCTGGGGCAGAGAGATTTTTGTCCCAAGAGTTAGCGGGCGGGCCGCGTGGTTCACCTTTGACGAACTCATCCGGCAACCAAAGGCAGCTGCCGATTATATTGAGCTGGTCCGAGCCTACGACTCCTTTATTGTGACGGATATTCCTGGAATGACCCACCAGCAGCGCGACCTGGCACGCCGCTTCATCTTGTTCATCGACGCCGTGTACGAGGGCAATGCTAAGCTGATTCTTACCACGGAGAAGCCCCTCACAGAGCTCTTTGTCTCCCGAGATGAGATTGCCGAGAGTCTGATGCAACAAGGCGTAAAAGAAGACTCGGCCCATGACCTGGAACACAGCATCGATAAGCTGAAAGACTCTGACCTGTTTGTCGGATCAGAAGAGGCTTTTGCATTCGCTCGAGCCCTAAGTCGATTGCGCCACATGGAGAGCACAGAGTGGGTAGAAAGGGGTATGGGCCTGGAGGAGAAGGGCGGAAAAGAGGATAAGGACAACTGGAACAAGACCAGGAGTCGGCAGATGGAGGATTCAATGTGATGGGGATTGGTCGCGAAGAAAATATGCATTATACCCGGAGCACTGACTCGGCATTAGCGAGCGTTTGCCTGGATTGTATTGGTCACGCTTTAGATGCTTGTGTTGGATATGATTGAGTAGTGATGACTAGATCCAGTGCCTGAGAGGCACATGAAGAACATGTATTTCATTTGAGAAACCACTATCGAATAAAACAACAAATCACTCAGATACAAGTTTCCCAATATATACGCAAGTCGTATATTTTTCTGAAGGTTCAAGTAGAGACCTACAAGAGAAACTAATATCGTCTTGACACATACCGGGTTATATCATCCACTTGACATCCTTCTTGAATTTCTTCCACTGCTCTCCATACCTATGGCCACAGTAATTATATAACGTCGGTACCGCCATCGTCGTGAAGTCCAGTGCTTGCACCCCTGATATCATTCCCTCGACACAAGTACTCACAACCTGGCAATACGCGCTGCGCCAGAGGGCATACACCCTATAATTGACGTGTCGAGCCTAACTCCACAGTTCTAAGCGCATCAACTTTCCCTTATCTGCAGGATCGCCCTCGAAGGCCTTGCGCTATGCCCTGGGGACTATTTCCAAGACAATGCCGACAGTGTACGGCGCGGGGCCGAGGACGAACGGGTAAGGGATGTTCGTGCCGGATAAAGCCGGCGCGGACAGCGAGGTGGTCGCGGCAGTGAGGAAGAAGAGTGTGTTGAAGGTGTTGTACACACTCACAGCGATGGCGGCTGTGTTCCTGGGAAAACGCAACCAGCCAGTAGCTCTACTTGAGCGAGGAGCTGGCGGCCATTGTAAGAATGATCAAATGCGGAAGCCGGAGCCCGAGAGAGTCGAGAGAGTTAACAACAGCATGGAGGCTATAATGATAGTGGCGGTTGCTGTCGTGATGCCTGGATTGGTGAGCAATGTGGCACTGCTGCCGACGAGGAGTTGAATTGAAGGACTGGGTCGAGGCTGTGCAGATGGAGGAAGGTGAGAGTTCCAGTGCTTTTTGACGCCGCAATCGATCAAGTAGGGGCTCTTCTACGGCACGAATTTTACCATTGTGGGGGTAGGACATGTGTGAGGGAACGAGGAATCGTGATGTCTGTAGGACCTTAGCTCAAGGTCTTCATCCTCAAGGCTGCTACTTGGCACAAAGTCGAACAGCGCAAATACTACATGTATGTGCACTCAGATATTCCCACGAACACTAGAAGCTAGAAACCGTGGACCTTAGTCCTCGAACGACGGAGCTGCGATTATGGGAACGGAGAGTCAACGTGCGTTGAGCACCACACCAGTTGCTGTCCCAAGACCGAGGGTCTTTGGCCGGTGGAGACCGATTCTTAGAAATAAAACATGGTGAGTCGCCATGAGGAAAGTATTTCTAGTTACAAGAGAAGCGGCCAGCGAGAAGAGTATTTCTAAACCTGCAAGATCAGGTTCTGGAACGGGGGACAAAGACGGCCGTGGACTCTGAGCATCGGTGTTGTGGTGAATGTGGGAATGGGCACCAGTCTCTGATACCGAGGTTCTACATTGCTGCTATGAATTGTATTGTTGTTTTCACATGCTTGCATCTATTGGTTATGGTGGGAAGTAAACTCCAGTCGGATCCTCGATCCACCTGTGCTCAGAATACGTGACGTAGTTCTGAGACGACCGAGGCTTAATGACGCCGCCCTTTAAGTGCCCTTACCCGTCGGAGCAATATAATGATGTTATGATCGAGATCCAAAAATAACGTGAACTAGCAACGCGGATGTGGCATTGAGACACCTCGGAGACATGTGTAAGTGTGACCGAGGTGGCTGTCTCATACACATTTGAGTCAGCTCTCGCACCGGTCACACTTTAACCATTCACCTCGAACACGCCATTAAACTCTGTCATATGACGAACAATGAGAAACAAAAGCACTCATCGATGACTTAGGATGTAGCCGGCAGATGGGAAATAGCCCTGTGCCGAGGGCAAAAGGAAGCCCACACCTAGCTTGCCAGAGACGCGACTAATCCGAGATGAGATTGTGGACAAACCCCTTCGCCAGTTTTCCATCTTCTCCATCTGAGGCCTCCTTGCAGGATATCCCGCTGCAATGTCAATCATAGATCCCTGCTTGACGTGTCCCGAGGAAGGCCTGGCGGTGTCGCATATTGGTAGCGTCGCTTGCCAATGACACTGGAAGTGCAGCTGATTTTGTTTGCCCAAGAACACTCAAGTTGAAACAACAGGGTCCAGGTGGCCTGCAGAAATACTACCATGGGCTTCATAAATTAATAGGCCTAGCGAACGCGGTAGGACCGTGTTGTGTGCGCGCGCGTCGAGTCAGGCTCGGAAGGTCGATAGACGAAGGCGGGTGCCCCAGATTCGCATGACGATCATTAATTATGCCAATTCCGAGCAGCTAGCAGGAAATGAACGGTGCCCACACCTTCACTTAATTATGGTCCACACGGATAAACCCGACTTCAAGGTTGGGTGCAAGATAGGGTCTGGATCGAGACTAGGACAGTAATGTACGCCGAGGGACATTTGAGCCATCACTAACAAACGCCGGTCCGAGGTACGGATCCAGCCCACTCTGTGCCACTCTGTGGTATGTATAACTCAACTTAGCAGGTAGTAGAAGTGTCCTCATTTCGGCATATGCAGCCCCGGCGGGTGACGCTATTGAGAGGAGAAGATCGACGTGGGTTGGCCGTGTTTCATAGCTGGTTAGTCCGGGAGCTATGGGAGAGTGGGTGGCGTCACTGGGTTTCCTGGGGCGGAAGACGGACGGGTGTTGTAACGGTTCGGGTGCAGAGGCCAAGGCAGTCGGGACCTGGGCGAGCTGGGTGCTAGAGTGCGGCTGAGGGACAGTATGAGGCCATTTGCATGTTAGGAGCCATTAGGAGCAAGTCTAAATTATCACTTAATCACAGCGAGCGCCCGACTTGCGCTGTGGCGGAGACCATCATGCACGGGGTGAGTTGGGTGGTGATGGAGATGCAGATGCAGAGGCAGAGGTACAGGATGCGAGTTGACGTTGAACAACAAACAAAACGCACTGCGTCTGCGTCTCAGGATACGCCGGCCATTGAGACTGAGACTCACCGTCATGTCCTCTGACAGCGCGTGTGTGCTTTTTTGGGTGTGGCCTGCTCTTGACGTACCACGTAGTAGGGACATGCTGCGTACGTAGTGCATGGTGACCCCATTTCCAATGAATGAGATGGACCCCGGAAGAGCTGGGAGCTGGGAGCTGGGAGCTGGGAGTAAGTGGAGCTTAGGCCCGAGGAAGAAAGCATACATACGGAGTAATATACCCTGCCATTGTGCTTTACGCGCTGAGAGAGGCATCAACTTGACTGCATCTCGTATTTTTCGTTGGCACCGGCAGCCTTTACCAGATCAAGGCGATCCGCTGGCTGTGACAATCGATAGTAGACATACGGCTCTCGATGTGGTGATGATAGCGGCGGTGATGGCCGTGGTCATGGGGCCAGCGTCGATTCCCGGAGCGGAGGGGAACCAGGCTAGGAGGTTTTAGGATGCCGGTCAGCTACTACGTAGTAGACAGCGAGGCCGGCCAGACATTCGATGGCAAGGCTGGCTAGACGGGCTCGCTAGACGAATGGCTCGTCGGATGGAGGGAGGGGAAGCCAAGGAAAAGGGGACAGGGAAGCTGAAGGATGGTGGATAATTTCAACGGGGAAGCCAAGCCAAGCCAGGCCAGAGTTGGACTTGGATGCTGTGAGAAGACCCGCCAGAGCGTGTACTTTTGGCGCGGAAACATTGGGCTACAGAGGCCAAGCGGCACGGCGTGAGGCCCTCATGAGAAGAAGCCCTGGACGCAACCCAGGGGCATACGCACGCGATGCTGCAGAACAGACCATCGTCGACGAAGACCCCTACAGCGATAGCGAGTGAAAGGAACTCCAGGGACTCCAGGGGGGAGGATTTGCGCTGCCAGGTACCAACGCAGCCTAGGCCCGGCCAACTTCTGGCGCTGAGGATTGGCCAGCGCGTCCAGCAGGTTCCTGGCTAAGCCAATTTCACAGCTGTGAAACAAACCAATCACAGGGGCTGGGTCCCTGGCGGCTGGCGTCAATGGCCCGCGCCACCCCTGGGCGCGCCATTCCCTGTAGGTACCTGCATCACCAAGGCCAGCGCTGTTTGGTTTTGTGTCTCTGCTGATCTTCATCTGGATGCAAGGCGGATGGGCATTTGCTCATTTCATATCTTGGGGGAGCCCCACTTGGGTTCGTATTATCCGCCCGGGATTGGTGCGTCGGCGGTATTAGTCTTCGTTGTGATGTGACAACGGGCGGCTGTGCCGTTGTGCAGGACAGTTGCACAACAACGTTCCCGGTGCTGTCTCCTATAAGTCTATATGCACAATTCCGCATGCGTAGGTATCTCGAAGAAGTAAAATCTGCATGCACATGCACAACTAAGCTCCCATGCCTCGAGGGGCGGGCTAGCTAGGGTGCGTGAAGGCGCCCTGGCTGCCCTATCGACGCTCGTGCTTCCTTAGGAATTAGGCAATTCAGACACCAACTAACTCGCTCACTCTCACCATCTGCCGGGCTTTTGCCTATTGCTTATTGCCTATTGCCTGGTGTTTCCCACAGCCTGTAGCCTGTGCACCCTGCTACACCCTGCTGCACACCCCATCTGCCGCCGCCCTGTCACCCGCAAAGCCCACCCGCCTTTTCCCTTCTCTTCTCCCTCTCACCACCACCCTCACCTTCTCCCTCACCCACCCACCTTTCTCTCTCCCTCTCCCTCAACTCTTCTTTCAGAACTGCTACTCCACGGCTGCTTCGCTCGTCGTCGCCCGTGTTGTTCCAGCTCGTCCATTCGTTTCCTTCATCCCTCTTTTTTGCCCGGCGCGCTTTTCGCAAACCCCCACCTGGCCGTGTGTTTACCCTCCAGGATCCCGGCCTGATCAACTGAACCATATTGTTCTCACCTCACCTCTCACCAACTCCTCACCTTTCTCGCCCTCGCATTTGGCACCTGGTCCAACTCCATTGCGACTTGGTCCCTTACATCGCTTTACCTTCGTTTACAAACTCCGCGCGCATCTGAGACATTGCCGCCACCCTCCGATCAGCCCGCTTCCGGCCTCGAAAGATTCCGTATCCAGTAGCTTGGTTCCCGCCCTCTGGATTACCGCCCTCCATTCCAGTCGACGTTGCGACCAGCCTTTCAGTTCCTGGCGATAACAGGGCGATATATCCCGCTATCTATCCCGCGATCCCACTTCCCACATTGCGCCTACTCTCGACCGTCAACCACCCGAGTTTGCGTCGCGGCTCTTCAATTCCGACAACATGCCTCTCTCACACCTGCACCTGCACCGCAGGGACGAATCCAACCAAGATATCGGCAAGCTGGCTGCAGAGATGGGAAATCAACCCGAAGAGCGTGCTGGTAAGCATCTTCCCAGAGACGACCTGGATATGAGAATGATCGGACGCTACCCATTCAAGACCGGTCGTATTTGCGCCTGGTCAGAAGACTAACATGTGAATAGCTGTCAAGGTCACCGTCTATGTGACTGCAGATCCCACTTTCAAGGGAAAGGTTGCTGGCTACTCAACCGTTGGGAAAGAAGTCAAGGTTACTCAGACTGCTGAGAAGGAAAAGGCTACTGCCACCAAGGAGGAAGAAGCCAAGACCACTGCTAAGGCCAAGGCGACGAGTACCGCCAAATCCAACAAGGAAAAGACGACATCAAAGGCAGAGGAGAAGGAAGCCACCACCAAGGAGAAGTCGAAGGCTGTGGCCAAGACCGAAGAAACCGAGGTGGAAAGCAAAACTACGAAGACGGCCAAGGATCGTTCCAAGACAACCGCCACCAAGGAAGACACCTCTTCAGTCCCGTCTGCCATTACACATGCCGCCGACACTGCTACCGAGTCTGTCCTGGCCCAGGCAACCGGCGATGTTTCCATGTCCACCACCTTTGAGACTTCTGCCACCAAATCCGCCGCCTCCACTCTGTCCAGCAGCAGCGCGTCCGCTGCCGCCTCTACTTCTAGCGGAGACTCGAGCGCTGGCACAAAGGCCGGAATCGCTTTCGGTGTCCTCGGTGGTATCTTCCTCGTCGGCATGCTCGTCTTCTTCGTCTTCTCCCGACGTCGCAAACAGGCCGAGCGCGAGAGACTCGAAGATGACGACGAGAAGCTCAACGGTCCCATCGCCCCCGTCGCTCCCGTCGATACTCACTTCGCAGCTGCAGCCAGCACCACTCCCCACACTGATCCCAAGGCTCCTCGCATCAGCCTCCGGCCTGTCACTCAGTTCCTCCCTAACTGGAACCTCGAAAAGCGCACCAGCAAGGGTGCTGCCATGGCTCTCGCTGTTCCCCCCGCTGGTGGCCCTATGACCAGTCGTGCCCCTGGAGGCAGTGCTTGGGACCGCCCATCTACTGCTCAGAGCACTGATCCCGCCAACCCCTTCGGTGCTCAGGCTGAGCGCGTCCCTACTCCCATCATGGAGGAGAGCATCCGTGCCCGAAGCACTACTCCCAATTCCGATGCTCTTCGCCCAGTTTCTCCCGTTTCTTCTATTGGCACCATGAACACAATGAACGATCCTCTCGCTGCCAGCGGCCCACAGGTCGCAGTCGCCGTGGCCGCCGCTACAGGAGCTGGGTCTGCTACGCTCGCTCGTAAGACGTCGATGCGCAAGGATGGCCCTAAGAAGCTTGATCTGACCCTCCCTAACCCTCCTATGGCCCCTGTTCCCCCCAGCCCAGCTGGCACCGAGTTTAGCATTAGTTCTGTATCCCCTGGTGCCACCGATGCTCCTTCTAGTAGCGCCGCTGCTATTGCTGCTGCTGGAGGTCCTGTTAACTCCGCCGTTCACCGCGTTCAGCTTGACTTCAACCCTACTCTTGACGATGAGCTGGACATGAAGGCTGGAGACCTTGTTCGACTGCTTCACGAGTACGACGATGGATGGGTAAGTATCCGAGCCCTGGATTTCTTGGAGATATGTTAACAATGATTTAGGCCCTCTGCATTCGACTTGATCGATCTAAGCAGGGCGTCGTTCCCCGAACATGCCTCTCCACTCGCCCCGTCAAACCTCGTCCCCAAGCCGGCCCTCGTTCTGGACCTCCCGTCAACCCTAACGGACCCCCTCGAGGACCTATGGGCCCTCCCGGCCAACGCCCGATGACTCCCCAAGGAATGCAGGCCCAAGGCCGCCCTGCTTCGCCCGCTGGTCGCCCCATGACCCCTAACGGTGGCCGAAGCCAGTCTCCCATGGGCCGCCCTATGAACCCTCCTGGGCGCCCTGCTGGACCTCCTATGAGTCCTGGACCTCGTTCTCAGTCACCAGGACCTCGTCAGGGACCTCCTCAAGGCCGTCCCATGAGCCCCGGCCCTCGCTCTCAATCGCCTGGTCCCCGCCAAGGACCTCCCGGAGGTCGAAACAGCCCTCCTGGACGCAGTCCTATGAACCCAACCCAGGAGCCCCGTCAAGGCCCTCCTGCTGGTCCTCCCACTGGTCCTGTCGGCAGGAAGCCAGTGCCCGGTCAGGCATACTGAGCAATCTACAAACGCTTAGTTTGTCTGATTTAGCATTCGGCGATTTGCCACAGGGAGTCAACAGGGAAACGGGGATAAAGGCCGGCGTTCTGCGATACCCAAGGCAGGACAGGGGCCTCACGGTCTGCTCATGATCCTGAACGATATTTGGGGATGATTTTCAACCTTTCTTGTCACTCACTCAACAACTTTCAACTTTGATTTTGACCGAGTTTTCGGTCTTGTTTTTTCCCTTCTTCCACGTTTATATACATTTCACATATCCCAGGCGGCATATTTTCCCGCCATGTATTATGGCCCGTTATATTCTTCTGTCGGTAACCCGATGGAACGTCCTCGAGTACCGACTGGTTTCAAAGGAGCACACAAGATTACGACTCTTGCTGCAGAACAACGTCCTCGACTGAGGAGGAGAGTTGCGCTAGTCGCTAATGTGTATTTTCATTTTGATCTTTTTGCATTCGGTTCTTCCCTACTAAGGCTGGATCCATGTCGTTGGATGAGGAGACGAGCACAGAAGAGCTTTCCTGAGGGGCAAGGTGGCACCTGGAGGCTAGGATTACAATAGTGACGAGAAAATAGGAAATGAGGATGTGATGCTCGATGAAATGATTGTTTGCTCCGCTTCTGCTGTCTCCTGTGAATGTGAGTAGTGCCTCTGCGACAGCTATCTGTTGGATAGATCTAGTAGTGGTCGTAACATCGTATACGTGGTGTCAGTATCGGAGCGCAATTGGTTTTGACCAAAGTCAGTATCTGAATAACTACTGGCCAAAGTCGAGGGTACATCGTCTTTGGTACAACCCTCGGTGCAAGTACCATGTGGAAGTAGCAGGAAATTAGGAACGCAAAACAAAGGAAAATTAAACACGAAGACTGAAAGAGGAACATAGAATACAGCAAGATAAAATAAAGGGAATAAACAAAGAAACTATAATACACTAAAGTCTGATACAGCTGCTGATCACAGAGCATGTTCCTCCAGTTCTTAGGTAAGAGGCATTGGATGGTCGTGAATAACACTACAGACGACCGCATCATTGTCTCGTTCAGTTTATACGAGCTTTGCCGACTCTCTGCGTTCCATCTCTCGATACTCGATCTTCGAATACGACATATCAATATCGAAATTTACTTACTTCATCATACGACGCGACTATGCGCATTCTTCACATAATCTCAGCTCTCGTCGTGGCCGCCATCCCAGTGACGGCTCTGGGCGCCATCCCCTTTGTCAAGCTATATGCAGCAGCTCTCAAGGGCAGAGTCAGGGGGAAGCCCAGAGAATACCAGCCCCACGAGTGGGCATTTGAGCAGAAGTGCACGAACATCAGGCTCGTTGGGCACGGGATAAAGGGGCAGACGACACTCCAGGCAGTCTGTGTTGACCACTGGAAGCGGAGGTGGTTGACCGAGCTGAATCTCAACCGATGCCTCAGCATGGTCCAGGGCGAATTTGCCTACTACGCTTGGTGAGACTTGCCTCATTCTTGTTCTTCATGATACATTTTTCACTCTACTATCTTCCTTGGAGACTCTGAATCGGTCGGCTAACCATGACATTGATCCAGGGCCAACCAGACTTTCGACGCAGCGTGCTACGACTGCAAGCTGTTCCATTCGGACGAAGACCATACACTGATGTTCGCGTGTGCGTGCCTCGACGCCAACTGCGACCTGCAGCCAATATCCGCCCAGCTCGGCGGAGAGAGTGAGTATCCGTGTTTCCTGGAGTCGAATGTTCCGAGCACGAGACTGACCGATGACTGTATACTTGCCAGGCCTGCATGCCGCCTACGTGAAGCCGTCCGAGGGGAGGTTTGTTTGCGGCGCCGAGAAGGGGACTAAGGAATTCGTGGCGAACGGGTCCATCGCAATGGGATGGCTGAGGATCCCCGAGTAAGAGGCAGGGATAGATATGCTATGGGGGTTCATGGTGCGGGCTTTTTGGATAGTTGAGGTTCGTTGACGTACTAATCGTAGTGTCATGTTTTGCTGAGACCAAGATTGTGAGAAGAGTGATGCATGTTCCAGTGGGGTTTGACCTGTGTTTTTTGAATCGGGCCATTTGTTTGGTTATCGTGATTTAGATTCGTTATATGAGAGATACCATTGTCCCGAGTTCAGCTTGTTGTTGGTGTACCGACTGTAGCAAGCGAATCGTAGACACCGATATCAACACGAATGAGTCACACTAAAATGACACACGAGCCTCCTGCGAGAAGCGAATTGATAGGTCCCGCGGTATATGAAAATCCCAATCACGTCTCCACGGCAGAAAAGCGCTGTGATTTGCTTCACCATGATTGCCTCAGGAGTGTGTCCATCACGCAAGTCTCGACCACGTACACTGAACCACCCAAAGTCCAATCTCTTTGCCATTCCGCTACAACAGTGTCGGCGGCCACACAGAACAACGACTCACTTCCTTTACGATAACAACACAGAGGCCATACCCTTTGTCAAAAACCGCCTTTTCGATCCTCTTCACCATCCCAGCACCCAGCTGTGGCCAGCCCAATCATCGCTACCTTTCCTGGCGGGATAACGACAAGAAGCGGCGATTTCTTACCTAGGCGAACCTGAACTGGTGCCTCTTGAATTATTATGGCAACATTTAACCTACGTTTGGGCCGTATGTTTCCTCCCTGGTCATCAACCCCCTCTGCTCATGTGCTTGCGAGTGATGCTGAGGGAAAGACAGAGGCTCAGATTACATAGACCGACGAAACTGAGTAGACCACCCCCATTCGATCATCATGATGGAGAGAAAATTCTTCTTCGTTATTATTTGAGGCTACGTTTCCCATTCATACACGTGAACAGTTCGTTGTGTAACCTATTGACACACCAGTCGTTCCCCAAGTCTTACATGTATCCCAAACGCCAGTCTTTTCCTATTGTTCCCTTTTTACATAACCTCTCCGTATAACCGATTCGTAATCTTCTGGAACAAATCATCCGCAAAATCGCCCTGGCAGCGCAGCGCAGCCCGAAACTCTTCGCAAGTCTTCACGTCCTCGCCGATACAAGAGAAAAATGCAACGATCATATTTCGGGCCACGTCGTCCTCGACGGTGTTATCGTAGATTGTATGGACAATGGCGACGAGGTCTGGGATGCGCTCGGGGAAGATGGTGAACTCCATCAGGGCATGATGCAGGCGTCGCAGCGTCAGAGCTCTCAGGTCCTCGACGCCGTACTTGTCGGCGAGAACGTAGAGGTTGGCGTGGCTGAGGAATACAGAGCGGTACGACTCCCACATGTCGACATTAGGTCGGGGTCGCCAACGAGCATCAGCGGCAGCGGCCTGTGCAGTGGGAGCCACGAGGCTAGGAACATTGAACTGCTCGAAGTGCTTCATAGCCTCGTACTTGTCATGGAAGCGGGGGTCGAGCCGATACTCGGTGGTATCGAGAAGGCGGCGGCGTTTTTGAGGGTGGGCTTCATGATTGCGCAAGTCCTGCTGGGTGCTGTGTGTGAGGAGAGTGTCGAGGCGACTCTCCCATCTACCCATGTAGTATTTAATAGAGTACGGGAGTTTGTGAGGAGCATGGTTGGTTTCGGCCTCGCTCAACGTGGACGAAGCGACGGAGCTAGATTCGGCACTCTCAATCCTGTTGGCAGTGGGATCCCTATGGCCGTGTTCTGCTTCGTCGTCTTCGTCGTCATCTTCTTCATCATCGTCGCCTTCATCGTCATCATCCTCACTCATGGACGTAGAGCCCTCTTCGTCATCGCCGCTAATAGAAGAGGAAGAGGAAGACTCGTGGTCCTGGTGGATTGCTAGGTCTATCGTCTCTCGCTCCGAACCCTGCGAGCCCTGCGAGCCCTGTTGCTCGGTGGCAGAGTGATCCTCAAACACGGTAATTAGAGGTGTCAGAATCTCAGGCTCAGCCTCGGTGTAGTCACGCGAGTAAGCATACTTTGCGAAGCGAACAAAGGTGTCGGTGTCCAGGTCTGGCCATTCGACGCGGCCCTCTCTCGCTTCTTTCATCTGGCCATTGACGAGGGCATTGAGCGCGGGAGACAACTGTCCGATGAGTTCCTTGTGAACGTGGAATTCTTTGCACTCCTCGCCGATGACAAAGAGGAAGGGTTTTGAGGCGAGGGACCTATGCAACGAAAACGAGACGAGGTCAGCAACAGGGCACAGCACACTTGCATAGCATTAGAATGGCGCACTCCTCAAAGCAGGCGTTGTCCGCCTTTGCGGCGGCGTCTGCGCGTGTAACCGGCATGAGGGACGGTGATAACGCAGGGAGCCAGGCCAGGCGGGTCCGCCTTGCCGCTTGGTATATCGACAACTACCAGCGGCGTCAAGACCAAGGCGCAAACGACCAGGTCTCCGAAGGTTGTGGGCCGAAGGGCGGAGGCAATGAAATCGTGGAGCTGGGGTGTGTGTGAGGGAGGCAAGTTTCACAAAGGCCCAAGAGGAAAGCGACGCGAGACTGAGGGTTGCTGGCGACCAACAGTCCCTACCTAGGTGCCTACCTTGGGGGCGTTCAGGGCCCTGGCCATCCACCACAGACCCCTGTAACTGCGGGAAGCCTAACGCCTAAAATACCGCCAAAGCCTCCAAGTCATCCACTAATGTTTGCTGCAGTGTACTGGGGTCGTCTTCTGGGCTGACGGCGCCCATTTTTACTGGCTGGTTTACCGCGCGCGTCTCGCCGTTGCAAGCGTTGCGGGGCTGCATGACTGCTCGCCTGCAACTTCGAACCAGCACCCATGTCACTGGTTGTGCAGAACGCAGAATACACACTTGAACAATATATTTCGTATTTTAGTGGCTCCTACCAGGATTGATTGCATCCAGGAGAACTCCAGTTCCCTCACAGCCTTACTCAAGCCACAAACTTCCCGCCACATCCACCACACGCTTCACCAGACGACTCAACCGTAGTTCCAGAACCAATGTACTCCTCCGCCATCTTCGATAGTTCAGACACCTTGAGGCACCGCAGTTCGCACACGGCGCAGATACGGGATATGTCAGGTCCCATGATGGCCAAATCAGTCGCGGCACATCGCGCTAATATGCAGTCAGTAAGCCGACCGAGAATGGAATAGATAGAGCCGCCAAAACGTGAAGACTTACCAAAGGAGTGCCCATTCTCGCACTTCACTTCGTACCCTTCGGTCTGGAGCGTCGAGTCACAAAAAACACAACGTTGATGCGCAATCACCTCCCTAAACTGCCTCCGGAGTGGCGACTCACGTACTTCAGCACTCATCTTGCTCTGAACGGTCGTCCCGGGCACCTCAGCGCCCCCTCCGTACATCCATTCCCAAAGCTGACCTTCTGTTGACAGGTCTTCCAATGGCGTGGCTGCTTGGCTTTGTGTCTCGTCTTGATGCTCCGGTCCGTCCCGCCACCCAAAGATTAACTTGGAAATGGCACGGCGCTCCGGGTGTAGCGTGCTGTACTGGGACACCAAAACAACTGTCGAGCCGCCGCCCGGGGACGCTGCCATGCCCCATATACGGAACCGCGACTGGGGCACCTGCAGCTTCGACTCGTCCTCCTCCATGAGCTCGTCTTCGGAGTCGTCTGAGTCAGAATCCAGGCCCTCCAGGGCAGACGTGCGGGAGATGAGCCGTGTGGTGAGTTTTCTAATCTTCCCAGCCCATTGCGGCGGATTGGACCCTGTTTCAGGGAGGTTGGTCTGGTACCAGTCCTGGTTGCTCGCTGTTGCTGACAGCCTGACAAGCGAGTAATGCGGAACTGCGGCTCTAGTCGATTGATTGGGTCGGTGCATGATGAGTCCTGAACGAAGTTGTCAATGTATGTTGGCAATCGGTTTCGCAAGGTCCATACCGGTGATAGGACTTTTTGAGATATTTTCTTCTTCTTTGGGATATGTAGTAGAGCATTCCCAAGTGTAGTGCGCTTCTCCCGGATCTTTGGGTGGGTCGGAGAGCGAAACCTGGAACGGCTTTACATCAAAGGGCGTGCCGATGACTCCTCTAGCCAGCGGCTTATCATCTTCCATAATAATCTAAGCCTTGTTAGTTGTGCTCAAAAGTCCACAGCGATCCCACATACACTATCCTCCCACTCAACAATTGCGTCGGTCGGTAGGAATGTGCAGATAGTCGTCATATCTGCCACTTCGACGTCGAGTTGGGGGAGCTGGCCCTTGGCCCAGTCACCTTGGATCGTGATCCGACGAAAGCCGACATGATTCTTTGCCAAGTATGCCAGAATCGCTGTCCTCTTGCCCTCGCTAACAAACCAAGGACTCCATTTCAATGAGAAGGCGCTTCCATGTGGGACGAAATCAGGGTCCGTGATATCTGTAGCCTAGACAAAATTAGGATTGCACACATAGCTCGTTCAGCAAAAACTCACATCCTCTTTTGTGTGCGGTCCTCGTCCATCAAATCGAGCCAGTTCCTGGATATCCCACATGGACTCCTCAGTTGTCGGCTCTGAAGGTTTCGGTCGGGAAAAGAGCTGTACACTCATGATCGCAATCTCCTCGGCATCATTGCAGTATGCAAGAATGGCTCTGCCACTGGAGACTTCCTTGGCCCATGAGAAAGCTTGAATGCGTTCATTCATATTTCGGTACCCGTCCTCCTCACTTGAATCCGGCAGAGGCAGTTGTGCTCCTAGGCCCCATAGCGTCTTCCATGCTTTGAAGCCGCGCGTGCGCATGCCCGATATTACTGTTGACTGCCGGTCAATGTGTTCTCCAAGCACGATGATGGCTCCGTTTGTTGACAAGACGGTTAGGACAGGCCGCAGATTACACCCGAGCCCTTTCGGCGACCATTCCAACCTGATGATCTGACAGACTGATGCGCCAGAGCTCGTGACGAGCCCGCTACCCACGCCTGTGAACCAGTTCTCCTCAGTCGCCCGGGGAGCCGCAACTCTGACCCCTGCAAAAGCGCAGAGCTGCGCATTGATCGTTGGGTCCGGTCGGATCAGCCCTGATGCCCGGAACGACAGAGAGAATTGGTGCGGTTCCTCCTCCGTAGCCTCATCACGATCGCTGGCTTTGGGGTACTCTGGTAAGAAGACGTATATTGTGTCATCGGTTGCGACCGCCAACTCGGCGTCGCAAGACCATGCGAGAGCATGAGTTGTAAGTGGACGCGACTTGAGATGGATGGTCTTGAGGGGACGCGTCTGAGGCGGGGTTGAGGTCAGCAATTTGCGAAAGGTTGTAGAAACGTATTCGCCGCTAGGGAAATGGATGTAGATGCATGAGATTGAAGGAATAAAACGAATAATAATGGCACAATCGAGCATTGGCTGTGTGTTGACTGATGCGGTCATACCTTGGATTTATCCATCTTGAAAACTCGGTCGTCTCACAACCGTGGAGGGGTGTAGCTACCTAGAAAGGCATGAGGACATGTTCCTAGTCCGTAAATTTAAGTGCATGCTATCCGAAAAGCAAGCCTGTGCCCTCGGCGGAGAAGATTGAAGTTGGCGCAACGTCAATTAATGAAAGTGAATCTCACAAGTTGAGAAATGGCTGCAGGTCAAGGCGACGTGCGCTGACTAAGACGCCCAAGATGTGATTGAGGGCAACTTTATAAGTAGCCAAGCGCACGCAAGAGTTTAGATCGTGAGAGCCGCTGAATGTCTTATTGTGCATTAAGTAGATGGAATTTATTCTCATAATCTTTTAAACATCTGAGGATGGGTATATAACATATATAAGGAAACATGCTGGAAACACTTTCAACTTCCGTCGGTATGGGTATGGAGCCGTTCGTCCAGCTTGATCCATACAGGCCAGGTCTCTCGCCTGATCAAACAAGACTCCTTAGCTGATCCTCTAGCTCGTAACAGCACTGCATCCCGCAATTGGGTGCCTTCATTCCCACGTCTCCCGCTTGATCGATGATCAAGACTAATTTCAGTTGCAAGTATTGATGCAACCGTGGCTCTCAATAAAAGTCAAACGCCCACCAAGACTCTCATTGTCCGAAAGGGCGCGTTCTTGGTTCCAGAATAAATGTGACTTGACATGTTCGAATATCTATGCCTCCAGCAATGATCCCAGGCCCCAGAGAAGGGCGCATCCGGCCAGAGCAGTCGCGCCAACCACCTTCTTGGTCCACCAGTTTTCATCCGTGAGCGCCTTGGTCTTCTGGGCCTTCTTTGGTGCTTCAGTCGGTATGCTAGCGGGAGCGCTGGCGTGCTCTTTTTGAGATGCATCCTCTTCAGCCTCCCTCTTTCGTAGCACGGCAATCTTCTTGCTGAGCTCAAGCATGTCCTCTTCGAGAGTCAAGTTCTTGGTGCGGTCAACCTCCACATTCTGGACGTTGCCGAAGAAGTCGGTAATCAGGCGACTACGAGCGGCGTCGGAACCGCCGGGGAAGAGGTCATAGCGAACACCTGGGTTGGAGTGGATCTTCTCGTAGTCGTAGCTATCAAACAAGTCGCCGACGGTCTTGGCGCTGCTCAGGTCCTTGACCTGGGTCTCGAGATATTCCAAATTGTAGTACGTGTAACGATCGATGACAGCAACGCCGACGTCATTGTCCGCGTGGTGTGAGTAGGACGACTGGTCGAGCTCGGAGGAACCTGTGGCAATGATGTTGGGAGAGTATAGCCTGCTGTACATGGTGTTTGCCTGACAGGTGTCGATCATGAATAAGATCTCATGGTATCTAGCAAAGGTTAGCACGTGTGTCAGGAAGGAGGGGCATCTCTACTGACCTCTTCTTCTCCCACATCTGCTCAAAAGCATCCGCAAGATCAAATGCACCAATCTCCTCAGCATCCTGAAACTTGAGGAATTCGTTTCCGCCATGGCCAGTCATGTATACCAATATATTACTCCGGTCGTCGGTAAGGAGTCGCTTACTCCTGGGCATCTCGGCGCCAACGCGGTCGGTCAACAGGCGAATGAAGTTCTCAACAGTGACCTCGTAGCCACGATAATCGACCTCGATGTTGTCGCCGTACAGGTCGACGGCGCGATCGGAGTTGCTGTAGACGGTGCCGGGGAAAGCGTTGCGCGGGTTGCAAGCCATGTCGTCGGGGAGCATGAGGATGATCTGGGAGTCGGGGATGCCGAGTCGCTTGACGGTGCGGTACATGGAAAGGACATTGGCGAGATGGCGATAGTTGAACCAGAAGCGCGAGGTGCATACAAGGACAGCCCAGTTGCTGGTATGCTCGGCAACAGCGACGGTTGCGAACAGGGCCGCCGCCACGAGGGCGTGGAAACGAAGGACGGAGAGGTTCATGGTGGATGGCGCAGGGAGGAAACGAGATGAAGCAGAAGTTCCAGGTGGGAACACAAGTTATACCCCTGAGGCCACGGGCAACATGTCCTGTTGCGACCGTTGCGACAAGATGCTAAGGTGAGTCCCAGGAAGGGCTTACAAATCGGTATAACGGCGATGATGGAGCATGGGGAATGCAGCGAGCGTCACTGACTGAGCTAGATTAGCAACACATGGTCCGGAGTTGTCGGAGTCGGGCGCCCGAACGAACCCCTGGCGCTAATGGCCCCAGCACTCACCGTTGAGCGCGGTGTCACGTGATGCCATACAATGCAGACATGACCAGCTGGAGAGGAAACCCAACGACGCCTAGGTACTTTAAGAACTCTGGTTGCGTAACATAAAAGGCTTTTCAGAACCAATCTTTCTGTTCTTCTTGGTAGTACCCGTTAGTAAGAACTCATCTTCCTCTCCGATCACCTAGGCTACAGGCTCTTCTTCCACCACTTCGTCATACTGCCACCACTCCACACCGTCCCTATCAATAAATATAAGCTCTCCAATCCTTTCCCAATCAGCATTGAGAGCTTCGGCATCGACATATCGGGCCACACAACATTCCTGGCAGAAAACGAGGGTCATTGGGTTGCCAAAGCGACAAAACCACCTCAGGGTTCGATCGAGTGGCTGGTTGCAACGCCAGTTGACGTGGTCCGCCCGAATAACCGCGGTCGGCTCAACCATGTTGCGTTAAATTTGATTGATTTGTAAACACAAAAGATGTTGAATCGAGTTGATCTCGAAAATCTGGAACTTGCTGAATCTCGTTATTGTTAATGTGGAGGCCGGTTGTCAAATAAATAGTCCAGAGCGCAGCATTGGAACACTTTATATGTCAGGCTAGAACTGATTCACGAAGATAACATCATATCATGTGAGTGTCGAAGGAAAACTCACGGTTCTTCTACATATGTTGCCGATTTTTTATTCGCCACAATGACTGGTAACCCTTGTGGGGATTAGATCACCAGCTCAAGAGGATAACGTGACCACGGCACGACACGCCTTCCCAAGGGAACTGACCTCTTTAGTCCTCTGCATTTACACGACTGTGTTCTTTTGAATATGACGCGACTTGCTTGCAAATCACAAAGGGGGCCATTCTGTCGCAAATCGCATCACCTTACCCTACAGCGTAAGTTAAATGCGACCACTGAGGACTCCTAGGGCGAAGTTTCTTGTGTCACATTCAAGTTTAACGGTTCATCACTGGTGATAATAAAATCGCTGTAGCCATAACCACTATCTAGGAGCAACCGTGGGAAACGGCTATATGTGCCGCTTCGTTACTTGGCGGTAGTCCTCTAGCGCCATCAAGGAGTTGCACGACTGACATGGGATGAACACAAGACAGAGTATTGGGGAGGCAAGAAGTTGTTCAAACCTACTCACAGTCAAAGATGTTTAGACCGCAACTGGAACCACAAGTTCGGATGATAGTTAAACCGCTGAAGACATAAGAACCACAAACCTGCCCATTTCTCAGTCAAGTTTGTGTCAAGACAGGAGCTGGAGGAACATGAGTAAATAAAAGAAGTATTCCAATTTCATCCTTTTATGTTTCAATCGAATTCCTCCAAGACCTTGGGCAGTGAAGGTGCGATTTCAAAACATATAGAGAAGTATTCGAGGTTGGAGGACTGCGGTCTCTGACGAGAATACCGGCATGTAAGTTTCTCGGCTTGCATGTGCACAGACACGAGCGTACTTTGGGTTGATACAATGACCAAGAGGAGGCTTCAACCACCCGTGGGCACAAAAAGCATAGCCGTATAGAACCAATAACTACGGCATCTTCTAAACATCTCCAATAATTATAACGGCATAATACAGACGATACAGGGGAGACAAGCAACGATGATGTGTTGAGGTAACTTAGACGGGCACTTACCCTGTGGCGACCGAAGTCACATGACAAACCCCGCCAACAAACCCCGCCACATCATAATCTCCACCCCAACTGAGCAACAACCATGCCCACAATATAGACCACAAATTCGAGCCATTTAATCATCGGAACAATACGGTCGCGTGGCCCAATGGGTAAGAATCACTATCCAACTACTAGAGTTTAACTCAGTAACTAACAATCAATGTAGCAAGGCGTCTGACTACGAATCAGGAGATCGTGGGTTCGAGCCCCACCGTGACCTTCTCTTTTTGCCTCTTCCGGCGGATACTTGACTCTGGCAATATGGACTCCAAAATCGAGCCAACTCGCCATCAGAACATCACGGTCGCGTGGCCCAATGGGTAAGCAACCTCACTCTTCAATATTACAGAGCAATAACTAATAATTAATTCAGCAAGGCGTCTGACTACGAATCAGGAGATCGTGGGTTCGAGCCCCACCGTGACCTCTCTTTTTGCTCTATCCAGAGTTTGTGGGATCCCCACTGTGGTGTCTCTTTTTTCTTCAACCCACATGCAGGTCTCACAACATAACATGAAAACTCGACGCCGTCGTCCAACCAATGACATGGTCGCGTGGCCCAATGGGTAAGTAACGTCTTCAACCACCTACTATCACACACAACTAACAAATAATACAGCAAGGCGTCTGACTACGAATCAGGAGATTGTGGGTTCGATCCCCACCGTGACCTCTCTTTTTGCTTCATCAGGATGTTGTGGGATATCCACTATGGTGTCTCTTTTTTCTCCATTTCGATTGCCCCGTCGCTTCACAACATAGAATGAATTTTCGACGCCATCACCCAACCAATGACAGGTCGCGTGGCCCAATGGGTGAGCAACTTCCTCCATCACCTCCCATCAAACACTCAACTAACAACCACTTCAGCAAGGCGTCTGACTACGAATCAGGAGATTGTGGGTTCGATCCCCACCGTGACCTAGTCATTCTTTTTGCCTCTTGACACATACTTTTATGCCGTTTGATAATTGATGTGGAGGAGAACTGGGGCTGAATGGTAGGACGGATGACGTAGTAGTGTAGAGTTGTTAGTGACCACAATGAGTTGTAGCCAATGAATGCCTATAGCGTATTTGACGGATTGTACATGTTGCAGGCCTGTGTACGATTACCAACATAATACGGACAAAATTGCAGTAATTAGAGTATGAAGCATAATTCCCACGGCGCCTCTCATTTCTGGTGGTGCAGAACTGGCCATTCCTGGGGCCCTTTGGCGGCGGCTAGCGCTGATGGTGGACGAAGAAAATTTCCCAACGGTTCACTAAAGAACCTCACCTTTGCCATCACGACAGAACCGCAATAGCGTCGGCCAACAGCGGCCAACAGCAATTACAACAGCTTGGCCGCGCAGTCGCGCACTCGTGCACCACTGCGAAAGCCGCTTGTCTCACTCTAGCCGCGCCGCCCTGGCACGATCCCAGTCTATTACTCGCCGTCATCGTCATCGCTGCTGGGCCCCTCGCCGAATCAGACTATCGCTACCCCCAGGCCGAGACGGCCGCACGCCACCGCCGGTCCAACCCAGGTCAGATCCTGCGCCCGGAGTCGTTGACGGCCGAACTAAAGTACGAGGTACTGAACAGAATCGACGCCTCAAGCTCACACCGACGCCCCGGCCGGCCAGATATACTTGATACGCGCATGCAGGGCGGCACCTGGTCACACACAGCCCGTGTCGTCGGCGTCGAATAGCCGTGACGGAAGCGGTCGACAGCCGTGGCCTCGCCCCACACAACCTCGTCCAACCGTCCAACGTCGCCTCTCAGCAGGTTCCCAATCCCGGCCCGCGTCCGCGTCCACGTCCAGCCTCCAGCTTCCAGGCCCTCTCGCCCGTTGACCGAGTGTGCGAGTGTCTGAGCGCGTCTTGCGCCCAGTCCGATACTGACCCAGTGGCCCGTCGCATCGCCCGTCGCCAAGCGCCTATCGCCCGTCTCGCGCGCCATCCGTGGCCTGCCACCACGCCCTCAACGCCCTATTACCGCCCTGTCGCTACCGCTGCCGCCGCCGTCCAAGCGCAGCGCTGCCGCCATGTACTCCGCCGGCTATGGCTTTGCCAACAATGGTGCTCCTTCCTTCAACAACGCCGCCCCACAGCAGCCTGGAGCCCAGCCGACCGGCCAGCAGGTCATGTACAACCAGCAGCAACAGTTTGCCGGCATGGCTCCTCAGGGGGCCTTTGCTCCTGGCGCGAACCCTCAGATGATGCCTGGCGGCCCTGCCGGAATGATGCCAAACGCCGCCATGCCGCACATGGCGGCCAATGGTCAGAGTGAGTCGCCCTTGTGTGCCCTGGTTCGATCTATCCCGGCGCGCCTCAACGCGCCAAGGTCTGCGCCCTGCTATTGCATCGATTCTGCTATGCGGTTGCTTGATCGGCAACCGTTACCTTTCTTACGAGAGAAGGTCCGGCGCGGAGCGCGTCATGGAACAGACGCGCGACCGCTCTGCGCCAAACACCATTGCCATGTCCCTTTGCGAATATGACGGCTGACTCTTTGACGACAGTGGCAGGATACCAGCAACAATTCCCTGGCTCGCCTTATGGGCAAGTCGTTACCTCATCGGCCGGTCCACAGGGCTTCGCTCCCAACTACATGATGGCCGCTGGCATGCAAGGCTTCCCGATGAACCAAGCGGGAATGCAACAGCAACCTCAGATGATGCAACGTATGCCTCAGCAGTCGCAACAACAACCGCAACAGCTTCCAAACCCAGCGGCGATGGGCCAAGTCGGTACCCCTCAACGACCTCCGAGCGCCGCCCAGGGCACGCCTAACAACGCCGTGCCTTCGCAACCGGGACAGTTCTCGACGCCGCAACCCCCTTCACAAGGCCAAACTCCGACGAACCAACAGCCACCGTCTGCTGGGATATCGACGCCGCAAACCCCGACCTTCTCCGCGAACCAGGGAGTAGTCACGAATGGGGGCTCAGCTGTGGTAACCCCTCTGAGCCCAGGGACGGAGTCACGAGACAAGGAGCGCTTTGCCCTTCTACTGGACATCAACCACGAATTGCTGTACGAGTCGATTCAGATCCAGGCCACACAACAAGAGTTGAAAAAGGAACATGCGGATGCCAACGGAGGAGACAAGAAACCAACAGAGGAAGAAACCTTGTTTCAACAAGATTATCTGCAGTATGTCCGCTCCAACGCAAGCTCCAGAGCGACACTAACAGCCGTGAAGATGCATGAGGCGGTTACAGGCCAATCTTTCATACATGGCAGCCTTGGCAGATAGGAAGCCCGAGGTCAAGGTGCCTCCTTGTCCAGCGTATCTCAGCGCCCCTCCACTCAACCTCTCACTCAAGCTCCGGGCCATGGCTGCCCCCCCCGATGCCCCGGAGAGCAAGGTCGACCCGGTGGCTGACAGAGAGGACCGTGATAAGAGCATCAAGGATCTGTACATGAGGTTACAGGCTGTGTTCCCTGGATTCGACCCTAAGAAAGAACCGCTCTACCGTATGCCACCACAGACAGGCGGACCCCAAGGCCAGAAACCTGGCAACCCGGGAATGAGCCAGGCTAGCCCGACAGGCCATAAGACACCTCAAATGACAAACATGCCAGCGCCGCAGATGCACCACCCTGGCATGCCCTCATAGTGGATCTGGATCTTCATCTTTATCTTCATGTCAAGGGTTGAGACCGTGTGTATATATGATGGGACGGTTCATAGACGCCGCGATTCCGGGAGCTGGATGAGTGGGTCATAACGGGCATTACGGGCATTACGGGTGTCTGGGAGGTGTTGGTCTGCATGAGCCATGTTTCGAAAAGAGAGCATCTGTGTCAGCCAAGCCCCAGTACTGGAATCTAGGACTAGTGCACCAATTCCAGAGAAGTGGATGGAGTCTGAGGGGCGAGGCCAGGGGGACGTGCTGTTTGGATACAAGAGAATGGGAAAAGGGCGCTGCAGATGGTTACTATTCACTATCGTGGACTGGTTGAGCGGCGTTTACGGGAGCGACATTTGGTAGCAGTCATGACTAAACAAAACCAAACAAAACAAACAATTGCCATGTTGTAATACCTCGGTACATACTCTGTTGGATGTACATTGTACTGTGTGTAGGGCTCTGTGTGTCTGTATGCAATGTAGGTGACTCGCAACGCAGGGACACGCGGGGAGACGCAGACGGCTAGCTCGCGTGACATGGCAGTATAATTCCCTCGGATGCCACTCCGCCTCTGCACCGAGTGCATGTACCTTTCTCCGCCTTGGTCTTGATGCGGTACTATATCTCGGATGATGCTTGTTGAGAGTGCAATGGAGGAGCGGTCATTGGCCGACACCTTCTGGTTGCCCACAAGAGTGAAAAAAAAACTCTGAAAAAAAAAAACTTCCGCAATACGCAGCGTTGGATGGGGAGCGGGTTTTTAGTTGGCACGACTACTGTAGACTACCGGTAGTTGGCCAACGGGTGAGAGAAATGGATCCATTCCTTGGGTCGAGGATTGGGGCCGGCGGCAGGATTCACACGATTTGTCGATTGCTTGCCTGGATTGCGATGTACCACAGCCAGACCTGTCACCTCAGGCCATGCCGAATGAAGAATGAGGCCTGTGATTTGGACGGGAATCTGACATACAGATGTGGCTTGCCGAAGGGTTCACTCGTGCGTGTGTGCGTGAGTATGTCCGCCCGCGGTTGTACTAATACGGTCGTGTTAGAGAGACACCACAGGGAGATGCCAGGGCTTGCATATCACAGCTCTCACCATGACACTGGATCCTGGTGTCAGCTCTGCATCTCTGCTGTCAGATCTGCCTCTCTACAGTCGAGTCTTTGCCCGCAGCTCCCACTCTTACCATCCCAGCCCCCTCACGCTCGTCTACGCTTATGCCTCTGGCGAACATCTCCCGCCACCGCCATGACATCCCTTGGACCCTTTTGGTCTCGGTGGCCAAGACATATCCATGACCCCGGCCCTGGCCCTGACCGCCGATCTCGTCGCCCACCCACCCCTCCAGCACACAAGCACACAAGCACACAGAGTCAGCAGCCCGGCCACCCTTCGGCGTACGACGTCGCACCGTCGTCGGCATGCATGTACGCATGTACCTACCGACCTCGTACCGCTGCCAGATCATGGAAGCCGTGGAGAGGTTCGACCGGGGCGCTGGCGGGGCGCGTTAGTGCCCTGCAAGAGTCCCCTGAACCGCTCGGATTGGACGCACCCGGGCGAGCCTCCCAGCCATTGGCCAATGGCGGCGCCCTGTAGCCAGTACTAATAGCGGCGGGGGAGCACCCTAGTAGGTACCTGTACGCAGTAGGCTGAGAAAAAAAAAAAGTCGAGGGCCGCATCCGTCGACGTCTTAATCTTCTTCAATCTCTTCCTCCTCCAAACCCCGCCTTCCTCCCAAACATCCCTTCTCCTCAATTGCTGTTGAGGCAGATGATTGCGAGGTAGCTTCTGACCAGACCAGGGGAACTCTGAGAACGAGTTTTCTTGCCGGCCGTCGCTCGCAAACCTCTGCCCTCTTCGCAACGCCAACACCTACCCTTGTCTTCTGCCCCGCGTTGCGTCTTCGGACCTCGTGCCTGTGTGCGGAAGCTTCACCCTCCTCCCTTCACAATGTCCGCCGTCACTATGGCGCCGGCGTCGGCTCGCATCGTGGGCTCCGACGACGATGGCCACGTCTGCCTTGAGCTTCAGGATGGCTCCACCTACCAAGGCTACAGCTTTGGTGCCCAGAAGAGCATTGCTGGAGAGCTGGTCTTCCAGACGGGTATGGTGGGGTATCCCGAGTCCGTCACTGACCCTTCGTACCGCGGCCAGATCCTCGTCATTACTTTCCCTCTGGTCGGCAACTATGGCGTCCCCTCGCGCGAGACCATTGATGAGCTCCTCGGCGATCTTCCCGCTCATTTCGAGTCGTCCCAGATCCACATTGCTGGCCTGGTCACGGCATCATACTCTGGCGAGGACTTTTCCCACTTCCTCGCCACCTCTTCTCTGGGCACCTGGCTCAAGGAGCAGGGCATCCCCGCCATGTACGGCGTCGATACCCGCGCCTTGACCAAGAAGCTCCGCGAGTCGGGTAGCATGCTCGGCAAGATGCGCCTCGAGTCCAAGGCTCTGACCAACGGCTCCGTCAGCCAGATCGATGGCCCATTGGCCCCTGCTCCCATCGAGACCTTTGAGCAGCTTGACTGGGTTGACCCCAATACCAAGAACCTGGTGGCAGAGGGTGAGTTTCCCCATGACTTCAGATTCGAAGGCATGCTCATCGTCGTGTAGTGTCCATCAAGGCCCCTAAACTGTATAAGCCTTCCGCCTCGGTTGCCCGCAAGCACCCGTCGGGTCGTACCATCCGTGTCCTGTGTCTCGATGTCGGTATGAAGTATAACCAGCTCAGATGCTTCCTTAAACGTGGCGTCGAGGTCCTCGTCTGCCCCTGGGACTATGACCTGGTTGGCGCCGCCGACGAGTTCGACGGTCTCTTCCTATCCAACGGTCCCGGTGACCCCTCCGTCCTCGAAAACACCGTAAAGAACATTGCCGCCGTCATTGAGAAGAACCATATTCCGGTCTTTGGTATCTGCCTGGGTCACCAGCTGCTGGCCCGCGCCTCGGGCGCCCAGACGGTCAAGATGAAGTTTGGTAACCGCGGCCACAACATTCCCTGCACCAGCATGGTCACTGGCAAATGCCACATCACCTCGCAGAACCACGGTTTCGCTGTCGACGCCAAGTCCTTGTCTGGCGGCTGGAAGGAGCTCTTTGTCAACGCCAACGATGGCAGTAACGAGGGTATCATGCACGCCGAGAAGCCCTACTTCTCCGTCCAGTTCCACCCTGAGAGCACTCCCGGTCCCCGCGACACCGAATTCCTCTTCGATGTCTTCATCGACACCATTGCCAACTGCGCCGAGAATCCCGCTCTGCTCCAGGCCCCTGTCAGTTTCCCCGGCGGCACCGTCGAGGAGAACGAGGCTGCGCACCCTCGCGTCTCTGTCCGCAAGGTTCTTGTCCTGGGTAGCGGTGGTCTGAGCATTGGTCAGGCCGGTGAATTCGATTACTCCGGTAGTCAGGCTATCAAGGCTTTGAAGGAGGAGGGCATCTACACTGTCCTGATCAACCCCAACATTGCCACTATTCAAACCTCCAAGGGCCTGGCAGACAAGGTCTACTTCCTTCCCGTCAATGCCGACTTTGTTCGCAAGGTCATCCGGTATGAGCGTCCCGATGCCATCTACGTCACCTTCGGTGGACAGACCGCCCTCCAGGTCGGTATCCAACTCAAGGACGAGTTTGAGGAGCTCGGCGTCAAGGTCCTCGGTACTCCCATTGACACCATCATCACCACCGAGGACCGAGAGCTGTTTGCCCGCAGCATGGACTCTATTGGCGAGAAGTGTGCCAAGTCGGCCTCCGCCAACAACATTGTTGAGGCTATGCACGCTGTCAAGGACATTGGCTTCCCCGTCATTGTCCGTGCTGCCTATGCGCTGGGTGGTCTCGGCAGTGGTTTTGCCAACAACGAGGAGGAGCTCCTCGAGCTCTGCAACAAGGCCTTTGCCGCCAGTCCTCAGGTGCTTATCGAGCGCAGTATGAAGGGCTGGAAGGAGATCGAGTACGAGGTCGTCCGAGATGCTCAGGACAACTGCATCACTGTCTGTAACATGGAGAACTTTGATCCCCTTGGTATCCACACTGGTGACTCTATTGTCGTCGCCCCTTCGCAGACTCTGTCTGATGCGGACTACAACATGCTGCGAACCACCGCCGTCAATGTCATCCGACATCTTGGTGTCGTGGGTGAGTGCAACATCCAGTATGCGCTGAACCCTTTCTCGCAAGAGTACTGCATCATCGAGGTCAATGCCCGATTGTCTCGATCTTCCGCTCTGGCATCCAAGGCCACCGGCTACCCCCTGGCCTTTATCGCTGCCAAGCTCGGTCTCGGAATCCCCCTCAAGGAGATCAAGAACACCGTTACCCAGGTCACTTGCGCCTGCTTTGAGCCCTCGCTTGATTACGTCGTGGTCAAGATGCCCCGATGGGATCTCAAGAAATTCACTCGTGTGTCCACTCAGCTCGGCTCTTCCATGAAGAGTGTTGGTGAGGTCATGAGCATTGGTCGATCTTTCGAGGAGGCCATCCAAAAGGCCATCCGAGCCATTGACTTCCACAACCTGGGCTTTGGCGAGACCAAGGCTCTCATGAGCATTGACGATGAGCTTCAGACCCCCTCTGACCAGCGTCTGTTTGCCATCGCCAACGCTATGCACGAGGGTTACACTGTCGACAAGATCTGGGAACTGACCAAGATCGACAAGTGGTTCCTGAGCAAGCTCAAGGGCCTGAGCGACTTTGCCAAGAACATGTCCAGCTATGGCACCTCCGACATCTCCAAGAGCCCTAGCATTCTGCTGCAGGCCAAGCGACTTGGTTTCTCTGACCGACAGCTGGCTAAATTCTGGAGCTCCAACGAGATCGCTATCCGCCGGATGCGACTCGACGCCGGCATCCAGCCCTTCGTCAAGCAGATCGATACCGTCGCTGCCGAGTTCCCCGCCTTTACCAACTATCTCTACATGACCTACAATGCCTCGGAGCACGATGTGACCTTTGAGGATAACGGTGTCATGGTTCTGGGTTCTGGTGTCTACCGAATCGGTTCCTCCGTCGAGTTCGATTGGTGCTCCGTTCGAGCCATCCGAACTCTGCGTGCTACTGGCTTCAAGACCATCATGGTGAATTACAATCCTGAGACGGTAAGCACCGATTACGACGAGGCCGATAAGCTGTATTTCGAGAACATCAACCTCGAGACTGTTCTGGACATTTACCAGCTGGAGAACTCTAGCGGTGTCCTTGGTGCCATGGGTGGCCAGACTCCCAACAACATTGCCCTGCCCCTGCACCGTGCCGGTGTCAAGGTCCTGGGTACCTCTCCTGAGATGATTGACAATGCTGAGAACCGATACAAGTTCTCTCGTATGCTTGACCGTATCGAGGTTGACCAGCCTACCTGGAAGGAGCTTACTAGCTTCGAGGAGGCTCAATCTTTCTGCAACAAGGTTTCGTACCCTGTTCTGGTCCGACCCTCGTACGTCCTCTCCGGTGCCGCCATGAACACGGTCTACTCCGAGAAGGACCTTGAGTCGTATTTGGCTCAGGCCGCCGAGGTGTCTCGGGAGCACCCCGTCGTCATTACCAAGTACATTGAGAACGCCAAGGAGATTGAGATGGACGCCGTTGCCAAGGACGGTATCGTCGTCGGCCACTTCATCTCTGAGCACGTTGAGAATGCCGGTGTTCACTCTGGTGATGCCACCCTGATCCTGCCTCCCCAGGATTTGGAGCTCACCACCATTCGCCGCATTGAGGAGGCTACCCGCAAGATTGGTGCCGCTCTCAACGTGACGGGTCCCTTCAACATTCAGTTCATCGCCAAGGACAACGACATCAAGGTCATTGAGTGCAACGTCCGTGCCTCTCGATCTTTCCCCTTCGTGTCCAAGGTTATGGGTGTTGACTTGATCGAGATGGCCACCAAGGCCATCATGGGCCAGCCTTTCCAGGAGTACCCTCCTACCGACCTCGCTCCCGACTGTGTCGGTATCAAGGTCCCCCAGTTCAGTTTCTCTCGTCTCTCAGGTGCCGATCCCGTCCTGGGTGTCGAGATGGCTTCTACTGGTGAGGTTGCTTGCTTCGGTGTCGACAAGAACGAGGCCTACCTCAAGGCTCTCATGTCGACCGGCTTCAAGATTCCCAAGAAGAACATTCTTCTCTCCATTGGTTCTTACAAGGACAAGAAGGAGATGCTTCCGGCCGTCCAGAAGCTGGAGAAGATTGGCTACAAGCTGTTCGCCACCTCTGGTACCGCCGATTTCCTCCAGGAGCACGGCATTCCGGTTCAGTACCTCGAGGTTCTGGGCAAGGAGGAGGATACCAACTCTGAGTTCTCCCTCACTCAGCATCTGGCCAAGAACACCATCGATCTGTACATCAACCTGCCTTCCAACAACAAGTACCGACGACCCGCCAACTACATGAGCAAGGGCTACCAGACTCGACGTATGGCCGTGGACTACCAGATTCCTCTCGTCACCAACGTCAAGAACGCCAAGATTCTCGTCGAGGCCATTGCCCGCCACTTCGAGTTGGAGGTCTCCAAGCGCGATTACCAGACTAGCCACCGCACCATTGTCCTTCCCGGACTCATCAACATTGCGGCGTTTGTCCCTGGCATTGTCTCCGCTGACAGCCATGATCTCCAGACTGTCACCAAGGCCTCCATCTCGGCTGGTTTCAGCATGATCCGCGTCATGCCCCTGGGTCTGGATGGATCCATTACCGATGCCATCACCCTGAGCACTGCCCAGCAGAACTCCAAGCGTGGTGGCTTCTGCGACTACAACTTCTCTGTCTCGGCTACCTCGGACAACGCCGACCAGATCAGCCATGTCACTGGAGAAGTTGGCTCGCTCTTCATCCCCTTCAACCACCTATCTGGTAACATCAGCAAGGTTGCGGCCGTCACTGCTCATTTTGATGCCTGGCCCGTTCACAAACCTATCGTGACCGATGCCAAGCTGACTGACCTGGCCTCGATTCTCCTCCTGGCCAGCCTGCACAACCGTCGTATCCACGTCACCTCTATCAGCAACAAGGATGATATCAAGCTTATTGCCCTCAGCAAGGAGAAGGGTCTGCAGGTTACTTGCGATGTTTCCATCTACTCCCTGTACCTCTCGCAGAAGGACTTCCCCGACTGTGACCGCCTGCCCACTCAGGCCGACCAGGAGGCTCTTTGGGAGCACATGAGTACCATCGATGTCTTCTCGATCGGCTCTCTGCCCTACCAGCTCGCGACCTCTCTGGGCCACAAGGCCGATCCCTCGATGGGCATCGCCGACGCTCTGCCTCTGCTGCTGACCTCGGTTGCCGAGGGCAAGCTGACGGTTGACGACATCAAGACTCGCCTCTACACCAACCCCATGGAGATCTTTGAACTCCATGAGCAGGTTGGTACTACCATCGAGGCCGAGATTGACCGCCCCTACACCGCCGCCTCGGGCTCCGCCTGGTCGCCTTTCCAGGGCCGTGCCATGCGTGCCTCCATCCAACGCGTCACATTCCAGAACACCACCGTCTGTCTGGACGGCGAGGTTCTACAGGTCGGACCCCTGGGCAAGGATATGTCCTCGCACCTAATCCCCCCCATGTCCCCACCTATCAAGCCGACGGTCACTTCCATCGCGCAGACCACCGAGTCCCCCCAGACTCGCCGTCTCTCTATGCTGGGTGGAATCAAGCCCATGAACCGCCTTCGACTTGCCGAGGGTTCTGCTACCGTGGATGAGCTTGCCCCATCCCTGCAGCCTCTTGTCAACTCGTCGATTCAGCAGCTGCTCTCGCGACCCTCGTCGTTCAAGAACACCCATGTGCTGTCGGTCAAGTCGTACACTCGTGCCGATCTGCACCTGCTCTTCACCGTGGCTCAGGAGATGCGCCTCGGTGTCCAGCGCGAGGGTGTCCTTAACATCCTCCGAGGCCGTGTTCTTGCTACGCTCTTCTACGAGCCGTCGACACGCACCTCGGCCTCGTTCGACGCTGCTATGCAGCGTCTGGGTGGACGAACCATCAACGTTTCGACGTCGAACTCGTCTGTCCAGAAGGGAGAGTCCCTGCAGGACACCATCCGAACTCTGGCCTGCTACGGTGATGCCGTTGTTGTCCGCCACCCCGACGAGAACAGCGTTCACGTGGCCCAGAAGTACAGCCCGGTGCCTGTGATTAACGCAGGCAACGGTAGCAAGGAGCACCCCACTCAGGCGTTCCTCGACCTCTTCACCATCCGTGAGGAGCTTGGTACAGTCCAGGGACTCACCATTACCTTCCTGGGTGATCTCCTGTACGGACGACCCGTCCACTCCCTGGTGTACCTGCTCCGTCACTACCAGGTCCAGGTCCAGCTGGTTGCCCCCAGGAGCCTCCAGTTGCCCCCCAAGGTTCGGGAGCAGCTAGTTGCCTCTGGCCAGCTCCTGTGCGAGTCCGAAAGCCTGACTCCCGAGATTTTGGCTCGCAGCGATGTTCTCTACTGCACTCGTGTCCAGAAGGAGCGCTTCCCCAGCGAGGAGGAGTACGAGCGTGTCAAGAACTCGTACCGCGTGGACAACGCCGCCCTCAAGCACGCCAAGGGCTCGATGGTGGTTATGCATCCCCTTCCCCGCAATGAGGAGGTTGCCGAGGAGGTCGACTTTGACCAGCGCGCAGCTTATTTCCGCCAGGTAAGTTTCCTTGGTTACTCGTATGAAACAAAACTAACACCGTCCAGATGCGATATGGGCTTTACTGCCGCATGGCCCTGTTGGCGTTGGTGATGGGTGATTCTTAGATTGAATGTTTTGGAAAACGAAAAGTCATCAATTTGGATTGAGAGAAGTTTGTATCTTGGCTGGATAGATATGGCGGTGCTTAGCAAGTATTTTCATCATGAGGTTTAATGCCCGGTGCACGTATTATGAGTATAGATGTGTAAATCCGACGACTCACGTTGTCGTATCCGTATATGTATGTATAGATTGTATATATTATGTATTTAATTTACGTATGTTACGTGTGTTGCGTGTATGTGCGTTGTGTGTGTTTTGTGTGTCTCCTGTCGTGGCGTGAATATCAGGTTGTCAGACCGCTCTGCTCGAGGACGTGTCACCCGATGCATGGGTGCACTAGGGACATGAGCTGCCGCATTTGAACCAAGACTGAAACGAGGGCATTTCGATTTATCTGCTCCGAATTGGTAAAATCCCATGTCTTGTCATGAGGAATGCGTGCTCAGTGTCTGGGGCGTTTTAAAATGGCAGTGGGTAAATCATGACAGTGGAGATCTCATCGATCATGGCCAGACGCTGGCTGTGATGCTTGTGAGTTGGCCACAGCAATGTGTCAAAGCTGCAGGACCATGATACTACTCTATCGGTGTACGGATACACAAGATACTCCTTTTGTATTTTAAGACATGAACATCATCCACGTTGCACTTGGAAATGATTCTTTCGGTTGCACATGTGGAATATCTTTGACGTCAACTGCCAGGGCGCTAAGCCGCATACGTCGGGCCTGTAAAATCGGTCACCCCACCATGTAGGACGACATGAGGCAACTTTGTGTACTCGGTGACTCTTCAACTTATAAGTTGCTCCTTTGCACCAAGGCCAGCGTAATTCCCTCTGACTCTTGCAAGTAGCCAATGCGCCAGACGCTTAGGAACTGCCTCCTGTCAACCGCAAGAATGGCTCTACACCCGCCTCCTGAGACTTCCAAGCTCATTTGTAAGTGGCGCGACTCATGGCTTGGGCCGTGGATTTACCCCTCCCCCGCGATCCGACCCTGGCACGCCATGTCGACGAGTATCGTTCGTTTGTCTCCGGATGACATATAAGATGCGACGTGGCTAACTTGTTGGCTGAATCGGCTGGTACTCTGTAAAATGCTAACTGCCCGGTTTCCTAGTCGCCCCCGCGGGCTCCAACACCAACGGGCAGGCCGATCAATTCACAAAGGGCACGCTCGTCCGCGGCGACCTTGACGCCTCGCCCATCACGCAGTACCACGCCTGGTTCTCGCAAGCCCACAAGCCCGGCTCGGGCGTCGCGCACCCGGAGGCTTGCACGCTGTCCACGGCGTCGCTGCCGTCGGGCCGCATCTCGTCGCGCACCGTCTACCTCAAGGAGCTGGACGCCCGGGGCTTCGTCGTCTACACCAACCTGGGCACCTCGCGCAAGGCCGCCGACATCGCCTCCAACCCGCGCGCCGCCCTGCTCTTCTTCTGGGAGGCCCTGCAGCGCCAGGTCCACGTCGAGGGCCGCGTCGAGCGCCTGACCCGTGAGGAGAGCCAGACGTACTACTCGACGCGCGCACGCGGCAGCCGCATCGGCGCCTGGGCGAGCCGCCAGAGCCAGGTGCTGCAGCCGCAGGGAGCCGACGGCGACGACGGCCGCGCGCAGCTCGAGGGCTGGGTGCGCGAGGTCGAGGAGCGCTTCGACGGGACCGACGAGATCCCCGTGCCTGAGTTCTGGGGCGGGTTGAGGATTGTGCCCGACCGCATCGAGTTCTGGCAGGGGAGGGAGAGCAGGCTTCACGATCGGTTTGTGTATGAGAGGGAGGGCGAGGGTGATGAGTGGAAGACGCAGCGCTTGAGCCCGTGAGCCTCGAGGTGCGATGGCTGTTGATGTGGATGGGATGCTCAACTATGTACTGTATTCTCCTCAATTCTATAAAGACGTATTATGAGAGCATCACCGCAAGGGTGTGTAGTTTATCCCGCGTGTATTTCAGCTGCAAAGGGGTCTACCAGCCTACTCTATGTTTGAATGAAACGAGCTCCAGTGTGGTGAGTTCGCCGTGCAGCTCCATTGTTAGGGGCAGTTGTACACCACGATGCATCAGGAACTGAGAGAGGTGATACGATGCTACTATCGCGTGACAGCCTGTGAATATCAATGCGTGTAAAGACTCTACTTTGGGGCGATTGTCTTCTCCGTCTCCCCGTCTTCTCCACCACAGGAATGGCCTGGAACTGCGCACCGTCGCGAAGCCGGAGGGCTCCGCACATTCGTGCTCTTGTCCGTTGCCCAACTCGACTCCTGGTAAATGACAGGTCAATACTCTCTCTATGGAAACTTTAATTGGTGACATCTGCCAAAGACGACCTCGACCATGGCACTGAGTCACGCAAAGAAGATACCAATACCAATAGCGCTGTGAGGAATCGAACCGAACCTTGCTCTGTACCCAACGGTCAATAGCTCTGCTAATGAGTGAATCTCGCGTGCTGCATCTAGATGCGACCATTGCCCTGGTGCGTTCTAGCCTCAGCCATCCTCGGCTTGCCATGAAGCCGGGCCCCGTGTAGTGCGGTCGAGAGCTCATTTAACATCCGGGAACGACTTAGCAGCAATTGGAACCGCGTTCGGATTTTCACAATGGGCGTCCAAGGCCCACAAAATAGACGTCAAAGCGATCAAACGACGTCGAGAACGTCAAAGGAATGTCTGCTTATCCTTCTGGCGGACGATTGCCGTCGGGGTTTCCGGTGCGCATTCCGCAAAGTCGCAAGAGACTTGGTCATCGAATCGGGTTGTTCAACACCCATCATCCATCACCGTGAGCAACTTCCATGGAATAACCCTAGTCAATCAATACTTGTTCTGGATGTTTACACCCGTCACTGGTTGCCAAGTGATCGTCATGCACCAGATCGACAACCCCGCAATGCTAATTGTCATGACTGACTACTTGGCCAACAACAATCCGAGTCTATCTTGGAAGTATGTTCACACAGCCTGAATGTTGTTCATCAGCGCTCATCCGTCTTCGTCCAGTGCTCATCACCATGTCATGACCCGTTTAGGCCAAATATTGTGTATACGCGTGTCCAAGCCTGCCAGGTCCGTGCCTTGGGTGCCAAGACTCTCTGCATTTGAGGGAAATACGTAGCGAGACCAGGGGAGCTGAATGCTGAATGCCTCGCTCTCACTGCAGCCAAACGTGGACAAGTCAGCGCCGCCATGATGGCTTCCGACGCGGCTCGTGGACAGGGGACGACATTAGACTGAGGAGCCGATTCGTGCAGAGCCCAGCCGGGCCTCCGACCCTGCATCTTTTACGGTGCCCTGGCGGCGGCTTTCTGGTGCCCTGGCGTCTTCTGGTGCCAGCCCCACTGCTCAGGCCTGGGAACGTGGGCGACGGGTGGTTCCCTGGGCGGGCCTTGTACCAAACATAGCAGCACGGAGTAGCATTGCGGCAGCGGTGAGGTGAAGCAAATTGACGGAATTGGGTTGAAGGTGCTAGCGCATCGTCAGGGTCTTGGACCTGGTGCGGCTCATTACCCACCGCGCTGTACTACCTACGGTCGACGAACCACGGCCGCTGGCAAACGAACAGGCGGAGCTGTTCAGGACGAAAGAGGGAAAGGGTCAATTGCTCCGTGCTCTGTGGAAGAAGAAATAATAATAATAGACGAGGAGGAGAGTGACGTCAGGCGAGGTGTCGGATATTGGACAATGCTGGTCTTGGACCGAGGTAACAACGGCGGCTGTAGGTAGGGACGGGACGTGGTAGTATTCGCTGACATTTGTGCTCCCTGATTTACGTAGGATTCTCGAAAGCAACAACCAGGCAATAACAAGCAGATGGTGACATCCACCGGTAAATCCCACCAAGGAGCTCAGGCCCGTCTGAACCCTACCAGCTCGATCTTGGCCAGATCGCCCATCCCAGCCGCCCCATGCGAACTTTGGCACGGTGCGACGGTTAGGTCGGGCCTCTAGCTTCAAGCCTCCGGGGCATTCTCCAGTTGATCTCCCACGCCCGCGAATCCAAGTCAGCCTCAGCTGCGTCCAGCTGGAGCTTCCAATCTCCCCGCCACCCCCCTCAGGCTCGGGGGTCGGCGGTGCCAAGTACATGTCCGCTCCGAACCCGAGCGCTCAGTCAGTCAGTCAGTCAGTCAGTCCTGCTGGTGAGGCGATCCATCCTCGATAATTGTGGACATCTATGCGAGGGGAGCGTCGGTCGGTACGAAGCACTCAGGAGAGCCACCTCAGCCATTAAAGGGGCCCCCTTCGGCGATGTGCTCGGCTCAGGTTGCCTTTGCCGCGCCTGGCGACTCCACTCGAGGGTTACGTACGCGGAAGCACGCGACTTGTGCAGAATACGACGTTCGACTAGCTGCGTGCACATCTCGATTGGACTTGTGGGTGAAGGAAAAAATCCCCGAATGATGTGATGTGACGATGGTGTCTGGACTCGCATTGAACTTTGTACTACCTGTGGCCTTTAGTCCCCACGAGCCCCATGATATGGTCCGTCACAGCACACACCCCATCTATGCTGTGCATGCTCCAAAAAAAAAAAAAAAGCCATCGACTGACTGGAAAAAGAAACAAAGGTCGTGGCGTCCATCTGGCGAATCGCCGCCGCCGACCAGTGAAGCTGTCTCGCACTCAGATCGAGCCCATGGGGCAGTGCCGCCAAAGTTAGACTCTTCCAGGTCTCTTCCAGGTCCCAATGAGGGTGCGAAGGGTTTAGGCCCGTAACCCAACTCCAGCCAGCCGGGACCGAACTACTTGAGGAGCGCCCAAAGTAAAAAATCCGGGTATTTAACGTGTTGATGCGTGATGCAGGAATGCAGCTGTGGAGGGGAGTGCGCTAATGAGGCTGTTTCACCGCCAATAGGGCATCCCACCACTTCCGTCGTCCCGTCGTCCACCCACGGACAGAGTTCGAGGTTCCGAGACAGGCGGGGGGCGCCTGCATGTGCATATGCAATGGGATCCGGAGACACGGCCATGAGACTTCCCGGCCCAGCTGCCGCCGGGGGTGGGTGGAGTGAGTGAGGTGATGTGCCGACCTTCTGATGCCCGGCTTTGAGAGAACAACCGGGTTGGTGTTTGTGCAAAGGAAAAACAGAGGCGTCCGGTCTTGTCTTCTTTTCTTCTCTTTCAGGGGCCGCGGCTGTTGAGGCGTCTGTGGCATTTGGCAAAAACCGATCGTGTGCTCAATGTCCTACTGCGGTATGGAGAGATCTACGGGATCCGCGCCGTTGACGTACAGTACTCGTGTGAATCGTCCTTTCCAATTAGCCAGGAACCGGGAATCCTGTGGAACCGGCGTTTCGCTGCCCTCGCATGCCCATCATCTGTTCGTATTGCAGGAGATGTTGTTGTGTCTGACCATGTGGGCGCCAATGTTGCAGTCAAGACTCCGTCCAGACAACGGCGCGCCGACAGAGTGGGAAAGACGCCGGATGACCGCCACATTTGCCAACCTTGCGTCTCTTCTCCCACGTTTCTCCCGTTCCGGACAGCTTCTTGAATCGCACAGACACGACTCACGAAAGACGAATTGATAGTTCGCGGTAGGGTGTTCCCGAGAGGCCCAGGCCACATCTATCAGCCCAAGCCATTTGGGGTCTCCAAGATTGGGTTTTGGGCGCCGTCACGGGATCGAGCGCCGACAAGCCAAAGTCAGCAGTCAGCCGCCACCTCACGCTTCACAACGCAGAGCAAAGCCAATTAGATCGGGTTTCGGCTAGAGGTTGAGAGCGCGAGACATATGTGATTATGTTGGTTTAGGGCCTGGGCGTCATCGCGGTGACACAGGTATATTGGACCAGGAAATGCTGGGGTTTATGCCGTCGTCGGATCATCCGTCAGCCCCCCCTGGCATCCCAGAAACCTGCATTGCATCTACCGATTGTTGCTCGTGTTGTGAGCGACGCATCGGCCGTCCCCGATCCGTTTTGTTTGTTTGCCACTCGCAAAGCTCCACTGGAGTGGACTCTGTTGGCTCCTTGATCTTGTCCTGTTCCTGTTGTCTGACACCCGTGCATAAAAAAAATTGGAAAAAAAGTAGACGCCAACAGAGCACAGCCAGGCACAGCTGAAACCAAAGGGAACGGGGGGTGGAGGAGGAGAAATCAGCGGGCTTCACTGCGGAGAGGAGGGCAGCATGTCACTCTCACAAGCTCCCGAGGCGACGGCAACCAAGCGACGCCGCAGCCACGGGCCAGCAGCACGCCCGCTTGTCTATGTTCTGTCCTCGCTCTCGCTACGTGGTCGGGGTGGTTTATGGCAGTTCAATTCCTGTAGTCGGAAGCACGAATACACGACGGCTTATTCGGTGCTCTCTGTTTTCCCCTTTCGACACACACTGGACACACTGGACGCACTGGACGCACTGGGGGCCCGCTCCGGTGCGTTTGCTGGCGATAATTCAGGGCCTGGGTCCCCTGGCACGCCCCTGGCCCCGGCGCTGGGCGTCCACCACACCTACTGTTATTACTGACCAGGCCTACCAGAGCCGTCCAGGCCGTCCTGGCCACCAAGACCAAGACTAGAGGTAAGCGGGCTTGCTCCCCTCCACCGCCAGTGCGGCCTGGAGCTATTTGCCGGTGGCTTTCTCTCGCTGCCCAGGCGTCATCCCAGGCGTCATCCCAGTTAGCACGGCGACTCAGCCTTATTCTTAGGTGAAGGTCCCCCTGGGCCGGGGACTCCACCTGCTCGCTCGCTGGCTCGTTCGTGTTGCACCTTGCTCCTTGCTCCTTGGCTCCTCGGCCGGTCTATATATACACTCCGACCGCTTTGTATATATAATCCTCCCTCCCCCATCTGCTCCTGCATCCCCGAACCATCATCCTTCGCTGTGGCTGCTGTCGTGTGCGTGCTCGCGTGATTCATCCCTCCCCCCCTCCACCATCACCATCATCAACAACAACGCCCCCGTGGACAACGACGCCGACGCCGACGCCGAACAAAACGCACGCCAACGCCCCCCAAAAACATGAGAAGCAGCCCCTGCGACTGCTACTGCTGTGGACCGAGGACTGGACGACCAAGCACCGCTGCTACACCCGAGAACCGCCATGATGCGCCGCGATACTAAGCATTCCGGTGACGTCGACGTCGACGCCGACCAGGAGGGCTACTTCACCTACCGCCCGCTGTCCAACCTCCCCACACCGCCCCCGAGCTCCCGCAACTCGTCGGCCGCACAGTCTCCGCGGACGACGCTCAACGATGGCGAGCCGTTGATGGCGCGGTTCCGAGGTGAGTCGAGATTTGTTTGGCAGCCTGTTTGTCTGGCGGTGCATTTAATCAACAAACCTGTTGATGCTGCGTCATTGAGCTTGCTGCTCCCTTGTTCTGTCTCACTCCGTGTCTAACCCGCTCACCCACAGGCCCCGCCATCCACCTCGTCAACCTCATTCCCTCGTCGGCCTCGCTGGCCACGGCCTCGGTGCCGCTCGTACAGGCTCTCCTCAGCCGCGCGAACCTCCCTATCGAGACCGTCGCCCTCGCCGTCTGCATCCTCGACAGCCTCGACTCCCGCTTCGCCCGCCGCTGGCGCCTCTCCTGCCCCCTGCTCTCCGACTACTTCTCCTCCTCCTCCAAGCGCCACACCCTCCCCCCGTCGCCCTTCCTCCAACAGCGCCAGCAGCTGCACATCGACTCGGTCAACCCCGAGCTCATCATCTTCGCCGCCCTCGTCATCGCCGTCAAGTTCACCGAGGACCCCCAGGAGTCCGCCCACTACTACTGCAAGGCCTGGGGCCGCGGCATGTGGTCCAACCAGCAGCTCAACCTCACCGAGCGGTGCATCATGGAGAGCCTCAACTACCGCATCATGCCGCTGTGCGACGAGGACTGCCTGGCCGACGCCATGGTCGACATGCAGCTGGCCGCCCAGCAGCCCAGCTGGGACCTCCGCGACTACAGCCACCAGGACAGCGTCTCCAGCGACGAGGAAGACGCCGCCGCCAATTACGTGCCCTCACACTCCCGCTCCAAGACGATGGGCGCCAGTAAGGCTACGCTGGGGCTGGGGCTGACGCTGACACCCGTCGACACCCCCGCAGCGGAAGCTCCTCAAGCCGTGACCCCGCGGCCCGCGGCGCTTTCTGACGATTATTTCGGTCACTACCAGGCATGAGACCAAGGAAAATGGCACACGGCGTTTGATTTGACTTTTTTAACTATGACTTTGGTTTGAGCATTGGCAAGGCGTTTGACAACCAACACACTACTACATGTAATGGCGACTTTTTGTTTTGTTTTGGGTAATGTGCCGGCCTACAGCGGGCTTCATCCGGCATCATTTGGCATCAGCATCGGGTTGCTTTTCTGGGATGCCCCCTCTAAAGGAGGGCTCGACACACGTGTCTGGCTACGGCCGTGGTCGATGTATTTGCGTTATCTGTGTACTCCAGGGTTTTCGTTCAGGGATTTGGTATCAGGTATCCTTGCTTGGTGTTTGCTTTCGTTGTGCTTCGTTGCACGGCAGGGGATCACAAGACCTTGCTTCTGGTCTGGTCTGGTCCGGTTCGGTTTGGGCTCATTTTCGGCATGGGAGACCAGGGTTACACATACCCCTTATCGTATCTTCTGGTCAATAGTGTTCTTTTAATGGCTCGCTACGCTTTTTCTCCCTGTACTCTTCACCGTCTCGCCGCGTGATTTTGCTCAGACCGACCCCAGCCTGTCTTTAGTCCAACTGATTTAGACCGGGACGCGTTGTCCTTGTCTAGTTCATGGCGCTTGCTCCACCCACTTGCGTACCTCGCTGTAAAGAGCAACTGTTGAAGACCTCGTATGTAGACATTCATCGTATTCCTACGTAAAAACAACGCATCTCCCTTACTGTTTCCGCAAGAAACATGCCCTGATCATGTAAAACGGCCTCAACTAGATCCCAATAATGCTAATTTCTTTAGGGCTTATTTTAGGATCACGGTCAGATCCCTTGCCAGGTGCGCTAAATCACGTCATGCTGATGTTCACTTGGGAGGAGATGAGAAACGAGCTACTTGTGGTATTGGTCTGTATGTTTCCGTACGTTGATACCCGATGTGCTAAATACATGTAAACCTAACGGACCTAACGGGTGTGGCATTCTTTTCGGCGGCGCTCTCCGCAAATTTGGAGGTGCCCTCGCCCTTGTCCATAGTTGGCACAAATGTACTCAGATTTTGGGATGACTTGCTAGTTCTTCTGAATGTCACCGGCTGGGCTAGGATCTCTAGCCCCGGGACATTCGTAGAGCCGAGGGCCAGAATCTAGGTGGCCGACATGCCCGCCAGGGACACAATGTTGAAAGCCGCCTGGCAGACCGGTGACACTATGAAAATATTACTGACTATCTTATTTTGCTTAGTCTCTGCCATCGATGCCTGCCCCGTTTAACTGTGCGTTCTAGTACTAACCTCGGCGTTGCACATCCCCACGAAGTCGGTAAAGCACGCCACGTTGGGAAAAGCAACAAGCCCATGACTCGCGTAGAAGGCCTGCGCTTTCTTAGGGCATCATCGAATCGAACCTTGGTGTATTACTTGATATGGGTGTGTGCGTATTTCTTGATAGGCGCAGTTGTGACTATAGCTTCATAGTTGGGCTAGAGCCAAGTTATATTAATCTTAATAAAACTAGAAAGTACAGTGGTATTTATATTAATTATAAACACCCACAAATACTTAGCAAATAAGCTAGTAGATAGACTAGAAAATATTAATATAGAATGTTTGCATCAAGATAGTGTCACACCACCGCCTGCTTCTCCCTCGCCAGGCCAGATGTGAAGTGCAGAACTTCTCCCCCATATCTACAGTCGATTTTTGTTACACATAAAAAATATAATTAAAACGCATCCAATAAATTTCGACCTAATTACAAAGCACCTGCAGTAACAACGTATTTTTTTTTATGCAATTGTGTTTTGTTATATCTCGCACACTTGTTCCTGTGCATTCCATCCGCTCATTTGCCACTAAACCTCTGTGTCCTCATCCTCATCTTCGTCTTCATCCTCGTCTTCATCTGATTCATCCTCATCCTCATCTTCATCCTCCTCGTCCCCATATCTGTCATGATTGGGCGTTTGCCGTTTCCTGGTTCTGTTCGGATAGGCTCGATCAGCCCGATACTGGCTCGGCAGCTCGAAGCTCAGTCTCTTGGCTGGTAGAGTCGCTGCATAATTCTTCCTCGCCGGCTGTGCATTTGGATCCGGGTCGTAAGAGTCATCTCGGACCTCACCCTCGCGAGCGGTATCGCTGTCCTTCCCGCGAAGCTTCACAATGTAGTCTTCAAACTCGTGCATAGTCCTCGCAATGTTTTGAAAGTTCGCTTTTGTCAGCTTCACTGTCATCCATTTTTTCTTTCCCGACTTCGCGGCTTCATCGAGTGTCTGGCCACTGGCTTTGATATCTTCCCGCCTGTCGAATTGGCTCAGAGCCAAGGCCGTCTGGAAGGCGTTACGTACTTGCCGGCCATTCCAAGTCTTGCCATCCTTCTGACGTTTCTTGAAGTGCTGCTCGGCAAAGTCAAGGAGATTCTGGCGATTGAATTTGACTTTAATTTCGGCCGTCTTATTTTCCAACTCTAGGCGATTCAGGATGTTGTTCCACATTTTCTTTGTGGAATCCAAATCCAGTTCAGCATATCGCAAAGATACGTGGATACGCGATTTGAAGGCCTCGTCGAGGGTGCCAGGACGGTTGGTCGTGAGAAATAGGATTCCAGAGTAGTACTCTAACTGTCTGAGAAACACTAAATTTGGGTTAGTGGCGTGGCAATCTTTGGATACTCTGAAAAAGAAGCAGATTGCATTACTTACCCGAGACTAGAGCATTGCGCTTCAACTCTCTGTGAGTTCGTGACACAAGAAACACATCAGCTTCATCTAAAAGCAGTACACATCCCCATTTCTCTGCTCTTGCTGCATGATTGCTAAGCCGAGTTTCGACAGACTCCGGATCCAATCCCAGATCGCCGCAAGTGATTGCGTACAAGGGACGTTGTGTATACGACGCTATGGTCTCTGCGGTACTTGTTTTGCCAGAGCCTGGGGGTCCGTGTAGGAGAATGATGAGGCCTTGCCCTTTCCCTGGGACAAGGTCTATTTGGGCGTTGTCCGGCACTTTCATGCGTTTCTTCAACCGTTCCTGTCGCCGTTGAAACCCCGAGGTGTGATTGTCAACCAGTGCAACTAGAAGACTTCTGTGGCGCTCTGGGATGACAAGGTCATCAAACCCTGAATTTCGGATGAAATCAATGTCCTGGAGATTATCAACGTCGAGCATGTCTAAGAAAATTGTGAGTCACCAAAGAGCAATTAGATGGGGTAATGGGGCACCATACACCACATTCGATACCTAAACGTGTATCCAGGCACCTCTGATGGTAATATCTGATAGTACTCTGCACTCAACTCAGCATCAGTAAACTTAAAGGGTTCCAAGAAGCCTCTGCTTTGCGTCATATAGTCCTCGCCGAGCTTTGTGTCGATCTCAGGGCCGGAAAATATGTCCTCGTTCGAATGCATAGCCGAGCCTGGCGGATACCTGTTGACCGCACCCTGGTCGAAAACCTTGCTTCTGACCAGTTTGCCGAGATTAAAGGTGTAATATTTATCGACCTCTCGATATGCCTTGAAGTCAACAAACACTTCACTGGTAATGTACTCCTGACTTGTCTTCCCGGGTTTCATGTCGTCATCGTCGGAGCTATCGTCGTCTTCGACGATACGTAGAAGTTGCTTCCGAGTCCGGCCCCGAGTTTGCTTCTCACCCAATCCTTCATAATGTTTGTGACCGATGGACTTCATGAATTTGCGCCCCCGTGCATCCATCCGAGCGAGTAGGCTTTCGGGGTTCGGGTGGAGCTGAGCTGGATATATCGGAAGCCCTGTGACCAGCCGTTCGCCCAGGTAATGGTTGATTCCCCAGGATTCCCCTACAGGTCCGACTTGGTCACCATCAAATGCCATCATGTAGGTATCTACCTTGAATTCTGTCCACGTATCGACAGGGATTTCTGCGCGCCAGCCGTTGTTGGACAGGGTACGTGACATCAGTCGACCACCAGTAACAAAGTGCACTCTGTGCAACTGTTCTCGACCTCGCCGATTTGACAGAACAAGATCGCCAGGTTTGAACAAGTGCCATAGATCGCCGAAAGTGATTTTCTCCAACTTTCCGCTCTTCACATCGTCTCTGAGCTCAATAAGCCCTGCGAGGTTTTCGTTGACAAAATCAACAAGGCACCCCAGGTGAGAAATCCGCATCTCGAGCTGCGAGAGTTTTGCCTGCAAGTCAGTGTGACTAGGATTCGACTGAGCGTCACGGCCCTCAGCTTCACCACCACCACTCTTCGGCTGGTTCTCTTTGATGTGGAAATCAACCTTTTTGGCGACTTCTTTTGGCTCAGAGTTACTGTCCCGCTGGATGGGTTCATCGATATCCATGTCTGGAGTTCTTGTAGTACCATTGACTTGATCGTTATTGTTGGTGTTAAGAGTCATTTCGGCTAGCTCGTCTCGAAGCTCGACCAACCTCGTTTCAAAGAGTGGCAGGTATTGCAACAAGATCTAAACTCATTATGATCATTTTCAATACATGTAAGAAGATTATGGATAGTATGGAGGGGACTCTTACTTCATAAGGGGGGATAATGCTTAAACGTGACGTCAGACATGCCATTCAAAATTGAATATTCCAATTGATGTAGAATATAAGGGCACTTACATAACTGGGGAGGAAATTGTGGTCGATGTGATGAACTCCAGCTCCGCATGCAAAATGTCTGAATTGATAAGGATCCTCTGCAGGTTCTTTTGGTCTCTGATCATGTCAAGAGCCATATCCCGTGGTGCCTGTGAAGAGTCTCCCGTCAAAGCCTCCAGTGGCATTGCTCGGCTTAGCCTTTGGTAATAGACCTGCAACACCGGAATGGGCCTCTTCTCCGACCCACGGATGCCTTGCTTCCAGTCATCCATGGTGAGCACTTCGATATCACAAGTCCAGAGATTGCTAAACATCATCAGCTAAGTCTGCACACCCACAACGAAGAGATGATTTCAAAGACTTAAATGTTCTCGAGCCTTCTAGATCCGAGAGCAATTTAATCTGAAGCAATAAGTATAGACTTACGAGTTTGTGTCCTTAGGATACCTTTTGTCGACTTTTCCTTTGAGATCGTTCATTTCTTTTCGTAGATCGGGAGGCAGGATGAATTGATACGGCTGCACACTTGACATGAATTTGGAGACCCTCTGGAAAATCCCCGTTCCCGAATCCGACATTGCCAATGCGGGGGTGTCTTCTTTGCGAGGGATGATGTCTTCCTCTCGCAAGGTCCCCGCTGATGCCGATGCCAAAGTCGCGGTTGCATTATTGGCAGATACACTAGACTTGCTTGCAAAAGCATCCGAAAGATCTTGGCCGAGGTTCGCTGGCGCTGAACCTTTTTCAGCATTGTCTTCCATCGAGGAATCAACTGTGCGATTGCTTGTGGTCTCAATTCCAGTGTCTCTCAGTAAATTTGCGCCAACCGTAACAACACTTCTCTTGTGGGAACCGGATTTGTAGGGCTAACTAAGACTTGCCGTTGAGGTCGTAGACTGGGATGACAACGGTGCGGAGACGATGCGCGAAATAGCGATATGCTCGGCGGTCAGAGTTGCTCAAGATAGCCGGCCGCGCGTAGTATGAACAAAATAACGAGGAATTACTCAGTCAGAGTGGATTAGAAAATGGGAATGTTTGCGGCAAATATCCATGGGCTGAGGCTCAACTGCGCTCCGTACTTCGCCCCATTACACTATGCAGTAGAACCTCAGGCACCGTTTGGGCCCCCATCTGCACTTGTTGGCTGTAAGATTATGGCCTCTATCCAATGAGAGGCTATGAGAGAATATGCACGCCTGTGGCGAAGCTCAGTTGGTAAGGCTGCACTTTACCCGCCTCATTTTACTGCGTAGACAGCAATGAGGATCCCGCCCGAGCACCCACACCCATTCGTTGTTAGATGGTGAGCCCTCTAATTCCAACAAGAACTTCTTAGCTTATACGTACATTCGAGACGAGCTCGCCATGATGATCCTATTTAAGACCCATGATGGCTATGTTCTATTGTCTGGTTAATATGCCAGTATATGCTCAATTGCAAAGACTTGTAGCTGAACGGCATAATGATTTCGTGTTAGACATGCTCGGACATTATCTACTTGGTGTCGCTAAAGTGCCCATCAGTCGGTTATGCATCGTGCTTTCATTCCTCAAATCAACATTAGGTCCCTCCTCAGCTCATGGTTAGTGGTTCAAGCTTGTCCGTTGTACTTAATTTTCCTGCTCTTGTTCTCATCCTTAAATTTTCTTATCTCAGCTCAAGAGGCCTTCTCCAAGTCAAGTCGTTCGCTACAGCACCTGTTGGCAAGTCTTTGCTAAGTCGAAGAATCTCGTCCTCTTGAAAGAGACCCTCGAACAAGCTAACTCGCGATGGACTCGTAAGCAAAAGCTTCAGGGTCGCAGGCGGTCCCTGTCTGAATACCGAGATCAAGCTGATGATAAGCTCATCGGTGTCTTCTTGTCGCTCAAGAGGCTGAGAAAAGAACTTTAGACCATCAATGATGATGACCACGTACATTTCCCTAGGGAGCTCGGTAATCAGGTCGCAGAGTGATGTACAGACAGTACGGAATTCTGTCGGCTCTACCACTTCTAGAATTCGCTGGAGTGATTCGTGTGCAATAAAGTCTCTTCCGCGATCTACTAGCTGTAGAAGCAGACTCAGGGCAAGCTCCGTTGCACTGGCATTTGGGTCTCTTTCGAAATTTCTGTGCTGTCCGCAGAAGAAAGCCAAAGGCACTATAATTGGAGACATGCGTTTCTTGTCTTGATATCTGTGAAGTTTGAGAAGGGCGCTCGCGATCTTGGCGCTGACCAAGGAGGCTTCAGACTTCGGTCCTTGGCTGCCATGTCCATCCAGGAGAAGCATTGAGGGTTGGTCAATGGAAAACCAGGCCCTTAGTCGGTGATGAGACTGAATAGCGAGCACCCGCTCCTCATCAATCTCGTCGTCTGTAATACGTTGCGTGGCTCGCCCAAGCATCTTCAGGATTTTGTTACAGTCGTCAATGACCAGTTTGTTATCGTACTGAAAGGCTGTAAGGATGTCGTGCGTCGTGGTCATTGCAATCTTTTTTGCACGAGTGTTGTATGATTTCAGGTGGGTGTTGTGTGAATTCCTTGGCCCGTTTGCCCGAGGCTTGGTCTGGAATAGATCGTGTTCAACTTCGATCGAGTTGCGGTTTTCCTTTTCTCTGATTAAAAAGTACTCCCCGCCCATCTCAATCAAATAGCTGGCACCATGAATCATATCCATGACTATCTCGTCTTTGTCGGTGAGAGATCCATTGCGTCCTTTGTAGAACCAAGGATGGGCATATTGATTGTAGATGAAGTCTTTGAAGGTGGTGACCTGGACTTCGAAAATAGGATTTGAATCCTCGGAATCTCCTTTCAATGATACATGATGGTTATGAGACTCGTAGCTTCCAAAATGCGCGTCCCAATATTGGCCCACAGGACGATCGGGCGACCAGTGGCTTGGCTCCTTGATCGCTCGAAAGCTCTCTGAGACGAATCCATTGGCGCGATCTACATCGGCTGCGGACTGCACCACAATCATAACACCGGCGAGATCGTGCATCTCATACAAAATGTCGCTCAATTTGGTGAATGGTTTCTGGCGTCCCTGCCCTCGACGTTTCAGGGAGTCTCTGACAGATTGATCAGTCTTGGTTCTGCCATGAACCATACACCTAAGACCTCTCTTCAGGAGCTCATCGCGGCAGTAGAACACCAGTTCACTGACCAGTCCTTCGTAATCGGGGACAAGATTAGGCCAAATGGTGGAGTTGAAATCTTCAATGAGGTCCTTGGAAGGATGGATGGATTCGAGTTGGTAGTCACCTCTAGGCGTGGTGCTAAGATCATGTATTTTTACCTGAAGCTCTCGATGTATCACAGATAAGGCTGTGGAACCGCCTTCCAATTGGAGCTGGGGAGTTGACGAAAGCGAACTCATGGCGCGCAATAGGCATTCACTTTCCACATGATTGATGAGATCCGTGGTGCTAAGTGACGCAAATCGCTCAGTGACTCTGGAGAGGGGAAAACTGCAGAGAGGTCCGATAAGGCTGCGAGGGATAAATGGATGGATCGTTCTGCCAGGATGGACGCCCCATGGCCAACACACTCGGCTAATTGTAGTCAAAGATTTTAACCGGAATCGTTACAACATCAAATAGATATTTAATTCATATCACATTAAAGTGCCATCGATATTACGCAACCAAGGAAAAAATGTCTTTTGTCTTCCGTCAAGGGAGCGTCCTAGTCGCTTCTGCTCCCCTCCTGCCTGAGCGGATTTCGGGAGGTTATTCAACCCTTGCCCTTCACGCCAGCCAACTGCGAGACGGGCGACCCGAAACCGGCGTTCTTCGTTGCTCTTGTACAGAAATTTTGGGGGAGCTTTCTGTACATACAGGGATCAGAGATGAAGTATTATGACGTGCTCACTGCTTTAGCCGGCATGAGCTTCGAAGTGTTGATAACCTTTAGTAGCTTCCTAGCTCGACCATCCCGGGGAGACCAATATGAGAAAACTAATGTCAAGATCGCTAAAGACGAACATTCTCTTGACATTTAAGCCGATATATTTGTTTTGTAGTTTCGGTTTAATTAATTGATGCCGAATGGCTAAGGAGTTGTCAAGCAGCTTCTGTTCTCCTGTGTAGCCGTCTCACTGGCCTACCCTAAAGACTGCCCGTACTACGACGAAGATGGTGGATTGCAATTTCGTCAGAAATTTTGATGAGTTTGACGTTTTGCTTCACCAAGCTGTAGGAGTCTGGCGTTTGCAGGAGCCCTAGGGTTCAGGATTCAAGGATAGGACACGCAAATGCTGGCCGTTGAGAGCAGCTCGAAACACACGTCCACATCTCCTGATATATTATCTTAATCCATCCCATGATTTTTCTTGAATGGTCCCAAAAACATAGAAAACATTCTAGCTTTTTCAACCCTTCAAAGCATGTGTACCCTCACCCCTCCCCGCGCTGCCTTTAAATTCCCAGCACCCTGCGATGCTTCTCTGGGGAGTCGCGGGGAGCAGCAGGTTGAACGGGAGATTCAACTACAGTATCAACCCCAGGAGCCTCTTCGGTAGTAGGTTCATAGCGACGCTTCACCGAACCATTGTTGTCGACAGATCGAACACCAACAATGCAAGTGAAGGCGGAAGTCTTGGCAGACTTCTTCCTTTTGCCTTGAATAGCAAGAGAGCCGCCCGAGCAGCAGCGAGCTTGGTACCACTGCCACCCTGAGGGGTGCCATTTAACTCCGCCGAAGCATCGCGGGGAGGCACAGGGTCGCCATGGCTGGGACCAAAAGACGAAGTGTTCGAGTCAGAGGGTTGTCTGGAAAGCGAATCGGAATGGCGTGGTAACTTCTGGAACCCCAATCGGCAAGGGGAATTCATCTCCCCCTTTTTTGCCTCCCCCCTGACTGTATTCATTCACTTCACTATTAGAACCTAGAGGATATGTTGACAGCTCGTCTAGAAACCCCGTGTTTTGTCTTCGGAGAGCATTGCAATTCACACACAGGAACAAATCCGTTCACCAAGCCTCAGTTTACTATATGCACCGAATTATGCATGCATCAATGCTCGCTTAGGCTAAAGTCCCTCGTTTGTTATTTTATTTAATAAGATGGACAATCCGGATGATGAAGAGGGATGAGTGCTAAGGATTGGTCTTATAATCATAATTTCCTGAGATATTTTTAGGTGTGCGAATACCCGCCTTGAGGATTGGGGGATGATACTCTTGTATGCAATTGCCGGATGCAAGTGTGCGAATAGCAATGTTCATGTGTATATGGTTGTTCGCTAACCACATAAAGGGGGCCAGTCACCTCCATTTGCGAAAGCTTCCCGTTGGGCAGCTGTGAAAGATGCTGTCGCCACTGCCACGGTGTGGCGACTCGTCGCGCAGAGAATGGGAGAAAATGAACAGTGATATCATGCAATAGCCAGACTCCAGTCTAGGATATGTATGTTAAGGTTGAGGTTCACCCTTGCCGTGGTGGCGGGGGAAGTATAATTTTGTTTAAGACATTATAGATTAAAACACCGAAGTAGTTGGAAACGATAGGGGTAACCATTTAGCGCTACCACCAATACCGTATACCAGTATACCAGAAAATACAGTGGCTTATGCACACTTACCTTTGCTTTCAATTTAACTCTTCTGCCTATAACCAACCTTGTTAACCATAGAGAATAACCTTTCTACCTGTGGACCCTAAATCCACGTTGCCATGAGCGATGGACACATTATGCCTGCCGCTCCATGAACCTTGGGTGAAGGTAATTGATGTGGCAAGAGAGCAGTGTGGTCTTTGTGTGCTTTGATCAGAATCCTAATGGCATCCTTAGCCTTACACTTACTAGATTGTCGATCTTTTCATCAGCTCATGGTCATTTTATTCAAGCCGACGCCGGACGAACCCCTGGTGCATTAGTAGAGTTCAAGCACTAACTATTTCCCGATTGGGAGAACTGCGTCCCGCGTAACATTGGTAAGCGGGCGATGCAAGTGATGAAGCGTAAGTTCATGATTGCCTTAGCACAGTGGCGAGTACGACTGGATTAAGGTTGGAGGCTGGATGTTGAAGATGAAAAAGACGACCAAGAAGATGAAAGTATACAAAATGCATCGCTGTCAGCGTCTTATTCGCCAGTCGGGTTTTGTTGACTTGTTGGCCAATCTCGCGGACGTGTAATGGTTCGGCAGAGACCGTGCCTCGTAGGGGATGCCAGTGTTGGGGCGTACGTCGATTGCCCTCGATGCTCTGATTTTCTGACATGGCTGAGCAAGCCCCTGACTGCAGATACATGGGAATGGGACCAGGCACGCGTGGTGCGTTGCCATTGATTATGGGCGCCCTTGATTATTCCCGGCATTTTGGATAAGATGGGATTGTGTACTACGCGAGCGAGATTTACGGTGATTGAACATGGGGCTAGGTTAGAGTACCATTTTCTCACGCGTATCAGATAGAAAAGAGGGGATGAGGGTTAGAGCTGCCGATTGCGGAATGCTGCGTTATGAGAATGAATGAGGTCAGAGAAAGCGAGACCGAGTGCGGATGTACGATGTACGATGCACGGAGAACGGAGAACGGAGAACGGGGTACGGCGATGTGAATAATACCTCGGTATTAACGGGAAACACAACTAGAGATGACCCCTGCCGCGGCCATGTCACGATTACCAAGATCAGAAAGCGGCACTGAACTATCAGCACGAGCATGGGCACGGGGCATCGGGATCGGCTGAGGAGTTGTGAATCGTATCCGGGACTGTGTTTCGGTGCTGTGCTACTGAAGGCTCCTTTTGGCTGGCGGGAAAACGAGAAACGAGAAAACGGACGATCATCTGAGCTGGGATTATTTGAGCAAGTCATCAGTCACAGCGAAAGAGGGGACCCTGCAGGACGACTCCACCAAAAAGAAGCCAGAAGCCAGAAGCCTGCGGCATGACGGAAGAGAAGGCCACCCAAGCGTCCCAAGAGCGCCTCAGAGCGCCCCAAAAGGACCCAGGCCCACCCAGAATGCGGCACTAGGGTGGTTCCCAGTGGAGGGGGATGCCCTAGAGGGGATGTCGAGGGCATGACTAGCAAGACGGCCTAGGCGAATGCAAGTCGCCATGATGGGGGATGGTCTGGTGGGTAGATACTGTGAGGATGGGGGGAGTTTGAGGCCTTGGGGCTTTGGGGGGGGGGGGGGGCGTCTTTGGGGGATTTGGGAGGCTTTGGGAAACAACACACACGCAGGAACGAGGCGCATATTCGTTCTTCGTACCCCCTCAGAAACCCATTCTCAGGCAGGGCGCATAGAACAGGGCTGGCTGGCGAGAGACACCATGACAGCCACGGGGGCGGCGAGTGGCGTCCCTGTTGCCGGGCTGGGACTGGACTGGGCGGCGCAATTTGAGAAATCACATGAAAGAAAAAGGATCAAGTTCCACGAATCCAGGGATTCAGGGATGCACGAGTCCACTCGGGGGCTGGCGGCCTTTGGTTGGCTGGCGGCGCGCCTTGGCCGGACCAGGTCAGTCCCGCCGTGTCGCATTTGCAGGGCATTTGCAGGGCATTTGCTTTGCATTGCAGGCATTTGCGGACTCAGAAAGACACGGGCAAATAGCGCCAGAGCTCCCCGTTGGCTGGGGTTTCTTTTCTGGGTAGGTAGGAGGAGGAGGAGTGCCTAACTTGGGCAAGGTAGAGGTAGTTACGGAGCAGCAGCTGGAGGAGCAGCTGGAGCGATGAGTGACGTATCTGTGTTAGGTGCTGTATCGGTCTTCAGCCAGCAGCATCCGCATATGAGCATCACGAGGCACCGCAGTCTCATCCTATTGCACAACCTTTTAGCCTAGAATCAAGGTCTCCAGGTCTCCAAGGTCCCAAGCCTCACACAACCATCTCCCGCGCCTCTTCCGTTTCCTCTTTCTCCCTGTCTCACTCTCTGAAGCTTGCCTGCCTGCCTGCCTGTCTACCTCTACCCCGCCACTCACCTCACGCAACTCGCCTCCTCCTCCCCCCTCTCGGATCGCCCGAGTACATCTGTGCCTCGTCTACCTAAGGTAGACATCATCACCAAACTCTCTTCCCATCTTCCTCACTCAACTCCGCTCCTCCCCGCACCAGCCTGTCCGTCCGCCTCTTCTGCCCCTGGGCTTAAAGCGCCTTCTCTCCACAACTTTACGCTTCCAACTCTCGAGCCCATCTCTGCCTCTCTTCTGCCCCGAACAACAAGATTCCTGCGACATTCCTGTCCAGCCTCCCCTACCCCCCCCCCCCCATTCACCATTCACCGAGCCTCCCGCCGTCGCCTGCACCGAGCGCGCACCTGTTTGCGCAGCCCACGCAGGCGGCAAACCGCCCAAAACAGCCCCAGCTGCTGCACGGCTGCATCCTGGAACTATCCGAGTAACGGAGCTCGTGCCGGCGCCCACTGGGCCACACACCCACGCACCACCAAAACCAAGTACACGCACATTTGTCTATACTACCCCCCGGCTCCCCCGGCCACCCTCGTCACCCAGCTTCACTCCAGAAATTACCTGGGACCTCCTTCATCTTTTCTTTGTCTGAGAAAACCAATCCTCTTCGTCTGCGCCAGCTGCCGTCGTCGTTGCTGCTGCTGTTGCTGCCATCATGGGCGGCACTCCGGCCTACATCTTTGTCGTCAGGTTGGTGTGGACCCTCATTGCGACGATGCACCTCGGTCGCATCGCATCACATTCCATCGCCTGCCCTCACATGGCATCGCACCACCAGACACGGCTCAGCTAACTTTGTTCCAGACACGGCAATCGCCTCGACGCCGCCGACAAGAAGTGGCATCTCTCCTCTCCCACTCCCTACGACCCTCCTCTGACCTACGGCGGATTCCTCCAGTCGCGACAGGTCGGCAACCAGATCGCCAGCATCCTCGAGCAGGCCAAGATCGAATATGAAGCTTCTCGCAGCGGCACCAAAAAGCGGAGGCGCTTCAAGGTCGTCATCCACAGCTCGCCCTTTCTCCGATGCGTCCAGACCTCTGTTGGAATCAGCTCCGGCCTCGCCCAGACTCCCCCTGAGTCGCCCCATCAGCCCTCTGACGTCCTCGTTTCCGCGTCCAGCGCCACATCAACGCCCGACCAGTTCAAGTCAGCCGTTCTGCGGCTAGACTCCTTCCTGGGAGAATGGCTTTCGCCCGAATACTTCGAAATGATAACCCCACCGCCTGGTGCTGCTCTCATGATGGGTAGCGCAAAGGCCGACCTGCTGAGACGGGAAGACTACAGCACCTTGACGACCACCTCTCCCTCGACCACCCACACCCAAGCGCACCGATCCGCTTCTGGCTCCTTGTGGAATGGCTCTCCCAGCGCAAGCCCTTCTATCCGTGCGATGCAAGCGCCTCCCTCCGTATCATCGGACAAGGACAGTTCCGGCTCAGCACCTGCCTCGGCCATGGCCGCGGCGCTGTCTGGGCAGCTCACAGGGCAAGTCGGAGGACGAGTTGATAAAAAGAAGGGCTATGCTGCTCCTATACCGGAATACGCCATCTCGGGCTCCCGCAAAATCCCCGAGGGCTTCGTGGCACATGCGCGCGACGAGTGCGTGGTTGTGGATTATCAATGGGACTCGATGAGGCCTCCCCTGGATTTCGGAGATGGTGGTCAATTCGGCGAGGAATGGACATCGATGCACAAGCGTTTTCGCAGGGGCCTAAATAAAATGGTGGATTGGTATTCCACCACTGAGGCTCCTTCGGAAATGGTGACCAGGGGCATGCAGAACGGCCATGATGATCATTCCGCATCTGCAGACGACGAAGAGGTAGAAAATGTGGTCATCATCGTGTCGCACGGCGCAGGTTGCAATGCCTTGATTGGCGCCATCACGCACCAGCCAGTTCTTATGGATGTTGGAATCGCCTCAATTACCATGGCCATTCGGAAGTCGGATGTCAAGTATGACGATCTACTTGCCGGCTCTCCAATCGAGGATACTGCATCGGACCCCCATGTCTCACCCCATCTGTTATATGACATTCGGCTATCCGCGAGCACCGATCACCTACGATCAACATCCTCCACCCCAGTGTCCGCTCGATCAACTTCTACGGATGCCTTCCCAGCACCTGCAAGCAGTCGTGGTCGCGCCCCAAGCATCGGCAATACTACTGGCGCCGTCATCGGTTCATTCGTGTACACATCAGAGCCCCTGTTATGTAACGGAAGCCGCAGTACGTCTGCGAGTGCGGCTCTAGGGACGTCAATACGCCGAAACTCGGGTTCTCAACGCCCTTCACCGCGGTCGGCCTTACTTGGAACGGGCGGGGCCGGGCCGAGGAGTATTTCACCCGGAATAAACAGCCCCTCCTTTGGGTTATGGGCACCTGCGCCGTCTTCTCTAAGACTGATGGATGATGGCGGTGGTGATGACGATGAAGAGAGGGACGACTTTGATTCTCTGTTGCCGGATTTCGACCAGACCCGGTTCAAGACGGTGGGCCAGGAGAACAAGGGAATCGTCCCGGTCTCCGCTTCGGCACCAGCCTTGATGGAACCCGACCCCCCAGCCCCGGAATTCCTCATGTCCAAGTCGTTTCCATTGTCCATTTTGTCGACGGAGCTGCCGCCTCCTGCAGTTCCTACGTTCAGCATGTTCTCAGTCTCATCAACCATGGGAGACTCGACCCCCAAGGGCAAACCAAGAGGGCCTGTTCTCTCTGCTCCCATTAGGATCAAGACCAATGTGGAGTTTGACAAGTCCCCCCCCGAGCTCTCCATGACACAGCTCGGAGACGGCCTGGGCGGGCTCTGGGGTCTCCCTATGCCTCCTGGCGAGGCCGAGCGGCTCCGCGATTTGAGCTTCTCTAAGAGACGATGGACGACTACCGAGCGTGCGTAATCTGAACCACATTGCTCACGATACAGCGATCACGCTGGCGGGGGATGATCTAGGATCCCCAATCCAATGGAGACATTGGAACCAGAAACATCCCTTCTCACCTTGTTACTTCTAGCGCGCGTTGCTTCACACTGGGTCGTATTGTTTTAATCCACGACAGACAGGTCTGTCCATCTACTACTACTCATGGCATCGGCGAAAGGGGCAAGGGTCATCATTGAAACAGAAAATTGGAATGAATATGCGAATAGTTGGGTCAATACTCATCAACACAGGGGGAAACGGTTACTGTATGCTTTGGTGTTATTTTGGGGGCGCAGCAAAGGGAATGAAATGATATCCTCCTGTACTTGAGACTTGATACCCACTCCGGATAGGAGAGTGGAAACGGGCAAAGAGAAAGGGGAAGGACCAAAGGAAGATTGTCCAATATATGTGGTTAAATTTGACCGCGCATGTAGTCTATGCTTTAATCTCGCTCTCAAAGTCTTCTTTGAAATCTTCTATGGGATATATATTGTAAAAAAAGAAACATGCATGAATTGTGCGACTTCTAGGGGCGTGTCATTCAGATACGCTCGTGTATAGTACGGCCAGCAGGAACGCCATTGTCATGAACCATTCCACTTCCAACTCGAATCCTTACAGCTAGCATCTAGCCACCGACGGGCACCTCCAATTGAGACTGAGAAACTTTTGCGGGTCTTTATATGGTCGTAGAGAATTGTTTTCTTCACATTGGTTGCCTTGATGCTCTTAGTTGAACACCTTGTTCATAGCCTGGTGAGCCAGCTCGACACCGAGGAAGGTGGCGGCATTGGCGGGCACAGCACGGGCTAGAGCAGGACCGAAGCCAGGGAAGAAGGCCTTGTAGCCACCCTTGCCGTAGAGCTCGCGGACGACACCACCAATGGATACGTTGCCCTCGGCGGTCTGCAGACGTGACTTGACGGTGTCGATGGGGAAGACGGGGATCCACATGGCAACACCAGCGGCGGCACCGGCGCAGGTAATGGCTCCAAGGCTGATCTGGCCGCTGGGCTTGCCGGTGGCCGGGTCGAGGGGAGTGAGGGAGCGCTTGATGTATTCGTAGGCGGCGAAGTAGGCGGCAGAGCCAGGTCCGTCACGGGCGAGGGTGGCGGTGCTACCGCGGAAGACGGAGCGCAAACCACCCTCACGGTAGAGCTGGCGGGCGACGTCGAGGGCGCCGGAGTACTTGGGCTTCTCGCCGGGGGCGAGCTGCTTCTGGCCCTGGACCTGGAGGATGACCTTGATGCGTTCGAAGGGAGCGGTGATGGCGGTCATGGGGATGGCGGAGAGGAAACCGGCAGTCGAGATCTGGGCAATTGTGAGGCCCTCGGCGGGCACTTCGGAGACGCCGCGAACGATTTGCTTTCCGAGATCATAACCCCAGAAGGAGACGGCGACTAGAGGGACGGTCAGCTTGCGAACTTGGGGGAGGGGCAAGGTGGGACATACACATGGGAGTAACACCAACAAGCGGCGCGCTCACACCGGCGTAGAGGCCTCGTCGCAGACCATCGCGGGCGATACTCTTGCGGACAACATCGACAGCGGACGAGTAGACACCGCGCTCGGCGGTCTGGAGGCGGACCTTGACGAGATCAAAGGGGTGGCCGACGACGACGGCGCAAATGCCACCGAAGCCGCCAGCGGCGAGGGCGCGGACCTGCTGAGCGAGGGCGGACGTGGGCGCCTTGGATTCCTCCTTGGGCTGCTTCGAGACGAGCGGGAGGTTCTCGACGACGGGCGCGAGAACCGCGTCGGGGGAGTCGGCGGCAGACATTGTGGTGGTGATGAGGGACGGAGGGGAAGAGAGAAGCAGAGGGAGGACAAGGAGAGACAACTAGAGGGACGGGACGAGGTTATGAAGAGTGTGGAGACCCGACCCTGGGGAATGCGGAGGGTGGCGGCGGAGAGTGTGGGGGGTGAATTCGGCCGAGGGGAGGGCGAGAGAATCGATATCGGCAGTTCAACCACAACTATCGCAGCGCCGGTTTGCAGTTATGTCGGAGAATCGCCGTGAAACGGAGGAGACAGAAAGAAAAACCGCGCGGAAAAGTAAAAAAGATATGCGCCCCAACAAAGCCAACGTCAGAATCTCAGCTGATACGTCACTAGCCAGCTGATGGACGGTTTGCGACAGCCCAGTGCGACGGTGACTTTTGCGACGGGCTTGATTCGTCCAACCAGCGGTCGCGTTCGTCTAGGTCCGTGCCTCAACAGAGATCGATTCTGTAATGTGTGCGTCAAGTTATTGCAAGATTCGTAACGTTACTCGTAGGGGAAGAGGGAGAAATAGAGGACCAAGAAAGATACAATCAGGGGGCCAGCGGCACGAGGAGCTGACGGGCAGCAGCACATATACATGCACCTACCTCCTTACACCAAAATGAGCAACATCCGATGGGAAAGCGATATCCCCGGCAGGTACCTTGGTTGCCGCTACGTACCTCCGGGCCCCGGCCCGCCGCGCTGAAGTGTCCTGCGGCCCTGCCCTCTCTTTGCCTCGGCTTCGGCTGGCGGGGGGATCCGCTTTCTCCTCGTCCCTCCACCAAGCCCCAGGCGCATCACCGACCGACCGAGGCCGATTTTACAGCGACGGGTCCGTCGTTGATATGTCAAAGGAAACCTGTCCAATGGCCGTCTGGCCTCCACTCCAGACGCCTCCCTTTTTCTTGGTTTGTGCCTCTCCCCGCTGGCTTGTGCGCGCCGTGGGGGAAAAAACGCTGGGACCATATCGTGGGGTCGAGCTTCCACTTGAGGACGAAGCCCGAGAAGACTCCGGCGGGGGAGGGAGGAGAATACTCTGCGGGTTGAAATTCCATTAAACCCATCCGTCCACGATGCAACCTGGATTTTTCATAGGGTCCCGTCTGGCAACACGGGTGCGGCGGCCGGGCAGACGGATCTGGCCGGGTGCCGGAGACCGGAGGCTCGGGAGTTGGATGGCTACTGTGCAAGACGTTGGATGCGCATCCATATCGAGACGCTACATGTCACTCTCCGCTGTCACCAGTTGCCTTTTCTACGTCTTGTCTTCTTCGGGACACATACCATCCCATCTTGAGCCACACAGTACGGCATCAGGGCTGAAGGAAGGGTACCATCGGCCGTTGTGCCATGTTGTTGCCTGCAGGCATCCCGCAGGATCTGATTGCAGATCTAGCCATGATGACAAGCGGCCCGAATTCACCTTCGCGGTGTCCTAACCCATTAAGCCGACCTAGGTATGCACTTACTGTTGCGGCTCTGTCCCATGACCAATTAACCAACCCAGCGCTTCCTCCGCCTCTAATTCTCAAATGTCTCTGACCCTTGATCAAAGGACCCACACCAGCTTGCTCCGTCTCACTAACATCGTCACAATCACATGTAAAATAATCGCAGCATGTGGATGAGCATGGTTCGAGGACCCTCTATGATTCCGTATGCACTGTCCTCCAAATCTACTTACACAGAAAGCCTCCATGCAATAGTAACATAGTCATATACATGTGGTACACAAAACAACGTGGGCTTATCGCCTCCACGATGCTCCCCTCTCCGTCCCCTGTCATATACCCGCTACACCACGTAGCCCTCCCATGTATCAATCCAAGACCCCGACCACGATGCCCGCTTTCCAAGAAGCCCCCCATCGTTACCGTATATCCTAATTCTCCTGCGCTTTTGCGAAGGCAGCGCAAACTGTACTCGTCGCCCCAACGTCTTAGTCCCCAACTCGAAGTCAACCCTCCCCTTCGCCGAAAGTAGTAACAGCCTCCTCCTCTAGAATGCCTTGACCGCTGCCAGTGATGTTGGTGTCGGTGCTGGTGTCGACCCCCCTCGCCTGACACACCAGCAGGTCATGTCTCCCTCTCTTTCTACCTGAACAAGCACATCCATGCCCTCGTTGGAAAAATAACTGCGCACTCGATCCCTCACATCCTCTAGGGCCGCCCCGCGTGCTGCCACTACGTGTACAACACCAAGCAGCTTGCCTCCAGTGGCACTCGCGCTGTGATCGTCTCGCCAGAACTTGGGTGTCGCATAGCCCACAACTCCTCGCTGGTTGAGAATTCCGCCCAATATATTTCGCAAATTGTATTCCGTATCCTCAGGGATGCTCAGCAAAAGGCGCTTCGCTGACGAATAGACCAGGGGTTTGGACGAGAGGAAGATGAGAACGGCTATCAAGCACGATGCCAAAGGATCCCATCCGGCCCATCCCCAGAAATGTGTCAGCACGGTGGACACAATGACGGAAACACTACCGAGGGTGTCTGCTAGGATATGGAGGTAAATGCCGTGCATGTTTTCGTTATCATGGCCATGGCTGTGTCCGCAGCCTCCTTGCGGGGGAGGGGAAGAAAGGTCGTGTGAATGGCCATGCGAGTGGTCATGCGAATGGTCGTGACTATGCGAGTGGCCGTGGTCGTGATCGTGTCCTCCATGGTGGTGGTGGCCGAATGCCATCATTCCAACCATGTTCACTACTAGGCCAAGCGTGCTAACAACGAAGAGTTCGCCAAGACGCTTTGTCTCTTTTCCTTCCCACAAACGTTCAAAAGCCTCAAACGCAATCTCCAAACTAAGCAACCTTGAGCAGTGAGTTAGCATCTTTTCCACTCCCATTGCCTGGGACGCAACCTACATGAGGAGAATACCGTTGGCGAATCCACTCAACGTCTCAATCTTGCCAAAGCCGTACGGAAATCGTTGGCTCCGGGGCCACTTGCTCAGTACCGCAGCCAACAAGCCTACCATTAACGCCACGCAGTCGAAGAACATGTGAATGCTGTCACTGAGAAGGCCGAGCGAGTCCGTAACATAACCATAAAAGGCTTGGACTGTCATGAAAGAGAAATTAAGTCTGGATGAAATTATTAGGTTAGCAATGGAATAATAGCAACAATTGACTATAACATACGTCATAAAATAGAATATTCGCCTCGAATCCTTCTCGATCATGATTGCGTGGAGAATCGGGAAGCGAGCGGTGTAGGGAAGCAGCATCCTGGTAACGAGTGATCTATTGGCATTATTCTCGTGGGAGTCCGCGTGCGCATGGACATGGCCATGATGATGATCGTGGGAATGATCGTGAGCATGGTCGTGGCTATGGCTGTGATCATGATCATGGTCGTGCTTGTCGGGCGGCGAATACGGCATTGTCGCCGTCTCGGGACCCGGGGTTATTACACTCTTGCCTCCCGGCGTCTTTTCTTGTGTCCAGCCATCCAGAGTGTTGAGCGCCGGTGGAGGCTGCTTCTCTCGGCTGAGTAACATGCTCGAGTTCGACAAGTGGGAGCGCGTGTGACGGCGAGTGTGCCCACCACGACGGGCTGGGTTTGGAAGCCCATATCCGCCGTCGTGGCTATGGTCGTGGCTATGGTCGTGATCGTGATCGTGGTCATGTTCGTGGTCATGCTCGTGGACTTGTTCGAGATCGTGGGTATGCCCATGGTCGTGGGAATCAACATCCAGTCGCGATGAGATGCTGCCGTTCGACATGGTCGTTCTCAAAGCGTTGATTGACGGCTGTGAGTTGGCTCGCGTGTGCGAATGCATGTGGTTTTGGTGGGCATGGGGTAAAGCAGAAGAAGGAAGGGCGTATGAGGAGGCCATGGTGGCCTTGGGTCGAGGTTGAGGGTCGTCCGTCTGGCCGCAAACGGTTTGATGGACACAGGTCGGTGGGTTTATCGGCGCAAAAGTCGAGGAAGCGGGAGTCCCAGAGCGTCCCCGCAAGCCAATCGCAACGTCATCAGCTGATGAGACAACCAAATATCTTGAGTGACGCGTCCCGCGATTCCGTGTCCGCGGTGAAAGACGAGATGAAGAGAGGTCGTGGGACGTGGTACTTTATTGGAAGGCGGCGGTGCGAGCGGGAGTAGGTGGTGGCCTGGGCGGCGGCCGAGAAACAGGAGAGATGGGGAAGGTGGCAGCACGTGGAGCTGGGACGGTCAACCCAAAGCAGAAGCGATCTTCGGGACGGACTGCGCAGGCGATCAGGGCAAGCGCGGAGAAACGCCTTGATAAGAAAACTTTGGACGCGTCTCGCTGTGAAACAAAGCAGATCTGAGATGCGATTGCGAGAGGAGAACGATCAAGGCGAGAAACGGATGGATCGAGGTGCTCATCATCATTCCTGTCGTCCCGGAACCTCCTCCAGTAGCTCCTCCACTGGATCCTCCTCCTCCTATTCCCAAAGCATGGATCATAGCCACTGATGGTCCTGACGGCCCCCCTGCATGCGGCCTGCCAGCCCGCTAAACTTTAGTGCTCCTAGCGCCCCTGGTGCGCCGTAGCACCCCGCGGTACTGGCTGGTGTGGCTGGTGTGGGTGCATGCCAAGGTGCAGGTCGCGGCGGAGGGCTCTCAACGCCGCCTGCACGCGCAAGCCAATGGGCCCGGTGGCTAAATCGCCCAATCGACGCTGTCAGTCGGGGCACTGGGGATAGCCGTCCACCCTCCAGCGGGGGTCGGCCTGGGATTCTGGGGCGCCCATCCCTGGCACCCATCAATCTCTAATCTCCCGTGACGGAAGGTTGGGTGGCTGTCTGGCTGTGATCCAGGTCAGCTGTGTTTCAATGGGACGGTTCCTGGCCACGGATTAGGTAGGTCGGTCAGTGCGTCCAGCGGCATCGTATACCTGGAACTAGCTCCGGATAGGCTGCTGGCGCTTCAACGGTCCCTGCAGCAAACTCACAGCACGGGCTCTGCGGCCGACCTCAGCGATGCTCCCGAGCTGCCACCCGTCTGGGAAGGTCAATAACCACATATCGCGCGCATCTGATTAGGCCGTGCAGCTATCGTGTCGCGTGCAGCATCGTTTGACTACTCCGTACGTATTGCATCGGGTTGCTGGTGCGGCTCGGGGCCTTTTTCTCGATTCTTCCCTCTTCCGAGTACACATGCAACTGAGGAGTGGTGCGTGTGTGCGCCCGCGTGTGGGACCTCGTGCGCAAGGACACCTAATATCAGATTCATAACCCATCCCACTTCACCAACACCGCAGCCATCACAGTGTCTGACTGCTGTCGACAGCACACGACTGCCCCAGACAAGCATGACGCCCGCATTCATCCTCTCTGTGGTCGCGGGCGGCCTCAGCGTTATCGCGCTCGCCTACGGCCTAAAGGGTTTGGTCTGGGTCTTCCGCTGGCTCGCTACCTTCAACCCAACTCGCTATCATCCAGCCGAAAAGCCTGAGGATGAACACATCCAGATCCTCGTGGTGGGCGATGTCGGCCGCAGCCCTCGCATGCAGTACCATGCGATGAGTGTTGCCAAGCATGGGAGAAACGTCGATATTGTTGGCTACAAGGGTCAGCTCTCAGTTTCCAACTGCTTGGCGCGATGCTAACATGTAGTAGAGACGGCCAGACATCCGGATCTCATTGGAAACCCTCGAGCCACCATGTATGCGCTCCCACCGCAGCCCGAGGTGCTCCAGTGGGGGACTCTACCCTTCTTCCTTAACATTCCCTGCAAAGTTATTTGGCAGTTCTGGGGTCTGTTCTCCACGTTGATGTATTCTGCACCGCCAGCCCAATGGATCATCATACAGGTGAGGCTCATTACTCTCCCCTGAGTCTGAACACCGAGTTTGACAAAATAACTATAGAACCCCCCCTCCATCCCTACCTTCCACGTTGTGCTCCTCGTCTCCCTCATCCGGGGCAGCAAGCTCGTCGTAGACTGGCACAACTATGGATATACCATCCTAGCCACCCAGAGCAAGTGGTATAAGCCTCTTGTTCCTATCTACAGGTGGTATGAGACCTTCTTTGGGAGGTTCCTCGGCAATGCCAACCTTTCAGTCACCGACGCCATGGCCCGCCAGCTCAAGCAGAAGCCATTCAATGTCAAGAACCCCGTCTACACGCTGCACGATCGACCAGCCGAGGTATTCCAGCCTGTCACAGCGGAGGACCGAAAAGCATTTCTGTCTCGGCTTCCAGAGACAAAGGCCGACGCCAAGAACATCATGGATGGAACGGTGCGCCTGATTGTCAGCAGCACTTCGTGGACAAAAGACGAGGACTTTGGCCTACTGCTGGATGCCCTAGTATCATATGCCAATTCCTCTTCAGACGCGGCCACTGTCGACAACACACCGACTCCAATTCTTGCCATTATTACCGGAAAGGGTCCCCAAAAGGAGCACTATCTGGAGCAAATCAAGAAGCTTCAAGTCGAGGGCAAACTCCCGGGTATTCGAGTCATCACTGCCTGGCTCTCCACCCGAGATTACGCCTCGTTGCTTGCCTGTGCCGATCTTGGCGTCTCTCTGCACAAGTCTAGCTCAGGAGTTGACCTTCCCATGAAGGTTGTGGACATGTTTGGCGCTGGCCTTCCCGTCGCAGCATACTCGGCTTTCGAAAGTTTCGGAGAGCTGATCAAAGACGGTCAAAACGGTTGTGGGTTCGAAACCTCATCCGAATTGACAGCCATACTCAAGAGGCTACTGGGCGTGACGGGACAGGATGAGTTGGCCCGGTTGAAGCACGGCGCCGTCCAAGAGGGATCACTACGATGGGACGAGGAGTGGGATCGAGTAGTGGGAAAAGTCATTGGAGTTGTGGATCAGTAAGTAATTAATCAAAGCCATCAAAATGGAACATTCGAGGTATACATGCCACCCATCGTCTCTCTTTGAGAACCTTGAGAGAACCGCCGCTTGCACAATGTTGATGAATACGAAACACGCAATAGTTCCAAGACGCCATGCGAATGCTATATCCTCGGCGCCAATCTCTTGATACGAGCCAACAGCCAACGCCCACACAGTGACCTACCCTGCCCTCTTTCCCAGGAAGACATTAATCCTCTCCCAAGCTCTCCCTCACGCACTTCCGGCACCGCCTCCGGAAGTCTTTGTGTTTTCCCTCGCGCTCCTCGCGCAACATCCGCGCGGCCTCGACATTGGCGGGGCTCTCGTCATTGGGGCTATGAAACAGGCTGATGGTGCTGAGCAGGATGGTCTCGGGGGTTTGGACGGGAGTCCAGCGCTCGGAAGCGGCCTCGTAGCCGTACTCGTCCTCCTCGGGCGGATGTAGGATCGATATGCACAACTTGCCGCTCTCGTAGATGTTGGGGTGGAACGGGATCGGGTCTTGGAAGGTGAGCGAGGGAGGCATGTGTGGGTAGCTGGGCGGGAAGACGAGGCGAGCACGGAAGTTGCCTCCTGGAGAGAAGAGTTAGACCTTGGCCATGTGGGTTTATTTGCAGAGGATCATGGGGCCGCACCACCGTAGTATTTGCAGTCGTCATTGATCATGAGCATCACCTCCCACTCAAAAATGTTGTTGTCGTTGACGAGCCCGCACGAGATGCCGGGGATGTCCTTGCCCATCTGCATCTCCTTGAGCTGTCGCTTCAACAGCGACGCGGCTGGGGCGGAACTCGCGGCCATGGCGAGGGCACGGAATCCGACGATCGGAGGCAGCAGACGCAGACCTAGCTCGCACTCGCGGGTTGGGGAGGGAAGCGGACAGAGATTTCGAGGTGTGCGTGTGCGCGAGTGTGTGCGGCCTGGCTTTTGTAAGGACTCGCCGAGGTCGTAGAGGTGGGCTGCTAGCTTGCTGCTGCAGCGTGGTGGTGGTCCTCATGGTGGACCGAGTCTACAGATTACAGGCGGGGCGCGCACTTGGAGGGCCGCCCCGCCACTCATGATGGTTGGGGATGACGGGTTGGCTCCCCGGAACAGAAGCAGACGCAGCACCACCACCACGGCGAACAAACAGGATGCCGTCGTGCAGCCATGGCCGGGATACGTAGTGGCTTGCCATGTGCCGAGGCTGCAGATTGAGCCTGCGCCAGTTGCCTTCGATCCACTGCTTCGGGCTGCCAGGGATCTCTCTCATGGTGAATGGGTGGTGTCCAGCTACACCGACCTTTGTGCAGCACGCGAACATGTCCTCGCCGGCCCGGTTGGACGAAGCAGTGCCGTTATATCGCAGGCGTCGCTATAGACCCTCAACATATCAATTCGCACAATCATATTACATCGCCACGTTGAAATAAGGGTATCATAGGTTTTGCCCAACATTCCGTCCGTTTGTCCGTCCGTCGTCTCGGCCCTCACTTCTTTGAAGTACCAAACCCGGTGAAACCCATCTGTGCCATCATGTCGTCCTCCTCATGCTCGCCCTCAATTCGCAGGTCTTCTCCATACTCCGTCTTGACCTTGGCTGCCTCCTCTTGCTTCGCACGCCGCTTCTCCATTTCGTCCCTGCGCTTCTGCCGTCGCTCTTCCGCCTCCTTCTCCTGTTCTTCCTCTCGCATCTGCAGCCGATCGTGGAGGCTCGTGGCCTTCTCCTTCTCGAGGTCGTCCCGTCGTTGGATGTAGTATTCGATTCGTTCGTGGACCTCGGCTGCCGTCGCTCGCTTCACCTCCGATGTCTGGCCCGTGTTGATCAGATGCTGGGGCGTGTTCAGATGCTCCACGTATTGGATGTTGTCCTTGAAGGTCAAATCGCAAGGCTCGCAGTAGAAACCGGCACTGCGTCCGCGCTTTCCGACGCCTGCGCCAGCAGGAATGAGCTGCGTCTTTCCGACCTGCGCGGTAAGGTCGATGATGTTGCGCCTTGCTGATGTGTATGTCTCGTTCCCGGTCATCGGCTTGTGGTATTTCTTGCCGGCAAGCTTGGCTTCATAGCGAGCCTTGCCTTCCTCCTTCTCCTTCGCCTCGCGCTCCTTGGCCTTGGCGGCATATTCGTCGAGGTCCCAGGTTTTCCGAAAGTCGGTATCGCCGGCGGGCGCGCCATAGGCACCGCCCTTCTTTGAGTCGGCCATTGTGGTTGTGGAATTGAGGATGCAAGGTGAACACGGTCGGTCGCGTCCAATGCGAAAAAGTCGGGATTGCCATGGCACCCAGGCTCATCGACAGGGGTACTTGACATGACGTTGTAGGTGCGGAACGCTAAAAGTACCCCGCCGCGGGGCATCTTTTTCTCAACTGACTGCGACTCGAATTTTCAACCCGCGATCTCATACCGATACGCGACACCGGCAACATGTTGTATTTAGTGGGCCTTGGACTCTCCGACGAGACGGATATTACCGTCAAGGGACTTGAGGTGGCCAAGAATGCCTCCAGGGTCTACCTCGAGGCCTACACCAGCATCCTGCTCGTGAACCAGTCCGTCCTGGTACGGAGAACTCGGCCTCTGCTAGAGAGCTAATATTGACGATGAATAGGAAGCTTACTATGGCCGATCTATAATAGTGGCCGACCGTGAGATGGTTGAGTCTAATAGTGACGAGATTCTTCGAAATGCTCAGAACGAGGACGTAGCGTTCCTTGTTGTGGGAGATCCCTTTGGGTATGTTCAGGACAATCGGGCCTCAACCTTTCAGTGCTAATTTTGCGGCAGTGCGACTACCCATACCGATCTGGTTTTGCGAGCCCGAGAACTCGAGATCCCCGTCCGAACCGTGCCTAACGCATCCATCATGTCCGGCATCGGTGCCTGTGGCTTGCAGCTCTACAACTTTGGACAAACAGTGTCCATGGTCTTCTTCACAGACTCGTGGAAGCCCGCATCTTTCTACGACCGGATAAAGGAGAATCGCACTATCGGCCTACACACACTGGTTCTGGTGGACATCAAAGTCAAGGAGCAGAGCCTAGAGAACCTTGCCCGAGGAAGGCTGATTTACGAGCCGCCTCGTTACATGACCGTGGGTCAATGCGCTCAGCAAATGCTGGAGATTGAGGACGAGCGTAAGGAGGGTGTTTATGGCAAGGACAGCTTAGCCATCGGTGCTGCTCGGGTAGGAGGTAAGACAGAGAAGTTTATTGCTGGTACTCTAGAGGAGTTGTGCTCCACCGATGAGGAGCTTGGCCCACCTCTACACAGCTTGGTTTTGCTCGGTCGAAGGGCTCACGAGTTGGAGCACGACTATGTGCGGCACTTTGCAGTAGACAAGGAGAAGTGGGACAGAATCTGGAAGGCCGAATATGGGCTGCAGCTATAGGCTTCGGTTGGCATACTCATGTTGTCATTCATCAAATTCCTATAATATACAACAAGCCCTAATCAAACGGTCAACACAGCTTGGGTATTGCGCCAGGTTTGAACATCGACCTCTGATATTTCTCGCAGCCTGTTGACCTCGGCGGGCTTGCCCGTGACGGCGCTCGTGGCGATCTCGGCGGCACGGCTGAATATGTTCTTGGCCGTCAACATGTACGTCGCAGATACCATCCTAACCAAAATCATTCCAATGCGGGGGTCGTTCTCGGAGCCATCATGTTTCCCATCTCCCAAATCACCGACCCAGGCTTTCAATGTCGGTGTGTAATGCTTTGACACCAAATTACGGTCTGTTTTGATGGTTGCAGTCCCTGCAATGGACGCCCACTCGCCCGAGGCATTGACGAAGGATATGTTGACATGGGGGTCGGCAGCGAGGTCGTCCGTCTTGCCAGACTCGGTATTAGTGTGGAAGAGAAGGTCGATTCCGTCGGTCTCCTATTTCAAGTCAGACACTCCCTCGTCGTCGTAGCAGTGGGTGGAGAGATGATGAAGGACTCACTGTAGCAGCCAGTGCCATGCATCGAGAAACGAGGTTGCCCGAGGAAGAACCTCGAGTGGTCATCATGCTGAACTTGCACTTGTTGATAAATTCAACCAAGTCATCAACCTTGGTCTTGAGGCCGACCTCATCTTTGTTCGCCTTCTTATAAGGATCGGCGGGAGCATCCCCTGTAGAAGTGTTGGAGAACGACATACCGTGAATGTTAGGAAGTAGTGGTCAATTCCCTACAGATGAATTAGAGGATTCGGGTCTGAAATTGAACCGCCACGATTGCTTTATATTCACAGGACTTAATTCATCTTCGCTTACCCCTCTAAATAATATGCAATGCCGTCGTCACTCATTTCATCATAGACAGACAATTGTTGATGCAGGGAGTTCTATCATGACGTCAGAAAGATGCCCACCCATCGAGCACGTTTGTTTACCTCCCAGAGCGGCAAATCCTATAGCGCCAGGCTAATGACACTCAATTCTTATTAAGGATCGGCCAGGGAAATAAACAAGCTCAAGGGGTAGGCAAACGACAGGTGCAACAAAGAAGAATCGGACGGTACCTCGTCTTAGGCGTAAATGAGTATCGTTGGAATAGAGGCGGATTAAATCATCAATGAATTGAAATCATTGGCTCGGATAAGTATCTCCCTCTACAGCTAGGGACATCATGCTGCAGTGCCGTGATAAATCGCCATTGTGACGCTGTAAATTGAAACGATTAATGCCGGAGGTTACTCGGGGTTTGTCGGACGACTTTGCTGCATGTGGCGCAAAGCACCAGGAATGGATTTGGTACGGAGTTCGGCAACCACCTCAGTTTAGCAGGAGCGATGGCATTCACCAAATTGATCACAGGTCATTCGCCCTTAACAGACAAACCAAGAGACAGGCCAGTGAACTAAGGAATGAAACTACGGAAGTAACTTTCCGGGGTCTCGATCCGGGCTCCGTAAGGTAGGTAGGTACCTACCTAGGCCATTGAAGACCAGGGCATTTGAGGCGACTTCCACCTTCCCTCCCCGCGTGCTTTTGCTGCAAGGCAGGCCCGGTTGGAGTCCAAGCTTCTCGCTGAGCTCATCAGGTCACACCAGATGGGCACCGGCTAAGACGACTCCACCAACCTTCGTACAACCTCTCCTCTTAACTCTGCAACTCAGGCACCTCGCCATAGACGATCATCAAGAGCGAATCCAGTTGCCCCCCGGGCGCCATTCAATTTATCCGTTGTGGTCCCCGTCTGCAATCGCCAAACGGGGCGTCAACCGTGTCAGCGCCCCCCGCAAACCGTCGCAAACACCGAGCGCAGCCCACTCAGTCCTCCCGGGTGATTGACTACAATTTGATTCACTGTCGGCAGCCCAGGCTGCGGCTTATTTATTCACCTGTCCCTCAGATCTTTCCATGTGAAACCCGCCATTTCCACCCCATTTTCCGGTTCTTCTCATTGTCCTTCATCTTCGGTCACTACAGCGATCGAGCAGCTGTCCGCTCTGCTCCTTCTCCACCCACCAGCTGGCAGCCAGCTGCCCAGTCTTATCTCCTGCCCAGGTTTGACGGCCACATCACCCCTCTGTTCAACCACTTTTGTCCTTTGTACTTCCACTTTACATCATCTCTCTTTTCAACGCAGTCACACAGCCTGCTGCAGAACATCACCTTTCCACACCACTTGTGATCTCCCTGATCCACGATGGCGGCAGCCAACGGCTCAGTGAGTAACGTGCCCAATATCTTGACCCTGCCGCAACTAACATCACCGCGCAGACTGTCTTCCCGTGGGAATGCCGAGACAAGGAGGACCAGGCAAAGATAGCCTACAACAGTCCCCTTCGTCGTGCCAACCAGTCCCTCACTGAGGAAAACATGAGACTCAAGCGAATCTTGCGTGACAATGGAATTTCCTGGTCCCCAGTGGCTCTGAATCACATCAAGCAACTGGACCCTACCGCCCGCAAAACTCGGTCTTCCATGACTGCCCAGGACATGGGCCATCCGTACCTCCCCATGGAGGTTCTCCTGCGGATTCTCAAGTTTGCCATGAAGAGCCAGCATCCCATCATAGATCCCATGTCGCCCATCACGTCCGAAAACCTGGCCGAGAAGGAGAAGGGCAGAGGTAATCAGATCGCCATTAACTTCCTGGCGACTTGCAAGGCCCTTCATGTCGAAGGAACCCGCTATCTTTGGGAATCCAACGACTTTACCTTCACCACCCCTCAGGCCGTGCGCAACTTTGCCGAACTGCCCTTCAAGTTTCGCCAGGGCATCACTCGTGTCACCTTTCGCATCATCGCCCGGTATTATGATGATTCACGCAACCGCAAGCATAAACTTGATCGTTGCTACCACTCCGACCTGAAGAAGGATCAACTACTCAAGGTTCACCTACGACCAACCGAGACGCCCCTTGTTCGCGGTGGTTTCCGATGCTACACTTGGAATCAGATTGTCGACTTCTTGGAGGGTCTTCGTGCACCGTATGATCCCAGCGTCAAAAACAAGAAGCAGCCTCGCCCTCGACTTTTGCCCTCCCTCACGTCGTTGCGACTTGATCTTGTCAACTTCTCTGACACCCTGCTGCCCTTTTCGGGATCGGAATTGCACGACATTGCATCCCACGAACTCGGATGCACCTTGAACGAACTCCAGATCACGGGAATGCCGTTTGATGATACAGGCATGAAGGCATCGGCCGAGTTGAGTGGGATGCTCAAGGACGAGGGGCTGTACCTCGATGGACCCGCTTCCTACATCGCCCAGTCCCGATCCCTCCAGCCCCTCTCTGGAAAGAAATGGTGTGCCAGAGTCATCCGCTCTTGGAAGGCTAAAGACAATGACAACGAGGACACGGACGATTCTGACACTCCCAACGGCCACTCGAGCCATAATCACGGCAGACTCGGGGCACTTCCCCCCGCTCCCAGGGAGGAGGGTCACCCTACCTCGAGCCGCGACGAGGGGACGGTCATCTGGAAGCGTGTTCCAAAGTCTCGTGACAACCCAGAGCGCGAATGGATTCAATTTTCTCGATTTAGTGGGTATGAGATGAATGATTTGGACTGGGATAGTGAAGAAGAAGGCATCTGCCCCTGCTGTGGAGAATCTCATCCAGGCTCGTCCTTCCTAGAATTTTTGCTCGACGAGGATATCGCTGACTGAAGATCAGTGTAATGTTCCAACACCAGGTGTTGTGAGAAAATTATGATGAGATGATGATGATGGCAATGATGCGAAGGTTCACGATTCATGTGTTTTGGTCATTGTATGCCTAGATACCCTTGCGAGCTAAAGAAATAATAAGGGCCTTCCTTGTAGGGACTTTCCCAAGTTTACGATTTACAATATTCTGCAGTTCACTTTTTGTTAATAGTGGCTCAATGTCACGTTAAGAAGGGCAAGCAATACACTCTTAATACCTCAAAATGGGAAGTTGACCAGATTCCTGCGCCAGGCTTTGTACAAAGTCGTGAGTAGAAAAGGCGAGCCACGTCATTACAATTGTGTCGCCAACGTGGCCAAAATGACTAGAAATTTGGATAAATAGCATGCATTATTTTAAGAGTACAAAATATTCAGCCAAGAAGTTATGTCAGTCAAGAGGCAAAAGAGTTGGTGATTTCAATGTGGTCGTGGTGTGGTACACGAAGCATCCCACGACGATGTTGTGTCACCTGACATCGCGATTCGCATTGACGCCTGCTCCTTCCCAAACGCGAAACCCGACAAAGGCATCTCAACCTCAACGAAGCTGACAGACCTACGTCGCTCTACCGACTCAACCTTTGCATCTCCCGACACGAGTAATCAACATCTACACTATCGGATTCGTCTTCCTCTCCATGGTTGTCGCCATCAGGCGCATGACCTCCCACATTCTTTCGCGCATGCGTTCAGGAGGTCTTCCAACCGCGCCAGCATCGAGCCGTCCGACCTCTTAATACCCCATCACCCGACCGAAATTTGCCATCGCATCGAAGTCAGGTGTTCAACAGGCGACCAGCACCTACCGCCCTCGCGGCCAATAACATTCAACATCTCTGTTTCCTCACCTACGATCGACAGCATGCCGCCGGGCTTTAAGGACAGAGGCGGCCGACTACAGGCTTTTGCGCGGAATAATTCCACCGGGAATAATGGCCGAGACACTAATGGAGGCCAGGCTCCGGTGCTCGACAATCGATTGGAACAACCTCAACCGGTGGCCCCCGTTCCGACACGGCAGGCGATACTCGAGGATATCCGGGCGCCTTCCCCAGTGAACCGCCGATACACAGCTCCACCCCGCGAAAGCAATGGTTTCGGTCAACCGCCCCTACGATCACCAAAACTTCATCCTATTTCGTCATCAAATAGCCAACCTCGAACCAACTCGAATGATCGTAATGGGGATCTCTTCTCCGGGTCACAACTCGGAGAGAGCTTCATGAACTCGGGTCTCACGACCCCTCAAAATGAGCCAGCAGAGCCAATTGAGCTTGGCCCGGAGCTGGCTCGGGACCTCAGGAAGAACATCCCGTCACATCATCTCCCAGATCGCAACCGTCCTTCCCGACCAGCGCATACTGGCACTGCGTTTGTGGTGGCAAACGACGGCTTCATGTCCGTGGTTGAGAGACCTCCTCGACACGATGTTGCCCACATGGATGACGGGTTCCGAGACAACGCAGCAAATGGTCGTCGAAAGCCTAATGGGTTCTACGAGAGTGACCAAATCCGCCCCAGCTCGCCACTAAGGCACGAATCAAAGCTTCCGATGCGCGAAGTCAGGATTAGAAGGTCTCACGCGGGTAAATCGGAAGCGTATGATGTCGATGGCCATGCAAGGAGCTCATCCCCTACTATCCAGCAATCACAATGGCAAACGCGATACAAGACGGACGATACACGTCGACCCACGACAGTGCACGGCCGAGACGATGATGTAGATTCGGTCGCACAGGAAGACGAACATCTGACTCCAAAACCCAAGAAACCAAAGCCTGTGGCCAAGAGAGTTCTGATGGAAAGCTCCATGCCAGCTATACCAATGACCCAGTATTCTCGAGAAAAGAAGCGACGTCGCCCGAGTCCTGAATATGACGACATGGCACTCACTTCAATGGCTTTTACGGATTTACAGAGGCAACCATTCGACTTTGATCCGTCCAAGGAAGAAGAGAAGCCGCTCAGCACCAACGCCGATAACCTAATTGCGAGGTTGGACCAATTCCGCCACCTTGGCGAGAAGGAACAACATGGCTTGTTCTCTGCCATGTCTGTGGACGATTGGGAGGCTTCTGGGGAATGGTTCGTGAGCGAATTTGCCGGGTTTGTGCAAGACTTGACCGAGGCGAGGAGAAACAAACGCCGGATCATCCAGGAGTTTGAATATGAAGCTGCCAGCCGCGAGGAGGCCGTGCGCCTTAAGACGGATACGATTGACCGAAAGCTGTCTAAGATGAAGCAGGATGGTCAGCGAGTAGTGGAGGACAAAAGGCTATAGGAGATGATGAGGGTGGTGGCAGCCCGTGTCACGATACGACTGTCATGACTGCATTTATGATGGACTTGGGACGTTGGTTTGCTTTGTATCAGGAGCGTAGCATCCGAAGGGCGTTTGGCGAGAACTAGGGCGATACCAAGTTCACCTACAACTAGGTAGGTAGGCACACAGAGCCGCTACGATAATTCACGATTTTGCTGCACGATAAACGGGGCTTCTGCTCGGCATGGTATCTTAATTAGTGGTATCCCAAGGTGTGTGCGTTAGATTCGTAAAGCTCAGATGCGTAGAACACGTTTCACTTTCCTGTCACGGCCCACGACCATTCTCAACTGATGACCTGGTCGGTTGGGGAGGACTCCTTTCCTCAGACCTTCGGTGTAGAGCTCATATGCGGGATAGTAGCCGTCGACAAACTTGACGACCTGCTGCGAGGTCATGCCGGCGTCTGGGTCACCGCGTTCCTCCCGGAGGTGGTCTTCCTGCTCGAGGCGCCAGCCGTAGACGTAGCCAAGGTCCTCGGCGTCGACCTGGATGAAGGCATCGAAGAGGTCGGTGAGGGTGTCGTACTCGGCGAGTTTCTCATTGACGAAGAGGAGGTGCTCAAGCTTGTGCTTCTGGAGGGTGTGGTTGGGCTTGGCCAGCCTGGCTTCGACGGCCTCGGGGGTTAATGGGCGGAAGCCAACGCACCAGCCCTCGAGGATGATGGCTTGGATCTTGGGTTGGCCGGGCTGGTTGACGGGCAGCCACTGGGATTCCGGAGAGCGTTCACCATTGCCAGCACATATGGCCTTGTCGTACTTGGGGAGCTTGGCGGGGTCGCCTTTTAGCAGGGCATTGAAGAAGGCGTTTGCAAGGGGCAAGTCATGGGTTCCTGGGGGTCGCGGTCAGATATGGTTGGTCTGATGGTGGGTGAGGCTCAATGATGCTCGGCTCCGCGCGGGCTCACGGCTCCCACGTGGGTTTCAGTTCATACCAGGTTCCCCGCGATGCTGGACAAGAGCGTTATCGGGGTGGGCCTCGGCCAAGGCGACCTGATCACGGCGGGTCAGGTAGAACTCGTCGATGCTGCAGACCAAGGTCGGGACGGCCTGCTCCTCGAGGGCGAGGCTCAGGGCGCGGACGAGGGTGGTCTTGCCGGCGCCCTGGACGCCATTGAGGCCAATGACGAAGGGGCGGTCGGGGGACTCTGCGCGATGGGCCTTGAGCTGGGCGAGGATGAAGGGGATGCAGATGGGGGTCTTGTCATCGACGAACTGAGGGGGCATTTTGAGAGAAGGATGGGAAGCCGATGAGGACTTGAGGACTCTAGTTTAGTCGGCTACGGCATAAGGGATTGGAGGAGGGGGGGGGCGTGTGTGCAGAAGCGGTGCGGGCGGTACGGGCTGCTGGAAGGCTGGAGGCTGCAGTGGTTGGTGGTGCCATGTCGAAGGCTCACGGGCGACGGCTTCTGGCACGACGCTGGAAGGCCGGCGGCACGGACGCCGGGAGACGGACGGGGCACGAGACGCTCAGAGACTGAAGGGACTGACCGTGTCCCGATTCGGCTTTGTGGGGGAAATTGTGGGGTATGGGATTTTGTGCCATGGGCCGCGGGAAAAGAGTCGGCAGCGGGTCACGGGTTATAGAGAGAGAGAGAGAGCGTGTTAGAGCTGGGTGCTGGGTGTTGGGTGTTGAATGCTGGACGCTCTGCCGTGTCGTTTGCCCGGGTGAGAAGCAGACGGAAATTTATGTTTACATACGGGAATGCAGATTACCCGACGGGATTGGTACTGGCCATGACGGGATGGTGGCAGCCATGAGCCATGATGGACAATGACCCCCATGAGAGCCTGGAGGGAGCTGGCTTTTACACAGTCTCGTTAGACTGTGTGCTTCAGCTGCTTCAAGAGACCAAACGCGCAAATACACAAACATGTGACACAACTACTAATCATCCAAGTACTTCTCATCCTGTGCTCATCCCGTGTCAGACTGGCCTCTCCGCATGACCTCATCTCCATCCATCTCCGTCGCTTTTTCCCTTACACGTTCCCCAAATCCCCGACTTTCGCGCCTTGCATGTGAAGCGGCCCGATGCCGAACGCGGCCTAGCGCGCCGTCTCTAGCGTACCCCTCGGTACCCGCACAACAAGCCGAGGCTCCCTTCACAAGATGGGTCGGGGCGTCAGCCAAGGTCCAAGGTTCAAAGGTCCAGGTCCCAGGTCCCAGGGCTCCTCTGGTTCAAAAGAGTTGCCGGCCCGTTGTGTTAAGAGCTGCATCGCATTTCCTCTCTCTCTCTCCTCCAAGCGTGTGCATTTCTCCATTATACCATCCTCCATCCATCCTCCATCCTCCATCCTTCCCCCCCAAGTTCCTGCGCCAATCTACACCCAGGACGCGACCTCCACCACATCCACATCCACATCCACCATGGCCGAACAGTTGAGATACGACGGCCAGGTTGTCGTCGTCACCGGAGCCGGCGGCGGTCTCGGTAGAGCATATGCCACCTTCTTCGGCTCACGCGGAGCCAGCGTCGTCGTCAACGACCTCGGCGGCTCCTTCAAGGGCGAGGGCAACTCAACAAAGGTCAGATAGCTCCAATCGGCATGAAACAATTCGAATCCCCGCTAACTCTTCGTCATCACAGGCCGCCGATGTCGTCGTCAACGAGATCAAGGCTGCTGGCGGCAAGGCTGTCGCAAACTACGACTCGGTCGAGAACGGCGAGCGCATCATCGACACCGCCATCAAGGCCTTCGGTCGCATCGATGTCCTCATCAACAACGCCGGCATCCTGCGGGACATCAGCTTCAAGAACATCAAGGACGAGGACTGGGACCTGATTATCAAGGTCCACGTCAAGGGCTCCTACAAGTGCGCCAGGGCCGCCTGGCCTCACTTCCGAAAGCAAAAGTACGGCCGTGTCATCAACACCGCGTCCGCCGCCGGTCTGTTTGGCAGCTTCGGCCAGACCAACTACTCCGCCGCCAAGCTTGCCCTGGTCGGCTTCACCGAGACCCTCGCCAAGGAGGGCGCAAAGTACAACATTCTGTGCAACGTCGTTGCTCCCATTGGTATGCAGACTGTACTGTCGCGATGATGATCCAGGCTAACAATTGAACAGCCGCCAGCAGAATGACCGAGACCATCATGCCTCCGGATGTCCTCAAGGCCCTCCAGCCCGACTGGGTTGTCCCCCTGGTTGCCGTCTTGGTTCACAAGAGCAACACCGAGACCGGCAGCATCTTTGAGGCTGGCGGTGGCCACATGGCCAAGCTCCGATGGGAGCGATCTAACGGTCTCCTCCTGAAGGCCGATGATTCTTACACCCCCGGTGCCGTCCTCAAGCAGTGGAGCAAGGTCACCGACTTCTCCAACCCCCAATATCCCACTGGCCCCAACGACTTCCTTACCCTCCTCGAGGACTCGATGAAGATGAGCCCCAGCGACCGTGGCGAGACTCTAGACTTTACCGGCCGCGTTGCGCTAGTGACTGGTGGTGGTGCCGGTATTGGTCGCGCCTATGCTCTGGCCTTTGCCAAGTACGGTGCGTCCATTGTCGTCAACGATCTCGCCAACCCCGATACCGTGGTCGAGGAGATTAAGAAGCTCGGTGGCAAGGCCGTCGGCGTCAAGGCCTCAGCCGAGGATGGCGAGGCTGTTGTCAAGGCTGCCATTGATGCATTCGGCCGTGTCGACATCGTCGTCAACAATGCCGGTATCCTCCGAGACAAGGCTTTCACCAACATGGACGATAACCTGTGGGACCCTGTGATGAACGTCCACCTCCGAGGTACCTACAAGGTCACCAAGGCCGCCTGGCCCTATTTCCTCAAGCAAAAGTACGGCCGTGTCCTCAACACGACCTCCACCAGTGGCATCTATGGCAACTTTGGCCAGGCCAACTACTCTGCGGCAGTAAGTAAAACCCTGGAATACTCAGACTTTAACTAACAATGACAGAAATGCGGTATTCTCGGATTCTCGCGTGCTCTTGCGCTTGAGGGCAAGAAGTATGGCATTTACGTCAACACGATTGCCCCCAACGCCGGTACTGCTATGACCGCCACCATCCTGCCCGAGGAGATGGTTCAGGCCTTCAAGCCCGATTACATTGCGCCTCTGGTCCTCGCTCTCTGCAGCGACAAGTGCCCCGATCCTACCGGCGGTCTCTACGAGGTCGGCAGTGGCTGGGTTGGCAAGACCCGATGGCAGCGCACTGGCGGCCATGGATTCCCTGTCGACGTGCCTCTCGTTCCCGAGGAGGTCGTCAAGGCCTGGGGCGACATTACCACTTTCGACGGCCGTGTCGACAACCCTTCCACGTCCCAGGACGGCCTGGACAAGATTATGGCCAACATGGCGAACCGCAAGTCCAAGGTCAGTTCTTAACAATGTCTTAGCAGCTTTTTGTGAGGTTTAACTAACCGCGAGTAGGCTGAGGCACCTGCTCCCAGTGAGCATCTCGCCATTATCAACGAAACCCTTAAGAAGGAGGGCAACCCTACCGAGTTCAAGTACGAGGAGCGCGATGCTATCCTCTACAACCTGGGTATTGGTGCTAAGCGTACCCAATTGAAGTACACCTTGTAAGTCACTTGGCCCTCTGAGGCGAACCTTGTTAACACATCACAGCGAGGGTGCCGATGACTTCCAGGTCATTCCCACGTTCGGTGTGATTCCTCCCTTTAACACCGAGATGCCGTTTGATTTCGGCAACATCGTGCCCAACTTCTCACCCATGATGCTTCTTCACGGTGAGCAGTATCTCGAGGTCCGAAAGTTCCCTATCCCCACCAGCGCGAACCTCGTCTCTCGGGGGCGTCTCCTTGAGGTTGTCGACAAGGGCAAGGCCGCCATCGCCAAGAGTGGCGTCACTACTGTCGACGCTGAGACTGGCGAGGAGATCTTCTACAACGAGTCGACCGTCTTCCTCCGTGGTTGCGGTGGCTTTGGCGGTCCCAGCCGAGGCAAGGATCGCGGCGCTGCCACTGCCGCTAACAAGCCTCCCGCCCGTCACCCCGACGTCGTCGTCGAAGAGGCCACTTCCGATGACCAGGCCGCCATTTACCGATTGAGCGGTGATTACAAGTAAGCCTTCTGACATGGAGAGACCAAGAATCCAAGACTGACAATTGTATAGCCCTCTCCACATCGACCCCGAGTTCGCCAAGGTCGGCGGCTTCAAGGCCCCTATCCTCCACGGCCTCTGCAGCTTTGGCTTTGCCGGCAAGGCCGTCTACGAGCGGTTCGGCGCCTTCAAGAACATCAAGGTCCGCTTCGCCGGCGTTGTCATTCCCGGCCAGACTCTCGTCACCGAGATGTGGCGCGACGGCAACAAGATTACCTTCCAGACCAAGGTCAAGGAGACGGGCAAGCTTGCCATTGCCGGCGCGGCCGCCGAGCTGGTTGGCGAGTCCAAGAGCAAGATTTGAGAGGGCATGTTGTGGAGTTATAAACGTTAAGCCATGTACACTAACGTCTGTATTGTATTCGATTCGTTACCAATGTCCTATTCCCTAATCTCTTGTGAATGTGGTGTGGAGATTGACCTCGTCTCTACCATAAACCCGCTTAGACGCCCTTATTCCCAGTATGCAAATCCAATTTCGCCCACCGCGAGGCTCGCCCATCTGTACGCCAGTAACCCTAGATAAAAATAGTTTCCACAATGACATCGAACAGTTCAGAAAGCGCAGGGATTCTGCCGCTGACCAGTATGCGCTCCACGCTGACATCGCCCCTCTGCGCCGCAACGCCCGTCTCCAAAAAGGCCCGTTCTGTGCCCGACAGCTCGCGGTTCTCCATGTCCTTCCACTTGCGCTCAGCTTCCTCGCGCGCCGCCTGGAGAACCTCTTCGGTGTCCTCCGACTCCCAGAGGTTGCACCGCTCGCACTCGGTGCAAGGCGTCGGGTCGCCGTCGGGCCGAAAGTGATCGCAGAAGTGCCGGTAGCCCTCGTCGCTGAGGTCAGCTCGGCACACATAGCACATTTTGTAACCGCATGGGCACGTAAGCTTGTTGCAGCCTGCGTTCTTGACAAAGGATGTGTTGCAGCGGGGGCAGACACGCTTAATGGCCATGCTCATGGCTTGCTCGACTTGTGTTCGGAGAGCGACCAGGGAGGATTCGTTGCATACGTGGATGTCGTGCCAAGACTTTGTGCAAGAGAGGCATGATACCCGCTTGCACTCGGGGCTTTGACAGGTGAATTTCAGTCCGCGGCGACGTCGTCGGTGGCGGGTGAGGGCTCCGCTCCATTCCATAGATATATAGTCGCCAAATGATTGCCTCGTGCTCAGGAGCAGGCAGATAATAGAGGATATGAAAACAATCGGGAAGACAAACGGAAGGGTTCCGATGCAGAGCATGAGGAAGAATAGGTTGTATATGCTAGTAGCGTTGATCCGAAGAGTTGCTTCGTGTGAGGGCGTGTACATGTCGTCGATTTCCGCGTAGTCGCAGAACGGACACCGAACGAGCGGTAGCTTCGAGGCGAGGAGACTGTGTTCTGCAAGCCGTCGGTCCAGCTTGTGTAGAATCTCAGCGCCCATCTTTTCCTCCTCCATCGCGCGGCGGATGTGCTCAGCGGGGATGTGGCCAGGGCACCCATCACCGTCCACAGACAAGCACTTGAGAGTTCCCGTCTCGGGGTTGATGCTGCTGTTCCAGCCCTGGCCGAAGATGGCTTCCTTGATAGAGTGCTGCACGCAGCGAAAGCAGATCATGTGGCCGTCCCGGTTGCAGTGCGTGAACTCCTCAAAGGCCGCCGAGATGAAGCAACACACACACTCGTGCGTGGCCTCTGCTTCTTCTGCCTCCTCGTTGTTGAGCAAAAACGCCAACCCTCGATCCTTTGTTTCCCTCTGTTCTCGATCTCGTTCCTTCAGGGGCACCACCAGCGTTTTGTACAGTTCACGGTCTAGCTCAGGGCTACCCGTCGCGCGGATCGTCGGTATGATGGACCCACGGCCGGTCGACCGCCATGATACCAGTGGGTGGTTCTCTGCCTCGCCCGTAGCGATGGGCTTTCGTCGGAAGAAGAGGGAGGATATCGTAAAACGCCATGATTTCGAGGACAGCGTCACAAGGGTTCGTCGAGCTTCGAGGTAGGAATAGTTGAATTCCGCGAGCACGGCGTTGATGGTCGATCGTGACAGGCCCTTGAACTCGTGCCACGCCAGCGTCTGGACCGCCTTCTTGTACTCCTTGCTCCGGAAGACCTCTGTCTTGGGCACCGCCTCTCCCTGCGCGTCCTTGTCGACCCTCCACCGCCCCTTGACCCAAGTGGCGCGGTTCTTCAGCAGCGCATCGGCGACCAGCGCGAGACGCGACTCGCCATCGAAGTTGGACAGCAGCTCGCGGAAGACCTCGATCTGGATGTCGGGGAAGATGGCGGCGAGCGCCTCGAGGCTGCTGTTCAGCTCGCGGAGGTCGGGTCGTTCGGGCGGGACGCAGGGCAGCTGCGCCTCTTCGTGGATATACTCTGGCAGCAGGACGCTCTCGACGCTCGCCTTAGACTTCAGAGACGGAGCTCTATCGCCGGAGGTGCGGAGCCCGGGAAATACCATCGCAGATGTTCATCCTCGCGCATGTGAGGCGACGTAGTTGGTAGGTTGCGTGTGTCAGATTAAGTTTAGGCCCTCCACGGCAGATGCGTAGAGGGGTAGTGGGCGCACACAGCACACGTCACCTCCAGAGGAAGGCGTAAAGCCAAGTCGCCAAATCGGGACCAAGACAACTGGCTGGTTGACGTTTGTTATAAGAGTAATTCGAGAATAAATATTTAGGGTCAAGTATTATGCTAAACCATGTTTTGGTGTTCAACCATCACTGACAAGTTATTGGTGACTCAACTCTCCTCACAGTCCGCAGGCAGCTCACATTTAGACAGCGTTGCGACAAGGCCTAATTACGTCACCTCATCCCCAACTAGATTCTCATTTGTTTGTTCTCGTAGTGTAGAGGAAATAAATTTTAGGGTATGAAGATTTAGGTTCTCTCAATAAAAAGTGACGTTGGTCACACGAACGTCATGTCCAGGTCGGACAGGATAGCTCACAACGGTATATCCACGGTTGCTGGGCCTCAGGAAGACGGTGAGGGATGGATGCCCTTACCTACCTACCCAGATAGCCCGGATATAAAGACACTGGAGGACAAAAATAGAGATCTCCTCTGACCTTTGTGCAGTGGAAACGTCCAAAAATGATGGGGCCTGGCCGGGGATTGAACCCGGGACCTGGCACATTTTCTCTGAGAGAATGGGGATGTGTTCCCGAAGCGCCAATCACTTGAAGCATGTTAGGATTGAACCCTGGAGATCGTTCATTTGGTGCAACTTACTACCACTAGACCACCAGGCCGGATGTTGTTGGGAGGGGACTCAATATTGAACATTAAATGGCGCGGCATTCCAGGTATAGTCGGGGCAGTGCAAAGTGGGGTTCTCCAGTGCCCTTTGTTCTAATTACGTATGGAATAGCCCCACCAGACTCACCCTAAGCCCTGTAAGCGCAGGCTTACAGTGGTTTACTCCTGTCGCTACAGCGCCTTCTGGGGCTCCTCGGCGACCACCCTGAGGAATTAGAACATCACCGGCACCCAGATTTCAGAGCTCGGTCTACAGCCTCTTTCTTAGGTCCTAAATAAAATAAAATAAGTAAGTTAAATAAATAAATAAATATTGTGCCAAGGCATAAGCAATTATTTGTCGCTCAAGTTTATTCTTTAAAGCGAGGGAAAAGATCAGGAACAACACCCAAAACGTCCACCTCCCACCTTCCTACAGCCGGATCTATCACGGTACCCCTCTTAGGGTCGACCAGCTCGGCCGGTCAGGGCCCTGGCCAAGAGATTCAATTATGGCGCAACCAGTTTGGGTAAACATTCAAAAGGAAGAAAATCATCTCATCGGGTGCTTTATCTGGTCGGTTGCTGAGGTTGATGTTGGCAAGACATCCAGAATCGACAGTGTTGTCTCGACTGTTGTAAATGGTGCGGACTGGGAATCGACGGCGAGGTGACAATAGGTAATAAAATCTAAGAAAATTTAGGGGAAAATCTGATCTTTGAATCGACTGACAATCTGACAGCGGCGTAAATCACTAACAATCTGGGGAAAAACTCTAAAATAAAGTTATTGTAGAATAAATATAAAAAATTACTCTTATAAGCTTATTAGGATAATAGATAATTATCAGCAGGATTGAGATATGAAGTTATATATGTAAGTAGTAATAGGTGTGTGTGTGAATAGCATACTCATGCTTAATGCTATGCCTCTGGGTGGTCCATCCTCTCGCGAGAACGACTATCTATGAAAGTGCTACTACAGGATAACCACGCTGTCTCGATTTAGAAAACGAACTCGTGGGCCGTCTACTTGATCTCAAAAAATGACTTCGTGTTTTAACTGCTATGCTCGTATTATTGAATAGTAAATGCGGTAAGATATAAATGCTATCAATCACATTCTGTGCAATGGTACTCAAGATGAACTGGCATGTCGCCGTATCCATCTCTGCGTCTGGATTACGACAAAAGAAAATCAGCCTGAGTATTTCTTAATACCAGCCAGGCCCAGCTTGATACACAGCAACAATATGGCCATCTTGGGATTTTGGGTATTAAATGACGGCCATACCCTACGACCGAACCGCGTCTTCCCTGCCATCAAGCCAGCTTGTACAGTGAATGCAACGCGCAGCCTGTTCTACGTCAGCATACGGCTCGAAGTATATCTTTGTTTGCATACCTTCTCATTGATTCTTTGTCTGCAGTACTTGCACTTCTTTGTGTGCTTGATAATTGGATCATGCGACACCATGGTGTAAAAGTGCGCCAGTCCGTAGAGTGCGAATCCAAGCATGCAAAAAGATATCACATGGTTGATAAATGACCTGTCACCGTCAGAACTGAAATGTAATTCTTTATGAAGCGTTTGGTATTCACCCGTACGCCATGACGACTGCGCCGTCATCTTGGGCCTGATGAAGCGTGTTGTACCCAGTGGTGGTATTGAAGTTGGGTCCCTTTTGTAGCACGGCAAACTTCTCCTCCATATTCTTGTTGATGGGCAAGATAACGGAGATGGGCGGCATCAGCACATCGCTGACAAAAGACTTGACCAAGTCGGTGAAGGCGGCCGCGAGACTGCGATGTCAGTCAGAATTACCCACGATAGCATCAGTCATGACGTACATGAGACCAAAGGCAATCTGCAAAATGTTTCCCTGAAAGGCAAAGTCGATAAATCCATCCCAGAAGCGCTTCACCTTTCGCTGGCCCCTATCCAGGAGCGAGTCGGACTCGCTGGAGCCGCTCTCCTCGTCGGGAAGCGCACCGGGCATGGTGCGGTAGTTTGGTTCGGGGCGTGTTGGTCTTCCAAAGGCCCGCAGCAGCGTGGCGCGAGAACTCGACCACATGAATTTTTGAGAAGCGTAGTTAGGATGTTTTTGAGATGCTTGTTTTTAGGATCCTTGGGCGTAGTTTGTCGCGGGAGTGGGATGCCTGCACCGTTAAGTTACATCCCATGTAAGCGCATCTGGCGACCCTGGTCACAGCTATGACGCAACTGGCGCCGTTGTTGGCTTGGTGCGCTGCCAGACGCTGTCACGCTGCGGAAGAATGCAGCGGCGATCGTCTTGTGACCATTCCAAATGTGGAAGTACGGAAGACGAAAATGATTATGAAGGTAACGGCACTTGATGTATTTTATTTCAATAAGCTTGGAGGAGAAGCGACACAGCCTGAGCGTAGATGATAGTACTGAGTAGACGACTGTAAATGCATGCGGCGCCTGAGCGGCACTGAGCGTGTTTGTACAAGACCCGACACAAAACAACGATATGTCAACGAAATGCGATCTGCGCCCGCATCACGCCTAACCGCCACCGACATATTTTCTCTGGATTGGACGCAGTCTCGCGTTGTAATTGCCAGCAGGCTCTGGCATGGGCCAAGGACTGAAACTCAGCTGCAAAGCTGAGAGTGAATGATAATGTGGCGTGCCGGGATCGAATATGACTAGCAACCAGGGAAACCTTCGGGACCGCGTTGGAACGTTGTTGATGGGCCGCTGTTACAGCTGCAGTGCAGCCGCTAGGGTAACAGCTAGGCAGGTTGTTGTATTGTATAAATGGCTAGGTACTTAAGTTATTTAGCATTTATTAGACTCATGTATGGTTGCTGTAAGGGGGTATTAAAAAGTAACCCAAGGCTGGTCACCGCTGACCATGTCATTGTGAAGGTCAGTAAGATACTCCAACAGGGGGCCCTCGACGAAGTCTTCGTCTGCCTCACTGGCAGTGTCGGAGTATTCGCCGTCTTCGCCGTCTTCAGTGTCCACACCCATGTATGAATCGCCGTCTGCATCATGGCCCTTTGACTGAGCTTCACTCCGGGCCACCTCAGTTTTCGCGGTGTCCAGCAAGCCATCGCCCTCCACAAGATGATCGATGATGTCGCCCATGGGAATTCTTAGCAAAGGGTCAAGATTTCGTAACCCGACCACCGCAGAGTTCATATCTTCGATCAAATGGCGCAGCCACTCACTCGAAACTCCGGCCATGCGGGCATGCTTCTGCCGCTGTCGATGAGGCGTGTTTGCGACTGCTGGGTCGTCGATGGTCTCTGACAGCTCTCTTGGAATTTGGGTCTGCCAGGTTGACGGGGTTTCCGCACAGCCTTCCTATACAATGTGGAAGTCTTTTGTCGCATGCCGTATGTTGGCTGAGGTTCAGCTGTGGTGATAGTGTAGTCCAAATTCCCTGTCCTATTTAGGTCTTGGATCCTTCATCCTTATGTTGATGATATTGTCGAGTTTCTGGTTGAGTGAATGTGCAGGGGCGAAGATGATCGAGGGTGAATAATGGCGTTCGTGATCGGTTTCGGTTTATACTATCGTCTGACCTTTCCGGTTGATACGCCCCTCGACTTGCTACGTCTACATGGTGGCCCACGGCTCCCCAAACCTAGCCAGCGTCATCATAAAATCTTGCAGCCATAATTCGTGGTTGAATAAAGCTCTTGTGTCGACACAACAACCACCGGGAAGATGGCGTGAATTTTGTTTCCTGAAAAATCGCTTGTTGAACATGGCATTCTTCCATTCCGTGGCCGATGAAAATCCAAAGGTGAGGCTCTCACAGTTCTGTGCCGGTTGAATCAGGAAGACGTCGGGGAGAGGCATCAGCGAATGCGATTCGGAGTCGTGAGCAAAGGAACCATCATCAGCATCTTCTGGAACTACCCATTCAAAGTAGTTCATGCCGTCTCGAATGGCAAGGAACCGTGAGTTGTTCTGGGTTTTGTTACTTTTTAGAATGTAACAGAGCAAGGAGCCCCAAGCCACCCGGCTCCCCTGGGTATAACTCTCCATTGTACTTCCAGTACGCAGGCGAAGGAACCGGGGCAGCTGGTGCGAGTGGCACGCTCAGCGGCGTATTAGGAGCCGATACCTGGGCCGTAGGATGGGTGCAGGCTGGCTGTGCCTTTATGCCAGTCTCTAGGATCTGCGGTAGTATATTGGACGTATCCGCCATCTTGAAGAGCCGGAGTCTTTCCATGGCCGCAGTTAAAGCCGCATGTTTCTCAGTGACCGACAAATGCCTGTGGTCTCTGACCGGCCCCTTCTGGGGCGTCTTGCCGCTTGGCTGATGGGACGTCCGGTACAGGTACGGGTTCTCCTCGCCGTCTCCGCCCTCGCATAGGTCCATACGCACCGCAGTCCTCTCTGCTTGCTCGAACTCCTCCATCCTGCCGACGTCAGAGAGCTCGTACCCGTTGAACCCTTATTCCCGCTAGTCATACCGGGCGTCGGCTAGAAACCCCGGACATATCTGCTGCGGGCGTTAGCACATCTTGTCCCTCTTTATGCCCGTCGTGTACGCACGCCGTGTTGCTTCTCGAGTCGTCGGATGTGCTTCCGGATGTGCCTGCGAAGGTCCTGTATCCATGCCCGCACCTACAGGGTCAGTACTTGGATAGCTGGATCCTCAGGGAGGCTCACCATCGGCCGATCTTTTTCCTTCACTTCTCCCATGTGGAGTCGCGCGGGTTGGATTGCGGCCTGGTGGATGTCCTCGCATCTTATCCACTCTTCAGTACAGTCGTATTCGCCATCTTCTCCTTGGGCGCATCGCATACACTGCTCGTCTATGTGTTTTACACATGTCAGTCTGCGCGTATTGTGCCGTCTGCACCTCTAGGAACTGCAGTTGGGTACTCTGCACATCGGCTAGGCAGAGCGATGATATCCTCACGTTAGGGCTAGGGTTAGGCACGTCCCGTAATACTGAGGGGTCCAAGAACTTCGGGGAATCTCTTCCACATTCTCTCACACCAGGGATAAGTCCAGAAGCTCCCTCGACCTTGCCCTCGCTGCTATACTTGATGAAATGTTTCAGGTTTTAGTCTTGAAGATTCCCAATCCAAACCTGAGTTGCAGTCAGGCTGCCAAGTGATGTGGCATTCTGAATTTCTTGTCGAGTGCGATACACTCGCGCAACAATCGGCTTTCCGAGGACGCCACTCGGCGTACCTCTTTCACACCTTGTCGTTGAGGGTAGCCTTTCCGACAATACTTCGTCGTAGGACCCGGCAAATGGACGAGAGGCAAATAGAAGAAGGGCAAATGGAAGAGTGGCACATGGAAGAGTGGTAACATAGGATAGGGTGTTGGTGACTTACCGGAGGCGCTGCCAAGTCTCCTTGTACAGTCTTGGGCCGTCGCATATAATATAAGCCGTCGCTACACTACTCATTAGCGCAGTCTTTATTCCGCTTTTGCTGTAACCGGGAATGCGATATGGGCGGTGGACGTGCTCTGCCGAGCAGGCATTCATACATTAGACCGGGTTGGATGGATGCTGTGCCCCCGTGATGATCGTGCGGAAGAAATCCGGTGATAGTATAGAAGAAACTCAGTGATAGTATATATAAAATCTGGTAGTAGGGTTGACGGTGAAAGAGGGAAGCGTAATTCTCAGATGCCCAGAGATGATATTTATACCCAGAACTCAATAACGGAGGTGTTGAAAACATTCACTGTTTGCAGGCTTGTTTGTCAAACAATCGTTCTCCGGCGGATGAAGAATAGAGTAGCAAACCATCACACTTGCATTAAGGGGTGAGTATGTGACTCATGAAGGTTCCATGGGGCATCGATGTTTCCGGTATGCAGGGCATTGCAAGCCGAAGAGTTTACGAAGCGTGTTTGCTGAAGGAAGTCCCAAGAATTCAGTAACATCTGGAACGATTGCCCTCGTCAATGGGTAGGAAGATGTTTGGTGGAAGAGCTGAGGGACTGATTCTCCTCTAGGACAGCAGTCCCAGAGGGCTATATGTACTGGAACAGCTCCAGTCCTTCCATCAAATACACGGTCGCGTGGCCCAATGGCAAGGCGTCTGACTACGAATCAGGAGATCGTGGGTTCGAGCCCCACCGTGACCTTCGCAATATTCTTTTTTGCTTTTCGTCGCTTTTTATTCCTATCTGTATAGGTGGTTTTATATTTTTGCCTCACGCTAGTATCCTCCTTGAATATATTCTGAGTCAATAAACTGAAATTGTATTATTTTTTTTTTATTTTTATTACTTTTAGAAAATATAAATTTATTATATTTAAATATTATATAAGTTTAAATTATATATTAAAAATATATTTAAGCTAATTATTAAATTATTTTAGAAAATTTATAATAAGAAAAGTAAATAAAATAAAATAATAAAAAGCTAGAAAAAAAGATATATTATAATTAAATACATATATATTATAAAGTAGAACCCTAAAATTCCTGCAATAAGACGCAACTCGCACCAAAAAAAGAAGCCTTGGACCAGTTCTTTAAACTGACAAAAGATAAGGTCACGGTGGGGCTCGAACCCACGATCTCCTGATTCGTAGTCAGACGCCTTGCCATTGGGCCACGCGACCGTTGCTGTTGATTGAAAGAAGTGCTCGTATTTTCCATTCTACAGTGGGCGTCACCTACCGAATTCTCGGCTCCCATTCCAGATACCCTCACAACAGATCTACAAGAGAGATATTACGTTAGATTAATCAATTGAATTCTCAACACACATTTCTTGTTCTTCATATTTACTCTTCCCCATAAATTGAGGGTTTTGACAAACTTCAGCATGTGAGTCTGCTTGAATACTCTTGGACCATAAACGTGGGGGGAACTGGTGTTTCGCATCGCAATCTTCAACCAGGTATACAAACATCATTAAGTACTGTAAGCATGATGTACCCAGTGACTAACATGTTGATTTCACAGACAGACACGTCACCTTACTGTTCTTATCACAAAAACAGGGGAGGTTCAGCAAACAATTTCCTGTACAGGGTAGTCGCAAACCCGCAGGGATGTAACTCTCAACCAGTGAGTCAACTCTACAGGCAAACTCCTTGGCGGCTGGGAAGCATCGTGGATACAATTATTCCTACTGGGTAACTCAGGGATGCTGCAGTCATCGTCGCGAAGCTGGCTGCCAAGGTGCATCGTACTCCGCTATGAAATTGATTCCTGCAGTCACTATCAGCGGCCCACCGAAAAGTCGATGACTCGCCCCTCCGGCGTCGGCGGGGCCCCGATGTTTAAGATGGAGGAAGGCGCGCGAGCTTCAACCGATTGAGCATCCTCAGCCAGCCCGTCACCAATTCAACCCAATTCACACTCTCAAGGGAAACACTCGACGCCGCAATGTCCCCCTTCAACCTCGAGGCCTGCGCCCGCCCCAATATCCTCGCCCTCCAGCCGTACCGCTGCGCGAGAGAGCAAGTTGCCCCTCCCCCGCTCTGATATATGCCCCGCGAAAACCGCGAAAACCACACGGACTGACCAACGGCCACAGCGACTACAAGGACGACGGCACCAACATTCTCCTTGACGCCAACGAGAACGCCTTTGGGCCATCGCTAGGCCCCGATGTTGCCACGACTGCCGGCAGCGGCCTCGACGTCGACTTCCTCGGCCTGCACCGCTATCCCGACCCCCACCAGGCCGATTTGAAGCAGCAGCTTTGCGCCCTGCGCAACACCCACGCCCACACTCCCAAGACGCTCACGCCCAACAACCTCTTCGTGGGAGTCGGCAGCGACGAGGCAATCGACGCCCTGCTGCGCTGCTTCTGCGTGCCCGGCCGCGACCGCATCCTCACCTGCCCGCCCACCTACGGCATGTACGCCGTGTCTGCCCAGGTCAACGACGTCGCCATCGTCAAGGTCCCCCTGCTGCCGGCCCCGACGTTCGCGCTCGATGTCCCGAAGATCCTCGACGCGCTCACCAACGAGGCGAACATCAAGCTTGTGTACGTTTGCTCTCCTGGCAACCCCACCGGCTCGGTCCTCGCAAAGGCGGATGTCGAGCAAATCCTCAACCACCCCACCTGGAACGGCGTCGTGGTCCTCGATGAGGCCTACATCGACTTTGCTCCGGAAGATGCGTCCCTTGCCGAGTGGGTGACGGAGTTCCCCAACCTTGTTGTCATGCAGACCCTGTCGAAGGCTTTTGGCTTGGCTGGCATCCGTCTCGGTGCCGCCTTCTCCTCCCCCCCGATTGCCAGCCTCCTCAACAGTCTCAAAGCCCCCTACAACATCTCCAGTCCTACTAGTGCCCTCGCATCCTACGCCGTCTCCGAGAAAGGCCTGGCAATCATGCATGACAACCGTGCCAAGATTCTTGCCCAGCGTGACCGCATCCTGGCAGAGCTACCGAAGATACCCGGTGTTGGCCGTCTGCGCGGTGGCACCGAGAGTAACTTCCTGCTCTTCGAGATGCTCGACGCGGTGGGCAACCCGGACAACACAACTGCGTTGGCCGTCTACGAGAAACTGGCAGAGTCCAAGGGTGTTGTCGTTCGTTTCCGAGGCAAGGAGCACGGCTGTCTAGGATGCCTGCGTATCACCATTGGTACTGAGAGTGAAGTCACCAGATTCCTAGAATCACTACGGACGTCACTCAATGAGGTGAGAGGCTTGTAGAACACCACAACAGACAAAAGCACTGTAGAAGGGCAGAGACGGAAAACGAGGTAAAACGGCGTTCTAGCATAGATTTAGTTCCTCTAGACATAATCTCGTAAATTATAGAAACAATGGTCAAGGCATGATGCAAATTCTATGTCCCGATTCGCCCTGACGAGGGCCCAGTTTATATGTTATCCAAAATGAAACGCCTCTCTTCGGCAAAGCTCAGTTCGCATGTGCAACCTCTAAAAAAATACAAAACGGAGGGTATCTTTCTTCTTTTATTCCTCATTTATTCCTCAAACCAGTCCAAGGAAGAGCAGGACGGTGCTGACACCCAGCGAGGCAAAGACCAGGTTGCTCCGGGCCATGCTGGCGGCGTCCTCGCTTTCCTCAGCCTTAGTCTCGGTGGCGGAGGGCTGGGACGTGGTGGTGGGTGTGCTTTTGACCTTGACAGTCGGGTGCCATTCGAGATTGCGGATGACCTTGATATCATCACCCTGCAGAGGCGCGGGAGCATCGTCGGTCAGAAGGCCCTGAATGACCTCGAGGGCGCACATCTGCTGGCCGAGGCCCGGGTTGCCGTCGTAGGCGCCAGTGTACCAGCGCTGACCACAGGTTCGACCGGTCTCGCCACCACTACAGGCCTGGGCCGCACCTTCGGCGGAAGGAATCATAAGGGCGTCGACTTTGTCACTGAGCGAGGACACGAGCTGAGTGGACTGGTACATGGAGCGGGCCAAGTAGCCCTTGTGGGTTGACATGTCGACGCTGCATCGGTTGACCTTTTCGCAAGCGGCCTCGTACAGAACGTCGGTGGAGTTTTCGTATGGAGAGAAGAACCAGCCGGCTCCGTCGAAAATATCCTCGGTGCGTTGTTTCCAATTGGCCCGTCCGGTGTAGTTGGCCATCACGGCGGCGCCATACAAGTAGATTCCGCTGGTGTAAGTGAACGAGTACTTGTTGATTTTGGTACAATTATCGGCCGAGCTGGCACCGTCGTAGACGTGGTAGTTATCGGGATCAATAAAGCCGATATCAGATGACCAATTCCAGATATACTCAGCCCAATTGGCGTAGGTCTCGTTGCCAGTTGCACGAGCGAGTCGTGCCGCGAGCTGGAAGAAGCCACCGTTGCTAACGGAGTTCTTATAATCCAATCCGTTCGGGTTCGTACTGAATATTTGCCATCTTAGACCACCATTACAGTCTGTTGTATCCCATCTACCGACGAGTTGGTTGAAGACATTGGCTCCGATATCGAGCCAGGATGGGAGGTCTTTGTTGGGTTGCGGAAAGTTGCGCTCGGCGGCAGAGAGGACGGCGGAGCCCCAGAAAAAAAGGTCGTCGTTTCCTTCCTCGTCGGCGTGTTCGGCAGGCATATAATCTTCGCCAGTGCCAAGGTTGGTTGGGGCGAGGAGGGCTTGGATAATTACGTCGTTGTAGCTGGGGTCGTTGGTGAGGTGGTAGTAGTCTAGCATGGTTCCCCAGAGCGCGCCTGCCACCCACCAGTAATAAGGATCCTGGAGGTCACCGACATCCTGACCTAGTCAGCGGTGTCCTATTGAAGAATGAATAGGGGCTGCCTTACCTTGGCAACCTTGGAGGTGTTGCCGCTGTAGTACGACATGGTGTCGTACGCCAAGCTGGCTGCGACATCGCGGATGGAGTCTGTAGCCTCTTGTAAGCGCAAGCACTAATAAAACGATCTGGGCGATGACTTACCAGGATCTGAGATGTTCAGACTTGAAGGGAGCGTTTTAGTCGCGGCAGCCGAGGCTGCGGCGACAACAGGTAGCCACTTCATCGTATTGATCTGGTATCGAATGATGGTGGATGTGTGTGAGTTTTGTCGCACAGCGACTTGAGGTTCAAAATATCACCCAGCAGACGTGGGCGAGAAGGCGTGGGCCGCAATCGGCGAGGATAACGATTGAGAGGTTGAGAGAATGAAGAGTTAGTTGAGTGAATGAGGTTGTGATTGAGTCGGAGGCTAGTGGTCGATGACGAGATGAGTGAGGTGAGGTGAAGGAAGGTGCGGGTGTACAGATGCGGCAAGAACGAGTGTGAAGCTTATTCACGACAACAAAACAACACCACAGAACGGGACAGTGAGCGCATATAAGAACAAATAAAGAGCAATGGACCCTGCCACTGTCAGACGGAAGCGAAAGGCTTAGCCAGGCCCCAAGGTATGAAAAAGTAAAGCCAAGAGGGTCCGGGCCTGGGTCCGCGCAAGATAAGACTGAGGATGAATACGAGGCCAAGGGACTGGCTCGTGAAGGAAATAAGCTGGAGGCGGGCTTGAGGACCAGACGGCAGTGGCCCGAGAGTGCGCTGGCGCCGCTGGGCTATTAATATCGGGCACATCTCAGTCGTCCTGCCCCAAAGCGGACATGGTCGAGTGGGTTGACAAGCCCGAGCTGAGGGAGCCCTGGAGCGAGGGAGCCATGCGGGCGTGAATCCATGAACCACCGAGGAAGCCTTTTTGGCAGACGGAACGCCCAGGAACAAGGCGCAAAAGCCAGGAACAAGCGTTGCCCCCCGCATTGCATGAGCTGGAGGCTTGAGGGGTCGCTCCATCGACTGGCTGAGCTCTGAAACCCATTCCCCAGCCGGGCCCACGATCCATCGTCCGTCGTCCAACGAATGCCGCGAAACGAGCCCACGGTTGGTCGCCCGAGTGTTTCGCCTGGCCGCGCGCCAACAAACACGCAAGATGCAAACAGAAGCCGCCCCTGTCTATCATCAATTTCATCCGCCGTCAAGCCACACCGACTGGCGAGCAGCCCGCCGCCAGAGAACGCCTGGCGGGCTTGTCTGGCGACTAGCGCGCATTAGCAAACCAACGCCCAGAGGCTTGGGAGCGAGAAGACGAGGAGAGGAACGGCCGATCCAGGGATCCCAGAACTCCCCCAGGCCACCGGCCCACCAGCCCAAGCCTTAGTCCCTAGGGCTGGAGCAGAAAGGTGCCAGGTAGAGTGAGAGCCGTATCGTGTTGATCGCCACCGCTACGCCCTCTCACTGGCTGCCGGGGTTCCGTCCTCTCTCCAGCTCGCGCCTGTTGGCCAGCCTGGGCTCCATCTCAAGGCGTCAAAGTCGGAATCCTGGGAGGCTTGGAGAGGATCCCACGATCCCCGCCCGTCAAGGATTGTACTGTGTATCCAGTTTTACCCATGGCCCTCGATTTTGCCGGCTCTCGCTGTTGGATACCAGCTCCAATGTGTTTTCTAGTCGCACACACACTCACAGAGCAGAGCCGCTGCGGGACGGGATGAAACATGAAACCTGCCGCAGGTTAGTTGATCATCTCAGGGGCGCCATGAAAAAGGGGTCGTCGCGCCAAATCCCTTGCTTGGGCTTGATCGTCTCCCACCTTGGGCGTTGCCGTGTTTCCGCTTTCGGTTCTGTGCCTTTTTGGGCCATTTCTTTCGACTTGGAGGGTGTCATGCAAATGTGCCTTGCCCACAGGAGGGAGACCCGCTGAGTCAGACACGTGGAATCGGCCGCCATGGATGACAAGGGGTTTATCACACAGGCGAAGCATTTGGCGGGCCAAAACATGCGAACTTGAGCTCACAGCAGCTTCAGCTTGGCGGCCACGAACTGGTTCTAGGCCCTCGGTCTGCCCTGTGCCGGAGCGCCCAGTCCCCCAGTCCCCCGCTCACAGTATCCAGTGATATCGAGTGCGCCGCCAGGGATGCTCGCTGCTTACCCGATCACGCCTGTGCTAACGGCTTCAAGAAAGACGCAATGGGGCTGGCTGTCAGCCAAGCACGATGTGAGACAGGGAAAGACAAAAAGCTACCCAGAAAAAAAAAAGGGAAAAAAAGACGCCAGAGATGGCCAAGAGCAACCGGAAGTCTCCCTACGGATACCTGTGCGAGAGGACATCGCCAAGTTTGTCTTGTCCAGGTCCCATGTACATCTTGGGCAAACACTACACACATTATTCGTATTGTCCCCAGTACCAAGGGCCCCCCTCACTCTGGTCTCGTATGCGTATAGCAGATGGGCTGCAGCTCTTTCGGTTGTCTTCGTATCTCGAACCGAGCTGAACAACACCTCTTGCTTAGCCCACCCGCAACCTCTTCCCGTTTGCCCCCGCATCATTCCTGTCCATGTTCTACGCTTCGCCTGAAAGCCGCATTCTGAATCATCTTTCGTCAGCCCATGCGTCTCTTTCTGTCCCACCTTGACCGCCCTCCTACGTGTACACTACGGCGCCTTATTGGCCTTGCATCACGCACCTCTCAATTGGGTTCTCTGCATTCGAGGTGCATGCGTCAATAAGCCAAAGCGACTTTCTACATTCGGTTGGCTAGTGAATGTGCGAGCTCCTTATCATATCACCTGCCAACCTAGAGGGTTCGTGATGCACGACTGCTTCCGATATTGCCGGTTTATTGCATGATGTAGTCTTATCCTACCCATTGCATCGTCTAAGAGCGATGTTTAGGTTCTCCACGGTCGATGGACGAGGAGGTGTATTCCGAGATCTTTGCTATTCCTGCAGCATGCACGCACGATAAACTTGACTGCCTCGAATACTCAATCTCGAAGATCTCAGCAAAGCAACGAGCAAAGAAGAAGTCCAGTAGGAATACTATCGTAAGTACCTAAAAGAATGGATTTAATAGTGCATACTATGTAGTCTAATAAACGATCTTGCATCTGCAATCGGGATTTGCCGTTGTTCGATCTCCTTTCTCAAACTCATCGCCTACCGGCATCTTCAAATGTGAAATGCGTAGGGTTCCGACAAGTGGCGGCGCCGAACATCATATGGCAAAGACACGTTTCGTTTTTTCAAAGACATCACATAAGCCTCGTTCGGTTACTATCTTCTATCCTTTCGCGGATTGCGCGTTCATTTCTCATCCATTCCCACGTCCATGCCTATGCCTATGCCGAAAAACGCCCTGCAAAAGCCCTCATCTGCGACACCAATGCCGATACCAACAAGAGTATGTTAAAACCCAGACCCGAACGTAGAAGTAGGCTGGACATAATTTTCTTGAACCTGGCTAGGCAATATGAGAAAATCCTTGTGAACTTTTCATCCAGCTGTCCATCCTCCCTTTCTATACATGGCCTCACATGTGTACATTCCCGAGAAAAACAGATTTTGTGTTCCGTCAATATCCTTTACTCCAATAGCCCCGACCTCCCATGGTATCTCGAGTCCCGAAAATGAAATCGCTTTGTATAGTCGTCGTGTGTGTAATCACTCCACATGATCTCCGCCCGACCGTCGTTGTGGTCTTAAAATAGGAGCCTCGCCAAGATGGCGCTCCCCAACGCCCCAAGAATTGCTCTTCTTCCATCGATCATTAAATTTGCACCAGCAGCTTCGTCTCCAGTTGACAAAGGGACCTCCACATAGCCGGAAACTGTCGTGGGCGTCATCATGGCAGTTGCTGTGACATCCCATGAGTCGTCCGTCTCCTTGGGCGCCTCGGCCATGGTCAAGACACCCCATTCCACCTCGGTCCCGGAGAAGGTTGATGTCCACGATACTTCCGTCGGACCTGCGTATAGGCCATTGGTGTATCCGGCTTTATAGCTTGAGTAGCCTGAACATGTCGCTGCGGTTGTCCCATCGAGAGTGCATTCGAGATTTGCGATGCTGAGAAAATGTTAGCACGGAGGACCAAACGCTCACTGGTGGGAAGACCTACTATGTAGATGTGTATGTGCCGTGAAATTCTACCGTGTCAGGGCCTTCAACCAGTTCGAAGGGGAACTCGAGTGAGATATCGCAGGCGGGTGGGTTATCGTCAGGACAGAAGATGGTGTAAGTGGTTTGTTGTATGTGGGGATTCTGATGCACACGTCTTTAGCGCCATGCACTTAACTGCAAAGACGGGGAAGAACTGGGATCGCCTACGCTTGAAATGACGCTGCCTCGCACCAGAGACCATGCTTCCTGATTGTAGTAAGGAAGGTAGATTGGTGCAGTGGTGACGGCAGGGTCCTCGTTATTGTCGGCGGATGCTACCGCACACAGAGCTAGCAGGGCCAGCAGTGGCTGCGGGAAACGCATGCGGCACATGGATGGGGTTCGCATGGATTATTAACGCCAACTGGTGGTGTCGAATGGCAGACCAGAAAACCACGGATACCAGCAGGATGGAATCACGGGGTAATTCGAATACGAAGACCGTCTCGGATGGGTGACCACGCGCCTGGAAGATGGCGATGGGGTGGAGAGACTCGGGAGATGATGGTGTGCGACATGACCCAACGACAGAACCGACAAAGACCAAAACCAAGCAACGAGGACTCAAGGGCGAAGGCACGAGCTTATGAGCTTCGGATGGCAGAATCCACGGCCGTCAACCCGGGAAATGGGGCCAGCACCAAGCCGGGGGTTGTTGTGCCGTGCGCCGCGGAGACGCAACGCCAAGGTCTGGGCGACTCTTCTGGTCATCCAGATGGTGATCCGGCTCTCGCCCTTTTGGCCAGGACGGGATAGGAGAGGTCAATAGGCGGACCGGGCCAAGCTGGCTCGAGTCGGCTGAGTAGGCGCCAAGCCCTGTCTGGGCCGTGAAGCGTGCTGGCGTATCATTACTCCGAGCGCCAAGACCTAGCACAACGGCCAAGAATGGCGCCAGTTCCTTGCGGGCTTGGTGACGATGCGCGACGTTTGTGGTAGAAGGCGAAAAAAAAGAAAGCAAAAGGGACGAGCATAACTCCTTCTCTTGGTTTCGCTCGTTCCTTGGCTCTTGGCTCTTGGCTCTAGGCTCTTGGCTTGCCTCATTGCGCCCGATTACACTCCCTTCTCTCGCCTAACTTCGCTCGCCCACATCCGGGATTCGTCGTGAGAAAATCTCACTACAAAGTTGATGTCCCGAGCGGGTCGGGAACTGTTCGAGCACTAATTACTGAGAACGGAGTATGGAAAAAGGACCGACGATTCCCGGCCCCACCACAAAGATCCGGTCCGAACTCTTTGAAGAATCTCTTTCATCGAAACTCAACTATAGAGTAAAGCAACTTTCTCATCGTAACGCCATGATTACCCCCGGGCTATGATATCTCTCGTTCCAAAAACAAATTCGTGAACCGCCAGGTCGGCTTCGCACCGGCCCCTAGAGGGGTTCTTTTTTAATCAGGACTATGTCCTCCTTCTCCTCCTCTCCCTCCTTCTCCTCCTCTTCCTCTTCCTCCTCCACCTCCTCCTCCTCCTTGACCTCCTCCTTGGTCTCCTCCTTAGCCTCCTCCTTGGCCTCCTCTCGACGAGGGGACGCCGAGCGTCGGCGGACGGGCTTGGGACAGTTTCGGGCAATATGCCCATGTTCACCGCACTACATTCTATTAGTTTTATAGTTCCACATAAACAGGACATGATATACCAACACGGTAGCACTTCCGGCCCCGGCAGAGGCCGGGGCCATCGCCACCATCGCCACCACCACGGCCACCACGACGGAGGGCGCCGATCCCCCACACCAAGTCTCGGACACTCTGGGACGAGGACACCATCTATATACTAGTTAGTATTTATAAATCCCTATGCTTGAATGTTACGCTCAGACTGCTATAACTTACATTTGCGGTGGGTTATCGTTTTGTATATGCGGTGGACTGTCCGTCCGTTGGTATGTGCGGTGGACTGTCGCTTTGTTGTGCGGTTGACTTTCGGTTTGTATGTGCGGTGGGCCGTCGCTTTGTATGTGCGGTGGTCTGTCACTTTGTATGTGCGATGAACTATCGCTTGGTATATACGGTGGACTGTCGCTTGGCGTGTACGGTTGACTATCGCTCGGTATGAGAGAGAGAAAAGAGAGGAAGGAGAGGAAGGTTGGGAGACAAGTGATCTAACTTGTACGTTACGTTGCCTCAGGCGCCTAGTCTCGCTCTTGAGGCGCGTCGACGCGGTATACCTACCCAATAGCATCGCGCCTTGAGTTGACTGGCAGCTGTTGCCAGACGTCGTTACCTGGAAGCTTTCAAACACTCCACCACGCACATACATTTTGCCCCCGTATAAGTTTAAAGTGACCTTCAGAGGAAAGTGACTCAGACCCAGGCAAGCTGGGCTGGGGGCGATAGAAACCAAACCACTCTCAACCCAACACTTGCTTCATCCGAGAAGATGTTAACGGCACACAAGGGGCCCCCATGATTGAAATGGCAACACATGCAACGGCAAATTGAAATGGAGCAAACGGTCACTTCACCTCCCACTCAACTCGATATCAGAGCAAATATCTTTACTTAACTTATCAGTAAAGAGAATTTAATAACCTGTGTAGATAGTCTATATTAATAATATACAAAACCCCTGCGGATTGGCTCTGTTCCTATCGTCAAGAAACAGACCGCATCCGAAAATGGCTAACGCAATCCTTTGGTTTCTATCCAGGCGTTCTGGGTGGTGTGGTGAGAGGTCTAGGAGGTTCCTTTCTCTAAGGAATTTTAGATGGTTATCCAGCTTGCGTCTTTCCCTTTCGTCTCGAAGATTCCAATGGAATCCTGTGCTGTGCCGGAATCCAGATTCGTATCCCTGATGCGCAGGGATATATGTAACAAGGGCCTTGCGATTGATGGCAGTCGACATGGTGACAAGTTATTCAGATGAAATTTATTGAGATGGGATGAGTGTCAGAAGGGAAGTTGGTCCCTTGACGATGGGAGACGTCTCCCTTATATCCTATTGCTCGGAATAAGGTTACTATCTCAAGGTTGTTGACTGCAGACAGCAAGGTCGTTGACTGCAGACAATAGGGTTGAAGTCAGAGGGGTTGAATGGAAGCTTCAGGCAGAGACCGGTGGGCAACAACCTTATTGTTCAGCTACTGTTTCTTCTGGTGCTGGGTGTAGCCCTTATTGTTTATTCCTACTGTTTGAGATTACTGTATGGTTTTGATCTATCTGATGATATTGAGTAAGACTACAAAAAAAAACCAAATAATATACAAAACCAACTCATATGGAATAGACTATAGTAACTTTTTTAGTAATAGTGGTTTCTTCTAACTTACTGTGCGACTCGCTTGTGCAACTGGCAACAAGATTTACGCCAATTGGGCTGAGTATATGCAGAATTGGCTATCTGATATCGGCTCTATGATAGGAAGGATATGCTTGTGAGTGGAAGTTCGGCCAAGAGTAGTGGATGACTCTGGCCGTTCTTATCCCCTAAGCAGATGGTGTTTAATTGTAATTGCGCATGGGAGCGGCATAGACGACAGACGAGGACAAGCACAGCCATGGGTTGGACATCCAATCTCATCGCTCGTACGATCCCCACCCACATCGGACTGGCTCTTGCATGCATCGATCTGGTCCGTGATTTATTTCCTCCGATATGACCTGCAACCGAAACCGAAACGATTCGCTGAGAAGCGCTGGGATACGTCTCCTATCCAGCTTCCCGGGACGTCGTCGTCACCTATGCTCAACCCTGTCTTGGCGACAACATTTATGACCTGCTGGGAATAGCACAATGTACAATCGAGTGCATCTAAAAGCCTGTCGCTCTCGTCAATTCTCCAAATGTCCCGTTGAGCTCACGATGCACATGTCATTCGACTAACAACCAGACTAAGGCAGTGCATCGGAATCGTGCCGCCGCCACACCCGCTGCCATCACCAAGTCTGTCACCCAAGCATCGCGCCTCCAGACGCCGTACCCGCATTTGCATGTGCCTAACTCTCCACCATATCTCCATGATTCTGCCCGAAGGACCCCCTGGGATCCCTGTATGATCCTCGCTGGCACCTGAAGTTAGCCGAATCATGGATCTCTTGTCTCCTCCAGCGCCAACACTCGAACTTCAACGGCAACATTTGCCTCCGTGAAAGCTGGGGCAGTGTGCCTGCAAAAGGCCCCTGACTAGCTGCTACGTTAGGCCAAAAATGTGAATCATTTACGGAGGCAGCGTCACTAGCACCGCGCTACGCCTCCGGAGAAGGCTTATCCTGGCATGAATTCGAGGCCTTGTTGCACAGAGAATCAACGGCACAGGTTTTTCAACGAGTTGGAATAATCTAAAACTGCTCCAGATGTACCGCCTATTGATGTTGTAAAGTAGAAGCAAATCAAAAGGTTCCATTTTTAACCAATACAGCATCAGCCAGGCAAGGGCAATGCCCCTGTCTGCGAAGTTGATTCACCCCTGACAGACATTTCCTTGTTAAACCCGAAAGAAGAAATGGCCGAGTTTGGCCCTTGTCCCGCTCTGGAACCTCCTGGTAAACCGTCTCATTACGGTAGCGCCAGTTCCTGCATGAGAATACTCCGTGCTTCAAAAAGGATAGCCAGCCCTCTTCACCTTTGTGTCTTGTTTTTGCTCAACCCGTCAACGCTCTCGCCGACCCTATACACTCGTTACCACAACACACTCGCTTGATAATCCGAAATGGCCCGCTCTCTCGCCCTTCTCGCCGTGACTGGCGTCGCCGCCGTTATTGCCCAGTCCACCACTGTCAACGTCTTCTTGCCCATGTACGATGCGCAGGACCTCGAGGCCTCAATTGTCGCTGCCGATTCTGCGAAGACAACCTTTGCCGTCAACTGCCCAAAAGACGCCGACTCGAACGATTGCGGCATAACCGAGGCGCAGACCTTCATCTACGGCCCGTCGACCTTCTACATGTCATCCTCCTACTCCGACTCCGTGTACGGCTCATAGTACGTGCCTCTGAGACTCCCCAGCATGCCACATTTTACCCGGCGCGTGCCGGAATGGACACCGATCCTAGTATGTAAATATTTGCTAACAAAGACTTTTCTGCAGCGTCCAAGAGATCACTTGCCAGTTTGAACCCAAGAAGGACTTGGCGACCTGCGCCGTGAGCGTTGTGGAGGATGTGGACTCGTCGACCTTCGCGTCGACCAGCAGCATCATCACCTCCGGCTATCTTGATATGCTGATTCCTGTCACCGTCACCGCTGGTGCCAACAAGCTCGTCGACAGCGAGACAGCCAGCGAGACTGGCAGCGAGACCACCGCCGCCGCTCCAGCCTCCACCACCGGCTCCACCGCCGCCGCGACTGGCTCCGCTTCCGGCTCCGAGTCTACCTCTGCCTCCGGCTCCGACTCGGCTGCTTCTACCCCTACTGCGTCCGACAACGCTGCCGGTGCCATGGTCACCCAGAACGCCGTCCTGGCTGGTGCTGCTGTCTTGGTTGGTGGTGCTCTGCTGCTATAAATGGTTGCTGCGCCAGCTTAGGATTGTTCATGAGATGTCCTGGAAGATTTGGATATACACTGCGCTATAGCGCTTAATAAATGATTCCGGCCCAGTCTGATTGCCTTAATCTATTGCGATGTGATGGGGTTTGGTGATTTGAGTAGAGTGCTATGCTTGATCATTTTGCCAGGATTACAAAAATCCCAGTTCTCTCGAGCTCCTTGATGTTGGGAGCAGCGCACGAACCGCGACTGGGAAGTTGCCGCCTGTTTCGGGGAACGTGTCTGCAGGTGCGCAGACATTCCTCATTATTGACAATGATCACATGGAACATCTTCGCTGCCTCGCCCACTCGTCTTGAGTCCCCATTCTCCATCGCGATGTAGGTCAGTGAGGTGTCATTCGGATTCTTCTTGGTCCTACCGTCACCTTATCTTATACAGTGGTGCAACGGAAAATCCTATTGTCCTCCACGTCGACTTGAGAATGCAGCAGCCCTCTCTCTCTCCAAAATATAAATCTCCTCTGGTTGCCCAGATCCTTGTTATACTTGGCAAGTTACTCAAGAAACTGGCTCTTGTCAGAGGGCTTCCCGTTTTCATTCTTGGGCATGTCATCCATAGGATCCTCGACTGACACGTCTCCCGTGTACATGGAAATACTGCTGGCATGTAGGCGGCTTTGGAAAGATCCCATAACGAGGCGGGGGTACCACCTTTGGCGCCGTTTTGTAGTCCAGTCTTTCCGGTTTGAAGGGAGCCGTCGCAAATTTGGAGGCGAATTCGTTCTCATATATGGTTAGTTAAAATGCATACACCCCTTTAGTATTTACTTATCAGCTCAGCAAGCTTGGTGTTCTTGACCTTCATGACGGCAGGCCCAGTTCGGAGACCCGTATCCACTCCTCTCACATCCAGTCTTAGGCTCCAATTGGGAGAGTCAGCATCATCCAAGAGCGGGTCATCCGCTTCACAACTGGACGGCTTCCGTAGCTCAGTTGGTTAGAGCATCGTACTAATACTTCAATTGCCAGTGTTGGTAATGCGAGGGTCGCAGGTTCAAGCCCTGCCGGGAGCAATAGACTCTTGATGCCATCCAGTTTCTTTTTTGATCTTTTTGCGTATTGTGTGACGATTCGTTGCTTTCTTTTTGCCAGTGTTGGCGCTGGACTGGGTGGGTGGATTGCGTGGTCGATGCATTTTGTACGCCTGGGCGCCCGCATGTAGTAATATTGGATGCATTATTTGCTGTAAGTATGCCTGGACCGTGATGCAGACAGTGAGTCAACCAGCAGTGGTAACTGAAGGTGGCAACCTTAAGACGGGATTGTCCTGAATGCAATCAATGGCTGACTCAAACAGGCAGCAGAAAACGAGGATGATGTTGCTAATATCTCCGAGCCTTGTTGCACAACCACAAAGTATTCGCGCCATGCATGCCTGTATTTCCCACTTCTTTGGATGGATCTTATAACACTAGAGTTGACCTTGTTTGGTTGGCTAAGCGGATCGTCGCGACAACCGAGGTGTGGTTGGCAATGTGCCGGAGCATCTGCACTGTCACGCTTTGGGAGCCTGCAAGTCATTGTCTCGGACATGACGCACCCTTCAGCTCAGGTTGTACTGAGACATGCCTACTGACTCAGTGACTCAATAACCGACTGACCGTGCATGAGCATACATTCTCCGGCTGAAGGGATGAGACAACCGGGCAGATCAGTCAAGGAGCTGGGATCCCCGGCTTTGGACGGAGCAGATCTTCTGGTGGAGGGATCGTGATGATGGCCGGGACACAACAACGGGAAGACACGCAGAGACGGTCTCGATCCTGGTTTACAGCCGATGCGATTCGGGTATCCGGTCCAAGCTCAGCACCGTAAGTACCGCATCGTGCGATCGGGACGCGATACAAACAGGCAAAAGACGCGCATATTCGTGCATCAACACATCCATATGCGGGCCTGTACAAGGCATGCATGTCCGGATCGAGAAGGGGGGAGCCTTGCTCGGATCGTCCCAATCCCAGCAAAGGACAAGGCCAGCAGGCCGGCGATAGGCTTCAAGTCGGCCAGTTGGCAGTCGAGGCGGCCATCTCGCGTTGCATCTTGCATCTCACCTGCGCATCGAAAGCGCAATGCCGTGGAACTGGCTTCGCACCCATCCCATGTGTGTCGGTGCTGGGAAGGCCGCGAGCGATATTGCGTCGCATCCATCTGGCTGCAAGGCGACAATCCATCCGGCTGCAAGGCGACGCACACGGCACGGCCAAGGTCCGTCGAGATGGAATGCGATGTGACCTGCGGGAGAGCGGTGTGATTATGTGATTGTGTGATTGTTCGAGTCTCATCCCGTCAGTTGATCGCCGTCAAATCAAGGCCCGCTGGCTCGGAGCCGGATGCCAGTCCACAGGTCATTTGGGAGCCACCCGGACCCCCCGCACGCCATGTTCGGGGCCATGACGTCGCTGTGCGCCTTCGCCGGACCCCTCTGAAGCTCAGTTTGGGGAGGGGGGCGCTGTGAGTGGACGGCGGGCGCTGGAACCGCAGCGAGTCCGCAGCGAGTCTACAGGGAGGGGCCGGCCACCACGTGAGACCTGGCCTCCCATGCTTGGGCTGGGGAACAGCGGCTTGCCCCTCCACGGCGGCTGTGTCGGCGGGGGAGGGGTGCTAGTGGCCAGGGCCTTCAGGGTTCGTGAACCACTGAAACTTCAACCACTGAACAGGATCCTCAGGGCTCCTTTCACCCTTTTAGGGCTGCACTGAAAGTCCGCTATCTGCCGTGCTTTAGCTCTCCAGGGTGCCGCATTAACCTCCATTTCGTCTCGGCTGGCCCTAACTCCTGCTCGATATGCACTGAACCCTGCATGGTGCGGGTTCCTCCCAGAATCCCAGAAAACAACAACAAACCATCCGTCATCCAGGCTTCTTTTCGTCTTCTTCCCGCAACCCCTGTGCCTATCAGCACATTGTACGGGGCGCCGGCGCTGGACAGATTCGAGGGCCCCCATCATGAGTATGCCTCATCGCCGCCTATGATCGATTCTGTTGTTCGTTGCTCAACCCGTTGCTCAACCCGCCGCCGTTGCTCACTCGCCTTGCCGTTTCCGTTTCCCTCTCCGTTGCCCCGTTCTCCTCGAGCCATGTGGATGCGATAAACACACTGTCCCGTCTTGTTGCTCCAGCTGAAGATCATCTCTCTCATCTACTATAGCGCCGTAGCGCCACCGCCGTTGCCCGCTGGTGAACCCCGAAGCCTGAAGCTTGAAGCCTGAAGGGAAGAAACCCTGGTCCGGACCCCTCCTCCACCCGACGCCATCCCGACTCGAAGCCTCGTCCTCCCGCACACCCTAACTTTGCCGGCACCCTTTTCTTTTTCTACGTCTGCTGTTTTTTCTTGCTTCTTTCGTTTCTTCATCCTCGTCGTCCTTTATTTCCTCCCGCTGGCGTCCCCCTCCCCCCTCCTCCCACCCCCGACGTCGAGGCGGATCAGCGGCCATCATGTCTTCGCTTGAAGCCAAGATCGTCGTCCTCGGCGCACAGGGCGTCGGCAAGACGTCGCTCGTGATGCGATATTGCAAAGGCGCCTTCAACCCGGCCGAGATCACATCCACCGTCGGAGCCAGTTTCCTGACGAAGCGCGTCGTTGATTCCGACTCGGATACCGTCGTGCGTCTCCAGATCTGGGATACAGGTTGGTTGCCTCTTGCTTCCCCGTGTCGCTGACTGACTCGCGAGCACGCACCGGGTCTTCAACACCCGAAGCTGTGCGCGCATGTAACCAACGACGATACTAACCATGTGGAACTTACAGCCGGCCAAGAACGCTTCCGTTCCATCTCCCGACTCTATTACCGCGGCGCCAACGCCTGCATCCTCTGCTACAGCATCACCGACGCCCAGTCCTTCCTCGATATGGGTGTTTGGCTGACCGAGCTGCGCCAAAACCTCCCCCATGACGTCGTGCTCCACGTCGTTGGCACCAAGGCCGACATCGTCGCCCGCGATCCTTCGGCCCGCCAAGTCCCCTTCGAGCGCTGCATCGCATACGTCGCCGAGAATCTCGCCCCCGGCCTCGGCAGCACGCCACCCCCGACGGCCACCCCACTCGCTCCGGCGTCCATGTCCGGCCACCCGGGCTACTCCAACTCCGTCTCCTTCCCCGCCGTCGAACCACGCAGCCCCAGCTCCAAGCGCAGCTCCGGCTTCTGGGCCCAGGAGGTCGGCTGGGACGCCTGCCACGAGATCAGCGCTGAGAACGGCGAAGGTGTCGAGGAGGTCTTCCGTGTCGTCACTCGCAAGCTGGTTGAACAGAACCGCAAGATGCAGCAGGCCCTCCTCATGGCTACGGCCATTCCCGGCAGTCCAGGCTACGAGGTCGGCATGGATGGTGGCTACTTCGACGGCATGAACCAGCGGGGCAGCTTTCGTGTCGGCCGCGACCGCCGTAGCTGGCTCTTCTCTCCAGCCTTCTCCCCCACTGTCACTGTCGACCAAGCCAGCGGCCAGGAGCTGGTGCCGCAGGATCGACAGCAGAAAGAGCGGCGAAAGTGCTGCTGAGGGCTTGATACAGCGGGACGCAACTATACGACAGGGACTCAGGTTCATACGACATAGACCCTGCCAGGTTTACAAGGCAGACCCCCACGATGGATGCATGGGATCTGTAGGGAGCGAGGTCATGACAGGGGACGAATTTGTGTGTTTGCGTGTGTGATACCCGGGTGGCTTTGCTTTGATTTTCTGGTCTTGCTTTTTGCTTTTCGGTCTTCGGCTTTCTTTCGACTCACCCAGGGTCTGGCTTTCTCCTTTTGTTCTTCATCGCTCGGGCTGCGTTGCATCTTCTCTTTACGTTACTGTCACGACGCATCAGGGTTCCATTTGTCACCAGGAGTTTATGGTTATCGGTCGGCTACGGTCATGAAGGGGGGCGGTCGTTCTTCGCGGCATTTCTCAGGAGATATAATTCGGCTTGGTGTGAGCGTCTTTCTCTCACAAGATGATTTCCATTTTTTCCCAGTATGTCTTGGTTTGGCACACTGCATTTGTCTGCTATGTTTCCATTTGCTTTGCTTTAGCTGTCAGAGGCATTGGGTACTGGTAGTGTCTCGGGGTTTCCACCAACAGAGCGCCTGCTACAGCTTGTCCATAGACTAAATTCACTTTGATCCAGACGCGGCTGCCTTCTTCTCTTGCACGGCGTCGTCCACAGTTGGCGGCGCGGGAATGTCCACACCCAGAACTCGGTGTTCAAGTCCCAAGTAGCCATCGCTGACAACGAGGACGTCCAGCTTGCGGGCCTGCCCAGGCTTGGCCTCGGGCAGCTTGATGGTCGTCTTTGATGAAGGGCGCATACCGGGTTCGAGCTTGCGTCCTGGAACGGCAGACCAGCCGACGCGCTTGACTGCAATGACTTCGTCGCGGGCGACATCGGCAACGATGACGAACCAGCCCTCGGATTGCGGCTTGGGGAATTTGGGGGCGTAGATGCGGGCTTCACGCTCAACGAGTGGGTTGAGGCGCTTGAGACCAATCTTCACTGAAAGCGCCGTGGCTTCCTCAATGGAGACTGCCACGTTGGGCAGGACGGACACGGCGCGGGAGAAGCGGCCGGTTTGGCTGGTTGGGACGCCGATTTTCTTGGCGAGCTGGCCGACCTGAGCGTGGTTGAGCGCGCTGATCTTCGCGAGAGCTGTCTTGTCCTTGGAGTCCGCGTCGACGCTGGGGAGGATGGACATGGGAGCGTCGGTTGGCCAGCGGGCGCACTTGATGCACTGCAGCAGGGAGATCATCTGCAGGCAGCTGGAGAGATAGCCCTTTTCAGTGAGGACATCGATGGACGCCTGGATGATACGAATGGCCTGGTCCAACACGCTGGTCTGGTCACCGACGTAATCCGTGATGGGCAGCTCAATACGGGACATGTGCGCCTGGAGGAGCAGGAAGGCCTTCACGTGGGGATCCCACATGGGCAGGCCAAAGGCATGGCCCGGGAAGGGCAGGTTGTCTGACAGCGTGTCGTTGATGAGGTCCTCGTTGTGACGCACAGGGAGTTCGTCGTACTCGGTTGCACGGGACATCCACGAGAGCACGTTGAGGAACGTGCCTTGCGGCTTGGCATGGCGGACCAGGTGTCGGATCGTCTTGTGGGAGAGGTAATAGTAACTCATGATCTTGCCCATTGGGGTTGAGTCCACGTCGCCGTTGGGGAAGACCTCGACGCAGTTGGACTCGGCGAGCTCATCGAGCGACTTGTTGACCATTTCGACCATGAACTCGTTAGCCACCTGCTGCGCAGCGATGCTGTTATGCTCCTCAGCGGAAATCTCCAGCCCGTAGTACGATGGGTTCTTGTGCAGTCTCCTGAAGAAGAATGTCCACGTGAGGTAGTCCAGGGCGTCTTGCTTCGTGAGGATGGTCTCGGCGGAGACTTCGGCGCAAAGATGGTTGTCCAGGACGGTATGCAGAGAGGACTCGACGGGGAAGCCTGTATGAAGGAAGTGCTTGTAAAAGTCCTTCTTGGAGTCCTGGGTGAAAATGCGGGCCACTCCCGAGTTGTCGAACTGCGGGCGTCCTGCTCGTCCAAGCATCTGCAGCACGTCCGTCAGGTCCATGTCCTTGTAAGCTTCAATCTTGGCGTCGTAGAACTGAGTGCCCTTGACAACGACCAAATGCGCGGGAAGGTTGACACCCCACGCGAGGGTGCTGGTGGCCACGAGGATCTGGATTTTGTTATTCAGGAAGAGTTCTTCGGCTAGCTGACGATCCGACTCGACAAGACCTGCATGATGCAAGCCGATGCCAAAGTTGATGGCCTCCTTGAGCGCATCGTCCTTGACTCGGGCAAGGTTGAGCTGGAGGTCATCTTCGTCCATATGCAAGAACCGGCGAGGATTATCCTCCATTCCGCAGAAGTTGATCAGGTCCTTGGCAGTGAGACGGGTCTGTCGTCGGGAAGGCACGAAGACGATGACGGGCTTTTCGGGGCTGTGATTCTTGACGGCCAGGAACGTTGGCCTGTTCATAGACTGCATCAGAGGACAAAATCCCCTGACCTCAGGGAAGCCATCGATGAAGAGCTCCAATGGAACCGGACGGACCGAGTGCTTGAAGTTAAAGAGACCCTCTTTGACACCAAGCCAGTTGCCAAGATCCGTTGCGTTTGCACAAGCTGTCGACATGCCCAGGAGTCGGACGGCGTTCTTGGTCGAGGACGCAATGTAGTTCATGCCTAGACGCATTAGTATTTTCAAATTTGAGGAAGCTGGTCTCGACTCACGAGAAACAATGATTTCCAGAATAGGGCCTCGGTCTCCTGCCAAGAGATGGATTTCATCGATGATGACGAGGCTGACCTGTCGTACATATCCTCTCGTCTGCCATGAACGTGAGATACCGTCCCATTTTTCGGGCGTGGTGATGATGACGTCGGCATCTTGGATTGTGCGAGTATCGGGAGTGTTGTCACCAGTCAACTCGACGAGCTTGAGCCCCAGAGGCCGTGCCAGTCGGGCTCCCCAATCCTTGACTCTTTCGCGAACAAGAGCCTTCATGGGTGCAATGTAAACCACCTTTGACTTGGGTCTGTCACGGAATGCCCACCACATGGCAAGCTCAGCGGCAACAGTCTTTCCACTTCCGGTGGGAGAACCCAGTAGGACGTTGGCAGGGGTGTTGTATAGCGTGTGGAAGATCTGAGTCTGCATGGGGTTGAAGTACTGGAACCGCTTCGCATAAATCTCCTCTAGTCCGGGGTTCTTCAGAGCCGAGATGTGCAGCGGCTGCAGGTTCAGCAACTCTGTGTATACGCTCTCCGTGTCGGGGCGGATGAGATGTTGGAAGGAAACCGGAGTCACCGTCTCTGCTCCTAACCATCTGTCTGAGACGGCACGAACGTAGATCTGCTTCGGCAGAGGATCCGAGAGGGGAATTGTAAAGTTGAGCTCGTGGTCATCGTTCAACTTCCTCCTGTTAAGAATGAAGAACTCATGATGGTAAATCTGAGAAGTTTCAGAGTTCTCAACCCAGATGTAGAACGACTCAGACGTTCCATGGACATGGTCATGCCATCGGAAGTCGGGGATTACATAGAGCTTGATCCTCAAGACATCTCGGTTGAGGGGAGCGATTTCGGCCTCAACGTGCACCGTGGGGAAGTTGGACAGCATCCTGGCAATGTTCTTGCCGGCGCTCTGGTTGTGGACCAAGGCCCCTATTTCTGCCGATTCCATTTCCTTCATGGTCTCAATCGTCAGGTTGTCCTTAGATTCAAGCTGGTTGAGGATAGTCTTGGTGAAATCAAACTGAGCAAGGGGATGCTGGAACGGCCAGATGCGCTTCTCGATCGACTTGGCCAAGGTGAGGAGCACCAGGCATTGATGACCCCATCGCCGGTTCAGAGCAAGCATAAACAGTGCTCGACAGATTCGCCCAGATTGCTGCGCAACGTAATTCATGTCATTTGTCAAAGCGAAGTCTTCGGGTTGTGCCCTCGAGATATAAGACTGAAGCAGAATGTTTGTCTTGGCCTGGGGTGTGTCGATGCCTCCTTCCACATCACAGGGGACAATGTCCTTCCTGAGGTGCGTCAACTCCTTCTCTTCACTGTCTCTGGATTGGATATTGTCGAATTCTCCACTCATACTGATCATCTTCAGAATATCAGCCTCGGTAGCCTGCGGCCGCATCATGGTGTTGAAGACTTGGATGCTGGTATGAAGGATGTAGAACTGGCTAGCAATTCGGCCAATATCCTTGCTGCGAAGCTCCTCAGTCGTTTCATTGAAGATAATCATTTGGCATCGTTGTAGAGTCCTGGCTGCTTGAATAGCCAGCTGGCGTCGCCTCTGAACCAGGGTCGGGTCGTCTCGGATCTCTGACCACTCGATGCCATAGGTCATGGGGCTTCGTTGCATGCGAACAAACAAGTAGGAATATCCGATCCATTGCACCGCGTCAGGGATGGAGGTGACGGTACCCAGTGAAATCTCAGCATTGAGGTTGTCAACCAACTTGGTGGAGAACTTGGACTCAATGGGCTGCTGCTCCGTGATTGCGGTCAGATAGTGCGTGAGCCTATCGTGGGTAGTACAGATCATGCCGATACCAGTGTCTTCAAATTGAGGACGACCTGCACGACCGAAGATCTGGAGCACATCAAGAATACCCAAGTCAACAAATTTACCCTCCTGGGCACTGTAGACTTGAGTTCCCTTGATGACGACCGCAGCAGCTGGCAAGTTGACACCCCAGGCGAGGGTAGCAGTACAGCAAAGAACCTTGAGAACACCTTCGGCGAAGAATCTCTCCATCAGGTTCCTATCGGACCTTGCCATACCCGCGTGATGAATTCCAATTCCCTTGGAAAGCAACTCGCGAATGTCCTTTGATCTTGAAGACTTCATGTCTCGACAAGCCTGCTCATACTTGGGATGGTATGATGGGTCGAACAGGTCCACACAGAAATCTTCGACGGCCTTCTGGTGAAGTGTTCGGGCTGTCGCCATTGTATCTCGTCGCGAGTGTACGAAGACCATGACTTGATGATCAAGCTCTAGCATTTCTTTGACTTTGTCAAAAGCAATGTTGTCAAGGTTTTCCCTGGCTTGCTTGGAGCCGGCCTTCCCCTTGACACCAATGAAATGCTGCTCCAGGGGAACAGGACGGAATGAGGCGTCGAAATAAAACAGACCAGCGTACTTGTTGACCTTGAGGAAGTCCGCAACGTCAACGTAGTTGGGTAGCGTTGCACTCAGACCAATAATCCGAATCATCGACTGTGTGCTCTCCACTTGTCTCTCAGTTCGAGCTACAAGTGACTCTAGGACGGCACCTCGTTCATCGTGAAGCATGTGGACCTCATCAATGATGAGAAGGCGGACCTTTTGGACGAGCTCAGTATCGCCGGTACCTTTTCGGGTAACGACATCCCACTTCTCAGGAGTGGTAACAATGATCTGGGTCTGAACAATCTCAGACTTGGTAAGCTGCATATCTCCGGTGTACTCTCGGCACTTGATGCCAAGCCAGGCAAGGCGCTTGCCAAGCTTATCTGTGACTTCAGCAGCGAGTGCCTTCATGGGGGCGACATAGACAATCTTGAAGTCATCTGTATTAACGGCGAATTCGGTGGCAGCGAGGTCCTCAAAAGGGTTGGGAGTCACATTCTGCGCGATGGTGTGGAGGATTGTGAGCATAGCTGCGTCCGTTTTACCCTAGAACACTTAGCACCAGCATTTAGACTTGAGGGTGAGAAACTTACCGCACCAGTGGGTGCGCAAATAAGCATGTTCTCACTAGTTTTGTGTGCAATGGGGTACACAAGACTCTGCATTCGATTGAGCGTCTTGTATCCCTTGAAAGTGGTACGGCAAAGTCCGTCAAGTTCAGAGATCTTGATGAGCCTCTGGCCGGGACCAAGAACTCCCTTCTTTCCTGCTGGAATAGAGTACTCTTCATACTTGTCAAAAATCTTCCGCTCGCTTCCCACCGGAAGACCGTACTTCTTTCCGGTGGAGCTGAGGGTGTTGCCGGCGCTGTACGACTTGTAGACGTGCGGATACTGGGGCTCTCGAGATGAAGCGGTGGCAAGAGAAGCAGATTTATGCTCCAGGTCCTGGCGACGTAGAGCCTCCTCCCTCTCAGCCCTGGTCAAGAGTCGCGGTCCAGACGATGCCTGCTGGGCTTTTTGGCCGTTGGCAGTGACTGCGGCAACGATTTCATCCTTGTGTCCCAAGACATCGATGATGAAATCAAAATCGTCAAAACCAACCAGATCAGCCAGGTGTACCTGGAGCTCATCCTCGGATTGACCGGAGCTGAGGACACTCATGACCTGAGTTTCAAACACATCAGGGGAGAGGCCGTTCTTAGCGGCTATAGCTGAACATTTGGTGGTGAACCATTGCGCGCCATAGTCGGCAGCAGAGCCACCAACGGCGGCTGCTTCAGCAAAGTCGCTGCTGAAGTCGTCTTGGTCATCGTCCGAGATGAATTGCCAGACATCCTGGCCGCTGTTCCCGGAAGAGTATCCTTCAAAGTCGTCGTCTTCGAGATCGCTCTCGATGTTTGTGTCCTGAGGGATCTTTAGTTCGGCAATGGCGGCTTGCATGGCGGCGAACTGCTCCCTCCACTGGGCCTCTGCGGCACTTAGCCCGCTCGAAGCCATGGCGCTGTTGGCTTGGATGATGGGGTTTCTCTTGTTAGTGTTTGGTGTGCTCCTTGGCGTGGTCCTCCAGGGAAGAAGAGAGAGCTGATGGTTTGTGTCGTTGCTGTGTCGTTGCAGAGCTGAGTTCTATAGTCCTAGAGTGCCTCGCCGTGGAGTCATACACCGCTGCGCTGTGACTTGGTTCTGAAAATGACACCCACCCCACCATCAGCCTCCGCCATCAGCCGCCGCCACAGCAAGCCAGGCGGCCAGGCCACAGTGTTAGTGAGTGACCTGCAGGCGGCTGTAGCAGCAGGGAACACAAGGAAGCCCGCCGCGGAAGGCTTAGCGCTCTAGTGCTGAAGCTTGTTGCAGGCTGCACTGGAAATTCGGGGGCCTAATCGCCAGCCCAGACCAGCCCAGCAGACCCCCCGTCATAGCGGAACATGTGACGACCTATGGACGGTCTACGACCTACGGGGACTCGGGAGCAGCGCTCTCCGGGTTCAGACTCCAATCCGCCATCATCCTGATCTTGCATCCTGCAATCTCGCACGCAACCTGCGCTTTCGCCTCCTCCGTACCGCCCCTCGACGACAATCCGCACAATCGCATCGACGCCGTCTCCCATCCTGCCGCCATCATGAAGTTGCACTACATCGGCGTATGCCCCCCCTTGCCCCTCACCGACATGACCCCCCAATATCCAATCCCGACAGTTGGCTAAAGACTCTTCTTGCTGGATCTAGATCATTCGCAACGAGGCCAAGCCCGCCCACGAGATTTGCGCCGAGAAGGAACTGAGCTCCTACTCGCGATTCACCCGCAACAAGTTCGCCTCCCCTCCCAGACTCCCCTGACCGCCGTTGCTGACCAGGCCGCTTCTCCTCCTCCAGCTATGGCGAGTTCATGACTCTCTTCTCAAAGACCGTCGCCGAGCGCACTCGTCCCGGCCAGCGACAGGATGTTGAGGAACAAGGTAGGGCGCCGCTCTCCACGTCCGCGCGATCGATATCCAGTCCACAAGCTCACACCGAAACCTCCCAGACTACACTTTCCACGCCTACAGCCGTACCGAGGGCATCTGCGGTATCATAATGTCCGATCACCAGTACCCAGCTCTCGTTGCCCACCAGCTCCTCAGCAAGATCGTCGACGAGTTCCTCATCAAGCACCCGCGCTCCTCCTGGGCAACCGGCCAGCCCATCCTGCCCTTCCCTGAGCTTACCGAGTACCTCGCCAAATACCAGGACCCTCAGCAGGCCGACAGCATTCTCAAGATCCAGAAGGAACTTGACGAGACCAAGATTGTCCTCCACAAGACTATTGAGAGCGTGCTACAGCGCGGCGAGAAGATTGACGACTTAGTGGCCAAGAGCGATGGTCTTAGCAACCAGAGCAAGATGTTCTACCGTATGTACCCCCCTCTCCGAAACACATGGTGGAGAAGACCCGAGCTAACCCCTTACTCTCCCGCAGAGCAAGCTAAGAAGCAGAACTCGTGCTGTGTTTTGATGTAATGAAACATTTCGTTTCGGCGTTGGGACGCGACTTCGTTTCAGCATATATGGGATGTCGCTTATTGAGATTGGTTACTGGTGCGGCGCAAATACTTACAATCGTTTTGTCCAACCATTCACTCGCAGGCCATGTCGTTGGAGCAGTTTAGACTTATTGGAGTAGAGGGGAACAGCGTATGCACATGAAGTACTGAAGTACACGTGGAAATATGCTGGGATGAAAGTAGCACTTAATGATGGGGCTTTTTCTATTCCAAATGATGATGATGATGATAATGTTGACGTGCGTGAAACCCCCTTTGTGAACCAGCGACCTGCTCCAGGGCTGTGCACGCTCCGTTCTCCCTGTCCGATCCTGCTCCTGCGCCTTGCTAGATGACCCATGGTATCCCCCTTTCCTACCATCAAGGCTTCGTGTATGAAAATGACAAAAGAAAAAAGATATGGAGGGAGGTGTTGCCCTCAAACGACGACAGAAACAGCTCAACCAGTGAGGTCCCTGCTCGTTGCTTCTTTTGAAGCAGCAGTATAAAGTGGGTATGAGTGAAGAAGATACGGTAGAAAAAAAAAACCGACCGCCTATGCCAACCGCCGTTCTACATATGCATCGCTAGGCTTCATCTGGTATACGTTTTTGCTTTAGGGTTCCCCCTCGACGATAACTCGTGAGCTCTTGCGGTGCATCTCCCACACGTTGATGTCCTGGGGACGTACAAGCCGCGGCTGGGCCGACTTCGTCTCAGCCAGCCGCTCGTTCTTCCCGACGGGGATGCCGTAGTTTGAGCCGGTGCCATCGTTGTGGTGTCGCAGGCTGGGGTTGCTCTGGAGTGGGTGTAGCATCTTGCGCTGCTGGTGCGAGACGCTGATCTGGCGCGCGATGGAGATCTCGACGGCGTTGCGGAGGGCCTCTTCGGGGTCGGCCTGGAGGGGCTGAGACTTGATGACAGTGATTTGCTCGGCGGACTTCAGGGACGAGGGCGGGGAGACCTTTCGAGTTGCCTCGGGGGATTTGCGAGTCACCTCGGGGCTGGAAGATGTAGTCGAGCCTGGAGGGGAAACCATCTGCCATGTAGGCTCGGTGAGCGTGGGCCGGAGCTTGTCGGTGATGTGGACGTCAACTTCGTCCCCGAACTCGCTGTCCTCGGGGGAATCGAGGATCAGACTGGATGTGTCAGGTGTAAAAGGAGAGGGCTGTCTGCCGCGTGCTTGAGCCTGCACCTCGAGGGTCACTGGTGAGGGCGTCCGACTGGGGCGGATGGTGGACGGGTCGGGTTTAGGTGCGCCTGATCGTTTCGGCTGCTTGCTGAACTTGGAGACTAGTTGAGGAGGAGAATCGGCCGTCGTTGAAGCCGGCTTCTTTTCGCGTTGGGTGTCCTTTGGTGTCGCAGGCAGGAAGACCTTGGGCTTGAGGGTCTCTCCTAAAGTGTGTTCCTTGCCTTTATTGGGAAGGGGTTCAAATGTCGCCGCGACGGGAGAATGCAACAAGGCGGGTGAGGTGTTTGAGCGCACCCTGGGGGAGGGCTGGATTGGGCTAGGCTTGGGAAGTCCTGGGAACAGGGAGAATGCGGGTGAGGCCTTGGGTTGAGGCGATGTCGCTCGCCGCGGCCGAGGAAGCTCCTCTTCGCCGTTCTGAAGGAGCTCGTCGTTGAGGGTCTTGAGCCGATCGAGCGTCGCCTGTCGTCGAGCGAGGAGTGAAGAGGATGAGTTCTGCGTTCCCAAGACTCCGCCGAACATGACGCTGTATCGCTCCATCTTGATGCTGGGGATCTCGACATTCAGGAGGGGTCCGCTCAACTGGGGCATCGCGGGGGGAGGACTTGGAGGCGATGGCATAGGCTCCAGCTTCTCTGCTGCCCTTCGGGCTCTCGAGTCTCCACGGAGAGCTCTTAGTGACACCTTGCGACCCAAACCACCGGACTTGGGCTCCTTTGCTGGCTTGGGTTCCTTGACGAGCTTCACCTCGGGAACTGGTTCTATTGATTCAACCCGCTCGATCGCGGAGGGGTCCGTCTGGGATCGGATGACGATGGGTTTGTGCTTTGGGGGGTTCTTCTTTGAAGAATCTTGTTGTGATCCAGTCCTTGAAGGCGGTTGTCCTCGAGATGTGAGCGAGACGCTTGATGCGTTGGAGTTGTCTGTCAAAGATCGCTGGGGCTCTGTAGGCCGGGTTCGCTTCGATGACCTTGATCGGAACAGGTTCCATTTCTTGGGCTTTTGCGGTACCGCTTGCAGATCTTCGGCGGGTTCTGGGAAGTCGGCTGCAGCCCTCCGCGTGCTTTGGGTCGCCGGGATATGGTTTTCGAAAACAGCCGCTTGAGCTGGGCTGCCCAGCGCCATGCCGATGGCGATGACCCCAGTTTCGCCCGTTTCCACCATGGACTCCGGAGTTGCGGTTCGCACCATGGTCACACGGTCTGGTGATTCTCCTCGAGGGCTGGTTTCCGGTGAGGGTAGCCGGCCACGGATCGGAACATGATACGCCTTGACGGTGCCCCTCCCTGAGTTCTTTAAGGCGAGAGTAAGGTCGTCTCTCGATACGCGGTTGTTGAAGTCGGTCTTTCCGAAGTGATTGGTTCCTGTAGGTCCTCCGCTGGTGCTGGGCCGTTCTGACACAGATGGAGCCGTCACAGTCTCTGCTCTTGATCGAGGCATGATGAAGTTAGACACTCGTTTTGGCAGCGAGGAACGGGAGGTCGTCGGTAGTATACGGGAGGAGTTGTGGGAGTGGCGGGGACCGTCTTGAGTTAAGAGTGTCGTATAGATAGACCGCCTGGCTTAGATGACAGGGTCTGATACAGTTTGTGGTTCACCCACAAAAACCGCCAGGACCGGGGATCCTTTTCTAGAGCGTCGATGAAAGGCACTTTCCCCTCTCGTCTCACAGGGCACCACCCCCGCCTTTTCGCGCGAGCCTATTGTGTGAGTCGGCAGAGCGAGTTAATTCAAAAGTGAACGGGGTCCGATGCGGGAAAAATGACCGCAACAGGGACCCGGGGTGGACGGAGGATGCGAGCAAGGATGGTGGTAAGCGATGGGCAAAGCTGGAGTCGAAGCAGCCAAACACAGGCGGTTTGCGGGCACACACAAGTGAAATAAGAAGAAGAAGCGGGATGAAAGACCAGCTTACACTCGCTCGCCACCAGCAACAACAAACAAGAATGACAGATGCGCAGGCAAAAGAAAATAGAGAATGCAGAGACGCCCTTCCAGAGGAGAATCGGCATCATGTGGGAACCCAGGGGCTTTCATCTATTCCGCGAACCCTCGCGCGGGGCCTGGTTGGGATCACGGGCCAGGCGACACTTGTCGCATGTTTGAGGTTGATGGGACGGTTCCTCTTGGGCGTAGCCTAACGTAGTAGATCCGCGCCAACGCTGGCGAGCCTTGTTTTGGAGCCAAGAGCTGGGTTCCGCAGGCTGGGTTCCGGCCTCGAGAAACCCTTGTCCGCGGGAGAGGGATGGATCACGGCGGCATCATGGATGGTGGAGCGCGTCGACTGGCGGGTTTCGTGTGCCAGGACTCAGCAAGTGGTGCACAGTAGCACAGACTGCGCCGCTGGCGCTTGCGCTGATAACTGCCATGTTGGCTCTTGTTGGTTGTCATGTGTAGCAAGTAAGTTAATAGGTAGCCAACAAGCCACCTGGCGACATGTGCATGTTGAAGAGAGCGGGTGCGTCGCGTCGTTGGACAGCATCTGACGAGAACTGCCGCTGTCGGAGATGAGCTGCGCGGCGGGGAAGGGGCCCGTCGAGGGCAGATTGGCCATCATTTCCAGTTGGTCAGAGCCCAGCGTAGCCAAAGTAAATTTATCACGGTCCCATCGTGTGTCGGTCGAGTCGGGCGTGGTTGAGTGGTTGCGCGGTTGAGCTGCTTGCTGCTGTCATGATTACGGCCTTGCCGGAGCAGATTGCCACGGTGATGCTCCCGCGGTCCGAACAATGGGTGGCAATCTGCTGCTAGTCCCCCAGATGTGCCGGGTCCCTGGTCCGCCTCAATGGCAAAATGTAACACCGAATCGCATCGTCAATCTTCACGCGTCGCAGCCATTATCAGAAAGCGGCTTGGTTCCTGATCAGGATCCTCGGTGGGCAGACGGCCGGACGGGCTAGCGGTCCAACGGCGCGGCACTTGCACACTTCCATACTTCCATACTTCCACATCAAGCCACACGGAACATATGAAGCTTCCTTGCTTTTTTGCCTGCCTCGTCATCATGGGTTCCCAGGTCTCGGGAACCGTTCTGGAAAGCTGCAAAGCACGCGCTCGAGCTCGCGCCGGCCTAGTCAAGCGCTGGATTATTTTATTTTTGTCTGCGCCGCAGAGCACTTGCATGTCCCCTCTGACAACGGGGCGTTGATTGTTAAATTGGAGGCACACGCGTCAAATCTCACATTACCCACCCCACAACGAAGCCCACGAGTGCAGGCCAACACCTAGACCGCCAGCTTCGGTACCGGTTGTTTGTTCACCGTCTGGCCGGCGACCGAGCACACGACCGCCGTTTCCAGCCGCGGCTGGTCAGAGACAAACATAGAACAGAGTCACATACGGCTGGAGTGTCAAAGCGGCTCCCGGGAGTCCAACGGTTCGTCTCAGTCTCTCAGGTGGCCGTGGATGCCTTGTCCTTGATCCTCGCCGTCGATGTCTGGTGGTTGACCGACCTGACCGGAGCCAGCTCGAATCCTTCGTCCCAAACCTATATCCGTGATTATTATTCAACCGTCCTACTCCGTATATTGTACTCCGTAATGGAGCGGTCTGTGGATGTGCGTACATGCCGACCCAATTGCCACCATCCCAAACTGGTTGACCAAGGTGAGGACAACGAACATGCCCGCGGTTCCAAATCGGGAAGCCGTCCCAGGCTTCAACCTTGCAACCCATCATCGTTAATAATTACTACGTAGTATTCATCCCGGCCGTCAGGGGGTACTCAATCCCTGACTTGTTTCAAGTTGTCACCCTTCCAAGAAGTGGCCCGCACTGCTGCGTCTCAGATTGCCAATTTCCAGGATATTCCAATCGCTCGCGCCCCGTAATGGGAAGCTGGGGGTGTTTGGCCCATCTCATGTCACTCAACTCACTCAAAAGGCCTCCCAGCCCAAGGATCAACGTCGCATCGTACATAGTAGCATCGGGAGGCTGCCATCAGGCGCCACAACCGCGCATCAAGGCTGAAAAGGCCGGAAACACGGCCGACAGCGGGCAATACCGCCGCCTGGCTATAGGTCATAGCGGCAATGCCAACAGCCGGAATGAATAATCGCCGGGTTTCGTTCTTCTGGGCGTGGGTGCGAAAGAGTCGGTCAGCGTGTTGGTGGATGAGCGGACCAGGTGACGACGACAAACCGACTGATCTGGCGCCTCCTGATGACCTCGGCTTGCGATTGCGCAGTTGACATTCCCATGATTCACATCGACAAGGCTCGGCAGCTCTACCGAGTGGGTATTCATCTCCAAACACGGAATGACATGTCAGGGTTAACTTAGAGGACAGGGTTAGCCATGGTCGTCATCAACTTCGCGGTCTCCCCGTCGATTCCTCCCCGTCACTGTTTCTGCTTCTCCTCGCTCCAGGGATCATCTCTGCTGCGCGTCAAAAGGACAAAGCACAATAGAGCCACGTCCCTGTTTCAGCGAGTGACAGGTCCCGACATCACGGCGCCAAGATGCTCTCCCGCGGTGGCCTCGGATCATGGCCATGCACTCAAAACACCTCCTGATTGCCTCTCGCCTATATGCTTTGAGCTTTGAGCTTTCCTGTTTGGTGTTGGATTACAAGTGGCACTCTTCACACACAAACATAAGGTCCGGACTAAGAGCCGTACCTTGTCTCATAGTGCCGGCAACCGTACGACTTCCCTTTGCTCTGGCGCCGAACTCAAACGGCGCCTCCGTCTATGGTGACGTCGGATGGCAAACGGGGCTCAAGTAGGCTAGGCAGTTGTGTGTGCCAGCAAATCGCCTGTGTTGGCTTTTTCGACTCCAGCTTTGCCCATCGCCTCACATCCTCCGTCCACCCCGGTCCCTATTCTTGCGGACATTCCTCCCGTATCGGACCCCATTCACTTTTGAATTAACTCGCTCTCCTCTGGAAGGGCACCTCTGTATTCTCTTTTGCCTGTGCATCTGTGATCCATGTGTTGGGGGCGACGGTCCCTCTGGTCGCATATCGTCACGCGATGTGGTGAAGCCGGCATATTGTCGACAGTGCTGGAGTGGGTTCGTCACATAAAATATCGGCCAAGCTGCAACGAACGATCGTGTCGCACACTTGGACTGCATCATCAAGTCCGCAAACACTCCTAGGACCGGCCCAAATGGGCTCGATATTTCACCTGTCGAAGTCTATCCTCACTCTTGTTGATAAGTTGATAGCCATGGATAACATCTCCCGGCAAGTCGGTGGCTGTCTTGGACTATGCGTCTGGGCCAGACTTTACAATATTGCCACATGCACCCATTGCCCTCAGTTTGTGTTCGACTCCCTCTCGTGTCTATACGATTGCGAACTCGCGATAAAGTGAGTGAATTATTATATAGACTGTAACAACTCCGGGATCTAGGACTTGGGAATTCGGCACGCTGGATTAAGGTACAGTGGAATATGGGCTTTGGGTCCTCGCTTTGCCGTAGTATGAAATGTGTCAACTTCGCCTGATCCTTATCTTCTCCTAGAATATTCTAGGACTGCTCATAGATCAAGTGTGTCTGCATATGTATTGGTGCATTTGCGTTTCGGGCGATACTGTCCTGGACCATCAGCTGGCCCTCTTAGTCGGCCTTGTCCTTTTTATTTGCAGCTGTGTAGACTCACTGACCTTGGCCTGCACTTGAAACATTGTGAGATGTGTTGGGAGGATTAGAATTTGGCTTTCAGATGTAACGCAGACACGCGGTCAAGTGTGAGTTGCCAGCCTCTGAGACTCTCGACTCTTCCATCCTTGCAACTACATGGAGGCCTTCCTTGTACGAGTTCACCTGACGCTAAAGGCAAGCTCATCACTATTGCTACGCGACATCACGCACTGACTGGCACATCAAGCAGGCTAAGGAGCGGTTCTGCAACACGCCTTTGACCAGTTTTTCGCGTCATTTATATCCAAAATGCCCTCATGAGGGTGATCTTCCCACTCGCATGGAATAGATTGCACACAACACCCGAGAGGCGTGCTCATCCACAACTCGTCTTACTAAGTCTGTGTGTGGCAGGCCAATAATGGATGGAAACCGCTGCCTTCAAAAGTGCCGTTTTGACTCTTTGCCCTTGCATGATGGGAAGCCGAAGCGACGAAAGGATGATCCTGATACTGTGAGAGAAGGTAGAGAATCTAGATATACGAGACAATATAGATATCAATACACGCACAGCATGCAGGCAATATTCAGAGGGTAAACAGCCTGACTTTGCGGTAGAGGCGACCGAACATATCCTAACGGTGCATCACAGCGTACGAGTGGGTGGCAAGAGTGTGGAGGAGTCAATGAGGTCCATTTGCGACAGATTGGAGTCTGCACTGATCACATCACGATAGCTTCTTTCCGCTTGTGTCGGGTCAGCCTGGATCGCAATTACTCGATGACGAATCACCACAAGCAGTCACAACAAGAGCTAGTATAGACCGCGCCTTGAGAGACTAGACATCCTCCCAGCAGACCTTGCAGCAGAACTTGTTGACCCAACAGCAGCTCGGCGTGAAATCTTTGTAGACTGGCGCATGGCTTGGCCGGATCGTCGATCTTCAAAACGTCCAGCAACACCATCTTGGCTCCCACAGGATGCTGGTCTGTCAGATTGACGTTCGATTTCCGGTCCGGCCGCAGCATCGTCCATCTGGTGACTTGGCAGTACCAGCGACGGTACTTACGAGTCTGACTCCAAGGCTGGGCAAGTCAGGCTTTCGACCTGCGTTTGCCACCCCCCGGCCGGATGACCTCAAGACGAGAACGAAAAGAGGGAGGGAAGGTCTGATGAAGAGAATATTACTGCGTTGATCCGATGAGAACTAACTAGGAGGCCTACGTAGATGATGATTCGCTTGATGATGCGCAATCTGACGATAACCTTTGTTCCAACAATTGGAGGACGAGGATTTCGCAGCCAAGGTGATGCCGTCGCCGACGATGTCACACGCATGTAGAAGCAACAGCGTGTATCGCAGGCTCGTAATGCCTGCAGCGTTGCGAATGACCGACCGGATGCCCCTCCCAGACGTGAGGTATCAAGAGCCCATATGTGGAAAATATCCAATCGCATCCGAAGTCAACCTCGTACCTTTCTAGGCAAGCCTTGATGGCTGGTAATGCGTTGGTACTCCTCAAAAGACTTTCGACCCATTGGGGCGACAGGTCCGGATTCAGATATTTCGTTGCATCGTATCCTACATCATAGGTGTACGGGTGTCGCGTTGATTTGAGCATGGACTCGGCCAAAACTTCTCTGAATATCCCCTCGATAAGACTTGCCTCGGCCGGCATTTGACCTTTTCGAATGAGGTCCAGGACCCAGCCAAATCGGCTTTGCAACCTTTCAACGTCTTTGATCTCCCAAGAGTTGTCGAGGCCCCCAATAAATATGGACTGCCAAAATTCGTTATCGGTGAGATCGAGAAAGTCTGACTCCGTAGATTCATCGAAAGTCCTTTGATGAAAGTCTCGCATTATGCAGACAAGGACCCGGAGTGACGATACGCGTAAGTTGCCCATAACGAGTGGTGGAAGCAGCATCTTCTTCCTGAGAATTAAAGGGTCTGTTGTGCCCATAGCTGGCGTATCCTGCTGTTTCCCAATTGATTCGCAGCCATACCACGAAAGCATCAAGGCCTGGTATTTTGGCAAGTCAGGCGGCCAATCATGGTCATTCTCTGAACCAGCCTCTTGAATTTCCGTCATGACTTCCAGCTCCATGTCTGAAGCATGGCCATCAAGGTCAGACGAGTCGAAATCTAGATACTCTGGTACAACCGCGGTGATGTTGCGGTTGTTCGAAGTGTGGCACGGCGCTTCCGGGTCCTGCAACGGATCATACATCCAAGATGGAAGTGACTCAACGCTATGCGCAGGGCCATCATGAACTGCAGTGCGCCAAAGCCTAAGTATCTCCAGGGGCCCACCGAGTGGAATTCGGCCAAATGGTACACCCTCTGCGTAGAGTTGGGCTCGAGTCTGGTACCAGATCCAGTTGAGGGACGACCATGACCACGAAGAAACAGCGGCACTGTTGTGCCATTGTCCGACACGCCTCTGTAAGTGGTACATGATGATTGTCTGTGTCCGCTTCCACAAGTAGGGATTTCGCGACTTCAATGTGAGAGGAGAAAGACGCATTATTGGAGGTACACCAGCTGAAGAAAGAAGATGTGTTAGCGCGATCTTTCATCGAGAAGGATCGCTTCTAGATCCGCGAACTCACAGGTGATCTTCTCCCAGACTTCTTTGTGCAGAATGTATGGCAAATTCCGATCCACTAGCCCTTGAAACCTTACAGTTGTCGGCGTATCGAATCCTTCGTCGCTTAGAAATCGCGTAATACGATGGTACGAGTATACCTGCGTCTATTCAAATTTCGGGATGTGGTAAAAAACATCGTTCCCGTCCTTTGGCTCGACAACAAGGTTCTTACTCTGTAGAAACTCTTTCAGTTCTACAAGTTGGCTCCAGTGTCGTTGCCACATGCTGGCAGTGAAGGTTATCAGCCCCGACGTTTGATCCTGACTCAGTTGTTGGTACAATGACTGTACTTGTTTCCTGCTCTTCGAAATTCCTTGCTGGTCCAAAATCTTAACCACCAAATCGCCATAAAGCTGACGCTGATGTCTGGCGAATACATCGATGAACGTAAGAACTCGGGCAGAACAGACATATCGGGAGCGAGTTTCAGAACTGCCGTAGATCTGGTAGATTGAGATGATCGGTGCCTCCAAGAGCCCGTTCTATGGTGACGTCGAAGAGGGCGAGCGCTAGGCATTGCCGCACGCCCAGCTATCTTTTAGTTCCCATAGGCGCCATAGCTCTAGCTCTGGAGTCTCATCATCTAGAAGCTGGCGTTAGTACTGCCCGATTTTCGCTTGATTGCAGCTGGTGATAGCGTGTATACCTCTGGACGGTGGATCTTCATAGTGCATCTTCACAGTGCATCTCTTCTAAAAAAAACTGTACGCGTGGCAGCTACATACCTTACCTTACATAGATGAAGCAAAATCGCAGCGTAGAAAACAGGATAGCCTTCATATTACGACATGTCAACAGCTTTCTGGAATAATTAGGCTGAAATGTCTCTGGGGGCCAGAGCACAGAGAGCATCTCGGTGTCGCCCTTGAGTTTAGGATATTGTGCCAGGTGCCATATGTTCCACGGTCTAGCCGCAAGGGACGCGAGAAAGCTCCGTGACAGCTTGGACCGTCGGACTAGAGTATTGATTCTCGTTGCCTAGCTAAGTAGCGATGCATGGTGATAATTTTGGATGGTTTTGGTGAGGTGTCACTTGCTTACGCCCAAACACGGGCCTGGCCAGGTATGCTTCCGAAAAAGAGGCAAACAGATGCAGACGCACACAGATCGGCCGCAGCGTCATCAAGCATGCGAACACGGCACGGGCTGCATAGCTGCATACATTCAATAGTTACATGCACCGAGCCCAACAACTCGTGTGTGTGTGGTTGAATCATTGCAGGAAAAAAATGCGTGACATGACACACGCGCGCATCCGAAACTTGGCCGCTGATCATGCTTGCTCGCCAGTGAAACGGAGCAAGTGCCCGGTACATGTGGCCGCGCGCGTTGCCAGCGGTGTGGCCAGGTACCCACTACCCCTCGGCGGGGGAACTGCCAATGGGCGGATCGCATTGGTCGGTGCTGAAAGCTCGATAACAATTTGAGTGACAACGGACGGAGGGGCAACTCTCGACAGACTCACAACCTCTCCCTCCTGTTACCGCTTCCGCCTCAACGCTTCCTCGCCCATCGCTTTGCCGCCGCCTCGTCTTCCGCAGTCCGCCACACACGCTTCGTTGCTCTCTCACATACCTTCACCATGTCGTGGCAAGGTCAGTCGCCCTCCCATCCCCTCCGCCTCCGCCTCCATCCCGGCGTCCCCTCTCGGCAGCCGCTCGCTGTCTGAATAGCCCCCCACCTCCTCCTCGCACGAATACAGTCCAGACAGCTAACCTATGGCTCTTCTGCCCTACAGCATACGTTGACACTAGGTAAACCCGCGAGCCCTTTTCGACCAGACCGATACGGCCGATATCTTTCTCACAAGTGCGGGATGCTGATGCTCTGACAGCCTCATCGCTACCGGCCATGTCGACCAGGCCGCCCTCATCAGCGCTGCCGGCGACAGCGTCTGGGCCACCTCCCCCGGCCTCACGGTACCGACTGCCCCTCTCAACCGGCTTATCTGCCGTACAGCACCTGCACCAGAGCTAACTTGTTGTGCCCAATATAGCTCCAGCCCGCCGAGATGAAGGTGGTGGCCTCCATCGTCTCGGGCGATGCCGCAGCCAAGGACAAGGCCTTTGCCGATGGCCTCTACATCGGTGGTGAGCGATACGTCATGGCCAGGGCCGAGGACCGAAGCATCTACGCCCGAAAGGGTCGCGAGGGTGTCGCCATCGCCAAGACCACCCAGGCCATCGTCGTCGCCCACCACGGTGAGGCCCAGGTTGCTGGCAGCACCACCCAGACCGTCGAGGCCCTCGCCGACTACCTCATCGGTGTCGGTTACTAGGCTCAGAACCCGGATTGTGGGATGCGGCAGGAAGAACCCCAAGGAATAAACTGGGATAGCTATGGATGTGCACTGGGGAAATAACGGTCAGAGTCAGCCTACGATTAGCGAACTGAGCATATTGAGAGGAGGCCTTGTTTTTTTTCTTTAGAGCACCCGGGCGGTCAGCTTGAGCCTCGTCGAGGCGAGGAGGAAATCATCTGTTTGGCCATGAATTGTCCAAAAGAGTCTCTGTTTCTACACGATTCTGCATATAGGCAATCCAAATGCCCCCCAGATGTGTCCGTCCGAGCGCCGTCTCGTGAAACACTCTCGACTCCCACCCATATTAGCTACAGCACGACTGGCCGTGTCCTCTGCTGCCCCGTCCCTGCTGCCCCGTCCCAGCTCCCGGCTCCCAGCTCTGCCCGGTATGACAGCTTCGGGTGATGTACACTGATCATGCGCCCCATTCATTCCACCGGTCCGAGGGAAATTGATTCAGATAACGCCAATCCCCGGATTCCAAGCCAATCTATTCCTCCCTGAACTCCACACCATATCAAGACAAGGCGGTACTCCGGATAGTCCATACAAATAACGAGCTCGAGTCCCCATGTCGACCAAGCTTGGCCCAATCAAGGGGTCCCAACGTTATGATTCTCATTGAACTTTGTCTGTCATTTAGACGGGGAGTTCGTTGTTTCGGCGTCCCATGCCTAGCCTGTCCACGACGATGCCAATGTAGGGTCCCACGACTGGTAAGCCCCGCGCGAAGCCTGCGATGGTGCCCAGGAAGTCCCCAAATAGTACCACTATTCCGTACGCTTCTATAATGAAGCCGACAAAGGTCCATTTCATGAGTATGAGCACCAAGCCGAGGAAGAAGGCGCCCGTGCCTTTAGCCTTCTGTTTGCGCGCGAAGAAGAGCAGTGTCTTCTGCGGTCCGATGATAATGGTCAAGCCGATGAGGAAAAGGATCTACAGTTACATATACGTCAGTTCGGGTTCATTCGATCGAGGTTCGTCGAGGGCAAGGGTATCTCGTACATTTCCCATGGCAAGCCTACGTAAACCACCGTCGTTAGCAAATGAAGCACGGGGGGATTGGGGGAGAACAAGTGTTCCCGACATACATGGCCCGATCAAAAAACAGCATGACGCCTCCGATGAGGAAGAAGCCTCCTACACGAGTCCATGTCGTCAGTCGCCATCCCGCCCATGCGCCGAAGCTTCGGAACTCGCGCGTACCTACCGCCAGAGCAGAAGACAACCCCAATCTCTATAGACAAACAATCGTTAGCTTTCGAAGTCTTTATCGGTTTGTTCATGGCAACCAAGCGCAGATAGGCATCACGGCTGTGCGGGCACCGCGGAGGCAACACCGTGGTCACGAGGGATGGACGCGCAAATGGACGACGTACTTTGGGTATCAGACAGCCACATGGACATATTGGCGACGGGTGTTCGAAAACGAGGGGATCGGGACTATCGAGAGGCCAGCGGCGCCTTGGGTATCAGGATTGCGAGTGATAAAGTCGAGCTCGAGCTGGCGATTGATCAGGTTCAACGTTTCGAGATTTCGGTCGAGGTCGAGGTTACACGTGGTTGCAGGCGCAAGGAGGGAACTGGCACATCGATTGTTCGTTCCAGGGGCTTACCTCTGGTGCCTCCGGGCCGCGTTACGAATACGTTGCGCTGTGCTGTGCTGTGCTGTACTGTGCTTTGCTGGGGCGGCGCCAGTGGCTACGGGCGGGGCGCGGTACTGATAGCGGTTGACAGGCGCTGCGGGAGAGGCCAAAGGCTCGTGTTGGACGTCCCCTGGAGCTCGGCGCGTGACCATTGGCTGTCGGGGCCACAGTGGGTATCTGCGCCATGTAATGAAATTTTACGCAGCCGTGGGTTTTGAGAGCATCTGTCTCCTTCATCCTTCATCGCTCTCTCACAATCCTTCGGATTAGGGAGCGCACCACAGGATGTGGAAGCTCACGCCTCTAGCTGATGTGGCATTCATGATGTGAATTGGTTTTTGGACAATCATTACGTCCATCTTTATCGGTACAGTATTGCAAACACCTGACGGGGCATCGGAATTCCTCCTGAGCCCTCATGCTATCCGCGAGCCATGGGCGATTGACCCGGCTCTTTCTCAAATCACAGCTCAATATCCCCTTTCAACCAAACCAAGACAGATAGAGATGGCCTCTATTCATCCTATCTGCACCTGCCGCGACGGCCAAGGCGTTCTTCGCCTTGGCCACTGAGATCGTCTACTCCATACGTTCTCGGTAGTCTGTCGACCTAGGCAGAGAACAAAACCCACTGGATCACGATTAAGCCGGAGCGTCAATTGCCATCCCTTTGCCGAGAGGCTCAGGGTGCATAGTTGAGGTTTGACTTTGTTGGTCGGACAGTCACTTCTCGTACACCTGCAACATGTGATGAATGCTCTGAATCCTCGTAGGACGTCGTTGTATGGCCTCCATCTCCCACCTCCGTCTTGCTCTCGACCATCCGTAGCAATCCATATTAGGAATAGTTGTCCGGTTGATGTTCACTTGAGGACCGTGTGGGCGCCACGAGCCTCGAGGTATTGCTCGGCTGCACCCTGAGGAAGCGTTCTGATGAGGCCAAACACCTCCTTGTTGTGGTATCTCAGCCGGGTCTTGGGGTCGACGTACGGCGCTGGCAGTCCCGTGATGTCGCAGTAGTGCTTGGAGTGTGCCATCGAGGGCGCTGACTCGATGTTGGTGTACGTCGCATTCGGGGCCGACACAATTCCTCCGGTAGGCTTCAGTGTCTTCTCCAGGACCAGTTTTGACAGACTCCGCGAGGCCTGCGCAAGGTTGGGGGCCTGGCTGCCGCTTTCTGTCGCAGGCGTCGTGGTGCCGCTCGTCGACAATCCATCGTCGGCTCCCGGAGTCACGTTTCCGCTGACGTCCATGGGCGTGCCCATTGCAGAGGCCTCTCGTCGGGAAGCGTCACCAACAATGGCCTTGAGGTTCTTGTTTCGGCGCTGGTTCGGCTTCCAGGTTGAGCTGCGGAAGGTCTTGTGGATTGAGTGGATGTCAAGCTTCTCGATGAGCTCCAGATGCGCAATCTGCGCCTCGGTAGGGGCGGCCATGGTTTCGGGGGGAGAATTCGTAGGCGGTGCCTTGGCAATGTTTCGGAGATCGTTGTGTCGAAGATAGCGCTGTAGTTCCGGGAGAAGAGCAATTCGTCGGCGGTGCCCTGGAGTTGAGCGGCTGGGAGCTGGCCCAGCTTGGAACGGACCTGGGTTCTGCCGCGCTTCACCGCACGTGTCAGTCGCTGCTTGCGCACTGGGCGTCACTGGTCATTGGTACACAGGCCCACCGAGTCGTAAACACTGGACTGCCCCTCCACTGTCGCGCACGAACTCACACCTAGTGATCAACCACGTTCATCATCTTGCGAACCAATTTGAAGATGGTAAAATCCTCCGAAGCAGACGGCGCAGTTTGGACGTCAATAAATAAATCATCCGCTGACAATGCGCGCAGGAGAGTCCACACGAGCACCAGCAGAACCTCCTGCTGTCCCGCATCATCACCAACGTGGTATGGAGATCGCTTCACTCTGAGCCAGTGGACGGCAAATAGCTGATAAAATACAGGAAAAACTCAACGAGGCCGTCGTTGTTATGAACAAGAGCCTTCAAGTTCGTCTTCACTGTCATTCCATTTCTCGTTCTGATATGCTGACTCGGCACTGCGTAGGATATAAACATCCAAAACATGAACGTGGAACTGGTAGCGCAGATGTTCAAGAACTACCAGTCCAATGTTCTGTTCCATCTTGAAGGTAACGAGTATTCTTTATTAGGTTGCATAATCTGTTGCTAACGAGTTCTCGCAGCGACGGATAACTTGAAGCCTCCGAACTGAGACAATACTCAATCAGTAGGAACTGATGCTCGACGTGTAGCTGTTGGAAGTAAATGAATACCCATGAAATGACGAACCTTGTCTATGTTGACATCTTTCAACTCCCTGTGTGATTTAAATTTCCCGGTGCTCTGAAACTGAATATATCACTCTCTTTTTTCCCTTTGCACTTATAGAAAACCGTGACCTTGGGTCGTTAACCTGACCGCTGCCGCGGTGGACTGGCGCATAATGCACTGGCGGTGGATCCACTAAGAGCGCATGTCACGTCCCATCATCAGCCTCGCAGCCTCGCATTCATCTTGCTCGCCACGACCAAGCTCCAAAAACCCTCCAGTCCCCCCCAATTGGCGACCGGAAGCCAGGCCGCTCCCGGCATTGAATTTCCACCTTTCCCTTCTGGCCTCATAATGCTTCCACGCCCTCCTTCTTCCTAATCCTCCTAATCCTCCTGCATCTGCGATACCACCATGGCGCCCTCCGCCATCGACGAGCCCGCCATCGCGGCGCCCGTGGCCAAGACCTACTCGCCCGCAAAGATCTTCCCCGTCAAGGAGAATCGCTTCCAGGACTACATCGAGCCCCAGAGCGACGGCCGCAAGCGGGCGCTGGAGCAGCCGGGCAGCGCGGCGGCCATCGTCATCGACTATGGTGAGCACATGATACTCGCCAGGGAGCTGCGACATCCGTTGGCTAACCTCACTCCCAGGTTCTTCTTCCGTCAGGGCCGGATGGTCTTTCGAGAAGAAGCCCAGGTTCAGCATCCCCCCGATCATGGCGAAATATCGCGACCGAAAGATCGGCAAGACTTTCTCCTTCGCCGGCTCCGACTGCTACGCCGACACGACAGCTCGAGGTCACATTCGAAACGCCTTCGAGGCAGGTACCGGAATCGTCAGCAACTGGGACGTGACGGAGCATGTCCTGGATTATATTTTCCTCAAGCTGGGAATGAACGAAACTGATCGCGGCATTGACGTTCCCATCGTCATGACCGAGGCGGTGGCCAACCTCCCCTACTCGCGGAAGTGTACGTATAAGCTCTCCCCTGGGCGCTCTCCATGCTGACCCGATGCATCGCAGCTATGACGGAGATTGTTTTCGAGTGCTATGGCGCTCCTTCTCTGGCCTACGGCATCGACTCCCTCTTCTCATATAGGCACAACAAGGGCAAGACTGGTCTCGTCGTCTCATCCTCATACACCTCGACCCACGTAATTCCAGTCTACAACTCCAAGGCGATGCTTGGTCAGGCGATCAGACTGAACTGGGGCGGCTACCACAATGCCGAGTACCTTCTCAAGCTGATCCGCCTAAAATACCCTGCATTCACTGGCAAGATGAACGTGTCCCAGGCGGAGCATATGCTCAAGGATCACGGCTACGTTTCCAAGGACTACGACGAAGAGATTCGAGACTACCTTGATTGGACCGGGCTAGAGGACCGTGACATTGTCATCCAGTACCCGTTCACCGAGGAAGTGATTGTTCAGAAGAGCGAGGAGGAGCTGGCCCGAGTAGCTGAGCGCAAGAAGGAGAGTGGACGACGATTACAGGAGCAGGCGGCCAAGATGCGTCTCGAAAAGCTCATTAAGAAGGAGCAGGACCTGGAGTATTACAAGGATGTCCAACGGCGCATCACGGACCAGACCAAGAAGGAGACTCGCCGCATCCTCGACAGCGCTGACGTTAAGGATGAAAACCAGCTGGAGAAGATCGTCAAGGACCTGGAGAAGACCATCAAGAAGGCACGAACCAAGGATGTCGGCGGCGACCCGGAGGAAGAGCAGGAACAGCCTAACTTCGATCTCGTCGAGGTCCCCGACGACCAGCTCGACGAGGCCCAGCTCAAGCAGAAACGCCAGCAGCGGCTCATGAAGGCCAACCACGAGGCCCGCGCCCGCGCAAAGGCCGAGAAGGAGGCCGAAAAGGCCCGCCTCGCCGAGGAGGTGCGCCTCGACAACGAGCGCCGCGACAACGACCTCGAGGGCTGGCTCGACGAGAAGCGGCAGCGACGCGCCAAGACGCTCCAGAAGATGAAGGAGCGCGACCGCCTCAAGCAGGACCTCGGCAACCGCAAGTCGCTCGCCTCGCAGATCCGCATGAAGAGCATCGCCAACCTGGCCTCGGACACGCCGACCAAGAAGCGCCGGCGCGGCGGCGACGACGACGACTTTGGCGCCAACGACGACGACTGGGGCGTATATCGCCAGATCGCCGTCGGCGACAACAGCGACGACGAACAGGAGGAGGAGGACCTCATGTCCAGCCTCAAGACGCTCGAGCAGGACCTGCTCAAGTATGATCCGGACTTTGAGTACGAGAACACCCATGAGGCCCAGTCCGACTGGTCCAAGTCGCTGCTCCACGCCTTCGCTCGCGGGCCGCGCCCCTTCGACCCGGCGTCGCAGGCCGAGCTGAACCAGATCCACCTGAACATCGAGCGCATCCGCGCCCCGGAGGTGGTCTTCCGCCCGTCCATCGCCGGCGTCGACCAGGCCGGCATCGTCGAGATCGCCGGCGACATCCTCACGCAGCGCCTGGCCGGCATGCCGACCCGCGACGACTTCCTGCGCGACGTCTTCCTCACCGGCGGCAACACCCTCTTCAGCAACTTCGACGACCGCGTCCGCGACGGCCTGCGCTCTCTGCTCCCCGCCGACTCGCCACTCGCTGTGCGCCGTGCCGAGGATGCTCTGCTAGATGCCTGGAAGGGCGCTGCCGGCTGGGCTGGATCGGCTGGCTGGAAGACATCCAAGATTTCGAGGGAGGAGTACCAAGAAAAGGGACCGGAGTATATCAAGGCACGTTCCAGCGTTTTCCCAACCTAATCACGCCAAGGTTTTATCGACGGCTTCGCTAACCCCCTTTCTAGGAACATGATATGGGCAATTCGTACGCGTAGACTGTGCAGTGTTGTTGGGGGCACCAGGGAGTCAAAAGCGGGCAGGTTCATGTACGGGTAGATATGGTTGTTTTGCTATTCAGGTCTGCGTTAATGAAGGTTCTTTGGTGCTTCTTTGGTGCTTCTCTGGTTTCTACATCCCATGCGAAAAAGACAGCTACAAAATGCATCCTAGTCTGTGTCGACATGCTGACGTCTCTCACTTACGAGGATATCGCATAATAATTCCACCTCCTTCATCAACATATCATCTCTCCCAAGGTGCGTTGCCCAACGCCCGCAAGCTAGTCTGCCAGCCAACCAGCTAAGTGAGTCCCATTTCCAGGTCCGTGACGACGGCCAAGTCGCAACAGCGCCGACGCGCCAATAATATAGGCTTCAAGGGAAAGGAATTTGGTAGCAAAGGACGTGAAAGAGCCCTTCGCCCATAGTAAGCAAAGTCCCGGAACGCCTCAGTAATCCGACTATCTTGTTTAACGTAACCAACACGCATCCTCAACGCCGGTATAAATCGAAAGCTAAAGGATCAGCGAGACCATCGGCGTCCTAAACCGCTGATGCCGCTGTATGGGCCTCATCTGGTTGCTGTAGCTGTCTGTTGATCTCATCTGCCGTTCGCGTGTCCTCACTCACGTCGTCGGGCTTGAATTGAGGGCTAGGGTACTGTTGTCGGTCAACCACCATTTGCTCTTGGGCGGCCAAGCCCGCGACTGCCTGGGCAACGGCCTCGAGCGGTCCGGCAGGATTACTCGGGGCCGGCTCAGGAACGTTTGTAGGAGGTCCAGGTGTGGTTGGCGGAGGTTGAGACAGGTTGACGTTCGGGGGCGGTGGTGGGAATTCACCCTGAACATCCAGCAGACGAGATTGTAGGTGGATTACATATTCACGGAGCGCATAGTTTTCCGACTGCATGGATTTGAAGGACTGCTCCATGTCGAGGTACTCGCGTACCTGCTGCTCCAATTTCTTGATGTATCCTTCTTTGCGCTGGCGGAAAGCTCTCTACAGTGACAGCAATTAGCCTCCTGGATTCTCTACCAAACTTCCTGGGCTTGATAACAAAGGGTGACATGGACTTACTTGGGCAGCTCGGTTCTGCGCGGCGCGCTTTGACTGGGACAGCTCGCGCTTAGCTTTCCTCCCATCATTGGAGCCATCATCGGGCAGCATGGACAAAGTTGGCGCAGGAGCTATAGATGCAGCCGAGGGGCCGGCAGAAGCTCCAGGGCTATGCCCCGAAGGAGGAGCGATGGGCATCATGTTGGCGGTGGGTACTTGGTTGGGTCGGGCGCGAAGATCGGGGTGGATGTGAGCTTCGGCCTCGGACTTAGTAGTGAGAGCGCGAGCGACGTCTTGAGAAGCAGCAATCAAAGGGTCGTATCCATTCGCTGGCCGCGCTGGGGCCGGCTGAAGGGTCGCGTTCCTCGGGTCGCGCGTGGGAGGGGTCGACGAGGACGAGGAGGTGACGTCGTGGTTCTTGAGGAGTTCAAGCTGTGCGCGCAGATGCTGCTCTGCTGATATAGTTCATGTCAGTGGGAGACTGGGCAGAGCAATTGCGACAATGATTAAGCCGGATGAGATGTCGGCGCAACCGGCAAGGATCGTCAGGGCAGTGCGAAGGTAAGGAAAGGGTGAAGCGGTCCGAACATGGACATGCGCCGAGGTGCGCGACAGGGATGATGTAAAGACGAGGATGGAGGGGGACCGGCGCGAGCGTTGCGACGAAGCGACGAAGCGACGAGGTTTGGGTGAGCGAAGAGGAGATGGGGAGCTGGAGATGGGGAGCTGGAGTCGGATCGCCGGAAAGGTGGTGAGGGGGGATTCCGGCAGCAAGCTGGCGACCAAGATGAAGACAAGGGAAGGATTAATTGACTGACCTTGAGTGCTGGCGCCGTTGGCGGACGAGGTCTGCATGCTTGAGCTTTGGGAGAGGAGGGTCTGACTCAGCATTCAAATAGAGCGGCGGGCGAGCGAGGATTATTACTACGGGGCAGGCGAGCGAGGCGCTGACGTGAACAAGAACGGGAGGGCTGGTGAATCGTGATACGTTCGATGGGAGGGATTATGTAACCCGCCGAGGTGATCAGGTCGGAAAATGGCGTGGCTGGGCCGGAGGGTAAACTGGGCGGGCTTTGCTCCTCCGCTTTTTGCTTGGCGTATGGCGGGTGGGCTTAGACGCGGAGGCTCGGGCTCTCGGAACCGTGCTCACTCGCTCGCGCTTTTCTTGGAGATTGTGCCTTGGTGACAGGTTCGTCCACGAGCGCCGGGTTGCGGCAAAGCAGGCAGCCGAATCGTCACTGTCTTGCTTGCCGGGTCTTCTGTGCCTCTGTCTCAGCCTGGTTCGTCCGACACCTTGGGCTCCAGCCTCGCGGACCAGGAGGGACAGCTCTCTGCGACGCCGCGTAACGGGGTCTCAATTGCTTTGACCTCGCGGGAGAGAAGCCGGACGCGACTCGGTTGATTCCACACGCGCGAGACGAAACGAGCCAGCAGACTGCGGCAACCGTAGCAGCGAAGGGTGCTTTCGCAATCGCTAGATGAGGGGGGTGGTGTCGGTGCAGCAAGGAAGGAAAATGGGTTTGTCAGCAGGATGCGCGAGAGTAAACAAAGACCCCCGCGAGGCCTGCGCCCCGAAAGTGCTTCGAGTGGGGCGCAGGAGCTTGGACCACTTGCCGCCAACTGCACGATCCGCTGGCTCAACACGCACCAGCGCCGCGATGCCAGACTGCACTCCGTCATACCTTCCATTCTTCCGTGCAGCTCTTCAGTGATACTCGTGACATTGGATCATCAAGTTCGGCATCTTGGCATTGACGCAGAGATAGCCAAATGCATACTCGGGTATATCGGCATGACAAAATTCCCCGAACATAATAAATATCACTTCACTTGTGCTCGATTTATGCCAGACTCCATCCGTCAACCTGCACCCCTCTCTCCCAATTCTTCGAGGTGGGGACTGCTTGGGACGACCAACACTCCCACCAGCCCAACCCAGCTAGATACATTCCACCACCACCACCACCACACAGGATCTTCCGCGATTGGAATCGCCCAACACGCCTACCGAGCATGGAGGCATCTTGTTGCGATGTTCGGACCGTTTACGATCCACCTCCCGGCCAGCCACAACGGATGACAAACAACATGGGTGTCGTTATCCTCTCGGCCTTCTCTCGGAATAAGCCAACAGTTCACCCTCAATGAGTCTCATGCAGCGGCCAGCCAAGTTTGTCCAGAAACCGTGCCTGCCGGGCAGCAAAATCACATTTCCTCTTCTCTCCCCGAGTCTATTATTGAAAGATTTTGCTTCGCTTCCCCCGCCCCAATGCTAGCAACCCCGTCAAGGTCAGCCGGTTCATCCTCTGTATTTTACCCGGAGTCACCCAATGATGACCTGGACCCCTCCCGAGCATTCCGGGGACCTCCACGACATGCCGAACTAGGCAACTACGGGAATCCAAACGAACTAATTGGATTTCGGCGCAGGTTCCATGCGGCTCTCATGCTTTACCGTTGACTATACTACTGTTGAGGTTCTTGTCTCCTATTCGCCCATCAGCAAAGCTCTCTGGCCTCCTCGATACACGCCCGGGTATCAAAAGTATCCTCTCTCATCGCAATCGATCTAACTTTAAAACTATCCACCAAAGCCCCCATGTAGATCCAGATTGTCAAGCACAGTCCTCTCGATGGCCAGCAAGAGCGTCATACCCATCCTTAGAATGGCGGTGTGTATGGCCATATTGGCCCGTCTTTGTTCTTATGGAAAGTCATGTATGCATTGCCGATAAAGCAAAGCGCAGCTATAGCGCCAACTTTTCCCAATCACTTGCGCCGTGACAGCTCAGCAGCTCCCGCTCGCTTGATGGAGAGTGGACTCGCTTCCCGTTCATGACTTGATAGTCATCGAGGTCTTCGCTTGACTAAGCGCCATGCAGCTTCAACGAATTGTAATGCACGCTCCTCAACTGCATCCTGGTCGTCACACACTCCTTAAATTCGGCACATGATGATGGGCGTGCCCTTTCAATTCCTAGTTGCCAGAAATTTCGCGATAACAAAGTCTCGGTCATCACCGTGTGAGCCCTTGACATGAGGTGCTCACCACAGTGGCGAGTAGGCAAGTAGCCTTCTAGCCCAACAGTTTCCTGATTCGAAACAGCCAGCCACATATCGCTGCTACATCTAAGCCAGAAAGCCACAATATGGCATTGTTTATGACCTTCTTTCCAAATATTTTTGGCGCAGATGAAGACCCAGGATAAAAAACTCGTTCTTTTTAAAGCACTTAATCCAGACTTGCGTTTCAACGTATAAAAATGCAGTCCAGATATAATACTGCGACACAAGAAGAAGTTCGAGCTTGAGGTTGATCTTAAAGTAAACGAACAGAGCACAAAGGTCGTTGACAAAAATCGCCACATATTCGACACAACCTGGGAAGATAATATTAGCTTGTTACCTAGTCAGATGCCTCCACGCTTTGTGTGTTGAGTTCGTGGTGTCATATCATAACCCGTACCAGTCAGCAGCTTTATCATGCCGTCTAGATGTTTTTGATGGATACTATCTTATTTCGTAGAATTTATTATTTCAACCCTCAAGAATCATCAGATGAATTTCATCGTTTTGTAAATGTTACAGTTGCCAGTAAGCGATGACTGTTGAAAGCTACTTCACCATGCACAGCAACCCCACCAACCGAAAAGTATTTCCCATCCCTCCATCCCTCACCACTCACAATCCTCCATCCACCACCCACAGCCAACGTCCTCGCAGCCTCATCAACGCCAACGCCACCCTCCTCCCGCTCCGCAATGCTCCTCCTGCGGCCATTATCCCGCATCCCCTCCCTCTTCCGGCCCTTCTCATCCTCTGCCTCCACCATGGCTGCCCAGCCGCGATTCTCCGCCGGCACCGACGCCGCGAGCCTCATGCCAGCGCTGACGCCCCTGTTGGTCTCCGAGGGTGGCCGGTGGGCGCTCACCAACGAAGGCGCCGCGCTAGAGCGCAGGTTCCGGTTTAAGACGTTCGCAAAGACTTGGGTTTGTTCCGTCCCTTTAGTGCTCTTGGTTCTACATTTGGGTCCCGCAGCTTTGATCAAAATGAGGTTGTGTATCTAGCATGATTACAGGCGGAACTGATGAGATATACACAGGACTTCATGACCGGTGTCTCTTTACAGTGCAAGATCAAGAACCATCATCCTGAATGGTCCAACGTACTCCTCCCTCATTCATATCGCTTATAATTCCTCAATCTAAGAACCCCAGGTCTACAACACGACATTCATCCGCTGGACAACCCACAACCCAGCCGGCCTCTCTGAGAAGGACGTCGTCATGGCCGCCGCGTGTGACACGCTGGCCGCCGAGCTGGGCGAGTTAGCCCCAGAGCCCGAGGCCGATCAGAGCTGCAGTATCAAGGGTCTGGCTGATCAGGCCGCCATTGCGGCAGGGGATTGTTGCACGCCCAAGAAGAAGTGAGGGGTGAGGGTAACAACGGCTGTAGGAGTACCAAAAAAAAGTAACCCAGCTGTTTTTGCCTATGAGGATCCGGTTGTAAGATATTTATCGTCAAAGTATATCCGGTCGAATATCCGTATGTTCATCTTGTCACTTAAATTGGCACTTGATGGTTGCTTTAATCAAAACGGTGTTATTTTCCTAGGTCAACGAACGACGCTGAGTATTAAGTACGTATGTCTAGAGCCTCTCCCGGGCTTATGCGGTTTTTTGTATATACAAGCGTAAAAAGTCGTTCTCGATCAACATCCCCAACGCCGTGCGAATGCTCGTACCGCCGCTCGGGCAACGGACTGGTTATGTGCCACATTCAGTCTTGATTCAATCATGAACTGAATATTTTCTCCTTCATTCCTTTCGCCTCTAGAGCAGCCTTGATTCACCGCAATCAAGATGTGCTGCCCATTGAAGTCGCTACAGTCGCTTATTGCTGCTTCTGAGCCTTGAGCAGAGCAAGCTTCTTCTCACGGCGGCGCTTGTTAGCCTCAGCACCGGCCTCAGTGTCCAGGCAGTAGTCCCACCAGCGGAAGCTGGAAGCGTAGTTGCCAATAAACTTCTCGTGGTGCAGGTCGTGGTGCTCGGCGCCAGCCCAAACGGGGAGGAAGTGGCGCAGACTCCAGGGGAAGTCGTAGCCGCTGTGGGCGTCGATGGCCTGGAAGAGGCGGAGCGTGATCCAGACGTACATAGTGAAGAGGTGGAGCTCGCCAGTGAAGGCCATGAGGAGGATGGGAGCGCCGACGACACCGATACCGAGGAGAGCAGTCTCAATGGGCGAGGCGTACTCAGCAGCAAGACCAAAGGGAGCGGCGTAGGTATGGTGCATCTTGTGGATGGCCTTGTAGAGGGGACCGTAGTGCAGGGCGCGGTGGAACCAGTAGTGCCAAGCATCCTCCATAATGAAGCAGATGGTGATTTGGACAGCCATCTTCCACACGGGAGGGAAGGGAACTCCGTAGTCCATGCCGAACCAGGTGGCGATAGGATGGAAGAACCAGATCTGAGGAAGCTCGGCGGTGAAGTGGCTGACGAGGACGATGACGGCGCAATCCCACTGCTCCTTGATGGTGGGGATCTTCTGGGCCTGGATCTTGTAGCGGTTGAAGAAGGGGATCCAATCCATGAGCATGTAGGGGATGCAGCGACCAAAGTAGACGAGTTCGTGGAGAACAAAGCTCATGAGGCCGGTGGCGAGGGTGTCGTTTTGCATGTAAATGTACCAAGCCTAGAGATGGCGTGTTAGTCTGATTGTGTCAAGTCGGGAATATGGATCGCAGTGGACGTACGGCCCAGAGCTTCTCGAGGAAGTTGAGTTGGATATTGTACTTGGAGACCTCCTCGAGGACGGAGAGGTAGTCGCTAGTCTGATTCGACATGCTGATGGTCGAGTTGCTGCGAGAGAAATCAGTGTTAGGAGTGCTGCGACGATTTCGAGGGAGAGGATTGACGCGCGCAGAGGGTCGCATCAGGGGCAAACTCACAGAATGTCCATGTTTGCGGTCGACTCCGATGGAGATTTCGCAACTAGTACTGTGTAAAAGGGAAATAGGAGACGGAGGTCTTTGAAGGAAAGACCAGCAAACACCGAGCGTTCAACGATTCCAAGTCGTCGAAGAGGGCGGCTCTTGAAGAGGTCGGCGATGGCGGTGATGGGAAGGAAAACGGGTAGTGGCTGTTGGGGAGGTTTTATCATTTCCTCGACAGCCCGCCGCGCGCCAGATCCAATTGGGGCGGCGGCTTGGCGGGCACACCCACACGCCCACTTGTGTATGCCAATTTGGCCAGTCACAGGGCAGCCGCACCCAAGGAATGGGAAGGAGGAGGGGACCACAGGGGTCCTTCCACCGTCGCCGGGACGGAACCTACCACCCACGATACGCAGCCCCTGGCACCATGGGTCCGTGCAGGCCGGCAAGAAATCTCAGGGCAAATGGCAAATGGGCATATGGTTCCAGAGATGAGCCCACTCCAAATTGTTCTTTCCGGCTTCCGGACGCAGGCGCAGGGCATTCATGGGGATCGTACGGGCTGCTCCAGGGCCATCAACGGGCGACGGCGCTGTAAACGCCCCCTCGAGTGCCGTCACCGCCCTGAGAGGTACGGGGGTCTAACGGGAATTTTGTTCAGGGGACCGACCACATGGGCCACTCAGTGGCCCCAGTGATAACCATCATCAACATCACTTTCCGGCCCCGACTTGGGAGATGAGGCAGAGGCGGCAATTGACGGCGGTCAAGGACGATGATTTACGAACTGGCCTGGGATACGGCCTTCGCCAGCTGTTACCAGGCATCAGTTCTTTTTTCCAGAGGGATTGAAGTTGCGCGACCAATTCAGCACAAAAAACAGCACTTCCAAGCGCCCTCGGCATCTCTCTGTCCCCCCTGTCCCCGGATCTGGTCCTGTCCGTGACAGCTGATTCTGACATTTGCGCGTCCCCTGGATGGACCAGTGGCGAGAACGAAAATGAAGTGTCCAGGGGTTGGTGACGATGGATCGATGTTGTTTACTCTGGACTGCCGACCCTCGTTCAGCAGTTTGTGGATGACCCCCGCCCGGCCCAGAGAGCTCCCGAGCAGCGGTTCATCAGCAAACTATTGCAAACATTGGGGGAAAGTGGTGTGGTCTTTTGGGTTCTGACAGCTTGAGGTGCTGGCGTATGGACGCTGCCGCCCGCCGCCACACCCAGGGATGGTCGCGGGAGATGATGAGCTACGTAGCATTGCAGCCAATTGCCTGTGTTCCACCGAGTATCGCCTTATCATGCGCGCCGTTGGTTCCCTTGTTCTGGCGCCGGCTGATGATCTCATCGATCGGACCCGTCGTCTTCGTCTTCGCCTTCGCCTTCGCCTTCGCCTTCGTGTTACAGCGCTTCATCAGCCTGTCTGGTATCCGAATACTTTGCCTTTTAACCTTGTTCCTTTTCGACCTTGTTTCATCCGGCCACCCAATCCAGGCCCTTGCATTTGGTATTTCATTCAGGCAGACAATACGTCCTCTGCCGGGTGTAGTCGGCGGCCTCGTGGCTCTGGCTGTTGGTGGTTGCTTGTTCGCAATCCGGTTCGTAACCCGAATACGAATACTAATACCGTGGTGCGGACACCCTCCACCGTGGTCCTCCACGTCCTACGATCCATCATCCACCGAACCGCCCAACCACAACCGTCGGCAGTCTATTCTACGCCTCGCTCGAACAGTGTGAGACGTCGAATCAAGCCAGGGTAATGAATGCATCTCAGTTGCTCCGCCCGCACACACTCACACACTCACACACTCGCATTCACTCACATGAGCTCGTGTTGGTCACTCACTCACTCATTCACATGCTCGCTCTCATCTCGCACAAGCCAACCCACCCCAACCAACGCCCTCACTAACACGGCCCCGTCTCTTACAGTTTCACCCTCGCCGGCCGGGCAGACGTCGACTTATCGCTAGGCCGTTGGCGACCTCCGCCCCGGCCACATCGCGCCGCTCTCTCGGCTCCCCAGCTTCCGGGCCTGTCCGTGTGGTGTGATGCCATCGCCCGTGCTGTGCCGACGTAATTGATCTCCGTATCCGTACCGTCGGTCTGGGCTGATGGCGAGTACCCCACACGCACAACCCGCCTCCGGTCCGTTGCCCAGCGCACACACACAGCACAGCACACGCGGCCCTAAGCCTAAGCCTGAGCCAACGCCCGCGCTGACGTAGTAAGCACAATATCCGCTGCGAGCTGCACACTGCGAATGTGAAAGTCTGGGACTGGCCTGCACAGTTCACGTCGCCACCAGCCTCCAGTCACGCAACACACCACTCCCGGTAAACCCACCAGGGCCACCACCCATTCCAGCCCGATCTGCCGCCCGTGGTCCCGTGCTTCCGCGCCCTCGGCCGAGTTGATTTGCGGCTCTTCTTCTGCCCGTCTGCCGTCTCCAGTCAGCCGCTGCCTGTACCTCCGTCCCGACTGTGGTGCCCACGCTCCGTCCGACCCTCCGGTGGCTGTACGGGGATCTGCCATTGACCAGTCAGTTCCTGGACGGCCCTGAACAGCCCTGAACAGCCCCCTGCGAGCTGCGCCTGCTGGCCGATGCTGTACCCGCCGAGCCTGACACTGGTTGCGTTGTCAAAGCCTGGGTTCTTGCTCTGCCCATCATGACTCTTGTCTCCGAGTTCGTCCGCCCACCCCTGACTACTTAGCCATCCCACACCCGACATTTCCAGTCCCCATGTCTCTCCCTTTGGCCTTGGCTGGGCCGACTTTTGTCCTGGTAATACTAACTTCGCCAACAGCCAGGTGCGGCGTCTCGACGCCTATCTGGATCGTCTCCCCGTCCTCTCCGAAGACTCGTCCGAGGATGGACGCGAGGAAACTGATGACCGGGGCTTCACCGTCGCCAATGCCTTCTCTTCTCCTCGCCTCGACCACCTGCTCCGCATCGTCCAGTCCCTCAGCACCTCATCCTCTCACCCTCTCCTCCCATCATGGCGCATCCGGAGCCTTCTCACTCAGTCTGGAATCCCTGCTCCACCTGGTGCTATTGTGAGGCCTTCTCATGTTGATGCCTTGAAGAGTCCTTATGAAAATGAGATCGAGTGGCTCCTCGTCAGCAAAGCCACCATCCATATTCATGGCGTTGTTCTCGACACCCTGCTGGAACAAATTATCCCGCTCAGTGACGACATTTGGTATTGGGACGATGTCCTCAGCTCATACGCCTACAGCAGTCTGTACACTGTTCAAACCTCCCCGGTTCGCCTATGGTCCTGGTCCCAAGAAGTCTACAGCACGACCAAGCTGCGGCTTCGATCCAGTTCCGTGCGAGACGCTCCGGCCGACTTCGTAGACTCGACTAGGACCGGACTCTCGCAACAGTGGAAACAGTTCTATGGCATCGTTCAGGACAGTATACGCGAGCGTTCCTTTGCCAACATCCAACGTAAGGTCCTGTCTCCGGTGGCTCTCTGCCGTGCGGAGGCTAGACGGAAGCAAGCTCAGTTGAGGAAATTGAGAGAGATTACCGCCAGCGGACTTGGCGTTTTGATGGATGAGGGCTTGCAGTTTGGTCCCGACGACGAAAAGGCCGAGATGCAGGACCACCACGACCTCAAGGGTGTCGTTGAGCGTAGCGTCGCCCTGATCGACATGGTACTCAAGGAGGTCTGCACTCTGGATGTTAACATTAACGACTTCGAAGACAAGGTGTTTGCTGGCGTGGAAGAGGACCCCGAGCTCTCAGTTCACCTGGAGGATAGCAACGCAACTGAACGACCAGCAATCCTCGCCCGACGGCTACTCCAAATCATTGACAAGACTCTCCCTGAACACCTTACTGTTATGAAGGGCCTAGCAAAGGAAAACGGCCCCCCTTCTCCCTTAGTGCGGTATTGGCTCTTTGCCAGTGTCGGTGTGCTCTCATCAACCACCATCTTGCGGATTCTACTCAACCGAAAGGCCGATATTGTCCAGTGGTTCCTCGATTTTGGGGCGACGGTCCAAGATTTCTGGTTCAACTGGGTTGTGGAACCGACGGGGAAGGTTATTCAAACAATCCGGCATGATAAGACGAGTGAAATCGCTATCATGAGCCGGGACAGTCTCAAGGCCGATCGCGAAAGTCTCGAACGCATGGTTGTTGACTTCGCCCTTGACAAACCCCATTTCGCCTCGACGAGCGGAATGCCTCTATCCGACTCTCAAATTGCCGAGATTCGAACCAAGGTCGCTGAGGGTGATGTAACCCCAGTGCTTCGAGCGTTCGAGCAGGACCTGCAAAGCCCTCTTATGGGCGCGATCCGGGGCGACCTGGTTCGGTCACTTCTGATCCAAGTTCAGAAGACAAAGGTTGATCTTGAGGTTGCCATGACCGGCATCGACTCCCTCCTCAAGAGTCAGGAATTGGTCTTCGGCTTCGTCGGTCTCACTCCTGGTGTCATCGTTTCGGTCGGCCTCTTCCAGTACCTTCGCGGCATCTTCGGTGGACGATCTGGCCAGCGCAACTCGGCCAAGGCCGGCAAGGCTGTGCGCGTCCTCCGAAACATCGATCGTATCCTCTCCGAGGCTCGTCCCACAGAGAGCAACCTCTTGTCGTACAAGGACCATGGTCTCTTGTTGTGCGAAGTACATGTCTTGCGCAACTTGGTCGATCGGTTGATGCCCCGCGACATTGGAAGGGAATTCCTCGAGGACCTTGACGATCTCTCCAATATGAAAGGCATCCAGCTGCAGGCCCGGGCCCTCGAGCGCATCCGATGGGCCTACGGCAGGTGGCTGAAGTAAATTTACGGTCGTTGAGCCTCCGGCCCCGGCTTGTATAGTATCCCAAGGAAGGGGTGAAAACAGAACCTACCCGGTGTAAAAAGATCCGTAGATTGCAGAAAAAACAAATCAATAATGACATGACATGTCAATGACAATCAAGTGTTTTCATCGAACTTGTTGATGTAGCAAAATTAAACCCCGAGGCTATGGGCCGCTATTTAACGACATCAACGTCAAACTTTTCCGCCTCCAGTAACCACGAAATCTTAAGTGGCTGTCTGGCTGAGGCATAATAACTCCTTGTAATTCCATCAAACCCAATGACGCTCTGTCACAAATCAACCAAGCAGCTTGAGGATATCTGCCATGCGGGTATCCTTGGCCTTCTTACCCCGGCCCGTCTTCTCCTGGAAGGCCTTGGTGACCAACTCCCGCTTCTCCTGTTGGATGTCCAGCACGCGCTCTTCGACCGAGCCCTCCATGACGAGGCGCCACACCGTTGTCGGGCGCGTCTGGCCCAGCCGGTGGACACGGTCTATGGCCTGGTCTTCGATGGCCGGAGCCCACCCTGCGAGTAGAAAGTAACGGTTAGAGTAGAGTTCTCGACGGCGTGTAAAAGAGGGGAAGTAGGCTGGCTTACAACTATCAGAGAGAATGACGGTATCGGCAGAGACAAGGTTAAGACCGACGCTGCACACGGCGAGGCTGGCAAGCATGACGCGCGTCTCTGGGTCGTTGTCCAGGGCGTCGATGGCGCGGTCGCGATGGTCTGCCTTCATGCTCCCGTCGATGCGAGTATACTTGATTCCCGCCGCATTGAGCTGGCTCTGCAGGATGTTGAGGAACGACGTCCACTGTGAGAACAGGATGACCTTGGACCCATCGTTGCGCAGCGTGGCCTGCACGATCTGCAGCATTGCCTCCGTCTTAGAGCTCTGCGTCTCCGAGTCGAACTCGGGCGCCTCGTCGCCGGCAGTCTCGGGCGCAGGTTCGAGCAGCGACTCCGCGGAGAGCGGGTTGCGGCACATCGGACACTTGCCCTGGATCTCAATGGCGCGGGTTATACAGCCCGAGCAGAATACGTGACTACAAATCGTGATGACTGGTGATGTAGGCGTGTCGTAACAGATGGCGCAGTCTTCTTGCGTCTCAATGTAGAGACGCAGGGCTTCTTGGAGCAACCCGCGGTTCTTATCATTAAGGACGACGACGTCTTGATCTTCGAGCAGCTTGAGAATATCGTTAATACGCTGTTTGCAAAGCGTCCAATGGTTGCAGCTAGATAATTGTGAGCGATTCAATATGCCGACTATGAGAACGGGGTATGCATACGTTTGTCGGAGACGAAGCAGACGTTCGAGGACGTTCTGGAAACGGCCCTTCTGTCCCGCTGCAGAATTCGCCTGGTATTCTTGCAAAACACCCCTAGCTTCCGATCTGTAATTTTGTAAGCTAGCATTCCAAGCAGAATAAGGCCGGTTACACATACAGCAGAGCGTCGTATTTGTGCTTCTCATCGGGTCGGAACTGAATTCGGTGGATGAACTCCTTCTTCTCGGGCAGTTTGAGATCCACAAACTTCATATCCTTCTTACGCCGGAGGCACAGATCCTGCATCAGCGCCTGGAGTAGGATCTGAGCGCTTCTATCGTTGGAACCTAGACGGCGGGTGATTTTGGCGTTGAAGATCTCGAGCTGTTCGATGCCTCCAGTGATGTGAAGGAATTTGACGAGCGAGTGCAAGTCTTTGACGGAGTTGATGCTGCGTTACATTAGCGATGACTCAAAAGACGGGTTGCTCAGGCGACCTACATTGGAGTTCCGGTTAGAACCCATCGAGACTTGGCTTTGAGGTCACACGCGGCGAGTGCGGCTTTAGTTCTGGCGTTGCGAATCGTGTGGCCTTCGTCCAAGACGACTCTGCGCCACTCGATGGACGGCGACAGCAACACCTTGCTGACGCCATCCTCGCGCTCCCGGGACAGTTTCCCGTAGCTGGTGATGACAACGTCATACTTCATCAGCTCCTTAGCCGTCGCCCTCTTGTCACCGTGGTAGATGAAGACACTGGGAAGCTGGTCGGCCTGGACGTGTCGCTGAATCTGCTGCTCCCAGTTGCTCATGACGCTGACGGGGGCGACGATCAAAGTAGATCCGGGTCCGCCTGTCAGGATGAGACTGATGATCTGAAGCGTCTTGCCCAAGCCCATGTCATCGGCGAGGATTCCTCCAGAAAGAAGATTCGGTGCGGCCGAGGTGACAAAGTCGGAAGCAATGTTCCAGTATCGACCTCTGCTGTCGAGTTTCCACAGCTGAACGACATTGTTGGAGCCTTTTTGGGGAAGTTGGGGGTTCTCTTTGGAGGTCATCCAAGCCAATCCCTAGATAGTGGTCAGCAGTTGCACTTACATCCACCTCTCGCGTAGACATACCTGACGCTGGTATGGCAGAAGCTGCGACTTAAGCCGGGAAGGCTGGTCAGCCTTTGGCATCTGCTCCAACTGATCCTCCCCGATCGCAAGGATCTTGATGGCGTCACCTCCCTTGCGCATCTCCACGGCTTCACTGGTCTTCAGGAGAGCTTCCAACGACACCTCCGGCTCCGTCTGGATAGCACCATCCTGATTAAGGCCGTTCACGGTGCTGGCACCGGTCAGCCCCATCACGGCCCTCCGAGCCTCAGCATCCTTTCTAGTGTTCTTGAGCTCGGTGGCCTTGACGAGTTTGTCCTTCTTAAGCAAGTCCTCGACCCTGGCACGCTCAGTTGGGTCGCTTGGGCCAAAAAAGAAGAGCTTGACGGGACAGTCGTAAAAGCCCTTCTCGCCTGTGAGCTGGGCCTCAAGGGTAACATCACCACGATCCTGGGGCGGAGTTAGAATGCAATAGGACAGGTTCTAAGGTATTATGTACCATGTACGGTGCGATTTTCTCGGCGATTTTGCGGGGGAGATGGCCAATCTGGTCGTTCACGACGTTGTCCACTCGGATCGCGTTTCGATCATACTGCTTGAGCTATTAGTTTCTCCATGTCTCCGGCCTGCAGCAACCGCCTGAGACACGATGTCCGGGATTGGATGCCTAGTTCACAGCAAAGACACGAACCTGATTTTGGGGCTCCCTTCTGCAGAGAACGGTTTCTCCCGGCGACGCATAACCTCTGTAGTATCTGATTCCGACAATCTTCCCCGCTGTGACGCATCAGATTATGCAGGAGCGGCATTCAGTCACGAAACACGCACCAAAAGTCCCGTACAGCTCGCGATCCGGTTCATCGCTGTCCTGCGTAAGGTCCAGAACGTCTGGTTCAATAACGGGCACCAGCTGAGACGAGGCGGCGAGGGCGTTCGAGCTCTGTGGAGCAGTGCTGTACACGTTTGTACCACCTAATCCAGGTGGATAACCTGGTGTTTCTCTGCCATTGCGCTCAATCCGCCGGGGGTGCTGCGCCAAAGCGGGCCGTTTGCCGTGCGATCCATTCGTGCCCGTCTCACTGTCATCGCCCGTCAGGTCGATGAGTTCGTGGGTGCGTTTCGCTGGCCGAGGCATCGTGATGGTGCGGCGGTGAGCAATTGACGACTTCTACAGAAGCGGGGGGTTTGTGTCTTTGTTTCCCTTCCTTCCTCCTCTAAATGATTCACTCTAAAGCCTTATGTCGCGTGTAGACGCGTCGGGCCGTCGACAGCTGTAACATGAACTTGCTTCTTCGGTCGGACCGCCGCCGGATCATCCGGTTGTTCCGCTATTGATCGCCCGCCATCATCTCCACCAGTTTCCTCACCTACCGAAATCCTTCATGCCGAGGTGGCTTTCTCACCACACCGAGTTGTTCACGGCCACGTTAATTAACTCATGCATATTTCAGATAAAGGTTACACTAGTCACCTGGACATTTTTCCTGTTGGCCTTCGCTGCTTAATACGTGGTTGGCTTTAACTCCGGTACCACCCGCAGTCCCCCACCTGGTGCAATATCGTGTTGTGTGCATCCAAACCATTGGGTACGGGTATAACACGCCAGCTAAGGCTTTCGGGTTGGGATGCATTATCATGGGTGGCCCGGTGCAAGTAAGCCTAGGGTATCCATGTGTAGCTGCAATAATGTACTCGTGCCCCTGTATCATGGATGCCCCATGGATGCCTCTTTGCCAGCCCTTGGGTTGATCTCAAACCTTCAACTGGCGGTCTAGGGTCTAAACGATGCTACACGAGTGTTGCAATTGATGAATCAGTTTTTCTCTTATCGCCTGATTGCCATGTCGCACTGTCATGTATGATAAAGGCATGATAGTGTACAGGCGAAAATGGGCTCATTTAGGTATCAGCAATGTCTGCACCCTTTCCCGCAAAAAGGTATGCGCAATTGTCGAACTGAAAGACTGTCACGCAATCACGGATACATTCAGTGCCGGGATCAAGGGGTTCTTTGTGTGCGCCCGTCGTTGGAAGTGTCCGTGCTCAGTTGGTCTGGCTACGAAGACTCGCACCTCCAGGGTAGTACGGGCTACGACATGGCGTCTCTCCGATAGCTACTAAGTATCCCCGATTCTTGAATCGGAATTTCTGATGCTGTACTGGGTATCATGCGTGGAATTGGTGGGTGGCTATGTTGAAAGTTAATGTTTTAAGTTGTTGGAACTATACGCTGGCTCTTTCACTTGTTCCCCGCAACTAAGTTAATGCTACCGTATGAAAGCCAGTGTTTTTTCTAGGAAATCATTAGCCCTAGGGGATTGAAGATAATCGCTTTTTTTATATAACCCTAAGTGCTATAAGAAATATCTCATTATATTTATTAGCCTTTACCGTGAGCCTAGTACTCGGAGTGTTAGTCTAATTGATATTTGGTAAGGTTAGTTAATCGAACCATTGTTTAGGTGGCCTTGTTCATCATCAAATAATGAAGGATAATTAAATAATCGAGTATCGCAAACTCAGACAATCGAGATGAAGATGGTACATCACTAGGAACACAGTGGAAACACAGAATCGGCCGTGTCGCTCCGATTCAGGTCCAGCAAATCAAACAATAAAATGTCGCTGGATCACCAAGATGATCGAATCGAAAACCTGTATATAGACAAACACTTAATCATCTGGATTATCCCACATCAATCACTCAATAGTCTCGAACCATGTAAAGTGTAAAGCATCGAGTACCAGATTCTAGAGCTGATAATCATCTTGATGTCTTAGAACAACGGCTTGTGTCACCATCATCTAACGCTTTCTGCCTCGAAAAATCTCCATCAGAATAACACGCGATTGGATAAAAGCGTAGGCACTAATTATTGACCCTTGTGTTCGTTGACTTTTGTCATATTCACTGCTGGTACCAAAACGTGGGCTAAATAGCGGCACTAAGCCGATACAATAGGCTAATCAGACGTGGCGCAATTAAAGCAGTCCAGCCTTAATTGAACGTCACGAGCGGGTTCAAAAGTTGGGATGGCTCTTCCAATGAGGTGAAGAGTTAATATGGCACTGTCTGGATTAAATCAAGTCCCATTATGGAATGCATAGTGCGAGATGAAGAGGTAGTAGTAGTCATGAGCTTTATTGTTACTCTGCTACTGAACTACCTATGGTTTATATATGCTAGTTCTGAACAAAGGAAATTTCCAACGTGTGACACCCAGTGCTGCCTCAAGAGGTTGCGACTTTGCTGCTCATCGGAATCGTAGAGCACAGGCAGGGCTGTCATGATTCTCGTGTATCATCATCTCGTATCCCCGTGTTAAAACCCAATCACCATCGGAATTAGACAAGGACGAGTGGCTTAGTAAAGGCCGACGCAAATGTCTCCCTTGACGCGGGCAGTCAAGTGGACCTCGGCCTCGAGGTCGAGCTTGATGCCGACGAGGAGGGCAGCGGACTTTTGGTTGCCGTTGTCATCGGTGGCACCCCTCAGGAGCTGGCCTGCAGGGAGTTCGTCAGCGGTGGTTCTCGAGGGCGCAGGGAAGTTCCTGTGACTTACCGGCAGGCTGAGAGAGACCGGTGGAGGTGGGCAGAGGAACAACGAACTGCTGCTTGGCGCCACGGCGTCCGCCACGGGCCTGGCCATCAGAGTCGGAGTCGGACTGGTAAGGGTTGGTCTTGGCGAGGCTGGATGAGCTAGACGAGTCAGCCTGTGTTCCTCTGGATGCTTGAGTAGCAAGCAAGCTGCAGAGCGCTTACGTGATGGGGGGCTTGGGAAGGGCAGGAGTGGAAGTGGTGGTGGGAGAAGTGGTGGTGCTGAACAGTGTTAGACTCTGGATGCCACTTGACTCCCAAGCGAGTGAAGAGGATAGGTTCTTGGTTGAGCGGGTTTCTTACGCAGGAGCAGACATATTGATTGTTTGGGGGGGTGGACGAAAGTCGTTGGTTTAAAGAGGGGAGGATTGATGGTGATTGGAGCTGGGGCTCGAGTGATGATTGTTGAGAAGATGTGAGAGTTGATGATGAGAGAGAGTTTGGTCCAACGACGATCGACCGGCGAGCTTATATAGACAATTCGGGGCCCGTCAGGCCCATTGCTTCTTCACGAGGCAGCCCCCGTTTCTGCGAAAGATCCCGAAGCGGACTCAGACGACATGCCGAAAACCTCTCCAAGGCACATCGCGAGCCCACACCGGGCTGCGGCTCCGGCCACCGTGAGCGGGACCCCGTACATCACCGAGCTACCCCAGCACATCCTAGCATCTCCAACCTCGCAGTTTGATGAGTTGTCAATGCTGTCTCACCATGAGGCACGCTAGAGGGCTCGCGGCTCTTTGGTTTTCCTGGGGATGGTGTGAGAGCCGGCTGGGCCCCTGCCGGACATCGATGGTCCCGGTAGGTACAGAAGGACTCTACAGAGGCGCTCTGTGATGCATGGCCCCCAATGATAACCTCCATATATCCTTCGCCGCCTCGTCTACATCGTCCACATTGCCCCCATCATCGGCCGCCGGGGAAAACCAGAGCCGACGGCAGGGGGGCTCGACTCCACACCAGCTATCACAGACTGCGCGCAGCGGCTGCAGAACAAAGGTGCAGCGTCGCAGCTGGATTGACACGTCTGTACGGGGCGTCAGGGGGCACTGCTTCGTTGGCACGTATCTTGCGATATCATCCGATGTTGGCATGGGCCGTGGCGTTGAGATCCCTGCCTCCGGACCTCCGAGTGACCCCCCGGCGTCGATTCCTCGATGGCCCGCGGCACTTCCGACTACGCGGCGTCGATTTCCCGCATCTAGCCTCCGTCGAACCCACTCACATACTCACATATACCCCGACGATGCGGGTGCAGGGATACGCCCGCGACGCCGCAGCCGCCGTGTTTCGCATATGCGTGTTGGCGGAAAACAACGCCGCTCTTGCGCCCTCTCCCCCCCAACCGCATCGTCGGTCTTCGATAGGCTCATCGCTGCGGGAAGTTGGGGTTCGCCCAGGGTCAGGCTTCTGGAGAATTTTCCTTCCAGCTTGATGGCTTCGGTTCGGGTCTTGGGATGACATGATTTTGTCGGGAAACACCGGCAACCCGACGCTTGATTGGATTTCATTACACGGTCTATCCTGGTATCTGCACGTCTACCTGCGCTGCAAAACTTTTGGTGTCGGGGATCTGGGGCGAACAATCCTTAAATAGTGTACCGTTTTTGGAAATCTTTCTGTGTATCCCGGAAGTTGAATTCCCTCCCTCCCTCTCTCTTGCGTCATCGTGTGGTCTTCTTGAATGGTTCGTCGTTGTCATTGTTGTGGTGGTTGAATTAGCGACATCAATGTCGGCCCCGTCCTCTTCGTCCTCATTCTCGTCCTCGTCCTCTTCCACGTCGACGTCCACACCCCAGAGCGCCCTCCAAGATCTCTTTGGCACTCTCTGCAAGCAAAAACTGCTCGAAGAAGTTGACAAACTCAAAGCCGCCATCGAAAAGGACGACCCACAAGAAGTCATCATGTCTATCCCTATGCTGCTCGCCCTCACCATCTGCCCGGCTATGCTGGGCACCCAAGAGGCTATCCGCCAAAGTCAGTCCAAGACTAAGCGAGAGGAGCATCGTTCTCGCCGATGCAACTTGATCGTGTCTTGTGTGAAGCCTTCGATTCGAAGCCGTGATATCAACAACAAGTTGATTGTCCTAAAAGATTCAAAGGTAGCTATCCCCAGTCCTTGGCTCAGCAGGACGCGAACATAACTGACACTTAATACCCTTTCAGCTCTACATCGCCAACGAACACCCCTTGTACAATCATGACCCCAAAAACAATGTCAGCAAGGGTTACCCTTTCTCAGGATACTTCCTCCCCTACCCTGATTCGGAATACGAAGGCCTGGTCAGTACAATCAGCGACGACCCTCCCCAGCTCAACTGGATCTACATCGACAAGAAAACATATGAGGTCAAGTATGGTCTCCGCACAGAAGCCCAAGAAAACATCACGGGCCCATTCGACTGCACTAAGCAGGACCGACGCATGACCCTTGAGGGTTGGGAGGGCTTCTGCGCAGTAGAGGAACTCCCTGGCATCTGGGCCCTCTTTTACGACCGCGACGATAATGGCCTTAAGAACAAGGTCCCCTTCGGCACCAGAGTCCTCGAGGTCGAACTCACGAGACGCGAGAAGAAGGAGCCCAAGCCAGAGCCTGATGCCGGGGCGCCCATGACTCTCGAAGAGAAGTGGAAGCAGCACAAGGCGGAGACTCAGGAGCAGGAAGTGGACCGGGAAGCCTTTCTCGCCACTGGCAACCCTGCTGCTGCGTCTGCCGAGCCCACGCAGCCCACGCAGCCCATTCAGCCCCCTGCTGCAGCCGAACCCACTTCCGAAGAGAGGAAGCAGAAACTCGAGGCTCTGAACGAAGGGATGCGTCGCCTCGGTCTCACTCTGGACAATGTCTCTATTTCCAAGTCACACACTCAATCACACGCTCCCAGCGTGGCTACGAACGACTACTCTGTTTGGTCGGCTGCTAGAAAGGCCGCCGATGGCGACAGCAGCTCCGTCACAGCAGCCAGCTCGGTCTCGGGCAGGAATCCCGACACCGCCAGCGTGTCGAACGGGTCGGATAATGACATGTACAAGAAACCATATGTGGAGGACGCTACGGCTTGATACGGATGGGCTACAAGGGCATCAGGCATTAGATTGGCATATTGATATCAGGCGTTTGATGGATGGGCATACATAACATTGGCTTGTCTCTTTTGCGTTCAGCTACAAGGGTTAATTCTGAAAATAAATTATCGTAACCCTGATCTCCCGCCCGTCCCGTTCCCCAGATTATTGAAGCGATCTCGCGATGAACACCCCAGTCAGTTGGCCTGGGTAACATAACCGCAGCAACCTAACCGCAGCAGCCGGCAATTAATAACAAAAAATCTCGGTTATACCCACAGGGCAGGGTTTCCGGAGGTTGCATTTCAGGTTGCATCAACTGATCTGCAGTAAGCATGGGTGGTGACTGGCGTGCTCACACAACCAGCCTCACTGGGCCGATTCCAAGACATGCATTTTCGACTTTTCGTTCGATTTGAAATGGTAAAGGTCCGTGATCGTCCTTTCATCGGCTTACCGTTGACACTGCCGAGCTGAGGGGTGGGGCGAAGGTGGTCGGTCAAGTTTCAACCCACCACACTACGTCAAGGCGAATCCATCGGGCAGATTCAGGATGAGGGCGCCAATACTATGTGGCAGCCAACCCTCACGCGACCTGGAGTCGACAAGGGATTCGGGCATCGGGGGAACCAAGTCCGGAGCAACAACTCATCTGCAAGTTCCTTTCTGGCGCTTACCACGGCACGATCTCTTGCTGCTCGAACCAGATCGGTCACGATGCCGGTGTGATGGGCTGAGAATTGGTGTGAACGGATGTGATGGCTGGGGGCCGGTACAGGAAACTAGCTACTTGATACATACATGAAATGTAACATGGAATGCAACATGGCATCGACCAACATCTACTCGCATCTACCAGTATCTACCAGCATCTACCACCCTGGCATCACCGGCCACGATTGGCAACGGCCATGTCGATTTCCCCAGACAACTCCGGAGCCGCCAAGCTCACCGGCCATGTGCCTGTCCGGACGTTGCAGGGACTAGGTTCTTTACCCCATGCGCTAGCTGTCAGATGATGCGCCGCGATGCAGACCCATGTCTATTAAGCCTCGCAAGGCACCGGCACCGGGGTTCTAGAATCAGCAAGGGCGTCGGATCGGGCTGTTGAGAGGCGCATTGTTCAACGCCCGACCATGAACCCGTCTAATCCCGCTCGCATCATCCCGTCTCAAAAGCAAGTTGACAAGTGCATGTCGGTCCGGCCGCGAGAATCAGCTTTGCCAAGAAGATATGAGGCAGTCGAGAACGTCATCTCGGTCGCAAATTGCCGCAAACTCGTATCCTTGCCGCCTGGAGGCCTTCTTCCTCTGCCCTTTGCCGGCCCCTCCAGGAGTCTAGCGGAGCCAGCTGAACCAGCTGAGAGCGGGTCTGCGAGTTGCAGGTAGGATCGCTCGTCTAGATGCTTCCGTAGTACGTGGTATAATTACGGAGCACAGCCAATTCTTCAGGGCGCTTGCTCAGCCGCACGAATCTCCCGATCGCTTAGGCCTGGTCAGGGATCTATCCCGTGTGTGGCCCTGTCACATTGGGCAATCAACTGTAGCTCTCGTACGGAGTTTGACACACTCAATTGCGCGTTCAACTAAGAAAGAAGCTCGTGCTCTCGATAGGCAATTGGCAAAGGAACATCCATGGAGTCTCGATGGAGTGTAGACGGGGTTCATTGGTGACAAAAGAAAATATATGCCGCGCGGAGTCGGTGAACGGAGGCCAACGGAAATGAAGTATGTGAACAGGCTACTTGCCGGGTTCCTACATGAGCATCTCCACCCAAGATATCTCTGGACACTCAATTACGGAGACTACCGGGAGACACGTTGCCTGTTGCTATAGTTACTCTTGGATCTTAGACATGGAATTAGAAACTTGATCCGAAGTAAAAATTTCCAGAGGACTCTCTGACGGGTCATGTCAACTGGCCCACCATGAAGTGAGACTTCTCGAATGACCTTCCACTTGAGCCAAGGGCCTGATCCGACCCGTTCACAGACCAATCTCTGCCAAACGAAGAACTTACCAACAAGTTTCTCCTCAATGAATCCTAATTGTCTTGGCAACGTCATCCTGTTACAGACAGACCTTTTTTATTTCGCGAGGAAACCTCTGTGAGACTTAGCCAGAGATCCTCAGAGCAAAAGAGGATGAATGACCTCGGCCCTTCGGGGTCGTGCAAGGGCCATGGCGAGAAGGACACCTAATAGCAAAGACAGAAAAGGTCGGAAGGACAAGGCCAATGAGGAACAAAAAAGGGCCAAACTGAATAGAGAGACTGGTCTGGATTGACATTCGACGTCTCTGGGTCTCAAATAACCATTATCTTCTTCAAATAACCATCTACATGGTATCAATCAGAATGGATTGGTTGAGACGGCTTGGTGACGATGGATGGCCTTATCTTTTAGTCTAGGAAGGAAGAAAGCTAGCTAATTTTACCCAGGGATCCGGCCGACCTAGATGCCCTTGATCCGATGAAGCCGTCGCTAGTCGGTAATTTAGGTTGTTGAGGACTCTTTAGGTTGTTGAGGACTCTTTAGGTTGTTAAGGACTCTTTAGGTTGTTAATGGTAGACTAGGTTCAAAGGAAACCACGGTGCGGATCCGGCCCTATGCAAAGCTGACTTTTCCTACCAGGCTGTCTGATATACTGCAAGCCTCAGAGTTAAATACTATTATATAATGGTTGCTTCCCTTAAATTGGTTGGTCTCTTACCCATGGCAGTCTTCAACTTGAGTATTATTCCGTAGCTACTTGCAACTAATTCATTCTTGACTTCCAACCTGTTCCAGCTCGGCACACGCCAATATCGGAGTTCTGATACTTTGAGTGAACTTGAGTGAACTTGAATTGAAATCAAAGATAGCCATTTAACTGCTCATCACACCAGGCAAAAAACTCAACAACATTCCCCGACTGTTCATCAACGGCAGTCCTGCATGCAGAAACCAAATCTGGGCGGACCGTTCCAAGCCTACCGAACGGGATGACCCAGGTATCAATGTCCTTCAACGTCTCCAAATTGAGGTCCGTAGAAAGACCCGCGAACAATTCCGTGTATGCGCCTTGGATGGCCTTGTGGAGGAACATATTTAAGATGAATGACCCAATCCAAGACACCTCTGTTGAAAATGTTCTCTGAAGATCAGTCTTGATATTGCCTGGATCGAGGTACTGATTGGAATGTCAGTTACTGTTCGTCTACTCGAACACGCTGCATTCGGGTTCCACGCGAACTGCGAACGGGAAGAAACTCACAACGCTGAGAATACCATGAACCCTCAGAATTCTGTTGAATTTCCCACTGAGAAAATATTCTCCCGCCTTGCTAATGCAGTACCGTGTGGTTGGCGGGTGATCGTGAAATTTCCCGTTTCTGAGCTCTTCCACGTCTACACCTCCTTTCGGAGTTAGCATTGCTCCTGAGCTGCCTACCCATACAACTCTCGCCTCCCCTATGCCCACGTCGGGCAGACGAGCTGTATTTTTGAGTGTTTCTTCAAGAAGATATGTTAATAGATATGGTCCAAGGCAGTGGACACCCATCTGTAATTCCACACCATGGCTATTCTCACTGCCTTTAGGAGGGGCCAGGACACCGGCATTGTGGAAGAGGACATCTAGTCGTTGCGACTTGGAAAGGAACTCAGAAGCACCGGCTTTGATCGAATCGTACGAACCAAGGTCCAGATCTAGAGGATATAATAACCCCTTCGACAATGGATGAAGAGATTTGATCTTCTCGACGGCTGTTTCGAGCTTAGGCCGAGATCGAGCGGCGAGGAAAACGGTCGCGTTCTTGGAGTAAAGAAGAGCAGAAAGCTGGAGGCCAATACCTGACGTGGGTCCCGTGATGACGTAGACCTAAGATAGAGCGTATTAATTCCTGCCTTGACGAAGAGGAGGAATGCACTGGCGGTGTGGGAGCCATACCTTGCCAGTTAGATCCGGCAGGTTCTTTTCTGTGAACACCGGCCGAGGTGGGAAAGCTTGACTGAAAGATGCGCCCATTTTAGTCAACTGAGCTTTATTGGCAACGAAGAATTGGCCTGCCGAACCGCTTACAGTTGCTGATTCTCTGGTTCTTATACATCTGATCACACTACCCTCGACGACATCACTTCCAAGCATTACGCAAGCTTCATCAATCATGCCATCAATTATTCGTGCAATTTGACTATCGTCAAGTCATTTTTCTACGAAGAGCTACCAGGTTGGATATGCATGTGCATCTGTGCTGGTCTGGTGGTAGTTCAGTTCTCGGAGTTCAGGCCGGAGTTAATGCAAAGCTGATCACACCCGCCACTATCCCCGGGGATTCAGACATGAGAACCGTCACAACAGGACACTGATCTTCTAAATCAGCAATGACCCCTTCCCTAAACGGCAAGGGCCAGTTTCGTCTTGCATGAGAGTAAACATGTACCGCCACTTGAACACCACGATGTTGGATTATCGGGAGTTAGTGCCGAGCGAGGCTCTCATCTGCTTGGGAGCCTGGGCTAAGCTGGCCTGTCACGACTCCTTGTCGGCGAAGACCGTCATTTCGCCTACGGAAAGGCGCAAGTGATTTTGTAGGATTTACCAGGCGTGAGATTTTAGGACGGGCATTTGAAGCCGGGGAAACGGTCTCATCTGTGATATACGATCGGACTATGCGCCGTACCGGGCATCCTGCACCACCAACTACTTGCTGATCTACTCTGAGGGTTACAACAGCATAATGCAATTGTTACCTGACGAGGATCATGAAATGCGCCTCAATGGTGATCAACAGAATAGCTCGACATTCGCCCAGATGCATTTTGGCCGTAATTTGAACTGTCCCGATCAGCTCACGATACGAAGAAGAACGCAAGTTCCACATGGGTTGCTTGAAAGTCAGGCAACCAAGGGCCAATATCCGAGTAGTGACTGGGGCATACGCGTCAAGACGACATTGACGGAAGTCGGGTCGGTGGTACGCCAGGCACAGCCTCAGAACCACAGAAGACCAGAGCAGAGTGGCACAACATGTGTAGCGCCATTGTTTGACGAAATAACTACCTAGAGAAAGTGAATGACAAACGCACCTTCAAGAAAGGACCGAGTGAGCAATACAGCGTCGACTTACATGACTCTCGAGGGGGCTCCGAGAGAGCTCACGCGACTCGAGACCAGAAATGCCATCATCGCCGTGGCTCGGATGGCACCGGATGTCGGCAATTATGGTTAAATCACGCTCTCCTGCACCGCGGGGGTTATTATGATAATGCCATTTATCTGAATTTCTTGGCTCATGGCAATGCTGAAATATGATAGGTGCATTTAGTGAAATAAAATGGGCCAAGACCTACTAGCCACGGATTCTAACCAGTAAAAAGCTCCTTTTGAGAACCTGTTATACCACTAGTTCTGAAGTAACGATTAAATCTTTCAAAACAGGTATATCGTTATAATGCAGCCAATGTTACCATCAATGGCTCACGGAAATCGGCCGGCTCGGAAGGGATTTGTGCGATGGAAGTGACCTCCGATGCCGTTTTCAGCTTAGCTGGAATTGCGTGCTTCAGTTTCCCTGGTGTCGTGATGAGGAGAGCAATGATGGAATAGAGGGACAGCAGCTTTTTCTCCTTTCCTTCATTCTACATCCTTTCACATCGAATTTGAGCCTGTTAGGGTCTTCATTGGCCTGAGCAGTGTATTCCTTGCTAATATTGCTATACTGGAGGTACATGAGAGGCTTTCTTACTCAACACTTCCCAACCAGGCCACACCACATCAAGCTGGGCCGCGACAGGACCGACAACATACAAAAGTGCACGCCAACACACAAAAGCAGACAAAGCAGCGATCAATCTCGATACGCAATCTCGCAAACGCTAATCCAGCAAAGTCATGTCTCGTCACGGCCTTGGAGGCCCAAGACGCCGCATTGTCTACTCCTTCAGCAGCCGGCCGTATGCTGAGAAGTAATGACAACCTGGCACGTGGCTCTTTCTTCCTGTCTTCTCATCAAAGATGTGGCACCCCTTCTTGGCTACGTTGGGGGGAGTGTACACTGCAAAGTTGCGGGTTAGTTGCGCGACAAGTGTCGGTGACTAGGGAGGGGTTCCTACAGTGTAGGGAGACAGCGAAGTCGCTGCCCTTATTGGACACTCGGTGGAGTCCAAGCTCGTCAGCCATATAGGCGACAGCATTTTCCTTATATACCTTCTCGGATATCAACTCTAGTGGTCCTTCACCCTCCTTCTCGGGGAAGGCGAAACGAGTCTCGGTCAGGTTCCCTCGCAGGATCTTCATCAGGCAATGAGCCTTGCCGTGGTCGTGGATAGGGCTGCCCTTGCCGGGAGACCAAACAAGGACAAGCTATACATGCCGTTAGCCTCTGTTGGACCAGGTCAAGTCGACCTCGATTGACTCACCAGGTTGCTCTTGCCGTTGCCTTCATCAACCAGGTTCCTGGTGTAGCCCCGGCTGTGGTCACCAAAGGCATACTTGCTCCACTGGTTGTCGGAGCCATCATAGTCCTCCATGAGGCGGGTCAGGAAGTTGACGTTGACATCGTCACAAGTCAGACCCGACGACGGACCAAGTGCTTCCTTCAACCCCATTACGAGTTCCTCGAACCGGTCCTGCGGGAACGTCCCCACGCTGGGAGAGACCCCGAGGCCGATGGTGTTGGAGAGGATGCCGACCGCCATTGTTGCGCTGTGGGATACTTGATGAGATATGGGATGTGCGGTTGGATGCTATATGACTGAATGGTTGTCGACTGGATGGTTGATGGGTTGTCTTGGGTTGACACAAGCCTGAAGGAGGAGAGGACAACACACCGACTTGGGGGATTGCGAGCGGGGATCTACGACGACTACTTGCGCGGCCATGCTCCGATACCCTGTCGTCGGTCAGGGCCGGGAACGACCAAGCCGGCAGATAGTAACACCGACATCTGGCAGTGGGTCTTTGATTGATACCGACATCATTTGACGGGCTGAGTCGGCGAGCCACAGGGTCCGGTGAGCCAGTGTGCCGCTTCTGGTTGGACGCTCGGCTGCCATGACGCTAGGGTTACTGGGAAGTGGCTGGATCTTCGTCGGGCGTGTTGCGCGGATAGCGTTAATTGTGGGCACGGTGCGGACGGGCGCCTGCGAGTTGGTAGAGGAGAATTACACGGCGATTGCGGGCATTGAGCACGGCTGAAGAAACGACAGGTTTCCATTGTCAAATACGCTCTTTATTGATGTGGATTGCTCTTTTTCTCTCCAGAAACCAATTGTATAAGGCGGCCTGCCGTTTGCATAGTCGGGGACTTCCAGTTTGTTTTATCGGCGCACCGGCCCTCGAGTCGGCACTAGGCTTGGGTACGTATCCGATGGAATCCACATGGGCCGTTACCGATTCCCGGCGGCGCTTTTTGTCATTCCGCTCTCGTGTTTTGATGCATGATGTCAAAATTGCAAAATTACTCTCTTTGGCAAGAAAAGGCGGAGTGTTTCCTCGAAATTCTTTTCCGTGACAAACCTTTGGAATGCCAAGTTGCCACCGTGGACCCTGAGTCACAAGAGTCAAAGGCCTTTAGTTGAACTCTCGAGGGCTCCCATCTTGGCGAGTTCTCTCTTTTCCCGCACCACCTGATCCACCACTCCTTTTGTGTCACTGCCCACTTTCACCAAGAGCCTCGCGTGATCGGCCGTGTACACCAACATGTCTGACAAGACTCCCACTCTGTGTTCCAACGGCCAGTCGACATCCGACGCTCCTCCACGAACTTGCGAATCAACACTGCCATGCAAGGAGAACGTCGGGTGGCGTCGGGTTGTGCGGAATTTCACACCGTCGTAAGTCCCATCCATCCACACACATCCACACCACCACCACCCAACCAACAACCATCCTTGCCCTACACCCAGCATCAAATCATAGCGAACTACTCTGACCAGGTGTGTTGATAACTCAATAGATGGTTTGCAGTTTGCATGGGGACAGGCATCATCTCAATTCTCTTACATAACCTCCCTTACAATGCAGAGTGGCTGCAGTGTGTCTCATACACCTTTTTCGGCCTCAATGTGATCTTGTTCGTCACCTTCCTGGGGATGTCCATAGCCCGCTACACGCTGTACCCTGAGATCTGGGGGGCCATGATCTCTCACCCCGGCCAGTCTTTGTTCTTGGGATGCTTCCCAATGGCTTTTGCCAGTGAGTTTGGCCCGTGACGCTGGGCGGCGCAGGACGCTGACGTGAGAGTAGCAATCATCAACATGATGGTTTTATGCTGCAAACAGTGGGGCGATGGGTTCATCTACCTGGCATGGGCGTTCTGGTGGATTGATGTGTGGTTGTCAGTTGCAACCTGCATAAGCATGCCGTTTATCGTTATGCACCGGCACCGACCGGGATTGCAAAACATCACCGCTGCTCTTCTCCTCCCCATTGTCCCCGCAGTTGTCGCGGCCGCATCGGGAGGCATTGTCGCCGAGGCACTCCCTAACCGCGCCCATGCCATGACTACAGTCATCACGTCTTACGTTCTCTGGGGAATTGGCGAGTCCTTCTCCGCCTGTGTGCTGGCCCTGTACTTCCACCGGCTGACCATCCACTCCATTCCGCCCAAGGAGGCCATTGTCTCCGTGTTCCTGCCTATCGGTCCCCTGGGCCAGGGCGGATTTGGGATTCAGCAGCTGGGAAAGGTGGCTATGAAGCTACTCCCCGAGTCCACTGCGTTTGGATCCCTGGCCCTGCGTGGCGGTGAGATCCTGTATGTCTTGGGCGTGTTCCTAGCGATTCTGATGTGGGGGTTTGCTTTGGTCTGGTTATCATTTGCACTTATCAGCATTGCTACCATGCAGAGCCTCCCATTCAATATGGGCTGGTGGGGATTTACATTCCCGCTAGGCGTATTGGCAACATGCACAGGCGCCCTGGCGGAGAACCTTGATAGTGACTTCTTCAAGGTGTCTACAATGGTAAGACCCCTGGTTCGCATTCCTTTCTCTATTGTTTTGGGGAAAATAATAACAATTCATTAGATCCTTTCGCTTTCGGTTTTGCTGCTGTGGATTGTTGTCGCAACCAGGACCGTGAAGCTGGCCATCACAGGCGAGATGTTCCATGCGCCTTGCTTGAAGGATTTGAGAGACAAGTCTGAAGCAGCAGGGTCTGACAGAAGGGTCTAGGTGACTCTCTGCCTAATATCGAATGGTTGCATCTGTATCATTTTCAACGACTTCTTTTATATTTTATTCTCAACGTACATACCGCTACATCTCAACTTGGCAGCATCACCCTCGCCTGAGATCGTCTGAGGATGGGTAAGGAGCATAGAAGCGAGGTATTTAAATCATAGCATCGGTGTTTTTGGTATTGTCAGGCCGTCGTTCCAAATACAAAAAGATATATATATATTTTTTTTAAAAAAAAAAAAAAAAACCCCTTCAATTTTCCCCATCGTGTGGTCGAGTTGTGGTGCTGCAAGTCGAATCGGAGAATATTTGGCGAAGGGTCGAATGAGAAGCCGTGCGAGGACTTTCACAGCGTGTGGTTCGCTGATCAAATCGCTGCCATTCGATTGGCGATGCGCAATGACGAAGGAGAAACGACCCCACCAAAATTGTCAGTAGCGGGGCAAACCTTTTCCCCAGACGTGGGAAGCGAAGACCACAGATTCAACGTCTCGTCAGCGTGCTGTGATCCTACCGCAGCAATCACACGCCCAAGATGGACTGGGCAAACCATTCGTCGCCTCTTCGGCTCGACTCCTTTGTCGATGGTGAGTTTGTAGCACCCTACTGTCGCCTGTCGCATCTCTAACCTGGACTGTAGACCTGGTCGAAGCTTGGCACATCCACCGTACCCCGATTATCCTCGCTATTCTCGCAGTTCTCGGCGCCGCTCGAATCTACCTCCACCTTAATGTCGAAAAGACGGAGTTGGTTGCGTTGCCGAAAATCTACCAGGAGCCTGAAAAGGTGGTCATCGAAGAGAAGACCGCAATCGTAGAGGCGGAGCCCGAACCACCAAAGAAGGATGTCAAATCGCAAGGACCCCGAAGAATCAAGGGAGGGTTGGCCAAGAAGCCTACCAAAACCAACGAAAATGAGATGGACATGACCCGACCGGTTCTTATCCTGGTATTCTTCTCATCCGTTACCACCAAGACCGAGAAGCTCGCGAGGGAGTACATCAACACTCTCGAGGGTACCATCGATGAATTGGCAAAACAGTCTGGTCGATCATTCCTGAAGCCGGAACTGCTGGATTTGACAGAGATTGATTTTGATGATTATTTCATTTCCCCGTCCAAGATCCGCGGATATGTCGATCAGGTTTACCTCTTCCTCATCCCAAGTTACAATATCGATTCCATCAACGACACTTTCCTTGAGCACCTACAGGAGACGCATCATGACTTCCGCATCGATACTGCCCCTCTTTCACCTTTATTGGGATACTCGGTATTCGGATATGGCGACAAGGAGAACTGGCCTACGGAACCTGAAGGCTTCTGCTTCCAGGCCAAGGATATTGACAAGTGGATGGCCAAGTTGACTGGACGAAAGAGGGCTTACCCAGTTGGAATGGGAGATATGGGCAGCGATCACGCCGAGAGACTTGAAGAGTGGGCAAAAGGTGTTCAGGAAGTGGTTGAACACGTCGCTCGCACTGGAAACCTCGGCGAAGGGCTTCCTGGCAGTGGAGCGCCCGATGAGAGTGACGTCGAGGAGGAGGCGGAAGATGAGGACGATGGTGAAGTGCTGTTCGATGACGAGCCAAACGACAACAAGAAGAAAAACACCGGAAAAGCTCTAGACGACGTGGAGGACCTTGGTCGCATGATCCGAAAGGATGACGGCTCAACTGGTGCTCAGAAAGCCCCTCTCGCGATTGACTTCACCTCATACGGCTCATCTACCAAGAAGAAGACCCCTGTCCGAGGTCCCAAGGAGATGGTGGCCAAGAACTCGCCCACATACGCCGCTCTGACTAAGCAAGGATATGCCATCGTTGGCTCCCACTCCGGAGTCAAGACATGTCGATGGACCAAGTCGGCCCTACGCGGCAGAGGCTCCTGCTACAAGTTCTCCTTCTATGGCATCAACTCTCACCAATGTATGGAGACGACACCTTCTCTCTCTTGCTCCAACAAATGTGTCTTCTGCTGGCGCCACGGTACCAATCCAGTTGGAACAACCTGGCGATGGGTGGTGGACCCTCCCGACCTGATCTTTGACGGCGTCAAGATGAACCACTACAAGAAAATTAAGATGCTGCGCGGCATGCCGGGTGTTCGAGCCGAACGTTTCGCGGAAGCCATGCAGATCCGCCACTGTGCACTGTCGCTTGTGGGAGAGCCCATCTTCTACCCCTACATCAACGAGTTTCTGGAGATGCTGCACAAGGAGCGAATTTCTTCCTTCTTGGTCTGCAATGCACAGCACCCCGACCAATTGGCGGCGTTGAAGGCCGTCACGCAATTATACGTGTCCATCGATGCGGCTGACAAGGAGTCGTTGCGCAAGATCGACAGACCCCTCCACCGAGACTTCTGGGAGAGATTCCAGCGGTGCCTTGATATCCTCCGCGAGAAGCGCTTCCACCACCGAACGGTATTCAGGTTGACGCTGGTCAAGGGCTTCAATGTGGACGAAGAAGCTGAGGGCTATGCCAGACTCGTCGAGAAAGGTCTCCCCTGCTTCGTCGAGGTAAAAGGTGTCACGTACTGTGGCACGTCTACATCCTCCAACGCCGGATTGAGCATGTCAAATGTTCCATTCTACTGGGAAGTCGTTGCCTTTGTCGAAGCTTTGGAGAAGAGACTGCAGGAAAAGGGCCTGAACTATGGTATTGCGGCTGAGCATGCCCACAGCTGCTGCATCCTGCTGGCGAGTGACCGATTCAAGGTGGACGGCAAGTGGCACACAACCATCGATTACAAGAAATTCTTTGAGCTCCTGGAAGAGCGGGGCGTCGATGGTGATTGGAAACCTGAGGACTACATGGGAGAGGCGACTCCGGAGTGGGCTACCTGGGGCAACGGGGGTTTTGACCCGCGTGACGACAGAGTGGACAGGAAGGGGCGAAAAATTGAGGCCTCATAGAGCCCACGGAACAGTAGTAAAAGAAAGAATTAAACATCATGATGTGTTGCGGAAACGCTGCCAGCATTGCCGCTCCTAGGTCCATCCGGGATTCGTTCAACGTACACCTGTTTACACAAAGCTCTATGGAGTTGGAAGAGCGAGACTATGGTACATCGAAGGCCGTCAGGTCTCCATATCAGATTTTAGGGCCCGGGGATTTCCGAGCTTCTAGTTCAGTTTTGGGGTTGGATGTTTTTTTCGTATCTGGTGTGCGAGGAGCGGGGAGAACCAGAATTTAAGAGACACTTGTTGTCTCCCTTTAATCGAGACCGACGTTGGGGATGTCGGCCAGGTTGATGCCAGCGGGGGCAGCGGGTGCCCGAATATCGAGGGATGAGTCGTAAGCGATCATCTCGGCGAGGATGTCTAATATAGGCTGCGGAATTGTTAGTCTCGTGGGAGCTGAGATATAAGTTGCTCGCGTGTCTGCTTACCTTGGGAACGGTGCTGTCGTAGATGCGGATAAGGTCACCGGGTGCAGGGTAGACCTTGAGGCCCTTGTAAAAGGCCAGAGCAGACTCGAGAGCCTTGGAAGCTGTAAATACAGAGTCAGTATACCGTTCATGATTGCGTTATCGATGGAGGGGCTCTCGTACGATCTTGGCTCAGAACCTCGCCGGCCATGACCTGCTCGTTGAAGAAGGCCTCACGCTCCTCCACGCCGCTGGGGAAGCCCTCCTCCTTGGCCTCCTCAACCTTGGCCCGGATCGAGCCGCGTTGTCGCTGGGTCGAAGCCTCGGCCTCCTCCTTCTCAGCCCGCGCCTGCTTGCGCTCGTTCCTCCTCAGGTTGCGGCGGAACTCGGCCTGGTTGCGTCGCTGGTAGTCGAAGTAGACGACGTATCCTTCCAGGGGGGCTCAGAGTTAGCAATGGCTCGGCGGCTTGGGCCCTAGCGGCGGCGGTGCGGGATGCCCTCATGGAAGCTTACCGACGACAACAGCGGCAACGGTTGCGACGGATGCCGTCACCATGGCGTTGTTCTGGACCATGTTGGCGGATTGATTGGTGTGTGCAGCAGCTACTGAAGCAAGTGAGGTTGTGGTCGATTGCGATAGAGGCCCGGCACGCAAGGGGGGTGGTGACGGGGCGGAGAGAGTATTACGTCGTCAATGGTGGCCAGCAGAATCAAGCGGGAGCTTTCAAGACGTCGCGATTGGGAAACCAATTTTTTAGGACCATGTCCAACCGCCGCGCCGCACATGATGCGCTAGCCCCAGAGGGGACAGCGGGCTCGGAGCATTGATTGGGCAGCCCACGATGCCCAAGCCGGATAAACCCCGGCCGAGCCGCCTCGGAGCTCGAGGACAGTGAGGAGAGCTGTCCAGGTACGTACCGCTGCGTGCCTCGCTGTTAGACTGTGCTCCGTATGGAGAGAGGCTGAGGGAGCTCGACGACTGCGTACTCGCGCCATGGCCAGGCATGCTTGAGTGAAACATCAACCACAACCACCTCCTCCTTCGCGACTCGGCGTGACTGGGTTTCTCGACGGCGGCCTTGACGGTCTCCTTATCCTCGACCCAATTCCGACTCGGGTCCCGCCTTGTTTCTTATTTCCACCGAATCCTCCAGTATCCTCCACGCCAGCTTGAACGCCCGCCCACCATGTCCGAGGAGCGTAGCAAGATATCGCTTCGTAGCGGCAAGCGGAAGAAGCGCCCTACCATCAGCGCCCCCCGACAAATATCCAGCCCCATCATCCAGGATGGCTCGCCCAAGGGACCGGTGCCGTCAGAACCAGCTTCACGGCCTCGGCCTCGTCCACCCCCGGTAGCTGGCGGCAAGGTGCGCTCTTCGTCCTGTAGCTCTTGAGGATCCCCCATGCTTACTGAACCACCCAGACATCCGATCTCGTGAAGCGACGTTACTCGACTCGGTTCAACAACGTGCCTGCCGGCTACGATGGAGCTCCGCCTATGCCTCCGGTAGCCTCGCTTGCCAACTTCGAACCCAGAGACCGCGGTAATGATCGGCCACCTCCCTCGCGAGGCGGAGGAGCTGCGCCGGTCGTTGATGTGAAAACATTGCGAGACCCCGCCCTCATCCCCGACCAATACGTCTCCAAAATCTTGAGCGATGCGACCGAAGACCAGATCCGCGAGTTCGAGGACTCGCTACGCATGCTCAAGGCCCGGGCCGCGAGCGACCTACAGCAGAGCGTCATGCAGAACCGGACCCAATTTATCAAGATCAGCAAGGAGGCAGAGAAGCTCAAAAGCGAGATGAGGGCTCTCAAGAACCTCATGTCAGATCTCAAGGTCAATACGACTGCTCTACGGGCGGCATCGATGAAGGGCGAAGATGACCAAATGACAACCTTGTCGAAGCGGGACAAACGAAGCTCAGTTGCCGATAGAAGCGCGCTCTGGAACTCGCAAATGCAAGCTCTGTACAAGAACGTCGAAGGGTCGCAGAAGTTCCTGCCCAACGCAGCCGGGCGGCATGTGGCCCAGAACGCTGGCCCCTGGATTGAGTTGGACAATGCGACCTACAAGTCCCGTCGGGCTATGCAAATATTCTTGCTCAACGACCACCTCCTCATCGCATCGCGTAAGAAGCGAAAGACTGACGGGGTAAATGCTGACGCTCGAGGGCCAATGATGAAGATGGTGGCTGATCGCTGCTGGCCATTGCTGGATGTAGAGGTTGTGGACATGTTGAGCACTGGAGAGTCGTCGAGCGGAAGCCGGAACAAGCTGGCCGACGCAATCATGGTTCGAGGAGTTGGCCAGGAATCTTTCATCTACCGGACGGAGAAACCAGAAGACCCCGAGAAGAAGACGCTGCTGCTGAATGTTCGCAAGGCTGTGGAGGAGCTCCGTAAGGGGCTTCGATCCGAGATGGAGGCCAACAACAAGGCTCGAGAGACCATCAACTACTTTGCGTCCCGAGACCCTGGTCTCCTTCAGAAAACGGAGCTACTGGCCACCCTGTCGGATATCAAGGACATGCTCATCGAGGTGGACGGCAATCAGCAGAACCTCCGCTGGGTCGAGAGTCAAATGGATGAGCTCGATATTGACATCGCCCTGCAGCGTTTTGAACCTGCAGTTGCCCGCGTCGAGAAACTGAAGGGACTGGCTCGAGGGCTCAAGAACAACGCTGTCGCTCAGGACTTTATCAACTTCAAAGTTGAGGAGCGATGTGCCAAGTTAGCCGGCATGATCGTTCGCGGCTTAGAGTTGACGCACAATGAGCAAAACAAGACACGACGCAACGTCAGCTGGTTGACAAGGCTGGGTTTTGAAGACAAAGCCAGGGAGTCGTACTTGGCCGCCAGGAGCGACAAGATCCACAAACGATCCAGGTCAGTGAAGCTATACACACACCCAGAGATGATGCTAACACAGCAATCACAGACAGTGCATTTTCCAGGGTGATCTACACCTGTATATTTGGGAGGTGTCCTTTGTCTACTTTATGGTCATCCACAACACGGTGCAATGCTTCCAATCATGTTTCCCACCGCCCATGATGAGCGTGTGTGTCAAATGGGCCAAGGAGGAGGTGGAAGCATTCAATGTGATTTTGGCAAGACAATTGAGCAGCACAGAGCCTGGCGGTCCCGTGTGGACGCAATGTATGGAGAGGGCCAAGGAGCACGCCAAGAAGCTGTCCGAGGTTGGACTGGACTTTATGAACCTGGTCGGACAGGACCTGGAGCATATACCTATGGAACAGGAGACCCCTCCGGTCGGGCTGGGCCTGTCCTGAGGGAATGAGCAACCTGAGTTAAGCTATATATGAGTTGAGAGAGTGGCTGAATGAGGCAGAGGGAGTTGGAGTGAGTTATTGGACAGAGGGGCTTTGACAGAGATGTTTCAGTGCGTCAATGTTGTGACTGCCTATGGCTGTGGTGGACCACTTTGCCGTAACATAGACAATGGCCCGCCCTGTCGCAGATTAATTAACGTTGATGAGGGGATGATGTGGTATGTGGAATGTTGGGGTGCAAGTGCAGCTGAGTCCACCAAGATGTTCAATTGAAGGCGAAATCCATGGAGAAGAAGCTCAAGGCCGGATGCGCTTTGACAGATGCCACAGTTTCGAAGGAATAAAAAACTCCATGTTATTCGCCCGTATCTTTACTTCATCATCTCCAAATCAATCCAAGATTGCTCGTTAGGATGAGCAAGCATTTCAGTGGTGCCAACGCCACAGCAAAAAGGCCGAGAGCGGGGGAGATTGTGCTCCCGCCACAGCCAGCGATGTCGCCACTTGTGCCACTGTGCTCCCGCCACACTACTACCACAGTGAGATTAAGCGAAGGCGTGGAGGAGCAATCCTCAGCCCAAGGCTGAACCTGGAGCCCCCCCAACTATCGCCATCCCTCCCTCTCTCCCTCATCTCTGCCCACCACCGAATCCACCCGCCAACAAACAGGTTGTGCGTCCCACGACCCAAAAGCAACTCCCTCCCAGCGCCCGACAGCGTCCTGCGCTTGCCTCCTCCACGCCCTTTTTACTTCCCGCCCGCATTCTCCGCCCCCTGACGCCGCCTTTGTGCCCCGTGCCCCACCGCTCGCGATTCAGGCGTGACCGCAACGGCAACGTCAACGTCAACGCCAACACAACGTCATTCTCCTCCAACTCTTCCCTCTGCCTACCGCCTCCTAACCGCGCCCGAGAACCATGGACACCAATATGGAGGACGTCGGGCGAGCACCCGCCGAAGCTTCACCCGTCCTCAACCTCGAGCCCACCACCATCCCCACCCTCGATGGCTGGATTGAGAGCTTGATGTCCTGCAAGCAGCTGGCCGAGTCCGATGTCCAGAGACTTTGCGACAAGGTGAGACGGGAACCGAGAAGGGGGGACGCCGTGCTGCAGCTGCCCGAGGGCCGCGTCGATGTTGTTGAGCTGTCATGCACAATGGCCTCGTCGCGTCGTCAGGCGGTTTGCTGTGACGGCGCTCTCGCGTGATCCACAAGGGCGTCCTGCTAACTCTTCGATACAGGCGCGAGAAGTCTTGCAGGAGGAGTCAAATGTGCAGCCAGTGGTATGTTGATTATGCGCCCCCATCAGCAAGGTGCTGGATCTGACCTCACTCGCCAGAAATGCCCCGTCACCGTCTGCGGTGATATCCACGGCCAGTTCCACGACCTGATGGAGCTGTTCAAGATTGGTGGTCCCAACCCCGACACCAACTACCTCTTCATGGGTACGCCACTCCGAGGTGACATATTGCGACGCTAGAGATTGACCCAGCTTCCAGGTGATTACGTCGACAGAGGTTACTATTCGGTTGAGACCGTCACTCTCCTCGTTGCCCTCAAGATCCGATACCCCCAGCGCATTACCATCCTCCGTGGAAACCACGAGTCCCGTCAGATCACTCAAGTCTACGGCTTCTACGACGAGTGCCTCCGAAAGTACGGCAACGCCAACGTGTGGAAGTACTTCACCGACCTGTTCGACTACCTCCCCCTCACCGCCCTCATCGACAACCAGATCTTCTGTCTCCACGGCGGCCTGTCCCCCAGTATCGACACGCTCGATAACATCCGAGCCCTGGACCGGATCCAGGAGGTTCCCCACGAGGGTCCCATGTGTGACCTTCTGTGGTCAGATCCCGATGACCGATGCGGTTGGGGAATCTCTCCACGTGGTGCGGGGTATACCTTCGGACAAGATATTTCAGAGGCGTTCAATCATAACAACGGCTTGACGTTGATTGCACGAGCCCATCAGCTCGTTATGGAGGGTTATAACTGGTCCCAAGACCGAAATGTCGTGACCATCTTCTCAGGTACGCTACACTGCTTGTGCAACCACCCTTCTCCTCGGGCTTGGACTGACATATACCAACAGCGCCCAACTACTGCTACCGATGTGGTAACCAGGCCGCCATCATGGAGATTGATGAGCACCTGAAGTACACCTTGTATGTCTACTCCTCCTTCACATTGTCCTACAGAAGACTAACCAAAGCACAGCTTGCAATTCGACCCTTGCCCTAGAGCAGGAGAGCCGATGGTCTCAAGGCGTAAGTCGCACACGAAGAGCAATACTCGTAGATTCAATTTGCTAATTTCTCGCAGGGACTCCCGACTACTTCCTCTAATCTTGCCCGTATACCCATGTCCAACCAAGCTCAAACTCCCGACCCCGTTCGCGACCAGCAACGCAGCGGCGCCGAGAGCTGTGCTTGTTCTTGTACAGTTTTACGCAAAAATCCCTCCCAGGCTAGAAAGTCCCTGGTGCAGGATGTACGGACCTGCATCATCGCTTGTGGCGAGTCATTAAACATTGTGGGAATAAAAAATAGGCAAAAATCCGGGGAGACTTTCTCAGACGCACATGACCATCCCTGGTTGGAGGAGGAGAGGGTTCTTTCTTTTTCCCAGTGCATGCATGGCCCTTCCCCCTATGAATGCTTAGATATGCCCTTATCAAGTCCACGCTACAAGAGAAAGAAGGAAGAATGTCGTATGAATGAAGCTGTGTACACCACAGACCTGTTTGTGTTTGGTTTGTTGTTCGTACTTGTGAATAGTTTCCTTTAAAGCACCGAGGCTATTCTAGTCGTTGATCTGACATGACTTAGCCTTGGAATAAGCTTCATCCTTCACTTAGTATTGAAGAATCGCATCATTTTTCCGACGCCTCTTTAATCACTGTTCTACTTTGCATCACTGCCATTGGGTTTCACATCGTGGGGGCCATGTATTTTGAAGTTGTGATGATATATAGTTACAGTCTATCTGACTCTGACAACCGCGAGGTCGTCCGATTAGGTCATTTCATAAGTCATCCGTCTATCTTGGTGGCATCCCATCGGCCATTTTCTATAAATGAATTGATACAGTTTGAGTCGAGAGATGGCCATCTCTGATACAGGTTGCTGATGGTTAAATCTCCATAGCTGAAGCTCGATTCCCCTTTGCTGAGTAGTATTAACAGACAATAAACACCGCTGTACTAGCTACGTGAATGCAGCAAGCCGAGAAATTATACGGATTCGTTCTTGGGCTCCTCCTTCGGTTGCGCCCGGTGAGCTCGAGGTCGCTCGTCGTCGCCAAAGACCTCAGACTCGGTGTTGACACGGTAGATACGGTCATTGGAAGAGTCGCTGCTGGAGTAGGCGCCGGGGCCACTGCTGCCATCCGGGATGTGGAAGCGACGGTCGAAACGCGACAGAGCATAGGAGTAGACGACGATGAGCTCAATAACATAGTTGAAAACATAGAAACAAGCCTTGTGGTGGAACCAGGCTGGGTGGGCGATTGGGCGGATTTGATAAGCGACGCCAGCACGGAAGGCTGCGCCAAGAGTGAGAAGGCTCGAGGTGAAGACAAGAAGGAAGACCTTGGTGCGCATGCGACCTTGGCCAAACTTGTCCATGGGAGCCTTGCGCGGGAGCAGAATGCTAATAGCAGTGACGAGCAGGGGCAAGAAGGCCAGGACTGCAAGGTAGGTAACAGCAGTAAGCTGTATTTTGCGGAGTTGAGAACGGATAGTCGTGTCGAGAGTGTAAAAGCTGTACACAACGGCAACGATTACCATGATGAGGTTGGCGACAATGCTGAAGAACAGGAAGCGGAAAACGAGCGTGACGGGCTTGCTCCAGCCAATGTGCGGGTGAAAGGCGCGGAGGATGCGCTGCGCGAAGATGAGGTTGACGACGAATAGAAGAACGACACCGGCATTGACGAAGACCTGAGCGGCGATGGCGACACGAACGTTGCTCGGATACGAGGCCCAGACGATGCGGAGGACGTTGGCAGAGATTCGGGCCATGCAGAAGCCGAAGAGGAGGCCGGACAGGATGAACTTGTGAGAGCGTCGTTTGTTGAGCTGGAAGATGGTCATGTTGAGGACGGCGCCGCCAACAAAGAAGGCCAGAAGTACGCCGGAGATGGGATCATCGACAGAGACGGTTGGGCGGCCACCGAGGCCGGCGGTTGTGGGGAGGTATGGAGGGCCCTGCGGAGAGAAGGTTGATTAGTTGACTGCATGTTGTGGTGTTAATCGAGAGAGAAACTCACTCCCTGGGCTTGACCCGATTGTGACGACATGACGATGGTGTATGAGTCGGAAACTCGAGATATTGCTGTCGTTGGTGGTGTGCTGGTGGGAATAAACCTGGTGTTGGTTGTTATACTTGAGACGTCGAGGGTGAACCTCTTGGCGACGATGAAGCTCCCGATGCAACAGCTTTCAGAGACTTATTGTAGGGCTGAGCAAATCTACACAACAAGGAGAACGTCGTCATTGATGCCGCAGCGCAAGCCACCTAATATAATACAAAAGTCATGCCGCTCATTTGCTCCCTGCTAACAACGAGCAATAGCGCAGGCATCGGTGGTCGGCCTCGCGCCAAGGGTCCCGCGAGCGAGGGAGCTCCCCAAACCCACAAGCGTTTGCCGTTTTAGGAAATAGGCTGTTAGCGCAAAGTCGGAGGTCGGAGTTTCGCGTCGGCGCGAGGCGCGGGAGGATCGCCGACTGGGGTCTAGATGCTGCGACGCCGCGCTTCAGACGACGCCAACGCGCGGAGTTATGGGTTGTGTGATTAAAACCGTCGCCTGTAATTGGGCTGTTTGCCAACAAGTTGGGGCTGCTTTGGACCCTGGCGCCCGTTGCCAGATAAATCATGCTGAATGACTACACAAATTACCACCGCTCTGTTCAGAAGACCGAAGTCCGCCATCCAGGGTCAATAATCAATCCGGGGATCAAACCCCCTGTCATCTCGGCCTCGGGCACTTGTATCTGGGCACGATGGGATGCAGATGAGATCAGCTCGGAGGTAAGGTGGTCGGTTTATCTATAATTCCATCTCACGTTGGCTAGTGTCGCGTTCATCGTATTCGTCGTCCTGGCTGTGGCCTGACTGTGTTCGTTCTGTCCCCGACTGTGGCTCTGGCTCACTCACTGGCTGCGACTCTGGCTCACTCACTGGCTGCGGCTGTTGTGCCTGGAGCTGCTGCTCCTGGTCCCGTCTTGGATCCCGGCTTTCGTCTTGGCCTGGTTCGTAAATGGGCCCATAATACACTGGGCCAACAGCCCCCGACGGAAGATACAAAACAACCTGTTCCGCCATGGCCGTCTTCGAGACCAAAAGTCGCCGCCGGAGTCCTCTACCAAGCCTGTCAGTTCAGCCCAAGTCAGCATCATCCACCGGTTAATTGACTCGCCTTGTTTCCTTTGGGTTGTGGTTAGGCCCTTCAGCTTGAAAGTCCCAATCCATATGCACGAGGTCATTGGACGCCGAGTTCCCGGCATGCTTGACCATTCCTGCAGCTTTATCCGCCACGATGTTGCCCTCGACTCAGTTTCTCGGCACCCAGTGCAGCTCCAACTGGACGCGAGCCTTTTCCAACAGTTGAGCCCTCTGCGTCATCACTTGCAACAGTTCGACCATTGCCGGTTGCCCTCTTCGCAGTTTGCGGCGATGCGATTTGCGACGTACCTTGTGTGACGCCTGTGACCAGGCGATTTCTCGGAGTGACGACTGTGAGTCAGTGAATATTTTTACCACCTGCGGTTTCTCTGTCTTAACGTTGTGTTGGACCAACTGCACAGCGAAATCCAGTGCGAGCTCGATAGCCCGAAGTTCTGCAGCTAAAATTGACTGATCCGGTGCCACGTAGCGTCTTGAGATCCGAACCCAGCTCCCGGCTCGTTTGAACACGACGGCATGTCCAGTAAAAGTGAAGTACCTTCGAGACCCTGCCGAAGCATCCGTCCAAAGGATGAGCTGCGATGCTTCCCCCGGCATGTTGCATGCCAAGGACGCTTGGGCGAATGCCTTGTCCTGGTCCTGGAGGAATATTTCGGCCGGAAATCCTCTTGGGGCTGGTATATTGGTCTTGAGGGCCGCCTTGTTTGCACGTCTTTTCGTCGCCGTCTTGCTCCAAGGGGCCTCTCTCTGGAGCTTTTCCCAACCGTCGGCTACTAGTGCCACTTGATTTGCCTTCCAAGCTTCGTTTGCAGCGGAAAAGGCGGCCTCGTTTTGGTCAAACGCGACTTGGGCCGCACTGAATAGGTTCAGAAAAGTCTTGCGGAAGAAGTCCATCTTGATATTGCGGCAACATGAGGTTGGGCGGCAGACGAGTGAGGTGGTTGTGGAGGTAGTTTGGGAGAGAGGTTGGATGACTTTTGTGCTTCGTTGAAGCCTGGTGTCACCCTTTTGGTTTGGGCAGCATGGCCAAAAGTCTGCCTGTTTAATAAAGTTCACTTTGGCCTCAAGTTCGTACAAAACGGTAGGTGCGCAGTCAACAAGGTCCTCGGGCCTGCTCTATTGGAATGACTCCAGCACAGCCTAAGGCGTTGAACCTTAGGGAAGCTGTCACACGTAGACGGAGCTTGGAAGACCGCCAGCTCATGGCTTGAAACTTCTCTAAAACCTCACAGTCGTCATTCCTCTATTTCACTTAGACCCTCGTGATCTTTAACACGCAAGTCTATGTTGCGGAACGCTGAGTCTATGAACCCTCAAATCTACATCTCAAAGTCTCGCGTTGTAAGCAGAGAGGCTGCAACATGGTCAGTATGCAATGTACCAACAAAATCACACTCGTCATCACGTACTCGGTGTATCCTTCTGTGGTTTGAGTGTAAAATGTTGATCGGTCGTACTTGCGAAGAGGCCATCCATTCTTGATCCTGGCCGGAAGGTCGGGGTTCGCTATTGCAAGTTAGCCCATCAGCCACCACCACCACCACCACCATGCTGGCGCGCCTACAGATAAAGTATCTCCCAAATGCAACAAGGTCATCCGTTTCAATCGTGTGCTGCATAGCCGTATCGGGAAGAAAGCCCCCGGCGGTGATGAGCTTTACTCCAGCCTTGCTGACCACTTCCCGGATCACGTCAAGACAATCGTCGGAATTTTCCAAGTGCTTTGGTGTGTCTATCGACCCCAGGGCTCTGGGCCCGACGGCGTGTACAAATGCAAGAGATGGTTGAGCCTTAGTAATAGCTTCCGTCCAGGGAACGAACAAAGAAAGGGGGTTCTCTTCTCGCATACCCTGGAAGAAGGAGAAGGGTGACATCCGGATGCCGACGCGGTCGGGGCCAATGGCCTCGCAGACGGCCGTCAGAACTCTAAGGGGGAAGCGTATGCGGTTCTCGATGCTTCCTCCATATGAGTCCGTACGGTCATTAGACGAACTATGGAGCTGTGAGATAGTTAGTCAGGCCGGATTACGTATACAGCATTGATGCATACGACTCACAAACTGGTCAATGAGCTGCATATTATACCGCGTCAGTCAATATGCTACAAGGAGACTTTTCGGTGCAAACACTCACGTAGCCATTCGCCCCGTGGATTTCAACTCCATCGAAGCCTGCCTCGATCGCGTTCAATGCTGCTTGTCGATAATGGCCAACAAACCGGTCGATATCGGCCGGTTCCATGACCGTCAACTTGACGAGCGATGAGTCATCGCTACGCATCGGGTGAGGACCCTTTGTCACAAAGGGCTTCGATCCGGCGCTCCATACAACAGGAACCATATTCGAGTCAGCAACTCGGCTAGGCAGTTGTCGTTAGAAGCAGCATGCGAAGTTATAGGAGACGGTTGAGGGATTCAGAGACCGGGCGGTGGCTGACTTACCCTAGAGCCCAGAGCTGGCAGAAGATGTACCCGCCTTTGGCGTGGACAGCATCCGTAATGTGCTTCCAGGCCTTGATTTGACCGGGGGAGTAGATTCCTAGGACGTTGAAAAAGGAACCGAGTGAGCCATCGATGTCTTCTGAGTCGGTTGCTCAACTACGCACCTGGGACGTGTTTGTAGCCACCAGCCTCCTCCGCGATGAACGTTCCTTCGGAGATGAGCAAGCCACCGGCTAAATATCCATAGAGTCAGTAATTCAAGTGACATGCACTATGACGGCTCTTGCAGTGCATTGCAATAGCGGTACGACTTACGTGAGGCACGTTGGGCGTAGTAGTCGGCTGCAAAGTCGGCCGGGATGGCTGTCCCCGCCTCGGCACGGTTCCGAGTCAACGGCGCCATCACAACTCGGTGCAGGAGATCCAGCGCACCGACCTTTGTCGAAGTGAAGAGCTTGGTTGATTGCGGACTACTCATTGTGTAGGGATTTTGTGTATATTGGTAGGTGAAAGATATGGTGTTCCCGCTACCTGGGGAACTCTACGCAAGGACTTGGCCGTGTACAAACCGCCTCTCCAAGTGAGGGGCCGAACCTCGGCCCACCACAACTAACATGCATGAACTAACCCACCCGGCTATTCTAGTCAATCCCCAGATCAGCGACTGTTATGTGAGATGGGGGCATATAGCATTATTGAAAGCTCTTTTCTCATTTCACGGTACCTAACCAGGCATGACAATTTAAACGAGTAGTCACACAGCAGCCTGGAGGTCGCATGGTAGCCGCCGACACCAAAATGGCCAACACAATTGGCCTGTTGGTTGTGAACCCCGATGGGCGAATGAGCTGGCTGCCCAAACCGCCCAACTTTATTACAGTGTTTCAGAGTTAATCTGCCTACAAGTACTGTGTCAGTCTCGAATATTGATCATCCTTGTCCTTTCTCCCTCTCATCTTGACGTTCCAGATTTCCCTCCCAGTGTCTACCCAACTCCGCGAACCATGGCACTAGTACCAATAGGAGTGGCACAAGCCCGCAGACTCGTGGAATCCATCGCCGACGAAAATGGTTATGTGCCAGACGAGATTTGGCAGGGGGTCTCCAGCCAATATTCGAAGGAGAGACTTCAACGTGTGATCAAGGAGCTGAATGGGGGCGTTCTTCCGGAAGTCGCTGCGTAAGTCAACTCCCCATGCTCGTAGAGCACACAACTGATATCACCCTAGTCTGGCGAAAAGTCTCTACACAAGCAACACGCGGTTCATTTTCGAAATTCTTCAGAATGCTGAAGACAGCCACTTTACCAAGGCACGGGATCGAGGCGAACGCCCATCAATCGCCTTTGAAGTCTACGAGGACCGAATAATCATTGACTGCAACGAAGATGGCTTTACGCCAGAGAATCTCAAAGCGATTTGTGATATCAACGGGAGTTGTAAGACAGGGCTCACCCGGTATTTCGGTGAGAAGGGCATTGGCTTCAGGTCCTTGTTCATGGCAGCATGGAAAGTCCACATCCAGTCCGGTGACTATTCCTTCCATTTCAAGCACAAACCAGGGGACTCGGGACTTGGAATGATCTCTCCTACTTGGCAAGAGCCAGAAGTTCAACTACCACACCCTCTGACTAGGATGACTTTGCTGCTGCACGACCCTACTGAAGGAGAACCTTTCGTGATGAAGCAAGACGCAATTCATCAGCAGTTCAGTGACATCCCGGAAATCGCCCTATTGTTTATGCGAAACATACGTGAGATTCGAATCTCTATCTTCGACAGTCAAGAAAAAGTCCAGAAGTCAACAGTCTTTTCTGCAACATGGACCGGTTCAGATCGGGCCACTTTGACTAAAAGTGTTACTGAAGGCGGAGACACCATGACGACTTCCAAAATTTATCACATCACCCGACACATGGCTGAAAGTAAAACCCGATCCCCCTCCGAGCTCGAGAGATCCGAAGGACATGCGGCTGTCGAAGTCGTTCTAGGTTTCCCCCTCTCCACAACCTCCCAGCCTATAGTCGAACCGCAGGATGTTTTTACATCTCTTCCTATAGGACATATGGGATTCTCAGTAAGACGCTGAGGCAGAGTCACGGAGTCCGGCGCTAACATTCACAAGTTCCTCATACACAGCGACTTCGTCACAGAAGGCAACCCACACGATATCGCGAAGACATCGGTGCGGAATTTAGAAATTCTCGACGTCATTGCCGATGCATTCTGCCGAGCCGTCTGGCAATTCTGCTGTTCTGCGGGACTCCCTTATACCTGGATGAGATATCTCCCCAACAAAGACACATTTGAGTACGATGGATTCTGGTCAAAGTTGGTTACAGCTATTGAAAACAAGATTGCCGCCTTAGCAGTATTGCGGCCCCAAAGTGGAGGTCCTTGGCGACAGGTCAACAAACTTCGACCACTCCCCCCTATATTTCTTGACTGCCATGGAGACCCTCTATTCAGAGACCTTGCACTGGATATTTATCTATCTACAGACTATAAGCCTGAAGATGCCGATATACTCGTGAAATTTGGGATGGCAAGACTCTGCTGGACAGAGGTCCTTGACAGGGTACAAAACGATCTCAGTGCCGTGGGATCAAGGATGTGGGGTAACAAGACAAGTGAAAATTGGCACACCAAAGCAGCAGAGCTCCTTTTAATCCTATTCAAAGGGCCAGAACACAAGTTCTTACGCGAGAGGGTGCGGAAGATGCGTCTACTTCCACTGGCAAGTGGCCTGTCGCGAGCGCAGAACGACGAAGGCGAGGTATACTTTTCTGAAGTTGAAGGGGTCCCGATTCCTTCCAGCCTTCCCCTTGATTTGATCAAATACAGCGCAATGGCGAATAGTCGGCGCTCAGAATTATTCAAGCACCTCGGTGTTTGTACCACAGATGTCAACACTGTGCGCCAGCTGATTCTCCAGAAGCAACGAGACGCACTGTCGCGAGCCGGGACCTTTTTTTCGGGTAACGCCAAGGAGCTACAATTCCTCTACAAGACCCATCGCTTTTCCTCAAGCACAATGGATAGCAACATTGTGTTTGGGCTGGCTAATCAAGAATTCAAATGTTTCTCCGCACACGTGCGGGATATGTACATCCCCGATGACTGCCCGCTGGGACCGCAGGAATTATTGAAGAAAACGGATGCTGGGAACGAGTATGGCCAAAATGCACCAGGAATGACGGTGGACTTTGTCCACTCCTCCTACTTTTCAGATATCCCCAACAAACCGCATCCGACCTCTTTAAGTTGGCAAGCATGGTTGTGCCGCTACGCAGGGGCACGGCGCTATTTGAGACTGGCCACACGTTCAGGTCCTTGCGATCTTTCCGAAGCATGCTACTACATCGCGAAGTACCGCCCGGAAAAGTTCCTTGGTTTTCTACGCACCCATTGGCCCTCCGGAGGGTCACCCATTGAACTCTCCCCTGAGCTGCAGGGCAAGCTGGGAGGCGTCCGGGTTCTGTGCGAGGATGATGACATAGTGCCGCTCTCAGCTACGTATCTTCCCCTTCCCGATCTTGAGGAGCAACGCGCCAGGTTCCTGAAAGAGGAAGAGCCATTTCCATTTCTGAAGCTTGATGGCCCCGTGGAACGTGGAACATATGCCAAGGAGTGGGGATTTCTTGAACGATGCCTCGGAGTTGGTGTCAATCCGGATATGGTCTTCTACCTGACAATTTTATGTCAAATCTGTAACGGGGATGTTGTAAAAGAAACAGACGGAAGTCGAATCATTGAACTGTACACAGTTTTGCTCAGAAAACTTGAACAATCGGCGTCTAGGACGGTCGAGCAGGAGTACCTCCAGTCAGTTCAACCTCCCACAGCCATGTTCTTAACTAACCCTTTACCCTTTTAGGAATGTGTTCGCCAACCACTCAAGGGGATATGTGCCCCCGCAAGGCAATCAAGAGCCCCAGTGGGGTGACCCTCGTCAGTGTTTGTGGGATGCACCGCCTACCATGGAGAGCAAATACCCCCTGAAACGGAGGTACGAGGAGATGCTTGCCGACGGGCCAAATGATTTGCAAGCTATCACGACCCTTTTTACAGAAGTGCTCCGAGTCCCAAATTGCACTTGGTACAACATGGTCGATGAGCTCAAGTACCTGAAGGAACAGAGATGTGAGGACTTGGCAAGAATTCGTGACATATACGTGCATCTCCACGGCATGGCCACCAATCTGAATGATTCTGATAAGTACCTTCTCAGGTAGGTCACCAAACACAATCAGGGTGTCATATGCGACTGAAATGATGCTAATATGCGTTGAATAACAGAAATACCTTTGCAACCGATGCCCTCATCTACGTTGAACAGAACGAGTACAAAGGCTGGCACCGTGTGCCAGACTGTGTATGGTCAAGTGAAACTGAGATCCAAGGGAAGAAGATCTCAGGAAGTCATTACGCAAACCTACAGGAATTCTTTGTCGACATTCTCGGGACTGAAACTCTTAGTATTGAGCTGGCGTGCGACGAGCTGGTACGGCTGGGATCGTCAACATCCTCAGTCGAGCAAGTGAAGCAGCAGATCTGGGCTTTAAACTCATTTCTGGCTAACTCCGACCGCTATCTTGCCAATGTGCGACTCATCAGGTCACGGATATTTCCCGTCAGGCATCCGGATGGTCGAATTGAGCTCACTACGATGAAGACGAACTTTGCCATCATCGACAGAACGCACCTGGAAGATTTCTTCGCAACCCGAGTTAAATCACTCGACTTCACTTTGGATGAGACACACAGACTCCGTCCATTTCTACTGTGGCTGGGATTGGAAGGAAGGTTCTTATCAAACCTGGTCAAGGAACTCACCAGTTTCAAAGGATCAGCGAAGTGGCATGTCTCTTCTCCGGAATACACTATTCCGCCAAGGGCGCATGCATTATACCGGTATTAATCCATTCATCTCCATCGATTTCGTCCAATTTCGCTGACCAAGATGCATAGTGTTGCTGCCCACTTCAACAGTCCCCGGTTGGAACATGATGGCAACCTCTACGATGTCTTGAGACGTATCCAAATCTACGAAGTTGACCGAATTACCTCTGAATTTTATCTGTCGCAGGATGGAGAAACATATACCCACGAACGAATCAGAAGTGACCTCCATTTCGATGACAGGACGGTACCGCCGGACATTTTCATCCCGCACAACAAGGAGGACAGGGCGTTTTGCTTCACAAGCAAACTCCCTCGCCGCCTCTTCGAATGGATGATGACAGACCCCATTACTGGAAATCGCACAATTGATGAAAAAGGAATTCGAATCACCACCAATATTCTTAACTCCAGCCGACACCTGATTTCGAAGATTCTCGACGAAGAAGGTATTGTTTCAGTCGAGGCTGAGGATGAGTATTGGGAAGACCAGGAGATCTCGGAGGTCGAATCGCAAATTGAGCCAATATTTGACGCCGCTGATAGGATTTATCAGAGTCATCCAGAGCCTATGACGCCCAGCACAAGCGGTCCTAGACGAAATCCTGATTTATCAGAAAGCACTGTGGCTGCAGATGTGGAAACCGTCGAGAACCAGGCCCTGATGGGCCAAGTCTTCCAAGCCGCCCGAGGAGCCAGATTCCCAAGCCCGAGCATATATGACATGCTTGGCATGCAAGATGCTTTACCCTCTGTCGACGACAGAGAGTTTAGCTACGACGGGCTCGAGGGACCAATCCGGCATAGTGACACCTCGCAACTGGAACGGAACAAGGTGATTGGAGCAGCTGGAGAACTTTATGTCAGTAGATGTACGGTATCGACTCGATAAATTGGCCCTGTTTTTATGGACTAAAGTTAAGCCATAAGTTATAAGGCTGAGAGTTCCTAAATCATTAGGTATAAAAAAGCCCGAAGGGAAAAGGTGGGGGAAGGATTCAGGGCCAATTTACTTAGTCGATACGATAGACTTTCGAGTACCGCACACACTAACGGACAGTCGCAGGTTTTTGAACTTCTGAAATCTCTCGAACCCGCCTTGCCGGCCCTTTCGACAGCAAACTGGCAAAGCACGATCCGCAACTACGCAGCGGTCCTTCCAGACTATGCTGATATACAACCGGCGCAGGGAAGAGAGGCTTCTGATATCACATATCATGACACAGAGGGAGCATTTACCCGCTTGCTCATCAACCGCGGCTACCTGGGTTCCAGATGGGAAGCTAGGACCCCAACCTATTTTGTTCAAGTGAAAACTACAACAGGACCATGCAACACGCCGTTCTATATGAGCAAAAGCCAGTACAAACGAGTAATTACTCCATATTCCTAGCTTTGACGTCGCGAACTCGCTGGAGCTAACTCGCAATGACAGATGTATGATCATCATGGCAGTGGTGGAAAGGAGATATATGTGATATTTCGAGTCTTTAATGTGGACAAGCAGTCTGTTGGGCTGAAGATATACATGGATCCTGTGTTGTTAGAGGGTAGTTTGTCTCAATCTCGATTTTGAACCATTGTACTGAGTAGGATCTTAAGGAATTAATTACAGTCAACGATAAGCGCTGGCCATTGCATGAAGCTAGACGCCATTTACAAACATAACTTCATAAGGTTGAGATTTGACGTTCGCATCTTCAATGCGGACTTCATGGTTATGGCACGATGCTGCGTTGGGCCTGCGGAGCTTAAGCTGAGGCCCGACCCGATCGCCGTTGTTCACTCACGCGCCCGAGCGAACTCGGCAACTGGCGACGCCAGGCCATAAAGGCAGCACTGCCTCTCCTTTTCTGGCGATAACGGATAGTCTGGCTCCATTTTACATCGTATGGCGCGTGTTTCCCGTCGCCCTGATTGCCAGGGACTTGCGCGGTGTAAGTCCCTCAACTATCGTCCCCACAATGGTTCGCAATTGACTTTGCGAATGCTGCGAGGACAACTCGGTTCGACTGACCACGACTCTGCTGATACGAGCTCACTGCAAGCCTGCATAGAGTCTGGGAACGGAGTGACCCTGCTCAGTCTCTTTCCCTGGCTCAAAGTGAAACGAGGACCTGGTCGAGCAGGGGACCCATGATGGATGGGAAATTACACCTGTGGGAACTGAATAACCTTGTTCTGCTGTTTGTGCAACAGGGTGCATGCCGTTATTATCGTGCTTGTGTATAAATTCGGGTGCAATGAGGGATTTCGTCCATTGCAATTGTGATCAACAATCCAATGTTTCGGGCTCTTAAGTCCGTCGTCTTGTGGTTGGTGTGTTTTTCTTTTGGCTCCGTGTAGACGAGTTTGCGATCCCAACGACGCAGTGTTGAGGCCACAAGACCCCACCGAAATTAACGGCAAACATCCTCCGACGGTTCGTACCCGCGGGATGAGGTAACAAAAGTTTCTTTGTTTGTTGGGAGCGAGGGAAAATGATGGCGGTATTATCATCGGCAGCGGTGTCTTGCTTTCCCGGGCTGTAGATCGCGTCGTGTTCTGCTGGTGAATCGTCATCTCCCGAATGCACCAACGAAATCAGAGACGGGCCAATGGGATGGCGAGGCCGCGTTTCCCGCAAAGCCCCCGCTAGAACGAAGAGCACCCTGATCTGTTCCTGAAGAAACATGTGAGTGTTCGTGGATACGCTGGGGTCGTGATGTTACACTGCGCAGCGGTGGCATGGTACATGGTATCCACGGTCAGTTTCAGCCGGCGGTTTAGCTGACGGTGTAGCTACATAGCTACCTACCGCTTTGGGTCAGATGGAGTGGCGGGACGGCGAGATGTTATCGCCGCCGGTCAGCGACAAGCCGCGGACGAACACAGGAAGGGCAAGATGTGGTGGTGAATTCTGGTGGTGGGGAGAAAAGCTATCTCTACCGAGGCGTCCTAGAGATGCGGCTAGTAGAACAAGGGAGCTCGGCTGGAGCTTAAACAATGTCTCAGTCGGTTGCCTCGTCCAATGTGGTCGTTGGTCGTGGAAGCTGGTGTTCGCTGGGTGACGAAGCAGCCAAGCTAAAAAGTGGTGGTTGCACAACGAGTAATTGCAGCAATTTTGCGTGCAAACCAACACAACCACCTGGGCCGCATTCTTATTTGGATAGTCGGCTTGCACAAGCTTGTTTGGGGGTTGCTTGTGCATTTCGAGCCTGTGTTTGGTGGGATCATCGGTGGATCGATCGGAGACGGACAAACACAGGTTGGCGTTTCTTGGGTTGTGGGCTGTGGCAGATGGTCCGTCTTGCTCCCTCATCAATCGAGCGTCCGCGCGAAAGAGAAACAACCGAGATGACCGGCGCAGACGCTAAACAGGCCGAGAAGCAAGCGTTTAGCGGACTGTTTTTCTTTTTCGGGCTGATGCGCATCCAGAAACCAGAAGGACAGCCACTCGCAGGGCGTTGACTCGCGGTTGTGCGGGCAGAGGCGCCGGCTGATGATCCGGATTGCAAGCCATTGACGGATTCTGGGACATGACTGGGACAATGACGGGGACCGAGTCTCAGCGACTATGGTTCTAGTGGTCTAGTCCACGTGGGCATAAGATGGTGTCGTGGAAACGGAACAGATTGCGGGCGAAGGACCATTAGAACGGAGTCGAGACCTGGCGGGAGGAGTCAGGGCAATGCGAGGAGGGCGTCAAGAGGCCCTCTCGGAGGTAGGGGGAGGTCATGACCTGCAGGAACAGATTCCGCCGGTGCGACATGATTGGGGCAGTGAGGCAATTGAGGGTGTCAATGACAGGTCGGATGCATTCAGGTCACCTGTACGAAGCGGTGCGCGGCAAGGGACAGACGACAGGCGGAGGGAAACGTGGTTGTTTGGATGGCACCCTACCGCTGGATGGATACAGGTCCAACTCGGCTCTTCGCAGCTTCTCCGCAGCGGTTAACTTACGGTCTTCGTGGGCTCGGCGGTGGTGTTTTGGCTCCGTCGGTACCTCTGGCCGCCCCATGGCCGCTGCATTTATGCGATAGATAGGTTAGGGTACCTAGATGCGAGGTCCGTTAGTGATGACGGCACCTGGCTAGGCGCTAGTTCCTGGCTTCGGGGCGCCAAATACGCCCCCAGTCCGCATCCGCACCACCCCTGTTACCCAAAATTAAAACGCCCCAGAGGGACCCGTAGTGAGACCAGGTATCGCCTTGGGCTCAAATGGGCGTAAAACCGGCGCCGAGATACTTGTCGCAGAGCAGCACCGTTGTCTCGTCGTCGCAAACGGGACTTGCTCATCCTCTTCCGAGACTAATGCGGGCAGGCACCCCCCCGGCAATCGCCATTTCCTTCTCAGTGCGGTCGTGGTGGTGCATGAGCATTAGGCCCAAACACCAGACGCCAACACCACCATCGCCCACATTCTGCATTTCATGCCCTCGCACAATCCTGGACTCTTCTCTTACCTCTCTGCAACTCTCCTACGACGCTTCACGCACAGGCTCCTCGCTGGGCCCTGCTGCTCTCATTAGCACACTCGACGCCTGGTCTTTACGCGCCTCTCGCCGCCTCGTTCGCGACCGAGTTTCAAAGCCTCGCTCTCACAGTCGCGCGCTACCTTGCTGCGTCGTCTACCCCCGTCCATACTAGGCGCTACCACCCCCTAATATCCTGGTCCCAAGCTGGTCCGAACTCCTGGGCTCGGTGCCCCTTCTCACCTCTCTTCACCCTGTCTGGGCTTCGTCTCGACTCTTTCTTTTTCCCTCCCCCCATCCGTGCCTGGCCAGCGTTGTGTGCTGGCTCCTCTCAACTGCACGTCCAGCCCGACGACAATCGCCAGGAACGAGCCAGCAAGCTCCTCCTCAAGGGCCGGTGTCCAGTGCCACCTTCCTTTACATATCGCTTCACGACGCTCACTTCGCTCATCTAATTCTAAACTTAATTAACGCCAACTGCAATCGTTCGTTCTTCCGACGCATTCGAATCAAGACCTTTGCGTCTATAGTCTGCTTCAACTCCGCATCACCCGGTCCGATCTTTCGTTCAACGGCACCGTCTTTCAGTTGCGGCTATTAATCAACGATCTCACCTGCCGGCATCTCGTTCACCGTCAGCTGCTTCGAAACCCGCGCATCTACGACTTCCGGACCGACGACAGCCAATGGTGAAGGCCCCCGACCAGAGATCCTCCCTCGACGACAATGAATGTGGAGATTCCTCAGTAAACAACACCCGCTGTGTTCTGCTTCCGTCTGCGGACCGAGATATCGCCATGTCTTTACCCACGCCCCAGTTCAAGGCACGCAGCCGCCGCCCATCAGCCAAGGACCAGTCCCGATCAACGAAACGCACCACGCTCAGCGCGAAGAATGCCATCTTGACTCTCCTCTCCGCTTCACCAGCACTCGTGGCAGCTGAGACCTGCATTTCACTTAAAGGCTCTACCACCTGTCCTGCCTTTGAATCCGCCTCCATTTCGATCAACTCCTCGTCCACTGATTTGTGAGTTCAGTAGTTCTTTCTGAGGAACATAGGCTAACAAAAGATCAGTCCATTCCTGCTCTACGTTACTGATAGAGAAAACTTTGACTCTCAGCTCGCTACCTACGTCAAGACAACCTACGTTGAAAAGAAGTGAGTCAATAATGCAACCATGCTACTGGACCGGTTACTTACATACGTTCAGATACGAGGATGTCTTTGGATGTGGAGGTGTTGACCTGACAAATTCAAGCGACATGTACGCTCGATTCACAACAACGGTGTTGTGCAATGCCATTGTTCAGAATTCGATAAGCGTCTGTGGCCTGTCTAACGCTCAGTCTCGTCCCCTATGCGCCGACACCTGCGCCGAATACGCCCAGAGCGAAGTTTACGTTACCTCCGACGATAGCCTCTGCTCCAACCCACGAGCCGACCTGGTTGGCTTGATCAGATCCGACTTCACCATTTGTGCTCTTCCCGAGGGTGCCCTCGACAGTTCTACCTGTATCTCGGGCATAGAGAATGAGTCGAACAACTGTGGCTATGGAAATAGCACCATCGGACTTTGCTCGTACTGCGCTCAAGGAGGTATTAACTCGACTGACACCTGTTGCTACGGCGCAGGCGCAGAGGATCGTTGCAAGAACGTCGTCTTGCCCTCGCTCACTGCAACAATGACTTTCACAGCGCCAACTGCCTCATCGACGTCGGGCTCCGGAGGCTCCGGTTCTTCTAACGACACCAACAGCGACAACGACAAGGACGACGACAGCAGCAGTGGCAATGGATTGGGAGGCGGTGCGATTGCTGGCATTGTGATTGGCGCTCTCGCTGGAATTGCCTTGCTTGCCGTTGCTCTGTTCTTCTGTGTGAAGAAGAGGCAGAGAAGACCAGTTAGTCCCAAGGGCAGCATTTTCAACCAGCCATCCCCAGCAAGGAAGGGCCCAGCAATGGCCCAAGCAGCCCCGGCAGTCCCGAGTGCACCCAAAGGATACGAGGTGCTTCCAGGAGGACGTATCGCTCGCATGTCAGCCTTGGAGGGCCACTCTGGGAACTCTCCTTCTCATCATCGGGATGATTCATCAAATGCTGGAGGAGTTGGATACATTCCTGCTCGACGAAGAGGGCCCGACAACTCTTCATCTTCTGAGTTTGGTGAGAGCCCGATGTCAGACACTCGTGCCGGTATCCTTCGAGCGCCACCACCGAATCCTAGGAGAAACGGCTCCCTCTCTAGTGGTTCCGTCCTAGGAAGCTCCGTCCCGCAGTCCCCCACCAGCGCTGGAGGATTCTCATCTCCACCAGGGATGACTAGCCAGCAGTCTGAGCAGCTTCCTTTCTTCAAGGACTACTACTCCTCAGAGGACATTCACCCTGGCGACCGGGTTGCTGTTCTGTGGGCATACCAACCCCGTGCTACCGACGAGTTCACCTTGGAGCGTGGAGATATGCTGAAGGTTGTGGGTATCTGGGACGATGGATGGGCAACCGGCATCATTCTGAATGAGCGGGCCGAAGAATGGGAGGTACGACGAGCATCTCAACGAGACAGCGGTGTATCCAATACCTCTGGTCGTCGTGATAGCTCCCCCATTGGCGATGGCGAGATCAAGGCCTTCCCATTGGTGTGCGTCTGCCTCCCTGAGCATTGGAGAAAGACCATCGAGGGAGACGGATCTACCGAATCCGGCTCCAACGGCTTCAACGGTCACTCGACTCTCTCATGAACTTAACTCACAGTCACGACGTCTATACTCTTGAATACGGCCCCATGAAGGCATTCGTTGTTAGCGCATTGGCTATGGCGTTTTGGTCTTGGGCGTTTCTGGTTGGCATACATAGCACTGCCTCATACACATTTCGCGTCACACGCATCGCGATGATCACCCGTCAATCCTTGGCGTTCCCAAGGGGTATTCTGACTCCCTCTGCAAGGATACGACATCAAGAATTGCATCCGCACGATACGCTTAACGCCCTTCTATTTTTATCTTCGACGACCGACATAATATTCGACAGACATCGCGTCCCAACAATGACAACGAAGTGATCTCCCAGTTCCACGGGGCCAGCCCGCGCTGCATCAACTGCGCGAGCAGTTCATATGCGGCGAAGGGGACGCGATTTAGATAATATCACGACCAGTGGAAGGACCCTCCCCGATTCATTTCACGTGTTTATTCTATATACCCGGAGATGCAAGGAGTTTCAATATCGTGGAGGCCGAGGAGGGTTGCCGACCAACTAATTTTGTGATTTTAGTAGAGGGAACGGTATTGAAAGGGGGAGGTTTATGTGTAGATCTAGACGGTCTTGGGCAGGGGAGTGGTTTGGAAGGCATATCGATGGCCTAGGTGAGGCATCATATTATTCCGGATGTTGCTCTAGATGGCATTGATACAAATAGAGAGCCCTCGACCGTCTTGGGAAACCACTCCGCCGGTTACTTAGTTGAAATGCAAATGAGCTGTCCTTGGATTACCTGTGCCCTTGCCATGTGCTGTCTCCATTCCTCATAAGGCTGATTACTCTTGTGTACTAAAACTAGCTGTGTGGATACGGAGCACTCCGTGTTGTCGATCAACGTGGTTGAAGCGATTGAAGCGGGCATGGCCAGCCCCACCGCGGGGTGCTGCATGTCGCCGGAGGGGCAAAGGAATCCAGCCTGGCCACTATCTTGTCTCTGGAAACATTCCAGGACGCCACGAGTTCGAATTGTTCCTCTACCTTGTGTCTGAATCTTCGCACCGCACACCCGTTTCTGAACCAACACCCAGTCAGTGCGCAATGGCCGACGTCAAAGCGAACGCGGAGGCCCTGGTCCCCAAATTCAAGCTTGACCGCATTCTCAACCAAGGTAACGTACCTCACCCTCATCCCGTCTCCCTTCACTAGCCTCCTCTGTGTATTGCGGGAGATCGAAGTGCTGATGGCGTTTATTCTTCGCAGACCAGGCCGGCCGCCGTACCTCGCTCTACGGACACATCGACGAGCAGCCCGCGTTGCTCATTCTCGAACGCGCCCCGTTCCCCGCCAAACCCGACTACCTCGTCGACGTGCCGGCCACGCTGGCCCGGCTGCAGAACCTGGGCGCGAATGACATTTATCACTGGTACATGGCGCGCAGCGGCGTGGAGAAGGGCACGCTGGCAGGCGACGACTTCGTCGCCGACCTCAAGATTAATCTCATCTACCCGTGTACGGAAAAGCACATCAAGAAGTATAGCAAGCAGGGAGTGCGGTTCGTGACGGAGACACCGCAGATTTACAAGGACAAGATCCGGCCGTACATGCTCAGCCAGCGGGAGCAGGGGCGGCTCAACTGGGTATTCAACATTATCGAGGGCAGAAAGGAAGTGGAAGACGTTATATACAGGACCAAGTTGGGAGAAGCGGGCGATGAGGGCTTCCTCCTCCTGCCCGACCTGAACTGGGACCGCAAGACTCTCGACGCCCTGCACTTACTGGCGCTCGTAGAGCGACGGGACATCTGGTCGCTGCGGGACCTTCGAAAGAAGCACATTCCCTGGCTGGAGCACATGAAGGCCAAGCTCATCGGGGCCACTGTCGAGACATACCCTTCCATTGAGCCCGACCAGCTCAAGCTGTACGTGCATTACCAGCCGACGTACTACCACCTTCACATCCATATCGTACATGTTGCTCTCGAGGCCGGGGGGACGCAGGCGACAGGCAAGGCGGTGGGATTAGAGAGCATCATCGAGACGCTTGGGGCGATGGCCGGAGGCGACGAGGCGGGTATGGACGGTATCTCAATGAGCTACACGCTAGGAGAGGCAAGCGAAATTTGGACAGAAGTCTTCGAGCCGCTCAAGAGCGGTGGAGCTTCTCAATAGCGATGATGAGGTCGTTGACGCCAGGGCCGTTGGGGCAGTCGATCCACTGTTCGTCATCGCGGATACAGTAGATTTCGTTGTTGAGACGGATGGTGCAACTCTTGGTAACACCGGCCTGAATTGGTACGGTTAGCACATATGATTCTTCACCGCTCGCATAATATACCCTTTCCATACTGCCTCAGCAACGTACCTCGGTAGTTCTCTGGATGCTGTTGCGAAGGAGACCCAGGCCATATGCACCATCGTCCGCGGTCGCGCATTCGTTCAGGGCCTGGAAGTCGATGGCGTGCTCAAGGGCGCAATCTTCAATGAGAGAGCGGTCGGGGATTTCCTGGTAATCGCGCGTCAAGCACATGACGAAACCGAGACTGATCTTGGGGTCGGGGTAGAGCTCGCGGGCGCAAAGTTCGATGATGTTGCCCATGCACTCCTCGGGGCCGTGCATGCATTCGACACCGTCGTTGGCGGTCGGGCTGGATAGCAAGGCGATGTTAGCATTGTTAAAGGGCAGTCGATTGAAGAGTGACGGTGTCATTGAGATTGTACGTACCGGCCGATGTAGGAGAGTGTGAAGTTGACCCGGTCATGAACACGCTGCATGACGGGCAGGATCAGTTGTCGCATAGCATCCTGCAGGCGCACAAGGTCAGTGAGGGCGGATGGAGAGGATAGATGGCTTGGCGCGTACTCTGGTGTCAGGGCATTTGCTGATGATGTGCGCTTCGAGGGGAACGAGGTCGATGGTGATGATCTCTTCGAGAGTCTCGCCGAGAACGGCAGCGACCTCGTCCAAGTAAGGTGTTGGGACGGGCTGGAACTGCCAGAAGGTGTAGAGGACGACAAGGCAGAAGAGGACGGCTGCGACGGGTCGGTTGCGACGGAGAGCTCGCGGAGGGGATATGGCTCGCTTCTCGTTCATGGCGACGGGGATGGCGATGACGAGTGGGTGAGTAGCGGAGGCGGTTGCAGGGAGTGATGGTGATGCTGGAGGATGGGCCGACGCAGCAGAGGGCAGTTGTGGAGATGGACTACTGGATGGTGTTTCGGTTGGGTTCCGAGTCATGCTGCAGCGGGAGCGATGACGATCACAGCGACAGCCGGCTAGGAACCGACGGCGAGAAGATTAGATGGAGGCTCTTGCGATGGCGTCGCGGCGGTAGTACCAGGGGGGGAGAAGGGTAAAATGACTGGCTGGATGATTTAATGGCTGAATGGGTGATTCGCTGATGACGGATCATGAATGGAACCGCGGAGTTGTGTGGCTAGGTACCTGGCTGGCTGGGGCGGCCAGTGGAGGGAATGGCACGTCTCCTCCAGTTGGGTCAAGCAGCCTCGAAGCCCCAAAGTTCCAGGGACTGTTCGGCCCGTGAGGCGGCAAGGACCGGGCCTGGGCCGCAATGGCTGCGAATAGAGACTCACAGATGGACGGCCCGACCGCTATGCCTCAGAGGTTTATGTGGTGGAGTGCAGCACCGAGTCCCCCATAACCGCCTGTCGTTGTCGGGGCTTCTCAAGGGGCCAGGGGGCTGTAGCGACCAACGGTTGTAGCGCATCCGTGGAATGCAACGGTGCATGACGGAGCTGTATCCCAGCGCAGCAGTTGATCAGTGCAGCGGTACATCAGTGTACCGTCAATGGATCCCAGGGCACTCGCTGGCACGCTGCGCATCGTAGAAAAGTCCCCGACTGACCGACCGAACGGACTGAAAAGGCGTGAGCTTGCGCCTCCTCCTCCACTCGGTTGCAGCATTAATTATTACTGGACCTGGGGCGACTTCGAAATGGATACTTATACCGGCCGCGGTGCCCCGAGACCAGCTTAGCTCCTGATATCGGATCCCCCAGATTCTAGGTTGATTCCCCCCAACCTGTTACCTGCCATTGAATTGAGGACAGCTTCCTCCTTGATTGACGCCGGGACCGGGTTGCAGCTTGCCATTGGCCCTGGCCGTAGCTACATGATCATTGGCTGGTCACCAACTCAACCTCTTTCCTCCCTTTGCTCGTTTGTCGCTTCTCACTCTCGAACTCGCACAGGAATCCAGGATACACTGCACCCACTATCACTGACGGGCCGCCTCGTTGCCTGATACAAAAACGGACCACTCCGCCACGTCTCTGGTTCCAACAAACTGCTGGCCTATTTCTCATCGCACATCGCTCATCGTCCATCGCTCCTGCCCCTGCTCCTGCTACTCCGCTTGCTTGCTACAAGAGCCCTCCTCCTTCCTCAACCCTGCCGGTGACAATGCTCTAGCATCTCGAGACGGCCAACATCACTCTTCCTCCAGCAGAAACACCATCCCAACACAAACTCCGCTCGATATGGCTTCCCCAACATCTGCCATCCAGGACTTCTTGGAGCCGCTCCACATCGACCTCGCCAAGGTCCACCTGCTGTCTCAGTCGTTCCTGCGGACTTTTGGAAAGCTCGCTCTCGAGTCGCAGAACCAATTCCTGCCTACCCCCATCACCGAGTCCATTCTGCGGCCCGCGCATCATAGTAGCCAAGGATGGTGAGTTTCCGTTCCCCTGGTGGACCTCGCGGGATCGAGCGCCGCATCCCTGTTTCTGGTATCCAATGACTGATGAAGATTTCCAGCCACCTAGCCATAGACATGTAAGTCACTTGCGCACCTGCATCATCGCTTTGCATCGATACTGGCTCTTTACGTTGTCTTTGGTATTAATGACTTCGCAGTGGGGGTACAAACCTCAGGGTTGGGTTCGTTGAGCTCCGGCCCAAGCTCCCAGCAGCCTCTCAGCTTGGCGGCAAGGCCAACGGTTACATCCCAGAGACTACCGAACGCATGCGACGGCGTATGGAAAAGTCCTGGCCTATTGACGATCACCTGAAGAACGAGAACTCTGACAGCCTCTTCTTGTGGATTGGAAAATGCATTGCTGAGGTCATCTTGGACGGATGCACCGAGTTGCGTCTTCCGGCCGACCAGGAAATCCCACTCGGTGTGACCTTCAGTTTCCCGATGGTACAACATTCGCTATCAGAGGCGACACTCATGACAATGGGCAAAGGCTTCGCTATATCCTCCAATCTTAACCTCGGCGCTCGTCTATTGGATGGATACAACCGCGCCAAGTCACCCGACCTTCCACCTATTCGAGTCGAGGCCATCGCAAACGATTCGGTGTCGACCCTGGTGTCGTTCGTCTTCACGTATGACGAATCCACAACCAAGCGAGGCACCATGGGCTTAATTCTCGGCACTGGCTGCAATGCCACGATACCTTTGAGACTGAGCCAGCTACATCCTAGCAAACGCCCGCAGCAGGTCCCCGCTGGTGTTGGGGAACATATCGACGACATCAAGATCACGATAAATACCGAATGGAGCATTAATGGAACGGCTCCTCCGATACGGGAACTGGGTTTAATGAGCCGGTGGGACAAGGTGCTGGACTCACAAAACGAGTCGCCTGGCTTCCAACCTCTGGAGTACATGACTGCCGGGAGATACCTGGGCGAGCTCGGACGCATCATGCTGGTCGACTACATGACGAGTAACCTAGGAATTGCCGCAGAAACGTTGCCAGCGAAACTTCTGCAGAGGCACGGTCTCACGACGACATTCTTGAGTCACTTTAGGCCTCTTCAGTCGCCAGATCTCCTATCTCGCTTGAAGACAGAGTTTCCGGAGTCATCAGGGTCGCCAAATTTTAACTGGACTGAGGGCCTTGCTGCCGCACTCTACCATATCGCCAAAGCCATCGAGGTTCGCGCCGCTGGTATCGTGGCTGCGGCGACGCTGGCTCTTCTTACTCTGGCCGGGGACGTTCCTCCGGAGGGGTCGCCTGTCGTGGATCGGGCCTGCAAGTTGGGCGTTGGTTACACGGGCGGTTGCATTGTCCACTTCCAGGACTATTTATCGGATTGCCAGCAATTTTTGGACCAATTGCTAGAGAAGCGATTTGGCAATGAGCGTTTGTTAGAGGTGGATTTGAGTCCCTGCCATGACGGAGGTATCACGGGGGCGGGCATCCTCGTGGCGGCTGCGGCCTTGTCAACCCAAAACGGCGTGAAATAGATCGAGGTTGAGGAACTTGGACGCATGGGCGGTCGGACCGCTTCGGCACTTGCTACGGCAAATACGGCGCTTGGAGGCGGTTTACGGCGACGTGGTTGGGAAAGCTGTGAGACAGTGGTGGCCGGGTTAGGACTGCTAGAGCGCAGGACTCGAGGGATGGTTGCCAGTCATTCATAGAAGCAAGTGTTCAGTCCTGATGTACCCCGCCAGGCATATGTCTTGAGCGCTTACACTGTTTAATACGCCCTGGACACTGTTTGCGAGGCCACACCGCTTATGTTGACTCCTCCCTGGCCGCTGCACAACATGTGAAGACTCATAAGACTCATATAAGACGGCCGACCTTTGCACCGATAGGATTCACTGCGGGGCGGGTGGCCAAGACTACTGCAAGTGCAAGCTCCCCGAAAAGTCTGCGATCACGACAACCCCCCTGGGGATCCACCGGTTCCTTGCCTATTATTAACCAGCTCAGCCTCACCTTGTTTTTCTTTTGAACCTGCCTCCTCACAAACTTGTAAGCACCGGGTTGCTGTGTCGAAATGAGCTCCTCTTGGACAAATGGACGCCCCGGGCGCTCAGGCAACTCCGCTGCGAGTACAGGCGCTTCGCTTGCCGAGCCTCGCAACTCCTCCGGTCCGGTGCCGGTAGCGGTCCCGACGAGTCGCCGGAGGGCGCGCGGGAACGACGACGACGACCCTGGTGAAATCGACGCTGCCGAGTTCGAGGCTCTTTCAAAGTCGCTGACGACAGGCGGCAGCTTTTTGCAGCCCGAGTCGTTTGAGAACTCGATGCTGCGGCCGTCCGTGCCTAACCCTAACCCTCGAAGAGACGACGAAGAGGCCGTTGACGATGGCTGCGATCCCGATGAGGAATCTCCGCTGCTGCGTCGCTCGCGGGCTCCGTCCAAGGCGCGCTCAGAGGCGTCAGCGGCGACGGTGGTGGTGACGCCGTACCTCAACGACATCTCGGTGACGCGGTTCTGGTTCATCTTCTCGCAGATCCTCACGTTGTACTTCATCTCGGCCTTCGACGGCACCATCATGGCGTCGTCGCACCCCGTCATCACGTCCTACTTCCACGCCTCCAACTCGGCCTCGTGGCTGTCGACGGCCTTCCTGCTCACGTCGTCGGCATTCCAGCCGCTGCTGGGCCGCCTGTCCGACGCCGTCGGCCGCAAGCCGCTCTTCGTCGGCTCGCTGGGCGTCTTCGCGCTCGCCACGACCTGGTGCGCGCTGGCCGGCAGCATCAAGAGCTTCATCCTCGCCCGGGCCGCGTGCGGTATCGGCGCCGGCGGTGTCATCACTCTGGGTAGCATCATCATCAGCGATCTCGTCCCGATTGAGTGAGTCACCTGCTCCCCCCCTCCCCAACTCACCCTTGCCTCTGTTGCGCATGCCTGCAGCCACTGCACGCCACCCACTCTTCTGGGGTGAGACAACAGCACCCGTAGATGAGACACGCCGCGAACAACTGGCTTGGCTAACACGGGCGGCTACCTATCTAGGGACCGCGGCACATACCAATCCATCATGAACGCCAACTACGGCGTCGCCTCGGCGCTCGGTGCCGCCACGGGAGGCGCCATGGCCGACTACTTTGGCTGGCGCTGGGAGTTTGGCGTCCAGGTGCCGCCGCTGCTGCTGTGCATGGCCGTTTCCACCGTCGCCATCCCGGACGACCTGGGCATCCAGGGCGAGCGCAAGAGCGTGTGGCAGGCGCTCAGGGAGTTTGACGCAAAGGGCTCGTTGCTGCTGACGACGGCCATCACGTTTGGCATTCTGGGTTTGGTGAGTGTGGTTGCGAAGAGAGCGTGGATTGTATAAGTCGCCCGTCCGTGCTAACCATGTCGTGTAGAACTTCGGAGGCAACGTCTTGCCGTGTAAGTCACCACAGCCACGAGCCGTGATCTTTTGGTCTTCAGCAACTAACACGTTCCAGGGTCGCATCCGTTCGTCATGGCCTCGCTCGTCATCTTCGCCGTCGTGTTCCCGCTCTTCATCTGGGTTGAGTCGTGGGTGCACAAGCCCATCATGCCGCTGCATCTGATCCGCCACAGTCCCCGCGCCAACCTCATCTTCAGCAACTTCATCGCGTCGGTGCTGGCCAATTCGATTCTTTTCAACATGTGAGCAGACCTGTCGATGCGCCGAGTTTCTTCGCCGTTCCGCCGTGGCTAACCACCAGCAGCCCGTTGTACTTCCAGGCCGTCCTCCTCACCTCGGCCACCTCGTCCGGCCTCCGGCTCGTTATCCCCACCGTCGCCGGCTCCATGACGGGCACGCTCGTCGGTTTTGCAGTGACTTACACGCGCCGCCTCAAGTGGCCCGTCCTGACCGGCTCCATCTTCCTCTTCCTCGGCACCATCACCCTCTCCTGTCTCCGCCGTGACCTCCCGAAGCAAGCCTACCTGTTCATCCTGCTCCCCTCCTCCATCGGCCAGGGCTTCCAGTTCCCGGGCACCTTCTTGGCCATCCTCGCCGCGTCCCCGCAGAGCGAGCAGGCCGTCGTCACCAGCACCCTCATGCTGTGGCGGAGTCTGGGCCAGGTCCTCGGCATCGCCAGCAGTAGTCTTGTCCTGCAGAATGCCCTGCTGCACTACCTGAACAAGTTCGTCCAGGGCGACCAGCGCGACGAGGTCATCCGTCTCGTGCGCGGCTCCGTCGAAGAGGTCCTCAACTTGGAGCCCCATTACCAAGAGCAGGTTGTCCTGAGCTATGAGTCCGCGCTTCGTTTGACGTTTCTCACTTGTGTCGTGTTTGCCATCGTCTCGGTGTTTTTGACCTTGCCGATAAAGCTGCCTCGTCTCGGTGTTCGCAAGAGATAGATCAGCCATTTCCTTCCCAGATACCGCAAACTGCTATAATGAAGAGTATGAATAGATGAGTAATGCTTGGGGAACAGAAAACAGAACAGCATAAGTTAGCCTCGGTAGTCTGGATAGTTAGGATCAATTGATATCAAGTAACCCCCCCCCCCACACACACACACGCTTTGTTGGCCCCAAATTAATCGTACATCCATTTTGTCCCTCTAATGAAACCCATTCACGCCTCCTGCCATCAGAGCGTCCAGCTCCTCCTTGGCCTTCCTGTATTCCTCCTGCGCCTCTCTCTCGCGTCGGTTGACGAAGCCTACCTCCTCTCGCAAAGCGGCCAGGCGTCGTCCAATGGCAACGTCTTCCGAAATGGCCAGCGTCTTGAATCCGCTCAGCGCCACACGAGCCTTCTCGAGGGCCTCAGAGGCGCCGCCGATCTTGTCCTTGAGCATCTTCTGTCGCTTCTGGTAGCCGCCGAGGTGCAGAGACAACTTCTTCTCTAGCTTGGCTCCTTGTTCGGCAGAGGCCATGATGGAATCCTGAACAGACTACTCGATGGTTAGTATTTTGGCGGTCGGGACTTTGAGCGTGTTTCAAAATAGACTTACATCGAAAGCAGCCTTCATGGCCACACCCTCCTCTTCCTCGTCGTCATTATAGCAGCCGAGGCCGAGGAGCAATGAGCTGCTCGCACGAGCCTCAAAGGCAGATTGGATATCCTCTAGCCTGGGCAGAGGCTTCGTTTCCGACAGGATCAAAAGGCGAGCTTCCGCAAGGGCATCGTCGTCGAGCTGGGGTAGAACCTTGGGCGCACCCTTGACTTGCGCACCGGGGAGAGGGTACTTCATGGCGTCGTTGGCCATGAGTGCCGCCGACTCTTTGGCAATAAGGGCTTCGGCGGCGGAGGTCAACTTGCTCGCCTTTTTTAATAAATCGGCCAGGTCCACAACAACTGGTCGCGGCAGATTGCGCTGCATCACTTGAGTTCGCCGTCGGAATTCTAGGGCCTCTTGAGCCTCTCGTATCTCGCGATCCCGGTGATCACGCTCCTCGGCATCCTCCTCAACCACATCCTCGAGTTGCATCGCCTCCTTTTGCTCATCGGGAATATCAAACTCCCATTCCGTATCTTTGGGCTTGGGGAGCGACGAAAGACCAGACCGCAGCTGATTCCGCACCGCAAGATCTCGCATTCTCAAATCTCGGGGGGTAGCCGAAACCATTGACATACCGTCATCCTGGTTCAGTGCAAAGGTATCTCGGGGAGTTCGCATCGGGGTCTGTCCGGGCTGACGGGGCGTTGCACCAACGCCGTTGGCTCCTCGAAAGGGGGTGGCCATGGGGTTGGGTGTTGCCATGGTCTGCTTCCGGGGAGCAATGCCATCGAAGCCTGTCGAGGCACTTCCCTGGTGAAGAGGAGTATTTTCACCTCCCAGCAAGGCCGACTGAGTATCGTTGAGGGCTCGAATGTTTCGAATCTCGTTGGCGATGTGGTCGTCTTGTTCGGGGGCTTTCGGTGTTCGGATAGGAGCACTCGAGTTGAGGGTCGAGTAGGTACTGACGAGTCCCCGGGTGGCATCGTTCTCGCTTTCTCGAGCTCGAATGTTGGCGGCCTCGCCCATCTTACCCATCTTGACAATGTCCTCCAGCTCTCCCTCGCTGACCTGTGGCGCCGGCAGAACTAAGCCGCGTCGTTTGCTGCTCTGTTCAGCCTCTCGGATCTTCTGCAATTGACCAGCCTTCAGCGCTGCCTTGTGTGATTCCGACGCGCCGTCCTTTTCGTTCTTTCTTCGCTTTCGGTTGTTCTCCTCGTCCTCATCGCCCTTGCGCTTGTTGGCAGTGAGCTGCTGCTTGCGGGGATCGAAGGCCGCGCGCTGACGCTCGTTCAGCACCAACTCTTCGGAGGTGTCGTAGAAGCCAGTCAATGCCTTCCTCTCGAAGGGAATGTCTGCATTGTAGTCCATCTCGCCATCCTTCCTTGACCTGATCTTGACGTTGATGCCAGCAGTCTTGAGCTCTCTCCGCTTCTGCAGAGCAGCCAGACGGCGCGACTCCTCCTGCTGGCGCTCTCGAGCCTTTCGCTTCGCCTTTTTTCCCTGTGTATTCGCCAAACGGGCACGAGCCTCGCTCAACATCTCCTTTTCGTCCTCATCGAGATCGATCGTGTCAGGTCGCGCGGGCTTGGTCTCGGGATCCGGATCGAGTTCGCCGGGGCGTAACCTCCTCACATCGTCGGCGCTCGGCGCCTGGGTCTCTCCGCCCTCAGGGCCGGTGAGGCCAAGACCAGAGGATTCTCGCGCCTCAGCCTCGTCGAGGAGCTTCTGGTATCGCTCGAGGCACTGGTTCGCGGTTCGGCCGACAATAGGAGCGATGGTGCGCCACTGCGTGGGCATAATCTTGGCAAGGTGCAGAAGCTTCTCATCCTCGTCCTTGCTCCATTCGATCTTCTTGATGCTGGGGTCGAGCCATTCGTTCCATCGCGCCTTGCACTGCTTGGGGGTCTTGCGAGCCAGCAGCGACGAAACGCGCGCCCATTGGTTGAGGCCATACTTGGAGACGGAGGCCTTGAGGATTTCATCCTCGATGTTGGTCCAGACTCCTCCCTTGACGACGGGCATCGTGACGGTTGTTTCGCAGTCGCGCTGTCGGGGCGTTGGATGCGATCGTGCCAGTCCCAGGCTTCACGACACGCCTTTCTGAAAATATGCAAGGGCCTGCAGGCGTCACGAAGAGCTTGAGACGAATATGCTGAGTCATGATTTTGCGGCGTTTTATTGGTTGAGTGGTGAGATGGCGCGCGACCACTGTGCCTTGCCAAATATTGAGATCCACCTCTAATCTCGGGCTCTCAACTCATAGCTAACTCTGTTGCGTGCAGTACACCAGCATGGGGAGTGGCAATCATCGACGGCTATTCCACCCTGATCAAGTTACAAGCTGAAGAAAGGGCATAAGATTCGGGAGCTTCTTTTCTCGTTTCAGATCATCTTGTCATATTTTGGCGCCTTACTCCCCTGTGTTGCCGTCAGCATGCGCACCGTGGCTTGTCTGAGCACCTCTCATCATGCTCACATCACATTACCCAAGTGGTGAGCCAAAGTCAATATCCGAGTCCGATAACATTGGGTTGTTGAAACTTCATCATTTGGCTATCGCAAACATGGGGAAATGCAACATCATGACGAATCTCAAACGACTGATGGCGGGCAATTAGCAGCATCGGCGTCATGGCTCGGCAGTTGCACGCCGAAATGACGGCTACGGCCTGACCAACTTCCGAACACCGACTGCTCGCAGTAGCCGGAAGCACCCAACAACCTTGATGCTCTCGGATTATCTCGTCATGCTAACTGGCCTTATCAGTGATTCCTTTTGCGGTGCAGTAGCGGCATAGCAGCATGATAATCGCCGACTTGGTGCGGGCGGAGCAGTTGAGCGCGTCATCTATTTATTCGCTGGCAATGGCCTCACAGCCCGGTTGGCTGGGGCCCTGGCGCAACTGCTTATTCGGGGTGCGGGATGCTTGGATCCCGGGCGCGAAAGAGAGCAGTCACTGGCTGACCCATATTGACGGATCCCTGTATCTTGGGCGCTTTCATCATCGTGGGCAGCGCTGATACAGCCAACACAGCAAGTGTTGAAGTGTTGACTATCTTGTTGGCCTTCGGATCGGGCCCCCCACCCGCCCCGGAGTCCGACTCGTGAACTCCGCCGTGCCAGTTGGCTTGGCTCAGTCTGGGTAGCTCGACTCCACCACCATGGCAGAACTCCGACGTATCTTGGGGGTCGGCTTCCGCTCGCTTGGATCCATTATTAATCCAGATCCTCCCTTCTCGCCCGTGCCGTGTTTCGTATCTTCCTGCCCGAGCTGACATCCCCCGTGTCTGCGATATGGCTGCGCAGTTCCCCCATCGTTGATGCTCTCTCGAACCCGGTCGCAACTCTTCCAAGCTATCCAAGCCGTCCCAACTGTTCCGAGTGCCATGCGATAGCTTCCAACCGAGCCGATATCGCCCACCGACGGCCGAACCGCTTTGCGATTGCATCACCTGCACGCCTCAACCCCTCGACTGATCCGAAAGACTGTTCCTCCCATCTCACCTGCGCGCGTGAACACGTTGCGCGCGCATTCGCTTCACCATGGCGAGAGCGAGACGATCTAACGGTATTGCGACATCGACGGCGATTGCGACAGCGAACCCCACTATGGACGATTCCGAGACGACTGGCCTGTTGAGCAATGGCGCCCGGGGCGCTCAAGCTGAGGATGCCTCCGATGGCGTTTGGGATGGTTATAAAGACTTCGAGGGCATGCCGTGGTGGCGCCGACCTTCTGTGCGATGACCCGTTGTGGAAACACTATTCGCATCTCAGTTCTGACCGCATATAGGTCTACTGGCTGCTCGGCCCCTTTGCCATCTTCACACTTGCTTTTGGAGGCGTGATGGTGCCGAGACTAAATCTGTAAGGACTCCCAATCAGCGCTCCTCCCGGAGCACCATCATTTGCGTTGCTGACCCAGGCTGAAAATAGTATCCTCGATCTCGTGTGTAAACAATACTTTGCCGACAAGAAACTCCAGAATCCGGATATCGACTTCAACCCCGTGTTGCTGGGAAGCGACAACCCTCAATGCAAGATCCCCGAGGTCCAGAGGAACGTGGCGACCTTTATGCTCGTCATGAACCTTGTCACCGGCATCTTGAGTGCTATTGTGGCGCCGCGCATCGGTCGCCTGTCTGACAGGTACGGCCGAACCCGCCTCATGGCGCTGTCATCGGTTGGTGGAGTGCTCGCCGAGATCATCACGGTCTTGGCTGTCCAATTTCCGAATTCCATCAACTATCGCTGGCTGCTCCTCGGCAGCGTTTTCGACGGCATGACTGGTTCATTCACAGCTGGAAGCATTATGAGTCAATCGTACACTAGCGACTGTACGCCGCCCTCGAAGCGAGCAGTGTATATGGGCTACATGCACGCATGCTTATTCTCCGGACTGGCATTTGGTCCTATCCTGGCCGGGTACTTCGCCAAGTGGACGGGCAACCTCGTTTCCATCTTCTACGCCGTGATAGTATTTCATGTTTTTTTCATGTTGGTCGTCGGCTTTGTTATTCCCGAATCGCTCTCCAAGCAGAGGCAGCTGGCAGCCCGAGAGAAGTGGGAAAAGGAGCAGGAGATGCGAGTCCAAGTGGCGAGCACTTCTTGGCTGACTACCATCCGGACCATCAACCCATTCGAGCCCCTGAAGATCCTCTGGCCAAAGGGCCCAGGTACGTCTCCCGCTCTCCGTCGCAACTTGGTGGCGCTAGCTATCAACGACACCATCATCTTGGGATCCTCCATTGCTGCGGGTGCCGTCATCGTCCTGTACAGCGGATACATTTTTGACTGGGGCAATTTCGAGGCCTCACAGTTCGTGTCTGCGTTGTCGTTTGTCCGGGTGGTGGTACTTTTGGTCATTTTCCCCATCATCAACTACTTTGGACGCACACGTCCGGCCGCACGCCGGAGGGAGGCCGGTGAGATGGTATCAGAAAAGCATACAGGAGCGGACAACCTCGATGTATGGATTCTCCGAGTTGCTCTGGTATCCGACGTCTTGGGATCTATTGGATACGCAATGGCTAAGTCGGACCGTGTCTTTTTTGCATGCGGTATGGTGACGGCCTTCGGCGGGCTCGGCGGTGCTACCTGCCAGGCCATGGTAACCAAGCATGTGCCAGCCCAACGGGTTGGCCAACTTCTTGGCGCCGTTGGCATGCTTCAGGCCTTGGCCAGGGTGCTTGGCCCCGTCTTGTTCAACGGACTGTATGCTGCAACGGTCGGGTTCTTCCCCCAGGCCATCTTTGTGCTGTTGACATTCATATTTTGCGTCGCCTTGACGTCGAGCCTCATCCTGAAGCCTCATGGTAAGTTGCTCGTCTCTGTACAGCTATTTGTGGACATGCTAACCAACTTTATAGTTCATTGGGAAGAGGAGCCCGAGGAGGAGCGAGAGCCACTGAATCCCGGACCGGATCTCGTCGACGATGAAGACCAGATCCGCTTTTTGTAAATAATTGCGGTTTTAGACATATCTATTGAAGAGGGCCTGTGTTGTGGGAATAACTATCGGAGTTCACGGCGGACAGAGGCAAGCGTTAGGCGTGTGATTAGATGAACATTTGGGAGGGCTGGTACTCATTTTCTATGTAAGCCTCTCAGCCACACGGAACATTTTATTATTATAAATCATATACACACTAGACGTCATCAGTAAACCCAATCAGTCCCAGAGCAAATGCGCCAACCATGCCACATACGCAATCAGATCATGCCGTTGTGACAGAAGCCACCATCTCGTTCGGGTGGGGCCGTAGTTTGATTCGGGTGGGCGCGACACGCAAATGACATCAGCGTCACCCAGAACCACAGCGCTCCCTCATATCCGTTCAAGCTGCATCAACACCTCACGAACTCTCGTCCAATTGAACCTACGAATCCGCCACAAGAGACTCGAAGGTTTGAGGAGTCGCCGGTGTCGCCATTGGAGCATGTTCATGTCGAGGGCGTGGACAGCGACAACATCTTTCGCAGCGGGTCGCAGCGTGAGAGCCATCATGACTTCCACCGGCGCGGGCGATAGGATCATCAAGTTTGGGCCATTCGAGGTGACGAAACAGGTGAGTAGCTGGGTCTGCGTTGGTGGATCCAATAAAGTCCATTCAAGAGGAGTGAAGCGGCATGGAGACTGTCCCACGACGTGTCCTTTTGTCATCACTCATCTGCATCTTGAATTCATCATCACCTCCTTTGTAGCTACATCGCTTACAAAACCACAGGTCTTCTTCTCAACCCCCCACTCATTTGCCCTCGTCAACCTCAAACCCCTCATTCCCGGCCACATCCTCGTCTGCCCACACGCGCCGCACCGCCGCCTCACCGACATGAGCGCGGAGGAGATGGCGGACCTCTTCACGACTGTGCAACTCATGCAGCGGCTTCTAGCCCGGGCGTACTTCCCCACCCCGGACCCGGACGCCGGCAGCTTCTCCGTGGCCGTGCAGGACGGCGCGGCGGCGGGCCAGACGGTGCCCCATGTGCACGTGCACGTCATCCCGCGGCAGGCCGGCGACCTGGGGACGCCCGATGTCGTTTACGTCAAGATGGCGGGCGAGGACGGCAACGTGGGCGGCGCGCTATGGGATCAGGAGGTGCGGCGGCGGCCTGTGCCGGGAGGAAGCATGCCGAGGGTGGATGACGAGGATCGACGCCCGAGAACTGAGAAGGAGATGATGGAGGAGACGGAGAAGTACAAAGCACTTCTGAGAGAGATGGGGGTTGAGTGAGGGTCTGGTATAGACGGGGTGTGCCGACGGGACGTTGCACCTCAAATATTGCGTGATGAGCTTAAGGATTTCAGTGCCTAGGTACCAACAGCACCATTTGACTAGGCCCAGTAGAAAAGGGCCATCGTTACAGTTGACTCGATGCTCTCAAGGCAAACATGTTTCAGCTCAGTGTATAACTTGCATCATGGTCCATTGATCGCACGTCATCTACGGCGCCAAATCAACAATGGGCAATCAGAGGTGTTGACTTGATAAGAGCCGGAAACACATGTCAAAGTTAAGCCCCGACGACACGCCAGCAAGGAACAGAGTGAGGAACTAGAACGTCACCCCCGGTGTTTCCGGGCATGAAGATGCGCCTCGGGTGACTTATGTAAAAGGGCCCAGCAATCGGATCTACTGATTGTGGGTTGACTTCGCCAACGCATATGCAAACTGGGCACACGTTGGGTTACAATTGTTCCACAACCAAGTAACATTTATTGCATATCAATGCATCCACCCCCTTAGCCCTACCTGCCATCGATCGATCAGTCAGGCAACATGGCAATGTTTCCGTTGAGTTCTTGATCTTCCAAATTTAACCTTTCGCGAAGATATTAATCCGGGATGGTCAGGCCATGCCCGGTTCCAAAATACCGAAGACATCCAATCGAGTCGAACGGACACCGTGATAAAGCTATGCTGTCTGCTGGTCACACAAGAAATAGCAAGTCCAATAGATAAAAGCGGTAAGATATTAGAGAAATGGTAGCAGTCAATATACTAGAGAGCACGGTGAGCTTTTCAGGGCCCAGAACTTGTCTAGCATCGCTAGGAACCTGTGAAATTATTGATGACATAGCAGTCAGCGTTCCATCAGAAGGCAGCTGGCGTGGGTTCTCACTGGCTCGCATATAGACACCACAAAGTCGTAATCTGTGTATCTCGACATCCCGCACCCGGGCTGTCCGCTACTGCCAACTATAATGCGAAGCTAGCAGTTTTTGAAAGTGGTGACGTCGAAAATTAAGGAAGCAGATAAACGGCGCGGACTGGCTGGAGCCCCGCCTAAGCCTTCAAAAATATTTGGGTTCCGAAGCACTGAGATTGGCAATGACAGACGGATGTTACCCCGCGAATCACGAGTGATTTATCGCGGTGTTCAAGGCAAAGCATGCCGTGGGTTAATTTGGCGAGCATGGTAGCGTATGCGCCATCGTTGGACGTATGTAGGTAAGGGGGATGCCGGGGCTGTTGCGGTGAGCGGAGTTGGTGTCCAGACCATAAATGGAATTGCCGTTCCGAACGCGAGTCAAGTGCCGCTCAGCGGAGCAGCATTGGTCGCCTGCTATAAATGTGATGCTGGAAAGCAAATGTGGACAGCAACCCCGAATAGTATCGGGAATTCAGGTGTTTATATCGCATCTTGACTTGTTTACCATCTTTCGCGAGCCAAGTTTCGGAATCGGCTGAAATCGGCTGAAACCGACTCCCCACGAGAAGAGCAGAACGAAATGCGACGGTCCGACTTGATGCCCAGCCGCGCTGATGGTGTGTCGTTGAATAACCCCACAACCTGTAGCTGATCCCCGTCAACTCCAATGCGGGAACTAGTGCAAGCCCCGCTAGCGGACTTCGGTAGATGCATGACGACAGGGGCCAGATGAACGGATAGCGGGCCAGAGATGGTCATCCTGGAGGCACGAGGACAACCAGACTCAAAGGAGGACGACATGCTCACAGGTGCCCGGTGATGTCGCCGGAGATTTGCGTGCCGGCGGTGTCAACTCAGAGCTAGGACTAGAGGAGCAGAGAAAACAAGCCTTGCTTGGCGCCGAGCTCTCGGGCCTTGACGAAGTTCCATGAAACCCCGAGTGCAGCATGGAGGTCGAGGGCCAGGTGGGCCACACCCAAGCCGAGGCGAACTGCGAGATAAGCGGGCGATAGGAATTGCTTTGATCCAGCATCGACGTTTCCATCTAATCTACTTATCTGAAAGAGGAGGGGCAGTAATGCCGCCGGTGCAAATCTTCCGGTACAAAGCGATCGGCAGTCGATCAAGGAACCAAATCTCAATTGCGCCTTGATGAGCAAGAGGGGAGAGCACAGTGGGACGAGGAGGGACGGAGGGAGGGGGAGCAAAGGAGGGATTCGGAAGGTTGATGGAGCAGGCCAGAATGCGAGGCAGCAAACAGTGCATATGCGCGGGCGCACAGACAACCACAGCTAAGCCCCCAGCTAACGTTGCAACGGCGGCTTCAACCCAACCAGGTCTAGTTCATGTCATTGGGTTCCGGTCTTCGGGGAGTAGCGTTAGCAAGAGAGCAGTGCAGAAATTAGGTGTTGCGACTTGTGAGTGGTAGTGGAGGGAATCGTCCCTGCTAGGTAACCATCCGCGACTCCAAGACAGGGCGTGCCTCGCATGCATCTGAGACAGAGCCAATGAATGCCTCTGACTCTGCCGAGCCGCATTCATCATTGGAAGCTGGTAACGGCGATTTGATGTCTCAGCGGAGCAGATTTCCGGTCAAATCAACGGGACTGCAGCAGTGACGTGATTTCATCCCCAGTGCTTGTTGCATTTGTAGAAGCGATGGGATGGCCGTGGGCCGATCTGAGCAGGCCTGGACTACAGATTCCATGAGTCGCTGCTGGGCGCCGCACGAGGCCGGGGGACAGCGAACCCATATGGCACCACCAAGCTTCGGTCGCGGTCAGCTTTCCAAGGTGGGTAAGGCGGACTCTGTCGAGGTTGATGTTACGAGATGAATGCTGAAGATGAGGATGGATAAGGCAGTAGCCCGTTGTCGGCTCCGATTGCTAGCGCATCCAGGCGAATTTTCATCCAGGGTGGCGATCGTTAGCCGGCCACACTTGGCCAATCACGACCCGTCGCTCTGTGTTGATATTGGATACAAGCATATTCTAGCGCAGAGCCCCTCGAATCGACAACCAGCTGCGCACAGGCCACTTGAACAGGAGCATTATCACCTGTTGCCAACCAATCACATTTCACCGTTTTCAGCAGAGCAGCTGCATGCAGAATCCAGACCAAGCCCATGCAGGTCTGGCGAGCCATCTCTCGAAAAGCCGGGGCCCGGGAGCCGCTTGGATTGCCTGTCTCACAGGCGGCTAATGTCAAGGGCAGTTTTGCGGGACTGTAGTAAGAACAACCTGGTTGATCTAGTCCGACGAGGGCCTCGCTCGACTGTCCGACCGACCCCCGACCACCCGTGCTAGCGATGCTCCGAAAGATGCCGCTAGGGTATATAGAAAAGGAAATCCCATCACGAGGCGACTTGCAGCATGCGGTCAAGCCAGCTCCCAAAAGTTCGGCTTCTTCATTTCGTGCCGAGTTTAAGGTGAGTCAAGGTGTGGAGGAGGGGGGATATGCTCCTAAGCGGTCTCGCTCCCTTGTGATCTCTGGAGCCGCCTCGGAAAATGTTGCGACAACCCCTCCTCCCACACCTCCTCCTCCCCCTCTTCCCGCCTGGGAGGAATTCGGGTTATCAATGAATCCAGTGAATGCGTCCGCCCGGCTCATCCGATCCCCTCTCTCTCCTCTCTCTCCTCTCTCCCCTCTAACAGCACTCCCAGCTTTCGTCTAGCCACATCTCGGCTAAGTTGTGTCGCGTGTCTGGCTACGCCAAGTCCAGGTCCCAGCATGTTAAGTTGGTTCTCCACAGGCCATATTATGTACATAGATAGAATACCACCGTGCTATCGCCGCCGCTCATTCTGCAAACGGTGCATACTTCTTACCTCAATGCTCTTATCAGGGTGTCCCGGCCTGGCAGAGCCCGAAGACTCCACTCCAGAACCACAGCTGCACTTACACGGCCCCAACTGCCACGGTTCAAATATGGCCTCCCACCCTCCGTCTCTCTCCTCTCCAAAGCTTCCCACCATCTTTCCTCTCTGGCTTCAGTCACCCTATATCTGTTTGCCTTCCCTGGGGCATTCTCGACGCTTACCGCCACTGTATTTATTGCCTCGAAAGACCAACACCAGTACCTTTGAACGCCATCCTCGGCCCGTAATCCCATCACCGCACAGCCATAACCCTCCTTCATAAGACGGCAACACTTTTATCCACCGTCTTATCCTACTGTCCCAATTTCTTGACCTCTCAAAGAATTGCATTTGTCGCGGTTAGCCTTTATCAGGCGAAGACACAATGGCTCTTCTTAACCGGTCACGCGCCCGGGACCCGGATAGTTTTCCGGCAATGCAGCTCTTCCTCCTCGGTAATTCTTTTTCTCAAATCCCTTCAGCAGCGACTTGGCGAAATTGGCTAACTTCATGCTTTCAAAGCTATTGTTCGATTGGCGGAGCCCGTTGCCCTAACGTCAATCTTTCCATATGCGTGGGCATTGGTTAAGGATTTCCACGTTGGAGACGAAAACAATGCCTCCTTCTACTCCGGCCTCCTCATCTCAGCTTTCTCGCTTGCCGAGGCTACCATGGGCATGTACTGGGGTGGTTTGTCTGATCGGATCGGTCGCAAGCCAGTTTTGATCCTGGGATGCGTCGGTACCATGCTCAGCATGATCATGGTGGGAATCGCTCCCAACTTCTGGGTTGCCTTGTTCGGCAGGGCGCTGGGTGGTATGCTCAACGGAAATATTGGTGTTATTCAGACCATGGTTGGCGAAATGGTCACCCGGCCAGAGCACGAACGTAAGTTTGCTCCGGCAATACGGATCTCGCCTTCTTCCCATGGACCAGCTGACATGATACAGCACGAGCATTCTCCATAATGCCTTTTGTTTGGAGCGTTGGCACAATTATCGGCCCTTCGATTGGTGGTATGTTTGCTAACCCGCATGAGTCTTGGCCTCGGACGTTCCCTGTCGGCAGCTTGTTCGAGCGTTTCCCCTACCTGCTCCCCAATCTTCTCTGCGCTGCCATGTTGCTCCTGAGCATTGTTTTGGGATTCATTCTCCTTGAGGAAACCCACCCAGATCTACGACCACTGACGGCTCAACCGACTGAATGCTGTGCCTCGGAAGAAACTCCGTTGATCCCATCCTCGGACCCACGAAAATGCACTTCAACAACCGACTCCCAAGTCGAGACGTACGGGGCTACCGAAGGTGTGGGAGAGGACTGGGATATGTCTCTGACAGAAAAAGACACACCTCCCCCGCTCGTCAAGATCTGGAACAAGGGGCTTGTCGGACTCATTGTATCCCTGTGCATCTTCACATACCACTCCATGACCTATGATCATCTGTTGCCCATTTTCTTCGAAGACGATCGTGTTTCGGCTTTCCAAACGGCCAAGGCACATACGGTGTTCCCGTTCTACTCTCCCGGCGGACTAGGCCTGTCTCTCCGCAACGTGGGGGCGATCATGGCGGTCGACGGTGGCATCGCTTTGATCGTGCAGGGTTTCATCTTTCCATGGGCAGCAAACAAGCTCGGCACATATCGGCTCTTCCTCGTCGTTGCAGTGATGCATCCTGTCGCCTACATCATCATGCCTATGCTCCTTCTCGTACCCCAGTCTCTCCTCTATCCTGCCATTTACCTCTGTCTCGCCGTTCGCAACCTTCTCACCATCGTCCTCTACCCTCTCCTCATGATTCTCATCAAGGAAGCAACTCCCTGTCCAAGCGCCCTGGGCAAGGTCAATGGCCTGGCTGCCAGCGCGGCCGCTGCATGCCGCATGATTTCGCCTCCCATTGCAGGCTTCCTGTACACTCTTGGCACCAGGGCTGATTGTTCCGCATTGTCATGGTATGCCAGTGCTGGCGTCGCTGTTGTCGGTGCCGTCCAGTGCTTTTGGGTACCGCGAGCGTGGAACGACGAGCACTCCGAAGAGCACGGGATTGTACGCCGCAAACAGGATGTCACTGTCACTATCGCTGAAGTACCGTTCTACGACTCTGATTAACGTGGTCTTGACAAGGTAGGTCAAAGGGTATGATTTGGGAAACCTGCACAGGGGGATCCGGTGACTAGATACTTTCTTTTTGAGAGATGCACCTTTGGCCGAGAAATCAGTCAACAGCGTACGATGTACATGTATATGTTTGGGTTGGATCAGCGGCTTGGAGTTTGGGGTTGTTTTCCAGTGTTAACACAAAAGTTTTATTTGTTTTTTGCACCATTCGGTATTGTCTTGGTTCAAGCGGTTGGCTTTCTTTTTGGCTTGCATGTTTTGAGTCATCGGAGGAGAGCGCTGGAATTGGAGCATGGGAGTTAATTGTTGCCTATTATTGCTCAAATCTTTTCCTTTTTTATTTTATAGATCAGGGTCAACATTCATGGATGCTCATAGAAGGCAATGGAGCTGGATCGACTCACACCTACGTCAAAGCGTGCTGTCTCCCACAAGTTGCGTGGTAAGAAGAATCAGTGATGTTTAAATAGACGATGTAACAATTCGCAGTGTAAAGAAATTAATTTCAAGTAAAATGGGGGCTATTGTTTTCGGGTTTCGACGTCATATTGAAGATTTGTTGTCGAGATGCGTCGCCCAATAGGATTTTGGACACCCACCGAAAGTTGGAGAAGATGGTCAAATTTTAGTCGGCGAGTTAGTCACTCATTGACGACGGGGAACGACAGAGTCCACCCAACCAAGTCGCTCCCATTTCTCAACGTCAAAGGGGCTGCTCTCGTACGAGGCTCTAAAACACAAGAAAAATGGATATGGATGCTCTCGTCGACCAAGTTGGCCAGGCCATGAAGGTGTCCAAGCCGGATGCCTCCGACTCACAGCCGCAGAGCGAGGCGACGATGCCTGAGCTGCCGCTGGCTCATGCCATCGCCAAGACGAGCCAGGGAATGACGGTTGACGAAGTCGTGGCGGAAATCAAGAGGACGCCGCTGTTCATGACGGATCTGGACGACGCGGATCCCGACAACGTCGACATCGCGGCGCTGCAGGCCCTCGCCTACGAGGGAACGCCGCTGGAGAACGGCAGCGACTTCAAGGATCGCGGGAACGAGTGTTTCAAGACCAAGGGCTACGGGGACGCCAAGGAGTTCTACACCAAGGGCATCAACATCCTCTTCCTCGAGGAGCGCAAGCGCACGCGCGGCGAGGTGACGACCAACCCCGAGGGCGAGCCCGACTCGGACGAGGAGATGGCCAAGCAGCGCGAGATGCTCGAGGCCCTCTACGTCAACCGCGCCGCCTGCCATCTCGCCCTCAGCAACTATCGCAGCTGCTGGACCGACTGCGCCGCCGCCATCCGCCTCAACCCACGCAATGTCAAGGCGCACTACCGCAGCGCCCGCGCGCTGCTGGCCGTGGACCGCATCGCCGAGGCCGACGACGTGTGCGCGCGGGGCCTGGCCCTGGACGAGAACAACGCAGGCCTGAAGGCCGTGGCCGAAGACCTCGTCAAGCGCGCCAAGCAGCTCGACTCGCAGCGCAAGATTGTCGCCGAGCGCGAGGCCCGCGTGAAGCGCCGCGCGCTGCTCCTCAAGGCCGCGCTGCGTGCGCGCGGCATCCCGACTCGCACGACGGCCCAGCCGCCGGAGATGGAGGACGCCAAGCTGGAGCTGGTTCCGGACCAGGACGACCCGCGCAGCACGCTGTCGTTCCCCGCCGTGCTGCTGTACCCGCTGCACCTCGAGTCGGACTTCATCAAGGCCTTCAACGAGACGCAGTCGCTCGACGACCACCTGTCGTACGTGTTCCCGCTGCCCTGGGACCGCGAGCGTGAGTACACTCCCGCCGGAGTCGAATGCTACGTCGAGACTCGCGAGGGCGGTCTGCTCAAGATGGGCAAGCGCGTGTCGCTCCTCAAGGTGCTGGGAACGGGCAAGGTCGAGGTTGTAGACGAGGTGGTGCGCATCTTTGTGGTGCCGCGGGCGAAGGCCGAGGCGTGGGTAAAGGAGCACAAGGCCAAGAGGGCGAGAGAGAAGGGCGAGGAGGATCAGGCGAACTAAGTGGGAACGGGACGGCAAAGGCAATGACGGAAAAGTGATTTGATGATTTGATGATTGACCCGGCTGATAGACTACCCGTGGTGTTGTGATTTGCTAGTGGTATAAACGTGCAACATCTGGTCCAAACAAATTTGAAAGCAAACAAAAAGAGATTCCCAAAAGAAAACACCTGCCAGAGATGAATTGTCTACCCAATACTAGCTGCCTTGGACCAAGGACTTTTCCAAATGCTCCCAACTCCTCTCGGCTCAGATACCCTCCTAGCCAAGTCGACGCCGCTACGGGCTGCAGTGCGGCCTCGAAGCTAAAACGAGTTTGTCCGCTGCCTCTTTCTCGGATGCTCATCGTCGAGCCATGGCCCAGACGATATCAACCCGGTTGGGGCGACAGGAGGGGGGCCAGCCGCGGTATAGGACCCGCGGCTTTGTTCCCTACCGCCCAGGAGCAATAGCACCGCAGCCGCATCCTCAGCTCTTTCATCCACAGGTCTTGTTCTCTCTCGTGTTAAAGTCGGCTCGGGGGATCCAGTCGCTAGAATAGAACTGAGTCTCATATTGTTCGTATTGGCCGTGTTGCTTGTGAAGTTTACATGGCTTGTGTTGCCCATGTTGCCCATGATCGGGCTCGCGCTGGCTCTGTAGCCGTGTTCTGAATCCTCGTAGTCCAGTCGTCGTTTAGGACTCCATCCAGGTGGCGAGGATGTGTTGCGAGGCTGGAGCGACGGGATGCTTGGCACAGCACTGAGGTAGGGGCTGGGATCAGGGTACAAGTCGTACTGTGGGCTGGGATGGTTGGCAGAAGTCCAACTCGAGCTGGGGCGCGATGGTAACGTGTACCCCTGAAGCCCAGATCCTATGCTCGACGCAGAGTTAGGTACCGAATGGTAGTGGCTCTCCGTATCTTCCGGCATCCATGAAGAGTCACAGGTAAGGCGAGGTCTGAGTTGGAACCTGCCTTCGTCCTGATCAAAAGGACTGAGGGTGGCTGGGCGGACGGTTCGAGGGAAGCTAGTAGCACCACTGAAGCCTGAAGTGATATTGTTCATGTGCTGCTGACGAGAAAACTCAGCCTCATGGGTAGCCCTATTGACCAGTTGCGGGTCGATAGTCATACGGCCGAAGTCTGGAGAGTCGGGGTGGAAGCACTCAGAAGGAAAGGATGCCCCAAAAAGGGGGATCAGCGCCCCAGCAATGGGATAGCAGAATGTCGCGCACACTGCTTTGGCACAGGAATATGGCATCCAATAGCCTAGCAAGCGAGTTAGTAGGGGCTTTGCAGATCCACAGGGAGAGAGCAAGTTACCTTGAGCGGCGATCGAGCCTCCAGTAATGCTGTGCGAGATTTCTTTGAGGCCTGGGTTGAGACCCAACATCTTGGCTGGAACGGTCTTTTCCACTATTAGCGCCACACCGTCACGACAAAATGCGACAACTGATTGCTTACTTTTCCATATCGACAGCACTTGAAGAAGGGGGTCATGCGGACAAGCCCAACATTGTAGTCCCACATGACGGTGTATTCAATAGTTTGTCCAGGTCCAGGGAGCGTGAACTCGTATCGAAACACTGCGTCGTTGTTAGTGCCAGATGGTCGGGGGCAATACCGAGTCACGTACCTTCGAAGCTCTCTCGCCCCGTCTTCTCGAAGAAGCCCTTCTTGCCGCTGTTGTAGGGGATGTGCGAGCAAGATTGTTGGATGGACCCAAAGGTTTGGATCCCAAACCTTTTGATCTCCATGACAGAACCATCATCGAGGTTCTCGAATGGGGGGTAGTTGATGGGGGCACGGATCTTCGACTTGGCCAAGTTGGCTCGCCCCGTGCTGTTCCGGTTAGGAGGCATAATCGGTCGGTCCATCGCTAAGGTGGAGGCACTCGTGTTGGCAGAGAAGATGAGAGAGGAAGATGCAGGAATGGGATGAAAGGAGGGGGCAGTCTCTCGCCGGGGAGAGGCTGGGTTAAGAAGGGTCTTGAGAGACAGCATGGCGAACGGCGGCGTCTGCCAGGGGCCAAAAACAGAATTTCTTTCAGGTAAGGTCCTCAACGTGGTCTTGGAGGGATAAAGAAGCCTCGTCGCTGTTGGGGGGGATGAACCAGGTGGTTTGGATGGGGCGGTGGGCGGCGCCCGTGATATAACCCAACCCCGAAACTGCAGGGAAGGACAGACAGCGTAACAGTGAGTGGAAACTCTTCCCACTCAAGTCACTCTCAAGCTTGACAAACAACTCGGGGCAGGACAGTCTTCCAGGCGGTGTCCTCTTGCCCCGACGCGTCAAGGACAAGGAACCCTAGGTCGCTTTCGCCCGGAGGCTTAAGTCACTTGCGGACGGAGGCTGCAACTCCGGCAGCTAGAAGCGACGTCTGTTGGCTTGACCGATATTCTCGGTGTCTTTTTCTTTGTCTCCTCCCTCTGGCGGGATGCCTAAAATGAGACGGCCTCGTTTGCAAACTCCCACCGCTCTGCGTTGGCGAAGCCTAGCATACGCCACCAAGTGATAGATGACCAGACAACGTGGTTGGGTGGGTGCGAAACTTCTAAATGAAGGAAGTCGACTCAGCCTGTAACCTTTGGACCGGAAGCCAGGACGAGGGGGCCAAGGTAGTTTGATGAGTAGAGACGCGGCGTGTCCCACAGCCTCGACGGTACATGTCGCCTCGGAGCCTCCGCGCACCAGAATGGCCACACCTACAATTTTGGAGTCCAGTGTATCAAACAACTTCGCCATGTGCTTTCATGCTGTCTTCTCCGCATCAAGACCGAAAGGCAGAGAACCGCAACAGGGGCGTGTAGGCCGAAGCCGCTGGGGGTGAGAGCGCGGCCCTCATCCGTCGCCCCTTGCTGCTCTGCTCTCCGTTTTCCGTCACACTCCCGTGGTGTGTATCCCCCAAACCAGGCCCAATAACAACCTAGCCGTTTCCGACTGCAGGTGCTTCCAACATCGGAAACCCGCTGGCCAGAACGGGAGTTGCTCGTTAACAATATCCTGTAGCTGGATGGGACGTCCCGCAAGTCGCGGGGGCGACACCTGAATCTGCCGATCGCAAATGCAAGCCCTTTGGGGCATAATCCTTGATGTCTCACTATTTGAAGCCACCTCAGGAAGCTTTGGGCGAACTGGAGCGCCAACGGGTACTTGCATCGCCCATCGCCAGGGGCTTCCCACCCCGGTCCGCTCGGTGAAGACAGGACAACAAAAGCTTTCTGTTGTCTGCCAGTCGTGAAAGCAATTCATGCTCATTTTCCAAACCTCGCCCGAGTCGCTCCACGTGCCCCTATGGCAGATGAGAAGTGACACCGACTTGGGTAGAGCCGGCTAGACTGTGTGGTGTTTGATGTGAGTGAAGATACCTTCCAGGATCCTTGACCCCAGCAAACAGAACTTGGAGAATGTTTTAGCGTTCCTTTTTGACCATGCCGTAAAAATAAGTCCAAGTTTTATGTTGGTCCGCAAGAGCCAAAGTGTGCATGTCTGCCTCCTCCTCCACTCACTCATCCTCTGCTGCCCAAAAACGTTCGACGGAGATTTCTAGAAACAAGGATAGCTGACTCTCTCTTCCTCTCTTCTCTTTCGAAGGCGCTGGAGATCACAGCTGTCATGCTGCCGGCTCTTGTTACTCACGCGGGCTTGCCGGCGCACAGGTACAAGAAAAATGTCCGAGGGGGTACAAGCCTACGCCCGATAGGGACACCTGCTCAAACTCTTGAGAAGCCTTCTGATTGCCGTACAGTGCCGGCCAGGGCATAAGTTCCCCCTAATGCCGGGATTCGCCAACTCGCATGGTGCTTGGGCAATCACTCGAGTGGCCCCTGGCGGTCGCTAGGTAGATCGGTACAACTGTCTCTGTATCCCACGAAGGACGTCCAATTGAACGACTTTTCGGTACCCATGCAATCTCCCAAAAAGCACTGTGTTTGTAGAGTGCCATCCCTTGGCCTTCGAGTCAATATCCTCTGGCGGATATGTAGACAGAAGCTTTGATGAGGTTGATCACATTTGCTGCAACCAACCGACGGGTCGGGTACCAACACATCCAAGCGTCCAACGTCCACGCTAGAGATAAAATGATTCTCAGCGAATGATGTTGCGATTTCTTTTCAGGCTCTGTGCTAAATTCGGAGGCGCTGACTGAATGCGAATGTCAGACACTTGGAGAGCCAACACACCCTACTAGAGCACTGTTACGACTGGTAACTTAGGCACACGCTGGATTTAGGCTTAGACTGCTTAGCCTTGGTTGCCTGTCATAAATGAGAACCCCGCCACCCATCCGTCCAAGGCAGGCGTCTTGTTTGGCTCTCTTCATGAGCCCGTCGGGCCGAGCTGTGAGCGTATTCAGAGTGCCTACTTCCACGCTTAGAGCCAGACAGAGAACGGAGATAAAATCTCTGATACTCAAGGGATAGTTTCAGATGATTGTACAATATCCAGTGTGGGACGGCGGGAGGACTAAGGCGAGGAGCTGTCACTGCCTCACGCGGAGTGCAACCTTGGTCATCCAGACGGCTCCCTGCATCGACTTCGGAGCAGCCTGCCTTTTTTCCTAATTTTCTGAAGTTGTGGAGCTCAAGGCGCACGCCGCATGGGCTGGTGTCGCCCGGCATGCCGCGTTGGACAGGCCCCTGAAGAGACGTGTAAATATGGCTACCCGTTTTGCGAGTGGCCGCGAGGAGTGAGCGTGGAGTGGGTGAGGAGATGGTCATTCCCCAACCCAGTGGATGCTGAGGCTGCATAAGCCATCACCAGCGACTTTCCCAAGCGAAGCATAGCTGGGCCTAAGTATTCCGGGATAGCTTGAGATTGAGATTGGATGGCAGGAGCTATCACAGGTCGACTTCGACCTCGATAGCCTAAACAGGATTCAGCGCGATACAGGGGCAATGGGAGTGAACAGATACGATTCATAGCTCCTGTGTCAGTGGAATCAGCCAATCGTGACGGAATAGCCTGGGAGCGTAACGATGAAAAGTTCGTCAGTTTCACGCAAGTGATACGGCCAACATCAGCCACGCTGGTCTCGAAGACGGTGGAACGGAGAGTATAGACCAGGCCTTGCGTCCGGGCTTGGGGCGACACAGACCTGGGTGAGAGAGGGTGCCTCTTCACAGACTGTTGTACGTCCAGACTCGGCCCACCGGTCAAAACTGGAGCCGTGCATGTCTGACTTCGAGAATCGACAGGGTTGGCCAGAAGGCAGACGGCAAGAGTGGATTCTCGACAACCAGACAGCTGTCAGTCCTCGCGTAGCGGTCGGCTGCCCGGATTGGGGAGTGCCCGGTTCTGTCAAACTTGTGTGACAAGTGCGTATCTAGGAAGCGAATGGACCGGGCTCTAGCATGAAGCCGACATTATGGACCTCTGGGGGTGTTGTAGAGGCATTCGATATCTCTGGGTGTGTTGTAGAAGCGTGCGATACCTCTCTGCGGCGGATGCTCAGATCATTTGTGATGCCTGACTCCCACGAATTGCGCTCGCTGGTGACGACTTGTGGTGACGACTTATTAGTGGCTGCTGCATCCAGGAACAACATTTTGTGGAACAGGAAGGCCTCGAAGTCCAGGCTGTTGAGTATCTCGATTCAATATCGGCCGATTCGAATTGAGCGCCACAGCATATACAGCTGCCCTGGAAAGACGGGTCGATCTTGGGGCGTACAAACACCGTCTGAATTGACAAGATAAGTTGAAGATGCTGCTCGGGCCAAGCTTGAAGCTACCTGGTAGGTACTGTACCTCGGTTGCTGAGTCAGGTGCAATCGCGCCCAGGCCCAAGTGTGGGTCATCAGTCCTGGGCAGTCACGATGGCCTGAGGCGTCGAAACACGGTCTCCACTATCGGCATCCGGGATGTCGCAGGGCCGCAGGGGTCGCGTCCGGGATTTGTTTACGCGCGGGACACTGATTGCCACAACAACATTCGCTCTTTGTAGTTGGTTGATGGTAAAAGTCATCAGGCTGGCCCATCTCGTCCCCTCTCTTTTGTTGTCGCGAATCTGCGCGCGAGCTTCACCTTTTGCTCGCCTGAGCTGCTCTGCCCCATTGACTGTTCTCCCTTGTCGGCCACTGTTGCCTCTACTCTCTCTGTCGACAACATCCACTTTGGCCACCAAAGCCAGGGCAGTGCTCAAATCTACCACGAAAATGGATTCCGACGCCTCTGATGCCTCGGCTTTCAGTCTCGACGACGAGTCCGATGGCTTTGTCATGGAACCTGTGAGTGTTTGCCTTTGCTTCTTTGTTCAACCGACTGTGAATTGCGCAGTGGCTGCCACGGGCGCACAGCTGCCTCACAGCTGGCACCTCTTCTGCTACTTTTTCTGCTTCCACCAACGACTCGTTCTTTGCCTTCTGTCACATCTCAACACCTCCTTGCCAGCGCATGCAAGAAACACCCGCCGCAATGGAGCCCTCGCGAACAACAACCCCCTCGAACCCGCTGCTAACGTCGCCGTCGCAGAAACCTAAGCTCAAGGCAGCCCCAAAGAAAGCCGCCGTGAAACCCGCCGTGAAGAAGATGGTCCAAACCACGCTGAAGACCAAGCCCGCCGCCGCCACCAAGAAGCGCCCCAAGCCCGAGAGCGACGATGATGATGCTATGAGCGACGGTTCTGGCTTCTCAAACACCCCTCCCAACTCCAAGAAACTAAAAAAAGACCCGCCACCCAAGAAGTCTTCTGGAGTTCCCTTGGCGGAGCTCGAAAACGACAGCATGATCATCGACAGCCCTCCCAAGGCCAAGACAAAGAAGACCGCCACCGAAACATACCAAAAATTGACCCAGCTCGAGCACATCATCAAGCGTCCTGATACCTACATCGGATCAGTAGAGAAGACGGAACAGCAGATGTGGGTTTTCAACAAGGAAACCTCCCTCATGGAATACCGAGCCGTGACCTTCGTACCTGGTCTTTACAAGATCTTTGACGAAATCCTCGTCAACGCCGCTGACAACAAGCAACGTGACGGCACCATGACCTACATGAAGATCAACATCGATCGTGCGAATGGTACCATCAGCGTGGAAAACAACGGTAAAGGTATTCCTGTTGTGATCCACGAGAAGGAGAAGATCTACATCCCCGAGCTCATTTTCGGCCATCTCTTGGCTGGTTCCAACTTCGACGATGACGAGAAGAAGACGGTTGGTGGTCGAAACGGTTATGGAGCCAAGCTCTGTAACGTCTTCAGCACTGAATTCAATCTTGAATGTCAGGATAGCGAGCATGGAAAGCGCTACAAGCAAACGTGGACGGACAACATGCAGAAGATGCAAAAGGCCAAAATCACATCCAGCAAGTCATCTGACTTCACCCGCATCACATTCAAGCCGGATTACGAACGGTTTGGTATGTCAGAAGGCATCGACGATGACCTGGAATGCCTGCTGTTCCGGCGAGTCTACGACATGGTCGGAACGGTCCGAGGCATCAAAGTCCACCTCAATGGTGAACAGATCAAGATCAAGGACTTCAAGGCCTACTGCGATCTGTACGCCAAGTCGATTGCCAAGGATAGAACCGACGAGGAGGGTGGCACTCCAACATGCACCGTCGAGATGGACAAAGACAAGAGCCATCCTCGCTGGGAGGTTGGCTTCGCTGTTTCGGACGGTACCTTCCAGCAAGTTTCATTCGTCAACTCCATTGCTACGACAAGTGGTGGCACTCACGTCAACTACGTCGCCGATCAGGTCACGGCTTACCTGCTCAAGACTCTTAACAAGAGGAAGAAGGGCCATACCTTGAAACAAAGCCATCTCCGTAATCACATTTTCATCTTTGTCAACTGTCTTGTCAACAACCCGGCTTTCACATCCCAGACCAAGGAACAAATGACGACCAAGACGAGCCAGTTTGGTAGCAAGTGTGTTCTTGGGGAAGACTTTCTCAAGAAGATTGCGAAATCAGATGCTATCCAAAACATCATGGAATTCGCGGAGCGGAAAGCCGACAAGCTGATGGCAAAGAGTGACGGAAGCAAACGTTCCCGTGTCAGCAACGCCAAGCTAGTCGAGGCCAACTTGGCTGGCACACGACGTGGCCACGAATGCACTCTGATCTTGACAGAAGGTGACTCCGCCAAGGGTTTAGCCGTGTCTGGCCGAGCCATCCTTGATCCCGACCGCATCGGTGTTTTCCCACTTCGCGGAAAGATGCTCAATGTACGCGATGCATCCATTGATCAAATAACAAAGAATCAAGAAATCCAGAACATCAAGCAATTCCTGGGTCTCAAACACAAGCAGATTTACACCGATACCAAGAGTCTCAGATATGGTCACTTGATGATCATGGCCGATCAGGATCATGACGGAAGTCATATCAAGGGTCTTCTCATCAACTTCCTTCAAGTGCAGTTCCCGTCGCTCCTACAAGTTCCCGACTTCTTCCGTGAGTTTATCACGCCCATTGTCAAGGTCTGGCAAGGACCCGATCCGAAGAAGCCCAAGAAGTTGAAGACCTTCTTCACACAACCCCAGTACACAGAATGGAAAGAGACCCATGCCAACGAGCAGTCCAGATGGCAGGCCAAATACCTCAAGGGTCTGGGATCCTCTACCAACGAGGATGCCCAAGTCTACTTCACCAACCTCGACGAGCATCTGAAGGAGTTCCAAGTCATGAAACCAGACGAGGCGGAACTCTTTGAACTTGCTTTTTCCAAGAAGAAGGCAGACGCGCGAAAGGAGTGGCTCGGCAATTTTGTTCCGGGTACTTTCTTGGACCACTCAACCAAGTCGATCACTTACGGCGACTTCGTTAACAGAGAACTGATCCTGTTCAGCATGGCTGACAACATGCGCTCAATTCCTTCCGTGCTCGATGGCCTGAAACCTGGTCAACGCAAGGTCATCTATGCTTGCTTCAAGAGAAACCTTGTAAAGGATAAGAAGGTGGTCGAATTGGCTGGTTACGTTTCCGAGCAAACGGCATACCACCACGGTGAAATGTCTCTTCAGCAGACGATCATTGGCTTGGCTCAGAACTTTGTCGGCTCAAACAACATCAACTGTCTAGAGCCAAGTGGAAACTTCGGTTCCCGACTTGCCGGTGGTTCAGATGCTGCTAGCCCTCGTTACACCTTCACTCGCCTTTCACCATTCGCCCGAAAGATCTTTTCCCCTCTAGATGAGCCTAACCTGGAAGCTCAATTTGACGATGGAAAACCGATCGAGCCCTTGGTCTACTCGCCGATCATTCCCATGGTCCTTGTCAACGGCGCTGACGGTATTGGTACCGGTTGGAGCACGTCGATTCCCAACTACCATCCTGCGGAAATCGTCAAGAACCTGAAGCGCCGAATGGGTCGCCTTGACGACAATGACGACGAGGAAAAGCCTTTCGAGACCATGACACCTTGGTTCCGTGGCTGGAAAGGTGAACCCAAGGCGGCTGGACCTGATCGCTACAAGTTCAATGGCATTGCCACCCGAGACGATCAAAACCCGAACGAGGTTATCATCACTGAACTGCCCATCCGAGTGTGGACAGATGACTTCAAGGCCAAGCTTGAGAAAATTATCAGTGGCGGTGACGGTCCAACCTGGATCAAAGATTACAAGGAGTTCAACGATCACAACACTGTCCGTTTTGAGATTATGGTTGACGAGAAATTCATGCCCAAGGTTCTCGAGGAGGGCATACTCGAGCGTTTTAAGCTATTGAAGCAAGTAGCAACATCCAACCTGGTAGCCTTTGACTCTCGGGGCCGAATCCGCAAGTATGAGAAGGTTGAGGAAATTTTGGAGGAGTACTATTGCCATCGAATGGACATGTACCTGCAGCGAAAGGTTTGTGCACTGCTCTAAATGTCGAAATATGTTGCTGACTTGTTCCCAGAAATATTGGCTCGGTGTGTACCATGCCGACTACCGCAAGTTGAAGAACCAGGCCCGCTTCATCAAGGAAATTATTGATGGCGAGCTTGTCGTTGGCAGAAAGAAGAAGAGCTTGCTTGTGGAGGAGCTTCGAGAACGCAAATATGAGGCATTCCCACCAGGAAAAGAAAAGAAGTCGAACGAAGACGAAGAAGAAGCAGAAGAGGAAGTTGACGCTGTAGACGGCGGCGCTCGCGATTACGACTACCTACTTTCGGTAAGGACAACGACGGGTGCAGCTGATTCAATTACTGACGCGGACTAGATGCCCATTTGGTCTCTTACGGCCGAGCGTCTCGAGAAGCTCAAGGATGCCATTGCCAAAAAGAAGACTGAGCACGACGACCTTCTCGCATTGAATGAGAAGGACCTGTGGTGCAGAGACCTTGACGAGTTCATGGCCGAGTGGGACAACCAGCTCGCGCTTGCTGCCGAGATCAAAACTAACATTCGCCGCCTGGGCCGCCGAGTGTCGAAGAAGATTGGTGCTGGCCGTGGCCGCAAGGTCAAGGATGAAGACGATTATGAGCCTGAGAAGAAGGCCCGCGGCAAACCCAAGGCTGCAGCAGCCAAGGCCGCGCCTGCCAAGGAGACGAAGAGTTCCCAGAGGTTTACAGAGACGTTCAGTTCCAAGCCCAAGGTCAAGGTGGAGAAGGAGTCTGATGTTGTAGAGCTATCTGACAACTTCTCCGATGATGACTTTGCGGCACTCGGCAAGGGCAAATCAGCAGCCAAGGCTGCGCAGTCGCAGTCGCAGTCAGAAGTTGAAGCTGTTCCTGTTCGCACCAAGCGGGCTGCTGCATCCAAGGCGAGGACCATTTTCGATGACGAAGACTCGGAGAGTGACGACGACCAGATGCTCGGCGACGTCGGCGCGCTTGTCAAGGGAATCGACAAGCCGGCGGGCGAGTCATCCGGCGGCAGACTTAGTTTGTATGCCATGAACCGCCCCGATTCAAGCCACGGCAATGGCAGCTCCGGTGGCCTTCCAAAGCCAAAGACTAAGTCGGCCAAGTCGTTTGACTTTGACAGCCCTGACGACACCAACTACGAGATGTTGGCCAAGTCTTCCCCTCACAAGACCGCGACAAAGGGAGACCACATCGACAGCTTCCTGTCTGATGATGACCCGGTCCCTTCTCCAGCCAAGCCGGCAGTTTCCAAGGCCACATCACTTAGCGCTACGGTAGCAGGCCTTACCAGTGTCAAGAAACCCCGAGGTCGTCCTGCTGGAGCGAAGGCCAAGGCCAAGGACGATGCCAAGCCTGAGCCAAAGCCCAAGGCCGCACCCAAGGCAGCGCCGAAGAGCAGAGCCAAGGCAGTGTCAAAGGCCAGCACTCTCTCCCCAGCGGCAAAGGCATACGCGGCTCGAAAGGCCATAAAGAAGAGTGTCCTAGATGATGATTCGGATGAGGAAATGGAAGAACTTTCATCGCCTCCTCCCCGACCGGCTGCAAGGGCGCGGCCAGGTCGAGCAGCGGCTGCGAGACGGCCAGTTGTGATTGACGACGAGGACTCGTCGATGATGGAGGACCAGCAGAACGACGACGAGAGCGAAGATCCATTTGAGGTGGATGATGATGAGGACTAGATTCGTCAAGTCGACGGACAAGAGTATTGTCTGCGGCACTTCCCATGATACTGTCAGTTATATTGTTTCGCCTTGCTAGTTTTACTTTTCCTTTGCACTTTCCTGGAAGAGCCCCTTGCAGCCACAGGCTCGGGCATGATATGAGATACATCTGGAGGCTATGTGTTGAGGAGTCAGGGACGTGGTCACTTGCTTCCGGAGCCGAGCTTTATTATCGCAATTGATATCCAACTCTGAAATATGAATGTTCTATTACTATGTGCACTTGATGGCCTTGATCATGTTGTCTGTGTTGTCTTGTCCTATTCCTATATCAAGAGGGTGCCCTAGTACACACATAACCAGAGGGGGGACTAGAAGCTCTACAGTAAAAAAACACACCAACAATAGTACCAATAATACAGACTATATACCCAGTCCATTCAATGGTCAACAGTATACTCAGACAGACTAAGGTTTCTAGTCCAACTGGTTACCTTTTGCAATAACTCAATAAGCTGCAGTAACAGCTGCATCTTGAAAAGGCTAGATCTGCTGGAAATCATGTCTCGTATAAATTATTGATTTTTAGGATATAAAAAAACTACAACAAAGCGGTGATGCTACTGTGTTAAACCTTGGCCACTTGCTTTGGAATGCCGCTGTAGACTACTTAAGACGTGTCTTCGCATCGCAACAAGCGAGCCTCGACTCTCGGCCACCACAATGATTGAACTGGCGTCGCCCTGGGATGCCGACAACCTGGCGCACGGCAGCCTCCGGCACGCGGACGGAGGGTTTCCCTTGTTCGATGCTGTCTTCAAAGGTGGTTCAACCCTGGTGATGGTCTCGCAGAGCCAGCTCTCTCCGCCCAGGATGCTAACGCGGCCAAGCCTTGCCCGCTGGAACCGTCATCCAACGCGGTGTCGATCACGGGGATTGCGGTTCCTGGTTCCGTATCGGTCTCATCCAGGCCAAGGACAAGCTGGGCAACGACGTGCAGTTCTTTGTCAAGGTATTATCTCCCATCCCTTCCCGCGCGGCATGGCATGGCTGATGATGGATTGATCTCCAGTACGCCATGGGAGCCACTGGGAGGAACATGCTTCAGAGCGAGTACCAAGCCCAGTGCAAGCTATACTCCCTCATCCCCAACCATGTTCCGAAGCCCATGACCTGGGGCAGCGTCCCGCTCCGGTCGCCAAACGAGTGCTCGTACTTGATCACCGAGTTCGTCCCCTTTGTCTCCCGCGTCCTGCCCGACCTTGACGCGGCCGGCAGCCTCGTGGCCAAGCTACACGCCGTCTCGCGCGGAACCTCGGACAGGTCCGGCACCGATGGACCGCTCTTCGACGGCATGCTCTGCTACCTCAGCGGCTGGGAGTCCAAGTGGCAGACGCTGTTTGCCAAGATGCTCTACCAAGTCTATCATTACAACACCTTGAGCAACGGAAGATGGGATACGATGCACGCAGCCATTGTGCCCATCATCACCCACGTTGTCCCCAGGTTGCTCGGCGCCCTCGAGAAGGACGGCAGGACCATCGTCCCCTGCTTCATCCATGGAGATCTATGGAATGGCAATTTCGGCACAGCTGCCGATACCGACACGCTCTATCTCTTCGACTCCAGCGGTTACTACGCCCACCATGAGATGGAATTCGCCTTGTGGAGAACACGACATCACCGCATGCATGAGCTGGATTACTGTAGCTCCTACTTTAACCACTATCCACGAAGCGAGCCAGTCGACGAGTTTGACGACAGGCTCTTGCTTTATACCCTGAAGCCATGCTTGGTATACTCGTCCATGAATCCTGGCCATGTCACTCGACGGAGGTAGGCCTGCCACCCGTCCCTTCAATCTAAACCCCATTCTGCATCACTCCGTCATGGTTCGACTAATATTTTCATGTCTAGGGCTCTCGACAATATGGCGTATCTATTGCAAAAGTACCATTATCAGGCGCCGGAAAGTTCAGACCAATTAGGTGGCGAGGTGTTTAGAGAAATTGCGGATGGTCAGCACTTGTGGCAGAAAGAGTACCCTTCAGACGTGGCTCGCTTCATCGAAGCTCGGAAGAAACGGTAGAGGAAAATACCATGGACCAAACTAGGCGTTCTGTTAGTTGAGTTTCTTTACTCAGTGTCACACGCGTGGAGTCCGGGCATATATCAGTGACCACCGGTAGGCCTTGATAGGTGCTCGGCTAGGTAACGGAGGGGCGGCGAAGGTAATTTGCCATCGGACAGGCAGAAGGGAAACTGCAAAGCTCTATCAGTATAGAGAAAAGTTTGGGCACCAGGCCGAAGAATCCATATATATATATCATTGACATAACATCAGGTACCAAGGCTCCGGCAGCACGAGCCATCTAGGGCCAGATCCGCAAACTCCCGTTTTAGGCCCTGATCCGCGGGCTTACTAGCGGGCATAGGGGGCGAGCTACAGGGGATTGCAGAGGGCTAGATGTATCTGCACAACGATGAGGGGTAAGTTACCTCAAACGACCAACGACTAACGACCAACGACCCCGCGGACCAGGGCCTTAGTCTAATGGGATTTACAAACCACCATCCAGCATCTTCTCTACCTACACTTTGCCATATCTTCCGATCTTCCTCTTCCTCTTCCTCCTCTTCCCCTCCCCGCTCACCCTTCCCTCCCAACAACCGCAATGGTCTCCTCCGACGAGCCCCAGTCTCTCAAGTCCATCTTCCAGGCCGCCGAGGACCAGCGCCGCGTGCTGGAGATCACCACCCTCCCCGCCACCTCACCCGCCTACCGCAGCGAGCTCGACGATGCCCTCGCGCTCTACGCCCGCGCCCGCGACCAGCTCTCCCGCGTCGCCATCTTCTCGCCCAACGAGGCCGCCGAGGACATCGCCACCGCCGACCTGCCCTACCTGCTGCTCGACTTCCACTACGCCGAGCTCGTCCAGCGCACGCCCGGCCTCAAGCTCGACGAGCGCGCCGACGTCCTCGCCTCCTCCCGCGCCGCCTACGAGCGCTTCCTGGCCCTCGTCGACGGGTACTCCCTCGTCAGTGCGCCCTACGATCGCCTAGTCGAGCGCTACCGCGACGACCCGAATGCCTTCGCCGTCGTCGCCGGCAGCGACATGGCTGCCCGCCGCGAGGGCAAGATTGCAAACTACAAGGCCGAGAAGCAGCTCAAGGAGAAGCTCGAGGTGCTGCGTCGCAACCCGCGCTACCTCGACCACGGCGACGAGGAGATTGTCCGCGAGCTACACCTCACTCACCTCACCTTTGCCGTCCACACGACCATGCAGGCCCTCGACTCGCTCAATCGCGAGTTCGACATGATCGCCCAGGCGCCGCGGCCCGACCCCGAGTCCGACAGCGTCGCAGCCAAGCCCGACAGCAACGACACGCGCCTCGACCAACCGCTGGGTAGCCTCACGAACCGCGGCGGGCCTCTCCTGTCCACGCAGGGCAAGCCCCTGCAGCCCTTCACGCTCGTCGGCTCCCGGACCGACCGGACGCGCGGCGTGTTCCGCTCCGGCCACAACCTGCCGACCATGTCCATCGATGAGTACCTCGACGAGGAGAAGCGCCGCGGAAACATCCTGCAGGGCGGCGTGGAGGAAAAGCCTGTGGTGGACGAGGACGACATGGAGGCCGCGGACCAGGCCACGTACAAGGCGCGCGCGTGGGATGAGTTTACCGACCATAACCCCAAGGGCGCTGGCAACACGCTCAACCGGGGCTAAGGTTGAATATTCAGGGTTTTCTTGTTGCGGTTTTCTATATTTAATTTTCACGAGGATGATATGAAAGATGGGAATAGATCTTGTTGGGTATGGCATGCATGGTGAACATTACTGGCGTTTAATCGGGACGGAGGAACGACAACATGAGAAATCCAAAACGAAACAACTTGTAGAGCAGGAAATGGAAAATCGATTGATACCCCCAACTTTTTTGTTTTCGTTACGGTCATAATTATTCGTGCGTCTTCATGTATATCTTGAGTAAATACTCGTATCCAACCTTCCTAGCTCAACCTGCCTTCTCACATTACGTAGGGAGCATGTTGACTCCCTTCTTTGTTTCGCGTACATTACCCCAGACATAAGAAACCATTACTCAATCAACCTTTGGTCTGCCCAGTCTCGATCAAGACAACACTGTCGTCGCTGTCACTTTCGTCGTTCCAAAACTCCATGTCATCGTCACCTGTGGGCGTCAACTCTCGATCGGCAGCCGTGGACTGGGCCTCCGAGTCGGTATCCTCAACGACCATATCCACGAGCATGTTCACCACCGATCCCATGCTCTGGTGGTCAGCTGGGACTTCGAACTTGGCAGCTTCATACTCAGCCCCGCCTGCGGTGAAAGCCTCTGACTCCATGGAGACGTCGTCCGCAATGACTCGGTCTGGGCGGAAGACTGTTGAAATGCTGTCATGGACATCGACGGACTCATCTGTTGTGCTGCCGCGCAGCCTCATCTCGGCCAAATCTCCGATCATTGATCCTTCACTTGATGGCTGAGATGGGATTGTGATACCAGTATGGTACGAAGGTCCCGGACCGTTGGGACCCATGACAGCCGGGGGAATCTGAGTCTCAAAGACACCCCCCGTTCCATCATCACAACCTCCTGCCCAGAGGGGTAAGAACTTCATCTCATCGTTAGTGAGCGTAAGCAGCAGATGGCGGGTTATGTTAAGCGACGGTTCAATGTCGTGACGGAGCCATGACAAGGTGATTGGTCGCAGCTGGTCCTTGATACTGATTTCAAGGTCCGTCAAATTCACCAGTGGCCTCCGAATTGGGCGTGGTTTGCCCCAGACTCTTGGATCAAAGTATGGCTGCCATGCCTCTGAGTAGGAAAGCCTCGGGTTCGCATCCACAACTGCCTGGACCGCGAACCCCGCGTCTTCGACTGTTTTGAAAAAGGAGATTCTGGGTTGGCCTGGCAGTTTGACCTGCTTCCCGAGGTACAATTTCGAATCCAGGGCTGTTCCAAATTCGTTGTAGGTGAGGGAACAGAGAATCATCTGGATGGGATTCAATTTCTTCATGATTGGGACTATCGTCTCGTAGTCTTTTGGCTCCACGTAGGTAGCTCGGTCTTTGTCTATGCTGTGGTAGGCGACAACGCTGGTGGAGAGGGCCTTCGAAGTTGCCATGCGATACGCTTCGGTGATTTCGTAAACAAATGCTTTCATGAGATCTTGGATCTTAAAATAGGCCTTGGCAGCGGTCGGGCCTTCCTCCTGAGCAAGAAGCTGCTCAAGCACTCGCAGTCGTTTCCATTCCTCGATGTTCCAATAGTCGAACATGTCTGGGTTTCTGAGGATGGCATCCATATTCGTCAAGCGTTCGATAAATGCCCGCGCAGCATGTTGGACGAGGTTGCTCAGCTCGTCCGGTAGATCCCCCAGCTTTCTTCCAAACACGGTAGTCTGTGAGTGCTTCTTATTGGCAGTATTGCCGCCGGCCTCTTCGAGGGCGAGTTCGTTGACAAGAATCCGAAAAGCAGACTGAGCCACTCCCGGAAGCTCCAAAGTAAAGGCAATCTGGAGAGCTTCTTCGGGCAACACCTCGATGAAGCGAGTGTTGAGACCGTGCATGATCCATTGTGCCACTAGGTCTCTAATAACCGAACCACAGTCAAACATCTTGCTGAGCTTCACCAAAGTCCATACTCGGGAAGCTGAATCCATGGCGACATGCTTTCCCTCAATTATCATGAGCAGTCGGATGATACCGTTGCGGTGACGAACAGGGCAATAGTCTGGAAGGCGCCGAAAGTCGGGTGTTTCAAAGAGGTCATTTTCTTTCCTCGCCTTCATCTGGAGGAGCGTGTCGGGGTCCAGGGGGAGCTGTGTCGACAAACCATCTGCTCTAAACCTTGTATGAGGCCATGTCGCGCGCGTTGGCGACCCGAGTTCTGAGGAGTACTCCCCCATGGAGGTCTCGTCTGTGGGGGATCGAGGGGGATTTCGGTCACACGTGCAGATGTCGTCGTGACCGCAGACAAGCCAAGAATCCACTTCTTGGAGCATCCAGGAGCTCCACCACTTGGTGATTCCCGGTGTCAGAGACAGTTCGGTCATTTGGAAGACGAGCTCGTCGCCTTCGGACGGCGGTGTCAGGTCCAACACATACTTGACGCCTTCCGGCAGTTTGTTGACCAGCTTGCGACGCCTCAGGGTCCTAAACTGGTGCGTAGGCGCGAGCATCTCGGCAAACTTGGCGGAATTGGTATCGAGCAGGTTGTGAGAATGGACGCGGAACTGCTGGGACCTGTATGCGATTCCATTGCAATCGGCTTGGTTTTGAGTGGCCGTCGAGCGGTTTGGAAAGTCGATGATGACCAGAGTGTCTCCTGTGTTCATCTCAAAGCCGACGGTGTGAAGGTGGTAAAGCTCAAATCTGCGAGCCGATTCAATGTTTTGAGGTCCCATTAACCTCGGCAGCTTCTTGTCTTGCATGCCGGAAGGTTTGTTGAAATGAGGACCAATCCATCTTGACATGCTTGCGACTTCGACGCCTATGGCGTCAGTCTGGGAGACTCCAGTCGCTACATTTCCTCCTAACACTGGCCTGATCATCTCGTTAAAGTCAGAGATGCCTCTGGCCCTTGCAGAGGTAATCTCAGCCATCTCGTCCCTGGTAGCCGTGTCGAGGACATTGTCGGCCTCACCCTCGGTCACGTGAACATCTTCCATGTAGTCGGACCAGACGTCGAGCACAGTGTGCCCGTTGTCGCTATTCCAGAGGTGACCCAAATCCATGTCGGGCACAGCCTATGGATAGATGCGCAAGATGATGTCGGGATCCGGACCCAAAAACGTATGTGCCACGATGTGCCGAGAGTGTTTAATGGTGGTTAATGCGATGCGATGCTGCAACGGCAACGGAGGAGATGACGGCAAGAGGGTGTCGAAGATGAAAGGAAGAGAACTCAGAAGCCTAGAAGGTTTCAGGTGGTCCGTCGCAGCCTGATGATAATAAACTATGCGACAACACCACCACGGTCCAGGGCTGCTGACCCTGGCGCAGGCAACCAAGCTCGAGGGCTGGGTGGGAGCATGCAAATGCCGGTCGTGGGCGGTGCAGTGGGCAGTGAGGCAGTGAGTGGATGGTAGCGGTCACCATAGGCCGGAGCAAGGTCTGAAGTGGAACAGAATGCGGACGAAAGCGAGACGAGGTAGATGGAGGAGTCGCTATTGGTGAAGAGCAAAGAGAGAGGAAATCGGTAGCAAATCAGCCAAGTTGATGCCTGAGCGATGGTTGCCTTGAGGGCTCAAGGCCTGTTCTGGTCAGCCTGCAGGTGAGCCGCATTCAGGTTTGGTTGACTGCGGTACCTCTGGTTGCAGCAGGTAACTTACCTTAAATTTGCGTCTGCCTGGCCAGTCAGGTCCATATGACGTACCAAATGGATAAAGCATAGTCAATTAGGTTAGCCGCTTGGTGACCAGACCTGGTGTGTAACTCTAGTTGATTGCGGTTGAGCCAACGGCTTGCAAATGCTTGTTGCCGCATCCCGAAGGCATGTAGCCATCGTCCGTAAGGATCTGCGGGGGTTGGATGACTCCCCCCGAGGCGACAGAGTCACATCCAATCAGGTTCCTTGATCTACCATGTGATTATTGGAAGTGGCCGAATGGTTAGAGTGAGGTCTGTGAGTTCACGAATGCCGTCTCTATTCTATCCAGCAAAAGAAAGTAGAGGAGTAAGTAGAGAGTGTGGAGTATTGGCCAAACAAGCACTCCAAAAACGCTGGCTCTAGGGTAGTGCTACTGGCTTGAGACATGTACTGGCCGTCTGTACCTCAGAGCACGCATGCTGTGCACCTCAAACTTTCCATGCCCAGTTTCGTCATCGCTTCAGGTACATTGAAGACATATAAATAACTTATTGCCGCAGGGCGACAGAAAACACAAACCCCGTTTACCCCATACCCGTGAGCAACCAAGCCAAGCTGCCGAGCCAGGATTGTTAGGCGCGGTACGAGCTCCCGCTAGGACTCCCGCACCCCATCTCAGTTCTAGACCGATGCGCCGGAACCATCACCAACCAAGTCCCGAGCTAGCATCCGCAGACCGAGGTATGTACTTACGCAGTGTCCAATCCCATACGTTTGAACTGCCTTACCTTGTCAGACCTTGTCATACCTGGGCCCTTCTCCCCGCACTCACTCCCCGCCGAGCGCCTAGTGTCGCGTGCCCCTCCTCCTCCGCCATCTAGGTTGCATGCAGTCGGCATGAATAGGAACTACTACACGCGACACCACGCCACTGACCACCTTCTCACCTGTCACCGCAACGCGTCGGTGAGAGAGTGTGTGTATGTGTGTGTGTGTGTGTGTTCCCAACAAAACCTCGTCCACCCATTTGCCACCCAAACTGGTCTAAGGCCTGGGCGCCATAGGGAACATCTCGGGAGCGTCCCGGCATGGCATACTCGGGCAGAAGGGAAAGGCATCATGGGTCCCTCAAGTAGGTAAGGCAGTCATGGGTAGCTGCTGACTGGGTAGGTGCCTACGTAATGGACTATAGTCTACCGCATCCCGCCTCCTGCCTCCCGTCACCAAGAAGCTACCCACCTACCTAGGTAGCTATGTAAGGAGGTAATCTCCAACCTAGTTCCTTCCTCCTCCCTCCTCCTCTCGCCGCCTCGACTTTAGACTTTCGTCCTCCCCTTATCTTCCCACCATCCGTCCAACATAAATCAATTGCCTTCTCTCCTTCACCTGTCGCATCTTCACCACACACACCCAGCTTCATCTTCCCAGCTTCACACACCCCAAGTGACAGCTCGTGAATCCACCCTCTCTTGTCTCACATTCTCGTCTCACGCCACAATGGAAACCACCAAGCCCTCCATCTCGTCCATCTCCACCCGTCCCTTCCTGTAAGTCTACCAGCAAGCCCATTCCCGCAAGTGCATGCCCGCACCCGCGTCGCAGAGCCAACTTTAATATTCCTCGTCTCCAGCCGACACAAGGCCGTGTTCGTCTTCGCTGCCGCCGCAACCGCCACTGCCATTGCCTTCAAATACCAGGCCGCTTCAATGAGCCACAACGACGTCGAGCAGCGCACTCGAAAGGCACCGCATGGATACGTGTCTGTCGACCGCAGCGGCGGCGGAATTTGATCGATTGGTCGTCTGGAAAGCCAATGCTGGCAAATAAGCAGCGAACGGGGTAGTCATGGACCATCATCAACGGCTAGGGTCGGTTTGACACAAGGGGCGTTTCCAGGAATACAAGGAAAGAATGGTGATGGCGGCGGACGGGACGAATAATACCAGGCACGAACATACAAGACTCGGACGAATGCATGAATGAAGTCTTCTAATGAAGATCATTTTCAGAGTAACTGGATATACATACAGACAGAAACTAGGGTTACAGGTTGCGGTCACGTCAGGCTCGATTCTATTCACACAATTACAACCACCATTACTCCAGTCTCTCCCTACATGTCGGAACATGCTTCGGTCCCGATCGTCCGTCCGCAATCCAAAAAGCACCCCAACGCCGGGCCAATGCACCCAGAAAACGCATAAGCACACACACATGGGCGTAATGCCGACGCCGTCAACTCCCACCAAGTGCCTTTTTACAATGAGCCGCCCTTCTGAAACAAGTCGTCGTCCGTTTCGGCCTCGTCATCCGACGAGTATGCCACCTCCTTGCCTTTTCCTTTGACGTCCCACATTGCCTTTGGCTCCTTTAGGCTCCTCCGGCTGACGGGTCTCTTTGAAGGAGGCGGCACCTTCTTCGACGCGGCCTCGAGCTTGGCCTTGCGGAGCCGATCTCGCCCAGCAACTTCGATCATGGGCGACGTTCTGGCCTCATCACCTGATGAGTTCCGTCGAGTCGTGGGGGCTGTCGACGAATGTTTTAGATCCCGTAGATCCCGGATCACGTCTGCGAAGCTCTCCTCTAGCGTCTTCATCCTGGCCAGCACCAATCTTCCAATTCTGTCCCGATCTCCGGCATCCATACTACCAGCTGCCCGCAGCCGGTTGTCCTTCATCATCGCCATGGCCATCTGCGTCTGGAAGCTTCCAGGCATGACTGCATGGGGATCATCACCTCCGAATGGCATCTGATCCGACATGACGCTTAGATCTAACGACGACAGTCTCCTGACTTCTCGGGGTCTGTTTCGAGGTTCGATGCTGAGAAGCGCGGACCGGCTGACGGCACCCGTTTCTGCCCGTGGAGCCATCACAGGTCGGGCCTTAGATCCGGCCACATATAACGACCGTCGTGGTGAGCTACGACGTCCGGCGTGAGTCGGGGTCTTCTCTCCTCCAGTTGTGCGTCCGCTAGTTCGCGGCCGAGGTTGTCCGGCGTGAGGGGGCGAGACCGGAGAAGCACCCTGGGGTTGCTTCATCTCCTGAGGGTTGAAGAGAATGGTGTTGGTCGACAATGTCCGCGTGTGTCCACCTCGTCTCGGCCGTGGAGTTGGAGGCACATCCTTGCCAGATGAACTCACCGAGGATGCCAATTTGCCAAAGCCCGAAGCCATGCGTGAAGAAAAGTAGCTATCCTCTGGTTCCTCGGAAATGCGCTGATTAATACCAGCCCGGCTCATCTCAGCGTTTGTGCCGTTATCATCCTCATCCTCGTCGTTGGTGACAAGCTCGTCATCACCATCCGCGTCGGTTTGATCTTTGTACTCCGGTGCCTCAGGAGCCACACGAGTTCTCAGGAAATGCTCGTGTCGTAACGGGTGTCCGTTATTAGACAGCAGATCAGCGGGATCGCTAGCAGCTGATCTTACATCTGAGACGCGTCTGAGGTTGGGGGTACGTTCCCATCCCACACTCAACCTCCTCTGCCAGTTGGGAACAGCGCCGCTTTCCAGCGTGGGCCAATTACCTGGTGACTCGCCTGTTTCGTCATGCTGGTCCATCCAGTTGCGAATGGCGGTCTGAGTCTTCCTCCTCTCATGGCGTCTCTGCGTCCTCAGGGTGAGGGGATCCGGCACGCGTCGAAAGACTTCTTCGAGAGCCCGGTCTTTCTGGTATCCTGCAACGGACTCCTCGCGAACTCGGACACTCGGGCTGAAGATTGCTCTGGACACCGGGTCTGCAAACGAGATGGCTCTTCCACGTTCTGGGTGTTCCACCAGGTCCGTTGGCTCATACATGGACGGAGCCAGCCAAAACTTCTCATACAGATAGATGCAGAACAGTACAGGGAAGTGTGTCACCTTGATGATGGTCCGGTTCAGCCACACGAAATGCCTTAACGGCATGAAGTATCGAAGCGGCATGAGTAACCAAGCGAAAATGTTGCTGGGGGCAATATAGGAGAACAAGGCATCATTCTTTACCATGGTGATGGTGTTGATGGCGAACAAAAACCTGGAATACGATCAGATATGCGCTCAGGTGTGCAACACTTTTGGACTTACTGGTGTTCCTCATTGGCATTAGATGCAATTGTCATGAATGAGTTGGTCAGGACAGTGATGAGGATTGTGCTTGAGACCAGGTTAGCCAGGTGAGTTTGAGTAGTCTGAAGTGTAACTTACACGACTAAAAAGTGACAAATAATGAGGAAGAATACGAGCAAAGCTCTCCCCAGCCAATTGTACGTAGGCCACCTAATTCTGATTAGCCTTTCATCCTTGCGAGGGTTTGACGTTGACTTACACATCCCAAGCCGCGGGTGTAAATCCCATGAGTAGCTGGAATATCTTGTAGGCGACCTCAGATGCCTCGAACGAGTTCTTTGACAGAGTGAAGAAGACGAAGAATCCACTGCACATGATCCCAATAAGTATGAGCACCGCAAACAAATCAGCAGCCATCATCCGGAAGGCGATGAGAAGCTGAGAAAAATATTGATAGTGATCAAGAATACTAAAGATGCGTGGCAAGAGCAGAATGGCATTCGCCGCAAGCACATCGTACGCCATGTCGTTCCAGTGATGAGGATCCACCAAGAAGACGCCATAGGCACGCATACCGTAGTAGACGATGAGGAGCATGAGAATGCCGAGATCGAAGATGTTCCAGAAACTCATAATGTAAAGCGCAAAGCCTTGTTCGTTGAAACCCACAAGCTCGTCCAACATAAAACCTGCACTCCAGAACCAGAATATTAGTTCAAGGCCTGTGATCTGGACGGATCGTTGGGCGAGAACAGCGAGGAACAGGCCAATCAATACTGCAAGGGACAGAGTGGATAGGAATGATCTATATCGAGGCACTCGGAGACGGGAGAGTTTGAGGAGGGACGCCTGTCGAGGATCGTAGAGCGTCACGGTCCGTCTGCCCATTGCATGATGGGAGAAGGATTCCTTGACAGGAAGAGTTCTAAGCAACGGGGTTCTGGCATCGGGCTTGCCAATCTGGCCGTTGCCATTGCGTTCATGGGCTTCACGGTGCAAGCTATCTGCAGACGAGTGAAAGGTGATGGCACCGCTCCAGATGGCATCCAGCTGTTGCACAACAACGGGGTGGGCAAGGAAGTGTTTGGCTGAGGCTCGGATTGCAACCTCGAGGGTGGACGTGCGGGAAGCAGTCAACGGCATCTTGGAGCCGGGAGGGGTTCTGCGGACGGCATTGGGAGACTGCGAACCAGGAAGCCCCTGCAGGGGGTAAAAGTCATAGGCGAGGGCATCAATGAGCTCACGGGTGTTGTACTCCTTGAGAAGCTTGAGGGTGAGCAGCTCGCAGACCTTGGCCCGGGTGCTGCTGATGCCCGCGTTGCTTGGGTACCGCTGGCCCTCCTTGCAGAACTGGAGGCAGTTGGCCATCAAGGCATATAGCGTCGCGCGAGAGAAGTGCTGGGTGCGGATCTGCTGTTGCATAGGCTTGACGAGAAACTGTGAGACTTGTGGAGACCGAAGCTGATCCCAGGTGAGTGTCGTCTCGGTTCGGGCGGATACGATGATTCGGATGGCATGAGTTAGACTGTAGATGGGCAAGGAGTCTGTGGGTCGATGGTCAGAACTGTTATTCTTTATTTGAATATTTCAATTGGATGATCGGGGCAACGCACCCAAGTGGCTGGCAGAAAAGAGAGGGAGGACGGGTAGAGCTCCATGTCGGCCGTCCTCGCCGATAGCCCCGTTGTTGTTGTCGTTGTCGTCGTCCCCGTCGTCGTCCTCGCCCTCGTCGTCAAGATGGCGGTCGTTGGGGAATCGGGGGGCCGGGCCCTCCTCGTGGGAATCGTCAGGCTCGTCATCGTCGGCCTCTGTGAAGTCGGCCGTGGCGTGTCTCCGGAGAGTGTATTCGCGGCGTGTCGGATGCGGCGACAGCGAGCCGGTCGAGTCGGGACGGCGGTTGACGCGACGGGAGCCAGCCCCGGGACGAAGCGTCGAGGAGAACATGGTGTTGGGAGAGGTCTCCTGTGGGAGCAAGCGTGCCGCCTCGCCAATGCGGTCTCAACGCGCCATGGGGGTGAAGCGGGGAGAAAGGAGCGAACGAGAGAGAGGCGCCCTCGAAGAAGAAAACACAAACGGGTTGCGAATAGAGAAGAACAAGGAAAAGGGAAGGGGACGCAAGAAGGAGACGCAAGGGAAGGGAACGTCGTGGGCGTCGAGGCTTCGAGGCTCGAGTGGGATCCAACCGACTTCCCAGGAGAGCCAAAGGAGCCAAAGGAGCCAAGTGAGAGAGGCTAAGGCTCAGTGGCCGTGGACGCTGCACAGAGCACCAAGAGCGCTAACACGTTAGTGGCCGACACGGTGTAACGCCAGTGGACAAGGATGGTCAGTGGCTGCCCCCACCCAACGAACTGTCGACTGACGCAGCGCGCACTACGGCTACGCACTATGCCAGGGAAATCAGACCTGAAAGACCAAGATGGGACTAACAAAACAGGTCTGGAGACGTGAGCATGGGGGGGGGCTGCCGTAGCGCGTCTAACGCCATCGCATCGGAGACACTGCTTTTTCCAGCGCTGCCTGCTCATCTCACGTAAACTCCTCGCCTACACTGTCGACATGGAAGCGAACCTTCAGGGATTGGTAAATGGTTTGCATACATACCTACCTCCCTAGTAGTACAGGTCCCAAAGTACTTTGTGGCACCAGCCTGTTTGTTGTAGACGGGAGGGGTAGCAGCATTGTCTGTTAGGTTCTCTCCTCTCATGCCTGCCCCCGCCCGCCTCAGGAGAAAACAGCACAGGCGAGGATCAGAGTGGTGTGGAGCAGCAGGCAAATTAGCCATAGCCATGCCATGAAAGGTGGTCGATCAAGACACTGCGAAAATCGGAATCAAGAACAATCGGTGAAGGGAATCTCTTTGGGTGGGATGGGTGCATGGAAACACAATGTTGGTGGTGGTAGTGGCGGTGTTACTGATGGTGTGTACTGGATGTCCTCTTGCAGGCTGCTCCAGGAAGTTGACATGCAATCCCTAAACACCATGACTCGGTCGGTGCTGGTGGTTGAAAATTGCCCGTGTCGTGCTACCATGGCTGACAGGGGAAGTTGAGTGACATCAGCTCAGCCGCCTAGGCCGGCCTGCAGTGCATAAAGAAGGCATCATGAGCAGCGCGGCCTGCGATGACGGACATGAACCGGTCTGGATCGGATCGCAGACGTACGATGCAGGATTTCTCGTCCTGTTTCCGCATGCGTGGTGGCTAGCAAACCGCTACTCCAGACTCGTGCGTTTTAGTCGACGCCCACCCATCAGTCTGGCCCATGCAACCCAAACCCTGGCCCGCCCCGACCCAGGCCGGCGTTGGTGTCGAAAACTAGAGGCGACCCCATGATCAACAACACCAAAAGATAAGGCCAGGCCTGCATCGTGGGTGAGAATGGGGGGCGTCCATCGCGGTGTCCGATCCCCCCCCTTTGCGAATATATGCAGTCCGTCGTTCACGGGCCATCGTTCAAGCGGCGAGCACGAGCCAATTCGGTATCGACTTGCAATTTTATCTCGGCATCATGAGAGCTATTTGATCTTGGCTCCAATTGCCGATCCATCAGAGAGCACAGACGATCGCATCAATTTAGGGGACAGGAGTCGCGGAGGGAGTGCGAGAACGGACAACTAACACCGGGGGGGGGCACATCCTTTTGGATCACGACACCACCAATGGCACGCTGCTCTCACACGCACCTCGCACGCACTTGCGTACCCATTACCTGCACTTGGACAGCTCCAGATCGCAGCCACCCCGCCATGTCGCGATAACAAACACCACACACCGGCGGTCTGTCATCCCTCGCCGGCCTTAACGAGGTCCAAGTACCTGAGAACCGGCGGTTCGCAACAGCTGGGCCGTGTCTCGCCGCCGCCATGCCCCCAATCACGATGGCCTCTCCGGCTTCCGTACACACCTCACGATGGCCGCCGCTCCAATGAGCTGGCCCAGGCCGGCATGTGGTCGCCCACCCCGTGCAGCCAGCGACTCCATCAGCGAGTGTCATGCGTCCACCCAGCATGTTGTGAGGGCCGGACGGGGCTCTGTCACGTCCCATGTATGTACGCACTATGTACGATGGCTCGGTAGTGACTCTGGAGGCGATGTGAGGCGATGTGAGGCGATGGCAGCCCACGCTAAGTATTATCATCCATGTCCGCGGGACGCGCTGCATCCCTTTCCTCGCCTCACCTCGACTCACCTCATCCAATGCCGGGGGCGCCCCTCTCACCGCATCGTACAACTGGAATTCTTCATCGCGCCCTGGAACTGCTCCGTAGCTGCTCCCCAAGTCCCCTTTCCGGGGAGGCGGACGCCAATGGCTTGTTTCTTTCTGCCTCTGCTCGACCCCGGACTGGAAGCGTGAATCGCCCCGCCGGTAATTTGGCTCGCCTCCAGGCGGCATCCCAAACGGGACCAAGACTCTCTCGCGTGTGCCAGGGAGCAGATTAGACATGGCTTTCCGCCCAGACGCCACAACGGAGCACATTCGTTCCCGTAGACGACGGTGGTGATCCTTTTGGGCGCCGAAAGTCACCGTCGCCGCCGCCGCGTCAGACTGTCAGTCCACTCACTGGCTGCAGTTGGGCTTGCAGGTGAGACATCGGGGCTGAGCGCAACCGCATATGGAGGTGCGCCTATCCAAAAGTGATGACAGTGAACCCAGTCTGACGTCGCCACCATGTTTATCTTAGGCATCGGACGCTTGGGGTAACAGTAACACTATGATAAGTCTCCGTAGAGTATTATCGTCGCTAGTATCAAAATCGTCGCTAGTATCAAAATCATCACCTCCATAATATTTCCATGTAGACATCCAACTTAATAAGCCAAGCGACGATCACTTGCTCTCACGCCGAATTTGTCTCAGGGGTCGCCAGGTGAACAACCTGCTTATTTAGCTTCAGCTCGTCAATAGCGGCGCCATTCGAGATGACCAACTCCGATCTATCATAGCACCTGGTTCCGCGCACAACCTTCCGCCGCCGTAACTAGCTGCCGCCATCTGTCAAGCCACCGCGAACAGGGGGCTGAACTTTATTGTCCATGTCCCTCGCCACAAGATTTTGGTTCAGGTCGTTGTGTTGTGACGAAACACAGAAACACTGTGCGTGTCACCCCACCATATCTCCATCACCTCAAGCTTGGGAATATTCCCCGCTGCTACTACCATTCTCAGCCTCAGGTTCTCTCTCTCAGTTGGGTTGGCATTGGGCTTGAGCGCTCACGACGTCATGCCCACGGTCTTGAGCCCCGTCCGGATACGATCCGGATGATACCTGATGACGTCTAGCGTATCAACCAGGAACTATGCAGAGAGATGGTCGAGGTTGGAGCATATTTCGGAGACGGCAGCTTCGATTTTGCAGCTGGGTGCTCGCCCCAACAGGTCAATACCACGAGTGTAGATGCTTGACGTCCGTAACAGCCGTGAAGATGTGCAGCCTTCTGAGTATTTAGGCAAGCCCATATCGAGCAGTTCTAATAAGTCTGCATAGTAGAGCATAGCGAGTCACTCCAGCTACACTATATTTTCTGTATGATAGACCCGCACAGCGCATTCGTTGGCCGCAAGACCAGTCAGCCTCAAGATCCGAGTCACTTGGAAAGTAGTGGCTGATCTTCAGATGCAGTTCTCAGCCGGCATTCTCATCCCAAGTGCTCAATTCAGAAGAGAATTTCCCAACGTCGCTTTAGGAGTACTGACAATCCACTTCTCTGGCACTACCGGTTGGATAACCTGTGTAAGCGGAGCACCCAGAAGGCGTCAGCTCGATTCCAAAACAGACATGCTCGACGAAGTGCTTCAACCGCTGAGGCATATGAGCTTTTTAATGTGACATGGGTGTACCGCAAGACATCGTGAAATATTCTTCTCGAACAAGGCCTGCCATTCCGGGTCAAGAAAGGCATATCCCACCATGCTCTCGCGTCGACGAGTGCGGTCCTCCCAGGAGTGCTCTTCACTCACACCAAGAGAATGAGCCAACTGCCCCCGTACCATCAGTCGCACATCGGCAGTGAGGCCTCACCACTATTGCATATATTTTGTTTCTGTCTTGTTCAGTATGTAATATTGTGGATGGAATGAGAGTGGTTCCCGGCCTGGAGCTGGAAATGTTGGTGCTTGGGCCTTGGTTCGCGGAAAGTACACGTCTGATTCGAACAGCAAGGGGAACATGAGAAGGATGGAAATAAGGAAAAACTTTTATAGTCATCTCGGCCAGCTTCAAATGCAGCTTTAATTCCAAGTGCATGTGAAATCACTTGGTCCCATGTTGTCTAAGTCGCCTATAATGGGGGGCAGGCCCTCATCTTCCTCTGGGACCACCAGACATTTCCCAGGTTTGGGCTCATGTGTTCCACCATAAACCTCTCGCCTGGTTGGATGGATGCTTTCGGCGTGTTCTTTTGAGTAATTCTCTTCTTCACATGTTCAACATGAAGGGGCGGTGATCTTCCCATTCATGATATATCTGTGCTGTAGATATTGTTGGCGACTCCTGCGGAAAGGTAGCCGACCACTCGGCTTGTACTCTGGAACAACGGGATACGTCAAGATATAAGACATAAAATACATTGTTCATCAAGCATACAGAGCCAAATAATAAAGCCGTTGCCATCGATTGTGAGCTCGATCCCCATGCTAGCGATGAGGCCATGAGGTTTGCGAGGACAAAAGTATTATGAGGAACTGTACACTAGCCAGTGGCTCAGACCCGCTGGGTCGTCACCATGTCTTAAATCAGATAAGGGGATTCCAAGCGTAGAGACAGGTATACAGGGATCCTGCCTTCTGGTGTATGCTAGTTGGGAATGAAATGTTAATCAACCGGGCAATGTGCGTGTCGTTCAATCGTGGTAACACTGCATCTCTCGACTCCGGAGAGAGATAAACCAGAACATAGTAAGGTGTTTCCTTGGATTTGTTGTTAATAAATAAGAGACATTCCAATCCGCATCATGTTCATCTTGTTACTCTAAAGTCAAGCCCGTTTTGAAGCTCACTCAGAAACACTATATTGAAGCATAGGGACAGGAGTTAAGTACTTCACAGTGGAGCTAGCCACACAAAACGCTCCGATGATGGGTTTCTTCAAGTCAATTGTCAAGTATCACACACCTCCACGTATTGGAAAGATCAGTAGACCGAATTACCCATCCCCATCACGTCAATATCTCGATGTACCTATCCTTCGCGTCGGGAATTGGTAACCCCCTCGCCGCGTGTGGGTGATGCCTCTCGGGTAGTTTCTCTTGCACTGTCTTTGATGGCGAAAATACCCGAGGCACCGCCGCTTCTGAGATTTACAGTGTCACCTGTATCCTGCGAGGTGAGTCCTATTTTTACGGTACAACCACCTTTTCTTTATAATCAGGGTCGATGAGCTGCACCTATCTTGAGTCCGAGGAACGTATCTAACCCTTGAGAGCAATATGAAATCATCGATACAGAGTTCAGCCCTGCTTGATGGGGAAAACATGACGCAGGGAGCGGAATGAGGAAAATAGGTGCAATGCTGGGCGACTAGGCTCGGTTGACCAAATACAATCTGCAAAAGTTATGCGATTAGAGATGGCACTCTTACCCCTGGGGTACAACCGGTGTGTGATCGGATGTCTTGGGCATTACGACGAGGGTAAGACAGAGCAGGAAGTGCGATCGGAGGATCAGAATGCCATCAGATCACCAACTGGGATGGCGGTGGAGGGCTGCAATGGCAGCCACTAATGTCGATCTGTGCAAGACCGAAGTCGAGAAATTTTCTCTTACTGAATATCGAACTGACGAACCAAATATATGCCTGTCGAAGATGCTATTTTGCCGGCTGACAGTAATTGCTTGGCCTGAAAAGCTGGTGCAGAATTTCATGCAGCATGTGGTGATTAGTCCAGGGTAAGATGCACTCGAGATGAACCGCATGAACGAAGCCAGACGACGCGGTGTGACTGGTGCACTGACCGCACGCCACAGGAACCACGAGTGCAGGGTCCCTGCATTTCCCGCGTGGGGACTCTCAACTTTACCCCTGGATTTCTGGGAACCGCCAAAAAGCTAATGGGCGGTCTACGCGGATGGGCCGTCAAAGGCTCAAGACCACGGCTCACGGCCTCTTGTGCTGTCCACGGGCATTGACTGACAAGCACGCTACTGGATTTAGGAAGGGATCGGCCTGGGACCTTCGCCAATGACAGCCAAATCCGCCCAGGGTCCAGGGCTTGCGGAGTTTGCAACGACGGCCGTAGGAGTTCTCCGAATCGTGGACCTTCGTATCCAACGGGCCCCGGGCTTTTGTTGTTCAATGCCTCCGAAATGCTCAACATGCCCGTCATCGTCCCGACCAGCCCGATACAGGATGAATTCCCCTCATTCGCGACGATGGTGTCTTGAATCACAGACACCAAAGCCGGGTACTGGAAATTATGAAAAAAGCGACCTGACTGACCCAGGTTATCGCCGGCGGCACTGTTGCTCCTGCGACCCCCTGTCCTGTGGCTGCCCACCAGGACCCCCGCCAGTCCCCCGGCACTGTAGCCCTGTGGACACCGCCTGGGGGCCGAACCCCAGTGGCCACTCAGTGGGCACATTCAGCGGGCAGCGGGTTGGCCTGCACTGGAACGGCGGTTAATTAGCGACTCCCTAAAAACGCGGTGGTCAGGGGATCGAATAGGCTCACTGTTGGGGCCTTCGCTGGTTATCATCCCCCTAGACATGCTTCCCCCTAGAAGGTCGAGTTTTGAGAGTCAGATTGCCAACGCCTAGACGATCCTTCGATTCCAAACAATCCCCACAATCATTCTCGACCGTGTCGATGCTCTTGCCTCGTCTACCGAGATAGCCTCTCTTTGCTGACCTTCGTTCGTCTCTCGATTTCCGCACCCCCGAATCCTACGTGCTCTCTCCCAGCTCCCGTCCCGTGAGGCCCCCCGTGATCCCGAGCCCCCGAGTCCGAGATCGCGGCAGCTCCTCCCCGTTTCAGCCTCCGTGGGAGCACCCCTCGATGCAACAGCCCAGGCGCGTTCTCACTAGGCTGGCTATCGCTGAGTCTCTTGTTTAGCCTGATACTGACTTCGGCTTCACTCTGTTTGATATCCAAAATTTCGAGCACGCGACACTGGGTCCGGACGCTCCCAGAGCGCCTCGCCGAGAGGGTCCCTCCGTCAACGCTGGATTGTGTCTTGACACTCTCCGTTCCAGTCCCAGTCCTAACGATACACGCATCCACCCGACTGGGAGACAGGCATGGACACAGACGTCACAAAGAGCGACCATGAGTCTCTCCCTTCGACCGCGCCTGCTGAACGAGCTTCCATGATGGACCGAGACCAAAGTCCCGAGACCCCGAAGATGGCACACGACTCCATGGTTACGGTTCGACTCTCCGAACCCGAGTCTCTCCTCCTCGACACTTCCACGACCGGCTTCGATGTTGACACGGCCCAATCGACCCCGACCAAGGATCACGGGCACGATAGCGTGGTTGACGACGTGAAGCACGGCGTGACGATCGACGTGACGGAAGACGTGACGGACGACCAAAAGGACAACACCAAGGTTGGCGAAGACGACGACAAGGACAACAGCGAAGAAGGGGTAGTGGATGCTTCGAGTACGGGAGAGCTAGCAAATACGGCGACCCCTCGTGACTCGAAAGCGACCATGCCGCCCCCTATCGTTACTCGATCTCTTCAGGATGAGCTGCTGTATGATGACCACTCCTCAGACGACCAGGAGGAGGTCAATTGGGAGCAGCTAGAAAAGACGGAAGATGAGCAGACCAAGGATGACGAGACAGACAATGTACGTACCTGCTCCCCTCCTTTGTATGGGGTTGAAGGAGTAAACATGCTGACCGGACAAGTCAACCGCTCTCTTGCTTGCACGACTTGAACAGGAAAATGCCAAACTGGCTACGAACCCGAAAAGCGTCAAAGTACAAGGCGTCGACCGTGCTACCGTGGAACGCAGCGCCGTCAGCAAGCCTCGTCCACCTTCAATGGCACAGCTTCGACAAATGGTCCAGGGCCCGACACCCCCTGCCCTACGATACTCGATGCTTCCCCCTCCGCCGATGACTGATCTTGAATTCTACGCTGCGCTAGTAAAGGACTATCAACAAACAGCCGCCCGACTACCGACGCTTTTGTCCAACAAGATCCGCAAAGGCATTCCTCCTCCGCTCCGAGGGGTTGTTTGGCAGAGTATGTCTGGTGCGCGGGACGCGGTGTTGGAGGAACAGTATGAGCGATTGTCAGGCGAGTCTAGCCCGTACGAGGTCATCATCGGTAAGGATTTGGGACGGAGCTTTCCGGGTGTGGACATGTTCCGGGATCCGGAAGGGGATGGGCAACGTATGTTGGGTCGAGTCCTCAAGTGCTTCAGTCTCTACGACACCAAAATTGGCTACTGCCAAGGGCTGGCCTTTCTGGTTGGCCCATTACTGATGCATATGCCCGATAAACAGGCATTTTGCGTCCTGGTCCGGTAAGAGTTACACCTTTTCTGAATCCGGCCGATGTGGCGTGTTGACAAGAAACCTAGTCTCATGGAGCGATACGATCTCCGGGCTTGCTTCCTCCCGGATCTCTCTGGGCTTCATGTGCGCATCTATCAGTTCAGGGAGCTGTTGCGACAGAGTCTGCCGGTATTATCGAACCACCTGGAGGAGCTCCAGGTCGACCCTGCATATGTCTCGCAGTGGTTTCTCAGCTTCTTTGCTGTGACGTGCCCCCTGCCAATGCTGTTTCGGATCTACGATGTCATCTTTGCCGAAGGTGCATCAGAAACCATCATGCGAGTTGCGCTATCCCTGATGCGGAAGAACGAGGCGCGACTATTGGCTTGCACTGAGATGGAGGATATAATGACCCTCCTCCTCTCCCGGGGCCTCTGGGATTGCTATCATTACAATGCAGATGAATTTGTCCAAGACTTTGTTGGATTGACGGGTGTTGTTACGCGAGAGAGCATGCAACAACTGGAACAGAGCTACAAGGAATCCAAGACAGCTGCCACCACGCCCGGAAGAGGATCCGAAATCACCACAGCAGCCAGCCGCTTTCTGGGTCGCATCTGGGCCTCATCTACCACCAGCTTGTCGCCCAAATCTGCCAATCTCAGTCCTGGCAACAGCGCACCATCACGACCATTGAGCATGTTGCGCCGCAGTACATCGAAGCAGAGCCTCGCATCGACATTGAACTCGATGGAGGCTAGCTCTGCAAGCGTCACCAGTTCCACGTCCACGGATGCCACGAGTTTGACGCGAGACTCGTCAAACGCCGAGGACAGTGCGTTGACTCGCGAGTCAACGCCTGTTGGAGCCAAGTCGGCGGCGACCCACAAGAACAGCGACGAGCGACACTTGCACAGCCAAATCGAGGATCTGCTGACCGCATTGAGTGAGTTGCAGCGAAATCATGCGCTGCTCGCGAACCAGCTCCAGCGCGAGCAAGAGGAGCGACAAGAGGATCGTAAGGCCGTCCAATCGCTCCTCAGTGGACTGAGACAAAAGGCGAGCAGGGAGTCGACATCAACAGAATTGAGCAACCCCGAGGTCAAAATCTCGACAATGGATGGCGACGATGAAGAGAAACCGGGCATGGAGACTATAGACGAAGAGACGGTGGACAAAGTGAGCCGGAGTGATGAAGGCGCGGAGCGCAGGAAGTCAACTAATACCACCGATGGACTAAACAGTGCAGCCGATGTACTAAATGAGGAGGAGGAGGATGACGACAACCCAAAATCCCCATCGACTGAAGATTTGTCAAAACTGCTTGACCTGGTCGAGCGTCGCTTCCAGATTGATGAGGACCAGCGACGGTCGTCAATGCTCCAGTCCAAGGTGCAGCTGCGTGAGGAACTGGAACACACCAAAGATCAACTGGCCAGTGCGATGTCCCAGTCACAAGAATACAATCGCCAGATCAACGACTTAAACCAAGAGATGGCGACAGTCAAGGAGCAGCTCCGGGAGAGCCACGCGCATGTCAGGACTCTCCACCAAGACAAGCAGCGGCTAGAGAAACAAATGCACACACTGAAGGCGCGCGCATCAGCCTACTCAGCGCACGAGCCGACCCGAGAACCAGAACCCGAGTGGAACAGGGGCAACGGCGCAGGCCTGAGGGAATTCAAGCTGGGGCGGAGCAAGTCGACACCATCGCAAGCAAAGGGCGGGAATGGTGGCAGTGTGTTCAATAAGAGGATCTCATCCCTCCCCCGTCCCCACGAACCGAACGTGCCGACGGTGACGACGACGGCCCCCGGGCCTCCCCCGACCGAGAACGAGGCGTTGCTGTTGGAGCTTGTGCAGGCCAAGACAGCCGAGGCCATGGCTAAGCAGGAAGCCGAAGAGACAAGGCAGAAGCTGGAGTCTTTGCGCAAGGCCCATGGGTTAAGCCACAGCGAACTGTCGCATTCGTCATCAGCATCTCAATCGGGGCCGATGGGGGTGTTTGGGCTACTTACTGGACACGGGACGTCGCCTTCCACCGAGACGCCCACGAAACCGGCGTCGAACGCAGCGGGATCTCCTTCATCTGGGGGCGGATTTTGGGGTTGGCGAAGGTAACGGGATTGAACCGCCCGTACGACGACAAGCACCCGCAGTTTAGTGGCATCATGATGGTCACGCGACACTGTTGGCAATGCTGGACTCTTTTTTTGTTTTTCCACTGATGCTTCTATGTATATATTGGGCATTGACCGCCTCACATTGGCGAGCGTTTGTGTTGGGACAAACCTATGATGGGAACTGAAACTCATGTGGGATTTGCATGTCCTTGGGCGGATTGGCATTGCACGCGCCGTTGTTGATTTTGTTCTCTTCTCATTGTCCTCCATCATCATATCATATCATTGCTCGGGCGTTTGTTTAGTTTAGCAAGGGAGTTCGGATATGGTCTTTCTCTGCATCAAAAGGCAGACTTTAAGGGCGGGCGCGGCGGGATAGAGCCGCGGAGCCTATAATCAAAGCGTATTTCTCCAGTCAGACAGTCATCTACAATCTAATTTTGGAGTTTACAACCGGAGCGTGACAGAAGGAAGTTCGGATGATAGACATAAATACGAGTTGGTTCAGGCCAATAATAAAACATGCCGAGGTGAGCATGGAACCGAGGGATGACGCCAGTGGTGGTGGGAGGGGAAACACTATGCGCATAGCTGGACCTCAATGTACTCGGCACACTGGGATGGTTTCTGGGGAAGATATGGGATGTCGGGAAGGACGGGAATCTGGGAGGAGCCCAGGCGGAGGTTGGGAGAGAAGTCCGGGGCGAGGATGGCGTTACTCTCAGTACAACACAGTGGGCATCGCCTTGGGGGTTGGACCACTCAGCATTGACACGTTGTGATGATGCATGGATGCGATGCCGAACGAAGTGCAGGTCACAAGGATAAATAAAGGTGTGATATTCTTGGGGGTGTCCCGCTTCGTTCTGGCAGTCGGCGCAACACGGTAATTTTCGACTGCAAAAATAGTATGTGTGCTTTTAAAACATTGATGAGTGCGTGTTTCTTTACTTATAGCTTCTTCTAAGAAGCTAATATGGCACGCGAGCTGTAAATGGCGATGTCGCAAACCCACATATTATGATGCTTGCGGGCTGGACCTTTCACGGCACCGGAGACATCGGCCTATCCGGACATCTGTCCACCCGCCCATCCATCCATCCATCCATCCAACGGTGACATGTACAACAAGGTGCCGGCCCACACAAGAGCTGCCCCGTGCCGCCATGGCATGCATGCATCATGCACTGCATGTACTGCACCTTAAGGGGGAATCGCTGTGCTCCTTACATACACGAGTTGGTAGCAGTGGAAGAGCAAACTGAGCCAAAAGCACTGGTAAGACTTTGAGAATCATAGAGTCGAGTTTGTTTAGATATGTTTGCCATGGGAGAATGGACCATGGGACAACTTTGTCGCATCGCAATCCTAACTTAGGTGGATACCTTCAGGAAGCCGTCAACTCGTTGATACCTAGTTACCTAGTTGCCGGGTGCACAGTCGCTTTTATTTTTGTTTAGATGGGAGGGGCCATCCAATCTGAAGAAATCAAATGGGAGAAGAAAGAAGAAAGAAGAAGAAAATTAATAAAGAGGCCAGTGCTTTCTTCCCGACTTATTACCTACCTTACCATTTGCCTCGTTGTCTTGTTTTTCTGTCCATCCCGGCAGCCCTTATTTTAGCGCTAAATAAGGGCCGCCGTCGGGAGGGATTATCACATGCATGGACATGGAGCAGACTGCGGGCTCCGCTTTGGAAAATGACCAGATCATCTCACGTCAAAGCATCATTCATTTTGCAGCCGGGAGGAGCCCGGAGGTTGATGTAAGGGGGTTCCGTGTTGTTGTTGCCGCTACTACCTTCTGGCGGGTGCCTGGATGGAGGGGGAGGCAGATATTTAGGTTGCCGTCTTTCAGTGTTAAAATCATCTTTCTTATCTGAGGCGACGGCCGCTGTTAGATCTGACACGTGAAGCAAAGATACACACCCACCTCCGGGTCTTGTGTGTCAAGTTCGGAATGGCCTTGTTTCGGCTCATTCCAGAGGTGACGGCGGCGGGTCGACCGGAGCACGAAGGAGGCGTGTTGGTTTTACCACATGTATGGGCCCTGCAACCTGGCGAGTACCTGCTATCCGGTGGTGTCGCTGCGAGAACCCAGGTACCGCCGGAGTCTCGAAACTGCGTCATCCACCTCAGCTATGATACCTCCACTGTCGGGGGAGCTAAGCTAGCTGCCTCTATGCTTGGTAGCTCTGCGTGCGGCCAACGGAGGCTTTCCCAGGTTCCATTGCGTCGAAGAAAAATCTTGGTTCCGGGGCGGCCCAAGCTCCACAAGGCACCTGGGTGCTAGGTACCGACCAACTGAACTGCCCTGTGGACAAGGCCGCTGTAGGGGTCGTGTTAGTGCTGTCGACAGCCGGGTTTGTGTGTTAGGTTGCGTGTCCCGTCGTCGTCTTGGTCGCCGTGGCCACTATCGCAGTGCCTGAGGTCTAGAGGTGGTGGGTGACCTGTTTCCGGCAACAAAGGCGTCTAGTTTCGTCACCATCGACAACCTGTCCTTCTTCTTCTCTTTCTCTCTTCCACTTAACTCGCCGCCCACCCCGTCCGTCATCGTCCTCCTCCAGAATCATCGTCACATCCACATCCATCGCCTACAGCTTTCCTACTGCACAACCCCCCCCTGCCGCTTCCGCTCTGCTGCCACTGCAAGGTACGTCTCCTTCTAAATTTCCCTTCCCTACCTATCCTGGACTGGCTCGCTTGCCTTGCCCGTTTCTCTCCTCCGCCCCTTATCGGAAGACACTGCGCGAGACATAACCACCACCAAGTCCTCGGGCCACTTTTTGCTCACGCCGCCTTTCGCTCTCTTGCAGACCTCCTATCTCTCTCTCCTGGACGCTACCTGAGACTTGCTTCTCTCCTCCTTCGACCTCCCGATCCTCCTTCGTACACCACGCATACTCGCATCTCGATACCTGCCATGGCTGATTCCGCCCCGGCCGTCAACGGAGCCTCTCTCTACGAAACAACAAAGTCCAGTGGGGTGCGTATTGCATTGCTGCGCTGTCTCGTCTCTTGCGCTTCCTCCGGGACAATTCGGATCTAGGCTTCTTGCTAACATGTGCTGCATAGTTTCCCTGTCCCAACCCGATCCGCGATCGAAACCGTTTGCTATAAACCGACCGACTAACTCTCTATCTTAGACGCCGCCGCTGCGTACAACACTGTCACTAACGGTTCGTGATCCCATCACACCCATTCGCAGTCCAGGCGACAACCCCCCCTTGCTGCTATCTCGATCACCGTTGCTAACATCAGCTTTTCCGCCCCTAATAGGCCCCGTCGCTCAGAACGTCATGGATCACACACAGAAGACCTCCAACGAGTTCTCCAACCTGGCCGCTGCTCGTCGCACGCCGGCTAACCCTGCTGCCACCGGCCAGCCTCTCACCCACTACCACTCTTTCTTCTCCGAGCTCCTGTCATGGAACAACCCTCGTGAGTGAACCGCTCTTGACCTCCCCGCAAGCCCATCGCTAACGCAATCGCTCGCCCAGGTGCCTCTGCTATCGCCTACGTCACCATCGTCGCTCTCATCTTCTCGGCTAGATACCTCGATATCCTTCGATGGGGCTTCAAGCTCTCTTGGATGGTCCTGGGTGTGACCGTTCTCGCCGAGGTTGTTGGCAAGACCGTCCTCAACCACGGCCTGGCCACCCATCTTCGACCCCGCCGATACTACACTGTTCCCCGCGACACTCTCGACACCCTTATCGGGGATGTCCACGAGCTGATCAACTTCTTTGTCATTGAGGCTCAGCGCATCCTCTTCGCCGAGAACATTGGCGCTTCTTGCGCCGTAAGTCCAAACTCCAGAACCATACGATCCTTTTTGAAGCTAATAAGCCCCCCTAGGCTTGGGTTGCCGCCTTCATCTCCTATTTCCTCGTCAAGCTCGTCCCCTACTGGGGTCTTGCCGTCATCGGCACCACCGTCGTCTTCTTTGTTCCCCTGGTCTACACCAGCAACCAGGAGCTTATCGATGCGCAAATCCAGAACGCCTCCGACCTGATTAACTCCCAGACCGCCCAGGTCAAGGATGTTGCCCAGAAGCAGCTCGACCAGGTCTCCGCTCTCGGCAAGCAGTATGCTGGCGACTACACCGGCAAGGTCCAGGCTCTTCTGTCTGGCAAGACTCCCTCGCGCCAGGTCATCATCAAGCCTGCGCCCGAGTTTCCCAACCCTCCCACTGAGGACCCCGCCCAGGCCGAGGAGGTCGACTTCCCCGAGGTCCCCAAGGAGGACCCCGTCAACGAGAAGGTCCCCGTCTCTACTGCCTAAACGGCCGATACGAAGCGATTTCCACGTGTACACGACTTGAGAAAGGGCATAGCTGGCCTAGGCAATGACATGTTTGACGGCATTTCGGAGCGTGTGTCTTTCTTTGATCGAGGGCAAGGGACTTGTCAGATTGGAATTCGGCGTGAACTGCTTTTTCAGAGCATTCCTTAACCTGCAATGCGACAATGACTCGGGTTGATTGCCATGAGGATGAAAAAAATATGGAGAGGAGAGATGATAATATGGTCATCAAGGAGTGAGCCTCCAGGCCGCGCCCGTGGGCAAGAATGATGTGGAGGCGGGGAGGATGAACTTCATGCTGATGAGGAAAGGAGTGCGAGGCTTTAACCTTTTAATTACTGCGTCGGTTGTTGGTGGACGTATTCGGTTCGAGGCTCTTTTTTTTGCTACCCTGGTTCTTGAAGCTTGGTGTTGACGGACTGTACATTGTGTGCGCTTGCGAGGGGCTTGGGCATTTCTTGCTTGGTTCCCTTTAGTTGAGATTGCACAATTACAACTTGTATTTTTCTACTATCTGAATGGCCTCGTGCATGTGAATGTTGGCATGATGAGTGATTGAATTTGGAAATCATGACAGACTCGCTGTACCATGGTGTGGGAACTGTAGCGCTTCTTGAATAACTGTATTGATTTTCTGTTCTCACCAACGCCAACCCAGCAAGGTATACACATCTATCTTTTTTTACCATCCTTGGCCATGCATCTACACAGACGTGCGAGCCCAATCTCCATCTCATGCTCACTTCCTGCGCTTGTGGCCACCTCCACCACCGCCAGCACCGTCCTCGGCAGCGCTGCGCTTGCGGCCGTTCTTGCGCCAGTACTCCTTGGACTCGCGCTTCTCGCGGGCCTCCTTCTTCTCCTCGTTGTCGGCCAGCTTCTTCTTGAAGGCGGCGCGGTTCTCGTCCTTCTTGGCGCGGCGCTTGGCCGCGGCGTCGTTGCGGATGGTGAGCAGCTGCTGCATGAGGGCGCGGGCTTTCTTCTCCTCGGAGCCGGGGGCCAGCACGACGGCGCGCTTCTGCATGTACGTCTCCTTCTTCTGCTTCTTGGTCTGGACGATCTGCGAGCGGAAGGGCAGGTCGGCGGCGAGGGCGCGCGGCACGCGCAGCGGGTTGAAGTGGCGGGTCTCGCGCTCGATGGCGCGGTACTGGCTGTTCTTGGGCTGGGGCGTGGCGATGTTCTGGTCGCGGCGTACTTCGCCGGTGAGGCGCATGGGTTGCCAGCCGACCAGGTTGGTGACGGGGTTGTAGAAGCGGCGCGGCTTGATCGGGTACCAGGCGCGCAAGAAGACGATGTCGCTGGCGAGGATCTTGTCCTCGAAGGTGGCGCGGAAGTGGCCCTCGGGCTTAGACAGCGCGCGCTTGATCTGGCCGCGGATGCCCGAGACGGTCTTGATTGAGGCGCCCTCGAACTTGGCAATCTCGAGCGACGAGTTGAACATGTCCTTGATGAAGGCCGTGTTCTTGTAGATCTTGGCGGGGTGGCCGGTCAGCTTGAGCTTCTTGACGATCTCGGTCGACTCGTCGACGCTGAGGATGGTGCCCGTGGCGGCGATGCGGAAGCCGGCGTTGCTGGAGGAGAAGGAGTTGAAGCACACGAAGCCCGTGTTGGGGGCGATCAGAGGGCCGTAGATGGTACCGAAGCAGTGCATATGCTCGGGCGTGTACTTGAGCATGCGGTTGCGCGTGCGCGAGTCGGTGGTGCTGTAGATGGGCAGCGTCTGGAAGCGTCGCCAGCCGAGCGAGAAGATCAGCGGGTCGTTGGTCTTGAGGATGCGCTTGTGCCAGCGGTGACGCTTGACGCGCACCTGGAGGAAGCCGAAGCGGTCCTCGGTCGGCGACAGTCCGCCGATGACGATGGGGAGTCGCGCGTTGAACTTGTTGACGAACTCGGCCGGGACGCCCTCGAGCACCACCTTGGCGTACTTGCCGGCGCGGTAGCCCTCGACGGCTGCGCGCTGTCGCTCGTCCAGAGTCTCAAACTCCTCCTTGTTGATGTCGAGTTGCTTCTGGATCATGGCCTTTTGCGACTCGTACCACTGGTCCTCGCCAAACTCCTGCACATCGCCACCGTCTCGCCGGGAATTGGCCTTGTCGTTGAGGAAACCGTCTCGATCCTCCTCTTCGAACCGTTGCTTGAGCTCTTCCTTGCGCTTGGCATTCTTTTCTCGCTCCGCCTCAATGTCCTCGGCCGTCTGTTGGGGTGGCTCTTCAGCCTTGGTCTCGCCCTCCTCGGCTTCGAGATCCTGGAACTCTCCGTCTCCTTCACTGTCATCGCCTCCTCCCTCCATATCATCGTCGCCTCCCTCCTCATCGTCACCTCTGCCAAAGGCACTCGTGAATCTCTTTCGCAGTGCCTCAATGTTGTCCTGCTCTGCCCACTTCGTTGCCAGGTCCTCGTAGTCAAATTCGGGTATCGACCTGTCCTCCACAGCATCGTCCTTCTCCTGTTTTGACTTCTTGAAGAATTCCTCGTCATCCGAATCGTCCTCAATGTTCTCCTCCTGACCGTCATCGCCCCTCCATCGGTTTAATGCCTCTTCGGGGCTCAATGACTCTTCGTACATTAACCTCGCCAAGTCGCCGGTGTGGTATGAGCGTCTCCTGCCATGGAGCTTTGAGGCTGTGCCATTTAGGTTGTCCTTCCATCTCAAAGCAGCGGCCTCTTCGTCAGAGTCGTATTCTTCATCTGAGTCCGCATCATCCTGTTCGGACATTGATCCCAGATCCGAGTCGCTGTCCGCAAAGGCAACATCCTCCTCATTACCCTCCTTGTCGGCATCTTTCCGGAACATCTTGCCAAGCTTACCCTCGTTGAACTCGACCTCGGCATCAGAATCGCCCTCGTCGCTTCCGCTAACGAATCCCTCATCATCCTCGCCTTGCTCTTCGTCGTCATCCTCTCGCTCCGCAAAGCGGGCCTTGCGTTGTGACTTTCGTCCAGTGTCCTCTTCCTCGGGCACTTCCTTGATCTGCTCGCCGCCTCTGAAGAGCTGCACACCGTCTTCGGTTTGACCGAGGAGTTTTCGTTCAGCTTGAAGACCGACAATCATCTCCTCACCCTCACCACGCTCGCCATCCTCATCCTCCTGGTCAAAGCTGAAGCCCTTTTCACGGGTAATCCAGATGGCGTCGCCATCAATCTTCAGGCCACTGCGATCGGACATTGGCGCATGCATCTTCTTCTCCTTCTCGTCGAGCCTTCGCCGCCCAGTCTTTCCAGTGATCTTCGCCATTGCTTGCTCCATGGATGGCGTCGGACACGGGTCTGGCAGAACCTCCATGTTTGAGACAGTAAAGTCGCCCAAACCGGGAACGTGTACCCGCTGCCCCTGTGACGCGAAGTTTGTGCCTCGTAGATATCCAGACAGAACAATCGACCGGTCGCAGTTGGGATCCTCCTCGATTTTGGTGGGGTGGGTGATGTCTCGGAAGCTGTCGACAATGGAGTAAGGGTGTGAGTTGCGCCAGATGAGCGGACGAGGGTTCTTCATGACTGAGAGGAAACGAGATAGATTGTGAATCTCGCGATCAGGGTATCGGCCGTTGATGACACCGGAGAGATAGAACAGGTGGGCGCCCTGGTATAGCTCTGTCCACAGTCTGCGCTTCAGTCTCTTCTTGGCATCCTTGAGCGCCTGGGGCTTCCTGAACAGATCGAGATGGGTCAGAATGCCAAAGACGTTACCGGGCATACCTGTCGCGGCGAGGACGTTGAGGAACTCCATAGTCTCCATCTCAAAGCCAAAGTTGCCGTCAATCATCAGGAGGACAATGTCGGCCACCTTGGCGATGTCGACCATGGCCTCGAGTTCGTTGGGGCATTCGACAAACGTCAAGCGCTGCTTCTTGGAGGTGACAACAGTGATGGGACCCTGAGGGTCGGAGATGGTCTCTTTGGCATATCGTCGGACTAGGGACTTGAGCAGGGTCGTCTTGCCTACACCGGGAGGGCCAACGATGGTGACGAGGCGAGGAGGGGCCTCGTCGGGCAGTCGATCGACGAGCGGGACATGGAGTCGCTTTTCTCTGACCTGTTTGGAGGCTGTCAGTATCGAGGAGGCATGAGTAGGGAAGGCAGAGGGCCGTCATACGTCTTGCGATCTCGCTGCCTGTCGTTGAAGCTTTCCGGGTCTGGCGAAGGCGAAGGCCTTTGGATTGCGCTCTGGTTGACGTTAGCATGCATTCTCACCGGGAAAGGCGCGCAAAGCGCAAGGCCACGTACCCCCAGTATTCTCCTTCTTGTCCTTCTTGTCCTTCCTGTCCTTGGACTTGCGATGCGGCTTATGCAATTGCTGCTCCATGGTTGCGCGTCGTCTCCAGCATCAGCAGGACCGATCATCAGCAATCAATCTTCCAAAAAATTCCCACTTACTGGGTGGGAAAATTTGTCGGATAAGCGATAAGCCATGCGCGTAGCCTTATCGATAGGCTGCGGGGCGTTAAGCTTATTTGGGGGCCATTATTGGCTGGTGAGAGTTGGGCTGGTTGTGAGCTGAGCCACTAGAGAGACCGAGGTCACTAGCCACCACACAAGCCACTTCCAGCCACGCGCGCGGCTCTGGTAGACCCCTCCAATTCGAACTTCACTCCAATCGAACGGACGTCTTACGAGCTTCCTGTTCGAGCATAGATCCTCGAATCGCTTACATACCGAAAGAGTCAAACACGCAGTTCGTCGGGGTGACGTATGCATGACTATGCGGGCTTCAATTGTCTTCTGACTGATTTCTTGGGACCGCCATTGGAGGGTGTGATGTACACTCCTCACCGTCAGAACCGGCACCAAAACCGTGTGTGTATAAGGCGATGGCCGTCTTAATTGCGGTGTGCCTGGATGAACCAATGGTACCTGCGGCACAGCTAAGCGGCCGTCCCAGGTTTGGGTCGCTCAATGAGAAACATAATGGACCCTGGCTCGGAGTACACGGCACGCTCAATACACCCACACTTCCGCTTTGGGATAACCTTGTGAGTAACGTGGACACAGCCATGGTTGTATGTAGGGAACACCAGCAGGGCGCAATGAGTATGAGTCTTTTGATGACTGTGGTGTGTTTCATCCCTGAAAGACAGTCCGAGGGAAATTCTGAGATTGACCGCTTCGTCGACGTCGTGATCGATCATCCATCGCGACTCTGCGACTACGCAAGCCGAGCATCACCAAACGTCAGCTCCTTCCAAGATGAGAATGCACAGCTTACTACCTTACGTAGAAGCTGTCGTGGCCGTCCGCGACGTCGACTGCTGGCTAACTAGATCCAGTCGGGTTCAAACCTGGCATTTGCTGATCAATCTGGCCTTGATATCAGGTCTCGCCCGCATGGAATCCTAATTCCCTATTCCCGTTTGAGCACGCCGCGCTGGTCTTCTCCACACTCCAGAAGACCGTGTGTGAGTCAACCGGACGGATGTCTATCCGGGCTTAGAGCGGCTCGGAGCCGAATTGCTCCCACATGGCCAGAGCGGCCCAGTAAGACAGATGAATGGCGGGCTGTACGAGGCAAAATCTTATTGCATCCCGATTTCCCGCCCTGGTGTTATGGTGTCGTACTCCCCACTACCAGCTGCATGCTCGCCTTAATCCCAATTAAGTTGCCTTGCGTGTCGCACTGACCCAGCACCTGCACCCTTTTCGTCAGCCTAAACGCGTAAGTTAGTCGCCGGCACAGCCGTTGTTCGCTTTGTTCCGGGATCTCTTCAATCCTAGTTGCCTTGCGAGGCTGAACTAAATTGCTGTTGGGGCTTTGCGTCATGACTCACGCAAGCGTTGCTGGTGACTAGACATGATGCTACGCAAGACAATGCTTGCATGGGCAGCGTCAGTCTGGATGACCTTGTTTTTGGCTGCCTGAACTCTGCCATCATTCGTCACCTACCTGGCCCCTGGGTCCAGGCATCAAGTATAAAGAGATGAGGATGTAACAGATAGTGGACTTGAACATCAGGCAGACACCAGGCAGACACTTCCATAACAAGCATCAAACACTCCCAAGTCTTCATTAAGCCACCGCTCAAACCATCTCATCATCTTATTAGTCTCAGCTCTTCGCTGTCTATTCCCAATTCTTTCACAATAACCAACCAATTCAACAACCAACTTACCAACAATCTCACTTTCAAAATGTCGGGCGTCGGTAACTTCACCAACACCAGCTCCAGCGCCTCCTTCGGCCGGAAACAAACCAACTCCATGCTCAACAGCATCCTCTACACCAGTGAGCAGGAGAAGAACGCAGCTCCCCCAGCCGCAGACCCTGAGACGGCATCTGTAGCCTCCTACTCTTCGACCTCAGGTCTGCTCAGCAAGTTCAAGAGACAGCCCAAGGCGGAGCCCAAGGCGCCCGCCGTCGATGCCAACAAGTTGCAGGAACAGGCTCTCAAGTCACAGGTGCGCTTTAGCGTCTAAGCCAACATCTCAGAGGCTTTCCTGACTCGGTGCTTGGATTCTAGTATTAACGTGTTCATGGTTTAAGGTTTCTGAGGCTCCTCCGCGAGCCGTCCGCGCCCCGGTGTTGTATGGCATGGGTCGAATGTGATGCACGACATGGGTACACGGGGATAGAAAATGGAGGGTTTCTTTTGTATATGAGGGTAGGCTTGTCAGACACGTTGGCAAAGATTGGTCAATCGGTGACCAAACGGATTTATTGACGAGTTATGGAATGACGGGAACTGGACCAGGGATAAGACATGTCCCAGGGGGTATCTTTCTTACTGTATTGATAAACTGCCTAGAGGCAAATAAATAATTTCGACTTTTGGCTTTCTCGTTCTGTACCATATACGTCCCTAGAAGCTGTCGTTGAGAATGTCCTCGTTCATCTTGACCATGCTCGGACTGTACTCGGACGAGTTTGGGTCTGCGCCCGCATCGAGGAGGATGTCACCGACAATCCTCTGGCTTGCCTCTCGTGCTTGAAAAAATCATTAGCTCTCGTGACCCACAAACTTGACCAGCGTGACAACTCACCAGGGGTCTGCAGCAACTTGGATGGGGGCAGGGCGAATTGGATCGTCTTTGGCGGGCTCATGCCGGCGTACAGGTCAATATCGTCATCCTCCTCGTCGCTCTCCCAATCAATCTCATACTTTTGCTTCCCGCTCGCCATGGTGCTATCATCGGCGAACACATCCCGAGTCTTCCTCGCCGTCGCGGGCGTCTGCACGCTGACGCCGGGCGTTCTTGGTCCCTGAGTGGCCGCCGCCAAACGCTCCCGGGCTTTGGTCTTCATGGGCGACATAAAGGCCTCGCTGCGCAATTTTGGAACCGCCATTTCAGGTGACGACATTGGAGAATCTTGCCACGCAGGGGTCTCCTTCTTGGCTTGGGTGCTTTTCAGGGGGGATATGCGCAATGCCGGCTTATGTGGTGTGGCCTGGATGCGGTAGTTCTTGTCCAGAATCCGATGCAGCAGAGGGTCTTTGTTGCGGTGTATCGATTGCTCAATGGTTTGGTCTTCATCTTCATCGAAACGGCCGCCTGGTGTCATTGACATGTCTGGCAACCTCGCAGTGTGCTGGGCGAACAACACAGTGGAGTCCTCGTTGTCTTCGAGCACGGTCGTGTGGCCCTCCTCATCCTGCATCTCCCGCTTCATGGTCTCGTACGGCGACTGGAGGTGTGAGAATTGCGTCCTTGAGGTCTTTGTCGAAGGCGGGCGAGGAGTGCTCCCGGAGAGCTCGGCATCGTCGAGTAGCGATTCGTCGATGTGGTAGGTCGACTGCTCCGCGCCGGTTGTGGCTGTTACATCCTCCTCCCCATGCTGAGCGGTGTAGTCTGCCGTCGTCTCGTCCCTCATCGCTGTGCTCTCTTCGACCGTCATTGTTTCTTCTTCGTCGTTGGCTAGCTCCTCGTAGCCGGAAAGTGATACATTGGCAGAGGCTTCGAAGAATTGCTTCCAGAACTGGACCATTGTTAGCGATTTCGACTCGTCGGCCCATGATGGAGCGCTCACCTTAGACGCCTCCCAGACGGCCCGGGAATGATCTCCATATTGCTCGACTAAAGGTAGGATGCTTGTCGTGACGATTCGGTGCGACTTGCTGAAGTTATGGTCGATTTCTGGATTGCCGGTGAGCCAAAGCGACAGCAAAAGCCACAGCAAAAGAGGCGAAGGGCGCGGTACCTTGTAGAGTCAGCGTGATGGACTGTTCGAGCCTCTCCAGCTCCTCCGTGAGGCTCAGATTGCGCGCTGCGGCGCTTGATCGGGACATGGTGCTGGCTTCCTAGCGACGGACGGTCGCTGGGTCGGAGATTTGTTGATGGTGACGATGTAAACGCGTGGAGACGCGATGAGGGGCAGCCCACCCACATTCCGCCCAATATGGCGGGGTATTGGTCACTGCTTCACTTCAGCACTGGAGATTGAACATGACCACCACGAAGAGACGGGTGGGAAATGACCATGTTTTTCTTTGTTTTCTTTCGAGTTTGAATTTCAACTATCTACTAGTGTTTAGAGTAGTAATCGTTCGCGTCCAGCTTCATCAGTAGCTGTGCAACTAGGTGATCTTCGCCAATGCCATCCTGCTTCAGGCCCAAGTCGTCACCCCCCTTACTGCTACCAAACCGACTCTTCTCTGTCAGTCCTCGGCAGACAGTAATGAATATCTGAACCTTCTTCTTGAATTTCCGATATAACTCTTCCGGCTTTGTGGATTTATCACTGCCTGTGGCCCTTCCTAACGCTTGCATTCTGGAGTACTTTGCATACTGGAGCACCGCCGCAAAGATTTCCTCGAGCAAGTTGAGCACTGGTTGCTGCCGCTTCCTTAGGAAAAGGGAAAGCATAATCCGGTCGAGGGCTTGAGAATGAAGTTCCCTAAGCCTATCGGGGCTCTCCATCTTTTCTTGAGAGCCTTTAGAATTGGGCTTGTTCAGGTCGGATTGGATCTGATCCAGCTTCGCCTCGAATGCTTGCCATGGGATCGCAACCCCTGCATCCAAGAAGTACGAGGTGATACCCGAGATGAAGTGATGTGCTTCCCGAGTAAATCGATACGAGGCGTTCTCCGGATCGTTCCATCGACTTGTTCTTGCATTGACGTCCCGAAATAACTGGTTGACGACGTAGAGCACTCGCAGAATTCGCAACAAGAGCTTAAAAATGCGATCGTACTGAGTTAGAAGCACTGGAGTGATGATACTCGACAAGGGGACTGGAGCCTTGTATGATAGGCGGAGGAAGTCCAGCGCCTCCAATGAATCTGGGTTCATGCACTTCTCAATCTCTTCCTCCGACAAGTCACGGACAGCAAAGCTCAGCTCTCCAGGCAATTCTGACGAGTCCCTAGATATGCTGCTTAGCGTCTCTTTTGAGAACCCGTTTTCTGATCCGAAGCTTTCTACCAGCACCCCCATAAGGGCCAGCCGAAGCTCGGAGCTTGCGGGAGGCCAGCTGTCTCGGCCGCCTAGTCGGAGACCCATGACGCCTCCCTGGCGTGCAACTCCAGCCTGTCTCTCGGCGGTTTCCAAGTCTGGATCGAACAAAGCATGAGAGAGGCGGCTCGAAAATAGACCATTGCCAAACAGGTGGAAATCACGATGCATCTTGAGATGACTCCTTAAGTCATGATGCGTAAAGAGAAGTCTTAAGCTCTCCTGGTTAACGACCTGAGACTGAGCAGAAGTGATACCACCAAAGGATAGGACAGGAAGCAAGGACCAATGTGGCGCAAAGTTGAAGGAGTTTGAGGGAGACTGATATCGGCCAGAAAGACGTTGACGAACCACAAGGCTGAGCGAATCGTTAGCACCAGCATCCGCAAGGGGTTGATTAAACTGGTCGATGGATGCCAGTAAGCGTTCTTCAATCTTCTGTTCTTCTACACCAAAGAACTGCAGTTCAGTCTGAGGCCATGGTGGAAGCAAGCTTCCCCTTGCTGGAGGGGAGGACTGTGTGTCCGAGCGGCTCTTCTGGATGGCACCAAGTAGGTTGTCCCGATATTCAGAAACCCGAATCTCCAACTGTAATATGGCATCCCAGTCGTAAAGCCACTCAGTCCTCGGGGGGTGCGTCAAAGCGAGGATTTCATGGTTTGCCAATGGGTGTTCTGGATGGCAGCTTCTGATGAAGCGCAGGTTCTTGCCCGTCTCGAAAATGGACTTGGCAATATCATGAGGCATGAAATGGGGCATCTTGGCATCGTCCAAGCGGAAGTCGATATCCTCCACTTCCAGGCCAAAGTCATCCATGTAGGTTTCTACGTCGACCTTGATAAAGCCCTTGCTCTCACCCACACTGGACTTTGTCAATGGTATCCCCTCTTCCCGTCTGGTACCAATCCACTCCTCGAGGAATTCAATCCAGGGTCGAGAAACTCGCTGCAACACCTCTCGCATGATTTCACGTAGCTGCTCTTCGCGATGGTCGACCGAGTATGCTTCGTGGAAAACGATGGAGAGAACATCTTCATCAGCATAACCTCGGCGAAGTTTCGACGTGAGCCTGTGGAACGGCTCCAGGATAGCCAACAAGCCCTTGATTGTCGATTGAAGGCTTAGAAGTGATCGCGGGTTGTGTCCGTGGACCGCTACATGCTCTTGAGAATCTTTTAGAATCTGCTCGAGGGCGCTGGCTAGAGCGACGCCGCATCGCGTCGAACGCTTGGAGTAGGTCAATTGGACAAATGCCCGCAGCTCTAAGAAGATCGAGCCGCAGCGAAAGCATTGCTTCTCTAGACCCTGCAGCACATGTCTTGAATATCCCGAAATCCGCATCTTCGGTAGAGCAGAGGTGAATCTCCGACTCTTGTCGTCTCGTAAGAAGAACACTGACTCCTGGCCAATCGCAAGCGCCAGCAATGAAGAAATGTATGTCTTTGTTTCCACAACAGGCACGTCAGAGTTGTCGAGTCGCAAGGGATCGATTGACCAGCACAGTAAGGCGTCGTAGGTAGTAGGGCCAGCTTCGGTGATCAGCGGGGGTTGGGTCGTCGCAGAAGTCGCGTTGAGGAACGCATCCCAAGTCCTGTGCTCAGCGGTCTTCTCTGGCGCTTTCTCTAGTCCCATCCACATATCGTCGGTAGGTTCGATGTCTGGCGTGCTCTCCACCGTCGTCTCTGCGTCGTCGGAAGCTACGTTGGCGTCGGGTTCGACGACTGTAGAGGCTTCGAGAGATGGGAGCTTGAAGAAGCCATGCTGCTCGACTGCAAGCGGAGCAAGCTGCAGCAGACTGGAATCGAGGCTATCTTGAATCCAAGACTTAGCACGGCGAACAACAAAGCGGTGAGTTGAGGATCCGTACCTTTGAGCTCCGTCGCAAAGTACGGAGGCTCGCCGGCTTGACCTAGCTGATCAAGTAACTTGGGGGTCTGCCATAGGTCGGGAATGGCGAAGACATCTGCTTTGTCCTCATTGCCAGGCATAGCTGTAGTTGCGCACCGCGTAGGATGTCATGGATCAGTCTGAAAGGCGGTAGTTGGACCGTATCATCGACGCTGCCAAGTTGGTGAATTTCCCCGACGTCAGTGGAGGTTTGATCCCCGCGACGCGCCACGATTGGGGCTCTTCAGGGCGCGTTTCCCGCCAGTGACCCCTCCACTCGCGCTAGACGGCCGGCCTAGAGGTACCGGGAGTAGCTTGCAGTGGCCCTTGCAGGCTTCTTCTGCCCATGACCACATCCGTCTCATGATTGATCCATTGCTACAAGCTCGAGATTTGAACTTTTTGACACTTCGATCCAACAACCATCTTCACGTCCACCACCGCCAATCGCGCCGAGAACCCTGTTCCGGGCCGCACCGAATACGCTTCACACACAATCCAACCGCTGCGAATCCAAATGCCTCCTCGGAAGCGCGCTCGTGGGAGCCAGGCCGCTGCCACGCCAACTCCGGTTCGCGACGACGATGCCATGGACGTCGATACTCCCCCGGCCGGTGACAACGCCGATGACGCCGGCGAGACAAAAGAACCTGAGAACAACTTCAACGAGCTATGGACCGATGACCAGGTCGCCTCGCTCTTCAAGGGCGTCATTCGATGGAAACCAGCAGGTCAGTCGCATGCCTAGCTACTCGTGCGACTTCCCTTCTGACCACCCACAGGCATGCATAGACATTTCCGAATGATTGCGATCTCAGAACACCTTCGAAATCACGGCTTCGATCCCGACCTGTACCCGCACACGCGCATTCCCTACATCTGGCAGAAGTTGCGCACGTACTACAACCTCGAAGTCATCGACGAACGGGAGAACTTTGACGAAGACGAAACCGAAGACAGGTATGTCGAATTTTCGCTGCCCAGGGATCAGTTCCTGGAGTCCATGATGCAGCGCGCCATCGCGGACCCGAGCGAGGCTCCTTCGTCTCCCCCGCAGCTCGAGCTGTCGCCAGCACCTTCGCCCCCCAAGAAACGCAAGCGAGGTGACACGGTTTCCAAGACAAGGGGCACCTCGGTTGAGGATACAGAGGAGGGCACGGATGCGCAATCGCCAGCTACAAAGGGCAAGAGAAGCTCAAGTCGACGGAAGCGCGCAGCCAGTCAAGCCAAGACTGAGAAGCAGGAGAAACAAGACAAACAGGATAAGGTCGAGAAGCAAGAAAAACAGGAGAAGGCTGAGAAGCAGGAAAAACTAGAAAAGCAGGAGAAGCAAGACAAGTTGGAAAAGCAAGAGAAACAGGAGAAGGCCGAGAAGCAGGAGAAGGCTGAGACGACCGAGGAGGAAGACGAAGAGGGAGAGGAAGAAGAAGAGGAAGCGGGCGACGGGGATGAGAGTGGATCGAGTGACGAGGAAGAGGGAAGTGCTGAGGAGAGTGGTACTCCTGTGTCAAGGACGACGAGGGGTGCGAATGCGAATGCTAATAAAAGCCGGGGTGCGGCGACGGCGACGGCGGCGAGAACGCGGGCAAGAGGGAGGAGAACTAGACGGTGAAAAATGACACGGAGCCATGATGACTGCATTGCAGTATCGGGCTTACAGCTTAGATACCCCAAAATTACTATTATTCTAATCAACCAGACCTCTTCAAGAGTCAATATTCGTCAACTTCCAATTTGGGAGTTGGATAGGCAGTCATAGATGTCGTGGAAATATCATGCACCATCATAAGATAGTAGCCTCACGTCTCCTTTAGCTCTTCCGCTCCTTTTCTGTCTCCCACTCGCTGTGATACCTGATCTTGCTTCTCCAATCCCGCCCGATGGGGAAGATGCTTTCCACATCCAGCTTCGAGCGTTGTATTGGCCCTGGCTCATTCACCTTGGGTAACCCCATAGGAGGCTTCTTCTGGAGCAACTCCCACATCTCGGCTTCTGCCTGGCCACTTGCGTATTGATCACAGCCCTCCGCGTACTCTTCTTGTCGTCGTTCTGTGGTAATGCGGTTTCTTAGTGATTCCTTGGTGCGATAGGTCTCAGGGAAGTCCGCAGCAGAATATTGAAGCACCTCGTTGGCTTCATTGTCAATAGCGGCTTCTTCGTCATCAGAGAGGGTAAATGGCGTCTCAAACTCGGATTCAGATTCATCCAGGCTGTGGTATTCGATGGATTCTTCTTTGACAAATGCTGGCGTTGGCTCCAATCTTGACGAAAGAGGTTGGTCCTCGTCTCCCGAGAGAGCCTCTTCGACTTGGTCATACGTGAGAGCTTCCTGTTCGACATCGTCATCTTGGTCTGGGGGCTCCTCATAAACCTCAAGGCGAAGCCTCCGGGCGCACTTGAGCCAAAATCCGCGCGAGTTTGACGTCATGCCCAAGGACGCAATGGCTGCCTCGACATCTTGCCTCCTCACAATGTCCCTAGTTGAAGGAATAAGTTCTTTCTTGGCTCGAATCCTGGACATGCTGAGAAAGATGGCTGTTTGAACAAGCCTTCTAGTGATTGACACAGCCAAAGAGTGGAAATCCTCAAATGTGGTTGCCCACATGGATGGCGGGTGGTTTTCGATATAGCTCCAGTTGTCACTTGGAATGGAAGAGTTCATGAAAATTCGTTCCGAAAGTCTCAGCCAGTTGTGGACGTTCAAGACTCCAGCAAACGCCACATCTTGGCCTTCTGCAATCAGTTCACCCTTGTCGAGCTTCCGGGCGAGTCTTGGTGTAATGTCCCAGCACTCTCCCCATTTGTTCTCCTCCCGCAGCTCTTCCTTGCGCTCCTGTCTGACGGAGACTGCATCTGCAGCTTCGTCTAGGGCGTGGCACAGAGGCTGGCTGAGCTCGACGGCGGCGGGAAACTCTGAGAACTCAATTGCTGGACGCAATCCTTCCCGTTGTCGCATAAGGTGAACCCTCTTGAGGACGCTGAGGTAGTGATTTACTTCGATCTCACTCTTGCTTCCTATGCGAGACGCGATACCAGGCAGATCTTCTTGCCCCAAGCGTGCCATGGCCTCAAAGAATAATTTCTTCTCCAGAGGCGACCAGGAAGTGACGCCAAGTTGGCTTGGTTCATTATCTTCCTCGCCGGAGATACAGACTCGGTGAGCTGCATCTTCGATGTCGCCGTTGAGTAAATCGAGGTAGTCGGTGTTTAAGACACCTTTGTGTCTTTTGAAAGCTTGTGGTATTAGAGCTTCTTCTGCTGGTCGTTTGAGAGAGAAGCGCTCATCATCATCTTCCTCCTTGTTGGCGGAGGAATTTGCGCTGTCTTCGCTTTCGGCATATACGCTTCCCGACAGGTAGGGGTCTTCCACTGGGTCGACATGTTGAGAATATTCTGCAATGTTTAGGCTTTTCATGTCTGAAGGCGAAGAGTGACGAGGCAGGTTTTCCTCCTCGCCGAACGGATAGTCGGCGTCCGAGTCCATGCTCCTTTGTTGCTGACGGCGTCAAGAATGCTCCGAGCAGGCGAAAACATGGTAGCAGAGGCGGAGAAGAAGAAGTCGAAACTCGACCAACAGAATGATGATTGAGCCCTGCGAATACAAAAGGCTTGAGTTATAGAGAAGCGAGATGCTCGGCACTTGGTTCACAGGGTTCACCGTCTCAAATTTCTAGAAGCCCCGGCAGTTGATGACTGAAGAGCCAACCACCATTAAACGCTTGCTGACTAACACAGACGCTAGCAACTTTGCACTCCAAGCGCCTCGAATACCTGTCGAAGCTTCATCTCAAATCATGTGCATTGTGAATATTGGTATTGCGCATCTCATCATGTGCAATGCTACGAACGGTGGCTAAATGTTTACTCAGGCCGAATGCCAGGCTGGGCGCACCTGTGCTCAAGCCCTGGGCGCTCAGAGCCTACGCATCCACCGTAGCCCCTAAGAAGCAGCTTCAGCTTCGAGACTATCAACGAGAATGCATCACATCCGTCTTGGAATCGCTCAAGCGGGGCCATAAACGAGTCGGAATCTCACTAGCAACCGGAAGCGGCAAGACGGTATGGGTTGCGAGGTCCTGCCTTGGCCATGAAGCTCATTTGTTATAGGTCATTTTCACACAACTCATTGACAGGATGCCGTCAACTGCAGAGGACGCTAACCGTACCCTCATCCTGGCTCATCGACGAGAGTTGGTTGAACAAGCCGCAAACCATTGTCAGCTGGCATATCCAAAGAAGAGCATTGAGATTGAAATGGGAAACGTGCATGCGACGGGGACCGCCGATATCACCATTGCAAGTGTCCGGAGTATCACGTCCAAGGGCCGGTTGGCCAAGTTTGACCCTTCCCGGTTCAAGCTTGTGCTAGTTGACGAAGCACACCACATAGTTGCGCCAGGATACTTGAAAACCCTCCAACATTTTGGTCTCGACGAGAAGCGAGAAGGCTCCCCGAACTTGATCGGTGTATCTGCCACCTTCTCCCGATTCGATGGTGTGAAACTCGGCGCAGCCATTGACGAGATTGTCTACCACAAGGATTATGTCGACATGATTGCCGAAAAGTGGCTTTCAGATGTCATCTTCACAACTGTTGAATCGACCGCCAACCTCAAACAAGTTAAAAGCAATAATTTTGGCGATTTCCAGCCTGGAGAGCTCTCCAAAATTGTCAACACCGATGAGATCAACGACATTACGGTTCGAAGTTGGATGGCGAAAGCCCAAGGAAGGAAGTCGACACTTGTTTTTTGCGTTGACGTAGCACACGTCATTGAACTCACCCAGACATTCCGCAAGCACGGATTCGAAGCAAGATACGTGACGGGAGATACGCCGAGAGTCGAGAGAAGCCAAACTCTCGACGCTTTCAAGAGGGGAGAATTCCCGGTTCTTGTTAACTGCGGTGTATTTACCGAGGGCACCGACATTCCCAACATCGACTGCATCGTCCTCGGAAGGCCGACGAGGTCGCGAAACCTACTTGTACAGATGATTGGAAGAGGCATGAGACTTCACCCAGGGAAAAAGGACTGCCACGTAATCGATTTAGTGTCAAGTTTAGATACCGGGATTGTTACTACGCCAACTCTTTTCGGCCTGGACCCCAACGTGTTGGTGGAAAGTGCGTCGGTCAAAGAGATGCGGAAGATCAAGGCGGCCGAGGATCGGGGGGAGGACATTGCACAGAGTGCTCTGTCGTTCCACACAACCTCCGGTCCAGGCTCTCCTGACACAGTCACATTCACAGACTACTCGTCTGTCCTCGACCTAATCGCTGACACTTCAGGGGAGAAGCATATTCGATCCATTAGTAAGTACTCTTGGGTGCAAGTCGGGCAAGAAAAATTTATCCTCTCCGCTCCGAGCGGTTCGTACATCAGGATTGAAAAGATCAGCGAGGAACTTGGAACCTCGTCCCCGATATACCGAGCGGTGGAGGTGCGAGCGCTCCCAGCTGGCTTGGCCAAGTCACCATACGCAGTCCCCCGAGAGATTCTCACTGCAGCCACCTTCCCTGATGCGGTGCATGGAGCGGACAGCTACGCAGCCAACGCATTCCCTCATACATTTATTCATCGGTACCAAAGATGGCGATCACTGCCGCCTACCCAAGGCCAGGTGGACTTTATCAACAAGCTGCGCGGAAAGGCAAACCCCCTGACCATCAAGGGCCTGGACAAGGGCAGAGCCACCGACATGATCACAAAGCTGAAACACGGTGCTCGCGGTCACTTTGCTAAAATCGAGGCGGAGCAAAAGCGACGGGAGAGACAAAGCGCAGTTGTAGAGTCAAGGCAACTCCGGGAGCGCGTCAAGGTGGGACCCTTGGTGGGATGAAGCTTCACGTGTGGCTGTCGCCGCTGAGCGTGTGACAAGCTGTATAACCTGTACAACAACGGGGTGGGACGGCGTTGGGCTAGGCGCTGGATATGCGTCATTGAGCGGGTTCGGGAAAATGGCTTCTAGAAGGGAGAGAGAGAGTCGATTCGGCTTCCCTGGTGTGGATCTGTATACCCTAGCTATGTTTTCCATGGATGCCATCTTGGATAAACATGAAGATGAGTTTCAACGACAACTTTCATGCTTTTCTGGACGCTTTTACTTACAGACGGCCACCTTTACTTCGCATTGCGTCAATGAATGTTTTGTGTCTGGCAAAATTCACAGCCAAGGACTTGGCTTATGCCTGGTTTGCACGTGCGTAGCAAACTGATCAAGGGGAAAACGGCCATGGTGTGTGTACCAGCTGTTGACGTATGCCTCGCAGATCGTCACGATGACCATGATTCACTGACGAAAACGCGGGAGCGCCAACTCACCGATTTCTTTTCAGCGCAACCCTAAGGTGGTAAGGTACCTACCTACCTACCTATATAAGGGACGTAAGGTGCCCCTATGAGGTAGGTACCTGATAAGGCAGGTGCCGCATCAACAAACGAGAGCATACCACTGATTGCAGCTCTCAACCCTCAACACTCATCTTTCTTTGCTCATATTTCTCCTCGAGATCTCGCTCCGGGAAATCAAGTCATAACTTCGTTGTCTCCTTGACGCCGTTTGCTGAACTTGGCGGAATTCTTGCGCCTTGCCTGTTGAGTTGTGTTTACTTCCTTCTCACCCTCTGTTGACTTTCCCCTCTACCTTCGTCTTTACATCTCGCGCTTACGCCCACAAATTCCAACCGCCACCCGTCATCAACACATCTATCGACCATGCTGGATCCAGGAGACGCGGCGGTTAAGCTGCGCGATGGCGATGATGCTTGTTCCAACAAGAGCACAGCGGGAAGCCTGAGGCCTCCAAGCTCTACCTGTTCGAGACCGCCGTCGTCGCTCCTCATCGAGCGCAACCTGCCCTCGCCCTCAACTTCAGAACGCGCTGCCGAGGCGCATCAAGAATGCGACTTGCCAGAATCGTCGCCCACATCTCCGGCACGGGGCCCATCCGAGCCGTCAGCGTTGCGCCCATCGTTCGACCGTCCTTTGCCCAGCCGCTCTTCGTTTGCGACCACCCTTGCGTCTCAAGATACGAGCGGGAAAGCTGCCAAGCCATGTGGCGATACGCCGATCAATATATCGCGAAACCACTTTGACAGACTTCGACCTGTTTGCGACCCTGTCCTCACTAAGTCGCAATCTTTCCGTTTGGAGTTCCCACCCCCTTCTCGCGATCTATACCCAAAGGCTGGCGAAAGGCTGTTCCAGCCTATGAACACTGCGAACAGTATCGAAGTCGAGAAGCTATTGGAGAAGTACTCCGAGGAGGGCGCGCAACTGGTCGAGTTCCTTGCCAGTCAAGAGCAAGCTCGCGAGGACGCTTACGGTCCTGTTATCGAAGCACGGGAGAAGGCCGACTCAATCTTAGCAACCTTCCTGCGTGAACAGCGCCAGAAATCCGATGCTGCACGAGCTGCAGAGTCGAGGGCCAGGGGGCGTGTAGCTCGCCGACGACCTCTCTCGCCGCCGCCCCTGGCCCCAGCCCAGCAACAAGTGATCCGCCAGGTCGAAACTGAGTTGTTGGATAACATGAAGCACATCTCGATCAATCACGCCGAGTCAGAAGGTGCAATAGCTGGATTCTTCACCTTCCAGTGGGATGGAGCCGACCAGAAGCCCCCAGAGAGTCACCGTGAGCTCCTGCTTGAGTCGGGAGGACTTGACAAGCGACTCCTACGAGCGCCGATCGTCGCCCATCCTGAAGTCGGCGAGCATTCCTATCTGGAGGGCATGACCAAGCCACTGAGCCAAAGCGCCTATCAAGAGAACCTCGATAAGATCCGGTCTAAGAATAGGAATGCATACAACAAGGCCTTTTGGAGGCACTGGCAACAAGCACCCGGATCCACAACAGGGCCCGAACCCGAACCAACTCCAGCCCCGAAACCCAACATCTCTTCCTCAGATCTGCCAACCGTCCTTGTCCCCGACTGGTTTTTCATCTTCACCACCTACAACATTCTCGACCTCTGGCCTGGTTCTACGCAATCTCGCTTCATCCAGCTCCTCAACACCATCCGCACCCTCGAATTGCAGTGCCAAGTCTCGCCGATGAAACGCCAACGATGGGACAAGGAATGGCACGACCCAAGCTCCCTTTGGGATACCGCGGTCCGGAAAAAGAGCGGCGGCTAGTGGAAATGCCGCTCTGGCCCAGACGCCCCGAAAGTAGAGCGCTTCTGTAGCAAGTGCCATCTCTCGTCTGAGGAGAGTACCCCCGAGGACGAATCGCCCGAGAAGCGGCTGGAGGAGATAATGGAAGCGGTCGAGAGGGCAATGAAAGAGGTTGCGAAGGAAGATGTGAGGGTTGTTCAAGAGCGGATGATGAACGGGAAGTCGTTCTAGATGTGTCTAGTGGCTGTAGAAGCACAGCGACGGTGTGGAGTTGGTCGGAAAGCCTTGCAGGTAAACCCAGTCTTGTCTTTTCACTTACAGGCAATGTGTTTCATGGGCGATTTGCAGCGCACATAGAGTGGCATTGTTGACAGCGTGGAAGGCAAGATGGTTAAGCTCCTAATATTGTGTTTAATACGTGTGGCATCCTACAGTTAATTATATCTGTATGATATGTTCCCTCTCGGAGATTCGAAACTAAGACAGCATGTGACGACCGACATACGTCTGAATCATATGCGAAGGTGTTGGGCACAATCCATGCTTCTCTATCAGCTCCTGTCAACTCACTCACAACGCAAAGGTAGTAGATGCCGACGGCGACACCCTGGGTACGAGACTCCGGGGCAAAGGCAGCAGAGAATAACCACTTCGCTTCCTCCGTTGAGAAGTGGCTGTGGCGGATGCCTTCTTCGTACATGGGCTTTTGAGGCGGCCTATGTGCTACACTCATCTCGCCGTCGCCCGCAGGGATACCCTGAACGCCTTCTGGGAAAAGTGGACTGAGGTCGTCCTCATTTGCGACATATCTTTCATAATGGCTCCTGTAGTGTTGTTGTCGAGTCGTATGTGAGCACTAGGGACCTCCTAGCTGGCACCTATGATAGTCTAGCTTGGACCGATATATTCCCACGTTTCAAGCAGTTAGTTCCAGAAATCCGCAAGAGAGAGGAGATGTAGTAGTACAATTGCAAGGAGATCCTTTGGACATAAACCTTGCGCCCCAGGGCGCGACAAGTTGAGTACGAGGATGCCACGACGCAATAAAACAACATTTACGTCACTGCAAGAATGGAATAAAATTTGTGAAGAGCAATCGCGAAACCGCGGGTATCATTGAGTTTCTTGAACTCACATAGCAGTATAGTGATTCTCTAACTTTTCATTCTCGCCCGGTAGACTCGCTTAGAGTCCATCCAGAAGCCGTAGAGACATTTTGGAACCGTAGCGAGCAATATCCATTGCGAACACATCCTTCCATAAACAATATAAGTCTGTCATAAGAATGGGGCGGAACAAACCAATGCCCAACTTCGACTCCGTGTATAGTCGTCGCCTTTCTCCAGACATAAGACTCTTCATGTTTCTTCTTGTTTTCGTTGATGTTGGTATCTTTCTCCCCAAATCAATCCACCATGTCTCAAAGATCATATCGCTCGGCACCAGGGGTATTCTTCATTTTTTTGTCCTCAGCTTTTCGTTGCGTGACTGGGTATAATGAGTGGACGTCAAGTCGTCAAAAAGACCCCCGATCCCGATAACCAAAACAAAACCAGCGATAGGAAAAACAGCAAAACACAAAGACAGCGAAGAGAAAACAAACAGAGCGAGGCATAAACCGGCCGATGCAGAAGGAGACGTTCCAGGGTATTTTACGCCAGGGTATATCCAGCCGGGGTATTTGCATGTAGAGGTTCTAACACGGGGGAATCTAACGGAAAGGCCCAATAGGGGCGGGGTATCCTGAATTCATAGAATGAGAGGTCGAAGGGCGTCCGCTGTCGCCGGAGGCGCGGGCGCTGTGGCGAGGTGTAACGTCGCCAGGTTGGGGAATAGCCAACTTGTTGTCGGCATGGGTGCTGAAAGGGCGCGGGGCCCAGGGGTTATCGTCCTCTGGGAGGTTCACGCCGCTGTCATTCCAGGGGTTTCGGTCAGCATTGAAGCTGCGGGTCGATTCGATGGAGATGAGCGAAGACTTGGACACGTTGCTCGAGCCCTTGAAGAAGTTGGCATGGGCTGAGTGAGAGCTGTTCTTTCTGCGGTCCAAGAAGGACGAGATCGAGGTCATGCTGCCGGGCTTTCGGAGACGGTCGAGGATGCTGCTTCGCTCACGAGCAACTTCGTCGCCAAAGGCAACCTTGACGGGGGAGTCTGTGGCCACCGAAGCAGGGGCATGTTGAAGGAGCTTTGAGTCGAAGTACTGAAGCGAGTCTTCGAACGAGTCGGACTTGGGTCGGGGGAGGGCGCCCTTAACAATGTTAATCTCAGCCCCGGAAGTCGCAAACTGAGACTGGAGGAAATCCATAGCATCACGAAGACCACCGGCGTTGTTTCGAGTAAAGCCCCAGAGAAGGGCCACGGTTGGAGAGCCGTCCTCAGTAACCTCATCAGGGTTCTGATGAACGGTCACCTCGACCTCATGCTGGTTCTTCAGCTTCGGAACAAGATCGTGAGCGAACTCGGGAGACTCGAGGAATTTGATCAACTCGGGGCTGCGGGCAAGGATGAGTTCGTGCTTGTCGGGGACCATTCCCAAGAACTCGTCAACGCAGTGAGGGACCTGCCACTGAGGTCCATTGACAGTCACCTCGTCGCTGGCCTGCTCGGTGCTGGGGAAGTTGATCTTGCAGTTGTACTTCTGTTCGAGTTCGTCGATCTCAGGAAGGCGAGCAATGAGCTGGCGGTGGTACAGGCGATCAACACTGACAATCTGAGAGGTGTACTCAGAGTCCTAAGAACGTTCAGTTAGGGGTCGAGTAATTGTACACCATAGGGCACACTTACAGCACGATCAACCATCTCCAGAATCTCGTTCTTGACTGCATCGAGGTTCTGGGCGTTGCGGGCGGGGGTTCGGCAAATGACGTTATCGACCTTGATATCATCATCCTCACGTCCCATGCCACCTATAGCGCATGTTAGTAGTGCGGATGAAAGCCAGCTGCCAAAACATACCTCTGTCCATGGCATTGGAAAATTTGACGAAGACGGAGTGCTTCTTCATGATTCGCTGAATGTGCTGCCCACCAATACCGATGATTCGCTTGTGGTACTGGTCAGGGACATGGAAAGAGATTGAGGCGGGCATCTCCTGTTCGACAAGGGTCAGGCCCTGCTTCATCGACTCGTAACCAGCAGCCATGACGTCAATGTTGAAGTTGTACTCGTTGAATCCGTCGAAAATGATTTGGACATTGCCTTCAAATGGGTTAGTGACGTGATAATGATAAGGCGGGGTCCTGCATACTTTGGCCCATAATCTTGTTGATCTTGCCGTTCTTCTTGCCACTGACAAACTCCTTGTGCTCATTGGCAAGCTCGATCTTGACTCGAATCTGGTACTGAGACTGAGCTACAAATTTGATCTCCGAGATGACCATCAGAGCGGACTTGACAGCGTCATCAGATCCAGTGACGGTGAAGGTCATCTTGTCGAAAGATAGGTCCGCCTCCGAGTTCGCGCAGATATCACCCAGCATGGTGCGAATATCGGCGGGGCCTGGAAGCTGTCGAGACTCAGGCTGCTGAATGTACCATCCTGCGCTGTAGAACTGGCCTGCCAGTGACATGATTTCTCGAACGGTTCGCTCCACGTGGAGACCCTCGCTGCCCTGGACTCGAACCATATTGCGCTGACTTGCCAACGGGGGGAACATGATGTAGGTTCCATTCGCTTCGAGGATTTTGCGGACCTTATCCAAGCGACCAAGGAGGATGCTATCAATCTTGGCGGCAGGAATCGTCACGTCTTTAACGTAGAGCCTAATTCGCTGGACAGTTTCGTGCAGCTTCTGCTTGGCGAGCTCAATGGCCTGAGGGGTCTCGCCAGTGATGAAGATATCGGCGGGATCACGACGAGTTGCTTTCGGCGGGCAGTAGCGGTACATCTGCGAGAACGGGGGCGGGAAGTAAATAGCAGTCCCGGTGGATGACTCGATCAACTTGATATTCTTGCGGTGGCGGCCACAAACGAGCTGGTGGCAAGACAATTCGAGTTTCGTACCATCGACAACACGACCGAGCTGGGAAGAAGTTAGGATCGTGACCAGAACGTAAAGCGTGGAAACCCCGTACCAAGGTATCAATGTGGATCAGGACTCGGGCCTTTGCGTGCTCAGACGACAAGATGTCGCCGTAGATGGCAACCCTCCATCGCTGATCCATCCGCATCTCAGCCTCACCAGTCATTCCGTCAACCATCGGGGTCAGCTTGGGGCCAAGGAGAAAGATGTCAACACCGCAGTAGCTGGAAATGTAGTCGAGGTTGTCCGTCACAGACTTCTTGAGGATTCCGCCGTTAATATCACAGACCAGTTGGCCATCGACGTCGATCGTTGTGCAGCGCTAGAAGATTGGTCAGAATGGGCGACATGGGATACGCTGACCAGGGCGGATCGAAGGACGTGCGGAACGGGACATACGAGCGAGATGGGGGTATCATTCAAAATGGTCTCTCGGCTCTTGTGGACCAGCTCTGGAGAGCCCGATAGACAGACGGTGGTGACCTGCAGTCCTTTTCCGTTCTTGGGCGTCGCGGACAGAACGTGGGCTTCGATGGGTAGCGGTCCGTTGGAGAGTTCGCGACATAACCTCCTGAGGTTGGCCAGGTTCTGGGCGTGAACGGGTAGCTCGTGGATTTCGACATCGTCCGGCGCGTCCTCGGGGTGTGTCCATCGCAGGACGGCGTCGGTGGTGGCGTGAAGGATGTCCTCGGTGTCGGGCCCGACGAGATCGGAAGCAAATGGCACGTTGAACGAGTAGTGGATAGTGGCATCGGCAGCCTGGGGTGAGCTTATGGGCTGCCCCGGTTGGGCGGCGTTCTTGGGGTGGGCATTGAGGGCATTCATAGGCATATTGGGACGGCCCATTCCGAAGTTGGGGCTCATCCTCTCCGACCAGTGACGCATGTTTGCCAGCTTATTCATGTCCTCGGTGTGGGCGACCTCGACGACGGTCGGCGGGTTGGACGATGAGGCAGAGGGGGAGGGAGAGGGAGGGAACGGAGGGGGGAGGAAAAGGATGGAGGGGGGGGAAAGGCGAGGTCGAGAGAAGCGAAGTGTCGTAAGTTGAAGCAAGAACGGAAAGGGGATGGGGGATGGGGATGGGGATGAGAGGAGCGGGGAGAAGAGCAAGAAGGATGGTGGTGAGCTCTTTCCAGGTCTGACGAGGAGGGATTGGGAAGCGGAGGCCCTCAGTCAGTCAGCAGTACGAGGTCAGGCAAGGGAAGAAGGTACCTGGAGGAGGGTTGGGAGAACAGCCAGCAGGTGTGGTCCAGTGGGTAGTGGTCCAGTGGGTGATGGATGTATTCGTACTGTATACCAGGACAGAGGAGGTACCTTCCAGGTTCTGTCCATACGTGTGGGTGGACCAGGATTGGGGACATGGATGGATAAGGACGGCAGCCACACTTTCGGGGTACTTGTTCAGCCCGTCGTCGTCCACCCACAATCCACACTGGACGGGCCAAAATACACCAAGTTCAGCTTGTTCTGTCCCTCTGCTCTTCCCATGCCCTCTCCGCTCGAATTCCCGTAGCCATGGAGCGAGACAGGAGACGGGAGAGACAGTCTCCTCATCGCTCGATCCTTCGATCCCTCGATCCCTCCCTCCGCACAATCCTCAACCCCTTCGACCAGCTTCGATTCGAAAACACAAGGCCCGCCGCCCACGCCACGCCCCCATCCAGTCCAGCCCATTCTCGCTGCGGGTGGGATGCAGTGCACGGTACTGCGCGGTGGCCCAGTGCTGTACCATGAGTGGAAGGCTGCTGGGACGGAGCCCGCTGAGCTGCGTTCCAGCGCGTTTAGTGGCAGGCTCAAGGGCTCGGGTGGATCCGCCGGGGCAGCCTCCTTCATCCGCGCCCAGTATCGTCATGCAGGCGTATGTGCGGCAGCGAACAGTCCAGTCCAGCACCACCTCTCACCTAGACTGCACGATACCGGCGCCATGTTAACCCTCTTGATTCCCTTGGGTGACGGATGCTTTAGCACGGTGGGTCCGCATGGCCGCATGGCAGCATGGCATGGGGGAAAGGACTTCCATCCCGTTCACCTGCGTCCATCTGGTCGTACGGAGAGGCCGTTCCTTGCACAGCACGACGACTAGATGCACGGAATTTCCTGTATTTGCAACACGGCAGCATACCAAGGGAACGCCTGCTGGCAAGGAATATGTCTGTGTCTGTGCTGTCAGCCAGAAAGCCTCCGGCCGGGGGTGGCACGGTGGACTACGGTACGTCGCAGTGGACCATCAGCGCCAACACCACCAGTCGACCGCCGACCACCACGCCAACCACTGCCGGAGCCAGCCAGCTTAGCCTCAGTTCTCAGTTCTCACTTCGAGGGCCCCATATTCGTACATTCGTGATCCCAATGTGAGATCAAGGCCCTGCCGGGAGCCTCACCATCCCTTCAAATCGTGTCATTTTCTTTTGTTCCTCCTTCGTTTCGATGCGTTGTCATGTCTTTGGGTGCTTTGACGGGTCTCGACTCGGAGCGCCAAAATTCCAGTATCACGAGCCAACCCGCGCCACTCCCTCCCACTCACTTCCTTTGGCCCCATGCGCGGCTCGTCGCGTGGTTCGAAGCATATTTTGTTACCTTGCGTTGCCTTTCCCAACAAGTCTCGACCTTGGGGATAACCTTTCTTCTTTCTAGCCTATCCAAGCGGAGAGTAAACGACACTTGGCCAAAGACGACGCGGTCCCTATGCGCGAGTCTGCCGACATGCTCACTCCCTGTCCAGCTCAATGCAGAAGAGCAGAGCCTGCCCTCGAGTCCCTGCAATGCCGTACTCAACGTACACCATGTCTCAGATCGGCCATTCTATTCCGACTCCCAAGCTCCGAAGGTCCAAGGTGACAAAGCCCCTTGGTGCTGCACCAGCCAACAAGCCCAGTTGACTCTTGCGCGATCCGACTGGCCCATCTAGTCCCGGCGCTGTCGCTCGGGAGCGTCTCCGCTTCCCACCAAAGGTAGGTAGTCAGTCCGTCAGTCAGTCAGTCATCAAGAGGGCCCTGGCTTATTCACGAGGTCAGTTTGGCCTTTTATACCACTTGACCATGAGCCCGCCTATAGGGGATTGCTAGCTGTCCACGAGACCGTTGCGTGTTTCCATTTTGGGAAATATTTCATCTCGTTTTTTCTTTCTCTCCCTCTCTCTTTCACCAACACCTCATGCCAGATGTTGTCCTTAGTACAATCCCCACAACCACTACCACTCCCACCACCACTACACCCATCCACTACCAACCCACATATCCACATCAACAGCTCGTTGGCGCCCTTATCAGACGGCGGCGCAACCGGTACATGCACGACCGTCAGCCGTCAAACTCCCCTGCCACAGGCTGTTTTCACAGCCGGAACTTTACCACGATTGCCGCTCAGGCCATGAAGTCCCTGATCTCCCCAATCCCTCCAACTTCTCGTTTCTCATCTGTCGACAAAACACCCCTCCCCTCACAATATATTAATGCCTGGCTTGCTGGCATCAATTCTCTCGCCACTGCTGCCTGCCCCATCCCTAGTAGTCGGGCTGTGTCGCTGAAAGCTTGCGGTCCCCCTGCTCGCTCTGGACCCGCGCCCACCGATGACCTCATTGATTGACTTCGTCCCGCTTTGCAATCGCTTCTTTGTCGTGTCTCCCCTGCGGCTCCATACCCGGTGTTTGCGGGCTCCGTCTCAGCCGGTCCAGGGTCAAGGGATAATACAAGAAGCAAGGGTTCTTGCCCAGTTTGATACGACCAGTGTACGGGCTTGTAGAATGAGGGTTGCTTCTGCCCACGCGTCCCTGTATGATCGACGTAGCTTGGTGGTCAAGAGGAGTAACTAGCCCTGGTCCTTCACAACGGCCGTGTTCTGTCGTGCCTTTGTTTGCGTTGCGTTGCCTCGGGTTCTTAATTTAGCTCCCTAATATGTTCCAACTTCACGGGTCAAACAGGACATGATAGAATGGTGGCCTAGAAGTGGTATCAAACGCCTCGGCTTACCTGCCAAGTCCCATCCAGCCCATCACACAGCCCCCAGGCGCTCGCATTCCACTGCCCCGATGCTACTATGCTCGACGAATGAACGCCGGTAAACGAGATGATCCGCGGTTAGACTATCTCCTACGACCGCTATGGAATGCCTTCGGTTTCATCCAACGTTGCAAAATGTGACATTGGAACCAGACCCCAAGACCTTCTTCATCCCTGGCCAAATAGAGACAATGCAAGTGAGAGCGGTCTCCAAGAAGTACCATGCAGTTGACACTAGCAACTAAAGAAGAGGACCTGACAGAAAACACCCAGCCAGTGTTGCAATCCGAGGGTTGAAATAAGCCACTGTCGAGGCGGTGTTGGCATGACAGAAAATTTTGACCAAAGGGCGTTCAAGATGCAAACAGCTCTGGATGTTGCCAGATAACCCATTGACGACTAGAGTTCCAGAAGTGTGGTCGGTGGTCAGTAATGGTAGGGTCAGGCCACCCACATATCGAAGCTTTCTTGTCAACGGTCCCTCTTCCAGGGTCGATCATGGTCGGCCCATCAAAGCGCTTGGTGTAGAGCAGCACAGTGTAAAGTCCCTTGAGAATTATCATTATTCATTGAGCCCGATTCTATACTTGTACTCAATCCGCTGTTGTTCCGTTTTCCTTTTCGCTTGTCCTAGTTGCGCCTCAACGATACACTTCTCTCCTTACATCGTCTGCGTACACGATCTCCTGCGTCGCCCCTCTTGGCCTCTCAATAAATGCAATCTCCTCACCTCCTCGCATCGCCTGGTCGTAATACCGCTCTACAGGCCGCATACTATACTCCTGTCGCACCACGGCTGCCTCCACCGGGCGGGAACCATAGTCTCGCATGTAAGGCTGCGCAGCCTCGCGACGGGCCTCTGGGTGGACACTCGCCGGATACTGGCGAACTGGCCCCTCGGGGCGTACGCTCTGGACCCGTGCATAGTCACGAGAGACCTCATATCGCACAGGCTCTGCTGGCCGGACGCTCGTCGCCCGGCTAATAAACTCCCTCGGTCCGTCCTCCACATGTCTCCTCTCTGGCGGCGCCATTACCTCGACAAACTCGTTGGGCGGCGCCATTGGCCGTGTTGAGTATTCCCGCTGCCGACTGTCTCTGTAATCTTGCGAGATATACTCAGGCTGTGTCACAACCCTCCTCGGCATGTACGATGGTGACGCCCTCCGATATATCGCCCCTCCTTGCTCGTACGACTCGACTCCGGTGTGTCTAGACACAGCCCTAGGTGCCGTTCGCTCGTAGATGACTTCAGGGTCTCCAGATCGCATGGGAGGAGCAACAGAATGTCGGACGACTGTGGGGCGCTGTGGCTCAATGTACTCACGTCCAAAAGCATCTACAACGATCCGAGTTGGTGGTGGGCGTGGCGGAGCTAAGAAAGCTTCACTCTCTGGCCGAACACTCATCGGGGGGGTATCGTAGGCGCCCTGGTAAGGCCATGAAGAGCGTGGGTATCCGTCACTAGGCCTCATTTGAGAGCTCAGTTGCGCTTGGTGATGGTCCGGGTGGGAAGCTGGAACAAGTGAGGGTTGCGCCATATAATATGGGACTCCGGAGACATATCGGTCGTCTGTATACTCTCTCCCATAGACTGGGCCACCAGCCCCGGCAGCGCTCGCTGCGCGTTGGGGATAGATAGCAGTCCTTTCATAGCCTACAGGAATGCGATCATCCCTCTGCAACCGGCCTGGGTAAGGCTCATAAGGAGCACTGCTGGTCTGCGGTGCTTCTAGGCCTGTTTCATCTTCTGGGCGCTGGGCGTATCTCTGGCGTTTGTTGGGGCGGATATAGGATGGAGCATTCATAGGTGATGGAGATCGGGGTTCTGGCTTGATGTACGGAGTCGCTTCGGCCTCTGGCGCTTGCCTGTCTGCCTTTCTCTTCTTCTTCTTCCCCTTCTTCTTATCCGATGCCTTCCCGCCTTGTGGTGAGCTTTCTGGGCTCGTGACCGCAGCAGGCCCACTTCTGAGCGCAGCAATTTGTGCCGGTGTCCCTGTAGATGAAATCGATACATGCTCAACGGGCGGCACAGGTCGTCTGGCAGCTGTTAATGGAGAGATGTGTGCGGTTTGAGGGGGAGGCGACCGCTCGTGCCTTCGCATGAGGGGAGAAGGGGGGTGGCTGTCAAGGTAGGAGTTACTGAGATGTTGGCGAGGAGCCGCTCTGTAGTTCACATCCAGCTGATCCACCTCCATGTTTCCGGAGTCATCAGATTGGCTTTGGCCCGTACTATTATTCTGAACCGGCCCATGTGGCACAACCCTCTCATCGACGTGGCGATTTAGCCCGGGGACCTGACCGATTTGGGGTCTATCGTCATGGGCGGCGGTTTGGGGGTAGGGCGGGTATGGTCGGTAAGCGTTCGAATCTGGTACGGCATCCGTCGTGTGATTGCGTCTAGCAGGATCAGTCCGCACGCTGGGAGGCTTTTGGGACTCGGGGGCAGCGGGAGCCCTCGCCTCCTCGGACTCGTTTCTGACGCGAGAAATTAAAACCGACTCGGGAGTATTATGCTGTGACGAGTAGAACGTGTTGTCGTCGAAGGAATCACTTGAAGTATCGTGATTAGTAGCACCCACGTTCTCATCAGCAGGAACCGGAGCCGAGCTGGCTTGGACGAGAGTCAGAGCTTTTGACAGAACATCAGAAAGGTCGAAGTCAGCAAGAGGCTCTCCCTGTGCTGTACTTTTCGTCGCTGCACGACGCTGGTCAATCTCCTCCCTCAAACCTCGCTCTAGTCGCTGCCTCTGCAATTGCAGCTCGGCCTTGATGAGATCGTCTGATTTTTCTAGTAGAATAGGGTTGATTTCAGTGTTGCCTGTGGAAAAGGGCTTGGATGCGGCTGAATTCTCAGAGCCCAAAACAGGCTGGGCTGCGCCGACAGGTACGCCTGGCTGCTGCGCATTGGCAGAAAACGAGCGCGAGTTCCCAAGCTGGCGGGCACGCGCAGTAGATTTGATCGTGCCATCTATGGGATGGACGGATGATTGCGCCGATGCAATCAGATGGGGAGGAAGTTTGAAGTGTGGGTGGTTACCAGAGAGGACGGCTTCTTGAAACCGCACAATCCTTTCGTACTGTTGAATCTCGCGGCCTTGGCGTTCCGCCAGGCCTAAGGGAACGTTCTCACCATTGGCATGCCCCTGAACAACACGACCCTGTGCCATGGCGGCAACAAGTAGCAAATGCTCGTCGCGTCACCTGGTGCTCTGGCAGAGCTCGAGCACCGAATGTTACTTGCGAGCTAGCGATACAGGAGATGGGAAAGAACGATACGCCAAACGGCGAGATCTAGATGCTTCTTTCTGCCAAATCTGTAAAGGCGTGGGTCGGGGTTGTTCAGATGGCGTTTGTGCTGGAGGCAAAGTTGATGTTTTCGTCCAAGGGAGCAGGGGATTAACACAAGCTCGAGGTGGCTTTGGGGGATAATTAGGCGGTGTGACTGGCAGAATTTCGGGGCCAGGGCCTAGAGGTGGGCACCTTACCTACCACTACCTACCAAGTTAGGTGCAGGCGATCAGTTGGGGGGTAATGAGAACGGTACGGTTCATCGTGATCAAAAACAGCTCCTCATTTCATCGATCGGACTTTCTTGAGATGGACGGCATATTTCCTTCGTCGAATATGGCTTTCGAAGAGTACGCAGAATGAAGATGTTGCTTCCTAATGCCATCATGTTTTGCGTCCCCTGACTGGAGCTGGGATTCTGGTGTGCAAGCATCGACAACCGTTTTGCAAGATATTAACCGTCCATAAAAGCCCGATATCCTCATTGATCGACTCAAGTGGATGTGACTTACAATCATTGTTGAGTGGATGGCTCTAGGATTCATGAGCACGTTGCGGGCCGTTTCTGGATAATCCGAGCTCCGATTTCCCTGCATTCGGTCTGGCCCGACTCTACACCCCGGTATGACAAGGCATACATGCAAGAGACAAAAGGGATATAAAATCCCTGTCATCGTGGCTCATCGAAATTAGCTGTAAGCGGGACGTTGCGCATACATGAAAAAGGGTTTATTTTCTTCTTGGATGTGCAGTCATGCTGGTATCAACCTGAATTGAATTTGCCGTCATCGGAGCTGGGTACATATCTGAGGTTATTATTCAGCACCCACGCCGGAGGAGTCATTGGGCGGCGTTCGCCGCCTCCCAACTCACACACCAGCAAGCTCCAACTATATCAACGTGGCAAATAACGAGATTTAGCGGTGGATCTTTTTGTCATTAAACTCTCTCAAGTATCCAATCTTCTAGTAACCGTTCAATGCACCCGCTGGGACCACGTGCATCTACATTGTCATCACTCAATCGCGCCTTCAAAGCTACCCTCCCTCCCTTCGCTCGTGTCTCGAACTTGACACCGCTCTCTCAAATCCTCAACACCACCACTCACCTCAACACCAAAACCCACACCAGGACAATCATGGGGAGCATTAATGGGCCAACCACCGGCAAGCCGGTTCTCTTCTTGTGCGTTGATGCCACCCTTTCCGGACCCGTTCTTGGCTAACCAGATCGCAGTGACATCGACAACTGCTTGTACCCAAGAAGTGAGACGACCACGCATAGCACGAAAAGTGTCACATACTAACATCTTTTTCTCAGGTACCAAAGTCCATGATTTGATGGCCAAGCTCATTGACGAGTACTTCACCAAGCACCTTGAAATTCCATTTGAGGAGGCCGTCACGCTGCACCAGGAGTACTACAAAAACTATGGGCTCGCCATCGAGGGCCTCATGCGACACCACAAGATTGACCCCCTTGACTACAACACCAAGGTGGACGATGCTCTCCCCCTGGAGGGAATTATCCAGCCCAATCCTGAGCTTCGGGCATTGCTTGAGGACATTGACAAGAGCAAGGTCACCATGTGGCTCTTCACCAATGCTTACAAGACGCATGGCAAGCGGGTAGTTCGACTTTTGGGCATCGACGATCTCTTTGACGGACTCACTTTCTGCGACTATGGACAGCAGCCATTGATCTGCAAGCCTGACCCGCGAATGTACGAGAAAGCCATGCGGGAGGCCGGCATAGAACAGCCAGAGAACTGTTTTTTCGTTGGTAAGCAGATTTTTCTGATCCCCGATTTACCCAGTCATATCTAAACATTTCCCAGATGACTCTTATCAAAACTGCGTAAACGCGAAGGAGTACGGGTGGACGGCCACCCACCTGGTGGAAGAGGGGCTCAAGGTCCCCGAGACCCCCGCATCGCAGTTCCAGATCCAACATCTGCTTGAACTCCGCGACGTCTACCCTCAATTCTTCAAATCCAAGTCCGCTTAAGCACTCCACGGGATAGAGGAGAGCGACCAGGATAATTAGACATTTACAACACCATGATTTTCTGCGCATAAATGACAATGCCGCCATGAGATGGCTGGTGTCAAACGAGACTAGATAGTTGACGGGTTTTTGGGCACGCAGTGGGAGAGATACCATTTAAACAATTTCGAATAGATAATCAGAGTCCAGGGGACTCCGTGATCCGTGAACCTTAGTCCTCGGCGGCCCATTCATTACCCAAACTCCACGCTATGCATTCCTCAATCCATTTCCACCGTCTTTCGTTCAAACAAAGATCTCCTCAAGGTCGTCGGATGCTTCGAATCACGGTATCGAGCTCGGCCAGAATCTGGTCTTTCTCCTTGATGGCCTCCTGCCGCTGGGCCTCGGCAATCTTTAGGTCATCTTCCAGTTCCTTGATATATCGCTCTTGGTCCTTTTCGCTGTTGTCCAGACCCGGAAGTGACGAGATGAGGACCTCAATCTGCTGTTCTTTGATGATGAGGTCTCGGGACAATTCGACCATGCCTGCGCGGAACTCATCCGCGGGGAGAGGATCGACTACACAATAGTAAGCGACTCTGATATACGTGGGAAATTCCAGTGTCATTCGCACCCTCTCTCTGGTTCTCCTCTTGTTTCACATCGCGGACTTTGTCGTTGGGCCCGAGGATCTCCAGATCGTGTCGCCTGTGGACGTAGTGCAAGCACGCGACAAATTGTTGCGCCAGCTGTATGAATCTGTCAGATTGCGGGTATCAAATCATCGTCGAGCACGGGAGCGTACCTGGTCGGCAGCATCCTGCAGTTGGGTCAAGCGGTCGCCCATGATGGTAGGTAGATGAAAGCTGTCGCAAACAAGGCTGACGAGCCTCGCGAATGTAAAATGGAGGCAACCCCACGAAAACGGCCAATGCTAAAGTGGCGGCCGATCCAGGGCCATCGGGGCGCCGGGACCTTGTGGTTATGCGTCACGTGGAGATAAGCGGGACTCAGATGCAGCTGGAAATTTTGGGCTGGTGCGGGAGGGAAGTGAACACCTGGCGCGACGTCAGAAGCTAATAAGGCCAGAACGCATCTCCATCTACACTCTTTCATAAAGTCCGCAGGGCAGCCCGCAACGGTCCACTTCCGCACGCCGTTTCCTCTTCTTCTTCGTCTTCTAATTTTAATCATTCTCGACACTCGTTGCGAACCTTGCGATCAAAATGGCCGCTCCTCCCCCTCAACCTGGTCAGATGCCTGGTCCAGGCCAGATCCGAATGCAGATGCCTGGAGGTCAGCGCCCAACTCCCGAGCAGATCCAAGCGATGCAGCGGCAACTGGCCATCGATGCCGAGAAAAACGGCATGAGCGTCCCGGAATTTATCGAGCACATCAAGAAGCAGGCTCAGGCTCAGCAGATGCGAATACGCCAAGCACAAGCGCAACAGCAGGCTGGCGGCCACGATCACCAACACCCGCACCCTCCCCAAGAGGGCCAAGGTCGCGCCCAGCCCATCACTCCTGGGCCCCCGAATCCAAAGGCTTTGGCCGTCGCCAACTTCCTACGAGGCCAGGAGCTCAAGCCCCGCACGTGTATCCTCAATGGCGAGCGCAAAGACATGTTCAAGGGTATGTTTGCTCCGAGTCAGAAGCTACCAGCCGCTAACGCACCATAGTCAAACGAGCTCTCCGAGCCCTGCAGTCTCCCGCGTATGAGAAGGCCCGCAAGAAGAACCCTCTTCTGCCCGAAATCACCGACCGAGCTTCCCTAGAAAACACCTTCAAGCTCCTTCCTCTGAGCATGCTCGCCCTCCGAGTCACCAAGATTGAGCCCCAGGCTGCCGCCAACGGCAAGAAGCCCAAGCGCGTCAAGGGCCAGTGGAACGTCAAGATCGAGCAGCAACAGGAGGCCAAGGAAGAAATGTACTATGCCTGGCTCTGGGAGGGCAGTCAGATCATGCGAAAGGTCTATGCTGGTCTTGCCCTTGTTGCCATCTTCGCCATTGTTCTCTACCCCCTCTGGCCTTTGGTGCTGCGCCAGGGAGTCTACTACCTGAGCTGGGGATTGCTGGGTCTCCTCGGCTTGTTCTTTTTGATGGCAATTTTCCGTGTTATCCTGTTCTGCATCACCTACTTTGTTGCGGCTCCTGGTCTTTGGCTTTTCCCCAACCTGTGGGAGGATGTCTCATTCATGGACAGCTTCAAGCCTGTTTGGGCCTGGCATGAGGTGAGCCGCTTTTTATGTTTTACTTGATACTTGAGCTAACCAAGATTAGACTGTGAAGCCCAAGAAGAAGAAGTCGAAGTCCGCGCCAACCAGTGCCAACCCCGCGCTGGCTGCGGCCACTGGCCAGGTTGCTCCCGCTCTTGCAACCACCACCGGCACTGATACTCAGGTGAATACTGCCGGGCTTGAGAAGCGCCCATATTCGGCGCCGAGGGTAGAGGAGTTGTCGGACGACGAGTAGATGGTGTGCAAAAGTCAATGTTGATGGATCAGTGGCGTTTGGGAATTGTATCAACATTTCAAGGGAGTATCTGCAGTTTAGGGATAGTAAATGGGGATAGTAAATGGGGCTGTATGTCAGCAGGTAATGCGAAAGATTGTGTTACATAACATCCGGCTCAGCCTTTGATTTTGTTATTCTGGTATCGTAAGGCTTGAGTGTGATGAAATGCATCCCTGAATGTCCTAATTAAGTTAACTCTGTACTCTAGATAAGCTTACTTCTCTGCCAGTTAGTACAACCCTTAATGGTAGAACAAGTGCTCCAGCGATGTAGCCATTGAGGCAAGCCGTGGGGAACAACAATGGCTCTATGAGAACAACCACCCACATGCACGCATCAAGGGCCGGTTGATGTCATATCACGTCGATTCTTTCGAGATCTAGAAAAAGCAACCCGCAGCTCCTCGCAAGCCAGAACCCATCATCAGAACAGCAGCAAAATCGAGTCGCCTCGCTCCCCTTCCGCCTAACTTTTTTTGTGAAGAGTCTAGATATCGAAAACAAATGGAACACGGCTCGTGACGAGCAGCCCTCGCCGGAATGACCCCTTACACCCGCGGGGGAGCCACTCATTGCAATTGCTTGTAGAAAAAGGTGCCGTCTTTCAGCTCCCTCGCCGGACTCAAGCCGTAATTTGGGATCCGGCCTAGCTCCACGTATCCGAATTTCTTAAACACTTCCTCTGCTGCACTACCGGATTCGGTATCAAGGAGCTACACATTGCGAGGACTCATGTCAGCGAACCACTTCAAATAGAATAAATCAAGCTGGAATTGAGCGTCTGTGACTCACCAACATGGACCTCCCGCGCTTGACTGCCTCGATTTCGAGAGAGCCAAGGAGGGCCCTGGCACCACCCCTACCCCGGAAGTTTTTGTGAACAAGGAGCTTCTCGACAAAGCCACGAAAGGGCCCCGTCTCGGAGTAGGGCATGGAGAGCATCACAACGCCCATAACCTCACCACCCTTGGCGCGGGTCCCAGGCTCAGACTCGTTGAGCAGGATGAAGATCAGCCGCTTGCCATCGTTGACCTCGGCAATGCGCTCCTTCCACCAGGCGAGAAGCTTCTCGTGGGACAGGGGTGGCAGAAAAGTGGCGATTGTGCGGTCGTGGGTGATGCAGGAGGCGTGGATGGCGGCGAGGTAGGGGATGAGGTGGCCATGCTGGGCCGGGGAAAAGAGAGCCACGGTTCCCGAGTCGGACATGATGAGGCTTTTGGTGAGAAGCGAGATAGAGAGGTGAATGAATTGACGGGTTTGCTCCACAAGATCTGCTATGAATAGACCCAACTGTCGGCGATTGCCAGAGTCTGTCAGCGCTGCGTGTGCTTGTGCCTCTGCCACGGTCTGACAAAGCGGCTAAGAGCTGGCGCGGGAGTCTGCTCTCAGTCAGTGACAGGTCACGGTGCGTAGGTGCGTGTCCCGGCCGCGGCATACGTGTAGAGTAGAGGATGCGGAAGCCGCTGTGATGAGGGGATATTGACTCTGGGCGAGCTGGTAGCCCAATGTCGGGATAACGGTACCAGGCTCGAGTCAATTGCGAGACACAGGTTCACTGAGCGAGCCGGAGCAGGTCATGTGCGAGTGAGCAATTCTCGAGAGGGATCCGGGAGTCAATCAATCACGGCCGGGGAGCAATGGTGACGTCGAGAGATGATTCATTCGATATCGACGATAAGTGAGAAGAAGCCGCGCCGTCGATCTGGCATTTGTCGGCCGTGATCCAATTCTTATGCATGCGTCTCCCCAGAAAAAGTGCCCTGTAACTGCAAGCCTGAAGCCAGCCCGCTGACCCGGGTGCCGGTAACCTGAAGGCCTAAGTGGGCGCTAGGCCGACCTGCTGTACCTGCGCTACCGCCGCTACAAGCCTAAGGTACTGGACATCCGGGACCTCCTTCAGACGGGAGCTAGGTATCTCCCCAATCAGCTCATGATGGCCAGCAACCGTGGCTGCGCTTTTGCCACAAGGCGAGTACGAGAGAAGGAAAATGGCGCATCTGCTCTGGTGGCTTGATGTACCATAGGAGGTGGTTTCGCAACGGCCGTCGGCAGAAACATGTCACTCCCGCCCCAGTCAACTCCAGCGGGCGGACGGGTAAGCTGGCTAGACCATGGCACTCGAAGACCGCGGAAACAAATATTGACTAAGCCGAGGGAACATGCGGTGTGTTTCCAATTTGTTGGGGTTTTTTGGCTTTTTTTATACCTTTTTTTCTTTCTTTTCTAACTTGGAGTAATACTTGACTTCCACACCTCCGCCCAGGTCCATCAACGCAGCCTTCTCTCACTGAATATAATAAAGTCAATGCAAATGTCTCCGTCGCGCCCTCGTTGTTACTTCCTCTATCCGTGATCGTATAGTTGGTCCGTCATCACTTGACTTGCCCTTCGAGGCAGCTGCTAGCTTACAGCGTCTTTTATCTGGTGTTGTGTAAGGAAGTGGGCTCGGAGGTCTGTAAGAAAGACCTGCAACTCCGTCCACGACTTTCCACTGCACTTGGGGGTTTTTAGTGGCAGCCGCCCCCAACCGCTGCCGGATGTGTGAAACGGGGTCGCTTCTTGGTCGCTGCAAAGTCGAGTCGTAGATGGAACTTCTAGTTCAGGGTTGGAGGATGTAGTAGCGGTCTCGCTGGTGGTTCGCAGTAAACTCGTAGCTTCCGATGGGACCAAGCGAGTGTTGCCCTTGACCATGGTCGTCTGCCTCAACGGTCCGCTTTACGCACCGGCTTGGAGAGATCATATTATCATCGTCGTCACCCAGCATCAGGTCACAGCCGAGAATGGTCAATGCGACCCTCTGGCTCGTATGGCCGGGGGCCTTTCAGGAACGTCTTGGGAGAAAGAACAGCTCCAACAGCTCTAACAGCCACGCCCTGTTCCGGCCAATCTTCTTGACCTTTGCTTCGTCTTTTTTATTGGTCGTATTACTTGTGACCGCATTTCGAAGGGCTTCGAGCCTGCTATGTTGCTTGCGGCAGAAGACCTTAGGTTCTTGTCGTGGGCCGTAATAGAGGCGGCCACGCAACCTAGCGGCGCTAGGTTGACCCGGTCCAGGTTGCTAAGCCAGACCAATTGGGCCTCGGCTTCAGCTGGGTTCTTGAAGTGTTGCACTCGTTCCAGTGCTGATAGGATGTTCTTATTGAGCTTGAGAAATAAAGTTGATTTGTTGTGATGTGGTTCTTGGTTGCATATGCAATGGCTGCAGGGCTCGCTAGGTCAGCCGAGCCGACCAGGGTTCTCGCCACTGCCATCGTTGCTTCCTGGTAGGAAAGGTGATGTGAGAAGGAGGGAAAGAGTCAGGGCTCGACTTCTTAGGCCAACTACTTATATATTAATACAGGTTTAACTTTTCCAAGCTGCAAAGCTTGATGTTTGGTCATCGTGGAAGCGTTGGGTAGGAAATACTTGAATTGTGGAAAACCCTGGGTTTTTGTTTATCTTGTGCCGGCAACTTGCTCACCTTGAGGGAGCAGACAAGAGACAGAGCGTTGCCTGTGATGATTATGGAGTCGAGATTATGGCGTTGTTAGTGATGCCCTCCTGGTTCTTCAATGTAGAGGACCATGTCGGGAGTAAGCGCGGTGTCGTTGTTGTTGACCATCGTCTTGTTCGGTTGGGTTTGGAATGTGTCGAGGTCTGAATTGCTCTGGCTCGCCACGGTCAGGAGACGACCTTATATATCTGAGCCTCAGAACAAGGTTTGCAAAGATCAGGGCGGTACAGCAGACAGAAACGCCCAAAAAGGGTTGTGGAAAACATTTTCTAGCCACGTGGTTACGTAAAGAAACTCGGAATGGCCTTGATAGAATGGCATTGATCCCCTAATTGCTATGAAGGTTCTGGTGCAGACCCAGTGGCAGCTCTTTGATTAGACAACCGGGTGGTTTACAAAGCCAAAAGTATATCTCGGTGATGCACAAGGTATCTCAATAGCCTCAAGGTCAAGTGGGCGTCGTGCCGGGCGTCGTGTTACTCCGGAACAACGGGCGGATGAGATCCATCAAGGTCCCAGTAGACAATATCGACCCGCTCAGCTGCGCTTGAACAGCCAAGGTACGAATTAAGCGCTAAAATTGAATTTACCAAAAGGCATCTCCATACTAGGGCCCGTTTATAGTCGCCAGCACCCCTAAATGATAAATATTGGTTGTTTCCCAATAATTCTCTTTCGGGACCTCCTGACAGATACCAGCTGGGCCAGTACCAGCCTCACACCGGTCGGGTTTAGACTGAGTGTTAGTTTCATTAATAAATTTGGGCAAGGAGTCTCGTATCAACGGAACCGGATAGGCCGTTTTCATTCCTGCTGTACTAGCACCACATGTTATCCGAACATCAGATCAGGCGAATAAAGTGGCGATGCTGCGTGTCAACGCCTAACTGCGCATTGCCAAGGAGCAACCATAACTCCAGTCCGTCATTGGATATGGGCGACTTGGATATCTACGTAACTATCGAGAACGCGGTGTTCCACTAGCGAAATTACTCCTGGGTTGGGGTGGCTCTTGAGCAATGAGCCTGCTCCTGTTAATCCGGATTGTGGCTTCGTCACCCGGACTTGTCGATGATTGCTTTTGTTTTCCGACGGTTGTGGCACGTACCATACTTATCCGGTTTCTACTAATCGGTCGCAGTGTGCGATCAAAACACGGTCATTTCCGTTCATTTTACTTTTTTGGTGATACTCATTAACTTACAATCCAATCACGAGGACACCTTGAGGTGACTAAGTGCTGTCCACTCAAAATCATCCCGACTTCCTTGTACTTGTTCGTCGTGCTTATATGTCCATTAGGTACCTAGACAGGCTTAAGTGGACAGACTTGGGTGGACAGACTTAGGTGGACATACTCAGGCTCCGATACTACGTACAAAGTCCACTCCCGTCTCCGGATCCAAAGTCCCGATCGCGAATCGGGTCTCGGTAGGGCATCGGAGAATAATGCAAATGCTACAGCCCCCCCCCCGGGCCATTACTCAGTAGCCCGGCCATATGATTGTGGCATGTCATGTTAGTGCAGGAACTCCAGGCATGCGCATGAACGTGGAGCGCTGCGCACTCAGCCCGCGCAGAACCTGTACAGAGCCCTGGTATCACAAACACGGCACGAGGCTCCGTTTCCCTCGTGGGCTGCTCTCACTTTCATTTCTGTTCCATCCCGTTTTCCATCCTGCTCCAACCGTTCCCGCCGTCACACCTCCATGCCCACGCCTTCTCTGCCGTTGCTGCTTCGAGCATGGCCACGTGGGACGCTCCCAAAGTCGCCAGCCATTGACGCCAAATGTCTCCCTGATCCCGCCCCCAGAAACCAACCTCTCACCACCTATCGGACACATTCACCATTAATTGTCGATCCATGCCAAAAACAAAATGGAAATTAAATCATATATGAATCGCATTATACATTCGGTTGTGGTATATTGCCATGTTCCCAAAACACCTTTGCTATTCGCCCAACTCGCTTTGGGCTTCCCTGTTCATATATCAACCCCTTTGCGCCCACGGACATCTCCTACCACCTCTGTTCTCCTTCTTTTCATCCTCGTCTCTTTCTTGTCTCGCATTACCCATTTGCCGTGGCGTCTCTTGTCCTGTTGCATCCATCTTCTCGTTCACCACTCCCCACCATATCATCCATCAGAGGGCATTGCCCACGCCGCATTTGGCCCTCGCTCAACAATTATGCCCACCACGCGCGCTGCCAACTTGGGCATCTGATCGGCGCCAAGCCACATATTATCGTACAGATCCAGTCATTTTAGTCGATTCGGATCCATCTATCCTGCCCACCCGGCCCTTAAAAGCAGCATCCACGGCCACATCCTCGACCAACGCCATCGGCTGAAATGCCCAAAACCATCCTCCCCGGCAGCAAACTTCTCAGTCGCTGCCCTTTGTCCCACAAAAGGATGACATATAATATGCGATGCCTCCCCAAAGAGGGTTATTATACAAGCATTATCGTTAGAAAAGACGCGCAATTCAGCGTACGACCACAAAAGATGGACGAATCAAGTGCTTGTTCCCGATAGAAGCAGGTTTTTGTCGTGTTTAGAGTGTGGGGTTGTCGTCATTTGCCCCGTTACTGGATAGAGAGCCCAGAAATCGGACGATCGCGGTACTATCGTGGCCGTCCTGACGCGTCTGGCTTCTCAATCAGCCCTCCGATATCGACTCTGCCCGGGCGTTCCTCCCGAGACCAGGCCCGCTCTCCAGGATGCTCAGCGTGATCCTGCTGTGCTCGAATCGGGGGTAGTTGGAATGACGGTTGAGGTCGAGGGCGAATCGTCGTCGTCAATTCGCTTCGGGGGATGTGATACGACGTCGGTCCCGGGTATTCTTGACGACTCGGCGACGCAGCATACGACGGTGCTCCGGCCCCCATCCCCGGGTTTGGGTTTGGCGGCAGTTGCCCAGATGAACCTGGAGGCGGCCGAGATCCGAGAGGGCCCTCGTTGAACCGCTGACGCGCAGGATCGAACGTTGCAGAGACGGGGGCACGTTGGCCGTAGGTCGCCTGGGGTGTCTGCGGCTGCGGGTTGTACCCTTGAGCGTAAAGGGGCGAGGGCGCCTGTGGGTAGGAGTGTCGTGCAGTGTGGCTCAACACCATCACCACAAAATAGATGGACCCTTCCTTCGCAAGACCCAAGCGCACTGGATATTGCCTAGCCTGTCCATCAAACGTTCGAAAAGTCAGATACTCCTGACGCTCCAGTTGGAACCGCCCGATTTCCTCCGCGCTGAACCCAAGTCCCTGTATTATGTGGTCGAGCCTGGCTAGGATTGGAGGTAGGTAGTTCGGCTCTTTTCTCGTTTGCTCCTCCAGGAGCTGGCTTCGAATTGCCAAGACCCTGTCTCGTTCCGTCGGCACCACAACGTCGCCTAAATTTCGTCCCTGGATATTGGCGCCGCCTATGGCATCCGCAAACACTGGCGACACTTTGGCAAACTCCATCTTCATGTTCAAGAAGGCCACGGGCTCTGGTACCCGAGCTGCAATCGAGGGTACCGCATACGCATTTGCATCCGCGCCCGGGGCCCGTTCAAGGTATCTGGGTGGTATCGGCTCCCTTACTCGGCACATTAGCATCTAACAAAACGACAAGTCCAGACTGAGTCCTTACCCTGAGCCCATTGCACCACCAGATGGGTATATACTCAACGGTCGTCTCGCAGCTGCGTCTTGAGGGTGTGGGAACCGTGACGGGTCATATCGTGTATCTCGGTCGTCTCTCAGGCGCGGTCGTCCTCGTTTCTTATGTTGTACATCGACACAAGAGTCTTCCTTGCCGTTTGTGATGCATCTCGAGCAAGGTCGTTGCGCTACAATGAGAATTAGCACCAATATCCAGATACGAAGTCATCAGCAGTTCCGAGTCGTGGCAATTGCCGTGCAGGCATGTTAACAGGCACAACAACTAGCCCTTGAAGCCAGGCTCTTTCTTTTCGAGCGCAAGTCTTCCAAGGCCATATTCTCGACCAGCTCTTTAGTTGCAGTCGACGGACCTGTTGCCCATCACGTCCGAGTCGAGGTTTCAGGTCCGAAACAGGCTCCTCGACAAGTTGCACCCTTTACAGGGTAGTGGCGCTGCCCCTACCCCCCTAGAGTTATCGACATTGGTGAACCCCTGCTTTCCCAGACAAATCGGGTCGGGCTGGAGACGCTGCCGCCCTGTCGATTTGCCGCAGGACTCGGGCATTGTGCGCGATGCATGGAAAGAAATCGAGGGGCAAGAATGTCATCTGGAATACGTACCGTCACATCTATCATCTGGTCAGCAACTGTGCACAGGATGTCCATTCCTACAGGAGTTCTTACCGGAGATGGGCCCGCTTGCATGGAACACAGGCGGAGGCCACATGGCCCTTAGTCTTCCTTTGGGATTTGGGAGAAGTCATTTGCTGGCTCTCCGCAACTAGTGGCCGGCTGGGCACAGGATACGGTGCTGGCGCACTGGGGCCGGCTGTAGGCAGATAGCCAGGTTGTTGGGGCATGCCCAGAACTCCGGGTTGAGGATACTGGCCTGGCCTGGTTAGGGGCTCCTCCGGCCGGCGGTATGGGTAGGGCATTGACTCCTGTTGTTCTTGCTGGAATAACCTGGGTAGCGATGGAGGCATGCTGGGTGGTCCTCGGGGATCGATTGGAGACTGCTGGTTCGGAGTTCCGCGGTAGCCATCTTGGGGATTGACAGTTGGATAGCCACCCGGGGCTTGACCACGTTCGCCGGCCCCTTGAAATGGCTTCGTGGGAAGAGGCGGAGACCCTGACATGGGCGGCGAGGGGTATGCCCGAGACCGGGCAGAGTCGTCCAACTCTGCTCTCTTGGGTGCCCAGGTCAGGTCTAAGGCGATTCGCGCCAGGTCTGAGACTCCTCGGCGCTGGCCGAGCGGAACAGGCGGTTCGTCGACGAGAAGACTTCTGGGGAGCATGGGGGGAGCGATTGTACTGGTTCAGTTGGCCGGACGGAGAGGCGTCCGTATGCTCGATCCCACAATCACCGAGTCCCCTAGGCCTAGTGCCAGAGGGTGGTCTCGGTATGGAGATTTCAACACGTCGTCAAGACTTCCTTCGCTGTTAGCATCCCCTTCCACACAGCACGAGCAGCAACCAGAGTTGGCACAGTTGCCCTTGGTGGGAAGCCGGTCTGTCGAAGACGCAATCGTCGAGTGGCGAGTAGCTTCGTCCAGCCCAGGAGCGAACAGGCTAACTAGGTCCCTGTGTTAGGAGGTTGTCGAGGTCGACTTGGGGATGGCTAGGATAGTTGCCCCGCGCAGGTTTATCGGCACCGAAGCGTTGCCAGATAGGAAAGACTGCCTAACAGGTGGGTGTTGAGAAGGTGTCAACAACGTCAAGCCGTGGCTGCGAGACTGCGAGTTAAGTGTCGACGACAGCGACAGACGAAGGTGAGTCTCTGTGGGACGAGATGCTGCACTGTGATACTAGGAAGATGGATCTTGGGGCGTCCTGGTAATACAGCATGAAGCCGTGCTGGTGGGATGTCGAGAAGTGTTCGGGCCACTACAGAGATGCCCAGGGACCAGGACCTGCGAAGCGGACTCGGAGGACGTTGGTCGTGATGGGGGAATTCGTCGGGCCCTTCCTGGCCGGCAAGTCGCAAGCACAAAAGGCGGATTGTGGACGGAAGCTAGATGGTGGCTCGCGGTCGGTTTTTGTGTGACTATCGGGCTACTGGAGAGGGGCGGCGCAATTGAGATGCAGCCGGGGGTGGTTCAGGGTTGGCAACAGGGCATCGGGGACGACCCTTGTTCGGATTTTAGAGTGGCTGCTAATCAAGGATTCCGGTAGAGGGTTATGCCATGACGATCCCCAGTCAACGGGCCATAACTGACGAGAATTCTCCGCGTGTCTTGGGGCCCAAGGCGTTTTGCCTGTGTTAGTCTTGCAGGTGCAATAAGACACCACGGGCGGCAATGATTGGGGGCGTGGTGGAGGTGAACGGGCCCGGCGAGCAGGAGGGAGAGGGGCAGTGTCTCGTCTCGTGTGGGAGTTATCTACTACGAGGACTGAGAATGTCTCATGTGATGCCGTCGTCTTGTTCGCGGCGAGTCGTGGCCGAAGCAGCAACGGCCGGTTGACGCAACTGGATGGAAAAGGGGAGTGTCAAGATGATGGGCAGAATGAGACGGACGAACGCCGACTGGCTGGGGATGAGAGTCGGCAGGCCCGAAAAGATGGGATGACAGCAAGCGAGACAACGGCAGGTAGGAGAACTAGCAGCAAATGGAGAAGGAGCAGTAGCAGCAGCAGTAGTAGCAGCAGCAGCAGCAGCAGCAGCCAGTAGTTAACTAGACAGGGCAGGCCCCAAACGCAGGCTCAGAAGAGCGGAGGATGCAGGTTGCTGCTTCCTTGGTCAGTAGTTGGCGGGCAGGTATTGAGGTACCTACGTAGTCGGACGTAGTAAGTGGTGGAGGTGGAGGTGGAGGAGGTTTGTGGTGGTGGTGGTGGTTGTGCTGGGGGTGACGGGGGGCGTGTGGTCAGCGACGAGACGAGACGAAGCCAGCTAACCAAGCAGCTAGTGTCAAGTTACCCGCAACCCTGCAGTATCAAGGACGAGACGACGATGATGATGAAGAAGAAGGCACATGATGGGGAAAGGGAGGAAGTGGGGGGAGGGTTGGCAGGGGGGCGTGGATGAACGACACAAGACACGAGAAGCTCCAGACGGGAGATGGAAGATGGAGGCAGAGCCAAAGACAATGCGCAAACTAGAGCTGGAGCATGGGCCAGGTGCCAAACCAAGAGCGTGGTGGTGATGATGGACGATGGACAGACACAGACACCGGGCCAGCCACGGAGAGGTCTCGCACGGCATGGCAGCCGGCGCGCGCGTGGCATGGAGCCTTAGCCTCAAGAGGGAAGAAACCGCCCGTCAAGGGGTTCATCTCTCTGTTCTAGATTTTGCCTAAGACATTCAAGGCAGTCAAGACAGTCAAAACGATCAAATAAGCCAGCCAAGCCGGGCCAGCCAGCCAGACAAGCCCAGTGAGTTAGTAGGGCTGTTTCGCGTCTTGGTGCTTGGTGCCGTCATGACCGGGACGACCAAGATCGGCGAGAGCGTGCAGCACCCAACAGCCGGAGCTTGAGATTTGGACGACGCCTCAAACCCTAGCAACCTAACTTAGTTGGAAGAGAGGATCGTGTCCCTAACATAGTACCTAGCTGGGAACTGGGAAGCCCTTGGTCCCAGCTAGGCCGGGGCCTCGAAAGCCTGCTGAACTGGTGCAAGAGGAAGGGTGTGCCCGTTGAGTTCCGGGGTGTGGGTGTCCAGACATCTACATCGAGCATGGGCTCCCAGCGCCAGCGCCGAGTGTGCAGCGTGGGCGTTGGCCTTGGCATGGCACTGGCGTGGTCCTGGAAGTGGGCATTTTTGGCGTTAGGGAGCGGGCTCTTGGAGCGGCCACGGTGGAGTCTCTAGTCCCCCTTTTGGCTCTGCGGCTGGGTCCCTGGTTCTTGCGGCATGCGCCGTGTCGGTCGGTCGGTCGGTCGGTGATCGACTATGAATTGACCATCGTTTGGGAGTGGGAGCGGGAAGGGGCCAGAGAGGACTGCAATTCAACTACCACGTAGCAGAAGGTCACTGAAGAAGACGGAGAAATCATGGGACGAAAAAGCGGGGGCACCTAGACGCCCTGGTGCCCGGGGTACGTCTGGCCCAGGACCGGGACCGGGGGGGGGCTGGGATATTCGAGGGCGGATGATGCAAGAGAAGATGGTTGAGAATTGATTGAAGAAGGGATGGTCCGTGACTGTGGACCGTTGAACTACCAGTTGTGGACGCTGAGATGGGATGAATGGGACAAGGGAAAATGCTGGCCGAAAATGTTGGCAGCGGAAGAGAGACAGGGCTCCATGCAGGGCTCCAGGGCTGGACTCCAGGGCCCCAGGGCTCCAGGGCTCAAGGACTTGCAGCTCACCTTCCCGTCCTTGGACAGATACATGCCTTAGCCCGCCTCTGCGGCAGGTACCTCGTAGTTGGGTTTAGGCTCGTTGGCTGGCGCGTGGTGATGGGCTCAGGCTTGCTATGGAGGGTGCCCGGCCGGCAACGTCCAACACCACCGCGCTTCCTCCCTCCCTATACCCCGGAGCTCGGGTATGAGCATGGTGAGCCTGCCGGTGGGCGACTTGGCGACTTGCGGCAGGGTTGAGACATGGGATGGGTCTGGTGGACCAGGAGTCCATGATGATGAAGATGAGGATGGTGATGGTGATGATTGATACCGATGCTTGATCGAAACCCTGAGTACGGCCATCGGGACTCGCTTTCTATTTCGCCCTCAGAGTACATTATTACAGCACCAGTGAATTCCCCTTCCAACACCCACACAATTGTCCAATACCTCTCAGCTACGACCCTACCAGGGAGCCCGGGCACCTTGTCGAGACTCAGTTGGTTGTTGCCACTCAAAAAGACGCTGTCCGTCCCATCGCCAGCTTCCCATCGTTTGGGATATTAGGTTACAGATGCAGGTGGTGGCTAATGAACCGTCAGGAGCCTCCTCCTTGCAGACGGGTGATACAACCTGGGAAACTAATGTACGATGCCGCAAGATCTGGTCCCAGGGTAAGGGAGGTAGGTATAGGGGTACTACATGCCTGGTCCCTCGTCCCTCGATCAGTCCCTCCGTGCCTCAGTGCCCCGATCAGACCGACCCAGACCTTTCTTGTCTCGAGGCTCGACTCGGCAGCACACGACATGCGGCACAACATGCAGCATCGGCTCCCACCTCTTGGGGCCGCCGCTTCCCTGCAAGCAGCTCAGGCGTACAGAATGGGCCCGGCCGGGGCCATCCATGGCTTGCGCTGGCGGCGAGAATCTGCGAGTCCCAGGGTCCAAGAACCCACCCTCAGAAGAAGGAAAAAGAACCCTCATCCTGGATGGCCATCTTGGCGGGCCTGGCGCCGGGTGCAGTGCTCGTGTCCGGAGGTGAAGCACCGTTCCGTGACCGTCCCGTGGCGATGAACGACTCGCCGTAACACAGCATCACACCCAATTCTGTCTTCCATTACGGTCCGGCCTTATGCTTGACACAACGACGCGTGCGCGGCCCCAAGCTTGAGCCACCCCGGCAAATACGTTCGTTGACGCTCCCCCCTTAAAAAGCCCCTAGGCTTGACCTCGCTCGCGTTGCGAAAACCCTCCCGTGGACGCTGACGCCGCTGTGAATAGCGCCCGGCTTCTGGCTGGCTCGGGCTGGTTGGAGTGGTTGGCGTGGTTGGCGTGGTTGGCCATCCCGGCTGGGCGTCACCCTAGCGTCCCCCGGGCGCAGTGGGTTGTGGGCCGTTTCCCCGCTGGGCGGCTGTCACTGCAAGGTGCTGAGTAGCCTGGCTCTCGCTTAGCCTGTGGCCGGACTTACTGTTGGCAGGCCACTGTCACGATGGCGACATGGGCGAATGAAAAATACGAAAACGGCGGAGAAAGATGGAGGGCTCCCAGATGTGAATATCTCCGCTGAGGATGTGCTTGGCGTTAGTTCCGAATTCCGTCCGACCCGTTGATCGTTGATGTGATGAAGGGATGTCATTTGTTCGGGGGTCCCGAGTACCGCACCTGCCATTGTCGGGGTCTTTCTTCCTCGGCGCGCCCTAGGTGGGAGGTGGGGGGGTTGCCTCGTCCTAAACCTCAAGTTCCTCCAACCCGAATTATCCATGCTACCTTATTCCGAAATGCTAGGTCAGTAATCGCCAACTTATCAACCTCCTTGCGCCGCGCACATGATCAACCGCACGGGTCTCAGAGGTGAAAATTAGTGCTCCAGAACACTGCATTTCCAGAAGGGGCAAATATGGCCCGTTGGGAGGTCGTCCCTAAAGAACGGGCCTTGTCAACCTAGCGCCATAGTGCCGCAGTGCCGTCTGCTAACCATGCTAGCCATGCTAACTAATATTCAGACCACAGCCACTCCGAATCCCATCCTCTCCGCCCGATCGAGTCCCAGAGACTCCGTAATCAGCCAAGGGAGGACGGGCCAGATCGCATGGCTGATGCAACAGTGCCATCCCGGGACGAGACCTCGACACATGGGTCCCAAGAATTCCCCATCCTCCCCCCCCTAACTTCATCTCATCGACACGGCCCATGGCTGCTCTCAACAACCGCCCACCTGGCGGCCGGGATATGTGCCATCAGACTACCCAATACTACCGTGAACTAGGGTGATCCTCGACTTGCGTCTAAGTTGCTCGGCCTGGTTCTTTGGGCGCCTTGGACGTCATCACCGATCCCCTCGTCCAGTTCCTATCCAGGATCAGCCTGTCCCATGTAACCGCCCCCAGCCTTACCCTTCATCCTTGTCCCTGTCGATGGATTCAAACACATTATCGTGATTGATGACCTCGCTATCGTTACTTTTTTTTTTTTTTTTTTTAAAGAAGTGTACCTCTTTACTTTCTTCTACAGCCCTGTTAGAGGTGTGAAAATATTCGTACCTTTCAATCCGAGAATGCCATGATGTATTCTGCCCATGAGAGCGCCGACTTCACGATCCCGGATCAGCCGCTGGCTCTGCTACGCTACCCTGTCTTTTGGGCGGCCGCTTGTCTATCCCCCACCGGGCCAAGCGCCCTCCAGCCTTGCAAGTCCGAGGGCGATGAAACGGCCACTTGCGTATCGTCGACACACGGACGAGCCCGGCCCAGCCCACAATGAGGTCCTTGCCCCCCCGTTAATGATCGTCACTCGGGGGTGGTAGCATGCCGTCTCCCTTCCGTAATCTCAAAGGCTCGGCGCCGACTCCGGTGTCTGAGGTTCCGAGCCTTCGAGTGTCTGGCATCTGATCCCGATGAATGCTAATCTAGCATACCCGAGAAAAACATGGGCGTCGGCGTATTTGGTTTTGTTCAACGCCTCTTTCATTTTCCCATCTCAACGTTGAGCGCTTAGTTCTACCGGCTTGGGCTCTCTGGGGACTTGGTGGCGTCCTCGGTCAGCCATGTCCGAGTCCACATCGTCACCATGGTGAACCAAGGAAATGCCAGGCTTTCTAATAAAGGCTTTTGGACCGTGTCTATCGAAACCTACTATGTACAGATCAGTCGCGACCGTTAGCTAGCCCCAGCTCTAACCCGATGGCTAAATATCCCGAGCCGGTGCGCGGGTCGCCCGATGTCCCTTGCTTCAGCTCCTGGACGCTCCAGAACCTTGGGAACCTTATTAACGAAAGGTACTGTAACTGTACCATTTACCGCCCCGCCTTGCCCGCCTTGCCCGCCTTGCCCGCCTGCTTTCTGGAAAATGGGTGAACCGCGCAAATGAGCTGATAGGCAATGGATGATTGCGACCCTAGGCCAGACAGATGGGATGGATCATGGGATGAAAGGAAGCTCCTAGTGGTGCCCAGACACACCTCGCCCTCCACCGTGGGACACCCCTCCGGCCAGAATGCTACCTCACACATTTTGGATTCTGCACGCGACCTGTGGAATCGGCCAATCGAGGATTCTTGGTGGTGGTTTACCACGTATCTACAGAGTATCTACACAGCATCTCTCTCTTACTGGACACCTCGGCAAGCCTACAAGTGAATTGCCAAACATGTCGTCGCAGCATGCATGCACCGCAGAAAGGGTCGGGCCATGATATCACGCAGGATGAGACATCCCGTGCACAAAAGGGCTGGAGATGCGGTTCTCGCTAGGTCTAGATTGACTGCCTGGCGTGATCAATCGATGCACATACACACGCTTGGCCCTTCGTGATGAGTTGCATCCAGACCCTCACACCCCAACACCCCACGCTCGCTCTAGGATTAATGGGCCTAATTACCGGTGCGTGCCGTACCACGGGGGGTTTTTTTACGGTCGCCGGAGGCTGGTATCCCGGGTTCTGCGGCGTTCCTTGCTCATCTCATCTAGCATTCAGGTCCATGCATCCTCCGACTCGCGGAGGGGCCTGAGCCTCGAGATCTGGGCGCATCACCGGGCTCTTCGGCTGACATCTCGAATTCGAACGACGTGGTCGAAGCCTGCAGACTGCAGACACGCACACCTAGGCACCGCACCGCCCACGCACCCCCTGGCAACAAGCCACAGTTCTTGGACCCGGTCTGAGCTTCCACTGACGGGCAGGTCTGGATGCGCCTCGACGCCCGTTACTTGCTTCTTCGGTTCTATGGCCCCAATGGACCACCAAAGGCCCTTAGCTTGCAGAGCCGTTGAACCAAGGTAGTCATAGCACGCCACGGCACTGCACGTAGATCAAGCCCTCGAACCCATCCCGCCTGTCAAGCGTCTTCACCCACCTGAGACACACACAGAAATGATGCCACAGCCATGAGGAAGACACGCGCTCCAGGCTCCCCACCACAACACCTCTTCTCCCTGCGCTTCCGAACTTCCCTCTACGCCATCACCCGCTCCCACCACACCGAGTGACCCCTGTCAATCTGCCCTCACCCCCGGTGGCCCAGCCCTTGCCCCGGCTTTGGCGTGGCCAATGTCAGCCAACTTTAATTAACGACGTCCCCATCGTGGCACATGGCCGTGGCGGTTGGCTAAACCGGCCTAGTGTCATCGCTGCTCAACGCCATTCCTCGGGATCCTGGCTGTCCGTGTGCATTGAGTCAGGTGCCCGTCGAAAAGACTGATCGCCCAGGGCAAAGGTTGAATTGGGACGTTTCAGATTTGTTATGTAGATCCATGGGCTAGAGAGCCCTTGCATGATACGTGAGCAGATCCGCCGCCAATTGACTAGCTGTCCGTTCAGCTCTCCTCATTCCCTAGTGATATAGGGAAACTTGAGGCGTCAAACACATACCTATTGCACCCAGTAGACGGCGTAGGGCTGCGATACTACTAGGGATGCCGGTGAGGATTGTGGGCACATGGCTTAGGACGAAGCCAGGACCCTACGAAGAATTCTTGAAGACTAAAGTGCAAGTCCCGTAGACCTCGACGGATTCTTACGGGCTGAGCCTTGGATAATAGTACGTACATTAAGACGGCTGAGGTGGCAAACGCCTCGGCTCCAGTTGGACGGTTCAGAGTGGGTATCAGCACCAAGCCTCGCCGCTAGTGCGGTGGCTGTCATATTTTCCAGACGCTACAACGTCAACATATTTCGCATCGTGAAAGTTGAAGAACGAAGTACAGAATCAATCTCAGTCAGACTGACTCAATCTCAGCCAGATTTTTTGGGGGGATTTTTGAAAAAAAAGAAAGAAAAAATTACACGATGAGCCAGCGCCTTCCGAGCCATGAATCAACGGCGATACCTCGCGAATCATCCCGTCAAAGGGGGCCTGAGACAGAGTAACCGGCTTTGCTGCCGGGTGGAGCCAAAAAACATAGGGTTTCATGATTCGCGTGTCGTTGGACACGCAGGCGGATGTGGCGCTGAGTCTGAGACATATCAGGTGATAATATTCTTCGAAGCAAAGCATGTCAACGTAGGTTTGGAAGCGCAAGTTTACAGACAATATCGCTTTTGGGGACGCAAACGACATGATGTAAGTGGTGAAAGTCAATCTTGCTGAAGAGCAATCAGAGGCTGAGGCTAGAGTTGAGGATGGACTATGGACGTATCAAGGACAAGTTACAAGGTAAAATTCTGGAAATCGGACTCGATTGGCACAGCCAACTTTGTCCACCCTTGGTTGATGTGTAACCTAGCTAGACTTCAAAAGGGGTGGATGATGCGAGACACACGATGAATGGTTGCACAGCATCGTGAGGCGTCAGGCGTGAGGCTCCAGGGGCGACCGCAACCCATCGGAACTCGCCAGGCCCTCGGATGACCTCATCTGCTTTAGGTTGACGGGAATGCAGGCATGTGCGGCGCGGCTGGTTCTCCTCGTTCAAGAATAGGACTACTGTATGTACTATTGCAAAGCATAGACGTGCATAGACGTGCATTGGGCCCCAGCATGGGCATCAACATGGAGAGAGCGCGAGCACGGTCATGGGCACGGTCATGAAGAGCGAGGCGAGGCCCCGATGCGCACGCTGCCTCGGCCGGCAAGCACGAACATGGTAGAAGGAGCTCTCGCGGTCCGACGGTTGGGACCCTCGAAGCTTCAGAGAAGACACCACTCAATGCCGTAGCTTGTGCCCATTCATTTCGGGTCCGAGGCTTCATGGTTCCCACGGACCAGGTCTTTGACGTTTGCCTAACGGTTAACAGCTTACAAAGGGTCCGGGGGGCAGGTAAAAGCCAACAACAACCAGCAAGGCCTGCCAGCATGGGTGTTCCGTATACGAGGAAGGTGCAAGGAGCGGGTGGCAACTCCCGCCAACTCTCGGCGGACTTAACATCCAACGCCTAACTGGGGTACGACGCCAACGACGACGACGACGACGACGACGCCGATGTTCTCGGTCCTGCACAGATCAGGTCGAACCTGAATCTCCTTACGCCTCACGACGCAAGCCGCGCCACTACTCCACCAATCCGCCAATCTGCCACCGCCGGAGTCACGATGGTGAATTTCTCCGCCAGTGCTCCCAGCAAACCGCCTGCCCAAAGCTTGGCCTAGCGACACCAATGGCACCTAATGATCGACGCTGCCAACGGCGGGTTTGCGACTGACTAGTTCCAGTAGTCTCGTGGGTGGAGGAAAGGGAGGGTGAAGCAGAGGCCAGCTCCGGGTTCAGCCCAACCGAGCCAACGGCCATGTGCTAATTCTCACGCCTCCGCGACTCCGTCCTCCACGCCTGCTCGCGCCTCCACGCCTCCTCGCGCCTCCCGACCAGCCCATGCCTCTCGACCGCTCTTTGCGTTATCACCATGCTCCAACCTTCGTCTCCTCTGTTAGCCTCATATCACGAGATTCACCCGCCGATCACTCCCCGGGACGGCTTTCTCCGTGCCTTGGGTGGCTAGTCCCAATATCAGCCATCCACCGGGGATATTTCGCACCAAGCTAGGGCGTCATCCCTTACTTGCAGACAGCCAGTGCCGCCACAAAATACTCGGGCCGCCGCTGTGGATTTCTTGGGGGCCCAGCACTACACCCAACACCAGCGCCTCCAATTGTCTCTGGTTCCAGTCCCATGAGCGCAAAGCGCAGGGCGGTACTGTAATCTGTACTTCATACTGTCTTCCTCCAAGGTCGTCACCTATACCACGGGTGCCGCACAGACACAAATCCTGGAGCAGCACCGATGCAAGCACCCCCGACTTCACACCCTCAACGAGGGATATACAGGGTTCCTCCTTGTTCCCCCAAGCGCCGCCTGGACAACCATCATCCATGGACGGGCACACGGACACATGGCACATGGCAGTGGACCCTCGCCTGTCTCTCCACATGCAGCCTGACATCGTCGACAACGGGCCTCCCATTACCAACCAAGCTGTCCATAACACCCGATCCAGAAGGGCCTCTCACTTGTCCCGGGCTTCCAGGGTCCCAGTTGCCCAGGCTTCCTTGTTAGGTTAATCGCCGCCTGTCAAACCAGTGACCTGCGTCGCTGTCAGTCGCCGAGAACTGCGGGTCGGGGTCTTGACAGCCCTCGCAAATCCGAGAGCGAGATGAGAAATTCAGTTGCGGCGTGGGATGTAATTTAGAGACAAAGCATCGTCATCCTTCCGCCTGGATCTCCCTACCATTCCCGGTACCAATGGCAAGACGCCGTGGGCATCGTACGAGCGCCTAGCCAAGAGCTGTGTCTTGGTCGAGGCCTTTCAATCCATCTGTGTTAAACAGTTCAAAACTGTACATCCATCATCGCCGGTTGGAATCGCAGCACAACCAATTACCCGATACGGCGGAAGGGAACGGCGAGGGCGAAACAGCATGGACCAGCCATGTAAGCGGCCGCCGCCTCGACCTCGCCGCCCGTCGCTCACCCTCCAGAGTTGACATGAGGTCAACTCTTTAGAGACGAGCGGGGTCACTCGCTGATTTGGAATATGACACTCTGGGCACATCCAAGCAGATAGTCTCGAGGGGGAGGGTCGATTCCCTGCAAGCCAGGACCAGCCCTTCGATCATTCACGATGTCACTTCATCTAATCAAACCTACGCGCTGAGGGTCTCGAAAATCTTAAAATACTCCCAACTTGGAAAAGATTGGTGGTGAGCTGAAAAGAATCTGACTATGATGAACTCTCTGACGGCCCGGTGACCATCCAGGATTGCTTCCCAGCCTCGTCAATGACGGTTATGAACAACTCCAAAGTCTACTCTCGGCCCGTGCTGCAGCCTTGGCCGTGACGGCTGAAGCCGTTTTGCCGTTCCGATACGGGAAGCGCTATTGGTAAACTCCATAACTTAGTAGGTAAATTTCCGGGACATGGGGGCCCCCGGAACACCATGATATGACATGACGATACTATCACTAGTTGTGAGGATGGGCTTTGGGGTTCAGAGGTCTCGTCATAGCCAAGGTTCCACCTTTGCAAATTCACCGGCGGCCCAACGTCACCTCGCATCCAGCTTGAGTCTGGGCAGGGTCTATTGATGCAGTCATTCTCACCACTGTTGCTGATGGCTTGGCAACGACAGAACGACAGAAAGCGGACGAAATTTCCCAGCAGAGACGAGGCCGTGTCCCAAAATATGCTTCGTCCCCTGCGCATGCGAGTGTTGTCGACAGGGGCAGGGTCCCCAACCGTCATTAACTTGAAGCGCAGCTCACTCCCGGCATCACTGGAGAAGGTTCATCTCTCCTTGATTCGGTAGTGCGTCCCTGCCACAGGCCTCAATGCGATCCCTTTTTGCTGCACGCGATCATACCCAACTCCGCCAGGGCCTTCCGCCAGTGCACCTGGGGATCCCTTTCTCACGCCCCTCCATTCCCTCCAGCACATCGAGTGCGGCCCCTTGTCCGCTCGCTTACTGGCCAGACGGAGATTTTTTTCCCGTCGGGCCCTGGAGGATGATCGCTCTCATTTCGTTGCAGAGGTCTCGATTATTCTCCGGCAGGGGGCAAACCTTTCGATGCTACCACAAATCTATCAGAAGTGGTCCGGCTTGCGACTCTGTTGGTATGTGCGGTATGGGAGTTACTCTCGGCGTGGCAGATTTCCCCTTCGCCCAGACACCATTACGTACCGGTCTGATGCGGTGACGCATGGTCAACAACGGCAGATGACGCGCCCGAGACATGTGCTACACAGGATAATCGGACGACGATCAAGGGCCCGGAGTTTTGGGACGCGCCTGTGTGCTGCAGATGGAACCGGGCGCCAGCATCAGTGGTCTCCTGCATGCTCCTTCGTTGGCTGGGTCGCCGACGCGCGATGCTCAGCTACGGACGATCGGGCCAAGAACCAGAGACAGACACAGACTTTGTGACAGATGAGACGAACCGGCTGTTGAGAGGCGGGTGATAGGGCTAGGGCCGATCATGATGCCTACTGGCGTGCGGTATAAGTGACAGGCCGATGCATGCTATAGGCAAGGTCCGAGTCACGATTAGGTATCGCCGTATCCCCGTGCACGGAGCCACGATGAACCTGCAATGTCCCATCGACGTGTCCGAGGGGTTCTAGTGAAGCAAAGTTGAGGCCGCTTGCGAGTCTCGCTTGTTGACTTTCGGCGATGGCGATAAGAAATACGAGAAGGCACGTATGTTAGAGCCGGCTCTCCAGCTCTGTTTGGGATAGGCTCTTACGGTTCCACGATGGTGCTTACTCGTGGATTGATTTACCTTCAACGCGGATACAGTGATGGAGGCGTCTTTGATTCCTCCGAACATTCCCTGTGCCGCCGGCAAGGTTGGCGAGTTTTCCCTGTCTCTGTCATATTGAGGCTGGGTGGCGTCCATGTGATGTGGCCTTAGTGACAGTTGCTTTTGGCTAGCCATGAGTCGTGGAGATGTGCTCGTGGGAGCCATGAGATTGACGAGCTGCGAGAGCTCTGCCGCAGGGTCGCAGGGTCGCAGCTCAAAGGTGCCTGGGCTCCGACCCGACTCGCCCGCAGGGAAGCCACACTAGGGAGGCTACTCGCGCTACCAGCCCTGGAAAACATCCCAGACATCCCAATCACCGTTCACTATCTCAAATCTGAACATAGAGTCTCAGTCAACACCGCAGACTACCCTACACTACGCCGCCACCTAGTCACTGCGAACCTACAAGATATCTCAAACAAGCCTCGCTTGCGATGACGATCCCCATCATGGAAGTACGGTACATGTCATTTCTGCAGTGGCGGCTCAGCAATCACTGCCCAGTTCAGTCCAGCCTTCCCCGGCTTTGTCCTTGACGCTCCCACCCCCCAAAAGCAAAGTCTCTCCTCGCCCACTTTGCATGTCTCTCGGCCACATTAGCTTGGCTCTCGCAGAAACAACGGTGGAGAAACCACATGGGTCGTCGACATGCCTTCAGCTGAGACCTCCGCCAAGGTACTACGCATGTGAGTGTCTCTTGTTTCCCACACTTGACAGTAAAAAGGGAAAGGGGGCCATTCTCTGGACCCCGACGAAGCGGTCCGGCCATGTCGTGCAGTTTCTTTCTCTTTCTCTCCCCTGGGTAAGTAACTATCACGAAAGTAGCACCGAGAGCGCAGTGCAGCTTGACACGGTGGAGCGAGCCGAACTAGCTCTGCTTGCCCCAGTCGAGACCTTTCCTTTAGCAATATGACAGGTGGAAGCAAAAAGCAAAACCGCCCTTCTCCGATGCCACCTCCTTGCTCCACCTTGCCTGTCTCAGTCCGTGGGAAGGCGTTCGCTGAAGGAACGAAGGCAGACTATCGAGCGGCCGGGGTGTCATCGACGGGACCCAAAAGGTGATGTGATTGGCATTCGGCGTCGATCTTGGTCCAGGCCGTGAAAGTCAGGGGGATGGCGTCGTGAGAACTGGATCTACCGGTGCAGGGACTGAGCGCGGCTGACGCCTAATGGGACCGACCTTGACTAACATGCCCAGCCTTGCTTGATTCGGACACGTTGACGCCGGCGTTAATAGGGGCGCTCTGCAGCTACCGCATTATCGATTCTCAAGACATGTCTAACAGGTGACAATCGCGGTATGCTCGTCGATGCTGCGAGCCCCAAAAAATGTGCATATTCAATATACTTGGGGAAATATTTATGCTACGTATTAAATGGCATACTATAGGGTAATGGACTCGAGACGAGGCCATTGAGAAGAGGCCATCATGACGAGGAAATACACAAAACGCCCCCGAAATATCCTCAAGTCCCTCTGCGTCAAACCAAAACACCTGCCCTCGCTAATCCACGCCGTGATCCTGCTACCCGCGTGCCGAGTCTCTGGTGCCTGGCATAGGTTGTGCCCTCTCGTGCAAGAGGACACTCGCACCACGCGCCCTCTCCGACGCGACTCACCCAGCGCATGTGCAACGAGGTTTCCTCCCCGGCTCTCACACAGAGAGACAAGACGTATTCCCATTCGTTTCCCCGTCCACTGTCGAACTGAGACGGCTCGGCGTGACACGAGGGCTCCCTGCTCGCTTGCCGTCACCTTGCTGTACACGCTCCGCAGTCCCCGCTCAGGAGATAGACGAGTCGGTGCTTTCCTCGACACAATTTGATCCGGAACGCCACACCTGCTGTCTCGATGCTGCAGGTCGCAGATTAAATGAGAGAGAGAGAGAGAGAGAGAGAGGAGAGCGTGTGTCTGTGCATGTGTGAGGCGCCCTTGGCACCGAGGGAAGGACAACGTGGGATCACGGGGAGCCCTTGTACGACGGGAAGCCGCGTCCCCGGCTGGATGCGTCGCAAAACGGGCTGAATTAGGCCATGCTGGGGGCTGTCGCCATCTTCCCTGGAACGGGGGTTCGTTGCGTTGTGTTGTCGCCACGAGACGTTTCAACGCTGCGGAACAGGTTCGGCGTATCGACAAGACATTGAAACATCGGAGGCTGGAACATGGGCGAGGCGTCGGCAGGAAGACGCAGGCGCAGGCGCCCGGATGAGGGGTTGCTGCAGACTTCATCACAGCCGAGGCTCGATGCCCCGGAAGTTGCTGTCGTCCGCCCAATGCGAATCGGGCCAGACGAGGCGTATCGCCTCCCAGATATGGCTGTGCGAGACATGTGTTAGTAACACCAGTTCCGTGCTCGGGGTATGACAAACATCGGCGGGAGGGCGGTGTCACAAGGGCGCCGGTGCCGAAGCTGTAAGGGACAGGGGATGTGTGCTCACCTAACGTGGAGGATCTCGAGTCCATCCTTGACCTCCTGCGGTAGATCCTTGACATCCTTGCGGTTCTGGGCGGGGAGTAGCACCGTCTTGACGCCCGCTCGAAGGGCGCCGATGAGCTTTTCCTTGATACCTCCGACGGCTGTAACTCGGCCCCGGAGAGAAATCTCGCCCTGTAGCACAACAAGTGTTAGCACATCGAAATGTCGTTCGCCAAGGAATCCGCCAAAAACTTACCGTCATGGCCATGGACGGCGGCACTGGCTTGCCTGAGAATAGAGAAATCAGGGCCACAGCCTGGCCGATGCCACTGCTGGGGCCATCCTTGGGAATGGCGCCTGAGGGACAATGGACGTGGATGCTGCGCTCCTTCATGATGTCGGTAGTTGGCTCGGGCGTGAGACCAAGCTCAAATGCATGGGCCTTGACCCAAGTCAGGGCCACCTCGACACTCTCCTTCAGAACATCACCAAGCTTTCCTGTGAGCTGGACACGTCCGTTGCCAGGCATGTCAGCAACTTCGATGAACAGAATGCTGCCATTACCCCCAGAGCTGTAGGCGACGAGGCCAGTCACGATACCGGGACGACTCGTCGTCTCAGCAATCTCCTCCTCGTACTTCTCGATACCCAATATGTTCTCAATGTCATCCACAGTGAGGGCCGGCTGATAGTCGTTGGCATGTCCGCCGTCCTTTGCTTCTGAAAACTCAACAGCCTTGGCACGGCAGACCGAGCCGATCTCACGCTCAAGGTTACGGACACCAGATTCACGAGTGTAGGACTCGATAATCTTGGACACAACATCCTGGTTGAAAGCGACTTGGCTTTCGGCCAGTCCGTTGACCCTGATTTGCTTGGGGATCAGGTGCTGCATCGCAATGTGACGCTTCTCGAGAGTAGTGTAGCCAGGAATGTAGATGGTCTCCATTCGATCCAGGAGAGGAGCTGGGATTGTGTCCAAGCTGTTGGCTGTGGCGATAAATAGGATTTTGGAAAGGTCAATGGGCATTCCAACGTAGTGATCCTGGAAGTTGCTATTCTGCTCGGGGTCGAGAACCTCGAGCATGGCCGCCGAGGGGTCGCCGTGAATACTGGCTTGCCCAATCTTGTCGATCTCATCAAGCAAGAAGACAGGGTTGGCAACACCGACCTTCCTCAGACCCTGGACGATGAGGCCAGGCATGGCCGCAACGTAGGTTCTTCGGTGGCCACGAATCTCGGCCTCGTCTCTGACACCACCAAGAGAGATGCGGTGGAATTTGCGTCCCAAGGCCGTCGCCACGGACCTAGCAAGACTGGTCTTGCCAACACCAGGGGGTCCCGCCAGGAGCATGATGGGGGACCTGTCCACCTGGCGCTGGGACTTGAGGATCTGGAGCTTAGCGATTTCTGGCCGGCTTGTGTCCTCGGCAGCTGGGTTCGCATCAGCATTCCCATCCTCTCCTTCCTTGGGCTTGTCCATGTGCTCCTCGGCCTTCTTGATCTTCTCATCCACGTCGTCATTGATGGACTGCTTCAGTCTCAAAACCGCCAAATACTCGATCAGCCTCTTCTTGACGCTCTCAAGGCCATAGTGGTCTTCGTCAAGCTGCTTCTTGGCCTTGTGCAGCGTTTCTGGGCCAAGACGATCATCGGTGAGGGTCGACCAGGGAATTTCCGACAGGGTTTCCAACCAATTTCTGGTAACTTGGTACTCCTGGTTCATTGGCATCATTTTTTGTAATCGCCGCATCTCTCTGTCTACGGTCTTGGCAGCCTCTTGAGGGAGCTTGGCATTCTGAAGCTTCCGCTTGAGTTCGTCTAGTTCGTTGGCTTCTTGATCGTCATTTTGATCATTGTTCGGAGGGAATTGTCCAGACGGAGGAACAAATGACATGCCCGGAATTTGAGGTAGCGAGTTGCCCTTTCGGTTTTGGTTCTCATTCAACCGATCCAAGATGGTAACGGGCATGGCGGCGAATGTGGTGATCTTAAAGTTGTTCTTGATGCCTCCGACCTGACGTTCAAGCAGCTCAATGACCTTGGTCAGGCGTACCTTGACATCTAGCGCGGCGAGGACCTCGAGCTTCTCCTCGTGCGAAGTCTCAACTAGGTTGGCCATGAAGTCGGCTAGCAGTCCAGCATCCTTTATTTCCTTCCTCATAATGAGCATATCCAATCGTTTGGTTATCAATGGCGACAGGACGGGGCCGCCCTTGGTTCGAGGTAGGAGGGACGAAATCCTCAGAATGGTGACTAGTTCTCGCGATCGGGTTTTTAGGAGGGCGAAGAGGTCTTGAAGCTGCTTGTCGGGAGGGGATGCCACTACGAGACGGTTAGTAAGTTCCGACGAAGACTGGGCCGTGTTGACTTGGACATACTATCATCGGTAAAGTATGTGACCTTTGCCTCGAAGAAGGGCCGCTCCCGAGTGATGTTATCGACACGGATGCGCGAGGTGCCTTCGACGCGCAGAGCGAACTCTCCGGTGCCCCTTCCATCGATGCCAATGATCTTGGCGGCAACACCAAAGTTGTAGAGATCCTTCTCCTTGGCACTGCCTGGGTTTATATTCTCGATCTGTGAGCTGTCGATGTCCTCAGCATCGCCGATGAGGAGCTGGCCGTTGGGGCCGACTAGGGGCGAGGAGACGGGGACGCAGGCGATGGGTACGCCATCGATGCGGCCATCGGGGCCCTTGGTAGCAGCGCGCTCGTAGACGTGGGCGAGGAGAGCGGGGATATCGGGACGGCTGGAGTTGACTGCAATGCGCTGGACGAGGCCGGGGAGGAGGATGGTGCCGCGCGCGAGCGGGATCAGGGGAAGGGTCGCGGTCTGAGATCTCCCCATGACGGAATCAAGGCTTATAGGAAGGACAGCGATGCAGAGGTGAGTGAGCGGGAAAAGGAAAAAGACAAGGGCTTGCGGGATGCACGGGAAGAAGTACTTGAGATGGACGGGGAATGCTGTTTGGATGGGGCACAGCAAACAAGGTGGAGGAGGTTGATGTCAGATGTCAAGTTGTCGGCGGCCGGTCGCGGGAAAGCTGGAAACACGGGGATCGAGGCCGAAGCCGGGGTGCAGCGCTACAGTGCCTCGTTCCACTTCGCTGCCGAGGCTAATTGTGCATTGCGAGAGCAGCACAGCTATCGACGGACGTAATTACGCATAAACAAACGCAGTCTGGGCCTAGGACCCGGTGAAAGTCGCACCAGAACCGACTTCGGCATTCTGGCTCGGGATCGGAATTGCCCCAGGATTTCTCCCAGATGCGACCATGTTCCATGGGACCACGGTCGTTGATCCAGGACTCGCGAATCGATCCCGTCCGTTCCGCTCACGGGATGCAAGCCCACCCGCGCCGTTGGAGACGTGCAGGAGCGCATTGCATAACGATTGATAAATCGAATCATCAGCCTGATCCGAGACTGACGCGCCATGCAGCTTAATTACTGCGTTCAGCTTGCTGGTCTCTGCTGAGGCCGCTCCGCACAGTCGTTCATGTGAGCATCTCAGAGTGGACTGACTTACTTACCCGCCGCCGGGAGCATGTCCGGGCCGCACTGATTAGCTGAGGAAGAATGCGCCGAGACTGAAAGGCGCACGTGCTCAAGCACCTTCGGCTTGGAGCTCCAGGCGGCGGCTACTGGGATGACTAAGGCTCTCCAGTCCATGCCCCACTGTTCGGACGCGAATCGCGGGGCAACCATCCATTAAACCAAGTCGCGACTTCACGCGTCTCCTTCATTGTGTGACACTTACTGCTTTTACATCTACCAAAACCTCCGCCAACTACCACAATGTGTATGCCCACCACCACTCCTGAACCACACCGTGGACATCTACTAACCTAAACCGGACAGCTGCATACGGAGGATACTCAAAACCCGCATACGGTGCTCAGGGCGGTGACGACTCTGGCGGCTTCTTCGCAGGCGGTTCACAGCAGGGCAGCCAAGGTGGCGGTGGTGGCAAGGTATGTCGGATGCCATGATCCTCTCCCTGACGCATCCACCAAGCGAGCGTTCAGTTGCTGACGAGATCCTCGATACGTCCAGTCTTACCAAGATGAGTCTCTGCGCCCCGTCACAATCAAGCAAATCCTCGACGCCGAGGAGGCCTACGCCGGCGCCGATTTCCGCATCGACGGCTCCCCCGTCACCCAGATCACCTTCGTTGGTCAAGTCCGTAACGTGAACCCGCAACCCACAACCATCACCCTCAAGATCGATGACGGCACCGGCCAGATCGAGGTCAAGAAGTGGATAGACGCCGACAAGCAAGATGATGCTGACCCTGGGTACGAGCTCGACTCCCATGTTCGCATCTGGGGCCGCCTCAAGTCCTTCAACAAGCGTCACGTCGGTGCCCACGTTATCCGCCCCGTGTCCGACCCCAACGAGGTCAACTACCACCTCCTCGAGGCCACCTACGTCCACCTCTACTTCACCAAGGGACCTCTTGGTGGAGCGAACGGTGCCAACGGCGAGGGAGACAGCATGTTCGTCGATGGTGGCGGATACAATGACCAAACTGGCGGTAACGCTAGCCAAGCAAACAGTAAATTGTCCGGCTGCTCCGCCCCGGCCAAGAAGATGTTCAACTTCATGAACGACACACCTGGCGGAAATGAAGGCATCCATCTCAACGTCATCACCAACTCGACTAGCATGTCTGTGAGGGATGTCCTAACTGGCGCCGATGAGTTGCTCGGACAGGGTCTAATCTACACAACTGTCGACGACGAGACGTGGGCGATTCTGGAATACTGAGCGGCGCGCTTGAGGTCTTGAAGAGAGGGCAGTGAGCATGGGACGTGTCAACTGTTACAGGGTACAAAGCTGGTTAAAAGGTGTTCAAGGATATAGGCGGTCCAGCTTATGAGGGAATGACTATTTATTTTCTGCTAATGAATGACTGGAGCTAGTCGGTGCACTGCCGAATACAACATGAATAGAGATATTGCAGCGGTAAAGACCGTCATTGACGTGGGTGTCCAAGCCTAATGGCTTCCGCACGTCTTACGTCGTTCAAAATCAACAACCGTTCAAAGTGAATGAATGTGGTCAACCGACCAAGCCATGGCCAGCTTCACCCAGGCCATCGCACCCATTTCCACACAGTTTCTGTTCAATCTTCCTTTCAATCTTCCTGTCAATCTTCCGTTCAATCTCCCTTCCCATCAAACTCCTCCTCTTCAAACCTCAAGCCTCTCCGACCACTCGCTGCTAGACCTTCACTCCGCCAAGGGCGGGGAGGAGGACTGGCGCGGCAGAGTACTCTGGCTTCGGAGCCTGTGGCTCACGAACCATGATGTACAGCTGGACAGGGTCACGGCCGCGCTCAAACACTACGATCCGCTTGACCTCGAAGCCAAACTTGGCGTAGTACGCGTTGGTGAGTTCATTGCTGGACTCGAGATACACCGGGCGGTTCTCAGCGTCGGCCTACAGACGGGATGCGTTAGTGACGAATCCATATCACTCCAGGGGTGATTTGCGAGGGCATTGGATGAGGGGAGACGAGGTGTAAGTCGTTCATGAGGGACGCTGTGGAAAATCAACCTTTTCAATCATGGCGCGGATGAGCTTTCCGGCATAGCCCTTGCCTCTCGCGTTGGGCTTCGTTCCGAGGTAGACAAGATAGTAGCACTCACTATCCCGATCCGCCATGACCTCTTCCTTGGTGTGGTTCAAGACGGGGATCATCTCGTCGAAGTAGCGTCTGCGACCCTCGGGCGAGAGCTGATACCACAACCTCCACATGCCACTCCGAAAGACAGTCCACCAGTCTTCCATGTTTTTACCCGGAGGCAGCCTATCTCGAGAGCATTGAGTGTGAGCATTTGATGTTCCTCGCCACTTAGAAGGGACGGATAGCTACATACCACAGAGCTACGGCATCATAGTCAGGCCCGATGGCCGTGACGACGCCCTTGTAGACGTGGCCAGCGACCATATAAGTCATGATGTCGACGTGGAGCTTCCATTTGTGCTCATCCGAGTAATCCGCCATGTCATCTCCATCGAGGACATAGCGGCTCATTGCATCCGTAGCAAACGAGTGGGCCAACGACCGGCCGGCCGCAGCACTCTCGTCAATGCTGACAACGCGGACAGTGTCCTCCCAGGATGGCGGCACGAGAGAGTGACGTCGCCAGTCGGCAAGGGCCGTCTTCCCATTTAAATTGTCCATGGTGGGCCGGATGCTTTACTCGGTACTTGAACGGTCTAAGAGCCGCGCGGCGTGTTAAGCAAGCGGCTCGCAACTAAAGGCCTAGACTCACATTGTATATTCTGGATACTATCGCCCGTATGGACTTGCGAGAGCTGACTTCTGGAGAGAGGCGTAAACCTTGAAGGATGACGCAGGCAATTAAGGCTGGCGCGGAGTTCAACCGACATCAATGTGGTGTGGGAGCGGGCCAGGCTCTCGAAGGCGGGCTTAGGTAGTAGGGTTCGAAGGCTCGACGGGATAGCTAGCGATGCTGTTCAGGATCGCAGATTGTAGAGCCGCGGGGGAGCAGGTTTGGGCACAGAGACGGAGAGACGGAGAGACGGAGAGACGGTGAGAGGGTGAGAGGGTGAGACGGGACGAAGCTGGAGCGGAGAGGCGTTGGGGTAGCAATCAGGCAAGTGGCAACAGTAGCAAGACACAGAGCTGGAGGTTCTCTCAAGCGTTCCCGGCTGAAAGGGTGGCTTTGGGAGATTTCCTTTGAGGATGCTTAGTGAAACCAGGGACTGTTGAGTGTCGAGACAGGTGACGGAGGGAAGAAAGAGGCGGAGATAGGCAACCCGGGGCCAAGGGTTAAGTAGTCGGTGGAAGTGCCGGGAGGTCCCGCGCCTAGATACGGCAACGCTTAGACATGGCTGCGAGCACGATTGGCTCGTCACCGGGCCGGCCATTCGTGTGCATTCGCGGGCATTCGTGGGCATTCGTGGGGTGAAGCTGCCTTTGCGAGTCAGGGTTGCAGAAGCACACGGTTGGGCGATTTGCTGTAAGACATGGTTTTGGTGAGAACAAGGCCTGGGCACGCATGACCGGTGGGGGTTGCGCTGCGGCGTCACCGTGTTGGACAGGTTGACAGGTCAGGCGAGCCCTTCGTGAAGCCGGTCCCAGGGCTTCACCCCCCGCAGCGTATGTGGCTAGTTACAGAATGGGAAGCGAATGGATGTGGCTCCCATTGACGTGGGCGGACGGGCGTGGTGGGAAGACAACGACTCGTCCAAACCGTGGGGTTGAGAGGTTGGGCGGCAGACGCACAAAGAGAAGCCCAAGCCACCGAGACGACGGGAAGCCGTGAGACAGACTCCGCGGCGCCAAGGGCTCCCGGCTGCCTATCATCGAGGCCCGGCAAGCTAGCGGAGCCGTCGTGATTGTCGATTGCAGCGCTCGGCGTCTGCAAGGATCCAGGTGACGGCGCTACTCTGCTCCGGTTGCATGTCGACGGCTCGCCACGGCCCGGTACGTTGCTGCACCTCGTATGTGGGAATGGGACCGAGCGGAGTTGAGAGACGGATCTTCGGCATGCGGCCACATCATTCCCTCGGATGCCGGTGGTGATAGAGCTTCGGCGAGTCCGGCGACTCTCTCCAGCCATGTCCCACCGGCTGATCTTCAAGTCATTGAGCGGGTCGGGCGGGCAGCGGGCGGGCAGCGGGTGGACGACGTCAAATTTAAGAAAGCGGCTCTCCGTCCGAGGGACATCTCTCGAGGGCCATGAGAGTGGATATCTATGCAGATCAACCGCGAACAAAACTATCAACCACATGTGTCTCTCCTCCTACACCTACGGAACCATCCCGTCTGCCGTCCTCATTGCTCCGACTTTTTAACTTCAGAAATTCGTATTTGGCTTACAGCATGCGTCGAATCTCCTGCTCGTTCATGTACTTGTCGAGACCCGAGTCGAGGCTCTCCCACCACTCGAAGAGCATCGAGTTGCAGATGAGCTTGAACCAGGGGGTGAACTTGAGGGTGGGGTCCTCGAACAGCTGCTTCAACTTGTCCGCGCTGACGTACTGGGTGGCTTGGACCTCGTTGACGTTGACATCAAGGTCAACGTTCGCCTTGATGAAGAGGATGTAGTCCACTGGGCGAATTAGTTGGTTGACAAATTCACTGCGTAGCCATGTAGACATGGGCCATAGACGTACCTTCGTGCTCGCCCCATTTGCCGTCACTGGGAGCCTTGTAGTGGATTCGGGTCAGGAACTTGAAGTCCTCGAAGGGGACCTGCTCCTTCTTGATTCCAAGCTCGTGGTCAAGCTTGCGCTGAGCAGCACGCTTGACTCCGTCAATGGAGTCGGCGAGGGTCGAGCCGGTCTCCGTGGGGATGTGAAGGGGGTGGGAGCAGCACGTGTTTGTCCACATGTCGGGGAAGGTGATCTTCTCAGTGGCGCGCTGCTGCAGAAGCAGCTCGTTCTTGTCGTTGAAGAGGAAGACGGAGAATGCGCGGTGGAGGAGACCCTTGTCGATGTTGGTCATGAGATGGCCTAGTCCGAGGCATGTTAGCAACCGACTGCGATGGACGCGGCGATATGGCTCTTGCGAGGCTGTGGACGGACGCGGCTGCACGTACAGATCTTCTTGCTAGCGGTGCCGATTGGCTTGTCGTTCTCGTCGAGAACGATGCAGACCTCGTCCATAAGGCGGATCTGCTCCTCATCGTGACCGGACAGGGGCTCCGAGCTGGCGTCAATGTCGGGGAAGAGGCGGAGCATGGCCTCAGCCGTGATGGGCTGGGCCTCGGTGGTAGTGGTGGTGGTGGTCGACATTGCGATAGAGGCAGAGGTTCTGCAGGACGTAGAGGGCGAGAGAAGCAGAGGAGTACGTCGCAAAGGGGTAGTAGTGCGATGCAGTGCGAGCAATGGGTCCAGGAGAGAAGAGGCTAGTCGGTCTGTCTCCAAGGCTCAATTTAAAGTCATTTGGAACCCCTCCAGAGTCGTAGGCGGGTTGCCCCTCCATCGTCGCCAGCCGCCCAGCGCCCACTGGGGCTCCACTGAAACCGTCCACTGGGGTCCCGTTCCTGGACCTCTGGGGGCACTTCATCCCTAACAGGCAGTAGGGCCCAACATTGATCCCTGCTGGTTAGTCAGCCACCTCGGTGAAGCTGGCCTGGGAATAGCTCATTCACTGCTCTGGCATCATGACATCTCAGTCTGGGCTGGGTCTCCAATCATCCTGGCTGCAGAGGGGTGCCTTGGCCCCAGGTACAATAAAAGCCTCGTCGCCTGCGTATTCGGAAGCAAAAATCAATGCCTTGCATAATCGTTCGGTTGGTGGGGTTGTCACTGTGCAGTGTTCGGGATATCCAAGTCAGCGTTCCCGGCTTAGACGCCAACTCCCGGCGGCTTCCGGTTGCGCAGGCTCCGGGCACTTATCAACACTCGATCCGAGAGACGCGACAGCATGAATCGCTGTATTGAACCCGATCTTGAGCACTGCAAAGAACGATACTGGACCGCCCAACCCCACAATCTGCCTCCATCAGTTGTGGTTGGTAGATGCACCTTGCATCCGATGCCCTATCGCACTCGCAATGTGACATTCGTTTTCGGCATCTGGAAACCTCGTAGTCGTGGGTAGACTGGTAGATGGCCGAGAGTAAACCCCACTACCACCGCGGTACCACGCTGACCCGATTCTTCCGGAAGTCTCTGCAATATCAACGGATTACCTCGCCTAGGTACCTAGCGAGTGCGTCGAGTTGAAATCGAAACGTGACAGGTACAACCGGGACATGTGGTAGCGTGAGGGTGGTTAGTACTGGGGAGGGAGCAACTGCACATCACCAAGGAGATGAGACCCCCGTTGAAAACGAAAAGCCCATGTTCGCATCTGTTGATAAGAGTAAAGAAGTGTGATAGAAGATGATTATGACCCGAGTGGGTGGTACATCGATGGTGGTGAGCATACGAGATTATGCGCTAAATCGGATATTCCCCAAGCGGGGTTCGTGGAGCTGCTCTCCTTGCTATCAGGGGAATCAACCCAAGCGAGGCTGGGGAGCTTCGTCATTAACAACCTTACGCCCATCGCCACCGTCATCCCTCTCCAGTGTCCGACATTACGCGGCTGCCGGACGTACAATAGTTTGCGACAGCTCACAGAAAGCGACCGCGGCTCCCGGACGTCGAATTCATCAACAACCCGCCTCTTCCAGCGTCGTTAGCATCGCCGCGAGCTGGCCCACCGCAACTATGGCTCCCAAGATCGAGGCGGCAGAAATCGAGACCTACTGGAACATCTTCTCCACTCGGACAGGCGGCGGCAAGTTTCTGACTGGCGAGCAGGCCGCCCCCGTGCTCAAGAACAGCGGACTGCGCGATGACCAGCTTGAGCGGGTGTGGGACCTGGCGGACGTGGACAACGATGGCAACCTCGACTTTGAGGAGTTCTGCGTCGCGATGCGAGTGATTTTTGACATTCTCAACGGGGTATGGACGCAATGAGACGCTGCATGAACGATTGTCACACAGCGGCTGACCAAGAGTAGGAATACGCCGACGTACCGACGACGTTACCCGACTGGCTGGTGCCCGAATCCAAGGCTCATCTCGTACAAGCGAGCCGAGCGATCACGGGGAAGCAAGTTCAGTTTGAGCAAGTGGAGGATGACGACGAAGCCCTCGGGCTCAAGGACGGGTTTGAGTGGTACATGAAGCCTCAGGACAAGTCCAAATATGAACAGATCTACCAGGAGAACCGGGACATGCGCGGCGAGGTTGCCTGTTTGTGCCCCGAGACCTGTCCTACCACCGATTTGACTAACATGTGACAGTCAACACTCTTGATAGTCTCTACGAATCACTCGACGTCCCCGACACTGATGTCCGTTCTGCCTGGAATCTGATTAACCCCTCCGCCGGATCGACAATCAACAAGGACGCATGCCTTGCCTTTCTGCATATTCTCAACTACCGTCACGAGGGCTTCCGCATTCCCCGCACCGTACCTGCATCTCTCCGCTCGAGCTTCGAGCGCAACCAGATCGACTACCAGGTCGATAACCAGCGAACAGGTGCCAACTCCCGATGGGCAACAAAGGCCGACGAGACGACGAGCACCGGCCGCAAGGCCAAGTTTGGCGACCAATACCTGACGCGGTTGGGCCGCAGCGGCTTCAAGTCAGCGGGCACGGACTTTTCAACAGAGAAGACGGAGGATTGGGAGGAGGTCCGACTGAAGCGCAAGCTCCAGGAGCTAGAGGATAAGATGAAGAAGGTGGAGGAGATTGCGGAGCGTCGAAAAGGAGGCAAGCGCGACTCCAAGCCCGCGCTCGTCAAGAAGGAGTTAGACCAGCTGCTGGATTACAAGCGGAGAGAACTGAAGGAACTGGAGGAGGGCACAGGCAAGAGCGCCGTGGGCGGGAGCCTAAAGAGCGTATCGGAAGATCTCCAGACGGTCCAGGAGCAGGTGGATGGCCTGGAGGGACACCTGCGGTCGCGGGAGCAGATCCTGGAACAAATCCGACGGGAGATTGAGGATGAGAGGCGAGGATAGACGAAACTTGCATCTTTGGAGTGGTGGTGTGGTTTTGCTGCATGGCTTGTAGGAATAATACGGCGCTTTTTAATGGTATATCGGGCGTTGCTCTAGTCATAAAGGGGGTATCACCACATGCTCCCGTCCACGTACTTGGATGTACGTTCCATACCCAACGTGCGGCCCTTGATGGCCCATACCGCAAGGGATGGGACAGGTACAGGGCCGAGTCGACCGGCTCCGCGTGATCGGCCTATCGAGCAAAGGAAAGCGTCCACTGCTGGGCCCTTGACATACTCAAGAGGCTCGCCTTTGAACATGAGGTCGATGTTGTTTGCCACACCGGCCGCCTAGGTACTTGTCAGCCTTTGGATGGTTCCTTGACTAAAAAGAAAGAAGAGGTTGCTTACCTGTGCTTCAGTCCATATCACACTCGCCCGCGGCTTCGAGATGACATCGCCAACAGCCCACACATTTTCCGCGCCTTTCACGCGCATCTCATCGTCTACGTCCACATAACGATGCTCATTCAGCCACTCGGACGGCAAGAAGTCAGTATTCGGCACCAGCCCCATAGTCGGCAGGTACAATTCCGTCGTTAACTCTTCGCCGTCCGACAACACTACCCGGGTCTTGCCATCGGGCGTCGGCGTTGCCTCTTCCGCTCGTACTCCCTTTCGAATCTCGACACCCAGGCGTCGGAGTTCTCGCTCTGCGTTTGACGCGATGGAGTCCCCGCCGACGAGGCTTGAACCCGAGGACACGAGGATGACGGTTGTGGAGGGGAATGCGAAGCGGATTTCTCCTGCCACCTCAACGCCTGTTGCTCCCGCGCCGGCGATGACGATGTGCTTTGCAGCACCAACCTGTTCGGCTGTGCGATGGAGGTTGGCTACTAGTTCATCGTGTGAGCCGCAGGCCTTCCATGGGAGGTCTGTGTCTGCGGCGTTGGCGCCGGTTGCAAGAACGAGGTGGTCGTAGGTGAGCACGCACAACCCGTCGGCGCCAGTGTCGACCTGCACGGTACGGGATGCGACATCAACAGCCATAGCGGCGCCGATGATGAATTCAACACTTCCGGCAGGGTATTGCGATAGACCGGGCCGGATCGGGGCAATGATCTGGTCGTCCTTGATCAGGTTGGGCACGATCGCCCTAACGGAGGCAAGGTTCCAGTAAAAGTGACTGTTCTGTGGGATGTCAGTCTTGTGCTGGCGATATTATGAAAATAGCGTGTGGTAAACTCATATAGAAAATATTCAGGCTTGCGTACCTTTGAGACAAGAATGACTTTCAAGTCCTCCTCATGTGGTTGGGTATACTTGAGTAAGCGATGTGTGACGGCCAGACCGCCGAGGGAGCCGCCCAACACGACGACTGTTTTCCCCATGAGACCTGTTTTGTATATTCCAGCTCGTTGCAAAAAAGGAAACCAGCGGAAGCCGATCAGGACCGGAAAGTGTAGTTTTGGTGATTTGATGTCAGGCCGGACTTTTTACTGTATTGTGGTGTGCTGGGAGGGAATGGAGTTGAGGGATGTTGGGTAAAGCCGAGCGTGCGGTCCGGAGTCTCGGAGCGAGACCGGTGGCGGAGAAGGTGGTGCGCTGTAGCTTGTATGACGAGGACCTGTCATGTCCGTGTGAGTGGGAGGGTGTCGGAAAGGCTACTTACCGGACAAGTATCTGGATCGTTTATGGTCTGTATTCGACCGAATAGGAAGTGGCCTCACTGCGCGTGGTCTGTTTATATGCGTGCTCTTATTCTAGCTCGGTAGTTGGCCGTAATGGTGATGCCTCGAAGGGTCTTGCTCATGACACCACCACTGCCACCACCGCCTTACGTCACTTGATCATATAGTCAGTATCAACCGCGGCATGTGGTTTAGATGTGTCTGTATGTGTTTGCATGGAGATTATGCGGGTACCCTCTCTATTTTCCCTCCCATTCCCCCCCCTTCTCGTCAGTGATGGAGTTGTGTGGTGTTAGTACGCACGCATCCCAAAGCCAGCGTGAACGAAGCCCCTCTGGGCCTACTGGTAAATCCATAAATCCCTAAATCCCCTCCAGCTGCCAAGCCCACCTGCCGTCTCGTTCTGGGCCAATCGAGACCCACGACGTCACACTCGCTCCTGCCCGCGACCCCTCCCCCTCCGCCGTCGAAATCGCTTGTGACTTGCCTAGTTGGACCCCGCTAACCGCCACCTCAGGTACTCGTCCCTCAACAATAATCCTCCCCCCCCCGTTCGGTTCTCCATCTTCCATCTCCATCCCAACACAGCTCAGCTTCCATCTCTCTATTCTTCGTCTCATTTCACAGAAACACCATCCACCCAGCTATCCCCCACAAAGCAATCCATTCACAATGGCTACCCAGAGCGAAGCTTTCAAGACGGCCGTCGTCGACTCCAAGAAGTTGACCGCGAAGCCCAGCAACGACCAGCTCCTCGAGCTCTACGGTTCGCACTCCCCCACTTCCCCCTTGCCCCTCCCATCCGTTTCTATCCTGCTAACCAGAACTCGCCCTACAGCCCTCTTCAAGGTCGGATGCGGCGAGGACATCTCAACTGTCACCGCTCCCGGCGCATTCGACTTCAAGGTACGTCATTCGCTTACGGTCGGCTCGAGGGAAGCAGAAACTAATTACAATGATGAACCTACAGGGCAAGTACAAGTACCGCGCCTGGAAGGAGCTCGTTGACGAGGGTATCTCTGCCGAGACCGCCCAAGAACGCTACGTCGTCCTCGTCGAGAAGCTCAAGGCGGAGCTCGGCTACGATGCGGAGAAGGTTCCCGAGACTGTTGGTCAGGACTAAGATCGAGTAATGATATGTGACGAGTAGCAAGAGGATGGGGCCTTTGTCCGCTGTATTTTTCTTGCGCGGAACATCTTTAGATGAGGGAGAGAAACAATCATACCCTGCCGGATTCCCGGCCTGTCAGACTCGAGTTGAGTGACACCTCGTCGTGTCTTGAGCCTATGTCGCTGTAATGTGACATGTCTATCACTCAAGGGCGATCGTTTTGGTTGCTCGATTCGGTTCATGTTTATGTGAGTATTGTAAATCCCATTCCCGAGCAATCAGTGCCGAGTGGCATCTATCGCCGACTTGAGAAACCCCCAACGGGTCACATTTCGGGATGTAGCCCCGACAAGGATGGTTCATGCATCAAGATCGATTTCTGCCTAGACTCAGATCATGTTCATTCTCTCGCAGACGCATCTTTAACCCTGCTATGTCGGATCGAAGGAGCTTAAGCTGCAGGCTTACCGTAACATCCTTGGCATCCAGTCCACCCTCCGAATCACACACAAGTATTAACAAGCTACCTGGTTCGGAGGAACTCTGCATCGTGGAAAAGAAATCATTCAAATCAGTTCTAAAACACACTGGTGTGGACTGAGCTGGAGTCATGTATGCATCCTTGAACCATCACCATCCCGCTGCATCATCATCTTCCAACCCGCTTCAGACGCATCCGCACATCCAACTTGTAGGTGATAGTCCAGATATACACCCAGTAACCAGGCGCCAACCACAGTCCTCAACTCATCAGCCAAGCCATCTCGAAAGTAATGACCACATCCATCCACTATGCAACTTTATGACCCCCTTCCTCGTATTTAAGATTTATGAATGCCGCGTCTCCCTTTCTTCCCTGTCGGTGGCTTACGCCCTGTGGTGGGTACGGGCCGCACGCACATCATCCCGCCATCGCAGGGTTCATTCCCGTTGTGCTGACGGCCGTTGACAGCTCCAGCCTTAGCGGCTGCGTCCCCACAGATGTTCCCTGCGGCGCGGCTGGCTTAAGTAACGGATGACGTTCAAATCCAATATCAACGTCACGTCGGCGGGTGGCACCAGGTTCGGGAAAGCAGTGTATGTATATATGTGTGGTGCAATGTTGAGTAAAATTGTCTACCGGGGCAATTACTAGGATATAAAGTACTCGCAGACGAGCTCGAGACAAGCTCTGACGTCGCCGCATAGAATAGAAACTAATGTTTAAGTAAAGGTACGTGGCAGGCATGTACCTATTAAATCCCAAGCCCTTGGAGCGGTTCATTCATCTTCCATCCTCCCCCTGTGCTCCTTTTCCTACCAAAAACACCAAGCCGATCAACTCCGATTGAAGGGGGTCGCAAACTGAAGGGGAATCTCTTTGTAAGTCAAATATGTCGTGAGAAGGGCACGTGTGGTTCAACATTGCACAACAGGTTTTTTTAGGTTCTTTCTTCGGTTTGGCGGATCCCCATTAAAGCCTCCATCGCTCTCTTCATCATGAAACTCGTTAAATCGTGGCGACGATGAGCATGTCGTGTCCTGGGGGCTACTCGAAAGTGCCAACGTTTCCACTGGACAGAGCTTGCCTGATTTCAGAGGGTCTTGGCTTATAGGAGGGCGAAGAAGCCGGCGGCGACGATGAGCAGGGCGCTCGCACCGGTGGCGGCGGCGCCGTTCACGCTGGTGGTGACGGCAGGGACTCCGGCTGACGATGAACCGCTGGCAGCGGGGGTCTCGTAGGGCTGGGTCGGGGCAACGCTGGTAACGGTGCTGTTGGAACCGGTCCAAGCAGTGCTGTAACCGGCACTGGGAGTAGGGCAGATGGTGGTGGTCTCATCGTCGACCTCAGTCTTGGTGACGACGGACTTGGTGGAGGCCTTCTTGGAGGTGGTGGAGACGGGAGTCGAGGTGGACTCGGGAGTGGTGGTGGTCTCGGCCTCAGTGGAAGTGGTCTCAGGCTCAGTGGAGGTGGTCTTAGGCTCAGTGGAGGTAGTGGTAGGCTCAACGGAAGTGGTGGAAGTCGTCGTGGGCTCAGCGGAGCTGGTGATGGGGGCGTCGGACACGAGAGCACCATCAACGTTGTAAGCCGCGGCGCACTCGACCAGGTTCATGCTGTCAGGGCAGCACCAGGTGTTAGCGGCGGTGTCGTGACTGCAGTAGTAACCATCATCACAAGAGTCTAGGAGAAGAGGTTAGCATCAAGCACAGCGAATAACATCATGTTAGAAGAGCGCGTGTAAGGCATTCTTCAGCTCGCCAGGGGACTTACTTCCGGAGCCGTCGGAGCAGCAGATTTGCGCATCAGCAGGGTTGTAGCAGTGAGTGGAAGAGTCGTTGGAAGCGCAAGTCTCATAGCCTTTACCACAGGCCTCGGCGCAGGTGTCGCCGTCACCGCAGACGGACTGCTCGGGTTGGTACCCGTTGGTGTCGCGACGAGCGAAGCTGAGGCCCAAGACGGGGCCCTTGACCAGCTTGTAAGGCTCGGGCTGGGCGGCGACGTGGGAAACGAAGGCCACGAGGGCAATGGAGGTGGCGAAGCGGAAGAGCATCTTGACTGAAGATTTCGACGATTTCGAAGATTGAAAGGATTTTGCAATGTACGATCTGGTGCGACAGGGAACGCAGAGCCACGGACAGGGTTTGTACGATGGCGGTGGGGATTGCTGGCGGAGATTTCAACGAGGGTGCTGTCAAGCGAGCGATAGAGATATTCGCGTAGGTTTGCTGAAAGAATGGCTAGAGTCACTTGGTACTCTGAGGTTTGCGATGGAAAAAAGGACAACGACGACGGCGACGGACGAAGCAGAGGAGAGGTAGGGTGGAGGTGTGAGAGAGGGAGAGAAGAGGACGGGGATGGGCAATATGAGGTGTAAATGGAAATGGGCAGAGGCCCGCGCCAAGCCAAAAGGATGGGCAGGAAGGCCAAACCACCCAAACGGGACTACGACTACAGGGCTACGAACTAACTTACAGGGCTCCGACTACAGCAGGTGCGCTACTGAGTTGACGACGCTACGTAATTAAGACGTGGTACAGATTGGAGATGATTAGGTCAGGGTATGGTATCGGACTGTAGCACGGAGGACGGGGGGGACGGGGGACGCAGACCAGGCTAGGACCCTTGGAGGTTGTAGGAGAGGTGGCCACCAGCGCCCAGTACATATCCGTGGAAACAGCAGGCCAAAGCCCAGAACTAGGCGTTGAACGGCGCAGTAGAGGAGGGAAGGAGAAGAGAGAAGCGGCGCGCAGTCTGTGTATACGTGTGGGTGGGCAACTGAGGGCGAGCAACTGAGGGCGAATGCGAGCGGGAGAATGCGTGTTGCGGCGTCGATCAATCCCTGGAGGGAAGATCCTTTCCCCCCCATTCCGCATATCGCAAACCCCTACCACCCGACCGTTGGACCTATCCCGTGGCCTCCTCCGCTCCCCTCCGCTCGCTGTAATTAATTAATTAAGAAATCTCGGCGGGCGGGTGGCAACTGGCGAGTGGTTCACCACCGAGAGACGACGGGGGAAAAAGGACCGCGCCTTGCCCGTTCGGGGCGGTTGGTGCGGAACGGCGCCTCGCTCAACACCAGGCACCGCCCCTTTCCCGAGTGACGAAGTTGCTACGCTGGGTGTTTGGGGATTGCGGGAGCAGGAGAAGAGAGAGAGAGAGAGAGCAGCGTGGGCACGGGCGAGAGACCCAGGCAAAAGAGCCGAGGAAGAACCTACTACGTAGTACTGTGCGCAGGGCATGGCATGGTATGTGTGGCCTGGGCTCGCGGCCGTTTCATGCGCGTGCTCGTTTCGAAACCCAAGCAAGACAACGAGCCTTGGGTTGGGCTCGTGTGTTTCTACGTAGGTAGTACAGCAGGAATGCTGGATAAATGGTCACAGAAAAGAGGCGACCAAGCCAACCTTGGCTATGGCGTGTCGGACGGTGTCAAAGCGCAATCTTGCCCGCTCTGCCTGCCCTTTCTCAGCGAACATCAAGCGAATCAAGCAACAGAGCAGCTTTAAACATTGGCATTTAAACAATGTGATGATCCATTCACTGAGATGCCTCTCCTACGTTTGTTTGTTGGCCGCCCACTTTGCGCCCGGGGACCCTGAGTGCTGGATTAAATATTAAATTGAATCCACATCCAACCGCGTAACGCCGCAACGGCTCGAAAGCGCGCATAGCCCAATAACACCGGGGTCCAATGGCTCAACTTCCCTTTGCAGCAGGTCCCCTCCAGCCCCCCCCCCCTACCACACCTGCTACCGGACATGGCATCAGCCGACGCTGGGTGGTGGGCGACGCGCTGTAGTGGTCTTAGTGGTCTGTAGTGGTCTGGGGGGGGCAGATCCAGGCGCTAGGCGAGCCTGTACTACGCTGGAGGTGGCCAAGTGGCGTCCGTGTGGACGCAGGAACCAGGAACCAAAACCCAATCCTAGCACGAAGCTGTGTCTCCACTCGGCCCGATCGCGGCGTCTGATTCGCCGGCGCATGGCCAGGAATCTTCTAGCCCTGCGTCATGGGACCAGGGACCGGGGGAAGGAGGACTCGACTGGGTTTCAGGTTACTGTGACAGGCCCGGGCGGCTTTTCTTCCAACCGCAGGGGATTGTCACTCACACACACACACGCGCTCCTCCATTCAGAGCCCTCCATTCAGGTCCCTTCATTCTGCGGGCGAGACCGATGGAAGACTGACAAACTAACAGGGGAAGCAAGAGGCCTCGAAGGCCATTGTCGCGGTGTCACCCACCTGTCATCACTCTCGATCTACTGCGCGACGCCAGATGCGCGATCCATGCGTTAGCAACACGGCATGCAACCACTTGGGCGATCTGCAAGACCAACAACAATGCAAGGCCAGCGAACAAAGTGCCAATCCCTCCCTCACCATGATTCAGGAACCTCAAAGTCGCATAAATATCCCTCTGCGCCCAACCAATAACGACCGCCCACTGTGACGTGGCTGGCCTACGTGTCGATGACTCGACTCAAGATTGCTCCCTCCCTCTCTCGCCCTCTTTGACCACTATCGCCGTCACGATGCCCAATGCTCGATGCGGCGTGGTCTGATGGACTGTCCCGCTTTCCCTCAGCGTCTCTCCCTCTCTCAGCCTTTCCCCAGTGCGTCACCAGCCATCCTGGAAGAAGAGACACCTAATCCCGGCTGATAGTTACTGTTCCGTTCAGCCAGAAGGCCGGCTCGAATGTTCCTTAGCGACACCACGATAGTGACTTGACGTATAGCCAAATTACCTCCTTAAATTGCTCCGACAACTCGCCCCGTCGTATAGTAAATTGCTACACCACCTACCGTCTGTCACGCTGCTCTAGAACAACCACCCGCCGCGACCTAGGCCGCCCGCCCGTTCTAGCGCTTCACTCTCGCCGGCTTCTCTGCGTAACCCCATTTTCCGCGGCGATCCGGTGGCCCTTGCTACGGAAACCGGGCCTTCACTGACTTGCGATCGTCGCTCATCACACTTGATTCGAGACCCGCATGGCAGTTAATGCCGCTAATGTCATGATGAAAGAGCAAGATGATTAATTATAAGCCCTGGTTGCTTTTTGGTCCCGTCCTTGTGGCAATCTCAAGATCCGTGGGACGGTGGTCCGACTCAGAATCCTTCCATGGCTCTCTACTCGCGTCCTCAACGAGCCCAATCACATCACCAAGCGCCTCCCAAAGACAGTCGATCTCAAACTCATAATAATTACATTGCCAATGGAAGAACAAACCTTGCCGTCGGTCACCATTGCAAATCCATTTGCACATCGCGCCTCTGTGAACCCCAGAATGCGCCCGTGGAACAATGACCCAGTCAGCTTCCCGCACCAACAATCGTGCACCATCCCGTTCAAGCGCCCTACTCGCCCTCCTCACCGCCCATCTTGGCGATCCACTTGTTCATGTGCGAGAACTTGTCTTCAAACGTCTTCTGCAGCTTCTCTCCGGCATTCCACATTGGGTCTCCCTTCTTCCAGTACTTGAAGCAGTTCTCAAAGATCTGCCGCACATCTGTCGCAAACTCCTCGTCGTTGCTGTAGTCCTTGCGGTCCATCTTGGTCTTGATCGTGCTAAGGTCCATTGGCCGCTTGACCTTGTCAAAGTAGTCCGGCACGCCGTCTTCGACCGGCTCGACCGGGTCACGGAAGGGGCCGACAAGACGTGTCCAGAAACCTATGGATTGATTAGAACACACAAGACACTAGCCCCTGGCGGAAGATGAGCACATACCGGGTCCTGAGAGCATTCTAGTCAGGAGATCTGCGCAAAAGTCCAGCTTCTGCGCTGTTGTAAATGTGCGGCTGTCCACATAGCCGGCACTTGTTCGGCGCTTTGGTACTGGCTTGGGGAGAGAAGGCCGGGGCGGCTTGTTTTTGTTGGCCAGCTTCTGGTCGACAGATGGCAGAAGCCCGCTAGGTGTGCCCAAAGATCGCCGGTTCTTTTTGGTGTTTTTGATAACCTCATCTTCACTCTCTTCTTCCAGATAGTGCACGTTCTTGCGAGGGGTCGCAGCTGAGATGACGGACGTATCTGCCACCGCCGTGATGGTATCAAAGGAGCTCATGGCTACGACGAGCTCGCTGAGCACCTCCTGTGGCAACGACTTTGCAAACTCTGCCCTAGCATCGGAAGAACGCATGTACTCTGCCGTCCACGACAAGAGAAGCTTCCTGATCGATGAGCCCTCGGGAGTATCCTTCCAGACCTGAATGAGCAGGGGCGTGGCTGGGATCCGCTCCGTGATGCGCCGGCAGTCGACCATGGCTTCGAGCGTCTTGTCACACAGTCCCCGGATACCCAGCTTGTGCCCCAGGTTCCACAAGCCGACGAGCGCCTCGTATGACGGCACGTTGGACACATCGGAAATGACCGCGTCGGTGTAGAGGAAACTCTGAGCCAACCCAAAGACCTCTTGTGTTGCGTCTGGGAGTCGCACAACGTGCTCGACCTTGTCTTCGATGGCGGTCGAGGAGAAGTGTTTCTGGAAAAACTCAGATCGGTCGCACAGAAAGTCCTTTTGGATTCCGAAGGGCTGCTCGTCGGGACCGATGAGTATGATGACGAAAATGGGGTGAGGTTCGCTGTGGTTTTTATCAGTATTGTCTTGAAGTCATTGACGTAAAGAAGGGCGTGTCATACAGCCATGAGAATGGTCGCTTCTCTTGGACATTGATATTGGCCTCGGTGACCAGGGAGTCCCCGCCGTTTGGATGTTCTGACATATTGGTACTGCAGATCAATGTCAGGAAGGGTGAGTTCCATTAAAGCATGGGAGGGTGCTGTGTTTAAGATAAGACGACGTCTCTTCATGATGTGAATCATTGTCACTGGAGGCCTCGTACTCAATCCCTCGTCACAATAGGCCACTTTCATATTGTCGCTCGTCGATAATTTTCCAAGCCATGAATCACGGCTGGTTTAAAGGGGAAGATGTAGATAGACTTACATTGTATTTGGCGATGCTTCTGCTTTGTATGGCCTGGCAGCTCAATTCAACCTCGACGGAACCACCAGCCGCTCGCTGCCCGTCTTACGGAGTTGATCGGGTTCGGCTCGCGTTTGTCGGCAGTCTCAGTCGTAACTCATTTGGCGGTGACGTTGGTTTGAGAATTGCTCGGCAATGCTCGTCACACGGTGAATGATGCTCAACTACGATGAATCGCGATGATCGTGATGCTGGTCGTCTGAGCAGGCAGCGTGAAGTGACTGTGTTGAGATTGTGGGCCAATAAGAGACGTCGACTTGTCTGTGTGGCGCGTTCGTGATTGGAAGGAACGACGGTCCCGGAGATTGTCCGCTTCCGTCCATGTTTCCTTTTGGGCTTACCCTACAGCCATCAATCCAACTGGACTCGAGCTCCCTTTGATCACTCGAGCATTGGTTGAGTATTTTCCTGATAACGTAGAAGCTGGCGATGGATCCTACGTCCTGGTAGACCGCAGTACGTATACAACTACGTCATGGTCATGTGAAACATCTTCATCATTGTTAAGAAAACTGCTGTCGACAATCTGATGTTCGGCGCATCGCCAGGTGAATACCACCACGAAGAATCAGGCATGCCAAAACTGGAAACTTGTTTGGAATGACCTCTACTAACGGGATTTCCTGCCAAATCCATCGAATTTGTTTAGGGGTGGGCTCTGGATCAGATTGCGCCTTTACTTCTCTCAACGTTTATTCCAAGACGCGTAAGGACGGGAAGGGTTTACACGCCAGTTCAACCCAGAAAGAGCGGGAGCAAGGTTATCACCTCAACCCACAGCTCCGATAAATTACCCATTCTCAAAGAGGAAAAATGTGGTTGGTCCGGAAGTGGTCATCATTAAGACACACAACAGAGGTAGGTGACGGAGGAAGATCCGCATTGATTCGCTAATGGGTGGATTTTCTTTCATCCCATTGAATAGGCGAGCGCGGGTGCTGATCGCCAGCCCCAGCACACAATGGATGACTGGATTTCTGATTTAATGACGTATTCTTGAAATCAGGTTGTGTCCCTTATCCCCAACTTGCTCCCTTCCACTTGGCTATCTGCGGTGCACCTCTTCAGCCCAATCCGCCAGAAACGTGACTTTTTGCCGAACCTTTGTATGAGAGGTTTGAAAAACTAGACAAGCCCCAATGACCCCATGGCTCCGATTTTGTTCGAGGGTGCAAGATAACACGCGGTTATACTGCTCGGTTGTCACTCAGAGGAATGCCTTCGTAAGCATAGGTATGAGATAATACCTTGGACTTGGAGTCTTAAATTTCGTCAGACTCGCGTAGTGCAGAATGTTGACTAAAGTAAAAGTACACCAATTGGGTTCGTAATTGTTTGTAACCAAACAAATTGTATGGAGGTATATAGAGGTGCTCTCTCGTGACTACATCTCTAACTCATTGATTAAACATGAGTCTCCACGACTAGAATCTAACCCCAGAAGTAAGAGGAATGAATCCGCTTCCCTTTGGAAGCTTAATTACATTGGGGACGATTGAATTAATGATAGGTCATAACCGTTCGTGAGACCTAGATGTTTGCTATCCTTTCCTATCGCAGGATCAACTCCGGGTCGCCGAACCAATCTGCCTACCCTACACCGCTCGTCGATATCAAGCGGTCTTAGGTGTCCCCCATTAGGATTGCATATGATCTAACCAATCCTATGGAATCGTAGGACTGGTGGCTTATCGTATCATGCAGGCCATTGAATCTTGCTGCTTCTATTGGGAGACGCTCGGCGCTATTCAGTTTGTGCATGTGTGCATGCCAATTGACTGCATGTACTGCACTAATTGCTGTGTCGGTGAGACACACATTATCTATTGTCTAACCATTTCGCATTCCAGCTCACAATTGGAGTATCTTTACACTAATAGAAGTTGTAACCCGACACCGCCAAGCATCGAATGACATGCAGACGCAAATCATATCTCATTTATGACAAAGGACATACCCGCAATAGCTCGGTTATGGGGCTATGACTCCGAGACGAGATGCAGGCAACCACATCCACTTCATGTATCTCGAATCTTCTGCGCGAAGTGCAAGAGTTGCGCAACCTGGGTGCTAGTTCCACACCGACTCTCTCTGTTACATTCCCTCTGTGCGGACATCCCTCCGTGTAGACATCCCTCTGTGCGGCCTGGTGTGAATCTTCTCACTTCTCCCAGGAACCTCCTTGCCCGGATGCGGCCCGCTATCAAACCGCTAGCCACCCAAGTTGACGTGTATTGTGTTGGGAGTCGTTGCGAGTCAGGCCGCCAGTGGCGAAGCTAAATAGAAGTTGCATTGTACCGTTGAAAAAGTATTACTCTTGATTCATGCTGTTGTACCGTATCCACACAGTCTTATTCCCCGCCAACAGGCACATATAGGCATGGGGGAGCGAGCAGAAACATGGCCATAGCGGCGGCTATCAAGGAGTTATTTGCTTGTGATTAGAAAACCAATGGATCATTGGAACGTGGACCGGCGATATGGCGATGAAACAAGAGACCAGCGGCGGCTTTCTCCGGAGACGGCATGCTGATACGTGACAGGGACCAAAAATGGCGACGGCCCTCGGACGAAGCCTCTCCGCCGTTAACAGCGGCGTCCAGTTGCAAACGGGGGCAAGGTCATCTTGCTGATGCCGCAACCGTCCGTATCAATGGCCGGGAAATACGAATAGACAAGGGGATGACCTCACTGTTTCTCCCACGGGGAGTCGAGTAACATGCTACAGCCACTCCCCCAGCTTCTCTGTGCAGCGGATGTGCGGGAGCTGCTCCAGGTTTTCGATGGCCTTGGCCTCGACACTTGCCGGACGCGCAACCTCAAAACCCCAGATCTCGATGAGCCGGCTGTCCACCGCAACATGTAATCCGGACGTGTCCTGTATTCATCAGGCGTTTGCTCTGCCCACCGCCAACCCCCCGCAGCTTGGCCCCCGGCTCTTCCCAACAGAGTTGCACTGGCACCCTCCACGAAGGTCGAGTGCCGAGGGCCGTGATCCGAGGACGCAGCACGAACCCGTCATCGAACGATTAATCGATACAGCTCCTCCATGTGCTATTCCCGTCGTCGCAAAATCCAACCCCAGACGGCCGTCTCGTCGGAGAAAAGCAACAAAAGGGGGGGATACATCCCGCAAAGGTGTCAACGTAACAGGATCGTCGCCCATCTGCCGCGCATATGCCGATGAGGCATCCGAAAGCACACTCCCGGCCAATGAACCAGGCGCCGTGATTGGAGGGGATGGCAACGCGATCAGGCCAGAAGACGGTCCTGGCGCGTGCTTCAACAGTCCACCCACCATCTTGTTGTGCATTTGCTGCATTCCATCCCTTGTAGCACTCGCTGGACGTCCTTGTCCGCTGGTCGCGCGACACCGCGTGCCCCAGCTTGGCTCTCTCCGCCCTTTCCCGCATCCGACATCGATCCCCCGATGAGAAGGAGGAAGTTACATTGCACCTCGTTCCGCTGCCGGACGGGAACACACCCCAGACGCCTCAAGGTCCTTCTCCGCCGCGCCGAGGAGAGGATGTGGCGGGGCAAGACAGCGTTGTCGGGGCCGGCCTTCGCCCGTGAGTGTGAGGTGCGATCGGCCCATGTCGATGGGGAATCGCCTGAGCGGCCTGCAGATGCGCTTTGTGCCGGACGGCCTGGAGCTCACGTACGATGGGGATGTGACTGACGGCCGGGCGGTCTCACAAGTATGTATGCAGTGGTACTGAGATTGTAGCACAAGTTGGAGTAGCAATCTAGCACCCGAGAAGGAAAAAGTTGACGGCGGGAGTTGGTTGGACGAGAGAGGGCCATCATCGGCGTGAAGCGTCGGCTTGAAGCATCGGCCTGGAGGCATTGTCGGCCACTGATAGCTTCATCTAGTCATGTCTGTACATTACCTCAAGGCCAGCGGTGTGTCGACCTAAGCAGGCCCGACCTTCGAAGCCAATTGATGCCCATTCGCGGATTGAGGACATCACTCCGGATCGTCCTTTAGCTTGAAAATCGGTAGGAGCTACATTTCCGTGCTACTGCCCGCGTCACACAGAGCTGTACCACAGAGCGTCTTCCCAAGGCGGTGCAACCACTTGGATTGAGCACCAACGTAGTCTAGTCCATCCAGTCCAATGCAGGCAGGGCAGTGACGCTAGTGGCTTCTTATCCAGCTGCGTGTCCCAGATCGTGAGATCTGGCGCCTGGAGTGTGCCGCCATAAAACGCAAAGATGGGTACGGCGCTGCTTGGTGGTGTTGAAGAGGCCGGGGTAAAAGAAAAAAAAAAGCCACCCTGGCGGTGTGCATTCATAGTGGCAGCCCAACAACGACCCAGCAGAAAAAAAAACCTTTCACAAGCTCAACTACACCCAATGGCTGGGGCAGCTCGATCTTGTCGGTCTGTACGGGTTGTATCGCCGCCTGAATTCATTGGGCCTTGCTTGTCTGCGTTGTTTGTTTGTCTCGGACCGAGTGCGTCCAGCAAAATACGGTAAATCGAAATAGGGCTTTCCATCCCCACACATTGCCCTGCACCAGTGAGACATGAATGCCTCGCCATCGGATTATCGCCGAGTCTCTTCTCCACTGCCGACGATGACGTTGGGAAATTGTATAGACAAGGCAGCAGGAGGCTTGCATGAAGCCGCTAGGACTGGGCGAGTTGCAACCGAGTACCCAAGTTCAAGCATCCAAGCACATCGGAACTTTCTCCGCAAGTGCAAATCTCCCGTCTGTCCCGGGGGCACAGAGCCACAGACTGGTGACAATCGGCCTATTCTTGGCAGCCAATCCCACGCCTTTGCGACCTAGCTCTCTGCTCTTCATGGCCCTCCTTGCCTTCCAGCCCTCTCGATGCTCCTCTGCGTCGTCCTCCTTGCCTCCTTGCCTCCATTTTATGCCCGTTCGTATGCCGAGGATTGCTTGTCCACCTGGCCGCCTCCCTCTGTCGAATCGCCACCCCTCAATGACGCAGGGCTGAGCACCGTCATTCTAGGGAGTGTGGTGTGTCCCTACAAATCCCCAGAGACGCTCTTGTCCAAAGGATGTCCTCCACGTTTACCCTCCAGGTATCTTTTCCCCACAGCCACAGCGACGACACGACCGGCCCGGTGGAGCACCAAGTGCCGCTAGCTGTTTCCGCCTCACTTATGGTGGAGTCTCTTGGCTAAGTCACGCCAATGATGCCATTTTGGAAAATTCTCATCCTTCCAGAAGCATGTCATCTTCTGGGAGGCCCGGCTAAATCTGACGAAGTCCTCCCCAGGGCTTCTACGACGCCTCCACGCCGCCTCCACGCCGCTTCCACGGCCTGCCACTATCGGTGTTCGGCCGGACTTGACCGATGCCCAGACAAGCCGACATTTGACCGGTAGAAATGGTCGCCTCTCCCTCTCCACTGCCCAACTTTTCGTCATGGCGGATCCGTCGTCTAGTAAGGGGCTCATATCAATGCGCTCTGCCGTTCGACTCCTTGGTTCTGTGGGGTTTACCCGGGGAGCTTTTTCGCTCGTGGAGCTCGGTGTACCTTCTCGGCGCTTCACCGGCGCCGAGAGGGAGACACTGCTCCGGGGTCGTCATCCATCAATATTGCTCGGTCGCTCTTCAGTCGCTTTCGTACAGTCCCTCTCTGCCACCGTCGCTGTCGCCGTAGCCATCATCACTGTATTCCTCATCGCTTCGCCCGACCTCCTGCCCCAGGAGAATATCTTCACTTCCTTGCCACTGAGGTGGCGGGGCCGGCATTGCCGCCTCATCGCCATCCCCCCATCCGTAATTTTCATCATCCTCGCTATCAGGCACTTCGAGTTCTGTGTGTCCCCGTTTCCGCTTCTGGCCTGGCATATCGATTGATTGAGTCGCATCGTAGGGCACCTTGGCCAAGCCGTCCTGGTGTGATGTGAGCAAACCCCCGCAGCGTTCACAGATCATGCCGACATACTGGTTCCACTTTAAATGCGACAATATTTTCCACGGCCTCATGGGTCGCCTTCCCATCGAGTTTTTGCAGGCCTGCCAAAAAGACGCTGGCTAGTTTGTTCCCTTGCCAGATCCAATCTCGGAACAGAACCAATCGAGTTGACACGCCTTGTTCCCAGACTGTTGCGTTCACAGCGGTAGTCAGGGTTGCGCCCCTCTCTGAATGCACTTTTGTCGCACACTGCGACAGGATCACAACTGCGCAATTCCTGGTTGCAGCTAGTTTCTGAAGAGCGTTCATTATGGATTGAAGCGCCTGCACTCTTTTTGCGGCGGGGGTTGGTCCTGGGTAGATATCAATAAGTGGCTTGCAGTGGCTCGATTATGCACATACCCTTGCTAAGCTTAGGAGCCGCCTTTGCATCATTGCTCTTGGGCAAAGCCGAATTTACCAGCGCAGACAGGGAACTGATAACCAATAAAGAGCAATTGGCCGCTATTGATTTGGGTGTTGGGCGCGAAACGAGAGCGATGAAGTGAGGCAGAGTGAGACAGGAGTAGTGAAAGAAACGGCTCGAGTCGCTCTCCTGTTCTCCTTCAGGGGCGTTAGGGACATGAGACTTCCTTACCCCGTCGACTACTGCCTTGATCCTATGACTACGTACTGCCTGGAAGCAGTCTATGCAAAAATAGTCGGGTTAGACATGCCTGGAAAGTTGAGGGTGCGTTTGATTCACAGACCTACCCAGACCACGGCGTCGCCATCACACAGTGTGTTTGCGGCAAGCTGTAGACTTTCGAAAGTGTCAGTCGAGAGTCCATCCTTATCAAATAACTCGACCTCTTACCCCAAGGCTGTCTTGCCTGTTCCTGGGGGTCCCCATATCTCTGTCACTTGGCCCCGTTTCACACCACCGTGCTGAGGAGAGCCCTGGGTGTCAATCGATATTGCACCAAGAAGTGCTTGATCTAGATCATCCAAGCCTGTCGGTATGAGACTCGAAGTGTCGTCTCGTAGCTCGTCTAGAGCCTGAGATGCCGAGACGGTTGGCAGTCGGTCTGCCTCATGGGTTAGCTTTGGCCCGTGTCGTGGGATGCATCGTGAGACTGACGGGTACCAGGTGTGTCAAAGCTAGCTCTGTCATGACCGTGAATCGCATGATAATTGTCCATCCTCCACCGTCATTCCGTTGGCGTGGAGTACTCCAGCCAGTCAATGAAGCTGTCGTGAGTGGTCAACACCGTGTGGCGGCATCGCACGTGTTGGAGGGGACACGCGTTCACGTGACACCCAAAATGCCAGCTTGGTGTGTCCAGGTTAGGAAGTCCGGGCCGCCCACCTCCTCTCAGTCAGTGGAAATTGAACGGCGACGAAACCCAACTTCGATGGAACATTCGATTTGAGGGCGCATCAGCCCACCGAAGCTCACCTGAGCCAGCCACTCCGCGTCTCCCGGTGGCCATTATCCTTTCCCCATACACCCCGGTGAACTACATCCTCCCGTGTTGAGCCCGTTTCGAGCCATGAATCTCGATAAGGCGGACCACTCCGCTACCCCAGCATGGGGCATGGGCAGTTTAACCACCGTGGCAAATCGCTCCCCAGTTTGCCAATTGAAGCCGGGCAGGCGATTTATCATCAGATGGTCCTCTGTTTTTGAGGCTTCGTGTTCCAAGGGAATACTGATAATACATAGCCCCGGTCGGTCTCTGGTATAGAACGGCCATCGCTTTGCGGAGGCTCCATAGACCAAGCCTGGGGAACAAAATATGCAAGAGGCTGAGTACCTAATTCATCATGTTTCATTAAACCTCGGTTGTCAGTCCGGCACTTGTAGAACACCATCTCGGATGATCCCAGCAAGTATTGGGGACACAACCGACTCCCGAGGCGAGCAGGTGGCCTCTAGCAGAACCGGGCTGAGCATGATGTTCCAAACTATCAATAGGTAGTCAGGGGTCTAGTATTATCCGTGCGTCTGCGGAGTCGCGGGTTCGCGGAGTCGCGGAGGACTAATTGCGAGGTCATCTCCCGAGTTGGATTTGAGACTTTCTGTGGCCAGCGCATGATCGAGCCCACTGATACTGACTCTGGTTAATTATGTTGCACCCCCTTGAGACGGGAGGAAGGATGAGTCTGTGGGGAAGATAAGCCTACCCCATTCCCCGTTACCCCGAACCCCGGCAGAAGACGGAAGAGATTTCGAGTCACAGGATTGACAGTCTGGGGTCGTGATAGGGGCTAATCCGCCCCAGCCAAGCAAAGATAAGAAACCGAGCATGACCTTGGTCGGGAGCGCGCGACAGGAGCGCAAGGAGAACTACAGGGTTGGTCGACAACGGACTTTGTCTTCCAGCTTCCAAAACTGTCGCCTGGCGACGGGGATCCTTCGAAGCTTGAGTTACACTGCGGCCAAGCTCGTGCGTCGCATGAGTTACCCCTTGGGCTTCGGTTCGTAACAAGTCGCATATGATGCGGCGAGTGTTTGCATTTTACCGGATCACGATACTGGCCACAGCTGCATTAGTTGCCATCGCCGTGATCGGCCTTGGCTCAGCCGCTGCGGGATCAGGAGATTCAATGTCTGGGTAGCTAACCTCCCTGTTTCTGAATCTCCTCTTCCAGGGCGAGCTGGAGCGCTTCAGCCTCCCCCAGCTATTGCCCCACACTGATAGTAATGCGGATCAACGTGGTATCAACGCGGTTTCCTATTTAGCGCAGCTACCAGGGAATTGACCTGTGCGGCGGTTTTAATGCTCATTGCACATGCCAAGGACCCGTGGCTCTAGTTGGTGGAGTTTGGTAGTCAGCGATGAGGCTTAGAGGAAAGCTCGTGCGGCGAGTCTCTAAAACCCTCACCCGGCTAGATGCGGCGGCTGCAAGGTACCGAATACGATGACACTCCATGACGGGGCGGCGTCGGGGAGCTTGGTTATGGGTGGATGGATGGATGGATGGATGGATGGATGGATGGATGACAGGACCCTAGGACCTGGAACCTGGAACCCTAGGAGGCTCTGAGTCCATGAAACCCAGGAGTTCCTACGAGGACCGAGCTTGCTCTCGGTGAGGGCACCGGGCCGGTCTGGTCAAAGGTCACAGGAGGTATCTCCTACCTGGCTGGAGCAACGAACAGTCCTTGTAGAGGCCTGGTAGCTGAGTGCGGAGACAGCTGATTTCGGCGCGACATGTCATCTCACCTGAGGCTCGGCCTCCACACCGACAGCGACATGTCACCATTCGCCTAGAAGGAGTGCAACTGTGCAGATACTGTGTAATTTGGCGCTGGTTCACAGTGCTGGTACGGCTCGGCCAATATCGGGGACATTTCGCGGAATAACGGGGAAGAGTTTTTTTTCTCACAAACAGTGGCTCTTGGTTCCAGTCAATCATCCACTTCGTTGTTTGACCCCCACATGTCGTCTTTATGCGCTCCGCCGCACCTCCGAGCTGTCCCCGTAAAGGGTCCGGGGGCGTCATCAATCTCTTCCAATATGGCTCGCACAGAGATACGCCGAGTCGCTACCTGTTGACGGACCCGCGGACGTAGCATGGCGTCGAGATCCGCACGCCCCTTTCTCCTAGCAATCCCTCGCAATGCCTGAGGGGATCAACAATAGCTGAGCCGCACCCTGCCTGCAGGGGGGATCATTGCTGATTGCTGCATTGTGCATAAAAAAGCTGGAGCCCCACGAAGCTTGTCGAAGATCCAGACCTTAGGATCTGCGGCGAGGGACGCCCGCAAGCCACCAAACGCTGCGCTGGGAACGAAAGAGCCGACCAGCAAGGGATACACGTTTTTGACAGGTTGACTCGAGTTTTTCGACGCTCAAAGGGTGCCGAGGCTATGTTTTTTGGTCGCCACCTTCTGGGTTAATTTCGGTGTTGTCCACAGGGCATTTTCTATCACCGCGGAGCCGACGGCCCTCGGGAAGTTAGTGCCGCACTGAGGGCCGCAACCGCCCCCGGTTTCCAATACCACGTGGGGGATGTCGCTCTGAGCGGAGAACAGTGAGCTCTCTGGTGCGATTCATCCACTGCGCTCAGCCGAGATGACATGCCCTTGTTGAGCCTCTTACGCATCTGGGACCTTGTACGGCTACTCCACAACCAGGTCCCAAATCAAGTCACCGGAATTGACACATGAAAAACACAATTGATGCATCCTGCCATGAAAATCCAAGCTGGGCGAGCCATGCCCAGGGGCCCAGCTTGACACTTGACGGGGGTGTCAAAGTGGAAGCGACCCAGTCAGGAGTAACCTGCCATCGCATGTGTCAAGGGTTCTAGCAACGTCGTTGCGTTGAGAATCGTCTGAGGGCGAGCTTCGAGGAAGCGGAGAGAAGGTCGCCAGGAATGAATACAATAGTGTAGAATTTACCTGGGTGTAGAGGAGAGTTTGGAGGTTGTCATGGGTTGGGGGTGAACAATCACCCATTCACCGGGAAGCCGACCGAGTCCTAACCAGGTCCTCGGATTCAGGGCGGGCGCATTGGCTGACTTGGCTGGACATGGTTTCCCGCATCCCCATGCCATCAGCGCACTATTATCGGGGCTTCATTGAGGAGAAATACATGGACAGGCGCCTGATATGGAGGCTCTCCAGAGAGGGGAGTCCGTGATAGCGCAGGGACAGGCAGAGTTGACCCTGGAACCGCCACGACGCATCAATTGGAACTAATCGTTAGCCACGTTCTGTTGATCAACAAATCTCCATGCGCCAGTGGCAATGTTTGTTGACGCACGGAATCTGGGGACGATTGTCGGTCCGTTCGCCTTGTCGGTCCGAGAGCGCCGGAAGATTTGGCGGCCGTTCACCTGAATGATGTGATGCTATCTGGGTCGGACTTTGAGTTGGGTAGTTCCGCCACACACCCAAGCGTGCGGACATCGCCGTTCCGAACCGCCGATTCCTAGGATAAGATCTGAGATCATTTGCCCCGGAAATTCCTGATGGAGCTAGCGCAGTGGTTGCGACAGGCACTAGGCTCTGGGTATCTGGGGGGGCGCCATCGCACAAGGGGAAGCTGGAGAAGTTGGAGAGCGAACAGAGCCTCTTGGCCGTGCCCCGGTTACAGTTTCCTTATCTGCGCACCCACTGGCTCTGGGGTGAAGAACGACAGGGTGTTTTGCTGGAAAGGGGAGAGTTTGGGCGGCTTCTAGGCAGGGGGAGGGACGCCGGTGGCTTGCAAATCCCTACCATCTTCTAGAGCCTCGAGGTACCTCAGGCGTGATATCAGCCAAAATGGCTTATCACCCCCACGCTAGGTTGCCGCACCCCTGACCGCATTGTGCACAATTGGCCCGCCCGGCCTGAAGCTCTCGCTGATCATTTGCAAAAAAGGAAGTCTGGGGAAAGGTAGCCCGCGGATCCGCCTGCTGTGCTGAGCTGCTAGGGAAAGAGGCCAAGAGGGTTGCTCATCAAGAGGGTCAAGATGGGGATGAGATAGAAAGACTGGAGTCTGGATGCATTCGAGGCCCTCGTGATGGCGCAAATGCGGAGATGGAGACGTCCCAAGGTCGACCTAGGCCTTTGGACCCCAGAGATAAACTCCATCGAGAGGTCAGGGCCACGGCTCATTTGATCCATTTTTGGGCCGAGGATATCGTCCGGGGATGGGGCGGACATGAGGAAGTTGGGGAGGCAAATCCTGAGAGCCGGGGTATGTCTGTCTTGGTGCGGTCTCGCCCCGAAAATGCCAGCGACGCATCCACACGGGGGCAGAGACAAAGACTGACGATAGTAACCAGGCGGATGGTGCACTTGGCACGATCCCCAAGAGACCCGGAGAGACCCCGAGGCGGGCTGAAGCGGGCGGAACTCTGGGGTGCGCGCTTATCGCGTTGAATGGCTGGACCACGCCGGAGCCAAAATGACGATAGCAACTAGACCTGACTTGAGTGTCCTAGTGCCCCCAGACGACCTAGGACAGAGTCTAGACGAGGGGAAAAGAGAATCTGGAGACAATATCGTAGGGCCGGCTATATTGATCTAAAGATGTGTCTGGTGATGGTCAATCTGTCTTATCATGGGCTTTGACGTGGGTCGGCCTGGAGACATGACCGGCCCTGAGTCTGGTGAGAATCCCCACAGCCGGTCTTGGCTCCGGGGCCGCGTGCTGCGATGCCGCTCGACTATTTTCCTACTTGTGTCTTCCATCAGGGGATTTCCAGGTGTTCCTGGTTTATGCCGGCAAGATTGCGAATATTCTCGGATTCGCACCCGAGTGAGATGGGGTTTGCTGGAGAGAGTTTCCTCTAATCCGGGGTGTGTGGAAGCTGGGGTAAAGGTAGGTTGAATGCGGAAGCTAGTTTTGGATAACTAGTCAGAGCACAAGACTGCCGACGGAAAAAAGCAAAACGGAGTGATTGACAATGTGAGCCAATGCAAATTGGGTCTGGGATGGATGGAAATGGCGCCCTCGTGAGGCATCGTGAAGTCCCTAAGTGGAAGGAATTCACGCCAACAAGCGAGTCAAGAGCCCACAAGGGCCAGGGCAGCCCCCCACCATGTCTAGCATCAGCGGCGGATCGATGGAGGGGATGGATGTAGCATGGCATGGGGATGGGCATTAGCACGGCATCGCATGATGGATGATGGGCACAAGTTGGACCTTGAGGGTGAGCCATTACGTACGTGGCAGCTCGTTTTTGTTTTACTTTGCAGGATCGAGGTGGTTTAGTTTAGTTCATGAATACGTGCTTGGGTCGGCGGCTGGCCTAATAGTGAAGCCAGGTTCTGACGGACGTCCAGCGCAAGAGCATGATAATGACAAGGACAGGACGGATGGAGAATCTTCGGGCGGGTCACCGAGCGGAAGGGGAGAAATACAGGCTGACTATTGCGACATCCAAGGTCTAATTTTCCCCCAAGCCACCGAGGCACAAGGTCAACGGAGACTAGGGTGAAAGGACCAAAGACTTGGGCGTCATGGTCGCAAATGCTGCAAATGCTTAGCTCTGCCGACGCGCCGACTGACAGAGCGAAGAACAGCCGACGTGGCGGGCGCAGGGCAAAGGGCTTCTCAGCGCTCGGCGACAATGGACACGACGGCCAGGCCTTGAGACGAGTCAAGCAGAGGGCAGGGCCTTGGAGCCACTGGATGGAATGGAGACCAATCAGTCGAGCACGGCAGTACACGCCTGCGCGCCCCACGCCCCGGGCCGGCCTTGGGCGAGCGGTGGTGGAGTGAGGTGGGAAGGGGGAAAAATCTCACCGTCGAGCGGCGAAGCGGGCGAGCGAAGGGGCAAGCTGGAGCGCACCGTCCCCACTCGAGCGCTGGAGGTTCGCCCGTCCACCCCTCTTGGCGCGTCCAGAAGCACTGGAGGCGCCGGCGCCGGGGGCGTGGAGCGTGGAGAGGGATAAGAGAGGACGAGAGGGCGAGCGAGAGATGGAGAAGAGTCGGGGTGTCGGGGTGTGGGCTCCGGCTCTCCGCCTGGGGGAAAGCCAATGTCTCGGGGGGGTCGCTGCAGCAGCATCGCATCCCCAGTTGATGACAGTCGACCCTGGGGCCCTCGACCCAGCTGTCGTCATGTTTCCCGTCTATCGCATTCGCCGGCAGTGCGCCGTGTGTTGCGGATACGTGTCGTCACTCGGTCCCTCTGGCTCTCTGGAAGGGGGGGAACTCTCCTCTCGGCCATGCCCCGGAGCAGGTCGCTGTACCAAGGCACGGCGCGGCTCGGCGCAGTCTGTCGCGGTATCTGGCTACCTTAGCGGTGGTGGCCCAGGATACGCTGTAGATATCCTCTATCTCCCCGAGCGAGCGGCCATCGGATGGGGATGGGGATGGGGGCGCCAAATCTCGTAGCTTCGGAGCCTCCTGCTTCTCCCGCCTGGGGTGCTGGCGCCGCCCTCCAAAACCCACACGCCCACACCCTCTCCCTCCCAAAACTCAGTCACCCAGTGCCTCAGTCAGTCATTCTGCTCAATCAGTCAGTCACACCTTGACACCCACGCCCCGTTGCCCCACGGCTTCGCCCCACGTCTCACGCCCACACACAACCCAACCCACGCTCCGCCCTATCCCCACCCCCTTGGACCCTGGGGGCCCTCTCTCACCCACCCGCTCCTCTCCTCTCCCCATCGCACGCACCTTGGCACCCACTAGCCATTCCCTGCAGCCGTGTACTGTACGTAGCACGTCGTAGCGGTACGCCGGCCCCCCCAGCGACCTGCCCTGAATGCTCCTGTTTTACCGCTGCCTGCAGCGGGTTCAGGTACCCAACCCTCGCTACATGCGCTGCGCTATGCTGTGCTGCGTGGGTACCGACCCGGCCGAGCCCGGCGTCGTTTATAACCATTTGATCCCCCCGTCCCCTCCCTCGTCCAAAGATTCCCGTCCTCCAAACTGCCAACTACCAGATCCCTCCGGACTTCCCCAGCTTTTGCAACCTGCACACTCACTCACCTTCCCGAAGACGCCCAAGGACTCCTTCGCCTCTTCGGTCAACAACATCCACCACACCAACACTTGAACAACGCTCACTGCCATCGACTTGTCAACGGTCCTCCCCCGGACTTATCTACGACTACAACATAGCACCCTTTGTGTAAGCCACCGGTCGACAACAGCCGCTTCACATGCAGCGAGCACAGTCCGCCGTGGATTTCTCCAATCTCCTGAATCCCACAGCATCGGCAGAGAAGGAATCCGAAAACTCCCAACAGGGTGACGTCGAGATGGCAACCGCAGCAGTCACCGTCATCAAGCCCAATGGGCCTCTACCCGGCGCCCAGGCCTCAGAGAGCTCTAACGAGTTGCCTCGACCCTACAAGTGCCCCCTTTGCGACAAGGCCTTCCACCGCCTGGAGCACCAGACGCGCCACATCCGCACCCACACGGGCGAGAAGCCGCACGCCTGCCAGTTCCCTGGCTGCAGCAAGAAGTTTTCTCGCTCCGATGAGCTCACCCGCCACTCTCGCATTCACAACAACCCCAACTCCAGGAGAGGCAACAAGGCCCAGCAGCACCAGCACCAGCATCAGCATCAGGGCCTCCCGCCTCACATGCACTCCGAGGGAATGATGGCCCCGCCTCCCGCTCCCAAGACGATCCGCTCGGCTCCTACCTCGACTTTGGCTTCACCCAATGTCTCTCCTCCCCACTCTTACTCGACTTTTGCTCTTCCCCACTCCGCTATTCACTACAACCGCGGCGGTGACATTTCCATGCTGGCCAAGGCGGCCACCCAGGTTGCCCAGGTCGAGCGAGAGAGCTTCACTGCTCCTCCCCACCACAACTCGCGCCACCACCCGTACTACAGCCATGGAATGCACAGCTCGCGAGGTCACCTCCCGACCCTGTCCGCCTACCACATGTCGCGAACTCACTCCGGTGACGAGCCCAACGATGACCACTACAACGGTGCTCTTCGACACGCCAAGCGATCAAGGCCCAACTCCCCCAACTCGACGGCTCCCTCATCGCCCACCTTTTCCCATGACTCTTTGTCTCCTACCCCAGACCACACCCCCATCGCTACGCCTGCCCATTCTCCTCGCCTGCGACCTTTCTCCGGTTACGAGCTCCCCAGCCTCCGGAACCTGTCTCTCCAGCACAACACCACGCCTGCGCTCGCACCGATGGAGCCCCACCTGGAGCACAGCCAGTTCCAGACTCCTCCGCCTACCACAGCCCCCAGGTCCACTGGAATGTCGCTGACCGACATTATCAGCCGACCTGACGGATCTCAGAGGAAGCTCCCCGTTCCCCAGGTCCCCAAGGTGGCTGTCCAGGACCTGTTGTCGGACAACGGATTCAGCCACAGCGGCAGGAGTTCTGCGGCGGGAAGTCTAGCTGGCGGCGACCTCATGGATAGGATGTAGGGCAGACCACATCCATGGCTTGGCACTTCCTACGACTTGATGACAAACTTGGGCTATAGAGGTTTAGACGGAGACGGCGTTTACAGGGTACTACATGGCAATCGAATTTCTCCTCATGAGTTGAGCAATCGGCGAGGACTTGGGCGGCACTTGTGAAGCGGCCCAGATGACTGGGTGGGCGGGCTGATAGGACATCAGGACCTGAACCCGCCCTTGGGAGGCTTTTTTTTTTCTTTCTCGGAGGGGATGGTGGACTAGACTTGTCGAATTGCGGAGCACTTGGATTTTCTCTCGGGCTTGCCTCGGGGCCACCATACCTCGGCCGGAAAAGCAAAGTATATTTGATATACCAGGTTTTTTTTAATCTTGTGAAAACTCGACTCTCTTGCTATGAAAGCTACTATTATTATGTCTACTATGCTTCACTTCACACTGCTGTGTTTTTTTCTTTGTATGCCCCTCAGATGTGCATTATCCTGCAGGGACCGTAACGGCAGATGGGGCGGGGCGGGGCGGGGCAATCCTCTACTTTTCGCGATAAGACACAGATATGAGACGAAATGTGAATCAGGCAACGAATAATGTCTATTTCAAATTACTTTTGGCCTCCACTCCGCCTTGTGATTTACAATGTGCTACCTGCACAACTCACCGAGCCTCAAGTGACACGGAGGCCCCGTGGCGACCTGTGATGGAGGGGTTGGATTGAATGTCTTGGTCTCCAAATGACGCTATCTGCTAAGGCCATGAATTTCTTGTGCGGAACCGCAGCAGACGACGATATCGATGCACTAGTGTCGCCAGGTAAGTCATAGCACCTGGGGACTATGCTTGGGGCTGGCCTCAACAACTCAGCTCAGCTTAGCCAGCGCAACGCCCCGGGGGAATATGCCCCGGAGACGTAATTCCGTCATGTTCCATGGAATTGACGGGGTACGAGTTTGCACAGCGCACGGCACGGCACAGCGCGCCAGGGCCTGTAGGGAATGCGATTTTTGCTCGCCCCAGACGCTGTACGCGGGACCAGTGAGTCAATTCCAGCAGGTTGTAGGGGTTGTAGCGCCTCTCACACCCCTCTCGCTCACAGAAGCGTCCCCCCAGTCTGTCCCCCCATCCACCCCACATGATGGCTGAGGTGATGAGCAGCCCTCGATGCCGCCAGGGGTGGCCCCCCAAAAGTCAGATGTTCGCCCCGTCGTCACATGGAAGTGCCCAGACGACCTCAGGGAGATAACCCGTGAGAGAACAACTCGTGTAGGGGGGTAGGGAATATAGGCAACCTCTCCCGGCGACGGCACACGCTCTCATGGAATGGGTGGGCATTGGCGGGATTTGGCTTCCGTCGGCGTCAACATGCAACTACCATCTACGAGATAGCGTGCTCGGCACGGATACCAGTAGCCAAACGCTGGAAGGGAAGGGGGACTTGGATTAGTGCCGTCGTGCAACAGTTGCCGCGCCGGCGCTGGGGGCGCCTCGTGTCCCTGGCTCGGTTGTGCATACAAGTTTATCGGGCGATGCAACCAGTATATCTGCGGGAAAAGGCACTGCATGTCAAGTCCTGGCTGCACTGGCGGCCGGCACAACGAAGGAAAAAAGAAAAGATAAAAAAAGAAAAAAAGGGACCAAAAACCCCCCATCATCCTGGGGAAAGGCCACCAACGACAGCCCCGTTGGGGGGTGGCTCAGCTCCCCCAGGATCAACAGAGTACACGAAGCCACATATTACACCACGCCCGCTTCCCCCAGACGGCTATTTGCTTGTCCGCTTGGGGTAGTGGGTGTACGACGCGGGCGGTACCTTTGGACGGGAAGTGCCCGCCTTGATCCAATGTAGGCAACACACACACACACAAATGCACAAACGTAGGTAGTTTGCGACACCCAAGCGCCTGGTGAGATCACGTCAGCTCCTGAGGGCTTCAAGCGAGCTGCGCCTTGCTGAGAAGTCAATTTCTTTCAGCTTTCGCTGGTCCCTTGGCCGGCTTGGCGGGTCGTTTCTTCTGGCCGCTCTGCCCAGCGTGAGGAACCACGTTGCGGATGCGAAACAGGTTCCAAGCAGGGCTTTAGGAAGGTGGGAACAGCGGCGGTTTCGATGGCCGGTGGACCGCGAGGGATTCTGGCTATTCTGCACGGAATCCTCCTAAATACGGAGCAGACGGAATCCTGTTCCCTTGGGCGAGCGTGTTATCAGGTTAGCCCCGGCGAGGCTCGCCGTTCGGTCACTGGCTTGGAAGGTCGGTAAAGACAAAGAAGGAGGCCACGGACAACGTTACCGTCACGCACCTATGTGCAGAGTGGTTGGTGGTGGTGGCCTCACGTGTTACATGGCACATCAAATCAATTTTTGTTTTTGGCATTTTGATTTCTTTTTTTCTTTTGCCTGGACTTTGCGGCCACACTCGTTTCGCCGGCTGCCGGTTGATCAAAGGTTTGTGGTGGACAAGGCATTTTTTCCATCTACACCGCTAGACAGTACTGGCGAATGAGGTTGCTGAAGGTCGCCTGGTATGGTGTGAAGGAGGCAACTCTTGGGGTCTCTGCATGGAGGTTGTGATAAAAGTCTGGGGTGTGGGTGGGTGGCGTGCGGGTGGTCGTATCGCGGGGGAGGAGCTGGGGGGAGAGGGGGGGGGGCAAGCTGGTGATCGCGATGACGATTAGATGTCGTTGTGTCGACAGGACCGATCCGGTCCCGATGGGTCTTGAGTTTGAGTCTTTGAACACGCGAGGCTCGTTATTGGGAACAGCAATGCGCCTCGACCCTGGTGAACCTTGGGATAGTACCTGGTCCACGGAGTTTGGAACTGGGCATCTGCAAGCGAAGTCTTACCTTGACTCAGGGCGAGCGAATCCCGAGACGTGTTGGGGGCAGCAAGATAGCTGAGCCCAAAGCTGACGAGTCACGACATGTGTGCACCTTCGAACGGATAGAGGCGGTTCGACGGTGCAGGGACCTGAGGGAGAGGGTTGGTAGGTGGGCAGTCGATGGGACGGCATCGCGGGTCGACAACCTGATCCTGATCTAGCCACACAGAACCCGCGACGGGACGAGTCAACCATAGGCTGCGGCAGATGATGGGGGAACTAGAAAGCGATTCGAGCGCTTCGATGGGCCGTGATTCGTCCGCCTGGCAGGCTTCTAATGCCACGCCGGGGCCGGCTGCCAGCTGGGCTTCGACTCCCGGCCCCCAGGCACCACCCAGAAGACCCGGCAACAATACGCCCGTCACAGAGGGCTGCGCGCTGTCTCAAGATAGTCGAAAAGGGAGGCAAAGAGTCAAGACAAGTGTGAGGGTGGGGTCCGTTTGGGCGTCCGACTCGGGATAGTGCTCCTCTCATCTCATCCCCGCCAGCCTGTGAGAGGGTCAAGGCGACGAAAAGGAGAGAGGCAAACATCAGGGCTGATGCCGTGTCTCGTGTCTCGTGTCTCGTCACCCTTGCTGCCGTGTTCTTCGGGAGCTGAGCCGACGACAAGGGCGGATGATGGGACGAGGAAAGAGAGCACACGTGCTTCCCGGGAAAAGTGACGGCAAAGGGGGTGGTGTGGCCAAAAGCTGTCTGCCTCCTCGGCAGTCTGTACAAATGATTGGAACTCTTTTGGGGAGGCGTCGTGGTGACTCTGATGCCTCCCCAGCCCTGTTTCTCATGGATGGAGTAGAGGGGGAGATTGGCGCCGGAAGTGGATTGAAGCGGGCTTGACTTGACTGCTCATCACCCTATGTTGAATCCCCTCCAGTTATCACGTTCGCGCCTTGGCTTTTTGCTTCTCTTGCCAGGTTCTCTCTCACGGCGACTCAGTGCGAAACCCCGTCGCCCTGTTCTGTCGCTAGGATCTCCCTACATGGCAGGTAAAGCCCGGATCGGATGGCATAGCCGACGGGACACGCCCTTGCTAGGAGCCCCCCGGCAATAATCGCTGGCATATCCCACCTCAAGCCCGCGAAACGTACAGTACCTGAGCCATAATCCGGGGCTTGGTCGCGAGGCACCCTGATAGAGGGCGGTTTGGCGCTAGCCTTATCGCCAATAGCTGGCTCGCTGGACGTTTGGCTGGGATGGCTGTTTGCGCAGCCCCGATAATCGTCATCACCACGAACCTGGCGCTTGGACTTGGGCGGGGAGCTACGGGGACGGATTGGCGGGCGAGAGGGGAAGAATGCTTTCCCCGGAAATGAGGCGCTGCCACTTGAGCTGGGCGGCCAAGGGCCCAAGGCAAGCGTCTAAGCCAGGGCGGACGGCGGGCGCGGCTCGGCTTGTGAGGTCGGGACGAGGGCCGCGATGTCACCATCGGCCGACGAGTGACGACAGGATTCCGCCGACGGGGTCAGAACTCAGGAAGCGCAAGCAGGGAGGTAATGAGGCCAGAGTGAGAATGTCGCAATGTCGCAATGTACCCCCCGGCCACCCTTGACGCGTCCCCCCACGCCGGCCCCGCGAGATGGGGCATGGGTCGGGATGGGGAAGGCCTCTCAGGCTCATTTGCAGGGTTGCAGGGGCATCATGGCCCTGGCTGGGGCATGACTTCATGCGGGCACGGGACTGCACGGGAACAAGGGGGGTCGTTTGGGGTTTTGGGTATTTTTGAGTTGCGACACTGAACATGAGTCGAATCGCCATCGCGCCATGGCATTCTGTTTGTCACTAGCCGGGCTTGCGTCAGAGGATGAGTCTTTGGGACACACGTTGGAAGGGTGTGGGCTTCCATGGCCGTCTTCCAAGTACTCTTGCATGTACACGACACCTAAGTGAGAGAGACACGTCGACATAGTGGGAAATGTAGTATGCAGCACAGCCTTACACGCCCGACGGCATCTCCGTCCAAATCCTGTTTCTGGTTTCGCAGTCATCCCCAAGCATGCCAAATGACAACGCGACGCAGCGAGGTCGACGTGGTTGGTACCCAAACCACAAAGCTCACAGCTCACAGCACAGCCCTGTTGTTCATCCCGAGTTGGCGCGGACAGAAAACGGCTCTGCTGCTGATGTTGCTGCTGCGTGTTGGTTGTCGTGTTTGTTGGCAGCTCCCACGTTTTACTGCTAGCCTTGTCCCTGCCTGGGCCCATCTTGTGGCTTTCGATCCTGCGTGCCGTGGAGCAGACGTTGGATTTGCGCGGTAGTGTCCCCTTGCTGAACGTGGGTTTTCCTGCCTGGCCTTGCTTCCGAAAGCGCCCGATGTGTATCTGAGTGACGTTGATAGTACAGGGGCTCGCGATGGAAGCTTGACAATTTCGATACTGGGGAGCCCTCTACACGTACATTCTGCAACCGATCGATCAACTACCCACCCAAGCTAAGGTGAGCAAAAACAGGCTCATATAAGCGAGGTTTCCCTAATTTATTCAATTCTATGTAGGTAGGTACTGAAGTATGCTTTAGCTAATAGGAACTAAAACTTCACTTTTAGGAGAATAAGACTTAAACTTGAGTGCATCCCTCCAGTACGATGTCTTGAGGCTTTCTACTGAAAGAAGCACTGTACTGCCTTGTAGAGCTGAATGTACCTATACCTTCGAATGTTGTCAATCTTCCTGTGCATGCCTTCGAACTTGAGGTCCGATTACAGCGTCCGGATCTGGGCACCGTTTACACGCCATCCGATGCGATACTTTCCACATTTCGTCACTCGTCTTTCGGAAGCTGCACGGCTGATGTTTCAATGATGCAAGCCCATCCCGTAGAGCTGGCACCGACCGCGTCGCCCATTGGCGAGCACCGAGCTATTGACGCCCAAAGGTGACGCCGCCGGGCATAGAGACAGACAACATGTGTAGCTGCCCCTTGTGACGCTCGGGCTATCACAAGCCAGCCATGCAACCACGTCGCCAATGCAAACTGACAGTAGTGCATTGGCTTGACTCACAAACTACAATACGAAAGCCGAAAACCTGCATCAGAATGGCATCATGCCGTGTCTCCGAGATTTGGACATGCTTCTCACCTTGGGCTATCTGCCACTACGCCTCTTATCGACGGTTATCTCTTTGTAGCTGCAGCATCGCGCTCCAAGAAAGCCTCCACGTGGAGGGGTCGCTCTACCATGCTCATCCGGAGATTTTCTTCTGGCGCTGGTTGGCTCGGTCGGAACTGAGATGGTTTGATGTCCAAAAGCTTCCTTCTGCCGACCTCATGAAAAACCATTTGTAAGAACTAACTTGTTGCAGTATGCCGATGCAAGATGGTATGCGGATAGTTACCGCTGACCAGGAGTTGGGGTTCCGCTTTGTTCCAAGTAACTTTGGGCAAACCATGGTTCAAACTTACCGTTGGTCCAAATTGCGCATCTGCCTATCAATCATCTCGCCCGTGATATTCACAGGCTAGAAATGAACATCTCGAGCGGCTTTGATAAGATACAACTCGTCACAATCCTTGTGACGTATTGGAACGTGCCGGGAATTTGTCACAATCACATGTGACGGGCCCTGAACGATCGCATGATCTGACCTAAGCAGCAACTAACGAAGCCAAATTGTAGCTTCAACAATGCACGTTGAGCCTGCCCCTGCGCCGATTCGGCATCTTTGCATGTGAAGAAGGCGACCTAATTCCCTAATAACGTGGTAATAGTGGCTAATTGTGTTACCAAACTGATCGGCGCAACCCTCCTCGTAACCAGCTAGACGGCATGCATTGCATAGCGTTGCAATAAATCACCGACATACCGGGAGGTCCGGCTCACCTTGATCGGCTACCACAGAACACGCCTCGATCTGACCTTGCCCTGGATGGGAAGCCGGCTGAGCCTCAATGACTTTGTTGCTTAATGCAACCAAGTACCTAGACAAGAGAAGCTCGGGGCCGTGAGACGGCGTGGCTCGGGGGTAACGGAGAGCCGAGCTTCGGGATCCCACGACGAGTAACTCCAGCCCTCCAATTTCCCCCCTTGACCTTGGCTCGTTATCATCGTCGGTGCTGACCCCGAGAGCTCAGACCTGGGGGCGTCAATGGCTTGCTGCCCGCCCGTGTCAGTGAGCGGGCGTTCTGTCGTTTTGGTGCAGGGTCCAAAGCTCGCTCGGCCCAAATATTCGCCAGTCAGAAGGCACACGCCCAGATCCACCAGCGCCTTGTATCAGGGGGGACTTCGGCTCCCTATCAATGGGAAGGTGGAAAGAGCCAGCACGATTCGCCTCGGGAAGAAACGTGTCGGCGATTGGGGGCAATGGGGCCCCAGAGGCGGAGGAACTAGGGGTGGCGAGCTAGCTGATGATTCCTGATTCCAGACCTTGGCGACGAGATAACAAGCTGCACCAGGCGTGGAGCTCACGATATCGATACGTGGAGCCGCAGAGCCGCTCGCCCGAAGCGCCTTGTGCAGCAGGGCTTTGCGACGGCCGTCGACTGGGTCACGGCTCCGGAGCAGAGACCGGCATTCCGCGGTGAGATGGTGAACGAGACACGGCATGAGCGGGAGAGACAGTGGACGCGGTTCCGATCTCGGGGAGCCAAGAGCCGGGTCAAGTTGGAACGAGCGCGAGTCGGCCATTGCAATTCCGGGGCTTGGTCGGATCGCCCACTCTCCCTCCCGCTTCCATTCCCAACTTCCCAGTTTCCAGTTTCCAGTTCCCACTCACCATTTCCCCAGATTTGCCACGCCCCCTCCCTCCCCCAGATACCGTTCCCCAGACCGCCGCCGCCGCCGGCTGCATTTAGCCCGGAGACGAGGTTAGCGGGGAAGCGCAAAGATGGCTTCGCTGCTGGTGTTTACAATTTCCCAGCGGGGGAAGTCTCGCCGGGTGGTGGCCGTGTTAGCCTTCTGCTAGCTCTACTTCCACCTCGCCAGTGTTAGTGCAATTCTCCCAGAAAAACAGATCATCCGGGGTCCTGGGTCTGGAATTCCGGGTCTCGAACAGACCTCTGCCGAGCGAATGTGCCGGCCATGAACCTCCGTCTCTACCCCCAAGCCTTTGGCGTCGCGTGAGTATAACGCCATTGACACATGATAACATTTGCCTTCAGCTGAGTGAGTTGACGTTGCAGTCGTCTCGTGCGGCTCAAGCTGCACCCCCCGATCTTATTTCCTGACTTGGCTGGGCGCGTTCCCCCGCATTCTCACATGTCCGGGGAATCGAAGGTTTGGGGGTGCATCCAACGTGGGAAGCCGGCCCGGAAGAGCCAGAAGTCCTCGCTGCCAGAACGGGATGCCGAGGTGAGATGCCGTTCACCGTGGCCACCGCGTCGACCGGGGCCACGACCGAAAACTCCGTCGGCTCCGGGTTTGGCAGGAGGATAATGTCCGTTGCCAGCCATTGCAGAAAACCTGCATGGTTGAAATCATCCGAACTCATGTGATGCCGCTCATCGACAGGGAAGACGCCTGCGCTAGAGTCGGCGTGTTGGTTGAAGAACCGAGGGTAATGATGTGTGACGGAAATACGAAAACGCCTCGGATGAACCAGCAAGTCGTTTTGACAACTCCGATGCCGGCTGTTTGTCGAGGTTCCTTGTTCAAGTGATCCTTCAGGATGCATGCGCTCACTGCGTCCGGCTTCGGAATCGTCCAACAGTCGTCTTGAACAATAACCGTGATAGACGCTGCATTCAACCAGAGTGGGAAAGATGCTGCTCATATGTTGATAGAATAGACCGGACGAGGGCTTGCCATAGTAAAGCCGGAGACAGGAAACCAACGGGTTGCAAAGAGGCTCGAGGCAACTAGAGCTCATCGACCCTATTATCTTCACTTATAGGGCCTTCCGGTGCTGAATATACCAACTAGTGATGTGTCATCACTCTATGCTACTGCTACTCCGTTGCCGTGATTCATCTAATGATGTTAAACGAGGTTAAACTATTAACCATAGGTGACCACTGCATCATATTGACTCGATCTATCCAGGCTGATATTGTGTGGGCCAATAATGTTCATCAAAGATGGCATCCATCCGTCATAGGATGTCATCGTAGAAGCAATCTGGTCCCGCGATGATGATACGGTTTGTGTGTCTTATACGCTAGGAATGATTGCTCTTCCGGGTCTTCTATCTGTAGAATTGCTCGGTTAAGAAGGTGCCGTCAGTGTGGAGTAGAATTTAAGGACTCATCCTACAATCTCGAATGGGCAATTGAGTAACCTGCTACTCAGCGCATTTGGATCCACAAACGCATACATACTGGAGCATAGATATGATGAACTTGGGATTGACTCTTGGGATTGACTCTAGGTAATCCAATGCGCCTGCAGCTGTTCTGTCTCAGTTAGCTGTAGACATTTAAGTCTCAACGAGAACCTGCAAGACACTGCAGGACACGCGACCAGTGGTTTTCGAACACAGTCTCAACATCCAGAAACACCGATCATCGATCAAAGCTCCTAAATGGAGGAAATGAACCGAGCTTACTTGATTCCTTCGTTCAATCATTCCGCTCATACTGGGTTGGGTCTACGCGATATTCGCTCTCTGGTTGTTTCTGTCTACTTCAATGTCGAAGGTCGAACTGGTTATCACTACACAGGCAAGGTGACCTTTTGTCGAATCGCCCACAAGATAAATCTTGTTGACTCGAGTAGTTGGTTCGAATCCTATTGTTTCGGTGGGGGCGAAGCACAAGAAGACGGGACTGTAGAAAGTAGCATGGCTCTACATGCGATGTCCTTGGGTCTCACGGAGCCTCTAATCTAGAGCATTGCTATTCACACACAGATACAAGCCCCGTCGGCTAAACCTCAAGCAAAATAATGAAGTTAAGTAGTATAAGTCAAACTTAGACATTTACTAGTAACTGTAATTTAATAGCTGAAATAAAATAAAATATTAGGACAAATATTAAAAGTTTGCGTTGTAGAAATATTCTCTTCTAAACTGCCATATTAGGTGTATTACTCATAAGTCTCTTTAAGATAGAGCACGTCCTTGTAAGTGCGAATAGTGATGCTCTTAATCTATGTATGTGAACTTGGAGGTCTGAATCTCTATCATGGAACTCCTTGTGAACGAACCTCATGGTCAAGATTCTTTAACCCACTTTCAGTATCCGCAGCAGTTTCAGAAACACTAATTCTCAACTCCTAAAGGAAGGATGTTTATGATCAAAGATTGCTTCAAGGGACTAGAATTGCAAGACTCTATAGATGGTAGACACCGTAAATAACCGATATCATTCAACCAAATGTGAAAGCGCGTCAAATGTCTTTCGTTTATCAAGTACAGAAGCATGCCACCCATATCAATGTCTTTGCAAATTAGCAGTCTCCTCTCAACCGAAGGGAAGACCAGGCAACGACTTCAAACTTGCGGACATAGGTGGACGGGATTGAAGAACATCATCTTAATAGTACAGACATGGGGATGAATCCCCTAAACTCTGGTCATCGAAGTGACAGTATCATACACGTGAAAAGTCCCTTGCCTGCCCCATCAACATGATATGCAGGCAGTTTCCTTCGAACCAGTTGTACATGAGGGCATTTCTCGTAACCAAACCTTTTAACCACGACCACTTGGTGCGCATAGACATTAGCCCCATTTGACGCCGAAGAAGCTGAGCTTCTTTCCTGAATTGGCGGAGCCCGTGGCATCTTGCTCGAGATAGATTCTGTCATTGCCCTCGATGTCCACGAAAAAGTACTTGTACAGGAATTCATCATGACCACGATGCTTGATCATGTGAAGTTGAGCAACTCCACGGTTGCGTTGCCCCTCGACCTGGACTGTTAGCTTGCGGGATACTTGTTTGTCGGTGGGCGAGCTTACATAGAAGTGCATCACCAGATGCTGGTGCCCTTGTGCGTCGGTTTTCTCCGTAGACCTAAGTCCGTCAGCATTCCCCCCTGGAAAGACATGGCCCAATTTCCCTTACGAAACGGGGCGAGCTCTCCTCCACTTGTTGAATGTCTCGTCTCCATGAGCCGTGATCTTTCTGGCGTCGCCAAGCAACTCGATGCAACGAGGATCGTCCTTGATTCTGTCCACCGCGCGATTGAACTGTGATATTTTGCTATCGGGGGAGAATACGTCGGTCCATAGGAAGTAGCCAACACCGCCCTATCAAAGTTAGAGCTGTCGCTGTCAATGCGCGGACCGACATACCGTTAGCACGAGACCAACAAGGATCATGCCAAAGTTGACGCTCTGCTGGGTTGCCCGAGCAGTCTTCTCGGCGGCGGAGAGCTCACTCCACGGCACAGAACCATCGTCGTTGAAAGGCGTCACGGTTCTGCTTCGGCGCTTCGGGGCCTGCGGCGCGGCGCCGAGGCTGTTCTGGGTGGAATATTGTCGTGGGATGGCGAGGGTTCGGAGGGCGGGCGGGAGGCCGAGGAAGGCGATTGGGCGGGTGGTGAGCAGGGAATTGGTCGGCTTCATCATGACGGTTTTGCGACAGCCATGGTCCCAGGATCAAAGTCCTGACAATGGCAATAATCAATTCACAAGGCCGGCAGTGGTGGTCAACATGGTCTTCTCGGCATCGACATGGAGCTCTCGGGTCTCGCGATGACCTGCGTCGACACCGCCTTGGGCAGAATCCGACGTGGGGAACTTGTCGCCGCCCGAAAGGGGATAGCGCGCTCTGATATGCCACTTTACCAAACCGCCGCCCTTGATGACCGACTCCTTAACCTCCCGACACCCAACTCTACCCAGCCCGACGAACTCTGTCCTCACGCGTCGTCAAGGAGAACCACAGCGTCTCCCCGCAGCACGAGCCCTCCTCTTCCCCTCATCCATCAAGACATTGCCCGCAGTGCGACCCCAGTGCCAAGATGAGCGCCCCCCTTGCGACGAAGCAGCAGTCGCAGAAGATCTTCGAGAAGTTGAAGACGAAGCAGGCGAACAAGGTAAGCACGCGCCATCACCGCGTCCCTGCTTTGCGCGCTCGTACTGTGGTCAATGGAAACAGCGCTGACTCTGCTTTCTACTCTAGATCTGCTTCGACTGCGGACAGAACAATCCTACGTGGACCTCTGTGCCCTTCGGTATCTACCTCTGCCTGGACTGCTCCTCCAACCACCGAAACCTAGGTGTCCACATCTCGTTTGTGCGATCAACGAACCTCGACCGTACGTTCCCCGCGCGCCGCCCCTTGCTCGTCACTTCCAGAACTAACCCGGTTGCGCAGAGTGGCAATGGGACCAGCTTCGAGTGATGAAGGTTGGCGGCAATGAGTCGGCCACCAAGTTCTTCCAGCAGAACGGCGGCTCTGCTGCCCTCAACAGCAAGGACTCCAAGACCAAGTACCAGTCCAACGCTGCTACTAAGTACAAGGATGAGCTTAAGCGACGCGCTGCCCGGGATGCCCAGGAGTACGTGGCTTATCGTGGAACTATATATCCCTGAATTGGACCTGACAGATGTATAGATTCCCCGGCGAGGTTGTCATTGATGGCGCCGACGACGGCGCCGCAACCCCCGCTGGCGAGCCCGACGACGATTTCTTCTCTTCGTGGGACAAGCCCTCCATCAAGAAGCCTACCCCTCCTGTCTCCCGAACCGGTACCCCGCCCGTCGTCGGCCGTACGCCCTCTCCCTTCTTGAACGCAGGAAATGGCAAGGATATCGCGCGCACTTCGTCTCCCCTTGCTAGAACCGCCTCTGGCGAGACCAAGCCCGCAAGCCGCATTACAACCTCCGCTGCCCTGCGCAAGACCGCTACTGGCCCCCGCAAAGCCAACGTTCTCGGTGCAAAGAAGACAACCAAGTTGGGCGTCAAGAAAGTTACCGGCGATTTAATCGATTTCGACGAGGCTGAGAGAAAGGCCAAGGAAGAGGCGGACCGCATCGCAAAGCTCGGCTATGACCCTGAGGCTGAGGAAGCAAAGACCACCTCTGGGTCGGCGGCCACCATTATCTCGCCCACTCCTGTGAACCCCAGCTCAAGCAACCTGTCCTCACACACTCGCCAAAAGTCTGACGCGGAAGTGGAGCGATTAGGCATGGGTATGGGCCGGCTGGGCTTCGGACAAATTGGTGGCAACAAGGCGGCCGCCGCACCCAAGAAGAACGCCGGTGGATTCGGCTCTGTTGGACCTGTCAAGGCTGCTGCTGAAGGTAAATTACCTTGTTGTGATATTGATTGATACGTATGCTAACTTAATCCCAGATGACTCGCAGACCTACGCCCGAAGCAAGTTCGGTGCCCAGAAGGGTATCTCTTCCGACGAGTTCTTCGGCAAGGGCTCCTTCGATCCCAGCGCCCAAGCCGAGGCCAAGACCCGGCTTCAAGGATTCGAGGGTGCCTCTGCCATCTCGTCCAATGCCTACTTTGGTCATCCAGAGGATGAGCCCGAAGATGACTACGGTGATCTCGAGTCCGCCGCCAAGGACTTTGTGCGCAAGTTTGGCATCACGGCCGCGGATGATCTCGACAACCTGTCCAACCTGTTGGGCGAGAGTGCCGGCCGACTCCAGGGCGCCATCCGGGATTATCTCGGAAACTGAACGGGCTGGGCCCTAGTAGGAGAATAGTGAAGCACGACTGCGCCAAGCTTTAGATGTCGTAACGAAGTAGAGGGCAGGCAAGACATGCACCCAGTTAGATCATGGGTTGTTGCCAGAGCCCCTGACGCGTATACCCTCGGCATGAAATATGGGGCGGGATGCTTTTGGGTGCTGGCGTACATGTGAATGTCAAAGTTGGCTGTGTTGGTTAGTATGAAATAGATGTGTTTTTTTTTGTTCCTCTTTCACGTCAAATTGTTCTTAATCATGTGGTGGGAAAACAAAACCTCGGTCTGAGAGATGAAGAAGAAGGGTCATGTAATATTTATCATGCTCGTCTTGGTGGTACGTAAAATGCAATAATGCTCATAGTCTACAGGTATCTCAAGGAGGATCTGGTGTTTGGTTCTTCTACAGCTTGGCAATCATCTTGTTGCCCGTCTGCAGCCAGGAGACGGCGTCGTTGACAAACTCGTCGACGACGGCCTTGGCTGACTTTTGCTCGTTGACGACGGCGGCGCACTTGCCCATGAGGAAGGGACGGAACTTGTCGAGAGCGTCATCATCGTCGCTGTCGCTGCTCTCCTCCATGATCTTGTCGAGGTCGGCCTCGTAGGGAATGGTGCCCTTGGAGGTGAGCTCCTTCATCTCGGCCTGGCGGTTGACCTCCCAGTTGTTAATGTACTCGTTGTTGCGGACGCGCATGGGGCGGCCGGTGAAGATGATGGTGCGGATGTTGTCGTCGTGGCCGGCGGTCTGGACGGCCTCCTTGTGGGCCTTGGGGGCACCGGCCTCGTCGGTGAGGATGAAGCGGGTGCCGACCCAGACGGCGCTGGCGCCCATCATGAGAGAGGCGGCGAGGAGCTGGCCGTTGTGGATGCCACCAGCGGCGACGACCTGGACAGGTCCGCCGGTCAAGGGCGACTTGTGCTTCTTGCAGATCTCAACAACGGCGGGGATGAGGACAGTGGTGGGGATATCGCCGGTGTGGCCGCCGCCCTCACCACCCTGGGCGACGATGATGTCGACGCCGAGGTCGAGGCACTTCTTAACGTGCTTGACGTGGCCAATCATGTTCATGTAGACGATGCCGTGGGCGTGCAGCTTCTCGACGACGGCCTTGGTGGGGACGCCAACGGCCGAGACGAAGACCTTGGCGCCCTCCTCGATGATGATGTCGACGAGCTCATTGAGCTTGCCCTTTGTGTAGTCGTAGCTGTTGTAGAGCGTGTTAGCCGCGAGTGGTCATGAGCGAGCCTCTAGCGCGCGCAAGGCTGAGCTAAAGGAACGGAGCGTTTTGCATGTGATTGTACTCAGCCGCCACCACCCAAGTTTTGACAGAGGAGGCTGAGTGGGTGATGTGGGGAAGAACGGAAAAGCACATGAATTTGGGGAACGCGGAGAGTCGGGGAATACGCACTTGGTCTTGCGAGCGCTGCCGCCGACCTGGGGGAGAAGCAGGTCAACGCCGAAGGGGGCGTTCTTGTCGTCGAGATGTTCCTTGAGCTCGGCGATCTGGTCGCGGAGCATCTCGGGGGTGTAACCGACGCCGCCGATGACACCGAGACCGCCGGCGTTGGACACGGCAGCGGCGAGCTTGGGGCCAGCGGCGACGTTCATGCCGGCCAGCAGCACGGGGTGCTTGATCTTGAACAGATCGGTGATGGGGGTGCGGAGCTTCTCTAGCGGACGCAGGAGGGTTAGCGATTGCGACTTTACTTGCATGGGAGGCTGAAGAGGAGAGGGAGAAGGGGGAGGATTGGTGGTGGTAGTGATGGCGGTGGTAGTGGTGACGTACGTGGGGATGCCATTGTGAATTGAGGCTTTGGAGAGATGCGATGGATTGGGGATGGAGGTTTGATGGCAATGGATCCGTGACAGCGAGAAGACGACGACGGAGAAGCAGAAGCAGAAGACGGTCAGACTATGATACACAGAGGTAAAGATGGGAGATGGGAGCGGAGCAAAGCAAAGGGGCGCGCGCAAGTTATAAGAACAAGGGCATCAGCTGAGTCGAGCAAATCTGAAAGGTTGGAGATGGAGGGATGGAGGGATGGAGGAAGCCAGGCCAACATGCCGAGGCACAGGAGCCGTCACGCAGGACAGGAAGGCGGCCCACGAAGCCGCAAGAGGACTAGCGCGCCGGGGTTGGAGGGGAACGGGGGGCGACCCCAGCGAGGAATCTGGGGAATGTGCCGAGGGACGAGGAGGTGCTACCAATTTCTCCATTGGCTGATGCGGGTTTGGCCGGTTGGTTTGCGACGATGGGAACAGCAGATGGATGGTGAGTTGAGAGAGAAAAACAAGAGCCGTGATATTTGCCGCTGATTGACTGACTGACTGACTGACTGACTGCTTGACTGACCGACGGCTGTCTGTCTGACTGAATCGCCGTCGCTGCTGACATGGTTGCTCAAGTAAGAAACCTACCGCGTCTCCAGTCGCAAACCGCCGTGGGATGCTGACTTATTACTTGACTGACTGCCTGACTGACTGACTGACTGACTGACTGACTGACTGACTGACATGTGCTCCCTCCCTCTCACACTCGGTCTCAACTGTCAATGTCTCGCCCCTGAAGCGTCAGATTCAATCCGTCTTCCACCTGCCTACTACATGCCTAGGCTACGCACAACCGCCGGTACAATGTGGAGAACATCCTGGCGACAGACAATGGGCTGCCCCGGCCTCTTCAATCGCCATCCCGGACTCTCAACCCCCGTCACATGATCATGAAGCCTTCCACCTGTGACACCCCAAACTCAGCATCGCGAATAGACTCTCCATCCCTTCCATAGGCTTTCCATATACCATATTCGCATCTTCACATCTTCACTAACTTAGACAGTAGACACGGCCGAAAACACCTCCAGTGCAACCCCACACACAATGACAACACTCCACCGACGGTTTCCAACGTTACGCACACGCCACTCGTCTCTCTATCGCAAATTTTTGCGACGCTCGCCATCGTCACCAGCGAACCTCACCTAGCATAAAGCGCAGCATGTAGCAGCAAAAGGGCCATGATGAAGCGCTCATTTCCATCCCGCCCCCTAATCCGAAGCCTCGGCGCTTCTCACTCCAATGCCGGCGCCTGCTCATTGCGGTCCTTCCCTGCGCGATGCGCATCTGCGTCGCCCGTATCGCAACCACGCCGGATGCTCTCGGCCTCCGTTACAACCGTCACCTCCGTGCGCCCCCGGCTCCATACCCGGAGCACGATGCCCGGGCTGAAGCACTCTGCCTGCGGCTGCGCGTGCGGCAGCAGCAAGCCTCGCAAGAAGACGGCGTACATCGCCCTCGGGAGCAATCTTGGTGACCGTGTCGCCGAGATTGAGCGCGCCTGCAACGAGATGGACCGCCGCGGGATCAAGGTTAAGCGGACCAGCAGCCTGTGGGAGACGGAGCCCATGTACGTCAAGGACCAGGACCGCTTTGTCAATGGCGCCTGCGAGGTGAGTGCCCCGTTGAACCTGGCATGACGTTCCCTTCACACTGACTCCTCGTCCCAGGTTGAGACTGAGCTGGAGCCCTTGGCTCTACTCGATGAGCTCCAGGCCATTGAGCGTGAGATGGGACGCAAGAAGGTCATTGACAAAGGCCCGCGCAACATTGATCTGGACATACTCCTCTATGGAGATGAGAAAGTGAGCCATGAGCGACTAACGGTGCCTCATGCTGGTGTCCTGGAGAGGGAGTTTGTCTTGAGACCTCTAGCAGAGTATGCGACCCGGATCTCAAACGATACAGAAAATCCCTAACAAACTGCAGACTTATGCCAGCCAAGTCACTTGACCCTGCAAAGCCTTGGAAGCTTATCCGAGACTACCTCCACGAGCTCCCTCGCGGCGAGCCAATGTCCTCGATGACTCCCTTGTCTGCCACATCGAGTCCCCTGACAGCCCTCGCCAGCAACAGGAAGACACACGTCATGGGCATCCTCAACGTGACCCCAGACTCCTTCTCGGACGGCGGCGTCCACGCCCCGGAGAACCTCGCGCAGACCATCCTCGACATGGTCCGAAGCGGCACCTCCATCATCGATGTCGGCGGCCAATCCACCGCCCCTGGCCGCGAGCAGGTCTCCGCCGAGGAGGAGGCAGCCCGCGTCGTTCCGGCAGTCCAGCTCATCCGGTCACTGCCGGAGACCCGCGACGTTGTGATCAGTGTCGACACGTACCGCGCCTCTGTCGCCGAGCAGGTCGTCGCCAACGGCGCCGACATGATCAACGATGTCTCGGCTGGGCTGCTCGACCCAGACATGCTTTCAACTGTTGCCCGTCTGCAAAAGACCATCTGCCTCATGCACATGCGCGGTACCCCCGGGACCATGACCGGCCTGACGTCGTATCCTGACGGCCTCATCCCCACCGTCGCTTCGGAGCTGCTGGCCCGCGTCGCCGCCGCCGAGGCCGCGGGTATCCGGCGCTGGCGCATCATGCTCGACCCGGGCATCGGCTTCGCCAAGACGAGCGAGCAGAACCTCGAGCTCCTGCGGCGCCTGGACGAGCTGCGCTACTGGCCCGGGCTTGAGAGCCTGCCGTGGCTCGTGGGCGCGAGCCGCAAGTCCTTCGTCGGCAAGATCACGGGCGTCGCGGAGCCGGCACGGCGGACGTGGGGCACGGCGGCGGCGGTGGTGGCGGCGGTGCAGGGAGGCGCCGACGTGGTGCGCGTGCATGACACGGCGGAGATGGCCGTGGTGGCCAAGATGGCGGATGCCATCTGGAGGGTGTGACGGAGAGAAGCTGGGGATCGGGCGCTGGGGGAAGCAGCTGGATACTGGACGCTGGATGCTGGATGTCGGATGCTGGGTGCCTCTTTTCGAGTAGCACCGCCGATCAGCGCAAACTGGGTGACGCGAACAACTGCAGCTAGAGCTACCTAGACAGCGAAGTCGGCCGGAGTCGACGCCATCTCAGTCCCGAAATGCCAGCCAGCCGCGGGCGTCGCATCGGGTGTTGACATGCCCAACTCGGTCCTCATCCCTCGCCCTCATCAGTGCCCAGCCGGTCAATCTCGCCTCGCCTTACCTCGCCGCCTCAACGACCCTTTCTCGCGGCCGCGTCAGGCCACTTCCTGCAACCCGGCGCAGGCTGCCCGCATGCCCAACAGCCAACAGCCAACACCAGCAAATCCTCCTCGGCGCAGGCGAGAGCAAAGGCAGGAAGCCGCCGTATCGGACGCACAATCCCGTCACCGGTGTGCGCCCTGCATGAGCCTCATCCCGGCGTGTGTGTGCGTGCATATGCGTGTGTATGTGTGCGTCCGTCCGTCCCTCTTGCTCGCCAGCCTCGCTCGGTTTTCCCTCCCTGCTTGCCGTCGACGCACCCCCTCCATTCCCGGATATCCCAGCCAGTCCATCCGAGCCTTTTCTCCCCAGACGCCCCCCTTGCTCCTCACCGAGATGCTCGCCCCTTTTTTTGCTGCCCAAGCCGCCCCCCATTCTCAACATTGTGCACCTGCCCGGCGACGCACAATCGCCCAGGGAAAAACCGGTCTGCGAAATACCGCGCGCCTCGCCGACGGGAGGCCAATCGTCACGCCCCATCACCCGGCCGACGAGATCGTTGGCCGTGGATGGGCGGTGGGCGCATACATGCTGTGAAACCCGGGATATGAACGGAGCGTCGTCGAGGGTGGAGCACCGGAAGAGGAGCCAGTCGCACTTGCAGGACGGGAGGGTGTGAATGTGGGCGCTGGCTTTCCTTCATCGGCCTCGACAAATCTCGGGTTTCTTCATTCCTCGGCCATGCAGGGCCATCCGAGGGGCCCAGTTCGACGGGGGTTGGGAGTCGTGGTCGGTTGTTGATGCGCGCATGGTATTTTTGGGACGTCCCCGCTTGGCGAGGATGCATCGATCCATGGGCCGAGGTTGCGTGGGTGGGTGGCTTTGGGGATCGGGAGTTGGGTTACGCAGCATGATGTGGTCTTGTTCGGTCTAGATCTCTGCAGGGTAGATGTCGGTGGGAGAAAGTCTGGGTGCTGTGGCGGAGGGTGTGGTGTATTCAGTGGCCTACTGCGTAGGTAGTAGGGAGGTAGTTTAATTCCAGTGCTTAATACCGAGTGTTGGGATCAACGTCATAGTTGGGGGGACTCCCGGCTATTGGTCGACCTCCGACAAGGGCCATGGATGGCATAAGTGCAAAAACGTCCGACTGAGTCTGTGGATGATCCCGGCTGGATTCCCTTATTCCGTATCCTTGCCAAGGAAGTGTCGTCGTCCAGCTGGAAAGTATCGTTATCTCTAGTTCCAAGCATCCGGAGTCGATGCATCCGAATTAGGAAGCCCGCGCCTTGGAACCCCATACGATCTAGAGACTTGCCACATCACAAGCCTGCCATGTCTTGATCAAATCCCACATGTGACCTCCTACTCGAGCCCCTCCCCCGGAATCCTTACAGGGCCTGCCGAGCGCCATGGCCGACGTCGCTCGCGGCGCCAACTTCCTCATCCAACGATTCCAACGTCAATCACAAGCGTCCCAAGCCACCGAAACCAACCCTCACAAATACTAGAACAACGCAACACCGGTTGTCGCGGCCCACTCCAACCGGGCCCTTTCCTCCTCCAAGCCCCTCCCGCGTAGTCTAGTTACGTCAGTCGATGAAGCGAGCGATCCCTTCAAAGGCTAACGACCTTATGTGACGGGGCTCGGACCGTTTTCGTGGGGCCATGGGGCCATGGGGCAATGGGCCCAACCTTAATCGAACCGCGCGCGAGTCAGCTTCCCGACGGTTCCAACTTTTGGAAGTTGACAAGAGACGACAAGCTAACGGCCGCCGCAAGTGGGAAAAAAGGGGGCGTAGCAGAGTTGCAGTGTTAGTGCTGGAGGCAAAGCTGGAGGCAAAGGCCGATATGGTGGCCTCACTCCCGCGCTGCTTACACCCACCTACACGGTAAACCCGGGTGGGCAGGCGGGACAACCAGCTCCGGCTTGGAGGCCATGTTCCGAATGCGGTCACGCCTATCTCCGGATCGCCGGGGGACGCGGTCGCGAGCGCTCCGGGATTTGGACATTAACTAAGACGGCAGGTCAGGCCAACAAGCCGCCGCTCTGGTTGGCTGATCCAAGTTCTCGGTCTGGCCTGATCTGGCGCGGCCTGGTCTGGTCTGGTCCGGCCTTTGGGTTGCCATCTGAGCTATCACCTGGTCAAGTCAAGTCTCGGCTTTGGCTTTGTTTGGACCATGACGCCTGAAGCCTCGTTTTAGTTCCCTCCAACCGGGCATTGTTGCCATTTCCCTTTCTTCGTCAAAATGCAACCGCAAAGTACGCCACCCAGTAAGACCTTGACAACCAACCTCCCGGTTCTGAGGCCACCCAGGCACGCGGCCTCACTCTCACCCTAACTGTCCAAATGACCCACGTTTCCTGGACGACAACCACTCAAAAACACACCTAGTCTAGCAATGCCGCCTGTGGCGTCAGTCTCATGAACCATTCATCGTCAAATGCACGTCGTCATGATACCCAGGTGAAACATCGTCATTAAAAGCAATTAATAAAAACAAAACAAAAAAGCAAAGTCAGGCCCTCGTGGGCGTGGCATCGGCTGGCCAATACCAGGCCCTCTGTGTCATGCCCTCGTGTCCTGGCCCCTGGCCCGTTGTTACCTTTCTTTCTCAACGCCAATGTCTCCTTCCGTATTCCATTCCATATTCCCCGTCCAATCCCATCCATCCCATGTGCCATACCCCCGTTCTCCCTTTGTCCAAAGTTTCAATGACGTAATGATGAGTGAGAAAATGATGCCTCATACCCTTCCAACCAAATCGCAGGATCCTGAGCAGAGGAATCACATCCAACAAGAGGAGGAAGAAAAGGCAAAGAAATGTGCGAGAATAGGAAACGAAATGCAACCTGGGTATCCCTCCTGTCCCTGCTCCCCCTCCAATCATTCCCCCTTGTTTCTCTCACGCGCTCTCTGTCTTCCATTTTGACCCCTCTTCCCGCTCACCCTCTTCGTACATTCCGATCCACCATCCATTTTACGTCCCCGAGAAGAGCAGAAACAAAACAGACAAACAATCAAGAAACCAATAAGACCCATGCTCCATCCTCCATACTCCTGACCCGGTGTCGTACACATCGTAACAGTTGTCCGTGAACCCAAGCACATTCGGCTGGGCCTCAACGAGGATCCCCCTCTTTTGCTGCCATGACCTTGTTCTATCCTTGCAATACGCCAGGAGTCAGTTCTCTGGATCAATGCAGAATGCACTTCTGTTTTCGCGAGCGTATCACTTTTCGATCGAAAGAAACCCTGAAATCAAGACCTTAACCCCGTATCCATGCCCGTACCCTTGTCCGAGTCTTCTTTTGTTTTCTCTTCAACCGGAAGCCCATAATAACTTTTGCGCAGTCTCATCGAATAAATTCGGTCGTCCATTTTGTGCTGGGGGATGAGCCTTGTTAACCCCAGAAAATGCAAAATGCTCCGAGATGGCCCACTCAAGTCATGGTGATGTTGACACCCGGGGGTGGAACCATGGTCGGATAGTAGCCGTTGGTGTTTGGCTTGCCATCAAACGGCCCTGGGCGGCGCTCGCTTACCTGCCCCGGCGGATGGAAGATGCTAGGCAGAGTAGCCCCATCGTATTCGTGCTTGATTTTTCCATTCACGTCCATGCCAGTGGCCATGTGGGGCACGGCAGCCTCCGCCTCACTGCGGGAATTGAAGAGATCGATCCGGTCACTCTGCCCGTCGTACATGGCGCCTGGATAGTATTGATACTCTTTCGCCGTGTCGATCGCCTTTGCATTTTCCGAAGGGATTATAGACTCTGGTGGTATATCGTGGTGGCGAACATTGTAAATGTTTCCCCGCCCATCGAATCCTTGCTGGTAGGCCGATGGCCCCAGCATTGGGTTCTGGTTGAAGTCGCTCATGCTGCCACCGGGGACGTAGCTGCTCAGATTGCCAGACGAACCACCGGGGCCGCTGCTTTGGCTCCCCCGCCGGTCGTTCTGATAGTGCCCAGGGGATCGCCCGCGGACGATCATCTTGGCAGACTTTCGACAGGCGAGTTTGACGAACTGTTCACCGGGGGCCTGGGATCCAACATCGCCCCAGAGTTCAACGACGAGCTGATAGTATTGCTGCGCAGCCCTTCTCTTGCCGTTGTTTTGAGTCGCTTGCTTGAACTGAATACGCTCAAAAGTGTGTTCTGTCGGATGCGTTTGGCCGCCGGCGGGTGTGAAGCTGTCAGGGTAACGACTGGATACCACGGCGCTTGGGAACATCTCCATATGATGGTGATGGCCCTGCTGGGGCGGCTTGACCCCGAGCCGAATCTTCTCAGGCTTCATGATGGGTCCCTTGTCTCTCTTGGGGGTGTGCTGAACCAGATCGATGTTGTGCTGTTCATTGTCTGACACGACCGCTGAGATGCACATTGCGAAACCGTAGAGTTGAACAGTCTGGGTTGAATTCGTGGCCGTGAATTGAATTGACACATCAGGCATGTAGGGGGTCAGGGAGAAGGAGCAGCCACATGAGAAGTAGTTCCTCCGGTAACAGGTCCACTCGTTGTCGGAGAGGAAGAAACCCTTGTCAATGATTCCGGTAATGTCAACCTTGACCGGCGTGCCGGCGCCATCTTGGTACTGGAGGGAACCCATTGTGTTGACAGACAGCAGAGGCGGAATACTCTGAGCACCCCGGTTGGAAAACTGAGCGGAGCCCATGTTTGGCCCTCCGACCGGGAACGAGGTAATGGGGCTCGGAGTGGGCGACAAGGGATTGCGTCGAAGCGTGTTCAAGGGGAAAGACGGGGATCGCGATGGGTGCTCCGACGCCCTTTTGTAGGATGGCGTTGCCGGAGTGTACTGCTCACGGGTGCTGATCTGCTGACCCGGGTGTGGGAGACCTGAGGTACGATGGGGATGGGGATGGGGATGTGCCATTCCCGTAGATGCGGCGCTGCTGCTCGCTGTGATTAGTTTTAGTCTTTTAAGAGGGCGGATCTCGCTGGGTTTCCATGATAGCCAAAGACAACTTTTGCGACTTGAGTTTCCCAGTCCCTGGAGCAAGCGGGCGCATGGGCAGGTTGATGAGGGGGGCAAGGAGAGACAGGGGTGGGCGTGTGAGAAGGAAAGAGATAGATAGATAGATAGAGAGAGAGAGAGAGAGAGAGAGAGAGAGAGAGAGAAAGAGAGAGAGCTGACAGCGCAAGGTGGAGAGGAGAGGGAAGGATAGGCGGGATAGGCTGGATAGCACGTACTTTGAGCCCAGGCGAGCACGGATGTCGTACCCCGAAAAGATGTGAGGGTTGGATTGAGGTTGATAAAAGGCGGCACCTGCGTCCTGGGGATATGGCGCTGTGGAGTTGCTGGTTGGCGGGTGGAATAGGTTTAAGAGCGACGAGGGCTGGGTGGGCTCTATCGAGAGAGAAGTAGTATTGGCTTCCTGGGGATATCTGGGGCCTCATCAGCGGAACGGCCTCAGACCAGGGAGCAACGGTAGCGAGGACGCGGGCAAAAAGACGCGGCCACAGGAGATGCTGTATTGCCATTCCCTGGGTACTGTGTCCAGGTGTCCAGGTGTCACAGCTTGTAGGTAATACTGCCACCGCTGGAGTGGCACAGAAGGAGTTTCGAGAGGCTGCGGCGATGCAGCAGCTCGCGGCAGTGAGCAGTGAGCGGGAAGGGGCTTGGAAGCGTGTACAAATAAATCCAGGCGGCACCCCGGGCGTCGAAGCAGCTACCCATTGCCCTGCGCCCAAGCCACCCAGGAGAGAGCAGATCAGGCTTGACGGCCGCAACGGGAGTTTTGGGCTGGGGGGGGGTGGGCTGGGCTCTGGAGGCAGCGCTCGGCGGGTACGGGAACGGAGACGGGGACGGGTGCGGGTGCGGGTGGAGTTGTGGGAGCGATTTGCGGATGAGGGTGAGTTGAGGTGAAGTGAAGTGAAGTGAGGTGAGCTGGATGGGTTGTGTGTGATGGGATGCGCCGGCCTGGAAATTTGGGGGATGAGGGGCAGGGATTGAAGCGTGCGTGCTGTGCAAGACGGGGAGCTCTGGCGTAGTGTAGCGGGCGGGCGGGGGGACGCAAAGGCGCGAGGCTGGGGGTTGGGATTGGGACTGCGACTAAGGACTGCGATTGCGATTGCAATGTGACGCGATGTTCTGGGGGAAGAGTGGATTGGACTGTGGATTGATGCGCAATGAAATGATGATTGCTGGGAGCGGGTGCGTTTACACTCGTAACATGGGCGCGCGGCAAAGGCTTTTTGGCCGTTATTGGCGGTTGCCGGTTTGACGATTCCGCACCGGTTGGGTTGCGGGACGGATGGGCTAGGCTTGTTGGTTCAAAAGGGAACTGCCTGCAGTAGGGCAGAAAACCAAGGAGAAAAAAATTGGAAAAAGGACAGGGGTGGTTGAAGAGAGAGGAGAGAAGGCGAGGAAAGCGAGGAAAGGGAGAGAGAGATGGTGAGAGTGAGAGTGAGAGTGAGAGCCGGTAGGGATTATTATTAACCAAAAAAAAACGAGCCCCAACAAGACTGCTTCTACTGCTGCTGCTGCTGCCTTTGCTGATGTCTGCAGTTGCATAAACCGGGAGACCATGCTGGGTGGCGGCGGCGGCGGCAGCGGCAGCACGAGGAGCGTGTATGTAAAAGGTGAGGCAAACGCAGGCAATGCAGGCCAAAGACAGAGACGGACGGCCAAAGACAGCCCATGGGAATGGCCTAAGGTACTTGCAATCGTCCGCCTCCGCCACCGGGTATGGGGCATGGGCATGGGCATGAGAGCATGAGCATGGGGGGTCTGGCTCTGCCTCCAGACCATTGTACTCTCCCCGTATTGTTCCCTCACACGCACCCAGCACGCAGTGCGCAACACGGGGTGCGCACACCACGCGGATACAAGAACAAACAACACGTAACGTGTCAGCCACTTGGCGACCGGGAGTGTGAGTAGCAGCAATCAGAGGGTGGGGGAGCGAGAACGGGAGTGAGTGAGAGAGGAAGCCGGAGCAAGCCCAGGCAGGCGTGCAAGTTGACCAAAAGTAGAAACAAAACTGCAAAACATAGAGCGAGGTAGGCAGTCGAGACAGACCAAACAAAGCGAGCACAAGCTGGACACCTGGATACCTACCTGGACACAGCACAACAACGATCCAATCAACGCATTGCAACTCACCTCATCTCTTCAGCGTGCGTCGCCATGTCCATGTAGCCCATTCCGGGCTGCGAAGGGTCAAAATCCTGCTGAACGAACTGCATGTCAGCCCCTGTACCGACGGCAATAGTCAGCCATGTCACGTCCTTGCGCGCAACGGCATTTGATGGCGATGTGACATGGGCTTGTCTGGCCTGGTCAACGTAACTCGCACACCACCCTCGGTTGCGAGCCGTCGGCTTCTGTGGAAAAGGCCACTGTGTCTGTCAATCAACGCGTTAGCCAACTGAGATATACTGTTCCCCATTCCAATGCGCCCAAGAGTCAACTAGTGAACAGGAACCCGACGGGAATATTGGGATATATGGGGCTGTTTGATGGTCCCGCGCAATACGCGAGTGACGCCAACTCAGGCTGAAGGCCCCGGCCTGGCCCATGCCATCCCAACCCAGCTCGCAATCCAGCCCAGCCGTCGAGTACAATGAGATACTCGGGACCTAGACAAGATACGTGGCTGGGCTCCACGCTCATGTGCTGTGCACCCAGCACCAGTCGGAAGCACAACGCCACAGATTTCTTGCAGCGCGTGCTGCAAAGCTCTTGCGTGCATTCAATGGCCACACGACGCATTTCTTGGCGTTGGTCCGACCGAAACTAGGCACGCGGGTCCGCTGCATCTGCATTCTGAATCCCCATCACCGACCTGGATCATCCAGACGATGCCCATCGGACATTGTGTCGGTTCTGAAAATGGATGGCGAAAAATTGGTTGCTGATAAGACGTAGAGAAAGGAAAACATGGATGGGCAGGGTAATGACAGAGGATAATGGATACACCTACCTCCTGGGATGCTGAGCGTACCCCCCCGATTCCGTCTCCTGGGATGCACCCGAGTGAAAGAGGCCCGTTCTTATTGGGCCTCATCACATTCGCCTCCAAAGCATGGATTGTCCACCGGCGCCGATCTCCCGGAAGTTTCTCCCGGACGGTTTGAAGTAATGGGAAACCCGGGCAGTCGACATGATTGAGAAACAAGACAGATAACTCACCTTTGGGATTTGAGAATTCATACGCCCTTTTCTAACGACAGGCTGTCGTCGCAAGGCGGAATCTACCACGAAATAGCTGGCGTCGGCCTTCGTTCTGGCTTTCGTGGCTCGTATCTGAGCTCGCCCTCCCACACTAAATCCGGTAGCGCATGTGTCAGCCAAACCCCCGAAAAGCCCAGGAAGGGCTAGGTAATGCAATGCATATAAAGTCATGTCATATACCCTAGAGTTTTATTGAGGGACCCAGCTCGAGCACCTTTCGTCAGTCGCGTGGCTTCGATACGTAGTTGTGTCCGAGGACGTCTTTAGATGAGTATCGTTAGGACCCTGGAATTCACGATCATCAGCTTTGTCTCAAGTGACATGTAAGAAGTATTTGACGGCAGAAACGCAGCGATCGATCGGGGCGAGAAAGAGTGATTGACGACGAGGGAATCACACTCTTCGCCAATCATGGACGAAGAATGTTAGAATGAGGGCGAGAGAGCAATGGGCTGACGCTGCTGACTAGCTGCCATTTCCTCTCGGAAACGACTATCACCTGTTTTCCTCGTGACGAGTCGAGGAAGGGACTGACATGCTTCTAGGGATGGCCATTCGATCCCTGCAACTGGATCAGCCCGGATTCGAGGCCGAGAAGATCACTAGGACGAATCTACCATTAGGCAACAGCACTCGACCCGTGCCTGGAAGCATTCCAAAGACTCCGTCGTGCACTCATGTCCCCGACTTGACGGAAAACGGCGACCAAGAAACTCGTCACCGAAACGATGCGGATTCGGCTGCCAAAGCAACCGAGATGGATGGGGAAAAAAAAGACATCGATGTCTCACCCTTGTCTTCCGCTGCAGAATTAGATAAGTCTTTCCGACTTGATGCAGTTCGTAGTGGCTTTGCGTTCTTCGAAGACAAATCAAGGTGTCTTTGTCCGTTGGTTTGAGTGACGACCTTGCTCGATGCTTGGTGTAACAAAAAAATTGAGAGGTGACGTTAATGGTGATTGCGAGGACTTGGTCAACAATGGCGATCTTATGAGAAGACACAACCGCGCGGGTGCAGGATCTGGCTGTCTATATACCCTCGCCGCTTGGGGCCGCGGCGGTGGCTTGACTTAGGATCGCACAGGAATAAGCTGAGGAGGGCCCGGAGGTTCAAGGGGGGATCGCGAGAACCCGTGGCACAGACCGAGCAAGGAACAGAAAAGGAGCTAATTCTCAAGCAAGCAGTCTGCCGAAGCGCTCAAAGGATAATGACAGACTCGGGGATACCGGCTGGCGGGGAGGGACCTTTGACTGGAGACGACTGGGTCGCGCAGAGCCTGAGACAACGGGAAGGACACATGAGAATTATGGGGCGCGAGGCGACCCTGGTCTCTTAATCAAAGGTAATATTCTTCCTTGGACATCTCTGCGGCAAGTTAGGACCATGTGAATGGACTGTAGGCGATGCATAGAATTGTCTTACCGTCATCGATGACCGGCAGACGTGGAAAGCCGCGGAGGATGCTCGAGTTCTCAGGAACAATGAGAGGCAGGAAGCCGTACCAATTGCAGGGTAATGCTTCAAATCGGAAATGCGCTCGCGAATTCAACCAAACAGAGCCCTCGGGGCTCCCTGTGAGGCGGATGCCGGAATGAGCTCAGGGTCTGGCCCACTGCGGCGATCGCATGCCCATGCATCGATGGGTCTCTATGCTCAGAGCTCCAGTCTCAATTGACGAATCCTTCCGCAAATGATGTGAAACTGTTTGTTGGCTTCACGGTGTGGGCTGAGAGATCAATCCCCATAGTAGATAGCGTGGTGCTCGTATACACCAGGGCTGCACATGACAATGGCGCTGTCCCGAGTCTACTGACCGTGGCTATCCACCCCGGTGCCAGCTCGAGTGCATCAACATGCAAGCACCCGGCCGTCAAGGGCTTCTACGAAAGGCCACAAACACTGCTTTTGATTGGGAAAGGACATAGTTTGACGAGAGGAAGACGCCAAAGGCGGGCGACGGCAGGAAAAGCGTCAAGGATTGGCCGGCGGTGAGCAGGTTGTCAACCACTAACACTGAAGTGCCTGGATTGGAGTCTGACCGCATTACTCGCAAATATTTGCCATGCGCTGATGCGAGAAGTTTTCAGCATGAAATAATTCTGGTCATGGTTCTGTTCGAGTATGATGGATGGAGCGATCGAAAGCAGATCGATAGTGGATTCCGGGATGCTCTGTCTGCCACAGGGATGTTCTCCACCGACCAGACCCACGATCGCCTGGGGATCATATCCTCAGCCAACGAGAAGCAATTAAGCAGATCAGGTCGCTCTCGGCGGTTTACCAAAGGCCCGCCGTGTGAACTCCCCCACGCGCTTCGACAGCTAGGTGGCTGACCCCATGGCGTGCTCTCCGTCCATAGCGAAAAGATCGACTGTTCTTGTCAGATAGCCCGGCCATGTCTCGGGTTCTGGGCGGAGCCCGTTAACATTACACAAACACACGTGAAGTCGAAGAAAGTTTCATGCCCACAGACGGCGGATGCGTCCCAACGGCGCAGAAGCTGCAGCGTTCCAAATCAGAGTGTCAACGGGAGAAACGGGTCAATGACAAGATCGGATCCTTTGTTACAGGCGGGGTCGAATCATCGGTCAGAGCTTGCCAAAATACAGATTGAACGAAATCAAATCGAAGAGACGCTGACGATCGTGCATCTTGAAAGTTAACCAATAATATCCGGATGTACCCGAACCGAAGGGAATGGAGGGGGTGTCGCTGGCCACCCTTCAACGCCGGCATGGACCGTAAGCTAGAAGGAGGTAGAAGATCCATACTTAGAATGCGAGAAGCTCGCTGGCTGCAGGTCCTCGTGTTTCTCCAGTGGAAACCATGCAGCCATCAAGCATCGGCGTCGGCTCCCGTTGACTAGTCTTGAAGGGCGCTGGTAAGAGCTGCCTCTGCAAACCTCCCCGAGCGGGCCAGTGTGATGCCTCGTCGTCCGTTTCAGGCTTTGGGCGGGCATAAATGCGGGCAAGCACCCGGAACGCGACATGCGGCGTTCAAGGTCGGTGCCCTCGTCGACCAGGACGGCGGCCAGAGCAAACGAGGTCAGAACGAATGAGAGGCAGGTTCAACCTTGGATCGGATCGGGCCGTTACTTGGGGGCCCATCAATCAGGCCCGGTGGTTGTATGTAGAGTTGGCGTGGTGGCTGATAGCAGTGGTGTAAGCGGTGCGACTGCAAGCCGTTGCTGCCATTCAAGGCTCAGCATGGTTGCGACCGAGAGCCAAGACGAATGAGTCCAAGAATCGCTTGGTCAGATCCCAGGAAGATCTCTGTACAATGTGACAAGTGACTAAAGCCCAAATGTCAACCCTCCGCTGGCGGCGGTCGTATCCCGTAAGGGTGATAGGACGATGTAGAAAGCTTGCATGGCAACGCCTAGTGCAGAGAAATGGGGGGCAGCAGCAGCAGCCGTACTTAGGGCGGCGGTGGGCGGCGGCGGGGGGTCGGCGCCAATGTAGGCAGGCAAGCAAAGGATGCTGCATGTGAGCTGCAGGAAGATGTGTCACGGTCCGGATGCTGGATGAAGTTGGGTGACGGAACAGACGGTGTCAAGTTGTTTGCAAGCAGATGCACGTACTCCAATACTCCACGGCTGTGTGTCGATTGGCACGCGGACCACTGCGGAGCTAAGATCGTCTCGCTGAGACCATGAGGAGAGAGATTGACCAGGGTGGTGGCCCTTGTGGTGGACTTGACCCCGGCATTCTTGGGCTGGCCATCTCATTCCACCCGCATCGCCATGACAGCGACGATCTATCACCGGCCATTGTCGCCATCCCTGAGAGAATCTGAGAGGCAAACCTAAAAGCCATTGGGAGTCTCAAATCCAGCCCCCGATGCCATGACCACGGAACAGAATGGGCGGGCCGTGGCTGTTGAATTTCCAGTTCTCCACTGGCGGCGTCAACGCTGAGGCTGGTCTCCAAGATCCCAGATTTTAGCTTCCAACGGCGGACATATCCGATCCCTCTCTGGGTCAGAGATGCGAGTGGACGAGTGGATGGATGAGTGGATGAGTGGAGGATTGCAATTGTCGGCGCGGCGAAGGATGGTTGGGTGAGGTTTGGCGTCAACAAGCGAAGAGCTGTCACGCACAGCCCACCTATGCACGGGCGATCCCTCACCGGTCGAGCCTCGCAGGTCTGTTTTCGGGTGCCTTGCTGGCCCCTGCCCTCTGATCTTCCGCTAGCTGCCCTAGCACGTGCTGGCTGCTCGCGATTGGTCACACTGGCACCCCGCGAACCCATCATCCAGAAAGTACCCCCCTCGTACGCACCTTACAGAAGGGGGTTAGCGAGACGGTGGGGAATCACCCCGGATATCAGAGCCCTACGTTGTACCGCACAAGCAGGCTGTCAGTGCCGTCCCTGGACGCTAATTATTGGGTCTGAAACAAGTGCCGTGGGCGCTAACCACGCGTCAGAACCCCACCATTCAACTACTCAGCTGCCTTGTACCTACCTAGGTATGCTATGCAGCACCATTTCCCTATCACGGTGGACGACTGTTGACAATGGATGGTTACCTTTTCCCCGATGACTGTATGGGTTTCCCGAGGCACCCCTATCAGAGCGCTACAAAACAGTACCTGCACTTCCCGAGGAGCCATCCGCTGGGTCGGTCCACCCCCGTTTACGCCCTGAGCTGTAGGCAAGACCTACCTTAGGTATCTAAGGTACCTACCTACCCACATAGAAGGCGCCAACCTTGGCTCAGCTACCTAGGTACCTACCTCAGATCGCCGGGTCGCTGCACACACATCATGGCAATGATACACTATCAGAGAGACTAGAAATATCAAGCCACCCCATAATGCAGAGCACATTCACCCATCCTTGCACCTTCTAAAATAGGAACGGGTGTTTAACGTTTTCGTCAAGAGACACGCATCATCCTGCTAAGCCCGGTGGGCCACTGCGTTAGGTCGACAACACCCCAAGTCCGTACCCATTGCATCTTTGTGAGGATGGACGCTGGCGTATTGGTTTATACAGACACGGCCCCAAGTTGGACTTGACCCGGGCGGTGCATTTGGGTGCAATTCGCCTGCTCACCGGCATATTCCGACTGAGTCCATCGCCGTCCGATCACGGTGAATCTGCCGGTGCCTTGCAGAGCAATCTAAACCGACAGGCATCTGGCTTGGCCAACAAAGCACGGCGAGGGTCTCCAAACCGGTGACGCTAGCCGAGGGATCGAAGATACTGTGGAGAGCAAGACACCGCCTCGCTTGCTCGAGGATGGGCGTCGTACAGTAAGACAGCTCTTAGCGGCCCCCTGAAGAGAACGATGATAAAGTCACCCCGTCCTGTGACTACAGCCTTGCATCTCTATTCAATTTTACCTGCCGCGCTTGGTATGGCAACACATGAGCCACTCTCAGCTAGTCAGGGCTAACGGTAAGCACCGCACTTTCGTCTTCACCACCATTCGCGTCCTCCGAGCATGCGTTGATCCTACCATTCTAAGTGGCCCTTGTCGGATCGTCTGCACCCAGCATGACCAGTGGCTTGGCACGGCTGCTTTGCCCGAGACACGACGGAGAATGTCATTTCGGCCCTGGGGAGTAGGATTTAAGGCTTGTCACAAATCGTAAAACTCGGGGTGGGCACCCAATGCAACCAAGGAGTGCTTGGTACATTTTTGGCTCCCACTAAATCCCGTATTTACAATCGTCGCATGGGCAGCTAAAATGCCCATCTTAGATACAGGTGGATCATGCGTTCGTAGCCCTACATCTCGCATAACCAACCGTGTGTCGCGAATTGCGTGTCAAGTTGGGGGCCAAAGCAGGCAAGGCTCACGTTGGTTGGTGACCTGTCCAGGTACACATGCATTACGCCATTGTCAAGGACATTCCCAACTCTATTTTCTGGCCCCTGAAATGGAGCACATTTGAGTAGTTTACCTATCCAAGAGGCAACCCTGTCACATGCTGAAGGCGTTTGGCCGCCCGAGCCAATCTTGACCGGGCGAGGTCAGAAGACATCTCGTCCTCTGCTAAATGCGCTTGGAACCAGTCGCGTGCTCTAAACGGCATACTATTCCCCCCGAATGGCATCGTCTTGGTCTAGAATAGGCTCCGGTCACGGTAAAGAGTGGCCCTGAGAAGCTGCTGGCTCCGCGCGAGGCAAATGGCGCCCCGGGACGGCAACCACTCCTTTTTCTGACTTGTGACACAAAGGCGCCAAGGGATTAGGTCGCATTGGAAGCAAACTTCTAGGCAGAGACAAAAGTCGTCTGAAGAAATTTTCAGAGGGACTGCCGAAACTGAAGGAATGCGATCCTGGGAAGCCTTGAGGGCGAACCCGGGCCCTGATCAGGGTGTTCGAGTCGATTGTCTCATCTTATTTGGCTGGACGAAGTCCGATTCGGAATTTATTCGCTTCGTCCTTCCAGATCAGGCCGTCGTCCAACAGGACCATGAAGGTCTGCCACCCCATCGGCACTAAGCCACGGGACGGCGTTTTGACGGAGGACCATCACTGTTGTGTTCGCCTCTTATCACGGGTGCTTGCCTTGCGCTCGAAATGGATTAGTAAACAGTGTACACGCTGCGCATGCCATCCTTCGAGAGGAAGCTGGCGATGAGGGGAGGATGAGGGGAGTGATACGTGGCAACGCCTCTGCAACACAGCTTCAGTCTCTGTCGGTAACCAATGATCTGGACAAACAGTGCTGCTCAGCAGAACATCAAACATCTCTCGAGGAGTAAGATGCCATGGCTTTTCTCCTGCCTCCATAATTGTCTCATAATAGCAAGGGTGCCCACATGGCACCAGGCGACAAAGATACTGGCGGAGCTTGAATGCGGTCAAGACAAGGCGCATTCTCCCGAAACACATCCCCATGACTCTTATTCGTTTTCCAAAGTGCTAATTCAGCGGAGGTTTTTCAGGTGGGCAAGCATGTTGGGCAGCCTCAAGTTATGGAAACTCTGGTCCACACCCCTGTTTGCAAACTAGACCCCTCTCCACCCCGGCGCTGTTGTAGGCCTTGAGACCATGCTTGATACTGGTGTCTCTTTGATTTGTTGGAGGCTGGGAAGCATATCTGTGGTACCCTTCTCCCGCCTCAATGAACGAGGCGTACAATGCAAGCACCCGCGGTTCATGCCAAACTATGCTGGACGACAGTGTTTGTCTCGCCTGGCCTAGACTACGAGGAAGCAAAACCGCTGTCGCCGGTTCATATAAGCAAGCACAACCTGATGGTGCTGATCGAGTGCGATTATGTCGACGTTGATTTGTGCTGACTGTGAAAGGCAGGGCGAACATGTTACGGAATAGCTGCTGAATGATGTCAGTCTGCGGCAGTCGGACGCCTCAAAGGTCAAAGCTGTAAATTCGATTAAACATGTCTCGCTAGAAGAGGTCAAGTCGACGCAAGCACATAGTCACGGCATCAGATGCTCGAAATTTACAGGATTTCGTGGAGTTGTGGGTGGGAGTTGTCTACGCCTCTTTCCGGGCTACCGGGACGGGAGACAGCACAAGGCAATCTTACAAATGCCACGGCAACATGGATGGCCTTGCTTTCAGCAGCGAATTAAAACAACGATACGCTAATCGGTGAGAATGAGAATGAGTAGACCCGCGATCGACAGAGTTGCGCAGCACTTTTCATATCCCGGTGAAGGTTGGAAGGATGTCGCCGTCTGACCAACAATGCCTTGGGCCAAGCAATGGCATCACACTCTGACACAAGGAAGATGGCCAAGGTGTTTACAGCTGATAACCGGCGGCGCTTAGAGACCAGACATCCTTGCCAAGCTCATATTTGCACGTCAGCGTAGTCCGAAGACGGGCGGCGACGGGCCTGAAACCGGCACTCGGTGTAAGTGGCCTCAAGTTCGGGAGGAGGGGCACGTCACGGGTTAGTTGATTCAATATGCCGCGTGGCGCATTCGGGCCGCAGGAGGACAAAGGAAGGCGGACGGGATAGGATGGTGGCAGGCGAGAGGAGGTATGCTGGTGGCGTCACGAGATGACGAAGCGCATCGGTGTGGATGGGCTTGATAGTGATGGCCGAGTGTGTGGTGGTTGCTTGGGGGCGATTCTGCCTTGGCCTGAGACTGGCTGCGCTGCCGTGAGCACACTCCACTCTCAGATGAAGATGACACTCGGATCTTCGAAAAGGCTGAGCCTGGGCTGAGCTCGGCTTGGATGTCTTGCTTCACTTTGACTTGGGTGCTCGGGGCGTGTCTCTGGGTGTGTGCACCGGGTCTCGCCATGGTCACCCTGCGAGGGATCGATCTTCGGCTGTGGCGTCTAGTGAAGCAGCCCAGTCTGAGCTGAGGCCGTGGAAAAGTGTCCAGGTCGCGGTAGTTACAGGGTAGTTACAGGGGTATATCCGCTACCTGAGTCACTGGGGCTCCAGGTCCAGCGCCTTTGGAGCGCTGACAGAGCTGTCGGTAGCGCTGTGACTCACTGGAACGTAGGCAATGACAATGAAGTGACTCCCCAGGACCCTCTGCAGCTCACTGCAGTCCACTGCTACCCACTGCCACGCGAGAGGAGCCCGGCGCTATCAGCCCAGCTTGACTCATCTAGTCCATCCAACCCGAGCTTGAATCCACCCTAAACTTGCTCTCGTCATCATTCACTGGGACAAAAGAGCTCGCGCTCCGCTTCTCTCTCCCATTCTCGCTTCCCCCTACATCGCCCTCCACACTAGGCGACCTCCCCCGGGCATGCCGAAGAAAAGGAACATAAAGTCCTTCAAGCCAACCGCGGGCTCATCGTCCAGTATCGCCGGTAAGCGCATCCCCATCGCCGCCTTCTCCCCCGCCACACCCCTCCCTCCCGATGCCTCACACCCCCCAAGGCCGAAGACGGTCCTCTCGGCTTGCTTCCCTTTGAGACCCCCCCCCCCCCCCCCCCCTTCCAACCTCCAACCTCCTCCCTCGTGGCCGCCAGAGTCTCACAAGCCGTGCTCAGCAGACAGGCCCCAACGGAGTGTCAACGAGCTGCTAGCAAACTTGCGTCGTACCTCGATTGGACCATCCGCGGCCACCCAGCCCGCTCACCCAGCCACCGCCCCGAGCGTTCCTCCTGTCATCAGGGAGATTCTCCAGATCCCCGAAACCCCTGCGCCCCGTTCCCGACGCCCTGTTCGCCAAAGGTTCGATGGAAATGGCAGGAGACTTCCCGCCGGACCTCCTCCCCCTCGGAGCTGGGTCTCCCGTAGCCTGACGGACGATGCTAACTCTGGCGCCTGGTCGGGCGCTTCGCGATTGAACCTGTGTCTGGCTGACACGAGTTTGCCTGGGACCTACCTCCCTGCGCGAGGGAGTCTCATAGACATTGTGTTACGGAAGCTGGCGTACGATTGGGATTTCCATCGCGTGTACAATCAATATCATCTGTACTTCGTGCCCAATCATCTCAAGGCAGCACTGATACGCTTTGTTGGCATTGCCAGCGAAGAGGGTCTGTCTCTGAGCGACCTCAAGGCAATTCTCCTGCCGCCCCCGGATACCTTCACCGAGGATGACCTGGAGGGCCGAACCATTTCCAATGGCGAGGTGAACTACCTCGATCTTTCCGGCTCTATCGGCCGTTCCCTTAAGCTGAAGGATGTTGGTGAACTACTTTTCCCGACAACAGATCAGGATTCGACGGAGCCCCAGGATTCTTGGGACGTACCCGAGACCGTTCTAAGCCCTCCCCGAACACTTCTCCCGAACCTCACCCACCTATCGCTCGCCCTAGATCCCCGCCATGCCTCGTCTGCATCCTGGAAACAGCTCATCGGGTTGTCTTCCAAGCTCACCTCCCTCACCCATCTGAGTCTCGCTTATTGGCCCGATCCGTGTCTCATCACCCGGGGCCGCCAATCTTTCGTCGCCTCACCCCAGGGCAACATCCCGTATGGCGGGACCAACCTCTACTCCCACTCCATCGATCACGATTGGAGCGAAGCCCTGCTCGTCCTGCGTCTGTTGAGTAAGAACCTGTACGCACTCGAGTTTCTGGACCTCACTGGCTGCACGCCATGGTTCAAGGCCCTCTTGGCTGAGTCTGATCATGACCATGTGGACTGGGTCACCAACTGGGGCAAGATCACTGAGCTACGACTCTACACGGGATTAAAGCTTGGCGATGACGCACTTCCATCGGAGAGAACTAACTACAGAGAGGCTATCAATATGGCCAAGAATGTTGAGAGACATATCAGGGCCTCGAGGGCTGGCAAGGGGAGATTCGTCGTTGTCGAGAGAGACGAACTAGATACCTAGACTACTATTTAATATACACAATCCTCCAATAGGCTAAACACTGCAAGAGCCCATGATATACTTGGTTGTTTCCTTTCTAAATCTGCGTGATCTAGTTGCGTGTGCTGAAGCTGGCACCCCAAAGTGCTTTGAATCTGCTTGATGATGCAAGAAGCTCTGTTGGTTTGCCCACTTCAACAATGTGGCCTTTCTCCATGACTACAACACGATCAAAATCCAGAATCGTGTCCAGACGGTGGGCGATGGATATAACGGTGTGCTCTCTAAACTGGGTTTCAATCACCCTCTTCACAACCTCCTCCGTCTTTTGGTCCACACTGGCCTGTTGTCAGTGCGTTTCTTGAACGGGGTCACCATCTATAACACGCGCTGTAGACTTACCTGCTCGTAGCTTCGTCCAAGAGCACCACCATTCCAACCGCCTTTCTAAGCACCGCCCTCGCCAGGAAGAACAGCTGCCTCTGACCATGGCTCAACATGTCCTCCTCGAACGGTGCCTCCAGACCTCCGCGTTTCTCGATCGTGTCCCACAAGCCGACGAGTCGGAGAACCTCGACGATAGCTGGCAGGGAGCAAGTGCCGAAGGGATCGATGTTCTGGCCGACCGTACCGGGGAGGACAAACTGGTCCTGCGTTATGGCGATGAATCGTGTACGGATCGTCTCTCGTGGCAAGGCTGTCAAAGGAAGATCATCGACAGTGATGGTACCGGAGGAAGGATCGAGGAGGCGCAAGAGGGCGAGGAGAAGGGAAGACTTCCCGCTGGAAGACGTTAGTTGTAGACTGTTAAGGAGACGGTGATCACGTCAAGAGGCTACTAACCTCCCTGTTCGGCCGCAGATGCCGACTTTCTCGCCCGGTTTGATGTCAAGATTGATTCCATCGAGAACCTTGACTTCTTCCTTGCCTTCATAGGATGCTATCAAGTCTCTGATTTGGATTCCTCCTCTATCAGGCCAGGCGGTCGACGGCTCTTGGGTCTCCCCAGGTCGACTCTCCTCTGGTGTGTCTTCTGCAAACTGCTTGATCCGTGCCACGGCTCCGATCGAGGTCTCTATTGACGTCCAAAACTGAATGAGCATGTTGAGTGTCTCGCTGAGCCCTATAAGCTGCACTAGCGACACGCCTGTTAATCCAACATCCACGTCGCCACGGAGCATGACGGCAAACCCAACCACCAGGAGCGCAAGGGCCGCGGTAGTCATGTCCAGTACGAGGACTAGCCAGCGCTGTACCATGATGAGCAAGTAGAACGGACGCTGGGATCGGTCGACGAGGATGTGGTTGGCTTCGATGGCAGCGGGTGCCCAGCCAAAGGCGCGGAGGGTCGAGAGGCCATCGAGTGTCTCTAGGAATTGAGTGTACACGGGGGCTTTTTCTTCGAGGTCGAGGAGGCGAAGCTGCCGTGAGGTGCGGAGGTAGCCACGCTGGAGGTAGAAGTATACGGCGAAGAGGAAAGGAAAGGTGACGGCAACGTAGTAGGAGGAGGCGGCGAGCAGACCAGCCTTGGATATGACGCCGAAGAAGCCTGTTGGGATGTTAGAGAGGAGATGGTTTGAGAGGGGGCAATAGGGGTTACACACTAGCAAGTGTAACGACAAGGCCGAGAGGGAGGTGTCTATCGACCATTCCAACATCTTGAGAGAACCTGCCAGAGGTGTTAGAATTGAGAGATACTAGGGTAGAATGTAAACTGGCGCATCTACCTCGTTGTAATAGATCCGATGTCTGTGGTCGTAAACAGGGACAGTGGGGCCCTGTATACGTTAGCAACAGATCAAGTCTCATCTAGGAGTTAGACGAACTTCATGACGGTCCACAGTAGCCTGTGGTGTAGTGATATTCCGGACTTGGCCGCGATTATCACGAGGACGAACCTGTGTTGCTGTCAGTCTCCAATAGTTCTCGTAATATTTTACGGCACTAACCAGATGAGCAGAGCGAACCAAACGACAGCCATGACCTGTAACATAGCATATATGCCTAGATAATAACCAGTTCGCTGATATTTGCCATCTGAGTTGGCATCTGTCCAGAATTTCAGCCACACAGCTATGGTTTGTTAGTATTCTTCCGTGATGCTTGGAGTATAGGGTAGGATCTCAACGAACTGGGAAAACTCTCTAAGAACGCCCACACAATCTCCAGTGCAATCAGAGTACCGAGAAAAGTATAACCTATACTGCCAAAGTAATAGCGGTAGACGGTCCTGTCGCCGAGTTGGCGGCGCTCATCTGGTTCCTGTTCCTTGACTGGCTTGGCCTTGGAGTTGACCATTGTGTTGTCGGCGTGTTCAACGGGGTCAATAGAATCTTCAAAACCAATGGATTGAGAACTGGGGATGTCTTTGACGAGTGTTTGCATGTACCCGCCAGAATTTCGAAGATGATCGAAAGTTCCTTGTTCAGAGAGTTTTCCGTTCCCATCAAGGCAGAGTATCAAGTCCGCGGACGAAAGGAAGCTCACTATAGACATGTTAATGATGGCAAGAATTCTGCGATAGCGAAATTACCTGACTGCGTGGCAAGGATTATTGTGGTGCCAAATTTCCTAAGTAATCCATCCTTAAGGAAGATATTCTTGAAGACCCGCTGTGCAGTATGGTTGTCCAGACCGCTGAAGACATCGTCAAACAGGGCAATCTTCGGCCTGGAGTACACTGCCCTAGCCAAAGCCTTGGATTTATTAGCAAAGATTGGACAGCAGAACCTGCGTACTCACAACTCGTTGCTTTTGCCCTCCACTGAGAGCAAGACCTTTGCTTCCGACCACAGTCATATCACCCTCTGACAGCTGCTTGAAGTCCCTTCCAAGATCACAGGACTTGACCACGAGGTCGTAGAGGCTTGGATCAAAATGAGAGTACCCAATGATATTTTCCCGGATAGATTTGTTCTACTCAATTAGTTAAGGCAGGGGAGTAATAGACCCTGGGTTGCATACCAAGAGCCACGGTGTCTGATCGCACCAGGAGAGCCGTTCACTGGCTAGACTGATCCTACCAGTCGTGTTTGGAACTTCTCCAAGCATCCCTTTCAAGAGTGTGCTCTTTCCAGAGGCGACTGGTCCGATCAGTAGAACAAACTGACTGCGCTCAATTGTAAAAGTGATGTCTTGGAGAACTTCCCGCTCCTCTGACCACGCAAAATTTGCCTCTAGAACATCGACGGCGAAACCTTCTGAGATCTTGCTAACCATGGAGGTAGGAGTATGGTTTCTAAGGACCTGTAGTTCCACAGCCTCCGAATCGTGCTCAAGGGGAATCTCAGACGGTGCTTGTGGATAGACCTGGCGATACTCTTGACGTGAATTCTGGACGAGGAATTTCTCAATCCGTTCGAAAGCTCCAAGAGCAGCGCTCATGTCAAGAACGACTTCAAACATCCAGAAAAGCGGTTGGGCTAAAAGGATAATGAGCGAGAGAGCAGAGAACATTCTTGTTGCGTCAAGTGTTTGGTTAGAATTTGCAGCCACGCCCTGGAACAGACCAAAGGCCACCACAGGTGAGAGTAGAAGAGGCACTTGAGCCATCGAAGAAGTGATGCTGCCGACAACACGAAAGGGTTTAGCAGTCTTGATTTCCTCGACGCGTAGACTTGCGATTGTTTCAGAGAGCTTCTGCGCCAAACCAGACATCTTGATGCTCTTGATATGCCCGATCATGGCGGATGTGATTCCTGAGGAGATTTAGAGTTGTATGAGAGGTATCGAGATCTGGATTGTGCTCACCCACTCGCTTTTGCGTCTTCGCCAACCAGGCAATTTGATACTTCTTCGCCAGAGGCGCAACCCCGACCGTACCGAGAAGGGCTACAACAGAGACGATGATTGGACCTGAGGCGGCATATCCGATTTGGATACTCAGCAGCCAAGTGGCAATGACAATCTGTATAACATTTGCCCAGAATTCGTGAATCTCCTTGATGGCCCGGACAATGACTTCGACCTGCGCACCAATTAGTCTGAGAAGAATGGCGCTGAAATAGAGACTCACGTCGGATGACATGAGAGTGACAGCCGCCGAATCATCCGTTGCCGTGATGCTCGTCTCGGTAGCTTTGGAGAAGATGGCCGAGACAAGAACACCCCGCAGCATGGTGACGGAGCGGCCATTGCGATGCCAATAGAGGGCCTGCGTAACTGCGATACCGAAATAGATGAGCCCGTAGGCGGCGACAAGACCGTAACCGATGGTGGCGGGCTGAGATGAATCGTCGAGAAAGATGAGAAAGCGGTTCAGCGCGAGGGGCTGGCAGATGGTGAAGGCCAGGAGGGCGAGTCGTGGGAGCACGACAGCGACGAGGGACCATCTTAAAGTGATGATACAACATCGAATGAGCCGGTGCTTGCGTGTTGATGATGCTGAGCAAACGTTTAGTACAAGGACATCACGGATTTAAGGGTGATTTTAATAATATGGGAGTAGCTATGTAAGAGACAAACCGAACCTTTTGTCCAATGCCACCAAAACCTCTCGACCAAGCCCGCCGCACCCATATCTTCATCCAGCGAAAACAGATCCACCGGCTTCAACAGCCTCCGAAAGCCCGTCTGCAGCAGAGGCGTGACCCACGCAAACACGGCCCGGGCGTAGAGGCCGGCCGTAACCTCCGGTGCGTACGGGCCGGCGCCGGCTATCAAGTATGATGACTTATCCCATGCCTCAAGGATGAGGAGGACAGCCTTGCAAGAGCATGCAGCTGTGAAGATGGCTGGGATGGAGGCACTCATGATGGACGAGGGCAGCAGCCACAGGGTGCGGAGCAGTGCCGCGTCCAGCAGCAGAGATACGAGGAGGAAGGCATTCAACAAGGAAGATGGGCGCGGAGATTTGACATGTTCAGCATACGAGAGGACACAGGACATCAAGCTTGAGGCAAAGGAGACACATGCAGCAGCAATAGAGACACGACTGAAACGGGCGCCTGGAGGACGCGTCGCCCAGAGGACCACGAGGGCAAGGTGCAGGGCGGCCAAGACGGCGATGGCGGCCTGTTGAGCTCTGCGTGTTAATCTCGACTCCCATTCATCGAGGACGAAACGCGGCGAATAGTGCATGCGGATTGTTTTCACTGACCAGTTTGAGGTGTCGGAGGCCATGACCAGCGACTTTGACGGGGGAATGGCGAAGATGGAACAGACGAAGAGGCGCCGCGACGATGAGAAGCGTGGCGGGAAGTAGGACAAGAATGGATTGCTCAAAGGTGACGGTAAAGTCGAATCCCTGGCGACATTCGACGGCGACCATCGGACCGAACGCGTTGTCCGCAGAGGGCACGCATTGGGGAGTGGATGAGTTCATGTTGGTGACAACAATACAGATTCCTGGGGAGGTTAATGAGAGAAGTTGAGATAGTGGGAAAATGGGGAGTGTGGGGTTATTTATTGGAGTCGCAAGCATTATCTTAGCGACTGGTGATAAGCAACTCTGTCGCATTGCAAAAGTTCCCTGGAAGAATTAGGCAGGTGGTTACTTGAAGCGACTTAGTGGCTAACATGGGCTGACAGTTTGGTCTGTTCAAGTGGAAGAATAATGCAAGCAAGGATTGAATATCACTACTCTGCACAGAGCTGGGCAGTTTTATCCAGCAGGCGTTATGTTAGGAGAGGTTTGAAGCCAAATACAGCGGTTAACGGCTGGCCACGGTGGAAGACGACTCTGTGAAACGAAAGCAATGGAATGCTGAAACATGGTAGGTAATGCAGGCGACAGCACCCAGTAAATAGGGCCACACAAACTTCGTAAACGTATCAGTCACGACTCAAATAAGGGGAATGAATCATAGATTCAATGATCAAGTTTCTATCTTCATCTCCGAAAGCAGGTTAGGTGGGAAGGGCGAGATCCAATAATGCAGACGGGGTGTTACACACAAGTTGACCAAACGTCGACCCATGTTCGACTTCCCGTTCCCTCTCGCTCTGGTAGTGTAGTTATTGATTGTTTGTGGAAGCTTTGGAGTCCCTTGTAAGTCTGCTTGAGCAAGCAGGTTGAGTGACAAGCTCGGTAAACCAGGTTTGTGACATCGACAAGCAATCCAGTTGCCGACCAGCGTAATAGCAAGCTGCATCGTGGACAGGTTTCTATGCAAACCTCCATGAATGCAGCATCTAGTTTCCAGAAGCCTCTGTCACTGACACCGGGCATAAATACCCCATCAAGTCTCTGTCAACTCAGTTCTCTACACAACTTCTATATACCACGCTGTTTCCAAGACCCTGAACGACAGCCCTGGCTCTGGAGTAAGTTCACATGATCCCTTCTCCCTTGAGTGACCAAATAGACTCTAACGACAGTCTAGGACAATGCATAAAGTCCACAACCTGCATGACGCACCGGCAAGCTCATGACTCTCGGAACGAAAGCCAGTCCCAGCACTGGCGGTGCCTGTCTCATCGCCTTGGTTCGAAGCTCTGGGTACTCGCATTCGCATACTGAGGTAATCGAGGCCAATGGCCTGTGGTACATGACATGCCTCTAATCTACCTTAGCTTGTCAGCAAGACGACCTGGCAAAGCCGGTCGATTCTTATACAGGACTCGATCTGCAATCGTTCCTGGGCATATACTACGATACTACGATACTGCCTGGCGAAGGCGCCAGACACTACTACGGCGCAAGAGATTGAAGGCCAATGAGCACATGTATGCTGGGGGGCATTGGGGGTACCGTCCCCGAACTGATCTCGAAGGCCGTGGACACATCCACTCCAGGAGCTCGCACCCGGAGTCCATCGCAAGGCTGAACGTCGACTCTACTGAGAAGCTGACGGAAAGACTTCCAAAACGAAAGAGGCGGCGTTTTATACCTAACCATGGCCCCCCCCAAACCATCTCTGGCTCTGAGTCTTGAAGGAGAGGCGGCTGATTCCGTCAGCACCTGCCCCCTTCCTCGATGTCGCCGTCGGGGAGGAGGAGTGTACCGAGACGAACGTTCACCTGTGGATGCTAATCTTCTCCCGATTCCTCCGACGGATGGAGGTCGAGCCTGCCGAGGACCTGGCCAAACACAGGCTTCACAACAGACTTGAGGACGACGATGACGGCCGAAATTCACCACGCCCTGAGCGCCTAGCGACCGCTTCCGACATCCCCGAAACCTCAAGAAGATGTCTCTTCCAGTTAATTGGTTTCATCTATTATATATTATACGCCCGAACTCGCACGGGGATGTCAACTGCTGCGTCGGGTCAGGGTTACCAGACGGAAAAGGGTCTTGCATCCTCGATTCCAGAGCCCAGAACCAGCCTGGTTCACCCTTCGTCGCCCGATGACCTCTATATTGGAACACAAGTGGCACAAGCATACATCCACTTGGGTGAGGAGCCAGTTCGCAAATGCCGCAACCTGTTACAAAAAATAACAGATAGTTTCTTTACCAGGGTCTATTCATCCAGAATATAAGTTGCAGGACAAACGACCCTCGATGCAGCAGCCCCAGAGTTCAGTCACATTCAGGAGGTCTTTAATGCAACTCTTTCAAACACAGCCAGTCTCATTTAAGAATGGAGTCATTGGATATTAAAGTATCTCCACCCGTGTCGACTAGCATACCAAACACAATTCTGAGAACCACGGGGTTCCCAGTCAGATGTTGCTGCAATCGTGGGTGGACTTATGCTCCAATGGCACGCGCCCCAAAGAGGGATAAAACGACGTATTTTATGTCGCAAGGGAAGAGATATAATTGGGGAAAAGAAATCACAGGAAAAAATAAGAAAACTTTTTTACCATCTGGCCCTCTCCTCTTCCTTTCTTCCTGTTTACTTTCAACCGTACAATTAACGTGAAACTAATCCGATAGAACGAGAGGTGCTATGGAAATAGTGTAGGTTGGCTAGGTACCTACGTCGCGTGAGAGAGAGCTTGTGAATGATAATACCGCGAAATAGCGAGTCGATCTATCAATGAGTGAGTCACTCACTCACTCATTAAGCAGTCATTTCCCGCCCTGACTGGCAGCGTCCCCGAAACTGACACAATCGATTTATTCGCGCTGTAGATCTTGGGGTCACACAAATTGAACTGCAGCAAGGCGGAGGCGTGGCGATTGGCGGGTCCTAATTCAATAAATGTAGCGAGTCATCCGGTATGAGTCACCGACAGTTTGATGGCGGCACCTCTACACGGAAAGGGCAAGTGGCATGTCTTTCTTCTCCGAAAGCACCTTATTCGTCGCTCCCGGACCGTGATTCGTTGGCGTTGGACTTGGCTGAGAGCAAAGCCATCGCGGGGAAAATCCGCGGAGAGCACCCAAAATCGCCATCACAAAGACAACTACTTAACCCATGTAGTGCCAGTTGGCTTCCAGTGCGGGAGCAAAGCGCATCTGCTGGTTTCATTCCATCAATCACTGAATGTACGATACTAGATTGCGTTTCTTGAATTTCTTGTCCCTTTTCTTCTTTCCAGAGTAATTGTTCTGCTTCTGCTTCTCTTCAATCCTTGCTGTCCACGATGACGTCGATTGCCGATGAATCTGTAGCGACCATCCTCTGCACCTCAAAGCAGACGCGCTTTCACATCGAGTCGCCCAATTATCGCGAGGTACAAACGTCCATTAAAAGCCCACCTCTCACAGACAGCCAGGATCTAACTCTGGGGACCCGCAGCTCGACATCGAAGGCATCTCCATCACCGTCACTTCGGGCAGCAAGGCCAGCGGCAAGTCTACGGCAAAGAGCAAGGGCAAGGCAAAGGCTGAGGGCATTGAGATCCTCACTAATGCCAAATTGAGGCTGAAGGAAGGCCAACGGTATGCTCTTGTCGGACGCAATGGGACAGGAAAATCTAGTACGACTCTGACTTTGGAGCACTCTTCAAGGTGATTCTTGCTAACCAACTCGTCATTAGCGTTGCTCAAGGCTATTGCGGAGAAGCTCATCCCTGGAATCCCCGAGGGAACCAGAATAGCACTTCTGCAGCAATCTAGACTCGTCGGTGAGAATTCCGATGGAAAGCCTGCCTCTGAAGGTGGCTCTGCCGCAAGCGTCTTGGAAGAGGTGATTGAGCGAGCTACGGCGAAGCAGACTGTTGAGCAGGAGATAAAGGGTATGCCTTCTTTCAAAATTTCTAACCGCATCTGTTCTCATAATTCATATCTGCAGTCCTATCCGAAGGCGTCAATGCCTCGGATTCATACGCCCCGGTTCGAGCCTTACGCCAGTTAAAGCATCACCGCCACCAGCAACGTGTCTTCCGACTCGACAAGGACGCCAGACTTCGCAGTGGCGCTCGTGGACTGCAGGCGCGTAAAGCATTGGTGGCATACGAGAAAGTCGTTGCCGAGTCCGGCATTGTGTACGTCATTGAGCACCATCGAGCCCCTTGACTCTAATAAGCCTGTGTAGTTTGGAGCAGGCGAACGACGACATCACGCCCGATATCCTCCAAGCGGAAACGCAGGAGGCTATTGATATGCTAGCCGATCTTCAGATCCAGGTCGATCCCTCTCACGTTGCTGAGACGGAGTCGCAGGCCAAGAGGATACTCACTGGTCTTGGGTTTTCAGAGTCGCTCATGGCGAAGCCCATCACGAGTCTCTCGGGTGGATGGCACATGCGCGCATCCCTCGCAACAGCTCTGCTCCAGGAGACAGACATTCTTATCCTCGACGAGCCCACCAACTTCCTCGACCTCCTGGGTATCATCTGGCTCCAGCGCTACCTCCAAGGTCTCGAGGATACGGACAAGGCCCCGACCCTGATCCTCGTCTCCCACGATCGCGACTTCATTTCCGTCTGCACTGATATTATCATTTTGAAGGATAAGCAGCTTACATCTTTTCACGGTGATCTTCCCACCTATGAGGCCTCCCAGTCGGAGCGTAAGCTCTGGCTCACCAAGATGAAGGACGCTCAGGACAAGCAGAAGGCACACATTGAAAAGTCCATTGCCGCCAACATCAAGGCCGGCAAGGCCAACGACGACCAGAACAAGCTCAGACAGGCAAAATCCCGACAGAAGAAGCTCGACGACCGCTGGGGCCTGCAAGTCAGCAATCGCGGCGGCCGCTTCAAGCTGAACCGCGACCTCGTGGGATTTCACCTCACCGCTCGCGAGGATATTGATATCGCCCCCGAGGACCGCCCCGTCGTCATCTGCCTACCAGAGACCCTCGACTTGCGGTTCCCAGGGGCGCTCATCTCCCTCGAAAAGGTCGCATTTCGATACTCGCCCAAGACCCCTCTCGTGGTCCAGGATATCACCCTCTCCGTCAGCATGGGCGACCGCATCGGCATCTTGGGCCTGAACGGCGCCGGGAAGTCCACGCTAGTAAAACTGCTAGTTGACGAAACCCGGCCGTCCTCCGGCATAGTCACCGCCCATCCGCGCCTGAAGCTGGGCTACTACTCCCAGCACGCCGTCGACGCTCTCCAGGCCATCGGGCGCGAAGAACCAGGTCTCACAGCTCTAGCTCTTCTCACTCGCGAGGTTGGAGCGCAAACTGATGAGATTAACGAGGGGGAACTCCGTGGCCTCTTCGGCAAGCTCGGCCTCCCCGGCCATTTCGCCTCCGACGTGCCTCTCATGAAGCTCTCAGGTGGCCAAGTCGTCCGCGTCGAACTCGCCCGGCTGCTGTGGCGACAACCTCACTGCCTGATCCTCGATGAAGTCACCACACATCTCGACTACGAGACGGTGACGGCGCTGCGGGAGGCGCTGCGTGATTGGGAGGGCGCTGTCATCCTTGTGAGCCACGACCGATGGTTCATGCGAGGTGTGGTGGAGGGGGCACGGGATGAGGATGAAGAGGATAGCGACGAGGAGGACGATGACGAAGAGAGCCCGAGGAGGCGAGTGGTGTATCGGTTGAAGGGAGGAAAGATGAGTGTTTTGGAGAATGGAGTGGATGAGTTCGAGCAACTCATGGAGAAGAGGGTGAAGAAACTACTCCAACAGTGAGACGAGTTATAACTTGAACTATGCGTGCCAATCAACAAATACACTACCAGGCAGCGGATGCTGTATCAACCCCCCCGGCGCCTCTTTATCTACGCAACAGACGAGAATCTGCCAACACCCTAAAAGGCCCTCGCTCCAACATCTTCACGTTCATCTGCCCGCCGCTTGGAACTTCGACGATTGTGCCATCAATGCAGACCTTACGCCACCTCTCTTCCTCTTCCAAAATGACGACTCGAACCTCTTCCACCTCATCGTATCCAACCTGCTCACCATCATCCCACTTGATATCCACATGCTTACCCTCGTCATATGCCTTCATCATCACCTCCATTGTCCTCTCGCCTCCGACAGGCCCGAAGTGAACCAGGCGAAGTTGTCCCTGGAGGGGCTTGCTCGCGGGCGATATGGTAAACGTCCGTTCTAGGTTCGACACTAGTGTGGCGAGCACGTATGCATGCGTGTCCCGAGGGATGCCCTCAAACTTGGACGATCCGGGACGGCGAATGGAAACCTGCGCGCCGTATGCGTGGGCCTCCCTGAGGAGTTCCTGGGCGACCATACCAAAGCGTTTGTTGCCATGGACGCGGTACTCAGGCGTGTCGCTTTCGTAGACAATGCTGGCGTGGAACCCATAACTAGCAACGATGGCGCCGTTCAGGTGGGATACAGAGGTTTCTTCTTTCAAAAACTTGGCATCATTATTGGATTCACCAGTCGCAGACGCTTTGTCGGTAAAGGTGACTATTCGAGAACCCGGTGAAAAGGACGCTCGAAAGACCGGGAGATCAGAAGCCGTTCCCTGAAAGAGCGTTCGTAGTCCATGGACCAGTGGGCTTGGTCCGGGACTCAGATATAGAGGCTTGTGCATGGAATGAAAGAGACCATTTCCCGTCCCCAGAGGAAGCAGTGCCATCAAGGGCAAGGTCGCGTGTGATGAGTCTTGATCAGACCCATTCAGTAGCTCCACCACTCCGCCGTCTCCGCTGAGAAGGACAATGGTTCTTGACCTTGGGCTCTGGTCGTTTGAGGCCCATACACTTTTCGAAAAGTTGCGAATGGTCTCCGCACTTTGCGTAATACTGAGTCGGTAATACAACTCGCTTGTGGGTGCCTGGCGACCGTGGGCCTGAAGCGTACGCTGCTCACCAACGTGACTTGCGATTAATTGCCATAGGTGTTGCAGTACGTCTTCCCATACTCTCAAGGCTAAGCCCGTGCCGGATTTGGTCGAGACAATGACGTCTACCTCGGCATTTACCCCATGGCGGAGGTAAGGCGGCAAATCCCTAATGACATATCGCTCTGGTACCTCAGCAGGTATCTCTGTGGTTCTAAACAGAGAGAGGCGATACGGGTTTCCCTGGTCTTCGGGGACTTCCTTGAGACAACAAATGATGAACTCCAGGTCCACGGTATTTGTGCCTGGTGCTTCTAGAATGAACAGGATTTCGTCGCCATCAAATTTTTCGGATGTTCCGGCTCGAGTCCACGTCAGATTGCCGTCTGCGAAAGCGACGTCATCTACAGGCAGAACCTCTTGAGGATGCGCCTGCGACAGTGCGGAGCTCATTGTGCGGGGAACGGGGCGGGACACAGTAGCAACGATGGATGAAACACCGGATTCATAGAGAGGAGAAAAGAGAGAGAAAGAAAGGGACGGCTCGCTTCAGACAAGGACAACCGATCTTGATAGATGCATGAATGGGATGTATGTATGTGTGGTGTTGGGATGGAGTAGCTATCTGGCCAATAAAGGCAGGTGAGGCAGGTGAGGCAGCAAGCACGCGTAGCGCGGTCACGAGCAAACGCCCTGCATGTGAAGGAGCAATCAATCGGCCTGACGGAGCCGAGAGGGCGGTGCTTTTAGAAGAGCTGCGCTATTTGGCTCGGTTTGTTCTGGCATTGCCCTGGATTTGCACCATCGCTTGTGGGGCCGGCTCCAGCTGACGAAGATTGTCCGCTCCAGGCTCCAGATGACGCCAGTCGCATCAACCGAATCCACACGACCGAATTAAGTAAATCGGGCGCAGTCATTCCTCTCCTTCAAGTATGGTATTCCGACTGGAATGGAACAATCCATGTCTGTATCTTACCGTTTGCTGGCCTTGGAGAGCGGACCCCAGTTCTCCCGAGGATTCATCTGGTATCGAACATACTTTTGTTCTCCACGTCGACGCACAAGTCGCACCAAGTCCTCGTTGAACAATAATGTCTTGCGCAGCTCCTCTTCGGTTGGAGGGACAGCCTCGCTTCCGTTTGATGCATCGGCTGACTCATTGGCCTTCGCGTCTGACGCCTGTTGCTGTTCCACCCCCTCCATCTCTGTGCTCTGATCCTTGGATGGTGCTTCCTCCGATCCAGCATCTTCACGGCCAACCAGGCCCGCCTCTTTCAGGATTTTCCAAGCAGCCGAGGATGACTTGATATTTGCTTCCTTGATGGGAGACTTCTGGCGGATCCACTCAGTCATCACCCACCAAATTGTAGACCAAGGGGCATCGGTCTTGATGCTTCCCGGTCGGCAGTGGCTTCTCGTAGTTCGGTAACCCAGGTGCATCAGGGCCCCTCTAAACATATCTTCGCCAGGGGTCGAGCAACTGACCACGCTGGCCAGCTTGCTAGGGATGACAAAGAAGGGGTAGTTGTCAATGGCTGCAAGCTTGATATCCTTGGGATCGATTGACTCTTTGATCTCTGGTCCTTCGAGATACTCCTCAAGAGCCGTTCGAAGCATACCCTCAAGTCTGGGCAAGGTGCCATAGACAGAGCTGTCCGCTCCGGGGATCTGCTCCAAGAGTCGCTGTATGAAGTCCTTGGAGTGAATGTGTCCTCCATACATCGGGCCGTTGATGTGCATCTTGAATCCGCAGTGCTGGCAAAACCGATCAGCAGTCGGCCCGAGAGACATAGTGTGCTTGTAGAAAGCCCCAGACCCCTTCTTATTGGGCGTCGGTTTGCTTCTCATGAGAGGCTGTGTTTCCCAAGCACCACAGCCTTGATCGCAGCTGTACACCAGCATCGTCTTAGCAGCGAGGAACTTGACGGACTGAGGAGACTTGGTAACACGAATGAAGAATTTGGTGTAAAAGTCGATCGAAAGCGAAAGGAGGGGTTCAATCGTCAGACCGTAGCGAGCCGCAGAGGTTGCAACTGCGTTCAGCACAAGTCGTAGACCACCTTCGTGCGAGTGCATGCCTTTAATGGGAATTCCACCATACAAGGCAAACGTCTTCTCGCAGTAGCTATGCCCAGCCCACACAGCGCTGTCTGTGCAGGTGATGCAAAGAAGACCACCGTCGTCTCGTACAGCCTGGACTGCAGCATCGAAGAATGGCGCGGCCGTACCGTAAGGGTCCAGGTCAATCACGTCGAACTTGTGAGCCTTGCCGGCGTTCCCTTGTCGATCTCGACTCGACAAATCGTCCGCAATCGCGCGGTACATGTGTGCGAGAGCATCGCCTTGCGTGACGGTGATTTTTTCCTCAAGCCCATTGTGGTTTACATTCATTTTGATCGTCTCCGCGGCCGAATCAGACAGGTCATTCGCCTTGACAGAGGTTACGAAGGGCAGCTCATGAGCATATCGAAGGGCTCGCAATCCAGACGCTGACAGAGCGTCAAGAATCTTGAACTGGGCTTTCGGGGGCTCGAATTTCTGTTGCTTCTCCGAAACCCCAGACTTTGGTTGCTCGAGAGCTTGCGACTGGCCCTCGACTGTGGACTTTCCGGCCTCGTCAGCGGTTTCCTTAGGTTTTGACACATCATCATCGCGCTTTCTCTTCTTCCCCTGCTTTGCCATGCGCGCTTCATACTGCTCTCGTCTCTTTTCGAGAACCTCTTCGCCGTATGTCTTGATCGCAAGAACCGAGAGATCGCGATTGTACTGTTGAATGGGGTTGTAGAAGACTTGTTGAACCTCTCCACGATCCTCGCCAATCTTGGCGCCCTGGGGCACTAGGATAGTTGCCTTTCCTTCCGTGACGGTTCGGTACTCTTTGCCACCATGCTCGACCGTGTTCGTGGGCGGTGCGTCGCCAGCCATCTTAGTAGTGGTGGAAAAAGTGTGGCAAGCGATTTGTTGTTGGCTATAAGCAGGGCGGCTGCGGGACGAATGGAGGGTTCTTGGAGAAGGAAGTATCGATGCGATTGTGATTATAAGCTCAAGTTTCACGCGTATGCCAGAAATTGGCCCTGGTCTTAGAACACTGCGATACATGCAAGCGGGTCGCAAGAAGGGCAGCCTGGTGTGGTCGCGAGATGCTAAAAGTCAAGTGGGAACCAAATTTTGACAATTCTGCCGCTCGTCACCAAGGCGGTGAGGAGCTGCTCCCCACCTCTGTAAGCTCCCCGCCATGTCTCACAGGGGTTCAAGCTTAGGTAGCAAGACGAAGTCAATTGAAGATCAAACTCTCAAGTAACGACATAATTACAATATCTGCTCCGCTTCTCTCATAATAAAGCCACTGGGTAACCAAGGCGCGAAACTAACTCTTATTTTAACATAATACCTGGGTTTGAGAAATGTTGCCTTGGATGGCAGACTTGATATCTAAATGCCCAAGGAGCCACCCGCGTTTTGCAATAGGCAGGATGTGCATGGCTCTTGTCGTATCTCGACGTAATGTCCAAGAGTAGAATAAGTGCTTCCCACTGCCAGCTTTCACTTTTGGAACCTTCCCACAAGTGTTACATTTTAAACGCAGTTGTTAATAATGCAAGCGCATTTCTCAAGAATGCTCCTGCCCTTATCTCTCAATCGCCTCAGAGGCGTTCTCCAACGGAAGGAATGACGAACATGGCAATAGACACAGAAGTTTAGCCATAGAGCCTGTTCTCTCCAACCTCCATCCGCAACCGTGTCTACTCAACAACCTTTCTCATCCCGACTCTCTACTTTTTCTAACCTTTTGACCTCATGAATCCTCGCTCTTGAATCCGTCAGGCCCTACCACGTAAGTGCTCCCATTTGCGATTTCGGGGACCCCTATACTCATTCCTAAACGCATGAACAGACTCGTTTCAGCAAATCATACAAACTCTCCTACTACAATTTGATCCCCCCTATTCCGTTGTTTACAGCTCCCATGTCGCAACAGCCTAAACCTAGCCTAGCGGCTGATTTCACAACCTGCACTCTGGATACACCAGACATCCAGCACGCCGTCAGCAAGGAGGACGCCGATGGTGGCGTTACCCCTAGGAGCCACGACCTGGGCCTTTGCAACATCCCCCGTCACAGATTTCTCACGCACGCCGAGTGGGCGGTTCTCGCGCATGGTGTTGGGGGTGTCAAAGATGCAGAAAATCAAGCGCCTCTGCACCCTGTCAGCTGGTGGTGGCCTCCCAAAGGACTTCCTCGCGGGCTCTACAGGGATGTTGTCTATCAACGCACAAAGGCCTTTTACAATTTCCATTTTGCGAGCATCATGCGATAGGTTCTAATGATCCTGCAACTCTTCCTCGGAGCCAGCCTTACAGGCCTCGGCTCGCTCAGCCTGCAACACGGCACGCCCATCACCATTCTTGGCGCAGCCAACACCATCATTGCCGGGCTACTTGCGTTTCTTCACAACAGTGGCTTGCCGGACCGCTACGGATATAACATGGCCGAGTTTAGAGAAGTCGAAGATCACATCAGAGAGATCCTCGATACCGCCATGGTCCCAACGAACCACACGATTGATCAAGCTCTCGCGGAGTGCTTCGACATGTACCAGCACGCGAAAGCGACCGTCTTAGCCAACAAGCCCATGACTTATACCACGAGCGGGGGTCTCCAGGCGGGAAGACGCTTCGTCCCCCCCGTTGGACCAGGGCCGACACCAACGGTTCAACTGCCAAGGGTCAAGGGTCAAGGAGGTGGGGGTTCTGGCGCCGAAGCGGCAAAGTGAGGACTGGGATGCAGGCGGTCAGCGCTCTTCAACAAAAGTCGCAAATATTATTAGGGATTCGCGTCCAGGCTAGAAACCGGCTTATTCCGCGCACGATGAGGAGGAGAAGTGGGTTGCATCATGTCATTAGTTTGCTTACTAGAGCCGGGCGTGCGTCTGGCGCGCCCACTCCGTCATCTTGCGGTGGCTATACGCGTTCAACGGCAAATATGGTTATCAGCCCTGACATCACCAGGCGCGGGATGCAGATGCAGTCAGGGTCTATGGAATCCAATCACAACCCATCGGTTCCTGAGGAGGCTCCTTTCGATCCTGACAACCGTTGTGGATGTCTCTCACTGGTCTTGTGCGTCCGTCCTGTCCCTGAACTACCACGTACTACCACGTAGTATGTACGCGACCAGACCAGCGACCCCATGATTGGCGCCAATCAAGCTATTAGCACCGGCCCCTGGTCTGGGTTAAATTGCTCCTCATCCATGATACCCCTCCTTCGCCAACTTATCACCCTCTTTCCCCTTCTCGTCGCTGTATCCATGCTTATTGAAACCGGGGCTATCAGTTTCACGTCTTGGCTGAAGGATGATCGGCCCACCGCGCACTCAATTCATATTAGTCCAAGGACTGGTCTAGGGACCGGATCTGCCACTGATGCCGTGCCACAAATTGCACTCTTGGAGATAATACTGTCGCCATATAAGCTTTATTAAGTGTCCCCTGCCGCCCATTGTGACGCAAGGTGTAGGTCCCTCGTCTCTCGTCCCGCCGTTGTAACTTGTGTGATCTCTTCCTATGCTCTTCAGCATGCCCGCTGGTCGCCGGTAGCCTCGCCTTCATCCAGACCTCTTCGCTCCCACCCCAAGTCACTCCTTTGCTTCTACTTATATCAGGTCGCCGCTTCGGTGATCTGCCTACGTTCATTCCCCCACCATGGTCGTGCTCACCGGCCCCCCAGCCCTGCCCTCCAAGGTCATCCGGCTGTTTGTGTTTGTGCTTGTCGTCGTCTTCTTCCTCTACACCCAGCGTTTGTCGAGGTCTCAGACGAGGAACATTGTGATCGATTATGCGGACCTGGCCGCAGCGGCTCCCCCGGCGGAGGAGCAGTACTTGAATCGCCTCAAGAACAAGTATCGTCTCACGAATTCCACCGCATGGTCAGCGTGGAAGATCCGGGCCCTCGAGCAGGACTCGGAGTGGACGTCCGTGACGAATCTCGACGCCGACTTTCATTCTAACGAATTCAACTATATCGATGTGGAAAACCCCAGCCGTATCCAGTTGGTCGCTCAGAAGCAGCTGGACGTCCCAGTCCCCGGGAGCCCGCTCCCTGCGCAGGTAGACGCTTCCGACTTTTTGTTCGCCATCTCCACCACCTACGAAAAGGTCATGGAAGACGAGTTCACCATGGTCAAGAACTGGGCGCGGTGGATGACGGGAGGAAGCCATGACGGAAACGGTGCGACATTTGTGCTCGTCCTGAACCAGTCTCCAGACCACCAGGTCAAGGAGCTCAGCGAGATTCTCAAGTTCCAGGGAATCGACGCCTACGTCACCACCTCGACGGAGCCCATGTCCGTGGCCCAGAGATACGTTGGCATGATGCAAATCATCAAGGACTTTAGCGGTACCCTGGCGCAGAAAGGCCAGCGCAAGAAGTGGTACGGCATCTTCGACGACAAGGTCTTCTTGCCCAACCTGTCGTACCTCCAGCACCGCCTGTTCAACTACAACTCCGACAAGGAGCTCTACGTGGGCTTGCCTAGCGAGAGGGCCGATTGGGCCATCGGAGACGGTTTCGTAACCACGTACGGCGGAGGCGCTGTGTTCCTCACGCGCTCTGCTCTGTCGCGAGCCACCGGGCTTTCGTGCCTCGACAGCTCAGGCGCCGATTCGGAGAGCAAGGGATGGGACACCCTCTTACAAGATTGCCTTACGCACCACACCGACATGGAGATGCGTGTGCTCCCGAGCTTCTACTCGCCCAACGATAACGACGAATACGCCGCGCGAACCGACAGCTACGAGACGGGCGTCCCGCCGCTGGCGCTGCACCACTACGAGGATCGTCACCAGCTCAACCCGAGCATGGCGCACCTCGTCACCGACGTATGCGGCGAGGCGTGCTTCCTGCAGCGTTACCGCTTCCGCGACAACTGGATCCTGGTCAACGGGTACACCATCACGGAGTACCCGGACGGCATGAACATGGCCGACATGCCCAACACCGGCGTCGGCCGCAAGGCCGTCATCGGCCCCCTGCACCTCGACGAGGACGACATCAAGCGCAAGATGCTCTTCTGGACGGGACGCCGCAACGTGTGGCGGCTGATGGACTCGGTGCGAGGCACTGACGGCGCCGTGTGGCAGGCCTACGTGAAGCGCGCCGCTGTGGGAGATACCGCGACTTTCAAGCGGTCCGAGAATGAGTTTATGGATAGCGTGATTGTTCTGATTTGGGAAACGACTGTTTCCGGTTCATGATTAAACCTTCTTTTCTTTTCTTCACTTCATTTCTTTTTTCTTTACTTCATCATGACGAAGATATAGGGGCACGAAGCTTTTGGTGTTTGGGCGTTTTTGCGGAAGTTTGGTTTTGAGTAGGAGTTGGTTTGGGGAGCTTAGCTATCAAGACGACGACAAGACCTTCAATTCAGTATCCAATCACCTTTCTCCAACTCCCAGTACAACTCTATCTCGCCTTCGCTATCTGCCTCTCTCTCGATTCCCTTGCCCTTCAGCCCCAACTTGTCATTGATCACTCTGATCATCGGCTCATTGTCGTTGAGGGTCGTGATGGTAATGCGATCCAGTTGTAGTCCACCCTGTCCAACACCCGCAAAGCCCCAGTCCATGGCCAATTTCATCGTCTCGGTTGCATAGCCCTTGCCCCTGTAGTCGGCCCCGATCAGCGCGCCCACATCCCCAGCCCGGAGCTTCTCCCCGTTGCGTTCGAGCTCCTTGATGGCGCCGTACCCGCCCAGGCCGATCATCTTCCCATCAGGCTGGTCCTCCGACCCAAGCACAACCGCAAGGTTCACGCGGCTGGGACCGGTGATGACTTTGCCGTGGGCGTCGTAAACGGTTGGTTCAGAGGCAGACTCTCGCATGCGCGTAATGGCGCCCTGTGCGGTGGATACATCCATGGGCTTAATGTTGGGGTCCGAGGCATTGCGGGGGTCCGAGAGGAGATGGGCGAAGGCTGGGGCATCCTTGAGCTCTAGGTTTCGTAAAGAGATCGAGAGTGTTTTCGACTCTAGGAGAGTCTCAATGTGGGACACGGTTTGAGTTTCCGAGGCCATGGTGGGTGGTGAATAAGGAGAGGAGAGTGACAGGTAGTAAGTATGCGACACACAGCCGGGGGATATCCGTATAGATATCTAGTCACGCAGGAGGTTGATAACAGGTGAGGTGCCATAAACATGAAGCAACCGACCTGGGTTCTTATGTACGTACAGTGGACGTGCAAAAGTTCCGACAATAAGCCCAATTAGCACTGAGGGATAAGATTTCAAGAAGTAATAAATGGTTGCCTAATGAAAGAATTTATAAAATATAAATATAGATAATACAATAGAGCCGGTTGGACCATGATACGTACGGACAATCGACGGAAAGCCCAATCGCATCCCCTGCAGCATGTGTGACTCAATGGAGTTTATCCCAGCTTCCTAGCTGGGAATAAATCCAACTGCAAATCGGCAACGATTTCCGGGTGACTGAGCAATCTGACATCACATGGCTATCCATCACGTAGTATGAGTCACGGTGTATTCATCATTGCTACTAAGGCTGCTTTCGCTTTCGCTCTAATACCCTGTTACTCTCTTTCTCTAGAACTGACGCTGGATCTTGAGGACACTGAATTCCGCAAGTCGCTATTCGCAGCCGCCTCCAACGTAACACTTCTTTCTCGAGCCAGAGGCGACGGAATCTCTGGCGTTACAGACCGCGATTCGTTCACAGGCCGTTTTGGTTTGGAGCTCGTCGAAAGCTTCTTCCGACGTCCAGAGAGTGAGCCACTGCTGGGCCGGCGATTGACTGGTTGATCCTCGCCCTCAATTGTTGGTGTCTGGCTCCTGGTCGAGCTCATAGATGCCCGGCGGACACTGCTGCCGCGGCGTCTGCGCTCTTTCTCAACTACCAAATGGCGCGGAGGATGCGCGCTCTTCTCCAGGTCGGGTCGTCGGTGTTGAGGATGCCGCCACGGGAGCCACCAAAACCATCCATACTGCTGCTTGGCAAGCTGGCGATCTCGCTCCTTGACCTTTTGGCGCAGCAGGGCACGGCGTTCGTTCTCCTTCTCCCAGTATTCGGTGCGATACAGCTCCCAGTTCTCTCTGAAGTTTGCGGAGAATGGTTTGGCCAGCAAGAGCAGCTTTACGTAGTCACCTCCAGGTGCAAGGTCTTCCTCATGTCCTGCTCGTTCCTCATCATCGTGTGGTAGTACCAGAGTGGGATGATTTTCGTTGGAGAGTTGAAGATCCTTGTCAACATCGCGCAGCAGACTCGGCTCAACGTATCGATAAGATGAGCTGGCGGTGTGCGAGAAGAGGCCGTAGGTTAGGAAAAAGCCAATCGTCGAGAGCGCTTCGGACCACAGCGGCCGCCGTATTATGACAAGTTTGCAGTTGAAGCCTCGTAGCCCTCGGTTCGAGATGGCAAACCAGCGTCGCGGCCATCGAATTCCGCGGTCCCAGATTCCGGTTGCCCACACGAGCACGGCGGTAATTATGCCACCCATCAGACACACCTTCTCGGCACCCTCGACTGCCCAGTAAATGGAGCCGCCGACACCTCGTCCATCCTCTCGGGGGGCGAAGAACAGGGCATAGCCGAAGAGGGCAATCCACAAGGTCAGGAGGGTCAGAAAGAAGGTATGGTGGCGTTTTCTCGCACGTAGCTCGAGGAACTGTGCTCGCAAAGACGCCTCGAGGATGAGTAGATTCAGGTATATCATGGAGGGCGAGCTCGGTGTGTGATTGAGGGGATCGCCATGTTTGCCGGAGGAGGCGATGATTGGGCTCGTACCAGCGGCATCCTTGGCACCCTGTGACGGGAGAGATGCGCCCTTGACAATGGAATCGAGGTCGTCGGCCATGGCGATGAGAGATTCGGGGTTCGGGGGGGGTTCAGTCGGGCCCCAAGAGGCTGGACGGCAGCCGGTCAGGGAGAGCTTGTGGCCATGCAGCCGCCGAGGAGACGCTGAGGGTGACGGCTCAAGAAGGGAAGCAAGCTGCAAGCGCGGCAGCAGCGGCTGGCGGCAGCAGGAACGAGGGGCTGTCGGCTGGGAGGGATAACGCGGGGAGGAAGTTGCAGTGATGGAGAGAGGCTTGTGGTAGCGCAAAACGTGGGCGAGCTTCTCATCTGTCGTGGTGCCTTTGGTGGTGCCTTTTTTCGGGCGTGAGCGTCCAGTGCGGGCGGGCGTGGAACGTCATCACATGGGCGAGTCGTCTGCCGTCGCTCCAGTACAAGTCCAAGAACGGGGCTCGGCCCAGGCGACACAAGCGGAGGATGGGCATGGAATTTAGTGGAGCGGACAGTGGACAGCCCAGCGGACAGCCACAGTAAGGTACGTAGAGACAGCGGACGACGCAGGGTCCGAGCGCCAATTGCAGCAGATTCTCCCAACACGTTGGGGATTGTCCTTTGCGGGCAGGCGGAAAACTAGCGCTTTTCTGTCCCAGCAAGCCCAGTAAAAATTCCAGTCTACAACTACGTAGTACGTAGCACAACCGCACCGGAGCCACGGTACGGAGAAGAACCGACATCTTCCGCCGGAACCTCTCTTTCTTCGCCGCCACGCCTCTAAACATTTCGGTTTGCGCGCTTTCACTCCCTCCCAGACGCCCACACGCGGGATTGACTCCCTCTATCCGCAATCTCTGCATGAACTGAACATCGGCCCTTGCGGACCTGCAATGCGCCGTCATAACTCCTCCCTACACCCACTGCGGACTTCATCACCATAGCGCCGGCAATCCCGCATTCCCATCGGCATCGGAACGATCCAAAATCCGAATCTGCCTTAACTCCGGCTCGCCGACGTCCAAACGTGTCAAACCAGGCGACAGAGGCGTCATCCGCTGGCATACCCGGCAACCTGGCAGCGCCTCCTTATTCTTTTATCGGCGGCCTGGGGCTTCAAAAGCGCCCCGGCCCCCGTCCGCTGTCATAGGCATGCTCAAGCTTCAAACCTCATCCGCGGTGCTGCAACTCTCCCGTATCACTCTCGCCGCCTCTCTTCCATCCACCAAGTGCAACATGTCCACCACCGACGGCACGGTGCGCCCGCCGACCTCGCGTGCTGCTGAGCATGCAGACGAATACAAACAGACGCCGCCTGCTCGCACAGCCGCTGCCTTCTTCCCCATGGGTTACAAGGACGCGGCATACCAATGGGTAAGTTGGCAAATTCAAATCCCCTCTTGTCTCCGGTCGACCGTCACTAACTTGCCTCCAGTGGTCCAGCTTGAGCCCTCAAAACGTTGAGCACAATGTCCTCAGCCTCATGCCGTACCTGAAGGAAGCCACTGGCACCATCACCCACCCGAACGCCATCGACAGCCACGACCCGTACGGAACCCGAATCTGGCGACGATCCATGGTCCAGCTCTCGGGCAAGAATCGCGCCCTAAATGAGGTATCGGTAGAGAGGGTCGGAGAAGAAACCGAGGAGACCCTCGTTATGCTCCACGGCTACGGCGCCGGTCTGGGCTTCTTCTACAAGAACTTTGAGCCCCTTTCGCGCGTCCAGGGCCTTAAGCTGTATGCTCTCGACATGCTGGGCATGGGCAACTCAACGCGACCCCCATTCAAGATCCACGCCAAAGACAAGGAGGAACAGGTCAAGGAAGCCGAGAACTGGTTCATCGATGCCCTTGAAGAATGGCGCAAGGCCCGCAAGATTGAACGGTTCACGCTGCTGGGACACTCGCTCGGCGGATACCTCGCGGTATCATATGCGATCAAGTACCCGGGACACTTGAAGAAGTTGATCTTGGCTTCTCCCGTCGGAATCCCTGAGGACCCCTATGCCGTCAACGCCGCCATGCCCGACCCCGAAGAACCGACCTTGCCAACCGACTTCACCGACGATCCGATGGCCGACCCCGAGGCTGCCAGCACGCTTGCAAGGCACAAGCCTGCCCATGTCGTCATCAAGCGCCCCCTTCCGAGCTGGTTTGTCTGGCTCTGGGACGCGAACATCTCCCCATTCAGCATCGTGCGATTGACTGGTCCCTTGGGCCCCAGATTCGTCTCCGGGTGGAGTTCCCGAAGATTCAATCATCTGCCTCCCAAAGAGTCTCAGGCTCTCCACGACTACTCCTTCTCGATCTTCAAACAAAAGGGTAGCGGCGAGTATGCGCTTGCATACATCCTCGCCCCTGGCGCGTATGCCCGCCGACCAGTCATCAACCGCATCCAAGAAGTTGGCCGACAACCCATCCCACAACCAGACGGTGCCAAGGCACCGAAGGAGACTGGCATTCCAATTGTCTTCATGTACGGAGAAAACGACTGGATGGATGTGGCTGGTGGTCTGGCTGCCCAGGAGAAGCTGAACCAGACCAAGCGAAAGGCCCTGATCCACGGCACAGATGAGGAGAAGCGGAGTGAGAACGGCAGCGCCAAGGTCTTGCTCGTCTCCAAAGCTGGTCACCACTTGTATCTCGACAACCCAGACGAGTTCAACGACATGATCCGCAAGGAGCTGGAGGATACCAAGGAGACAGAAAGGCGGAAGCGCGAATTGTAGACGAACACATATAAAACCCTCCCATCACCTCAACGGCGTTCGAGGAGGGTAGGGCACGAGAACCCCAGAAAAGGCGGAATCATTGGGACGGCGTTGCAAGGAGAATAGTGGGAAGCCAGTACACGGCCGTTTGTCTACCAGCACCTTAACGTGCAGGGCCAGGACCTCGGCCGTCATGAAGCATGATGGGAGGACATGTGAGGCGTTAATTTGTTTGTGGTGCTGCACTTCGTTGCACATTAGACTTGGATATACTTGACCATACAGCCAGCATTACATTACGGTAATTAGACCGAGAGACGATACTCATACAGATCATATTCTACTTCACGCATGCTTCATGTGTCGCTTGTGTGTTATTTGCAGCCAGCATGCTTCTGTGATGAGCTCTCGACAGATCCTGGATGGACCTTGAAAGAATACTCTGGAGGACCCTAATATTCGCGACAGAGATTTGCCTGACGTGATTTCACATTCGCGCAATATAGCCATTTCCAAAGGGACGATGAGTGTAATATGAAATGATTGAACGTGTGTATTCGTAAATTCTAGTGAAAACTGGTATCTATAGGACTACCGCCCCCCTTGTCCTTCTCAACACAGGACTATGCTGTCCTTTCTGGGTATTGCCATCTGAATTTCTCTTCCCCCTATTGCAACTGCATCTTGCCCGCAAGCTGCATGTGATAGCTGCGCCAAGGGACAAAAGTCCGCAATAAACATAATACGTAATAAGAAAAAATTGTAATGCTGCGCACTCATTGTGTTTTTGTGTTTCGTCGAGCGTGCAATGTTGATTTACAGGTTGATCAGGTCGATCTCTGAGAAGTCGGGCGGAGCTTTGCCGTAGACGACGCGCACCTTACTGTCAAGCGCCGTGCCCTCGTTGCTGATCCAGACGTGCTCGCTGTAATTCTGGGTTCGGCGAATCTCGTCATCGCTCACGCCAAGGTCATCGCGAGGGATCCAGACTGTTGGTCGGCGGGCGCGAAGGGCCTCGTGCTGGAAGGCGTGGCGGGTGAGTAGGTCTCGCTCCTCGGGTGTAAGGTCCTCGATTTCGTCGTGGATTCCTCCGTAGAGCGCTTCTCCTATGGCGCGCTGGGCCTCTAGATCCTTTTGGCGGTGATTGCGTCGGTACTGAGATGCTCTCTTGCTCTTGTCCTTTGTCTTGTTGGCCATCGCCAGCTTGCGTAGTTGGTTACCTCCTCCCTTGGCCCATGCTCCGACTTGCTTGACTGGACGTCGGATCGAACCAAACCGTTCCAGCTCGATAGGTTGGGTGCCATCCACCTGGTTTACCTTCTCTCTGTTGATGCCTCCGTTTTCGTACTCGTCATCAGACGAGTCTTCGTCATCAAGAAGACCAAGGCGACGATCCTGTGCGCGCTGGAACGCCTCATCGCGGAGCACCGCTTCATCCTCGAATGTGACCGGTAGGTAGCGGAAGAGTGGTGCAAAGGACATGTTAAGCAGGATCTGGTAGATGATAGTCAAAAGGAGGACAACAATCATGACGATGCCGTGAGCCGTGCAAGCGCTCCTGCCCTTTTCGTCGTCGACGAGGAAGAACAATCCTGCCATGCAAAGTTCCATGACGTAGATTCCGGTAAAGGTTTGGTTGATAGCCCGGGGGTATAAAACACCGCCGGTATCGTTCTCGAATCTGGTCACGTATAGCATGGCGTATCGTTGAGCAACCCAGAGAAGGCCGAACGTGATGATGGCAAAGACGGAAATCAGAGGCGCAATGACGCAGTAGACCAGCGCAATACAAGCAAAGTTGGTGTAGATGGGGAAGAAAGCGCCCCATCGTACTTGGTTCAGCTTGGTATTACGGGACCACTTGTTTCGCGCCGTGCTGTCGAGGATCCGAGCAATGACATACCACATGATAAGAGCGCCGATCTGGAGAAGAGTACCAGAACTCGTCGACATGGCTTGCAGAATCATGTAAGAGAAGAAGTAGTTGGCAGCCTTGGGCAGGTTTTCCGCGAGGAGGTTCAGAACATCTTGAGCTGTCTGCAGTTTCTGGATGTTCTGGATCAGAGCATCCAAAGACGCTGCGAAGAAGGACGCGATCGAGACGATGAGGAAGACCTGGACGAAGAGAAAGGCAAAGTAAAACTGCTGGACAAATTCGACCTTTTGGGATCCAGTCTTGGCTCCCTTGACTCCAGCAAGGAAATCGAGGATGTGAGGAATCAGGAAGAGCAAAAGACCGAGGACAATGGCTGGCAGGACACCACCAATCGCCTTGGCAGCGTTCTCGAGGACAGGGTTGTCTTTGATAAAGGATAGCCACTCATTTTCTTGGATAAGGGTATCAATTTGACTCAGAGCCGCCGTCCAAGCCACTGGGATGGCCCACAGGAAGATCATTGCGCAAACGATGCCGGTGACAATGCTAGTTCGCAGCCATTCCTGCCACCAGGTCAAGGCCATATTATCCCAGATAACATCTTTAGGAGAAATCTCGTTCATTCGGGGAGCCATTTGCTTGGGAACATGGTGGATGACGCTCTGGCAAGCCATGTGGGCAGCGACTTGGTGGTTGAATTGGACAAAGGCCGAGCTCATCAAAGGGAATCGTTCGGGGTACTTCTGGTCCTCTTCAATCTCAAGATTGAGGCGGGCCAGCTCTTCACGGCACCAGAAGATGGTGTCCACCTTCTTGCCCATCAGAGGAAGACCCGGGAGCCAAGAGACTCCGAAGGAGGGGAGACGGTGAGTTGGGCGATCTTTCTTCTTAAGATACTTCTCCCACTCAGCAGGACCCTCCTTTTCTTCCTCGTAGTCGGGGTTGTGAGCTACGGGATACTCGACAACCTCCTCCTCTGGTCCCATGAATGGAATGGCATGTTTAATCTTGAGCAAGAGAGGTTTGCTCTCTGTCGAGTTCCGTATAGCTGTCGCAGCACCCTGCGGGATGGGGGAAGCATAACTACCAGGGGGCGGCTTCCAGAATTCCCACCATTTCGGAGCCTCTGTTTCGAGCATTTCGTCAATATTCGTAAGCGCTCGGACAGTATTGCCTCCACGAGCCATGGGGTCGTACGGGTCCTTTGGTCGAATCTCGCTCGTGGAGTCGCTGGAGACGTTTCGAGAGTGGGTGTTCAAGGCGCGTAGTGTATCCGAAGCCGAGGGACGGGGAAGCTCGCCTCCATCATCCGCTGTGTTGGGGCGTCGGTAACGGTCGGATGTGCGGGATGGGGCACGTTCGTCTGACTGGCTGAGTCCCATGAATCCATTTGTTGTCTCCAGTGTGTCCTCGACGCCGTTACCAGCCTTGGTAACGACTCCCTTGATTCCATGACCAACTTTGGCAAGGGGATCGCCAATGAAGGGTACCTTGAATCCCTTTGAATGCTTCCCCTCGCTCCCACGGTGGTTGTCACTGTCGTGCTCAAGTATTTCATACCGGGACTCGCGAACTCCGGCATCAACGGTATGGGGCACATCGTGGTTGTCTCCAGCATTCGTGCCCTCGGCACTGTTAGCCCTCCTCTTGGCCTCCTCATCTTCCTGAGCATCACGAGCAGCCTTTTCTTCCTTGCTAAGGGCACCAAGCTTCATCATCTTGCGCTCCTTCTTTTCTTCGGCATTCCTTTTCTTGAGTTGTGCCTTCTTTGCGGCTTTAATCAGGTCTGTCTCGGCCTGTTCGAGCTGCAGGTGGATCTTATCCCGGACCTTGATCTTTTCGAGAAGTTTAGACAGATCCCGGTTAAGCCAGATATTTCTGATACCACCAGGGAACACATCGAAGAGTCCCCTGAGGCCCTCTTCGCTGAGCCACTTTGAGGGAATAGAGTTGACGAGGACGGTTGTGGCGGAAGCTCGAAGTCGATGTTCGGCGCTGGTGAGGTAGTCTTGTCGGACTTTGATGTAGACTCGGAGTTCAAAGAAGAACACACCACAAACCCAAATAACAACGAGAATGGCCATGAGTAAATGAGCATCGTACCGTTTGGTTTGAGTAGGGCTAACGTTTCCCCATGCCAGAGTGTCTAATCCAGTTGGTTGGGAAGAATTCCTAGCCACGTCGGATCCGATGTCGACTTGTTTACCCCTTCCTCCAACGTAGTTGAGTGGAATCAAAATGGGCATGACAATGGCGCAGATCGGGATGAAGATGACCAAGAGAGTCCTCAAGTATCGAAGGAAAAAGTAGGCGTCCAGACCGCACTTTTTGATGATTTCGCGATCGCTGTATAGCCATAGCGTCTTCAGCATGCCCACGAATGTTCTAGGCGGAGGCTCGGTTCGTTCGCGTTCGGGGACCAGATATGTCTTGGGTTTACTAGAGAAGGGGTCAGAAGAGGCTTTCAGGAGTTTTCAGGAGCTTTCAGGAGCTTATCGACGTACAAGATTCGAGCCAACTTGTTCCGAAGAAAGAGGAAAAGCAAAACCTGGACCGCAAACACGATCATGGCAACAGCCAACGCAGTAAGGAAGCTGACGATTCCAATTCCCTGACTACTGTCGGCATCGCTGGTGGCGGTTGCGGTGGCCGCAGAAGTTGTCGATGTCGGCGTGGTGGAGTCGGATTGGGAGTCGGAGGCACTGAGGGTAGCGGAGGCGGTGATGGTAGAGGAGGCCGCAGAGCGAAGAGCGGAGCTGACTATAGACGACAGCGTGTCGGTCACCGACTCGGACGAGTCGGCCGTCTCAGACGCGGTTGAAGCCATCGCTGCGGTTTCTGGCCCAGTCGGGTCGTTGAAACGCGGAGGAGAGGGAGGGCCCTGGGCGGGCAAGGGCGCCGATTAAGAGCTCAAGAGGGATGTGCTTCTCAGGATCGACAGCGGAATATGGTGTAGAGAATCAGTGACGGCAGGAAACGGCCATCACAGCTAGTCGCAGGTTAAGGTACAGTAGGAAGGTGTTTGGGGTGTTTGGGCGGCAGAATCATGATTAGGCAAGGCCCGAAGCGAGACGACGGCCGTTTGGCTTATAATTAATTACTGGAGATTGTCGCCATGTTTGAGTGCCATCCATCCTTGGTCGCGTCATGGTTTGGAGCCCCTGCAGCGGCTGCGGCCTCGGAGTGGCCCGGGAGCAGGCCTCTGAGTGGCTCGCCAGCGCGCATTCCAGCGATTGAGCCAGGCTAGCCCCCGCCTGGACCCCGCTGGGCCACAAAGGCCACAAAAACTGGGCAACGGACCCTGTAGCAGGCGCTGCGCTGGATCCATGACATCAGAGGCTTCATTGGCCACGGCCGGCTTCGAAACAGGCCCTTGTGCCTGGAATTGCCTGGAATCTGGGCCCGCGACTGGCTTTTGTTGGCTGTCATGGCTCCTGGCCAGCCGCCCTTTGGCGCCACGGCAGGCAAAATAGAAACGCTGGACCGCGCGCTTCCGTGGCCCAGTCGAGCCCAGATGAGACCCGTCTTTGTCGACGAGGCCCGGGATCGATCCTCTCTTTATTCCATGCTCTCCGACACGGATCCATCATTTCTTTGTGCCCTGTATGACTCTTTGCGTGGCCTTGTGTTGGCCTTGGGTGCTACAGTGGAGCGTGCAGCGTCAATGAGCTGTCATCTACAAATAGCACCTTGGCCGATGGCGGGCCAACCACCCGATTGGGAATACGTTGGCAGGGATCAATCAAGCGGCCTCCCTCCAAGAGAAGGTGTTCGCGTAGGCGTAGTGGAGGGTATGATGTCGTTCTTTGAAGATCGATTTCTTGATTTTTCGCCCGCACTTGGTATGATTTTCCAACCCCATCAAAAAAAACACCACGTTGATTGCACCCGAATAGCATGTTGCCACTGCCTCCAGCCAATCCCATTCCTATTACAGGCGGACACAAGAGTGCCACGGGCTGTGCTGCCGAGCCATGGAACAATCGCCCCTCCATCCTATCACCCCGCTTTCAATCATGGTTTCAGCCGTCTTCTGCGAACCTGTTTATCTGTACCCTGGATCAACAAGCGAATCATGAGTCTCTCAATGACTCTCCATGCATTGAACTCTAATATTATGTCGCAGTATGAGGAACAATTGTGAGAGTGATTTGGCTCGCCGTCATTTGCATAGCTTGCCTCGTGTGTAGTTCGTTCCTGTATTAGACAATCTTCGGTTTGCGCGTTCTGGCATGTTTCCTTCTCTCGGCCACCGAACCTAAATCCTCCTTGACGTCAAAACCTCGCCTCTCCATTCCTCCACCAGCCACCCGTCTTCAATAGCTTCTCAGCATCTCCAGGTATTTGACGGACCTAATCTAGAACAAAGCAGTAAAATAACAAAGCTCCCAAGCTTTCATTCATTCTCTCAATTTGTCGATCCCTCACAAAAGAATGCGCCTAGTGTCCTCCTCGTGCTTGGCAATAAAGACAGCTACCACATAGGCTTTGGCTTCCTCGCCACTGCAGAAACGACTCTCCAAACAGCCCATATTCTCGCCACAGTCCCTGCTCCCCTTGTCACCCTAAATGTGAACCTAAATCTCCGACACCACAATGCTGTGCTGGTCTTGATTTATTTACGTATAGGCGGTTGTATCCCTTCGACAAAACATCAACCCGGCTGGAAGTGACAGATGAATCCACGTATCTCTCTCTCACTTGAGATGAATAAGTTCGGGCTTATTACTGTGAAGATACTTGACATTCGAGTATAGTATATGAAAGAAGACTAGGTACATCAATTAAATGTTAACAGTAGTATTATTCAAGCAGTGTATTAAATAAATAACAAACATCTCTGCGTGGAGACAAAACTCTTGAGCGAGCGAAGCATAATGGGAACTATTAATACGATTAGCACTGCAGCACGCCTCGTCTTGTGATATCCATCCGTTTTAGGTCTCTATTCCGAAAAGGGGAATTTGGGATTAAAGATAATATTTTAGGCGAAGTTTTATCTCAAACTTCAATAACCTATCTCGGGTGGCTGTGAATTCCGTTCGCAGCATCAGCATTCGAGTTGCGTTTTGGGGTCTAGGGTATTTCGCCATGGGCAGGATAGCGTTTTCCCAGCAATCACTATTTGGCCTCAATGGTACCATGATAATATGGAAAGAAAGCGATATTAAGGATTGCTCAACATCAATAAGGGAAGTGCAAGTACTCCAGCTGTGTTTAATGAGGTACGCTCAATTCCAATTGTGCTGAGCTCGTGGCTGTCGTCGGTTAGGCTTACGACTACAAGCCCGCTCAATTGCCGACTGCTCTGCCGGTCCCGAGAAACCTACCGATGTCTCCTCATCTTTCAGACACCTAGCCATCGGCAAACTGGCTCGTTCCCCACATCCCATCTTCTCAATTCCATTCTCCGACAAGCCGTGATTGATCCCCGCATTATGTATCTCCACCCTCAAGCTAGATATTGACCCCATTCGGGCTCCTATAAACATCGAATTGGTTCAGTCATTATACCACTGCTATTCATTTCTTACCAGTTATTTCTTCCACTTCATTATCCAAATCAATCAGGTGAAGATGAGTGATATTCGAGATTTGCACATTGCCATCATGGGCGCCGGCATGGGTGGCCTTGGGACTGCATTGGCCCTTGCCAAGAAAGGGTTCAAGCACATCGATGTTTACGAATCGGCCAGCAACCTCGGATTCGTTGGAGCCGGAATCCAGATGGCACCAAATATGGGAAGGATCCTGGACAAGCTAGGTTGTTGGACGGAAATCGAGAGGGACGCGACGCATGTTACAGGGAGTAGTATCCGGCGTATGACAATGAATCCTCGGCCTTGCACTTGCAGATAGCTAACGACCGACAGAGGGCGCTACCAACGTTGAACTCGCGCACGTCGACATGCCGGATATCAAGGCTAAATACGGATACTCGCATTGCTGTGGGCACAGATCTTCCTTGGCCGGCCGCATGTACGAGGCGTGCCAGAGGGAGGGCAGCATCAATTTCCACTTCTCAACTTCCCTGCAAGACATTACGGGCTTTTCGCCCCGAGTTTCCTTTACTGTCGTGCCAAGAGATTCTGAGCCTCGCAAAGTCGAAGCCGATATTCTCCTGGGCTGCGATGGCATCAAGAGCGTGACTCGGGTAAAGCTCCTGGAACAAGTCGGGGCTACCTCCGAGGAAGCTGAGACTGGGCAAGCTGCCTACCGCATCATGCTCAAGCGGGAAGACATGGCACATGACCCAGATTTGCTCGCCCTGATTGATAGTGATAAGGTTGTCAGATGGGTTGGTGAGAAACGTCACATCATTGCCTACTCCATCGATGGAAAGTCTATCTACAACCTTTCGACCTCTCAACCTGACGAGAATTTTGCGACTGCCCCTTCAGCCACGTACACAACCAGAGGATCGAAAACTAAGATGCTGAAGGTCTTTGAAACCTTTTGTCCGCTGGTTCACAGGATGCTCAACCTTGTCCCAGAGGGAGAGGTCTGCGAGTGGAGGCTGAGGATGTATTTGCCACTACCAACCTGGACACACGGAAGCGTTGCCCTCGCTGGAGACGCATGTCATCCAACCCTACCTCACTTAAGCCAAGGTGCTGCCATGGCCATCGAGGATGGTGCCACCATCGCCGAGGTGCTCTCCCTTGCTCCAGACGCCCAACCAGAGACAATCGCCAAGTGCCTAAAGGTATACGAAATGTCTCGCAAGGAGTGGACTTCGAACCTCGTACAGATGGCCTTTTTATCAGGGCGCACGTTACATTTAGGCGAAGGTAAGGCCAAGGAAGAGAGAGACAGGATGTTCCAGGAACACAAGACGAGCGGCTCAGTGCCGGACAAGTGGACATCCCCTGACGTCCAGAACATGATTTACAGCAATGATTGTGTTGAGAAGGTCAAAGCAGAGTTCGACACACTCTATACGAGTCTTTAATGGTAGTCTTAGCTATCGCATTGACGGTACGGATGGAGCAAGGATAGGAGGTCGAAGTGTAAATATTAATACTTTGATACAAAAGAACGGAAGGTGAAGTTCGTTGCAATGCTTAATCCACGCGCATATTAGCAAAGCCAGACCCTAACGCCAGACGAGTTCCAAAGTCATGTCGAACGTCCACTGCAGAAACTTGTCCCATCATGCGCCATGCTGCGCATCGTCCTCAAATCCCTTTTCTCCTCGCAATATATCGCCGGTATCCAGTTGAGAGGCCGCGACCGGGTGAGCCCGACAAACTACACGTGGTTGCATCACCATCCTCCGGTCTCGATGTATTTGGCGTCTAGAAGAGGCAGTCCAGACAGCAGCAGCATGCCAGACCGGCCAGCAGACCAGTCATGAGGCCGCCGGATTTCGAATCGCCACCCTGCTGAGGAGGGTAGTATCCTTGGGGAGGACCGCCTTGCTGAGGAGGATAGCCCTGCTGAGGAGGATAACCGCCCTGCTGGGGAGGATAGCCTTGCTGAGGAGGGTAGCCTTGCTGTTGAGGAGGGTAGCCTTGTTGCTGGTATCCCATCTGGGGAGGCCCTTGCTGGTAGTAGCCCTGCTGTTGCTGGCCCTGGTATGGATCTTGTTGACCACCATACGCAGAGGGCGGGGCGGCGGGAGGCTGTCCGTAGGACGGAGGTTCGTCTTGCTTGTAGGCCATCGTGATGTGTTTTCGGTGGATTGAGTCGACGTGGGCGGTTTGCTCGAGCGCGCACGATAGCAAGAGATGGATTAGAGGGATGAGATATTCGCGAAAAAGGACAGAATGCGGTTCGTTCGATGGAAGGAGAGAAAGAAGTGGAAGATAAAGACGAGAAAGCTAAGTTGAATCCGGGGCCAAACTCACGTCGCGGTCTCACATGGCCCCCTTGCGCGCCACAGGCCTCGCCTCTCATTACGTGGTCGGGATTGGCGAGGGTTCCGCTGCGCCACCCTTGGCTCTCCTGTTCCCCGGCGCCAAACCACTTGGCAGGTTGTCTCTGACTTTTCGGCCCAAGGAAAGCGCTCCCAACATTCACATATCCCGATTAGCAATCACCGCGCAGAGGGATTTCTGAGCATTCGGTTTGCGAAATTGGAGTCCTCTTCGCCATGTCAGACAAGTCGACTCGAGACAAAGCCTCAGACGTCAAGTCGACGCCACCGGATTGGTTGCGCCGAGCTGCGCCACAACTCTGAACCCTCATTCGTTTCCAATGTGAGGAAGTTGTCGTATCTGAATGCCGAGAGACCCGGGAAAATGTCGCAGCAACTAAACCCATTCCTCCGAATGGCATGATTCCAAAGACACTCTCTCTAAGCCCCTCTTGAGCCTAATTTGGGTTGATAGCGAGGATTCATCCTGTGGCTTATCTCAAGAGCATCTCTTATCATCACGTGATAATACCCGTGGCTTGGTCCAAGCCTGCCTGTGGCTTGACTCATGCCCCACTAATGGCAACCGCCGCACCACGAAAAAGTGATTAAATTCATTCATCGACGAGAAACCCCACGATCACGACGGACCGCCCCTCTGAGCCGCGACGACACCCCCAGACCGAACGAGAACGCATCACCGATATTGAACCAGAATCTCGGATACGGCTGATTCATCATGGCTACCGCAGCAGCGAACAAGCCCAAGTGAGTGCGGTCTCGACTTGCGGATGCGACTTCCCCTCTGACTAACCCCACCATCAAGGCACGACTGGGCCGACGACGACGACATCGAGGAGACCACCACCACCACAACTGAGCTCCCTCCCCCCCAGACCATCTCCAACAAGGACGGAACCAAGACGATCATCACCTACCAATACAACGATGAAGGCCAGAAGGTCAAGACCACTCGCCGCGTCCGATACATCACCCACACCGAGACCGTGAACCCCCGAGTCGCCGACCGAAAATCGTGGTCCAAGTTCGGCCTCAGCGCCAAGGACCCTGCCGGCCCTGCCCCCGATACCACCTCTGTGGCCGAGAACATCATCTTCCGACCCAGCGTCAACTGGCGCAAGGATGCCAAGGAGGACGGTGGCGACGCAGCCTCGAAGGCCATGAAGGACAAGTTGAAGGACAAGCAAGTCAAGTGCCGTATCTGTAATGGAGAGCATTTCACTGCCAGATGTCCCTACAAGGACACCATGGCCCCCGTCGGGGAGAGCGGTGCCGCCGACGTTGCTGCTGGAGTTGGCGACGACTTCTCATCTGGTGGTGCTGCTGCTGGCAAGAAGGGTTCCTATGTTCCCCCTGCCCTGCGTGGCGGGCCTGGAGGAGCTGGTGGCGAGCGCATGGGTGGATCCAAGTTTGGCGAGCGCGACGACTTTGCTACGTTGCGTGTCACAAACGTGAGTAATATTTTCAAGTCTGCACTGGCTACGATACTAACTCTAGATAATAGGTTTCCGAGATGGCCGAGGAGGGAGAGCTGCGGGATATGTTCGAGCGCTTCGGTCGCGTCACTAGGGTATTCCTTGCCAAGGACCGGGAAACTGGCATGGCCAAGGGCTTCGCCTTTATCAGCTTTGCTGACCGTGGCGACGCTGTTAAGGCTGCCGCCAAGATGGACGGATTCGGTTTCAAGCATCTCATTCTCCGGGTGGAGTTTGCCAAAAAGGCCGCGTAGGCTATTTCGTTCTTGTCACGGGTTAGTTAGGGGCACGGTAATGCATTGGTCGAGGATTTGCACCTCATGATTCAACGGCTATCTGGATATTGTTCCTGGGTTGGCGAAAGAGTGGTGATACTGTGCATGATCTATGAAGGTCACCCAAAATGAATAAACGGCTAGAAATAATGCCAACTTGATGTATACTTTTCACCTTGAATGGACGCGAGAAACGACCAGGGTATTCCAATGTTGACGGTTCGAACCTGAGATGCTCACTCAAAGTTTCTTGAGAGGCACCACAGTGACCCAATGTTCAAGAAAGAGTAAGTATCATAGCTTGTGAGGGAGGTTGGATATAAACGGCGACGGGTTGACCAAATATTGACTGGTTAAGAACCTCTATTGACCTAAGGCTGCGCGAGCCAAGGTAAACTCTCGCCCCGAGGGGCTTGATATGTGTCCATGGACAACAAAGGGAACGGTACACTGGATAGATAAATCATAGTCGTGCTCGAAGTTCGAAGTGGCGTCAAGGATGAGACAGTGGTTAGCGGGCAGTATTTGTTTGGTCGGCTTGTGGTTGGTCGATCTGGTGAAAAGACGATTTCCTTCCCTTCAATCCTGGGCGATTCTGTCGTCCGATCTTCAGCCTTTCGGCCGGAAGACTCCCTTCCAGAAGACGATTTCAGAAAGCTCAACAAAAGATAAGAACCATGCCCGATGGTTCTAGACCAGCTCCGTGCAGCTCTGCCCAAGAGAGAACATCAGTCTAGACCCCACACCGTAAGAACGGAATCTATGGCCGAGAGAACGAGAATCACGATCCGGTCTGGCCTACCTCCTTGAGGGATAGGGCAGCTATCCCCCGCCCACTCGGCGTCGGTTGCGAGTTGTTGTTCTCTCCTCGTTGGTGCGGGAGATTCGTCACTGCGGAAGCCAGACGAATGAGGCCTCACTCCTGCTGGACCCTGGGCCAACCCAAAGTCCCCCAACAAAGGGAGACTAGGGTAATTACTGGAATATCCCACTTGGAATTAATCACTCGCCCGGGACAAGGGACTACCTAAGCAACCAAGTGACACCCCTAGTGCGGGCTAGAACCAGGGTCGAATGGCGGGATGCGAGCGAGCAGAAGAAGTTGTCTGGCGATGCGAGGGCGCAACGTGAAATAGACTCCTCCTTGATGCGGCTCATTTGGACGATGAGTGGCGTATTTAGCCTATGCGATATTCTGATTGGGGGGAGGACTCTCAGCCATGAACAGCAATAAGATTCATTCAGGACACCCAACTCTCTGTTCGATGCTCCTGGTTCTGGTAAAAGTGCGAGCATGTGATTGTGCCCACCCCACGACGTCCTGAGGGCTGCGGAAGTTAGTGGAATGAATCCAGCCATATAAGAGGCTCCATCGTGAAGACGGGCCCCACTGAGCTCCGAGTGTGGAGTAGCTCTCTGGGTGTCTATCGGAAGAGCGCCTTGAGCTTGGGCCATGACCAGCTGCAGGCCGTTCTGTAACTGTGTAAACCAGCGGGTAGAATCGGCGATTTTTGTTTGCGGATAGAGCGAGACATGGACCGTAGTGGACGTTACATAGAAATAAAGAAGTGGCAGATGAGAGGGAGTTCCTATGACTGCTGGGTGAAGCAACTGGTGATTGTGACATCAATCGGGCACGCGACTCAGTGGAGCGGTGGAATGCGAGCAATTGAAAGCGTCTCGTTCCGGGGCACCGCTGCTTTGGTAGTGGAGGTTGCTAGTGGGCTCGGTGGCCAGCTACGGCAGTGCTCCCCACGGTTTTGGGTAAGGCTGGGCGCCCCTGTGGTGCGGTGCTCCAGTGGGACTTTAGCCAGTGGCCCAAGTGCGGGTCCGTGCTGGAGCTCTGGAGGGGAAGGTGCCTTCCATCCCTTGCCCGCTGGCTGTGACTTGAGTTTGCAGACGGGAGGCACATGGCACATGGCACATGCAAAGTGTTACCTCCCCGCCATTTCCACGACGCTATGGGTTGCGCTGGCTTCATGGATGCTGCCACAAACACAGACACTGCATTTGATCTTCGACTTTTCCATCCCTCCTACACCCTTTCCATCTGTCCCGTTACGCCTGTCAGAAAATACTCCGGGCTAGAGCTTCAACAGCGTAAGCCTCAGCCGCACGTCATTGGAGGCTCATTACACGAGCTGCGATCAACCACGCAACCGGCCACAACGAGCCAATTGATTCGAGGCCCAGCGCGGCTCCCTGGTTAAACCGCCCACTGGGATCAATCCCTGGCTCCTGGTAACGCTGGCTTCTTTTCTTTCAGACTGCAGGCCTGCGGAGCCCTGACGTCGTTTAAGCAGCGCACAAAGCGTCCCAACAATTGCTCGCTACCCGCTGTACGCTCGCTGCCCGTTACTTCCGTCGAGCTCTTCCGCCTTCTCTCGTACCTTGCCTTACTTAACATTAAGCACGTGGATGCCCTCTTTTGGGTCTCCTAATTCGGCACCTCTTTTCCCACCTTTCTTTTCTTCATTGCCTGTCTGACACCTTTTTGTCTGCTGAGCACTGTCACCGTCAACTGTCATGAGCTCCTCCGCCGATCTGCCACCCAGTGGCCCTGGCCTTCGGGTTCGGCAATCTAGGGGCGACTCGTCCAACGAGAAGGATTCCTCTGGCCCAGAACCAGGGCAAAGCGAAGAGTCGCCCGATGCTGATGTCCCGAAGGAGAAAGTCCAGAAGACGTATGGACGCACACCAGACGGCACAGGTTTGTTTGTCCCAGTAACGATGTACCCCAGAGGCCCTTTTGGCTGACTTTCACATGTCAAAACCAGTCTTCATTGTCCCCACTACTCATGACATGGTCTCACAACTTCTCGATCCACGACAGCCCAAGAATTTGTCCGACGCCTTGGTCCTCGCAATTCTGGCTCTCCACATCCTCGCCGCCTACTCGCTTCCGGCTGGTTGGAAGCGCACCGTCTTTGCCCTCGTCTTCCTGTTCTGGCGCGCTTCGTACAACATCGGCATTGGCATTCTTCTGCAGATCCAGTCTCGGCACCATCGCCTCATCACCTGGGCGCAGCGCTGGAAGCTCTTTGAGAACCCGACGACTGGCAAGAACCCGAGACCATGGCTGTACAGCTTCCTCAAAGGCGAGCTCGAAGCCAAGATCCCCGAGGATTACGAATTCGAAAAGGCCCCCATTGAGTACAACACTTGGTTGGTTTTCCGAAGGGTTGTTGACTTGATCTTGATGTGTGATTTCGTGTCCTATTGCCTCTTCGCGATTGTATGTGGACACACTCCCGAGGGAGAGAATCCCCTGCTTGGGATCGCCCGTTGGGCTATCGGCATTGCTCTGATCGGCTTCAATCTCTGGGTGAAGCTCGATGCCCACCGAGTCGTCAAGGACTTCGCCTGGTACTGGGGAGACTTCTTCTACCTTATCGACCAAGACTTGACCTTCGATGGTGTTTTCGAGATGGCTCCTCACCCGATGTATTCCATCGGTTATGCCGGCTACTACGGCATCTCCATGATGGCTGCCAGCTATGAGGTCCTTTTCATCTCAGTTCTCGCCCACCTGGCCCAGTTCGCCTTCCTTGTGATTGTCGAGAACCCTCACATTGAAAAGATCTACAACCCTCCTTCCCCACGAAAGAGGACTGCCTCCGACAGCCAAAGTGATCGTGCTGTGCTTGCTGAAGGATCTTTCGACCAGCAGACCCTCACTCCGTCCCTCAAGGACTCTCCGGCCCCGGTCCATAACCTTGTCGGAATAAGCAACATCGACTTATTCCGAGTCCCGGACTTTACAGTTATTGCATTGCCCCTGTACGTAGCGGCCCTCACCTTCGTGGCTCCCTCGACCCCGCTCTGGCAAGGTGTTTTCGTGATCCATGCATTGCTTTGGCGTGCGTGGTATCATCTCGGTCTCGGCTTCATCCTGGACCAGCAGTCAAAGACTAAGATGTGGACCCGCCACTTCCTCAAGTATGGTGAGAGTGCAGGTGAGGCTTGGCGTCAGTGGAAGGGCTTGTACCACATCACTGTGGTTATGACCAATACCTCCTTAATTGCTGCGTGTTGGAAGATGTATTCTCCTCCGGAAGACTGGGCATATGGACTGGTCATGCTTAAGCACGTTCTCGGTGCTGGCCTGGTGGCTTTGCAGTTATGGACCGCATTCAGCATCTACGAGTCTCTTGGCGAGTTCGGCTGGTTTTGCGGCGACTTCTTCTTTGACCACCAAGCCAAGTTGACGTACAAGTCCATTTACCGGTTTTTGAACAACCCCGAGAGAGTATTCGGTACCGCGGGTGTGTGGGGCGCTGCTCTTATCACCTGGAGTCGATCCATCTTCCTGATGGCCCTCGTGACACAGATTTTGACCGTCGGTTTCATTTCCTACGTTGAGCAGCCACACATGCAAAAGATCTACGGCCGAGGCCTACGTGGTGAGGCTGGTCTCACCAAGTTCATCAAACGCTCGCTGCCCCCTCCCGTCAAGGTATGGCAGGAGAGCATGGACAAGGTTATTGATGAAACGTCCCACTTTGTTGACGACTTCCTTGACATGGCCCGGCCAAAGTTTGCCGCTGGTGTGAAGACAATTGTCCGCGATACTTCGGCGCTATTCAATATGGCTCCTGCGCGACTCACAATCACCCGGATCGCCCCGGATCTGGAAGGACGAGATCCCAAGCAGTACTCTCTGATTGTCCATGGTAAACCGTCACTTGATTTATCTGGAGATGAGAGGGCTACTGGAAAGGAAAGCTTGAATGGCAGGTTCCCAAAGCCTATCAAGACGATGACCTACGAGTACGGTGCGCCTCTCAAGGTTCAGTGGAGGGCCCCTGCCAACCACAGTAAGAAGGACTGGATTGGTTTGTACATGGTCACAGACAACCGTTCTCGGGAAACAACCGAAGTTCCCTCGCTTGGACGCTGGTCGCCAACAAACCCTGGACTATACGACGCGTTGACAGCCGATACAAGCATCTCCATTCTTGAGCGCCCTGTGCCCGAATCCGAATCATCGGGTGCCGATCTGGTCGAAGGCGAAGTCGTCTTTGAGGGAGACAAACTTTGGTGGACTCAAGGCATGTTTGAATTCCGATACCATCACGATGGTAATCACACGACCATGGCGATTTCGGAACCATTTGCGATTCAAATCGCAAAGTTTGATGAAGAGGACGTGGATGTTGATTCAAAAGGATTGTATGAGCAAGCTGTCGAGGCGGCTCTTCTCCCTATTGTTCAGAACTGCCTCGATCGCGATCCTGATATTGCGCCCAACAAACCAGAGGAGCCTTTCGGGGGTCACGTTGAGCGGCACAGTAAGTACGCCAAGAGGATTGTCTACGCTATCCGTGAGATGTTCGGTATTGAATTCGCACCCCCCGTTGTGGCGGCGGATGGAAACGTGAGGAAATTGGCTTGGAGAGTCTGCAACGCAAAGGAGGTCTTGGTAAGTCGCCTGTTTGTTGGCTCATCCCATCTCTGAGCTAACAAACGCACTCTATAGGCCCCTTACAGCATGTCTCGATCAAGAGGAACTACTACACCAGCGATCCAGGATTTCACTGCAGAGAAAGTGTAATTACTGTCCCCTGGCATGTAGTCGATTTCAAAATTGGGTTTGGAGTTATACTTGAATATTGATATAGTATGCAAGGTTCATTAAAATTTTCTCCACGAATTCTAGCCGCTAGAGGTCAATCGCGGCGATTAGCTGGCTAGGACTCAGGACATGCTGGAAAAGCGTTGATACCCCAGACTAGAGGATGGGCAGAGGTGGAGAGGCAGCAGGTGGCTCTGAGACTTGAGCTTTGTTCCTGGAGAGATCAGTGCTCGATTCCTGATTCTGTTGCTCGGTTCTAGACCGTCGGGTGTTTCGGCTACGTTTCGCCTCTCGCTGACAGGATAAAATCATGGAATGTAACAAAGTATAATGTGCGTCGATCTATTGTTGCTTTTTAAATTGCGCTACGCACCGATGATGACTTACACATGTAATCCTATCAAATTCTGTAGCATACCCGCCCTCGCTGATTTGTCGACGGTTAAGCAAGCTGAGGGCGAAGGTTTTGGCCATAATCCTTCGGTTGTCGTCTATCTAATATTAGCTCATCCATCGACGACGCCGCCATCGTTTAGCTGAAGGATGGCGTGGGGCCGAACCTGGAGCAGGTACAGGTACATCGTCGTATGGCACGAGTTTAAAAGCCATTTGTGTTTCAATGAGGATTGCGCTCGTGCAATTCGGGGCTATGATATAAGTCTCCTTGCATGGATCTCCACGAGTAAAAAAAGTTCTCGGCGTGCAGCAGCAAAAGCGCATCCTCTATCCGAGCCAGAAACCGTGTCTGCATGGCGTCTCTGTCCATCTACATGCGACCTGATATTGCAGGGTTGCATGGCGATGTTGCCGTAAGCAGCCTCATGCGGGTAGAAATAGAGCGACCAGGGCCGGGCCAAGACACCCCGCGACCTAAGCGCTTGGCCATTGTTGTTGGTGCTGATCCAGTCCTCGAAGGATGACACCACGAGTTGGTTAACTGAATCCTGAGACCCGCCCAACATCTGCTCCCACGAGAAGGATTTCATGCCGATTCACTTCTTTCCCTTTTATCTTCCCATCCTTTTCTTCCACCCTTTCGTTCCATCCTCTCCTTCATCCCTTCACTTCTCCTCCTGCTGCCAGCTCTCTGGACTTTCAACTAACCGCCGCCCCTGGGTGCTGCTCTCCGCTTCTCCACATTTATTAGCTTCCATCGACCGGGAAAAACCCCTTCGTTTCGTCGCCCGTTACGCGTATGCGGGACCCGTCTTTCAATTACCTATTCGGGAAATGTCGTCGTAACATCGACAGGTAACTCTCGACATTCGAGAACCTCGTCTTCCTACAACTTCCAGCTCGTTCAACACAATGGGATCTCTTCCTCGGCCGGCCATTGCACACGGGGCGTCATATCGGGCTAACAATTCCCGGGTGCTCCTCCCCGTGCTGCTCCTCTCTTTGCCCGTTCTCGCTCTTCTCGTCCACTGCGCCTACCACAGGTACGACCACGGCCACTCCGCCGACCTCAGCCACGGCCTGGAGCCAGCGGCACCCTTTACTTTCGCCGATGGCCTCGCATCGGCTGCCTTCCTTTATGTTGCCTCGTACGGCGGGACCGTTACGACATTTAAACTGACCGAGAGCGGTGTCGCCAAGTCCGTGGACCTTGAACCCGTTGCCTCCACAGATGGATGCGCCGGAAGCCCCTCATGGCTCACGCTTGACCACGCCAATTCTATTTTGTACTGTACCGATGAGGGTTTGACTACTGGGAGTGAAGGGTCTCTATCTTCATTTTCGGTCATCGAAGATGGAAGCTTGGTCCGACTAGACAGGGTGCGGACTGTCTTTGGACCCGTAAGTGCGGCCGTGTACGGCAAAGACAGGAATGGACTCGCCCTCGCCCATTAGTATGCTTCCATCTTCCACTGTGCCTCCAGATATCTCATCTGAGGCTGTTATACTCACTTGCTAACGCAATCTCTTTCCAGCGGCGGCTCAGCTCTGTCCACCTGGGACGTTGACGACCCATCTGCCATCAGATCAGTTCAGACTCGGCTGTTCAAGATGGCCCAACCTGGACCGGACCCGTCCCGTCAAGAGGCACCACATCCCCACGCTGCTGTCGTAGATCCCACGGGCCAGTTTATTCTCGTGCCGGACCTGGGCGCCGACCTCATCCGCGTATACGCCATCCGTGACGGTGATCTTGACCTCACGGAACGCGGCCCGCTCTTCGTGGCCCCCGGCAGTGGGCCCAGGCATTTGGCCTTCGCGGATCGGGGGGAGAAAACTTTTATGTACCTGGTGACGGAGCTTGGTAACACCGTCGTCGGGTACGAAGTGACATACGATGATGAGTCCATCGCCTTTGAAGAGGTCTGGACAAGTGGGATACATGGAAAAGGGAATCGTATGCCGACCGGCGGCGCCGCGTCTGAGATCATCATCTCGGTAAGAAACCTCTTTCGTGCTTGACGGGTGAGGAAGAAGTCTGCTAACATGAGCGTAAAGCCTGACTCCAACTTTCTCATTCTCTCATCACGCAATGAGAGCACGCTTGAGATTCCCAACTTCGACCCCGACAACAGCACTGCTGTTGCATCTGACCCGCTCATCAACTTCGCCATCGACCCTCAAACGGGCCACCTCGACCTAGTCCAAGAAGCACCGTGCGGAGGACTATTCCCGCGCCAGTTCTCCATTAACAAGGCCGGGACACTGGTTGCAGTGGGGCTTCAGAGTGATGGCCGGGTGGTCATAATAGAGAGGGATGCTGAAACGGGAGAGTTGGGAAACTTTGTGGCGCATGCTAGTATTGAAGGAGAGGTAACGGCAGTTATTTTCAATGAGTAAATGAATGGGTTTGCGAAGTTGCATTCTTTGTACAAATAGGGAGACGATATACGGACCAGTTCCATGAAACTGGTTACCGTAAGTCATCATGAAAAATCTAGAGTGATGACCAAGGTCTATGAAGACTCTGCACATGCCCACACTCCCTCCTTAAGAACACCCAAATGAGAGAAATTGGGCAGATCTCATTTCCAACAACGTGCATGAGCTCGTACGAGAATTTAAGTTATAGCAGAGGAAATCACATAATCCATTAGACGCGACAAGCGTAGCTACGTCTTCTGGTACCCAAGTTCGGAAGATCGGGTCTCTGATCCGACAGGGCTGGAAGCCTTTCGATGCGGGTGCCACGTTCTAGTTCTATATATGCCGTCGCTATTGCTTGAAGCTCAACATAGGGCCGGGTACACTTCTATTACTCAATATAGGCAAAATCCTTCTACCATAGTTTCTGTGATGCATGGGGCGTGTCTCACATAACGTCAGTACCTGCGTATCATGTCAGGGTCGCCATGGTCGACTCTCAGCTGCGCGATGTATCTGGATCTGTCGACGAAGTCCAAGTGCATACTATAATCGAAGGTAAACAAATATATCCCATTTGATCAAGAAGGATGGCCTTGTGAGAAGGGTCACAGGGACCGTCACAATGGAAAGAGCATGGAAGCTGACATCATGGCAAGCCACGCCCCCAATGTGAGAATGTTACCCTCCATCTACCAGCCAGACGCAGGTCGGTCCGATCATAGCTGCGCCCCTATTATTCACTAGATCCTGAAGGACGCCTCATCATGGCGTCTTATTTCAAATTTTTTTTTTAAAAAAGATTTAAAAATCCAGGCTTATGATATGATCTCAGCACTACGCTATGGATTCGCCAGCGGAGGCGTCGTCTCAGGCCGCAGATTACCGCACTGGCCCAGTTACGTCGGTACCAGGCTTGCAGGGTAAAGTTAATGAGCCGGGGACGGTGTGGCACACCCTAGGTTCCCCGCAGCCCGACAAGCCTCTTCCACTGGACCCGGCGCCTCAAGATGTGCTAGACTGTCTCCTCAGGCGTCGCGCACCAGCAGATTGGCTGCATTCTCCGGCGTGGATTGGACAGAGCTGCTACGCTCCGGCAGCGTGGTTCTCCTATTCGGGCCGTTGACATGCTACTTCTACGGTGGCGGGTACGCACGAGGTACAGTCTGGTGAGTGCCGGATACTTATGTGAGAGCGAGGCTCCGTCAGCGAGTTCAGAAGGTGTCGATAGGTGATGTGAGCTGATGTTGAATTCTGGCAGCACCCAGCTCCTAATGGACACAACACCCAGTGTGCAGAGGCAGCGAATATAGCTTGTCATCGCAACTCGCAAGGACGCCGGTTGCCCTCACCATGAGGCATTGAAGTGCCCACTGAAAGCGCGAGCAGTATCACGATACCGACACCTGGGACGATAGACGGACCCCATGACTAGAGTGTGCCAGTTCCCGGATGGGATCCGCATCCTCCACCAGCGATCCCATGGTCCCTGGCCTAAGGAAGAGGCTCCTTTGGTGGGACTTGGTAGCCATGTGCCAGGTAGGCAGGTCTCGTGTTGGGGAGAGAGGGAAAAGTAGCGAGGGTTTAACTCAAGGTGACATGTGGCCCGTGGGTTCGATCAATTAAAATGGACTTGGTAGAGTGAGCTTTACAGGGACCGGCAAAAGGACAAACCTGGATTTGTATGGGGATCGGTTGGTTTACAGTAGAATCTCAGAATAGAAGTGTCATGTTTTCCCTTCTCTCCAATATTTAAATAGATAGCAAGGCGGTAGGACCGTATGCAGAGTACGTTGAATGTTATAGAGGTGTTGAGGGTGAAAATTAGATTACCTAGAGAGAAATATTTCTCCGCACTGTATCGCGGGGACGCACTAAGGCTGACAGCAGGGGGATTTGGCGCCTGGCGGGTAAATTCAGAGCGGGGCGCGCCTATAAGAATACAGTACTAATTTGACACGACATACGGTAACTCTCTGTGCTTCCTCCACAGCCGAACAGAGCCATCCTTGACCCAACCTTGATCCATCCTTGAACCTCATGACAAACGCTTTTCCGATGCAAGTCCATTGCATCCTAGACGACTCCCACCCGCAAACCGGGACGCCAAATCTCATACTAGAGCAACCTGGATGCCTGCAACGATGAGCCTCGTCGAAGATCGGACGGAAAGACCTTCATCCACAAATGGCGTGCTTGCAATTGTGAGGGGGGGTCGGCCGGTCCATGCTATGCGGCCACCCTCCTCCACCGTATTGGCGTCACCCCGCCGCCCCATGCTCGGCCGAGTGTGCTTGGGGGAAGCTGAGGATGGATGCTCCGTACAGTTGACAAAGTACTTGCCTGACCTTTTCCGCGCAATGGGTGTCGCCAGGCAGGCTGTCAGGCTGTCGGACTGCCAGCATGCGCGCCACGGCTACATGGTGCCTCGAGCGTGCAGCGGCTTCCGGGGGAACGGGCTCGCAACCCAAGATGCCTCAACGCTACCTCAGCACGCTACCTCGTACATCAGACTGCGTCTCAGTAACGGCTCGATCCTCCAAGACACGCGGCCGTGCTCAACATCTCGATCCCTCTGTGGCGGACTCGACACCACCACCACCAGAAACCGCTGTCGACAAGGAGAGTCGGCCCTCGGTTGTCATGCCATGTCTCTCCCCTTCCTTGGGTCTGGCCTGGGGCTTGGCACCTTGAGCTCGTCTAATCCGGGTGCATCACAACTAGGTCCAATTTGGATGCCCCGCCGCCGACTCTGGGTGGCCAAGGGCCGGCCCATTTCTCCAGAAGTTCCCATCATCCCCAAGCACATCCGCCGTCCGCCCCCGTCTCCACCTCCCACTCCCCACCTCCACCGCCGGGCCAGCCTAGGGTCTGGGGTTCGCTCCCGACAAGTCGACTCAGAGCCCTCCAGGAGCCCTCCAGAGACCCTTGTCCCTGTTGTCCCCCATACATAACCATAGCTCATCCATTCTGCTCGTGAGAAGTGAACCTTTCCCCAACTTCTGGTCTTTGGTGACGAACTGTTGAAGTGCTCCATCTTCCTGTCAAACTCCAGCATCTCTCACTCGTCCACAGTCGGCTCTCATCTCTCATCTAGCCAAGACAACCTCAGTCGCCTCCCATCATTACGTCCGATTTGTCGTCTCACCCCCCAAGCTTCAATCCCACTGGTTGATTCTCGTCACCTGAAGCTTCTCCCCCGCCACCTCGTACCCGACATGTCGCCTCGCTGACATTCCTTTCTTCGGGACTGCCTACACATTTAAGTTCGGCTTCTAGCGAAGCCATCTACATATTACCGCCTTACGCCACAGCGCTGTCTGTCAGATCAGACTGCGACTCATCGTCTGTACTCATCTCCTGCAATATCTGGCTTCGACCACAACCTCACGCCATGTCCCCATCCTCAACGGGTGAATCTCCTCACTCAGCCTCGGGCGCTTCCACCAGGCAGTATCCGCTTCCCACTCGTGACAGCTTTAGCATCGACATATCATCTGCGTCGCTAGCAGGGATGTCAAACGACGTCGGCATCAAGTCTCCCCTCAATCTTAGGACCCATCGAACGTCCAGCTTCAGCAGAGAGGGCATGCTCAGCGCTGCTCCAAAATCCCGGCATCTCTCACAGTCCTCTGACAACAGGCCCGACAACATGGCCAATGGGCAAAGGGTCTCGAGCGACGAGGGCTCAAACCCACTGAAGAGGAGGAATACTGACGCGGGGGTTGATTACCCACGTCGCAGAGCCACCATCGCTGTATGTTGCGGAAGTTTGGATAGCTTTCAGTATCGCGACCGGCTAATCATTATTATAGTGCGAGGTTTGCCGATCGAGAAAGTCCCGGTGCGATGGAACGAAGCCAAAATGCAAGCTGTGCACTGAACTGGGCGCTGAGTGCATCTATCGAGAACCAGGTATCAAGTTGGATGCCGGCGACAAGCTAATTCTTGAGCGCCTTAGCCACATCGAAAGTTTGTTGCAGATGAGCATGGTTAATGCTCAAGGAAACGGCCTCAACTTGACTCAAGATTCCCCATCGATGAGCAATGGCACCGGGCTCAGCGGCGAAAATGTACTCCTCGGTACTAATGCCAGCGGTTTTGTTCCCATACCAAACGGTGGATTCGGGACGTGGTCTGCCCAGCCTACCGGTACCAACATCTCCACGATGCCCAAGGTCCACACGAACGCCGCAATGCACCTGTTGCAGTGGCCGCTCATCAGAGACCTCGTTTCGCGACCATATGATCCTCAAATCCTCCTGCAGCTTGAGATGGCCCGAGAACCCCTTCATTCGTTGACGAAAACGCCTTGCGTGGACTTGTCCAACACCCAGGCCTATATTGAGGCGTATTTCGAAAGGGTCAATGTTTGGTACGCTTGCGTCAATCCGTATACATGGCGTAGTCAATACCGGACAGCTCTTTCAAACGGCTTTCGAGAAGGTCCTGAGAGCTGCATTGTGCTGCTTGTTCTGGCTCTCGGTCAAGCCAGTTTGCATGGCAGCATCTCACGAATCGTTCCTCAGGATGACCCACCAGGTCTACAGTACTTCACGGCTGCATGGTCACTCCTCCCAGGAATGATGACAGCAAACAGCGTTGTGGCGGCGCAGTGCCATCTTCTCGCTGCTGCATATCATTTTTATCTGGTCCGGCCAATGGAGGCGTGGAACCTTCTCTGTACCACAAGCACCAAGCTCCAACTCCTCCTTATGACTCCAAGCCGAATTCCCAGCCATCAAAGAGAACTGGTGGAGCGTATTTACTGGAATGCCTTACTTTTCGAAAGCGACCTACTCGCGGAATTAGATCTGCCACACTCGGGGGTGGTCCAGTTCGAGGAGAATGTTGGCCTGCCTGGAGGATTCGAAGGAGAGGAGGCGGAACAGGTTGGCCGAGATGAGCTCTGGTATTTTCTTGCTGAGATTGCGCTACGTCGGCTCCTGAACAGGGTCAGCCAGCTCATATATTCCAAGGACTCCATGGCTTCCACCACCAGCTTGGAGCCTGTGGTTGCGGAGCTTGACTATCAACTTACCCAGTGGTACGAAAGTCTGCCCTTGCCACTCCAGTTCCCTTTCACGCGAACTGTTATTCAGGACCCGATACAAACAGTCCTTCGACTACGATTCTTCGCCTGCCGTACCATTATATATCGGCCCTACATCTTGGCAGTATTGGACAATGAGCAGGCGGTACTGGATCCTGCGGTACGAGATTGCTGCCACAAATGCCTCGAGGCATCCATACGACAGTTGGAACACATTGTTGAGCAGTAAGCCCTCTTTCGAAGAAATCTTTGGTTCTTGACGCTAATTGTTCTCTAGCCATGCAGGTCATATGCCATATATTTGGCAAGGTGCTCTCTCTGTGGTCTCTCAGACCTTGCTCATCATGGGCGCGACCATGTCGCCATCTTTACTCGCCATCTTGCTCACACTGGTGCCTCACCGCGAGGCGCTAGACCAAATCATCAACGAAGTTGTGCTGGAAATCGAACGATATGCCGTATTGGCACCAAGTTTGAACCTTGCGGCTGAGATCATCAAGGAAGCAGAAGTACGGAGGCGAACATTTCTCGGAACCTGATGTCCGAATCCAGGAAAAAATCGTGCAGAAAACGATAATACCGACTTCTATGTGCATGGACTCCACCTGAGCCTTCGTCAATGGTGACATCTCAACAACCCCAACCACACATCAGAGTACACCTATTGGCACAGCCACCAACCCAAAACTATGGAATGCCATGGTACAAGATGAGTTGGCAGAAACTATTGAACGGTGTATGCTGGGTTGATCTCACTCTGCCCAGGGTGAACCCGAGTGTTCCCCGCGAAAGCGCCCCAAAGCTGGAGAATTTGTACCAGGGGGTTCATCCGGGGTATGAATATTCTAGGCTTACACCACCACTTTAAGGAAGCGCTCAGAATGGGTTTCGTTGATTGGCTGGGTAAGTAGGACGTCACGGCAGTCGGACCGATCAGCCGACATGCTACCACACAACGGCAACAAGCCTTGAACTTTTCCGGTTCACCGGTGGATCTTCAGGGGACGACGGATGTTTACTAATTTGGTAACTCATTTCCCAGATGAGGGCACAAACCGGAGCTCTTCAAGTTGGAGCCGACTGAGGCTGCCCCTCATCGCTCAGGAGTTTTTGTGGACACACAGCAATACCCAAAGCTTTATGCGACTCGCATTCTAGGACGGTACGGGGTTGTCGTGACTTCAATCTCTGTAATTTTAACAGGTGCTTTTATCTTGGGAGGAAGGGCAAAGTTAGATATTGAATGTCTTCCTAGTGTACGAGTACAAAGGTGCAAAGACATGGGCACTCTACATTGAATAGCCAATGAGAATCATGCAAGGCATTTCCTTCCTTGGACGGTGATACGCAGGGGATATAAATTAATTCAGGAGTTCGGCCAAAGCAGCCCAGTTGAAATTGGCAGAAGATGGCTTGTGTTGTGAGATGGTTTCATGACACGGCATGGTTGTACGAGGACGATAGTTGCCTATTCTGACAGGGCATCACGAAACCTCTAAGGGGTACCTCTAGATGTGCTACCATTAGTCGTGACGCATGTCATCGTACGTGCAGATATCGGGGCGGCTGGGGGCGACTGGGGGCGACGAAAAGAGGCGGAAACACTCGGATGGTTTCGGCGTCAACGCAGGGTCAACGCAGGCCGAAACATTCAAAGCCAGACAGCGGAGGCCGGATCTGTCAGGGCGCGGCAGTTGACTGCAGATGCCGGACCGGGCCGAGGGGAGGGAGGGGCTGGTCCACCAGGGATGGACCCGGAGGGAGCCGGAGAGCCCCGGATCGGCCGATGTTTGTTCCCCACTCCGGCGAGCGCTGAGAAGTTGAGGCAACGGAAGTACCAGATGATGACGCCGAACACTCACTCTGTCGGGGAGACGGAGGCTACTTACCTCGAGGGGCCTGGCAACCTGGGCTGGAGGTCTCACATTCCTTTGTCCAGTCATGTGTTCCCAGCAGGCGAGCACAGACGAAGACGCCCGATGACGGCCAGGCACGCACGCCTCGCTCAGGAAGGGATAGGTCCGTGGGCCAGAGAGCATTTAAGGGCAGCGCGGGCAGGCTGTGTGCGCCAAGGCCAAGGGGCCGTACCGTCCGTACCGTACCGTACCGTACCGCCGCATGCGTTGGTAGGTAGGTACCGCACCGCCCCGGATCTTTGCGCGTTTGCACAAGCACGAGCACAACCACAAGCGCAACCACAACGGTCACACAATCACACACAGGCACACGGGCATGTCGGAGCGCACACGCAGTCACAACGTGGAACAGGCGCCCTCAACACCAGACACTGGCCCCCAGCAGGCGCAGGCGCCAGCCCCAACGTTCAGCTGACTGACTCACTGTCCGCTGGTCCACTGGTTGACGGCTCAACCCACCCTGCCCTGTGGTCTGCGGCCCTGCCCTGGCTCTGGGCCCTGTGGCCTGTGGCCTGCAGGCTGTGGGCAATCAATCCCTCAATCCCTCCACCATCTAACGCCCAACATCCATCCACTCGCTATTACTCGTCACTACTGAACCAAGCACCATCCAACCTCCACTATCTTGCAAAGTACCATCCATTCCACCTCCACTACCATTCAATGTGCCACCCTCCTCATATCCACTCATTCCTCCGTCATCCATCCATGATCCAGCCATGATCCATCCATGGTCCATCCCTCCAATCCCTCCATGATCCATCCCTCCAATCCATCCCACCCGTCATCGGGCTCCCAGTCACCACCCATCTGCGACCCTCCCAATCCCCCCTCCGCCACGTGACGGCACACCGACAAAGCCAACTCGTCCACAAGCCCTGCGAATCTGGAAGCCCTGCGCAGCCCGCCACCAACCATCGAGCGCGCGCGCTGGCATTTCTCGTCATCCCTCTCCGTTGGCTCTCGAACGCTCGTGTGATTCAGCCCGTATCTGGCTGGATATCGTGTCTTGGAATCTCTGACGCTCCCAAGACATCAGTGCATCACCAGTTGCACGCGGGGGAGGGGCACATTGATTCGCCCCGTACCCGATGGGGTGACCTATAAACCGCGCCCAGACTTGCTTTGCTTCCAGAGTACTGTGCCGCCTTCTCCAGCGCTCGCCGCGGCAGACCACTTTACTCCCTCTTTTCTCCCGACATCTTACATACCGACAGCCTCAGAGCCCTCGCCCGCATCTGTGTGCCTCTCCTAACCTTCCCGGGGCAACGCTGCAGTACTAAAGCCCTTGCCTGTCCCCCTCCGACCTCTCGCTGCCGTCCTTGCTGGCGGCCCAATTTGCAGGGCGTGCGCTTCTCGTTCTCGCCCGACGTAACGCTGCGGCTGCCATGCATGATCAGCCTCTCGACTCCAATCAGCTTCTGGGGGTGCAATCGCGCACGCAGCGTGGACTTCGCTGAGTGGCCGCCCACTCTCATCACAGTCGCAGTCGCCTGTCCTTTTTACTCTTACAGCAACTAGTCAAGCCTCGGACACCGCCGTGGCCGTGTCGAGGCCCAACACCAGTCCTTGGGGCGGACGCAAAATGAGGCTGGGAATGCATCGAGACGCCGACGAGGGAGATGCCCGCATGCCTCGGCGGAGAAACCGTCGCCCAGAGGGCCATGATTGGTATCCCCCAGATGACGTCTTGCCCTATTCGCTGCCCCATCCACCACGCATCCACGAGATACAAAGGCCCGACGATCGGACACCGAGGGGCCACGGGAGGAGCGTGAGGAGTGCAAGGAGCGCAAGGAGCCTGGACGCATTCAATCGCACCATGCCGCCGCCGCACCTAACACGAGCCGAAACAGATGCTTACAGGAGGCCCAGGGAGATCCTGGTCTATGAAGACGAGGATGAGGATTCGTCGGACGACCGTTGGGAGTCAGGGACCAGAGAGACGAGTCCCGAGTATGAGCGGGAGCGCCCACGCCGGTCGCATCAAGAACACCGAGGAGTTCGAGAACCCCGAACACCCCGAGAACACCGTGCGACTCGAGAACATCGAGAACACAGAGCTACTCGAGAGCACAGAGCACCACAAGAACACAGAGTACCAATACCTCGAGCCCACCGAGAACATCGAGAACCTTCCTCCGAGTCGACCCCGTCGACAACGGAGAGTGAAAGTGAAAGTGACAGTGATGATGAGAGCGATGAAAGTGAAGACCAAATAGAAGTGGTCGAGGAAGTCGAGGACGACGATGTTAAATACCGTCGTCGCCAAGATCGGCATTCGAGCCGGGACGATTACTTTGGTTCGTCCGAAGACAAGAGACTGCGGGCGAGGAGTAGAAGGAGGCCTTCCCGGTCTGACGAAGAGTATACCGTCAACTACCGCCATGCCTCTTCAGAGACCGGCTCTCCGATACGGCGACAGCGTCCGCTTAGAAGGCAGGCCAGTGATTCCCCAAATCATCGTCGCCAATCCAGGGTATTGAGTATAATCGAGAGCTCACGACCGCCCGTGTCATCCAGAAGGTTGGACCCCAGATGTGATCCATCCCCTGTTCCATGTGTCTAACTAGAGTGTCAGAACTACAAAGGTTTATGAAAATCGAGAGGTCCGCCGTGAGGGTAGACCTCGCCGGACCGCAATCATCCACACCACCCGGCAGTCAAGATCAAATTCACGACGCCCACCCAGTCTCTTAGGAAGTCTCTTTGGCGGATCATCCCGCCAATCTTCTCCAGAGAGGCCAGCCAAACTGTAAGCTCCCGAGTCTCATTCCAAAGTACGGAGATCTGACTTGTATTCTAGTCGTGACTGTATTGTATGCCTGGATGAGGTCCCTGTCAACAAGTGTCCCAGACTCAAATGCGGCCACCGCATGTGCCACACCTGCCTCAAGCGAAACTTCAAAATATCTCTTACTGATCCCCAGCATATGCCTCCTAAATGCTGCACTTCGGACCATATACCACTACACCACGTGGACAAGCTGTTCGATCGCTCTTTCAAGAAGACGTGGAACCGCAAGTTTGCCGAATATTCGACACGGAACCGTGTGTACTGCCCAATGAGAAAATGTGGCGAATGGATCAAACCAGCCAACATCCACCGCGACCGTGATTCTGGACGTAAGATGGCTCGCTGTGGCCGTTGCAAAACAAAGGTTTGTGTATCCTGCAATGGCAAATGGCACCACCCGCGAAGGTGCCCAAGGGACGAAGAAACTGCCAGGTTCTTGGAGCAGGCCAAGGACGAAGGTTGGAAGAGGTGCTACAAATGCAGAGCCATGGTTGAGCTCAAGGAAGGATGCAACCACATGACTTGGTGAGTATTGTATTTTGGAGGCTCTTGTACACATGCTAACTAGAAACAGTCGATGTGGTGCGGAGTTTTGCATGATTTGCGGTGTCAAGTGGAAGGGCTGTGATTGCCCGTGGTTCAGCTTTGAGGGCGCTGATTCGGACCACGTCGAGCACATGAGTGGCCACGCCCCCATGAGTCGTGGAGAATTGGATAACGGGTTCCACCATGAGGATCCGCCATCGCCCGGAGAACGAAGGGCTGGCCGCGGCCTGCCTGCAGTCCGGCCACAGCCAAAGAGCTATGAAGAAGAGATGCTCCTACGACAGTTCCAGGAACAGCGGGACGAAGAACTGGCACGAAAGCTTCAGTACTACGGCGAGGAGGATGAATACGACCCCATGGATGGGATAGGGGATGTCGGTGGGGTTGGGAATGCGCCCGCACACTTCATGAATGGCCAATACGGCCACGGAGGACCACCGCCTCCGGCTGCGCCACCACCGGCAGGCCGAAACGGGTTTGACAGAGGAGACCCGAGGGGTGGACATGGCCATGGCGGCGGCCATGGCGGCAGAGGTAGAGGTGCGAGAGGGGGTTCAATGGAGCGCCGCCTCGCAGACCGATTCTCGGAAACCCGCCATATGCCGGGTTCGATGCCTGGGATGGAACCGCCGATGGGCCACCACATGGGGCCTGTTTTGATGCCACCACCACCGATGGGGATGCCACCTCCGATGGGGATGCCTCCTCCTATGGGTATGCCGCCTCCAATGAATATGGTATACCCAGGTCGTGTCGTGGTGGAACATGATCCCAACGAATACGATGAGGAAGGGTCATTTTTTAGCCAAGGCTCGCACGGCAGGAGGGCCACTCGACGGAGTGTGACTCCAAAATCGTCGACTCTTGCCGGGCTAACTGGTCGCGGCATAGGCATGGGACGAGTACACTCATGGAGGGAATATGTCGAGCCAGGAGACTTTGAAGGAGAGATTGCTGCTGCTGCCGCCGCTGCCCACAACATGGCTATGGCTTAAACAGCTCCCACAAGCTACGAGTTACGATTATGAAGGCAAAGGTTGGGTATTCGGTCGGTCGGTCTACGAGGATATTTGAGAGAGAAAAATGAAGAAAAAACCAAGACACATAGGATTCTCTCGTTGTATGATAGGATATGGATATCTAAAGGGAGGACTCGGGCGTATGGCAGACCAGCGGGATACTCGATGCTCGGGACAGAAGACCAACAGGACTGGATTTGGGACATGTTGATTGACGGGTGGGTTGGGTGTCATTTGGGCGGGATTTGTCTTTAGTTGCGGCGAAGTATTTGGTTTAGAAATGTCGACCTCATTAGGCACCACCATGGGGTCATTGGTATCTAGTTTCCAGTTTCCAGTGTCCAGTGTTTTGGTGTCAAGTGTCACAACTAAGGAGTTGAGCGGTGATCCCAGTCGCTATGCCTATGGCTGTCACAAGGAAGTAACCCGATGACGATGGGTGTCGTGTGATGATTAGCCCTAATACTGAGCATCACCACATGCCAGCCGCCAAGGTTGACAGGCCTCCAGCTGCAAAAGACCCCTGCGAAGACCATCGACGGACTAAGCCCAACAGCATTCTAGTGACTTTATTATCGGCAGTTTCGGTGGTTTCGGGGCGGCTTCATCGGACGTCCAGGCCTTCCTATCTGTTAGGTAGAGGTAACCTCAGCACAGGTACTGGTACCCCTCTAGGTTAGGCCTCGTACAGGGGACTTCCCAACTAGAGCAACTTCCTAGCACCATGGCGGGGTTATTACGGCCAAAGAATGTCGGCGCCGAGGAATGATTGGCGCACTCCGGGCGGCGGATGGGTCGCACCGGGATGCACAGGAAGCCCGGGGCCCCGTAACTAATGGCCAAGAAAAGGGCGCTGGAGGGCTGGAGGGCTGGAGGGCTGGAGGTACAGTGCCACTGTACGTGGTAAGGTAGGTAGTAGGCAAGCCAAGACGTTTCCAAATGTTCCGAAACAGGTCCCACGGGTGTGACTTGTCAGTGAGCACTGAGCCGTGAGCCGCCATCACAGGCCCATCACCACGCACCAAGCACCAAGCTTACCGTCATCGCTCGGTTTCGCACAATCGCAAATCGCAAATCGCGACTTCCCCCACGGCCACGGCCACGGCACCCAGACTTTTCGGGTGGTTCGGTCGCCGGCTCTCTCTCACAGAGTCACGTTGCGTCCACGTCAGCCAACCCGCTTTCTGCTGTCTGCTTCCTAATTAGTTCCCCCCATGCCAGACGAACCCCCTCCGCAGCTACCGTCGCCCCCGACAGCTTCAGCTTCGAGAACCCATTCGTCCACCGACAAGGACCGTTTGGCCGGGCATGGTGACGTCAGGAAGTCCAGAATAGCATCCGCCCTCGCCCTCTCCCTGTCTCCTTCGCTCTCGCCCGTGCTCTCGCCCACTCTCTCCGCCTCTGTCTGCGTCTCCGCACCCACGCCGACAGCTTCGTTCGCCCTCCATCCGACGTCCCCCGAACCCCTCGAGAGCGCCCTCGCTACGACGCTGCGCCGCGCCGACGCCAACGCCAACATGCTGCTCCTCCACCAGATCGGCAGCGTCAAGACCGGCGAGGTCGTCCGATACACCGTCACCTACACGCCGTCCCAGGACCGCATCCTGCCGTCGCCCGAGAAGCTCTACCTGCGAGTCCGCAACACGTGCGCCATTGCCCTGCGCGCCGCCTTCGTCCACGGGCCGTATACCCTCTCCGCCGCCGCATACCCTGCCGCCTTCAACCCCAACGAGAAGTTTGAGAACCCCGAGCGGTATGGCGTGCCCGAGTTCGAGCCCATGGTCAAGGCTGGCGGCTCGTGGGAATGCGAGCTCGTCGTACCAGACGACATTCGCCAGAGCGCCGGCATGGGCGGCCATGGCGGTTTTGGCAAGGCCCCGGAGCATGACGAAGAATGTGCCAGCTGGATCATCGAGGTAGCGTCCCAGGTCCTGTTTTCCACCTCGGCGGCCGTGGGATATGAGGTCGTGGTGGCACGCGACCACAAGTCCCTAAACCTAAGCAGCATTAGCCCCGTCTTGAGCGGACAGACTCAAGTGCCGCAACCAGGCAAAGTGAGCGACCATCAGCAGAGCATCGGCGCCAAGGACGGCCACCACCCAGCGCAGCCCCGGGGAGTCTTCTCGCGAGCTGTAAGGGTCAAGGTTGAGGATACAGCCACACTGTGGAACACGCCACGTCTTCCGGGTTGGGATGACCTTGGCCAGAGTAGAGCCCGGAGACACCCAGGTGCCGATGAGGCAATCGAGAGCATGGTCCAGACAGGAGATCCGCAGACTGAAGAAGAGCCAGCACCCCGCAAGCACAAGAATATCCATTTGGTGGTCCTGACGCATGGCTTGCATAGTAATCTTGGCGCTGACATGCTCTTCATGAAGGAGAGCATTGATGCAGCTGTGAGACAGGCCAAGATCGATGCCAAGGCACGGCGAGCAAAACAGCGAGCTGCTAGGAGGAAACGGGACTCAGACGCCGATCCAACAAACGACGAAAAGGTCCAGAACCACCCCTCCGACGAGGATGAGCATGAAAGCGACGACGAAGAAGTGATTGTCCGTGGTTACTCGGGGAATGCCACCAAGACCGAGAGAGGCATCAAGTATTTGGGTAAACGACTTGCCAGATATGTGCTCTCCACGACATATCCAGACCAACCATTCCTCCCGTCAGTAAAGGGGGCTGCCGAATCAGTGTTCCATTCTACCAAGGTTGATAAGAGCGACTCCGAGCTAAAACCGGCACACAAACACAGCAGTGTAGTCTCGAACCACAGCAAAGAACATTTAGAAAAACACGAACGACCATATAAAATCACCAGCATCAGTTTCATTGCACACTCACTGGGAGGGCTTGTACAGACCTACGCCATTGCCTATATCCAAAAACACTCTCCCGAATTCTTCAACCTCATTAAACCAATCAACTTCATTACCTTGGCGTCACCATTTCTGGGGCTAAGCAACGAGAATCCACTTTATGTCAAGTTTGCCCTGGATTTTGGCCTGGTTGGCAGGACCGGTAAAGACTTGGGCTTGACGTGGAGGGCTCCGACTCTTGCACGTAGCGGATGGGGCGCCCTCGTCGGCAACCTGGGAGAGACGGCACACAAGAAGGTTTATGGAGAGTCACAGCCGGAGTCGAAACCCCTGTTGAGGATCCTACCAACGGGACCCGCGCATACGGCCCTGAAGAAGTTCCGCAATCGTACCGTGTACTCCAATGTTGTCAACGATGGCATCGTTCCCCTTCGCACGAGTTGTCTCTTGTTCCTGGACTGGCAAGGCCTCGATCGCGTCGAGAAGGCGCGGCGGGATGCTGGCCTGGTCGAGACGGTAGTTGGTTTCGGATGGGCAGAACTCACCGGTGCCAACATGGCCTCTCCTCGCCAGAGGCAGCTTCCAGCAGGTGACCGACAGAGTCGGAATCTGTCTGGAATAGTAACGCCCGATAAGTCTCGAGAGAATATGCGAGAGGTTCCGCTGCCATCTAGTAATGCGCTTATCGAAGACGACCGGGCGAGTTTGCGGTCCGTCCCCACGCCATTTATGGACGACGTGCCATCCGATTCGGGAGACTCTAACAGCAGTGGCCCGTTGTCGGGTTTCTTCAACTTTTTCAAGAGTAATGAGCCACCAAAACCCCCCAACGTCTCGCAGAAGCAGAAAATGATTTTCCGGAGGAGTCAGACACTCAGCTCTGGGGACCTCACAGCTAGCGGAGAGCCGAGCCCTTCGGCATCGCCCAAACCGTCAAAGGTAACGTCTGGACACGAGGAAGAAGAGGAGGGAGTTACGGCTCCGCCAAAGACGACTTTCTTTGAGTCTGCTGGTGATGTCCTCAATCCCAAGATGCCAGATGTTGATTATTTGATTGATCCTTCTGAGCGGCCGCGGACCATCTTCCATGATCGAGTATATCACCCGGCCGATATCCCAGGGCCGCCGATGAAGAAGCGGCCGACCACATTAGTCCGAAGGAAAACTATCACTCAGTCACATTCTGTTTCGCGGGCCTCGACGGGTGTCTCAACAGCTAGCGGGTCTTCGTCACCATATCCCTCGATTCACCACGAAGATACGACGCAATCAACGAAGGACTACGACGACACGACAAATACCAATCCCGACAAGGATCCCCATGAGATCATCGACAGTTCTAACATGCGCGTCGAGGAGAAGATTTCGAGGGCCTATCATCGGGACTTGTCCTGGAGGAAAGTCTTGGTCAAGTTGGAGCCCGACGCGCACAACAACATCTTTGTCCGTCGCATGTTTGCCAATGCCTACGGCTGGCCTGTCGTCAAGCACTTGGTGGATGAGCACTTTAGTGACTCAGCGGCCTCCCATCTGCGAACAGAAGACGAGAGCAACCGCGAGCGTGCGCGGGAAATCAACCAGCCACCAGACGAACATGGCGGCGAGACTAAGGACAGCCTTTCTGTTACGGAGGCGCCGGCCACACGTACCGAGAGCGAGGCGCGTGAAGCCCTGGATGAAGTGTCTGATTTACCGGGCCTACAAGCTCCGCCACAGTCCCAAGGCAGTGATACCTCGGGGAAACGGTCTCGAACTGACCACGATGGTTCAATGACATGGAGCGAGCGCGACTGGGTCGACAGCGATTGCGACAGCGATCTAGACTTTGGTGGCGACCCTCCTCCCTCAGAGAGGCGGCCTGCGGCATTGACATTGCCCACGTCGCAGGAAAAGGGCAAGGAGGCGCAGCGAAGTTCTAGCCCACTTTCAGCTGGGTGGAACTGGGCCGAGAAGATTGTTGGGAAGGGGCCCTCAACTCGGGCGAAGAGCCCCGTAGATGAAGGCGTAAAGCACTGAGACGGTTGGATACATACATGTACATGTCATGACTACGATGTCGGATGTGAAAATATGGGCATAGATAGAATGTGTCTGATAGAGGCGTAATGGTTTGGGATGATGAGGCATGGAGTTTTGTGTAAGTTGTGCAGGAGTGATGAAGCTTTTATTGTTAGGTAGCCTTAGGATAGAGAAGATTCCCATAGAATATTGAAGTCTTGATGATTGTGGTTTCCATGGAAAGTGTCCCACCCTGTATCGCAGTTAGGTTATCCTTGATGCAACCGTTTCTGCTCTTTCTGGGCTAAGTGTACGTACGAGAATCATCAAGGCACGAAATTTGGGTACGAGGACTATGCCGAAAGGATATCAGGCAGAATCGTCTAGCATCGCTGGAGGGCGTTACTTTCGTGTGATGTGCATTCGTCTCCTTCATTTATAGATACGTGGGATCATCAGTAGCAGACGTTAACAGCTTCAGGCCTCAGCAAAAGGGAAAGCCGAGAGAGGGGCAAAGAAACTGAAGGCTGTACGACTCACTTCAGGAATGGTTCCGAGGATATGTAATACGGTCCTCATTGGAGTTGACGTGAGGTGGCCGTGTTACCGAGAAAGGAGTAAAATCAAGTGGCAAAAAAAATCAAAAAGAAAGGATATAACAGTGGGATTAAACCACCTGCGTTGGACGAACAGGGAATCGAACCCTGGACCACTCCCAGATATTCGGATGAAACATGCTAAGGGAGTATTATACCACTAAACCATTCGCCCGAGTGAATGTTGAAACCGGATGGAAGGATTTGCAGCTAAGAAGCGGAATTTCGATTGTGTGGGCGAGTTTGGGTGTCGATGTGGGGGGTCCATCTTGGTGGCGGCGGTGACAGGGAGCGGCTTGCAAGTTGCAGGCCTTGGAAGGATGTGCTACAAGCCCGACAAGGCGGATTTCTCGGCATGGCGTTGAAGAATGCACGGGCCATTGTGCATCGAATTCTGGGTCGAGACGAGAGAGGGAGAGATGATGGGCGATATATGAGATATGGCGATACGTCGATATACATTGCCAGGAGATGAAATGATATGGAAGTCTTCTGCGTCATGCCGTGTGCTCTCAAGCGGTAAAGCTGCTGCTACCGGGCCGTCAGTGGGTAAATGCCCAATTAACCAACCCCCGTGGTTAGGCCGCCGGCGTCGACAGGGCCTTCTTTGACCGCTGTCCCGCTGTAAGAGGGGATCCCTGGAGCCCTGGAGCCCTGGAAGGACAGGCTTTGATTGGGGGCCATGCACGTGCTGTAAATCTTGGTTCCCCAACCATGACGACCATGTGCGTCACTCCAAATCCTTGGTTCTTTTGGGGGGAGGGCCTCCGGGTGGGTGCCTGCCAGAGGGCAGAGGGGCCTGAAAACTAATCATCGTCGTCAGCTTCGCCACGGCTCCAGCGCTCTAGAATCGCCCCAATCCTCCTCTCAGCTCGTCCAGGTGGAATACCCCAGCAGCTCAACGAACGCATTCAAAGGATTTCGTTTATTAGTCTGCTTGCTGCGCCCCCCCTTCGTCCGCTCTCCCGCCCTCTCTCTCTCTCTTCTGCAGCTGCTGCAGGCCTTGCTCTGGTGGATTGGCCTACTTCGCGATGCTGCTATAGCTGCATCTCCCACGGTCAGCTCGCCCCGACAGCTCTCTCGCCTGTCCTACCTTTCGCCGCTGCTTTCTGCGCCTACCGACCGAATCCCGAAACAAAACCACTCCTCCAATAATATCGCATCTCGCCCGCCGCCATGCGCCTCTTCCTCCTCCCGCTCTCGACGCGGCGCACGCTGCTGTACGCGCAGCGCCTCAATGTCGTCACCACGGCGCAGGACCGCAGCTACCTCGACCGCGGCACCGTCTGGGCCGCCAAGACGTGGGCTACATGGGAGAAGCAGGAGTCGGGCTGGAAGCGCAAGGTCGTCGACTACGGAAACTACGCCTTCCGGCGCATCCCCTACCAGGAATGGGGCCTCAAGAGCGTCCCGCCGCTGTCGACGCGGCGCCGTGCGGATGAATTGGAGGGAAGGGAAGATATCGAGGTGTGCTACCCCAGCTCCGTTATACCGCACGCCAAGGCTGAGGGGATCCTCCGCACGCTGGCGACGGAGCGGCAGGCCCTGCATCGCCGGAAGCTCATCTGGTGTTGCGTGGGCATGCCCATCTCGATCCCCTTTGCCCTCGTACCAGTGTAGGTCCTCCCGAGTTCCGCCCATTGAGATACGCCGCTGACGTGCCTTCAAGAATCCCTAATCTACCCTTCTTCTACCTCTTGTACCGCGCGTGGTCACATTGGCGAGCCATTGCGGGCGGCAAGCACATCCAATGGCTCCTCGAGAAGAAGCTCGTCAAGCCCGCGCCCTCCAAGATTCTCGACGAGCTCTACGCCACCCACGCCGCGACCCCCAAGGAGCCCCAAAACAAGGAGCAGACGCTGCTGACCCAAAAGGAAGTCCAGACCTTCTCCAGCCAGCTCGACATCCCCGCCCTGGAGATTGAGCTGGAGAGGGCCATATGGCAGGTTGAGCAGTCGCTCAAGGACCCCAACCAGGAGGAGACGCCCAAGGATGCCTCCGCTGGAACGGTCTCGGAAAAGTCGGACACGCAGGCGTCCCCTCCCCCGGAGAACAAATCGGATAACAAAAAGGATCAATGAGTCAAAAGCTGCTATGCCTTAGACGATGTATGATATGATAATACTGGCACGGTCACGCATTTCAATAACGACGGACGCATAGAAGGGGGACAAATGACGGACGGGGTACGCGGGTATATTCATAGACACTTCTCAACACCAGGCCAGGGGGGCGCCGAGCAAAATCACAATTCTTCATGCCATCATTAACTTTTTCGCCTTCGTCTTCTCCCCACCTCAGTCCGTGTCATAACGGCTCGGCAGGCCGTAGGAAGTTCTGCGCACTCAATGCTGGTATCACGCCTGCGAGGCCCAAGGCCATTATCACCCGCCGCGTCGTCAAGGCTGACAAGTCTGGCAGCCGGAACCGAATCACAGGTTCTTGACTCCGAGTGTATCCCACGAGAGAGAAGCTCAGCCCCAGGCTTCTTAGGTCAGGGAGCGACGGACAACACCCCTGCACGACGTCTCAGCAATCATGACATCACTGACGATAGCCTCCCGCGAAGCAAAGGGATGCGCAACTTACTCGGTTCCTCGGCGCCTTGCGACGGACAACGCCGATATTGTCACCCTGCGCAAGCTGCGAGCTCAGCACATGTCCTCGCCAGGCCTCGGCCGCCTTGCTGCGCATCAACCGTTGCGCGAGCGTGTGCGACGTCGGCCTCCGCCGAACAGACTGACCCCGTCTCCGGCGGCTGGCGCGTGTCGAGGAGCCGTCGGGGCCATAGCTGACGGGGTTCAACGGCGAGGGGAACAGGGGAGCGTAGGAGGAATCGAGGGACGTCATTTTCGATAGACAAGGCACCGCGTTAGAGCACATGGTGAGGTATGAAGGGGAGGAGGCGAGGAAGAGAGGGAGGGTTTGAACTGGATTGTGTTTTTGCTTCGAGGGATTCTTCCTCCAGATGTATTTAATGAACAAGGGCGCCGGGGGGCCGAGGACAGGGCAAACAAACATCAGGGGCTGGAGGGATCGCATCTAAAACATTGCGGCATCCTGGAATGCTGCGCGTGTAGTCGCGATCCATCGCCAGGGCCACACGTGGGGTTGCCCGCGCTGTTGGGATTCCTAAGCCCAGGGGGGGGAGGGGCCGCTTAACTGCGGAATACAGGGGAGAAAAGACGGATTCAGGAACAGAGACATGCGCCTCCGCGAGCCATCTACACGTTGAAATCATTTCAGCTTGGCTTGCCTCTCCCTTGGGTTCAAGCCTCTGGACTATTGCCAGACGGTGACGCAACTATCAAATTCCCCCTTGCGCAAAAGAGATTGGATTGGACTCAGCGACCACGATAGCATGGTATTTAGGTTCGACTAACAAAAATGGGCATTATATTTGTATGTTTTCTGGGCCCCGACGCTGTGGGGGATGCCAGTTATTAGAATGAGAAGGGCATCAATGCATTTGTACCAAGCGAGTGACCAAGCCGTCTCCAACGCCGACCCTGATTATGTATTTACCCAATGCGACACGGTTGTAACACTTTCGAAAGTAGTCCTTCAAGGCGATTTTCACTCCGAGGACGCTGGGTCCGAGATGAAGGTGGCCTCGGTGAAGATGATGCCCTCCTCGACAATCTCCTCGTCGCCAATCTTCAGCTTGAAGGGGAGTTTGGGGTGGTACTGGAGGGGTGTCAGTGCTGGGATATCAAGACCGGGAGAATATATACGAACCTGGTAGATGTAGGGCTTGGTACCAGCGGCGGCTCCAACAATCTTCTTGACAAAGCCAGGGACCTCGGCCATGACGTCGACACGGTCGCTGCGCTCGCCGAGAGAACCCTCAATGACAGCCGTGACGGCCTTTCCGTCCTTGGTGGTGCCGGACCAGGAGTACTTGACCTCGGTGGGCTCGGGCCAGGAGTTCTCGTTGTCACCCTTGATGGCAGTGTGGGCGGCGGCGTGGGCGCAGCCACCGGTGATGATCTCGCCGTCCTTGGCGATGCCACCGACGACGACGGAGGTGGTGCCGTACGAGGGCGGGGTGGTGAACTCCATCAGGATGGCCGAGTAGTTGGGGCCCTGGTAGTCGACAAAGTTCCAGGTCGCGGCGGCGTGGTGGGGCTTCATGCCCTGGAGGGCGTAGGCAAACAGCGCGCGGCCCTTGAAGTCGATGGGACCCTCCTTGACCGAGATGGTGCCCTCGGCGACGCAGCGGGGCCAGAAGGCGTGTCGCATGGAGCCCCAGGGCTTCGTGAGGTCGGTGCCGAAGAGCGTCTGGCCGGACTCGCCGACCTGGAAGCCCGGCGTGGTGCGGGTGATCTTGAGGTTGACGATGGCGCGGTCGTCGTTCATGCTCTTGATGGTGTAGTAGGTGCCGTCGTCGGACAGCTCGACGGCGCAGTCATCGGCGTAGAAGTTGTTCTTGTCGTCGCTGAGCTCGACGTTGTTGAGGGGCGTCGAGCACCAGAGGTGGGGCTTGTCCTGGTCCTTACTGAAGACCTTGCAGTTGAACTGGCAGGTGGTTCGGATGCCGCTGGATCAGAGACGGTGGTTAGTATCGTTTGTCTCATCGACAACGGAGAGGGAGCATACGCCACGTTACTATAGATGACCTGGGCGAGCGCGACGTAGCCGTTGTCGCCCATGAGGTAGAAGCTCGCTGTCTCGACCGACGTCGAATCCATGGCTTGCCACGCAAGGTCCTCGCGCTTCAGCTCGGTGAAGGGCGTCTTCTCGGCCTCGAGGGCGACCGACTTGATGGCGGTAGGGCCATAGATGGGCTCCTGGGTGCCGGCGACATTCGCCAACCTGTAATTGCGAGAGTTAGTTGGATGTCTGTCTTGTCTGCTTGTCTGGCTGTCCATCCATCTCCGGGTCTCGGGAAGCGTTTTTTGGAGGGGAACGAGAGCATGGCAAGGTGGGGGCGGATTTTCTTACGTCTGCTTGGCCCAGTTGAACATGATTGAGGGACGGGTGTGGCTGTTTCTAGATCCAAGACACAGGCGATAGTGAAGGGCGATGGGACGGAGCGTGATATGGTCGGAGGAAGTGAAATGAGTCGGAAGAAGGATATCCAAAACGAGTCGAAGATCAGGACGTCCGCTGCATGTCACTCACACCGCTGGAGGGCTGGGCTGGACCTTCGGGCCTTGGGCCAGTGGCGGCGGGTAGCGGGCTCGCTTTTTGGTGGAGGGGCCGCTGTAGGTCGCTGTAAGGTCGCTGCGGATGAGGGTCGACGCCGCCCCATGACGCCAGGGCCGTGGCTGGTGAGCGCCAGATTGGGCCATGGGCGGAAAAGGGTGTGGCTCAACGCCTTGCATCATGACGTGCCTCGCAACCAACACTACACTACGCGTATGTACTCTCGTCTTGAGGGACTGCCACATTGCCAAGGACGCGTCGTGTTTCCTGCACGTTTGCTTACTGCTTACTTTACTGTCATGCCTTTCCCAGCGCCGTAGAGCATGCGAAGAGTCCAACGCGGCGTCTACCACTAGTGCGTGCGCCGCACATCGTCATTCATCTGACGTACGGAGTATCAATGGAGGAAAATTCAATTTCGTGCCGTTCGGATGCTGCGGAAGCTGGAGGCCTCGTGACATCGACCATGGCAAAGGGTTGAAAGGCCACACAGTCGAACTGGATAATCTCAGAATTGGCTGCGAACTTGCCTGACCGTTGGAACGGTACTCGGAAGATGCACATGTACCCGATGTCTCACTGTGTTGACGGATCTGGTGCTGAAAAGGGGCTCATGAGATTCGGTGTCTCCAGTAGGTTGCGCTGACACAGCTGCAAGATCTGACATGATGGTAACCTTACCTTATGTAACAAGGAGTCGGTACGGACCCTGTCACGGTAGACCGTCTTGGGGATAGGGAAGGCCAATGTCTATGCCGTTATTAGGGACCTTTTTTCCATCCCTGGATCGAGACAAAATACAACACCCGCGATGTCACAGACCCGAATGCAAGGGCTCTCGATCTCACTCGTCCCTTGTCCCAAACAAGTGAACAATACCAAAATACGTAGCATTTAATTAGCCACTAATGCCAATTATCAATCCACAGCTGGCAATGGACTAGGAAGCACATTGGCACACCATCAGCTCATTCCAAAAGGGGTCCGCCAAAGGAACCGCCGAGATGCGCCAAATCACTCGTGCGGATCCCCATAACCACCATCACGGGAGCAGAAAGAGATTTGGGTAGCCCCCCTGGGAGGGAGATGCTGGCCATGTACGGATACGTACCCCCCAAATTTCCCCACTGCGCCGGCATCACGGCGGGCGATCAAATCGGCGGCGATCCATGAAGCCGCCCGCGTTCCTGAGGCGTTGATAAGATCCGTCGGCCTTGTGCCCTTCATCGGATAAGTGATAAGGGATAAGTTAAGGCTGGTCCGCCAGAAATTACCGTCACCCTCCAGAGACCACAGCGCCTGGATTCACACCACGCCGTCCAATGAGAGTGCTCCCGTAGTGCGATCCTTTCTTTCTATTACGTGCAGCCCAGCCTAAATCCAACTTTATTGACCGCGCTGGCCCATCGCACTCGCAGACGACAACCGCCGCGACGTTGCTTTTTAGAGGGGGTCGTCGACCTTTTTTCGTATTTTGCTCTTCCATAGTTGCTCCTGTACATCACTACTCGCTGTCGCATTGCCCAGCGCTGCTCGCACACTTCCCGCGCACCTGAAGTCTTATTGTCTCGGGTGCTTTTGGCTTCCGCAGCACTTCCATCCTCATTTGGCTTCTGGCTCGGGCCGTGTACCTGGTCCTTATTCGTCCGCTTCCTTGACCCGTGCCCCGAATCCCTCGAATCTTTCCACGTCCGTACGATTCTTCTGCGTGGTCTCGTTCACGTTTTCTGCCCTCTGGACAACCGCCCTTGGAGGAGAAGCAATCGCACCATAATCCTTGCCAATCGTTGAGCGCGACGAAATATCGACTCTCAGAGCGATCCTTCCACTTTGCGACAGCCCTGCGCTTCAGCTCGACCTTGGAGCTCCTCTCCCGCAAACTACCCCGGCTTTTACACATCCTTCGAACAACACCTGTCCCCTTCCTCGACCGGCAATGGAGGAGGGGCCCCAGATTCTCCCGCCGCCGACTCTCGAGCCGATCTCTCGGCCGAGCTCTGCCTCTACTGCAGCATCGGCATCGTTGACGCAGCTGCCCGGCATATCGTCCCTGGCGGCCGTGAGCGCGGCGACCGCTTCGCCACAGTCAAGGTACGCGCTGCGCTTTGGACACAAGTCTCTGTGCGACCCCCGAGTGACCGGGAGACGCGAGTGATACGTTATCAGCGCCGAGGCTCTCCCCTGCCCAGGATGAAGTTGCTTGAAGATCCCGAAGGCTCTTTTTACTGTGCATAATTCGCTGACTAACACCTTCTTGCTAGACCGTCTAACGGACCGCTGCCCACGATGTATACCGGTGCGTCGCCCGCCGCCACGAGTGGGGGTTCTGGAGGGAACTTGGTACGTCGCAAATATGTCCCATCACCACAACACTTTCCATCACCGATCTGTCCGAAACGCTCTTTCTCGCAATCGCATCGCAATTGGCCAGCCACAACAATCGTCTGCATGCAGGGGAGATATGAAATGTCGGATTGCCGCGGCGTTATTATCGGGGGGCTGCCATTGTGCACATCCACTGTCTTATCGCGTGCCACTGATATGATCACGTGTGTTATCATAATCCTGGCCGTGCTAGGCTCAGTTTGGCAGTTTCGTGGATCCCCTATGTGGGCTTATCTGGCTTATCAGACCAGTTATGTTGGGGCCAAAGATTTTTACTCCATCCTCTTATCGTGATCAAGATACTAATCATCATCGCCCTCCCTCCCGCCTCGTCCTCACTTTACCACCAAACTACCGGCGTCATGATGGCCACTAACGGATCTACGCAGCCTACCTGCCAGAATTGCGCGACCTCCACGACACCACTATGGCGTCGCGACGAGTTTGGTTCCGTCCTCTGCAATGCCTGCGGCTTGTTCCTCAAGTTGCACGGCCGCCCTCGGCCTATCTCTCTCAAGACTGACGTTATCAAGAGTCGCAATCGCGTCAAGACGATGCGACCAGATCTCGTGCCGAAGAAAAAGGTACACCCGTTTCACACCTCGAACCGCGCATCGCTGACACGTGCCAGCAACAGCAGCAGCAGCAGCAGCAGCAGCAGCAGCACCAACAACAAGCCCAGAACTTCCCCGTCGCAACTGATCACAATCGGCTCGATCTCTCCGGTCAGAATGCGAATGCGCATGCTGCCCAGGCTGCGCGACGTGCCTCGCAACGGTCTGCAAATGGACATAATGATGGATCCGACTCGCCGATTTCGCGCACTGGCACGCCATCGATGTACAACCACAGCCTGCCTTCCTTCATGGTTGACGATCCGTATCAATCCAACGCCGTGGGTTTCGCTGCTGCTACAAACGCGGAGGGACGCGCCGCATCTCCACTGAACGGGGACCGCAATCCCGATGCGCCCCAGACACAGGAGCAGCTTATCGCGCACAACTCTAGTCTTAAGACGAGAGTGAGCGAGCTGGAGCTGATTAATGAGCTCTTCCGTGGCCGCCTAGGCCAGCTTGAGAAGCAAGAGGCCGCTGCGAGAAGAGGACAGGAAGTCGCCGGTATCGAGCAGACCCAACTGCGCGCGCAGCTCGAGGCAGCACAGGATAGCGAAGCTAAACTTCGCGCTCAGCTTGAAGATAGCCACAGGAGAGAGAACAGTCTGAAGCGACGCCTTGACGACCTTGAACTTGAGTTGAAGGACGCCAAGGACGCCGCCGAAGCTGCAAACGAGCGACCTTCCAAGAGGGCCCGTCTCGCTGAGCCAACTCTCAAATCGGAGGATGCCCCTGAAGTCCCAGTTGCTGCCCAAACCCCTGCAGCCCCTGCAGCTACCGAGCCTTCTGAGGCTCCGGAAGCATCTAGCACCGAAGCACCCAGCGCTCCCGAGGCGACTGATACACCAAAGGCTGTTGAAGCCCCCGAAGCCCCCGAGGCCATCAAGGCAACTGAGTCCACGGAAGTCTCCGCTGCAGCATAAGAGCTATGCCATTGCTTGTCATATTTTGGGAGACGGCCTTGATTCCTCGTTTTCCCAAACTGAGAATATGGGTCATCTGTCCCCAAATGGGATACTCGGGTGCTCTTTGTTACTCGGACAAGGTGCCGAAGCATGGATTACCCAAGGTTTCTCGCATCGTTTTACGACTCCTATCCTTTTAATACCCTTGTACAAGAGGCGTCGGTGCACTCGCGTTGCTTTCTTGTTCATCAGCCACACGTCCAGGCGACAGCCACAGCAGGGGTCCTGGCGTTCAAGGACATAGTTTTGCTTTTTATGTTGAGTCGGTATATGAGGGATCATACCAGGATGTGACGGGGGCGAATGGTTTGGAGCTCGGGGCGGAATGTTATGAAGCCATTGATACCTGCCTCCGCGCGACTTCTCGGTGCCTACAACTCCACCCGGCCGTAACGAATTCTTCTCGATGCTTGAGTGGGAGCACGGGCACGAGGGATACTGAGATGAGACGTGGACCATAAAAAAGTGTCGCTGCTTTTGGCAATGAAAAAAATTAGACACCCGATTCTGTTCTGACATGAGCCCATGAACATGTTTAATGTGATGCTTTTAACTCGGTATTTCCTACATATAGCTAGCTATTCGCTTGACCGTAAAAGCACATTGGGCCTGATTATAGAGTAGGCTTTATGATAAACCTATAGCGACCATGGTGAGACCAAAACTTGGGCTCCCCGAGGACGCTTAGGCTAATTGGCTACCTATTTGCATGATCGTTGGTTTCTTTGTATGAGGTGCACACTGGTTAAGCTGCAATGTCACGTGCAGAAACTCTAGGCAACCTTCAGCAACTCTCAAAAGCTTGACTGAATCACACCCTCATGAACAACACCTTCACCTTCCCGATTCAAATCCTTGGTCAACGCAGATTTCTACCGCCCTTTGAGCTTCCCACGTGTTATCTTGGATGCTCCCCATTTATCCGCTTGCTCGTCTCTGATACATGATAACGCTCTCCTCACCCCGCGTTCACAGATAAGCACCCGCACGCAACCCACCTCACAAACTCCCAGCGGGCGCATCGATAAAGCCGAGCATGGGTACCTCAGTCTCGCAGCGTGGCGGGCCTGGCGGTGCGAAAAAGGGAATTGCGAGGGTTGGAGGCAAGACGGTCATGTCGGGAAAGCGACACAGGTGAGACCGGTGGCGGCGGCTTTGGAACGTTGTGGCGGGTGTTGACGATTTGGCGATAGGAAGATCCTGAGGGACAATATCCTTGGGATAAGTATGTGATTCTGTATCCAGGAGATTAGCGCGATTGCTAACTGGGTTACAGCCAAGCCGGCGATTAGGTGAGTTGCACTGTTATCACAACATCAGCGACCAAGCGCGGCACTATTTTTCGATACGATCTGCACTCTTATCACCACTCCCAGCCACGTCTTATCGCGCAATGTACTGTACTGACTGGCACGCAGACGCCTCGCCCGTCGTGGTGGTGTCAAGCGAATCTCGGCTGCCATCTATGATGATGCCCGCGCCGCTCTAAAGGACCGACTCGAAATGGTATGCCCTGCCACTATGCCTTGTTTTACTTTCTCAGCTGACCACGTCAAAGATCCTCAAGGACTGTGCCTTGTATGTTGAATACCGTGGAGCCAAGACGGTCACCGTCTATGATGTAACTCCCACTGATATTACCATTTGGTTCGTTCTGCAAGATGACTGACATCTGTTTCTAGGTCATCCATAGTCTGAAGCGGATCGGTCGACCTATTTATGGATTCGACCCGGATACTTACAATGACCGTAAGAAGCCCAAGAACGCCGTCGGACCTGCCTCTGGCTACTCTTAGGCGATGCAAGGATCACCTGTTCGAGGTTGAATGATACCCATGGTTTGATTTTTCAAAACGTTGTATTGATGGATGTTGGTATTCGGCTTGACTTGTTTCGTCGCGATGGTTCGCCTTGGAAGGGGAGATGGTAATGCGCAGATGGCAACGAACAGATGTAAGATTGTCAAAGGGAGACACACTCGACGCAGCAAGACATGACCACCAAGGTGTTTGGGAGTTGAATTTGAAGTCATTATCTATCATGACCTAATTGAATTACTAGTCTTCTTAAAACGAATGGTATCTGGTATCTGGGGTATCTCAAGTGAAAGTATAATATGCAAAAGTGCCACAACCTCCGACCATTACCTGCCTCCTCTAGTGCAGACACAACCTTTCCAAGTCTTTCTCTTCTGTTTTGTCTTGTTTATTCTTTTTTTATTCTTGTTTCTTCCCTTTCTTCATTTACCTCCTCTTCTTAGTCACCTCGTAGTCGACGAGGACTTCCTCAAGCGCCTTGGTGGCGAGGACCTCGTCCCGGCGGAATGGAGCATTGAAGATACCGGGGAGAAGCATGGCGCTGTTGGCATGCTCCTGGGCGAAGCCGACCTCGGCATCCCGACCGCAGCGCTCCTTGGTGATACGGACAGCTTCGTAGAGTAGGTCCTTACCGACACCCTTGCCACGGTAGCGCAGGCTCGTGGTCCACGCGCGAATGACACCCTTGCCACCGCGGAGGGCGACGCTGCGGTACTTGCGCCTGGGACTGGCAAGGGCGGCCGGGTTAGGTTCGAGGCGAAGAACTAGGGAACCGATGATCTCGTCATTGTAGCGGGCAGCCAGCAGTGTGTCCTCCTCACCGTCGTCGGCGCGGAGCCAGCCCCAGCGTAGACGTTCGGCGAGGGAGACGTAACCACTGGCGAGGTAGCGGATGCCCATCAGGTAACTCATAACGACGCCGCAGGAGACGGTCATGGATACGCCCATATCGAGGGTAGAGACGAAGCCGAGCTGGTAGACGGTAGCAAGCGCGGCGGATAGGCCGGCGAGGCAGAGAGGGTGGAAGACGAGGGCAACGGAAGCACGCTGGCGCATCTGTGCGATGGAGTCGGCAACGAGGCGGAGGCCGTCGACCTTGTCACGGCGGGACTCGAGGATTTCGAGGGACAGCGGGGGGATATCAATGTTGTCGTCATCGAGATCGAAGAGCTGATCGGCGGAGACGGCGGCAGAGGCAGAGAAGGGCGAGGGCGAGGGCGCGAATGGGTAGGACGGGCCGAGGCGCGGGGTGCTGGTGGCTGAGGACATTGCGGAGTGGAGGACGAGGTTGGCGCGGAGGAAGGTGAAGAAAGCTGGCGAGGTGTATGTTAGTGGCAGGTTTCCATTATGTGTTTCGTTGAGGTTTAGTTATTCTCGTGCACGGGTAGAAAGCATCTATGGACGCGAGGCGCGCTGTGGAAGACAGGAAGTCGTCGCCACCGACATCGCTCCCACATACAAAAACCGAGGCGGAGGAGCACTTGTTCCCAGCGACAGCTTGACTTCCTGCCTAGACGCCAAGTGCTGAAATGCCACCCAAGGCCCGAGGCTCACCACATTAGGTTGAGATTCAGGGTCCCCAAGGCTCGTGCCCACAGGGCCAAGCGAGCTGATGACCAGGGTTGGATATTATTCCGGTGGCCAAGGTAACGAACGCGAGAGAGAGAAAAAAACTCGGTTACGTTACAGGGCCCCTGGGCTCGTAACGAGCAACGGCCGTGTTGACAGAGAGCCGTATGAAGCAGAAAACGCAACAGAAAACAATAATAACAGAAAGAAAGGGAAAAAAGGGATGCCTACCTGCACTTGTCTTCAGTCCTGGCATGGCGTTGACCCGGTCGACCAGAGGGTTTGGATGGTAGGCGCTGAGGTCGAGCTCGCGAATCGCCATGTGGTGGGGAGCTTCCATGGTTGCGAAAGCTCGTGGGGTCGGATGGAGTATCGAGAAAGAGGGGAAGCGATTAATGGGATTCGATAATAATCAGATCCAAAGTAGAGTCGGGACAGAGGCGAGACAGAGACAGAGGTAGAGGAAGCCAGCCTCGAAAAGCAGGCGTCGACGACGGGCGACTTGGAGATCGCGTGGTGGTGGGGGGGTATAGTAGATAGTAGAGCAGACCGAGGGTATCAAATGGACCGGAAACAATAAAGCAAAGAATAATAGAGTAGTGGGTAGAGTGTGGATGGGAGAGTGATGAATAGAGAGGCTCAGAAGATTATACAGTAATAGATGGCAGAAGGAATTGAGTTGTGGAGGAATGTGAGGAGTGCGACGGAGAGCAGGAGCTGAGGATGAAGAGGGCCGTCGTCAGCATTATTCGATCAACGCGAGAGGAGCCTTGACCTGCGACCGAGGACGTTTTGGTGGTGGCAGCGTCTTTTTTTCACTGGAACCCTTGCGCGCGCTGATGAAGAACCTGGCAAGGCCCCATGCAGCCCATGCAGCCCATGCATCTAGGTAACTCCTCCCTCCTCTCCTCCTTGCCCGGGGCTTGCCATCCCTGGTGGCCTTGCGTCGTCGCCCGTTCAAACTAGCGACCCGTTGTTAGCTGTTAGCTGTTAGCTTGTGGGATCAAGGGTCGTTCCATGGGCTCCACGCTCCATGGGCTCCTGTTTTAGTTAGTGGGTGCCCGTCGCAGTGGGTTTTGGTGGGTGGCAACCCCCCCGTAACCTGCCGTAGCCCCCCCGTAGCCTCCCTAGCAACCTCGAACCTCCCACCTCCTCGCCCCCCCAAAGGCGGAAAGGCTCCAAGGGCGCCCGCATCGCTTCACTCAACAAGGCGCGACCTCAACACGACGTGACATGACACGCCACGTCCGGCTCGAATCTCCCTCTTCCGCGCCTCGATTCATTGGCAAAGGGCGACCAGACTGTCGGATCCTGCTGCATCGCTCCCCCTACATGTGCGGTTGCGATGCAGCCATCCAGCGGTGCGTGATTATGAGGACTTTTCCTGTCGACTGTCACGTCAACCACCGTCATGTCGATCCGCCTCAGTTGCGCGGTGCCTTATCTGAGAGGACGCCCATCAACCAACCATCTACGTCCCATCCACCTACCATCCACCACACACTTCGGTCCTATCCCTCACCCAACCCTCCTCACTTCACCTCTCCCCTGCCCTCCCTGTTGGCTGCGAGATGCACGCAGGCCCGCGGCGTGACGTCTATTAACAGGCGGCTATCTCGTTGTTGCGACTCTACGGCGCACCTCCTCTTCACCCATCCCAGCCCCATACCTAGCTTCAGCTCCAGCTGCTGCACCCTAATTAAGCGCAATAGGCAAACCCGCTGTAAGTCGGCAAGCTAACAAGGGTCGAGGGTCGAGGATTGACGACTTGGGGTTGAAGAAGACTCATTATTTGGAAGCGCCAAGCGGGGGGCCCAGCCGACCTGGAGTCCAGAAGCCGTTAGTTCTCCGCTGGCTTCACCCGCAAAGCCTGTAGCGTCGCCCAACACGCTTCGTTCCGGTGCCCGCGGCGTCGGGTTCCCACCCAATATTTTCTTTGTTCTCATTAGAGTCGCCTGTCGCCTGTCGCCTGTCGACCATCATGGACAATGGACAACTTCCCATGTCCGGGGAACCAAATCCGCAAGCCCAGCCAAGACACGCCTGGCCGCAAGTGTGTGTGGGCACGTTGCCTTAACCAACGTTGCCCGCATCGTGTGATAAGGCGCCATTCACGGCGGCGTCCAATAGAGCGACACGCGAGCAGCTGTGGACGGTCGAGGCGTCCGACCGAGTCATCCCCAACGCCACTACCTGTTCGCCGTGAACCGAATGACAACGGCCTCTAGCAGGCAAATGCAGCATGGTGCGCGTGGTAGTGGCACAGCGCCCAGGGGACCAGCAGTCTGGACCCGCGACGGCCACCGTCTCGTGCCCGACTGGGGATGGGGCCGCTGAAGGGCGAGAACAAGACCAACAACAGGAGGGGTGGGCACGAGGCACTCACGGGCGAGCAATTGTTGGCAGGGTGTTCGTTTGTTCTTTGACGCCATCGCCTTTCAATCATGCATCGCATTAGCTTCAGTATTAGCATGGGCCTGGGTCGGTCGGTCACACGTCTTCGGTGTCTCGGGCACCCAAGCTTGACCGCTGATATCGCCCACGGCTATGCACTCTCCTCCGCAGATCAACGTCGGCGGCGACGACGACGACGGCAATGCAATCATCCACGCTTGCGACGTACTGCGACGTACGACGGCATGGCGACCAAAGACAAACGTGAAAAAAATGCACGAAACCCCGCCAACAGCGCCGCCATGGCATCATCATCACCTGTACTATGAGGATCCCAGATGCTGGCCGACTCCACCGCTGACGTACCAGACACACGAATCCCGAGACATTTGACACAGGCCGGGGATGCGCCTACCGACCTGGCGTCCAACAGACGAGTTTGGCTGATGGCCGTCGCTGGGTTGGCTGTGGGACCGACCGGCGGCCGAACGAAGCATCGAACAGCAGCTCGTCTGTCCAACCATCAACCAGTGATTAAACCCAAGGCATGTCCCGATCGTGCGGGATGGACTAAGCTAAGGCCGCGCGGTCACTAGATACGACTAGCGAGGACGCCGTGTCCCACCTTCACGACCAGTTGTCCGCCACCAATTGACCTAGTTATTGCGCTTCATGCGACTGATCAATAATTCGGTAATAGCTGCGGGGGAGGTTGGTGCGAGTCCCCTCAATGATTCGGATATCGGTTCTTGGACGGTGAGAAAGAGGACCAAGTTTAACTCGATAGCCGCCAGCTCCCTGCACCGCATCGCACCGCACACCTCCGCTCGGGCGATTCCCTCAAACGTGCATCCCCCCGGCAATACGCCCTCAACTCAAACGCCAAGGATGCACTCTTGAAACGCTCGACTCCGCCTGCTCTTCTCCGCAGCGTTTGACGATCAGCCGTGTATCGCAGCATTGGCCAAGTGTCGCTGGGGAAGTCAAGATTGCCGGCTTTTGCGATGGATAAATGTCCTTGCCTGTTGCTAGGAGACACTTTGAAGTGGACGGGGGGCTGTGACAAGTGTCCGCCGCGCCGCAGGTGGCTAGACGACCCCAGCTTCAAGGCTATCGCATTTGACGACATCCGGTAGCGCGACTGCGTTCATGATACAGCTGCATTGACTCCTGGGTTTCGTTTCTGTGCCTTGTTTTGCGCTTGTATTAGATGGAAACAAGCGATGCTAAAAGTAGCTGAAGCAATCCCAGCGTGAGTTGAGCAACGTGTGGGGAAGAGATCATCGTTCTTAGGAGGGACCAGTTGTCAGGCTTGGCCAGTTTCCGGTCCCGATTCTAGAAGCTACCCGGTCCATGACGGGGCTCTTGAGCCAACCAGCATCGTACTTCTGGATATTCCTTCTATGGGGCTTGATTACTACAATAGCTCTTGGCTTTCGTTTCAATTTCTCGCGATACTTTAACCCAGATGACACTTCCTCTCTCTGTTAATCTGATACCGACTCTGTTGGCAGCAGTTCATGCAACGAGAGAAGACTGTCACCAGCACCGCGAACAGTATCACCATGAGCTGGGGATGGAGCGACCAGTGATCCGGGTTTGACAGTCACAGCGAAACAAGACCAACACCAAGACTCATGTCACCCAAACACAGCTGGCCCCTCGAAGTGACAGCTCGCCAAGACTGACACGCATACCGTCGTGTTACCATTCTCTAACAAGAAAACCCACCTTATTGCATCCTGTCGTCGCATGCAGCAATCATGTCTTGATACTAACTAAGACGCATTAGTTGTTTCATTTGTCACCATCGTGCACGGCAACCTTGGGTGAACCGGTGTGACGCTGCTTCTGAAACTATCGACGCCGGCTCTCAGGCGCCCTGGAGAATCACAGAAAACCCTTTGAGGCTCCATTTTGGCCCCCTTTATCGTGTCGTGATATGGTTTGGAAGTCAACCAGCCAACACGTACGGCTTTGCAAGCGACTCCTGTTCCTTGCCTTGAACGGTCACCAGCGTGGCAGCCTATCCAGTTGCACTTCAAAATCCCGGACAGGGCTAAATCGCAAGCAAACTTATTCGAGATCCTGCTGTGTGGTCACCTGCCAGCTCTGTCGGTCGCCATCAATCGCGCTGCTCAAAAGTACCAAATTGGCCCCGATGGCCGGGCTCCGTATACTCTCCAGCCACCAAACTTGATTACGGAGCAAAATTTGAAGATCACTCTCACTCTTTGGCTCAATCGGGACATCCATAAACTATATGCGGGTTATATTAGAGGCTTTCTCAAATACCACGCATATCAGCTGGTTTATTTGGAACTATCCCGCCATTTCTCGGATCTTGGATCTCAGTCATATCCTTAATACCCTGGCGGCTGGGGTTGGAACCGCCAATCGGAGCTGGGCCTGGCGGACTTAATGCCCATATTAGGAATCTGACTCAGCCCCACCGAACGTACGCTTCAGCCGACATTCACGTAGCGAAAACCTCAGGTGAGAACGGATGAGGCAAGCAAGTCAAGTTGTCAACCGGGTCCATACAGTTTACGCAGAGGGCGTGATGGTTAGACACTATTACGGCATTGAACCGCTATGGTTGGATAATATAACGCGGATTGTCCTTGGTTTTACCTACACCCAACTAAGCCGAATCCAACCAGTGCACAGGGCCAATGCAAGGAGCGATTGCTACCACTATCTTGGGCCAAGCCATCACTCTCCCTGCACACTGAAATTAAAAGCTCGGCGATCCCTGTGGCGCATGGTGCTGGGAAATTGTATATCGCTTGGGGACGAAAGCCTGAAAGAGGAGGTGGTGTTGGATCTCAAAACGCTGAAATTGCCTGATCACACCCTATAGTTCAGGCGCTTCACAGACAGCAGTCGGGCGGGCTAGCTCGGCCGACTTTTGAAACGTGATGTCAATAAATTCGAGGCTACCGATGTTCCAAAGGGCCGAGAATGAACTCTCTTCCCTTTTTTTAAAGACACGCACGCGACCTGGACATAAATTCTATGGGCAGCTATTTGGGTGGTTTCGAATGTATTCGACGACAAAAATGTCGTGGGGATCATTGTCTGGGAAGTCGTTGGCCCTTTTTGCTCGAATATGGTTGGGGAAGTCCACAGTAGGATTGCAATACTTTAAAGTGAGTGTTTTCCAATTTTAACCTGAGTCAGGAGACGCCGCGGGATGTTTTATTTGAGTCGATCTGTCAACAGTATGCCCGAGATCTAAGACGTGATTCACGTGTTGCTGTGCGACAGCGATAGCCTCTTGCAGGTGGCGCGAGGCTAGTCCCGTCCGAAACTCTCGCAGAACCATGGCGTTATTTAATGATTCCGAAATGTACGGATTGATCTTGATCGTCTCCCGGGAATTTCCCGTCCGCAAAGGCAACATCCATATTCGGAAACGGGAGGGGCGTCGAGCGAGGCAACGCCGCCGTGGCAGCGGGTGTCTCGGGCATTACCGGTATTCCGCCGCGGGCCACGGGAGAAGACTTCGCGTCCGCTACGGGCTAGAGTTTGCGGCAGACTTTTGTCTTAGAGTATCTAGTCATGGGTACTTGTTTGTTGTGGTGACTGGTTGCGGAAGAGACGTGGAGCTTGTTTTTTAGGTGAGACAATGCCATTATGTGTTGTGATAACAGATTGTGGCGGTGGCCGTGTGATAAAGGATGAGACATGAAATACATCATGAGTATTCTAGAGTTTTCTCTTGGAGCTTTTCAGTGTTGGGTGTTTCCTAGTTGCAAAAGTCCATGATGTGTACTGTGTCTATGATATGTACCATGTAAGTCGTCAAGTTCAATTAGTTAGCTCCGCAAGGAGTCCAGGAACCATTTTTGTAAACATATGAGTGACGGGCCTTGTCTGATCGATGAAAACCATAATTGGAGTACCAATCATATTGTGAAATATACCACCACTCTCTGTGGCGGTCAAAATGCCATCTTTATCTTCCACGGGGTCTCGGGAAGTTCTGACAGTGCGTCCCAATCACTGCCCGACTGATCCCACTCTACAGAGTGCTCATTCCGGAGATCTTTGTGCTAGGGCTTTAGACTGGCGGGCCTTGTGGGGTGCGAGCTGGGCAGAAGCAAATACTATGCGGACTATGTGTACTATCATAGACATTACCCTACATTGCGGTTGGAGCTCAGCTCGTTCCTGGGCTGGGCTGGGCAGACTGACAACTCATATTCTCAGCCTATCCGCCTCATATATTCTGGTCGATCTTCATTCCAGCTTTCTACCACCTCGAAGAGTCTCAGCCGGTCCCAGCTCACCTTTCAAAGTCGTCATCCTCTCAAGATGCACCTCTCCGCCCTGCCTATTGCGCTGCTCGCCACTGGCGCCCTGGCCAAGAACTCCAACATAACGTGCGTCCAAGGCCTGTACATGATCGTTGCGCGAGGCACTGGCGAAAAGAAGGGCGCTGGAGTCACAGGCAGCCTCGCCGAGGATATTGCGGACCGCATCGACGACTCGGCGGTTGAGCCCCTCGACTACCCGGCCGCGTTTTCTGACCCGGATTACCTGTATTCTGAGCGAGATGGCGTGGATGCCATGCAGGATATGATCACAAGCTATCATGATGCTTGTCCCAATGGCAAAATGGCCGTATTCGGTTATTCCCAGGGCGGCCAGGTCACCAGCGACGCCTTCTGCGGCAGCAGCGGCATCAGCGGCTTCTCAGAGGCCGCTCCGCTCCCCACGAGCCTCGTCGATGACAGCGGTATTTGCAATCAAATGGCCTGATATAATGCCGCTCGGATTACTAATTGAACCAGTTGTCGCCATCATCGTCTTCGGAGACCCGACGCATGTGGCCGAAGCCCCCTACAACAGGGGAACGAGCCAGAAGAACGGGGTATGTGTGCTTACCGTCTTGCGGCCCTGCGGCGAACTGATGCGTCTAGGTCTGGCCGCGTGAAAACATCACCGTGTGCGAGGACAACTACACTGGCATCATGCGGTCATATTGCGACACTGGGGATGTTTTCTGCGACCTTGGCACCGATGGAGAAGTACACAGGTTGTACATCACCAATTATGGCGACGATGTGGCCAACTTTGTCGTCCAGAAGTACAACGACATGATGAGCAAGACCACGGCGACAGCTTCAACGACTGCATCCGGATCTGCTTCGGCAACCGGGGATTCGGACAATGCTGCTGCTGGACTGACACCAGGCTTGGCGCTCGCGGCCATCGCTCCTCTTGTGTTGGTGGTTTTGGAGTTGGTGTTCTGAAAGGTTCTAGATGGTTCAAATGAGAGTCGTCATCAGATGATAGCCAGATCGACCTCGCCATCGTCGTACAATGAAAGGCGGTCATCGAGAACACGCTATCTCCAAGAGTCTGGGATTTCAAAGAAGCTGGGCTCCCAGACTCCGAGCTCGCCTCGCGCCTTGCTTATCGATCACCTGCATAAAACGTGACGGAGATTGAATATAATTGCGCCGCGAGGTGCCTTAACATGCCTGTCAGATACCACCCTATCAAGTGCACCCTTGCTAAATATTACTTTGTCTGACAAGAGAGCTGAAAGCAGAATGACGTGTGACAGTCAATGGCAAATAGAAGGTCGAAATGGCGATTGATAGCACTGATGCCATTGGGTGAACCCCGCAAACTAAAGCCAGTGACTATTCCCAAAAGCATCTCTCCAGATGTGATACATAAAGAGCCGGGATCCCAGGGAGAATGTATGCATTTTTTAAAACGACACAGCCAAAAAATACCAAGGGAATACACAATCAACATCATGGCGTCTGTACAATCAGTCATCCCGGAGTTCGAGGCCGCAAGCCAGAAGTACGCGGCCTCCTTTGACAAGGGGAGCCTGCCTATGCCACCAGGACGGTAGGTCCATATCCAACTGAACTGCCACGATAAACTAGTACTGATATAACTTCATCATGCAGAAAAGTCATTGTTCTGGCATGTATGGATGCGCGTTTAGACCCCGCAAGACTGCTGGGGCTTGAAGAGGGCGATGCCCATGTCATCCGCAACGCCGGCGGCCGTGCCGCAGACGCAATCCGCTCTGTGATTATCTCGCAGCAGCTTCTCGGAACTCGCGAAATAGTCATCATTCACCACGTAAGAAGAGACATCCATGAGGCGATTCAGTGCGCAAATGCTGACCTGTACAGACCGATTGCGGCATGCTCACTTTCTCCGACAGTGATCTCAAGTCCAAGATCAGACAGGATCTAAATGAAGATGCGGACCATATCGCATTCCTTGCATTCACTGATGTGAAGAAGAGCATTCTAGATGACATTGCTATCTTGAAGAAGAGCCCCCTGGTACTTGATGTCCCCATCACAGGCTATAGCTACGATGTTAAGACTGGCAAGATTGAGAAGGCGTAGGTAGGGCCGGTGGATGCATGCCATTACGTATACCCTAATTTTATAGTTAAATTGATCTTAGTTTCTACACTCATCCGTCTCCTTAAACGTCTAATAGGCGTTGTGTCTTGATGTTGGATACTCCTGAGTAGTTGATATCGCCTCTACGGTATTTAGTTTGCCTGTAAACCCGTGAGACAATATCAAGGCAACGAGAGATGTGAAGAGTTGCCTGATTAGTAGTTTGAATGATTTAAATCATCAGTACGGTATCGCATTTATCAAAGCGCCATTGCGTTACCTCCTCAGCCTGTGCCCAACAAGCATGCCGATGTATGCAAGCACTCTGTAAACGGTCCCAATCCCCAGCAATACCAGGATGTTCATCCATTTCCAATCGAGATGAAACCCGGTCACCTTCGATGCGGCTTCGACATTGAACAGATACTCAAACGGCGCCACCAGCTGGCCGAAATAAAGCTCGGCCAGCCAAACGCCGGGCGACGCCCGCCAGAGCCATTCGATATGCCACTCCTTCACCTGCGCCAGTGGGGGTGCGGCTCCAGAAAGAATGCCCACGATAAGGCTGATCATGGTCGCGAATAGAGGCGCATCTTCTCTCCGGACAGCCATACTCACACAGCTCGCTAGGCCGTAGATGCAGTAAAAGTACATGAGGTTCACGAGGAACGCGAGACCCCAGTCGATAATCGGGACAGATAACAAGAGCACGAGCGTAGTGAAGTGCAGACAACCAAGAGTCATGCGGGGCAGAACAGAAATGATCTTGGCAAGGAAATAGGCCAGTCGAGAATGGCCGGCTTCAGCCTCTCGACGGTGCAGCAGTGTCTCCTCCGAGAAGCTCTTGACTCCGGGGGGGCCTGCCACCAGTCCGATAGCGATGGCCATGAGAAGCGCCAACTCCGGTGCAGACCGGAAGTCCATGGCCGTTGACAAGACTCCGTACGGTTCGTTAAAGAGTCCAACGAAGAGGACGCCGTGCTTAGGATTCTCGGCCAGTCCCAAAAGTCCACCGGCAAGCGTTGCCAATCCCATCTCGGCCCAGAAAGCACCCTTTGCACGATATTGCTGGAGGAATGCCCGGCTCAGGCAAAGCCACCCTTGCTTGATACGAGGGGCCCCGCGTTTCTTGAGGGCTTGATGCATCGAGTTTCCACCCAACATGGAAACCGTCGTGTTGCGTTTGGTGTCGTCCCCCCTTGATTGTTGCCAATTCCCCCAATGCGATATCAAGGCCTCTTTCGAGATGTCACCGCTCGCCTTGTAGTCTCGACCGTTGCCAGTGATGATGTCAGTAATCACATCAGCGTGGTTGCAGTGCTCAGGGAAGTGGAAGCCCACACCCTCAAAGTAGGGTGTGGCCTCAATCTGGGAGCCCTCATAAATGGTTTGACCGTTTCCAAGGAGAATCAGGTTATCGAAAAGGTCAAAGATCTCCGCACGGGGCTGGTGAATGATGACGATGATTGAGATTCCAAGCCGCGCAATGGCCTTGAGCGTCCGCATGATAGATGAAGCCGCAGTGGCATCCAGGCCGCTGGTCGGTTCGTCTAGGAAGATTGCCATAGGCGCCGCGGCCAGCTCCATCCCGATACTGACTCGTTTCCTTTGGCCACCACTGATAACAGGCTTGCCCACGCTTCCAACCAAAGAGTCTCTCACATGCGACAGCTCCAAGCAGTCGATGACCGACTCGACGTGGGCCCTGATTTCCGCATCGCTCCAGGTTCGAGGCAACCGAATTCTAGCGGAATGCACAATATTTTCGTAGACGGTCAGCTCAGGCAGCACAATATCGTCCTGGGGCACGTAGCCCGTCAGCTTCTTGTACTTCTTCATCTTGCCAGGGACATCGTTGACGGAAACAAGGCCGCCTGTGTTGTTTGTTTTGCCCATCAACACATTGACAAATGTCGATTTTCCAGCACCCGAACCACCCATGATAGCAACGAGGGATCCGCGTTCGATGGATCCGGTTACGTTTTGAAGAATTGGCTTAGGGCTGCCCTTGGGGTGGAAAACCAGGTCAGAGTATGCGAATGACAATCCAAAGTTGGTAGCCTCTGTTGCCTTTCTCATGGATTCGATGAAGGCTTTGAGGTGTGGCGACAGACCGGCCTCTGTTTGAGACCGGTCCGCGTTGTTGGCGGACAGTACGTCAAAGGCGGATTCAAAGCCAGTCCAAGTGTCCTGCCTTGGAAGGTATGTCGCATTCATCGGTACCATTTCCTGGTCAATGTCGTCGTTCTCGTCAGGAAGCGTCTTGTAGCCTGTAATGCTCGCTGTGACACCACTCATGCCCTTGCGGTTCTTCAAGGAGCTAATGTGTGCCCGGGAACTCGAATGGAATCGCTGCTTGAACTTGACGAAAAAGATTCCAGCCACGAGGAGAATGTCGACAACGATGAGGACCACAATCGGGATCAGGAAGAGCTGGTATGATGAACCCTCGAGACACCGGCTCCCGAAGTTGCAAGGAGTCGGAGTTGAGGCGCCGGGCTGACAGTACGAACCCGCCGGGCAACGGATCGTCTTCTTTCCCTTGGCCGACGGGGGGCAGTACCAGCCTTGCTGGCAGACGACAGGCTCAAAAGGCCCCATTCCCACATTCCTGCCGTTGAGGGCACATGTCACCCCAGTCAGTCTCGCGACCTGGCATTCGGATAGGGGAGGGCAAAACAAGGGGAGTGAATTGATGGTGTTGTTGGCACCTGGGCACGTCAGCATGGCTCATTGACGGCTCTCGGTGATGGGCATACAGAGGAATCCTTCATTGCAACCCTTGGATTCCCATGAATCAACGCTTTGCAGCTGCATGGGAAAGGCACCGGGTCTCCAACAGGGTGTGGCGGCAATGGGGAGCTCGTCCTTGCTCATCTGGGCGACGGCCTGATAGTAGCTGGTTGAGAAGGCCGTGTTGTTCTTCCCGGTACAGGCCCGATCATACACAGTGAGGCTCTTCTCGTTTGTCAAAGCCTTGAGAGATTTGGACTGGTTGTTCCAAGTCTTGGGCTCTGTGGTATCCGGGCCATTGGAATCGTCGAAGAGAGTCAAGTTGATCTTGCTGCCGCCATGGAGAGTGTTGAACCACTTTCCTGTCGTCACCTCGTAAACACTCTGCGTCTGGTTACCGATACACTGCCAAGCAGCGGTGTCCTTTGTCGAGTCCGTACTCGGCAACGTCTGCAACGCACAGAGGCAGGCCTGGGTGTCTAAGAAGACGGGACTTTGCAGCTGGTCCTCTTGTGGGAGGAACGGGTCCTGCGGCATCAACGCCGGGTCAATGTCCTGAGGCTCCATTCCGAATTGTCTTCAGAGCCGTCTTCGAGGCCGTCTTCGAGGCCGTCTTCAAGGGCGCAGCGGCTTGAGTTTCTCTCGAACTTCTTCGGGGACATATTCCTCTTTATGAATTACCGCCTTGCTCCGGCTCAGCCCCCAAAGTGCCAACCTCGGAGGAAGCTTGCAAGCTCCATCTCATCTAACTCGGAGACAGCTTGCCTGGCAACGCAGTGTCGATGAGACGGGGCTCAGGGATCCAGTCGGCGACTATTTCACGAGACGTCACAAGCGAAACCGGGGCTCGAAAGATCATCCTGTGAGATTTTAGTGGCGTCGTCACCTTCGCGATGGGGCATTGGCGAGCCCGTTTCCCTAATTGGCGAATCCATTTGTGCTTTTCCCAAGTTTCCACCCTGGCTGACCCTCGGAGGATTCTCAGCTGCGCATCAGAGCTATATGAGGCCTGATGCTGCGCGATGGCCGGCCTTCACAGCCCGGCTCTCGCGTCGAGATCCTTGCGCAGGTTGCAGTCAGAACCGACGTCAGTCCCCGAGTCAAATCGGGTTGGTGGATAAAAGTACAAGGGACAGCGGATGACTGAGCCCTGCCATGTTCAGCCACGCTTGACGCTTCCCAATGGCATGATATTTGCCAGACTGGGAATGGGCTAGGCTTTTCAGCGGATAGATGTTTAAGGCTGAATCAGAGTAGAAGTTCGACGGTTGGAGTACGTACCCTCCTCCTGTTAAGTAATAAGGCTGGACAAAGTGCTCGTGCGCTGTGGGGTAGGTAGGTAGGTAGGTAGCTAACACTTTTCTAATCGTCACTAGGCTAAAGGCCTGAAAGAAACATAAAGGCATCCATCTATATATCTACTCTATTGTCAACTCCAGCTGGGCGCCGACGGAGAGAGAAAATAAATCCCGGATTTCATCCCAGCCGCGAGCCAAGGAGCCGAAAATGAAAGTCAACACCGAAACTCAAAAACAAAACTTTGATTTGATGCATCTCCGTAGAAATAGGAATGACTGGATCGCTCGCTGTAGTTTTGGGCTGGCTTCTCCCATGTCTACTCGTCCTAAATGCTTTTCCCAGAATGCCTTAGTTCTATCCTTTTGCCCAAAAAATTATAATCCACTTCGCTGGTATTAGTGGTGTCGTGAAGATCCTCATGCCTCCCCCATCAAGAATTAGGAGACCATTACTTCTCGGTTACACTGCCAGTGATCGTCCTCTCGCCATCATCCTCCTTCTCCGACGTAACGGGCTTCTCGCCATCCTTTTCAGTACTGGGCTCCATAAGGTCGGTGGCCACCTCCGTCGCCTCTTTGTCCGGCACCACGTTGCCCTGTGTCCCGATCCGCAGGAACGGAACGAATAAGCACCCAAGGCCTGCAAGACCCACGGAGACGAAGTAGACCATCCGGAACGGTTCGTTAATATCACCATCTCCCGCCTGAGCCTCTTTGATGGAGCTGTACACAGCCGTCGAAATCCCCAGGCCGATGGTGGACCCAAGACGAATGAGCATGTTGAAAATACCACCAGCAAGCGACTGTTGGTGAGCTGGGAGTGCCTGCATCACGTACATCTGAGGGGGGTTAGCAATTGCGGACAAATATCGAAGTCATAGGTAGACGGCTTACGTTGGTGACATTGAACTGGAAGTCAGCGCCGAAGACGTTCATGATCAGCGAGGGGAAGATAAACGCCCAGTACAACGAGGTGTCTTTGTTGAACGTGAGCAGCAGGTTTGCGCCAACGTAGGCCACGGCGCCAACTGCCATGATGAGCGTGTTGTTGACCTTGTGGAGGATACTGGCCGCCACAATGTTCCAGAGGACGCCTGCAATAACCTGCGGCAAGAGATGCACGGCTACGTTCAGGGCATCATATTCGTTGACCTCTTGCATGAAAAGCGCGAGCCAGAAGTTGGATGATGTAAAGGACATCATACCCAGAATTGCGGTCGCAACAAGCTTTCCGTCCATGTTAGCATACTCTGTTACAGCAGCCCCAGGTGGTTCGACCACAAAGGGGCAGTTGATTACATACCAGAGAAAAGGTTCTGTCTTTCCAGATGTGGAGGGGCATCAGGGGATGCTCCCAGTAGTTCTCCCAGAAGATGAATACAACAAGGAGGAAAAAGCCAACAATAAGCATGGCAATGACGTGAGCGGACTTCCAGCCATCTCCGGGACCGAGCCTGTTATCATGTTAGTAAGGATTTACAGGCATTTTGGATAAGGGAGGACTGACGTTAGAGCTGCCGTGAATATGCCCACACCAAGGACGGTGAGGATCGTGCCCAGGGTATCGAAGCGTTGCACGGCAATGCGAAGCCGGGTCTTGAACGGCGCTGGTTCAAAGGCCTCGACATTTGGCACGATCCAGATGGACGCAACGCCCAGGATCGCCCAGATAATGGCCAGGAGGATGAAGCTGGCACGCCAGTCGAAGATACGCGCAGCAATACCGCACACTATACTTCCCACGGCGAAACCAAGAGGATTGCCCGCGGAAAAGCTAGCAAATGCCCAGTTCTTTCGCTGCGAGGGCACGTCATATGCCGCGCCCAGGATGCCGATGGCTGGAGGGACGACCATGGCCGAGGCCAGACCGAGAACACCACATAGGATGTCCATCCAGAACGGGTTTTGCGCAAAGGCCACAATCAAAGAGCACGCACTGAAGCAGCCCATGCCGAAGAGAAAGACAACCTTGCGGCCCAGCAAATCGGCGAGCTGGCCAATGGTGAGCTGGAAGGCTCCCGCGGTGAGGCTGCGACGTGACTTAGCATCGCGTTGCCAGAAGTGGCCTGATACGGGGGGGAGTCCAATTGGACTTGGGGATAGGGGGTTCTCACGTTGCTGCCGCAGAGATCCATGAAATCTGACTCTGTGACATGTCCAAGTCCTTCCCGATAGAGGCCGTGACAATGACAGTGGCGCCAGTCAAGAAGGTGCTGGTCGCCATGGCCACAGTGGCCATGAAGACAAACGAAACCTCCTGAAACGTATTCTTGAAGCATGCAGGACGCTCTCCTATCGTCGAGACCTTCGTCTTCTGCACTGCCGTATCCTCTCCTCCGCTGCCTTCAATATCGGCCTCGACATCGGAGCGTTGCTGCGAGTCCCGGGAAGTGGGGGTCAGATCTGAAACTGCAACGGCCGATCCGGCCGCCGTCTTATCGGCCATTGTCGGACACCGGAGCTGGGCGCGGGGCGGGTTCGTGCGGGCAGGGTTCCCGGGGGAGGAAAATGGGCGCCGAGTCGTCCGATGCTTGCGGATCTCGCGAATATTTTCGTACAAGACGCTGGGTGTGTTCGACGCGAGCGAAAAGTGGGAATGATACGGACCCGTTGACTGTATATATTAGCAGTCTTCCGGCTCCACTGTGGACACCGCAGGTTCGGTTTGCGGGATGAAAACCGAGAGATCTCCCGTGTTGGGCGACAAAATAGATGATACGCTCGGAGATGACCAGTGACGCGTCGGCGATTAAGCGAGAACAGAAAGGTTGAAAGATGGCATGTTCAGAATCTCCCAATAGATGATCCCATTGAGCACAATCGGATTTCTCTCATATCTCTCATTTCTCTCATTTCAGTGAATCACTGCTGTGGTAAAAGAGCGAGGCACGCCAGCTGTAGGAAGAATGTCGAGTGCGTTGACCCACCTGCATCTGCCATGTCTATATGCCGTTTCGTTGCCACAATCGGTGTCCATTTTATTTTGTCAAGGCGTAGATAATGGTGGATGTCCTCGCCGGTGGGGGTCCATCTCGATTATCAATCATCCCCGCTCTCGATCTCAACATCTGTGATTTACGGGACCACAAGCCGAGTGGGAGAAGAGCAGATTTCCAACGATGAAGATCACCGAGGTGAGGAGAATCGCTTCTTATTAGACGTAGTGAAGCGTGGTTTGTCATCCCGAAGTCCACCTCTGACCGGCAAGAGCTTTGGGTCTATCCGATCAAGGGCATCCGAGGCATCCAACTCGATGTCGCGAAGCTTGGGCCTCAGGGTATCCAACACGATCGTCGGTTCATGCTGTGCAAGGTTGAAGCTTCCGGAGAATTAAGCAAGATCCAACTATCCAAGTATCCGCAATGCTCTCTCTTCGCGCAGGAGATCGTGGGGGACAACATCCATGTCCGGTACATGACTCCACAAGAGCCTTTGGTACCTTCACGGCCTCAGCAAAAGGTTGTTCTGGACATTCCCCTCGAGCCGAGCCTGGAGGACTTGGAAAAGGCACATGTCAACCTTCATCAAAGCCTCGTCATTGCGTACCGTATGGGAACCAAATGTGATGCATGGTTCTCAGCCTGCTTTGGGTTTGATACTGCGCTCATCTTCATCGGAGACGGCCGACGTCCCATCCTGGGAACTTTCTCACCCAAGTCCCAGCCGGCTGCGAAATCATGGGTTTCCTCCGTAACGGGCCATGTTGCAGGAAATAGGATCGATACAGAAGAAGATGACTGGTTGACATTTACAGACTGCGCACCTTACCTCATCACGACGGAACAGTCACTGAAGAGCGTCAGCGTCGACTAACCAACGCCGAAGTGGAGATGGGCGCATTTCGACCAAACGTGGTTGTGGATGGCGAGGCCGAGTGGGACGAGGACTTTTGGGCAGAGCTTTGTATCAACCGCAACCATAAGCTGTCCCTGACCAAGAACTGCAACCGGTGCACATCGTTGAACGTCGACTACAAAACCGGCTGTACTGCAGAGGGAGAACGTGGTACGGTGCTGAAGAAGCTCATGTCCGACCGGAGGGTTGATAGCGGAGCCAAACATTCGCCGGTCTTCGGCCGATATGGTTTCCTCATTGGTAGTCCCGACGGCAACGATAAGGTCTCTGTTGGTGACAGCGTCGAGGTGAAGGCAAGGATGGCTCAGCGGGCAGTTTGGGACTGGCCAATAAAGGATCCCCAAGCTGCTAGGTATTATCAACAAACCTAAAGCACAGCAAAACCTTGTCGAACCGTGTGGTCTTTGCGTTGACATCGGATCCGTCTCGGGGTGCAAGAAGCTTTTGGTGATGCATCACGTCCCCACAGAGGAACTCTGTATTTGCCAGGGGAGTGTTACACAAGGTGGGCCGGGCTATCACGCTGTTGTTCCTGGTAGACGAGCGGCAATCAACTGGCAAGAGCCACACCTAGATCCATTTGCCGCCTCATCCTAAGAAGAGATCCTGAGCATCCACATGGCTACTCTATCACCATTCCACGTCAGGTGTGACGCGTCCACCCGACTTGTCGTCACGGGCTAGTTATTGCTAGCAACTTCTAAGTTCTAGGTGTGCCAAACAGCCGGCGCCGGGGAAGCCATCCAGGCAAGCCACTGCCGCCACGGGACGGGAACGGTCCCATGTGACTTGGTGTTTCCGCGGTTCGGAACGGCGACCGGGGGGCGAAGGAATACACGACAGGGAACCCGCCAGGGTGGTGGAGGAACGACTGGTGGCGGGTGGCACTTTGGTGGCAGCATCTGGAAGTGTTCCATGACCCGCCCTGCCCGCAGCCGCGCGGGCGCTGAAGAAGACATGTTTAGGACAACGTCACAATGGCCGCAGGGCCGTGGCATCCCAGGAACGTTTCACAAACCAATCCCAATACCCGGGGAACGAAGCGAGGCGAGGCGAGGCGAGGCGCGACTAGACGAGCTAAGGGCTAATCGCATACATCCGAATGGACAAGTTAGGCAGGGGTGGTGAGGCCTCATAAACTCTGTTCTTAGTAGATCCGTGAACGCATAGTAAGTTCACTGTTGAGGCACGCCGGGCTCGTTCCCCGAAGGGTCCGGCCAGCCGGGCGGACGGGAGGCCGGAGCCGGTGGCTGGGGTGGTGGTGTGCGGTGTTCACAAGGTGAGCAGGATGTACTGTGTGGCGACGTGTGAAAGTGTGAAGGTGTCAAAGTGTATGAGTGCGTGAGTGTAAGAGCGTAGATGGGTTGTTTCGAGTCTGTGCTGGTGTGAGAGCACGATTGACGGAGGCTGATTGGGATTGCCAGCCTAGTTATGCACCTCGGTACGCATCGAAGCACCCAAGAGCCGCCCAGTCCGTGTGTGTACATGTGTGCATGTGTGCGTGTGTGCGTGCCTGTGGCTTGTTGTCTGAGTGTGCGTCCGTGTCGGTGACGGTCCGGTGTGTTGATGTTGGTGTCGGTATTAGTGTTAGTGTCGGTGTCTGAGAGTGGTGTGGGTGCAGATGCAGACTCAATGAAGGGGGCCTCGTCTATCGGTATCTTGGTCTGTGCTTAGCTGCACTCGTCGCCGAAGTGCCTTTATTAACAGCCGAAAAGGGGAACCGCCACAGCTATCATCGACTGCAACGTTTGCACCGCATGTACCTTGTACCCCGTCCGTGCCTAAGGTACTTGGGTACCTGCGGTAGGTAATGGTCATGGGCATGGATCATGGATGGCGCGGGTGGAGAGTTGGAAACACGCCGAACGTTTTTTAGTTGTTCTGGAAGCCTTCTGGCTCGTATCTTGGCGCCCAGCCCGCGGCGCGCTGGTCCCTCAGGGTGCCCTATGAGCCAGTAATCCTTGGGGATTTCCGGCGCACGATGCCCCAATGCGAGGTGATGTAACATCCGTAGCGCATAGTAAGAGCGCCGCCAATCAGTGTTATCCTTGCCTGCGTTTTTGGTCAGTTTTATCCATGGCGCCGTAGCGTAGCCCTCCGTAAGCCCCATCCGTAGCTGTCCGAATGGGGGTGGGGTGGGAAGAACGGAGGGAGGGAGGGAGGCGCCAGGTCTAGAGGCGCCGGCTGTGGATGTGAACCGATTCGGTGCGGAACGGACGCGAGACAAGGCGAGACAAGGCTAGACTAGGACGTCGACACCAACTACGTATTTTACCCCAGTCGGATTATGATGATGGATGACGGCATAGGAGTAGAGGACGAGATTGCCGTAAAGCACGAGATTGCCGTAACGGAGGAGAGAAGCATGATCTGACGGGGAAACGGACAAGAGACAAGGGAACGACGCAAACGCCGACACCGACCTACCAAGCGAGGCGAGCGCGGGGGAAAGGGGAAGCATGTTTGAGCCTTTAAGGGAACAAACCCGGAGCTGGGCATTGGGAAGGGGGGGGGGGGGGGGGTGTCAATGGATCGGGTGAATGTGGGATGCGGGATGCACCATGTAGGATGCAGAATGTGGCATGTGGGAAGGTAGGAAGGTGGGAATGTAGAAATGTGAGTACGGAGTAGTGGGATATGAGATGTGGGATGTGAGATCCGGGATGTGAGATGGGGGGGATGGGGATGGGGATGAGGGACACGCCGTTGACCGAGATCAGGATCGGTCAGCGGCCACAAAGCGTAAAGAGCAAACGGCGCGAATACTACCATGTAAGGTAACCTAGGCAGGTAGGGAGGGAGAGAGGGAAGGAGGAAAGAGCCAAGATCAAACGGCCAGGTGCCCAACCGAGCCTCGGCCGCGAGGAGTTGACGACTACACACGGCACAATACCGGCCAAGAGGAGATTGCAGGAAGGCACGCTCCCAGGGTCCATTGCCAGCAACCAGCCGCCAGCGACGCCTACATTACCCACCTACCTAGTTGACCGATTATTGCCGGCCAAACGAACCCTCGCAGCACCCTTCAAAGAGTACGAGAGTTGGTTGGGGATCTCGCATCTCCACTCTCGGTGAGCTTGGCTTGTCTTGTCTTTATGACCTTTTAAACTTTCCGAGGCATGAGGGTTGGTGATCGTCCATTCTCGACAGTATATCCGCTGCTCTGGGCTGCATTGCAGAAAACGTCTGCAAGGCCCTCCCGCTGCAAGGCCCTCTGCAAGGTCCGCTGCAGAACCCTTCTACAGGACCCTCTACAGGACCCTCCCTTACGGTTCGGGCCCCTCACCTCCTCCACTCCTCCACCCATCCGCCTACCGTTGCCCGTTGCCCGTTGCCCGTCGCCGCCCCCAATAAACGTCTCACCATTTGCATTCTTCAGTGCGCGGTTTTGCCCAGTGTGTAAAGGATTCAATCCCTAGTTCATGTTACATGGTAGGTAGCCCTCTGCCATCAGTAATAAGCGCCCGATGTAGTTAGATACAGAAACAAAATAGTGACAACCCAAAGACCGAGAGCACCCTCAAACGGAAAACAGAAAACGGAAAACGGAAAACGGAAAACGGAAATGGAGCCAGGGAGGATGTTGTCCACCAGAAGGAAATCATTCGCTATCATCACCGCTTCTTTCTTACTCCGCCTCCAACTTCCAGGCTCTAAGCTTCCCAACCCCTTTCACCGCTTCGCATTCCCTCGTTGTTTGTTCCGCTTGGCCCGAGCCAAAGAAAAAAATTGCATTTCAAGCCGTAGTCTATTTCGAGCGCCGAACAGCCCCCAACACCCACCGTCCCTTTTTTTTATGCGCCGTGAACCCAAAAAAGACATGCTAAAAGATGAAACGGATTTTCATCGCAGTCCAGGCAGATGTGGGGAGGAATTCCGACTGGCGGAACACAACCCAGAGTCAATCAATAACTCCTCCTTTTGTGCGCAACAAGAGACCAAATCCCCAAGAAAATAAATAAGAAAACAGAAAAAAAGAAAAATAAAAGGAAAATAAAATAACCCGGATTGACCGGCTCAAGCCGCATTCAACATCCACCCAGGTCCAGCCTCCATCGGTAGACAATTCGCGATTGGCAATAGAGAAGTGACTGTGACGGTGACAAGAGAGAGCCAGGGGGCTCCAACTTGCCTGCGCCTCTCCTCTTTGAGCGCCGAGGAAGCCCTGAAGAAGCCCTTGGACCACCCTCTCGGCATGTCCTAGGGGCTGGCCCTAGGCGTCGTGGGCTGCTCCAGGGGGTCGCTAGTGCTGCACAGTTCCCAAAACGGGGCACTGGCTGGAGCCTCCCACGTGGATCTTGCAGGGCACTACACCCTCAAGGAAAGTTGTAAAACTGTAAGTCATCCAATGTCCTGGTTCAGCATTGGCTGGCCCTCCACTCGCTCTCCAGCAGGAATAAACGGTCATGACTGAGAGCCCCCTTTTCCCTCTGGTATCGGTGACGTTGCGTAGGCCCTCAGACTTCTTGCTTTAGCCGTAGGCGTCGTGTCGACTTGGCCTCAGCTCCGTTTAGCTCGGCCACCTGAGTCGACAGCCAAGGGGAGTCTTGTCGCCAGCCATGGATCTGCGAAGGTGGAGGGGCGTGTGCCGCCCATGCCGCTTTGTACAGCACCACGTCTCCAATGCCAAGTTCCAGGCAGCCTTGCCATGTGCAATCAAAGTTCCGGATGCGACGGTCTGTCTTTGCTCCTGCGCCGGGACTAACAAAGCATCTCTTTTTGTTCGTTGCAAATCTGGTGCCATGTCAGTCAGGCCATGTCCGCAACTCGGGAACACGCGAGCGAAAACAGGACTGCCCACACGCGCTCTCGCACTTACACTCACAGTCGGACAATGCGCACGCTCGCACACACACCCCTCCCTTCCCCCACGCCAGACACCAGTGACACATGCCTTGCCGCCGGGGATCCCATCGGAGGGTTAAGCAGCCTGCGTACACACTCGACACAGGTGGAGTTTGCAGTAGGTGCACTCAAAGATCATCCAGTGAGGCCCAGACCGGCAATGTTGGCAAACCCACTGGATCAAGGTGCTGTCCGACTTGATCATCCGAAACGAGTGCGCGCACGCATTGGCCATTTTGTCGGTAGCCACGGTGGTGGAAGAGCTGGTTGAACTGGGTGTTTCTGTTGCTAGGATGCGTCTTGCCGGACCGAATAATCTTCAATCCTTTGACAGGGCTTGGCCCGATTGGACAAAAAAGCTCCTGGGGAGGACCAGAGTTAGCCTTGCATAACAGGAAATTGCCCACACAGAGTCAGAGAAGGCCGGGGAAGCCTTTCGGCAACCAGACGGACTCCCATCCACATGTGTGGTGCAGGAGAGGGGGGACTTACTGGTGAGTGAAGTGAGATGTAAGTTGAAGGCTTGAAGCGGGTGGATATCCACACAAGAGACAACCAAGCGTGAAATGGTTGAGAAGGATTGATGGTAGTTGAAGGTAGCCAAAGAAGTCTGAAGATTGATGAGAAGTGAAAAGGATGGATCAATGGCCAGATGCTCGGGCTTTTATGGTTTTTTGAGGGGGGAGGGGGTAGATGGGTGAAGTGTCGAGTCGTGGAAAGTTGGTTTGTTGTAGACTGGGGCCGTGATGCAATGCCAAACGGGAGCCGTGATGAGGACGGGGGGTGTAGGCGGGGCGGAGGCCGGCTACAGCAAGGACAGGAATCAAAGACGGGAGAGGAACGAGGCGGAAGAGTAACCAACGACGTAGATTAGTTGGTTGACGGCGGGAGACAAAGCGAAGCAGGTCGAGCGTTAGAGTTTCTGGCTGTTACAACAAACCCGGGGATGTTGGTGATAATGTACCCTGCGGCGCGGCCCCCGGACGGTGTTGTATGGACGGACGGCGTGGACGGACGTGGACTGTGGCCCCTCCTTCAGACCACGAGCCGTCATGCCAGTTGCAAAATCTCCCGTTTGCACAGTCGCAATGCCCCTCGGCGTGAGTCCCAGATGTGCCCCAATCCCCGTCTCGACGGGGCCGGGACAGGATGCCCTGTGGTCCCTTTGGGGAGGGGAGGGGGAAGGGAAGGGAAGGGGGGGTAGGTAGGTAAACGGCTTTTTCGCAAGCAACAAGCAGCAAGCAGCGGCGGGCAGCGGGCAGCGGACAACCCCAGCTAATACATGAGGTGTACCCACAGTGGACGGGTACCTGGCTCGTTGTTTGATCGCGCTGCGGCCACGGCCTTCGGGGAACGAAGCCGAGGAGCGCAATGGGCGGGGGAGGCGAATCCAAAGCGTCGAGGTCGCGGGATCAATGGATCGCAATGACGAACAGGTGAGGTGAGGTGAGGGTTGGGAGAGCCTGGGAGACCTGGCAACTGGGAATGGGAAAGCCTGAGGGTGTCGAGCGAGCAACATGGAAAGACCCGTCCACGGATGGCATGGCAGGGCTCCGCTTTCGCGCCCCGTGTCCTGGTTCTCGGTGCAGCCCAGAAGCCGCCCAGGATCGGAGGGTGGAGACGGCCAGTTAGCCAGGAGCTTGGGACCGTGAAGGGCTGTCCGGGAGGCATGGGTCGGGGCATGGGCATGGGGGGTCGTGTGTGTAGTGCGAGTGCGTATAGTGCGCGGAGTGTGTAGCGTGTGTAGCGTGGTGTAGTGAGCCTGTGTAGTGTAGAAAGCAGAGAAGCGCGATGGGGTCGAAACTTTTAGAGACGCTCCGGGAGCGATGCCGAGTGCTTTGCCTAATGAAAGTTAGTGAGCTTGGGCCAAGGAGGGCAGGTACGTCAGTGCGCACCATGTTGCGAAACCGACCAAACGAGGGAAGCCGGTAGGTCAGAAAGTCAGAAGTTAGAAAGGAGGTAGGCAGACAGGCAGTGAGGGCAGGCAGTGAGGGCAGGCTTGTAGGGTATGTAGGTAGGGTTTGTAGGGTTTGTAAGATTCGTAGGGTTTGTAGGGATTTTAGGGGTGGAGGATAAGTTAGAGCCAAGCCGAGACAAGGGACGGGAGAGGCAGAACATGAAGTCAGCGGCAGACTGAGACCCCAAGTGGTTGCGGGAGCGGAGCATCTGTTGCGCCAGGGTGGTGGCGGTGGTGGGTGTCTGCGGAGTGGTGTAGGAAGCACGCATGTCAACTTGAGGCAGTCCAGCTCGCCGTGCGGTGAACGGAGGGTTGGCGGACGAGACGAGCGGAATTGAAGGAGTGCCAACCGCGGTCGTAGTCGCAGTCGTAGTCGCCCTCCCAGGCACGGTATGGTTGTGGACAAATGAACGGGATGAGACAACGCCGGCAATGCACACCTGTCGCTCACTCACCATGGCGATGTCGCTCGAATGCTGTAGTCTCGGTCTGATCCAACTGCCAGACTGACAGTCCTGGTCTGCACAGCGCCGTACTGCACCCTGGCTCTCAACCGCCGTCTGCAATGTTCCTCTCGAGTTCTCTGTGCATTCCATGTCATGTCGGTATGCCATACCGCGCATCCCAACGGCCCAATGCCTGTCATAGGTAGGTACCCAGAAAAGCGACCTGGTCCCGCCCACGAAAAGATACCCACCTCTGCCTTGCAATTGCCCTACAATTGCCCTATAATCGCCCTGTCCGATATGGGATTTTTGTGACCAGGTACTTTCGTAGTAGACCGGTGCCTTGGATCGGCATGGCAGGGATTGTCATAGCATATATGGTCCCTTGGGTCGCCCACTCTTCGGTCCAGGTGCATCGTAATAGTCATCTCAGTTATGGCTCGGCTCTCCCACTGACAGCTGATAATGCTGGCTATCACGGCCAATTCCATCCCGGCACCTAAGTCGGCCCCGGCACTACGTTGTCTGACACTGCCATCGACCACTCTCGAAGCCCTTCTAATTGTGAATCCTGCCCCATCCTAATGCTCGTTCCAGTCTTTCGATGTCGCCATCAGCCCAGCCAGCGTGGGTCCAGTCTCCATGAACCTATGGGCCTCTGGGACGGGGTGAACCTTGAAGCTGGAACTAGGCGACCTCATCGTGACGCCGCACTGGGGGGGAAACCTAAAGACGACCGACCTCTTTGCTTCTCCCTGTTTGTAATCGGGCAGCTTGTGCGGCTCGACAACAACGAACCCCGGTCCCCGTCTGACATGTCACCCCAGCAGCTTTCGTTTTGATGGGAATGGATTTCAGTTGGCCTTTTGCAATCAACGGCAGATTTGCTTTTTACTGCCCCTCTCCCGGGGCCGCCGCCGCTGTGCCCACTTACCCCCCACACCCTTTGAATCACGGGTAGATGGTCCGGAGGGAGGAGGGAGCGGCGAGGCGACGCGGGTGAGGCGAGGGACGGCACGGTACGGTACATCATTTTGTTTGGCACAGGATGAAGTGATCGGTCGGCTCGGTCCCGGCCCCATCCTCCCACCCCATCCTCATCGGTGACTGCAAGCGTTTGGGGCTAAGGCTGTAGGTATAACGGGAAATCGACAAGTCCGTTGATGTCACGCAGAGCCGAGCCCAGCTATCAATCTGCGCCCCGACGGACAGAGGACCAGATCTGTCAGATGCCACGACTTGTTGCCGCCAGACCAGGAAGCCTCGCTATTGGTCAGGCTGTTTGCGATTGCTCGCAGTTACCACCCTCTGATGCAGGCATCATTCACCGGCCACCGACCACCGACCACCGGTACTGGTGCACGCTGCAACAGCTTGCAGTTTCGTCGCATCACAAAGAGCGAGGCGGAGGGAAGACATGGTCCGGGTTGATACGCCCCTGTTTCTTTTCTGTTCCCTCCCTTCTTCCTCCTTGTTTCCTCGTTTTCCTGTTGTCGCAGTCGTCTGCATAACGTGGGAACGAGAACGCGAGGCCGGCATGGACGTTGGGGCGAGTGCACGGCTCTCACCATCCACCAAGCACTGCAGATGACCAGGGCCGTTGTCAAATTCCAGGTCAATATGTCCCCCAACATTGTCCCGAAACGCCGCCATAAACTCACGGATATCATGTTGAGACATGTCCGGCATTCACCGCCTCAGCTCATGGCCGCTGGTCGTTATGTCATCTCGGCACTATAGCAGATTCTACTTAGCCGCTTGCCGGGCCTGTCCCTGTGATGCTGCGGGTGTGTTTGCCCCCCACGGCCCGAGGCTGACGGATAACCGTCTAAGACGTCAGGTTGATGTCAATGCAATGCCAGTGCCCTGACATGTGGTTTTGGGTCGTTTGGCTCCTTGCTACGGAGGAATCAATGGTAGTTGGCGGGTGCGTGCGCAATGCGTCCGTCCTCAACTGCGTCCGTGTTTGTCCGGTACTTTACTTGATGCAGATACGCGGGCTTTTTTCTTTGGTTGTTAACTTATTACTGTTGTATGGTCTGATTTTTCGAACATCCCCTTTCAGCGAGATGCACCGGCGCAAGAGCCCTTTGCTTAGGACCTACTTCCTCTTTCGTCCAGCGACTGCCTCCTCGCTCCTCTCTTACAATGGCAAGAGTCCACTGGGAGCCGTTCATTCCTCAGCCACCTCCACTGCTACTCTCCGTGCGCCGAAAGGCGCATCCACCACCACATCCACCACATCCACCACATCCACTTAACCCCCGTTTCCGCGCCTCGCCCTACGACAAATGTTTTCCACGTCGCTTCCACTCCCGCTCGCATCGACGCATCCCTACCTCTCCTAGACTTGCATACTCACATACTCTCAGACCCCCCAAACTTACGTGGTACCTCGTCGTCATCCTAATCACGGCTTCGCCACCAATCACAACCTGTGAGCCGCAGACCGCAGACCGCGGACCGCGAATCGCATCCCGCAAACCTAAGCCCCCCAGCATCAACAACCTTTTCCAGGTTGGCAAACAAATGGGCTCGCTTCCGGCCGCCGGGGTCAGGGAGACTCCACGCTGGCTATTCCCCACGCATTCGTATCATAGTACGTTGACCATCACAGCGCGTGAGACAACAAGAGGTGTGCACACCGTCAGTCAGAGAAACGACATGGTAGGCTTTCTCTGCTGGTCCTTGTCACCTGGTCCTAGGCGTCTGGTCCTTGTTGTCTCCATCACCGATCGACCATATCCCATGTTCGCCCTGTCTCCATCTCGAATTATCCGGTCTACCGGTTTCTGTCCCTTGTCACGTCTTGTTTGCTCTTTTCGACACAGCGTAGCTTCCTGGTCTCTTCTCTCGTCGTCAAACCTGCTGACTTGCAGGCCATGCGACCCTCCCAAGGTCTTTGCCCCCGCCCCCCCCTTCTCCGTACCTACCTGCTGCGTGGGACGGATTCGTCAATTGACAAACGAGTTCACGACACAACCTTCTGGTTGCCCCATAACGGCAGCGCTACCGCTTCCCCATGCATTGTGGTCTGCCGCCAGCTCATAAGGGCAATCTACATTGATTGCACCTGCGCTCTTCAAATGGGAGTCGGCGACGGGAAGATACCCGCCACCCCGGCATCGGCCAACTGCCAAACTTGATGCACGGCGCACTCCCACGTCCGTCCTGGGCCAGCAGCCATCAGACCAGGCCATTCAACGTCCAAAACTCGATCCGCACACATCATACTTTCAAATTCCACGCGGTGTCGGCGTCAATGGCCGCCTCAGCTTGGACCAACCCGGCAGCTCCCCGTCGTTAGCTGCTGAAACCGACGCCGTGCTGCGGCATCCGGCGTGGCCGCCTCCCGTGAGACATGGCTCCATCAATCCGCGAGGCGCACAACCCTTCGCACTTACACGGGTTCCTCGGTCAAAGGAGATGGCATCGCCTCATTTTGAAACCCCGGCTAAAGATAGCAGAAGATTTGATGTTCAACGTCTCTTTTCAATCGATACGAGACGCTCGGTGTCCAGTGCCCGAAACTAAGACCGGCGTCTAAACAGTGTCAGTCCCAATACGCCTCGATCTCGCACTCATCCCGAACCGGATCAAATGCCGTGCCGTCGCCGTTGGTCATTTGTAGGTCCAGCCAGCCCCATGCACATCTGCCGGTGGTGGGCATGGCATTTCCCCATCTGCGGACGCCTCCGCCTCGAATCTGTCAGTGAGGGACCTCAAATCTCACTGGCCAGTCTCAACCCCCGCCGCCCTTGACCCTGTCCTGGACAGCCTTTCAGTGACGTCGTCCGCCAGTTGACAGACGCCCCCCTCCCTGTACAATGCCTATTCCCACACGCTTCATCTTACGATCAGGTCCGGGTCCACTTAATTGCGGCTACTATGTCCTGTCTTGACAGTGGAGTCATCTCTTGAGTGCGTCGAGACAACAACGGAATATTCCATCATGACCACATCGCCTTCCGCCAATCCTGGACAAGTCCGCCATCCTAGAACCCGTCTCCGTAGTCGAAACCCTCTTCCCACTCGTCGGTGCAGCAAGCGCAATTTCCTCAAACTTACGTACCAGCCAGCCATGTCCTCAATGAGGCGACGGAACCCCCTCCAACAGACCACAAAAGCACTTCCTGTGGGTCTCCCGATTTCCAGAAGACCCGTCGAACATCGTTCCCGGTGGAGCTGACCGCCTTGTCGTTGCGCCTCTTCCCCCCACAGAATCGCCCCATTCTAGGCCTGGCTTGCGAGAACACCCCCACTGTTTTGTCTCCTCCCATCACGTAGCGTTTCCCGACGGAGAGGATTTGGTGATGCCACCACATGGCATGCTATGACACTAGACCCCAGTCGAAAGGAGTCCGGTTCCGCGTCCATATCCTCGGTGCGGGTTTCAGGGGAAGCTCGTCCACTTGAGAGGATCGCCTTGTGGCGGTGACCCAGATTTCCGGCCCTTCGCACCCTCACGGGATTGTACAGTGCCCTCACCAATCCCGTCTCGTTGCTCTCCAACCACGCTAATATCTCAAAAACGCCACCAGTGCGTTTCGCCTGCCTTCCTCAGCTGAGGCACGTCGTGGACATACCGGCATGTCACTTGTCCAATCTTAGTCACTGACACATGCGAGTGAGTGCGGTAGTGTCTCCCGCTAATATCCCGTCTCTGCATGTTGCGTACTCGACATTGGCGATGACGGTTCCGCAGGCAGGGGGACCCTTCCATAATTTCATGGCCACCCTGGCCGATTACGCCCGACGCACGTCTTTTTATCACCCTATTACCCATATGGACACCGCGATTTATCTTTTTTTTCTCTTTCTATTAAGCTACTGATCTATTCGCTGCCGAGCCGGCCCGTCTTGTGTATCTCATGATCTGTCCCTAATGACAGTTGACAAACGAGAAATGATGACAACGCCCTCCCCCTCGTTCTCGCATCTAGACGCGGCATGGATCACGTTCCAATAATTTCGCCCGTTTGGCGAAGAGTCGTGCGGCAAACTATTGTGGACAACATTCATGTCCAAAAAGCCCTACCCTAAAGTGTCTTCGGATACGCGAGCATGTACCAATTAGCCACTAATCCGCGGCTTAAGGATTGGCCTCCTTGTTATCCTCGATTCCATTACCCATGACAATATCATTGTCCGCATTCGGCCTGGTCGATTCGGACCCGAAGTGCTTATGTGCTGCTACCTTCATCTCAAGCACATCATTGTCGCTTCCCTGTCGCTCGTTCTCCTCAAATGTGAAAGCATCAGACAGGTTCACCGCCAGGAATGTCTTGGGCAGTTTGACCCTGCACAGCTGAGTTAGTTGATATGTCACAGGTAAGGAGTGTGCATTAGAGGAAAGCTTACTGGTTGAATTTGGCCCGGAGTGTCTTGATAACCTGTAGCCAATCCGCGTGTGGCGTCAAGCTCCGTCTGGGTGCGTATCCGATGCAATGTCGGCTGTCTAGCTGGACATGCAGGGGATCGAAGACGTGGCAACCTGGGCTGATGGTAATGCGAATGCTGTACGTGAAGGTGGGCTCGTCATCTGGACAACCGTGTACGGTTGTCTTAGTCTCTGATTCGTAGAGCTCAAAGCTGATCTGGGAGAGGTAGTCAAGCTCCGGGATCGTGCTTCGCTTGATTTTGGTCTCAATGCCACCCTCAATGATACAGTTGAGCAGCGTATAAATGTGCGACTCCTTGGTAAAGTAGAAGAACGACTTGGCATCATCGGATGCCTGCATCTCCTCTAAGTCTTGAACAATTTCCTTGAGGAGCGGCAGTGATGTAAGCAGGCCTATCTCGAGCTTCTCGCTATCCGAAATACCGTACTCCTGGGGGCAGATAAAATCGAATAGAATCTTCGCAAGCCGGTAAAGCTCCTGCAACGGCTCATTCCGTGCGTCTACCTTAGCGGTACTTTGGTTTGTGCCTTTGTAGAGTCGGAAGTATTGCTCCGGCGGTGACTCCTCGTGAAAGTGCCGCAGGTTGTTGAGAAAGGACCGTCGCCTGAAAAGTTTTTTGACCGAGGCAGATCGGCTTCCCATGTCGACTTTGTCCGAGCCATCAGGCGATGGGTTCTGGGCCTTCTCCGACTTGAGGTCCTCCGAGTACTTGCTGTCTTCTGATACCTTGGGCTTTGCCTCCGTAATCGCGTAACCGTACTCCTCTAGCATGTGACTGGGCGGGGTGTACACCCACTCCAGGAACTGGCGATTGTGTAGGGCATCGAACTTCATTGTATCATAGAGTTCCGAGATCTTGCTAGGGTCGACCTTATCGCCGTCGCAAAACTCAGCGAAGAGCTTTTCCCAGCGTTCCTTGAACAGCTCCGCATCCTCACCACAACACCACCGGGATTGAATGTTGTTAACGGCGTTGGCATGTGAGATGGACGATGAGATGGACGAACTCAAACTGTCTCCGGCCAACTTCTCGGTGCTCGGGTTAGAAATGGCATTGAGAGAAGTCACAGCCCCGCTGTATAGCTTGCCGTAGTTGTAGTGCATGACACGACGGTGGAACTTCATCAGCTGCACAACTCGTGTCTGCACCTCGGACGGCTCGGGCATGTTTTCCGGCCAGGCAAATTGGGCCGGTCGCTCATTGCCCTTGCGCAGAAGCCCCTTCAACTTTTTCTTGACCTTGTCCATCTCATCCTTTGCGGCATTCGAGTCATCTAGAAGGTCCTTGCGGATCGTGATAAGGTCTTCGGGAATATCCTTCTTGTCGAGAAAGGAAGCGGCCCATATCTGTGCGCTCGTCGTTACACGTCGCTCGGAGCTGCTAAATACGTGGACCTCGTCCAAAATGTCCCTGTTCAGCAGCATCAAATCGTTGCGCATGCTTTCGCCGAGGTCCTGGGCTTGGTATCGTGCCGAGTGCGTTGGCTCTCCTCCCCACTTGACGATAAGCTGCAGCTTATCCAGGACTAGGCTCTCCTCCGCCGCCGTGAACTTGGACATAGTCATGCCGGAGAGTGAATCGTGGCGCTTGGGAGCTCGATGTGGTTCTTCCTTGGAAGACAAATTGCCCTCATCCTCCACCACGGTAGACTCCACATGCTCAGTCAAGTCCGGCATCTCAGCCACGACTGGTACGAGCTCGGTCTTCTTCTTGCGGAACATCGGTTTGATTTGAACCTTCGTGCCCGCCCAGCTACCTTTTTTTACTAGGACATTGCGAAGAGATCGAAGTTTTGATCGATCCTCAATGTCTTCCTGGAATGCCACATCGACAGCTTGTATCACACTTGCCAACGCGGCCTCGCCAATCAACAGCACTTCTTCCTGGTGGCCCTTAAGAAGTGCAATGAATGGCTCCGTATGGAATGTGAATTTGTATTTCTGCTTTGGCGTGCGGTCTGCGTGTCGAATCACAGACACCATGCCCTTCAATTTCCAAGAATGCTTCGGGGGCGGTGGAGCTGGCATGCTGTCTTCCTGCGATTCCGAGGGAGGTGGGTCCGTGGAAGTCGAGGATTGTTGGGTGGCAGGAGATGTAGATACTGCTCCAGGGATCGACAGGTCCAGAGGGGGTGGCAGGTGTGTAGTTGACCCTTGGGCTTTCGACGGTAGGCTGCTGTCCGTAGGGAAAGGGGATGCAGTCCCGCTGGGAACGCGTCGGGATGAATCGATGCTTTGAGTATCGGCCCCATTGGTTGACATGGTTGAGTTCCTATTTCCATTCGTGGCTGGGATATGGGCTTGCTCGCGATCCTTGAATGCGTTGGAGGCACGCGTGAAGGGGTCTGTATCTGACGGGGCAGGTGAGGGAATGGGCGGAGTAACACCGCCACGACGAAGCTTCTCCTTGATGAACATATCCTTGAGAATGCTTGCTGAATGGTCATAGTACTCGTCATTGTCCTTGACGAAGCTCCAACCATTGACATCAATCACATAACTCTTACCGGATGCACGCAAGAGATCAAAGCCACACACTCTCTGACCAAATGCGGTTGAGATCTTGCTTGCTACTTCTTTCTCTTCGGCGCTCAACGCAGTGACATAGCGCAATTCCTTTCCGTGCGTGTTCCTTCTGACGACTCCGTCAACAACAGGGCTCTTCCGAGTTTCCGCATGGCAATAGCTGGGTCCGACAGTATATGCCTTGACATCTTCGGCATTATCGACCTGCATAAAGCTTTCGTAAAGGTAGCTGCTGTTGGGTTCGGTTATCGCTCGGGGAACGGTAAGTTCAGGGATGAAGTCGGAGCTCTTGTTTCCAATTTTTCTGAAGAGCTTGCGTGCGCCGCCACCGGCGCTCTTGGGGAAGTAGATGATGATATTATGGTCCTCGCCGCTGGTTGGCTTTTCTACGAATGGCTTCTTTAGTAGCTGGCCATCGACACTTAGAACATCGCCGTCTTCGAGCAATTCTACCTTGCGGGGAGGTACGAAATTTTTCGGGTCGACAGGTTCCAAGGTGACGCCAGATATATCCTTGATGTGCTTGGCCACTTCCGGGGTGAGCATCTGAGGGCCGCCATCACGGCTCACCTCCAGGCGCTTCGGTGTGCGGACCTGGATTTTGTCGAGCAAATGCAGGCAGACGCGGCGATCCCAGAGGATCTGCTGCATAGGCACATCGTTGACACAAAAAGGCTTGCGCGCCTTGACGTATGCAATGGCTTTATCGAGAGGGAAGCCGTCGGAGTAGAAGGAGATGAGGTAGTCGCTGGGAGCTGTCAGTGATCGTAACAGGAAAGACAGCACGTGCCTATTGCAGATGGCCGATGCACGCCACTATTCTATTTCAGCTCACCGAGGGGCTAGAGACTCACCATATGGGCCAATTCTCAACCTCTGAAACATGTAGATTAGTATAATTCTTGTAATGCGACTCCTCTCCTGAGTAAACTTACCTTCGTCAAGAATGACTTTGTCGCCGAAAACGACGACATCAAATTCGCGATTGGCGATGAGCCTGTTCAGGATGGTCCTGCTGGGCTTGCTTCTCGCCTTGACATCAAGCGCACAGACGCCAATGACGCCCCAGCGTGCCGGTTTAACTGCTTGGTGTTAGGAGGGCTTCTGAGATATGTGGCAGCTGCTCAATCCAGAGACAGAGGAGCTTACCGTCTTCCTTCTCGCGGTGATGAGGGCCCCGATCACTGCTTGGGCTGTGGCTGCTTGTTGCGGTGCTCCCGCTGAACCGCCTCTTGGCCCGACTGCGGGACCGGTCGGGCTGGGAGCGCAGGTTGGGCGTGCTATTTTGCATTGTTTCGGCGCGGTGGGATCGTCTTCTCAAGTCCAGTGACTGTGAATGAGAATCACGCGGGGCCAGGTGATGGTATCCCCCGCCTGGTTGGTTCGAGTGAGCGGTTGAAGAGGTGGTGACGGTGACGTTCGAGATTCCAGCTTCGGATTGGGATTGCCCGATGCTCTTGGACGGGGGCATAAAACCAGTCACTGAGCGAGGAGGTGTCCCAAATTCTGATCCGTGCCCAGAGGATGAGGGTGTGATGACGCCGCGGGCTGAGGCTAGGGAATAGAGTGAGTTTCCCGAGAGCCTGTTGGTCTGGGGATCAGAGGAGGAAGACTTCGAATTTGGCAGAGGCTCCGGCAAGACGGTGTGAAAGTTGTCGGTGGTGGCGGACAAGCGATTATGCAGGTGGGGATCGTTGCCAAGGGCTTGCTGGGAGTCGGCTAGTGCCAGGTCTTCGCTCCAGGCGTCTGAGGCCGTAGACTCCCCACGGGTACGGGTGAGTACCGATCTCGGGCTCCTTAGGGATGTGGACGAGGGTGGTGGGATGGAGCAGCTGGTACGGCGGGCGTGGATGTCCGAGGTACCGGGCTCAACAGAGCGGCCCTTCCTGGTGGCGAAGGAATTGGCGAGGGGCAATGAGGACGATTGAGAGGGACGGCGGGACAGTCTGGTCTGGGGCTGCGGGAAAGAAACAGAAGTAGGCGGGCGGCGAGAAAAGTCGGGAGAAGCGTCGTCGGAGGGGCTAGCCGAGTGGATTGGGTTATCTACGGCGCCGATGGTACCAGCAGATTTCGGGCCCGGTCGGTCCACGGCGCCCATTGTGTCGATGATATCCATGGCATCCATTGTGTGCGTTGTGTGCCGTTTGGCGGGACAAGCTAAAGGCTGGGTGACTGGAGCCTCGAGTCAAGAGCCTATATCTTGGGACTGCGGAGAGGCTGGAGATTGGAGCTTAATAGAGCTTACGTGTTGGGAGTGATTGATTTGATTTTGGGGCTTCTAAGCTTTTGGTTCGGGGCGAGCGAAGTTTATCAAGTTCAAGCTCGACCGTCATCGGGATTCTGGCTGCCTCGTGTCTCAGAGCGCCTGCATCCGGCGGGACGGACACGGAACAGCAGGTCTCGGTAACTAGCTCGAGATGCGATTGGGATTAGCCGCACCTGGACCGTCAAGGTCGCGACCGCTTCGTCTCAATGGACGTCGCAGAGTGGATTTCCGCCAATGCAGGTCACCTCACTGAAGAGGGTAAGTTATGGGTGGCACATTTTTTTTTGTCCGCCTGGGGCCGAATCAGCGGTTGCGATGACGCAGCGTGCTAGAAATTGCCACGGCGTGGCGAAATACCTGCCAAGGTGACTGATTCCTGAGACTGGGACATGGGAATAATAGGGCCACCCAGTAGGGACTCAGATGCAGGGTTGGGGCGCTTATACGACCTGAAGGCGATTCTACCGGCCTCGGGGCTTTTTCTATCAGTCACGATCACTGATCGAGAGACTGTCACCCGGGACTTCTGGTCTTCTAGGCCCGCTGGCGGGGACCTAAGGTATCTAGATCCCTGAACTGTTGGGATGGCGGGGGGCGAAGACGGAGGGTCAGCTGGGAAGGGGGGGCCACACAAAGGCATCCAGAGAACTCTCGCGGTCGGAGGGAGTAGATACAAGACGATCTCGGGAGACAAGGGCCGCTAGGAGAATGGTGGTATGCGTCTTTGTTGGTTGGATGCGGAAGCGATGGTACGGCGCTTGTTCTTGGTGGGGGGGGACATGCCCTCCCTCCCTAATGAGTAACCAAACATACACGCACCGATTTCAAACTCACCTACACAGCCTAATATATCTAATTGGCTTAAACCTTTAGACTGTATCCATAATTCCCTAATTTACCTTAGCTTAATCTTTAGTATATTTACTAGCCGAATAAAAATATCCACTCTAAGTTTCTCTTTATTTAAGATCTTTCTAAAAATCGAATTTAAATAGATTTTCTAAAATAAATAAAATACTTTTTAAAATATATTTCTATTAAGAATTATAACTTAAAGATAAATAGATTTTAAAAATAAATATTTATTGCAGAATAAAAGTTAAAAGTAGGTATAGAATATACTAAGTGTTAATGCGATTTAGGCAAGTTTGAAATCGGTGTGTGTATGTTTTGGGTACTCCTCCCTAATTAGACTTGCGGGCGATGAAGACAGTGCGTGAGCGAATCGAGTAATTACGTGAGACAGCCGGTTTTCACACGGAGGGAGGAAGGGTGCCACTCCATCGTCATGGATCCGGCCTGGAGAGAGTGGTGCGTCTTGGTTGCAACCGCCGGTTCAGCTAAGCTTGAATTGAACGGGCGCCATTGGGCCAGGTGCGTCCATCCAGGGCGAGCCGGCTGGCCACGAGGTCGGGTCGTTCCTTTCCTTTGGAGGGCCGAGCTTTACATCTCGGCCATGCATCCTGGCGAGCATCTAAAGATGGCGATGGTACTCCAAGATACGGTGGGTGTGGCAGGTGGGAGCATGAGCATGTGGCCCGGGAGTGGATGCAGATGGTGTGCTGAGTGCATGCCGTATGTAGAGTTGAGCCTCGGCCAAATGACGATGGAGGGGTTTCGACCTTGATTATCCTGTCTTGGAGGTCCTCAGTTGCGTTGCTGTTGTCTCGTAGAGCTAGGTAGTCTACCACGAAAACTAGGCGACCCGCCTCCAGGCCTAGTTAGTTAGCACTGCCGCTCTTGCTCAGGCTTTTCTCACCCTTAATCCGTGATGCTCACCTTCAATCACCTTTATGAACTCTCTTTCCCCTCTTTTTAAGCCTCCAGTACCTCTTCAGCCGGGGCTGATCACATGGCGAGCAGCGGCACGTAACCTCCCCCGACGAGGTGACGATGGCCTCTTTTGCCTCTGACACAAATACCGGAGCAGATCATAAAGAAGGCTAACAACGATGTCAAGCTCCTTGGGCTTTGTTCCCGCCGAAAATTCGGCTACAAATACTGGAGGTAGTCTTGCGCCAGGGTGGTCGCGGCTCCTGCGCGGCTGTCTGCTCAGAATGGAAGGCATTCATTGAGCCGCAGAATTTCTACCGACTAGAACTACAGGTACCATGCCTAGAGCAACTTGGCCATATGGCCACTCGAACTCCGGGTCTTGTTCGTCAAATTCGGCTGAATATTGAGCTACCACGATACTCATGTCGCTCTTGTCAGTGGCCTGAATCAAGGTCGCGTAAGTCGCAGCATAGCTCCATCTTCAGAGCTGCGATACAGAAACTGTTTACTGTCTTAAGTGCTTGGAAACCGACAGGCCACCTCGTATTAGAGCTCAACACCTTCTCACCTAGCGACTCGGAGCACTGGTTCAAAAATTATTGCATTGGACTAGACGCCCAAACCGATGGAGAATCTGAGCAGCAGCAGCAGCAAGAGGCTCCCGCTAGATGGCATGACCCAAAGCACGGCTGTATTGATGGCCGGCAGGTGGAAAGTCCCTCTGCATATGCTATGTCACGTCTCTTCGCCCCGATATGCTTAAGTCTCCCGGAGAGCATCCCGGAGGTCCACGCAGTGACGCGGCTTGTCATACGTCGAGAATGTCGGCGGCAGATTATACCGCCAGTTCTCAGGCTATTGCTGCAGAAACTTCCTCGGCTACAAAGTATGGTCTACGAGCCATGGCGCGCTTGCCGCCGCACCTGGAAGATTGCGTGTGATAGAGGTATGTTGAGGTACCAACTGTTTGATCGACGACCTAATCATTTATTTACAGAGTTTGCATCCGTGATTCAAGACACTCTGACGAGTTCACGTCGAAATGCTCTCGATCTTTGAGGATCCCAATTCTGAGCTTGTGTCGGCAATGCACCGCGATCCGTTGTTCCAGCATATTATCGATGATAACATGACGGCAGGTGCCGAGCTAGTCAGAGCCCTGGTCTTGAGGAGTTGTGACCTCAAACATCTCTCAATCTCCTTCATGGTCGATGCCCGACAATTTTTGGACTCTTTGCAGTCAACTCATTGCTGCTACAAATTACGATCGCTCACACTCACGGCGTCCATCCTCAAAAGAGAATCCCAGAGTAGGCGAATTGCTTCTTTCTTAAGCGACGCGAGCTGGTTTCCGAAAGAGATGAAGCAGCTCGAACGATTGATACTTTGGAACAGTAAGCGAGGAGAGGCGTGTGCGGTCATCTATCAAAGGGACAGATCAAGCCAGCAAGCTACTCTGATGAGGCGCGGAACATGGCATTTTGAGCTGAATTACGAAGTGGTAGAATCCTGGAAGAAAGTCGACCCAGATTTCATCCTCCGAATCGAAAATGAGCAGCTACACGCAGTCATCAAACAAAAGGGTGATTCCATCTACCACTTACGTTTGCCAGGGGAGGTTATCGATCCAATTTCTGCCTGGCAGCTACGACAGGAAGCATTCGTGGGAGAAGAGGTCTGATGAAGGGCCTTCTTGTTGGCTCCTCATCCATTTCTTGTTAAAGAGTCAGGTACAAAAAAAAAAGTAGAGTGTCACTTGAGATGGACATGGCGATAGACAGGACAATTACTATGCAGGAAACCGTCCAAGTCATATTTGTGACGAGAAGCAAAGCGGAGAGACTGACCGAGCTGTCGTGTATGAATGACTCTACCAACCGACGACTGTTTTCGAACACTCTGAATAATACAGTAGGTACCTAGGTACCTACGCACTATTAACGTACAGAGACAACGTCAGTCTTCATGCCCTTCGCACCTACCGAAACCCACTGGGCGCTCTCACCTGCCGATACGAATCGGTCACGGTACCTGCCTCCGCCCTGTCCCACCTGTCCTTTGTCGATCTCCATCCTCTCCACTCCGTTTGTTGGTATTCGTGCTTCTGACCTTTGCTGTTGGTCGATGGTCCCGCAATCCCAGCTCTTTTCTGGTGCAAGGTGGGGTTGCGCCATTGGTCAGTGCGGTGGTGGGTTCTGGAGCGGAGGTGCTGCGGCTGCTGGGTTTTCGACCTTTAGTGGGTGACCTCTGGTTGGCTGCCCGCCCCTAGGGACCCTAAATAACTAGGTACCTAGGACGCTAAGCCTACCACAGCGCCTGACTGCAACCTCTCAGGCCTGTTGTCTGGCGGGCACCAGCGAGTGGCAGTGGGCGGAAGTGGGTGGAGTGGCAGAAAATGTGCCCTCCCGCGACACCGCCAAAAATTTCTGGAGGTGGTCGCAGCCTCACCAACCAACCCGCCTCATATGACATAGCCAAACGGTGACAAGCGCTGGTTCCTCCTACAAACCGTGTCGCTCAAGGTCAAGATGCCTCACTCCGACCTCGATCGCCCGCTGGTCAAGCGCCAAAAAACGACCCTGCCAGCTAATGCTGCGAAGCTCGCCTCCAATTCCTCTAGGATCTTCGCTCCCTTCCGAGTAGGGTTTCTTCCCACCTCCCCTGCCCATTGTGACGTCGTGTCGAGATTCTAACTCAAACCGACTGTAGACTGTTGGCCTCGTCTCCCCTACCGGCGTCCCATTCACCTCGATCCCCCTCGGCAAGACTACCTTTCAGATCTCCACCTCAGTTGGCAGATCGATCCAGACCTACGATCTCCGTCGCGGCCTCAACCTCGTCTTCATCACTCGCCCCCAGACTCCCGCCGACATCACTGCGACGCTCGCTTGGAAGGAAAAGATTTTTGCGGCATGGGGCGGATCGAAAAATGGTGAGTCCCAAGGTATCTGGGTATTCCAGAGAGGCAAGAAGGTCGACGAGCTCCAGCTACCCTCCGACTTGAATGAGCCTATCCGGCAGATCTTGGTCCTGGGGACCTGGACCGTTGCCTGTGCCTTGACCAGACTCGAAGTGTTCAAGACGGCCACCTTCGAACACTACACGACCATCCAGACTATGGCTGCCAGCAACGGCGGGAACCAAATCACTGGTGGTATCGTCTCTATGCCTACCTTCTTGAACAAGGTCTTTGTGGGTCGAAAGGACGGTTGGGTTGAGATTTGGAATATCAGCACCGGGAAACTCATCTATACCATCCTCCCTCCATCCCCCGATTGCGGTTCCGTTACTTGCCTCGAGCCGAGTCCCGCCCTCTCCCACCTCGCGATCGCCTACTCCGAAGGTCCTTTGGTCATCACCAATGTCCTCACCGACAAGCGGGTTTTGCAGATTGAGGCTGGTAGTGACTCAACCCCGGTCAATTCCATCTCCTTCAGGACTGATGGTATGGGCGCCGGCCACGATGGCCGAAAAGACGGTGTTATGGCAACTGCAACAGCTGCCACTGGAGATGTGACCTTTTGGGATCTCAACAAGGGAGGTCGCGTCATGGGTGTCCTGCGTAGTGCTCACAACCCGCCGTCCTATGATGGCCCGGCTGTTCGTGGTGGTGTCAGCAAGGTTGAGTTTCTCCCTGGTCAGCCAGTTATCCTAACCAGTGGCCGTGACAACTCGCTCAAATCTTGGATCTTCGACGAAACTCCGTTCTCCCCCGTTCCCCGAATCCTACACTCTCGAAGCGGGCATGCTGGCCCTGTCAACTGTCTCCAGTTTCTACCTTCTGACTTCGACGGCTCGGATGCCGGCAACAAGTGGCTTCTTAGTGGTGGTCAAGATCGAAGCCTCTGGGGTTGGAGTTTGCGACGGGATGGCCAGAGCACGGAACTCAGTCAAGGCAATATCCGCAAGAAGGCTAAAAAGGTGGGAATTCTGGCTACCAATGCCCTGGCCCATGGGCCGACAACCACTCTGGAAGACCTCAAAGCGCCGGAAATCACCTGCATGGCGACTTCACTGAATCGCGATGGTGGCATCGGTGCCATGCCTGGTAACCAGCCGATATGGCAAAAGTCTCAAAACCAGAAGAGGACTCAGGACGCTGAAGCCAGTGGCATGACGGGCTGGGAAAGCGTCGTGACGGCTCACAAGGACGATGCATACGCCAGAACCTGGTTCTGGGGACGAAAGAGAGCGGGTAGATGGGCTTTCCCCACAGGAGATGGCTCCAATGTCTCTACAGTTGCCATAAGCCCTTGCGGAACTTTTGCCCTCGTGGGCTCTGAAGTTGGCGGCATCGACATGTACAATCTGCAGTCTGGCACACACCGACAGCGATTCCCATCAAAGCTGACGCCGGCTCAAGCACGTCAGCTCAAGATGCAACAATTGCGACAAGCTGATGACGTGGTGCAATTGCAGAATGAAACAGGACGCAAATTCCCTGCCGGTACTGGCAGGCACACCAAAACCATTACTGGCATTGTCGTTGACTCGATGAACAAGACGATAGTATCTTGCTCTCTGGATGGTAAAATCAAGTTTTGGGATTTCTTGACTGGAAACCTCCTCGAGCAAATCGACTGGGCACCTATGACGTTCCCCACAGGGTGTAGGTATCACCCGGCCAGTAATCTGATTGCCTTCTCCTGTGACGATCTGTCGATTCGGGTGGTGGACATGGACACCAAGAGGACAATTCGAGAGTTCTGGGGCCCGCAAGGTGCAATCAACGACTTTTGCTTCTCAAGCGATGGCCGGTGGATCATTGCAGCCTCCAAGGACTGTGTTATCCGGGTTTGGGATCTTCCAACAAGTCACTTGATTGACGCCATCCGGTTGGAGAAGCCATGCAAAGCCCTGGCAATGTCCGTCACTGGCGAGTACCTTGCTGCTACGATTCAGGATGAGCTAGGAGTTACCATTTGGACCAACAAGGCCTTGTTCAAGCATGTACCAACACGGCAGATCTCGGAGAAGGAGATCAGCCAAGTCTCTGCTCCTACTGTCTCAGGCGAAGGGAACCAGGGCATGCTGGAAGGCGCTTTCGAAGATGATCAATCGGAGGCTGACGATACTGTGGTTGCACCCACCATTGAGCAGTTAAGCGCAGACTTGACGACGTTAAGTTTGGTCCCCAAGAGTCGATGGCAAACCCTGCTCCACTTGGACCTCATCAAGGAGCGGAACAAACCCAAGGAAGCCCCCAAGGCCCCTGAGAAGGCCCCCTTCTTCTTGCCCTCGGGCAAGGACAGTGCACTCGCGCAGCAGAAATCGGGAACTGATGAGGAAAACCAGTCCCGTATCACCAAGGTTGAGAAGGCTCGCTTCGAGGAGGTGCTGAGCTCCAAGCTCCGTTCTGGAGTAGCCACTGGTGTTTGTGAGTGTCCCCCATCAAAGACGATTTACTAGCCTGGTCAAACTAACATGTCCCCCAGACGACGAGTTCATTGAACACCTAAAGTCCCTCTCCCCGTCGAGCGCAGACCTCGAGTTGCGATCCTTGTCTATCGGCGATGGCGGCGAAGACTCCAACGAACTCCTCCATTTCATCCGCGCGCTGACCGCCCGCCTTCAGGCCCGCCGCGATTACGAACTCACCCAAGCCTGGATGACTGTTTTCCTTCGCTTGCATTTCGATCTCGTCATGGAGAACGAGTCCCTATTGGCGGCGCTTGGCGACTGGAAGGCGTATCAAGAGAAGGAGTGCACGAGGCTAGACGGGCTGGTTGGTTATTGCAGTGGCGTGGTTAGCTTCTTGAGGAGTCCCCGGACATAGAAGCGTTGAATTCTGATCCCTGGCCCATGACAGGTCCTGTTTTTGTTGAGATCCTTTTTGTCTGGCCTATTTACAAAAGCACATAGAGGACCAATATGAGAAACGCATCTATTCGGTTGACAAATACTATTCCATATTCCCATCTGCCGAAGTTGTCCTATCGGCTTCTACTCGTTGAACTCCGCCCCCAAGACTTGTAAAAGTACAGGTTCCCACAAGACCCTCTCTTGCTAAGCTGCTCCCCAGGTAGATTCCAAGACCCCGCCTCATAGTTTTCATGTCCGTCAAAGTCAGTGACATTGACCCATCTCTTGAAAAGTAGCCGCTGCCGGGAGGCGTCAACCACTGCCAGGAGTGGGCTCAGGTAGGGAGCTGACAGGTCAAGTTTTCTAAACCTCCTCAGCACCCCAGCCGGCCTCATCGGCCTCACGCATGTTGCTCGGGGGTTCGATGGAGGGGACGAACTCCAGGGCGACGTAGGCAATGCCGACGAAGCCGACAGCGGTACCGGCCATCTTGCTGAGGAACATCTTCCCGAGGAGAAGGCAGCCGATGAAGATGTAGACTGGGAAGTGTGAGCACGTGCAAAGAATGTGAGCTCAAGATGTGACCTACAAGCGCCGCGGCCAATGAAGGAGAAGAGGAAAGAGGCGTATCGAGAGAGCTGGGGAGGAATTTGGAACTCTACGCTACGTTAGAAGACGGACCACGACCAGTTTACGCAAGGGAAACCATACCAAGAAGCGCGATGGAAAGACCAAAGACGATCATGTAGCAGCCGACAACGATCGATTGCCTGAAGAATGATTATTAGCCTCCTTCATGTGATGGACCGAGTGCGCTTTGCGATGCGAAACATGGGACAGAGCAGGGCGCGCAAGCCGGATCAGGGCGGAACGAGGGCTCGGAATGGGACGTACAGCGAGAGGGTGAAAATGTGCGTGATACCGCCGAGAGTCGTGATGGCGCCGACGACCAGGTTAACAATGCGACTGCAGAGAAGCGATGGTTAGTTGCGATGACGTCCCGGCGCGGAGAGTGGATGCGGCGAGTGCCGACTCACAAGATGTCCGAGAGCTCCATTGCGGCGATTGCGGAAGGGGATGCGAGGTTGAATATGTGATGATGGATAAAACGACGAGGAAATCGGCGGGCGGATGGGATGCGTTTTGTTGCGCGGTTCCAGGCAGCGGTTTAACGAACCGGAGTCAGATGGGGACGATGTATGCGTAATGCGTGGCCACGAGACGACGTTGAAAGGTCGAGGAGTAGCGAGTTACGTACCTGTAGGGAGCTTGCTGTAAGCTTGCTGCTAGCCTGCGCTAGTGGACGTGCCCCAGCCACACAGGGGCTTGCGCCGCGCCTCACCGCCTGCCGCATCTGGAAAGGCCCAAGCCCCGTAGCTTAACTTACCCGTCAACCGCCGGTTTTGGCCTGCGCCGCTGCGAATGACATGGTGGGCGAAAAAGCGAGGCTGCACAAAACGAATTCGGTCCCCTTCGGATTTAGCGCCAAGCGAGGATTGACATTGACATTCTCTCGAAGAGTCTCATCACGGGCCCGCACTGGTGATGCTTCTTCTCTCGCTTCTCCGTCGCGGCCCGGCTGCGCAAGGCTCCGGCCGCTGTCTGGCACGCCAATGGCGAAGCTTACAGCGGAATAGCGAGTTCCGACGGGCGATGCATAGCCACGCGGAGGTTCAGCTTCAGAATATCCGCAACATCGGTATCATTGCCCACGTGGATGCTGTATGTCTCTACATGCGCATTCTATGAATAATTAAAACTCACAGGTTCTATCAGGGCAAAACTACCACGACGGAGCGCATGTTGTACTATAGTGGTGTCACTCAACGGGTGGGAGGTATGTCAAGTCCAATCTCATCGACAGCGTCATCTTCTACCTCACTACTCTATTGTCTCTTCATCTACATCTCACGCCTAGTGAGCATGAACTCGCTAACTTAATCAGACGTAGATTCTGGCAACACCGTCACTGACTTCCTCGAACTGGAACGGGAACGAGGAATCACCATTCAGTCCGCAGCCATCACCTTCAATTGGCCTCGCCCCCAGAATCTCCCGCCTGGAACTCAGTCGAAAACTATCAATCTGATTGACACGCCCGGCCATCAAGACTTCCGTTTCGAGGTCGATCGATGCCTGCCAATTCTAGATGGCGCTGTATGTATTATTGATTCGGTCAAGGGCGTTGAAGCCCACACGGAACGAGTATGGGCCTCGGCACACGAATTCAAGGTTCCCAGAATAGTGTACTGCAACAAACTTGACCGTGAGGGCGCATCTTTTAAGAAGGCTGTCCTCGAGATTGGGACAAGGCTCAAGGGGTGGCCCCTTGTTTGCCAGATCCCCTGGTGGGAGAAGGAGGACTTTGTCGGCGTCATCGATGTGGTTGATCGAGTGGGATATCGGTGGAAATCGGAGCGCGAAAAGACCCGTTATGACTTCCCTGAGCTCCAAAAGAAGCTTTCCAGCTCGAACCAAGACCTTCTGCCTGAAATTGAGCGAGCGCGACAGGCGTTAATTGAGGGCCTGGCAGATTTCGACGACTCCATTATGGACGAATTCCTCGAGGAAAACCAAAATATCGATGGGTCCCTCATCAAGCAAGCCATCCGAAGAGCCATCCGGACCGGCAACGGTCAAGTCATCCCCGTGTTCGCGGGATCCAGCTTTCGCCACATCGGTGTTGAGCCACTGATGGATGCCGTCAACGACTATTTACCAAGCCCTGAGGAACGTCCCTCGGCGGAGGTGCGAGTCGGCTCGACAAAGCAACGCCTTGATGATTTACTAGCCGGCAATAAGGCGGGCAAGTCTAAGATCGCGTCTATCGCTTCCGTGTTCAAGGTGTTTAATCACCCCAAGGAAGGCGTCATCAGCTATGTGCGAGTCTATCACGGCACAATGTCTAGGAATGCCTCGAGCTTCAACACCAACATGTTGATTAACGAACGGCCGATGGGCATTCTTCAGATTTCTGCATCCAAAACACAGGATATTTCAGAGCTCTCGGTGGGTCAGATTGGAGCGCTGAGGGGTCTCAAGAAGGCTCGAACCGGAGATACCCTCATTACTACTGTGGGTGGCAAGCCTGTTCCTGAGGGATTCCGGCATGTACAGATCCGGCCACCGGAGATCCCCCCGCCAGTTGCATTTCTACAGGTTGAACCATACGGAAACGTCGCTGCCCAGCAGCTCCAAACCGCGCTGGAGAATACTAGCCGTGAAGATCCCAGTCTCAGATGGAGCCGAAACTCCAAGACCGAGCAGTTTACCATCCAAGGAATGGGTAAACTCCATTTAGATGTGTCGCTGTACAGCATGAGACAAAAGTACAAGATTGACGCCGATTTTGGACCCATCGAGGTCGACTACAAGGAGTGTGTCACGATAGCTACTCGACCCCAGCACACCGTGTTCGACCGCCCGATTGCCGGCAAACCTGGAAAGGCGACTTGTACCGTCACGCTAGAGCCTCTCGAGGAACACCACCGCGAGGCGCTGCTTGATTCCAGCATCGAGAGGGACGGCAACGTTTATCATATCTCCGTCCCTCTACCAGGGGACTCGAACTCGTTGCCTTTTGATGTAGAGGATGCCGAGCACCAACTCCTTAACGGAGCCATCGCTGGTTTAGCCAGGGGTCCACGACGAGCTGCACCGATCCATGGATGCCTTGTTACCATCACACTAGACACATCACCGGGCGCATGTGAAACCCCCACTGGAGGACACTTCAGCAGTGTTGCCAGGACAGCAGTGCAGGCTGCTCTCAGGGATGCGTTCGAAAGAGAGCAGATCAGCATCCTCGAGCCCATCATGCTCGCTCACATCACATGCCCAGAGGTCACAGCCGGAACTGTCCAACACGACGTGACCGCGGGAGCTGGTGGCCAGGTCCTGGAGGTCAACGACCGGTCTGCCGAGTCGACTGGCGACGACCATATCGATGTTACCAAAATATACACCCCACCCGATCCATATGATTCGGTGACATCGTTGCGCGGCAAAAAGTCAACGGCTCGGATGGTGGAGATTGTGGCCAAGGTACCGTACAAGGAGATGCTAGACTACGATAACCACCTGCGTAGTAAAACAGCAGGCCGACATTCGATGACGATGTCGTTTGACTCGTTTGCCAAGGTGGTAGGCCACCGAGAGAAGGGGCTATGAGCGCTTAACTTTTGAAGATGTCATGGAATCAGATCAGCAGTGCATCTGCTACGTCTATGTTAAATTAAACTACACATTAGGCAATGTGTCCAGAAGTGTATGATGACGGTTAAAATTGGATTGTTAAGACATCACAATCATGAGAAATGAACATCCAAACTTGGTCAAAAGGCGGGGGCCGTTGTTTTCGACCCCAAACATAACCTCCTCTTTAATGAAACAGAATATGCATATAGCACAAAGAAGGAATCCAAACCCCATCGGGCTAAATGCAGACCTATTTTGGTAGCGCCAGGCTGCTTTGTTAAGGGTGTAACCAATCAAGACACTGATGCAAGCTGACATGCATGCGAAGGAACCATTACAAAGATGAGAGGAGCCGAATCTATAAATATCTAAATACTATGTACATGTTATGTCCAAATGTTGGTATTACACCAAATTCCAAAATTCCAAAAAAGAGCAAGAACCAAAATGCCAAAAACAGAACTATATACACGGAAAAACAAGCCACCCCCAGTCAGTAGGTGCGGGAGGATGTGTTTGTCCAAGGGTAAACTATGGTGTGTGCATATCCCAGCGTCGGGATGCGATGCAAATCAAAGAAGGAAAGAAAGGAGGCAGATCATCAGACCATCTTAGATGGCACGCTTGGGAATGCCGCACTTCTGGAGGCACTCGTCGACGCCCAGGGCAATGCTCTTGGGGATGGCCTGGCGAACGAGGTCAATGTCCGCGCCGGCGATGCTCTGACCAAAGGTGGCGGCAATCACATCGTCGGTAAGAGCGAAAGTCTCATCCTGAACCTGACCAGTGCCGAAGTCCTCAGCAGCGAAGGCAGCAACAAAGGTGGCAGGGTGGCAGTCAGGGTTGAACTGGGTGTGGACGGAGCCCTGGTAGAAGGGAGTCATCATGTTGGGGCCAAGTTCGGTGCGGATAACGCGGCGGGTGCCATCCTCGTTGTTGACACCGTTCTCAGGAACCATCTCGGTGATGAGACGGCCTGAGGTGACGATCTGGAGCTCGGCAGAGCGGGGATGGACGTGGAGGGTGTTCATTCCGCAGGCTGTAAGGAGGAAGCTTGTTAGTCTCTATAGTAGATGGAGGGAGACAAATAATAAGGAATCTCACCATCAACGCGGCCGAAGGCCATGCCAGAGCCGGTGCCAACAAGAGCAGGGAAAGTCTTGCGGTTGGCAGCGACGATTTGGCCGCCCTTTCCGGGGTTTGGCTGCTCGGCATTGAAGTCGAAGACGAACTGGTCATCCTTGAGAAGCGCGAAGCGGTCGACGGCACTGGAGAGGGTGTTAGTTGATGTCTTGAACAAACCAAGAAGGGAGCGTTTGCACGTACGTATCAGCGAGCTGAAGCTGAGCAGTCAAGCTGAGCTCTGGGGGGTAACCGCCTCGCCGGGAAGGAGCAGCAGAGGCGAAAGAGGTGAAGGCCAGGATGGCAGAAATGGTAGCGGCGGAAAACTGCATTGTGAAGATGATTGTGGTGATGAAGTGTGGAAGATGGAGAAGGTTGTGGAGAAGGCTGGGGAGAAAGTTGGAGTGAAGCGTAGACGAAGATGCGGATGTAGATGCAAAAGTATAAAGTGGCTATTGAAGAGTCTGAAGAAGCTAGAGTTGTATGAGTGTGTATGGGTGTGTAGTAGTGGCTGTTGTGATGTGTTGCTGTGTGATGATGATGTTTCGTTTCAATGACGGAACGAGGCCATCTTCTTATACATGATCGTCCCGCCCCCAGCGCAACAGCCGGGATGTCGGCAAGCCAGAGTTCATTCCAATTACAACAAGGCCCCAGTGAGTAAGAATCTGACAGTCCATGTTGTGTGATGCCAAAGATACTCCGCCGACACATGGGCTGGCATCCGGCATGTCAGACTTCCGTGGTCACCATCCCGGCCGGCGGGGCGCTCACGCATTCGCAGGACGTGCTGCGAAGGGGACCCGCATTCAATCAATCAGGCAAAAGTGCAGAAGCATCCTTCTGTAGGAGTTCCTGGTGTCTTTGTGTGTATGTTTGTGTGTATGTTTGTGTGTTAGTTGCCATGGTAGTAGTGGTGTGGCGGCTGTGGCATGGGTGGCCCAGTGTAGGTGACCCTCGCCAACATTGCAGATGCGGGCTGTGCAGCAGTCGCTGGAAGGCTGGTGAGTGGCCGCAGCGCCTATGGGCCGCCTGTGGCTGCAGTTCTTTTTGGAATCTTGAGTGCGCTGCGCCTAAAAATAACGGCGCGCGGGGGTGTTCGGCAAGCGCTAAGCGACGAGCCGTGGGAGCCGTGGAGGCCCAACAATCAATGGCGGCCGACGCCCTAACAACCCACAGCGCCTTTTTTTCTTCTTCTGGGCGACCGTCAGCAAACCGGCAGCCACAGCATCAGCACCAACCAGCGAAGGAGCTGTGCCACGGATGGATTGGAACTGCTAAGCGGGCAGCAGCGCCCCACGGAGGCACGCTGATCCGGGCGGGAAGCGGGCGGGAGCTTCGGTGCAGCGGCCAACGCAGCACTGCACGGCGCCAAACCAGCCCGGGGCGGGCGCGTCTTACCAGCATGCACCCTGTGTTGGACCCTAAATTTACAGCGAGGGCCCGCTATGGCCCGCGATGGCCCAGCGAAGCCATCCATCATCTGCAGCCTCATGCAATGTTTCCCCATTCTTCATCCACGCATGTTTCCCGGCGTTTCGTTTCGATGCCATCCGATGATGATGCTGCTCTGGATTCTATCCGGGACAAGGTCCATGCGTGTGGATGGATCTTGTCTCCGTCAGCGTCAGGATCGAAGCGGTGAAGATGGCGGGACATGATCGTTGTCAGCACTTATTTATTGTAGAGTTACACTGGGCCTCACTCAGCACTCACTACTACTGCCCGTGTGAGAGGCTGGCCAGTCCTCGAGAGGAGGAACGGCATGGAAGTGATCCATCGGCAAACAGAAGGATCCCCTAATTCGCTGTGCTAGTTGTCAAGACACAGCGACTGGACGCCTCCATATTGCAGCGAGTGAGACAATCACCGCCGTTTCAATGCATCGCCAATCAACAAAGAGCACTGTTGATCTCACATAAACGTTAAGGTTAAATTGCATCAGCACCACTCGGCAAAGAATTATCCATCTCACCTCAGAAATCAACATCGTGGGAAGTGTGAAGTTTGAAGTGTGAAATGTGCCCTCGGTTCATCTCCGCAAGCGAGCAAATAGTGACAGGCTGCTTCCAGGCTGCTTCCAGGCTCCAGCCACTGTATTACCCCTCGATTCCGACGTCGATGGACTCGATTCCTTGGGCTTGGCCGTCTCTCCACAGCGTCCCGTGCGCCACTACCGGTCGCGAATCTCACTCCACGTCTTTGTCCAAGACATGGCTTGTTTGTCGTTTATTTCTTTTTTTCTTTGTTTCTTGCTTTCTTTCCAAGTACTTCGTAGTACGCACGTGTTTTTTTTTTTTTTTCTCGCTCGACAATTAGATACGTGGATGGATGGATGCAAATCACTCAACGGCGTGTCCAAGGCGAGCAGGATTCTGCTGACGCGACAGGCCATCACAATCACCCTTTTCAGAAGGTCTAGGGCTCCTAACGCTCTAGCTGCACACGAACCCACCACCCGCACGACACGACAGCTTCAGGACGGGAGCCATTCATCAGTCTTCTGGCATGTAATGACGATGCAACACGTGCCGCCCCAACAATGAATTTCATTTGCAGTCTTGTTTTCCCATTCCTCTTCATCACCTGACGCGCTCGCCTGGTCGACATTCCTGGCCCAGAAGCGTTGTCGAGAGCGGAGCCGAGCACTGGCTACTCGGGACACTTCAGCTTGAACCCACCTCGCACGCGTTGGCGCAGCCACCAACGTCAAAAGTCTGCCCGCTTGCCCAGATTCCGCCCATGGCAATCAAAGCCAAACGAGAAGCCTAATGACCAGCCTAACAAGGCAAGTCCGTTCGTTTAACGTATGAAGTCATCACCGTCCAGGCCATCTCTGCAATCTTCAAGCCGCTAGATGACTGGGGAGGCAGAATGCGGGACGGCAAGGTCGCAACAATCAGAAACCCGTTCACAGACAAGGACTCAGTGAAGTCATCGAGACATGCGGGCGAACATGCGCGTCTAGGATAAGACACTGCTGTGAGAACATTGAGTGGGACAGCGTGTCACGCAAAGAACCGAGCAAGGCTACGTTTCAGGGCCTCGGTCTCCATCGTGTCCATCGTCGCCTTGCCATTGACCATTGCCCACCAACCGGCTCCACGGCTGGCCCATCTGCCAGGCCCCATCGTGACTCGGTAAAGGGGCCGTTTTCCTCTCGCCTCCGCAGTCAGTTGTGGCACTCGGCGAAAGCTGGATGGGATGGTGACTTCGGGTGGCCTCGCCGCTAAGACTTGGCGGGCATCACCTCCCGCATTGGCCCAGGAACAGCTATCCGACAATTCGCCCAGTCTGTCACTCGACCAGGGTCATTTTAAACTCGCTGCCCACCAGCCAATGTGATGCCATAATCTTGTCCCCTCCCCCAGCGTGTGAGGGGCAGACGCACCAGACCCGACTCAGGAAGACTCAGGAACACGCATGCACAGTCAGGCACAGTCAGGCACATTCAGGCACCGGACAGATGCCAACCCCCAGGGTCTACCAGGAACACGATCATATGTGCGGCACAGCAGTGGCAGACCAGACGAGACGAGACGCCTCGCACGTTATCACACAACCGATGGGGGCTTATTCCTTATACTATGGACACCGGCAGGGCATGCATGTTCGGCCGACAATGACTTCCCTATCCGGCTATTGTCCGCACGGTCGCTGTCTCATTGCGGATGGGCAGCCCAGGGAGGCAAGGAGGCCTTGATGAACAATGCCAATGCATTGAACCGTGGACTCATCGACATGGTGAGGTCTAATCTGCGACGAGGATGAACCCCCTGACGCAACGGGGCCCAGCCACGACAGGATTGGCTGCGCACGGCCAGCAGGAGATGAGATGCCTGTCTCATTGGGCAGCGTCTCATTACCCCGGCCCCCGTCGCCGAGAGGCTGCTCCACAATCGAGCCGGGCTTCACGGGGCAGGGCGGGCCAGGACGGACCAGAACCGACGCAGAGCAGGGCAGAACAGGGCAGCGCAGGCCAGAGGGAGCAGGCCAGAGCAGGCCAACGGGAGACCAGGGGCCCGCCAGACGAAACCAAAGAGGGCCACCGGGTAGCTCCCTGGGGCCACCGGCGGGAGGCGAAAGGGCCGTAGCCTCATGGGTCAATCTCCAGCCGCCGCTGGTGGTGTTGCGCGTGGTTCTGGTTTGGTGCTGGTCCCGCGGCGCTGCTCGACCCTCATTTCCTGGGGCCCATCCCATCTGCCCTCGCGCTGTCCGTCTCCTGCTGCCGCTGTCGATCTCATTGTTGACTCGTTTCCCCGACCCCGTCGCTCTTTTTCATCTTGTTTCTCTTGTCTCCGTAAATACTGCTCGTGCTGCTGGTCCACGACTCCCTCGCTTTCGCCTCGTCGGCTTCGCACTCATTCACTTGCTCGACGCGACATCCGCTCATTCACCTCGGACCAGGTCCTCCCCCAGTTCGCGACACGCGTGGAGGAATATCTCTCATTCAGAACAACCGCGCTTGGATCTTTCGCAAGTGCCCCGACGCTCATTTTTCGACGAAAACCCCAATGAAGCTCACGACCCTCCCGACTGCCCTTGCGGCGGTCGTGTTGCTGGCCGTCCCCTCTGTCAACGCCAAGGCTCATCGCCATCACGGCCGCGATCATGACCATTTGCGACCTCTACCCGAATCAGCCTCGTTCTTCGAGCTGCCCATCGTCCAGAAGCGTGGAGGAAAATGCCAGTTCCCTACCGATGACTCCAACATGGTCGCTGTCACCCCCGACGAGAAGAACGCTGGCTGGGCCATGAGCCCTGATCAGGAGTGCACTCCCGGCAGCTACTGCCCTTTCGCCTGCAAGCCCGGCATGGTTATGGCTCAGTGGGAGCCCGATTCCACCTACGTCTATCCCTCATCAATGGTAGGTTGGCTTTTGATCGCCTTGTTCGATGAACCCAACTGACTCGTCTCTCAGAACGGCGGCTTGTACTGTAACGATGACGGTGAGATTGAGAAGCCCTTCGACGACCAGCCCAACTGTGTCGAGGGAACCGGATCCATCCAAGCCGTCAACAAGTGTGGTTCAAAGATGTCCTGGTGCCAGACCGTCCTGCCTGGCAATGAGGCCATGCTGATTCCCACTCTTGTCACTGGCACCGCCACCATCGCCGTTCCCGACCATTCATACTGGTGCTCTACCGCTGCTCAGTAAGTGACTCAAAGTTGAAGCGCGATGATTCAAAGTCGATGAGTCTAACTGTCAATCAGCTTCTACATTAACGGTCCTGGTGTCGGAGAAGAGGGCTGCATCTGGGGCTCCGAGAGCGAACCCATTGGTAACTGGAGCCCATACGTTGCCGGTGCCAACACCGACTCTAGCGGCGAGACCTTTGTCAAGGTCGGCTGGAACCCCATCTGGGAGGATTCGGCCCTGAAGGGCACGCTGCCTGACTTTGGAATCGAGATCAAGTGCCCCGGCGGTGGCTGCAACGGCCTGCCCTGCAAGATTGATCCCTCAGATGGCGAAGGTGCAGTTCAGAGTTCCGAGAGCGCCGTCGGTGCTGGTGGCGCATCCTTCTGTGTCGTCACTGTCTCCAAGGGCAGCACCGCGCAGATTGTCGCCTTCAGTGTCGGTTCCAGCTCAATCTCAAGCACCGACGATTCTAGCGACGATTCTGACGACAAGGAAACCGAATCCGAAACCTCGACTGAGGCCGAGTCCACCACTGAGGCCCCTGAGACTACCTCAGCCGAGCCCACTACTACTAGTGAGGAGCCAACTACCAGCGAGGAGCCCACAACCTCGACTACCGAGGAGCCTACCACTACTTCGACCACAAGCATCAGCTCTGCCACCCCCACTTCGACCGAGGAGGAGACCACGAGCACGACCGAAGCCTCGACCACGCACTTCACCAGGAAGGCCACCAAGACTAAGGCGGAGTATACCACCAAGTCCCACCCCACTGTCAACCCGGGTATCTTCCACGAGAACGGCACCACCACTTCTGAGGCTGATGAGACCATCACCGATAAGCCCTCTGCCACCGCCGACTCCGAGTCTGGTTCCCAGGCTGCCCCCACGACTTCCAAGGAGGGCGAGGCTATCCGCCATCAGGGAAGCGCCGCCGTCGCCAGCTTCGTCGTGGCTTTCATCGCCGCTGCTTGCTTCTTTTAAACGAAGAAACTAGCTGAACAGCATATATTCGCTTCGTTCTCAGTCAGCCTGCTAGTTCTTCACCCTCTTCGCAGCCCCCCCTCAGCCACCGTTCTCGCCGCCCATCCTGGCAGCTGGCATTCTTCTCTTCTCCGGCTCCTATTTTCCAAATCGGTCTTTTATATGAGGCTATATTTTCATCATTCATTTTTTACATATATTACAAAGCCAACCACCCTATCGGCGATAGTGTTTATTACCTTAAACCCCTAATGCATCTATGCTTCGGTCTCCGACTGTAGTAGCAATCAGGACTCACGGATGCCCATTTGGACATGCTCTGATTCATATCGAAGGATCTTTAACCACGAGAATCTCACGGCCCTTGGGCATTATTCTATTTTCTACGCTTCGTTTCATGGTCGATATACCCTTTTACACAGCATTGGAGGTTTCGAATCTTGGAGGAAAAGCGAAATGAGCAGCGATACTTCCAGATTTTGATGGGATTTGTTTTTTTGATGATGCATGTATCGGAATTAGTTGTGTGTCGGAGAAGAGGAGGATGTCGTTGGAACAGACAGATTCGTTGCATGGGATGACCTTCTGGGTCATCTCGGGTCCTTTACGGACCTTTTTTTGCTTTTTATTCTGAGCAGAAAAGAGATGATCAGACATGTTTATTTATGAAATCATGTTCCTACATGGAACCACGGACAAAAGGAATGTGGAAGATCAAGCCAAGTCATTTTGCTTCAGACAGCCGTTGTGCCTCTCTACTCTCGTGATGTTTCCAAGACATGCATGTGATGTGTTATCTCCTGGGTATCATGTATTTATTTTCCGATCTATCCTAAAAGTTACATCACGGATCCCATTGCCGAGTTCCATCCTGATCCCTCCTATTCCTTAACCCAACCAACAACCTCCTCCGGGTCAAAGTCCTCCTCGTACCGCCTTTCGCGGATCGTCTGCCACACATTGGGCCATCCCGCCAACACGGGCCCCTTGGCTTTGGCACCGATGATGGCGAAGCGGCCCTGGCCGTGGGCAACGAACCCATGCATGAAGCCCTGTTGAACGAGTGTCGCCACCATCATCTCGACATCTTCCGTGGTGACCTCTGCGTTGCCCCAGATCATGCCCTCGTTGGGCCGCAGAGCTTTGGGGCCACCGGGGGGAGGCGCCAGCGTGGACATCCCTGGATCTGGAGCGTTGTTGGCGAGTGCTTTCATGAGGAGTGGGTTCACGTGCTGTGGGCGGCCGAGAGCGTTGGGGTTGGAGGGTAGCCAGCCCTCGAGGCGGCGCTGAAGGTAGACGGCGACAGTTTGAAGGTCTGCGAGGTCGAGGGTGGCAGCTTTCCGAGAGGACGCGTCAGTGGGGGGAACATAAGTTAATATGAAGGCCTTGCGACTGAGAGACCGCCACAAAAGTGGACGCAAACGGTGGGTAAGCGTCAACAGTAGGCCCTTCTCAAAAAGCCAGGTCTCATGTGTTGCAAGGTGGTGCTGGAACTGGATGAAGTTTCCAGAGCGGATGGCCTGGCAGAGAGGGATGAAGATGGGTGTGAGGGACAGGGCCTCTGGTCGCTGGAGGAGGGTCTGCGAGGGGAAGCGACCGAGTAGGATGTTGCACGGGATGAGGTAGGTGAGAATGTTTGTGCGGTGGGAGACAAGTTGTTGGGGGGTCTGTAAGTAGGCCTCTTGTAAACAAAGGGCAGCACGAAGGTAGTGGTTGTTGGAGAAGTTGAAGCGGCCGAGGTAGTAGAGGAAAGTGACGCGCTGGGCGGCTGGGTAAAGGGCCAGCGGCGGGGATATGGTAGAGATATTGACGAATATCATCTTTGCGAGATGCGTCCTCCGGCACTATAATCGATTAGTCGGTCTTCATACAGTACAGTCGACGTCGAGCTAATGGGAACCGTACTGCAAAGAGGAGCTTGAGGACGAGGTTGGCAAACATGTAGACGCCAATCTTCTTGCCCTCGGGCTTGCTGTAGCGGCCACTGGAGCGGTCCGTCAGGCAAGTGGTGAAGATCTTCTGGATGATTTCGGCCGACGACTCGGCGATGGTCTTGTCCTCGTCGACGGAGCGGAGGCGGCGCGTCAAGTCTGGCCGCCGGTTGAGCCTCATGGTGAAACGGGCGAGCGTCTCGGAGAGGGACATGCTGGTCTTGAGGAGCATGGCGCCGTACGTTGGATGGGCAAAGGCCGTGGCGCATGAACTGGTTCGGCGTCAGTGAGTCGGTCCCTTTGTAGATTCTATGGTATGGCGTGGGTTGAAGATGGATGTGACGAACGACGTACTTGACAAGGCCACTGAGAAGCTGGTGAGCGCGCAGCAAATCGGCATAATCGATGTCCCGCCAGAACGCGAAGTAGTCCTTCATAAAGGCCACAAACCCGGGCCAAACGGTGGCCTGCCCCTCCGGAACATCGTCATCCTGGGGCAGAGACTTGTCGATGATGTTGTCGAGCCCCTGCTGGCGGAACTGGGAGCGCAACTCAGCCGCGAGGTTGTGGTACTGCTGCGGCGAGCCGGGCTCGACCTGTAGCCAGGAGCGCAGTTCATCGCCGTTCTGAGACCGCACGTATTGGCGGATCTGCGAGAGGAACTGAATGACGAGAGGCATTGTGGGCGGTGGAAAACGCGTGCTGCGTAGCGTTCACTCGGTTGAGGAATGAGCGCGCGGCTGCGCGTGATGATGAGTGACGTTGCGGGTGAGTGTAACAATGAGCGAGCGAGTGAGTGAGTGAAGCGACGAGTGAAGTCGGTCGAAAATTGTCCGAGCTCCACTGGTTGCCGCGGAACAATACAAAGAAGAGCTGTATTATCAGAAACAAGATGTGAAATTCAATTGAACCAATTGTTAATATTCATACATTTAGAAACCAACTCAACAGTATCCCGCTCGTCCTCGCCAATGGTACCCCCATGTTTATTTGTAAACTGGTTGTCTGGACGCTGGGTGTGGCGGAATAGTTCCATGCCATCCCTCGAGAATTAGTTACCCTATAGCTGACTTTCATGTCATTTGGACTCTACCAATGTTAAGCCGAATTGTTTCCCATATTTGTGTTCTTTAAGGTGGTTCATTTCAATAGATTGTGTAATTTTATGAATTGGTATCTTTTGTGATTTGGTCGTTCCCGCAACACCACTTAATCCGTGTCGTTTCACGTAACAATAATCTACACATTTTCAACTTATACCGATTCGATGCGTTGCACCACAAGGGCGGTCGCCGCACCACCGCCGTTGCAAATTGCTGCAACGCCATACTCACCAGGCTTGAGCTGATGCAAAAGGGTCGTCAGGATTCGGGAACCAGAGCTTCCCAGAGCATGTCCCAGTGAGATGGCACCGCCGAGAGGGTTGACGTTGGCACCCTCGAGTCCGAGAATCTTGGAGTTGGCGAGGATCACAGCGGCAAAGGCCTCGTTGAACTCCCAGTGGGCCACCTGGTCCTTGGTAATACCTGCGCGCTCGAGCGCAATAGGCACTGCCTTTGAAGGCGCAACTGGGAAGTCGATGGGGCTCATGGCAGCATCGGCGTAGCCGCAGATCTTGGCAAGGACGCGGGAGCTGGAGCCATACTGCTGCGCAATGGCCTTGTTACCGAGGACGAGGGCGCTGGCACCATCGTTGAGCGTCGAAGAGTTCGCCGCGGTGACGGTACCAGATCCGTCACGGACAAAGGCGGGCTTGAGAGTGGGGATCTTGTCGAACTTGACGTCCAAGAAGCCCTCATCGGTGTCAACGACGACCTCGCCCTTGCGGGTCTTGACAGTTACGGGAGCGATCTCATCGGCGAACGCCTTGTCCGCCCAGGCCTTCTGAGCATTCTTGTAAGACCGTATGGCGTACTCGTCTTGCTGCTCGCGGGTGAGGTTGAACTTCTTGACGGTGTTCTCGGCGCAGTTGCCCATGTGGAACTGATCGTAGACGTCGGTCAAGCCGTCCTTGATGAGGCCGTCCTCCATCTTGACGTGTCCGAAGGCGGGGAGTCCGCTGGCGCGCGGTACGTAGAGGGGAACCTGGGACATGTTCTCCATTCCACCGGCGACTTGGGCTTCTGCCAGACCCAGCTGGATGTTCTGCGCAGCAAGGGCCACCGACTTGAGGCCGGAAGCGCAGACCTTGTTGATGGTGGTGGCCTCGACCGACTCGGGCAGGCCGGCAAAGATGACAGCCTGGCGAGCAGGCGCCTGGCCTACGGAACCCTGGAGGACGTTGCCCATGTAGACGTCGGTGATCTTCTCAATAGGAACATTGGACTTCTCGATGGCAGACTTGATGGCGACGGCACCGAGCTTCGGTGCTGACACTGTCAAGAAGGCGCCATTGAACTACACTACGGTCAACGACATGTCGGAAGCAGGGCCCTCCACGCAACAACGGTATTTACCTTGGCAGTGGGGGTTCTGGCGGCACTCAGAATGTAGGCATCCTGAAGCTCCTTGCGCAGAGCTGGGCTGGTTCCGAAGCGGCGCGTCGAGTTCACATGCACATGGCCGGCGAGCTGTGCCACCCGGCTGGCGGATCTGAGATGAGATGTGACAGGCATTGTGGGAGGAGGTGAGGGAGAAGGAACTTGGCTGCGAGAGGAGAGAAGCCGCAATAGAGAAGACGCAGGTCAGAGCAGAAATACCGTAGATAGTCGAGGTCCAGCCGCTTCCCGCGGAACAATACAATGGCCCTCGGGTATGGCTGGCACTGCGATGGAGGATGGAGTCGGCGGACAAGGCCCTCCGCTCGGTCCACTCGGTCCTCTTCGGCTTACAGCGGGGGTGATTCCGAGAGTGGCGGGCACCACTTTTTGGGAGAGCCGAGCCATCTCCGGAGCCGATAGTTAACAAGGCACCAGAATCCTCAGAGGGGCACTGTTATAACCCGCCTTTGCTCGCCTTTACCTACCCAATGCGACGCCTCTGGAGCTTTCCACTGCCATCCACGGCCATCTACTGCTGGATTGAGCGCCAAAACCCCCGGTAGGCGGCCATTCTGCAGCTTTCGCCGTGCGACTCTTCGGCACTGTGCGTATCCTGCCGAGCCCTAACGCGCCTACAACTGGCGACTATCGCCCATTCCAGTTCCCAGCGGACAGACACACTCGCGTGGGGAGCATGTGATCGGCAGCTGTCGAGCTCTGGAGCTCCCTTGAAACGACCTGAACGAGTCACGTGCCAATTCCAAAACGGTGGGAACTTTTGGATGCAAGTGATTGGCCACACACCTAGCGGCCTGTGATTGGCAGAGTCGCCACCGATACTGGGCCTTGGGTCGAATCACTCGTGAAGGCGTCGATGACCAATCTCCATTTCCGCCCGTTTCCGTCCATCCTGACTCCTTGCTCAGCCTGTTTGCTCGACGTGAACCCTGGGAACTATCCGTCATTTTGAATAGAAGGCTCCCTGGCCAGCTCTGCACTAGAACTTCCCGCAAACACCATCGCCCGTGCAATCCTTCGGACCCCCAACCCCTACGCCTCCCCCCAGCGTCCCCCTCCGATCCATCTATCATCATGTCCACCGCCGCACGTCGTCGCTTGATGCGAGACTTTAAGGTTCGATCTGATTCCACGGAGCTTCCAGCCGTGATTCCAATGCTGATCGTGGCTGCAGCGGATGCAAACCGACCCTCCCGCCGGTGTATCAGCGTCCCCAGTCCCTGATAATGTCATGACGTGGTATGTCGCTGCCGTCGAACGCCTCCGACCGCCGGCCTGAGTACTCATTGCCTTGCCTATAGGAACGCCGTCATTATCGGTCCCGCCGACACCCCATTCGAGGATGGCACTTTCCGACTCGTCATGCAGTTCGAAGAGCAGTACCCAAACAAGCCGCCGCAGGTCAAGTTCATCAGCCAGATGTTCCACCCGAACGTATACGCCACAGGGGAGTTGTGCTTGGATATTCTTCAGAACCGATGGAGTCCTACCTACGACGTCGCTGCTGTTTTGACTAGTATCCAGAGGTAAGGAGGCCATGTTTCCAGCGTCGAGAGCTGGACGGCGTGCTGACAATGGACAGTTTACTCAACGATCCGAACACGGGCTCCCCCGCCAACGTCGAGGCATCCAACCTGTACAAAGATAACCGAAAGGAGTACACGAAGCGTGTTAGGGAAACGGTGGAGAAGAGCTGGGAAGATTAGACGACGAACGGCCACACCAAGGGTAGTCCCCAACGATGGACACGCGAGCAGCGTTGATTCATCATTGGGGGCCTGGTCTGGCTTGGCGTGGTATCTAACCACATCTCTACGTATGCTCCTTCGCTCGGGAAACCGGACCAAGACAGGCGGGGCAGTTATCTGGCGTTCTGGTGCGTGGAGTTGGACTGATTGCATTCGGGGGCGTTACCTGCGCTGCTGAGGGCGGAGGCGGCCTCCTCGGCCCTGGGGCTGTATACAGACATGATATCACGAGGCTCATTAGGAGAGGCGTTTTCCCGTTCCCGCTTCTGTATTTAAAAACAAGAGTTTGCACTGCATCAGAATTCAAGCCACATGCTGTTATCATGGAACAAGAGACAGCCACAAGCCACAGTGATAACAGACGTGTCGCGAGCGTGTCGCGAGGGTGCATTCGGCGAGCCTCATGGACAAAGGAATGACCCCTCCTCGTCATTCCGCGACCGGCAGCTTTCCCGCCCTGCATTGTTTGCAATCTTACAGTTCTCGAGGGCGCCAGGGCCCCGCTCTCCGCTGCCTTTTTGTGATTGACCGCCTGTGGCCCCTTGCGGCGGTTGCTTTTTCAGAGGGGTGCCGGCGCCTGTTAAGGCGCTGCCGCACAAGTACAGTGGCTCAGCGGGGGCCGTTAGGCATTCAGCAGTGGCTCAACGCTCGACGCCGCCGCATTGCAGCCACCCAAACTGCGTAAAGTCGGCTGAAACGGGAGCCGGGGCCCGGGGACAGCGACTTACGCGAATGCTCCTGGCGCGTCGCCCCAATCAACTCCATCAACGTAACCCACCGCCAGTCGTTGTCGTTGACATCCCAAACTACTGTGTGCGCCGCAGCGTCTCTGTTGTGTTGCTGATCGCACCACCACAACCCCACGGCCGCCGTGTCTTGGCCCTTTGAGCTGTCGTATCGTCGTCCCGCTCGTCGAGGCCCTCTTGTTTGCTCGAGGCCCGTCCTACAGCCATCGTCGCCGGTTAGCGGCCCTTGCGTGCGTTTCCGCTGCAGCCCGCTGCCCGCATCTCGCAGCTACCCCCCCCTGATACTCCAAGCGGTCGACCGCCGCGGCCGATGATAACGCCCTTCGTGTGACGTGCAAACCGCGCCCAACATGTCGGCTCCGAACAGCATCAAGGTCGTCGCCCGATTCCGGCCCCAGAACAAGATTGAGCTGGAGTCGGGCGGCAAGCCCATTGTCTCCTTCGATGGCGACGATACATGCACTGTTGACGTATGTCTCCCGTCCCCGATCCCTTATGGCCCCGCGGACACGACTAACTGGCCTTGCAGTCCAGGGATGCTCAGGGCAGTTTCACCTTCGACCGAGTCTTTGATATGACCTGCAAGCAACAAGACATCTTCGACTTCTCTATCCGCCCCACCGTCGATGATATTCTCAATGGCTACAACGGTACCGTCTTCGCCTACGGCCAGACCGGTGCTGGTAAGTCGTACACCATGATGGGAACCAACATCGATGAAGACGAGGGCCGAGGTGTTATTCCCCGCATCGTCGAGCAGATCTTCGCCAGCATCATGTCCAGCCCCGGCACCATCGAGTACACCGTGCGAGTCAGCTACATGGAAATCTACATGGAGAGGATCCGCGATCTGCTCGCCCCTCAAAATGACAACCTGCCCGTGCATGAGGAAAAGAACCGCGGTGTTTACGTCAAGGGCTTATTGGAGATTTACGTTTCAAGCGTCCAGGAGGTGTACGAGGTGATGAAGAGGGGAGGAAACGCCCGAGCTGTCGCCGCCACCAACATGAACCAAGAGTCCTCGCGATCACATTCGATTTTCGTCATCACAATCACCCAGAAGAATGTGGAGACCGGTTCGGCGAAGAGCGGCCAGCTGTTCCTGGTCGATTTGGCGGGTAGCGAAAAGGTGGGGAAGACTGGCGCCAGCGGCCAGACCCTCGAGGAGGCCAAGAAGATCAACAAGAGTTTGAGTGCCTTGGGAATGGTCATCAACGCCCTGACCGATGGCAAATCCTCACACATTCCTTACCGAGATTCCAAGTTAACCCGTATTCTCCAAGAGTCGCTGGGTGGTAACAGCAGAACAACTCTCATTGTCAACTGCTCCCCTAGCAGTTATAACGATGCTGAAACGCTGGGAACTTTGCGCTTTGGTACGAGAGCCAAGTCAATCAAGAACAAGGCCAAGGTCAACGCTGAGCTTAGTCCCGCTGAACTCAAGTCGCTACTTAAGAAGGCCCAGGGACAAGTTACCAACTTTGAGAGCTATATTTCGAATCTGGAAGGCGAAATCCAGATGTGGCGTGCGGGAGAGTCTGTTCCTCGGGACAGGTGGGCAGCGCCTCGAGTTGCTGATGCTGTTGCTGGAGCCAAGGCGGAATCACGAGCACCGCGACCTTCCACTCCCTCTCGATTAACAGCAGAGAGTCGCTCTGAGACTCCTGCGATATCCGAGCGCTCTGGCACACCCAGTTTGCCCCTGGATAAAGATGAGAGGGATGAGTTCCTGCGCCGAGAGAATGAACTGCAGGACCAGATTTCAGAAAAGGAGACCCAGGCTGCCGCCGTTGAGAAGCACCTCCGTGAAACTAAGGAGGAGTTGGCTTACCTAAAAGAACATGATAGCAAGGTTGGCAAAGAGAACGAGAAACTTACGACCGAGGTGAATGAGTTCAAGATGCAGCTGGAACGACTGACTTTCGAGAGCAAGGAAGCTCAGATCACCATGGATGCTCTGAAGGAGGCCAACTCGGAACTCACAACAGAGCTTGACGACGTGAAGCAGCAGCTCCTCGATGTCAAGATGAGTGCCAAGGAAAACGGTGCCGCCCTCGACGAGAAGGAAAAGAAGAAGGCCGAGAAGATGGCCAAGATGATGGCCGGATTCGATCTGGGTGGTGATGTGTTCAGCGAGAATGAGCGCTACATTGCCGAGGCTATTGAGAAGGTCGATACCCTCCACGACATGAGCGCCGTTGGTGACAACATCGCACCGGATGAGTTTAAGGCACTCCGCGCCCGACTGGTCGAGACCCAGGGGATTGTCCGACAGGCCGAGCTGTCCATGTACGGCACCTCTTCCAACGACTTGGATAGCCGCCGGAGACAGGAGCTCGAGACTCGACTGGAGGCCGTGCAGCAAGAGTACGAGGAGGTGCTGGCCCGAAACCTTGGTCCCAGTGACATAGAGGAAGTCAAGGCTAGACTGGAGAATGCCTACTCTAACCGCGAGTCGGCGCAGATTCAGCTTGTCGATGAATTGAAGGAGGACGCTGCCCAAAAGGCGGCAGAGAACTCAAGGATGAAGACGCTGATCGACGACCTGCAACAGCGGGTCAAGGCGGGAGCCACCGCACCCATGGCCAACGGCAAGACCATCCAGCAGCAGATTGCTGAGTTCGACGTCATGAAGAAGAGCCTCATGCGAGATTTGCAAAACCGATGCGAGCGTGTCGTGGAGCTCGAGATCTCCCTTGACGAGACTCGGGAGCAGTACAACAACGTCCTGCGGTCGTCCAACAACCGCGCACAGCAGAAGAAGATGGCCTTCCTTGAGAGGAACCTGGAGCAGCTTACCCAAGTCCAGCGACAGCTGGTCGAGCAGAACTCGGCCCTCAAGAAGGAGGTTGCCATCGCTGAGCGCAAGCTCATTGCCAGAAACGAGCGTATCCAGAGCCTGGAGAGCTTGCTGCAGGACAGCCAGGAGAAGATGGCTGCCGCGAACCACAAGTTAGTGCCCCCTATAAACCTAGCGCACCCAACAGAACTAACAGTGCCCCTTAGATTCGAGGTTCAGCTGGCAGCAGTCAAGGAGCGCCTCGAGCTCGCCAAGGCCGGCAGCACGCGTGGCCTCAACTCCCCCGGCGGCTTCAGCTTTGCCAGCGCGGGTAGCCGCATCGCGAAGCCCCTCCGAGGTGGAGGTGGCGCCAACGAGGGTGCCCCCCCTACCATCCCGACGATCCAGAACCTCCACCAGAGTGAAGGAAACAGCAACAAGCGAGCCAGTTGGTTTTTCAACAAGTCATAGACGGAAAGCCCCCCGCCCACCGCGGGCTTCGGCTTTGGGCGGCGTTGTGAGCAGGACCGGTAGACCCCGCAACATACCCCATACCCATTCGATGAGCTTCTACTTTTCCTTTGTGACTTTTTAACGAGGGCCATAGAGAATGGGGGTGGCAAACGATGATTGGATTTATGATACGCCTTGAGACGGGATGAGGGATGGGTGGACCGAGTGTCTGAGCGTGAGAGACGGCTACCGAAGGGTGGTAGTTTTGCATGGGCGGGAGTTTATCACGACCACGCCACGGATGAGTTAAAGACGCTGAATGAATTGAGTTTCAAGAAATCGTTGTTATTTGGTACGGGAGGAGTAGAACTATCTTAGAAGACTCTTTGACATATAACTGAGGCATGCAACTGAACCGATCCAACATAAAGAAAGCAGAGGCGATATTGTAATAATAACCCGTTGTAATGCGCCATTCCAAGAGATAGTGAGTAGGGTCGTGTCCAAAATTCGGCGACCCGGCTTAACATGAAACATGCTTATTCGAAACCTGAGTCAACAGATGGGGAGCAGATGCGATTCTGAGTGATGTCTGGACGACACCAGGTGGCAGGGGCTTGCGACACTACTGCTTGTCGGAGTTGCCAGTCTTGATAGCCAGGATGGACCACTGAGTACCCACAACGGCGAAGATCAAGAAAGTGGTGGCCATGGAGATGGCCATGATCTTGACGTAGAGAATGACTAGGCGGCGCCAAGCGGCCTTGCTGAAGGTGGACCACGCATCGGCGAGGGAGACATAACCCTTGCCACTGACAACGGCGGGCTCGACCTTGCCCTGGAAAGTGCGGTCAAAGGGAATGATGGTCTCGAGAGTGTCGGGGAGGAGGGACGCTTGGACGCGGACGAGGGTGACATAGGCCGGGACAACCATGAAGAGCTGCACACCAATGGAGGCCAGGCTGGCTACAACGATCTTCCAGCTGTCGCTCTTCTCAGGAAACCCGACGGACGGGCTGTTCCTGTAGTCGGGGAACTTGAAGTTCAGGATCAAGGAGAAGAGGAAAGGAGCCCAGCTGGCCAGCGCGTTAGAGAACCAGAAGAGCGCGACGGGGCGCCAGGTGGCCTCGAATGTGGATCGGAAGGCGGGGAGGCGTCTCCAGAAGTTGATGGGAGAGCGAGGAGTAATGACAATGTGGACCCAGGCGGTGCTATACTGAACCAAAAGGAGGGAAGCGGGAAGGGAGGCAATTGGGCTCAGGTAGTAGCCGAGGATAGGAGTCAAGAAGCCAGTTAGGACAACGTTGACGAAGCCCTGGAAGACGTAGCAGCCGAAGCCGCGGAAGATGGCACGGAAACCACCTTGGGACTTCAACAAGCGCCAGGTCGCACGGAAAGACGAGGTGATGGGACGAGCATCGTGGGCGACGGGGGCAGTGGGGATGGCGGCGGAGGCGGTCTTGTTGACCGGGTTGGTGACACCGGCGGGCACGGGGACTCCGGGTACGGAGCGGGAGGCTTCGAAATCGAGGGCTACGGGCTCGTAGGCAGGGGGGTTCTCATCCTCGATGATTGCGAAGACGGGGAGGACCTTCTGGAGAGTGTAGCTGGTCTGATGGGACAGCAGGTGTTAGTAGCTGGTGGTTGTATTTAGAGTGTGGGGAGGACATACCAGGATCAAGAAGGGGAGAAGGACGATGAAGTCGCCCAAGAAGATGAGCCAGCCCCACCAGGGGAGCTGGGGAGGCGATGAATGGGGTTCGGAAGGAGAGTCAGAGGCAGTTTCGACGGCCAGGTTGACGGCACGTCTCAGGAGCGTGGGAGCGATATGGGAGAGCATCGTGGGCCAACGGTTGGTGGCGATGCTGGTCGTCGTCTCAATCTGGCGAGAGGTAGAGTGGTGGTCAGGTTCCAGCAGTGGAACAAAATGACATGAGAAGGAGAAGAAGAAGAAAAAAAAGAGAAGCTGGTGATGACCAGGTGAAATATTTGATGAGAATGTTCCGCACACAAGAGAAGATTGCGATGGTGCTGACGGACGAAGGAAGTTGAGGCAGGGTGGTGCACTGCCCTTTAATTATGATGCGGACGACCAGGCAGGCGTGGGGCGTGGGGCGTGCAGCTTCAGAGAACGCCCCGCCGAGACGCCCCACGGGCTGTTTTTGGCGGGTCCCTGCAGCCCGGAAGGCAACATTAGCGGGGCTCGGGTGAGTGGCGGGGCGCTGTCTACGCTGGACGCACTGGGATGATGCACAGCAGGCAGCCTGGCTTTGCAGGCCTGGAGGAATGACACAGCCACACGCTGCCAAATCCTTCCAGTGGATATTCGATGGCGATGGCTTGACATTGGCAGGGATGCCCTGAGCGACCGAGGGACAGCTGGATCGTTGATCCAAGTCGAGCCAACCAACACCAACAGCCAAGTCAACGCTCATACTCGGGTTTAAAAGACGACACTGAATGCCTCTGGTACAGTTTCAGGCGTGGTAAGGCTGGGAGCACACCCTCATGGCAGTCCCCCGGCTCGGACATTACTCAATCCGGTAATGGGCGGGCTTCGTGTGTTCGCCCTCTGTAGTGACATTCACGGTGCTGTGACTGACGCGTTTGGAGAAGGATCTATCATAGCCACTCATATAAATCAATGAGGCCCTGGAAAGGGACAATAACACCCAATGATGACTGTCTCTGGTTGTCTTTGTCAACTTCTCCTTCCTTCAGTGATGATGCTAGAACAACAAAGTAGGTGGCGTCTCCCACTAGTTCTGCAAGAATGTCACAGCATGTTGTGGTTGGTTTGGCATACGAAGCTCTGTTCGGCGATTTCTATTTCAGTCCAGTCGGACTCCGGGGCGATCCATCTACCGGTGGTCCCGGGGCCGGTCGGTGGTCGCCATTGCCCGCGCGCTTTGGTGCAGCGCGAAATGTGTAGAAAATACAGGGCTCAGGGGGCGTCTGGACCTTAAACCCCCCCGCTGCACCCCTCCTAAGGCGACAAACAGGAGTTGCTGGTTGTGCCTGAAACCGCGTACTGCTGCAGCCGGTTGGTTGCTGAGCCATGATTGATATAGAAAGCGGAGGAGCGCGTTTGTCAACAATGTGTTTTTTAAACCCGCAAGGGGTGCATCCTGGGAACTTCGTCATTTGGTTTGCAAGGGGCAAAAGTCTTGTTTGACTTAACTTAGATATTCACTGGATGAAGCCAGATGCACCAACATTGGAAGTGGATGATTTGCGTGCCCCGCAGTGTAGCTTCCCATCAGGCTGAGATCCGACGTCACTGGTGCAGCTAAAGAGGTCCGCTATCGAGGTCCGCTAGAGAGAGCTCCATCTAGCTGAGCTCCATCTTGTTGACACCGTTGAACCTCTCTTTTATATCCCTCCGAAAGCCGCACAACCCTTGTCCAATGTCACACATGTCGGCCCCGAACATCCAGAATCTGCTGAATTCTCTCCGAGACGGCCGCGGCGGTCGCCCCGGACGAGGTAGAGGCCGCGGCGCCCAGGGTCCATCCGCCATCACCCACGAAGCCGCCATCCAGGGCACCGATACCGATGCCGCCGTCTCCAGGCTGAGCGCCGTCGACATGAACTATCTCGACGACCCGTACGCTCCGTACTTTGTCCAAAGTGTCGACGGCCCCGCGCCACGGCGGTTGCCCATTATCAACCGAGGTGGGCCAGCATCCCGAGCTCTCGAGTGAGATGCTCTGTCTATGCTACCCTGAGCTGAGCTGAGCCGGCTGTAGGGACTTACACGCGCACCACCGCCCTTGACACCCTCGTCGACTCGTTTCTCGCCGACGAGGAGGGTGCGGAACCGGGAACCGCGCCGAAGCAAATCGTGTCGTTAGGCGCCGGCACTGATACGCGGCCGTTTCGCTTGTTCACCCAGCCAGGAAGAACGGGGCTGGTTTATCATGAGATCGATTTCGACACCACCTGCGCCAAGAAGCTGCGCACCGTCCAGGCCACCCCCATCCTAAGGAACATCCTGACCAACATCTCAGCGGAGGAGAATAGCTCATCATGGTCCAGTAGACCTGCACTGGGAGGTGGATACTACTGCCACGGCGCCGACCTCCGCTCCCTCTCAAATTCAAGCCCCAATCCCGACCCCATCCCTGACTCTAACTCCGGCCCCAACCCGAACGCCGAGGCCGAGTCTCAAGAGGTCACCTTGCCTGGCCTCCGCACCGACATCCCCACGCTGCTCCTGTCAGAGTGTTGCCTCTGCTATCTTTCCCCATCCGAGGCGGCTGGCGTGCTGAGGTACTTCACCTCGCGAATCCCCAGCCTGGCTACCGTGATATACGAGCCCATCAAGCCTGATGACGCATTCGGCCGGATGATGGTATCTAACCTGGCGGCACGGCGCATCCGCATGCCGACGGTAGCAGTGTACCGCGAGCCGGCCGACCAGGAGGCCCGGTTGCGACAAGCGGGGTTTGAAACGGTGCGGCACATGACCATCGACGACCTCTGGGAAACATGGGTTGCACCAGAAGAGAAGCAGAGGGTAGACTCGCTCGAGGGATTGGACGAGGTGGAGGAATGGAAGCTGCTGGCAGGCCATTACATTGTGGTTTGGGGGTCTACAGGTAGTGGATTTGGGCGGTGGGAGAGTGCAGGCGGTGGAGCGTAGATTCACTGTCTACCCGATAGGATACCCAAAAGAACCAAAAAGAAGTTTGAGTGCTGTGAGTAACGACCTTGATGTTGTGTCGGTTTGTTTTTCGTGTTTGATGTGCCGAGCATGCAGTTGCGCTTCTTGGCGAATACGGGTGATCGACCCGAGACCACAACAGGGCCATGCAAATTGTTGATTAGCAAATACACAATATAAAAAGGTCGTATGATTAATTGAGAACACAACATATACACACTCTGTTCAGCTTATAAAAATCAAGGTTTGAACCGTTGGCGTTGCCTGGGACGGCGTCACGTGATGTCACTCTATCGCTGCAGCGGGATACCTCAAGGCACATTGCCTCGGCGCAGTGTGTCAATGTACCTACATACTCAGTACCTCACTTGACTTAACCCTTCGCCCTGACCCAACTCAGCGACATCGCCCTCTCTCCAACCGTTCAACATCCATTTCTCACAACGAATAGGCCCTCTCGCTCGCGTCGCGCTGCGGTTTGCTGTTCCCGACGGCATCCTGCTCATTGGTCGCCGTCTCCCGCATCACGGGCCAATTGGATGGCACCACACTGAACCCTGGGCGTACCAGCATCCCGCATCAGCGACGTTCCTAAATCACCACCACGTCGTGCCCAGGCGACGACGTCTGCGACATCTACGATCTTCGTGGAGTTCCATCTTCACAGGCTTTGCTACCTTCTGAACGAGGCTGTAACCTTGGAGGCACCTGGCTGTTTACCACTGAATCGCTTCGTGCATCGCTTCGTGCATCGCTTCGTGCATCGCTCCAAACCACCGAACGCAGAGACGCCGTAGTCGGCCTTCGCAAGGATGGCGGACGCACGGGATAGCAAGGCGTACAAGTATCGCCAGGAGATCAGTCAGGTAAGGCACTATTTTCTTTTGTTTAATTAGCCCGCCGCATGCTCGGTTGTCAGTGGATTCAGGGGTCCTGCATGACCCGTTGCCGTGAATGTATGCTGCCGCCATGGCCGTCCAAACAGCGTTGGCCATCCAAATGACCGCCTGGCTGCTACGTCGTCAAGCAAACCACCTCAACCCGAGCCGTGAATTCTATCCCGGGTTTGATCGGAAGGCGAAACCACGCACATCTCTCGACTTGAGTTCCTGGCCATGCACCTTATCCAGGACAAGCTTCACCACTCCGTTCTAAGAAGCTCTCAACGCCAAACAACTCTCCCAACACCAACAACAGATAAAAAGGTATGATTTCGGAATAAAAAAAAATGGTTATTTGCTTGTGAGCCAGAGCAAACCATTCGACAATCTTGATCTATTCAACGCTGCAAGTATCAATACGGAGACGGTTTGCAGCTGGCCTGAAGACCATCGAGTCATGCGCTGGCCGTCAGCACTTCCATTTCCCGCTGTACTTCAACCTCGGATCAGTACCCTAACTACCTCGGACGTAATTGAACTTGATATACACCAGCTGCGATACGCCGATCCCGCCAAGATGTCGCAGTCTTACTGGAATGACCGTGGATTCCCCGAACCCCATTCATGTCTTGAAGAAGCTTTGCCCGCCAACGCACGGAACGAAACATTGGAGCAGTTCAAGACCAGGTTCACTAACGTTCTTCGACAGATGATGTATGTATCTGGCGAGACTGCGGAACCTCCTGTCGAAACTACCAGCATCATTGAAGATATTGTTCGCCAACAGGTTATTGAACTGGTAAGAACGCCCCGTCTCTCTCTGACGAACCCTTGACTGACCTGAGCAAACAGCTTCGAAACTGCACAGAGCTGGCTTCTCGACGTGGTTCAAAGTCGATCGGTATCAACGACCTAATTTTTCAAATCCGTCATGACCAAGCTAAGGTGTCTCGCCTCCGGACGTTCTTGTCCTGGAAAGATGTTCGAAAAAACGTCAAAGATTCCGACGATAAAGGTGCCGACGCGGATTTAGCAGGAGGCGAAGACCCGGTCGAAGGGAACGCAGGAAACGATGAGGCGGCCAAGAAGAACAAGAAAGCCAAGGTCGGTCTCCCCTGGGAGCCATCGTCGTTTTACCCCGTCGAAGTCCCCGAGCGAGAAGATGAAGAGGATGAAGAAGAGGAAGAAATGAACTACATCACCCTCCAGCGTTTGCGAAAGGCAGATGAGCGTACAAAGGCTATGACGAGAGAGGAGTACGTCACCTGGTCCGAGTACCGCCAGGCCTCCTTCACGTACCGCAAGGGTAAGCGCTTCCGTGAGTGGGCGGGTTTCGGCATCGTGACGGACAGCAAGCCCTCGGATGATATTGTTGATATCCTCGGTTTCCTGACCTTCGAGATGGTCCAAACACTCACCGAGGTCGCTCTCAAGGTGAAGGAGCAGGAGGACATGGCTCGCGCCCTCAGCGGCGGCGACAACGACGGCACCACGAAGAAGCGGAAGCACGAGCAGGCGCTCTTTGACCCCCCAAGCGAAGGAAAGACTCCCATCGAGCCACGACACGTCCAAGAGGCTTCCCGCCGCCTGCAACAGCGGCCCAAGAAGGGACGGGCCATGCTCAACGGCACCAGAATCCCCCAGCACACTGCCCTCAACATCTTCTGAGTGGAGATTACATACCGGAACCTGGTGTTGGCGCTGGTCTTTTTTTTTTTTTTTTGGGTCTATGACGGCGTTTAAGAGCAGATGGAATGGTTGAGCTCCAAGGAACTGGTTAATAAATGGCAACAGGTCTCCATGAACGACAAGCAAATTTCCAATTCCATGGTATCTCATAGTACACACATCCCAAGTGAATCCAAAACTCCTAATCTAATCCCACAGCGCCAAACAAGCCACCACCCCACCGAATGACCTCCTAATTCACCCGGATCTACCTATTATCGTGGCTCATGGTAAATGCCCGACGTCGAACGACAGCATCATTCTCCCAGAGCCGTGTACCAACTCTCTGGAGACTCATCGGGATATCATCCTCGCTGTCACTTCCCACCGCTTCCTCCTCGATGGTCTTCTTCTTCCGCAGCCTTTCTTTGATCTGTCCTGCGCGCTCCCACATAGTCTTTGTCCTATGTAAACCGGTACCTTCCGGCTCGCCGGCCAGCAACGTCGCTGGTGCCGTCACCACCTCCACAGCTGGGACGCCTGCCGTGCTACTCTCAGCGGTAGGTACCATAGCCAGCGGCATGCGCTTCGCCAGAACACGCTGTCGGTAGTTACTGTAGTCGGGCATCTCGAGCATGCCGCTACGGAACGCGTTAACGCCCACAAGCAACTTGACCAGTTCTACCAGCTCCTCGAGGTACTCGATAATCTCCATCTGACCCGCCGTGCTGGCGTTCCATGAGAGGAAACGCTTCTGCGTGATAAGATGGGCAATCTGCTCTGCCAACTCACCGTTCTCGTCAAACACAGTGGGCATGCCTCCAGCAGGGGTATGCGTGCCGCTGCGCGATGCGAGCACTTCGCGGACGTGTGTGACGAGACGGAGTTGTGCTAGTCGACTTGACGGGATGAATTGCGGGAGCGGCTGCCAGGTTGTGAGAGCCTCGTTGACGGAGAAGAGCACTAGCATGATGCTGGCGGCCACGTTCCGGCGATAGGTATGCACTTTGGGATTAAGATCCTCCAGGACAGAGGAGCCATATTCCTTCCGCAGCTGAATCATGTTGTCCATCCTATCGATGATTTGGTGGAGAACATAGACAATCTCCTGATAGATGGGAGCCAGAGGCTTGAAGCTACCTTTGAGACGTGGCTCACTTGAACAAAAGGGGAGGAATGTCTCCGCGGCAGCGAGAGCGCCTCGAGCTTTGGCACGCGCATGATTGAAGCGTTTGTGCAAGGCGGGAGCTCGCAGGTCAAGCTTCTCAGGACAGTCAATCCCCACTGCCATGGCAGACTGCATGTTCTGGACCTGTCTGACTGACGCAGACAATGATTCAAGCATACGATCGCGGGCTCTGACGGGGTAGATAAATAATTCAACCACCAGGGCGACTGCACCTCCGACCACAAAGGCAGTAAGTCTCTTGTAGAAGTTTTCTACTGCTGTGCCGTTTCCATTCATGGCAGCTGTGATTTGTTAACGATTGAAAGAGAACGAGAAGTAGGAAGACATACCGAGCGCGACCACAACCATAGTGACAGTAGAGACCATGCCCGCCTTGACGTATTTAGTCCCGAGTTGGACGTAGTACGAGGGAACGATACCGAGCACCAATATGACAACCATGGCGATGCGGTTACCTCTCCCAATCTCATACGACATATAACCCCATACAGACCCAGCGATAACACCACTTAGTCGTAAGAAGAAGATGAAGAAGGAGGTGCCAACAGCGACCTCGAAGACGAGAAACAGCTGCATGGGAGCCCATATGCCACGGACTTCAGAGTACCAGTCATTCCAGGATGTCACCAGTGCAGGCCAGCTGACGAAGAAAACTGCAATGGCCAACTTAAGGGCATACGCGACGTCATCTGAGTCCTGCATCCATTCTAGTGCATCTGCCGCCTTGCCCCTCCACTTGAGTATCCAGTCAACTTCTTTCCGCTTGTCTTCTTTCCCCTCGTTTTTGTTGCTAATATCATCTTCACGCTCTGGTGATGTTTCGTTCTTGGGTTGATCGTGTCCTCTTTCTTCGTCCTTGGTCCTTTGTTTAGTAATATGCTCGTGGTTTGGAGGGTGAGGCTGGGTCTTGGGCTTCGAGCCTGGTGCGACTTTGCCCCGGCGAACCTCTTTGCGGGCGGCTTCAGGTAGAACCAAGCCGTCGCTTTCGCCTCCAGTTGTCAACCACTGGCGAATACTGGTATGTCGAGGCAACCACAGTGATGATTTGTCATGGTTGGCTTGTCTTTCCTCGACAACTTTTCTCATATGGCGAAGCATCTGCAAAACATGCATTGCGGATTGACGGAACGCAAGCACGAATGAGGAAATCAGGAACGTCTCCATTCGAGGCATAAAATCAATGCCATGGCCGCTGTTATCAATTGCTGACCGCTTAAGTTGGGTCGCGCAACTAGCATCAAAATGAGACAGCGCTTCGGTGAAGTGGTCGATCCTGAGGTCAAGTTCCTCAAGATGGATTCCAGTTGGGGCTGGAGCTCCGGACGGAAGCCTGGGAACGTCATAACAATACGCTAGGCAGAAACAACCAGTGTAACAGCCTCCTTCAAGGCCAATTCAAATTCTTGAATTGGGTCACGGATTCGTTCGAGAATGGATTCAAGCAGGTTCGCACTGCTGGCCTCAATTTCCCTGATGGGCTTGGCGTTTTCTACCCTTCGAAGGTAGTCGTCTATGGTTGACATCCGTCTGATTTCGCTTATGTCACTGACATAGCTGTCAGTCGTAGTGAGATCGTCTCCTATAGAACGTGTTTCGTTCTCTAGGACGACGAATTTGTTCTCACAAGCGCCAATGAGTGTGACGGTGCTTTGGACCAAATTGGACATGTAGGCGGTACTCAGGGGCTTCATGCTACTGGGAGGGAGCGGTGAGATGGAAGCCTCGTAGTTGATCTCTCTCTGGGCAGCCTTGCAACGGGCAAGACGAGTTCGGAGCTTCGCCTTTCTCCCAGTCAAGCTGGCGACGGTAGTCTGCTGGACAGGGACAGTCGACGCCCTGTACCGACCCTGAGCGGACTGAAACGGGCTGGGAAATTCATCAAGGAACTTTCGCCACGGGCCTTTCTTCTTGCGCTTCGGCTTGTCTGCAGCGCTCTTGACCGTGCTCATGGCGGCAAGCCCATCTCCGCCAGGCGTGATAAACCAGTGAGTGGCTCTGGTCAAAGTCTCCATGGTCTCGCACAAGGTGTCGATGGTGGATAAACCAAGAAAACTGCTTGAGAGTTCCGGGAAAAGACAAACGTTGAAAAAGAGGGTGATGCCGCCTCCGGCTAGGAGGGGATAGTAGACATTGGTGAAGACAGCCAAGGTGACCTCTCGGGAACTTCCAAGGAGGACAATGATGGAGGCAATAAGAAGGAATGCGACCATGGTAAATAGACGAGGACTTGAAGATCGCACGTAACCGTGGAAGAGCACAGAGACAAGCAGGAACATGGCTCGGACTGCGAATGCCGCGGGCTGGTTGCTGTCGAGAAGAAGGCTGGAGAGGTAGAGGCCGAGAAGAGACCACCCGAGGCCAAAGAGAGAACCCAGCAGCACCATGAGAAGCGACTCAATCATCATGCCCATGCGCTGACCGGGATGCGCAAAGACGGTGACCATCGGACAGAGGAAGGTTGAAGGGCCGAAGACGGAGACGGCTCTGGGGTGGATCACAACTATGACGGCGACAGTGCAGGCGAACGAGCATTTGACGATGCGCTGCCAGAGGTCATTGGTCTGGTAGCCGCCCCAGAGGAGCTTGACCAGCCTCTTGACTGATTTCGCGAGGGACCGCATTGCGGTTGTGTTGATATTAGCCATGATGGAGACGTTGGTAGTGCTGCGTCATAGGCCATGCCATATCATCCACTGGACTTGAGGACTGACGCCTCGAGCTGCCTGGGGTTGGAGAAAACGGGGTGAAGAGAGAGAGAAACTGGTGAGAATATGAACTATGCAGAAAGTGGCGGAGAGGCAATTGTTTTATGGCATTGGAAGATAAGTAGATGATGGGAGATGGATGATGGAGGATGGATGTAGTAGGAGAGATAAAAGTCGAGGTACTACAGCGCAGTTGCAGTGCATATGCTAGTGGAGAGTGGAGCGTCGTTGGGCGGGAATGCCCCAAAACTTGATATGGAATCATGCGAGATAGCGGGGGGAAGGTTCTTGGTGTCTCGGGACCAGGGACCCAAGTTCCCCAACTCGATCCAACTCGTCGCTTTTCGGGACCAGGCGCCTCGATTAATTCCAATGCGCGCCTTTGGTGGAGAAGAGAGATATTAGTTGTAGCGCAGCAGATCTCGGGGCGATCCCTGCATTTACCGTGCTTTCTTTTTCCTGCTGCCCGACATGAACGACGACGACCCGACGGGACGGGTAGTACTTTGATGTACAGTTGTAAAGTAGGTAGACACGGCCGGATGATGACGGGCTTCTCGGCAGTGGGACAAGTACCTACAGATTTGTATGCCGGCGTCGCTGAAAGCAGCACACGACACTTGCGCCTCACCAAAGCCATCTGCAGAGTCCCTGAAAGTACAGGGGTGCTAGCTCTGTAATACACTGGCAGCTTGCGGCTCTTCAGTGGGAGCATGCCCCAACGGCCTCGTGGGTCGACGCCCAATCACCGCCCTATCTCTCCCCCGCGAGAGACGGTACGTACCTTACTTCGAACTCACGTCTGTCCGTCATTCCCGGCGCACCCAGCATCCCACCTCATCACCACCCACCGCCATCAACTGCGACATCCTCACCTCCCGGCGCACCACCACACGCCCCGAACCGACTCGTCGCCATGCTCTCCTTCATCCTCATCCAAAACAGACAGTACGCAGATCCCTCACTCCCCACTCCCCAATCGCAATCGCAATCCCGCCCCGAGCTAACCGCCTCAACTCTCCAGGGGCAAGACCCGCCTCGCCAAGTGGTACGCCCCCTTCAGCGACGACCAAAAGATCAAGCTCAAGGGCGAGGTGCACCGCCTCGTCGCCCCCCGCGACCAAAAGTACCAGTCCAACTTCGTCGAGTTCCGCAACAACAAGATCGTCTACCGCCGCTACGCCGGCCTCTTCTTCTGCGCCTGCGTCGACACAAACGACAACGAGCTCGCCTACCTCGAGGCCATCCACTTCTTCGTCGAGGTTCTCGATGCCTTCTTCGGCAACGTCTGCGAGCTCGACCTCGTCTTCAACTTCTACAAGGTCTATGCCATCCTCGACGAGGTCTTCCTTGCCGGAGAGATCGAGGAGACGAGCAAGCAGGTTGTCTTGACACGGCTGGAACATCTCGACAAGCTTGAATAGACCCTCTGTTTTCTACATAGCCACATAGCCGCAGTCTTGGTGGTGCATACTTGTGCTGCTTATTCTTCGCCCCTCATGTGACGGCCGCACTATCCGTCTTCTTGCACACATAATTGGGAGGCTAGCCGGAGTTCGGGCGTTCCAGGACCGTGTAACGGTTTTCATTTCATCAATATACCACCGGGGCCTATCTATCTACCCTGTGACCCCCGTTCTCGAATGACCCCTCTTGCATGAGGAGCACTTTGGAAAGCTGAGGACTAATTCCTAATGAGAAAGGAAGCCAAGGCAACCTAAACAACTTTCGCAAATGTACCTTGACTCCATGACCAGAACCCTCACTCTCCTGTATGAGGAGCAATCCGGAAATATCAACGACCAATCCATACCGAGCAAAGAAACCAAAGAAAATCAAGCAACCTTCGCAAATGTACCTCAACTCCGCAACCACGACCAGAACTCTTCGAGTCCTCTATACTTCGATGAACTTTCCCAACCCCAAAATGTCATATCCACTTCAGCTTTCTCACCTCTCACTCGTCCTCTCCACACTCCTCTCCATGCTCGTATCCATTCTCGCATCCAAACTCCTGACCATTCTCCTGACCATTCTCCTCTTCATTCTCTTCTCCGCCTTCCTTCACATCCCACATCTCAAGTGCTGTTGGCCGCGAACATGTGTTGACCCAAGTGTTGTCCCGAGAGTCGAAAAGGTCCACGACGGCCGCATCGTAAGGTGGATATTCGACCTTCTTCTCAGTCACGTACTCCTGGGGCGGCGTGGTTGGGTCTTGTTCCGAAGCCGATGAACTAAAGTCCGGGTTTGAGTACCGGCAAACCTCAATGACCGGCGTTGTTGGGGAGTACAAGTTACCGTTGAGCGAGTCTTCGTAGTATGGTGCGGATGAGCCAAACCCCTCAGAGTTGGCCAATACAGCTTGAGTATGATCCGTCAAGCCATATGCCTCCATGCCTCCATCAGTCTTTTGTCTTTTGTTGTCTTTTGGGTACTATCCAAAGGCTGAGACATCATGATCAGTTGTGGGGCGATGAATGGCTTGGGGTTGCTGAGGTTGAACAAGCCACCCCATCGGACAAGATTCGTAGTATCGATTCCCACTCAAACCGTTTGGCTGGTCAAAACGGCTCACCTGGGGTTTGACAGCTTTCTTCTCAGCCCCTTTGATGCTGGGGCTTGACTCTGCACTAGACTTGAAGTCGTGGTTGCTCGAACCCTAAATGTTTGTTAGTCCTGAAACGAGAGTGAGAGAAAGGTAACTTGGAAGTTCGCACCTCCCAAGGCGAGAGCCTTCCCTCTCGGGCTTCTCGGCTGAAAATCCGACGAGGCACCTCGTCGTCGTCATCCACTGCTGCGGGGCGCTTTCGGCTAGGGGGGGTGGCCGACGCTGACTTGTAATTGTACTTGTAGCAGCTGTAGATGTAGTGATCTCCCTCGGCACCGCAAAGGTGGCAGACATAGTCTGCGTCGGGTGGAAGATCAAAAGCAGGGCCCGGGTTTTCGGGGCAGTCCTTGACAAGGTGACCTGAGCAGCTCATTAGTGAAAGACTCAGTCAAATAGCCTTCGGGATTCACCTTTGGTACCGCATCCTTTGCAGGGGTAGTTCTTTGGGACTGGAGAAATGGTGCCGCTCAGACGACCAAGATTTACAAACTCGGGGCTTGTCGTTTCCGCTGGAGGATTGTGAGAATTCCCCCTCAAGGCGAGTGTCAGGGAGAATATGTTCTTTCTCTTGAGTGAGAGTGGTGGTGACTCGGAAAGCTGGCTTCGGGCCTTGGGCGATGGTGTTGTGTCGAGTGCCTTGGCAACAGGCGTGTCGAGGCCCACGATGGGAAATTCCTTGCTGCCACTGTACTCAAATGGTCGGGGGTAGTAACAAGACATGATGTCCCTGACCTCATCCATCTGATCCATGACGAAACCAACCTCCTCGTGCCTCGTACAGTCGAGCACTTCGTCAACACAGGCATCCCACACGCATTCTGCCTTGGACTGACCACATCCTGCGTGGGATATATACCCCATCCAACGGAAGATGGTTTCCTTCTTTTTGACGCCGGTAAGATCAAGAGCTTGGCCGACCATCCAAGAAGCGTAGATGGACACCATGCTGTCGGTGGAGAGGTTTGGAGACGCAGCAGTCATGCGCTTCTCGAGGGTGTCTTGGCGCATGCGACGGAGATCGGTGAAGTTGCGGAGACCAGTGCAACCGACGACCTCGCGCATGTTTTGGAGGATCTTCTCGTTGGAGTCCATCTTGGAGATGAAGGTTGTCAGAGTTGACAAGAAAGAAGGGGAGAATTGGTTGTTGGTGCTTGACAGTGGCTTTGCGAGGGTGGTTGAAACGAAAAGCCGAGTATCAAGAAGGAAATGAGGTGAAGAAGAGAAGTGGGAGATTCATATAGGAAGGAGGGGGTGAAAAAAACGTGCCTCGTCTTCGTCCAAATCGGGATGAGTAGAAAGTGAGTTGTGGGTTGTTGGCGTGTAAAGTGAAGTGAAAGGTGAAGTGAGAGTGAAAGGATGCCGAGAACAATGCAAGCAGGTGGTTACAATACGGCAAGTGCGCACCTGTATTAGACTCGGCTTGCTTCTAGGCAGACAACAGTTCAGCCGTGAAGTCCGATCTCGCTCAACGCCTTCATCCTCCTCCATGTTAAATAGCAGCCCCCAAAGGTGCACATTTGGCTTGCCATTGCCACCAACAATGTGCCCATTCCCCACTGCACCAGGTCATGATAGCTCACATTAAGCATCCAACTCGTGTCAAGAAACAAGTTTAATGAATTTCAAAGAACCCACATAACTCCATGCGTCATACAAAACATGCCCAGCGCTTCAAACCCTCTTCATGCCCCTCTCAGCTTCCCTACCTCTTCTTCAAAGCCGCAAACCTCGCCTCCAAGTCCTTGATGTCTGGCACCTCTCCGTCGGGGCCCTTCTTCTTCGCTGCAGCTTCCATCTTCTTGTTCGGCTTCAGCTCTACCGACCCCAGTGTCACCTTGGGATGCACGTTATCGGTCGTCATCCGGGGTGGCGTCACTGTCAAGGGACTCGTTGGGGGTCCGAGCCTCTTGAGCGGCGTGCTCATCGGCTTGATGTCGTCGGTTCGTAGGGGATCAACAAGAACCTTCTGCTCCTTGCCGCCTGCGTCATCGTCGTCGCCGTCGCCGCCAAGATCGTCATCATCCAGGAGGTCTGGTGGCGGTGTGACCACCTCCCGCTTGGGCCAGTCCACGCCGTACGCCTTGGCAATTTCCTCTAGATATCCAACGACCAGCTCTTCCCGCGGCGGTTCCACGCCCAGCTTCTTTACCACCTTGGGGTTGACCTTTCCGTCAGAGTTCTCCATGGCCGCAAGCACAAACTCCTTGCCATACTTCTCCACCAACAGCCCCCGCACCGTAGCCAGCTCCTTGATCTCCGTCTTGGGCGCAGCGAAAATGAGACTCTTGATGGCCTCCTCGAGGCCCGGGTCACAGACAGAACCCTCCATCAGGCCAGCGCGCGCAAGCAGCAGCTCGCAATACAGCTCGAGAATCTCGTGGAGCTCGGTGGTGATGTCGGATCGGATGATGTTCTCGACGCGGATGCGCGCCGAGTCGATCTTTTCGGCCTCGAGGAGCTGGGCCATTGCCCTTCGCTGCACCTTTCCAAGCTGCTCATCGCGCTGCTGCACCATGCGCAGGCGCGCGATGGCGAGCTTCAGCTGGACCTTGAGTTTGGTCTGCGCAGCCCGGACGTCGTTAGCAATTGCGTCACTGGCTCAGGCCGCTCATGGGCATGGCGGGGTAGCGCGGGGGGCATAGCTCACCAGCAGAGAGGCACCTGGAGGCGCCATAGCGAGTCGATTAAGGGGAGCTGTAGCAGGACGGGAGAAGGCGAACACGGCGGGTGATGGAGAAAGGCGCGAATATCTATCAGTCCAGGCAAGGAAAAGACAGTGTTAAGTGGGAGAGGAGAGCCTGTGGTGGTGTCAACAAGGCAGACGTATCGGGACCCATCGGCCTATGAGCTCGTGCAGTTGCCTCAGCCCCACCACGGCAACCATGAGAGCTTCACCAACAACCACCATGCGGTCCATGCTATGCTAGGCATCACTGATTCTTGAAAACCGCGCTTCAGGCAACGAAGAAAGCCGTGAATAAGTGCACACGCGTCTCACAACTAACCGATCCATACGTCCATACAGCGCCTGTAATGTGATATAAAGTGGATGTGCTTTCAAAACTAGCATCCCCCGAGATGTTGCCTGCTCCGCCCTAAAATTATCCGATAAATCGGACCTAAAATCTATCTATGGTACACTTCCATTCCTAACCAAGCCCATCCGGGGAATATGCAGCTATGTCCATAGTTATAATACCATGCCCGATGCTGCGGCACAGCTCCAGATGACCGCAAGAGATCCTTCATCGCCATAAAACGCCTTGTCCAAACCCTGACAGCCATGCTCGTACACCAGCCAAATTCTCGGCAACGCTTTTCGCGCGCCTTTGTGCAACCAGTCCCTCCTCTCATGGACGGGAAGTGCATCGGTCCTCATCTAGGTACTCATCTACTCCATGCTGGCATCCTCGGCAACCGGAGCGACGCCATCAGTTGCCTCTCCCTTGATAACCTGCTTGCCCTCATACGAAACTCTCCGCCATCCGCATGCTTCCTTGTCGTCCTTGATCAACTCCATCGTAGGGAAGTAGTGCTCATTCTTCTTCATCGTAATGACCCATGGTACGCAATCAAACGTAACCGCCTTCAGTCGGAAGTCTGGATCAATGTTAGTTATCTGTATTCAAGTTGAGGAGGGGATACCGGGGCAGCGTACAGGTGTTGTCAGGAATCTCTCGAGTCGCAGCGATAAATGACTTGAGGTCAGGGGTAGGAGTGCCATTCACATGAGTGATAAAATTCGTCGGCGCAACACCATATTGATAAGCTGGAGAGCCACGAATGCGGCTCGACACATAGACTTCGCTGTGCAGTTTGCTGATTTGCTGGCGGACAGCTTGGTGAGGCCTGTGCAAGATCGCACCGCAGAACGAGACAGCGTGATCCGTCTCTGTATCGTCGACCGAGACGGTTGGGAGCTGAAGCTGCATCTCCTCGCATTCACGGACGATCACGGCGTCCAGGAATTCATGCGAGTACATCACGTCAAAGTCAGAGATTGTCGTGCACATCTTGCCGTTCAAGGTCAGGATGATATCGCCTTCGAGAAGCGACACAGGGTGGTTGGTGCGCTCAAATGTACGCTTGCTAACCATGAACAGCTGGTGATGCGATCGGTTAGCCTGGGTGACCTTCTTAATCCATTCGTCAGAGACGCCCATGACGGATGCCTGGGACATTTGAATAGCTCTGAACTCGACAGAGAGGATTCGCAGTTGGGGAGTCTCCCCCTTCTGGATAGTCTCAATGACAGGGAGCAAGGTCTTGGTACCCAAACCAAGGTAATACTCCTCATCCCGCTGGCTGCACGGTGACCGCTCACCGAGATACGAGAGCCAGAGCGCCTGCACAGTGCCATCGGGGGAAACGAGGACACCGCTGTTGCAAGAAGAGCCCAAGTTGCTGTCAATCGTGATGGCATCCACGTTGACGGCTCGGTATCGAGGAGCGCCCGAGTTCGCAGGGATGGCCACCGCTGTGATCTCGGTGACGGTGGTAGAACCATGCACAACGCGACCGATGCGGTTGTGGCCGAGGAAGTAAGTCTTAGCACCTTGGGTGAGGACTTCGTTGCTAAGACGGGCACTCATCACGGGCGCATCGACAAGCGACGGGTCATACTTGACGATAGCGTAGTTTTGGAGGGGGTGTAGGAACACCACCTTTCCATCAACGATGATGGAATCCGCGATGGTAACAGTGATGTCGCAGAGGTCGTAAGGGACGATAGCTCTCGAAATCAAAACCAATCCCTTCTCAGCGTCGATTACGAGACCCATGCCCCATCTTCGGTTCTTGGGAAATCCGTCCAGCTTCATCGGCATGGTGCAGTTGATGTGAACAAAACTTCGAATGAGGTCCGCGATGCCCGGGTGAGGCATGTGGTCCAGCTCGATAAATGAGGCTGACCGTCGAGCCGGAGGGACAGGGGGGAGAGGATCACCCAGGTCAGTGAAGTCCCATACTCCCGACTCATCATTTCGGACGGCCATCTTCATCTTGGAAGCCCAGTGGCGATCCACATAGATAATAGTCGTGTTCAGGGTGTGCAGGTCTCGTAGGTGTTTGTAAGTGACCACGATTCTCGCACGGTCAGGAATGCCCTTCATCACTTCGATGAAGGTATCGAGGTCCGGAACCTTCTTATGGTCCACGGTCTGAATAATCCATCCATTATCGGTATTCTCGAAACGGAAAGATCCAGCCGACTCGCAGACATAGACTCCCTTGACAGGAACAGCGTAAAGCCTGGCCTGTTGGTAAGAGAGGTCATGGAAGCTGGCGCCTGCAACAGAGACAAAGCGGTCGGGTGTGATCTTGTGGAGATCTCCTACCTTGATCTCCACCTCGACGTCTTGCCCGCCACGCTGAAGATGCACTTTGATAGTCTCGCCGACGTTCGAATCCAGAATGTCGTCGAGACGAATGAACTGAGTAATGAGCTCCCCGTTCACCTTAACGAGGACGTCGCCTTCCATGATCTTCGAATCTGAAGGGCCCTCCGGGAGAACGATCTCAGCAACCAGCATATTGGTCTCGTCAGGGAACTGCTGTCGCATAGCGGCTTCCCATTCTGGAGTCAGGCCCAACCGACGGCATTCATCGAATGGCTTGAGGAGGAACTGGCACTGAATGTCACCTCGAGTGATTGGGTTCCCAGCCTGAATGCACTGCAGGGCTCGCAGGGGTCGGTCGAGAGGCAGGAAGTAATCAGTGGAAGCACCGTCGCATCGACCACCAGCCAACAGAGCGACAGCGCACCCATCCTTGTTCACGACGGGACTACCTGAACTTCCTCCAGTGGCGGCAGCGTTGGCCTGGTAGTAGCATGTATTGAAGTCGCAGTAGCCCTCGCCATATTCAGGGGCGTTTCGGTCCAATCGGCTGATGACTCCGGACATGATACTGAGCTTTTCACCGCCATCGTTTCCGACAACTCGGATCTCAACACCAACTAAACAGGTATGTTAGCTTTCTCATATTCGGGGTCGTATTTGGAGGAGCGGCAGGGCGCATACCCTTAGCAAGGTCGGGACATAGTTCCAGTCCATCAACCTGCATGTACTTGATCGCCTTGGGATCGTATTTCAAGATACCGAAGTCGTGGACGGGGTCGCGATAGACGGGGTAGCAGTCGACTTCTTCGTGGTTGGAAAAGACACAGTGGCCCCAGAACGGGCCAGAGCCGACGACGTGACGGTTTGTCAGGATGTATCTAAACAAGGGAAGTGTTAGTCGTGTCGACACCAGAGGTCATATCGCGGGATTACAAACCCTCGTTGAGAGTCGACGACATATCCAGTAGCCTCACTGGACACGGCAGGGTCGGTGTCGAAAGAGCAGGTCTGGCAGAAGCGGATGGCGACGACATTGCGCACAACCTTCTGGATGGTATCCTGCCACTCTCCCAAGCTTCCTGGTGTTCCGATATACATGGCGGCGTGTGAGTGAAGATCGTCGGTGAGGTCAGAGTGGTCGTCGTACTCGACAATATCGGGTGTGTTGTCATCAGCCGAGAGCTTTCCGTTGACGGGTCGCTTGGACGGGGGAGCCTGGTCGGGCGAACTCGGGGCCTTTCTCTTGGCCCTTGCCGAGGCCGCAGTACCGTTCATGATGACGAAGTGTGTTGGGTCGCGACGAGGGACGAGACGGCGGGCGCGAAAAAAAGGCAAGGTTTCGGGATCGCGAGTCGAGAGCTCAGGGAGCGTGGAGACGGGAGTGGGATGGGGACGACGAGATATTCGGACTGGGAAAACGGGCAGGGCGTTGGGCCAAGGGTCGCACTCGCAATCGCAAGAAGGTCTACTCGGCGCGACTAGGGACGACGGCGCATCCAGACAGGCCTCTGGTCAGCGCGGATGAAGGAAAATACGAGCAGGTCGAATCTGCAAAGGAGTGATGATGGAGGGAATCACGGCGCATGTGACGGCACGCTGAGTCTGGGGAAAAAAACGATGCACACCTTTCGCCTTGCACCTTGCGCCTTGGGCCTTGGCCTCGCGGGCGTGTGGATCAGCAGGAATATTGCATAAGGCCCAACTCTACGGCTCCCTGGGGGCGGTGGGGCAAACAACGCCACGCTTCCGACCGTCATTTTGCCCCTGCACCCACTACAACCACGGGCAGGTTCAGGGGCCTTCAGGGGGGGCCATCCGCTGCATCATCGCCATCATCGCCCCAGGGCTGCCTATCACGGGCCCTCCCACTGTGCAGCTGGGGCGACGTTACCCACTAAAAAAGTCACCTTATGTAAGGCGACGCCACCGTGCATACCGTAGGTACCCGGACGGCCTGGTCTGCACCCACCTCGATCCTCCACACTCAGACTACATGTGGTGAGGGTGTGGACTTGGCCGGAGGTGGGTGGCACAACACCAACCAGCTTCGCGCACAGCCGTTCTCCTCAACGTGGTGGTGGGCGTGTGAGACTTGTTCCACTTGTTCTGTTGTGTGCTCGTGCGCCGGGCTTCGTTCATTACTAACCTGCGACAGTTCTTGCATACTCAGCGAAGTGTGCAACCGGTTCTCGGCCTTGAATGCATGTCTTATATCAAGCACACCTCCGCACACCTTCGCACACCTTTATTGACCTCCATCTCCCGCACACACGACTCGGATCCGACGCAGCTGACCTCGCTCTCGAGTCCGGCTGCCCTGGTTCTGCGACAATCCTTCCGTCTTATCACTTTGTATGCCGGCAGTGTTGAGCCCCCCCGCTACACCCGGCTATGCTTCATCGTGCAAAGGAGGGCCTGAGAGACATTCCATGCACGCGTCCAAGACAGCAGCCGTATCTGAGACACGGAGCCAGACGTGGACGGCTCCGGCACCACAAGTCCGGTGGTATCGCAGTTTTTGTTGCACCACACTCGGATCCCAGGTGACCATGATCATGTCTCGTGCGATGCGTATGAAGTGGGTGATGTGATAACCCGATGCTCATATCCAAGCTGGATAGTTGTATCGTGTGTAAATATTGCAACTGGAAAATTCTATGCGTCGTCACATCCACACTCGGCTCCTCTGCTCCTCTTCGTATTATCGTATCCTCGACACCCTCATACCTCCCATTATGATCACCGGGCTAGTTTTACTTTGGTAGGGCACTCTCAAGGTCAGTCTCTCTGCCTCCGTACCATGCCTTGAAGCAAGTCTTCTGTCGATCGCTGCCTCTTTTCTGGATGTGAGATGCACGCCGGCCAGTGGATAAGGTGGCCTCGCCGCTTTCTCACGAACCTAGTGTACAAAGCCCAGGCGCAGAAAACCGCCGCAACGCTGATGGTGGCAGGCCATTCAAACTGGCTGGGCGACGAGAGAATAATAGTCAGCGTGTACGAGCACATCTCAAATACGTTTTGCCAGCTTGCTTCCACGGCAGAGAATGCGCCTCGGATTTCCGCCTCGACTTCCTAAACGCGGCAGTTAGTACTTGGAGTATGGTTTGCTTTCCATAGTGACAACTTGCCTCCTGAACAATGATCTGCACCGATAAGTCGAAGCCCCAGAGTCCTACGCGACTCAGTATTATACCACCGACCAAGCCCAAAGTTGACACGAGGCTGTTATCCGCATATTGCCAAAAGATGGACATGCCGATGGCCAGGCAGCTTACCTGCCAGCTCGAAAACCAGAGTCCAGCACGGACAGGACCTATCTTGGCCATCAACCATGGGCCAACCCAAGTGGCCAAGACCTCGAAAATCACAGAGACGGTCCTCGTAGCGGCAATCTGGGTGGGAGTGTAGCCAGTGGCCAGCAAATAGGTCACCGTCTGTCCACTAAAAGATAGCACTGTAAAATACAACAGCGTACCCGCAAAGGAAGCCATAAAAACTGGGTGCCTGAAATAAGCCAACGTATCCTCGCCAGCCTTCTTCATAGAGCGTGTGATGAATCGCCATCTTGGGCCACGTGCTTGATCCGCAGTTTGATCGTGTTCTGGCGTGAGGCTGGGTGCTCTCTTTGGCTGCTGCAACTCCGGCACTTGATAATAGACCTGCTTGAGTGAGCAGGTGACGTAGTAGGTTAACTGCTCCGGGTACACATACCTTGGCAATGGAAAAGTACTCGATGACGACAGAAATGCAATTCATTCCTAAGTTTACCATGATTGCGGTCTCAGTCGAGACGCCATCAACAACTCCAATGAAGAAGGGCCCAAAGAGTTTACAAACGAGGTCGATGCGTCTCATTTGGGAATTCATGGCTGTATCGCCAAGATCATGTCAGAGGCAATGATTCAGAGGGTTCAGCGGATATGAGACTCACATCGAAGTGCCGTCGCATCGTCTTTAGCCACTACAATGACCTATACCATGATTAGAATGCGTTAACCCCAAATGTTCCCAGGGATGTGGTACCCAGTCTCGCTCGACAGACACAAGGTTCATCATGGCGGCCAGCTTCTCAATGCAAGCCATAACAACCAGCAAGACAAGAAGACCAGCCCGTAGCATCTGAGAAGCATGCTGTACCCTTCCTAAAACGAAGAAGATGGTGCAAGACACAGCGACGGCGGCCCGTTGCAAGACTACGTCACGTCAGCAGCCAGGTCCAATGTCGAGGACGCAAGTCAATTTGCCTCACCGATCGACCTCCTGACTACCTTCAGCCGGTCCTCGCGATCAATGTACTGCCCTACCAACGAAGACAGCACAATGGCCGACGCCCCACGGACCATGGCGTACACCGACATGGGCAGAAGCGTGCCGGGGAATATGGAGGCCAGGTACAAGACGCTGCCGAACTCGAAGACGCGGGTGTTGCACGTGGACAGGAAGTGCGACACGTAGAGGCGCCGCGTGCTGTTGCCGAGCGTCCACCGGCTGTCATCGTGGGAGTCTGGGCCATCATCTCCGGTGTTGCGTGACGACGAATTGGGCTGGGAGCCGAGCAGCGGCGTTCTCTCTCCGTCGGCGCCAGCCGTGGGCGACATTGGGTCTACCGGTTGGTACATGTCGCCAATGGATCACGAAGCGCCTCTTCCAAGCAATTGGTGTTGATTTATTCCATCGCGACAGATGGCTGTGGCGGAATGGAATTTAACCGTCGGTGAGCCTTGGGGTTGCACTGACAGGAGGCTCCCGACTATCGGCGAAGGTGGATGCGTATATGGAGCCCCGGCCCGTCCAGGATATTTCCCCAATGGGCTGATTCTGGCCGCTCGGCGCCAATGATTGCCGGCAACTAACTTAGCTCTTAAGTAGACGGTCCTCGTTTCTAACGGCACGGTCGGCCCATCCCCGACATGTTGCCTAACGAAGCGAGAATGTCGACGTGGGTATTTGAGCATTTCGTCTTTCCCCCAACAAGATTCAATAGCAGATCATGGGACCCTGGGAAAATTACATGACAATCTCTCGCAGATGCAAATAACCGTAGTTAAATCCTTGTCACCGGATTTGGTTCGTTTCGTAGTATTCAATAGCAACCCAATGCAGTCTGATGCTGGAGAATCCATGCATTCCAATCCTTAACACCCATGTTCACCTCAGTCTCCAGGCACTCGATGCCCTCTCACCTAACAATGACGTCATCCCTTTGTACAAGACCCATGTCCGTCTTATCGGGGGAAAATGTGTACTTCATTCAGCTGGTTCTGCTTCTAAATACTGCGACAACTGATATGAAGGTGAGAAGCTAAGCTCTTCAATAGAGCAGCAACTGCCAAGTTCTCGCCATTCCTCGTTTGGCTTAGAAATTATTTATGACGGTCTCTGAGTTCTCATTGCTGGATATTCTAGCTCCGCAGCCTACCCTAAGACGCTATCATTCTCCCTCAGATCCCTCGGATGTGAATGCTATTTGTGTGTCAAGATGCGACGACATCATTGAAAAGAAAAACCAGTGGAAAGCCGCGGTTCCAGTATTCACATCACTTCCAAAAGTAATTCATACGCGAGCCCGCCGGTTGGATTGCTTCGTGTCTAGGCTTTGGTGGAATTTGGACTCAGTCCTCGTCCTCATCCCCATCAGCCTCGGCCTTGATGGAAGCGGTGATGTCTTCATCATCCTGGTCCTTCTTGGCCTTGGCAGGGCGTCTTGGGGTTCCTGGTGTGTACATGTTAGCCCTACTTCAGGAACCGCATATTAACTGTGAAGTTCCTCACCTGTAGCGGCGCGCTTGCGGGGTGTCGCTTTCTTAACACTCAGAGAGTTGCCATCGCTGTCTTCATCATCAGTGGGAACTGGAGCCTTCTTCGCACGAGGCTTGCGGGCTAGATAAAAAACGGCGTTAGATTCGATCGAATTTCAACAACGTTTCGAGTATGCAAAACGGGTTAAGACTTACGAGTGGCGGTTCTTTTGGTTGGAGTAGCCGCGGCCTCAGAATCCCCACTACCCTTTTTCTCCTCAAGGTCAGAGACTGCCTTGTTAATCTTGGTCCACATGTTCTGGAGCGACTTGGTGGTACGACCAGGCATGACGACACGAGACCAGTTAATCTGCTTGCCATCCTCCTTGAACTGGGCAACAATTCGGAGGAGGAACTGATACTGTTTGGGCGGCATGTTAGACAAAGCATGGAGTGGATCAGCACAAAAGAGGTCACTCACCTTGGCCTCTTCGGTCCAAGGAAGGACCTTGCCTTCGCCCTTCTCAGTGTCGGACATGGTGGATGGAATAGGTGTGAAGAACAAGACTTGAGAAGGAAGTTTCAACGGATGCCAGAACGGTGACCTCTGACGTTGTGTTTAGGTGGGTTTCAGGTGATGTTGGGTGTGTGAGGGAGAAGTGTTGAGAGAGAAGTGTGCCGGCGGAGAGGGAAACGGCTTATGAAAGGGGATGGAAGGCAGAAGTGTTATAGGTAGTGTGCGGGTTTCGGGTGAAAGAAGTGGTGGCGCTTCTTGCTGAAAAGAGGCGTGAATGAGGTAAAGAGGCTGAAAGGCGAGGTGAGGCACCTGCAGCAAGGGTTGAGCGTGGAGAATGGGGTGAGAGGGAAGGAAAGGTGAGTGTCGAGGAAAGGAGGTTGTTCGCTCGTGGACCAAACGCGAGGTAAACAGCACTCGTCACTTGTTGATGCGGGCCAACGCAACGAGGCCCTTAGGCTCCGAATAAACAGCGAGTCACGGTGATTGTGATTCACCGTTTGCACGGTTACTAGGGGAATGCAAACGCTAGACGAACGTTGTGCGAAATGTTTGAGACCAAAGGCAGGGTGCGTGGGGGTCGCAGGCAGCCGAGCAAACAAACACTGTGGGGATTTATTATGTTCATTGGTTGCCTTGAAAGGGAGCAAGTTGTGTGATCATCTCGTCAGAATTTAATGTTTTGTATAGAGGGCAGATGTGACAAGTCGAATGAGAGGTTTGAGGGCGGAACCCGGTCTAGAAGAAATGAAGAGCAGGGTGAATGAACTGTATAATGGAGTAGGCCAAGCCATAAGCAGAATCCTTGAATACATAACTTAGCTTGTCTAGGAAAGCAGTCCGACTTTGCCATTGAAAGACTCAATACCGATCGTGATCATCTTCCCGAATCTAATACAAATTGAGCGAACAACCGACAAGCAGTCCAGGCCTGCCTATCAAGGGGGAAAATGCCCTAAAGAGCCTTCTTCAAGTAGCGAATATGCTGCCATCCCTGTCTATGTCTATGTGCCATTCGTGCCTTCGTGTACACATTCCAGAATCCCAACTCCGAAGCACAGCCATAACCTATTCTCCAAATCCCTTCGGTTCAGCACGTAAGCAAGACATGATGATGTCCTCAGTGCCAGCTCCAAGATGCTGCCAATACCAGAAACCATAATCAGGCCGAATGTCCATCACGCCTCACGCCCCATATGCTTGCATCATGTCCTCCAACCCAAATCCTAAACGTTGATGGTGGTCGTGGTCTCGTCAAATCTCGCAGAAATCTTACAAATGACTGCTGGCGCATCGTTGAAACACTCGCGTTGCATCCGTTGACTGGCGCGAAGTCATCTCCCCATAGCAACCCCCCCATATCGAAGCAATGCATGATGCCACATGTCAACATCTCATCCCAAAACCTGCCAACTCCTAAGGCGAAGGAGCTAGTTGCTTCATCTTCATTCTGAACGCCATAAACTCGCGGAATCGCTGCTCGTGCTCGTCACATGATGCAAGCCATCTTTTTCGTACATCGCTGTCCTGCTGTAACCAGTTGAAATATTCTTGAATCTCGGCGTCATCACGAGCTTCCAAGAATGAGTAGCCCAGTGACTTCCGCTTGTTCGCAATGTTGAGCTTCCTAGTACTGAAATGATCCACGACACTAGCATTGAACCTATCCCATTCTTGCAAATAGATCTCGAATTCTTTGACGTATTTATCCCAAGACGCAACGTTCGGTTTCATCCCGTTGATGGCAACAGATGGTGGGAGCATGGGAGCGATAGGAGGTGTCGGGAAAACAAGACTCTGCGGTTTGTAAGGCTTGATAGGAATGCTGGCCGAGGCCTTGCTTTCAAAGGGCAAGTTGTCCTTCAACTCGGTAAAAGACCGCAAGCCAGAGTCCTGGTGAGTAAATGGTGCGACATTCTTCAGATCAGCAAGGCTCGCCCGGAATTCCTCGCTGTCTTCTGATCCCACTGCATTTGGGTTGAATTCCTTCTTCGGGCTTTCCGCGAGCTTCGCTTCACCGTTCACGCCCTCAACGTTTCCAGGTCGCCACTCTGGCCTTGAGGGCTCCACATTGATATTTCTTGCGCCAGTTGGTGGTTGAGTCGAGTTGAAGGATGGCGGTGGTGGTGGTACAGCCGCCGCTGATTCTGGTACTGCCGAGCCGGCGGGAGGGCTATCAATATCCATAGCCTGAGGGCTGTCTGCCGCAACAGGTCCCCCCTTAGGTTGACGCCCCCGCCACGGGAGCTCCTCCTCTTCGCTGCTGCTATCATCAGGTACAGTTGAGATCCCTGGCACCTTGGTAGGTTTCGCCTTCCTCGGATTGCCTCGCATGGATCGGGTTGGTGACGCTGCTTTGACTGGGGATGGCTGCGGGACGAAGGTATGCGGGCCGAACTCGTTGCTCCAGCCGTCAGGGTTAAAGCCTGGCTCCGGAGTCCCAGACTCGGAAGGGACGCTTGAAGTATCATTACGGTTAATCGTAGGGCGTTTGGTCGGTGAGCGGCGGCCGGTGCGGTTCCCTGACTGGGAATGTGGCTTCGTGGGGCTACCCTGCTCAGAACCACCAGCGCTAAATTGCCAAGAATCTGCGTCCTGGTCGTCTACAAAACTCGTGTTGATATCATCAGTGGTGCTTCGTGAGAAGGTGTGGTGTTCGGGAGAAGTTTGTGCAAAAGTGTCGTCGTTTACGGGGAAACTGAAGCTATTCGAGGCTTTGATGTTAGCGCTATTCGAGAAAGTAAGTGGCTCTGGATTCTGGTCTTTGGGTTTTCTCTTCTCAGCTAACCCCCCAGGTGCCGCATTTTTGATCAGCTGGGCTAGCAACTGCTGCTGTTGCCGCTCAAAGGGGGTCAGCAGAAGGGAAGAGTCTTGATCTCCACTAGGAGACGGGTTGAAGGATGAGCCGTTGTCAGAATTGAAGGGGTATGTTGCATCATCTTGATGCATTGCTGTCCAACCCGGCTCAGGTGCATGGGCATTGTAGGTGTGACATGTGCTGCAGCTTGAAAAGGACGACGGCGGATGATTAATACGTGAACAGGGCGGTGTGTCATACATAGTCGGGCCTCCAGGAGTGTTGCTCTGGGGTTTGGATGCTGGCACGGTCAGTCTTCTGTATATTCTCAAGGAGTTATATAGGCTTACGGGTCTCAGTCGTGGGGGCATTAGGCGGCTGGGCGGTAGAGCCATTTGGGGGTGCTGTGGTGGACGAAGACTTTTGACCGGCGCGAGTTTTCTTGAGGGGCGCTTTGCGGCGAGCGTCCACATCTACGGGAATGTTCGAATGCTCTTTTCCCATACTTGGGAGGTCCCATGATGTCGGTTCTTCTCCATTTGACCCTTTCGGCCTATCGGCGAAGCTGCGCTGTCCGGTGGGCGTTTCAATATCTGGAGAGGAGGTATCATGTCGGCGGCTCTCTCGACTACTGTTTGTTCGACCTAAGGGCACACCATCAAAGGGGTTTGTCTTTTCGCCGCCGTGCTTAGAATATGGCGTGCTTTGTCGGGTATCCGCGGAACTGTCTCGGTCTCTGAACTGACTCAAGGGATCCGGCATTGGTACTGGGCCAGGTCGTCCTGAATTAGGGCCATCTTGGGCGAATTGGGCGAAGCGCTCAGGGTCTGGTCGCGAATTGTAGTTACTGCTGGCCACAGGAGGCTCGTCACCATGCGTAGCTGACCGAGGGTGGTAGCCTGCCCTTCTAGATCCGAAGGAAGCCTGGGCGCGTTGTCTTGCGGACTCAGTTCGCGGTGGAGGGGGTGGGGGAGTTGGTCGAGGCTGCTCGGCCGGCTTCGGGTTCGCCTGTGATGGCTTGCGCATGTTCTCAAATGCCTTGGCCGCATTCTTCTTGGCTTCCTGATCAGCACTTGTGTACTGCTTTGCGGTTGGGGGGACGCCTTGGGAAAAACGGTTTTGCCATCTTTGAGCTCCAGAGGGTGCGGGCCGATTTGGCTGGTTCCGATTCGGCTGGTTACGGCGAGGAGGCGGCGGGAACGCATCGCCGGCACTCGACCAAGGGTTGCCCCTTACGCCCGAGGCAGTAGGGTATCTGGATCGAGTTCTGGTCGCATCGTACTTTGACTTCTGCTCAGGATCTGAAAGAATCTCATGTGCTGACTGAATGATCTGGAATTTCGTGTTCACTTCTTGCTCTCGACCAGGGTTTCGATCCGGGTGGTATTTCAAGGCTATCGGATGGGTTAGTCAATTCGAGTTTCCAACGGTTGTCTACCTCATACCAAGCTTCCGGAACTGTTTCTTGATATCGTCCCCATCTGCCGACGCAGGCAGCTCGAGGTCTGCGTAGTAGTCCCGGGGTGTACCCATCGCAGTCGGCGGCCCAGGTGTGTCGAGAACCCTTTACCAGAGCCGGGTATGTGAAAAGCGAGTCCTGCTAATTCCTTGGTGGCAATGCTGCGGGTCTTGGTTTGAAAAGATGAAGGGACAAATCTCCAGCAGGGTTTGGATCCAAGGTTGGGTATGCGCGACGCTTCTGTTGGGAAACCCGAAGTCAGCGTTGGATTAGGGTGTAGGTTAGGGTAATGTGCAAGTGAAGCGACAGGTGAAGCGGGCGTCGAGGGTGGGGAGCGGCGTGTGTTCGTGGGAAGGCGTACAATCGAGGTTTTCTGTCGTCGTGAGAAAGTTGAGAATCGAAGGAGTAGTTTGCTGACAGCTGGTCCAACTCTGTCAGCGGGTGTTCAACGGCACAGAGGAGTGGGAAATCGCAGTGGACGGCGAGGGTCGGGGCTCTGAGGGTCGGGGCTCTGAGGGCAGGAAGAGATGAAGGGAGTAGCGGGCGACGTGGAAGACGATCTCGGTGTCAGCCAGTCAAAGGCGACTGGGCCCAGCAGAGCTTTAGGCGTGCGTCCCCTCGATCTACCGTGGCGCAAGGCAGGCAGGGCGGGCCCAAGTTATCTCTGTTCCTCGAGATGCGACACGAGGCGCCCCCCAGGCTCAGACTCGCTGCTGGAGAGGATTGGGCAGCGGATCAACAGAGCAAGCACGCTTACCAGAATGACGTCAGGTCCGGGGGATGGAGGCGGGCTCGACGTCGGATGACAGGGACCGGGTGTGAAGCCGGAGAACGCGGCGGAGTCAGCGATAAATCGAGAGAGGTCGGGCTCCCAAAGTCGCGAAGTGCAGCTTGAAGGCGAGGAGCTGGCGCAGTGCAACAGTGGATGTGCCGCGGTTGAGGTGTGACGGATGGAAGCGCTAAGTCGGCGGGCCAGGTGCGCTGCGTTGTACAGGTACTTCCCTTAGGCACGAAGAGCAGAGGTAAAAGGCCCAAAAATGTACAACGGCGGGCCGCGTTTGGGGACTGTGGCTCAGCGCTTGATTTTCGCCTTCCAGCGAGAGTGCTCTGTCTTCTGTCTGAGGCGTCGGATATGTGCTTTACAGCATAATTAGCGTGTCTCGGCTGTTCTGCAAGACATCTCCCAAAGAAGCCGGCCAGATCGAGATTGTGCTTGCTTGCTTGCTGGGGGTTTGGGGGCAGATTTCTCCGGTGCGAGACAGCTGCAAAGAAAGAAAACAAAACAAGCTATCATTGGCGGGGTCACCATGGGCAGCAGCGGAACAATGAAGCGAGCTGCGATGACAGCAATAGCCCCACTTTCGTGCTGGAATTGGCAAGGCCTGTCCTTGATTCACTGACATGCAGACGGGCGAACAACTGGACCATTCTGTAATTCATCTTGTTTGCATGCTCGTATTTATTGCCTCTCTATTCATCCCATTATTCACCAACTGGTTCTTTGGGGCGAGGAAATACCCGTGTAACAACTGGTGAGCATTGCACATCATCGTGACATTTCGTCGCTTAGGTATTTTGTCCATTAGATTCCATTCAGATGCCCACCTTCTTTCTAAAAATCAGATCAAAAGCCTTGGTATTGTGGTATTGTCATGATTCGATATGTTAATAATCAGGTACCTACGACCTTCATGACTCCCAAGGCCTCCAATGCCCGCCAAACAGTCGTGCAGCACTGCCACAACCGTTTGACGTGGACAGTCGTCATCCGAACACGGACTCCTCTCCAGCCACAAATCAATTCATCACTTCGGATAGCACATGACGACACCAAGGTACCGTCACTCAAGGCAGCTTGGGGAGTCTTCTGTCGATTTGGCGCCATCAATTCCGGGTTGAAAGGCACGAACAGGTTGCTTCTAGGCGACCCAACGAGCACACATCTTTATTGCTGACCCAACGAGACGACGCGCATATGACCAACGCACCTCAGCGTCAGCGCGCCCCCACAGCTCATCCCAGTTCCATGAGGACACTCAACACTGGAGTTACACTAAGCTTGATGGACAGCTGGGAGATCCAGCTGCCTCGGGCCGAATGACTCCTCCGCCGCATCGTGACAAGTGCTGTCATGACTCCTTCAGAGGGGCCTCCAGCTTATACTGATATAGAGCTCACACTGTGACGCCGGCTCCAAAGCACCATGCCATCACAAAGCAAAACCATAAGGACGTAGTTTCAACAATTATTCTGCCCTGTCGTATGTCATCGTTCAATCATCCCCGGCTCAGCTTCCCTGCATCGCCTTCTCCGCGGCAATCTTGGCCTCCATCTTCCTCCTGGCTGCCAGAATCATCTCATCCCTCCTCTTCTGTAGCGAAGCGTGCCTCTCTTCCCGGTTTGAGCTCCACGCCTTGCCCTTCTTGTCGTCCTCCGTCGCCTCCTCAGACGCAACCTTCCCCTTCAAGTTATATCGCGTAATCAGGTCCGGTTGCGCCGGCTTGTGCGGTTGTCGGGGCGCTGTTACCGTGCTGGTGCTGCCACCGGGGGGCGGGGGAGGTTGGAAGGTGATCGGGGGCTACATGGGCGTCACCGTTAGCAAAATCCATTGTGCACATCGCGCTCGGAAGGGTTGACCGAGGGAATTGACGACATACCGTGTCCAGTCGGCCGGCGAGAATCCGCTCGGTGGTGTTCTGAATATTGCCCCCGTTCCGTTGCAGGTCCCAGAGGATACTTCGCCTCTCCGCCTGCGGAAACATCTGTTGTATCCTATCGACTGCGATCTCTCTTGACCTGAGGAAGGCCTCCGGTGATCGGGAGGGCTGCTGGGGCGCGGGGCCTCCAAAGAAGAGGTATCGTATTATCAAGCCGAAGACGACCAGTATGGCCACGAAGTATGGCAGCGAGATCTGTTCGTCCGACATGGTTGCTCGGATGTCCGTCTCTGGATAAAGCGGTGGGAATAGCGCTTCGTTGAGCAAAGGTGGGGAGTGATCGACTGCGACGGCGGTTGAGGCGTCGATGCCTGTATTCAAAAGTATTCACAAGGTATTCCACAAGCCAGAGAGTGGCGGTCGTGGGTCGATGCCCATCTATTCTTAATCCAACAAGACAAGACCAGGTTACGGAGCCGGGGTTCCAGCCTCGCTGCTTGGTAGGTAGCGCACTCAAGTAGTAAGCCGGTCGTGGAGGAACCTCGGCTAATATCTTCGTCCCCTGAACAAACGATAAGCTCACACGACATCGCACGCGACATACCCCCACAGACTGCGACGAGGTCGGAGCTACTACAAGCCTACAAGATTTGGTCAAACTCGGTGACCATCTCATTTTAATACCGTAAAACAACCTTACCATAGAACTCGAGGCTGACCTTCTCGTCCACCCGAGCATCAACATCAAGAACAAAAGGACCGACATTCACTAGCACGTGCTCGTTTCATGCGACTGGGAAGCATCCTGTATTAACCCGGTGCAGCCCTCAAATCCAGGTGACAACCCGTCTACCTCAATGACCAGATCGTACCGTCCCAGACCCCAGGGTCAACAGACCCGATTCATTACCGCAAGTAACAGTTGCCCTGCCTTGACGGCGAAACGCCCGATGATACACTTCGCCCAGTTTCAACCAGCCAATGCTAAGCATCAAATCACCCAATCCGTCGGAATCCGATCATGCCTGTTCAACATTATGGCACAACAGGTGCCTGGTTGAGGGTCGTGTCTAGATCCCCATAATGCAGAGTGAACTCCCTCTGTGCGGACTGTGTTAGCATCTGTATCTACAGAGGACAAAAGAGGCGACCTACTCGTTCTTTCCGCCAATTCGAGGTGTCCCACACGATGTAGTATCCGCGCTCATGGTTTGGGCTCAGTATTTGAGGAGTCATATGCTCATCCTTGGTGAGCCACACTTGTAGCTTCTTGTGCCACCGCCAGTTTCGAGAGTGCCTGTGCCATGTTAGCATGTCGAGCAACCATTGACGTCAGTCACTGCTCACAGTTCCACCGCAGCCATTTGTTGCTTGACATCTGCTGGGCAGCTGTAGAAGATCCAGAACAAGGTCTCCTCGTTGAAGCTCTGGATCTTGCTCTCAATCGGCTGTACATTTGTCACGCTGTAACAATCAGGCAGCCGGAACTTCCCAGTATTCGCCGTTGGTCTCGGAGGCGCATCGTCGAAAAGAGAGTAGATCTGGGTCGAGAAAGGCCTGTGGCGGTTAGTGGACGTCGAGAAATCTGAGGTTGGAAAACTCACTCTTGAGATCCCATGTCGAGCCCGAGTGAAGTAGGATCCATGCCCACAACCATTGCATGGTAGTCCGGGTAGTTGTTCATCAACGTTCGCAGCCCCTTGATCCCCCACTTATCCACCGCAGGCATACCCTCAAGAGGGTCAATCACTTCGGGGGCGCTGTTCTCGTTCTCGTCCTTCACCTTCTTCACGGAATCATCAGTGCCAACCGGACCCAAAGGGGGGCGGCTCTCCAGATCTTGCGAAGCTCCATCAGTTGCAAGCGCAGACGCCCCCGAAACCTCCTCTCGGAATGATGGCGGTGTTCGTCTCGCTTCCTCTTCATTGCCAATAGCCTTGAGATCTCGCGGTCGGGGAAAGCCTTTAGAAGTTAGGATGAATTCAAGGAACAGGGGGACCAATGTACTGACCAGGTGCACCTACTCCCGGGGGCGATCTTACTTCACTCACCCGGCTGTTGGCCGAAAGAGCGTTAAGAAGACCATTCCCCCGGTTGTTCTGCACAGGCCCTGGTGCTCCGGTTTGAGGACCGAATCCCAGAGACGACATCAGATTTGCGCCACGCTCCGATCCTATCTCACCGTTGGCGGTTCTGTTAAGTGGAGGGAAGTCGTCGATGCTCGTAGATTGCGGCTGAGATGGTTGGACACCCATGCTTCCCTGGGTTCCGAATCGGAACGACCCCTGCACTGAAGACATACGAGAAGAGTTGGGACTGAAGAGGTCGTCTTGGACTCCTTGCTGGGACGACAGCGGAGTCGGCTGGCTGCGTTGTATGGGGCCACCCAGGTTTCGGGACCCAGTGCCTGACCACATCGAAGCTTGATTAGCACTCGAGAGCTGAGAGTTGTTCGATAATGAAGGGAATTCCCTAGATATATATAGTCAGCACAAACAATCCAGGGCCGATGATATCGGGGATGGTGGGCCATGTCAAGGGAGGCAATAAAGCAAACGGCCAAGCAGTACCCCTTCACAACAGCTGAGTAGGCCAAGCCCGATGGTCTTTCAGGCGTTGACCAATCATCGACTGTCACATTGCGTTTTCTGGATAATCTTGGCTTCCTTGTGTTGCGGGAACCCATGATGTTGGCCGTGTATGAGGGGTGCGAACAAAGAAGCAACGAGTTGAGTAAACGAAAAGAACATACGACAAGTCGAGCGGTGTTGCTGGTTGCGAACCGCTCAAGCTTTGAGCGAAGCTGACGTTTCCGCCGAGTTGACGGTTGGGATTTTGAAGGCCAGCAGCTCCCATCGGCACGCCTCCACCAAACGCCCAGCCGGAGCTATTGTTCGCTGTATTGATGGCGCAACAGTCAGCCCCCACAATAGAACGCAAGTGGCCGCACAGCCAACCCGCGGGCACCAAGCCATACCTAGCTTTCCATTCGGTAAACGGTTCGATCCTACTCGTCCCGGTTGTTGGGGTTGTTGTTGACCTCCAAAGCCACCAGGCATGCCGCGGAGTGTTTGTGGCACTGACCCTACCGTCCGAGACCTTGGTCAGCCGTTGCTCGAATGATCGCTGCATAGCACGCCAGCCCAGACTTGGGCGACACGTAATGCCTCCTTCCCCTTGCCTCTTTCACCTCTCGCATCGGTTCGAAGTCGCTCCTCGGATCATGCCCAAGCGGCAGACGTCAGGCAAGGGAGGGGCATGGTCACAAAGAGGAGGCTGCGAGCCCACGACGGCACCAGAGCGCGGCGCAAGCAGCGCAACGTGCTGGCTCGGTCGCTCTCTTCGTCTCGACGGCGAAACATGTTCGTGGGATCGTGGATTGGGCAAGCAGCGGGGTCTATGGCGAAGGAGGAACGAGGTGGTCGGGAGCGGTCCTACCTGGCCGGTTCATGATTGCAAAGGGATCGCGTGAGCGACTAACGGCGCGGGCGCGATGTTCGTGGGTTCTCGGTTCGGAGTACGGGGCTGCTCGGGTCGAAGTCGGTCGTTAGGCAGCGTCTTTGCCTGTCGAGATGGTGTTTGCACTTTTGCAGCGCTGGTCGGAGAAGGCTGCTTAAGGCTCGATGTACCTGGAGCCGTGGCCGGATTCAAGTGGGTCCGCACCGACAGCGACGTGCTCGCCAATCAAGTTTTGGTGTGGGCCAAGGCTGACGTTGATGCTTGCTCACAACACAGCTGAGGCGCCTTAGCGGAACGACCCCGGACACTGTGAGTCCTGGTGCGCGTCTCCATGCCAGCGGGGTCGGGTTCTATTCACGCCTCTATCGACTTATTTGACGGCTTGCTGGAAGCTTCTCTCAAAGTCTACGCCCGCCACGTTTTTCCCAATCAAGATTATCTTGCCCTCTGCCGGCGTCTCCTGGTCCACGTTTACGGGGGCCTCGTTTATCTCAAAGACCTCTCTGACGCCCTGTAGTATCTTGACGTCTCCGTTGTCGAATACGAGGCGGCCCTTGCAACGGTGTATTTCGAACGTCTTCTCCTCCGCCGCCGCTGGAAGTTTGCTATCCCACAACACGGCCCGTAACCAGCGGTCGACGTCGTCCAATTGGCCGGGCCGTAGGCGACCGACAGGAACTGTCACAGTAGATATTGTCTAAGCAGTCAGCGCAATGCTCATCCCCGACCCGTCGATTTCCAGCCACTCACAGGATCAAGATGACTGTGCCCCTTGGCACTGGCTTCCGATTCATCAAACTGGTCATAGGCATGCAAATCGAGTAGGAAGCCCTCCAGCTGCGGCACCACACTCCGTTCCGTCACGTGGATTTTTGCCAGCCCGTTGATGGATTCAATCCTGGCTCGCACCGAGCTGAGCTCACTCTCGGTGACCATGTCGGCCTTGTTGATGACAATCACATCTGCGTGAGAGATCTGGACGTGAGCAGTAGTCATTAGAGGGCCATGATCGTCGTGGCCCTCGTGGTCGTTGTGGCCCTCAACCTTGCCACTCGGATCATCGAGACTGCGCAGGATGTTCTTCGCATCCACCAGGGTCACAATGCCGTCTAGGTATATCGTGCTACCAAGGCCGTCATCTACCCAGAAGAGGGGCGCAAGGTTCCCAGGGTCAGCAAGGCCTGTAGTCTCAAGAAGGATGTAGTCGAATGCGCCCTTCTTGTCCATCAGCGACTCGATGGCATTCACTCCGGTGTCCCTAAGGATGTTAGCCGCTTCCGTGGTGGGTTAGAAGGTGCCCTACTTCACTGAGCAGCATATGCAGCCGTTTCCGACCTCAAGCCATTCCTCAACCTGCTCATCTCCCTTGTTCACGGTGAGGGACTTCTCGATGTCGATGGCTGCAAACCCACTTAGAGAAATAACTCATCAAGGGTCGCAATGGAACCTACAATCTCCGAATTCTATTACCCAGGTCAATAAAGGAGCTCTAACTTGATGTGGTTGTGCAAACCATTCATAATCACGGCAATCTTCTTGCCGTGCTGCGCCGTGAGGATGTAATTCAGCAATGTCGTTTTACCCGCTCCCAAATAACCTAAATAATGTCAGAATATTTGATACTAAATGAGACGAAGTCATGTTCACGTTACCTGTCACAATAGTGATCGGGACCTTGACTGTGATCTCCTCTGGAGCATCGCCGGTGGTAGTGTCGACCAGCTCTGGCGGGGCATCATCGTCAAAATCCATGGTGATGAATGGTGCCGAATAAACCTGGCTAGTAATCCCAGGTTCTAGGTTACGGGAACCTATTAGTCGATTTAGAGTGAATCTCTTCACCTGCAGATGCTCTTTCCAAAGGTCACTGCCAGTGCTTGTCTTCATCAACTGGGGTTTTGCAGCATCCCGCAGCCATGACAAAAATGATTCGCACACGGGCATCTCGCACGGCCCCCGATAGCTGCATCTTAGTCGTGTGTATGCACTTACTGAGCTCCAGTCAGAAAATGCAACTAACGCACCCAAGCGTCTCCAACCCGCAGCCTCGTCGTTGTCTTAGGCGCCTAGCAGCTCTCTCCCCGACCTCGTCGCAAAAGCGATCTCCGAATTCGAACGCGCTGCGGCCTCGCCTCAACCCACCATGTCCCTAGCACCGAGCTCCCCACGATTGCCAAGTCCGCCGCCGCCGGCCGAGATCCAGATTGGACCCAAATCGCCCTCTGGCGGCCCGGCGGCCAGTCCCCAGACAACGCACTCGGAGCAGACGCTGCTTGACGCGAGCTCCAGGCGGCGCATACACCCGGGAACCAAAGCTACCGACATGGCAGCCGGTCCTCCCTTGATACCCCTTCACGAGGTTCGTTTAGAGCTGGAATCGCCACATGCCTACCTCAGAAACTAACCTCAACCAGCTGGATTCAGCGTTCCAACTCCAGGAACACCTTGCCGCCCTCCACTGCTACCATACCGCCTCCAACACCCAGCCGCTCACCCGACAAACCGCCCTCCAGCTCGCGAAACCTCCTACCGGTATCGATCGTACCATCTGGCTCTACGAGCTCTGCCGCTTCCTCATCTCGCAGTGCAACTCCCTCATCGTCGGCTTCCTCTTCGACACCCCTCCATGCAGCGCAAGCACGTGTCCCGAGATGCGCGCCTCTGAATGGCAGTTCCTATGCGCTGTCCATGAGCAGCCCAAGAGCTGCTGTGCAATCGACTACTGCTGCCACACTCTCGACTGGGCCGCCAACGTCGTCACTGACCAAAAGATATTCCCCAGCCGATTCGTCGTCCTCAGCGATAACCATAGCAAGAACGTTGGGGTCAAGAATCTGGTCAACGTGTTTCGCCGTCTTCATCGCATATTTGCTCATGCGTGGTTCCAGCACCGCGGGGTCTTCTGGTCTGTTGAGGGCCAGACTGGTCTGTACGTCTTTTTCAAGACCGTCTGCGACCTGTACGACTTATTGCCTGCGGAGAACTACAAGCTGCCCCCAGAGGCCGAAGGCTTGGAAGCCCCAACAGTAGAGCAAGAGATTGAGAAGCCTACGCCAACCATCCTGAAGCCCCAGGTACAGCAACACGGCTCAAGTGGTGAAGAAGATAACCTCCATCCTACTCGAACCAACACACGACGACATATTAGGAGCAGTCCGTCGACCGGTAGTGCTGTTACGACGGTCCTAGAAGCAGAGGAAGAGGAGGCAGGTGGTGTGTCACGGAGGCTAAAAGAGATGCACATTTCGGCCCCCTCGACTGTCGAGGAGGAGCCTGAGGTCGCGGAAGTCCCCGTCATTGTTGAACAATCCGTCATGGCACAATCCTCGGCTCAGGACCAAGACCCACTCACCCCAGAAACTGAAGAGGATGAGGACGAGGAGGACGAGGAGGACGAAGAGGAAAGCGAGGAAGATGAGGACGCAGACCAAACCATCATGGAAGCGGACCCTGACCCTGACCCTGAGCCAACAGAGAACAAGGATGCACGAGCCGATAAGCCCGCACCGCCGCAGGAGGAGGACGCCTCGGAGGATGCCACAGATGACGGCAAGCCCAAGGACGACCCTGCAACTGAGAAAAAGCCCGAAGCATCTTCCAAGACCCCAGCATCGACAGAGGTCGAGGAACCTGCCAAAGAGGCAGCCTCCGGGCAACCAGCTACCGAAGTCGACGCAAAGAAACCCGAGGAAGACACGACTGCCGCTCCATCGAAAACCGAGCCCGCAGAGGACGATAAATAAGTTACCAGATGGACCTAGTCTAGTTATGTTCATTTCAGGTGTGCATCAGCTGGTGGTTCAAATCTGGCTTATCCAGATGCCCGCTAGGTGCTCATCCACTGTAGTTGAAGCCGTGTATAATAATATCCCCTTCAAGAAGATATGAGGATACATAAAAGATTTTTCCAGTAGGCACGGCAGACGAACGATGAATGGCTTTTTTTTCCTCATCTTATAGGGACGGATATCCATCGCCAAAATGTGCCTGTTTCCGTTTATTCTCTATGCAATCGAATCTCTCGGCCACCACACAACGTTGAGAGACGTTGGGTCTCTATGACATGGGAGATAAATGGAGATAAATCGCCCGGCCCGTTTCTTTCACTCTTCCAATGTTTGCTTTTCTTTCATGTTGCAACCCCAAGAACGGATCGCAAATATGTTGTGTATAAATAGAACTGAAAATGCTAGCAGCTGAGTAGTTGTCTGGCTAGCAACTTCCCGCCCCTGGTACTCGGTTCCAAGATCAATGTCCTTTGCGTCTACAATCCCAAGCATCACTCTCCGCTGGATTTGTATTCGTGGCAGGGTTTTTTTTTCCTGGAGCAGATTGCATCGTTTTGGTCTCTGGTTGAGCCCTGATGCTGTCTCCTGAGCCTGTCCAGGACCAGTTCTTTTGATTTTTTGCACAGAGGAGTTTGGGTTTTTATTTTTCACTCGCTGGTCTTAGGTTGCCGGACCATCTCCCATAGTGGATGATCCACTATCTTGCTCGTTCATCGATAGCTTTGCAAAGATATGTCGAACCTCTCGGAGGTTTTCTTGCTGGGCCGTCACGGCGGCGGCATTTCGTTCGTCGGCAAAGCCTCGAATACTCTGCAATACTATATTAAATCTTTCGTCATTCGGAATCCACCACTGAGCGCATGATGGATCTCGAAACATTTCGGCCATTTTGGTTCGAAGGCTGATCGGGTGGATGTATCTGGTTATCCAGTCAGTTCGCAATTCTTGACTTTCTGATCGGGAAAGCATAGCGCCGGAATCTGAATCTTACCCCATAGTCTCAAGCAACGCAAATTTTCGGCGAAACCACATGTGATGCCGCGCATCCTGAGGTAAAAATAGAGCAGCAATAGCAATACTTGCCTGGGTGAGGATCAACACGCCTTTGGGGGTAAAAGGCCAGTATTCCAGAGACTCGAAATATTGGCACGCCATATAAGCGTATTGACCCAACTCCCCAAACAGAATTTCTGGCGACATAGTTGATGACTGGCATTTGTGCATGATCATGATGGAATTCCATTCAGCACAGAGAATCGTTGTCGTAAATAATGGATGTTCGTAAAGAATTCCGGGGGTGTATGGGTCGACAATATCGTCGGGATCTGAGTGTTGTGGTGTCGGATAATCGGTAACGAGGTATCTGGTATCGGATAATGTAGGATCTCTCGTCTCCTTCCACTCGACGAGAAGTCTGGTCATCTGATCGTGTTCAAGAGCAAATTGGTCGGCGGAGATTTGGCCTCGACTGCCCCGTGCGAACAGGATCGACATGTCATACGAAATCAGACGAAGCCTTGCAGACCACTCTTCAATTCTCCAACGCAACTCCTCGGGATATGTTATCATCTGCGATTGGTGGAATTCCACCATGGCAGTGAACCACTCGCGGGGCAGGTCGGTTGGGAAACCTCCCATCAAAGCAATAAAGTTGTCAAACCGGGCGTACCACTGGAGACACATGCGGCCCATAGGAGTCTGCATAATCGTTTGAGGTGTGAACATGCTAGTAAGGATTTCGAGCGCTGCTTTTTGGTGGCCCATCAGGTTGACCCAATCACCCAAATACTCCTACCACAAATATTAGCCAACAACGACAAACAAACTGCTTGGTCAGTACGCACCTCGATCGTAGCTAGCTGCAAGATGGTCAAGAGCGTTGCTACGGTATGTTTCTCTTTCCGCTTTAGAGTGCCCAATAACAAGGTAACACTTCTATTGTAATATTGGAGAAAATCCTGTAGCTTCCCATTTGGGTCCTGAAGGGTCAGGTGGTAGGCAGAGAACCCAACCAAGGCGTTGAGCAGCGGCTCGTGCCTTAGAGCTGCACTCGGGAAGATGGTCTTGAAGAATTCATCCGAGTCGTGAGGGATGCAGTAATGAAAGTTGGTCATGTTATCAACGAAGTGCCCGAGGCATCGTTGAAAATCTGGCGGAAGATGAGACCAATCAGGTGGCCCTAGATGAAGTGGAAACTCGACAGACGGATACGAGGTAGTTGAGAGACTAATAGGAGTGGCCGTTGCGGTTGATGGAGATGAGCTTTTCGTACTGGCTTGTGATGGGGCCTCGGAGGGTTGACGTCGTGAAGGCATATTCCCCAAACCCTTGGAACCTTTCGAAGTCCTCTGCGCCGGGTCTTCGGATTCGTCCTCGTCTAGAATTGTTTCAAGCCTGCTTTCTTGCTCCGTGTCTTCGTCATCATCCGCGGTCGAGGACGACGGGCTCGCTTGCGTCCCTGCCCCTGGGTCCTTTGATCTGCCGCTCCCAGATGAGCCCTTTGAATTCGGAGGCTCGGGGTAAACACATTCGCGATTTCCTTTCTTGCAACCTAGCCCCAGGTTAGCATTTCCTCCCGTCGCAATTCGAGAGCACCTTGAAACCCACGTTCGCAAATCGGTCGTGTCTCGTCGCACTGGAACAATTAGCCAACTACCAAGTCCAATGTAGGGGTTGTGCCTACTTTGACTCTCCGACTCCTGCACATAAAGCAGCCCGAGCGCGTCCGACGGTGCTTTACATGATCCATGCCTGTCCCAGTGGCAGGGCCGGACTTCCTTCGACTCTTTTGTGGCTTGGACGGGTTAAACATCATGGGTTCCGGGAAACCCGTGAAGTATCCTAGTTGCTGGTATGGACCAGGTACCGGAGCCGATGGGATAGGAATTGGTTGTCCATGCAGGTGTGGCACGAACATTTCCTCGGGTGTAGTGACTGGATTCATCCCCGCCCCAGACATTGAGGAGAGGAAGTGGTGATAGTAATCGCCCATGGTGGCAGGCGAATCAAGAGTCGCTCGAGTAACTGGGGCGTTTCGGTGCTCTTAAGAAAGTCTGGGGCGGTGTTGGGGGGCAAAGGGTAAGACTTGCATGCTGGCCGGGGACGTGGCTGGTTGGATTGCAACCACTAGGGGCCTGCGTCAGAAACACAAATACCTGTGGTTGCACCAGAGCAGATTGTTTCTGCTTCAACACCAGGTCCGCGGTTCCAACCAGTCGGTTGCCAAGGGCAGCTAGGAATATATGAGCTTCAAGGCTCCAGCCAAGCAGGAACCAGCGGCGAAAGAAAGTACTTAATGAGACAAAGTTGACGGGGGTCAAGAATTCCAGGGGCCAGCTGCCAATTTCTCCCTGCTGCCGGTAGAAGTGGCTAACCAGGACCACGGTCGAGCCCTAGTCTATATTAACAACCCCTGGTAGAAATCCGGCGGAGTGGTAAGGGCGTGGAGGGAAAGGAATGAAATGTGATGGGGGGTTTGGATGATGTCGATGTGTCAGTGTGTCAGTGTGTGGCCCGGTCCAGAGCTGTCCAGCTTTTAGTTGAAAAGGAAGCTACAGGGTTAAGTCTGTCAAGACCCTTGGGCTTGCGGATAGATCCAGGAAAGCGGGAGAATGTCCGCGGTCTAGTGAAACGTGGGTTGCAAGGGCGCTGTTTGGTTGCTGGTGGGGGCTTTCAGGATGTCCGTCAACGAAGAGGGGTTGACCACAGGGTCATGTATAGCAGCTGGGGAGGGGGAGGTAGGCCGTCACGCCGTGACAGGAGAAGCTCAAGGGCCCTTTGTAGGGCAGAAGCTGGGCGGGATCCCGGGAAGTCAGGGGTGTCCATTCAGTCCGAAGTGGCGAGGAAGAGGTGGTATGGACCGTATGGTCGAAGGTAGTGTTGGTCCAGTTAGGTTGGGCAGCCCCCCTGGAGATGAAAGCCGGGGATGTCGTATTCTGCGGGAGAGTGCTGTGGCATGCAGACCTAATGGGGCGTCAATCGATGATCGTGGGCCGTCTCGGGAGCCAGCCAAGAACCAGGCCGGGTCTTTTAATGAGCGGCAAGGTCCACAAACAAGCAGCTGAGTAGAGCAGGCCACTAGTTGCGGATGGCCCGCACGTAGACGTAACGGTGTGGCAACAACAAGAGAGACAACAAGGGGAAAACAGAGCGGGTGGTGGTGTTGTTGAGTTGACAGCAGAGCCCCGTAGGTTTCTGCTACTTCTGTTGTTGCTTGTTGCGGGTGCGGATCCGGGCTAGAGATTCTGCAGAGGGGTGGATGGGGGGTGTGAGGGTGTGGGAAGTGTAGGTAGAAAGAAGCAAGTGCGGAAGAAACGCCGGCCGAGAGAAGAGGGAAATGGGTGTGTGTCTGTGTGTGTGCGTGTGTGGGAGGGAGAAGAGGGGGGGCCAAGGATGGAGAGGCGTTAAAGTGAGGAGAGAGTAAAGCAAGCACACTGTAGGGCCAGTGGCTTTGTTTGTTGTAGGGAGGCGGCACGATATTGATGATGATGATGCTGATGGCGATGGCGATGAAACAGGTAGCAGGAGTCAGCAAAGAGCAGCAATAAGAACAAACAGCGGCAATAACAATAAGTGTAGTTAACATGTAAGAACAGGTCCCCGGGATGTGGTGGTGGCCCAGGTGTCAGTAATAAGAATAAGAGCTGTACTAGAGGCCGAAGGACGGGGCGACGGATTATGGTGGATGATGTTATTCCAGCAGCGGGCGCGGGGCGGGACTGGGTTGGCGGCAGGTTGGCGGGTTGAAGGCAGGATGGTTGGAGGGGAAAGGAGCACCCCGGCCTCCCAGGCTACGATGTACCTTCCGCAAGAGCAAGGGTCCCGACCTTGCCTTGCAAGCTTCCAGACTCTTGGGCTGTTTGGGCTCTGCGATTCTGATCCTGGCAGTTCCAGGCCGCTGGTGCCTCTCTAGCCATAGCTTTCGCTTTCGCTCTGGCGTGCTGAGCTGACGATGGGATGGTAGACGGATACGCACAGTACACGGCTCGGAGTCTAGTCACTCTGATGAGGTGAGGCTTGCCCCGAACGAGCTTAACAGCGCGGAAAGCAAACCGGACGGTTGGACCGGACGACGTCAAACATACCTTGCTCTCCAACTGCTAGCCCCCCTCGAATGTCCCATCGACAGCCCGCGACAGCCACTCGACCGCTTGGCCGACACGGGCGGTGGCCTACTGGAGCTGAACTTCTGGAGGCAATAGTGGATCGGCCGCCGTGGCGTCCGTCGGGGCCGGAGTAACTACTTGTTCGTCCATGGTGCCCATTTTGGCATCTCACATCTGCGGCCGCGCGCTTGGCATCGACGCGCTCTCACCAGCACGAGAAGCATTTGGAAATGACCGTGACCAGGGGCGGCCTCGCGGACAGGCCCAACAGGCGGTGATGCAACGTTTTTTTGGGAGCCAAACCCCCAAGCCGCCGGGGGTCGATGCAGACTTGGATGCAGACCTGGATGCAGACCTGGCTTGCGCTGTCAGACGGCATGCCTGTCGCTGCCAAAATTGTATCCAGGCCCAACGCTGCACTCTATCCGTCGGGAGGGGAAGAGGGTAGTACTACGTAGGAGGTCGGAGGGAATCCATCCATCCATGCCACCCAGGGCTTCATAGCTCCCCTCCTCCTTCACCTCCTCCTCGCTGCAAGTGCAGGGGACCAGGGCATAACGCCGGCGCGACAGGGTATCCTGGTGTGACATCCGTTCATGGCTCCCTAGTAAAAACATGGTGTAGATGGCGATCTGATAGGGCCCCGTCGACTGGGCCGGGATAATTGGTTCAAACACATAATTGGTTCAAACAGGTTCATACAGGCTTCAGTTACGCCCTACTACGTATGTAGCATCAACTTCCACCAGACGCCGGATCCGTCCCAACTTCTGACAACCACCCACACAGCAAACGGCGTCTCAACGCTTGGATCAGCTGCCGCTCCCGGCGCTACTCATGGGTCGTCGCGTGGCCCGACCCAGCACCGCAGCGCCGCCATGGCTTCGTTTTTGACTTCACCCCAACAGTCGACAAGTCTTTTTATGCGGACCTCGGCATACCAAGAACGCCATCAAGGGCTGGCAGCGCCGGCAGTGGGTATTGGCCGGTTTTCAGTACACGCCATCTCCCTTTGTTCGGCCGGACCGGACCTCTCCCGGATGCGGAGGCCCGATGAAACGGAATGTACCGATTCCCATTCCAGTCACCGATCACACAACGGCCAAGTGCAGAGTACCTCTGCCGACGAACGATTTTTGGCAACGTGCTCAACCGGCCGCGATCCTCAATCCCCGTCTTGTGTGGCCTGGGCTTAATTAAGCACTAGGGAGAGTTCGGGCCAACCTGAAGCACAGGCCCGAAGAGAAACGGCATGCGTTGGAAGTTTGAAGGCATAGCAACCGCTGGGCCCTGCAGCAAGCATTGCCCCGTCAAGGGCCTCAGCTGTGATTTGGGATCAGCCCCGATTGCTCCGACCGGCCAATGTCTCGGAGGTCTCTTCGGAGCTATGAGTAACCCTTCCCTAGCTCTGCCTCCTTGTTAGGCTGCTGCACTTTCGGGCGCTACGAAACATATGTTGCCTGTCGGGGGGGGGTTGCTAGACTGACACACGGAAGGCGCCTCAGGAGCCACACGATCCATCTGCAAGAATTCAGAGACTGCCTCTGTACGATGATGTCGGTGTCTTACCTCACGTGGCATTCCTGACTCGGCTCCGACGACCGACAGTCAGGTGACTCTTGGATGGATGGAGCTTCATTGGCAAGTGTGCCCAAGTGCTGCAGGTGTACAGGCAAGCATCCCATGACAGCTGCGTGTCAACAAGGGCACCCGCCACTTTGCTTTGTTACACGGATTGGGAGCTTCCCGCCAAACCCTTGCCTACCTATATTCTAGAACGATGTCAGCAGCTGTGAAGAGCAGAGGAAATGATTGGGCAGTTAGCATTTCCGTTTGTGGTTGATCTACGAGCTTCTTTACACCACAAATCGCGGGCTCCTCTGTTGATCGCAGCCCTTGGACAACGCCGCGGTACTGGCCGCGATGTCAAGATAACAAGTCATGTTGGTGCCATGATGATCTTCCCTGGGCTGGTCAACCTGAACGTGCCCAGCCAACAGTCGGCTCCACAAGAGGAACCCGGGTGCAAGGGATCCGGGCTGTATTGAAAGCGGGCACCGGAAGTTTGACAACTACCAGGTAGGTTCCCAAGGTACAGGTACGTACCGTTTGCACAGTAGCACAGTGTACCTACCTTAGCAAATCTCTAATAAGCCCCTTAAACGCTTAGTATCCAGTACCCAGAAAGTATTAGATAATGTACCGAAGTTGGTTCTTATTTCTTCTAAAAGTGGACTCTTAGATGGATGTTGTTGATCTAGAGTATACTACTAAGTACAGTGTATAACATAAAATTATTTCTCAATTTCTAATTTTTAGAGAAGAGCTTCTGTGAGGCTCTTTTTATTCCGTTCATCGGTCATACATCGACTGTGTGGGGCTCCCTAGATATCCCCTATTGAAGTTGTCAAACTTCCTGCACCAACCCTCGTAGAGCATGGCCGTGAAGGGGCGGCATGGTACACCAAAGACCCAAAACGAACGGGGAGGTGACCTAACGGCTCCGTCGTTCATCTAGCCAATCCTGGGCTAGTCAGGAGCGATGATATCTTTATTTGTCGTATCAGTCGTACATATCGAATGCCACCCATTGGACAAAGTACGATTGGCGTTTGTTTTGCTCTGTCGCATCATCAGTACATATCCAGCGGCATGACTTCTGGTGGATGAACTTTTTTCTACAGTACGCCATTCCGTGCCTGTGTCATGAGGAATGGAGTTGACTGGTTAACTCGTCCTTCTCTGGGAAAGATGGCGAGGCTCGTGTTGGGTTTGCCATGTTGCCGGGAAGATCCCTCTGACGGCGAGGCCTCGGTGACAGAGGATGCCCAAAGCTCGACGCCGGTATGCTCTTCCCGGTCGAGAAGGATTTTCCCCCGAGTCAAGGGGTGCCTTGCTTGACAGCGAATAGAACACATCGGGGAAGGCAAGGGGCCGAACAGGGGTCCAGCGCGGTGTTTTCCGTGGTGTGCACCAAACACACGCCCCAAGTCATAAAGGCCATCGTGGCAAATCTCCAATCTCAATTCAGCATGGGAAAACCAAGAGGCCCGTCATCAGACTTTGTCGCGCCGCGCCCGGCTCCCTCGATCCCCTACTGACAACGTGTGGACTGAGTCGGCAGGGCTTGACCAGTTAGGAACAGGGGGGGGAGCGGCATCGCGTTCCCACCCCGGCACTCGACCAGCTCGATTTGCAGCCTTGACGTCGTGCGGATGTCGAAGTGGCCTGACAAGGAAGCAAGACGCCATCCAACGAGCCTTAGGGCGGTGCTAGAGGCGGCGCCGGCGTCTACTCACGACCGGAGCGTGGGGACCGCAAGCGCCCTGGCCAGCCAGAGCGAGGCAGGGCATGCCAGCGCCAGGGTGCGGAGCAGCGACGACAGTCCCTGACTAGAAATGGAAATCTGACGGTCGTCTTGGCATCAACCCAGCTCTGGGGGTCAGGGATCCGGCTGGGGTCTATGGGTCTAGAAGCCTTCTGTCTGTTTGAGCCCTGATGGTGGAGGGTGGGCTCATTGGCCTCACCAGTGCACGCAGTGGAGAGCGGCATGCGGGTGAGGGCGAAGGAGGACACAGCCGGTGAGGAGCACAAGAGGTACCACCTACGTAATTCTCGTCGGAATTGATTTTGCTTCTTCTACTACCAACAAGCCAGCGAAGGAAGGTTTACTTGTTTGAGAGAAGGAAATTGAGACGCGTCGAAATGGGGCTCGTTAGTTCATAAGAGACCCAATATCAGATCATGCCTACCTAGGCATGAATGCTTTTAATTCTCTCCCTCTGGATCCCCCGCTAATTGAAACCAAACCCCGGCCAAACAATTCCTACATGGCACTTCGCACTCCCTACCTAGGGTACGGTAGCTAAGTTGCCTACCACCTATGTACATACCGCCGGGTGGGGGGGGAAGCTAGGTGCCGGCGTCTGGCCGCGGCCACGGCCTTCCGCAACTGCCCCTCACTGTTTGGCCGCTTTTTGGGGGTGGCTCCTGCCTTCCCCCGAAAAGCCAAGGCCCAAACAGGAACTGGCATCTTTCTGTAGGTGCGGGTGGACATCCTTGGGTGGACATCCTTGATGGATATCCCTCCAATCCCTGTCGCTCACTCGACCTAAAACATTACATCTCGCATTATGCTCGCACCCAGGTCCGCCGTATCCAAAAAGTACGAACGAAAAGTACGTATCGTTCCAACTACTGCTACTGCTGCTGCTGCTCCTCACTTGTCCGCATGTTGATTACCCTGCGTTCCTAGCACCTAGCACCTAGCACATAGCACTACACATATCGGCCAGCCGCCTCGACAAGCAGAAGATCATCTCCGATGGCCGCCCCACTGCCGAGTCTTTTTTAGTTCCTCCTGGTCAATTTCTCTGCCCAACCGGTTGCCGGACTGGCTCTGACTGCCGATAACCTCCCAAGGTTGCGAGACTGGTTTGCCTCAATGGCTTGACACGGTGGCTCTCTGCGGTGACGTGCTCCGATAAGCGTCGGCACCATTGGACCGGACGGCGTGTGGCTCAAGGTCGCGGAGGCTGAATGGGGGGGACGGATCCCGCCCACGGCCCCACGAACGGAGGTTGGAGAGGGCGACGCCGCAGAACCCTCTCGGTGTCTTGCCTCTCGTTCCTCCAATTTCCCAGGATCCGACCCTGCACGCCGACGGCCACCCGCCCGCCCCTCCTCAGCCCGGCCGTGGATCTCCTCGAGTCTTGGCCTCATCCTCTGCGATGTCTATGGCTCTTGGCCGGCCCCGGCCCTGCCCTGCCCTGCAGATGGGGCGCGCGCGTGTGTCATAACACCTGCGTGAGTGTGAGCGAGGATGGTCACTCCAGTGGGGATGGGAGAGGGCCAACAGGTGGGCGTGTGTGTGGGGCACCGTCATCCAGGTCCGACTTTACACCAACAAGCATTCCGCACGAGCGGGGGATAGCAGGCCCTGGCCCGTCGCCCGCCACGGCATACTGAACCATCGAAAACTTGGTTCCAATGGTCGAGCTACTATACCTACTGTAACCCTACTGCGTGCCAGTGGTGGGCGGCCTATTTTTGGGTCGTCCGCACTTCTCCTCGTCATGTGAGATTGGGCCAGCATGAACATGTATACCACGGAGATCCAGCACCAGCGTTCGGAGAACGGAGTGCGGCATGCCATGCGGGGAGTACGGCACGCGCTACGGCCATGGCGTGTAGGTTGGACGCTGACAGAGACGTTGGCAACCAACCCCAATTGCTCACCATCCATGCTAACTTTTAGTTGGCGACCGCATTGGGACACCCGTCAGCGAAATGTTTGTCTCCCAGCGTCTGCCCGTCGCTGCGTACGCCACGAGTCAGTCACCGGAAACATCAGGGAAACAGAAAATGGTGGTGTGGATGGTCTCTTCCGTCAGCCTCAGGGTGATCAATGCGGGAGCTCCTCTTCCCTTCTCCTGCACAGCTGCACGGAGCTGAGAGGGAGCGCATGGTGAGGAGTACTGACTGCAATCTGGCTCGAGCGGCTTGGCGGGATGCGTCCCGATATTGCCGGCCTCGTTCGTACCCTTACCCTGGAAGTGATTTGCACTTCGTATGTGCAGCTGAGTAGATCAGCGAGGAGCATGGGACGACGATAGTCTTCAGCTCTAGGCCCGCCCTTCAGCTGTTCAGAGCGGGCAGATCATTTTAGGGTCTGGAGATTGCAGCCAATGTGCGTAAGATGGGGTGAGTACTCCGCGGCGAGACTACGGCCTGGCAGTGACCGACCACAATATTGGATCGTGTGGTTTGAGGGGGGAAACACGTAACACGGCGGAGTTCAACGACCGAGCTACGAGGTGAGTGCGGATGCGTTCCTAGATCGATTTTCCTCTTCCCTTTTTGCGTCACCAACTGACACTATCCCAGTTCAGCTGAGGTGACACCCGTTCCAGGGACAATACGTCGGTAGTATAGCACTTTCTAGCTCCCTAGTTCTCTTGTGAGCGGCGCTGGACCAGCCACGAGGACATTCCATGAAAGGGCAAATGCACTTGACCGCCCCTCGGGATCTCTGGCTCGCCAATTCCTACGTATCAGAGCTCGTTGGTGGCAGTACCCTAAAAACGGGATGGGGAAGCTCGAGACTAAGGTTTTTTTGGTACGTTTTACTGTTGGCGCGGAGCACCTTGGGGACCTATCGACACGTATTCCTCCTGCAGGTGTTGGACTGAGACCAACAGCATGGGGTGATGTGACGGGCGATCGAGATTGTGCGGTACGTGCATGGCTGGCATGTCCCCGCCAGGCAGTGCATTACGTAGTACAACTCGATCTGTGAAGGCCAATTCCCATCCACGATTCTCAGCCGTCGTGGTTCTCGGCCCCCCCGTCCCCCCACACAGACACACAATAGGCACGGCTACCAATGCAGTAATCGCCACTGAAAATCGCCACGCTCGGGACCATCTGGCACGCTTACACGCTTACAGCACAGTTCCCGCACACTCGCAGGAGGACTGAGAGCTAACTTTGTAAGTGCGCGCCTCAATTGTGCAGCTGGACTCGGGAGTTGGTGGATACTTTTTCGTATCAATTGCCATCCTGGCTGCATGGGTGATGGGTGCCGTCCGTCCCCGGAGAGGGCTGACCGAACTACCCTGTACCTGACAGTGCAAATCCTGCGCGAATCATCAAATCAGCCGCGGAAACTCCCCACCATGACGCAGCGGGCTGAACGTGCTGGGGTTGCCAATCAGCAATCAGGTCTTCAACACCATCAGCTTCGTGTACTATCAAGGCGGACTACCTAAGGTACAGAGTATGGAATGATGTCTCATATTGCTGGACCATCCATCGAGGCGCCGTGACATACTCACTAGCCACTGTCGCAGTCACAGTGACTACCTCTCAGTCAAAGTCGGTCACGGTAGGTCAGTCTCAGTCAAAAGTCGGTCACAGTAAGTCATCAGTCAGTCCCGGCTCAAACGGTCAATGCGCCACGTCCTGCAGCGCTCAGACATTCGGGGGCAAACGGGGGCACGGAAGGCGTTTGAGAAGTGGGCCTATCGGGCCAGTGAGCGTCTGGTCATTCAGACTACAGTCGAAGTCTAACAACAACATCTCTTCAATCTGGAACTTGGAATCTGGCATCTGGCATCTGGCTTCAGAGCGACTAAATTACCCAACTACCGCCTAGCAACCGAACCGGGAAAAAAACCCTCACCCCTTGTGCAACCGCCAATCTCTCGCCCGTGTTCCCGCCGCTACAGTACGGCCCTCCCTTTTCTCCCGCCACCGCCGAGATAGTAGCTGCAGCTGCGAGAGAGCACATCTGGCCATTCAATGTCCCAACCCGGATCGGGGGCGTTTGGCCTGCAGAGCCAGCTCGCAGACGCTACGCATGCTTCCGCCCTCGTCCAGAGGCTCGGCCACTTCTCCACGACGACGCTGCCGGCCTTCGTCTACCAGCTGGACGCCGTCTCGCTCCTCCTGCTCGTCGTCACTCTCGTCGCCTTTCTTGTCCCCGTCTTTATCCTCTTCCCGCCCATCCCGGTCGAGCGCAGCGATGCCCTCCGCCAGACCCACTCCATGCTCGGCCTGCCGCCGAGTTCCACCAACCTCCGGGACCAGATGTCGCCCGTCCACCGCGCCCAGCCCGGCCGCTCTGCCAAGGTCCAGAGCTTGTACATCTACCCGATCAAGTCGTGCAGAGGCATCGAGCTCGCCCGCAGCAGGGTCCTGTCCTCGGGCCTTGAGTTTGACCGCCTATACACCTTTGCCCAGCTGCGCGCTCCCGCCGGAGCCGGCGCCGCCTCCGGTCCTCTACAGGCTAAGCCGGTGTGGCAGTTCCTGACTCTGAGGCAGCTTCCACTTTTGGCCAATGTCAAGGTCGACCTTTGGACTCCAGATCCGACAAAGACTAGCAGGCTGCTTGGTAAGGTGGACGAGGCGTTCTTGGTTGTGAGATTCCCGTGGATGGACCACGGCCTGCGAGGCCTGGCGCAGTGGGTGTCGGCAAAGTTAAGCCGTGGCCTCCAGGCTGAGCCCGAGAAGGAATTCATGTTGCCAGTCTCGTTCCCCTCCGATCAAGACATCAAGGCTTGTGGCTACACATTTGCAAATGTCAAGATCTGGAATGACGTTATATTCGCGCTCAATGTGGAAACTGAGCTTCCCCCAGAGCTGGCTCAGTATCTGGGCGTCCAACATCGCCTCGGGTTGTTCAGGATGGACCCGTCGAAGCGGAGAGAGGTTTTCCGCAATGCCCAGCGAAAAAGCGAGCTTGGTTACCAGCCTGTCGTCGACTTCCATGATGGTGTAAGTCATTTACCATTTTTCCATTTTGCTAGCCTATCTCGGACCCTCCGATTGACAATCTTTCTACCAGTATCCCCTCCACCTGCTTAGCTTGACTAGCATGCAGAACCTCGACACCCTACTCCTCAAGGACGAGGCCATGGAAGAACTCGATGCACGCCGATTCAGGCCCAACATTATTAGTGCGCCCCCCCTGAACCCCTTGCCTTAGCTTCGCAGACTAACTGATCTACCTAAGCTTCCGGGAGCGAAGAATACGAGGAAGAGACCTGGAAGGTCATCAACCTCAAACACCCGTCCACCAACGAAGAGTGCCATTTTGACGTTTCGTGCCGGACAGTTCGGTAGGTTGTCCCACAATCCAAACTACCCAAACCAGAACCCAACTGACCGATCCAGGTGCAAATTGCCCAACGTTGATCCCCAAACGGGCATCCGCCACAAGGTCGAACCCGACCGCGCGCTCAGAAAGTTCCGCGACGTTGATGAAGGGGCTCCTAAGATGGGATGCATGGGGATGCAGTTGTGTCCCATGTTCCCCAATGCCAAGAGCGTCGATGAACCTGACGCCTACATCGAAGTTGGCATGAGCATTGACGTCGTGAAACGTGGTTCGCATCTCTACATCAAACAGTAGCATGTACTAGTACAAGGGTGGGTGGTCTGGGTTAGATGTATTAACAATTGCATTGATTTAAACGGAAACTTCATTTATCCATGTCCTCATTACATCGATCGGTATCTTGTCAAACCACCAAACGCTGCCTTCCCGTGCCCCGACCCACGCCTCGTGTATAAACACGCCCATATGTTCCGTCATTCCTCATTGACACGCCATTCATACATCGCATGACTCCGTGACATTACCTCATATCCGCTGGCGTCAAGGCTTGCACCATACTGGTGCCCTCGCTGAAGCGCGTCCGGAAAATACGGTTCGCGTTCTGGAACATGCCGTCCTTCAGACTGACAACGATGAATTGCGAGCCCTTGAACCGGGTCTTGATGAGACGACCGATGTTTTGCGTGTGCGACAGATCCAGCGCGGCGTCGACCTCATCGAGAATGTACATGGGTGCAGGCTTGAATTGGAGCAGAGCCATGATGAGCGACAAGGCGACGAGTGATCTGCAGGTCCCTTGCGGTTAGCAACTTCCTTCTTGACATCAATACCTTGCTTTGGAAAGGGATTCTTACCTCTGACCACCACTCAACTCGGTCAAGCTCTGTTTCCAAACCTTGCCCAGGCAGACCTTGACCTCGAGACCGTCGCTGATAGTCTTGTTCTCTGGGGGATCCAGCTTGGCAAAGCTGCCGCCGGGGAGCAATTCCGAGAAGATCTGGCCAAAGTCGCCGTTGACCTTCTCCCAAGTCTCATGCAAGGCCTTCTTCTTGTAGTCGTCCAGACTGACAATGGTTTCCTCAATCTTTCGTTTATCGCGAATGACAGTCTTGATCATGTGCTTCAGAGAGACCTCCTTCTTCTCAACGCTGTCAATCATGTTCATGACCTTGGGGTTGATCTTCTTCTTCATCCCCTGGAAGCGCTCGGTCAGGTTACGCAATGTTGACTTGCACTCGCCAATGTTTTGGCCCTGGAAATCGTAGGGCGTGCCGTTCCGGCCGAATTTGTCTTTTTCATCATGGATCCATTCGTGCTCCTTCTCCAGGTGGGTGACGTTCTCGGCGGCGCCCTGTTGCTCTTTGTGGAACTTGTCTACGAGATGGCCGAGCTTCTGCATCTCGAGGCCCTCCTCAGCGATTCGCCCGTTCTTGGAGCGGATGGCGTCCTCCAGAGCCCGTAGCTCATCGTCAAAGAGGTGAAGCTTTGCGCGCTCGTCATCGAGCTCAGCCTGCACAGCGTCGTGAGTCTCATTGAGCTTGGCTTGTTGCTTGACAATATCCTCAATGTCTTGTTGTTGAGCCTTGATTCCAACCTCGGCCTCCTGAAGCTGCTCACGGGCGGCAGAAAGGTCTACACCGGCTTGCTCGGAATCGAGTTGAGCACCCTGCAACCCCTTCTGAAGTGCCTTGACGGCCGCAGCATTTTTGCTGAGGCCAGCTCGGAGTTTATCAAGGCTCTTCTGTAGCTCAGTGAGTTTGGCATCTTTGTTGTTGTCAAAGTCGTTCATGTCCTTCTCAATGCTCTTGATATCCGCAGTCGCCTTGGCCTGGCGGACCTTGGCCTCAGATATGCCCTCCTTGAGCTCGGTGATTGTTGACTTCATTTTCGCAACCTCCTGAATGATGGAGGACGAAGAGTTGCCGCCAATCTGTTCCTCGGCGAGCTTAATCTCGTGGCTCTTCAGGTCCAAATCTTGCTTGATCCGACGAGCTTGGTCAAGCTTAGACTTCTCTTTAGATATTCTGACCTGAAGTTCCTTCAGAGAATACTCAGCTTCACTTAGTTGTCGAGTGAGGCTGTTGAGCTTCTGGAGAGTTACCAAAACGCCGCTGGAGTTTGGTGAACTGCCACCAGACAACGTGCCGGATGGGTCGTATGCATCACCCTCAAGAGTTATGCTCCTCATCCGGACATTGGGATCGAATGTGACCTTCTTGGCAGTATCCGCATCAGCACACACAAGGGTGTTGCCAAACACGTACTCCATGGCGGCCGAGACCTCGTCATCATATCCGACCAGGGACAGAGCAAGGTCAACCTTGCCGGGTGCGATCTTCTGTGCCGTGGCAATGGTTTGAGCCGAAGCTTTGAAGGCTGCAATCTTGTTGAGGGGGATAATTGTAACTCGCTTCCTGAGCTTTCCCTTTTGTAGAAGCTGAGTGCCAGTCACTTCTGAGTCAACCACGACATTGTAAAGGCGCCCACCGGCACAGATCTCCAACGCAGTACCCGCTGCAGTATGCTCTTTGTCCAAAGTAAAGAGCTGAGCAACTAATCCTTTGACCTTGGATCGGTCAAAGTTGGGAACCGGATCAGCATAGTTGAAGTCGATGTTCGCAACTTGCCGTTTGAGTTTGTCGGATTCCTGCCTGAGGTTCCGAACGGTTTGTTGCAAAGTTGACTCCTGCTTGTACATCTCCTCCTCCTGGCCTGGTTCAAACCCAAGTCGACTGAGCTCCTTCTCTAACTTTTGGGCTTGTACCTTCAGGCCATCGAGGTCACGTAGGAGGTCGGCATTCTGTTCCTTTGCCTTTTTGGCCCTGGGTTCCTCTTCTTTGATCCGCTTTTCTAAGTGAGAAATCTTGATCTTGGCTTGTTCTTGCTCAGTCGCAGCCGTGGTGGCGCGGGCTTTGGCGTCCTGGAGTTGTCCTTGGTAACCGTTTTCCTGGCCATCCTTGGAGGCCACACCGGTTTGTAGAGTTTGGAGAAGCTCCTCCTTGGACTCGGCGTCTTGATTTTGTTGCTCGAGATCATTCTTCGCCGCATCATACTTGGCCTTGGCATTCTCGAATGCCGCCGTCTTGTCCTTGAGTGTTGCCTCTGACTCGGAGACCGCCTTTTCGATCGCAATCTGCTTCTCCTTCTCCTCTGCCAGACTTGAGTTCTTCAAATCGAGTACAGTGGCAAGTCTCACTAGCTCGTTGGAATGCTTCTTTGTCGCCTCTTCCAGCGCCTGCGCCTTGCCCCCCTTCCTGAGTTCCTTGTCTCGCTGGGTCCGCACCTTCTTGACGTCTTCCTCAAGATGCGAAATCTCGCTTCGTAGCCGTGTTGCAGATTCCTCCAGGTCCCATCGCCTTCGCTTCTTTCCTTCGAGGTCCGCAGCTGACTGCCTCAGCTTCTCCTGGCAGCGGACATAGTCGTACGCAACAACGACTCTCGTGAGTCGCTCCAGGTCGTTCTGGGTCTGTTGAAAGTCCAGGAATGCTCGCTTCTCGGTCCGTAGTTTCTCGAGCTTGGGCTCAATCTCATCCTTGAGCAGTTCCCGGAGTTCCACCAACTTCATCTCCTTCTTGGCCATAGTTTTAAGTGCTTTATCTCGTCGGTCCTCGAACATCCTTGTTCCCGCGGCTTCCTCAATCATTGCCAGGATCTCAACCGCCTTCATGTTTAGGACCTTGGTGATGCGACCCTGCATGATGAGGAAATTCGGGTTGTTGATGTTCAACTGAACCGACTGGAATAGATTCTGAACGGTTTGTTGTTGCGCCCGGTGTCCATTGATGAGGTACTTCGAGGTGCCCCCAAGAACAATTTGGCGGGTGACACTAATCGTGGCATACTCCTCGAAACCGATCGGCGACTTCTTGGTATCTCTGTTGTCGAAAACGATCGTGACACTGGCTTTAGTGACGCCAGCCTGGCCGCGCTTGTAGATCAGATCCTACGACGGCGATGTCAGCGGGATGCAATTGGGGGGGGGGGGTTGCCATCTGGCGACTGACCTGGAGGTTTTGCGCTCGAACGGTTGACATGTTGGTAATGCCCAGGACAAAGCAAATAGAATCAAGGATGTTTGACTTTCCACTGCCATTGAGGCCGGTGATGGAGTTGAAGCTCTCGTCCCTAGACATGGTCAGTCGTCGCACGCAACTTCCCCTCTCTGGTGCGTATTTACCATCCTGAAATCACTGTACGCACGGCGTACGACTTGAAGCCCTGGAAAATAGTCAGACTTATTCATCGTTAAATCAGCGTCAAACCGCATCTTACGTCAATAATCACTTCAATAACCCTCATTTTGGTCGACGCCGGGTTGCAACGACGTATATCCTAGAGGCTTTGTTTCGTCGCTTAGCACCGACGCTGGAGGCGCGACACGAAAGTAAACAAATAGCGGGATCCGTGGCCGATAAGAAGGCTATCACCACGTGACTGCTGACATCATCACGTATGGGGGGTGGGAGACGCGAATCTAGGGCATGTCCCACTCTGGAAAGGCGCTAGCCCTATTAGGACAGAATCAAAACATTGGATTGTGACCTGGAATGCGAGCCACCCATTCCCCCAAGCTCTCCATGTTATCAAACAAGCTCACTCTACCTTGAAGCTCCCAAGCACCACGACTTCGCACCGATACACAACCCCGATGCGTTTATGATCTCCTAGAGACGACCATAGTCGACTTCGGCCACCTTCCTCCATCTCGCGCAACCCATCGAATTCGACACAATGGCAGCAATGCGAGGACCGCGACTTCAAGTTGGTTCGGCGGCGTGGGTCGCTGAGGAGCGCGCGTCTGCACTCCAAATCGTGGACTCAGAGGTTGAAGAGTTCACCTACTCCGCTCGGAACGAGCTAGACTGGCTCAACGAGCATATGGCTGGTATCTTTAATGAAAATGAGACGTAGGTGTACCCGCGTCCCCTGGTCGCAGGAAACGCAGCGACTGATGTGATTATAGGAACATCGCCGAGACCTTCAAAACCCCGGGCAAGCTTCGCGGAAAGACGCCACGTACGGCGCGTAAGGCGCAACCTGGCGAGCCCAGAGTGGTGAGCGTCGACACCATGAGTGGATTGAGAATACATACTAATATATCCTAGCCTCTCTCCAACGTTTTCGGCGCGACACCGACCAGCACAGCAAATCGTTTCGCACAACAACTCAGTAAAATCCAGTCTCCTCGACTACAACCGGCCTCACCCAGCCCTGTGAAGACTGGCTCTCCACGACGCGACGTGTTCTCACCAAAGCCGACACAAGCCCAGCCAGCAACTCAGGATTCAGGTTATTATGGAAGCCAGGACGTTGGCTCGATGGATGTTGACCTCATTGATGAGGATGATGTCTCACACGTTGACCATGTCGTGCTTCATGGACCAACCACGGTTCCCGTCAAGCAGAGCCCGGCGCGACCAACCGCGCCAGAATCCCCTGACAAGACTTTCCGAACTGCCAAAGAAGATCAGACAACACGCGTCACAACTGAGCACAACACGGCCGTTGTCACATCTCCTACTGAGTTTGAGAAACCTCTTGAACATGACGATGTTGTGACTTCACCTCTCGCGTCGCGTTACGTTTCTACAAATCCTTCTTCGCCTGCCAAAACCCAGCCTGGAACGGAGACGATCGATGAGGTTGACGAAACTCAACCAGACGAGGACTCCCCTGGGGATGCTCGGTCCCCCTCTGACGGATCTAGCCCCATTCGACCTGTTGTCCGAAAGAGCAGCCTAAATTTCGCGTCGTTGCCCGCGAGAGAGCCTCTGACGGCCGGAAAGAGTGCTGGTGCACGCGTGTCTCGAACTAGTCATCTCGATCATAACAGGACGAGCTACTACAACAGGCACACTGGAGGCAAGAGCCTTGGGAACTACGCCAAACAAGACTCATCGGATGATGACGATCAGGATGACGAAATGGACGTGGATGACTTTCCTTCCGTCCCCGTCCAGGAATCTCAAGAACCTGAAGATCTTGCAATGCATCACAACAAAACATACACCCAGAGACTACAAGACCAGATTAATATGCTTGGCAAATCACAACCGAACGGTGGCAGGCCCTCAAAATCGCTTCACAGTCTTATTTCTCTTCAACAACCTACGACAGCTGCCCCTCAGCCAATGCAAGAACCGAAGTCTCCGTCCCCGAAGAAGCAAGAGACTACAACGACTCCTGGAGCCTTCCCTGAAGACGACGACGACGATTGGATTGACCCACCTGCCGTTGAACCTGTTCTACCTGAAATGGCTGACGTGCGGCCGACCCTCTTTAAAAGCCACACTACCGATGTGATGGAGGGGATCCATGGCAAGGACATTGCTGTAGGCCCCGCAGTCACGCAGGCGGATTTGCACGAGGCAACTCAGTCTCCTCTCCATCGAGGGTTGACCATGCCTCAACGGCCTAGTTTCCTAGGACATGCTAAATCTGCATCTGTTTCGGCTATCCCAACTACTGCCTCGTCTGACCACCAGGATGGAAGTCCACTGAAGAAGACTGTCTCCGTCTCGAATCCATCTTTGGCCATGGAAACTGTCTCAGAAAAAACTCGCTCTCAGACGCCCTCGAAGTCACCATCTCGAAGCTTCCGCGATAGCCCTCTAAAACAAGTCAAAAACAAGCTGTCGTCCATTTTGAAGAGCTCTAAGGGTCTTCTTGCAAGCAGCGCTGCGATAAGTGCCGAGGGAAAGTCATCAATGTTGTCTCCATCCACAACCCGTCTTGGGATCTATCCTGCTCCATCAACAGAGTCTGTCGTTCCGAAGCCAAGCCACGAATCACTGCGAATGGAACTGGAGAGCCCGTCTCGCCGAGACGGGAGCCCAGCTCGTCCTGCTCCCAGGCGCACTAGGGCTTCGGTAGAGCGCGAGAAGGAGGAGAAGCGTCGCGAGAGGGAGGCGATGCACATGGCGGAGCAGATGGAGAAACTTGAGAAGGCCCGAGAGAAGGAACGAGACAAGGTCCGAGTCTTCAGCAAGGAGCAAGAAAAGATTGCTGCTATGGAAAAGCAGGTTAGCTTGAAGAAGGACATCGAGAATAGTGCTGGCAAGGAGACTCCCAAGCCAACCAGGACCAGTCCCCGCAAAGCCAAGACTCAGCAGACGGAACAAGACGTTGACATGATGGATGCGCCATCCACTGTCCCTCCCGCACCGCGATCAGCTGGACCTGGCCAAAGCACTCGCAAAGAGGTGAGAAGGCCAATGAAGCCGGGTAAGGCCAAACAGGCTCCCACGGTCATCAGAGTGAACACAGGATCCCAGCATTCCCAGTTCCAACCTACGAGCAGCACCATGTCGGCTAGTTTTCAGGACTCAATTGTGTCCACTGGCTCTCAATCTCAGCAACCAGGAAGCAAAGCAAGCAAGGCATCTGTGCAACCGAAACCATCGATGCAAAGTCTCAAGAGCTCCGTTTCATCGACCGGTCGCCCAAAAGCACTGGACATGGCGGCAAGGAAGAAAGAGCAGGATGAGCGTGAGGCACAAAGGCGACGGGATGCCAAGGCAGAGTTCGAACGGAAGAGGGCAGCAGCCCAAGAGGAGCAGCGAAAGCAGGAGCTGCAACGCCGACAGGAGGCCGAACGACAGAAACTGAAGGACCGCGAACACGCAGATGCAAAGAAGAATTCCCAACGGCAAGCAGCCATCGAGAAGGCGAAGCAAACCCGGGCACCGCCTCCAGCAGTTCGATCGCAGCCAAATGGCCCTCCCGATCATAGCACGACACACGATAAGTCTCAGCGAGAGGATCGCCCACCAACTCGGCCACCGTCACGCATGAACTCTGGCATTTTTAGGTCACAGGAGGATACTGGACGGCCGGTGAGCGCTGTTTTGTCGAATGCCTCCAAGTCTGTGCTCAAGCGGGCACTTGGCCAGGACGGCAGTGAGCAGGGCCAGGCCCGACATGCCCCCTCCTATGGCGGAGCTCAATATCAAGCCAAGGATGCAAAGCGACGCCGTACGAGTGATGAGTTCGCGGATGAATTGGAGATGGATAACCCGCCGAACATCAAGGGACCGCCTGTCCGTCCATCAGGTGGCTTTAAGAAGGTATGGGCCTCCCACATGTCCGGTTATAGGAAACAGAACTGACTTTAATTAGGACTTGCAGGCGAAATCCGTGTTCCAGAGTGGCTACACTAATGTGCCACAGAGCGCTACGCGAGACTTGTTCAAAGCCACGGTGACTGCTCAACACACTAGCCAAAGCAAGGCATCCCACCCCCTAGATATGGCACAAATCTCGAAGGGCGCAATTCCATTTGCACCAAACCCCAACCCTGCGGGACAGTCATACAAGACACCAGCTCGTCCTGGTGCGATGAACGGTGCTAAGTCAGCAGTGAAGTCTGCTCTCAGATCCTCGCCACGATTCCAGAACGGCGAGTCCATTGAACTGCCCGAAATCATGACGGATGACGATGATGACGAAGACGACGACGACGAGTCACATGGTATTACTGCTGCTTGGGCCGATTCACCCGATCTTCGCCGAGCTCTCATGCGACAGGAGTTGATGGATCCATCGCAAATCTTCGGCCCCCCCGCGCCATTGAACATGGACGAGGTTTTCAGCAAGAGCAAGGACCGATCGCACAAGTTCCGCGCTCGAACGTCCAGTGCCAACTGGAGCGGTGCCGACCGGCTGACAGAGGAAGATATCCGCAAGGACCTGGCAGTGCGTGATAAAATGAGGCGAGAAGGAGGATGGACATATGAGATGATGTAACGCCCTGCACATGGTGATTTTAATATGGCGACGAGAGGCTGCCAAGGGCTCAGGCAGAGGCGAAACCTGGAAGGAAATGCCACAAGTGCAACTGGACATGGAAGAGTGGGTTGATTTTACGTTGCAGCGAGATGGCATCATTGACGGCAAATTGTACATTGGCATAGACGCGGCTTGGCAGGGGACTTTTGTTTGGCGCATGGAGACCGGGTACGGAATTGAATTACTTAGTCATTGGGAATCCAGGCATGCATTGATGAAACAATGAGATTTGTTTACATACTACCAGGCATGTGCAGCGCCATGCAACGTCGATGATGTATGCCGGTCTCCCGGGAAGGATGTCGGAGGTTGCACCGGGGGAGTGGACCCGTCACAGGCGGACGGCGGCCGACGGAGACTCTGGGACTCTGGTGGAGTGCTTTTGAGCATAAAGGAAAGCTAGAAGTCACCGCTTCTCCACCTGTCGCGAGCTCATTGGAACGGGGACGCTTATCATTCGATCTAAAAAAGGTGCAAGGTATCCTTGGTCGTATCGGATCCTGGCCCAACAGTTTTTTTCCCGGCCGTGGCTTTCACATGTCAGGAGTTGCGTGTAGACACTGTAGGCGCGGTTGATAGATAACTGCGCGCTTGCTGCATCTTTGCCTGCCATCCATGCTTATGTCGCTCACCAGCTGGCCCTGATTCCTTTGGCGGTGCTTCTTGGGAACTCTGGCATCCTCTACTAACCACCAAATTCGCTTCTTATCCGTCCTGTCCGTCCTGTCCGTCTTCTCCTCAGATCGACCCGACCCGACCGTTCACATGCTTATCATCCCGTTGGTTTGGACTACGACACTGCCTTCAACATCATGATTTGGCCGCCGAAGCCGTAGAAGCTCCCTCTCAGTCAAAGCCACTACAGCCGGCTCTTCAATTCGCGCACATCCGAGTCGCCTTTGAACTAGCATCGAGCTCTACCATATCGCACCATGTCTTCCAGTACCAGAACCTTCATGCAGGGCTTCCAAGAAGTCAAGGTAGATCAAATCACCGAGAGCAGGATCTCAACCGTCGTCGCCATGCTTCCCACATCGCTGCAATCCAGCATGGGACCTATTCGCTTTCTTCGCCGCAGCATTAGTCTCCACACCTTGAGATCGGGTGTCCTCATGCCAGAGGCAAAGCCTCGGCCGCTCTCTGAGGCTGATGTCCCGGCCCCGAAGCCGGAGGGACGAGTTGTGGAGATCTTGGACCAGAGTGATGCTCGCGATGACCCAGACTCCAAGGCCATATCCCCGAGGCCTATGAGCAGGGTCCTCTACTCGGAAACTGTCGACGATGACCAGACTGTTAGGGCAGCCTCTGGCGTCCATTGGAAGTTTGCGCGACAGGGTATGGCAGAATCTACTCCCCCGACCCACAATCCAGCACCATACTGACCATATTTCGTCATAGGCACTAGTCTCGTAAATATTTCCATCGATGGAGGTAAGCCAGCAATGGCAGACGAGGACGTTATTTTCGAACGGAAGGCTTTCATCGACGGGGTGACGTATCTGCTCAAGGCACTTCCCCAGGATCTCGACGCTTGCGAACTGAGGCGGATTCAGTCCGCTCTCCCGGAGGACGTCACCCATCTCAACCTTGTAGCAGTCCGGCCTGGAGCTGGCTCCAGGGCCCTGCCGGCTCCTCCCCAGCCAAGGTCAATTCTCCACCGCGGTGTTCAAATGACTGTGGTCAACTTGATATTCTTACTCAGTTTTCTGATGCCGTACTTGATGTATCTGCTCAAATATGCGGCAAGGATGGAACGGAAATACAAGGTCTCCGAGACGGTAGTTGGGCATGGGCTGGAAATTGCCAACTCGATTGGGAAGCAGAGCGCCTCACTCACCGAGTCGATGTGCCAGATGAACGACGGAAAGGTTGGACAGGTTCTCCTAGAGGCGGTAATATGGACGGTTGATGGTGTTGCTCAAGGCATCTCGGACGGTCTTGGCGAGGGCCTGTCCATTGTCGGGGCCAGAAGCGCCATCTGATTAGATTGGGTATATGTTTTGATTTCGGCTGGAACTAGTAGAGATATAGACTTAAACGCCATGATTACATGAACTCGCCTTTGATGGCGACAAGAATTGACAACATTTGATGACTATCCTAAGGCGCATAGCACACAGTAACCATCCCTGGCTCCCACCTATGGCGGGTGCTGGATTAATCAGGTGAAAATGACCGGCAATAAACATCGCGAGGCCACGTGACCACCTGGGACTAGCGCCCGCCATTCGCCCACTTAACCGATAAGATACATGCCAACTGGATAACTCATGGTGGGCAGATCCCTGCGGGAGAAAAAAAAAACTACCCGTTCTATCCCATTCTGCGACGCGACAACTCGCCTCTCTTCCCTTCAACACCTTTTGTCCCTCCCATCACCACTTTTGTTTCTTCTTTATTTGTGTCCAATCTCTTACGGCTTAATAATATCGGCCGTCTTCCGCCGCAATGTTCAGAAACAGCCTCCGGCGATGCGCCAACCAGGCCAGGGCCACTGCCACCGCCTCGTTGCTCTCACAGACCCGAACCACCCTGCCCATTGCCAGGCGCCAGATTGTGCCTGTCCTTTCTACTCTCTCTCCCCTGAACAGAATCGCATCTATCTCGCGAGCATACAGCAGCGAAGCCCCGGCAGCGCAAGATGAGGCCCCAGTCGCCGCACCTATCGATGCGGTGCCCAAGTTCGCCGACTTGGAAGGTGTTCATCCCAATCTTATCACCGCCATCACCGAAGGCATGAGCTACGACAACATGACGCCCGTCCAAGCCAAGACCATCACCCCTGCTCTCAAGGGAACCGATATGTAAGCATTGAACCTACTTCCTCCTCTTGCTCCACCCCTCTAACAATCTCAGTGTCGCCCAAGCCAAGACCGGTACCGGCAAGACCCTGGCCTTCCTTCTCCCTCTCCTACAGAGGATGCTTGTCGAAGACCCTTCCCTCGCCCGCAGAGGCGCCAAGTACAACGCTCGCTCCAACGATATTCGTGGCATTGTGCTTTCGCCTACCCGAGAACTTGCCGAGCAAATTGCAGCCGAGGCCCGCCGTCTTGTCAAGCACACTGGTCTGGTGGTGCAGTGTGCCGTTGGTGGTACCGACAAGCGCTCCATGCTGAACAGAACTCGACGAGATGGCTGCCATCTTCTTGTTGCCACCCCCGGTCGATTGAATGATCTGCTTCAGGACACCCGAAGCGGCATTGACGCACCGAACCTGGCCGCCCTTGTTCTGGACGAGGCCGATCGAATGCTTGATGTTGGATTCGAAAGGGAGTTGAACGAGATCATCAAGTGTCTCCCCACCACCACCGAGAAGGTTCGCCAGACCATGCTCGTCTCGGCAACCATCCCTGATAACGTTATTCGCCTGGCCCGCACAATGGTTCGCCCTGAGGATTTCGAGTTTGTCCAAACAATTGCTGAGAACGACTCGCTCACTCACGACAAAGTCCCTCAGCGCATTGCTCCTGTGACCAGCTGGTCCAATGTCTTCCCCTCTTTGTTTGAGCTTGTCGACCGTGAGGTTGCCAAGGCCAACGAAGACCCCAACGGTCGACCTTTCAAGGCTATTGTCTACTTCAACACTACCTCCTTGGTGGAGCTCGCAGGAGAATTGGCTTACCAGCGTCAGCGCAATGCGTCTGGTGATTCTCGACCCGTTTCCTCCTACGTCCTACAGTCAAAGCTCACTCAGGGTCAGCGACAGAAGGCCGCTGATGAGTTCCGTAGGGCAAAGGAAGGAATTCTCATGTCTTCTGACGTAACTGCTCGAGGCATGGACTTCCCTGATGTCACGCACGTCATCCAGGTAGATACCCCTAGAGACCGAGAGTCGTACATTCACCGTCTGGGACGCACTGGACGACAAAACAAGGAGGGTGAGGGTTGGCTCATCATCCCCCATGCCTCCGTTCCCAGTGCCCGAAAGATGTTGAAGGGACTCCCCATCAAGCAGGACGGCACCCTGGAGAGTGCCGAGATTGACCTGGCATCGGGTGAGTCGACTGCCGCTCACTCCGAGATGAAGAGCCTCTTCGGAGTGATGCCCCGCAGCTTGCTGGGCTCCACCTACACATCCATGTTTGGTACTGCCACCGACAAGATTGCTGTGGCCGAGGACGTGAACGAATGGACCGTTCACGGTTGGGGCTGGACTACCCCTCCCACCGTGTCACGCAGGTGGGTTACTCTCATGGGATTGTCTCGCGCCCCGGGCATGAACATCTCCGATGATGGTGGCCGTAGCCGCGACCGTGATGGCGGTGACCGAAGAGGCGGTTATGGTGACCGACGTGGATCGGGTCGATCTGACTCGAACCGATCCGGTGGCGATATGTTCGATTCCATGGCGAGGAACGCCTTCCGGGACGACGGCGGCCGTGGTGGCCGTGGCGGCCGTGGCGACCGAGGTGGACGTGGTGGACGCGGCGGCCGTGACTACGGTAGCTCGAGTTTTTAAGATGGTAGCGCATTGGCATGATCCGGTTGCACGCCAGCTACGCATACGCATTTCATGAATTATTGTTGGTTGTAGGGGTGGACTTTGTACTTATACTGGGCGTGATGTATGGTATAGGCGGGTGTAAGATAGGACAAAAAGGTGTACGGCTTGTAATTAGTTACTACGAGGGCAGCATCATATCCATGTGGCTCTAGTCCACAAAACTCTACTTAGAACAATCATGTTAATTATGCTATTATGACATATCTGATCAACTTGCCTCCCTTATCTCTTTGGGTCCCCAATTTGTGACATTTGGAACTAGTAAACTTGTCCTCTTTCGTACCACCCCATGTCGCAGGAGGGGAATTGGGAACTGATGTAACCAGAAAACACTGTTCTATCCTGGTATCATGATAATGGTGCCCGTCCAGGCGATTTTCTGAGATATGTATGCTCCAGCACCCCGCGATCAATTCGCTTGGTAGCCGTCCCAAACGCCAACCCGACCAATTGTTACGAAAGCCGCAGATAAACTCCTGTATCAACGCCCAGAATAGTCGTAACCTGATCCGATACTCAGGGACCTCGCTGGCCCATCATCATGTTGGCATCCCACAGCAGGACCCTCTCATCCCAGCCAACTGAGGCCACCCAGCCGCCCATCCCAAACAAACACCAGTCCACTCCAGTGACGAACTCGGTATGGCGGTTCATGATTCCCATTTGCGCGCCAATTGCAGGACCCATTTCCGGGTTCTGGGGTTGTGCTGATCCGTCATTCCAGAGACGAACCGTCATGTCGTAACTCGCGCTGATTAGAGTGTCGCTTGCATGGGGACTCCACGCCAACCTGCGGACGGCGTACTCGTGGCCCTGCATGACAGCAAGAGGCCCGCCTGCTGGATTTCGAATATCAAATGTGCGCAGGACTCGATCCACGCCGCCCGTCGCAATTACGGTGTCCCTGTACTTGTTCCAGTCGTGCGTGAGGATCTCAGCCGGCGCACTCGGAGGACTGACGGCCATGGTGGGTTGGGCGGGTGGCGCATGGACAGGGATGGCGGTGGTGAGGTGGTACTTGGCCGAAGACGGAGTTCGGAGGTCGAAGATGCGGAGGTAGGAGTCGGAGGACACGGCTGAGATGAGGGCGGGGTTGGAGGGGCAGAAGGATGTGCTGTACGTGCAGTTTCCCACGGGGAGCGTCTTGATGGAATGGTTTCGAGTTGGAGACCACTGGAAGATGTCAGTAGCTTTAATAGACGCAAGATGCAAACTCAACTGACAAGCTTGATTGTGCCGTCCCACGAGCTCGACACAAAGGTGTCCTTGGTGACGGGGCTCCAACACACTGAGAAAGTCTCCCGCTTGTGTTCGTGGAAGTTCATGATCGGGAATTCGTCCACGCCCAAGTCGAAGAGCTTGAGCGATCCATCTCCACAGGCGACTATCAGCTGGTTCTCGTTGATCTCTGACCAAGCCAAATCGTAGAGCGCATCATTGGTATCGAACCTGCCAGGGGGGCACATGTCAGTCTCTGGCCATGCCGCTGGCGGCGTCGCCTAGGCGCGAGGGAAAAGCGCGCATACGTTTTCTCGACCTGGATGCCCTGGGCCGTCAGCCCGAGGGCGAAGACCCGACCATTGCCCACGATGCCGAAGTTGGCGGAGCTCGCGACGGCGATGCGCGAGTCGTAGTATGGCGAGTACTTCACGGCATAGGGATTGTACCCTTGCGTGCGGAACTCAAGCATTGCAGCCATTCTGCCGGATGGGGGGCGCCAGAGACAGGGCGCATCGACAACAGAACTGTTATGATATAGAAAAACTGCAATTCACCATGATGTGTATGGCCGAGCCCGCATGAAGGTGGGAGTTGTAATAGCATGTGCCTCGGTAATGAGCCAAGCCGCGGGGAGCTGACCGATGCAACTAACCATAAATGCGTCATACCTTACCTAGCCACTTTCGATGCACTTACAGAGTTGATATATTTCCCCGCCGAATATCACGTGCTTTCGCGTGGCTGTCGCATCCGCCACCGCGCCCTTCACCTCCGTGATAAGCGGAGTCGCCAAAAATCAGGTTGCTCATTCTCCCCAGCCTGCTGCTGTCTCCCCAGTATGTTCTGCAGGAGAATCGGCGTATTGCTATTGTTAAACCCGGTTATTAGGTGTTGAGACTATGAAATCGTTCTTGACGCGTCCCAAACGCAAGTTCACACCAGACCCCCAAGTACCTGTGGGGTGTGCAGAGTCCGAAGAACCGACAGAGATCAAATTGGCTCTCTTGTCATCTCTGCATCCAAAACTCGACCAAGAGGCACTACTTGACATTCTATTAGCTCACGATGGTTCTGTTTCAGAAGCATCAGCTTCACTCAGAGTCCCCTCGCCGACCAAAAAGGGCAGCCGGGGTATTGGCTACCAGAAATCCTTAAAGGAGTACGCTGCCCCCAGCAACGCCACGTCCCCAGCGAAGAAGAAACTCAAACCCAAGAAAGGCAGCACTCTTCACCTATACGACCCAGAGGATGTTGCGGAGTATACGCCTTGCACCATTGTACACAACTTCCTCCCCCCGGAGGAAGCTAACGAGCTCCTGGAGGAGCTATTAGAGGAGTCGAAATCATACGAGAAGATAACCTTCAAGCTCTTTGAGAATGTGGTTTCAAGCCCACATACATCGAGCTTTTATGTTGAAAGCTATGATGAAATCAGGCGCCAGAAGACTGAGTATCACTACAATGGTGCTCGGTTGACAGTATGTCTTGGGCACAATAACCACCCCAATTGCTTGAAAACCTAATAGTTCTCAGGATGTCCGACGGATCACACCACAACTTGCCAGGGTCAAGCCCAAAGTCCAGGATGCAGTTAATAGGGAGGTGCAAAAACGAATAAAAGCTCGATACCCAGGCGGGAAGAAGTTGCGATATCAACCACCAGACTCCTGGACGCCAAATGCTGCCTTCGTGAACTGCTACAATGGGCCTCAGGAAAATGTAGGCTGGCATAGCGATCGGCTCACCTATCTTGGACCACGAGCCGTCATCGGCTCGCTGTCTCTCGGAGTTGCTCGCGAGTTTCGAGTCCGCAAAGTCATTCCCAAGGACAGCGACAACAAATCCGTCGAAGACCCCGATGCAGAGGGCCAGATCTCTATCCACCTTCCCCACAACTCGCTACTCGTGATGCATGCCGAGATGCAGGAGGAGTGGAAGCACTGTATCTCCGCCGCGTTGTCGATCGACCCACACCCCGTGGCGGGAACAGCACGAATCAACATTACATACCGAGATTACCGTGCGAACATGCACCCAAGATTTACGCCCAAGTGCCCTTGCAAAATGCCATGTGTGCTGCGAGTTGTGCAAAGGAAGAAGGAGAATTTTGGCCGATACTTTTGGATGTGTTACGCTAGTAATGTCCCGGAAAAGGAGAGTTGTGGGTTCTTCCAATGGGCGGAGTTTGATGATGATGGGAATCCAGTACCAAGTAAGGCGATCTCAAAGGCTTTTTGATGTATCTGTAACCGTATGGATGAGAGTAAATCCATGCATGTAGTTACATTTCAGCACAGGGAGTGAACGTGTGCCATAGTCGGCCAATTATACATAGCTCGGTGCCTCTTAATCCAAACTTGGCGAGGAGCAGACTTGTCACCACCAACCTTTCCGATCTCAGGCTAAGACAGGTTGTCATATCGCCTTGCTGGCAATGTATATTGGTTCCCAGTCTAGCTCATGTCTTGGTGGTGTATGAGAAGAGAAGTCAAGAGTATCGGCATTGGATTAATAGTCCGAACCTTTTCGAACTGGCCTAGATTTTGCCTTAACTACACCGCCACTCCCCTCGCGTTTCTGCTGCATCCGCCGTTAGAATTGACCATGTGGTTGGTACGCGGGGGAACTCAAGGCTTCACGTCTGTCGTGGCGGGCACAAGATCGTCATCTGGGGAACTCCTTCAGCTACGCGGCCCCCCATTTGGCGGTTAAGTGGATATACGTCAAGTGTGTCTTTGCATTGGCTGACAGTCCCGTCGCTGGGATCAAGATATTGGCAAACCTCAACACTCCACACCAAGGCTGCCTTGTCCGAGAATAGTGTCACCGCCGTACGTATATTACGAAACCGGCGAAGTTGATATCCACCCGCCGCATTGCCATTGTTGCTGAGAATTGGGTACCTCGGTAACTTGGACAACATCTGGTTCTTTCTTAAACAAGGGAAAGAAACGAAGGAAATTGAGACTTTAAGAACCCTGCGATCAGACATGCCTACTAGCCACATCTTGGCGCGACACTCCTCGGCATTGACGGCCCAATAGCGGAAAATTTAAGAACAAGGCATAAGTAAGGGGCCGAGAACCAGTCCGTCCTAGACATTCCAAGCCTGGCGTATTCCGTGCATTGGCGCGCATTTAGAGCAAAAGTTGCGGTGCTGCGTTCTAAGACGAGGCCCACTCAGCTGGGTTGGGGAATTGGGAGGAGATAGACCCGCTCTTAGGGTGGAACTTGTGTGACGGTTGAACTTCATCTGACAAGCCAAGGACGACCGATTCAAAATGGTAGCTTGGTAGGCCCCCTGTTTGTGGTGGTACTGGATACTAGTGACGGGTAACGAAGCCTCGGGCAAGCAACCAACTGCGTAGGTAGTGATTATTGGGTGCACAGTCCAACCCGGTGTAGCATACTGGAGCAAATGTATACGATATAAGCGAAAGAGAGCATTTCTGCAGCTCTAGAATCAAACAGAACAAACAGTTGGTTTGCGTGGGATGGCTTGCATGGAAGGGTGTATTTGATGCGCGTCTCTTCACCGTGGAGTCTCGGCACTACATCGTGTGTGTGTGTGGAAGCTTGGACTTGGGACGGATGGCTTCGGCTGAGGGTAATGACGGAGGCGCGGCAGGCGAATCGGGCTAAATGCCAAGGAGAAGAAGAGTAGAAACCCTTGCATCCAATTGGACAGTATTGGTATTGATATAGAGCAGCTGTGATCCAGGTATACATGAGCGTAATGCACACCCGGAGAGTTTTGATGTTGGATCTTGTGGTGGCTGGCTGGTGTAACGGGGGCAGGTGTGCTCGACGCTGAAGAAGGAAGGAGTCCAGCAGTGCAGGGGATGCTACAGGGGGCTGTGGCACTTGGGGAGTGGGTCGCACCTCCCAGGATCCGCCTCACACGGCGACCGCCAATTCGGTTGGGCAAGAGCCCTCGAAACGGAAATGCAAGATCGAATTCAATTTCTCCGACGAATTCCCACCCCGAACACCGACTTTTCATTGCACAGCAGGCCCCGGAACCATCCGCCCAAAGCGTGAGAAGGGTAACAGTCAACCCTCTCAGGCCCCTCAATCCTTAGCCTTGCATGCATTGGTCGCTGACTACCTTCGTGTATGTAGGACGAGCGGTCCATCGTCATCGCACAGGGCTGCTGCACCAAGCTGCACCAAGCCCGCCTCGCTTGCGTCGCCATCGACTCATCGTGCATGCGTTGTTCTGGACGTAGCCAGCCACAGCCGAGTTGCCGCCGGCATCTTCCTCGACGCCTGCGTGAACCTCTCTCAACCACTCACCTCAGATACCAGTTCTCCTTCAGGAACCACACGCGCGCATTGACACCGGCTGCTTTCTCCTCGTTATTTCATTTTCCCCTCTTCTTTCCTCTTGGCTCTTAACCACACAACTTTGCCAAAATGACCGAGCTTCTCACTTTGCCCGCCAATTCTGCGACTCTGTTAGAGCCTCGGCTCCCTCCGCCAGAGCCCTCAACAACACCATCCCGGCCGTTCGTCACGCTCACCTTTGCAACATCGCTTGACTCGTCCCTGTCCCTTGCCCCCGGCGTTCGGACCCGGCTCTCCGGGCCCGGATCCAAAGCTATGACCCACTACATCCGCTCACGCCATGCCGCCATCCTCATCGGGGTCTCCACCCTCCTAGCCGATTCGCCTGCTCTGAACTGCCGCATCGCGGGCGCTGCAAGCCAGCCCCGTCCCATCATCATTGACCCCCATCTTCGCTGGACTCCTGACGCCGCGGATAAGGTCCTCGAGCTTGCCCGCCTTGGCCAGGGCCTAGCCCCCTTCGTCCTGACCGCAGTGGAGGCGCAGTCGTTGCCTGCCGCGAGCGTCGCCCTCCTCGAACGACTTGGAGGAAAGTATATTCCCCTAGCAGCCACCTCATCTGGTCCAGGTGGGAGGATGCGCTTTGATTGGCACGTCGTATTTGACGTGTTGTTCCGGGAAGGCTTGTTGAGCGTTATGGTTGAGGGGGGTGGCCAAATCATCAACTCTTTGTTGGACCCAAGCTTCCACGCCCTGGTTGACTCCGTCATCGTCACCATTGCACCCACCTGGCTAGGCCAAGGGGGTGTCGTCGTATCTCCAGATCGCACCCACGACTCCGCAGGCATTCCCATCCCGGTTGCAAGGCTATCGGATGTGTCATGGCATCCCTTTGGCGAAGACGTCGTTTTATGTGGGAAGCTGCATCCCTAGTGCCGGAAGCCGTCCGTATAAATATCTTGAGCTCCCGACCCTGGTTCTTTTTGGCAACACTCTTCTTTCCATTGATCCTTCTGTATCCTCCATCTTTTTTACGAGCTCTTTACTCAACATATTCTCCCACATCATGTGGACCGATACCAGGGCAAGCTTCCTCCGCTCCGCCGCTCCTCCACTCCTCTACTTTGATACTCCCGATCGTGCCCTCAAGACCCCGACCCTTCCCATCCTACCGCGTCCTATTCCATCCCAACATTGACCTCGGTCCCGCTACCCATCCTTTCGGCCTCACATTCTCAGACGCGGCCTGTCCACTTGATCTCCAATGTGCGCAACGGATAGTATGCGAGTGCTGTGACGACGAATGCCGATTCGAATCCAATGTCGCCAATGTGTTCGCCAATGGGCCCAGAATACCACGTCGTATCCATCGAAGGAATTACCACCGCAAGGCTGACCAGTGAAGCACCAATGGCCGCAAATCCTGGAGGAAGACTCCGCCATTTGTTCCAGATTCGTGGGTCAAATGTGGTGTAGTCCGACTTCCTAAACACCACTAGCTCCTCGATGACGACGGCATCAAAACACCCAGCCCAGTATCCGATGAGGCTCAGAAAATTTTCAAGCGAGGTGGCCCATTCCGCTGCAGCATAGATGGCCATAGGGATCATGATGGCCATCGTGACGAATATAAAAACAAACCGGGGGACCTTGGCGAAGATGGGGAGGAGCATCTGCAGGCAAAGGGCGACCGAGTAATTCGACAAAACCATGTTTCCGACGACGCTCAGTGCGAGAATTACGAGCACGAACTTCCCAAATCCACCGGCGGGTTCAAGCATTTCCGCCAAGACGCCCCCGATCCCGTATGAATCCCACGCTGTCTGCCAAGACTGAACGTTAGGTAGAGCACCTCCTATCGCTGCCCCGAGGATGAGAAGTGGCGTGGAAGGGGTGAGCAGCCCCAGATACACATAGGTGAATACCTTGAGACTTGATACTTGTCAGCATCATCAAACACCCACGGGCTTTATGGATGGAAACTACTTACTTGGATCCGCTTGGATTGTGGTAAGCGGTGAAGTCGGACGCTGTCCCACCAAAGGTCATGAAGTATCCAGCCATCAAGCTGCCATATCCGATGACACTTTTTACTGTTGCCGGCCCTGCATCGGCCTGGTGGACGAGATGTTTGCCTCCGCACCCAACCGCGATGACAATCCCGATCAAGTTGGGTAGCCATTGCCACCGTTGCCACATATGGATGGCTCGATATCCTAGCAACGCCGTGACGAAGCTCAGAGCGCAGACGATTCCGATACCGACATTCACACTAACATGGGCGCTTTGGTTCACTGCCGCGATAGCCTGTCCGCTGACAATAGATCCGATAAGAGTGAAGCCAGTAACGGTCCCGGCATTGAGGAGAAGTGGGATCATGCCAAAGAAAAGCCTTAATTGAGCGTCTTTCGTGTCAGCTTCGTGCCATACTATGATCGGACATCGAGTGTGCATTAATCTTACCCAAACGAATACCGAGCCTGGATCATTTGTCGCATGCCCGTTTGAACTCCTCCGATTCCGATGAATGCCGGCGGGATACAAGTTATGATGTTGAAGAAGATGATGATCAACGATACATCTCGGAGTTTCAGCCCATACACGGCTGTTCCAAGAGCACCCGTTGGCAACCTAGCGTTGCTAAGATCATTCTCTTGAGGCACGGGGAGGGGACAACTTACGGCAACACGCATAGGAGACAGGTGAAGAAAACGGTGAACAGTTCGTTGTATTCGGTCTGTGTTCGTTCCTCTGGTGGAACGGGCCTGATTCCATTCTCTTCGAAGCCGGAGTCGAGGAGTTTCAGATACCACCTTGAATTGGTCATGGGACCTTGTTTCCCAGACATCTTGCTGTTGCCATCGCCGGTGTCTCTGCTGGCCTGGACATCAGTAGGCAATACTTGGCCGGTAGGATGAGGTCCCTGGTTCGCCTCCAAATCGCCGTCAACGTTCGTCGCCTGGTCTTTCATTTTGGAAAGTGTTGGCCGCATGGTCCACTTCCCAAAACTTTGGCCGTCAACAAGATTTATACAAAGATGAGGGAAATGATGAAGTCGGACAATAACGCACGGCTGTGAGCCTTTTAACCCAACATAGGATGCAGGCAGATGAATCCGGGACCATTCATCTCGCTGCTTCACTCACATTGGCTCACTGTTCCCACCGCTCTGGATCTCGTGTTATCATCTGTCTGTCATTGATGTGCATTGGGTCATGCCAACCTGGCTAGTTCGGCCGACGCAGGAGCTATCAACCATTGCTTGCGGTTCCCACTAAGCTATCATTCAACAGAATTGAGACGAGGAGTCCGTGTCCTGCACCAAGTCTCCTTGTTATTGACTGGTCATGTCGCTGAAAATCTGTGTAGCATGCAGCAGCTTGGCGACTCAGAGCCACTATGTTGAGACCTGCACTTGGGGTGCCACTCGGCGTTTCGCCACTTCCTGGCAGAATGATTTAATTTGACGCCCAGGGTGTTCCTGCCCATGCGGCATCGGACAATTTTCCATTCGACCTCCTTTCCTCTGTCGTCTCACACCGACACGAACGAAGTCTCTGGTCAGGGCAGCATGGCCGTGACCCCCCGCCCCGACTCCTTGCATTATTCCCGAAGTTCAATCGACAGACATGTCAGTGTGATCGCCACGGCGGAACCCTAGGCTCAACTTCCAGGGCGCCGCGGCCCGGATTGCAGCTGTGGTCAGGTGGACCCGACAAGCATGAATCGATGCAACGGTCCGAGTCAAGGTGCAGGGTCCCGTAAGCATGAGGGCATTCTGAGGCCATGATGGTACTCTTGGGACGTCTTGCAGGTGTGCACATTCGATGCACTTTTTGCTCAATAAGCATGTCAAAGGCGCAGTCCCTGCCGAGCTGTCCACTCCGTACGATCTCTGACCCTCACTCAACCTGGTGAGGGGCGGGGAGGCTTCGTCGCAATCTAGGCTCATCCTTTTGTGCAACCAAGAGGTTCTCCATCTACACTAGTGCGCTTAGGGGGCGGGGAACTATCCAGACAACTTACCCAGTCCTTGTTTTGAGGTTTTGACCACACCAAGGCAAGCTGCCGGAATTGAGCTAGAATGGTACATATGTCTCAAAGGACAACCTCCCCTTGGCCAGGAAAGTCCCACGAGAGAAGCCAGGAAGGCGATATGTGACCAAGAATCAAGTCGATTCGCGTCCCCTCTCCCCTTCTTCGCGAAACGGGTCAACTACGTTAAGCCCCAACTCACACGGTCACACCGCCACCAGCGTGCCAGCTTGAGGAACACACCACCAGCAAACGCAACCAAGTGGGAGGGCGTTGATATGTGGTTCCAGTTACGGTGTCACTGCGCCATTCCCTTGGGGGCGTGTAAGGGTGAGTGGGATGGCAGATATGCAAATCCAAAGGCTCGCTTGGACGCAGTGGCTACATGCCGTCCTGGCTTGTGTGAAATCTCTGGATCCAGCACCTGTGCGCGATTTACATGCTGCATGTAGTTGCGAGAGAGAGAAAAAAAAAAGACGAATGTTACTCGGGCAGCAGCAGCGGCATGATAATATGATTCATCATTCTACGTCCGTGGGGGGAGACACTCTCTCGCTGCTTCGCTGGGACGCAACAATCCTCCTCAACTGCTGATCAGCACCCAGTTTGGGCTGTCTGAGGCATCGGCGCTTCCTAGAGCGCAGATCTGACTTCCGATTGACATTGGGATAGCGCGGGAAGGTTGGCGTGGACCTGTCAGGGTTCTGGGAGAGGACCCCTTCTAGCCCGGAGTCTTGGGAGAGGCCGGGTTGGTTGATTTTTCTTTTCCCGGGGCATCGTACGGGGGCTAGTCAGAAACGGCGCCTGGTGATCTCTGCCGGCATTGTGCAAATGCAATGAGAAAGCTAGTATCCCAGCCATTGGATTTGAGAATGGATCAGTCGGCCACTAGCTTGTTGCTTTGTTGGCACAGCCTGGGTTTAGTGTGATCAGGGGGTTGCATTGTTGATTGTCCGCCACATGGCAATGGTCTCTACCAGCTACTGCGCAGTAGTCCGGCGACACCGGCCACTGAGAATGGGATGAAAGGGAGGTTTAGCGAGAACGAAGAAAAGAAATGAAAAAAGGGGGAGAGTCAAATGTTCAGTCGCTAGGTCGACTTGAGCCCAGACCAATCCGTCCAGGCTAGATCACGACCGAGCATCTACGGGCCAAATCTACGATTGGATCTAGCAGGATGTCGCAATGAGAGAAGAAATTTGAATTCTGATTTTTGAGAACTCAACGCCAGTGTGCGCCTTGACTCGGGACCCGCCTTGTCGAGCGCAGAAATCAGCTTTACCATGCCGCCGGGGTTCCAGTTCAGCGGACGATACTAAAGGCTAACTAACGCAGCTACCCAGTGTCTATTCCTTTTTATACTAGTTGGCTCCAACGAGAACCAAGGCCTCGGGGCTCCGGGGTTTGATGGAACACTCAAAGTGCTGGGGATGGCTAAATTTTCCCCCATTACCCATGTCAGCAAAGTGTATCAGCACCAACAAGCATGGGGATTGTGGGGATGAAGGGGGCAGAGGGGGCAGAGGGGCCGAGGGGCCGTGGACAAGGGATTGGAGCCATACGAAGAGATTCCAGACCATGAGGGCATCAAGCCGGGAGGATGCAAACGTACCAGGTGCCGCCATTGGTGAACGAGACTTGCGGCTCGACGATATTTCCGGCGCCATCCCGCTTCTTGCGGAACTCGAGCGTGGCTAGCATCGTGGCCACCATGATCCAGACGCTATTGTCGGCGAGAAAACGACCGACACAGACCCTGAAGAGTGAGCACGAGACTGTCCAGGGATGAAATCCCCCACTGTGTTTGAGGCTGTGCACTACGTACCGTCGTCCAAACCCAAAATTCCCAACGGGGAATGGCTCGCCCGGCCCGCCGTCTGCCAGCGGCTCATATCTATCGGGGTTGAAGTCGTGGGGCGCCTGGTAGATCCGCTCATCATGCGCCATGGCATGGGCGTTGGCATACACCACGGTCCTGGAGCTTATCAGACTCATCCACGTCGTTTGACGGGTTGGGAACGGCAGTAAGCCAAGTTTCATACCCTGCAGGCACCCAAAAGTGAGTCACAATTGATCATAGAGGCTGGGCTGGGCGTACACTTACCTTTGGGAATAAACATGCCCTGGTATACGTCATCCCGGAGCGACTTGTGAGGGATCCCTGGTGTTGCACGGCCTCGTCAATACGCGCTCCCCACCATGTATGTGGCAGGGTTGGGACAACCCAGAAATGGGAGGCTTACCTAGTGGCGCCAAGGGCGACCAGCTATAGAGACAATCCTTCAGTCTAGGTTCCCATCCTCGTGTTTAAACATTTCAAACAAACATTGGCAGACGTACCGGTACACTTCCTGGACAATGTGTTCGATGTAAGGTAAGGAGCCCCGGTCCGAGAACGCCGGCAGCCTGTCGGTGCCAATGACCGAATCGAGTTGGTTCCGGGCCTTTTCTTGGATTTCCGGGTGAAGCACCATATTAAGGATAAAAATCACACAGGTCGCCCAGGTCTGAGAGTCTGTTGTTGAGTAATCGAAATCAATTGCACTCTCGCCGGGTTGACTTACCGTGTCGGCCCCCGCAATAAAAACCGCTCCCGCTGCGCCCTTGATGTCGTCGAGCGACCACTCTTGTTTGTTACCAAGCGCCTCGTTGGACTTGTACACGCTCAGCAGTTGGTGTGCTAGCGACGTATTGCCGTCCAAATTATCCTTGACCGCCGCCGTCAGTGCCTCTGTCACATCTCTATCACACTCTCGGGACGTAAATACGACTCAGGGGTAAGATGAAAAAAGGCGGATGGTCTCTCACATGTTCCTTCCAGGCAACGTCAAACGGGACGTCGTGTAGTTTCTGGATAGCCCACCGCCATTGTCGTGCAAATCGAAGGGACCAGTCCCGAATAAGCCAATCTGGTAGGTGGCGAGCTGCGAGAATCAGAATCGACTGCTACCTAGGCGCTCTCCCCATCACACTGCAGGGAAACCAAAACAGGGGGAAGAGGGAAGAGGGAAGGGAGAAAAAGGAAGAAGAGGAGAAAGAATTACGTACCAGGGGGTACCAGATCGATGAGGCTGTTGGCTGGAGCACCGCCATTGCCAGTGGCGTACATAGCGTCGTTGGCGATCTGAATGTACGGATCATCGTCATTGGGAACCTCAGTCCCGTAGCTCACTTGGAGGACAATGGCCACAGCAAGCCGACGAAGAGAGGTTTCCCAACCATCAGGGCGACGCAGAATGTTTTGAACTGTTCGTCGTGCTTCGGTCATCTGAAGTTTATGCCACTTTCGTACATTTGTGTTGCTGAACGAAGTCTGAAGCACCCTCCGGTGCATCTGCCATCGCTCGCCGAAGGGGAGAAAGGTCAGGGTCTTTCCCCAACCCATGCTATCCAAACCGTACGTGTGAATGGCTTGTGATACAGGGACAGGGGTATTGTGAAACGGGAAGACTACTTACACTTCCAAAAGGGTAAACTTAGGACGATCACAGAAGTTCGCGCCTTTCCGTTCAAGGACGTCCCTAGCTGCTTCGGCGCTGTTAAGGACGACAATAGAGCGACCAAGAGACTTGACATAGATGATATCTGAGTCTTTGATTCCAATTCGCGTTAGAGACTCTCAAAACTATTATGAAGCTGCCCAACAAGATGAGAAGACCCACTGTATTCCCTTGACCACCTTGCATAGGTTCCTGCGGTATTGCTCTTGGGTATCACACGGGTATGGCCCAAGAGGAACTCTCCAGGAGGTCCAGGAGGGAGAGGAAGCGTAGGCTTTGATCGCCAGTGGGCTATGACAACTATGGCGATCATGCAGATGATGCCCAACTCGACGAGAACTTTGGAAAAGATGAGCTCCATGACGCCTGAATTGGGAGGAGTCTAGGGAGTCTGGAGGGCTGGAGCCGAAGGGGGGGCGCAGAAAGGCTGGAGTGTTGGAGAGTTGGCCAGGTTACAAAGTTGGAGAGGTCTGGTCTCTCTACAGAGCCTGAGGACGAGGGATTCCAAGTCAGTTGAACGATTTGGGGGGGGGGGTTGATATGATTGAAGTGAATTGGGTCGAATGTGCAAGTGATTGTGTGCTGGGGATGGCTTCGTTGGACTGGACTGGGTTGGACCTTCCTCTTTACTAGTGTAGTGGCCACTCGCCCTACTTAGCACTTTCCTCGCCAATTATCTAGGCAGGTACGTGATGTACCTTACGGCTGCATATCATTGCACGCGATTCATGAGGTAGGAACCACCAAGGCAGGTACATGCCTCCCTGCCTCCCTACCTACCCAGGGAGGTGCCGACTTACTCGAGGGCTCGGACTTTGGGCCGGGTTGCGGTTCCGGAGCGCACCGACTTGGGCCTGTCTCACGCATCGAAACTTGAGTTACAAATCAGACTCGCAGCTACATCTCAAGCACTGGCGACAGGTGTCTAGTCAACATACGTGTCTCCCAGAGACAGACAGAAAGACTGGGCGGAGTGGGTGGGCTCTGTCATGACCGGCATTTTTGGTCTGCGGCACTACTCTTCGGATGGCTTGGCGGAGGTTGAGAGGCACGATGTTGACGGATGGGTCAGCCAAAGTCTGCATTGAACAGGCCCATCTGCCGGCTGGGACCACTTGGGGCGACATCGGGGATCACATGGGGACCATCTGGGGACCACATGGCGTGTCTTTGGGATGGTTTGTGGCCCCAATTGCTGGAGGGCATACATACAATGGAGTCCACTATGGAATCCTCACGATGGAGTCCAAGGGCGGCCCTCCAACGGTGTCCAAAGTAGAGACATTTCCCGAGGTCAACTTTTCCATGTTGGAGAATCTGCAAATCTGTGTGGCCAATCTCGGGTTATTCTGGACCGTGTCTCACGCAACGGCCCCCGAGAGGACGGAAATGCGGAAAACCGGGCTCACACGAGGGACGATGCACATGAGGGAAGACGCACGAGGAGCAGCCGCTAGGGAAGCAGAGCTAAAAGCGCGGTTGCCGCGTTAGGCTGTGCTCACGCTGTACGTTTTTTTCTTCTTTTTTCCCTCGTCGCCCTGCGTCATGTTTCTTCGTCGTCACGGGGGGGACGGCGCCCTATGATAGTCGCAGTCTGGTGCAGTTTGGCTGCAGTGCTGTTGTCAGCGTGTGAGTGGGACGGAATGCAATGTGGAATGCGGAATGTACGTGCCATGTGCGTCCGAATCTGAAAACTGGGGCCTGACGTGGACGGTAATGGTTTATTTACCCGACCCGAGTCCCGACATGGCTGCCATTTTAGTGGATATTAGTAGTTCATCCACTAATGCGAGTTCACGTTCAAGTTCAAGTTCAGATCCTGCGGGTTTGGGACAACTCCAACCACACACGAGGTACTGTGAACGTGCGATAAAGCAGTACTTTGGACGTTGGATGTGCAGTAGGCTTGGAGAAAAGAGAAAAGAGAATACAGATGGCCATGGCGCTGTGTGGTGACCCGAGCGTTCAGACAAGAGGCCCCAAGCTCCCAGACTTGTTTGGCCCGGCCTAGTTCCCGTCGTAAGTTAACTAGTTAGGATACGCCGATTCATCGGCCGGACCGACAACTTTTAGGTCAAAGAGAGTGGGAAAACGAAATGATAGACGGGCCAGCCAGATGACACCCAAGCATGTCATAGTGTCCACCCCTCCACTGGCTCCTTCATCCACGTGGTGGCTAGGTGCCTGGGTAGGTAGGCAGGTTATGAAAGGGGAATGAGGGAGTACTAGCAGTGACGGAAACAGAAATTCCCAGCGACCTGGTTGTGCCAGCACACGCGACCATCATTTGATCCCCGACCCCTCGCTTTTGCTCTGATGCTTGAGTTGTACGCTGTCTTCTCACCTCCATGGCGGAATGCTTCTAGAACACGAGCCCTACCGGTTGTTGCCCCCTGTGCCCCCACCTCCTGTCCAGGGCTCGTCCGGCCAGGTAGCATCGGCCCTGTATCCCCGTCTATATCACCGTCATTCTTTTCTTTTTCCTTCCCAGCTGCAAGGTCCGCCGGAGACACTAACAAACAAGGCTTGAGCGCCCCAAAGGAGCCGAGGTGAAACAGGTTGATCAGTCAATATTGGCAATGGAGCCTGATCATCAATCGGGGAACTCTGTACGCCAATCACTGGGCTGAAGGCGCAAGCGAAGTGGCGCAAGAAAAGAAAAGAAAGGAGAAGAGAGGCAAGAAAAATAAAGGAAATAGAAAAGAAGACCCCATCTCGTTGATCCTGACCCTGCAGGAGTTGGCAAGATCCACGGCCTAAAGGAACTGGATTTGCCCATACTTTGTCACTGCTGCGTAACGCTCCCGGTAGCGCAGCGAGTACGTTGACATCTGCTGTCTATTAGCCTCTCGTTGAGCTTCCAGGGGTTGACGCCCTCCGGAGCCGAATTCAGAATTGTCCAAGTTACCTAGCTTCCCCCTAGATTATGTCCTTGTCACCGTCTGTCACCGGTTGAATTCTCGGGAAAGCACCAGTCCGTATGTACTTTCCGATGTACTCAGTGGGGCACCTTCTCCGTAACGACGATGACCCCGCCGCACTAAACCCACCCGACCCGACGAGGCGACTCACCCCACTCCTTCACCGCACTTAAGGTAACTCAACCTCACGGTCTCAAGCACAAAGCCCCTCACAAGCTACTCACAAGCTCTTCCGTCATCTCGAGTCCCCCTCCGCCTTGTACTTGCGCCACCGTCATTGGCTACTCTAGCCCTCGCTGTCCTCCGGATCCTCACTCCGCCTGCCGTGTGAGTTGTCCCGTCCTAATAAGACTCCAAGCCTCGTGTTTGCTCTCATCTCGGATTCGACTTTCCCGGCTCGGCTGCCTTCGGCCATCGCGAATCATCAGATAAGATTGTCTGGTCTCAAACGCCATCTCGTCCAAACAATCTCCTGGCCACCGATCCTTGATCAGCCACTGCTCACCATGGCATCTTCGGCTCTCCCGCGAATCACCATCCTGGGGTCCCTCAACATGGACCTCGTCTCCTACGTCCCCCACCACCCCCTTCCCGGCGAGACCCTGACCTCGAACTACTTCACTACCTCCCCTGGCGGCAAGGGTGCCAACCAGGCTGTCGCTTGCGGCAAGCTCTCTCGCGCCTCTGACTTGTCCCACCCTTCAGCTACCGTATCCATGATTGGCGCCATCGGTGCGGATCCTTATGGAACTCTTCTGGTCGACAGTCTCCAAGCCTATGGCGTCTCTGGAGATGCTGTTTCTGTTCGCAAGGATCACAAGACGGGCATCGCCATCATTGTTGTTGACGAGCCTTCCGGTCAGAACCGCATCATCCTCTCCCCTGAGGCAAACCACTCGCTCCGCCCCCAGGACTTTGAGACCCTGCCCGATCCTCGCCCTGATCTACTCATCATGCAGCTGGAGATCCCCTTTGACACTGTTATGCAAGCACTCAAGGCCGCTAAGGCTGCCAGCGTCCCCGTTCTTCTAAACCCGGCCCCGGCGCAGGAGCTGCCTGCGGACGCATATGAAGGACTTGCCCACCTTGTCGTTAACGAGACTGAGGCCGCTATCCTTGCGGGTTGCTCCGAATCAGACTTGGATGACCTCGCGGGTCTCGTCCGAGTGGGCGGCGTCTTCATTAAGCGAGGCGTTGAGAACGTCATCATTACTCTTGGTGGCCGCGGCGTGTACTTTGCGAACAAGGCTGGCAAGAGTGTCCTACTACCCGCCACCAAGACTTCCGTCGTCGACACCACTGCCGCTGGCGACACCTTCGTTGGTTCCTATGCCCTTGCCGCCGTCGCTGCCAAGGGCGGCCCCTTCGACATCGAGACCGCCGTCGCCGCCGCCAACAAGGCCGCCGCCATCACTGTCTCACGGAAGGGTGCCCAGGTCTCCATTCCCTGGAGGGACGAACTAGAGTAGACATAAAAAAACCATCGACTTGATTCTGCAAAAACAGCTACACCCCTGTTTCCGCCTTTAGAACCACGCGCCCCATCCCCATCGACCTGCGTCTTTCCTGACCTTGGCTTGTGCTGCTTGTCCCTCCCGCACTGACCCGCTTCTGCTAGTTTCTTGATCTCGAGCCGCAATTGATACATCAGCTCTCACCGGCAGTAAGCCCCTCAGAGTCTCGGCCCCGAGCGACCGCTTCTTCCACAGCCCGCTTGTTGGACGACTCCCCTGGTGCTCCGTGCGTGTGAGAGTCTGAGATTGCGGTCCCACGCCTGTTGGTGACAGATCAGGAGTGCGCAACCTCGTTACACAGACTGACGGCCCACGGCTCGACAATATCTCACCATTTCTCGGGGAAGAGTTACCCGAAGACGCCGTTGTCGCTCTAGGTGTCACTCGCCTCATTTCGTTGATGGGGCCCATCGCCACACTGGGTCCTCGGACCCCGGTATCCCTTTGGAGGCTCGCATGTCTCAATGGCACAGGCGGTGCCGTGTGGGCGGAATTTACCGGCATGACAACCTCATGTGCATCATTATCCACATCCAGTTGTGGCCATGTCTGAGAATTTGCCTCGCCAATCACGCGCGGCGCGTAACCATGGTCCCCCATCTGTCGTATCGCCGCATTCGCCTTTGTCAGTCCCCAGTGTCGTCGCATGAGTGGAAACAGAGCTTCCAGCACTCGCGCTGGAGGAGGCGACCACGGCGAGAGGCTGTTGTGAACGCTTACAGATGCAGTAGCGACTGTGTCTACCCTGCTCTGGACGCTTGACACGCCGCCACCAACGCTGGTAGCGTCTCTGTAGGTAGGAAAAGCTGAGTGACGGTATGATACTCGGATATGCGAATACCCCACCCGAGCGTCCCCCAGTTCTGCTGCAAGATCCTCCATCAGATCTGCCGAGTTTTGTCGGACGTGCCCACTCCATGATTTCCGATTTAGCGGTGTCGTCTTGAGATCGATATGGATCTGGGCTAAAACCAGAATGCTTGATCCCAGGCAAATAGTGCTACTCTACTCGTCAGCACGCCCTGGTCTCTCCCGCAAGCTCCCCAGCATACCTACCACGGGAAGGTCTGCTCTCGCAATACTTGGAGAATAGATGAATTTCCAGTGGGTAATACTTCAATAGTGAGGTCGTAAAGGCTACCGAATTCAAATATCTCCGCTGGAGACCCGGTTAGCACCACATAATTCAAACGCCGGACATGTCCACACTATCCACAAACCTCGCTGGTGGTGAACATGCGGCTCCATGCAACTCTCTGACCGCTCGTCGGCCCTTAGGTTCACATCTCCGCTCGGAATTGGCGAGAGTCGGCCTGTGACCTCGATGGCTGCCCACCAGGTGTGTTGCCCAGCCGCAAGAGTGGCCACCTCTGACGTGACCTCAACATAAGGGGCCAGCACATATGCTGGCCCTGGCCGCCGCAATGGATCGAGGCCCTTGGCCAGAGTTTGCAGGCCGGGTGACGACGTTTTGCTTTGGTCAATCGTCCCTAGCCAAGAGACATCCGCAGATGCATCGTGGAGGTTGGAGAGTGGGGGGCGCGCTTTCACTGCCCGACGGATGCCGCAACTAGCTGAAAACGTGGCAGCAGGCGAAGATCCACGCTAAGAATCCTTCTCATGAACTTGCTTTGCGGCGTCAATGCGTCCTCGTCGTGTTTTTCTAACTGTTAAAGGCCTAGATCGCCCGAGTTCCAACTGGTGAGGTGGGCTGCCATCCCACACCCATCGCTTGGCTTCCTGCAAGGCGTAATGGCCATCATGTTCCACCCCGCGAGAAATGTGAGACTTGTAATCAGCGGCGTCGTTCTCCTTCCCCACCGCTTGGTAGACATCATCGGGCCTTCTGCGCCTTACTATCACGGGCAAATCACCCGCGTCCAAAGCATCTGACCCACCCCTAGCGCTGTGATCACTTGAGCCACTCGTGCAGCTGAAGATGTCGTCTTGTTTGTGATGGATGCTTTTCTTGGGTATTCGCAAAGGGCTTGGTTTGTCAAATCTCATCTGCTGTCCGTTGGCGTGGAGCTCTGTGAGAGGCGGTGCACTGGTTGTGGACGTCATTCTGCGACCAAGGTGTCGATCCCGGTTTGATTATTGGGCCGGTTTTCCGAGGAAGCTAACGTGTTTGCATGATTTTTCTGTCGAGTACACGCTAGGACAATCCCCCCTGGGGTCTTGAGGTCTCGGTGTTGGGGTCGAGAACGTTGGGAGATGGTGGTGTTCGGTAACTCCGAGCTGCGCGATGGAGTTGATTCCAAATGAATATGCCAACAGAGGGCCCGCAGTGACTCAATGATGCAGTGGGTAAGACCAGGAGCCAGGTGTGATCAATGGGAATGATGTGACAGGTAACAATTAGACGTCTCTCTTGGTTGTCGCACTGCGAAAATGTCTTGCTATCCATATACTTGGGAACAGACGATGAAGATTTATGGAGTTGAAGAAACGAAGAAGCAAGGTTGGGTTCTGACTACGACGAAGTGAGACTATAATAGGGTATCGGTAACGCTCTTACCGAGAAGCAAGGGGTTTGAATAATCGACAAGGTAGGTAGGAGACGTCGAGATAACTCCGCGTTCGTCTCTAGGGTAGCAGCTGCTTTTTGGACCGAAACAAAAATTCAAGGAAGGCAATCCTCAAAGAGCAAGAAACTTGAATACGTACCAGCAAGTTTGAGCTCATGCGGTGCTTCCAAGGGTACGTCTGAGGTTTTCCTTCACTGAATCTACGTCATTGTCCTCCATCGCCAGAAATCGTATCTTTGAGTTGTTAGAAGCGCGCCTTTGGGAAATGACCGGCATGACTTACCAAATCATCAGGTGTAGTAGCCGCGCTATAGAGAACAGGCTCCGACAGACTGGCAGCGATTCCCTTCTTGACCCTGTCTTCCCAGACGCCATCCCAATTCCACTCGCCGGGTTGTCGAGGGGCTCCAGCAGGGTGCGCCGGCTTGGTTGAGCCCGGGGATCCGTCGGCGCTCCGCACATCCTCCCCATCGTGGGCTTGAGAATCCTCTACCGGAGCGGAATCTTCTGCCAATTTCCCCGCTGCTCGGCGATGAGTTCGCCAAGCGTGCCATGCTCCTGGGTTGCCCGCCGCGGCCAACGGCACCGAGTCAAGAACTTTTCCGTCGTCAAAGGCGCCCCGAATGTATCGCAATATTTCATATGCAGAAGTCCCCTTCTTGCTGGTTTGCATATAGAGCGGTGAGTCCCCCCCCGGAGAAGCGGTTGATGCTGGTGTGCTCAGGTTGCTAGCAGTTCCTCGAGGAGGTGTCGGGCTTGCGCCTGTCTGACTGGTGCCATGTTTGGCTTCCCTCGCATTTCGCCTCCCTCGCCCGAACCAATCGGGGAAGCCATGGCGCAGGCTGAACCCGCCAGGGGGGAGCCGTTCCTGATCAGATGCACTCACGGTGCCGCTGTCCTGTATATCGGTCGTGTACATGTAGGTCGTCAAGGGCGTTATGAGAGGATGGAACATGTCGGAAGAGAAAGTGACGAGCGGCGGGAGCTGGGGATAGGAGTCGGGAAAGGAGATCTGGAATCGGAGGACGGCAGGGGCATAAGGGCCTGATGTCAGGGTCAGTCTTGCACGCTCGCTGTCTAGCCGCTGGCAGTCTAGCCACAGGGCTCACCATTTCGAACAAAGAGGACGCCAGACCACATAGTCGGGTCTCCTGGGGTCAAACTAACAAACATTCCCTCGGGGCAAGCCTGCTTCAGCCCGGCGCTGGTCTCCCCATTAGTCTCAGCGCGGACGGGCAGGGAGGTGTTGAGGAAAGGGGACTTGGTACGAACAACTCGGAGAGTAGCTGCTGTTTGCGCAGCGACGGCAAGGTCCCCATCTCGAGGGAAGCCATGCTGCTTCGGTGCGGTCGCTACACGAGCGAAGACTGCGATATAGGGATGCGCGGCGTTGGCGACAGCTGGCGATGATGATGTTATGCATAGATAGCATACCTGCGACGCGGGTAGGCGGTGTGTGGGGGCGGTCTACGATTCTGCCGGACAGAAGGCAAGCTGCTAAGGCCGATGGCGGGGTTGCTATGGTGGGGTTACGCAATGCGCGACTACACGGCGACTGGCGAGACAAAGGAGCTTTTAGAAGTCGTGGGTCGTGACAAAATCTCTTCAAGTAGCTGGATACTGGCCGGCAGTCCTTTATTTCAAAAGAATATGTTCCTCCGCTGTCGTAAAATTTTCACCAATGCTATCCCTCACAGGTCGTGTGAATCTCGGACGCGAAAATCAACGCCCGAGGCGTTGCTCGATCTTGGCCTGCTCCTGGGCCTTGATCTGGGCCACATCATCCCGCGTAGCGTTGTAGGAAGCCGTCACCTGGTTGAAGGGGTTGTCGGGATGCTTCTCAAACTCCTTCCTGATCCTCTGCTTGCGCTGGTCCATCCGCAGACCGACACCGCTGCCATCCTGTTTCATCTCCTGGAGGCGACGCTCCTCGTACTTGGCAAAGGCCGCAGGGTATCGTCGCTCGGGGTGCCTGTCGACCTTGTCTTCGCTCGGGCCGCCCGTCAACGACAGCGCATCCAGAGCGTTGTCGATACCGGAGGCGCTGAGGGCACTGGGCTTGTCGTCGTCGAGCTGCGCGAGATCGAGACCGCGCGACTTCTTGACGGGTGCCTTGGACTTCTTGGGGGTCTTGCCGGGGGTGTTGGCCTCCTCCTCGGCGACGAGGGCATCCTTCTCGGCCTTCTTTCTGGCGGCTTCTGCCTTCTTGGCGGCCTCGGCCTCCCTGTGCGTCATGTCAGATTGGCATAATACGTCATGTCCCACTGCGTCGCGTGCTCACTTCTTTGCGTTGTTTTTGGATCCCTTTGACCACTGCTCATCCTCGACAGCTGCCACACGGGCGCTCTCAGCGGCGGCTTTTTGAGCCGCAGCATCCGCCTTGCGAGCGTTGCCCGCAACTTTTCTGCTGTTCTCGCCCTTTTTGCCGGCCATTGTGAATGTCGGAATGGCGCCGGTGGCTGACCAAAGGAAATGAGTTGCGTCGCTTACGGAAATGGGGTATCGAGCGTTGCGGGGAGGTTGTCGAATCACTTCTGTGTTGGGGCTAGCGAGCCTGACGTTGATGCTTGGTGAGGGCTTCAGTTCCAAGATTCGACATGTCGTCTGGCGGAGTATGCCTCCCAATCGAGGCTGATGCCTGGAACTCTGTCTTGGCCGGCCCGGACAGTGTGCGATACAGTGTATTCAAGTGAATATACACTGCCTCTAACCGCCAGCATCTACCCGTGGTGTACCCAGTGCTCCACATTGACCTAGTTCATCAACGTCATCTGCAGCTTCGAGGTCTAAAATTACGAATACATCCTGCTGAAAAGCTTCACGGGTGAGGCACTCGGTTAGCTGTCTCATCAAATACGAGGCGACGACCGCCGACAGGCGACCCTGGTAGCAGGGCTGGGTAATGATGACTTCTACATAGCAATTTGCGGCTTCACGCATCAATAGTCGTCACAGGGATCCATGCCGCACCAGTTCTCGCCGCATGTTGTGCGACCTGCGTCGAACACCTGACAACCCTCATGCAGGTGCAGGTTACATGAGGGGCTGGTTCCACGCCGTCGGAGTTCTTAGGTGAGCCAGCTGAGTTGCTGGGATCTGGCGCCCAGAGATGCCCTTGCGCCGCCCTTCGTACTTTCAACGTATCATTATCACTCCGCCGTCATTGCCAATGCGACCGGCGTTCTGAGTCAGATTTGATTGCTTCGGACGCTGCGCCTTGGATAGGCAACACATCCAAGCACTGCGGCCCGTATCGCAACTAATCCTCCCGAGACGCTCAGACACGCCTCCATCGCAAAGACTCGACATGGGGTCAATCCATGGCAGGCCTCATTCGGACCGGGGAGACTATGGTTGTCAGACGCGTTAGCCCCATTCGGGGCTTCCGCACTTCTCCCATGCACTTCCCGATCCCTTGGGCGGGGACTGCTGTCGGTATCTCACAAAGCCTTGCAATTGCGCACCGAAATCGCGGCACAGGACAGGGCATCAACTAATTTGGCGCCGCAGGTCGACCGTAGGTACACCGGGCTGGCCGGGGATCTATCCAGACAAACACGGCGCCGCGCGATGAGCTGCTCCTGGGATCTCTTCTTGACCAGGGTGGTAACAACCCCCGCATTCTTGGGGGTCCGCGCCTTAGGGAAGATCAATGGATCGATGGATCAATGCATCGCGCTCGGGGCTCGTTCGATGAAGGAGGGGGATGCGGGCGGCCACCTGACCTCTCCGGCCGCAGCTAGCACAGTATAACAGGTTGTGACTATACACAACCATGGTTTGGCCCGAAGAACTGGGTGAATGTGTTTGGGTGAGATACACCAGTGCCCATTAGAGGTCACTTCTGGCACCACTCGGATGGTTCAATGGGTAATGGAACATGACCCATGTGCAGCACTGATCCAGGGTCCCTCTGCCGGATAAGGCGGCGGGCATTGCAGGCCGTCCCACTCCGACGGGATGCCCCCAGGCTCCTACATCGTCGTTCCATTGAGGAGACCAGAATGATCGGTACCAGTGATGTTTGTAACCTCCCAACGTGGTCTGGGGTGCAATCCGTACCGTGGTAGTCCGATTGTCAACGGATACTGCACCCATTGGCCGGCCTTGGATGTGATGTGATAACAAATCCGGTTCCGAAGCCCGCCAGGGTCTGCGTGCCTCCCCAAAGCCGAGTTCAAAGGCGCATCTGACCATTTCATGCCCTGGGTTATGGTCGGCGTTAATGTCTAAAACAAGGGCTGGCTGACCGCGGAGTTTGATAGACCCGGGCCTTGCGGGGTGAGATTACCAATGCTGTCAGGGAACTATTGTCAATCAAGATGCGTCCCTACCTTATGATCCCCCCTTTTGCGTGTCCAGCCATGATATGAGACGATCGCTAAGGCTCCTGGTTTTGGGGGGTTGGTGAAGTATTCTCGACCTTGGAAGTTGGTTGCCCAGGGCAGACGCTGCTCCACTGCTGACCCCCTCGCTTCGAAAGGTTGTTGCTGTTTTCGTCGTCTGGGTGCCATGCCAAGATTGCCTCATCGGATTATGGCGTTTAGGTCGGCAAAAATTGTAGGCGAGCTGAGTGACTGGCTGCACAGCGTGCTTCGCGAGGTGAGCCACACCTCTACGCCATCTCGTTGTATCTACGGATCATGAACACCGCAATCGTGATCATGCAGGAAACAGAGACACCATGACGTTTCCTCACTGTTGAAGTATGCCTACCAATTAGACAAAGCCTATGACAGTGGAGGAGCCTTGCGCCGCGGGCTGTATTGTTTGACTTTCTGGTTGTCCCTTGCGCGCGGGGATAAGGCCCAAAGCGCATGTCCGGTCATCCCACTGTAAGCGGCGCAGGTCTTGGAGGGGAAGCCTGTCGAGCTGGAAATGTCAAGCAGCGGATGTAGATACGCGGTGCGGATTCTCGCCTAGTCTGCCAAAGTTACGACAGAAATAGTAAACCGACAAGCCAATAGGGGGTGACGTAGGGCCTTTGAGGGTTGCAGGCGCGTCTAAAATCGCATGTTGGCACCTCTTGTGCTACGTCGCAAAAGGCAAGGAACAAGCCTTGACGCGCGACCACCCTTGGACCGCTTGTACATCCCGCTAACCACAACCCAGCGCCATCCACGTCGATTCGGGCTGAATGATGCTTGAAGTGCGTAACGCAGTGGCGCTCAGGCTGCTGCCGGTGAATCCTTCAGGAATGCAGACCTCGAAGCGTTATCCTGACGCGAATGGCACAGAAAAACCGAACCCATTGGTCACCGGCGAGATGGGCTCGAGTGTGCCAGGGTTGAGCACTCAGCTCTGTCCTCACCAACGGGTCCGGGGGGCTTGATGAGCTCGGATTGGTGGTCGGCCAGAGACCTGCAATGCCCCTGCTATCACCGATCAGCCCAAGGTCCGGGACCAGATGTGACAGGTCATTGTGTGTTTTGATGGCGCAAACGCAAGGAGGAGGCCACTTTTGTCAATTCGAGAGCCACGACGAGCATGTCCCAACCACAACCATGCCAAGCCGACCGTGCCGCTTGAAAGATTGTGAGCGTCGTCGCGGGGCGCGGGGGATCCGAGCGGAGGTGGATGGAAAGTTTCTCGTTGGAACTGGGGTTGACCGGTACTGGGTTATGTCTTGATGCGCTCCTACTCCGTAGATTGCTGGGGGATCGACGGCACGGAGCAGGCGCGCAGGGTTGCGCATCCCAGACCTGGAAACATCATGTCCAGGCTGTCGGAGGCGTGGTGCAGGTGGAATTGAGTCGAGGTTTGACTCCCGGCGAGGTCGCTCTTGAGTGTGAGACCGGTGTGCTGGGCTCACCGAAAACGGCAATCGGGGGGTGTTCGCGCGTTGCAGGACCCCGGACGAAAAACAAGGCTGCAGAGAGGCGAGATTGGTCCGATCAAGTGCCTGGATTCGTTGACGTGGCGTGCGGCCCCTTCTGGGAGAGCGCGCGCGACAAGACCCGATGATCTGGATCAGCCCTTGTCTCAAAAGATGCCAGATCAAGATGCAGGAAAGGCAAAAACCGCAAAGGCGCAAAGGCGGCCAAGGCCGCGAATATCTAAACTCAAAGGCCCCGAGGGCTAGCCGTCCCCCTCGCATCTCAGCAATTCGGGCCGTGCTCACCCAGCTGGTCTCCTTTTGTCATCGTGGTGGCGGACGTCATTGTGATGAGGTGACAGGTCATGGTGGCTGCGGAATCGAGCTGCGGCGGTGCCTCACGGAGAAAAGGTGTATGGGCAACGTTTGGCGGAAGAGGTCCGGGCCCCTTAGACTCGAAACTGGGCAGACATGAGCGTCAGAGTGTGCGTTGCGTTGCGTTGGTTTGCGTGAGCGTGAGCTTGAGTGTGTGCATCGGGGGGATTGAATAAGAAAGTTGCCTCGGCCGCGTCTCTTGCCTCGAATGATCCAATTCGTCCGGATCTGCCAGGCGCGATTCCCCGTGATGGAAAATTGCTGCGAATCACGGGATCCTACCCGCCCCTGCAAGAATGAGCTCAGCTCCAGAGTACGTGCGATGTACGTCCGTAGTACAGCCAGCGCTCGTCCAGCTCCAGATTGCCTCCAACACCAGAGTACCAGCTCGTGACAAGGTGGGAATACATCACGTCGCTAGCTCAACGCCCCCCCTTCGCCCATCCTTGTTCGCCTTCCGCCACCCTCCCTCCACTCTCCCAGGCTTCTCCACCCTCATCCACCCTCATCCACCCTCATCCACCCCTGCCCCTTTTTCGAAACCTTCGAGAATCCAAGAATAACTGGGGCGACCGGCGGTCAGTCTGACAACCCTTGCCTGGCCCGCCAACTCATTACAGCACTTCTCCAGAGAAATACGCCCGCTCGCGGGGCTGCTCAGCTCGCTGACGAGCCCGTTCCAGGCGCCATCCCCAGCCCACGACTCGCCCCGACAGCCTGGGAGTCCGGTCTGGGGCCCGCGGCTCTAGGGAACCAGGGAATTAGGGAACTAGGGGATTAGGGAACTAGGGAACCCACGACGCTCGGTATTATTGCCTACGGAGTGCGTACGGAGGAGAAATGGTGGACGGCATACGCCGAACGCTTGCGGGGCTATGGCAATCAACACGAGATGATGGATGGGTCCTCTCATTTTGCTATTCTCGACAACTCGTCTCGCCGACGTGGACATTTGATGCGGTCGCGCGCGCATGTTAAACGATCGACGCTGTCATGGATATGCATGCGACCGAGCGAGAGGCCAGTCGGTGTGCGGATTTCGGTGGACAGAGAGAGACTCGGTGGCGAGAGTCTCTGAGGCGAGACACTACGAGGCGCATAGGCAACCAGCCGCTTCACCGTCGGCTTTGAATGAGCTGAGAGAGACCTGCTGCCGTCCCAACCCCATGTCGCTGTCGCCAACCGAAGCACAGGTCCTCCCTGGACCATTCGCGCGTATACGAATAGCATCCGGTGAGAAGGCACTATGTACGTGCTTTTCTGAAACGCCAAACTTATTTTTTCTTAGTTGACCATTCGGATTGCACTCTCCTGGTATCCGGGCTCGTCTTTCTTTTTCTGACGATCTTCCCTGCAGCCCTTGTTTTCTTTTTGACAGGCGGAGGCCCGGTAGTCCATCCGTCATTCCACATCCGCAGCCCGTACTGACGGGACGCATAAGATCAACCCAGTCCACCGGGACGCTCGCCCGCCGCCCCTTTTCCCCTGGCCCCATCCCCGACGCGACCGCTCGCCCACTCGGCTCTTCCCCTCCAGTGGGGCGCCATGCGACGGGTTCCCAGACAGGTAGCCTCCTCGTAGCACAAGACCTAAAAGGTACCGGCACACACTACAGCACTCGCTAGGGCCGGAAACCAGGGAGAGGGGATCCGGAGCCCTCGCAGGGATTGAAGGTGAAGTCCGCGGCCGGCCATTGGACGGACCCAAGCGCCCGCTCGCTGCGATGACGACAATGGGTTTTTGCAGGGCGTGTTCGTCACGGCTTACGCGACAGCTGGGCTCTGGGCGCCGTGGCCAGCTGGCGGTGAGCTCGCTGACCTGTGGCCCTTTTGGGGCGCGTCGGCGTTGAGGCGGCAGCATCGCATAATGCAGCACAGTTGACGTCTTGGGCTTCACCGATGGGACTGACGCTGCACATTGGGCTGGCTAGGGAGATCTGGCGCCGCTTCGGCATGCGCCTCAGTGCGTCCACGTCGTCGGGACTCAGGCGAGTCTGGACAAAGTACCCGCTGCACGACATGCGTACATGTATATCTATATATATGGATGCGAGGGTGTGCGCACAAGCTACTACATAGTGCGTACGGATGGAACACTTCACCACCGGCGATATGCATCCACGGCCATACGTAGTACATGACAGCCCGCGGCAACTTACAAAAAGGGCAGGGCTCTGGATTTGACTGATGTTCTGGGAAGCCTGTTCTGTGTGCTGTGTGCGTGGAGCCCTCGGATGCACTGGAAGGGGATCATATAGCGAGGGTCTAATCCGCGCGGTCTGGGACAATGTTGCGCTGCACCTCGTCTGCACCTCGTACGCGCCTCATCCCGGATTTCTATCCCCTGGACCGGCATTGCCAATATTCGTCATGTACCGAGAACGTTCGTGCGGTCCGGAGACAACTCGCAGCAAGGGGTGACAGCTGTTGGGCGACAGCCCCGTCTTTGGGGTTTGTTGGAAATAAAGCGGCTAATTACCAGCAAGGCCAGCACGGCCAGCGCGACAAACTCCAACAAAGGCTCAGAACCTGGGCCTCGCACTTTAGTCTGCATCTGTGGAGTCGGCAACCCATCCGGCACTCTGTCGTTGGGGGCTGACGGCCCAGCGGGTTGGGTGCGGGTGGACCTCTCCCAGGATCACCAGGATCACTAGCAGCGAGTCAGGGAAGCCCCGGAGACCCGCGTGGGCCTATTCGTGATGCCCAATTTCCCGGTTTGGGGCCCTGGCTTGAAACCACCACCGCCAGAAACCCCCCATCACCGCCAGTCTCAGCTCCGGGCTCAGTGGGCTGCGCGCCAGATGGTGGCTGGCACCACCGGCTCCACGTGCCTGGGGCCAGGCGAAAGGGTCCGGCATGGCATGGCAGGCATGGCGGTGACAATGTCTCGGGTTCCTGGTGACGAGGGCGTTTTCGCTTTGCCCTCCCCTGTTCCCTCACACCCTTCAATCGTCAAACCCCCTCCGTGGATCCTCTCGTCATTGGGCAGGACCATCTCCTCGCTTGCTTCTGCCCTTGCCCTGCTCACCTCCAAGAACCTCGCCCCGCGATGGAGCCGGTCTTGCTAACCCGGGTATGTGGCTCCTTGCTGACCGAGCCTGGTAATCCGCGGGGACTCCATCTTCTAGAGGTCCGCTACCTGGGAAGAAGCCCTTTGGCTCTCTCTAGGGCTAGGTAAGCCGCAGCAGCACACATCCATCCTCACCGTTTCTTCAATGTGGTGCTTTACGTACGTGTATGTGCGTGGATGTACGTGTAATGAGAGAATCGTCACTGGTGGGTTGACCGCATAGCTGAGCCTACATTTGTATTATTGTCTGGTATGACAACTTGAATCCAAAAGACGATGGGGTTTGCCTGCCGGTGAGTCTGGATGGAGTCACTGTCAAAGAACCCAGGCTCTCATCATCATATGGGTGTCAGTGGCCCCGCCAGGCTCCGTGTGTGTGTAAGTAGTCATTGCTCATGAAACCCATTCCGAGAACAGGTTGATACGGGAAATTCACAGGGCAATCCAACGCTTTGGGTCAAATCTTGGCCGCCATCCCCAAGATGGGAATCTCGGCCCAGATGGGTACGTTTCGGCCGACTGGTGCGTGAGAGGTTGCATCTGGCCCGAGATCAACCCGTCCCCATTCGACGTGCACCGCATTACGCAGCGTAGCACGTCAAGACAAGTCCAGTAGCCCCGCTGGCCCGTTTCTTGCATCGTTGTAGGTCTCGTGCCCCAAGTCTCCGAGGAGCACTAGGAGTGCGTTGAGACGGCCTACGGAACCCGAGCGTGCGTCGTGGAACATGCCAGCGATACGATGGGGCTGTGGTGCTACGGCGGTGTTGGCAATTCCATCACCAGTGGAATCCCGAATGACTCCTCGTTGCATTGTGATTATCTGCTGGCCCTGCACATCGTAATCTCCTGTGACGGGAAAATGGGCGTGTGCTCTAGGCAGGCAGAGAGGGAGGGAGGGCATTGCCATTGCTGGCTGCAGGGCGCCAGTGGTTCGCAGGAGGAGGGCCGAGTTTGAGTCGCGTGGGTGAATAGAATCAATGACAAAGAGAGAACCACACCAGATACGAATACAGATGCAGGCTCCGGCGTCGGGAGGCACGGTATCCAACCGTTCGTTGGGCGCAGGGCAGGAAACAGAGAGACGACGAGGAAACTACTGCACTCGCCTATAGGATGTCTGGGGGGACCGATAACTTGATCCCGCATCCCACATCCCGCATTCCCGCATCCCTACCTTACCTTACTATGTACCTAGGTGTAGGCGGAGGGCTCTGCTCAGACCGACGTCACCGTACGTTGCACCGCCCAGGCAAACTGGACGAGCAGAGCCACGCCATGCGCCCTGGTCGTCGGAGGCATGTCAGGATCGATGTTTCGACTCGAGGCTCCCACTGCGAGCGAGCTGCGTTTGGTGGTCAACGTGTAAGAGGAGGGCGGCCCATCCGGAACCGTCCCCCTCCTGTTGGTCCATGACTGCGTTGAGGTGACCCAGGGGCCGTTTCCGTGTGACCACGAGCTGCCGCCGGAACCGTTATTCTGTATTCACCGCCTCCTCGCGTGTTCGCCAGCAGCGATTTTTGTCAGCGGAAGGGGCAGGCAGAGTCCGCCTCATTGTCAACAAACAACGTTTGTCCTGGTCGCCTTGTCGTTGCCTTGTGATGATATGGCATGGTATGGCAGGCATGGGAGGTAGGAGGAGTGAGTGCTGGCAACCCTACTACGTAAGTTAGGTAGTAGGTTCACTGTGCACTCACACGCTCGCACACTCAATACAGACACACAGGTGCATACACACATACACACAGTAGACGCACGCGCACACCCCTCCTTTCGTCCAGTCCAGCCAAGGGGCGGGCGAACGACGCTCCCCGCGACCAGTGACGAGGGTTGGTGGGTTCTCTCTCTCTCTTTTTTTTTTCTTCCCTTCCCTTCCTCTCCCCCCCCTCTCTCGTCCGCCGGGTCCAACGTTGCCAGCAGCACGAGCTTGTTTCGTGAGCCACGCGACGGGAATGCCGGGGTAGACAGTTAGCGCCCTGTCGGCTCCAGATGGCGCACCCAATAATTAAGCTCGAGCCTGGCCGTCAGTCCATGGCGTTTTGCTGGTGTTGCTGGCGTCGCTGGCGTCGCTCGGCACACCTCCCCGTCCGCCGTCCGCCTCGTCGAACCGGCCAGAGCACGCCCCCTGGCTCGCCTCTCGCGCCCCCCCATCTCCCATCTCCCCATGCAAGTCTCAAGGCGCCCTCACCCTTGCTTCCTTGCTGGGTACATGCGAGGTACTTGGGAGTCAGAGAGCCGGAGCCCCATTCCCATGCCACACGGACACGGACACCCTTGGACCGCCGGCCGTGGATCCAAGGTGTCTTAGGGCCCCAAAGCGAGAGAGACACGACCCGGAGACCCAGAAGGACCCAGCGACCCAGTCAACCCAGTCAACCCAGTCGACCCGACCGATGGTCCTGGTGCAAGCCTGCAAGCCTGCAAGCCTGCGCGCTGCAAGGCCAGTCCGCCCTGTCAACCGGGGTCCAGCCTGCTGTCTCTCTCTCTGGCTGACCTGGTCTCTCTGGTCTGTTCCGCCGCTCTTCCAGACGCCCCCCACCGCCCAGTGTCATGCTGGCTGCCCCGAGAGTTGGAGCCGTTCGCCGCTCGCCGCATTGCCTTTTGTTGGACAGGAGATTTGCCCTCTTGTCCTCATGTCACCGCCCGTTCCAATCTTGGGTCTAATTTGCTCCGAGATGGCCAAAGCCCACCTGTACCCCAGCCCGAGGGGTGGCGCTACGCACTCCTTACACACTCCTTACACACTCCTTGCACACTCCCACTCCGGCCCTCTCTCTTATAAGTGTATCCACTCCCCGTCGTGAATCTTCTCTTTCCCTTCTGTGATCCTTCTACTCCCATTAGTGTCTTGTCTTCCTCCGCCACTTGTGCCTATATGCCCCTTCTTTACTTCGTTGTTGGCACCATTTTGATTTTACCTGGCACATTACCTCAACTTACCACCACCCAACCTACACCGCGCCCACCACCTCCGCGGGCATCATCTTTACGACAGAGCCCGTTTCTATATCCAACCGCACCTCGGACCGATTCGAATTCCTTGGGAATTGACTGTACTACACGAGACTGTCTTTGAACCGCAGCAGTTCCACCACCTGGCCTTGACACACGGGCCATTATCAGACGACCAGAGTTGTGCTAGGCCAAGTCAAGCAGCAGCAAACATGGGGAGGAGTCGTCGCCTTGGAGCGGCCAACCGCAGCGATGGTGGCCGAAGTGCTCCCCCGTTCCCGGCCAAGCAAATGTTTGTCCTCGGTATGATATCACCCTCCCGCTCTCACGGGGACTCCACGACTGACTGGTGTAGCCTGCTGCCGGATATGCGAACCGATTGCATTCATGTCGATTTTCCCCTACATCTACTACATGATTGAGGATTTCAACATTACCGACGACACCAACAAGATCGCCGTCTACGCTGGCATGGTCACCTCAGCTTTCACTCTGGCCGAGTTCTCGACTGGAGTCCTTTGGGGACGACTGAGTGACAAGATTGGACGGAAACCTGTACTTCTGAGCGGCTTGATCGGCACTGCCCTGAGCGTCCTTGCTTTCGGGTTCGCCCCCAATCTGCCTGTGGCTCTCTTTGCTCGTGCGCTGGGAGGCCTTCTCAATGGGTATGGCGCCTTGTTTGAGCAGGTTCCTTGAACTCGAGACTGACCAGGGTCTAGAAACATCGGAGTGCTGCAAACGACCGTGGCTGAACTTGTAACTGTCAAGGAACAACAACGTGGGTTTTGCTCTAGAACGATGGAGGAAATGCAATACTGACTGTGAACAGCTCGCGCTTATACTATCATGCCAATGGTGTGGTGTATTGGGTAAGTTCTGGAAATGCAATTGGCATTGCATTGGTGCTGATCGAATTGCGCAGATCCATCATTGGTCCCATGATCGGAGGAGCTCTGGCGAGACCCTGCATCAGCTACCCCGAGATCTTCGCCCGTGGCACCATCTGGGACAAATACCCCTACCTCCTCCCTAACCTTTTCAGCGCCGCTACTGTTTTCGTTGGAGTCATCATTGGTCTTCTCTTCCTCGATGAGACCCACGCAGACAAGAAGTCGCAGCGAGACCGTGGCCGCGAGATGGGCAACTACCTCGCCCAACTGTTCGGTGGAGTTACCAAGTGCAACGGACGAAAGCGAGGCCCTGAAAAGCAGGCCCTTTTGGATGGCGAGCCGCGGATTGGATACATGAGCAACGCACCATCGCGTGTGTCTTCGACGAACTCGGATGACGACGAGGCGCTCCCCGCCTACCAGAGCCAGGAAAACTCACCCCGGCTATCTCCCCAAGCCGACACTAGGTCTCTCGAAAGTGCCCCGCTCGAGCCGGCCTCGCCGATTGTCGAGCAGGAACGGAAACAAAGGATTTTTACCAAGCCGGTCATCATGAACATCATGTCATACGGCATCTTGGCTTTGTAAGTGAGCCCCGGTTCCATTGGCTCTTGGCGCCCTGCTAATGCGTGCTTTTAGCCACACCATGACTTTTGATCAGCTGTTTCCCGTCTTCCTCAGCACCTCGCGACCCGAGCACCCGATCCTGGAGCTGCCTTTCAGGTTCACTGACGGATTCGGCCTGGAGACGAAGACGATCGGCGTCATCATGTCGGTGCAGGGCGTCTACTCTCTGCTTTCCAACTACCTGATCGTCCCGCCGGTTACCCGACGACTGGGTTCGCTTCGATTGTTCCGAATGCTCGCCTTTTCGTACTTTGCGCTGTACCTCGTCACCCCTTACCTGGTGTTGCTTCCCGAGACTATGAGAATGCCAGCCATCTACCTGCTTGTCATTTGGAAGTGCACATTCTCGACCATGGCCTACCCCAGCAATGCGATCCTGCTAGCGAACTCGGCTCCTTCGAAGCAAGTCCTGGGAACGATCAATGGCATTGCGGCGTCAACTGCGAGCTTGTGCCGTGCACTGGGACCGACACTGTCCGGACTCCTGTACTCCCTGGGTCTGCAGACTGGATATTCTGGGCTGGCTTGGTGGTTCAGCGGGCTTATTACTATCGCGGGCGCTTATCTGAGCTCTCAAATCACCGAGGGTGGAGGCTACCACGACGTGGTGGTGCCAGAGGAGGAGGACCCGCTCCTGGACGAGGGTCTTTTCACGGACTACGACGGCGATGACGACAGGGTCTAAAGGAGCAAACCGGGTGTATCGCATTTTTCCGGCGTTTGAGCATTTCGACTTGCGACGGGATGAGACGACAAATTCAATTATACGCGACATTTCTTTTTGGGATGGGGCGGGAAAGAGAGAGGACCGCTCTCGTCGATAATACCCCCTTAAAATGACAGCGACGAGGCATTGGGACCGGCGTTTACCTAGAGACGGGGTTTTGTTTGGGAAAAATTTTTGTAATAGACTTTTGGTTTCTTGGGCTACGACGATGGGGTGGAAACAGGAAGCAAGCTCGCGACTCCAACAGCCAACGAGGTTGAGCGGGTGGGGATGGAGCAGTTGGATGCCAGCTACATGGCGGAAAAGCAATACCGCAAACATGGCCGGGGCTTGGCATGACGGGACCAGCACCAGAGCAGGGAGAGAGGCGAAGACGAGATGGAGTTGGCGTTGTGGAATGGGCGACAACGTCCGGCCCACGGGTCTTCGGATTCATTTTTGCTTTTTTTTGTTTATTGCGAAGAAGAACAGGGACAGGAATGGAAACAAGGAAGAAGTTGGATGAACAAACAGAATACGAAGGAGTCTGGCTACCTCGCGGGACCGAGACTGGCGGTGTAAAGGAACGGGATGAAATGTGTGAGCGAGGCGGGAAGGGATAGGATACCTACCTAATTGGCAGCAATTGACATCCGTAATTCTTTACAAGTCTAGTACGTACATAATGCTTAGCTGGGGGTGTGAGTTGTGGGACTCGATGAGTGGCTTGGGGAGTGGCAATGAGACAATAATATCAGACGCGGAAACGCGGAGACTGAGTCCGTCGGGTCCGGGTCCGAATGGATAGTATGGAGCACCGACCAGAGCCAGCAGGCATGAGAAGCCCAAAGACTTTAGACTGCTTTGGATGGTCTAGTATTAGTGTCCGACAGAAATGGCGGCGGCTTGGAGACCCGGACGCCAAAGGCCCACGACAACTAGACTTAGGCGGACTATACATCTTGATGAGGAGACTCCCACCCCCGGGCCGCCCGAGAGGTGCTGAGCACGGGTGTAGAGGTCGAGAATGCCTCAAAGTCCGGGCCCCGGCCCCGGCCTCGTCGAGGGCGGCCAAGGACAAGGACGGGCGGGTCAAGTCCAAGCGTACATGGTGCAGCGAGGCACGGCAAAGGTGGCTGCGTCGGTAAAGGGAAAAGCGAGATGCAGGTGAAAGAAAAAAACTTCGTTTCGTTCTAGAGTAAAAAAGAGGAGCAAACAAGTCCGTGTACGAATACTGCCATGTATGTCTGCATAGTGAAAACCCCATGATCCCTGGGAGTGGTGCCGAATCGGCTCTTGAGGCTGGGCCGGGATGCACGATCCGGGCCACTGTGGTGTCGCTGCCGCGGCGTGGTGCTGCTTTGGGGATCCATCTTGGCGACTGGCTCTAATAAGTTAGGTCTTGGACTGCGAGACTGACTGGGGACCGACTCTTTAAGAATGGGGACCGCCTTACTACGTAGTAGACCTTAGACTGGGGACTCATCAGACAAGGGACGCTCAGACAGAATGCAGAGATGCGGAGATGCAGCGATGCAGCGATGCAGCTTTGGGGGTGTGGGTTTGTGGGTTAGGTAGGGGGGGTCAGCACCCTGGCTGCGTCGGAGGCTCGTCTGGACACCTCAAAGTTTTTGGGCATTTTTTTTTTATTCAGATGCCAGGACCCTGCTTTTTTCCTTCTCGTTTTTCTCAATTGAGACGATGGCTGGACTGGGGACTTGCCTAGAGCGTACTATCTGACATGGACTAACGCACGGGTTATTTTCTTCTTCGGCTTTTCTTTGTTGAACGAGAGAAGAGAGATGAGAGGAGAGAGGAGATGAGAACTTGGACGAGGCGTCCGGGCCCAATCAGCCTAGTAGACGTGGCGGACGGCCTGGCTCACCGTTAAACGAGGTTGTCTGTTGTCACGGATGAGGAAAAAAACAAGGGACCACGACAGCGCACTTTGTCTTCCGTCGTTGAGTCATCTGCTGGCATCGATCCTTCAGCATCAGCGATCGATCGCGTCAGTCACTTGACCGTCCCCGTCTGCCTGTTCCCATACGAATACGCCGCCGGCATGTCTGGTCGGGAGTCGTCGACGAGTTTCCAGGTTCCAGGGGGTGTGTGGTGTGCGTCTCGGGGGGACGGGCCCCGCTTCGCTGTGCTTTTGTTGCGCTGCTGCTGTGTTATTGCCGTCAGGTCGTCCCTTCGTAGTACAGCCACTATTAGTTGCTTCGAAGTGCTGTGTAGCTAGCTACCTGAAGGTGTGTAAGGCGCGCGTGCAGCCGGCCGTGACCAGACAAGCAGAAGTTGAAACGGCTTCTGACGTTGGAGAGTGGGGGGGCTAAGAGATGCCTATTTCAGGCAGGGCGCGCGAGGACATGCGTGAATAAGACGGATGCCAAGGTTGCGAGGTAATGGAGATCGAGGCTGAGAGAGGGCTGTACAGTACCTGTACGATCCTGTACAATACCCGCGCTGGCGTCTTCTTGGGCTGACATCCTCTTGGACTGGAGGGGGGCGGTTTTCTTCGGCCGATCCCTCCGCCGATTGCCAGTCAATTTGACGCCATAGCTGTTGGTCATGGCTGTAGAATTCCCCTTTGGGGATTGGCACGGGGTAACGGGCTTACAAGCGGAGAGCACTTGATGGATGAAAGGAGGCTTGCTTTTTCTTCTTGATTTGCTTGCTGCGGCGGCCAAGGTGGGGGGGCAAGCGGCAGCATCAGCATCAAGGCTCTCGAAATGCAGACACCGGATTGGAAGGGCAAAGGACAACTGACAGGGCCCCCAACCAGAGGCAAGGTATCACTGTAGATTAAAGATGGGGGCCGCGTTGCTGATGCTGCTGTCGCTGCCGGTTCGGAGAAATTTCCTGTACAAGTAGAACAAAGGACGACGGTGACGACGATGACATTAGAGCCAAGTCAACAAGCGTCTAGATAAACTTGGAAATAGGAGCAGCGCTTAGCGTAATTTGAAGAGTGATTGTGTTGCTTATTAATGGTTTGCTAGCTTTGCCGGCGGCCAAATCGACGGCGGATAGATTCACGAACACGTCCGGACTATCAGATCATATCGCGGAATTGGGGGGATGAACGGCGCCGGTTTGCTGCTTATCAATTGTGCCAATTAGTTCACGGCGCACAGCCATCACATCTATCACCACCCACTACCTTATCCACCCGCTTATCCACTATCCGCCCGCGCTCTAGCAAATCAGTCCAGCAATCGGTTGCTCGATACAATTGACAATTGACAGCAGCCATCAGATTCCCTGTCCCAGAAAGACGCTACCCACCCACACCAGACAACAAGCAGTGCACACTCCGTAGATGATCGCACTTTCCATATCGCGCCCGCATGTGCTTTTGCTGTACGTAGAAGGTCGCCCTCCAGCCTCCTCATCCTGCTTTCCCACCTGCCCCCCCAAAACCCGGATCTGGCTGGATCTGGGCAACCGGGTGCACGCTGTCCGCTCCCCCCAAATCTTTTTGGGCTTCGACCCCGGTTGGCTCGCACTGACTGATCAACAAATCTTGGCCTTGCGTACGGAGTACCTATGAAGAAAGCCGGGCCTCGTTTCTATCTCCCGCCCTGCCTTGCCTTACCTTGCCTCGTCTCGCCTCCTCCTCGTCGCTTCCCCCCCTCCCCATCTTTCCCCCAGGCTCCCGGGATCAAGTCACTTTGCCTTGCCCAATCCTTGCCCACGGTGCCACTGTTACACCGGCTACTGCGTCCGCGACTGCGACTACCGGTTGCGACTGTGCCCAATTTTCCGGGTCATGAGAACGTGACTGGTGCAGTTCAACTCCCCGTCGTCCCAAAATCTTCACCTCCGTTGCCCGTTGCCCGTTGCCCGTCGTCGTTCCGTCGTCCGTACTGTCCCGTTCTCCCCATCGCCGCCCATTGCAATTGGCTTCCGCCGCCACCGCCGCCGCAAGCTGACCCCCCCGGCCGCGTTTAATCGGTCGAGGCATTGATCAATCGCCCTCCGGCCTTGAGCCGGCTGCAACTGCTTCCTGTGGCTTCCTGCCGCTGCCGCAATTGCTCCCTGCTGCAACGTGCTGTCGCCCGCCGCCACCGCCGCTGCCGCTCGTTGTCTTGGGGCATGGGGGCGCGTCAACCGAGATCCACGATAGGATTCCCCCCGCAGCGAGCCATAGACACGAGGCATTGAACTTTTGACCTGTGAGTGTGAATCTCGCCGATTGCTTCTTTGGTTACAGAGTACCTACTTGACTGCTTAACCGCTTAACTGCTTTCTGCTTGTTCCCAATCCCGTTTCCATCCCAGCCACCCTCTCACTCCCACATCCACGCCCATCCACTCCCATCCGCCCAATCCTATCCAATCCAATTCGAATCCCGTTCCGCCCGCCGTCGCTGCCTCACCTCACCTCGGCTTCCGACGCCCTGCTCCCCTACCTACATTCTCTTAGCCCGGCGCTCACCTCTCTTCCGCCTTGCAACAGTCCAGCCCCCGACTCACCGACCCCGTGTCCGTCCGCCCGTCCGCCCGTCCAGCCATCGGATCCGACCGCCATCTACCACTCCTCAACCCGCCCGTGTCACTCCCCGCCGTTACCAGTACCGCGCCGTCGCCAGTCCGTCCTCCGTCCTCCGTCGCCCCGGCGGGCCGTCACCATGCCTGCGCGTGGCCCTCCGTCCCCGGCCACGCAACCCGCCAAGCGACAGAGACAGTCCTCCTTTGACGATGGCTCACCGCGCAACGGCCAGACGAGTCCCAACGACCAGCATCCCGACGGCGCCTCCTCCACAGCTGCGTCGATAGCTGCTTCCAAGGCGGGGCAGAGTAGCAATTTTCGCAACGTCAGCGCCTGCAATCGCTGCCGCCTGCGCAAGAACCGATGCGACCAGAAGCTTCCCAGCTGCGCCAGTTGCGCCAAGGCCGGCGTCGCCTGTGTTGGCTATGACCCTATCACTAAAAAAGAAATCCCACGCAGGTATGAGCAAGAGACGCGCCGTCGCGCCGAGCACTGCGCCAGATGTTCGGGTGGTGCATCGGCGGCGATCCGTCGTGAGTCGTCTATGCGGGTGCTGATCTGAGGCGCAGTTATGTCTTCTATCTCGAAACCCGAGTTGAGCAGCTCGAGAACCTGCTATCCTCCAACAACATCCCTTTCCCACCCGCCGAGAATCTCGAAATATGCTCTCGCCCAGGAACCGACACCGCTAGTATAAACTCCACCGCTGACACGGGTTACTCGGGCCAGTCTGAGGTTGGCGATCGGGGTATGATGAGGCCCCAGAGCCAGGCGGTCGAATCGCTCAAACCAAAGAAACCAGGCCAGGGCCCCGGCTTCCTCAATATTGTCAGCCCTTCGAAGCCGCGATCGCTGGCATCAGCCTCTGGCGTGTCCTTTGCTCGAGTTGTCTTCGCTGCTGTACAGTACTCCGTCTCGGGTCAGACGGGTGCGACTGATCGTCCAGGCTCACGCCAACCCGCCGGAAATGGAACGTCCCTTCGCGATTCCTTCTTTGGCCTCCATACGCGCCCGACCATTAAGCCGGCGACCTTCCCGGACAAGGAGGTTGGCTTAAGGTTGGTGAGGCTCTATTTTGAGCATTCCAACCCCCAGATCCCGATTCTGCACCGAGGCGAGTTTATGCAGACTTTTGAGCGGGTCTATGCAACCCAAGATCCGGCCCGAGGGTCGCGGGAGCTCTATTTGCTCAATATGGTCTTCGCTATCGGTTGCGGTGTTATTGTTGGCGAGCCGGTCAAGACGGAATCTTCGGGTGATTCGTCGTCTATGAGCATCGATCAAGTGCGAAACCACAGTGCCCCAGAGGAGTATCATGCAAGCGCCATTGTTCACCTGGAGTCGTGTTTGAGCAACAGCGGTGGAGGACTAGAGGTGTTGCAAGCGGTTCTCTTGCTTGCCAACTTCGCCTTGCTTCGCCCTGTGCCGCCTGGTCTATGGTAAGTCTTGATGGACCATGTTTTGAGATGAGCTTACTGACTGACCCGAACCAGGTACATCATTGGAGTTGCTGTGCGTTTAGCGGTCGACCTGGGATTGCATTATGAGGACGAGAGAGACATGGACAGTGCGATACCCGATGCTTCCGAAGCTGATGGGCCCGAAGCAGCTGGATCGCGAGAGAACGGTATGCATAGTCGCGGACGACGGTTGTGGATTCGCGACATGAGACGACGCCTCTGGTGGTGCACGTACTCGTTAGATCGCTTGGTGAGCACATGTGTTGGCCGGCCGTTCGGTATTAGCGATCAGGTCATCACAACCGAGTTCCCCTCGTCGTTGGACGACGAGTACATCACGCCGACGGGGTTCCTGGATCCACCTACGGACCAGGTTCAGCCAAGCTACAAGCATGTCGCGCACCATTACTTCCGCCTGCGGCTGCTGCAGTCGGAAATCCTTCAGGTGTTGCAGTACAACCAGACGCAGATTGTCAAGGCCGGGATACAGAGCAAGGGCACGCACATCCATCTTCCCTCCCCGTTTCTTGTCCAGTTCGATTCCTTCAGGTCTTGGCGCATCGACATTGATAGGCGCCTGTACCAATGGAAGACATCTGCGCCGACGAGGCTGGAGACTGGTGTCATGTTTTCGACCGAGTTCCTGGAGCTCAACTATTGGCAGGCCATCATCATGCTATACCGCCAAAGCCTCAGCGTGCCTGCCATGTTCGAAGGGGAATACAACACTTCGACCGAAGTCAACAGTCCGACGGCCTTCCAGGCTGAACTGCGGGAAGACGAGGACCGGATATATCTCAAGGTTGCTGAAGCCGGCCAGAAGATTCTTCGACTATACCGACAGCTTCATCTCAGCGGCCTCGTCAGCTACACCTACCTCTCTACCCACCACCTGTTCATGGCGGGCATTTCGTACCTCTATGCCATCTGGCACTCACCCATTGTGCGAAGTCGTTTGGTAAGCCCATCTTGTCGGAATGAACTACTGTATCGAGGAGAAGCTAACAAAAGTACAGACGATGGATGAGGTGGACTTTACCATCCTAGCAGCTAAATCTGTACTGAGCGACATGATGGATAAGTGTCCACCTGCGGAAACGTGCCGAGATGCCTTCGATCGAACGGCAAAGGCCACCATCAAGATGGCCAGCTCCACCGGCGGGTTTGGCGTGCCCACAAATCAGTCACGACGATCGCGTCGTGAGCAATCAGCCTGGAATACAACTCCCGACTCATCCAAGGGCTCAACGCAGACGCGTCACCGACACCACAGCTCTGATCATGCATCGTACCAGTTCGATCTGGCGCTTTCGGACTCGCTTTCATCGCCGACCCTGTCTGTTACCGGCGATGTAACCGCTCAGCCCTCACCTCCTCTTCCAAGGACCGCAGACGGATACATGATGAAGCCGAGAAGCCGCGGGGGTCCTAGTCCGTCCGATATGGGTGTCAAGCAAGATGGATCCCCTGTCGACTCCTCCGTGGTCCCGTCGCCGCCTGTGTCACGCCGGGTGACGTCGCAGCCATCGACGACCGGCAGCTCGTACGCCGGTCAGCAGCAACAACAGTTCAGCGGGCCGGGCTCGGTAGATTACCCAGACGCGCAGACAATGGAATTCCTCCAGAACCTCGGTGCCACGTCCAACGGGGAGTTCGGGAACCTCGACCAATCCCAGGTGGATCTCGGGTTCGGCATGAACTGGGAGGGGCTTCATCACGACTTCAGTGACGGGCAACAGATGAACCCCTTTGACACATTCTTCTTCGGAGGCCAGCAGGGCAGCAACGGCTCTGGGCCAAACAACGACGGAGGTATGGGCTTGTAAGCGACTTGTTATACTGTTTTTTCTGAATTTTCTGCCGGTGCTGGCGTGAAATGTACTTGACTCCTTGACCGTTGGCCCACAACTGTCAAGCGAAGCGGAAAGGTGGTTTATTCATTTGTTTCCTGGGGCCCGTCTTCAGTTTTGGTTGGATACCTGCATTGGGGCAGAGGACCGTGTCCTCCCCTCAAGATCCGAAAAAAAAAGTTGGGGTTAGAGAGAGACTGGAGGTCATTGTCGAATTTTCTCAGGTGTTGGATGCATCGTGGGTCATGGTTGACGGTAACGTGGAAGGGTTTTACTGCGAAAAAGAACATGAAAACAGCCATGTTGATTGTAGATAGCTGGCGAGGCACGGAACATTTTTCATAGATAGCTTAATGATGATGATGCCGTGTGTCTGTTGATGCTGGATGCTAAGATGGAATTCCCAAAAGCCATGCTGTTCCGTATGTATTATCCACCGTTGAGTCTCTCGTCCACTTGACATGTTCGGAAATTGGCATTCGGGTAGTTGACATTTTATCTGATTCTATTGCTTCCCCATCCATTCGTTAGATCATAAGATTTGTTTTAATTCAACACTGATACATATTATTCAGGCTCTTTTCGCCTAATCCCAATATCATAATTCATCTCACATTGTGATGCCACGCCATGCCAAACAGAAAAAGAAGCGACCAGCCCTGCCCATGACAACGGACTTAATAACGACGACTCGCCCGTCGCGGCGGCGAGTCCCTCCGCGAATGGTACCGCTCCTCCATGTCCTCTCGGTAGCTGTCCCGGCGATAACCACGCTCCGGGCTATAACGCCGGCTCGGGCGGCGCGGTGGCGGCGTGTGCTCTTCCTCGACGATGATCTCATCCAGCGACGACAGTGCCGAGACCTCGGAGGCCGGCACGGCACGGGGCGGCACCGTGGACACGGGCGATGGCGTGCGCGGCGGGTCGACGATGGCGGGAGCGGCGCGGCGACCGGAGCGCGTGCGTACGTCGACTGTTTCGGTGCGGGAGCGTGTACGGCGTGAGGACGAGGACGGCGCGCTACGGCGTTTCTTATCCCGGCGGGAGCGGAAGCTCAGTGCGCTGCGAGTGTCGTACGTCGAGGCTCCAACGGTCGAGGTCCCGAGCGTGGAAGTGCCCAACGTCGATGTGCCCACAGTCGAGGTCCCCAGCGTCGACGGGGTGCCCACAGTCGTCGAGCGGCCGCGCATAGGGATGAGGACAGGCCCGCCGTGCAGGATGGCGTAGATGATGTACAGCAGCAGCAGGAAGCCGGCGACGGAGCCGAGCACGATGCCCGCAACGACGCCCGGGTGCGGCGAGTTGTGGAGGTTGCCGTACGCGGACGGGATGGCGACGAAGGAGGAGCTCGACTCGTCTTGGCGGGCCACGAGCGAGATGGCATCGGCGACGGAGCGGAGCGTCTTGGAGGGAGGGAGGTGGATGGCCGGCATGGTGAGTGTCTAGGGGCGGCTTGGTATGTGTTGTTTCGTTGCGGTCGTGGTGGTGCTGCTCATTCGCGATGCCCTCGTCGCATGGCCGTGCCTCGTTCAACGCGACGCTCAAAGCAGACGTGAGTAAAGACAATTGTAGATCGCCACAGGTCAGAATTGTGTGTGCGAAGAGCAGGATGAGAAGAAAATCAGGCTGGATGGCCGCAACGCAGAGAAAACACGAAAGGAGTGGACGCGGGACCTCCCGCCTGCAGCACAGGGCATCATTGCACGAGCGCGAGCTTCTCCCAGCCACTCGATTTCCCGCCCGAGGTGAATGGATGGATGGATGGATGGATGGATCCCCACCCGCTTCACCAGCCATGATTCAGTGGCGGAATTAGTTGCCCGCGCAAAATGGCCCCATCACGCACCAAGTTGGCATCAGACACGTTGAAAGCGATCCATTTGTCCTGACCGGCTCAAGTACGCCGCACCGTTAGACATTCCGTCCCCCGAACCCGGCACTGCCATTCTCGGTCCGGTCCGTGTGGGGACCTCGGCGTTCAACCGTTCCGGAGCTCCCCAGACGCCAAATTTCCTACGCGAACCATCATCAACAACGCACACCAGATCCAACGCTCAAGAAATTAGATTAACCATAAATCTCAAGCATTTTAATTGATCCAAAGAGTATTCCTCGATGCAGTCGAACAAGCAGGCCCATCTACCTCTCAACACCCACGTCTAAAGGCCAAACCTATCCTCAGGTACTCCGCCTGTAAACCGTTCCATAATACAAGTACATAAAGTCATCCAGGGGCTCGACATGGCCAAATATCCAGCAAAGCGCCCTCGTCCAGTCCAATGGTATATATAATACAAGAAATTCTTTCATAAACAAGAAGCCCTAAGGCCACCACCCCAATTCACTTTTCCGGCGTTACATCCCAACGCCGTCCTCGACAAAGGAAACTTGCATCAGGCACTTGATGCCGGTCATTAGATATACAGAGACTATAAGAAAAGGGAAGTTGGAATGGCCACGCATGTCTTAAATCATGGCTGATATCCTCTGGGGAATCGGCGGCAACGCGCAGGTTGGTGGTGGCGCTGGCGGCGGGCCATCGTTCAGCTGAGGCATGCTCCGGCGGCCAGCCAATGAAGCCTTCCCAATCGCGTCCGCCCTGAGTTGCGGGTTGCTGGTAGACGTGGGAATCGGGGGAAGAGGCGCTGACGGCGGAGGGGGCGGCTCAGGAAGGGATTCAGGTACAAGAGGCACGGGCAGGTCGCCAGATATGCTGAACCGGGACGAATGTTCCGAGACCACCGACTGCATGCTCGCTCGCTTCCTGGACCGCGTTCTAACAGACGAAGTCTCGCTGTGTGGACTGGCATGAAGGTCCAGAGAAGAGCGGCATCGAGGCTGCATCTCTTCCAGCCCCGGTAGAGACGGCCGAGAACGAGCTCGTTGGGTCGGCACAGGTCCCATCGGCGCCGTAAAGGTGTGGCTTATGTTCGTAGAGTGGTCATGTTTCTGCCAGGGACGCATAGTCGAAAGCCTGCGAGATCCGACTGGGCGGTTGATTTCCACACGTGTCTCGTCGAGAGGCATCAGGCTCGATCGCCGTGAGGGCAGGTCATAGGTAATAGGAGCGTAGGTCAGAGGCCTAGGTTGCTCCTCACTTGTCCTTGGAGGTTGAGTCTCTTCTCCATGGCGGGTCGCAGGTCGCACATGCACAGTTTCCATTGGCGAGGGCTGGTCAGCTACCATAGAGAGAGGCCGGGCGACGGCAAGTGTTGTTGGCGGCGACTTTCGAGCTGTAAGGCGTGGGAGGCTTTCGGTCTCTCGGATCACAGGCTGGGTGGTCATGCCCAACTCCTGGCTTCTCATGTAAGAAAACCTTCGGTTGGACGATTTAGGTACACTGAAGTTCGGCGTTACCACTGCCCTCGAGTGAGATGGCATCGGTTCAGGCATAGGCCCGGTGGCATAATTGGACATGGGCCGAAGGTTGACTGGCCCGCCTCTGAGGTCAACAAAGGGTGTCATAACCTGCATCGATTGTCGTCGGTCCAAAATTGCGGCAGCATTCGGTCTCGGCCTAGCCTCGATTTGATGGCTCGTGTCGTGATGAGGTTTCTCGTCAAAGTGTGTAGGGAAGGTCTCAACGGTTGGTGACGGCTCGGGGGATGAGGACCCTGCCGATGTCACAATCGTTCGCTGGCCGGATGAAATGAAAGAGAGACGGTTTGAGCTATCTCGCAGGTTATCCAGTTGTCTGCCGTCGTGAGACACGAAGCTGTTGGTAGTAGAAATGTCATCCAAAGATTGGTCGATGACTGTGTTATGGTCCGTGACGGTAGTTGCTGAGCCATCATTATCCATAGCGTCCTGCCACCCAAAGTTGTGGGGAAGGATTCGGGAGAGGCGTTCCGGATCTCTAACAACGAGTGTTCGTTGACTAGGTTGCTCTCTCAGTTGCATCGCTTCGTCTTCGGCCTTAGGCTTACCCGTCTCAGTCAGTGTCTTCTTGCCCCCCAGGATCTCTATCTCGTGGCGCAAAGCAGCCAGCCAGCTTTCCATGTCTTCCGCAGTATCGAAGACCATGAGAAAGTTAGCCGCTTGGCGTCTCTCAGCAGCTCGGAAAGTCATGCGGGAAAAAAGAGATCGGGAATCTGGTGTTGCAGTGCCGTCAGATTCCATGAGAGACGAGACTTGGATCACCCAGTGGCGGCCGGGAATGACGTCGCTCGCAAAGGCCGCCGAGTTCTTTCCTAGGTGAAGAACTTTTTCGGGTAGTCGGTCAAAAGGTCCATCCGCGCCGTACTGGAGTAGATATCCAGAAGTGGCGAGAACATAAATCTTGTTGGTCCACTCGAACTTGGGCATTGAGCCCGAGGTGTTACGGCGATGCCTCTTCTTAGACTTGAGCTTCTCGGTCTGTTGCTCGGTCTGTTCAATGGGGTTCTCGACAACCACATTGGCTCTCCGCTCGTGTATGCGAAGAATGACCTCAGTAGGTAGAGATGCTGCGGGTAGCGTCATGTGTTTGATGGCCTGGGGGAACGCCTTAAACAGGGGTGGAGGACTCCAGATTGCAAGCGGTCCTCGGGCTGGCTTCGCGGGCCCTATGACTTTGACAGGGGGCGGGCCTGACGGTGAATTTTCGAACATGGTGGATAAGATTCTTGGGCTACGGGGTGTGGTTGGTGTGTGGTCAGATGAGGTTGCTGATTGACCAAATGTCCAGTTGTTCATATCGGCAACGGATGTGCGACTCGCCAAAGATTTGGGAATGTCGAGGGGCGAAAGAGGTAGCCCCGGCTCCCTGGGTGCTTTGGTTCGGCTAAAGATGTTCCTCAGCCCCAATCTCGACTCCCGCCTATTGACTTTGTCCGGGCGCAATGGTACGCGGTGCTCCTCGGCAGCCATGAGGTCGAGATTCGGAGGGCGGGTTCTTCGTGACGGGCCATGGTGGCTCTGGAGAGTCTCGAGGGTGCCACTGTGGGCCATGACTGAGTCTCGGTTCTGCATGACGGAGAGTTCGATCCAGGATTGGTCGTGTTGTAGGAGAGTGGCGGAGGAGAGCCCCGAAGGGACGGCCAGGCAATTATCGTCGAGGCAGGTGTTCGAACCGGGGAAAGAAATGCATGGGTTGGTAACAACTGACTCGGCGGTACGTTTCAATGGGATCGGGTAGTGATGTCAGTGTTGTCGGATCGTCTAGTGCGTCCGCTAGCAAGTGGGATTCGATCGTGCGAGGTCAACTGGAAACGACCGTTGCGACCGCGGTGGAGGGCAACGAGACAGTGTTGTAGGAATGACTGGAATGCGGGTTCCCGACGTTGAGTCTGGTAGAGGAGTCTTGTGTTAAAAAAAGGTCCAGCCACGCGATGCGCAGAAGCATCGACTTGTAGACAGGCCGGTAGATTTTTCTTCTTACCAAGAAAGGAAAGTACGAGGTAATGAATGGAGCCCAGTATATAACATGGGGTGAGAAGCAAGAGCGAGAAAGAGCGACGAAGATGCCCAGGGCAGGTGGTTGGGACAGGCGAATGAGACGCCGGCGTACGCGACCGGGAAGCGAGGAAGGGAGGAGGGAAGAAAGAGAATGAGGCCAGCGGGCGAGGCGCGGGTGGTGTAGTGTAATGATGTCCAGGAGGACGGAGGATGGGTCGACAGCGATCGTAGTCCTATGTAAGGGATGGCCGACAGCACGGTCAAGCAAACTGCTGAAAGGGCATGTACCAGTCGCTCACCCAAGCCATAATAACATGCAACCACAGATGCAGGTACGAAGCCCTCGAGCACCCACTCCAGCCCACCAGCCCACTCGGCTCCCACTCCACGGCCACAGGACCAGTCGAGCGCCCCCGGCGGCAGGGGCAATTGGCCTAGGCATGCCCGCCTGGGGGGGAACCTGGAAGCCGAGCGCGCCAGGATCCCACCATGGCGCTCCATGACTCCATCCACAAGCCGGGTCCCAACAGGGGAGGCCCCTGTTCAGCGACAAAACGGCTGCTGCGAGGGGCTAACCAGCCCGGGCAGCGGAGGACTGGCTGTGACACCTTGCCTTTCTCGTCCCAGTGGTTGGTCTTTTACCAACAGTTGAATCGGGCGCCTCCTCGAGTACGAATACCGGGCACACCACCTCTCAACCGGCCCAGCCGAGGGTACCTTGAGTTGGTGGAGGCTGAATCAGATGCTGAATCAGATACTGAACATCGACTCACGGCGGCCCCCTCCACTGCTACCCCAAACATCCAGGTCATGTTTGCCCAAGTCAGCCCCAGACTGCTCCCCTCCTGCTTATTAGTCTCTTTCGTGGCCGGCCAAGGAGCCGTGGTGGCCGCGATGGGGCCCAGATGCCTGGAAACATACGGGGCGGTGCTACCCAAGTTCCCTGTCAAAAGCCCTTGGAGGTCGACTTGGCTCAAAGTGTCTCTTTTTTTGGAGACATGAGTTGAGAGATCATTACCTATAATGCACGAGAGTTTATCTACTCGTATAAGCCCCGGAGAACGCGCAACAAACAGGGGAGTCCGCGGATTGCGAGTGGGCGACAGCGTGGCGGCGCCCATCGGCTGGCAGGGAGGGTTCGGGCAAGACAGGAACAAAGAGCAAGCAAAAGACAAACATTAGCCAGAGCTAAGTATTAGCACTCAACAAACTCAACGAGAGAGAGAACTGAGCTTGTCGCGCCACCATACTGAAGAACTGGCCTTGCGAAAACTGGCGGGCCAGGGGCAGCAAGCCAACAGACCAGGGCCGAGCGGGTTGTTTGGGTTGCAAGCTGGGAAGCTCGAGTCTGTGAGAGGCCAGGCGAGAGCCAACCCGTCGCGGGTACCCCAAAGGGGAATAGAAGGGCCATGCCCCTGCAGCAGAGCCATGTTTCCCTCTCGAACCCTGACGAGCGGCAGGATTTCTTCCTCTTGCGAGCACATCTTTTGGCAGGTGATCAGTGACTGACGGTTGTAGCGGTGGTGGTGGTCATCACTCGCCCGTCACTCTTTCATACTACTACGTAGTAATTATGCCAACCCGCGTCTTATCACACATCAACCCTCTCAAAATTCTCAAAACTCTCAACGCGCTCGGTTCGCTCTCGTGCTGCTGTCTCCTTTCTCCATCTAAATGCAACCCACCGCGCAGCCAGTTCTTCATCGTGCATGCCATTACTCTTGTGCACCCGTTCGATGGCCATTCGATCGCCGCCAGACCAGTGTCTCGCACGGGAACCAGGGGCCCCTCCACCCGTCTACTACGTACCTCTAGTTTCTACGCGGTGGGCTTCCCAGCCCAAACCAAACCCCCAACCCATACCCTCGTTCCCTCTCCTCCTGGGCCCGTCTGGCCTGTCTTGTCACCAACACAGTGGAGAGCTCCCTGGCTAGTGCCCGGGGGAAGACAGGGCTTGGGCCGCTCTCTCACTTGCAAACTGCTGCTGGTTTGGTGTTTCGGGATCGGCGCGCAATCAATCACAAAGTGACGGGGGGCTCTCGATGGCCGCTGTCTAAAAGAAAACCCTTGCAAGCTCACTATCTCCGATCCTCCTGACTGTTCTACCCGAGCTGTCCAAGATGCCAAATTTTCCGCCATCTGGGTCTAGCGGATGTCAATATCGACACCTTAGGAGACGGATCCCGAAAAAGCTCACGCTCCATACTGCATTCTGTATAAAGCTCATGAAGGAGGCACGAGATTGCGCCCCCCGGGGCACGACCCATACCCCCCAGCTTCCCCGATTCGATTGTGTCGGCTCACCGGGTGTGCCAGCTCCACACCACGTATGCACTCGCACAAGAGAGGAAGGCCTCAGTTGCTGGGATGATTGCTGTCTTACATCACATCACAACAAACATCATCGTCAACAAATAAATACCACTAGCCGCGCGGGGCGGACTCTTAACTGATAACGTATAGGTAGGTCTCATGCATGTGCTGACCGAAATGATGGGATATGGATATCCACGGCGCCAAAAGCTGCAATTTCCATCCCTTCTGCACGCCCGAGACATTGCTGTGCACGGTCCAGTTCGGTTCTGGCAGTCTCGAGTGAGACTCGCTCTCTCACCAACCATCGTCTCTGTTGCACAACAGTCGGCCACTCACACACACACCTCAACGTACTAAGTACAAATGCCGTGTGCGGTTCCGCTCCCAACCACCCAGCCATTGGGGATGTCGGTGCAGCCCATTATCGTTGCTTTTGCGAGGTGTCATCCCTCCATCACCGTCAGCGTAGACGACGGGAGTGAGCTAAACCCTGCAAAGATGCAATCCAGACAGGTCATAGTAGCGAGACCGAGACCAGCCATCTACAATTGACAGCCGAGATGCGAGCTGTACTACGCCCTGTACTTGCGACGGCACACAAGGCACTAGCCAGTCACTACGTATTAGTGAGTTCAGTCTCTGCCTTCGCTCGGCAGTAGGCAGTTCGCCTTTGTTCCTGCAGCATTTTGTTCCTGCAGTAGCAGCTTCGGCTAAGCTCTGATTTGTCTGGCTCCAGAGTCGCCTAGGTATGTATGGTGCCTGTACAGTTACGTGCAAATGTTCCGACAACATTAAAATCGCTAACGGCAGTAGTTATTTTACTACATTACTTTATTTCACTTAATTATTTTTATTTATAATTTATAAATCTTCTTACTAGGTAAGCTTTTATTGCTTTTTAAAAGCTAACTCTTTTAGTGTAAATCAGGCAGAATTCTGGAGCGGGCATGCGTCGTGGCTCGTCATACACCAGCCCCGACTCCTCATGGCTGAGACTTGAACTGGTAGTGTGGAAAGCCGTCTAGATACCCACGAGGGTGAGCCCAGGTCTAGTGTGTGTCGGGTGGGCATTTTGGCTGCATCCAGACCCATATGGACAAGGACCCAGGCAAGTTTTCCCTCTGGAGTAGCTTGAGACAGCTTGCGAAGCCTGCCAAGGCCCGGTTTTCGTCAACCCGGGATTGTCGTACTATTTACAGCACCTTGCCCCTGGGAAGTGCCGAGTGAAGCGGGTGGTAACAGGGCCCTCAGGACTAGGTATTTTAACAGACCAGACGGGCCGTCCTGAGCCGGCCAATTCTGATCGGACGGCAATACTACCTCGCTCGTCAGATCTCTCCAAGTCTTCCTGGGGTTGATCGACGCGGCTAGCGTCCTCACCAAAGTCATGTGTTTGATTGTGTGTAGTCCACGTAGAGTGCAAAAGGGCTTAGATTCGCCCGTCTTTGCTTTTGTAACCTGCTAGTTCTTCTGGCGCGAGGTCCGGCAGTGCCAAAGTCCAAGACAGCCCAGAGGCCCCCCCACGTTGTCCACCAGATCAGTCATTTTGGGCGAAATGAGGAGAGAGCAAAGTCGCTTTGGCCAGCTGTTCCCTGGAAGCAGCTGGAGCCCTTGGGTTGAGTTTTCCCAGCCCTTGGGACGAGGTGAAACCGCCAAAAGGAACGAGGACACGCCTCAGTCTGCGGGAGGATTCTCGGGACCCTCAGGACCCTCATCAGGACCCTCTCTCTGTGCTTTCTCATCTCCACTTCTCCGACCCAGTCGTCTTTGATGTTGATTCATCCAGCTGCACCGAAGAGCATGGGCGTGGGCATGGACCAACCTCGGCCACCACCACAGCCCACGCGCGCGGAGCACGCCCGCAACGTTATCCCACCGGTTGGTCGGAGCGCTGGGGGATCCCTCTGTGGCAAATCAGCGCCCCTTGGAGTGGCCTGTTCTGCCCAAGGCGCTGGATGCTGGTGTTTCAGGACTCCAGCAGCACTTCCCCGGAAGTCGTCAGGGCCGTCCTCGGAGCCCAGCGTCTGTGTCGTCCCTGTCCGGACCGTCAGAACTCAGAAGTCGCGCGCTCCGGCCTCAGTTCCCCGTCCTCGCTCCATCGGGTCAAGGAGGATGGCGTGTTGGAACACATGGCCTGAACGCTCGCTCTAGCACGGGAACAGAGCGCCGGAAGCCCTGGAAGCACTGAGGCGTCCGTGGATCCTCTGTCCCAGATGGCGATTGAGTGCTTCTCGGCTTGGCTCGGACGACGTGGGCAATTATTCTGACACATGGGGGCCCGCCAAGTTCATCTCAACTCTGACTTGCAGCCGCCCTACGTAGCCCTCGGAGCGGCTCCTCTTGACGTTGGTCATCATTATCGAACAGCCATATGCCCGTCATCATCCGGGCCGTGGGTAAAAAACATTAAGAACCCGGGCCGTTGGTGGAATGGCAATGTCCCCTGACCCGTGTTAGTCTCATACCTGTCATCCTTCATCCTTCCCACACACTGTATTTTCCATTGCTCGCCATGACTAATGATGCTGCATGGTGGGTGTCGACGTGAGGATTGCTGCTTTAGGCAAAACATGGTTAACATTCACTTCCTTGGCTTGATTGACGTGTGTAAGAGGTTCGTAATGAATCCGGGAGAATGAATGGTGGGATATTTGTGCCATGGCCCAGTGACCGACGATCGATGTAGGCTTTGCGTCAGAGGCCGGCATCCGGTGTCCACGAGAGATGACAGGTGGTTCTGCACCTCGTCACTGAGACACATGCCGGATCCCAGAATGCAAGACATTTACAAGGCGCGCACCCAAATCGAGATGATCTATCCATCGCCTACGGCTGCAACCTCTCTATTTTGAACAGTGGTGCGAGCACGTGCCGGAAGTCCCGGTTTGAGAAGCAAATGAACAGTACGGAGTATAACTTGGGCATTCACCTTGCGCCACCGAATTTGGCGCAGCCACTCCGGCACTCCGGCGAGTGCTCTTCAGGTGTCGTCAGTCACCGACGTCACGGGCCTCGCTCGACGCCACAGCATGTCCGCAATCGCCAGATGGTTCCTTGTGACCACCAAAACCACTCCATTCCAAGCCGTCAGTCATCAACGCCCTCGGCATCACGATGACCGCTCCCGCTTGTTCCAGCTTCAGCCTTTACAGTGCCTAAAAGCCTGTGGCGGCTCGCCTCAGAGCTCTTCTTTCATTCACCTCAACCCTTTAGCCTCCGCCCCTCTACTACGTACCTAGGTCCAACCGCTGCGCGACCCCTCCATCCACCTTCCAACGCCAACTGCCAGGCAACGACAGAGGCACCTACCTCAATCCCGACACTCAACTCACTCTCCGACCAGCTTTCGGTGCATACGTGCGATTCCCTTGTCGACAGCTCTTCCAGGACACCACAGCGCTGCAGCCGCGCCTACAGCACGGGACGATGGCTTCCAACGGTGATGCAGCTGCCAACCCCCGCAGCGAGTCGCCAACGAGATCCCCTCGATCAGCTTCGATATCCTTGCAGGCTGCTGCTACCATGAACGCAGGGCTCCAGCATGAACCCACGCGCAGTAAGAGTCCTGGATGTGTTCGTCGCGCTCGTCCCCTAAGCTTAACTGTGCACAGGATCTTCTAGCACCTCCCTCTCGCGAAACCGTTCCTCCCCTCAAGCGGGCCGTCGACGATCCGTCGTCCTCATGAACCTCCACCTCAACGATCCCTCCGTGCCAGCCCCAGGCGAGATGGTCCACGAGCATTCCGCAAACCGGGCTTCCAGCCCGCAGCCACTCTCCGGCTCGCCTTTGTTGGCAGATCCCCATCATCACCGGGCCCCGAGCCTGGGCGAGCTCCATCAGGAACTGGAAGCGGAACAGGAAGCGCATGTCGTATGTCCACCAGGTCCGGCGCATGCGATGCATAACTGACATTTGGCAGAACCGCCTCCTCCATATGATTCGGCAGCAGCAACTTGAACTCCAGCGGCTTCAGGCCGGCCAGCCACAGAACCAGAGCTCGGCCGTTGACGACACCATCTCTGAACGATCGGGGCACGGTACTCCCCAAGCATCCACGTCCCACATCAACATCCCATCCGTGCCATCTGGTGGCTCCTTTCCTCGCTCTGCAGGCTCTCGTCACCCACGAAGCTCTTTCGACATGGCCCGCGCTGATCTCCAACGACGGTCTAGAACACCTAGCCGTGGGGCATCCCCGAGAATGCGCTCGACCTCCATCGGCGGTGAGAGCGGCGAATGGGTCCTGGGAGGCCGCGATGAAAGCGCATTCTACCAGGCCGAGACCCAAATGTTGACTCGGGAGAACCAGATGCTGAAATTACGAGTGGCTGAGCTGGAGCGTGAGAAAGACAGACTGTACTCTGTCGGCTCCCCGGCTACTCATGGACCGCCTCATCACTCTAATCTGACGAGGTCATCGACCGTGGCAGACAGGGAAGAAGGAACCACTACTACGGAATCACCAAGAGATGTCTAAAAAAACCATTGATGGACCTACTACTGGAGAAAGAATGCGTTATGGCACCGTCATGAAAACGCCATGATCATGGAGCAGTCTAGTGGTCATGGGAAATCAGTGATGTTGGCCTGTGTTTGTTATATCATATGCGGCGTTTGGGAAAGGATTGAGGGTGCAGGTATGAAGCATGATGGCCCCTGTGGCTCTTTGTGAGATCGGTGTCTTCCTCATGGTGATTATCTTGGAGTTTAGGTATCCCTATACACGATGTTTTCGTATGATACACGTATGGGTGTAATCCGTTCGAAACTAGGCTCACCAAGGTATCCCACTCAAATTACTACAATACGTAAATCATTGAACCCTGAAACAATCACATGTGCCCTTGCTCGTCTTCCTGTTGGAGCTCTGAGGTTCGATATGCCGCATCACGCAATTCTGACAGTGGAACCATTCTCCGCCTACCCTAAACTTCCCACCTTGCAACATCAATTGCAATCATGTCACGGCCATTGATGAAATCGCTGCCGAAGAACTTTCGGGGCATCCAGAGACTCAATTTCAGTTCGACGACAGCGGCAAGGGCAGACTTTACTCATGCGGTAAGCCTAATTACTTGATATCCTCAACACCCTCCGCATCTGGCTCTAGCCTCACAATCCGGTATCACCCGCATCACGGTGATGAGATTGATCCTCTCGAACGACGGACTATAAATTCAATTATAATGGAAAATTGAAAGAGTAGGTGAACTAATTACTTTAAAGATCATCGGTGGTGGCGTAGTCGGGCTTGCTATTGCCCGCCAGCTCTCCCGCCGCGACAACACCTCGACCGTTCTGATCGAGCGGCACAACGCCGTTGGCACCGAGACGAGCTCCCGCAACAGCGAGGTCATCCACGCAGGCATCTATTACGGGCCCGGTAGCCTCAAGACGCAGCTCTGCATCCGCGGCAAGAACCTGCTCTATGAGCTCTGCGAGAAGTACGACGTGGGCCTCCGCCGCACGGGCAAGTGGATCGTCGCGCAGAACGATGCCCAGCGCGAGGCGCTTGGCAAGATTCACGCCGTGTGCAAGGACGAGCTCGGCGTGCCGATTCGGTGGGTTGGCGAGGAGGAGATTGAGCGTGACAGCGAGGGAGTTCATGCTGTTGCTGCCCTAGACAGCCCGACGACGGGCATTGTCGATTCTCACGGGCTGATGATGTGTCTGCTGGGCCTCTTCGAGGATGCGGGCGGCGTAGCAGCGCTTAACTCGCCCGTCACCGGCATCAAACCCCTCGGGGCCACGCCTGGAAGCGCAGGATGGCAAGTCCAAGTCAAGGACGCCGCGACAGGCGAAACATCCGCCATCACGGCGGAGACGCTCATCAACGCAGAAGGCCTCGGCGCCGTCGACATGCACAACCTGATCGTCCCCGCCGCTCAGCACAAGCAGCTGTACTACGCCAAGGGCAACTACTTCTCGTACGGTGCCTCGAGCCCGCGCGTATCCCGCCTCATCTATCCGGCCCCGGAACCTGGCGCTGCCGGCTTGGGCACGCACCTGACGCTGGATCTCGGGGGCCGTCTGCGCTTCGGGCCGGACGTTGAGTGGGTCGATCGCCCCGATGAACTTACCGTCAACGGCTCCCGCCTCCCGCAAGCCATCAGCGAGATCAAGAAGTATCTGCCTAGTGTGGATGAGACGCTGCTGGTGCCCGACTACGCTGGCATTCGACCCAAGCTGTCTGACCGGGGCGCGGTCCTCAAGGGGAAGAGCTTCAACGACTTCATCATTCGGAGCGAGGATGGATATGAAGGTTGGGTAAATCTGTTGGGTATCGAGAGCCCCGGCTTGACGAGCTCGCTGGCAATCGCAGAAAGGGTCGAGGAGCTCATGTACGGCACTGTGAGGGCATAAACATGTAGCAGATCAAAATCCCGAGGCACAGTCGGAAAGTTATATGAATGCAAACAGACTACAACGAGTGGGCAGCTAGTCTGTACGTTAAGAAGAAAAAACGCCCTGCGAAAAATGTGCGGTGTGCTCGAGGTATCTCGTATTTCCATGCAAAGGTCCCAAAAGCCATTCGTAGCTCATCAGTTTTGTGTCGAAACATCAAACGCCGTTAAACGCCCGTCAATGAGAGTCTCAACCTACAACTAGACATCATATTCACCGCATCGAAATACTGGGACTCAATTTCCTGCTCTGGACGTTGATATGGAGCTCATAGATGCCGTTCTGAGCGCCGACGAAGCTAGAATCGTGTTAGCGCTTGCAAGGGAAGACGATGCATTGCAATAAACTTACAGGACACGGCCGTCTTCGCTCCAGGCCAGACCCGCAGTGTTATCCGGTGAAGGCGGTACCTCAAAGACGCCGTGGTCAGGGACTAGAGTTCCCCGGAGGGCACTCTCTTCCCACCGGTTCACAACTTGGTTGACCAACGGTACAAGAATGGAAGATTCGTCTTGATCCCGATCGTTCGACCGCTCTCTGGCTTGTAGAATCTCGAGTACTGTGAGATAGGACGAATCCTGCCTCTGTCGTTGCTCCCGCAACATTGCAACCGTTTCGCCTAGACTTTCCATCCAGCGTTCGGGCCGTCGACTGATTTGACCAGCTTCACTACTGGCCTCGGCTGCATCTCGTAAGAGCTGTCGAGAAGTGCGAGCGCGATCTTGGGCGCGGTAGTTGCCGAGGAGTTCTCCCATAGTACCGCGACCAATGCTACTGCTTCTCCGCTCGCTAGGTCTCTGAGTGTCGTCATTCGTGGTATTACCCCGACGAGCTGATCTATCAGACCAGATCGTATTAGTGGTCAACGGCGATGGCCGCTCCTCGGCAGGTCCCCTAGGAGATTCTCGGTCTCGCCGTCGTCGATCCCTCTGGATGGCTTCGAGAACAAGCGTTTCGTTGGGTGTAAGTGGTGTATTTAGGCTGTCAACACCGTCCGCTCCGCGCCGACGGCTCTCGGATGAGTTTGTGGTATTGCCAGAGGTCGAAGACGATGTGTTCCCAGCGTTGCCCGTGTTGCCCAAGTTGCTCCTCCGATCTCGGCGGCTTTCCAAAAGTCGTGGATCGATGGTGTTTCGGTCAAGAATGCTGATGTGCTCGAATCCAGGATCGTCGATGTTGATGATCTGACGGACGATGAAGTTGCTCCTCATGTCAGTGATGCCAACATTGCCACGGTCCTCTGTCCACGCAAGAATGTCGAAGGGGCCTGGGCAAAACGCCATATCTCGGACTGCGCCGGGTCCACTCTGCGGCCGTGACGATTGGAATGTGGTAATGAGGGGGTCAGCATCTGGGTTAGCAAGGAGAGCTGCGTTGAAGATGGAGATGGTGCCATGTTGTGTGCCGACAGCTAGGTAAGCGCCTGAACTGGAGAAGCATGCGGCGAAGCTGCCTCGGCTGTCAGATCTGTCGTCCTTTTTCTGACTTTTGAGCAGTATTCGCTGTATCTGCTCCCATTGGTATTTGTTGACCTCCCCGGATTGCGTCGACTGTGACTCTGGAATCGCCTTGACCCGCTGGTGAATATACAAGTAGGGGTCGTCGAGGACTGAAACCAGGAGCCGACCATCGGGCGAGAGTATGGCGCGATTCACAAAGTCAGGATAGGTAACAATATCAAAGGGCTCCGTCTTGTCTTTCACGTCGAAATCCTTCAGACTGACAAGAGTCACCGTTCGATCGTTGTTGGCAAGGATTGCCATGGGCTCGCTGTATGCCGTATCCCAGGCTGGCAATGACGTAGGTGGGAACCAGAGGCTAATGCAGTTGACTCGGTCTTTGGCCAGCTTCATGCTCTTAGCAATCAAGCTCTTGTTAGATCGACGGGCACGAGACAAGAAGGTGAAGATGGAGTCGTCGCGGGATGAATCCAGACCAAGTCCGAGTCGATCGGAGTCTGCATCGACAGATAGACTTTGGTCGCTGCGGTCGTTCCCCTCATCTAGTTCTATCGCCACGAAGTCGCCGTTCTCGCTCCCACAGCAAAGCCACCCCTTCTCGGCGACCAGGCATCGTGGCGCAAACGTCAAGAGCTTGATTGTCTCGCATTCGCGGGTGGTTGTGTTGAGGCGCTGCACATGGTTACTGCCGGTGCCTCCGGGGAAGTAGACAATGTTGTCCTTCTCGGCGCTGACCAACGACCGGAGCTGCCAATGCCTGGAGCGGTGTTAGCGATGCGGGCGTAACCTGGCGGGCACGAACATACTGCGAGCGAACGGGGATGCGGTAGTGTTTTCGAGCCCGCTGCGAGACGAGGAACTCGGTGGGATGGATGCTATTGAGCACCACGATTAGCATCAGGTTGCAGGCGCACAAGCGGCGGATCTCAGCGGCGCTGTTGGCAGATGACGTACTCGCCCTCGTCCTTCACGGCCATAGTTCTCGACGCCACCGTTTGTAGCCGGTTCGACGGGTCGAGGGGGTGATGTGCCACCCGGCGAATGGAGGATGTCGTGTCACCAAGCACCAGGCGATGTTTCGTCAGGTCGAGAGCGCCAAATGTCGATCGAGTGCAAGTCGGCAAGCAGGTCGGGATCGTGGGCCGGGGGGCGAAGGTCGGGCAGGCGCAGGATCGTGTGCCTTGACAAGCGAGAAGAGTGGTGATGCGCTGCTAACGGCCTCGGTGATGAGGAGTTTGCGATGGTTCGCTGGGGCGTATTTTGTGAAGGAGCTCTGAATGACGTTCTCGCGTGATGGATGGGTTGACTTAAGGCTGGCCTGCGTTGGAGGAGATTGGATGACTTGGGACAAGCGGCGCTTCAACCTACTAGAGGAAAGCCTAAGCCGGCGGTACGTGTTTGCGGGTCGCGGTGTACCACCAAGCGGATGCGTACTGAGGACTCGGCTTGGGCAAATGATGCTGCATCCCGGTGAACCGCGTTGTTATTTACGTGACTTTGACTTTTGATGTACCGTGTCTGATCCCATCACCAGCGCTGTCTGCGAGCAGCTTGAGAGGGTCTGCGCATGTAGGTAGCTACCCACCAGGTGGCGTTTGTGGGGAAGCCTCCCAGAACCATGTTGCAGCACCTGAACTCGGTGAATGTAGACACGGAGATCTATTTTCTGGAGATAATTGAACCACATACCTACTGAAAGAAAGAAAAGAAGAAGAAAAAAAAAGAAAAAAAAAGAAAAAAAGCCACGTGGGTTAGATCAAAGTAACTCCCGATCTCACTATTTGGGCTGAAGTCTGACAGCATGTGTCCGTTACTATCGGTAGCGTACTTTTTGTCCGCCTTTGACTGAAATCTGCAGCTCCAGCCATCCGGATTAGGAGAGCAGAATCCCAACGTCTTTAATTGGAGCTGGCAATCTACGGACGTTCGGATAAAATTAGCGTAAATTGACTCGACAAGCCTTGATAACCGCACGGCATTTGAACTTGCATGTGCTGTGACAAAGGGCCATCCAGCGGGCGGTGACATGCCTCGTGTTTCATATCGCTTGACAACCGCATACAATGACCTCAATTGCCGTCGAACTGTCCAATTTCCCAACGTATCCATCGGTGCAGACCATTCAATCGTGGACGTCACGGCTGATTGGGCATTTCACATCGCTGAATGCCGCTCTAGACTCCCGCAGTACAACTGGTTTGTTCCTTGACAGTCAAATTGTCTCAAACGTCTGCTCACCCCATCCATACACTCTCTTCAACCTCCGCGCAAAGACAAGAATAAGGTATCCTTCGATTCGGGATTTGTGCGGCCGGTGTAGTGTCAACGACCTCTTCACCGTCATGGTCTCTGGGGGGCAGAAAGTGTAGATCGAACCAAACTTGGGTAACACCGAGAATCCCAGGTCCGCCATCGCAGCTTCAAAAGCTGCCCAGCTTACGGAACCTCGGGCCTCCGACTTTGCGAAGATTGTCGAGAAGACTTCGGCGGTAGATGATCCCACTTTGAACCTCTGTGATGACGTCGCTAGCTCTTCCGCAACAGGGGATTCCGCGCTCGGTGCGATTTCGTAGCTGGACGAATGCGATGGGCGGGTCTTCTCCTTTTGCCTCCGTTGTTCCACTCGCTCCTCTGGCTGTTGAGGAGTCGACATTGGGAGTATTACCACTTCAGGTTTACTCTTCTGCTCCAATTTGGCCCTTTCCCGCTCGTACTGGGCTTCGAGATCAGAGAAGCAGTCGTCGACCAAATCCTGGTACATGAATCCCATCTTTGTGCCAGCCTGATCGATGATGAATTGATCCAGAGTTTTCAAGGCGTTTTCTGCCATATTAGGCTCCAGGAGATTGTCAATGGGAACCGCAAAATCGCGTAGGTCAACTTGCTTTTTGAGAAGACTCAACTCACGCTCTAGCTCCTGAGACCTAGACACAAACAACTGTCCCTTCTTGCGTGAGAGAGAGGGCACTGGGATTGCCGAAGATAGATCTCGGATGAATCCGATAATGACCGTTAGATCACATAGCGAGCTCGCTTCGCGGTCACATAATTTCTCCCGTTCCGTAGGGTATGTTTCATGAAGCTTACTCAGTTTGTTGATCCAGTCGACGGCCTTGACAGCATTTGTATCAGGCTGGCAGAGACGCAGAACGAAATGAAGTTGAGGATCGCTCCTGGTCAAGTCTTCCGGGTTGCGTTTCATGGTAACACGTGCGTTGCCAGCATTGTCGTAAGTGCTTGCGGTCCGCTTGAACCACTTGGTGCCCAAACCCGTCTGGATATTGCGCTTGAAGATGGACTGGGCACGGCTGTATTCCAGATGACAGATGTTGGATATCTCTTGAAGAACAATAGCCCGATAGACTTTGTTGGCGACAAGGCTTCCGAGAAGCTCGAGGAGACGATCAATGTACTTCCAGATCGCCGCTCTCTCGATTGCACTCTGAATTGCGTCGAAAACTGCACCACTGATGAATTTGTCGGTGTGAACCGGCAATCGGCGCCCTTTCTCGTCTGCGACGAGATCTGGCCGACTGAAGTACCAAAAATTGACCACATGTGCAAGCACAACAGGCTCCGTACAGAGTATGTTCAGGTCCTCTTCGAAGGTGTCTCTTTGATTGCGAGCGCTGGAGACTAGATCTGGAAGCTCAAGCTTCACTGCTGGTGCTTCGAGAGCGAGTTTAGAAAGCGCTGCCGTCGCCGCTGTGCTAGATTTCGTCGGCGGCTCCTTTCGACTTCTCGTTTTCGAACCCTCTTCTAGAATATCATCGATGAGGATCGTGAGGGACTGCAACAGAAAGATTTGCCTTTGTAGAATCAATTCCCCAGTCGCCTGAGGAATACAGAGGCCAGCCCGGATGACGGGCGCAAAATCAGCAAGGGTCTCAGCGTGTTCGGCCATAATTCTGATAGAGCTCCCGTATTGTTCCTCCATGAAAAAGGTGTGGCAATCCTTGAAAGTTTGAGTGTGGCGGAGACCTTTCTTTTCCATCATCTCATGGATGAAGGCACGATCTCCTGGTCCACCATTGATGCCAACACAGTACTGTTCGAAGAGGGACTTCGTGGCCCGATATTTGAGAAGATCCAAGAGGAAGTCTGAACCAGGCTCTGTGATATCGCGTAGATTCAACTCCGGTACGAATTTATACACATTGCCCAAAGACGTATCGAATGGGTGCTTCAGCACGGCACCGTCTGCTGCGCCGGCTTTGAGACATCTCGCTCGCTGGAGTTTGTTCAGTGATCGCCAGATATTCTCAACCTTGACAACGTGGGTTGTATATTTTCGAGTAAGATCGTCATGCAATTCTTTCACCAGATCACCAGTTGACGAAGTGTCCATACTGTGCGGTGGAAAGCAGTCTGACAATGTCAGGGATTGGCCGAGCAAGAAAATAGAAGGGTATGTATTCGTATGTATTCAGGAAGTTCAAGACAGCAAAAAGAGGGGTATGCATTTAGGTTTCGTAATGCCCTAAATGTGGCGCACCTTGCTTTTTTGGTGCTGTGCGACCTCTAAATGGTTGAAAGATTTGTTTCTGCCAAACAGTGCCAGAAGGAATGTGGTACCAATTAAGGCATCAGTGTCCTGGCAGTGATTCATAGTAAACAAGAGCCGATAATAGGTTGCTTATCTACGCGTGTTTCGATAGGGGTTTGTTATGGTGCTTCCGCCGACGATAGTGAACACCAAGATCCTTCTGGAGTTGTTATTATCCAAGGCTAGAGAGGAAATTTAAGGAAAATAAATCATAGCCGTCGAGCTGTAGTCGAAATACGGTAGAACTGTTTCATTTGGACCACTTGTGCATCTGTTGCATTGACCGTCACGACTTAGAGCGGCTGTAGAACGTGCATGATTAGTTGCGTTGTAGTAAAAGCTACTGGAGGGCCTTGAAACCCTGGGCCAAGATTTGTCCCCAATTACTTCAATTGATGGAGCTATGCAGCAAGGAATTCTGTAGACAAAAGTATTGAGAACGGGCACCTCCTACGTACCAAAGATAAAATAAATTAAAAGTCTCGACAGCACACCGCAGCTTCAGCAGAATCGCCGTGCTTCCGGTTCCTTCACCGGAGTGGGGACGCGGATGGCTTCGCGATTCGAGATAGGTAGGCAAATGCGTTGAAGAGTCCGATTTGGAAAACCATGAAAAGACCACTCCCTGGATTTTGGTTCGTCATCTATACACATTTACTTACACTACAAATGGTTTCTCATTGAAGAACACCGGCCATCTCGACCAGTTTCGTGGCAAGCAGGTAGTGACGTAGCTGCTCATAAATCCAGAGCTCCCCACACTTTGTTTGGCTGCACGATTTTCTCTCCGCTCCGGCAACGCCGCTGGAGCACTGGAGCACCTGACTCAAGTGGTGGCGGCCCACCCCTCTTATCCTCGGGAAGCCGCCCCGGGGGGAATAACCATGGCCCGAAAAAAATGAGCCGGAGCGCTGTTCTGTCGACTTCCCTCTTTTTCCGTGACGGTGTACGGAACAAATTTTCATCACACCCATCCCGCTCACCTTTTAAACCCGTCCAACACCCTCCTCCTTCACCTCCCACCTTTCTTTACGACTGTATTATACCCCATAACCATAATCATGTTGGCTTCGCGCTTGTCGAGAGCTGTAAGTAGCCAATGCTTTCCTGCGCAACCCGCGCGCGTTCTGACCATTGCATTCTAGCTTCCCCGAGCCTCCCCTCTCGCCGCTCGATCGGCTGCTTTCGCCCGTGCCCCTCTCCCATCTAAGTTCGCTCGATATGAGTCGACTTCCAGCGATGGCAAGGTCACCGGTGCCGTGATCGGTATCGATCTGGGTACCACCAACTCCGCCGTTGCCATTATGGAGGGCAAGGTTCCTCGCATCATCGAGAACTCTGAGGGTAAGTTTTTTTCCATACATCAATTCGCTCACAGAGCTTCGCTGACATAGCAACCCACAGGTGCCCGAACCACTCCCTCCGTCGTCGCTTTCGCCGAGGATGGCGAGCGCCTCGTCGGTGTCGCTGCCAAGCGCCAGGCCGTCGTCAACCCAGAGAACACCCTTTTCGCCACCAAGCGATTAATAGGCCGAAAGTTCAGCGATGCTGAGGTGCAGCGTGACATCAAGGAGGTCCCCTACAAGATCGTCCAGCACACCAACGGCGATGCCTGGGTCTCTGCCCGTGGCCAGAACTACTCCCCCTCTCAGATCGGTGGCTTCGTCCTCAACAAGATGAGGGAGACCGCCGAGGCCTACCTCTCCAAGCCCATCAAGAACGCCGTCGTCACTGTCCCCGCCTACTTCAACGACTCTCAGCGACAGAGCACCAAGGATGCTGGTCAGATTTCTGGCCTCAACGTTCTCCGTGTCGTCAACGAGCCCACTGCCGCTGCCCTGGCCTACGGTCTTGAGAAGGAGGCTGATCGAGTTGTTGCTGTCTACGATCTTGGTGGTGGTACCTTCGATATCTCCATTCTGGAGATCCAGAACGGTGTTTTCGAGGTCAAGTCTACCAACGGTGACACCCACCTTGGTGGCGAGGATTTCGATATCCACCTGGTCCGCCACATGGTTGCCGACTTCAAGAAGTCTAACTCCATTGATCTGTCCGGTGACCGCATGGCTATCCAGCGTATCCGTGAGGCTGCTGAGAAGGCCAAGATTGAGCTGTCTTCTTCTCTCCAGACTGACATCAACCTGCCCTTCATTACCGCCGATGCTTCTGGCCCCAAGCACATCAACATGAAGCTCACCCGAGCTCAGCTTGAGAAGATGGTCGACCCTCTCATCTCCCGCACTATTGAGCCCGTCCGCAAGGCCCTCAAGGATGCCGGCCTCCAGGCCAAGGAAATCCAGGAGGTCATCCTCGTCGGTGGTATGACCCGCATGCCCAAAGTTGCTGAGTCCGTCAAGGGCATCTTCGGCCGTGACCCCGCCAAGTCTGTCAACCCCGACGAGGCTGTCGCCATGGGTGCCGCTATCCAGGGTGCCGTCCTCTCCGGCGAGGTCAAGGACCTTCTCCTCCTTGATGTTACCCCTCTTTCTCTTGGTATCGAGACTCTGGGTGGTGTCTTCACTCGCCTCATCAACCGCAACACCACCATCCCCACCAAGAAGTCCCAGGTCTTCTCTACTGCGGCTGACTTCCAGACCGCCGTTGAGATCAAGGTCTACCAGGGTGAGCGTGAGCTCGTCAAGGACAACAAGCTCCTCGGAAACTTCCAGCTGGTTGGCATTCCTCCTGCCCACCGTGGTGTTCCCCAGGTCGAGGTCACCTTCGACATTGATGCCGACTCCATCGTCCACGTCCACGCCAAGGACAAGTCCACCGACAAGGACCAGTCCATCACCATTGCTTCCGGCTCTGGTCTGTCCGACAACGAGATTCAGCAGATGGTTGAGGACTCTGAGAAGTATGCCGAGACCGACAAGGAGCGCAAGGCTGCTATCGAGGCTGCCAACCGTGCCGACAGCGTCCTGAACGATACCGAGCGTGCCCTCAACGAGTACGCTGACAAGCTCGACAAGACCGAGGCTGACAGCATCAAGGAGAAGATCTCTACTCTCCGTGAGTTTGTCGCCAAGAACCTGTCTGGCGAGGGCTCTGCCACCGCTGCCGAGATCAAGGAGAAGACCGACGATCTCCAGGTTGCCAGCTTGAACCTCTTCGACAAGATGCACAAGGCCCGTGCCTCCAGCGGCGAGCAGACCTCCAGCGAGCAGCCCCAGGAGGAGAAGAAGGACGAGACCAAGCCTTAAATGACTTGATGTGTTAAAATGTTAAAATTATGTGTTCCAATATCCACGAGCGAGGGGTGCGCGGCATAGAACCCTTTTCGTCTCCATGTACTCAATTGTATTCATATACCGCCTCAGCCGCATTTGGTGGCTCTTTTTTTCATCCATGTCTGTCTGCATGGTGGCGTTGGAGCTTCAAAACTTAGGAGGTCTTTGTTTAGAACCTGGGGTCGGTTTGGTATTGTAACATGAGCGTGCCTGTCATAGATAGGTAGACGATAATGAATCTCCCCCCTCAAATAAAAGTTTCCCACAGAAGTATCCTACCAAACGCCTGCGACTAAGTTTCTACCTGATGTTTTCAACCAATAAGCCATTGGTGCTCCGCCTTCCTTTGATGGGCTGGATGAAACGAATAAGAAAAAGAAAGTTGATTTGTCTGCCTCATTGATGGCCGTCTCCATACATTTACAGTCGTGATGTTACACTTAGTTTTGTGACAAATAAGAAAAATATAAAGATCGTCTTGTGTTATGACATCCATGCCCACGCAGTATTCAGTCGGTTGACTCCATGCCAGTGAAGCGTCTTGGCCTTTTTCGCCCCATCCTTGTCGTCGCCGTCTCCAAGCGGTTCGCCGCCATTGAGCTCCATCATAGACCGCGAGAACTTGAGGCGGGTTGTATGCGGGGGTGGCATCTGGAAGGTATCATATAGCGAGCCGCGCGCGCGCGTGCTCTGTGGGTTGCACAGCGGCATGCGCTCGCCGGTAGATGCGCGTTCGCTGAATAGTAATTGTCTCGTCTCAATCTCGAGCTCGGAGGTGAGGGATGTCGGGCGGAAGGGCTTCGCGCCCGGGCCGCCGTCGGGGGCAGCGGCGGAGTGTTGGGCATCGAGGATGAAGCCAGCGCGCTGGGTAAGGTGGCGCTGCAGAAGCTGCCAGAGGATAGAGAGGAAAAGGGAGACGAGGACGAGGGTGAGGACGAGGGCGGCGATGGTTACGGGCGCAGGATGACGGAACTCCGGCCACGCCCATGGAGGCTGCGGCTGCAGGCTTTGCGGCCCGGGCATCGCGACCGCCGGCATGGTGGGACGGGTATAGGACTCAATGCATGAGGCGGAAGAGGATCGTATGGAGGGGAGTTAGCCGGTTATGGCGGTCATGGCGGGCGGATGTAGGAAGACAGTATCACAGCACGAGGAGGACAAGCTGGGACAGAGGAAGTAAACAACGGTTATGTCATTTTTAGCAGAGATTGTTGGCACGGAAGGTCTGATAGGGCACATTCCAGTTAGGAATGGACTTTTCATGGAGGGAGGTCCGCCGCCTGGGTAACCATGTAAGAGGCACGGACAAGAACCGCGCCAAGAGGCCCAAGACATGTCTCGAAGGAGGGGCGAAACTAGACAGGAACGCAAATGCGTCGTGCGTATCCGTAAGTGGATGCTGGGAAACAGCCGTGGCCTCGATGTGCCCCGTGTGGAATATATTGACTATCACCTCCCGAAACCGAACCAACCCCTCTTCGCAGGCTCTTGTGGAGCTGGCGCGTCGGAGCTGGCGCTCTCCTCCTTCGCGGCGGGCTGACTCTCCACGACGGGGGTCTTGCCTGGGTAGTCAATGTAATTCCAAGCGACGTCCAGAAAGATGGGCTTCATGGGGATCAGAGCCATCTTGGGGGGATACTCGACAATGTTGTTCAGCTCGACACCGTTGATGGGGTAATCCAGCAGAGTCTCAACTAGCGGCCTCTTGACGTCGTCTTCCGCGTCCTCCTGCTTGTCCTGTCGCAGCTCGTTGATGTGCACAATAGCACGGTGGCGTTGACGCTCACCGTCGAGAAGGTTACGGAGGAACTCAATGCCCTCCGGAGCGACGGTGAGGTTTAGGGGAGCCTTGGCAGATGCGTCCGCAGACTTCGGCACCTTGGACAGTGACTCCTCAGAGAGGCCAAAGGCATGGTGGATCAGGCCCAGAGCGTTTGCAGCATTACCAATGATCGCGTGAGAGCGAGCGACCGAAAGAGCCCTAGAAACATATTAATGGCTGGTTTTGTCAGGGGTAGTTGCGAGTGATTTACTTGAGAGCCGCGAAGTACTTGACAAAGGAGTCGATTTGATTTGCCAATTCCTGGTCATTAGCCACGCCGGGCAATTCCTTGATCGACTCAATGCTCTGCAGAATTCCGGCATACAAAGCAACCTTCTCCTTGAGCTTGGCAAGCTTCTTGCCAGGTGTAAGCTCTTTTTCCTGCTTGGCAGGCTCTTCACCCTCCTTGACCTTTCTTCTCCTGGGTTGGCTGTACTCCTCGGTTGCTCCGTCCTGGTTTCCAGTCAGGACACGGTTGCGGCCGATTCTCCAGCTAATCATCTCAAAGTTGACTGCAGTGCGTGTGATCTGCAAGCTCTGCATCCTAGGATCACCTTGTTCAACCCCCTCTGCCCTCATCTCATCGATTGCCTGCTTGGTAGCGTCGACAGCGTCCTGAGTCGTCGACAGAATCTCATCGTAGGCAGCGGACAGATCTTGTGGTTGCCTCTCCTTGGCATCCGCGAGGCTGCTAGTAAGTCGTTCCTTTGCGGCGAGCACGGAACCCCATGCAACCGCAATCTGGGCATCCTCGATGGTGACCTCCCGAGAGCGCCAGGTCAGCGTCTTAGGTGCGTCCTCAGCGCCAGGGGATGCCTTCTTCGAATCCGTCTCACCCTGTTGGAGGATGTTGGCGTCGATTCGGTTAATCTCCTGAACCAGAGCGGCGTCGGTCTTGGGGAACGCCCGTTGGGCGATGACGGGGATGGCAACAGTTCGAGGAGTGTTCAATTGATAGGCGGCATACCGAATCGAAGGATCAATAGTCTCAGAAAGTAGGTCCTTGAAGATGTCGCCTTTGGTGGCCGTGGCCAAAACGCTGTAGACAATTCGTGATGTCGCATAACTTCGTAAACTAGATTCCCAGCTTTGCTTTTCAAACAGCATAGCGCCGCGAATCAACGCGGCATACGCCTTGGCCTCGAGGATATCGGTTGGGGTGGCGCCCGAAATGTCGGACAGGCAGAGGGCGTCGACAAGCTCGTCGGCGGTGCGGGCGGCCTTAGTCAAGCGGGATACAATGTGGGATCGGGCTTTGCCGGTGATACCCTTCTTTTCTGCAGAACGTGTGGATTTAATGTCCATGGCTTGAGACCAAGCGCGTTCGCTGGTGAGGAGCTGGAGGTGGACATATCTGGATCGGGCATTAGACGGGCGTGGGATGAAAGGACATGAACGGCCTACGCATGGTTCTCGGCAACCTCCTCGGGGGTGAGCTTTCCCTGGGGGCGGAACTTGCCACGGTTTCTGGTGGCTATGTTCAGCTTCTTTCGGGTGTTGAGAAGTCGCTTGGACAGCAGGCCATGGTAGGTTGAATGATCGCCGTAGAGGAGAGCCTTGTCGCGGCCTTGGACAACGAAGCTGGTGATGTCCATGATGGAAGGCCGCCGAGGCGAGAGAGTGCTGGTTCGGTGGGTGTAGTTCGAAAATACGGGCTAATTCTAGCTGGAATAAATGTTGATATCGGTAGCTGATGTCGAGTGTGCCTGGCGCGAGCGCTGGACCAAGGCACAAGACTTGACGTGGAGGTTTGGCTTGGTGGGGAGTTGAATGGATGCTGAGTTGGAAGGCGGGGCACGAATTCTGAGCTGTGGGAAATGCCATGGTGGAGGGAGGTACGTACCTACTATTCCTCCCGCCTTTTCGCACCGGAAAAACAGACTTATGTAAGCGGATCGGACCATCCTGTCCTCTAGGTGGGCAAGGACAGCCACTGTAACTACATCGCATTCTCTTGCATCGGATAGGATGGACTATGTGAATAACCCAAAGTTGAGATATGGATTCAAGGACAATCTCGGAAGGTGGCCTGCAGCAGCACCATGTTCCAACACCGTCTAGATCGCACATTGATTCTGATTAGGTGGCGACGGAGCAATTGTGACTGAGGCACAGCACAGTGGCACCAGAGATGAGATGCTTGACTCCAAGTCATGTAAGACGTGGTAATGGCAGATGCCGCACACACTCGTAGTACTGTAGACACGGGAGCATAAAGGCAATGGGAGAGCCGTCCACACGTGCACCTCGTCCTCGCACAATTGCAACTCCCGATGTCTCTATCGATGCCCCTGGATCGCCTCCGCACGTACCGGCGGCATCTCAGGCCATTCTTTGGTTGAAAAAAAAGGCGCTCGAATGCTTCAACCCATCTGCCCACACAAGCCCGCACAAGCCCGCACAAGCCCACACAAGCCACCAGCTGATCAGCCCTCTTTGCTCTAGCCCCACTTCTAGGTGCGCCGCCCGATGCACGTATTCCAGGCCTTGTCAAGTAGCCCGCTTTGCCAGCACGACAACGACGGAGAGCAAGAGCAAGCTATTGACATCGATTGCCCGCAAGATCGGGCGTCCCAATAAGCCCGCGGCTCCTCCATCTGCGAGGAAATAATAGTCATAGACCGGCCCCCTGGTCATGCACGCTGTCGTCGGATTGGGCAACCTTTCCGCTAGTCGACACTAAATTCTGCCGTGCAAGTGACACGCTCACGTGCTCGCCTCCGCGGGGGAAAGCCTGCATGCCTGCATGACCTCTGCCTGCAGCCAGAAGTATCCATTTGCTTCGTCTGCGAGTTGGACATACCCGCGTTTTCGTTCTTGAACTCGGCTTCTGCCTCGACTTGATTTCTCAAGCTCGGCGATTCTAACCACGACTGTCGCGGCCGTTGCCCTTCTGGCATATAGAGTCCCCATAACACTCGCCTTTCCTTTTCCCTGCGTCCCTTTTCCCTGCGTCCCACCGAGTCCCTCTGACCCGCTCCGCCACTTTCCACCTCGCCGATAACGACCGCTTATCGCGGGTCTGTTGCCTTCAACCTCGCGGCACACTCAGCAACCGCCCGCCCGCTCGCCACCTTCACTCGTTACAAACACCTCGCACTCGCGCCCGCTCCTCGCATTTCGACCTGTAACGAATCTCGCAAACTCTGTGATGTGAATCAAACGTCTCCTTCTCTTGAGCTGCGAAGCGCATCGTTTGACTCGCTTTCTGCACGCTATCGTCGGCCACCGCAGGCCTTCTTAAGAGATGGCTACAAATGGTACAGCATCCCTCGTCCACGGACACTCCAGCATTTGCAAACCCGCGCGGGCTGTGGGCGACCTGTGCAATTACCCAAATCCCTCGGCTGTGCGCTTCACCCACTGACTCTTACTGACACTCACCAGGCCACACGCCTCGAACTGCAAATGCTGCCCCGTCATGGAGCCCGGCTGCATTGCTGCAGCCAAACCGCCGAACCTCCTCGACTCCAGACCTTACCAACCCCGCCCTGCGGCAGTTCTCCCCGTCCCAGAATTCTCCTAGGGTTCAGCACGACCAAAACCCGAACGACTCATTAGTTTTTCAGTTCTCAAACCCGAACGAGCTCCCCTCTGCCGGCCCTTCGAGCCGAGCATCCACCCCTAGCAGTACCTATGGCGGTGGCGCGAACGGCGTCGGAGGTTGGATAGAGCGTATGAATAATGTTCAACACCGATCGGCCATTCCCCAGGCCAAGCGGCGCAAGACTGAAGACCAAGACAGCTTTCAAGATGGTGCAAACGCCGCACCCCGGGGAGGAAGTGGTATCCTTGGCGAATATGTTAAGGACAAGCGCAAGGAAGCCAACGGATCAACTGCTTCTCAGGCCTTAACCGTCGACCTGACCAGTGGTATGACAACTCCATATCCATTTCACCCTCTAGTTGTCACTAACCCCTACTAGGGAATGATGATGACGTGGTCGTTATACAAGATCCTCGCGATGAGGAGGTTTGCTATGGCATGATCAAGGCCAGTCTGAACTGTGTACGGGTCCCTTCGCCGAAGCCAGGAATGCAGAGCCTCTGGGGGCCAGGTTATGCGCCTGGAATTAAAGTTGTGCTGAAGAGACAGGTGGGGGAGACGTCTCTGAAAATACAAGCCTACGATCATACCCGGCAGATTATCGGCCTCGTGGAGTCTGCAAATGCACGTGCTGTTGCTCCCCTGCTCGACTCCAACATTCGACTAAGGACTGAGTGTCGGATCCCGCCCCAGCCTAAGTTGCCTGGCGAAGAGCCTGGTCAACAAACCTCCCGGTCATACTCCCTTGACATCGTCATGTATGGCCCCATAAAGTTCGCCCGAAATGTGGGTGCTCACTTGAGCAAATACGACCAGAAGCTGCTGGCTCCCTACCTGGTTCAGAAGGGCATCCGAGTTCAGAATCCTCATGTCCTGGAGTACCGCCCCCCTGCACCTCGGAGTTATCCCACTGAAGGACAAGCAACAAGCACCCCTCTCTCTGCCAATCGCACCGTCGAAGAGATTCGTTCAGAAGTTATGGGCGTGTTCGACTCTCTTACGCGAAGCGATGATTTACCGGAATTGGAGCCTGACCCCAGCATCACGACACCTTTGCTTCAGCATCAAAAACAGGGTTTATATTTTATGATGACAAGAGAGAAGCCTCGAGAACTTCAAATTCAAGAAAAGAACATGGTATCATTTTGGCAGACCAAGACTGGCCCAGCCGGCCAGAAGCTGTTCTTCAATGTCATCACTGGCCAAACCCAGGCGAATCCCCCAGCGGAAACCCGTGGCGGGATCCTAGGTGACATGATGGGTCTCGGAAAGACGCTAAGCATCCTCTCTCTGCTCGTCAGTTCCACTGAGGCTGCAAACCAGTGGGAGCAGCTAGCACCGGTGCAACCAGAAGTCCCGGAAATGAAGCCATCGAGACAAGATGTTCTGGTCCATCAGCAAAGTCTCAATCTCACCCCATTGGTTCGGAACGTAAAGTCCACGTTGCTTGTCTGTCCTCTCAGTACAGTTACAAATTGGGAAGAGCAGATCAAACAACACGTTCACCCAGGCGCGCTAAGTTATCACATCTATCATGGGTCAAATCGGATCAAGGATCCTGCAAAACTTGCTACTTTCGATCTCGTCATCACTACATACGGCTCAGTTTCCAACGAGCTTAGCTCTCGTCGAAAGGGCAAGGACGGCCTGTATCCTTTGGAGCAGATGGGCTGGTTTAGGATTGTACTAGACGAGGCACACATGATCCGTGAGCACTCGACTCTGCAGTTCAAAGCCATTTGCCGTCTGCAAGCAAACAGGCGCTGGGCTGTAACTGGCACGCCGGTACAGAATCGATTGGATGATTTGGCAGCACTGCTGGCGTTCCTTCGTCTGCACCCATTTCACGACCGAGGCAAGTTCCTTCGACATATTGTGGAACCTTTCAAAGCGTGTGATCCCGAGATTGTCCCAAAGCTGCGTGTTCTTGTGGACACAATCACACTTCGCCGCTTAAAGGACAAGATCAACTTGCCCCCCCGAGAAGACCTCGTTGTCAGGCTCGATTTCAGCCCAGATGAGCGCACTATCTACGATATGTTTGCAAAGAATGCGCAGGACCGTGTCAAGGTGCTTGCCGGCAACAACAACGAGAAAGCTCTCGGTGGAAACACGTACATCCATATTTTGAAGGCCATCTTGCGGCTCAGGCTGCTTTGTGCTCATGGGAAAGACTTGCTCAACGATGCGGATCTTGAGGCGCTCCAAGGAATGTCTGCTGAAATGGCCATTGACATCGATGACGACGATGACGAAGATGACAAACCATCTCTCTCAGATCAGAAGGCCCATGAGATGTTCACATTGATGCAGGAGACAAACAATGACGCCTGCATTGAGTGCAGCAGAAAACTTGGCTCAATCGAAAGTTCAAACATCGAGGTGGAAGGGCAAGATGACACTCTCGGCTTCATGACGCCCTGCTTCCATGTCATTTGCCGCTCTTGTATTAAGACGTACAAGGAACGGGTGAGACAGACGCTAAACCCTGCAGATTCTTCTTCAGGATATTGCCCCATCTGCAACGTGTACGTCAAACACGCATTCGTACAGCTTCACCGACGAGAAGTAGACGCCGAGCATGACGGTCCTGCAAAAGCCAAATCCAAAAACCCTGGAAAGAAGCTCGACAAGTACGATGGACCGCATACCAAGACACGAGCTCTAGTCGAAGATCTTTTGAAGTCAAAGGCGGCAAGTGAGGCAAACCCATCTGAGCCGCCTTACAAATCCGTTGTCTTCTCTGGCTGGACTTCGCACTTGGATCTCATTGAACTCGCTCTTAATGCCGCCGGAATCACTTTCACGAGGCTTGACGGCAGCATGAGCCGCACAGCACGTACTTCCGCTATGGATAGGTTCCGAGAGGACGACAATGTGCACGTTATCCTTGTCTCGATCATGGCGGGTGGACTGGGTCTCAACTTGACGTCAGGAAACAGCGTTTACGTCATGGAGCCGCAGTACAACCCAGCCGCGGAGGCGCAAGCTGTGGACCGTGTTCACCGACTGGGCCAGAAGCGACCTGTACGTACTGTCCGGTACATCATGCGTGGCAGCTTCGAAGAAAAGATGCTGGAGCTTCAGGAGAAGAAGAAGAAGCTGGCAAGTCTCAGCATGGACGGCCAAAACAAGGCTCTGGACAAGGCGGAGGCGGCCAGGCAAAAGCTCATGGACCTGCGGAGTCTTTTCAAATGAGTGGCGAAGATACCCGGCTTTTTCGGCGATCGGGGAAGCTTTTATCGAGCATTGGACAGGCGTATTGGGAATGGTTCTTTTCATCATGTTATTTATCTATTCTTCTCTGCTCCGGGACAGACCCGGTTCAGGGACTCAGCTAGCATTACGGCGGAGCAGATATCACGGATCCTGGTTTCCGTCGCATCAGGCGATGATTTACACCTTACTCTCACGAGAGGTTTTCCGGGGATGGGAGGCAAATACTCTTTTTGGGGCATGCCACGGCATGACACGAGCGACGAGCGACAACCGATACCACGGTAGAGGAAGAGAATTACAGCTTTCGTTTTTAAATCACGGTTTCTTTCATGAGCCATCTTATCTGAGAGCACCCACAGTCGTGGTGCTTCGCAAGTCACTAGATTTGGGCCGTAGCCACGGATCTATCGTAGCAAAAGCAGGTGAAGTCGGCGATCGTTAATCAATCAAATCAGTGGTATCTAATTCTCAGTGGCCCCAATCTTTAAGTCATCCCAACGCCATCCTACTTTTGAATCCTTGAACTAGCCTCGTCTTGAATCGTTATATAAACACTAGACTCGTAGAGCTAGACGGTTCACTCAAACCGACTCCTCCTCGGGGCGCAAGCCTGCGTACTCAGTCCCCTGGTTGGCAGTGCTCAGACGCGCACACAAGCTCAGTAGGACAACGGTTTCGGTAGCGGCGTAGTGGTTGAGGGCGTCGAGTAGGATCTGCAGGTGGCGACTAAAGCTGCCTTCCAGATTTCTGATGATCTCAAAGAGGCCTTCCATACGGGCGTCGGCGTCGGCGCCAGGAGCCGAGGCGGTTGAGGCATCGTGATTGGCCGTAGAGGAACGCTGGACGGCTTTTGTCATCTGGAAGCGCTTCCACTGATCAGCCGTCATGGTGGGCGGCTTATTGAAGCCAGAGAGGTCGGGGTCGGCTTTCTCGAGCTCGCGTGTGAGTCGGTTGGTATAGGCGGCGAAGATGGTGCACGTCTGTATGAGCTTGGAGTGGATCTGGAGGCGACGGGGTTAGCGAGAAACGAGATGATTAGGAAGTTTGGATACATACCCTTAGCAACTTGCTGTTGGTGAGCATACACTCTTTGAGGCAGGTATCCAGGAAGTCGACATGGTCCTGCATCAGCTCATCGACAGTCCGATTGACGCCTCCGGAGCCCGTCGACCCGGCATTCCCCTCCTCAGTCTTAAGGCGCGACATGAACTTGGTCCAGTTGGGCTCGATGACCTCGGCAGTGCAAAAGTAGAGCAGCTGCTGGACAAAGACAAGCATGCGGGCGCGCAAGGTCCAGACGCGGCGCTTCCAGATCTCGAGGTTGCGGAGGGTGCCCTTGTGGCCCCAGCTGATGCCTCGTGTTTGCGTCTGCCAGGTGGCCGAGAGCTGCGACTCGACGTAGCGCAGGGAAAGGAGGAAGCGGAAGAGGGCCTGGTAACGCCAGATGGTCTTGCGGCTGATGACGAGAGAGACGGGGAAGGGGACCGAGTAGTCGAGCTGCAGCGACGTGAAGCCGATGGCGTTCTTGTCCTTCTCAGTCGGTTCGTTGGCAAGCGGCTGGAGCGCCTCGCCTTGCTCGATGCCGGTAATGTTGACAACGCGCTGCAGGGACCTAATCAGGGGAGTCTCGTTCTTCTCGACCTTGACGTCGTCCTTGAAAGGGTCCATGGAGACGATGCTTCCCGGCTGCCTTAGGACCAGATCTAGTAGCGACTGCAGCTTGCCGGTGTTAACGGCCTTGACGGGCTTACGCAGCTCCGAAGCACCCAGCTCGAGGAAGTAGGAGAAGTAGTCGGATGGGTCGAGGAAGAAGTAGTGCTTGAGGGAGCGCAGGCGCGCGGGCAGGGCGTGCGTGGTGAGGAGGAGCTGCATCAGCGACTCGTTGGCGTGAGCGTAGGCGTTGTTGACGTTCTCGAGGAAGCGGCTGTCGTCGAACGACGCCGGTACGTCCTTGACGACCTTGCTGACGTCGACGCCGCCGCATTCGCGAACTACGTTGAGGTATTTGCCGGCCAGTAGGACCTTGTCCTTGACGCCCTCCAGCTGTGGCGGCACATGCTGGTCGAGGATGGTGTATCTCCTCTCCCAGTACTCGTCGGTATAATCCTGTTCGAGCCTTTCGCGGCGGATGCTCTTTTGCTCCTTGATCAGGAACTCTGCATGAGGGTCGTGGATCCCACCGTGATGGAGCCACTCGTTGAGCATAACCATGTAGGGTTTGCTGGCATCGCGCAGTAGGGATGTGAGAAGCGCCCGAGCCGACGGGTCGCCAGACATGGACTCCAGTCGTTTGGTGATCAGTCCGAGGACAACGCCGCCCTTGCAAATCTTCTTTCCCGTCATGTTGCCGGGCATGATTTCGCCTCCGTCTTGCAGGTTCTTGATGATCTTGTCGTAGTCGTCCTCGTCGGATTCTTCTTCCTCAGCCCAGTCGTCTAGCAAGGCGTTCTTCTTGAGCAGCTCATGGGCAAGTGAATACAACTGCAGCATCATCTGGCTCGTCTGCATGGTGTGAATGTTGAGCACATGGACCGTAAATGTTTCGCTGGTCAAGAACTGCGTCTCTAGCTGGGCAATCATGACAAGGTAGTCCTGTAGGAACTTGCGTATTGATGCGCAAAGTGCATGGTTGACGGCGCCAAACTCCTCACGGCTTTGGACGTCGACAAAGGCCTCGAGTGCAGAGTAATAGGTCGCCATCTTCAACATGGACTGGGTCAAATCCTGTAAGCTGGGGTCGAGACCAGGCAGGATCCTGAACGTTGGTCCAGATAACCTGTCTCTCTCCTCGTTCGGGTTATATCCCTTGGCGAATCTAATATACTGGCCTTCATATCCCATGAAGACAAAGAGGAGGTCTTCCACAATAGCGGCTTCCTGCAGCTCTAGGCTCAGCTCACTCAGCGGTTTCGGTTGCGGGGCCTGGGGTACGGTCGAGGCCAGGGGAGGGATTGATATTCGGGAAGCTAGGGGGGCGGTGGTGTGAGGTCGTAGGGTGGCTTCGGGGTTCCATGGTGCTTCACATCGGGTCAGTCGCGGCCTCAATCATCTCGGTCGACCAGCTCGAGGTCATGGAACGGGCATACCTTGCGGGGTCTCGGCTCTGACCTTCAGCTCGGGTGTCTTGTGTCTGGGCGCGTCCGGCGCAGCCCTCGTCTCGGAGGGAACGCCCCGGCGATGCGTCCTCTCGGGGCTCGTAGTCCGCGGTATCACCCGCTCCAGGTGCGCTTCATAGGTCCGCTCCGTGACCCTCCTCTCCTCGAAGCGGCGCTCCTCGACATTCCTGCTCGTGGCCCGGGGGTTCCCCGACGCCGTACGCTTGTGCGTGCCCGGAAAGGCGCCTGGGCGAGGTGACGGCCCTTTGCTGGACTCGGAGCGCTCGCTCTTGAAGCTGTTGCTTGCATGGGTAGAGACGCGGGGCCGTTCGTCGCCCTGGCCGTTGGCTCGGGACGATGCTCGTGGTGCACCGGATGCCATGTTGGCGGGCTACATCTGAAAGGGGCCCCTCGGTGTCCCAGCGCTGTCGGTATCGGACCGTAGACGGGTCGGTTGTGGCGGGGGAATCGCGAGATGTTGAATCGAAGTTGGTATAAGTGTGTGCCCAATCGCGCTGTGGACATCGACGTGGGGTGTCGCGTCGGCATAAAGGCATAAAATGAGGGGACGGGTCTTGCTTGTGCTTATTGTGCTGCCATCTAATTGACTGCGCTACCAACAACTGCGAAGGAAAATCTCGCTCAACTGTGAAGACTCGTGAAAATGCCATTTAAATATCCTAGGTATTTCCCACATCCTTACCTGTTCAGAGGCCTGGGTAACTCTCTTCAAAGCTCCCAAGGTCAAGTCCTGAGGATACAAGGGCAATGACAACAGGCCCAAACAGGTTTAACCAGGGCTGCTAGCTTGGAAACACAACTGTGGCGGTGAAACCGACTCCCATGTGTGGCACGGGCCAATGAGGCAGCTCGCATCCCCAGGGAGCACCAAAAGTCCCGGCGTTACAGGGGCCCCTCCCACTGTGGTGCGCTGTGGCGCTACAGCGGACTTCGCTCAGAGCTCCAGCGCAGCTCAGTTGGGTTCGGTGTGGGCGCGGCTGCGGCTACGTAGGCGGACTGCTTGCCTAGCAACTCCAAACTCCAACTCCACGTCCACTCCACCAGAGCTCGTCCATCGTCTTCTTTCAGCCTGCCCGCCTCTCATCCGCAAACCACTACAACTCCGACCCCCGCTCAATCCGCAATCCCACGGCCTCCCCCACGACGAGTCGTCCTTGTCGCCCTCTCGCACCCTCTTCTCCCCGCCCAAGCGCGCCCATCCTTCACACTCCAACACCGCCAACATGTTTATGGCAAGATCGGAATACGGCATGTTAAACCCCCATCTCCGTCCCCCATCCCCCGCCGCCGGCCTCTGCTGCTCCTGTCTTGGCTCCCTCAGCTTTCCAGCACCTCGCTAACCTCTCGCTCGCTATTACAGACCGGGGGATCAACACCTTCTCCCCCGAAGGCCGTCTCTTCCAGGTCGAATACTCCCTCGAGGCCATCAAGCTCGGCTCTACCGCCATCGGCGTCGCCACCTCAGAGGGCGTCATCCTCGGTGTCGAGAAGCGGGTCACCTCGACCCTCCTTGAGACGTCCTCTGTCGAGAAGATTGTCGAGATCGACCGCCACATCGGCTGCGCCATGTCAGGCCTCCAGGCCGACGCCCGCTCCATGGTCGAGCACGCCCGTGTCGAATGCCAGAGCCACGCCTTCAACTACAACGAGAACCTCCGCGTCGAGAGCTGCACCCAGGCCATCTGCGATCTTGCCCTGCGCTTCGGCGAGGGTGCTGACGGCGAGGAGACCATCATGAGCCGTCCCTTCGGTGTCGCCCTGCTCATTGCTGGTTTCGACGAGGACGGCCCCCAGCTCTTCCACGCCGAGCCTAGCGGTACCTTTTACCGCTACGATGCCAAGGCCATCGGCTCTGGCTCTGAGGGTGCCCAGGCCGAGCTTCAGAACGAGTACCACAAGGTAGGTTCTTGAAATACCCCTCCCTCCCAAACACGCGCTGACAAACGGGTTGATTAGTCCTTGACTCTCATCGACGCAGAGACCCTAGTCCTCAAGACGTTGAAGCAGGTTATGGAGGAAAAGCTAGACTCGAAGAACGTACAGCTGGCGAGCGTGACCAAGGAGAAGGGTTTCAGAATATACACAGATGAGGAGATGGCCACGGTTGTGGAGCGGCTGCCGGCGAACTGAGCGGAGAAAGGGCTACCAAGAACAAATAGAGAAACGTCTTTTGAGCTTTGAGATCAGGGACCGACTACTTGCAAGGGAGACGTACACACAAGGCGTTATACCCAAGAGGGTTCGCAATTATGTATCATTAATGTAAGGGTACTGACCGTGACAGTGCCAGACATCTAAACCTCTCCCTCACACAGAACATGCCAAATATTCCAGCCTCCTCTCTCGTTAGGTCCTGGGACCACTTCATGATACTTTATGCACAGACGATTCAAAACATGGACTCATATCACGTTATCGATCCCAATGGACCGCTCCCCTTCCTGTGGCACTACCACCATCTCATCTTTGAGCTCCAGGAATTGAAGGTCGTGTTCCACCCCGAGCAGTCCGAGTGCATACGAGGCGCGCTCGGACTTGGCCAGCACCAGGCGTCGCTCCTCGCCGTCTCCTTGGTCGAGCTCTCGGATCTTGCGGGCGATGCGCCGGGTGTCATTCCAGACAGATATCGGCACACCAACTTCCTTCACGCGGACATACGGCGGGCCACGACCGATTTCGGCGGCCTTGACCCAGCCCGACTCGCAGCCGTCAGCGATCTGTCTCGCAGACTGCCAGCCCGTGAGACGGGAGATGTCACGCAAACGGCGTACGACCCACTGACGTTGGGCATCTTCTCGGTACTGGAGCCATGTTAATATAAACTGTCTGCCAACTTGGGCGGCGGGAGAAGGGGGAAAGCCATACCTCGATGGCTGCCACAAACAGGCAGAAACAGCTCTCGATAAAAGCCGCGCTGACGAGAGTGCTGATCTCCGTCACCTGAGAGCAATCGTCCGACAAGCCCGCGGCTATCCGTCCAAGCTTGTTCGAGTACGCTCCCGTCTGATGTGCCGCCATCCCGGCCGCCTGCATGGCTGCTGGGGCCATTGAGGGATGGGTACGGTACAAGTGAATCATGCCCATGTAAAAGTTCATCCAGATTCCGGCAACCGAGAAGGTCCGATACTGTAACGTCATCCCAAAAGGCGAATCCCTTCTATCTGAATACTCTGGCCGGAGAGGCTGGAACTCGGGCCCCAGGCTTTTCTCAAAGGCTTCAAATCCTTCCTTGATAGACTCCCACTGCTGAACTGCGATATGGAAACTGATATCGGGATCTTGGTCATCGCTGGATTCACTCTGTGGGGAGGACTCTCGCGGGGGCGAAAACCCCATTGGAACTTTGAATTTTCCAGTTGTGGGCATGATGCCAACAAACGCCGGGGGGGATGGTGCCCCCGGAGGAGGGGCCCTATTTTGGCTTGCTCTTCGCTTTCGAGCTACGTCTTTGGAAGAGAAATCTGTCACCCGTCCTAGCAGGAGCATGAGATGATCGTATGTTCCATATCTTGGGTAGGAAGTCAGTGCCAAAACCACTCCAAGAGAGTCCAAGGAAATTCTTACATAGCATCCAACCTAGAAATGGGGCCTCGAGGCGGGCATTGAGCCCAGTGTTCGTATTCCATACTTGGGGAACCCGTTAGCTTGAGCAAATATTTCCGTAGATGGCCAAACTTACAACAGCTTCGTACCGCCCAGCATACTCTGATATACATCCATCTTACAATACCACCAGTACAAGTCCCGTAAATTCTCGTACTGCTCGATATCTTTTTCCGAAGTGAGGTGGCTCCCCGGGTCAAGAGGTTGGTCTTCACCCAAGCAATAGTCCTCGGCAATGACATTCAAGCCTGACAACTTTTGCAGCAGCTCATAGTCAAGATCAAGTAGTTTGCTCAGTGGGTTCACGTTGTAGCCAGGGAAGAAAGAATTCATCTGGTTCTGGTCCTCGGCATCCTTCCTTCTCTGGGCAAGGCGTTTGATCGGCAAGCATCTTCTGGACATACGTTTCAGGGGCATCTCGCGAAGCAAAATCCTGGCGCCAAAGAGATGGTTACACCATTTGTTGTGGTCCGACGACCAGACCTCGAAGTATGCCAGTAAAAGGGTCGCTGCAAGGGTTGGAGGTTGCGTCCGCCTTAGCGGTTTGTTGACGTTCTTGGCTATTCTGCGAATTGCCAGGTGGTAGTGCTTCATGGCTGCAGTGGCCGGGATCTTCTGTAGTTTGGCGATCTGCAAACTTGCCAGGGCCAAAATGGCGTGAAGCAGCGCAGGGTGGTTGAAGGCTATGATTGGGAAGGTGTCTAGATATTGAATTAGCCCAGGGCCTCGTTGTTCACAGCGACATACTCACAGCTCCAGAGGTTGTTGGATCCTCTGGGAGTGGTATCATAGGCATCATCGCATCCGTGATCGAATGGATGGCGTTCATATAGTGACATGCTCGGGCCTGTGACTTGGATAAAATGCATGAATATGGCCAATATCCTAGCATCCTTGAGTTCTGACGTCTGGGCAGAAGCCGTGTATTCTGAAAGGACGTTGCACTTCGCAAATGAGGAAAAGGCTCGGACTTGAGTGCCGTCCACATCCCATGACCCATTGAACTGCTTCACCATTGGGCCTAGGATCTCTTGGGGATCCCGGGACTCATCGTCTGATTCGCCCATCTCGGCATCTTCATCTAGCGAGTCGTCGTCCAAAAACTGAGCATCAATGTACTCCTCTTGAGCTTCATCTGGCCCATCGGTCGTCGTCGGCGGTCTGGAAGTTGAATAGCTATTGCCAACCTGTCCATTAGGAGGGGGTCCAAAGTGGTGGGAGCGAGGATCATGCTCGATTTTAACGTATCCGGCTGTGGTCTGCGGCGATACCGAAGTGTTGGCTTGTGTATACGGAAGTTGAACTGGTTGGCCCGAGTTGAGTTCATACACTGGTTGACCGTGCTGCGTATGAGTATAGTGTCCGTAGGTCGTATTCTCGTGGCCTTGATAACTTAATGAAGGGGGCTTGGGAGCAATAACGGGCAAGGGCCCTTGGGATGGATTTTTGCCCTGCATCTGGCCGAGATGTGCGGATCCTGAAGGGTACAAGGCTGGGCCGAACGGACCGCCCTGAATAGCACCCATTGGATCCTTGAAGATGACGCGCTGACTGTAACCCTCGCATTGCCGCTTGGATTTGATGCAATTGTTGCAGATCGGCCTGCCCTCATCGCATTTGATGCGTCTCCTGCGACAAGCTTTACGCAGCGCGGATTAGCATTACCGTCAAGAAAGCACATTTCGAATCAATTAGGTTTCCACTTACTCAAACATCCCGTCTTTGTCCGCTTTCTAACATTGGCTCTCTTGCGATTGGGATCGTCCCTACCGTCGTCGTCTTGCTGAGCAGTGGCCGGAGGGGGTTGTTGAGATGTAGTGGCCGCAGACGCCACACCGGAGGCTTGGTCCATGGCTGCAGTATTGAAAGGTGCGAACCGTGACTGGCTCGCTTTGATAGGTCTTAATTCACACAGATCTGTACCCAATTGGCGGATTCACATGATGCTCGCCAATGCGCCGGGTCGGAACAACAAGCTGCGAGCCGGAGGCAGAGCTTCGGCACCCGCGGAAAGCAAGGCAGGATGGGAAACAGCACAGGGAAGGGGGATGATGAAAAGGGTGAGTCTCTGTTTAGTCAAGAGAAACAGAGCACGGGAGTCTGTGAGGGAGACAGGGACAGGGAAGCAAAAAAGCGTGGGACGAAGAGCAAGCCGAGACAGGAAGGCGACGACCTGGCAAAGAGGAGAGGGTGAATGACACGAGAGTCAGGATCCGGACAGGATACGGTCGAGAGAAATGTCTAGGGTCGAGAAACGGGGGAGGCGGATGATATGCAGGAGGTGGAGAGGAGAGAAGCAGGACAGTGGCGGCCAAGATGGGTTTGTCTATCAGGAAGCTTCCTGGGGGGAGTGAAACATGTTGGTGTAACTCGATGGTCGGCGGTTTACCAATCCAGTTCGGGGGCCGGTGAGGGCCAGCGGAGCAGCAGGAGCCAGGGTGGAGGATGGCAGGTCCTTGACTGTCTGTGTGGTGTGTGGTGTGTGTGTGTGTCTTGTCTTTTGTGTTTGTGGCCCGTGTCTAGGCTCTTGTCTCTTGTCTCTCGACGGAGAGCGGATCGATTCCCCGATGAGTTGAAGCAATTGTTTTGCGCTGTGCGGCACAAGGGGGTCCTGGAAGAGTGGTAAGGAAGAGATGGAAGGTAAGTAGGTAGGTAGGTAGCTCGAGGTAGGTAGGGAAGGCAGGGACTGAGTGACTGAGGCACTGGAGTGAGTGGCCTAGCCTACCTAGCCTGTTGTAAATAAGGTGACTATGAATGCGAGAACAGGCCGCGGCTTCTGAGCAAAAGTGAAAGTGGGCGCGCCCAGACTAGCGGGTAGGTGTATTGGGTAAGGTCGATGCTGGGCGGTGGTAAGGTAGGTGGAGGTGGAGGTGGAGGTGGAGATGGAGATGGTACTATGGTATGGTGATGGGTTTACACTGTGGGGGGCGCTGGTGATGGTGGCAATTGGCAGTTGGCAGCCAAGAGTTGACTGACGCCCGTACCTTGCACAGTGAAAGTGCCGTGCAGTGTAGGTAGGTAATAGGCAGTGTAGTCCTACTACGTAACTTAGTCGGCAGGTATGGAGGTAGCTAAGGTAAGGTGAGGTGATGGTGTCGGGAGGTGGGTGGGGGAGTGGAGTTGTTGCGTCGGGACTTGGAGGGGCCAGAGAAGCAAACTGCACAAGAGAAATGGCAGTCGGTCCGTGATTGCTGCTCGCCGTGTTGCTAGTCAAAAGGCGGCGGTGTGGGAGCCGGCGAGAAGGGAAGAGGTGGGAGAATAAGAGAAAAAGCGAGAGCGAGAGCCCGCAGCCGACTGCAAGGAGAACGAGACTGACACACAAAAGCAAAGCCCGCGCGAGATCAGATCAATGGCATTGGATGGGGATGGATGTGAGGCATCGGCGGCGCTGCGGGCAGGAGGAGCGAACCGACGAGAAGAGATGGTGGGTGTCACCAAAAAACCACAGCCGGACAAGGGTCAGGGCAAGGAAGAGGGTGGGTGACCCGGCTGGCTGCTGGCTGTTGGCTGTTGGCTGTTGGCTGGCTGTTGGCTGCTTGCTTCTGTTTCTTCCGTCTCTCTGCCAGATCGAGGAGGGGAAACAAGGAAACAGGGGACAAGCCGACGCCGAGGCCAATGACAGGGACGAGGACAGGGACAAGGGACAAGGGACAAGGGACAAGGGACCAGGACGCCCTCAACGTGGTGGAAGGGGCAAGGGCCGCAGCATCTATCGTAAAAGGGAGATCTCGTCCGTGCCATTTGCACTCAAAGTCCCCAACCTTCGCCGTGCATGTCCTGACATTGAGGAGAGGAGGCATGGATTTGGACTACCAGGTTGGTGCGTGGTAGCCCAAAGAAAGGGTCTATTACCACACACACAACACACACACACACACACACACAACGCACACACGCACAGACATAGGTACGCACACACATACGCACACCTTCACAGACACAGACACGGACGGGGCAGTCGAAAGACAACACTGAACACTGAACACCGAACCGAGGCCCACCATCGAATGCGGAAATGGTCCTTTAGCAGGCACCTATCCAAGCCTCCAGCACGGAGCTCTTATTGATGGATAGCAGATGCCGACCGGGGTGGATGTGCTAGAGTACAGTATTAGTAGCCCGTTGGGAAAATAGGTACAAGCAATGAGTCGGCATACCGGTATTCGTACAGTACCAACCTACGTACGCATGTGTCGAGCCAAGACCCGACTCACCACCAACTGGCATTAGCACGTCCGGCAGACAGGTCCTACCCAACGTGGGAGTGGGTTCCCAAGCCGCAACGAGACCCCGAGAGCCAAGACCCCGGTCTGGCAAGTTACGAACCCGCATGCATATCGACAGACTGAATGGCCGGATGGCGGCTGGCGAGGGTTGGTTCGATGGGTCCAGATTGCAGATTGCAGATGAGTGGCATGCCGTGCCGTGTTACCGTTTCCAACATCCACCGACTGCCATGCCCTCATTCGTTCATCCAGTTCCTCGCTCACTTTGCCCATGCTCCGGCGTGCCGAAGGGGCCTTTTACATCGAACAGCCATGCTCCTATTCCCGGACAGCATCAGGCGGTGTCGGGGGTGTCTCACACACACACACACACACACCTTTTCTCTCTCCTCCTCTCTGTCTCATCTCACTGCCCATCTCATCTCCATCTCCGTCTCCAAACTCCAATTCCTGCTCCAACTAGCGTGCAATAATACGGTTGCTAATAAAATACCACTCAGGGATTAAGTTACAGCCCTACAAGCAAGGTTCCTGGTGGCTGGCGAACCGTCGACGTCAGGTCTCGCAATTGCCCGACACTCAAACAGCGAGGCGAGGTGGATGGCCCTGAAGCGCGCGGTCGGCCAGTGCATCCGTCTTAACCTTATCCCCGCTCTCCTTAATAAACTCCTGGCAATTGGCAGGGTTCGTTCAAGTCCGGCGGGCGTCCATCCGCGCATCGCCTTTCTCGCATACGAAGATCATCATCAAGCCTCCAACCGACATGTGTCCTGCAGCCACCCAAAAGGCGGTCCCAAAAGGCGGTCCCTCTTGCAAGGCACCGTAAGCAGCCCCCTGCCTATTATTCAACAGACTTTTTGAACAATGGACCCTGAAACTTGAAGCCGACTAGCCGTAAGCCTCGCATCCCTTCCAATGTCCGTACTCCAGCCTACTGAAGGCTAGAGGCCGGCCAAGCGAGATGCCGAAGTCTACTCGAGAGCCGGCTCCCTCGGGCGCTTCTCGGACAGGGCCCGCTCCTTCCTCTTCGGACCCTCCGAACGGTTGCCAAAACCTTAAGTTATTAGCAACCTCGTCTCTGTGCAACGCGACTAATCTGAGCGAAAGCATATCCCCAAAAAACCTCCACAAACACTGCCACCATCACCAATACCACGACCGTTGCAATCACCATCTCCAGCTGCCACCTGCTCCTTACGCTCATCATGCTGCTGGGACGTGCTCCTCGTGCTACAAGTGCCCCTCGTGCTCCTCGTGCTCCTCGTGCTCCTCGTGCTCCTCCCATTCAGCTGTCCCCAACGACAGGCCCAATTCCTGCGTCTCCTCGACGCAGCCACAATCTCGAGGCTCACAAAGCCTGTCCATTTCGGTAGGTTCCATGTACACCGCAGCCAACGACCAGCATCACCCCATCCCAAACCCAGACCCAGACCCATTTCCATGCCTACAAGCACCTAAGCACCTACCTCCGACTTGACCCTTGGTCACCTAGAGGCAGTCGATGCAGCTCACGGTCATGCTGCTGTGTGACACAAACATTGCACAGTGTTACACATCCCTCGTCTCGCGCCCATCTCCAGGTCCCTTTGATCGCATGCCATGTCTCTCACGACGGTACGAGAACCAGAAGCACTGCCCTTGCGCAACCATCTCATCTAGGTCGGCATCTCTGCCTTGGTCGGATCTCTGCCTCATCGCCAGCTGTGGAGGGGTGGGCCATCTATCCAGCTCATTCCGAAGAGTCATTTCACCTAAAGGCCCCTCCCCCCAGCAAGCCGTCATGTTGTGAACCTGCAGCTAGCTGCCGAGGCGCCGTTTCTCTGCTGCGGGAACGTGTCCAGTGTGATCCTCGACATCACCCAGCCTCCGATCAACAATGGCTGAGCAGACAGGTCTTACACCCGCTCAGCAGTGACCAGCCCTGGGAAAGTTGTGCCTGTCTATCCTGTCTCATCCAGGCATATCTGAATGATACCGTCCCAAAACAAATCGACGCCTTCGGAGGCCTGCGGCAACGAGACTGGTGGCCGTCACTTTGGCCGTTCCACAAGTACGAGCCATCTCTGGCTGCCTGGACTAGCGGAGGCTGGGCAATGCGTACAGCATTCAGCTGGTCTCATTGTGGGTGGAGGTTCTGAGGGACAAACGCCATTTCTGCAAGGTGGTATTGGCTTTTGGCCTGGAGTGACTTGGATGCCGGCCCCTGACCGCCACAACGTTCACCAACAACATGGCCAAGTCTCTGTCGAGAGTCAAGCTCCTCCAGGCCGTACTGTAGCCTCGCGTGATTACACCAGTACTCTGAGTCAACGTTTCTGTCCGGCAACCTCCACGACTGGGCGTCGACACAGGGCCCAAACATGAGTTAGAGTTGCGCCTCGTGTTCGGATGAAGCGCCCAGTGCGTGGTTGCTCGCGGGAAGCCACGCCAATGCCTCGGGATCGTGCATCAGACCAGGTTACTGTATCCTTCCACCAGTTCACGCCGTTGGAGATCGGCACTGGCGCGCTGCGTGCCCAGCTCTCGTGACCTGCCATAACCGACGCGGGGGTAGTTTTTTATTCTCGATGGCCCTCAATAGTTGTGATGACTGTTACCATGCCAATGTGTCTCTGATCTACGTCTCGTCTTGACACCAACTATACCTGAACCTCTGCATCTACCCGCAGTCGTAAATAGCATGGTCACGCGGATCGGGGTATGTTCTTGGGGCGAGACGGTGTGACGACTTCCGACCACGTAGCCAATCCTTGGATGGAAACCAGTTGGTCCTCGTCACTATCTCGAAGCCAAGCCGGCCTCAAGCATAAGCAAGACCACCGGTGGCAATTGACTCACAGTTCCTGCTGCAGCTGTCTCTCGCGCACAGCGGCCTGTCATCCATCCGAGCGGCGGAATGCCCAGTGCCGCCTTTCTGCCAGCCAGTCACTCAAGGCAGATGGTCTGCAGGATGAAGCACACGCATTCCGTCACCCACCTCCCAGTGTCGCGGCTACGGCCCCGGGGACGGCCTCTCTCGGTGCCGGCGGCTAGTCACATGCATAGTTCTCCGCGGCCGACGAGAGGTTTTCCGGGGCATCTTCGTACAATCTCGGATGCAAAGTGAGATCCGGTGCTACAGCCAGCGAGTTGGGAATCATCGCCGTTCCAGGAACTAGTCAACCCCGACCCGTTCGGAGGCAGGGAGCAGTCGCCAAAGAACCGCTCCGAATGCAACGTGCCTTTCTTCTAGAAATCGCCGATGAGTCCTAGGACAATTTGCAAGGTTAGGTTTCTATCGCATCCATCGCGCAAGTTGTTCATGTTGTTCGGACCGTTGCAGTTTCCGATCCTAGCCTATAATTATATACACCGTCTCTCCGGAGTTGGTTCTTCAACCTTGCCCTATATACCCGAGGCGGCATGTCAAATATCCTAACTTACTATTTCTCGATGCCTCTATTCTTTAACCGTATCTACTCCTCTTACAAGCTCCTCAAATCGTAACTTGACCGGCGATATCCAATAGTTGTTGACGGAGGCTCAACTCAGTAGGCGTTTCTATGCTTCTGTTCTCGCAGTAGTGGGTTCAAATGCCATATTAATTGCGGACGAGAGAATGAAGTTTAGACTCAGGTGTTGAGTTTTCTGATTCAAGGTCAAGCAGACAATATTCTACACAGTCAGTCGTAGGCGTGACACCTCGTGTCCCGCCTAACGGTGCCTACCAGCTTATTAGCGTCCAGAAGCGGTTCACAGGCCACATTGGATACCTTAACGCCTCCTAGATAATTATCTTGGTCGTAACGGCACTCTGCAAGCCACCATGCACATATCCTTGTAACTTAGCAAAGCTGAAAGCCATGGCGTACTACTGAGCTACCAGCCAAGCCTCATTGTTCCTGTTGACCAAAGTAGTAACTGTCATGGGAGTCTTATACTCTTGACTTATCTCTCAAGCACCACGGCTCTCCATAACTCGTATATCTAAGTAATGCATAATTAAAATATAAAAATGCAAGGTTCATTATCTAACCTTTATTTATCAAGTCTAAATGTTGCGTGCATGTCATGACGATGGAGAGCTGCTGTCCGTCTTGCGCTGAGTCGCAACAATCAGTAGCTCGCGCACGGGCCGCCTCGCCGCCTAATTGCCGTTCTGGGACGTCAGTGTAAAAAAATCAGTTGAAGAAAAGTCACCAGCACCCACTACAACACCAACAGCAATCGACCAACAACGCCAATCGCCAGCTCGTCAAGATGTTTGCTGTACCAGGATGGTCCGTGGCGGCAGACACCCTCAAGTCTGAGACGCAGTCCGCTGGCAACAATGCTCCCGCCTCAAAACCCAGGAAGCGCAAGCGAGCAGGCGCCGCTGCCGCCGCTGCTGCTATCGAAGGCGTCACAGCCTCGACGGTTGCCGACCTGTGGGCATCTGTCATCGAGGGCAAGAAGAGCGATGATCCGAAGCCCGGACAGGCTGCCAAGCGGCAGAAGAAGGGCGGCAAGGGAGATGTGAAGGCCGCCGGTGCCAAGGATGAGAGCGGCGACAAGAAGAGTGAGCAGGAGGGTGAGAAGGAGAGTGAGACGCAGCCCAAGCAAAAGAAGGACAAGAAGAACAAGAAGCAGAAGCAGAAGCCCACAGACGATGCCGATGCCGCCACCTCAGAGCCGACCTCAACAGCAAAGACCGAGGCCGTCACCAAGGCCGTCGCACCTCCCGCTCCCAAACTCACACCCCTCCAAGCGTCCATGAGAGAGAAGCTCATCTCGGCGCGGTTCCGGCACCTCAACGAGACGCTGTACACGCGCCCTTCCGAGGAGTCGTACCAGCTCTTCGACGAGTCCCCCGAGATGTTCGACGAGTACCACGAGGGCTTCCGCCGCCAGGTCAAGGTCTGGCCCGAGAACCCCGTCGACAGCTTCCTCAAGGACATCCGTGGCCGCGGCCGTGTCCGCCAACCCGGCAAGCAGCGCCCCGGTGCGCCTCCGCTTACCCTCGCCAAGACGGTGCTGCCCCGGACGAACCAGGAGTGCACCATTGCCGACCTTGGGTGCGGCGACGCCCGCCTCGCCGAGGCCCTGCAGACCGACGGCAAGAAGCTGCGAGTCACCGTCAAGAGCTTCGATCTCCAAAGCCCTAGCCCGCTCGTCACCAAAGCCGACATCGCCAACCTGCCCCTCCCCGACGGCTCCATCAACGTGGCCGTCTTCTGCCTCGCCTTGATGGGCACCAACTGGGTCGACTTTGTTGAGGAGGCCTACCGCATCCTGCACTGGAAGGGCGAGCTCTGGGTTGCTGAGATCAAAAGCCGCTTCGGCCCCATCCGCAAAAAGAACGCCCCCGTCACCCACAGCGTTGGAAACCGCAAGAAGATTCAGAAGGCCAAGGGCAAGGGCGCCGACGACGGCAATAACGACGAAGACCTGTCTGTCGAGGTAGACGGTATGGAGGACCGCCGCCGCGAGACGGATGTCTCCGCCTTTGTTGAGGTGCTCAAGTCCCGCGGCTTCGTGCCCCAGGGCGACCGTGAGGCGATCGATCTATCCAACAAGATGTTTGTCAAGATGCACTTCATCAAGGCTGCACAGCCGACCAAGGGCAAGGGAGTGAAGCCGCAGGAGCCTCCTAGGGGGAGGAGGCCCATCATCCGCAAGATTGATCCGATCGACGAGCAGCCCGAGGTGAACGAGGCTTCCATCCTAAAGCCCTGCGTCTACAAAATTCGATAGGGGAGTTGATTTCTGGGCTGGTACTGTATTTAGTTTCCACGACGACGAATACCCGCATCATACACTGTCATGTCTTGTTTTAGTTTATCTGAAAAGGGGGTTTTCTTAAAAGTCATTCCTTGCGAGCAAAGTAGAAAAGTCAAATGTAATCTCTCCGCATGTGCGCGGCCGAGCCATCGTCTCTATCCACCTGTCACCACGAGCTGTCCAGAACCCGTATCTAATTATCATCCGTCTCACGCCAAAACTCTGAACTTCCGTCCTTGTCCTGATACCTGATACCCTGTCATGCTAGTCATAATGCCTTTCGAGTGTCCCAGATTACGAGAAGAAGATGAGGCTGGCGGCTACATCGGGGTTTCCCTCTGCCGCCTGCAAGGCCTGGATTGCCTGCTCTCTAGTGGCTCCCATGGCTACCAGGTTTTCGACCGCTTCAGGCGAGATGTTGGGCCTCGAGGCTGGTGGTTGAGCGGGCGGCGCGGTGGGAGCTGGTGCGGGAGCGGGAGCCTGCGGTGGTGCAGCCGGGGGCTGTTGCTGCGGAGCATCTGGTGGTATCACAGCTCCCGATCGCTGGCCGATGGTGGTTCCTGAAGGGCCAGGTAGAGTGGGTTCCTCGGTGAGGGTCTCCTCTTCTCTGGGAATTTCAGCCTCTCCCAGGAAAGGAACCTCCACGCCCTGGATGATCAGCTTGTCTTTGGCCAGGTCAATAGAGGCCTGGTATCTCTTGAGCATGTCCAAGCCAAGAAGCAAATCGACAGCCTTGCCCTCCATGACTGTAAAACTGCAAGGCAAGAAGAGGTTGCCAATCTTGATCTGAGCAGAGTGAACACGTCCAATAATGGTCGCGGTTCCCACACCACGGGCTACACCAGCGAATCGTGTATCAACCAACCGCATGATGCCACATACCTCAGCGCAAGCAGGAGACATGATTGTGGCCTGGGCACCGGAATCAACCAGCGCCTTAACCTTATAGCCATTTACTTCAACGTCCACGTAGAGCATGTGGACTCTGCCAAAGACTGGAGACAAGTCAGCAATTGCACAAGTATTATGCGGGGAGGTCGAATGGCATACCTTCTGGGTTGTGCTCCATAGCGTTTTGCAGGTTCTCCATGACTCTCTCCTGGCGGATCATCTCCTCGATCTTCTTCTGGTTGTCGATATTGAAAGGGTCGTCATTGAGTCTCTCTATCTCTCTTTGTCGTTCTAGACGCTCTCTATTTTCACGGTCTTGGCTGTCATGGAATATGCGGGCGAAGCGGGCCGGGTCCTCTACTGCGGAAGCCAGGTCAGGATGTTGTCTCTGAAGCTGCTGCCTCAATGTAGGATTTCCAAGGACCTGTAGGCGGATGAGCTCAGGATCTTGTTCATTGCTTGCCCGTCTCCGAGGCTGCTGGGGGCGGGGCGCCTGGTCGGGGACGCCAGTGCTGCCTCGCATATCCCGAACATGCAGGGCCAACATCTCTCCATCAGTGATCTGCAGCTGCTCCATGGTCTTGGAGTCATCTGAGATGAGACGGCCATTGTGGTAAATGTGTTGTGAGGTCGCAGGAATGGTAGATTCGGCGTGGATGGACTCGCGGAGTGTGGCCATGGTCATTTCGGGGAAGATCTCGAGGGTAAGCAGGCTGTCCTGCTCCCCGGCCTGGGGGTTAAAGATGTTGAGGGTGATGCGCCTGGTTGCCGGTGACGGGTCAGCATTGAGCAATAGCGGGGCTACGGGAGCTGGATGTAGATCTTACATTTTGGGCAGGTCTGCGAGCTCGGATTGCTCGGTTGGTTACCAGGATACGCAGAGAGGAGGTCTGGTCGGGGTAGGAGGAGGAATCGAGGGGACAAGTGGCTAGGTTGCAGTCGTGGTTGTGGCTGTGATTTTGGTTGTTTGTAGTGGCAACCCTGGGAGGCTTGAGGTTACTGGGCTTGCGTAGGCCCAGCAGACAGCACCGAGAGATGATAGACAGGTAGCAAGCGAAGCTCAAGCCTACCTGTCTGCTTGGCTGTCCGGGTGGTTGGTGAGGAGAAGAAGTATCTGAGGGTGGCGAGCAGAACCAGTGTGGGGGGCAAGTCGAAGGTTCGGAGGAGGGAAAAGGGAGAAGGAGAGGAAGAAGGGAGAAGGGAGGGAGAAGGGTTGGAGCCGGAGGCGGAGTGGGGGAGGTTTAGGTCGTGACGCGGATCTTGGAGTCGCTGGCTTCAGGACGGATGGAGTTTGATGGATTCGAGGTCAAAGCGACTCGTGGACGGCAGGCTGGCTGGGTGAACTAGTACCGTACCGGGAGAAGCAGATGGAGCTTGGCTGGGGAACCTTGGAAGCTGACGGAGCGCCGTTCAAGGTTACAGTGGGTGACGCGGGCGATGCCCCGGAACGTTTTAGGTAGCCTACCGCCTACGTACTCGGTCCCTACAACCTGGAACCCGAAGGTTAGCGGAGTGGAGGTACAGTAACGTACCTACCTACCTACGAATAGAGGGGAGGGGGCGCTGGAGGGGCAAATTTCGCTGTGGCTTTGCTTAGTGGGCCTCGGCGGGCGCGGCGGTGACGACACAGCAGCGGGCATCAACCGCTCGCCAGCTTCCCGTCTACAGTGGCGCGGGGGATGTCTCGGGTGCTTCAGTGAGTTGCCTGTTAATTGGCGGTGGCCTAGGGCCGCCGTCTAGCCAGCTACGACCCCCCACTGCCACGCTCCCGTCTCGCGGATCTACTTCCCATCCTAGTTCATATCCTCCGCAATGACTAGGTGCGTAGTAGCAGGTGCTCCATAGGAGGCACGTAAAAGGCAACAAGTCCAGTTCGCCTTCCATCCATCGTCAGCCTCGGTACTAATTTAGGTACCTATCTAAGCTTACTCCCTCTGGCCTTCACTTGATCAACAACAACAACACCACCGCAACGGTTTTCGGCTCAGTTGACGGCTGGTTGCCTGCTCATCTGCGCGTATCTGCCTGCCCGCCGGCTTGATCTGCCTCGTTGTCTGCCTGTTTGATTGTACAACTTGTTTGCTTTGTTTACCTTGCTTGCTTGTCTTCCTCCCTGCTAGTCAGACAAGTGAGTCAGTCAACAGTCTGTCAGTCGGTCACGGGGAGACGTGGTGCTGTCATGTCATTCGATCACCTCCGCCCATCGAAAGCTACCGAAGCTCACCGGTTCTTCTTCCCGGAGCGGATTTTAACGGCAGGCCGAGCAGGCTGATACCAGCGGCGGGCGTCCATGAGGCACTGACCACGATGACGAATTGACACGAATACATCAAGGCTTGGGGCATTCTCCCTTGCTGACTGATGCTAGGCAAAGCCGTCCCACGACAGCTTCCGCGTATCAGCCTCCAACATCGTACAGTTCTGACATGGCTCCTCGGGTCGACATTGGTTCGCATCTCGCAAGCCTCTGCCCAAACCAGGCTAAATTCACTCAGATGCGTGTAAACGAGATGCGGGCGCCTAAGTGTCGCAAATCATATACGCATCGATGCCCAGGCAAGCATCCAATGCCGGCCGAGATGCACTGCTGCTGGTGATTTGGAGTAGAGCTTGCCCTGAGATCGTCACGGATGCTGCCGCTCCAGGGAGAGACCTAGTCCGAGACCGTATGGGGGCCAATTACATATCGCTGACCGCGACAGGGAGCCAAAGCGAGGTGCAGGATGATCTCCTCTGCAGCACCTTTTACCCTTGTTTAGCGATGTGGTTGATGTGCGGAATTGCCGCTTCCCCGATATCTCCAGAGTCGGCAGCTCAACCGCATCGAGATGACTAAATACTCTAAACTATCCTTCCCGGGACCCTTTGGTTCTATTTCAGATTTAACTTGATCGTTGACTCTGAACAAAGTCGAGCAGGGATGCTGCCCACGGCCCAATAGCGCCACAGAGGTACAGTCTACAAACCAGAACGGAAACGCTTCCGGCGATGCCTCAGGGCATGTGGCCACTGCAGCCACCATTGCCTGCAGTGTATGCGCAGGGGCACTCGATTGCATCTAGTTGAGTCATTATCTTGCAGCAGGTGATCTGTACCTAGGAAGGGTTGGATTTCGGGAGGCGTCCTTGATGAATGTGTGTGTGCGGCCCAGGAACCCTGGTCGTTGTTATGCCCTTCCACATGCCTACTGCGAGGTACTTCGTACGCACCATGAGCCTTGTTTCTCGCACATTGTGGCCTGCTCCGTCGCCCAGATCGAGAGCCAGCGTCGGCGATTACTCTAGAATAGCCAGAATACTACCAATTATCACATTCATTGCTTGCCACTCACCCCGGTCACGCGACTCTGATAATCAAAAACTACCTGCCCGGCTGTCCAGCTAGGTAAGTACCAAGGTAGGTACGGCCGTAGCTGTCTGTCACGCCTTCCTTCGGTCGCCGACTGGGCAAGCGGGCAAGTGCGACGCTGAAGGTGAAGTGGCAATCGCATTATTCTGTCCCAATGAGATCATTCAGCCAGACGCATCATTTTGACATGTCTCCTGTCGACTTGTTCATCCAAGACGAATGTTCTACCACTCCACCACTCACCACTCACCACTCATCACTCTCATCCATCTGAAGCCGCTCCGAACGTGTCTTTACCCACCCCACCACCCAGCCGAGTTATTTCCATCCTGCTCCCATTCCCCATTCCTCGAAGGAGTTGGCTTAGGCACGGTCCTCCCCAATATCCATAGTCCCACCTGCCCCATCTCGGCGCCGTCTTCATCGTCCGATCTCTCGGGTCCGTGGGTCCACTTGGGCCCAGAGCAAACCAACTGACGTCCATCGCCTCCAGTACCCCGTGACCTTCGATCGTGAACTGTCCGTGATTCACTGACTCAACGCCTCAGCTCAGTGGTTAAACAACTTCGCAACTTGCTGCTCAACCTGCCGCACTTGCGTTTTTTTATCGTGTTGGAACCTGAGGGCGATGCTGTTTGTCTCGCCATTGTCATCGTCATCAAACGAATTGGCAAAGAGGTCAGGGGGATCAGTTCGGGCGAGGACGAAAACCGTTGGCCAAACCAACTTCCAAACCACAGAACGCCCTTGTCTGCAGTCTTCTACAAAAGCCCCGACCTGTGAACTGCATTAGCGGCTTCGTATCTGCAAGGGCAGGATTTCATAACCAAAGGGGAACCTGGAATAACCAAGGGCTCACTGACAACCCTCACGACCGCCCCGGCATCGCCAGCCCAACATGGATCGAAAAAACGAGTTCGCGACTGCGGCTCGGGACATAATCTTCTCTGACGGGCCTACCGCCGAGAGAGATGAAGACCAAGACGCCGATGCCATCGATGATTCCTGCGATGCTGATGAGGAGATGGTCATGACCAAGAGAAACATCACTCAGTTGAGAATCCAGAAACGAAACTCCGAGGCTGGGCTTTTGAAGAAAGTCATCCCCTTCCATTGGGCCCCGATGCTCTCACCTCTAACCGAGAACGACATTGAAACCTGCGTGACACTCGAGAACGCTGCTTTGTCGGACCCGAAGCATCGAGCAAGCAGAGAAAAGGTATATCGGAACTTCTCCTTTCTCTCCGAGTGGCTGCTTCTTAGCGATTTCGGGGACCGAATTTCTCACTCCGACTAATCCGTCATCCCTAGATCGAGTATCGCATTCGGAAATCCGGAGGGGTGTGCTATGGCTTGTTCAACACAATCAGACCCGATGATGCAAAGGACTGGCGGATTGCAACTATGAACCCTAGTCGACCCGTCGAATCTGGACGCACCGATCATGCCAAGCATGTCATGTTCGCTCACATCCTTGCGACACTTGGTAAACATCCAGTCATCACGGATGCCGACATGGAATTCCCCGAACATTGGCGAGATCCTGTGGCCTCCAAGGGCTCACCTCTGGGCCACCAATCGTCAGGGAGAACAGTTTGTCTCCATTCCTGTGCTGTTTGTCCTGAGGTCCAAGGCGTGGGCATCGGCAAGACAGCGATGAAGGCGTATCTTCAACTCATAAATGAATCTGGAATGGCAGATCGGGTTGCTTTAATATGCCAGCCAGTAAGTTTCGAATATACTGTTCTCCCAAAAGACTTGTACCCAGCTAACAATTCTAGTACTCCATTCAATTCTACAAGGGTTTTGGTTTCAGGGATCTTGGCCCGAGCACAAAGGCTCTGGCTGGCCAAGGCTGGCATGCCATGGTAAGCAGGTGTCATATTATCCAGCTTCGCTTCAGAACCTAACCATCTCCCAGGTCCTTGAACTAGGCGGACCGAAACCAAAGGTCAAGGAGGAACCCACTAGAGTCAAGAAAACGTAGCCAAACAATGGGGCCTGGCTCTCAGGTTCACGCAACTTCTTTGCGGTCTCTTTCCAACAACGGATGCCGGGTAATTAGTTGCCTACCCGGAGGACTTTTTCCCGAATTGTTCTTGTCACAGTTGCCCGGCTTCCATCAGACAAGCAAAATATCTTTTATAATCGCATAGCTGGTCTAAAATTCAGCACTTTTTCCCGGGTTCTTCTTAGTGACTACATTTATTCGCTGTTCTAAAGAATATAGTCGTGACGCCGGTGCACAGTGCATGGGATTTTTCTACAGTGATGGTCTCTTCATATTGAGACATAATATCAAGTTCAGCACATGGTGATGTTCCGTATGGTTGGAATTTCGTGTCTTGCCGACAGAACTACCTAGCAAAGGTCGCCTTTTATTTATGAATCACGGTATTCCCTTCGTTTAGTCGGTAGCCTTGTACTTCTGTCGATACTCCTCGGTCCGCTGGATGTCCTCCTCTGAGGCAAAGCTCTTCATGCCCTCAATGATATCATCCAGGGTCAGAATAGCAAAGATGGGGATGCTGTACTCCTTTCGCAGCTCGCCAATGGCGCTAGGTCCGGGCCTGGACTCGTCACCATCGGTAGCAGGGAGCTTCTCCATTCGATCCAAGGCAACGGCGATACCAACAACAATACCACCCTCCTTGCGGATCTTATCGATGGCCTCTCGCTTGGCGGTACCGGCGGTGATGACGTCGTCAACGATCAGAACCCGCTTTCCCTTGAGTGGTGCACCGACAATGTTGCCACCCTCGCCGTGGTCTTTAGCCTCCTTTCGATCGAAGGAGTATGAGACGGTATCAAGAGTCTCGGGTGCCAACTTGCCAAGCTCGACGGCAATGGTGGCAGCAAGTGGAATGCCCTTGTAGGCCGGGCCGAAGATGATGTCAAACTCCAGACCTTCTTTTCGGGCGTCGACGACGGCCTGGGCAAAGGCCGTGGCAATAGCGCTAGCCAGGCGGGTTGTGTGGAAGAGGCCGGCGTTGAAGAAGTAAGGGGAGATGCGCTTAGACTTGAGCTCGAAGCTGCCGAACTTGAGGACGCCTCCAGAGATGGAGGACTGCAGGAATTCCTTCTTGTACGGAGCGAGGGAAGACATTGCGGGAGATGTCGTGATATAGTTGGCTGGGTGGTGGGGTGTGAAGTAAGACGGAGAATGAGAATAGAGGGGAGAAGTGTTTGGTTGATCTGTAGGTGGGTTAGAACGTTGTGAAAAGAGTCATATTTAAATTGGGTTGAATCTCACCTCTTTGAACCAATATGTCGGTTGGATCTGAGGCTGGAAGTGCGATATTCTGATGATGGTGAGTGAATCAAGTTTGCAATCCCCTCGTCGCCCTGCCGAAGTGCCTTCTTCTTCCACCCTCCCACTGTATTTTGTTGGTGGGGTTCGGCGGGGTGAAAAATGAGCCTTGTACCGCACCCGCAAACAACAGGCGTGGAGTGACCTTGGTCCTTATCCCACGCGCAGGCTTATCGATAAGCAGACCCGCCACGACTCCACCCACCTCTTTCGAAAAAAAAATTGACCGCCCACCTGAATTTGCCATCTCGTCTCGTCTCGTTTCGACTCGAGAAGTCATTTGTCGTGCAGAAACATCCACCACCAGATCGCCCATCATGAAGACGACCTGGAAGGACATTCCCCCCGTTCCCACTCAGCAGGAGTTCCTGGACATCGTGCTGAGCAGGACCCAGCGCAAGCTGCCCACCCAGATCCGCGCTGGCTTCCAGATTAGCCGTATTCGAGGTTCGCATTGTCCCAGCCTCCAGCCTCCGGCCTGCCCTCTCCCCGGCCGCTTCGTCCTCGCTTCCCCGTCGCTGACACAATCCTCACAGCCTTCTACACCCGTAAGGTCAAGTTCACCCAGGAGACCTTCTCGGAGAAGTTTGGCGCCATCCTGGAGAGCTTTCCCCGATTGCAGGATATCCATCCTTTCCACAAGGATCTGCTCAACACCCTCTACGATGCCGACCATTTCAGAATCGCCCTCGGCCAGATGTCGACGGCCAAGCACCTGATCGAGACCATCTCTAGAGATTATGTCCGCCTGCTCAAGTATGGCCAGTCGCTGTACCAGTGCAAGCAGCTCAAGCGTGCCGCCCTCGGTCGCATGGCTACCCTCATCAAGCGCCTCAAGGACCCGTTGATGTACCTCGACCAGGTCCGCCAGCATTTGGGTCGTCTGCCCTCGATTGACCCCAACACCCGAACTCTGGTCATCTGCGGCTACCCCAACGTCGGAAAGTCCAGCTTCCTGCGCAGCGTCACCCGCGCCGACGTCGATGTCCAGCCCTACGCCTTCACTACCAAGAGTCTGTTTGTCGGTCACTTCGACTACAAGTACCTGCGATTCCAGGCCATCGATACTCCTGGTATTCTCGACCACCCTCTTGAGGAGATGAACACCATTGAGATGCAGAGGTATGTAGATCCACACGCACCGTCGCAAAGCCACCGTATTAACAGCATGTAGTATTACTGCCATCGCTCACTTGAGATCCGCCATCATGTACTTCATGGATCTTTCGGAGCAGTGCGGTTACACTGTCACCTCCCAAATCCAGCTGTTCAAGAGCATCAAGCCTCTTTTCTCAAACAAGCTCGTCTTCATCGTCATCAACAAGATCGATGTCACCCGAATGGAGGATCTCGATGCCGAGCTCCAGGCCGAACTTCAGAGCCTCCTTAAGGCTGGTGAGGTTGAGCTTCTCCAACTCTCTTGCAATACCCAGGAGGGTGTTCAGGAAGTCAAGAACGCTGCTTGCGAGCGCTTGATTGCTGAGCGAGTCAACCAGAAGCTGAAGGCCGGAACCAACACCAGCGGTGCCATTGGTGGCCGACTAGCCGACGTCATGTCCCGAATCCACGTCGCTCAGCCTATGGGCGGCAAGACTCTGGAGACTTTCATTCCCGAGGGCCTCAAGGACCGCAAGAAGTACGACAAAACGGACCCTGAGCGCAGAAGAACTGCCCGGGATGTTCAGGATGAGAACGGCGGTGCCGGTGTCTTCAACGTCGATCTGCGTGACGACTACCTCCTTGCGAACCCCGAGTGGAAGTACGACAAGGTCCCCGAGATCTTCGAGGGCAAGAACGTCTACGACTTCGTCGATCCCGATATTGAGGCCAAGCTCCAGGCTCTTGAGGAGGAGGAGGAGAAGCTCGAGGCCGAGGGATTCTACGACTCGGACGAGGAGATTGAGGATGATGAGGAGGCCGAGGTCATGCGCAAGGCCGAGATCATCCGCGAGAAGCAGCAGCTGATCCGCAACGAGGCTCGCATGAAGAAGAGACTCAAGAACCAGGCCATCATCCCTCGCAAGAGCATGAAGAAGCCCCTCTCCGAGTTCGAGGATGCCCTCGACTCCCTTGGTGTCGACACTACCGAGATTACCGAGCGTGCCTTTGCCAAGTCCCGCCCACGTGGTCGCTCGCTGTCTCGCAGCCGCCTGGGAACGGAGGATCCCGATGCCATGGATGTCGATGGCCGCAGCGGTACTCCTCGCGATCGCCTCCGCTCCAAGAGCCGTGCTCGCTCGATGAGCCGCCTCCCCGCCACCAACCGTCTCGAGGATGGTGTCCAGGACGAGGGTACCCGTACCAAGGCCGAGCGCATTGCCAAGCTCAACCAGAAGCGCATGAACCGCATGGCCCGACAGGGAGAGGGAGATCGACACACCACCGCCTCACTCATCAAGCATCTGGTAAGTTATACTCATTCTGTACACGTACGCTACACCGCAAGCACATTACTAACTTTCAATTCTCCAGGTTTCAGGAAAGCGTGGCATGGGCAAGACGTCCCGACGATAGAAAATTGCATCTTGCTTCCTTTCCCCCTTCCAGCTTGTCTTTCTCTTTTCGCATGTCGTGGTTGCGGGTCGTGGGTTGCTCGGGAGTTCGGGGCGTATGGGATGGTTTGTTCCGTAGGGGAGCGAGACTCACCAAAAAGCATGTTACTCTGCGTGTGTGTTTCTTGCGATGACCCCACAGGTCGGCTAGATAGATATTTACGGCACCCCCTGAACCCCAGATAGGGTGGTTGCCTGGGACTTTTTATATATCATGATCATGAGATGTCAGTCAGTACCAATTAAGGCGAGTTATCAACGTTCAACGTCGAGATCGGTCCGTCACAGTTTGTCCGCCCGTGTCACTTTCGTTACAGAATCGTGCGTGGTTCAAAATGCGAGGTGTATATCGAAGAGGTATATTTCATCACAGTGCGTAGCATCTACAGAGTAGGACCTCGCCTCCCTGCATGGAGCTATGCAGTATCATCGCTAAGGCAAAGGAGGTCGTCGTTTTTCGCACCATGGAACAAAACGCACGAGCTTCGTCCAAGCGCACTTTCTCATCGCATCACCCACATCACCTAGGGTAGCTGGGCGCTTATTGCTCCTCGGCAACCTGGAGACCCTCCCTCAGGCCCTCAACCTTGAGGTCCTCGCCGGTGCAGCGGTGGTAGATATCCTTGACATCGTCGGTGGTGGTCTCGAAGTGGCTGGTGGCGTCGTAGCTCTTAGAGATGAAGATGTTGTCACTGGTGCCGTTCTCGAGGGGCTCAGAGATGGGGATGGGGGCACCCTATAACTCAAATTAATTGTCTCATTCTGTCACGTCTGATAGATGAGGGTGCATACCATGAACTGCTCCTCGATCTTGCCAAGACGCTCCAGACCAGGCTGGAGCTCGAGGTGGTGGTTGGCCGTGGTCTCGGCGATGGTCGAGACAATGGCGATCCAGTAGCCCTTAGGGCAGACATTGTGGGCAGATGAGACGCAAGCAATGTAGATGTCTAGGACATGTCAGAATTTGCGATATGGGTAAGATGGGAAGGGGGAAATTACCGTTCTTGCGGCCGACCTGAGACTGGGGGATGATGAGCTGGGCGGAGTCGCTGTCGTTGGTACCAGCCAGGGGGTGCGTCAAGATGCAGATGGCGCGGACGACGTGGCCGATAACCTTGGTCTTGCCGACGAAGTAAGAGGGGTCACCGAGGATCATCTTGGCTTTGGTCTCGAACTTCATCTCCTCAACGCCAGTCATGGTAGCCTTGATACCGACGGCCTTGGAGCCCTCGTACAGGATCTCGTCGACGTTGGTGTTGAGCATGTAGGTGCCGCCATAGATAGCAGACAGACGGGCGAAGCCCTGAGGGAGCTCGCCGAGACCGTAGAGAGGGTAGATGTAGGGGGACTTGCCGTACCGGGCGACAGAGTTGCCGTAGAGGCGGATGCGCTGGATGGCCTCGGGGGCCTGGCCCTTGGCATTGATGTGCTCATCAGTGAGGTAGAGAGCCATGGCATGGCCAATGAAGTCGCGGGTGGTAGCCTCAAGACCGAACTTGTCGTAGACCTCCTTCAGGGCCACGGTGTTGATGTCAAGACCTAGATAGATGATGCATTCGTCAGCCCGGGTTCTCTACAAGGCTGAGGGGTCTTTTTCTCGTTCGAACTCCAACTGGTTGGGGGAAACAAACCCTTGTGTGTGGCGGGATCGTTGACGTCGAAGGTGCCAACCCACTCAATGAAGGACTTCATGCGTCGCTTCTCGAAGATGCCCATAAGCGGGGACTTGAGAGCCTCGCCAGCATCGGACGGGACCTTGGCAACGGTGGCCTTGGGGCCAGCGCCCTGCTGGACGTAGCTGCCGGCGACCTGCTTGAACTCGAGGTATCGGGTGACGTCGGTGGAGACGAGGATGTTGGTCAACTCGCCTGAGGACATGAGGAACTTAGGGACGAGGTCGATGTTCCAGTCGTTGAGGCGGCCATACTTCTTCCAGGGCTCCTCGCCCTGGGCGTAGTTGCCATACTTCTTGAAGAGCTGTTGTGTATTCGTCGTTAGAAAAAGGTCGGATCAGAAAGGGTATGGTTCGGGACGGAGAGTGGGGGGGATGGTTGCATACCGCCTCGAGGTTTACGGAAGCAGCTTCACTAGCATAGGGGTCAGCCTTGGTTTTGTTCAAGTGCACCGGGGGAGATTCTCGAGCATCGTCGAGGAGGATTTGAACTCACCCGCCGTAGTGGTCGTTGCGGTCGATGTGGAGGACCTTCTTGCCCTTGACGCTCAGAACACTGCGAGAACCGTTAGCCAAACATTCCAAGGCATGAAAGTCATTGACGCCGACACCACGACGGAGAGCGCGCCGACAGCATGCAGCCAGCGCGGCATCGCGGCATCGCGGCATCGTGCCATATCATATCAGACATCTCGGGGCTCCCACGTACCCAGACAGAATACACTCGGTCAATCCTACAACTCGTTAGCAAAAAAAAAAAATCAGGAGCTCCCTTGTCTTGCGATGCTGGGCCCCACGCCAACAAAGCTCTGGATGCGGGGGTCTCCGGCGGACAAGACAAGACAAGGACGGGAGAACGCACCAGTGCCCAGCACGATGACATCGTATTCCTTTGCAATCTCATCCATGATGGGCGACAGTTGGAGGCGGGATGATGCGGGCGAGAAGGATGGAAGGGTGAAGGCGGTGGTGGATTATGTTGGGAGGAGGCGGTATGAGAGCCGACGTGGACGAAGCTCGAGTGGCGGGGTTGGTTGGATGGGAAGTGGATGGGACGTGGGAGCGGGAGGGGGTCATCAACGGGTGGAGACAATTCCTCTTTGGCGACTCGACTATTAGTGCTCGTCTAATGTGCTAATCCCGTCTCAATCTCCCCATAGAGACCTCCTGATATTGCTGGCTTTGCTTGGATCGAGAGTCATGTACCTGTCCTTGGCAGCCTGGCAATCAAAACGAGGCGAGCCGTCGCTGCAACGAGCGTTTGACCAGTCCGTGATTCATGTGATAAGGCCGTGTGTCGTTGATGCATTGGATTTGTAACTGTCATGCAGCGTCCCGCCGACGTCGCCCAACTGGATTCATGCGTAAAAACGCCCATTTCGGTCTCCCTGCTCCGTAGCCCCAGCTAGTCATCACCCTTCGGGCAACCAACCTCCTAGTACGACGACAAAAACGGTGAAGATAATTACATCCATTTCCCTATTCATTCGCAGGGGCTGGGTTGGATCGCCCAAATCATCCCGCCTACCCTATACCCTATAATTGGTCTCTTTTTTTCTTCCTCTCTCTTTTACGTACGTAGTTTCTTCCCTGGATTCAGGCCACCACAAACAGCACATCGAGTTCTTCCCCGTAAAAAATGTAGCCGTCTCTCGTGTTCCCATGTCCATACAAACGCACACTTAGCTTGCGTCTAACTGTATCTTACATGTTCTAGATGTACATAGCGATACAACCTCCCAGGCCCAACATAGTATCACAGACCCCTCCCCCATGACACGCGATACATGGCAGCCCTTTTTTAGGCTGGCGTCAACTTGACTTATCGAGTTACCTCCTTTTCTGTTTTGGGAGTCTCCGCCTCCGGCACGGCTGCGTCAACGGGGAGAGCGTTCTTGACCTCTCCCTCAACTTCAGCGGCCTCGCCCTCGGCCTTTGCCCAATCTGCACCATCATACTCGTCCTCGTACGCAGAGGGGGTATAGACCTGACCCTCGCCTCCCTCTAGGTTGATCTCTGGGTCGGACATGGCAACTTGGATGGCGTCCTGCCACGTGTACATCCTCTCCGTTAGGGCGTGCTTGATGGCTCGCTGGGTTTTCATGACCTGCAACGCATGCAAATTAGCACTCCAGTCCCAAAAACCACCAACAGCACTGAAAAATACATCCATACCTGCTCGTCTCGCGCATCAATCTCCCGCTCGCCAAATCCAAGCTTGGATCGGGCAAGCTCTGTCCGCGACGTTGACAGCATGTTCCTCTCACGGCAGCACACCCACCACAGCGAGTGCAGATCCTCCCATGACTTCTTTCGCAGCTCCTCCACGGTCCAAGCCCGGCCGTGCTCCTCCGTCTCCTTGGGCGTGGCCAGCAGCTTGCCCGGCGCCGGGAAGAAGCCCCAGAGGCCGTGGCCCTTGTCCGTTGCCACCTCGGGCTTGAAGTCGCGGGGTTTCGGTAGCGGCACGTCAGACATGGACAGGTGCTCACGGGGGCCTGAGCCGTACAGGCTACTGACGCCTCGGGACTTGTTGTTATCCTTGGTCTTGCGCTTGCATTGTGGTGCGGTTGTTGAGAAGTGTGAGGCGATTCGGGGTGTGGTGGTGGCAACCTGGGAGATCAGAGATGACCTGGCAGGAGAGCATGCCTTGAGTAGCCGGCCGGCAGAAGGCCGTAGTGCATTGGGACCCGCCATTGACATAGAATTGCTCGTCGTCGAGTCTGGACGATTCGATATGGCATCACCAACCAGTTGCCAAAAATTCGGTAGCTTCTGGCAGCTGAGTCATCACGTTCGTATATCACGTGATAATGCCACGGCTAAAATCAGGCGACCAATCCAATGCTCTCGCGGCCGCAGCCTACCAAATGCTCACCGAGCTACTGTGTATGGATCCCAGGCGGACCACATCTCCATCTCGTCCTCATGGCGAGTGGAACCCAGATCTTGGAGGTCTCGATGGAGGCGCACTTGCAGCACGGATAGCTGCTGGTACAAAGTACATTGGGCGGCTGATGCGGGGGCATACTCCATCCAAATGGCCCATCCCATCCCCATCGCCAAACGTCTGGAAAAAAAAAAAATTCAGGGTCCTTCTCCAGTGCCTGACTAGAAGCACAGAGCGGACCCATCGCCCGGGAGGAGCCCAGAAAAAAGAGGTTTCTACTCCATCTCGTTCTCCACGTTTCGAGACCAGCCGCACTGCGAGCGGGTGGACGTCATCGTCGCAAAGTCGCGAGACGACGACTGTCTCCTAGTTCGCGACGACTGCTCACCGCAACCCTATAACTTGCGCGCGAGTACGTAGATGCGACCGAGCTGAATGCAACCGTCAGGACAACATTAATAAACGCCAACCTCGGTATTTTCGGTATTTCGGGTCACACCAAGCCCCGCTCAGGGAACTGCTCGCGAATCTCCCTCAACCCAAGATAATAGAAACTAACTACTCGCTTTCGAGAAATGAGCCGTACGCCGCACACGCCAGCCTCCCGCAGACCGCTCGACAGCTGTCGGTTATCACCGCGGACCGCGAACTGCAACCTCGCTCACGCATTCAGTTTCATTTGGTCGCATCACGCGTGTACATGCGTCAACATGTTTCCACGATCCCAAGGCTCTCTCAAGGATCATGAGGATCAACTTCGGGCTTACTCTCTCCTACAAATCAGGTATAACCCTGGCGCCGAGAGCCAACATAGATGATACCAAGCGCGCTCGTATCCCAGTCAGCACTCGTACGTAGAAAATGCCCGGGTACGGTAGGCGTGCGGAGTACAATCGGCGCAGGACACCCATCCATGCATCCCTAATGCCTCCGACCAAGGGTTCCTTCACAAGGGCGATGTCACCCATTGCGTCTCGGCGGCGTGGGGGTGCACACTTCCCTGTCTTCAGTGTCCCTCGTCAGGCAATGATGGACCATGCAGGTCCAAATAGTTCGGGGTGATAACATCCATGTCTATCCAAATAGCGCGCATCTCGGCGCGCAGCCAGGGTACTGTTTCCCATGTTGCAATTTTCGAGAGACACTTGACAAATGTCGGTCACAATTTCAACGATTTCCTCCGCTGGATGGACGACTCAGTGGCAAGGGCCTCGATCGCGTATAACAGGTATGAACGCATGTAGGGAGAAAAGGGGGGGGGGGTTTCTCGCTAACCTGGTGCTGGACTTGCCGCGAGACATATCTGCCACATCAAGCTAAGTGAGACGGGAGCATCTTAGACCAGAGAAGGGAGAGAGATCTCGCCCAACAAACAAAAAGCAAGCACGCCAGCCATCGAACGAGACACACCGGGCCGCCAGGAATGGTCCTTCGTAACGGACGAAAGGAAGATGTGTTTTTTCATCCTCCTTCTCTCGCAGGTGCCTTGGCAACAGCCCGTCTCGCTCGTGTCCTGACACAATCGAAGCTCGAGACTGTTACCATGACAGCTAGCGTCAAGTATTATCGTACTGGGCAAAATGCCTGTGAACCAACAAGTAAAACTTAGACTCCCTGCGAAATTGTATCCCATACACCCCAGACTGACGACTCGCGACATGTTCGAGTGATTATGGGTCTCCCACATCCTGCCCGTGCCTCACGCTTCACGCCTCACGCCTCGCGCCTCGCGTCTCGCTCGAGGCGGGCACCAACTGAAGGACGGGATGGCCGTCATGGGTGGTGCGAGGTTGGCCGTCATTGTCACCAGCTTAACATACTGTCCCGGCTGAAGTTTCCTCCCGTAGCAGAAAGCAACGCATCGTAGCCGATAGGTCACCACGTGGTACATCCAAGTCCGTCACGAAAGAACCTGGATGCTGGTGGGTACCGCGTGGTGAAACGGACACGGCGGCGAGCCCAAAATTTGCGCCTCTCCGGCAAGGTTCCGCACTAGAGCTGGTAGGGGGTACTTCGGACCAGCATGATGAGACTAGAGGGCAGCTGGGCGTTCGTGACGTACATCATACTACGTATGTCGTAGCCAAGCGGGAGGGTGGTTGGCTCTGCTGAAATAAGCATTACCCCATTAGCTCGGGGCTTCGGACACATTGAACAGCGTTCTCTCGTCGGCCAACTTGGTTGGGAGTGAGCCGTGCACCTTGGAGCGATTCCGCCCTTCCACGCTTTTTAGATGCAGGCCTGGGGCAGGTCAATCTCTTGGTAGATTCGGTGGCTCGTCACTAGCCGGCTGAGTTGGACAAATGAGGTGTGGACGATGCAGGCTTTGACTGACGCCGGTATCAAGGAGCTTCGAAAGTCCGAGGCTAATGAAATATGACTCGCGCAGCCGCTGACATGCAAGCGATGCGCTGATTTGTGATCGGGTGTAAACGGCAGGCCCAACACTCCCAGGTCACCTGCAGGACGGGTTCTGCGCGAGGGCAGCGAGAGACCGGAAAACCGGCGTGGGGCATGCTGAATGAAGCCATCACCAGCACTTTTGTCGCTATGTTGAACAATGTTGTGCGTTAGAACAACGAATGTGGCTCCCGACGGGGCGTTGATGGGTAGCGGGAGACCCAGCAGGAGCTTGGAGCCTCAACCAGCTCCGTTCGGCACCACCCAGCGGCAGTTTTTTTCTTTCTCCTCTCCACTCTGGCCCGCTTCTCCAACGATTGCCGGACATGGCCCTCTTTTTTCCGTCTTGTGAGGTGTGGATGCTCGACCGGAGTCGACAAAACCTCCGGATATGACGCCGGGGGCTTCGTTTTTTCCAACGTCGCCCCTCCCTCGCTGGAAGTTGTGCACAATGTATTGCGTACAAAGGCGTTTGATCGACATCTCGAATTGTACATTTACTTGCCCAACTGGCACCTCGTAATTCCGATATCCCTGCCGTTGTCGTCAGCCACTGAATCACACGGAATTCCTGATGGAGTAGTTCCGACAGTCGGCGCAGGGATCTGCCACGAGGGTGTGTCCGTCGCGCACTTATCAGCTGATGATGCGAGCATCCTCTGACGGCTCAACAAGTACGCAGTACCTGGAACCAGGCGAGCCATGACATATGGGCAACTTTGCCGGCGGCATTCGCGCCGCCACCAGCGCTGGCCTGCCGGCTATAGTTCCCAATCCGTCCATGCCAGCCTGACTGTTACATTTGTCAGCGGAATTGTTTCTCCTGCTTCTCAGAGACTTGACATGTCGTGTGTGTGTAGTCGCGCACTGATTAATCATCGATTGACTCGTGTCGAGTGTGGCTAAACCAAGGCGACCCTTTTGGTTCAATGGCAACTGCGCACCAAAGACAAGAGGCAGACACGGTGTGAACCGAGTGTGGAAGGGGGGAGGGAGGGAGGGAGTGATATTTCGAGTCGGTGAAGTCTCGGGAAAACGTCGCCAGCAATCAGTGCTTGCGCGGAATAGTTTCGCACCTCAGCCCATGACGCAATCGCAATGGCACGACCGCTGCCGCACCAGTTGGCGATGTCGGCGAGCCGTTGGTACTGCGATGTGCCTGACTCGCTTGTTGTGCTGTTGGTTGTTGAGGTTGTGAATTTAGGATTGATGAGATTGATAACCCCTACTAGGTATGTATCCGCGATTTGGCAGTTCTTGTGTCCCACGCTCTGGGTGGTGACAGTGTCCCACAGCATTCATGCCCTGGCAAAAAGGACCCAGGAGGCGCCGCCACAAAGGTAGGGGTTGGGATCTCGTTAGCCTCCCTGCCGTGGTTGGCCGGGGCGAAGCCATGAAAAAAAAAAAGTCGTAGCGCTGGGATTAGCAGCTAGCTGTTTCTCGGGAATGACGCCTGTCTCGGTGTTTCCCGCTACTACGCACCAAGGACCGTCGCTGACGTACTATGTACCGACTGAACCTGCGGGTGTGGCCCGAGTTGGCGAGAGGAAAAAGAAAAATAAAAGGCGCTTTGCGCGGTCCGAGAGCGGTTATCGAGCAAAGACGTACGGTCACGGGGCTCTGGGCAGGGCATCGTGGGATCCGTGGTCCCAGGGAGCATTTGGTTGCGCGACGTTGAAAGTGGTGACAGGTGAGCGTCAGCGGCTCAAAAAGCGACAGCTTCTCCAATGCGCCTCTTCGCAGATGTGACTCCACTCCAACCTTCTGGAGCCATCATCGAAGCTTTCCCTGGCCTCCTCGTCGCTCTTGAGCAGCTGCACTGGGCGGGAGGGTGAGGGGTTCCAAGGGGTACAGGCTCCACCAAGATCTGGCCTGGTGGGCACAACAGCGGTGTTTTCGGGAGCCATTGGACGGCCCCATTACGGTTCCAGGACCGATGTGAGATGAAGGGAAGACCCTGGCTGGGGCGAGCCAGCGCGCCTCGTGTTAAATCCATCCGCGCGTGCATTGCGTTTCAGCGGATGCGCAGGATGGCTTTGCTACGTAGTATGGCTCCGAGCTGGACCAGCTGATGGGCGGCAGCACTGGTTCCCACAGATCGAGGGTTCTCAATGAAATCGGGCTAAGATTCTTGGGCGGCGACTTTGCTTTTTACTCTGCGACCAGGCAAAGCAAACCAAAGCCAGCCACAGAGTTGCAAATGGCTAGAATTGCCGAGCATCGCGTAGTTCCTTGGCGTGGGAGGTTGAGAATAAGGACGCTCCCACCCCAAGGGCAGGACTCCGCGGAGCGTGCCACCCAGGGCTTTGGGGACTTTGGGGACGACTCGAGGGATACGATACCGAGGTTTGCACGCACCGGGCCTAGTTGTAAACCCGAACGGTCAGTGCCACCACTGGTGAACGCGGCAATCCAGGGACATGCTGGCGATTCGCTTGACTCGGGGATGCTGCACATCATCTTGGGATCCCGGCAGTATCGAGTCACGAGCCGTGCGGCAGCCCGTGGGTGAACAGAGCGCTTGCCGGGGGGTGGCTAAACTGGCAAATGGCCTGCCCAGGTCACGATGCCAATACCTTTTACGTACGTACCTCCTAAGGACGGCGCATTGTAGTGCCAGTCCGAGGACAGGCCAGACCTTGGTTACGACAGGCGCCAAGGGTTTCCGCCTGAAATCGGCATGGTATTTTGTGATTAAACCGCTCTTCTGACTATCAGGCTCGTCGTTGTGAGGTGTCATGCCATGGCATGTCGAAAACAACCTAGCACAAGTTACTGTGACAGATCACGGGCACTGAGAAGCCTGAAGTTTGAGAGCCAAGGTTTGCCGCCCGCGAACAAGCCACGGCTTTGCCGTGCAATTGGCCACCAACCGAGAGGCGAGCAAGTCAACACAAAAAAAGGTAAGTTGAGAAGCTGAACTCTGAACATCCCTACCCCAGCAAGATAGGCGTATGCAGAAGGCAGATAGAGGCGTTCGGATTGGAGCATCTGGCGGAGTGAAACATTATAGCCTGGAACAGTCTCAGCCTGCCTACCTACTATCGCGAACAGAGACGTTGTTGCCGCGCGTTGTCGATGGCCGGATTCCATGCCCTTCTGGCCAACACATTTGGGTCGTAGCGTCGACACTAGTGTGGCAGTATTCAACCACCCTCGCAGTGTTAGGCAAGGAGGAAGGAAAGAAAAAAAACCTCGAAATGAAAAGGGCTGCATGAGCTTGTCGAGAGATCCCGGCGCGAACTCGGCGTCCCGAGTCGTGTATGAGGTAATGCGGTGAGAGGACTTGGTTTGGCGCGAAGCATCGTCGGCGTGGGTGGGCAGCCAGACCGGCATCGATGCCGGGAATCAGCCGGCCAGCGCGCTTTGAGCATGCAGACTTGCGACAACCGCAGCGAGAGTCGGCCAAGCAGGGCACGCGAACAGGTAGGGAGTACTTCGGCCTTCTGTACGAATCGTCAAGCAAACGCGCGCTGGCGTTGTGTACCCGTTACCAGCCCAACCTCACCCAACCTCCATCGATAAACTCGCCCCTCCCCCTCCGAACCCGACGAGCAACATGAACATTTGTAGTGCGTTTTTCATCCCCTTGTGCATCACCCTGGTTTTGTGCAGAACGATTCTCTGGCCTCATCTGGGATGGCGCGAGACGAGGCAGCATCACGAGCATCGGTGCAAGTGCCGCCCGATCCCTGACAGAACGCAGGCATTGGACACGACCTGATACTGGGAGCACTGTCGATGCGGCGAAGCTGACCATGTTGGGAGAAATGACGCCTGTCGAGAGAGGGCGCTCGCGCCTCTGCCTGGCCCCTCATCCTCCAACTTACCAGCCCTCCAAAGCTGCAACCTCCAACCACCCGCCATGCAGCCACGCCACCCCCCTGGTCGGGCGGTGTCGGACGGAGATACCGGTGCCGATACCGATGCCGCGCGCTGCCTTTCAGTTGCTTGGTTTGGATCGTAGCGTTTATCCTTCTGAGCTGGTACCTGGGCGGAGAGGGTTTGCATATCAAGTCGACGCCTCCCACATTCTGGAGGAAAGATTGCACTGGATCGACTGGTGCTACGTACAGAGTAAGCGACAAGGCCCAGAAACTGACAAGATTGACGAGAATGACGAGGCAGAGTTTCTGGGGGCGTCATGCCAGTTGGGTGAACCAGGACGTGCAAATGTTCACCGTCTGCTGCGGTGCAAGAAGGGCAGCATGAAGGCGTCGGTACCTCTAGTACGTCTTCGGAAATGCGTACCAACATACCGGCGACGACTCGGGCCAGCGGTGTGTACGGCTGGGATACCTGGCCGATGCCTGGGTACGGCTGCAGTAGGGAGGTGACCCCCAGGTATTCCGCCTCTTTTCTTAGGCCCCGATTCTTGCGGCTTAGAGCGGCAATGGCAGCCACGCTAGTGGTGAAATTTGTCGAGCGCGATTGATTTGGCCGTAATCCCGATAGAGCAAACTACGACGGGGGTCCGAAGTGGTTAAGCGTGGGCGTGCCAGTACCCTCGTAGGCGTGTCATGAGCGGGCGAGCGAAAAAAATTGCCCGAAAAATAAAAAATTTCGACCCTGCTGCTGGCCGCAAACAGCTGGCGGCCAAGTGTCAAGGCGTGTTCCCTGCCAGCCAGGTCACTGGTACATCCGCAGTGCGTTCGCAGTGCTGGCTCGCCCGGCGTCTCTGAGCTCTCACTGGCAGGCAGGCAGGTTGGTCACTTCTGGCGCGCGTTCTCTCTTTCGCTCTTTCGGCCTTCTCTTCTTCTCTCTCCTTCTTCGGTCTCCCGTTTCTCCCCTCCCGCAATCTTTTCACTTTCTCCCTTTCACCAACATCAACCGCTCCCAATCCACTGCCGGATCAAATTTCATCATCGTCCGCGTTGAAAGCCTCCCGCTGCGTCTTTCCCGCCCGCGATAGCTCTGGATTTGCGCGTCTGGCGCCTCGGCCCCATTCAAACACGCCCTCACCCACGCCCACAACCCACAACCCACAACCACGACCCACGACCCACGACCCTCCCTCTGGTCTATTTTTTTCTCTCCTCCAGCTCCAGATCCCAGCACCAGCGGCCTATCCCATCTCATCCTGACCTCGCTGTGGTTCCCGTGGGCCCACTTCCCATCCCAAGCATTTATCCACTCGCTCGCGGTCATTGCCCACTCAGTGCGCGTGCGTGCCAGCCAGGTCACAGCCAGGCATCTCAACGGTTCCGCTCCTACTGCTGCGCTGCGTTGCTGCTGTCGCTGCCGCTCCCGCCACAGCTCGCCTCTTTTTGCTGGGCTCTCTCGTCTGCCTCTGCCGCTGCCGGTACCCAGGCCTGGTCACAGCTGGACTCGCCGGGTCATTGGACACTCCCTAGCACGCTAAAATCGCCTACTACGGACGTCCACCGCTACCGCTGTTACCTCGTTACCTCGTTACCTCACTCACCTCTTCCTCACTCGCGGTCAATACCCACCCTTGGCATCCACTCCCACGCGGATCCACTTCTTTTCTCGCCTCGCACCTCTGCGTTTCTCTCGCCGCACACCCTCTCCACCCGCGCCACTCACCCTCCACCCTCCGCAACCCACCCTTCCGACCTGGCTGCCCTGACAGCGTCCGCCGAAAAAAAATAAAAAGGTTCGAGACCCATTTCTCCACTCTGCACCCTTCCCCAAACACCACCTCGAGAGGGACCTGCCACGAGCCTCATCCACCTTCCGGGAACCTCGTCTGCGGAGCTTTGCAACTTGCACTGTACTGTGCCTGAGTGATCGCTTGTTTGCCTCGCCGCTTCGCAAACTTGGACCTTCTACTCCTCGGCAATCTCGACCTGATCTTGTCCGCACCTCTGCCGCCAAGCTCTCTTCGCCCCCGGACTCTTGCGTCGCGGCCATAATACCACGATCATATCCAGAGCGTGTCTACCAAGAGTAGCATGGACGGTTCGCAGTATTCCACCAATGGTGTAAACACGACTTCTTCTGGTCAGACTTATCCTTCACCCACCGCCATCGCCCCCAACCAGCTGCAAACCGGCTCTCCCCTTCCTCAGACTCTCCCGCCGTTGCAGCCTCCCGCCTCAGCAATGCAGCCTCTCTACGGTAGCCACCCGCACACGCCGCGGACACCGGGCACTCCCAACACGCCCGGCTCGAACAACAACCTCCCCAGCTACCAGCAGACCTCGCAGCCCGGAGGCCGCGGTGGCATCTACTCAATGCCCCAGAGCCAGTATCCCCCTCCCCAGGCGTATGGCACTTCCGGCGCCATGATGCCCCAGGCGACCACCACCGCGTCTCACCCGCAGCCCATCGCTCCCGCCCCCGTTGGCGGTCGAGGGCCTCCCGTGTTGCGTCCCATGCCTCCTGGCGGCATCATGTCCCAGCCTGGCGTCTCATCGCCCTACGGACCCAGCTCGTTGATGCAGCCCAACTCTGTTCTCCAGCACGAGGGTGACCAGCCTACTCACGTTGTTGGTTCGCAGGGTCGACGCGGTATCTTGCCCAGTGCTCCTGGCCGACCCGCCGCTCCTGCTGCCGGCACTGGTGCCACCAAGAACACGGTCATTCCCGTCAAGGATGCCGATGGAAAGTTTCCTTGCCCCCATTGCACAAAGACCTACCTTCACGCGAAGCATCTTAAGCGTCACCTTTTGCGACGTGAGTATATGTGAGCCTTTCTTGCCATGTTAACCCGCTAACGCAGATTTTTCCCAGACACCGGCGACCGCCCTTACATGTGTGTCCTTTGCCGCGATACGTTTTCTCGAAGTGATATCCTGAAGCGTCACTTCCAAAAGTGCTCTATCCGCCGTGGAAACCCCACCGGAGCTAGCCACTTGTCCCACCCCCAAGCTCACGTTAAGAAGAATGCCCAGGCCCAAAAGGCCGCTGGCCTCGGTCACGAGGGTGACTTGAACCACCTGAACGGACTTGGTAACATCCCAGGAGACAACATGGTGCACCCCTTCGGCATGGTTCCCGTCCAAGACGGCATGAACAACATGGCCGGAGACCAGAACCATCTGTCGCGATCCAGCTCGATTGGACGCCTCGACAACGGTAATAACGGAGACAGGCGCCAGATGCCCGTAATGGGCGGCTCGCAGCCTTACGGTACCGATGTCTCGAGCTCCATGAACCAGCAGCAGCTTCCTGGTTACAGCATGCCCCCGGGTCAGAACGGAATGCCCATGTATGGCAATTCAAACCAAAACCAACAATCTGGCCTTGATTGGTCTCAGATGTTCCAGGCTGGTGCGCATCAAACCTACGTCAACACCTCTTTCATTCCTAATCTTGGACAGACGCAGATCGCAACCAAAACCGAGCCTAATGCCGAGCCCGGAACGACAGGCCCCAGGCCTAGCGACACCCTCAATTCGAATTGGGGGATGCCATCTCATCTTCAAAATCCATACAACCACCTCTCCGATCAGATCCTCAACTTTTTTTATCCTCCTAATCAGGCGATTGATCCGCGAAGCGCGGGTATGAACCTCTACTTTACACCTGACAACATCAAAGATTTCCTGGACAAGTACACTCATTTCCATATCCACGTACCCATTCTTCATGTCGCAACATTCAAGATCTTGGATGCGTACACTGGCTTACTTGCAGGCATGTGTTGTATCGGTGCTTGCTACTCTGACCGTGTTACGCCATCTAATGTTCGCGAGATGATGGACTTTTTGTGCGTTGCGCTCGAACGCGATTGCAAGGTGTTCAGGGACGAGCTGCCGAATTCACCAATGAACGCATCTCGAACCGACGTTGAAGAACTCCAAGCTGTCATGTTTATGTGCATTCTTTTGGTATGGAACGGGACCCCTCAACAACGTGATAGGGCTCGCCAGATGCATCCGTTCTTGGCATCTGGCGCTCGAAAGCTCAACCTGTTTCAATCTTCAGATGACCCTGCTTTCACATCACTCTTGCGTCAAGTTGATTCCAACCCTTCTAGTTTTAGTCTGCAAGACTTCAATTGGGAATCATGGATCGACCAGGAACGACGCAACCGTACCATGTTTGGCATTTTCCTCTGCGACACCGCGATGGTGCTGTATTTCAACGCACATCCACTCTTTGATGTGTTCGAGATACACTTGTCCCTTCCTTGCGACGACGCAGCTTGGGATGCGGATTCAGCGGTGGATTGTGTTTCAGCACTCGGCCTCCGAGGTCCGGATGTCGCTCGCGAGAAAAATGCACACGGTACGCAGCGGGCGAAGCAACCAGAGATGGATTGGGTGCTCAAAGCCCTTCTCCATTCCTCATTCGAGATTCAACCTGGAAGTACCAACCTCTTCGGAAAATTCATTTTAATACACGGCATATTGGGATTGATTCGAAGGGCACAGATGGAAGGAACGGCACAGTTTTCAAACTACGGGACCCCACCTCCAAGCGATTGGATGACGTCGGCGGGAGTCCACAGCGGCAGGGGCTCTCCCGCAAATGGGGCGCCTCAAAAACCGGATCTGCAGAGCCTCCAAGCACTCAACTTCGCGCTAGACAAGTTCAAGACGAATTGGGATGTGGACATGTCCTCGCAGTTTCCACCCACGATACCGGCGTCAAACAATCCTCGGCGACATGGATTTTCACGGGATGGAATTCACTTTTACTGGTTGGCAAAGTACATGGTGCAGCATATCCGACCTGCCGAGTTTCAAATGGCTTCTGACGTGCGGTTCATGCAAGTCATGCAGCTCTTGAAATCGGTCAGAGCCTGGGTGATGTCTGATGGAGCATCAAGAGGGGAAGAGTTAGGATCAATTGGAGAGATCGATGATCAATTCGGGGCTATGGATTTAACACTTGAGATGGCAAAGATGTTTACGCCACTGCCACAAGCAGTGGTGGATGACGCTGGGACGGGGTCTGTCAAAACGGCTGGCATAGCATGATTCTCAAAAAGCAAACTGGTGGAGGAGGGGGCTGCATTCGGAGGCGTTGCATTTGATTTTGATTTTCTGGCTCACGGGATCCGATCGTTCTCGATTCGGGTTCGCTCTCATGCATCCATGGTCGGTACTTACTGCATTTTCGTCCGAGTATTAGACGGGGGAGGAGTTGTTGTTGCATTACTAGACTTTAGAGAGGGAGGTTGGTCGTACGACTTCATGGCTTGGGCTGGTTAATGATGTTTGCTCCTTGACACGTTCGGTCCGTTTTGTTGGTGAGACTCTTTTTGTAGTGAATGCAAGATGGATTAGTAGTTTGATTGTACAAAGGGACCTCCATATAGTGAAAATGAAGCAATAGACTGTTGAAGACGTAATGATTCTTTTATAAATTGACAGCAATGTGTGAATGCTTGCCGAAACTACCTTAGAGGTCCATTTGCTATGCTTAGGAAATAGCGAGATCCGCGTTCACGCTCGCATAATTGAACAAGGCGTTGGGTTGGTAGGATTGATAGGATAGAGCCGTTCTTTGACACGAGTATCTCATTTCGAAGCTATTTCATCTCGACGTATGACCCCTAGCGGCCCTGAGTTTTGTCGTTATCCACGACAATGATCTTCGGCGTGTACTGGCTCAACTTGGCCTTGTCTTCCTCAGTCGCCGGGTATTCCTCCTCAGCACGGTCAGAGAGGTACAGGCCAACTCCTCCCCAGGCGAGGATCGCGACGCCGACTCCAGCCCGAGTCTTAGGAGGAAGGTTTTTGAAGGCCCTGCAGCGTGGGGTGAGAGCGATGTGAGCAAAATGGGTTAGTTGACTGTGACGAGGGGATAGTAACTCACTTGAACATGGTTCGAATAGTCTGGACAAGCGATGAATGTGCGGCGGACGGTCGATTGTTGTGAGCGGATGTGAGATGGCGTTGCAAATTTCGAAGCTGGATGCGCTAGTGGGACGGCCAGGGTGCATTTATCAGTTTAACCGCTCCGCCGAGGAGCCCATCATGACATCGGTTCTCCTCCGCAACACATTTACAACGTCAATAAGAATCTGACCGCCTAGATGGGCTCCGAAACACCAAGGCAGTCTGGTGCCGTCGTTTCTCAGCATACACCAAGGATGCCTAGTGCCAACATTCCTCGCCGCTCCGTCATTGCGCTGCTCCCGCCTGAGCTGATTGTGGCTATTGCTTCGCTTCTCAGCTCACCCGATCTGAAAAATTTCCGACTCTGTTCTAGATTCATAGCCGGAGCTTCGCGCCAACTTCTCGCTTTGAAAGAATTTGTGGGTTTTCCTTTCAGACAGGACGCACAACGACTTGCAGATCTGTCCCAGCAGCCGCAGTTGGTGAGCCGTATCCGATCCGTCAAATTTTACTTCGCGAGGATGGACCATGATGAAATCAAGAGAGAAAGCGTCTACGATTGGGGGACAGGATATGATCAGTTTGGCCACTTGGTTGATCAATGGGATGACTACTTCAACAATCAGGCATCAGGTGAAGGCAACCCACATCTCGATCTGGACCTTGTTGAGCCTGCCTTGGAGCGACTCATCAACCTCGAGTCCGTCTATCTAACGTGGACCGAGTGCCCGTGGAAAATCGAAGAGGTCAAAAGATGGTTTAATGACGAGACCTCGGTAGACCTGGCCAGAGAGGAACTTTTCAATACCCAGCGCGCCGTTCTCGACTTCTTGAAGAAACGCAATGTGCCTCTAAAAAGACTGGCAATCGACCCAATCGAGTATCGACGGCTCCCACTTCCCTCTATTTTGGACGGCCAGGCTAAAACTAGTTTCGGTTCCATCAAACATGTGCTCTTGGGGCTTGATGGCAAGGGAGCTCCTGACGATGACAAACTAGAGCACTTCATCTCGCTGATGCCCCTTCTCTGCGAACTCCAACTACACGGGTTTCGAACGGAGTGGACCCCAGAAGGCGGGCGATTCCTCCCTAACACCCATCTTCAACACCTGGAAAGCCTTGACCTCTTGGAGATTGCTTTCAACCTCGACCATTTTGCTTCTTTTCTGGTATCCCACAGCTCAACAGTTAAGCGTGTACAGCTAAGGTCTATGCGAGGGGTGGCTCCGAAGCGAGGGGTGGTTCCCAACAAGTTCACGTGGGAACTTGTTTTTGAATTGATGAATCAACAACTGAGATGCCTGAATGACGTTCATATCAGTGGTTTGTTTGGGCAGTCGCGTTGGCCATTAAGTGATAATCAATTCACCTGGATATGTGGAGATGATATTCGCGGGCATCAATTGAAATACGGTGTGGACGGTTTTGAGATCGAGAAGTATATTATGGAGGGCGGCGAGTGTCCCCAGATTCCATGGGAGATCAGACAGTAAGAGTGAAGACGTGCGAACATGGGAGTATCCATACTCGCACATTTTGCCTGCATATACGCGCATAATTTTCACGTCATTGCAATGCATGCGTGGTGCTCTTCCAACACGACTGAGAAGTTGTAAACATGACGACAACATATCGTAGCTTGACAGCCAACTCAGGATGTCGCATCTAAACAGACCCAAAACAGGATACGACGTGGCAAACGGATGATGTGATGGATAAATGCGGTGTTTAGATATGACAGCAGCGATCCCCGCAAGGCGGGTTGTACAGAAAACAGGTTTCCTCCCCACTTGCACGTCACTCTTCGATGGACTGGTACGTGTATAAAGCAAAGTCTCTCGCGTTATACAGACATGGAAAAGACTGGAATGTTTGGTTTGGATCTTTCTTCAATAACAAGAACAAAACAGAAGCCGCAAGAGACCAGAGATACACACCCCGAGCAAATTCCATTATCGAAGCTATCCCACCATCACAATGGACTCCACCCTGGTATCGATCCTGGTGACCCTGGTCATTCTGACTACGGTCGCCGCTGGCGGCTATTGGTCGTACCAGGAAGGTCACCTCGATCCTCTTATCAATTCAATCGGGTGAGTGAGCCATGTATACCCGAGTCTAGTGGCACAGAAGCAAAGAGTGGGGAAAAAAAGAAACGATTTTGGGACTCCCCGCGTTTTGCGCACCTATCAACTATGAGGGAATGCTGAGATATGTCACAGAGCTTACATAGCGAAAGCCAAGGCGGAGGCAGCACTAAAGCAGGTGCAGGGGAAAGAAGGACTTAAAGCAGCGGAAGAAAAGACAAGCGGTTAGTTGACTATGTGAGATATGACGAGAAAACTGAGAGCTAACGTCCCGTGAACAGAAGTGGCCGAGGGTGCCGTGGGGTCTGTCGGAGACGGTTTGGGACTTGGTGATGGAGTCGGAGACTTGAAGAAGCGGCTGTAATATTGATCAACACAACATGTGCAAGCCCGTGCGTTGAGCTGGGAGCCGGGGTGATTACACGACCTCGGCTGAATTCTCGTCCGTGAGAAAAGGCAGGCTTTGAATCATTCAGAGTTCCCTCATCGGCCTCCCGCGACAGCCCCCGTTCCCCATGCAGACGGGGCTTGCCCGGGATGTGCGGGACCGGAAGACCGGAGTTTGGGGCTTATGCCATTTTGGCGTCGTGGCACTGGTGATCGGGGGGCTCGGATACATGTCTCGGAGAGGCGTGTTTGGTGTGGAGGGAATTATTCGTCGACTGGAGAGGATGGGCAGGAGGCATGAGACATTGGGTATGCCGATGAATATCATGTTGGGAGAATGAGACACGTTGGGGAGTTGGGATTTTCAATTTGTTACCTCAGAGCCTAAAATGGAATTGCTTTTTCGTCTTCAAGTACGGTGTGACGCAGTGCCTGTGTGTGATTAAGTGATTATGTGAATCGTGAAGCAGGAGGAGTTTTTGAATGTGTCAAAGAATCGTCAATCAAACCAGTGGCTACGACTTTCTACAATGTCAAAGCTGGGCCGAAACAAGGTTACGCAAATTCAGCTGCGAGTCGCAGCAGTAGTATCAGAACAGAAGAGATCCTACCGTGTAATAAAATGGACGCAGCACGCCAGGGACCATGTCCACACAAGTGCAGTAGTGCAGTAAGCCAGCTGCGAAGCGTTGTTGGAGAAAGCTCTCTCCACAGCGCATGTCCCTCCTTTCACTGGCAGGGAGGTAATTTGTAGAGGAGGTCAGAGCTGCGAGAGGCGCCCATCCAGATGGCGGGAACTGGCGTCATCCCTGCTGCGAGGGCATTCCTGGTTGGGGCTGAGCTGGAATGATGGGGAGATTCAACATGGAGGAGGTGGACGTTGCGCTTGATGGCGCGTGCGTTTTACGGAAATAGCTTCTGGGCAAGGAATACTGGAAGAATAATTGCAGTACGTACGTATCATGAAAAACCGAGAAGCGGATGAAAATTATCGCCGATAGACATACCTATGTAACGTACATATGCAGGTCGGACATTTCGGCGCAGGCAAGCTGCAACTAATACACCCGCAGCATGCAGGGAGAGGGGATTAATTAAATAACCTGCTGCATGATGAGATGAGATGAACGCAAAGGATTCCATATTTCCAGACTTATTAACTGGCAATATCAACGAATGGCTTTCCGCCATGCGAACGGCAGCAATGGCCCATCCATGGCCTCGGCGCCGGGAGTCAAGGCGCCCGAATCTCCGACTGTATTTTTTAGTATGGTTCTGGGTTTACGAAAACAACAACAACAATGATAGGGTGCTAGCAAGGACCGGGACCCTGATCGACGTATTGCTCCCTGGGATCTAACACATCATCGACTCCGTATCCATCTTGATGGGCCCGCGTGGAGCACCGACCCTGTGAATTGGACCCAGAATCCTGAAGCAGCTATTGGCGAGTCGCCAATTTGCGGAATCCGAGGAAGAAAGAAAGAGCTATTTTCAGAATGGCTTGGTATTTTCTCCTATTCGAATTTGCCTATTTTGCCTGCCTCAGAGTCAAAGAGGGATTTCGATCTTGGGTGGCTTTTACCCCTTGTATGGCTTTTCCTACTGGAATGAAAAAGAAAGGGATGTGCCGTAAACGGTGGCGGACGGTGGCAGGTGGTTCACGCCAGCTCGTGGATATACGGGGCCTTGACTCCTTTGGCAGCCTCATGCCTCAGTGGTTCCTGGGTGGGTACTCCGGGCTTTCAATGTAAACGGTGGTGGCTGAATCCGATGGGGATTGACTGATTGTTCTCCTCGGAATGTACCCGGTTATCCACTGTGCTCTGCCGTTCCACACGACATACTGTACGTACGTACGGAGTACTACGTAGCACATAGTAGACGGAAACCCCGCCAGTCTGGCAAGTGGCTTGAATTTTCCGTGGCATGTGGCTATGGATCCGGGCGAGATGGGATGGATGCCCCGGGGCCGGTGAGTGGTGACAGGAACTGCCTGGCGCGCTATGTCCGTGGGGGCGAGAAATGGTTGGTGGTGTCGAGGGAGGCCGAGAGCGTGACGAACGAGTTTTCTCCGACTCCCTCTAACTAGTTCCAACGGTAGTGCTAGTCAGTCGGTGTTGTCGTCAGCTGAGAACAGACCACTTTTTTGTTCTTTCAGAGTTTAAATTTTGCTGAGAAGGGCTTAGGAAGCGTGGCAGATTCAGGCCCCCAGGCGCCTCGAGTCAGGCCAGGGCCACTCCATCCGCGGAAGCGCCTTGGAGACGATCCGCCGGGAACTACGGTAATAGACTTTTCCTCCCTGCCGAGAGCAAGGCGCCGCCGAGGCCGCAACGTCGGATTGATGCCATGCTGGGAATGACTTGCTTGCCTGACCGAAACCTTCCTGGAGGTGCTGCGGGTTCCTGGTGGGTGGGGAATTTGTGACGGGGTTAACCTCTTGCAGAATCTGAGGCGCTCAAGCACTAGCATACGCAGGTCCGCTCAGGGATCTCCCCTCATGGCCTCGCCTCTTCTCTCCCCAGGCTGCATTCCAAGCCTGCCGTAGGGGGATAGCTTTGTTTTCTTCTTCTGCTGCTAGTCTCCGCCTGTGCTGCGTTGCCGGTAACTAAACGATGAGCGAGGGCGCGCATGGGTCTAGTCTAGGTGCGGAGCGAGACGAGGCACCTGCACGCTGTTCATCTCGTTCACGCCGGTTCTTCGGCTGGACAACCAGAGACAAACCACATAAGCATGAGGACCACGGGGACGCGGAGATATCAGATACAGAACGGGGCTGCGTGCCTGGCGGGAGAGAGGTGAATGTGGCTCTTGTCAAAGAACAACGAGAGGAATATCAGACACGGGATGGGGAATGGAGGGATTGACAGAGAGACGACGGTTAGGTAGTAGGTAGTAGGTAGTTCGTCGCCGCATTTGATGCAGCAAGTTTCCTTCTTGTTCCTTTGGATTTACTTTTTCTGGCATCTTGTTCTTTTTTCGTTGCTTTTGTTTCCTCCTCGACCCGCCCCCGTCATCTTTGCCGCAACTGGTAGGCCTCGCCCGTAAATGCGGCGGGTTGTCACGAAAAAGAAAGCCTTGCGAACACTTGTTCGAGGCGGCAGTCAGTCATGGGAGGTATTGGCACAGAGCGTAGGATGATCCTTTCATTTTCCATTCTCGTCCCGCCCCTTCCTGCTCATTTACTGTCTTCCCATTCATCCCGTCTTGCAATTTGATACCACCATGTGCATGCCCGATGTCAATTCGTCCAATACGCTCTCGATGCGGCCAATAACCCAAACCTTGGGAAGCCCACCCACGTCGCAACACACAGCCAACGGTGCAACCCCCGCCGCCAAGGATACATGCTAACATTTACGCAGTGGCACGCCAGCGGAAGAGTTGGTATAGCGGACTAACGCCCGCTGCAGCCGGTGCGCCGCCCCACGCCGCGCACGCCCGCAGTGTGGAAGCGCAAGCTGCAGGCGCAGGGAACGACAACTCCAGGATGGACAGAGGCCGTGGGCGCTCGGCCACTATGACCGCTGCGACAGCTGCAACCACAGCGACCACAGCGACCACAGCGACCACTGCAACCACTACCGCGGACGCCGGGAAGAGGTCCAGTCTCAGCATGAGCTCCAATAACATGGCAATGCGCGCCATGGCCACGCTGACCAGCGGCAACAAAAGGAACAGCAAGCGCAGTAGCAAGCTTGGGTTGGGCGGCGTCAACTGCAGGGGGCCAGCCACAACAACGACCTCATTGCCATTCTCGTCTGAAAGACCATCGTCGCCATCGGTATGTGCGTCCCTTTTTTTTGGGTTGTTCTTTTTCAGGTACCCTTCTCCAGGTGCTCACTCACTCTTCTCCCCCCTAATAGCCCTCTAACTCTAACACATTTTCTCTTCCCTCCCCCTGCCCTGCTCTGGCCTGCTCGCCCGCTCCGCCTCAATTGAATCCCTCCCCTTGTTGCTGGGTCGCTGCGTTGCTGGGTCCGTCTAGTCCCTTCAAGTTCCCCCTCATCACATCCCATCCCTTTGGACCCAAAGTACCTTACTTCCATCAGACACACACGTACCTGACTTGAGCACACCCTCCAAGGCTACATTGCCCACATTGCCCACATACATCCTCCCGAATAGGACAGGCCCGGTCACGCACACACTTCGTTCATACTTTGCGCAGCTTGCAGGGTGCGTGCTAGGCGTGGCTGGCCCGATCGTCTCCCCCCCTCTCTCTCCACTGTCCATTCCCATGGCTCCCAACTTCTCAGACGCCATTGCCCCATTGCTCCATTCACTCCATTCACTCCATTCGCTCCATTGCTCCTGCTTTGCCATGGCCCACGTCACTGTCCGTTCTGCTGACTGACAGGTTCTAAAGCATCTCATCCCGCCCCAGCACCCACGCCAGCCTCATTCTCACTCTCTTCACTCCCATTCTTCCCCCTCTCCCTCGCCATCTCCCTCGACCTCGCCGAGTCCAGCTCATGCCAGTGCGAGCGCCGGTCACAGCGCCAACGCATGCGCCAGACCCAACGCCCGAGCTCACAACGCCAACGGCCACGACCGCGACCGCCACGGCCTCTACCTCTGCCACTCCCAAGGATTCCGGGCCCCGGCGCACACCACCTCGACTAGCAGCGCCTTGACGCCTGCTATCCCGTCGCCGTCTCCCTCCGACTACATCACATACAACACTGTCGCCGTTGCTTCCGCCTCCGTCATCACCTCATCGTCATCCTCCAGCTTTGCATCCGTCGTCTCCGCACCTGCTTCGTCCACCTCCTCCTCCACCACCACCTCCACCACAACATCACCTCTTCCCTTGTTTAGAGCGACCTTCAACAGACACAGCTTTAAGAGCAATAGCAACATAGACCTCGGCAACAGCGCATTCACTGCTCCTGGTATACGGGACTCCCCGTCTCTCCCCGTCCTCTCTGTCGTGCCCCCGCCTGGCCAACACAGAGGCGACGGAGAGACAAAACGGCCGGCCATGCAGCGCGTGTCCGGCTTCCTCCCCGCGTGGGACAAGAGGACATCCGGCAGTCGCAATGGCTTCTTCGGGTGGTCTTCCAACCGCTCCAGCACAGGCCCTACCTCCACGTCGTCAACTAGTGCCCTGGCCAAGATCAACACAGCTGCCGCAAACGCCAATTCCCGTATCAATCTCAATGGGCGGATACAGCGCGAGACCTTTTGGCCCGCGGCTCTCGATGGGGAATGCGAAAAGGCCGCTCGCATCCTCAAGTCCTTTTCTAGTGAGTCTTTGTTTGCCTCCCGCCGTCGTTGCTGCTAACATCCTCTCAGCCGATGGATACCTCGCCCCAGTAGAAGATTACGATGGACAACCCCTCCCCGACGATCCCCAAACACCAGCTCAAATGACGAAAAAAATCCCCCGGCGCATCATCCAGAATGCTGCTGGAATCGCAATCTTCACTTGCATGCGAAGTGGTCTGTGGATGACAGGCTCGGGTGGTTCAGGCATCTTAATCGCCCGAAAATCTGACGGCACATGGTCACCACCATCTGGTATCATGCTACATACACCTACTCTCAGCTTCATCATTGGCGTTGACATTTACGACTGTGTCCTCGTCATCAACAACCTCGCCGCACTCGAGTCGATCACTAGGCCGCGGGTAACTCTGGGCGAAGATGTCGGCCTGACCAGCGGCCCACTCGTTCCCCTCGATTCGGACGAGTCGCACATCAGGTGGAAAGATCTGGGCAATACCGTTCTCACATATATGAAAGCGCGTGGTCAGTCTCAGTTGGTCAACCTATACGGATGTATCTTGGCCGAGAGAGGGAACGAAAACGAGCGCTTTTACTCGAGCGCCGTGTCGCAAATGGATATCCTCGCAGGAAATGTGTCACGAAATGTCGAAGAGACGAGGCCCCTCTTCGAGGTCATTAAGATGGCCGAGGGAAGGACAGACTTCGACTCTGCCATCATTGATAAGATTGCCATCGAGCCTGCACCAGGAGACGCCATGATTGAGACTCCAAAAACCTCAACGCCCGTCTCGCCCCGCAATGCGTTCGGAATACCCAGCGTTGATGACCCCGATCCATTCGGAGTCTTGGCTTTGGAGATGGCTGGCCTTGAGATTAGAGAGGCTGGATCTCGGCTACGACCAACCAGTAGCCAGTTCGATTTTAACCCAGTCCCGGCCAGTCCAGCGTTCTCCAAATTCAACAGACAGAGCATGGATACGTATGCTACTAAGAGCAACCGCGGAAGCTTCATGTCGGCACGCACGGTCAAGAGCCAGATGACAGATGCGGGAACACAAACTGAGGTCGGGACCACTCCCGAGACAACACCAAGCCCAGGTCGGAGTGAGGACGGCTACGGCCGATGCTCTCCGACACAAATTCCCGAGGTGACAGAAGAGGAGGAGGAAGTGGATTACACAAAGGTCGATTTGACGCCTTTGAGAAACATCAGTGGACCTCATTCCCCTGTCAGTGTAACCAGCGAGGGTAGCACTGCAGTGGAACATGACACGCTGAAGAATGATGTTCCGAAGCATGACACTCTCGAGGTTGATCAGGGATTGTCTACTGATGATACCGACAAGGCCTCGAGCATCTATGATAATGACGACAACGACGAGACAAGTCGTGACGCGGAGAACGACGAAGAGCTAGACGACTCAGATGACGACGATGAGGAGCCAGTGGTGTTCGAGGTGGCTGCTGTGCAACCAGCAAGGACACAGGCCGTTGCTTCGCGAGTGGTTCAGGTAAAAGGCAACATGGTGACGATCCCCAAGAGGATTCCTCCCCCGCTGCCTATGAGGAGCCCCGCCAGGACGTCTCGGTCAAGTAAGACGGAAATCGGCGACGTCAGCCATCTCAAGAGCCCTCTCCGACAGGAATTTGGCGATGCCGAGACCAAGTCGGATGAAGAGAGCCAACCTAAGGCCCAGTCCTCGCCCTTCCTAAAGCCTGTTGAGGTGAAGATTGTATCGGCCAAGGTTGAGAACACGAAGCGTGAGTCGGTCAAATCGGAACAAGACAAGTCAGATTCTGAGTCTGAGTTCTTCCTGGCAGCGGAGGAACCCAAGACCGATGACATGAAGCCCAAGGAGGAAACAAAGACCTCCGAAGACCAAGAACCGCCCTCGAGCGTGCCCCAGCTTGAGCACTCGGATAGCTCGGACTCGCTCTCAAAGAAGCGCTCATCGTCCGTTTATGCTGGTGCCAACGATGACGAGCGGAGTTTGAACGGATCCTCGCTCACCACAGCCACTTCCAATCGACCTTTCTCGGTCATTGACGACATTACCGAGGACAAGACCCCCCGAAGATCTACCAAGGAGCAACCTGAGATGAATGAAAAGTATGAAGCACTAGAAAAGATGGGATCGAAGGAAGTGACCATTACAGCTGCATAAAAGATGCAACGGGTCTTCAGGAGTTGTTTTCGCATTCATGTCAATATTTTGGCGACGGCGTATTATGGACGGGTTATATTTGGCGGGCACTTCCCCCCTGGCGTTGAGGAACACATTATTTTGCATCTGCTGATACCAGCTCGGGAGCATTTGATGCGATGGATGGCATACAGTTATTGATATACGCGATATGATGGGATGGAGCAAATCCACGATTGTGGAAGACCGGGCCCGCCCTTGGGAGCGGCTGATCTGTACAGGGAGTTGTTGTTACTAGTCCGAATGCTCTGGAACAGAAGCTTCCGGCAGCGTACTATATGCTTAATGCTGTTGAATATAATGTGGACTTCCTTTAATACACTCTTGTTTCTCACCTGCGACCTAGCAAACACGAATAGCGAGTACTAATCACGGATCTGGCCTCTAGTCTCACTCTAGCCTAACGATAGTCAAACCAGAACTACAAGGACGACAAATGCGCCACAGACATCTAAGGCCCTGCAATAGATACGAGCAGAAGTTTCCTGTTCTTCGAGTCCCTAGAAAGACACACTCAACGGCTAGGAAGGGCTCGCGAGTATAGAGTATCAGGTAACTGCTGACTGCAAACGCCGCCGCTATCCTTGAATACTTCGGCATTGTGCGTATACCATCGTAGTCAACTGGAGACTCTCGCACTACCGAGGCACCGCCGCCCGTATTCGATGAGGTACAAGTTAACCCCTCTCGATACCAGGATGTGGTCCACATTCGGATTGTCATTATGAGCCCCCCGAATGGGGCTGTCAAAAACCAGTCGTTTCTTCTACTCGGATGCTTTCGGTCTAATTTGATCATTGGATATAGCCACCCCAGAGAAAGGGATCCCGCGATCATCTCACCCCATCTTCCTGCACCTCCAGCATCCGAGGCTTTGCTCATGGTGCCTCGACATCACGTCATTAGACTTGTAATCTGCAGATATCGATCAGATCATCTATCGTCAGATCTGTAAGCAATGGGCATAGCAACGCCTCTCTGTGACTCCATGCTAGTCACGAATACGAGCCAGATGAGCATTCACGAACCTTGCTGGGGCGAGTATTTATTTGGACCCAGGTGAATAGAATCGCCTAATGCAATTTTCATCGCTACAAATGTCAAAAGCTTGAAAGAAAAAAGAGCAATAGCTCGGCATAGTCTACCTATTTACTGCAAGTCAAGCAAAAGCTCACTCGCTGTGCCAATCCGACTCCGGGTCATACTCACTGTCATCCACCAAGAAATCGTCGAGAAATGCATCTAGATCTTCCTCATCTTCAGCGTCCTCATCTGAATTGTCTGAGTCCTCCTCATCGTCCAAGAACACATTCAGGACTTTCAGATCCTGGACGCCGGGGTTGTTCAATCGGCCTGAGCTCCGAGTAGGCATTCTTCGACGCCTCCGCGGCAAAGGCTGTTGTTCATTTCGCCCTCTCTCAGTTGAGGGCTTTGGTGGTGGTGCCGATGGAGCTGCCTGCTTCGTCGGAGCCGTCTGTTTCGGTGGAATTGTTTGCTTTGTTGGAGTTGCCTGCTTTGTGGCGCTGGCTCTCCTGGCCTTCGTCTTTCGCTGTCTCCTCGACTCGTTTGTCGTTCTCGCGCCTCTCCACTGTCCCAGAACTCGTCGTGCCTCGCCCTTGATCTTTTTACGAGCGTCGTCTCTACTCATTGGCCCTCTGATAAGCTTGTCATACTGTGTATGGCAATGTCTTACGTGTGCCGAAACAGCCAACTGGACCTTTTCGTTCACGGACAGTGCCCCGGAGCGACCAACCCGTCCACTCCGCTTCTGCAACGCCCTTTTGATAACCTTCTGAAGAGACTCCTCGGGGATCTCGGGAAATAACTTTCTTATAGCCGTCTCGAATTCCTTCTCGGTTGCGTCATCGCGTTTTTTGACGTTGTTCTGTCGCTCTTCCTTCGTGGCGCGATCCTCCGAGTGAACCTCCTTAAGGATCCATATCGGCGCCCGAAGGCCCACGAGCTTGCCCTTTTCCGAGACAACATAAAGAGTCTTCTTCGCGGCGTGTACCTTGCGGCGTGTGCTTGCTGTTGCGTATACGTTTCCCTTCTTCAGGAACCCATACCCTTTAGGCATGGGTGTCGCCGGAGAGACAACGGGCTCTTTGGGTGCCATGATTTCTATCTTGAATATGAGTTTCTGAGAGTAGAGGAGCCTTCAAACGTAGCACATGCTTACATCACATTTGTATTCGAAAGCAGCGGGTGCAAGGGCTCTTTGTTCGGGTCTTTGTTCTGTTCGTCGTGGACAGTCAAGTCAGAACCTGGGAGTCTCAATTCCGGTGGTGAAGAATGAGGAGACGTTCAAGGAACATTCCGCGGAGCATTATCCCCAAGCTTTTAGCTCGCCTGCTTCATGTGCGGATTCGAAATATATTTGTTCAGGTGCCGACGTTTGTTGTTGTCGTTGTTGTGAGAAAGCTGTCCTTGTGCAGCCCCACCGATTGGACGAGGCGTGCGTTTGGTGGCGCCTGAACAGCTACAGTGCAGGTTAGGCACTAGGATCATTCAGAGGGCGGTTTGGAAGTAGGAATAATCGAATATTTGGGGCTTCTATTGATTCCTGGTATTGCATGTGTCATTAATGCCAACTCTATGTTCGTTACCAATTATCCGATTTTGTTGGGCGTGTCCAATGACTGACCCAGGTGGTGAAGCGGGCATGATTCACTGCCAAATAGTGACAACGGCTTTTTGTTTGCTTTTAATTCATTCAAATTGTACCATAGAAATCGATTCTTTCCTTTGATTCATCGAGGCACAGCTTCTGCTTCTCTTTTCACATCCTCAACACCAACAAATGCACCATCTACGACGATGGCACAGATGACGGTCAATCAAGGACATCCGACGGTTCACGTGACCCAGACTCCTCTGAAGTCCTCCCAGGCTCAAGCCACCAAAAAGCACGGCGCCACACCAACAGCCACAGCACGCTCCCTCCGCCACCGCAAATCCCAAGCAACACCAGGATCGCGACGAGACAAGCGCGAAGCAGCATCACCAGCAACTCCAGCGCACATTCTCGAAAACGCCCAAACCCGCACCGCCACACCACCATCGCATACCTCTAGAAGGAGCTCCATCAGAAGACGGCTCTTCAACATGTCGAGCACGACGGGCAAATGGCGCGAGGAGCAGGTCCTCATCGTCTGCCCCGGCAGCCGCATGACCATGGCCCAGCTAGGATGCAGCGAGCTGACCCTCCCCACGCGCCGCATGCAAACTCGCATGTTCAAGGACGGCGAACAATGGGCGCCTTACCACAGGGCGAAGCGCACAAAGCTGGTGAATGGCCAGGAGGAGGAGGAGTGGGTGGAAGATGTGGATGAGGACGAGGGTGCTGTGTATCCCATTCAAGGTATGATTTGCTGGTCGCCGGAGCGATTGCGACTGAAGGCGATACGGGTTGAGATGCAGATAGAACCCAAGGCTAATTGCGCATTCTAGCTGGTCGCATTGTCAACATGGAGGCCTTTCTCGCCTTTCTCGACCATGTCCACGGCCTCTTAACAACCACCTACCACAACACTCCCATCATGCTCATGGCCTCGCCGCAATGGACGCGCCCCGACTGCGAGACTATTGCCCGGTACATCTTCGAGAACACCCGAACCCCGGCACTGTGCGTAATCCACAGCGGTGTCGCAACTCAGTACGGACTGAAGTGGCCCAACATGACCGTGGTGGATATTGGCTTTCAGAAGGTCGATGTGACAGCGATTCATGACGGACGCGTTGCGAATCATATGGAGGTCAGCTCCGTGGGTCAGGAAGGCCAGATCAGCGGCGGAGAGGTGTTCACTCAGAACCTGCTCCGGTTACTGAAAGGGAAGGGATTCAACCACGACATGGCCGAGCAGTTAAAAAAGAGCTCTATCTGCGAGGTTCTTCCCTACGTAGGCACGGCGGCTAACCTGATGGAGTTGCCCGTGGGGAGTGCCTCCGAGGCAGCCGCCTACTATGCTTCTGACGCGACTATGACCACGGCCATCGGTGCGCCCAAACCTCTGGACGAGGGCGAGAACTCCAATGGCAACGGTGACGACGATGGTGTGTTGGATGTGGCCACCATCGTTACCACCGGCCAGACCAAGGAGTTCCTCGCTAAGAAGGAGAAAGAGAAGGAGAAGGGCAAGCCTGGGAGAAAGGCCAAGGGCGATAAGGATGCCGATGCGGCTGCTAACAAGCCCGCGCGCTTGCCTAACTCGAAGAGGTCGAAGAACATATTCTACTTTGAGGAAGTAATTCTTGAGGAGGTGCCTGTGCCGGCCAAGGAGCCCACAGCGAAGAGTACCAATGGTCCAGCCGAGGGTGAGAAGAAGGAGGGTGATGCCAATGGGTCCGCTGCTCCTCCAGCCGACGATGCTGCAGCAAAGGAGGCTCCCAAGCCTGAGGGCGAGGTCGCGACCACGGAGAACAAGCCTGAAGAGAGACCCGAGGCTCCTGCAGCTGCCGCCACCAGCACCAACGAGACCCCTGAGAAGCGACCCAAGCGCGTCCGTCGAGACATTGAGGTCGGTCTGGAGCGGTTCAAGTTTGCGGAGCGAGTCGAGATCGATCGCATCGTCAACGCTATCTACCGCACTATTCAGGGCATCGATGACATGTACATGCGCCCGGCGTGTTGGGACAACCTCGTCTTCGTCGGTAATGGTTCTCGTTTGCGAGGCCTCAAGGAGAACATTCTCCAGACGCTCACCGCCCGTCACCTCGTCTCACCATCCACAGCTACCATGTTCACCTCGGAGCTGCCCTCCAACATGGCCACCCCTACCGGTACCGGCGCGCAGACACCTACAGGATCCTTCACCGGCGCGCCTCATCAACTGTCCTCAAGCGGCGTGAACCCTCTGCTCCAGGCCGCGACCACAGCCAATGCAGCTGCTGGCGGCGTTAATAACGTTGTCGCAACTCCTCAGGCCGGATCTGAGGCTGGCGGTCCCGCTGTTGGTCATCACTTCCATAGTCAGACGCCTACGAGCATCAAGACCGCCGCTCTGCCGACGTACTTGAGCGAGTGGACCAAGAACGGCTTCGAAGAATCCATGTTCCTCGGCGCACAGGTCGCAGCTCGCATTGCCTTCTGCCTGCACACCAACATGGATGCGCAAGCTATTGAGGCACAGAGGCTCATGAGCTTGAGCAGAGTCGATTACAAGTAAGCCCTATTTACCTGCCCGTTTCCACAAGACGTTAAAATGCTAATAATAAACAGCGAGCTAGGTCCCAAGGGTATCCGCACCCACTCCATGCTTGGCTAGACGATGCCTTGCTTTCAGGTTTTTGTTTGTTTGGTTTTTATCTGCTTGAGACGAGGACTCGGAGTTTTCGGCCCAGCGAATTGGAATGGAGATGCTCAAAAGGAAGACCCAAAGATGCTCGATGCTAGGGACAGTGAAGCCCCCAAGGTCCAGCTGGACAGCTGCAGACCTTGAGAGTAAGATCTCGGCTTGTTTCGAGATGAATGCATGGGAGAGAGGAGGGAACAGGCAGGCGGTGTAATAGTATAGAAGCTACGGTTGCCTTGTATGATATCCCTCCTAGTCTTTGGAATGAGATTGACGTGATGAGGGACCAATGCCAGTCTTGCCACAACTTGAAGTGTTATACGGATCGCATAGCTTGTTGGGGGGACAGGAAGAGATTGCTTAATTTTCAAACAGATAAACTCATCTAAAGAGTAGATATAACGTATAAAACAATTGCTCACGGCTTCTCTTTTCCAACCATCAACGCCAAGCTAGTCATGTTTCAAGTAGTCCATGGGCAACCCGTCCCTCACGCCCAAACGGCGAGGGCGATACGGGGACGTATCGTCAAACCCCCGACAAACAATCTGTTCAACCTGTAGCATTTCGGGCTGCCGCCTCTGCAGCAGCTTTGTGCCAGTCGGCCTTGACAAGATAAATATACTCAATCAACGAGACACTATTGACAGTCAGCATACCTCTTCTGCACTCTACTGGTAGCATTACAAGTGCAACTTACGTGATTGTCCCAAAGGTAACACCGGTCCACAAGCCGCTGAGGCGCCAGTCGAATGCAAAGGCCAGGACCAACGAGCACGGGAGCGAAATGGCGTAGTAGGCAAAGATGTTGGCAGGGCCACCCATGGCCTGCTTGCCAATGCCACGGAGGATACCGCCGGCGCCCGCAGCCAAGCCGTCAAAGACTTGCATGACGGCGACAATAGGGATGACGGTGGCGACGAGTTCAATGACTTCAGGGTCCTTGGTGAAGAGGAGCGGGATGTAGTATCGCAGGCCGCCGTATAAGGCGAGGTTGAAGATGCCAATGACGCAGGCTGCAGCGAAGGCCTAGAGTTATGAGTTGTTAGTACTACGGACGGGACTTCGCGGGGTATAGAGGACATACCACTACACCGGTGGTCTTGGCGGCATCGACAAGACCAGCTCCAATAAGATTGGCGATTCGCGTAGACGCCGCAATGGACACGGGGAAAGGAATTTGATATGAAATGGTCGTAACCGTGGCAAGCACGCTCTGGGCGGCGAGGTACTCGGATCCAAAGCGACTAGACATGAGCGTCAAAATCTCAAATGCCAACCACTCTGCCTCGACCATGATCATTCCAGGCAAAGCCAGGCGGATCATATCCCACCAATTGGACAAGGCGCGGCGGCTGAATCCTCCCCAGCACTGGCGGCCATCGATGAAGCGCACGTAGAGGAAGAGGAAGACAGGGAGGAGGTTCTCGGTGATGGCCACGGCCATGGGAGCGCCCACAAAGCCCCAACCGAGGTGCCAAACGAGGAACCAGCTCAGGAAGACATTAAACGGGGCGACAATCACGAGGACCCAAGTTGTGGCGCGGAAGAGGCCTTGCGCTTGGGTATATCGCTTGCCACCCTCAAAGAGAATGAAACCGGGAATGCTGAAGATCATGACACGGAGGTACAGACCGGCGAGACGAGCAGATTCGGGCTCAGGTACAATGTGATACAGAATGTTCTCAGCATAGAACCACAGCACAGAAACAGGCACACTGAGGCAAAAGAGAAAGCATGTCATCCGCTGGAACTGCAGTCCCACCAGGTGCTTATGGCCGGAGCCGTAAGCTTGGGCGCAGAGGGTGTCGAGACTGGTAGCAAGGCCTTGGAATGGGGCTAGACAGGTGATGGCAGCAGTCATGTTGGCCACTGAAACGTTGTCAGTCCAGATGCAAAGTGTTTTTTCCCATGCATACGACTTTCCAATGAGTAGGGTAGGAGATGGGTCACTTACACGAGACGGCACCGAGCTCGAGTTTGCCGATACGACCGACGGCGAAGATACTCGTAACGTTGATAGAGTACTGGAGGATAAATGTGATGATAAGAGGCGTTGAGTAGGCCACAATAGTCTGTGTCTCACGCTGCCATGTCGTACGGATTCGGTTCTCGGCAACGGCCTGCCCCCAAGTCTCATTTAAACCATCATCGGATGAGGTGGTTGAGGCGTCACTGCCAGTGCCCAAAAGAGGTGACGTCTCACTTGGTGGTTGAACGACGATTGCAGGCCGCTCCTCGTCCTGAGGCTGTGGAAGTTTAGTACTAAATAGGCGACGATACACTCGGGAAAAGAAGGTATCCTTGCGATGAGGGTGTTTAGGTGGCAGGACGTGGTTATCACGGAGCAGGCTTCGCTCCGCATGGCGGGATTGCTTCCTCTCCAGAGGAGTCATGGCTGGTTCGTCAAAGGTCTGGGGATTGAGGACAGGTCGAGATCCACCGTACGCGACACCACTGGGTCGACGATACATGGTAGGGCTGACGTCGAACTCTGAGTCGGAGACATCTTCACCAGCCGTGTCTATGGCTTCGTCATCCGAACACTCGGCAATGTCTCTCGCCAGGAATTGCTCCGCGAGTGGTGACCCGCTTCGCCAGGAACTCCCCAGCACAGAGCGATTGCCGTGTGGGGACGACGAGATGATGCCTTGAGGTTTCACCATTGTGTAGGAGGGCTGGATTCGCAGATCCAGGAGGAAGGCAAAGTCTGTTCAATGTGTGTTCTGCAGATGCAGAGTCTTTGAGGCGCCTCTTTGAAGCACGCAGACTCGGAGGTTGGGAGACACCCCGCAAAATCTCTCCCGGTCAGGCGACTGGAGCTTCACAGTGGAGTCTGACAGAGTCAGATAGAGGCAAAAGCAACAAACTGCATCAATTGAGTGATCAGATGGACGTCCAACGGTCGTGATGAAGTACAATGATGTCTATCAGTCGACGCGAGAACGGAACGACCAGGACATGGTGCTTTTAAACATGGCACGACAGTTCGCCTCCGGCCGGGTCATGCTGCCAACCCAGGCAAAGCGCGCCCATGAAGAGATAGTCCAGGTGGAGTTGTTGCCACCTTCGGCCCGGCGATTGAGTCACTCCTCCACTGGTTCGTCGATAAAAGCTTGCCCGCGGAATTCGCATGCAAGGCCGCCTTCGCCGTAGCCGTATCAGTAAGCCAAGCCGCTAGCTCAATCGTCGTCCGGCGCCAACCGCAAAACTGATTTGTCTTAGTGCCCTTGGATCGGGGTGAGCGCATGCGGGGGTGGATCGTTCGCGACTTGTCTTGAACTTTTCTCTGCTGTTGACGCCGGTAGTCGCGATGCTGATAAGAACTCGGCTGTTCAATGATTGAAATCTCTGGTGACGCTATTGGACAATTGTCAATGCCGTTCGCACGGATCATGGCGATTGCTATCGCCCTGTCCTACTCCACCCACGCTCGGCCCATGCAGTCTGGCTCGTTGTGGACCAGTGTTGCAACCCAGGGGATCTCCTCGCTCCCATACTGCTGCAATGGTGTGTTGTATGGGATTCGGATGCCGATGACAGGCCTTGAATCCTCTTGGCCCTGCTGCGTGACCTGAGGCTCATCCGTCCCGAACGTCCCTACCATCGTCGCCTCCTTCTCGAGCAGCTCTGGCCAGACCATGACTCCGATCTCCCATGAGGCAATCCGGACCTCGCCAGTGGCGCGAGCAGCCTCACCCCATGCTTGCTTCGATAGGTTCGCAGATGTAAGCAACGCCCAATCGATCGAGTTCTTGTTGTATCTGATGTACGTCTTGATGTGGGGTGCGGCACGCTGGCGCCCGCCATCTTGAATCGTCGCATCGGCAAAGTCTAGTGGGTCAGCATCTGTAACAATGACCCCGAAACGGGCCACTTACCCTTTCCATGCGGAGAGTCATTGGCCCAGTGATGGAATATGGGTCGAAGGTACTGGAGCTGCTTCGCTTGTTGAGGTGACTGGATCTTGGTGTGAATTGACGCGCCAGACGCGTATCCGTCGAGTGAGCTTCGTATCTCGTCCGCAGTTGGAAAAACTACCTTGAACTTCGGCTTAGCAAGCCCTTGATTCTTGCACCGAGATAATGACCCAAACAACGTCTTCTGTAACCAATCATCATTCGCCCCAAGTGTCGCAATTGATGATATTTGGACCACGATTTCTGACTCATCGGGCGACTGGCAGGGGACAGACTGTAAGCATCTCTTCAGACCAGACCAGCCCCATGCAGTTTGGGTCGTGTCATGCAGTTCATGCTTCCCCGGTACACTGGCAATTAGAGATGCCCTAATGCTGGTAAAGTCGAAGCCAACGAGTCGATCAGCTAGAGCTTTACATGTAACCCCTCGCCGGTCGTAAGATCTCAAGTAGTTTAACAAATCGGATTTGAAGCGCTCTCCGCTTCCAATAGGCTGGTCTATGAGGGGGGTCGCATTGACCGACCCGGATGTCTTAGGAAGAAATGGGGATTTCCAAACTGCGTTCGTCATGTTGGTCCAGTCCTTCGGAATCATATTGGCAGTATGGATGATGACTTGTGCTGTGTCATCATGGCGAAATAGAATCATCATCTTGGAATGATGAGTGCCGAACATCTCTGGCATCGGCGCAACGTGAAGCTGGACATTGTTGAACTCAGCAGCGGCTTGCTGATAAGTGTTAGCCGGCCAGCAAAGTCCTTGGACTGATGGGTCGAGGTTGATGCCCAATGGAAATGTCCTGAGGTGCTGGTTTACCACTCTGCAGGGGATTTCCCAAAGATTTCGAGCCGGAAAGGATGACCTACCACCAAGGCCAGACGGTTGGGGTCTTCTTGCTTCCAGAAGCCATGAACTACGTGAACTTTGACGAGATGTTTGACATCACTATCAAATCCGTCCATCAAAAAGTGTATGTCGTGCAAATAGTTGAACTCCCAACATTCTGAAATGAGTGGATCACCAAGGAGATCCTTCAGAGTAACTGCGTCTCGGTTCTGATCGTCTGGGAGGTCTCGAATCCAGGTAAGTTGCCATGGCGACCTAATGACAGGAGATCTGCGTCGTTTCTTGCTAGGAGGACTAATTGGGCGCGTGAGGGACTCCGGCATCACAGGTTCCTCGTCCATGAGTTGTCGTTTTTGAGGACGCTCCATGTTTGGGATGACCTGTTGCTACTACAGACAAATCCGCACGCCGCAAGTGTGAATTCTGATCCGCGCCATTAGGTGGCAAAAGAAACCTATCCTGCAATGGGCTTAGTGTGATTGCTGGACGTGACGGCTCTGGCGAGTACGCGGAGATGTTGGTGTTGGATAAGCAGGGATGCTATGTCAAATTGCGGGCGCTAAGTGAGAAGGTGCTTCGAATTGGCAAGTGTGGCTGTGAGGAATGTGGCTGATGACCTTGTGGCGCAGCCGGAAGCATGAGCATTGCGTGTCCCAACGCAGCGCAGCGCTTCTCCTGAACGCCATCTTGTCCATTCTCATGGCTTACTGATCGCATTCTCTGCTTTTCTTTTCCCCTTTGCGTCGACGATTCTTGCGCCTGGTGTGCGCGTTTCCGTCTTGTATTCCTTGTCTCACTTACGCCTATGCTACGGTAGCACCGTCTTCATCACCCGGAGGTTATCGGCTACGCGCACCCGCCATCGCATCACCATTCATCACACTTTGTCTCAGCATTCCATCTGGCTCGTCTCCACAAACCGACCTTCCAACTCCGAACTGTGTCCTCGACTTCGATAATTATTCCCTTGCCCACGCGTTTACAAATCTCCCGCCGACCAGTTGCCGATCCGAAAGACTTGCGCCTACGAGGTGCACCTTACCTGCCCATCATGCGCCTCTCGTCCTTTGCTGTCCTTACAGGCGCTATGGCACTCGCCGGTGCCCAGCTAATGCCCGATGAAGAGGATTTCAAGAAAGAGGCTACTTATTTTAACGACAAGAAAGTACCGGCACTCCTGGAGCTGACCCCCGCCAACTGGGAGGCGGAGATCACCAAGACCAAGTACCTCTTTGTGAAGCACTACAGGTACAGCCCTCGAACAACACCTCATGCTAACGTCATGCTAATCAATGGCTAGTCCATACTGCCCTCACTGTATCGATTTCGCTCCCACTTTTCAATCGATTTACGAATTCTACTACACCTCGCAGCCTGTCGCGGCCGATGCTGTGGATACGACATTCCTCAAGTACTACGACTTCCGATTTGCAACCATCAACTGTGTTGCCTACTATGACCTATGCATGGACCACGCTGTGCAATCCTATCCTACAAGTATCATTTACGAAAATGGCGCTGTCTTCGAGAGCATGAGGGGTGTCAAGAACGCCACGTTTGTCAGCGCTGCCGTCGAGAAGGCTCTCGAAAAGGCCATGCCTGGTTCTCGACCTGCAACTCTCGACCTGCCCGACGTGAAGGACGAGCATATTGCGGAAAAGAAGAAGGCCGCAAAGGCGGCCTATAAGAAGATGGAGGCCGACAGGATCGAAAAGGAGGAAGCTGAGAAGGCAGCAGCTGACGCAGCAGCGGCCGAGAAGGCGGCGGCCGAGAAGGCAGCAACCGAGAAGGCAGCAGCCGAAATCAAGGCTCCTGAGCAGTCCCTTGATGATATTACCGAGAAGCCTCAAACTCCCGACGCATCCGACAAGGTCAAGGAGCCCGCCAAGTCGGACGGGACCGAGAAGTCGACCAAGGACCAGAAGGCTGACGCCTCCAAGGAAGTAATCAACTCTGGCGAGGCAAACGGAAATGCTGCCGAAAAGACCTTTGGTGATGACTGGAAGGTCCCCAGCACCGGTGAGATGTTGAAGAAGACGAAGCCCAAGGAACCTGCCACGATTTACAACCCAGAGGGTGTTAGTGTCCCTTTGACGCCGGGATCCTTCGAGAAACTCGTCACCTCGACTCAGGACCCTTGGTTCATCAAGTTCTATGCCCCTTGGTGCTCTCATTGCAGAGCCATGGCACCGGCGTGGGAGCAAATGGCTAAGTCCGTGGCGGGAAAGCTCAACGTTGGCGAGGTCAACTGCGATGCCGAGTCTCGTCTCTGCAAGGAAGTCGGTGCTCGTGCCTACCCCACCGTTCGCTTCTACAAGGGTGGTGAGAGTTCCGAGTACAAGGGCCTCCGCGGTCTAGGCGACTTTGTTCAGTATGCTGAAAAGGCTCTGGAGGTCGCCGGTGGTATCATCGATGTTGATGCCGCAGCCCTTAAGGAGATGGAAAAGGAAGAGGAAGTCATCTTTGTCTACTTCTACGATCATGCCACCACTACTGAGGACTTCAAGGCCCTTGAGCAGCTCCCACTCAACCTCATTGGGCGCGCCAAGATTGTCAAGACCAACGATCCGGATCTCAACACCAGATTCGGCATCACCACATGGCCTAGATTCTTGGTGTCCAGAGAGGGCCGGCCAACCTACTACACGCCCATCACTCCCGATGAGATGAGAGATATGGATGCCTTGGTTGACTGGATGAAGTCGGTCTGGCTGCCCCTTGTCCCTGAGATGACCGCCACCAATGCTCGCCAGATTATGGAGCACAAGATTGTTGCCCTTGCTGTTCTCAACCGCGACGATGGTGACCGCCTGAAGAACTCCATTAGTGAACTGAAGACTGCAGCTAGCGATTGGATGGATCGACAGGTTCAGGAGTTCCAACTTGAGCGCACAAAGCTCCGCGATTCTAAGCAAATGCGAATTGAGGAGGCCCAGGAACGTGGTGACCAGCGCGGCCTCCGAAATGCCAAGGCCATTAAGATCGACATGGACTCGGCTAGCCGCCAGGAAGTTGCATTTGCCTGGGTCGATGGTGTCTTTTGGGCTCGATGGCTCCAAAAGACATACGGTATCGATGTCAAGGATGGCGAGCGCGTCATTGTCAACGAGGAAGACGTGAGTCGAGTTTAAACACACGCCCTGAAAATATGCTAACCCTCCACAGAGGAAGAGATTCTGGGACAGCACCTCCACGGGCAACCACATCATGGTCACCCGTACTTCCATCATGGAGACTCTCGACAAGGTGGTCTATGGCCCCAACCCCATCACGACCAAGTACACTATCTCTTCATTTGAGAAGATATTCTTTGACATCAAGATGAGTTTTGTGGACCGTCCATTCTTGTCCTGCGCCTTTGTTGTCGCCGCCATCTTTGGTGTCTACTCCTGGCTGCGTAGCCGCAGCCGCCGATCCCGTAGCTACCTTTTCCCTCGTGATGACTCGATGGGTCTCAAGGATGGACTGCTGGGACAGCCTAATAACGCTAAGGCCGACTAAGCATCCAGGACATTTCGAGGGGTGGATTGGGAGACGGTTCTGAAAAGAAAGCAGAGGGGAAATGAAGCCGAAACTACCGCGCCAATCCTGCCCGTGTCACTCCCCTTTGTGAGAACGAAGAGAAGTTTTTGGCTCTAGTCAGGCTAAGAGAACATGTCGCGGGTATCGTGTATTGGAAATTTTGTCTGTCGATCATAGAGATGCTGTCTTGGTTGGGTAATTACGGAGTTAGGGGTTCATTGGGTTGCCTCCGCCTGTGCACCTGTATTGTAGTCGCGTGGAAACGCACCGCTTGCATACATTACTTATTGTTATACTCTTCCCATCGGCTCGGTTCTTGTGAGTCATGGAGAAACATTCTTGTTCACGAGAAAGGACAGTGGTCATACCGGAGGGCCATTCAAATCCTCCGAGAAAATGAGGCGACCAGGGGATGTAGAGCCACGAAAGAAGACGTCGATGGACGGGGATCACAATCACATTTCTTTATTATTTGTCTGTTAACTCTTGATCTGCTGCACTGTATCTCTCCGTGACCAACAAGTTTAGCGTCGCACCATATCACCCAGACGCAATCACTGGGGCCGAGCTGAACCTGTAACGGACCACCTAGATATGGGCGCTAAAGATTGAGGGCTACATACCTGGTAGGTACGAAGGCTGGCGCAGGAAGTTGTCAACTTCCCAAGGTAAAGGCACATACTGGCTGTACAGTGTAGCACAGTACACGGATAGTATCTTTCAGTATCTAATAAACTCTTTGGATCGTTATTATTTAATACTTAGGTAATGTACTTAAGTTCTTATTTTCATACAAATAAAATTTTATTATTAGCCTAAGGAATACGTTGAAAATAATATTCAACAGATTTTAGTTGAAGTTTCGCTGTTCTTGCTTATCTTCAGTAGTTGAATCAGTTGTAGATTGTACTGTACGAGGTAACTTACTGTCCACCTAGATACAGCGAAGTTATCAAACTTCCTGCGCCAGCTTTCGTATACAAAATTCCAGGTAGGCGCCGCCAGTGGAGGCCCGATCTAATGTGAATTTGGATAGGACTTGCCGTGGTTCCGTGTCACGCGGCTGCACCATAGCCGGATATCACGGAATCTGTCCTTAGTACGAGTACCTGGACTCGTTCGTTTCCCCTTCGCGACTGCCCTTCGATTTGAGTGTTCCCAACCAGCCCGGCGCGGGAACGGGTGGGGCCGGGACTCGGGAGAGCGCCGGGCGATTGACGTTAATGGGACATGTCTATATCATTACTCTTCTACATCACAGTATGTACTGCTAATAAAAACCCGCATCGCTCAAGGGATAAAACACTATCGGGTGATTCAACAGCAAAAGAAACTAAAAACAGGGCGTAGCTGAACTCACTCGCGCCGTCCCCGCCACGGCCACATATGCGCCTATTAGCTTCGGCGGCCAGTCCCACCTCCGGATCCCGGAGCCCCGACCTGGAGCCGAGAGTCCGCCTCAAGAGCTGCTACGAAGTGCAGTGGTCTCTAAGCCGGCATAAAGAGGCGCCCAGAGAGTACAAAATCCTGGGCCTAGAATCACTCAGGCGACACGCGCGGCTTGGCTGTGCCTAGCGTGATGACTGCATCCCATCAGCGTCTTGTACCATTGACACCACATGGCATTGGCCCTGTCACGAATCTCTTCTTCATAGACCAGGTACCACGGGGGAAGCGACTTTTCTGACAGTTAGTCAGGTAAATTCCTTCATTCATTCACCGCTCTCCTCTCTCTTCAACAAGCATGGATAGCTGTGTGCTTTGCTCTTCTCCCTCGCCGCCTCCAAAGCCACATTGTACGAGCTTGATCATTTCATCTATGGTGCTGCGCCCCGCTTTGCCGCGCTATCCGCCCCTCATTCATGCATGATTGCGTTGTTCCAGCTCTGATTCAATTCAGCATCAACGTCAGCATTTATTACTCCCTCAGCCCTCCCACATCTTGAGAAAATCCATCCTTACTCTATTAAAGACCATGGACTCCATCTTCAAGCAAGTTGGCGCTCACGTCGAGGGGCTGAGCCAGCAAGTAGGCGCCTCCATCGAGTCGGCCTTTGGCGGCGCGAACAAGCAAGATGTCCAATCCAACACCGAAGCCGACCCTCAGTCAGCAACCCAGGGTACGAACCGTTTCGGCTCCTTCGCTCCGCAAGTATCCGGCAACTGCAAGTGGTATGTTGACGGAGCTTCTTATTTCTGGGCTGTGTCTGAGGCGCTTGAGAGTAAGTCTTCCATGTTTCGACTCCAGAAACAAGTCTGCCATGTTTGACCCCAGAAACATGACCAGAGATATATTAATCTAACGTGTTTGCCGGAATTTAGAGGCCCAGGAGAGCATCATGATCCTGGATTGGTGGCTGAGCCCCGAGCTCTATCTGCGCCGCCCCCCTTCCAAGTACGAGTCGTATCGCCTGGATGTAATGCTCAAGGCCGCTGCCGAACGAGGAGTCAAGGTCTATGTAATCGTATATAAGGAAGTGCAAGCCGCCCTCACACTTGATTCTGAGCATACTCGACGTGCGCTCGAAGCCCTGCATCCCAATGTCAAAGTCTTCAGGCACCCAGATCACCTCCCTACAGGTTACGACTTGACCAAAGAATTGGGCAAATCCCTAAAGGCCCTCACCCAATTTGACCTTGCCCGAGCTTCTGGAGATGCTGTAAAGGCTGTCTACGGTACTGGTGACGGAATCGTTCTCTATTGGGCCCATCATGAGAAGCTCCTTGTCATTGATCGTAAGCTTGCTTTCATGGGCGGCTTGGACATGTGTATGCAATCTTCTCTCTTCTTCTTCTCTTTCGAACAGTTTCCGCTGACACACACAGGCTTTGGGAGATGGGACACCAGTTCGCACCCCATTTCGGACGTCAAGCCAGGCGACCTCTCTGGCATAATCTTCCCTGGACAAGACTACAACAACGCAAGGGTGTACGACTTTGCAGATGTCAAAGACTGGGAGGTAAACCAGCGTATGAACTCCAGATCCGTTCCGAGGGAGCTCAGCTAAAAAGGATTTTGCAGTGGATAGGACGAAAAGCTCCCGTATGGGTTGGTCCGATGTTGCCTTGAGCATGAATGGACAGATTGTGCCCAATCTCGTGAGCCACTTCGTTCATAGATGGTAATTATGTGCATTGAACCGCGTTCCTAGTCCTTCCACACTAACTCCCCCTCAGGAACTTCATCTATGCAACGAAATACAAGAACAAGAACCCTGGAAAATACTCGAAGCTGGAAGTTCATTCACAGGCTCCAGACAGCCACCAAGAGAGAAAAGAGCATGTCTACGATGACTACCTTGGTGGTCTCACAGATCAGTTCAACCGACTGAGCAACTTCATGTCTCACGATGAGACGCACCACCACGGTCAACAAAAGTCGCATCGTGGTGAATTACCACGTATTCAGCTGGTCCGAAGGTACTTTTGTTCATTCTTATTCCTTCTTCTTTTTCGATGATCGGGAGCAGTCTCAAGTAATGTTGAAGGAAGCTCACAGCCGCCGCTTGTGGGGTGGTTGTGCCCCCCTCGATGCCCTCACCTAGCTAACCAGTCATACATACCATCAACACACATTGTTGTCCTCGCAACAATTAGCATCCAGCTAACTTTTACAGCTGTTCCGAGTGGAGTGCAGGACTCCCAACAGAGCACTCCATCCAAAACGCCTACGTCAGCGCCATAAAAGCCGCCCAATCTTTTTGTTATATTGAGAACCAGGTAAATAAGATGCGTTAAATTTATCACCGAGGTCTAATTATAAATTTAATAGTTCTTTATCACGGCAACAGATAGCACAACGCGTGTGAAGAATCAAATTGGTGCTGCCATTGTCGAGAGAATCGTGCGTGCGTTCAACGAGGGCCAGCGTTTCAAGGTCATTGTCTTGATGCCCTCAGTTCCAGCATTCGCCGGGGATCTACAGAGCGAGGGGGCCCTTGGAACACGCGCCATAATGGAGTTCCAATACAATTCTATCTCTCGTGGCAAATCCAGCATCATCGAGAAGTTGAAAGCCGCCGGGATTCAGGACCCCAGAAGCTATATCGAGTTCTACAACCTGCGCTCATTCGACAGAATCAACACGTCCAGGACCATGGAAGATGCTCAATCTCGAGCCGGTGTGTCGTATGAAGATGCGAGAAAAGAATATGAAGACCACATTGACCGCCGGCTTGACAGCTTGTCTCAGGACAATACGGACCATTACGACAGATACCGACGCGAAGCTGCCCAAGTGAAAGACGTCACGCTCGATACCATCACTTCCGTTTATATGGACGGCGGGCCAAATGTTACCGAGCTAACTTGGGACGGTAACCCAGAGGATGAGATCAACGCCTTCGTCAGCGAGCAGCTCTATATCCACACCAAGCTCTTAATAGTAGACGATAGCCTTGTTATTTGCGGCAGCGCAAACCTGAATGACCGTTCCCAGTTGGGAAGTCACGACTCAGAAATAGCAGTCGTCATCGAGGATCGATATAATACTGTGGACTCTTTCATGGACGGTCAACCCTTTAAGGCCTCACGTTTCGCCGCCTCCCTGCGTCGATACCTTTTCCGCAAGCATCTTGGTCTCATTCCAGACCAGCATCCCGATCGCCCTGATTCGAACTGGACACCTGTTGATGTCTCCCCCAATCATTATGACTGGGGCTCGCCGGCTGACCAGCTCGTTGTTGATCCACTCTCGTCCAACTTCCAGAACCTCTGGAGACGCACGGCTCAATCGAACACTGAAATCTTCAGCCGTGCTTTCCACCCTGTGCCTAATGATCTGGTGCGCACTTGGGAGGCCTACGACAAGTTCTTCACTGATAAATTCATCATCCCTGGCAAGAAGGAAGAGACGAAGAAAAAGGAGGATGAAGACGTCAAGGAGGGAAAGGTGGAATACGGCCATATAGTCCGCAGCGAATTCCCCGGCGGTGTCCAGGAAGTCAAGGAATGGCTAGGCGGTATCCGCGGCACACTTGTCGAGATGCCGCTCGACTTCCTCATTGATGTCGATGACATTGCAAAGGAGGGACTGAGTCTTAACAGTCTCACAGATGAGCTCTACACCTGATTTGAACTCTATATCGTTCGGGTAACATGTTAGTACGGATAGCAATAGTTCTGATTTAACAATTTGACGAATCTACTTGACTTGCGTTGCGACCAATTTTATTTTAAGCGACCTGTCAGTTATAGATAGTACTGTTTAACCCTCTCCGACCACATCGTTCCCTAGGTAGAGAGTGCGGAAATTACCAAGGAAAAGAGAAAAGCAGAAACTATGTTAATCCAGTTGTGTATCTGTCTACCGATACTTAAATACCAACAAAAGTGCCTCCGCGCTCCCAAAGCATCGATTCTATGCCCGCACGTATCAAGCCACCAAGAGCAAACGCCGACAACAAAAGCAGGGATACCAAAATCCATCCTACCTCCCATAACCACAAACGCCTACCAGTTTCTCAAAGCACTCCTCCGCCCCTTTTGTCTGCCGTGTAATCCTCGTGCACCCTTTTTCATTTTCTTTATGCTGTCTTCGTCTCGCTCACTGAAGGAAGCCGGCCTACCAATGCGCTAGGTCTAGTCGCCTCTTGTCAGTCAGCGACGGGGTTTGGGATGAGCCCGTCCGCTCCGAGAGCCGTTGACGGCACGCCTTCGGCGGCGCTCAGCGAGACGTTTCTTGTTATCGGTATGCATTTCGGTGAGTGCCTTCGCAATCGGGTCGGACGGAGGCGCTGCGGCAGTTGAGGGGTCGCGCTGCATTACCACGTCTGATTCCAGTTGAGAGGGAGGCTGCGGCTCGTTGAAGGATTGACCAATGCAAAGGAGGATATCGTCGGCGGTTCGGTGACCGGAATCGTCGATGCTTAAAATCTCTTCTGTTGAGACGCCAGTCCGACCCGAGTCACGCAACCCTTCTTGGAGACGGAGGCGCGTAAGACGGGGCAGCACTGTCTCTGGACGATGAGAGCTTGGAGGGCTCTGAGGTGGCAGAGATGGAGGTCGGTTGGTGGTGGTGTCCATATCCATATCGGAGGCTGGAGGCGAACTAGTTCTGGTGCAAGTGAGTTACCAGTTAGCGAAAGAGAACACCCAGACATCAAAAAGCAACAGGAGATGAGCGAGTTACTTACCGGATACTCGGTTCGGGGAAAGTAGATGTTGCAGCCGGGCCACTCATGTTTGATTCGGCTTTTGGAGCACTCATACTACTCTCTAAAGAGAAGGAGGCAGGAAGGGTTTGGGAGGATAAATTATCACCTTGTGGATCCATGGGGTCTAATGACGACTTGTGGTAGTATCAGGGAGGCAGCGCACGTAGATCTCTTTATACTCGACATTGTAAGCCACAGTGCCAAGCCAGAATGGCATCAATCAGAACTTTATGCCATGTAACTGGCATTCCGCACCTAATGCAGGAGGGTAGCGTCTGGGGCCACAGTGAAAAGCAGGGCAACTACCCACCCAACACTGCACATGCTTGCGCCGACAGAAGAAGGGCTGGCCAACCAAACGGGCAAAAGTGATGCAGGTCATTCATGCTGTTGGCCAGTAGCGTCTCAGCTGCCGGGGCTGATGAAGACGGCCTGCGAGTTCTGCATGTTGTGTGTGGCTCTTGGGCATCTGGAAGTAGGCGAACTAGTATACGCGCTGGCGCAGCGACCATATGGGGGGGGCTGAGCGCCCCATATGCGCCTCGATTGACTATTGATGTGGATAATCCAAGACCAGGATCTCACAGTGTTAGTACAGATTGGCGAGAACATGGCCCTGGTTGTAGAGATATTCGCTTCGTTGAGTGACGATGCCACTTTCTCTCTCTTTGTCCCATTGTATGGGAGTAGAATAACAGGAAAGTCCCTCGTATAATAAAGAGCCCCCACGCCAGGGTCATCAGCTGTGTGTGACAAGTCACCAAGCCATTGACGTTATGAGAAGAGACACAATCTCCTTTGGGAAAGGTCGCCAACTCCGAATGGCCTGGAGGCCGCCGACCGTTGGCGTCTCTCTCACGCCTAAGAAACCACATTGATCTTTCTAGTCACTAGGCACAATTTTTGGTCAAACCCGTCTGCCTGAATCGAATCCCGAAGAGAGAAAACTTCACTCCGTCATCGTGGCAAGGCTTTCTCGTTCATCAGCAATGCCACTCAGCAGGCAGCGAGGCTGGGTTGGTGGGTCTGGACCAAAGCGTGTGGTTGCATAGGATGCATCCGAATTGGGTCAAGACGATAGTAGTGGTGCATTGGGGCGTGCAAATCACGCACCTCCTCAAAGAATGATCATGTCAGGCTGGGTCTTATTCTCAATTATTGACAGGGAATTCTGAGCTAGGGACTACCGAATGCGATGGAGTCTTGGGTCTGCAGACACACCACAGCGGTTGAGTTGGTTTCTCAGCTGGCTTCCGGGGAGTATGGGTACGTCTATAATAAACGAGTAGCTTTCAACGAGGCTCGGGTAGATGGGAGGTTGAAGAAAATCGCAACAGATTCGGGACAATTGCATATAGGTCACTTGAAAAATATCTAGGGCGCGCATCTTCAAGGACTAAGAACCAGTCAATTTCCGAACGCGCGTACCAAAAATATGATTACCCGAGTCAGAGGTCTACATGAGATATCTTTGTTATTGTTCTCTCTGAGGGAGAAGTGGACAAGGTTGAAACATGATGTGCGACATGCAGGCTCAGGTGAGGCTGAGGAGCTGGCCGCCAGTGGCATCACTTACAGGGCCTGCGGCATAGACCCTGGCTGGCTTGGCTGCCTCTTCTCTCATCCCCCACAACAGCGGATGAGGTGATAACAGGGTCACGCAAAGAACCAGAGGGGAGGTGTTCACTCTCTCCAGTGCAGTAGTTCCTACGATGTCGATGGCTGGCTAATGAACGATCACCATCCGCAGGGCAGACGACAGGTCACGTGCTTTCGCGCCGTACCGCGCAGCACCAGGCACCATGTACCATTGTCTCCGCCATCCACACGCTCGACAGCCTCGCATTTCCTTGATTGGCCGTCCGACTCGACTGTTGCACAAAGAGTCCTCGACGTCGTTTATCCTCGGCTATTCAGGCCAGTGAACACTCAGTCCGAAGGATATTCGCGCTTGCTGTCGTCAAATCATCGCCCAGCGAGGTGCAGCTCACGTTGACGAGTCATACTCGCCTCGCACCAACTTCATGTTCACCTTGCTCCCCACTCGCTGCTGCGAGGGTTACAGCAAAAAGTGAGGCAGCTGGCCCGGGAAAGTCCGGCAGAGCTGTCATCACGATGCCCGACACCACGGACATGGACATTGACGATGAAGTGCATCCTGGGGCAATGGCAACTAGCGGCATCAAGCGGAAGGCCGACGGCGACCCCGAGGAGTCTCGCCCTGCCCGCAGAATCAAGGCAAGCAAGAAGCATGCGTTGGCGACCCGTCGTCTGCCCAGATTCCCCGCCTCATCCTCGTTTCAACATCCAATGCCTCGGCTAACAGTTCCGAGCTGCAGGCCCTTGATCCCAATGTGGTTAACAAGATAGCAGCGGGCGAGATCATCGTTGCACCGGTTCATGCACTCAAGGAACTGATAGAAAACGCCGTCGATGCGGGATCCACCTCGTTGGAGATCCTTGCCAAGGATGGCGGGCTCAAGCTCCTCCAGATCACCGACAATGGGTGTGGCATCCAGGTACGCCCGAACCTGACCCTCCTCCTTATACGGGGCTGACTGGTCCCCAGAAAGAAGACTTGGCCATCCTCTGTGAGCGCCATACCACCTCCAAGATTACCTCCTTCGAGGACCTCTCCTCCATAGCCACATATGGATTTCGAGGCGAAGCCTTGGCCAGCATCAGCCACATTGCACATTTGACCGTGACAACCAAAACCAAAGACTCTGACCTCGCCTGGCGCGCTACGTACCAAGATGGTAAACTTGCCCCGGCAAAGCATGGTCAGTCTGCCGAGCCAAAGGGCGTTGCTGGTCGTCCCGGTACCCAAATAACCGTCGAAGACCTGTTCTATAACATCACCGCTCGCCGGAAAGCGTTCCGCTCCTTCCCTGATGAGTTCAACAAGATCATAGATATGGTAGGCAGATATGCTGTGCATTGCAAAGGAGTCGGCTTCACCTGCAAGAAGGCGGGCGAATCCTCCACCAGCCTCTCAATCCAAGCTCAGGCGACTGTTATCGACCGTATCCGCCAGATCCACGGCAGCAGTGTTGCCAACGAGCTCATCAAGTTTGAGACCTCGGAGGACCGCTGGGGTTTCAAGGCCGAAGGTTACACAACAAATGCCAACTATTCTGTCAAGAAGACTACCCTTTTACTCTTCATCAACCATCGCTGCGTTGAGTCGACCCACATCAAAAAGGCGCTGGAGCAAATGTACTCGAACTTCCTGCCAAAGCAAGGCCATCCATTCGTCTACCTGAGTTTAGAGATTGAGCCAGCTCGAGTAGATGTCAACGTCCATCCAACCAAAAGGGAGGTTCATTTCCTCAATGAGGACGAAATCATTCAAGCAATATGCGAGCACATCGAAACTAAGCTTGCCGCCGTGGATACAAGTCGAACATTCATGACTCAGACCCTCCTGCCTGGTGTGAAGGCCGCCGACCCATCTCCACGAACGGATAATGACGGTACCCCAGGTCGAGTGACCCCCTTAACCAAGAGGCCTAGGCGAAACTCAAATGACTTGGTTCGTACTGATACGTCTGAACGGAAAATAACGTCCATGTTTTCTCGGGCTGGACTCAATCGATCATCGGGATCCACAGATCGCTCGGAGCAGGCGCTGCCCGTACCCGAGGACCTCGATTACGAAACCATTGATCGAGCATCTGTTCCCTGTCGGCTCAGCAGTGTCAAGGAGCTGCGATCCGAGGTCCGCGAAGGAATACATGATGAGTTGACAGAGATATTTGCTTCCCATACTTTTGTTGGAGTAGTTGACGATCATCGCCGATTAGCTGCTATACAAGGAGGCGTCAAGCTGTATTTGATCGATTATGGACACACATGTTTCGAATACTTTTATCAGGTTGGATTGACCGACTTTGGCAACTTCGGTACAATTCGCTTCAGCCCTTCGCTAGACCTGCGGGAGATGCTCCGCATGGCGGCCGAGGTGGAGAAGAACACCGTCTGTTCTCCTGACGAAGACTTTGATGTCGAGACCCTTGTTGATCGAGTGTCAAGCCAGTTGGTTGAGCGCCGAGAGATGCTCCACGAGTACTTTTCCCTTGAGATATCCCCTGCGGGCGAGCTTGTCTCCATCCCGCTCCTCATCAAGGGGTACACACCACCGCTTGTCAAGCTCCCGCGTTTCCTCCTACGCCTCGGGCCCCATGTTGACTGGGGCGATGAGAAGGGCTGTTTTGAAACCTTTCTCCGCGAGCTCGCAACCCTGTACGTCCCCGAACCATTACCCGCTCTTCCAGGAGACGAGGAGGGTCTTCGCACGGAGGACGTCCCCAACGAGATCCGGGTGCGCAGGCAGCATGTCCGGTATGCTGTACAAAACATCTTCTTCCCCGCGTTCAAGGCCAGACTGGTGGCCACGAAGTCACTCATGGAGCAAGGCGTCTTGGAAGTGGCGAGCTTGAAAGGTTTGTATCGGGTTTTTGAGAGGTGTTAAGAGCGGTCATGTTGTCAATACTTCGTGGCCCATTCTATGGTAGTTGTTTGTCTGGTGATTCTGGGCCTGGCTGCGTCATGGTGGGACAAGTAGAAACTGATCTGGCTTTCACGTACGAGTTATGAGATAGAATGCTACAACAGCGTGGACGGTGCAAGGTAAATGTGTTCAATTTCAAAGATCAATCATTCATATTTCATTACTTTTCCTATGCCTTTCCTTTCCTATAATATTTTCCCAGTATCTACGCCTTTGGCTTGTTCTTCCGCTTATACGCCAAGAAACGATTCAAGTTCAGCACGGCTTCATCAGCCCGCAGACGCAGCTCGGCCTGGGCTTGCTTATTAATGGTCTTAACCATGGCGCGTACCTTGGGGACAGCGTCCTCGAGATGCTTGAGGAAGTTGTCCTTCCAGAAGACCTCACGGTCGTAAGCGTACTCCTCGTTGCCGTAGATGTCGAAGAGCTGGTTGAGCGCCTCAACAGCATCCGCGGAGGGCGTGTTGGGCAGACTAGTGAGAAGGGTGATGAGGAAAGCGGCAATCTCACGGTTGCGGTCTGTGGGAGCCGGGTCGAGGGCGAGTTGACCGAGGACGCCGACGCACTTAACGCCGAGGGCCTGGAAAGGATCCTCTGTGTTCTGGACGGCCGCGGCGCCCTTGGTCGCCTGGTAGAGCGCGATGAAGCGGCGGTGCTCGTCGCCAGCCAGCGGGGTGGCGCTGCCGCGGAGGGAGCGGGCGACGGCCCAGGCGAGGCTCGTAACGTGCGTGGCGAGGGCAACGTCGGCGGTGTCGGTCGCGAGGATGGCGGCGATGACCTGGGTCCACAGGGCCTGACCGGCGGGCTGCCATGTGGCCTGGATGGCGGCGTTGTGGGGGTCGGCGAAGTCGATGAGGGAGACGGACCAGGCAATGTTGTTGAGGGCGGAGAGGGCGTGGCCCTGGAGGCGGATGCTGGCGTCGTCGTTGGGGGGGAGGGCGGCGATGCGAATGAGCTCAGGGAGGGCGGTTTGGATGAGGGCTTTGAGGACGGGCAGGTCATCGATGTTGTCGTGGTTCTCGTCATCGTCGGCACCTGTTACCATATCCATATCGGCCTCCATCTCGTCCTGATCCATCTCTTCATCCTCTTCATCCTCGCCGTCCTCACCATCAGGCCCTTCGCCGTCAGATCCAGCTTCGTCAGCGTCGTCATCAGCATCATCCATAGCCTCGTCATCCTTGGCACCCCCAGCCTGGGGCTTAGGGGCCTCGGCAGCGTCCCGAGAGTTGTTGAGGCTGGTTCCAATGGAGGCAAGGATCTCGAGCGCCAGCTGCTGGTACTCGATGGGGTTCGCCCAGCCAGTGGCGTCGGTGACAACCTGTCCGGGCTGGAACGAGCCGATGGCCTTGGAGAGAGTAGGGATGAGGAATGAGTCGTCGGCGCCGAGGGGAATGTCCTGGCCCTCAAGAGAGGCGAAAATGTTGTGAAGGACGCCACAGGCAAGCACGCCGTCGCTACTGGGCTCCTCGCGCAGCGCCAGGACGGTGTCGTAACAGCGAGGTCCCTTGGAGTTGATGATCTTTTCGGCAAGTTCCTCGTTGTCCTCGCAAAGGATCATGAGGCAGGCGAGGGTGTCGGTTCGGAGAGATACCACCTCAGGGATGTGTGAGAGCTCGTTAGAGCTAAGAAGGAAGACAAATCGTGGAATGACGGCATTGCGGGCGATGGCTTCCAAGATGTCATCTTGGGCCTCAGCCAGGGCGGTCAGAAGAGAGATCAGCGATGATGCGATGCTTAGTACTGTGGCCTGCTCTGTCTTGGACTTCTTCAGGAATTCCGTCTCTTTGGACTGGAGCGTCTCAGAGATCTGCTGCGGGTTAGCCTAGCTCATGAGATCAACAGTTGAGATTCCACCTACCGACTTGGCCGCATACTCAATGGCAGTGAGCACATCTACTCGGTATAGATGAATGCAGAAATCAGATTCCTCCTCTTGCGCCAGCACCTGGAGAATGCCCCAGCCAGCAGCACGGCTCTCGAGGGCGGCATCCGTCAAAGTCTGGGTGAGCACGGTGTGAACAATCTGTTCGCGCAGCAGCAGCTTGCGACACCTTTCATCCTGGATGATGTTTGAGACGGCAGCGGCCGCGGCGGAGCGAGACTTGGGGTCGGCGCTCTTCAGGTCCTTGATGACGGGGAGAATCTTCTGCTCGCGCAGCGCGGCGAGTTCTGGGTCGGACGGCGGCTTTACAGACTTTATGGGGTCTTTGCGCTGGGCGTTGCCTCGGTTCCTGCGGGACTTGGCCATTTTATAGATGACAGGTTCTCTTGCGACAGCGTGCCTGAAACCGGTTGATTTGTGTGAATGATATCACAATTCGTGCGCTGAAGTTGTGAAGTTGTGCATGGTGGATGGAATTTTTCTAGTGACGCTGGGTCGTGGTGGGGCACGAAACCACAACAACGGGGAATAAACATGCAGTAATTAACACTTCAACCGCTGTAGCTCATCGTGGAGGTGAGTTTTTCTCCACGCCCGGGGGAACCGAAAATGGTAGTCCAGTAGCTAAGACCCTGGCTTGTGGATGCTCACGTTTCAATGCGACGGCCAAAGAGAGTGTCTGAAATCTCCAAGTTCAGGTTTCCAAGGTGTAGGGTAGCCAGTCTACGCTATAGTTCCATCTACAACATCATCCACGGCGATGATTGAATACGAAAGCTCGACGACACCGTTTCCTCGAGGGTCCTCTTTCTGACTTTCATTTTAACCCAATGAAACAAGAGAACCATGCGCAAATCTGTGACGGGACTTGTAAACTTGAGACAAGTTTTCAATCTGACGGGGGGGGACAACAAGCAACAAAACCCTTAATCTTCATGTAACCTCGGCGGCGGAAACGGGGTTGGTCTTGTGAAAGTGACCGTGAGACATCGACTTGATTTCTCTGCAGGCTGATGGAAAACAAGAAAGCTGCAGGCCCATAACATAATCCTACCTCATCATATCTCCTTGTGTGGTGTGAAATTTTGAGTTGACGAGAACCCTGAGCAAGATGGCATGCATCTCATCCCACGCCACCAGATCCACATCCCAGGCTATGACGGTGCAAGTTCCATGTAACACTTAACACACCCCTAGCTCACGAGCCACGCTGTTCCGGAAGCCAACTCCAACCCTCCAACACCACCATCCGTCTTCCGCCCGTAATCGCACAGCAATCCCCCTCACACTCCCGATCAGCCTCTTGCACTTGTCGCAGCCGCTGTGCGACGCGCCGGTGGCACCTGCAACCGCACGACTGAGGCCGCCATGTAACTACCTACCTATCTACGAACCTCCAACTACCGACCTCGCGATCCCCACGAGCTAGACTAGACGACTCCTCCACCGCGCCGACAACCCGCCATGGCGCCCCCGCGAGGCAGAACGAGAGCCCGATACTGGGCCGACGACGAGGAGATGGCGAAGAAGGACGACGACCTCGGTGCTCCTGGCCACCCCAGAATCGCTACTCAATGGCAAGCCACCCGCCCTCCTCGTCGTCGAGCTCTCGCCCGCCTTGTCGCATACGCCGTCTTCTGCATCTTCCTCCTATTCGCCATCTACCGCCTAATTCAATCTTCACCCTCCGACTCGGGCGACCGAACAAGCTCGCGGGGCTCGTCTTCAGGGTTCAATCCGCCGCGCAAACAGCAAGGGGCGTCGGAGAGGACCTATAGCGGACCCATCAAGTTCCCCGAGCTCGGCAAGACGCTGCAGTCCATATCCGGGACTGGAGGCAGCATCGAGAGGAATAAAAACATCTTGTTCGCTACCGCCAGCCTACGGAGCGCCTCTACGCTGCTTCCCATGGCCTGTCAGATGGCCGCGCGCGAACAGAACTACGTCCATTTTGCACTATCAAGCAGGAGCGAAATCTCCATGAAGGAGCTCCTTGAGATCAATGGTATCGACAACTCTTGCAAATTGTTCCTCCATGGTATTACCGCCCCCGAAAGCCATATGGATCATTGCCTAATTGCTGTGTAGATGCCCGCCCAGACAGTGTTGCCATTTCTAGTGAGCCTAGGATGAGACTTGTTGCTGCTCGTGCTCTCTGTAAGGCCACCGCCCCTGGACGAGTCGTTGACTTCTAACTCATGTGCAATCAGACTTCATGAATAATTACATGCACCCCCAGGCCGTCATCATCGACTCTACCGATGCTGAGGAGGACTTCTTTTTGCGTGGGTTCCGAGACCAAATCCGTGGCACCAAATCCACCCTCATCGAGCTCCCCGATAAGCCAGGGACCCGGCTCGCGTGGCTCACGCAACTTGGTGCTTCGGCGCTGTCAGGTTAGTCCATCAATCTCCCCAAGTTTACAGCCCCAAAGCTTACATCACCCAGCTTGGAACAGCGTGAACTTTGACATTGTAATTCAAGCACCGCCTACTGGTTCTGGAAACCTGATCAGACTTCTCGCCTCTCTTGCGCGGGCTGATATGAGTGCTGTGACTCCTCCGCACCTCACCGTCGAGTTGCCTGCCGAGGTCGAGATACCTCTAGAGAAGATGCTGGCTAAATTTAAATGGCCATCGTCAGGGTTCAAGGAGCTGCCCAGAGCAAATCTGCTATCCCTCCGCCATCGAATCCCCCGTACCAAGTTGACGGAGGAGGAGAGCTCGGTCCGCTTCTTGGAGTCATTCTGGCCAACCAACCCTCGGCAGTCTCATGTCCTTGTCCTCGCTCCTCACACCGAAGTCTCACCTCAGTTCTTCCAGTGTAAGACCCCAGGCACCTGAAGTAGACGTGCATTTACTAATTGCTTAGATGTCAAATACACTCTTCTAAACACGCTGTACTCGAGTGCATCCGTCCTTGGAGACTGGAGCGATAATATCATGGGTATCAGTTTCCAGTCGCCCACCACCCATCTTGACGCGACTACTCCTTTCACCATCCCCGAGGATTCTCCAGCGAAATCAAACACACCTTTCCTCTGGCAGGCACCGAGCAGTGATGCCACGTTGTTCCTCGGAGAAAAGTGGGTGGAGTTGCACGGCTACGTGTCACAGGTGCTAGAGTCCCAAGGTTCGAGGGACGATATGCCGGCAATGCTGGCAAAAAAGGACGTTAGCAAGAAGTACCCAGCCTGGCTGGAGTATGCTTTGCAGCTCTCGCGCCTCCGGGGCTACTTGACACTATACCCGAGTCAAGAGACAGCAAGTGTCATCATGGGTTCACATAGCGATCTCGGCAACACGCCAGAGGAGTATATTGGTGACGATGAGCTTGCTGAGAGTGAGGAAAATGGAAAGGCGGACCGGGCTACTTTGAAATTCGACCCGGATTCCCAAATAGATATGCTGGCGACACTGCCACAAGGAGGAGAGGTCGCTGAATTGAATGCGCTGCCGCTCCTCTCCTGGGAAGGCAAGCAGACGGCGCTCGATGACCTTCGGAAGGCTGCGCATCAGCACGTGCGACAGTTCCGTCGAGAGGTCGGCCAATGTGAGGTGCCGGAGAAAGCGGCAGAGGACGAAGAGGAGGAGCCAAAAGCTGATAAGGCTGCCCGCGATCTGTTTTGTACGAATAAGAAGAAGGCATAAAGGGCTAAGGGTATTGCGATTGGTTTGGAACAGCATAGATATCATTTGCATGATGAGATTTGCATCTTTATGGGCACTGGTGGCTCAGGCGCTAGCGATTTTGAATGAATTGAATTGCAGGTTACGTATCTCATGATGAGCTGGCGTCGCGAACCTTGGCGATGACTAGAAGTACGATACATGTTCCTATGATACACATTGCCGTGATTGTTAAAATCTGGTTTTTGTGTTAGCCGAAATCCTGGCAACATCTGGCCAGCTGGGCCGGAGAGGCCGGAGAACTTACCGCGTGCGTCTTCCATCCGATCTGCACGATGGCTGCTCTCTTGCTGTACTGGTTCACCGTTGCTATAAATCCCATCAGAATGCATTTTCCTTCCTCTCGGGCGAGCCTCCGCGTTGCGGTAATCGAGCAGAACAGAAAAGGCCATTGACTTACTGATGTAATTGCCCACGCCGGCAAAGAGCGTCATGACCGACAGCGCCCAGAAGATGGTGCCGAGCGGTTTTGCCATGCGCAGCTCGAGCGGAGAGGGCTCGTTTTTCAAGTGGAACGAGACAGTGATGGCAATAGAAACGACGGCCATGTAGATGGAGAGGCGGAGGTACGAGAGGAAGGCTAGAGAGCGAGCGTGGTTAGAAGGACTGAGCCGAGGGAAAATGAGATGAGTTGAGTTGCGAGGGCTCAGGAATCGAGACGGACAGGGATTTGTAGATTATGGAGACCAAGACAGGAAGCATACTTCTCTCGTTGGCGCAGTGGTCGCGCGCATCGCTGCTCTCGTTCTCAACGAGCAGTGGACCAAAGAACGGCCATTGGAAGAAGGTCCACCAGCCGGAGGCACTATTCGCACTATACATCACCACACGGAGCGCGTAAGCCTCTCTTCTGGTTGAAAAATCATGTGTAGCGATACAAGCGGCCTGAGAACTGGGGAGAGGAAGCTTCAATGCGAGAGACTACGTACTCGACTGCTGTCAAATCGATGGGCTCAGTCAGGGTCGCGAATGGCGCGCAGCACGCGCGGAACGTCAGGTCTTCATCGTCGATGTCGCGCATGTGAGATGTCATGATGGTCAGGAAATTTGGTGCGATTGCGGTTGCGGGATGATGTGAGAAAGCAGGGCGATGAGAGAATGAGGCATGTGACGATGTTTTAGGATAAATGATGTAAGTTGTCTTTGGTGTGGCGGCGTTTGGTGGTGGTAATTGCGCAATAGCGGCACCCAGATATTGGCACTGTGGGCCCACTCCGACTACACGGCAGCAATAGAACATCAGAACATTCGAATTCCATTCCACGCCGTGATTAATCAACACTTTCATCCACTGACGCGGGCGGCCAGTTATCTCTCGTGATTGACTGGGCTCAGCTGCTGCAAGGAATATAACTGGACCTCGATACTTGATAAGAGATGTGATGGCGCTCCACACTCGATCTTCGAGAGCGCCAGCTGGGTTGAGGTACTACCTACTGGCTGTGTATTGTAGTCAAAGGTAGGACTAAATGCCTGCCTTTTTATCAAATTAGATCTAGTAGATCCAATAGAAAAATAAAATATTACCATAAAAAATAAATACTAAAAATTAGTCTTTAGAGAATTTATCTTCTAAGCTCCGGTAGGATATTATATGGGTATTGGTAGGATTAAGAATGTAGCGATATGCAAATAGCAGTAGGTACGGATAATATTGCGAGTAGGCAATATATTTGAGCAGAATCACGAGCGCAGGTCAAGAATCCATCGTCTTGTGTTTGGCAGGATGCCTCTGTTTCTTTTTGTGTCATCACTTGCGCAGTTGCGCCCATCTAACCGGATTCTATTCTAGTTGGTCGCCAGCTCGATAGATCACTCCGTCTAAAAGCCCCATACCTGTTGCCATCTTGCCTCATCTTCTGCTAATGGTCCGTCGAGTCTTCCAAACCGTGCCGGTTGTTCTGTATTCGCCTCCGGCAGGCACAGCCACTCCCTCACGCTGTTGGGCACCTCCTCCTTGATGTGCGCGATGCAAATGAGCGCCTGCTGGTCCGACAGACCAGGGACCTTGATGTTTCCTGAGCGGGATGCCTCGCTATCCACGATATCCTCGCTCTCGTATGTTTTAGCTTCACCTTCGTTGAGGAACAGAGTACACTTGTCACGGACCGCGTCGTCCATGCCGCTAAAGGCCTCGTCGAGCACCACCACATCGGGGCTCTTGATCATCGACCGAATGAAAAGTGCGACTCGCTGCGCACTGAAAGACAGGCCGCCAAAGAGGTACTCATCCGCCCAGGCGAGGCTCTGATGAGAGGACGCCGACGAGTACTCCGGGTTCAGTTCTGCAGCAAACCATTTGAGCGCAGCTTCAACCTTCTCCCGCGCCCCATCGTCTAGCTTGGGTATACCGCCAAAGGTCTCTGACCACGCGTTCTCGATGACCTGCCGCACCGTCAGGCGGCGGGGCATATGTTGGTGAACTTCGGGGCTTGAGTGACCGATACGGGACTGGATATCCCAGAATGTAAGCGGCCGCTCGCCGGAGCCGGGCTCTGGTAGACGAGACCGTCCAAACAGCTTGATAGGGAGAGAGTAAGACTGCGGATGATCTGAGCAGAGCAAGGACACAATGGTAGTCTTCCCTGATCCGTTGGGACCGAAGACACCCCAGCGCTCTCCGCGTCGGACCGTCCAGATCAAACCACCCTTGGGACCATCCGCAGTCTGCTGCGTCCAATTTCCCAGTGCGATTTTGCCACGGTACTGGACCTTGCATCCGTCCATTTCCACGAGGGGTTCAGCATCAGGATTAACGGGCTCTAGGCCCCGGTAGAAAGTCTGTCCCTTGTCTGTTTGACTTGAATCTTTCGCACTTGTAGCTAAGACACGGCCAATGTCGGCGAGTGAGTGAATGGGAAGCTTCTGATCCTCGGCTAGTGCGCCATTCCGCACCCCTTGGACGTACTTCTTTAAGCCATCGAGGACTTCTTCCTTGGGCCCCATTGAGCCGATCTGGCAGTCTGTCCTCAGATATAACAGATGAGTCACCCACTCTGGGACCGGGTCCTGAGGACGGGCACTCAGTATGAGCCGCGGGCCAGCTTGCGCGGCAAGCGACTGCAGCAATGGGCTCAGTCCCGTCACGGTGGGAGGATCCAGCCCCATGAAGGGCTCATCCAAGAGCAGCACTTCAGGTTTGGTTAGCAAGGCTCGGGCAATGCGGGCTCGTCGGCCTTGGCCGTTGCTCAGGAAGGACACCGGAAGCTCGAGGAGGTGGTCCAACCTTAGGTCCTTGACCACACGGTTGAAGAGCTGTGGCGAGATGCTGCCGTCATCATCCTCAGGTGCCGTCCTAAGCGGGTTCAGCTCCGTGTTGCCGAGAAGGAAGTCTTGCAGCGAAAAGTCCGTGATCTCCCGTCTCGACTCGTACCGCGCAGACAGATACGCGGATGTGCCGGCGCTCCCAGCCAAGCCACCTGCACCCTGTTCAGCATCAAAGCCCACATACTGAATCGCCTTGGTGGGCGTTTTCAGACGATTCGGCACGGCATCCGTAGACAAGTACGGGTAGGACCTCGCGGAGGGCGGCTCGCACAGTAAACGGCCCCTCAGCGCCTGCAGCAAGGTGGTCTTCCCAGAAAGCGAAGGCCCAACGATGCACCAGTTGCGTGGCGTGGATGACGCCGAGGCGAGCTCGAAGCTCAAGTCGCTGAACAGCGGCGGGTTCGGGTGCGACGAGGCTGTGTTGGGGTGACGACGGTAGAAGGTGCCATTGGCGATGCGGATGATGGGTGGGCGCGACGTGAGGGGCCTCATGATGCCGATTGAGTATCTCTGAAGTCTCGAGAGGCCATGCTGCAGCGATTTCACTGTGTCTTAGTGACCCGACTTCGGAACAATGACGATGGTCATGAAATTCCGGGGTAACGATGTTGTGGGAGAAAGGGTACGTACCTTTTCGTGCACGGGTGTTGCCGCCACGGTACGTACCTCCTCCCACTCGCCGACGCGAGGCTGTTCGACTGCCTAAGCCTGGAGCTGTCGTCAACCTCAAGCAAGCCACTCCATCAACCTCAACCGCAGCACTCCACCACCGCCTTCACCGACGCCCTCGCACCCGTCGAAATATCACCGGGGCCTCTAATTCCACAGCTCAGCTCAACCAACCCGCTTCCACCAACTCTATCCCCCCAGCCGCCAAGATGGTAAGCTACACCTCTCCCACAAGCTCTCCTCCCTCCCCATCCGCAAGGCTAACCTCACCACCCTCACACAGTCGCTGCGCATCGTCCCCGCCAACTCCAACCCCAAAACCTTCTCCCACACTTCGCACTCCTCGTCTGCGCCCTCCGCGCCCGGCGTTCACGACACCCTCCGCCACGGCGTCGGCATCAACCCCCACGACGCCAAGTCCAACACACCCGTCTCCGCCCATCCCCTCGAGGCCCGCCTCAAGAACTGGGAGGCTACTCAGGAGGCCCTGCGTATGGAGACCCTGCGACGCACCTTTGGTATCGCCGAGCCTATTCGCCGCGGCATGGAGCTCAAGATCGTCCGCGATGGCGAGTGGCGGCCCATGGCCCTCGCTGGTGGCCTCCCCAGCCTCCACGAGGAGATTCTCAAGGGCCGTGAGGATATGATTACCTGGGAGGACATCTACACTGGCGATGAGACTAGGGGTGTTGCCGGTTTCCACGATGAGATGGAGAAGAAGCTCAAGATTCAGTAAACTTTCCGTATCTAACCGGAAAAGAACGGGGAACGAGGAACCAATGTACAACAACTCGATACACCTTAGAGCGTGGCAAATCGTCAGGCATGAATGAATCCCCAAGACAGAACAAGTCACATGTGAGAGCGTGCAGAGTACAGCAATGTGAATGCCATCTATCCTGCTATGGACATGCGCACCGACGCCAATGCCGGGAGCAGAGGTACCGAAAGACAAACAAAGAATTACATTTATACATGTTACGCCAATGTAGACTCCGATTTCCCCGTCTTCCACGAGTCGTTCCCATCATTCGCTTCTCCGTGTGTAAGACAATAGACCAAAAAAAAAGACAAGAGAGAGTGATGGTCAGGCATCGAGTTGCCAGAGGTAGGCCGATCTTTGAGCCAGCCGAATGTTAACAGACACGCTTCCTCGTGCCGGAGGTGGTCGATGAGGTCCGACGCATGACGTTTATGTACCGCTTGAGCATGATGGGTCGGGCCCGGTTTCGCTCCAGAAAATCGCTTCTATCCCAATACAGATGGTGCTCATAACACTACGCAGCAGCCGCCTCCTCGCTGGCGTTGGCCGTCAGCACCGCCCGAGGCAAGGTTCTTGCTCCCGGACTTTGGCTCCTCCTCATCGAGATCCTGAGGCCGGATGCTCATGTGCACCACGTTCGGGGCCTCCGCGCTGAGCTGGTACTCTGATAATCGGTTAGCATGAGGCACCCAGGAATGTAACCATGTGGTGGGGTTTACTCTTCAGTGGCTCCTTATCATCCAGTAATTTTCCAAAATGAATCAGTCTAATGCTGCTGGGGCTCGATGGCTTTGCCTCCCAATCGCTTCGCCATTCGCGCAGAATGAGTTCTTTGAGAGTGTAGATGCTGATGCTGAAGGGGTCGGGTTGTCCACTCTCGGTTTGGTCGGGGATGTCTACGTTCCTCCTGCTCAGGTATTTGGAATCGATCTTATACGGGTGGCGGCTCCCAGAAGTTAGAAGCAGGGTGATGTTGCAGACGGGACCGTCGGAACCGCCTGGCATGACGGATCTGATGTCGTCAACGGCTTCCCCTATGGCCATGACGGCGTCTTGCGACTCCTTGGCTGGCGGCGGAGGAGCATTCTCCTTCTCCTTGCCTTTGAGAGATGCGGCTGCGGTGACGGCGGACTGTTCGGGCGACTCGGATGTAGATGGAACGGCGGTGGAGGACGAGGGCTTGGTGTCATCCTTGGGGAGGATGGTCTTATCGGCATCGTGCGCAGCGGGAGCCGCTTCGGATGGCGGCTGAGGCATGCTCTCCATCGGCACAGCGTCCTTGGGTTGATCGAGCCGTGAAGTCTCGTCGGAGACGGCCTTGCCACCACTCTGCGTGGAATCCGCTGGTGCCGACATTTTAGAGCCGACGAAGGGGCTGGAGCGTGGACAGGTGGTGGTTGCACCACGCGAGATTGATCGAGGCACGGGGTGAGAGGCGCAGCGGGCTAATTCATTCGTCGGTTGGGGGGGATCCAGGCGGCGGAGTCGGGGATCGAGGATGGCAGGTCGATGGGTTTGAATGAATGTGGTACTGGGCGTGGCCAGGTTTCGGGAGTGAAGACGTCAAGTTCTCGAGGAGGATCGTCTGCTAGGCCGGGGGCCGGGAAACCGGGGGTGGGGGGGAAGGCCGGAGGATTGTCAGCCAGACAAGAGTGTCGCTCAGACGATGGGATGCTACGCAGCGCAACGCAACGCAACGCAACGCAACGCAAGCACCTGCAACACAGGGCTGGCAGCAGGCTGGCAGGTAGGCGGCTGGGCCGTGGAGACGGTGGAGTCTGGGCCAGGACGGTGCGAGTGGGCGCTCCAGTGGGCTTTTGGTGGAGTATTTGGAAGCTTTGCCCAAGGAGGACCAAGGATGAGAGGCGAGGAGAGGCGACGACGCAAGGAGTAGGGTGGGCCCCCAAGTCGAGAAGCGGGATGGTCTGAGACGGGCGAGCTGATGGACGATCGTCGACAACAAAAGATAACGGCACAATGCGGTGCGCCGTCACAATCAAAACAAGCCAAGCGGTGTTGACTTTGCTATTTTCGCTCTCCGTCGGTGAGCTGGTCCGAATGCTGGCCTCTGAAGATGGGATTGTGATGATTGGCCCAAGTCGTGCGCAGAAGAGTTGGAGGGTTGGATTGGAGGACTGCACGGAGTAGAGGTACCTCAATCGGGACAGGGACTCCGTCAGCCGTACTAGGTACAGGAACGACAGGCCCCGGACCGGGGGCAAAGAGAATGGTGGACAGAAAAAAGAAAACAAAATAACTGAGACGGCGGAGCGAGGCTTGCCTACAAGCGGCGGGTTTTGGTCGTTATTGCATCGAGGAGCCCACGATGGCTTGCCGTTAGCAAATTTGGGTGGTGATGAGAGGAAACAAGTTGGCCATGATCGACCAAGGCGCACGAGGTGCTCGAGTACAGCGTCAGAAAGGTCGCTCGCCGACTGCGGCGAACAACAACAATGGAGACAGGGAATCGGCGACGAGACGATGACGCTGCGCTGAATTCGTACTCCGTACTTCCCCAGAAACGGGACGACTCCGAGAGGAACGACTTCCGAGCGACCCATGTACGGCAGTGCGCTATCCGCACTGTATTTTTGCCACTACAACTTGCCTGAACTGACACTTAGAGAGCAAAAGGCTTGGCTTGTGGGCTGCGCAGAGCCAAGGCTTCGTCAGACATCACCTCTCCACGCCGCCTAATCTGCACAGTATCCGCTGCACTGGCATTTCGCCACAACATCCGGTTGGCTCCCTCATTCCCGGGTCTTTGCCTCTGGCTCCCCGTACCCTCGCGCTGGTGGTTGGCTGCCCATTGTCGTTGTTGGCCTCACAATGGGCTTCTGGAGTGGTCTTTGTCTCAGATGCCCTTGTCCTGCGATGGGGATCCTCCCCCGAGGCAACTATGGACGGCCGCTGGTGTCATCATGACCAGCCGGTTACGCCCCGTGTACCTTAACTTTAAAGGGGGCGGGGAGAGACAGCGTCTAATTATCCAGAGAGTTGTAATGAACTGGCGGATGGAACATTGGAACATGTCGCCAGATGCCAAGACATTTATTGGCTGCCCGGAGATGATCATATGGCCCAACGAGCCCTTTCTTCCCGATAGCAGGCAGGTGTAACATGGTATAAACAAGAGTTCTGCGTAAGATGCCCAAACAACCGGAGGTCCAAAGGAGCCAGCTCCTCTCTGTGTTGTCCCTACGGGCCTACAGGGCCTACAGGGCCTGTCAACCTGGAATACGCTACCCGCAGGCCGCTACCCGCAGGGCAAATACCTTCCTATTCTGCTGTAACTCTGGCGCACCCACAGTGTCCTTAACCGCCACGATCATCCACCGGCACCACAACGTCGCACCTCAGACAAATCGGTCGGTCTAGAAGCGCCGCTTGGCCTGACCTCGACATTGACTCCGTAGCGGCACTGGACGACATGGGGCACAGTGCACACCATCTCAGACCCTGAAGAGCAAGGGTTTGTTGCGTTTGCTGCATTTGCTCCCAATAATTACCTCGCCAAGGGGAGGCTATGTCCTTTCCTCCCTGGCTCTGCACTTGACCCTTCCTAACTGTTTCCATCACCGCCGCTACGACACTGTTCAGGCACAAGTTTCTGTGCGCTTCTGGATAAAGTTCTGGAGCCATCCCGAAACCAGTCAACCATTCCCCTAGACCGTCTGGATCGGCTTGGTCGAGACTAGAGCGTACGAGGCGCCGTGATACCCGACCTCAAACAGTGTGCCATACGAGTGCTACGTGTCACCCAAGACGTTCGGGCACCGGCATGGCGGACCGCACACCAGCGGAGGGCGACCACCAGGACACCATCAGAGACACCATCGGAGGAGACAGCCAATAATCACTCTTCAACTACATCGGATCTGATTCATATTCTGCAATGCTTCGTCGCTCCCCTCATCATTAACTACAGCACCAGTAAATCGCCGTTGCTTCCCTGGCCCTGGGCAGGCTGGAGCACTGCCTGGGGTGCGTGAGCGCTCACGACATATCCAGTTCCATCACCACTACCTCCCCCAAATACGTCATCCCCCTGATCAATGTGCATCGACGCCATCTGTTGCGTGCCGAGACTCGAGAAGTACTCGTCTGCATCGTTGACTGCCTGTGCGAGGTTGGCTTCCCCATTGCCTGCTTGCTGCCTGTTTCGAGGGTCGATGTCCGTCGGCTGCGAAGCGTTACCAAACATACTGATGCTCTTTTGGCTGTCTCCAGCCGCCGCAAGGTTCCGTCTCTGGAGAGCCGGTGAATCCTGGAGCTTTCGCGGCCGCGCCGATCTAAAGACGGTCTGCACCGGCTTCAGGTAGACAGTTGCCAACGTGCCAACGTTGAGGCACATCTCCTCCAGTGTCGAAGTGTCCAGTCGCTCTGACTCAGCAGTGATGGCCGGTTTCTCGCCCATGACAATCTGCTTAGCCGCATTCATATCCGTAGACAATAGCCTCCAGTACATGTACGCCCGATCTCGAAGGTCAGGGTTGTCTGTCTCTTCTGTAGCCCATTTCAGCACTCGCGGTACCAGCTCCTGTCCCTTGGTTGGTCGCTGAATAAACAGCTTGACAGTGGCCGTCAGCAATGCGAGCTGTACTTCAACCGGCTCCTCAGCAAATGAGTACAAGAAATCCTCCAAAAGCGCATCACTATTCTCGATGCGATCCGCGTATTGTCCAATTACCCAGATCATGGCAGCCTTGGCTTCTGGCTCATCCAGGGAGTCAAGATGCTCGCAGAGCGTGCTGATGATGGACTCGTACTGGTTGGGGTACTTTCGGAAGATGTTTCGAATAACAACGGTAGCTTCCTGCACAATGTACGTGACCTTGGTCGCAACAAGCTCCAAGAGCAGGTTTATGCATCGCCGCGCCGCAGGCTCAATCTTAATAGCCAGCTTGCCGATGGCGCGCACCGCCTTCCGCACGAAGTGAACATCGATTTCTGTGGCGTACTCCCGCAGCTCAGTCAAGACCTCGTCGATGTTGTCCTCATTTGCGAGCATAAAGATGAGTTCCAGCTTCGTGACCTTCACGTAGATAGGGTCGTTGTATTTGCAAAAAAAGACTCGGATATCGTTCCTCAAGACATCTGGTCGCCGTTGGAGAATCAAGAGGGCATTGCGGAGGGCCAGATATTGTACCTCAGGTCCCTTGGCAAGAAGGGTGACAAGTGGCGGCGACAGCTTCTTGCAAAGTGCCGCGATCTGCTTTTGATCGGCAATGTAGTTCATGAGGTAGAGGATGACTCGAATACAGGTCAACACGACTGATGAGTTGGAGTGTGAGAGTCGCGGCGATATGCGTTCAGCCAGGAGAATTGCCTCTCCCGATTCCTGTGGAACGTAGGACATCAGAGCCTCCAAGATGTATGTCTGACCCCACCTATGCGCACGTCATGTCAGTCACGTCCATACTAATACAATGCATTGGTGACTTACTCGGAACAATCGGGGAGAATTGCCACCATTTTGGAAGCATTGCTGTAGTCGATGGTGAGCTTGATAGCATCACTCCGTTCCCATATATCCATCAAGCCGGCCAGGGCGCTAGCAACCACAGTAGGGTTGTCATCCCTGAGCAACGAGTTTAGTCGGTCGATCAGGTCTGAGGCTTCCACCATATGTCGGTCATGATCATAAAGCTTGGCGACGCAGAACGCTGCCGTCTTGCGGACGTAAGGGTCACCATCCTTCAACATGTGCTTTACGAGCGGGACTGTGGCTTCGACAAACTCTCGAACATGAATGTACGACATTGTTCGGAGAGCAAGCGCTCGTACAAGTGGGTTGTGGTCCTCCATATCCTGGAGCATGTTAGTCTTGCCCTCGACGTGGGACCTTTAACGACATACATGCTCTAGTACCGGGATAGCCTTGACTGCAATCTCGGGCCTCATCCTCGCGTAGTTGACCAGAAAAAGGAAGCACCTATTCACGTGTTAGTTCACGATTTTCTCACGGGTAGCTCTATCGACTCCGTACATCTTTTTGATTTCCAAGCTCTGGATGTGCATGCATCCAATAATATCGGGAAAGAGAGCAACCATGTCATTGTTGCTCATTGTCATGTTGGCAACAATCTTCTTCAACGCAATCTTCTTCGATGAATAATTCTTATCCTTCTTTCCTCCGCTGTTTAGCTCGAGGCGTAGCTCAGCTACCTTGCCCTGTGGAGTTTTTAGCCAGAAGTTCGGCGCCGGTGGTGGTATGTATGCCATGAACATGGCGGCCATATGTTAGGTTTTGTTGATGGGCCAAGGTTTGCGGTCCGAGACATCGGGGCGGGATGGGAAATGGAGACGGAAGCGCTGTTCGCACGACCAAGGACGGGAGAGGCGGAGAGAAAGGCGGAGGTGGGAGTGAGGGACGGAGGAGGTGAGGGTAGACGGAATCGCACTGTTGTAAAGGTGATGATAGGATACCAGACAGACGCTACGTCCGACGAGGCTGAGAAAAGGCAAAGAAGCAGATGCTTACCCGAGCAAACAGCTTGGAGTCTCCTCCACCGGCGGAACTCGACATGGTGTCGTACTTGTACCCCTGCGGACCGTCCTCGAGACTGGAATCTCCTCACAGAAGTGACAGACGACGGGCGCGGAAATAGGCACCTTGGACGAGCAAACCCCTCACGCCTAGACTCGGAGCGTCACGTTGGCCTTCGCGATCGCCCACCCAATTGGACGAGATGCGTCTCCAGCACCAGGTTTCCGTGGAGGGTGGAAGGAGGGGGGCGTCACATGTGCGTCTCGAGGTGCCCGCGATCCAAGCCACTTGAAGAGGGGACGCGGGATGTCTTATCGTCGGGCGTTGGCGTTCGCGTTCGAGTTTGGGGTTTCGCTATCGACCGTTCGCTTGGGTTCTCGCTGCGGACACATAGACGACGTCGTCGGGGTCGTTGTTCGTTCGCTACGGTCAGGCGTCGGCGTCTTCGGGTGTGGAAAGGGGAGCTCTACTGAGGTAAGCCAAATTGCGACCGGGGGGATCCCAACGGCGCTATCGATAAGGCTGTCGGTCAGAACGCCTCAGGTGCGATTAAGCGGAAAAACTGCAGCGTCCGCCGCAGCGCCACCACTGAGAGTGGAGTGGGCCACGAGCCGCGAGTGAACACCACGCCGCTTCGAGCTGGTCGATGCTCTCTCAGCCTTCCCGCGATTACCCACACGACAACGACGACAACGACGACCGACCGTGATACCCCGAACGCCATCCCGAGAATACAGCTCAATCTGGGAATATCGTAACTCATTGCAATGGCTTCCACAAAGTCCGGCGTCCCCGTCTGGGTCGCGCAGCTCGAATCACCCCCTCCTCCAAAGACTAAGCTCCCGGGCATCGCGGATCCTCCTGGTTACGGTTCTCCCGTCGCAACCCACTCTAAGGCACGCATCGCTCCTCGATTCATTCGCATCCAGACTCGAAGCACTAACACCCACTTCAGAAGCAGAACAAGGATACCAAGGTCCAACCGCGCAAGCCCCCGACTCCCGAAGAGATGGACACGTTGAAGCTCAAGAAGGCGTGGGAAATTGCACTAGCCCCCGTCAAGGGCCTCCCCATGACAGGCATTATGATGTACATGTCTGGAAACTCGCTACAAATCTTCAGCATCATGATGGTCTTCATGGCCTTCAAGAACCCGCTCATGGGATTGGTGAACACGAACCAGGCCTTTGAGAGGTTCCAGACCGCGAACAACTCGGGACAGATGCTTCAGGTGAAGTTTGTATACGTGGCAATGCAGATTGTAGCGCTTGGTGTGGGAATTTGGAAAGTTAACGCCATGGGGCTATTGCCGTATGTTATGACTTGGTTAACCTCTCTTGTGTCATTTTCGCTGACCCTTATTTTGCAGGACGACACGGTCAGATTGGCTGATGTGGGAAAGCCAGAGGGAGCTTTTGGAGCACGCTGTGGCAGCAGTATGAGTCGATTAAAGTATTTAATATCTCTGGACAACCAAACATATTCCTCAGGTTCCGCATCTAAATATTGAATATGTCAATAGTCGTGATGGGATGAGTTGCGTCAGACACTCCCGAGTGCTTCCTTCTTTGCCCTGGCCGCCCTCCACGCTAGCCCACGCTTGTCAATCAACCTCAACAGAGGCATCAGTGCCAAATTCAACAAGGCTAGAAATGTGAAGCACCAGCCCCGGCCCATACCATGTATCATTCGGTCGATCGCAGCTGTAGCCGCAGCCCCCATCAAACATCGTACAAGGTTGTTCGCTGATGTCGCTGTCGCCGGAGCGTTTGGGTTTAGATCCACGATCAGAGTATTCAGAACGCTGAAGGAGGTAGGAATCAGCATCCCGATCAAGAAAACGAGAACCAGAGGCACTGCCACTGAGGTTTCAACCTGCAGCGCCCATCCATATCCAATGAGAGTCACAATTCCTAGTAACAGTGTCGGATAGACGGGTTGCAACCGGGCGCTTTCGATTGGAAACTTTGCAAGGTCGTCCCCTCGCCGGCGATCAATGGAGAAGCCAATTTTCTTGGCTATTCGCCGATAGTTCCAATCGAGGACATACCCTTGGGCAACAACCGCTCCGCAGCAGCCTAAGCCATAAGGAAGATAGCAGAGACCGACTTGGAGGTCGTCATACCCGTAAATCTCCTTGAACAATGTTCCCAAGGTGGCAGCGACGAGGATGAAGCCAAGGTAAATGATTGAATTTGTAAAGAGGATGAGAGCCATCTCCTTCTCGAACACAATGGTCAAGGTTTTGAGAGGGTTGGGAAATCTCAGTTGTCGTCGTGGGGCGGTTCCTGCTTGTGTGCTGAGGTGGCGGCGGCGAAGAAGGTCAAGTATCGACCTGTTCCAGAGCGGTGGAGGAATAGATCCATTGCCCACAACATTTCGACACGTCTCTGGAGCAGTGAGGATCCAAGGGATTAGCCACATGAAGGAAAATACGGTACAGAACCAGAAAATGGCAGGCCAGTCGAAATATTGGGTGAGAATGCCTCCTATTACTGGGCCCAGAGCTGGACCGATGTTGATACCAGCTCCTACAAACCCCATGTATTTCCCCCGTTCCGCCGTGGATGATATATCCGCAACGACCGCAAATCCAAGAACGAGGGTCCCGCTGCTGCCAGCACTTTGCAGACAGCGCAGCACCAGAAGTGCAACGTAGTTCCGCTGAAGGGCCAGACCGACATTTGCACAAACGTATATGACCATGGCCAATATACAGGCAGGTCGTCTACCAGCCATGTCGCCTAGATCACCGAAGATAGTCGGAGACAGCCCCTGAAAGATCATATAGGACGTCAAGGTCAAATTGATAAGAGAATTAGAGACGCCCAGATCCTCAGAAATGGGGTCCAGCGCAGGGAAGTAGATGTTGGCCGTCATCGGCGAGACGAAACTTGCAACCACGACTAAGGTCGTAATCCATCTCCTGGTTGATTTTGAGAAGACGCTGTAAGCTGGACCACTTGGGATCCTCGATATGGTCTCCGGATCAGCAAGAACTGATTGGTCGGGGAGAGTCGTTGGCTGCTCTTGCTTTGTCGACATTCGATCAAGCGGGATTGGCCCGCATGTTTCACTCGGATCTGCTGCGAGATTCACATCTTGGCCTTCCGGGACAGCGGTTGTTGTGGGGTTCTGCATGGCTCGTTTGTTGAAAACTATACAAGATTAAGTAACATATCTCCTATGACAAAAACAAGCGAAGAAGAGAAGCGGAAGCCTCTTTATCATTGCTAATCTGCTGGCGAAATCGGCAAGCAGATCTTTTTCGCCGTTAGATATCATATTTCCGACGTTATTTCCGATTTGAGGTTCCTGGGGACGAACCATGGCTCATTGACGAACCCACTCCTCGGCGTCTCCACCACGGGAAAGCGCCGATCGGCAGACGGTGAACCTCCGGGGGACGGAGAGACGAAGATACAGGCCGGCAGCATTACGTAGGTCCACTGGCTGACTCTCAGGGGGGCTGATTGGAATTTGAGCATCCGGTTCAACATGCAGAGTGAGAACGTCTCCAAACCGATGGGTTCGTGATACATCCCGAATTGGGGACCTGCCAATGACGAGAGGTTGCATGGTTTCAAGACACAAGCGATTCAATAAGAACACCTAGCCCTTTCAATTGAGTGATCTTTCTGGTTAGTAAATGCAGTAAACGTTGAGTTTAGGCATTGTCATCGCAGGTAGTGATGATGGAGGATAGAGGAGTCCCCAGAATACTTGACAGCGCCGTGGGTTGGGGTTGGTCAGATGACTAAGCCGGGTGTGGAGCTCCCGACGTAACAACTCAATCATCATAGCTTCACAGCAATGTGGCCAGAGCCTCGGTGTTCGTCATAGATGCATGAAGATTGAGCCGAAGGCAAGCAGATAAAGCCGCGACACCCCCGGCATTACCAACTCGATCTTGAGAACAAAGATCCTCCCGGCATTTCTCTTCCCCAGTGCAACCCTCCAACAACCGGCCCGGTACTGGCGCTATTGGACGCCATGGACATCACCGTCGGGTTCAACGAGCTGCTCCGGCAACACCAAGTGCCGACAACGAGGAAGCCAGTCACCCTCAATGCGATCGATGGCTTTCTGAAGGAGGCACACCGCATCGTCCGTCCCCCTCTCCTCGCCCTCTCCTCTCAGCCACCCCTGAGCTGACCCTGACATTGCAGAACTCCCACATCACCACCCTGCACCGAGAACTCCAAGACGTTAGGCAGGCCTACCTTTCAACCGCCCAACCACGAAAATCGCATAGCCGGTCCGCGAATGGGCAGTCACGCGTACTATCGGATCGGGATCGAGAGGAGATCGACGCAAATGCGAAGCAGATGATCCGGGAGCTGAACTCGAGCATCCGGGCCCTCGACGACGCCGAGCAGCTGCGACGAGAAACAGAGTCGGCTATTCTCCGAAAAAAATATGTGAGGGGTTTGGGAGCACTAGGATCATGGGCATCCGGTGGGATTGCTAGCAGCAAGACGGAAGAGCACGCTGCAGCCGAGGCCATGGGGGAGGTTATTGGAGTTCACCGGGACGGCATTCTATGGTTTCTGCGGCATTGGCTCGAGCTGTGTTGCCGGACGCAACAAGCCATGATGGAGACTCGACTGAGGCGTGTGGTGGAAGAGAACAACAGCCAGCTGGCTACAGCAGAAGCGGCGTCTACTGGAGGCCTGGCATCCTATCCTTCTGCCCGACGACCCTCTCATGCGACAGCGGGACAGATCCCTACGTCCGATGGCGCTAAGACCTCAAGCCAGGGATTCACAGAGGATCAGATACAGATGTTTGAGGAGGGAAACCAGGACATGATGAAGCTTCTTGGGAGCAGTATGGAGAAAGTCAGGTATGTGAGATGTCCAACCAGGGTCCTGGGTGTTTCAAGGCCCGCGGAACCCCACCCTAGTCTAAAATGCGCAGTGTGAAACTAATTGCGGATAACACAGTACTGCTGAGAAGTCGTTGCTAGAGATTGCGGAACTCCAGTCGTTGTTGGTCAACAACCTAGCTACGCAGTCTGAGCATATTGAGCAGCTAGTGACAGACTCAGTGTCGACGACGGCCAATGTGGGTGGGGGCAACAAGGAGCTCAAGAAGGCGACGCAACGGCCTAGCACGGCCCGGTATACCTTCTTCGCAGCGAGCGGGCTTTGCGCGTTTCTGGTAATCTGGGATCTGGTGATTTGAGATTTGATGAGGGGTTAGGCAAGGCAACATGGGCTCAGCACAGAAGGTCAGAAGTCGAGCGAGAAGGGGTGGATTGTGTGACCACATTGTGCAATGTATCCATACCATACCCTAAAAACAGCATGTGAAGGGGGTGGACTTGTGGAATCTCGGTCGGCTGGGCGTGGCCTGGCGTGGGAGGACGTGGTCCCGGCCGTTTACATGTGGAGACAGCCGGGCTCCCGTCGATACTCGGAATCGTCCAACCGACAGGGCAGCGACTTGCAAGTGGAGGGAATGCCATTATGCATGAGCAGGCAAGAAAGCAAGATGGCGCTGTGGGGGAAATGCCGAAAATCCTTCTCGACATGCGAGGACACGCGATGCCGTGCGCATAGTCGGATAGACAACCCATGACGATGGGCGCAGGGCTCTGGCTGAGAGGAGGGGGCGTGTAGGTGAGGACTTGTCACTTTGTCTGCGGACCACCGGTCCCGCGCCGGGGCCTCTAAAAGCCCTGAAAGGCCTCAGGGGCGTTGGCGTTGGGGATGAGCCTCGCAACGGCCGGCCATCATACGACAAATAGGAAGCGTCATGCTACGTTTTGGGCCGGGCGAAGTCGGAGGGGCAACGGCGACGGCAGCTCTTTTGCTGACGCTGGACTTCGACTATTACTTAACCGTGCATTTGAGCGTCTGTTTCTGCTCTTCCCGTGACGGGCGTGACGGGACCGCGACGGGGCTCGCTGGACACCGGCACCGGGAGGTGCATGAAGCGGGATGGGACGGGGCCGGACGATGTGGGTGAAGGAAGGGGGTGCGAGGGAGTGTGCGAGAGAGTGTGGGTGGCTAAGAGAAGCGATGTGGAAGGGGTCTGGAAGCTTGCATTTCTTGGGGATGGATGGAGATGTGGACGGGCACGGGGAAGAGGAGGCGGAGCAGAAAAAGCAGGTACAAGCTAGTCTACAGTCTACCAAGGTCAGAAGATGACCTGGGTCCGGGGGACAAGGTCTGAGAGACAAGGTCTGAGGGACAAGGTCTGAGGGAATAGCAGTCTTTAGCATGGCATCAGGCATTTTTGCAGACCAAAGCTCGCACAGATCAGATGAGATCAGATGAAACAGGCGAGGCCCGCAGGAGAGCTAACAACGGAACACTCGAGGGGCCCGATTGTGTTCGGACTCGGGGTATGGGGAAAAGCGCCGACCTGGTTCTGCTCATTGGGCATTATTATTCCCTCCATGCCAACGGGGGGCAGAGAGAGAAAAAGGGAATTAGGTACTGTACCTAGGCACTGTAGGTACCTCCTACCAGGCTGGTTAAATTTAAATCACTTGGCTCGGTCAGATCTATCCCTCGGCCGCGTGACAGCATCAGCTTGTTTGCCACGGCCTGGCATATTCCCCAAGCTACCTAGGTAACGGATACGCTTTCGGGATTTGCAGCGGGAGCCTCGGTCTGACGACATCATCCCCATATCGATTTCCGTCCCCGTCCCCAGTCACAAGCTTTGCACGGTGGGCGATTATCAGACAGCCGAGACCGCGGAGTGGGACATAAAAGCCGGGTTCGCATCTGCGGGGGACAGGGAGAAAAGAGGTCAGGATTAAAGAAAAAAAAATCAATCACGGAAAAAGACGTCTCTACAGCCCAAGCTCTGTCGGTTTTTGTCAGTGATACCTGACGACAGGTACTTGGAATCCTACACCATCGGTCATCACATTCCCTCGAGTTCCGCTACACGCCCACATGCCCACACCGATACCCACAGTCGACAGTCTGCAGTCCACTCCAGCCATCCACCCGGCCATTCATACCACTGCCGTCCCACTGCACAGGCAGTAAGGTACCTACCTACCTAGGGCTCTAAGAAGAAGCACAAGCGGAAACAGACTAGAGCAACCTACAGCTGTCCATCATATTTTCTCTCTCTCTCTCTCTCTTTCTCTCTCAGGGAACCTTCGATTTGAGAGTTGCCTTTGGTCCGTTGCAGGCGTGTTCCCTCCCGCTCCGTCTCGTACCCCGTCCCCGTCCGTTCCCAGGATCCCTTCCCCGTCGCGCGTCCCCGTCTCGCACTCCCCCTCCACCGTGTCTGCGCTTCTCCTAACACCTAGTACGCAGTAGACACCACCTAATAGACTCCAGACACCAGAGCGCTTCGTTTACTGGTGTTTCCTGAGCTTTGACTGGTGCTGTTGGGAAGACTTCTTCACTTCCCCGGTCCCCTGTACCCCGGCGCCGGCGCCGGTCTGCGCTCCAGCTTGCCACATCCACACATCGTACTGTACCTCTGTACCCAGACGAGCAGTCATTGACACCCGTCACACTGGTCGCGGGGCACTTGACACAGAAAACTGACACAGAAAACTGACACAGACGGCATCACGCAAGCCAGTTGCCCGGTGAAGCCCGCGCAAGGTGAGCCCACCTTTGCCCACCTGGGACCACCGAACCCTTCGCCCGCCCACCTTGTAAGCTACAGGCCACAGCGAGGCCACAGCGAGGCACAGCGAGCACGACGCAACACAGCGCCCCGCCCAACCCGCTTCCCTCAGACGTTCAGGGAGTCAGAGCTCCCCCAGAGCTGCTGAGCTTCTGAGCGAGCTGCTGAGCTGCTGAGCTGCTCGATTCGGAGAGCCCCTTGCCCCGAGCGCTCCACTGGTCCGGGACAACAGCGCCCAATCTGCCCTCGTGCGTCGACCTGGTCCAATCCCTGGCCAATTGCATCAGGCCAGAATCCAGGTTACGCAACTGCCTGCCACCTCCGGTCGCAGCGCTCACAGCTCGCCTTGCAAGGGCATTCGCTGGGGAATTGCAGTCCCAGCAGCTCCGTTGCAGCGGCTTTTGTAGTGCTATTGCAGGCTTGCAGCCCTCTGCAGCGCCCTGCAGCTCACCTGCCACCTCCGAGTACACCTTCGAGGTACACCTCTGGGTACCTCTCACACCTCTGACACCTCTGACACCACACCCCTCCACAGCCAAGGTACTCAGGTACCTCGCGAAACCACACGCCCCTCCTTTCCCCCCCTCCGGGGCTTCCATCTCTCCACCCAGGCCACCGGAGACGGCGCTCCAGGGCCCCTCCCCCCCCTAATCGCCCCGACGGGCCCCCAAGTCCTCAGGGCCGCAGCCCACTATGACACCGTCTCCCAGCAAGCCCCGTCAGAGTCACAGAGGTACCAGCCCAAGTGCCAGTACGAGCGTCCAAGTCCTTTTCCCCAGCTCAACCTCGACTGATAAAATGGCACCGACCGCGTCTTCTTCGTCCTCTGCTTCTTCTCGACTCAACCAAGTTGCCAGTCATCTCAAGCCCATCATGTCTTCCCCTCCAGCTCCCTCAAGCTTCCCCGCCGACCTTGTGCCCCAGGCTCCCGAAGATCCTCTCTTCGGCCTCGCCAGGGAGTACAGGGCCGACGAGAGCCCCTACAAAGTCGACTTGGTGAGCTCTTCCGCCCCTCTCCTGCTCTCCTGATTTCTGTCGTGACGTTTGAAGCTGACCGGTGTTTTTCTGTTGCTAGGGTATCGGTGCCTACAGAGACGAGAACGCAAAGCCCTGGGTGCTACCCGTAGTACACAAGGTATGAACTATATTCCTGTGCTCGCTTTCCACCGTCTGCCGTGTCGCATGTGGCATATCGCATATCGCATGTCGCATCCCACGTCGCACGCCTCCAATCACTCCCTTCGAACCCAGACATACCCAGTGCTTCTTCTGGAGATGCTGCAAACACGCATCTCTCGGGGCGGTTCCCTCTGGGCTTTCTGCGAGCTTCATCAGGCGGTTTTCGCGTCATGTGGCCATTTACACGAGAGGCCCCATCGTCATCTCGCCCCCTGGCCCCAATTGCCCATTGCCCCGCCACGATGATCTGGAAACTTTTCTGTACAGATACTGACCCCGCATGCGTCACAGGCTGATGAGATCCTCCGAAATAACCCTGACCTCAACCACGAGTACGCCCCTATCGCTGGTATTGCCAGCTTCACTTCCAAGGCTGCCGACCTCATTCTCGGTGCCGATTCCCCCGCCCTGAAAGAGAGCCGCGCGACTTCTCTACAAACAATCTCGGGTACTGGCGCCGTCCACCTGGGCGCCTTGTTCCTGGCCAAGTTCTACCAGGGCGGCCGTACCGTCTACGTGTCAAACCCTACCTGGGCAAACCATCACCAGATCTTCAAGAATGTCGGCCTCACCGTCGACACATACCCCTACTTCCACAAGGAGACCAAGGGCCTCGATTTTGAGGGCATGAAGGAGGCGTTCCAGAACGCCCCCAACCACTCCATCTTCGTCCTCCACGCTTGTGCCCACAACCCCACCGGTGTCGACCCAACGCAAGAGCAGTGGAAGGAGATCGCTGCCATCATGAGGGAGAAGAACCACTTCCCCTTCTTCGACTGCGCCTACCAGGGCTTCGCCTCCGGCGACCTCACGCGCGATGCGTGGGCCGTCCACTACTTCATCGAGCAGGGCTTCGAGCTCGTCGTTGCCCAGAGCTTCGCCAAGAACTTTGGTCTCTACGGTGAGCGCGCTGGCTGCTTCCATGCTGTCACCTCTCCCGCTGAGGATGCTCCCCAAACAATTGCCCGAATTGGCTCCCAATTGGCCATCCTCCAGCGATCAGAAATCTCAAACCCTCCGCTGTATGGTGCGCGAATTGTCAGCACCGTCCTCAACGACCCTGAGCTGTTCACCGAGTGGGAGGAGAACCTGCGCACCATGTCGGGTCGCATCATCGCCATGCGCTCCGTACTTCGGGCCAAGCTGGAGGAGCTCGAGACTCCCGGCACCTGGAACCACATCACTGACCAGATCGGCATGTTCAGCTTCACCGGTCTGAGCGAAGCCCAAGTGATGAAGATTCGCGCGGAGGCTCACGTCTACATGACCAAGAACGGGCGCATCAGCATGGCTGGTCTCAATGAAGGCAATGTCGAGTACTTTGCCAAGGCGGTTGACAAGGTTGTTCGGGAAGTGACAGAATAAATGTGTGTTCGGATCGTTTCTATGAGCTCATGGAGGAGGTCACTTACAAGACCCCGGTTTGGCGTTTGGGAAACCATGATTTCACCTACCTGTGGCGGGGTCTCTACGAAAAGTATTGGACGATCCTCTCTATCTATCTAATATGCATACCCTGATATGATATTTATCCCTCTCAAGAGAAGCCATTGATTTCTTCATTTATTTTGGCACTTGCTTTTCCTGTGATCCACGTGTTTCTATTGTTGGCAGCTCAAGCTCCGGGTTTTCAGCGACATGTGCGTCAGTTGGCGCGCCACTCCTGGCTCGAGCATGAACGGCTGTGGAGCCATCCCGATTGGGCCGCTTCCGGTCTCGCTTGAAGGTACCAAAAGCAATCTACCTGTTTTGGCAGTTACCTTGCAGAGTGAAAAAAAAAAGCCTAAGAACAGGGGCTCGATGCATCATGGGATTTTGCGCAATGCTCCATGTCCCCGTGCTCTTTGTGGGTGTGGTTGTTTTGCTACTTACGTCCAGTTTCGGCGAAACCTCGCGTTCTCGGGCTCGGTTGCGCTGCGTCATACCGTACCAAAACGGAACCCCAGACGTTTCATGGGAAGCATGACTGGACTTTTGCCCTTCTTCAGTTTCCTGGGCAGGAAAAAATGGAAAAAAAAAGTATCGGGGTCAACGTATCTGGGGAATCATCTCCACACCGAGTGAGGGCCGCAGTAAGCCCACCCCCGCATGGACGGGTCCACGGTGTCGAGTTTTCCCCGCAGATCCACTCCCGCGTCTCCGACACATGTCCGGGCTAAGAGAGGCGGATGAGTAGTGGCGGGGGGCAGGGCAGGGCCATGTTCGGCTGAAGGGAGGTTGTGAGGGAGTGGAGATGGTGCGCGGAGGAGAGGAATGAAGAGATAGGAGAGCGTCCGGGGGGGTTGGAGATGCGGGTTGACAGATAGAGTCTTGGTGTTTTGTGAGGGTTGAAGGTTGAAGGTTTGCAAGGTTGGTTGGGTGAGCATGTGAGTTGTCTGCAGTCTGCAGTCTATTGTCTGTAGTATGTGGCGGCCTTGCATCACAAACGCCTAAGCAAATCCGCTCACCTAAAAATGCGGATAAAACTTCCCCAGCTCTCAGTGCCCCAGAGGCAGAGAGGGAGCAACACTCCCCGAAAGACGGTCGGGAAATCGGTGAAAGGCCGGCGCAGGACGGCGCAGGACGGCGCAGGAATCACGCACACCTTGCGTATCCACTTGCAACGGGTCAACGGTGAGCAAGCCGATCACACGGCCATCCTGCGGTTCCGATGACGGAGCGCGTAGGGGGAGCGCGTAAGGCTAGTGTCGCGGCTACGCCGACGTATTGGCCACTGGGGTGGCTGTTATTAAAAACAACTGCAGTAGCGGTCCTGTCGGCGTGAAGGTTCCACGATAAGAAGTGGTGCCTTGCATGGGGGGGTGTTTGCGTAAGATGCGTCGGGCTTGTGGAGGTTGCTGCACGTAGTAGCACCCTTTTGAGCTTGGGAACGGGCGTGTGTGTGATGTACTTATCTGAGGCTGTCACAGCGTGATAAGAACATGGCGGGCAGGTGTGTGATCCCTTGCATCAGCTTCCACGTGGAGTGTAACTGTTCGCTCGGGTATATACATCGACGCTTCAAATCGTCGTTGTGTGGTGGGTTATGGGTCTCTAAACTTGTTATCTTCTGCGCCAAACCCATCTTGAGCTGGCTCACAGATACGCTATCAAGACCTCAGCCGCTTTTGATAAAGACCCGTCGTGCCCGAGGAGTCATTCAATTCAGATTTAGATTGTCATGAGTTGGCGAACAGAAGCTATGTAAATACATACGTAGAGTGAGAGGTCGGCGGAATGCGTAGCAACCTGATCTGGGAGTTGCCCGTATCAGAGCTGGCATCCAACGACTTCCCTCTATCTTGACCGGGACTATCTCCAGGCCATTAAGCTAGCATATCCATCCCGATTGTAAAACTATTGGGGTTAGACCATCCCCGCGTTTCGGTCCGTGAATATCCAGAGACCCGGATTTTAGTCCCGAACTCGCGGCAGAAGCTCCCTGAACAAGTTTAGTCTACGGGTTCCGTCCCGATACTTGATCATGAAGACACCCTCCCTCCGGAATCACAAGTACAGTCTAGATAATAAAGCATGTGCGTGTATGAAACCGCTTGAGTATTTAGGTTGGGGGGGAATCTATAAGAAACAAATGCTTATCCCCTGATATTTGGTGTACGACGTTGACTCTATGATCCAAGAAAATTGCAGTCTCGGGAAACGAGGCCTCTACAGTGTACATAGGAGGAAGCGGTTGCATTGTGGTGTTATTATAATGGGGTGTTGGTAGTCAATGGAGTGTCCATCTATTTCTTTGAGGGTATAGAAATGTTATTGCTACTGATGGTCAGAAATAAGACCACTGTAGCGAGGAGTTGCCCAAGAGGCCTTAAGTAAGAAATGAGCTGGTTGTTGGCGACAATAAGGGATGTGATGCCGGCAGCCGTGAGTGATTTCTCGTTCGCAGCAGTAAGCATCTATGGTGAAGGTTCCGAGCTTATTTTGTTCAGACCCAGGAATAATAAACCCCGAAGCAGATACTGTGTTTCCTTAGTCAAGCCCTTCTTTAATAATAACATAAATCTGCCTTAATGGAACCAGTCTTGAGACCGGACGATTCGCCGAGAATGGCATCATACTTGACAGGACCTGACCAATCATTACAAAAGACCGTGATACAATAAAGATGAGCCCTGTACTCTCTTCCACTTTATTCTCAACATATCGAAGTCTGCCTTTAGTAGCTCATATGGTAAATCACCCCGAAAAGGCTGGGCATCTTCCAAGGTTGTAGACAGAATTTACCTATGAATGCTCCAGGCAGCGAGCTAACACACGCGCCGCAAACGCAGCAGTACAGATGTACAACCGTTTAACCATGCCAGGGTCTGTCGTTAGTAAGGCCAATGGTGCGTGCTCCCGCGAGAGTCCAATGCATCCGTTACTTGCGCTACTGCAGGTCAAGCCGGATGAGATGGTTTCATTGCGGACGCATCCTGTTGAGAGGGTGGGGAGACGGGGCCCAGATATGAGTTCTCAGTGCGACGTTATGGATGTCAGCAGGTGAGGAACTTTCCGGGATAGCAACCCATTATGTAGCACTGGCCTTTTTGATATCATTCGCACTCTTTCAATTCCTTTTCTACGGGCGACGCAAGATTCACAGATCTCAGCCGACAGGCTGGACGAAACAACATGGGCATGTTCGCACCCCTTTGCCCTTTTAGTCCTTATGTTAGATACGAAAGCCAGTCCTTAGCCTCTAAGTATGCATTTAAAACAAGAATTAGAGAATATTTTGCCACCAGTTCGGTAACTCAGGCTTACTCTGTTCACCAAATATTTTTCTCGTCTGCTGCAAGGTAAGCCATCGGAGGGTAGTCAGGACGGGGGAAAGCGCCTGAACCAACTCTCAAAAGAACATGCAGTAAATGATAAGGTCACATTTTTTTCCGGGTGTATGCAGGTGTCTTCTCTCCATCAACGCCTGTTTGAAGGCCCTGTTGTGGTTGTGTCACTCAACTTGTCTTAGGGTGGTACCTGAGGTAGCGGGGTTGTTGTGAAGTCGTGGGCCTAATACCTCGTCCGTACCTTGTTGGCCTTGCACATCTCACACCCCACCATCTCACCAACGATAATGCGACTCCCATCATGCCTCGCCGTCTGCCTTGGAAGACCAGTACAGATTCAAAGACCGACAGAGACCAGCCCATAAAGTCACCGAGCCCAGACCTTCCAGCGTCCAAGTCCCCCAGCGTACCCTCAGCGCCAACCTCGGTATCACGCACACCGTTCAAGACAGCGCCATCGCGTCGCGCTGTTGATCCCGAAGGTATGCCAACCACCGCCACGCCGCTGACATTATTTCAAAGCTCACATGCCTCGCAGATGGTGTTCGTAGTCCCTCCACGTCACCGCCCCCGGAGGTTCCGGTTGAGAGGTTTCTATTCCACCTCAGGTCTCTACCGTTGATCAAGTGTCTCACAGTTTGTATGCAGGTTCATGATCCCAGGTGCCCTTCACGATGACCGTTATCGGATGGTGGAAGACGAGCTTGTCAACGTCGCCCATCAATTCACGAAACATCTCCACCGTGCAGAGTATAACCGGCTTAAGAATCTGGCAAAGTCTCAAAATGCCGCCACCATCCAAGAGATCGAGCGTCCCGTCGTCGGCACGCCAACTCTTCTCACGCGACAGCGACATGAGAGCGCGCGTCAGATTGCGAAGCAGCAAAAGGTGCTACAGAAAGGCAGCCATAGCAGGGATATGCCGCGGGTACCCACGGGTTTGCAGGGCTTGATGGAAAGTCCCAGGAAAGAGGCGAAATGGATTTCGACCAGCGCCGCTGGGACAGCCACGACAAGGGCGGCGGCTGGCTTCCAATCAAACCTATCCAGCCCGCCCAAGCAACGAGAATCACAACAACGGTTTTCATCAGTGAAGAAGCGCCGACTCCCGAGGATGGATGATGATACCACGGACGAAAGTGACGCGGAGCCATCGACGCCCTCACGAAGCTTGATATCCAAGCCCGCGCGCCTCACTGAACTCTCCTCGGCTACATCCCGCTCAACTACATGGCCACTGGGCACACCCAGAGCGGCAGTTGCGGCTTCAAGTTCGAGGGATAGCCCTAGGCCTACCCCCAGCACACATCGGCCTCGTGTCACGCCGGTCAAGACTGGGCCATCTCGAGAGAGCAACGATGAAAATGATGATGACGATGATGACCCATTTGGAATTACCAAGCGGAGAATACGGCGACAGCAGTCAAAGGACCAGTTTCGCAAGCCGGAACATAAGTACACTCTAAAGCCCAAGAAGTCGTCGCCTGACAATATACCATCCTTCATGTGAAGGGCTCACGGATTCGCAATCACGGCTCGAACAAGAAAGCACATAATGCCTATTTGAAACCTCATCCCAGGATCTTGGCTTGGTCCAAGGTTTTGACCTATGAGTGAACAGAGTAAATCATTTCTTTTCATTGCAGTCTCATGCATGTCATCTAGGAATCCGCCATTGTAAGCTCATCAAAGTCGTCCAGCAACTCGTCCATATCAACCCTCGGGGCCTCATCATCCTCCTCCGTCTCCGCAATACTCATTTCTTCAAGCTCTCTCTTCTTCTCCTTGGTCTTGTACAGAGCCAGCGTAGCGCGGAGATCCTCATCCTCCTCAACATCCCGCAAGAATTGTTCGTACTCCTGGTCCATACGGTCTTGATCGGCCTTCTTGGGCAACAGCTCGCCCTCGTCCTTGCCCATGCGCTTGAGCTTCCAGTTTCTGTTGCGGTTCTTGCGGCGGCGGGGGTAGTGCTTCTTCACCAACACTACGTCGGGGATGGTTGACGAATATGTGCTTGACGCTTCGATGGCCTCGTACTCGCCATTGTTAAAGTTGGATCCGGCAAGGAGGTATCCCATGACCGAATCTCCGGGGTGTAGATATCGACCCAGATGTGTCCTGGTGAAGTATGTCTTGTCATTGACTCCAAGGTCAGATGCCCGAGCAACTGTGGCTTCGGCCAGCACGAATTTTCCCTTCTGAGTATTTGTGGGCTCGATATCCATGACGATGAATTCCACCAATTCCTTGGTATCTGTGAGTGACAGGAAAGGGGCACGCCAGTAGATTGCCGAGCTGACATCAGCAGTCTGAAGAGTCTGAGGATCCAAGAGGTAGACAGAGGTACCAATCTTGTGACACAGGAGAAGGGGGTTGATGTTGCCGGCCTGCTTTGCCATCCGAATAGGCATGGCGACTAGGTCGTCTTTACATATCGGCACGAGCTCGGCTGAGTATGTGAATTTATATGACCGTTTGGAGGTGTGGGTATCCATGGAAATCAACTCAGACGAGTTCTTCACTTTGACGGGCACAACTGAGTTGAGGAAGTCAACGAACTTCTCGGCTTGGTTCTTCTGCGCGAAGAAGAAATCGATACCGTCCCTGGCTTCCCTGATGTTGAGGGTGTCTTTGTGAGCCCCGTGCTTCAGGATCAACTGCTCCAGGAACAAGAATGTTCGCTTGTGGAGGACCTTTTGTCGGACCTGAACGGCGGCTCGCCAGACGTTGGCAGTGTATGACTTGGCGCACTCAGGGCACTGCTGGTAGGCGACAACATAGACAATCTCGAAGCTCTGCTGGAGTAGCATGCCATCCTGAACGTCATCCTGGATGGTAAGCTTGACCTTAACTCGACGCGAATGGGCCTCAGTCCAAATGAAGCTGGCATCGATGACGCGGACTTTGTTGAGGCCCCTCAACTTCTTCAGGCAAAGGGCAAGCAGCTCGCGGGACTCGGGGGCGGCAACGACCCAGCTGGAGGGGGGCATGAGCCATCGGTCGCAGTCTCGGCAGAAGTTGAGAGTCGCTTCGCGCTGGATGCCTCCGGAGATGTCGATGGTGAGCTTCACGCAGTCGTAACAGAGCGCGCCGGTGGCCGTGGTTCCATCGATAGGAGCGCCGCAGTTGCAGCAAAGAATACTGAGGATTTCGCGTTAGCCAGAGGGGCAAAAGACAGAGACGGTGCGGGATTCAAGGGTTGAGAGCGGCCAACTCACGTCGCGATATTCTGCTGGGTACCGGGTGCGATAGACACCGGTTGGTCATCGAGATCCATCGACATGTTTGCCAACAATATCTTGGGATCTAATATGATGTTTTTGTGTGTTGCGTTGGGTGCAAATGCGTGACTCTCACGAGCAGAGTGGGAAAATTGTTTGCCCCGCTGCTTGATAAGCCTGCCCAGAGCTTATCGGGCGGACTTTTTTTTTTGCCCCGCGGCGGGGCACATGCATCAAACCGAATCAAGGAACGCTCCCATAACTTGGAAGATCATGTTAGTTGTTCGCGTACAGAGGCCATAAAGACAGATATAATTGCATCTCTTGTTCAGGTAGTTTATCGAATTTTGTTAAATCCTAGCCATTCAACGTGAGTCCTCTGCAGCTCCCGTGGGTGTTGAAGATGCATACGGGCAAAGGCAAAGACCCCCCAGCTACCTTGTTTATTCGCCTTGTAACCCGTGGTACTCCGGACCGAGCGTCCTCACAAGATGCTGAGATCCCCCACCATCTATCACCAATAGTTCTTGCATTCGACCTTGTTCAGGTCTTTATGGGACCGGCCATAAGTCTTGGCCCATTTCCTCATGGCGACAAAGGCCCCGGTGTCATGGCCGCATGTCGCATTCCAAACCCCCTCGGCCGCATCAAGCTCATCAGTAGAGCATGGGCTTTCGTAACCAAACCAGCCGAAGCTACACATCCAAACCAAGACGGTGCCCTTGCGAGCCAACGTTGCATAAGCTCTGAAAGCAGTATTACCGCGACTGCACCAGTTGTTCAAAGCCACTTTGGATGCATAGTAATCGTCGGCATCTAGCTTGGGAAATCCCTTGATGCACCCTTTCCTTGAGATTGGGAGTGGTAAGTGGCGTGCTGCAAGGGTATTAACTCCCTGGTGTTCCAGTTCCGCATGATGTTCTATGTCGCCACGTCGATGGATAAGCGGGATCGTCATATTCGTATCGTCCTCATGAAAGCCGATAGTGTAGATGCCGTCCTCAATGTCCGGAGGCACCGACCAGGTAAATGCTTGGACCACGTTTGACGCAGCAAGCCAAATGAGACTCGAGGCTAGGAGCTTCATTGCAGATATTAGTTTGAACCGAGTACTAGGCGACCGTGAGACTTGTGTAGGCCAGGGATGGTCGAAATAGACGCCTTGCTGCTAGTATGGCCTCTCAACAGACTTGGAATAAGGAGTTTGGGATTGAAGGAAGTATGGTTGAGAGGAAATCAGGGAAGAGAAATGATTTAAATAATAAAAGGAAAGAAAAAAACTCTGGTTTTAACCATTTATCTAACATATGAGACCCGGATAAGATGGACCCTCGCACCCTGAGGGACCACCTTGAGAGACATGGAGCCCGGAGATGGTTGACCCTCCAATATTTGGGACTACGCTTAACATTCTTGGTAATATTACGGCTGTCTGTTCCATCTCGATCTCGAGGCCGAGAGTTCACGGCACTCAATCAATTAAGAGGTTAGGGTGCCCTAGTACACACATACCCAGAGGGGGGACTAGAAGCTCAACAGTAAAAAAAACAAAAAAAACACCGACAATCGTATCAACAATACAGACCATATACCCAGTCCATTCAAAGGTCAACAATGCACTCAGACAGACTAAGGTTTCTGGTCCAACTGGTTACCTTTCCCGATACCTTTATGAGCTGCAGGTAACAGCTGTGTCTTGAAAAGGCTAGATCTGCTGGAAAAGCTAGATCTGCTGGAAAAGCTAGATCTTGGAAAAGGCAAAATCCCGATGGATGCCACAATTATGATGATTTGCTCAAACTCTTCACTATTTTCTTACACGGTGTTAAGTAACATACTCTCGACACGTGTGAGCGTAACTTAGGTGTGATATTTGACAGGAGTCACTTGTGGCAATGATTCTTTTCAACTGGAGGTAGCTAGTCAGGTGGAAGTCCAAAGGGGCCGTCGCCTGTGACGGCGCGACTCTTGTGTAGACTATTATCTCGATGCTGAGTACTCGAAACAATTTGCAGCGGTCAAGTACATAACGTAGAACGACTTATCTGGGCCTGGGGAATAGGATAGGCCGTGCTAAAATATCTTGCTCAGCACTCGCGACACATCAGCCGGCTGATCTACCACCTCCGTCTTCTTTTTGGCCAACGGGACCTGCTGGAAGGACCGCGAAGGCTGCCGCACTGCTTCCTCCTCTCCGTCGTCGATCTTCCTCTTCTTCGCCTTGGCTTGCATCCCGTCAAGCATCTTAGCCCTCTCCACGTTCTTGACAAACTCCTTGTTTTCTCTCGTTGTCTTGCTGATTTCGGCCCGCATGCGGCTGGTTCGCTCCGCATTCTCCGCCGCAATCTGCTCTGTGAGGTTGTGCCACTTGAACCCATTCAGGTACAGCAGATTCCACAGGTCGTCGCGGTAGTAGCTGCCCTTCTTTCCTCCAATAGTCCGGGCATTTAACATCTCGCACACCGCCTTAGCTTCCTTCTTCTTGACAAATTCGACCCAGCCCTCCGTATATGTCTTCTTCTTGTTGCCGCCACCACGTACGCGACGGGCGTGGGCTGTTGGGTCTTCGGGCGCCAGGAAGATGCGATTGATGGTGCCGTATGGCTCCAGAAGGTTGCGCAGTTTCTGTGGTTTCATAAATGGCGGAATTCTCGAGAGGTAGACGACTCCAGACTTTTTGATGGCGGCTTCTGAGGCAACCAGGTTCTTCTTCGTCAATGGTCGTGTGACATCAGGCAGGTCGGATGAGCTGGTGTCTTTCGACTTGCTCTTGGACTTTCTGTGCTTCTCCTTTTCAGATTCGTTCTCGTCCTTCGCAGCATCCTCGGTCTCGGCCTCTTGCACGCCCTCTTCGCCATCGCTCGCATCGTTGTCGAGGTCGCTGGCCAGGTCGTCATCGTCGTCGTAGTCGATCCTCCTCCGCTTGGCGCTGCGGCCGCCCTTTCTCATGTCATCATCTGAACCGTAGCCGGCATCGCTGTCGTCTTCGCTATCCGCCGCGTCAAGAAACTCGTTCTTCTTTTCCGGCGCCATTGTGGATGGCTGTTTCTGCGTCTCCAACTACAGAACGACAATCTCCAGCTGGCTCCCAGAAAAAAAAGTCTCGATAAGATAAGCCTGGATGAGGTGTGGGTCCCGGGGCGAGCCATGCAGCTAGTCATGTGACATGCCTAGCTTACCTCTCCACTTCCCCCACGTTTTCCTACCTTCTAGCTTCGTCGTTCGTCCTCACAACCATCGCTCTGCGATTGCCAAGTTGACGGGGCAAGCAAGATCAGGGATGGAATATGGCACCATGCGTGTTTAAAAATCTATTCCCCCGTCTCCTCTTTTCGGTTCCTCTCTCTCTCTTTCGGTAGCCCGGTCCAATACTATTACCGCGTAAGTATCTATCAACCCATTCTGACTGATTCTATCAATGCAAGTCTAACTTTGTTGCAGGATGAACGACGTCACAGGAGGCGGCGAGGGGCCTCGAGAGTAGTGCCCTCCCTTGGAACAAGGCCGTCGGAACCTGGTCCAATATACTTACGCGGTAAGTATCCATCAGCCCACTCTAATTCTGTCAATACAAATCTAACTTTATTGCAGGATGAACGACATTAGGCCCTCGGACGGACCTCTCGGCGGCCGACGCCCGCAGCCCAGCTCCCAGCGTGCGCGGAGATCGTATCTCCCAGCCCGCCCCCCCAGGACCCTGGCCATCTGTCCCTGCCGGGTCCATGGTCCCTCGCTCGAGAGTCCCGTGTAAGTGCCCGTCCCTTTGGTAGAATGAGGCTGTAGGAACCTAAACTAATGAACATAGAGGAGACCTCGAGCGAGGGACGGACCCAGCAGAGGACAGACGGACGGCCCCTAGCCGGGGTCTTGAGGTGGGGGAGATCCCCGCGTTCCAAGTTGGGAAATGGGCGGTCTTCTCGGTCGTCGCCGTTTAGTTGACCGTAGAGTACATGATAACTACATTTCGCTTCCTTTTCCGTTCCCTGTGTGACGAGTCGCCACGCCCCCAAGCTTGTCTTTTGAGTTTCTTTGTCTGTTTTGGTAGCTTGGTTTAATATTACTTGGTCCGATGTCAGCAAGCTGTCATAGGGGTAAGCAAAGCTGTAGCTCAAGGCCAGTAAGTCATATTTGCCTCCAGCTGCCCTGCCCTAAATCCACTGCGCAGCTCTCTTCGCCAAGGCTCAGAGGGGCTAGGGCTGCTGTTAGAGGCAAATGGGACCCTTGCCGTGGCTCTGCTTGATACCTACCTATTCCTTCTATTTGCAGTGTCTTTGCCTCCAGCGGCCCTGCTGGGGGCTGCCCGAGGCACGCTTGCTTTCTATCTATCTGTCAGTCAGTCAGTCAGTCAATTGCCACCGGTGTAGACGGCCCATTAAGGAAGAAGGCGTGCCCACTGCGCGGCCCAAAGCCACAAGGCAGTTGGCAGTAGCGGTACCAATGTACCTGGTAGGTGGCCTAGAGGTAGGTACGCAAGCCCAACGAGAGGGGACTGATTCCAGCCTTCTGAACTCGCAACAGCATTGCGTCATCCTGGGACTGAACCGAAAATGTCATGTGCTCTCAGATGTCAGGTGGGAGGCGTGGCTAGGTATGTAACTCGGACATTTCCTCTTTCTTCATGGTGAGAAGGCGATCACGGATGTGTCGAGTGCAATAATACCAATGCCTCGGCGCGTGTGGTACAGGGGGAACCTACACTCTCCCTCCCAGTCCTTTCGCTGGTAGGTTCAATGTTCTAAATGCACGGTATATACCTTCATTGTCAAGGATCCCTCCCAAAAGTTCTCAGGAGGCGGCTACCTGAAGAGCAAAGCGAAGTTTCTGATGGCAACTGGCATTGCTCTTGTCGTCTGTCTGGGAAGGGGAGAGACTGCCATTGAACTAGTTAACTGCCGCGCCATCTTCCTTCTTGCCATGGAAACATATCCCATTCCTCCATGCTTTCCTACCCGAGTCTAGTTGATCCTGTCAGCCTGGCAACCATCGCTCTGCGATTGCCCAATTGACGAGACAAGATCAGGGAAGGAATATGGCACCATGCGTGTTTAAAAAGCCGTTCTCCCATCTCCTCATTTTGTTTCCTTTTTCTCTCTTTCGGTAGCCCGGTACAATATACTTACCGCGTAAGTGTCCATCAGCCCACTCTGATTCTATCAACGCAAGTCTAACTTTGTCGCAGGATGTACGACGTAGGGCTCTCGGATCTGGAGGCGGCGGCCGACGCAGGCTGCCCAGCTCCCAACGGGCGCGGGGTCCCATCTCCCAGCCCGCCGACCCCCCCAGGACCCTGGCCATGCCCCTGTCCCTGCCGGGTCCCTGGCCCCTCGCTCGGGAGTCCCGTGTAAGTGCCCTCCCTTGGAACAAGGCTGTTGGAACCTGAACTAATGAACGTTGTGCAGAGGGGACCTCGAGCGAGGGCCGGCAGAGGACAGGCGGCCTCTGGCCGGGGTCCTGAGGTGGGGGAGGCGGGTGGGGGAGATCCCCGCGTTCCAAGTTGGGAAATGGGCGGTCTGCTCGGTCGTCGCCGTTTAGTTGACCGCATTCGGGCTCTACGAGAGCGTTTTAATTATTCGTACCGGGCATGCTTAAAAAGCATTTTTTTTTTAAAAAAAATCACTACAAAAATCACTACAAAAATCAATAACAAAAGTTTTGCCGACAGTATTGTTTTCCACCATGTTTGGCCAAGTTATCATTCATCATCCATCATCCCCAACACTTATTTGTGACAGTTGGGTGCATCTACCGTTGGGCTACGTAGAGTACATGATAACTACAGCTTGTTGAAGTCCTCCACTATTTCACTATGAATCTTGGCAATACGATCGCAAATATTGTTGGTGGCAATATTGGTTGGTGGTAGCATTAGTTGGTGCTAAGATGTAGATGGATGTTATCTCGGGGTTTTCTAGCAGAATGCAGCCTGAATACCCGCGAAGGATGAGTCTGTGCCGTATTTTGCGAGGGTATAGCTTGTTGAAGTCCTCCACTACTTCACCATGAATCTTGGCAATGCGATTGCAAATATTGCTGGTAGCAACATTGATTGATGGCAACATTGGTTGGTGGCAACATTGGTTGGTGCTGAGATGTAGATGGATGTTATCTCGGGGTTTTCTACCAGAATGCAGCCTGAAGTGTCAAGCAACTCCGTCTTGCCTGTGCCTGCGAAACCGACGAATGTCAACTGAGCCATAGTGGCAGATTCCAAGTATCCTACAATCTCGTCTCGCACTTCAGGGTTGAACCGCGAAATGATCGTTTCTCGAAGATCATCCGGGACAGATTTCGCTTCCTTTTCCGTTCCCTGTGTGACGAGCCGTCACGCCCCCAAGCTTGTCTTTGAGCTTCTTTCTCTGTTTTCTATCTATCTGTCAGTCAGTCAGTCGGGCAGATGGCTCAGAGGTCTGCTTGCCTAGGGGCTCGGGGGTCCGTCAGATCGAGGGCCTGAAAGTCTGCAGGTCGGTCGGTCAGGTAGGCAGAGGGCTTGGAAGCCTGCTTGTCTAAAGGCCTGGTGGTCTGTTGGATTGAGGGCCAGGAGGTCGAGGCTGGTCACACTCTTTGACCATGTGGCCCTCCTGGCCGCAGTTGCGGCACGCCCGGCACGCCCGTCTATAAGATCAGTCAGTCAGTCAGTCAGTCAGTCGCTTGAAGGTATGCTTGCTTGTGTATTAGATTGAGGGCCTGCCGGTTGAGGCTGGTCACACTCTTTGACCATGTGGCCCTCCTGGCCGCAGTTGCGGCACGCCCGGCTCCCGCCCTGAGGGCAGTCCTTTGCGAAATGACCCACTGCACTATTTAGTTTGAGTGAAAGAACGCGGCCCTGGAGACGTACTCTCGTTGCACTTACGGCATTCGATATTCTCCAGGTTGCCGCATTCGACATTCTCCGGGTTCGCTGGCTCCCGCCCTGAGGGCAGTCTTTTGCGAAATGACCGACTTCATCAGATGAGTTAGTTTGAGTGAAGAAGCGCGGTCCTGGAGGCGTACTCTCGTTGCACTTGCGGCATTCGACATTCTCTGGGTTCGGTGGCTCCTCGAATTCGGCCCAGGTCGGTCGGTCGGTCAGTCGGTCAGTCAGGTACCTAGAGGGGTCAGAGGTCTGCTTACCGAGAGGCTTGAAGGTCCGTCTGATCAAGGACCCGTCTACTAGACCAGTCAGTCAATCAGCCAGTCGCTTGAAGACTCGACGGTCTGCTTGACGGTCTGCTTGCCTGGGGGTCTGCCGGATTGGGGGTGGTCGGCGGGGGTCTGCTAGGTGATCGGGATGAAAGGTGGGTTTATGGAAGGAATTGGCTGGGGGCTGCCTGCGGCGCTGACCACGGAAGGTCCCCCCCCTCCCGGCAGACCGAGGCGCAGGTGTGGCGGCCTTGGCCAACTACATCCGTTTTCTGATATCTTTTGCGGGCCGGCCGTAGTGGCTGAACCTAAAAGTTGTCCCAACGGATCTGGCCTGCACTAACGACCTCGCCCACCAACAAAGCACCCTCGCAAAATACGGCACAGACTTATCCTTCGCGGGTATTCCGACGAGTCTGAGACGAATAGTGAACTTGTCTGCAAACCTTTTTTTTATTCATTTTTTGTACTGATTTTTTTTAATTGCCCGGTAATGAGAACCCGCAAACTGCCCGATAACAAGAACCCGCACGCTCTCAACGAGAACCCGCACGCTCTCAACAAGGCCAAAGCCGGCCAACTAGACCATGACGGCCGAGCAGACAACCCAGCTCTCAACAAGAACCCGCACGCTCTCGACGAGAACCCGCACGCTCTCGACAAGGCCGAAGCCGGCCAACTAGACCATGACGGCCGAGCAGACGACCCAGCTCCCAACTTTGTACGCGAGGATCTCTCCCACCCGCCTCCCCCACCGCGGCCGTCTGTCCTCTGCTGGGTCTGTCCTCTGCTGGTCTGTCACCAGCTCGAGGTCTCCTCTATGTTCATTAGTCCAGGTTCCGACAGTCTTATTCCAAGGGACGGGCACTTACACGGGACTCTCTAGAGAGGGACCATGGACCCGGCAGGGACAGATGGCCAGGGTCCTGATGGGCGGGCGTGTTGGGAGATGCGACCCCGCGCACGTTGGGAGCCGGGCTGCCTGCGTCCGCCGCCGCCGCCGGGAGGTTTAACAGTGGTACCTCGTTTATCCTGCAACAATGTTAGACTAATAGAATATTCAGCTGAAGGTCGTTTGGGCCGATGAGATGCGTGTCCTTGAAGTGACTAGGATCAGAATGGGCTGATGGACACTAACAGGGTAACGATATTAAACAAGGTTCCGACAGCCTTATTCCAAGGGAGGGCACTAGCACATGTCTCTCGAGCGAGGGACCACAGACCCGGCGGGCGGGCTGGGAGACGCGACCCCGCGCATGTTGGGAGCCGGGAGGCCTAGGAGTGGTACATCGTTCGCCCTGTAATAATGTTAGACTTGTGTGTTCAGCTTACGGTCGTCTGAGCTGATGTGATGCGTATTTTTGAAGTGATGAGGATTGGAATAGAATGATGGGAGGCACTTACATGGTAATAATATTAAACCAAGCTACCAAAAGAGAGAAAGAAACTCAAAAGACAAGCTTGGGGACAGCAGCTGAAAAGTAGTTAGTTGCCGACAGGGTTGAATGAGGTTGATTAACTTGACTGCTCGAGCGGCGGTGCCGCCTGACGAGGTTGGGCTACCCCCATATATACTATATGGTCTATACATATATGGTATATATGCATACACCGCATATCCCCTCAACCCAGCAGAGTCTCCGCCGATGTCAACTTTGGTCTCAGTACGTCCCCTTAATAGATAATTCTAAATATATATATATATTATCTATTTATTCTATATACCTTCTGCTTCTTTAGATTAAAGAGGTCTAATTCTTATGTTGCTAACTAATATAGGTTTAAGAAGCTGAAAGCTTAATGAGCTCTATCTGAATCAGTCCCAAATGGACCCTAATTCCTCATGTGATATCCTGGAGCCCTGGTGCGCCATGCTTCCAATTCAACAGTAGTCGGCACTAAAGACCTCTGCCATAATCTATCATAGGTATTCAGGCACTTAGTGTATTATGGATTAAATACATAATATAAATTAAATAAAATAAATATTAGGCCGGGGATTTTATATAAAAAGTACACAGAGACTATAGAGCTACAGTATTCTTTAGTGGCAATTTGCTTTTTTTTTTTGGGGGGGGGGGGGGTTTAGCATATTGTGATTCGGCCACTCGCAGCTTTTGCGGACCTTATCTAATGTGTGACTGTATCTCGTCATTATCCCCATCTCACATTGCTCGGCCCTGAGCATAAGTACGCCATCGTCATCATGTCGGTTGAAGTCATTACCACCATCTCCCCCAACACCAACGAGGCCATCCTCACCCGGAATGGCGCCTCGCCTGCCGACCTCGAGGCGCTTCCCCGAGTCGCCACCGAGGCGTTCCAGAGCTTCCGGAAGACCACTCTGAAGGAGCGACAAGCAATCGTCCGCAAGTTCCTCGATGGCCTCCTGGAGGAGAAGGACCAGCTTGGAGAGGAGCTTACTGCTCAGATGGGACGGCCCATCAACTACACGCCTGGGGAGGTCGCCACAGCTGTGAAGCGGGGTGAGTATCTCCTCAAGATCAGCGAGGAAGCTCTCAAGGATACCGACGGAGAGCCTGAGAAGGGCTTCAAGCGATTTATTAGAAAGGTCCCTGTTGGCCCAGTCCTGGTCATCTTCGCTTGGAACGTATGTAATTGTCCTTATGCCTCGTCCATTTTGCCGACAACTAATCCCACCCAGTACCCCTACCTTATTCTTGTAAACTCTCTTATCCCTGCCATCTTGGCTGGAAACACTGTGATCCTCAAGGGATCTCCCCAGACCCCCACCGTGGTTGAGCATGCCACCGAGATCTTCACGGAGGCAGGGCTTCCCCAGGGTGTTCTGCAGTACTTCCACTGCGGCTCTCCCATCATTATGGAGACTATCGTCCGAAATCCTCTAATTGCTCTCGTCTGTTTTACCGGTTCCGTTGGTGGTGGCCTCGCCGTCCAGAAGGCTGCCGCTGACCGTGTTGTCAATGTCGGACTCGAGCTTGGTGGCAAGGACCCCGCGTACATCAGGGCCGACGTCGACATCGATTGGGCAGCGGGAGAGATTGTTGACGGAGCTGTCTTCAACTCTGGCCAGAGCTGCTGCTCTCTCGAGCGTGTCTACGTCGACGAAAAGATTCACGATTCCTTCGTCGAGGCAGTTCAGAAGGTCCTCAAGGGATACAAGCTTGGAGATCCCTTTGACAAGAGCACCCACGTTGGCCCTGTTGTCTCGAAGAGGTCTAAGGAGGCGATCGAGGAGCACATCAAGGATGCCCTCTCCAAGGGTGCAAAGGATGCCACGCCCGAGAACGAGACCTTTAGCAACCTCCCGTTGAAGGGTAACTTTGTGAAACCCACCCTGCTGGTCAACGTCGACCACACCATGCGGGTCATGGTCGAGGAGACATTCGGACCTGTTGTGGCCGTGCAGAAGGTCGGGAGCGACGAGGAAGCCGTTAAGCTGATGAATGACAGCGAGTTCGGCCTCACGGCAAGCATCTGGACCAAGGACACAGAGAAGGGTTACGAGCTCGCCGAGGACGTGGAGGCGGGCACTGTCTTTGTCAACCGATGCGACTACCCGAGCCCGGTACGTTCCTGCGCGACAAGCCTTCGTGTGGGACAGTTTGTGCTAACTGACAATAGGACCTCGCCTGGACCGGGTGGAAGAACTCGGGTAAGGGACAAACGCTCAGCCAGTTTGGATACGACCAGTTCGTCAAGCTCAAGAGCTACCACCTCAAGGACTACCCCAAATAGAAGTTGCGTTGCCGGTAGGAAATGGACAGGATGGTTTGACATGCAGGCCAGAGTAGATGAATGCAATCACTCTAATCTTCTCTCCCGCAGCGTTCATGTTGATCCATTGCTCACAGCTCAGTTCACTCTGGCCAGCCGCATTCCACCATGTGCAACACGCAGCAACCAGCCTGAGAATCTGTGAGATGCGAGCAACCTGTGACAGGTCACCAGCTGGAATACCAAGGACTGCGTTGTTACGGCAAGTCGATCAACGTCGACAACACTGGTGGCCCGCGGGTCTTGCACAAGCGTGAAGGTTTGTATGAGGAAGAGAGAACCGACGGATGCTCCCAGAGATTGATCGACCTGGCACACAGACTCACAGCTTCGCGAAGATCCGGCTCTGGACAGCCATTAATAGGCCGTAACATCGCCACTATGCACGACGGAGAAGCCAGCGACGCAAGGCAGCGCAAGGCAATTAAGCAATTAATTACATTGAATCCATCCCGTCTCCCGCCGTGGCCAGGATTGGCGACGTACGCACCGCCCGCCGGCGTCTCCCTTTGTGCCACGTCCCGGGCTCATTTCGCTCGCTCTGCCTCCGCCCTTTGGTGCAACACCCGGACGTCAATACGTGTCTGCGTCTCCCTGCTTCGACACGGCATCCGCGGGCTGGAGGGGTGCAGCTGCGTGAAGTCTTGTGAATTCGATACCGCAAACGTGCAATTTTTTATTGAAATATTGGATCTGCTCATTCGCTCATTCGCCGTCTGAATCATCCGTGGCCCCCTTACGAATCCGTCGCACAACCCGATGTCTCGGTGGGTGAGACAGCTCGCTCGCCATGGGCAGGCTGTCCGCGGCCCCGGCTTCTGCGACTGACGGTGTTCAGTTTGGTTGAGCGTGTCCACAGAGCTGTGCTCACTGAAGTCAAGTGCGCACTGAAGGTGTCTAGCATCCCCTCCTCAAGGGGCCTCGCTCACTCAACGGGAAGCGAGCACATGGCGGCAGCATCCCGTCCGCATGGGCGAGGGCGGGTGGGAATTCCAATTCGCCGCGGGCTCCATTCCAAGCCCAGCGTAGCCCTCGATGATCCATCCGGAACCCATTCCTCGTCCGCGCGCTCTCCCGTTACCCAGCCAAGCCGCTTCGTGCGTCGCCCTCATCCACCCCTTCGCACACGGTAGAACCGGTGGACGAGGGGGTGAGGCGCCTTTGTGCTCGAGGGATCCGAAGCGCAGCCCGTATATATCATGGCCCGGAGCTCGCGATATTTCAGAGAAAGCAGTTGTCAGTGTGGATATCTATCTCGGCCCATTCTCTTTCTTGTCCGTTCGCAACACCCTCACAGGCTCACTGCCCAGCTCAGCCCGACTTAAGTGTTGAGGTCCCACTCCTTTGTTTCGAAACCACCACCACGGCCACCGCGGCCACCAGCGAGAATCCATCCCCAGTGTTTTAATTGCATTCCTTCTCCCCGTGTTTCCCTTTGTTCCTTTTAGACGGGGCTATTTAGAAGATCGATTCTTTCCTTCTACTCTTGTTTCCACTCTTGTTTCTGCCCCATAGATATCAGCTGGTTCACCGCCGCATTCACCGCAGGCTGTCGTTTCACCACCGCCTCACAGTGACCAGCTCCCTTCGGTCAGCTTCAGACTATCTTATCTCACATCCCCGCCTCCCTCCTCGACACGACCGATCCCCTCTCCCTATCAGCTTCAACTCGGCATTCTTCTGCTCTTCCATTTCCGATCTCGCCATTACGCCCAATTTCCTGATGAAGCCGACACTTCTCAGAACTCCTGATCGAGATCTCCGCAGCGCTGGACAGCTGCCCGCGCCTCTAGGACGAGCCAAGATGCAGATCTCCACCAACGTCCGCACGCTGTGCTCGCGAGTCCATACTCTCATCCGGCAACGACGCCACAAAGAGAAACGCTCGATGCAAATTGTACGATACTCTTGAGATGATCCTCACCATAGTCCAATGCTGACCAAACCGTGTCTTCAGTCCGCGCCCTTCAATCTCAAGCGTGAGCCCGTCCTGCTGCCGGGCATCTCCGAAGACGAGTAAGCCAGTTCCCTCAACCCCTACCCTTGACGCATAGGTGCAGACTCCTAGTCTCCCAGCGCATCACCCGCATGAAAAGAAAGTCGGCCCAACCGCATCCAGCTGACACTTGCCTCTCTTTCTCACCAGGATCGCCATGCTTCGCGACAAGGCCGCAGCCAGCCGCATTGGCATCGCAGACCCCGCCTCGCCCTCGTCGCTCGCGCCTCGATCGCCATACTCAACGTCCAGCCTCTTCTCGCACCCGGTGCGCCCGCCGCCCATGTCGGTCCTGACAGCGCATGCGACCACGTCGACGGATAGCCTACCGTGAGGCGAGCGGCTTCATGCAGCTGCGCAAGTCGAAGGAGGCGAAGGCAAAGGCGCGGGGCCGCTTATGCGTGTGCATTCGTGTTGCCGCCCGGGACGCGTGTAAGAGGAGACGAGAGGAGACGAGCTGTGTTTGTTTAACTGTTGCAGGAGCCCGAGGGAATGGCGCACGTCCTTCAGCGCTTCCTTACAGCAGGCGATAGGGGATTATTTAGTGGGCTAGGGGTCCTAGTGGATGCTTTTTTCGGGTTGCGGGTTACGGATTACGGAGCTGGGGACTATTTTTGGGACGGGCAGCAAATTGTCATGTCATGGTTAGGGAGCGAGTACGGATTCGGGTCATCGGATTGGCATCATACCCAGGGAAAAATAGATCGGATATCTAATTGGTTTTCTATTCCTCCGAGAGTAGAAGCGAGTCAATGTCTCATCCCAAGACATTTTTAAGAGAAAACAGACACTACTTGGATGAGAAATGCAAGGTTTCATTTGAGTCTAAGACCAACCGTCTCCTTGCCCATCTTACAATGAGACAAGTGACCGGTCCTGGTATCTTCCCTTTGCTCTTCACACTCGCTCTTAGATCCAGCCCGAGTACACGTCCAAACTCTCCGCTCGTGCACCTTCCATCTCGCCCTTGACCGCCAGGAGTTTGACCTTGGTGCCTTTGGCCTGTGCCCACTCGGCCAGGAACTTCTTGACCCGCTGTTTCGTCTCAGCGTCGTCCTTCATCAATATAGCGAGGGCGTCGAAGCCACCCGCGCCGGGAACCACGCCTCCGAAGACGCCGTCGACACCGCTGATCGCGTCCAGAAGCTCTGTCTGGCTGTCCGGCTCGATGGGGACATCGCTGGAGGTGCCCATCTTCTTGACGAGCTCCCGGACCGCCGCGAGCTTGGTGGGGAGCTGTTCAATATCACCTTGCTTGAGTGTAGAAATGAGGTCCTCGTTTCGGCGCTGAAGTTCGTCCCATAGCTGCTTAGAGCCCTCGGGGTCCTGCGCCCTCCATGCAAGTACCTTCTTGACCATGCTGACGGTCTTGCTGCCGCAGTCTACATCGCACATCCTGAGAACGACACCCTTAGGCATCTTGACCTCATCCTTGGCCACCTCGACATCCCATGCTGACTCTTCGTCAATGAGCTGGACCAGTGAGTCCGAAAATCCAGCGGCTCCAGGCTCAGGGATCTTGCTCAACGTCGCTGGTGAGAAACGCTTGTACCGGCAGGATCCAAACACGGCAGCCGCCACATCGAAGCCTGAGCCAACCTTGCCCTGGGCGGCACAGTGCGCCGCCTGCGCCAAGTTATGCAGGGCCCGCTTGCCCTTGTCTGACTCGATATCGAAGAGATCCCGGGGCAGATAGTGAATCAGGAGGGCTGCGGTGAGTGACGTGACAAGGGCAGCGGAGGAGCCCAAGCCGGTCTTGTTGGCATCGCCCAAGGTCACAGGGAACCTGGCAAAACGGCCCCTCTGAGTGTCCGCCGAGCCTGAGTGAGAGTAGTAGTCGTTGTCGGCAAGGATGATGAGGCGCGCTGAGGTCATGCTGTGACTGGGGCGCTGGCCGGCGATGCGGTCAATGTAGGTGAGGGCATAGCTGAGCGTCGTCTCCACGAAGGGGTTGGGGTTGATTTTGGATCCGCTGTGGCAAGTTGAGTGAGCAAGAGGACATATTATTGGTGATGAGATAAAGATGGATGCTTCCGGGCTGCCGGTTGAGGTCGACCAGGATGGGTAAAGTGCGTGAGAGTAAGAGTGAGAGTAGACATTGAGAGCTCCGGCAACCTCAACAACGACGATCCCCCAAAGAGAGCCCGACGCAGCAGGACATTACAACTGAGAGATGTCTGGTCAAAATAGAAACCAACTTACACTTGCAATTGGGTGACCTTGATGCCGCCACCGGCCTCAGTCAAGCGGTAGCCATACCGCCACTGGGCATCAAGAAACTGGGGGCTGTCGACGACAATCTCCGTCAACTGCACCCCGGGCGTGGTGTGTATCTCGCCAGCAATCACGTTGATCCTCGCGTCGAGGCCAAATACAAACCCCGTGTGCTGTCGATCCAGCACCAGGTAGCCGCCTGCGAGGAGGACCTTGCCAGGTGCCGACACGGCGATGGTGGGGTTCCGGGATGCCATGACGCGCGGGGCAACGAGGAATTGGATTGATGTTGAGAAGACGTGGAAGACGGACGGAGTCGTACAGCCAGCAGGCTCGAAGACGAAGGAAGATCTCTAAGCAGTGGCGGGAGAATGTTAAACGGGGATGAACGCTGGGGCTTGCAATGGCAGGATTCAAGGTGTGAGTGAGCTCTTTACTCACCTACAACACCGGAAAGATTGAATCGTGATACGGTAGCGTCGGCTTCACAGTGCAAATGCATACCGTGTTTCAAAATTTGCACTGTATTTGTGTCCCCCCTCTAGGTAGGTAGTCAAATGCTGCCGTTCTGAAATGCGCTTAGGCGAAGTGAGCGTGAACAAGAGATATAGTTACGAAGTGACAATACTGGCCAAAGTCTATGATGCTCGTTTAACGTCATTTGTTAGGTCCACTACAACACAATCCCCAACCTCCTTGCTATTCTAATCTTCTTCACTTATGGGAGGGGATAATTTGTTGAACTTTGAAATTATTGATTTATTCATTTCCTTGTATGGTAGTACAGGCAGCAGGTCCCTTCTCTGCTATCGCCTCCCAGTTGTCTCCATGTTTCCTTTATCTTGCTCCTTGGTCCCTATATGCTGCAAATATCTTGTTTTCCCGTATTTAGAGTGGTGTGTTGTCTATTGGGCAACGTTCGGCCCCGAATCCTTTCATCCCCAGGCCGTCGTCCCGAATAAATCCCATTTTGTGTCCTAAACGCCGTCCCATTCAAGGGATCGAGGGCGGGTGCGCCTCTCGAAATCTCAATGCAACCCCGTAAGAGAAAATAACACCGTTCCAACCAACATAACGGGGTATCAAACAGATTGCGCCAAGTCAACAAAGAAATAAACCAAACATCCAATCAATGGTACCGACGTACAAGCAGGTACTCGACACGCTCAATCGGTGGCCTCTTGGCCGCCGCCGAGGAGCTCAAGCACCTTGTTGACAACGGCACTGGGGTAGCCGCGGGTGAGCATCTCTCCTACGACGCCCTTGGCCTGATCCCGCTGCTCAACGGCCAGGTAGGCGCGAGTCATAGCCTCGTAGGTGCTAGGCTCACGCTTCTCCCGGCCAACAGCGTCGTAAATTTGCTGGGCCTTCTCGATCTTCTTGTCGGCAGCCCAGCCGTGAATGAGTGTGTTCGCAATGTACGGCGTCAGGTCAACACGCTGACGTCGCATCTGTTGCAGAACAGACTCGGTAGCAGCAACCTCATGGTTGGCAACCATAGCCTCAAAGAGGGCCTGGTACAAGCTGGCATTGACGGGAACCAGGGACTCCTTCACAATAGAATCGAACATCTTGCGAGCACCCTCCATGTCGTGCATGACACATCCCCGAGCGTGGATCAGGGAGGCGTAATGCACAGGCTCAATCCGCTGACCAGAGGCACGGATCATGCCCAAGACCTCTTCGGCGGCGTTCATGTCGACGGGCTCCAGAGTGGCATGGGTATCAACCAAAAGCTTGTAGGTGTGGGCAGTCGGGGCAATGCCCTTAGCCTTCATGCGCTCGTAGTAAGCTAGGACCTTGGCCTTGTCTCGCTTTGTGGTCAAGAAGAACTGCATCATGCTGTTGTAGGGAGCGGGTCGGGCCTTGTAGTTTGGCATGGCTTCCATCTCATCGAACAGCTCTTCCGCAAACTTCTCGTCGCTAACTCGACACAGGGCGTTGACAATGGTGCCGTATGTGACAGACGTGGGCTTAATACCCAGGGCTCGCATCTCAGCAAAGTAAAACAGGCAGTCGTCGATGCGACGGGCCTTGCCCAGCTTTCCGATGAGAGCATTGTACAAGAACGAGCTAGGATCAACACCCTCGGCCTTGGCACGGTGGAAGATTCGGACGGCCTCAGAGGCTTCGTCGAAAGTCTTGGTCGAATCCTTCAAAGTAGTGATGTACAGACCGAAAGTGTTGGCAGAAGGAGTGGCTCCCATCTCCAGCAACTCCTGGTGAAACTGCTCAGCGCGTCCACGGTTACCCATGGTAAGGCAAGCGCCGACCATGGCATCGAGGATGCTGGACCAGCCGTATCTGACAACTGCATACTGAGGCTGGAGGGGCATATCGGTGCGAGCCATTGCTAGGATGTCGTGGCACAGATCGATCTTTCCGTCACGGGCAGCGGCGGAAATCAGCTTGGCGTAGGTAATGTATCGAGGATGTCGGCCGGCACGTCGCATATTTCGGAATCGGTTAAGAGCGTCACTCAGCCGGGGTCCCTTGCGGCCATGGTTACCCTCGAGATCGTCGGCAATCAGGGAAGATCCCTTGAAATCGGTGTTGTGGGCATAGGGGTCGAAGGTATCCTCGAAGCTGGAAACGGTCGGGGTCGAAAGGTACGGAGAGGCAGACTGCTGGTGGAAGCTAGAAACCTGGGAAGCCATCTCACGAGGATCGGCAATGCCCCGGGTCTCCATATAGCGAGTAATAAACTCAACACCCTCATCAATCTCCTCAACGAGATGAGGTCGGGCGTCGGATTCGGTAGCTCGGATGCGCTGGAACATCATTTCGGACTGAGCCAAACCCTCGGCCACCTGACCGGAACCAATCAAGGCGACGGCGTACATGGCAGTAGGTTCGATGAAAGAGACGGTTGCTCGCACCTCGGGGTTGATGAGGGCACTCCAGTACTGGGCAGCAGCAGCGACATCTCCCTCTCGGACACTCATGGCCAAGAGAGACATGGCTGGGGTGGCCAAGTCGTCGAAGTAAGCAGGGATGCTAGAGTAGGCAGCGACCGCAGTAGCCTTGTCGTCCTTATCCGCAGAGATGGTGGCGATCTGGCTAATGGCTCGGGCACGAGCTTCAGCCTCAACAGCCTGGGCCCAATGGAAAGCCTCCTGGTAAATGCCGCGGGAGATGAAGCCCTTGACAAAGCCAGTAGTGACCAGAGCATCCTTGATGTCAGCAGCACGAACACCGTACTCGCTGACAATCTTCTGGAAAAACTTCATGGCGCCTTCAATCTTGTCGGTGATGACGTAGGCGTTGATGACTGCGGCGTAGACCTCGGCATCCAATCGGTCGTGGAGAGTCTCATGACCTTCATCATTGGCGATAGCCAGGTTGCGGTACTCATTGTAGCACTCGACTGCACTGATCAGATCCCCAGAGGTAGCAAAAGCACTAATCATGGTAGGGAATACTGCGGCAAAGGGAACGATCTGGTTGGCCTCCATGTGCTCGAAGAGTCGGAGCATATCGGCAGCTCGTCCGGCTTGGGCACAAGCAGAAATCAGCTGATGGTAAGTCTCAGCAGAGTACATGGCCGTGTCGGTATCAACCGAGGTGTCGAACAGCTTGATAGCAAGATCCAGGCGATCATCCTCACAGAGAATGGCGTGCTCAATCTCATGCGAAGCAAGCATGAACTTGCCGGGTTCGTCCATGCCACCAAAGCGGACTCGCTTGTCCTCCAGGCCAGCCTTCAACTCGGCGACCTCAAGACATCGGGATGCCAGGAGACCGACCAAGATATTGAAGGTATCGGCATCAGGAGATACTCTCCTTCGGAGCATGTCAGCATAGACATCGAGAGCCTTGGAGACAATCTCAATCTTCTTGATAGGAATATGGATCGCAGCCACAAGGAGGGCATTGTAGGCGCTAGCGATGGGCTGTACACCAGTCGCCAGCATGGCCTCGAACACAGTAGGGATTTCAGCATAGCGGCCACTCTCGGAAAGCTTGTGGAGGTGGTCGGCGTATGTCTGAGACTGGGGATCGGCCGGAGGGGTAGCACTGCGAGCGACGCTTGCCGGAGTTCGCGATCTTTCAATCGCTGGGGATCGGGTCTGGGAGCCCAGGGCGGAACCTGGTCGTCCAGAAGCAGCCGCATTTTCAGAGGCCTCCTGGAAACTCCGCGCTTCGATCTCCTTCTCTAGGGCCGCGTCGATATGGGCAAGGGCCGCCAAGTCCTCAAAAGAGAGGTTGGATTCGAGTTCAGCATCTTCGATGAGGGCGTGCTCGCTGTCATGACCAGAGACTCTGTCCTTGGTGAGAATGGAGGCAGCAGTAGGCTTCCACTCGATGCGCTTGGGAAACTCGAATTGAGTCCATTCGGGGTCAAGTTCGCCGGCGGCCTGCTGCTCTTGCAGGGCCTCGAAGTAGTCGTCTAAACCTCCATGGTTGTGACTGGGACGGTGCTCGGAGAGACCAGTTGTGACAACTCGCTCGGTGTGGAAGGCCGAGTGGAGTTGGAGGTTGGAGAGACGACCGAGACGGGACTTGGTGGTACGGCGAGTGAAGACAGGGCGGTTCTGTGAGTTGAGGACGTGAGGGTGAGTGGCGGCGACGACGGACTGGGCGTAGCCGTGGGTGGTGATGGACTTTGCGAATGTTGATCCTTGACGGACGAAATTCGAGTAGAGGGAGGAGTAAATGGTGGGCATTTAGATGGCGCCTACAGCGGGGGAGGAGACTGAAGTGGTCTCTGTCAGCATTAAGACTTGGAGGGAAGACAATGGCTATGGATATGGTGTCAAGTTGTCATGCCTGAGGACCGCGAAAGCTGGAGTCAAGGTCGGACGATAATGAGATCGTGGTCGGGCCACGAGATCTTGGGGGGGTGAGGAAAAGTGTGGTGGAGGTGGGCCAATGGAGGTCTGCCACTTACATGGGAAAGTCGGAAGGATATCAATTGCAGGTTCATTTGACAGCGCGACAGCCGTCAAACAAACGCGCAGATCAGATTAGGGAGGGAATAGTGGGAGGGAGAAGGGAGGAAGAGTAAATGGAGGGGAAGGAGCAAAAAGAAAAGGCCGGACTCGAGAAGATTCTCTGTCTGGGGTTATTGGTGAGGTGGGTGATTTTCCTGGGAGGAAGGGACGAGGATGCAGCGTGGGACCCAGGCCTCGGACGGGGGGAGGGCTGCTTTTTTTCTTTGCCTGAGGTGGGTACGCGCGGTACGTACCGATCTTGCTGCGGGCGATGGTCGAGGTATCATGGATCCATGCGTCAGGAGGCAGCTCAGCGGTGGATGGTGGGAGGGAGGCAGTGTGGGGTGGAGGGGATGGGCACTGGGCACTGGGCACTGGACACTTGGGATGCAGCGTTGGCAACCGCAGCAGCAGCGGGTGCATCTCCGAGGTCAGCAGCGTACAATACAGCGAGGGCACCGGGTGCAGGCAGAACCGCTAGGACGGGTACTTTGCACCGTCCAGTTCCACGCGCAGCTGCGGATACTCTGTACAATGCGCGGCTTTCGGGGCGGACTTAGCCTGTGGGTGTGGGTGTGGATGTGTGGGTGGACTCGGAGCGGGCTGTTCTGTTAGTGGACGCGGCTTCTGGAATGACTCAAGCCTTGTCCTTGTTGCTCCCTGTCGCTCTCTGCCACTCTCCGCCGCTCCCTGTGGTCCCCCTGTCAGCTTTTCCTGTGGCTCACCCACTGGTTTCTGGCTTCCTGTTTGCACTTCGCTCTTCGCGTTCTTCGGCAGCCGTCCCTGGGCCCCCGCCAGCAGCTTGCCCCGATGCCAGCTCCCCGGTGAGGGCGCCGCCGCGGGGGGGAGCACCGCTAATTACTCCACAGCACGGGCTGCCACGGCCGCGCACACATCCACCCACAAAGTAGTTTCAACCACACACGAGCAAAGAGACAAGAAACCTGGGCCACTGAAAGAAGCCGCTGGAAGGCGGTCGTGCTCAGCTCCCTGTTACCGCCATGCAAGGAACCGTCCCGGCGGAGCTCGCCTCTGGTCTGGAGCACTTTCTTTCCTTTTGCTCCATGCGCGTCGAGGGACGGACCAGATGCGAAGTTCGCGGTGAGCTATCAATTCACTCTGCAGTCTCCACCGAGGGACACTTTTTTTTTTGTTGTTGTCCACGGGAATGGATCGCGATCCTTATCACTCGGTGAGTGTCGATCGGTGACTCTTCGTCCCTGATGCGTAACACGATCTACGCGACCCTCCAAGGCCACAACATGGCATGCGCGTAAATGACGACAATTTACGCATACACTAGACATACAGCGGTCGGACGGAACGAACTTTGCGACGGTGAGCGCAGCTCCAGGGGTCCCGAGACCCCAAAGAGTTGCCTTGTGGCGGCGTTGTGGTGGCCGGGGCGAGAACAAACCGGTGCCGTTAGGTCATCCCTGCGAGCCCTGTATCCAATTCCCTGGTCTCGTCCCGCTGCCGGTGGAGCCAAGGGAGAAGCCGGAATCTGTAGCCAGCCTGTCGGGTCGCACCCAGCAGCCCCGAATTTACTTCTTTGACTGCCAACCACAAGGTCGGCGCTCAGCCTGCAAGGATGTGAACCATCACTGCAATTTCTGGGGTTTTTTTTTCCTTTGCCGCCTCTTATTTGTCTCTGCTGCTCAGCTTGCCTCCGGGGGCCGGCTGTTGATCGGCAATGGGGCACTCTGGAAAAGCAATGCCAACAAGGACCAACTCCCTCGGCTATCCCAGACCTTTTCCTCGGTGTGAAGACATTGGGCTTGGCATGAGCAACTGGTGCACGCGAGACATCACCACGTCTGTGAAGGTGTCGTAAACCCTTAGCGGAATATCAGTGTGCCAAAGTAGCTTGGTTTGCCCTACTTGCTCCGGCGTTCCAAGCCTTCCCGGCGTCCCCACCGGCCATCAACGGCGTTTCGTAGCTAGATATCGTAGCCACAAAAGCCAAAGGATCAGCCAGCATGCCCCAGGCAGGGCGTCAAACGTCAGCACCAGCTAAGCTAAGCCCAGAGGCGTGGGAAGGGCAAAGGTGGGCGCCACAGGGCTGCAGTTTTCGATCCGTCACATGGACGGGGCAACGAAAAAGTCCCGTTTTGCTGCCGGATGTCACGGAGCCTGGCTGCTCGCTGACATATGCCTTGACTCTCGTCGTCTCTCCGCCGCCTGTGTCTTTGCGCCGAGCCCGACCGGATTTAGAACTGCATCGGCTTTTTGTCTGCCCCGCGCTCCGGTTGCCATGCATGACCGATTTGACGTCCGCGCTCCGCAGCCACTCGGTTTGATAGATGCCGTCATGCTCGTCAATTCCGGCTCGGTGATTACTTTAAAAGGCGAGCCACACCATTACGTAGTGCCTAGCCGCGTCTGTCATCTCAATACATTGCATCTCAATGATAGGACAACATCCCGGTCAGATGCTGGCTTGGCGATGAATACGCAGGGCATTGGTGCTGGAGAATTCCAGATGACAAGCTCCGTGGCGATGGGTTAGCATCCATCTCGAAAGCATTGCATCACTCATCTGGATGCCACCCTTCGCGCTTACGCGCTAGAATCGGGGGTCGAGATTCTACGGAATGAGAATATGCCTCGTGTTCATGCAGAGCTCGGTCCTCCATCTTTGCATTCGGCTTATTGGGAATACGGTACGGAAAACGATCTAAGTCCGGAGATCTCGATCCCCTTCCTTGAGAGAGCTATTGCTGTGGCGGGGACTCCCGAGATTACACGTCACTTGACACATTTGAGTAGTATTCAGGTCAAGGCTGAGCATTGCCCAGTTCCGCGAAATTTCCATTTAGGCATCTCGGTCCCGGGCCATAGTGTGACCTCATTCCTTCTTCGTACGGAGTAGAATCCCTCATGTTCAATATGCAAGTTGAGCCCCTCGAATTTCCCTGTCATGGCCTTTAATCAATTTCTGGCGCATGTGATGGAACACCACGTGGTAGTCGCGATAAGATAAGATAGATAAGATAGATGTTCATGTTATCGATAAGCTACCGAAAAAAGTCCCAAAACTTTTTTCCTTGATCGCATCGCATACCCAAGCCCCACCTAACCTCAACGACCTGTGTGACATTTCGACATCATGGCGGACGATGGAATGCTCCTAAACTTTGAGCTTGGCTCTGGTCCTATCAAGCCCCAGGTCAAGTTCAAGGGCGGCCGCTGGCGAGACAGGAAGCAGGCTGAGAAGTCAGCGAGATTGGCTTCCTCAGGACCAGAAGCACCCAGATCAGCCAGAGATGAAGATGACCAGAGGTCTTCAAAACGCCAGAGGACCGACAATGATGGGTTTAATCGTGATTTCGACTACAAACCCTCCCCACGATTTGACCCCAGAGACAGGTCCTACGGCGGTGACGGCCCGACAAATCAGCACCGAAACCAAGGGTCAGATCAGAAAAGGACTGGAGGACAGGTCATCTCACGACTCTTCTCCTTCAATCCAGCCCAGAAGACTGAGTTGGACGAAGAAAAGGAGACCGAATGGACTGCCCCGGAGGCGACAAATGCGCCACTCTCCGATAGCTTTGCTTCATTAACCATTTCCTCACGCCTTGTGGAGGAGCTTGGGAAGCTGAACTTGGAACGTCCCACCGCCATCCAAAAGAAGGTGATCCCGCATATGCTATCGAACAGCGCGGACGCCTTTGTCCAGGCCGAGACTGGTTCCGGAAAGACGTATTCTTACCTCCTACCCATCCTTCACCGCGTCCTCCTCCTGAGCGAACGGGGCGGTGCCCAGATTCACCGAGACTCTGGGGTATTCGCCATCATTGTTTCACCGACCCGCGAACTTGCCAAGCAGACGCACTCAGTACTTGAGCAGCTCATCCGGCCCTTCCCATGGCTTGTGTCCACGGCAATCACTGGAGGAGAGTCAAAGAAGGCTGAGAAGGCACGTATCCGTAAGGGAGTCAATTTCCTTGTCGCAACCCCTGGACGACTGGCGGATCACATCGACAACACCAAAGCGCTCAGTCTCAGCACCGTGAGATGGCTTATTCTGGACGAAGGTGATCGTCTTATGGATTTGGGCTTTGAGGATGATCTGAAAAAGGCCATCGATGCGCTTAAAAAGATTGACGTCTCTGACAAGCTTCCGGATGGGACCCTTCTCAAGTCTCTTCCTGAGCGACGAGTGACTGTTCTTTGCTCAGCGACTATGAAGATGAACGTACAGAAGTTAGGAGAGATGAGTTTGGCAGATGCAACATTCTTGGCTGCCGAGAAGGAAGCCAGCGATAACATCAAGGATGGTGATGAGACAGCTATGAAGGCTCCGGCCCAGCTCCATCAGTCCTACACCATTACCCCGGCCAAACTTCGACTTGTGACCTTGATCTCCTTCCTCAAGTCTACCTTCTCCCGTCGTGGCCGCACCATGAAAGCCATCGTCTTCATATCATGTGCCGATTCGGTTGATTTCCACTACGAACTCTTGAGGGATCCGATGAAACTTGAGGCACCTGTACCCGGGTCAAAGGATGCCGAATCAATCTCAAAGACTGTTTCAAAGGCTGCATACATTACTTCCCCCGCCAGCCCCGAGGTCATCCTCCACAAGATGCATGGCTCGTTGTCCCAGCCAGTCCGTACCGCCACCATTCGAGCGTTTTCTGAATGCAAGTTGCCCTCACTCCTCATCACCACCGATGTGTCTTCCAGAGGTCTCGATATTCCCTCGGTCGACTTGGTCATTGAGTATGATCCTGCTTTTAGCTTCGCCGATCACATCCATCGCGTTGGTCGAACGGCTCGAGCCGGACGGCCTGGTGATGCCCTGCTCTTCTTACTGCCCGGTACCGAGGAAGGCTACATTGAATTGCTCAAGACCTCAACACCTCCGACACCGCAACCCTACGACTCAATCCTTCAGAAGGGCATGATGACCAAGCTTGAGTTCCCCGTCGAGACATCAGCAGCCATTATTGATGGCCAGTCCTACCACGACAAGGCCGAGACACTACAGCTTCATATCGAGCAGCGCCTTCTCGGCGAGACCAAGAACCTGGAGCTTGCTCGTAACGGCTTCAAGTCACACATCCGAGCATATGCCACTCACATCAAAGAGGAGCGCTCGCATTTTGATATGTCAGAGCTTCATTTAGGTCACACAGCGAAGAGTTACGGTCTGAGAGAGGCGCCAGGCGGTATCGGCGCTGGTGTGGAACGGAAGACTAAGAAGCGGCCGTTTAAGAGCGTCGGCAGGAGTGGAGGCAAGGACTCGAGCAAGAACACCAGCAGAGACCCGGGTGACGAGAAGGGCCAGCCAAGCAGCGAGAGGCCACCTCGCGATATCATCAAGATGAAGAGCATGATGCTAATGAAGTCAACGGCGGACGAGTTCAATATCGGTTAAAAGCGTTATAGACTAATTGCGGGTTATTTATTATGAAATCTATATATTTCTTTGTTACTTAAGCCCAGTTCCGTGATGAAACCATTTGCAAGCTTAGTCACGCTGATCGATGTGAGAATGGTCTCAAGTTACACAAATTGCACACCCTCCCCTGCCCAGTTGCATCATAGAGATGCAAGAGGAATCATGAGGAGATTTGTTCTCATCTAGGAAGGGCTGCGTGATGTGGATTTGCCTTGGTTGATAACACCCCTACCCTCCACAATCTCGATCTTGTGTCCCAACCTGACGACATATTCACAAGCAAATGGGCGCACCCTAGGAAAAAGATGCGCAAAAGGCTCCGGCAGGACGTCATAGAGGTATGGACAGGGGGGTTGTTACGCAAAAGTCGCTCCAATGGGCGGTGGGAGATGACACCGTAAGGAACGTTAGTTGACGTCATATTGTTAGAGGCCTTGGATGATCACGCCTCACATAAAAGTGAAGATGGGGATAAAAGGCAAAGGTCCTCCCAAAACTTTACAGAATATTTGTATACAAACAAATATCCCAAACAACTAAAGGCCTCTCTTCTCCGCCCTCAAACAAACAAAACGATCACGGAAATCATTTATTTCCTACCCTCAACTGCGACCTACACCACGCAATCATGAATAACAAGAACAACGCAACCGACCAGGCCACTGGCGCGGCAAACTTCCTCACGAGCACGCTGGGAAACACACTCGGTGGAGTCGGACGTACACTTGGTGGCGTTACGGGTGCGGCGACTCGTGGCATAGGCAACACGGTGACGGGCGTTACGGGCGAGGTCGGACGACCGCTCGGCGACGGCCTGGGCAACCTCGGCACAGGTGTTGAGAATGGATTGAACAGCGTTTCCAAGGGCGTCGAAAACGCGGGGCAGTGGAAGAAGCAGTAAAGTGTGTGGTCAAGGTTTCAAAGAAACGCAGCTGGGAGTGTAGGATATGTACAGTACACAAAACTTAAGAGAATTATAACCGAACATCATTTTTTTCCTCCTCCTCTGGAACTTGTATAAGCTCATAAAGATCCAAATTCTTCTGACCTATTGTTTGACCCCTCAACCCAAGAAACTTCCCAGATGACCGTTCTTTGCACTCGGCAGTTGGGAGTTGGCTCTCCGGACAACATACATTACTAGCGTCGCGGGTACGCTATTTAAACTTGTATTTACATACCTCAAGGGGTTTTAATACTTACCACTACTATGTCTATCTACCTTGATTGCTTTGTTCCGCTTTCGGAAGAGAAAAATTAGCCATGGGCATAAACAGACCGATGTCACTCAGCTTGAATGGCCCACGCATACAGCCAAGGCATCGAGCCCAACCCTCCACAGCCATTATGTCAATCCCTGTTGTTTAGTGCAGGGGAGTTTTATAATTTATGTGAAATGATTTGATCACGGTCTTGTCTAGGGCACCAGGCCGCCTAGAGAGCCGAAATGCGGCTGAGGAAGCGCAGAGGGGCAGTGCTCAGCGTAGGCTGAACCCAGGCTGCACATGTCGCAAAGGGCCTCAAGATATTTCTACTCTCGTACCATCTAGACGACAAGCCCGGAGCAAATGTACAGCTGTAAGATGAATAATAAAAGCATTAGGTGACAAGGCGGGTTATCTTCAAAGTCCTGCGGGCTTTGGAGAGGAGATACAAGCAAACGCTGATATGGTGAGCGGCCCAACCTGCGGCCGTACGTTTTAGGCGATATATCACGCACTCCCACGCCGCCCAGAATCTCACTCTGCCGTGGCAAAGTTCGCCTCTCTGTTTTGCCTAGGCGCCGCCTGGAGGACACAGCCCCTCCAAAACATGCGAGCCAGGAGTAATATAGAGGCAGAGCTTCTTTAACGGCAGCTTAAATCGGCTATCATCGCAAGACCTCCGATATGATCGGAAGCCATCAGCAACCGGGCCTCTCGCCAACATTACCATCGCCCATGGGCCTCCGAAGTCGACTCTTGAACCAGGAATTGCCCGTAGCTTCATTAGCGGACCAATTCAATTTCCAGTCGGAAGCAATTTTTACAACCAACACGAAGGCCCAGCTCTGGGATATGAACATTCCTGGGAAGCAAGACGACATCCTGGACAACACCGCCTTGAGGGCAAAGCTCGCGCACTATGTATGTTGTTTCGCGATGGAAATTGCAGTATTACAATGGAAGGGACTCGTTCTGATTTCGGCCACAGGAATCTTTCTGGGAGAGCGACCCCAAGGGAACAAAAATAGCAACTCCCATACCAAATCTGGTCCTTGTGTCAGCCAATCTCTTCATAACGGTTTCGTAGATCAGTTTCCTGACGCCTCGCAGCACAGTTCTCGGAGAAGTCATTCACGGGAGGTCTGCGCCAGCTACTTTCCAAATCCGACGCGATACTCTGCAATACCTCATCGAGGTAACAGGCTTCGGAAGCGCAACCACACAAAAGTTTCTCACCACTCTCGCGCCCTATGTCCATTCTTACCTTCAATATGATGACGATGATGAGATGCCTACATATATGAGTTTGTATCCAATTTCTCGCTTGGTGTTGACTCTTGGCAAAGTCACTGACCAATTTTCGGAGTGGTAGCTCTTGTTTTTCGCTGCCCAAAGAACAGCAATTGCGTGGTCGGCACCATCCGGGTCCAGTTGGCAACTCGAAATTGTTTCACCTTTCTTATCTGCAATGATGTCAGGGACATTCAATCGATCCGTTCATATTGCGCAACCAATACCGACCTCCTCAAAATACACCCGCTCTACCTGCTCTCGTTTGTCTACGAAAGCCGATATCACGCGTGGATGAATTGGTTCGCGAAACTCTGGAGGGAAGTTGTCGAAGTCGAGACTGTGACCAATACCTCTGGCCCGCAATGGAAAACGCGGGAAATGGACGCCGAGCGCTTCAAGGCCCTGTCTAAGGCCGATTTCCTCCTCAACCAAATTCACTCAACCCATGTAGAGGTATGTCATGGCCAGACAGTTATGTTATTTGCAGCAAAGTTTGGGAAATTCTGTTCCGAAGTCCTTATAGAGATGGAAAAAAGGCGGCAGGATCTTGGGTACAGTAAACTATCGATGCGCCATCGCTCTGGCCTGTTGGACTCGTTCGATTCAACCCTTGTACGATGTGACTTCGTGGCGGACAGGATGGCGGAGCTGAGCAATAGACTAACACAGAATATCAATGTGGTATGTTTTTTTCTCATCCTTCTTAGCCCGACGATAAAGCTCACCGTTTGGCCAGTCGTATCAACTTATCGCTCAGAAGGACAGCAAAACCAATCTGGCTATCGCAGCACTCACAGCACGCGATAGCCAAACAGTAAAGGGCATCGCCATCTTGACGTTATTGTTCCTTCCCTCCACCCTGGTCGCAGTATGTCTCAAAATGCTTTCCGCTCGTTCCCCACTATTGCTGGTGACTGAAGCAGATGCGAAGTATCATAGCTGATATTAGCGCAGACACTGTGGACAACAAACCTGTTTAAACTCGAGGGCGACGAAAACTGGCAGGTATACGTTGGTACATCGTTGCTTTTGACGATGGTTGTGTTCATATGTTGGTGGACCTACGGTCGAGTCTCTCGTGGGCGTGAGGACGGGGCAGCAGATCACCTGAGCCTCTACTCTCCTGGGTAGGTAGCATCTCTGACATGGGGGGAGTTGGAAGAAATGACTGGAGCTTTGATACATGGGTTTCTATTCAGCCCTTTCCTCAATTAAATTTCTGGATGGTGTTTCTAATTGTAAATAAATAATCACGACGACAGGGTCCGATTTGTTATGCTGATGTTTGCGGCGGATTGATACCATTGCGTTTCTCTAAAGTTTGCTCAATAGGCAATTGACCACTCCTAGACGGCATCATTTTTTATCAGCTTCAGTGGCCAATTATAATGACATAACCCACTTGTAGGCTAACGTTGAGTGGCAATTTCAGTCGTCCTGCTCCAAGAGTCGATGCTTAAAATACCAGGAGGAAATGAAGGAGGGGCATTTCTTTTCCTCACAAAAACACGAGTGATCTATTAAGTGCCTCCTACAAGCACTCTTCCGAACAAGGACGATTCAGGTAACTCCGACCTCTGAAGTATCATCAAGGTTCACTGGCACCAAGTCATCAAGGTTCCCCGACGGAACATGCGCTGGGCAGTGACACCCCAACACCCCATAGACGTTGAGGATGGCGCATCTGCTGTGAATGAGTAGGGAAGCGGTGCGCTTGAGAGCTCAACGGACGAGTCTTACTTGCCAGCGACTGGGATGAGGAACAGCTGACTCTCAAACTCTTAACGCGCTGGAGCTGAACGGCTTTTAGCATGACAAACTTCTGAGGCTTCTAGTCTCTCAAAGTGTCTAGTTACGAGGCTCTAGCTCAAACCTCGTCGTGACCTGTGCGCTCTTGGGCGATGCGGGCTGCAGCCTCTTATCCGACAGTGGGCCAGTTTCTTGCTGGCGCGCAGACCAGAGCGACTACTGGCGAAACTTTTGCTACGACGATTCACTGACGCAGCGTCAAACATGCAGGCTTTCCTTCCAAGTACGGACACGTTTACTACAGGATGCATCTTCTTCGTGGCCCAGCATAAAGCTGAGCACCACAATGAAAATGTGTGATAAATCAAAAATTGCGCCCCCCATGGCCCCGAAGGACAATGGAGCCTGGAACGACACCGCGATGTGCAATGCAGGCCTTCCAAGTTGAACCCCCCAATTCATGAGCGAGGGAGTTCGGAACAAGGTAAGTATGAAGAAGAAAAGAGGAAAAGTTGAAAGAGAGGAGGGCACAGGGAGATTATATACCTCCGGAAAGGGGCGAGCACGTGAGGGAGTGATTGCGATTTTGGCAAAAGTGGGCCTGTGTGGGGCGTATTTATTCGTTGAAGATCTGGAGCACAACTAGGCAGCTGCGGGTCCCAACATCAGCCGCAAATTTGGTGCATGCAAGCAACGTGAATCACTGAAGCGTTTAATGCAGGTGTATAATAAGCGGACTCTGAATTATGAAGGTTTTCGCACTTTATGCCATATGGGAATACGAGGTAGCCCAGGCTAGGCTCCCTGGATCTTCAGGTGCCAAAGTCAAGGGTACCTCCAACATTGCGGGGTGTTGGAAGGTCAAGCCTTGGAGGTGAGCCACTAGTCCATACATTCTCTCTATTTCTCCTTGTAATACATATTCCGACTTCATAAGTTGGGGCTTCTTCTGTATCATTTTGCAATGTCTGGGTCTGTCGACATCCCAACGATGCTGAAAGCCAAGGCCAATGCTGAGTACCGGGTAAGTGCTTCGGGTTCAACTCTGGCTGGGCTAGGACCTGTGACATAATCGCTGTGTGCACTGGTTGCCATGATCGCATCTCCTGGGAGTTCGGGTCTCAGGTGGGAGTGCCTCGAGATTGGAATCATGGTGTGGCCCAATCCTCGCTTGGTCGAACTTTCCCTCGATCTCTTGTACAACTGTAGGTGGAGTCCGTGGAGCGCTCACAGCCGGAAGCATTGGTGTGTTGTCGGACGATCGTTTCGTTATCGTTGAGTGATGGCCTGAGGAAACCTGACCCGCGCTAGTACTGCGATCTTCGACTCAATGATGCATTCTGAGGGGAAAATGATATTCAAGAAGACCTAGTGAACCTACAGCGTGTTTTCGCCTTACCGACCAAAGCTGTGGCAATCCCAGTGTTGGCGTTCGTGGAAACCAGACAACGCACCTCTCTCTTCTTCGTTTGTCTCTCCAGGCCATTTAGCTTGTGGCCCCATTCGCGCCACAGGCCCCCGTCATGGTAGTACTACTGCCGCTGTTTCTCAGTGTTACCGGCGTATGGCGGGTATCCTACCTTGATGCCCGTGACGGCCATGTTCGACTGAGCTATGATAGGGAGAATGTTGCGTCCGCCATTGTCTGTGTTTGTGGGTTGACTGAAGGCGCCAGCTTAGAGATTGCAGTGACGGGTGCTCTTGGAGGAACACTCAAATCCGGGGCCAAGAAACTACGAGAAGCTCATAACACGAAGGTGAGTAGAATGTGAGGTGGAGTTAATGTGGACTGAGGCAGGGGTGATGGCCCAAAAACAGATGAGAGTGCTTCCTGACGTTGGCCATCTGGTCGTGTCGAATCCAAGCACCTAAGATAGTTAACCTCTACCAATGAATTTGACTATGAAATACCAGGCCATTCACCTTTTTACACATTTATTAGTCCTCAGCCTAACTTGGTCCCCGAAGAGTCATCTCAATTGAAATATCAGATCCAAAACAAGTAATGATTAGATTATTCTGTGACCAACTGTGCGACTGATTTTCTTCGTACAGCGTAAGCAGTTGGAGGACAAGCACATGCGCGCGTTGAAGCTGCTGCCCCAAACAAGCATTAGCGCGTCCGCGGGGTGCTCAACCCGGCGAGCTAAAATGCGGCGGCGGGGCGTCATGTTTCTGCCAGTGGAAATTTCTGTCGCAAGCTCTTCAACCGCAACAACATTCGCGACAATGGGCAAGAAGAACTTCCGCGTACGTACCACCCCAATTCCGTACAAATCACGTCCGGCTAACGGAATATGTACAGGGAAAGAACCGACGAGGAGGCGGCGGCGGCCGAGGCGGTGGCCAGTCTCGCGGTTCCTTCAGGGACTATCCTGTTGTCCCTAAGGAAAACGAGAAGCTGCAGCGCTTTTATGACACCCTCCTAGCGTTGCCCGAGGAAGAAAAGACGGCCTACTGGGACGCCTTGAAGCGCGAGCTTCCGAACAGCTTCCGGTTCTGCGGCTCCAAGGGGTATGTTGCACCTTCGAGGCTGGAGAAGACAGATGCTAACCCGCTTGCGCCAGCCATGCGCTCAGGGTCAAGAGACTCCTCAAGGACAGATACATCCCCAAAATCGTCAAGATCGAACACCAAGATGGCAGCCCCGTCGCGCCACCTCTGGCCCTTCCTTGGTACCCCGATGAGCTCGCTTGGTGGATGACGACCCCGAAGAACGTCATCCGCAAGTTCCCTCCTTTCGCCGCCTTCCAGAAGTTCCTGGTCTCCGAGACGAGCGTCGGAAACATTAGTCGCCAGGAAGTCGTCAGCATGATTCCTCCTCTGCTGATGGATCTTCGCCCTGGCATGACTGTCCTGGACATGTGCGCTGCTCCTGGAAGCAAGGCTGCGCAGCTCCTGGAGATGATCCACGTGGGCGAGGAAGCGCGAGTCCGCAAGACCCTGCGCGCCTTTGCGGAGGAGGATGGCCTCGACCTCGGCAGGGAGACACAGGACGAAATTGACGCAGATCTCGAAGCCGACCCGACCGACGCCGGACGAGCAACTGGCCTGCTCATCGCCAACGACTCCGACTACAAGCGAGGTCACATGTTGGTCCATCAACTGAAGCGACTCTCGTCCCCCAACCTCATCGTCACCAACCATGACGCCACCCAGTTCCCCTCAATCAAGCTTCCTTCCGACCCCAACTCCACCAAGGCGAAGTACCTGAAGTTCGACCGAATCCTGGCGGATGTGCCCTGCTCTGGTGACGGAACTATCCGAAAGAATGCAAACCTTTGGAAGGACTGGCAGCCGGGTAGTGCGCTTGGCCTGCACACCACCCAGATCCGAATTCTGGTGCGAGCTCTCCAGCTGCTCAAGGTTGGTGGTCGAGTCGTCTTTTCCACCTGCAGCATGAACCCTGTCGAGAACGAAGCAGTCATCGTGTCCGCCATTGAGCGCTGCGGCGGCCCCGACAATGTCGAAATCGTTGACTGCAGCAACGAATTGGTCGCCTTGAAGCGATACCCTGGTATGAAGTCGTGGAACATCATGGACAAGTCTGCCAAGATCTGGAACTCATGGAAGGAGGTTGAGGATTTCGCCAACGAGCACACCGAGGGAGTGCCTCCTGGAAGAGTTGTAGAGACTATGTTCCCCAGGCTCGAGGGTGCTGAGTGCGCTGACCTGCCCCTGGAGCGTTGCATGCGAGTCTACCCCCACATGCAAGATACTGGTGCCTTTTTCATCACTGTGCTCCAGAAGAAGACCGATTTCAAGGCGAAGAACGAGAAGGAGCGTAAGCCCGCTTCTGCCAAGGCCAACTCCGAAGAGGAGGCACCGTCTGCGGAGAAGTCCGAGACAGAGACCGCCGAAAAGCCCGAGACAGAGGCCGAGGCCACTCCTGCTGCCGCCGAGACTAAGGAGGAGGATGTCACTATGGCTGAGGAACCTACCAACGGTAATAAGAGGCCTTTGGAGGAAGAGAGCGAGGAGCAGCCTGCGAAGAAGGCTAAGACCGAGTCCGAGCCTACGGCCGCGGAGCCTGCTGCTGCGGAGCCTACTACTGTAGATCCTGCTACCGCGACTCCCGTTGCTGAGCCTAAGCAGGACGGTGGCAAGCCCCGGCGAAACGGTCTCGTTGAGGAGCCCTTCAAGTACCTCTCACCCTCTCACCCCATCATCCAGAACATCAAGGAGTTCTACCATATCTCGACCCGATTCCCCGATGATCGATACATGGTCCGCAACGAGATGGGCGAGCCTGCCAAGGCCATCTACTACACTAGCGCCCTTCTGCGCGATATCCTCAGAGAGAACGAGGGCCGGGGCATCAAGTTCATCCACGGCGGCGTCCGTATGTACATGAAGCAGGATGCCCCCTCCGCCGAGGTTTGCCGCTGGCGCATCCAGTCCGAGGGTATGCCGATCCTCCAGGGTTACGTTGGCGAGCCCCGCGTCATCCACCTCCGTAACAAGGAGACTTTCCATAAGCTCCTCATCGAGATGTTCCCTCGCATCTCCGGAGACGACTGGGAGCGTTTTGACGAGATTGGCGAGCGCGTCCGCGATATCGGCATGGGCTGTACGGTCCTGCGGATTGAACCTGACGGCACCGATCCGGACTTCAACGAGCCTATGGCCCTGCCTCTTTGGAAGAGCATTCACTCGCTCAACCTCATGCTTCCCAAGGAGGACCGTGCCGCCATGTTGCTGCGTATCTTTAATGACACCTCCCCCCTCATTAACATCAGCCTGAACAAGCAGATGAACCAGGAGAAGACTGCTGAGGACGAGGAGGCCAAGGGCGCCGATGCCGATGTGGAGGCCAACGGAACCAACGAGACTGAGGTGAAGGCCGAGGAAAAGGTCGAGGAAACGGTCGGGGTGAAGGTTGAAGAAAATCCTGCGGAAAATGCATGATTAAGCAGGATGTACAAGTATTTGCTAACCGTCGTTTCCTTGGTGTTCAGTATTTGAATTAGGATAAAAGATTTATAGATGTCTTTGCACTACTTGTTGCCTATGCGATATCCGCGAATATGGTATTGCTGTCATCGCTCTTTAAAAACTCCAAGTGATTTATGTTATCCAGAGATCTAGGATAACATATGATTTATGTTGGAGTTCGGAGTTAACGGGGAGTGTTGTTCCTATGGGCCATAGGTTGGATTCGGTTGTTGAGAGCGACATTGACTGCGACGATTGCAAGTGCGAGCGACATGTGAGTACTTTATATTCTGGATTTGGTGGAGTTCATTATGATACAATGTTGACATTTTCTTTCTGCGAACATCATCTGTTCCACCATATGATACAAGTGACGTTGGTATAATACACGACTTTGAAGCGACGTTCACTCGTCCAGTAGACCGACGGTCCAGTGGACGATCCTGTCCACACCCTGGCCGTTAATGGCACTCACTGGGATTGCGGCACAGTCTTTGGTCCAGGCGTTTGTTGCCCCGCTTGGGTGCGGCTTCTCTCCCTTTGTTACACTGTCCAGATAGTCCTTGAGCTCTTTGAAGTTCTCCTGTGTCTCGGGCAGGTCAGCCTTGGTCGCGACGACGAACCAGGGCTTGCCAGCGATCTGGATGCCAGGCAACTCGGCAGGTGGTTGCGATGCTGCATTGAAGTCATCGGTCAAATTAACAGGTCCACCCGTCATATCCCAGTCTATGCGGGTATCAACCTCACGGTCTTGTTCCTCCTCGTCACGCATTTGGGCGTACAAACCAACCTCACGCCATAGGGCGCCGAGGGCTTGGACTGCATTTCCGGCACCTAGATCGATGACAAAAGCAAGGACACCTGCACGCTCGACGTGGCGCAAAAAAGCGATACCTAGCCCTCGGTCAAGGTGAGCACCCTCAATCAGGCCGGGAATGTCAGCAACGGAGAAGCGGGTGCGCGGTTCGGTGTCAACAGCCTCAGGCAAGCCCATCTGCGCAGGATAGCGGCGGTAACTCTTGATTGTGGGGCGGCCAGAGTATTTGTCGAGGACAACCGTGCCGATATTGGGTTGCAAGGTGGTAAATGCCCAGTTACCAACTCGGGCACGGCTGTTGGTGAGGGCGCGGAGGAGCGTGCTCTTGCCAGCATTGGGTAGACCGACGAGACCGACGTCGGCAAGAAGTTTGAGCTCGAGCTCGATGTTCATGGTTACCGCATCCTCGCCTTTGGTCGCAAACATAGGCCGAGGGTGCTCTCGGGAAGTGAAGTGAGGATTCCCCAGGCCGCCGATGCCACCAGCTGCAAGCAGAATAGGGTTAGGAGTCGGGCGGGATAGATCGAGATGGATCGTAGGCGGAGGCTGCTTGAAAATGCGATGGCGCTTGGGAAGACGAGGGAAGACCGTCTCCTTGACATCAGTTTTTGACAACCCTGGGTATAGTAGCCACTTGTGCCGTTCTGGGTCTCCATCCTCTTCATCCTCCTCTTCTTCTCTCTCCTTCTCCTGGAGTCTTTCATCCTCCGGGTCTTCGATGCCCTCTTCCCTCGCAAACCTCTGTCTTTCTAGATCTGCTAAGCGCTTCTCTTGCTTCAGAAGCTTCTGCTGCGCACGCCAGATGCGCATGTTTATGGCTTCATCTGCGACGGGATCTTCGCGATCCAACTCGCGCACCACAGTTCCTACTGGCACGGTGATGATGATATCGTCTCCTCGAGTACCACTCTTTGCGCTTCCTTGGCCGTGCTTGCCGCGACCGGCATGGGCGAATCGCTTTCGAGCCAGCTTGTGGAGGGACGTTTCGCCGTGGGCGGCTTGGATATAGACGTTGCCTCCATGCCCTCCATCGCCGCCATTGGGTGGTCCCTCGGCGAGGTAGGCCTCACGCAAGAAGGAGATGCAACCGTTGCCACCGCGACCAGCATAGAGCGTTAGCTGGGCTTTGTCGGCGAAGGTCGGTGCTGCGTAGTCATCGGGGGCCGGATTTAGGCGCGATTCTGGGAGATCGTTGACGGTCGAGCTGTATCGTCTTCGGAGGGCCGCAGTAGTAGCAATGGCGTTGAAGACGCAGCGCTGGGAGACGAGTGAGGGATAGAGGAACGGGAGAAGCGTGGGCGAGGCATTGGGACACCGGGGAGCCATAGTATCTGTGGAGGTGACCCTGCTCGGGCTCGAGGAATTAAGGAAAGTTGAAGATGGGATGTGCAAGCAATTGCTCAATCACACATTGAAGCTCTCATGCGACATGGACCAGCTCAAAATTTCCAAAAGAGCTGGAGCAGTGGAGGCGGCGGGGCCTGATAAGATAAGGACGTTTTCCCGCGAAAGCTCCGCCCACCACCAGGAATATGCCCTGGAAGGGAAAGAGCATCGACGACAGCAGGCAACAACGCCTTAATTAGCCATGCCTGAGGAACGCACCTGATTAGGTGCACGTCCATGGGAGGGAATGAAGGAATGGAGGAGGCTGTGACCTGCATCTGACTTCGTAGCTACTCTTGCCGGATGTTTTCTTCCTCCTTCACATCACCATCATGCAAGCCGACAATGTCGCTTCTCGTCATCATCGCGCATTCCCGCTCGTCTCCCACGCGACACTATGCTTCTTCGGTCTCAGCCCCTCACCTCCATGGATTGAGAGTTTCGCGCCTATTAACTAGGGACAACTCTGCTTCACTGCCGGTGGCCGTCCTCTATGCCTAGTCTTTGCCGCGAGCTACTCGCTCACCGTCCTCGCCCGTCGTCCGTCTGTCTTACCTCGTACTGGATACGTTTTCGCATACGTTACCTATCTTAGTCAATTTGCATACCGCCGGCCGGCCATTCATACCACCGTTCACTTCGAGCCGTCCTCCGTTGTGCCAATCAATGGCGTGTTTGTCCTTGCTGCCCGTTCGTCTCGCCTGTCGGCATCTGCACCCCGCCCAGAACGGGCCATGGACCGTGGGCATTGGCATTCGACCAGCCTCCAGCCAGTGCTGGAGAGGCCACTGGAAACTGGGAGAAGGCCCGCTGTTGCCAAAATGCGGTGAATCGGCTGCCCGCACACCTCCGTCTCCCTTCCGTCGCCGTCCCTCGTTGGCCTGCTGGGGTTCACCCGCCACCGTACGGATATGCTCATTCGCCCAAGTAAGACGTTCGGCAATTTGCTCTGGGTCCTCACCACCTTCTGGCCAAGCGGCTCCTCATTTTCTTTGGGTTCTAAGTTTTGGACCTAGCCAACTTTCTTCCTTTTGCTGGGTTCACCTGTCTAATACACTCGGCTCGAGTATCCATTCCCGTCCCGCTCGCACCGGCCCTCAGCGACCGACGACGCTCCATCTCACCGAGTCGTCTCCTCGCCCCAATTCCTCTTGTCCACGTTCCATCCCACCATCCCACCCTCTCGTTGCTACTACTGCTCGTTACCATCCACTACTACCAGAACAGCACCTGAGTAGCCGCATCGCCCAACGACCGTTCGCCCCCAGACGCCCCCTCCCTTGGGTCAGCTCAAGACCATTGGGCCAGCCTGCATACGCTCCGTGGTCCCGCATTCGAGCCACGACAGAGGACGTGGACCAGCCCTCCTCATTCGATCTCTCCACATAGCTTCCCTCAGTTCCCCACGCGACTTCTTCCATCTCGCTCCTCAGTTTCTCCTCCCTTCCAGCTCAAGCCCCGAGAGCTGCTGGTGCTTGCAGGATACATACTGGCCCCAGCGAAACAGCTGCTCTCTTGCCTGTCTGCTGGCCTACGACGGACATACCATACCACTTTCCCCTCTGGTGTCGTTATCTCCTTACCGCCACGTCCGAGCCAGTCTGCTACCAGCCAGTCTTCTTAACCAGGTCAGTCGCTCTTTTGTCTGTCCCCCTCCCCGACCCCCGTCCCCGGCCTTCGTCGTCCACACTCTTCGTCTCCTTGCCTGCCTTGCTTCGTTTTTGCCTCATGAAACTCGTCAGCGGGGTCAGAGGGAGATTCCCAATCGACCTTTACGTCGATGTCATGACTTGACCCCCCCCTGTACTTCATATTGTATTCTTTGTCATCCTTTCGGACCCTCGTCTTATCCGCTACCAACGTCGGACCCATGTTATCTCGGCCAACAGCCCTTGCTAAGATGTATACTAGAGACTACCCATATCGAAAGCCCTTCATCAGGATGGATCCCGACTGTGCGATCTGTCATGCCCCGGCGACGATGGCATGCGATTGCGAGGCCAAGCGGCTCGAGGTGGCCGTTAAGCAAGCTGAGGACCGCATGATGCGGTCTATTTACAGCGACATACGGTTCGCGAGCCCTCTGTTCCTGGACTCTTTCCGACCAACGTCACTAATTGACCGAACCGTAGCTCTTGGGTTCGCGCACATGCACAGGACTATATCCTCGAATACTTCCGCCTCCTCACAGAACGCCGGAAAACTGCCCACTCCGCTCACTTGGATCGCATCACCGCCCACGCGTACCACTACTATCACGCACCACCTCATCCCAACCAGATTGCTGAGGCTCAAGCCGCTCTCAAGCGGGGCATCGATGAGGACTGGCAATCTAGCGTACAACGTTATCCCGAAGTTTTGGAATATTTCTTTGGTCTCGTGGAACTCACTCTTCCCGCAGAGGACGAACCTGCAGTAAAGGCGCCGCCCCTGAGCGCACTCAATGGTTATCGCAAGGCCAACAGACGGAGCGGCTCCAATGGTGCTCCAGGCACCTCCGCAATTGTCGCCCCAGTTGGATATCATGAGCAGCAACCCGCTCTTCCGTCTCGAACACCCCCTCCTATGCAACGTATTGACCGTCGCACCCCGGCTCCTCGAGAACGGCGATCTTCCTATGCAGCTCCTCCCCCTCAACAACCTCCCTCATATTACGGCACTTACTGAGGTTGAAACGACCCGAGTGACGATTTAACTACCACATCCACAGATATGTACATGATCCGACACATATCACGAATTGTATGAGCATCACGACCATCGCATAATCGGGCGTGGAGTATTACCGGCATAGCGGACCGGCGTGGCATTATCTGGGGTTTACAAAGTTTGGGCTCAATATCCCCCCTTGTTTTTAGAGGAGACTCTGTCTGGCACGTTTTGGAGTATTTGGGGTTTGTCGTATTTGACCTGTATTGAAACATCGAAAATATCACGCCATTGTAGGCATAGTTTTTAAAAGGACCACAAATGGCCTGTTCAATTGGATCTTGTTGAGGTCATGATGGTTGCGCGAGTGGGGGGGGGGATTCCAGAGGAGGGGCATCCATGGACGGGCTGGCAATATTACGCCTTGCGGAGGAGAGGCAGAAGGATTCGAACTAGGCCCCACTAGCTTGGCTCGGACGACGTCCCCGTTTCTGATTCCTCTCATGTGCAGCAATGCAGTAAGAACGCAGGCATTAGAGCTGCTGGACGGCGCATGCAAGCAAGCACAAGTGCCCGATGCGAGCCCAACTCGAAACTAGCCCCGGATCTCCCTGGATCAACAATGCAGACCTACGTAATTGGAGGACATGGCACAACAAAATATCAACTGGACGCGACGCGAGAGGCTTGGACGAGGATGTAATCAAGTGAACATCTTTTTGCGTATCTCTTCCGTTTGGGATAGCGCCTAATTACAAAACAGCACCGAGAGCGCTTTCAAATTGGAGAGGAAAGGGGAAAGGGGGTGAGGACGAGGAGGCAGCGACTAGGCGGACGAGAAGAAGTATCAACCGGCCAGCTGAGCCGGCCCCGAGGCGGATTTTCCCCGAGGATGCAGTCGGTTTTTTTTTTAGGTTGCCGGATGTTGTGTGTGCGAGGAGCGGTCCCGGAGCGGACTGCGGAGATGGCGAGGAGATGGTGTGTGTGGAGAGGAGAGGTAGGGTTGGGCGGATTGGACAGAACTTCAACGCCGGGATGACAAGGACGGCGCTGAAGCGTGATCTGAGGCTGTGAGGGAGTGCGTGGCTTACGACTCCTGCTTCTCGGAGATAGAGGTCTCCTTGAGGTCTGAGGCGACCTCATCGACGGTCTCACCGTTGGCCTCAGCCTTCTCGATCTCCTCGATCTTTCGCTTGGCCTCCTCAATGTTCTGGATGTTGTGCGGTTAGTCTGCTGTGTTCATTCAGGGGTAGCTACAGAGGCACTTACAGCCTTGGTCTGGGTCTCCTGGTCATTCTTCCATTGCTCGAGCTTGGCGCGGACCTTCTCGGCGACAGTAGGGACGTCGAGGGCGCTCATGGGGGGTTCAATACCCATGGCGGCGCAGTCCTCAACGACCGAAGGAGGGCAGTTGAAGAACTTGGAGGAGGCACCGCTGGTGCCACTCTTCTTGCCCTTCTTGCCCTTCTTGGCGGCAGGGGCATATTCCTCCTCGCGGTCCTTCTTGCTGACGAGCTTGGTGCCCTTAAGGCCAGCCTCGTCGACGGTTCGCTGAGCCTGTGCTCCGAGGCCGGTATCAGCCATCAGGGGGCCCTTCTCGACCTTGTGGCTGGGGTCAAGGAACGCCAATAGGCTGTTGGCGCGTCGGATCTCGTCCAGGAAGGCAGGGTCGCTGGCCTCGGCAAGGCGGCGCTCGGCATCGGCCTTCTTGCGCTCCTTAATGACACGTTCATGCTCAGCCTTCTGCTTCTCGCGGTACTTCTCACGAGCCTCACGGTCGTAGGCCTGATAAGCCTTCTTCCGGCCGTAGTAGTCGTCCTTGAGCTTGCGGATAGCGGTGTACTTCTCCTGTTGCTCAGCCTGGAGTTTAGATCGCTCGTCACGCAGGCTAGACAGGCCCTTGTAGGCCTCGTCTTGCTCAGCCTTGATGGCATCAAGCTCGGCCTGGATCTTGTTGTACTGCTCAGACATGGCCTTCTGCTCGGGGTCCTCCATGCTGTCCTTGATCTCCTTGATCTTGGCGCGCAGGTCGTCAATCTGCTTCTGCGAGTCCTCGAACTGGCCAAAGTTCTTGCGGACCTTGCGCAGGCTGGAGATGTCGGCGAGGGCCTTCTTCTCGTCGACGAGCTTCATGGTGCCTGAGTTGACCTGCTTGTCGAGACTGGCAATCTGGCGATCGACATCCTCGAGGCTCTTGAAGGGAACCTTGCTCTTGGCAGTCTTCTGCTCCGCAATTCGGCTGCGGACCTGCTCGTCGAAGCGCTTGATCTGCTCGAGCTTGGAGGAGCGGGCGTTCTTGCCACCGGCCTGCTTCTGGCGGATCTCGTTGGCCTGGGCAATGAGCTCCTGTCGTCGCTGCTGAGTCGGGCTGGGCTGGTCCTTGTTCTTGTTGGGCATGGCAATGTCGATCTTGGCCTTGATGGCGCCCTGTAGAGAATAGTGTTAGCTGGCATGGGCGTCCCTTGGCACGAGATGAGGCCACAGAAGTGGAACCTGAGCTGATGGATGGCTGGAGATACGCCCTGGCAGCTTCACGGGGGGAGGAATTGAGGTCGTACCAAGAGGTCCATGGAGGCCTTGTGAGCCTTCTCAGCCTTGGCGAGCTCCTCCTTAAAGACATTCTCATCGGGCTTGGTAGGGCGCGTCGCGGGGACCTTGTCCGCCGCAGGGGCGGTGGCAGTCGCAGTCGCAGTCTCGGCCATTGCGATTGAGGGGATGCGGCGAACGGTACGGGGCGTTCTGGAGTGAGGAGGGACCGGAGGGAGACGGAGCCGAAGCGGACGACTCGAGAAGAGGCGGCGAACGGGGAGCAGATGAGTGAAGAGCGACGACACGTGGTGGCCGGGACAGGAGTGAAGAAGAGAAAAAATGGAAGCCCCAAAGGTTCGAAATTGAAATTGAAATTCCACCACTTTCTTGCTGCCCCGTGTCTGCTTTGCGATTGTGAGCGGTTGGGGTCTGTGCGCCCCTGAACCTACAGCGCCTGGCACGCACAATGGCCCTGGAAGTCGCTGGAAGCTCAGCGGACGGCTCCTCGATAGCACCTTTAGGCCTCGGACTAGCCCCTACTGGCAGGCGCTGGAGGAAACGGTCCCGTCGCTGTGGAGGACAGGACTCGCGGTGTCTGGATTCTGTTGACGGGCCTCGTTCGGCTCCCTTCCCCTAGCGGCGCACACTGACCACTGACGGCCCAGGGTCGTTCCTGCCAATTGACTTAACTAGCCGTCCACTACGTAGCTAGCGCCGCGGCTCGGATGGCTGCTCCTCGAGGGTGCTGTGGCTAATGGAATGTGGCGGATATGTGGCTCGGTCTGTCCGATCACATGACCCTCGTCGCGCCTCGACCCGCTCCCAGCGCTCGACTTTGCGGCGGCCATGCAAGGCTGAGCGAAACATTTTTGAGACGGCCTGGGATTCTTTCAACTCCACGACAATCGAACCGGCCCTCTTCGACCCTCACCCCCGGCCACAGCAAAAATGGATATCGATAGCGTACCAACCGATGCCAAGTCAAAGGAGGTCGTGAGGCTCTGGCGAGCTTGGCGGACCGTCCACGAGATGGTGGCCGACCGGGTAAGACTTCCTGTTGCCTCGTCATGTCGCGATGCCTTCGACGGTCATGATGACACCCTTTGTTTTGCCCAACCTGCTCGATCGCAACGCTAACCCAGCCCAGGAATACGAGCTTGCAGAAGAGGAAGTTAGCATCTCCCTCGACCGCTTCCGCGACGAGTACTGCAACCCCGACGGCTCTATCAAGTAAGTCCTAGGCCTCTATTCTCCCCATCAGCAATCGTCTGCCCGCCCGAGAACAAACCCGCTGACCATAAATCCTTCTTCTCACAGCCGAGGCAAGCTCCAGTTCTCTGCGCGCCCCAGCGAATCCATGCTCAAGAAGTTCACGCCGCCCGCGACGGACGCAAACCCAGACCCCGTTCCCGACTGCGGCCCTATCTGGGTCGAATTCCTCTCGGACAAGCAGTTCGGTGTCGCCCAGATCCGCCAGTTCGCCCAGTACACCATCACCAACAACTACAAAACGGGCATCATGGTCACTCACGTGCCCCTGTCCCCCGCGGCCCGCAAGTCGCTCGCCGGCGTCGAGAACCTCACCAAGATCGAGTGCTTCCTCGAGGACGACCTGCTCGTCAACATTACCCACCACGAGCTCGTCCCCAAGCATGTCCTGCTCTCCCGCGAGGAGAAGATCGCCCTGCTGAAGCGCTACCGCCTGAAGGAGACCCAACTGCCCCGAATCCTGCAGAAGGACCCGGTCGCCCGCTATCTCGGTCTCAAGCGCGGCCACGTCGTCAAGATTATCCGAAACAGTGAGACGGCCGGTCGTTATGCGAGTTACAGACTGTGCGTCTAAGCCTCCCTAGCCAGGGTCGAGGACGATTATGAGCACGTGGCGAGGGGTGGGATGCGTGGACGATGGGAGCTCTTGGATAGGATCAAGGCATGGCTTTTGGTACGAGGATGGAGGCGTCGATCTGCACTTGAGGTTCAAAAAGCTGGCGTTCCAGGGGTTCTTATGTATATTGTGCGATGCCGTAGCAGAGCCAATCAAGACTTATTCACCAACTAATTTTTTAGTCTGATATCTGCCATGTGATGCGTGAACCTGAGATGATGCAATTACCTTCCACCTTTCAATGCGAAGTCTTCACCGACTGGCCGAGAGGAGAATTCTTGAGAGGGATTCATGGAAGAATTCATATGACGGGGTAATATTAATTAATCAGCCACGCGTCTGTTTTAACCGTTCACATTTTGACACATTTCACAGTTATAATCCAAGGGAACAGCATCTTTGCTTGGGCTTGAAACAATGAATTTCTCAAGTGTCCATCCCGTAGCCCACAACTAAGACTATCCTGCAATCCCATCAACCCGTCCATTCATCCATCCATCATAAACGTGGCTTTCAGCCGGGGTATATATAACTAGTTCCAACCAATGTCTCGTCCCATACCTGCCTGACAAGACACCCAAAAAAACAGACCCATAACAAGAAACAAAAAGGCAAAAACTGCCATCAGGCCGCAGCTTCACTCACTTACACCGTCGCTGCCATCTCCCCAGGCTTCGTATCTTCATGATATCCTGTCCATGCCCCACAATGGTTCATGCCTTCTTCTCCGTAACCATCGACGCCATGCAAAACGCCAGCCGGACGTCTAATATGTCTACAGCCGAATGTGTCCCAGAAAGAGTCCTAATCCCAAATCGTCCCGCTGCTGTCATCATACATGTCGTGGCTAATATATAGAGGTCGTTCATAGCGACCGTAATAATTTGCCGCATTGCATCATTTGGGTGCTTGGGTGCTTTGCGACAACAAAAGACCACCCGGATCCCGAAGCTCCGGCTCGGGGTTTCCGTGTGGGTTCAGTCTCAGATCTGGCTGCGACTGTGGTATAGGTTGCAGTTCAGTCCCTCCCGAGCGGGTCTTGGGACGGGCCTGTCTCGTGCTGAGAGGCCCGAGGAAACCGCCGATGTCCTGAAGCAAAGCGGTTGAGCCTCGGCGGAAGCCTCCAGCGCCGGCCGCCACCGAAGGGGCTGGAGGGGAGTGGCCTGGCCCTGCTTCACCATTAGACGAGGTATAACTTCCCGGTCGGAAGCTTCCACTGCTTTCACGGGGAGGGTCTAAAAGCCCGCCCACATCAAAGAATGAAACCCGTCTTGGCGTGGCCTCGCTCCGCGTTAAACTCAGGGGGTCGTGTGGGAGGAGGGAGTCATCGCTCCGCTCTGCGTTACTGCGCTGTCGTTGCGGGAACTGCCAGCGCTCGAGGTCTTGATCGAGTCTCCTGATGATCGGGGCAGGCATGAACTGAATGGGAGTGCCATCTTCTGGGGTATCGGGTTGATCGCGTAGCTCGGGATCGACGGTCATTCCGATATCTCGCACCAGATCCTCGTCACTTCCCCAGTGGCGGTGTAGCGTCGGTCGTCGGGGATGAAGAGATGGGTCAAAAGACTCAGCTATTGAAGATCGACGGAACTTTTGCTTCTTCAGACCTCGATCTCGCACAAACGAGCCCAGTACCAATGAATTGGCGGAAGCCGTCGCAAATAGGAGCTCGACCGAGGCAAGAAGAGAGCGATACTGCTGTCGGCCGTCTTCCCTGATAATGTTCGGCACCCGGTACAGAGTCACGCCGACCACCGACAGACTGAGGGAAAATAGTAGAACAAGCTGAACCTTCCTCCTCACAGTCATCCGGCTGGTAACGATAATAGGGACCGGGAAGATGACAAGTAGCAAATCAGTGAAGACATTGCAAACTGCCATGGTAATAAGCTGCGCGTATCCCTGGCGACATTGACCACCAGGGTCTGGCAAAACCTGCCAGTAGTGGCTGAAGGGTTGACATTCGGCGAGATCGCTAATGACCACAGCGACGAATGTGGCAATAAGGATGACCCGGATGACGCGGAGTGTGGTTTGCCACGAACGCTCCCAGGTGGCGCGGGTCAATCGGCGGAGGAACTCGAGGATAGTTGCCTTGAGAATCCATAAGCTGTAGCAGAACGGTCAGCCAAAAAGTTTGTGCAGATTGTGACGGCAAACGGTGAATGAGATCTAGGAAAAGGGCTCGCCACATACGTTGCGGCATAGAAAATTCGGCTCGCCAGCACGAGGCCACTGGCGATCTCTTTCCTACGCAGTTCTTTGCTGGTAAGTTCGACGTTGTCGAAATCGGCATTGTTGGTGCCATAGAGGAGGATGAAGTGGACGCAGCCCATGCGCAGGTACAAGGGAATTAAAGCGAGGGCGGCGATGCGGTCTTCGGCGAAGAGTCGTTCGGTTCTGATGAAGCGACCAGCGAGTCGTAGGAGGATTATGAGGGTGCAGAAGGATGTTGCCCACCAGCATACGAGCAAGGTGGGTTTGTCGTACTTGAATTCGCGAAGGGTCGGGGGTCAGAGTAGAGCGTCATGGCGACAGCAATGGCGGTCCACGCTCGCCGTCCTCCGCAGAGGGCCCGACGAGCGAGGGAGGCGGAATGGGTTCGGCTTGGGAATCTCGTCAGATATCACAATGAGTGTGACGCAAGCGGCCGTAGCAGAGTTGGTGGTGTTGTGCCAGCTTTTGGGCTTGAGACGTCTTGAGGGTTCAGGCGGGCATGAGGCGGCCGGCGGTGGCACTGGGGCGGTAACGGTAACGGTAGCGGCAGGTCCAGCGACGGATGCATTAAAACAGCGGCCGGGGGCGAGTAGGCGACAGCATCAAAGACGCGGGCAGGCGACAGGAGATGGTCGATATGGCAGACCGACGGCGAGGCTGGAGCAAGAGGTCGGTCGACCTAAGCAGGAAGCGAGTCGGAGTCGGAGATTGAGATGAGGGACAGGCCGGTCGTCGCGAACCGGGTGTGAGAATTCGCAATGCTGCGTAATCTGATGGTGGCAACTGGAAGTGGCAGGTGGAAGTGGCGAGTTGTATTAGTTGAAGAGAGCCAGCAACCACAACACAATCGGTCTTTGAATTGCGAGCGAGTATCCGTAACGGTATACAACGACAACAACAACCTGGTAGTGAATGAGAGTAAGAGCAAGAGCAAGAGTGAGTGTCAGAGGGTGGAGGTGGACAAGGTGCGGTTGGTCGCAAGATATTGCGGAGGCGAGGACCTAGGCGTGGGCGAATCGAGGGCCCGGGCAGCGTATCCGGAGTAGCGTCGAGTCGTCGAGTCGCACACGACAGCGCCCGTTGTTCGTAGCCCCCAAGTGCGTAGCTCCGTTGGCCGTGGAGGGAGCGCCCGTGGAGGGTCCGATTTTGCCATTCGCGTCCCGTTTGGGGGGCGTGTCCCAGGATGAAGACGGGCCTGGCCAGGGCCAAGGATGGGGAAGCCCACTCCACCGGGGCTGGAAGAGATGTTGGTTTAGCGTGCCTTGAAGGGGGCCAAGATAGGCCGGGGGCATGGGCGACTTGGGCATGGGACCGACTGGCTCTGTCTTGGCGGGCTGCTTTGGTGGTGGTAAGCAGCGATGAAGAGATGAAGAGAGAGGGACGGGAGCCACCTTGATTCGGCCCTGTGGCCTGTGTTCTGTGCCCTGTGTGACGGCTGTGGAATCAGACCATCCATGGTACCGATACATGAGGTGCTTAATCTACACGGATGTGCTGTCGAACGTCCGCGCCGCCTCCTAGGGCGAGCTTAAGGTTGCTGTCAGAATCAGGGATCTCAGCCATGTCTCGAAGAAAGCTCCCGCCCAGAGCCCAGAGAGACACCTCCATGCCCATCATTCAGGAACATGCGTTCTGCCACAGAGCCTCACTTTCTCGCCTCGAGCGCCATGCCAGGGAAATGGCGGTGCGCTAGAAGGGGTCGGATCGTTGAAGAATGCGCAGCGCTGTCCGCCGCCACCTCGGACAGCCCTCTAGGTTCAGCCGACAGCCAGGAGGCGACCAGCCAGCCGAGATAGCGGGCAGGGACCGGGGAATGTGCGACGGGGGTTTACGGGCTGGGCGGGAAGCCACAGCTTAAAGGCCCAGCATTACGGTCGTTGATGTTTGATGCATGCTGCCGATGTAAGTGATGAACGCGTTGAAGAAGTGAGAAGAAGAAAATGAACGGCCGGCGTGCTGCTGATCACATTGCGTGCAGAACATGAAGCCCGAGCTCAGTGGCCTGGACTGGATCTGTGGGTGGCAGATAAGTTAGGTAGGTACAGAGTGGATGGCTGCGGGATGTGGGATGTGGGATGTCGGTGACCCAAGACAGACACCACACAAGACACAAGACACAAGACACAAGACAAGGCAAGCGTACGTGCCACCGAATCGCGAAACAGACAGTCGGACGGCGGTCAGACAGTGCCGAACGCAGCCCAGTGGAGCAGGACCGATGGATTGTGATCAGATCAAACCCCTAAGGTACAAGTACCTAGAGGTAAGTTAGGTAAGGTAGCTGAGAACTGCGACTCGGTGCGAGGTACCTGGGAATTTCGTTACTCTCGCTCTCTAGACTCTGCCTCGCCGTTGATTAGTGGGCTTCTTGTGATTCCATTCCCCTGATGCCGAGAGATAGCAGCGGCCAGGGATGAGCGTTTTCCGGCACTGCGGATTGGTCCACCAGAGGGACGGGGCGGGCGCGAGGCCTTTTCCTGGACCCCCCGATGGTGTCGCATTCTGAGGGGCGCGTTGGTGGCGTCTTGGCGCTGTAAAAATCGAAGCTGATGCTGAGCTTGACAACGACGCCATGAATGATTTGATTCACGGGGCTTTCACACGTGGATTCTGGTCAGTCGAGGCGTTTGTGGCGGGCGGCAGGAGAGCAAAGATGACTCGGCCATGGCTGGCTGCATCCAGCTGTGGGCTGGCACCAAGGACGCCCGCTTGCTACCTATGCGGTGTCTCACGGATGAGCGCCAACGACGGTGATTCGTAAGAAAACCCTTCTTTTCGTGTTGGGCAGTGTCGGTCGTGCAACAGGGCTGTCGCACAACGGCTGCGGCAGTGAAGCCTGGCGATGCGGGCTGGCGAGCGACCGTCGGTACCAGTACGATCCTGTTCACCGAGTCAGGGATCCTTCCTGCGCGAGGGCTGGGGAAATGCCGCTGTTTGGAGAGCGGCATGCACTAATGAGGATTCGAATACCGGCACTCCGTAGTATGTCCAAGCCCTGTGGCAGCCACCGCCCCGGCAGCGGTCTGTAAATTCCATAGCATCAGCTCGGCTGTTGGTTGGCGTACTCGGTCAGCTGTCTTGCAGTCTTGCATTTCTGCACCGGTAATTGTGTCGCCAAGGCGTCGTGCAGCTTGACCCTCGTCATCGTTAGGATCAAATGTGAAGCGGAGAGCAGAGAGGCGCACGCACTGCTGGTTCGATGGCTTGGATGGCCGGGACACAGGGCTTTCCCAGGGCTTTCCCAGGGTTCCCCTGCAGTCTAGAAGGAGCCACATCCAGGCAAGCCCTGTCACAGCAGACAAGTCGCACAGTCAGTCGCACAGTTCAATTCGCAGCCCATTCGCAGCCAGTTGCAGCCACGGCGCGGTCAGCGTCCAATCTGAAGCCACCTTTTCCCCCCCAGGCCGCCCAGGTCCAACGTCCATCAGGGATACGTGCAACGCTGGTCCGCATCACGCGACAATGTCGTACTTCCTGCCCAGCTTGGACTGGGTGATCCCAACAGGCAGTCCTTTTTCTTATTCTCGCATGCCGATTACTACGTACCCAAGTTACTCCTACTAGAGCCTCGAGTCCTTCGACTCGACCTCGACCGTCACCCCCCGCTAACGCCCTGGCCACACCAATCGAGCAACTCGTCTGTCGTAAACGTCGCATCCTGGCCATGGCCGTGCCGCGTCCTGTTCCTAGTGGCTCCTCGAGCCCTGTCCCTTGTCTCGGGCCTCTCGCCTGCCCGTCCTGCTGGGACGGATCTACTCGGAGTCTCTGTCAGAATCGGCGTGTGGCAGCGGGTGGCATGTAATTACTCCGTACGTAGTGCAGACCAGTACAGGACAGCACCGCGGAATACGAATGTGAAGGATGGCCGTGCTTCCGCAGTGCGGCATTGAGTTACATGCGTCGTAGAATGCGTCTGCCTAGCCGTGCACCTGTCCTCATCTCATCTGCGATCCATCGCACTTCTGGGGGAGGAAACGGCCGGGGGCTCCTCGTCTTACTACGTTCTTGGCATGCCGCATCACAGAAGATCCTCCTCTCGTCAGGTCCACCGTTGTCCCGGTCTCATGGACGAGCTGGCCCACCGTAGCCTGTAGCCCACCCAAGCCAACATACTCCTTGCCCCGGATTCGACTCGTCAAACAGACTTGTCTCCTGGATTCTCAACCTGGTCTGCTTATCGGGGCTCGTCGATTACAGAAATGATTCTCTCCAGTTGATATCCAGTTAATATCCAGCCCCTCGGGCCCCTCCACGCACTCCATAATCCACCCGGCCCACAGCCCACAGCCCACGCCCACAACCCACGGCCTTATCAGCATCTTCAGTCACATCCCCACCCCTTCGCCTTATCTTTCTTGCTGTGGATTCGGCCCCCCGCCCGTCCGCGATAACGGCGGCGTGGGATACAATACGACATGATGCGATTCCAAATGGGTTGAAGCACCGCATGATCTTCCGCCCCTCTCCATCGCCTCAATTGAGGCCAACGGTCCCCTTAGTGAAGCCAAATGTAATTCGGTACCCATGACAGCCAAGACAGCGCCCATCCATCTCGCCTAGCGGCTCCCTACCGCCTAACTCGACTCAACAGTGCTGCCAAATTGATGAGGGCATCTCCCGGCTCAGACGGCTCCGAGTGCTCCGACATCCCTCACAAGCGATGAGCGCTATCACTCTGCCAAGAGGCTTCAATCATCACCGTGCACCGACATGCAACATGTCGCCTGCCTTCGCCAACCTGCGAGGGACCGCTCAGACTCGTTGATAGCCTTCTCCAACCTCGTCGGATGTCAAATATGAGATCCACCCATCCTGGCCTGGCACGCTTGGCCCTCCAGCACCACCGGATAGCCATGTGCAAACCCCCCTAGCTTGAACATCGCCACCACAACTCAACGATTATCACTTGCACTTGACAGAGCTGTGCACCTAGTCAAAGCTACTCGGAGCCCCGCCGGATCTCTACTTCCTCCCCAGACGAACATGTCGCATCCATAGCGCTTCATATTCCCTCTCCCTCGGCCTGCCTCTATTCATTTGCGCATGCCGCGGTGTTCAGGGCTTCGCCTTGGCGTCAGCCGAGGCATGACTGGGCCGTATGTCTCGTGACGACCTGTGTAGCATCAACAAAAGCCCCGCGGCCGTTTCTTGTCTCGCGCAGCGCGGCTGTTTCTTGTCTCGCGCAGCGCGGCTTTGCCAAACCGTGCCAATTGGATTTAGCCTGGCAGTTTCCATGTCCTGTTATCTGCCGAGCTGACGATGTCTTGTCTCCCTGTTTCCCTGCTCGGCTCCGCCACTTCGGCACGTGCAGCCCGTAACTTGGGCCTTCATGCCGGCACATTCACGTCCGCTAGACTTGTTGGCTCGTGTCCGTTTTCAGCCTTGGCTTGCACTTGTTGACCTGGCCAGCTGATGCAGTCGGTGGCTTTTTACTGGTAATGTTGAATGACTTGATATCCAAGAAAGCCTTTGAGCCGACTTACACCATTGGCGTTGGCGGGAGTTGGTTCTCTAAGGATACCCCGCCATCCTCTTTTCCAAGCGTTATTGCTTGTTGAGATCGCCAGCACCCATTACGTACAAGTCGCTATTAGTAAGTAGAGTTTCTGTGCCAACTTGGGGGAATGACGTGCCAGTCACATAGTAGTAATCGGCCTCACTTCCACGACACCTCCTCTCAGCCGAGCATCACATCTAGAAGCCTTCTAGACCGAACCTACTCTCAGCCCATGGCCTTCCCCCGCACCTTGCCTCCCACATCTCGCATCACCCGCCCAGGAACTCGACACCAGCCAGTGACATCGATTTAGACTGCATGACTGGCGCCCCTCCAGCGTAACACCATTTTTCGCCAACACGACTCATGAGTGATTCGGTTGCAAGGCAATCAAACCTTGTTCCCGATTTGGGCGTGCCAACTTGGGGGTTGCAATCAGTGTGTCAATGGTTATCCAAGAGCAAGGCACCCTGGACCAAGGGGAACGGGCTGGGATGGACCGGACTCGGTTGAGCAAGATCGAAACAGGCCCTAATGAACTCAAAAAGTCGTCTATCAACGTCTACCCGGCCAAGACTAGTGTATCCAAGGATTCCAGGCTGCTTCTACCGATCTCGCAGACTAGTCCGACAGCCATCAATCGATTCGACAAGGCACAACAGATTTCGGGCTACCCGGTCCTGGGCCAGTATTTCCTTTCGTGTGGCTTAAAATTTCTCCCTCTGCTTGGACATCCTCATAGATTGGATTGTTATCAGAATGTTCTGGGCTCACCTGCGGGCGCCGGGTTCGTTGTCACTAGGATAATTATTCACCTTCCTTTTGAGGATTGATGGGTGGGCGTCATAATCCTCACGGTCGGTACATACCGGCTTGGGGATGACACCAAGTTGTTGGCTCCCTCACCCTCACTGAGGTGATCATGGATCAGGCATTATGCATCTCGTTGACGACTTGGTAGCTGTAACGTCAACCATCCACCACCCACCCATCAACGTCTGCACTTCCCATCAGGCAGCACCCGTCATCATCCTAGTCGCAGATCCTCCACTACGGCCTTGATCTGTGGCTTCTTTGCCACTCCCCAGTCGACCCCCTTCAAGCGCTCAGCGACATCCTCTTGATCCCCCAAGAGACCCCAGAGCGCATCGACCACCACGCTCTTGATTCGAGGCCATGGGTGGAAGAACAGTGCTCCCAGCCGCTTCCGGGCCTCCATGACGCCCGCCTCGGCGCCCGCCTGATCCCCCATCGACGCAATTCCGCTATACACCTTGACGCAAGCCTCGAGTTTCCGCACGTTGCCCGACTTGTATCCTGCCTTCTGAGTTTGTAGGCAAAGGCTGCGAAAGTTGACGGTGCTCTTCTGGAAGAACCCTACGTGGAATAGGAAGGCAATGATCTCCAGTGTCGGCACCAGGACCCTGTCTTGGCCTTGCCGCGTCTTGAGGTTCTGGAACAGGCCTTGGCATACCAGGTCGAGATTCTCTTGGTTGGCCTCGCAGTAGTCCGACAGCGCGGCCCGACTAGCAATAACCAGGTCCTCATTACCCGTGTCTGCAGACGTGACGAAGCCGGCTAGGAGCTCCGCCATCCAGGCTCCCGGGTCCGACGTTGCCAAGTCCCGAAGCAGGGGCTGGAGGTGGTCAACCGAATGGAGATGGAGAAGAGCCTGGAAGTACGGCATAGAGGAGAAGGTGAGTTCGCGGAACTGCGTGGAGTGACTGTGACGTAGTTAGTGAACACGCCTATGAACCGTTGAGTAATATTGTACAAACCTATCCTCGAGGACCAATGCAACTGCAAGCTGAGCTTCTGGCCGAACTCGATCAAGCTTCTCTGCTGAGAGACGAAGGACGCTGAAAAAAAGGGCTTGTACTGATGCCTCTGCCCATTCACCTTTAGCAGATACACCGCCCAAGTTGTTCCATAACGCCCTCACGGCCCGCAGAGCTTGGACTCGGACGTGGGATCCGACATCACCCCTTGCATTAGTAGTGTAGTCATTTAGGCTATCTGCGATCAAGCCCAAGAACTCCATCGGCTTGTTGTGGTGAATGCGGCTCTGCGTGAGACTCTGGAGTATGGCGACTCTAGTCTCGACATCACTGTCCCAGTGCCACCGTTCCAAAATGGCTTTACAAGCAACATCGCCGGACAGGTCAGCAAGAGGTTGAGCAATAGTCAAGGCATAAAAGTATCCGTTGCCGTGGGCAGTGGCACGACTTGTCGGTCGATTCTGGACCATCTGGGCCCATTCACCCAGAATGCTGTTCCGGTCGTCTGGTTGAGAGAAAATTAGGAGTATCAACGCTGCCTCTGCGGCCGGTTCGATAGTGTCCACTTCGTTTCGGTTGAGCCATGCCGGGATAATGGAACGCAGCGAGGAAAGAAATCGGGCCGCTTGATCATTTGTCTTGTCTGAGGAGTCAAGGGCAGACACTAGACTCAAGTAACCAGATTCATTCTCCAGGGAGAGAAGTTCATGGCCAGTGCCAACGGATTGTCCTGAAGATACGCCTAGGAGTGCAACTTGGAGAATCGGCAACAGCGAGACAACGAGTCGACTGGCCGCTTCAGCAAGGAGCTCCACTCGTCGATAAGCAGTTGCCTGCAGGTCGTCGAGAATGGCAGCTGCCGATTCGAGAACTTCGTGGATTAATGACATGTCGAAGGCGGACCCCTTGTTGATCAATGCGGGAAAACAATCCAGGGTTGAGGCAAGACACAGCAATAACCCATGTCGTTCTTCCACTTGACGAGCTTGAAGCGTCTTCAAGTGCGTTTCAATCAGCCGGAAGGAGGCCTTGAATTGGGTAAAAGGGTCTTCACAAGTGGCATCGGAGAGTTGAAGCGTCAGGACACCAAATGTTGTCCCGCTTACTCGTCTTGATGGTGCATCAAGATCGCCGATTCCCCTCCATCCTAGAATAGTGTCCATAACAGCCTCACCGTACTGGTTGGCCAATTTCGCTGCACCCACGGCTACTTCTTCAATGGCCCTGGATCGTCGGGCGACAGCATGGTAGTCAACAGCCTGGACAACCCAGATTCCCTGTTCAACTGTGTCTGGGTGTCGGCCGATGAGCTCTTGCAGAGCAGCGGAAGCGCCACGTCTAATGTTTCCGGCGGGATCCAACGAGGCAGTGATGACGAGTTCAGTGCCCAAAACTTGCAAGATGGAACTGGCGGCGGGATGTGCTTTAGCTGCAAATACAGATTTCATAGGGATTGCCAGGAGTTCCTCGGTTGCGTAACGACGAGCCAGTGCCCATATACCGAAGCAAGCTGCATCGCGCACATTCGATCCAATGCTACCACCAGACATGCTTCGCTGCTCAAATGACAAGCCAAGCAAGAGAGCGTGTACGATGTCTGATAGTTGCGCGGCTGGAGGGGATCGTCGATATAGCAAATGTGACAACGTCAGAGTCAAACCATGCCACTCAAGGTTGTTGACGGCGGACAGGTCTCTGACTGGCTTGGCTCCAGTTGTTTTGATCCAGAGGACATTCCGGTTGAGAGACTCAAGGACAGCCTCGACGACTTGAGAAGCCATATCGGGATCCAACTTCAAAGCAATGATGCTCAAAGCTTTGCTAGCTGCAAAGCGTACGGGTGTGTCATTGTCGGCGACGCTTTCCAGAAGATAACCGATGGCGGTTTCCGTAAGCTCTGTGCTTCTCATATCCTGCGGGGTCTGTCGCAAGAGAAGAACGACGACGGTTCGGATGACTTTGAGAACCATCTTTCTTGCCAAAGCAAATGATACGATAGGTTTAGAGAGTTCAGTCTCGGTCGTTGAAATGGCGTGGACAGCGTAGAAGATGGATGACAGATATGGGTTCATGTCGGAGGTATCCGACGAAGATCGTAGCACACCGGCTAGAAAGGAGAGGACTCCAAGATAAAAGTAAGTCGTTTGCGGAGGGGTGTCCTTCTGTGACCGGAGCGAGGCGAGAGACCAGTTCACAAGGCCTTCAAGAACTCCAAGCTGCTGCATATCTCGTCGAGTTGCCATCCTCACTAACAGGGCCTTAGCCGCGTCTCTTTCTTTACCAGGAGTGCTGAGGTACTTGATAGCAAGCGGTATCATTCTGACAGTGATGGCTGGGAGATTTTCTGGCCATTTCATGCCTGGGATTTCCGGGGTGTCAATATCTTGCAAGTCCACAGAGGAGATGGTGGAGAGATCGAAAGGTGCCAGGAGCAAATGAGAAAGCCAAAGAAGGACGACATATCGCTCTTCCCATGACCACCTTGTCAGAGACTCCTCGTCTTCTGAGGGCTGTTCTGATTCCTCGATAGCTAGGAGCAGAAGTTCAAGGTACTTGGTTTCGACATTGAGAAACCGCACAATGATCTTTTCTCCTCGGATCTTGCAAAAGGTGTACAGGATCTTGCAGATGGCGAACTCTACAGACACCAGCAGCTTGGAACGAGACGACAGCGTCTTCCCACGGTGTCGAGTTTGCAGATGCTTCAGAAAAGCGTCAGCCAATAGGGGAATCCACTTGGGCAGATACGGGTCGAGCAGTTGCGGGAGTTCCTGGAAAGGGTCCAGAAGCTTGGAAAGCGTTAGTAGCACACAAGAGTAGGTGAATAGACTAAAATACGTACGGTCGACGTCAACCGGAATATCTCCTTGGCTCGAACCCGTGAGCGAACCCGTGAACCTCCATGGCCGTCGGGTTTCCACAGGAAATCGTGGAGAGAGCGGTCAAAGTCGCCGAGGAGATCCCCAGAGATCTTCTGCAGTTTGATATCGAGGTCGGCCTCTGGAGCATCCATGGTAGCCGTAGGACCTGCGAGATGCAGTTCTGAGGGGTGCAGGGACGTGGACGGAGCTTAAGACGGCGGCCGTGCGGGTGTGATGTATGTCTTGAGAAACAGGCAACGCCTCAGATGCGACCCCAGGAGTAGTGGGTCAAATGGCCGAGGGTTGTAGGCAGCTAAATAACTGGCCCGCCGAAGTGAAGTCCGCGCATTCAGTCAGGTGAGTGATAAATGTCAGGTTATCGTAGGCTCCTTCTCAAAAACGTGGCTATTTAGTTTATGGGCTCATTGAGCTGTCGGTTCCTGAATGCATGGTGATTAGTCTTTATACAGTGTAGATAGTGCTAATATTTTCGCATTAGCACGGACTTTATAACCAAGAGCGCGGTTGCACTGATTGGCCCTAGCCCATGCACTGGAACATCACCCTCTGTCAGGTAGGTAGTGTGCCGAACTCCGCGCTCGGATCAACGTATAAGGATCTTACCCACGGTCCTCGTAACGACGACACCCGTCAGTTTATTCTCCTAGAACCTGAAACAGGGATCAGCTCTCATACCCCTGTCGAGATACCAGTCAAATTGTAGGGCGTGGCATGAGGTTGCATCGTCATGCCCAATTGTTTCTTCTACCGGTACGTACTTCACGACCCTGGCGAGATTGACGGATCAGGAGAAATGGCATAACAGACAGTTACGTTACTAAATATTTTGTGCCTCAGGTAGGAGGTACCTAGGAATATATCCTCTAAAAGGGTATCAAACATTATTGAGATCTGCAGAGGCCTCCCAATGCAGATCTGACCCAAGCCATGATCCGTTCCAAGCAACCGCTTGGCCTCCCGACAAATGAACTCCAGAATTCGCCATGCCCCTGATGCGAAAATGTGCATCGTCTACATTTTCCCCCATTCCGTTCTAATATTAGCAATCGTAAATTAATCGTCGGCCACGGCAATGGCGGCCACGATGGCATCCAATGCGCTGCTATGCGAAGGGCCGGTGGCGTCCACATAGGGACCGGTCCATGCAACACCGAGGCGGTCGTTCTTATTGCGGTCGTTCTTCCAGATAGAATCAGCGTTCTTGATTATGAACGACTTGAATAAGTCCTGGGGTGCGACCTCGTGGAGGTAGCGGAGATTTCGGATGAAGACGCCCTTGAATTGCTGTCCGTCGGTGCCACAGTGAGTATCGCTGAGCTCGCAGTCGTCAGTCTCGACTAGAATGCCATCATCGTTGGCGAGCGCCTTGATAGCTGCCTTGGCAATCTTCGTCGCACTGACAAGGTAGAAGTTATCTCCAGTAGCAAGGTGGAGCTCGACAAGGCCGCCGAGGATGACGCCCTGGTTGTAGCTCCAAGTCTGCAGGCCATTATTCTTGCATTTGGAGTCAAGCCCATCGTTGACGAGGTCGTCATCATTAATTATGCCACTCTGGCTGAACCAATCCCAATGCTTCTTGGCAATATCCAGGTAGGTAGAGCTCTTCTCGGAAACTCGTCGTGCCAAAGAAGCCGCGACGGTGAGGTACAGCTCGTTGGTGATGGCATTAACGTATTCCCTGTCCTTGCTCCAGTATACGCCGACGCTGCAGTCAGAGCCACTTGCGGTCCGCATATCTTGGAAGATGGAGACGGCCATGTCGAGGTACTCCTGGTCACCAGCAGCATCATAAGAGCGAATCCAAGCAAGGGCCCACCAGCCCTCGTCGTCGTAGTAGTCGTTTTCGAAGTCATCGAACCCACGCTTTCCGATGAAGTCACGCTTGGCCATGCAGCCGGAGTCCAACTCGATGCAGTATGTAGATGATACCAAGCCCTGATTCATGGTCTTGATGGTTTGAACTTGTGTCTTTTGGGCGTTGTTGAAAGTGGTGCGCATGAAGCCACCAATGTTGAGCTCGTTGGCTTCGTCGAGGCGGAGGGTGGTGAAGTCGGCCAACGTGGTCAGGGCATTGGCGCTGTTCCACCATGCGTTGTCCCAGATGCCGGTGGCAGCATTGTACCAGTCCGCGTTGAGTCGGTCGATGCCTGCATAAGCTCTATCGACGTATGTTTGGGCGTCGGTAGCCCGAGGCTGAACAGAAGAGGCGAGACTGGCACGGGCAACAAACCCTCCCCAAGAGAAGTCGTGCAACATGATGTTCAGTTGAGAGCGGTCAAAGGGGCAGGTTTTTGTCGAAAGGGAGAGAGAAACGAGGGTGAAGACTTATATACTCTGCCGTGAGTGACTGATTCAGTGTCGTCGGGGGTGAGAGGCTATCAGGAGGGTGCGGGCAGGAGACTATATACAAGCACAACAACCTCATGGCCACAGAGGAGGGCCAGCCAGTTCTGCGGCGTGGACCATGGTCGGACGTTTCCATACTTAGACCGGCGCCAGGTTCATCGCCCGGCATTGAGCTGATCCCCCCGACGTGGCCGCCAGAGCCGTGGATACACTTGGAGAGATAGCGAAGGGACGGTCAACCAAGGGAACCGGGGGGTCCATGACGGCGGTGGACCTGAGGCTCAGGGCTAAGAGCGCAGTGATTGGCGCGCAGGGCCGATGGGCAGGAGATGCGACGCGCCGAGCGCACAAGAGGCTGCGGGCGGATGCCGTGCTGGACAACGACATGTTGATTGTCGAGCTGTGATGGGGCAGCAGTGGTTTCAGGATGAGATTGAGTTGTAATGCTAACAACCCGGCAGGATACCAACCAGAGAGTAGAGACAGCCCAGGCCGCTAGTGGCCGCGAGTGGCTCGAGGGTCCAGGTGTCCCTGGCGCTACAGTGGATGCATGCACTATTTTTTGCCTCTTTGGTGCCGGGGGGCCCTGTGGCTTGCCGGTGGCTCTCTTGTGGCTCCCCTTGTGGCTCCTGGACCGCAGTGAGGACTCCCACTGCCGCCCCTCCTCCCCCTCAGCGCCCCTCCACAGAGCCTCTGGCTTGGTCTCATCGGCGCTAGCTGAAGTGCCGTGGCAAGCTGTGCCACGTGCAGCAGGTCCTGAGGACGGTCCCTGAACCTGATACGGCCTGCTGCCGTCCAAAGGCTTCCAAAGGGAGCATCTCAGAACCTACTTCCTACCTAGACCTTACTTACCTGTATCCGTCCCGTGCTGCCGTTTGTTTCGCCAGGTTGACCCTCGTCAATCACTCAGGGACGCCAACCGCCCACAACCCTGTGAGCTTCTACCGCCAAGCAAGCTAACACACACAAAAAAACATGTGGGCGGCTGTCTGTCGTGCATCTGTTGGTGCTGCGTTGTCGCTGTGCCTGCGTCTGCGGTGTGCTACCCCGGCCATGATCGCATGCACACCGAGATTTCGTCGTCATGCGAATTCGCCCAACCCCCATCCCACGGCATCGCCTTCATGATGCGCTGGCCCTCCGCGTTGGCCACGAACCAGGGTCCCGTCTGCCAGTTTGCCCGTTTGCCCGTTTGCCCGTTTCAACCCGTCCATGGCCAACTTGTCCATCCGCCCAACCTGGGGATGCCTCTGAATCATCCCATGGTTATCTGGCCGTCTCCAATAAAACCGAGCCCCGAGACTTACGACTCGTTGGACAAGCCCGGGATGCGCTCCCAAGTGTGGGCTCCACAAGTGCTCTTGCGCAGGACCAACTCCTGCTCCGGTTCAATCTGTGCACCGACCAGACGCCTCCCGGCTTTGGTGTGCGCCCATCTTTATCCTCTGCCACCGTCTCTGCCGTCTACTCCTCGGCGCGTGGGCCAAGCATCCGCGTCTGAGTCTGTCGCTGATCGATCACGACCGTAGCCTCCGACATCAATCCTTTCACCAAATAATAGGGGCCCGCGAAACACAGCATCGCGTGTACCCTGGCCTAGGGAAACGTCCGTCAATGATCCGACTGCCCAAGCGTCCCCGCGAGGGACCCGTTATCGTGGAGTAGTCCGGCGTTTCTATATTCGGTCCACCAGCGGGCCAGGGTCCGTGATCCCGGCCAGAGGAATCCTTCAACAACTTGCCTGCCCTACGTAGCATATGTGTGTGCGTTTGGTATCACGGAGCTCTCTGCAGTCTGCACGGCATGCTCTTGTCCTCCCAGCTACGGTCCATGTGGACGGATCTTCACTATCGGTGGCTTAGCGATGATCCTTTCGCCAACACATCCGTCTCTGTGAATGCTGGCAGTTTTCGTTGGGAGCGTCACTGCATCCTTGAAGTGCAAAGAGCGTTGGGAAAGCTGATTTTGCTCCTGTTTTCAGCACTACAGACCGCGATGGCTAACCAAGTATCAGATAGATGGTTAGGGCTTGCAAACTCGCTAAACTTGGAATCTACTCAAGACACGCGCATGTCCCTCCGCATCCATCATCCCTGCGGAGCGGCACATCACCTGTTGGTTATTCTCCGATTCTGCGTATGGATCAATGCTTACACGCGAGAATTCTTCCTAACTGAGCCTGAGGGTAGTATCCCGTCCTCCGCAATACGAGGCGTCGATGCTTGTTATCCCTTTCCACAACCAACCAACCAACCAAGGTGCCAGCCAGCTCACCTCCCGGAAAGCCCCGTTTTGAGGAAACGAGGCATATGTTCCAAGAGCTTCCGGTTCCTCGATATCTGTCGCCCCGGTGAGTGATGTTACCGCCTTATTCATTCAGTTCTTAGGCGCGCAAGGCAACCCAAGAGTGTTGCTCGAAGTCATGGCGCTTATTCAAACGCGCCAAACACCCCAAACTCGCTCGCTTACCTTGAACAACACCACCATTGGCCCTTAAACCACGAGAGCCCATGAACTAATTTGGGCAGGTCGAAATTACCCTCGGTGGCTCAGATGGCCTAACAGGTAGGCCGACTTTACCATATTGAGACACTCATTGACGCTCTTGTGAGTGATACAACAACCCATGTGCCAAGGATACCCAGAGTTGACCAAACCTTGGCAGTGGAGACAATGGACTTTATGCCAACGCATTCAGAAACATTGGGCCACACATACAACCAACTCAGTCACATGGTCCAGCCTGTGTCAACACTGCATACTCCGAAACACACACAACCTTAGCCGCAGTCATTCACACCCTCGGAAAAGCCTCCTACGTATGTCGCGCAGAATGTCTTGGCCCAGCACGCACAAGCACAACATAGGGTGACTATGTCGCCATTTAGGCTGTGCTGGGGATGACGACAAGTCCAAGCCCACGCGGTACCGGCACCAAACTCGAAATATTGGATTGAACCAAAAATGAACCTCGTTTGTTATCATATGGTACCTTATTTACCAACAAATCTAACCTTTTACACAAGAAATTCGGGTTATGAGACAATGTACATGGGAAACCTCCCGCCTGTGCAAAGAAAGGGTATATCGATCAAGACTCCCGACGCCCATCCTAGCTACCAGTCGTAGCTCACATCTATCGCAACCCCACCATCATGACTTCGCGTCTTTAGTAGTATAGGCTTGGCGGTGGGGGCGTTTCATGGCTGCCCGTCGAGCCGGCAATACTGGCCGGTCGTCCTCCTGATCGGTTTGATTTTCGGGTCCCGAACCTGGATAGGACGGATCCTGACTTGTTCTTATCGCTGCTCAAGATACTTACTCGGTCGGAGTTTGTTCCGCCCGCCTCCCGCACTGTATTGGGATCGACAAAGGCCTGGGGGAAGATGCCCCATTTGCCCTTCGAATTAGTACCGGACCAACACCAGTGATCTTGGTACGCCCCTAAGAAAGAGTCAGCACGGTTCCCTGGATCTCATCAGCCGATTCGGCATCCGGGTTTTCACTCACAATTGACGTTGCTGAGGGTCTCATCCTTGTCAAATTTGAGCCAGTCGGTGCCCTTCCTGTCCTTGACGCTGAACTTCCACTTCGTTGTCACCTGGAGTTGACTGGTTCCGGCCAGCTGGACTTCGCTGTCTGGCGGCGGATCCAACTTCAGAATCTCAGTCGGCAAGGACGCAAAGTTGCCGTCGTGCCAGCCAAAGGCCCACTCGCCTACATACTTATCCGGCCATGTGATGCCTATCACATTGGCCCCTTGAGCCATCTCCAACGCGGGGGTCTTGTCTAGAAGCAAACGCTGGCCGTACATTCGCCGTGCGACTTCCCTGGCTGTTCCCGTGGGCATAAGCACGAGCTCGTCACCTTTTTCAATGACGGGGTGTGCCTCCGCTGGCGTCTTGAAGTGAAGGTCATAGTCATTATGGATGTGGTCTGGAACCGTTTCCTGGTCCACGACAATGAGTCCGGGAATATCTGGTAACGGTCGGGGGTGGCGAGCCAGATGAGCGAAGAGCGCCTTTTGACTGGTGAAAATGGTTGCGTCGCTGGCGTGTAGGGTTCGCCCCATGTGAACGCAAAAGAGACAACCGTACAGGACATCGTCAGAGCGTCGTGTTGAAATATGACACTTCTGAAGGAACCGGAGACGGAAGCCGATTCCATGCTTGACAAAGTTACCACGGTCTGGCTACAGTCAGCAACAACTTCCTCAATTAGCCTATGCAAGGAAGCACATACCGGCTTTGTGGAGATCTAGCTCAATCTCATGGAAGTCAAGCTCAAAGAGGCACTTCACGCATCTTCCAATCGTCGCAGTCGTGGCAAAACCCTACAAAGGTTAGTTGATCCTCATGGAGATGTCGAGGAGATGTATTGGGTGACTGACCGCCTTTTTAGTTTTCTTAATTCCAATACCTCCTCTCATGACTTCCTGGGCACCGTCACAGAATCCCTTGTGGAAATAGAAGGAACTTAGGGAGGTAATCCTGCAGTCTATAGCGTGGGGGTTTGGAGGGTGGACTGGCTCAATCGGCTCGCTATCCACCGGGATAGGGCCGTAGTCGGCCTCCGAGATCATCGGGGGCCGCTCCGTCTCATATCTGTTTTCGTGGTCGTGTTGGCGACTGTCTTGATGGCCGTTCTGTTGGCTGAGTTGGTGGCCATTTTGGTAGCTGTTATGATGGTCGTTATGTTGCCCGTTTTGATGTCCATTCATCTGGGTGGGAGGTGGTGGGAGCGGGATCTGGGGCGGTGGTGTCGGTGTCTTTGCCGATCCACGAGACGAATGTCTCACTGGTGGCACTGGCAAGGCCTTCACGTATATCGGGCTCAACGGCGAAGTGCCGAGGGTGGGACTGTTCTGAAGACCCGATATGGTGGATACACGGTTGTCCGCAGTCATAGGAGTGGTGGATCCGTCGGTGCGACGCTGGTCAAAGACGGAACTGAGTTCTGAATCCAGCGACTCCGGGCGGGATGACGGAGCCCGGGTGTCATACGCAGGCGGGAGTCTAGAACCCGGTTGCGAAAACCTGCCTTGGGATCCTCGATCAGCCACAACTTCCTCAGGAATAGACGAGGACATTATGGAGGTGGCATTTGAGTATCTACCCCGCGGGGATTGGCCGGGGAAGACGTTGTAGGACCTCTCGTAGCTGACAGGTTCAAGCCCAGTGGGGCTGAGCCTCGATTCGTTGCTGATTTGAGATGTCCGGTCGGGCACTGCCATGTTCAACGGGCGTGGCCGAGCTGGGGAAACTCCCTTGGGTCCTGTATCTGGGCTCGTGGGCGGCGAAATGGGTTCGATGGGCGACTCGACAGGCGCGACTGGAGCCCTTCGCTCAAAGGCGAAGTCGTCCTGCATACGACGCTCCGGGGCTGGTGGCGGGGTCTTGACATCCCACGGATTAGCAGACGGCGGCCGAGGAGGCGGCTCGATTGGTGTAAGTTGCTGTTGGCGCGGTGGCTCGGGGAAATCCCCGTATAGACCCTCATCAGGGCCAGATTTGGAGTGCATCAGCCGTCTCAGCTGGTCGGTCGCCGCCTCGACGGTGGGGGGGTCGTTGCCTGGCCGTGGGGAGGCGGCGATGGGGATGGGCTGAGGAGAGATAGGTGGCATCGGCGGCGCGTTCATGTTGGCGGAGGTATATGGAAACAGCGAGGGCACCGGCGGAGGCGATGGGGACATGGGAGGGGATCTGGGCGCGGACATGCGTGTCATGATGGATCGGGCATCGTGGTCGGCAGGCACCTCGAGTTTCATGCGCATGAGGATGTCGTATATTCTCGGGGCAGCCTTGCGCGACATGGCTTGCAGCTCGGCGAACTTTTCGGGCTCGAAGTCGTCGAGCTCGATGAAGTCGTCAAATTCCCAGAGGAGATCGGTCAATTCGGTGCGAAAGCCGCCGATATCGTCTTGGGTCGAAGTCAGCAATGTGTCCCGTGGGTGGGCGGGCCGGCCTGACGCGCGGCGGGGTAGGTGGGCAACATACCGTTCTCCTTGAGGGCATCGACGAAGTTGGAGCCGTACTCGTCGAGGTGCTTGCGACATAGCGGCTCAATCCTCTTCAGGGCGCGCTCGCCTTCCTTGACAAGAGCCTGGGCGGCCTTGAGCATGGGCTTGTCATCACCGGCGTTTTCGACGGCGGTGCGACCCTTCTCGACCATGTCCCGGAAGGGCGTGACGACGAGGTCGTTGACGTCGTCCATGGTGGGCGGGCTCTCAACTGAACAGCAGCACCGAGGGCAGACTCAACGTGGTGCGGGTTGGTTGTGACGACGTCTCACGGTTGGCGGAAGGGACCTTGAGGGAACGGAAGAGAGTGGGCGTGTAAGTCAATATGAGGGCCGCAGCAACGAGGGACGAGCAGGCGCAGCAGCAGCAACGCAGCAACAACAGCAGGGGGAATTGGGGGGGTGCATCACACGACCGAAAGGGGACCGAACGACGGACGGCAAGGCGACGGATGAACGGCCGGTGGAGCCTTGGGCTTTTGAGATTGAAATAGCTCGATGGGTAGCTTTAGTTTCGAATGCGAGAAAGAAGGAGGAAAAGAAGGGGACTTCGAGAACCGGACAGGTAAGTACCAGAGGACACCAAAAGGACCCCAAGTGGCAGCTAAGGACAACCAGCGGACACCAAGTCGTGAGGGAGGGACGACGCCGCATGCGACCAAGCCAAACAGAGCCATCGCATACCCTTGACAAGACGACTCATGGATGGACTGGCTGGGCTAGAAGGGCTGGATGGATGGCGACCCTTGGGCGACCCATAGGGCAACCTGGGATCATCATCGCTCGATGCAGGCAGAGCCAAGCCAAGCCAGAGACAGCCCTGGAGACAGCCCTGGCGGAGGGCTAACAGCTACCTGCCTAGGTATGCAGGCAACGCAGACAAGTGTAGGTGCGTTAACAAGGCGTCGAACCGGAGAGCAGGAGGGCAACAAAGTACTGTACATGACGGCCCCAGGTACATGCGCCGTACTCCGTACAGCCATCTCAAGGATCCAGATACCTACCTACTCCGTAGGTACCAAAAGAACCCGGGATGAGGGCAGCGCGGGGTTTCGCACGTCGCGGAGCGCAGGGTGCGCCGGTGCATGTGCCGCAGCGCCCACAGCCATTGGCCGCCGAGGCTAGTCGTTCAACGGCGCAGTTGGCGCGGTGGGCTTCGCTCTGGTGGACGAGAATGAACTCCCCTGTGAATTGATCCTAGCTAGACTCCTAGACTCCCAGACTCCTAAATAGGCTGGTCTTCTAGCCCGGGACGATGGACACTAGACACTACGGAGCAGAACAGAGCTAGGCGGGATAGAGGCGACCACGAAGCCCTGAGGCTCCACTTCCCGCGCCCACGTTCAGCCCTCAGCGCCCTGGGATTGGGGGAACTCCCTCCACTGAGATACCCAAGATACGGACGCCTACCTACCTACGCTACGCGACTCGATCTCCACCCATCACCCAAGTTGCGACTCTCCGGCGCCTCCCCCCCGTGTCAAGCCTAATGAGATGGCCTCATCGCGGGCAAATCTTGGCGATGGCGGCATGGGGGAGACAAGCCCCTGGGTGGGTTTCCAGGGGCCCGGTTTCGAGCTATTGTCCTTCCTCCCCCTCGCTCGGTCACGCATCTGGTCGACAGTCTCGAGATTCCGAGATTCCATGCCGTGATGCTGACCGAGCGCCGTTTCTGGGAGTCGCGAGGACGCCACCAACGGGCCCGGCGGTTGCTATAGCCCGGGCTACTTGTCTTATTCCACATTGGAGATTCAACTCGGGAGCTTCGTTTCTACCGTCAACAAGTCTTTCGCCTCTTGCGACGGCGCCGACACCCCGCCGACGTTGCAACACCCCCTCCGGGTGGCGTCTTGTTTCCCATCTTGCCATGGATACTTTTTAAAATGACCATGGTGTGAGCGAGGCCGAGAAACCGAGCAACCAAAGCCGCATTCGAAATTGGATACTTGTGTGGCCGCTATTCTAGGGGGTTCTCTCTCTTAGACGCGACGACGTCCTTGATTGGGATGGAGAGACGGCGAGGCAACGCTGCGTAGCTTTGTCTCCAGGCAACAGACAGAAATTACCTGTAACAAAACTTGAAAAGCGAATCGCACCAGGCCATGGTTGATATTCTACACGCCCTGAGAACGGATTGATAAACCGTGATCGACCCGCAGAGTCTAGGATGTCGATCCTCAGATTGGCGTCACTGTCTTTGTTTTTTATTTATTCTCCGTCGAGTCCGTCCAGAGCAGATCACTTCTCTGATCAGGTAGTAAAAACGTGGCCGGCCCCCGTCGTCGACGACATGGCCAGCCGGGTCGCGCGAGCAGCGGGAGATTAAAGAGATGAAGGCATCGTATCGCTGCAGTAATCTGTCAGCGGGATCCATCCCGAGGGTGGGGCGGCAGCCCGTGTGTTGCGGCTAGGCTTGGGGCCTGGGGCTTGGGGCTTTGAACTGGGTTGAATGCCGGGGAATGAAACGAACTCTTGGGGACTTTTCTTTTGTACAGGGTGCTGTTCTTCGCGATGGAGGAGTGGATTTGCCTCGAAGGGGGAGGCACATGCAACGAATATGCAACAAGCCCACATGCAACTTGAGGTAACTTATCCAACTCCATCGCCGAGCCTTCTCCCGCCCGAGCCTTGTGTTGTCCAGCCACTCTGGCTTGTCCCGGCTCTCTGCAGCACACCCTACTCGAGCTGAACGTCAGAGTCTGCCTAAATACCACTGCAAGCCGTTTGGCAGCCCATGTTTATCAGGAAACAGGTCGCCCGTTATCATGGTTGCCTGGTAGGATGAAGGAGATCGGCTGTGTTCGACAACGAACGCAAGCACCTACACTTATCATGCTCGCAGCACATCCCGCAGAGTGGCCTCAGCATCTAATAGTCTCTCCCACTTTACGGACCATTGAAGCCATGACCACCGTCTGGCATCATCCATGATCCATCCATCCACCTCGAGCTGCATTCGTCCCAAGTTGATTCATCAATAACTTAACTTACCCTTTGGAACGCTTGACTTTAACACCGCTTGCAACTCGCCACACCGAAGATTGGATGGCCCACGGCAGATCCCCAGGGGAGCCTGCAACCGATGCATCACATTCGCATCCTCCGCCGATCCCAGACAAATAAACACCAGTAACCCAGCCTGCCTCTCACGAGACCTTGTCGGTCCTCCTCACAGACCCATGTACTCTGTACACGACAGGCAGGATCTAGAATCCCACCACCGCACTACGGACTGTCACTCTCCAAATTCCGCGCCTCATCAGCCCCTAGATGCGCAACCCCCGGCACTAAACAAGCGTCCCCGGGTCACGCCACGCCCAACACAGCAGCTGCAGACAATGCTCATCGAACTAAGTTATCAGCTTCCCCCGATCTGGGCCTCACTGGTGCCTTGCCAATCTGCCCAGGACACGTACTCGTGGCTGCTGTACGTGTATGTAGACGAATGTCTACTACGCAGTGGAATCTCAACACCATCCATCCTGTGCGTGGCGTCGCTGTGGCACCTCTAGTACGGAGAGAGCCCCTCCCACGGCGACCGGGCGTTGTGGGCCGAGGCCAAGCCCAAGCCCAGCTTGCTGCGAAGGGGGCATCGTGAGGCAGTCTTGGTCGCACTGCCGCAGTTGTCGGCCTTGAGGGGGGGCGTTCCAGAGGGGGCGTTCTAGAAGCCTTGCTTCCATGGCGCTTGCTGGGCTGTCGGTCCGCGATGGCTTCTCACGCCTATTTGCCTCCTCTACTAGTTCTTATCTCGCGACCGAGTCGCATCTTAGCTGACTTGGGATTGGCTTCCGTCCGGGGAGGGAGGTCCGGAGAGAGCATACCAGGTATCCCATGAGAGATTGACTGACTGACTTACGACAACCCACTTTGAGACATTCAATCTGTCACTGCAACCCAGAACTAACGAATACAGCAACCATCATCAACTTCAAAGTTCGCATCATCATCTCATAACCTATGCCTCTGCGGGAGGCGCAATCTCCCCCGGCATCACCGATCATCTTAGAGCCTCCCATAGATATCCGGACCCCGCTCATCATGTCTCCTCCATCCTATCCCATCCTAACATCCTATTTACGCCTTTTCACTTGGGGCAGGTGCCTTCTTCGTCTCAGCAGCCTATCAAGCCACCGCGGTTAGCCACATTTGCCCCCACACGTTGAGCAAGGTTCATCAAACTTACCTGCTGTTCAATCATCCTTCGTCCGACGTCAATCGTCTCCTGTAGGCCCCGCTGCCGTTGCCAGAACCTGTGCCCACATTAGCTTTGTGAATATGCAGCTCAAGGGGGTCAATCCTACTTTTGTTCGGGGGTTCCATGTCCACGGATCGACATATGTCGAGCTTCCTCCTCCAGAGCTTCTCGGGTGATCTTTTCGGTAGTGGCAATTCCGGGGGTTGCCACCACATCTTGGCCCAGGAGCTCTCCCAGGAGTTTCTTCTTCGTCGAGTACCGCTCCTTGCGCTCTTTCTGGAGTCCTGGGCTATCTAGCTTGCTGAGAACAAATCGCGCCGCCATCTGTGCTGCCAAGTAGAAGTGCTCCGCCAAGAGGATGCTGAGTAGAAGGCCCCATCCCGTGATCTGTGATGTCACTCCATTGGTTTCATCCTGAGAACGGCTGCACAGGTAGACAATCGCTGCACTGGTGATACTGCCCAGCCAAGAGAGGAAACCCATAGCAGTAAGCCAAGGTCCGATAGAGTCGGTTCGCCAGGGAATCGGCCGACGGCTGCTGATGGCAATCTTGAGTGCATCAGATCGCAACTCAACCCAGTTGTTGACGAGGAAGCAGCAGGCTGCAAGTGGCCAGGCAACCGAAAATAGAGAAAGGTAGCCTTTGAAGTGTTAATAGATAACCCTCCACAACATTATTTCCATATGTAGCTTACCAAACTGCATCACCATCTCACGGTAGTCGCCCGATACGTCATAGGCCTCCAACTCGCACTCCTTACGGACTCGCTCGAGAAATTCCGCCTCCTCCTTGTGGTCGTAGGTTTGCTTCCCCTTGGTCTTGAACTCCTTGGCCTTGGACATGGCCTGTTGCTTAACATACGGCACAATCACCTCGGTCGCAAAGTTAACAATCTGGGCTGTGACGGTGAAGTAGAACATCTGATTGGTGATCCGGGCTGGGTTGATCTGGAACTCCCGGGTAGGCAGAGGTTTCTCGCTGAAGGTGATGGTCTGCGCTGTCCTCCTCCAAAACTCGAGGAAGGGGACAAGGATATGTCCAAAGGGAATGTAGACAAACGCAGTGAATAGTGGTGCCATGTAAGATGTCATGAAGTTGAGGACGAACTGCTTCTGGATAAGAGCGGCGTCATGGGCTAGAAAGAGTCAGCTCAGTCAGCTCAACTGGAGCATGAGGATTGTATACCATCAACGGTGGCATAATTCTCCATGGCGGTCAGCTTCTCGGCGGCTTTCATGAGAAGGGTCGAAATGGTAGGTGTTCCAATGACCAGAAAAATTGTTGGCAAAAATCCCTGGCTCGGTTAGTTGATGCATCTCTAATATGGCTTGGGGGTTGAGCTCGCTCACCAAGTACTGCTTCCCCGGACCATTGTAGACTTCGTTGATGAAAACTTCCAGCGAGTTACACGTCACAATGAGACTGCCCAGTGCAATGACGCAAGCTACCGTAAAGGGAATCTGAAGCAATTGAGTCTTCACGCGCTTGAGAGGTGGGTAAACCTTGACGACCTCGCCAGTTACGGCATCCTCCGCCTCATGTTCCCACTCGAACTCGGGACGGGATTGCTGGATATTGGAGACTCCGCGCACGCCCCACTGAACTGCAAGATCGACCTCCTTCTTCTTCCAGTACTCGAAAAAGACGACGGACCAGAGCCCACAGAGTAGAGCATATAGCGTGGAGAATCGACCTAGAAGTAGCCAAGCCCCTAGCCCGAGAGAAGAAGGGACGACGAGGAAGCGGAAGTAGGAGCCAAGGAAGGCAAAGTAGAAGGCAACGTTCTCACCAAACTTGTCGCGGATACTGTCGAGGTCCTCCTGGTCCAGCAAGTACTTGCTGCTCCACTTCTTGATCCAGGCCTTGTTGAAGGCGTGGTTATGCAAGGGGAAGATGGCGTTGATATGCTTCCACTTAGCATTGGAAGGCGAGATTCCGGCGCCGCCCTCGTTCTTGGGCTTGATCATCAGGAGATATATCAGGCGCAGACGTTCAGCCTCGGTGACGGGTTCGCTCTGCAAGGCCAGGGCGACATTTTTATCAGGGGCGGATGCGCGGACGCCGTGAAGCCAGTCTTGAAGACGAGCACGGTAGACTTGCTGGGCGAGGAGGTCGGCGGAAGCGATCTTGACCAAAACGAGGAGAGAGTCTTGGTCGCCATGGCGGACTTCTATGGCGAGGCCAACGGCAGTGAGGGCCTCGACAAGCTGGATGAACCCGGCTTCGGCAGCGGCGCGTTCTGGTGAAGGAGTGGATGGTTGATCAGTCGAGAATTCAAGCTGGGAAAGGCGATGGAACTGGTGATTTACCTGCGGGGGGGACTTTGTAGTGGATGACAAAGTCGACACTGGGAAGCCGTGGCTCGTTAGTCTTTCACATTCCACGTATATTTGTTACAGGTTCAGAAACGGGCGGGCAAGGCACGAACCCAAAGTTGCCCTCTTGGGGCACGTCGTCCCGGGGACTGGACATGGCTGGCGTGAGGTTGGTTCACGAGGGAGGACGGGAGAGGAGAGGTTGGACACGGCGAGGGAGGGATTCAGAGGGAGAGGGAGAGAGAGAGAGATTGGGATGAAAGAATCGTGTGTCTAAGGGAAGTTCCTGGTGGTGGTGCTCCCAGAAAGAAGGAAGGAAAAACAAGAATCAGCACACGACACAGCACCACGACGCCAGAATGATGACGACTGTGATAATTGCTTGGCAGCCAAGTTGGAGAAACAAGCTCTGGCGAGTGGAGAGGAAGAGGATTTGGGGGACCGGACCGGACGCGGGAGGCGACGTCACCCGCCGATCTTTAGGGCATGGGTCTGGCGTGCCCCGCAGCAAGCTCAGCTGTACTACGTAGTAGTCTCTCAGTTCTCCCTTGCAGCTCTCCCAATAATAGGCCTTGACCCCACTGTAGCTTCAGCTGTGCCGGGGTTGATGGGTTGATGGTCTGGTCTACTGGTCAGCTCCCTCACGATAGATCACCTCGAGGTTCTGGCATTTTTTCGAACATACAAAGTAGTTTTCAAATCTCAAAGGCGCCGATGCATCATTCTCCTTTATTAGTCCCCGATTCCAGTCAGTACTGTCCCGTTCTTTATAGTGCAGCTAATACACCCACGTTTGTTGGACTGGCTCCGAATATATCCAGGCAAGACCTGCAGGATCGCAATGACGCGACTATTTATTGGGCCTCAGTGTAAAATAATGCACAGCTATCACTCTCTGGCCGCTTGCTTACTAGGTACGAAGGGATTCTCCATGTATTGACCCTACCGATATCCCTAATCACGAGTATGCCAGACCTGGCTACTGTTAAGTCCCAGGTGCCCTCAATCCCACTACACTACAGGAGCTTGGAGCGGGGGGTGCTCCCTAAAAAGCGTGCGTGCCTTCATCCGTTGGCTACCAGTCAAAGCTCCCTAATTAGCCCAGCTCCAGCTTAGCCGACGACTGATTCGTCCGCCATCAACGTCACTCACTCACTTTACTTCAACACCATCGTCATCATCATCATCACCATCATTACCATCATTACCATCATTACCACCATCACCCAACAGCCTCAATCAATTGAATCAGCCACACGAGTACAGCATCTACAATCGCTTAATTATTCCAAGACACCACGCCACCGGTTTCTCCACCGCCCCCAGCCATGGGTCTCCTCACCTGGCTTGGCCTACGACGCCGCAACAACTGGGAGCGCATCACCCTCCTTGATCACCTCCTGGAATCGCCGCTCACCTTCCTCGCCATCCAATTCTACCACCTCGTGCTCTTCCTGCGCGGCCGTCCCTTCCGTCCGCCCCGCAACAAGCCCGCCATCCGCGTCGTCTGCATCTCCGACACGCACGACCAGACAGTCTCCGTCCCCAACGGCGACATCCTCATCCACGCCGGCGACCTCTCTAACGCCGGCACCGTCGCCGACCTCGATGCCCAGCTGGACTGGCTCCGCTCACAGCCACACCCCGTGAAAGTCGTCGTCGCCGGGAACCACGACAGCTGGTTCGACCCTGCCAGCCGCCCTGCCGATGACGTCCGCACTGGCGCCGCCCCGAACCTGACGGGCATCAACTACCTGGAGAGCAGCATGACCGTGCAGGAGATCAAGGGTCGCAAGGTCCACATTTTCGGTGTCCCAGATATTCCAAAGATTGGGAAAAGCGACTTTGCGTAAGTCACACAAGACACCAACATTGGTCGACATCACCTGACATGAGCTCCCTATATTCAGCTTCCAATACACTGATGCCACGCAGCCATGGCTGAGCAAAATCCCCCTCGAGACAGATATTCTCATCACCCATTGTCCTCCGGTGAGGCCCCCCCCAGCTTCTCTGGCTCTCTTCCGGTGGCGTCCTACTGACTCGCTCCCGCTCACTAGCTATACCACCGTGATCTTGGCCTCGGCTGCCGTCACCTCCTGCGTGAGATCTGGCGCGTCAAGCCCCAGCTTCACATATTCGGCCATGTCCACTGGGCATATGGTAAGGAGTCCGCCTTTTTCGATGAGTTTCAAGAGGTGTATGAGCGTCTGCTCTCCCGACCCCGGCGCGGTCTCATCCGGGACTTTGTTCCTAATGAGACTTGGATCGACATCGTCTCCCTCGTCTACCATGGCGTTCACAGCGTCCTATGGAAGTGGCTCATGTCCGGACCTGGAAGCAACCAGGGCAGCGTGATGGTTAATGCAGCCCAAATGTATGGGAACACGGGTAAAGTGAAAAGCAGAGCTATCGTAGTCGAAATATAGACGTGATTATCACGTCAAGAACAAACATGGCCACATAAAAAGCAAGGCGTTCAGGCATTCGGCTAACTTAAACAATTCCAACACTCGCTATCCTGTAAAGATGGTATCCTGTCATCTAATAAATCCATCGCTGATGCTCATCCAAGGGTATCCAAACCTGTGCCAAATATCAATGTATCTATGCAGTCGTTCAATCTTCATCACACACAGGCTCCATCATTGCTTCTCGCATACAAGGTACAAGAGAAAGTGCCCACTTCTCCTTTCCCATCTTAAGCCAGTATGGCAAGCACCGCAACCACAACCGATGTCAGAGCGATGCTAGTCTTAGGCTCATTCCATCGACTCCCTGAAGTCGCCACCAGCGGGATGTCGTTAGCAGGCGTGGAAGCAGGCGTCCACTGGGAGGCGGTCTGGTTTGGGATCTTCTCCTGAAGAACACTCGGGAACGGCGCCGTGGGAGATCCAACCACGAAATGCTTCGCTGATGCTGCATTCTGCGTCACTGGTACTGTGACGGTTACCTCGTTCTGACCCTCAGGACCACATGCTTGGCATTGGACCACCTTGGTCTCCATCGGCACCGAGGGCTGCGAGTTACACCCACAGTCCGGCAACGTAGCGACGAACTGTTGCTCCATAAGCGAGGCCAGGTTTGTCGGGCACGGGATCGTGTAAGTGATGGTGGTCGTGATATCGACGAACTGCGTCCTGGTGGCGCCGGCGACGCTGACGACGGAGACAGTGACCGGAGGCCGCATCGGCGGCGGGACATCGGGCTCTGCGGCGCTGACATCGCCGTACACGGTGAGAAGATAGTTGCTCGGAGCGTTGCGGCGGTTGAACCAGCGGCGGGTCGTGCTGTTGCTTCCGCCTTTGGTGCCTGGGATGTCATCGGTGAGACCGCCGCAGAATTCGTCTTCGTTACCAGGACAGAGGTGGTCACAATCCGTCGCATCAGCGACTGCACGAGTGCCGGAGTCGAGACTATCGGCGCAATAGCACTTTCTTTTCAACTGGTTAGCACAAACATCCTCGAGATTGGGATGCGGAGGGCTCCTTACCCTTCAAAGACGCCAGCATAGGTGATACCATTGCATGACTTGACACACAACTCCAGTGTCATCTCATTGTCTTCTTCAGTCAGATCAAACGTGGTGAAGCCGGAGGTTGAGCCGAAGCAGCCCAGGTACGAGTAAGAGCCGATCCGGTCTGGGTTGGAAGCTGAGGCGATGCTGATAGAGGTGCCGGTAGAGGTGCTAGAAGAGGTGCTTGAGGCGATGCTTGAGGGGAACCTGGAAGAGCTGCGAGAGGGCGTGGCGGAGGGCTCGTTGCCGGGTGTGCTGATGGTGAAGTCACCATCCTCGGAAGTCGTAGTCGTAGGCTCAGCCGCTGGTGTTGTCATGGCTGTACCGTTGTTGGGCATGGGCGTGGGCGTCGCTGTGGGCTCTCCGCCGATCCCGAAACCGCCGCCGTCGTCGATGGTGAAGCTGTTGTCGCTCGGGAATTGGTAGACATCGATATACTTGACCTCCCAGTACCTAAGATTGGGTCAACATCTGGGCATGGTTTATGTGATTGGCTTTCCATGAGTTGACTTACACGTTCTCAAAGGCCTCGGGGTTGTCAGCCACGTATTGGTCGCAAGTGGGAGCCTTGTCAGTGCATGTCTTAAAGTCCTTCCAGGTCGAACCGGCATAGTCGCCGCAGAAGTTCTGTATCCGTGTTAGCTCCTCATTCAGTGGTCCGTGGCTTATAGTAAGTACTCACGATGTTGAGGACAAGGTTCATGTTGTTGTAATACTCGTTGACGTCGCAATCAGCACCTCCAAAGACGGCTTGCGGAAGACCCCATCCCGAAGGATCTGGCACCTTGGCGTCGATGTCTTCAGGGATAGAGCCTCGGGGGAAGTGCCATACGCTGAGGAACTCATTGTTCCACTGCACCGCGTACACACCGCCGCCAACAGCGTTGAAGCCATCGCCATAAGAGGAGGTGTCGCTGGCCGGAGGGTTGTATCCACAGCCGACGTTGTTGTCTCCAATGGCGCAGTCTAGGTTACGACGTTCGCCAGTGAATCGACCTGCGTCGGAGGGGCTCAAAAAGCAGCCGTCGGCTGTATGGCCGGACATGATGTTGGTGTAGGCGAGGTTGGCACCCTCGATGATGTCCAACTCGCCGCCTTCGGGCCAGTCAGAACCGAAAGCCCAAACTATAATCATCAGTCCTATATTCTAAAGTGATGGATGGTGGACTTACATGCTGGCCAGACACCACATTGTGAGGGCGGCATGTGAAGGAAGTCTGCAATGAAAAGGCCTTTCTCGTAAGACTCCTTGCTCTCTATCCGGATGCTAGGCCGTCCCTCATCAAGATCATATTTGTTCGTGCTGTCGACGCCAAGCCTGACTACGTTTGTGTCGGGGTCGACGGAGTATAGTCCTTTGCCCAAGGCATCTTCTTGATTCTGATAGCTGTGGTGGATGTTAGTTTGAGCACAGAACACACCAGCCCTTTTGTTGAGGCCTCTTACGCAACAAATCCCTTGGAGGGGTCTGGATAGTTGATCCAGTTGAAGCCTGAGAGCAAGGACTCTCCAGCGTATGAGTTAACTAACTCGTACGCCATTGTAGATCGGGGAAGTAGTAGGATGAAGACTAGGAGCGGATGCTAGTCAAGAGGATCCTTAGAAGGTAGTGATGGATGGAATAATTGATCTAGCAGGACCACGACGTCCTTTTTATCTTCCCAGCCTTCCCTCCAGCTCATGGGACTGACCACCAGAAATTCCATCAAGGAGGCCGGGGCTGGCCAACATACGTCGTCAAGGTTGACCAAAGACTAGGTGGGAGTCGAGACACCACGGGGTCCTAAAGGCGTTCCAGTGACAAGAAGCCTACAAGAGGAAGAATGCAATGGGAATATCGCCCATTGTCAGTCTATTTTGCGCGTCATGGCTATCCTCTCTCTTTGTTCTTCATTCCATACATGACCATTAACCTACAAGACAATGAGGCTCCACCTGAAACCAGAGGCCCGCATTCGTTGACGTGATGATCCTAGACATATACTGACCGGCTGAACCGATAGCGCCTAGACGCCAGCCAGCCAGCTGCTGCGCAAGACAAGGGCGCACTTGAATTCCTGTCGAAGGCGGCCAATACCAACATAGCCAGGCTCTCAGCCTCCCCGAACATGCCAGCTCCGCAGCGAAACATGAAGACTCCAGATATTGAAAACCAAACGCTCACGCCATGCCCAATACGCCTTTTCCCGCCTCTTTGCCGCGCCAGTATAACGTGCGGCGACTCTATACCATTATGCGCCTGAGACCTTCGGTTCCACCAAGGACGCGTCTTCCCGTGACTGCGCATCTCCCTTGACCACTCTCCCACTTGCCAGCGTGGTCTTCCATAAAGGTTTCTTGCTTCGGGTGCATGCCTTCAATCCATTTATGGATACACGAATAGCAATAAACGACGCCGGTCTGACAGGCCGTCGGCGTGACGATGTCATCCTGACAAATCGGGCACAATGAAGAATCGCTCGGGAAGGGGACTGTGAAAATGGGCAACAACGAGGGTGTCGCAATAGGCGCATCCTGAGGTGACGGTACATGTTCTCCGTCATTAGCCTCCTCGTTCGCCTTGCTCTTCTTCTTCTCGGCCCGTCCTTTCCGGTTCAGGCCGGCTATCACGGGAGGTGGAAGATCGATGCTCTCAGTCGCCCTTCGAGACAACTGCTTCGCAAAGTCTGACTGATACCACCACTCTAGGAACTTCAACGCAAAGATGCTAGTCGGCAGCAAGATGGACAAGCTGGACAGCAATCGTGGCCCGAGTTCTCGGGGTGATAGGAACGACCCACGGCTAGGCCTATGGCCCTGCTCTGGCGGTTGGGACAAGAGATCAATGGCTCTGTAATCTTCCCCATTCATCCTACGTATCCGGGTTCCTATAAGCCACATCAAGGGGCTATGGAACTTGCTACCGTCGAAGAGGTAGGCCAGGTTGAAGGCGAGCATGGCAAAGTAGTAGCCAGCATTAACGCTCGGGTAAATGTTCCGCAGGAACCATCGGTAGTAGTGTAGGAACCGGTCGCGGAGAGTAGGATTATCGGGCATGCGGGTGTAGGCAGCACCAAGGAGGGCGCGAGGCGCATTCACATCGTAGCTCTCGTCAAGCTTCCGCTTGAGATATGGGATCCCAACGAGCACGAGCAGGTTCTTCCACACGTCCTTGGTGGACAGTTTAAGGGTGTCGCGGACGAGGCTGGGGGCCGACATGGTGGCTCGGGGGATCTCGGCGTGGAGGCCCTTTTCGCGTTTGAGCCCGTAGAAGTTCTCGGTGAAGGAGCCGCCGCGGGTTCGCAGGTAATGGCGCTCAACGAGCAACATGGCGCCGGCGTAGAGCTCATCGAAGGAGTTGAGGATTCGCAGGAGGTATCGGGGGTGGCGATGGGTGGCGACGGTGAGGAGGTAGCGGAGCGTGGGCGGGAGGAGGGCGTTGAGTTGCTGCTCGGAGAGAACTTCGAAGAGCGAGGGCTTCTGCTCGTCGAAGGTGCCCCGGAGGGCTGTGACGAACTCCATTGCTGAAGGAGGGGGAGGAGGAGGGTGCGAATATTACGCAGCGAAGTAAAGCAACGGATTAGGAGAACGCGCGTGGGTCTGTAGCGTGGTGACGAAGGTAAGAAATGAAGAGCAAAGACGAAGATGGCCGTTGCTGATAGCAGCGCATGAGATGGTGGATTCGTCCTGAAATGGGTCCCACTCGTCACCCCAGATTTCGGAGCGCACATCGGAACAGGCCCGGTCCTTCAGGGACAGGTACTTAGGTCCCTACCGAATTACCGCGCAGCGGCCACTTCAGGGAGCTAAGCTACCTAACTTAACCATTACCGCGGTCATAGTTGATCGATAGCGGGGATCACGCCTGTGATGTTCCCCATTGCCTCGGCATTTTACGCCGACCTACCGCGGTGCTGCAAACGGGGCAATGCCATTATTATTTCCATTCAAATCGTCCAGGGGTTCAGACCAGTCGCTTTTGTGCTACCATACCGTTATGTAGCTGGACCTTGTCCCTTTTCCCTCCAGATCCCTCTCCCTATCAACATCCAGTCTCACGCTCGTCGCGTTGATGGTCGCTTAGCCAATCTCGACTCCCCAAGCTGGTAACTGATCATTTCCCGATTCAGTAACTACTGACGACACACACCCGCGCATCGGCCAGAGCATCAAGCCCAAGCTCATTTTGATAAAGAAGTTCCCAACATCATCATCAATCTTCGTACCGCACCTTGGCGCATTTTTAAACGGACTCCATCATGGCGGACTCCTGGGAAGCGGCTGATGCCGCATCGGCGGCGGAGCGCGAGATTCTTTTGAACGGGACGCCAGATGAAAAGATCAACACCTGGCTCAAGCTCACGAAGAATGATCAGGGCCGTCTCAAGGCCGGGGTAAGTTCACGCACTCTGCTGTTCATGAGTATTGCGTCCATTGACACACGAGTCGCAGGAGTGGATGCGCTCACTGATTCCCAACCTCAAGCTCGTATCCACCAACCCAACGGGGCCTCATCCGTCTTGCACCTTCGCGTATACCGTGCAGCCAGAGAACTGTAACCGGCTCGACAACCTGCACGGCGGGTGCGCGGCCACGCTGTTTGACTTCTCCACCACGCTACCGCTGGCTCTTGTCAACCGCCCAGGTTTCTGGGAGTTTATGGGCGTCAGTCGGACGCTTAACGTCACCTACATGCGCCCTGTGCCTGTGGGTGAGGAGGTATTGCTGGAATGCGAGATTGTCCAGGTGGGCAGGAAGCTGGCGACACTGCGGGGCGTCATGAGGAGGAGGAGCGACAACGCCTTGCTTGCAGTTTGCGAGCACGGGAAGGTTAATATTGATGCGACCCTCAAATTATAGATGAGTGGTTGTTTGTTTTGCTCCTTGGTGTTGCGGTTTGCATACTGGGTACCTAATGAAACTCCTCCTATCATCAACTCCAAGATACTCAACCCTCGAGGGTACTTTGCATGTGAACAAAACCTAAAACAATGAGATATAAATCATTTACATTGAGCCAATACGCCAAAGTACACCATCCCATGTATCACGCCTCGAAACACAAGCTGGTAGCACTACACCGCGCGAACAATCCGGGGTAATCGTGTCTAGGGTAAGCATTGTGGAGCCAAGCCCCACCATGATCTGAAGCTGATACGCAAGTGGGATGGGCCTCCGTTAAATCCGACGTCGGGTTCGTTACACAAGGCCTATCATGACTGGCCATATATATTCCATCCCGCCAGCCTCGTTCTCCCTTCCCCTCGCTTCTCCTTCACCGCATAGCGGATGGCTGCAGACACTATGCTCCTCATCAACCTCCCCGCCGAGGTGCTTCAGCTGATCCTCCAGTGGCTCGACCCCGCTGACATCATCCTCATCCTGCCCCAAGCTCCGGGCCTTCGCCAAAAGCAACAAGGCGCTGTGCCGTGCCGTCTACCTGAAACACTTGGTATGAAGCGATATTGTATTCGCAACCCCAACATTAAATGTGCGATTAACAACCTGCAGGACACGCCACAGGATCTGGACTTGGACTGGTGTACTGAGATCCATGACCTGGTCCGTCTCGAAGCGATATGCCGTCGCAGCGACGCCGCCGACAAGGTGAGACTACAGATTGCAACGCCAGCCTTTTTGCCATCCCTTTTTGCCATACCTTTTAACACCGAATCCCTTCCGGCCTCCATCTTGCTGAGTCCATCCAGAAACATGAGATCGACTTTGTCTATGAGGTCGTCAACCGTCTCCTCAGCCACGCTTCGGCTAGTCTCGAGACCCCCCCAGGCGTCAGGTCCCATGCCACCTCCATAAACGTCTTGTACCTGAACCAGATTCTCGGCGATAAATCCAACTTAGAGGCCTTCCTCCAGCGGTCTTTCTTGTTCGAGCGTGTGCGCAACGAGCTCCACCATCCCATCCGTGCCAGCGGCGCAGGCTCGTCCAAGGCGCTTCTCCATCAGCGAAGCGCAAAGTTGCACTGTCTGTATGGCAAACCCATTCTTAGCCTCGGATCTACGAGAGCCTCTCGCACCTATCCATATGCTTGCTCCAAGGTGTATGATCTGCGTCAGTATACCGAGCGTACCCACTGGGGCCCGTTCCTCGACGATGGATCCGACCGCGTCGACTGGGAGAAGGTAGAGGCCATTCTTATCGTGCTCGCGAAGAATATTGGAACCAGACGCTTCGTTTCCGACCTGTTCAGGGAAGTTTGGGACAGCCCCTTCTCCGGCTCCTGGCCGGGAAGCTACCTGGGACAACCCAGTCCTGCACTCACATCCCTTGAGAGCAGAGACCCATACGATGTCACCGGCACATGGTACCGCGTCCGTCCCCATCTCTTTATATTGCCCCCAACACATGGACACTGGATCTCACAAAGAATAACAAGCTAACGTTTCAAGGTCTCAGATCGTCTGTTTCCTTGATTACAATGACTTCTTTAGCTACAACTTCCCCGCTGAGGACCTCATCGGGCGAGACACTCCACGCCCTGCCCTTGATGTTGGCGAGGCCACCCGTATCCTCCAGATGAACCTCAAAATCCACAAAATCGAGCCTCCCGGGCCCGATGATGGACAGGACCTGCCGGTGGTGCATTTCAAGGGCGTTACACGCTCACTTGACGACTCGTTTGACGGCAACGGCAACTCCCAAATGCGAGGTAAGCCTCCTCCCTTCCGCCTTGCCCTGCGTTGCACTAAAGAAGAATTTGCCTGAACTAACGTGGAAGGGTGGCACACTATAGGTACCGTTCGATTGACCAGAGAGGGCGAAGTGCGCTGGACAACTTTCTCCATCTTCAACGGTCAGGAGCGCTGGCGTAGCGAGGGCATCCAGGTCGGCGGAGTTCGGTCCGCCCGCGGCGTCGTGGGCAACTGGTTCGACAGGTTTGTTTCCCACCCCACTCAAATTGACAACTAATATTCTCATTCCCCATTACTTACCCTCCTCTTTACAGAGACTATGACGCCCACGGCCCCGCCGGCCCAACTGCGTTCTGGAAGGGCCCTACGCGGGACAGGGCCCTACCCCAGGACGACATGCTACCGAATGACTTCTTCGTTCCCTACGCCATACTCCTCCATGTGGATGGTGAAGACGAGGATGATGATGATGAATATGGAGACGACGAGGATGATCCGGAGGAGGATGTCCAGCGATTTACCGTTACAGTCGATAATCGGCCTCAGGTGCTGGAAGCGGAACCCAGCCATTTATATGCGACGGCGCAAGCTCATGATGACTGATAGGGCTGGTGCTGAATTATATCCCCTACTACGTGCTACGAATTCCATCATATTGTTTAATTACATACATACTGGCGTTATATTTGGTTCTGGGAGACCGGTAGCTATTGACATGAATGGACCACGGTCTCACATTGGAAGAAGAGTCGAAAAACTTGAGTGAAGAGGGCGAAGCCCACCTTATTTCGATCCTTTGGTGCTCCTTCAATGGTCAAGGAGTTGCGAAAACATGTTAAAACGCGCTGTCGTCAAAGACATTGGGGTATTCTAAAGTACAAAGAGCAATCAATCATCTGAAGCCTCCCACCCCATATGAACCACATTGTATCGTGCCATCAAACATCCGTCATCCTTGGATCGTTTACATCCCAAATCCTCCAGCGCCTGGTCTCCTGCGCTCTTCCTTCATTTTCATTTCTTCACCGTGATTGCATCAGTGGATTGTACCGCCCGAGTTGAGGACAATGCAATTGTTCAGGAGGGTTGAAGCTTCATGCAAGAGCTCCCACCGGGTAGTTTCAAACGTGTCCTTCAGGATCATCAAGAGCGCCGTGTTCCCATTAATGCCCGTCTTTCCTTGCAAGTTTCCAGGGTTCTCAATGGTGCCGAATCGGACGAAGTACTCCCTCATGTATTGAAGCTTTTCTTGTCGAGTAGTGGGAATTGGGGCACTCGGACAGGGCCCCTCTAGGGCGAAGCCATAACACCATACAACTAGGGCTGCAAAGTAAAGAACCCATGGGCGATTGAGGAGGACATCGTCACGAGCGTCGTATGGCTCATCCAGGTGGTACCCTCCCGCATGCGCTGGTGTCACTTGGTCAGGTGCGAGGACTGAGCATAGAAACTTGAGAGCATAGAACGTTGCGTCTCTGGCCCTGGCGGAATGTGCCCAGTGATCCTTGATTCGCCTTTGAGCGCTGCCAAACTCCTGTGGGCCGATGGCTCGACCAAGAAGACGCTTTGCTCGGGCAAACATCTGGCAGTCGACAATGTCAGCATGCATAGCCATGTGCGCCAGATGATGCAAAACTGTGCGGCTCTCAAAGACAACATTGAACTCGGTCTTTTTCATGATGTTGTCTTGGTATGGGTCGGTCGAAGGTTCGTACTGTTCTAGCGACTTGTCAAAGTCTGCCTTCCAGGTGTCATATGCTCGTGTCAGAGTGGCACGCCATCTGTCACGGCCTCCAAGGGCTTGGATGATTCCTCCGCCCAGGACATTGACCTGGAGGTCTCGTTGGTGCATATGCCACGAGACACTCAGGAGTCCTGCCATTAGAACAGTTCTTCCAAAGGAGTTTGTTCGCACATCTTGGTTACTCAAGGTTCGCTTGAGACCTTCCAAGAATGACATCGGTTTGATACCGTTTGACATCAAATTTGATTCAATCCTCCAAACTTCCGCACTGCTACCTGCCCGCCACATCGCATCATCGCAAGGCAAGGGCAGTCTCATCTCATGAGCGACCATGACAGCTGAATGCCCAAACATGGTGGCATGGATCGAGTCAATTACGAAGGCTGCAAAGGCCGCACGCCGCGTGGCTTCGTTGGTCACCCAATGTTCCCACCACTTCTCCGCAGTCGGGGCGAGACTTGATGTTGAGGACTGGCGGGATCCGTTGGAGCTATCCCTTGGATTTGGTGGTGACTCCAAAGCAGACTTGCCGATCAAGGAACGGCCACGGCGCATCAGTGTAATGGTTGTTGCATGGTGGATATGAGCCCGTTCGTGCAGCTCTCTCGACGAGTACATCTTCTCGTACAGCTCCAGAAGAATGAGAGCTTGGAAAACCCAGAGTTTGGCTGGGGGCCGGAAGTTTAGGTCCATGAATATATCCCACCGTAGGTGCCAGGCAAGGAAGTTGGATAGCTGAGCACCAGCCTTTGTAACCTTGTGTCCGTGAGTTCGGTCCAGACAGGCACCTCCAATTGCCATCATGGACAACAACAGCAAGTTTGGTGTTCTGTCGGGAGAAAATGTCGGCTTGTGAAGAATTGGCATCTGGTCGCTAAAGTGATACCAGTATGAGCCAATATAAGCCTGCATCATCCTCTTGCTCAGCATATGGTCGCCGTTGGCGCGGTCACCTTCCAGGATACCATCCCACTGGCGATCAACGGGTGCATGCTTGTTGTCGTGGAAGCGCTCCTTGATGAAATCGAATAGTTCCTGACTCTTTTCCTCGGAAATCGTGGCCTCTGGAACTTGCTGCTCCAAGAGATTGTTGACCGCCATCACCGTCTGCGGAGCTGTTGGGAAGTATCCTAGTGGAGCACCATCGCCACTCAATAGTGACATGTTGAACTGGCTGTTTTGCAAGTCTCCGTAACTGAAACTAGTTAGCCGAATGGCGAGGTGACGCAAATGAGGGCGAATACTAACTTTGAGTACCCAGGCGGTATCACGGGAGTCATGTTTGACGGACCAGGTGAGTTGAACAGGTAAGCCATAAAATCCTCCGGCATTCCGACATATGGGGACTTATTAAGATCCCCATCACCACCGAACACGGGAACAGTTCCAGGTATTGACATCTGATCCAACATCATCAGCTCACCAGCCTGAGTAGTCCCAGGCTCCGAGTATTCGGCAGCGGTAGTGGCGCCATAGGGCTGTCCAGTTTCATGCGACGTCTGGTTCTGGCCATTAGAGAACTGCGACGGAGGTAGGTTCATTGGCATCACATTCTGTTGCGAGACAAAGCTACTGGACTGAGGCATGTTGTTCTGCGATTTTGGGAAGCCTTGCGGGTTGGCGATGGGCGACATAACACCGAAGGGTGTAGCATTGGTCGGCATGGACTGGCGTTGCGATACCGAAGGCGAGTGCGGCTGGGAAAGTTGTGGTGGTCGATTATCGTAGCCCTGGTTCTGTGCTCCATAGGTGTCCATTCCATTCGAAAGACCCCCGTTTGTAAATATGCCCTGAGGGGTTGTCAAGGGAGAGTAAGGCCCCCCAGAGGGATCTTGCTGAGCCTGATATTGCATATGGGACGATCGGGGTTTGGAATAATCCATCGAGTTTCGGTTGAATTCTGGGGAGTTGGGGCCCGGGGCCAGAACTGGGGCGATATGTCCAGCCATAGAGTCCCTTTGATTAAGCTGGGATCCCTTGGCGGCGTGACGGTCCATGTGGCGCTTCAACAAATCTCCCCGAACAAATGTTCGGGTGCAGTTAGGGAAGTTGCAGTGGTATGTTTGCTTCGAGTTGTGATTGAGCTGATGGCGATACCTGGGCGATGTTAGTGCAAGTTGTTCGCATGGGAGCCATGAGCCAGCGCAAGACATACAGATGCTCTGCCCTAGAGTAACTCTTCCCACAGCCTTCGGACGAACACTCAAATCGCTTGTCGAGGCCTTTGCGACTCCGTCGCCTTTTCCTTGCGGGACCGGGACCATCTGAGTTGGATGAGGCCCCGTTGGGGCCGTCGTTGACGTCTTCTGCCTTTGCATCCTGGTCGCCGCCGTCATTTTCGGGCGAGCGACTTCGTCGACGACCTCGATCGTGGGGTTGCATGTTGTCGAGGTTCTGTACCGTGCCCATTGCGCCTGAGCTTACCGGGGAGATCGGGAGGATGGGTTTGAGGTCGCTTGGTTGCGTAGCTAGTATAGAGGCCATGGCCTGATGTTTCGAGGTTCCGAGTCGAGGGATAGATTAGGTGCAAAGTAGATGGCGATGGGCGAAGGCTCGAGATTCGCTGAAGACTGGCCGACGAGTCTCCTCCACGTACAGGGAAGGAAGGTTTTGTCGATAGGCGAGGTAGGCAATTAGAAACTGCTTCTTGGCTGAGCAGCGTTGAAACGGCGAAGGCACCTGCGGAATCGCGGGGTTGCCGAGGGGCCGCAAATGTGGGACAAGGTGGTAGATTGGATCAGCCCTTAAAGACTAATTAGAAGTCGCGCCAGACGCATGGCAGGCAGGGCGACCGGCTCGTCGAGGGGGGCCGGACGGAAAGATCGAGTGAAGGTCGCGACGGGAAGATCGACGGGCGACAACAAGAAAAGAGAGGATCACGCTGATTAGGAGCTGGCTACTTAATGTCAGTGGAGGACGAGAGGGTGGTCGCGTGTTTTTGCGGGTAAAATGCTATGTGAAGTGGATCAAGGGACGTCAAGCGGCCTTGGGGGAAACCGGGTTGTGGGACCTAGACTGGGGGAGGGCGAGACGGTGCGGAGGCAGCGTTTAGTAATGGAAGTGGTGATTCGCTACACTGGGTTTTGTTAGGGACGCCATGGTCGGGTTGGAGCCGAGTTGCGAGGCGCTGGCGAGGATTGAAAATGGCTTGCGTCTTGTTTGTCTGGCCTTCGAGTTCCGGGATGGCTGGGCCAGGCGGATTGCGGAGACGCCATGGGTGATGGGGATTGGTAGGTGGAAGATCCTGGATTGACCCCGAGAAAATGCGCGCGGAGCAGGTCGAACGAGGCATGTCGAGCTTTGAGCCTCGGGGCCTCGGAGAGGTACAGGAAATGGAGGCCCGGTGTAAAGCTGCTGTATCCGTGCTCGCAGCTAACCAGCTACCTAGCCAGCGGCTCACAGTTGGCCAGCGCGCATGTCTAAAGTCATGGATCGATGTACCTTGGCACGGCGGGCAGCGGGCGTTGGATTTTGGCGTCCCCGGCAACAGCGGACGGAGCCGCGGTGGAGTCTGGAAGCAGGACGATGGCGACGTAGGAGGGATGGCGCGAGTAAGGCGAGTTGGCGACTGGAAGTGTCGTGGAGGAAGAGAGAAGAAAGGGGAGACGAAAAATGAAGCACAGCAGAAGAGGACAAAGAAGATGGGGGCGCATACTGTACCTCGGGCTCAAAAGCGCATTGTTGGCGCACAAGGCGCAAAGGCGACGCGGCTTGGGACAACGGGAGAACGGGAGAACGGGAGTGGGCGAGGATGGCGACAATGAGACGAAGAAAACCGACAAGTGACGGCTCACACGCGGTTGTTGAGACTTGGGACTCGAGACTCAGATCGGATCGACTGGATGATAGGTAGTAGAAGAAAAAAGACCAGTTGAACAAGCCCACGCAAGGTACGAGAATCGCAGGCAACAAGCAAGCACTTGATGGTTCCCAGGCAGAGGTTCTGGGGAAGTGGGAGCAGTGTGGACGCGGGTAGGGTGGGGGGTATTTGGGGGGCCTTTGATCTTTATGGCAAGGACCTTGACCCTCGACCCTCGCCCAGAAAAAACCTCCATCCTCGATCCATCGCAAATCAACCAGCGACAGTACTCGCAGCAGCAGCCATCCAATCCACCCAGACAGAGACACACCCAGGCGACGTCCCATCCCGTTTACGACGCAGTACCTGCTCCGGGACGTCGACACTAGCCCGCTGACACGGTACTCGCGCCTGTTCGGCGTGGTACGTACGGTCTACTGTGCCAGCAGCGAGCCAGCCAGCTCTGCGCGGAGACCCTCTACATCGACACTCCCTCCCACCCTTTGCCACTGAGCCCACTCCTCCCTCCTCGGCTCCCACATCATCACCTAGAGACACACACGCCTTGCCCCGTCCTTCAGTCCACCAGTCCACCTCAAGCTGCAGGCCTGCAACTCAAGCCTCCACCTCCGCTCCTAGCGCCGCCTCGTTTCCAGTCCCCGTCGCGACCCCATCCTCCTTGGGCCATTCGCGAGGGGGCAGCCTCTAGGCCCTGGCCCCATCCATGTCTGCGCCGCCGTGCCCTGATGTGCAGCTCGCTGCATCAGGACCAACACAGTAGTGAGGGTGCAAGGGGTGCAACCGGCCAGCACCGCCAGCTCTCGTTAGCAGAGACCGGGGGCTACCGCTGGGCCAGGGGAGAGACAGAACAGAGTGGAGGAGTGGAGGGGGAGCTCGATTAATTGGGGCCGAGAATCCATGATCCATGGCTCCTCATGGACGTCCCATCATGGCTGACGATTTAATATGGCTCGACGCCTGAGCGCTGCCCACGGTTATCCCCATGCACCCTGCATGAGCCAGCTCGGTCTGCCAGGGGAGCCCCGAAGTCGCGCACTTTGTCGACAATCACGCTGGACCTGTATCCGTAATACTCTTGGTCCTGCTGGTGGCTGGAGGCCTGGCATGTTCTTCATGAGACACTTGGAAGAACGGCACAGCGCCTTGCTGGAGTTCACACTCCCCGTGTCCCTTTGTCGTCCTTGCTTCCTCCCGCCGCCATTCCCAGAATGCAAGCATCGCCGAGCGGGTATATTGTGTCCGGGCAGACGAACTTTGACATGCACACGGGCCACTTCAAGATGACCATGTCCTGTCCTACCTTAGTTGCCTTGCCTTGCCGCCAGCGCCGGGCTTTCCTGATGCGTTCCTAGCAGCGGCCCGCTCTAGGCTCTTCCATCAACATCTCGTTGTGTGTGGCATGAGCAGTGGCGTGCCCTCCGTTTAGGTCTACTCCCGGATCATCGGAGTGGGGACGGTCACGGCATCTACACGCGGAGTACAACCCGGTACCTAACACGACAACACGGGGGGCAACTTTACGATGCATCCGCTGCTTGCAGGTGCGCTCTGGCATGGGATAGACGCCTACGTCCATCGGTAATCTGGTACTTTGTCGCGTGCTGAAGAACTGGAGGAGTATCCTTGAACCGAATATGGTACGTACCTACTTAACTGCGACCATCCACCCTCATTCTCGAGGTGAGACAGCCTCACCTGAGCGGTTTGCCATGCGGGATGAAGCTGGGGCAGAAGGGGGCACCGTCGCACGCCAACGTCTCCGGAATTTTACCAAAGTGACGCCTTCACCTTTATTAACACTTGCTCTTCCATGCAAGTGAGAGACTGACGCCCCGTGGCTTGAATCCTGGTTCCTGGGGCTTGGGCGAGTCGAGACTGTCGGTAATGGGATCCTGGGACATGCTGCCGAAGAAGATGGCTTTGCTAAGCCGTTAGTCGTCCCGCCCCCATATTTGACCTAGGCTTAAAAAGTGTCTACGTGCAGACTGCTCAAATTGACTTTTATGAACTGGAGGATGTTGTTGGTGCGATAGGCCTCCTTGTCTACGTGTCTCCGCGGCGTGTGTCGAAGCCGAGCCTCGTTGAGCCATGCATGCACCGAGTTCCTGCTGCGTCCAACGTCCCGATGTTGATCAACTCGGGGTAGCGTGTGGGACTGCCTAAATTGGCTTAAGACGGGCCAGGTCAGCAAGCCGTGTCCTGTTTCCTGGAGCCAGGATAGTGGCCATACCAGGTCGGCAACCTCAGATCAGCACTTGGCTCTTATTGCACCGCAAAGCCGCATCCAACCGACAAACTCACCACAACACCTTGGTGAACGATTTAATGCGCAAACAATAGTTGGAGATGCTGGCTAACCCGCTCATGGCTCAGAATAAGAGCAGATCCCAATCAACTTCCGCTCCTCACCAAACCCTATGCAATACATACCGAGGACGGACGGCTGATACATCTCTTGAGACATCCCCAGAACTATTGAGAGAGGCGGTTGCACAGGCTGTTGAGCACGCTACTGCAAGAGGCCTAGTGCGGTAGTGACTGGGATGAGGTCCAGGGAAGCATTGGGGGACTGCCGCCCAACCAGCGACCAGGGTGCGCCATTTTCTCCAACGCCCGACGCCGCCTGCTGAGACCCTGTGGCATGGTTGAAGAAAAGAGGTAGCGACAGGGTGTGGAGGGTGGTACTTTTGCTGTGTGTCTTGGAGAAAAAGCGCTGGAACCTGGGGCATGGGTTGAAATCCTGCTCGGGCTCTTCCATTTTGGCCGGTAGGTGAAAGTATACTCTCAGGCATGATGGCTGAGACGAGCCGTGTCGGAGTTGAATGGGCTGTTGTCACTTGGGCTTCATTGTGAGGCGGCACGCCGTAACAAAACCTCCATCTGGACAACTAGTCGAGGTAGCCTCTGGTTAGTGGCGCTTCGCGTGGTGATGAGCCAACCCCAAGCGGTGGTGAAGGGGGAGGGTTGGGTCGGGTGCCATCGTCGCGGGATTGGCGACTGTCTCCCGCGCCCAGCACCCAAGCGACTCGGCCGGCTGAGTGGCCACCCCAGATTCTGATCGTGCTCCACAGCGGCTGACATCTGCGTTAGATGAGGTGCGCGCTGAGACAGGGCCGCGTCTTTCGCGCCTCCAATTATTGGCATTACCTTGCACAAGCCCTGATTTGTTGGTACGGATTGGTAATGGCTTGTTTCCAACTGTCGCTTATCTGCTGGGGGTTTGTTGGTGTTACACAGATAGCGAGTGCCTTGGTTGGATTTGGCACATGGAAATGGTTGTCTCCACGTAATGGAGTGACTCTTGGTATGTCTTGGATTGCGATGCGAGACTGATGCAGAGTACCGATGCCATTCTGGGGTATCGACATGTTCCCCCTTACGTACTACTGTGTACATCAACTAAGCTTACTTCCCCCGGGGCGTTTGATCTTGTCTACTACGCACGTAGTAGTACTTGTATTGGCCCCCCATGCGCCATCATTAACCATCATCATCCATGCACTGGCCACCCCCGGGAGTTGACAACATATCCCAATCAGGTGGCACATATCCCGGTGAGACCCGTGACATGAAGAGTCCGCGGCGGAACCCCTTGAAAAGGCGATGCTCCTCAGTGGCCTGCATGGACCGACATGAGGGCAAGGAAACCCTCCTTCCTTCCCAGGCTTTACTGAAAGCCTCACCGTGGGGCGGAATTACAACGACACTCCGAACGTCCTGACCCAATGATCCAAGACCGAGCCAACATCATGATCATGATGTCGTGGACGGCCGAACCATGTGCCCAGTGAGTGTAGATCTAGCGGGAATAGCGCAGTCGTCTCTGGAAATTCTATGGCTTCAGGCAATCCACTAGTCTCTTTGCTGCCCCTCGGTCACTTAGTGTAACATCCATAGAGGTCCATGCATTGTTGTAGATGGCAGCCTCGCAATTACCGAAGGAGGATTAGGAAGGCCGTCGGGTGGTGGTACACCCCCATGGTCCCAGGAAATCGCGAGCCCCGGCAGGTGATCATCCCACAGCCCCATGATTTGCTGAGACGACCGCTCGCAGAAGCAATTCCTAGAGCCACGCTTGCCTGAGCGGATGCGCCTAGATGAGAAGGGATATGCGCCACTGGGATTGCCCTTGCGAGTTCGGCCCAAAAAGGGGTGAGCAAATTTTTTTTTCTCACATCTGGTGATGCACATCACTCGAAGGCGAATCGCCGGCGGCGATGATCAACTAAGGGGGAGTGCTTTGTTGGCAATCTTGAGGCTTTCAGCTTTCGGGTTTGGCGATGGCGTCTGAAGCGGTCATCCGGTTGACCCACCTCCGGCAACGGAGCGTGGGGAGATCGTGGGGGTTTCTTAGAGGTCCACATAAAGTGAGTGATGCAAGAGTGACGATGGAAATAGATGAGCATCGTCGTAGCAGAGATGCGAGCGATGGAGAGATGCATGGCTTTGTCATCCCTGCCTATTGCCGGCCGCTGTTATTACTTTGTACAGGGCACAAGGATTACAAAGGTTAGTTGCAAGTGTGTATTACATTAGCTGCGAGCGTTAGGCCCATTTAGGTAAGGCTTTAGTACCTAAATAAACAGGTTAAAGAAGTGAGAAAATATGTATAGAGACTTTACCCGCTTTTCGAGGGCTAGACTACCTGGATTAACGTATTTCCGGAGGTACCTCTCAGCCAATTGAAGAAGAGAGTACATCTGCTTAATCTGGCGAATAGGATTGCTAGAATAAGGCCGTGTGGATTCTGCTAATGCACACGTACTGTTAACCTTTTTAATCCTTGTGGCCTGTACTTCGTGCCGCCTCGTACTCTTTGCCCTGTATGACCCTGGGCTCGTTCTTTGACCCTTGATGAGCCATGACCCTTGAGCGAGTGACCAAGGCAACTAATGCATGCAAGCGACACCCATTAGGAGCTTTCCTTTTCGATGGCTCGCGAGCTCCCCACGCGGTGAGTGACAGTACGATGATGACGATGGTCTCCCGAGGTTTTTATGCACCGTGGCCGTTTTGCTATTTCCCTTCGATACTTGACGGTGATGCGCGATAAAAAGCAACCCTGCTTGCTCTTTCAGCTCGTGTGTCGTCTTGCCGCAAAAGCAGAAAAGTGGCTGGCAGTTTCTTTCCGAGAGCGACAGGCACCCGCACGCGGCCTGCAGAGGAAGACGCCTTCCCACGTTGCCCACATGGCGAACTTCCACCGCAGATGATCTTCTTCTTCCTTTCTCTCTTCTTGCGTCCCCCTCTCTCTGCTGGTGTTTGGTCCCGGGTCCCGTGACCGCCATGCGAGGGGCTCCCGGATGGGGCTTGGGCTGCCGGACCTCAAACGCGCCAGACGAGATGGCATTCCCACATCGGGACCACTTTTGGAGCCGCCGAGTCGTGCTCTCCAGCCAAAAAAGAACTGTCTTTGATGGCTTTCCCGCTGTCACGGCTTGCCCGACAGGTTGAACCGTGGTGCGGGAGACGCCTCTGGCGTTGTTCTGATTGCATTCCCCTGAAGACTGGCTCATAAAGGTTGATGCGGCGTGCTGCGCAGCGCAGAACGGCGGCCCCACCTCTCATGCGCTGAGCAGGTGGTCACTTGGTGCCGTCACCGCAGCAAGTGACAGGTGACGTTGGAGCGCAGCGCACTCTTTCCAGTGTCTCTCTCAGCACTCAGCAAGCGCGCGCGCCCGTCCTCCACCACCCGACCCAAATTTACCGTCCCTCCCATGCCCATGTCGACAAACTCCTCCTGCTCCTCTTGCTCCTCCCACAGTCGATTCACCCCTAAATCATGTAACGAGCGTTTGCCCGCGCCTCTCCCAGACGACTTTCGCCCCGAATCCCATCTCAGCAATTCCTACCACCTCCTAACCTCCCTGTTCACCCGCTCCTATCCGCCATGCCGCCCGCAAAGTCCTCCCGCAACCACGACGACTCCAAGTCGGACGCTCCTCATTCCAAGGAGAAGAATGGCAACGGCCACACCTCAACCAAGATGCGCCGCGGCGCCAGTCAGAACAGCCACTCTCATCTTCGCGAAGTCACCAACGCTGCTGCCGTTGTCCCGGCGCCGCCTCCTGCTGAGCCGACGCCTCCCAGTGTTCGTCACCCCTCTCTCCTTCAATCCTTCCCGCCTGTCTCACGGCCCCTCAACGGACCATCGCCGCGTTCGCCCCACGTGTTTGGAAGCCCAAGACGCTGACTCTACCATCACAGCTGCAATGGTCCTCATTCGAACGAGACGTCCTTCATGCCTACCGCCGCGAGCACCACCTGACCACCCCGACCTCCTTCTCGAACCCTTACAGACAATGGATCCTGTCGCAGCCCAGCGGCATCGGCCTCCACTCGCCCACAATGGTCCGACGGCGACAAGCCCGGCGCCAGAGCAAAGACCATCTTGCTCTCGCGGTGCGGAAACACTTCAACGGCCTGGGCGTTCAGGAGAATGATGTGATTGTGGACTTCATCTACAAGATCCGTCATGATCCCAAGCGTGACTCAAAGAGTTCCAGAATCACGAAGGCGCAATAAACACGGCGCATACAAGGGAATAAGGGAATAACATATTGGATGGAGTTTTGGGGTTAATATGGCGTTTGGGCATTGCTGTTCAAGGAACGATCAGCCAGGCCGGGACAGGCATTTTTACAGCAATCACACACTCACGGCATAGACGAGTCATTATACGGTTTCGAATTCCAATATACCATTGCTGAGCAGAGGAATAACCTCTTTACTTATTTTTGCTCTTCACCTATCCGTTGTCCCCCGGCCGTGACATACGATGTGACTGGAAAAGCACCCACGCGCTGGTCCTCGTATTATCTTGGCCACAACGCATTTTGACATCCTGTAGACAATTTATTTTTCAACCTACGTGCAAAGCTGCCTCCCATGGTACTAACAACCATCTCCGTTAAACCTAGTGTCCCCGAAATCAGTGCGGACGAGTCCGGTGCGAGCATTTGTAATTCCCGATGCTGTGACTACACCTTTGCAGTGGTATCCCGCAACTGAGACAAACACTTTCTCTGATTCCGTTCACAGGGCCAATACCACTGCGAGTACTCCACTCCACTTCAGTTCTGGATTGGGACAGGGGGCAATATGATGCAACCTTGCAGAAACATTGCGGGTGGTTGGAGGGGCAGAGTCAGACCACCTCAGCGTGACTTGCTCCTTCGAGAGCCGATTGTAGATGTTTCACTGAGGGTTGAATGGGTATGAGTGTAGACCTCCGAAATCTCTCGCAAGCAAAACAAGATTTCCCGAACTCTAAGCCAATCCCAATTTCTCTCTCTCAAAAACCAATTCTTTTCGATATGTCCATGGTTAGACTTTGTTTGTCAACCATTCATCGAGATTTGAGCTCATCTCGGTTTTTGGCGGTGTTTCGGGGTACTTTCGGCATAAGCCACAGTACAGCTTTACGAGGCCTGGATCATGGCCATAGGGAATACTGAGATCTTGACTAAACCCTTCATGTGATCATACACCATCACGACGAGCCTCTACGGCATTGACGAAGTAATTAAATTGGTCGGCATCGCGGCTGATAAGATAAGCTAGTGCTTCGGCTTTGCATCGGCATCTTGAGCCGTTCCTGATTTCTCAGCCGCCAGCCAATGGGCGGCCAGCTAAAGCGGGTGGCAGGAGACGGATTGCCGGCGTCGGCCTATGACGACGTTTGATGTCTGAGGCACCAACTCCTCGGCTTAAGCCCGGCTGGAAAAGTTGGGATAAGTCTCGGAACTTCTAAGAATTTCTAAGTAACCACGGGGAGCTAAGTCGCCGGGGTTACCTATCTTTGCAATTTTTTGTTTCTGCTCTAGGACAGATGAATCACTCCAGTTCAAAATGAATTCCAGCGTCTTGTCGAAGGCCGCGGCCCCCGCCCGGGTCCTGGCGCAGAGTCATTTCTGCGGCTCCAAAATCAAATGCTTAAGCAAAGGAGCTCAGCTCCATACCGTGGCGTTGCGTCTCGGCTCCCGGGACCGACCGAGGTTGAGGGCAGATGCTAGAGCCCCTCCTTCAAAACGAGTGAGTAAATACCTCGAATGTAATGTTGAATCACTATCTGATTGTGTGAATAGCTCTTCCATGCTACGAATTCTGTCTCCCAGAAAGACCCTTACCAAGCCCTCGGAGTCACCAAAAGCGCATCGGCTGCCGACATTAAGAAGGCATACTATGGCCTGGCCAAAAAATACCATCCCGATACGAACAAGGACGACAGTGCGAAGGAGCGTTTCGCCGACATCCAGTCAGCCTATGAGATATTGTCCGACCCTAAGAAGCGGGAGCAGTTTGACCAATTTGGAGCCGCTGGCTTTGATCCTAGCGGAGGAGCTCCCGGCGGTGATCCATTTGGCGGTGGGGGTCATCCATTCTCCGGCTTCGGTGGTGGACAGGGAGGTTTCGGTGGTGGCTTCAACTTCGACGACATCTTCTCCGCCTTTGCGGGACAACAAGGCCCCTTTGGCGGTGGCCGCCGAGGTGCACGCAACCCTTATCAGCAGGAGGTTTTGGTCGGTGACAACATTGAGGTCCAAGCCAGTATCTCATTTATGGAAGCCGCCAAAGGTACTGCCACAACGATCAACATTACTCCCTTGACCACTTGCGGGACTTGTACAGGCCATGGTCTGAAGACGGGAACGAAGAGGAGTGCTTGCAAGGCTTGCAATGGCACCGGAACTCGTGTGCACTTCATGCAGGGTGGTTTCCAGATGGCGTCTACCTGCGGGACCTGCGGTGGCACCGGCTCAACCATCCCCAAGGGATCCGAGTGCCGAACCTGTTCAGGAAACGGCGTGGTTCGAGAGAGGAAGTCGATCACCGTCGACATCCCTGCCGGAATCGAAGATGGCATGCGTCTCAGGGTAGACGGAGCAGGCGATGCCCCCGCTACTGGACGCTCTGCCGATCCCAACGCCCGAGCCCAGAACGGAGATCTTTATGTCTTCGTTCGAGTCGCCAAGGACCCCAAGTTCCGCCGAGAAGGCTCGAACATCCTGTACACTGCGAACCTTCCTCTCACAACCGCCCTGTTGGGTGGCCAGGCCAGCATTCCCACCTTGGATGGGTCGGTTAATGTCAAAATTGCCACCGGCACCAACACTGGCGACAAGATGACTCTCACCGGCATGGGCATGAAGAAACTCGGCTCGCGGCGTGGTGGCAGTGGCGACTTGAAGGTGGAGTTCCGTGTGGCAATGCCCAAGTACCTCAGCGCAAACCAGAGGACCATCGTGGAGATGCTTGCGGACGAAATGGGAGATAAGACGGCGAAACGTGTCATGAATGTCTCTTCAGCTGCAAAGTAAGCTCTTCAAAATCAATGAAGATGATGACGAAGCAGGCTGACTGTCAAATAGCGCTCAAGCGGACCCTTCTGATCCCGAATCTCACAAGGATGAGGGCTTCCTGAAGTCGATGTGGCACACATTGACCAACAACCCTGCCCATCAGAAGCCCGAAGACGCCAATGAAGACACCACGTCCAAGAAGACTGACGAAAAGCCCAAGGAGGACCCGAAAAGCAAGTCCCCGGGATCGGGCTCGAGCTGATCGTTTCAACGGCCTGTATCATATGCATTGGAACCGACATACTAGAGGCGGACGGGGAGCGCATTGGCTGGTGTTCAAAAGGTTGATATTATTTGTAAGGCGTCTGTGGAGGGTTAAAGACTACCCGACTACTCATGTAGATCTGCCAGTGCTCGGATCTTGTACACTATTCCTGTAGCATAGAATGAGCGGGCTGAAAGCTCCAATGGAGGCCACTCTCCTCAAATCAGTTTGTATACCAAACGTGCGAGTGCTGAAAATCGGAACGCGGTGCATGGCAATACGTTGAGCTGGTGAGAAGGATTGGGAGCTACGACACATAGTCACAGGCACAAACACATCACCACTGGTCAGTGTACTTACCGGGCGCAGCCAAAGCGGTCCCCCGTATGATGGATAGAGGTTGATGGCCCGGCCATAGCTTCTTGTCTGCCTTAATTAGAGTCCAAACAGTTCATCGTCATTATTAAAACTCACTGACCATCCAGGGCATCGTGATGTTGAGCAGCGTCCTTGACCTCCAACCTTGCGTTGTCCTCTCAACACTAAAATCGGACCCCCGTCGGCTTCCATATTTCAACCAATAGGCTTGAGCTTCTTCTTCTTCTTCTTGTCGGATTCGCCCGACTTGCCCTTCTGAAATTGCCGCCAGCTGCTGATGCGCACGTCCCTGGTGGCTTCCCAGTCCTGCTCGTGTTGGCGCTTACGTTTGCGCTCGTCCGTCTCGGCGTCGACACGGCGCTGTTCGCGACCCTCCTCCTGCAGCTGAGCCTTCATCTGACGGCGGCGGCGGTGCTCGTTGTCGACGAGCACCTCGCGGGCCTTGTTGCGCCACATCTTTTTGAAGTCATCTGTCTTGAGTTCTTCACTGTCCACTGTCCACTTGTTCTCGCGCATCAACAGCATGCGCGCGTCGGCGATGGCCTCATCTAGCCGTTCGCGGTGCTTCTCGTCCATCAGCTCCGTCTGCGCCTTTTTCAACCGATCGAAGGCGTCGGGCGCCAGAGGGTTCTTGGTCTTGTCAGGATGGATGAGGAGTGACTTCTTGCGGTAGGCCATCTTGATGTCTGATTCGGGGACACCAGGCTGGAGATCTAGTACGGCATATCTGTGGCATAATTAGGCATGGAATGGGATGCAAGGCCAAGGCAAATCTTACGCATCAAGGCGAAATGCCTTTAGAATTCGGTCTATCTCAGCATCCTGGAGAAGGGTATCAGCATTGATCACGCATGGCTGTGCCGGTCGCAAACAAACCTTATCAAACTCCTTGGCTTCAGCCTCGAGCGCATCGAGCGCATCCTTATCCTCTTTTGTATCCTTGCTGGCCATATTGAGCTACCGGATGCTGTAGCTTCCAAGTGTATAGTAGGGAGGTATTCTGCGACGTCGAATCTGGTTGTTGAAAGATGGAGAATGGTGAAGGCATGTTCGTTAGCTCTGATGCGGGAGTCAAAAGCTTGGGTGGTCAAGCAGGATCCACCTGCCCCGCGGCGATAAGATAACGACTCTCGGACCCAGAAAAAAAATTGGCTGCGGTCAGTTTCGCGGCTCTCCCATCGCTAACAATTTGCCAACCACTCAATCTGATTGTCAAGGCAGTCACGATGCGTCAACATGGAGGCTCCCCAACTCCTTCGGAGGGCGAGGTCGATATTCTCGGCTCGATCTACCCCGGCGACGGCGATAATGCCGGCAACGACGGCCCCTCGGGCCTCGATCTCGACTTCGACGGTTTCTTGCACGGCCAGGAGCCAGGCAATGATGACGGCGACGAGGCTTTCATTGCTCTCCAGCAGGCGGCATCCTTCAGAAAAGCGACTAACCTGAAGGGAAGGACGGTGAAGAAGGGCGGAGGCTTCCAGGCAATGGGTACGGACTCTCCCATCGTCCATCAGAGGCTCAAAGCTAATCCATACAAGGTCTCAGCAGCCATCTTCTGAAGGCCATCGCGCGGAAAGGATTCTCGGTCCCGACCCCAATCCAGCGAAAAGCGATCCCTTTGATTCTTGACCGAAAAGATGTTGTCGGAATGGCGAGGACTGGTTCCGGAAAAACGGCTGCCTTCGTAATCCCGATGATCGAACGACTGCGCGCCCACAGCGCCCGGTTCGGAACACGAGCACTTATTCTCTCTCCCTCCCGAGAACTGGCGATCCAGACTTTGAAAGTTGTTAAGGAGTTTGGCCGCGGAACCGACTTAAAGTGCGTCTTGCTGGTTGGTGGTGATAGTCTGGAGGAGCAGTTTGGATACATGTCGGCCAACCCGGATATTGTCATCGCCACACCTGGTCGATTCCTTCATTTGAAGGTTGAGATGAATTTGGATCTTTCCTCAGTCAAGTATGTTGTGTTTGACGAGGCTGATCGACTGTTCGAAATGGGTTTCGCGGCGCAATTGACTGAGATTCTTCACGCCCTGCCTCCTTCTAGGCAGAGTTTGCTCTTCTCTGCAACGCTGCCCTCGTCCCTAGTTGAGTTTGCGCGTGCTGGTCTGCAAGATCCTAGCTTGGTGCGACTTGATGCAGAGACCAAGGTTTCTCCCGACCTAGAGAGCGCTTTCTTCTCCGTCAAGGGTGCTGAGAAGGAAGGGTCACTTTTGCATATCCTTCACGACGTTATCAAAATGCCAGTTGGGCAACCTGAGGAACCGCAAGACCAGGAAGGTTCAAAGAAGAGGAAACGAGGAGAGTCTACGGGTAGTAAACCAACCGAGCACTCCACCATTGTTTTTACAGCAACAAAGCATCACGTCGAGTACCTGGCGAACCTACTTATTGAGGCAGGCTTTGCCGTCTCATACGTCTATGGTTCTCTCGACCAGACCGCTCGACGAATCCAAGTTGAAGACTTCCGGAGGGGAAAGACGAACATTCTGGTGGTCACAGATGTTGCGGCACGAGGTATTGATATTCCCGTTCTTGCCAACGTGATCAACTTCGACTTCCCACCGCAGCCTAAGGTATTTGTCCATCGTGTCGGCCGAACAGCTCGTGCTGGACGACGGGGTTGGAGTTACAGTCTCGTGAGAGATACCGATGCACCCTATCTTCTGGACTTGCAACTTTTCTTGGGGAAGAAGCTGGTTGTTGGTCAGGAGAATCCATCGCCGTCATTTGCCGAAGATGTGGTTGTGGGAGCACTGAAGCGTGATTCTGTCGAGGGCCATGTGGAATGGTTTAACAAGACTCTTCGTGACAGTGATGATATTTCTGCTCTACGAGGAGTCGCTGTCAAAGCAGAGAAGCTCTACCTGAGGACGAGGAACTCGGCAGCAAGTCAGAGCGCGAAGCGTTCACGCGAGTTGGTGGCAACTCAAGGCTGGGTGCAACTCCACCCCTTGTTCGGGGAGGATGTCGATGGATTAGAGCAAGCGCGTACAGACATGTTGGCAAGAATCAGTGGATTCAGACCTTCAGAAACTATCTTTGAAGTCGGCCATGGAGATAGGTCGACAGCTGGAGCTGCTGAGGTCATGAAACAGTTGCGAAAGAGAATTACGCCTAGGAAGCAACAGAAAACCGAGGCTCGGGAGGAGGAGGATGAATTTGACGGCCTTGAAGGTTTGCCGTCTGGTACCAAGATGGATGTCGATTCTGACGAGGATGCGGATGAGGTCGACGGACAAGCGGACGAGTACGACTCGGACGACGGCTTGGAAGTGACTGTTAGCAACACGGGTAACTCCAAAAAGGGACAGACGAACTGGCGAGATTCGGAGATGTTCATGTCCTACACGCCTCGCACAGTCAACGCGGCCGAGGAGCGTGGCTACGGCGTCCACTCCGGCGGCGCAGGCTCAAGTTTTGTGGAAGCTGCCCGCGACGTGACAATGGATCTGACCAACGACGATACCGCCAAGGCCTTCGCCGACCCAACCCGCTCCAAGATGCGCTGGGACAAGAAGTCCAAGAAGTACGTCTCTCGCGACAACGACGAGGATGGCTCCAAGGGAGCCAAGATGATCCGCGGCGAGAGTGGTGTCAAGATCGCAGCCAGTTTCCAGAGCGGCCGCTTCGACAAGTGGAAGCGCGCCAACCGTATGGGCAAGCTGCCGCATGTCGGCGAGGCGGAACGCCCCGGCAACACGACCCAGCTGCCGACGGGTGTCCGCTACAAGCACAAGCAAGAGAAGGCACCCAAGGAGGCCGACAAGTACCGCGATGACTTCGAGGTCCGCAAGAAGCGCGTTTCCGAGGCGAGGGAGAACCGTGTTGGCCGCTTCCGCGACGGCATGGGCAGCAAGAAGGAGCTCAAGGGCGTCCACGACATCCGAAAAGCCAGAGAGGAGAAGGCGAAAAAAATGGCCAAGAATGCTCGACCGACGAAGAAGAGGTGAGACGAATATGGTATATAATGGTCATTATAGCGATACGAATGATTCAATGCGACCTAGCGCTGTCCCCCGTATATGTGACTGTCTATGGACTTGAGGCTCATGTTAGCGCGGCCAATGACCCCCACGCTTGAGGCACCATTTCAATGGTGAAGCGTCCATCTGTCCCAGTCCCTCGGGTCAGCTACGTCATCGTATTTTAAGCGGGTTATGTCCATTGATGCCTCGTCGTCCAGTTGCGAAATGCTGAAAAGGATGAACGACATGCAATCTCTGATTAAGCGGTCCATTACTGCTCTATGGCTTCAATGGCAAGCACGCCGAGTCAATTTGCAGGGGATCGACGTCATTCCTTACGAATTAAGCACTCAGTTCCCAATAAAGTCTATTACGTTCTGTCCTAATAATGTTGAATCGCTTGCTAGCTAGCCCACGGCTTCACATCCCTCACATAACGCCAACCTTCTTGTAGGTTGGCTTCGCGAGGAAGCCTAAACAGTTCTCCTGAGCGCAGCTCTTAACAGGGTCCCATATGCCGAATCAATGACAAATGCTAGAGACGAGGAAAATTGATAAAAAGGGGCTTGTAGGAAACAAGTAAGAGTATATGGGCAATGTATTGTTGCTTTCCCTCTCCCAGATGGGGCAAAGCCGCTTCCAAATCTCGTGCGTGCGTGCATCGCACAATGGGTATCATTTCGATTGTCTTCGATAGAAAAATAAGTGGTGGTACATCCGTGTAATCAGATAAGTTCCGATAAGGAAGATCGCTAGGGTAAATGTGACGAAAGAGAAATAAGAGATGAATCATGAAATTCGTTAGGTGTGGTTTCGGGGTGATTCAGTTCCCGCGATGAGCTTATGTGTCAGCGATGTCTAGGTTGTCTAACCAGAGACTGATCGCATCATGAAGCAGGTTCTGTTGGGATCCAGCATTCCGTGAGTGACCGTTCGTGCTCAAGTAACCCCTTTCCCGAAGGTCGATAACCTCGCGAATAGTGTCCTCGAGGGCAGAGAGCACCACAGTCTTGCATTGCACTCGAGGAACTTCCAGAGGCATCTGTGGTAGTGCCGGCGGTTCTGGTGCAGTTACGGATATCGGCTCCTCGCCGTCGGTGCTCACGCGAACCTCGCTATGTGTCTGCGAAGAAGCCAACGAGTGGTCTTTGCTGGCCTCCTGTGTGAGACTAATAACCTTCTCAACGGCTTCACTGAGCGTCTCATCTGGTTGCACGATGCGCTCCTCAATCCATTCTTCCTCAAGTTGGGTCTCATAGGGAAGGATAGAAGGGGTCAGCAGTGCGCCGCCGTAAGAGCTGGATTGTCCCGTCTGCCCAACTGATTGACGATCGGAAGGGGCTCTTGGCTTAACCAGCCGGCGGTATCGAATACGCGTAATCATATTTGTGGTAGTATCGGCAATCATCACGCAACTGACATCAACCCATCGCTCAGTGAGGTCCCCACCAAGCGGGTTGGCAGGAGCGGGTGTTGGCTCAGCGCGAAGTGATGCCCTGACCTGTTCCAGGAGATCCTCCTGTGGGGGGATGGCCTGGAGAGAAAAGTCTGGGTGATAGCGATTCAACCAGCCAGCAGCATTCAGGGGCAAGTCCCCATCGACACATAATCGGGATACTTGTTCAAATGAATCCAGTCCGCCTGGCATGCCGGGGGTCGACAAGTAACCACTGCTCGATGGAGAGCTAATGGCAGACTCAAAAGACGTCATGTAATCAGGAAAGGGAATATCCACATCGATGATGCCGTCATCGGCATTGATGGATGTCTTGACTGGCGATTCGAAGGCCCCATTTGGATCAGGTGTTCGCTCAGGTCGGAGCGATGGCTCCCGGTTGCGTCCCTCAAAATCTCGAGGTGTGCCCGCCTGTCGACCGTCCATTGATTGACGTGGGCCATTGGAGGATGTTGCATTCAACTCGGAAAGAGTAGCGGCCTCTTCCACCATCTGCGATAGCTTATCCGGTCGGTGGAACGCTTGCTTGGTAGGTGATTTCGGATCCCCTTGGCTGTAGCTACTGAGTGTGGTTGAGTCCCTGCGACGAGCGCTCCATAGCCCACTGATGACGCTACCCCATCTTGAGCTCTGGCTCCTCGAATCATTGCTCGCGTTGCTCATCTGGCCAGTGATTTCGCCTCGTTTCAAAGATCGCTTTAGGTCGTCGGCTGCAACACTTCCACTGCTGCTAGGCCGTGGCCTTCTTCGGTTATCGCCTCGTTGCGCGGTGGAAAAGTGCGGCATCGTTGTCTCCGGCATCACGGTTGTGGTTGTCGCGGCACTGCTCTTCCTGCTCATGAAATCGTTGCCGGAAATTGGAAGATTTGAGGGACGGATTGATGCAGCATCAGAGACACGCCGTTCGTGATTTCGATCCATGGTCAAGTGAGCGAGCTGAAGAGGGACGGTGGAAGCCCTTGCGCTATGACTCGCTGTCCTAGAGTGAGAAGCTCGACGCAACCCAGTCCTACGGTTAATCTTGCGCCGAAGAGACTCCTCCCTGAGAACTGGAATGATGAAAGTTGGAGGAGAGTTGGAGAAGGTTCCAACGGAGGTTGAAGTGCTTGGTCGATGGGCTCGTGAAGTCGGGATCTGTTGGTTTGCGGGTAGAAAGGCGGAAAGGAGGAAAATGAGACGGCGAGCAGCCATCTTGTCTTCGGATATAATAATTGTTCGAGCCGGGAGAGATAAGTCTTCGTCGCTTCGGTTCTTTTGCTGTTGGAAAAGTCGCTTCCGGTAGGAAGGGGGGCAGAGAGCTTGAAGCCAATCGGTATGCGTTGCGAGAAAGCCACTTAGGAGGCTGTAGAAGAACTGCCCCCGTTCAATGCCCCCGGCCCATTTGGAAATCCAACGGGCCTCATCACGCCAAATCCCCCATCGTCCCTGGCCAGTCACAACCCTTGCCGCACTCAGTCCCATGACGATCCTGTGCCTGGCGGCATCTACCTCACCCGCGATGTTGGTGTCATCTGCAAGGCAGTTGGGCCACAATGACACCAATTTGGTTGTGCTCTTGGGTGGCTTTACGCGGGGCGGCTCGCCGCTGCGCCTATCCGAAAAGGAAGGAGTTCTGCCATGGTTTGAGACGGCTGAAGCCGAGAAAGGACTGGGAGATGTGATATCGACTTGCTTCAGCATCGTTCCCAAGATTGTTGCGACGACGGACTGAAGATGAGTCAAGGTCCGCATGATGATATCCCAATGCTGAGTAAGTGAATCGATTCTATCCTCAATGTCGATCGAATAGGCCGAGTCTGTTGTATCGCCGTAGGTGCTAGAACCAACCAGGGTCCATCCTGAAGGTCGAGCTGAGCTGAAGGACGAGGAAAATAACTCTGGGTCAGTGTAGGAACTCGATTCGCGGTGTGCCGACTTGGGTTGCGTGGCCGGAGGGAATCTTGTCGAAGAGGCAGGCGAAGAGGGAAGCTGGACCACCAAGACCACAGCATACATTGGTGTCCGTCGCTGCTTCGGCTGAGACTTCTTCTTCTTGGGCATAGGCTCGTCGCCTGTGGAGGGGAAGGGAAAGCCAACATTTTCATCCGAGTAGCGACTTGGGGGAGTAGTGTTGGATTCTGGATCATCGACGGATAGATTTACGGGAAAGAGGCGTGTAATAAGAACTTTCTTCTTCTCGCTCTGGCGGAAGTGTGGGTTACCGAGGGTTGAGCCATGTGTTGGTGAGACGGTTTGAGAAGAGTATGACTGTGAAAGTCTGCTCGAGCGAGCGCTTGACCGGCCGATGGAGCTGCGGCCATCCCCAATAATAGAGCTCGAGATATCATTGACTCGGGTCTCTCCAGGGACGACATGGACTTTGGTTGAGGTGCCTTTGTAAGACATCAGTTCTGAGTTTCCGAAGATGCATCCTGAGAATGTGGCTAATTCCTCTCGATACTCGCGTGAAGCTCGCTGAACCTCGGTCTCTGCCTGGGTTTGATTTCGACCCTGGAGTGATGCTCGACGATCAAAAGCACCTTGACGTGGCGGGGGCTGGGGACCGTCGGTCTGGATGACCAGAGGTCGAACGATGCTTCCCAGGCTGCTCTTGCGCGGCGAAGTCGGGGGCGGTCTTCGTGAGTCATGAGGTACAGCGCTTCGTTGAGTTGGTGACGGAGGCGGAGCGGGGTGACTATCAAAGAGGAGCGAGGCATTCGAAGGGCCTAGAGCATCCTGCATAACAATAACACGGACATCCCGGACATCGAGGTCAACATCACCACTGAAGTCGAAGGCGTTTGCGGTTGAAGTGGCTGGGGTGGTGGGGGTTGAGGAGAGAGGGAAGACCTGGTCGTTACGATGCTGGTAGAGGGCGTGTGCATCCGGGAAAAGAAGATTCCGAGTATGAATGTCTTCCTGGACAGACTCGAGTGAAGAAACGGGCCTTGACATCTTGGCCGCTGTCTGCGCTGTGGGTACGGCGGAGGAGCCGCCTGAGCCCAGGTGCAAGAGCCGGCCGAGCATATCGGTGGCACGCAGGTAGCTCGACAAGAGAGGTACGAAGGAGAGCGCCGTCAAGTTAATGTAGGCGACGAGCCATCATCAAAACGTTGAACGAAGGATTTCGAGCTGGGGGTGGGCACATAGTAACCTCTGCGAGTAGCATGTGAAGGTGACGACACAAGGTCCGGGGTTGGCCAGTTGCTAACTGGGGGGTTGGTGACGCTCAGATGGAGATTCGAAGACGCTGCATAGGTGAGAGATGGAACGGAGATGAGTACAATTTGGTGGTTGATGCTGGCGTAGCTAACAAGGTCGGTCAACTTGGAGTACGTGGGCGTTGCAGCGGCGGCGGCGGGTTTGGCGCGTGCGGGATAGAGGACGCTGTGAGCTGTCGCGTGTCTTGGAGAGAGGGGCGGGATGATGGATGAGATGGACTCGGCGAGGAAGCACGATAAGGCTAAGTGGAGTTTGAGAGGCGAAAAAGGCGAGAAAGGACGAAACGTGGGCGCGTCGGTGGCTAAAGCAAGGACGGGCGAGGGCGGATGCTGCGTGTGGTTGAGGCGGGTGGTGAGAGGCCGGGTGGGAGAGATAAGAGGGAGCGGTGCGGGCGGTTGGCAGTCGATGGTATGTCTGAATGCTTGGGAGCCTGGAGCAAGGGAGACGACAGATGAGAAGGAGACGCGAGTACAGGGAGCAGGTGTTTCCAGTCCGAGCTTAGAGTGTTTGGAGTGTTTGGAAGTGTTTGGTGTAGGTGGTTGGAGCGAGGCAATGGAGAGGTCGCCCTGGGAGATGTTGCAGATGTAGGTGGGTGTTTGGTGGTTGATCCAGATGGCCGGGACCGCCAGGTCGGGCGGGTGGCAGTGGCCTTCAGTGAACGACAGGGCGGCAGGGCGGCAGGGCCGTGCCACAGACAGCCCTGGAGACCACCACAGGTACCTTGGGTATCCAGGCACTTTTTGGCGTCCTACCTTACAGGGACGTATTGCGTAGTGCCAGCGAGAAGCGGCGGCGGCGGCGGGGGAGGAGGCGCCAAGCCAAGCGCCCTAGGGCCAAGGGTCGGCTGGTCGGTACCTTTTTTACTGAGTCGTCGTGGCTGATGGGCTAGCCCCAGGTGGTTCTGGCTCTGCTGCACCAGTCGGAGGGTACCTATTGGAGGTCTCTACGCAGTACGTACTACCGATGCACGTAGTAGCACGCACAAGTCGTAGTACGTACAGTGGTACAGTAGCTCGGTGGGTTCTTGGGATGATGGAGGGGATGGTCGGCAGAGTGGAGATTAGGTGTATGGAGCGGATCGGAGGGCGGCGGACCGCTTTGGCGGGAGCACCGATGGGTTGGTGGACGAGAAAGGTTGAGGATGAATAATGCTGAGGGGGGGAGGCGATCTTCACCGAGGGAAGTCCGGGGCTTCTTTTCCTCTTGCGGTCTGTTCGTCCAAGGGTGCTCGTGCAGGAATGGGTATATGTGAATGCCAGTCGTCGGCTATCACGACGCCATGTTCCAGGGTGTTGATGTCCCAGGCAATGTCCCAGATGCCGCCGACTGCTGGCTGCTTGCTGCAGGTGCGGGTGGATAGGCCACGATGCCAGACACACAGGCGGCCGGCAGTGAAACTGGGGCCGAGACCATGAACCGGATCGATCCAGTGGCTCACTCACGCCAGCCCAGAAATTAGTACAAGACAGCCTCCCCTCTCAGTCAGAGTTCCACAGGTGACGCTGAGTAGGCGGGGGCGGAGGGGCCATCATCGGAGGTTTTGAGAGGGACACGGTCTAAAGCCTCTAACGTGTGGGATGGATGGGAGCAGCAATGTTTATTAGTATCGTCTCTCTCCAAGGCTCAAGGGGTGGATGCGAACAGGGCAGCTCGGCGCGAGCGATCCCATTCCATAATAGTTTAACGGCAGCCGGTCCAGGGGTGTAAAGCATTACCCGTTGTTGGTTCCTTTGTTTCCCGCCCTGAAGGGGATTATTTCGCTAGTGTAAGTTGTTTACAATTGAAGGAGGAGGAAGAAGAAAAAAAAGGACCGGACGGAGGTCCAGGCCCCAAAGGATGGAGATGGTCGATGGACGGTCGTTCGGGCCATCCGTATGTACGAAGTAGACGACAGGACGGACTGCAACCCAGCTTCAGACCCCGGCCCACGGCTCCAGCTCCCCAGCTGTCAGCCAGTCGCCACAGCGCTCGCCGACGATGCGATGGAGAACCAAGCAGCAAAGCAAACACCTTGTCCTGCAGGAAAGAAACGCCCATGCTGGAACCCCAAGCCATTGGCCCCCAAAATGTCCAAAATGCGGTGAAAGCCCTCCGGCGCGTCGGATAGCCAGGGTCTTCCCGGCGGCACACACGCAGCAGCCAAGGATTCCTATCCTCTTGCGGCTTGCCCTCGACTTCCAACTTGGAGGCTTCTCACGGAGCCGGGGGCCCGAAACCAGGGCCAGTGCTCAGTGCCCAGTGCCCAGTGCCCAGGGCTCGTGCTGGCCCTGCTGGGTCGTCGGCGTGGGCGCAAGGGCGCAGCCAGGTTATGGGTTATGGGATATGGGTTACGGGGCGCTCACCCCCTGTCGCCACGGCGGAGCTCACCCAGGATCCATCGCCAAGGCGGAGCGCTGGCAGCCTCATCAGGCCCGACCCTGGGATTCTACGAGCGCCAGCGCCAGCGCCAGGCCACGGGAGGCTAGGCGTGCCGAGGCCAAGCACGCAGCAGCGCGTAAGAATTGGAGGAAACCAGATGAGCATGCCCGGCTAAAATGACGCCTGCGGTAACGGTCCCGCTGCGCGCGCACTGGCGCTCCGTCCACCTTACCATGGACGATGGGGTGTAAGCCTGGGCACTTCGTACTCGTGACAGCACCGCCATCTCCATCCATGGCTCTCGATTTGCAAAAGGATCCCCTCCGCCATCGCGTACTTCGTGCTACTACGTAGTACGTAGCACGTAGCACCTCTGTAAGCCTCAGGTAGGGCATCAATAGTGTGGAGTGGCACTGACACCCAATCGACATCGTCTCCAGCACCCCAGTCGCCCCAGCATGGCATTTGCCCACCCGTCCATCATCCGCCATGACTTGCTTTTTCTCGATACGTTCCGCCCGCCACAAGCCTCTTTCTGCTCGCTACCTGCTGGGCGGTTTCTGCTGTTACTGGCCCGAGTGAAAAAGCACACATGACGCTACTGTACGTAGTGCGTCGCTGTCGACAACCATCAGCAAGCTTCACAACACAGCAGCAACCATCACCACGACGCACCCCACTGTGGGCAACGAACTATGTGTTGCCTCAACTCGGTATCCCTTCGGCAGGCGAATGCCAAAAGTTCTTCAATTCACCGCACCCACCGGTTCTTCAGCAAGTGCCGGACATAAATCCTCCGGGGGTTGTAAGTGCCCTGGGAACCCCCAAGTACCGGCGGTTTGTACGTAATTGCGTAAATTGGACTCGACTCGCGGGTGTTGGAGCTTGAGTCAAGCCCAACGGCGCGTCTGAGGTTGCAGTGTCAGTCGAACGCCAACAAGAGCCCCAACAAGACTGTTGCGTGGCAATTCGGGATTTGCCATCGGGGTCCGGAAACTCGGAAACTCTTGCTTCATTGACAGCCACATCTTCCCCTGGCAGAGCAGAGCTAGTTTGATACAAGAAAAGAAAGACCTTTCCCTCAGGACCGTCAAGAAGATGCCCCCTTCATCCATCATTCGGGCCATGACCCATGGCCGTCTCCCTCAGTGGAGCCACACCCATTCCAACTCCATGCACTCGCCGCAACGTCGGTCACCAACTCGCCGGCTCGCTTGCTTCTGCCGAGACGGCCCACCCACCAATTCAAGCCAGTGACTTTTCTCGGGATGCTCACCCAACTTGAGGGTTTTGTTCAGGGTCTTTCCTCTCTGCCGTCGGCCACAGCCAGTACATCTGTTTGCAATCATTGCTTATGATCTAAGACAACGGCTATTCTTCAAAGAAGATGAGACAAAGTTTGCCTCGATGGCTCGGCGGGGTATTATTCGTCATTATCCGCAAGCTCCCCCTCCTCGGTAAGCTCCTGGATCAGCTCTGTTTGGCTGTGGCTCAAGCTTCCCCCCGATGATCGGCAGACACATCACTGCTGTACAGTCCACAACGACGAATGATGAGCTATTCGTGACATCGCCACAATACGTACTAGAATATAAATGTTTTCGATTCTTAGCTACATGTATAAACATACAGGTAAAGGCGCCGTGACATTGAACATGTTCGGCATATGACTGTCGGAAAATCAAATCCTTAAAAAAAAAAAAAATGCAAGACACAGAACATCTGCAATGGAAAGCTGCTGTGATGTGTTGACTAGCATTATTAGTGACGTCTTCAGTGGTTGGCCGTGTGCGCCCCGTATCAGGGTGGGATCTGCCGTGATCGCATCCACATTTTCGGTGCTCAATGCAGCCAGTCCGGTTGCTGATCTTCATCCCGCTCGGCAGTCGGCCGAGTCAACTCGGAGCTAGGTCTGAGGCCTCAAGAATTTCTGCTGCAAAATCCGTGACAAGATCGTCTTAGTGGTCTTGGCACATTAGCTGCTCGGTGACGCTTGCTTTTGTCGCATGCCACAGCTTTCAGCTTTCAGCTCTTCATTGCTTGTTGGGTTTGGCTAGCATCCACGGCGGTGGCTGGTAATCCTGCTCCCTTCTCGTGCCTTGATGACGACGATGCATGAAGATGACGATGGCGGCGGCGTACCGACGCCCCTCCAACACACCCACCAGCTCGCAGGCCATGCGTCTGCCTGCCTGTCTACCTCAGTACGGGTAGTGCGTTTAGCCTTGGCACGCATATCAAATCCACCCACATCATTCGCCTCAGCCTGTGCGCGGCTGCAGCGCTGCAGACAAGCCACAAGCAACTACATGCGGGTCCACGTCTACTTCAGGAAGTGGATGCCCTAGCGACGGCAACCCGTTGTCTCTCAACTCCGGCCCGGCACAATTGAGATTCGTTGAAAGGGCCTTGGTCGTGTAATTTTGTAATTTGGTGCCGCGTGTATGCCTCGCCATTGTTTACGAATGCTCAAGGGAGAGAGGATGATGGTGAGGGTGACAGTGAGATGCATCGTTAACAAGGTTCCCTCCAACAATCCAACAAGGGATTAACATGCCTCCCCTCCCAAACTAAACCCAAAAAAAGAAAGGAAAGGAATCCACCTTCCCCTTCCTCTTGGTATACCTCATCCTTGTCTGCGAGTTTCTTCGACTTATCCGACATCGAGTACTAACACGCCCGGGACCGAACTTGAGACGCAGCTGTATCACACGCGGCTCCGACTCACCACCCCGTTGTCCGTGGCGTCCATCACGTGTCGAGGGACCTAGGGTGGCTAACAAGTAGCTCCAAACTCCATCTGCCCTGTGCTCACCGCCCACTGTAAGCAACTAAATCCCCTCCTCCGTACAGCACAGGCCGTCAATCCTCCAGTCCAGGCGCAGCCAAATAAAGCCGCCTCATCTCAACTCGCTGCGAGGCATATGGTCCCCGGGCATCAAATCAAATTGTCTTGGACCGTTGCCGCTGCTTGGAAATGAGCCGCCCCAGTCGGCGCGCGCATGGAGCGGCCGCATGAGCTCCCCCCATCCCGGCTCCTGTTACATGTCACATTTTCCCCAAAATATGCCGCCCAACCCACCACCACGACCCCTGCCGCTGGCCTCCTCCGACTGCTTGGAACTCAGATTGCGCTCGGCTCGCGCTCTCGGGCTCGTTAGGGTCGTGGATCAGGCTCGAATTCCGTCCCTCGTACTCCGTACTGTACAGATGCTTGCAGGCTCTAACTGGCGCCTTAGCGCCCGCGTTACCGAATCCACTACGAGGGATTCGTCTAAGTTACTAGGGAGCTATGCACCGCACTTTGACTTGTGGATAGATGCCAAGCCGCAATTCAACTTCGACGACCTCCCGTCAATGATGGACAGCCAGGAACGTGGGGGAGGGGTTTCTTTTGCCCATCGAATCCAATCACTTTGCGGTTGCGGCGGTCCAGTTGCGTGCGGCAAGCTCGTCACCTCTCTTGGCCCGCCTTCTTGGGTGTGGTGACTTGACTAACACGATCAACTCCGCAGTCCATCCCGTTCCAACGCTGGCAAGCGTCCATAATTTCCTTTGCTATTGGACTGGCTATGAGCGGCCCGTCCCTGGGCCGTCTTGCTTGTCAGATTTCGAGAACCAACTCAAGTGTCCGAGCCTCGAGTCTCGCAGTCATGGGGGTGACATGGCGTTCCATGTGATACCAGGGCCCCCAACCTGGTCAATGTAACGCCAGAATCCCCCCAGGATTCCAAATTGATCTCCATGTTGTTCGCCACAGGCCCAGCAGCCCAGCAGCCCAGCAGCAGCCCAGCAGCAACCCAGCAGCAGCCCCGTCGGATGATCGCCGGCCCTGAGATCTCCAGACGCGTGGCTCGCCGACTTGCCCCTTTGAGGCTAGCAACCTGCTGTGCCAATATTGCCATTCACTATTTCCAAAGGAATGGTTCGATTTCTGCATATGCCATCGTGAGGCTGGCCGCCGGCTGACGCCAAGGTTGCTTCTTTGGTGTGGCTGCATCTCATCGGAGTGGAAACTGTTAGGGACATTGCGGGTTGTCATCGGCTCTCAACACCGAGAGGCGCACCCTTTACTATACTGCCCCATAACATATCTTGCATCCCATGACCGGGTTCACGGTCTAGTCACCCAGTCCTCCTAGGTTACTCGTTTGCAAAGGAGCTTCCCTCGCAAAATGCCATCTCTGCTAAATGAAGATCCCCCACTTCCTCAGTCTTCAAAGGGCCCATTGCTCAGCCGTTCAGCCAGCTGACTTCAGGGATCTTCCCTCCTATACTAAACAGGGATATATCGGGTTCCATTTTGCAACACCACAATCAGGGATCTAGATTGGCAACGTAACCAACGCCACACGACGACCAACCCCTCTTCCCCCGCCATTGTATTCCGCCAACTTGAGGCGGCAACAACGTCAGAGCGCTGATCACTGCATCTGGACTTGCGCACAGCACCTCATCCCGTCACACAAGCTGCCGCAAATCAGCTGGCAGTGGCTCTGCCCGCCTCGTCTTCGCCGGCTGGTCACGCTCGACCCAAGCTCTATTGCTGTGGTCTGCGTCTCACGGGGGTCTTCCGAGAGGGTCACCGGTCCCGCCGCCGACACTTCCGGTTGTAGGGTTGCTGAATGAATCCCGTAAGCGTGAAGGCACTCCATGATGATCTTTGCCTTGTCCGCAAAGCTCTTGACGGTTCTACCATCAACGACTAGGTGGGCAGATGCGATAGACTTGCGCTGGTCCAGCCGCCAGATGTGCAGTTCGTGAACAGATTCGATACCCGGGATCTAATGTCATGAGCATTGGTAAAGATACTTTGAAATTCTTAAACAGGACACGTAGTTGCTCACCATCTCAATGTCATGCTTGATGTCATCTAGGTTGATTCCGCGGGGCGCGATCTGTAACAAGATGGCGCCGCTGTTCTTGACCAATGGAAGCGCCGAGAGCAGAATCATGATGGCGATAAAGACGCCAACGGCAGGATCAGCGTAGTACCGCCCCTCTCCATCTGTCTTCCAGATGATCACTGCCGCGATTATCACACCGATATTATTGATGGCGTCTCCCATGACATGGATGAATACGCCGAGCATACCCAAGTCCCTGCCGGGAGACGTGTCCACCACTGCTGTATGTTTGTGCTCGTGATGACTATTGGAGCTCTGTGGTGCTATACTTAGTACACACGAGGTGGCAACTCACAAGATAAGCGAAGCGAATACTTACGGGAGTTAGGCGGGCTTCAGACTCGCTGGTCGTGTCACAACCAGGCGTCTCGGCGGAATCTTGGTGCTGTCCATGAGCATGGCTGTGGTCTTCTTCATGCGCATGCGGCTGTCCAGGGCCGTGGTCGTGGTCATGTTCTGATGGTGAATATCAGTCAACCGAACTCGGCACCGAGGGGGAAAGGGTTTCACCATGAAGGAATGACATGACCAGAGCGTTCAGGGCCAGCCCGACGCCGCCAACAATGAGAACCAGTTCGGGTTTCTCCACAGCTGTTCGACCGTCAACTCTTCGCCTCCTCCCTATTCTTTCTTAGGTAGACTTACGTGTAATGTCGGTAAACCTTTCCACGGCCTGGACTAGGATGCTGACTCCCAGCGCCAGCAGGAATACCCCATTGAAGAAGGCACCTAGCAAAGTTGCCCTCTGCCATCCGAATGTATATCCTTGTGGCGCTGGCTCAGTGCGCTCTGATACCTATCGCGCATCTCAGTATATCGTGAATCTCGGTGTAAGTCCTCGATAGTAACGAACCATCAGCGCGACCAATGCGACTACGATCCCAATCAAGTCGCTTAGCTACTGTCGTTAGTCCGCGTAGTTCGACCGACACCAATTGACGTACATAGTGGAATGCGTCGGCAATTAGGGCAAGTGAGTGCGTATAGAACCCAACTGCGCGAACTCGTGTTAACTTGGACTCCAGCCACCATTATAAGCTTCGAGTATACGGACCCACGAGCTCGGCGATAAAGAAAGAGAAGGATATTCCGATGGTGGCTATCAAGCGCTGCTTGCGGGTGACGTTGAATCTCGCCATATTTGTCTTCGATGATCGGTAGTCGCGAGGTTGCGAAGACTCGGGATTTGACTGCTGATTCTGAATCTCGTGAGTGAGGTTGAGGTAGGAAATACTTGGGCAGTCCCTCGTGCTTGCGACCGGCGGAGAGGCCACGGCTTTTATATATCGAGGTGGGACTGATGGTCTGACCGATGTGTACACGATTTGAACTGATGGTGGGCGATTTTACGCGAGGAACCATGGAATCCAAGGAACGTTCGCAATTGACGGCGATTTGGCCTCTGGTGGAGAGAGAGGTGATTTTCTTTTACGACGGCTCGTTCGCATCCCGCTTGTATTCACAGGCAAAAATAAATGACGATTCAGGAACGATATTCATCAAGGTTGTTTGTACGACCCACAGTTAACTTATCGATCTCGGACAGGTGCATTGCATTTGCCGAAACGCCAACATCGGTGGTGACACCGGCCTGTCAAGCACCACCTGATAACCCCGGCAAGTCGCAGGTCTCGGTACCTGCTTCCGAGAATTTGATTCTTACCCTTTATAGGATGTGTGCCGTCGGTTGAAAAGCTACGGCGACAGACGTAGCACTGAGGATGATTGATTGATGACGGCGGCGATGACGCTGAGCTTTACTAGAGCATGCTCAGGGTGAAAGGGAGGGAAGCAGCGAGATTTCACAAACACTAAGTTTACATGAATTGTCTGGTGATTTCAAATCAGCTGACACAGTTTCGCAGTGTCAAAGGTCCAGACTACATGAGCCAGACGCTGTTTCGTTGTGTCGCATCTAAGTCGAGCTATGTACAAGGATGCATTCTGTAACACTGCCGCAGAATGCTTCAGAACAAGCCATTCGGCGTATTATGCCGGTGAATACCTCGAATACCTACCTGTTCGAAGCAAATATTATAGTGAAACTTGCAGCACCAGGCCAGACTTCATTTGGGTCTTTGCATCTTAGGCCTACATGTCATTCGATCGTCATTCTGCATCGTGGGCTGTCCATCCGAGTCGCTGCCTGACTTAGAAAGCGCAACAGGTCATCGTGCATTAGCCAGGGTCCAGATCCATTCTTCCCATTACTTCAATCGAGCTAATTCCTTTTTCGTATCAGTGTGGAAAGAAGCACGAGCATCACAAACGAATCGCACTGTTGAAGTCCCTTTCTCTCCATCGACAAGCTTCCAGGAGCCAATCAGATTACGCAGCGATGGCAGCCGACTTTGGCGATGAGAATGGGGCCGACTTTGAGAAGAGCGGGTAGCTTCCTAATACAGAAGGCGGTGGGCCTACACCATGGCTCCAAGCTCGATTCTGCCGCGACGTCCGACCAACCTCAAGGTCGAGATCGCTTCGCCTCGACTATCGCATTATCACGGTGCCGACATCGACGTTGCTATATCGCTTGCACGCACGCCCCACTGCCGAGCTCATTCCTCCAGACTGCTTCGACCAAGTCAATCCGCGCCGCGACAATCATGCGATCCGTGAGATTGCATCGTCTCCCGTCCAACCTACCGCAGTAGCAAACGACCATCGCCTCGATCCCCCATGTCCCGAAATGGCAGCGCAAAGAATCTGGTCCCGCGCAAGGGGCCACACTGGTCACACCTCCGGCAATTCAGCAGGTCGAGCCTAGAGCGCATTCCCACCGAGTCCCCCGCCTCGCTCGCCAGTGCCTCGACCCATTCGACCGTCAAGGAGGAGAAGCGGGCCAAGATAGAGCGCCGGTGCACGGTCGCCGTGAATGAGGGGTACTCGAAAGATGAGGTTTTACTCAACCTGGACCTCGTGGGCGGCGATGTGAAACCGGGGGCGCTGATGTGTATAATGGCCGTGAAAGAAGACTCTAGGAAACCATCAACTGGTCATGGCTCCAGCACCAAGCAGGGCCAAGACCATAACAGTGGCTCCAAGGGCGCATCAATGGCTCAGGGTAACGGTGATGGCGCCGGCAATAGCTATGTATTTGTCGTGAAGGATATGCCCCAGGAAATGAAGACGCGACAACCCGACGTAGAAGTGTACGTCGTGAAGCACATTGCAGATGCCTTCGGGATGAAGAAGGGTTCGCAAGTTCTCCTAACCATGGTAGGTAACCCTATTACTAAAACGGCTCGGTGTGCTAATCATTGACTAGGTGGACAAGAAAAACCCAGCACGAAAAGCTTCCCATGTTGAGCTTACATTCAAGGACCAATACTTGTCGAGATCCGACATATGGCGGATGACAGTTGGGGAGTTGACGGAAAGGACTGTCTACAAGGGCCAATCCCTCTTGTTTATGGGCACTATCAAAGCCCAGATCACTGCGGTCTATGCCGATGGGCTGAGAGTGCATTCATCGTTCTTTGCCCGTGACACACGACCCATCTTCCGGAGCGAGTCGGCCAGATATGTTCTCTTTATTCAAATGGCTCGCGAAATGTGGGAGTTCGACTCGGAAAGCTCTGGTGAAATTATGTTCAACAAAGTCGTCAATGGATTCCTTCCGGCCCTATTTAAGAGGTGGGCCATGTTGAAAGCAAAGCATCTGGTCAGCATCGTGCTCTTCGCGCGAGTGGAATACGATACAGGGTTGAGCGCTGAGTTTGACACCTTGGAAGGAGATTACTACACCGGCATCTCACCCTCGGGACTTCGCCGGCCGTACAAGGACTTCTACCGAGTTGTCGTGAGCGAAATGAGCAGTGGCGAGTGGACAAGAATTTTGCATCAGCTTAAAAAGGAGTTCAACTTCTTCCGCAGAGATATCAGCCTTGATCATCACAAGGTGTTCGCTCAGTCCCAGCAAGGTGGAGGCAGTCAGATCCCCAAGGACACTCCCACAAACCGAGTCAAGGCGGAATCTACCATTTCCATGTATGGTAATGTCCTAGAGGCCATCAACCTAGCCTCCTCGCAATTCGCCCACGACCACATCGACAGAGATCTAACAAGGACCGGCATTTCTATCGCCGTCATCAGCCCTGGATCAGGTGTCTTCGAAGTCGACTACGAAACCCTGAGAAGGACAACTGAGGCTTTGGTAGGAAATGGTATTGGAATTGATCTGATATGCATGCCCAAGATGCCACTACACTCAGTTCCTCTTTTCAAGTACCGCAACCCCCAATACTCGGAGGAACGCGGTCATCCGCATACTCCCCACCATTCCGGCCTGTCGAGGTCGTTCCAGAGCCGCGACAGCACGCCAAACCACCCCACCCCCATCGTCGGCAGCTATCAGTCAATGGCGGAGTCATTCTCGCCCTCCAAGGGAAACAGTTTGACTCGTCGGATGGACCCCCTGACATCCATGGCGAGAGGTGATGAGTGGTGTTACGCGCTCCCACAGTGGCTTCACGTTTCGTACTGGACTGGGGCTTCTGACGAAGCCCTTTCCTACCAAGGCATTGCCTTGTCCGTGTCCAACAAGGTTGAGCAGGATGACGAAAACGACTTCAATATTCGATGTCGAATGTACGATTTGCAAATGAGGAGTCTCCTGGAGACGAATGAGATCGAAACAACCCCTCTCCAAGCAGATACGCAATTCCCTTCCAACATCACTGAGCAGCCCCCTTCGCAGAAACAGCGCCAGACTGGAATCAACGATGTTGTATATATCCCTAATCGTCGTGCTCCTGAGGCTCTGTTTGATTATGTGTACGGGTTCGCGAGATTTGTGCCTGACAGATTAGCAAGACCCGGTGAAAAGTCTGTATGGAAACAATTGCAGGAATTCGATGACCAGAAAGCTCGTGTTTCTAACAGCCGCCGCCATCGTCACTCTTCACGGCATGCCAGGGATCTGGATGACATGACTCGGAGGCAGCTGGCCGAGGAATCAGGTCTCTATGGGACTTCGCTTCCTGAGAGGAGAGCATCCCTGATAGGGTCAACCTCGAGAAAAATGTCCATGAATATGGCTGAGGTGGACAGGCCGCTTGTCATCAACATCAAGAAGACGCCAGAACCAACTCCCAAGCCCCCAAAGCCTACGACGACGGCAAAGCAGCCGAAACTGATGAGACAAATCAGCCTTGGACAGCGTGGTTTTGGTATCGCCGCACCAAAGGCAGTAGTAGCGGAAATCAAGGCGGAGACTGTAAATGCCTCCGGCGTTTCATCCGCACTCCAGCGAATGCCGTCCACTCCACGGATGCGTCCAGAACTTCGCCCGAGTTCTCCGCAAACGATCACAAGCCAGTCGTCCGCTTTGTCCGCACGCAAGTACCGACTAGATGCTCCCGATACTATCATCGAAGGAATCCCAACGACACCAAGCATCCCTATCCTGAAGAGGAACAACTCGAACCTCGAAATCGCCAATCAATTGAGGACTGCATCGATCGCCCCATCCCCATTCAGTGTCCATCATGAAAAACCCCAGGAAGATCGAGACTTACGATACTCGAATGCACTCCGAGCCGAGGATGCCCAAAAGGTGTACACCAATAAGTTGCGTGCCGGCGTGGTGCCTGAGCTTCCCGCAACACTGTCTCCTACGACAGCCATCACTCCGTGGCTGACGTTGTTGAATCCTTCGAATCCCGATAATCATATGATCGATGACACCATTCTATACAGTAGATGGCAGCATGTCTTCCCTCAAACCTCACAAATGAAGGTTCAGAAGTGGAAGGCGCTATGTTGTCCTGCATCTGTGCCGTTGACAACTGAGTATTTCCCATCAAAGACTCAGTTTGATACGGAATACCAGAGGCACCCTTACAACATCGACCAAAACGGGGATGATGAATTAGCCGAGGAGCCCAAGACGCGCCAGCAGTTTATTCAAGAGCTCATTAGTCTACGGTTCTCGCAAGGATTCCAGGTCGTTGTTGGCCCCGCTGTGGCAAAGGCCTTTGGTCAGAAACTCATCAAAGTTGGTGACATCTTCTCTCGCAACCAGCCTCTAGAAGACGGCACCAGCATCTTCATGTCAGTCGGCAATACGATCCACCAGCTTTCGTGTGTAAATGGCACAGAGGTCGAGGTGAACATCTTTATGCGGAAGCCTACAGATACCTCATTCACCCCCCAAAGCTTCTCCCCAATCTACAAGCCTGCCATTCGAACACTGTTTGATGACTCCTATGAGACGCGAGAAATCGATATGCTCACCGCCCGGCCGGATCGCAACTGGAACGCCATCGATTCGTACATAGCGGGCCATCATGACCAGATGATGGAAAGCTTGAGGTTTTGGCGAGCGCGATTTGTGCTAATCCCTGTGGTGTCAAAGACTTCAGGGTTGCCGAAGACCCAGAGCGGAGATAATGCCGAGGAGGTTCGGATCGAGGGAATCAAGCGTCTGGCCCAATCTTGGCAGAAAAATCGCTATATTCCTCCTTCTGAACGACGGTATCATTCTGTGGGCCATCGCCAACTACGGGACCCTAATCCATTGGATATTGTGTACAAGACTGAAGACCCATCCGTGGTCATCGCCGCCGAGGTCGAAACATTGCCGCTCGTCGAAGGCCTTGAAGGGGTTACTCGCAAGGGTCAGCTTGTGTTGAGCAAGGAGCGTTTCAAGAAGGCCAACCTGAACCTGGCAACGCTCGCCGACGCGATGCAACAACCCGTCGAGAATGGAGGTGTGCGGTTGCAGAACCGACGCTGGCATCTCCGACTGCATTACGCTTGCTTCATCGGATCCGATATGACAACCTGGTTGCTGGATAATTTTGAGGATCTTGAGACCCGTGAAGACGCGGAAGATTTTGGTAACGCCCTAATGGTGTCTGACGAGAACAAAGATAAGGAGAAGGAGAAAGGACTGTTTGTTCACGTTGAAAAGAGGCACCAGTTCCGCGACGGCAACTACTTCTACCAGGTTGCCAATGAGTTCGCAAAGCCACACTCTGGCTGGTTCAACTCACGACGTGCTGCTGGTGTCCCGCCCACGCCGATCCTCGAGCCAACGAGCCGAGATTCGCCGCGGAGTCTCATCGCACGCCCTACTTCGATCAATGAAGAGAACTCGCCCGCCTCAACGTCAACGACTCCCACCATGATGCTGTCTCACAACGCCAAGCGCCCGAGAGTGGTGCTGAGCAAGGTCATCAAGTATGACGTGGATCACCGCAAGCGGTCCTACCGGCCGGAACGGATCGACTTGCACTACGACCGCCTACACAATCCCGACAGCTGTTTCCACATCAGAATCGACTGGATGAACATCACGGCCAAGTTGGTCGAGGACGCTGTGGAGATGTGGGCGCGCGAGGCGAGCCAGTACGGCCTCCGCCTCGTCGAGGTGCCCATCAGGGAGGCCTGCGCCATCACCGAGACGAACCCCTTCCGCAAACCATTCTTGGTCAGGTTGGCCGCGAAGCCGCCCGAGAAGAAGCCCGAGACGTACTTGGACCCCAGCTCGCTCGGCCCGCAGACATCGCCCATCAAACACTTCTACCAGGTGGCCATCCTCAAGCGCTTCGACTTTGTGCTCGACGTCGAAGCTGCGGGCAACTTCCCCAGCAACGTCGACGTCAGCTACTCTTGGGGCAAGCCCGACTTCAAATACAGCCAATACATCCACCGCTCCGGGCTACTCCTCGCGCAGATCACCGACGACGGGGACTTCCTGCTGTTGGCCAACCGCCTCTACACGAACCGGCCCAGCAACCCGCGCGACAAGGAGATGCGCGCCGCCGCCGCCTCGGACCCGCCGCCGCTCAACGACCGCTCCGGTCGCATGTCATATTCATCCTACGGCATCCCCGCCGACACCTCCTCCGGGCCGCTCCCGTCGCCTCTGCTCAAGCCCGCCCCCTATTACTACCAGTCACCCGCCCTGAAGCCGATCGACCAGCCCAGCAAGGCCACACCGCTCATGTCGCCGAACCCAGAGTATCTCAAGTCGGGCTTCGAGGAGTTCTGCGGAGACGCCTCTGGTCTTGAAGCCTTCTACCGCGATGCCTTGGAGAAAGGCCAGGGCATCCAGGGCACGCCTGCCACGGCCATCGCGCCGAGCGTCCTCGAGGCTGTGCCTGAAGCGAGCATCCCAATGCTAGGCCTGCCACCGGGCGTGCTCGGCGGCAGTGATAATGGTCCTGCCAAGCGTCTCAACAGTCCCATGTCCTTCTTGCGTAGGGGCAGCGTACAGTACGATGGTGGGTCAAGTTTGAGCGGGCGTGGATGAGCACTGCCAGTCAGTTCAGTCAGTTGGCATTGAAGACGTTGACCAAGGAAAATTATGACGATTTTCCATGTTTGTTTATTTCGGAGGGCGTTATTTTGTTCATCGACTTGGATATGGAAGGATCGAACCTTTAATTTAATGTACCGTGTGGTGGTAATGGTAAATGCCGAATCTATCTACCTAAAAAGTTTCCCACCGAAGAGTCTCTACCTTTCGGCAGCCAGGGTATATACACATATATAAAAAGACAAAGCAACGAAGCGTTTTGCAGCAATTTCGACAAACCAAATCCACATTGCCGTTCCCATATTCCAGATTCGCAGGATGATTTATATACAGGGCCGTTATACAAGAAAACAAGTATGTGCAGGTGCAAAATAAAATAAAATAAACGAGAGAGATTACACTGTATTGGTAGGTAAAGGGTTGACCTAACGAAAGCGGCCTAATGCGGCGGCAGGTATATGTTACGTTGAGTTAGTTGAGTTAGGGTAGACTGTCAAAGTCAAGTCAGCGGTTATGCAAAATAAGGACTGGGAAGCGAATGTTTAACTTACACCAAGAACACGTGGCAATGATGGCATAGAGGCAAATCAACAGAAAGCCCTCAAGCCAGTGGCTCTTACCATCCGCAATGAGATAGTTTGTAAGAAGGACGGCAACGAACATGACAGCGACCTGGAACATATCGAAGCTGAGGTTCATGTCCTCATTGCCCATACCCCAGCCGATAATGACGAGCAGAGGGATGAGGAAGAGGGCGACCTGCATACTTGAGCCGACGGCAACGCCAATAGCCAAGTCCATTTTATCCTTGATAGCGACAGTAACAGCCGTAGCGTGCTCCGCAGCATTTCCGACAATGGGGAGGAGGATCAGGCCAACAAATTCTTCCGAAATGCCTCCATTTGCCGTAACAGCGTCAATGGAGTCGACCATGAACTCTGCACAAAGCGCGATGAAGACGGTAGAGATGGCGAGAGTGGCTACAGCCACCCAAAAATGCAGCTGGGGCTCTTCCTCTTCCTCTTCCCCATCCTCATGGGCAAGATCTTGCGGGTTCATGAGCATCTTTGACAAGCGCTCGTTCTCGTTTTCGTCAGCCATGCCGCGACCCATTAGGGCACCTGGGACAGCGAGCCCCTGCTTTATGGCCCCAGAGTTAAGCGAGCTGCTGCTCCATGGCTTGGCAGCAACTTTCTGGCTCTCCTCGGCGAAGACTTCCTGGTGAGTCTTGAGCTGGAAAATGAGGTAGGATGCGTAGACAATGAGAAGGATGATCGAGGTACCACGGGAGAGGCCGGCAACAGACTCCGTGGGGGTGGTGCTGGTGATGTCGAAAACGGTGGGAACAATGACGGAGGCGACAGCGAGGGCGAGCAACGAGGCGGCCGTCTGGGCGACGGTCACGTTGAAGTACTGCTGCTTGCGGCGCAGGCCGCCGAAGAAGAAGCAAAAGCCCATGACGAGAAGAAGGTTAGAGAGAATGGAGCCGATCAAAGAGGTTTGGACGATGACGGTGTTGCCATCGACAAGAGCGAGAATAGCGACGATGAGCTCGACGGCGTTGCCAAAGGTGGCATTGATCAGTCCACCTAGAACCTCACCAGTTCGCAGGGCAATCTCCTCAGTAGCAAAACTAAGCATGGCGGCCAGGGGGATGATGGCGATGAAGTTGACAACAAAGACGGCGATGCGGTTGACCGAGTGGATGTAGTTGAGGGCGATGCCGACGGGGGCGGCAACGATGAGGATGTTGATCCACGAGTTGAGGAAGGTTCGCTGGAGCTGGTTGGCGACGGTGAAGGGCTGCTTTGGCTGGACGTTGTGGAAGATGCCCTTCTCCTTCTTCGCCTTCATCTTTTCCCGCTTGTCGTCGTCGTCTTCGGCACGCTTGGGCGAATCGTCATCGGGTTTCCGGTTCCTCAAACCATCGTTATCGTTGACCAAAGAGCGCTGCGACAGAGCGATGTCGCCTCCAGCCTCGGTAGGTTGGCTGATGCTCCTTTCCCTCGACTTCTCGTCAACATCGCGAGGGCTTGACTCGGCAACGGTGTCCACGTTGGACCATTCTCTGGCATCGGTTCGGGCGGCGGTGGGATCGGTGCTGGCGTGGGCGAGCTTCTCGCCGGCAGAGGGATCATTACGAGTGGCTTGCTGCTCTAATCGGCCGCCATCCCAGGTGCCGGCGGGCTCGTGTTGACGGTCCCAGGAGACGTGACGGAAGGGATTCCATGACTGGTCGGAACTAGTGCGGCTGAGGGTGTGCGCCTGTCGCTTGATGTTGAAATGGTTGACTTGAGACATGGCAGTCGAGGATTAGCCCTGAGCAAAAGCCAGCGCAGGCATGGATGGGATAGACACGAGTTGGAGTTGGCCCCCAAATGGACGGATGGAGTTGGGAGGGGATGAAGTGCAAAATGCGAAGTACGGAGTACGATGTACGATGTACAAGCCAAGACAAAGTGCAAGACGGCAGGAGGGAGGTGCAGTCGCACAGCAGGGGAAGGAGCAGAAAATGTGGGGACGAGACGGGAGAACTTACAAGAAGACATTGCCAAGGGCTTGGCGGGCTTTTGGCACGAACGGGAAGGCGGCTACTTTCTCGTTTGGGGGCTGCGACTGTCTGTATTTTCGTAAAAAAGGGAAAGAGAAAAAGGCGGTGGTGGGAACGAAGAGACAAAGTAATGCTCTGGTCTGTGATTCCGGTCTGAGCTGTGGCTTGCGTGACGATGATCAAATGCCAACGGACAGAGGATAAAAACAAGATTGCTTGCTGTAGGGATGCTGGCTGTAGCCCCTTCTTTCCTGCTAATGTTGCTTGTTTTGGGATTGGCACGTCACCACCGGTTTTCTGCGCGCCGGCTCCTTAATATCCAGGGACGGTACAGACGTGCTAGGCACTAAATGGAATCAATGACGGAGGCCCCCAACCAGGGAACATCTTGCGAGCTTTTTGCTCCGGACTGAACAGCGGTGACTATGGAAGCCAGCCACAGCGTTGTGCGTTGGACGTGCGCGTTGTGCATGCGTGGTCATGGCCGTAGGCGCGCTTTGCCTCGTGTGGGGATAGCCATGACACGACGACACGACGACCATTACCAGGAGGATGGGAGGAGGCCTCACCCTCTCATCTCGCCGGCCAATCTGGATCTGCCAGTCTCTCACTCCTGCTTTCACTCCTGCTGTCGTCTCCCGGTCGCTCGTCGGTCTCGCTCCCTGTCGATCTCCCTACCTTTCACCTCTCGGCCTCTTCCCACTTTGGTCTTCACTGCCCTTCGACCTTCACCACACGCCAATCAGCCTAAGACAAGGCCTAGACCAGCGAATTGCCCTGCACGGAGCCTAATTTACGCAAAAGCCCCAAAGTCTCAACCTCCCAAGCGGCACTGCCCGCCACCCGAAGCTGAAGGTTATGCCTCATTGCGGGAACACCGCTGGCCGGGGCCTTGTTGAACTCAGAGTCGCCATAGAGTCTGACTTGATCTAGCTGAAACTGAGTGGATGGCCCCATCCAGACCGCGCAGACCATGAAATCGAAGCATGTCACTGTGGCATTTTGCACGTTGGACTTTGGCGTTCTAAGTTAGACCCTGGTCATTCTAACTTAGTCATTCCAGTCATTCCCCAACAGGCTCGATGCCAAGACGCCAAGACGGCCAAGAGATGCCGAGCGATCGGCCACGCGCTGACCGCCCCACTCTGTCCCGCCGTCGCCCCTGATTCTTTGTTTCCTGGTACTTCGGTACCTACTTCGTACGTGTTAATATACTTACCTGCCTTTGATATATCCAGGTATTTCCATCAAAGGTCCCTTTGCTCCCTCCATGCGAAGCTCCCACTCTCACCCCAATTGACTTACCGTTTGCTACCCAAGTACCACAGAATACACAATGACGTAGTTTGAGTAAAGCATATACCTTTTCATGGATTGTCTTTCTATGTAAATGCATCAAGCCAATTGCCTTCTCTCAAAGTTCGAACGCCTTGGCCACACTAACTGTAGGCAAATGTGAGCTAGCTGTAGCTCAGGTATCATCAAGAAAACCGTCGCTCCCAAAAACGCCCTCTCCCTCATTGCCTGGAACTGTCCACCACTTCAAGACCACCCCAGGCAGACACACACCCCATCCCATCCATAGACGTCATGTATTCATCCCACCTCTCCCAAAGCCAAGCCACCATCCCATTAACCATGTTTTCGGGTAGCCTTGAAAGCCACACCCGAGCCACATTCCATTCCAAAAACCCCACGTCAGAGGATACACCGCCACAAATCTGCCCAGCTCAGCCCAGAAATTCCCGCGCCAGCTCGCCGCCTTAGATCCAGTCTCCATCGAGATCAGCGTCATGGTCCTGTTCCACGCTCTGTTTGCGCGGTCGACCCCGTTTTCGCGGCTGTGAATCTGACCGCGCCCGTTTCTTGCGACCCCCTGGCGTCATCACTCCCTTCCGCTTGCGCCCTCGTTCGGCTGTGACGTCTCCGTCCTCGTCTTCCTCGCCGCTGGGTGTAGTCGGATCCGCCATCTGCTCCTCTTCATCGTCCACCACTTTGAATTCCTTGTCCACGTTGAGAAGCTCCACAAAGGCCTTGCACTTTAGAATCATTTGCTCCTGTGTCTGGAGGCCATTCATATGCGACGTCACCTCATCCCAAAACCTCTCTCCGTGCACTCCTTGCACCTTGGTTGGCGTTTTATTGAGATCTTTGGCCAACGCCTTTGCCTTGCTGTCGTGTCGATTGGTTCCCATTCCGTAGAGTCGGCGCAAATGCGTGCGAGCCTCCCACATCGACAACAAGATAATCGATCCTGCAGTCAGCTGGCGAAGTCGGTTTGTGTCGACTGAAACCGTCATCGTTGGGGCCGGCGTTGGGACCGGCATCCCCATAGGCTGTCCGTCCAAAGCTAGAGGTGCAGGCGCAGGTGCAGCAGGCTGATCAACGTCCATACGGACATTAAAAACCTCCGACTCGATAGCTTGCGCAACTGTGGCGCCTGTACCAGTCACCATCTTCTCAATCGAATTGACTGTCGTCTGCAACTCTCCAACCGTTTGGTACTCAAAGAATGCCACATTCTCGATGATAAATCGCGAAAAGTCCACATGCGTTGGAAGTTCCGGAGCCGCGTCCAACCTAGAAAGGTCAAAGTCCACCTGACCGCAAAGTTTCTCCAAGAAGCGCTGTCGATTTTTCATCTTGCTAATTTTGAGAACCTCCATTAAGAAGTGCAGTTTGGACTGGAAGGGGTTCATCGTCGCACCATGCGAATCCCCGACCACATCCCGCTGGTAAGCATAGGCTGACTGGACTGCCTTGGCATACTCTCGCTCGAGTACTGTCTCATGCTTCTCATGCAGTGCCCGGTGCTCGGCAAAGGCAAGTTCCGCAATCTTCCGGTTCGCTGACGTTTCCAGCGTTATCAAGGTAACACCCGTTTCTTTTGGGTGGGTGAGACCCTGTCGGTTGATGCTGCCCAACACTTCCATGGCGAGGAATGCATGCTCGTCTTGCGTTGTGACCGAGATGCGGGTGAAGTCCTTGAGGAATCTCTGGGTCGTGGCGCTTGCCACGTCATCAAAGCTGGTTCCTCCCATGACCGTGAGCTCCTTCTTCTGTTGTTTGGCCGCACCCTCCGTCGCTGCTGTCTCTGAACGCTTCTCCTCCGTGATAAGGAATTCCCTAAACGATCTCAAGATCATTGTTTCCAAGATGGGCACCTGGTCATCGAAGACTTGCTGGAATGATGTGTACACCTTCGCGAGAACATAGTTGCGCGGCCAAGCCTGGCATACCAAACCAATAGCTTCGAGAGATGCTTTGCGGGCGTCCAGGGGCTGCGAGGGTAGAGCAAAAGGGACCAGCATGTCCACCACCAGTCTCGGGACCGAGTCTCCCTGCCACTTCGGAAACTTTTTCTTGAAGATCTGGATCTGCTTGTCCAGGTCACAATGCTTGCCTACCATGCCCACAATGATCGAGTACGCAGAAAGGAATTGGAGCTTCTTGTTATCCAAGGGACCAGCTCGCAGCTTCTGAATGCCCAATAGACTAGATGCCACAAGATTGGCCAGAGGCTCGAAAGATTGTAGAAGGTCGCAAACAACCCGTGTGCAAGCAATCAGGTCATCGACAGCTCCTCGCGAACCGATTTTTCCAATCGCCTTCAGCAGTTGCAGGCGTACCTCCATTAGGAAATCGGAGTGTACGGTTGAAAGTTGCGGAAGTACGCGTTTGTAGATGACTGTGACGGCTCGGAAAGCAGTAAGCTCGTCAGAGCCTGAGAAGGTAGCAAGGTGAGGCTTGAGAAGGCGGATCTGCTCAAAATTGAACAGCTTTGGATCAGCCTTGGCAAAAATGGTGAGCACCTGCAAGGCATCTCGCCCAGAAGGGACGGCCGGATCATCCGAATCCAAATTGTCGATGAGGCCGAACATGTTGGCAACGAGCTTGGAGCACACGGAGAACGGCCCCTCGAGTGATTTACTCTGCGGCTTGAGAATGGTCTGGAAAACCTTGTCGAGAATTTCGGTGACGGTGCCAGACTTGACAGTCTGGATGATGAGAGCGACATGCTCCGTCAGTGAGGTCTGATACACGGCCGTACCCTCATCGCGATAGAAGGGACTGAACCAAACTTCTTCAATCATCTGCCGAGCCAGGTCTCTGACGCTCTCATCCGGATCCTGTACTCGTCGAAGCAACCCATTCGCTATCGCACTACGAAGCGGCTTGATGCGGTTGCGGAGATAGATGTCACGAGCAAGCTTCATGGCTCGCTTTCTCACGCCAACACCGCTGTCCTGGAACCGATCAATAATCTTGGGAGTCAACGATGTTTCCAAAGCAGGGCGCATGTGGATACAGTTGCCAAGCAATCCAAGAGCAGAGTCTCGGACCTGAGTTGACGAATCGCTGGCACATTCGAGAATCAGCTGGATAACGGCCGAATCTCCGTCCAAGATGGAGGGGTCGGTTTCGAGCACTTGGTTGACGCTCTTCAGACTCTTGCTTCGGACGGTAGCTTGGTCGCTAGCCATCGAACTGAGCAAGATGTTGAGGATCTTCCCAAATGACTCACAAAGAGGGGAGCGCAGAAGAATGATCGAGTAGGATAACTTGGCCTGGCTTCCGGAGACTGTCTTGAACGTGTACTCGTTCACAAGCCACCGTCGGTCCTCAATCATCATTCGTAGACGGTAGCCAAGGCGGCCGAGTTCTTGGTCTCGCTCATCGTATCCTTCCTGGAAAGAGTCGTAACCCATGTGAACCTGAGATGCCCAGTCTGCAATCACGAACGAAATTGCGCTCGAGAGGTGCGGGTCGTCAGTACATCGGTGTTGGAGATATTCAAGAGTTGCTCGATATGGTCCAGCCCAAGCAACCATCTGCTCCACGTGGCTCTTTTGTTCGAGGGCATGATTCGCAAGGTCTGCGAGGTATCTAGAAAATTCATCGGCATCGTTGCCCTCTGAGGAGCTGGCCATTCTCTTAACGTGAGATCGGAGGCGAGAAATGGCGGCGCTCATGCCACCTAGCAATTCCAAGGCCATATTCTTCGCCGGTGCAGCTGTCTTTGGGGCTTCAAAGAGTTGTACCATCATGACCATCAACAGGCGAAGAAGAAGTTCGGCTGAGGGCCAATCCGGAGAGTCGAGGCAAGTTGTAAAATCCTCTACAAAGAGGTCGAGTAGGTTCCGGTAAGGGGTGTCGCCGGATTTTGTGGACCCAATGGCACGTTTGACGATGAAGTTGATGACGTACGATGCGTTGCGCTGGGCATTGTCTGTCAGTGGAGTAACCGCAGTGTCGAGGTCCTTGATCGACACGGGGTGCTGCTGAGCTCCCTGTTGCTCGCTCTTGATAGAGGAGATAGGCTGCTTAGGTCCTGATGCGAAATCGTCGTCTTCTTCGTACCCTTCTTCTTCCCCCCTAATGCTTTGCATCATACTGTTGCGGTTGCGTTCTTTGCTGCTGTCCACTCTACCAGAACTTGCTTGGACCAGTCGCATAATTAGGGCGGATACGGGTTGGATGCTTCCTCCATCTGAGAGCTTGAACTGTCGAGCACTTTGCTTGCCAACAGGGAGTTTTTCGAGAGATGTGAGAATCTCATCGATAATGCCCTGCCGTTGTTGTGGTTTCATCAAAAAAATCTGGCAAAGCATATCCATCGCCACAGAACGAATTCCGTCAAACTTCTGGACACCAACAGCAGAGTCCTTCTCGAAGTAGGCGTTTTCGACAAAGATCAGCCGTGACGCTGTGAACTCGAGGGAGTTGATGACGGTGTCCGAGAGCTCGATTTTGGTGACCAATTCAGCCAATAGAGCGAACAGTTTCTGGCAGCAAACAAAAGTTGAGGTGATAGCCTTCTTGTGCCTGGAAAGCGTCTTGAAGACGTTTGCTGTATTTCCAGATGGCCGAAGCTCCACCAATGGCATGACGATATCCTCAGTGACCAACTTAAAGATGTCGACACTTCTTTGAATGACGGCTTCAGAATACAGCTGCTTGTCTTCTCTGCCGCCCGACAGAATACGAAGGCAAGTCCGTGCTGCTTTAAGTATCGTGTCAACTTCTGATAGCTTCTGAATCCAGGACTCCACTGCATCCTCAGACCAAGACTCGTCAACTCGCATCTCCAATCCTTCTCCTTGTTTTAGACTCGCTTCGCTCAGTTTCGTAATCTGAACCAAGTGTTCGACAGGGACCCTGTCATAGCACTTCAACCCAATCGTCTTCTGGATCGCTGTGTGCATCTTCTGCTGGGTTGCTGCAGTCATTGCAACCTCTTGATCTTGAGTCATAGTCACGATGTGATCGTAGCCAGGTTCCATCGCAAGAACGCTCCCCACAGACGCAAAAACGGTTCGCACCAGTTTATCAAGGGCATCGAGAGCCGCCTCGCCCCGTTGACGTTGATCGAGACTCTCTCCCAGTAGTTCTTGGCTGTCTGCAAAGCCTTGCCGGTCTTGCCTACGAGCCGAGAGATGTTGTGGTTCCTCAGGCGCTTCCTCAACCTCGACGTACTCGTCCCGGTTGATGCTTGTGATCGGCAACTCGATCCTGATGGACAAGTTCTGGGCAGTGTCCGAACTGCCAGGGAATGGTGGCAGGGGAACTGGAGTCTGGGGAAAGCGCGGTGGTTGATGTTGCACCGGGGCTTGTTGTTGAGCTGGTGGTTGAGCGAAGACTGGAGATGGAACCTCGGGCTGCATGAGATTTCTCACGTCGATATATTGCGACCCATCAAAATGCCTCTTAGACGGAATAGCAACCTCGATTCTAGTAGGATTCAACGGATTCGTCTGAGCATTCTGCGGCGGGAGTGGGTGTGCTTGCGGGGCAATCGGCGAGTTGAGTGAGGAGGAGGAGGAAGCCCGTTTGGGGTTGTGGTGACCTCCCGCTTGGCCGTTGGATAGTTTCGCGTTGGGAACGTTCGCTTTCGTCGCCTTGAAGTAGCCTCCAACTTTCTCGTACACGGCTCTTGCGATCGGGGACAGGTCGTCGGCTAGGCTTTTCCCAGCGATGGGGTTTGATGAACTTCTCGGGGCGGCGCAAAACTTGCTACTACAGGTCAGTATCAGGGACTGCCGTGGCCAGGAAAGCTCATCCTACAAGTGAGTCCGTTGGTTGGGCTTCATGTCCTGTAAAACATGGTCGACTGCCTGTTTGACATTCCGGGGCATCTGCACCTGTCCGTAGGCGTCCTTGTTCAGGCTGTCGAACTCCTGCGTGTGGAAGAGGTCGGAAATGGGTAAGGCGGGAGTGCCTGAACCTAGGCTCGGGTCGGGGATGATATCTGGCAAGTGTTAGGTTGTTGAGGTGATAGAACGCGCGAAAACAGGGCGGCCGCAAACCTGAAATGAAGGGGATCGTTGACGTTTGTGGTGAATAGGGTAACGATTCTTGCAGCGTGAAAGGGCGTGTGATGTTGGGCCGAGAGTTTGGTGTCCCTTGATGGGCATAGAGCCCATTTTGAGCGGCGCCACCGCTATTCAGGTTGAAGTGGTCCATTTTCGCAGTGCTCACAATAGCCGCTCAGTCAGACATGCCGGGGGAAGGAGCAAACGGGCAACGCCGCATCGGGGGCTTGGGGGGACTTGGACGCGATGGTGAATTGCAGAGCTTCGTTCGACGGCGCAGACTTGGTAAAACGGCAGGCTAGAACCTGTACGTAAAAGGAGCGCGATGCCGGTTGGGCGAGTCGGGAATGATTGTGGCTCAAGGCATTGTCGGCCTCAACAGATCGAGTTGATAAATGCACACGGGCGAGGATGAAGCCTGGGGAAGCGACAGCCTCGCGAGCTTTCCTTGAAGATTGATTGATGGACGGTGGCCCGTGCACCTGTTTTTGGACCAGTCGGCGTTTGATCCTATGGCCGACCTCGCCGCCTTGCCTTAGGTTGACAGTTTTTCCGGCTGGGGTCCCAGTTGGATTCGGCCTAGAGGTATGATGGGCCAGCCAATTTTTGTCTCTGAATTTGTTCCAGAAAGCTCCCGAACACACCGCAAGAAAACACTTTACCAAGAGCACACCATGGCAGCAATCGGATCTCTCGTCTTCTGTACCGACTGCGGTAACCTGCTTCCCTCGACCAAGGGTACCGAGCGGAATGTACTTAGCTGCGAATGCTGTGGCGCAGAGAATCGAGGTTTGTTCGCGCCCGCGAAACAATGCCCGCCGTCAATTTCTAACGCGCATTTGTGCAGATACCGGCTCCAAGTCCATTGTCACGCAAACGAAGCCGTCCGACTTCCCCTCCTTCCTGAGGCAGAAGCTTCAGTCAAACGTCCAGGCCGTCGAGAAACACAACATCCAAACCGACAGTATCAGCCAGGAATCATGCCCAGTCTGTGCCCGAGAAAACGTCAAGTACACCAACGTGCAGCTGCGTGGTGCAGATGAAGGCTCAACGGTCATCTACCTCTGCGACTGCGGCAACTCGTAAGGAACCCATGCGCGCATTGGCTAAACGAACTTCTTTTTTAACTTATAACTTTTTAGATGGCAAGAGAACAACTAGAACTCGTGTGGCTCAGCATTCGCCAGTAAGGATCATAATTCATTCAGTAGCACCTCCAACCTCGGGGATCAGTGCATATTCCGTCTCTCCGCTGTTCTCGTACTCGGCGATATCCAACGCAACGATACAACTCTCCCGCACGACCTTCTCCTTGTCATTGAGGAACAGTCTCAAGGTCGCCTCAACACCCTCCTCATCGCCAAGACCACCCAGCGCCTCGGCCGCCTCGTGTCGAACCATACTGGCCTCGTTGACGTCGCTTAGCGATGCAGTAAGCGCAGGGATGGAGGCGGGGTGCGACAGCTGGCCGAAGACGAACGCGATCTCATGACGGAACAACGCAGACGGATCGGAGAGGCCCTCAGCGAGCGCAAGCACTGCAGGGACGGCTGTAGGAAGGTCGGGTGGTGAGGCCAAGTCACGGAGGGCAAACATGGCGCGGTATCGGACGAAGAGGGGTCGGGTCGTGTCCATCAGCTTCTTGCCAAGCTCTGCGACATCTACTTCCTTCTCGGTCTCGGGCATTGGGGGGGCAGGGTCGATCGAGGAAAAATCACTAGATCGTTCAGTCAGTCAAGGGGCAACCCAACAGAGCATAATAGAACTGAGAACAATTCGCGTACCTCTGGCGCAACTTCTCCCTTTTCCGCTCCTCGGAGCTCTCCCACTCGATGCGGTCAATGGCGATCTCGCACGTCTCGACAATGCTAACATCCTCGCCCTTGCGGTCGCGGTACTCTAGCAGGATGTCGAGGTTGTCCGCCCAGCCCAGAGCGCCGAGAGCCTCAGCAGCCTCGTGTCGGACCATGGGATCCTGTTCGAGGTCCGCGAGAACCTCGCGGAGGGGCTTAACAGCAGATTTGTGGCTAGCCTGGCCCAGGCAATACGCAAGTTCATGCTTCAGTAGGGCCGAGGGCGAGGCGAAGGCGGCAGCGATGGCATCAACGGCGCCGACAATGTTATCCTCCTCGTCAGAGGTGACGGCGACGTGCTTGAGGGAGAACAGGGCGCGGAAACGGATGGGGAGGGGGGTATCCTCGGAGCAGAGGGACTTCCTCAGGCTCAGGACGGTAGAATCGCCCCTGGGGGTTGGTTCGGGGGTATCAGCAGATGGTGCCATTTTGAATATTTTGAATGAGTGTCGTAGTCTTCGGGCGTGATCGCAGGCGCACAGTCGATCTCAGGCGATAACTGCAGCAACCGCTCAGCTCAGAAAGAAAATTTACGCGGGGTTACGGTCTTATCGTTATCAGCGAGATAACCCCGCCGAGCACCGGGCGCATTGCATCGGAGCAAAAATATTGGTGTCGAGCACTCTTGCTTGGTTTATGTGGTAAATTAAAATCTCTACACCCAACCAAGTCAAGGGAAGCGGTCCACCGCCTCCATTGGTTTCGTGGTCTAACGGCTATGACTGCGGATTCTGATTCCGCCAGCGAGGGTTCGACTCCCTCCGAGACCTTGACTTTTTGCCGTTTGCTACGCTTCACTGCCGAACTTGGTTGGGAGATGGATGACTCGTTCACCAAGTTACCCCTCTGCTTTCTTCAAACTCCTGGTTGGTTTTTTAGAGGAACAGGGTACAATGTAATTCGGATATGTCACTGCACGGGGATTAACAATCGACGAGTCTTAATGCAAAGCGAATCACATCGTTTGCTTACCTACCCTAAACTAATCAGCACTCATCTTGAATTTGTACCACCCTTCCTTTTATACCGCCAGGCATCTTTTAACTGATTGCTACCCTTTACCTGTCAGTTTTTCCCCTTCATATACCAATATTTTGAAGGGACGGTCTTTTGTCCTAGAGTGGCCCCATTTGCAAGTCGGGGTACCTAACAGCCAACCCAACTAGCAACTCGCCTAGCTCTGACAACCTAACATTATTAAGCTTCGAAACTCATATCGCCACAACCCCAACCATCTTCATCTCTACATATCACGGCACCCGACTGTGAAATACAACAACTCTAAGGCGCAAACACATCATGGCACCCTCGCTCGAAGCGCCAGAGCCCGTCGAGGACGTCATCGCCAACCCCCTCAAGCAGCAGCTCGTCGCCCCAGAGCCGGAACATTGCCCTGGCCCCGAGTCGCAACAGGCTGGCACCGCCGACTCGTGCGCCGGGTGCCCGAACCAGGCCATCTGCGCCTCTGCACCCAAGGGTCCGGACCCGGACATCCCCATTATTGCGGCACGTCTTGAGAATGTAAAGCACAAGATCCTCGTGCTGAGCGGCAAGGGTGGAGTGGGGAAGAGCACATTCACATCACTGCTGGCCCACGCCTTTGCAACCAACCCGGACAATACTGTGGGTATCATGGACACTGATATCTGCGGACCCAGCATTCCCAAGATGATGGGCGTCGAGGATGAGACGGTTCATGTCAGTGGTACGGGATGGTCGCCTATCTGGGTCATGGATAACCTCTCAGTCATGAGCATTCAGTTCCTCCTCCCGAACCGCGATGATGCCGTCATTTGGCGCGGGCCTAAGAAGAACGGCCTGATCAAGCAGTTCCTCAAAGATGTTGAGTGGGGTGATCTCGACTTTCTACTGGTGGACACACCGCCGGGCACCAGTGATGAGCACCTGAGCGTCAATACCTTCCTGAAGGACAGCGGCATCGACGGGGCTGTCATGGTTACCACGCCCCAGGAGGTCTCCCTGCTTGATGTGCGCAAGGAGATCGATTTCTGCCGCAAAGCCGGCATCCGGGTGTTGGGTCTTGCAGAGAACATGAGTGGCTTCGTGTGTCCCAACTGCAAGGGCGAGAGCGAGATCTTCCGCGCGAGCACAGGTGGCGGCAGGGCGTTAGCCGAGGAAATGGGTATTCCTTTCCTGGGATCGGTACCCTTGGATCCGCGGATTCGGATGGCGTGTGATTATGGCGAGAGCTACTTCGACTCCTTCCCAGACAGCCCAGCATGTCTCGCATTTCAAGGGGTAGTGAAAAACGTGGCGAATCAGCTGGGACTGGATACCCGGAGTGTGCTGGCAGAATAGACGCACTCTACCGTTACGCAGTATATGTATGTAGATAATGATGACTTCTTCTTTTTCATGTCCCGCCTCTTTTCTTTTGGGCTACGCATTAAGTCGTTTCTCACGTGATATTCAAACATGTCGTGACTATTCGTTCAGTGGCCAGATTCAAGCTTCCCAGGAATCTCTTCCAGGTCTTCCGCCGTCTCCAAATCCACAATCCTGCCAACCTCGCTTGTGTTGCGCATCAGCTCCTTGGCGCCGGCATACAGCATCCTCATGCCCGCATTGCACGTGATGGGGAGATAGTACAGCATGACGTATGGAACGGAGATCCGTCCGTCAGGCTATATGTTATTCGATCAGGATCCGTCGAGGAAAACGGCAAACTGCCATGCATATTTGATCGCGGGACGACGTACCATGGTCAGAGGGTAACTGAGGAGGACGAATCGGGGGGAGTGGTCGGGGAGGTCGTCAGCAATTTCGTCGAGGGATGTGTAGACAGTCTTGTCATCGTCTTGACGGATCTCGTGTGTATTTTTGTCGATCATATCTGGAGCGCGAAGGAGGGGCGTTAGTCGGCAGTTCAAGGAATGACGGTGGTGGGGATGGTAAACGAATATGAGCGCAGACAAGGAGACGCACATACAAATGACGGCTTGGGGATCCTTGGCCCGGGAGGTAGTCAGGCGAAACTTGCGGAGGTGCTCCTTGGTCTCGGTCGAGAAGGTGTACAGTCGGGATTCGGAGGCCTGCGCGGCAGCATGTCAGCGGGGGAGCTGCGAGCTGTGATCGCCCAGGGGTGGCGCTGCGGCTATATATATTACCATGTTGAGCGTCGGAGAGTGGTCGCCAATAAGGGAATAGCGTAAGGGGTTCTGAGAGGAGTGATTCCCAGCCGTGACGCTCTTCTGAAGCTATCACCAGATTGATTTGGTAGTAGGATAGGTAGTCGGGAAGAAGGCACATAGAGGGGTGGTCGCAAGCGACAATAAGCCCCGCCAAAGCCGAGCCAAAACCAGGCCAAATCGAATAACTGCGCCAGGCGAAACCCCACCTGTGCCGCCCTTGCTCTCTGAGCCAACGTCATCCTCGGTCGATGCAGCCGAACGTGTTTCCATCTGCAAGTTAAAAGCTCTCCAGCCCCGGTCTCGCGGCATTTTCGCAGCCACTCATGTTCTCGCGTCTCGCCCAGATCACGAAGCATCTTTCAGCTCCCGCTGCGGCTTCGACTCGGCGATTTACACTCGGAAGAATGGCTTCCGCCGATGAGCGCAATGCGCGCACGATTCACACCGCAGCGTGCTTGATTATTGGTGACGAGGTCCTGGGTGGAAAGGTATGGGGACAGTCATTGGGTCATTTAAACGTATCACTAACACCGAGATAGACCGTTGATGTGAGTAAGGCTGCGTTCCGGAGCGGGGTGTCTTGACATGGGTTACGGATAAACATTTGTTGACGCCAACATCAGACCAACTCGGCATACGTCGCGAAGTGGTGTTTCTCCCTCGGTGTTGTAAGTTCTATGACTTGACGGCTCCGAGATTTTTTAAATCTGATCAGTCACACAGAACTTGAAACGAATTGAGGTTATTGAAGATGACGAAAGTGAGATTATTGAGGCAGTGCGAAGGATGAGTGACCGCTACGACTTTGTCGTGACGAGGTAAGTATCTAATGCCACACGAGAAAGCAACCTAACTAACATTTTCAAGCGGTGGCATTGGACCTACGTAAGTCCGTGTTCGTACAACGTGAGCATATTCTGATTGTTCTAGGCACGATGATATCACCTACCAATCGATTGCCAAAGCATTCGGCCTCCCTTTGGTGCTACACCGAGAAACACTTGCGAAGATGAAGTCGATGTCCAAACCGCACCCATCTCAGCCCAAGTTTGACTGGGATGTCGACTCGCCCGCCCTGAAAGCTAAGCTCCGCATGGCCGAGCTCCCGACGGACGAGTCCCGTGACTTGAAGAAGCAGTTCATCTTCCCGCATGAGGAGCTTTGGGTCCCAGTTGCAGTTGTGAACGGGAATGTTCACATCCTTCCCGGGATCCCGAGACTTTGTGAGCTCAACCATGACCATAAGGTACTGACACATATTAATCGCAAATTCAATAGTTACAAAGCTCCTTGATGGATTAAAACCTTTGATTATACCAAGGCTTGAGGGCAAGGAAACCCATAGAATTTTGATTTCTACTCCCCTCCCAGAGAGTGGCGTGGCTGGATTCCTCACCGAGTTGCAAGCCAGGGTTGAGCCCCGCGGCATCAAGGTCGGCAGCTATCCTCGTTGGGGCAAGAGCCGCAATACTGTCACACTTGTCGGAAAGTATGTGATCGCGTTTCAACATGCAAAGAGGGGAAAGCTGACATATTTACAGGGATCAGGACTACCTGGAGAGTCTCGTTGCTGAAGTGGAAAAGGGTGTCCAGGGCCTGCGAGTTTCACAAGAGGGTGAGGATGATGACCAACCCACCGAGGGAACACCGGAGAAGGACGGCGCAAACACGAAGGAGGGTGGAAAGTGAGTCTTGACATAAGTCGGACGCCCGCGATACTCAAATGGACACCGAGGCCGACTAAGTGTTTGCCTATTACACTGCACCGGCATTGGCACGTGGCTGTCGTTTCGCCGAGAACCTTGACGTTTCATGGTAAGCTGGGGCGTGTGTCATTGGATGAAAACGCCATGCTCGAACGCATCATGTATCATTAGATAGTCAGGGTAGTTATAGAGGCGCAGTTTGATGTTCGTGCTTCAGTTGGTCGTATCTAGTACAGTGACGTGGAAAGATTGGTCCATCTTGAGTACATAAGACTCAAATGTAGGACCAATGTCACGATCCGAACTTCTTCTAACATCCCCGGAACAAGCCCGGTGTGAACCCCGGCCTAGATTGTCTCAAAAGGAATGGCGCCTACGAAACATTGACGTGATGGTGATCTACACCACCGGGGCGACTTCGATAAGACAAGGACGCGGGGACTACGCCTCATTTCCCAACCCGCAAGGTGAGCCTAGGACAAGCCTAGGCCCTCGAGTGGACAGGTGGGTGTTCGGCAGATGCTCATCTTACGATTCGACAAAGGAAGATGGCAACACAGTGCCTTGCGTGCATTGCAGATCACAGGGCGACTTGATGCTGAGACGGGACAGCGCAAGGAGCTTCGCCCTGATTCGCGCAAGACTGACATCGCGTGTCCGGCTGAATTACCATTTGTGGGCAATTCGAAGAGGGGAAAGGTCCGCCGCCCGCTACAGTAGACGCAGATCCGGTTGTGCCCTCTATCACAAGATCCCGCGGCGCGAGCAGAGGAGCAAATCACGACCGTGGACAATGACGTTTGTGGCATGATCGGCGACAAGGACGAAGATCAGAGCTCAACCTCGGCCGCGCAGGAGATTACTGAACCTAGAGATGAGAACCACCTTGGCGTAGAGAGCTAACGCCTAGAGTAATCTGCCGAAAAGGGGGTTCGTGCTGGGAAGTGTCCCAAGACCGAAGCTAGAATAGTGATCCATGTGGACCTCTGTTCCCTACCACCACGAACTGTACCAATGTGCGGTAGTGGAGACGGTGCATGGCCCCAGGGAACGCCATTTCGTTCTAGAAGGGTGCACAAGAATGTGGATGATGTTGGTATCCAGGGTCTTGGGAGTGTGCGGCCACAGGCATGCGCATGGGCATAGGGTAGGTGAACGAGAGACAGACTCGAATAGTGAGGAATTGTGGTAGAGCTGAAGCTGGGGGAGGACGAGATGGCGAGTAGCTCGAATGCGTGGTTCGTGCGATCGCTAGCTTCATTCCAAATCAATGAGAAATTCCCATCACGTGCTTGCATAGTTACAGAGGAGAAACGCTCCAATCCGAACGCCAGAGAACCGTTTGTGCTTGTAATGGATACAAAGACCGACCTGTGATTTGATAGATACCTATTCACTAGAGTAAGCCCGAAACATCTTGCTTTTTGTTCCACATCCAGTCAATCGTCGTCTGGGGTTTCATAGCCTTAAGGATGACCGGCACTTGCCTTATCATCCATGATCCAAGTGCCGCCTTGTGCAACGTCGTACCAACTTGCTGCAAACAGAAACTTTGCGCAAGTAAGATTCCAACAACCCCCTGGGCTGCAGTTGGGTACCCTTCATGTATGCGACCTCATGTACTCGAGAAACTGCGATCAAGTTTCTAATCGCACCAATCCCTTGGGATTGGTGCCCTCGCTCCACCACATCATTGCACGGGGCGACCCGTGAAGGTTTGGCACCACCGGCATCTCTGGGGAGACATTACAGGTCTTGGAAGCCTCGGTTTTTTTATTTCCTCTGGAGGGAATTGAATCGGCGATGAAATATCCAGTAACCCGGCATACATCTAGAGATTGCGTGTTTGACATCGTGGTGTGAAGAGCATAACGTGGCGCAGCGATGAGTAGCTGCTGATCCTCATGTTGGACTTGCTACGTCAGGCTGACCAAACGCATCGCATATCAAGTAAAACATATCGCAACATTTTCTTGGTCTCGGCACCTCCCTCAAACCCGCAGGTCAATGCTTGGAGGACAAAGGGAGCTTCCCGGTTATTGGGGTCAGTCCGAGAATACACATACTGTTGTTGGGTTGGTTTTAGTCAATCTCGGTCGTGAATGAAGCAGGCAGATAATCATTTAGACTCGTGGTCCTTGCTTGCAGAGTTTGGTAGTTCCAGCCCTCCAGGATTCGATGGTGTAAGCTCTATCCGTGCTACTTGAGAAAATTGTCCACAAACTTACGTAGTATATCTCTGACTGCTCTATGACACTCTATTTAGTAATGATTGGCTGCGTGACCCAGCCTGCGACCCAAGCCGCATTCCTGACCGGCATTCCTATTCCCGATATCCGCCACTCTGATCGATCTCGACTAGCCTTGAATCGCCAGCCTGACTAAAGACCAACCTCCTCGAACCGCGGGGACTTGGCTGTCTCGAAAGGCACCGAGAAAAGGTTCATTGACTCTCATTGTCTCGGCGTTGGCGCAGAAAGCAAGACGCCGGCGACGCCTCAGTGCGCATGCTGAACCAAATAGAAGCGCAAAATCCTTACAGCATCCAAGAGAGCACAAGTCTCAAAATTAGTGATTAAACCCATTACACAGAATGATACTGAGTAGTACACTGGTGGATGACTAGATGCTGAAAGCGGCACGACGTGAAATTAGTCGCGATGGGTTACTTTGGCGAACAACGCTTGGATATCATGTTAGCCACTGTGAAATTGGTCACAGCCAATACTTGTTCGACAGAGGGCCTTTCACGTCACGGTACGCCTGTGACGATGAGAGGTTGGTTGCTGGCCACCACTGACATGCTCCTTTTGCCCATTGATTGCGCACAGGACGTCGGGAGAGATCCGCCCATCATCGACATTAGGTCTACTTGCATCGGCGCCAACGAGGCTGCACAATCGCTGAGAGCCAACCGCGGACGCGACGCAAGCACTTTGCATGGTATGGTACCGATGTGCGTGGGGCGTGGGGTGGTGCCGCAGCGTGCATAGCGCATGGGGGAAGCTTCCCTGGATTAGTGGCTGGCTGACTAGTTTGGTGCTTGTGCTTGTGTCTGGGTGATTGCGACGATGGGCGCCGTGGTGGTGAGACTTGACTCTGCGCCGAGATTTCCAGCGCCGCGGCGGATGGATGGACGGATTGGGATCTGAGACGAGCAGCCCTGCGAACTCTGGGACGTCTGGGATTGTGGTCTGGGGGCTGCGCCTCGTGGTTGCAGCCATTGATTTCCAGGTATCGTTGATGTGATAGCAACCCAGATAGTGACATGCTGCAGATGAGTGCATCTTGGTCATGGAATTGTATCGTGTCGAGAATGTCGCAACGTAATGTCAATTCAAGGCGTGCTAAGGCCGTGGTGATACAGGATAGCCATATCTCGCTTGTGATGCTGGGGGCGATAGGCACGTACGGAGCTGGTAGCGACGTCAAGACGTTATCGGGAGCTGTGCAACACAGCGCAACCCGCCTGGATGCCAAGCAGCCTGGAGCCCAAGCCAATCCAATCCAAGAGCGAGTTAGCGAGAGGAGACGACCAGCCCATCATGACCCCTGAGGTCTAGCACGACTAACCATCTGCGCTCCTACCTATTCATCCATAGTCACATCGCTAGGAGCGCTTGCTGCTCCGTTATTCCCCAGGTCCGGGTGCATGGGCACGGTACGTCTTTGACGAACAATAGGCAAATCATGGATGAAGGGGTGATCTGGATAAACGGTTCGAGACACGGGCGAGACAAAGAATATGTTTTTGATTGTCATGGATGGGAAGCACATTCGAGGGAGGTGATGACCACCCGCGAGGCGTGTGTTGGCCGTTCCTCTGGCGCTTGGCCGATGGCAGAACCAGTCCAATTGGGGTTGCAGATGGAGGCGGAGGAGGTGATGGTGGTGATGGTGGATGCGACCCCTTGCGCCGCACGATTTGTTGATTCCTAAATGCATCCACCCCCTGGCACCAGTCCGGATTGCCGGTCGGGTCTGGGGTCGATGACGATGGTTGAGGACGAGGATGTTGACGGTGGTTGAAGATGAGAGCATCTCATTTCCAAAGTTGAGCATTTTCTGGTTTGGTCGGCCCGTGAAAGCGCTGATGCGACTTAGCAGGTCTTCATGTTGATAAAATCATCCGTCAACCACGAAATACCAACCGCCATCCGCCATTCACCAACCACCAACCACCAACCACCATCCACCAACCACCATCCACCAACCGTCAACCCATAACCGTATGAATGCTTGGGGCTTGCTTATTGACGGACGCTGCTGCCCTCGGAGGCGTTCTGTAGCCCACATACAGCATCCACACCCACGCCGATGTCCCTGGCCACACATCCGAACAATCCCATTCTTTTGGGGCGGCAAGCCGTTAGCAGGGCGCGACAGCCAGACGGGTGGTTTTACTAGTCGTCCAACCCAGGATCAGCCCCCCCGTTCTGAGTCGTCTCGCCGTCCGCCGTGATCCCTCCCTCTGGAGGGCCGAAGTACCTTGCCCTGCTTTACTATTACCCCCGCGGTGCTATGATGAGTTGAGGTGACTTGACCCTTGCAGGCAGACCATCTAGGACCATATCCCCCCCTTTTTGTCCACCCACCTGCTCTTGGGGGACGCTGGCCAAGATTTGACAATTTGAAGAAGGCATCGCATCTCCCACCTGCATTTGCACGACTGGAATAGGCGGATACGGGCGCTGCTAGGTTACGAGGAATCTCGTACGTCTCCCGTGCCTGACATAACACGGAGCAATGAGATGCCAGAGGAATAGGCGGAGCTGCGTCTCTCACTGCAGCGGCCTGGGGTAGGACATGCATTGGGCCTTGGTACAGTGCGAGCACGATTGGTAGAACAAAATGCAGTGTGCCGCTGCCCTTGCAGAAGCCGGTGGGCAAAAAAGCGACGACTGGGGTGAGGATGGAGTCTTAATGATCCGTCCCTCCACCCATCGACTGAGCTAGGACTGCACGCCCCCCCTGGAGACCCCCGGAGCAGCTCTGGCCGCCCACTGCAATCGTCCTCCAGGGGGGGTCCCCGGCGTGGCATCCAGTGGGCGGGCGACCCTCCCCACCCCGCTGGGCCACTGGTCACTGGAAATCCACGGCGCCGACAGAGGCCATCCACTGAGAGCCCTTGGCGGCAGCGGCCCACACCCGCAGGGCCATACAAGGTACGTAGGTACGTAGGTAGGTCGCCCCTACACTGGAGCACTGGATCAGCTTCCCGCCGATGCTCTCTCACCACCCGCCACCGAATGGGGACGGGGGCGACCGGGAACTGGGAGCTTTTCTGATTTCGTTTGGCTTAAGGTTGCGTGGGCGTTGATTTTCTCATTTTCTCTTTGCGCCCACGGACCCAGAAAATAGGGATGCGGCGGCTGGTCTAGAACTCTTCCATGCGGTGCACCTAGCACGGGTGACCATAATTGTCTGTTGACGGCTCGTCCATATCTGTCTGCCCTGAGGATTGAGCGAGCTAGAACCGCGACAATTAGCCAATCCCGCCGCCGATGCGCTGCCACTCGCCGTTCGCAGCGATTCCGTCGCCGTCGCCGTCGCCGTCGTTGACTTGTTGTTATTGCGCTTCTCTTGTAATCTGTACTTGGACTTGCCCCCCCTTCGCATCCGTCATCCGTCATCACCCATCACCCTGGGCCGGTCAGAGCTTTGGTCGTTTGTCAGAACTCACCCAGCAGTTTTTCTCTCCCCATGCCATGAGCCCAGCCCATGGAACCGCCGGCGATGTCCAATCCGATCCATCGCCCCGGCCCCCGGTAGGTAAATTTACTGTCCAACCTACAGCGCTGGGCACCTAGGGTGCTTAGGAGGGTCATGGCCGGGCTCCGGCCAATAACCAGCCTAGGCCTTAGCGGTCCAGTAGCCCCCCGAGCGGTTCCAAATGGCCCCAGCTTTCCCACTGGCGGGACGGGAGTCTCCAGTCTCCAGCGGACTTTCAGCGCCCGGTGGCGCCCAGCTCGCACTGGGCCTTTTCGCGGAAGGCGACAGCTGGGGAGGAGGTATCCGTTTGCAGTCCGTAGCAGGCCACTCGTAAGCTGGAAGCTACCCGGGCGACCTCCGTCCGGCGTGGTCTGCATTGAATCGGCTCGACGTGTAGGTACCTAGACGGTCTTGCGTACGCAGCAGTCGGTTGCCTGAGCTGTGGCGAGCCGCCTGAGTCTGCGCGCATCCGGCGTATTTTTCCCTTCAGTTCTCCACACGCAGCTCAACTACTGGTGCTGCCGCTGCCGCTGCCGCTGATGCTGCTGCTCCCGTCACCGGCTGGACACTCTCGCACTCACAGGCCCCCAGGCCCCCAGGGCTCAGAAGACCAAGGGTAGCAGTGGTGGTAGTGGTGATGGTGGTAGCGGCCAAACCACACGCCCTGGCGCAACCCACCCACACCCACATCCCATTCCTCCCCCCCATCGATCCACGCCCCCCCCCCCCCCCCCTTCCTGGCGTCCCCTGCCCTTCTCTCTTCTGCTTTGACCTTTCGAACCTTGGGGCCCTTTGCATCCATCCGTCCATCTTTCTCCCTCTCCTCCAGTCCCACGCGGAACATTCCCTCTCTTTGTCCATCTCCAATCCGCCCTTTCTAAACCTCTTCCCATTTCCTCTCCTCCCCGCCATCCCATCCCCGCCGTGAGTCGTCTGCTTCTCGTCTGCTCCTCGTCGCCCGATTCTCAAATCCCACGGTTCTGCGACGACCAGCCCCCCTGCGCGAGCCAATTTTCAGCGCCTCCCGACCAAGCTGCCCCGAGAGCTGCTTCAAACCATCAGACACAATGGCTTCGTCCACCAAGGTACGATGCTCCGATATGCTTTTCCCGCGTCAGGCTGGCCTGCGGTTGGCGCCACTGCCTTGGCCGCTCTTCTACCGCTCCTGCTCCCATCCGCTCCCGCTCCGCTTCACTGCTGCTATCTCCGTTACTGACCCGGCGTCCATCTAGTTTTTGCGAGAGTACAAGCTCGTCGTTGTTGGCGGTGGTGGTGTCGGTAAATCATGCTTGACCATCCAGTTGATCCAGAGCCACTTCGTCGACGAGTATGATCCTACAATCGAAGGTTCGTTGCCACGGCCCCTAATCACACCCTATCGTGGGTTCCCACCTTTCCCATACTGATTGCGTCCCTCGTCGAACAGATTCGTACCGAAAGCAGTGCGTCATTGACGACGAGGTCGCTCTTCTCGACGTCCTCGATACCGCCGGCCAGGAGGAGTACAGCGCTATGCGAGAGCAGTACATGCGAACCGGCGAGGGCTTCCTGCTAGTATACTCCATCACTTCCCGACAGAGCTTCGAGGAAATCACCACTTTCCAGCAACAAATCCTGCGAGTCAAGGACAAGGACTACTTCCCCATGGTCGTTGTCGGCAACAAGTGCGATCTGGAGAACGAGCGAGAAGTTACGCGACAAGGTAGATCAGGAAGCACCCTGCACGGACGTTTCAAGATGGCTAATGCGAATATTTACAGAGGGTGAGGCGCTCGCAAGATCTTTCGGCTGCAAGTTCATTGAGACTTCCGCCAAGTCCCGAATTAATGTCGACAAGGCTTTCTACGACATCGTGCGAGAGATTCGGAGGTACAACCGTGAGATGCAGGGCTACTCAACTGGGAGCGGCGGCACTTCCGGCGGAAACGGCCCCCCTAAGCCTCTCGACATCGATGATGGTGACCAACAGGCTGGATGCTGCGCCAAATGTGTGGTTATGTAATGGAAAGATCGTGCGTGAACGGAGAAGAGGCGGGGGAAGATTTCGCATTTGAAGGCGTGGCGAGACGTGACGAAGACGACTGGTGAGCGGATGGTCCGTCATGTCCCGGGCTCCATTAATCGCACGCCATGTCATCGGATCCAACGCTACAAGCTGCTTTCCTTGGGAGGATATGGGGGTCAAAATGTTGATTGCATCGGACGGGGAGTCGGGTTCTGGCTTGATTGCACACGCACTTGGACTTTTCGACGCAGCCCACGGACATGTCACAGCGATACGGCAACGGCCAACCACGCCAACAAGATCTGGAAGCGAGCGGGGCCATGACGGTACATGGTACATGGCATATGGCACGGCGATCCCTGCGGAGTGCCTCATTTTGGACGTCGTGGATAAAAAGGCCATCTATTTTACCGGAGAGAGGGACAGAGACGGGGAAGCTTGTGCTGCCGACGCCGTGTCATCAAGTTGCCCGGCCCCAGGACCTCGCCAAGGACCCCCGGATTTTTTATTATTTTGTGTCACTGGGGAGGATGAATTTCGAAGACTAAATACGGGTTCTGCGCTTTTCCCTATATCCATTATTTCATACCTGTAATTTCTTTTCTTCTTTGAGGCTTCCTTCTCTCCGGCAGCAGTGGTCACAGTTAGAAAAACCCACCTACCCCAGTCTTGTAGTTCACTTCTGCGTGCAACTCACTGTGCTTGTAGCATGTGTTGGATTCTTGGTTCTTCATACACCAGTTACCGCAGTGCGGCGGCAACTCTGCTTGCAGCCCATCGCCAATAGCTTTGCCTGGCATCTGCTGCTTTCGGTGCTCGCTCAAGCTTGGGGTGGGCGGGGAGATTTGGATAAGTGGATGAATGGTATGGTACTAGAAGTATCCCCACTGAGACGCCTTTGATCTTGGGTTTAAGCTTGACGCTTATCTCATTGCCAGACTTCAGACTTTATTATTAAACTCATATTTACGGCAGGGCGGGCTGGACTGTGCATAGTGGTACCCTTCTGCATCATTATTAATTATTAGCTGAGTAAATGTCATTTGGAAACTAAGGTATTACTCTGTCCCTGAATTTTGCACCTTTAATAAAAGCCTAGTTACTTGCAACTAGTTCGCAAAGCACATGGCAACATACTTGACAATCACGCGGGCCTGAGCAGGCTTTCTTGCTTGTCTACAAGGCATTAATTACACGATGTGGCTTCTCATGTGAATGTCTGAGAGATTGCATGAAGAATAGGTATGTCTATTTTGGTATTCGGTCCGGTTGATGCCGCTGAATGTTCTTTCTGAAAATTGATCTGCCATCTAGGGTCTACTAAATCTCTAGCCCGAAAACCGACTCGCTGTCTAGGTTGCTCCGCGTTGTCCTACGCCTCTGCCCGTGAAATATCTATGCCGTCTCCACGTCCTCGTCGGTGTTCTTGCCGGGGATCATGTCACTGGCCTGACGACCGTCATCCCAGGATCCTTGCACCAGTTGAGGCTTGTTGTTGTGGTCATTTCGCTGGTTCACAACCCAGTCGTTGCACACAAGGCACGCCCAGGCTGTAGCCCCTCCGTTTGTCGACGGGAAGCCCCCGTGGTCGGCTGAGACATTGACGTCTCTCAACTTGTTGGTGGTGATGCACACTGGGCAAACTGGCTTGCCGAAGCGACACATCCTCCATTCATGCATAATTGCCGCCTGTTTCATTGCCAGCTCAGCATAGTGTAGTCGGTGGAAGTGGCACAGAGGTCGACTTAGCAACTTGGTCGCACAGGGGCACCCGGTGAGTGGCATGCTGGCTGCATGGTATTGAACGGATGAGGCTCCGTCTTCCGCCCAGATATTGGCCTCGCCCTCCGAACCAGTCTCGAACACGCCCCAAATGCGCTTGGCACCAGACTTGATGAGCTTGGCTGCGTACCCATTGTTGTGGGCCAGCTCGGTTGCGCAGTCGTCACAAGTGTAGACGCGCATGTGGACAATCTCCTTCGCATTGAGGGGCGCCAGCTTTGAGTCGAGGATGATGTCGACGCTTTCATCATTGCAGTCTTTGCAGACAAGGAAGTTGTACGGTGGGTAGGATTGGTGGACGTCGCTCTGGCAACCAACTTTGTCTTCGATCGGCTTACCGCACATGCCCTTTCCGCCCTCGCCAGGCTCCATACACAGGGTGAAGGCGGGATTCTGGATGGCATCAAGCCGGGGCTCGAGGGGGATGGCCTCAAGGACGTCGCGGGCCGGAGTATCAACAACTTGCGTGTTGTAGGCCATACCCAGGAGACGTGGCAAGGATGGGTCTAGGGGCACCAGTGTGTCCTCCTTTTGACGCCAGTGGGACATGTCGATACCTTCGAGTTTATTTTTGCTGCTCCAGCGCGAGGGCTTCGCCAGGCGTGGCGCCGACGGCCTTTTATCGAGACAGAGGAATGGGTTGAGGTCCTCATCGCCTGCCGGAGCCTCAACACCTGGGGCGCCAGTCACTTCATCCATGTCGTCGAAGAAATAACTCAAGTCGTCAAAAGGCTCACCCAAGGTGGAGTTTCCGGCGAGAAGATCTTCGGTAATGGGGTTCAGGAGGTCTTCGTAAGAAGCAAGTCCTGAAGGTTTGGCGTTATCTTCCTGGCTTGTTGGGGGGTTGAGGTTGGTAAAGTCATTGTGTGTTTGCCCAATCGGCTGGTAGAAGGCGTTGGGCGCCCAAGAGGATGTGTTTGCTTGCTGTTGAGGCTCGCCATAGGGCGGCCGCCACGGTTGTTGCTGCGGTGGTACTGCGTTGTTTGCACTTCCCGGCTGAGCTTGTGTGTTTGCAAGCCCAGCTCCACCACTAACTGTAGGTAGGGCTGAGGTTCGACCAGTCTGATCTACGGCTTGAGGAGGCAGAACCAGAGGTGGTGGAATTGGAGCCTGTCCACCTGGAGCGGGCAGGTTGCCCGGAGGCGGGAGAACCGGAACTGGGAGAACCGGCGCAGGAACCTCTACAGCAGGAATCGGCCTGTCTAATGGGGCGCCGAATCCTGATCGAGCCGGAGGCCAACTCGCATCCGCCATCTCTGCCATTCGTTGCTGGTAGTCGGGGTGCTGAACAGGGGCATGACCGGCGGGCCAGCTTGTACGAAGCAGGTTGGCAAGGGCTTCAACAGTCAGCTGCGATGGCATGATGCCTTGCAGAGCAGGTGGCGCCTGGCCCGGCCGTATGTTGTTGTGAAGCTCGATGAGATCAACGGCCATACCCTTCGCCCTCTCTTTGGCATTCAAGGTACTATACTTGGCTGCCAGGGGACCGATCCAGTCCTCTAGTTTACTGCCGTCTTTCGGAGTGTCGACCCCGGCAGCGCTATATCCGAGTGCAAGATAATACAACACTGGCGGAGGCTCGTCGAACTGCGGACAGCAGTTGAAGATGCGGTCATGTTTGCTCTTGATCCATTTGTCGCACTTGGAACGCTCGCCGTTCTTCACGCACGAGGCACACGGCCGCTGGTGATCGCAGGGTCGTCCGGTTGCGTCGCACCGCTTACACCCTTGGAACGGAGTCCACTCGCCGAAGCCGACTTTGCTCAGGTCAACCAGAGGGAACTTTCGTTTCGTCTCGGTCTCGATGCAATCGATGCCCAGTTGGTTGCATCGAACACATGAGTTGAAGGGACGAGACTCGGTCACCTGGCATGGATAGAGAGGCCGACAGACGGCGCACGCTTCACAAGTCTTGCGCCAGGCTTGGCCGGAATTGTCGAGCTCCAGGATCCCGGCTTGCGGCCCCGCGGCAGACGGGATGGCCCATGTGGTTGGGGGTACTCCGGTAGGGGGGTAGATAAGTTCATTAGACCAAAGGCATAGATTACCGTTGACAATGCATCTCCCGCAGCCCGAGTTCCAAGCTGCGCGGCTCAGTAGCCAGGTGCATCGCTGACCTTCGGGGACGTACTTTGAGCCGGAAGTGCATTTGTCGCAAGCGTGCCGGAACCAGACCCGCTCGCCGATCCGGTCGGGCCGGGCCCGGAGCGCCGGGTTCTCGGGGGGGCCGACACGGCACCGGCCTGGGCGGCAGTTCGTGCACCCGTAGCCGAGGTGCACATCGACGTCGCAAGTACTGGTCTCGTTGCGGTTGATGCAGCCATTGCAGGTCATCACTGCTGGGAAGTCCGGGTCGTTGATACCGTAGCGCCTGTGGTCCATGTGCTCTTCGTCCACACGGCATTCCACATCCTGGTCCTGGCCTTGTGACCGGAAGTCCGCACAGTTGCGACATTCCACCTTGGTGTCACCATACTTCACCCAGTCGCATGGGCGCTGCTGGTTGGCGACGACACCTTGGGGGTGCGTTGCACAGAAATGACAAGGCTTGGTAGATGAAGCCTTCTGACTCTCCTCTGTCTGTTCTCTCTGGCTCTGCGGCTTCTTACTGGTCGGTTGCCGGCGCACTCGCTTTGGCTTCGCCGGGTTGGCTTCGCTATCCTCCGGAGTTTGCTCAGGGGCGGTCCGTTTCGACCCCGTTGCTGCCGTCTTAGCGGCAGCAACCTCGCCTCGTTTCGATCGAGTGAAGGCTCTGCCCATATTGAGACCGGAACTGTTGGGAGTCTTGAGTCCTGTTTCAACCTCTATAAACTAGAGGCGTTTGATATCGTGGAAGGGCACTGGTACCTTTGTTGGGCAAGTATACTTGGCGAAAAAGTATGTGTATAAGTCGATAGACTGTAAGTCAATGAGTATGATGGTAAACTAGCAGACAGTGAGTTGATTGCTGGTTTAGATCATGGCCGACAAATTGGACGGAAAACCCGACAAATTTATCCTCTCAAGCATCCCGTACGGGGCATCATGTCTTGTTGAACACTCTGTGGATTTCCTCGGGATGCTCCTGGAGTAGAACCTCCTTGGGATGAACAGTTTGGGGTGTACAGCCGTAACTATGTATTCTACATTGCTGCGAAGTCATGTATGGGATCAAAATCACGGTATAAAGAACACTATCTGAGAACAAGGGACAATGCAATGTATTGCGCCTAACTATGGAATTCCAATTGAAAGCGGTGTACGGGATAAAGAGGGTTGCTGAACTGGGAACCTCGACTGTTCATAGGCACAACTGTTCACAAGGACAGTGCCCGCCAAGCATTGCACGGATCAACTTCACTAGCCTCCTCCTTATAAACCATTATTTGAAAACTAGTAGGGGTTGTGGTTCTTAGTATTCAGGACTGACAGGGTTAGTTATTATCAAGACATGTGTGGAGAATGAGGAACTCTTGTTGGAATCGTAATGGTTTCTACCCACAACTGCCTGCAAGACTGGATATTGAGAGTGGCTTTATCCGTGTTGATTTTTTTTTACTTTTCTAGAGTTTCTGGCTCTGTTTGCGCTCAACATCTACAGTCACCTTGGCTCTCTGATCCCCTCTCTCCCCTGGCAGGTCAATACCGGCCGATCATTCCCAAATCACCATCCCTTTTCGCTGCTGAGGACTAATGTCGCCATGACGTAATACTACCGTCCCGTCCGCCGGCAAAGATCGTCTTATAACCTCTCATCATATCCTGGCGCATCCTTACTCCTGCGCCCCTTATCCGCTCCAATTCTCTCCCCTCGACGCTCAGGGCCGCGCGAGTAAAATCCGTCACCCTTTCTGGAGATGTCACCATGAAAAATATATGCTGACCACTCTATCGGTCCTCCTCATCTCCTCAATCCTTTTTCCCATCTGAATACCAATATTCACACATATTATCCAGAGAACTGGAAGCGGGTAGCCTCGAGCTGGCCGAGCCCATCTCGGGGGGCTACGTTGCGGCGTCTATATGTGTTGGTGAAGTCCTGCAGAAGGGCACGCACGTTCCTCATAGCACTGGGGTCTCCGGACTGTAACTTCTCCTTGATCTTGCCCATCAATCGGTTGGCCTCAACAGGAGACACAGTACCCTCGGGCAGCAACGCGATAGTTAGCGACACCCACTCCGTCGTCTCAGCTGGGAGCAATTCAAACAGGGCCAGCAAGACGCCACTGCCGTCGGCGAAACAGTCCCGAGGGAAGGTGATCATCATACCCGCCATGACCTGCTTCACGAGGTTCTCACCCAGGTTTGTCAGGAGAGTACGGATGGTGTTTCGAATCTCGGCCGCGGCTGCCTCGGGAAGGCCGTCGCTGGTAGCGGGGTTGTCTCCCCCATAAGAAAGAAGGTCCCGCAAGAAGTGTAGAGTAGACGATAGAGGATCCCGCTGCTCCAGAGTGAGGGCGTAGACTGCCGCCTCGAAGATCGATCGCAATAGGTGCGAAGGGACAAGTCTCTGAGGATAGTAGAGCAACGCATCGATGAGCAGACGGAAGAAATCATCAATGACGTCAGGCAGCTCCTTGGGTTGGAGCTCTGTCATAACCCTCAGGAAAGTCGTTGTCTGGGCCTCGAAGAACGTGTAGATATTATCAGTCGTGGCCTGATCAACATGCTCCCGGGCCTCCGAGAACTCCCGGAGAATAGCAGAAGTCACCCAGAGGAAGCACCCCTCTCTCGAGTTGTTGAAGCCAATGGCCAGCTTGTTCGCCATCTCAGGAAGCATCGGGGTCATGGCAGTGCGATACGAGATGACCATGTTTCGCCAGCATCTGCAAACTCTCTCGCAAATAGGAGTGAAGGTGAGGAAATTGTCCAAAACAGTTGACAAGATCGGGAAGACCTCTTGCCAGTACTTCACAGCAGGGTTCTCCTGTCCTGGATTGCTAGGAGGGACCACGTTCTGGACGAAAATGGTAATCAACTGGAGATGGTCTTCCACTAGTTAGCATGTGCCTCTTCTTCGATTGATTAGATCTCAACTCACCTGCCAATGCCAACTTGCCCTCGTCGTCGGTGGCGTTGTTCGCTTTAGCCATCAACCGCTGAACAAGAGGATCACAACAAGTCTTGAGCAGTCGATAAATTTCCTCATCGGGTTGAACGGCCACAACAGTGGAAACACCCTCGGTAATCTCCTCCTTGCTGAGGTCTGGCAGCTTGTCTAGAACCTGGTCGTAGAAGGTCTGAAGCTGCAGCACCTGGCCACTGAGGAGGTGTTTGCAGTCCGTGCAGAAGAACTTGATCGACAGAGCGGCGGCCCGGATAATCTCCTTCGAGTCGGACTGAAACGAGGTAACGATGTAGTTGAACTGGGGCTCCAGATACTCGGGGTGCGCTGCCGTCCACTCAGTGTAACGTCCTAGGACCATGATGGTAGCAAAGCGGAGCTTCTCGTGGCTCGGGATTTGCACGAGCAGGGGCATAAGCTGAGGAAGGACAATGTCCTCATCCTTGTCCACCATTCGTCCAAGTGCTCGCATGGCAAACAGGGGGGCCTCCAGCTCTTGCCAGTGTGGCACCGACGTCTCCGTAACCAGGCCTGCATACTTCGTCATCCACACCCGGATGGAGTTGAGCACCTTGGTTAGACAATCCGTGACACCCATAACCTCGCACGAGTCCTTGAGAGTATCGCCCATTTGGTGACGGAACTCTCTGAACTTCTCCTCCTGCTCGCGGTCTCCGTCGAACAGATCCGTCTCGCTACCCGACTCCGGCTGGGGGTATTCTAGGTGCTTGAGGAGGATATCCACGAGCTTCGAATAAATATCAACCAGCTCCAAGCGACCCTGAATATATCTCTCCAACACGAGGTAAAGCTTGAGCTCGTAGAAGAAGTTGAAAGTGTGCTCGATCACATCGCGCTCCTTGTCTCTCACAGCACACTCAAGAACGGCGTCCACCAAGGGCCTGAAATGGACCGGCTGGCGGGCAATTCCAACAACCCAGCTCTCCGCTGCGGTGGCAAAGACTTTGGTCAGAGCCTTGAGGGCCTCTGAGTCTTCTTCCTCTGCAGCCTTTTGGATTTGAGGCTGGAGCGAAATGATTCGGGGGAACAGGGTCTCGATAATTTCCTGGCTCTCGTCCACGTCAGATGTCTCCCGAAGCATTGTGCATAGGCATTCGGATGCCTCCTGGCTACTCTGGTCACTCGCAATGCCATTAAAGACAATGTCAAGCAGTGGCGACTTGACGACATTGCTAACCGGGACTTCTCGCAGCCAGGAGGTAATGCACTCCATCAACTGGGGATTTTGAGCGGCGGCAGCTACAGATGAGATGTTAGCATGGAAGGTATTGGGAATGTATTGCCTTACTTACGGGATGATTGAGAATAGTTGATCAGCAGCTGGATAACCTTCTCCGCATTATCTCCCAGCAAGGCTTGCGTCCGTGCAGCAAGATCTTCTTCCTAATTCCAAACAATTAGACTTGAACTCGTGCTGGTGTCGATCGTCGGTGACGATTTCGAAGGGAAAAGGCGCTCGGTTTATGGCTGTGCGCTCCACATACAGACAAGGTGATCTTTCGACCTTCGGTAACCTCCTCGGGGAGAACCCGCAGGAAATCCAAAATACAAGCATGGCTTTCGGGGCTGTCACTAAGGGACTGGACGACGGACGTCAGGACATCGGTCCATTCCTTCATCTGGATCGCCAGAATGGCTAGGCACACGCAGAGCTGTACTCGGATGGGCTTGGGTCCGGGAGCGTATCGTTTGAGGAATAGGAGAATCTGGTTTCGAAGACCGGGGAGTTCGCTGGGGGAAATCTGGGTGGACAGGTCGTATGTGATCTGGGGTATGTTAGACACGGCATTTCTCGCGCATCCATCGTCGTTCCTACCTTTCCACGAAGGGTGATGGCAGCAAAGAGCGCTGCCTCTGGGTCGGCATCCGCCTGCAGGATGCCCACTATAGTAGCCCATGAATCCTTCTGCACGCCAATACCGTCAGTATACCGAACCGAGCTGCCCCAAGCTCCAAAAACACGCGCGACTGACCGATTTCTGGAACCTCTCCAAATACTCATGGGCCTGCTTCTTGGCCTCCTGCTCCCCGCCCCTCATTGTCATGACAGCGGCCAAGACGTCCGGGGGCGCAAAGGCCTCTTGCGCTCCGTTCGTGGCCATTATGTATTATGCGGCACGCCTGTAGAGGAGCGTTCGGGACCTGGAAGTTCGTGATGGGGCGTTAGGCTGTCCGCAAGCTTCAGCGCGATCGGAGGTGACAAGCGCAGCGCATACGACGTGGCCGCACGAGGTCGGACCGCTGGTGATTCGCCGAGGCGCGGTTCGGAGATGGAGATGAGGTAGACCGGGGGCAAGGTCGAACAAAGTGGTGGTGCGGGTGCCAAAGGAGAGGGCAAGATCCCGGTCGTGAGGGGATCAGGAGAAAGACGTGGTGGAAGATGAAGGTGGGATATCACTCGAAGCAAAATACACAAAGCCCACCTCCGTCCGGTTTTGGGCCAGTGATGCATGGGTCTGGTCACTCTGGTGGAGAGAAGCTTGGCGGGGCAATCTGCCTGGAGATGACGTTCCGTAGTTTTTCCGATCCGCCCAGCGCCTTGATGGAGCATCCAACCGACGACCGATGCAAGAAACAGAATCAGATGGAAGGGGAGGCAACCTTTTGAGGGGGAACCTGACAGTTTATATCATGATCAACCTCTCGGGTGATTTGAGTTGCCTCTAGGTTGATCATGCATCCATAATCCCCTACATCACGACCCCTGCCTGATGCAAGCTCTGTGCCTACGTCTGACCGGGTACGCACATGGCCAGTTGCTTCCCTTTGAGGTCCTCTGAGAGATCAGCCAACTTGTATTCCCAAAGACTTGTGCTTTGGTAAGGCCTAATTATGTGCCTGGATTCCCGCCTATGGACGACAAGGCCAAAGGTAAAGTTTGCACAAAGCCGGTCAAAGAATATCCCAAGCTTCTCGGTCTTGGCATTCTTTGTGTTGCGTACGAATATGTCTTGGAGAGCGTGCGTCATGACCCACGAGTTTAGGAACTCTCAGCTAGGTATAGAACTGCCCCCTACAACAGGAGATGGTGGAGCGAACCCAACCATCAGAGTGACTGAATTCAGAGGACAGTTTTTGTGCTTTGCAAGACTGGCATTAGTTATCATGGATTCGATGCTTCCCTGATTTCTCCATTTCCAAGTATGAGGCCATTCAACTGGCGGTCATGGGAATCCGTGGGGATTGCCTGTCCAGAGGCTGCAGGAAGCAGTTGCTCGTTCAAAGCCAACGCATACAGCAACAAAGGCCTCGTTTGGCTAAGGCCCCTAGTTTCCAACCTTGACAAGTACCTGTTGATGAAGAAGTCGTAGAAACCCTTTCCATGGCCTAGTCTCCTGACGGAACCCGCTTCATCAAAGTCGAACGCAACTCCCGGCACTACCATAAAATCGAGGACGGCCTGGTCAGAGTCCTGGGCATCAGGGTCTCCGAGGATATGCTGTCGTTGATGGACCGTGGCTGGGTCTACACTGGGAATCCCCCAGCTGTCCAGCTTGAGGCTCTCGTAGTCCTGGAGGTTCGCAAGACGCACCATGTCCATCACACGAGCTGGAGCGTCGGGAATCTGTAGAGTAGACTTGTGCAGGTACGGGACAAAGACTTGCTTGCCCGCTGCTAGTGCATGGCGGACAATGGCATCTGTCTGCACCTCGGCAGAGGGCATAGACAGGTAGACGCTGATGTGAGTGGCATCTTTGTAGGGCTTAAAATCCTTAAGGGCGTCAAAAACCTGGCGACCTGTGAAGAGTTGTGTCAGACGACGACCTGCACGTGAGCGGAGATACAAGGCGATGCGGTCATACTCTGGACAACCACGGAGTCTTGGGTAACAGTGGAGAGCCTTTGCTTCATGAGGGTCCGCAGCTGCTGCTTGGCGGCTTTCAAGGATGACGCCATGGCGAAGCTGAGGAGGCTGGGTTCAGATGGTGGTATGTATTGTCACGTTGTGTCTGAAGAGAGGTTTTTTGGCCATGGAGGGGACGCTAAGCAAAGGATGGCGTGGATGTTGGGATGAAGTCGTGCATCGCGATCCGTCGCTTACCTGCCAGCGTGACACTCCACCAATTGCATTTTTAGGGACCGATCTTGTGGATATGCTTCAGCTAGGCTCACTGGCGTCATGAGGCGAATCCATGAAATCGGCACCAGTCCAAGCTACCCGGCGGTGAAGCCCAACTTGGCGCGACCATCAGATTGTTTTCTAAGGACACTATTAATCACGGCGGATGTTGCGACAAATAAAAAACCCGGGACCTCAAGATTCGGATGTGTTCCGAGGAGGGGAGACAACACCGACAACTAGCACCCGATATGGGGTCGAGCCGCCTGCCACAACCCTCCAACGACGCAAATACGCACAACTAGCACCACTAATCACTAATCTGTGATTAAGTCGATTGGTAAATAACTTAAGTGCATGTGACAGCTTTTGGGCCGTTTCTTGCTTGCCTGACAGTCGGGAGGATGGTTGGGCGGAGTTGGTCACACGTGTGCACCATCGTCTCGGTATTATTCCCATAATTACGGAGCCACCTTACAATATACCCAACTAACTTCTTACTGACGATGATGGGCTGAGCTCGCCAGTCCATGAACGACGTCCCGAGATTTTCTAATGCTGGCTAGACCGGGCCACAGCCAGCATTGGCACTGAGACCCCACGGTCAGCTTTCGTAATGTGAACCGTCTCATTGATGGCAGGCAGTGGAGACAATGATGAGGTGGAACCAAATGTATCGGCACCGCAAACACCATGCCGCTCTCGTTTGGGGGCGGGACTAGGGCGACTTCCGGAATTCACGACATTTCAAAGCGAGCTCTGGGTTGAGGGTCCGGTCTCCGTGGGATGAGCCTGGCTCCTCCCTGAATGTCTCGACGTTCCCCTGCGGCGTGGAAGGTTCGGAAAACCGAAAGAAAACGTAAAAGAACATTGTCGCCATGTCTCAATCACCTGGAGCATGTCCCCGTCACGGGTCAGGATGGTCTTGAACCGCAGCTGCTGCATGGAATTAGATCGCCAACTGGGTCCCGCGGATACCGCGACGGCGCTTGACATGGGATGGGCCTGGATGTCGGCGGCCAGATTGGGAGAAGAGGTTTGCCTGCCGGGAGATTTCGGTGTGTTGATCGTCTGACTACCTAGTGAGGAAGGGGTTGAAACACACAAGCTTGGAAGTCGGTGCAAGGCTGCAGGTGCACTTTGCAGTGTCAGCCTTCGAGTAACGCCGGTCAGGATGAGCGGAGGCGCCAGGCACGAAAACATGGCCGCAGGGATGTGCACCACGAACACAGCCTGCAGGAGGCCGCAATGCAGCCTTGCTCGCCGCGGCGTGCAGCGGCGTGAGGTGTCATGTCCAGCGTGGGAGTAGCAGCCAGTAACCAGCGGTGGGAAGGGCATTGCCGGGCGTCTGTTTGGTCAAGCAGCATCGTGATGGGAGCCCTGTAGTGGTTATCTAATCAGATCCATCATACGTACTGTATCCTGCATCCAAGCTCGCAGGCGGCAGCGTCAAAGCAGCATGCTAGCTTGTGTGCCCCTGAACCCTGACTGATGCCTCTTGGGAACGGCCCGCATATTCCCCCCTGCAGGCAGCGTTACCTGGGCAATTTGGTGCTGCGCAATGACAAAGGCAGTAATAAGCTCCGGCAATACAGGACATCCGGGGGAGTTGAATGATGGTGTGCCCGTACGAAGCGCAAGTCTCCAGGTACTTCGCGATCTCACCGACTTGTTCGGAGGACAGCTTGCAATGTTGCGTGAAGGTACCATTCACTACCTACCAGAGTGAGCCTACCTCATCACCCACACTAGAGATACGAATACAAGGTGGAGTACGGAGGGCCCTTTCAAAAGTCTTGTCCATAAGAAGTAAGTCCTAATCATTAGGTTAGATAATAAGTACACTAAGTACTTCCTGATTTCTATAGGCCCTAAAGGATAGCAGGCTACAGCACACAGCAACCGCTATATCCTGATCAGCAGCGTACTACTCCTGAAGTTACAGTGGCCGTTTAACGAGACTGTGACAGCTTCATGTATCTCAGGTAACCGACAGGAATAAATGGATATGATGTTACTAGCGCTTGGACAAGACTTTTGAAAGAGCCCTCCGTAATCAACGGTATTATGCGAACGTGTCTTGCCGTTTTAGGCATCTCAGCTTCCAAAAGTCCCAGTGATTCCACCGAGCTTGTTGGACCTGGGACCGTCATAAGTGATGCATGGTGGGCGGAGCAGACCCAGCAGAGGGCCTCTGGGCGAGCACCGGCATGATGCACGTCACTTCAGCTGCACTAATAATTAGGCGGAAAGGGGAGAGAAAAGAGAGAAAACTGATAAAAACGTGCATTCAATGGCTGTTAGCATGTACATGCCGTGTACAAAGAGCCCCGTTACAGGCGCTGGCTGCCGTCCGTCAGCCTCCCGCAAGCTTGGCCAAGTTTTCATGCCGTGTTTGGACGAGGATTGCTAAAGAGCGGCAGGGGCATTCTCGGGGTTGATTGGCCGTAGAGTGGTCGGCTTTCCCACGCTGAGGCCCCGTGGCCCATGTGTCCTCCTCCTTCACCAGTCTCCTGCGTCGGATTTCCAACCATCCCACGCGTTGCAACACGACATGATTTGACTCCCACGCACGTATTTGCTTCTGGGAAGAGTCCATCCCTGTCTGATTTACTTGGCCCCAGTCACCTGGTCCTGTGCCCTCCCAGTCTCCAATCTCGTTGGTCGTGGCGGTCCTCTGGGCACTCTCCAGTCAGTAACACAGCTCGCACCACGGATACACACTCCGTACCGTGCGCTCTCCCTGCTTGATGTTTGGGTTACAATACATTAGCATATGGTAGGAGATCCCGTACTGTGCAATCACACAGCATTGTAACATAGCAGCATGGCAGCAGCAGTGCCTAGTACAGCATTACGGCATCAGCATTCCCCCTCGACCATGTGCTTAGCCTGTCACGATTGCAACGCCGCCCTCACATTCCCTAGCAAGGCGCTGCTGGACGGTCTGCTGGACACTGGGTTGCATCTCTGGCTGGGCCCTTTGTCGTCATCCCGCCCTCTTGTCACCAGTCGCTAAACGCTACTCCGTCGGATGCTCACCACTGACCAGCGCGCAGTAAGCCAGAATCAGCCCCGCGGCTCGCTCCCCCACGCTGCGGCAAACAGGGCTCCCTGGCTTTGTCCACAGTGCCCGCCGGGTGATGAGCGGAAGCCTTGTCACCTAGCCTTGCAAGTTGGACTCTTCGAGTTGTTGCTGCGTCTTTGGCTTCCCCCGCGCGACAAGCCGGATGTCTGGTGGATCTAGCCCCCAGCGCGTGCCCACCCCTCCGCCCGTCCCATCGGCGACGTCTAACGCATCGCTGTGCAAAAGAGCCCAGTCCGTCCTGTACTCGCCTTGTACCTACCGATCCTAGGCGCCGCCGCCGCAGCAAACAAGGTCGCTTGGCTGCCTCAAGGGACAAGTTGCACGCTTGTCTTGCCGGCCCCGCCATGGGACGACGCACTACCGCCCACAAGAGCACCACGCGCAGGACAGACCGCAGAACGTCCGCCAGCAGCCCGTCTTCGTCGTCCCGAGACAGGGTTGGTGACTATGGTGACTCCCATCTGCAGCAGGCTGTCGCCCTCCAACCCCTAGCATCCCCATCCGCGTCCACATCCGCATCCTCCTCCACTGCCTGGTCCACTGCCTCTGTCTCAGTCTCCCACGCCAGGGCGCCTGTCCCGCCCGATCCGAGCCTGAACCAAGGCCATGTGTTGCCGTATCAGGCTGCGGATGTTGGCGATCCAGATCTATTAACTGGCACTGCTGCCCCGGTCGCCACCACGCTTTCTCGCTCCCCCGTTCTCGACCTCGACCACCATGCCGGGCTGTCCACGTCTGCCTCAAAGCCTCTTACTACTGTCGACGGTGCTGCTGCCGAGCCCGAGCCCGAGCCCGAGTCCGTTACTGAGTCCGCTCCCTACGACGTCGATGGCGAGGCCCTAGATGCTTCTACCCCCGCCGACCCTTCAACACCTCCCCTCGAGAGCGACTTAGACATGGCTTCCAAGAAGACACCCTTCCTGCGGTCACCCGACCTCCGCCCGGTTGCCGCCCCTTACGGCTCCGTTTCACTAACTCCCAGTCGCAACAACTCGCCGGCTGGCAGCGACTGCCGCGACCCGGACGCCCACCAGCTTCGACATGTTCCCGACACGATGCGGAGCGACACCTCCCGCCGCTCGAATACTTCTCGACATTCCTCGAGGTTATCTGAGGAGATTGAAGGCGCTGTTCTCGTCTCTGGCCTTGAGGGTCGTTTTGGTGTGGCCGAACATACCCACGCCGGCGGCCTTCTCGAAGAAAGTATGAAGGACGATGTGTCTGAAGACGGACCCTTGCTGGACGACGCCTCGACGACTGCCTCTGACGCCGAATTCGAGGAGAACTCACCTCACGAAGCTGTTCGCGCCTCCGTTTCTCCCACCGACGACATCACCCTTTCCATAAACACCCCCCGCATGTGGTGCCTCTCCGTCATCTTCTCCATTCTCGGATCCTCCACCAACCTATTCTTTTCCTTGAGATACCCTAGCGTTGCTATCACTCCTGTTATTGCGTTGCTTCTCGTCCACCCCCTTGGCCATCTCTGGGACTTCGTGCTGAAGCGGTCATATGACCCAGAAGAAACTTTTGTGGATGGAGTCAGGACGCCTTCCATCTCCGAGAACGCCCGCGTTCCTCTTAAACAAAGCAGAGCTACCTCTTGGCGTCTGTGGTTAGCTCAAGGACGATGGAACGAAAAAGAACACACTTGCGTCTATGTTAGCAGCAATGTGGCTTTCGGTTTCGCGTTTGCGACTGATGTCATTGTTGAGCAGACGCAATTCTATAACCAGGAGGCTCCCATTGTATACCAGCTCCTTCTTACTATCTCAACACAGATTCTGGGATATGGCTTTGCGGGCATAACCAGGCGATTCCTCGTTCGACCGAGCGGCATGATCTGGCCTGGGACCCTCATGTCAGCTGCCATGTTCTCGACCCTCCACAAGCAAGAGAACAAACCTGCTGAAGGCTGGACTATTAGCAGGTGGAAGTTCTTCTACATCATCTGGACTGGGTCTTTCCTCTTCTACTTCCTCCCTGGACTGCTCATGCCGGCCTTGAGTTACTTCAACGTCATCACCTGGTTCGCTCCTAAGAGTGTTGTTATTGCCAATCTGTTTGGTGTGTCTTCGGGCCTCGGGCTCTTCCCTTTGACATTTGATTGGGCCCAAATCACATATGTTGGCTCCCCGCTGCTGGTGCCTTTCTGGGCTGCCATGAATGTCATCGGAGGCCTGACTATTGTTATGTGGGTTATTGCACCGATTCTTTACTACAGCAACTTTCTCTTCTCATCATACATGCCGATCCTCTCCGCTGCCGTCTTCGACAACACCGGAAAGGTTTATGATGTCAGCCGGATCCTTACCTCTGATTTCCTATTCGACAGAGAGGCGTATCAGAGCTACAGTCGCGTATTCCTCCCAGTCACATACGTACTTAGCTACGGTGTGCAGTTTGCTGGTCTTGCTGCCTTGCTGACCCACACAGCTTGTTGGCATGGCCAGGATATCTGGAGGACCTGGAAAAAAGCTCTTGCGGAGGCTCGTGAGGATGGGAAGCCGGAATATCAACCAGTTTCGGATGCCTCTGGTCAACCATCGTCGCGGCGCTCTACGGACGACGATTACACGCGGATGTCGTCATCAACCTCCAACGTTGAGGGCCTAATTAGTCGGGAAGATGTTCACAGCCGTCTCATGAAGCGGTACAAGGATGCGCCACTGAGTTGGTATTTGATCACCTTCCTCTCCATGACAGCCATTGGCATCTTTGTGGTTGAATAGTGAGTTCTGTGTCCCCATAACTTTACCAGTTCCATCTCCTAATGCCTCTATTTAGCTATCCCGTCCACTTGCCATGGTACGGTCTTCTACTAGCCTTGGCCATCGGCGCCATCTTCTTTATCCCCAACGGCATTATTATGGCTGTGACGAACCAGCACAGCAGCATCTATCTTATTTGCCAGCTCATCTGCGGCGTCGTCTTCCCGGGACGTCCTATTGCTAACATGGTCTTCGTCACGTATGGCTACATCTCCTCGGCGCAGGGGATCAAGTTCGCTTCCGATCTTAAGCTCGGCCACTACATGAAGATTCCCCCTCGCATTCTTTTTTCCGTTCAGGTCGTCGCCACGCTCGTGTCGTCGTTCACCCAGATCGGTGTTTTGAATTGGATGTTCGCCAACATCAGGGGCATCTGCACATCAGAGGCCATCAGCGGCTTTACCTGCCCTATTGCACGCGTCCACTTCAACGGATCAATTCTCTGGGGCGTCGTTGGCCCTCACGAGTTCTTCGGTCCCAAGGCCATCTACCGCTCCCTCATCTGGTTTTTCCCACTTGGCGCTCTCCTCCCCATTCCCCTCTGGCTTTACAGCCGCCGCCACCACCAGAGCATTCTTCGCAAGGTCAACCTCCCAGTCATTTTCGGCGCCATGTCTTGGATCCCTCCCGCCACCGGTCTCAACTTCTCAGTTTGGGCTGTCGTATGCTACGTCTTCAATTATCTTCTCAAGAACCGCCACAATGCTTGGTGGAGCAAGTACACCATGACTCTTAGCGCTGCCCTCGACTCTGGCCTCGCCTTCGGTATCGTTGTCGTCTTCTTCGGCTTCCTCTATCCCGGTTGGATGGACGGCTTCCACTGGTGGGGCACGGAAGTCTACAAGCAGGGCTGCGACTGGCAAGCCTGCGCCTACAACATTGTCCCAGAAGGCGAGCGTTTTGGTCCTGATGCTTGGTGACTTTTTATGAATATGTTGCTGTTTGATTGATTTAATGCGTTTTGGACCTTTCTGTGATGGATTTTCTTTTGGAAGCAAGCAATCTGCATAATAGATTTAGCCGGATACTTGGGAACGTCATGGCTACGAAATAGACTTCTGCAACAATGGTTGGGAATCGTATTTTACAGGTCGAGGTTATCAAACACCTCCTAGCAGTGTTCACACATAGAATGGTTGGGGAAGCCGGCGTTAGTTGGTGGATGGGAAATGTGCAGAAGCAAAGTCTTTTAAGGAAGACGCGAAATTGCAATCGATTTGACCGTCTATCATTGCGTTTGGTTCCTCCCTCTTGATTGCGCTTACAGCACATTACTATACAGTGTAACGAGGTCTGACCGGTGACCTGCCCTTCCTGGGCCAACCCCAGCGCTCGCTCCCATAACCTTTCTTTGTCTATTTCTCTGCCTCCCACTCTGGGTTCTATGTATGGTTAGCATTATCCACGCATGAAGTCATATTTGCTCAGAGGTATGTTGTAGACTTACCTTTCGCAGAATCACCAAACCCTCCAGGGTGCTGTTCAGGCTGATGTATTCCTCATCCTCCAGCTCCGCGCGCTCACCGTAGGCAAGCACAACAGGGGTGCTCTGAGTTTGCCAACCAGTGATGGTCTTGGGTCGACCAGCCTGGCCCACGACATCGACAGCCTGACCAACGCGAACATTGACCTTGAGGGGTTTGTGGTTCTCGTCCAGAGTAACGAGGAAGCGGGGGTGCATGGCGGTAACGAGGAAGTAGAGGAGGTAGTGCGAATTGGTGGTGATGAACTCCTTGGGTTCGATCATGGCCAGGATAGTGGCGAGGAGGCCAGCTGCCGAGACGCGGGATAGGACTTGGCGATCAGTGTGGAAGGGGCTGATCGACAGGGTTCCCTTGCCCATGTGGAGGAGACCTTGGGCGATGCGCACCATGAACAAGGCGTCCTGGTCACGGTGGTAGTAGCTGGCTAGCTGTCGAAGCAACTGGGCTAACCGAGCGTTGTTGGTTCCGGCACCCAGCAGACCCATGGCGAAGATGGCATTGATGGCGACCTCGGGGTCGTTGTCGTGACTGTATCTCGACAGAGTGTCATAAACCTTCATCTGAGGGTTGCTAGGGCTGATAAGACCCAAAGCCAGGGGAACAGCTTTGCGGATATTGGCCTCGCCGTAGTGCATGAGGTGGCCGAACTGGCGCAGGACCATCTCCTGGCCAACATCCTCGCCCATAGCCACCAAGGCAATACCGATGACGGCATAAGCCTGGAGAAGCTCGTCTCCCTTCTTCTCATCAGACTCCTCCTGGTGCTCGTTGCAGATATGAAGCAGCTCCTGAATTTTCAACACAGCACCGGTACCGGCCCAGGCGCAAATCTCAGCGAGGACAGCAGTGGCCTTAGCCATGGGGTGGTCGATGGCCTTGAGTGTCTCCAGGATAACGTCGACCTCTTCCTGTCGCCCGAAGAAAAGAAGACCCAGGCCCAAAGCCAGAAATCGTGTCCACTTGTCGGTCAATTGGCTCTTTCGGTCATCGTCCATCAAAGTAGTGATGATGGCCTCGCTGACTTCGGGGTGAGAAGAGCCAACAAAGATGAGACCGCAAGACAACGCCGCCATAGCCGAGATCTGCATGTCCTGAGTCGAGTCAGAGATGATGGGCAGAAGCAGCTCAAGGACATCTTCTTTGTTGGAGCCAGCGTAGGATAGGCCCAAGCCCATGATGCAAGCTGTTCGGATAAGGGGGTTAGTGTGGTGCAACTTGTCGGAGTCGCCTAGCAGAGCAAGGGCAGGCTCTGAATCGATCTGAACGCCTGAGTTCATGATGCCAATAGCAAGCATAGCACCAGCCGAGATCTCGGGCTCGGAAGAGTAGGTGTATCTGTCGATCTTGTCCAGTCCGTTCTCGATATCCCATAGGAGAAGGGTACCCATAGAGGCGACGGTCGACATCATACCATCAGCCTTGGTCTTCCACACCCAAGTCTCCTTCTCGCCATCCACGAGCATCATCTTGTCGTTACCAAATCCAGCATTGACAAACGCGTTGACGAATGCAGCGGCAAGGTTATGACGGGCGGAGTCCAGGTTGGTCATCCCTGCAACACGGCTGCTCTCAAGATGGCTCTTGTAGATATCCTCCGTGGTCTTGGGATCTAGAATGTTGAGCTCTTTGCCGAGGGCCTTGAAGTGCTCGGATAGCTTCAGGTTGGAAAGGCACTCCGATGTTTCCTGCTCCTCCTCCGAATCACCAGGAAGCTCCAAGACTATCCGTTGGCGGGCGATCAAGAATGCCAGCTGCTTCTTCAAAGCGGGGTCCTCGGCCTTGTCGAAGTCGGCCTTGATCAGGTCGACGTCATGGAGTCGAATAGCAAGAACCATCGCCTGGGCAAACTGCTTGTACTCGATATAGATGTCGTGCGCCGTCTTGAGGAAGTTCTCATTATCGGGGTAAGTGAGAAGGTTGACCATGCTGGACATGTATAGACACACTCTCGCGTAGGTGTTCTCGTCAACAAACTTGGGGATCTCCTCAATGATCTCCAGCTCGCTCATAAGGTCCACGGCATCAGCCTCGGCGTTGCTCTTGAGGAAGAGGGGAATTAATATCATGGCGAGGTCAACCAAGTCCTTCGTGGGTTCGTCTGTTGTGATTCGCTTGCCATACACTTCACCAATCTCCAGCGCCAAATGTCGAACATACTCGTGTCCCCAAGAGCTGATATCAGACGTTGGCGCCAGAAGTCGGTACTTAAGGGTGTCTTGTCGATCCTCGTCCGAAAACGTCATGCCGATGACGGAGAGAACATCCGCGAGGGAGGTCTTGTCGTCACCCTCTGGCCACTCATCGTAAAGCTTGATCAACGGCTCATAGTGTGGTCGCAGGAACTTCAACGGCTTCGGTACTGCGGTCATGGATGACGTCGAGGTCTTAATGGAGGTCTTCATCGCTTCCAGGGCGGGCTTGTAGAGATCCTTGTTTGACTCCTGGTCGCAGTTAGATATGTGTGCGGGTGCTCATCGTTGGCTCACTCCGGTACTACTCACTGTCAAGCGCTCAACCATCATGTCCAGTTCGTTCTTGAGTTGCTGATCCTCCTCGTTGAGCTCTTCCTCGGCAGCTAGGGACGGTCAGTAAGAGGTCGCACCACGAATGCAGCTGGATACCCATACCCTCAACCTTGTCATCCTCCTTCTTCCCATTTGCCAAGGGTTTATCCTTCTTCGCATCGTCGACGGCCTTGCCCTTGCCCTTGTCGGCCGCCTTGGGCAGTTCGCTGTCCTGAGCCATGTTGACGTCTCCGAGGCGCCTGTGGCAGCTCCGCAGAACAGATTGAGGAAAGGTAAAGGTCGAAAGGCAGTATTAAGAGGGCGCCTCTACTATGGCCGCCGGGATTTTTGGGGTCGTGGTGTCGGATTGCGATGGGGTCGTGGGTATTCGTCGCCGATGATGGAAGGTGATGGAGCCCGCTTGGTAAAGCTCGAGGATGCTGTGCTGTATCCAGGTAGCTCTGGTTACGCCAGGCGCTGCCGCCTGCAAAACGGGTCCACTCCAGCCTCGCGATCACGTGCCACACCACGTTATCCGATTAATCGCCGAGATAAGGTATTTTATCGTCGATAAGATCTTATCGTCAAAATTTCTAGGATAACCCCACCATGCGACAACATCTCCAGGATCAACCCCACGTCTTGATGATTCCCTGACGAATTTAACACATCCACTGGGTTTATTTCTTCGCAATTTTCAAGCCGGCCAGACATTCCTACCCATCATGAAGTTGGATACCAAGGCCATGCGATACCTCATCGCTGAGGACTGGCGTGTTCTAACGGCAGTAAGTCCATCCCGTCTATCCAGGTTCGCCCATGAGCATCTAACACAAGATATCCAGGTCGAGCTCTGCAGCAAAAATCACGAACTTGTCCCTACGACCCTAATCGAGAGGACTGCCCGCCTTCGCGGTGGCCCCAGTGGCGTCCACAAGAGCATCTCTGCCCTCGCCAAAGTCGGCCTAATCGCCCGTGTAAAGGAAGCCAAGTACGACGGCTACCGCCTGACCTACGGCGGCCTCGACTATCTCGCTCTCCATACCCATTCCCAGAAAAAAGATGTCTACAGTGTTGGAAACCGAATTGGCGTTGGCAAGGAAAGCGACATCATGGTTGTTGCTGACCAGACAGGCACGCAGCGGGTGCTCAAGATCCATCGACTCGGCCGAATCTCTTTCCGAACCGTTAAGTCGAACCGAGACTACCTCAAGAAGGGCGCATCCGGATCATGGATGTACCTGTCGAGGCTAGCAGCTATGAAGGAATTCGCCTTTATGAAAGCCCTTCGCGAAGTGGGGTTCCCTGTGCCGGAGCCAATCGCGCATTCTCGACACACCATCGTCATGAGCCTGATCGACGCATTTCCTCTTCGCCAAATCGCAGATGTTCCCGACCCAGCATCACTCTATGCTGACCTGATCGGCCTTATCCTTCGGCTCGCCAAGCATGGGCTAATTCACGGCGATTTCAACGAATTCAACATCCTGGTTAAGGAGAACAGGTCCAAAAACGATGAGGGTGAGGAGACTCTAGTATTAGAGCCCGTCATTATCGACTTCCCCCAAATGGTGTCGATGGAGCACCAAAATGCAGAAATGTACTTTGATCGAGACGTCAACTGCATAAAACGCTTCTTTGAGAGGCGTTTCCATTTTGTAACCTCAGAAGCTGGTCCCTTTTTCAAAAATGCCAAGAAAAGTGTTGGCAAAGATGGAGCCAAGAGACTCGACGCTTCTGTTGAGGCCTCTGGGTTCACCAAGAAGATGTTGAAGGATTTGGAGGCTGCTATCAGGGAGAAGGCAGAGACCAAGGCCGGAGATGGGGAAGAGGATGACGAGGACGATGACGAGGATGACAGCGAGGATGACGAGGATGATAACGACGTGGCATCTGGTGGTCTTCTGGGAGACGATTCCCGAGATGCAGAAGTTCCAGTTGATGAATCTATGGCTAAGCTAGCAGTTTGAGACGAGATGTAATGATACCCATGAAGACTGTACAAAGATTATCATGTTTGGTTTTATGTGTGATTAAAGCTATCGAAGAGCCACTTCCAATCGCCGCGGTCTGTTTGCATGGGTTCATTGGTAAGGGTGGTCAAGACAGACGGGCCTGTAGTCAGGGACAATAGTTGATTATTCTGTTCAGGCCAAACGCCGACATTTCAGACTTTTTAATGACACCACTGTCCTCCTTAGAATCTAAAGTACAAGAGTTCATAAAATAGACCACAGCACAAGTCATCAAGTGTACCAGCTACCTCAGGCTGTAACATGTTTCCGATTGCGTAACGATGCCTCCGTGGGGTAAAACGACAGTGCCAAGAGACCGTGATTAAAAACAAGGAAAGAATGGGTACGATGAGTGACGTGAATTGCGCAAAATTACTCCATACTAGTCGGGATGGCCAAGTTACTGAGTCTCCTTCTTGACGGAAGCCTCCTTCTTGACGGACGGAGACGAGTCGAGAGAAGCGCTGACAACAATCGTATCCGCATGAATGGTGACGCTTTCGTCACATTCGGAGGACGCAGGTGTAGCAATCGCCTCGTCCGCGCTCGAACTCGTGGCCGTCCTGGTCAAGCGGTTAGAAAAGGCCCCGATAGCGACGCGACAAACCATCGTACTGCAGTGAACCATAGTGGGACCCAGAGGGTCTGGTTGCATTGCCTCCCTTAGAAGCCGCGGAGGTCGAACCTGCGCCACCGACAGTGGCAGATCTACATTGAAGTTAAATAAGCTCTCCAAAGACAAAATATCTATTGATGCTTACCCCCGAGACGAGTGTTGGATCGGGCGCCGCCACTGCTGAGGCTGAGAGCCATACAGGGTTGGGTTCATCCCAACGAGAGGAGTGCCGTAGGCACCGATGTTGTACTCGTTGGTGCGGAACTGTCGACGCTCTGCAGTGACACGCTTGAGCTCCTTCTGGGCAGGAGTGTCTGCATATCGGATGTTCATGAGAAGGCCCTCCTCGCCAATACCCACACCATTGAACTTCCGGATGATGTCGTCGCAAACATCGCGGTTTTCAAAGCTGCACAAGTGTGAGTTTCATGACTTCTTTGTTTCACGGCAAACGCTTACCGAGCAAACCCAACGCCGCGGCTGTTTCCCATACTGTCTCGGAGGATCTTGCTGGACAAGATAGTGTATCCCAAAAAAATTGTACCAAGCTCCTGTGCAGGGTTAGCATTCGGGGTCGGGGCCGTTCAGAAGCAACTTACTACTTCGGTCAAGGTCTTGGGCAAATTCGAGATATAAAGATTAGTAGACAATTCATCTCCCTCCGCTTTGAGACGAGAGTTGAAGGACTCCTAGAGAGCTTGTCAGATGGCCGTTAGCAAGAGATATGGATGGAACAAGTACTGACCCTGGCAAAGCCGACTTCATAACCTAGGCGGTAAAATCCGCGAATGCATATCTCCGAATCAGCCACGTCGTAGAATTTGGCGAAGCCAAAACTGTACGATTATCAGCAAGAGGCCATAAATCATGCCCGGTGTAGACTTACCCTTTGCAGGCACCAGTGCCAGTGTCGATGATCGCCTTGGACGTCTCAACTGGACCAAAACGGGTTGCAAACTGATAGAGCAGCTCATCATCGGTTGTGGGGTGCAGGCCACGAATGTAGACATTTCGGTTACCAGGGATGCGATTCTCCAGACTCTGCTCCAAGCTCTTCATCTGACCAGGTGGCGTGAAGACTGCGGGCACGGCCTTGGGCACAGCCGGGTTCTTCTTCAACAGCTCATCGAGAGCGTGATCAGAGACTGTTGGCGGAGCTGCCTTGGCAGGAGCGTCCACGTGCAGAGCCGACAGTCCCATCTGCTGGGGAGAGGGGGTGGTGTAAGTCGACCGATCAAGACTCGCAACACGAGGGCCATTCTCGCGGTGCGAGATACCAGTGTAGAAGGGGGTGGCCGGGGTAGACTCTGTAGTTGAGTAAGACCCGCGACGATTCTCTAGGCCAGGGACATCCGAATGTCCACGGTCGACACGATGATGGGTAGTGGTGGGACGGCCGGGAGTAAAAGGCATGAGTGGAACGGGCACACCGACGTAAGGATTACCATAGGCGCCATTGAGAGAAAAAGCGTTGTAGCCATTGTCGTTGGAATGACCCAACCCCATGGACTGCGACCCCGGCATAGGCGCGAGAACGAATTGACCTTCAGGGCCAAGCATGTACGAAGCCCCCATGTGAAGGGGAGCTGGGGCGCTTCCCATGTTCATGCCGCCCAAGGTCATTCCCTGAAACTGATTCATCATTGCAGCATGGTCGTTAGACCCTGGGATGGCCAGGTGGGAGTGAAGCCCTCTCCCAGGTTGACCGGGGAGATACGGCGGTGGGACATTTCCGTTTTCCATGTTGGTTGTCGATTGAAGATGATAAGCTTTGGTTCTTCTGCGGTAGAGAGGAGTCAGCCAATTGAGATCGAAGATGTTGTCAGGTCAAGGTAGAATTTGAGGGACGGTTATGTCAATGGAGCTGACGTGTGAATGGGTCGACATCAAGGCGACATGTTGATTCCACGACAATCCAGGCTCAAAAAGCAAGGTCAAGAATCAACTTACTTCACAGGCAACAGATCCACTTCTTGAGAGCAGTTGGAAATTGCCAATGATCAAGTTGTAGTGCAAAGATCCTGTTGCAAAGCAATGTCAGTACCAGTTTGAGAACCTCAATGGGAGGCAACGGGAGGCAGCAGGGAAGCAGAAGGGTGAAAATGGACACCGGGTATGAACTCACCGTTGACGGAGCGCTACTTGGCTGTACAAAGAGGATCCTGGGTGGAAGGCCAACGACGGCAAATGCTGGGGTACCAAGACTCTGAGATGAAGCGAGAGTAAGTAAGATAGAACAAGCTATCGAGCAAGATGGGGTTCAGAAGAGATCGGCCACCGGGTGGGGGTTGGCTTGAAGGAGAGTGGCGTGAACCCGTGGAGATGATGTGAAAGGAGAGAAGAAGATGGAGTGGGAGAGAGGAGTGGGAGAGAAGAAGTGGGAGAGGCGCAGGAGATGGAGAGACAGGATGGACAGAGACCACTTACCTAAGCCTGCAATTATCTGTATTGGAGGAAGGTGATGCCGGCTGTAAGGTTGGTAGCAAAGAATGTGCTCAGACTCCAAAAGGGTAAGAGGCAAGAATGATGGGGGAGGGTGATATCGTGATGGTAAGGTAGGATCGACAAGTAAGGTAGGTACCTAGGTAGGTAGGTGTGCGGAAACCAAAATGATACTTGCAAGTATCAGCCGAAGGTGATGTCAACACCTGAAGGGAAAGGAAGTACCTCAGTGAAGGATGAAGGTGAAGGTGAAGGAAGGAAGGAGAGGAAGGAAGGAAGATAATATTGAGACGAGGCAGGTTTAAATACCTATGACCCGTGGACGGCCTGGCGGTCGAGTGGCTCGGTGCACGCAGTTGGCAGCTGGCAGATGGTTCTGACTCCGGCGTTGGCAGCTGGCAGCTCGGCCGAGGTGTGTTTGACAGCTGCTAAGTTTTCAGGCTGCACCAGGTGGTAACGTATTCGGCAGCGCCTCGCAGGTAGCGACCCTTGTCCAAATGATCTCGAAAGCTGAAACCGTCTTGAGATGGATGTGGGAGCCGCGGCAAAGTGAGTTCGGCACTACTCGAGAGTCGTTCTCTCCAGCTGTGTACTTCTAGGGCTCTTGCTCTGTCTTGGTCTCCCCGGTGCCAGTTGCTCCCCGGCCGCAAAGGTGAGGAGAGCTCAGGTTGAGGATATAGGATCGAGTGCCAGTCTTTCCGTCAGCCGTAGCAATTTCTGCCGTCGGTGATATCAGGCTGGTCTCTCTGCCCGTGAATGCGATATTTCGCTTGCGTGAGGTTGCTAGGCAAACGTCGCGAATAGAAGCAAGTTTGATGCTGCAGTCACTGCCGGGCAATGAGGCAATGCCTTGTCGTCCAAAATACCGCTCAAAGCAGTCTCCGTAAGATTGGTAGGATAGAGCACGAGAGAAAAAAGATGCTTTCGCCTATTCCCTGTGTCCGTTGAGTGCTTTCGTACTCGTCGTTTTCGTCAAGACGCGGCGGTCGATGCCCTCTCCGTTAATCGTCGTCACTTCTCAGCAGCAAACAGTGGGTGGATCCGGGTATTCAAAGAAATGAAGACGCAAAGATAATTGAATGAAGAGGAATATTTCTTTGTAATAATGCTGGAACAAAGGCAAAATACGTGGATAGAAGACAGCTACTGTTCAGTCATTTCTTCGAATATCAAGACAATGGCTCTCTCGAAGTGCTGCGTAGGAGGGTCTGATCACACTCTTCATGGGGAGACGGCATCGACACCTCCCCCTTTGGGAGGATTGTGCCTGACTACTGATACGAAGAGCCCGTCTGAGGCTGACTGTGGATGACTTGCTTTGATTGTCATAGTGTTCTCAGACATCCAGAGACATGGTTCACCCGCGGGGCTTGGCTTGGCAGTTCAACCCCCATCCCCACAAGTCGTGCCCCAAATGCAACTGTCCATCCGGGACTCGAGTGCAAGGAAGATGACCCTATGCCAGGCCAATGGCGTTCCCGGGGTGATATCTTGGCTGCGAGCCCCTGGGAGTAGCTAATTTGGATGCTGCAGGACAGATTCGATTTGTGACAACCTCCTCGGCCTTCTCTTGATCCCTACCGGTTTCTAAAGGCGGTGTTCTATGGGAACACCCGATCGCCTCAGACCGACCGGCGACTTTCGCTTGGTCAAGCGAGTTAGTTGTGTTCATATTGAGAGGTCTCGAATTGCTTTTTGTAGCTCCGTCTGAAACCGTAGTTGGGCCTCCTCATGCATCCACCGATTCAGTGTCGCCGCTAGTGGCACCGTCATGATCCCATGCCTCTGACCGCAACCTGTGTCCGCTCTGGTTTTGCTAGAGCTGGTCTTTTATGTGTGGCAGCCATGAGAAGGGCAGTGTCCCAGCATATGTCTTACATACCTACACACTAGTTAGTTGGCTAAACCGCCATCAGCCCGAGAGGCTTCACCCAAAAGCACTTCCTTTACGAGGTACATCACAAAGTAGTCGGTGTCAAAACCTGATGCTCGACCACCGGCGAATCAAGTCCCAATGCCTTTCCCATCAAACTTCCTAGCTTTTGCGCTTTCTAGTCCTCCCTTACTGACGGCGAGGCGGAGCGAGCAGGGTTCTTGTGACAGGCACCCGCGCGACAAGCCTCCGAGCCCGAGCCAAAAGCAACAACGCCTGCAGGACGGGAGGCAAGAGAAAGGAAACCTTGTTCGGCCTGGCATGCTAACAGGTCCGTCCATCAATCCAATCTCACCCCTATTCTATTTGTTTTTTGGTTCTGTTTTTTTGTTTTTTAGGCTGGCCAGCACTTCGCTGTGCTCGTGTTCGTGTGCACAATCAATGTATGTTCTGGGGAGGGTGCCAAATGAGTTGCAAGTGCCGGCTGAACCATCCCCCACAACGGCCTTACCTGCCGGTGACTGTTGTCCCGCTTCCCCGATATCATACAAACCTTAGCCCAGGAATACATCTAAATAGGAATTGTTTGTGGCGTATCCAATAGTTTCCACCTGTGGCACATCTCTCAGGAAACCTAGCTACACTTCCTTACCTGCCGGCCTGTATGGCGAGGCCAAGACACTTTCAAGGTATCTCGCATACTTCCCGATCTACCGAGGACGACGACGATCCTCTGTCTCCAGATTCTGTGAAAAAGGATCTGATCCCGGCTGGGTACCTGGTCCATAGACTTCATTGGTGTTTTGATGGGTGGAAGCAACTGGCATTGCAAGAGCCGCTAAAGCTTTACCATCATAGGGCACGGGCAAGGCAAAGAAAGCATCCCAAGAGACGTGAGAAATTCACTCCCCCCAAGTAACCATGGGTGCATGGGACGATGTCGCAATGTGCCTTATTAGACAAGGCGCCCCGTTGCCCATCAATCAGTACTTCGTACGTGCCCACACACAAGCAGGGTAGGCTGCGCCAGCCCGGAGACGGCTCAAACTCTCCTAGGATTAGGATGCGTACCATCGCACCCCCTTCAGTGTTGGGAGTCGCAGATCTTCATGTATCTATGAGTATATTTACCGACTGCGACATTCTCCTAATGAGTAAGTGGTCTCACTGGAACGGCACGTCCCCGTCGATCCACATCCACGGCCGTGGCGCTGGTCACTTCTAATCTTTCCCGGTGAGTCTTGAATTGAGGAGGTGACTGTTTCTGGCTTGTGCCGCTGCCATAATCTCTCCGGCAATAGTCACTCCGGTGGCGGTATCTGGTCATTACAAGGCGTCGAGTGGCTTATGGTGATGTGATATTGGATACAGTACTCTAACTTTGTAATCAGGCAGCAAGAAATACACCAACAGTGCCTAGATGGATACCACCAGATAGATATCTCAGATGCCACTAGTAGTCCCAAATCTTTCCTCTAGCAAAAAAATATGAAGTTCTAGTTCATGTACGATCGTCTTATTTCACCGGGGGAGCAGGGCTCACCCTCAGTGTGTCGTGAAACCTGACATGCAATGATGCCACTATCCCAAATAGAGCGCCGCGTGCTTACCGCTTCTTCACTACCAGACGTCCTCCTGCAAATAAATCAGTCAGCAGGCAAACTTTTTGGGGGGGAGGGGGGATGCATGGTTTTGGGACAGTCCCGGACGTCATCGCATCGGGAGAGCGACCATTCGTCGTATCTTGACGAAAACGTACCTGGTATTGGTTGGCTGCCCTCATGTTCTTGACGATTTCCTCACCCTTGGCCTCGGAAACTCCACGTCCTTCCGCCAAGATCTGCGCAAGGACGGAGTTGACCTCACGCGCCATATGCGAGGCATCACCACAAACGTAGAAATAAGCCTTTTGGGACAGCAGTTCGCTGACCTCCTTAGATCGCTCCTTGAGTCGGTGCTGAACGTAGACCTTCTTGGAGCCTTGTCTGGAGAACGCAGTGACGATCTCAAACTTGTCACCAAGAGCCTTCTTGTAATCCTGAAGAGATAAGTCAGCATGTGGTATCGGTGATGGTCATTTTAATGTAACTTACCTCCCACTCAGACTGGTACATGTAATCATCGGAGGCTTTTCGGCAGCCAAAGAACAAAAGGGTTCGTCCAACCTCAACACCATCCTGGGCCTGCTTGGCACGTTCCTGAACGAAGGCACGGAAAGGAGCGACACCGGTTCCAGGTCCGATCATTATAACAGGCTTGCTAGGATCCGAAGGCAGCTTGAAGTTGGAGTGGCGAACGTGGACAGGAATGCGGATTCCATCATACTTGTTTCGGGGTCCGGCAATCTCAAAGGTCTGTCTGAACTGCTGGGGGGTTGCGTCTCCATTCTGCTTTTGCTTCAGGGCCAAGAGATAGTTGGTTGCGACACCTCGGAATGGGTCATCACGTCCTGGGATCATTTGCGACTCGACAACGGCGGTAATAGAGATCTTCTTGGGCTGCACCAGAGAAGAAGACGAGATGGAGTAGTAACGAGGCTGAAGCTTGGTGAGACCCTCGATGAAGGCAGAGAAGGGAATGTTGGTCCACTTCTCACCCTTGCTAACAGTAGCCAGCATGCGAGCGATGTTGTGGTAGTGAGGGCTAGTCTTTTCGTGGAAGTAATCCTTGTCGTTACCGAGGCGGTTCATCTCGGCCTTGACTTCATCGTTGGGAGCAAAAGGGGCCAGAGTAGAGAGGAACTGACGCGAAAGAGGGGCACAGATCTCGAGGTGATATCGGAGGATGGCGTCGTACGTGGTGGGAGTGGGGAAGGGAACCTTGGCAGTGGGCTCTAGGGCCTTGACGCTGACGACACTGTGCTTCTTGTCCGAAAGATCGAGGATGTCGAGGAAGCGATCAACTTCCTCACCAGGGTTGGTGGGCCAAACAGCAATGTGATCTCCGGTCTCATACTTAAGGTTGGATCCACTAATGTCGACCTCGACATGAAGACAGTTCCTGTCCTTGGCGGTGAACAATTCTCGGGACTCGGGGATGGGAGCAATGTAGGGGTTGTGCGCGTTGAACTGGCCCTTGACGGTACCCTCGAGGTGCATCTTGTTGGGCTCGCCTAGGTAAACCTCATCGGATTCGGCAGTCAGGTTGTCACGGTCGATGATGGCGAAGGTTGGCTCGTACACAGCCTCACGCTCCTCGAGGCCCAGCTTCTCGGCCAGGGCCGCCCACATGGGATCCTTCCAGGCGAGGAAGTCCTCCTCCATGGTACCGGCACCGTCGTCACCCTCGCCGGCTTCGCCGATGCGGTGAGCGCCAAGTTTATCGAGAGCCTTGCTGACATTGCGGACCATGGAGTTGTAGTGTTCGTAGGTGTTGTTACCGAGACCGAAAGCGACGTAGTTAAGGTTGCCGAGAGCGGGATCGCTACCCTCGGAGAAGGAGGCGTCATCACCGGTCATAAACTCGTAGAAATCGACAGCGTTATCAGTGGGTTCGCCCTCGCCGTACGTGGCGAGAACGAACATGACGACCTTGTCGTCGGTGATAGTATCCAGGTTATCGAAGTCATACTCCTCGAGATCAGCAACCATGGTCTCGAGACCGAAGCGGCTCTTGCCCTCCTTGGCAAGGCGTGAAGCGTAGTCCTCGGCAGTACCGGTCTGAGAGCCGTAGAAGATGACACAGTTCTTGCCCGACTCCTCCATCTTCTCGACGATGTTTCTCGTGCGGCCGGCCTTCACGCCGTTGGAGGCAGCGAAGGCGTTTGCGTAGGGGTCTTTGGTGATGCCCCATACCTTGCCCTTTGTGAAATATGCCAGCGTCCCGAGGAAAATTGCCCCCAGGACGATGACGTCCAGCGTGTCAAGTTCAGCCATGGTGTGTTTGGGTGAGCGCGAGCACGAGCGCCTGTCGAAGCGCGCTGCAGAGGATTGCGGTGGTTGATAAGGTCAGATGGTGAACCGCCAACTGCCGTCGTAGGAGCCGAGTATGGGAAGCGTTGTGGGATGGATGCGATGTCGCCTCGGTTCCAGGTGGAAGAATCGCCCGTAGATCGGCAATCGGAAAGGAGGCGGGGGAAGAACAGCGGGATGTGGCGCAAATTGCCTACCAGCGCTTCAGTCAGTAACGTGGCCGGGAGCACAATCGGCAATTCGGCCTTGGAGAAGGTTATGGGGACTCACAAGCCCCAGAGATATATGGGGTTTTGCAGGCAATCCAGGCGGCAAATCCCAAGGAAGGAGGGAATAAGGAAAGGAATCTGACTCCAAGACAAATAACCGGTTCGTTGCGGAATGGGACGGCAGCTTTATCTGACGGAATCAGCTTGAGGCCAGAGTCCCCTCCACGCCGCCCAGTACGAAAATCCTACACTAGATACGTAGCCTCCCGCGGAATACAGGGTCCCCCTCCAAGCCGCCACTGCTATTCCCCCACTCCCAAGTATTTAGCGCGCTGCATGGGCCGCCTGGCGGTTCCATTGCCTTCCAGGTATCTTTCTTTTGTACGAATCTAGCCAGTTGCCCCCAGAAATTCGGGGGAAAACCCTCCTTGGCTGGCTTGAGCCTCAGCCCTGGACAACGGCAACGCAATCTTGCCCTGGTGTTTTGTTTCCTGCCGGGCTCAGCCACGGAGACCGGATCCCGGGCATTCGGACATGGCCGCTCTGTTGGGACGTGGTGGTGCCATCCCATGAACCCATGCCGAAGTACTAAACCGCTATTTTGTTCAATGCCGGCTCCGGAGCGCCAAAGTTCCGGGGTTCCGAAAACGAACACGCAGTTCTCCACAGCCATGGGAATCTGATGGACGATTCCGCAGTGATTCAGTGCGCAGTGATTCAGTGGTGGGATGATGATGCTGGCGCTCAGTTTCTGGCTGCCTATGTACTCTGTGTGCACTTGCACTTGCTCCTCTAACTAGGTCGGAGCTTCCGCCGTGGGTCCGAATTACTTCCATTGTCTTCCATTGTGACACCTTATCACAAGCTGCTCACGTGCACAGCACGAACCCGACTGATGAACCTGTCTGTCCTACATACCAAGTACCTAGGCATGCGGGTTATTGAAGGCGATTTTTTGCAGTACGCACCACCATGGCCTCATTGGGCAGTGTTGTCCCATCTTATCCTGCTAGAGGCGAGGAGTTTCTGATAATTACTCGGAATAATTTTCGTTGGAATTAGAGCGATGACCCCTCACCACGCAATTAGTCCGAGGAGATCATCAACATGCCGACTCCCCGAGCCCCCCTCGGTAGCCCGGCCGGTTTTCGCTATTGCCCAAAACAGTGAATAGCCGACCACTTCAGAATCTCAGCTAGCGAGCGGATCTGCTCCGTCGTCTTCGACTGAGAGTAAGCCGCCAATCCCAAGAATTGTACATAAGTAGGTAGATCGCGGGGTTGGGTGTTGTTCAAACGTTAGCTTCCACTCGGTCTCCTCCCTCGGGCACAATACCAACCTGGACAACGACACGCCTTCTACTATGATTCACGGACATAGCACAGAGTAGTTGCTCCTAGTTCAAGCTCTCGCGGACTATCATGCTCGACTCCGAAGTCCAGCGAGCTGCTACGCTTCAACCAGGCGCGTAAAGTGCCCCACCAGACCCCGAGGACTCGGTGTCCGGTAGGTGAGGATCGGCCGTCTCTGATGGCCGGCGGCCGGAGCCTCGGCTTCGTACTTAGCTTAGGCAAGCACACGATTTCTAGCTCTAGGTGGCATTGTTTGAAAACGAAACAGGTAATATGAGAAGGTTGAAACCTTAAGTTACGTATCGTATGGATTTTCTTCTTTCTTTCCGATTTTGTTTTAATATCCATTGACCCCGGCCGCCTCAGCAACTCGAGTGAGCTGTTGCGTGTGCAGGGTGGCTGGGTTCAACCACGTTCAACTCTCCCTCCTTGTTACTAATTTTTACCACTTGCCTGCCAGCTACCTGAAGCTGCGGCTCGGATGCAACATCCCTCTCATCCTTTGGTACACACTACTCAAATGGAAACCCGCAAGGGAGGTGGACTGGTGGCCGGTGGCTTGACTGCTGAGTACACCACTCTTGACAACGGATGCAGAGAGACCACTGAGTGGATTGGGCCTGAGCTGTCACCACCACGTTGGATACCATTGGCGTCGAGGCTGTCACGGGTGAGACACTTTAGCCGACTCACTACACAGAGCCCGTGATATCCAGCCTCGATAGTAGTGGGGCGGTGACAGCTTTAATGTCCTTACCTGGTCTACCGGCTGGCATCTGCTCTGACATAAGTATTGAAAGGGGCGCAAGGAGAGCATAGTAGAGTAGGATTCCATTGGAACGGAACGGGACCAGTGCGTCTATCAATGGTTCGGCGTGGCTGGCTGACAGAGCGCAAGCTGAGGATGCTACGTGGTACTGTAACCCGCACCCACCAGTCAACTACCTAGCCATACGCAGGTCGCAAGTCTACTTCGTGCAGAGAAGGTGTATATTAACTGCCGCGCATCATGGCAAGACGCCCTTGATCCTGACAGGGTCGGACGCAAAGATGACATTTCATTGACCATGATCTGCGTTAGGCGCCTTCATCACCCGTCACCCCTAGCTCCAGCGGATCGACCGCTGGAAATGAGGCTCCCAGCGCTCACTGACGCCTGGACTGGTCCGGCTGGATGGGGAGGTTTAGACGAGTGGACGACATGGCACTAAAGTCTCTCTCCCTCAGGCGCCGCCTAGCCGTCCATCCACCACCACCACCACCACCACCGCGTACTCATTACAGCGAAGTATGAGATAAGATCTCAACCCCAGACTGACCCCTTTCCTCGCAACCAATGGATCGCCAGCGGTGGCGCGTGGTCTGCCCATGGCGGACGGCAGAGAGCTGATAGGCCGTGGCCCTTGCAGATATGCATGGATGACGAGGGCGTGAAAGCCCAAATTGACCAAATTGATGGCTGGTTGCGCTGTATCCTCCCTCTCCCTTGCTCCCTTCGCGAGAGTTCTGGCCCAAAGAGCCCACCAACCCACCCAAGCTTGGCGCTCGGACGGTAGCGTCATTGTTGCTCCAGCCGCCAGAGGCCAGAGGCCAGAGTCGGTCGTCAGTCGTCGGTCGTCGGTCGTCGGTCGTGGGCCGTCTGGCTGTTGTCTTGTCTCTGTTGATTTGCATGACTTTGCATGACTACCTCTACCTACCTTACCTACGTGCCGTACCTAATTACCTGCCCAACCTGCCTACTAACTTACTACCTGCGTACGTACTGCGGAGCGACCTCAGTATTGTCCCTTCTCTTATTCTCCGAACTCAATCCTCCCTGCGACCAGCGCTTCCTTTTGCTTCGTGCCCACATCCCGTACTTGTTTCTCCTTGCCCTTGGTACGGACCGCCCGCCTGGGACCGACAGACCAACCCTAGATCATGGGACTGCGGCTGAATCCGAGTTGAAATGGGTGAGTCCAAGTCATAAGTGTGCCCGCCATCAGCTGCCAGCTACCCGCCCCTCCTTCTCCTGACCCTGCATCGCACTGCGGGAATGCCCTCGTCGCGGCACAGCTCAGCGTGCTCAACCCGACTGTACCTGGAGCTAGCCTGCGGCTAACCTCGCACTTGGGACCAACTCTCTCCAAGTACCACGAACAGGGAGCATCACCCAACAGAGGACATGATCGCTGATAACCCTTGTGACACCAAATAGTGCCGTCGCAGCCGCTGCCGGATCACCTGCAGGATCCGCTCAGATTCTCGCCCCGGTCCGTTTCAAGACTCGACGAAGAGGATGAGGACGAGTCCAGTTGGGACCGAACCCTCCGTCCCGCTCTTGACCCGCCCCATCGTCCTTCGCACTCGCGAGACTCTTCCGCCGACAAGATCTCCCAGCCGCCCCCGACTTTGACATCGCCGCGCATCCACGCACCGCACTCGAGAGGAGGCTTCGGCGGCGTTGTCGAGCGAGTCGTCGATCCGAAAACCGCAAACTACGGTCACCACCGCCAAACCTCCATCGTCCACGGCATCCAGCACTCGAGAAATGGCAGTTTGGCGAGCACCAAGTCCAGCCCCCTCAGTCCGCAAATGATTGCCGCCGCCGGTGCCAGTCTCGACCGCCTCGACCGCCCGGACATGCAGTCTGTAACTGCCCGCATCGACGGCGATGGCGGCTACCCATCGCGGCCGCCTACATCTCTTTCTGGCACCACCATCCAGATGGACCGCTCCGCGTCCGCCGCCGACTTGTCCCCTCATAGCGCAACCCAGCGCAAGCTCGAACGCATGCACAGCAAGTCGTCGAGACGTGACCACGCTCCTCATCTCTCCCATTCCTCTCGTCACCACAAAGATGACCAAAAGACGGTTGGCGAGTATGCCTTGCACGTCTTGTTCACCTCGGTTAGTACAAACTCGACCGGGCTACGGCGTCTCTGGCTGACTCCATTATAGTTCATAGCACAAGCTGAGGAAAAGCTGACGGAGTGCGTCACGGTGCCATTCGACCCCGAACCCCATATCGAACAAATCTGCGGACCCGGAGTCGATCCCGCATTCGACCAGTTGATCGTCGCCCTCGGCCACATTGCGAGCCCCAAGCCAAAGGCCCTTATCGATTCAATGATGCTATGGAGGAAAAGCAAGAGCGATGCTGCCAACGAAGCTCGCAGTCACCTTCAACAGTCGCGAGGCATAATACCAGGAGCCCCTCTTTTGCGAAGGAACACAGAACCAGTACAACAGGCTGGCCCCCCGGGCTCTGGAGGGGCTGACGGCGTCTTCCCGAACGGACCGCCAACCCTCGCCGCGAGGCAAGAATTCGTTGCCCAAGCTGAACGCCGATCAGCCGTTTCAATATACATCTTGTGTCGGGTCTTGCTGGAGGTAATAAGTCAGAGCAGTCTGGCCTGCATCACACCCGAAATGGAGGACAAGCTGGAAAGCATCATTTTCGGACAACTTAAGATTGCTGATACTGAGCAATTGATGCTGTCACCTCTGAAACTTGCCAATTGGAACCTATTTGCGCAGCTCCTCGGCTACATGAGTGGCATTAACTTCGCCAGTGTCACTCGGAGGTTCATCGAAGACCTGGATAGTTCCCTCCAGGAGCGAGTGGTAAAAAGCCCAACGTCGTCCTCGGGGCGAGATGCCGAGGGAAAGGTCGAACTCGTCTTGGGTGGCATGAAGCACCTAAGGGTCAAGGTCTCACCGGAAGAGTCATGGGAACAGTCCTGCGATTTTTTGATCTCATTGGGCCGCCTCTTTAACAAATCCCATGGCCAAAGGGTTAAGACTGCCTTTTGCCAGGTTCTGGATATGTTGCTGCTCCCAATTGCTGCAAAGGCCAGCAACAGCCACTTCATGCATCCACGATGGGCCGAAGTCCTCTCCGCCATCGGGCCTCGCCTTGCTCAAATGTTCATGAAACCGCGACACTGGAACATCGCATTCCCCCTCACTGCTACAATGCTCTGTGTTTCTCCTCCAGACAATTTCGGCACCCAATGGCTTCAACTTATCCTCCCCCTGCAGACAAAGGCCAAGGATCGCTTCACGAAGCCTCTTTGTCTCCAAGTTATTTCTCGACTGCTCTGGACTTACCTATACCGCACAAATGATACCCCTTCGAACGCCATTCGAAAGATGGACGAGATTATGAAATTGGTCCTGCCCTCGTCGAAACGCAGTTTGGTAGCCTCCGATACCGTCTGCACCGAGCCCTTGATCCAAATCATTCGTTTGATTGGATTCAAGTACCCGGAATACTGCTTTCGAAATATTGTTTTCCCGCTCGTCAATGCTGAGTTGTTCACCTCGAATAAAGAGTTAAAAGTTGAGCAGCTAGACCCTGACAGGGTTGTTGTTGGTATCAGAGCTTTCCTCTACATCATGTCCGACTTGGAGAAGGGAGAGCAGGGTCAACCACCCTTCCCACAATCCTACGAAACTCCTGTCGCTTCTCTAGATCGGTTTCCCGTCTCTCCCGCAGTCTCCTCACCTCGCAACTCCCCCTTGTCAAACCCCACGACCACTCCTAAAGAAGAATACGTCACGCGTCCCGTGCTGACTCATGTTTTGAGTGACAATGTACGGGAATACTATCTCAAGTTCTGCGAAATCCTCGGGAAAATCACCATAATCTGCGATAATACATTCGGTGGCCAGGCTGCATTAGATGAGAAGTTCAACAGTCCAGGCCCCAAGACCCCGATTGCCGAGACTTTTACCTTCTCCCGCAAAGACGACCATCAAAATGCATCAGATCAGAAACAAGCATTCTATGAGCTTCTTCATGTCGCAGTGCAGGCGTTACCCCGTTGCCTCTCTGTTGACATTCCTTTCAATTCACTAATCAACTTACTCTGCACTGGCACAGCTCATGTGCAATACAATATTGCCGAGTCATCCGCCAACTCGTTGAAGGCAATCGCTCGACATTCCCATGCTCAGCAAGTGACAATGGGCTTCGCTCGATTCATCTTCAATTTTGACGATCGCTACTCAACTATGTCGGACGGAGGGATGCTTGGTCACGGCCACATCGAGAACACTCTCAGGCTATATGTAGAGTTGTTGCAAATATGGATCGAGGAGATCAGGTGCAAGACTAGAGAGGCCTGGATGGATCAATCAGACACCACTGCCTCGGATAAGAGGGGCCTCAAGCTCGATCTCTCTAGCATCTGGGCCGAGGTTGATCAAGCGGAGGCCCATGGTCTGTTTTTCCTTTGCTCACAGTCCCGACGTGTCCGTCACTTTGCCGTTACAGTTCTCAGACTCATTGTTGAGTTTGATATTGCTCTTGGGAAAGAAGTTGAGGAGGAGAAGGACAATATGAGGCTTATCGACATCCTGGAGAACGAGTCTAGCAAGGTGATGGACTTCAACGACGAACAGCTCTCAGTGGCGGAACGCAGTAGGTTGCAGCGAGGCCTACAGAACACCAACAACCGCGGGGCCTTGGTTGAACTCTGCGCCAGCGATGTCTCGTACGATACAACATTGTGGTTCAAGGTCTTCCCCAATCTCATTCGGATCGCCTACGAAACATGCCCCTTCACCGTCACCATATGTCGGGACCTCATATGTAATCGCATTTTGCAGATGTACAAGCCGATCGTGTACCTTTCCGAGCCATCCCGTGGCCTTTACTACAATGGCGACCCAGGGAGCGCCCGGTTGGCTCCAAGACCCGCCACGGCGCATCCAGAGGTCATGGTGGAGCAGTGGAAGCTGTATTTGATCTTTGCATGTACCACACTCGCAGATCCTGGTGCTGCCCCAACTCCTAAGGATCCTCAACATGTCCGAAAGGGCTCGAAGCCGGTCTCCAAGGATAAGATTGTGACAGCACGGACGCTGTTCAAGTACTTGATTCCTCTGCTTTCTGTCTCCTCGGGCTCTGTACGGGACGCAGTTGTCGTTGCCATGGGATCAATCAATATTCACATTTACCGAACCTTGCTTGAAGAACTTCAAGGTCAAGTATCACGATGCAACGATAATGCGCGTGCTCGGATGCACCAGCGAACCAACAGTAGCCCACGACGGAACCGCAAGATGGACTTGCTGAGAACCGAGATTACTCACGTCTTCAAACTAACATCACACTTCATCAATGAACCTGACGTGTATAATTCCGATTTCTTTCTCACCAACCTCACCTCCTACACTAAAGATCTAAAGTTGTTCCTCATGGATGGGGAAGTACAGATGGACTGGGAGTTCCAAAAGCTGCGCCGCCACTACTGCGGTTTGATGGAAGCTCTCTTCGAAGGGATCAATCGAACCAGAGACCCATCACGATGGATGACCTTTGAGTCTCGCAAATCCGCCTTCTCCCTGATGGAAGATTGGTGTGGTTTCTCGCCAAACCAAAACCAGATACGGGCCCGTGAGGACACCATGCGTCAGTCTCTCATCGATCAGCAGACCCTAGGTGAACGGGGCACTGTCACGGCAGCAATGGAGATTGAAAAGAGGAACCTAAGAACCGCGGCTCTTAGCTCCATGGCTGCCTTGTGTGGAGGATCAATAAGCATCACGACTGAGAGCGGTGTTATTCTGCAGTTTGACATTCGCCGCATGCTGGCTTGGATTGAAGCCATTTTCAACTCGGGAAGTGACCGAATGAACGTGATTGGAAGACGAGCCTTGCAAAACCTGATCGTCCACAACCAAGAGTATCCTTACATGTTGGAACACTGCATCGCTCGATGTTACCTTGCAGACGTACCCAAAGTACTGGAGAGCTACTTCGCGGTTGTCACACAAGTACTCCAGGATCATATCGACTACCCCTGTCCATTTTGGAAACTGCTCGGTCTCTGTCTCTTCACTCTTGGCAACGATCGGAGCGAAATTAGATCTAAATCCGCGACAGTTTTGCGGTCCTTGGAAGCCCGTCAACAGCGCAACTCGAAGGTCCAGGATTTTGATATCAGCATTTCCGACAAGACCCAGGCTGTGTACAAATTGGCACAATTCGAGATATCCAAGCGGCTTGCCAACAAACACACGGAGCTGGCGTTTCACATCTTCTCCGAATTCACTCTGTACTTCAAGGACTTGCAGCCCGCAGCCCAACGTAACGTCGTCGCTGTTGTGCTACCTTGGATCCAGTCCATTGAGCTAAAGCTGGATCCAAATGGTGGTCCTACAGCCCAATCCTATGTTCTCTTGGCTAACTTGCTAGAGATTACCATAAAATCCAGCGGGGCCCTGCATAATGAAGTCCAGGCCCTGTGGCAAGCCCTTGCCACCGGTCCTCATCCAGGAAACGTTCGATTGGTCCTGGACTTCATCATGCAACTGTGCCTTGAGCGTCGCGAGCAGAATTTCGTTGAATATGCGAAGCAAATTGTCGTATTCTTGTCTACCACGAATAGCACGCCAGGCATCAAAGTTGTCGAGTTTCTCCTAATGCAAATCACGCCAAAGGCCATGGTTCCTAACGAAAAGAGAGACGCAGTCCCACCACCACCCGATATCAGTTTGCTCCCTTACTGCGCCGATCTCGCTGAGGCTCTCCCAGTTGGAACCAAGCAAGCTGGTTTCTCTCTTGGACAGTTATCGCTCATCTTGCTTGTGGACTTGATGGTCTCTCCAGTTCATCTCATCCCAGAAAACGTCCCGCTTCTCCTCCAGGTGGTCACTGTCCTGTGGGACCACTACACTCCGCTTGTTCAGGAACAAGCCCGTGAGATGCTAGTGCATTTGATACATGAATTGGTCATCTCGCAGGTCGATGACCAGACCCAAGACGTGGACAAGAAGTCCATCGAGGATTTGATTGACCTAGTCCGCCGACATGATCGCTCCGTTGTCTGGGGTTACGAGGATAGCAACGGCAAGGTAGATGACCACGATAACAAGGTTCCTCCAAGTATGGAATTTCTCACCGCAGAAGTCATTGGAACCTTCGAGATGACATTCCCGGGCATCAAGGAGCAGTGGGGACGACTATCCCTTACCTGGGCCACCTCCTGTCCCGTCCGGCATCTTGCATGTCGTTCGTTCCAAATCTTCAGATGTGTTCTTACATCTGTTGACCAGTTTATGCTTGGAGACATGCTGGCACGATTGTCCAACACAATTGCAGATGAGGACCCCGAAATTCAGTCATTCTCAATGGAGATTCTCACCACTCTGAAGACGCTGATTGTCAAGTTGGATGCCGATAACCTACTCAACTTCCCTCAACTATTCTGGACGACTTGTGCATGCCTCGAGTCCATTAACGAACGAGAATTCTTGGAGGCGGTCGAGATGCTCAATAAGTTCCTCAGCAAAGTGGATTTCCAGGTGCCTACTGTCCGCAGACTGCTGGCTGATGGCCAACCAGCCCGCTGGGATGGCATATTCGAAGGTGTTCAGCCCTTGCTCCACAAGGGGCTGAGATCTTCTCTTTGCTGGCAGACAACTCTCGATACGATGGACAAGTTGGTCCAACTTCCGAGTGACGGCTTGATCGGCGGCGACAACCGACTATTCTTCTCCTTGTTGGCAAACTTTCCTCGTTTCTTGAACGAGCTGGAGCAAGACAGCCCTAGCGAGGACGCCTTGCGAACGGCGAGTCTTCTTATGGAGGAGTCCGACCGTCAAGGATTTGCGGGTATTGCCGTTGCCCTACATGGTTTTATTTCCAAAACGTCACAGAGCAGCAGCAAAGACTTTCTCGTGGAGTTATGGGGCTCCCTACGAGAATACTTCCTCCCCCATTTGGACTTTGAGATGGTCACGTTCCTGATTGGGCTACTCACCAACTCCTTGTCCTGGGTCAAGATCCAGACGATGCGAATTCTCTGTGTGGCAATTCCCGAGGTGGACATGCGGAAGCCTGAGCTCGCTGGGCATGGATCCGATCTCATCTCGCCACTCCTTCGCCTCTTGCAGACCGAGTTCTGTATGGAGGCGCTCGAGGTGCTGGACAACATCATGACCATGTCCGGGAACCACATGGACAAGCATCACTTGAGAATGAGTATGACACGATCAACATCGAAGGCCATCCGGAAGGAGTATGAGCGCACGCAGAGTCTATTTGGTATTCCTGAGGCATCTGGCTGGGCAATTCCAATTCCCGCAAAGAAGACGGATGCCACGCGTGCGAACATTCATGCCGCCTTCTACACATGCCAGGGATCAGAGGGCATGTTACCAGAAGCCAACCCGACACCCGAAGTCGAGTTCCACACCGACGACTTCCCCTATGGCTACTTTGGTGCATCAGAACGGACCGAAACGATGATGTCCGATGAAGGTCGTGGCGACGTCCACGTCGGTGACCTGGTGACAAAGCTGGATAGTCTCGACGATTTCTTTGACGAACCATCAAGCCCAACGACAGATGACGACCGACGGTCCTCGAGAACCATTACCGAGTTCACTCCCGAGTCGTTTGAATCCGGTGCAGAGTTGTATGACGAACAAATCCTGCCAATTTTGCATGAAGCGTCGAACAACACGTCATTCCAGAACGGATTCGCAGATCGTTCTCCTGTGCTTTCAAGAGAAGTGAGCTCCAACACTATGAATCCCGGCGCCTTCAGCGCTATGGGGCCTACTTCTATGCGACCGGGTCTTCATTCACGTTCTATCACGTCGCCATCAGCCCCAGCATCCTACCAACCACAGATAGGGGAGCTCGCTTCAGATGACGAGTATGTGGGAGGGTTCTCCGATGCCGACGACGAGAGGCCCAACACAGGCCACACAGAGAGCGCTTTCTCCCTAGAGAGTATAATCAATCCTCCCGTGCGGAGGCCGCAGTCCAGGATGCGACGCGTGGCACAGAGTAAATCACGGGATGAGCGGTCGAGGGAAAAGGCACCGCCTCAACCAGCGACGCGATTGGCGAACACCATACTTCCACCTAATATGACAAACACTGGAGATATGTTATGATGGTGGAGATGAATAGACTATTTATCTACGGCCTGGATCTGTCCATTTTCAATGTTTTTGGTATATATCTTAATTACATGATGATGAGCGTGTATGAAGGCGCTAGATGAATAGGATAAGCATAATGGTGAATCATGACCCGTATTATTGGAGAGGCGTTAGAGGAGGTGTTGGAAAAATCAATGAATACAATAGACATATGATCGCATTTCTTTTCTTTGATATGAACTGTGACCAGGTAGGTGGCTGGTTTGTTCGAAAGCTGGCACACCAGGGTGGTTGAGCTAAATTCGGTTACTTGGCTGCATCAAGTTTATGCACACATAAGATTTTGGTTGTTCGCCTTTCATCACATGGAGAACATGCAGCCTCGCAGCCCAGATCAGCCGTGATTATGGATAAAACTTTGTTGGCCTCTTATCGCAGTTCTAGGAGGGCCATCCGACAATTATGTCCCTCTCCAAAATACGTCCCGGCCAGAATTGGCGCGCGGCGGACAAACTCAACAACCGCCAGCACGCTGATATATCCCGAAGCGCCAACCAAGGAACACTCAAACCTGGCCACTTTCCTCGCCTATGTGGAGCGCACTGGGCTGAACAAGAAGTCAACTGTGTATAGGGGCACCCACTATGAGTACACAGTCGCTGAGGCGCTTTCGCCGTACGGCTTCGTCCTCAAGCGCGTTGGGGGCGCATCGGACCGCGGGCTGGACCTGCTGGGCACGTGGAAGCCGCCGTCGACGAGGCACGTTATGAAGGTCTTTTTGCAATGCAAGGCCGGCGCGCGCAGCCCGAGCCCGATGTTCGTGCGAGAGCTCAAGGGAGCGCGCGCGGAGGCGCCGCCGGGGTGGCGTAGCGACACTGACGTTCTGGGGCTGCTGGTGGGCGAGAAGCCGGCGACGCGGGGCGTACAGGAGGAACTCCGCGCGTCAGTACCTCTGGGATACGTGTGCTGCTCCAAGGACGGCGAGTTGAAGCAGCTATTGTGGAACCAGGCAGCGCAGGAGATGGGGCTTGAGGGCGTGACGGTCGCGGTCAAGTATGCGGCCGAGGGCGATGGGCTCGAGAAGCAACTTGTGCTGATGAAAGGAGCGAGGACATTACCGCTCCTGGAGAAGCTGGAGGGTCTCGAAGTCGAAAGGCCGTGATGGACGAACGAACTCTAGCAACGGCGAGAACGACAACGACGGCCTCATGGATGCACCGCCCAGTGCAACAATAACAGGCCTTCTTCAATTACCTCCTCCTCGCTACAAGCCCTCGGCATCCACTTCCCTAGGTACTCACCGTGTTTCGGTCCTATTTCAGCGCGATTCTTGACATTTTAAATCAAGCATCCTGCAAAGAGATGCCCATAGCGGCAACGTCACCCGGAGGAGTTGCCGATGCTTACAGCTTACACAGCAGCTGAATAATGCAGCGTCGCAACAGCCATATGGCAGCCATCTTTGGTTCTGGCAACATCCAGGTCCGAATTACACGCCTTTTACGAAAAACAATCGGCCTTACCGCCAGACGGCGAATCTCGATGAGAGCCGCTCCCCACGCTTTCTCTTCAAGATGGCGGCGGGCGGTTCCTTAGTCATCACACGCGCGCGGGCTATGTCCCCAGCTTAATCGTTCCTTGGGCCAGCCAGAAGCCGCCGTATACGAAATCAGTCTTAGTGCTCGCGCTGGGGGGGGCCACGATCCAGATCCCATCACCTCCACTTGATGCAAAGCGGTAATGGGCAGTTGTCACTGCATATCTTGCGTGAGACGGTTAACCCGAGCTTAGAAATCGGCATCCTTCTGCTCCATAACCGAGTTTTGTTGAGGGAACCATTGATCATCATGCTGTGGACGCCAAGTAAGCCAAGGCGCTGATAGAAATGGTTATAAGAGGAGGGACGTCGGCGAGAAATGAAAGTCAAATAAAATCAACAACAGCATCAATCGAACCATTCAATCAATATATCAACCACCAAGTCCCTTCACTCCCATCCATCCATCCACTACATCCATCCTTCACATCACAAAAAGCATTCACCCACTCTCTCCATCATGTCTGATATCAAGCCCATCACCATCTACGTCCACGGTACGCCAAGAACTTTCCACCTGGAAGCATCTCCCCTCTGACAACCCTTCCAGCTAAGGGACCCAACCCTAAGAAGGTCATCATCATCTTCGAGGAGCTCGGTGTTCCCTACACCGCCGTATGTCTCACCTTTTCCATGCATTCATAGAACCTCGTTCTAACAACTCCCTTTTGCAGATTCCCATCGAGAACCCCAAGGATGAGTCCTTTACCAAGATCAACCCCAACGGCCGCCTGCCCGCCATCGAGGATCCCAATACCGGCCTCACCCTCTGGGAGTCGGGCGCCATCATCGAGTACCTTATCGAGACTTACGACAAGGAGCACAAGCTCACGTTCACCTCCGCCCCCGAGAAATGGCAACTGAAGCAGTATCTGCACTTCCAGATGTCCGGCCAGGTGAGATCGCATAATTGCGGCTATAAACATACAAAAAACTTCAGACTAACCTTGTGCACAGGGACCCTACTTTGGCCAGACTGCTTGGTTCCACTTCTTCCATCCTGAGGATGTGCCCTCCGCCAAGGAGCGCTACAAGGAGCAGGCCGTCCGGGTTGTCCAGGTCCTAGACAAAATCCTAGAAGGCAAGGAGTATCTCGTCGGTGATAAATGGTATGTCAACTTCCCCCATCCCATCTCTTCCTTCCAATTGCTCACGCAGCCTTCCTCAGCACCTACGCCGATCTGGCTTTCGTTCCTTGGAACAACATGCTTCCCATGTTCGGCGACACCTGGGCGAAATATGAGATCGAGACGAAGTACACCAACTTCTTCGCCTGGCACCAGCGCTTGTTGGCTCGTCCTACCGTCAAGAAGGGTCTTCAGAATATTGAGTAATGGGTGCAAGGTATGGGACATGACAAGACTGTCATTAAGCATAGCACGGCGTGGGCCTTTTTTTGTTGCTCCTTTATACTTCATCCGATAGATACAACTTCGATTTAGAAGCGCTCAATTCATTTTTTGCCTCACTCTTTCCATCTTGCCTGGAATGGCTGTGTCATGTGCCACCTAACCTAGTCGTCCCAAACAGAAGCCTTGGCCTTCTCAGCGTCGTCTCGTGCCTTTTTCTCTGCGGCTCTCTCTTGCTCTCGTCGTTTTTTCTCCTGCTCTCGAACAGACTTCTGATAGGCCCGCTGTTCATCAGTCAGCTTGGGCGCCTTGAGACCAAGGCCTGCGACGATCATGCGCCGCGCCACGGCATCGGTCTTCTCCGGCCGGCGAGCCGAATCGACGGGTGCCCTAGATGTGGAAGACTCTAATCCGGGGGTCCATGATGGGCCAACTGGGGAAAGAGGGGTTGGCGGAGGAGCTGCGGGCTGCTTAGGTGGGGATGCAGCATCGTCATCTTCATCCGCCTTGGACGGAGGTTCGGGCTCCGAGTCAGAGAGGTCCTCGTCCTCCCAGGAGTCAACGACAACCTTCTTTGACTTCTTCTTTGTGGGCTTGGCAGCGTCTTTTGGGCTGTTGAGCGAAAGCTTGGTGAGAGAAGAGGAGACATCCCCGTCCTGCGGGGTTGGTAGCATGGTGGGAGAATTTAAAGGTGCCTGACTGGGATTGTGAAAATTCTTGGTCGACGAGAAGTCAAGGCGAAACTCAAAAGAACTAATGTATCAAATTTGATGCTAGGCGATAATGAGATGTCGAAAGGATATATCGCGTCGAGAGGTCCCGAATGGGCTGTGGAGATGGTCGCTGCCCATTGGCTCCTGCTGATATTGCGGATATGTTCTTACAGGTGGTGTAGGGTAGCTTCTGTGCACATGGATATGGAAGAGACCCACGATGCATTGGTCATCTTTCACAACGGTCATGGTTTAATTGTGAGCGGGCAGAATGTTCTGGATGCCTGATCTCACTAGTGCTGTGGATTTGTAAAACGAACAATGGTTTAATTACCCTACAATTACATTGCCTTCTGCGTGTGTTGTCCTCCCGCCCTTCCGGAAGCCCTGCAATACTCTAGGCACGAGTATACGTGTACAGGCTAAGGTGGGGGGGCATGTTCAGTAGGTACCATTTAGACAGAATAACGAGATCGGAGATACTCGCACAATTCTAAGCTGTCAGCAAAAGATTAGTTCCCAATACAGTAGAAATAGTGTGATAGTATAGGAAAACGCTTGAATCATTCTACAGGCTGCCAAATAATGGGCACCTTGTCATGATCTATCTACATAGTCGCTAAGATGCCTCTGTGCGGCAGCGCGCGAGCCCCGGTACAGGGATATCGCAATCTGATAACAGGCCCAAACAGCGCCGGGATTGGCCGGCTGCGTTACCGACATTCTGCCGATGGAAGCTCATGGTGTCCGAAATTTATGATGTCGACGCTCTAGTCCGACGTCGCCATAAGACATTATTAAGTCGCCTCCACCTCCGGCGATGTGCACAATTGCGTCCAACACCCCCCCTTCTCGACCGACCCCGATAATACACCCGCTCTTCTTCTCCTCTACACGCATCCCTTCGTTTATCTCCTAATTGCCCGTCTTCGTTTCCGAGTTGCCCAGCGCGGGGGGCTGCCACCACTGCCGTCCTTCCATCCCCTCTACCCACAGCTTCCCGACAGCTCCCGCCGACCATGATTCCTCGATCCCGCCTCTCCGGGCGCCTCATCCTCGAGCGTTCCGCCGCGCATGCATCCCGAGCACCCTCCGAAGCCATCGCACGAAGATGGGCCTCATCCCCAGCTTACCGGAATCCTCATATTTGCGGCCGCCGACTACCGGCCCTGCAGCCGCGACTAGTTGGGGCGGCTTTTTCCACGTCGGCTAGGCTGGCCAAGAAGGAGGACAAGGACAAGAGCTTCTTCGACTCAGCGATAGAGCCCCCAACAGAGCCTCTCTCCGAGGAGGAAGCCCAGGCAAATCTCGAGCACCAGCGGAAAGAGGCCGAGGAGAAGCTCACAGCCGATGCGAAGAACACGGGCTCCGACTCATCAGCTCCCGCCAAGAACGATGGCGGCAACCAATCGCCGGATAACAAAGCAGGCAGTGCCGCAGGAGGCGCTGCTGGCTCCGGCTCTGGCAACGATGGTTCTGGGGGTGAGGGTGGTAAGCGGGGCCGAAAGTCCGCCGAGAAGGCCCTCCAGAAGCCTGTCGTTCCCGAGGTATACCCTCAGGTTCTAGCGATTCCCATTGCTCGACGACCACTCTTCCCCGGCTTCTACAAGGCAATCACCATCAAGGACCCCGATGTTGCAACCGCCATTACGGAGTCGATCAAGCGCGGCCAGCCGTACGTCGGTGCCTTCTTGTTCAAGGACGAGAACGAGGACGAGGATGTCATCCGCAACCCGGACGATGTGTACGATGTCGGCGTGTTTGCCCAAATTACGAGTGCCTTCCCTATCCATGGGCAGGAGGGCGCCCTGACTGCTATCCTTTACCCCCACCGCCGCATTCGACTATCCAGCCTGCTGCCTCCCGGTGGCCCGGACGCCAAGAAGTCCGATGCTAAGACCGAACCGATCCCCGAACCAATTCCTCAGAAAGCCGTCGAGGAGGAAACCACCCAAGATAAGAAGGGGGATGTTGTGGCTAGTTTCGAAGAGAGCGCCGTGGAGAAGATGCCCGACCAGACGACTGAGAAGTACGAGCCCACCTCGTTCCTCAAGAAATACCCTGTTAGCTTGGTCAATGTGGAGAACCTCGCCGACGAGCCCTACGACCCCAAGAGCCCCGTTATCCGAGCCGTCACCAATGAGATCGTCAACGTCTTTAAGGAGGTTGCCACTATGAACAACCTCTTCCGGGACCAGATTTCTACTTTCTCCATGAGCCAGTCGACTGGCAACGTGACGTCAGAACCAGCCAAGCTTGCTGATTTCGCTGCTGCCGTGTCATCCGGTGAACAGAAAGAGCTCCAAGAGGTGCTTGGTTGCCTTAACGTGGAAGAGAGGATGCAGAAGGCTCTCGTGGTGCTCAAGAAGGAGCTCATGAACGCCCAGTTGCAGTCCAAGATCAGCAAAGATGTGGAGAACAAGATTAGCAAGAGGCAGCGAGAGTATTGGCTCATGGAGCAGATGAAGGGCATCCGCCGAGAGCTTGGCCTCGAGTCTGACGGCAAGGACAAGCTCGTTGAGAAGTTTAAGGAGAAGGCCAATAACCTAGCCATGCCCGATGCGGTCCGCAAGGTGTTTGACGAGGAGCTTAACAAGCTCGCTCATCTCGAGACGGCCGCTTCCGAGTTCAACGTGACAAGGAACTACCTGGACTGGCTCACCCAGATCCCCTGGGGTCGCAGAAGCCCTGAGAACTTTGGCATCCCCAACGCCGTAAAGGTCCTTGACCAGGACCACCACGGACTGAAGGATGTGAAGGACCGCATCCTCGAGTTTATTGCGGTGGGCAAGCTGCGCGGCACCGTCGAGGGGAAGATTCTCTGCTTCGTCGGACCTCCTGGTGTTGGCAAGACTAGCATCGGAAAGTCAATTGCTCGCGCTCTCAACCGAGAGTACTACCGATTCAGTGTCGGTGGCTTGACGGATGTGGCTGAGATCAAGGGACACCGAAGGACCTACGTGGGAGCCTTACCTGGTCGCATCATTCAGGCCCTGAAGAAGTGCCAGACCGAGAACCCCCTCATCCTGATCGACGAGATTGACAAAATTGGTCGCGGATACCAGGGTGACCCTTCATCTGCACTTCTTGAGCTGCTCGACCCCGAGCAGAACAACTCTTTCTTGGATCACTACATGGATGTTCCAGTCGACCTGTCCAAGGTTCTATTCGTCTGCACGGCCAACATGACCGACACAATTCCCCGACCACTCTTGGACCGAATGGAGCTAATCACCCTCTCCGGTTATGTTTCGGATGAGAAGATGGCTATTGCCGAGCGATACCTGGCACCTGCTGCCAAGGAGGCTGCGGGTCTCAAGGACGCCGACGTCAATCTTAGCGAGGAGGCCATCGAGGAGTTGATTAAGTCGTACTGCCGAGAGTCAGGTGTCCGAAACCTCAAGAAGCAGATCGAGAAGGTCTACCGGAAATCGGCCCTTAAGATCGTCCAGGAGCTGGGCGAGGAGGTTCTTCCCGAGGAGGATGCGCTGACTGACGAGGATAAAGCCGCCCTGGACGAGGCTGAGAAGAAGGCTGAGGAGGGCAAGGAGGCGAACCTGGAGGCGTCGGCTGAGCCAGGCGAGGTCAAGACTACAGAGAAGCCCCGCAAGGCGCTTAAGGTCCCCGACTCTGTCCACGTCGTCATTGGCAAGGACAACCTCACTGACTACGTCGGCCCCCCCGTCTTCACATCGGACCGCCTCTATGAGGTAAGCCCACCGGGTGTTTCGATGGGCCTGGCGTGGACCCAGATGGGTGGCGCCGCCATGTACATCGAGTCCATCCTGCAGGCGCCCCTGCGACCCTCCACCCGGCCAAACCTCGAGATTACTGGTAACCTCAAGACGGTGATGAAGGAGTCGACCACTATCGCCTACTCTTTTGCCAAGTCTTTCATGGTCAAGCAGTTCCCAGATAACCACTTCTTCAACAAGGCCAAGATGCACTTGCATGTGCCCGACGGTGCTGTGCCCAAGGACGGGCCCTCGGCTGGAATCACAATGACTACCTCTATGCTCTCCCTCGCTCTCGATGTCCCTGTCGACCCGACTGTCGCCATGACCGGAGAGATCACCCTGACAGGCAAGGTCCTCCGCATCGGCGGGCTCCGCGAGAAGACCGTCGCCGCTCGACGTGCAGGCTGCAAGACGGTTATTTTCCCCAAGGACAACATGTCTGACTGGCTGGAGCTGCCCCAGGTACGTTCTCATCCCGCACGGGGGTTATTCCCTCCCCCACACACCCCCTGCGTTCTCTCTCCCGGTAAAGTACGTGACTAACAGATACGCGATAGAACATTAAAGAAGGTATCGAGGGCCACCCTGTGGCCTGGTATCCCGAAGTCTTTGACCTCATTTTCCCCAACCTCGACCGCGACCAGGCCAACAAGTGCAAGGTTTGCGAGTGGAAGTCTCAGCAGAAGAAGAGCGACACCGAGGCCGCCGCTGAGGAGGACGACTAGACGCGTATGAGAGGATTTACTACTTCTCGCCCGCGCTTGCCACATGCCTACTGACACGCACCGACCAGGAGGCGACGTCCGTACGGCTCGTAGGCACAAGCTCCGCGGAGAACGAGAGCGAGAGCGAGGGGAAGACACTTGCAGGGCATTTTGGGGGCGTTTGGGCACCGGGCAAGAAACCTAGATGGAAACAATCATAAAGACTCCTACTCTGTTATACCAACATGTGGATCCTTGTACTTTTAGAAACACGCCCAGTAGCAGCATTAGTGGTTATTTGGGGAGGTGGAGAGGCAGCAGCAGCAGTAGATGTGAGCATGTTGACAACATCTCCGTGTATAATTGTACATTTTGGACAACCGATATTACTACCTACATACTGATTTATGCGCTCAATTGATCCCATGATAGCCTACCATGGCCGCGAGAACCCCATGACCCATGGACACGGGCTTTGCTGAGTGCTGGGTATCACCCGATTGACTTGACTGACACCCTGTTGAGCTGGCAATGGCAATGACTGCAATCCCCAAGATAAGAGGTGTGAGCTGGCTGGTGTTATTCCGAGGCCGGTGATCGGGCCGCTACCCGGAGACGACGGGCTGTGCAGGATGGTCTCGGCAAGGCGATCTAGAGGGCCATGTGGCTATGTCGTGGCCCAATCGATGGGAATGGAGTGAAGAGCCTTTTTTTTCTAAAACGTCAAGACCCAACGACTCGAAGCTAATCACGCCAGGACCTGGTCCTTGTTCGTGGATACACACGTTTCGGTCGATCCGGGCTGGGCTGCGGGATCGGTGGGGTTGAGGGCGGGACGGGCCTAGTGAGTAGAACTGGGCTGAATTATAGGACCCTACTTGGGGATATGTGTGCGTGTCCCCGCTGGATCTATTGCTTGGAGGAAGTCTTTTGGTATCCCATGGCTCCCCTCCAAGAATGGCTGAAGAATCAGCCAGAGAGGGTAGACCAAAACAGGCGGCTCAAGCGAAAGCCCCGCTATGATGCGACAAATGATGGGTAGCGAGAAACCAGGAAAACGACCGACCCAATGGATGGCGAGCCGAGCCCATTAGCACCGCAACGTGGGTGAGAAGTGGGATGCGGTTCCATTGCTTGCATGGCGAGCTGACAGCCTGTCACAACACCGGACAGCCTCACTGGACCAGAACAAGCAATTGGGATGCTGCACTCATGCCTGACCCCACACGTTTCTGTGTGCGGCCCTTGGGCTTGTGGACGAAATGGATGGATTGGACCCCACGATTGGGCCGACGGAAGGGTTCGTGCAAAGTTTCCGGTGTTGTGTGACGCCATGGGCTTCGAATGAGAGAGAAGAGAACGCTACACATGTGTCCGAAATGATGTAGTGCATCCGCGATGAACTTTCCAGATCAAGAGATGTACTCTTGTGGCGCATTGAAGTCTTGGGGGGTAAAGAACCTGGGGTTGTGGTTGGATTCCAGGACGTGGATTGGCGCCCAAGGACGCGAAACACTTGCTCTCCAGATAGGTAGAATAGTCCGAACCTGAGCATATGCACAAGCCGTTGGGATAAAACGAAGCGAGCCGACGGCTTGAACACCCCTTCAGCCCGGCTCTTGATCTATCGGACCCTGAGGGAAACCAGGGTATGAGCCGAGATGCAAGATGGGATGGGGGTGCCCATACAGTGTGGACGAAATGTCAACTCCCCACGCAGAGTCCATAGCACTTCACTGCGGTTCCCCAGGCCTTCTGAGACATTCAAATGCAAAACAGATGTGCATAAGAGAGCATAAAATGCGTCATTGCCTTGGCGTCTCTTCCAGGTCGGCGAATATCTACGGCAGCCTGTCGGTCAGCAGTATGTCGGCTGATGCACATGATGACGGCGATGAGACCGCAGCGAGCGGCTGGATACGACATGCTCAGCCTGCAGACCCGTTAGGTCAGGAGAGGGAGGGCTTCATCGCTGTCCATCGGTTTAGGCGGCCTCATCATGAGCCATGGCATGGCTGCTAGGGCCGGTCCTAAGCTAGCAAAGAGCCATGCGGTCTGGCGTTGTTGGGTCAGGCGGTGACGGCCGTATGGCGGCAGATGCCCAACTCGATGGCGGTGCGGCTTGCGTGTGCGGTTGGCGGTTGGCGGTTGGCGGTGCGAAGACGATCGGATCGCCTTGTGGTTCGAGCCCTGGAGGTCAGCAGCCTAGGGGCAGGGTTTTTCAAAGTACTAGGCTGCCACGCGCAGGCCAAAACTACAGTGCCAGTACGTACTAAGTTACGTAGTAGGTACGTGGGTTTTGTCCGTGGGTTGGGTGGTAAGGTTGACCAGGACCAGGTCCCATGCGACACCGACACAGTGGTTTGTCAGGTCCTCCACTTGTCGAGTTTGGGCAACGCTGGATCTGGACGTGCTGAATGGTGATGGTAATGGTGATGGCGGGTTTGGAAATTTTGCCTTTTCGATGATGGTGAAAACCTGAGGCGAACAAGCAATGCGATTGTGCAATCACGTCCAGCGAAGACTCTGGTGTGTCGGGGAAGCACACCGGAGGCAAGCAGCGAGGAGTCTCAGGCTGCAACTGCCTACCTTGAGTAACTCGAGATTAATGAAAGCTGTCACCAATTTCATCCCATGCTTCCTTCCCTCTTTCCCTCGATCTTCTTTGTCTCCATCGTCTCCATTGTGTCTTTGGCCTCTTTAAGCCTTGACAATATTTTCTCTCGCACTGCCTTCCTACCTAGGCCAAGCATCTGTGTGCCTCTCGACCCTCCCTCTCAGCACTCGACATTCTGAGCTGGCGTTACTTCCTCCTTGATCCCGCCAAACACCCTTGTCTCCTGAATATCCGTCCATGGCCTCAGTGCCCGACCTTCTCCCTGCCTGATGCATCACCGCCCCCCCTTGGCTCCTTTGGACTCATCCATCTGCGCCGGTACCGTCCAACTCGCCTTAGCGTGGACGAAATGGGACGAGAGCAGGGAGTCTAGAGGGGCCAGCTCATCGATGGATCCCCACCAGCGAGCGTCACCGTCTCGACGGATGCTGCAGGCGCAGGCGACAAACGACAGACGATGGCGACGGGTGACGGGCAACGGGCGACGGGCGACAGGCGATAGAACGACAGGGCTGCTGGATGGCCGTGGATGAAATCGCCTCGAGCCGGAGGCCAGTCAGCGCTACGAGGTGGGATCCCCCCAGGCCATCAGTGAGGTTGGGTGGTCACAGCCCTGCGTGGGCGTTGGACAGTGGTGGCTTTGCTGGCCACTCAGCGAGGCAAGCTACCCTCTCGCCCTGAGGCCCCTGGCAAAGCGCTGGATGTCTGGGGCCCAGCCTCCGTCGTCCCCGGGGATAGGGCAGGGCGCCCCCAGACATCGTGGGCTTCTAGGCGTCCAAGGAGTGTCCGCGGACGGGTGGCCCGTTGCTTCCAGGCTTCTGCTGCAGAAACGGCCTAAAAACCGCCCCGGGCAAAGAGAGCGTCCCCGCCGCCCGCCTCCCCCCCGTAACGTCCCGCGTCACCATTTCATCCACCAACCCACCCAAATCCACTCAGTCCACCCACACCAACGCCCACTCACACTTCGTCCTCATACCCGCTACTACTGCCGCCGCCGCCGCCCGCTTTTGGTAGGCCGACGTCGTGGTCATGGTTTAATATCAGCACGCTGTGCATCTCAAGTCATCGGTCGTCCCCTTCTCACGACCCGAGTCCTGGGCTCTGGCTTTCTAGCTCTTAACCGTCCATCAGCCTTGTTCCAATTGTTGGCCGCCCCCCTTTCGCCTCGCCTCTTCATCACCGCTTCGTTTTACTCCCTGGTCCTCCACAGCCGCCTCCGCCTCCGCCTCGGCCGGCCTTGCTCCACGACAGGACCCACTCTCACCGACCAGGCGCTCCCAGCCTTCTCGGGCTGCCATAACGCCTAAAACTCCCCTCGTCGCTCATCGTGGCTCGCTCTGGTTCTTCATGGGCGAGACATGGTCTCTCCTCCTCGCTCACCTCACGTCAGAAGCCCGCTTGTTTGACCGAGGGGCTGCGTGGTCCTTCCCCCGTCGGTTCTCGTCAGTGCACCTGTAATCACCATCCGATCATCATCAGATGCCGGCGTGCATGCTCGGATATTTTCACTCTCTCGCAACTTCAAGCCATCTTCTTTCCTTTCTTCGTCAGCTCTCATCCATAGAACAAGACCCCTAGGCCTCCATATTCGCATATGTGCCTGCACCACCATTCGCCACCACGAATCTCTTCTCTTCAATTTCCAAGCCATTGCTGCCGAGCCGCTTCCCACACAACCTCCTCCATCATAACCACCATCTTCAACTTGGCTATTTCTAATTGGCCTTGACTCCCCGGCGTGGCGGCGATTTCGACACATACCTCGAACCACCCATTCCATCCACAGTCGCATTGTCGCGGCCATGGCACAGGCGAATGTTGCAGCGTCTGAGCCGCCACTTCGACAACCACCGACCCCATCCGGGACACAGGGTTTCTTTCGCAAGTTCTTTGGTCGGCAGAGCGGCGGTAGCACGCCACCTAGTCCGACCGACCAGTCCTTGGATACGGAACACGGGGCCGATTCAGCCGACCCCGAAAAGGGCGGCCTGATCCGGCGAATGTCCCGGAAAGTGGTCCCCAATCTCCCCCGTGCGCAGACATTCAAGCGCCAACAGTCAGAGCGGAGGACAAACTTGGCCGCTGTTGACCCTACGCCAGATGAGCGGAGAGCCGTCTCAGTCGACCGACGCTCTCAGGGACCCAGACCACCATCCACCTCTCAGCCTCATGCGGACCCCCGCATCAGCGCCCCGGGTTTTCTCGGCTGCCCGCAGGACGACGCTCCTCAATATGTTCCCCCCCTGCCCTCGTTACCGGTGAACCCTGTTGAGGATGTTTCTGCGGAGAGTCAGCTGGAGAAGATGGTGTCCAAGAATGAGGAGGTCACTCGTACTGACGAGTGCGCCATCCAGGACAGCCTATCAACTGCAGACACCCATTCCTTGACAACGTCGCAGTATGATGCCATGATTCATGATGAACTCGAAAAGACTTGGATTTTGAACCTCAGTATGCACTTCCGCGATCGATCAAGGAGAGAAAAGTTTTTTGTTACATATCGCGAGCAGGAACACGTCTGGCGGCGTGTCACCATCTCGCTCGATTATCGAAACGCCCCTCCAAACTCCTTGGAAATGGACTTGATTCACACGCAATACCAGAGAGAAAAGAGTGCAAAGATCTATGAGGCAATTCGCGAGAGCCTACGCGACATTCAATTCTACGACACTGTTACCAATCTGAAGCTCCAGACTACTGATGGGAGGCTGCATGTCCACGTGGTTGAGGATGGCAACGTTAGTATTGCTAATTGTTTCACCCTTCCTAGCCGAGCTAACTATTTGGTAGGAAATTATCCCGTATCCCACTGTTGACCAGGTTAAGCACCTAGGCTGCAAGCGGATTCGAGAGCAGGACATTGTCTTTGACTCTCACATGTCTGGATTCGTGTACAAGGTGAACGTCCATGGACAAACCCTTATTAAGAAGGAGATACCGAGCCCGGATACAGTTGATGAATTCCTGTACGAGGTCAATGCTCTCAACCGTCTCCGCTACTCGGATAATGTCATCCGTTTTCATGGCGTTGTTGTGGATGACCATGACGAGTTTGTGAAAGGACTTCTCATCAGTTATGCAGACCAGGGCGCTCTTATCGACATAATTTACGAGCAGTGTAAAGATGGCGAGTTTGACATACCATGGTCGACGAGGAAGAAGTGGGCTCGCCAGATTGTCGAGGGACTGTCGGATATTCACGACTCTGGTTTTGTTCAAGGCGACTTTACCTTATCCAATATTGTCATTGATGAAAATGGAGACGCAAAAATCATCGACATCAACAGGAGGGGGTGCCCTGTGGGTTGGGAGCCTCCAGAGGCAACGCCACTTATTGAATGCAACCAACGAATCTCAATGTACATCGGCGTGAAGTCGGATCTGTATCAGTTGGGAATGGTGTTGTGGGCTTTGGCAATGCAGGAAGATGAGCCAGAAGCTCAAGGACGGCCGTTAATACTTGGTCCAGAAGTCAACATTCCCGACTGGTATCGACAGATGGCTGAGATTTGTCTCAGTGACGATCCTCGACTGCGGCTCCAGGCATCGTCTCTCCTCCAGATGTTTCCTTCCCCGCAGACCCAAGATGATCGTGGGAAGCTAAACCCTCCGTCGATGTCTATCGATGAAGACTATACGTTGCAACAGTATCTGGTGGATGATTACCACCCTGATAATCATCCGCACATCAGAACCGTCGAACCTTCGAGCGAATGGTCCTACGTGGGCCGGCCATATACGGATGCGAGCCCAATTGGATACGAGCCGTACTACTATACACGAGGTCGCTCACCCCCAAGCCCACTGCCAAGCAACTACGACCGATGCGACTCCCCGCGCCGTCCATATGATATTTCTGCTTGGGCGGCGAACAGGAACATCCCATCCTCGTATAGTGATGTGGGCCCGGATGGCATGTCGCTGGATGAGACACCAATTACCAACGAAACCGCCCTCATCGACCCTGATGAGCCTGTGGTATTGGACGCCGCTGTTGGTAAGAAGGCTGAGAATCCGTCTATGGGAGGCGAGGCAGAGAACACCGGCAAAGACGCAATCAAACTGGGAGAGAAGCTGGGGACGAACGCGGGAAGAGTCCTCTCGGCACGCGAAAATATCGACCCAACGGAAATCAAAACGATGGAGACCGAAAAAGAACGCGCCACGGAGGTGCCTGCCATGGACTTGAACATGAACAAACCCGTGGAAGTGGCGGGAGAGGAATATGCTCCAATATCCACGCGAACTGCACAAGCACCAATTGACACTGACAAAGACCACGCATCCATGAAAGCAGACAGTGCCTGCGATGTTGTGATGCCACCAGTCCAGGCCCAAAAGGATGGAACGAACGACAAGGAAGTGGAGTGGCCATCGAATATAAAACCTGTCGAAGGACCGAAGGAATTTGCAAAAGACAACGGTTCATCGGATACACCAAAAATTACCGAGCACGTCACCAAACAACAAGGTTTAGAGACGTTACTCGGTGCGGGGATAGGGGCCTCAGAGATACAGAACTCGCCGAAGGTTGAATCAGGGCCAGAGCACAACGCACCGCAGCTGCACGGGACCACAGCACCTGAACCTCAGCGAACCAACACAGAACCATCATCGAGGACGGTGACTCCATCCAAATCACGGGAGATTGCAGATGGCAAGGGAATACAGACGAATTCGGAAGAAAATAGCCAGGCCGAAAGGGATGGCTGCATCGGTGACGACCGAACATGTGTTGAGGCAGACGGCAACAAGATCAAGGATCACGATTCATTGACTGGAATCGGCGCTGCCTATCTAACGAATCACGAAGGCGATACGATACGACACAAGCAGACGATTGACGAGGACTTGGACGTAGTGGAATCGATGTTACCGCACGCGATGACGAAACTGGATGCGAAGACTTGACTAAGACGACTTATTCCCTTTGTGCTTTTATATTTTCACTTTTTATTCTTTTTGTTCGATGATTGAACATGATGTATAATTGTAACCATTCTTGGCGGGCAATCAATCGGTGGGCATTTACATGGGAGACGCGAGCATAGGTATCATGGCTGGGTTTATTTGTTTTGGAACGGACTCTCGAAGGGATATTTCCCCATAAAGCGCCACGAGGACTTGGATGAATGAATTTGCTGGGATACTTACTTTCTACATTTGTCGTATGTGATCGAGAGAGTTTTGAAGCTCATGAAGCACTTCGAGATGATAACGTGGGGACGCAATAAGTGAATTGAGAGCGAGGTGATACTCCATGCCAAAAGTTTGGGCATAACTAAAGCTTAGCCCTGGTCCGCAGAGACCTTGGACCTTAGACCTTAAACTATTGAGGGCCTTAGTAAAAGCCATCCCAAACCTCGTGTCCTCGAGACTACGCATTTGACAGGTCCTGAAGGGGCATAGCGGACGCCACACGGCGATCCTTGAAGGCTTGAGTACCTATGAAACGTTCTAGAAAATGTGGTAGAGGTGCACGTGACTGAAGCTCTCGGGGTCGGACTTTTGTTTTTGCTGCCGTGCGGGTTTGGCCGCCCTCACGGGACTTCCAGGGACGGAGGAGGGTCCAAGCGCGATTCGCTGCTCGGCTTGGCGCAGCCGATCGACCGGTTTCTGTTGGGGAAAAGCTGGGGGAGAGGATGATGGGACACGCATTCTCCCTTGAACAGCGCCAACCATGCAATTGTATCACAAGCATTGCAAATGAGCCGAGGTATCGGCTGATCTGAGACAAGAAAGCCGCTGGGGCCCTCGACGTGGAGAAGTTGGCAGTAATGCTAGGGCTCTTTTTATCTATTCATTTTATTGTTGGGTTGTGGATAGAAGATGCCGAGAGTTGTAAGAGGTCTCTAGATTAAGGCGTACAGGGATTGGCTGCAGCGCTGAGGGGTATGGACGCGAGATTCAGTGAAATCAAAAATCGAATGATCTGATCCAAATCTATGATGCTGGAGTGACTGAAAGCCTGCTAGGTATGGACGGCCACTGGCGAGGAGATCTATGATATCAGAATCCGACGCTGAAGCTTTGTGCACTGGAACGAATGGGCGGGTGTTATCTAAAGAAAGGTACATGCTGTTTGTACTATAAACCTACGCCGGTGCAGAGACGCGAGCACTATCATGCTCCATGGCTGATGCTCGATGGAAATGAGGGAACGCCAAGTCACTACGTACCTAGATAGATGACGTTGCCAGAACCTACTACGTAGTACTTCGTCGTAGTAGGCGCCTATCGTTGATGCAAGGAGTCTCGCACGCTACGCTATGAGATACGAATTTATGCCTTCTGAACTCGGAATCACCGGGACCAAAGCGAATGTTGAATGGCGCTCACCGTCAAATGGCTTCCATTCGCCACGATCTCAAGGCTAAGAGCCACCACTCGGACACATTCACCAACTGGAAGCATCAGAAACCGCTTACCTTGTCTCCGCCGCGCTGGTCTTTCCCTTTTCCCCAAAGACTCCGGCAAATCGCAGCGCAGAGCGGTGGAGCTCCCAAGCCCCCCCAAGCAAGCCCTGGCCGCTTTTGAACCTGCAAGGCACGCGCCCGGCGCACCTCAAATTGTTGCAGTTGGCCCAGTGCCCCGAGTAGCGAGTGGCGAAGAGGTATCCCGCGCGCAGAGCTGCAGTGGCAGGGTACATGGCTGCCGACCAGGATTGGTACGTACCCGGCTCGGCGCCAGGAAACCCTCCCGTGCCTGTTGCCGTTTGAGGCAACCGGACGGCCACACGGGCCCCGCATTGATTGGCCTCTGGACCTTCGGCCGGAGCGGGCAGTGGGTCCTTTCAAAAGTTGTTGGGGAAGGGGTGGGGGTGCAAGTGTTGAGAGCTCCGTGACGACAAGGGGAAAAAACAGGGTACGCTAGCAGCAAGGGTCCATTCTCAGGTCCCCAGCCAGCCCTGCGTCGTTTGCTCCAATTGTCGAATGCCAGGCAACGCATTTCGCAATCGTGGGCTGATTTTTGGCATCATTTTCCGGGCATTGTTTCTTTTCCTTCGTATCTGTGCCAACATCTGGGGAAAGAAGCTCTAGCAGGGGGTGTTGAGATATCTATCTAGATGATCGGAGATGTCAAATGCCAATGGGATTTGGGGGGATGACAGGATAAGACAACATGCGCCGCACACCTGGTGCTGATACATGTCCCATACCCGTCACAGGACCAAATCGGGTAAAAGAGACATCATAGAGGAGGACAAACCAGCGCGTTTCTGTACGGCTTCGATACCTGGGCGGTACTACGGCGCCGGGCGAATGCGATCTTCTTCCCAATGCCTGTCGGGGTGACGGCGGAGGAATGGGCGGTTCCCACATGGCGAGAATCCAACGCCAACAGGAAAACCCAGCCCAGCCTCTTTCTCAGCCCGCCAACAGGTTTTGGCCTTGTACAGCGCTGGTACCCAGTTCGGCCATGTACCGGGAAGAAGCCGGGACCAAGGGGGGAGAACGATGGGGGCGCTTCTGGGGCCTTGGGCTTCCAGTGGGAGCTGGGCGGCGTTGTCGACGGGGTTCTCGGAGTGTCCTGAGAGCCCCGTAGCCTGCCTTCCGTCCGTCCATCCCCAAAGGTTTTTTTTTGTTGCAGGTGGGCGTGTGAATGTTGGGGTGTGCGTGGTGAAAAAAAAGCTGCACAACCGCTTGCTCTGCTCTCATCGCTCTCACTCACTGCTCAGCTATCTGGTCACGGTCAGTCAGGCTTCACTCAGTCTCAGCTGTCACGAGGAGCACGCATATGAGCGACAGAGACAAACAGGCCGAGGCAGAGACAGATTGAAGGCCCGTCTTGTCCCCATCCTGCAACTCCTCATTCCCAACGCACTCACCTCACTCCGTGCTGTTCTTGTTATTCCCCATCTTCCTTCACCTTCCTCACCCACACACGGCGTTCACCAAATCACAATCCTAGCCGCCGGCCCTCACAGAAGCCGGAATTCGCTAGAAGCAAGATATCGACCCTCTCCAGCACCGCTTTTTCGGGTTCGCCTCCGCCCTTGCTGCTGTGGTCGCTGTCGTTGCAGCTCTTTACTCCTTCTACCGCGAGCTCGCCACACTCCACTCCTCCACTCCTCCACTCCTCCACTCCTCACACACCCCCCCGGCTTTCCGCCTCTTTTCTTATCCACTACCCAGTCTCTCAACTCGCCTGGGTCCGGGTCGGGATTTGATATAAAGCCCTTTTGGCGCCTCCGCCCCAACCGCTTTCCTTGTCAACCCCCCATCCCTCCTCTCCATCTCCTTTATAATCTCCTCGACGAGGATCTCTTAATTCCTAGAGCTTCGTCCTTCACTCTCTCCCTTCTCGAGAAGGCCCTTCTACACCCCGTTCTCGACTCCGACACAACACACTCACAATGTCGTCGTCCTCAACAGACGCAAAGGCTGCCGCCGCCTTTCCCGATGGCACGAAGGACTATGTGCCCCTTCGAGGCAACACTGCCGCCAAGGTCGAGGCCGCCAAGTCAAAGGTGCATATTGCCGACACGCCTATGACCTGGGGCAACTTCCACCAGCACGTCAACTGGCTCAACACCACCTTCATCGTCATCGTTCCCCTCATCGGATTCATTTCCTCCTACTGGGTTCCTCTCCGACCCTATACCGCTCTCTGGGCCGTCTTCTACTACTTTCACACTGGCCTCGGCATCACTGCTGGTAAGCTTCCCTAAGTTCCCGCGAGCTCCGTGTAGCTCTGAAGACCATTGGCACTAACCAAATACCTGTAGGGTATCATCGTCTCTGGTCTCACTCCTGCTACAAGGCCACCACTCCCCTCAAGATCTACCTCGCTGCTGTCGGCGCTGGTGCCGTTGAGGGTTCCATCCGTTGGTGGTCGTATGGCCACCGCGTCCACCACCGATACACCGATACCGAGAAGGACCCCTACTCCGTCCGCAAGGGGTTCTGGTACTCCCACATGGGATGGATGGTTTTCAAGCAGAACCCTAAGCGCCAGGGCCGAACCGACATCACCGACCTTAACGAGGACCCTATTGTCGTCTGGCAGCACAGGAACTTCCTAAAGTGTGTCGTCACGATGGCTCTCATCTTCCCTACCGTCGTCGCTGGTCTCGGCTGGGGTGACTGGCTTGGTGGCTTCGTCTATGCTGGTATCCTCCGCATCTGCTTCGTCCAGCAGGCCACCTTCTGCGTCAACTCGCTAGCCCACTGGCTCGGTGACCAGCCCTTCGACGACCGAAACTCTCCTCGTGATCATGTCATCACTGCCTTTGTTACTCTCGGAGAGGGCTACCACAACTTTCACCACGAGTTCCCCTCCGATTACCGCAACGCTATCCAGTGGTACCAGTACGACCCTACTAAGTGGTCTATCTGGGTCTGGAAGCAGCTTGGCCTTGCCTACGACCTGAAGCAGTTCCGTCAGAACGAGATCGAGAAGGGCCGTGTTCAGCAGCTCCAGAAGAAGCTCGACCAGAAGCGTGCCACACTCGACTGGGGTATCCCTCTGGACCAACTCCCTGTTATCCACTGGGACAACTTTGTTGCCGACTCCAAGAACGGCAAGGCCCTCGTCGCTATTGCCGGTGTTATCCACGACATTGGTGACTTCATCAAGGACCACCCCGGTGGTCGGGCCCTCATCAACTCCTCCATTGGTAAGGATGCCACCGCCATCTTCAACGGTGGTGTTTACAACCACTCCAACGCCGCCCACAACCTCCTGTCAACCATGCGCGTGGGTGTTCTCCGTGGTGGCGGTGAAGTCGAGGTCTGGAAGCGAGCTCAGTTTGAGAATAAGGATGTCACCTACATGAACGACTCTGCTGGCCAGCGTATTCACCGCGCCGGTACCCAGGTGACCAAGGTTGTCCAGCCTGCTGCCAGCGCCGACGCTGCTTAAGCGATTCCAAAAGACTTTTAATGACAAGGGAATGAACGGACGATCGGTTATTGCGCATCATCGAAGAACTGGAGGAGTGTCGTGTCTAGCGGAACACGAGCGCTGTAGACCGTTATCGACATGGGAGGTTGAGAGAGTCGGCGGCTCATCTGACGTTTGAAAGTACAAGCTATATCTATGGCTGACTAACACACTCAACGTCATGCTCGCCACTTCTCACCTTCTTATCAAAGACTATGGCACAATGACGCAAATCAAAACATCGACTCACGAATGGCGTTTTAGGGGGGTTGGCATGCTTTTTTTTTTTTTATTCCACCGACATTTCACACGCCACCTCAGATTGGGCGTCTAGGTCACAGGGGAAAGGGCTGAAATGCAAAACCCAATAGATACCTTCCCAAGGGGGCCACAAAGAGTGGTCACCCCAGCACCGTAAATACTCAAAATAAAAATGATATTGGAGTATTCAAAAATCCTTGGGCCCAAATCTGAATTCAAGTTGACTATCAACCTTGAGTGAATATCTATATGTGTAGTGTTTCCAAATCTACTTGTTGACTATGTGCGATGGGCTTCTTTTTACGCTCCTACTCGGCTCAACTTCATGCAGCCTGGCCACATTGAACACAAGTACCCGCAGTGGAGTCCCCTCTATAGCAACTAGTCTAGGACCTGTCAGGCTCATTGCGGCGGTTTCGGCTACGACAAATGAGTGTGTGACAATGTGGTTGTAGGGCCTAGGCCTCCCCAAGGCTGAACAATCAATGAATGCATGTTGATACGAAGCATTAGGGTCGACTGCTCGACTCGTTGGAACTCAGAAATGTCTATATGCTCAGTGTGGCTTCTTGAGTGGGCGAAAGTAGAGTCTTTCTTAGCTCATCTGAAGATTAGTACGGGCCGCGGAGAGTTAGTGGAAGCCTGACAAAAACAACCGTGGCCCTGACCCTAGCATTGAAGGGTATCGTCGTGACTTGGGACTTCTGGTTGTTATTTGGCGCTTTGACCAAACAATACGACAAACGATCTTGTGTACCGGAGGCGCTCTTAGAAGTTCTGAACTTGGATTAATACCCGTTGTTGCTCACGGTGCCGCCATGCGTGCCTTGATCATGGCTAACTCCGAGCTTTTAGCCCAGGCACCGTCTGGTGTCTGGCGATAGCAGAGCAAGCGGCCGTCGTCGCCCGTACTGCCAAGGATCTGACCGTCATCGTCGAAACCGACACGCCAGACGGGTGTCCGGTGATTATCGAGCCGTGAGATCTCGTGGAACGTATGTTTGACCTGACCAGGCTGGCCGGCCCAGTGCCGGTCCCCTGGAGTGCCTGATTTGGCAAGGCTGGCACTGAGGCCAGATTGGAGCTGCTGATGATGAGGGTGCTGTTGTTGCTGCTGCTGGTAAAGTTGTTGAGATGACAGCTGAGGTGTCTGAGGTTGTGACTTTTCAGCAGGAGCGCCACTGCCGTTCAAAGTATCTTTAGAAGTAGAGTGTAGGTTAGACTTCAGGAGGTCGGCGGCAGACCACGACTTGCCATCGTCTTCAGAGAAAGGCGTTTCGACCCGGAATACCCGGGCGTAACCATCCTGGCAGGCAGTTGCGATGACATCATATCCCCTGATATTGCCAGGTGCCCAAGCCACGTCTCGGACCAGGCCGCGATGGCCGGTTATCTCTACAGCGAGGTAAAACTCCTTTTGAGCCTGTTGGACGCCCATTGAAGTAGCAAGAATGTCGCGCGATCGGTAGACCTTGACAGCGTTCATGGCAGCAACAACAAGGCCAAGGGAGTCAGTGGGGACACCGGCGCGCAGGGCTGTATAGCATGGCTCAGGGTTAGGATCGAAGCGAACGCGGAATGCGAGCTCCTCTCCCCGACTGGGTTTGGGAGAGACACTGAACTCGTCAATGGAAGTGTACTCTGACAAGTTCTCAGGCTGGTCATTCTCATAGATGGTCAGGCGGCCGTCGGTGGCAAGGAGGGCGAGATAGGTGTGGCGTGTCTCCTCGTTGTGTTTCATGGAGAAAGAGCGGTATGGGGCCTTGTTGGATCGGGTGTCGAAGGCAGGTTTGCCATTGCCGGCGCGACCAGTGCAGAAGCGACGGCCAGGGGCAGCGGAGGGATCCTCAGCCCAGAGACGGAACCAACCCTCGATTCCGAGGGAGGCGATGAGGTTGGGGTAGACCGTGGATGGGAGCCATTGTAACTGCGGAGAAAGTCAGTGATGTGCGCATACGACTAAGATACCGCAGAATAAGCGACAACATAGACACCGATCCATATAGACAGTTCCTGAATGCATGGGATGGCGAAAGAGGTGGGTTAGGGTTGCGATTGCATGTATTACCTCTAGAATCTCACCGCCGTGGGCAGTCCACGTGTCGCACAGGCGCCAGGTACCGTCCTTGTGGCGGTTAAAGACCCGAATCTTGCCATCGACGGACCCAGTGGCGCAGCGGTCGCCGTAGGTGTTGAAGGCGACGGCCTGGACCAGGTCCTTGTGGCCGTGCTGGAGGTTGAGGTCAAAGGCGGATTTCTCTTCGTTGGGAGAGGGAGGAATGGAGGTGGCCATTGTCGACAGAGAGCGGGAGAGGAGGGCGACAGAGGGCGAGCGGCGGAGAGGCGGCTGCAAAAGGCGACGGAGACGTTGGTGGTGGTGGTGAGTGAGGGAGTCGAAAGGAGGGATGCGCGATCGTCGTGGTGGTGATGGCTCCGACTGCGGGTGGTGGCATGTCGTGGAGGGTGCGCTCCACTGCGGCTCAAGCTACGTACCCTGTCGGTGCAGATGCCAGATGCCAGATGCCCCGCAAATCGATCACCGCACGTGAGAATACGACGGAAGAAAAGCCCTTGACAGCTTCTGGAAATGGTTCCTGGACGATTGTGCAGTTTCATTTAGAGTGGATTGATATACCTCTCAGACCTGGAGATTTGTTCCGATGGTACGCAGCACAGACCGAGAAGCTCCCAAGTACCTACCTACCTACCTAGGTAGGTACCTAGGTAGTCTTCCACGAACCTCGGGCGACCCGCCCCCAAGCTCCGTTAGCCAGCAGCGCCGCTCTTGCTCAGGCTTTCATCACCTCTGCTCCGTGATGCTCAGACTTAAATCACCCCAACCCCCCCTCTGACCGTATGCATTCAAGCCCATCCACTCACAGCCGACATAGCCTCGAGCTTACACAGTATCATGTCGACTTTATGCGACTTCGCCATGGTTAAGGATCTGGTCACCGCGGCCGGGGGCGCGGTGATGAGCGCCGGTTGGCTCACGAGCCAGGCTTCTGGTGCCCTCCATTCTCTCGACGCCTTAGCATCTGATGCTTGGCTTCCACACCGTGGATGTCGCAGGGGTGTCGAATTGCTCTTGCCGCCTCTGCTATGGGGCTTGGTGCTTTGACTCCTCATGTATTAGAAATGGATGCATGGCCCCAGTTAATTCCATTCAACACTAACATAATCTAGCACAGAATATTCTTGACAAGTCCCATCCGCCAGCTTTCGTATGACACAAAGGATGAGTGCCTGAACTTCGCCCAGTAATGGAATTCGCCCAATATCGGGCCACTCTATGAGCAATGTCTCCTCTATCCTCACATCGGCAGCTTTTAAGCGCAGATCTGTCACTTGGATGCCCCCCCACTGCGAGCATCGGAAGCCGGTCGATAAGGCGCAATTGACACGTTCCCGCCGTTGTGACCGCCCTTTCTCGGGTCATGGTATGTGACGTCAAAAATGGCCCTGTCGCGGTTGTTGTATACCACTCTTGCAAGTCCAGCGCTGTCCCTTGCCTCCGGGTTCCAACTTCCTGTCGAAAAGACTGGGTACTCTTGTCGTGACGTCTGGCTCGCCAGAGGTAGATTCTCCGTGTTTTTGAACGTACTCGGATATTTGGCTAGAGGGCGTCTAGCAGATGGCCCAGACGCAGCTGGAATCCTCACTTTCTTTTTTGGGGCTTCTTGAGCTTGCCTCCGAACTTCAGAGGCGTTCAGATACCGGGCTGGATCATTGACCGGCAAGCCAGAGCATGAGTACTGTTTCTTTATTAGATATGGACTGCAGATGTGTGATTGGAACCACTGACGTGAGAACTATCTGTTCCTTGCCGGCTTGGGGCGGGGAATTCTTCCGACCATGCGCGTGACATCTTCTCTCACCTCACGGATTCTTTATATTCCCTCCAATTTCAATACCAACCTTAACACTCCCATAATCCTCGCTTAACAATCATTCAACCTCCCTCCGCTCAACCTTTCCTATACTTTCAGCGATTTTGCCTTTGATTGCAAGCCAGGACTTGTGACGCCGATTCACTTATTACCAGCGAGCCACATCCACACGATGGCTAACGATAAGTTCAATTTGCAGCATCTCCTGGACTACGGCCTATCATCAGAAGACAACGAGGAAGTGATCATCATCTTCCAATCTGCATTCCAGTCGCTTTCTGAGGCAACAGCCGACGAACAAGCTCGGGACGTCGCCTCGCAATTGCAAAAGCTCGTGTCCCCCGAGAAACCGATAACCCAGTTCGGGAGCACCTGGGAAGCGTTTCTTAGCGTCGCAAGAAACATTCCTTATCGAGACCACGAGGGACAAGACTTTATCATAAAGGTCATTCGCGTGCTAGTCGCTACACCGCCATGGGGTGATCTTCCTGGGCTGGCGCAGGTCATGAGAACCAATTGGTCAGGTTCGTGCATGACTCTATTTACTCATGGCAACAGACTTCTAATTTCAATAGCAGACCCAACGTTCGAGACTGTGGAAGGACAGGAACTAGGTGATGAGTATCCTTATAGTGAGTGGCTGAACTTGAATTCATTCAATGCCCGACTCTTTGGAGCAGGTCTGGTTGAATGGGAGAGCTTCGTTATCTGGCAGATGAGGCAAGCTCTTGAGGAGGACCTGAGCCCTAATGCGGCCACTGATCTGAGGCTTTCCGTCGCCAGCGAATGGGCGATCCACGCTGGGCCAGCCCTCCTCCGGAAGTGCCTAGTGGAAAGACGAGATGTCACTGAAGGTGACAAGAGGTCGCGTGGACCTGGTCCCTTGTATACTGGACATGGGGCGTTGAATCTCGAACGTTGGGGATTTTGGAAACGGAGGTTTGAGGAACTTCGGCTTGTGGTCACTGGGGAGGAAGCAGTTGCAAGTGTTGACCAAGCAATACAATGCATGGCAGCAGCGGCGACAGCGCTCGCACAGGCAGACCTCAAATGAAACGTCTCTACCTCTAAGGTAGTTGTACGTTGCCTTCAGCAATCGCTAGTATCGAGTCATTCTTGCATTAGACAGTTATACCACCGCTTTTCATAGACCTCATGCCGCTTTTGACGGAGCGCACGTAACCGCTTAACCGCCACCACCTTTACGGCCCGTCTGCTCCCTCTCGTGCGCCCGCGGCTGCCGCTTCCAAAATCTCCTCCTTCGTGACCCCAAGCGCTCCGGTTCCGCTCAGGGCTGCCGCTGTGGGGGTTGGTGTGTCTGTATTGGTCCTTACGGGACTCGGGGTGGCTTCGCCTTGGCGGTTAAGGAGGGAAGTCACAACCTTCCATATCTCCTTAGCCTGCCGTGTCGCCCGCAAGCCTGAAGATCTTCTGTCTCGCGTCAGATAGTATGTCTCGAGGCCTTTTCCCTTTCGAATTCAGTCCTTTTCCGCTCTGGTTTTCCTTCTCAGCGCTCGTCGCGGTGTCATCGTTGGGGGCGTGAGCCCAAATGCTTCCCGCGAGCCCCTTAAGCTCGTATTCCCAATCCATCCAGTCAGGGTCCGCGCCGGACCCCGGGCCATTGGATGCCGTTATGCCCAAGGGCAATTAGGCATGGAGAATTCGAATTTGAGGTCGTTTTGTGTTTTAGAGGTGGTTCCGGTCTGGCCTTAAAGTCAGGGCAAAGGTTGTAAGATTGTGAGTTCTTTATAATACTTGTCTTAATCTTTAATGTTGTTTTATATTACTATTCTGAGTGGGCTCTATCTTAAGTGCAATTGACTGAATGGAGTTTAATAGCTCTTTTATCCCCAGTCTAGTTGACCACAATCTGTCTTATTTTAAAGGCTATGGGTCATGCGCCAGATACGGATTTGGACAGCAAGGATCATCGGTCTCAGCCGCCAGTCTAAGTAGAGACTTAGTGGTGTCATGAGGAGCAGGGGTCGGGAAGGCATGAGTGGCCCCCACTACAAGGCAGAGAGCTGCCGGCGCCAAAGGTCTCAGCCTCGCAAAACTTGACAGCTCGAGCTCACAAACATTCACACCTCCGTCAACCGACTTCAGCAGTCCCCTTCCACAACATGTCGCATCTCATCAACCCGCTCGCGACGGCGTCCCAGCTGTACCACCGCTCCTCCTTCTCCAGTCTACCTCAGGATCTCCAGGACGCCATCTTCATCGCCACTCAATGCCTCACCCAGGCCGCCGGCCGCCTCCTCGAGCTCCCTCAGTCCGTGACTGCGCAGGCCAACGTCATCCTGGCACGATACTGGCTTGTCGACTCCCCCACGGCCAACGAGTTTAGTGTAACTCTCCCTCTCCTGCAGTCTCCCATGCACCAGCGTCCTGGCGTCTCCCCCTCATTGCGATACTGACATTGCGTAGGACGCCTCCGCTGCCGCCCTCTATCTTGTGTCCAAAATGGGATCGCAGCCTCGGTCGACACGCGACTTGTCCACCGTCTACGCCTACCTGCTATCGGAAAACTCATCATTTCCGCTCCCCCGAGACGCGCCCAGAAATGTTCCCAAGTCGTACTACGTGTCCGAAGCCGACTACTTCAATTTCCAAAATCGACTCCTTGCCATCGAAGCCCGCATCCTTTACACACTCTCCTTCGACACCCATGTCTCTCTCCCCCATCCTCTGGCCATCACCTATCTCCAAACGCTGGAATTTCTCGCCCAGCCCAAGTCCACAATTTCTCTCCGTACTATTCAGTACCTCAATACGGCGTTGCTATCGCCACAGATGCTGTTTCTTACCCATCAACCACATGCACTAGCAACAGCCGCCATTTACAATGCTGCTCGAGATGCCGGCGCCAAGATGCCCGAATGCGAGTGGTGGGAGGTCTTTGATGTCGACAGGGAAGAGTTGGGATTTCTGGTAGTAGCCATGCGCAGCGTTGAGAACTGCTTGCGCAAACAAAATGATGACATGCCTCACCTCGCACGAGGTATGCTTACCCGGGCGGCCGTGGAGAGTGAGATGCAAAAGAGGGGGCTGCGTGCTGGCAATGGCACCACGGATATCGACGAAGAGCAACATATCATGAATATGATGGACAGCAAGTAGGGATCTCCCTTGCTGGATAGAGTGAGCCTCCATCCTGGATCACTGATACCATTTCATGTTCGGTATCAAATTCGGTCCAACCTTCACCAACTGTGGGAGCCCACGCCGCTTTTGCATGCCAGCCAAGACTATATAATTGACTCGACATGGAATGTCATTGGGTGCCTACAAGGACTTCCTGAGCATCAGGCCACACCCCACGCTTCGAGAAGACCTTGGCAACATCGACTATTGTGACACCGAACAGGTGGCAACATTTGTGGACCTACACCCTGGACTCCTCACGGCGTAATGGTGAATAACACTTGCACCAGACTGGATGCCGACAGGAACGATAAGAGGGACATGAAGGAAAACAAAATATGAGAGCGAGTGGAGGGAAGCCATGGGATGTTGTGTGCTGCCAACGAAGCTTTCCAAGCGAAACGCTTGACATACATCATGCATCTGCATAACCCGGCCGGCTCTCGGATGACCGCGTCTATATTTCGATCCGGGAGGTGCCAAAAGCACTCAAGTGCACGAGTTTGGGAGCACGATGCCCTAGTGACGGAACAGTGGCCTTGTCTTTGCAGCCGCAGGCGGGCGGTTGGCGCGATAACGCGAAAGCTTTGATATTGTCGAGCAACCATGTGATTATTCTGCAGCTCCCCCCGCGCTGCAGCGTTCTGGACCGGGACCATTGAGTCCGGAAGACGTGGTTGGCAATGGCAGACGGGGCTTTCTTGATGCATTGAAAAAAGCCTCATGGACGTGCTCCAACATAATATTGCCAAGGCTCTATTCGCCCAGGCAATTCTCAGGGACATGCGGTGAGAACAAGCCAGGGGATACTTGCGGTACAAGCCAATCATCCTTGCGTCCATCGTGGAGCCTGAGTGCGGGGATAACTAGTGTGTACTGGCTCTCCACGATGCTCTGTTGGGAAGCTGACCTTCCCTCAACGTCATCTGGATTGTGAATCCCATGGACGAGGGATTAGCTGTCTAGTGCCATCCTGCCGCTGCAGTCAGGAATCACGCCAACCGCCCGCGTGGTTAAGGCGGACAAGGCGTACATCACCAACTAACCCGGCAAGCCTGCCTTGACAGGGAAGGACTTACATCAAGGAGACATTGGACCAACATCTGTCCATTGCTTCTGGGCTAACAGACCCGGTTTCCCCTCTCCAAAGGGGAGGCGCCGTGGGCACAGCATCCGAGACTGGCCGAAAGTGCCATTCAGAATCATGGGTGCTATCTAGTGGTGTGCATGATCAGCCGTACCATCACATCGTCAAGTCTGCAGGATGGTCGAGGTCATCCCAACACATGACCAATGCCTTGGGACATAAAAGTGGGAGATGCCCGGGAATGGCGGATCGTTAGATACCCGCCGTGTCGCGCCAATCGCAGAGATTCCAAGTAATCCCACGGTGATACAAGTCGGCCTCGCGGGTTTTTTTTTGGGGGGGCGACCGCGGCCAAACTGTGGGCTTCGTGGGATCGGCGACGGGCATTGGCTATGAAGGCGAGCCCCGTCGGCGTCTTCTAGAAGGCGTACCGACCCACACGCCCTAGCTGCAGGTGCTTTTCCGTCCCAGCCGTGCCTTATCCACCCCCAGGACTCCTAACGGGGCCTGGACAGGTCGCCGGTCCACGGTGACTGGCCGTGGCGACCGGAGTTTGGTTTGTGGCATGTCCGGAGCCGTGGGGACGGAGCGCGATGCCGCTGGGGTGCCCTGGCAGCCTTCAGATCCTGGGGCTAGGTACGTAGTGAAGAAAATGGCTCACTCCTTTAGCCTCAAAGGTTGGTCCGTGGATATGTGCGTCCTTGAGGCGTTGTCAAAGGGTCCTTGAGGGGAGATGACGAGATACGTATCCTGTGCCGTCGAGGTATATTAAGGGACGTCGTCCCTCCCCATCGTCCGTTTTTAAAATCCAATCCTCATTCCTCTGTCTACCTGTATCGTCAAGTCCTTAATATCTACTCGCCTTGTGACCTCTTCACTTACATCATTCACAACACTCTTCATCATGCCTGAGACCACTGCTCCCGCCTCCACCAGCTTGGGTGAGAACAAGGGCATCCGCTTCCAGATCAAGACCGGTGGCGCCAGATACACCTGCACCCTCCAGGACCGTTCTGTTTAGTGAGTATCTTGCGCCCCGTTTCACATCGAGCATGTCACTGACCAGTCTCACCAGCGAGCGAACCAAGGCCAGCCGCCAGAACTCGACCGACTCGGTCACCTCCAACGCTTCTACCAGCACTACCTCCTCTCACTAAGCCAGTGGGTGCGTATGTGATGGAGCAGAAGCACTGAAAACGGAGATGGGGGGATACCGTTGAGGAATTACGTGTGGTATCATCACACCCTCACACAGATTGCGGGCGATTGGGATGGATACGACGAAAAGGCCGGCTCTTCGGCCAGCCCAGGAGCAAGATTGGGGTTGGGTTTATCGATATCATCATTGGCATTATTAGCGACAGGTACGGGGCATAGGCGTCCCATGAATTGTATTCCCCATTTTGACGTTCATTCAATCCGTCCACATTACAATTGCTCAGAGCTCACATACGCATCCCATGACGTGCATGCTGTCAACGAACCCTTCAACACCGCCCAAGGAAGGATATGAGAAGACAAGCCAAGTTAGGTGTTCGCTGACGACCCACTCTGCCGAGCCAAGTCTGCCAGAACCCAATTGCCAAGTTTGAGGGTTGTGCTTGGCCTGCTTGGCTTCTGTCCTCCTTGGTGACCGAGTGCCGAACAGAACCAACGTCTCCACCGCAGGGATCTATGTCCCTACCAGGACAGGAATCCCGGAGCGAACGCACGAACCCCCACAGTGATTTATCGGTCCTAGCATACGTCGGTCACAGAATTAAGCCGACCCGTCCTCACGACTGGTGCGAACCCCGACATCTCCGATATGGAGCCGGGGGGACGAACGGCGGTTTTGCGGCTGGCGGACTATCGGAGACAAACAGGAGTGGGTGGGCTTTTGGGGGTGGACCGTGGTGGTATCTCATTCCCAGCGCAATCGGCGGCCGGACCGGGTGGGAATTGATAGTATCATTACGTGCTGGAAGGCGTTGTTTGCCATTCAAGGGGCGAGAAGATTTACGAAGTGTATTAAATGCGGTTGGTTGATCCCGATGATGGCTGCCGGCTAGGTGGCGCTTCGGGGCTACGTCAGCCAATGGCACGAAGATGCCCCAAAGACGGAAGCAATGCTGACGTACTACAGACGTTGTAAACCACGACTAATAACACACAATGTTGGGCTCTCCTTTGTCGGCCAGGCAGACCTGGGCTTGTACTGACTGGGCTTGTACTGGACCTGGGCGGGCTGACTCGAGCGAGCGAGGACGGATCCGCGGGCCTTACTTTGGGTCACTAACTGCCTCACGATTGCACCATGATGGTGCTATCCACCTTGGCAAGAGCCGTGTGATAACAAGGGTTAAGGCGAAGACGGTAAGTTCCAGGCCGCCCTGAAGGTGAAATGCGAGCCTCTCCGGCGCATGACGTTCTCGACGCCCCGGAAAGCTAAAATGGCAATGGTGACAATCTGACTGCTGGATGACAGAAGCTGGCCGGCTTTAGAATCCGGGCATTATAGCCGGGCGATGATGGCACAGGAGAGTGTGCCATGCGTACGTCACGCTCCGGCCACATGCGGCGACCAAAGGCCATCGCTCTCCGTGGGTGTGAGGATACGGTACCGGCATACTCTGGTAGCTTTTGTTATTAGTCTCCGAGTTTCCGCTGGTTATCAAGGCTGGCACAGCCCAGCCCAGCCGGGTCCGACTCAGGTCAGCTGGAACCCGAGCGGACGACGTCTGTTTTGCGAGGGACGGGACGTTCGATTTCCTTTTCCCTCCTGCCCATCACCTCCCTCTGCATTTGACGCTGCCCGCTCGGTCAAGTTTCCGGCACCTTCACCTCAGAGCGACGTCTCTCGCTCGCCGACACTCGCTATCGCGTGCCTCTGCGCTCTGGAGTTGAGACCCGAGTCCCCCGCCGTCCGTCACGCGACGACATGCCGCACCCATTGGTGGCCACAGGTACGTAACGGTGCGGTACATAACGTTGATCACCTCACATGTCTGCTGCCCCTCATTTTGGCTGTTTTGGGCGTCTCTGGCGCTGGGCAGTTTCGTCGCCGTCGGGGGTCCAGGTCAGTCGTCGTCGTCACCTCGAGGCCGTGTACAAGGTACACTCGCGCGTACTCGTACCCCGCGCCGCCGACGTCGACTGCCTGGCACTCAGCCCCCGTGGAACAGTGGGATGCTTGCGAATCACAGCCCTGACTGCCCTGATCTGCCCTGTGCTTTTCCCGCCCCGTCCACTGTCTTGCGCTGCGCTGCTGCCTCTGCTATTGCTTCTGCCTATACCTCTCCTTGTACCTGTCTACCTGCAAGCTTGTCTGCCTGAAATGGTCTGCTGCTGTGCCTGAGCTGAGCGGCTCACTGACTGATCTCCTACCGCTCACCCGCACTGTTCATCCACCACTCACCTGCTGCAACTCCCCACCTGCTTCTCTGGTGGCAAATCCAACCGCCAGAGGACTACGCAATCCAATCTCCTGCTTTGCCGCCTTGCTCTTCTATATCGCTACCTTGTCATCATTAAGCTGCATCGATTCCAGCTGTTTTATTGCATCGTACTCGATCAAGACATCCTCTTTGCCCGTCCCTTCTTGCTCAAGCTGTTTGAGTTTCGTTCTTGTCGCCCCACTTTTGCTTTGGTGTGCTGCCCGCTGAGCTAGAACCATCCGTCTTGCATCCTGCATCCTGCGTCCTTCGTCCTTCATCTACGACTTGCGTCCACTCGGACGCTTCACAAGATTCGAGATGCCTAACCACATTGTTCTTGCCTCAGGCGCTGTAGTCGCTGTCACCGTCGCCGTTGCGACCGCCGTGGCCATTTACGAGTCGCCCGAAGTGCGCCGATACGCCGATGATGTTCGCCGCCGGGTAGCCTTCGCCCTGCATGCCATGGGCGACGGCATCAACCCCGCCCACCGCGAACCACGCTTCAACAGGCCCGAGGACGCCGAGGGCTTCATGCAGTCGCGCCGTGGCGCTGGTGCCGAAGACGGCGTCGATGCCGACGAGGAGACCCGCCGGAGACAACGTGAGGAGCTGCTTTATTGGAACTCGGTTCGTTTGGAGAAAGAGAAGGAGAAGGAGGAGCTGGAGGAAGCCAGCAAAACGAGACCTGCCCTTACCGAAGGCCGAAGACGAGGCTCGTCATTCGATGACTTCCTCCGCCAGGATGACAGCGCCGAGCAGGGAACCTTCGTTTTCAACACTGGTGCTGATACTCGGGGTGGGGTCGAGGGTCTGCGACATCGAGGCGACAACTCTCGCGGCTTTTCCTCCATTTACGCCAACCCCTTCGCCGACGAGAACCATATCGATACCCAGGACTTGGATGACATGGAGACCAGCCACATCTCTCCCACCAAGGACGAGATGTCGGACATCTACAGTGTTACCACTCGCGACGACGAGAAGGTTCTTGTTTCCCCCGAGCCTGTTCCTGCTCTGATCGATATCGACCCTACCCCTGCCCGCTCCGAAACCGCATCTACCGCCACCATCGAACGCGAGCTTGGCCCCGATGAGTTTATGACTGCTGGCCAGGAGGACCGACATGAAGCGTACGCCTCAATTCAGGCCTGGGCACAGAACTCCAGCCCTGATTTCTACTCGCCACTACCCGTCACTCCCACTGCTCCCATTTCCGAGCCCGAGCTCCTCAGCGACGGCCAGCTGACTCCTACTGACTCAGTGTCCCTCGTGGGCTCCGGCGACGACGTTGCCAACGACGTCCAGTCTTCCCGAGATGGTGAGACGGGGCGATACTACGATGTGATGAGCGAGAGCTCAGGCATGGCAACTCCTGCGAGCTGGTCCGAGGTCGGTAGCGTCATCAGTGAGAGCGATGCTCCAATCCCTGTGCGCTCGTAGTGTCGTGTATTATGCAACTCGTCACTGATTTGAAATTTCTAAAATTCGGGTTTTCATGGGAGTACAGATACGGTTTGGGAATAACAGTACATATGCTTGTAGGCTCAGTCGTTTTTCTTTGCGGTTTATCCTTATAAGGATGGAGTTTGGGCACACAGTAAACAACAGTTCATATATCCGCTACTACATCTATCATTCAGAGTCCATTTACCTCGAGGTGATACTGTTCTACAGGTCACCGTCCTTCTTATCCTCGAGTTTCTTGGCATAGTCGCTCCAGAGTTGCTCAACGGGCCGTCCAACCAATTCAGTCCAAAATTGCTTCTCTTCATACCGCTGTATCCGAAGCTTCTCATTCATACGGCGGATAGTGCCCTCGCCGAAGCGTCGCTCAAGGTAGTCGAGGAAGTAAGCCGTGTGCTGATAGCCACCGTCCCATTTTCCGTCGGCGCTACGCTTCCAGTGGGGAGGGCTGAGGCGGCAGTTGAGACGAACCCAGTCGGCAATGCCCTCGATGAGCCCGCCGGGGCAGGTACCGAAGCCGTTTCGCTGGAAGCAGTGAACGAACTCGTGGGTGATGACGCCGGTGATCTCCTCGGGGCGGCGGGACGGCGGGCTGATGCGGTCAATGTAGCCGAGGGAGAAGTGGACCTCCTTGTGGTCGGAGTCGAGATCGGAGCCCGTGGTGTAGGCGACGCCGGGCATGTCGCGGAGGATGAGGGTGATGGAGCGGGTGGGCGGGAGGGTAGTTGTGGGGCAGTCGGGCGACGAGTAGAGGAGCGCGAGGACGTTCTGGGCGGCGGTGGCGAGGCATTCGGCGGCGTTGACAGCGTCGAGGAAGTGCTTTGCGCCCGGGTGGGAGAGGTCGCGGATCTCGACGCGGAGCTTGGGGAGCGTGAAGTCCGGGGTTGGGTGCTTGCCGTGTCCGAGCCCGGCTCCGGCCCCGGTGTCGGCGGCGGTGTCGTCCCCACCGGCTGAGGACGTGTGCGCCGGCCGGGAGACGGCGGCGGGTGTGATGGTCATGTCGAAGAGGGCGGCAGGGGAGGGCGAAGGGGTTGTCGGGGGAGGGTGAGACATGCGAGGCTGGCGAAGTTGCGATGGATTCGGGTTGTGAGGTTGCGAGATGCCAACCTGTGAACGAGGCTGAGGGGATGGCTGCTGACGGTGTTGACGGTGCTGGGTCGGTGTGCGAACCGTCCGTCAGGCAGTGCAATTGGGTGGATCTGGCCTGTCGTGAGACGGAACCAGGGCCTGGTCCGTTCGCCAGGCGTGGAATGGAGGGGTAGAGATGCTGCTGGGCTCCGAAGAGCCGCGGCTGAGGAAGGGTCATGGCTGGGGATGGGTACTAAAAAGATCTGAATGGAATCAGGGAATGGATTCACATGATAGTTCATGATACGCGTTCAGTAAGAATAAACATTGAGTTGAGTGAATGCCATTATTATGGTTCAAGTCGGCAGGTCTGGAGAAATGCATATGCAAGCAAGTTCGTAGCTAATCTCTAGCAGCGATGATTGTAAAACAGACGTACAAGTCAAGACAGGCAGACAACCAATGGATTCGCTGTGCCTCGAGGGGTCGAAAAAACACACCAGAATCTTTTGCAATGGCGCTCGACTTATCTTACTACAATGGAACCTAGTCAAGGCGTCGGGAAGTCCCCTGTTGGGAACCACTGACATGGGAATCTTCACTGACTGAAGAAATTCTGGAAATACAAAGACCATGTGAAACGGGGCTGGTATAGAAACAAGGGATCAAGCAACAGAGCCAGTCTAACGATGTATTCGGAGTGGAAAAGGTCTTTACTCGATCTCCTCACCCTAAATGACTTCGAACAATGTCTTTGCATGCCAATTCCTAGCTCGTTGCCAACCTGTACTAGTCGGCCGGCCTACCAGGAACCGTAGACGAAGAAAGGGAGTAAGTGGAAAATAGTAAAATGACAATAAAATAAGAAAATACAATAGAATAGGCCATGTAGTTCGATGCAATTAGGATTAGTATGACGTTGGATCGAGTTCATTCTTGGACGTTGAAGTCGATTTGGGTTGGATTGGCTGCAGCGCCGGTAAGACCTGAGTGGAGTGCTTGGTGGAAAGCCAAGGCATAAAAACGCTGTGGTTCAAGGGATATTGTTATTCGATGCAGTAATGGTATAGCGCATCTTGGTAAGCTTTCACAGGGCGGCATCCTGAGACTTGGACCAAGTTAATGCAGGTATGGAATTGATTGACTTAGGTTTATATACTCCGTACCTAGACATCATCTCATTGACATGGCACCTCTGATGAGCGTGAATGAGCTTCGGTAGGTAAGCTTATTAGTGGCCTGTGTGGCCTGTAGCCTGTAACCTGTAAAGCCCCTCCACTGCCCCGCCAGGTTTCGTTCTTCCCCACCGAAAGGGCCGCGGGCTGGAGGTAGCGCTGGAGGTAGCGCTGGAGGTAGCGCTGGAGCTGTTCCACCGGGGCAGGCTGCAGTAAAACGGGCAACTGGAGGTGGGAATCTCGAAGCTGGAGCGGGGCATTGATGGGCACTCGCTAGGTGGCTTCTGGGGGGCTCGGGGGGGGGGGCCTCTGGCGGGTTTTGGCGGGTTTTGGCGGGCATTTTCACCACCCGCTCGGGCTACTACAGCAACCCCTGGCGGCCTGGCCCCTTGTTTTCTTCTCGGCGCCCGACATCATCAGACACCTACGCCAACACCAACAAAGCAAAACCCCCCCGCGAGATAAACTTCTTAGAGCTAGTAGCACAACAAAGCACAACAAACAACAACAACAACAACAACATCCACCACGGCAGAACCCTCTCGATGCGCTCGTTAACGACCGCGCACCGACTTCCCCGCCCCCTCTGCTGAGTTTTCCCCTGTCATCTCCTGTCCAAGTATCCCCGCGATAGGTATGTCTTGGTCTCCCTTGCCCCCTCATCTCCCGTCCCGTCTCAATCTCCAGCAACACCACCACTATCGAGCGCCGAGATGAGGATGGGACAGACACATGGCGCTTCGCGTCCTCGCGGCGCGTGCGCACACCCACATCACTCCCCCGCCGCACCACCACACGAGCTGACCACGCGTCATCTCCCATAGCAGATTCGTTTCCACAAGCTCATGGCCGACATCAAGGTTACCGACCAGCAGGTCGCGGACCTGGCGACCATCCTTCGCGGCGACGGCAGCCTCGACGGCAAGGTCCAGTTTGTCACCGCCATCAAGTCCGGCATCAAGCAGCACAATGTCCCCGAGACCTCGGTGGCCCAGCTATTCGATGCACTGCGAGCCGCCGCCACGTCGCAACATGCCGCCCTCGTCAACGCCGGCTTCACAGCCCTGAACCACCTCCTGACCCGCCTGTCGCGACAGGACCCCAAGATGCTTAGCAAGGAGGCCGTCCGCACGCTGCCCGTCGTCATCGAGAAGCTCGGCGACAACAAAGACAAGTTCCGCTCGCTGGCCACGCACTCCCTCGTCACCCTCTATGCTGTTGCGCCCGTCGATGTCGAGCGATTCATCCGCACTTCGGCTATGGGAGGAAAGAACCCCAGGGCCAAGGAGTCTGCAATGGCTTGGCTCTTGCAGGTACGCAGATAAAGACAGACGAAGCCTTCTCTACACAAAGACATATGCTGAACTCTCCTAGATGCACCAGGAGCAAGGGTTGCCGTTCCGTGGCTATGTTCCCGTACTCATGGAGCTCCTTGAAGACGCCGATGGCATGGTGCGCGATGCTGCTAAAGGCACCGTCATCGAGCTCTTTAGGTAAGTTGCCTGCCCCATCACGGATCCCAATATCAATAGATCTGACTCCCTATCAGGAGCGCACCCAATGCAGCCAAGTCCGACCTCAAGAGACAGCTCAAGAACTTCAAGGTTCGCCCTGCCATCGAATCGGCAATTGTAAAAGAGCTCGCTCCCACATCTGGCCGCCCCGAGACCCCAGCCGAAGCCCCAGCGCCGCCGCCACCCCGTCCAACCCTTTCCGCGAGCGTATCTTCCGTATCGCACGAGCGTCCGATAACCCCCGGCGTCGATACCAAACCCGAGACCCTTGACCCTCTCTTTGTTAACACGAATCGCGAACTCGACGACATCTTTAAGGAAATGGCGTGGTTCTTCGAGGGCAGAGAGTCGGAGCAGAACTGGCTCAAGCGAGAGGAGTCCATGGGCAAGCTTCGACGCCTCAATGTTGGCAATGCCCCAACCGACTTTGCAGACACTTTCCTCGCTGGACTCCGAGGTATGCTGGACGGCATCATTAAGTCCGTCACCTCTCTACGAACCAGTTTGTCAAAGGAAGGCTGCTGCCTCGTTCAGGATATCGCAGCGACCTTTGGCCCCGCCCTTGACCCTATGGTTGAGCTTCTGATGCAGACATTTATTAAACTGTCTGCCGGCACCAAAAAGATCAGCTCACAACTTGCCAATGCCACGGTTGACATTATTCTGAGCAGGGTCTCATACACCCCTCGGTTGATGCAGCATATCTGGATTGCCTGCCAGGACAAGAACGTTGCGCCGAGGACATATTCTACTGGCTGGTTGATGACTATTCTCAAAAAGGAGGCCCAGCACAAGAACCATGTTGAGCACACGGGCGGTGTCGATTTGATGGAGAAGTGTATCAAGAAGGGCCTGAGTGATGCCAACCCGGCCGTGAGAGAAAAGATGAGATCAACCTACTGGGCATTTTGGGGAGTTTGGCCCGCACGGGCAGATGTGTAAGTTACCCCTTTCGCTCGGGGATCCTGTGGTCGGCTAATGGGAGACAGTATCATGGAAGACCTCGATGGGACGGCCCAAAAGCTACTCAAAAAGGACCCCAATAACCCGAACTCCCCTAAGAAGGGAGAAGCTGCCCCGGTGGCCGCTCGCCCAGGTCTTGGACTGTCGAAGAGCACCATGGGCACTAGCAAACCCAGCATAAGGGAGGCGATGCTCGCGCAAAGGAAGGCGAACCTGGCGGCAAAGAATATGCCTGCTCGACCCGGATCTGCCATGTCCCATTTCTCTCCTGTGAAAACGACCTCCAACACCACCACATCAAGCAAGCCCTCGGGAACCCGCACCCGCCCGGAACCGACGGTCTCCGTGAACGCTGCGGGTATGTCTGGGGCCCCCATGCGGCCGACAAGGAAACGGCCGGATATCCCAGCTCGCCCAGCGACAGCTGGTCCCTACTCTGTGCGAGGAGGCCACTCGTCGACTGAAGCAGGCAGCCCGGAGAGCATCAGATCCAAGACTGTGACGCCGAAGCCTAAAGACACGACGCCTAGGAGGACGGGTCCCCGAACGCGACCCGGCCATGCGTCTCATGCCAGCGAGTCTAGCTTGCCTTCGCCCACTGTTGCTCGATCGGGCACTAAGCCTGCCGCATCGCCCCGTGTGAGCCCTGCCAAGTTGAAGCAATCTCGATCTGCCATGCTGCCCTCCAGCAGCCCCTCAAAGGCTAACGAGGATTTCACCCTTGTAGTCCCAAATGTGGCCAGCCTGAAGATCTCGCCGCCCCCAGAGGATGAGCCACCCGCGAGAGAGCCGGTGCCTGAGACTGCCCCTGAGCCTACTCTTGAGCCCGCCGCTGAGATTATCCCCGAGACCCCCGCTGAGTCTGTCCCTCAGCCTGTGCCGACGCCTGGAACTCCCGCATCTAGCGTGAAAGTGTATGAAGACCCTTTCACCGATGACCAGGCGACTCCCAAGCCCACTTTCAACATTCCTGTGCTAGAGGATAGACCAGTCAACGCTGACGCGGCCACCCTGCTCAACGCAAATGGGCAGGCTTCCATGAACGAAGCTTTATTAGACTCGCCCGAGAAGGCTCGGCAAAGCCTGAGGCTACTAGACAGCGGCATCGCGAGGATTAAGTCCCGAACTCTCGATGTCCATGGCTTCCGGAAACTGCAGTCCCTGTTGCGTGAGAGCAAGGGTGTCTTCACGGATGAGAAGTTCGAGGCCCTCCTGATTGGCCTGTTCCAGTATCTTGAGGACCCCTTGCCTAGTCTCGCGCCAGAGAAGGCCCAGGATGTCAAAGCTCAGATCCTGGCCACCATCAAGCTCCTTCTCCGCAAGGAGCGAGACAACTTCCAGCCCCATGTGTCCAAGGGCCTTGAATCCCTCCTTGAGACGCGCGCTGCGTACGATACTCGGGCTCATATCGTCAGTGGCCTCGAGGTCCTGGCAGATGAGCTTGTCACCATTGGCGACGGCTCTGAGATCGTCGTCGTCCTGACCAAGCGTCTCGAGGGCTGCGATGATTCTGCCGCTGAAGACAGCCGCATCCTTAGCACTGGCCTGCACGTCCTGCGCGCCATGCTCGATAAGCGAACGAATTTTACGCCTACCGACTCGGAGCTTGGCCGGCTTGCCTCCCTGGCAAGTCGGTGCCTGAACTCGGCTGACTCGGGCGTTCGCATGGATGCTGTCCAGCTCTGCGTCGCCCTCCACGCCCGCGTCGGTGACGGGCCTTTTTGGGATTCCCTGAAGGGCGTCAAGGACGACCCTAAGAGCCTAATCACGTACTACATCGTCAAGCGGCAGCGCGAGCAGGGCTCCGCAGTCCCCGCCTGAAGATGACCTGGAGTGAGTGTGTACAAACAGACGGCGACACGGAAGAGTAAAAGACAGGGGCCATGTGCCTGGGCGTTGGATGTCGGAGTTTGGGACAGAAGGCGGATACTTGGGGTTCTGGATTGTCTTTTCTTGTTCTTGTTCTTGTCTTTCATCCCGTACAGTTGCCAAATATTTTCCGTTACCAAGCAACCCCATGTACCAGTCTGTATTGTAGCCTTAGCATTGTAATCAAATCTAGACACCCTAGCTCGACGACAACGCGGAACAAACACCCGTTAATCGCGACCATGAGAGTGAGTGTAAGTGTGAAAAAGTACGACACTTGCTTGAGTTTTAGAAGGCCTCGTGGCTCACCCACCCCGATCTATGACGGGACTAGCCACCCATGAAATATCAAGGCTATCACGAAAAGCGCAGGAGAAAGAAAATCTCAGAGGGAGAAGCCCACAACTTTCACTTTTCATTTTCCAAATCCCAGTTTGCATCCTGAGTTAGCTTAGGGGTTCATCTTTCCAAAACCAAGGAAACGTAACTAGTTCCCCATTTCAACGTAGACTGGTGGTACATGTCCTCTCGCTCGCAAACAAACCCATCCGAAGAAAGACAAGCTGCTATTCCACCAAATGACGAACAAGAACCGAAGAAACCGCATCCGGGGGGGGAAGAACAGAAAACGGGTCCAAGAGAGTACCGTTCCAGAGAAACTCCACAGCAATGAATAGAGGCAGTTTTCTGTTGTTTTTTCTTTGTCCTTCAAGTATGGGAGGAACCCCTTGTCCTTCCACGAACTCGTAGGGAAAAAAAGAGACAGGGAAGGACGAAAAAGACGAGGTAGCCTCCAGATTGAGTTGCGCAACAGCAAATGATGCACCCAGTTCCAGATCCTAGCAGCGCAAAGCAGCGACGACGTTCATAACCAATACTCCCCCTTCCCCATCACCTGGCCACCCAGTCTGCCGCCTGTTCACACAAGAAGAAAAAAAAAGGCATCAAAAAACGAAGTGGATATCATTAAATGTCCTAGCACAAACGCCCCGTGTGTCAGAGGGCACACTTCGAATTGAAAGGGTTTCAAATCCAAGGTGCTAAATCAGAGAAATGACCCATGAATGTCGCGGGGAGGGAGACGATCGTAATCTCCTGGTCAAGACGGAGGAGTTTCCAAGGCCGTCTCCAACTCGTTAGTGTAGACTTAAGCGTCTTCAAAAATGGTGTGACTGTTCTCGATAACGAACTGGATCGCGATGTTCTTGGCGTGCATGTCCGTCATCTCACGTTCCAGACTGGTGTCTCGCATGATAGTAGGAGCAAACACGACAGCCAAGTTCTTGGGGGACATCTGCGCAAGCGGTTAGTCGGCAAACAATCATACGGGAATGGAATCTATCACATACCAGGTTCTCAGGCTCACGCTTGGCGACGCGAGCAAGATGGAACATAAGGAACTCCAAACAGTCACGATGATGCTGTGGCATGGAAGCAAACGTCTTGTGCAAGTGAGTGCATCGTTCCGTCTCGTCCACAACCGCTGAAATGTATTAGCTAACATCAGTGCATGGGAAGCTAAGCTCTGCTTACCAGTTGATTCCAAAACGCGCTCGTAGACGTCGAACGTGAGCAGAGGCATGGGAAGCTTTCGGAAGTATTGCTTCAGGACACTGGTGACGGCAGTAATATCTAAGTCGGGGTCTGAAATGTCGAAGTTCTCATCTTTGCTGAAACCGTCCTTGATCATGTTGACTTGAGAGTTACCGCCCGTCTTTCGGTAAATTCCTTCTTGGTCCATGCCTCGGAGCTCAACTTCTTCGATACAGCGGGTGACAACACTGGGGATTTGGCGGCGCTCGTACTCAGATCGTTCTGACAGCTCAGATCCGAAGAGGACTGACGGAGGCTCAACAGGGTCCACCGCATTTACGTTGTTCATCGATCCTGACTTGGGGATGGTAGTCTTCTTGCCAAAGAAGCCAAAGCCCGGCCGTGATGGATCGCCTTGCATTTGTCGGTTCTGCATGTTGTACCCGTTGGGTCCGTTGAGGACAGGCCCGGGCATGGGCTCTTGGGCCACGGTCATGTTGTATGGCATGCCGATGTTCTCACCTGTCAGACCTCCGCCTCCGCCTCCTCCTTGTCGGTGTTCCATCCGTTCTCGGTCATTCTGGAAGGCAACGACAGCCCTGTTGACACCCTTTGCAACCTGGGCGAGACCTTTGGAGCCCTTCTTCCAGTTGAACTTCTTGGCTTGGCCCTTGCGGACTTGGACCACGGTTGGTCCAGCCTCCAAGATAGGCTCCTCATCATTTGGCACCAGCGTTGTAGCGGTTGCCATGCTAGCAGCATCGAGATTGATCGAGGAGCTGTTCAAACCCTTGGTCTGGCTGTAGATGCCTAAACCACTGGCAGGCTTGCCATCTGAGCCGATATGTGACTTGAACCGCTCCTGGATTTGATGTGTCAGATCGTTATTCATGTCCGCAAGTTGAGCGTTCTTCGACGACAGCTGTTCAAACTCTAGCAGAGCACGGTCTCGGTCGGCAACTGCCTGGTTCTTCTCCTCAATCAGATGGTCGCGTTCCTCGTGTAGCTGCTCGACCGTCGCAGACATGCTAATCTTCAGTTTCTCAAGCTTCTGAACAAAATCCTTCAGTGCAGAATCCTCGAGATCTCGTGGGTCAACGGGAGTCTTGGTTTCCTTGGCTCGTTCAACGTATCCAGCTAGGACCTCGAGCTGTCGAATCATAATCTCAGTCTGAGTATCCAAGAAAGACACCGTCTTGCGCTTCTCGAGCAACTTTTTGTTAAGGTTCTTGAGATCCTTCTCGGTCGTGAACTGCCTTTCTAGTTCCGCTACACGTTGCTCAGAGTTGCGTAGCTGTCGCTTCAGGAACGCAGGATCATCGCTAGACGTAAGAGACACAGGACTACTGATCTCGTGTCCCTGACCATAGTCCTCAGCGATTGGCGTTCTGGGCCACCTTGGTGATCCAGTCGCACGAGTGTTCTCACTGATGCTTCGGCTATGACCGGTCCTCGATGAGTTATGGCCGGGTCCGTCAACACTGTTGGTACGGCCATGTTTGACAGCGTTGGAAACACGACGCAAGATCGAGGTGGATCCTTCATCGGTGCCCCAGATCCTGGCCATGTCCTCGTCCATGTTCAAGTCACCGCCACTGCTCCACCTAGGTAGCTTTGGCGAGACCTTGGGAGACCCGGTGTCATCCTTCGAGCCAGCGGGTTGTTTCGCGCCAGGGGCCTGTTTCGCACCAGGTTGGGCTTGGCTGGCCGGCGGTGGCGGTGGTGGCGGGGCGGTTCTCGGTTGTGTGTAGTTTTCGTTCTTGGTCTTTTGCTCGGGGACGCTCGGGCGGGAAGGCGTTCCTCGCACAGATCCATCCTCAGTTGTCTCTTGTCTGGTTGGCTGTCTCTGCTTTCCATCGGCTGTGAGCGTTGTTAGTAACTCATCTGTCTGTGGGTTTGGCGATGGGATAGGCATACAGTTGCTCCTTGCTCCACTGGAGGGCAGCTCTTTCCTGGAGATGGGCTTCGCATTCTCTGGTCGTGATGATGTCCTGGACATGGAATCCATCGATGCCCGGATCTCTTCGTCATCGAACCGCCGAGAATCTTGAGATGTTCGCTCCGGGGGAGTTGTGGCATTTGAATCAGAATGCGGTAGGCTGCCATGACCGTCCTTTCGCAGGGTGCCATTGTTTGGTTTGGACGAGGTGCTCTCTGCGGGAATTCCAGATGACTGAGAGCTGCTTCTTGACACCAACTTCTTGCTCTTGGGGGCATCCTGGAGCTTGAAGTCTTCCTGGGGGGGCTGCCGACGAGTGCTGGACTTTTGAGACCGCTCCTCGACGGCGGGAGATTGGCGGGCTGAATCTGTCCTGGAAGACTTAGAAAGCTTCCGGGATGGCGGCTTCGGAGGAGTCTCATATTCTGAATTCGAAGATGGCTGGCGGGCCTTCTCCTGGAAAGCTATGTGTGGAGTGGTGTTATGAGAGTCACTTCGCTTTTCTGAAGACGCCGATTTGGTATTGAAATAGTCCTTGTCCTTCGGCTTGTTCCCAGACTCCAACACGCTGTCGGTCGTAGACCGAGGGGTCGGACCTGGACTGGGATCCAGTGCCACCGAGATGAAGAAGCTGTCGGCACCGTCGCCGGAACCGTTCTCGGCCCGCGAGACTATGGTGGAGTTGCGATTGCTTCGATACGTAGACGCCGGCAGCCCCAAACCCTCGGGTTTTCGATCAGGAGAACGAGCAGGCCGTAGCTCGCTTTGAGATAAGGGTTCGCTGCGATCGTGGGCTGTCCGTGGACGCGGGGAGAGCTCGGTGGCGGTGTCAGAGTCGGGATCCACACGATCATTCGAGAAGGCATTCGGCGGAATGGCATTGGGGGGTAGGGCGGGTAGAGACTTCTCCGTTATCATGGGTGAATGTTCTTTTTCTCTCGCTTTGGCCGCCGCGGCAGCCTTGGACTTCTTTCTTCGTCTTGCCATTAGGGTCTCATGGCAGCCCATACAGAAGATGCCCTGAGAGGTCCTGGCATATCGGAGGTTGTCAATCTTGCGTTTGCAGTTTCGACAACGGAAGCAGGTGGCGCAGAAGGCCTGTTCCCCCGTAAGGATAGCCAGGTCTTCTATCTTATTACCACAGGCACTACAGCTGTATGTGCAATTGTTGCAGATGAGAGATCCATCGCCAAGGAGTAGGAGGTTCGCATCGGAGTCTAGGAGGGTGCTGCAAGTGTTGCATCGGAAGCAATCGAGATGCCATCGGTTGCCAGCTGTAAATCAGGTCAGCTCGTTGGTCTGGAGTGTCACCAAAGTGGATGTTGGAAGCTCCTTGAGACGGCTGTCTCGCAATGCAGTCAAATAGAGGAAGCAACTGCACCATGGAGATGCAGCTACCCAGGTGGACATACCGAGTTCGAATGCTTTTCCTTCCTCGAGGATCTGCAGCATTTCAATCGTGTCAGCAAGTCAGGTATAAAGCCAGCCGGGGACGGGGCCAGCGAACCTCTCCACAGCCCTTGCAGGGGAAGACATCGTCAGTCTCCGTCTCCATAGGACTGTCTAGGTAGTCGTCCACGATGGTCGACATGTTGGGCGGATGTTATGTAGCAAAAAAAGAGGAAACGCAGCCTCAGGGAGCTGAGTCAAGTGAGCGAGGGGTGGCGATGGCGGCGGTGGCGGTCATGAAGACAGGTGCCACAGCCCAGGGAAGCAGGCGGGTGGAGGTAGCTATGGAGCTACAATCATGGACGAGGCCCGAGAAAGCGACAGGCAGATCGGATGTAGGTCGGCGGGTGATGGCCTCGAGGGCTCGGGGCGCGAAGACGTCGACGGGAGGGAGCGGTCGACGGAGTCGGCGTGGAGGAAACGTTTGTCGGAGGTTTGGCACCCGAGGTCTCGGGATGCTGCGACGGGCAAGAGTTGTGGGCGGAGGGTTTGATGAGGACGAGGCCACAGGACTGTTGGTCTGTGGAACACGGCCAGGGGGGACGCTGTGGTGCAAGGAGGGGCGCGAGTGTCGAAGCAGGGTGAGTGAGCGAGGGGGCGATGTGCGATGTGCGATACGCTGGAGAAGTTGTCGATGGATGAGAGGCGGCGTGTGTGGCGGTGGAGGTGGAGGTGGAGGGTGGAGAGGGGGAGGTTAAGGATGGAAGGAGTCGACCTCGCAGGTCCCAGCGCCAGACAACGGAGGCAGCGAGAGTGTGTCTGTCTGAGAGGACAGGATGGGCCAGTGTCAGAGAGAGGAATGGAAACAGAAACGGAGACGTGGATGGGGATGGGACGGGATGAACAACGGCAGGGTTGAAGGATGAGATGTGGCATGGGGATGGGATTAGGGATTAGTTAGGGGGTGAGGGGGACAACCGGCCACCCACCAGCCTGGAGCACAGTGGAAGGGACTGGATCGAGGTACCCAACTCCCAAGTGCGGGTAGCTTCGTCGAGGGCAGCGTACTAACTGCCTTACACAACCCAGGGATTGTACTAGGTAATTGGAAGCCTCCACCAACAAACCTACTCGTTACTCTCATACTCCCCTACTCCCCCAGCAAGCTCCAGCCGCGAGGTACCTGCTGAAGGAAGGGGGTCGCTGCTGAAGCTGGCTGGCAGGGCTGCTGCGTGCGTTGCAGAGACCTACCTAGGGTTGGGGTTGGGGGGATGGACGGAGGCGGATTGGCGATGTGGATGGGGAGGAACCAAGACCTGGATCACTTCACTAAAAAAAGACACACCCCTACCGACGCCCACAGCGCAATTCTCCTTTTTTTTCTTTTTCTCCTTCTTCCTTCTTCCTTCTAGGCGCCTCGCTCCGTCTACAGCACCAAGGGCCATCTCCGGGCGGCGGTCAGCCATGGAGTTCACGGTTCGCGAGCTCTGTCGACTGGAATGCTAATTGCCATCCCCACGTACGTATGCCGTACTCGTGGCCCGTGGCGGGCGAGGGCAATTGCAGGGTTACGAGCGGCGCAATGTGGCTCGACAAGTACCGTACAGGGGGGGTTGGATCCTGTACCTTACGCTGTGCGGCCTCGGTGGACGCACATGTACTGGGCGAAGCTAAGAGAAGTACCCCGAGCCGGAGCTGATAGCTCGTACCTGGGTCACCTAGTGCGCATGGTGCAGCGCCGCCCGCAGAGAGGGGGACCCTCAAAGGCTCAAACACACTTGTCGGCCAGTCGTGGTGGAGTGGCTTCCCCTGATGCTCTGGGGGAAGCACCAACAGTGGGACCGCCGCCGGGTCTTGGGTTGGCCTGGGAGGCTGCTAGGGCACCTCCTGTAACTCCAGTGCGCCGTTCCTGTGAATTGTGATCTGAGATGGTGGACATTGGGACCCGACGGGGGCTGCTGGTGAACAGCCTAGTAGAGGACGTGCCTGCGGATGTGTTGCCTCTGCTTGACGTCCGTGATGGCTCCCGTCCTGATGGCACGGCGGAGGCATGGGGAGATTTATGGCATGGGAAAGTCGACAATACCAATTCTAAATAAACCCTTCGTTCGTTCGTTTCTTGCTTTCTTCTTCCCAGATCTACACTAGGGATAACGCAATGTGCTCTCCCTCCACCCCCATGCCATGTTGATCTCCCGGCCCCAACTGCAACATGGCATCTATCCTAATTAAGCCAATTTCTGACAAACGCCGCTCGTTGTCCTTTGGGCGGCCGTCCGCCACAACCACAAGAAGGGCGCCGCCTCCCACAGTCAACTGGTCGCCAGGCTAAACCCGCCCACCTGCAGGCGCCGCTTGGTGCCGTGATGTAGGGAGGGTGGAGTGGGTGCTCGAGCAATTTGGCCTTGCAGGCGGCGCGCTTGAGGCGGCCGCGGTGGCCATTGATGGGTTCGCAGGAGGTATGCTCGTGTTCTTTCAACAAAAGGTCAATTAGAGCTCCGTCGCAACGTCAATCCAATGGCTGGGCAGGCGATGAGAAAACCGCTGGACTTTCAGGGAGAGCTGCCGAGACACCAATGGCAAGACATTGAGCTGGCTGTGGCTGGAGCGGAGGAAGGCATAGCGTGGCTGGCACATTGCTGACATTGGTTTGGTGCTGATGCTGGTGTTGGTGGATGGGTGGGTTGACTCAGTTTCTCATCCACATTACCTGGCACCGCCCGGGAGCTGAGGAAAGTGATTACAGCACAGTATACTCCGTAAACCCGACCCATTGCTTCCGAGTTTATTAGAGCCTGTTGAATGCTTGCTGTCCTGTCATTTTTTGTAATGCCTCACAGGAGCCTAACTAGATGTTCGCGTCGTCGTGCGTAGACATTGTCCTCGTCGCCCCAGCCTGGCCCTAGCTACGACTCCACTACCATGCAATGCCCTCCACCTGCGAGTTTGCAGACCGACCCTCTCAACAAGATCCAGGAAGAGGGCACGAGGGGGAGTGGAGGTGCCCGGCTTCTCTGCGCGAGAAAGGGGCCGGCGACATCTTGATTAGACATGCTGTCAAGGACACTGTACTACTACGTGCTAATCCGGTCCTGTAAGGTAAGATGATGGATGGGATCAGATAGGAAAGCCGGCCAACCACTTTCCTTGGATATTGGAATACCATAGGCTCACATCAATGCGCTAATAGCAACGGCCTTTGCTTTGGGTTCTTGGCTTCTCTACCCTCGCACATCGCATCCGTAATCGCCGAGGCTATCATCTCCTGTCATCCAGCTGAACACTTTTGCATGCCCCGACGATACCGAGCCACTTTCAGCTCTGAAATCTCACCATGATAACAAACGTGTTCGTATTTTTCCAGTCCTTGCCCTTGCGTGGCCAACCGTGAATGGCTCTCCGTCGGCCGCCCTCTCCGGTTTCCCACGTTTCTCACTAATTACAGCTCGCTGAGGGTTTAGCTGCTTCCAGGCTGTTGCATCTCGGCCGGCTGGCTGCTGCACTACACCTGGGATCTGGGCCGGCCCTGTAATTAGGCTGCCTCTCTGTCTTTCCGTGCCACAGCCTCGCAACCCTCGAAATTCAAGCATCGAACGCACATCTCTGCTCTGCTGTTTCATCTAGAGTGTTTCCTCGCTCTCACGGAGTGCTGAAACCCAAGCCACGAAACAGAAGAGGAGAAGGGGAAGCATCCCCATTGCCAGCACGATTTGGATCAAAGGGTCTCCCTGTTCCCTGCTGATGCCCTTGTCCCTGTCCTTGCCCTAGCTGACTCCCCCTCCATGCGATTAACCTTTTCCCTTCTGATGCTCGCATACCTGACAGGGTACATGTAGTTAATGGGCACCCAGCATCTCGCCGCTTCGGCGGGTACGCGGCGTGGTGCCTTGCTGACCTGGATAATGCCGTGAGAGGCGGCGAAAACGGGAGTTATTTTCGTCCTAACCCCGTTGACGTATGTGCTGTACTTACCTTTCATAGGCCGTGAGAGTCCCGAGGGTGGCGTTGCTCGACATTATGAAACCACGTTTCTCCCACTTGGACAGACCCCTGGACACGCGATGCAGCTCAGCAAACCCGAAACGGAATAGTCACATTTGATGACTGCTTACCTACAATGCGTGCAGGGATGCTGTATGGGCATACAATTTAATGCTAACCAACGTCGTCGTACAAACGTCTGGGTGCTACACGGACTGACTCTCCTGAACCTCGTCCTCGGAATCAAGCAGATATATTGATTTCCCCGGATCTGATACACTGCACTTCTGGACTTGCTGCAGCCGTGTACACGAAATTCGCAATACCAACTCCGCCAGAGGCTTTCTCTCTACCTAGGTTGGTATCCTCCGACAGGCATTTGGAGGGGTCCAACAAGATGCTCCAATCGCATCTGTCCAGCAAGGGGCAAAATCAACCCACCAAACCCCATCCTCATCCTCGCTTTGTTTCAAGATGTCTATCCTGCTCCGGCGCCCAGAATTTTCCCTTGGAGGCAATTTATTCCTCATCCCATCTCCCCCATCTCCCGTTCCCCTTCTGGACAGCCATGCCGATACCCGGCATGGTTCTTCTCTTTCGCTATCGCTTTGCCCGCTCGCACACACTCAAATGCCCTGTACATGCGAGATATACCCGGGCCCAGGTACATGCCTCCGCAAGGCGTAGCCGGCTACGACGCTGCAACGTCGCAATGGGAGCGCATAGGCGGCCCTCCCTCCATCTCACGCACACAGAACCTTCCTACCCTTGGTGATCGCTCACTCCCAGTCGTGTTTCAAACCTTTGTCTTCCCGGTGGGTTGCGGACAATTAACTACCGTGGCATACTACTATACGGTTGACCGCCATGAGCTTCTCTAAACTTAGCCCTTGTCTCATGCGTTGAAATTTACATTGTCACGTAATCTGATCCGCGGGGCGGTTCTCCTACGCCCAGACGTCGCAGGTATATTCGTAGAGCCGCGGGCAGATGATATCTAGGGCGCGGAACTAGGTGCGTAGTACTCCGTACCAACCGGCCAACTCCCACTGACATGGGGAGACACACCCCGATCGGCTTGGCCCTTCCAGTTGGTAGGCTTAACACATGCAAGGAGACACCGTATGATGATCCACTGCAACTCGAAACACATATGGATCGCAGGCCAGGCACAGGTCCATGATTGCTTCGGCTGACGCCCCAGAAGCTGTTGCTGTCCCTTGCGACTGGACGTATACCCACCCATGCCAGCAACCCTCGTCGCCTCAAGGCTGATTCCTCCACTGATCCATGTCACGGCCAGTCTCAACCGAGCATCATATTCACGGCAGTGCTTCAAACCAGAACCATGAGGCTGATTTTCCCCTCATCCCCTGGCGAGTGCTCGGCAGGTCCGGGCCCAGTCTGCCACCTCGCTGACCCACCTCCTGTATTGGGAACATTGGGGAAAACCTCCGGGACCAAAGAGCACCTGTCAGATGTCGATCAATGCTCCTCCGTTTCTCGATCCCTGCTATCAAGCGGAACTGGGCGTTATGAGGCCCGGATATCCGCCTTGCCAGACTGGCATGCTCATTCTAGGGCGTAAGAAAGGAGCGTGGGATACCATCATCAACACAGGTCTAAGAAGCTGCCCATTGCCTTGCGTGACAAGGGGTCGGCCTGTTGGGTAGAAGCTGTTGAGTTACGCGGTGTGTGATTCATCGTGTTCTGGCGTGATGGGGCCCTGGAGTCGAGACCGCCAGGAAGCCCACAATGGCTGGTAAAGTGTGCCAATGTCTCACTCCCAGGAGACTTAGGGCAACTAACAGGGCCACCACAGATCACAAAGGCTCGGTTTACACATTGATGGCCTCGGCATCATGTCCAACTCATGCAATAAGCCTGATGGGGGTGAGTTTGTTGCTGCAAAGTGATCCCGTCTCCCCAGTCCTCCATACACACATACCCACGTGGCCAAGCAAATATTTGATCGGTCATCGAGATCTGAAACATGGATTTAGGTCTATTCGGTTGATGTGTCGTTGAGGCCCCGCCCAATTGAACCATCGTAAGTTGATGTCTGTTGGCCAATGACCTCATCGCGACCGGACCACATCCGTAGACTACCTCTACTGAGGTATCAGTCCCAGGACGTAGCGCAGTGGATCTCATTCTCATGTCTATCCATCTCGTTAAGATGCGGCGACAATATCTGCGGACGTGTTGCAGGTTGGCGGTGTACCTAGAGTTGTCACTACGGAACCCCAATCGCAGAGCAGGTTCACGGCTTAGACGAGAACACGGTCCTGCATCTGATCACACCTCTCACACAATATGGGCCTGGAGCTCAGCTCTAGTGACACATAAATTGAATCCACGCTTGAGATGGAAAGCCGAGACTCGCAATTGGATGGTATCATTCTCAAAACAGGGATCCAAGCTCCCAACCATCTCAACCTCAACGGCGAGGTGGAAACGTCGTCGCTGTGTCTGAAGTCTGTCTGTCTAATGTAAGCACATCAAGACTCCATGTCCCTCACTTGAGACCCATAATAGTTCAAAACTTTTGTGTAGCATCTTCAGTTCCTCCTCGGCCCATGCTTTCTCAGCTCTCGGAAACCATCCTCTTGACTTTGTCGAGCAAGAGGGCGCTCTCCCTACCCAACTTCTTCTTCCCATCACGGTCCCGTGTCTTAGCCATGGCTCTCTTGAAGCGGTCCCGCTCCGCCATCTTACGCTCGCGCTCCTCCCTCCGTCGCTGAAACTCATTAGCCCGCTCCTCGGCTTCGTTTCGTTGCTCCTCAGCCTTCTTCAGCTGCTTGTCGTAATAGCCCGGCCGGCGCGTCCGGCGTCGCTGGCCGTCGCCGTGGCGCTCACTGTCCTCTCTCGAGCCGGCATTTTCTTCCGCCTTGTCCTCGTCGGCTAGCATGAGCTGCCGGGTTGGGTGGATTTTCTCCTCGGCCTGATCGACCTGCTCCTTTTCCTCCTGAGCCCCATCGTCGCCGCCTGACTTGCCCTCTGGAACAGCTTGCTGCTCACGAGCCTTGATCTTGGCGTAAGCCTTCTTGACCTTAGCCTTGTGAATCAAGTCCTTCTTGATTTTCGTGACTGCGATGGTGGAGTGTCAGCTCTCATCACATACATATCCAGCACGGGTGGAAGAAAAACTCTGAAGGTGAGGTGAGCGACAAACCTTTTCGGCGCCAGGGACCGTCTGGCAAATTCTCGGGGCCGACTCGGAACCCATGCTTGGGCTTCTTCGCCTCGGGTGCAGCGTCGGCAGTCTCGATGGGGCGTTTTGGGGCCATGGCTGACAGCTGCGATGTGTATTTGATTGAGATGCGCCTGTGTCGAGAGTCGTTCAATGAGAATTGAGTAGGCGCTAAGTCGGTGAGAGTACGGTGTGAAAGTGGGGCCGGAGGGGCGTACGTCTAGATTTCAAGGTGTGTCTGGGGTGGAGTCATCCGGACAAGAGTACGGCATTCACGTTGAGGAAAAGGCGAAACTCGGAAGCGTTAAGGTGGTATTGTTTGGGTGAGCCCGAACAAGACCTTTATTGGACAGAGCAGGTCCGAGAGCGTAATGCAGAATGATTTATCCGGAAGAATTGACGACGCACTGCCAGGTCACGCTGACTCAAAACACAACGCATATCATGAGAGGTCGGTGCGTAAGAAGCACCAGCGAACGAACACATGCCACAAGCACAGCGAGCTGCAAGCAGGAACGAGGAGCAAGCGTCAAGACAGGCCGCGGGATGTGTGTCGGGTATGACAAGGGCGCATTTCTAATCCATCGAGGATTGATCAGCCAAAGCTGTGTCACACCAACGGCCAGGTTGTACGCTCAGCCGGGTCAGCCCACTGTCATGAGGGAGTCACACAGGGAGCACCACCCGACGCTACGGTGAACAGGGCCGCAATTTACTGGCGAGGGCCCTGTAGCTGACGCCCATTGTGTGTTGCCGCACGCTGTAAGACCACCGAGCCTGGCACACGGCATACCGATGCCAGTGCTCACTGTAAGCAGCTCTCCGAAAACATCAAGGAGCCGTCTAGGCTCAGTGAACGGGGCCGCTACCCGCCCTAACGGACCCGCCTAACGATGCGCGTGCAGACGTGCAGTTTTCAGTTTGCGGGTTGGCATCAGTCGTGTGAGCCATTACGTGTGAGCTTTGAGCTGTGAGCCACGAGTTGTGAATGTCGATCCCATCCTGCTGCTACCATCTTATGCTGCCATCTATGCATGCCCGATCCCAGCAGTGCATGCTCGACGTGACTATGCAGCTCCCCGTGACGGTGCCGAGTTTTTTTCTTTCCTTTTTTTTTCTCCCGCTTTGCCAACGGCTGCGTGCATTTGCTGGTGCTTCCTGTCCCGGGGTGGCAAGGTGAGTGAGTGGCCCTTTTGGCTTTTTTGGCTGGTCTGGCTGGATCCCATCCGTCCAACTTCGCAGCTCACAGTCACGAATCTCTCCACTTTGATCTCTCCACTCTCCCTCCACCTCCCACCCACTCTCCACTCGCCCGCCCGATAACTTTACCCAAGGCAGGTTGGCTTTGGCTTGACCCTGGGTCCTCCGGGTCGCCTGGGTCTTTCTACGGAGCAGGCCCAAGGGCCTTGGGATGATTCACTTTCACCGCCATCGGCGCCGCTTGTGCCGCTTTCGCTGCTACTCCCGCCACGCCTCATCCTTGACGTCGACGTCGTATCATAACGAGTCCATGTCCACCCGCTGTCGCCGTCATTGTGCCGTCGACCTCTGCATTCAACTTTCTTCTACCGGTACTCCTCCATAGTCCTTAGCCGTCTTCTATCCTCTGCTCTCCGTCTGCCTGTCAACACCCAAGCAACGCTCGCGGCACGACGGAGCCGGCACATGGATAGACGCACTCCTCCGTGGTTCATCGTCATCAGATCCGTGGATGACGTCCCACCATCCCCGATCCCCATCTCAAAGACCCACGGGGACCTGGCAGCCACCTGCATGGCATGATATCCACCTCCGCCTCACCTTGAACTCTCCCTTCACGCCCGATTTACCTCTGGGTAGCTCCAAGCTCAAGGCTCAAGCTCCTGTTGTCAACCTACCATCTTCATTCATGACGAACCTCCCCCAGGTCTACAGCGTCGCTGTGGCTCATACCCAATCCTGCTGCTCCCTCCGACGCCACCATGCCCATCTTCCAGGACGACCTTGACCACCACTCTCCGGTCAACCCGTCCCCCATTGATGTTGCCGCGACAGGCCTCCGCCGTCTCTCTGAAGAGAGCATTCGCACCGAGCTCTGCGAAGGTCCCATTCCTGATAGTCCACGCCGTACCCAGACATCCAGGTCCGACGATGGACCTGCGATATCGGACCGCATTGCTCTCATCGAAAGGCTGAAGCGCGCCCAGTCTCCCACCTGGATTCCCAACCATCACGTACGTAGTCTGTGTCCCGTCCCTTGTTTCCCCTTGCTGATAGTTTTTTTTTGCAGCTCGGGTCCATTCTCCAACACACGAACTCCGTCTCAGCTCCTAAAAGACCACAAACACCGTCCGAATCGTCGAGTCTCCTACCTCCGGCCCAGATCAGTCTCGAGAAGGACGAAGCGCGTGATGATACCGACGAGAGGCTACAAGCCGGCCTCAGTATCGAACGGCCCAGATCGGCTCTGCACAGCGGAGACTTCACCGAGGATGAAGTCGGGGCGGACAACCAGGCTAGGCCCGTTAGTCGGACACTCGCCGATACACACCCAGCTCTCACCGAGAACCCGTGGATTGCCACTTCTCCCCCAAGAGCATTTGCGTCGTTTCAGTTTGATCAGAGAATCCCATTGTCTGAGAGCACCGAGAGCTTCCCGTCAGGCACCTCACCTCTGTCATCGTCTTTCTCCTCCGGTTTTATATACCAGGCCCCGACCAGCCCTCTAGTCCAATCTGAGAGCTATGAGGAACTGGATCTTTCGATGCCGCTGGACGGCATTGATTTCTCGTCTGGGCGTCTAGGCGCCAGGCGCTATACCATGAACTCGGCTACTACATCGCCATTCCCCTCTCCTTCCCCTCGGTACTCGATGCCTCCAAGGATATCCTCTTATCGAAGAGAAGCAACATTTCCCTACCAAGCGCACCAACCCCGGAGGTCGTTGACTTCAATCCCAAGCTTCGTGCAAGGCGGCACGTCGCCACAAACACCCGCCTTCTTGCGTTCTCGTCGATCGTCCTTTGTTTCTGACTCCTCGCCGCTTCATCATGCCTCCATGGTTGGCTCCTACGAAGAGAGCATCCTCCGTGGTCGCATGTCGACTACGCCGTCTAAGCCTCTTGATTTCGTCGCCCAGATCGGCGTCCTGGGCAAGGGGAAGTGCAAGTCCAGCCTCAAGTGTCCAGCTCATGTCACTCTATCATTCCCAGCTGTCTATTATAGCTATGGCAGCACATCCCACGGCCGATCAAATTCAGATGATGGGCCTAGTCCTTACGTTGGTCAAATCGACCTAGAAAACGGCCTTCCAAACCCGGAAGATGAGCAGAGGTCCAAGAGGAAGGCTCAAAGTCGCTATGCCGACAGGAAGACGGTCGAGGAAGAAGTGGACCCAATGCCTCCCCAAAGCCCCGAGCATGAGCTACGCCGAAATTCAAGGGCGAAGCGGAAATCCGGAGCCCCCAAGGTTCCCCCCGGAGGAAGTTATAGGATCCCCGAAAAGGGGCAGATTCAAATCATCATCAAGAACCCGAACAAAACCGCCGTCAAGCTTTTCCTGCTTCCCTATGATCTAACAGGAATGGAGCCTGGAACCAAGACATTCATCCGCCAGCGCAGCTACTCTGCCGGCCCCATCATCGACAACGTCCCCGCGGCTTCCGAGCTGGACTCGACAGACCGCCCTATACTTAGATATTTGGTTCACCTGCACATCTGCTCGCCCGCCAAAGGTCGTTTCTATTTGTACAAAAGCATCCGCATCGTCTTCGCCAACCGCGTTCCGGACGGGAAGGAGAAACTGCGAAACGAGACAACCTGGCCTGAGCCACGCTACACGCCTTACAAGCCGATCCGTGTCATGCACCCGTCAACGCCTGCCACGGGCCCAGGTGCGATGCTCGCCGCCGACAAAGCCTGGCGCAGGAGAAGCGCCGGGTTTCCACTGGGACCGTCGAGTCAGGCCTTCGACGTGATGGATGATGTGTTCCCCACTAATGTTTACGCCGGTACCTCCTCTGGGACCTTCGCCGCTGGTAATACGCATCCCATTGAGCCTGTTCCATTCTGCCTTTCTGGCCGGGACCGGCTTGACAGTGATGTCAGCGACACCACCGCTGTCACGGCGATTGGAAGCAGCATTCGCTCCCCGGGTTCCTCGCAGGCCAGTCGACCGACAACCCAGGACTTATCCGGCACCCCTTCGGTGCCCTGGGGCCCGACGCTGTATGAGAAGCTCAACAAGGGCGACCTTGGCTATGGTGGAAATGCTTTCTCCCTTGCTGGGAATGGCTCATCCGGCGGTGCCGAGGGTCTGCTCTCACAACGGCTACGGTCCCTCGGCGTGAAGCAGCCACCTCCTCCGCACGCACCGGCCGAAGAAGACGCCACCTTTTAGATGAAGATGCTCGCACCTATTCTTTTGGATTAATACATTTGTAAATACACCCTTCACCCCATAGCAATGATCGCCGCAGGCTGGGAGCGACCTCGCGGGGTTTTGAAACTGGCCACATAGACGGGTGAAAATTTTGTTTGTGGAGTTAATCATGGAAGGCACTGAAACTGGAATCGGGACTGCACTACAACTGTGCTTGTTTTTATTGGACTACGGAGTTCGGCGTTGCTTGATACCAGCTTGAGAGACGAACAGATCGATATTAGGAGATCATGGTAAGTACACAAGTTGATCGCAGCGTCATAGACATAGTAACTTCTCAAATCATGTCATAAATACTGTCATATACTTGCCTGTTCAAGGCACGGCGACGTGAGGTCATTGTTCTATGTTATACAAAAGTACAGATCTAAATGCTCAGTAGGGTTTGTACATATACGAATACACATCATCCTCCGCCAACTCCCAGCATACATGATATCATCTTGATCTCCACCTTCGCGAACTCATGTAGTTTACACGCGTTCTTCGAATGCCACAACTTTGTAAACATGATATTTGTATGTTTTGGGTCCTTGCGTGCTCAAGGCACATTGATGCCGCCTCACACACTGGACTCCATTATCGTTTTTTCGAGCTGTCGGACTTCGGTCTTGCCGCAGCGCTAGATTTGGGCTTAGACTTCTTCTCCGAGTTGCGTGATCTCAGTGCCTTGGCCGAATAGTGTTTCGCGTGTTGGGGGCGGCGGTCACCGTGCGGACGCTGGTCGTAGCGGTCCCAGAAGCTGTTCCAGTAGCCAGAACGTTCCCGAGCAACGACTTGTTCCGGGTCAGCGATCGTGGCTAATTCGGACGGGGAAGAGGCTGATAAGGAGGGGGATAATTCTCCTTCGAATGACGAGGATTTTGTCTCAGCAAAGCGCTGCTCGCGTCGCTTCACCCAAGTGGCCGCGAAGCGTCTAACCCTGTTGTGCAGCTCGCGCTTCCAGTCCTGGTGATCCTGCTGGCTCTTTGGGGCGAGAGCGGCAATACCTAGACGCTTCTCACGTTTCCGTTCCTGCATGAGTTGCTTGAGCAGGGCCTCCTTAGCCTTCATCAGCTCGTTGTACGGCATGCTGCGCAGGACCTCGTCAAGATCCTGGATAGACGTGCGGTTCGAGTTGACCTGGTACGCCACCGGCATGGTCTCCATGTCAGACATGGTGAAGGCGTGGTAGAGGCGCGGGAACTTGGCCTGGACGTTGTGGAGCTGACGGGAGATGTCCTCTGACCAAGCAGCCATCTTACGCATCTTGAGCCAGTTCTGTTGCAGTCGGAAGACCACATTCTTGGGCGCCCTCAGGACGCGTGTGTTTAAAAACCCAGCCTTTTCCTTGTTCATCCTTCCCCAGTTCCAGCCGCGCCAGCCATCCATGAGCATCGTCTCGCACCAGTACATGGCCCGCTCCCACCGGTCCAACTCGGACAAGTATCGAACGGCAAGAGACCAGGTGGCGCATGTGAGCTTGAAGCCTGACTGAGTCACTCGATCAATGCAATCCGACAGCCCTTGGCCATCATTCTTATCTCGGTACACCCTAAGCACAACATTGAGCACTCGTGAGAGGTCGTACTCGTTGCCGGCGTAGATGCCCTCTCGGTGACTCTTCTTGCTCGACTCAAATATTTGTACCCAGGTCTTCTGCCAAAGCTCCATGACCTTGTCTAGGTTCCCGTCCTTGTAATACGCCAGCATCAGAGCAGACACAATGTTGGGCGGATACTGATTGCTTTGCTTGAATTGGGGAAACAGCTCATTGTACAGTGTCATGAGCTCTTCGGCGGTACCAAACTCTCGCAGCTCAACCAAAAGCATGATTGCCCGGCCGATACTTTGTGACTGGCTTCTCGACATCGCCGTGCTCCCTAGTGAGATTGCCTGAGAACCGCCAGTGGCAGTTTGTCCAGGCTCCCCTGTGGAGCCAGCCACGGCGTTGCGGAAATGCTCAACCAACTCTTTGCTCAAATTCAGTGTTCGCTTGACTCCTGGCTTTCGTCGCACCGCTGACTCCACCAATGGTATCAAAGCATTGAAGCTGATTGGCATGTTCGACTTTACCAACCGGTAGTGAAGGCTCTCTACTAGGACGTACTCTCCAAGACGAGCAGCGCCCGCCATGACGATGGCATAGTGCTCTGGCGTCAAGGTAAATAACTCCTCGTCCTCAGCTGCTTTTAGAAGCGCGTACGCAGAATGGATCCTGTTGGCATTGACAAGTGCTTGGAGAAGGAATCGGTTGGTATCATCATCCCATTCCACGCCAAACCGTTTCATGCGTTCGAGGATGGCGTAGCACCTCTTGAGATTGCGTGCCTCGCCATTGAAATTGAGCAGCTGGTTCCAGATAGCGGTGTGTGTGAGCTTTCGTTCGGCCATCTCAATGCACAGCCTCTCCGCCTCAATCAGGAGGTCGTTCTGGCAATACGCCACCACTAACGCGAGAGCCATCTCCTTCGTAATCGGAACTTGAGCCTCCTGGGATCGGCTGAAAAAGTCGAGAGTCGTCTCCAGGTCGCCCTTCTTAGAACTCATGGCCATGACATGGGCGTAAGTGAAGGAATCAGGCTGGTGCATCTGGGAGATCGTCTCGAAGCATCTTAGCACCTGGGAGTAGTTGTTGGCCCTCATGTACGCCTTCAGAAGCGTGTTCCAACAATCAACATCAGGCTTGACCCCATATTTGCTAGACATCTCTTTAAGCACCGCTTCGGCCTGGACAGCGTCTCCCGCTTGTGCATAGACGTTCAGGGTACTCCTGAAGGCTCGTGGCGTCTTGAGCACCGACGGGTACGCTTTCACATACTGATCCCAAAGCTTCTGGACAGCTTTAACATCGCCCCTTTGAGCATATAGCTTGAGGAACTTCTCGTAGCCCCATTGATTCAAGGCCCCGCGGAATCGAATCCAATCTTGGTAGAGTTGTTCTAGGGCAGCGATGTCCTTCGGAAAGTGAACCTTGAACATGCCTCGTAGAACATGCATCGCAGGCTGGGCATCGGGTAGGGCTCGAAATGTCTGGTAAATTGCGGGAAGCTTGAGAATAGTCGATTGGGGTTCCAACTTTTCGTACCAGCGGTCAAACATCCGCACCAAATAGTCGTTATAGAGATCCTTGTCGTTCAAGGTTTCGAGGATCACGGCGGCCTGCTCCGGGGAGCAAGGCTCCCACAACGCCATTTGCGCAAAGTGTTTGCGGAAAACACGGAAGGCTGTGAATGGTAGGGGAGATTGTCTAAGCTTGCGTTGGTAATCGGCACCATCCGTCACCAGGAAGCTCCGGAAAGCAAAGTACAGATTTCCTTGGTTGGGGATACCTTCGAGGTCCTTAAGCCGTTCCGTACTCGGCTTTCGTTTAGGATTCTTTTCGGCCTGTGCCGCATAGTACGCTACCCAAACATCCAAAGCAGCGGCCCATTTCCTCGACGAAATGGCATCCGCCAATAAATATTCGAGGCCTCCGGTCAGTCCTTTCAAATCAAGGCCTGTTTTGAACTGATCTATCGCAGACGGCAGGTCCCCCGTCCGCAGGAACAAGAGGATTCCTGCAGTAAGGAGATCATTGTCCCACTCATCGATGGGAATCTGTCGAAAGACGGAGAGGGCTCGTCCACTCTCCACAACGCCATGTGACCGAGCAAGGTACATAACGATAGGAGCACGCATGCAGAGACGGTTCTCATGGTCAAGGTGGGTGTAGAGGTCCCAAACCTCGGAATAAAGATGGCCAGTATGGTTCGATATCAATCGTTCGAGACGTTCCAGCGTGTGTTGAGCGTCATATTCTAACGAAGCATCCGAATCGACTTGGTTTTCTCCTATCGGCGCATTGTCGTGGCCATTGGCGAGTATTCCGTCTCGACGGTTCTCCAACGCAGTGGGGTCGTGCTCAGACATGGTTGTGTAAACCCCTCCCTCTGCCAACTCCATATCGCTCAGTGCCACCATGTTTGAGGTCGTTGATGCGAGGATCGGGTCCGTGGCCGACGAAGAGTACTGTCTTCTCCGCGGTACCAGGGCCTTGCGGTTCCCATCTTGAGTCCTGGGTAGTTTGGGGTATATTCGACGTAGGAGCGGCAACGTAGCGCTGGGATAGAGGAAGTCGAGCAGGAAGGCCGACGCTAGCAGACCGGACTGCTGCTGGTGGTAGCGAGACGATGAGTCGGCGTCGGTGGTCTCGGAATCGGCGGTACGAGGCGGGCCGGGCCAGATGCTGGAGAGATCAATGGCAGAGGCGCCATGCTGCCAGAAGCCCGTGTGTAGCTGGCGGCAGCTCTTGGTGGGCTTGGGTAGGACACGCTGGAGGCTGCATGATTCCAGGCCGGCCGCCGTTCTCTCGAGCATTGGATCGAGACAGTGAATGCTAAGCCGCGGCGGTGAGGACCGAGAGGGCAGGTATCGGCATGCTTGGTAGGGGAAGCAAAATTGGGGACGACGGTCGAGGAGGGCCGGAGGAGGGAATTGGGCGCGGGCACGGCTCGTATTTCGGGGGCATTAACTCGTGGATGCCTTCAATGGGTCGGGGCAACGTCGTAGGAGGGAGCAAGAAAGACAACGCCCGAAGAAAAAAGAGAGTCGCGATCGGTAGCACGCACGCGCAAAAGGTCGATGGAGGTGGGATCCAGTCTACAATCATCAGTCGATGTTTCTAAAAAATCCGCCAGCTCTGGGACGCTGTAGCCAATGAGCGCAGGTCCGTCGTTGAAGAGCGGAGCCGGTCCGTCCAGGGCCCCGGCGATAGCGCCGTTGGTCCTTGGGACGCCGAGAACCACGGCCAGATGGCCGCTAAACCGCCAATCAGATTATTCGATCATTGTGATTGCGCTGGTTCTGGTTTGTTGGACATGGACGCAGACAGACAGACAGACAGACAGATAGACATTTAGAAAGGATAGATGGGCAGACAGACTCCTCACGTCCCCAATCGGGCAGGGTTTAATGTGAATGGTTCCCGTATCTCATTATTTCTCAACCTAGATTGCCATGACGAAAAGCATCTAATGTTACATGGTTCAATTTTAGAAAGTTTCCGTTCCCAGTTACCCTGACATCAAACATCCATTAACATAAAACAAAGAAAAAATCAAAGAACTCCCCTTTCCCATCCCAGTCTTAGACCAGTTCGCACCAAGTAAAATATCCGGTTAAGTTTCCAGGCAAGTGCCTTTCCAAGTAGAATGTCAATATATCGAACATGTATGGGGTATTGATTTTCCCGGTCGTAGATCCGTCTCCGATTTCCTTTCGTTTTCCCTTTTGGAGGTGTACAAGAGAAGAAGGCATTTAGGCGTTGGGTAGCTGTCACTGCTTCGCACCGTCGTCATCGTCGGAGCTCGCGAGCAGTTCATTCCGCAGCCCGGACAAGACATCGGCCAACCGCGGGGGTTCGTGTTCCATGTCTGCCCGAGGTCCGCGGCTCCGGCTCCGAGTACGTTGGCGGCGCCGAAAGACCTGCTGCTGCTCTACGGGAGACGCAACTCGCGAGGGGCAGTGCTCACGGCGCAACCGGGCGTGGAGAAGGCGTTTTCGGGTGGGCGATGAGACTCTGGGAGAGGTGGCTCGGGAGGAATATCCTAGGGCGGGCGAGGTGGCACGGCGGCGAGATCGGCCTCGGAGGGTACTGCACTCGTCGGAGGGCGCACAGCGGATGGGTCGGACGCTGCGGCGGTTCATGCTGCGGTCTCTCTTGCGGCCTCGCATGGCATCGTGGTCGGCAGTCGGAGAGACGATGATGGTGGGCTCGGCAAATGTTGCACTGCCATGGGCGACTCCCGCCGTCATCTTGGCCGGTTGCTGCGCTGCTGCGTTGCCGACTCTTGCTGGATGATGGAGGAGAGCTGAGCTGGGAGAGCAAGCAAAAGCAGGAGCAGTTGCGGGGGTTGCAGGGCAGATACAAGACACAACAAGGGACGGGCAGCAGGGAGGGTGTGGGAGAGTCTTTGTAATTATTGGATGGGATCAGGTTGGGCAAATCAAAGACGCAGCAGAGGTGGGAGTGAGACAATGTTGGCGTTGCACGGCGTTGCACACAACGAGACCAAGTCGTTCCACGGTGGTCGAGATGCAGGTAGATTGCAGATTACACAGCCGGCGTACAATAGCGTACAACACGTCGAGGTTGGGGGAGTTGAGAGAGGCACGTCGGCCAGTTATAGGCGATTGGAAATGCAACGTACAATGACGAAAAGGGGATAAAGGGGGACGCTCCGAGCGACACGAGAGATGAGAGATGAGATGGGAGGAGCATGAACCAAGCGGGAAGGGGTGGCCCTTGAATGCTTGGATTGTTTGGATCCCGCCGCCGTCCCGCGGCCAAGCGAATGGAAGCGAAGGCTCGCGAATGCTGGCGAATGTTGGCGGAAGCTGGTGAGTGCTCCCACACCCAGGGCCCGTCATCTGATGGGTGGCTTGATCCCGATGGGCGCTGGGATGGGCGCTGGGATGCTACTTGGGGATGCCACCTGGGATGCGCCCGGGGCCTGTTGGGCGGACCTATTGACCTATTCTAATCCCGAATCCCCCTGATGCCGTCCGTGTTAAGCCTGCGTTTGGCGTGCGTTTGCCTCTTTGTCGTGTGTCGACGTCGCATCAGCCACCAACTGGTCTGAACCTTGCTCGGGCACGCGGGCGCTGATCAAGGCCGTCTCAACGCCGGACTCTGAATACCGGCCTGCGGAGCAAGATCCGCGGTTTTGCAGGGCTCCGGGGAGTAAAGTAACTACACAGACAATACAGTGTCCCAACCCATCAATCAGACATGGCACTTTGACTTTTGCCCATCGACAGTTGTCCGTCCACGGATGCCATCCCATCCCTCTCCCATCCCTCTCACCCCCAGGCTCCATGTGCTACCCCAGGTCCTCCGCGTTGGCGGACCAGTCGATCACCACACAGACGGCGCTGACGAAACACGCCAATGCGTTCTATGACGTAGCGTCGTTGAGACTGATCGATGTGTCAGGTGGGAACACATAAGTTTACAGAGGGAGTCATTGAGGGAGTCATTGAGGGAGTCATTGAACGAGTCCCGCCCCCGATACATGCGCCGCCAACAGGGCTTGCAGTACGAAAATAACAACATCGTTGGTCCAACGCGGAGCCCGTAGCCGCCGGCCAGTACAATGAATACATCAACCGCCCACGCCTTCGGCCGAGGATGCGGCCCCAAGACGAGGCCAGTGGGATCTGGCGACAACCCACGAGGGCCCTTCCCCGCAATCCTCGACATCGCCGCCAGCGAAGACACTAGACACGACCTAAGGCAAAAGGCACCCAGGTGATGGGCACTAGGTGCTGGGCAAGAGTGCGAGGGGACGCCTAGCTGCCCATTATGCTTTCCAGTGTTAGCGCCAGTTTGGCGTCACAGCCTCTGCGCAACAGCCTCTGCGCATCAGCCTCTGCACACACACTCGCCTCTCTGCAGAGCCGCCGCAGTTAAGCCCAAGGCGATCTAGCATCGTCCCAAGAAACTCTGTATCGGTTGACAAGAGGTTGGCAGAGGCTGTCGGCGCCAACCAAGTCGGCAGGTGAGGACACACTCAGCAGCTGGAAGCTTGTCATCGAGTGTCGACGGTCCAGACCATTCCATTGAGCAGTCTCCAGCCCACAGCTGAGAGCTTGGATCAATCACTCCAACTGGGTGTCAATGTGGCAGACAACCGGCAGATGTAAGCCCATTGCCAAGGACGCCACACAGTCCCGTATGTTGAAGCCTTATCAACAACCGCGAGGGTGCTGGCCAGAGCCATCCCTGTCTGACGTCTTACACTCAACAAACCGATTCCAGGAGTATCTTGTCATTTGCACACACGAGTACAGTACATGGCCAATTCCTGAAAATGAGTATCAGCGACACACCTAAAATAGCATTTAAAAAATTATTATTCAATAAGACCAATTCCTAGAATTATCTCTCTTTGCCTGAAGTTTTAGGTTTTTTATTTTCATAAAACACAATAACAAATGTAGGCCTCTAGCCCAACCTTGGACCATCTACTCCAATCATGGATCAGGTACATGAATTAAGCTGAGGCTTGGGTGAAAAGGATTTATACATCTATGCGAATACCGGCATGAATATGAATAGTAATGGGTAGGTACTCTCTGCCAGCCCATGAGAGGCAAGACAAACACCCGAATGTCCGGAGTCCGAAATATTGTTAGCGCAAAAGAGTCTCTGAAACCGAGCGGTACGTACCACCCCATTGGTAAGCTGCCACAAGCAGCAGAAGCAAGTTGGCCACGGCCTGGCGCCTGGCCAGAAACAGCCTGGTACTCCCTGGAACCCAGTTCTGAGCGCTGAGAGCCGCAATATGACAGCATGTGCCAGCTCCCGGGATTCCCAGTCGTGAACTGATCGGCTCATCATCAAAGGCTTCGTCCGACCATTCTTGTTCTTGTCGTGTCTCCCCATTCTGGTCGCAACTACTTTTACTTCTTCTTTATCTTTTCCACGTAATCTATTTTCTCAGTCGCAAATTTGCACCAACCGGTTTCCTCATTTCGCCCTGCGGGTGAGTGCACGCGTACCATCGCCGTTTAGATCTGTCAGGGGCATTCGCTTGCTTGCTTGCTTGCTTTCCTTCCTGCCTGGCTTGGCTGTCACCTCGCAAACTCGCCGACGTCACATCATCAATCCATCCATCCCTTCATCACTCTCGCGAGCATCGACACCGACCCGAATAGTCCGCGCACGATCTCGTCTCCACCAGGAATGGCCCTGCCGACCTGCTAATCCGATCCGCCTCCCGTCTCACGCGTCTTCATATCATCACCATCCTCCTCCCAAGTTATCGTCTCCGTCGCCCATCATGCCTCGATCCCGTCCCGCCACGACGGGCTACGAACGCCTCACCCAGGCCGACGACCACAGCGACGACTCCGACGAAGATCCCCTCTCCCAGTCCTACGCCTCCCTCCAGCCCGCTGGCGCGCCCCGACATGTTCACACCTCGCAACCGCGCCATCGCTCCGGCATGGCCAGCCCCAAGTCGTTCTCCACCAGGCCCAAGTTCCGCCAACGCGCTGGCAGCAATGCCGGTGTCGACCTCAAGGCCATCAATGCCCGCCTCGAACGCTGGGCCGATGAGATCGCCTCTCGCTTCAAACGCAAGGGGAAGAACATGGCTGGTGAAGAGGAGCGCCTCGAGATCCACCACTCCGTCTTCCAGGCCCCTGAAGGCGTACGCCCCGTTAGTGCTGAGGGCATTGCCGCGCCTCAGGAGGGTGTCATGACCAAAGACGAGTTCGAGGTCATTGTCGAAAGTGTGAGATCCGCCATCCGGCAAGAAGTACACCCCAGCATGATCTCGCAAGGCAGTTCTGGCAGTTACTTTGCGCGAAACCCCGACGGCAAGATTGTTGGTGTCTTCAAGCCCAAGGATGAAGAGCCATACGCAGCAGGAAACCCCAAGTGGAACAAATGGATTCATCGAAACCTGTTTCCCTGCTGCTTTGGTCGAGCTTGGTATGTCATCCGCCTTCCCCCTATCTATAGCGCGACCTAACATTTTCACAGCCTCATCCCCAATCTCTCCTATGTCAGCGAAGCTGCCGCCTACGTCCTCGACTGTCAATTGCGAACACATCTTGTCCCCTACACCGACGTCGTTTACCTCTCCTCCAAGTCCTTCCATTACCCCTTCTGGGACCGCCGCAAGTTCCACCGCAAGAAGAAGGGTCTGCCCGAGAAACCCGGTAGCTTCCAGGTATTCCTCAAGGGATTCAAGGATGCCAACGTCTTCCTGCGCGAGCATCCTTGGCCCGATCAATACTGGTCCGGCTTCCGTGCAAATGATGGCCAGAAGAAGAAGCGGAGGAGGTGGACAGAGAGTTGTCGTCCATCCAGCGCTGCCTCGCCGGACGATGCGTACGGTAGCGACGACGAGCATGGAGGTCAGGAGGGGACTCCTTTGAGCCCAGATCATTTCGCCTGGACCGAGAACTTGAAAGAGTCTTTCCGAGAGGAGCTCGAGAAGCTAGTTATTCTGGACTATATCATGAGGAACACCGACCGCGGATTAGACAACTGGATGGTCAAGGTCGACTGGGAAGCGGGCAAGGTCTCGGTTGCTTCGGATCCCATCCAGTTGAACATGGAGACGGTCGCAGAGGAAGAAGGCCCTCGCCCCGTTGACCTATCCAACTCGCCTCCCCGCGCCACTCGAGCTTCATATCCCTACAAGGTCCAAAAGCCAATGGATGCTACTAGTCAGCGGCACACCGGACAGGAGCCTGTGATGAGCCTTGGAGCCATTGATAACTCTCTCTCGTGGCCCTGGAAGCACCCAGATGCCTGGAGAAGGTATGAACAACCTTAAGCTCTCGCCACGGAACGGTTAAGCTAACACACACATCTAGTTTTCCATTCGGTTGGCTCTTCCTGCCTGTAGATCTGATCGGGAGACCCTTCTCGCAAAAGACGCGGGACCACTTCCTCCCCTTGCTCACATCCACAGCATGGTGGAGCCAGACCACACTCGCCCTAAAAAAGGTGTTCCAGATGGACGTTGATTTCCAGGAACGCATGTTCGCCAAGCAGATTGCCGTCATGAAGGGCCAAGCCTGGAACGTTGTTGAGACGCTCAAGACCCCCGATCATGGTCCCCTCGAGCTGACACGTCGTGCCAAGGTCTGTGTCTGGGATGATCTTGTCGACGTGCCCGTTGCGGTTCCTATGCAAGCCACGCCATCAGAGGTCCGCCGCAACCCCCACGTCCGCCAGTCTATGGACGAGGCAGACATTGCTAGCTCCGCACCGGCACCAAACGTCCCTGTCACGGACCTCCTCGGCCTCACCAGCCCGCCCGCCGACATGCCCCATCCCGGCCGGTTTGAAATCGCATCTCCCACGAGTGATATTGCCCACTCGCCGCAGGACACGCACATGACCGAATCTAACCACCTGGATCCGGCGGGGCACCCCTTGGAGAGCGGTGATGCGGCTGAACGTCCCTCAATCCAACCCAGTGGGTACAGATCTAGCTACCAAGGCCCGGCCCGCGCCCTCAACATGTACGAGCCCGCGCGCCAGGGACAGCAGCCGCCGCCGCACCGGCAGCGACGGTACTCGTTTGCTCCGGCAGCTGGTCGCCGAAACAGCAGCACCATTGCCCAGCATTTATACGGTGACACGTATGACGCCTACGACGATGATATCGAGGGCGATCTGGGTTACGCTGCGGCTGAAGGCCAGATGGGCAATCACCGCAAGGTCATTGTTGAGCGCCTCGAGGCCGTCAAGAGCAGGAATCCTGTCTTCACGTGGTGTTAAAAGCACATGCTCGCCCCGCGAGAGAGCCTCCACCATACTATCATCTGTTCCCGAGCCGACCGAAAACTCGGCCGATCGTGGCAAGCATTGATTCCTCCTAGCTGCATATACCGTTGTGCATTCGTTCACAATTCCACCTCTCAGATGATCTGTCACATCTACCAGCGTCCCGGTTCGAATCAAGGGAGGTCACATCGCCTCCGAGACTCCTTTTATTATGCATACCTTGCCAATGTCCCTGGACGGGTTTCTTGTTTGGGAGATACCTGCATGATGGCTGCTTACGATCAAAAATTCCAAACACGTACACTGCACTGCATATTCCTTTTTGCCCTCTTGCGCTGCTGCTCTCTTCGGGTATACAGCACGGCTTAGAAAAGGGGGGTAAGCGGGAAGCAGGGGGCAAGCAAACATTCACGCTGATCGCATAGAGTAGAAGATGCGAAGAGGGGGCGCACACTGCCAGAGGGGTGAGTGATGACCTGTCATGTTGTACAATAGTGCTTTTGTTTTTATTTTCCTTCCTCTTCTTTGGTTCTCTTTCGAGGAAGCTCTCACGCGTCTGGGGATTTGGGATGCATTACGACGGTGTGTAGACAAAATGTCTGGTGTTATGAAAGGACAGCAAAATAGAAATGGACCTGGCTTTTTGGATGATTGCCTCTCACAGATTCACCATTCCCTCGTACTTCGTAGATCCCGTTGAGAGCCTTGGTGACTTGACCACAGACAGCTGAGTGGGAGGGGGGGGAGCCGGCTGCGACATGTCAGTGTGGCGCAGGTGGTTGGCTGAGGGTATCATTTTGGGCGCGCCTGTGTGTGGATAATGTGCAAGAACTTCTGAAAGGAGAGGAGAGGGCAAGTCTCGTTTCGAGGCCTTCTTCCCAGCATAGCCCACCGTTTTCCCGACTCTGTGGTCCTAATCCCGAGGGCTTGGGTCGGCAAACGGTCGCTCGAGCAAGGCTCCCCTGTCTCGGCGGGCACCAACAGTTCCCAGCTCCGCGCTCACGCTCGCTCACGGAGCAAAGGTAGCGGCCAGCAACCGTCTAGCACCGTCTAGTACTGGACCGATGGAGACTTTGCGCCTCGGTCGAAGCGAGCTCTCGAGGGAGACCGCGGCTACGCACATCAGCGAGCAAGGATTTGCTTTGCATGTCGCTAACTGTGCCCTTTCGGGGGTCAATGGCAGGGAGCTGGAGCAGGCGTCCTCCTGGCGTGCAGCCTTCCGCAGAGTTCGGCGCGCTCGTCTCCCCCACACCACTCCGTCCTAGCGGGCCGCAGCGGCCGTACAAGATTGGGTGTGGGTACCAGAATCGTGGGACGCCGCAGAGAGTGATAACGTAGCAGCAACTTTGCGCAAATCCGCCTGCCATCCTAATGCAATCCTATCTCGTAATCATTTGCTGATGATATGCGCGGCTTGTTCCGCAACGGGGCGTCCGTGACTTTAGCTTGGGCGCTGTGTTGTTGGCCAGTTGTCAAAGGGAGTTGTTTGCTGGCCCTCTTGACTGGCCCTCCCAGACCTTCACCTTCGCTGGTCTTGGTCTCCATCACACCATCATTCTGTCCAATGTGGACGCGGTAGCGGCGGCTATCCTCTTCCTCCTTCCCACCAGGACTCGTAGTTCAAGTTCTCTGCAGCCTGTTAGAACCCTGCTCCCTGTGGATGTTGCCAAAGGCCAGATGAGGCATGGCGACATTGGGGAGGGCCCTTGTGGGGGATGCGGGAGTAGGGGTAGGGTATGGTAAATGGTTATCCAAGTGAACCCACTGCCAGCACTAACCCTAGACGGCGCCAGAGTCCTGGTTCCAAGCTCGGGTCCATGCCCCAGAGACTGGGAACCAGTATCAGAAGGGATGGCCCGGTTGGGACCAAGAGTCGCGGAGAGCATGGGATTCCGCATACCACACCTTCGTCTCCGTCGGCCGGTGTAGTCGCCGAGCTTGAGCCTTTGAGACACGAAGCGCGACAGCTAACATCATGTTGTCTCATTTGGTTCGAAAGCCTTCGACGCCGCTTCTGACATGGCTGCTCGTATGATGTTCAAAGAAAAGGGAGGTAAACCAGAACCAGCTGACGGGCGGGACAATGGCAATCTGCACAATCGCAAGAGGCTGCGGCCCGATGCAACTTAGCGACCCAGTCCCTACGCCAATGTGGCCATGAGGCCTATTCCTGTCAGCCCCTACCACTAGAAGCCTCCTCCCGTAGGCTGCCTCTGGGTGGTGCATAATATGCCGCTCGCAGTCCGAGGGGCCATCGTCGGCCTGGAAGTGGACACAGGAGGCGGTGAAGGTTGAAGTCTTTTGATCGTGGTCCTGGAATTTCCTTTGCACGACCTTGCCCGGGCCCTGTTTTCCAGAAGGTGGATCGACCTGATACCCCTGAGCCTGGGCGATGTTCAGCCTCGGTGGTAACACTCTTCAGACTCACGACCAGCGGCTCGTTCTTCGGCTGCATCCCCCCATCTGGGCTAGGAAATGCTCATGGACCCCAGGGCAGTGCCACACCACTGCCCTTCATGACGGCTCCTCACTTTCCAGTAACGTCCGGCTTCAAGGATGGCCTGGCAACTTCAGCCCACCTCCTGCCCAAGTCCCAAGTCCATGTCCTCGGTATTGGCACGGCTTGTCGCTGCTCTGTCCACTAACGGGTCTCTTGTTGGCCAAGACGCCCTGTCTTGGCCCCTGCAAGACGTCATCAAACAACCAGTGCCCCTCTTTATGCTGTATCACACAGTTCCCCAAAAGGCACACCCATCAAACAGGATTCGACAGCATCTGTGCGGGGTGTGATGATGCTGTCCTTGGCTTGAAACGATTCGTATTCGTGCCCCTTCTCTTATAACTTGCTCCGGGGCGTCCGTAGATTCTTCAGGTCTCGATACCCTTGCAGGCAATCAACATGGTGGGAAGGCCTCTGTCCAGGTATGGATCCATTTAGGTGGCTCCAATGGGGGGCGACGGGAGGCAAACCCTGGAGCCCAGTGATGCATCTGTGGTTGACCGCAATCATGTCTGGACATGCGGCACACCAACCCCTCCACTTCGAGTGGAACCAATGTCATTGCCCAAACATGGAACAGGGTGGTAAACGAGGCGTACCAATGCGTTCCAGTGAGCTTTGGCTGATTTCATCCCATCGTGACCCGTTACCCCAAGGACCAGACCGAGAACGGCACAAAATCTGTCCCATCTTAGGCAGCTAAGATACCAGACGTGGTTGACGACCTCGCACTTGGCCGCAGTCTGACACTTGCCACATCTACCAAGCACTCGCTGACGCTAATGGTTGCCCTTCTCTGATACCAGGCCCCATCCTATCGGTATTGGGTCATTGCCTATATAGACTAGCTCACAGCCCCAGGTCTCCGGCTGATCCCTGATGCCGAAGTGGGCTCAGAGCTGAGGTGGCAGAACTCAGAGCAAGTTCTAGAGGCGCAATAACGCCCTCGGAGCCCAAGATCGGCGCAATATCTTGAAAATCTGTGCCTTTCGCATCCAATCTAAATGATTCAGAGTCGGTGATCTCTACCTGTTCACGGGAGACCTTTCTCGTGGTTTGTAAGTACAACTCACGGTCGCCGTATGCATGAGCCTCCTTAGACCCAGATATGTCTTTAGAGACTGCATCCCAGCGCCGGGGTGGCTCTTGACGTGTGGACTGGGGCCATGCTCGGGGTACCACCTGACACCTTAGTAACGGATAGTAACCTAAATCGCGCTGAGCAGGAACGTATCCATCCTGATCTATATCGTTAAGTGATAGCCAAGTTCATTTCATACTTGCGAATTTGTCGACACTTGGAAGGTTCCGAATCCCAGCCGCCATTATGGATGCCGAGTAAGAGGATCCTTGGTCGCTAGATGGAGTCTGTCGCTAAGCCCCCTTGAAGAGACGGCACAGTACCCCTTGACGAGACGTTCGCCGAGATTCTCGAATACCATGGCCGGAGTTATCAGCAATATTCCCTGACAAACGCGACATATTTTGTACCCATCGATGAGGTAGGAAACAGAGCCTGCCTTGACCTCGGGTCAGTGCCGATGGAGCCTAACAATTTGGGCCAGGACGAGATTGCACGCCTCGAGTTGATGCACGGAGTGCTCAACAGCGTGTTCGACAACAGACTAATATTCCCTCCTGTTAGGAATCCAAGAAGGATCCTTGACTGCGGATGCGGATCCGGAGACTGGGCCGTGGACGTGGCCGCACAAAACCCCAACGCGGAGGTATGTTGATGCCCTGCTTTTCTGAATTTCACCACCTGCTGCATCGATCCGCATGACACCTGGCCGATCGAATTAAGTCGACAAATCCTTAAACGAAACCGAACACTGCCAACGTCCTCTGCGAACGGTGACGGATCCTAAGGTTGATTTAACCACTTGGAACCAGAGGAGCGCAACCATCCGCAGGGGCGGCTTTGGAGAGGGGAAAGAAGGTTTTTCCGGGGGCATCGAGGGTCGAGATGCTGAAGGGCTTTTCTTTCGAGAGGTTATGTAGTCCAGCCCCATGCATCCAGCTAACAGTGCAATACACAGGTTTTGGGCATAGACGTGAGCCCGCACATGATCCCAGAGAATCCGCCAGACAACCTCGAACTGCAAGTCGACGACCTCAACGCACGGTGAGTTGGCCAACTTTCCGAGGTGACAACCCTTGGCTTAATAGGCGATTCTAAACCAGGTTCACGTTCCGGTCCAACCATTTCGACCTTGTCCACAGCCAAATGATGGCTGGAGGTATCCACGCGAATCGATGGCGAAGCTACATCCGAGATATTTTCCGAGTCCTGCGGCCGGGGGGGTGGTGCCAAATGGTCGAAATATACTTCAACGCTCAATCCGATAACGGAACATTAACCAGAGGCGAGCATATTGGACGCCTAGGATTCAAAGTCCATTGCTGATGAGGAACCTTGAAACAGACCATGCGTTATCGAGGTGGTCGAGGGAGTATTTGCAGAGTGCGCAGCCCTACAAGGACCCTCGGGCACCGCTGCAGCTAGCGAATTGGATGAGGAGCGCGGGTTTCACCGAGATCGAATCAAGGCTGTTGACGCTGCCGATGTGCGCTTGGTCGAATGGTACAGTACCGCGAATTTAACCGACGACGGGAGTATTCTGACGCCGTACGAACACCAGATCCTCGAGACTATAATATCGGTTGGGCGAATAACGAAAATGTGAACTTGATGCTGTACTCGCTGGCGCTGTATCCTTTCACTCAGCTCCTCGGGTGTGTAATCTGTGGCCAGCTGACAAGCTACTTGAGCTGACTGTGCATGGCAGAATGACGTTAACCGACTTCCAACTGCTAATCGCGCAAGCAAGGAGTGAGGCGGGTAACCCGGCCTTCAAGGTGAGAGTTCTCCTGGCTCCCACCCCAAGGTCATTAGAGCGAGAAAGCAACAGAGAGACTAACGGGAGGGCATATGATCCGGAAACCACAGGCGTATTTTCCCATGTAAGTGAACGCTTGTGCAAACCAATAGATAGGTTTCAAGGGCGATGGAGGGATGTTGACTGTTGAACCGCAGCTATGTTTGCATTGGCCGGAAGCCACGTCGATGATCGTTTCGAAAACCAGAACTTGTGAGATGCGGTGGGGCACAATGGATGCCAACGAAGACGAATTGGATATTTCGGGTATGGCGGTGGAAACGGAGTCATTCGCAGCATTCCTGCACCTGGCGTGTGAGGAGGTTGGGCTACCATAGAGGAGAGTCGATGGGTCTCGGACTTGTTTTCGATGAGGTTGAAAGAAGGTTTAGACCGCCGGGGCGAATGCAGGTGGCGCCGGCGGCCGAGACGGGCAGGAACTCGGGGGGTGGGTGTGCGTGGGCGCGCAGGAAGGCAAGTGCCGACGGCGTAAGGCAGGCGCCAAGGAGATGGCAGGAACTATGTGGAACAGGATTTTTTACCAAACCACCAAAGATACCTATGTCCCTCACCTCGGGCACACATTGGGCACGGAGGAGTCTCGTTGGGGCGAGACAACAAGCACAGTAGAAATGAAAGCTGACAAACTGTCGTGTTCCCCTCCCCATTCGAGGTGGCTGCCATTGCTGTCTTATTACTGCCAGGGCCCTGGGACGGTACTGACTGGCCCTGGGAAACTCGCTACCGACAGGACGGGACCCGGTGATTGTAGCAGCTGGAGACTGGGAGACTGCCGTGCCACTCAATTCCCCCTCCAGGTTCAGGGACAGTCCACTAATGTCGAGGCGGAAAGGGGAAGACGGCAGGCGCGGGCCCATCCCGTGCTTCTCGCGAATCCACCATTCGCGACGAACCATAGATACATCGCTTCGACACTCGCATGTCACAAGCTGGCTTACAAGTAGTACTTGAATACGGGAGCCCCTACTCCAGGTACAATGTCCCTCGTCGTTCTCCCACTACCAAGCTTTGGGGAAGCCGAGTGGGATAGATATCGGGAGAAAGAGACTCCAGGGCCGAGTCTCACCTGAGGTGAGGCGGGACGGTGAAGGAGCTGCTTGATATCCAGCACACATCCCAGTGACGCCCGGGCCGATAGTCAAGCTGCCACGGCTCCCCCACTGCGCCATCCCCATCCGATGCCATCCTCAAATCGATCCCTGGGCAGCCGGTCAGCTAGTGCAACCCCTAGCGGGTTGCAATTATCAACGGAAGCGTCCCCCGATCCTAGTCAACCCCGGTCCTCGCATGAGATTGCATGTGCCAAAACGATCAGGTGATTTAGCGCTCTCCGAAGCCTGTCGATCCCCTCAACGTCAAGCCCAATGGCAGGTTTGAGGCATGACAGGAGCGCGGAGATGACGGGTCCCCTTCCCCCACATGTTTCCTCAGGATTTCCAGTCAGCAGACACGTACCAAGGTCTCTAACGAAAATTACCCAAGGCGAATCGCAATCAACATCGTGGCTGTAGATAGATGCCCTGCACCCTGTTGGCAAGATTCGTTGGCCCCAGCGAACCCTGTCTCGTTAGTATTCAGGCATCTACACCGCTAACGCCGGTAAACAGCGGGTTGCATTCCGTGTCTTGTTGGTGGCCAATTGTGCGCCTCGTTCGTCCACCAACATTGCCTCACCTCAGCTACCAACAACCTTGGAAAAGAAATTGGGGCGAAGTGACGACATTAATAGTAACGTGAGCGGTCCGCTCATTGGTGTCCAAAGCGAGGGAAATTAACCAGCAAATCATAATCCAAAGTGTGGACGCTAGGCGTGATGCTGCGTACATGAGAAGTTGTCTCAATAACCAGCCACTCTCTTGGCGTTGTCTCCCCTCGACGATAACGTTATAGCGTCCTTTAACTAAAACGTTAATCAAGGATAGTCAAGTGCTTACACTACCTCTTCGTGGGAGCTAAAATCCCCTTGCTTCACACTTCGAGGTTCTGGAACATCGTAAGGTAATGTCGTATGTCACGGCTGAAAACGTCGTAGCGTACCCTGCACGGGATGGAATATTGGCAATTTTAGTACACGCAACTAATTATCTTTCCTGTAGGTATTATATTATTGATAGTAGCCTACGTCAAACTCGCAAGAAATTTGTTTATTTTCATAGTTGATTGATTTTTAATGGTCTCGCAGCAATAGATGGAGATGGTGAGATGATGTTGCGGTGGGCGTGATGTGGTCAGTCGATTATTACTGGCCAATTGAGCGTAATGATTCTGGCCAGAAATTTTGAGCTCACCCCAAGCTTTGGCTCTCTTCCGCTCAAACCCTCAAACACCTCGCATTGCACCACCTCGCAGCACCCCAATTCCAACAAAACGCCCGCGCATACCGAGCATATCGAGCAATTGATCCATCCACAATGTCATTCAAGCCATCCATGCAACTCCTCCGAGCGCTGCGGGCCCCCCGCCCCAGCAACTCCCTCCGCACGCCTGCGAACCGCGCCTGTCGCTTCTACTCGACTGACGATGCACCACCGCCGTTGCTGTCCAAGCTCAAGGCCGAGCTCAAGACGGCCATGCGCGCCAAGGACGTTCCTCGTTTGGCTGTCCTGCGCGCCATCATGTCCGCCAACCTCAATGCCTCCAAGACCGCGAGCCCCATCCGAACCGACATCCAGCTCGTCGCCCTGATCCGCAAGATCCAGAAGAGCTCCATGGACGCCGTTACGGAAGCCAAGGCCGCCGGCCGTGAGGACTTGGTCCAGAAGGAGGAAGATCAGATCAAGGTGCTGGAGGAATACGTTGCCGGCAGTGGCGTGCAGACGCTCGGTGAGGCTGAGCTCAAGGCTCTGGTGAAGGAGGCCGTCGAGGCGTCCACAGCAGCCGGAATCAACGTCAAGTCTCTCATGGGCGATGTGATGAAGCGCCTGTCTGGTGCCATCGAGGGAAAGGATGTCGACAAGAAGGAGATTGCCAAGATGGTCAAGGAACTGACCGCCTGATTGAGTCGGGTAGAGTAAGGTTGTAAGATATGTACAGTACTGTAGCCAGTGCGACGCTCGGCCAGACACGTCGACCTCTCCACGATTATATATCACGACCTGATGAACAAATGAAGAAAAAAAAACGACTTAGTACGACATGAGGCAACCTCCTGTCGTTATCTTGATCGCAATCGCAAGCTCGGATGTCTTCCGACATGATATGCTGTGCAAGGCCATGGTGCTTGGAAACACCAGCCAGCGCTTAGGTGGCTTCTCAACCTCATGACCTTGAGAACATAGTTTCTTGAGTTATAACAAGTGCAAAATCTCAAGTCAAGTCAAGTCGTTTGGAGTCAATGCCTCGTCCGCTCCGAACCCGACAGGGACCCCACGTGGCGGCCCCGCGATCCGAGCAAGCCAAATGTGGTGGTGCCCCACGCTTCAACGGAGCTACTTACAGTGATAAGTTCCGAAGCTAATCATCGGGATGAGTTATCACGTCTGCGTGTGACTCACATATTGAGTTGGCACTTGAGTTGATCGATCGAGTACAAATACCTCTCTTCTACCCTCCTCTGTTTCAGCTCGAGGCTTCACTTCGTATACCTCACGATCCAGCACACCGCCTGAAGCAACCTGCCATGTCACGCCTGAACATCAGCTCCGGATCTGCCTTCGAGGCCCAGATCGGCTATTCCAGAGCGGTCGTTACCGGAGATTGGGTCTTCGTGAGCGGTACAACTGGGTAACGGGCTTCCTCAACTCGGTGCAATGCCATCAGTAACTTCTAACACCCTCCACGTAGCTACGACTACAAGACAGGTGCCATCTCATCCGATGTCGCCGAGCAGGCTGACCAGACCCTCACCAACATCGCCGCCGCCCTCAAGGATGCAGGCACCTCCATGGCTGATGTCATCCGCGTCAAGTACATCCTTCCTGACCGCGATGACTTTCCCAAGACGTGGCCCATCCTGCAGAAGTGGTTCGGTGATGTTCGTCCCGCCGCGACTATGTTTCAGTCGGCCCTAATGAAGGATGAGATGAAGATTGAGATCGAGGTGACGGCAAGGAAGGGCTGTGGCGGAAAGGGAGACGAGGGGTTGATTGCTGCCATCTAAGTTGAAAGTCAGAACGTAGGATCCAAATGCTTTGGGACAATTACGAGGCCTATGAACATACACAGAATCCAGAGTCTCCCTGTACATCATTAGGACCTTGTAGCGAGATACAATAGTAAAAGCTTGTCTGAAACTACGTATTTTCTTGCAAAAGTACATCGATTTATACAATAGCTTTACCAATTGCTTAAAACAAGCTCAAAATAGAGCACCAAACACCAACACCAGAATCTCAGTTGCCACCCTGACAAGCTTTGCATGATCTCAATTGGCTCTAACAATACCAAACTTTGGGCACTAAGGGTTTACTGCTTGCCCCTTTCTTCATGCACCACTGCGGTGCGAGCTTCTGGAACGCCAGGTACATGGTTATCTTTGTGTGCGGTATGTCATCTCTGTAAGTGTCATCTCTGTAAGAGAAATTGACCAAATACACGGGCAATTGGACACATAAATACTGGAGGGTCTGGAAATATTAGTGTTCTTTCCACTGCAGTTGCCACGTGGGCCTAGTCTCACTCGACAACGACATAACTTGAAGTGCGCCACCATTTTACCTAGTTTACCAGACTCCCAGAGGAGGGCGCGCCGAAGTTCGACACCTTTCTGCCTTGTCAGAACGCTATTAAGAAGTACTCCTGTTGGACATGGTAAATTCCAGTGTGTAACCCTTGAAGCTCATACTTTTATAAACAGCTAAAGCACACCCATACCACTTGTCACATACGACATCTTGAAGTATTAATTTCATGCTTATGCTAGTCTCTAAGAACAAAGGAAATTTGGCACCGGTCGCAATCGTACATCCCCAACTATCTGCTCATCTAATTGTGGACTAGAGGAGCAATCAAGCCTCCAGCAGCAAACAAAGACACAATCGTGAGAAGACTTGACGTTGACAGCAACGACAACCCGCTAACACCATGACCAGAAGTGCACCCTCCTGCAATCCTGGATCCTATCGCCATCAGAAACCCACCAGCCACGGCCAAGCCTGGTGCTGTCTCGATGACCTTGCCTCCTACCAAGGAGGGGAAGTTCTGTCCTAGAACCCAAGCGCCCATCGCTGCTCCCGTCGCAAACAGCAAGTTCTGGCGGCTGCTTGGCCAGGAGTTCGCGTCGGCGCCCTTGACCAGCCACCAAAAGTGGTTACCGATCTCTTCGAACGAGGTCGACACTCCCAGCATGGACTTTCGGGCGAGTATCGAGAATAGTTGAGCAAAGCCGAGGAAGAGGCCACTTCCTGCGGAGAATAGTGTCCAATCTGAGGAGCCGTTGGTGAAGAGGACTGAGGCGGCGATGACCGACAAGGCAATAGCCTCGAAAATGAAAATAGTTGAGCCCTTCGAGATGCCGAGCTGTTCGTCAAGTGACACGACCTGAGGCTTAGCGCCTGTCTTTTCCTTCTGCCACTTGATGGCCTTGGAAACGAGCCCGATGTGCACAATTCCTCCAAGGATACCTCCTCCCAAAGCATAAAACCCAGTCTGGAACCCCAGTCCTGACTGAGCGAACATGGTACCCGGACAAGATCCAGAAATGGCCATGCCGGCCCCGAGCATGGAGCCGCCTATGATGTTTCCGTCGTACTGGGAAAAGAGGCCAATCGGGGAGGAGGCGCGAGGCTTGAGGTCGACATATTTGAGACTCTCGGCAACCTTGTAAACAACACTATATTCTCGTTTAGCAGATAAAACCGGAGAAAGAAAGGTGGTATGGGCTCACACGCTGCTGGCCGTTGCGCCGAGGAAAGTCTGCAGCATGTGCCAGTCCTCAAACTTGAACTGTGAGATGATGGTAGCCGGTTGGACGATGCCGGCGGCCACTGTAGCGGCGCCAAAAACTGCGCCCGATAGTAGAGTAGTCATGGTGAGTGAGTCGGTTGTGTGGATGTGATTTAGGGGCCGACAAACTCAAACTCAGAGCAAGAAAGCAATGCCTTAAGTACAGACGTCAAGGCAGAAAAGACTCGACTCTACAGTGATCACCGAGGTGGCCAGATGTATAAGCCGCTCACAAATCAGTCCAGGGTGTACTTGAAAGGAGGACGCTGGGTCGCCGAAGCAAGCAAGGGTACCGCGGAAAATCTAGAGCGGGAGTCATGGGGAATAGGAAGACAGGCCAAGCAGGTCCGCACCAGGTCCGCTAGCGCGGGATCGGGGATGAGGTGATGCCATCTGCGAAGGAGATGATGAATTGAAAAAACGGGGACTCGGGAGCTTCTCAGCCAAGCATTTGTTTTGCTTGTAAAGGTTGCCACTCTAAGTCGGGGGGGGGGGCACATGGTCTGCGGCTAAGGCTACTCCGAGGTACTGGTTTTTTGCCAACAATCATGGCCAGATTCACTTTGTTCTGGAGAATTGGAAGAACGGCGACATGCCGAGTACGCGCGTCGTGGAGATTATTCACACCTGCAATAACGCAACCAAGCAACGCGGTGCGCGGTGCGACGAGTTATCAGGGTTTCCACGTGTCGTTGAAAGTCCGCCGCGCGAGAGCCGACATGCACACGTAATGAATAAAGTGCTGACCAGCGACATCCGACAGCGAGCATGGGGGCCCTGGACGCCAACCACTACGAACGCCGACGTCACGGATGTTTTGACCGGGACGATCGGTGACAGTCGGTGACAATCGGGGACCTCGGGGACCTTTCCCCAGGTACCCGAAGAGATCGGATTAGATATACAGAGCACCAGCCATGGCCCCCCGCTGCTGTGTGTGGTCATTGGTCCACTGGAAAACTTCTCTCTGTCCAAGACCGATCTGGCTTGGCCACTTCGGGAACTTGGAGTGCTATCGCGGGGAGTACGGGAGGATCACCCCCGAAAGCCAAGACTGTAGCCAAGATTGATGCCCGGAATCAATGCCCTCCCTTATAAATGGCTTCCCGTCACGCTTGTTAGATACCCTTCCTTGTCCTTCCTTCCACCCTACTACTACTAGATGAAATGACCACCAAATGCTTCCACTGTGTGCGGCAACCTCTGCATCAGCACCAGAGAGGATACAGTTGGGACTGAAGAGTTGTACAAATCTTGCCTACCAGAAGTCTCCAATCCTGGTCTCAATCGCCACACTATGTCAAGCGTCGACGTATCTAGAAGTTGGCGTTTTTGCTTTCTACACTTTACCGTGTTTTCATGTCACCAAAAGACCATGAGATACATAAGGTAAACCTAAGAGAAATTTCGGCATAATCAAACTATCCAAGAGAAACTAATCCTGCTGTCGCCGAAATGGAAGTGAAGATTGACGCCTGCATGGCGGTGCGCTATAGGGTAAGTCCAGCTTAACGAAACGCAGATGATCGCTCAGCGTTCCGGCAAGAAGTTATCAGTGCTGTTCATCTGGGAACCACTTTGGATAATATACCTTTTGATGTTGAATAAAATTGGCGAATATAACCGAAACAATGACAACTTGAGCTATCTAGGTTCTGCTGGCGGAGACAAGGCATCTGTCTGTGTTCAGGGTATAAACGGTTGGCCAAGGAGATATGGGATACGCCTAACATTTTCTCCCGGTTGCGCGACTTCGACATATGACATGGACTCACTGCACCAAGACCTATTTGGCATGTCGCCAATCGACGACTCTACCTTCGAGACCCAAAACACCCCTTCCACTTGGGTGGATTCGTTGGGCAGCCCTTGCGTCCACTGTTTGGAACTCGGACGTCGGTGCCCGCGATGTCGTTTAAGCTCCTCACACATGGCTACCAGGAAATCACAGACAATCCCCAATTAGAGCTTGACTGTCACCGATCGGATGATATATCCCACAGCGCCAAGAAAGAAGGAATACACCCACGTCTTGGACTCACCAGGGTGAGCTTGCCCGCAGACCAATCCCGTGAGGAGCATGATAGATCCACAGAGGAAGACTCGCAGAGTTGCATGGCCAAGGAGCTGCAATACGGAAGCGACGTGTTGTTCCACTGCTCCCAATGCACCACACAGTCGGGCTGCAAATATAGCCAGCCTGGCCACTTGCTGGAGGAGCTACAGTAAGATTGCCATGGCGGAAACTCAAGGATTTAACCGCAATACGGTAGAGGAATCCAGTAGCAATACGAAGACTGTCGATGCGATTGCTTCAGGACGGAACCGCAGTATGGAGGGGAAATACGATCGGTCCGTTTCCCATGGAGTAGAAGTTCAAGTTGCAAATGCTGCGGCTGTCATTGTAGTCGCTCAAGGGAGGAGCCTAAATACGGGAGAGAAGTACAACCACGTTGCTTCCCATCTTCGAACTGCGGTTACTCTCAATGCGGCCACTCGAAGAAAGAACCACAATACACGCAGCAAGTGTGGCTGCGCTCGTCCGGAAGGCTACAGCTCGACCATCATTATATCGTTTGGGAAAGGGGTTTGGATGGCATCGCCCTGTCCGACCTCTATAGAAACTGGCGCCGTCGAAGAATTTTGTGCCTGACAGACCGAGAAATATGTTTTGGTATTTCGTTGCAGACCGGATCATAGGCGTCTTCTCGTGGTGTTGTAAAAGCCTGCCCCATGAGAGAGAAGAAGACATTTTGGACTAGATGCAACCCTTGGCTTTGCGCCCTGGGGAAATGATCTCAAATATGACAATACTGTACCCGCTATCTTATATAATCCATATGTCAAGCAGTATTCATGGGTTGTTTCGTCAACCAGGCGGCGGGAAAGCGGCTTCCGTAGAATCTGCCCAGGTTTGGTTTGGCTATCGACTCCATATAGATGTCTCACGACTACACTTGCTCATGGATAACTAAAGCTCAGTAGAATGAGGCAAGAACACTGAAAATTAACACTAAACACGTACCTAGGTACCTCTGCCTTGAGAAGTTGTCAAACTTCCTGCGCCAGGCATTGTAGTGGACTTCTTTTTGGATACTTCTTTCTATTTTGGATATCAATATTTGTTTTTTAATCCTTTTAGCTATCATGAAATTTGTGCATGATTTTAGTCTCCCCGGCGGTGGCGCCTCCGAATATGTGACGGTGATTGAATCGAAAAGATTCCATTCATCACATCCCCGATGCGCGGCAGCAACCGAGAGAATAGCTGGATAGGGACCAACCATTGTTCGGTAACGGAATAGAAGACTAGTATACCACGAAGGGGCGAGAGGACGCAATGAAATGACACGGTGTGGGTAGCATTAGAGATAATATCAATAAAAACTAGATGCAACGTTTTCGTAGATAGACCATTGGGTTTTAGTGTCGATAGTTCGTCATTGTGTCACTTCGAGAGCCATAGCCTTGACATCTCCAGCCAAGGAAATTCCAGCATTTGCCCGCGCCCCTCTCAAAGTGCCGGTATGTACTCTGGGTATTATTTACTCTGGCGTTTCTTATTCCCAGAGAAAGACATAGCCGGACTCCGTCCCGGGTGTCCGACTTTGGTGCCGTGACTGGGCCGGTAGTAAAGTGTCTGTCACCACGGGCGATTAGAGAACAAGATGCAACTTTACTTGGAGAATCCAAGTATACAGACATAGCTTCCGTATGATAACCAAGGAGTCATCGAGATTAATGCATTGAACAATTCGTACTAAATGCAAAGCCCAATTATAGAGAATCCAAGTTGTCGGCTGGTATGGCCGTTTCTGGAAGTGTGACACGCCCGAAAGAAAAGCCGAGGTTGGCCCTCCCCGCGTTCACGGCGGTGGTGATGCGGGGATTGGGCCGTCGGCTCAATCTTTACGGCATCGAGCCTCCGTCCCCGTCACCGATAGCGGCTGGATTAGTAAAGCTCCAACTTACCCGGAGTATATCATAAAGCGAGTGTACGGCATCGTCGGATTAGCTGTATTATTCAACATCGGCAGTGGTATTGGACTCTCCAGAATACCTCTAGAAGAAAAACGCAAGCAACAATGCCTCGGGCTCTCACTCTCAAGCACATCGAAGGCGCCAAGCCGGGCCAGGTCTACTACCCGTGAGACCCCAACCCATTCCTCAAATTACCATTCATATCGCTGACAATAAATGCCAGTCTCCAGATCAAAGAGGTCCCCAAGCCGACCCCGGGCCCCAATGAAGTCTTGGTCCGCCTCTCTACCGCCGCGCTGAACCACCGGGACCTGTTCATACGCCGCCATCTCTATCCTGCCATCTCGTTCACCAATCCACTGTTGGCTGATGGATACGGCACCGTCGTAGCCATTGGCTCGGCCGTGACGCGGAAGAACTTGCTCAACGCGCCCGTCATCCTCGCCCCTATGCGCGGCTGGGAGTCAGACCCTGCCGCCCCCGAGGATAGTCGTAAGTTCACTGTCACGGGCGGTTCCAAGCTCACCGAGGTTGGTACTGCGCAAGACTACATTGCCGTGTCTGAAGACGAGGTCGAACCTGCGCCGGAGCACCTGACGCCCGCTGAGGGTGCTGCCCTGCCTCTCGTTGGCCTCACGGGCTGGCGTGCCTTGGTCACCAAGAGCAATGCTGCTTTCCCTGGGGCCAACATTCTCCTGACGGGCATTGGTGGCGGCGTTGCCTTGCAGGTGCTGCAGTTCGCTGTCGGCTTCGGGTGTAACGTCTTTGTGACCTCGGGTGACGAGGCCAAGCTCAAGAAGGCCAAAGAGATGGGCGCTAAGGGAGGTGTTAGCTACCGTAAAGACGGCTGGGAGAAGGAACTCCGGGAACTTCTGCCCGCTGATCGGCCATATCTAGACGCCGTGATCGACGGCGCAGGCGGTAATGTTGTGGGCAAGACGATACGGCTCCTCAAGGCTGGCGGTGTCATCGCACAGTACGGCATGACGGTATCACCCAAGATGGACTGGCTCATGTCGGCGGTGTTGGCCAACGTGGAGCTCAAGGGATCGACGATGGGCTCACGCAAAGAGTTTCGGGACATGATTGCTTTTGTCAATGAGAAGAAGATCCGCCCCATCGTCAGCCGGACTGTCAAGGGACTGGACAACCTTACCGAGATTGACGGCTTGTTCAAAGATATGGACGAGGGAAAGCAGTTTGGAAAACTGGTCATTGAGATTGCTTCCGGTGGTGACTCTCCGTCGAAGCTTTGAAGGGGGGAAAGGCGTTGGGAAAGTGAGTAAGCACAGGGACAAGGACTGGATGTCAGGTAGCATGCATTTCGAGGAATCGTAATATTCAACTAGGAAATTGAAGAACGCCAAAGTAAATTTTAAGGGTATCAGACACCTCAATAGCCCATTTGTAATGGGATTGCAACTCACTCCGGTTGCCCACCTAGATAGACACAAGCCCATCCTACGCCTACTCCTCAGACTTCTTCCGCTTCTTCTTTGGTCGACCACCCTCTTCGGGAGGCACAAACTCAGCCTCTCGCTCCTTAACCTTCTCCTCCTTGCGGCTCTTCTGTTTCTCCTTGCGCTCGTTCTGTGCGGCTCGGTCCTTAGCCTCCTTGCCGAGGAAGTATTCGCCACTCTCGATCTGCATATCCACCTTGCTCTTCTCGGGCGCAGGCGGGAAGGGCGTGTACACCTTCTTGCTCTTGTCGGTGACGTTGAGTGGCACACGGCGTGCGCTCAGGCTCTTCTTCTTGAAGTTGGGGAGAAAGCGGTCCCAGCTCTCGTTGGCGAGCTCAGGGTCCTTTGCGAGCTCGCGCTTGATCATGAGCTCCTTGATGTGGTAGATGGGGTGGATGTTGGCCATGCAGTCCTCGACGACTCTTCGCATTTCTTTCAGACCCTTGTAAGGGCCCATAGCTGACACGGTGTTGCCATGGACGAGGATGTATGTCTGGGTGAGCAGCTCAAGCGCCTTGAGGGTCGAGCCGTTGGGACCGAGGATTCGTTGGCGGCGTTTCACGAATCTGTCCTTGTTTCGCACAAGGTTTCGGATCTTGATGATGTCGCAGGCAACGCCATCCTCGAGGATCTTGACGGCCTGGGGCGCGGGGACGCTTCGAGCCAACAGCTTGATTAGGTCGCGTGCGTTGAGGATGGAGGCGGGGTCAAAGGTTTTCCGGGTCGTCTTGACAGTCATTGAACCCTCGACCAAATCTAGGGTGCAGGCGATGCCGGTCTTCTCGAGGGCTCGGGTGACGAGAGGCCAGGCCTCCTTGAGGTAGATTTCGCGATACTTGGGGAAGAGGGTCGCAAACGACGATTCCTCGGCAAAGGTGCCGCCAACATTGTCCTTCGGGGTGAAAGCCTCGATCTTCCACTTATCGATATCGTCCGTATCCCACGGCTTCGGCTTCTCGTGCGTGGATGGCATTTTAACGGTGTCGCTCCTGGGCCAGTTGAGTGTGGAACGATGGAAAGTTGAGCAGAAGAATTTGTGACGGCTGGTAACAAGTCTCCCAAGTTTTTTTTCTGATGCAAAGGATCCCAGGTTGGCTTGCGGAGTGGGGGCCGCTTAATGTGGGGGATGGGAGGACCCCTGGCGTGAGCCAATCATGACGCCAATGCGTCGGTCTCGAATTTCTTCAGTTTGCAACAGCATCACTCCGAAGCCTCGTGAGCAGCAAGGTCTCGTGCAATCCCACAACCACCGCCAAAATGTCCAAGGGTCGCGCAGCCGGAGGAGTCGACCAGATCGTCAAGCTGATCGTGGGAGCCGGCCAGGCCAGCCCCAGTCCCCCCGTCGGCCCCGCGCTGGGCAGCAAAGGTGTCAAGTCCATGGACTTTTGCAAGGTGCGCAACCATCGCCACGAGCCGTCGAGGCGTGCTGGGGAGCCAGCTTAAGGTCAATCGCTAACTCGAAAATCAGGAGTTCAATGCTCGAACCGCACACATCACAGTAGGCACGCCGGTGCCCTGCAAGGTTGTTGTCCGCCCCGACCGATCATTCCACTTCGACATCCGCACGCCGCACACGTCGTGGCTGCTCCTCAATGCCGCCCAAGCTCCTACGAACAAGAAGGGAAACCGAAAGGGCGCGAGCAAACCTGGTCACGAGACCATTGGCAACGTCAGCCTCAAGCACATCTACGAGATCGCCAAGATTAAGCAGACCGAGCTGCGTCTCTCTGGACTGTCCCTCGAATCACTGTCTAGGTCCATTATCTACCAGGCAAAGTCGATAGGAATTAATGTGGTGGCATGATGCGAGCGTTTGGGAAGCTGGGCATGGAGTTGGGATATGAGCCATGGGCGTATATAGAACCACCTGCGACCAGATGTCGAATATGTACAACAGAGTATGAATGAAACGGCACCGGCTAGGATGAGAATGTACGAGTTGATCTGCCCACTGAGTTTCCGGGACCGCCGGAGCATTTGCGTGTCTTGCTCGGCTAGGCGGCCACTGACGAATAGGTTGCATCATGCGCTGGCATCGGTACTTGATAAGGATAAAAAGGATCAATCAGCATTGCACCCAAACACGTGTTACCTAGGTAGCTTCGAAACCAATTGATGAGCAGGCAGACAAAAACGTGCAGTCAGCGTCATTGATGTGCTCAACAAGCAGAGTACATGGTTGTCCTTTGATGCTTACATGGCCCACTTTACGCATGGGACGCAGACTTCCTGGTATTGTCCCAAATTGGGAGAAAATTACATGCAAGCAACTACATAGTATGGCTTGCCTGGCACCTCATACAGCTTGGCATTGAAAATGGTAAGTAGAAGGATCTGTTCCTGGATCGTCGGGTCCCAAGGCCGTAAACCAGCGCCGATCCATTCATTAAGGCATTTATGGGTCCCTCGGTTATGATTACAACGACGAGGTTCAGTGGCTCCTTTGGAGAAATTGGAATGAAAGGCTCCGAGACCCAGAAATACAAGACCGGAAATAGAATCAAGGGTCCGGTAAAGGTGGCCCACCACCCGACTGAGACAGAGAAAAGAGCGTCACGATATTCGCCATGACTTGCCGAGAATTTCTTCCGACCTTGTACCTAATTAGTTACGCCTGCGATGGCGGGCAATTCTCGAGCTAGTCCGTGGCCGGAACATCGGCGAGCGAATCGAGACAGCCTTACGGCTCGTGGATTCGAGTCTAGAAGCCTTCCATTTTGGCCACCGGCTGCAACCAGGAAGAACCAACAACCCGATGATGGCGGAAAAGGCCAGGGTGAAATGTTATGATTGCCAGGTAATTGTGTTTCAGAGAACAGACCATATTGGGCACATCAGGCGGCAAAGTAACATGCTTTTGCCAGCCCTGACAAGGACGAAGTCTGACGGACAGTTGGTGGAGCCTGACCAGCCAGGGCCAGTCTAAAAAGTGACCAAAAAAGTGACCAGAAACTCGGCCGGTTCATGTCACCGCAGCTCCGGTAGCACCGCCACCGCGACCCGTCATTCTCAATTGAGGGTACACCTATATGACACACATGAAGATTTTTCTCTCTTTTACTTGTGGCGGATTATGGATGTGCATGACGAGCTACGCCGACCATGGTACACGCTGGTTTGTGGCCAAGTCGTCAAGGCGATGGATGGTTGTAATTATTGAATGCGAGCGAGACACATGTGGGGAATTGGAACCCTGGAAAGGCGCTGAACTATTAGACGTGATATTATACCACAAGCCCGCTATCCGCTATCACAGCAGGTGCACACAGTGACACAGGTGCTGCGTCGGTGGTGCATCTGGCGTCTGGGATCGACCGGGGCGTAAGATATGCTCCCAAATGGGGCAAGCCGATGGAAGGATTCGGGTGTATTCCGCGGTTGGCCGTGCTGAAGGTTTTCGGAGTCTCATGTGTACCCGACGTCGGCCGCGACATGGCGCCGTCCCCACGACGGCCAAGCACACCTGAGATGGGGAGTTGACGAGTCATCTAATTCCGTACCCAAAAAGAAATGCCCGTCCATCGCATCGTCCATGGGACAATGTCGCCGCTGCCAGGAAAAAATTTGCTGCAAGGAGCCCTTGCTAGGCCATGCGCTGGGACCAAGGGGACCAACTTGAGTGCCTGTAGTGCAGTCGAATAAGGTCGTCGAGTGGCTACATGCGTACGACCAAGACGCAAGGCACTTCCTGTCTCGGCACAGGTCGCAGCGGCCCGATGTATAGCCACCCACTTGCAACGTGGGAGGCGTACATGGAACCGCGCTGCGGCGTGCGTGTTGGGCGCGAGCTCGAACGAATTACTGCAGGGCTGGGAAAAAGTCGTGAACCATGGGGATGGCATGGGGATCGGTTGGTGGTGGTGTTGGACGCGAAACCAGTACCAGTCGCTCCAAGGTACATGACGGTACGATCTAGCGCGCCTCTAGTTCTTTCTAGTACTGTAGAATACCGCAGTGGTACGTGCTAGCCTTTGACTCCCTTGGGTGTGAATGAGCCGTGGGTGCGCATGGGATACGGTGGGAGCCAGAAGGAGGAGGTGGATGCCCCACCACGGCCACCAGCAGCTTTTATCATCGGTCGTCGCAAGTCTTGCTCAACTTCACTTCTCCTCCAAATCCTCCCGTCCCACTCCTCGCCCGCGCCTCCGTCCTGGAACGTCTCCCCGTCTCCGGCATCGACTTCTATCCGATGGCTCCTCCATCTCCCCTCGGCGAGCATTCCTCCGCGGAGGGCGTCTCTGGTGAGTTTCTCATCCGGCCATGCCGGGTTGTGAGCTGCCCCACCTTGGCTCTCACGCGGGCGCATCGGCCATCAACCATCGATGCTTGAGGTGATCGCAATCGCTGACCTTTGCTTGCGATACAGCTCCCGAGCCTTCCCAAAAGCCTGCAGATTCGTCCAACACCAAACACAAGATGAACGATGACGATGCTGGCGTGCGTTTCTCCGCCACCGTCGAGATAACCCCCGCCGTCTCCGCCGCAACCATTGTCAATGAACCGTCAACCGACCCGGCCGAGCGGGACGAGTCGAGCTCCTTCACTGAGGTCGCCGCCGACCAGCTGCAGGCCTTCACCAAGTCGCTCCATGGCCGTTCCCTTCAAGAGCTGCGGATGAATACTTGCCATTTTGAAGCTTTCTCGCTTCCACCCTCCAGAGTATGTGACCTCGTGCCCCTCTTTTCAAACAGACGGGTTGCTTTGGCACCCTCCACCATGTGCTGTTGGTTCAGATCTCACCAACTGGTACACTGTGTACTTGCTTTTCCTCCATCTCTGGGCCGAGTTGCTTATCCCGGAGTTAAATCCGTCGAATCGCATCTTTCTCACACAAGTCCAAGCTTGCTGATGCTGACTGTCATCGTTCTTAGGTCCCATCTCATGAAGACGAGTCCGGCCCTTCCACCAGGTTAACAACTCCCACCTCCGCACACTTCCAATCCCCTCACGGCAGCCCGAGACTCTCCGCGTTGGCGTCTCCCCCTCTCACTCCGGCTGGATCCAGCCAACCCGGCATCGACAAGGTCGCCAAGGACGGCACAAGTGTACCGACCGTTCATGAACCACCGACAATTACCCCTCAACCGTCGTCATCTCAAGATAGGCCCTCGCCAGCTCCCGAGAGGAGACCCACTGGCCAGCGAACCACTTCAGATCATTCTATCCGAAGAGCTTCATCGGCTGAGGAGAGAAATAAGTCGTCGCATCGACGAGGAATGTTTGGTGTGGGACCTGGCTCCGTGCCTGCTTCCCGAGACTCAAGCCCCTCCCGGAGCTCTGCGTCGAATTTCTATTCCAAGCCCGTAACCCCTGGCGGTGATCTCAATGATCCATATGCCAAAGGACGCCGTCCGCCGCCACCACAGGCTGCCACCAAACACTCAATCGACCCTCGATTTGTTTTTTCTAGAAAGAAGAAGCACAGCTCCCCGCATACATCGAAAGCAAGCTTGTCTGACAAGCGTGGATCTACTTTCTTTGGCAGCGTAAAGGGCAGCACCGATGATCTCACACACGGTGATAGCACCGCCAGTCACGGTCACCCTGGCCCACATGGATCCATGGCGGACCTGAAGCGCTTCTTCAGGAAGCCAGGACACAGCCACCACAGCAAGAAGAGGGACTCGTCACCAGCACCGACCGTGTCAGGAACGAAAACACCACCAAGTTCTCGATCCACTCAGCAGTTACCTTTTGGAGATGACCATGGCCTCTCCTCGCGGTATGGCAAATTGGGAAAATTCTTGGGATCTGGAGCGGGTGGCTCGGTTAGGCTTATGAAGCGCAAAGATGACGGAACCGTGTTTGCTGTCAAGGAATTCCGTGCCAGACACACGTACGAAACCGAGAAGGAGTATAACAAGAAGGTCACGGCTGAGTTTTGTGTCGGGTCTACCCTCCACCACGGCAACATCATCGAGACATTGGATATCCTGCAAGAGAAAGGCCGTTGGTACGAAGTCATGGAGTATGCGCCATTCGATCTCTTTGCCATTGTCATGACAGGGAAGATGTCGCGGGAGGAGATAACGTGCGCTTTCCTGCAGATTCTGAACGGAGTGACGTACCTGCACAGCGTGGGTCTTGCTCATCGCGACCTGAAATTGGACAACGTCGTCGTGAGCGGTAAGGGCATCATGAAGATTATCGATTTCGGTAGTGCCCACGTCTTCAAGTATCCTTTTGAGACCGAGACGGTCCCCGCCAAAGGTACGTTTAGTACACACATTTGATGAGAAAATAGCAATTGGCTAACAATCATACAGGCATTGTTGGATCTGACCCCTACCTCGCCCCGGAAGTTTACGATTCTAAGGAATACGACGCTGTGGCGGTGGACATCTGGTCTCTCGCCATCATCTTCTGCTGCATGACGCTCCGCCGATTCCCCTGGAAGCTCCCCCGTATGACGGATAACTCTTTTAAGCTATTCGCTGCCGACCCGACCCCGGGACACGACCCCAAGAAGCTGATCATGCCGTCCAAGTCGACTAATGACTTGACCACCACACCGGCACGGGATTTTATCCCAGAGGATATTGGAAAGGACAAGCACCACCACCACGAGAAGCACGATCGTAAGGAAGAGGGAACCGCCAACCAGCCAGCTCCTGCAAGCGCCCCGCAACCCGCCGGAACAACAAGTAGTGGGACGACCGAGAAGAAGGAAACCATCAAGGGTCCATGGCGTATTCTGCGGCTGCTCCCCAGGGAGAGCAGACACATCGTCAGCCGGATGCTTGAGATCGACCCCAAAACTCGAGTTCGAATGGACGAAATCCTGCAAGAGCCGTGGGTTGCAGACACGGTAATTTGCCAGCAGTTTGACCACGGCGAGGTCATCCCAGCTGAGGACCACACGCACACTCTTGAGCCGCCAGCCAATCAGCAGCCAGGACACAAGGCATAGTGGCCTAGAAGGAGATGAGACTCAACAGGGACAGGAGAGATTCGCAGCGGGCATTTTCATAGGAATCTGGCGTTTGGAGAAGGATTGCTGGGTAGCCAACAAATTGGGGTTATGGATGGAAGCGGATTCGTACATTGACGTTCATGACATAGCTTGGTAGCAGCGCACGATCACAGATAGATGTTGGAACAGCAATTGGGGGCAAGGAAGCGGTGTCAGCCGGTCGGTAATAGGATGATTAGTATATTTGACACCAGCGTTAGAAGATAGTCACCAATCCTAGTAACAGAGAAGCGATTTCGAATGCAAATGCGGCACAAGGATTGGGTGAGTCGGCAAGAAGCACTCTAGCTCGACATTTGAGGCACGTGAATGGTTAGGTCTGTGACGTCGGGATGGGATGCCGGCGGTCTCGGAGCCGGGGAAATCCAGAGCCGAGCTTGGGGGAAAAAATTGCTGGCCATTCTTCTGGAAGCTGTTGGAAAGCAAGGTCCACCCCCGATTTGAACCCCATTGAACAACACTCTTCCCCGAACACCACTCATTCTCGATCCTCATTACGACTCTACGAACTTCCTCCGTGTTATTTCGATCTCACACAACTCAATCACAATGGTGCGTACATCTAATTTTCCCCCCTGCCCGCAAGCGTCCGCAAGGGGGGTTGCCGAGGGGTAGCTTCTTCGAAAGACATTTGGCGTCACTTCCTCGGCAATTGAATTGTTTGTCGAGAGGGTCAATGGACCACAAGACATGCAGACGATGAAGCAGAGAAGAGGAAGAAGACTCGAGCTGACCGAATTGTGCACTACAGGCCACCTCTATTCGATCCATCCGAGCTCTCGCTCCCCTCCTTGACCGTGTCCTGGTCCAGCGTGTCAAGGCCGAGGCCAAGACCGCCAGCGGCATCTTCCTGCCCGAGTCCAGCGTTGAGAAGCTCAACGAGGCCAAGGTTGTGGCTGTCGGCCCCGGTGCCCTCGACAAGAAGGGCAACCGATTGCCCATGGGTGTTGCCATTGGTGACCGCGTCCTGATCCCCCAGGTATGATGACAAATGACGCTGCTCCAGCGTCTACAAGGGAACATTAAAAAGTTGAGAATGGCTGTGCTAACGTGGTTGCAGTTCGGTGGCTCGCCCGTCAAGGCCGGTGAGGAGGAGTACCAGTTGTTCCGCGACAGCGAGTGAGTAACCGCCTAGCTTCCAAGCCACTCGCATGATCCCCGACCCATAATCACGATACTAACGAAGAATCTCTCTGTAGGATCCTGGCCAAGATTAACGAATAAGATACCCCCGATCCACGTTGGGCCAGAGTGTACCATACTGTACCATAGCGAAGCGACAGCTGTTGTCGAAGATGGGGCAAAGTGTGGCGGGCCTTCTTTCGCCGAAGAGGCTACGGGGTGGAGAGGGGATGTTGGATATGTAAAGTAGGTGTGGGAAAAACAAGACCAGTCATCCCTGGTACGACTTGACGTGTAGGAGAAAGACGGTTGGAGATGCCCCAACCCTGTTGCCGCAAACCATCATGTTGGTCGCGCAGAAAAGCTCGGTTTCAATCTCCACTCTTGCATTTTGCCCTTTCAACCTCAGACATGTCTTCGAATCGGTGCATGGTGACCCGAGACATCGGAAAGTCCATATAATGTGATGTGATGTGACGTGAGGGAAAACAAAAGCTCGCCTAATCCGTACGAAGGGAAGTTTCGCAGCGCTCCGCAGAAGCCAACAGCAACAGCCACAGGGCGGACGAGGGACGGCACTTCCGTGCTCCGTCGAAACGCAGGGGGGATCGCATCCATTGGCTCGCAGGCCGCGATGATCGTGCAGCGTCAATGGCCCCAGGTCACAATGCATCTATGGTCAGAGGGGCCGCGGCCATTTCTCCTACACTCTGCATTTAGGTTGTGGGCCAGGACAGGCCAGAGCGCAAGGCGGCTGCGGCTGCGGCGGTATTTGTGCTGCAGAACAGCATGCTTCTTGTTTCGTTTTGTTTGTTCGTTAGGTAGCCCCTGAGGTGAGGGAGGGATCATTGCTATACTTTGGGAGGCGCTCGCAAGTAAAGTACATTTATGGGGACATTGTGTTGCCTTGGCTTGCGAACTACGACGACGAGGCAAGGGTATTGGAGCGGGGAATAAGAGATGGGACGAGGTATTGAGAGTGAGAGAGAGAATGGCTGTACATTGTCGGCACTTGGATTGGATTGAGAGCTGCGCGGTGTCATGGATGGAGCCAATTGGGGGGGGGGGGGGGTCAAGGGAAATTCACAAGCAATGAGCCAAGCGCTCAATCTCTCCATTGCAGGCTCCAACCAACAGGCAGGAAGCCGTACTGGGATCATGGGCAGAAGCTAGACTGTGCCAGTTGTCATTGACGGGGGATCGCTACAACACACAACTTAGCGAATGCGTGGGAGCTGGGAACTGGGAAGCAATGGGAGATGGGATGACAGCGGAACTTGTTGCCGCAAGTTGCCTGCGTAGATCCTCCTGCTTCCGGGTGACGTACTTCGTCCGCTAGGCTTGAGTCTTTGGCAGGTCCCGGGTTTGAAGTTTGGGGTTTGGGGCGAAGGGGGAAGCATGGATGCTGCGGCCCCTGGCTTCATTAGCTGAGGTGAGGCCCGTGAGGGAGAGGATCCATCTGACAGATGGGATAGACTCTGAGCCTGATCCCTGGCGGGTTTTGTCCATGGAGCTGATTGCTGGATCGTGATGCCAGTCTGGTGCCTTTTTGATTTTATTAAAACAGCATCCTTCTACAGAGCAATACTTGGCGTTGGGTGAGCTGATGTTGTGTGGTGAGTAGGTATGTCAGGGCTGGCGGGGGGCCTTGTCGCCATTGCCCATTGCCGCGGGAGAAGCCGCTGCATGCGTGTCAAAGGTTCACAGCTTAAACAGACTTTTTTTGCACCTTAACTTTATTCTCCATGCTACGGACTTAGTCAACGATTGTGGCCCGGCGCTGGGGTCCTGAATCGAGGATTGCCCTGATCCTTCCTTGGTCCACAGGCGGCCAGACCCGTCGGCCAGGGGCAAAAGCGGGCTTGGATACGCGCAGCGGAGGAGCCTTGAGGAGCCTTGAGGAGCGAGGCCCTTGTTGGAGGTCGCACCACTGCAAGCCGCCGATGCAGCTGGTGGGACGCCGGGCCCGCCGGACGATCATTCATTGGAGATCCTTGGATGTTTCCCTCGGACACTCGCGCTCATCAGTCACGGAGGCTCTGTATGTACCCGCCTAATTGAGTCCAGCTGCAGTGCGCCGGCGCGAGAGACGTGGCTGCGAGGGATAGCCAACAGGCGCTCTGTACCTTGCATACTTACCCGCAGCCCCCTCGCGGGAAAACCTCCGTAGGCTTGCAGCCCGTCTGTTTCGGTTGGTTGGATCGATTGGCCGCCAGCGTTCGGGAGGGGATCGAGCAAAAGCGCACAGGTGGAGTGTGCGAGTCCGTCCACCAACGAACGCGAGTGCGAGAGAGGCGGGACACGGGACATGGACGAAGCGGAATACGGACGAGGCGGGATGGATACGGATGAGGCGGGATACGGACGAGGCGGGGGGTGAGGGGGAGAGAGGCGAGAGGCGAGAGCGCACGGGAGAGAGAGAGAGATGCAGACGCATGGCGGAGCGAAGGAGAGCGAAAGAGAGTGAAAGCGCGCGATGCCTTCTTTTTTGTTTCATGTCGCCATGTCCGTTGGTCTTGGCGAAGGAAGAGGCGGTGGCCGCCAATCTGGGTCCGGACTGGATCAATCGTCCTGTTGTTTTTCTTTACTCCTCTTTACTCCTCTTTTGCTCCCTGCTCCCTGCTCCTTGCTCCTTGCTCAATCCCCCTTCCCCAGTTTGATTGCCGACGACTGAGCCAAGTCATGTCGTGTCGCCAAGCCCACGGCCAACAAGCCGCAAGCTGACGAGGGATTAAGGATTGGACTAAGCAGCCAGCCACATGTTTGAGAGAGAGGGGGGCCCCCGCCTGCCGGATGACGCCCTCTGGTCTGTGTTCTGCGAGTTATGACTTCTCCGAGATGTTAGACGCCGGCCCAGCAGGCCCTGGGCATGGATGGGACGGCTTGGCGACCAGGGAGCGCGCGTTTGCTCGCTGGTTTCCACTGCTGCAGGGTTCCGCGGATGGGGGCATCCATCCCCAGTGCTCCCAGGCCTAGGGGCAGATGGTTACCGTGGGATCGAGCTCCATCCGTGGATCTGTCTAGGGGCAGATGCGCCGCCTATATAGGGACGCCAGCCCGGCCGGTGATGGCTTCCCTTCCTCTCTTCTCTCGCCACCCCTTCTTCCTCAATCTGGTGTTGAGCAACTGTTCTTCCGTGTGCTTTCCTCGCTCGCTCTCTAGTAGAGATTCATTCCTTTATTCACTCCTTCATTCATTCATTTGACCCCATTCACTCCTTTGCTTGCTGCCTCTAGGGCCCGTCACTCCCTCTTCAACAACTCTCAGCAACAACTTCTTTGCCCCAGCGGCTGAATAGTAGAAACAGGTTTTTCTACTCGACTTCATCTTCATCTTCAGCCTCAACAACAAGTGTTCTTGGCTTTCACCATCATCCCTTTCATCATGAAGTTCCTTGCTACCGCCCTTGGCTTCGCCACCGCCGCGAGTGCCCACACCCTCTTCACCACCTTCTACGTCGACGGCGAGAACCAGGGTGACGGAACTTGTGTCCGCGAGCCCACCGATGCTTCAAAGGGCAACTTCCCCATCTACCCCCTCAATGGCGACGCCATGGCTTGTGGTATGGGCTTCCCTCCTCGACATGCACTTGATTAGTGTTGTCACCAAGAGAGAAACAAACTGAGACTAACAAATATCTTGTGTAGGTAGTGGTGGTGCGAACGCTGTCGACTTTGTCTGCGCCGCCAAAAGCGGTTCCCAGCTGACCTTCGAGTTCCGCGCGTCTCCTTCATACGAAGAGCCTGGTGTCATCGCCGAGGGCCACAAGGGCCCCTGCAGTGTCTACATCAAGAAGGTTGACGACATGTTCAGCACCCCCGCCGCCGGCAGTGGTTGGTTCAAGATCTGGGAGGACGGCTACGACGTCGCGAGCGACACCTGGTGTACCGACACCCTCCGCTCCAACAACGGCCATCTGTCCGTTGACCTGCCCACTGGTCTCCCCTCGGGCTACTACCTTGTCCGCCCCGAGGTCCTCGCCCTCCACGCCGCCCCTGAGGGTGACCCTCAGTTCTACACCAGCTGTGCCCAGATCTTCATCGAGAGCGGCCCTAGTGTCGAGTTGGAGATCCCCGAGAAGTACGAGGTCAGCATCCCTGGCTACATCTCCTCCGACGATGCTGGCGTCACCTTCAACATCTACGAGACGCCCCTGGGCGAGTACCCCATTCCCGGCCCCGATGTCTACATCCCCACCTCCGAGTCCGTCAGCGCCAAGAAGACCCAGACCCAGAAGGACGGCGTTATCCCCGACGGCTGCCTCGCCAAGAACGCCAACTGGTGCGGTAAGGCTCTCAACACCTACTCTACTCAGGATGGCTGCTGGGCTTCTTCCGAGGCTTGCTGGAAGCAGGCCGATACTTGCTGGGCCAGTGTCCCCCCTAGTGGTTACTCCGGCTGCACCACCTGGAACAATTACTGCACCAAGATTGACGAGAACTGCGAAGCTGGCAACTATGATGGCCTCCCGGACTATGACCTGTCCGAGGTCTTCGCTGATGTCGCTGGCCCTATCCCTTCTCCCTATGGCACCTTCAAGACCACTCCTGTGACCGACAGTGGCAGCTCCGACTCCGGCGATGATACCTCCTCCAGCACTACTAAGGCCGCTGCCACTACGTCCAAGGCTGCTGCCACCACTGCCAAGGCCGATGCTGAGGAGACCTCTGTCGCCTACGAGGTGCCCGCTGCCACCACCACCGCCAAGGCCGTCGTCACCACTGATGAGTCGTCCGCAGAGGGGACCTCCGTCTACGTGGTCCCTGAGGAGGCCACCTCCACCTACGACGCCAGCCCCGAGCAGACTTCCGAGAGCTCCGGCCTCAAGGTGTCTCAGGATGGCCGATGCGGCGGCGAGACCGGCCAGACCTGCGAGGGCAGCTCCTTTGGCAACTGCTGCTCCAAGAAGGGCAAGTGTGGTCGCAAGACTCGCCACTGCAGCTGTCATTGCCAGTCTGCATTTGGTCTCTGCGACTAAATCCAGAGTTCTTCTTCCATTGATAATGCCCAAAAAAAGGCGAGAAAGGGGCTTTGGACAGCGAGATCCCTCCTTTCAGTTTTCACTTCAACTCATGTACAATTGGTTACGGATTTTTTTTAACGATTCACTTCTCTTTTGGTGATGGGGATCTAGACCTGGGAAACGGCCGGGCTAGGTCGGGGATTATGTACAAGTAAAACAAGATTACTTGCAAGGCCAGATGAGCAATTATCTCAACACGATGAAGATTGCTACTACATGTGTTTGCAGTGTTCGCCATGTGATGTGTAGGTCAGGATGGGTTTAAGTGCAACTAGTACAGAAGAACCAAGGTGATGCTGCGGCATAATCATGGCACGTCGTCCAATCTAGCAGCCTGTCAATGCTCGACCGCAGTGTGTCAGTTTAATTGAAGCTTAGCCACTGGATAGTGATGAAACAGCGGATATCGACCAGTTAGATGGCAGAGATGAAGAGCCTCATGCTTGACGTAAGGAAGATGAGAGGGACGCGCAACTATGCGTGGTGGTATTTGCTCGAGGCAAGTCCGATTACGATTGCGAGCGGAATGTGGCTGAGCATGTTATCATGGGATGCTGATGATGCTGTGGCTGTTGATGATGGGTTGGCCCGAAGCATCGGCGGCTTCCATAAATTCCATGCCCTGTATTTGGATGTGAGTGAGGTGGCGACGATGACGTCGAGCATGGTTTGGAATAATCCGGTATCGATCATCCCGAAACCCACTCCGCAAAGACGGTGCCCAAAGAGGACAAGACGACCAGCCCAGGCGCCACAACGGCAAACGGGAGGGACACCTCATGGCCGCTTCAGGGGTCTGGAATCTGGAATGCGGTGGTGCCACGAGTCAATCAGTGCCAACCCACCCGCCACAGCGAGCAACAACGAAGAAAAACGGACACGCTCAGAGGGTGTGGTGGCTTTGCAGCGGTGCAAGTTACATGTGCCTCGCCGGCTCGTGGACAGGCCGTGGACTCCGTTTGACTGATACGGGTTGGGATCTTCGCTGCCTGCGTCTGTCTGTCTGATGTCTATCTGTCTCTCTGTCCTGCCTGTCAGCCGCATGCACGGCGCCATCTTGTATTAAACCATCGCCGCGTGTCAATTGAGGGTCAAATTCATTTAGGCAGCTCTCCCATTTCCTCCGTGCGACGCTCCAGCCTTAATCAACTCCAGAACAGGGAACACCCACGTTCCAAGGCCAGCATCCATCATTCCCGAACGAGCATGGGGAGGGGATTTGCTGAAGCCCGGCCGTTGGGATCCATGCCATGACCCAGCCCTGTGACACTTTGATAAGGCAGGCACCTGCATTGTAGACTGCGTCCTCTGTATTGATTCTAGTAGTTCTGGTTCGTTCACATCTTCGATAGCAACCTCGCGGGCTTGCGGAACAACTTCCAGTTCGACTAGCACCTCCGCCCACGCCAGTCTGGCCACAGTAGCATCCCGTTCCATTCCCGCTAACAAGTCAAGTCCACACCACCAGCGGTCTCCGTCTCACTTGATACCTGTGCTTCCCCTGCGCGCCAGACACCCCAAAATCCGCAAGGCTTCCGAGTAAAATAAAACAGAAAAATACACATGCCCCGACAAGCAGACTGTCCGGCAAATCGAGTCAGCGGTGTCTCCAGCGAGGCATCATCAACAGTCGTCGGCCCCAAACAGGCCTAGAGCAGTAGCCGGCGTGGCCGTTTTCTCTAAGCCGCCTAGCCCCAACTCTCAGCACCTCGTCTCCCCGGAGGGTCCTCAGATACCGTGGGCTAGGTACCTTTTTTAGCGGGCTGTGACCGCTACGGCGCCCGCCCCCATCTCCCAGCCGTGCAGAGGTACCTCAGCAGCCTACCGCCTACCTCTACCGCCTACCGCCTATACGCGCATCCGCCACCAATCCGCCCATCTTGCACCGCACTCCCTCGTCCGTCGTCACCTGCCAGACCTGGACCTGACATAACCCACCTAACTTTACCTACCTCGCTGTCCCAAGTCCCAAGTCCCAAGTCCACAAGTCCCAACCCCATCTCCGCGACACGGCCTCAACCCTCGACGACCTCAACGCCCTCCCGTCTCCTTCGACACCTGTCGCCTCTCCTCCTGCTGCCGCCATCGCCGCTGCTGCTATCCGTCACCATGTCGAGTAATCGCAACTATGATTTCCTGGTACGATCGGACCTCTCCTCCCCCCACCGCCGCGCTGCCCGCCATGCCCGCCCCCTGCCTGTTGCGTCCTACGTCCTGCCATCGCAACCCCCCGAACGGATGCCAGATGCTTTGTGAAATACGCATCGCGAGGCCCTCGGGGGAATTCCCGCCTCCCTGCGTTGCCCTCTGCCGAAGCCTGCTCCCGCTAACTCTAACTCGCGAATAGATCAAGCTGCTCCTGATAGGCGACTCCGGCGTCGGCAAGTCGTGCTGTCTGCTGCGCTTCAGCGAAGACTCCTTCACCCCGTCCTTCATCACCACCATCGGCATCGACTTCAAGATCAGGACCATTGAGCTCGATGGAAAACGTGTCAAGCTGCAGATCTGGGACACCGCCGGCCAGGAGCGATTCCGCACCATCACCACCGCCTACTATCGCGGTGCCATGGGCATCCTCCTTGTATACGACGTCACCGATGAGCGCTCTTTCAACAGTACGTTTGCTCCCCATCTTCCTCTCTTCGCAAGCCCTTCTTCCCCCGGGACCCTCTGTCTGGAATTCTCGACGTGGCGTCAGGCTCCGTCATTCGCTATTCTCAATCGTCGTCATTGCTCGCTGCTGCGCCTAGCCCCAAGCCACGACGACTGAAACACTCCCACCCTCAAGACGCAATAACCACTCAGCTGCAGAAGAAATGCTGACATGGTGACCCTCACAGACATCCGCACCTGGTTCGCAAACGTAGAGCAGCACGCCACCGAGGGCGTCAACAAGATCCTAATCGGAAACAAGTGCGACTGGGAGGAGAAGCGTGTCGTCTCGGTCGAACAAGGCCAGGGCCTCGCCGACGAGCTCGGCATCCCCTTCCTCGAGGTCTCCGCCAAAAGCAACATCAATATCGACAAGGCCTTCTACAGTCTAGCTGCCGATATCAAGAAGCGCCTCATCGACAACTCTAAGAACGAGCAACCTTCGGCGAGCGGCGTCAACGTCAACGAAAAGAGCGACGGCGGCGGTGGCAAGTGCTGTTAAACGTCCAAGGAATCACAGCTTGCACCCGTCGTTATCCCCTTGCTCTTTATTTTTACTCATTTTAGTTACATTGGCACATTGCGTGTATCAGCCAGCGTGCCTGCGAGGATCGCAGTGGATCAGAGAGGAGGGAGAAGGCAAGAGAGAAGAATGGGTGACGGAAGAGAGGAAGACTGGAGAGGGGCGGACGAGAAGATGAGAGGGCCAGAGAGCGAGGCAGCCTCAGTTACGAGAAAGGAGGCACAATCACACACGGGAGGATCGGGTCATGTCTATTCGCTCCGGTCGGCCTTCCCAACCCCTTAGAGAGCAAATATGGTCTGGAGTTTCGGTTTTTGATCTGGGTCTAATACACGTTGCTACCGTTGTGTGCCTGTTTGCGGCTTCGTTGCGAAGAGTCTTGATACCTGCATGGAAATGGTCCACGGAGGAGGGGAGGGACGAGAGGAGGGATGGACAGAACGGCAAGGAAAGCTGCTCCAGGAACAAGGTCGCCTTGGGCAGGAGAAGCAGGCATGTATGGTGGAGAGAAAATGTCTTTTTTATTATTATAATTTTTTTCTTGGCCTGGTTGATTACTAGTTTTATCGTTACACGTCTATGAATGATGCCGTGAGCACTGTCCGTTGGGTCTGACCTTCGACTTCTCGCGTGAGTGTGCGCTGGTTCCAGCTACGGATGAAGCGCCAAGCGATATCAGGAGACTTGCAGACAATGACGAAACGGTTCCGCAGTTTCTGGCGGAAGGCGTGGTCATCCCGAAGGGCTACGCGGGTGTTGTCATGGGTTAGGAGGTCCTGGTTCTCGTGGAGGGTGGTGGTTAGGTGATATGGTTTGCTAGTAGCCCAGGGCTCGTTGCGAGCTTGGCTATCGGAATCGATGAAGGCTTGTAGGTCGGTGGCGGAGATGGCGGAGTGGTGCATGTGAAGGAGGACTACGGCGGGCTCGACGGTGAAGCCTGACCGGCGGATGAGCTTGTCGACGAGGCGCTGCCACGGCCATTTGCCCTTGACACGGGAGAAGCGGGCATTGAGGCCGGGATCTTGGGGGACGTAGGAGCCCGGGGCGAGGGTGAAATCTTGGACTTCCTCCTCCGGGGTGGCGGCCGAGCTGCGGAGGTGGGCGGGGACCGAGTTGGTCCACAGGCCGGTCTTGGAGTGCAGCTTGAGCTGGGCGAGGACGAGGAGGCGGTCGAGCTTTGCCTGGTAAACGATGGCGGCGGCGTGCGACGCGAACGAGATGCGGTAGGTGCCGAGGGGATCGAGGGTCCAAGGGTCGCGTTCCTGGTGGACTAGGGACGGGTGAGTATAAATGGGTGTGTCGTGAGAGTGTGAAGCAGAGTCATGACGGACCTTCGTTGATTCCAGAGCTCCAGTCGGAAAGGTCGCGAGCGGCAAGGCGGGCAAAGTCGCTTGGCCGCAAGCTGGGGCTCAATCCCTTGACGACAAGCATGTGTCTCTGGAGGCTGTCGTCGTTGGAGATCTCACGACCAGATCGTTTGCGGCTCATGTGTTTATGAGGGGAGAGCTTCGCGGGAGCGGGAGACTGAGCGCGGGGCTTCCGCCACTGCGCGAACTCATCATTGGGTTTTGGCGCTTTGGGCTTTGAAGCGTTGAATGTTGGAGGAGTAAACGTCGTCGATATCGTTGTTGCGGTGGTCTTGGCGGCCTTGATACCGGGGATGGTCCATTGGCTGTCATCGCCGCTGTTACGGCTGGGCCCGTTGAAAGCGGCTGCAATCGAGGTGGACAGGAGTCTGGTTTGCGGAGCAGCGGCCGGGGAGAGCGCCTTGGCGTGGGCGAGCCATTTGGGGCGGATCATGCAGGCGGCGGGGCGGGGGAGGACATGGGATTTGGATTCCCGGCGAGAGGGAGGCGATCGTGAGTTGTGAAATTGGAGTTGTAGAAGCAGGAGCAGGAGCAGGAGCAGAAGCAGAATCGACATGGAAGCTCAATTGGGTGGTTTTGCGCTGGTGCTGGGATTGGGCCGAATAGTTCCGATCTGGCCTAGCGGTGATGACGGACCCTGAGTCTAGGGGATCCACTCCTTGGTGTAATTGAGATAGAGGAGAGAGGGTCAAGATGATGTTTGTTTGTTCAAGGAGTTGGGGAGCGTCATTCATTTAATGTTAGAAATAAGTTCTCCCTGGTGTTGAGCCGTATTCTTATTATTACACTTGAGTAATAACGCCCAGTTGTTGCGATTGTGATAAGACGGACTGGCTGATCGTGTGTGTAAGGGCTGGATACTGCTCAAACTAGCCTTGGCAGACAATACTCGCAATACATGTTCAGGATCTCGACCGCTCTGGCGCATGCACTTTCTAGATTGAAGTTTCATCAAATACACAAGGCCTGATATCCCATACTCCTCATCTTTTTTCCCACGCCTGGCGTGGAACAAGATGTAGCTTCTTACACCAATACCAACACCCACACCCACACCCACACATAAAACGCACCAGTTGCCTTGTTAGTGGAAGGCACGCAGAAAACTTTCACGCCCACTAAATAGTTGGGCGATCCCCCACGCAACTGTCAACTTCACAACTTCACATTCCCAACATATCAACCACCGCCAAGGTCAAAGGGGAATCAGGGCACCGCTGCCCTCGTCCCGCCTGCCCGCCATGCTCGTCTCAAGCCTCGACGCCAAGGTCCGGCCACTGTCCAACACGAGCCTGGAAAAGTCCAGCCTGCTGGGCGCCGCGCGCATCTACGTGAGCAAGGACTCGCTGCTGTCCCTGACGGGCACCCTCGAGAACGGGAGGCACTGCCTCGTCACGCGCCTGGAGAGCCCCGGCCAGAAGGATGCCGAGGAGGACCAGGGCGAGATCCAGCGTGAGGCCTCGCTGTGGATCTTGCCCGAGAAGAACCTCAGTCCCAACGTCGTCATGATGACCCGCGCCTTTCAGGAGGCCACTGGCTTCAAGCTGGGCGATCATGTCCGCATTACGCTCGCAGGCACTACGCCGGATATCGAAGAGGTTGTTGTCGAGGACGAAACTGGCGAGAAGGCAGAGTCTGGTCAGACCAGAAAGTATCCTCTCGTCTGGGAGCCTGCCCTAAGTCTATCACTCGGTGCGTTGACTCCAGGACTCAACTCACCTAAAACACAAAACTAACTTCCTCCAGATCGCGCTGAACTGATCTTCCCGGGCATGATCCTAGAAGGCGTAGCAATCAACAAAGTGCGGCGGAATTTCAAGGTTCTCTCCGTCAACTCACACGCCCACAGCGTCGCCCGCTTCAAAACTGATACGTCCACCATCCGTATTCTCCAGCCCGGCGAAGAAGCTGGACCTGTAATCGGCGAGCCCGGAGGTGACCTAGTTCTGACCGGCGTTCCTGGCTTTCCCGTACAAGTCAAGGTCATCAACAGCTTCCTCAGGGGCTTTTGTCGTCCGTTCTACGCAAAGAAGGAACGCCAGTCATGCGGATTCATTATCCACGGTGGCCGCGGGACTGGAAAGACTTTTATTATGCAGCGAATCGCCGCGACTAACTGGGGACGTGTACACTGGATCAAGCCGTCGGACAAGCTCACGACTATAAGAGAAGTATTCAAACTCGCTCAATCACAGCAACCGAGTATTGTTCTCATCGACGAGCTGGACGCCCTCATCAACAAGGACCGTTCCAACCGCGACGCGGTCATTGAGGCCATCGGCGAGGAACTCGACAACCTTTCTGCCCTCGCCGCCGCTAACAATGCTCTTCCCAAACTCATGGTCATTGCGACCTGCTTGGACTACTTCACCGACGTCCCTCCGAAACTACAAAAGCTCACTAGATTCTGCAAGAACATCGCCTTGCCTATTCCACGGACTCTAGAGCGTCTTGAAATCCTCAAGTTCGTCGATCCGCCTATCAAGGCTGATGAGAAGGAACAGCTCCTCTTGAACATGGCGGAGCGAACGCACGCGTTCAACCCCAACGATATTGGCAGGTTAGTTTCAAATGCCATGGAAATATTCGGCACCAGACTTGATGATGCCGGCGTCGATGCTACATTGGGCGAAGACCATTATCTTGTCAAAGCAGACATGGAGAAGGCGCTGCGCAATACTCGACCGACTGCCATGAACGACATCAACCTGAATCCACCGACCATCCACTGGCAAGATATTGGTGGCCAGCAAACGCTAAAGAAGGCCTTGACTCTCATGGTCAAGTACACCAAGGTATGCTGACGTCCTCCAGAAACCCATTTTCCCTTGTTCTCAACTAATCCTGATTCTCTAGAACCCCGAGCGTTTCCTCCGACCCCCTGGCAAGGGCATTCTCCTCTACGGCCCTCCCGGCTGCTCCAAAACTCTCTCCGCTCAAGCTACGGCCACTGAGTCAGGCTTCAATTTCTTCGCAGTCAAGGGAGCTGAACTCCTTAATATGTACGTCGGCGAGTCCGAGCGTGCCGTCCGCACCCTCTTTGAACGTGCTCGCGCAGCTTCACCTTCCATCATCTTCTTTGACGAGATCGATTCAATCGGCGGCCAGCGCACGGGATCGGGTGGTACTGCGTCCCGCAACACCGGCGCCGTCAACATGCTCACCACCCTGCTCACCGAAATGGATGGCTTCGAGACTCTCACAGGCGTGCTCGTCCTTGCCGCCACCAACCGCCCAGAGGCCATCGACCCGGCTCTCATGCGCCCAGGCCGCTTCGACCAGGTGCTATACGTCGGTCCCCCCGACCAGGCAGCCCGCGAGACCATCTTTACTGTGAACACGCGTGGCCTACCCATAGCGGAGGACGTCGACATAACAGAGCTGGCACGCCGTGCCGAGGGCCACTCAGGAGCCGAAATCAAGGCCGCGTGTAACGACGCCTGCGTGATAGCGCAAGGTTCTTTCGACGATGAGGACGAGGGGCTTAGCAAACCTCAGGTCAAGATGTCCGACTTAGAGGGAGCGTTAGAGCGGATGCCGCGCAACATTACGAAGCATATGATTGATGGATACGAAAAGTGGTCAAAGCAGTTTAGAAAGCTTTAAGAAAAGCTATGATGGGTTATTCATGTTTAGGCCTATGTTGGTTTGGGAGGTTTTGGTTCAAGACGTTAGATTTCTACCGCTAGATGCACACATAGAACATTGCTTCTAACACGAGCTCTTCTTTCAGTTTTCCCCGGGGCCGTTTAAGTCATTTGCAGTTTGTAGCTCTATTTCTGGACATCCTAGGCTAGTGCTGGCGAGAGGTTTCCTTAATAACCTTGGGGCACCATGGCTTCTACTGACCTCGGGATGTGGAGACTTGATGTAACGTCTTCATCACATACTCACACATTCAGTTTGCATTTGACGTTCGAATGGGTCTTTAGTTCATTCAGTCATGGTGAATTTGACCCAGAATCAGGTCCATCTAGCCCTGATACCTAGGCTCCGACTTGCCCCTTGCGTGGACAAGCTCGGAGGGAACATAAAATATGTATGATACACAACACGAGCAAAATCATCGCCCGCACATCCACCTCACGGTTGCCTCTCTGCAGCCTTGCCTCCCTCTGTCTTTCCATCGCGGTCCTGCCAATCTCTCTTCGCGGGAAATCCGTATCCTTCCAAAACAATGCCATGCCACCGCTCTTCGGCGACTCTATCACCTAGAGGGCCGACTCTAGTCCTGACAAACCATTAGACCGAACATTTGTGAACCCCCGCTGGCCCGTCGGACTGAGGACGAGGACAGAAACGGAGGGGTCAAAACACTCGACGCAAATCACACCCTGAAGCAAACACAACGCCAGCCCTCTCCCTATCCATCCTTGCCCGTCCTTGCCAGCTGAGTCCGTCCAGGTAAGAATCCTCATCAGACCGCGTTTCTGACCTCATCCCTGAATGTAACCCAAAATAATATAATCCGATATCCCTTACGCCATCGCCGAAAGAAGTGGGGAAAGTGTCGTCACGACTCCTCGTCAGATCGTGGGCCGCCCGTCCGGATAGACGGGGAGAGGCTGATAGCGATCTTTTTAGGGGCGCCATTACCCGAGCCGGCTGTGAAGCTCTTGCGTCTTCGGAGGACGCCGTGCGGAGTACCAGAGCCAGGCGGCGTGGCGCTGGCGCTGTTGCGTCGCTTGTTGTGCATCAACTTGCCCAACTCGTCCTCATCCTCATCTTCCTCGCGACGACGCTTCTCCGATAGTCGCTCCGGGGGCGGTACTGTTCCAAGACCCCCGTCGCTAGTCGGAGTCGTGACTTCAGCTCCACCTTCACTCTGCTGGGCCTCTAGTGATGCCTTGGGGTCGACGTTTTCATCCGCCTCTTCGTCGGAGGCGTAATCAACAAGAAGCTTTGAGGCAGCAGAACCATTGGTCGATGGGGCCTTCTCGCCACCCTTACCATGTTGCTCATCCTCGTCCTCCGGATCCGAAGACGCCCAGTAGTCTTCTTGTTCTTGCTCAACAGTGATATGCTCCATAAGCCTCGAGTTCGGAGGTGGTCTCCGACCCAACTCATCCTCTGGGTCCAGGAAGTAATCCATGTTGGAGGTGTACCCCTGTGTCTGGTCGTACCGGAGAATGATGTCTCGGAATGTCGGCATGTAGTCGAGACTTAGTAGTCGGTCCCGAAAATTGACGACGAGGTACTTGACGAGGTCCTTCAAGTTCTCCTTCTTGATGTACTCAAAGAACTCCAGCGATGCTGAGCTGAGGAGGTTGTCTCTTGGCATTGTCTCAATCAAAACGTCAAGGATCGGCCCCAAAACCTGCTTCTCGGTTAAATGTCTAACATAGAACTCGTCCTGGAGTCCAATCAACGATCTAAAGAATCGAATGGCAACTGTTGTATGGTTAGGGAGAGAAATCTAAGAGTTATGAATGTGGAAATGTTCATACCTAGCCGCAGGTACTTCTCTGGGCATTCAAGAAGCTGGGCGACACGCTGAGCAATATTGTTGGTCATGACGAAGAATTTGCATCGCAAGTTGTGCTGGCGGATGAAGAAGCAGAGGATCTCGATCAGATACGTGAACATGGACGCCTGCTGCGCGGGGAAGTTCATGTCCGTTCTCTTCTCTAGATCAAGCAGGGGCTTGAACAGTCTAGGGGCAGATCGCTCGTAAAAGCGAGTCAAGAATACATCCTGCTGGGGATCGATGGTCGGTTGAGGTCGCGGCCGGCCTGAAAATTCGCCATTGGCCTTGACAAAGGCTTCTGTGCCCTGAACCGGAGCCCCGGGGTCCAAGAGGACTTTGAGAGCTTCCGAAATCTGAGACTTGACCCCGAGATCAACCTCCACAAGGAGGAGGTCAATCAAGGAATCCGTCAACGGCGCCTGGTTTTCATGCATCTGTCGATAGATAGTCTGGCGAATCATCTGTGGATCATGATCGATAATCGATATCATAATATCTGTGGCTCCCACCCTCACCCCAACGTCCCCGTGTCGCAGACCGAAATGGATGACCTGGAGGAGTCCATGGGCGATGAAGTTGTTGTATAGCGTTTGTCGAGCTGGCGGCTGGATGTTCTTGGCAATCGCGCAGCACTGCTGGATGAATAAAACCGCTTCCTTCTTTCTCCTCTGGTCCGGGGCCGATGAGCTGAAGATGCCGAAGAGCTCGTTGAGGAAAGATGCATTCGCCTGGAGATGCTGGACGATGTCGACCTGGTTGAAAAAGATGAGGGAGTTGAGGACGGAAAAGGTCGGATCATCAAGGATTCGGGCGAGGACAACGTCCTTGAGATACTGAAGGCGGTAGGTCTGGTGGATTTTCCTCCGGGTCTGCTCATCCTCAATCGGAACCACCTCCTTGTATCGACCTTGGTTGTCCAGCCAGTGACGATGGTTGGCCTTGTGGCTCGGGAAATCGGGATCGTATTCCAGCGCACCAACAACTCCCAATACGCATTCGTCTGATACGGCATGTTCGATAATCGAGGTGTCGTTAAGGAGAATAATCGTCTTCATGATGTTACATAACCGATGCAGGTCCTGCAGACTCTCGAGGTCTTCAGCTATCTCAACCAAGGGGATTAGGCGACCGATGTAGTCCTCGGCCATGATGGACTTGGCAAGAGCGTCTCGACCATTGGCTGTTGAGCTCATGATTCGCATGTTGGATTCGATCTCTGGGAGGTTTCCGAGTTCGGCGTTGGGAAGGTTAATCGTGGGGGGGACTTCGATAGCAAGGTCGTCGGAGAGTCCATCGTCTAGATATGTGGCATCAGTATACAGTCCTTCCAGAGAGAGTAGAGTTCCGCGTACCGGCGCCAGCTAGATTGTTGTGAAAGGATTGTTGAACACTACTGACGAATCGCCTAGTGGGAGTTAGCAGCGATTCAATTTGCGAAAACGCGTTGGGTTGATGCGACATACCATATCATTGCACAGCCCTCAGGTTCCTGGAAACTGAGGGCCATATCCACACCACTACCGGGTTCTTGCCAGACGATGAGGGTTTCTGCAGATACCAAGTCAGATATGGTATCCAAGGTTAATATAGGGGGCGCGATATACCTTGCTGCTTCTGGAAGCCATCCTCCTTCTGGATCTTGGTCTCTAGGAGGAGACGCTCGGGCTGATCCTCAGATTCCACAATGACCCGGGGGTCTTTCCGGCCATCTTCGGTCTACACGAGGATATCAAGTCAGCGACAGAATTTGGGCGCAAGGAACACAAAGCCGCAGTAGCAGCGCGGATGAAGCGTACCGTCGCGAAAGATGCGGTGCAGAAACCGGTGCCTCGGTCAAACCAGTCATTGTTGCGCAGCTCGTAGACCTTGACGCGCTTCTTGTCGGTGGGCTGATGAGGCACGGGCTGTGCCATCATCAAAGGCTCGGGGTCCCCCTCGGCGGTGAGGTTTGTGTACGCAGCCAGGTCCGGGGCAAGTTCGAGGTGCTGCTGCAGAGACAGCTCGGAGGGTTCGTTGTGACTCAGGATCGTGAGCGCCGCCACGGTTTCTCGCGATGCGCGCGGACACGGCGCGGCAGTCGTCGGGGACGAAGAGAAGGCGGAGAACGAGGTGCTGCACAACGACACGGCGTGTCAAGTGGCGTAGCGAGCAAAGGCCGATCAATGCGCCATACAATCAAGGGCGAGCAAGGCGGCCGGCGCGGAATCGGGGGGCACGCCACGAACTTGCGGATGGGCAAAGGTCGGGGCGACGGGGCGATGACGAGGCAGCGACAGCGGGAGGGACGAAAGCGCGAGGAGGAGGCTACGGCGACAGCGACTGACGCAACGGGAGCCGCGGACGGCAAGGCGGTGGCCGGGTGGGGATGTGGGCGGGCGGGCGATCGGGCTCCGATGGTGAGGACTTTTGAGGCTGTCGAGGATTGCGGATGAGGTGGGCAATGCGCGTGACCAGGCTGCCAGATGGTGTTGGGTTTGGGCCTTGGGGGGCGACGGGGGGTGCTCCTTCCCATTTTTCGGCCCCGAGCCACGCGATGGGTGTGGCTGGGGTGCGTTATCGTCCAATCAGCATCCAGTGTCGGCACGCCATGTGCACGTGATTTCGCTTTGGCCACATTGCCGCCATAAAGTGGGTTGAGGCTTGCCCCCTTGGCCCGATCTGGTCCCATTCAAAAAGAACAGTCTTGCCCACTCCTGCCTCGACAAGTCCTTACGAATGCGTGCCGTGATGTAATGATTGCAGCCCAAAGTTGGGTATCGATAAGATGGAGCGTCTCAGCCACGCCCAACAAGACTTGGCCATCATGAGCCTTCTTAGTACTAGTCCTCACAATCAACATTTCTGTATTTGATCATCCATTTCAACCGTCGTCTCTGTTTCCATGGATTTTATCAACCCCACCAACATTAATGCGAGGGAGGAGATACTTTGAGTCAACACCAATGTCTCAACAAGTGCATCGGTCGGAGAACCGGTAGCTACGGACGTTGGGATATGGGGGTTTGTCCGGACCACGCATAGAGCATTGCGTTTTGTATTTGAGCGCAAGCTCTAGGACCCAAATTTTAATATATTCCGAACGGCGACTGTGGACTTTCGTAGTCAGCACTTCTCAACCAACATTCCATTTCTTTCTCCTCATTGACATGGAATACACACTTTAACGGGAGCAATTCGCCGTTTCGGGGTCGTCCATCCCATGGCAAGACCAGATTACCATGTCAGATCTTCTTGGAAGCAAACTGGCAGGGTTAGATACTGAGGTCAAGTGTGTGTTCGTAGCCGAGTATGAAAGGCCATCAACATGCCATGCAACGAAATGCACGCCCATCATGTCTTTATAGCCCGCAGCGCTTCGCTTTCTTCACCCCACGTATTGTCATTACTAGCGCTCTACGTCAGTGCCGCTACCATGCATCCGTCGAGGCCCTTTCTAGCAAGAACCAGGAGCTAGGCAGATCAGCTTACCTTTGCTCACTACTTTGAGTAGTGAGCTTGTCAACAAGATCTGCATCGATCAAGTCCGGATGACACGGAAGCCATCTTGCTTAGATCTACGGTAGTGTGAGGAGGACAGATCAGCCGGCCAAGCCGTCGGGTCCTTCGGAGAAGTCTTATTCAAAGACGTAGGTGTCACGAAGACTTCATCGGCGGTGCACGATCCGTAAGGGGTTGATGGAACAGCCTAGCCACGGCGTTGCCTTGAAACAAGTCCTGGAGGCGGTTGACTTTGGCGCACAATAGGTATAGTCAGGAATGTGAGGAGGGCCACCCGAGAACCGGTGATTCAACGTTGATGGCGCTTGTGGTAGTTAACGCCTGCGGGAAGCATCGGCAGCTGAGCATTGGGCCGGCGTATCGAAACAGGCAACGGGGCGCCAAAGGAACCCAAGAGAGTGATAGTCTATCATCCCAACTCGCCACAGCGTCTCCTTGTGGCGTGGGACTGGCGGAAACTCCTTTTGCGCACGTTACCAGTGGTGTGGAAGGTTAGCTGAATCGCGCGCCTGGGCCGTATTAGTCAGTCAACGATCGCTTCCTCAGAAGGATTCTAAAGATTCTAGCGTCGATGGAGTGGCCGACGAAGCCAATCCAAAAGAGTGGGCGGGGGTGTTTCACCTCATGTACGAATTGTCGTGTTTTTCCCGTCCACTTTGCCTCGGCGGGGAAGAGACCAACACTTCACCGCATTTCGGGGAAATGGGATGGCGCTCTGGGCATACGTAACATGCCATGGATTCGAGTTCAGCTCATGCGGGCGACCCAATATTCCAAGCGAAACAATACCCAGGGAACCTCAAGCCCTAAGTGTCGTGTAGTCCGCTGTGGCTTGAGGGGAAAGCGGCCATCCCTGGCGCAGATCTACAGGGGCATGGGACTCTAGGTGACACCATGAACGATGAAGGACAGCCGTTTTTAAAGCTTAAAAGATGTGTGACTGAATCGCTCGATTAACTTACGCAGGTAAGCCCGTAAGTTAGCGCCTCTTGAAGGATGAGTGCACCATGAGGGCACGGCGTCAACGGCTGGCGCTCAATGTTCTTTGGGTAGGTATAAGATCACTAATACGAGGCTCAGATGCGTGGGCCTATTGTGACAGCGAGTGACGCCATAGTGATGATTCTACTCCCATCGACGCCGCCCTGGACGTTCTCGCATCAATCCAGCCATCAATTGATGCAAGCATTGACACAAAAGACGCAATGCAGTCAGCATGATGGATATCACCCAGCGGCAATGGTTCGTAAGCGATGTGAATGACCGGGGCCTGGTCTCTCCGCATATGAGCAAGAAGGAAAAAAAACATCCGGTGTCTTGGCAAGTAATCTGACCGAGAACGCGGCGCAGCTGCCAAGACATCAAGTGTGCAAAACCCGCTCTACGTAGTACAACTAACTGCTAGGTGCTTTCGCCTGAGAGTCGCTAGCAGTTGGCTCAGGAGACGACGGGTGGTCCAAGTCCAGCTTGCTCCAGCTTGCGGATCCCCAAGCTGCACGGAGGAGCGCTGAGAAATTAGTATCAAGCACAGCAGTCAATAGTCGCGGAGCCGAGACGAAGTCAGCGGGCTTGGTCAGGGATGTCTCGGTGTCTGACGGCGTCCGCACGACCCACGGGGGTGTTGTCAAGATCTCACAGGGCAGAGCCATTGTGTGATAGTACGTAGGTAGTATGTACGTGGTATTTGCCGATCCCCCCGCCCGCGGGAGAAATCAGGCCGGGCGACGAACGTGCGACCCGCGACCCGCGACCCGAGTATGTACGTAGTACGACCCCGGCAACGTGGATCGAGACGTGGATTGAGGCCAGACGCCGGAAAGCGAGGCGGCGTGTTTTGAAGCGCTGGAGGGGGGTTCGACCTACGTTACAAGTTCTCGATGACGGTGGCCAGTGAGCACAACCTGGCACCAGGGCTGAATCCGATGGATGCTAACCACGCCGCCTCAATCAGAAACAGGGGCAGATTTTTTACACGCAGGGCCTGTGGAGCGGGTACATGGCGTTTCCAGTAGACGCAAACTCTGCATATGGCTCCGTCCGGGAGATCCTACACCGTAATTGCCGGGCGTCTGAATACGAAAGGGAAGCGGAGGAGGAGGCCAGCCCCGTGTTGGTGGCTGTGGCTTTCTGGTGGGTTGGATGCCAAGTTGCGCGAGCCAAGGTTGCTAACACTGCTAACATTGCTCCCATTTGCCACAACTGCCACAACTGCACACGCACGTCGGGAGGAGTATGATGCCTTAATTAGCCTACAGGAGGAGGCGCCTGCATGGCTTCCAATAAACTGTGGATCGCGGGGGCCTTTAACCGTCCGTCGACGCCAGCTCAGCGCATCAGCGTCCGCCAATCCTCCAAGAGCCCGGGAACGGGTCCCCGTTTTGGCGTGTTGCAGAGCGAGAGAGCGAGCGAGCGAGCAGTCCCTGCCCCATGCTACCCATGCTGCCCCATGCTGCCCCATGCTGCCCGTGTTTTCCGCAGTCAGATCCTGATGAGTTGGCTGCTTTTTTCCTGTTAGCTGCGTCGCTCAGCTGCAGCTGAGTCCAGGGGCTGTTCCATGCTGTGGCGTGCCAATAGAGCGTTGCCAATAATGTCGCTGTTTACAAAAGGCGAAGACTGCCGCATCTCGTCTTTGCCTCGGGGTTGGGCATCTTCATCCTACCTACCTACCCATTCGGGCCATTCCCATATTGAACCCTCCTGTTCTGCCATCTCTTTGTTTCTCTCCGTCTCGGCTTTCGATCTTCTCCTTCTCCGAACCCGACCAGCTGGATCTCATTGCCGACGCCGACGGTGGCGCTAGCCGCAGCAATCGTCGTCTAACGCTCATCCAGGCACCAGAAAGTCCCCGAGGCCCAGAACCGAGTCAGATCGATCGCCCCGGCCAGACGCCACAACCACCGCACAATTGCCCGTTGCGCGCTATCTCGATCCACCTCACTTACACGCGCCGGCACCGCTCACGCCAGCGCCAACACCACCATCATCATGTCCACTAAGCGGCAGTCCATTCGTGAGTATTAAGTGGTTTTTTTTTTTTCATGCGTGCACGACTCGGCTGTCCCGCCCTGTCCCATCCTGTCCCATCCTGCCTAATACCCATATATTCACACGTTGTCGCTCTCAATCTCTTGTTTCTTTCTTCCCAGACAAGGACAAGCAAACCACTTTTTCTCTCGGGCAGGACTCCTTTGAAATCCAACTTGCCTTGTTACAGTCACTCTTTATTATCCACACTCTTTCACGTAAAAGATATCCACATATTCTGTTCGAGCCATCCATCCCTTCAACTACGCTTCCAGCACAATACAACTTCATCCCTCTTGTGTCTCAAATAACTCTTGGAAAAACGTTCACCAACCAACTTTATCAGGCATGTCCATCCTGAGCCATTTCAAGCGGTTTCGTCCGGAACCCAAGGAGGACAAAGAAAAGTCCACTGAGAAGAAAAAGCTGTCGAAGCGAGCGACCTACGTTCCAACCCACGCCGCCAAAGATGCTGCCAGGGGCGCCGCCATCCGCGAAGCTGAGATATCCCGTGTCCGCGAGGAGCACTACCAGCGATCTTATTCGGCTCTAGAAGGGCGAGAGATCAAGTTGACCATCGGACGCTTCCCAGGGGCCGCCAGCCACTTGTCCAACTACACATACGCCAACACCACAGGCGCCAACACCACACGGTGCAATACCAGGTGCTCCAACAGCGATGACTCCGGCTACCAAACACCTGCCTCCAGCGTTGGCTCTGCCTATCCTAGGCGCGGCTCCTTCGATGCGGGGAGTTTCACCTCACGGCTGATCTCGGTCCAAGGCAAGGAAATAGATCGCAGTACGTTCTACTCTCCACGGCAAACCCTGTCATCCCACCAAAGTACGTTTCCTTCAGCCTGCCAATTGCCTGTGATGTCATAAACTAATTAATTTCTTTTCAGGAGGACCTTCGCCCTATGGGAGCTCAAGAACGTCTTTGGATGTAGTCGAAATCAAGCCGCCTCGTCCCATCCGCGGAACTGAGACCGACGGAGTTTCTCGACCACCTATCACCGCTTCCAACCCCCATCGTTTACACCCGAGGGCTCGAAGCTCGTCCGACGCCTCCTCCATAGATCGAGCTACCTTGTCCCAAGCCCCTCGGGCTGTCAGCACGCCACTCTCTCAGCAAAGCATACCATCACCATCAGCGGCGCCCGTATCTCGACCTTCGAGTCAATCTAACTCGCGCAACCCTAGCGGATTTTCTAGTTTTTGGGAGCGACACTCACGACAAGGATCTGTCTCCTCCCTCCCTTCACTCACTTCTACCCCGGCCAAACCTCAGTCGTCAGGTTCAGGCCCCATTACACCACAAAGCAGGTCTACTACACTAGACTTCTCGGGATTCAATCTCGACCCGAATCATCATTCTTCTCTCCTTGGTCCTAATATTCAGTTCGATAAAGTGTCGCCTGAGAGCGACGTTTTGGATTTAGAAAACAAAAACCACCAACGTCGAGCATCCCTGTCGCGATATCAAGCGAAGAAAATTATTGATCCCAGCGTGGACCAACTGGACTTTGGTCTTCTTCAAAAGCAAGAGCTTCCTCAGCAACAAGATCTTCCACGGGAGCTAGATGTTCCTCAGGAACTAGATATTCTCCAGAGACCAGAATCTCCCCAGGAACCAGAATCTCCTCAGGAACCAGAACATCCCCGGGAACGAGAGGTATCCCCAGAACGAAGCCTCCCGCCACCTCCCCTAACTCCCGAGGAGATCATGAACAGATTTTCGGTATCAGTTGCCCTCCCGGTCGCTCCGCCCGGGTCCCGCCGCTGGAGTCTAAGCAAGCCTAGCGGCAAGCTGCTTCGGAAGACCCGACGCGTTGACTCCAAGAGACTGGGGGGAGAATGGGGGACTCCTACTAGGTGAATCGGGGCTAGTGCGATCTTCATCACTATTCTCGGCGCTCTACTGCAGGTCACGGAGCGCGCCCTTCGATTGCGAAGGTCTAGAATCTGGGACTAGTCGCGGGCAAACGCCACACAAAACGGACGGCGCATGACTTTCGGATGCTTTTTTAACAGCATAGGATTATACCACTGGTGACTTTCCTTATTACTAGCGTTTATTTTGTTTTCTATAATATGGGTATGATACCTGGCCAAAAAACACTTCCTTTGTTTGGGTTTTTCTATGTAATATGCGGCGGCCCGTTGTGGCTTGAAATTCAGAATATGGTTTTCACCGTTATTTTTAGACGGGTAGTGATGACAGTGATACATGTTTCAACGTGCGGTGATTATCGATTGATTGTCTCGGGAGGGAAAAAATGGGCAATGTGCATGTTTCCAAGAGGCTTGGCAAGGGACGTGGAACTCCAATTGTTTCTCCCGGTAACATCGGGAGAATTGATTAACAGGCAAAGCGAAAACGAGCGCCCGTCTTGACTGTCCCAACTCCAGATCCTGAATCCTCTTCATGGCCCACGGCGCTGTAGGGTAAGCAGACTCGTCGCATTGAATTAATTCCATGTGCCAAGCCACTGAAAGCCAGGAACAGACCCCGCCCCCCGCCAACTGCCGCCGCCCAGGTCCCTAAAACAGCCCCCTGTGGCGGGGCGCAGTGGGTGATTGGGTGATTGGCCAGCCTCGCAGGCGTTCCCCAGGGACGTCTTGATTAGCAGTGCTTAGGGTGCTATAGCGCAAACTGACGTGTGAGGAGAGGCTCCGTGGCCTGTGTGTGTGCTACGTAAGGCACTACGTACGAGCTGCAACTTTGACGTCGTACGTAGTCTTTCCACCTGACTTTATCCTCACTTCTCGATTTCCCTCTTCCCTCCTCTGACGTCAATTTCCTTACTCTCTCCCGCATGCGTTCAACCTGACAACCGGCGCTGCAATTGCCCTTCTTTCTTCCCTCCCCGCTCCTTACCCTCCTCTGCAGCTCTGCAGCTGCAGAGTCAACACCCCTCCGCCATGGCCGCGTCGCTTCTCGAGCTGCCGGCCATGTTCCTGGGCCCGTTCTGGGCGTGGGTTGATGCCACGCCCATCTACGTCTTGATGGTCCTCTTCGTCGCGCTGATCCTCTTTGCGCTCCTAGCCGTAAGTCTTCTACCCCGAGTGCGCGCCGGCTGGAGCTCGTCCCCGACTGACCAAACCGCCTCCAGCTCTTCGTCCTCCTCCACCTCGTTGCGCCCAAGCCCCGCCCCGTCCTACCCTCCGAAAAGACGTACATCACCAGTCATCCTTCGACCGGACGAACCCAACCCCTCCCGCTCCCATGTTGGTACGACCGATGGCTGGCTGAGCGCCACCTCAGCGAGCAGCGTGCCCAGCCCGGCGAGGCCTACCCCACGCCTGACGCCGGATCTATCGAGCCTGCCGAGTTGCGTCTCAGCGTCGTGTTCCCGGCCTACAACGAAGAGGACCGCGTGATCCCAACGCTCGAGGAGGCCGTCCCCTACCTAGATGAGCACTTTGGCCGCTCGTCGCGCGCTAAGCCCGCAGTGACGAGCCCAACATCGAAGCGACACATGCGCAATGCGCCGAAGGTGGACCTGGGCGGGTATGAGATTATCCTGGTGAACGATGGGAGCCGTGATAAGACGGTGGATGTGGTGCTCCAGTTTGCCAAGGACAATGGCCTGCACGACATCTTGAGGGTTGTATCGTTGGAGAAGAACCGGGGCAAGGGAGGTGGCGTAACACATGGATTCCGCCACGTCAGGGGCGAGTACGTCCTGTTCGCGGATGCGGATGGAGCATCGCGGTTCAGCGACGTTGGCAAGTTGATTGAGGGATGCGAGGAGGTGGTTGATGGGTCTCATCGAGGCGTAGCTATTGGTAGCCGCGCCCACCTCGTTGGGAGCGAGGCCGTTGTTAAGGTATGTTTCTATCGTCATCCCCGGATCCCCTTGTTCTGTTCCAGCTAACACTCTTCTCAGCGCTCGGCCCTGCGAAACTTCCTCATGCGATCCTTCCACCTCGTCCTCATGATCCTCACCCCACCAGCCACTTCCCGCATCCGCGACACCCAGTGCGGCTTCAAACTCTTCTCTCGCGAGTCCCTCCCGCACATCATCCCCTACATGCACACCGAGGGCTGGATTTTCGACATTGAAATGCTCATGCTCTCAGAGTCCGCCCCGTCCACCCCTATCCTTGGTAGCGACGGCAGTGTTATTGGCACAAGTCCCGGCATCAAGGTCGCGGAGGTGCCTATTGAGTGGCACGAGGTCGGTGGAAGCAAACTCAACGTCATCCAGGACAGCATCAAGATGGCTATTGGCCTCGCTGTGTTGCGCGCGAGCTGGATGATGGGGGTGTATCGACGGCGGTTGACTTAGAGAAGAAGCTGTTCCCTGTGCGAGACTAGGGTGGTTAGCAATACACCAACCGGTTGGCCCGAAGTGGCCTGTGTATGAAACAAAATAAAAAAGGAAGTAAAAAAGGTTCATCTTCCCAAATATAGCATCCATTACTCAGAGCCTCTTCAATGTGACGTCAAATGAGTTGAGCAACTTGCAATGATTTCAAGTGGTGAATGCTTTTGCATTATTATTAACATATAATTATCTGCCGATTACAACGTCGCCGCAAAGAACGTGCCTATCCAAGAAATATACCATGAAAAATATGAAGTCGCTTCCCATGCCCCGGCTCTTTTCTTTCTCCTGTCTGAAACCCGGTATCACGAATGAATAAAAATGGATATATGTACTGGAGCGAAAACACCATCCTCTTTGCCCCCCTCCTCTTTGTACGAGGGGACCAGGGTGACGTTGAAATCTTTCTTTACTGAACACATTGGTGCAGAAAGCCAACCAAGCTCTTCCAAACGCCAGCTCGCGCCATTCATCGATTTCGTTTGGTTCATCTAAGAATTTTATCTCAGTACCCCTATCTTGGCCCTCTAGTTGCTGATTGCGTTTCTTGTGTTGGTAGAGATCACCTGAAGCCCTCGCGCCACATGATGGGGACGAAGACGATACAGGCCTTCCAGAGGATGAGTACGGCGTCGATTAGAGCGAGCGGTGCCCAGAGGAAGCCGAAGATGCTACCGCCCATGACGGCACAGGCGTTGAGCCAGATGGCGACGAAGGCAACAGAGAAGAAGTGGTAGCCAAGGACGGCGGGCCGATGGATGACGCCAGCGAGGAGACCGCAAGGGCCATCGATGATGCCGCGGCGGAAGTATTCGAAGCAGCCGAGCTGGAGAGCGCGCAGCTGGCGGTCGTTGGCAGCGAAGAGAGCGTACAGCGCTTGTGCGAGCACATTGATGATGCCGGTGAAGGACTTGCGACGCCAGTAGAGGTCGTTCATGGCGGCATTGATGGCGACGGGGTTGTCGAGGTTGGGGATGCGGTCCGGGTGCAGCAGCTCAGCGAGCAGCACAACGTCGTTGAAGGCGACAGTCATGCCACCGCCGGTGAGGGGGTGGCGCATGTTCATGGCATCGCCCAGGAGAATCATGCCGTTGGAGGTTTGGCGCGAGGGCGGCAGCCAGCTGTTGGGCATGCTGCGGGGGATCTTGCCGTCGGCGAGGGCCTTCTCGGCGGACGGTCGAATGGACTCGGGCAGAGCAGGGAGGACGTGCTTCTCGATGTAGCCACGGACACCGCCGTTGGCAGGCGAGGCCTCGGGGAGGTTCGGGGGCACGTCGATGAGGGCGCGGGTCTCGTGGGTGCCGATCTGGTAAAGGAGGATGGGGAAGGCGTTGCCGATAATGACATGGCCGTGGCCGGGGGCCGGGAGTTTGCAGTCGATGAGCTCGAGTGCGTAGAACTTGGATTTCACGTCAGGGCGAGTTCCGAGGACCTGCTTGCGGAACTTTGAGTCGTAGCCGTCGGCGATGATGGTCAGCTGGCCAAAGTAGTAGTCGGGCTCCTTGACGCCCGTCTCCTTGTTGGTGGTGCGGCTCTCGACTCCAAGGATTTGCTCCGTGTGCTCGCCGTGCAGCGTCTTGACCACCTCAGTCTCGACGACGGTGATCTTCTCGTGGGCCAGGCACGCGCGGCGCAGCTGGGTAATGAAGCGGCCGTGGTGGAACCCGCGTCCGACCTGCTTCTTCTCGCCGGGCTTGTTGTTGCCTCCCCAGGCGTTGGGGACCTGGTCGTTCTCGTCGAGCCCGGGGTAGGGGATCATGACTGGTTGGCCGTGGTAGATGACGGTGTAGCCGTAGCAGGGGACGGCGTCAATGTCGTCGAGGGTGTGGCCGAGGCCCAGCTTCTCGAGGGCTGCGATGCCGCCGGGCTGGAGCAGCTCGCCGACAATGCGATCGGGCTCCTTGAGCCAGCGCTCCAGGAGCAGGACGGAGCGGCCCTGGTTGGCGAGGGCATATGCGACGGCGCAGCCGAAGACGCCGGCGCCGACGACGACGACATCGGCCTCGTGGTATTTCTCGCGGCGACGAGTCTGCGACTCGGCCGTGGTGATGGTGGTCATGGTGTAGTGAGAGCAGGAGTTTTAGGTGAAGAGTGGTAGTCGTCGAGGAAGGGTTCGAGGGGCGAGGGTCTCTTAGTTGGGGGGGGTGTGGATTCGATTTAGATTAGGCCTTTGTAGCTCGACGAAGAGAATCCAAGCTCGCCAATGAGACAAAGGGGAGAGGAATGAGGAGAGTGGAAAGGAGGGGGAGGAAAAGAAGGAAGGCGGCGGCAGGATAGTATAGGTTTGGAGGTTTAGAGGATTCGATGCACAAGAGTCGGTGTCGTTGCGTTGATCGTTGACGTCGTTGTCGGATGCCGGGGATTGCCGTTCCGGGTGCGCAAGTGTAGGGAGGTAGTTGGGGATAATGACGCCGTCTGGTGCAACTGGCAGGCAGCACAAACAAACACAGCCAATGATGAATTGACGGGGGAAATCAGGAAATCAGGAACAATTGACAATGCGAGTCTGTCGTCGCCAACAGCAAGACTATAAGAACCAACAGAGGCCGTTCGCTCTCTTTCTCTCGAGTCAATTGACCGGAGTCGCTCCGTCTATAAGTACGTTGTCGACCCTTTTTCCTTTTTTCTCTCTCTTCCCGTTGTCAGTCGTGCACCCTGGACAGGCGGGCCAGTCCGACGACAGTCAATTAGCCTATAGCATGTCACCCATTCGCGGCTCCCATCTTGCGACTCTGGCTGTGCCGCTTCACATGCCATGCCATGGATTGCACGGCCTGGTAGAGAGAGAGACCGTGCCAGCGGGAGTTGTTTGCGTCCCAGCAGGGCTGTTCCCAGTGGCTGGGTGCCTGTAAGAGGTCCTGTAGGGGGCCCTGTAGAAACTATGGGTGGACACTGCCCCTGGCTAACGCCCTCCAAACCCCCCCGCACACACGCTGTGTCCTGTTGCCTTAGGGGGTCACAGGCCCCAACGGTCCCCATATCGCACCACCACGCCCCATAAGCCTCCCTGACCGCCTGGCGACGCACCAATGGCCGCGCGCGCCGGCCGCCGCAGATGGTTCGATGGGTCCATTGTCCTACCAAATGGGCTCAGGGATCCGGTCGTTTTCGTCTGGCCAGGATTTGTTTTCGTTGCGATTGGCATGTGAAAGTCGTCGCCAAAGTGTTGGGGGAAAGTCAGAGCACAGCGCGGCGACATCGTACGGCGTCAACGTCAGGAGCCAGGCCGCTCAGCCCCAAGACGCCCGCGACTGAGGCTTCCAATTGCTCTGCCGTCCTGACCCGGTCCCGCCAGTCCCGGTCCGTCTTCGTACCGGCATTTCGCATTTCGCATTCGGGTCCGTTCCTGCGTTGCGCCGTGTGCCGCCAATCATGCCCGTGTGAATTGGTCTTGTCAGATCCTGCAGGACATCCCACTCCAGTGCTACTCCCGACTCCCACTTCTTCTAAGCCATGCGGCGCCATGTTTGCATGTGTTATGTGGCATCTTTATGCCCTTTTTGTTCCGTCTTCTCTCCTTTCTCGTCTCAATTCTCTTCCGGGGCTTGTGCCAACTGCCGGCAATTGAGGCCGTGGGTATTGCGAATTACCCACACCATAAGACCATACCACCCGACATCACGTCATCTCTTGGAACCATTCGACTAGATTCAAAGTAGACTTCGTCACCACGATATTTGCATTCTTGAATTGATTGTCTTTTGTGTTCTCTATTTTGTTATATAGGTATATGATGTACATGAGATAGTTAGACAAGAAGGAAGTTGCTATGTGCGTAGTATCGTCATGGAAGCCGTTTTATCAACGGGCAAACAACTATCCATGTGCCACTTCATGCCACCTAGGCACGAATATCTCTTCTTGTTGCGTTGCCAGCTCCGTAGCTCGTGTCGTTTTATGCAGGGGCTCCGCCTTGCCGCCCCTCAAGCCCTTCGATTGCTCAGTCTTCATCTGCCCATCTTGATATACACCCTCCTCTAATTGCTCTGAGTTTCGAACCCTCGTTGTGGGAGCCTCCCAGGACATCCTCGCCGTAAGTGCTCGACGCTCCACTGGAGCCTCTTCTTCTAGATGGTCACTGTCCAGTTCCTGTACATGGTCCATTTGTTTCAACACACCGACCACCTCTTGCGTCAGGACTACTCGATCCTGCCGAATTGTAGCTCGGAGTGTCTTTACATGCTCAAGTGCCTGGTCCAGGCACACCAACACTTGCTCGTGCGTCTCTCGGTCTGTTGGGGGTGACTTGGACACCCGTGTCGCCACTGCTTTTATGGCCCGTTTGAGAGACTCTTTGCATTCCTTGCTGCCTTGCCACCACTCTGATTTGGAAGTGAAGCTCATGAGAAGTGACCGGAGATCATTGTATCGTCTCTGGCCAGTGTATGAGAAAACCAAGCTGGCAAAATTGAATCGACTGTATGCCAGCTCCCCCTTTCCATTTTGCCGTGCCGCAAGCTCACACACCTTGATCGCCCCTTCCTGGAAGCCCTTCTGGGCTAGAGTGCGTGCTGCCTTGTTGTACACGCTATCATGGACGTGCGCTCCTTGACCAAGAGCCTCTTGGAGCAAGCTGCCCACATCATCTCCAGACTCGAGTCGGGCCACCAGTAATGGGACCAACGCGCCACTGATATCATGGCCTTCGACATGTGCCTTGCCAACAAGCTCCGTCGCTGTGCGAGAATGGGGGCCTTCGAGGTTGACGTTCGCAATGACGGCTAGTCGAAGGCAACGGGAAGAAAACCCAATACCCTTTTCCGATGCCTCTTTAAAGGCATCGTACACCTGTTGCCAATGCTTCTCCAGAGCCCATGTGTTCATGCACCTGAATGCAGTCCGCTCAAAGACGGTAAATGAATCCCCTGGTGTGTTGGGAAGTTTCGATACCATGCCGAAACCGTCCCCCGTTGAGTCCTCTCCCGGTAGAGACTTGTGCAAGTCGCTCAAAGCGCCACGTACAGAGTATTTGGCCACATGAGGATCTTGGACCCAAGGCATGAAACTCCGCACACCTTTCAGCATATGGACAATATCAACTCTTGCAAGGTTCCAGTACCTGCAACATTTGTCGACGATTTCGTTGAAGAAGATCTGGTTCATCTCGAGCCCACCGTTGTGGCAGAATTGGAGCCATTTGATAAGAGCCTGGGTGTCGCGATTCCGCCCGTGTCGGTCCAAGACGAGGAAAGCCAGAGGCTGATTCAGCGTCATCCCATGGATACTGACGAGGTCCCGGATGAAGATGTCGATCTCTTCTGAAGAGTGGTCTTTGCAATATATTTTCGTAAGCCATGACAAAACATTTTGATACTGGTCGCCTGTCTCCCCCTTGACTTTGAGACCTTGTACTTGTGGCCATACTGCTTTCCAGTTGCCGAGGGAAGCATCTCGAATGGCGAATCTCCCTCGAAGTTTGATGTCATATTCCGTGGCCTTGGGTCTGAGTTGTCGGAGTAGTTTCATTTCAGCTATCGCTGTCGCATTATCGCCAGCATCGAGAGCGATCAAGGCAATTCTGCGTCGGATCGAGTATTGGGTGATTAGGGAGAGGAAGCCGTCATCGAAGAGACCGGCATCCTGGAGTAGATTATAAATGCTCTTGATTTCGGTAAAATTTTGTGTCTTCCTCCAGTAGTGCATAAGCAACCGAGTTATCCATGTATTGCGCTGGTTGTGAGGAGTGTCCTCGGTTTTCCAGGTTGGGGATTGAAATAAGTGTTTCAGTAGCTGGCGAACACCCTCCGTGTCACACTTCGCGTGCAAACTGTCCATAGCCGGTACGGCCAAAAGGCAAATTTCACTGCATGCTGGACGTAGCGTGTCGAGGATGGCGGGCATCTTGCTGTGCTCCTGAGAATCGACCACAGACTGGAGAATGCGAAGTCCTCGGGATAGAGACGACTTGGGCTCCAAGAAGTCCGACGGCATTAACCTCCCGAGCAATGCCATTGCTGAATCTAATCGTTCAGGAACCACAGCTCTGTCAGCCTCAGGCAACTGCAATTCAGCGATGAGGCGATCCAACACAACCAATGACTCCCGCAAGGATGCCTGGTTCTCTTCATGGACTGTTTCCTCCGGGACAGTCCCAAGGGCCTCCGTTGCTGGTTGGAAACCAATTGATAGGGCGTGTGCGTCCTGACTGATGAAAACCGCAGGTGGGAGCGCGCCGCCTTCTGGGTCTTGTCGTTTAGATGACTTGGAAGACGAGGCCTCGTCGACTTCAGTGGTTTGTTCTCCAGGAAGCTCCGAAGAGCGACCAACCGTTGGTATGGTCGACTCATCCGTAACGTCTGCATCTTGTTCTCTGTTTCTCAATTGCCGCGGTCTCGGAGCGATTACGATTTCGTCCGTTGACATCCGCAAAAAAAGTTCGTGGTGAGCAAATGGTGCTGGAGAAGCCATTCGTGAGAGCTCCTTTCGTGCTAAATCCCACTCATCCCACTTCTTTTGTCGCGTTTCGGGCGTTTCGGGCGACAACGTGGCGGGGTGGTTCGATGACGGAGAAGTCTCTGCTTGCTCAACAGCCTCTGCCTTCACTGAACCACGGGGTGGTTGTCCATTTCGTCGTCGGCGGCGAATGGTCCCTCGGGGGTTCGGGGAGGTGGAAAAATCACCCCCAAGCTCGGCCGGGTATGCATCCCGTCGCCCGAAGCTCTCGTTCAATGCGATCGAGTTGTGATTGACCCGGACGGTGTGTAGCTTCTTGGCATTGTCGATTGCGGCGCGGGCGATCTTGAGGCGTTGACGGCGTTCTTCGGCGAGGAGAATGACCGAACAGGATGTCGTTAGGAGAACGCCGCGGAGAGCATGGATGGCAGTCCTTGACGGGACCGGGTTGGAAGACGCCATCTCAGGCGGCCATTGTTGGGACTGTGGCCACTGATGCCTGGAGATGACTCGGCTAGGGCGTAGGCTCGACGGAGAAATCGCAATTCGGAGGGTGGTTGTCGTTTAATGTTCCAATGTCGCTCAGCGGAATGGCGTGGTGTGATTCCCATTGGAGGTTGAAAGTCATTTCACTTCGGGTTGTGAGCTGAGGGAAAAACCTCGGCAAGAACTGATGACCCTTGGACACACTGTGCACTTAGATAGACGCACCCTTGAGAGTGGGCCTAGCCAGACTTGTAAGACTGGTTGTTGGGTGGAGGCGGATGCGGAACGCTTCTGCTCTAGTAATTCAGCTTTAATCCCCGTTAACTCCAGCTTCTTCTCCTTGACCGCGATGCGCAATGTGGTGTGCAAGTCCACGAAACTCCCTCATGGGCAAAATCTCCTCTCCGCTGTGGAGTGATTTCAAAGCAGCATCGTAACCGAGAACGCGTTCCGTAACCGAGAGCGAGATGCAGATATGGTGGTGTTGATAATCGTCATGGTGGATAGAATTAAGGCCGTGCAGTCCGCACTTGCAGGATTGTGTAGCATCCACACACCCATCACGTCACTGACGCTTTCCAGAGATGGCAAGCTCCCTCCTTCTGGCGTACCAGATGTGATGTGAATGGCTGCATACGAGGCCTTGCCCGGCTTTTGGACCGGAGTTTACACAAACTACGGACGGGTGATCAATTGTCAAGGTAGCTCATTGAGGGCATCAACAATATAAATATCATCCATGAGAATAGGGTCTTGTCGGCCGTTCCTCTTGTCACCGGCATCTTTCCATCTTTCACTGGTAGAGCCTTCCAAGAAATTCAATCCGTTGCCCTCATCTTTACAAAGCTACCCGCCCCACGTTTTGCCTTGGTCACCTGCTTCTCGCCAGCTCCTCGTTGAGCCCTAGCATCGCTATCTTACCTTCGCCTCGAACACGTACCGAAATCAACACTGGCAGGGTCACTCTCTGCTCAATACAATGGCTCTTCCTTTTGCCCCCAGCCCCAAGAGCCCGCTAGCTCGACACCGACTCTTGTCACCCACAGCCGCCGTGCGGGTTAGCCCCTTGTGTCTCGGAGCAATGAACTTTGGCGATGCCTGGTAAGGACCGATTTTGGTAAATGGACGGCCTTGAGCACTGACACCAGTTCAGGAAGCAGTTCATGGGAGAATGCGACCAGATCTCAACTGAGTCCATGCTTGACTTCTTTTACGAACAGGTAAGTCAATTTGGTGCAGACCTCATAAGAAAAGCAAAGCGCTGACCTGGAATTTCTTAGGGAGGTCAGTCATCGGCGTACTAGACACTGAGCCAACCCATTACTGACTTGTTCAGGAAACTTCATTGATACGGCGAACAACTACCAGTTTGAAGACTCCGAGAGATGGGTCGGAGAGTGGATGAAGAAGCGTGGAGTTCGCGATGAAATAGGTTGGTATCTCCATAATCCGCGTTTTTATTCGCCATGAAAACTGACTGTTGGTAAAGTCCTGGCCACAAAGTACACCACCAACTTCCGCGGTGGACCCAATGCTACGCACATCATGTCCAACTTCCAGGGAAACGGCACCAAGAGTCTATTAACCTCCGTCAATAATAGTTTGAGGAACCTGCAGACGGAGTACATTGATTTGGTAAGCCCCTTTGAATAGCTCAATACGGAATAATAGCTAAAATACTCATCAGCTTTACGTCCACTGGTGGGACTACAGTACTTCAATTCCAGAGCTAATGCAGTCTCTCAATCAGCTTGTCGCCTCAGGAAAGGTCTTGTATCTGGGCATCAGCGACACTCCTGCTTGGGTAGTGAGGTGAGAATAACATTTCTTTTTACTTAAAAGCCGGCTGTATGCTTACAACCTAATAGCAAGGCAAATGAGTATGCACGAAACCACGGCCTCCGCCAGTTCTCCGTCTACCAGGGCAATTGGTCGGCTGCCTCGCGTGACTTTGAGCGAGATATCATTCCCATGTGCAGGGCCGAGGGCATGGGTATTGCTCCCTGGGGAGCTCTCGGAGGAGGTAAGTTCAAGACCGAGGTGCAGCGCAAGGCCATGGAAGGGCGACAAGTAGAGGCTAGCGAGATCGAGATCAAGGCCAGCAAGGTTCTGGAGGCCATCGCTACCCGCAAGGACACCATCATCACGAGTGTTGCGCTTGCGTATGTCATGCACAAGACGCCATATGTATTCCCCATCGTTGGGGGCCGAAAGTTGGACCACATCAAGGGTAACATCGAGGCGCTCACCCTTGAGTTGACCGAGGAGGATATCCAGGAGATCGATAACGCCGTGGAATTCAGCTTGGGATTCCCTCACAGCTTTCTCTACCGCCCAGGGCAGACGAGTGGGAACCAGGATATCTGGTTGCTAAAGATGGGAGGTCACTTCGACTACGTCGCTGACAACAAGGTGAGCCTATAGCATCCCAGGACCTTTCGGGAATATGTGCTAAAAAAAATTCAGCCGATCGCTGCATCCAAGGGAGGGGAGTAGAGTTTCCGTTTCAAGTCACACCAATGGCGATGGTGGCCGCGTCGGCATCCATTCACTCGCTGGCAGGGAGAAAGTACAGTATATGAGAGACGGGCGTAGTGAAGGTCAACTGGTTTCGAGACAAAACAATAGCAAATATTCCCAATCAGCACTATGGAGCCTAAATTAATTAAAACCACGACTTTCTTTCCGCTGCCATGGTCCATTGTAGCTAAGTTCTTGGGGTACAGCCAGAAGAGACTGCGGACATGGGTAATGCCCAGACATGGTCGTCCGTCCGGTGATTCAGTCTACACCATTTATATGATCTCGGTTCCCATTGAAATAATTGATTTAAACATGAGCGCTGTCGCTCTAGTGATTGTGAAGGGGGATACTTGGCGTCAACATTGACCGACATCCGAGGTTGCCTAGGCGCTCCTTCCTTAAATCGAGAAGCAGCTTCCTGCCCCCAAGTGACTGAGGTACTGCCACCCAAGTGACTACTGCCACCCAAGAGAATGAGAAATTCCCCACCTCTTCTGTTCTGAATAACAGGGTCTCTTTCTTATACCTCTCTTCACTTTGTTTTTTTCGGCGAGAGCAAACAGTACCAAACCAATCCTTCACCGAAGCTGCTTCTGTGTACCATCCAATTCTTTTGCGACCGGCACAACATGATGAGACACGGCTATTTTGGGCGTGCAACAAGTGTCCCTTGTCCGGATCGCGCCGATGATTCACCAAGCCCTTGCACAAGACGGAGTCTTGCCCCGGAATTCCAAGTGCATGTTGACGACGTGACCGAACTCAGCGTCGTATTCTCAACGCCAGATGAGCTCAAACATGTTGACTTGTATGCGCCTTGCCGGCCTTTGACCTGTTGAGCTCTACTAATATGGCATAGGATACCAGAAACACAACTCTCCAGCGATTTCGAACGAGAAACCCACACCGACTCGCCCGCCCAGAGTGCAGGGAGGTGTAGCAGTCCGAAACTCATAGAGGCATCGACTTTCCACACTCGTTCGACATTGAAGAGAAGGCGAAACGAGTCGATCCGCTCCGTCAAGGACGATTATCCCGCTCCTGTCAGGTCCAAAAGAGGTATTTGGCCCCAATGCCATGATCCTGTCCATGCAATTGGCGAAGGCTAACTGGGCTCAAGGTCCGCTCAGAATCGAAAGCATCTCTCTGTCTCACAAAACGACTCCTCCACGACCCATCAAACCTGGGCCAATGACGCCAACAGAGAACAAACTGAAACCTGTTCCACGGAATGCCCCTCGTAACATCGAGACCAAGGGAAAATACACTATTCGCAAGGGAGTCCGCATCAGAGACTACAGGGTCCCTGTAAGAGCCACCAATGCCTGTCTTTCGCCATCCAGCAGTCCCGAGTTTCAGTGTCGTGACGGTTTCGATTCTAAAGAAACACGTTCTGACCAACCTCCCCCAAGGACCATACGCAGATACGGTAAGAACTTAGAACGGCAACCAAAATCACCCCGACAAGTACCACCAAGTCCACCAAATGACTCGAGCCTAAGGACTGCCAGTCGGAGCCCGCCGTTGGGCACAGGGGACAATGAATATGACTTCTCAACCACGTTCGAAGCTATACAACCTAATCGAAGGAAAGAGGTGGAATTCAGTGAAGGAGAAACTATTCAGTGAGAATCAGGAACGAAGGGATGAGATGAATGGGTCACGAAGTGCTCATCAAGATCCAGTCCATTGCAGGGGTATCTACATGTAAACGGCCCCCCGAACTCAAGAGTACTAGTTTCAATTAAACGCAAACGAGATCCCATCACCCGCCCGAACGCCTATTCGGATGAGGCCGCCCTCTTACATAGACTGTTGTCTACTTGGCACCCTTGCCCTTTGCCTCGTTGTCTCCAAGCTCCCGGATTAGCACGGACGTCTGGCCCTCGCCGTTGTAGTCTTCCTGCCCAGTCTCGAAGCCGGGACACACTCCCACGGCCAGGTATCTGCCGTCACTAGAGAATGAGAGCGCCGCAACACTGTTTGGGAACTTCTGGTACTGTTTTAGTCTTCGCTTTGCCTCCGCGTCCCACAAGGCGGCAGTGCCGTCACCACCTCCCGACGCAAACGTTCCGTGAACCGGGTGGAAAGCCAGTGCATTCACAGGGTACACGATATCTCCGTCGCCATCTGTTGCTGCCTGACGGTGACACTTGAAAGCATACTTGCGGGCTTGGGACTCTGCAGTGTCCTCGAACCACTCCACAGCAACTCGGCCCTCGATACTGCTCGTGGCGTATCCAGCATCATTGGGCATGCAAGCCACAGCCCGTGTCAGATACCTTAGAGAGGATTCGCGCTGCTGCCATGGCTTAAGGTCCGTAGAGCCAGATACGAACATCTCCGCGATGGTGTCGAGGTCGTAGATGTTGATGACACGTCCTGTCATGGCGACAACAACCTTGGTTGGGCTAGAAGCCAAGGCATGAGGCTTTCCTGGCAGGGCAACTCGGATGGGTTCGCTTGAAGGGTCCTTGAGGTTGTGGAGGTTGAGACTGCAGTCCCATGACGCGGAGACGAGAATGGCTGCCTCCTTGTTAGCATGGCACAGCAACGCGCCAGGGTGAACTTACAATGCGAGCGGCTATATGTTACACAGCGCACCGGCGCAGCATGCTTGCTTAGAACAGTCTTCTCTCCGCTTTCCAAATCGATCCTGCGCGATCTCGTTAGCTCCAGGGACCTAGAGGCGCGTGCGACTGCATTATGCCTACCTGTTGACCGCCCAGTCCATGCCGGCCGTGAATGCCTCATTATCATCGGCACCGAAACACACATCCAACACAGGCGCCCGGTGTTCATAGGTGTTGAGTAGGTTAGTCTCGCCCGCGCCGCCAGCGATATCGTAGCAGTAGACCTTCTTGTCCCATGACGAGACGAGAAGCTTGGTTCCTGAGGTTGGCGCGAAGGAGATGGATGAGACCGCGTCGCCCGGGGGCGGGGACAACTCGTATTGTGTCGCTGGGATGGTATTAGTACGTTTCACTCCAATGAACCAGCTACACGCGCGAGGAACTTACCAGGAGCCATGGCCAATTGCGCGCTTGAAGTGAATGACAGGTGAAGCTTTGGATGTTTACTTGCTTAGTCACGTGGCGATAGCTTCCATCATAGTTGATCTGGTGTGTTCTGCCAGGGCTGACCGCCCGGGAACTAGCCACACCCCGCCACACCCCACCATCATCGGCTGTATCGTAAAATGTCAAAATTATGACTCCGCATCCTTAACTCCCCCTCCACGAGAAACGATTTGCGATCCGACCACGAGAAATCGACGAACGACGGGTTGACATTCATGCCCCCAAGAAAACACATCCACTCAGACTTTTTCGGCCGTATTTGAAGCTCGACTCGCGTGTGCAAAAGCCCACCCTGGGATCCAACCCCACCTCGCCTCTATATCCCGACCCAACCTTCCGAATCCTCGACAATACCGCCAAGATGTCGTTAACAAACTGCCGTTTTTACGAGGAGAAGTTCCCGGAGATCGATAGCTTCGTCATGGTCAATGTCAAGCAGGTCAGTACAAGTCAGGTCTGTCTGCATACACCCGATCTGACCCACTGTAGATCGCCGAGATGGGTGCCTATGTCAAGCTGCTCGAATACGACAACATCGACGGCATGATCCTGCTCTCCGAACTGTCGCGACGACGTATCCGAAGTATCCAGAAGCTCATCCGAGTCGGTCGCAATGAGGTCGTCGTGGTGCTCCGTGTGGACAAGGAGAAGGGTAAGCCTGACTTGTAGGCCTGAGCGATTTCGAATGGGAACTGACGAGGTGGCAGGATATATCGATTTGTCAAAGCGACGAGTATCTCCCGAGGATATTGTGAAGTGCGAGGAGCGATACAACAAGGGCAAGATGGTCCATTCCATCATGCGACACGTCGCCGAGAAGACCCAGAACCCTATCGAGTCTCTATACGAGAGCATAGCCTGGCCACTGAACAAGAAGTTCGGCCACGCCATCGACGCCTTCAAGCTCTCTATCACGTCAGTTGAATACATTACTACATGTTGGATTACTGCTAACATTGCGAAGCAACCCCGAGGTTTGGAACGACATCACCTTCCCCAACCAGCCTGTCGCCGATGAGCTCAAGCTCTACATCAGCAAGCGACTCACTCCCCAACCGACCAAGGTCCGAGCTGATATCGAGGTCACCTGCTTCGGTTATGAGGGTATCGACGCTGTCAAGACTGCCCTTCGCACTGCCGAGGCCAGGAACACTGAGGAGTCCCAAGTGAAGGTCAAGCTGGTGTCCCCTCCCCTGTACGTCCTCACCAACACGTGCCTGGACAAGAGTCTAGGAATTACCGCCCTAGAGGAGGCTATTGTCGAGATCCGAAAGAGCATCGAGTCTGCAGGTGGCAACTTGATCGTCAAGATGGAGCCCAAGGCCGTTACGGAGAGCGACGACGCCGAGCTCCAGGCGCTCATGGAGAAGCGTGAGCGCGAGAACGCCGAGGTCAGTGGCGACGAGAGTATGAGCGACAGCGACGACAACATCCCCGAGACCATCTAAGGATTGGCCGGGATAAAGCACACCGGGGCGAGCTGAATCGGCAGGTCTGCTCGAGCAGTCCCGGGGTCGCCCCTCGAGCGGGGCGTCGGACAAAAAACGGTGTCATTAGACGCGGTTTGGGAGACGGGCAGAAGGCGTCTGTCCATGCTGCAAAAGCATCACAAAAGTTCGACATTCATGTAGTTATTCAAGTAGGAAGTGGCGTCTAACACGGCTTTTTCACGATCAATCTCTTTGGCTAGGTGTCATATTGTGCGTTCATACTGTGGGCATGTGGCGGAAAATGGCGGCATATTGATTGAGTACGGCGATATGTCGATTTCCTTTTCGAGCCGGTACATTGAGCCGGGTTTATCATGGAAGATGCAACATTAACAGGATGACGGGGTTGAGGTTGAGGTTGGTGAGGCTCAGTTGGAACACTTTGCCGGAGGGGCTGCGACCATGGACGTTAATGTGGGTGCCGGGACTAGCCGAGAAAAGCTTAGACAATCCTGGCACATCAATGATCAATCATCACCAAGAACTCAACTCTCAACGTGCCCATCTCATACGAAATGTCCCACAACGCCACGCCACAACGACAACGGTAAATTTTCAACGCCTTCATGGCTCTTGGCTCAATATGGGGCCGGGCTCGAGCCGGCGGTCAGCCCAGCGTCCTGCGGGCCACGGCGTGGAAGTTGTTTGGCTTCGCAACGTGGATCCCGGTCATTGCCATGTTCAACTTGCACGTGGCGGAATTGACGGTTGTGGACGGAAACTCGATGTTCCCGCTGCTCAATGACGACAAGGATTCGACGCTGCGACGGGATGTGATTTTCAACTACAAGTGGTCACCGCAGGAGAACCTCGAGAGGGGCATGGTCGTGACGTTGCGGTATGGATGGTCTTTGCGAGCTTCACCTTTTTCGTGCGGGATGGAAGAACGAAGGAACCTAAGCTGACACTGGGACTCAGGAGTCCTATGCATCCTGAAAGCATTGCGATAAAAAGAGTCGTCGCGCTGGAAAACGACGTGGTGCAGACCAAGGCGCCGCATCCGATGCCGACAGTGAGGGTGCCGCAAGGCCATGTGTGGGTCGAGGGCGATGGACCGCCAGGGTCGAGCCTGGACAGCAACACGTATGGCCCGGTCTCGAAGCAGCTCCTGACGGGCAGGGTGACGTACGTTGTGTATCCGTTCCGCAAGCTGGGTACGTTGCGGTGGTGGGAGCATCCTGCGGCGGCCGACAGAGTGAAGCGCAGCGAGATTTCTGAATGACGATGGCAAAAGTGTATTAGTACTTGGGCATGGAGGGCGGATAGATGTACAACACGACTGGTGATGGAACTGGCATTGAGGTTGCCAGTCGACTGTATGAACTTGAAAATACCACTTATTCTCCAAAACGGTCATCACATCAACCTATGCTTGATACTCTTTAGTCTCACCCATTGATACTATGGGGTGGAGGCATCATTTCACTAAGCTCTTACTATTTCGGCTTTCAATGATATTTTTATCGTATTTATTTTGAGTAAGCCAAATAACAAGTGAAGGCCTTTGCCGAAGAGCGCACTTTCAACTGCACGCATTGGTCTGCTGCATGGATATTCGACTGAGAATATAAAAAAGTACCCGAACCCTTCACTCTAAACATTCCCTCTCAGAAGAATGAAAGGTAAATTTGCTATTCATTGACAGAGCATAACGGGGTTTTAAATAGTTACGGATAGTTCTTCAAGTCGTTCACGCGTGACATGCTATATTCGCATAGTCAGAATTGGTAGTAAGCATGAGTTCTAAGACGAAGGTTGTGTCGCAACAGTCCATCGAGACTGAGACCATCCCACCAATGGCGCACGGACCCCAACGGAAATGTCCCGGGTTAGTCAGGCCAGGGAAGAAATCGGGGACTGACTCTCTTTTGTGTGCTGGCGGGCGGCGGGCGGCGGGCGGCGCACCATAGATTAACCACTGAAGGACCCGCACCGCACCGCGCAAGGCGTGGCCAAGTGCTAAGCGGCCCGCTAGGAGGGCGCATTCCAAGCATTTCCAGAGAGCAAACCAACAAAATTCTCGACATCACCATCTCCGATACTTCTCGACCCGGCACGCGACCCCGACGACACCTCTCCGCCTCCGCCTCCGCCTCCGCCCGCGCCATTCCGCCCTCCCGGCTTCTTCGCTTGCTCCCCAGCGACGTCCCCGGGATCCTCTCCCTCACACCTACCACACAACACCACACCGGTGACCGACACAGCAGCCCCATCCGCTCTCCCGCGCGCCGCTCTCCAACTCCGACTCCGACTCCGACTCCCTCTCCTCCTCCTCGGAGAATGCCCCTAGGTCTCCAGGACTCGCCCCTCGTCTTCGCCCCCGCTACGACGACGACCCCGGCCGCAGCGAGCGACTACGCACCCTCTCCAGGGCCTCGAGATGCCGCCCAGACGGGCCGCCGCTTGGATAGTAACAGTGCCGGACTCGCCCCGAGTCAGATCATGACCAACGAAGATGTCGAGTCCGAAGCTCGATCGCCCTATCTCCATGTGCGTACCACAGCGCCAGTCCTGGAACTGAGTGCGCTAACCTAGAGACAATTGCAGGCTATGATTGCCGGAGGCATTGGAGGCTCAACCGGCGACTTGTTGATGCACTCGCTCGACACTGTCAAGACGAGGCAGCAGGGCGACCCGCATGTGCCCCCGAAATACGCATCCCTCGGACAATCCTATTACACCATTTGGAGGCAGGAGGGCATTCGAAGAGGTCTCTACGGCGGTTGGATCCCCGCATTGAGCGGCTCGTTCCCCGGCACCGTCCTGTTCTTCGGCACCTACGAGTGGAGCAAACGCTTCCTGATCGATCACGGCCTCCAGCAACACCTTGCATATCTATCGGCAGGTGAGTTTCTCTGCCATGGCCCAATTGCTGCTGTACAGACGCTAACCGATCGTGTCCAGGCTTCCTCGGAGATCTAGCTTCCTCCGTAGTATACGTTCCTTCAGAAGTCCTCAAGACCCGATTGCAACTCCAGGGTCGATACAACAACTCTCACTTCCATTCCGGCTACAACTACCGCGGCACAGTCGACGCCGCGCGCACCATTGTCCGGACCGAGGGAGCCTCTGCCCTCTTCTACGGCTACAAGGCCACCCTGTACCGAGACCTGCCCTTCTCCGCCCTGCAGTTCATGTTCTGGGAGCAGTTCACCACCTGGGCCCGCAAGTATAAGCAGAGTCGCGATATTGGCGTCCCTCTCGAGCTCCTCACCGGTGCTAGCGCTGGCGGCCTCGCGGGCATTATCACCTGCCCTCTGGACGTCGTCAAGACCCGCCTCCAGACCCAAGTCAACACATCAACCGATTCTCGCCACTCCAAAGACCCCAACCCGCAAATCCGACACATCTCCACCTCCTCCCCCAACACCCACCGGCCCAGACCCGGCGCTGTCGCCCTCGAGGCGTCCTCGGTGGTGACTGGCCTCAAGGTCATCTACCGCACTGAAGGCGTGGCCGGATGGTTCCGCGGCGTCGGTCCCCGAGGCGTGTGGACCTTTATCCAGAGCGGCTGCATGCTGTTCTTGTACCAACGAATACTTCGCCAACTAGAAGTTTTGATGCCCGTTGAGCATGAGGACTTGTAGACCCCTCCTTTTACATTTTTTGTTTTATTGCCCCTTTTTTACGTTTCCCACGCGGCCCAACGCTTCAAAATCCCCACCATTTGCTTTTACAAAAACCCTGGTAGATGATTGTGATGGACATGTTTGTACAGATATAGAGACGTGTGGGCAGTGGGCAGCCGTCATTGTTGGGCGTTGGGAATAGAAGGATTACCAGGTCAGGCATATCAGATACGCTCATAGATATAGAGAGAGCCGTGAACATAGAGCCTCTCTGATTTCAACTCTGCACCGTGTTCAGTAAATCAATGTGAAGTTGGTCTGTTTGCGAATTTCAGGTAATTTCAGTCGGCTAAGTACATCTCTGAGAACTAAACAGGGATTGACATGATGCTTGTGTATAAGAGTCGTAAAAGGGACGTATATGCATGAGTCCAAACATCAAAAGGGTATACTCAAAATAGCAGCAGCAAACAACAAAACATCTCTTTAAGGGTTATACACCTCCAACTCTCTTCAATTTCCACTAGAGCCCCGCTCTCACAACCCTCACGCATCTGGGTCACTGTCATCGATGACGGGCAGCTCCTCGAAGTCGGATGCGCGAGTCATGAGCTCGTCGCGAGCCAGGCACACAGCAAGAGCGATTGTCAGGGCATTCCAGACGCTCTGGTGTCTATCCTGGAAGTTGGCCCGGACGTGGAAGCTGACGTAGGCGGAGTCTCCCTGCGCGGCGTCTATGGTGAGCAACAAGACTGTAGTGTTGAGAATGAAGAGCCCGTAAACAACTGGCGGATTGTAGCGGTATTTTGGCCGGGACGGTGTGACGGGCTCCTCGTCCTCGGGGGACGGGGAGGTTGGTTCGCTCTCTGTTTCTTCGTGATCAATTTCTTTGCTCTCGATATCTTCGCTCTCGCTTTCTTCGCTCTCGATTTTTTCGCTCTCGATTTCTTCACTATCGCTTTCTTCGTGATGAGTTTCTTCGTGATCAATTTCTTCGCTATCGATTTCTTCGCTCTCGATTTCGTCGTCATCGATTTCTTCGTCTTCAAGCTTGATTCTCTTAGGGGGAGGACCGTCGGCGGTCGCTCTGTGTTCCTCGCCAGGTGGGCATTCGGCCAACTCATCGACTCCTGTCGCAGTAGGGCTCGGAAACAGTCGTTTCCTCTTGCGCCCAACCTCCTGCTGTACACTCCTGTCGCGAGTTGGCGTCTCCACCGAGAGCTCGTCAGGTCCTAGAGGCGAACTGAGTCTTTTCGGCTTGGCTCGCATCTCCATTGGAGATCCATCGTCGGACTCCGACTTCACCATAGGCGATACCATGATGCTCGGCTTCAACACGTCCCAGAACTCCGGGTCCCTATCCTCCCTGAGAAACTCGCGCTGAAGCCTTGCCAGAGCTCGCATTCGATCCTGAAGGTACTGGGTGATGTCGCTCTCCGGCATGGTGGTGTCAATGACCTCGGTAACGATATTAGGGACAATGCGCAGCTTCTCGTAGTCGCCGTCCTGGGCGGCCCAGGTCAGGTACTTGTCCAACTCGCGCTTGATGATTCTGGGGGCTTTTTTGCGTAATTCGACTTGTGTTTTGGCCCTAACCTCCCGGGTGAGGTCGATTAACCGCATGAGCGCCATGGTTGCTGCAGATGGTAAGAGCATGGACAGTTAGATCAAGGTGAGATACTTGCCTCGGAAGTCTTTGGCGTGCGCATAAATAATAGGAGGATATTCATCAGATGTCTTGAATAAGATATCCGAAACCGGCACAGCACTCAAGTCAATATCCCAAGTAGGAGGCAGCATCGGGAGATCCTGGCGCATGTAGAGGATCTCAAAGAGACGGTCTTCGTCGGGAGCCCAGCTGCTGGCGCCGGGGTATCGCTTCTTCATTAGCTCCATCTCCTCCATGAGATGTATCTCGAATGAGTTATCGTGGTCTTTAGGGGAGGCACTTGGCTGTTTATCTCGAGCGAGCGTAGGCGTCTTGAACGTTGTGTCTGCTCTTCGACTAATACTTGTGTCTTGCTTTGCCCGGGGAGTCGCCTGGCTGGATGGCGGGCTCAGCGAGCCTCTTTTGTCGACGAGTTCCTCCATATTTGACGTTTGATGACATGAATCCTTTCTTCGAGGTTCTTTGTCGCGGAGTTGGGTTTGGAATGCTAGTGCTCTTTGTGCTTTTGCACACCGACGATGTAACTAGCAATCTCTGGCGTGCCCTTTGTGAACGAAAGTGAAGAAAGGCCGCGGGCCTTCCGCAGATACACCCACCAATCAACACAATGGACGCCCTGGAAGAAATATTTAAGTCGTGTTCACTCTTGTTCACGAGTTCATTGCCAACTTTTAGGCATTGAAAGGTTGAAGTCGAGGTGGCAGGTGGGGCGTGTGCGCATCAATATCGGTGAGCCGTGCACGCCCCCGGAAGTTCTCTTTCGCCGGAGAGGCCAATCAGACGTCAGACGTCGAAATTCTTCACGTCCCAGATCGATTCATGGCGATATCTTCAACCGGCACAACTACAACCATGGCCGAACTAGCAAAGACGGCGGCACGCCAATTGCCCAGCTTCAAGCTGGGCCAGAAGCAGGTCTTCCTGTCAGTACTCCCCGTGGCGTCCCCGCCATCCCCTCCACGTTCCTCCCTCTGAGCCCTATCTGACCTTTTCTCCTCCAGGCCGAACCACATCATCACCTTCCTCCGAAAAGAGCACCTCCCGCCGAACGAGGCCTGCTTCAAGGTTCCTCTGCGCTTCACCAAGTTCGATCTTCGAGACTACCTGTGGAATCTCTACAATGTCGAGGTCACCAAGGTGCGGTCATACGTCAAGCAGCAGCCCCTCACACAGCGGAACTCGCACTCGCGCTCGTGGTATCGCCCGCAGCCCCTGAAGATCATGACCGTCGAGCTGGCCAAGCCGTTCCAGTGGCCCGCACTTCCGGAGAACACGGAGTCGTGGAGCAACCAGCTGTGGAAGATGCGTGAGGAGCTCATGGACACCCGCAACGAGGAGCACATCCAGCGACAACGCTTCCAGATCCCCATGAAGAGCAAGGAGCCCTTGACGAAGGAGCGGGAGCAGCTGGCGGACCTCGCCAAGAAGATGCTGTCGGGCGAGGTGAAGTGGTCCAACGAAGTTGATCTGGACCCCAGGTGGGAGAAGCTGCTGGAGAAGAAGGATGCGGACCAGGCCAAGCAGGATGTCAAGGAGGACGCCTAAGCAACATTGAGGATGAGTGCGACAAGGCGCAAACGGGCACTACGGGTCGACGTTGATGGCAGGGAACCGCTTAATGGAGGAGGCGGCAACCCAGGAGAAAGCCAGTCAGGTTGGGGGCAGCCTCTGTAGGATAGCTGGCACCAGCGATGTACATTATTGTAACCAACCCTTGCGGGTGGCCAATGCATGTTGGCGAGATGAAAAATAAACAGGATAAACGCCCAGATATCTGCTCCTCTACACATTGTCTATTGAACTCCAATGCTCCGCCTGCTGAAAGTGCAAGACCTGGTCGCCCCAACCCCACCACCCCGCTGTCAAGCTACGTGCAAAGACCTCGAGGCCAAGATAGCCTTCCTCGAGGATATCCTGGAACAGGCCACGCAGGTTGGGTTTCCTTGAGTGCACGTCCGGTACTGCCATGATGATTTTGGGCTTCAGAGAGTCTGGGCTCTTGCTGCCTCTGCGTTTTGCAATGACGAGCTTCTCCCAAGGCTTCCTCCACACCGACTCAACGTCATACAGTGGCTCGCCTGAGGTTGTGACCTTGACCCACGTCCACTCGGTGACAACCTCGAGACCCCACGCAGCGAAGAGGCCCGTAGGCGAGACAAGAAAGTCGTGGATGCTGGGCTTGTTAGTGATCCAGACGGCGACCAGGCCATCCGGACTAAGGTGGGAGGCAATGGGGATGTCCAGCATGAGGCGGCGCATCTCATTGAGATTCTGAACCATCGCATACTTGTTCGTCCTCCTCCTCGCGGACCGATTCGGCCATGGCGGATCCAAGACGACAAGATCAAAGCTGGGAGCTGATGCGTTGAAGGACTCACGCAGTTCCTGGATAGAGCCACACAGGTGCTCGGCTTTAGCGGGGATGTGCGGTGGTAGGCCGGATATCAACGGCGGTTGCGGCTCAAGGAAACGGGCGAGGTGCCAAGGGCCGGGGTACGTCGAGGCAAGGTCCTCCAGCGCACTCTGAACCGCGGCAGTAGTCATGAGTTCAGCGAGCTGTGCGGCGGGCGATGACAAAGCCTGCGAGGAGTAGTCGACACCATGTCGCGGCTCTGGCGTTGCATAGGGCGTTGCGGGGGGCTCAGCGGAGACGATGCGGCGGCCGGGGGCCTGAAAGGACAGGACTTGGCTCTCCTCAAGTGACCTCGGGATGTCGATGACCACGAGAGCCTTGTCGTTACTCTCAAACAGGACGGACTTGGCTAGAATGCTGCTGCTGTTACTGCCGCCCTCACCAGGAACTGCTCCCACTTCGTTTCCCATCGTCATCTCGTGCTCATCCTCCGTGTCCCCCGGACTGCCGCAAGATGCCAAAAATGACGGAGTCTTCCGGGCGGAGTCTGATTTCAGGCCGAGACTCGGCAAACCTCGGCTCGGCCATTGGTTGCCGGAACCGCCTTACCGGGAAGTGCCCAGGTCCGTCAGCACAGCGCCCTCGTGCCCTGCAAGCGTCCCCTGTAACGCGCTGAAGCACCCCCGGATTTTGGAGTCCCAGGGCGCTTTGCGGGCGTGACCAACGGGTGGGGGCGCTCTCGGCCTCCAAGCGACCACTGAGCGTCGGCCCAATGACGTCCCTGCCGTTCTCACAGCCGGGGAAATTCTCCCGCATCTCCAAAACCTGCGTGCATGTCCGATCCCGTCCACATCCCCCACGACCACTCTCTTTCCCTCCCGCGCACGCGACTGTTCCACCTCAACCGTACTCTCGAGCCGGATCCCTGACCCGTCGACTCGCGCATCGTCTCCGAATCCGTCTACCTCGTTATCGTCGCGGAATGTCGCATCCGTAGGCCCCAAACCGCCATTCAAGCGAGCCACGTGCCGGTCAAGTGGGAATGCCCTCCGCCGACGCCGCCCTCATGGAACATGCCTCAATGACCGAGATTGCGCGCGACACCAACACCCGGCAGCATGGCGGCCCCGATGCCCTGAGCCGCGCGAAAAAGGAAACTCACAGGGAAAAGGAGGCTGCCGTGTATACTAGTAACGACGAGGCCGTCGCGCCCAAGCGCAAGACGCAGAGCTTCGACTATGTCTGGAGGTCCGGAGTGGCCGGCGGCATGGCAGGATGTGCTGTAAGTAGCTATTGCTCTGCAATTGATGCGTATTTCCCGCTGACCATTTTATATAGGCCAAGACCGTCGTTGCACCCCTTGATCGAGTCAAGATCCTCTTCCAGGCCCGCAATCCCATATTCGCAAAGTACGCCGGGTCTTGGGTCGGCGTCGCGACCGCAATGAAGGACATCTACCACCAGGACGGCATCCTGGGTTTATACCGAGGCCACTCAGCGACTCTCCTACGAATTTTTCCTTATGCTGGCATCAAATTTCTTGCCTACGAGCAAATCCGAGCTATTATTATACCCCGACGATCTCACGAGACACCCATGAGACGGCTTCTCAGTGGGAGTCTTGCCGGTGTCACTTCTGTTTTCTTCACATATCCATTGGAGGTGGTTCGCGTTCGCCTCGCCTTCGAGACTAAGCGCGAGGGCCATTCCACCTTGTCTCAGATCTGTAGGCAGATCTATAATGAACGCCCCGTCGTCCCTCCTACACAAGGCTCCAGCGCGGCGGATGCGGCAGCAGCCACGGTGCCTCGGACGGGCATCTTCAACTTCTATCGAGGATTTACCCCCACTATTCTCGGAATGCTTCCGTACGCGGGCATGTCTTTCCTCACTCACGACACCGTTGGCGACTTAATGCGCTCGCCCTCCTTTGCGCCATACACAACACTTCCCCCCAAGAAGGACCATCCTGCGGGAAAGCCTGTGCCACTACGGTCATGGGCGGAGTTGTGCGCGGGCGGAATAGCGGGCTTGATCTCACAGACGGCATCGTACCCGTTAGAGGTGATCCGGCGTCGTATGCAAGTCGGTGGTGCAGTTGGCGACGGTCGTCGGCTACGGATCCGCGAGACTGCCGGCATGATCTTCCGCGAGAGAGGTGTCTCGGGATTTTTTATCGGACTGACCATCGGGTACGTCAAGGTGGTTCCCATGGTGGCAGTTAGCTTCTACACGTACGAACGGATGAAGCTCGTCTTTGGTATATAGATGCAACGACAAAGAGAATGGGAACAGGCGGTTTTGGATACTGGCGTTGGGGGTGTCTTCTGCAGCATGGTATGGGGTTCGGGGTTCTTGGAAAGCCTTCGGAAATTGGGGATGAGGCGGGTCTTGATGTACATAGATTAGAGGATCCGCGTCTTGTTTCCGAATGATGATGAACTCTCACTTAAGTTACTTATTTCGGTGTCCTCAAACGAACGGCGGCCCCGGCAACGTCTATGTTCGCCACCCGTCCGGAGGCGGCTGGCTCCGACAGCGCCAAAGCCATCATGGCATGCCTCACTAGACGCCTTTAAGGAATATTTGCCGTTAATTTCCTACCCTGTCATCGCTAATAGATTACTCATCCCAAAGGCCGTCGGGCTTAGTTGTCTTGCAACTAAACCCGTGAAGGGGGCGTGATCGACATAACCCAAGCGCCTGGTGATCGGCGCCGTTGAGAAGCTAATAACCTCCTCGTGCGTCAAACGCGAAACGCCGAAGATGAGGAATGGAAGGAAAAATACGAGCTGAGCCCACTCGACTCTCAGCCACCGGCTGACGGGCATACAACGTTGTAGGTGGCGACAAGGTGGGGGTGGGTTTGCCCCTGTTGAAGAGATGTCATCGTGGCTTGCTGAGGGGACGCCGTTTCAGCAATCATAACTGCATTGGGGAAATTCCTGAGAGGCGGTAATTAGGTAGTGAATACATTGCAATGTACTAGATACATGGGGTGTCGATATGATGCTGACGTGTTCCTAGTTTACTTAGGTTCCAGTGGCCGTTGTTCTATCCGAACATCGAAGCTCGCTCTAGGGTAGGTCGCTCGCCTCGAGTTTAGAGTCATGTCGCGGTTACTCAGTCAAGACAATTCATTGAATATCATCCCTTCATTGTGCATAACTCCGATTTCGTCACAAGGAAATAGTTTTAAAACAAGAAACAATTGTTATTAGGAGATATAAAGACCGGCTATTTGTGTTCTCAAATGCCATTCATTGAACAGAATTGGATCCCTCGTTGACCTTCGGGTTCAGGATTGAGGCAGGTATTCACATGCGCAAACAGCTAATGACGTGTGCAAATAGGAATTCCCAATTGAGAATGGGTAACCAATTGTAAATTTCTCGCTCAACTGCACCCCAACCCAGTCGTCGTCCAAACTAATAAGGAGCAACATATCAGCGACACTTGCCTGCGAAACTTGAAATATTTCACAATTACACGAACTGGGTATCCGATAGTTGCAAAACGAGGGAGGAAAATATGATATCTAATATACAAAGCACTGGCAAATTGCAACTCATCAACGATGTCTGGGTTGAGGACGAAGTGACGTGGGAGTAAGGTCGCCTGCTCTGATTGGCTGTCGCGTCGCTGCCGTCCAACCCCTGTCCGATGCGGCTCTGACAAGCTGAGCTCCTCCAAAAATACAGATGCAGCCTCAGCCTTTTGTCTCCAGCGTCACTCCATCACCACCACACAACCTCGAGCGTCACAACCACCACGGCCAGTGCCTGACGGCTCCGTATTCTCGCCTCTATCCCTCGTCCATCGCCGAATCGCCCTTTACACGCGGCCATCCCGCCAATTGCGAGCGCGAATCCGCCAACCCGCTGCGACCTTCACCATGGCGTCCGCGGCCGACCTCGACGGCCTCGTCCTCCTGCGCCAGTCCATCTCCGCGTCCAAGGCCTTCATCCCCAGCGCGTCCGCCGATGCTGCTGCCCCGGAGGTGCCCCTCGCGCAGGCGACGCACCTGCGCTTCCCCGACCAAGCCGCCGCCGTCCCCATTGACAGCGCCACGCGCTTCGTCTCCAACGACAGGCCCGTCGACCTGCGCAGCATCTACTTCGCCTGGCTCAACCGCGAGGTCGCCATCCCCGAATACAATGCCTCTTCAACTAAGCTGAACGACGAGCTCGCCGCTGCCGCCGCAAAGGGTAAGGTCCAGAACCTCGGCTTCATCGAGCGTCTCGATCTCATCACCTGGCTCGAAGGCGCCAGCGAGGAAAGCGAGTACATCAAGCCCCTCGCCGGCGACAAGGATGGCTCTGCTGCGGGCGCTTCCACGACGGCAAAGGCTGGCGCCGTATCATCGACTGCGCAGGCAAGGTCCGGCAGGGGCACCATGGACCCTCGATTAGCAAGCATCTACAACGGCGAGCGAAAGATGGGCGATCGCAACACAGTTTTAAGGGGCATCAAGCCTACGGTACGTATCCTACCCGCCTAAGCCTACTACGCAGAGCTGAGTCTGACCATCCACAGGACTTCTCCCATGTGCGCAAGCTTGCCGCGCCCTTCATCCAGAAGAAGTCGCATTCGGGCTCCACCAACATCAGCGCAAACCCATCCCTCGCCCTCAACCAAAAGGCCCCGTCTAGAAGACCGGACCCCATCATTCTCCTCTCGCCCTCGGCATCATCCCTTCTCCGTCTCTCCAACGCCCGCTCTTTCCTCGAGGACGGCAAGTTCGCCCCCGCCGAGGCGGGTGACTCGACGGCTACGATGCTCCATGTCCAGCGCACCATCAGGGCTGTCGACCCCAACCGCCCCGTGCGCTTCATCCTCGTCGAGGGCTCCGAGCAGTTCAAGCCCGAGTACTGGAACCGCGTTGTCGCTGTCTTCACTACCGGCCAGACGTGGCAGTTCAAGAACTATAAGTGGAGCGACGCCAACGAGCTCTTCAAGCACACCCTCGGCATCTACGTCGGCTGGCGTGGCGACCAGCCGCCGGATAATATCAGCGGCTGGGGCCACCGCGTCCTGTCTACGGGCGTCGACCGCTGGCACGGCGAGGGCCACGATTCCTCCCGTTTCCGCGATAAGGAGATCGTCGAGCAGATCTGGAAGTCTATTGAGGCGAACATGCGGTCCCGCGGCTGGAGGAAGGACGCGGCCCCTACGTCGATTTAGATGGTCCCCGACCACGATGGCCCTTGTAGGGCTTTCGATGGGAGGGGAAAGTTATCATATGGCGGATATGTATGAAGAGCGTCCCCTACCCTGTATTAGACTCACGTCCGGGGATGGTATGGGACTCCAAAAGCGATGGCGTTGAACGGTTTTTTCATGTGTAGGTATTATCAGCATCCATCTGGCGGTGGGAAGAAATCAAAGAGAGATAGGAAAACATAAAGAGACAAACCTGATTTACAGTGGGATCTGCGCGAATGTACGGGATTCGGCCAAGTTGCCCTACTACCCCTGAGTTTACAACATTTGGATATATTTGCCTTCAAGATGCGAACTCAAGTCGAACAAAGAATAGTGTGGTCCAGGTAGGTACATGACACCTATCTTCTGATACATCACTTTCTATTTATCACGGGCGTGTATTGATTGTCATTGATTACCAACACTGCTACTCTGGACTAACTCGCGCCGATGGCGCCGGATATAACTCCCACAGGCTGACATGACTTACCGCGCAGACCGACAGACGCAACACACACACACCAACCCAAGACAAGCTTTCCGCCAACAAGCGAGCTTTCCCAACGTGGACGAGTCAGGATGGGAGGCTGCACGCTGCAGCTGCAGTCTGGCACAGACCCGCGGGGGAGAGCATGGGTTGTCTGCCAACGATTACCGCGCTGGCCGGTGTTAGGGGCGCGAACGAGCCAGGCGGTGGCCGTCGAGAGCAGCATCGCCCGATTTGTGTGCATGATTAGGTTGAAAAAAAGAGAGAGGGAGTGTCTTGGGATCTACATGGTTGTATCACCAACGTCTGTGGTGTGGGAGGTTGGGGAGGGGGGGGGGGGGGCAGCAGCCAGCCATGAAGGGAGGGGGCAGACAAGACAGCTGAGTTGCCCCAGATTTCTCCGAGCGCGCGTTTCCTGGACAAGGCTACCGCACCCGGGCATGATAGATACGCACCTGCGAGGTCGTGCAGCTCCCCCAGGTTCACGGCTATCGAGAGCCGTAGAAAAACGCCCGGCGATAAGAGCCTCTCGGCATCTAGGCTTCGTGGGGCCAAGGTTGCGGATGACACCTTGGCAAGGTTCAGTCGAGGGATACGGACGGAAGCGAGGGGAGTTGCAGGTTGCAGGTAGATAGATAGCAAAAAGATACAGCGGACGTCTTGCCTCGGTATCGAGACCGACCAGGACCAAACCTGAGAAATGCTCCGCCCAGATCTGTGTGATGCCAGATAGGGAATCCTGCCATGGGTCGAAATGTGACTTCGCCGTTTGCTGTACATGGGAGAATCCCTGCGACCACGAAAGCTGCAGTCCCAGAGCCCCCCCGGCCGGCAGGATGAAGATCCCACGACCACGATAGACCGGGGCATCATCTTGGCACTAATGGGCCTGCTCACCGTCCAAGAGAAGAACTACGACACTGACTAATGGTATCACGTATCCGAGCTGTTGTGTTTCGGAAAAAAAAGCGTCCTTGGTGTGACTCCGCAAGTGGTGCCGGAGTGCAGGGCTGAGGCATGTTAATCACAACTCCGCTAGAACTTGGTTCGCCATCGTCCCGCTCTAGAACGCGTTGAGGGGCTGCCGAAGTCACCGCAGCTGTATATTCGGATCACATCTGTCAAAATATCTGCAAGGTCCAAGAGCCCGGGAGTTGCGTGATTACTTACGTAGTCAGTAGGTTAGAACAAAACCTGCAGGTCAACAGTCCAGCAAAAGGACGGCGCCGCAGCCATGCCCACTTGGTGGCCGTCGGGATGAAACGCCGTCAAGCGACGAAGTGGCACGATGGATTGCCGAGGCAGTAACTGGCGCCTATATAACCTAGTCGGTAGGCTTTGTGGGGATAGCCTAGGGGCGTGATTGAGGAAAACACGCTCTTCAGCTCGGGCGGGATGGGAAAAAGGGGCATGGTCGGTTTGGTGGAGAAGGGCTTGGGAACGCAACGCATTGTGGTCCAAGGCTGGGGCTCTGAGAAGGACTCACGGCGGAGCTGCCGACCCCACTGGCAAGCGGTGAAAGCGAAGGGCCATTGTCTCAGAAGCCGTGATAGTCGCGGTTGAGGGTCTAGGACTGAGAGGGCCTTCAACGATCAGGGGGGGCCACCGCAGAGTCGAGTTGGTTGGCGAGGGACATTCATGCATTCGGCCATGCAGCTGCACAGCAATCAGAGGCCAGGCTGATACTAGTTCTTCTAACTAGGCTTCCTCAGAGGCGACTGGCTATCACGGCCTCCTGATCGCATTTGGCTCTTCGTGGTTGGCTATGCGATGTGACGACTCACTGACGAGCCTTGTGAAGATGTCGATCCCAGCAACAAAATTGCCAGAGAGCCAATTCCACGTGGCCACACCAGTGCGGCGGCCGCTATGGCTCAGAGCCAATTCACCCACTCAAGCCATCTCAAGCCTCCGCTCCAGCCCAGCGCCGGATTGCGCTCTCCCATGTCGTGAATGATCCGTACCCTGCGCCTGTGGCGTCGGAAAAACTAATATGGGCGCTCGTGACCCTGCCAGTTCTCGCGTGGCATTGACGGGTCCTGGTAAGGCAAGCAAACCAACACGATGCACAGAGGTTGTGATACCTCGTAATCTAGGGTTATCCGCTTCCAACGTCTCGCCAAGCCCTGGAGGAAGGATCCCAGAAGGATGTCCAAAAGGGGTCTGGTAGGGGCATGAGACTAGGCCTCAATTGCCGTTCCACGTGAGAAGCACGCCACGAACAGGGATAAGTGCCATCTTGATTGATCCATGATCGCCATCCTGACGCCTTGCGACCTCACTTAGTGGTCCGAATTGAGAGGCTGAGCAGTACATCTGCCCTCCAACAGGGCAGCGAGCCGGAAGGGGACCGGGTAGTGGTGACCACAACACCCACCCCAGAACTCATCCTTACACCGTACTTCGCCCATCATGCGTCATGCTCGAGAGTAGGCGTCAAGGCAGGCAATGCCATGGTCTGATTCCGGTCGTGTTTCGGGCTCTGGGCAGATGCTGCACGTGGCCACGATTTTGACGGTTCGATGAGACAATCCCGCGACATTTGCTATAGGGCGTCCTCTCCCTCCGGCCACTCCCGGCTCGCCGCGATATCGAAGTGAGACCTTGGGTGTAATGGAGGGAAGTCTCGGGATATCTGGTTCATCAATCCAGCGCCACTCAAGAGGGCATTGATCCCGGAAACACTTGGGTTCGTGGCGGATTCTGGGTAGCATCCTGCCCGAAGCTAGCAGGATCTGGCCTGGTTTTCTTTCGGCAATTGGAAATCGAAGGGCACCTGGTAAAGTACGTACTCTGTACTTTCAACCTTCTGAGGGGCGAACAGGGCGGGCTGGAGCCAGCCCGCCAAACTAAACCCTGTCGCTGCTCCCCGATGACGGCACCGCAATTGATGGTTGGCGCATGTCTCACTCGGCATCTGACTACGGATGATTTGGCGGCAAGGTGCCGTAAATGGCGTCGGGACTCTCGGGCAATAAAATTTCCACCTTAGGGTTCTGGGCGTCAAAATGTGCAAATGTGTGCCCGTAGCACGGCATCTCCGGTATGAACACCGGCGCAACGCCCTTGACGTCGAGGCGGTCGTGATGTGTCCGCATGACACGGACAAACTCCCGTGGGCGTTCCAGGCCGGTTTTCGTCGACCATGGGCTGCACGGCTAGCTCGGAGAGCCGCCTCCGGGCTGAAGCTGGCGCTGGCAGGACGTCATTGAGGCAATGGGTCACGATGTACGTAGTAAGTGTGCATATGGTAGTCTGGCCGTGAGCCATAGCGCTGGGACAAGGGAGCGTTAACGTGCGCACGTCAACAGAACGACCCGAGCCGGGACAGATGCCATAGCCTGCCACATGGCTCCCTGGGTGCTGGTGATCCATCTCCAACGGGCTCGGCCAACAATAACAGCGGCTGGGCAATAGAAGGTGGACCTGTGAAGGGTCCTCCGCGGGCCGGATAACGGGACGCCGTTGGACACCTTGCTTGGCAGGCTCTCGTGTCGGGCGCGGGAGGCAGGGGAAGGGAAGGGAGGGAGGGAGAGAACAGGACCGTCATGCATTTGCAACGGTAACGGGGCCCAGCCTCCATGTAATCATCGTAGATAGTGTCATCGAGGCGGGCCATGTCGTCGCAGACGAGCCAGTGGTGAGGCAGGTGAGGGCGAGGACGACGAGATGGAAGCCCTGGAAGACTCCACCGCTCGTGTTTGCAAACGCGTGGCTCCCCAACCCACGTGGCGGGGTCCACCAGTGCGACAGTGGCAAGCCGGGACTTGGCCAAGGGTTGCCACTGGCCTCACCCCCGGGTCCGGGCGGTGGCACGCCCCGTGGACTACTCTTACAGCATGTACGGCGTGGACTACGGCGCATTGCGTGTGGGAGGCTAGCTGGCAGATACAAGCCTTGTAACGGCATAGCTGCGCATGCGACAGCTGTATCTGGTTGGCCGTGAGGTGGCTTGCCCCGGACACTGCAAGTCTGCTCGCTAGGCGTGGCCCAGCCCAACACCAATCTCCTGATGGCTGGCAGCTGGCCAATTCTTCATCTCAGCTCCCCGACCGGTGCCAGAGAGCAGTCGTTGAAACTGGGTCTGTCGCCCTGTACATGAGTACATCGTAGCGTAGCAGGCCGCTGGTGGCCGAACCCTGCCCGTTCGGGTCCGACACGGCGACCCCTGGGTTGGGGCAGCTCCGGCAAGGGCACCGCCAAAAGAAACATGCCTGTCTCTCTGAGTCGCGGGCGTTCATCATTATGCTACGAGGCTGGACCCTCATGACTAAGGTCATCGCCAAGCAGATTGCGGATTGTGCAGATGGAGTCGCTCCATAGGGCGGAACATTCCAGCCTCGTTCTCCCCGGCGTGATTGGGCACGGCCGCCTCACCGTTCCGCAGTGTTGATTAGGCCTGCGGGTTGAGCCTGCGATTGAGCAATGCAGTGCTCCGTACATACAAGGCTCAAGCAGCCACGTGGGAGTGCCGACAGACGGAGGAAAGTGA